ATACGATTATATACTACTTAAGGAAAATAACTAGATCGGAACTCAACTATAATATACACGATAAAGAGCTACTCGCTATTATCGAAGTATTTAAAGAATAAAGAGTATACTTAGAAGGTATAAAATACCCTACCTAAGTCTATACTGACCATAAGAACTTACTATACTAGATAATAACAAAATAACTTAATAGACGATAAGTTCGATAGGCTAAAACTCTCGCACCATTTAATTTCAGAATATATTATATTCGAGGAAAAGAAAACGCTATAGTAAACGCGCTTAGCCGCCGACCAAACTATATAAAGAATATTCAACTAGAACCCATAGCTATACTTAAGGAACGTAATGGAACCTTAACTTACGTAACGCCTTAAATAGAAACACTAGCCGCTATAGATATTGAGCTAACTATAGAATAAAAGAAGAAAGTTATCTAAAATAGATATAACGATAAGTTAGCCGAATACCTAGGTATTGAAAAAACCATTGAACTCGTCACACGAGACTTCACCTAGAAGGGAATACGGAAAGACATAACGAAGTACGTCAATAACTACGATATATATCATAAAGTAAAGTACGCACAACATAAACTATACGACCTACTATAAACATAGTAAATACTAGAAGAGATATAATTAATAATCGCACTAGATTTTATTACGAAGCTACTAAAATCTATAGAGCCCCTTACGGGCGTAGACTTTAATAGTATACTAGTAATAAACGATATTCTAACGAAGTATACGTACTTTATACTATATAAGGAAGTATCAATAGTAGAAGACCTAGTATACCTACTATACAAAATAATTATCGTATAATATGAAATACTAAAGGAAATACGCTTAGACCGAGATAAACTATTCACATTATAATTTTAGTAGTCACTAATAGACCTTATTAGAATACACTAGAAAATATTAATAGTATATTATCTATAATTAAACGGATAAACTAAGAGAACGAATTAGATACTCGAATAGTATCTACGATACTATATTAGCTTCAAATAAAACGACTAGATACAACTACTACCGATAGTATAGTTCGCATTCAATAATAGTGCATTAGTAACGAGAATATCACCATTCTACGCAAATTACGGAAAATACCTAAATATTGAATAGGAACCAAGAGAAATTAAACTAATCGCAGAAAAAGCAAAAATATTAGTGGACAAACTAAAGTAACTACATAAAATGCTATAAACAATATTATAAGAAGTAATAAAGAAAACAACAATTCAAGCAAACAAGAAAAGATCTAAGGGACTAAACTTCCACGAGGGGGAGATAGTCTATATCTTACGAAAAAACATCAAAACATAACGACTAAGCGACAAATTAGACCACACCAAAATTAAACCATATAGAGTCAAAAAGAAGTTAGGAACCGTAACATTCGAAATCGATTTACCTAAAGGTATAAATATTTACCTAGTATTCTATAAGTCCCTTATCGAGAAGGCACCGCTAAACGCTAAACTAGAACCGATACTAATATATAAGGAAATATAGTAGCCGCTATATAATATCGAAAGAATTTTAGATTATTAACCCATTAACGGGAAGTACCATTACCTAATTAAATAGTTAGGATACAATAGCTTAGAAAACACGTAGGAACTACTAAAATATCTACTAAAAAATCTCATTAAAGAATACTATCGGGGGAAATAACGGAAAAGACTTATCGATAGTATTCGACTACTATAAAGGACGATCAATTAGGATTAGACCCTCGAAACCAAATAGCGAACTAGGCTTAAGCTTAAATATATTTTCTAACTACGCGTCATTAAGACTAATAAACACCGTCGACGACGCCTACTCGAGGGGATTCACGTTATCCAATTCGTCCAAGGCGTTCGCTTCCCGGATCAATATTTTCTTCTATTTCTCTAATAGTTCGTTAGCTTCACGCTAAAGCCGCTTACGTTCTAAGTAAGCCTAAGCCGCTATAACCTAAGCTCGAGAAGCTACCTCCAGTAGCTATTGAAGTTCGTTACCCTTACGGCGCGCCGCTTCGATTAGGCGATTCCGTTGGGTAGTTAGACAATCGAACTTAGCCGTCGAGAAAGTACCATCGTAGTATTTCACTCCTTTTTTAGTATAAGAAGAACACTTGCTATGCCCATCCAACATAAAACACACCGAGTCGAAATCCTGATAGGGCGTATAGCGACCCATCTCGAACCTCTCTAAACCTAGCGACTCGATTCGCACAACAAGGTCGTAGCGACGGATAGTGGACGATCGACCCGATTTAGAAACTCGATACTAAGGCATCGTTAGCCATGACGAAAGAAAGAGAGAGGAAGGCACGGGGATAGGAGAAACGACTCACCTTAAGTACGTTGAGGACAACGTATAGAGAAGGAGGGGGCGAGTGTTACGAACCGAGACATGCGACTAGGTTATGACTAGGGCGTAGTCTCCAAAAGAAAGCAGGTCTAACGAGAGGACACGTGCAAGCACTATATTAGATCACGTGACTATAGAAGTGCTTAGCCCTACTTAGTGTGCTTAGTACTAAGCACTACTAAGTACACTAAGTACTCACGACTATATATACAACTAACGAGTCCATAGCTTTCCTTCGTAGTCAACTTCGTTAACGATTATACCCATACGTTTAAGTATCGATTAGTCTCGCTCAAGACACTCGACGTGCTCTCTTACTGCTATACCTTGATACTTCCCCCTGCTCAGGAACCCCTTGTCTCGTGACACCCCGGTGAAGCGATTCATAATATATCGAGATAAAGGTAGTGACCGTAGTAAATAGATACTATAGTACGCTAAGATAAATCGCGTCGATAAAGTTATATATATTCGATATTATATTTAGCGAATTTTACGATAGATTTACTAAAGAAGAATACGAAGACTATTACGTCGATTCTTTTCGACTTCTAGCCTTTATTATTATCTTCGTAATACTAATAAGGGCTACTTTAATTATCGTCTTTTTATAAGCGATTATATTACTCTATATTTTAACGAGAGGTATAGATAGCCTAAAATAAATATCTTCTAGTTACTTAATATATATTCGAGAGTTATTCTTATAGTTTAGATATAGATATTTATAGTAACGAGCTATAAGAACTTACTAATCGTTCGATTCGTTTAGTATCGCGGCGCGTTATTATCGCTACTCTCTTTATACTTAAGTAGTACTTAGAGCGCTAGTTTTGCTCTTCTTTTTAGACTTTAAAGACTTAGATAATATATATCGCTTCTTATCTTTTCGTCGACGTATCTATATACTATCCTTATATCTTAATCGTATAGAAGACGCTCTCTCGAAGCCCGAAGAGCTTTACGCCGACAATAGCTCGGAAATAGAGAGTATACGCTCTTAATATATTAAGTTAAGCTATATATCTATCTCGTATATAGCCCGCTTAGGTTCGTAAGAGATATCCCACTACTTCTTATATATCGTTTCGAAGTTCGATTAATATTCGATAGTAAGGTTAAAAGATCTCTTTATTCTTTAAGCGATAATCGTAAACTCGTCTTCGTAAGGTAAGTTATCGACGATCTTCTTTTTAGGTATTAATATTATTAGGAGACGACCGCGGCACTCGTCTATTATATTAAGATAGTCGTACGTCTTCGAGTTAACCTAACGACTAAACGTCTTTACCTTTCCTAAGAAGACTTATACGCTAATTAGAAAGAATACCTTACTAAGAGAGTATATCGATATAGTCGACGTATTAAACTATAGACTTAATAATATATATCGACGCGATATTAATACCCGCTTATTACTCTTATTACTCTTCCGCCGCTTCGAGATATTCGATAGAGGCGCTATCTATACGGACGGGAGGATCGTCGTCGCCACCTCCTCCTCCTCCTCCGACTACGTCGCGGACCCCCCTAGGGAGCTCTTCTCCTTATTATTATCGGGAGTTCTCTTCGGCTCGAAAGATTACTGGATTAACGCTATTCTATCTATATAGCTAATTCTACTTAGGGGTATATCTTTAATATCCTTAATAGTTAGGGACCGCGAAGTAATAGTATCCCTACTAGTATTTAGCGTAGCGCGTTACTTATTAAGGGTGAGTAATAATCGCGTAGCTATAGTAAGCACCGACTAACTAGCCGATCGCCTTAGGGAGGGAGTACGAGTGCGCTTACGGCCTCGCTATGATTAAGAGTCCTCGACGGCGCGTGCTTCGCGGAGACGGAGGGATAGAGTGCTACTTCGTAGGGAACGACGCGATATATTGATACAATATATTATAGATTAGTCTAGCATACTTTACAGCTATTTTACGGTGGTGGTGGTGCTCATTCATTCCGCAGTGTATTGCAAAAAAGTGGCGGTGAATGGCTCGGCTAACTTGACAAATTTACAAAGTTTTGAAAGGCACAGTACCCTGAAGAAGATCTGGGGTCAAAAGACCACTTCATCAAGTCACGGTGGCCAACCCTCTTCAACAAATCCCCCACAGATTCCTGAACTGCCGTCAACGTTTGCTACAGCCCTGTCGAAATGCACAAGATGTCGCAATGGTGTGGCTACCCGAATTGAGAGATTTCGCAATGTCGAAGCGTCCAAAGACCGCAGAAGAGAGGCGACCGGTGTGAGTACTTTTTAACCTCATTAGTATCCTGCATGCAAAAGTATGAAATCCTAAGGCCACCCCAGCCCCAAAACTCCTGGCCTGCCAACACGAACTCTACGCCGCGAACATGCCGCAGTGAAGGTTTTGAGAGTAGCCATCGACATGGATCTGCTGTGGAATGGCTCGTTTTGTCTCAGGTGTCGCTACTGCGCCCTCTCGCTCTAATATGCGACAGGCCCTGTCAAGGAACCATACAGATAAAGGCTCGGCCTGCCGCAAGGCTGGTCTTGCCCACCGTCACGTACGACTTCATTCTGGGATCGGCTGAAGCTGCAATGTCTTCTAGATCTCTACGTCAGCTGTGAGTGCTCCGGAGTCTCTTTGAGCAGGGCCTGCTGGGATCATGATGGGATCCCGCCACAGAATAGTCAGAGAATTCCACGAACCTCTCGAGTCCTCCTCTCTGCGTCGAGAAACAGATCCGGTTCACCCATCTGAACGCGAGTATGCGCCCAATGTATCTCTGAAGAATATCAATGCCTCCCAACGATGGCGACCAAAGAGCCTGCGAAAGAGGGTGTTTTTCGCGTGTGCATTCGTCTTCCTTGCCTGTGTCGTCACCTTCGCGGTGGTATTTTCCTACTCGCGCTCTAATCAGGGCCTTCTTAAGGTCGACACACGTCTGCACTACCTCTGGACATATGCTCCGACTCTATTCTTCACTATTGGTAAGTTCACAATCCACAACTGTAATAGCCACTCTCGGAATCTCTCAGATAACTCCATCTACATGACACTGACTTTTATGCTATCTAGTCGGCGCATGCTGGGCTAGGGTGGCATACCGCACACTCCAGATGCAGCCATGGAGAATGATCGCACGGGACCCGACGTCGACGTCTAAAGCTCTCCTCGTCGACTATGTCACACCAATAGCCTTGAAGTCGCTCTTTAAGGCGGCGAGAGCACGACATTTCCTGGCCGTGCTGGTTCTCCTTGTCTCTTTGGCATTACAGATAGTGACCATTTTGTCCACTGGTCTGTTCGAGGTCGAATACGTTTCAATTCAAAAGCATGGTCCCATCTCTCTCATTGACACTATTACTGGAGCTTCGCACGACTTTTCCAACATCGGTGCAGGGCCAGCCTTGACCATTTACAGTGTCCAGAACACCAACCTCAGCTATCCGGAAGGCACTACATCGGCTCATGCTGTTCCTAAGCTTTCTTACTCAGATGTATCCAATGCGACTTTAGTTGCTCCCGTTGGCGTATTCACGTCTTACTTGGACTGTCAAGAAGCATCACTTCAACTGGACAATACCTCGATAACAAGTCAGACGGGCGGGCTACATAATGCACCTTTGTTCACTTACTCTTTGAATACGAGCGACTGCTTGCTTCCAAATCTGACGGTCGAAGGGGGTGCATATCTCGATTACAATTACGAGGGCGACAATTGTACGTTCTGCTGTTGTCTTGGACAGCTATGCCGGTCCGGCTCAAAACCTCACATCTCTCGGCTGTCTCGATGCTGACATGTGTTAGTTACATTCTATGACACGTACGGGAATACTGCAGCAGTGGCTTGCTCACAGAATGCTTCTGACGTCCGCATCCGGATTTCCGCGGGGTTGATTTACTACAACAGTAAGTCCTTTTGCGAAGGGAGTTCCGCGAGAGCTCATCGATCATCCTTATGCGGGCTCTGACAGTGTCGTAGTCACCTGGAATGGTACATTTGCGGACACGGAGAATGAGACTCTTCACCTTCTCGAAAAGACGCCGAGTGAGTTGTTTCAGCTCTCTGCCTCCACGAACTTGCTATGTATACCTCACTACGGCTTGCAAGAAGCTGAAGTCACGTATACCACGAGCCAGACGACCGGAAGTCGTCAAGCTCACATACAGGAGCCAAACTCAACGTCCTTGCAGGCTTTGGAAGGTGTCACACCTCAAGCCATCTCGAATGCCATCATGGATTCGATCACGGCAAGTTGGGAAGCCCTGGAGGCACTGTTTCCCAATCCCAATGCCGGGGTGAGTCCGCTTCCTCCCATAAAAAGATCGTGGACCAAGCCATATCCTCTTTGCATCACAAAATCTCTCGTATACTGACTATGTTAGGTTATTACTGTTAATGACCCAAGCGAAGGCTCCGATGGCTATTTTCCGACTAATCCTGTAAGTCACTTTGTCCCAATGGTAGCTGTATCGAGGCAGGCAGAGCTCCCTTGAATAAGTCAGCTCCATAGAGATTTGGGTTGACAATCTTGCAGGACGCGTTCTTCAGGATAATGACTCAGCAATATCCACTTGCCAACGGTTCCAGCAGGTCAAGTTGGTTCGATCCCGAGACCCTGCGAACTGCATCGAGCCTGTTCTTCGGCTCCGTTGCGGCACAATTTGCTGCGCAATACTTGAGAAGAGATGCCACCGGCACGGTTCAAGGAACCGCCGGGATGGTTCAACCTCGATTGGTGTTTTCATCAGTCTTCTATGCCGTGGAAGCATTGCTAGGATCTCTCTTCCTTGCTGCCCTCCTCCATGCCTGGCCAGCCACAAAAGCCATCACTAGTATCGACCCTGCATCCATTGGTGGAACAACTGCAATCATTTCTGCAGACGTTGCCCTGATGGATCACTTCCATGGTACTGGAACATTCGATCTTGATATGCTGAAAGCTCACCTCAGAGGTCCCGGCTCAGGCGACGATAGCAAGGCTCGCACTTATGGACGAACCTTCGGCACGAATGCGGAACCAAAGTACGCGAGTGCTAAAGGCACTGCGCACAGTCAGACAGCTGGGTGGCGGCCTTGGGTGTTTCTACCATTCGGGAGATGATCCCACTGATTCCGCTTCTCCTCATCGTGGGTCTGGAGATCAGCCTGCACTACAGTGAGGTTCATAACGGCATTGCAATTGTCGACGGCCTACGCAGTCGGATCCATGCATCGCGTCTGGTGCCTGCTGTCGTCTTTGCTGCGACTCACATGGTCTTGTCCTCAATGGCTTTCAATGTCAGCCTGATGCATCCCTTCTCGACATTGCGGACTAGCCCTTCTGCTGCCCAAATCAGTCTCCTCGATGCTCCTCTAAGCCGGTTTGCCCCCCATAACCTCTGGCTTTCTGCACGAAGAAAGCAGTTTGCGCTTTTCTGCTCGGTCGTTATGACCATTACAACATTCTTCCTAGTTACAGTCTCCAGCGGACTTTTTGTCAGTGGAGGCTACACACGAAGTTCACATCTTACACAGTTATCATGGTTCCAGCTCTCTTCCGAGAACAATGATTCTGCAATTCACAATCTCACGAGGAGGTATAACTTGACGGAGCCACTACAATATGCCGAGGATAATGGGGAGACGAAAATGCATCTTATTGGCAATGCCGTGATCGAACTGAATCTATCTTATCCTGCTTGGACTTACGACGAGCTTGCCTTACCCTTGGTCTCTATCTCCGGTAATTCGACATTGAACGTCACGGATTCAATAGCTATCTCGGCCCAAATTCCAGCTCTTCGCACCGACATGCAGTGCGATGTGCTCAAGACTGACGAAAACAATATTACGTTCTCGCAGAGTATGGTCGATGTATCTTGGGATTACAGCTTCGGTGTGATTTGTAAGTCTCGACCCTCGTGGAAATCATTGAAACCCATTGTCGGGCTTACTCAAAGTTCCTACATTTCCGACTTCTCAACGCTGACAAGAAGAAAGATACTCGGAACTTGCTTGATGTCCATACCAATTTCTCCGTTGAATGCGGCGGGTCGGGTCAGAGCAACGCTACTGTCGTTATCTACGAAGTAGCATTACCCAGTCGACTGAACACGAGCGAGGAAGGCAGCGTTGAACCTCGGCCGACTTCAATGCTGTACAGCTACGAGAACTGCCTCGTGGGAATTTATGGGTTAGTCTCCTCGATTCTTCCACTCCTCACACGCTTTATCTGCGCAATTGTACGAACTTTTAGACTCTCATGCTCATTTTCACGATGCTACAGCTACGCCAATAACGCAAAGTTTGTCAACTATTCCGTCATGTCATGCAAAGTATCATACGAAGAAGTCCAAGCAACAATGACTTTTCTTGACTTCCCGAGCTATCGCATCTCCTCAGACGCGCCGCCAATTGTGGACGAATCCACAACTAAACCGATCAACAGCAGTGACGTCTCGTCATTTCTGGCTGCTACCGAATATTCCGCTTCCTTTTACAACACTTCATTGACATCGTTGAATGGGTACTCTACAATGGACCCAGTATCAACGGCATTGATCTACGGCAAAGATGGCGTCCCTGCCGAAAAGCTCTTCCCGTATTCCCCGGAGCAGTATCTCATACCAAATCTACAGCACCTCATCCGGACTATGGGTGCGCAGTACATAAGCTACTTCTATCGAAGTACAAACACGACCTCGCCCTTAGTGAATTCCAGGATCCCAGCGACTTTGCAAATGAACCCGACCTACAGATTGAGGCAAACTGCCACGTCCACTAGGATTTTGGACGGCCTTTTGGCGGCCTCTGGAGTCTTCGCAATCCTCACACTGTTGACATTTAGAACTCGTGATGTTGTCAAAGCCAAGCTCGGCAGCCCAGCCGTGGTCATGGCGATGGTAGCCGACAGCGAGTTCGTCCGCGAGTTGCAGAAGGAGCAAAGCCTGGAACCGGACGAAACAGATAGAGCGGTACATGCGGAGAGAATGCTGGCGTCTGATGGAGGACAATTCAGCCTTGGTTGGTGGGAGGTGAGAGGATCATCAACGTCGTCACAAAGCGAGGGTCAATTGACCAAATATCGATGGGCCATTGATATAGGTCGATCGGACTGAGGTAGCATTTCTCACATGAAGTACTATAGTTGCCATATGTTCTATCCCGACACTTCCCAGTTCTGGTGTTGATACCATGAGCACCGTCAAGTACGGCTAATGGGAGTGGTGCCAGGGATACTAGTATCGTACCTTAACTATGCCGGATTTAGCTGGAGGTGGAACCCCTAATCAACTTGGCGGCGGAGAAATAAAAAAGGGGACAGAAGTGTCTCTCAAGATCGCAGGGAAGCCGCTGCTACTACTACTACTACAATCGCAACCCATCCACCACAACACTCGCTCTTCTACTTCTGTTTACGGTGCTGCATACTTGTCCCTATCAAATCGACGTTGTTACCTGCTCTTCCACGTCCCTGTTTGCAGTCGGCATTCCATCCCCCTTTCCGCCTATCACATTCCGCCTTCGTCGCGTTACTCTGTCGCAAGCATTCCTTTAGATCAGACGCCGTCCAGCACATCACCATGGCCATGACAATGCAGCAGCAGAATGCTGTCTTTCCCAAATCCCACGTCGGCTTCGACTCCATCACTCAGCAAATCGAGAAGAAGTTGTTGAAGAGAGGTTTTCAGCTGAACATTGTCTGCGTAAGTCTCGACAAGTTATCTCCTGGTTGCGCAATACTGAACTTCTACAGGTCGGTCAGACTGGACTAGGGAAGAGCACACTCATCAACACCCTGTTCTCATCACACCTCATCGACTCGAAAGGCCGACTTCGTCCAGATGAGCCTATCCGTTCGACGACGGAGATCCAGACCGTCTCTCATAGTCAGTTATTCGCACCTTGAAACGAAGAGGAAACATCTAACATTCACCGCAGTTGTCGAAGAGAACGGAGTGAGACTGAGACTGAACATTGTCGATACGCCAGGATACGGAGATTTGGTGAACAATGACCGATGGTAGGGCAATGCTTTTGATTATTGGAATTATGGCTTACATTGTCTAGCTGGGATCCTGTGATCAAGTACATCAAAGACCAACACTCCGCCTACCTCCGCAAAGAGCTTACAGCACAACGAGAGCGTTACATCCAAGACACCCGTATTCATTGCTGCCTTTTCTTCATTCAGCCATCTGGTCACAGCCTCAAACCTATTGACATTGTGGTGTTGAAGAAGCTCTCCGATGTTGTGAATGTCGTGCCAGTCATCGCAAAGGCTGATTCCCTGACACCCGAGGAACGCAGAGCTTTCAAGGAGAGAATTCGGGAAGAGTTCCAGTTCCACAACCTTCGAATGTACCCATACGACAATGAGGATCTGGATGATGAGGAACGAGCCACCAACTCCACCATCAAGGAACTTGCTCCTTTCGCGGTGATTGGCAGCGAACGCTCCAGCGTGATCAACGGCAGGCAAGTGCCTACACGGCAACACAGATGGGGAACAATCAACGTTGAGGACGAGAACCATTCAGACTTCATCTACCTGCGCAACTTCCTTCTCCGCACCAACCTGCAAGACCTGATTGAAACTACCAGCCAGATTCACTACGAGACATTCAGAGCCAAGCAATTGTTGGCACTCAAGGAAAGCAGCGCTGCAAGCGGTATGGCAGGTAGCAGGCCAATCAGCCCTGCCGCCGATCGGGAGTTGTCTCGAGGCTCGCAGCGCATGACCATGAACGGATATTAAGAGGTCAAAACATGTCGAGTACGAGGAGCGGCGGATTTTCTACTATGACGGGTCAATTCCATACTGGTCGTACCTCGTTGCCTACTTGGGCTTTTGTCAAATGTAGCGTCTATGGAAGCGGGTCTTTCGTCTTTGGACCGGGGTATAGCTAGTCACATTGCTTTTCAATGCCTAATACCCATTCACCATCGTAGAAGAAGAGTTGAATCAAGCAATGCAAAGAACAATCTAGGCAGGAATGCCCTGCATCACCCATTCATCCAGCTCTTTGAATGTCCGCTCAAGATCGTCGTTGATAATGACCTTGTCGTTCTTTCCTTCAGTCCTACAGTATTCCATCTCGTTCTTGGCCTGGGACAGTCGTTTCTGTATGGAGTCCTCGCTTGTGTCGCCTCGGCCTCGCAATCTTTGTTCCAGGATCTCAACGCTGGGTGGTTGTATGAAGCATATTCTGGGATTCAGAGCACTCTTTTTCAGCTGTTTGACCCCCTCCATTTCAATGTCCAAGATGCATATTCTCTTGCCCTCAGCAGTCGTGCCGTCTATACTCTTGCCTTTACCCTCTGCAACATCTTGAACCGCCTTCTTTGAGGATCCGTAGTAGTTCCCTCCAAATTTGGCATGTTCTATGAATGCGTCTTTCCCGATCATTTTCTCGAACTCCTCAGGCGTGGTGAAATGATAATGTACGCCATTTTGCTCGCCTGGACGAGGCTTTCGCGTGGTATGGGAGACGCTGAAGCCGAAATGATCGGGATGCTTCTCGAACAACCTCTTGATGAGGGTGGATTTGCCCGTACCTGATGGTCCCGAGCAGACTATCGGTCGATATCTTTCTGCGGTAGGTGCCATGGCGATGTGTCTGGCCGGTTGCCGCGTGGTGGCTGATTTGAGAGAGAGTGAGAGAGGAGTCTTCGCGCAACAGGTAAGCAGCCGTGGTACTATCATAAGTGTCTGTCGCACCCGACCATTCAATGCTCCGCAAAAGTACCTTACTGAAGCGGTGGGAGATGGGCCAATTGAAAACGCGGCAACAAAGGTTGCTTGGCAGGGGCAGGGAGGTCTCTCGACCTCAGTCTGTTGCATCCTTGCAAAAGACACCTATTGCACCATCAACGAGAAAAGAACAACGCGATGAGCTCGGCTGAGGCCTTGGAAACATCGGACGCGACGCCTGATGTCGCGTCTGAGACTCCAACTGGTGGTGAAGCAGAAACAGCGGAGGGAGAAAATACGACACAGGGACGACGACCGAGGCGCCATCGTGGTCGACACGCGAAGGATCCCTTAGGACAGTCAATCCAGTACAGATGCCAGGGGACCAATGATTTCGAAGAGAAATTGCGCGAATATCTATCTAATCCTACAAGTGACCCCGAGCATATGACTTTGGAATTCTTGTTTCCTGTCACTGCTGCCTTTATGGTGCCGGCCAGAGAGCCCAAGGGAAATAGACCTGTGCATGACAGGACTCCTTATATGTACAGTGCATTCAATAAGACCGCCATCAGCGTGGCCGACGCATTGCAACATAGTGGGGATCCCAAAGAGCAAATGCTCACACAAAAAGCCATCTCCAAAACTCTCGTTGAGACTGTCCAAGAAGCGGACGGTTATCATTACAGCTTCCACAACTACTGGGTCAGCCGGGAGGATCAAGCCTGCAGGTTCTCATATTTCTGCAACGATTCGGTCCTCAACAAAGGTAGGGCTGCCAATGAAGGGGCATCCAAAATCAGGCAAGGAGTCAAGGTCAGAAAGCCAGTATGGGATTGTCAAGGAACAGTTGCGGTCAAATTTTCCTTGACAAAGATGAGCCTGGAGGTGCATTACAAGCACATTCCGATGCACCCTACCTTCGACGAACGAGCTCCAGCTCCGCGCAATGGTAGCAAGCGGAAAAGAATGTTAGAGATCTTCCATCCGGACAAGCTCCCGAAGTTCAAGCCGAGAGAAAAGAAGAAAAAGCCAGACGCCCCACACAAAGAACCAGCCAAACGTGGGCGGCCACGGAAAGTACGAGATCCAGCAGTCCAGCCGGCGCATGAGTCAGCACCACACTCAATGAGAGACAGCAGTTTACAGCCCCTTTTCGATTTCTTAGGGTCTGCCGAACAAGCCATGAACGGTACGGCGGAGACACCTGTCAATGCTGACCGAACCACCCAGCCTGGACCAGCAGTCGCTGACCATAGTGTCTCTGAACAAAATGGTACGCCTGCAGCCGCGGAAACACCAGGGACTGGCTCTCAGCATGCGTTTCCGGGCATGATGTCCGGATTCATGTCAGGTGAGCAGCTCACTTGGAGCAGCAAGAAGAGACCACGGGCCCGCAAGAGCGCAGCCGCAGCTTCTGGAGCTGGCACTACCTCCTCAACGCCCATACAGACCTCCGGAGGGGCTCCCTTGTCAGAGGTTGAAGCACTCAAGTTGAGACTGCTGGAGGCAGAGCAGAAGATCAAAGACCTCGAGACTGGGAAATTGAAGACTGTAACACCAATCACCTGGAATGCACCACCACCTATGCAGCAAACAGCCTCAAATAATGGCTACCCTCAACCATATTATCCTCCACCACCGCCTCAATACCCTCCCCAACAATGGCCCTACGCTTCTCCTCATCAGCAGCAAGCAACACCTCCTGCCCATCACCCGCCCACACAGCCATTGGGACCAACTCCGAGTCCGCAACCCACCCCAAATTCCGTATCGGCACCTAAACCTACACCCTTCTACGGCTTCGTGCCAAATCCGGAAGCCCCCGCAGCATTTCAAGCTTTGAATGCTCGCAAGATCCAGCCGAAGCGTAACAATCTTGCACAATCACAAAACATGCAATCATCAAGTCATCCGCAGAGCCATCAACCATGCCCGAGTCCGTCGCAGTTGCCTTCAGCACCTAATCAGCCGGCAAACATGCACTCGGCTCAGGGGATGCCTCAAGCACAAGCAATCCGGCCTCAACCACCCATGGTACTATCTACTTCACAACAACCTCAAAATATGCAAGCAGCTTTGGATGCCCAGAACTCTTCAGTGCCTTATGCCCCCCAGAATAGAGTTGCGAGCACATCTTCCACATCTTGAAGGAACCTGCAAAGTTTCCCGAGAGGGCTTCCGGGACTGCTGGTCATGGTCTTCAAGTTCTCTTCAGCGTTCACGTTCTTGTAATCACCCTTCCCCTGAGGCCGTCGTCTAAGGGGAAAGGTCGATGCATATCACTTACCTAGGCAAGAGGAATACCCTTGTTCTCTGTATGATTACTGTACATCATAGAAGTTTCGGCGCGTCGGACAATGTTCTCTGTGACCTACCAATTTAGACATGGAATCAAACATCATGCTCGGCAGTCTCAGAATATGCTTGATAATGGTCATTGGCATGATGCGCGACAATACACGTCATAGGATCCGAAGTCCAGCCTTGTCCGATGGAAGGACTAGAGAATCGGCAAATATGCCAAGCACTGATCATAGAGTAGTGGATCATTTGCCATGTTTGCGTGCTTTTCATTCAGAAAAAAAGTTTCGAGTGCATGCATACTAGTAACGAAGTCCTGCAAGAAATTCCATTGTGATATATCTTAATCTGCGATGTCCAAGATGGCAGGCACCAAACGACCGATCGACGCCGTAGATGGCAAAGCCTCAAAAAAGCCCAAGACGTATCAAGATGGAGGGAAAAAGAGCAAATCCGTTCCAAAGAAGGCGGCCGACGAAGAGGACTTTGTCCAGTTCGACGAAGAAGATGCTACAGCGGTGCCGGTGACCAAGCAAGAGAAGCCCAAGTTTCCGAAGGGCTCTGGAGAGTCTGGAGAGCCTGATGGAGACACATTTCTGAACGGTACGTGCTGCCTGCAGTTTACGCCTCATGGTGGATTTGCGGTGGACAATCTGGCTGACTCGGCTGCACTACAGGAAGCACATCTCGCGAAGCGCACGCCAAACAAAAGGCCCTCGCACAAGACCGGAAAGCGGCCAAACCGCACGCGGACTCGATCGCCCGCTCGAAGAAACTATGGGAACAGCTACGGCGCAAATCGCACGTCCCAAAGGCGCAGCGCGATGAACTCGTCAAAGAGTTGTTTGATATCATATCAGGCCGAGTCAAGGACTTCGTCTTCAAGCACGATTCTGTGCGTGTGATTCAGTGCGCACTGAAGTATGCTACGCCGGACCAGAGGAGGCAGATCACACAAGAATTGAAGGGTCAATACAGAGAATTGGCGGAGTCCAAATACGCGAAATTTCTGATTGCAAAGATGGTGGTTGGCAACGACGAGAGTCGGGATGCTGTTGTCGAGGAGTTTTGCGGGCATGTCAAGAGGCTCATTCGGCATCCTGAAGCGAGTTGGATTCTGGATGATATCTATCGGACTATCGCGACGAAGCAGCAGAAGGCTGTACTCTTGCGGGAGTGGTATGGGCCTGAGTTTGTGGTGTTCGCAAAGAACAAAGGCAAGGACGAGGGTGAGGTGACCGCAGACCTGGCGGAGATTTTGAAGCAGAATCCGGAAAAAAGAGGGCCAATCATGCAGCATTTGAAGGAGATGACGAACCAGCTGGTGCAGAAGAAGACCACTGGGTTTACGATACTGCATGACGCTTTGCTGCAGTACTTCTTAAATTGCAAGCCTGGAAGTCCTGAACTTACAGAGTTTCTGGACATGCTGCGCGACGACGAAGAGGGTGATTGTTTCAAGAATCTGGCCTTCACGAGGTCTGGATCACGACTTGTTTGTCTTGCGTTGGCATATGGCAGTTCCAAGGACCGGCGGACCATCTTGAAATTCTTCAAGACGCACATGAAGCTCTTGGCTTCAGATGTCTACGGGCACACCGTGCTACTGACCGCTTACGATGTGATTGACGATACAGTCATGACATCGAAAGGGATCTTCCCCGAACTGCTTGGCAAAGATCTCGAGAAAGAGGCGGCGCAGCAGGAGTTGATGGCTCAGGTCGAGCATTTGAATGCTCGCATTCCTTTGCTGTATCTCATGTCGCCGGAGGCTCCGAAGTGGTTGATCCCACCTGAGACTGATACTATAGCCGTTGTCAAGGAGATTCGGGAGGTTCGAAATACGACTTCGAAGAAAGATCCCGAGACACGGAGACTGGAGTTGCTGAAAGCCATATCGCAGCCGCTGTTGGATTTGATTGCTTCACAGGCACAATTCCTTGCTCAATCGACGCTGGGGTGCCAATTCATCGCCGAGACCTTGTTTGGCGCTGTTGGAGACAAAGAGCCTGCACTCAAAGCTCTTGTGGATCTGGCGACAAACCCTGCTGAGGCCGAAGAAGATGCTAAGGTCCTTGCAACGCCAGCGGTGGGCCGGATGTTGAAGTCCCTGGTTCAAGGCGGACGATTTGACAAGGCTACGAAGTCAGTCACTCGGGTGGACCCGTCATTGATGTTCCATGACATGCTGTATACGGAGCTCAAGGGCGAGGACGGGGCCGCGATCATTGAATGGGCTAATGGTCCCAATTCTTTTGTCATTGTCGCGATGCTGGAAGCCGATGATTTCAGCCACAACGAAGAACTGGTCGGCACCCTGAAACAGCACGCCTCTGCGCTGAAGTCTGACAACCCAGGAGCCAAGATCATTCTTGAAAAGATTGGGGGTGCATCGGAGGAGAAACAGGCTAAGAAAGGGAAGAAGTCGAAGAAATAAGTATAGAAGCGAGCCAAAGTCATCACATTTCTTACTCGAACGATTGTCGCTACATAAGTTCGGAGGATGGTCTCGTAGTCTAGTCCTCTTTCCAATCTTGCATACATGCCTCGGCAAGCCGTACATCCACCACAGGCAGATTTTCCAACATCTTCTGGCCACGGGCCGCATGACGCGCGTTATCTAGGATGATCTGTGCCCGGAATTGTAGGATTTTTGGTTCTGTCCCGTCGCGACATGCGGGCAGGTACGTGAAGAATAGTGGGTGGGCGGCAGTTGAATATGGTTGGTTACACGTCAAGAATAATAGAAGAATGCAGGAAGACCAAGATAGAGCGGATAAAGGATGCAAAGGATGCCATTCATCAGGTGAAGACGGGAGATCAATCAATGGGTGGTGCGGGTTGGTCCCTGGCACTTGCCCGCCAAAGAACAAGGAATAGCGGCCCATTCACCGTTACAGATGCAGCCGATGGCCACTAAGTAGAAGCCCAATGCATTGCCCCTCGCTCTCCAACAACTTCAGCCTGGGACTCCAACTGCGCACACTGTCACCGTCCACCGCAAAGCAAAACGCACAACACACACACACACACACACACACACACACACACACACACACACACACACATGTGAAGTGCCGAACCTGATTTCGATCGTCTCTCTCTTCCATACTTTGTTCGTGTCCTTTATCCGCTACCTTGCATTTCATCTTGGCCTTTCCAAAGCAAATGTTGACTTGAGACTACTACCATCTAGCTCTTGCTGTGCTCCCATCACTCAGTCGCCTGTCGGCTATGCTAGGTTATGGGTAACCATACTACTTCCACAAACGGACGGCCGTCGACACTCCAGTACATCGATCTTGCTTTCAACAACGACAACGCGGATGATTCAGCTTGCGCATTAGCCTACAAGATCCAGCCCAAATGGAGGGAGACTCCAGGCAAGACTGAGATCGTCAAATTCACCGATGGCATCACAAACACGGTAAGGACTTCTAGAGGCCTATCTAGGCACGTGCTCAGACTGATTTGTTGGATATAGCTGCTCAAAGTAGCCAAACACATTCCAGGTCATTCGCAGACTCAGATAGACCAGGATTCGATCCTTCTCCGTGCCTACGGTAACAACACTGACATCCTTATCGACCGAGATCGAGAGGCGCGATCACATGCTTTGTGTGCCGAACGTGGACTGGCTCCTCCTCTGCTGGCAAGATTCAAGAACGGGCTTCTATACAGATACATTATTGGTCAGGTTTGCACTCCTCAAGATCTCATCAAAGAGCCTGTCTGGCGAGCTGTCGCCAAAAGACTGGGTGAGTGGCATGCGCGATTACCGATTGACTCGGTATCTGAGTCCAAGGTCACCTCCAATGGAGTCAACGGGCATGACATGGATGGCACGACTGACGAGGGTGCGCAACGGGATTTTGACAATGCTTCGAAAATGCACATACCGAATATCTGGTCAGTAATACACAAATGGATCAATGCCTTGCCCAGCGATACGCCGAAACAAAAGGCCCGAAGAGATCTACTGCAGCATGAGTTAGATCGATCGTACAAGAACCTCCATAACGAACGAGGTCCTGGAAATCACGGACTCGTCTTTGGACATTGCGATCTTCTGAGTGCCAATGTTATCATGCTTCCCAACGATGATTGCTCGAATGGCTCCAGTGAGGACGAGGTCAAGGTATCCTTCATCGATTACGAGTACGCGACACCTTGTCCCGCAGCATTCGACATTGCCAACCATTTCGCCGAATGGGGTGGCTACGACTGTGATTATGACATGCTTCCAACCAAATCTACACGCCGTCAATTTCTCACGGATTATATCGACTCGTACAGAGCCCACAGCGACAAGCCCGTACATGATGACATGGTTGATGTTTTGTATGACGAAGTCGATAGATATCGTGGTATGCCCGGGTTCTACTGGGGTGTCTGGGCATTGATCCAAGCCACAATATCGCAGATTGATTTCGACTATGCCTCATATGCCGAGGTACGCCTAGGTGAATACTTTGCTTGGGGAGCAGAGGAGAATGGCAGCCGGGCCAAGCAAAACGCCGAGATGCCCCTACGCGAAAGGATATGGGCAGATCCTTAGATAAGTAGGAGTAAGAATCCTACGAGGCTGCTGGTGCCCCTTTGGAATTCAACTTCCGCGAACAGATACCTGCCTTTTTGATATCAACGTGGGCGGCTTGTCGAGCGTGCCGGGCCCGACGTGTCTATGCATATATTCATATTTAATATCTCAGCATACCTCAGCTTTCTATGACTTCTTCGATCAGGATCTTCCACTGCTTGCCAATGCAGTCAGAGGCGTTCTGCTTACTCATTTGTTGTGCCTTCACGTCATCGTTCTAACTTACTACGTCGTACACCAAATGCAAGTCAGACGGTGCCTGGCGCGAATGACTTACATGACACCTGACTAGTCCTCATCTGTTGGGTCTGATGAGGCCTTCCAAAACGTGCTTCGGGAGGGCTTCGGCGGGGTTCCATCGCTCCTACGCTGACATAACGGCAGGACCAAGCTTATCCTCATCCAGTCCTTATACCCGGATGCCAACCCCCAGCCTCACAGACCTGAAGTCGAAGCGAGGAAGGAGATATTGACATCACGGTCCTGGCAACATCGAAGGAAGATGGATGTCTGATTTACAACGCCTCAGGTATCCAGAATTCCGTTGATAGGACGACATTACTCAAGATTATCTTTCGCGTCTTGCTACCTTGCCAGAGAGAAGGGAAGCAACGATGACAAATTATGGACCACAGGACTCTCAAATGCAACATCCATGAGCAATGGGCACTGTGTCGCAGCTGCAACATTGATACGCTAGCAAATGTACAACCACCGAAACATGGCGCCCAATTCTCAAACGAATCTCTTCATCACCTATAGCAGTCCCAGCGAGTTCAGGAGCCAGAAGTACCGCAAGGCTGTTTCCTCTTTCGCGTCGAGAAGTTATCGCGCGACATCCAAGAAGATCAATGTCGACCGCAACAACTATCGGCCCTTTGTCCTTCGAACCGCCGGGTCCTCAACGCCGGCGTCATCATCAGGATCACCCTCGCCATCTCCATCACCAGCTGTCAATCGCAAGAGGACGACTTTGACGAAGAAGAGAGCGAATACTCCTACCCCGAGCTCGCCGGGTATGGAGACGACCAGGCAGGCTCAGCCATTGGACGAGCGTGCCTTGGGCATTCCCTCAGCGGATCCTTTTACGAGCTATCCTATCGACGACAAACCCTACATACCTTTTCTGATAAACTACTGTAAGTGATCCTTTTCTCTGATCAGTCATACTCGTGTTGGTGTGCTGTCCAAGCTGGGTCATTCGAACCGAGCCAGAACAGCCCTGGCTCGTACCTTTTGACTCAACCCATATACCCTCTGGTGCAAGCAAGTGCTGACAGCCGCATTTGTGGCTTTCTTCAGTCATCGAATCCTTGACGCCCCGGTTCAGCCCCGCCCTGGGCGTAGAAGCCAGTCGCTATCTCGTCTGGTTCAACATCGCCCTGCAGCACTCCGAACTGTTCCACGCTCTCATCGCTTTAAGTCAAGTCTACTACAACATCGACGTCAAAGGGTTCGGGAGTACACACTGGACTGCGCTATACCACCGAGGTGAATCGTTGAAGCAGCTCAGGTACAAAGTGGAATCTGGTAGATCTGCTGATGACGATGCTGCTATTCTGACTGCTTTGTGGCTCATGGATGTTGAGGTGAGAGCTGCAAAGCCTAAGCCCTGTGTCTACCGTGCGTCCGCAAGCTGATCACAATCACAGGCTTCGCATGGCGACCTCCAAGCATATTCGATGCACAAACGAGCAAAGGAGAGAATGGTGGCGACTCGAGGAGGAATCAGAGCCCTGGATCCCAGTCTTCAAGATGAATTGCTAAAGTTTGTCACTTTAGCACAACGGGGCCAGATCTGATGCTGACATTTTGTGACAGGAGCGAATTCTTCTTACCTCTACTGCTATATGGGACTTTTGTCTGCGAGGTTACCGACGACGGTAATGTCCTAGTCCGTTTCAAAGAGAATAACCCCGTTCAGAGCTCTCGAATTTTTGGGTTTCAGGGGCTGTTTTCCGTCCTTGCCAGCGAAGGTTTTATCACCACACAAGCAGTCGATATCCTGCAGCGCATCTTTCAAGAAATGTTTCGTGATACTCGCGTCGTGCAATACGATGATGCCGCGGGAATGAACTCGGCTGGGAAGCCTCCTGCGGTCGACCAAGCTTCCAACGAAATGAGCCGGGTCGTTCGCCTTGCGGACGAAGCGCCCTCAGTATCACCACAGCACCGCCTCTTTTTGGCGCTGTTGATCTATATCTTCAACCTCCACAATCAGCCACAGCCGCTACCTGCAGCGTCGTCGTTACTGCCAACCGCAACGATAGTCCGAAATCGGTACTTAGATATCTTGTCCAAAGTGGCATTGGAACTGTCATGCCCTAGCAGCCCAATAGACCCCGGATCCGCAACTGAACGGGCAGTGGCATTGTGGACCATGGTGGCGATCGGATCGGCGTCGACTTTGAGTCCCTGGCGGCCAGAAATCCCGTTCATGGGACATTTGATAGAGTTGATGGAGGACGATGAAGGAGAAGTGGTGGAAGAACGCGACAACAGACATGTGATAGCGTCGATGGACGAGAACATGTCAACACGCGCTCCCACAGTGTCGACCTCAAGCAGCATGCGTAAGGGTGGGACGAACCTGGAGAAGCTGACTGCTTGCCTGAGAGGTTATTACCTGTACGGCGCAGACAAAACGACATTGCGAAGTCTGCAAAAATGGAGAGGTACGGACTCTCAGCCTGGTTGATGAGTCTCTGCTTTGGTTTTGCGAAATGAGAGCTGTCCCGAGTACTCATACTATCCTTCAAGTTCAGCTTCCACCGTTTGAAGGTATGTGTGACGATCCCAATGATCCAACTCATGACGGTTGGCGTTCGTGGCAAGTTCGGGCTCCGTCAAGGGCTCTCTGAGCATATCGGTCGAAGGAACCAGAGGTGCATGTCCTTGCAATTCGGATTTCCCTTCGACCTTCTCATAAACTGCATCGTGCTGTGGACGATTGCGGTCTGCCTTGGATCCCTTACGGCGGTGTCTCCAGGCGTAAACTGCGAGCGCCACGAGAATGAGACCTGCAATGCCGCAACCTACGCCAATGCCTGCAGCTGCGCCTGTGGAAAGCGGACAGCATCTTGGAGTTCTAGCGTGGGTCCATACATCTTGACTTTTCCTATGTATGTGGTGTTCGCCTGGACTATGATTAAAAGTTATTTTCGGCCTGGAGCCGTAGCTATTATCGGAAGTTTTCTAGTGTTTAGATCTTAGAATTGCAGTACTGTACAGTCTTACGGCTCTTCTATTGTAACACCGGCGCTCCTGAAATGACCACGTGCGCTTGCTTCTCTTCCGCCTACCTCGTCGATACACCATTCAAGAAACGAAACAAAATCGGATGATGGATTGTCCTCAAACACATGCCAATGTTTCTTGACAAACGCCTTCAATTCGGCAAAGAACTCCTCAATGGGGTTAAAGTCAGGCGAGTAGGGAGGTAGGAAGACCAGCTTGACTCCTGCGCGTGCGCATGCCTCTTCAACCTCTTTCGTGCGATGGAACGATGCGTTATCCATGATTATTACAGATTTTTCTTGAGGAAAGGGGTTGCAGTGACAGAGTAATTGCTCGATAAAGTCTAGGAACATGGTAGCATCGGTATTGCCCTGAAAAACTCGCGTGATCACAATTCCGTCCTGACTGAAAGCGGGTAAAATCTGATATCGCTTTCCTCGGTGAAGCTGGGCAATCTTGGTAGGGGTTACGCCACGAGGCGACCATCCCTAGCGGCGGAAGCCGATTCTCTTCTCGTATCCGGATTCGTCGACGTAGACACGTTGATATGATGGATACTCGGACATTATATTCTGGTAGTAGTCACGAAGGTCAGCATTTCGACCTTTCGCGATACGTCGTATCGCTATCGCGGGCCAGCCTACAGAGGCTCGAGCTCTACTGATCGTCCAACGCGATGCAAGGGTCTCAAACTCATCCCACAGCCATACGGCCATGCCATCCAAGTCTTCATCGGGTTTGTCAAATAAATATTTACGCAGTTCCGAGACCATCACTGGAGTTAGACTCGAAGGTCGGCCGCTTGGATTGCGGGGTGCAGTAGTGGTGCCAAAACATTGTCGGTTCGCGCGGTGTCGTTTAACGCTACGACTAGTACAACTAACCACCTTGGCAATGTCTGAAGCCGTTAGTGATTCGCTGAGAATCATGTGCTCGCTTTGTTCGTGTTGTGACAGGGACAGATTTGGAGCCATGATCGACATGGGCCGTTCCGAGGGAAGGAAGCCTAAAAGAGCAGTACAAGAAAGAGAGTCGTCAGTTGATGTGGACGCTCACACTGTAGGTCTGCACTTCGGCCCGAGTACAGCGTTGACACCTCTCTACAAAAGGACACCTGTCCTCTCGGGAGTTCTCGAATCTTCCATGCTGCAAAACACCCAGCAGATTGTGCTACTTTTACGGTGAACCGTAGAGCCACTACCTGGCAAGGTTTTGGACAACACATCAGGCGCTAGTACTAGCCCTCTTAAGGATGGGACCGTTCGTTGATTCTGGCATCACAGCATGACCTACACTGCACAAATGACTTCTGCCATCGAATGTTTTACAGTACCTGTAACCCAACATTAGAAAAGAATCGACTACCAGAATGGTTCACACTACTCTCTTGGAGTATCTCATGCAACCTAATCCTACACTGGACTGTACAAAGTCTTCCGTGGGAGCAAACACATATAATGTTAATTGGGACCCTGTCACTGGACTGGAAGAATGGCGTGACTTCAACTATGATATGTTGATGCAAGTGTACGTACATGTTCTACGGCAAAAGGTTCCGCCAATGCCGGAAATCGGTCCTCCACTGACCACATTGGAGAAAAAACTCTACCTGAAGCCACGTTCGATACAGTCTTGGAAAGGTCAATTATGCCACAGGTCTCTGCTGCCTTGAGGGTTGATTGGCCACTCTATTACTCCAATAACAACCCAAATGACATCGCTGAAATTAGCAAAGGGGCCAAAGCAAGGAGAGGAACAGCAGAAGAGGACGACCGGTTCTATGCGGATTGGGCAGGTATCAGGCAGAATCAAGAAACAGTTTTCGGCTATAAGAACCTCTGCCCTGGAGACTCGAAACTCGCGACAAAATGGAGTACTTCCAAGGAAGGCCAGAGTAAATCAGACTTTACTACGCCCCTCAGTCAGGTCCAGACTTACTGTGGGCGCCAGTGGGGGGTTCGTCACGGATATATTATCACTCCAGAAGAACTTGTCGTAGTTAGGGTTTCAAGAGAATTAATCGGGCCTGGTTTAGCAGCATCGAGACCTGTACGAACTTCGACGCAGCGTCCAAGAGAACAACCAACTCATGCACGCACATTTTCTGTCGAGACCGTGAGCTCGGGGTTCCAAGCAATGTCTCTGGACACGGGATCAAATTTCAGCGACGATGCCAATCCCAATATCGAGTATGGACCACTCCAATTCAAAAGCATCCCATGGAACGCCCAGGGTCTAGACATAATGACAGTAAGATTGGGACTGTGGTTGCTGCTTATGCAAACTAAGAGAGATCTCTCGGTCCAGAACTACCATTCACCCAATATTTCGAGTGGTTATGACATAGTAGAGCGACCATCTGGTGAAGCCCTTATGGCGGGGTCGGCGGGTTCTGGCCCCGATAATTCGAAACATAAAGGCAAACGCCCAGCGAGAAAGTGATCGGGATACTGAGGGGTGCAGATATACGCGTCTTTAAACCAATTAAAGACACCAAGGATAGTCTTCTTGTAGAAAAAGTCAAATGAGAAGTCTGTCCATCTCGGACACGGCTTCGTTAAAGTGCTCGAAAGATCGACAATCTTTGACGCTTTGTAGTTCTCGATTTGAATGTCCTGGGGGAGGATTCGTGCTTTCTTTGGGATACCGAAATTCGCGAAGATTGTCTGAATGTGACATGGAAGTGTTGGAGATGGTATGTATTCTTTAACCACAGCCTATCGACTCAGATCATTAGTGTCAACAACATTTTCAAGCATCCAAATTGAGTATCGGACAGTGTCATCCATCCGTAGCACCGCGCAGCCCAAGTTCCATTTTCGTTGAGTGAGTGCAGTCGAGCAAAAGCTCTGCTTTCACACGCAAGTGGTGAGATAAGGAGGGCACTATCATAGTCATAAAAGACAGGACCGGGTTGCTTCCAATGCCTGAACTGAATCTTAGGTCAGCTAAGTGAAAGTATGTCGCATAATCATACTTACAATTTTCAAAACATATTCAGCTCCTTTGATGGCTATCAGGACCACCACGCCGTGTATCCCGCTACCGATCAATTGAGGTTGTTGAATATTTTCTCCATCATAGATAAAGCGCCGTAGCCTCGGCTCATCATCTTCCACTGGCTGAGTGGAATCGCACATCGGCTCTTCTGAGAGGTAAATGCCAATGATGTTTTCTCCCATCAACTCAGCATCTCTAAGTTGCGCACCCATGATCTATCCAGGCATCGTTATTGTGTGTAGCCCTCTAGCCCTGATTTTTCTTGTTCGCAAAGTTTCATCAAAGAGAGTAGACGTTCTGTAAGATGAGGCTCTCGAAGGCGGTCGATCCAAAATCTTTCAAAGGAAAAAGCGAAATGTTACGTTGTGGTCGAGGCAACAACGCAAGTCCTTCGAAGATAGTGAACAACGCGGCCGGTTGCGCAGCGCAGATATAATGTTGTGAACGATAGGAAGGTTTCGCGATCACGTGAGCCGCATTGACAGCCATATCAAAGGACGCAGCGGAGCTTACTAAGTCTGAGTCACGTGTCAAATGCTCAACAATCGACGGCGATGCTTGCAGCACAATTGACAGTAGTAATTTATCTTTTCTCTGGGGATTTTCAATTCCAGTATATATGGTGGATAAACAAATCGTCAAGAGAGAATGAAAATGCGCTGTACTGTACTGTACTCCGTGAGCGTGTTGAATTTGCTTCCATCAAACATGAAATGTGTCTTGATTTAGGATGTCACGGGCGCAGTCGTCCAGTCAGGAACCAGGAGGTAGGTAAAACCGAGAGGTAAAGCTATGATATAGGAGGAAGGCGTGCCCGCTGTAGAACTTCTCCTCAAAATCCACCATATGTTCTAGCGCACGGCGCTGATATACATGCCTTATACTATTCTTGATGATCTGCGCCATTTGCAAAGGTGTATCCACGTATTCATGTCCCACGCCTAACTCGCCTTTATAGCGGACGACAAACAGGTCGCCTCTCCAGAATAACTTATCTTGAGGAGGATCGAACCCGATGTATTTTGCGGAGGACTTATTGATTGGCAGGGAGGGGAGGATCGTATAGTAAAAGACGTATGTCCCATGGAGTGTGCTGTCATTTTCACTGACGAACCCCTGGAAATTGTGCGTTCGAGTCTATAGTGTTTGAACTATTTCCTATTGGCTCACGGAAGAACTCGCTAGGCTCTGAGTGCTCAAGGCTGTGATACCTAGCCTTTACAGAGTGTACGGACTTTGCGACGTGGAGTGCATGATCGAGTATCTGATTGCCCTCGGGGAGAAATGAGTGCACTGTGCTGTGGTGTTTAGATACTTGGCAAATCTCACAGTGTCGACTGGATTTGGGGCAGTGTAACGATGCTTGAGTTACGTAACAGTAGTCCTCCAGGTTAGCTGACGACAACGTCGGGAGCTCTGAAGCGACCCGAGGGGAAACAAATCCTTTGGCATCCGGCAGATTCTACAGTTCTCAACTGGAGCAGACTAACTCGCCGTTGGTTCTTGTTTCTTAGTATCACTCAACAGCTCCCTGCATCAGCTACAGCAACCATTCGAAACGTTACTGCGCCGACTTTTTCCTCCACCAATGAGGCGCCGACGTCTCCCGATCGACCAGTCCCTCGCTTGGGCTGACCGGCCCTCCTCGACGCCGTTGGGGGTTTTGGACGGGTAGGTTCGATGCACTAGTAGGCCGCACGGGTTTGCTCGACGCAGCACATGATGAGTGAAGGGCTAGCAGTGCTAGACTTCGAGAGGCGCTTAGTCCCTTCGTCAAACACCAAGGAGTGGCTCAAACTTTGACGAGTTTTCAGAGTGTGTATTCAGAAGGGCCGTCACCTGAAGTTAGATTTCGTATATTTGTTGAGCAAGTTAGAACCGACATTTTACGGTAGGTTACTACGTAGTAGAACTATATAGAAAATACTATATATATGCAAATACCAAAGACGTAGCAATCTCGTCATATGCTCAACACAAAGGTCTCTCGGTTCTGTTGTGCGGAAGTGCAGCCGAGAAAGTAAGCGACCATAGTCCGCGAATGTTCAGGGACAGTGACTGATAACTAATAGTGAAATGAGAAATTTACCATTGACCGGAGGACGCCTCTAGATTACGTCTTCTTCGACGACCTGATTCAAACATCTATCTTCTTCTCGGCTAAATTCTGCCCACCCAGTCTAGGGCCACAGTACATTGTCCTCAAAGATGTCCAACCATCGCTCAGATACTCTGCGGCTTGAATGGATCCTATCAAGTACCCGTTTCCACAACATATCTCATGATTCGAGAAGCCCTGGACTGCTGGCCAACATCCCACAATACGACAGCTAGTGCATGATTCGACACCGGTCGAGACGAATAATGCTCCGTCAGGGTCTGCTCGAATCCATCGTACCACCACCAGCAGCTGGACTCCCCTTTGACTTATCCATTCTCTCTTGTGCGATTTTGATAATGTATGTACCATAGTGTAACAGTGAAGCAAGATATCGGATACCGCCTATAACAGTTTCCTCCCCTGCATACCACACTTGAACTGCTGCCAGTTTCCGGTCGATGTCGGTGGCGAAATACGAACTCTCATGATACCGAGGTACCAAGCTTGGTGACGAAGGACGAAGGACGAGCCGACATATTTCAATTTGGGTTCGCACTCACTCTCACTTTTAAGTCATTCCGGTAGCGTCCAGACCTTTCTGCTTCAATCACCCACGACAACCAGTGCTTTGGATCGCAATGGTTTATCGTTCTCTCACAATCTCTGGCCTCCCTTTCTGAGAGGTAAACGACCTCCAGATCCGTCGAACTCCGCTGGTTCATGGCACTGGTCTGGATGTCTGCGTCTCGACGGATATGGATGGCCCTCCACACGGCATCCTGGATACTCTCCGCCCATGTGGTATAGCCATGACCACGCATAAAGACAACTTTTTGCTCAGGGAGGTCGGGCAGTCCGTCCGGCAGACCATCCGGCAGCCCATTCGACTGAACATTCGACTGCCCGTTGTGCATGTGCATATCCACTTCATCAGAGTTACGGAACAGCTTGGCCATCGCCTCTCCAAGGAATTCGTTATTGACCAACAGATTCCGAGGGTAAGACGGCGGTAAACTGTCATAATATCTGGCAATGTCGAAGATTGGTGGAGAAGACCCCAAAAACCCGGCCAGCAGATAGCTGGGTTGCAGCATGCTACTCCAGTTGTTACACAGGCCGTAGACAATCGCGCTCAAGCAGTGTGAATGAATGACGCTTTGCACGCCCGGGTACATATTATAAACCGAGCTGTGGGCGTAATGTTCGGACGATGGGGGTATCTCTTCTATCTTGTCGCATCCATTATACGGCTCAGCCACTGGAGAGCCATCGGCGACATGCCACTGAGTAAGGTCGCTCTTCGAGGCGACGAGGATAGCTGGATTACTGCTGATGAAGAACGTGGAAGGATCCCTTGGATTGCGGACGGAAATTTGACCATGTTCATCCAACACGTGATGGCTGTGAAGGATATGATATGCTGTTATAAGGTCCGACAGGAGTCGCTCAAGACTGACGTCCGTCTCGGCAGAACCTGAACGGTGGTCCATTACGGCGTATAGAGGACAAATCAAGAGACGTTTCGCGGGTGGTGAGGTGGCAGGTTTTGGCGTAGACAGTGAAGATGGTGCTCTACGGTCGCAATATCTCGCTAGGGGAGGGTCAATTTTCAATCAAGTAAAATCTCCAATATATGTGGGCTCACAGGACTTTTTATCGAGGCTCAGTACCAGTAGTGTCGGCGGTGGTGTTAGGATGGTCTCCAAGTTAGTAGTGCATACATAGCAACGGCCGGAGGCCTTTTCCATGACTTTGAAATGGTGTCACCGGGACCTTTTTCCGAAGCTTGGACATTGGTGGCTGATGCCAAGCATGATTGTCCTGTATGCGCGCTATTTTTGCCACCTTAGGAATTGCATTTGACAATACGGAACAGTAATGGCAACTGTGGTCAATCAGGAGCCCCGAGGTGAGGAAGTGGAAATTGCAACATAGGTCAGCCGGCTTCCATCAACCTGCTTCTAGACTGGTGTGGACAATCGGTAGGTGAAGCTGACACCGCAGCCGGCAGTCCAGCAACCTTGACATTATTGATGGACCAACAGTGGCCCGTGATGATTGGATTGGATGGGGAGTCCATTTCCCATCCAATCATGGGCGCCAACACTCACCACCCCGTTTAGCCATCTGCCGATTGTGCCTCGATCTGCCAACAGGGCGGAAAATACTCCCGGCTCCCTGTCAAATGTTTGCAATTGAGGGTGAAACCCCCTTGAAAAGCGGGCTGCTATGAGGGTTGAGCATGGAAGTCTGTCTTATCAATTACGCTGGCTTCCTCGAGATCAATCGAGTGAGATCCTTGCTCGGGCGACCGAGAAGATTTCCAGCGTCGCGGCCGGGGTGCTTCTCCCTAATGCCTCCTTCTTTAACATTGCCCACAGTTTCCCAACTTTTCGCTCTGCGCCTCCAGTTCCAGACTACTTGACTATTCAATCAGGTTGCCCTACAGTCCAGGGAGTACTTTTCACGTGCCACCATCACGTTAGGGCTTCAAACTCTTACTTTTCCCGGCTCGATTTTCCACCTTCACATATTGCCCATGTGTGCAAATCAATCGTCCTTGCACTGGGTGGAGTAGTCTCGACTGTTCAAATATCCGGCGCGCTGTCATCATCAGGAGTGGTCAAGCTCCTCGAGGGGTCGAGTCCTCAGGATGTCGACGCCGCTAGGTGGATCAGGCTTCTGCCGGCCGATCATATCCGAAGGGGAACCACAGGACGAAGGTCGGCATCCACCAGGTCATCCTGTCCGATCCAGTAGGTCCCTCGCAGTCATGTCGCGGATAGTACATGCTTGCGACCGGTGTCGCGTGATGCGGACGAAATGCTCTGGCGGCGATAGATGTACGAAATGTGTCAAGGACCACGCGACATGTATATATGGGGATCGCAAGCGAGAACGCAACAAAAAGTATGAGACCTACCGAATTGACCAGCGAAAACCGGTTGCTCACCTGCCCGCAGAGAACTCGTGAAAAGCTTGGATCGTATAAACGAGTTAGAAGGGGAAGTTCATGTCTTACTTAGTGCGCTACGGTCTGTGGCAGTGAGTGACGATTTCGACTCCTCCAAACACCGGGATACAGTTGATTTGCTGTCAAGGGTACTAACAACTTATCATTTGCAATGCCACGAGAGTACTGACACATTTCCATAGTATTCCGCCGAGCCGACAGAGAGTGGCTGGGCACCAAGTAATCAGTCGTCGACTGCGGCGAGCAGCAGCAAGCAGCGACAAGAGACCTTCAGCCCTATTGAGCTTGCCGAGTCACGCGGCGGACAGGGCGAAAACGACGTATCGTCAGCTGTCGGATCACCAGGTAGACAAGGTGAATTGGCCTCTGTGGTCGACTTGGATAGTGGCGCTGGGGTTTCTGGCTTCGTTGGAGCCATGTCAGAACTGTTCTGGATTCGACGTGTCTTCGAAACGCTTCATAAGAAGGACCCCTCGCTAGGCAGGGGAGAGCTTACATTTCTGGTCGGCGAGACGGACCTTGCTCCGACCACGACACCGGATTTAAGCTTCTTCATGGATGAGTCTGATCTCTTGGCCGTTGACGAAGATTTTGTCGACCCCTACGAGTGGCCTCCTGCAGGGACGACGGTCTTACTATCGGAAGCCTATTTTCACGCCACGCAGGGTATCTTTCCGTTCGTTCTACGTCAGCCTTTCTTAGAAACCATGTCCTCCTACCGAGCGCAAAACTCTGCACAAAGTCAAAGTCAACGGTGCTGGCTGGCAATGGCAAACCTTGTGTGGGCTATCGGGTCGAAGTGGCTTCAGATCACGAAGCTCGATCGTCCGAATGCCCAAGCATCTCACCTTCTATATTACGCCCGAGCCCGCGCACTCGGCCTCGACCATCGAGTTGTGTCTGATCATCCAGACATTGACCGCGTACAAGGAATCGGTCTTCTCGCCTTTTATCTTCTTATCAATGGGTCTATCACTCGGTAAGTAGAATTCGCTGTTGGGATACTTATTTAACCTATAGAGTAGAGCATGGAATACGTTAGGCTCTGCTACACGCCACGCGACGGCCCTGGGTCTGCACCTGACAGTTACAGACACTGGACTCGACGATACAGATAGGGAAAGACGGGCACGGACATGGTATTCATTGTACAGCTTGGAGATACTGATTGCCGAAATGACAGGGCGACCGAAGTCCATATCCTTGTCGGACGTGACGATATCTATCCAGGTATTGCAGGGACCGCTGACCGAAGAGACAAAATGGTCTCAGCAAAATGACGGCCATATATCTCCTATCGAGTCAAGAAGAATATGGCTCGACTTTTTGAGAGCGGGCCGCGAGCTCCCCATGGCTGCTAAATGGGACAAGACGCCGGGGATGAGCTCCCTGTCTCTCGGGCGCGGCCTGTCACCTCTATATTTTCCCCACCGGCTCTATTTCTGTCATCTGAGTGATAGGATAGCTACGCAATTATACAGCGGAACGTCCAACGACTCTTGGTCCCAAATCCAACGCAAGATCAGCGAGCTTCAGACTGACTTGAGCTACCTGAATGAGACGTTACCGGACGAGTTGAGACTACAGAGTACTGATACTGAGGACACCGATCCCCGGGCACGGATAGAGTTGGCCATGTACTATTACAGTCTACAGATGATTCTCCATCGACCGTGTTTATGTGAGATCGTCATCGACAATCAATCGGAAGAGTCGCAAGAATTCAACCAGAATTCGGCGCGGAGATGCGTAAGCGCCGCGATGTCTTTACTGGATATTATACCGGACAATCCCACTGCACACGAGGTCTACCAGTATCTGCCCTGGTGGACACTATTCCATTACGTGGCACAAGCGACGGCCGTCTTGATGCTGGAAATGGCGCTCGACTGCCAGCACTTTCAGGATGGGGCCAGTGAACTAATGAAATACCTGCGCAAGTCCATGTCATATATATGGTGCATGACCAGTGATTCGCTCACAGCGTACCGAGCATGGAGGGTGTTCAGACCGCTGTTGTCGGCTATTCGAATCAAGAATGATCCCTATGGCACCGTGGATATACCGGAAGAAGCGCCCCGGCCGAAAGGGTGGACAGAGAGTAACGAGGCTTCGATACGGCGGACGTTTTTAGCTTCCCGTACACGCGGTGGAGGGGATGTACAGGCACAGCGCAATCGAGCGTAAGAACAGACTGAGCATCGGCAGCCAGCCGCACCAGATACAATTGAGGTGCTTATAGTGCCGTCCCAATATCCACGGATCAAGAACATGCATCTCAGTGAAAGACAGAGCTGGAGACGAAAATTTGAAGAAGAGCCTATGCATCAACGAAAGGACACCTCCAGCCCTCCCCATAAGCGCCAAGGTGATTCTGTCGAGCTGCTACGGTCCGTCGGAGACAGGATTGTGACTTTCCAAGTCCACAGACAAGCAGGAGGAACCTTTTCAGCCCAGTCAGGCCGACCATAGCAGCTAGCGTGGCGAAATCGAGCTAAAAGTGCTAGGTGTGGTGTACCTTCCACCAAGAGAATCATCTTTATACGCTTGGCACATTTTAATAGGATACAAGTCATACGCTGGAAGCTCGTCCCCGATGGATGATACTACACGGCTGTGCCCGATAGCATACAGGCATGAATTGTCTAGTGTTAGTCTCGCAACCATTAATAAACAGACCTTATACAATCTTCAGCTTCGTACAGCACTAGGTAAGAACAGAAGAAATTGAATGGTGGCCCCCCTGACATCCCATCTAAGTGAAGGTTAGGGTAGCGTCGTGAGCGCTGTAATGATTTGGGGCGAATCTTCTCAAGGACGTCGATTTCCTCTGAGATCTAAGATAAGAATCAGGACTAATTTTGAAGTGTGATTGTCATCAGTCATGTTGACAGTGTGTAAATTGAAGATTTGAACAGGCTGAGGTAGAATAACAAGGCCGATTTAGTAGTCCTCAGATCATACCTCGTCTCGAAAGCCAGTTTCGGCGATCTAGTACATCTCTCCCTACAACACAATGATCTGATCGGCTAGAAAGGAAGCCATTGCCGCCGCCGTCAACGGAGAGCCCAAGTTGTCAGCTGCCAGCTCATTTCGAACCTGGATCCATACGATGAAATCGGATCGAATGTAGCATCTCGGGGAAAATGGTAAGAATGCTCTCTCCGACGCTCCAATTCTGGTAATTGACAACATGTCTAATGAAGTCTTTGGAGAGTTGACGTCTTTGGGAAGAGCTGTTCCGCACGACTGCCTCATCCATGCCACGATCCCAGTTCACGCTGAGGCCTGCAGAGGTTATTACCGTCACCCAGTCCCCTGCCTTCTTGATCAGATTTTCGCGTAGAGGCGGTAGTGGCATGAAATCCAACGCGATATCATGCGGCACCGAATACTGAACGGCCCGTGGCTTAAGCATATCTGGTATGGCCACATAATATTCCTGGGTGGAACAGAGCTGCCAGCGCATGATTGCGGTATATGCCAGTATGTGTGCAAGCCTGACGTAGAAATCCCAATCGTTGAAGCTGCGCCATACCTACTATCGAGTTGGTCTTGAACCAATAACAACCAGTACGAAGGGAAAAGTCTTACTTCACTCGCCCAGTTGCAGACGCTGGATATATCGGTCACCATGCGATCTCGGAAAAACAATTCCACATCGATCACGACGTCGCCGAGGATATCTATGGGTGAAGCACCATGAGCAAGTAGGCCTGATGCACTATTTCTGTACTTGGTGATGACGTTACTGAGCGGTGTTTCCTCCTGAGTAATCAAAGTTGGTATCGAGTACGGACTGCAATGGTTGTGACCCCATGATCCTGGTATGCGTTCGTCTATGTTGACGTCAAACGTTGCTGGAAGTCCGCCTAAGACCACGGACTGACCTCGGGACTCTTCAACAGGAGATACAGCCATAACCTCTTCGCTCCCACTCACAAATGATACGTCCATGTTTTGTGAGGAAGAGTGCCTGTCGTACCGAGTCTCGTTGCTAGGGAAATTGCTTGGCGACAACACCGAGATCGTTGAGCTAGGACTTGAACAGTCGCCCGTTGTATAGGGATCTTTTGATGTAAGTCGGCTGTGTCGGTGATGATGTTCTGATATCGTTGTGTATTCTTCCTGCGTATGCTCAAAATCTTGTAAAGGACTCTTGGGCTCTGTTTCACGTAAGGATGCTCGAGTACACGTCGAGCAGCAGCGGTGTTTTCTTATTTGACTCAATTCCTCTTCGAGTTGCTGCCGATGTTGCCCCTGCTCTTCTCGTGGCAAAATTGTCCTCTCTATTTGCGGCTTTCTGGAGCTGAATCTGACGCTTGCTGCTGGTGGATCTTCCAGACTCGTATCGGACTCGACTAGGCCACGCGCCGATTCCGGCAGCAGGCACGGCTGCATTTTCTGCAATGAAGTGGTAATACCCATGAAATCGTCCAGTATATCCTCACACCCTCTCCTCATCCGTAGAATGTCGACGGCGCCATCAACTTGTTCACGCGAGCCATGACTAAGGACCTGGACCAGCATTGCGAGTAAACGACGCTCAACGATCGAGTCTTCTCGGGCTCCACGATACGAAAGCCTGCGACCGTCGAGGGAAGGTTTGAAGATACACCGAGTACCAAGCGAACGACATGACTGACAGGGTGCGGGCAGACCAGTGCACTTTATTGAGCACGAGTTAGTTCAATCTTTGGCACAATTTATGCAGGTGGAAGATTGTTACAGACCTTCGTTCTGCGCCTCTGGCATGATTCACATGCATTCCCGACATTCTTACGTTTGTCATGACCAGAATGTTGCGGAGAAAACCGACGGTCGATGGAGTCGTGGGTGCGTTTTGGCAGTAACAATCGCATCGCTGTGTGCTCCATAGAGCCCTGCCAATCTCGCGAGGACAAACAGAAGAAGTTTCCGGGTTTAGATACGGGTTTTCTATCCAGGTTGAAAGTGATGAGTATAAGTTAGTTATTCTTCTAGGCAAGGTAACACGATCATCCAAACATATAGGGGACCGAATCGCTTGTCCTTCCCTCCATATCATGCCTTTCCTCGGTACCTAACCAACACTCCGGCGCGACGCTCCGAAGCTCGCGATTGGCCACAGCAGGCAAAGAATCACTGCGATTCGCTGTCCACCGTGAGTCTTGGCAGGTATGACGTGTCGCCTGCACGTCGGATTTTACTTGCACATCCGCTGCTAGAACTGGGCATGATGTGCCGTACTGCGATACTGTCAGAGCGATGCAAGTGGTTCAAAACTTGTCGCGGACGTTTTTGAGGAGGTGGCCGGAATTATGCACGAGGTGACGGTAACCTGGACGCCACACATCTTGCTTAGTGGCCCACGACATTCCCTCCGATCACGCTTGACTGGAAATTGTGTTTCATTGAACGTGAATGGACTCGAAAAGCAGATCTGGGCCGGAACAAAATTCCGAGGCTCGACCCTTGAGATTGAATTGCGGCAGAAGGTAAGCTATGAGATGAACGCAGGCCACATCTTTTCGTTCCTGGCTGTAGACTTATAGATCTTGTCATTTTGCCAGGATAAGCTGATCAATCATAGCGAGGCCTTCGTAAGATAAGTACGATACCGTGAAAAGCACTAGTGAAACGCCGGGTGTTTGTTCCGTTGCTCATTTGGTTTGGAAGAAGGGATTTTCTGTACCACGTCCACTTGAGATGCATTGTTGAAGGATGTACATGGCTCGAACAGCACGAGATCTTCCTACGTTATGCCCCCACCTCCTAAATCATATGGATCCTGAGGACATTCTTATATACTCCACTTGTCATTGTTACCGAGCGCAAACAAATTGACCAACTCGACCGTTTTTGAAGATATCTGTGGCTCAATTGCGCTTGATGCCTTTGACGAGCGAGCTTATGGTCGAATGCGACGAGAATCATCTCCAAGACCAAAGAATGAATGTGGCTCATCAAAAACATAACCAAAGCAAGCACGCATCAAGACTTCATGGAAATAGTCTGGACTCGGTCGACGCAAAAGCCTTGTGTATTGCTAGCAGAGAAGACTGGGACTTGCCAGCGGCCAATTCGACACTACTCACTAGCTATGGTTTCAAGCTCTCGACTGATCTGCATTTGCATCACTGCAGCCGATCGTGGGCATCCTATAGCTTGGAGTCTAATGAAGATCGAGAGTCTACTCATGAAAAGAAAGCCATCTTATGGGCAGCCGCCAAAGGCGAATCCCAAACGATGGCATTCTTGCTTGCTCAGACCCCTTCCGACTTGTCATTTAGGAACTGCTATGGTCAGACCGCTCTATCCCTTGCAGCCGAACACGGGCGTCGGGATACCATGCAGCTTATACTGGCACGGGCCAATGTGAACGTCAACGACTGGGATATTGATGGTCAAACTCCGCTGGCGTGGGCCGCTTTCCATGGACATTTCGACCTAGTTGAGATGCTATTGGACCGAGACGACCTTAACGCCAATACCAAAGATGTTGATGGCAATACGCCGCTCGCTTGGGCTGCCGCGAATGGTCATTATGCTATAGCTGAACAATTGCTGGAGCGATTCGACGTTGAGATTTGCCCTGTTAATTTTTGGGGAGAGACGCCGCAAGATCTGGCCAATGGAAATGGCCACAACAGAATAGTGAGGCTGCTTAGAATGTGGAGCAGTTAGGAGAGGCATGATGGTCTTTCAAAGCTGAAAATTTTCCCAAAATCCTGATGCTTCGGTATGTTCTGTTCTCGAGGCACGTTTCACACACCTCGAACTGCGCCAAGCAGCATAGCATAATGACCATTCGCACGAGGGATGTGAGCACGTGTCATTAATGGGGTTCAATGCGCCTAGGCTTCGTGTTATCCAAGTGCACTTGTTGATATGGTGTCCCGTGACACATAGTCCGGCGCTAATCAGCGAGCGGCACGACCAGGATCGAAACCACATGAAGACGCCCATCATTATACGACCTTCCAGCAAACATGCCGGGTGGTTACAGCGATTCAGCCGCAGGTGTTTCTTGGCTCTCCTTTATGTGTGGAGTGTAAGACGATGACCCAGCGAAAGAGGCATGAACAAAATGATCTGACTACAATCGGCGGTAAGCGTCTCGTGTGAACGATAATACTGACTAACATATGGCGGCAGCAGGCACGGTTGCAGTTTATGCAATGAAATCGTTGTACTCTTGAATTCGCCCAACATATCCATAACAAATCAACCTGGCTGTCAAGCTGCTTCAGAGCAAAACTCCTGAGCTCCACCGTTCATGCGAGCTATAACGCAGGTGCATTACGAGTATCAACGACGCCCAATGACCGAGTCTTCTCGAGCTCGATGATAGAATATCCTGCGCCCGTTGGGGAAGGTCTGAAGATACACCGAGTACTAAGTGAATGGCAGGACTGACAGGGTGCAGGCAGACCAGTGCACTTTGTTGAGCACGACTTAGTTCCATCTCCGCCACAATGTATGCTGGTCGATTTATTACACACCTCGGTTCTGCGCCTCTGGAAGGATTCACACGCATTCCTAGCGTGCTTACGCTTGTTATGACCAGAATGTTGAGGAGAAAACGGCGGTTGATGCAATCGTGGGTACGTTTTGGCAGCAATAGCCGCCCACCTCTGTGGTCCATCAAGCCCTGCCAGTATTGCGGGAACAAGTAGCAGAAACTCGAATACTTTATCTACGTAGAAAGTGAAGAGGTAACGTTCTGACCAAAGTGATACTTTGCGCACCAAGCATGCCCAGGGAACGACTTCCTTGGCCAGCCATGGAATCGCCGCGTCCCAAGCTCTACTCACCATAATCGAAGAGTTCCAGCTCCGACTACTCACAGTACCAGGCACCATCACGCATAGGTGGAATGGGGGAGATTCGACGATCGACCTAACATTCGGCAGTGAGAGTGTGGCATCTCGCACGATCCACCGCCGGGTAGACAGCGAACTTGACTACGACTCCGATCACCTTCCCATCGCCATGACAATCACGTGGGACTGGCAACCGGCCACTATACACAGAAAACGGATCTAGGACAAACCAATCAATCGTTGCTTCGACAGACCGTCATGGAAAATCTCCCTCGAGAATCAAGCGTTACCATGCTGGGAGACAAGAACAGCATTGACACCCATGTCCAGCAGATAATCCATGCTCTCCAAGTCGGCGTCGATGTCTCAACTCCCTGGACAAAACCCTCACCACGATCCATACCAGGATTTGGCCCCGAGTGTAAGGAGATTTGTCGAGAAGTCCAACAACTGCGACGGAGATGGCAACGGACGAGGCTTAGTGGTGATTATGAGGCCTACCGACTGGCTCGGAACAGGAAAGGGCGTCACATACAAGCGCTTCTCCGAAATACTCACAGACAGAGGGTGGAGGAAGCGACAAGATCCGATCTTGGTCTATGGAAACTAGTTAAATGGGCAAAGAACAGACACGAAGTGGCCCCCACGTGCACACCAGCTCTCCAGAAACCGGACGGAGGATTCGCCCACCAGGCCATAGAAAAGGCAGAGACCTTGCGTCAGAGCTTCTTTCCACCACCGCGGAGAGCTGACCTCTCGGACATCGACAATCATGAATACCCCATGGCAATTGAGTGCCCAGAAGTCACGCACTCGGAGATCGAAAAGGCAATTCGCCAAGCGGCACCCAACAGGTCTCCGGGCATCGACGCCATCCCGAACAACATCCTGCACCAGACACTGGACTTGATCGTCCCGCACCTCAGCACACTCTCCAACGCCTGTGTCCGCCTGGGATATTGCCCTGCACACTTCAGGCAGAGTGTCACGGTGGTTCTTCGCAAACCGGGAAAGGACGATTACACTCAGCCGAAGGCGTATCGACCGATTGCTCTGCTCAACACCCTCGGAAAAGCACTGGAAGCGATCATCGCCAACCGGCTGACTTATCTAGCAGATACCTACCACCTACTTCCTATTCGTCACACCGGAGGGCGAAAGCTTGCGTCGACCGACCACGCTTTGCATTGCCTCCTACAACTTATTCATCAAGCGTGGGGACAGGGACAGGTAGCCTCGTTGCTGCTGCTCGACGTGTCAGGTGCCTTCGACAACGTCTCCCGCCCCAGATTGCTGCACAACTTGAAGAAGCAGAGGATTGACCACAAGCTTATACAATGGATCGAATCATTCCTCAGTAATCGATCAACAACTCTCAAACTCCAAGAGTGTACGGCACCTTCGACGCCCGTTCAGACTGGGATACCGCAACGCTCACCGCTCTCTCCGATTTTATACCTCTTTTACAATGCTGACCTCATTGACGCATGCAAAAACGAAGAGACAGAGACGGCCGGGTATATTGACGACGTCGCTATTCTGGCGGTAGGGCCGACAACGCAACACAACTGCAAGACCCTGAAAAAGGCTCACCGCAAAACCGAGGAATGGGCCCTTCAGCATGGCTCCCAATTTGCACCAGCGAAGTACGAACTAGTACATTTCACCAGGGATCCACGAATGAACACCAATCATGCCCTTCGACTGCCACAGGCCACTATCGAAGCATCCCCTTCCTGCCGGTATCTGGGTGTTCAGATGGATACACAACTCTACTAGGACTACCATCGCGAAGTGGTGGAAGGGAAGGCCACAAAACGATTGTCGGCCCTGTCGGCGCTGGCATCTTCCACATGGGGAGCCGGGCTCCTCAACCTCCGGCAAGTGTACAGAGCAATGGTGATCCCGCAAGTCTTGTATGGATGCTCCGCGTGGCATATCTTCGGAGGTCGAATCAGCGGAAGGGGCAGCGCCATGCTCAATACAAACACAATTCAACCTAGAGCAGCACAGATCATCACGGGCGCGTTTCAGACCACGGCAGGAGCGGCAGTCGATGTCGAAGCACATCTACTCGAAGCAGTCCCACAACAGGTCAAGCAAACCGCCCTGGAAGCAACAATGCGAATACGTACGTCGCCTTTATACACAGAGATGGCACGGCCCGCAAGCAACAACCGCATCCAAAGTACCTTGGACCGTTCTCCAAGCTGCTTGAGGAGAAATATGCCATTCGTCTCGATCGATTGGAGAAGCGCCAACAACATGTAGTCCCCCCGTGGTGGTCACCACCATTCACCTGCATTGCCACGACTCCCGAGGAGGCTATCAAACAGCATGATTCCACGGACCCCCACACATTACGTGTATACACGGATGGGAGCGGTATTGATGGTCACGTCGGTGCGGCAGCCGTCACACCGATCATGACCGTCCAGGGTGTTTCCACAAAGAGGACAGAATATATGGGGACAACGGCGACTTCAACGGTATACGCAGCCGAATTGCGGGGCATCGAGCTCGCGCTCCAGATCGTCCGCGATGTCCATACAAGAACACATCTTCCCGGCAAATGCACCATCTTCACAGACAACCAGGCCGCTATCAGGGCAATGACCAATCCTAAATGCCCTTCGGGACAGTACATCCTGACAGACGCCGTTCAAACGTTGGACCGCCTGCGCGAGCATGGTTGGCAGTTGCAGCTGCGCTGGATACCCGCACATGTGGGTGTGCCGGGCAACGAAGCGGCCGACAAAGCAGCCAAAGAAGCGACGTTCCCAGACGTGAGAATACAGGACTCAACATGGAGCGCACTTCATCAACACCACAACCCTACACCCAGACGGCAACCACGAAAACGGCCATTCGCCAGAAAGTCACGTGAGTGGGACAAGTCCTGGGAAACTGCAAAGCACGGGAGAGAATTGTACAAGCTGGGAGTTCGGCCGGGAAAAGGCGTTTTTTCTACTCATTTGAGTACCCACCGGGCGATCAGCTCTCTCATCACACAAATGCGAACAGGCAAAATCGGCCTACGCGCGTACCTCCATTCCATCGACAAAGCCGACACTGACCAATGTGATTGTGGCCATGGACGCCAAACCCCACGGCACATCTTACTTGAATGCCGGAACTGGATTGAGGAACGACAACAAATGTGGGCAGGCAAAACTCCATGCACAGACATCAAACAAATTCTCTGCAGCTCCACCAAGGCAGCGCAAGCGGCCAAGATGATGATACGAACAGGGTTGCTGGAACAATTCCAGGCAGTCCCATCTACGATACTCGCATACTCCTAGCGTAGACGAGTGAAAGCGTGTCTTACAGAAGTCGAGGAGGGCCAGGAAAGGCCCGACAAGTACATAGACACAGGTTGCTGATTAGGACTATGAGTGCAGGCCACCCCCAGACGCGTGGAAGTTACCGTAAAAGCAGTTCTGGCAGGAACAGCTTGATGGTACAGAAACTCGAGGAGGGGATCAAGATACTTATTAAATTACTTAAGAATCGAAATAGCTTAATCGCTATAATACTTCTCGAAATTTTAAAAAGTACGCTAAATAGTTTATATTAAATAGAAGAATTAGTATATATAGTAATTATAACTAAATATAAATATTATTAAAATAATATAAAAGAACTAGAAAATACAATAAAAACTACTATTATTTTACTTAACGCGAACGCGAAGATAGCCTAATTATACGTATTAGAGCTTAGACCCTTCTGGCGAAGGACTTTTCTCCGAAAAGGATTAGTGCGTATACACTATTACGTGAGCCTCATGGGTCTGAGAACTAAGACAACAAGCGCTTGGGTAAGAGTTTGTTTCCTGTATCTGGTCAACATAATGTCAAGCACAGCCACTATCTACGGGCAAGGGCCGGTCCCTGCAGGATCCAGCCCCGAGCAGACCCCAAGGGGCGAGGTCCACGAGCCGCTCAGCACATGCCAGCCCCAGGGCGCAAGTAATAACTGAAACCCGGGCCTGGCTTCGACATGCTAAGGATGGATTTCTTCGCTCTTTGGCATTGATAGTTCTCAGGATCGTTTCACTAGTCGCCCAGGACCCGAATGTCGCTTGTAATATATATGAAAAGCTAGGGGGTTCTGTATTGCGAAGCTTGATAAGCATGCACGCTTTTGTGGTGGAGATCTCGTACATAGTATGTCGTGCAGCTGCTCTGAAACGGGAAGAGGAGTCAGTGGCTTCGCTAATCACCTTTCGTCCAGCCAGTAAGAGTAGTTAGAGGACAGAGCGTATGGGGCTGTGAAAACCCAACTTGTACCACCGTTTCTTCTGATGAAGACAAGGCACCCTGGACCCGAACTTGCTATTCATTCTGGCCCGTCTGCGGGGACTTCGGGGACCTCGGGGACCTCAATCGAGCAAAGCAATTCGTTGACGCTTGAGTTGTGCGAGGCAAATCATGTCTCTTTGACGATAGCATCCTTGCGGGAGGTGGCTATTTACACATAATATGCTGCGCATGTACTGTGTCAATTTTGGTGATTGAAGCAACGGTCCGTTGGCGATGGCATGTTCTAAAGTCTATCCCTAGTGACGGACGTGGGAGGAAATGGCACCGCTTGAGGTTTGGGAAACAGCGGGAGCATCCTTCCTGAAAGCTTCAGGGTCAACCACCTTATTGGACCTCAGAGGGGGAGACATAGAGGCATGCATGAACCAGCAGTGTCTTGCAACGAATGTCTCTCATCACTCTTCATTGAGACTTTGCGAGCAAGTCAGCGACTGGACTGTGCACCGTGACCACCAGTCTTGATTCCTGCTTCGCCCCTGCCTTTGTGTAACCATGACACGTTCTATGGCCAGCGCCTCCGAGGCTTCCCTTTCGTCGCAATCACCTCATTTCGCCTGCAGTGACACCGTCGTATCATTTTTGGACCCATCTCTGATCAACCTCAAGACATCGCTGACAAGGTACAAACTGCCTGCGACACAGATCGATCCCTCCTGCTCGGCGATCTCGACGGCCCTCATCAGCGCCGCTTGGATACTGCCACCCTCGGCAGCCTCCACTCTGTCGTGTGTGAACTCTTGCACGACCTCCGCAAGGTTGGCGGAGTCCATGCTCTTGACCCATGGCATGCCGTCGACAGGGCCAAACGCGCAGGTGACCACTCGATCGGATCGTTTGAGTAGTACGGACAAGATGGATCGGATATCCTTGTCGCTCTTCATCGCGAGAACCCATGTCACAGGTTTCCCACCCTGACGAAGACGAGTGTTGACGTAGCTCCCCAAAGCCTGTGCTGATTGCACATTATGTGCTCCGTCGAGCAGGATAGGCTGAGTCCTCCTCACCGCCGACGGAACAAGTTCAGCAGGGAGTACAAGCCACTCGAGGCGTCCACGCAGCGATGCTTTGGCAGCCGCCATGAGGTCTGGTAGATTCTGCGCAGTCTTCACAAGGCGTGCCTCCGCACGAAACCATTCCTCCATGCGTGCTAGCAAGTCTGCATCTACCTCTGCCTCTGATTCTGTGCTGGCATCTTCTGGCCATATCAGCCGCCACTGAGCGGCGCAGTACGCCGTATACGCGGTGACCAGGTTCTCGTACTGATGCTTTGCCAGCCTCATTTTTTTCGCACTTTCCAGCAGATTCTCTTCTTCTTTATCCTTAAGATAATGCCGCCCGCCCGCCCCGCCAATCTCCCTTCTCCTCTCCTGCACGACAGCCAGCACGCTCGGGTCATTACTCAGATCCACGACGACCGGCACGCCCAGCTTGAAAATTCCGACTTTCTCCCGTGCGATTTGCTCGATCGTCGATCCTAGGAAGTCGACATGATCGAGTCCGACCTTGGCCAGCACGCTGACTAGCACATCCTCGCGTCTTAGCACGTTCGTAGCATCAAGGCGTCCGCCAAGCCCGCACTCCACGACCGCAACATCAACACCTGCATCCGTGAACAGTTCAAACGCTGTGGCCGTCAGGATTTCGAACTCCGATGCAGCCCCGTCAGGCCCCTGATTTCGTCGTTTGACGCGGTTCTCAACTTCCAAGAACCGTTCACGCTCGACGAGGCGCTGGTCAAGAGTGATACAATCCCATCTGTCTATCAAGTGGGGTGATGTGAAGCGGCCAACGCGGTAGCCTGACTGCGATAGAAAAGTAGACACTAAAGCGGCGATGCTGCCTTTGCCGTTGGTGCCGGCAATGTGAATGGCTTTCCACGGGAGACCGTTGGGATGGGATGTGAACAAGGGTTGTAGGAGATGGGTGATGCGTTGTAGGCCGAGGGTGATCATTTTCCCCGGGTCTCAGTAGATCTGCGAGTGTCTGTTTGCAAGATCGTTGGTTGTCTGGTTCAGTGTGAGGCCCAGCAGCAGCCAGCGGTCAGTATCGTGTCGGTGTCACCATGCGTTTTGGATCATTCTATAGTTCGGGGGTTCTTGACACTAAGATCTGAAGATGCTTGATGAATGAGTAGCCATCTTGGTTGGATTCTAGGGTACCATACAGGGTGTCCACTCCACTCACAAAGGGTGTTTGCTCTCCTTTATTCACTTGTTTATCGTTTGATGGAGATAGTTCTAGAACATCTCCAGAGGGCTGCAAGAGTAGATCTGTAGCTCTCCTAGAGTTAGAAATGACCATGATGGAAAGTGAGACTCGATGGCAGTATCAAATGAATTTGTTGCGCCAAGCCAAACAGCCAATCAGATTTCAAAGCCTACTAGCCTCACTAGCCTTCTTCAGGGCAACTGGCGACCACCGGGCCGCAGGTGGACGCCTAACAAGCCCCCAAAAAATATAAAAACCAGCAAAACTTCATCTAATCAATGGTTTCTGACACTATTCATCCAAAAAAGCAAAAACAATCAACAATACGGATTCGCTGGTGGTCACCCACCCAACTACTAACGTATCGGCATATGGCTTAAGTACGGCTGAGCGAACGGGAAGCCCTGTGATCCATATCCTATGGTCGATTGCGAAAGAGATTATGCGGATTTGTTATATGAACCTTGATTTCTAGCCTTGATCCACTAGAGCATACTGTAAGAGTGGTCAACGACGCGAGCCAGAGATCTTCAATCGTGCCCAGCACTCACGTAGACATTGTGATTTCGCTCATGTACCTTTGATGGCACGGGGACACCTAGGTATGTGCCTTTACCAACCGCTAGGCACACCTAGGTATGTGCCTTTACCAACCGCTAGGCACAGCTATGCATGTTCCCTACAATGCTTAAAAGCCAGTATATAAAAACGCCACGCTAATTCCAAACCATCGAGAGTTCAGCTGTCAGCTGGCACGCATTGCAAGCAGGTCAACCATCAAGACTCAAATGCCGCCGTATCGACAAATACCGCTCATACCCAAACAATTTCAGCACGATCCGGAAATGCGTCAACCAAGCCCTGAACAGAGGCAAGATGTTCTTGGGATTCAGCAATCCTCCTCTCCTCCTCAGTTTCTCTTTCTCCTCCTCCCACACCGTCAAACTGGCATACTGTGCAAGAATCATCATCGGGCGCATGGGCTGCTTTGACCCCAAAGACTCGTCCAAACTGCGGGTGAGATCATTCGTCTTGAGAATCAGCAGGATGATCCTGGGCACATCACCGAGCAATTGGACGAGTTGCTGCACAAAGTCGTCTCCGAAGACGTCCTGAACGTTTTCCTTCTCTTGGTCATCACGCGCCGACGTCGCCACTTTCTTGTTGGTCAGTACCCGATAGTCTCGACCTGTGATGGCAGATGCGAAGAGTGGAAACTGTTCGTCCGTAATACCAGCCACTGCATACGCGTATTGCCGCATCTTGGGTTCGTCGGCGTCAATGACAGCCAGCCACAGCTTCGCATAGTCTCTTCTCAATTTATCGTCCGGAATCCGATATAGACCGTGGTCGTAGAGAATGATGTCGAAGTTGTACGGAAACCTCCTGTTGGGATTATGTCTGACGGCGAGATTGCCCGCGTGAGGGTCGCAGTGAAGAGGCGCGTTCTTCTGAAAGATCATGACGTTGAAGATCCTCGCCAGCGTGGCCGACACTTCATCACGCGAAATGTGGTGTTTGGCAAAGTACTCGAAGTTGTCCACCCTCACGCCCGCCATATACTCCATGACAAGAATCCTCTTCTTAGCCGATATGACTTGCGGTATAACGAGCGGAAATTTGGTGTTCTTCGTAAAATATTCTTTTGCTCTCGTAGCGTTGGCGCCCTCCAGCCTGAAATCCAGTTCCTGTGGCAGTGAGAAGTCCATCTCTTCGCTCAACCATTCCATGTCGTATTCCGGAAACGCTCTCTTGAGCGTCCTGAATGTGAATCGCGTCAAGGCCAGATCCAACGGCACCCACTCCTCCAATGTCGGATGTTGTACCTTAACAGCCACCTTCTGATCACTATCCTTGAGTCTCGCAATGTGTACCTGGGCCAAAGAAGCCGCGCCAATAGGTTCCTTGGAGAACTCGGCAAAGTCGTCTTCTATCCGGTGTCCAGTGTCGCGCAGAAACATGTTTTCAACCGATTCGTAGGAAGAAACCGGACACCTATCCTGCAACGGCACAAATGTATCTGTCCATTCCCGGGGCAAGAGGTATCCCATTGAAGATATGTGCTGGCCTAGTTTGATGAAAATCGAGCCATTTTGCTCCAACACCTTTAACGTCCGTTCGGCGCATCGTGTATGGCAGGCTTTCAAGGCGTGGGATGCTTCTTTGGGATCTTCGGGGTGCTGTTTGAGTGTAACTCGGTAACTGGACGTTGTTAGCCTCGACAGGATCCTTCCAGTTGGAGCATAGCGGCGTGTTCATACTCATTAATACAGACTGCGAGCGTCGTCACTACCCTCCCTGTCCTTGCGGCAGCATGCCACCCATGCTTGATATCATCTGTAAAGAACAATAGACTTCCGCCCAAAGCACCACCTGCTGCAGCGAGATAGACAGCCTGCCGTGGTCGGACTACCTTGACGGGTCGTGCATAAGAGCTGTATGTATGTCTGAACCTGTTGGAGGGTGTCTGTGTACTTTTGCACCGAGCACACGTCCAAGTGGCGCGGCCGAGGGCGAAGGGGCTGCCAGTCAATCGCATGAGCGGAGGTCTGCAGGACGTTGTACTGGCATGAGAAAGCTGGGGGCGATGGTCAAATTAAGACATATGCACCGACCACTGTCTCATCGAGGTGTAAGTATGGAAAGATTCAGAAATGATATCGGCGCATGGTCATTGTTAATTCGATAAATGATCACCCTACAGATCGCCGTCCGTCTTTTTTGGTGGGACGATTTTTCACGGAGTCGGAACCTTTTCTAAGAGTGACGTATCCGATACCTCAGAAGGGTCAGGAACAGTCAGCCGCCGCAAACAGTCAAAAAGTGATATAGAAAGACTCTCCCATTTCCATATACAGTATGCTCAATGACAATTTGGTATCTCAATCCCAGTACAGGTCGCTATCTCTCGCTATGCTATCTGGCTAAAAGTGGAAGTATCGACCATCCGCCCAAAACAAAAGAAAAGCCAATTTCCAAGCCAGCAATGGGGGGTATATTCTTGTTCAGGAACAGAAAAGACATTCGCTGTGACCTTTTCTTCAGCTGCACCAGCGCAGCCTGACCCAGATTGGCCGACAGGATAAAAAAAACATCAACAATAAAGGAACAGAACCATCGACAAAGTGACTGACAAGAGGGGGGTATTATGTGACATGGAAACACAATCCTGTTCATCTTCCTTTCCACTCATCAATCTGGTGTAACTCAACAATGATCGTGCAGGACGATGTACTTCTCCTACTTGCGTTCACACCGACTCGACTTGCTCAGTGGCCGGCTCGAGCTCTTGTAGACGCCGAGTATCTTTCCCATCGAGGGGAGACGCATCTTCGTCAAAGTCGTCTGACAAGTTCAGGCTTGGGCGTTTGGCCTGGATAGGCGTATGTGGCGACTCATCTCTCGGTGAGGAATCAGTGGGTGGTTGAGGACTTTCTGTGCGCTTCTCCCGCTGTCGGCTTGAGAGCGCCCTTGGTTGCGAATTGTAGGCTCTCAAGGGTCGTGCCTCCAAACTGGTCTTTCGTGCTTCCGAAGTACTCCTTCGAGCTTGAGCAGCAGCTGCCAGCGGTCTCATGCTTGGGGGAGGTACCGGCATCTCAGCTGGCCCCAAAGGTTTCTGCGTCGTCCCCGGCGGTGTCATGATGCCAGATAGGAAACTAGCCGGACTTCCAATGGTTGATCGCGACGGTGTTTGATTGCCTAGGTTGTTGGCCAGGTCAGACAATGCGCCAATCGATGTGTCTCGAGCTTTGCGCCAATTGCCCCAAGCTGCTGCCGCCGCCATCGGGAATGCACGTGGTGATTGCGCGTAGCTTGTCAGCGCAGACAGAGACGGCAGTGAGCCTGACAATTCGGCGCCTGCGCGTTCTCTGAGTTGCTGTTCCATCTGCAGGTTCGCCCTAAGCCTTATCGCAGCGTCCTTCACGGGTTCGTGATCGAATTCTGGCTGGGAGACCGTGTTTATGATGTCTTCGAGATCATCCACGCGCACATTCAGCAACTCCCGAAGCCACGTGATTTCCGTGTCGCGCTCTTTCAACTTTGCAGGCGCCTCCTTGTCAATTGCGGCAAGCTCACCTTCCAGTTTCTCAATCTTCTGCTCGCGATTCTGCAACTGGTCCTGCAAGACCATGATCGACTCACGGAGTGCTTGTGGCGAGATCTTTTCTGGTAGTTCAGTACCTCTCACAAAAGAGATCGAGGCACTAGTAGCACGTTGTGGTGGTGAAGCAACAACGGAAGGCGCAGGCGTTGGCAGATTGATGCCCTTTGCAGTCGCAGCCTCAACAGCAGCCCTGGCCGCAGACTTGGTGATTTCCAGTCTTTCCTCGAGGTCTGCCACTTTGCTTTCCAGATGTTTCACTTTGTCATCGCTCAAGCTTAATCTCTCATTGAGGTGGTGTTCAATCCTGGTCCTTGTATCGAACGAGTTGTGCAATTCTCGCGTGTGGCGATCGCGAAGATCATTTAGTTTTCTCTCATGATTCTGATGTTGGTCTTCAAGTGCAGTTTCTCGCCTCTCGTTGGCCTCGCGTAAAGCATCCTTATGTGCTTCAATCGTCTCTGACAATAGGGCGTCGTGCTGAGCCTTTTGATCTTCGATGTCTAGCTCCGCGTGATCAAGTCGGCTCTGTAATCTCAAGATCTGGGCTTCCGAATCCGTTCGAATGCGCTCAAGCTGGGTTCTGGCGCTTTCCAATTCTGCTTGCAATTGGGTCGTGGCTGTAGCAAGCTCGGCCTCTCTGCTGTTTCTGACATGAGCCAAGTCTCGTTCAAGATTGAACGCTTTAGTATCAAGAGCTCTGTTGTCTTCCCGCAGAGCTGCGACCAGCTCGTCCAGTCTTGATATTTCGGCTCGACCTTGTTCCTGAAGTATCTTGTATTGCAGATTAGCCTTGTGCTCTTTATCCAAGACACGAAGCTCTTCCTCAGTTTTCTCGCGCAGCCGCCACTCTTGGTCGAGTTCATTTTGCATCAGGCTAAGCTTGCTCTGCATGTCATGCTCTTTGTGACGCCACTCCGCCTGTTCAGTGTGCAAATCTTGGACAGTGTGAGTCATCTGCGCCTGTAAGCGTTCCACCTTGCCTCGAAGGGATTGTCTAGAATCTGCTTGCTCCTCCAGATGTTGTTGTAGGTCTTGTAGGGCGCCTTTGAGCTCTTTGGTCTTTTCACGTTCCGACTGGATGTCTTCACGCCATTGATCGCTGGAAAACCTATACTCTTCAAGCGTCTTTTCAAGGGCCGTATTCTTGAGGGTCATTGCTTCAACCTCGTCTTCGAGTCTTTCGTATGATTTTTTCTCCTCGACGAACGCCATGAGGGTTTGCTGAGCCTCTTCGGATGCTTCGCGGTGCTCCGCAGCCTCATCCTCGGCAATCCGTAACCGAAGCTTTAGTTCAGTGATCTCGCCCTCCGCTTTCCTGCGCATCTGGGCTTCTTCAGCAGCATGTTCCTTCGAAATCTTCAGCATCGTCTCGAGACCATCAATCTGGGGCTTTAGGTTTTGTTCATGATCCTGCTGCACTCGCGACCCTCGTAGTCGAGGATGATGAGAGATAACATCCTCCACAATTGACTTGAGCTGGTTTTGGGTGTCCTGGGAGCCTGCCTGTTGAGCTAGTTGTTTCATTTCCTGTAAAGTTGTATTGAACTCGGTGACATCAAATGACGGTTGTTGAGGTTGGTAGGCAGCCAATGCTCCTGCGACGACGGCACGGATCCGGTCTTGCTTGCGTTCATTTCTCCTTGCCATAGGCGACGCGGTTCTGTACGACGCAAATCCTTCGTATGCGTCATAGTCATCTTCGTCATCAGCATCGGAGTTCTTGACCTCTGTCGACATGCTTCGACCACTACTCTTAGGTCTTGAGCCCGTGGCCATCAGAGTCAAGGATTGCTGGATCGTGTGTAGAGCACGCTCCAGTGGCTCGAGCCTGTTCTCGAGGATACCATCTACCAAGTCATTGACATGGCCATCGAAAAATTGCGAGCGGAGCTGTAACTTTTCTTGATCGGCCGCCGGTAAAACGTCTCCCCAGTCACTGACATTTTCCCTGCCTGTATTGAGATTGTGAACTCCAATGCCGAGGCCGAGGGACCGAGAATAGGCAGACTCGACCTCTGGAGGGTTGACTGATTGCGTTCGAGGAGGGCTTGGGCTCGGAGCATCGCTTCTGAGGTTCGGTGCCAGCCCCATATCGACGAGGGGTGTTGACAGAATTGGAGTATCATTGCGCTCAATGCCGAGTTCTGGATCTACCTCAAACTGCTTCATGACGGCATCAATCTCCTCGAAAGATGGCATAGGCTCATCTTGATGGCGTGTTGGCAGGGCAGAATGATCAGCACCATCACTAACCTCTTGCTCCCTTGAGGCATGTGTCTCAGTCTGCGGATCCGTGCTTTGGTGGATTTGTTCCGCTTCTGCGTCTCCTTCACTGCTATCTTCTTCAAACACCTCCACAACCTCCTCTTGATCATCGACTGTGTCGCTCTCTTTGGCTGCGTAGTGATACAGGTCTGCTGGAGGAGACGTATGACTGAATTCAGCTGACGACCGTGGCTGAGTGTCTGATGTTGCATATCTGGAGGCTTCCAGTCCCTGCGACTTCTGAGGCGTCTTTGCTGATGACGATGCGTATGGAGTGGAAGGAAGAGGGCGGAACTCAAATGGCTTAGCAAGTGCTGATAAAGATGACCTCAACTTTTGATCTTCATCGTTCGGTGAGGACATTTGTCTCTCCGACTCCGTTTCGTGTGTTTCCACTTCGCCGTGAGCATCAGGTTCGTCAAGCTCACCATAAGACAGCGGACGATCGGTGTCAAAAGGAGGACGCGCTTCAGTGAATCTGGCGGCGTCGTTCTGAGTATGGAAGGTAAACTTGCCATCGTTCTCATCCACTTTGCCTAGGACCTTCTCTGTTTGGGCCTGCTCAGATGTGATCTCCATTGGCGCCTCGTCAGCGGGAATATATGCCCAGCCATCGAAAGGCTTCTCGGAAGCTTCTGTTGTAGGTCCGTTCTGGTCAACATCGTCCACGATTTCCGAGAGAATTCTTGTATGGCGGAATGGCGCCCCTTCAGCATACACAGGACTGCGGTCGCCGTCACTATCTTGTCGTCGAGCTCGCTTCTGCCTCTCGATGGGCACAGTTGGCCGACCAGAGTCCGAATCCGAGCCTGACTCGGAATCTTTGCCATTGTCTCCTGAGTGAGGACTTTCCTGTCGCTTGTTCTCAGGGGTTGGGTCCCGGTTTGAGATTGGCTTGTTCGTCCTTCTGGAGACTTTCGAGTTGGGGTCAATCACCACGTTGCCAAAAATGGTGTTTGGATTACTTGGAGATTCCCCACCAGAAGATCCAACACTGTCCCGGAAGTCTGTGCCCGAAACACCTGACGGTTTAAATACAGGTGCGGCGACATTGAACGTCGCAGAACTGAACGAAAAGGACGTCTCCTTAGACCCGGCCTGAGCAAGAAAGGTTGGTGTAAAAGCTGGCGCATCGGCATTCAGCGAGAGTCGACTCCCAGTGGCGGGTTGCTTGGTTTGTGGTGCAGGTGCCGGTTGAGGAGCTCCAAACCCATTGAAGGCGCTACCCCCAAATGAGAAGTTCGCACTCGAGAACCCGCCTTGAGGGTCAAATTCCTTCGCCTCCACATTCAGCTTCGAAGAGTGCTGACCAGGTTCAGCAACAGGTTTGGAATCTGCCTTTGCTGCATCGCTAAGAGCCTGCCAATTGACGAACGGATTCTTATCATCCATCAGCATGGGAGTTGCTGCTAAACTCGGGTTGGTCTCAATTTCCGACCTCTCATCCGCTGCTGACATTGTTTCCGGTCTTCTTAGGATAGGAGGCTCTTCATGCGATGATTCGTCCAGCGTGAATTCCTTCCTAGCCGCGTCAGCTTCACTGGCATCTTGATCGCGAGATGCAGCCTCTGCCGCATCAATCTCTCGTTGGAGAGCCATGCTGAGGTTTTGGCGGTGACTTTTGGGTGTTGGATGTGCGATCTCGATGAAAGGTGGCGAAGACTCATGGTACTCCGGCGTTCGTACCTGATCGTCGACCTGTCGGGCTAACACAGAATGTAATGTCTCTTGATGCCGATGACCAGGCGTAGGCGCCTGTCCTTCCGGCTGAGTCTGAACGGGTCGCCCCTGTTCAGGCACAATCTGCGCATTCGTGCCACGAATGTCCGCACTTCGCTGTCGTGGTGGTGGGAAAAGTATGTCGCCCACATTAGGAAGTTGTAAAGGCTGATTGGGCGAGAAGCTATTTTGGCGTGATGATAAAGAATGTACATTTGGTCGAGGTGCAGAACCGAACGGGCTTGTATTGTCAAATGGTGATGTAATTCGTCCGTAAGAACTTGGTAGTGCAACTGACTGCTTGTACCCATGTCCCTGTAACGGTCTTGGCACGCCGTTGACTTGGGAGGATGTCATTGATCCAGGTTGTGGACTTATCCCTGCGGACGACATCAGAGACGGAGAAAAGGTGTTGCTCGTCGCCCTCAAAGAATTGCTTCCTGATAATGGCGAACCGACGGGCGGTGAAGCTGCCAGTCCTGGGTATCCGGACGAGACGCGGCTCAATGGAGGTGAAAATAAGGGCGACCTAGTCGATGGGGGAGCTTCCGATATGCTTGGACTGACACCCAATGCGCGAAGTTTCTCCTCCTTAAGGTAGTTCACCCATACATCCCACTCGTTCTGATCCGGAATACGCACGTGGTAGTGGCGCAACCTCCGTTCGGCTTGCATCTCTGATGGGTCTGGAAAAACCGGGCGACTCTGCCCTCCAGCCTCCATAAGCTTACCAGGTACATCGTCGGTGAGCTCGAAACCATTGACATTATAGCCGGCACCGATCCAATCTGTTATGCGCTTCTGCGCCTCCTGAGGTGCCAGTGGCGGAGGAAGGCCTGCAGCTTCTCGGTCTGTGAGAGGTAAGGCAATGATGCAAGCCTTGCCCTTCCAAATGACCTTCTTCTTCGGCCGTTGATAGGACTGGAGCGACGCCGGGCGGGGACGCTGCGTGTTAGCTGGGATGTCAGGTGTTTTCTGCTCTTCCTCCGTTCCGGATGCTCGTGATGGAATCTCTGGAGGCGGCCCTTCAGCCACATCAGCACCACCCGGGTCGAGCTCCGCCATTCTGTTCTCTAATGATGGTGGAAGGGATTGTGGATGATGTGCAATCACTTCCGATACGATCCTGGGCTCATTGAATGTTTCCGGAGTGATGGTTGCCAGGCTCTCCTTAATCTGGTGCTTCGAAGGTGCTCGTCTCACGATGCTGGGAGGTGATAATCCCCAGCTGTCGAGATATGCTCTGCGAGTTGGTGTCTTATCCTCCTCTTGTGCAGTCGCTCCCGTATCACTCTCGTCCGACTCACTCAGCCAATTGAAGCGCTCCGAAAGCGGATCTGACAATTCCTTCTTCGGCAGTGGTCTACACCTCTGGAGACCCAAGTTCTGGCTGCGCGATCTTTCTCTATCGACCGGCGCTCTTGCAACACGAGCAGTCACAAGACGGGTGGCTGACTGCGGCGGCGCAGGTGTAATGTCGATCGCTGCACGCTGATCCGGCGAATCGTTTGGAAAAGGACTTTTTCGCGGACTCGGAGGAGCATACGGTGAACCCCAAGCAGCTGCGTAATATGCACCACTTTCCGCCCGTTGGCGCTGGAATTTGGGAGATTTAAGAATCTCCGATTGACCGCGTTCTCGATTGAGGTTTGGTAGAGGAGGAAGGCTAAATGGTGAGATCCAACCGTGCTCGGAGGGAGTGGGCGCGGGGTTGTGCGCCTTTGACGAACTCGGTGAGACCGGGTCGACGTCGGATTGTGGATGGACACGAGATGGGAGGGCCTCAGGATCGACGTCGTCGAGGTTCATTAAAGGCCACCGCGACGATCCTGGAGATGTTGAACAGCAGCATTGACGGATCCGACGCCCGCAATCTTGGAGGGTACAATGACAGACGACGCTTCACCGAGTGGCAGCCGCGCCATGGACAAGACTCCGGGGATGAAAGGAGGGTTTGAAGTGTGTACGAGTGATAGAATGAAGTGTCAAGAACGCCCAAGATTTTGATTGAACACGGAGTTGATGGAAATCAGGATTGGGAAATCAGCCAGTGACGCGACACGCTAAACCGTTGTTCGAGCGCAACTTTGGGTGGGCTCGAAAGGCTGCCATTGGGTCTGATCCTCGGATCCTCCAGGCTAAGAAGCCTAAGAGCTTTAGGGAGCGGGAGCCAAAAATGCCACTGCCGCCATCCGCCGCCTCTCCAGGGTCCTTGTGCCTTTCTCTCAAGACTTAAAATTCTCCGATGCTCATGCACTCCTGTTGATCTAATCTGGGGTCAAATACTGCACTATAACTAGTGGTGCTTTCCAGCAACTTGTCCTGTGTAAACGATGCACCACGATAGTCGACGACTTCGCAAGTTTCTACTCAGGGTCAGCTACTCTGCTCTCTCTTCTCCATTCGCCTGGAATGCGGTGGACCCCTTATCAAAACGTCATTATTCAATTTCCGGTCGTCATGTGAAGCTCGCATGTTGATGCTTCTAGTAGATGCTTCGAGTTGCTCGTGAAAACTGTCGAGCCCAAGAACGCCACGCTCAGTTCAGATGAAGTACTCTTTCAGAAGGGGACGAGCTCCCTATGGATTGAGAAATTCTTCCAGGTGTTGTCCAGTGCCTTCGTAGCTTCCAAATATATCTGACGGCCATCATAGTCGACATTCTTCTTGATTTCGTGGAATCGCTGTGCCTCTGGGACTAGTTGCCCATGAGACAGTCCTTCCTCTTCCAGCTCCATGATCCGTTGTCCCAACACAGCCATGATAGGTCCTTCCCAGACACCTTCTTTGCCGACTCTCTTCAGCTGAGCAATTGCTCGACGTCGGATGTCCCAGTCTCGGCACCTGCAAGCAACGAAGAACAGAGGATGGATGACGCCCAATTCCATGGTGAATGGCGTTGACTCAACCTCTAGGGGATGGGCTTCCATCATGCTAAGTGCCGAAGTCATTTGTTCAACCTTGGACACCATGTCCTCAAATTCGTCCTTATAGGCATCAAATGTGCTTTCGGGCCCAGCATCTATACACACCCTGAGCATCATGACTGCCGTTTGCATCTGTAATCTCAGTCCCAGCAGACTTTTAATGTCAGAGGGTGTCAGTCTAGGGGCTTGGGTTTCGAAGAAGTTTTCCAAAGCCGCGGTCCATGTATCGAATGTCTGTAATCCCTCTTCTCGTTGGGTTCGCCACTCCAGTGGTACCAGTTGTGCCTGCCAGTAGCGATACATGCGCAGATCTGATTTGACGAGCTGATACACGGCAACCAACAGATTGTCCAGGTGGTTCCGGACTTGCCCCAATGTCAGATCTGTTGGGAGTACCCGTGGTATGGGGCTGACGTGGGTCACTAGACGCTCGGCGGTATCTTTGGAAAAGGTACATGCTTGGATGTCATATCGTGCAAAGACTCGTAACAGCTCATCGAGTTCATCGTTTGGGACTTCCCGGAAGGTGGCTTGACTGCCAGTTTGCTGGTGTGTTGAATAAGTTGCGAGTGCACTCTCGTTGTTCTCTGGGAGGTTCATTTGACGGATCAGTGCTCTCATTCCCTGTTGATAATGGATGACGGCAGCCATATTATTGCGACGAAGGACTTCAAAGCAGGCAAATAATATACTCGAAATGATGGCGAGCTTGGCGTTGCCTGTGGAGGGCTTATTTAGTCGCTGATTCAGGTCCCGCAAAGCGTCCCCGTATAGCTTTAGGGCGTGTCGAAAGCCTGCGTCGTCGGTGAGCTTGGCCGAATACTTCCCACGACGGTCTTGATAGTCCTCGTGAAGCGTCCCCAACGCTATAATGGCGTTACGGACGATGGATTCTTCCTGGCCCACCTTCAGGACTAATTGCGTCCAAAAACCGGACTCGGATCCGCCAGCAAAGGCAGGCACAGTACAGTATTGGAAGCGGTGAAATATACGACGTTGCTGGGTGTCGCCTTGAAACGGCTTGGAGATTGACCCGGGTTGAAATATGTGTTGAATGGTCACATTCGACCGTTGTGGTGGCGATACTGTCAACGAGCTTGATGTACTTTTTGTCGTCTCTTTAGGAAAGTCATATCCATCACACTTCCGACCTGTGGAGGTGCATCGTTTACCTGTGAGACATGTGAGCGCTGTAGGTAGACAGTGAAAGGCACGTCAATGGCCGACTTACAGCTTGGTTTGGTCTCATCACATTTGATACGCCGTATCTGGGGCAAATTAAGTCAGACCTCGTAAGAGAGAGACGGTACATCGGTACCCATTCAGTCATCCACAATGCAAATCAAGGTTGTGACAGTTGCCAAACGACCCAGATGGAAGCATAATCATTGTGTGTGGAGTTGGTCATGTCCGGTGGAGATGTATGGGTGGTGGACTTACTTTACACGTTTTGCAACCGGTCCGTACTTTTGGCTTGCTAGCTCTTTTCCGACGTGCCGAGGCTGGCGAGATCGAGAACGAGGGTGGACTTCGGTGTGGAAGTGCGCCACTAGGAATACCTGTCATAGGTATTGCTAGGCCGTTGGTGTCAGGCCCAGCTGTCTCGAGCATATAGGTAGGTGGACCAGTAAACCGAGAAGGAGTAGCGACTGTGAACGCATGACTCTGCGCCCACATGGTGCGTGCAGGGCGACAATGTGGCGAGTCGCTGTATGTCAAAATACGAGGGTGATTGTGAGTGGCCCTTCTGATCCAGGCCAGTGGCGTCAAAATCCAAGCGTCAGTGGAGAGGGATCAAGAATAGTGGTCGGGGTCTCTGATGTCCGCAATATGCAGGTACGGACTCAGGATGATGTGAAAGGTGAAGCAGTGAGCCGTTACGAAGGACCAAGTCGCGGGGAGATTACACTTTGTATATAGTAGTGCGTTGGGGTGTGAGTAATATCATGCTCGAACTTTTGACGGTCTTTTGTCAAGTTGAAAGTACCTCCATGGCCTGCAAGCTGCTTCGAGCGTCGTCGAGCTTTCAGCTGGTCGGCCTGCTGAGATTCGACCTCGGCGGGGCGATTGATGCCCTGCAAGGCTGCGACGACACCTAAAGATGGTCAATTAAGGGCCGCATAGGCACTGGCAGTCGAATTCGTCGACCCCGCGGGACGAGCAGTAATGCCCAAGGTTTAGGTGGTCTCTGTCGCGGACGCCGAAGCTGTCAAGTGCCAATGGGAGGGTCAATAGTGGGGGACAAAAGGACCAAAGTATAGGGATGAGACGCCCGGAGCCAAAGAACAACTGCGTCGAATTGGAATTATGACGGGCAATGCCAACGTAGAGCAATCAAGAGGGAAACAAAAGAACAGGCAGTGCATCGAGTAGCGGTCTGAGGCGCTTCAAAGAGGCAGACCGTTGGCCAAATCTACCCAGTGCCGAGTCAGCAATTCTCGGTTGAGAAGGTCGCTAAGCCAGATGGAGATGCCGATACACAGCAACAAGACCTTGAGTTGATTGGTTCGTTCGTACGACAGACTTCCAAGTGCCAGAGGCGGTGCAACTTCAACCCACCACCGAAGTCATGAGTATTCAAGGTCTGCCTTCAGCATATTTCCATCTTTATGAACCTTTCCGTGCGTCGGGCCAGAACGATGCAAGAGTACACTGCCGAGGCTCTTCGTAAACCAGAAGGGAGGCTGGAAGCATGCGCAGGTGCCATATACGAGTCTCTTATTCCGGTGGAAGGTCCAGTCTGTGGAGTTGAGATGCTCCTAGAGTCGCGGGTATTGCCCAAATTGGCTTGACTTCACCTCGTAGTAGCAAGCGCCTGATGAGACTGGGCCCTCAGAGGCCATCTCGGCGGAATGATCTCACGCATGCACTAATATGAAAGGATTGCAGTACGAGCGTAAATCAGTTGTCGATCTTCCAAGGCCGGATAATTGGCCTCAACCGAATGAGATTGTAGGGTTGATGGAAAAGTGACGACTTCTTCATCATGTTGAGCGTAGCCTTGTGCAAAGTTACAGCCTTGCACGTGATGACCACGCATTTTGGGAAACGTGGAAACGGTGGGGCGTCGACCCTGCACTACGCGGTCAATGCGCGGTAAGTGTAAACACGCGATTCATTGAAGGCCACCCATCGCTAGGAACCATAGCTTCAATTACTGCATTATTGTACAGATAGTCGTATTGATCATGGTAAGTCGACGCCCTTAACAACCTCTAAGGCACAGATTCTTGCCCTTCCGCATGGAAGCAGAAGACAGACCTTTGCAGAGCACGCATCTATATCACTCAATGCGCCTCATTTTCGTAGCTGACGCTAAGTATTTACCAGGCCTCTTCGTTTCGTCGTCTTGCAAAGGATCACGCTGCGCTGCAATGTTCCCTGCCTCCGAACTACCTTTTTCCGGACTACTCGGCCTCACTTCCTGATGATCTCACCCAACTCCTCATTCTGATCACCGGCGCAGAGGGGACACCATATTCACAAGGACTATGGCGGTTACATCTCAAGATGCCCCAAGACTATCCCAAGAATCCACCGAGAGCGACTTTCAGAACACGAATCTACCACCCAAACGTTGAAGAATCTACAGGCGCAGTCTGTTTGGAGACGCTGAAGCGAGACTGGGACTCGAAGTTGACGCTGAAGGACATACTCGTGACCATTTCATGTTTGTTGATACAGCCAAACCCTGACTCGGCGTTGAACTCAGCGGCTGGCGCTTTAATACAGGAAGACTATGAAGCCTTCGCCACCCAGGCTAGGTTGATGACCGGCATACATGCGCCCATCCCAAAATATCTAATCAATGCGGTTGAGCACGCCAAGCGACGGGGTGAGGAGGAGCCAGACGATCAACAGCCACTCTCAGATTTCACGAAGTGCGAGCCACAGATCATCCGGGAAGACTCTGGCGAGGATAACACGAAAGAGAACGAACCCGCTCAGTCTCGCTCACTTGGACTGAAAACAAGCACGAAAGGGAAGCGACCGTTGTCCGATATACCATCGCCTTCAGAATCGGGAGTCTATGCTGGCAAGAGCGAGGAAGCAACTGACGCATCATCCACATCACGGACCCATGAATCGGCAGAACCACCCAGAAAGTCTCCTAGGCGGGCGGGCCCAGATGCAGCAGGTTCGACCGAGGTTGTGAATATAATATTCGAAGATGACAAAGAGAATGCCGCATCAACGAGTGACAAGGTCGGTAAAGCGGCGGTATTGCCCCAGGCAACTGCGATGTCGAGGCCATCAGCGTTACGCAAAGTCTCGAATGTCGGCGCTGGAAGGAGGGGTCAGCCACGGGTCGGGATCCGAAGGCTGTGATGTGACGAACAACGGAGTCTGTTGGGATTTGTGCATTTTCTCAATTGAAGCGTTCAAGCGAGTGATATGGACACATCCTTGGGCGATGACACGCCGCTAGTGTATACGTATGGAATACAATGTCATGAACAGGTGCTAGACGAGGATATCAACAAGCACAACACATATCGCTCCTCGTTTGACAAGTCTGCAAACGACCCTGAGGCACCCGAGATCTGTTATGCAAGGGGTTTCCCCTGTCAGATCTGGAACGAGGTGGCATAGACCACTTAGACGCACTGTCTGCAGTCATCGTGCATCCAGCCTCGCCCAAAACTTCTTTGGGTAACCACTCATAAGCCAGTATACCCTTCGTTGCCCCGAGCGTCATACAAGTCGATCTGCTGCAAACATTCCATTCATGTACCACAGTATTACTATTCACCCCGTCAACATTCTTCTTCCGTGAACGACAAATATCTTGCAGTGGCCAGGAGGGACGGGTTGGTATGGAGTACCATCAATGGACGGGTCTCTGTTTATATAGAGGTGCAAGATACTTCTCTTTGTGCACGTTCACTCTCTCATCCTTTAGAACTATTGATCATCCACCATCTCCTAGAGCATAGACCTGCAGTCAAATCCACAAGCACCATCCATACACTATCAAGATGCATACACCACAAACCCAAGTAAGCTCACTCATCCTCGCCATCCTCGTCCTCCTTCACTCAACAATCACGACCGCCGTACCGCAAGTGACCACAGTCCCCGCCATGTCCGAGATCTCTGACGGTCAGCCGCAAGCACCATACAACACTGCAACTTCAACCTCAGCTTCAGCATCGGTATCATGGCCGTCAACAAGCTCCACGTCGTACGACAATCCCTTCACAAGTTACACCAGCATGACAAACTCGCTGGGCGTCATCACCGGTATGCCCTCTGTCGTTACCAGCCAACCCTCCGTCGTCACATCGCAACCGGTCTTGCCCACGTTGTCGAGCAGCTCGGGATTCGTGTATGCGAACAGTACAGGGACCACAAGCAGCAACAGCAACAGCCAAATCAGCGCGTACGGCTCAACAACGATCTCATCTCAAACGATACATAGCAGTACCACTGTTACTGCAAGCGCGAATGGGATGAGTGCAAGCCCGAGCTCGACCAAGGCATCAGCGACATTCGCGCAAGCCACTGGTGGCGCCACATTGAATCGCGTCGCCGGCGCTGGAGTCGGTCTGGTGGTTTTGGGGCTGGGATTCTCGTTGCTGTGAGCGGCCAGATTCGCGAGCACTCACGAGTGATCTGGGTCTTTGTCTGAAATCCAGACGTGATGAAAATGTATTATGATGCCCGACGACCTATGAATGTAAGCATGAACAAGCACCGGCAATGTTGGATCAGCAAGGAAAACAATGATGGAGTGAAAGGGGACAAGGCTTGAATATCGTGCTCGGAAGTGCTCCGGCTGACATAACATTAGGTATACTAGAATGTTAGAACCGCCCGCTCGAGGCTTGAAATGGAATTGAGCCAAGCTCAATTCTTCGCAACCATGACCTGGACCTCCATTGCGCTTTTGATGTTCCTCTCCTTGTCCTCGACGTCGATTGATAGTACACGCAAACTGCTGGCGGTTCGGGAAAACCAAGTGTATTATAGACCCCAACATCAGTGACTTGTACCGTCCAGTAGAGTGACACCTGGAGGATGGGAGCGCCACTCAGGTCTATGAGGTAGCAGGGATTGAATGCTCGGCGCGGCACGTGTGCTTGATGGTGACTTTTCGACGTCTCCAGAGGTCAAGTATTCTCGAAGAGGTTATTTCCCGGCACAGTGTAGCTCCGTTTTCGATTTGGTGATCTTCTCTAGATAGCTCCTCCACCGTGCGCAAACGGCCCTGCATCTTGACACCGTGCCGCATCAGTGCTTGCCGATTGCTTCCTGTGCAAGGCCATGCAAATCTAAGAAGTCTGCACAAGCACCGAGGAGGAGACGGGCTGAATCAGAACATCTCGTGTCGCCGGTTCTCAGCTCTTGACAGTGTCACCTTGCTGTTTCACCCATCTTAAAAATTCAGTTCGCTGGGCTCTGATATCCATAAAGCCCACTCGCTCCTCCAAACCTCGGAATGGATTTGGCTCGCCGTTTCTCTCAATCTTTCCCGCCCATGCACTCCAGCTAACAGGCTTCAAAGGCTCCGAACCTAGTATGAGGCCGAAGCAGGCCAGGAAGACGGAGATGAGGGTTTCTAATTTGATGTCGAGTGGGAGAGGAGCCGGTCTATGGAGCTTGGTTGACAATGTAGAGAACTCGTGGGCGGAATAGGCACTGCGACGGTCAGTCCAATCCCCTCAGAAGGTTGTATTCATACGTACGCGTGTAGCAATGAGAGTACCCCTGCTAGGACCAGCACTTGTGAGAGAAGAGCCATGGCTGCTTTGATTGTGTTCTCGCCGTGCTCAAGAGCCTTACTATGGACACTCTTTCTGTTCGGGTTGAAGGACGGATAATCGTCGGAGCCAAATCAGTGACATCTGCTCTACGTTTCCACCGCTGCTTTTACCATAATCCCGTCTAGATCTCGCCGCTCTAAAAAGTCATCTAACAGGCTTGTTGATTGCGCGCTTCTCACTTGAGGTGCTTTCACTGACCTGATGCGAAAGCCGGTCGATGGAGGACTGACTTATGGCAACAGCTTCCGAACTGTCCAATCGGTCAACTTCAGTACAAGCAGGACTTATTAGTCAAAGCGACCGAGGTCGAAACGGTAGAATTCAAACAGACGAGTATATCGACCCGTACCGTTATTGGGCGGCACGGCTCAGCAGCCCCAAGAATGTTGGAGATAGGCAAGATAAGTCTGGAAAGCACCAATAAGGTCAGGAGCTTGGGGGGAACCTCATGCCCATGCTTGCGGATCTTCGCTGGAGACCCTCATTTTCGATGCTTGATATCACGTCTTATTGCACCATGGTTGCATGCACGCGATGTTGTCAACCACATTAATTATTCGTTATCCTCCAATCGCCTTATAACAAGCGTCAGCCGTCGAGATGTGCGAACAATGCCCTTTAATTCCAGAGCGGTCCAGTCGTACGAGGCACCCGTCGCATTGCTCCTCTGCGGCGCTTGTTGCACAAGACGATCTGCCTGATCACACAGTGAACGACGACACATCATCTTATCATCAAAGCAACCATACAATTAGGATGGCCATTTCAAGACTGAAGACGGCCATCTGGGGTCCGCCTGGAGTCGAGAGAAGCCTTCTGATGAAGTTGGACTCGACGGTCCTGATGTATTTCTCCCTGATATGGTTCTTGTTCGGCATAAATCGAGCAAGTTATTCGACAGCATATATCAGCGGCATGAAGGAAGCCCTGAAGTTCCAGGGCAAACAGTACAATTACATGAACACCACCTTCATTGTCACGTACGCCGTCTTCCAGATGCCCTCAACTTCACTCTTGACAATTTTGCGTCCTCGATATGTTTTTGTCACTGCAAATACACTGTGGGCGATTCTCACCCTGATCACGTTCCGAGTGGATCGAGTGTGGCAGCTCTTCGTCTTGAATGGGTTCGAGGGAGCACTGTCTGCCATTTGCTAGTAAGTTAACCTGCAAGGGATCCTTCGGTCTGGTTAGCTAAACAATGTAAGTGTCGGTGCGCACTTCATTTATGCTACGTGGTACAAGCAGTCGGAACTAGGCAAGAGAGCGGCTATCTTTTGCGCGTTCGGGAACGTAGGCAACATGGCTGGAGGGTGGATCCAGGCCGCCCTCCTAGGCTCTTTGTCCGGGAAAGGGGGTTTACCAGCCTGGCGGCTCATTTTTATCGTTGTCGCCGTAACGACCATTCCCGTCGCCATCTTTGGTAGGAGCAACTTGAGCAATCCAAGACATGAACTGACGAATCCCCCTTCAGGCTGGTTCTTCATTCCTGACTTGCCATCTCATCGATCTGCGTGGTTCTTGTCCCAAGACGAAAAGGACCACGCTGCTACGAGATTAGGATCCACAAGGAAGCATTCCTGGGACTGGACAGTACTCCAGCGGGTGCTCTTGAGCTGGCAATTTTGGTTACTTCCCCTGATCTTCATGCGTAAGACCATCCCTTGGAGTGCGCTGCTGTTGAGATGACTGACACATTCCGGCAGTATATTCTCTGTCTGTTCAGATGCTACAGAATAACGTCATGCAGCTCTGGATGGCAGGGCGAGGGTATTCTGTCATCCAGCAGAACAACTACCCCACCGCCACATACGCCTGCGGTATTGTGGCAACATTCATTTATGCAGCGGTCTCAGATAGACTTCGCTCTCGGTGGCAGGCATCGCTATGCGTGGGGTTCACATTCGTCATCGGGAGTGCGATCCTTGTATCTGGACCTCCGACCGACGCCGGATACTTTTTTGCCTTCTACCTTATGGGCACCACCTACGCGCCCCAGGCATTATGGTATTCCTGGATGGCAGACCTCACCTCACATGACCTGCAACTAAGAGCCATTACGACGGGATTTATGAACTCCTTTGACTTTGCGTTTGTCAGTTGGTGGCCACTAATTTTCTATCCCGTCACTGATGCCCCCAATTATCACAAGGGGTATGTTGCCAGCTTGGTCACTGGTGCTTTGACAATCCCGGCAATTTTGCTCATCGCTTGGTTGGAGAAACGAGGACGGGCCAAAGGAATAATCGGTAGGACCCCTGAGGAGCATCATGAAGAGGCTGCCGAGCAAGAAAATGTCTCTGCGGGTCCGAAGCTTGAGGATGCTGTTGTCAAGGGTGCCGACACCATCAATCCGGTGACCGTGTAGCTATTTACCAAGAGCACCAGAGGATACATGGTCGATAGCCTTATGACACACCTGGATTCGGGGAGACCTGTGTAAATGGTGGTATTCTGGTTCTCCGGGCTTCTCAGCTTGCAACATGGTGTTAGGGGCGAATCCATGCGCGAAAACTGGACGATGGTCAATGCGTCGGTGAGGTAAGATAGATCACACGCCACGATTCCACGAAAGAGCCTGTCGATTCTGGCAGAGGTACTAAATTTGGCTGGATGCTCAGACCACCAGGTAACGTGAAACCACTTAGACTTCTTCTCCACACCGTTTTGACAGCTCAGCCTCCCATAGGTAGTATTGACGCAACAAATCCGTGTTCCAGCACGTATTCCCTATGTGCTCTATACTATGCAGCCCAAGACATGACTACGGTTGGGCAGCCCGAGCTTCTCTAAGGGCCATTGGCAAGCTGGCTTCATGCTATTCTCATACTGGTGCACTGACGCACTGATTCCAGCTGGCACCCTTGGACCATAAACGTCTGTACGACTGTTACCCCAGACTTGGTGATTGTGCCTGCCAACCACTATTCTTGTCGACTGCTACGATCAATGTGCTCAAGTCCATACGGTATCGAAATAGAAGTCCTCAAATTGATCAGGGGAGTAGAATGTAAGAATCTTGAACATAAATACCAGTAAGTACCCAGCTTCACAACCAACTTCATCATCAACACAACACGCCAACTCAAACAAACAACAAACCTTCAACAAACACTCCATAACATCTTCCAAATCCAATCACCAAACACTCAAACCACTTCCGTTCTCAACTCATTCAAAATGGTTAAAGTCGTCGCCGCCATCATCGCCATTGCTGGTCTCTCCAGCATGGCCTACGCCAGCCCCCTCGCACAAAAGGATGCTTCGGACGCCGTCGAGATTGACGCCCGCGCTGATACATGCAACCTTTTCCCCTGGTTCATCCAGCCATACCAGGGAGCCGACTGCACGGGTGCTCCTCAGAAGTTCCAGCCCGCCAGCGGCCCATACACCGACAAGCCGGTCAACAAGTACTGCCAGCCCCTCAGCGGTGGTCAGCCAGGTGTACAGGCCTTCAACTCCGTCTCCGTCAACCCAACTGCTTGCAGCCCTCTCCAGAGCTGGAAGATCAACCTCTACATGAACGACGACAAGTGCGTCACCAAGCCAATCACCGTCGAGAAGAACCAGTGCGTTGCTGCTCCCAGCGGTGCCCAATTCACCAGCTTCGATGCCATCGTCGTCTAAACGACGCACCGAGGAAGGGAGAGAAGGGAGAGAAAACCTGTACCATATCAGACTGCCAGCCATTCGTTTTTTGAATTTTGTGCTTTTACTGCCTTTTCGCGCTCAGAAACAAAAGCCTGTCAACTTAGCATGCTCATAGCTTAGCAATTGTTTCACCTGTACCAATACATATACCATTAGAAAATTCATAATGTCTTCACACACACGTATCTGTCTCTAGAGGTAGAGCTTGATTGAACAGGCCTGCCGATAGGTTGTCACAGACTACGAGCCAATTGGACTTGACCGAAAAGCTGTTGGATCAGTTCTCGCAAGTTCTGTGCGGGAATACCAGCACGACGTGATTGTGATTGTGATTGTGCGGACTTGCTGAATAGGTAAGGAAGAACAGAATGAGGTGAGTGCGATTTGTGTCTAGGTCAGCCTTGTAAGGTTGCCAACCACCTTGCCGCCACCCCCACCTTGTCGCCAATCGCATTTTGATGTCCTTCCTACCCACCTGTCAACTAAACTCTCATATATATCAACCAATTGCCCTCGCCGTCTCTCTATTTAAGATAGATAGGGCATCACGGGCCCTTGACCTCTTTCAGGAAGGCCGTTTCCGCAACGTATCGCAAGCCGCAAAGTGTACAACCACACTACGATCGACGATCCGTGATAGGCGCGATGGTCGCGTACCACGCGGTTTGGAAGAGCAAAAAAATGCTAAGTTATTAAGGATACAAGAGGAGGTCTTATATCAATATATAAAGGACTCTTAGCTATAATACTCGCTCGTTAATACTACCTAATTATCTATTGTCGCGTAGGCACTGGCGCGTCAAAGAGAGCCTAATGCGCGCCTCGGCAAGAACTAGATTTCAAGATTCTTGAATCGATATCCTGATCTCAAGCGTGGTCGTAATAGGTCTTTCGAATAGAGCCGTATAATAGCGGCTATCCCTAGTATACTCGAGGGCTAGTTTCAGTACCTTAACGAGACTATTTCACGCTATAATGTACGTCCGGAGGACCTCTAGAATATAGACGAGATCGGCTTTCAAATGAGTCACTCATAGAAAGAGTCTATAGTCTTTGATCGACGTATAGGACCTCCGATATCAATTACTAGTGGATCTACGAGTTACGTTTCGATTATAGAGGCGATCTTTACCGTTGGCGATACGATACGGCCTCTTATTATTCACCGCGGTAAATTACACTATTAACTACCTAATTATTAGTTCCCACCGTTAAACGAGTGCCCTAACTAGTATTAGGGCTTCACAAAGAAGGGCTAGACTAATAACGACTATACGCTCGAGTGGTTGACGATAGTATTCATCCTATAGTCTCGACGAGGACGTCATAAAGACAACACCTCTTACTAGCGAATACTTATCCTTAATAGCTACGGTAGTTATACTATAGGGGTATTTATCGTAAAGTATATTATAAATCAAATTCTATTGATTTATCTCTTACCTTACACCTCTTATCTCTATTAACCGTGCGATTTAGGGCTATTTAGTCAGCTAAAGGCATTCTACTTAAAACACCTCAAGAGCTATATTATCGCGGGCGATACGTAAGTAAATCGTGCTTAATTCAATCTACTATATTAACTTACACGGGAATTAGGTATAACAACTTAATATATCAATGCGGGTTGGCGCCGTAGTGGCCTTTAGCCTATCAACGTCAGAAAAGTACTCGATATACCTTAAGTTTCACAATATCGACACACTACGCTAGAGATCTTGCCTCCTAAACGACCTCATAGTTGCCCCCCACGAGATACGCACGAGTATAGCAAGATAAATAAGGAACTAGCGGCAAGATTAAGTCGATCTAGCAAGGCTATTATACGACAACTAAATAGAGCCTACTACGAGGTCTCTAGCGCCTATCAAGTACTGTCAACTAAGCTTTCAACTATCAGGAAACACGTGCTAGAGGACGAGGAGCGAGCCGTATCAAAGAGACTCAAAAAGCAAGATGAAAAGCGTATTTAGGATACGATCGAAGTCATATAGGGTAGGGGGTACACGGAGGAAGATACGGCAGTGTTATTAAGCGCACTGCCTAGCAGAGATATTATCTACGATATGGCCAACTCGGTAGGTTCATAGGCAATCCCCATACAAAGTTATAGACTCTCCATCGTCAGGATGCATAAGTGGCTACCCTTTGCTACAACAATATGCGAATTCATAAAATTGGCGACAAGGTGGGGGTGGCGACAAGGTGGTTGGCAACCTTATGGCGTCATCGGCTGCCCACGCTTTCGTGCGGATATTGCGGACTATTGCCGACGAGCAACAACACGACGCCTGACGACCACGCGTTCAAGGGTATGTACACCAAACACGGCTGGATATAGGTATCACAAAAGCAGTTGCACTTTGCCAAGTGTGTAGCCATCAGTATCCAATCAAGGTAAAATACGCAAAGATGCTGCACTCCCTGTCGAGATACGCGAACGAAGCCGGTGAGTCAAACCCTGCAGCTTGGCGAGGTGTCTGAGCGCTGTCACCAATAGCTGCACTGACGAGAATTCTGACGAGGTATAGCCGGTATCGAGAAGACGCTCAAGTTCATCCAGTCGTTCTCGCAGGTGGCCGAGAATGCTGTGGCATCGACGCCCAAGGAGGCTTTACAGTGGAAGACTGCCAAAGAGCAGACGAACCTCGGTAAGTTCCAGCTCATGCATCGACTCAACAGCCCGGGCATTCCTTGTCCTGTGATTCCCTGCTCAAGTGCTGTTCCTGCAGCCCTCCACATCGATGGAGTGACGCTGGCGCGATGAATTTGCGGTCATCTGGCTGACTTTGCCGGCAGCTCGCCGCTATTTCCGACTGTTCAAATGGATCGACTCCTGGACCGCAGCATACAATCAATACCAAACATACCTCGTGCTTGGCTCAGTCTCCAAGCCACCTTCCGATGTTGACAACATCAAGGTCGTCTTAACTGTCGCCAAGTTCTCGCTGCTCGGCATGTACCTGTTTCTGGAGATGTTTACCCTGGTAAGTACAGCACCACAGCATGTCACTCACTGTACCTCCGATGTTATGTGCTGTTGTCTGCCCCTCCGCCCAGGCAGTCGATTACATAGCTGAACCAAGCTGCTGACATACCATACCAGACCGACGCCATGCAAATCACCAAGACATCCTGGGCACCAACAATACAAATCGAAGCCCTAAAATTCTGGTTCTACTCGCTCGCCGTGTCCGTCGTGCTCAGCGTGTACGAGCTGTTCGTGCTACAATTCTCATCGACCTCACCAGCACACGCCAATGGTACCAATAGCAGCCCTGTCGAGAACGAGAAAACGAAAGCTAGTCAGGCGACTATCACCGTCAAATCCGGCGGCAAAGAGAGCACGACTGTCGTCGTCCAGCCGAAATCGACGTCCATTGCTCATGATTTGCGAGCGAATAGGCGGCAGGCGCTGTTCAAACAGATTGTGGCTGATTCCTGCGATCTGCTCATCCCCGGAGCGGTGGTCGGGTGGGTGCCGTTGGGTCCCGTGCCGGTCGGTGTGGCTGGGTCGATCAGTGCTGTGCTCGGAGGGTCGGACGTGTGGGCGAGAGTGAATCCGTAGGGCCAAAGGTAGGACATCATAGGTGGGCAAGGTTTCGCTCAAGAAAGGGATAGACGGAACCCGTATCGACGATAGGGGTGAGTACCTGAGTGAGGGAATGTCGATGCTCTGGTCTGGTCTGGTCGGCCCTCGGCAGGACTCATGATCAGCGATGTATGCCGGGCATGGGGGTTGACTGTTATCGTTGCCGTGCTACGGAACATTCTGCATGTGCTCGGATACCTTTGGGGGATGCTCGGGAAGTCCCACGGCGCCTATGGGGGGGGGGCAGATCTTCTCCTGCAACTACTGTATCGTGTTCGGGCATGCAGATGGGGTTGCATACGGATCAGGACCGAGCATGTGCATGTCACGCATGTCTGACAGGTATGGCATGGGCATGGGGCCACGGGAGCTGCAGAAGCTTGAGAGCTAGGTATGGTCCAGGAGGATAGAGCCGATCGTACGGCTTTGACCTTGGCACATCGGCCCTGGCTAGGGCTGCATGAGATGCTTGAAACTTACCCCTAGAGTCACTGGTGGTTTCCGACCTCCTCCGCCGTTACTGGCAGTGGCCAGGACTGCAGAAGATTCTTGACTAGCCCTCCAGTCACCAGTCACCGGTGCTTTTCGGCCTGTCGATGGACGCTGGGCGTTGCCGGGCGAGTGGTGGCCGAGCACTGGTACTGGCATTGGCGCTTCTTCCAGGCGAAAACGACCCTGCACACAAGATAGGACCACCAAATGAACCACCATCTTCGATTTTAAAAGTCCTTCATGCCCACGTTTACGCAGTCAACCTTTTGTTCAGAATAAACATCCGATCGAAAAGGAACATGCCGAGCACGCGATGTCCGGGAACATCAGATCCATGACGCAAAGACTTTTCTTATTTCACCATTGTGGCTGTTTCACTATCTAACCAATGGCTATAGAGCATCGATATCTGTTCCATGGGACCACAGAGACACTTCATATATGTACTAGCGTAACGTTCATGCACCTTGATTTATGCTTTGCCCCTGTTGATCGTTTCGCTTGTCAACCTGCAGGGACATACACACATACAAGGCTATTATAACTTCCACTCCTCACCACCGACGGACTGCCTCATCTATGAGTCCAAAGCGGCGTAGTAGCTGTAAGGTTGGTTGAGCAGGTAGAATCCCTCGGGCTGAGGCTCATTTGAACCTCCTTGCCAGATGGGGCTGGGGAGCTTCTCCACGCCACCACCAGCTTGCATGGTGTCCGAGAAGATGTACTCGAAGGTCTTGGCCCATTGGACACGGTTGTTGAAGCCCTCAAGACCCCATAGCTCTTGCAAGAAATGCAGCATCGAGGTGTGTGTGTAGGCGGAGGTGGATTCGTAGCTAGTACCTTCGTTATGGATGAGAGTGTTGGCTGGGATCCATGGCGAGATGAGTAAGGATGGCACTCGAACACCGAGACGGTCAAAGCCGTAGGTGACATTGTGGCCATCAGAGAGACCAGAGAATGTGATGCCATCCTCGGGAGGGGGAATGCCAGTTGGGGGTGGGACGTGATCAGCGAAACCACCGTGCTCGTCGAAGTTGAGGATGAAGAGGCTAGAATGGAAGGTTATTTGATGATCGGCGAGTGTGATAGGGCAAACTTACGTATTTTCCCAGTATTGGGAACCTCTGATGGCATCATAGATGTGCTTGATGAGAAGCTCACCGGCCGCCATGTTGCTGAGAGGGTGCATGGAGTCGATTTGGCAGCATTCGGGGTTAATGTAGGAGAATTGAGGGAGGGTGCCGTTGGCGATGTCCGAGAAGAACTCGTCGGCGTGGACGATCTTCTCCATTGAGTTCTCCTGGACCCACTCGTAGATGTAAGAGTCGATGATGTCGCTCTCGTAGTAGTTCTTCCACGAGATGTTCTTCTTGTCGAGGGCTTCGAAGACGGAAGTGGAACAGTTGGTTCCGGTGACGTTGGCGAACCAGCCGGTGGCTTGAGTGGCGGTGTTGTCGACGTATCCGCAGGTTGAGCCGGACGTAGCGAACATACGGTTGGGGTTGGTAGGTCCCGGGTGCTCGGCATGGTAGGTATCGAAGAAAGCATAGTTTTGAGCCAAGGTGGAGAGCGTGCTGCCCTTGGTCGGGTTGTACCCCTTGATGACGAAGGCACTGTCACCTGGAGTGGCATTGTACTTCTCGGACTGCCTCTCGATGAAGCCAGACATGTCTGGGGTGTCGCTGCTGGTCGGCTGCCACTTGCGGTAGATCTCGTAGCTGGTTCCCGCGAAATTGTGGTCGGGATCCGTGAGAGGAACTTCATCCTCGTAAGGGCTGGCACAGATCATGATGGGCTCATTGTAGATGGTCCAGTTGGGGTTGGTGAACTCGTTGCAGTACTCGATGTTGCGAAGACCATCAATGTCGTCACGGAAGTCCCAGTATCCAGCGATGTTGTCGAAGGAGTGGTTCTCCATCATCAGGTAAACGACATGGGTGATCTTGGAGCTCAGGTCGCCCCATGACAAGCTACGCTTGACTGGAACGGCGACAGCAGAGGAAAGAATGGCAGCCAGGGCCAGCGACGACTTGAGAATAGGAGCCATCTTGCAAAACGATTGACGAGCTGCTGTCTGCTTCGGAAGAACAACGAGGGAGGGTGAAGCGAACTCACCTGTTGTTTCTACATTATATGCTTCAGCTGCTTCATTGCTCTCCGACCATCGCAGTCAGTCAGACGGTGTGTGTGCCGAACGTTTCTCGCCATCGTCGATGCCGAGAAACCTTCTGAAGTTTGCGAATTCAGGCTTGCATACATGGACAGCCAATCTTTCGCACCTGCTGCGACACGTTGTTCCCGGAATCCAAGCGAGGCAGGAGAGTCCGAGGGATATTCGAAGGATTCTCCAGCCTACCTTCTGTATACAGCATAACCATTTTCGTCACTTCGACGTATAGTAGGGAACGTGTTCTGCATATGGGACTTGGAAAGCATCTTTCAAGACTTCAAAGCGGGTGGAGGTGCATATGCATGCTGCAAAGCTAAAGACCATGCAGCTGATGGAATAGGAAAGACGTTCGATAGCTTCTGTGGGCCCTTTATCTGCAGCCACGGCAGTCATTCAACGCAAGGGTCCTTCCTTCGTAGGCCCTAGCGTTGTAGGCTAGAAGGACCCCTAAGAGCCCTATAGACTTTAACGGTTTAGGTGTATGGGTTAGGGGACTTGGCGGCGGGGGAAGCTTAGTGGGTTCATGCTTAACTATGCTTGTTTAAACTCTGCACCGAGTGCCACCCACGCTCCCAGGCATACTGCTCCTTCCAATCAATGCCTATACAATTCTTGCTTATCCCACACGTGCTCTGGTGTTGCATAAACTCCAGCGGGGCAAAGGCGACACTGATCGTCACGCTGCATGTGCGACCTGTCGTTCCTGTCCTCTTCTGCATTTCCCGAGGCCCTGCACCAAGGTACCTACGCTACTGCACAATAGTTCCCAGCCCAACTTTTTTTCTGTTCGCATCCCACCTGAACACAAGAGTGCACGTTGCTTGTTTACAGGCCTTGATTGAAGACATTGATGCTGTTGCGGATTGTGGACAATCCCACAACGTCTTGCGGCCATCTTCCGAAGGCAAATCCTTGCCCTGCATACGAGTATTTTGCAGACTTCGTGCAAAGCTTCCTGGCAAGCTATCGTTCCCAAGGGCATGCATGGAATTGAGTTACATCTTGTCCACCAGAAGCGAGGATGCACAACCAACGGGACGGCTAACCGGCTTGAACAGGTTCTTCAAGGAAATGTTTTCGAATAGTGTATCCTCCCCTCGTGTCCTCACGTCTCTTTCTCTCTGAAAAGTCCTCAATGACAGAAATCTTCTCAGACATTAGCCTACTTAACACAGCTCCAAAGCAAACAAGCTCCTCCAACATCAACAACATGTTCAACGACAGTTACGAGGACGCCAACGCCATGGCTGCCATGGTCAACTTCTTCAAGCCTACCAAGTACTCTTCGCTCCCACGAGACCCAGAGAAAGAGGCACAAAGAAAGCCACTCTCGAAAATATCAGAAGAATCATCCTCAGAAACAAGCAGCCAGACGTCGGCGGAGACAGTATGCGAAGTTGGTCTACCTCTGGTAGAGAACGAACACAGGCCCGTCAATGCTCGAATCGTCTCAGACGCTATCATCGGGCTCTCAGACGGTCTTACCGTGCCATTTGCGTTGACAGCAGGCCTGTCGGCGCTCGGAGACACCAAAGTCGTCGTGTTGGGCGGTCTCGCCGAGCTCATTGCAGGAGCCATCTCTATGGGTCTAGGAGGCTACTTGGGAGCGAAGAGTGAAGAAGATTCCTACAAAGCCACTCTGCGATCAACACGATCCAAAGTCCTAGACGTCAGCAGCAACCTCTCTTCCGAAGTCACGGACGTCTTTGCGCCCTACCACCTCCCTCCGTCCACGTTGAAGGACTTTACACACCAATTGATCACATCCAACAGCCCCGAAATGGTGGTTGATTTCCTCATGCGCTTCCAGCATGGCACACCAGAGCCTGCGGCTAGCCGTGCCGTAATTTGTGCCTTGACAATCGCCACTGGCTACTTCATGGGCGGGTTTGTGCCACTTATCCCATACTTCTTCACATCCAACGTCACAGAAGGTCTTATCTGGAGCATCAGCGTGATGGTCCTGGCGTTATTCGCATTTGGATACGTCAAGACTGGTGTGACGGACGGTTGGAGGGGCGGGAGCTCTGTGCGCAGCAGCCTGAAATCAGGTGCTCAGATGGTCGTTGTTGGAGGCGCGGCGGCAGGATGTGCTATGGGTGTGGTGAGGCTGTTCAGCTCATTGCATCTACTATGAGTACCTGGTAGTGACGGCATAGGAGACGTGGACAGGATTGGACAAGCAGTATTATTATTAGCATAACCGATAAGCATTATCTGGGCGTTTGGAGCGGACAAAGGGCAATTGACATATCCTTGAAATGAACATCATCCAAACTCTCCCAACATGAATTGTAAACAAAACATATTCTGCACGAGCCAATATAACCCAATGTACCAATGGAGAAATTGAGCACTTCTTCAAGTGACATGTGTCTGTAGTAATGTCAAGTATGCGTCAATCAAGGAACGGACCTCGACGTTCGTGGAAGGGCAACGACCACGAATCATGCGTAATGCAGAGCGATGAGAAATAATCGAAATGCAGGTTTCAATAAGGCTATAACAATTACTTTTGGCTATTCTAATTCTGTCGCACTCAACTATTAACCACTACTACAATTGGAATCTGGATACTCTCACAAAATCCCGAAGCACCAAGTGTGTTACAACTTGTCCTGCGGCAATCATGTCCCCTACTGCGATGGCACGTCAAGACCAGTCAGAGCATCATATGGGTATGGGCTGGTGTAGTTGAAAGAAGCCTTCTGGCCAGCGTACGTCTTGACAATGGATGGCAAGACACCACGGCCGTTTGCGCAGGTGGAGGAGTTGGTTGGGATTGGCCAGACATCGGAGTAGAGCTCATCGGACAGAGGACCGGGGTAAGACTGGTTGAAGTAGACGCTCTTGTCGTTGAAGTTGAGGGCGGCGTTGACCTTTCCGGTCTTGCTGGAGACAATGTCAAAGACGTTGGCGTTGCAGTCCCATCGGCCGAGGGAGGGGAGACCCCAGTTCTCAGAGACGGTGGCGATGGTCGAGTAGTGGTTGTAGTAGGTGTTGTCGACGGTTCCCTTGAGCTTCTCAGGGATAGCACCGCCGAGGAGGATGGCGAAGACCTTGTTGGCAATGCCGTAGGTCTCGTTCTCGTCAAAGGTCAACAGGACCACGGTGTCGTTCATGAAGTATGAGTTGTTGAGGAGAGGAGCCATGAAGCTGCGCTCCCACTTGGAACCGAAGGTGATGTTGGTGTCGTGGGCGTCGTTGGTCATGTTAGGGGTGAAGAAAGCCCATTGAGGCAGTTCCTGGTTCTTGAGGTCTGTCTCGAAGTCGGTGAAGCCCTTGATCTGGCGGACCCGAGTGGAGTTGTTGGTGATGGACTCGTAGAAGATCAGAGGGTTGTGCTTTCGGACGTAGTCGTTGGCGTAGGTCTTTTGGTTGGAGTAGTTGAAGCCCAAGAAGCCTGCGTACGGGAGGTCCTCCTGGTACTCGGCCCAAGAGATGTTCTTGGTGTCGAGCAGGTCCACGATGGTCGAGACGTTGGCGGGGACGACGTTGAAGTCGTCGTTGTCCATGCCAAAGTTGTCACCACCGGCCGCGGCGCAGTAGTTGGGCTCGGACGGGTGAGTGGTCGCGAAGTAGTTGCTCAAGGTAATGCCCTGAGATGCGAGCCACGCCATGTTTGGGTCTCCCATGGCAGACTGGTAGTCAATGTTCTCCAGCCAGACCTGGTAGAACCGCTTGAAGGAAGCACCTTCGACATTGCTCACTGGAGTCACTGGCTTGACTGTGGCTTCAGCGGACTGTATGGCCGTGAGGGAAGGCTCGACCGTTGAGACGGCAGGACGAGAAGCATAAAAAGAGGATGCGGCAGGCACAGCAGCGGCCAAGTGGCCGGCAGCCAGGAGCAGAACAGCGGATGAAAGCATCTTGACTTGTGCAGAAATGATCAAATGTGAGAACTTGCCTGAGGTTGATGGCTTCAAGGATCCCTTTGCGCGCGTTGGGGATGAGGCGTCTTATGCTTCACCCGGTGACAGACTAAACAGGTCCTGTTGGACCCAAGTCTGCCACTCGCTTCGAGCAGACCAGCACGAGGTTGGACGTCGCTGCACTCGCAATGAAGTGGATGCCGAATAGCAGGGCGTGCTCCTCAGCTTCGTCTTGGATACTACGAGAGCCGACCCATCGATACGTAGTGCAGAAGGAGCAAGGGAAGAGCACGAAGCTAGGTTTACAGTTACGAGCCTCTTAGTGCAGTGGAATGCAAGGTTTCGGTGGGGCCCGTAGGCTGCAGAAATTAGCGTCCCCCATAAGCCCGTTAAAGCCTGTTCATACCTGAGGCGCTACTTCCATTCCCATAAGGGCCTTAAACCACTAAAACCTCATTCAGTGGCACGTGGGGGGTCAACGTCACCTTTGTCGACTTTACGAAAGACCAGCACCCAACTCGTTCTCTTCTTTTCACCGACCTCTGGACCAAAGAAAATCTCTGCTTAGCAATGGTCCCTGCATGCGAGGTACACGTGGGGGACCCTGCTCGCAGTCCTCGCACAGTTGTCCTGAATGTCGGCGTTGGTCCGATGCTTTTCTCACTTCGTCACAAGCCCACACCTCGGGTATGGCGGTATCTGGCAAGCCATGGGACAGCCTCGCAAATAGTGACCCAAAAACAAAGATCCCAGCCAGGTATTACCACGTCGCCATTCCTCGCCTCGCTAGCCAGCGAACAGAATGCTCGCGAGTTCCTGACCACCTCTGATCGGACTCCATCTGACTCAATCAGGAAGTCGCCATTCCGAATGGATTGTCTGGCCGTAAAGGCTGGACCTAAACGAGCACGTGCATCATGTCCAGCAGTGAGATACGTCTCATCCTGTCGAAGTTTTCGACATTCGTGCTGGCGTTTCCTTCCTCTAGCCTGACCAAAGATGTCTCCACGGAAGTCTTTTCGATAGTTGACAACATCGGCCCGAGTACGTCGTTCGCCATCGTCATTCGGTGCCGGCGATCATGACAGAGAAGGAATCCGAGGCTGTCAAAACCTTTCCGGCTGGGTGAGGTGCTCAACGAGGAGCGTAGATAGTTGATGGAAAGACTTTGCAACCGCAAACTCCACCCCGGACGAGGACGCCAGCGCCACCACGATTGCTGTCACTGCCCTGATTTTGGCGCTGGGTTCGGGTCTTAGGTCTTGGACGGAAACGTTACACAAGAACTCCTCTGGCGAATCCTCCAATCCGTCGACGTCACCTGGTCACTCAATATCGAGCAATTCGAGCTCGACCGGATCTTTGCAAGCCTAGTCTTACATATCACAACGAAGAGCGAATGTGGAAGACTACATCCTGAGTCGACAGCAGTCCGATGCCTTTCAATTTCGCCACAAGCATGCTTCCACGCGCGATGGCAGTATTTCGTGTTGCAGAGATATCCTCTCTACTGAATCTTCTAGCTAACACCCACAAGAGGTGTTCGCTACCGCCACGACTTCAAACATGGTAGCCCCGCTTCGAACGTCGGTGATTGCATGAGATATACGGAGGTATCCGTTCAGGTTGTCCCAATGAAGAGCGACGGCTGTCTGGATGAATCTCGGAGCACATCAAGCGGTTTTGCAGCTTAGTCTTACGGCTTATCACCAAGGCATGCGCATGACCTTGGTATCTACACATTTGACTGGTTGACCCCAGATCAGCTCCGCAAAAGGCGTGCTGACTCCCAGTCTTATCACTATGCAGAAGAGTGTGCTACTTTGTCTTTCCGGAGGCATTGCCGGGTCGTCTTGACGACAAATGCCGTATGGCGCGTTGAGTGTGTCCGAGAAAACATGCTCCCGTAGGCGTGCTCCATCAACAGGCGTGTCACTGCTCACCAGTTGCTGGAGCAGTTCCTGCATTCTCGTCATTCGGAATGGTGAATCCGCCCATGGACGTTCGAGACAATTTCCATTGCTAACGAGATGGTTCGTGTGGCAGACAATGCCCTGGCTATCAGGATAGATGTGTGTGTCGCCAAGTGGCGTAAGTTCCAAGGAAACTGGTCCAGCAGGGTCTGCTAGCAGGATGTGCTGAGCCGATGCAATGCTTCCAAGGATCGTGAGGCGTTGAATAGCCTCTGCCCTGCTTCGACTGTTCAGGCACACACGCAGAGCAACATGGACGGGGAGCTTCGAGGTATCAACCGGCTTTGCTCGAATCGAATTCAAGCATGTGCCAACGGAAGCAGAATTGAAACCTATCTTCCCAACCATGCCAGCCTGATGGCGTCAGACCTTTGCTCGGACGGCCGGAGAAAGGAAGCTTACTTCTGGCACCATCCAAATTTTTGGTTTGTCAGGTTGTGTGATGGACATGAGCACGACATTCTTCTGCATCTCAGTTGTCCAATCCCAATTCTGCGCAAGCAGCACGCCCTGATGTTTGCGGTCCCAACCAAGGCTGGAGCAGCCGTCTGAGAACAGTCCATGGGCAATGTCCGATCTGGCATTTATAGCAACCACGTCTAGGACGTCCACACCCGCACCTCCTGCAATACCTTCTATCTCGGCATAGATTTCGGGCACCAGAGTTGCAATAGTTGTGGCAAACTCGCGGGCGATGCTTTGGATAGAAGGCCAGCTCATCTGCGTCGTGGCCTGGAACATCCGGCCATACAGTTGGATCTCGCTTCGAATTTCCCGTGAGAGCTGCCGTCCATGTTCAATACCAATCTGATGAAACGGTCAACTAACAAGTCTGACTGCAACCAATTGCGCGCTACCTTTCGAGGGGAGCCGCTCAATTCAATCCTCCTTGGAAGACTGGCCATGGGCTCGATTCGGTCCATCGCGGGCACCCAAAAGCTGACGGATTTGCTCAGGCTGGGGACCAAAACGTGCTTCCTCGGCCTCCCCCATCCCTATGGCCGCCAGATTTATGGTAGCCAGATTTATTGCATGCTGTACAGGTTCGGAGATGAGCATACTGGGAACATCACTAAGCCTCTCCCAATCTTTATGGATGCCATGCGCGCAGACCAGTCATATTGCAGTCATTGCTGAAGTAATCAAAGCCCATGCCTGGAACGCCCAAATACTCGTCCGCCTGGCCGGCAACCTTGCCGACATGTTGAGGCCAATCGTTTCATCCTCTCTCCCCACGCCTTCCAGCTCCCCCCGCGGGCCACGAGCGACGTCTCAATCACTCGCTAGGATGTCGTCCTAAATCGATGCCCAGTGCGCTCACGAAGGATCACACTCGCGCCTGCAGAAATGAATCTGCGGATCAAGAGCGTATATGGCAAGGAGTCCATCTTCACCGTTTTGGGCACCGCCCTTGTCGTACTTCTTCCTTGGAGAGGCCTATCCACCACTGGAGTTGTTGCCTGGATTTCAGTCTTCCGGTTCGTCACCGGCATGGGTGCAGGGGGAGGTGAGTTTCATATCCCCGAGTTGACATATCGGAGACCCTAATGCCCGTGTCAAGACTATCTCATGGCTTCAGCACTTTCCGCCGAGCACAGTATCGTGGGGACCAGAGCTCGACCATACTGCTGATATTCTCAAATAACTCTTTGGAGTCCATGACGGCCAGCATAGTCCTGGTGATTCTCCTCGCCGCCTTCAAAGGTGCTATTGCAAGGGACATCAATCACCTGGAATGGGTGTGGCGCTTGCTTCTCGGACTGGGTATCATCCCGGCAGCATGTACATTATATGTTCGGTGGAGGATTCAGGAGACAAAAGCTTACGGAGAATGTGAGGACAACGAATTTACTATTACAGCACGAGCCACTGACAGACCTACAGATGTCGTCAAAAGATCCAGTGGCCGAAATTACATGGTCCAGGTCCGCGAATTTCGCAAATACTTCTCTGATTGGAAGCATGCCAGAGTGCCGTTTGCGACCACGGCTTCGTGGTTCCTTTAGTAAGCCGCAGCTCACATGGGGATGTTCATTGCTGATTCGTGAATAGTGACATCGCCTCTTACGGCATCAGTCTGAACCAGAGCATAGTCCTTGAAGACATACGATTTGCCGGCGGTAAGGACCCATGACAAAACTCTGGAAGATTGCCGTCGGCAATACCATTGTGCAGCTAGCCGTAAGCAAGCAGTCAATCTTCGAGCATCACTCATTGATAGCTAATATTCTTGCCAGGGCTGGGTACCAGGAGTCTACATGGGTGTTTTTCTTCCCGATCTTATTGGCCGTCGTGCGCAACACTGCGGGACCTGTGTTCTTGCTTGCGTATTCTTCGCCATCTGGGCCGGCGTCAGCGATATCTCCAGCTCTGGTGGACTCATTGCGCTCTTTACTCTCTCTCAGTTCGCTTTGGCATGTGGACCCAGCGTCACGACTTTCCTGATACCGGCCGAAGTATTCCCTACTCGTGTGCGTGGCACCGCTCATGGTATTTCCGCAGCATCGGGAAAAGCTGGCGCCCTGCTGCCGGCGTACTCTTTCGCCACAGCCACGAAACAGATTGGCCTCCGCGGTGTCCTAGGTCTGCTTTCAGGGGTTCTATCTTTGGTTGCCCTGGTCACTCTTCTGATCCCGGAACCGAAGGGAAAGACGCTTGATGAGATTGAAACCCCACTTTCCGCCCATCACCTACCTTGCGAAGGCGCCATTTGTTGTTTGGCCGGGTGTTGGTAACAGTCCGCATCATTAACGGCGGCTTGAGCTTCCAGTTCGTTTCAACCTTTCCCGGGCAACGACGTATATAGACCATAGTATAACGATAAAGGATCATTTCCTTGTGCTTCCCAAGGGAGAAAAATGTGACATGGTGTTCTCGGCGGCTAAGGATGGTTAATAGTTTCTCTTACTGTTCCGCTTGATGAGAAATATCGCTCCGGGCATAGGCTTCTTCACTAGAACACCCCGCACGGACGACTAATGACGGATTAGCCTGCAAATTTAGCCATTAGTTCACAGCCTGCGTTTAGCTTACTGCATCTAGAGCGGCTTGCTTCCTATCTTGGCACCGTCGTCTTCTTTTTGGGGAATGTCTCAGGACAGATACACGGAGTATCTATCCGATGCCGGCGATATATCGGCACACTTTGATCGTACTAAATCTATATGGGAGAGAAGTACGATCATATACAACAAATATAATGATTATGCTACCACTACGCAACCTTACCCTCAGCCTTACCGACCTCGCTGTTACTCGTAAGGTTAAGTTTATATATATAATTTTTATATGTTTTAACGTCTTCCCTAGCTAGGGAGTAAGCCTTACTTATAGGCGCTTACTAGTTTTACCGTCGATTGCTTTTATCTCTTACTTTTATCTATAATACCTCTTGTTGCGGGCTTAAGTTATCAACATTAAGAGTTTCTATATAAGTGTAATCGATAGCGAGGTCGAATGCTTCAAAAGTAGTCAAAGATATAAGTGTGGTGCAACTGTCCTAAGCTTGAAAACCGAGCTATATTATTTATATGGCATTTGTATGGGGAAAGGGTGAACTTAAGCCTTGGCACCTTGGCAGTATCTGGTCGCTCGGCAGCACCCGCTGTATCTGTCCTGAGACATTCCCTCTTTTTGACTTGACGAACTTCAGTTTCTTATCTGGATAATCCAACAAGCTCTTTGCCTACCACTACGATGCTGTTACTCGCCGGCCTTCGCCGATGATATTGATCCCTGTGAGACATGCTGAGAAAATCCCGAGGTGGATGCAGTGTTTGTAAGAGCCGGAGAGTGAGTGTGTTTTCTGCCGGTAACCGAAAGACGTCGCAAAGGGTGCTAATCATGATCGCAGGTCAAATGTGACGAAAAGAAGCCTGCCTGCTCCGGATGTGAGACTCCATGGCATCCTATGGCTTCGTTTAGTTTATCTGTCCTAATCCCTTCCAGGTTCAAATCGCGGCTGGACATGCCCGGGTTATCACAGACCTTTACGATGGTCATCCAAACACCAACAAGACAGCTACTTAGCTATGCCACATTCACGTACACGTTCACCGCAGGCCATGACGATTACCGCTCAGCGCCAGACTCACCACGAAAGCATCCTTGGAGGACATACACGAAGGGGAACGCTTCAGGATGCCTCCCCAGATGACCTAGTTCAAATTGCCAACGAAGAAGAAGGACTAGAATCGCTTGAGTCGGAATCACCTTCTTCTACTCCTTCAAATGCTCTTTTATTGCAATCATCAAAGCATCGGCCTACGCTGGTTTTCCAAGACGACCTACTTCTGGTGAACTGCTATTCTGACCGTCTCGCTCGGATACTATCTATTTATAACGGATCATTCAATCCATTTCGGGCAGCAGCCCTCTCCGCATGGACACGGTCGTCTCTACTTATTTCTCTATTCAAGTTTTTGGCCGGTGCTTACGAACTGAGCTTGACTGGTGGGAGCGGTCTCGACATTGTCGTAAACGAAGCACGTATCAGCACTCTCAATCAAATATCGCTCATTCTTTCAGAGATCGATTCCGTTCACTCGATGAAAAAGATCGAGCTCCTCCTAGGAATCGTCATGTTCGGCCTTAGCAGTAGCTGGTACGACCTAGAGGACCTTGGACTCGCCCATTATAACGCCGCTGCTGCGTTACTACGAAGTGTCGACATCGAAGAAATCATGCCGACACAGAACTATCAATATTTCGAAGAATGTTTGGTATATTGGTGGATGATGCTTTCGTTCGCCTGCGATCCTTCTCAGCAGGTCATCCAGGACCCTCCTCGTCTCACTCCAATGAGCGCAACCAAGCGTCGAATTCCTCACCCCTTGACCGGAGTCTCCTCCGAGGTCCAATATTTACTCGGCAAGGTTGGGTATTTGGTGCTGGGAGAACGGCGCAAATATCTTGACCGTCCACTAACGACAATCAAAACTGTTCTAGAGTCCCTCTCCAACATCGAAAGTGCTCGAGGCCTGGAATCTCAACTACACACTCTGGATCTACCCTCGGCAGAATCAGTTGTCGACCCAAAGGACCCGTACACTCCGGTTGCAGATCTGATCAATATAGCAAACGCGTACCGAGTATGTGGTCTGTTATTGCTCTATCACGCATTCCCGGACTTGCTCAGGACCAAACTGGCACATGGTTCTAACGACGAGACATGCGGACCTAGAAGTGAGTCAATGGAGGACCATCTGGTGTCACTAGCCCTCCACGCGCTACACATTCTTGCCAAGAATAGCGAGTTATCTGGTACTCGCACTATCGAGGCTATCATACTGGTCATCATTTCGGGCGAACTTGGAAGCGTGCCACGAGTCGATGCAGCAAGGCAAACATTGAACCCTCAGGTTGAGCTCGAGGACACGTCAGGAAACGTGCCGGGACGGAATCTGACTGGCATGGATGCTACAAGGCGACAAGAATCATTGCAACAGGCAAGAGCAGCCGTCTTAGCTCGGTTTGAGCGGGTACAGTCTGTGCTTCCATTTCAGACTATCGACCGCATGAGAATGCTTGTTCTAAAAACCTGGGATTTGATGGATCAAGGAAAAGACATTTTCTGGGTGGATGTGATGATTGAGAGCAAGTGGCAGTTCTTGATGATTTAGATTCGTGACCGGGAAATCCTTGGGCAAGCCCATGTGCCGCACGGACTACTCCGTACGTTCCCCACGCCATCGGAGTGCAAAGGCATCGGTTTGGCATGTACAAATACATTTGCAAGACCCCCTCCCCAACTTCTGATGGCAGAAATATTCAACCGCCTGGATACAACTTCGAAAACTCGATCAATTGACACGTCTCCGACCGACATCCAATAGAATGCATATACTCGTTGTCATTGCCCATCCAAACCAGCAATCCTTTTCCCATGCAATAGCACAAAAGGTTATCGATGGAGCCAAAGACAAGGGTCACACGGTCAAGACCCTCGACTTGTACCAAATCGGGTTCAATCCAATCCTTACAAAACGAGATTTGGAGCAATTTGAAGGTGTCAAAATGCCGGATGACGTCCTGGAGCATCAACGACTCGTCGAAGAAGCAGAGGGGATCTTCTTCATCTTCCCAGTCTGGTGGTACGGAATGCCGGCCATGATGAAAGGGTGGTTGGACAGAGTTTGGTCTGCGGGATGGGCATATCACTGGAAGCATGATCCGGAAGGAAGCCTTCTCGACCATCGACCCTGTACGATATTGGCTCTGACGGGGGCATCATCGAACCAGCTGAACCGCTGGAGTTACGACAAACAAATCCATCATCTCTGGCGCTACGGCGTGTTCGGTTACTGTGGATTCGATCCTCTTCGAATCACCATCCTCGAAGATTGTGCGTTCGACGGGAGTGGCAAACACCGCGGTCATTTAGAAGCTGCCTTCCGAGCCGGTCAGCAGATTGGAAGTGATCCAGAGGCCACTCCTGGAATTAGGTGCTTCTTGGATCATGGACTAGACCATAAGGGTGAGAAGTTCATCCCTAGATAAACTTCGAGTATAGACAGAACCCTGAGACCAACCTACTGTACCTGCCTAGTCGCACGCTGCCTCTCAGTGTAACCTTCTTCTGGTCTAATGGTTATCGACACAAAAATCGAGACGGGCTCATCGGGCATAGGAAGATTGGACCTAGGTAATGTCAACGCTCATTGGCTGACGTGATAGGACTATTCCGGATTTGTTCAGAGTTTACGAACATCCTTGTCAGAATCGGGTACGAAGTAAAGCGGATTCTGGACTATGTGACCACATGGCGATGCGGTCTGTTCCACGACAGAGCTTCAGTTCATGGAGAAGGCCGCTCGAGAGTTCAATGTGGTCGTGTTGCCGCTGAATGGTCAACTGCGAATCCACGATTACAATACACTCGTCAACGTCAGCAACTTCTCAAGACTACTCAAGGAAAGGGACAGCCTCAAGGCTATTTATTCAGATACTGACATTTCTGCCGGAATTTCTCGAAGGTCCTCGACCGCCACACTGCTACATCTTACTTTCCGACAATCAAAGTTTCCACTTACCACGACCTTCTTATTTCGAAACGACTATGGGAGACATGGAGTCATTGAAAAGTGTTCATGGCACGCTTCCCGCTTCATGGTATCGAGAGAATGGTATGTACGAGCTTGAAAAGAGGGCCATATTCTCCAAAAGTTGGCTCTGTGTCTCCCATTCCATGAGATTCAGAAGCGTCGGGGAGTTCGTCAAGTATGAGATAGCAGGATATGAGTTCTTCATCATCCGTGATCGCAAAAATAGGCTCAAGGCATTCCTGAACATCTGTCGCCACAGAGCATATCCGATTCTTGACAAGGAGTCTGGCAAAGCTAGTATTCTGTCATGCAAATACCATGGTGAGTCGATGCCAGAATGGAGGAGACGGCTATGCTCACTCTTGCCAGGATGGTCGTATGGTCTTTCGGGGGAAGTTGCCAAAGCTCCACGATTTGACACTATGGAGCATTTCGATAAATCCCAATACTCACTATTCGAAGCCCATCTCCGTGTTGACAAGCTGGGCTGGGTTTGGGTGAACCTGGACTCTGCTAGTCCTCCAACGATCTCGTGGGAAAAACACTTTCAGGGCGTGGACCAACAGCCCCGGCTGGGGAAGTTCACGATGGAGGCTTTCGAGTTTGATCATACATGGGAGATGGAGGGTGAATACAATTGGAAGAATATCATCGACAATTACAACGAGGCAAGTACGGCTCCTGTACTTATAGTGGAAGATGGAGGACGAAATATCTAACCACTCGACAGTGCTATCATTGCCAAACTGCACACCCCGGCATTGTTGCCACAACAAAGTTGCCTACATATGATGTGGTCTGCCAGAAAGGATGGATTGAGCACCACTCTGAAGCATTGGACACGGTCGAGCAAAAGTATGGTGTTCAGCCAACTTACCTCTTCCCTAACGCTAGCATCACAATCTCGTAAGTACCCCGGTCCTTGAAAGAAGAAGAACTATTTTGACATCCGTCAGGGATGAATACACATACCTGATGCGTGTTACTCCGACATCTTCCAAGAGCGTCAAGATGCAGTACGAGGTGTACCGGCGCAGAGGTCTCGCAGAACAGGAATTCAGGGACATAGATGCATTTTTCAAGCAGATCGAGAATGAAGACAAGGGTCTGAGCAATGGGGCCCAGAGGAACCTGAACTCAGATACGTACGTCAGCGGACCACTGCACTCGCACAACGAGAAAGGAGTCATCTACTTCAAGGGTCTTGTCAAAGCTGCAGTCGAGCAGCATTGGTCGGAGGAGGAGAAGCTTGGCCACAAGATTGTCCCTATCCGGAGAAGCATGAGATCTGAGTCTATCGAGGCGGAGGAAAGGTTCTGCAATGCGGTATGCGGAGATGAAGAGCTGAAGTCGTTCTCGGATTGGTAGTCTAGAATGCTCTGCCTTTAACAGGCCAGGTTTCAGTTTCCATAGCAATCAGTCTTCATTCTCTCAAAACGACCAATAGGTCATCTTAACCTCTTCCGCCTGGCAATGTCTGTCTCAGGCCACGGAATGGCGTCTCTACTCGTCACCTTGGAATAACACGTCATCTGCAGCTTCAATCTGGGACTTAGCCCCGTTCGACTTCCATGAGATCCTGGAGCAGTGCTACGAGCGAGCATGCAGGTACCCCATAGCTCCAAAGACGAAAGGAACTGTGGATCATTGCTTCTACGCTAAAGGGACAAACTTTCTTGATCTGGTCTAGCGTAACCTTGTTCCACGCCCGCCCTCCCGCTTCGATAGCAAAAGCTTTCCTAAATAATCTCTGGGGTTCTGAGAAATGACTGTGCCTACGGGCAATTTGACAATCGATGGGGTGTCTGGATCTCGCTAATGTCCGTGTCGTCGAAACGATCAGAGCAACGGAACAACATCCCTTATCTCTGCGCTGGACGCAAGGGGCTGTTCAAGATGGCGTATCCTTGCAGACCCTCTACCTTGAGTCTCGAGGGACTATGTATAAGCTCAAAAGTGTTGCCTTCGCTTTTTCCCAGCTCAGCAAGTAATTGCACACATATTTGTTCTGCTCCATCAAAACTTTCGGAACAAAAACCGCGATGTGTTCATCTCAACTTCTATCAGCCAAATTGGGTCCAGAAGACGAACCGGCCAAGATGGAGCTGAGCGCCAACGGCGACTCCCAGAAGTCAAATGACGTTGCAGGTGCGATCAATGTCGACTGTCCTTCAATTCACGCCGTCCAGCTCGATGAGCTCAATGCTGCGGACCGAGCACTTGCAGAGCATTTTGGATATAAACCTGTAAGTCGAAGCCGTGTTGTCATGCTTTTGCCCACATTCATACTTACCGCGGGATTGATTGGAAAAGGTGTTCCAACGCCACTTCGGCTACCTCTCAACCTTCAGCTTCGCCGTCAGTATCTCCGGCCTCTTCGCAACGATCACCACCACGTTCTCCTACCCACTGTACGCCGGTGGCTCCGCATCAGCCGTCTGGTGCTGGTTGATCTCCGGCTTGGGTTGCATGTGCATTGCTTGCTCTGTGGCCGAGATTGTCTCTGCCTACCCAACATGCGGCGGCCTCTACTACAGTGTTTCTCGTCTCGCTCCTAAGGAATGGGTGCCGTCGATTAGTTGGGCTGTCGGCTGGATCAACCTCCTGGGCCAATTAACGGGGATAGCCTCGTCCGAGTACGGTTCTGCGCAGATCCTGCTTGCGGCCGTATCGATGGCTAGGGATTTCAGCTGGTATCCTACCACCGGTATGACCGTCGGGGTCACGGCAGCGCTAACGGTTTTAACCGGTCTGATCAACTCGCTGCCAACGTCCTGGATGGAGAAGATGACCAAGACATACGTGATCTTTCACTTTTCGGTCCTGCTCGCCTGTGCGGTTGCGTTGCTTGTTAAGACTGAGGAGAAACACAGTGCTGCGTACGTCTTTACCCATGTGGACAAAATCCCCGAGTCTGGATGGAATCCTACTGGGTTTTCCTTTCTCCTAGGTTTCTTGTCTGTGTCCTGGACTATGACTGGTTACGATTCGACTGCGCATATTAGTGAAGAGTAAGCGTGTCTATCCTGAGATGTTGGCTGATTGCAGCATACTAATGAACTGCCTAGGATCAAGGACCCCGAGATTATAGCTCCATGGGCCATTTTCCTCGCCATGGCGTCTACCTATATCCTAGGCTGGCTGTTTACTATCGTTCTTTGCTTTTGTATGGGCGACGTCGACAGTATTCTTTTCTCTCCTATCGGCCAACCAGTCGCTCAAATTTACTATAACTCACTCGGGAAACGCGGGGGGATATTTTTCACCGTCGCTGCCTTCGTTATCATACAATTCGTATGTTTCACGGCGACCCAGGCGCTCGGCAGGTCGATCTTCGCCTTCTCACGGGACCGGCTCATACCTCTCCACAGAATTTGGATTCGGATCGATAAACGAACCGGTACACCCCTCTACGCTATCTGGATCTCAGTCTTCGGGATTATTGCGATTAATCTAATCGCGCTCGGGTCCTACACTGCCATCCTCGGAGTCTTCAACGTCTGCGCAATTGCGTTTGACTGGTCGTACTGTATACCGATCGCGTGCAAGCTAGCCTTTAACAGGTTTAAGCCGGGGCCATGGACCATGGGTAAGGCGGGTATAGTTGTGAATGCTTGGGCGTGCTTGTGGACACTCTTCGTCAGTATCATTTTTGTGGTCCCCGACTTTCGCCCTGTCACTCCGCAGGATATGAATTATGCGATTGTGTACATTGCTGCTATTGCGCTGGCATCTGTCTTCTTTTGGTACGTGGGCGGTCGGAACTACTATCTCGGCCCTGTCGTTGAAGCGGAGGTTCAGGGTACCATTGCCGAAAACAGCATCACTTTTCGAGGCTTGGACGGAATCATCAACTGCTAGTAGCAGCCCTGGTGAAAGGTCGCGAAAACCGGCCACGAGATTGACTGTGCCAGGTTGTTGGCCAACAACTCTTCCAACATGGCTCTACCCTCTAGGAATGTGGTCGACAATCTCCATACAGCAAGGATATAGATTGGTTCTTTTGCCATTTCAATGTACACCCTAAGACGCAGCATTGCCTTGCAGATGAAGGCACACTGGTCCAGTTGAAAAACATCGAAGTAATCAGAGATGTCCGTAGTGGTAGAGGCTTGGTTCAAAGAATTTACCGCCTACTATTTACCGCATTACCAATAAGGTTATTCGATTTCATGGTACCTATCGTATTAAAAATCTTGGTACTCATCGACGGGTATTACAGAGTAGGATGGTAAGTTCTGACATGTCGAGATATTTACGGGAAGAGCTGCGACACTCTGGTTTACAGTCATTTGCAGTCAGTTCAAGCTCGAAGTGTTGTCAGTCGAGCCGTGACCTGCGGGATCTGATCTAATTCATATGACTTTACGTGATTTCGTAGAAGTACTATGCCCAGTTTCCACAATCTGGCATCCGATGCCCTTGATTCGCTGCCGATGCGAGATTGCCTTGTCCAATCCGAAGAGGCGCTGTCTCCAAAGCATGCTTTTAGGTGAGAATCCTCGTTAGTGGATCAGCATAGGGCTAGTTCTTCAAAGCACAGCCCGATCCACATTACACCTGGACCCTATGCACGCTGTCTTCAAGTTCATCAAAACCATCACGCCTTTTCCGGGAATGTCTCCTCTACGCCAGCAACGTCAGATGTGCTCGAATTCTCGGAGATTTCGACGACCGGTCGGTCGCTTTCCTCGTCACCACGGTTTGCTTTCCGTTGAACCAGAGCAGCCAGAGCGAGTGAAGTGAAGACTTGGCAGAACAGGAAGCCTGCCGCCGTGTAGTTTCCACTGACAACCGCAGGCTGATCGACAGTCTTGAAGACGGCGAGGGGAATGGTAGCTGCGAATACGGCTGCCCAGACGTTGAGGCCGGCCAGAGCAAACGATCGGGTGGCGGGGTCTCCAGCAAGGATCTCGCTAGTCCAGGCCCAAAACATGCAGTTAGATGCCTCTCCCCAGCCGCTGTTGTAGTACAAAAACCATCGGAAAGCTCTGTTGTGGGGGTAGACGGGGGTCGCTCCCAGTATTATGCACACAATGGCATTGATGGTACAGCCCAAGACCACCATGGGCCATCTGCGAGCGTTGAGGAAAGTATCACCTTTGATTACCAATCAGCTTCAAAACTTCTTCAAGGGTTGCATTGGAGAACTCACTGATCCATGCCATGCTGACCGTTGTTACAAGAATGACGGCATACATTGGGGTGGTGTAGTCGTTGATTTGAGGCACAGTAAAAGATCCTGGCTTGACGGTGTTCCAGCCCTTGAACCAGAAATTCAAAGAAAGGGATGGTTGCATGCCAATCATGTTGCATACTGATATAACCCAAAGCAGCCAGATCTCGAGTGTCGTGAACCAGCGTCTGACCTGAGGAAGAGTGAAAGATCCCTGCTTGGCTCTTCCTTCTTTCGGTTGACGATCTTTGGCGAGGATGACTTCTTCCTCTGTAAACATCCAATTTGCCACAAGCCGAGACGGGACCTCTGGAAGTAGGACGATCTGTGGAAGGGTGACCACAATCGAGATGATGCCATCGATCATCATAAGCTAGGGGTCTATCAGCACTCGATGAACAGATACCAATTTCCGGGAGCTTTGATGGACGTACCCATCTCCAACCGGACATGCCGCTGACTCCATCAAGGCCTTTGTACGCTGCGCTTTGTAGGTATGCACCGGCCATGGGGCCGATTTGAGATGCGGTGTTGACCAAGGAGAGACGGACTCCCAGCTCTCGACTTTGATACCATGATCCGCAGAGATACATGATTCCGGAATAGTGTCCAGTTTCAAAGATGCCAATCAGCGTTCTCAAAGCGTACATCTGTCCTGCCGTGTTCATTCTGGCTTTTGCGAACGTGCATATCGACCAGAGTAGCTGGATGGCAGTGATGAAATATTTCGGCTTGGTTCGAACAAGAATGAGACTTGCTGGCCACAGTGCAACAATAAGTCCAACATTGTAACAGGTCGTGGCATAGTTGAGTTGCTTTTTATACTTGATCAGCGCTTGTTCTCGTCTCAACATGGTGTCGGCCAAGCAAACTCACAATGCCATAAAAGCCCAGCTCCTCCTTCATACCAGATACGAAGGCCGTCTGAAGATTCGTTCTTGATTCACATCGTTAGTCATGATTGAGCAAGCTTCATTCTAGCAAGCGATAACATACTTGTCGAGAAATTTCGTAAAGGTGCCGAGGAAGCCAAACACAAGAAGTGTGTAGTCGACCTTGCGTAGAAGGCGTTGTTCCTTGGAAGCAGCAATGTCAATACTGTCATGGTATAGCAGAATGTAGCGGCCCAAACGTACCTGTTTGCTTTTGGCCCATGTAACCCAGATGTGGCTCCTCCATTTCTGACCCTTCGTAGGGGCCTCTTGGAGACTTCTCTCGGAAGAGACGGTCTCATTGTCGACGCCCATCTTGAAGAACCTTCCAATCTGGAACTCAAACACCTTTACCGGATGATGGTCAACGACGAAGGGGGTTTTCGAAAGGTGAGTGAAGGAAATGTGGACTGACGGCTCGGGATGTAGATGTATCAAGGCATCGGACCCTGCCACGTTTATCGCCTGTTACCAAAGAATGGGATAGGGATTCCCGAGGTCATGATAAAGTCTGCCACGGCCCACTTACTACTAATACTGTGAGATCGGTATCTACTCCGAACCCGCTGGCTAGAGCCAGTTTTGAAGCCAATGCATTCACTACTATGTAGAATGACATCTGAGAGGCTCACCAATACATGTTGGGTACTGGGTCATCCACTCGGAGATTTCCATAGGACCCATATATGAAGGCTCACGGTCCTAAGTCCTCGTCACATCATTCTGGAGCAAAAGTGCGTGATCCTTGGCGAAGACGAGATGACAATAACGACGCGTCTCTCGAGTAGCTCATTGGATCTATGGGGAGTCTGGGAGCAGATGCTTTTTGTATACGTGACGATTCTCTGTTTCCTCTTTTGGTATTCTAGACTTACATTCATACAGACAGCTCCAGGCGAGGCTGATGAGGGACAGACGATGCCCGACTTTTACTCAACATCAGATGAGGCACAAGAGCGTGAAAGCTCTGCAAGATGTATGGGGTATCATCCACTGTTATCTAGCACACAATTGACACTAGAGTGCCGTGTAGCCGTATTCACTGTGTACAAGCTATTAGTATCTGTCACTCCACTCTACTAGCACCAAGACCCTTCTCCACGACAGTAGATGCGTTTCATGCTACCATCTTTCTGTACGGAATCTTCCTTGCCGACTTCGGACTCAGGACCGAGAGATGAACGATATACATTTTGTTGCGGGTTGCTCAATATCGATTTCCTCGGCATCATTTCCTCTACAACCCAACGGAGTGTAAGTCAATCTATCGCCATCATGTCTGAGGGACTCTTGCGCACTCCTCTGGCTTATTCCGGCTCATTGGATGCATATGAATCCGCGGACGTCACTCCGCCGATCGGACGTGAATATCCGAAACTACAACTTAGCGAATTGTTGGGAAACGATGAACAACTCCGGGATCTTGCAGTACTGGGTAGGAGATTCTGGTATGCTGTGATTTTGCACCATACTTACCACCTACCATCTTTGCAGCCTCGCAAAGAGGGGCTCTCTTCTTCCGGGACCAGAATATAGACAACGAACAACTTAAAGTCCTCGCCAACAAACTCGGAGAGCTCACCGGTCGACCTGCAGACTCGGGACTTCATCGTCACGCTCTTAGCAGCAAGGACAACGTCAAGAATCACGATGAGAATGGAAACACCGATGAAGAGGTTTTCTTCGTATCTTCCGAGGTTAGCAAGTGTTCTCTCCATCATACCAAGGATCAAAGGTGGCTGATTTGAGGTTTCCCCGAACCAGAGAGAAAAGGAGAACCATAGCAACCGCTTCCAAGCCCCTCTTCCAAAGCTTGCTAGTTATCTGTGGCATTCCGAGTAAGTTCCTCTGTGAAGTGTGAACGATAGAGAACGAACATCCAGCTGATACGCGAAAAAGCATAACCTTTGAACATATCCCGTCGGACTATGCTATCCTCAAGATGGTTGATATGCCTCCTGGGAACGCTGGAGGGGATACTCTTTTTGCATCCGCATATGAGATGTATGACCGCATGTCACCTCATTACCAAAAGCTTTGCGACGGCTTGACTGCCACACATTTCCAGGTGTGTGGCATTTTTGAGTTCTTGCGGAACACTGTTGACATACTCTTCTATAGCCTGTTTTCTCCAGAGTGCTTAAGCAGTCCAACGATCCGCTCATCACTGAGAATCGCGGACACCCCGAGAACGAAGGCCTTGATTTCAAGGCTGTGCAGTATGTTGACGTTGTGCCAAAATGAATGACCACCTGTGCTAACCTTGAGTACCAGTCCTGTTGTTCGCACCAACCCTGTCACTGGGTGAGCGTCTGAAAACATGAACATGGAACGCCATGTGGCTGACAAAATATGATAGCTGGAGACACATGTTCGCTGCAGGTCAACAAATTTACGACGGCAAGATCAACGGTGTCACAGACGCGGAGGAGGAAGCGTTGAAGAGATACTGTAAAATTGTAAGTTCGTTGAGTGAGGATTTGCGCTGACCAGCATGCTTAGTCCTCCAGCTGGTCACGGAGAACCATGATTTGCAATGTCGGTTCAAATGGGGCCTCAACGATGTTGTCATTTGGGACAAGTACGTTGCGATCTTTCCGTTGTTGTTGACTCCTTGCTGATGAATATTTCCTAGCCGCTCGACTTTCCATACAGCCACGAAGTGGGTTCTTTCTCGTCCCCAGATAGAGTCTTTTAAGTGCTGACAGCTCTTTCTAGTGACTACGAGGGCAGGCGAAAACTCGTGAGGATCACATCGGTTGGCGAGAAGCCTTATCTGGATCCCAAGTCGTTGTCAAGACGTCAAGCACTGCGAAAGCTTGAGAGTTTTGAGCCGGAAGTCTTGACTCCTCCGGCGGACGAGGAGTTTGTGAGCAAGAAACGACAAAGAGTCTCTTAGACGTAAGAAAAATGGGGCAGGAAAATAGGTTCAAATGAGAAGGACCAAAGCGCGGTTTGTAGTATGCCTCAATTTCAGGACAAGGTCCAGGAAACATCAAGTGCTTAGGTAGGTAGGTCCGGTGCCGCTGTCTCATTTTTACGCACCTCTGGAATTGCCCGTACAAATGACCAAGACTTCGGCTTCATGCCGAGCGTTGTCGGCCTTTATCAACACTAATACAGCGCCAGCGCTCCCAGCTATATCTTGTTCTCGATGTGAGTAGTAAGAATATCCAGTGTGCTGGAATCTTGAAATCACATCAGTTATGGGGTAAAGCACGCCATTTCATCCCTTCCAAATCCGGCGCTCAGGGCTCCGTATTCAAGCCCCATAAAACGGATCTCGGTTCAGCCTGACCCACACTGTTGATCTTATTCGCGTTCACTCCCAGAGTTCCAAGACGTCTTCTCTTCAAAAGCAACATTCTTATTCGTAGTACAAAAAGTGTGTGGTGGTTATCAAAACAGGCCTGAACAATCCCACTTCATTCATCAATGCCGCCAAAACGAAGATCCACAGATTCTTCTTCCCCAAACACAGTCTCCGACCACCAAAAAAACGAGATCCTCCTCGACAAAAGAAGACAACGCAATGGCGACTTCAACAACGACCAAAAGCCCATTGCAAGAAAATCTCGTGGAAAAGAATGCCGTTTATGCTTCCACCTTCAACAAGGGTCATCTTGAGCTTCCACCCTCGAAGCATTATGCTGTTCGTAGGTTTCACACGTCACCATAGCTACTGTAGTCAGTCACTGGTTTTAACAAAGCGCGCATAGTAACATGCATGGATGCACGGATTGACCCTGCAGCGGCATATGGCATCGACCTCGGCGACGCGCACGTTATTCGCAATGCTGGAGGCAATGCGATCGACGCTCTTCGCTCGCTCGTCATCTCGCAGCAGTTACTCGGGACCAAGGAGATCATCCTCATCAAGCATACAGGATGCGGGATGCTGATCTTCGACACCCCGACTGCGACAGGGCTGGTCGAGAAGAACTTGGGCGCCGCGGGTGTTGAAGGACTCAAGAAATTCGTCGGTGGGAAAGGAGAATTTCAAACGTTCACTGATCTCGAAGAGGCCGTGAAGAAGGATGTGCAGCTGCTCAAGGACAGCGAATTGATTCCAGACGACATTGTCATCTCGGGTTGGATTTATGAGGTTGAGACTGGAACAGTGCGAAGTGTTGTATGAGTGAGAGGGTAGAGTGAGAGGACTGTAACGACGGAGCTGAAGATCTCCATGGCCAGAAAAGATCGTTGTTATTATAGTATCATCGACGCCGTCAGATGCCATCATAACGGTCCTGATTTTGTGCTCGCATCAGCTTTCCCAATATCGATTCCGAATCTCCTGCGCGGAGAATCACCAGTCTTCATCCCAGTGTCCCACCAACCAAGACTGAACATGTAGCCAACAAAAACCTTGGCTAATGCTTCGTCATTCATGAACTCTGCTCCGGGAGGGACAATCTTCCGCTCGATCATCTCACTGTACGCGAGTAAAATCATGGTACCTGCGATACTCCATGGACATTGCGGTAGTACGTGGTGCATGTTTCGTTGGCCATATACAAAGATCCCACAGACGAGCATGATTCCGAGGAAAATCTGGAGAATGAGTTTGGACGTTGCGTTTTGTTTAAGCCTTAGTTTGTTGATATTCAATACCGTTCCCGGACAAGATGCTGCTTCGTCGTCCTGCAAATCTTGCCGCATGGTGGCATTGATCAGCTGAGCCCAATATCTTCGATAGATGTGTAGAGTAGCATCCATGAACCGCTGGTTGTTAGAGGGACCTGTGAGATCCTCAGCAGGTATCCCGTCGGGACCGTACTTGACCTGTGAATAGAACGAGTCCTCGCTGAGAGTACCAGATGAACGGTTGTTGAACGAGGCAAACGTGTTTACTTTTGTGAACCAGTAGGTGCTGTTGAATGAGACAAGCCAACGACTTGAGCTTTCGTCAACAACAGGTTTCGACTTGACAAGAATGGATCCTTCGGAGATGACAAAGGTCGTATTTGTTCGGGCCTGTTCCAGCCCTTGGATGCAAGTCATTGCCGTGAAATTCTCTGTTGAGGTAGAGTTTTCAACAAAGTACCCGGACAAAAATGCCAGGGATGGACACTCAGGAGGATTGCTTGCTGCTCCCAAAAAGGAACCCTCAGGCCCCAGGGAGACTCCATTGACCATACCAGCCTCATTGTTGAGGACGTTTTGCACAAAGATACCTACCACGGTATGGTTGAGACAGTTATGTTGCACAGAGTACGAGAAGGGTATATCCGTCGCGGTCTGGTTGTCTCCGTTCAAGAAATGTGGACATGATGGAGGCAGGCTTGCATTGAAGAAAATCTGGCTTTCGAAACAACCAGGACCACTGTCAGCGCTCCCGTATTGGCGAGTCGTCTTTTGCATGGTGTTTCTCGGCACTAGCGTACAGTTGAGTGAAGCTCTCATGGCCCAAATATCGGCCAGTAGGATAACCTGTTGCGACGGATCGGTCAATTGACTCACAGCTTCTGCTCCCAAGGTGGAGAGGTCTAAGCCGGGAAACGCCAACTCATCGTAGGTCAGTGCCGGATAAGAGGCATTGTTCTGCTCTATAAGTTCAAATATAGCCCCTGCTGCATCGTCTGTCGAAGTGGTGAATGATGGCACGAACTTGTCAGATGTAGAGATATTGACAGCCACGGCAAACTGGGTATTTTCAATTGTATAGAGGCCTGAGGAGATTATAGTCAGCAGACTGCCGAAAATGGCAGCTAATGATGCCAAAGCAGCACTTGCATGGCGATCGCGAGTCGCTCTCACTGTGGACTGCAGTGGCAGATCTCCCAAGGACGTGCCCAGCAATGTCCGCTTTGTAGGAGCACTACCTCGGGCCAAGGTTTGATAGGGCGCAAGCGTAAATGCCGTAAAGTTGATGGCGCCGTAAAGCATTGCAATGGATGTTAGGATGGCAGACCCAAGTAGAGATGGAATTGAATGATCAATGGTGGAAATAGGTGACATGTTGACCAGGCCGCCATTTGCATTTGAGCGGCGTTGCAGAGCCTCCAGAGCCACGATGATAGCGACTGGCAAAATGATGGCGAAAGTCATGAACCAGATAGAAATCGACAAGGGTTTCCACCAAGAAACATCACCTGAATCGTCAAGCGGGTTGTCGTGACTTCCGTCAGGAACATCAATCTCGATACATAGTTCTGGATTCCCATCATTGTTCGTGATGCGAGACCTAGCCATCGAAGAACGTAGACGGTTTCTGACAAGCGGAGTTGAATAGGCACCGGCTCCTTCCAACAGCCTCCGAAGTGTAGGGCTAGCAGCAAGTATGGTGACGTGGCTACCAATTGAGTTAGGGTTGCATGACACTGCGTTGCGAACACGCCAGATGAGGATGGCAGCGGCGGAGACAGCTAGCAGTATAAATCCCATACCCATTGCCCATACACTCACCAGTCGAATTTGAAGCCTTTGCGCCTGGTACGCAAGGTTGGCAGTGGTCGTTCCGTTATCCGCTTTCCGTAAGTACGTGTCAGCAAGCTGGACCGCCACACCCTTAAATGCTTCTTCAGCCGTGCTTTTCAGCACTGTTGCATTCAACATGGTGTTCGCAAAGCCGCCGTTCAAGATAACAAGCAGCCTCGCAAAATCATCTATGAACGGCGCATTTTCCTGCTCTGGCAGGCTGTTTACATAGACCTCGTTCGTGAAATCCTGGGTCAGATTGTAATAAGAGAATCCCGGAAGAACATCTGCAATACGATGCAGTGGGCCCGTGGTACTCACTCCACCCTTTGAGGTGGGGTTTGCAGTGTTCACGGTCACGTTGACCGTATCGACGGTATAGCCAGGCGCACAGACTATACGAACTGCCCCAGACATGGTCACATTCCATGCAGCACTGGTATTAACTGGATGGCCTGGCACCCTCTGGAAGTTGAGGTTCGTAATGGTGAGCTGATAGAGGTTGGCGCAAGGATCAAGGTCATCCAATGGTTGAGGGTGATGATAAGAATACGGCGTGTTCCACAGCTGATGAGACGAGATGGATTGTCCTGTTGGACAATCCAACGCTAAACAACTGTAATAGGAAGACAGTGGAGGACAGTTGGTCGGGTTAAGAGTGAGTCTCAGCATCAGCTCATCTCCATTAACATAGGCGCCATCATTGAACCAGGTGAAGTTGTCTCCAACGATCTCCGGTACCACGATCTCACAGTTAAAAAAGGGGAACACACCGTTCACTGTTGAAGTTACGACAGAATCTGGGACGAGGGACTGGAAGTCGAGAGTATCGTAAGCGACACTTTCTGTCGTGCCATACTGATATTCGAGGCCTCGCTGCTGAATACCATAATATCGCATCAACTCAGTATCGATTGCGCCGGGTCCAATCGTATAATTTGTTCCGATGAATCTGGAACTTACTATGAGGTTGCTGACCGACCGGGACATTGGGGTGGGCGTAAGAACAAGGAGGCCGGTGCTAAAGACAGTGACGATGCTCAACAACAAGTCACCGATGGCACCGGCCAAAACTGCCCAATCGTGGTTCTTAGCAGCATTGATCAGCACCATGGGCAATATGGGAGAGACATAGTCCAGCAAGAGTGGGTCCCATGCTGGAGCAGGACCATGGCGGAGACGCGACCAGGGCACCAGGGTCCGGCAGTGGAAGTCGACCTGTTTCCACGCCGTACTAATGACGACAAGCAACGCTGTTGGTCCATGCGTAATGATTGTTGGTAATGTCCGTGCTGATACCATGTTCAAGCTGGACAAAGTGCCATAAAGTGATCAGGCCCGCAAGCAAGGACAGGAACAGGATGATGAAAGCACACAGTACCAGTGAATGCAGCCAAATCGGATTCCACCACCGCACAGGATGTAGGACATCATCGCCGGGCAGAACCCCGTTGTTGGAGATTGAGAGGGTCTTCTGGGACGGGGCGGAGTTGGGACCTCGTGTGTCATGTGGTGACAGTCTCGAGCAGCCATTGTCTCTATCCAAAGACAGCAGGGTGTCGGAAAGTTGAATCGGAGATATTTTGGGCGAGTCCCGATGATTGGAAGCTTCGTAACCTGCTTCTATGTTGATGAAGTCGGGAGGCGGAGACCACGAAGATGAATCGTGAATCGGGACAAGAGGATAGGCGTCAGCTTGGGATGAGACATCGGTCACTCCGTAAATATGTCTCGAGTCTCGAGTCTCGTGGGAGTGGCTTTCGCTTTACTGGAGAAATTGGTGAATGATAGCTTCGATGCTCCATCGACAGCTCCGCACAGGCAGCGCCGATGACGGCGGAAATCAGGCTCACCGATTAGCCTAGAAGTGTGGTGGTTGATAGTTGAATACCGTATATCTTTTATCCCAGCACAATTTTTCCCGCAATCGACCATAGGATATGGATCACAGGGCTTCCCGTTCGCTCAGCCGTACTTAAGCCATATGCCGATACGTTAGTAGTTGGGTGGGTGACCACCAGCGAATCCGTATTGTTGATTGTTTTTGTTTTTTTGGACGAGGAGATGGCAGAAAATATTGATGTGATGAGGCTGTGACGGGATTATGTATTTTTGCGGATTCAGGCCACCATCGGTTGCGCCTGGCTGCAGGCAGCTGCCTGTTTGGGGTCCTAGATACGACGTGCATAAGTACTTGCCTCGTATACACATCGGCTAATCTGAGTATCGTGCTGGCGGAAAACCTGATATGAGCTTTAAGCCCGTTATGCCTATCGCGCATGGAGATCCATATCTTCGTATGCGTGGATCAACTCTTGTACAGTCAATTCCTGATAAAATCATACAAGAGTAAGTGTGCGGAGCCGCGGGAAGGCGGGCCCGACCAAGCGAGCCGGGGAGCAAATCCGGGGTTGAGGCTCTGCTTAGGTAAACTTGAAGGACTCCGTAACGTGCGTCACACGTCAATGAAAGTGAAGGCCTTAAAACTGCGATTCCATCTGCGGCTTCCCCATTGTACAACTTCATCACTTGTTTTGGCGTCCGCGTTTGCATGTGTTTGCTTGTCGCAGTCATGCCTTCCAGTCACAACTACAGTGACTTGCAGTCCTTTGCGTTTGCACCACATTTCGATGCTTTAAAAGAGCCACCACCATCGACCGATGCATTACCTTCTCTCACAAAAATATACAACACCACGAAATCAAGATGCATTACCGCGCCCTTCTTAGTATTATCATCCTGGCCGCACCGTTGGCAGTCTCCGCAGCAGGCACCCTAGGCTTCTGTCTCGGCAACATAAATCCTGACGGATCTTGCAAGACCACAGCCGACTTCGAGGCCGACTTCACGGCCATCAAAGCCAATACCGATGCAATAGTTGTTCGCACATACTCAGCCTCTGACCAAGATGGCAATCCTTGCAACACACCCTCCCAAATTCTGCCCGCTGCAAAAATTGCAGGGATCCAGGTCCTGTTAGGCATGTGGTATGTCTAATGAAATCTTAGTCGTCTTCAAGAAGATTCAAGCTGACAACATTTCACAGGCCCGATGATGGTGCATACAACAAAGAGAAAGCAGCAATTGACGCCGCAAACCCTGCTTCTTTCGGCGACACCTTCTACGGCATCACGGTTGGTTCGGAAGGAATGTACCGCGGGACATATACTGCTCAAGAATTGATCGGCTGGATTCAAGATGTACGACAGAGTTATCCCAACGCCCAGATCGGTACTGCAGACACCTGGAATGGCTGGGCAAACGGCACGATGGACTCGATCATCACAAGTGGCATTGATTTGGTGTATGTACCCATCAAGGCAGCACCGGAACAAGTCAGCTGACAATGTGTTAGGCTCGCCAATGGATTTCCATACTGGCAATACCAAGCCATCTCCAACGCGACCGAGTCCTACTTCGATGCCATGGCGCAAGCCCTAGGTCGCGTTCAAGAAGTTTCTGGGAGCCTCAACAAGTTGCACTTCATCAATGGAGGTAAGCTGAGATCAGTCTTCAACAGCTCATGGATTCATCTGACACTTGCTGCAGAAACTGGCTGGCCGGGCACCGGGGGCACAGATGCCGGCGCGGCCATCACAGGTGACGATAACATGAAGACGTATTGGCAGTCTGCAATGTGCGGTCTTCTGGACTGGGGCGTGGATTCTTTCTGGTTCGAGGCATTCGATGAGCCTAACAAACCAGACTCCACTGGGGACAATGGTCAGGTGTCCAGTGAACAACACTGGGGTGCATTCACTTCCAACAGAGCAGCCAAGTTCGACCTGCATTGCTAGCCAACGGCATACGACAGGCTTCAATGGTGATGTAGCCTTGTTGCATGCACAAGTCTGAGGTGCTGTTTGAGCGGCGGCGTCAACGTGGTATTGCAGGACACCTATTTGGATAGGTTTAAACCATTGGGCCTGGGTGCTGCAATTGCGACGGCTGGGTAAAGGATTTCCAGACGTGCATGCTTGGTCAAGGTATGCGCACATGGTCGTGTCTCGCCACAGCGCTCTTCGACATATGGCTGTAGGACCGTCGTCGAACATCGAGGCCGACTGTCTGACTCGATTTCACGGGGAAATTCTCCTGGCATAATGATTTTGTACATTGACTTTAGAACGGTTGGCCCCTTGACAAGCAGTCCCTGATTCAACTGAAAAAGTCAAACTCCCGTCTGCCGTGCTTCCTCTCGGAGTCTTTGTCAAGGTCCACCTCTTCATAATCCAGCGTCACATTCGTTGTCTTCATGATCCCACCAGATTCGATCATCTGTTCCTCATCACTGGCCGTGTCACTCTTCGCAGGCAGACCAGATCGGCGACTACTATTCATCGCAATATTCGGGCCTTCGACGCCGGCTTTGTATGAGGTCGACTTTGAGTAGTCGGCCGACTTGGCCGCAGAGGATTTCGTGCCAAAAACGCGAGGAAGCAATCGTTGCAAAGGTGCTTTTAGGATTGGCAACGAGGCGCAGATGATGGAGACGTCGACCTCGAGGAATGTCCAGCTGTTGGACTCAGCTTGGTAGTCTTTGTACAGGTCAGTCACCCAGCTTCATCTCATCCCGCATTGCGAAAACTTACAAAGTGAGTCTTTTTTAGACGTTGTTGGACCGAGCATGACACACCGAATGATGGTGCATACCATCACACTTGAAACTATCAGTATGTGCACAGTAGACGAGTCAATCAGGACGTACAAAATACCCAAGCTAAACACAAAAATCAAACCCAACTTCTGGGATATCGGCAACTTCAGCTTGGCGATTTGCTTCATCGGCATGGCGATGAGGAGCAGGTCGGCGAAGATGGTAAAGGCCGAGTTTGCATACCACAGCTGGCCGATGTCGATGCAGTGGCCCGGCATGGTCTTGTTCCATGCTTTGGCAATTGGTCTGTGAGCACGGTTAGAATGGCCCCCAACTGGTGATATATCAACGTTACTTACTTGCATTGCCAGATACTCGTGCATACGGCCGCAGTGCAATACGCCATCACATAGGCAATGACCGCCCAGGAAACGATTTTGAACATTCTGCTGGGGAAGATCCGAAGGTATAGAAGCACAATGGAGATCTTGGTGGTGCCATTGGCGAATTTATATAATAACTGTGCTGCCCACAACCACTAACAGCCAATCAGTTCAGTATGCGGACTTTGACCGGAAATATGGGAGTGGCAAATACCTCGTAAGCCAGCATACGCTGGTGGGCGTCGACCTGTTTCGTATGCAGGCCCATACCGTGATAGACCTCCATGTTATAGCAGACGGTCATTCCGATGGCCAGCATCTGTCAATTTTGTCCGCGTCAGCACAACGATTCTCGAACAGGAGCCCGAAGGATTCCATACCATGGAGACTACCAGAGTATAATCATCCCATCCGGTCATGCGATTGTGCAAAAACCGAACAAGCAGTCGACTGACCACCAGGAATGCTGCGATGCAGCACATGATGATGCTGACAGTCGCGAGGCCTTGTCCATGTGGATTGTGAGGCAGCCCAGCTGCTGCCCGTGGCTCAAGCATCATGGACACAGAGCGTAATGTCGATTGGGAATGTGTCAGACTGACAACAACCCGATGATGGAGATGGGAGGAATCACATAAAAGTGAGATCTGTGAGTTCTTGCTTGGCCCATCCTCATATGAATAGGAAAACAACTACTCTTTCGAAGATCAGGCTACTTACGCCATGCTTTCTGGCATATCCCGTTACTTTCGATGGGAAATATGCTCGCAAGGACCCCTGGGGAAGGGAAGGGAGGGAAGCGCAATGGTGCGACAGCACAAGATTTCCACTAAATAATGACTTCGGTCGCCATCAGGGTTGGGCCATGAGCGGGGGATCAGTTCACCGTCCCACTGATCGCTGGTCTTGTCTCTCGAAGAAACTTTGCCCTGGGGCGAAATTTGGCGAAGATTCGAACTCTAAGATGTCGCGAAAGGGAATGGACAGCGGGCATGACTCCTTTCCGACCACAGCTTGACACCTGCCAAAGACCACACGAGGTAAAGATGTCGAAGGATTTCCACGTTGTTCGACTTCGGACTTCTCCAGCTGGTGCACGCACTGACTTGTTCCCATGACTTTTGGTGTACTGACCCGAAGAGTCGGCGCTGGAAATGTGTCCTGTGCACTCACCCGAGGGGCCATTTTGACTCCAACGAACATTCAGGGTAGCCGGAAGCCTGCAAGCCTCGCTGTCATTTCGAACTCAATCCTACCACCGACGCTACGGGCGTGAAGAAGATCAACAGGCGCTCGGACTCTGGCATGTCGGCACACACAATTTCTCGCTACAATAGGTTCGACTGTCTCCTGCGGAAATACAACTACCGTATAGTGGAAGTCAATAGTGTGAATGTCAAGCAAATACTGTGTGGGAGATACACACTTCGATCTCCCGGGACACACTGCTGTTCAGAGACATAATCGTCGATGCTAAGGAAAAATCTTCATCCGATTTTTAAAGCCTACAGGTGCACGCGGACTTACAGTTGGCAGGACAGGCACTTTTACCATGTCCACTTTTCCCCCAATCAGAGCCCTCCCAATGGTTCGATGCTCAAGGCCACTACCATAATGAGGGCTAGGACTTTCCCGGGGGCTTGCAACACATACCGTGGTGTTACGGAGTACCTGCGACTTCCGAACTTTACCGAGCCTGTGTCGTTTTCGCCTACCACCACCGTACAGTAGTGTTTGGGACGGCCTAGGGAGGCGGTCCCGAATCCCCTAGGCCCTTGGGAATAGGCGAGTCTTCAGCAGTCGGGAAGATGGTGTGATCGTTTATGCGAGTACGGAGGTACTCCATACTTATATCGCCCACAGCCTGGATGCTTCTCTGTCTAGTAGTCTGTGCCAGAGTACCGCGTACCCTGGCTGCACCCAACAATTTCTGAAACCCAGCCCTGCCGCACTTACAGTACTGCAGTGTGTGCGCCTTTTGCCCAAGTCGCTAATCTAGTCAGGCCGCGTGCCCAGAAGCGAGTCAGACAACGCCGGCGTCCAGCTAAGCGAAAAAACTGCGTGTTGCTGTGAGGACAGAGATTGCGCCATCACAGCGTCTGCACCAGCGCAAGATTTTTTTTCGATAGGCGGTCGGGGTTTACCTATCGTAGCTAGATAGCCAAGAAGGCTCGCGGGCGTGCTAGGCGAGCCAAGTTTTCAGGAACCCGGTTGATCTCTAGATTCGCGTTGATTGCAGCCGGCGTCGATCGTTGCGGGCAACGCTGTATCCTGTGACTGTAGGCTTTACTTCGCGGAACTCCGTATGTTCATTTGGGGGGCACGGACAGCGTGGAATGCTGATCATGTAACCCGCTCCAGGTACACAGCTTGAGAAAGTGCTATGGCTTGCCCTTTCCCAAGCTTCTTGGCCCAGTAATGTGGTAGGTATGCGTAAGTGCCGGTTGAGCGGTAGCCAATGTATGATGAAATTCCAACCCCTGGGCAAAAACGTGAAAAGCACGTTGCGGCGGCGCTGACGTGCCCTGGACGGGGTCGGGCCAGATGGTGGTCCGAACGCAGGCATGGGCATGTTGGTACCACTTTTAACGCTGTGCATCGCCCATGCGATTTCTGGCGAGGGGTTTTGAACTCTACTTACCACAGTAGGCGTTATGGTAGGCTGACAGGACGCTGTAAGTGTACCAGGGACAGTCTGACCCTCTGTTGACCCTGCATATTCTACCACGCTGAGATGAAGTTTGATGTCCGGCAGGTACCTGACGTATTACTTGAGTACAGTAGCGCTCCTCCTCCTGCCTGTGTCTCACATTGCTCGCTTGCAGGGCTCAGGGTCATAATGCGAGACTGCAATGATGGCATATGCGAAAGGGCTGTTTTGTACTTGAGCTGACCACGCCTTATAGTCGCTTGGTGGTAGGTTCCATCAACAGCACGAATTGTGCCGTATGTAGTTTCATCTACGTCGATCCTTCAAAGCACAGACGTTGCACCCAAGTCTTCGGTAGGTACCAGTGTTGGGAAATGATCTTCCACAGCACAGTGACCACATTGTGCACAGACAATACTGTAGGTACATCGGGTATTATTGTATTAGCGATGATCATCCATTATTACCACCTTAAGGGCTTTTGGTGCAGCATGGCAAAACTGCAACGTGGCGAACGTGCAGCCTCCAAGTCTATCAAAGTATATCTACAAGAGAAAAACCAACGTCACACTGTCCTCACCCGGGACTTATACCGGCACGGCAGTTCATGTCAAGACTTGCGTTTGCAAAAACCTAGGCGGTGCTCGGGGTGTACGAGATCAAACTCGCCAAAGCCTCATCTCTCAGCGAGTAATCAATGAGTTTCCCCGTTCCAGGCAGAATGGCCTCGGCGAAATTGAAATGCGCGGGCGTCGAGTTGAACCCACCAAACTGACTTCTCACGTCGATGATATTCAAGATTCCCTGACGATTGACCGTGAAGTTCCCACCGGGGCTCGACGTCTCACCCGTGATCGAGTCCGTAGCAGACTTGTATGCGGACGTTGCCGCCGTGGTCGAGACATTGAGTTGCTTTGCGATGGCACCGATGCTGGCGTTCTTGTTGTCCGAGTCGGCAAGATACAAATTCGCAGCGTACATTGCCGCCGTGAATGTGCGGGCTAGGCTTCGTGTGGTGCCGTTGTTGAGGTTGGCGGTCCGAATGGTGAATGCAGAACTAGTAATGGGCTCGATGAAGTCGGAGATGCTGGCTAGGATGTTGGGTCGTGTAGCGTTCGGGAGCACGATGCTCTCGCTGGTGAATGGGTATGTGAAGATTGTGGCGTAGACAGCGGTGCCGTTGGGCAAAGACCCGTTGACGAGGTCGGCGTAGCGAGTTACAGTGGCACCGACGGTCTTAAGACAGTGTAAGTACATGGACACCTGGGAGGAGTACTACTTGGGGAGGTCATGGCCACGTACCTGGAATGTATAATCACCGCTCTCAAGATACAAACCGTACAAGCCCAAAACTTTGCGCAGGAGATATGCGTATCCGCTGACAGGTGAGTCAACCATCAGTGATTTGCCTTTAAGTTGGGTGATGTTGGTGATGGAAGGGATCGATGCAATGGTCAACTCTGGCCCGCCGTCAAGCTGGCCCGTGACGGTCACTGACGAGTTCGAGTTGAACCTCAGATTGACAGCATTGTCGATGGTGCCGGTCATGATGTCGTAGCCGCCATTAAGAAGTTGAGCGTACCCGTACGTCGAGTTGGGTACCTGCAGGAACGTGACATTGAGACCATAGGCCGTGAAGAAGCCGAGCTGGTTGGCTACCGAGTATGTGGCTGTCTGGGTGAAAGCGCCGTAGTTGACGTGTTTCAGCGTAGCAGCCGTAGCTGTCGAGGCGAGCGCCGCCACTGTAGCGAGTAAGCTGTAGTATGAGAACTGCATGATGATGACAGGTGAGCAAATCAGAGAGAAGCACAACACAAGAAAAACGAGCGATTGGGCCACACAGAGTATAAAAGAGCAAGGTCTGCGGTTGCGAAGCTCTTTATGAAGGAGCTACAAGAGCTTGTCCTAATGGTCGTTGACCACTATGAAGCCCAAAAACTGGGCCATCAATCAACTTTCTCACCCGGGCTGTGAGCCTGTGACGGCCGTCTTGTTCATGTCTTGTTCGGGCGGGTATCAAAGTTGACACGGCACATGGCGCAAAGGCAGATGTCACGCTATGTGCCACTGCCCTGGCTAACGGACGCCGCATGTGGAGGAACCAGAGGGAATCGATGGGTGCAGAGGAAAAAAGGCTGGGCAGCTTCTCGATCTTCAATCGACGGCTCTTTGCCTAGTGGCTGTCCTGTAAACCTTGACATGGATCTGCAGAGCTTAGAAGGCCTGACTATTCTTGTCCTCCGGCAGAGTCCTGAACTCGGTGTCCATCTTCGAGACGGTCATACATGCATAAGAGACAGGTGAAGCAGAACAGATGACTGTGAAAGTAGTCCTGGACCAGTAACGTGGTTCTGGACTTTTATATTGCACGGTCCAGGTCAATGCTTGCCGGGAGGAAGCCGATCGGGGGGTCTCCGCAGAGAGGAGAAAGTGTTTCATGGTAGTGTGGCCGTAGTGGCATCATTCTCTTGGCATAATCATACTCACATGGAGTCGACAACAGTAAATAGATATACCAAATATACCTCTGTAGACGCTGATCCGATCCGACATGAACGATAACATCCCATATGTGGTGCTGTTGTACAAGCAAAATCTGTCATTGACAGTGTGCAACGAGTGGATGACGCAGCCAGCCATCATGATATAACAAATGCCGATCTTTCGATCTTCAAACGTGGACGCCATGCGCTGATCAAGGTGGTTGATCTGCCCTTCGTCCCTCCTGGACCAGCTCGACCCGCTTGATTGGATGCAGCATCATCCCAGGCAAGCACATTCTGCCTTCACCCGCCAACTCCTCTTGCTCACCACCGGCATTGTGGATCTTCATGCCTAACCAGCGATGCCACAACACCTCCGGAAACCCTGCATTGTAGTACCAAGTCGTCCCACGGAAATTGTGCTCGCGGTCCCCAAACACGCTGGTCCGCGCACCGCCTGTCGCACCGTTGCGTCCACCGTTGAAGACAGCCTGTAGGTATTTCGTAGGCCACTTCCGATCGATGTATTCCGGATGTGGCGCGTACACAGCCTTTAGACCGTGATGTAACGCACAACTAGCTGGCCACATCTCGCTGAACATGGTATGTTTCTTGATGGCCGTCTCGCGATGCATCGTCACTAGAAGCTTGCGGCTGAGTCGGCTGGCTGTGATAATGGCAGTTCGGCGAGGTGGACGTCCACGAGTTATGTTATATCCCGTGGTATCTTCCGTAAGAATCCAGGTGGTGCCGTCAGGGTCGAACATTGGGTTGAAAGTGATCAGATCGGCATCTTCACCTACACCCCATTCATATTTGTCTTTGTCAAAAGTAGTTGGCGGAACAGGGTCGTCGTCGAACCTCACGTCGTCGTCGAAAGGCGGCTCCGGACCCCAAATAGGTTTGTCGCCCTGTTGTTTCGTTCCGCCAGGAACGCTGGGGTCCTTTGCGCGATTGAGACTGCTCCAGAAATTGTTGGCGCTGTTGGTACCATGTTCCGTATGTATTCGGACCATCTGACTGAAATCCTCCCATGACCCGTGCTCCGAGGGCACATAGAACCTGCTATTCCGCTCCCACAGAAGTTTGCGCGGTTGAGCTTTGGCCCATTTGGATAGGCTATCAAACAAATGGTACCAGTGATGGGTAGCGCGAATGTCCATCTCCCAGTTCCAGAAGAAATCGTACTCTGGATGTTGATAAGCAAAGTATTGCATGGGCATGAAGGTGCTGCGATACACGCCATGGACGGGGAGATCCCGCATCCAGGTTTCCTCCAACCCGCCGTACATTAGAAGCATCTGCCGTTCCGACCAAAGAGTGCCCATACCGCGAAACTCCTCGGGTAAGGAGTCTGAAAGGACACGGTCGTAGGTTTCATCGTCTGACCAAATCGGGACGTCTTCGTTCTTGACCTGTATCAAGAAATGCACGACATACTCGCCTCCGGTCAGCATGGTCAATTCCGAGATGAGAGACCGTAGATAGATCTTGTCTTCAGGTGTGTATGGGTAATCCCACCAAGTGCGAATGACGATTGCGGTACGAGGAAGCTTCTCTTTACCAGTCTGAACCTTGGTGGATGATTCTACCGGCACAGACTCTGGATCGGCCAGCTTGGATATCTCTTCTCTTTTCTGCATATTTCCCACTTGCATGGCTCGGAAGGTTTCGATTCGAGGTTTTGGTAGTTCCTTGAATCGGTGCTGGTTGGCGGCCACACACCTCTGCTGGGCATCGACCCATTTCACATTTCTCCAGTCCACTTCTGGTGTCTCTTCCCACACTAAGTCGGCTCCCTCTCTTTCACCTTCCTGCTGTGCGCCGCTGCCACCCCGATTGAGGCTATATCCAAGACCATACGGACCGAGGCGCCCGAAACGGTCGTAGCATATGTCTGTCCTTAAGCCGAGCATCTCCGCAGAGCCCATGACCATGTCCGGAAAGCCTTGGGGGATGCCTTGATACACCCGTACGGGAGGTATTGATATAGTGTCCTTGGGATCAAGAAAGCAATCCACCTTCTGGCCATACTTGGAGATGTGTTCGGGAGACGTATAGTTCGGGTAGGGGTCGAAACGCTGACTGGGAGGTATATCTCTTTTGCTTTTTCTTGGGAAAATTGGCGCGGGTGGTGGCTCTACCGGCTTCTCTTCTGGCGGCGACTCGGGCTCCAGAGGTGGTTCTTCAGGTAGATACAACCGGTCCAAGTCCACCTCGTCGTCGCTTCGTGGATATTCTGGAACGTTGGACGTCGCGGAGACCAAATTGCGCACTCCACCATAATACCTCTCTAGGAAAGGAAAGCTTTCCCATGGCGCAGGTTTTGGGGCGGCTTTTTGTTCCTCGATAGCTACCTGGACTTCCTTGTCGGCATTCCAACTCGACCGTACAAGGGAGAAGATGAAAAGGAGCAGCGCAGCCGCGACCCCCAGACAAAACCAGCGCATGATTGATCTTGGCATTCTCCCGAGGTAGGATGGCGAAGACGAGCGTCTTGATGTATATGCATCGTCTATGAGCATCGGTCTGTAAGAAGACGAGGTCGATTGGGAAGTTGAATAGGAAGGATCCTCCTCGTCGGTAATCGCATCATTGTCACCGTCGCTGTTGTGATATAGCCTGTGAGAAGGGTCCTTTTCCACGTCGGAGGAGTCGCCGCGACTCCGTATGCGTGGACCTGATGCTGCAGTGTCTATGCCTAGTGATGAACTTCGCTGCCACCCCATTGTCGCGACACTGGTGGCCAAAGCCACAGAGCATTGTGATGTTTCCCAGGCTCTTGATCAATCCCACCAACACCGGAAGCGATCCGAGCGACTGTCCTTGTCGGCGATTATACCGGTTCTGGAGGATGCGCACAAGAATCGTGCTGGGTAGACTGTCGCGTGCAAAGGATTGGAAGGGGCGTAGCGCAAAGTCGTGGTGTCGCGCCGTCGCTATGTGCTTTCGCTAAACCAGTGTTTCGAGTTCGCGTTCCAAATGTATGGAATAGATTGAGCGGTGAAAGTATGTACAAGAAGACGAATAGATGGTGCACACCCCTGGGCAAGTGCAACCGTCGTCGATGGTGCTTGGACACTTGTCGTAAGAGCTTCCCTTTAAAATCAACAACACCCAAGACAAGACGCCCAAGACGCCGGTCAACGCCAACACCAATCATGTTGACGCGTACAACCTTGGCGGCAAATAGGCCATGTCACTGGCGATCTTAGCCTCCAAATCCTCCCTGGGCATTTCTTTGCTTGACATCTGGATAATACGAAATGAGGAGGTTTTCATGTGGCATGAGCATGAGCATGAGCTTGCTGTACTGACGGTCACACATCTCTATCAATGAGTAGACTACGTCCAGCCGCCACCAAAGACTCATATCTGTCGATTCTTCTCGGTGGTAGACCGCCTTTCTCTAAGCATCGTTTCCACTGGGTGGCAGTCCATCAACACCTCTGCCCAAATCCTCCTTCAGCACCTGCCCTGCGATCTCCAGCTTCTCGCAATCCTGCAGCACGAATATCATCCTCGCCCACTCTGTCTCACTGACGTTCTTCCATGCGTGCATCGTCGCTCTCTGAACTGCAACGTCTCCTCGTTGCATGAGCTTCCGCTCACCACTGTCCAACACCAGCTCGATCTGTCCTTCAAGCACAATGCCGTAATCGAGACTCTGTGTGCGGTGCATCATGCATTCGAAGCCTGGCGCGAAGTCGACCACCCGACACACCGTGCCGTTGGGGTTGACCAAACCTAGATTGCCGCTCGATGTGACTTGGTCGTGAGACTTGATGTCCTGGTCGTTGTTCAAGTTCGCGGGGAACTTCGAAGTGCTGTAGACAACATTGAAGGCCATGAGCTTATCATCATAGGTGCTCCATTTGCCCGGTCGTGATTCTTGAACGACTGCTTTGCCGGTAGCAGTGTCGTGGCCCGTCAGATGAGTGGTCAGGCCAGGGAGAGAGGTTGCGAGTTGATTCGGGTTTGGAGGTCGTGATTCGGCCATGTTGTCTTCTTGGTAAGTGAACGGTGTCTGACGTATGTGTAAGAATCGTTGAAGGTTGAGAATGGTTGCCAACTGAGGTTGATGGGCACGGAAGAAAGGGAAACTGGAAGGAGGTAAGGAAGGAAAGCGCACAGGGTAGGTAGTATGTTACCCTACCAGGTACCTAGGTAACTGTGCTCTGAACTTTCCCTGTGCCAACGCTTTGACTCAGCACAAACAGAATACAATGATGACTCTGGAAGGGTAAATATAGGTCCCTTATATACGGTCATTGCTTCACTGGTCCTTCGGTGTATTGTGTTTACCCCGCCTATCTACCCCGGATCAATGTCACCCTCACGATTCGGGGAACCGGCAAAGGGAGCCATCAATTCTGTTCACCAGGACTGTGGTTCCTCTGCATCACAAAACCATCTTAAATTCAGGATCCCGATCGTCACCATATCCGATATACTGGTCGTGCTTCCCACTAGCTTTGTCGCGGTTGATCTTTGCGCAGTATAAAACGTTGAGAAGGATGCTAGCGACACCATTAGTTTGGACTCAGGGAACGAAGAGGACAGCAAACTCACGCAAACCATGCATAAACTAGCAACCCCAAGATTATGGTATGCGATTTGTGATATTGTGGTGCCTCAGTACTTGGGTAAATGAATGCTGTTGCCATGTAAGTGCGTGAACCTACCTTGAGCGCACAGATACTTACCGGAAACAAAGCCCCCAGCATTCGCAATGGCCAACTGCATGCCTAAAGATTGTCAGCACTCTCTCGGTCGGCGACATTGGAAGGCTTGGACGTACCAGACGTGGTGGCTCGCTTGTAATGACCCGCGGAATTGTTACTGTTCCAGACCAACACCGGCGGGACACTGGCATAGAGCCCCGTGGCCATCAAGAACGTCATGCCATACTTGACATGGTTGTCATGTTCGTCAATATTCGCAATGACCGCGTATCCGATGATGGCCAGTGGCAAGACGCAAAGCATGACCACTCCTCTGAGCTTAAGTCGGTCGGACAGCAAGGCAACTACCACAGTGACCACCGCGGCAACCGCATAAGGGATGACGGACCACAACTGCGCTTCGTTGGCAGTATACCCGAGCCCCTTGATAATAGTTGGTAAGAACAGCCCAAAGGAGTACAGCCCAGAGAGAATGGAGAAATAGGCTGTAGCACTCAGCCAAAGCTGAACATTCAGGATGCCCCGTCGAACTTCTGACCATCGGAACTTCTCCGCTCCTTCGGTTTGCTGTCCGTCAGGCAAGTGTGCTGAAGTGTCGTTGAGCAGCCTTTTCTGCGCAAGTTCCTTTTCCTCAGGCTTCAAGAACGAAGCACTTGCCACGCTATTGGGGAGCAGGAAGTAAGACGCCACTCCCGCAACAAAAGTCAGGAGGCCTTCAATCACGAGGATCCACCGCCATCCCGCGTCAAGGCCTGCATGAGATCCAATGGCCGACAAACCTCGCGCGAGCAGGCCGCCAAAAGCTCCAGCAAGAGAAGCACTTGTGTAGAACAAGCCTATCCGAAGCGCCATCTCGCCTCGAGTGTAGATTGAAGAGAGATAGAGGACCATTCCAGGGAGCAAGCCGCCTTCTGCAAGTCCGAGGAAAGCACGCACGACCAGAAATCCGGCGTAGTTCTCAACAAAGCCCAAGCACATACCAATGAGCCCCCAGATGGCTGTGAGAAAAGCAAGCCAGATTCTCGGACTGGCCTTCTTGAGAACGAGATTTGAGGGCAACTCCGCCGCGATGTAAAAGGCGAAGAAGATGGCTAATCCGTTGGCATATTGGCTGTTGTTGAGGCCGACGTCGCTCTCCAGACCGAGAATTTTGGCATTGCCGACATTGGTGCGGTCCAGAAAAGAGCATAGGAAGAGAATGGCAAGGACTGGTAGGATTCTGGACGTCCGCGCAGTGAGTACGGCGTGCGAACACGAACGACGACGGCATACCTTGTGTCAAGCTTCCACAGAAGTCTTCTCGTCATGGCTTTCGTGTGAGCAGCATCATTATCTATTCCCGTCACTTGACCAATCTTGTCGTTCGCGAGCACTTGACTAGCACCCTCAAATTCATTTTGGATATCCTCTGGCTTTTCGTCGACACGTCCGGAATCGACCGCATCAGCTTCGTCCCTAGGAGCGGCAGCCATAATTGTGGCTGGTCAGGATGAAAGCGATGCGCAACATGGGACTGTCTGGACAGACAGAAAGTTGCTGGCGAGATGAAGAAACCAGACAATAGCTCCCATATGGAACGATGCACGGCAGTCAGGGCGCGTCATACAACAGGTGATCAGCCGCACTATGATCATGTTTCGCCATGGGCCAGCCTCGGTTTATGCCGTAGACTAGATGGCAATCCCGACCTTGTGACGGTGTTACCCCATGGGAATGAACACACCTACCTGGAGGACTTAGCATCTAGTGATAGGCAATCAGCTGCTTCGCCGGAGCTCCGCCAAGGGGATCACCCATCACGCGAGTCTTGGCTGAAGCTGGTGTAACGTCCAGTCAGGGTTTTGGCCGGAAGGGAATATCAGCATGGATAAGCAGCAATCGACAAGCCGTCTTTGAGATGGATTTAGTATCCAGCTTGGGCGGGGAAGAAGAGCGGTCAATCGGCCTGTGATGCCGGCCACATCACCAAGCGAGGAGCCAAAGTGTCAAAGTGATTGGGCGGAGAAAGAAGAATGGCCGAGATATGGATTGATATTCTCGCATTGACACGGTGTCGGTGTTTCTTTTTACCGAGGTTGTCCGTGTCGTGATCGTCTTTGTTCTTGACTTCATCTTTCTCCGTGCCATTGAAACAGCTCAACTACGATAACTTGATTGGCTTTTCACAGCTATCCTGCACATCGACAAACTCACACAGCAAGCTTTTGCCCAGCTCTTGTGGTCAAGCCAATATATGAGCGACCACAATAGTCCCAAGGGAACTCGACCAAGAGCAAGACTCGCCCAGAACCACCGCGTCAACAAATCAAGAAAATCAGCAGACATGTCGAAACTCTCCGAAACCCTCAAGGGACTCGTCAACGCCGCCCACGCCCTGCCAGGCTACCTCAAAGCCCCTCCCCAAATCCGCACAACATACAACCGCATCGCGTCCAGTGCCCAAGAACACGGCGTCGGCATCCCCGCATGGTTGACCATGGCCACCGCCACGACCATGACCATGAACTCCCCTGGCTCCATGGTCGAATTATACCACCTCACGCAATCTCTCCCGTCGCCGCCACCGCCAGGTGAAACGGCCGGACTCATGCGCGAAGTCGGCCTCAAATGTATCTCATTCAACGGCATTCCCCGCACGATCAACTGTCTGGGCGCTTTCCGCGAGGGCATGCCCAAGGACGTCTTCGACAGCATTCCGCCCTTGCCATCCCGGAAACTCGACTCCAACAACGTCTCCGAGTCCATGGCCCGAGGCCGCGCGCTTTGGGACAGCGTCTACAAGCCCTTCGAAGGCAAGCTCCTTGACAAACTCGCCCAGAGTCACCCTAACTTGCCCGTCCATATCCTTTCGGGCCACTACTCCAACTTACTCTCTGACCCACCGACCGACTCGCCCATCCGGGTCGGCCGTATTCTGACCTCCCTTGTGGCCATCGCTTGCTTGCGCACTCAGACCGGCGTCGGCCCTCAGGTGACGAGCCACTTATTTGGCCTGCGGAAAGCATATGCCGACGGAACGGCCGAGAAGGATGTCGAAGGCGGTGAATGGTTGGCCACTGATGAAGGGAATCAATGGATTCTGAATGCAATTGACGAGATCGTGCAGGGCCTCAGTCAAGGACGAGGCACGACTTTTGCCCCAGGAATGGCCGCCGACAACCTCAAGGCGAAGCTATAAAACGCCTATTCGAAATATGGTATGTAGTTGCATAAAAGGTGTGTTTGTCGGGATGTGAAGGATATCCCGTCCGCATGATCTGAGCTCGCAAGGGATATAAATGGCCGTCTAGCAGAGCGTCCAACTTACACCTCAAGTCATCGTGTGAGAAAAGCATGTAGAAAGATATAGGACAGCAAATAAACCGGAACCTAAAAGCTGTAGCACCTCTCTGTACAAGCCACCTGATCCTCTACTCTATGTCCTCATATATCCCAGCAACGCTAGACGCACACCCACATGCACCAGTCTGGTACACCACCTACTCCATACTCTTCAAGTCCTCACTCACCGCAAAATTCGCATCCGTCTTCTCCTTAATCTCATCCACACTAACCCCATCCGCAAGCTCCGTCAACGTCAACGTACCCTTCGTCCGATCGACCTGGAACACACACAAATCCGTGATAATGGTACTCACGACCCTCGCCCCCGTCAAAGGCAACGAGCAAGTCTCCACAATCTTACTCTTCCCATACTTATCCACATGATCAGTCGTGACCACAATTTTGGTCTGATCCGGGTTCGACACCAAATCCATAGCGCCGCCCATTCCCTTGAACACTTTTCCAGGGATCATATAATTCGCCAAATCGCCCGCAGCACTAACCTGCAACGCCCCCAGGATGGAGACGTCAACATGTCCGCCGCGGATCATGCCGAACGATTCCGAAGAATCAAACGTCGACGCACCGGGGACAAGTGTAACAGTCTCTTTTCCGGCGTTGATGATATCCGGATCAACTTCCTCCTCGGTCGGGTATGCACCCATGCCCAAGATGCCGTTTTCAGACTGGATCCACACCTTGACGTCGTCGGGCAAGAAGGACGGCGCGAGCGTGGGCATCCCGACACCCAAGTTGACGTACATGCCTTGCTTGAGCTCTTTTGAGGCACGCTTAGCGATGCGGTCGCGACGGACCATCGCGTCGCTCTTCTCTGATGATGCTGATGACGTTGACGCCTCGCTCTCGTATCCGCTGTCGTTGTCGCTAGGGCGAGTCTTTTTGATTTCGAGTTTTTTGTCGACTGTTGCTGGGACGATACGATCGACGAAGATGCCCGGGAGGTGCACGTCGTTGGGGTCGATGGATCCGAGGGGTACGATGTTCTCGGCCTCGACGATGGTGAGGCGCGCGGCTTTGGCCATTATAGGGCCGAAAGCTTTGGTCGTGTATCTTCGTCCACGTTAGCACGAGACTGGAAAACAGAGCTTGAAGCCTGTACTTACCGAAATTGACAATTACCCGCTTCATCGACCTTGTGAGCGCGAATGATAGCTACGTCGCCTGTCAGGGCTGTCTCCATGACGTATGTGCGGCCATTGAAGATCCTGGTCTCGCGCGGCTTGCCGCCTTCCAGCACGGTGGACTTCTTGGTTGTTGGGTCAGCCTCGCCCATACGTGTCGGGATCTCGCCTGTCTGGATCAGTGTGTCTAGGGATCGAGAGGATTAGCTACGTCAATTATTCTTCCGTGGTTGTGTTTTCACTCACGAACTCCAGTCGGCGTGTAAAAGGCAGGGATGCCTGATCCACCGGCACGGATACGCTCGGCCAACGTTCCCTGGGGACATAGTTCGATGGCGATTTTGCCGGTCAGATACTTCTTTTCGAGGGGCTTGTTGCTTCCAAGGTAAGATAGAATGCAGCGGGTGATCTGCCCGGTTTTGGTCAGAGGCGACAGACCACCGTCGCCTGAAGCTCCAGCGTTGTTCGAAACGGCGGTGAGGTTGTTAAGGGAATCGACTCCACGTTTTCGAATCGCTTCAATGATGGTTTCTGGAAATTCAGTCAGCATTCGACATTGCCAACAGATGACAAGACAAAGAGGACTCACCAGCTGTACCACAAAGTCCGAAACCAGCACTGAGGATGGTTGATCCCGACTTCAAGTCTGCGACAGCCTCGTCGGCATCTTTGAAAAGTTTCGACCTCGTACGGTCAATGACAGGCTGTCCGTCGCTTTCCTGGCTTGAAGCTGCTTCCTGCCACTTGGGACGTGCCGACGAGAAAAATCGTGGAGTTGGTTGTCTCGAGACCCAAGATCTGGCATTTGATTGGCGGGCCAGGGATTTGCGGGGAAGAAAGGTGTTGACGTTGGAGCATGACCTTGCCCGGATGTCGTTGACGCATAGCAGCAGCGTCCTTCTCGTGGCCATTGTGAAGTTACGACGTATTTTCTCCTCAGATTGTAGGTAGAAAGCACGGGATAGCTTTTGAGCTCTAGACTCGAATATAAGCGAAGGTAGTCTGGAAGAACTATGAGGCAAAAAAAGAGAATCGGATCAAGGTCCGGATGGCTGGACCCTCTGTTGATGTGTCGCACGTGATCGGCAATGTACCACCATCTCGGTCATATTTCTGATGCCGTCAATCATGGCTGGGGCTGGTTACGGATAAGGCCTTTGTGGGGGGTCCTTTGGGGCCGACCCAAATATTGCCGACGCTCGATGCTTGCTGATGGCCAATGTACACAAACAGCATGGTGTGGGACGGTAATTCAATAAAGCTGTGTATAACATAGATATACGTTGGAGACGCGGTGTGCTAGATATTTACCGCACCGGCTGTTCTGGGCGCGACTGCTGTCTTCATAATGTTTGCTCACCTCAATTGTTGTCAGGAATCAGCCATATAGCAGAATTCTTCTGAACTATAAATTGTTCGCGTTCACGCGTTGCCGACCAGCAACCCCTTGGTGATTTTCCTCTCTGTTGACTGAAAGATGGCCAATTCCAAACCCCAAAAGCAACCTTTCTGGTTGGGGTGAGCATGCCAGACATCATCGCTGCATGAGAAAACTGCTGACCATCGATAGGGGTGCCGCTGCCTCAATGGCTGCGTGTTTCAGTAAGGCACGCTCTCCTCTTCAAAGAGAATGAACGCTAACCCAACTTCAAGCTCACCCACTAGACCAGACCAAATAGTAAGTCTGCATCGTTGTGACAGGACCCTGAGAATAACAACCGGCACAGCCGCATGCAAGTTATCGCATCCAGACAAAACATGTTGAGGACGATGTTCCAATTTGCAAGTCGTGATGGTGAGCAATACCGATCCCGTTACTGTGCTGAGCTCAACCTTGATAGGTATCACATCCCTTTGGTGGGGTATATCCGCTTCGATGCTTCGACAGTCAACGTATTCGACTGCACGGTTCGGGCTGTACAATCATTTCGCAAGCGAGGCCCGGCAAAGAACAGGTCAACAACAATTGTCGAGCCGAGTAGAGGTCGCTTGCGCGGGAGCAGCGGGAGGCCTCGCTGGTCTGGTGGGAAATCCGACTGAAGTCGCTCTCGTTCGAATGTGCGCAGATGGCGCCCGACCACCAGCACAGAGATTCGGGTATGCACACGCATTCGACGCTCTGCTCAGGATCGGCAAAGAAGAAGGCATTCGAACCTTCACCCGTGGTCTGGGACCAAACGTCGTCCGCAGCATCATAATGAACGTTTCGCAGATTGCCACGTAAGTTGTAGAGATCCCCTTGCAAACCCGAATGCTCACATGTCTTCAGGTACTCCGCAGCCAAACGCGAGCTGTTGTCCAATCCTTCCCTCGGTCTCAAAGATGGCATGCCGACACACTTCCTTGCTTCCCTTCTGGCTGGAACAGTGGCAACAACGGCCTGCGCCCCAGCAGATGTCTTGAAGAGCAGGGTACAAAATGCTGTCGTTGTGGACGGGGTCAGACCGAGCGTAAGAAGGATAATCGTCGACTCGTTCCGAAATGAAGGGCCACGATTCCTGATGAAAGGCTGGACTCCAGCTTGGCTGCGACTAGCGCCTAACACCGTCCTCACCTTTATCTTCATCGAACAACTCCAGAAACTCGTCAACCTATCGAGAGATGCAAGCCCCGCAAAGCCCCTAGTCGCAGCTGCGCCTGTCCAAAAAGCCTAGCTCGATTGATTGTGTCAAGAGGTGGTTCATATTATACTTCGCGAGCTCAAGTCACGTTCGGCCAATCCAGCCAATCCATGAACATTGTCTCATCAAGTTGAAACAATTCTTGTGATGCGCTAGCATTGTTGATGGCCTCCAAAATCTGGTCATCAGTCATGTCGAAGACATATGGCTCAGCCGAAACGTTCGAGACACCCATCGACGTGTTGTTGGTGGAACCATACCCCATGTTTGGCTGTTGCGAGAACGCTTGCTCAGCGGCATTGGTTTGATTTTCCTCGGCTGGATTGAGCAGGGAGCTTTGCAACATCCGGCGGATGTGTCTGGCGAAAAGAACCGACAAGCCCTTGCGGTGCCGTGGTGAGCTTCCTATCCGTTCCAAGACCTGGGTCGTCTCTTCAATGAGCGATCTCGCATTCGGAGCTAGGTTTGCTCGGTTCCCGAAACTGGTGGTGCCAAGGGCTAGAGCGAAGCACGCTGCAAAAGATACCATGATGACCGTGTTGTTCGGCACAGATTTTAGTCGACCTTCGCCGTGGACTGCCGCGCGCATGACGTTCATGGCTGAAGCAAGGCCGGCGGCGCGGAAGAATTGTTTGACATCATTCGATGCGGTCGGGTGGTTGACGACGTTGCAATAAGTCGATAGTTTTGTGTGGGAAACCAAAATCTCAACGTAGGGTGGTAGTTGACCTTCCAAGTATCAGTATGCTAGACTTGCTTGTTCACAATGTTTCTGTCTGTTGCTCACCATCTCCTTGCGTGATTTGTCGGGACCACACAGCGTACCATTGCTCGAAGAAGCGATCAATCTTGTCCTTGAGACTGTGATGCATTAGTCTGTGGGGATTGCACCCGGCACACAGAATAGACTTACAATCTGACCGCGGTTGAGCCGCCGTTTGCGCCTTGACTCCCATCACAAAACTCACGAACACTTGTGATGAGGCCAACCTGGACATGGTCAATAACTTGAAGCAGCATTGTCGGACATGCATACCAAATCTCGTCTGAGCACAGCGGCAGAAGTGACGCTACCATCCCATCGATCCGCAATATCCGAAATATGCCAAGTGTCACAGCTCTCGACCAATGGCCCGATAGGCACTGCGTACGGTCGACCTCGAGCTAGGCAAATACTGGAAAAGATGATCAGTCCGACAGTAACGATTGCAAGGTGTATTGAACAGACGTACCCGCGATCCAGGACAAACAAAGCCAGCCACACTCGCTCGCGAGTCCTCAGCAGACGTCTGCCCCATGCCGACGTGGGGTCAATGTTGGGAAAGCCATCCATCTGCAGCGCTCTCGTAGAGTCAATACACTCAGCTTTGGCAACCCGGTCTAAGAAGCCCGCAGGTCGGATAGTCGGAGACGGCACAACAATCTTGTTCAGTGAAAGATCCAGGGCTAGCGTAAGTGCTGCCGACAAGTATGCACAAGTTTCATCGTCGGCCCAATGCTTAGCTGGCGTCATCCAGGGGATGTTGACCATGAAGCCCAAGACAATCTCCACGGATCTGTACCTGTTGTAGATGACTGTGCGTACCAGGTGATTCCGATGACCTGCCAAACGCTTAGAGAGAGCTTCCGCTTTCGGCAGAAACAATGCAGATGCAGCCAAGATGGAAGTGAACAAGAATGCCGACCTTGATCGCACAAAGGCAGCAGTGTGGAGGATAGGATCCAGGCCCCAGCGAGTGTGCGACAATCGATCGTGGTAATAAGTGAAGAGAGAATCTGCTTCCTCGGCAGTCACCAAGCCTAGCTCAATGGGATCCAGGTCTGGCGAATTGTCCAAGTTAGACATGAGCAGTCCAAAGAACTGCTGGATGTCGGCATCTGCGAGGTGATGGTCGTTGGTTGATTGATGCGAGGCAAAAACAGCCGGGGACGTTGACATATGGGTGGATGGAGATTGGCCAGGCAAGACCGAGGCCATGGCAAGCAGTTGCAGTGGATTATCGGCATTGTTGAGAGCGAGTTCGTCTGGTTTCTCACCGACCGCTGCTGTTGCTGCTGCTGGTGGCGGGACATCATGATCAATAGGGGAGCTGCCATTTCCGTTGTACTCCTGCGAGTCGGTATGGGGTTGAGCAAAAGCTTGCGGCACGGCCGTACTTGGTGTCTGTGAACTAGATGCCCGTCGCAGCCGCTCAGGCTGGGGTGTAGATATCAATTGTCGAAGATCTGTTTCCGCCTCAAGACTTAAGCCCGTTGAGCTATCTTTGGTGCGCTTGAGTGCCTGCTCGACCTGATAGATTGCCTTTTCCAGACCTGTCCGCTTACTCGCAATTGTTAGCCAAGGACGAAACTACCGAAGACCCTCTGTACTCACTTTTTGACACCTTTGTATCGACCGACGTGGTATTCGGGGGTCACACATTGTAGCCCGGCCTGCTGACATTTTCGACATACCGCAGCATTAGGGTCACGCGTGCATTTCACTTTGCTTCGGCGACATTCAAGGCATGCGGCCTGCTTGGCCTGAGCTGCGTTTGATGCAGCATCCGAGTCACTTTGGCGGCTGGAATTCATGCCTCGATGCAGGCATCATGCAGAGCTCTTGCACGGAGGCAGGCTCAGGAACGTGCGGGCTTTCGGCAGTTGTGCACAGTTGAGCTGACTCGAAGTTGGATCGCGGTCTGAACGTGGATATGAAATCTTTCGCTCAACGTATGTTGCGGGGTGCACGGCATCGCAGGAGGCAATGTGCCTCGATGAACGTTACGTCGATGTTGATGCGGAGATCTCGCCTAAAGTGATTTTCAAGTCCAGTCCTGTTGTTGACGATGGTTGGGAAGCGAGGTTGGAGCTCCACGAATCGGCAGAACTACGGCGCACGTGACCAGGCCAGCCAAATCTCGGGCAGTACCGGCGGCTTTCGACTTCTTGCTAACGCAGATGAGGTCCTCAACTACATCTCGAGGTGTCTACGAAACATCTCCTCATAGTGTCAAGGCTTCCATGCTGGCTCTGCGAAGCAATCGTGTGCGTGAGGAGAGCGTCAAAGTCATACCCCCACAATGAGCCGGGCGGTGCTCCGTCTGGCGGGAGCACGTTGGACCTCGTCTTCCAGATTGCGACACCCCTTATTGGCAGAATCCGGCTACCATGCCACTTCCACAACGATCGATTGCGAGGGCTACGGGCGTTGACAAGTTGACGCTTATGGAACGATTACCTAGGCCCTGACAGTAGGGCCAGTAACGGTCACCTGGGGTTGTCAGAATCATACCTAGCCCGGATGTAATAAGACCTAGCTTTCAGATTGACTTGTTGCAGTGCTTTTCTCAGTCTCTCGTAACAGTACCAGAGGCGGGCACTGGGCTTCTCCTGGACGTCTCCTGAAACGAAGTGAGTTCGAATTTGGCAGGCAACCCTCTTCGAGTACACACGACGCCACGAACCACTGCAACAACGAGTCGCAAACGAAATATAGCAGGAGACTCCATTGGGACCTGATGCAACTATGGCACTGACTTCCCCGTGGCATTGGTGACCAAGTCGTCTGGCGTCAGTTTGAGTAGAGACATCAAGGAACGAGCCTTGCATCTGGCGTGCTATGCTTATCAAATTCTGCATACCGACTGCTTACCCCTTTGAGACATCTCCCATATATGGTCTGATGGTGGATCAGGCACGTATCCCTCTGCAGGGTCCACTCGCTTATCAACAATATAGCATCAATCTGACCCTGCAGTTTGAAACACGATCACAGGTTGATGTCGGCCTTTTGTGGTGGTTCCCATGGCGGAGCAGAGGAGATCAGTGCTGATGCTAGGCAGTCTGCCATGCAGATTCATTTCTGCAATAGTCTGTAGGCAGGATCTTTGGCAAGTGGCGCTCCGAGAGAAAAGTCCGACACTGTTGCAGTCAAGGTCGATCATTCTGCCCTGCATATTGACCCTGTACCTGCCGTATCAGGAAAGGAAGGCCTTGAGAATGTGGTGAGAAGAGCCTCAACAAGGCCGTACAGATGTGTCGCCCCCGTGCTTGCTCAACTCTGCCGCTACCGCTCCTGAAGGATTCAGATTCAGATTGATGCACAACAAGACCAACGTCGCCCTGCCTGAATGTTCAGCTTCGGCGCGACTGGAGAGACCACGCTTGGCAAGCAAAGGTTGAGATGTTGCGCCGAGCGACGTTGTACTCTATGGTGCGATCAGGTACTAGCCGCTTGGGGATCGTGCCACCGTATACGGCCTAACAGGTAAAAGGCCATGCATGTCGGTGCATGCCTTCTCATCTTCAAACATGAGGTGAAGGTTATCCTTCGCACTTCGCATGGCTTCTTGTCAGCGAGAACCCTCGCCAAATCGCCAAATGCGATGCTGTGGCAGACCGTGGTCAATTGGAGCGGACCTGGGAATGGAGTGTGAGGACCACCGGACCGACACTGTCCCTTTGAGAAATTGGCACTTGCGGCGACGTGACAATGGATATAGACTGACAGGTGCAAAGGTTTGAAGACTCATGTCTTGGGCACGACAGGCGTCCACCGCTATGCATGCCACGTTGAGTGACTACACTTTTGGCCAGATATACCATTGCCCAACGAGAAAATCGGCCACGGCGTTCTACGCGGTTTTGAGGCACGATCAGGGGCACTGGCAGTGTCTGAACTGTGCACGACAGGAGGGAGCTCCACGTTGCCTGATAAAACGGTCGGGCCTGTTCAAGGCGGCAGGTCAAGTTGTGGCAAGGAATCCAAACAGGACGCCTGAAATTATCAATCAATGGTCTCTGCACCGGTGAAAGCTTAGTATCAAGTAAGCATGCATTCTCGCATAAAGACAGATCCCTACCCTTCTCCGCATTCGGCAGTAGCGCGTGCTCAAATGCAAGATGGAAAAGTCCTGCGTAAAGAATGGAGCATCGTCCTGACTAAGCACATATCAGAATATGGGTGATTCTTGGAAGGCATGAACCATTTCGGTTTGGACCAGTGACACTGACACTGCCATTATATGCATTCAGGCAAAGCCTGCGCATCGCAGCTGGCGCATTCAGCGTAGCCAAATGTGACCTCGCATCCAAGACACTTCAACAAGCCCTTCAAATTGATATTCACCGTCGGGAAAGGTTGAGAGGAGTCGCTTTTGCGACAGTCTCACCACCGTCTTGTATAATCGCTTGCAAATCTGGCGGTGCGTCCATGTGAAAGACCACCTGAGATGTCCGGACGGACCGCAAGGCACACCAGGCGCTCAAACCTCGCCCAACGCTTCAGCCAAAGCCCATGCCACTGAATTTCACCGGGCCCAGTCGCCAAACATTGGCTACCACATGCTGCTGCCGGGCATAGTACGCAACAGGGTTAATAGTAGAACATGAAATCGTCCGGCCTGCATTAAACTTATTATTGATCGTTCAGAATATGCTCGCCATACGGAGAGTTTCAGGTGTGGAGGACCTACGGTGGTGTTGCAGACATGCATCCTGCCTCTGATAGACAGCATGGGCGCACCACGTCATGAACGCACCTGGTCTTTTGCGGCTTGCGTGCTGCGGCAATGGTCACGAAGGCTCCAGAGTCGTCGTACTCGGTGTCAAGGTTTTGAAGTCGTCAAGTATCACACCACTGGGACTCTCGTGCTGAACCTTACCATGATTCATGCCGACATTCATTGCTTTCACTGCAGCCTTCTTGATCTGCTCGATACCCGCGGCCAAGCATGCCGTCACTGGGGTTTGATGCAATCGAAAGAACTTCCCTACATCGGCATTTGGGCCAGCGCGGAAATCGCTGCAGGACAAGATAGCTAGGGATGTTTGTTCATGTATGATCGTGGATAATACCGTGTCATACCTGAAGTCACAGTATCGTGATATAGTTTATGCGGATATAATCGGACGTTGCAGTCATAGGATTCGATGGATGGGGGTGCAGCAACATAGAATCTGCCAACAACGTATGAAGTAGTGAATCAGTGATGCCCAGCTGTGTCGCCACTTGCTGTAACATGGTATAGTCGTTAGGGCAGGTTGCGGTTGCAGTTCCAGGCTCCAAGACGCTGTTCGCAACGGGGACCGTCAGAGGGCAGCAGGAGGTCAGGCGTCGGTGACCCCATTTCGCAACTAACCAATCGCGATCATAGTCTGAAGAAGCGAATTGCTTTGACAGGAAGGATGACCCAGCTCCTGCCGCATAGCTATTCAGTTCGTGGTGCTGTTTCGGAGCTGTACCACGGAAGACATTTTCCTCAATGTTGGCAACGAAGCGAAGGTAAGGTCATCAGCAGTCTTTCGCGTGATGCTGGTGGTCGTCTCGGATGAATGCGTGCTTGCAGGAAGGCCACATGAACTGCAATTACACTTATCGTATTGATAACGCCGCCTGCCAGCGTCTATGGTGGTGCATTGGGCCAATGACGGTGATTCCTTCAACTTCATGTTGGTCATCCCCCGGAGAGATTCCACGAAAGGCATGTTTCAATTACCGTTTCGAAGACTTCTAGATCAAGGCGACACCAACGACCGGCATGATCCGCTAGCAGATCTGTTATATTGTGTCGTATTATCTCATCATCCCAAGTTCGATCGACAGGAATCGGCAGTGAGCAAAGTGTGGGCAAGAAGTGGCCCAGTGGCTGCAGACAGGTTAGCCACCTGCACAGGGATATCCAGAACTCGTGAGTGCGTATGTAAGCGTCCCAGACAGTTGATGGGTGCAATAAGTCTGGAACAGGTTCGTCTATGCTATCGTTATCGATGGTCCCTCCGAAGATGTGCGAGCTATTGAAGAGGACAAACGGTTTTATGCAGGTGAAGCTGTAGTGCAGATTCCCACTGCGGATTGGCTTCGGTTAGCAAGAGCGCACCATACAGGGTTGATGCAGGTCACAGGGATATGAAACCCGGGGCTTTGCAAGAAGGGTTAAAGTTCCCAAAGCCTAGACTTGAGCCTCTCCGGGCATAGCGACAGCGGCACAGACAACGGAGACCTGCAATGGGGGTGGAGTACAGTTCCCTGAAGGAGATGCATATTCCACGTCGAACCTTAACCTTTCTTTGTCTCTCGGACAAGACAAAGAAAGCCTGAGAGCTGCGCAACGTGGGAGATTTACGAGGCTCGCAGGGGTAACTAGTCAGTGATTCGCTATCCCCCACCTCCAAGGTGGCAATCGCGCTCTCTTGCTAGATAATCGTCTCCTTCGGACAACAAAGCGACCGTGACATTGATGATACCACAATTGTCTGGGCGAGAGATTTGATTAAGATTTACACAAGGTGGATGAATCAGCCTCCTGTGCACAAGAGTTGTGGCCACTGAATTGAAGATCCGTGCTGTTAGGCCGTCGGAGCGCACGAGATATCGCTGGGCTGGCCTGAATAGCATCCGTATCAGGCGTTACCCTGTATACCAGACGTCTGCGTTGCTGTTGGCAGATCTGACTGGACCCAATTCCCCTTCCAGTATTGGGCTATGCGAATAGCGTATTGGCGAGATATTGACGGGACGTCTGTGCAGCACACCTTCGGGCTCCCTGACAGGTTGATGTAGCTGAACCTCACCTCGAACACTGCCTAGCCGATCTGCGGCTATGAAGAGCCGACCGACACAGAGAGTTTGCCGTGAGTATGACGGTGGCAGGAGCGAGCAAGAACAGCACTGGAAGGTTCAGTCGACATTGAGAACAGCCATCTGCTGTCTCAAGCCGTATATGGAGGACTGCACGTTGGTAAAGGGTCAAGCCTGCTGGGATCCTTTCGAGACAATATTCAACATGCCTTGGCTGCCTTAGGTAAGACCCCAAAGCCCCTCACTCAAGTCTGAGGCGATCAAGGAGCAGAACCCTGCTTCTGATCGTCCAGACCCTTCCCCTGGAAGCGGGCTTGGGCGATATTGCACACTCCATTACTGTGGTGTTCCAGGTCGGTCCAGAACTCAAAGGCACGATCCCGAGATGATCGGCAAAGAAGTGCTTGCAGATTCCGGCCTGATGGCCATATTGATTATACTGTACTCCAACCACTTGATGCGGCTGCCATGACTTTCGTAGCTAGTGCGCTGCGGAAGGCTGTGAAACGTCCACTGCCAGGTTCAAGACACATGCGATCCTTGTAAAGCAAATCCTGCCCAAAAGCTGCGAGAACCATAACTCGCCTACAACGCCCTCATCCCCAAGCTTCCCGATGCAAGCAGCAAAAATAGTGTCAGGGTGAACCGCCCAAGGAACATTTCTAGTACTCAATTCGTTCTTGCTGTGGGGTAGGCGTTCGGTAATCGCAGGCTGGACTGAGGGCTCATTGCGTCCGTGTTGAAGAAGGGGACCAGGTCGAATTCTTGTGGAGATTGGCACACAGAACCGCACAATGTAGGAATGCTGGTTTGGAGATTCGATATCTCGCCGCTGAGTTGTTCGATCTGCGCCTGTAGTCGAGTTACTTCCTCGGTTTGTTGTGAGTATGAATGTGACAATTTCTGGTGCTTCTGTTGCCACTGTAGAATCTGCTCTTCGAGCTCCTTTTGGTGTCGCTCCTTGCGCTCTCGGTAAGCACGCTGTGACGAACGATTCTGTTCCCGCCTCCTCTGTCGGTGGGGTTAGTATGGATGGCCGCGCGGGATTAGCAGACCAACATACCTCGATCTTGTCGGGGATTGAGTTCTTCACCTGGGTAATGACGCTGCCAGACGACACCCGACGCTCGGGTGTCGTTCTGTAGGAGCTGTCGGAGCCTGATGATGACATATTGTCATAGGAGTGGTCTAGCGTGGCGTAGAAGTTGGCGGCGCGTTGTAGGAGCTTGAGTGAGTTATCAGTACGACAGAGATTTGAAGAAGAAGACGAAGCAGTCGAGGATGAGCTTACATCATTGTAATGGCTGACCATAGTCTTTGGCGACTGGATGCCGTTGAAGTCCCATGGGAAGGCAGGGTCAATTGGGGAGAAGGTGCCTTGTTGCTGGTCCCAGCCATTGACGGGATGGAAGTCGGTCATAGTGATGGCGAAGGTATACTGGGAAGGTCTTTGGTGCTTGAGAGTATTGTTGTAGAGATGTAAATTTGGTGGTTCACATTGAAGAATGTATGGATTGCAAAGGTGATCGGCGGTGGACAAATGGCATATCTTATACGATATGGGAACTGCACGAGGCTAGATCGAGGCGAGAGATAGACGGTATGCCAGATTTCTGGCAATTGTATAGAACCTGCGAATGGGACATCTTGGTCGAGGTCAACCGAACGCGTGCCTTTGGCCGTCGAAATCCTGCTTCGTAACCGGCCGTGCTTGACTGCAGTGGGGAGGACATCCTTCCTGACTATTCCAGAAGTAGCAGGCGCACTAAGCATCCAAATCCCCTGTCAACACGAAGACATCCCAGGCTAGCGTGGTTGCTCACTGTGCAGGCTGGACGGGCGGAATACGGTTCATCAGTCAGCCGAAACCTCATGCGTCCTCATCACAGTCCGAAGCCAGTCCTAGAGATATAGAAAGTGGCTTGATCACTGCTGCAGCTAGAGTAGCTTGGCAGCAATGCCGAAGCCTCTTGGAACCCTTATCCCTTACATACCGTACATCCTATCGGTACGGAGCACCAATCGACATAAGAGTAAGAGAGGGCCGCTTTTGGTAAAGGTTCGGACGGACATGTGAGAAAGACTGTGAGTGTCGCTTGCGGCTCAATGATACATGAAGGCCCCGGGAAATGGAATAGGCATTGAACACTTACCAGGCCACTTTAAGGACAGGGAATGCGCGGTCCCCTTGGTGCTACAGTACCAGCGCACTACGTCAACTTCCTGCGGCTTAACGTTTCCATGACCGGCTGCAAGAGTCAAAAATGTATACATTGCTAGTATACTGCTGTGGACTTCATACGTCATGATGTCGTGGTGCAAACTATGCATCAACCTTTTTCTGATTTTCACAGAAGAGTACCAGGTAGGTTCAGGAGGCTACTTTGGAATCGGCATAACCTCGTGGTGACGAAAGGTACTGTGGTTGCGAAATTAAGCCTAGTGAGCCAGCACCGAGGTTTAGGCATGTCGAAAGCCCCCTAGCCTAGGGAGCCTGCACTACAGTTCTTGAAGCGGTGGTACCCTTCGCCCAGAGTCAATGCCCGGTTAAATAGACGAAACTCATTTCCTTTCATTTAGGCGGCAATATGTTCATTTTATAGGTGCCTCCTTCGGAAATCGTATAGGTGTGGTGACAAGTCCAAAATACTACGGCAATTACCGTACTACGAATTACTATCCCACATGGTCTGCAACTCCGTACAGTACTTACCTTACTACGTTCTGATGGTCCTGAAGCTGGCTAGATCCCAGTATCATTACCCCGAAAAACTACACCTCTAAACACCACTGTTTGGTCTGCGATGGTATAGAACCACAATGCCGCATATTCGCCGATGAACGGTGCTGCTGTTGCACTGGACAACCTGAACCCTTCTCGACACCGCATTTTTGACATAGAAACGCTTTGGTCTTGTCTCAGCGTCTCAAACTAGGTAGGGCTGCGAGCCAAGGCGCGCGATTAGCGTATCCTTACGGATCATCCGTGCAAGATTCCGCATTTTCGAGACATGGTCGCTCCAGATCGTCCTCCAGAGCATCTTCCCGGACGATTCGATTGACTACCTGACGGCCGAGGTCAAGTTGAACTACACAAGTGCTGATAATGACGTCGCTCAAGAGTACGTCGGTCCTCCACGATGTGCGGACTGCCGAAAACAGCGCTGCCTATTTGCTGCCCAAGCTGCAATCTATGAAAGAATCCAACCCTCGGTTGACGCTTTTAGACGTCGGTGCTGGCTCAGGCACAATCTCTGTGAGTTTCGCCAAGCTCGTCCCAGATGGCCACGTTACCGGCGTCGACGTCAACCCCAACATCTTGCCACGGGCACGAGCTGCCGCTGAAGGGGCTGGCGTCAAGAACATCGACTTCCATCAGGGCAGTGTCTACAAGCTGCCCTTCGACGACGAGACATTTGACATCACCTTTTGTCATCAGGTGCTCATCCACATTGGCACCCCCTGGGATGCGCTGCGTGAAATGCTCCGGGTAACAAAGCGAGGCGGCATCGTCGCGGCTCGTGAGGGCGACGTAAGTATTCTTCCTCGCGAAAGACTGTGCCATTGGAACACGAGTCTTGCGGTTTGTCCCAGGTTTTACCGACACAACTTTCTGACGATATGTAGTACGAGACGGAGTGCGTCTGGCCCGAACTTCCCGAGCTGTCCAAGTTCCATAAATTCATGGCAGGCCTTATGAGTGCCGGCGGTGGTGACCCAAAGGCAGGCCGACAGTTGCTGTCTTGGGCCCTCAAGGCCGGTGCCGAGCGAAGCCAAATCACGCTCAGCTATAGTACATCGTCATACAGCACACCGAGCGAGAAGAAAGTCTGTTGTAAGTTGCATCACTCTTCTGCACCTCGTGCATTCGAACGTGGCTCTGATCATTGTGTCCGTGCATAGCCCAGGGTTTGTGTGTCCCTCTCAGAGGGGGTTCTTTGAGCGAGAAGGCCCTAAAGTTCGGCCTAGGTACTGAGGATGATTTTGAAGCAATGGCCAAGGCTTGGGAAGAGTGGGCGGAGAGGGATGATGCAAGCTTGGCCATGCTTCAAGGAGAAATCCTCGTCCAAAAGTAAATAGGAGACCCCAAGTGACACGCTGCCGCTGGATCATAGACACCGGAAATGCAAAGACCATACATGATAGATGGAGCCATGAAGCAAGAGGTAGAAACGGACTCCAAGATTTGGTGTCACTGTACTGTGAACAAGTCGAATGATATTGCTCTTACCGAGATCGTATGGTATGAGTATCGTGGCACGGAAAAACAGCCAACTGGTGGGGCGTTGTTTGGCTCTTCAGTAGGTAAACTAGTGCAGATCGAAAACCTTGGATAAAGGAGACCCTCCAGCTGCAAAAGTACCAGCAGCCTAGGAGACAAACAACTGTCGGAGGCTGCCGTACCTGGGTACGATTGCAAGCCTTCCCGAGCTATTTGGGGCGAGACATCCGGAGATACTCCCTCTCAGAGACTGATGAGGATTGCCTTCCGAACAAGGCAACAGGCTGGGGGTGCCGTGGAACGTGAGCACCTATGCCGAAGTCTTCCAGAAACAACCACGAGGGATATCATCTGCACGCACACGCCTGACCGTTGACTCCGCTGTCACACACGGGCACGATGTCGTGCATGATCCTGCGGCCCTGGACCGCAATGCTGGCTCACATGACAAACCCCTGGTGGGCTTGTCATTTCCTGCTCGTTGAGGAGCATTATGGGCTCCACCCCAGTAACGTTGCATAGTCACAGGTGGCCTTTGGATTCCCAAGGCAAATACGTAAAGCACATTCAACCTCCACATGCGACAGCCGGCCGGGAAGCAACGTTGCACTCAACGTACATTGAGCCACTGGGAGTCCTGGAGGTAAAGAGGGCTTTACCGTAACAGTCAGGGGTATCGCTGGGAGGGTGTAGAGATGTATCGCTCGTCATACATCGTTGTATGCGGGGCGTAACATGAAGGCACTTGCAGGGCCTCAGCCGAGTTCAGGCGTACTGATACATCGTCTATCGAGCCGCTGGGGTGTTATTGGCCTGGTAACAGCTGACTGGTATTTGCAAGCCTGATTATGTTTCCATCGCAGATTGGCGACGGTCGTTTCGGACTGGTCAATTCCTTATGATAGCCTACCCTTGTCGTGAGCGACTGTGTAACGTTAAAAGAACCGCAATTCGTGCCCTTCCTTAGATGGAATTTTCCGGCTGTGACACGTGGCTCTAGGAGTGCGGCAGAAGCGATGATTATGTTGTAGGGTCTGGGCAACTGGCTTTGAGACTGCTCGAGACTATCAGGCCACTCGTGTGACCCAGAAATCCCCAGACAGCCCATGCCCACATCAGGAGTATACGCTTGATGTTGACGTCAGTGTACATTGCCAGACCGTTGGAGAAGTATTAGTCAAGGAGGGTGCTGACTTCGCCATTGAAAATTTCTTGAGTCAGCATAAGAGGTCACACGTGGCTCGGTGAGAATGATCAGACAAAGCAAAGACGAGGGCGGGTTTGCACGAAGTTGTCGGCCGCCGCGCTCTTGTTGAACTCAGCTCGCAGCTGCAATCAGCGACCATACGATGAGATCGTCGCAAGAACATCTTTGTGCACTTGATGAGGTTTCCTCTCAAAGGAGGTTGCTACGGCGCTGTTTCATTCTCCGAAAGGGTGAGGAACAACGAGTGGTAAGAAACTGAATCAAAAGTGAATGACCAGCGAGGTTGGGTAGATCTGGCACGTGATCGTAACAGTGGGTATCCTGAAGAGGGTTTTCCGATTAGTCAGCCACAGCTTATTAGGTGTGGCTGGAAATGATGAGGCGCCGGTGAACAGGAACGAAGCTGTCTACGAGATTTGAAACATTTGGGTATGTTGTGAGCAACATTCTGGCGAAGGACTCCCGTGGCATCAGCTCAACATCCGGGGCTCCATGAACTCGCTGAGGAGACTATGTCGATGACGATTCTAGAAACCGAGGCAGAGGAACAGTGCGATATGACTGGTGAATTTTCGTTCCGCACCTGCAGGTGCAGCTGCAGCTTTCGGGCAGCCCAACAGTGCAGTCCAAATACACCGCAGCTTTCTGGTTCGAGAGGACAACGTATGTTGATGCAAGTTTACCTATGATCGAGTGAGTGAGTCCTCAATGATTCTATCGCTGTATCCCAGCCCTCTGTTTCACTAATTGAGGGTCGCAATTTGGTTGCTGATTTCATCGTCACCTACGCGAGAAATTCCGGTGGCAGGAGGAGGCTGGTACATTCGACCTCAGCCCGCGCAAAAAGCCGTCGCTCTTCTGCCTCGACGCCCAATTCTGTTCTCGACTATCCTCTGTTCCATTGTTTGTTCTCTCCAGTGCATCGTTTTCATCCAGGACGATATCATATCTTATTTCGAAGTCTTTTGGTGGTGGTGGTGGTAGTGGTGGTTCAGTGATACAAAACACCAACAACAAAAATACCAACAAGATCCAATGCACAGATAACGCACGGATACACCTCGCATTGACTGTTTGCTGACCCAACACCTGGTCTGTGCCGGTCAAGATGCGTCTACACGAGATGCCTCCCTCCCTTACCATCCTTCTTGCGGCTCTCCTCGCGCGAAACGTTGCCGCATCCATCCTCCCCGATCTTCTACGCAGCTTCGACGACCTCCAAGATGTTCGCAAAAGATGCTCGAATCCTTGTGGCTACTACGACCAACTGTGCTGCGATTCAGATGAAGTCTGCTACACAGATTCCAACAACCAAGCACAATGCGGAGCTTCTACCACGACGACAGTCGGTGCAGCTGCCACAGGGGCATGGCAGTACTATACAACCACCTACGTTCAAACCGACCTGAAGACCGTCACCGAGACGTTCAGCTCATACGTGGCTACCACCACTGCTGGCAGCACATCGAGTTGTTCTTACTCGCTTGGCGAGACTTCATGTGGTAATACGTGTTGTTCATCAGGCCAATACTGCGAATCCTCGGGAAGCTGTGTTGATGTAGGTGGAGACAGTTCTGCAAATTCGTATTATACCAGTCTCTACACAGTCACCACCGTTATCACCAACACGGCCACTGCTACCAACACGGCTAGCGCAGCACTTCGGCCTACGAGCGATTCTCTCGTTACAATCACTTCTACTGGAACTGTGACGGCATCCGGAAGCGGGACCACGACCGCCGCAACCGGGACTACGACCACGACGCAAGGATTCGTCACACCTGTCAGCTCGAGCGGGAGCATAATATATGGTTCGTCAACCAGTTCTGGCGGCGGGTTGAGTGGCGGTGCCATCGCCGGCATTGTCATTGGTGTTATTATTGGTATCATCATCCTGCTGCTGTTATGCGCTTGTTGGTGCGCCAAGGGGTTGATTGATGGCTTGCTGAGCATATTCGGTTTGGGCTCTCGAAAGCGACGAACTAGAGAAGAAGAGGTCATCTACGAAAGACATTCACACAGGGACCGACAAGGAGGAAGAACTTGGTTTGGTCAGCAAAGACCCTCGCGAACCGAAGTTGTGGAAGAAAAGAGGACCAGTGGCATCGGTGGTATTCCCACTGCCGGCTGGCTTGCGGCTGGAGTAGGCTCGCTAGCCCTCTGGCTCGGATTGAAGAGACGGAATCGCAGGGACGACAAGAGCGATGTGAGCTACGACAGCGCTTATTACACGGATTACATGTATTCCAGTAAGTCAACTCCTGCCTGATCAATGCCTTGATCATATGCTGACTTATTCGCAGGCGCAGAGAGTTCCTCAGACCGACGCACAAGACGAACAGGTAGATCTGCCTCCAGATCCAGGTCTAGGCGGTAGCCACGGCCACACTTCATTTTTGATCTTTGTTAGCGAGCATGCATTCCATGGGTCTTGATAGACATGGATGGATAGGGCCCACATTCTGCGGCGAGGGCATACTGAGAAAGGGATAGTGTACAGATTGGAGGGGGAGTCCTTGAGATCTTGTATATGGTGTTCCAAACATGGACATTCTCAGAGCATGTACAATACTCTAATAAATGAAGATGGCACCTTGACCACCTGGCCTTCCCATTTGGTTTGACGGCGAGCCAGTTTCCAGAAAAAGTGGTACCGTCTGACAGGGCGTACATCGACGACAGAAGTTCGGAGTCAAGCAGGTTCATAACAGCAGACGCCTCGACAGTAAGACGATGGCGCTGTATGGTAGAGTTGATGCCCTGTACCTCTGTCAAGAGCTAAAGCTGTATCTTTGTATGCGAAGGTCTCCGGAATGACAATAAGGAACAATATCTTTGTGAATTCGAAGAGCAACGGCAGTCAGACGGTGCCACTTTTCCCAGAGTGTTTGTGCATAGCGCACAGACTTCGACATACCGTGGGCGCAATTCCGAGAAGGACGATAATATAAATGTCACTGATCCCTCTCTGTCCTTTCATCTGCGCTTATTCCTGCACGCTGAATAACTTGTTTGAACAAGATCAGAGTGACGCTCGAAACGCGGCAAATCGTTCGTTCAGGTGTATTAGTCACAACCCCGGGAAGAGGAGAATCAAAGTCGCCAATTAGGGTTGCCTGCAGGCTCTCTGATTCATCCTCTAGATCCAACCTATAGGGGCCTCGATCCAAGCATTGGCCCCCCGAAGACGCCTTTCGACGCCAAGCAATCAGAACCCGAGAGTCCTCGAACTTCGATTCTTCATCAGAACCGAACCGCAGGGGGGCCAACCCGTCCTCTCAGACCTCCCCGCTTTATCCTGCTTTCCTGTCTTTGTCTTTCTCCGAATACGAATATCGAGTCTCATCTGAATTCATTCTCATCTTAACTCGCCTCTACGTCGATCTGTCTCACGGTCCTGTCCTCGAGTATACCTACTACCTTCACTTTGACCCGAGGATGAGTGCTACGTGACACGGACCGACACACCGCACATCATGCTTCAGACGCAGCATCTTTACTCGCACCAGCAACAGTACGTCCAGCACGACCAGTCGGCGTGGCAGCACAATGGTCCTCAGCAAGGTCATCAGAATCTGAACCATGGACAACAGCAAGCTCAGGCGCAAGCCGCTGCAGCTGCAGCAGCCGCCGCTCAACAGCAACACTACAGTCGGATCGCGATGAATCAAAATCATAATTCTTCCCACAGTCAAGCCAACAACCGGCAGTCTTCGGGCGACAACGCGCAAAGTTCTATGGGTGCCTCCCTCGGAGCCATGAATGATCGAGGGTCCCCTGGGATGGAACAGCAGCTTTCAGAAGAGAATCGCAAAGTTTTACAATGGGTGGCAGAATTGATGGATCCGAATCGACGTGAGGGAGCGTTGATGGAACTGAGCAAGAAGAGGGAACAAGTTCCCGAGCTCGCTCTGGTCCTTTGGCACAGTTTTGGTGTCATGACCAGTTTGCTCCAGGAGATCATTTCCGTCTACCCACTACTGAATCCGAGTCAACTTACAGCCGCTGCCAGCAACCGTGTCTGCAACGCTTTGGCTTTGTTGCAATGCGTAGCAAGCCACAACGAGACTCGCGGCTTATTCTTGAACGGTGAGTCAAGTATACGTGTGCGCTCGCATCAGACATACTGACAAGACCGGCAGCGCACATTCCACTATTTCTCTATCCTTTCCTCAACACAACATCGAAATCGAGACCGTTCGAGTATCTCCGACTCACTTCTTTGGGCGTGATTGGTGCCCTGGTCAAGAACGAACCCTCTGCGAGTGTTTCAATCAACTCGGTCGGAACACCAGGGAATACGAACAATTCGTCTCCCACAATCACTTTTCTCTTAACCACTGAAATCATACCTCTATGTCTGCGCATCATGGAAACAGGCAGTGAATTGTCGAAAACGGTGGCCATTTTCATCGTGCAGAAGATCCTACTGGATGATACTGGCCTCGGCTATATATGTGCCACCTACGAGAGGTTCTATGCTGTTGGTACTGTTTTGAGCAACATGGTCATTGGCTTGGTGGAAACACAGACCGTCCGTCTGCTGAAGCACGTTGTTCGATGCTTTCTCAGGTAAGGTCGTCCTCGAATCGTCCATGGAACCGTGACTGACTGTTGAATAGGTTGAGCGACAATAATCGCGCTCGCCAAGCCCTTCGACAGTGTCTTCCGGAGCCTCTTCGAGATGCCACGTTTTCCAACGTGCTGCGCGACGATGCCGCCACAAAACGATGCCTTGCCCAGCTGCTCATCAACCTTAGCGACACCGTCACCGACACACAAAACGACCAATTTGAGTAGTGTTCGCGGTCTTTTGAGTCCTGGAGGCCTACACATTCAACTACGTTCGATGTTGAAGTCCTTGACGGAGGATACTTCTCAAAGGACTCTCGAAGGAGTGACGAATCTTTTTTCTTTCCTCCAGCATTGCGACCGGCGACTGACGACAAAGTGGGTATAGTATGAACCCAGGGTCAAGGGGGATATTGAAGTTTGACCGACTTTCTTTCTTCACGCATGCCATCTCCACCAACATAGAGATATACCCATGGGACCCTCTGGACTGTTCAACAGGCAACCAGATCGATCCACGTTATTATTCTTCGGGATTCCAAGTCACCACAGGCGCGAACGGAGTCTTTTGCTCGACAGCGAAAACCATGTATCAAGATGCGAAGGTTCAGGGAATAATTCACCCAATGTGGATTGGGGTTTGGGAAGAAAAAAAGTCTTCTATTGACGTTTGTGCTTTGGTGATTGTCATTTCTTCTAATTTCTGGTGGGGACAGTCGAATCAGTTGAACGCTACAACATTATGACTCTGTCACTGACGGTGACGGTATATGGAGGCGCAACGGTAGGGTTGGGAACATTTTGAATAACGACGGACGGGCAGAGAACACTGCATACCAGCGAGGCCTTTGACATGCAGCGGCAAAGACAACATGAGCTGTCACTGGGCGGGATTGCGGCGGAACTATTCGATCGTCTATATGCCCGTGGACGGTTTGCAGGTGTGGTCGGCTAGCGGACTGTTTAAACGACAGTATATGTACTCCATAGCATGCGGAATTTTCTTGTTTCTCATCTTAAACAAACACGATACAGAACATACCATAGCACCTAATTGTACTTAGACGAGCAGTAATCGAAGCTGATGCACAATCATACTCCATATATAGATCCTTACAGTATGATGCAGCAAAAGTGCTCCAATTGAGTAGACGGCCTTTTTCTTATCTCCGGAAGCCGTGATATCCGTCCAATTGGCCTGCCAGAGAAGGTCCAATTCAGGGACCATGATTGGCCGCATTTTGACATCATGAGAAATACTCGATCGTCGGCACTTGATGCTGCCCATATATTTTCTACGCCTCTTTCTCTGGATGGGGAAGCTCGAGATTCTGCATGAGACACTTGACTAGAGAAAATCTGCCAGAGACTCGAGAAACCACACACTCCTTTCGCATAGCGAACATTCGAAGATATCCATCCCTGGTTGACCCTTCAAGAGGCTATCGGCAGTTCTATCCAGTTTTGCGATCCAACTTATCATACAGTATCCAGCGCCAGCTCCCTTTGTACAAGCATCAGTGACCCCTGGCCCCAGGTCGTCCAGTCGGTATTGCAGCATCACTTCCTTGGCTTTCGACACTTCCATCAACCCAGTCTCCCAACGACCATGGCCAACAATGTCACTTTGGTCTTGAAGCCCGTGGGCCCAATAGGCTACGGCCTAATGGGTCTGACCTGGCGCCCACAACCCCAACCCGCCGAAGAAAGCTACAAAGCCATGTCAACCGCCTTCGAGCACGGCGCCACCTTCTGGAACGGAGGCGAATTATACGGCAAACCAGACCGACACTCCTGCCATCTACTCAATGAATACTTCACGCAACACCCAGAACAAGCAGACAAAATCGTCCTCTCGATCAAAGGCGGACTGGTCCCAGGTCAGATGCAACCCGACGGCTCAGCCGCAAACGTACGCCGCAGCGTCGAAGACTGTCTCAAAGTCCTCAACGGCACGAAAACAATCGACATCTTCGAATGCGCTCGTGTCGACCACAATGTGCCCATCGAGACCACCATCAAAGCTCTAGCGGAACTCGTCAAGGAAGGTAAAATAGGAGGCATAGGCCTGTCCGAAGTCAAAGCCAGTACCATCGAACGCGCCGCTGCCATTCACCCCATCGCCGCCGTCGAGGTCGAATTGTCGCTGTGGTCCACGGATATCTTGAGGAATGGAGTCGCCGCGACATGCGCGAAACTAAACATCCCGATCGTCGCGTACAGTCCTCTGGGCAGAGGAGCTTTGGCAGGCGACAATATTATCCGCAAGAACTCGGATCTACCCGAGGGCGATATGAGGAGGCATTATCCCAAGTACCAGGACGATGTACTCGAGCATAATAACCGCATTGTCGAGGAGGTGGCGAAACTCGCAAAGGAAAAGGGCGTGACGAGGGGTCAGATTGCGCTGGCGTGGGTCAGAGGGTTGAGTGGCAGGACTATCACGAATGAAGATGGCCAGGAGCTCAAGTTGGGTACTATCATTCCGATTCCTGGAGCGACGAGACCGGAAAGAGTGGTCGAGAACTCGAAGCTCGTGGATCTAAGCGACGCGGAAATGAAGGAGATTGCTGACATTCTCAAGAAGAATCCGGTCAAGGGTGATCGATATCCCAAGGCGGGTATGGCACATGCCGAAGGCTGAGATAGTTGAGTCGTGTTTCAGCTCACATATACCACAATGATCACGAGAAACATGGACACTTTTTTTTTCAAATGAATTTCTTGCCAACCACGATCGAGGTGGCCCCGTACGTTAGATGTTCACTAGTCCGTCGTACGCAGACGCAGACTTTCGCAGATGTTCGCAGATTTAGCTCATTCCTCACAAAAAACCGGCCCTTCAGCCTCCTGACATCACAACTCCCACCAGATCCCGCAGTTCTTCGGCGTCCAAAATGAACAGCGTCGATGGCCAACGAAAGCTGATCCCATCGCAAGTATCACTGCACCCCAAAAAGCCTTCACCACAGTCGGATCTCAAGCCCAGAACTTCGCTCACTGCCCAAGTTCGGCTTCCGCACCTCCCATCTGAACACCGTACACGTCGTCGACATTCATGAACCACCTATTTCGACCAAGTGCCTCCCAACACTCAGCGGCGATGCAGATGTGACGGGTCTGCAAACGCACTATGGCACGTGTCTTCAATCGTGTACTGTCGTGATGTTGGTCCTCCTCTCCAGAACAACAAGCCAATGGAAAACGTGGTACTCCCCAATACCCTTGGCGTTCAGACGTTGTAGGTCTGTGACTTGACGCCGTGCTTGTTGTCTTTGAGAGTCGGAAACAACTCAGACCATCACCACCACACAACCACACACCACACAACCACACACCACACAACCACACACCACACAACCACACACCACACAACCACACAACCACACACCACACACCACCACACACCACACACCATACAACCACACACCACACACCACCACACACCACGCCACCACACACCACAACAACAGAGAATCATCTCTCTCCTCCACCCTTCACATTGCCCATACCGCATGCCATGAAAAGTGTCTCTCCAGAAGGTCGTGTCTAGAACCAGGAACGAACCCAACCGAGCACCTTTGTGACTGTCGTGTCAAGAATCTGTCCGCAACGAGCAAAGAACCCTGGGGTGGAGTCCAATGCCATGTTTGGCTGGGTGCGGGAGCTGATGACAGTGACAGTTGGCGAATCCGGAATTGGAGATTCGAGAACAGATGAGTCGTCAACGAAAGCTGCATCTGGGTCGAAGTCTCCTTGGCTGCTGGATGTCGCCGAGGGTGTTGTCGAGGTGCCGGTCCGACTGAGGCGTTGTCGACCACTGATGCGTACGCGACGTACGCCTTGGCGAGCAGTGGTGGGTGCCGGTGCGCTGGTGTCCGTTGGTGGCGAAGGCTGTCGTGGAGTGATTGGCTGACGACGTGGAGATGCCTTTGAGGGGGCCACCGTAGGACAAGGGAGAACTGCCCGTGAGGGAAAGCGCGAACCGGCTCTGGAGAACGCCTTGATTCTGGGTCGAGGAGGAGGGCTGCGCATGGACTTCCAAACCTCAGGAGGGAATGCCTGACGAAGCCGAGTAGAGATCTCTGGCACTCGTGGGATTGTCGGGCCTGGGTGGTGGATAGACACATGTGGACCAGCCTGGGGGAACGCCTTTACTCTCAGTCGAGGAGGACTTGGGGACCAACGCCAACACCGAGGGGAGAATGTCTGACGAAGCCTAGGAGCATGCTGTGGCTTCGGTGGGACTGTCGGACCAGGGTGAAGGGCAGATACATGTAGACCAGTCCAACGGGAGAACGCCTTGAGTTTTGGCAAAGGAGGCGGTGACTCGACCAGAGGAAGGGGAGAGACACTTGGCATGCGGCACGGGGACTCTACACTCGGCGCTCGTCGATAGTGAAACGGGACAGGCCCGGGGGTCGGTGATGGGCGCTCGATCGGTGACTGACGCCGACGTCTGGGGGACTCGGCGGCTCGAAGCCAAGGACCGTTAAGCGAGGATCGGACTATCGGAGTACGGAGAGTCGGTTGTCGTCTTGAACGGGGGGAGGGAGGGGAGATGTGGGAGAGGAGGGAGGGAGGATATCCGAAGATTGAGTTTGTGGAACGCGTCGGTGACCTGTTAAAATCACCTGCCACGTAGTTCAGCTTGTCAGAGGAGGTGTCAGAGTACAGACCTTCTGTAGCCCAACGCCCAGAGGACGCAGGGCTACAGTACGAAGAGCTTGTAGTGAATGAGGACATCGTGCAAGCACCCAAATGTCTGTCAAGTGTCGTGAAAGCGTCTTCGTATGGAGAGAAGAAAAAGAGAGGATTCCTGGGGGGGGGAGCAGGTGTTTTGTTCATGAACGCGGTGCACGCTGGTTCCACCGCTCGCGTTGAGATCAACCTCTTCAGCCTTGCCCCTGATCATAGCCCGTTTCTTTGATCCTGGATGCATTTTTGAGGCGACAAGGTCCATGTTTCGCAGGCATAACGAACGCATTGGGACGTGATTTACGCGCATTTTTTCGAGCTCTCGATCTCAAATGGAAGTCCTAGATCAAGGGGCGACAAGGTGAAGGCATCAAAATGCTTTGTTGACATCCGTCCTGATTGAGTTTCACGATCACCGGTATGACGTTCGTCAAGTAAGGCATCAGTTAGGCATCAACCCGGACTTTCATTGATCTTTCGAACCTGGACGGTCGGATGCAGCTGAAATCTGCTAGAAACAGCAGGACACGTACGCAGATGCAGACCTGAAACTTACGCCAGGTTTGGGCCCTGGGGAGTGGTGGGCTCATGCCATGAGGAAGATGAAGCATCTCTTCCAGATCAGATCCACAGCGGAGGAGTACGGTGGCGCAGTTGCGAATCGCAAGCATTGTTTGTGATCCTGCAAGATACAGAGATCCAACAACTGACGAAAAATGCGCAGAGGTAGGAGGCATGGTCGAGCTCCCTGGAGTTCGAATTTGAGGATTGCCAGTGACGTTGGTGAACAGAGATCAAGAAAGAAGAATCGGCTCTCTTGCGACTGCACAGCTTGTTCTCGATTCTTGTGACATCATCTGTGTCTTTAGCAGTATCTTCACGGTTTGCCACCTCAACTGCGACACGAATCCTACCAAAGAAAACGTTGACAGCGGCTCAATGAGTGGAAGTACTCGAGAACATCAATCACCTTCACGCAGGGCCGCGTCCTCATTCACGTCGCAAGTCCATTCAAGATCCATCGGTGCCCTTGCTGACACAGTCCTACTCCTTGACCTCTCGCCGCGAAGTCCCCCAATGCTCATCTTTCAGAGCCGAACTTCCTACTTGAGTTGAGCCCACGGCTGGAAGTCCACCAGCAGCGACCATAAAGGCGACACTTTGACAAAACGTAAACACTTGGTCCACGAGAAAAGCAAGGCCGCAGAAATGGTCAAGCAGCTTGACGTACTTACCCAGGCTGCTTCTCGCCGCCCTGCAAGGAATATACATAGGGAAGAAAGAGGATGGACGTCCAAAGAGAGATTGAAGAGCAACGTGGCTGTCGGGTAGCATCTCCGAAATTACTTGCGACTCAGCCTCGGCTATGCCCTGAGAGTTTCTCAGGCTTTGTGCGGCCCATGATGAATCATTACCGTCAACATGGACAGTCCTACATGAGTCGGGAATGCGGAGCAGCAGATCGTCTTGATCGTCATCCGTGCAACGCCATTGGCATTTTGCTTCAAGTCATGAAAAGAAATTTGTGCCAGTCTCACGGACCTGGGTGACTTGCACCAGGTAATTGAGTAGGTGGCCTACTCGAGACATACACGCACACAGTGCCCTCGGGTGGAACCAATGTCCCCGTCGCCAGGCTGGTTGGAAAGCTACGCCACTGACCGGCATAACTGGCACAATATCACCACAAATGGCAGGCTTTCATACTTTCGCCGGATCGGCGTCGTGGAGACATTCTTCGATATCGATGGCTGCGACTTCGAAGGGAGAGCAGACTTGACCATCCATTTGCGGGTCGAGCTGAAGACCTCCCTGTCTGTTGAGAGCTTGAAAGAACGTATTCTGCTGGCGTGGAGTGTTCTGCGACAAGAGCATGTTCTACTTTCAGCCAAGGTCATTGATGCGAAGGACATTGGGATCAGAAACCCGGAATATGCGCCGGAAGACCGACTTTTCCTACTCCAGGCGGTGTCAACACCCAAAGAGATGCTGGCTGAGGCGACGAAGCACGCTAGGTTTCTCGAAGACCATTACGATGAAGTCGACGCTGACGAGTTCTTCGTCCACACTCAGAACTCGAGTCGATGTCTCGATGCCTCTGAAGCACTTGGCAGGCTATACGTGCTTCCAGTCAAGTCGGACGGACGTGGTGTTTGCCAGCTCGACCTTGTCTTGATCGCTGCACATGAAATCACGGACGGCCTCTCATCAGCACGATGGATATCCCATTTCGTGGATCTTTTGAACACATCATCACAGCAACTAACGTCTCATGCGAGTCACATCTGCAGAACTTCTGCGGTAGGACGATTACCGCCAGCACAAGAGTCTTTATACCCACCCATGCAAGGCAATGTTGCGAAACAACGATGGTCGTGGCTGTTGTCTCGCATACTTCGGCACACACGCAATCCACCTCCTGCATCTTTTCAAAATCCACTTCGGCGCAAGGTGCCTTTGGACAAGGCGGTAGCTTTGAGCCCCAGATATTCTAAGGTCATCGACTACAGCCGGTTACCACCACTAAACAGCTACCGCATTCGTGCAAATCTGAGCCCTGCTGCAACCCGCAGATTGGCAGAGATATGTCGAAGAGCCAAAATCAGCATCGGAAGTGGTTCCTTCGCTTTGGTAGCGATAGTCATGATGCTTTTTGAGGAGAGACGCAATCCTAACGTCTCCGCTGATCAGCGATTGCCCTTTGTAGGCTCTTTCCCCATCAATCCACGACCATTCATCCACGGCACCTCAACGACGGGTAAAGAAGACAGTCTCATGCTTGCCTTCAGCGACGGCGTCACATTACCCTTCCTACCAAGTGATCTCGATTTGGAAGGAAGATTGAAATTGCTGGGCAAGCAAGCAACACGACAATTACGGCAGTACCAGAAACGTCCGAGGAGTCTGGAAGAAGAAATTCATATGGGTTCCAAAAGTCCTACACAGTTATTCCCGCTGCTATATCTAGCTACAATGGAACGTCGCGAGACGAGGAGTCGGCCAGAGAGAAAGCGTGGTTGGGATATCCAAGGTGGTTATCCTGCAAAGACCTCCGCCACACTGGCCACCTGCGGCGTGAGTTCTGTTGGGGCACGGGGTTCCATCCTGTCATCCGGTAAACATGATACGAGTCGTCTACCACCGGGTGTGGATGTCGTGGCAGACTTTCGTAAGCTCGATACAAGTGTGAGAGCAAGGGATGGTGAATTTCTCGTTGGTGTCGTTGGCGACCAGGATTGTATTCGATTCGGCGTCAGCTACGATGGATGCGGCATTGATCCAGAGCTTGCAGAGGAGTTCAAGCACGTTCTGGAAAGCATCCTGGAGCCCCCGGAAGCACCAGCACCAAAGCTCTGAACTATTTCGGTGTCCCTAGGGAAGCATCCAGCGTAAACCATAAATTATCACCGTTGCCACTGAGACGTGTTGCGAAGCTAACCCGCTCCAGCATTGTACTTGCAGCTCGGGCGCCTCAAGTAATATGCGACAGTTCGTCAGTGTTAGGTGCACGACCACTCCATTGCCAATTGCCTGTGTAATCAGGATCTTGATGGTGCTTGCCTGGTCGGTAACGTTGAAAAGATGTAGGACGATTTGGATCACGTGATCTCGCGCTCATCGTAAATGCGCGTGCAAGACGCGTAAATCAAAAATGAATCAAGTGCGGGCATTCCGATTCACTTTCCTCCCAACACCACAGTGCCATGGCGACGTTCTCCCATCACCATGACTCCCGAAGAGCAGACACGGTTCGTGTCTGACATTCAGCGCTTTTCACACGAAGACATTGACCGGCTGTATCGCGTGCTACTCAACCTTGAGCAAGACCAACTCGACCTTACATCGGCCAATGTTAACCATGCTTATCTCACAGCATACTGGGAAGAAAAACGCCAGCTAGCCGACACGAACGAGCCATGCATAAAATGGTTACTCGACCTCCTCGATACCGACCCTGATATTCCTCTAAATGAAAAATTCCTGGACGTTTTACAAGAGGCGAACATCGTTCTCACCACAGATGGCACGACTACCGACGGTGGGGTGGCGCGCTCAGAGGCCTCCATCGAGTCCGTCGATGAAAATGATCCCTTGTGGCAACAAGCCGTAGCTTTAGACAACCGCAAATTAGCATCGCAAGCACTCGAACTCTGGAGAGCGAAAGTGCAGGCAAAAGTCGAGGTCGAGCAGAAGGCTTACGAAGACTATGAGGATCCCCAAATGAACGCGCTGGCAGATTTAGTCTACAATCGCAATCTGGCAAGGAAGGCTCTAACTCATTGGGTCAATACATACCGCAATATCAAAGACCAGGAAAGGCTAGCGGACGAGTTTCGTGCCCAGAAAGATGCAGCCAATGCACTCAAGCATTGGACCCTAGCGGCACGAGAAAGCCTGTTTACACGTGTTCGAAGCGAAAGACTAGCCCAAAAGGCGATGGACGCGTGGCGGGAGAAGACAAGGGACATCACAGAGATGGAAGCGGTCGCTGACGATTTTCGGAATCGCCAGGCCGTGCGAAATACACTTGGAAAGATGGGAGCAAAAAGAGAGCAAATCAAACAAGCAGAGCAACAAGCAGTCCTGGTTTATGAGGGCAATCTCGCTCGCAGAGTCCTTAACAGATGGTTGGCACAGATGGAACAACAACGATTCGACGAACGGAAAGCAGATGCAGCTGCAGATTACTTTGCACTCAAACATGCCCTCAACAAATGGCGAGCCAAGGCTAGAACCAAGAAAGAAGAAGAGCAGGTCGTGCAAGCCCGTGAACATATGCTGACCTTCAAATACGGCCGCCGCTGGAGAGAGATTGTCCGGCGTAGGAAGTATGCTCTGTACGACGCTGCATACAAAAGGATGAGGAAGGTTGTAAAAATGAATATCGCACGAGCAGCTCTCAATATCTGGCGTCAAAAGACAGCTCAAATCCGCGCAATGAGGATGGCCGCCGACGAATTCCGGGCACGAAAAGATGCGGAAAATGCACAACGGATGGCGCATGGCGCGATCGTCACCATGTACAACAGGACTCAGCAGATTCAGCAAGCAAATCAGCAAGCCGACGACTTCTACAACAGAAATCTCATCGACCGCTTACAAATATTTGGCTCCAACTGGCTCTACCCTACCAGACAGATCCTCGAGAATCAGGAAAGAGCCGATGAATATCGCGCCACAAGAGCCGCTAGCTATGCGGTTTCTGTCTTGCGGAGCTGGCGGAACATGGCCTTCAGGGCAAGGAGACTGGAGGAGGATGCCGACGTTGTGTACCAAAGGAATGAGAGGAAAAGGGCTTGGGGTTTTCTGCAGCGGTGGAGAAGAGCCGTGCCAAAGCAGGACGAGGACGAAGAAGGTCGAGAGGAGCATCTGGTACCGGCGACGCCTGCCGCAAGGAGGAGCCAGCTGTTGGCATCGACCACACCCGCTTACACCCCGGCAGCTGGGCTATTTGGTACCGATGGCCGTGTGGTTGAGGAAACGGAGGATGACGAATAGTGCTGTGACGACTTCCACGAGCAATGAGCTACGAGCCATGACATGATAGTGATACCCAACATGAACACAATAGAGCTGTACAATAATATGAATATGAAGAGCACCCTCTCTTCAAGTCAATATCCATCTCTGAGATTCTGTCCCTTGTAAACAGCGGCCTCCACCCATTGTATGCCATTATAAACAAGCTTCGATCATGACGCTGCGGGTAGTGCCGCCAACATGTCAAGCTTCAGCGTCCATGATATCTACTTGGCAGACTACGTACGACGTACTACTACACTCTACCAGTACCAATACTTGTACCTACATTAGCAGCAGCGACTACAGTTCATCATCTCCTTCTCGATCCCAATCAAGACAATACATAGATGCTCACATCAACCTCGCCACAATGTCCAACACTCCAATCTGCGACACCGACACGCCAGACCCATGGATGCTCTACCACAATAACACCTACTACCTAACTTTCACAGCCGGGGACCGCGTCGAGATCTGGTCATCTCCCTCAATGGAAAATTTTAGAGGCGCGTCCAAGACCATCGCGTGGCGTCCCCAACCCGGCACACCCTGGTCCTGCGACCTCTGGGCTCCAGAACTTCATTACCTCAACGGCACATGGTACGTGTACCTATGCGCCGCACACCCAGGCCAAGGCAACCCATCGCACCGGACCGTCCTGCTACGCTCCGCCAGCACCGACCCAATGGATCCGGAGGGGTGGTCTTTCATAGGCGAACTCGACGGCCTCCCAGACCACTGGAACATCGATCTCACAGTCTTCACCCTCAACCAAAGACTTTACGCATGCTACTCAAGCTGGCCACTCGGCGACTTTTCCGACACACAGCAAGATCTCTTCCTTGTCGAACTTGCAACCCCTGAGACCGTACTCCGCGGTTCACAAGTATGCATATCGCGCGCCGGACTCCCCTGGGAAAGACCGGAAGGGGGCCGCCGCGGCGTCAACGAAGGGCCCACATGGCTTTCCACACCTGGGTTCCAGGGCATCGTATATAGCGCCAACGGAAGCTGGACAAGCGATTATACCCTCGGTCTACTTCAATTCCTCGGTGGAAACCCACTGAACCCAGACTCCTGGTGGAAACGGCCTGTCCCACTGCTCGTCAGCCACAAAGGTCTAGGCGGGCCATTTGGACCGGGACACGCGAGTTTCATTACAAACGACGAGAAAGTGTATTGTATATACCATGCCACTGAGCGCGATAATGAGGGCTGGAATAATCGCAAGGCAAGGGTGTTGTGTCTTCACCCGAGTTGTTTTCAGCCCCAGGCGCAAACTTTGTGTTGCTCGCTGGTGACTACGCCGAATCGACCACAACCTCAGCCGCAATCACAACTGCAGAGGTTTCAACAGCAATCACCTCCGAGCCAGAACCAGTATCCGGGTAATACGACGCAATATCCACAACAGCAACAGCAACAGCAACAGCAACAGCAGGGAAGACATGTGTTTCAGCAGTTTGGGAATACGCTCATGAAAAAGGCCAGGGATTTCTCGTCGTGATGATCTGCACGCTAGAATTGGATAGGAAGAATGGAAGATAGACTCCAGTCCAGCATATCACCAGTGCATAGATTCAACGCTGACATACGAAAGGTCACGCGGAGCGATGACACGCCTTCGATAGCACACAAGAGGCTCTATGGCATCCGAGAGGAGACGGTTGTCGATCATATTTTCGACGAAAAGACTTCGTGTCAAGTAATCGGCGCAAGGCTGGAAACGGAAGAAGGGACACGGCACAGCAACACCCACAAAGTATTGCGACGCTAGATAGACAGAGAGGTCGCGCAGACCGACGACCCACCTTCACCGAGGACGGTACAACAGATCAGTGGACATAGATCATCCTTGCAGTGAAGCCAAGAGGCGATTACAGATAAGCGCCGAGTCCTAACACTTTCTGCAAAAGCCAGCCTCGTATTCCGGGCGAGTTCATGACGTTGTCAATCGTTCGGTTTTCCGTCGCTTATCTTACTCCTCTGTTGAACTCGGCACTGTCACCGAAAGATCTCGTCGATCGATAAAGAAGAAGTGGCAGTAGTTGCTAAAATAGTACCTGATTTGACGTCAAACACCTTATGAAGGTGTGGTTGGAGGACTCCTTTTCCTAACTCCCTTATCCGCTGCCTTGTAGAGGTACCTAGGTACATCCACGGGTATCGTCGTTTGATCTCTCTTGATTACAATCTTCCTTCACCATATCATGACACACTACCCGTTCATCATTTCGTGCTTAGTTGTGTCTAAACCACCACCTTCTCGTATATAAGTTCCTGGTCAACGCCTCGGAGATGAGAAGGAACGGTACCAGGCGCATGAGGACCTTGACCCCCTTGCTGAGCCTGACTCCGCCTCACCTCAACGCTGTCCCTGGCAGTCTCATCAACACTCTTTCGGAGTTTCAGGGCACTCGCCATGCTGTCAATGCCACCTACATTGGAGAACCCTTTCGGGTCACCCACGAGGCTGTCCCGCCTGAGCACCCTTTCATCGTACTTCTCCGCATATTGTTCCTCATCGACAGGGTCTTGTGGGACGCCATAGACCGTCTTGGACACAAGGGTAGCCGAGGGCTTCCAGATCAAGCTGGTGACAGAGTAGATGACAATGCTCGTAACAAATCCATAGAGCCAGTCAAATGTGTACAAATGCTTCGCGCCACTCGAAATGTGAGTTCCGGTAGCGTTGATACTGTAAGCCAGACCAGGCAAGCAAGGGCCAATGGCGCACAAGAACGCCAGCAGGGCACGCCAGTTAATGCCTGTGCTATTGTACCTGTAGCGACCGTTAGGGTCATACAAAGCTGGGACATCAATATGTTGGCGCTTGACGATCCAGTAGTCCGAGGCAATGATTCCGGCCATGGGGGCCAAAAAAACCGCATAACCACCCATGAAAGCCAAAAACGTCGAGGCAGAGCTCAAGATCTTCCAGGGCACGATGACCCAACCACCGATGATGGCGGCAAGGATGCATCCGCGCTTAATGTTGATGAATCTGGGGCACATCACGGTCATGTCGTTGGCAGCGGAGATACTGTTTGCGGTGATATTGGTGCCGACTTGAGCAATGTACCAGGAAAGAGCGGCGAAGAAGGCGGCAGCGCGACCACCCTTGCTACCCAACCAATGGTCGATGATATCGAGTGGATTCCATAGAAAGGTGCCGTAAACAACGTACGAGGCAGACGTCGTGACAATTCCCATGACGCCGCAGACGGTGAAGATGGCGGGCAGGAAGGGAAGTTGGACATACTGGCCCTTTGACGACCGGGCATAACGGCTGAAGTCGGGGATGTTGCACGCCAATGTCGCCCAGCTACCAGTCACTGAAGACATGCACGAAAGCCACAGCCAAGCTCGAGCGCTGCCGTGGACAGTTTCTCGTTGGCTGAAGATCGCACCTCCACCACCCGCCTTGTGAACGATCCAGCCAAGTGTGGCGAGCGCGGTCACTGGTGCAGCCACAAGCTTGATGAGAAATAGCCAGCGAAGCCTGGTGGGTGGGATGAGAAGAAGGGGAAGTTGAATGATCCAAAACAAGAAGTAGCTGACCATACCCTGAGTGGTAATGCCCGCACTGGTTGGAAGTTGATTCTTGATGTGTGCATAAGAGGGCCAGATAGCAGTAAGCATGATGGTGATACACTGCGCACCGTTCGCGCCTTGGATACCGAGCCAGAAACAGGCCAGGACACAACGGGAGAAGATGCAGAAGTAACCAAAGTAGTAACCGAAGCTTGATCTGACGATGACCGAGAAGGGGATGTGCAATTTCGCTCCGATAGCACCGTTGAGGACCATAGGGACAGCAACGCAGGAGGTACCGACAACCATGATGGGAATAGCATCGCGCCAGTTCAAGCCGACGGCGATGACGGACGAGGCGGTTTCCCAAGTACCCAGGTTGATGGTGTCAGTCGCCCAATAAGCCATCCAAGTCCAGAGGGTCCAAGTCTGGTACTTTGGAGGCACAGGGTCCATATCAGCATTGGTCCTATGAAGGTGTTAGCCTCGTCAGAGGTTGAAGTCGTGCATCTCGTTGACTTACCATACTTCTGGAGGCGCCAAAGCCGAATCTGGACGTGATGTTAATCACCTGATAACAATATGGCAAGGCGCCTCTGCTTACCTTGCTTGGGAAGCTCCCATGCGCTGAGCGTGGTAGCGCGCGCCTTGACGGTCGCGCCGCTAGGGATGTAATTTGTCACGTACTTGGACATCCTGACGATGGTATCCTCAGGAACAATCTCTGAGGAAAGTAAGATCTCGGACGTGTTTGGGAGGACAAGACCCCGGAATATATTCTTTCCCAGGCGAACGTCAGGCCATGCAGCACTACAAGGTTAGTCGCGCGAGGATGATGCGTTCGAGACAGGGTAATACGACCGATATAGGGTATAGTGGCGAGCAGCCCAGTGTCCACTGTCGATCCACATGTTCTGATCTGCTAGATAAGGGTCAAGCTCGAATCTGTATGGATGGAGGTCCAAGCTGCCATCGAATGAAAGTTGTCCGGTCAATTAGCTTTGGCCTAATCGAGGGATGGTGGTTGCGGCTGGATGATAAGGTGCACGGTGATGTACGTATGATAACGAGGCTCTTTACCTACGCTCCTTGTCAAAGGCCTTTCGGGCATGCTGATCAGAAATCCATCGGCGCCCATTGGAAAAGATTAGCGACGAGCAAGTCCTTCATGATGTCAGATTGTTCAGAGATCGAGTCAATGTAGTCGAGATCTTGAGCAGAAGGACCTCGAACAAGCAGTTGATGGCCAGCTAGATGCCAGATCTCATTGGACCCTCAAGGGAGGGTGTTGACATCGAGGGCGCTTCTTCCCTCCTGGGACACGTCTTGCGCGAACGTAGCCTTGGAGGTCTTATCTTTCAGGCGTAATCTGCCTTCGACGACAGGGTCAGCACTGTGGGATGATACTTAGCTTGTTAGGTAGCGTAAAGGATTAACACGCTGTGTTTTGGACCTGTCAGGATTGGCGCCGGATGCCGGGGAAAGAACCACAGTCCACACGTTCCATGCCTAAGTACAGTAGTCCGCATGTGCCCGCTGTGCCCGCCCAATGCCCGCCCGGGATCAAATCCAATACCAAGTACCAGGTATCCATCTCCCCGGAAATGGGTGGAACAACCATCTTCCGACATCACTTTGGCACATCTGCTATCATTATTATTATGACTAACTTATCTTCCAACGCAACGCCACGGAACACTATCATGCTTTCGATCGAGCCAGAAGGCTGTCTGTCGCAAAGACAATCCATAAAAGGTTGGTAGTAGCGACTTGCATGCAGCTGCCACTGCGTGAGACGGTGACCTCCGCGAATTATCTACTACTCGTGAGAGTCGTATCAGCTCCCTGGCAGGCAGTGGCAGCACACAGTTTGCCCTAAGGCCAACCTATCTGAGACCACAGCTTCCCCTGAGGCCAACCCTATCTGAGCGGTACAGCGACTTTCCAAATCGAAGCACTTGAGGCAAGCACCAGTAACAAACCTTCTAGAGGCACAGACCCATGCTAGAACCATAACCCTGAAACAACCATTGAAATCGGTACCATTCGACTCTCGAGAACCATCCACGAGAACCTCAAAGATGCATTGTCCTTATCTTTCGATAACTCGGAGTCCGCCATGTTCTGCCTCATATGCAGCCACATGGATTGCACATTCCAGACTCGACGTTTTTCGCGAAGCGCGAATGCGGCTGGAAGTTGGATCTTTCCCTCTAGATTCCACGACCACCACACCTGCACAAAAGGTAAGCAGCGACAGTGCGTGGTTGTCGCCATGGTCGGCGGGCACCGAAAAGTCACCCATCGACACGTCCTCCTTTCTCCCCGGAATCGGTCGGACGTAAGCAGACTCCATGCATGTTCTAGACCCACGCAACGCGTGAGTGCTCTCCACAACATGGGATCCATCTTGCACTCTTTCTAAGAAGCAGCCAGTCTCAAAGACAGCACCTCTGCTATCGGCCTTGCTTAGGTAGGCCTCTGGGATTGCGCTTGTTGCAGTGTGGTAGAAAGAGCAGTTCTCAAAGATGTGTTCATCGATATCACTTTGTGCGAGAAACGTGCCTACGATGCCATGATTTCATTCTGATCACCAACGAACAGGCCAATCACCTCAACAGTTCAGCATGTTTCTGCAGGACCCAACGGCGCAGCGACTGTTCTCAAAGTATTCCAAGCCTCTGCTCTGCCATATGGACTGTTCATGATGCGTTGCTGATATTGCGAGAAGCCTTCTCGCAGGCCCACCGCGTTCCTAACCAGTTTTCAGAGAAGACCGAGCTATCAGCATCTTTTCATGGTTTAACATGTTGCGCAGAGACGTCCCCTCCTGCGATCAACCGACCCGCAAGCTGGGTGCGACCCTTTCGCCGACACCTTAGTGCCACATGCTCATCGAGCAACCTGCCACCAACCTCTCCTAGCAGTGTTTCCGATGGTGTCTACCCTCTCCCACGATATCGTACCAGCCTGTACCGAAGCTGTCCGCAAAGAAAGTCCCACCGTCATTCCGCTTTGCTACTACATCCCAAAACCACGAGCCACTGCGACTTAAACCACAGGAAATTCATATGCAGGGCAACGGCTTGCCATAGTGAACGACGAAATCCGAATGAAAAGCTCGGCGCCTGCCTTCGTATCAAGCATCGAGGGCCACGACAACCGAGTAGACTAGCGACCAATATCTCGCTCACCCCCACCTTCGTCTAAGCCAGCGCCTCGGAACATGCGCGATATGAGTGACGACAAGCATCCTGATTGCCTGACCTCTCTACCGACACAACAGAGAGACTCTTAGCATATTCATCGTGGGAAGTGTCCAAGGAAGACATCTGCTGCAGCTACTGTCACGAGATCCGAAGAAACATACAATATATACTGCACAGTATATCTCGCGATCCATCAACTTGGTCTGGAATCGACGCAGGTCATTACTAGGACTACCGTGGGTCATACTTGAGCCCTTCCCCAGGTGTATATCCATGGAATGTTTGGGCCGTCCATGCAAGTCAGAAAGATCAACAACTATCAAGGTATGTCAATTGCGAGAACCCTAAGAATTCCCAGTAGGTTTCTGTCTCTTACTCTTGATCGACACCTGGTAGTGAGACGTGGATATGGCCCATATTGCCTATCAAAAAGTGACATCATGCTACAAAATTCTTACAGCCTCATCATACATAGATGTAGTATGGTGGGCACATGGTGATAATATCCCCTGAAGCGATTATCGTCTTACATGAACTACGCAGACGCTCTCACAGCGATAATCAGCAGAAGATGGAAGTGAGAAAATTGATAGAAACAGATTCAATGCTAACTAGCAATTCGATTCATTCCCAATTCTGAACACTAAGTGTATCTACGCTCCGCTCCCGACAAGAAGATAAAAGGTCCTTGAGAGGAAAATATCAGGAAAGCACCAAGAATGCGATCCTCAATGAGTAGTGTTGCATCGTCCGAAGACAGTCGTCCTCGCTCATTTGGTTCTCAATGACCAATACATGGCACCGCCCCCTGCTGCCACCAGCGCCCGCCCTGACTTCATCGAGACTTTTGAATCGTAGGGACAATAACCATTCCAGATCATAAACAGTCAAGCCAGTCCGGGCTCCAATCGCCCTGTCCACCATGATTGGTCCCTGTGGGTATCATTCGTCAAGTTACTGTAGCTGGACCATTTTGTATTTGTACCAATCCAAGTAACTTAGTTGCTTGCCTTCTGCTGGGCATCTTTAGCCATTCCCTTGGCCTCCTCCTTCTTTTGCTGGAGGAAACTGCTGACCCACTTGAGCACGTCGGAGGTCAAGACGAGCGAAGTGGTGACCATAGCCTTGCCGCCGGCAACGACACCGTCGCCACCGCACTTCTTGTACTCGTCATCGTAGGTCTTGAAAGCCCAGTCCTTGGTGTCATTGGCCTTGACGAAGGGGTATTGGATGTAGCTGAAGACAGTGTTTTGAATGTCCTTGGTCTCGGACTTGACGATGGGGACCTGCTCGTCGAACTTGGACAGGAATTTGTCGCCGAGCTCGTCGGCCTTGGCGACGTAGGGCTTCGCGTACGAGGCAGGAGTCTCGAAGTAAGGGAGGGTAGGCTTGACGAACTTGGCGTAGCCGGCGTTGGTCAGGTCGATGGATTTGGCGCCATATGGGTTGCCCTGGACGGTCTTGATGGTGTCGGAGACGACGGGGTAGGATTGGAGATGCTATTCAACGTGGTCAGTGTACAAACAAGCTCATTGCTCATGAAATGGCTGTTGTTACTCACCGAAAGGACGGCGGATGAAGGCATGTCACCGTTAACAGTAGCGTCACCCATTATGTTTGGTTAAATCGTGCTTGGTTGAAACTAGAAGGTGTTGTGGTGAGTATGTTTTCGTGTGAGGAAAGAACGAGACACAAGTTTGAGTCAGGTATGGGTATGAGTATGAGAAGAAAGAATTTAGGAGGCGTTGTTCTGTGAAGGGAGGTGTTTTTGTTGAGGCAGGAAGGCGCAAGGGCATCATTCAGCATCATCATCATCGTTCAGTCACCGTGAATGATTTGATTTGCACATGCGCCGCGCAGGGAGCGAAAATAATTAAAACTGGATTCTTGCATGTGAAAATGGGGGTCAGACACAAGCCTGAACTTACCTAATGCTGATCGAACGGTAGAGAATAGGCTGCTTTCGTCGAGGAATGGTTGAAATTGTAGTGCTTTGGATATATGGAAACAGTGGTAGATGGATTTATCAATAGAGATGTCAGAGGAAATAAAATAAATGCCTTTCTACGATGGAAAAAGGACATATAGGTAGACATGGATAGACCTTGATTTCCTGTTGAGAGTAGGAAAGTCAGTGAATAGCTAGCGATTAGCTATGACATGGGGGCGATGAGCGGTAATGATGCGTTCTGACATGTGAAAGCACTCACAGCAGCTCAGATCCCTGTTTCTCTGCTCTTTCTGCTGGTCCTATTCATCTCAGCCACTGCCAGCAACCGTCCTGACCACTGTGAGGTGTGGCACGGTCTGCATTTCCGTATCTACCTCATAGGCCTTGACTGGGGTGTACTACCGAAGAAGCCTCGTCTCCTTCTCCCGCGAGCACACTAAGTAGGGCAAAGAGCCATATTCAAGGCAATGCCATCAATGACGGCCCATAGGATCACCGTCATTGCTATTAAGGTTCACACCACCACCACCTCCATAAATGATATATCCGAGCTTTGGTTCCTGTCCCACTGCCGCGAAACCCGTTGGCGGTGGCGTTGAAGCGGATAAGGAGGGTACTGTATGGGTAGCACCACATATCAGAAACGTCATGTACAGAGCCAAAACACCTCTGTTACACCACGGCGCATGTATCGCCCGTGAACAGATGAATGATGTTGCAGGTCTCGTTTGTCCACCCTTCTAGTGGCTGGGGGCCCTAGCCTGTCCGTCAACTATGCAGAGAGTGACAGTATTGAGGTCGGAGTGATCAAGATCCGTGACGCACCCCAGGAACCTCCCGCCTTTGTCAGGCATTGCCTGTATAGCAGGTGCGGAGGCTGACATGTGGAATGACTGCATGGCCGACACCTATACGAATCTTGCTTCAAAATCAGCCTGGGAAACGTCTCATATGCCTGGTCGTATCCTCCTCGGCTGGGAGCACCGTCATGGTATGAGCGCACGATACAAAGCCTGTGAACGCAGCATGTGAAGATGGCCTACCACCATAGCTTCATACATAAGCCGCGTATAGACCAGTCCAGCCTCGAGTCTTCGTCCAGGACCTTGCTTTCCTCAAGATCTGCGTACGCCCTCCATGACGAGGCCAGCGATGCTCGACTGAACAGGCAGGACGGGAAAATTGGCAAAGCTGCATCATCATGCACTTGTCGGACGGGACGCTTCCAGCCGTGCTTCTAGAGGGAGACTCTGATGTCGGATCACAGTAGTGACAGGGAAGGCGCCACATATACCTTAGGCCGTGATATGCCAGTGGATGGAGACGTTGGATGTGTTGAGGAGCTCCCGTTGGCTTGAAGCGATCGATTGATACTCGTACTAAATATGTGGCAAACATGTGAAAGAATATAAAAGTCGACCACCCTCAACGGCTATTAGCCATTGCACATGTCAATCGTCTTTGATGAAAGACAATTTTTCTACCTTCATCTGGCGGGAAGAACCTCGTGGCTACCGAAAGTCAGTCTTCATGTCTCAGTTGATCTGAATACCCTTGTACCTAGGTCCTGTATCGGTCTAAAATAAACATGCTCTTTGTGATCGGCTACAAGCTTTGATTTAGAATGCGGTTCCTGAATGACTCCCCAACTCCATAACTCTACTGTGGTAGCACCCCCAGACGCCATGCTTGTCAGACCACACAGAGCAGTATCCCTGCATCCCCACTAATTTATGTGGTATCACTATGAGGTGCAATAATGTTGTATGCTCTCCTCCCCATCAATTCTTGTTGTTCTGTTCTTCCCCACATTTGCTGGGATTCAACACCTTACTCTTGTTGAATCTTGTCGAATCCTGCCGGTACGGTCCAACCGTGATTTTGACAGGCTCGGATGTATGCCGACCGCGCCTCGCCAATCCCATAAGTGTTTTGCTGACGCAGTCCCGGTGCTCGGGGAGGTGCGAGCCTAGCTGGACGTTCTTCGTCACAGATAGCCATGCGTACCTGGAGCAGAAGACTTTCAACATTTTGCGCCGCTGTCCATCCGTCGTTGGTTAATACTTCCATGCACATTGCTCCGCCTTCGGTGACATTCCCGCCTCCGCCCTGAGCAAATGGAAGGAACCTCGGTTTGACGACTCGGATGAACGGCGGGCTGAAGGGGAAAACGGTGGAAAACCGCATCTCAAGCACGATCGACTTGACGCCGGCAGCCTTCATGTCTGCGGTCAGAGGCAGTTCGGCTGCGAAGCTGTGTAACTCCACGATCCACTGATAAATGTTGTTGATCATATCGCGATTGATGTACCATCCCAAGATTGCTGGCGCAGTATTTTCCTGCACCGATATGGCCTCTTGAAGCAGGCGCATGAGTGCTTTAGTAGCAGTGGGTGTCGCATTTTGCGGAGCATTGAGAAATTTGATGCTACTCACATCGAGCGTTCCAGCAACAAAATCGGTCTCCGCGACCGCGTCCACTGGCCGCTTCCTGCCGTGAATCAGAGTCATTCCCATATCGTCCTCACCTGGGTTAGTATGACCACTTCCTCCACGATTTACTTCCGAGTTACCGTCCAGGTAGGCCACATCAGTGGCGTCCGACATCACACTGTTGGCATCGTCTTCACGGTGCTCGGCAGTCGCCTGATCGGTATCGGCAAGGGTCTTGGTACGCTTTCCGGCCTCGGTCGCCGCCTTGTCAATTGTGTTACAAGGTCTGCGTGACTTGGAAATGGCCGTCATCGGAATGATGATGGCTCTATTCAATTCGTTACTGGCCACATGCAGAGGATCTTGCTTGTACATCTCTGTGCATTTGCCCTCTTTGAATGTGAAAGCTTTGTTGACTTTCACGAAGAGGTACCGAGTCTGAATCCAGTCAAGGTCCGAAACCACGTAATGGGGCGACCTTGAGACGAACCTCGCCGGATGGTTGACCACTTCGTTGAGTGAGAAGGCTCTCCCAATCTGAAGCATTGATGGTTTCCAGTCGCTTACAAGATTATTGTTGGAGTAGCCCAAGCTTGTAGCCGCGTGCCGAGACATGTAGACGCCATTCCCGTACGCTCGACCGTGGACAATTTCATCGAACCGAAGCCCTTGTCGGATGATCGAGTGCCAGTTCCAAAGTTGGCTGCCATGCCATGCGAAAAGCGTAGGATACTGGGTGCCCGTTGTTACAGCCTCAGTCTTTACACAATCGTTGAATCTCTTTTCCTTGTCCGGTGCACCTTGCGCGAAGCGAAATTGCATGTAGCCATCCATGCCCTCGACACGATCTTCGGTTGCTGTGAGAGCCTTTCCATCCTGGTCGCCAACCACTTCACCGACCTGCACGATGCAAGATCGGTTCGAAGCAATGATCCAGCGAAGCAAGTTGAGCGCTGGATCGGAAATTCTGTCTTTCCACAGCTTGAGGCTTCCAGCACGACCCCTTCCTTGACGTTCCAAATACTCGCACATTTCCTCAACACTCGGCAAGGTATCTAACAATGCAACAAGTGCGCGTTGCTTCTGTACCACGGGCAGAACGTCGAAATTCTTGTCATAGAGAAAGCAGTCAGCTTTGACGCTTCCATCCAGAGGAGGTGCAATGTCTTGGGTGGTTGACTGGCTCTGTCCAGATGTTTGGTTGTTCTCGTTGAAAACAACGAACACCGGCTCACCAAGTTCGACCACATCCATCGAGATGTTCTTGATTCGATGATGTGCTGCAGTTTGGTTCTTGTGAGCAACGGTAACGAGCCAGTCGCCAACTCTAAGCTTGGCCAAGGACCAATCCTCGTTCTGGCATTTGCGAAGTTGTCGTTCATTCGCATGCCACATACAACTGAATGTCTTCTCTGCGCTCATGGGAGTCGAGGTTGACCCCTTGTTGGCATTGTGAAGGTAATAAACCGTTGGATCTGGAAATGGGACGCTGTAGTGTGGAAGTACTGGAGTCATTAGATTCAACCCGACGGGATAATCCTTCAGGCGGCCACTATTACCAGCAACATGGCAGAAGCTGATCAGAAGATCCACGACATACGGTTGAGAACAAACATCCCATTCCAGACTAGGACCAAACCCCAATGTCATATACTGATACAAGCACAATGGCTTGGTGCAGACGTACGGCTTCAATGCTTCGAAAGAGTTGTCGACATGGGAGTGACACACCAGGCAGAATTCCGTGCATCGTACAAAGTGTCTGAGGACAGCCTGCATAGCGATCAGTGGCAGTGAGGCTTTCTCTAGCGAGATCTGGCCCATGTGATCCGCCATGACGAATCCGGGCAGGTTTGTGGTGTTGGCGTTATCGTCACATTGATAGTCCACAAGGTCGTCAAAATTACTGTTTGATGTCAACAATTGTCTTGCTTCGACGAACTTCTCAGCCCCTAGCCAGCTAAGGCCGTGCGAGTGCCGTGCTTTAATGATGTAGAGTAGGCGCTCTGCCAGAAATTGATTGAGAGGCTGGCCGATGAAGAGCGGCTCGAAAGTGGAAGCCTCTGCTTCGGTACTGACCGCCTCACCCTTCTTCTCGAACGTGCTCAACACATCCCGAGAAGAAGGTTTGTAGTGTTGACAGAGCCCGACACGCATTTCCATCTTGCCGTTCAGGCTGTTCACTTCCGAGCAAAGTCTGCTGGCATCCATGTAGGCCCCTGAGTATCTTATCAAAAGGATCAGGTAATGTTGCCGCCGTAAGCTCCATGCTTGCATCGCTTCATCAGAGAGTCCGAGCTTCACGACTCGAACGGAGACACAAAGCGCACCGGTTGTGGCGAGATTGCCAAAGATCCCAACACGAAACCCGGCGTCTTTCAGTGCTCGGAGATCAGCTCGTATCTTCTGGAGGCTCGGTGGGTTGGTGCACTGTGTTGTAGCACGTGAAGAGCCGTTCTCGCGTGCAACATTGGTGATAGGTTGTAGGTCGGCCAGTCCAAAGTCTCCCCCATCTGAATCATACTCGAAGTCGAAATCGTCCTCATCACCATCTTCCAGTACAGTATCAGTGTTATTTTCTCCATCATCTGAGAGCGTTGCTGAAAGTCGTTGGGAGACCTCGGAGAGGACTTCGGAGAGTGATTTGCCATGAGCATCTGCACCGACGGCCTCTAATGTCTGGGGAATGGAAGGATCGATGTGTTCGTCGTCGGTATAAAGCATGAATGAGTTACCATCAGGGTATTCGTCAAGGTTCGTGGCGCAGAAGTTTATGTTCACGTAGCGCCACACGCGGTTTTCATTGCAAGTGTACATACAACTGACGACTCCTTCGTCCGGAGTGTGGACGCCCTCGATGTTCGGTGTCTTGCTGCTGCTGGCGTCGGCCAAGTCGGCAAGGAATCGTCTCCGGCCCATGACGACTACCGCAGGAGTTGAAACAGGGTCAGTTAGGTAGGAGGAGGTCGCGGCAAATCGAAGCTTTCTTTACAAATGCAGGATCATGAAAGGGAGGCTCGAAAGCCTTGTTGGTTGTGTGGCAGGAGGGGGTTTGGGGTATCAACGATAGACTTTTTGCACAAGAATGACAAAATGAAATGAAGAGGACAGTGAGGACTTAAGAACAAGGGCGTAGTTGGCACGAAAAGACGAACCTTAGAAGTGAAGTTGAGTTCACTGCCTGGTTGAGGACCTCGTGAGGCAGTATCTGCACAGCAAGCCTGTCTCCAGACAAAGTGGCACTGTCTGACCATTGTTGCTCGTCAGGCTTGAATCTATACCATTTATTCTCGTCATTGCGAAGTCCTCCGCACACAACGCTATAGCATCAAGTCTTGACAGTGGGAAGGTCGTCAGCTCTATCGTATAGTCTTAATAGCTTGAAGTCAAGGTACACGCTGTCGCGAACTTGCTGGACCATGAACTTATGTCGTTGATGTACTCCCCGTCAGACGGTGTGCCCCCTGTTTCTGGAGACAGGCTCGCCGCCCGGTCCGACGTGTTGAAGAGCAAGGGATCGCCGACATGCTGTCTCGCTCTAAGCAGCATACCAGATTCAGTGGACAAAGAACTCGGTTGTGCTAGACAAACAATTGCACGGGACTGCGCACTCAATACAGAAGCAGTGGTCAGCAATAAAAGACCTCTACGATATCAGAGGAAGTCAAGCTGTTAGAGAAGAGGGAGAGAAACTTCTACATTCCTGCTATTTGATCCCCACCAAGGGTCCGAGTGGCCAATCATTAGTCCGAACTTCAAGTGGCTCTCCTTTGCATCTTTGGCACCGTCTTCGCATGTTCTTCAGCAGCATCGTCTTAGTCCTGCAAGAAATCACACGTAGGACATCCACAGCTTGAGGACTTGGTAGAGTAGATGGAGAGGAGCGTGTTCAAGAGACTGCCCTGAGTGGACGACATGTCTGCCGCAAGCTACTATTCCGTCCTGTTCACACTTCTTTTACCTCTGCACGCCGAACAGCGCAGCAGCTTTTCTCGATATGTCTGCTCGGATTGATACCGAAGCACCTCAGACTGACGCAACTGGACCGCTGCTCACGAGACTCGGGCAACCTTCATTGGACCCGGTCGACTTTCTGAACGATGTCCTTCCCACCGTCAACTTGTCGTCCCAAGCACATGTCCAGAAGACAACGAGGTCCGCGCAGATACAGAGCACTTCCACCGATACCATCGCTCTCCTCTCCTCGCTCAATGGCATCAACATCCGTGCGTCTTCCGATCTCGGTACTCTGACGGACGAAATCATACGCAGTGGAAATCGGCTGGCTTACGAGGTGGAAGTCTTGCGTGGTGATGTCAACGGGCTACATGAACTGCTGACGGATTCACTGAAGGAAGACATTGGACATTTCGTTCAAACGCAGGCGGTCAATGCTGCACCAGTGGATTCTTCTGACCCCGATGTCGCAGCAACAGCAGAAGCGCAAACATTGAAGAATGAACCGGACTTCATGACACAGTTACGCTTGCTGGGCAAAGTCAAAAAACGATTAGAAGCAGTCGTGTCCGCATTTGGCGAGGCGATGAAGTGGCCTATACCCCCATCTGAGGTCTCAGGGGGCTCGTCATTGATTTCTGTATCGGCTCCCGAATTAGGCATGCAGAGTACTGCAGAGGACGACAAAGCCCGCGAAGTATTGAGAGGCATACGAGCAGAAATCAACGACCTTCTTGTTGCGGACGGAGGTAGCTATAGAGGCCTGGAAGCTGCAGCTCGAAGAGTGGAAGAGTACAAAGACTTAGTTCTTCTATGGAAGGGGACGAATGAAGAAAGAGCAAGAGTCAAGTTTGTTGACACACTGGCGAGATTGGTGGACGATAGAAGGAAAATCCTGGATGCGTCGCGAAATACCAGAGCAGAGGGAGCGCTACCACACGGAGTAGGCACAGGCAAGGGTGCAAAGGGATCGAGCGAAGGTGGTGGTGCAGCGGGCTTGTTCAGAAATCTTCAGCGTCTGAAAGATGACCTGTATCTCGAGTAGAACGGCGAAGCATGCATGCAAAGTAATCGATTCGACCATTGACACGACGCAAGCCAGTCTCGCAGCGACCATCGCTCATCATTTCCACGATCTGCCGGTCACTTTCCCTGCGTGCTGGCCACGGACCTCTATGGCTGCTTTTTGCCAGAATCTGTTTTGCAGTAGGATGTCTTTCTTGACCTTTTTTCATTTCCGATACATGGGGTCGACCATATGCTGTCGTCCCTAGACGAAACTACAATTCTTCATGCCATTGTGTCGCCGTAAAATGCCAACCGAACCAGCTCCCCCTTTGGTGCGCGCTCAAAATCTCAAGGGTGTGAAGAACCATCTGTTCTTTCCGCTCAGGTATCTCTCCTCCAGCGCCTTCTTGACGGTCTTCTTTGCGTCTTCTCGTTGAGAAACCTCCTTGAAGGTGTCGTTTGAGATGACGTTCTTCAATGTCTCCAATTCGAGAGTGTATCGGGTAGGCATGATGTGGTTGTAGTTGATCATCTTGATGAAAGGCTTGACCTTGGATCGCTTCTCGACTCGCTTCTTGCCCATTCGGCGGGTGACTTTTGAGGGATAACGCTCGATACCTGCGACAAGGGCGTAGGAGAATGGGTGAGTCTTCGTGCCTTGGTCGATTGGTTGAATGATGACGACCTAGAATACCAGTCAATGAAGCTGTTCGCATATCTGTCGACCATTGACTCCTCCAAGGGAATTGTAGAGTCCGGTCATCGATCTTTTCGTACCTTTCTTCCGGCATATCGGCCTCGGGTGATGATGGCCACACGGCCGACCTTAAGGACTGTAATATGTCAGTCAATCCAGTTGTGCGCAGCAGTTGCGAGATAACCTACACTTCATCTTGAGGTCAATTTGGCGGCGTCGAGTGTCGGTTCGATTTGAAGATTGCTTTCTCCGAAGAGGTCGACTTGGAGGTTTGTGGGCGCAGTGGTCGGTGGCTTGGCAGAACTTTTCGGCCCACCTTCCCGTCACTGAAGTTTTGCATCTCACGTGACTCGACTTTTCTGACTGCCCCGATGGCTGCTTTTTCTGAACTCTTTCATCACTGGCGGTCTCCTCAACCAACGAACAGCAAAGGCGACTTCGGCGACCTCCTTGCACCCAAGATGCTGGAACTCAACGCAGCTCGATTGCCTTGTAATGTGAGACTCCCTATGAGTAATTCGACCTCGAATCTACATACCGCCACAAGCTTATCTTTGTACAATGGAGGCGGGCACGAATGGCATGCACCTCAACGAACTGACGGTCCCTTCGATGAACATCAATGATAGTCAGGACTTGATACCAAGGCGACCGCCAGTAAGCAAGACCATAGCCTCCCATTGCGTACTCCGCACTTTTATTATCTTTCTTGTGCGTTTCGTGTTACAAGCACTTAGTCAGCACCAGCGAATCAGTCATCATTGGCTGCTGGTCGGGCGCCCAAAATACCTTGTTGGGGTCGGGGTGTTGTTTACATGCCCAATTCGGCATGTTTCACGCCCCAATGTTTAGTTCACCAGCACCCAAGTAGTTGTGATATTCGCATCAATTCGTTGTTTCAGTTTTAGCCCTGTGTGTGTTCTGCGCTGGGAACAGAAGACAGAAACCATTATGTGCGCTGATAATTGTGATTTCAATTGACAGCATTCCTCGCAGCAGAATTTCCCCACAAGGCATTGACCATGTCAACTTACTCAAGAGACGATTCAAGGGACCGTGCTGAGTCTCGAGTGGTCAAGCACCAACACTCCTTTTCAGAGTCTGGCAGGAGCTCCGTGCCCATGTAAGACCCATTAGCCTGGTTGCAGCGTACAACCGAGTCAACATGCACTGACAACATCACAGGTGGGATAGTTCAGATCCCGACAGAGCACCACCACCACTTCCACTGAACCCTGGAGGACCTGGAAGCCCAATCACTAGGTCTAACACATCTAAGCGCATCGACGAGGCGGCTGCTCTGATCACTGCCAGAGCTCGAGAGAATGCACCGAGCTCGTACACAACCAACCCTCTACCTCCACCCAGTTCACCCGACCGAAGCATCATGAGAGCGCAAAACAGACGCATGCAAAATCTGCAAAGCCCGAGCGTGGGCAGGCTGAGCGATTCACTGGAAAGACGATCGCCAGACAAAGGTCTAAGGACTGCGAAATTCGTGGACTTTGAGGACTTGCGGAGCAGCAGATCTACCGAGCGAACTTCAGCACGGCATAGATCAGACACACCCACACCGGACGGAAGACGAGGAAGAGAAGTCGAGAACACACCTCCAACACAAAATATGCTTGCCTTGCAAAGTATGAGGAGTAGGCAGGATACAGCGCCGCTCGGCGACATCACAAATGGCGCCTCCCCTCCAGTGCAGCCTGTCATCGCACTCGACTCTCTTTCGTCGCAGATACTGGGTCTCACGAGTATCGTCACTAGTGTACAGCAGGAGATGTCGAGCCTGAACAAGAGAAGCAAAGACAACTATAGCGACTTGATGAGTCTCAAGCAGGCTGCATCGTCCAGAGATGAAGATATCCGCAAGAACCTGCGGGATCTTGTTGCAGGGCTTGAGACCAAGCTTAGCAGTCTTGATACTCGACTGCTTTCTGGTCCCGAGACCAGTCGCTCCGCTCCCAACCTAGGAGGCCTGTATTTGGACGACAAAGCGCACAACGCGACACCTCGAAAAAGCTTCGGGCTTCCGCGCATTGGAAGTCCGACCAGTTTCTCTGCGGCACTCGAGCGTGAACTCACAGCGTCTCCGTCGCTAGCCTGTGTTGACGGTGCAGCCAGTATTGCCCTTCTGGAGAAGGTCCTTAGGGAGATGGCCACCCGTGAAGGACAAGACAAGATTATGACTACGCTTGAGGCTGTAAAGTCTCAGGCACATGTGCGCCAGTCAGTCCTCCCAGCGCAGACAGCCATCGACCCCACCATGATGTCCAAGCTTGAGGACATTCTGATGTTCATGAAGGACATGAAAGAAGAGTCTGGATCGCGCGCACTGGTGCGATCAACTGGCAATGACGGCGGCAAGCGAACGAACCTCGATCATTCTCTGGAAGACAACAACTCCATGGCCAAACCCAAATCCGGTGTTGACGGAAGAACGTCTTTGTCAGGTTCTGATCCGGTCACAGAAGAAGTTGTCAAGACTTTGAAAAACGTGAAACAGTCTCTGGCCCAGGGTGGTGGTCTTACAAATGAGGTAAAAGTTCTTGTCCGTGAACTGCGAGGCGAGGTGCTCGGCATGGGTCGTGAAATTGGGAGAAAGTTGGAACAGACAGCAAATCCCAATCGACCAAACGATGCTGAGTTGCAAATGGCCTTACGAAATGAAGTCGTGAAGGTTGTCCAGCAAGGCCTTGTCGATCTCAAAGACCACGTGCAGCGAGTCGTCGAGGAAAGCGGCAGTCGTTCCATGGAGTTGGCTCGTCCAGCAAACAATATTCAAGAGATCGTCCTTGCCGTGCGTGGTGCCTTGGCTGATCTTCCACAATCTCGTGAGCCGCCGATCAGAGACGTGGCAGCGGAGAGAGAAGACATTTTGGCCGCTGTTCGAGAAGCATGGGAGGACTGCAAACCCGAGATTGCTCTTGAGCATTTTGGTCTCGAGCGGGACGAGATACTTGAAACCCTCAAAGAGGGTCTGAAATCTTACCAGCCACAACAAACCCAGGTCAAGAATACCGCAATCAGCTACGAGGATGTGCTTGAGGCCGTCGGGAAGGGACTCGAGGATTACAAGCCGCCAGTCATCGCAGCGCCTGCCGGAATTTCTCAGGAAGATGTCTTTACAGCTGTACGTCAGTCCTTGGATGCATTCGACTGGCCAAACGTGCCTCCAGTGCAAGCCGCCAATGCTGGATTAAGCAGGGACGATGTTGTCGATGCTATCAGAGACTCAATGGCTCAACAAGAGAACGCGTCTAGGGATCTCGTCGCTGATGTGGTCAAGGATGCCCTCTCTCGCCAGGAGCTGCCCGTCGCAAAAGAGGTCGAGTTCAACCGCGAAGACCTCTTTGATGCTATCAGAGCCTGCCTTGAAGGGGAGCAGAATCCACTTGGAGGGATGGGAGAGAGGGTTGTCGAGGCTATGCACGAATTTCTGGGAAGCATGAGGACCGAATTCCAGCAGTATTCGGCTGCAAGCGGAAAAGACACTGAGCAGGTTCTTGATGCCCTGAAAGATGGGTTGGAAGATCTCAGAGCCGACATTGAAAGCTATGTGGATCGCGCAGCAGATGTTACTGGAAAGGACGAAATCATCGACACAGTCAAAACTGGCTTTGCCGCAATGCAAGCAGACGTCGACAAAGGCTTTGCTAACCGAGCCAATGGAGCTCCAAACACGCCAGACCTGCTTGATGCGATGGAGAAGGAGTTCGAGCACCTGCGAGAGACACTCAGCAAGGGCATGGCTAAAAACGAGTCTACGTTGGAAAAGGACGAAATTTTGGATGCAATTCGAGATCTTTCCGACGACCGGCAGTCGGCACATAGCAGCAACAGTGAAGACATCGCTCGTCTGGTGAAAGAAGAGCTGGAGCATATGCGAACCACACTAGCTGGAACGCTCATGAAGAGCGGTTCGTCCTTGGATAGGGATGAAGTGCTTGATGTCATCCGTGAAGGACTTGAGGCATCGCGATCCGCCCCTAGAACGGACGGTAGCGAGAGCATTCTTTCCAACACAAGTGAGCTGCTTGATGCATTCCAGGACGGTGTCGATGGAATCCGATCGGACATCCTGAAGTTGAAAGACCGTCCGGTTGATGTCGGCGCAAGTGAGGAAGTTCTGAATGCTTTGAAGGTGGGCATTGAAGATGTACGTGCAGACATCTCCCGCCTTGCTGAGAAACAGACGGAAAGCTCCGAGTCTGGGACCGCCAGGGGTCAGGAGCTGGTCATCCATGATCAAAACCACATTTCGTCTGAACTCGAGGGGTTAAAAGTGATGATCACGCAGCTGAGAATTAAGGTGGAGGCTCTGGACGGCATGGCTGCACCTGAAATACCTACCGAGGTCCACATTCACAAAGACGACATGAACGAGATCTGTGAAGCTATACAGCAAGCCCAGGACACAGTCAGTCGATCAGGCAACGAAGAAACCCGTATCCACAAGGACGACATGGATGGTATATACACGGCAATCAACGAGGTCAACAACGCGGTCAAGCACGTCCGAGCTGCACCTCTACCTGAGGTTGTCATGCCCGAGAATGTGGCTTCTAAGGAGGACACCGACGCCATCGAGACGTTGCTAAGGAACGTCAAAGCGAAGCTGGATGAGTTTCTGTCTGATGATTCTGAACCCCTCGCCAGGTCCAGCCAGCTGGATGCTATAGAATTCAACCTGAGTGACCTCAAGACTGCCGTTGAAGAGTGCACAGCACGTGCTGGTGAACAGACAAACAAGGAAGACTTTACAATCATCGAGCTTATGCTGAAGGATGTTCAAAGTAATGTTGAAGACTTCAAATCCAAGTTGGACGCAATCGGCCCACAAGATGAGTCGATCAACAAGGACGAGCTCCAGCTTGTGGAGACATTGTGTATGGATATTAAGAGTCAAATCGAGGCCATCAAACTTCCAGATGTCGAAGGGCTTTCCACCAAGACGGACCTCGAAGATGTTAGAAATGACCTCAAATCATTCCGCGAACAGTTCGAAGCAGACAACGGACTTACCGCTCAAGCATTCGAAGCCAGAAAGATCGAGCATGGTGGTTTGGCCACGAAAATCGACGATGTCAAGAATATTATCGGTGATCTACGCGACGAGCTCATCAGCAAGGTGGAAGGAAGTGCGGAGGGTATTGTGGAATTGAACAAAGTTCTCGGAATGCATCACGATGATATGAGCAAATATGCTACCGCATCCAACCTCGAAGAGTTGGCAGTACTGATTAAGACGGAATTTGACCGTCACATGGAACATCATTCGGCCAGCAAAGGGGAAATGGAGGAGCGTGACGCTACACTATTCTCGAAACATGATGACACCGGAGCTGAGATTAAGAGCGCCATCGAAGACAGGTTCAATGAGCTCATGACGAAGTACGACGATGCCCAAAATGTGAACAAAGCCAAGCTGGGCGCTTTGGAAGAGCGTGACAGTGCGCACTTGGATGCAACGACCGGAACCAAAGCTGTGGTGGACGATCTGAAGTCGCTCATGGATGTGCTTGGATCGACAGTCACAGAAACTAGCGAGCGCATATCAGAGGATTCCAAGACGGTTTTCACGTCCATTGAAGACTCCAATGCGAAGCTGGAGAGTCTACACAGCGCGAACGCATTCGAGCATGGTGTAACTCGAGAGGAGATCGCGAAGACCCTGGCTGCTACGATGAGACTGGAAGGCACGATTGGAGAACACCAACCAGCTGTGCTGGCCGCGATCCGCGAAGTGATGGGTGTAGTCAGTCAACACTACGAGCATTCACAGCAACAAACAGAAAGCTTCGCTCGAGCGACAGAGGAGATCAAATCCGGCGTCGACTCGATTCCAGCCGCGATTCCGCCGTTGCTACCAGCATTGCCTGCAGTCCCTACCGCACCAGCGGAACCGATCACGCCAAGAGAGGTCCCAGTCTATGAAAAGTATGATGACAGTGAGGTCCACGACAAACTGGACAATCTTCTTTCGCACACGTCTTTGGCGAACGAGGTATTTGCTGGCATTGAGAACCATCACAAAGACACTCGTGACTCCTTGGCGGGGTTGTCGAAACTCGACGAAGTTCACGCTCAAGTCATGGCAACAGCAGCCGAGATTGCGAGCATGGTTACGACCCAAGCAAGACTGATGGGAGAACATCATGAATCCAAGGTTGCGGAAGCCACCGAGGCCGCCATTGCATTGGAAAAGCGAACAGCTCAAAAGGAGAAGGTCGAAGCCGACATTGTTGGACTTAGCCAGGAGAAGAATGCTCTTGTCGAGTCTATGGCGAACTTGAAGCGGGAACAGGAAGAGCTTAGCGGCCAGACAAAGCGACTTACACGAGAAGTGGCCAAGCTGGAGACCGCACTGCAACTACGCCAGGAAGAGATGCGTGACATGAATGCAAGAGCAGAAGTCCTCGAGCGTCGCGTACTAGAAGGACTGGTCAACCAAGCACGGTCAGTCAGACCTTCAAGACCGGTGACCAAAACCAAGATTTCCCCCTCGGAACGAGATGCGTCGATGAATCTCAAGCGCGTGCCTAGCCAAGCCAGTACAGCAACAGCAAAGACTTCCATCAGGGGTGGAACTTCAGCTATTGGGAGCGCTGTCGGCATGGCTCTGAAGAAGAGGGCGCCGCTGGCTTCCAACGTCAGAGTCTCCACGACACCTAGAACGTCTGCGGTAGATCGGCGGATTCTGAGTACAAGTCATGTCACTGGCAACCGCGGGCGCAACACGCCCGATATGGCATTGATGCTTGCTCCCGTGCCAAAGTCGACCGGTCTAGTCAGCTTGAAGAGAAGCCAGTCGGTTAAGAGTAACCCAAGCAGCTATCTGAATGGACGAACCGCCAGCTGGAACGTTGTCTCTTCGGAGGTGACAGACAAGGAAAACCTGACCGTGGATGACGACAGCGGTGATGAATCTGGAAGTGACGCAAGTACAGAGAGAAGAACCAGCATGGGAACCAGTGTCATGTACACGGACAGTATGACCTATGGCACAGGAAGCTCTCTGAGTTCCCACAGCCGGCGGTCAGCGAGCTGTGCAAGCAGCATTGCTGGCATGATCGATGGTCAAGCCGACAGTATTGCTGAAGAAGACGAGGAGCAGGGGACTGGAGAAGATACAGAGACAGGTATGGTGCTGCATGATGGGCCAACCGAGGCCGACCCTGTCAATGCTGGGCAGGACAACACAATGGCTCTGACTACCTTTGATGGATTGGAGACTCCCATGTCTGATTTGCAAGCTCCTCCTATCATTACTGGAGAGAACCTCAAGTACCATCATGGCAGTGACAGTGGTCTTGGGACGGAGCCATTGACGGCGGGAACAGAACAGGGTTTGGGAGAAGCACAGGAGTACTTTCAGATGACGGCGCAAGATATGCACCTTTGATTGAGTAGGGTTTGGTGTTTGGAGTTGATTTCGGTATTGGATACGCTGGGTGTGATTAGGAATGAGCGTTTTGAGCGAGTCAAGGAGAGTGATGATTCTCAACCAAGGTATTCTTCAACAGTGAATAGGGTAACGACGTGTCATTATGCGAATCTTGTACTCTAGCATTGCTCTCGCATACCCCTAAGCGAGCCGAGGGAAGGCCTAGAATCGCAACCCCCAACAAAGTGCCCAATGTTTGCGACATGTTGCGTCACTGCGTCATTCCTTCCTCCCAGAAAGACCTTCTTCGCTCTGTCTGGAGCTGCTCACACGACCATGTTTCGATTCAGGCTTCTACCACGACGCACCTCACAGTGATAACCTTCTCGAGAACCTCATTGTCGCCGGCTCCTGGAAAATGATCGATCCTTTGCCGCCGCCGCCGCCATGGCTCGTGAACTTGGTCAAGCCTTACTGCGACGCCCTCTACCTGCCTACCCTCCCCTACCACGTCCACGAACTCCTCTTCGCCTTTGTCCTGTATCAAACGACACAATCAATCATATCGCCTGTTCTTTCGACCATGCTCTTCCCTGACGTATACCCGAAACTGTCGCGCCGAACTCGCATCAATTGGGACGTGCACGTGGTCTCTATGTTGCAGTCCTGTCTGATCAATACCCTGGCGCTATGGGTCATGTTCACAGATGAGGAGCGGTACGACATGCAGAGCAGTCCAATCGAACGAGTATATGGATATACCGGTGCTTGTGGCCTGATCCAGGCATTGGCGGCGGGATATTTTGTGTGGGATCTCGTTGTCAGCGCGCGCAACTACTCGGTATTCGGTCCTGGTATACTCGCTCATGCTACGACTGCCCTAGCAGTCTTCTCGTTGGGCTTTGTAAGTGCTTCCAGCGATGTATCCATTACCGGCTAGGCTGACATTGAACATAGCGACCGTTTTGCAACTACTATGGACCGGTCTTTATCCTTTACGAGCTGTCTACACCCTTTCTCAATATTCACTGGTTTTGCGACAAGCTCAACATGACAGGATCCAAATTGCAGTGGTACAACGGCATGATTCTGCTGGCGACATTCTTTGGCTGTCGATTGCTATGGGGTACTTACCAGTCGTTGCGTGTCTATCAAGATGTATGGCATACAATGCACCTAAATACGACCCATTTCATCCGCGAAATCCACGAGTCACCTAATCATCCAATCTTTGTTCCCAGAGATGGCCAGCTCTGCTTGGGACAGTCGAGTTGCATCAGGGCGCAGAGCGAGGTCATGAAGTTCACAGGTCCTGATACTGGCCCCACACCATATTGGATGGCGGCCGTGTATTTGGGCTGTAATCTGGTGCTGAACTCGCTCAATTTCCACTGGTTTGGCAGAATGATTCAAACTATACGAAAGCGGTTTGATGGTCAACCTCATGACGACTATCCTCGGGAAGTGGAAAGGAAACCCAGCATTGTGGAGGAGATGGCCACTGAGCTGGATCGTGACAGTTTGTCTGGAGCAAAGACTCCTCCGTTGGAGAAGAGTGTGGATGCGTATGGCAAGAGCACAGCAGTACCAGATGGACCGACTGAGGTCAAGAGGCGGTAAGGAGCTGGGTCTGGGAACGAAACCGAAGAAACACAACCCTTAGAACGGGCCAGGATTTGGTACCGGCAGTTTTAGCAAGGAGTTGTCTGGGTACATGAGCTTTTATCAAGCGTGTAATATTTCTTGCACAATAGTTCTTGTGTTCATTTCGCCTTTGAACAACTTCAACTATATCGTCATGAGAAGTGGAATGAATGCGTGAATTTGATTGGTGAGCACTAGACGTTGCCCTGGTCAACAAACACCGAGACTGCGGTTATGGCTTCACTTTGCAGGGGGTCCGTTGGCAGTGAATCAACTACCTATAGGCTTCACGTTTCACACCCTCAGGCGCCGCCGCCGTTGTTCTCTTGTTGTGCAAAGTCTTCTCATCCGCCCATATGCAGGCTTAGATCAGTATCTTCCACAGCCTCCAGCCGTTGCCGCGTCGTTCAACATGGCCTTTTTGTTTGGTGGGAGAGGACGACAAAAGCAACCCGCTGAGATCGCAAAATCACTGAAAGATTTACTGTATAAATTGTCAGACCCGAGTCTGAAGCCCAAGGTACGAACGAGGAGACGGAGCAGATGCTCTTAGGGCTGCATATCTGACTTTTTGGACACACAGGTCGAGGAAGATGTCGCAAAGCACATGTCGCAGATGAAGATGATTGTGCAGGGCACACCAGGTCAGAACCACTGTCTATCCATGTCGCGCGAGGGAACACAAACTCTGACGTCCTTACAGAAGTCGAATGCAGTCAAGAGCAAGTTCACCAGCTGGTATCATGCATCATCCAAGAAGACATACTCTACGAGATCGCCCGGTCGATCAGCCTATTACCTTTTGAAGCCCGCAAGGACGCCCAGATTATTTTCTCGCATATCCTGCGCTGGAGACCTGTCGGCGCATCTACTTCTAGCGAGCCCTCTGCCATATCCTACCTTGTCCTACAACGCCCGGAGATCATCGTCGAACTGTGTCGCGGGTATGATCATGCTGCGAGCGCGATGCCCTGTGGGACGATCTTGCGACAGGCTTTACAGTACGACACTATCGCCGCGGTGATACTGTATGATGAGTCAAGACCTGGTGAGCGGGCAGTCGTCCTGCAGGATGTGGACGTCACAAAGAAACAAACGGGACAGGGCTTGTTCTGGAATTTCTTCTCGTGGATCAATAAGGGCAGTTTCGAGGTCAGCGCGGATGCGTTCACCACGTTTAGAGTGAGTTCACCTTCCTTCTTTGTTAGTATGTGGTTTGGATGGGTGTTGACGCGGACGATCTAGGAAATCCTCACCAAACACAAACAACTAGTCTCAACATACCTCGCGACCAACTACGACCTGTTCTTCAAGTCGCACTACAACACAACGCTGCTACTGTCTCAATCATACGTGACGAAACGGCAGTCTATCAAACTGCTGGGCGAGTTACTGCTCGACCGCGCCAATTATGTGATCATGACGCAGTACGTTGCCAGCGGAGACAATCTCAAGTTGACGATGAATCTGTTGAAGGATGATCGTAAGATGGTCCAGTACGAAGCGTTCCATGTGTTCAAGGTGTTTGTCGCCAACCCCAATAAGAGTGATGAGGTGCGGAGGATTCTCATCAAGAACCGGGGACGCTTGTTGAAGTTCTTGCCGGGGTTTCTCGAGGGACGGACGGACGATGACCAGTTTCTGGATGAAAAGAGTTTCTTGGTGAGACAGATTGAGAATCTGCCGGAGGAGGACTCGCAGCAAGGTGTGAGTGCTGACCAAAGTGGTGGCGTGAGGGTTGGTGCGTAGTATGCTTGACGAGGCTCAACCATCGGCTATGCATTTTGCTCGAGGGTATGGCGTTTTTCGGCGATCGCATGGATCAAACGGAACGGTACCCCGACCTTGCTCTTCGCATCGGTGTACCTTTGGAAGTTGACACGGGCACAGTGTCATCTTTTCGAGAGAAGAACAGGTGAGGAGAATGTGTAGTATGTATGATAGACGACGGTTGTCATCGTCAGCCTGGTCTAATGTTGCGTGACCGTTGACGATGGGACGAAACCCATGACAATACGAAGGAATGAAGAAAAGATATTTCGGTCACCACATATAGCAGGTGCACTGGCTGTGCCAACTCTGCTGAACAGGGAACAGAAGCCTAGAATGATGCTCTCGACGGTCAACATACATCGAGCATGGTATCCCGTTTCGTCCCAGACAGACTACCTAACCTCCTGCCTTGAGGGGGTATCCAACACGATCATCCAACGCCCATACAGACCCAAAAGTAAAGTCATCACTCATCATATTAACACAATTATACCAATCGCCATCTCATTCCTCTCCCCTAACATCGCCATCACCATCGTCATCCAAACCCATATCGCCAAACTCATCCCCTAAAAGCTCCACCTCAACCTCCTCCGTGACCCAACCCTCAAACTCCTCAAGGCCCTTCTGAACATGCACCTTGAACCTAATAACATCCTCAAGACATTTCTCAATCCCGGAATGTAATTCCTCCCTCACACGACTCGCCTCCTCACGCATACTCTCCCACGCAACTTGACTCTCCATCTCCCGTTGCTCCAGCTCAACCACACCCCTTTCCAGACCCTCCCTCATCCTAGCCAGTTCCTTTTCAAGTTTCTCAATAGCACTAGTCTGCTGCGTGTGCGCGGTGTTATTACTTTCTTTCAGGCTGGCGTATAATCTACTGGCCTCATTGACGCGGTAATTCAAGTTATCGATCTCCGTGTTCTTCTCGTGCAGGGCCTCGGATATATTGTCCAGAAAATCGCGGGCGTTCAAGTCTGCGTCGGCTGCGGCTTTTCTGCGCTCGTTGATTTCTTTGCGGAGCGACATGAATGCGTTGCGTACGGCGCCTCGGAGATCCAGATTGAGAAGGTGGATTGGAGAGTAGCCGACGTTAGAATCAGCGAGAAGACGGTCGGATTCGGGAGAGCCCCGTCGTCGAGATATTGATGCTGAGAAGTTGTCGGAGGATGTGTTGAGGGATAATTCGTAATCCGCGCCCTTGGCGTTGACTGCTGTGCTGGGGATGAGTGACATTTGATAGCCCAGGGAGTTGTACCGTTTGACGATGACTTCAAGGTCTTCGAGTTTGCGCGCTGTCTCGGCTTCCTTCTCGAGAACTTTCTTGTTGACTTCGTCTAGCGCGACCAATGCATCTCCGTGGCTCTTGGTCAGTCGTTCGCGCTCGGTGTTCATGCGGTCTATGTCCTGGATGTTCAAGCCCTGTCGGTCGACGGATTGCTGGAGGCTCTGTCGTTCCTGCTCCACGACTTGCAGGTCTGCGTCTGTTCTTTGGATTTCCGCTTCCAGGATCTTGATTCTGGCGTCGTACTTTTCGATCTTGGCCTGCACGTTGGCATTGTACTCTTCAAACTTCTTCTTGTCGTCTCCCAGAATCTTGAAATGATTGTCCAGTTTGGCAATGTCTGGGGCATTGCGCTCCATTTCGTCTAGTTGTGTCTGGAGAGCTTCATGCTCGGCTTCGTAGATCTTCAATTCTTCTACGTGTCTTGCGTTGATTCTTTCGAATTCGTCTGTCATCGCCTGAATATGGGGCTGCAAGGCTGCCGCTTCGCTCTCTTCATCGTCCTCCGGGCCCATCTGCAGCCAGTCTTGGTATGCGCCGAAGAGAAATCGAGCCACGATCCGATCACTCGCAACATCAACCCCAGCTTCGGCACATGCATCGTCGTAGGCTCCTCGCGTGAAATTGTCCAACATCTGTGCAAGCTGCATCATCCAGTGCAGCAGTCCAAGAAATCGTGGCCAGTTTTGTCCTCCAACCGCAACCAGGTGTGATTTTGTGATATCTCTCTCATACGGGTATCTCAATTGCTTCATGATCGGTGGTACCTCGGTATCAATGCTCTTCTGGAACTTGTAGCCCGGATCAATGCGACGGTACAGCCATTGAAACATGAAGGTGAAATCCTTTTGTGTAGGTGACTTGACCGAGTTCTGGGTCAAGGAATGTTTCATTTCCATTTCGAAATTGTTTTGCGTCAAATAGTCTAGGATTTCCTGACTCAGTCGCGCTCTATACGACGAGTCTCTCAGCGGTCGAGGATCTTTGGGCGCGCCCGCAGGGGCGGGAGGTTGTGAGAAGAAGGACTGATGCGTGGTTGGACCTTGACCTGATGGCCGAGAGAATATACTGCTTCGTCGCTGTAGACTCTGAGTTCCCGGTGTTTGAGATCCGAATAATTGGTTTGGTGCGAGGCTTTGTCGGCCTGGATTTGCGCTTCCAAACATGTTACTTGAGGCTGATCGCCTGACCGTCGACATTCCTCCATCGGCCAAATTACCACCTGAAGAGGAACGGTGGAAGTTGGGTTGCGCCGGTCGCTGTACGCTCTGGTTTATTGACGTCGATCGGACATGCGAGGCAGTGTACGGTGCGGTTCGTAGTTCATGGCCGGACGATACGCGCTTGACCGCGGAAGCTGGTTGTGGTATTCCTGAGAAGTTCTGGATGTTGCCCAATGTTTCGCGCGGGCGGCGCACGCTGAACAAGCCAGCTGGCTGCGACATGTTGTCGGAAGAAAGAATGGGAGGTCTTGCGGTTGAGCCGTCTTGATCAACGCGTGTTGTCTTGAATGTATATCTGGGAGTCGTCGGATTTCAGTGGGCGCAGGTCATATGCGAGCGCAACTTTGGTGGAGCGCGACAGGGAATCGGGTGTGAGGCACAAAGTTCAATTGAGACCCCAAACATCATCACCACAGAAACGATCCAACCGGAGATTAGATTAGATGCAATCATATCAATCGAAATTTCCCCAGTCCTTGCTTGTTGCATTCCTCCACATGAGTGTGATTTACTACCACCAGTCACCCAGATAGATATTGTCGCTGGCGGCTTCAAGACTTCTATCGCTATCAATTGATCTCCTGTTCAGATCTTGATTAGAGTGCCCGACACGGCTAACGCGGTTTTGCTTTGAGGTGTCTGTGCTGCCTGGAGTCGTTGTGTATGGAGGTGATCTTCGCGCCTGGAACATTTATGCGTTGGGCGAGCGCCCGCCTAGAGTAGTTATGCATTTCGGTGCCCTTCAAGCCTGGAGTACTCGTGCCTGGTAGTTTAACATGAGGCGGCCGCCGCGCCTGTCGCACGTGATCCATGATCTTTCACCAGCCTCCCACCCAATGCACCAAAGCCTCGGCTCAGCGTACCCAGGCCGTTGAGGTCACTTACATTTGTCGTTTTCATCGGTCCATTCCTCTTTCCCGCCATCCTCAAATCTTAACCACCATCCACGTTGATACGGCAGAGCCTTACGTTACCAATACATCTCAGACAGGAGTCATTCCCATCGCATGAGATAAAGCACGTTGCCCACCATGGCGCCACGCGAGGATATCGTCTCCTCAGCAGTCAACTTCCTCCAGGATCCTTCCGTTGCGACTGCTTCTCTAGAGAAGAGACTCGAATTCCTTAGATCTAAGAATCTGACTCAAGAAGAGATTGATCTGTCGCTCGCTCGAGCTGCTGGCGACACTTCCACTCCTCCTGCGCCTTCCCAGAATTCACAATTCTATCCCCCTTCATCACAACAAGTCCGAGGTCCGCCTGGTCAATATCAGTTCAATCCATATGGCGCCTGGCAACAACCTCCTCCGCCAGAGCCCCCGAGAAGAGACTGGAGAGACTGGTTCATCATGGCCACCGTAGTAGGTGGCGCCAGCTACGGACTATATGTCCTCGCCGACCGATATATCAAACCACTCATCGCACCACCCACTCCACCACAATTGGAGCAAGACAAGGCCGCCATCGATGAGCAGTTCAACAAGGCTTTTGCACTTCTAGATACATTATCTTCCGATACGGCCGCTCTGAAAGAGGCAGAAGAAGCCCGCACACAAAAATTGGACACCGCGATCAACGACATCGAGTCAATTATCGCTGATTTGAAAGCTGCGAACACGAGGAGGGAAGATGACTCGCGACGGATGGAGGCAGACATCAAGACTATGAAAGAGAGTCTTCCCAAATCAATTGACAGTGTCAGAGATGCTAGCGAGAGGCAACTGAAAGAGCTGAGTAGTGAACTGGGCAGCCTCAAGTTACTCATGGGAAACCGGATGAGTGGTGGCAGTAGCTCCTTTGGAAGCAGCGGTCAAGGCATTCCACGCACACAGCCTGGTCAGCTTCCACCCAGCAGCAGTGCAGCAGCAACTCCTGCGACTGAGTCAGCGCCGAGCAGCAATCCTCCACGCTCTACACCTTCCTTCTCGAGCCCTGCATCACAATTCAGTTCATCTACCACAGTCCCTGCTGCCACAACACAATCCAGACCCGGTCCAGGTCCGTCGTACGGTAGTTCTTCCGGCAAGGCTGCCATTCCAGCATGGCAAATGGCCGCCTCGAACAAGTCGAAGGACACCCCACCAACCCCGAACGCCTTCGGCAATTCTACGGCGAACGGTACCCAGCAACAGGACGGCGCGGACGCTGTCGCTGCCCTTAATGCCAGTTAGTTTTAAACAATATCAAGAGATATGGTGCTGGTCATGATTCTCCTCCACCAAAGCGCTGCTTGGCGATTTCTTTGAGCATAGCCATTGTCCGATCCTCTTTTTCTTTCAGTCCTGCCAGACGAGTCTCCCGTTCGGCGGCTCTCGCACGCAAGATCTCTTCTTTTCGAATCTCTCGTTCATTCTTCTTTCGCTCGGTCTCTTTCTTGGCTCTCTTCAATTCGCGGATACTGTCTTCCTCACCCATGACGTCCGCATCGCGCAGATCGGTGTCTCCGGCGTCCTTGGATGCGGCAAAAGAGCGGTTGGAATCGGCCTTCTCTCTCTTCTTCTCGAGCTGTCGCTCACGTGTACCTGCCTCTGCCCGTGGTGCTATCTCCTCGAGCCTTTCTTTCTGTAACTTCCGGTCGATGGCTCGCTCGTGACGGATATCATCCCGGTATCTTTCCCGTGCTGATGCGGCGTCTTCGCCTGTTTGCTCATCTCGGGCACGGAGGTCCTGCACAGACGGTATGGACGCTCCATGTGCCTGGTTGTATCTAGAGCCTTCGTGCCCTTCGGCCAGACCAGTCCCAGGCAGCGCAGGCCCATATTCGTCCTCGTCCTCGTCCTTGGGACCCTGGTCGTTTGGATCACTCCTGGCTGCTGAAATTCTCGATTTCTCCAGGGTCTTCGGTTCATACCAGCCTTCTGCGAGTTCTCCACGATTCCTAGCATGTTAGCAACCACTTGTTATTTTCCGCTTCTGTGCGCCAGGGTCTGGTCCTACCATTTCCCAACGAAACTCTTCCATCTGCCTTTCACCTCCGTCTCAGTCAGGTCGTCGATATCCATCTGTTTTTGTATGTCAAGATAGAGCGCAAACATGTTTCGGTATGAGGGCAGGTCATGTTTTGAGATCTCTTGCGCATTCAAAGGAAGCGCTGTCGCAGGAACATGGTGTCGCTGTCTCGGTGAGCGGGACCGATGGCGCGAAGGTCTAGCCTCATGACGACGTGGGGATCGCGAGCGCTCTCTGGTCCTGGGTTCTGTCATTGTTGTAGTGTACGATATTGTGTATGCCGCCAATATGATCCAAATTCTAGGTAAGGAACGGCCTAAGTAACGGGGAGCAAAACAGACCTCGAAAACTCCCCGCATACGTAGTTACGGTAGGTACTGTACAGGGCATCCGCCCGCCAAGGCCTCTATCAAAATGATGACTTTTCGGTCCGAAGAGCTTTACAAGTCTCTCCTTCAAGACCTTTTTCTGCATTGCATTTTCGGCGTAGACGGGCTCTAGATTTCGTTTTCTTGTCTGTATTCAGTCATGCACATTCTTGTAAGCAGCATCGAAAGATCATTCTTCGCATCTGCTGACACTGAATCAGGTTGTGAACGATGATGGACCACCATCCAATGCTTCGTCGCCATATGTCCATTCTCTAGTTGACACGCTGAAGAAGGCTGGTCATACTGTTTCAGTCATTTTACCTCATGTGCAAAGATCATGGATCGGCAAAGCACATATGGTTGGTCAAACTTTGACGCCTACCTACTTTCGCCCCGGCACTCTTCATGAGGATGATGGAGTCACTTCAGAGCGCCCCTTCAAGGATGATGGGGAGCAATGGATCCTCATTGATGGAACTCCAGCAAGTTGCACCCAGATTGGTCTGCACCACTTCTTTCAAGACAAAGGGCCAATCGATTTAGTGCTCAGTGGTCCTAACTATGGCCGAAACACCACCGCAGTATTTGCTTTGTCCAGTGGAACCATTGGCGGTGCCATGGAAGGAGCCATGAACGGCAAGAAGAGTATTGCACTGTCATATGCATTCGACTCAAGAGAGCACGACCCCGAAATCATTGCTACAGCATCCAAATTGAGCACCAAACTAGTAGAGAAGCTGTTCAGTGAGTGGCCCAACGACGTACAGCTCTACAGCATAAATGTACCTTTGCGGAAAGATGTGGAGAACAAGAAGATCGTCTTTACAGAGATGTTGCAAAACCGCTGGGTGAGCGGCAGCTCATTCGAGGAATTACCTGCCGAAGCCGACGACCATGATCCCAACGTGGAAGAACAGAACATCCGTGAACGTGGAGAAGGGGATAGCGATGCAAAAGCGACAGTCACGAGGACGGTTCACCGCAGATTCAAGTGGTCTCCAAACTTTGCCGATGTTCGCAAATCTGTCTCGGACGCTGGGAGGGGCGATGGGTGGGAGGTGCTGCAGGGAAACATCACTGTAACACCTTTAGTGGCAAACTTCTGGCATCTACCTCATTATACTGGCGAGATCAAGCTGTGAGTAAGTTTTGCTTGGGTGGGCTGGTAGATGGAAGCGCATTTACTGAGACAGGCTTTGTAGGGAAGACAAAACTTTGAGCCTTGCAAATCCACAGCCTACGCAGGACTCATCCACATTGCATGCATTGATTGACTACCCGGATGCCTATGTGCAACCATTGATTTTGGATGCGCTCAGGTCTCTCAAGGGCATCCCAGTCAAATTCATTTCCTCAATGGGCGAATTACTGGATCCTGCGGACCACGTCGTTCAAATCACAGCTTACGAATCTTTGGACTTTGAGCACGCATTGCAATATCCAAAAACATCTCAAGTCGGTGCCTATGTTATACGGAAAGCCCTCATTCGCAAGCACTATCTGTCAAACACTGTGTCGACATGGCTAGTGAAACATCCAGACAGTATTCTAACCCAGCATTTCCGACCGTGTGTGCACTTTGAGCTTGACTATGCCGAATTCCTCGACGAATCACTGGTGGATGCGTGGGACTTGAACGAGAGTATGGCGGAAAACGAGCAAAAAGAATCCTCCGAGCAGAAACAATGGTGGATTCTCAAGCCCGGAATGAGCGACGGTGGCAACGGCATAAGATTGTTCTCCAGTCTAGAAGAACTTCAAGCCATATTCGAAGAGTGGGAAGGAGCCGAGTCTGACAATGATACTGAAGATGATCCTGAAAACCAGGTGCCTGGGCTTGCTGCACAAGACAAAGAGGACACCTCTGACGAGGTTAACGCAATGACTTCACAGCTCAGACATTTCATCGCCCAGCCTTACATCGATCCGCCCCTCTTGCTTGAAGCATACGGAAATCGGAAGTTCCATATCAGGGCATATGTACTGGCCGCCGGGGCATTGGAGGTCTACGTCTACAGGGAAATGCTTGCACTCTTTGCGGCAAAAACATATCAATCACCACGTCATAACGAGGAGTCGGGCGCGCTTGACCTGGCACAACACTTGACAAATACCTGCTTTCAAGATGAAGCAACCAAGGGCTCTTCCGTCTATCCCTTCTGGAGTCTTGAATCACCCGGCATTCGAGCCGACTGGAAAGACGATATATTCCAGCAAATTTGTGCTGTCACAGGCGAGGTGTTTGAGGCTGCCGCTCGCGAGCAAATGGTCCACTTCCAGGCAATCCCCAATGGATTTGAAATCTTCGGTGTCGACTTTTTGGTCGATGCAAACGCAAAGGTCTGGCTCCTGGAGCTGAATGCGTTCCCTGACTTCAAACAGACTGGACTGGAGCTGCAGGATGCTGTTGTGGGTGGATTGTTTCGCGAAGTCACCGCAGCGGCCGTTTCACCCTTCTTTGGCCATGCCGAGTCCCAAAGTACTCAAATGCCACTGGTCCGATCACTCAACTTGGGCCGTGGTTGAAGTTTTCAGCCTCTACGCCATCCTCCGAAGGCATCATGCTCATGATGTGTTTATATCTCGCTCTTGCAACTGAAAGGTTCTGACGTTACTGCCTGAGGCACTCTCCGATGGTATTGGTTCCTGCCTATTGTTGCAATCGTATAAGTCATTGATGGAAGGGGCGCACGACACGAATATTAACAGGCAACAGTCTCGCCACTTGTTCAGGGCATACCCTCGAAATAATCTTCTCAAACACGGTCACCGGTTACAAAATTCCACGAATACCACGGCGCTCTGAACAGTAAGGCCCCCTTCCGGGCGTTGGCTGTTTCAGGCAGCCGCATCATCAGTGATAGTCCTCAGCCTCAAAAGCCCATCCTCCCCTACGGTCAAACCCTCACGAACAACCTCTATACTCAATCACCCGACAACACATCATGCTCGATCGCTGTTTGCTGCTGAGGACTCTTCAGACGTTGAATGTCGTTCTGTCGCTTGCCTGGTATGCAATCGCAGCTGCTACGCCTCGTTTTCCGCCATTCGACCACGTCCGAGTCAAAGTCTGCGTAGATTTCAGCTCGGCGTCAGTTCTTTGGCATTCATCTCATCATGCGTTGAAGCCATAATTGCAGTCAAAATTTCTGATCCATGGTCTACTAGCGACCCCGACGTCGTCTACGCACTCTTTCTGGCTTTGGTCTGGAGCATTTTGCTGTTGGGCCTGACTGAGACAGGCGGCAGTATCTCAAATTCTCACAGCGGTGCCTGGATCACATTGCTCGTCTTCGGGAGTGTTGTTGCGGCTCTTCAAGCGGACCAAACATCATCATCGAACAGTTTATTCCTTGCGAGAAGCATTGTACAAGCGATTCAGCTTGGGTTGACAAGTGTTCTGTTAGGAGCGACCGTCCTTGTCAAGTGCGTGGGAGTCGGGAAGTCGACCGAGAAAGATGACGAACATCGGCCGTTGCTGGGTGGTGAGGATGGATCCCCCAAATCGGATGAGCAAACCCCCGCCAAAGAAGTCGACCAGGAGGAGATAGACCGACAGCAGATACGTGAACGGGCAGGCTGGCAGTATCTTGCCTCTTTCAAGGTGTTCTTGCCGTTCATGTTCCCAAGGTCACGGCAACAACGTGTTTTCTTCAGTGGCATGCTGGTAATCAGTGGACTGAAAAGAGTTGTGACGGTCGCCCTTCCGCTAAGTCTTGGTGCTGTTGTCGACGGCCTGGGAACACATATCCCCTGGGCAGCTATCGCATTATACGGGTTTCTTAGGTTCCTTGTCTCACCAGCAGGGCTCTCTCTAATCGATTCGTGGCTATCATATCAACTCAATACCGATATGACCATGGCACTGAATCGCCATTGCTATGACCACCTCATGAATCTATCAGCCGACTTTCATGATTCTAAAAAGTCGTCACTTATCTGGCAGACGATGAGTCAAGGCTCGGATGTGGTCGACCTGTTCCACGATTGCTTATTCGATTTCGTCCCGACACTCATCGACTTTGCCGCGGCGGCCGTGGTTCTCACATATTTGTTCGGAGCTTATATGCTTTTTATCGTTACAGTGACATCCATCTTCTTCTATTGGCTGACGTTGAAAGCTTTGCATAAGAAGCGAGCTCTGAACCGGTCGATCAGAGATACATGGATGGACCAGTGGCACCACTTGACCGAAACCACCATGAATTGGTCGACAGTCACCCAATTTGGTCGCATTTCTCATGAAATGCAACATTATCGGGAGAAAGGCGATATTTACCGGTCCACTACAATGACCTTCTGGTTGTACGAGTGCTGGACCAGATGGGTTCGCTATACGATACCATCGATAAGCTTCCTGGCAGCATGTGGTGTGGCAGCGTTGCAAATTGGTCATGGACAGCACAAGATCGGTGATTTCGTTGTCTTGGTCACCTATTGGGCTCAGGTCACTTCTCCGCTCGATGTTTTGGCCAACAATCTGTGGAAAGTCGCTCGGAACCTGGTCAATGCTGAGAGATTGCTGGTTCTTTTGGAGAAAACACCAGCCATCTCCGATCCGCCCGTCCCCAAAACATTCACATTCCTTGGTGGAGCAATCGAGTTTGAGAACGTCTCTTTCTCGTACGACGGCAAGCGAAAAGTAGCAGACAATCTATCGTTCCGCGGCACCCCAGGCCAGACTATTGCACTGGTGGGACAAACTGGAAGCGGCAAAAGCACGATACTCAAATTACTCTTCCGCTTTTATGATCCGGAACAAGGTCGAATCCTGATTGACGGCCAGGACGTTCGGCAAATGGCAATGGAAGGGTTCCGAAAGCACATTGCCATCATCCCACAGACACCAGTGGTGGTCAATGCGTCGATTCTGGAAAACGTGAAGTATCCCGATGTCGACTGTACCGACGAAGAGGTTACTGAAGCATGCAAAGCAGCTGCACTTCATGACAAAATTATGACTTTCACCTTTGGCTACCAAGAACAAATTGGCGAGCGCGGAACCAAGTTGTCCGGTGGAGAGCTTCAACGGTTGGCAATTGCTAGAGCAATGTTGAAGAGAGCTGATATCCTTCTCCTGGACGAGGCTACGAGCAGTGTCGACAGCATCACAGAGAAGCATATTCAGACGAGTTTGCGGAAGCTCTGCGCTGGCAAGACCACTCTCGTGATTGCGCATAGGTTGTCGACCATTCTACACGCTGATCAGATTCTGGTTATCCGAGATGGCCAGGTCGTCGAATCTGGAACGCACAAAGTCCTGATAGGACAGAAAGGCGCTTACAATGAACTCTGGAGCAGCCAAGTACAGACACAGCCAAAGGAGGTCACCAAGGAATTGGACGGTGATTGTCTCATCAACGACGTGAGCAGCAATAAAGCAGACACTGGAAAATTTGGCTGCCAGCACAACCGAGGATCCTGATGCTGGAGAATATGTTGCAACAAGGCGTGCAAGCGGGCGCGGACTATCCAGCATTCTTGCTCGCATTCCCTCTGATTCTCAAGCCTCACGTACTTCCAGCAAGGAGCGAGCGAAAGCCAATGGGCAGCGTATCACCCTTGCTCCCGGTAGGAGACTGTCTCGATCGAAATCGCCGACTCGACCTGTATCGGATGATCCAGAAGTCAGACCGAAGAGCCCCTTGAAGCCGACTGCACCAGAATTTGTGCCCCGGAGTCTTCAAAATAGCCTTGATATAAAAACACAACCGGCTGACACTGGTGTTGAGAAGTCAACTCAGGCACACCAGTCAGAAGACGTACAGCGGCCCGCAGGTCGTACTTTTGATGGGGTGTATGAAGAGCAGGATACAAAAGAGCGAGGGTACAACCTAGAAGATCCACATCGTCGGACCGCTAGTGAACCATTCCTGCCGAATGATGGCAGAGAAGATTCTGACGAAACATCCGAAAGAGACGACGATCCACCGCTGGCTCGAACCTCAAGGCTGCCTGAAATGTCAACGAGAAGAACAGTATCGGCTTCGGAAAGACGGGCGAACGAATCCTTCGAGGAAGATCTGCCTAAAGATGGACCTCAGCCGCCACCCAACACAGGAGCGGCGAGTCCAAATGTCTTCGTGTTGAGGGGCAAGGAGACGAATACCAAGTGATCACTCTGGACGTCGAGCAGATGGAGCAGGCCTAGGACGCACATCGATAAGAAAGGTCTATCACTCAACTCAGTATACGTTGGCGTATTTGAACGCAGGCCATGGCACTGATGCAGTGAAGGTTTTCTATCATGTATCAAGTTACAGTACTGCCAGATTGCAGATCGGTAGAGTGCGCAGAGCTAGCAAGCTTCAATACCAATGTATGAGATTCACGCACGCCCTTGTGCAAGTTCCACACTTGCAGTAAGTAAAGATAGTTGACAATAGTCCTGACGTAGAGGCTCGGATATGAGCGACTTCTCTCTCCACAACTCTTCCTTGTTCCCTCCACATTCTCCACGACCATAAGATGTATGATCCTCATATGCTTTATAGTGTCAACCTTGGTCTCACATAGGACATGGAGCTCTTCTCACAACGTGAATGAGTCCTCCAGATGAGGTTGAGCTCGACGAGCCCGTTAATGGCCGAACCCCTGGCGGTCGAGAGCTCACAGGCGGTGAAGCAAACGACAACCCACCGCCTGATGCCGTGGCCGCTGAGGACGTACCTCCCAATGGCGGGTATGGATGGGTATGCACTGCATGTGTGTTTCTGATAAACGCTCATTCTTGGGGTCTCAATAGTGTCAGTGCTGCCAGATCGAGAACATCGAGGCGTTTTGGAGCTGACTTCTCTACAGGCTTGGGGCATCTTTCTTGCACACTATCTATCGGACTCCACGTTTGCCAATGCATCGAATCTGGAATATGCCTTGATAGGCGGCCTTTCAATCTCATCGTCAGGCCTCAGTGCACCTATGGTGTCCGTCTCACAAAGATACTTTGGCACTCAAATCACACTTTTGATTGGTACAGGTCTGCTATTCGCCGCGTTGTTTGGAGCTTCGTATGCCACTGAGATATGGCATCTGTTCTTGACTCAAGGGGTGTGCTTCGGCTTTGCACTGGGCTTCCTGTACATTCCCGCCACTGCAGTCCTACCTCAATGGTTCTCAACTCGACGGAGTTTGGCCATGGGCATCGCATCTGCTGGTTCTGGACTGGGAGGCCTAGCATACAACCTCGTTGCAGGCCGTATTGTGCAAGAACTAGGCGTTGATTGGGCTTACAGAATCCTTGCGTTTTGTGGACTGGCGGTGAACGTCGTCTGTTCGTTCCTGCTCAAAGATCGAAACAAGGCTGTACAGCCAATTCAAAACGCCTTCAGTTACCGCGAGCTCGCGAACGTTGAGGTCGTACTGCTCATTGCTTGGGGATTCTTCACCGAGTTGGGTTATATCGTCTTGCTGTACTCGCTGCCCAATTATGCGACTTCGATCGGTCTGACCGCGGGACAGGGCTCAATTGTCGGAGCTGTCCTCAATCTCGGTCTCGGCTTGGGACGCCCTGTCGTCGGATACTACAGCGACGTCTTTGGACGTATCAATATGGCTGCTTTGATGACGGCGTTGTCCGGAGTCGTCTGTCTTGCAATATGGGTGCCGGCTAAGAACTATGGAGTTCTCCTGCTTTTCGCCCTCACTGCAGGCTGCTTCTCTGGGATATTCTGGATGACGATCACGCCAGTAACGGCTGAAGTGGTTGGCTTGAAAAGGTTGCCTTCTTCCTTCACGGTGATCTGTCTTGTTTTGACATTGCCGTCGACTTTTGCGGAACCGATCGCTTTGGAGATGGTTGCGGCTTCTGGTTATCTTAGCTCGCAGATCTTTGTGGGTGTCATGTTCTTGCTCGCTGCGGCGAGTACTTGGATTCTGAGGTCATGGAAGATCAATCAGATTGACATCAAAGCTGCGAGGGAGCGAGAGGTCGACAGCCCCGACTCTGGTCAGATTGCGGCTGAGCACGCTTTCTGGTTGACACCACGAAGCCTCCTGTGGTTAGGGAGAGTGTGATGCCTGACTGGGTACGTGGGTGACCTACGAAGTCGGTCCGAACACAGAAACATCCTTATGCATCTTCTGGATCATCTACACGGTGTCTGGAAACACAAAGCCGCATTGTCTCAACTCACCTATATTCTTGGCACTTCCCCGGTCTGCAAGGCTGCGCTCAACCTCCTCACGACCATCACACTTGGGACAGCGCGCAGGTAACAATGGTACCATGAGACATGTCGATGTATATGGATGGAACTACCGCACGAATACGGATCATGAGCGTTCGCGACAAACGTTCAGCAACAGCCCAACGCTCCGCCTCGGCTTCGCCGAGACTGCCGACAAAACATAACGATCCACAGCGCCGGTGATTCTGCCATACCTGGTTTTAGACATGATGTTGTTGATGAACAATACCATTGTCTACAACGACGACATTGGTGTCGAGCCTGAACAACTGCTCTCACAGGCTTAAAAGAAGGTTCTTCCCTCCAGCCAGCGTCTCCTCACCATGAAATCCATCAGCTTCGTCAAGTATCCAGCGCAAAATACTCACTCGATCCAAATGCCTTATCTAAGCCTCTGCCGGCGGCAACAGCCTCTGTGGGAAATCATCAATCTCTGCCTCTTTGCCTGCTCCCGCCTCACACGGCTGCTGACCTCTCAAAATTCCTACTTACCATACAACTACATCACAAACGCTGCTCTCTGGGGCCTCGTTTGCTACCTCGATTTACCATATCTGCTAACAACCGCTCTGAGCATTACCCTCCAACGGTTGGAATCCCTCAGCCAGAACACAATCTTGCACGCATTCGCTCGCTGCGTACTTACCGAGTCGAACTTCAACAACCTCGGCAGCGCAATCTTCGACTACTACGTCTCGCCTCCTGTCCTGGACATCATCGACGCTCTGATCAACCCAAACCGGACTCCTACTCGCACCGTGAAAGCAGCATCAGCTGGGGGAATGGTACTGGACATTTTTCCAACATCAAAACCACAAAATGCAGTGGGAAACATGGTGGCATGCGTGGCCCGTGAAATGTTCATGCTGATGCTTCGCTGGCTGTTTAAGGGGCTTGTATGCTGCAGCTCGCAGGAGCAGGAACATCCCTCGGATACACAGCAGCAATCCACACCAATAAATGAAGGAGGAAATGGAGACGATCAAACGTCTGAGCAGCGAGAATCCGACGACAAGGGCCGACAAGACAGCTGGGATAGTGGCTATGGAGGAAGTGAGCAAAGCGCCAACGATGCCGGTAATGGGAACGGAGGGGAAGAGGATGGTAATGGCGAGTCCGGCTCTCAGGAAGAAGAGGATGAGGAGAAGGAGAAGGATGGAGACGAGGATGAGCACAGTGACCAGGATGAAGAAAGCGACGAGGAAAAGGAGGAGGGGAGCAGAGACGACAAGAGTGAAGACCGGGAGGAGGAAGAAGAAGAAGAAGAAGAAGAAGAAGAAGAGAACAAGACTGAAGACGATGCTGCTGATGTCAATGCTGCTGTCGCTGCTATGCCAGGAGACGAAGTCGAAGAAGGAAATATTACACTAACGACCGTCGACGATCATGACCACGACATCGACGGCGGCGAAGAGGAGGAGGAAGAAGACCCAGAGCAGCCCGAGCAGTTCAGATTCGTTCGATACGATGCTCTGGGCCGAAGAAATGCATGGGACTTCTCGAATATACCAACCATCCGGGACAGGAACACCGCTTTCTTGTTGCGACGAGCTCAACGAGCTTGTCGCCGTGGTCGGGAGTAGAATGCTGAAAATGGAATATGAAAATGTGCATTCTGCTAGACTATTTGCTGCCATAATTCATCTGTGAGGATGTACCTGGTTTCGTGTAGCCAGCGCAAGCCTCTTCAATCATACTGGCTATACCATGGTGACAGCACAGTGATGGGTAAGCAATTTTCTGTTAGATGCGGTCCGTCGTCCACGGACAGAAGCTTCTGGTGACACTGCTGCGTATGTGCCGTATAAGTAGTGGCAGCAGGCAGCGTTCTGGGCATACTTCTACAGACTCCCTACCAGGAGCAGGTCAAACTGATCAGACACCATTTCCGCAAAGCCATCCGTCAGAGGATGGCTGGACGTTGACTTGAAGGGAACCTGTCATTACCAACTCGACGTCTGTTCTTGCGGATGTGGAAAACTTCGTTGACGTGTACTCGCAGCATATCGAGTATATCACTGATCAAAAGGGAGGCCGTCTTAGGGACATCAAAGCCCAATGCAATACCCAAGGCTAAGGCCAGGATCAGCAACAAGATCGTGTTGGAAGCCAATGAACTGGGTCCGGTCCGCTCCTAGATACTATCAGTAGCGCTTATCCCTGTCAGCAAGTCTGACCTGAAGCGATCCCAATGAAGGCCGTTGAAGTTCGTACCAAATGTCCGATTCAGACTGTAAGTATTTGCTATTTGCTAAACGCTCATTCAACTCCGTAAAAAACCCCAAGAGCCGATCTGTTGGCTTGAACATTAAACATCATGATAACATGATATGAAACAAACCGCTGACATTGACATTGATATTTGCCTGAACGGAAAAGTGGACAGGGTATTCGATGGAAGTTGATCATGCATAAGTGTCGTGAAGAACAGAAAATTTCGTGGTAGAGGAGTATGTTCTGTGGTCATTCAGATATGAGATCGGATCTTGTTGTCGCTTGATCTCAATCATGGTCTTGGTGGTCGGATGAAGGGAGAGCGGACTATCAGAAGGCCGCATCAATGTTCCCGACAGACCAGTCATGTCTGGAAGCATAATATGTCGTCCATCTCTTCGAGTAATAATGTCAAAGCTCCCATGGTATATCCCCCTCCTCACACCTCACGCAGGTCAAATATCCCAACCCGCCGCCCAGACCGTCACTCAGACTGCGAAGGTCCAACTCGAGACAATTCCTCGTCAGCGGCTTGACGATGTCCCTAGCCACATTCTTGATCTCGTCGATCTTCCGTTCGAACCTGCGCAGATTCTCCCTCGTATACACCGCCGACGAAGACGGATGGCCTGGAGGCTGTATCTTGAGGAACCTCTTGATTTCGTCACGAGGCAGGAAAGACTCCGCATTCGACGACCCGATCATCCTGAATATCCGGCCTGTATTCACTGGCGGTGGCGGTGGAGGTAGGTGCGTCTGTGTACCACTTTGAGTTACAACCACTGGCATCCTGGAATTTGCGCTTCCGGGACTCGAGCCACCAGTCCCGGGATTGTTCTTCAATATCCCGCGGACTTCGGGCGTCGTGTTTTCCGCGAGCCATTGTCGCCAGAGACTCATGGCGAGCCAACCTAGGTAGTCATTGACAGGATTGACGCGCTCGCCTCTAGTGGTGGTAAGTGTTAATCTGAACAATTTCATTTCGATTCTGAGTTTCAGTCCTTCCAGCTCGTCGACCTTGTCCTCGATTAGGTCGATGACGGATTGTGGGACTTCGTAGCCGGCGCCTGTGTGGTCGGGATTCTTGATGTAGGGCAGTGCCGTGGGCCATTGTCCGACGACATGTGTCATGGCTTCGGAGAATATGATCCGACTGCGGGCGAGGTACCCGAGTTTGAGGTATGAAGGTGGGTATTTTGCGATTTGTTTGAAAAGGCGAGACGAGAAGCGGAGGAGGTGATGGTCGATTCGGGGTCCAACTACGGGGAGGGCGTCGTACATGTCTGCCAGGGCGAGGAGGGCTTTGCACTCTGAATAGGCGGAGGCAATGTTCGTCGAGTTCAGCACTGGCGAGTAATTGTAGAAGATCCGGAAGAGGTTGTCATAATCGCGCAGAAGCGGGTTCGTAAGAGCAGGGTCTTGGACGAGCGGTAATTGAGCGGCTGACTGTGAGGCTGCGCCGTGGTGAGAGGTTGCTAGATTGGCCATAGAGCGGAAGAAGGATGACCGTTGTGTAGGCTGCGGCCTCGGATATGACTCTGGCGGCGAAGGTGGTTGTGAAGGCGAATACCTCGCGCCTTCTGGCGTTTTCTGCACCAATATGGGCTCGTCTCCATCTTCGATATTCTCCCAGTCCAGTTCATACCTCCACCTCCGCCGTGGAGGTGACGCTGGTGCGGCTTGTAGTCCATGTTGCCTTGTTGCATGACCAGCTGCCGTGTTGACTTCTGATGCTTCTTCACCGATCGCACTCAATGCCTGCGTGGATTGCGCGGGTCGATGGCTGACGCCCTGGCCGCGCGACCATTCTTCACTTGTGCTCGCATCGAAGAATCCAGAGAACTGTGCCAATGTGAACCTGTGTAAGAGATATTTCTTTTCTTGTCCGTCGCATGCCACCACTAGTTCAACATCGCCGGACTGAGAGAAGAAGGGAAATTCGTTTAGTGGAGCATGTGTTGAGCCTCCGTTATGCGAACGCCCTCGGTGGTGGTGATGTCTCGGTCGGGACGTGCGCGAAGCCACAGAGGCCGGGCCTCGAGAGTGGTCTGCGACTTCGGCGCGTGAAACCATTGGGATTGTCGAGCTCCGTAGGCTTGTTTGCTGCAGACTTTGTGATTCAGGTCATCGTTCTCTTCATACCCAGTATGTGCAAGCAGTCTCGCGCCGACTGCCTGGGACAAATGTGACCATATAAATCGAGTCCACGGGTGTTCTCGAGCTTTGTCGCGTGGAATGAGTCGTCTCTTTGTCGCACGGGGCTCATGTCCTGCAGAAAGTTGCCCTTCTTTGCTGGTCCACGGCGGCGGGGCGCAGTTCGCGAAGTCGCAGAGGATGTTCCGCGATAGGCAGTTGTACTAGTGGGAGTTTTTGCCTTGGGCTTCGGCAATCAAAGAGTGAGGTGTTGCTTGACTTTGGTACGCGGCCATCACGACATTTCGTGCGACCATTTGCGGTCTTTCTTCTCACGTCCCATGATTTTCAAGGCACGGAAAAAGAGAATGGGCGTGTACGGCTGGGACGAGTACCGTGGGACGAGTGTGGCAATGAGATGCAGGCGTTGAAGCCGTTTTGGAGTTAGCTTAGACGCAGGTCCAAGTCATCTGAGCCACTCGTGAACGGCGCTGAACCAAGGCAAAGAGGTCGACATGGGTATTCCCAGGCGTAACTGTCTTGTCATTCGTGGCATCATAGGGACGCTACCAAGCAAATTACGGGCACTGCAAATGATCAGAACCAGTGATCCCATAAAAATGATCTACCCTTATGGAACCCTACAAGCACGAGTCTCCGCTTAGGTCAGGCTATAGCCCGTCATAAAGCGACAAGCATTTCTACCTTTGTCGACATCGGCCTTATCATTGTGCTGTTTCCCATCACTGCCATACATACCTAGGTAGCTTGACTCTCCCTTCGAATGTGCCATGTGGCTCCCAGTGCCTCTTGTGCGCGAACGGACTTTGCTCAGATCCCCTTCGCCAGCGCTCTTCGTCTACCCCAACGTCAGCCATACTTCCACCGACAAGTACAATCGTGACTTACTGGTCCCTTCTGTCCCACCACCACAATGCGACGGTAGTAAGTGCAAATAGAACGATATTGACTTGGGCAAAGATGTACCCTTTCGCATATCTTGGAGCTTCCTTTGTCGCCCATACCAATAGCGGTATCCTAGAATAGTCAGTATCTCTAGCTGTCGAAGGAATTGGCACATACCATGCACTAAATGCATTGGAAATCGCCAACATAGAGCCAATGACAAATGCTCTTTCTTCGGCATCTTCACGACATATCTCGTTGGCCCAAGAATACACCAGTGGCGACACGGCGACTTGACCATATCCGGTACTCAAGGCAGCCCATTTGTAGGCGGTCGGAGACTTCGATATGACAAAAGCAAACTGCATCACAAATTGAAACAGGCATTGCCCAACAATGATCGGCATGCGCGTCTGCAAAGCATCCGACAGGAATGAATAGAACCAGACAAAGAAGATCCCGACGCCAGGATTGACCGTGCTGAGGAGGTTCACCTCGGAGGTGTCGTACTGTTTCAGACTCTTGATCCAAAGCGTGTATGCTCCATTCGATGAGGCAGCATTACTCCACCCCCAAGGGAGCTGGAAGAGAACCAAGGCCCAGAAATGCCAACGACCGAAAAAGCGTCTTATGGTATTCCAGCCACTAAATCCGGTCGGTGGCTTGCCTCCAATTCTTGCCATCCGCAGACGAGCCAGCTCCTTCTCCTCTTTAGTCAGGAACCAAGTTTTTGTCTTGTCTGGCGTGCTTGGGAAGAATATGAATCCAATAAAGGCAATGGGAATGGTGGCCACAGAACACACAATGAACAGCCAACGCCATCCGGCAAGGCCATGCACCCCGTCGAGATGAAGCACCACGCCACTTGCCATGAACCCAGTGCTCATCAACCCTACGCCGGTAGAGAGATAGAATATGCCAGCCCTTCGACCGAGTTCATCGGAGCGGTACCATGAACCTAGCACATAGTGGATTGACGTGAAGTAGACGCTCTCAAATGCGCCCACCATGAAGCGGTATGCAGCCAGCTCGCCAAATGAAGTGACGCGATACTGTAGGAGAGTGAAGATGCCCCACATAAGATCGCAAGCAGGTATAACAAATCGGTACTTTGCAGCCATGAGAGTAAGTGGAATCATGAAAACTGTGTATGCGACAGTATAGATCGTCTGGAGTTGCACGAGCTGATTGCCATTGAACCCAAGGTCTTCCTTCATTCCAGATACATAAGCATTGGTCAAATTTCCGTTGTCAATGTATTTCGCCCAGAACCCAAGGAAGGCGTATGTGAGAATCAAAATATCCATCTTGACGAGTAACTTCCTCTCGGTAGGACTGTCCGTGTCCGCATACCACTGATACCATCGCCGCTTGACTCTGCCTCGGCCCGCCACATAGGCGGCACGGTTTTCGGTGTGGTGCTCCTGATCAGAGTCATTGGCTTCGGCAAGGGACGTATGTAGTGTCTCACTCTTCGTTGGAATAGCTGCCACGGCCGTTCCGGCAGGTTCAAGAGTAATAGAAGACATGATTGCTTCCTTGTGTCGAAAGTTCCTACTTACCTGGACAAGGGAGCAAAGCCGATCGTTAAATACATCTGGAAAAGCAGCGCCGAGCGTTTTAGTACCGTTGATGCCATAACTTCATCGATGGCGTATAAACTCGTACTCGTCGCATTGGCAATGATTGGCCATACATCGCTTTCATCATGGCAGGAAAGAGACATGTCCTAACCCTCTGGGTTTACTTACTCGCTTGGATGGCAGATTCACTTACCTTTATCGTGGCTAGTAAGGAAACAGAGTTCGAGAGGACTACACATGCTCCTTCATGTTGGTGAACAAAGTCGTGGACGGTTCGTAGTGTCAGAAGGCATCATCTCCCATGCATGCACATGGTGCCGAAAGCCGGTTCGTATGATGAATGCGCAAGATCTTTGGAAAGCTCGCGATGTTGAAGGGCCGTAAAAAGCCCTTTCCGATTTCCTTAGCGAGCATTGTCGTCGGTAGTCCTCAAATGTCCAACTCGTGGCTCGTAGAACGTGACAGTGGCACAGTGACAGACAGAATGCTCGAATTCTCGCTCAAGGGATTTTCAACTAAATGGTAAGTTATGCTGGACCAAAGGACTATCAGAAGAGTGGTGAATCAAGGTTGACGCCGAAAGAAAGAAGGGGTGGTGTACGTTCGGCAAGCTGGCCCGAGTCGTGCTGCCGGCGCTACTATGCACTTAACTTATTTCCATGACAGTGTACTTACTTAGATGCCGCTTATTATCAGCCTGTGGTTTATGCTCATTGACTGCCTAAGGAGCCTGCTCGAGTGCATCCATCAGCCACAACTACAGTACATGTGGGTTGAGCTACCATAACCAATATATCCTTTCTACTGTAGATGGCCACAACAGAGCCACAACAGAGCCACGCATTCCGGTATCTACTTCGAGTTGACCGTTATCGTCATTGCTCCTTCTCCGACTATTCGCCTTTGCTGACCGTCCTGACATTCACAACCGCAACGCTATGCTAAAACTTGGTTCAAGAAGTAAAAGTCCAAACGAAAAGACAATGAGCGTGACAATACGCATCTCTTTCTACCACGCATGCTTGTTTTAGAAGACAGCAGTCAATCCGCTCTTTGATTGACGCTTACTGAACCGCTTCCTTCCCTTGAGTGATTCTGCATCGCCTCCGGAATTTTGTTTGTGCAGAATTGCTCGACCAGAATGACCATGGCTTGCGGAGTGCGGACTCAGGTCGGTAGCTTGGTCAAGAGTACTGGCATGACTCGACAATCCCGAAGAGGATAAATTGAGGGAATCGTCCGCCGAGTAGTTGTTGCTCGAAGTTTGTAACGAGATGGCAATCTCACGAGCCCGGACCAGAGCATCCAGCCATTCTTGTGCCGAGACAGCGGTCGCCATTGGATCGTTCGAGGGAGGCTTAGGATCTTCGAAGACGAAGTTTCTGTCTCTCTGCTGCAACGTCAGTACCATCTTAATGCAGAAGTTTTCATGAGGAGTACACTCACGGTATTGACGATCCACTGCGTCACCCCCTTAGGATCCGTAGCACTCGAGAACTCGGTCCCAGGTGATAGCAACGAGATCTCTTGTTTTGACTTTTTCTCCTCGCCTCCAGCAGCAGCAATGATGATTCGAGCACTAGACGTAATCATGACAAGTCTTTGTCGCTTTTTGTTGTCTCTCCCACCACCAAAGAACCTTGAGAATTTCCCTCCACCCTCGTTGCCGTGCGGACTGTGAGGATTGGACGACACGACTAAAAGGTTTCCCAATTTGAGTATTCGTTCGTTGTTTCTCGTAAGCACTGGAGACCACTCAATATCAAGCTGACTTGGTGGCGGTAGCTCTGTTATAACCCTCGGTTGAGGTTTCTGGTTATTGGGAGGAAGCATTGTGGAGTGTGTGCTGTGAGCAGGCCCAATATCTGGCGGGTAACTGCTTTGAGCACTGCTTCCGTTAAGTTTGATGCGCGGTTGAGCTGGGGGGACATAAGCATTCAAGCGAGGTGCTTTCTGTTGCCACAGTCCGCGTCCCCATTGAATGCCAGTGAAGAAGGGATGGTTTTTAGCATGCTCAAGAGAGAGCCGCCTTTGTGGTTCCAGGACGAGTAAGCGCTCCACGAGGTCGCGGGCATGATCTGGGAATCCTCGGGGGAATTCGTAGTCGAGGTTAACGATCTTCTGAAAGGTCTGGTAGTCGTTGGTGGCCTTGAATGGTGGTCTCCCAGCCAGAAGTTGGTATACAATACAGCCAAACGCCCAGAGATCACTGGCTTTGCACGCATTCTTGTCTGTCAATAATTCCGGGCTCACATACTCGGCGGTCCCAACAAAGGAGTTTGCTCGGTGCTCCGAGGTAGTCGAGTCTGGTTCAAATTCAACTCTCCCGTGCGCATCCTTCCTCTCCGGCAAGAGTTTGGCGGTCCCGAAGTCTGTCACTTTGATGTATCTGTTCTCATCCAGTAGCAGGTTTTCGGGCTTCAAGTCCCGGTGTATAACTCCACGGCTATGCATGTATTCAATCGTGTCGAGTATTTGGGCACCATAGAACCGGGTGCATTCTTCGTCGAATGTGGACATGCGCTTCAGAACTCCAAGCAGCTCACCTCCAGCACAGAGGTCCAGAACGAAGTAAAGTGACCTTTCGTCTTGGAAAGTGTAGTATAATCGGACCACGCCCGGGTGATCAGTCAGCCGGTTGAGAGTATCTCTCTCTATATTGACGTACTTGACCTTTTTCTCTTTGATGATGTGTCTCTTGTCCAGCACTTTGATGGCATAATCTTTCCCATTCGAACGATCCTGGCCCGCAAGCACCGTGCTGTAAGATCCTTCCCCCAGGGTTCGACCAAAGTTGAAATCTTTCACGCCCTTCTTGACCGGTTTCAAGACCTGCCGACCCTCTGCATCATATTCCTTTTTGACTCCTACAGCAGCACCACGTTCCTGCCAATCATCTGCGCTCGTCAACGGGCGATCCTCGAGATTGTACGGGGAGCTAGATAGAGGCGTTGATATCGATTTCGGGGTTGTAGATAATACTGTGTTCCCAGTTGGCGTAGTGCCCAAACGCCCAGAAGCTACGCCACGAGATGTTTTCCGCGGAGGGAGAGGTCCATTTCCCGGCGTATACTGTCCTTGGCCGTATGCTCGCTCAGTGTGTGCATCGTCTCTTGACGGAACCCCGGCGACCTCTCCTACTCCCATTCGCTTCGACGACGTTCGCTGAGGGAACGCGGAAGGCTCAGAACCATCGCTTCGGACTCTATATGACCCTTGTCTAGAGACTCCATTACCTGTGGCGCCATTGACAGGCACCTGTGTGTAGTATGCAGACCCAGGACGATTCGCCGAAATCATGGCTGGTTGCTGAGAGAATTGGGCCTGTTGTTGTTCTTGATATGTAGGAGGAATATTCGGTCGCTGCGTGGATCGCTCGGGCGGATGATTGTTTTGGGTGTACGTTGTAGGAGCATGTGCCGACGCTACGGAGGATGGCAGTCCTGTGGTTGAAGATCGTGGAATGCTTTCTGCCGGGGTTCCCAATGGGGAGACTGGACTGTCCGAACGTTGAGGCGCAGCGGAGAGGTAGTCAGTCCTCCCATCAGGGTCGTACAAAGGCGATATGTTTGGGAAAGATTGGGGAGGCGCATGAAGCTGTAAAGGAGTGTCGGGAGAGGCATCATCTGGATTGGCGATCCTTAAGGGACCAAGTGAAAGATCAGCCATAATTATTGTCCAGGTTTGAGACTCGTGGACGAGGGTGGCTTGGAGGATGTTGTCCGATGACGTTCCCCCGCGGTATCTCTTGTGGGTGTCGTATGAGGTGTTGCGTTTACAGAAGTATGGTTCGTGTCTTCATCGCTGCGGCCTCAGTCCAGCAGTGTACTTAATTTTGGGTAATCGAGTGCCTCATTCAGTGAACGTCGAAGGGAGGGTGAGGACCGAGGCGAAGTCGCAACTGTTTCAGAATCTCTTAGGGTCTTTGCCGGCAGAGAGAAGGTCTGTCGGCGATTGATCAAGGGAAGGTAGACGTCAGCAACAGTGTAGGTGTACGACTGAACGAGGGTAGCGAGCGTGAGGACTAGTCCAGGTAGTAAGATAAACAGTATGTGTAGGTTGAAAAAAGTGTTGTGGTTGTGTGGCGTTGCGTGAGTAGAGAAGAGGATGCGGGTGCGTTTTTGGTGGTGATGGGGGATTCGGAGTTGCGGTTCTGGTCCGTCAGATGTCGCTATCCTCGGTGCCTATACTTTACTTAGTAAGTGTCCTCTACTGAACCTCTTCAGCGGCGCAGTCGTCAGGCTGGCGCAGCTGTTTCTCGTCTACCTAAACACCGTCCTCTCGCTTCTTACAAGTCGCCTCGCAAGTTCAAGCCACCTACATAGCATGCCGATTGGCGATGATCTGGTATTATGCTTGAACCATTCCTCTTCCGACGTCTAGGCTGTAGGAGGATTCTAACGCAGATTAAACCCAAGATTGCTGTGGAGTTGAACAGATACCTTGCACAGATGGTCCACACAGAAATAACATCCTCCACCATCTTCTCCAGTTTTTGTTCTAAATCCCTGTCGAATATACGTCGCCGCCGCGGCATCGTCCGATGAATGCTTTTGCGATAGAAAAGACTTCAGAATCAATATGACCAGGTAAGTTGGTCGATGATATGGGCAGACGGAGCATTTCAATGCCATCGCACCTGCTCTATTGAAGCTGGGGAAAGTACGATCCATGGTTCATCAGGTGAGAGCGCACATGAAGGCTCATGGCTTCATTCATACTCCGTCAATTCAAGGACTGTGCAGCAGCGAAAGACCACCTCATATTTCTCTCATGTTCACGAGATGATTCGTTTACCACCCACCAGTATTTCCCTGTCCGAGGGTGATGTAGAGTTCCACCTGGGACAGGCTCAAACTTACTATGGCTTACTGAAGCAGGGATACAAGAAGCATGATGTCGCTCGCTATCTTGATGACTATCGAGAGGCCGCTATAGATCTTACTGCCCAGAGCTCCATTGGCTTCAGGCCAGTCCCAAGCACCTTTGACCTGGCTTGTCGTCAGGTCATCAAAGGCTCAGAGCATGTTGATGAGGCGACACAACACTCTAATCAGTTTACTGACCAGGCATCAAATTCAGAGTCGACTCAACCATCCGCTTCCTCTTTGAACCCCATTGCAAGGTCATTCTCTGAGGACTATGGCACCATCGTACAGCAAGAGCCTTCCGAGACCGAAGACGTCGATGACCAAGAGTCTGTTTCCCCCGTACCTTTCATTCCGCAGATTCAACTCGCCAGGCATGCTCCGCGTAAAAGCTCGTTGCTCCGCTTCGCAGAGGCAGCTTCACCAGAACGCAAATCAGAACAGACACCGGCGAGTCTCTCCGTCACGCGTAATGGCATCAAGAGTTACAGGCGTCGCAGTCTCACCTACCCCTACCGATCCTCGGAAGTGGACGCACAGGCACTCATCTCAACCTCTCAAGAATCGCTTGTTGAACAACTTGACCGGATGTCCGTTCGACAGACAAGCACACAGAGTGAGCCTAACATGGAAGACTTGGATAGCATGCCGTTTGAACTGCCACCTGCCTTGTCTTCTACGTCGACTTCCTGGTCATTTTATGACGACTTGGTGCCACGGCCACGGTCAGACGACCAGGACACTGGCGGTGGTCAAACAGCTCGACGAAGCAGCAGTCTACTTGGACATGCCAGGCCAGCCGTATATCTTCCGAGTTCACCTCCTTATGCCGCCTCACCTGTTGACAACCCATCCCAGGAGGATCCTACCACAACCTCGCCTGATTTGCCGACCACTCCAACTCCGATTCGAAACGCAATGACCTATGCGCGCACCGAGCCAAGACATCACAGGCACCACTATTTGGATGGCGGTTCGTTCTCTGTATACAATGATTCGCTGCCTGCAAGCTCTCAACCACAGACGCCGGCTGATCTGTCCAGAGGCCGCTTAGTCGCCCAAAACGATGCCGCCTACACAGCGCCACCAGGAATGGTTCGTGCCGGATCGGCCTCGGTCTCGAACCAAGATGGGAACAGGTGGGATGGCAATGTGGGAGAACAGAGCCCTACTGTGCGGGCCATCAATCTACGTGAGCGGCGGAATCGAGAACTGCAAAGAAGTGTAAGAGCAGAAGGCGTCAGGCTGCAAAGACTGAGGATGCGGGATGAAGCTCTGTTCACACAAGGTACTGCCGCAGCAAATCCACCTGCTCGCGGCATCGGAACAGGGGAAGGAGCGCCAGGGGAGATGTTGCAAGATATATGGAGGGATGACCTTGACGCGGACCGGGTTGGAGAAGAAAACTTTGAGCCAGAACTCGATGTCACTCGACCAAGGACGATGCGGGTGGTCAGTGGAAATGCGAGGTTCGAAGGCTGGGAAGGTGGACCGGATAGGTAGGGTAGAAGACGAAAGGGGTCGCTGTTGTGCTGCGTGCATGCTCAAGACTGCAGGGTTTGCTCCAGGTTCGCTACTCGAACATCATCCGTATGTGACTCATGCTAGCACTGTCTACTTACTGTGGCCATAGATAGAATTGAGCATTTGCTTAAACACCTGTCCGGGAATTCTCAAGGCGAGTTGCACAGCAATGTTTGAGACTCTCTTCCGACAGTAAGGATGCCTCCGTGGCTGATAGGCTCCGCCTGTGACCATTATCGACTGGGCGATTGTCACGTCAGGTCTGTCCGGCAAGTCTCCGTGTCAGTGACTTGGAGTGCAAGCGCGTCGAAGTGTCTTCCCAGCTTCAAGATACGCAGCAAGCAAAATAGTCTGTGTTCCACATGATTATTGCGTTCATGGTTTTGGAAGTCAAGAAGGTGGACGCCAGACGCCGGAGTCAAGTACATATATAGTATAAACGTTCCACCCATGCTGAACCTCTTGGTCGTGCTACTGCTATATCCTAGGACACCTTACTCTGCAATCCGACCTTGACCATGACACCTGAGAGCCAAGTGCGGCTTCTTCCGCAGATTGCGACCACCAGTGACATTTCATGGTCTACAGTGACTGTATGCGCCCATTGATAAGATTGTTACAGTACGTGCCCGGTGACCGTGACTGTGACTGTTGGGCCCGGCGTCTCTCCGGACAACACAACACCAACGCGATGGCATTGGCAGAGCCTGACAGGCTCCCTGCTCAAACTCCGGCGCGGCGTGACATACCATACTAGTATCCCAATCTGAGATTTGCACGCCATCTCGCTTCGCTTCGCTTCTGTCCTGGGATGCGCGATGTAGCCGTACGATCGATGACCCTGACTAGGCGTCGAGACCCATGCTGGTGCACCCTCGTGTCCGTCATGCAGTTGTGCTAATAGCCTGTTGACGTGCAGCAAGCAAGCAAGCTCGGATCGATCGGAGCAAGCTCTAAGCTTCAAAAGCCGTAATTTTCGATCAGCCTTGCAGGATGCAGATCGGTCTGGCACCCGAGATCTGGGGTATAATTAATTTAGATGGTGTGCCCCAGCTCATCCGTGACCATCTCCCCACACATCATATCTCATTGTAATCGTTGAGTCGTATCTTCGTAAGCGCAAATGTATGTTAGACGCTATTGCGCACCCATTTCTGGGCCTGGTTCCGCTCGTCTCCTGCCTCGAGCATACTGTCAAACGCATTGACGCCGACCGGTTTCCCCAGTTCCTTCCTCCACGACTCGCCGTAGATTATGATAAGCAGCATCGGCACAAAAGCCAAGCCTCCACCGATGAGTGCAAACATGAGGAACGTCCATTGATACCCGATATGGTTTGCGAGGTTAACTGCATAGAAGGCGAACGTCATGCCGATTTCCTGACGGATGAAGTTGAACAATTGAGCGACTTCACCACTTTCCGTCCTGTAACAGTCGGTGGCATATGTATACGTTGTCGTCGTGATGATCTGCAGACCAAAGCATGCAATGCCCATGCCGAGGATGGGTGCGATCCAGGCAGTGTGGTATTGCAAACAAAAGCCATAGATGAGAAGCCCGGTAGGAACAATCACTTCTCCTGCCCAGATCGCTCGAAGGCGGATCTCTGGTTCCGGATCACGGCCGAGACGTCGTCGTTCTCGTATCACGATGGTGTCGACGACCCAGCCTGAGACGCATTCGCCGAGGATGCTTCCGATTGTTAGTGAGCCTCCGTAAGCGAGTCCAATGGTCAGCGTGTTCCAGTGGAAGAACTCCGTGAAGATCGATGCAACCGTAACGGCTGGAAGGATGGAGGCGAACCCGTATATAGTACCATAATATAGTGCTGGGAAGGTCACGGATGGATATTTGGCCATCTTCAATGCTGGAAGTACGAACTGATTTGGCCGAAGCTTGAGTTGGGGAAAGTGTGAATATAGCCGTAGAGACGAGAAGTAGATGGCTTTGTTGAATTTGGGTTTGGGTGCTTTCTCACTCGTGGGTCCCGTCGCGCTGGGATTGGAAGGAGATTGCGCCGCTTGTCTGATGTAGAGTGTTTCTGGGAGGCAGAAGAAGGCCACTACCAACATGAAGGCGTCGACGATGGCAACGAACTTGAATATCCAACGCCACCCACAGTACTGCCCTAGGAGACCGCCGACAATGGGTGCTATATGGCTTCCGGTTGTCATCAAGACGGTGAAGAAGCCCATGGCTCTGCCACGCTGTTCGTAATAGAATAGGTCTGTTATGGTGGATGCTCCCAAGGCAAAGGCCACGGGGAAGAGACCATTGAATACTCTTGCGACAATGAGTTGAGCGAAAGTCTGAGTGTACGCACAGCCTAGGGCGGACGCAAAACCCAAGAAGGTGGTAGCTAGGTAGACAGGACGGCGTCCGTATTTGTTGGACAGCGGAATCCATAGCCATGGTGCGGCGCCATTGAGTGCGATGCAGACAGTCCTTTGAGGGAATCAATAAGTGGACTGCGGGTGTCTGCAGGGGTGCGGACTTACGTCTGGTATGAGGCTCTGACCTTGTTGATACCGAAGTCTCTGGCAAGGAGCCCATATGCGGGGTTAATGGCAGCTGTATTGAGGCCGCCAAGTGCAGCAAGAATGGACGTCTGGATAAGAATGACAATCTAGTAAAGTCAGTATGTTGATCTTGTGATGTTCGTTCCATACTTGCCTTGAGCCATAAAGGCCAATTCATTGGGTCGCCTGGATCAACATCAGATACTGGCCCTGAATGCTCGCTCTTTTGCTCATGACTTCGTGGCATTGTGTCCTTGTGGTTTTGGATTTTCATCTCGTCTTCAACCCACATTCCAGCATCACTATCAGTTTTCTTCGCAGCATTTGGTGCGCTCATGCTTGAACGTCGCTAGTGAGACGAAGCAAGCCAGATCTGGAGAGAACGGGAGCAAGACGGCCGCAAGGATATGCGCAATGTTATCACACCACCAGCACTGATCAAGAGCATTGTTGGTCGCCGTCGACCATCAAAAGGTGATGGCCTTCTCCGCTCTTCGAGGCTTGCACTAGCGTTGCTCAAGAGCCGTGTCGAATACAGGCGTGACGCATTTCGGGTAACAAGCCAGGCGAAGGAGCGACCAACGATGAATTATTGTGCGTGCGTGTCCTGCAGCGTGCATGTCTACTGAGTCTAGGCAAGCGTTAACGTGCCAGCATGACGATTATGGCGGGGGCTCACTAGGCTAGAAAAGTCAGTCTGGGGGGAAAGTCTCGCTCCCGGGACATTTTTGGAGACGATGGGAGGTGCCGTAGCCGCAAGGATGTGCAGACGGAGGAAAACAACGGTGTAGAAGGAAGCAAGGGTCTATCCTCACCTTGTGCTGACTTTTTGCAGGGGCATCAGCACGCGCAGACACCAGAGAACCATGACCGTAGCATGAACAGGAACAAGAGGAGTACCTGCATACCACCGTCAGGACTGTGTTGCTCAAAGGTCTCTAGGCTTTCGGGTAGCCTAAAAAGGGTACAGTATGCACCGTAAAACAATGATTAGCCGGTCGCACAGCCACAATGCACGGGCGGTCACTAGATGTTGCTGGGGTGAATACTGTAGGTATCGAAGCCTGAAAACCATCAGCTAGTGATGCCAAAAGGTACTCCCAAGTGCTTTGTGGGCACCACTTCAATATCTGCGCGTGGCCGGCGTTCATCCGGCATTATCTTGTACCATCCCCCGAGGTATCTAGCCGGCCACTCCCCGTCCAGCTTGATTGATTAAATCCTGGGTGTGGGAGATCATGCTTGGAACAACAGCGTCTTCACATGCACGGTAATGAATGTCAGTTCTGTGCGGCTTGACGTTATTGCCTAGAGCAAGCCTTCTCAACCAGGTGGTCTTTGGTCCACGAGACATGGAAAGCCATTCACAATGTGATCTAGCGCCAGGAACCGGCGAAGACCAGACGCCGGGTTTTTTTAACCCAGCCCGACTTTATTTGGCCGTCGACTGACACAACCTATGACCAGGTAGGTAAAACTGGATGTTGATGGCTTACATGTCATGGCCCATCCTGACAATGCAAAAGATCTGGGTAAAAGAGTAACTCGTTGATTCTAACGTTAGCATATGATACAGGACTCTAGAATGAGGTGGAGACATGCCCATGAAGCCGGAACCGTCATCCCGGCGATTGATTTCGGCCCCTGGCCGTCCGGAAGGAGCTGGAAGCCGAGATGCTTGTTCCGTGTAGGGTTTATAGGACAGGGCTAGGAGAGCGAATGCTCTGCTTTATTGATGATCACCTACCAGAGCATCTGATAACACCAAAACGGCTTGCGGAATCCAATCTCTTACCATTTGATATGGTTGGCCACAGATGTGCTGTAGCCATATAAAGAATGCCCTAAAAGTTCCTGTGCATAGACTTGGACTGTCATGCGATCAAAGTTCGAAGAGTACGTACATGAGAAACATATGGTCGACTCCGTCAATCTGTGCTGGATGGTGCCTGCTACCTAATGAGGCAGGTAGAGTGACTTTCGAGGCGGTGCAGGGACTTTAGAGTCCTTACTGCATGCTATTCCATATGAAGGCAGTCAGACCGCTTCATTGCATAATTTGGAAGCACAGGTTGATACATCCGACGCAAGGCTGAGCACACGACGCCAGCACTTTTGCGCTAGAGAATCTTGCATACATGCTTGACCAGACCCGATGGGTCATACATGTTGCACATGCAAGGTATGTCAGTGTCGAATTTCGAGTGCGTATCTACTACCTTCCGACCTTGCTGTCTACTTCCGACGTCAGCAGATGAGGAGGTCTGCGTGCACGCACGGCGAAGGACCCTCGATACAGAAGTAGGGCCGGTGTCGGGGTGGTCCGGCACGCCTGTTGATGGGGGCCGCTCATCTTTGTTATGCAGAGCATTTTCTTACATTACAACGCAAGGCTGACACGAGGTCTGGTGTAGGCGCAGGCCGAAGACCATCGTTCTGTCAAGGTTGGTCTTGAAAGTATGTCCGACAGCATGTTTCAGCAACGAGTCAGTCAGCAGACGAGGCTGATGCAGGTAAATAGTTTTGCCTATCCCCAGTAGCGAGTGGTCAAGCGTCGAATCAGGAAAAGACTCTCCCGACGTGAAAGTGTAGGATGACTAGGATTCTCCAGATGTTGGAACGCCATGGTACGAACCTTGCAAAAAACTGGGGACATTTGCACGACCTTTGGGTGCACTGTGGATTCCCTCGTGGCATTTAAGGATGGTGCTATGCAATCTTGACGCGTTTGGGGACCACCCGCCTGGTGCGAGCGTCCGACAAAGTGCTGACAGTGCTATACTGGGAAGAAAGAGTGAGAATGATGATTTGCTAGAAGCTCGTATTCGTTCCTTGATAGCAGGAGATCGGTAGGCATGGTATGCGGTTCCGCCTGCACTATGCCATAGCAGCCAAACCTGCATTCGGTTAACCAGCAAATGCCTCAATTTGGTCAGACATTACTGCTTCACAATGCTGGATTGCAGTGAAGAGGACCCCTGAGTGGAAGGGAGTGTTCGCACTTCTCAGCATCCTCTGATCGAATGCCATGGCAGGAGGGCTTTTGCTGACGCTGTCCAGGTGGAATTGATGCTTTGTTCGCTTTGTGATTTCATCGCGATCAGCGATATCATCGAGCAAAGGCTACTTACTCAAAGGTCAAATCATTGCGTTAATGAGTAATGGTCAAGTGCGAGGAAGGGCGTACTTACGACTAACCAGGGTCTCCACAACCGCTGTTGGAGCCGTACATGCCCGTGTGCCCCGGAGAGTCTTGGGGACCACCTGCCCTTTACGACATGGAAGACGCTGCCCACGTCGTGTTAGCTGTTTACCTCATTGATGCCTAATCTCTATGAGGTTAATCACGTCGACTTAAGCATCATCTAACGGCTACGATCTCGATGCTAGGCTATGCTGGCTATGCTCTCGAGGGCGCCTCTGACCGGCAATGGCCTCGCTGATTACCGTATAACTTCCTCGAAAACTGCTCCTGACAACAAAACGGGGTTTCGCCCGGTCAATCGAAGAAGTCGACAATTCTTCTGTGGGCTTTAGACATTTCGGCTTCCTTTGACGTTTTCGCAAACCTTTCCCTTTCGACCTTTTCGACCCTTTCGACCTTTTCGACCCTTTCGACCCTACGACCTTATGCTGACTGGCTGGACACCTTCTACCTGACTCGTTCTGGCGTTTCTGCCTTCACCCCTCCTCGTCCGTGACTCCCAAGGGCTAGTATGTTTTCCCCAGCATGCTATTTCCGTACCATGTCAAGAGCGACTTGATGAGGTTAGCTGCCTTCGCATCCTCACCCCACCCACTACCGGCTATCGCACATCTGCATGCCGTTTTGTAAGTTGCCAATTGATCTTGGTCCACGCAATGCTTCTGCTCAGCCCACCTGGCCTTGTGCCTGTCGGATGACAACCCATGCTTGTTTCGATGCAGGGGTCTTAAGCTCCGCTGACATATCTCCAACTCGAGCAGTCTGTGAGGAGAAAATCTAGCATATGCCTCCTCGTGCCTACAAGGCTCGACCGTCATAATTACAAGGCCAATATCCAGACTCTGAAATCTACCATCTCGAGCTACAAGTCCATTCCATCAAGATGCCCGTCGAGTACGAGACCAAACCCAAGTCGAAGCATCGGAAATCCACTTGTGGTGGCTGTCGTCGCAGGAAGGTATGTCATTGATTGCCCGCACATGCTCCTCACCTTTCGTCCGACACTGCAAATCTATGACCGTCATACTTGTCGCGCAAGCGGTTCTGATCAGCGAACAGTCAAAATGCGATGGGAAAACACCAAAATGTACAACGTTAGTACCCGAGAGTCAAGATCACATGCAAATTCGCCATTTTAACATCTTCCAGATGCATAGCATATAAAGACGAATGTCACTATGACAAGCCGCCATCCCTCGCCTACGTACGGTCGCTTGAAGAGGAGATTCAAGAACTAAAAACTCAATTACGACAAGCCAAAACACAAGCTTGGCTCACAAGGGTAGGAACAAGTCCGCGTCTATACTTCAGAGATTTGCCTGACCATCGGCTCCTTGGCCACTTCCCAGGATGAGAAGAAGCTGCCAGCAAATTCGCCTGCAAGCGAAACCGCTCTTTCACAAGGATCAAATAGCATTGCCCAACGCAATCGCCAAGTCAAATGGGATACAGATATCAGTATGGACGAAAGCGGCAGTATAGCCTTCCACAATTCCACATCCCCTATTTACGAACCTCCTTCTTCACAGCGCCAGCGGTCCCCCGTCCATATCGCGCAGGTGAACGTCAGTGGAACTGTGCAGGACGACCAACGTGCGAGAAGAGATCTCATCTTGAACGCCAACCACCAGAGACAGATTGAGCCTTTCGCGATTGCCAACGGAGCCGCCAAAGCAAATGTCTCGAAGGAAATCTCGCAAGAGATGCTCAAATACCACTGGTGCTGGCAGCACCCTTTGTTCCTCATCGTATATCGACCTGCATTCACTCGAGGTATGGCCATGGTCGATCTGAATACCCCAGGGGCACAAGATCCACCTTATTTCTCAGAAACTCTGCTAAAGGTAGATTCGGGCTGGAAAAGACTTCGATCGTCGCTGACGGTTTACAGGTCATAAACGCTCATTGCGCGAGATTTCTCAATCACGACGTGTACCAAGATCAATATCAGAGCGTTCTAAGCCATCAAAGCTCCGTCAGCGCGTCCATGACAGCCACAGATTTCATGCAACGAATGACCGAGGAAGCCCGATTCGGCCTGAGCATGGACATGCTGAAGAAGAGTTCCATCACTACAATTCAAGCCTGCTTGCAACAGTCGGCACGGGAGGTTTTGTTCGGGAATTCGTCTCAAGCTTGGACATTTGCAGGTGTTGCTTTTCGAATGGCTCTAGATATGGGGATTCACCTGCCCACCGACAAACTTCAGTCCTTCGTAAAGAGTCTGACAGCCGAAGACATTGAAGTTCGCAAACGTCTTTTCTGGAGTTGTTACACCTGGGATAAAATTCTGTCTCTATATTTAGGACGGATGCCTGGCTTTACTCCAAATACCGATGAAGTGCCTCTAACCTTCATGGACGACTACAGCGACAGCGATCTGTGGTCACCGTACTATGGAGAAACTCCTAGGCCTCAAGTCGCAAACGCCCCAAATTATCCCCCTTGTCCTGGCTATGTTGTATCGTGCTTTCGACAACTCTGCAGATTATGTGCCATATTGAACGATGTGATGCACAACATTTACTCTCCTGAAGCAGCTGCCAGACGTGAAATGGAGGACGAAGAACACTCGGCAGAAACCAAGGCAGCTAATGAGATCCCTTTCGCACAGATATCACGAGACCTGCGCGACTGGCTGATATCCTTACCTGCTCACCTGAGGATAAATCCAGATCAAATGCCGGCACTGGCGCCTCCAGTCCACATAATGTCGCTGAACCTCCTATATCACACGACTGTGATTCTCTTGCACAGACCTGTGGTACTCGGAGCACGCGATATGAATGCTCCGGGACCGGCACGGTCATACAAGATGTGTATTTCAGCAACAGCAGCAATTCATGATCTGATTATGCTGCAAGCTAATACATTTGGGCTGTCGCATGTATCATATCTCAACGCGTACAGCGTGTACATCGCAGCCACGATTGCCGTTCTACGGTTTGAGCGAGAGTGTCAACCAGGAGACGATCCCGCCGTGGCTGCGCAGAAGAACGGTTTGATCTTCTTGTTGGACGTTTTACAAAAGACCTCGAACGCGGTGCCGGCACTTGAACGAAGTAACGCCATCATCACGAAAAGAATGAAAGCGGTCTTGGAACGGCACAAGGCACAAGCAAGACATAGCTACTCGAATGGATCGACACCACCGAAATTCAACATTCCAACACTTACCAGCCATCAGCTGGATCTAGCACAACCTACCGCCTTCCAAGCACTCTCCAACGCAGCTCTCGGACATGCAAGCTATTCTGGACCAGACACTCCTGGTTCTTTCGTTGCTCCAATGCAATGGACGTCGGGGATCAGGAGCAGTCTTTACACCGAGTCTTCACACATAGTTGACGATTTCTTGCCGGCATTCCCAGGCCAACAATTTCCCATAGGGTCCGAACACAGCTTTGGAAGCAACGAGGTCGATCCCCACGCTAGAACTGCCTTACTTGGATACAACCTGGATCCTCATCCGAGACTGAACTCTGGAGATATTGACTGGAATTTCATGGATACTTTCGAGAACAGTTCGGTCCATATGTGAAACTGATTTGCATGGCAACACGGTGTTTGAAGGAATGACAGCGAGTAGGGCAATTTGTGGTTTCAATCAACTGATGGGGGGATGATCACTTGCGAAAAGATATACAAGAGCGCGCATTGGAAGGAGCATATGGATTGATTAGCAAGCGAATCGGGTCATCTCATGTTGAGGTTCTACGTTTTTTCCCTTTGGACTTCAGAAGCATATTCCCATGGAGTTACGGGGTTTGCTGGCTGGGAAGAGCATATCGTTCGACACAACGGAGGCATATAGATCATAACAGTGTAATGTCATTTGCGTACAGCAAACACTGGACCAACGCCAACAATTTGATGTGCGATTCGAGCTCACACTTGAGATACAAGATCTACCATGTCTATGCCGTAAAGGATGAGATAGACCCATCATCGTGATTACCCTCAAGTGACGTATGTCGCAGGATCTCCAGCATAGCCCCAGCCACGGAGATTTATGGACGAAAAGGTAAAGTGTACGTTTTGCGAGAGCTGTGTATACGAGGAAGAGGTATGTTCCATACGAGGCGTCCTGTGCTATAAGTAGTAAACTCTGGGGAAATAGGGTTGATGTTACTGGGGCATTGACCTCAGTAGGCCAGCACCCACTATGGCACCTACTGCTTTAGTGTAAGTACTGGCAACAAGGCTGTCAGACTTGCATGAGAAAGAATGGGACTTGTCTCGATTGCCTTTCTTTAGTTCAGCGTCGTCAGGCAGTACGAGTTGTTGGATGATCGTGAAAAGCGAAAAATAACATTGAGCCGTACCGTATGTCCGGAACTTTCCCACGTGCATCAGATATGCAAGGCTTGAGCGAATACGTAAGCTAATGTAGGATGCGAGGCGAGGTCGAGCGAGACGAGCCGTAGACAAAGAGAACAAGAATAGGATTTCCAGCAACGAAAGGGGCAGGTGGATACCAGAGCCTCGTGATTGTGGACTGTGGAGGGTGCAAGGCTCGGGTCCGAATATGGTATAGGACACGAAAAGGGAATGAAGGAAAGGTCCATGGGCCTCGTTATGTATGTGTCAGCAAGGCGTCGTATACCTTCAGCAACAAAAATATGACTTTAGTCGAACAAGCGTTGTAAAGAGAAAGAGGGATATGTTTACCCGGATGATCATATAATTTTGGATAGTCTTGCATATGGACCGTGTGGGGGCGAGAGACTGATAGGGAGACAGCCGTATTGCACCAGCTAGAAAGAGTGATGTCGTTCGAAACCAAGTCTGGAAAGTCGTCCGTCCAGGACATGGATGACCACATTAGCATGACGAAGGGATGAGCAACCGACATAGGAGGGGACGCTTGATTGTCGGTCTTCGGTTCATTCCTACAGCCCACTCGGAGGCTTCGTCAAGGCCAACGGCTGGTCCCCCCCGCCGACGAGGTAGTCAATGATCCCATAGTGTTAATGCGCTTCTTCGGCGAGCTTTTGCAAAGCGTCCAAGGGTGATGTAACATCCATCGTGACAGCACCAGCGTTCCTCGGGTTTTCGAGTTTGACAGCATTCCCGCTGAGGCAAATTACCTTGACTCCGCCGAGTACTAGAGCCTTGCCGAAACCGATGGAGCAGCCAGTCAAGAACCATACCCTGAAGTTTGCCGTGAAGTCAGTGGTAGGTAGATGTTGATTTTGCGGAGATCAAGTCGATATAGTTGATGACAAGTGGTCGACAGGTCAAGCAGCACAGCACCTCTCATGAAACTCGACTAACATACGTCAAACGGAGGAATCTTGCAGTCGACCTCTATTTAGGCGCACAACTTACAGTATGGTGCTGTAGCGCAATGAACCTCCTCCTGTTGCGTGCTTGCCCTGACACGGTAAGACGAGGGGCGAGAATGCTTACGGACAACCAGAGTTCTTCGCATTTCGCCCTGATGTCTGCGGAGACCGGGAGAAGAACCACGTGTCCGCGAACACTCGCCATACACATTGCATAGCATATTAGCTGGATATGAGAGCGAAGAGGTCGACCCTTTCTTTGGAGCAAGACGGCCTCACCCACCTTTAGGCTGAATAATCACTATGCGGGCTGAAAGGACCGTATAGCAACATCTGCAGAAGATACTCCTCTAGATGAGATGATTTGTTCAACACTGGCATTGCTTCGGCGAGGTATTGGGGGACGCGTCAGGCGATATGTGTCTGCCATGAGGTGCATGATTTGTTAGATGCCCGCCGACATGGAGTGATAATGCTGGGTCTGAGGCTTCACGTGTCCACAAAGGCTTTGAGGAAGTTTGGCCACGATAACTCAAGCTGCAGATGTTTGACCAGTAGGCAGTAAGAGGTGTTTTGATCAACAGATATCTGTGCCCTTCGTTTCCGCAGGTACTATAGATATAGAGATGGAATTTTGGAGCAGGACATTGATGGAGTTGGCTAATGGGTGAATCCATCCACAAGCTTGGCGAAAGAATATCTCATACATTTTCTAGGAGTACAGCATGAGAAAGTACGACAGGGAAAATCCAAGCAAAACTTGGCTACTCCGGTACGGCGTCCTTGTTGAAGAATTGTTCCCTTTTGGCCAAGATATTTTCCGGTTCTATCAAGATGCTTTTCAGAAGGGAGAAGCTTGCAGAAAGGGCCTAGTGAACCCCGGCTGGAGCCATGGCTATTTACTCCTCATCGTCGAAGTCCTCAGTCTCGGCCTCAGCTGCGGCCGTCTTGCTCTCGGAACCCTTGATGATCTTCGTCTTGACGGCAGGTTCATCTTCTTCTTGCTCTTGCTCATCAGCATCGTCTTCAGGAGCATCATTTTCGACGTCTTCCTCCTCGTCTTCCTCCTCATCATCCACTTTCTTGGATTTCTTGGAAGCAGGTTCGGTGGGTTCGGCCTCAGCCTTGCGCTTCTTTGCAGGAGGAGCTGTTTGGGAGCAGTGGTTAGCTTCAGCCATGATGGGCCAAAACGGCGGAGGCATCCGTAAGAATATAACATACCCTCTTTTTCCTCCTCTTCTTCCTCTCCCTCTCCCTCTACTTCCTCCTCGTCTTCCTCTTCCTCTCCTTCCTCATCATCAACTTCGGAGTCTTCATACCTATCAATGGCGCATGTCAGCAAGCTGCCGAGCTCCAGTACCACACCCAGGATGGCGAGGACGGATGAAGCACAGATATAGAAAGCAACAGCGGCAGGAGCATGAGAACACTGGCGCACATGGTCCGACAATTAGATGCTGAGAGAAACAATCAAGCAGTCCCAGGCCAGTCGCATGAGAATATAGCTGGATGTCGCCAACAGGAACAAACAAACAAGCAAAGCCATAGCAGGGATATGTCTCACTCTTCTTCCTCTTCTTCGTCATCGCTGGGAAGGGCTTGGAGCTCTTCTTCCTCTTCCTCGTCCTCTTCGTCGCGGCGACTTCTTCGAGGAGGCATTGTGTAGGTCAAAGTAGAGCAAGTCTAGAAGGTCTGAAGGTTGTTGATGACCTGGCTAAGGCAGACGACTGGCCTGGATACAAGCAAGCTAGGGATATGGGAGGGAAAAGGGGGAGATGAGAAAGGAGACAGAGAAATGGGTTGAAGTAGGATATGTATGAGGTACGGCTGAGAAACGATCTGGGACCTGGGGGGAGCTTCTGGCAAGACGTCAGGTCAGGGCTCAGGGCAGAGCCGAGAGGAACAGGGACGGGAACAAGACAGGACCAAATGGCGAAAGGTCATGAAAGAGGGGCGAGTAGGAAAAGGGAGGAGGCATGCTGCGCAAGAGAGTGGGCAGTCGGCTTGACCCCGAGGGACGAGCTTCCAGGCTACTGGCGTCAGTGGAAGCTCTGGTGGTCAGAGGCTGGGCCTGAGGAGCAGATGCCAGAGAGTGTGTGTGAGAGAGGGAGAGAGTTGGAAGTGGGAGGGAGGGAGAGCTACGGAAGCTCAAGCTCTGGCCGGGGAAAGGGGAGAAGAAGCTCTGGCCCCCCTTTCTCAGGGCTGGTTGCTGGTTTGGTTGTTTGCTTTCCTTCTCTTCTCTTTGCTCTTTTGGCGTCTTACGCAGCCGCAGCTCGGGAGCCCCTCAGTACATCCGAAGAAATAAATGCGGAAGGTCAAGCGAAGTGCCAAGCCCACGTGAGTGTACTGACAGCCAATGAAAACGAGAAGAGCGTCATGGTCGATTTCTCTTTCATTTGGTGCATTTCCTCTCCATCATCGTCATCATCTTCTCCTTTCTCACGGTTTCTCACAACTGACTTCCACACACGCTTGCATCAGGCCATCCGATTCTCCATCACGTTCTTCCGGTTCCGACCTGCCTTGCATGAGTACCACAATACTCGTACTTTCTTCTGCTGCACTTTTTGGACTAATCCACTCATCATCCTGTCTTTCCAGTTCCAGTTGTTCGCAATATCGACGATTCCTTACATATCCAAAGCAAGGAGCCGGAATATGAATCCATGCCATCTGCAGACATCCCAAACCGGTCAGAAGTCCTAGCATCCACTCCTCATTCCGTCATAACACATCTCACCAACTGAGTGTCACCGACGAGGTGCCTGATAGCCAAACCTGACCCCCTGCCTCTCTTCACGTGTCACCGTCCTGCCTTCGGCGATTTCTTGCCATACCATTTGTATCCCCTGAGATCCTTCCTCAACCATTCATTACATTTGCACTTCCAACAAACACCACAAGCACAGCTGCGAACCCAGTGGTAGACATGAACACGTCGGCTCGTTTTTGAGCAATCACATTCATCACCAATGAGAATACCAGACTCATGGCTGATATCGCTATCAATCGACCCTCGATGCTCTGTACGCTGAACAGAACCAGGATTGAGAAGGCCGGAATGACTGCCGACAGGATCATACAAAACGTGTTGGCGATCTGTACCAGAGTCTCTGATCGGTATTCCCAGGTTTGTCGGAATGCCTTTTCTGCCATTGACCGGTGAATTCGATGTCCAACCATACGGTGATATAATGGCACTATTCTGTCACTCAAGAATCTGGCCAACGGATCTTTTCTCCCAATGTCTTCTTTTATAGTCATCAGATCTCTCTCAATGTCTCGGTCGCAGAAGATGCCTGCTTCGACCCCATGCAAGAACGCATCGCCACCACTTTCTTCGTCGTACCACCGCCTCCGCAGCTCTAAATTGTCTTTCGGTGGAGGATTCAACGCATTGACTTTAGCTGTTTGCAGAATGGTCCGATCTGTGCCACCGTCAGCGCAAGTCTTCCGATCAGTGGTCTGAATCAAACACTTGCAATACTGATCTAGCAGGGTTCTTGACCGCTCAAAGATTTTCCGAATATCGTCTTCTGACATGTGTTCAGGACATTCGATCCAAATTCGGTCAAAACTGTTCAGCTCCGGCATCTTTCTGATTTCATTAATGACCATCTCAAGGTGCTGCAGCTCCGCTTGCATATGAAGAATGTTTTCGGCATTCATGCTGGAGAATTTCCTGAAGGCTTCGATGTCTTGATGGCTTGCCATCATCGAGGCCAGGGCACCATATCCCGTCATCATTGCGAGGCAAGAAGGCAAATATCTGGATACAAACTGACAGACTCAGGGGCGGGTGTTCTGTGGGAGTACAATCAGCGGGATGACTGCTTATATGGCGGGCGACTGTGTGCTTGTCCAACTTTGCAACTTGCGTTCACCAATGGGACATCGCTTCTGCATGGATACCCAAGACAAGCCAGCGGGCGTAGCGTGCAGGCATGAAGCAGCGGACCCTGTCTGCGCGAACACGTCGGAGATTTTCCGTTGCGTTGCCACAGCATGCTGTTGCCGGTTACACTGCTCAGAGAGCCCGTCAACTCCGGCGAACTCTGGTTTGCAAGCTACAGTCAAGATACGAGTCCTCTTACGCCATTGGGAGCCATGCTTAAAGAGGCACGTGGTTGTACTCAGGCCGAATACGAGCACAGCATGGCACTCTTGTTCAGTTGTCGGAGTGCCGAACGTATACAAGAAGTCTCCTGATTCCAGCGAGAACTTTCGATCATGGACGATTGATTGCTGCATTGATTCAGCCGAGTATCAAGAACACAGAGCGGCTTGCAGACTGTCAGTGAGATTATCTTTGACAATGTCCCACTTCTGTCTATCTGCACTATTCCTTCCCACCTTCTCACTCGAAACTGGAGTCAACCTGTTTTCGACGGCAATATGAGTGAACGCTCCTCGGCCAGGTGGGTTGCATATCACAGTCGAGTGGCCACTATGGTGACACCGACCCTCGATAATGGGATCTCTTCCCGAGGACAACACCGGCGTCCAGAAATAACCTTTCGGAAAGACCTGTCTCCTGCAAGTGATTCTCATTCATATGTCTCATACACCCGGACAGCTACAGGGTGGATCGAAATGGGAGGTTCTGGTTCACATCAAGCTTGCAGCAGTTTGTAATGCGGTGCCATATTGCGGTTTGTCGAGAGACGAGCCGGCCTTGTGCGACGATGCAGCCACCTGCAATGGTCGGATGGCCTCAAACAGTGGAATGACTGCTCGTTATCCCTCTATAAGACGTCAATCGGGCTTCAAGTGCAGCCTCTCCCTTCCGTTCAATGTCGGTGGTAGAATGTCGCCCGCTGGTACCTGACGTCTCAAGGTATCAATACCATTGCTCGGGTCAACCAAGTGCATCCGCCCACATGCAGGGACAGCACGATCATTCCATCTTCAACCTGTCTTGGTCTTGGATATATGCGTTCATACCGGCTTCCATGCCGTATGCAGAGCCGAAATCGAAGACCATGAGGAATCCTCGGCAGAACTTCGAGGATAAGCATGAAAGAAGCCAAAGGCTGCCGATGAAGGTCGTTCGAGGACGCGAGGTCATATTCTCCTGTACCCGAAAAACCTCTGCGAATTGCGAAAATGTACTCGTCAAGCGTACTGTCCCAAGTCGTCCCCGCAGAATCATGTTAACCAATTCCATGGGGCCACAACTCAACCCCTTTATTGTGACAATGATCATACAGCTGGACATCTGGAACGCCCTGCCCGGGTGCCGATCACGCCCGGCGACAACATCTCGAAGAGTGCTCCTTGACACCGGCGCCGATTTCAACCTGATCTCGCATCGTGCATTTAGCGAACTCCATATGAAGAAAGAACCAATCTATGGGTTGGTTCATTCCATTGGCGGGTACCGGAAATTGGCAGGCACTCTGCTTCTTCATTGGCACTTCAGCATTCCTGGTGCCTCTGCTGGTAGATCATCCAAGCACTGTGCTCCATTTCATATCCTGCAAAGTGGCAAGGATCCGAACTTTGACTGTATCATCGGCCGGCCATGGATTGAGGAGAACTGGACGGAATTTATCGCGTTGGTCGAGAGCAATTGGAAAAATCAAGCAACAGCAAGAATCAACGCCGAACGTGAATAAATCCTCCTACACCACGATATACTCTTGGACATATGCGCGAGTATTTGAGACGTCACTTTTGGAACGTCGAACCACGGACCCCTGACGGAGTTATATTCCAACGCAGGTGTCTTCTACATGGGAAAATGGAATCTATAATGTACCACCTGGACTGAACACAAGCACAACGGCAATGAATGGCTGTCCGCCACAATGTGGTGATGCGGAGTTGTATGACAAGGGTTTCATCGTATCTGGATCTAGACCGAAAATGGTGAGTTTCGGCCAACATTCAAGGGTCTGCGGCAGCACTTTTGGGCGCCAGGTTACACGAAAGATCTGTGCTGAGGTTCCAAAGGATGGAACGCTCAAGGCGTCTCCGGGATCGTCTTTGCTATCATGGTCATCTGAACATTTTTCAAGCCGCAATCACCGGCAAAAGCGATAGACTGCTCCTTTTTGTACCTACAAAAGTTTTTGTTCCACCTGTCAACACCTGCTCGTCGCTTTCCATGGACTTCCGTATCTCAGTGACAAATCGAGCAACATGAGAGGTGACTCTGGACATCACTAAGCCGCGGAAAGCAGCAGCATCGATGGCTTGAGGTTCCTCTTGACAAGGATGTACTGTTGAGCAATGGCTACTCGACAGACGTCCTTACTGAGGTATATCAAAAGCAACATATCTTCCAATACTATCCCGCCAACACACTGACATTTCAATCTGGCCTTGGGCACAGAGTCTGCCCAATAAGAATAACTTGAGGCCTTGCGCATCGGTGTGATCTTTCATTCTGTGGACCCAGCATACAACAGGATGGCAACGGGGCGCAAAGATTCGCCACCGACGCCGAGTGCTTTGTTGCCGGATCCTCAATTCGAAGCTTCATATCGTTCGTGGCAGAGCCGTCGTCCACAACTATTCCGTCACTCAGCCTCACTGGTCAACATGGTACGCCACCTGCTCCCATCCCTCACCGAGGGCATCCTTGACAGTCTGCGAGTTCAGTTTCGGTGGCATGGCTAACGAACGTCTACTACAGGCTCCGAACACTAAAGTCCAAATCTGCGTCATTGCAGATGACCAGGAACACGCCGTCAAGCTACCCAACACCGTCTACGATGGCAGCTTGCAGAAGAGTCTCATCTCCAAGGCAAAGGCCCTGACTACTGGTGGCCCAATTCAGACACGACCCACCACGACCTTCATTGACCACAATGGCAAGACATACACTTCGGCATCCACGATCTGTCTTCGCTGGTACTACGAGAGCGGCATGCAGACCTTCCAGGAGACGTTTTACGTCGTAGACCAATCACCGCGGGCTACTGGCGGCGGAGAATGGGACGCACTCTTGCGCGCCGGTGTCGAACCGGATCCAGGACAGGTTCCCGCCCAAGCATTTCCATATGGATATGCGCCACGGGATCCACGGCGCGACGAGGACCAGAGAAAGAAAGACGAGAAGAAGTTGAAGCAGTACGAGGCTGAGAAGGAGGCCCAAGCCGCGAGGGTTAGGGAGAGATTGCTGAAGAATCTGAAGACATCTGGGAAGGGCTGAGCTGGACCTGCATTGCACGGGGTTGGGGGTTCTTCCAGAATGTTATGAAACGAATTTTTTTGGGCGTATCGTCTCGGAATGCTCTTTTACGAAGCTTGAGATTTTGCGTTCGATTGCTGTAAGGGGTCTCGGTACGAACTTTGCCTGTTGCTGCGCATGACTTGGTCAAGTTGGTATCTATGTCTTCTTTCTTGGATCATAGCGAAAGCTTGCCAGAATTTTAGTTGTCAATTGCTGAACCTACACATTCTGGGAGTCACCCACACCTCATGATGGACCTTTCAACCTCAAGCCTGTCCACCATTCACCAAAATAGTCTGGCCCGAGATCCACCTCGCGCCATCGCCACACAAGAAAGCAATCGCATCCGCCACTTCCTCAGGCGTGCCAATGCGCTTATTCGGATTGAAACTCGCGATCATCTTGAGCTGTTGCTCGCTCTTGCCTTCGTAGAACAGGTCCGTCCCTGTCGGGCCTGGAGCCACCACATTCACTTTGATTCCGTGTTTGGCCTGGAGATCTCTGGAAAGCAACCTGCCCAATTGTTCGATCGCGCCTTTGGTGCTGCAGTACAGTGTATACGGCGGCGTTACGGTGCTGGCGTGATTTATGGTGGTCGATAATAACACGATTGAAGATCCCGGGGACATATGCGGGAGGGCTTTCTGAACAAGGAAATAGGGACCCTTGACGTTCATGGCGAATGCGCGGTCAAAGTCCTGTTCGCTTGTGGATTCGATATCTTTCATTGGCAGGATGCCCGCGTTGGCGATCAAGATGTCGATTTTGGAAAAGTGCGAGACTGTTTCGGATACCAAGGTTTCGATGCCGGAGAGGTTGCTTGCGTCGGCGCGGACTGCCAGCGCATTCTGGGGGGCGCCGCCGAGTTGGGAAACCAGTGTGTCGGCGGCGGCGGAGTCCGAGTTGTAGTTGATGATGACTTTTGCGCCGAGTTTGGAGAGGGCGGTGGCGGTCGCGGCGCCGATGCCCTTGGAGCCCCCTGTCATGAGGGCTACTTTGCCGGCAAGGGGTGTTGTGGTCGACATGTTGCTGATATGGGATTGGGGTTCTGCTTGGTTGTTCTTTGAATAGATTCTCTTGATGTTATACCGTCGATAGGGGTTCTTTGTGATCGATGTAGGCTAGGAGGAAGTGTTTCATGGGATGACCGATTTGACCTTATATATTCCCTACCTTCCGGACTTATGTATCGCTTCCCTCGTAGGTTGTCCGGGAACGATAGCAATGCGAATCATGTCGCCGAAGGTCTAGACACATCTGGTCTGTCACAGTGGAGGTAGGCGGCATAACTTTCCTTTTGCCCTGTGATGTAGCTGAATAGTGCGCGTATGGTTGAAAGAAGGTCGACAAGGTGCAGCTGAAAGTATCGCACGCGAAGGAGAGGTTCGTGTAAGGGTGGTTCCCAAACAGGAAACCGTTCAACTCCGTAAAGACCGCGATGTCCACCGAGGACCTCTTCGGGGTGACTGTGATTGACTGGCTGGTCGGCATGCTTGCTGATGCAAATTCTGACTCAAGCGCTGTCATTGGCGCCACGGACAAAGGGGTTCTGACACGGAGTTTGTGAGACTCGTTTCCATTGTACAATTGAGTGTCCATGAAGCGTACTGAACGTCCTGGTACATCATGCCTATTGAGGAATCTGCAATGTCCGCTATGTGTACCATAACGCCATAGCAGCCAAGAATGTGCCCGCCAATATGTTCGTTAAAATGGATCGTGAGGCTTTGCTTCTGTGATATATGTGACTGAGGTCGAGGTGAGTCGCAATGATACTCGACTCTTTGTAACTAAGATTTCTCGGGCACTTGTGATATCAAAAGTCATCATGGCTTCTCGACAACTGGTCTGCATAGTCACCGGCGCTTCGAGTGGCTTTGGCGCATTGACAGCCAGGGCACTTGCAATGTCGGGCCATATCGTCTATGCAGGCTTCCTCCAGCCCAACGACGACACGACCTCGGAATATCAAGAGGCAGCAGCGTTCGCCGAGGGGAATCACTGCCAACTGCGAGGCATCGTTCAATGTTGTCAGGGATCAATCGATCAAAGATGCAGTTGACAAGGTGATGGCTGTCGAGGGTCGCATAGACGTTGTGGTCCACAACGCTGGTAAGTGCTCCCGCCTGGACCTCATTCTGTACTGAAGTGTCCAAAAGGGCACATGACCTTCGGACCTGCTAAAGCCTTCACTCCGGAGCAATTCCTGGAGATGTACGAGGTCAACTGCCTCTCCTGACACAGAATCAATAGGATAGTCCTGCCGCATATGAGACGAGTTGGCAAAGGCTTGCTTGTCTGGATGTCTTCGAGCAGTGCTCACGGACCCAGTTCACCCTTCTTGGCCCCATACTTTGCGGCCAAAGCAGCCCAGGACTCTTTGGCGCAAACCTATGCTGTTGAATTGACGCAGTATGGTATCGAGACGTCAATCGTCGTTCCTGGAGCTTTCACAAAAGGTACAAACCATTTTGCAACGGCAATGAAGCCTGGAGACGCGGCAGTGGAAGAGGAGTACATGGAAGGCCCTCTAAAAGGGTGGGACGCAGCCTGTCTTGAGGGACATGGGAGAGTCATATCCCCTGACGCTGATCCGGGAGCGGTGGCCGAAGCTGTTCGTCGGATCGTCGGCATGGAGCATGGTAAGCGGCCTTTCAGAGTACATGTTGAGTTTGACAGTGGAGGAGCGGCGATTGTCAATGGTGTACGAGATCTGGTCAGAGAGACCTCCTTGACGAAGCTTGGCTTGGCTGATTTGCTGAAGGTGAAAATGTACAGGTGCGTTTGACTTGCTGGGAGGTGATCTCAGCATGCCCATTGGAGTAAACATGGGCATGCCCAGATCGGTCGTCATTATGTCAGCACGCATATTGAATAGTAATCACCACATCAAAGGTTCAAGAATGTCCCCTCAGTCCTTGGGAAATGCATCAACCCCATCCGTACTTGGACAGCTTCCTGGCTGGTCAGAACTGTGTTTTCGAATGGACACTTGCTGTCACGAGCAGTAATCGCGATCAAGCAGGAGGCCATTGAAATAGGGATATACTCTCACATATTGCATCGTGTGCAAGACACATAGTGGTCGAGGAAACCAGGACTGAATATCCTGCATGCAATTGCGCGACCAAGATGGTATCAGGTGAGGAGCCTGCCTCAGGAGCGCTCAATGTTGCTATGATGAGACATGCAGAAGCTCGTAGTGTGAACGAAATCTGGGCTGGCAAGACAGACATCAAAGAGCGACGCCGATTGCAGAATAGGTTGAACAGGAGAGCATACAGTGCGCCTCTCTCCCCACAGGTTTGCTAAAATGATGAATTGACAAAGGGTTGACAGGAAAGCGTCAGACCGAGCAGAACCGTATGCGAGACAGTCACCCGGATCGCGATATCCCACAGCAGGCGCGACGATCAAGACTTCCCGGAGTTCATGTTTTCTCCGTTGCAGGAGCGAGCGGTGCAAGATGGCATGAATCAATCAGTCTCAACGCGTTTTTCACTCCTTCAAAAGCGGTCTTGCACAAATCCGAGCAGATGTCCACATCACTGAATCCATTGCGTGGCTGGTGTCGACGTTTTGAGGAGACCTGGTTGCAAAGCGGCCTCAGCGGAATCGAATTGGGCAGGATACCTAGCCCTGAACATGCTGAGAACGTGTCAGATGCAGTCATTTGCGAGGAACACCTGTTGAGTTTCCTGAATATTCAGAATCCTCATCCTCTTCCGATGGACCATCTCATCAATCTGGTGTACTACAATGTCTTCCGAGGACTCAGTAAGAACATCAAACACTTGCGGCTTGATTGTCGGCAGATGTTGTTCGACGATTGTCCCAGCCCTTTCATCGCCGGAGGACTTGACATCTCAGTCATTGCACCCGACTTTCATCCCACACTCTTGCAACGTACTGTGCCACATCATCCATGTTTCGACATATTTCCTGATGCTGTGGTCCGGGATAACGCGATCAATTGCTGGCGAGACCATGAATCCGCACACCAGGGTAGGTTGTGCTTTACCATCGCTGGGAGAAACACATGGCACGAAATCGACATTCCGTTGCGACACGGCTTCGTGCTGTGGGAACAGCCAGACTGTGTGGAGAGCTGGGAAGTCACAGAAGGGTTTGTGCAGGATTGGCCGGGTCTTGTCAAAGGCGCCTTTCGTCTGGAAGCTGCCACCAATTCATGGAGAGGTGTTCGTGGAGAGCCCCCAATAAGTTTTGCCTGATTACCTATACTGTTGTAGATGGGGACTGTGGCTTACAATCCTCACGCGTAAGACCTAGGAACGCAGGAAACAGAATCAATGTCTGCCGATATTCAGTCTGACCTATCGCACGAAGTGATAGAAAAGAACGAGTCACTTGTGCGGACGACCCTAGGAATGACTATCTAGCAAGCCAGGAAACGGGAGAACCTCGGGCGCATGTTTGTTGTACTTCTGCCAGCCTGGCTTCCTCCGCATGCGAACCAACATATATTACACCAAAGTGTGATCAGTTGACACAGATGTACTCGCCGGATCTGTGTTTTTGATACCATCCCACTTGCCAACAGGCAAGCCATCACCGCCGCCATGTTGCCCTTCCTCGCTCCCTACCTGTCCAACCCACGCCAGTCGCTGTCTCAAGTCCTCAACTTTGCCCTCGTTCTGTCCACCGCGTTCATGCTATGGAAATCCCTCTCGGTCATCTCAGACTCTCCGTCACCCATAGTCGTGGTTCTGAGTGGATCCATGGAGCCTGCCTTTCAACGAGGTGATTTACTCTTCCTGTGGAACCGAGACAAGACTGCGGAGGTGGGAGAAATTGTGGTCTACAACGTCAAGGGCAAGGACATTCCCATTGTACATCGCGTCGTCCGAAGCCATACACCTGCAGTCGCTGTCAAGGCGAACCAAAGGTATCTCGTTCCCCCATTTCTACATGAGATGGTCGATTCTGACGCGTTATTCCAGCGGCCATCTGTCTCAAACATCCCCTAAGCTGCTTACAAAAGGCGACAACAACGTGGCCGACGATACAGAATTATATGCAAGGGGCCAGAGCTATCTGGACAATGAGGAAGACATCATTGGCAGTGTTCGCGGATATGTGCCGGGTGTGGGATATGTCACCATTATGCTCAGTGAACATCCATGGCTGAAAACTGTGATGCTTGGGATCATGGGTCTGATGGTCATTCTGCAAAGAGAATAGAGACAGTCTGTTCCTTGAGATGTTCAACCGTCAATACCAAACGCTAGGACGACCTCGCTTCAGGGCAGGTCATATTGGCGGACCGCATGGCCTGAATGAGATTCCATGTCAATCAGGCCAATTGCCTCGATTGAAGCATCCGCTGGCACATAGGCTTGCGGAAGTTGTGCGCCGAACGGCCAACGGCATATTACCGTTTCCCGGCCTTCCATCCTGCGGAGAAGTGTACCTGTCGACTCTCTTGAGGCTCGGCTCTGGACTTGGAAGGGTGGGTTGGGTCTAGACCAGGCGTGGAATGAGAGTTGTCATGCCTTGTTCAGCGATGACCTGGTCCCAGAGTCGCGCAAAGGACTGCACCCGCCCGCGCTCACAGTGCGACTAAATGTCGACCTCCCAAAAACAATTATGATATGATCACATATCCCAAGCAAGCGATTCCGTCCTCGTAAGGGTCAAAAGTCGTCATCGACTAATTAGGCCTCCCATTCATCTCCAAGAAACTAGCCAGGGTCCAATTACGATGTCCGGAAGACATATGGGGGCTTTTGACTTGGGATACCTTTGGCACCCACGGCACCTAGGCGAGCAAAGATAAGCCCTACCATAGTGAGAGGCCACGCAAGAGGAACCTGACCCCTGTCTTTTTGTGTTAATCAGCCGCAGACTAATAAGTTGGTGGTTGGCGCCGGATGCAAGTGATTTGTTGTACCTCCAATCCAGCTTCGTTTATGGAAATCCGGTTAGTCCAGCTGAACATTTCGATGGTGCCCTTCTGACTTTCCATGTCTCAAATCTTGTGTTCCTTCATACCTTTTCTCCTATTCTGAAGCGCATCATCATCATCATCATCAGCAGCAGCAGCAGCATATCTCATCGACAGTACAACCAAGTCTAATATTGAATATCTGTGCAACAACAAACAGAGGGTGCATAGCAAGGCGTCCTTTTGTGCAAACGACTCCAAGTTTAGCGCCAGGGTGGAACTGCGCGCCACGCACCTCAATCTCCTAGGACTTTTGCCGCTCTTATCTTTTGTTGCAACAATATTTGTCAAACATCCTGTTGCGGCTTCGCGATCTGTTCGTCGCCTTTGCGACCCTCTGCAAGCAGGGTCGTGGTGTTCTTCGGCAAATTCGGTTGTAAGAAAGAACACCCGACAACGACACTGCGTCGGGATCCATTGCGAGCTGACGACTATTCTTCTTGCGCCGTGTCATATTGCAAACCGATCAGTTTACCAGAGCAGTTTACTGCGATATGTTCAGATTCAATATTGCTCCGGAATCGCCCATCACATGTCAACGATGAGGCTGATCAACCAATAAACTGTGACTCGACATACGAGCATGGACCAATATCAAGGTCGTTCATCGGCCCGAGTTCTACCTGGGGAAGCCGTTGGAGACGACGTTGGGTTACTCAGTGGTAAGGATGATCAAGTCGAAAGCACAACAACGACTGCCATGGAGCCTCTATCCCATCCCCGAGGTCGGCATTCAAGAGGAAGTTCTCGTGAAGAACGATTGCGATCCATTGATGAAAGCGACAGCATGCGGGACACTGGATACGAACTCGTGGAGCCTCCAACTCCTGCGAAGCCTCGCACTCTGATTCCGGGCCCTTCCAGCGCCTCTTCCATGCTCAGGAGATTAACCACCAAATATGCGCCCATATCACGTCCGCGATTTCGATCCAACAAACGATCCAAAGGTCGCGCATACGCGACGTTAGGCGATGCCGACGGCGATCAGCCTGCCGCAGACATTTCTACACTCACGGGTCTGGGCTGGGAGATGAACGACATGTCAAACCCTGATGCGACCGGCCTTGGAGACAGTGATACACGATATGTGCCACCAACACCATCCAGTCGCAAACCCGACTTTCGCAGCTTCGTGGATAAACGCCGCTCAGTGGGCGAAGGCATGAGGGATATTGGTGTTCAGCTTAAACGCGACCCCACAAAGGTGGTAAGAAGACCGACTGATGACGCGCAAAGCAGTCAGAGTGCAGAAGTTCAAGTCGATCGAGCCAAGACTGTGAAGAAGTTTGGGCAGAATCTGGCACAAGAGAAGAAAACCATTGTCGAAATCGAGGAAGTGGTTGATCTAAGTTCATTGGAGGGCGGGCAACCAGACAATCGAGCAAGTCGAGGATTTGACATGAGGCAGAGCTTTATGCCGCAAGAGACCAAGAGCTACTACTTTCCCGAAGATCCAGATGTCCCCAACTGGAAACCGTTCTCCATGAGCAGCATCTACATCCTCTCCTTGATGGCACTTGCTCTATTTCTGGCTGGGATACAAGAGTATGTCTGCCAGAGATCCATCAAGCGTGCGGCCGAAAACAGTGGGCTTCTGGCGTTCAATGAAGTCAGCCAGATTTCCACGCCAGACTTCTTCGCTTGGAAATGTAAGTATCGCGTGCGTACTGTTTGTGGTTCTTTGCTGACCATATGAAGATCTCCCTACCATGGTGACCATCATTTATGCTGTCATGTTCTCCATCATGGACTTTGATATCCGACGACTTGAACCTTTCTACCAGCTTTCACGACTCGATGGCGCCCGAGCATCAGCCAGCCTCAACCTCGATCACTTGACCATGTTCCAATACTTCGTTCCGTTCAAGGCCTTTCAACTGAAGCAGTATGCGGTCTTGTTTTCCGCCACCGGAAACATCATCGCATCTATGGTGGGCCCTTCTTTACAGAATCCGTCACTCAATATGTACAACAATCCGAAATGTCCTAATGGAGAATGTCCTCCACACACGGACGAGAAGGCCTATTGGGTTCGGACCTCTACAACCTGGTCTCGAATCCTGTCTGGGAGTTACTTGGTCGTGGCTCTTATCCTCGTCATTCTGTTCGTCCAATTACGCCGAAAATCTGGCTTACTCAGTGACCCGAAAGGGATCGCCGGCATCGCATCCATGGCGACCAAATCGCATATCTTGCAGGATTTCGCCGGAATGGACATGGCCACCCGTGGGAAGATTCACAGGAGGCTTCAGCATCGCCGCTATGTGCTGTACAAATCGTCAATCTGGCAGGGAGAGTGGACTGCGACGCAGGAACCTCCTCAAGACAGTGAGAGCAGGCTAAGCAGCCCACACCCTGTCATGCTCAGGCTGAAGGCAGGAATCCCGTTTCTGCTTCTGATGGTCTTCTGCTTGATTACGATACCGGTCATCACTTTGACCAATGCCAGGGTCGTGCCAAATGCGGTGCCATGGCTTCCCATTGTCATTGCGACTGCTTTGAAATTGTTGTTCAGCACGTTTGAAGCCGACGTTCGTCTCATGGAACCATTCTACCAATTGTCAAAGGGTAGAGCGAGACCCGAAAACAGTCTGACACTCGACTATCAGGCGACAGTGTATGGTTGGATGCCCTTCAAGGCCCTGTGGAACCGACATTACATTGTGGCGTTGGTGGGATTTTCTTCAGTCATTCTGGATGTCCTGACCGTGACAGTGGGTTCATTTTCGGTCAACTCGGAAGTGTTTCTGAACCTGAAAAAGAAGCGCAAGGGTGAGTCCAACGGCGACGAGACTTTTGTGTCTTTTTGGGTATCACTTGTCCTCTCTGTGAGCATACTCCTGGTGGTTATTGCGACCACAATATTGGTATATGTTCGACGACGGCATCCATTCCTACCACGAGAGCCTTCGACGATTGCGGCGGTGATAGCATTCATCTATGCCAGCAATATGCTTACCGACTTCATTGACACTGAAACTCTGAACAACAAGCAGATGGAACAGAGGCTGATTGGGCTGGGCAAGAGGTATGGCCTTGGGTGGTTCAAAGGACGAGATGGGCAAATGCATTGCGCTATCGACGAAGAACCCATGAGGAGCAAATATGTGCACGGCAAGCCATATACAATGGCGCAGGCAGGACCCTTGCAGTCACATGAGACATTTGCTTTTGTATAGACATTAGATCTATTGTCCAGGTATAGATCTCAGGGTATGATGAGACATGATTTTTAGCGATATAGCGATTACATGGACGCGATGGAGTAGATAATAATCAAGAGTTGGACATACCAGATAATCATGAGAATGAATGTTCTGATGAGGCTGAGTATTCGTTTATCAGACTATCAGCGTTGTCGTCATCCATGAGTTGCGCCAGCCTGGGTCAAGGGGAGGCCAAGGAGGTTCTTCCCATCGCTTAACCGGGAAAGTGACAGTCCAGCATGTGAATCAAACAAGGAAGTGCCTAAGCTTAGACTAAGAGCAGATAGGCGGCCTCTTATCATTGGTAGAAAAGGCTATAAGGGCACTTAGACGGTGTTTTGGGGCGATTCGCGTCGCCTAGAAAAAAAGATGCACAGATTCGCATTGACCACAAGCCAATGACGTCAACTGGCACTGCGTGAAAGGAGGGTTGGTGATGGTGGGTGCATGCGTCGTCTTTCTTGCACCAAAACACCAGGATATTCCCTACTGACAAGAAATCCCAGCTTCCTCTCGTTTTCCTCACCTTCTCGTCTACTTCCCGTCTGGCTTTCATCTCCTCAAGATGCCTATGCCAGGCTACGTCTTCCGTGATGGCGGCACCACTCCTCCTGCGGTCGAAGACGCCGACACTGCATTTCGCAAGCGAATCACCACTGCCACCACTTCTACCCCTACTTCCCATGCAAGCAAACCCATAACCGCAACATCTGCGGCGCCCCTGGGCCAGAACACCACTACGAGCCATCAACTAGCCACCGGTCACCATGAGATCGAAGGTGCGGCACAAAGAGCTGGTAAGGAGGACCGCACCACGAATCTAGGATGGCAAGCCAACGCTGTAGGTGTAGATACTTTGGTGGGTGGACTGCCAAACGACGACTTGTGGACATTGATGAGAAGATTCAACAAGGCAAGTTACATCTCTCAAGAGCCGCTGCTGGACACATGCTGATCCCACCGCTAGCAAATGTACCATGTCAAAGCAGTCCCACGACCACCACCTGGAGGATTGGACCTCGTTGTGGCCAAGGAGGATGACTTCTCCCCCGACAAGCTTCGAGCCAACCTTGAACGTCTGTACATGACAGTCATTGTTGGGCTCATTGCTTTCGGCAAACACATCGCAAGACTTCGATCATGGCGTGAGCCTCGTCGAACAGCTGGTTTCGCCGCAGCTTACTTCCTGGCTTGGATCCTCAATGTGGTCGTCCCTTTCATGTTGGCCTTTGTCATCGTCCTAATTACCGTACCCGAGTCCCGCGATTTTCTCTTTCCTCCTGCGCCTCTCGCCCTTGTCGATCATAAGACGGGTGGTGTTCAGAAGCCCAAGGCTGGCGTGCTAGGCAGTACCGATAGTGTCACTGGAGCACCAGAGAAATACAAGGGCGAGGCTGTTGAGCAAGAAGCTAGTAACATGGTGTCAGGCATTGCATCGGTGGCGATATCAAGTGCTGCCGGTCGTCATGATCAGGCCAATCCAGACCCAGAAGGTGGCAGTAAGACTCTCGACAAAGGAGCGCCGGATCCAACAAATCTTGCAACCTCGGTGGCTGACGCTCAATCGTCTGCTCAGGGTGGTAACCCTGAACATGCGCACGACAAAACCAAACAACCCATGGAAGAAGCAGTCTGGGCAAAGATGCGTCCCGCAATGCACGGGGTGGGCCAGGCCGCTGACACCTGGGAACGAGTTGCCAATGCTTTGTCACCCACGCCTCCGTTTTCGCAGAACAAGCGCCTGCAATTAGGTGCCATCTTTGTCCCTATAATGCTTCTATCACTCTTCGTCAAGGCTCAGTGGGTTGTCAGAGGCACCACATTCTTTACCGGCTTCGCCTTCTTCTCCGACCCACTAATGCAACGAGGTATTCACTTCCTGAACGAGAAGATACCAAACTGGCCCGAATATCTGGATCTCGGCAATACTTTGCTCAAAGGCGTACCGACCAATGCTCAACTTACCATTACCCTGCTGCGCATTGGTGAGGCAAATCGCGCTCCATTGCCTCCACCACCATCATCCAGTCACCCACCACCAGACAAGCCAGTTGGTGTTGACAAAACCGCCATCACCGACAACGGGCTCGATGCATCGCATTCTGAAATCGAAGATGCCATCACCGTTGATAAGCCTACAGGCGGCGAGGAAGCAGCACATGCCGAGGCAGAGGGCAAAAAGAAGAAAGGAGGCTTTGGCGCCAAGGTCATGTCTGCTTTCAAGCACACAACGGCTGGAGGTGTCGAAACTAAGCTGACTCTCGACTCTGCAAAGGCCGCACTAGGCTCGCGTCATGCCAAGGACAAGTTGGGCGTCTTACCTACCAAGGCCGAGATGAAGGAGAAACCCACCGAGGGGCCAGTCGAGTTCAAAGCTCGATACGACGGCCGCAAGGGCGCGGTGTATGTCGACAGTTCTGTCTCACCTCCGAGTGGACGACGACCTGCGTCACCGTGTGTGTATTTCACGACACATCTTGACGGTCATGAGCATGTCGAAAGTATGCCGCATGATCCAACCTGGGCTGTTGCAATTGCAGATCTCGCTGAGATCAAGAAGGTCGGTGGTCTGGGATGGAAGGGCAAGCTTGTTGTGGGATGGGCCACGAATAGAGAAGTCAAGGACGGTATTGAGATTGTGACGAGACAAGGACAGAAATACCGTGCCATGGCGATCGCTGAGCGTGATGAGCTGTTCAATCGTCTTGTTGCTATGGGACAGCAGGTTTGGGAGAGTTATTAAACAACCAAGGAGACTTGAAGAGGGTTATGACATTGTAAGTATAAATGCCGTAAGGGTATTGTGGTTAATTTTACGCTACGCTGAAGAAAGAAGAAATACCCCTGATGGAATATGGTACTGCAATTGATTTTACATCTACTACTCGCATCCTTTCAGGACAACTCATACACTTTTCACGCGTTCTACAGGGTCATCCGACGGTAGTGGTAGTGGCACCACGCCAGCCTCTGCTTCTTGGCTCATCACACTTCTCAACAAAGACTGCTCTGTCTTCAGATACGATCTCCGCCCCTGAATGAACCAGAATGCCACCGCAATAACCAGCATGACCCCAAAGACGGCAATCGCCCAATTCATATCCGCAGGCGCCGGGTTCGGGTCCGAAGGAAAGAAGAAGAACACCGTTGTAATCGAACAATAAATCAGACTGACCACGTTGGCTGCATGGCCGTAGCGACCGAGTGTGAAAGGTCCGGGAACCAATTTGTCGCGGCCGACATACAGCAGCACTGCGATGGGCAGCGCATAAGAGATCGTCAGGGCGATGGTGCTCACTGACAAGATAGCTTCGAGGACAGTGTTGGCGAATAAGTACAGTATACCGATTAAGGCGATAAGAATGCCTTGAGCCCAGAGTGATCTCACAGGGACGGACCAGTACGTGCTCACGACGGCGAGATACCTGTCGAAGGGCAATCCGCCGTCACGCGCGAATCCCCAGGTCAGACGGCTCGCGGTGGTCATGATACTGATGTTCTGGCCGACACCGTTGATGATGAACAGCGCTAATAATACGGCGGCGCCGGTGAGACCCATGGTTTCCAGGCACAGTTCGATGAATGGCAGGTCGGCGTTGGCGAGGGCATCGAGGTCCTGCACGCAGAACAGGCATACCATCATGAAGATGAAACCGGTAAGAGATCCGATCGCGACGGACAACCATATTACTTTGGGCCCGGTCTTGCTTGGAGAGGGCAGCTCTTCGACCATGTGAATACAAGCGTCGAATGCGGTCAGACCGTAGGCGGATTGGACAAGCCCAGTAAACCAGATGACCCCGCTGGGCCAGCCGGTCTGGTTGATCCAGGTGCCGAACACGAAGTGGCCAGATTGGTAGGCTAGATGGGCTTTGATGCCGACGGAGATCAACAATGCCATCGCGATTGCGAGAAACAAAACGGAGAATTGCACGCCGACCACGTTGTTGATCCAAGGGAGGACGCGGTCTTTGCGGCAGGCGATGATGTTGATGAACGTCAATAAAGCGGTGAGGCCGACGTAGATGAGGAATTCCACCCAGCCGTACCCTGCTGCAGCCCAGTCCGGATCGAACATGGTTTTCATCGCGAGAATGAAGTCGGTCATGAATGCCGTCTGAGAGGCCGTCAATGTCCACCATCCAAATGTGTTGATCCAGGCGCACATGTACGAGATGAAGCGGCCGAGGGGGGTGTTGTAGAGGCGGAAGATCCAGTATGCTTGGCCTAGAGCGGTGGGCATGCTGCTGGTCAATTCGCCCAGGGAGACTGCCACGCAGAGGTTGCAGAATGTGACTAGCACCAGACCCCAGAGGATGCTGACGGGACCGCCTGCTCGGAGACCGGTGGCTAGGTTCTGAGCGAGGGTCGACCATGTTCCGAGGACGGTGAAGGCGAGGGCAAGCATACTCCACATATTGAACTGGCGGGAGAGTTGCTGTTCGTGGCCCAAGGCCGCGAGGAGTTCGGCATCTTGTTCCTCTCGGTCTTCATGGCGGGAGGCCCGTGAGGGTCGGCGTGTCTCTGGTACGGTCACAGTCATTCTGTCGGTTGGGAGATGGTGTTACTGCATTCGCAAGTTGAGAGAGGAAAAGTCAAGGAAAAGGTCTGGGAGGAGACAAAGTGTATGATGCACACGCACACAACAAGGAAGGAGCTTCAAGGTTGATCAGATGCAGTGCTTGATGTACTTGTATGAGATTGGGGAGGAAAGGACCATATACATACACAGTTGAATATATGGAGCTGAGGCACTTACCCCAGGTTGTTCTTGCTGGGATCCTCTGTGCCCACACGAACACATTGCAACCCTCGACATGTTGTCTTGTCAAAGGCGCAATGAAGGATCGTCGCATGGAGTACAATTTTTTGGGTCATTGCGTAAACACTGAACAGTACCTGAGTCAAAATCTGTATGTTTAGTGGCCGTGCGTGCCGAGTCCGGAGCGTCTAGACATTCCCGTTTTAGGTGTCGCCTCTCTGCATCTGCCGGTGAAATAGGCTCTCGGCACGTTGCATACACCTAGCAATGGCCCCTGAGAGAATGGTCCATTAGGCAGGTCGGAAATTCTCATCTTATGTGTCAATGGCGCAAAATCCAATTAGGCCTTCTCCTTGCTTCTTTTGCGCTCACAAAGTCTTTTTCTTGCTGATGTCTCTACATCACCAGGAGAAGGAGACCTGAAAGAAGATAGGACCTGCACTGGTGGGAGCTAACTTACAGGGTCTTCGGTGACATGATAATGTCGCATAGGAGACGAAAAAATCATGCTTCGTGTTTGACCTTCGACGGATTCAAGGTGTAGTATGCTCGTCCGCACACCTACCCCGTGGGGGCTTGGTTTGGCAATGGGTACAGTCATACATATCGTCTATGTCGTCCTTAAGTCGAGGGTTAGGCAGCAGTCAGTCAGTTATAACGCTGTCCTTTCGGTGAGAGTAGTACTGGTTGATGAGCAGTTCGTTCTTCCTCACAACAGACCACCACGACTTGTTCGATGTCACCAAAGCGTGCGAGCTGCCAGCTGCGGTAGAGAAAGCGCGCAAGCTGCTTCTTTGAAATGATGCGTACTGTTGAATTTGGGAAAATGAACTCTGGTGCAGTTGTCCGAGTTGTCCATCTCATAACGTAAAACCGTGGAGGAATGACAAGCGCTCAGAGAGAGTTGAAGTCATAACAACGACGAGATCGTACACATGATTTCAAACAAGGTAAGTACAACCCGGTGGAGATTTCGATAACGAAAGACACCTCTGAGTCTCTGCCTCACTTTCTCACTTCGAACCAATAATTGAAGCATGACCAGCGGCGATAGGAAGACTCAGATGGAAGCCAATCACATCACTTTCCGTTATCCCCTTGTTCCTTTTGGGCAGGTTGATGCGCTCGGCAGAACAAGACAGCCTCGTCGCTCATGATATAAAACCCCAATCCCGAAGGACTTTGACTTTTACTTATCTCTCATCTACCCTCTTGTACACCCAGGAGAACCGCCTCACTTCCTTTCCATTATCCATTCATCATGGCTGTCGACTCCTTGTCCATTCCGGGCTACCATATTTATCGTGAAGACGAAGCCCAATCAGCCTCTTCACTCGACTACTCACAATATAATCCACATCCGTTAGGTGAGTCTTCGATGAAGACTCCGTTGTATGCATTCACTAACTTCGATGAAAGATCAACTGTCGATAAAGGAAATTCCTGCCACTGCGAAGCTCATCCGAGAATTCGCATGGCCCAAAAAGGTCAAATTCAACTGCATAACTCTTCGCGAACCCAAGAAGAATGAATATGCCGCCTTCCGATCGAGAAAAGGACCACGACCGGAGCGACGTGCTTTTGCCATCGTCATTGAGCAAGGCTCTTGCAATGTCGCCGAAGTCGTTGTCAACCTAAGCAAATCCAAAGTCGAGGACTGGAAACCGGTCAACGATGTCATGCCCACTTTGACCCTCGAGGATCTCGACATTGTGGAACGCCTTGCTCGAGAGGACTCTCGAGTCATCGAGGCATGCCGTGGCCTTGGAATCACAGATATGTCCAAAGTGTTTTTCGACGCTTGGGCCATCGGTGTTGAGGAACGATATGGGTTCGAGCGCCGTCTCCAATCAGGACTGGCTTACTACCGCAATTCTTCATTGGATAATCAGTATGCCCATCCTCTGGACTTCTCGGTCGTGGTGGACACCGAGCGGCAGGAAATCCTGAATGTGGATGTCCGCCTTGTCAATGGCGAGCGAACACCAATCCCACTCGAAGAACACAACTACCTCCCAGACTTCATCCAGAAAGGATACCGGCCCGATGTCCTCAAACCCATCAACATCACTCAACCTCAGGGAGTGTCTTTCCGAATGAGGGGCAATGAGTTGACCTGGGCCGGCTACAAGATGCACATTGGTTTCAACTATCGGGAGGGTATTGTCCTTTCAGACGTCAGCATATTCGACCACCAAGAACAGCGAGACCGCGCATTGTTTAACCGTATCAGTGTCGTGGAAATGGTCGTCCCCTATGGCTCTCCCGAGAAGCCCCACCACAAGAAACACGCCTTCGATGTGGGCGAGTACGGCACAGGTCTTATGACAAACTCGCTCAAGTTGGGGTGTGATTGCAAGGGTGCCATTCACTACCTCGACGGCATTGTGAACACTGGCAAGGGTGAAGCGGCGGTAATCAAGAACGCGATATGCATCCACGAAGAAGACAATGGTCTCTTGTACAAGCACACCGACTTCCGAGATGGCAACGTCATCTCCGCTCGAGACCGCAAATTGATCGTCTCTCAAATCATCACGGCGGCGAATTACGAGTACGGCTTCTACCACACCTTCACGCTCGACGGCACATACAAGCTCGAGGTCAAGCTGACAGGTATGCTCAATACCTACTGCATGCACTCGACAGAGCAGGCAGCACCGTGGGGTACCGAAGTTGCTCCTAAACTCAACGCCCAAAATCACCAGCACATCTTTTCGTTACGTGTAGATCCGGAAATCGATGGACCCACCAACTCCATCGTACAAAGCGACGCAGTGCCCTCCGAAGATCCCGTCGGTTCCGAAGGTAACTTCTACGGCAATGGCTTCTACTGCAAGAAGACACCCTTGCGGACTGCCCAAGAGGCAGCCGTCAATTACTGCCACGAAACAAGCCGGGCTTGGGACATTACCAACCCGAGCAAGCTCAATGCGTCTTCCAAGAAACCAGTCTCTTACAAGATCATCAACAACAACTGTCCTGCTCTCCTTGCAAAGCCAGGCAGTGTAGTCTACAAGCGCGCTGCCTTCGCCCGCAAGACATTGTGGGTCGTGCCCTACCGAGATTACGAGCTCTTCCCGGCTGGTGACTACGTCTGCCAGTCTGACGGACGAGACAATCATCCTCACAACCAGACTGTCACGGACTGGGTGGCCAGAAACGAGTCCATCGATAACACCGACATCGTCTGCTACGTACAATTCGGTCTAACGCACTTCCCTCGAACTGAAGATTTCCCTGTGATGCCGGCAGAACCTGTCAGTGTGATGCTCCGGGCTTCGAATTTCTTCACGAAGAATCCTGGCTTGTGGGTTGCTCCGTCAAAACTGTGCGTTGATACAGTATCTCAAAACGCGTTTGACGCTTCTTGTTGTGCGGCGAAGAATCAAGTCAAGCTTTGAGCCGACAAAGGTTCTGCGGGCTCTGAAGGAGTCCTCGTGGCATATCCTACGAGGTGGTTTTTTCTAGCATACGAAGCTAATCATGTCATGCATTGCGAGGAGAATCAAAATGCATAAGTCAGGAAGGAGTAGATAGGGAATCGGAATCCTTAACGACGAATCGCGGTCACGCATCTTAGAATGAATGTACATGAACATCTGAAGCATACCTGAATCAGCTTCAACCATTGAATGTCACAGTAGTCAAGAAGCTCGCCCACACTTGTAAGATGGTCGAGCACACACCAAATTCGAGCGGCGAAACCGATCAATTGCAAAGTCCTCCTTCTGCAAATTCATGACGACTACCCAATGCACCCATGCTGACGGCAAAACCCGATCGGCTCAACAAAAGTTGAAGCGTAAGCAACGCTTACGGACATTGGCGTCGTAGCGTCGACTTTCCTAATCCGTACTATTCCCACTTCTTGACATGCTTGATATCCGACAATCTGTGGGGTTGATCCGCCCCAACTGTGGCGGCCTAGCGATGGAGCATATCACTCCCAATCCGGGCATAATCGAAGCAATGCTTTAACCTCAATTAGGGATACTTAGCCGGAAAGACAAGTGCCTTGCACGAATACTTCACAGACCATAGCCTCTACCTTCCAGAGCCAGAGTATCTCGAGATTGACATTATAATCCGCTGGTTTCAGGTCACTTGTCAGACTCCATACTGGCATAACAACATTCAAGGTCCAACACTGACACACACGGCCATACGTTCACTGCGACACCAGGAGCGAAGGACCAAAACAGGACGCTGAATACACTCGGGACACTTTGCTTCGACAAACCCAGTGACAATCTCAAAAATCGGTGACCATGCCGTCAGACCTCGCCGTCGAGCTCACCGCGCCCAATGGCCGCAAATACACCCAACCAACCGGCCTCTTCATCAACAATGAATGGACACCATCCTCCGACGGCAAGACCATCACAAGCATAAATCCAACGTAAGTACCAAGCACAACCCGCGCGATTCCAACCCCTGACAAGGACGTAAAGCAACGAACAAGAAATCGCATCCGTCCACGCGGCATCAACAGAGGACGTCGACCGCGCCGTCAAAGCAGCCCGCAAAGCCCTGAAACACACCTCTTGGAAGAACCTCCCCGCCACAGACCGAGGCCTTCTCCTAAATCGCCTAGCCGACCTTGTCGATCAGAACCGCGAAACCCTCGCCACAATCGAGACCTGGGACAACGGTAAGCCCTACGCCGACGCCCTGAACGGCGATCTCACCGAGGTGATCGGCACGCTGCGCTACTATGCAGGCTTCGCGGACAAGAAGTTCGGCCAAGTCATTGAGACGACGCCCGACAAATTCGCGTACACTGTGCGCGAACCAGTCGGTGTGTGCGGACAGATCATTCCGTAAGTCTGCCCTTTCTGCCTCCCATCATAGCGCGATAATTGACGTCCACAAAGATGGAACTTCCCACTCGCCATGGCCGCCTGGAAACTCGGTCCCGCCCTAGCATGCGGCAACACCGTCGTCATCAAAGCCGCCGAACAAACGCCCCTTTCTATCCTGGTGTTTGCCAACTTAATCGCCGAAGCCGGCTTCCCACCAGGCGTCGTCAACGTGATCAACGGATACGGCAACATCGCCGGCGCAGCGCTCGCAAAACACATGGACGTCGACAAGATTGCATTCACTGGCAGCACTGCGACCGCCAAACAAATCATGAAGATGGCCAGCGTCAACCTGAAGAATATCACCCTCGAGACAGGCGGGAAGAGTCCACTCATCGTGTTCGACGACGCCGATCTGGACCAGGCCACCGAGTGGGCGCACATAGGCATCATGTCGAACCAGGGACAAATTTGCACCGCAACATCCAGGATCCTCGTGCAGGACGGGATCTACGACAAATTCCTCGTCGCCTTCCGCGCCCAAATCAAGACTATCTCAAAGATAGGTGATCCGTTCGACGAGAACACGTTCCAGGGCCCGCAGGTCACGAAAGCCCAGTACGACCGCATCATGTCGTACGTCGACATCGGCAAGCAAGAAGGCGCGAAGCTGGAGTGTGGTGGTGAGCCCCTCACAACCATGGGCGATGGGAAGGGCTTTTTCATCCAGCCTACTGTATTCACTGGCGTGTCGGAGAACATGCGTATCTACCAGGAGGAAGTATTCGGTCCGTTCGTCGTGATTCAGCGGTTCGGCACCGAGGAGCAGGCGGTGGACTTGGCGAACAATTCCACGTATGGTTTGGGAAGCGCTGTCTTCACGCAGAACCTCGTCCGGGCGCATCGTGTGGCGAAGAACATCGAGGCTGGAATGGTGTGGATCAATTCGAGTCAGGACAGTGACTGGCGTATTCCATTTGGTGGAGTCAAGCAGAGCGGTATTGGAAGGGAGCTTGGTGAGGCGGGTCTGGAGGCGTACTCGAGCATTAAGGCTATCCATGTCAACATGAAGTCGAAGTTGTGATTGCCTGCAATTCTGTAGAAGCTCGTCCCCTGGCAAGGTTTTTGGTACATTTGGATGAGTGCCGGTTATACACTGGCTAGGTTGACCTGATGATGATGAGAATGGCAGGATCATGTCCCTAGTGCGTGCGAGTCTCCGAACCCAGATCGACCCGTGTGAGGAGGGCTGAGAAAGGTCTGCCATCCTCAAACATGGACCGGACTCCGGCATCTGTCACTCCAGCACTATCCTCGTCACTTCCATGTCTGGTGCCAGTGTTTGTAGATCCATGATGCCTTGCACATATGCATGGCAGACTAAGTGATAATGGCCCTGTGGTTGTCTCTCAAGCAGGTACGGGTGGTGTGCACCCCCTAGCACCGCAACTTGGTGCCCTTGCTTCGCCACGCCCTTGTCACTGCGGCCAAAGTAGCCTGACTTCGTGAAAAAGAGGTCTTCACCCCACCGGATTTCAGGATAGTGGTCGAACACTCGCGAATCGGCCAACAGACCGGCTGCCTGTTCCCAATCTAAATATTGCCTGGAAAGATTGTGTGGACATGTCTTCGACTGGTGGATCCTATGCCAGGATTCATCATACCACCACGCGAGAAAGAGAGGCAACGTGGGAGGCACACTCTCGATGAAGTTGAAGCCGCTACAGGTCAGCGCGCACCAGAGCGCCTTGAGGTTGAGGAAGTGGTTGTGCAGTGGCTGCTCGTGTGTGATACTTGAGTCCTGTGGCGACGATACACTTGCCTGGAAGGGTTGACCACGATAGGCATCGAAGAGCCCCCACCCCACGTTCTCGAACAGTCGAATGACCTCTGTCATCGGTCCCGGGAAATCCTGCATGTTATCCACGCTTACGATGAAACATATCTCGTCCAACAGATGCGCATTGACAAACAGTCGCCGACCCACCACAGTATGCTGACCAGGAAAATAGCAGTACCATGGGTTAATCTTTGGGGGAACTGTGAGCATGGAAACCGACCAATCAGGCACCCAAGTCGGTAGGTTCCTGAAGACTTTGCGCGAAGTATGAACATTCCTCTCCCATAGGAACAAACTCCGACTCTCGGCGATCATATGCGTTGCTGCTTCGAGGTAGACTTCCTCGACCTGCTTATCGTAATCAGGCACAACACCAGCGTTCGGCCCAAGACTGCCATTGGACTTCACCAGACCAAGAGCAGCGTAGATATAGTCCCGCGGGTCTGTCGCTTTGGAGTACTCGAAGTGTCCCATGATCATAGCTAAATCGGTCTCGAACAGAGGTCGCGAAATACCAACCGTACCCTCTCAACGTTGCTAATGGCATATGCATTGGCCCCATCCTTGCTGGAGCACCATTTTTGGAATGACAAGAGTTTCCTGGCCTTGAAGGCGTAGCAGAAGACATCCCATGGAAGTGTGAAGGTGCCGGAATGTACTTGTGCCACTTGAGCAACAGCTAATTCCTTGACGATCCATGCTCTGGGAAAGATAGAGTTGTCTAGGAGATCCTCATATGCTGCCCAGCCGGTCTGATTGTCAAGGTCGAACGCTCGAGAGCCATGTAGGCCCAGTCTACGTAGTCGCTGGCACGTCTTGGAGAGCCTTTCATGCGGCAACGAATCCGTCAAGGTCCATATGCCATCCTTGGATATGTCGAAGACTTCTGCGTTGTCAAGAACAGAGCGATCATGCACGTCAAATCTTTCGTTGACGTTCATTCCCACGGCGGTGCGGCAAGCCCATAGAACGGCCAGAACCTCTGCTATCTCAAAAGCTGTTTCTGTGGCTTCACTGGACGGCCCTAGCCATACGATGACGCGCAAAGCATGTTTGTATATCTCCTTCATTAGGGGGATCTGCTCGCTCTTCTCGGCGGAATCATCTTGATTGATGCAGAGTGCATCAACCCAGAGCATCCGGGGCCTGTTCGGCAAGTATCTTGGAAAGCGGTTTGGCGAACGACGAAGAGCGCACAAAGCGGTATAGAGGTTGGCGGTGACATCGATGAATTCGCCTTCGCACTGGACAGTAACTGTTCCTTGTAACGTTTGGGGACGCCATTCATACGAGAGGCATTCGTAAGAATGACTCCTGCTAAGCTCGACACATTTCAAGCCGCAAATGATGGGATCACCCTGTTTTCCTGGTTGCAGCTTAAGTAACCTTATGTTTTGATGTCCTCGTAAAGGAAGTTTGTCATATATCCTGCTCATCTCAAAATCCGCCGCTGCCAGTAATCATAGGCGGAAAAATGGAAACGGTTGAGAGTGCAAGAGATATTCAGAGAGTCCATGTACGAGAGAAACCCATGTCTGAGGCATTGTATGAATCAAGGCAGCAACAAACGAAACACTGCCCGGGATGCCAGCGGGGAACCATAGGCGATTGCAGGTCTTGCAGGGATGATGAGCCCCCTAATGCCTTCATGGCTGTTCGTGATTGGGAGGGATGAGTGCAGCCAGTCACCCTGGTGGTCGACCCCACAGGTACGCTGACAAAGGGACTTTTGCGAGTGGCGAATGTACCAAAGATCCTCGCCAGACATGTTGATGGCGCAAGGATGGAAGATGCTATTTTATTCTGAATGATGTTCTGTTTCGAATAGTCGTCGATTGATATCGAGGTACATAAGGTGTGTGAGGTCAGGCTGAAATGAGGTCAGACATGACAGCAGCTTGACCAAGGTAAGTAGTATATATCCTCGGTATGTATAGAGTACTTCCCTGTTTTCACTTCACCATCACACCCCTATACTTGCAGTCCCCAAACTTTGTCACCAATTCATGGTAAAAGGTTGCTTTGGCCTAGTTGACTAGCTGATGAGGATATCATCCGAAGCTAGACCCAAGCCCCAGGATAAATGGACTTCGACTTCCAGTCCAGCCCGTCGCAAGTACCTGCCTCTGGCGGAGAACGGATGGGTTAATTAGGCTTGACCAGAGGGTCGTCTGCCCAGGGTGGTCAACTCATTCCAAAGGGAGCTGCTTGCGGTCTTAACTGATAGGAGTTGTTTCTCCCTTTAATGCGTAAAATATTTGAAATCATGCTTCTGGCATTCTGTTTTTACCCGTCTACCAGACACGACTATACTACGGTGCATACTTCATGACTCGATCGCACCATTCGGATATGTCCTCCGAACCGCCTGCCTCTGGCAATCTCTTTTTGCCCCAGCTACGAGATACAGGTATCAACCTATGCATATTGCTTCGTGACTCGATCGCACCATTCGAACAACCTCTCCGGTGAACCGCCTTCCTTGCCCAACTCAGCCACCAGATCGGGTCTCACGCTTGCCCTACGACCCCATGGGACAATATACACACCCTGTTCCTTGATAGTCAAGTCAGGCGACAAGCCAGAGTACAATTCAGTGTATGCACCGAAGATGGCTGGATATAGCAACCAATGGTGCAAGATCCATCTTGCAAACGCTGGCCACTGGCTTTCGGTGTGGCGCTGGAGGTCGGATTTGAGGTTTCCTGGATTGTATGACTGCATCTTCGTCAGTACCCCGTCAGCTTCTCGATGTCAGTGAAGCACTTACAGTATGCAGGACGCCATCTCGAGATCCAAATCTCTTGCCAAACTCATGCGCCAGGAAGTAGTTGGCAGCCTTGGTCGCGCCGTAATTCAGCCTGTTTCCTTTGGAATCATCTAGTGTGTCCTGGCCGTCCTTGTCCATCTTCCACGCGAGACCACCTTTGACGGTTTGAACATCTACGGTCAAACTGCCCGCCCAACTCACACGAACAGTCCCCTGCGGTTCGGCTTCAGCAGTGCGTCGGAGTATTGGGAGCAGAAGCTTCGTCAGAAGGAAAGGGCCGAGTATGTTGGTTTGAAACTGCAGATCAATACCTTGTGCGCCTTTGGACCCTTCGGGTGGGACCATGACTCCAGCATTGTTGTTCAGCCAATGAAGTTTGGTTTCACGGGACATGAACTCTTCGGCGGTGGCTTTGATAGTGGTCAGGTCGGATAGATCGAGGTGCAAGTATTCGAGGCTTCCTTCTGACTTGGGGTGGAGCTGCTTGAGGTTATCAATGGCGGCGAGTGCTTTGGCTTCGGAGCGTGCGCCAATGTAGACTTTGGCATTGCGTGAATAGAGAATGGTGGCGAGCTGATAGCCTACTCCTGTATTCGCTCCGGTGATTAAATATACTTTGCCGTTCTGATCAGGTAGGTTCTTTTCGGTGAGGGGAGGGTGAGGAATGGAGAAGGATTGATTCCAAAAGGCGCGAGCTTGGTGGAACATCTTGGAAAGCAATCAAAAAGGTGATCTGAGCGAGTCTGGTTTTACAATTGTAAAAATGAAGACGTCGACTTGTCTGTAGGAGAGTGGCAGATTTTGAGCCTTTAGTAGCTGCGCAAGAAAAGGCACCAAGTTTTATCTCATGTTGATATTCTGGAGCTGTTGTGACGGTGGGGTTATGCAGCTTCCGGAGATAGATTGATCCAGGCAACCGTGATACATATTCTGTATCATCCTAAGAGTTGACGAAGTCAGTGATGTCTTCCACGAAGGACAGGTCCGCGCTCACCTATCAAATTGCAAACAATGCGCTCGCTAAGTGACGTGAGTTCTAGAGCAACATGTCTTGCATTTGCTCCGGCACTTGAATGGGCGCCAATCACAATCTTGTTGTCAGTCTCTTGCATTATCGTGGCGGTTTCCACGACACATGAGTGGCTGTGGATGGCGAGGCTGGGGATAAAATGGGTATAAGATGGAGATCCCTGAAGATGCCTCCACTGGCAGGTCTTATGCATGTTCCCGGGGATTAAACATGTTTCCGGCAGCCCGGCATGGAAATCATGTCCGCCCTGCTTTGATCAGCGAATTCGATTCAGTCTTTGGTGATGGCTGACACGACCACCCATATGGTCTGGCTCACTAGAAAGATAGAATCAGCTTATCACGATCGTCTGCCCAATGTCCATCAATCCAATTTCCTCTCCCCATTTGAGACCAGCCTCTTCGGCCGCAATCTTCCAGTTTCTAGGCGGCGTCCTCACATCCTCATATGCAGCGGATAGTCCTCCACGCACTGTTCCCCAATGCATCCCTATTGATTTCTTGCTCCGCACATCTTGATGAATTCGTATCGAATCCCACGAGTTGGCATGCACATTCGACATGAAGTCCCGTGGCTCGCACAACCCAATCGGCAGTAATGCCAGGTCGAACGGACCCAATAGCTCCCCAACCTGCTTGAATGTTGGACACGCCGGTTGCGCATCTTCCTCTTCGCGAGACAGATTTCGGGCGTGGATAGAACGGTAAGCCGTATCTCCAGAAAAATAAAGCTTCCTGCCATATGCTTGCAGGTCCTGAATCGCGTACGAACACCACAAATCATGGTTTCGGTCGTTGATACTGCGCGAGGAGAAATGCTGCGTTGGTGTGCAAGTGATGCGTACACTTCCCACATCTTCCACACCAATCTCAACTCCATCCCACCAGTCGAGCTCGGTGATGCATGACTGCCCGATTCCATTCGAGATCAACCAGCGTGAATTGTGCAGGCCAACCAGGAATGGCACGTTCGACTGACGCTTGGCGTAAACCGCCTTCAATGTCGCAGTGTCGGCGTGATCATAATGGTTGTGGCTGATGATCACCACGTCAATATCGACCGACTCGAGAAGCTCGTCCAGGGTACACGGCGTTGGCGTATAGCGTTTCGGCCCGAACCAAGTTACTGGCGATGTGCGCTCCGAAAAGACCGGATCACAAAGGATATTGATTCCTCGACTGGCACCCTGTGGACGCGAGGTTTGCAGTAAAAAACTGGCATGACCAATCCAGGTTACCTTGAAGCCCGGATCGGGATTTGCAAAATCGACCTTTCGTACAGGGACAAGTTCATTTCGATCCGCAGGCACCGGCACGAAGGCTGGCTTGTCCCTCCCAAAGCGGACCTGCAGAAGACTTAAAGGGCCACCATTTTGAGGATTGAATGAAGGCCAGGGGTTATTGAAGCCGGTCGGAGGATCACCGACGTGGTGGCTTTTAGGCTCGTCGGGCAGCAACGATGGTAATTGCTTGACGGTGACCATCTTTTGTCGGAGTTCTTGCAGGCAGACGGAAGTTGCTGTCGTGGACTAACAGGACGATGGAGGCATGATATATGCATCAAATAGGTAAGTGTCACGGACTTACCGGGGAGGTGATGCCCGATGGCGCCTAAAACAAAGGTACAGGATCCATGACATCAGCATCTGTCAACTCCAACCTCCACTCCTTGCATGTGCCATGTGGCTTTTGACTTCTCACATCTTCATGTCAAGCAAAGCACAGGGTGTAGTCTGTTATATATCATCGGAGTACTCCAAGGAGAGGTAGCTCATTGTTTCGGCTGCAATACTTGTTGCTGGAGGCCAGAAAGTTCATCTGCCCGAGCCGGTACATTTCCTCCCGCGATCTATTCCCCGCGCATCGGTCATCGGCGGGCCCATTAGCCTGGTCCGGGGCTACACATTCATATACAACTACGACCACCGCACTGCTGAAGTATAAAGGTACAGCACACTCAGCACGTAAGCAAACCCTTGTCTTCAACCCATAAGCTCTCAACCACGGCCCTGGATATCCTCAACCCATGAGGCTCTGCTCGTCCCAATTCACAACGAAACCTACAACCTAGAATTCGATACAGTCAACCTTGATATACACCAAACATAAAGGCACAGACACAAACAGACTTCATCATGCTTCCACCCCTGATAGCGCTAGAAGAGCACTTCTTCTCCCACGCCGCCTCAAATGACACTCTTATGCGCGAGCAATATTCCGAACAATTCAAACATATACCCGGCCTGGCCGATAAATTGACCGACCTAGGAAGCCTACGCCTCGACAACATGAAAGCAGGCCAGGTCAGCCTCCAGATAATATCCCACGCACCAGGCACCATGACGCCCAACGAATGCAAAGATGCCAATGACCAGCTCTTTGCCGCCATCAAGCAGCACCCATCCCGATACGCTGGCTTCGCCGTCCTTCCCGTCGCCGATCCACAAGCCATTGCCACGGAACTGACACGCTGTGTGAAAGAGCTAGGCTTCGTAGGTGCCCTGGTAAGCTCACCTCCATCCTGCCCTATCGCTCTCCCAAGCAAAAAGCATTGTCCCAGTCTCTATCATCTACCCCTGAGCCCTGCCAATATCGTGTCTGACAAGACGCCTTGATCGTCTAGATCGACTCCCACACCAATGAAGGCACCTACTTCGACGGAGACTCCTACCTCCCCCTCTTCGAGACCGCTCAATCCCTCAACACCCCAGTCTACATCCACCCAACATGGCCCACCCCCTCAGCCCTCAGTTCTTTCTACACAGGCTCCTTCCCCCAATCCGCTTCAAAATCAATATCCGCATCAGCGTTTGGCTGGCACTCCGACGTCGCCACCCACATATTACGTCTCGTCGCTTCGGGGCTCTTCGACAAAGTTCCCAACCTCAAGATCATAATAGGCCACATGGGCGAGATGCTGCCCTTTATGCTCGACCGCATATGCCAGCTCTCCCCACGCTGGGGCAAGCATCAACGAACGTTCAAGGAGATTTACGACACGAATATATACATCACGACCAGTGGAAACTGGAGCGTCGATCCCATGGCTTGTATCCTCCGGAACACCAAGCTCGATCATATACTCTACAGCGTCGATTACCCGTTCGCCAGGAACGAGGATGGTCTACAGTTCATGCAGGATCTACAGAAGAGTGGTCTTGTCACAGACGAGCAGTTGGAGGATATTGCGTACAGGAATGCTGAGAGGTTATTGCGAGTCAAGACTGGTCCCGCGTGGGATTAAGAGTGCAGGATTACCGCCCAGACTACCGGCAGTGCAGAATGCAGAACTCTTCAAAGTGCAGAATTGTCCCAAAACGGCAATGTCACGACCAAGACTACCGTGAGTGCAGAATGCAGAATTGTAGATCCGGCAATTCTGCACTTCGTGAATTCTGCATTCTGCACTGCCGGTAGTCTGGGTCCGTGACTTCAATCATCGGTGCGACGACCTTGACGTACCAAAGCTGAAGAAAAGTCTTCGACCATCTTTATATTCTGTCTCGCCTAAGTGCGTAGCATACATTAAGCTCACCATATACCAAAGCCAATATGCCAATCCCAATCCACCACATTTTCCAACTCCTCGCTCAAATGTCGCAGACACAAATTTCCGAACAAATCACACGACAAAGACATCATCTCCTCGAAACCTTCCTTATAGGCCTACTCCCGCCCCCAAATTCCGCCGGATCAACAGTCCTATACCCACTCCTCCTCGTATTCTCTCTCTTCGGCGGCGCCCGTTCCGGCGAATGCTCCTCAATCACCTCGACAATATCATCCTCCGCACTCTCACTCGGCTCAACACGCTCCTCCACCACGACCGTCTCTTCGCGCACCACCCTCTCCCTGCGTGGTCGAGGCGGACTTCTCGGCGGTCCACTCGCCTCCGTCATGGCCCGACTTCGACTACGACTTCGCCGTCTATGTCGAATGACTTCCTCCTGAACCACGCCCCCGCCACGCTGGAAACCAGCAAGCCTAAATGCGCTGAGGAAGATATATAGCAGGAGTATAAATCCGGCTATTGAGCCTAACACTATACCGATGAGAGCGCCTGGTGCGGGACCAGAGTTCAAGCCAGCATATGTGGTGGGGATGGCCAGAATGACATCCGTTCGTTTGTCCAGGGATTGTGATTGTGATATTGAGTCGATGTATATCGTTGGATGTATTTGTAGTGCTTCCGAGACAGAGTTACGAGCAGACGTAGTTGCTGAGCGAGATGTGATAGCGCGCTCCGATATACGGACTGTTCCTCTTATGATGAGTGCGAATATTGATGCGACGGGTGTGCTCGATGTCGAAGAATCTCGTGAGGCCAATGGCAGAGCAAAAGACAGTGTCCTAGCGAGGATTGATTTGAGGTGCGCGCTCGAGGCAATGCGGGCAGACACCGTGGGCGCCATGTGCTCTGGGAGAGGTGCACTGCACCCGTGCTTTCACTGATCTGTGCCCTTCTCTTATTCCCCCAAGGTATTCCCGGCTTATTGTGTGTCTGTGCACGAACGTTGAAGTTGGTTCTTTTTAATTGATGTAGGAGATGTTGTCAATGCTTCGGCTCGGCGGATTGGTTGCGGGCACCAATGGCTGGGTGACTCGGTAGGCAAGAGACAATCAGCCTTCAAAGCGGTAAAGACGACAGTATAGATCTTAGAGTTGAAGTATTTCGAAGAACGAACGACTTGAACAACATACACGTCAGTCACCACAGAAAGTCGGAAGCGAGAAGGTAGAAAGTTGTAGATTGCGAATGCAGGAAGAGAAATTGAGGTGGTGATCATCTGCAGGCACTTTACTGGACCCACGAATTCCCAGCCACTGGTTCAACATGGCACGTCAGATGCCGCTATGCCGCGCCAAAAGCTAGGCTCCCTAACTTAGGCTCCCTAATAAGTTAGGGTCACTAGGCCTGTTATTCCGGTGGTTGGTGTCTCGGGCCTTGCCATAGATGCCCCTCCCGGTACCCATTACCTTGTTCTGCGGGTTATTGACCTCATCTTGTCCATACCGCCATACCCTGCTCAAAATCTTTGGCTTTTGCGGCTCTGATTGTAGGTTTAATGAAACCAAGTTCAACCACGACGACCCGTGGACCAGATTCAGAGTTCTCATTGAGATTTCTGCACGCATCCAGAAAACCCAGAACAATGCCATGCCTTCACCAAAACTCAAGATACACCATACTCCAGTCGCTATGAAATTTTGATCGTTTCCAGTGAATGCAACAACACGCCTAGAATCCAGCAGGGTCACCCAAATCCCACTTCCGCGCCGTCAGTTTCCGCTGTTTCTTCACCGTGGCAGGTGGTTCCTCCTCGTCTGTAGCCTGGCCGACACTAGAGCTTCTCAACGACAGCTTTCGAGGAGAGACATCGGCAACCTGTAGATGGTCCTCACTGCTCCTCGGTTTGACCGTCGCATTGCTGTCTTCTCGTGTCCTCAACGAGGCCAGGAACGGATTCGTGGCGATGTTACTGTTCGACGTCTCTTGGAGGACCAACCCCTTGACTGGGGATTTAGGTGCTGTTCGCGACTTCTTCGTCGGACTTCTCGTCTGCATCTCTTGCTCAAATGCTCGAATCTTTGCTCGAAGAGTGTCGTTTTCTCTTTCAAGGTCTTCCACTCTGCTGTCGCTGGATTGATCTTCATGGATCGTAATCCTGGCCGTCTTCTCGAGGATTTCGAGCTTGCCGTCCACAAATGCTTCGTTCTGCATCTTCTCATGCTCCCACGCCTCCCTCCATCGTTCCTTTTCTTCTTCCAAATGCTGATCCATCTCGTTCCAGCACTCTTCTCGGACTTCCTGTTCCATCACCACAAGCTTGTCCTCTGCCGCCTGCAGCTTCAATTCAGCCTCGGTTCTCTTGATTTCTTCCTCTGCCAGTTTCATCGCCAACGCGTCACATTCTTCTCCCAGCCTGCTGGCTTCGTTGGTCGCTTGTTCCAATTCTTGAGCACTGAAATAGCTATTTGGCATGTCATGAGGTGTCGTCCGACCACTGTGTATCGTCCTGCCGTGACCAGGCCCACCGAGTATTGCACTGGTCACACTAGGTATTCTGGGAACAGTCACTTCTCGCGCCAACGCCGAATACCTCAGAATCTGACTGGTGGCATTGAAGTCGCCCAGTGGATCAGCTGTCACAATCATGACTGCCTTTTGGGGCTGTCGATATGAGCTAGCATGGGTTGATGATGGGAAAGAGTTGGATAACAGCAACTCGGTGAGCTTGCACTGTCGGAAGGGGACGATGGGCTTGCTTCCCTCCAGCTGACAGTCACTTTGAACCTGAAGACACTGGCCAAGATACATCAAACTTTCGTTGATCTTGCCAGCCTCAGCAAGCGTGGATCCGGTGGTTTTGGCATTCCTGGCACGTTCCGAACCTGCCAAATCGACAATGGACATGGTTCCGCCTGTCCATGCTGGCATCACATATGCCGCATGTCCTTGCATTTCCGTCTTTTTCTTGACCTCGATACAAAAGAAGCCGTGACTTCTCGAGCTGACGCTGTTGCTGCCTGTCCCTGCGACTCGTCTTTCCGTCAATCCGGTTTCAAGAACAAGCATGGCCTCGTCGTAATTCGCACACACAATCTTTCGAAGACCCGCCACCACCTTTTTATCTGGAGACATCTCCGTGTTCTTGAACAACAGCGGTCGCCGTAAGAGGCCTTTCTGCAGAGCTGCTCCTTGTCTCGTTGACATGGCAGGCCCATTGGAAGGTGCTTGGGTAGAAAGAAGATCAAAGATACGGTCATTGTAAACCTCGTACATTGATACCAGGACGACATATTCGGCTCTGGACTCGACTTCGATGGAAAAGGATGACATGTTCGGATGTTGTGGAAACGTACTAGGTCTCGGCAACGGTGCTTTTCGCATGGTATGTGCCATCGAATCCTTAACAATCTTGGTTTTAGTAGGCGATCTTGTAAGGCTTCTCAAATGGGCCAAAAGAGGGACTTTGGAAGGGGGCTTCCAAGGATTCTTCTCGGGCGAAGAATTGGTCTCTTGGATGTTGGGTAGCATCCGCACCGTAGATGGACCGCCTGGGAAGTGGTTTGGGACAAAAACAATAGATGACGGTCTCGCGGCTGTGCTTGTGCGTGTGCAGTCCGGGGGAGTTTTGGGAAAGGAGCCGGGAAGCTCGGGATTGCCTACCATCATGGGGGTTTGCGCTCTCGACATGGGTGTCTGAGCTCTTGATAGCCTTCCTCGATCGCTGTCGCCATAGACTGATTCCAAGAAAGTTGTTGCTGATAGGATCTGAGCCTCCGAGACATCAGATGCTTGTATTGATGACAAGAGTGCCGTCTCTGTAGGTGATGGACGTCGTATACTTTGTCCGATTGATCTGAAAAGCACATCGAGGGACATTTGCGTCAAACCTCTCTGTGACTTCGATCCAAGTATGGTATGACTCTGCCAACATAGTCAGCCATGATTCCACCTTTTTCAATGTGTCTCACCTTCCCACTTCCAGTGACTCCCAGTGTAGCAACAAGGCCATCCCTTCCTGTTTGTAAGACAGTCTTAATTGTGTCCGCAGTGCCCGTCTCTTGAAAAACATCGAGCTGTGATGCTGCCTCGTCGAAGATCTTGGTGAAGCCGAATCTTTCGATGGCTCGCTTCCTAGAGTCATTGGGAGGTTGGAGTGTGATGTGCGTCGGGAAGGAGCTGTGCGCATCTTGCCTCTGAGAGTTTGCGGACTCTACTATAAGCCATGGTTCGTTCTTCTGTGTGGGCAGCTGATGGTCAATGGGAGGTCGTAGCCGTAAGTAGACCTGGAACAGCGATGTTTGCGTCGCCATTTTGGCAGTGTTGTCCGTAACGAAATGAGGTCTGCCGCAGATTTGTATTCGCAAAAGATGGCGTTCGTCTTCACAGTGATCGTGGGCGCAGTGACCAGATCTTCAGGCCAAGTGCAATGCTGCATTGGCATATGCTTTGTTTACTGTACCGGCCCAATTAGGAAGGTGGCACTCACGGCAGCCGCTACTTGCAGCCTTGCCACGACCACCCTTGGCTTTGGAGTGCTCCAAGACCTCTACTTGTTACAGTATAACATGGCATCAGAAACGCAACAATTCTTCCCACATACTCCTTACTCGATTCTAGGAAGGTCATAGTAAAGTGAGCAGCCCGAGTGGGTTTTGGGGCAATTCTACAAAGGGGAAGGGAACTCGGTCCTGGTAGAAAGTGACTGCATTTCGCCAAGTACGATCGATCACAGCGCCCTCGAAAAGTAGGTCATAACAATACGATATTGTGAGCTCAAAAGTCCTCATCAACTCTTATACAATGTTCAATTACTCTACCCAGTTTGCTGCTGGCCGCTGCAATTATCCAATGCCCATCCACCGGGCTATCCAAGGTCATTAGTCCATCATCAAATGCTTGTCCTTTTGATACAGCTCCTCAATCTTGGCCCGTCTCTGCTCGCTCCTGACCTTGAGGTCAAATTTGAACGGCAACGGACCTCCAATGACATTACTCGTCATCGCAAACGGGTCAGGCCATTGCAACTGACCATCTGGTCCAACATTCGGTTTCATGGTGAAGGCCCATAATAAAGACCCGCAGCCGACCAACAATTCAGCCTCCGTGACCTCAATGCCCGGGCACATCCGTCGACCTCGGCCAAATCCATGATGTCCCAGTAGGCGAGGATGTACCGTCAGTGGTTCTTGGTATGTCGGATACTCGGCCTCGAGCCATCGGCCCGGGTTGTAGGCATCAGCGTCAGGATACAGAGTGGGATCGCGTGCCATGGATAAATCGATGGCGTGTACGACAGCTCCTTTCGGAATATAGTAGCCTTCGTACTCGTCATCGTCAGTGACAAGACGAGGGACGCCGAGCGGGACTGGTGGGCGCCACCGGATACATTCCTTGATACATGCTCGCAGAATAGGAAGGTTGGGAGAGTCGCTGAGGTCGATAATTCGATCGTGTCCCACCACAGCATCGATCTCGGCACGACACTTCTCCTGCCATTCTGGGTGAAGCACCATGGCCAGGAAGAAGCAATACAGGGGTCCACCAATAGTGAAGATTGCCACGGTACACAACATGCCTACAGCGTATGCAGCTTCATGCTCGTCGAAACCGAAGTCTTTGCCGTCACCTTTCTTTTCAGCAGCATCCTTGCGTTCGAAGTAGGTCCGCGCAAATGAGACTTCAGCAATACCTCGATCCATCTCATTGCGGACCTGGGTCATGAGACCTTTCCACAGACGCTCCTCACGTTCTCGTCGTTGTCGGCATGGCTTCTTGGCGGTGTTGATCCATTCCGGAAGGGCCCCTAAGAACGGCATGATATTGGTGATTGGTCCACTGGCTGAGGGAGAAATCTGTGGAATGAATTCGGCCGCATTCTTGCAATGCGCGGCTGCTGATGCCGGAGAACCAAAACAAAGTCTTGAGGCAATTCGGCCGCAGAAGCGATCGGTTTGTGAATAATGATCCTGGGGATCCTGAAGGAGATTGTACAAGAATCGCTTTGCCTCCACCGGGATGTAACCGTGATATTGACTGTTGTATGCAGAGTTCAATGATGTATGGGCAAATTTCCTTTGCATGCGCCAGTGATCTTTCAGGCATTAGCTGAAGCCCCTCAAAACGAGTACTGATACTCACCTCCATACTCGAGCAAGGGTAAGTATTGTGCCTGCGAGTGACTACCAGGTACCGCAGCGACTTCCGGTCTCGAAGAATATTGAGGAGCGCGTTTGCAGTACAGTTCCTGAGCAATGTCGCTGTCGCCAAGCCAGATGTGCATCTCACCACAAGCTGTCAGTCTGAAGAACCCCTTGTACTCATCGGCCCACTTCTTCATGGAATTCCAGGGGGCGTTGGCATCGATATCGACTCGTCCGATATAAGGAATCGTACTAGGAGGTCCCGGTACGAGTCGGAGGCCCTTGGGTGGTTTGTCCTTGAAGAGGAGATAGCGCAGAAAGCCGAAGAGAGCAGGGCATAGCAAAACCGTTGCTAGTATTGTCCATTTGTATGTGATAAAGATGTTGTTTGTGAATGTCTGTGAGTGAAGGACTTGAGAGGTAGCATTTGGAAAGGAAGCAATGGGCAAGGAAGAATACAATGTAGCCATGTTAACGAATGTACGGGTTCAATTCCACGTGGGGAAGTGAGGCGAGTATAGCGACATTAAAGAATGAATGAGACCTGTGTCATAGATTATATGTTCACGCCGAGAGGACTCACTGTAGCACTTAAGGCAGGCGCGGGCGGGCCTTAAGCAGACAAACGTTGTTGACATCTGTGAATTTCCTCTCCACATCGGTGGTCCGCGATGAGATTCATCGTCTCCCATTCGCTAGTGTTATCGCGAGCCTTGCATATTTCGCATATTAGTGTCCGGCACTGCCATCATCAATCAGGCAATAATGGGGTCACTGCGCGTGCGGCTGACATGAAAGTAACAAGCGTAAGGGAATCCTCTAGAGAGGGCCTTGGATGTATTATTAGATGACGCTAAACCCTTTGTAGTAGCTGGCTCTATGGAGACCAATTCCCGACCAATAATCTCCGACGAGGCTGCTATTGGTCTTTGTCTAGTTTGACAGCATCTAACACGGTCTCGCCATCTCGGACCGGAGATGTCAGAGCGAGGTACACACAAGAAATTCCTTTATGTTACAAAAAGACGTCGCGTCCCCTCATCTCACACGACCAAACTTAAAGAAGACTGCCCGATTGAGGCAACATACCCATCCATGGTGAATGATGAAAGGAGGTCTGGGTCACCTCCGCAAAGGTGCCCCTGACAGGCTCCGTTCAAAGGTCTGGAGTGCCCTTCTCCCACATTTTCGCCGTTGCACGTCAGAACACCGTCCCGGATGCCGTGAAAGCACCGGCCTGGTGGAAAGCACGTGTGCTTGCGTGTGCTTGCCTGATAAAGACAGTCGATCATGGTGAATAGACACAATAACCGTCATACATCTGAGATCACCAGCGTTCACCATGCCCGCGGTTTCGTCACAAAGGAGGATACCAGTCACTCCTTCATCCCTAGGTCGAGCACCAACTTCCCGGCGACACCCTTGTGATAATCCTCAACAAGCTCGTTCAACCGTTCAAAAGCATACGTCTTAACCTTGGCCTTGACTCCCTCTCGTCGACAAAACTCAAACATATCCCTCATAGCCTTGTTCGACCCGATCAGCGACCCAATAACACGAATCCTTCTAAACACCAGATCACTTGCCGCAACATGGAACCCATCCTTGGGAAACGACACAACGACAACGATCCCACCATTCCTAACCAACTCCACCCCATAGTCGAACGCCCTCTGACTCTCCGGCAGAATCAGCACAGCATCAACCCCCATCTCAGCTAGATGCTCTCTCCCGTCCTCCTGCCCAATCGCCCTTCTGACATCCCCAGCGCTCTCAGTCCTCGCATCAACGATCCTCGCTCCTATCCCAGTCCCTACCTCTCTCGCCAGCTCCAGCGCCCCAGGCGCAACATCCACGCCCGTGACATTCAACCCCATTTTAACAGCAAACTGCAACCCCAGATGTCCCAGTCCACCACCACACCCCATGATCGCAACTCTCTGCCCAGGCTTGAGCTCACAGTTCCTCAGCGCCGAATAGACAGTCAACCCGGCACACATCAAAGGCGCGACTTCGACAGCCGTCATCCCCTCCGGAATACCCGCAACCTGTCGTGAGTCGACAAGAGCATACTCGCGGAACCCACCGTGTCTGCCTGGCCCTACGCCCAATCCCCGTTCAACGTAGGGACAGTAGACAGAGTATCCCGGCTCATCGGGGTCCAAGCCCGAAGGATTCATACATTCCATGCACTTCCCACAAACATGGTATCCTCGTCCTCGCACGGCGACGCGATCGCCAACCTGGTAAGCTTGAACATCACTGCCCAAAGCAACCACCGTGCCTGCGAACTCGTGACACCCCACGTGCGGCAGCATCGACTCTGGGCCCAATTGGCCAGCAGCCAGTACGGCGTCGGTGTGGCAGTAGGACGCCGCATCTACGCGGATGAGTATGTCATGCTGATCCTCAATGCTCGGCACGGCCACCTCCCGTAACGCGTAGGGCGTGTTGAACTTTTCGAGAACGTGCGCTTTCATTGACCGAGGTAACTCATCCTTCGAGGTGTGAGTCATGTCGTCGGGTACACAATGTTCTGGTGCCGTTGAGGAGGGAGTATAAACCAAGCAGCGTGCTACTTCTTGATGCGTCCACGTCGTTTGCTTCTTTTGAGCAGTACGACAACACAGGTAGGATAGTACCTCGTCAACATCGTATGCAGTACTAGTACTGTTGAAGAAGGCAACAATCCACTAACGCGGAGAACGAAGACCGGGGGCCAGATGAGGGGAGACCCAACTCCGTCAGCACCACGTGCTGAGAGGGACATATCATCATGCACTTCACTTGCCGTGGTTAGTGTTCCATTCCAAAAGATATCGAGGGAAGCTGGCGTGACAGACAACATATTGGCAGTCTGCAGCGTGTAGGGGATCTCTCCGAGCAGCACATCATGGTAGAGTAAGAGAAGCTGCAAGGTCTGATAAGCACAACAATCATGTTGGCATTGGAATAGCTATGTTTTTCAGTCGAGCATTCGACCAAGGTGAAACAGCAACTTTTTCAAGCAGCCCCAAAGACTTTTTCATCAGCCAACCTCGCTTCTTCGCTGTCGAAATGAGCCCAAAGTTCAATGAATATCGTGAATGCGTACGTCGCCTATACATCGCTGTTGGAAACCGAAAAGACCGAATATTAAATGAAAGGCAGGGACCCGCCCAAGGGGGCTCAGCGGCCGGTTCTCTGCTTTCTGATGGCCTTTCGTTCTTGTTCCTTGGCTATAATATTCGTTAGCAAGATCTCCTCATCTGTCCCGAGAGGATGAAACATACCTTCATCATACACCAAGAACTCGTGTAGAGCCTTTCCAGCCGGTACCATGGGCAAGACTGGCACCTTCTTGTCAGTCACAACTTCCAAGAACGCTGGTCCATCGCCGCTGCCGCTGATCAACCACTGTAAGCTTTCCTCGACATCTGCAGGCTTGATGCATCTTCGTGCCGGTACACCCATTGCTTCGGAAAGCTTGACGAAATCGGGGTTCTTCTGATGTGTGTGGGCATAGCGATCTTCATAGAACAGACCCTGCCATTGCGTCACCATACCCTGCTCTTCGTTGTTGAGGACAAGGATCTTGACGCCAATGTTAAACTGATTGGCTGTGCTCAATTCGGTCAAAGTCATGTTGAACGAGGCGTCGCCATCAATATCCACAACGAGAGCATCTGGCCTGGCAACTTTAGCACCAATTGCTGCTGGAAGGCCGTAACCCATGGTTCCTAGACCGCCAGACGTGACCATGGTTCGAGGATGTCGCCACCTAAAATGTTGAGCTGCCCACATTTGATGCTGACCAACACCCGTGGCGATGATGGTTCGCTCCTTCATATGAGCCGTCATATCCGAAAGCTTCTCGATCACCTCTTGAGGCTTAATCAGCCCGTCAGGTGTTCCTTTTTCAAACGCGTTCAATGGGAATTTCTCTTTCCAGGCATTAATCTGGGCGAACCATTCGGGTCGACTGCTGACGTTGTTGACCTTGGGAAGGAGCTCGGCCAAGTTGGCCGTCACATCTCCCTCCACGGCTTCGGTAGCCTGTACAACCTTGTTGATGTTCTTGGGCTGGATTTCGAAGTGAACAATACCACCGCGCTTAGCAGCTGCAGCGGCCTTGGCTTGTGGGGCGAATTTTGCGATATTTCCTGTCACACGGTCGTCAAACCGGGCGCCCAAAGCAATGATGAGGTCGGCCTCTTGCATTGCCATGTTGGCATAAGCCGAGCCGTGCATGCCGAGCATGTGTAAGGACTTGGGATCAAGCTCGTCAAACCCGCCAAGACCTTGTAGAGTCGTCGTTACAGGGATGGAGGCTTTATCGGCAAGTTCCTTCAAGAGTTTGGGTCCTTCAGGAGTGGCCAACACTCCCTGTCCAGCATAGATGACTGGTTTTTTCGCAATGTTGATGAGGTCAGCCACACGAGAAATGCTGCCTGCCAACTGTCTTTTGGACTGATCCCTTGCGGCCAATGTTGCGGCGGAAGGATGTGATGGCAGGGTAGATTGCATAGGGATTGGTCTTCTCAGAATACCAGCAGTCACATCCTTGGGAAGATCAACGAGCACAGGACCGGGTCGTCCTGAAGTGGCGATCTCGAAGGCCTCCTTTATGCGCTTGGGAAGCTCGGCCACACTCTTGACCATGACATTCCACTTTGTGCAAGCTCTTGAGATGCCAATTACATCTGCTTCTTGGAAAGCGTCTGTGCCGATGGCTGTGGTGGGTACCTGACCGCAGAATACGACCATGGGAGTACCGTCAGACATGGCATCCTGCATGGGTGTGATGACATTGGTAGCTCCCGGACCTGAGGTCACCAGGACGACACCAGGCTTTCCGCAAGCTCTGGCATATCCTTCTGCCATATGTCCTGCGCCTTGTTCGTGTTTAGGAAGAACGAACTCGAAGTGTTTTGAATTGTAAATGGCATCGAACACTGGAAGAATGGCGCCGCCAGGGTAACCGAAGACATGCTTGACGTCCAAACGCAGCATCATCTCGTGGAAGATTTCTCCACCACTGAGACCGACGAATGAGTCGTCGAGCTCGGGTGTTTGTCTATTGACCAAGGGCGAAGGTTCATATCGACGGAAATCATTGTTGAAGGCAGGACTCGGAGTAGGTCTCATAGAACTGTGGAGGGGCGGTCAGTCTGTCTGTGAAACTCATACTCGTCTGACTGATTGACTTACGGTGCTGCGGCAGTAGTGGCCGGTCTTCTCGATTGCTCTGTAGCTGGTTTTTGTGACTTTCGGTATGGTGAGAGAGCTGCCGCGGGAGCGGTGGTGGAAAAAGATTGCGAACACGAGGGTCTCCGTCTCGACAAGGAGCGTATGGCAGTTGAGCCAGGCCTCATGGGCATTATTTTGGTCGCCATGGTGTTTGACCAAAGAGAAGAAATGGAAGTGTTCAATGAGAGGGATCAATTAAGTGTGAAGCTGAGTAGTAAAGAATTATGAGTCAACGCCTCCCTCCGTTGGTGCGGCCGTCAGCTTCAATTGTGTCGGAAGATCGTAGGCGGGAAGTGGCAGGCCATTTTTCACAAATTGCGGAGAACAAGAGACGACGCCACTCAAACTCCCGGCCGATACCGGTCTTGGCAAGTCTCTACGCGATCGAGGCCTTGAAGAGAACCACCAACCGTCATCGAGTCGTTACCAAATAATGAATGAGCGGCACAGATTCACAGAACGAGCGACCCGAGATCGAACTAGGGATGTGGAGGATTCTGTATTTTGTCTACGCTCTCTTCCCAAATATCCTTAACCTCTTCACTCCACCATCAGGGATGATGGTCATCTTAGCATGGGTCCAGACGTGACCGTCGGGCGCGTCTGTTGCTACCAGATCGCTTCCCTCAAAGACATGCTCTGCATCGGCTTTACAAGGCTGCTCACCCAGGAACAAAGGCACCCAACCGGCATGATGAACAGTAGGATCGGTTTCAGTGCCCAAGGCCGCTTTCGCAGCTTCTGTCGACCAGCCCTCCACTTTGACAGCCCTGGGGAAATTACCTCGAAAGTCTTTGGTGTCGACAATCACCTTTTCGATCTTCTTTCCTTTCAATCCCAATCTGACAATTACCCAGTCGACGTGTCCCTTGGTCCTGCTGCGCGAAGTCTCCCATCCATCACCCATATCTTTTCCACGACCAGGTAACAGCAAGTATGATTTCCCACCAAAGTGCTGATCGGAGCATTCGAGGGCAACACCACCATTGAGAGCGGCCGCAAGGTCCTCCACTGGTCTCTCGCCCGCAGTCGCGCTTGCAGGTAACGGTGGGGGCTTGACGCTTCCATATACTCTGACCCTAGCAATTCCACCGTCGGGATATTGTTTTAATCGTAGGTGAGTGAACTCCTTGCCTGTTACTCCTGGTCCAGATACTTTCCACGCTTGTCGCTGGCTAGGTCCGCACTTTGAAGGAGGCAGGATTTCGGTCCATCCCTGAAAGTCTTCCTTCTCAACTCCACTGCCCTCCTCTTGATCGGGACCAAGGAAGCATCCGTCCAGCCCTGCAAATGGTGCCTCATTGCCGTTGAAGTATGCCGTGTCAACCTCTACCGCATCTATCGTCCCGACGCACCCCAACTTGAAGACTACCCAGTCGTACTCTTTGGTATTGTGTCTTCTTGTCTCCCATCCATCATACCACGCACCTGTGTGCACGAAATATCCAGCCTTGCGAATGGGTGGGCCTGGTGTCAATAGGTTCTCGGCTGAGGCGAAGTATTCGTCGGAGAAGGAGAGGACTTTCGCTCCAAGTACTGTGCTTGTGAGGTTCGTCGAGGATGAAAACGTCGTGTCAATCAGCGCCGCAGGTATGGGTACTGTGTTTACATCGCCGCTGCCTGATGGTGCAGCACTGGATCTCTCTATGGCAGCTTCTGAGATGATCTGCGGCACAATGTTGATTTCCATGATGGCAGACCGGTGTTAAAGAGGGAGCAATTCGTTGTCGACAAAAGAAAAGGTTGATAATCCAAACCCGGTTCTGGAAAACCTCCTTGACGAAAAGAGCGGCAATCAAAAAAGATGATGAGATTGGTGTCCCGTACGAGACTCGAAAGCAAGCAGCAACTGCACAAGTACGACTTCTTACAAAATTGTTTCTCCTCCCCTCAATTTGTTCAAAAACAAAATGCAGCGATGGCGGAGGGCGCCGAAGCGCGCATTGAAACACCCCGCTTCATCTTTCGCCATCCCTGCCACAGTGCACGTGCTCAATATCTTCGAAGGCACGTGACATAAACCCTCGCAGGATGGTATGTGTACGACAGGAAGGAAAGGCATTCGCTGTGTTTATCTACCTCTGGCTCTTGTCGATATGGTACTTTTTGATCTATACCTATTCGAAATGGGCCGGATCTATCGCAAGGAGGCCGGAGCAGATTTCGATCTTGAACCCGCCATGCTCATCTATATGTACGCCAAACAGTGTATGCGTCCAGATATCCATCATTCATGGCTCATGAAATCATGATCATAATCCCGCCGCGACACCGACCGTTGCTATGCCAGTAAACACAGAACTTTAGGAGATAGATTGGCTGACGAACCGCATCATACGCCCTGTTGTCCACCCTCCTTCTCTTCCCTCTCAGAGATCTTGGACTCTTTCCTCGCCTTCTTCTTCCGATCCACAGCCCGTCTCCAGTCCTCTCCCCAAACCGTTGTCGCCCAAAGACTCACAGCGCTCACGACCAAAAACAGCGCCGAAACCGAACTGAACCAGCCCACCCCAATCTTCTCAATAGCAGGCAAACACACCGCACTCCCCGCTGCCGAGAAAAGATACCGAATCATGTAATTCCCAGCCACAACCTCCGCCGACAAGCCTTTCGCCTGCATCACATCCAAACAATAAGTATTCAAACTCGGGAAACAAAACAACTGGGCGACACCCTGCACGAACATCGCCATGACAGGTAGCGGGATGCCCCCGACCTTTTTCTCCACCGACCACCCGTAAATCAACATACATGCCGGGATCACGAAGCCGACGAAAGCGTAGCATGACCTCAACCGATCCTCCGGCACACGTCGACCTTTCTTAAGAATCCACTTCTTGACAATATGATCTGCCCAGCGACCGCCAAAGAACGTTCCCAAAAGGTACCCGCACCCAGGCGCGATGTAGAACAGTCCCGATTGAATCGGGCTCGTGAGATGGAACCGCGGATTCAACACGTACCGAATCGGCGTGAGCAGGCTGTACATATTCCAGACGAGCGAACTGGACGCCAACCCCGCAAGGATCAGATTCGGGTAACTGAACAACAACACCGTCACACGTATTGGAGAAACCCAATGCGCGATCCGCAGCGTTCTTTCCTTCCTCGGCAAGTCGCGCAACTCATCGATCTTTTTCTGCGGTATCGTCTCCGGCAGGGCAAACACGACGAGGATGGTAGCCAGCCCGCCCAGTGCAGACTGCAGCCAGAATATGTCCCGCCAACTGCGAAACGTGACGATAATACCGCCTATAAATGGCCCAAAGGCAGGACCGATCAGCGTGCCGGAAAGAAACCAGCCCAGCGCCGTGGCGCGCTGTGTCGGCGTGTAGATATCGCCCAGACACGATGTTCCCACGATCAGAAACGACGTGCCCTGGTAGGCCGTCAGCATGCGGAAGATGAAGTAGCTTGCTAGATTGGGCGCGAGGGCCGTGCCGACGCTAAATGCGAAGAATAGGATCGCAGTGACGATACAAATCCAACGGCGTCCGTAAATCGTGGAAAGTGGACCCCAGAGACTCGGCGATAGGCCCATGAATACTAGATATAAAGCGTTGGAGAGGTTGATGATACTTCCGCTGGTGTTGTACGTGGCGGCGACTTCGGGGATGGCGGCGAGGATGGTGGTGCTGGAGATGGGCGCGAGGAAGCCGCATAGTGCCAGGACACATGCGATGAGGGTCTTGCGGCGCTCGGTGAAGCGCTCGTACTGAGCGGCGTTGATTTCGACGTATGAGCTGTCGTGGGACTGGACGCCGTGCATGTCGTGGTGCGAGACTGTCGAACGGATGCGTGTTAGGTCTGGTCGGTCTTTGGCTTCTGAGTCGTCGGGATCGGGTATTGTCGTCGTGGGGATTTTCTCCATGTCGTGTGTGCCGGTTGGAGGTTGGATGGGACGGATCTGAATTTCTTGTTCGGCTTGTTCGTTGACGTCGACATGGTCGTGGTGAAGTTCGCCTGTCATGATGGTGGTTGTATCGTGTTGAAGTCTGATATCATGGTCTTATTGAGAAGTGAGTGTGGTCGAACCGACGCTGGAACTTGAGTAGTGGCTGGCCGATTTGTTCGTGGGGAACGACGACCGAGGCGTAATGATATGTAAATGATAGTTTATCTGCAGACGAAGCAGTAGAAAAGAAAGAGAATGACTCGAAATGATTCGAAGCAGAAGATCAAACAGATCGTCACGGGCTCATAGGTCCTCAACCGAGACCTCACCGTACTTGCTCGAAATGATTTAAATAAGCCGGCTCACGGCAATGTCATTAGGGCAATATGTTGAACGCCCTTCCAGGAGCCTGCAAATCTGCCATCAGTTTTCCCTATCAACAGCAAAATCACCTAGGTAAAGACCGCCGTCATGACCTGTCTGATAGTCCGACTTCGGGCATTCGCCGTCCTCTTTTTATCAGGATTCATTTCATTCGTTGACACCGATGCCGAGTGCCGTTTGAGCCAATCAGACTAGACAATAGTCTTGGTGCGGAATGTCGCCCACAGAAGGTTTTTCTTCTCTGACCGCCCTAAGAAGACGGCACAGACGGAACAAACGTCTTTCTGTGCCGACGGCTCGGCAAATCATATCCGGCCATAGGGAGAAAAGACATCAAGAGTCATCCTTGGACAGGAATAACAATTGGAAGACTCGAAGATATTCTGTTCTGGCAGGTAGGTAGGATGGAGAGGTTGTGATGATTTGTTTGAAGATGGAGAAGTCCCTTTACAGTAAGAACAGCCAATTCTGGGGTCATTTGAAGATGACGCGACCGAGCACGTAATCAAGGGGAATGACAGCCTTGGTCAGCCTTGCCAACCACAGACTCGAACTGATCAGATCAGTAATACATAGGTAAGGTAGGTACATGACATTCATTCAGGAAGGCGGGAATCTAGAAAAGACGTGCATCACCTTCTTACAGCTTCGCTGCAACTCTGGTGCTCGTGGCCTTCAAAGTGGCCTTCAACTGCCGCCTCAGAATCTTGCCGCTAGGACTCTTGGGAATGGCATCAACGACATACACACCACCTCTCAATTTCTTGTGGTTTGCAACCCTGCCATTCAGCCAGATGTTGATCTCTTCCGCTATCGCTTTGTCACCCTTTCCTCTAGCTTTTGCAGTAACAACGACGAATCCCACCGGCAATTCCGCCGCCTGTTCCTCGACCCAGCGACCGACAACACATGCGTCCTCGACATCGGGATTCTCGAGAAGCTTCCCCTCCAGCTCACTCGGAATCACCTGAAGTCCCTTATACTTGATCATCTCCTTGATGCGGTCAAGCAAGATGATGAAGCCATCCTTGTCGATCGACCCGATATCTCCTGTGCGGAACCACGGCTTCCCACCATCCTCGTCCGCCGCAAATCCATCTTTCGTGGCTTCCTCATTCCGATAATACCCCTTCATAACGTTTGGTCCACGGCACCACAATTCGCCCGGCTTCGCGGACCCGTCTGCCTCCGTCCCAGTGTCCTGGATGGTCTCTGGGTCGACCACACGAAACTCCATATTCGGCGTGATATTTCCCACCGTGTACCGCTTATCAGGCCGACTCGGCGGCGTGGCCGCAGCCAGCGGGCTCGTCTCGGTCAGGCCCCAGGCTTGTAGTCCCAGCACCGTCGTGCCATAGAGTTTCTTGAACCGCGCCTCGACGGCTTCTCGCAGTTCAGCGCTCAACGGTGCTGCGCCTGAGTACACTCTCTTTAGGCTGCTTAGGTCGTATTTCTCGACGATAGGATGCTTGGCCAGCAACAACATGATGGGCGGGACGAGGGCGGCAGATTCTGGTCTGTATTTCTGGATGCAGCTGAGGTACAATTCTGGCTCGAAGCGTGGCATGACAACGGTCGTACTGCCTACCAACGTTCCGTTGCAGACATACAGGGCCAGACCATAGATGTGGCTGAACGGCAGGAACGTCACGAAAGTGTCATGTCCTGCGGTCACTTCTGGCATCTGTAGGATCCACTGTTTCATGTTGGACACCAGATTATGGTGCGTAGTCATAACGCCTTTGGCTCGACCTGTGGTGCCCGAGGAAAAGCACATGAAGCTGAGACGCTCACTGGCTTCGCTGCTCTTGATACTGACAACCGGACTGGATGGGCAATTGGTGGCGAGATACTCGGCAGTCGGCTTGCCATGCCTATCACAGTTCCCGTCCGCTTGAACGATTTTGATGGTAGGGTCGAATTGTACTGCCTTTTCAGCATTGTCCATGAGTGAAGAGTGGGCAATGAGGCACTTGGCGCCGCTGGTCTCCAGTTGAGCTTGTATCTCCGTTGGTGTGTATGCTGCACTGAGAGGAGAGATAGTGCCACCACACGCCAACACCGCAAAGCAGGTGATGGGGTAGTCGATGCTGTTTGGACTGATGAAGGCGACAACGTCTCGTGGTTTCACGCCCAAGCCTCGCAGGCCGTGGGCTAGAGATCTAGTCCTCTGCTTGACTTCGCCATATGTGCGAGCATCTTCCGTGACAGCATCGATGTAGATGCGCTTGTCATCCGGCGTGTTGTTGGGGTTCGAGAAGAGAAAGGTAAGCAGGTCAATGTCAACGGATTCGATAGGTGGGTACGAAGAGCGATAGATTCTCGATGGCATCTTATGATGCCACGGACGGGAATCGACCGAGAGCTGTGTCAATCGCACAAATGAAGAGGCGAGTTCCAACAAAGACCACGATGAGCACAACCAGTAACAGTCCTGGACATTTTGAAGATGAGGGAATGTCGAGCTTTAAAACAGTACTCACTGCCGGATGTACGTGGGCTTGCGGTCTCATCTGGTTCTTTCCACCACAGTGCCTCGCTTAAGCGGGTCGAAACCGTGGAGGCGGATGTCAGCTTATCCTCACTCGACCTCTGGTATCCTGACGCGAAAGACAGTAGCCAAAAATAGAAGTATTCTCGATTCGCCCTGCCGTTGAGGCCTCCTTTTGATTGTGTCCGATGTTTCCTCAGCTTTGCTGGTCAACAGACAAAGCATCAGTGATTACTGACCTTGACAAAGGCTGATTCTGGCCAACACGATGGCATTTTGTGCCAGACGTCCACCCACAGTGTCTGGACATCGACTCACGTGACCAAGTAAGCCGCCTCGGCCACTGCTTACTCTCCAACAGCGATGGCATGGCAGGTGTTCGCTGTAATCATGAACAACAAGAATGACCTCCCAAAAACACGGTAAGTGTCTTGGGAAATCAGGGGTGGGATGGGTTCGGGAAGGTCGTCTTTGTCATTCGCTTTCACTGATGACAGTCTCCTGCACTACCATTGACATATCTTCTAATCATCGTCGTCAAAACATGGGAACATTCCACTTGCATCGCCATAGTGTTTGACGTCTGAGTCCGTGGTCTCCATGTCCTCCATCTGGTCGTTGTCTTCACAGTCCGCCTCATAGCATTCGTCGATGTCATCAAGGATGACCGCTACATCCTCCACGTCCACAAAGAGGATGTTGATCATGTTATACAGAGCTGGATGTAGTTGGACGTTCTCACACATCACATGCCGGGTCAAAAAGCAGCGCTCGGCCCCATCTACTGTGTCCATGGTGAAGAATTTGGCAAAGGATTCGGGTGTCTGGAAGGCGAATTCGACCAGCAAGTACATCATGGGTCTTGCCGCGGTACAAAGGGACTTGCAGGTGAGTAATAGTTGGCAGCGCTCGGTCTTCGCAAATTCTGGCTGACTGCGTGTCTTCTCCGCTGTCTGGCGCACGAGCATGAGTCTGTCCTTGTACAACTCGGTGATGATCTGCGTGAGGACATTTATTGGGAGGTGAGGGAGGTAATCTCTGTGTTCTCGAGCATTCCGGAAACATCTGGCCGTCTCAGCCTGGCGAACTCTGGCCAAGGCCAGGTATTTTCCAGGGGCTGATGGTGGACTTGGTGCGGAAGATCGCTCTCTGCGTGGCACGGGCGGTGGTGTATTGGGGATGAGATCGGGAGTCACCATGGTGGAAGAGAGGAACGAGTTGCGTCGCAGAGATGGAGAGCCGTTTTTTCTAGTGAGTTGGAAGTGTGAGAGAAAGCTGGACGACAGGAACGGCTGTGTAAAAAGACGTTCTATGGTCTTGTTTGTTGGTTGATGGTGACAGGAGGATGGCAAACAATAAGAATGCTTGGATTGCTGCCGTGGATGAAGAACAACAGTCCTCCGAAGATAAGATCGCATACATATGCGATCACAGGCAGTAGGTACGGATGCAGGAAGTAATTTGATCAGAATGTGTTGAACCTGGCGTCCAAGGACAACAGGACAAATATTGAGATATCCAGGCGTCGGGGGCATTGTGCACAGAGGAAAATTGCTGTCTCTTCTATCACGCTCCGGAAGTCCAGAGAACAAATGCCTTCTGTCTCGCGATAGGAACGCATTGAGCAAAGATGCCATTGTCGCTTGCGCGACCTACCAGTCGTTATACTGCTTTAGGCTCGTCATCTAGAGACAGTTGAGACATGCCTTTGTCCCCTCAAACATCGAGCGCACCACCGACAATCAGAGACGACCCTTGGCTCGGCTTGGAGATAACAATGGCTTCCTGAAGAGTCTCTTCGCTCATGTCGGGAAATTTTTTGGCGTAGTACTCCTTTTTGAGGGCATCAGTCACGGCCGCAACCTTGTCCTGAGGCACCAGATGTACAGTACAGCCGCCCCAGCCAGCTCCTGTGAGTCGAGTACCATAAGCTCCAGCATTGCGTGCAATAGAACATATCTCGTCGATTTCAGGACAGGAACACTCATATAAATCCCTGCAAGAAGCCTGAGTGTTGTTCATCAGCTCACCGAGTTGTAGGACTTTCTCCTTATCGAGCTTTCCGGACTTGGTGAGCACTTCCCGGAACTCAAGAACACGACCAGCCTCCTCTAAGACGTGCAAGGCGCGTTGCCGCAGCTTGAAAGAGTCGGCACGGATTGGGAATTTGGACATATATTGCCTCTCCAGTTGTTCGACAGATATTCCAAGGATATCGGCAATATCATCTCTGGTATAACTCTCTCTGTCGAGCTTGGATCTGGTGATCTCGACCATGGAAGCAACTTGATGCGCCATTGGCTCGTCTCTGCGACCATCCTTCTTCATGATTTCCTCCTGCAGATTTCGCAAACTGAATCCCAGGGAGCTGTCGTCCGGATTCAGTGTGATGTCGTGCAATTTTGCCAGCACCACCGAGGCAAGTGTGCATTCCACAACTCTCAAGTTGTAGTGGATTGGAGCCGTGACAGCCTTATCAGAGGTAACGAAAGACTGTGCGACCATGAACGTGAATTCAGGGTCAGCAGTTGGAACAGGAACGTGCTCGGCAGAGAAACTCGGGAAGAATTGACAATATAAAAGGTAACCTTTCTCAGAGAAGATGGAAGCCGCTTGATCCATGCCCCCTGAGAAGACACCAACAGCACGCTCCGAGACGATACAGAGGTCCAGGAGGTCTTGCTTGGAGATATCATAGTCGTTTGCGGCCATGACCGCCAACGCAGCAGCACAGACAAAAGCAGCGCTGCTTGACAGTCCCCCGCCAGCTGGAACGTTGCCATCGATCAACAGTTCCATGCCATTGGTCTTGAACGAGTCACCAAGCTTGTCTCGGAGGTACTGTAGGGCTCCTTTCAGCCCAGCAAGGAAGTAATTGGTCCACGAATGGTTCTTCGTGTCGACATCAATCGCCCCCGAGCTGGGGACACTGATCTCTTTTGAAGGGTATTTCTGAGGATTCACATTGGCAACTGTGATGTTACTGCTGCCCTTGACGACTCGAGTAGCAATAAGCACATCGACAGTCACCGCCGTTGGCAGGACGTTGTACAGTGAGTAGTCAACATGTTCGCCAATAATGTTGACCCGACCTGGACTCCGTGACACGAAATCCGGCTTCTGACCATATTTAGTCTTGAAAGATTTGATCAGGTTATCGAATCGACGTTGGAGGTCAGCGGGAACAGCTTCTCCTGTCGATGATCCTTGATAGACATGCTTGAGGCTGTCAACCTTCGGTACCTGTCCGCTCATCTCGACGATTTCCCCAAGCAAAGCTGGACGCGGTGAAATTGGGTGGGGTAGAATGTTTGACAGATTCCAAGTTGTTCAATCTGTCCACGTGCTCGATTGTTCCTCCTTGTTCAGGGCTTAGGAGTTGGTTATTCACGTTCTGCCGACTCTCGAAGACGAATTGGCTCGATGGACTACCTGGTACGTTCAGCCAAGGTCTTCGAAGTCAATGCCAGGCATAAAGAGCCTTCATCACGAACAAAAAGAAAGCTTCTGGTCCGGGGTCGGAAAAACGTCATAGCGGCTACAGTACTTTCTTTCGTCAATCATCCGGGGAAAGATCTAGCGGGGCTGCGTGCTTGAAATAGGCACCGTTCGCGCCTAAGTCTAACATACGCCATTGTCACTTGCTTCCGCAAACACCTCCAAGACGTGTGTCGGCGTTGACACACGCTCTCCTCCCTTACCTGTTCATCAAAGGAAACACGGCCATATTGACTTACTGAGGAACAAGGCAACATAGGCGACAGCGTTCTCAGTGATTTTGTCCTCTCTTGGGTCTTATCGTTTTCACTTCTGGCCGAAAAGGCTGTCCTTGCCGGTGAACACAAACGAGGCTATTTATCGACTTCCCCTTCGTCGCTCCGTGGAGTCCTTCCTACTTTCACGCCGACATCATGAGTTCAGACGACTCCGACGCTGTCTTGCTGCCGCCGTCATCAGACTCACAATATGTAAATGAACCTCCCACCGACTCAACCTCACGACCTCCGACCCTATCTCGAACATCTACCTATGGCAAGAAATGTTGGATATGTATGAGTGATGCATCCGAAGATGACCCAAACAATCCCCCAGTCTGGCGTTCACCTTGCAAGTGCAGTCTGACTGCGCACGAAGCTTGCCTGTTGGATTGGGTAGCCGATCTGGAGAATCCCAAGAACAGCAAGCGCAAGAATTCTACGATCATCCAGTGTCCACAATGCAAGAGTGAAATCAAGATTTCACGTCCGAGGAGTATCGTTGTCGATGGCTACCGATCACTGGAGCGGGCTTTGGGCAGGATGGTGTTGCCAGGCTTGGGACTGTCGGTTATGAGTGCGACTTGGGCAGCATTTTGGGTTCATGGCTTTAATTCGGTCTATTTGGTGTTTGGTCGCGAGGATGCTGCTGCCATATTTCGACGGGCTGCTCAGCACCCCGCCTGGCTGTGTCAGTACTGGATTATCCCACTCAACCTGATCTTCGCCCGGACTCATTACGCCGATTTTGTGTTGCCCAGCGGCACATTGTTCCTTCTCTCTACACAGATGACTGATGGATTTGAAATCGACATGACAGTCTGGCCACCTCTACCCAGCACCGTCTTTGCATGCTTGCCTGCAGTAAGGTCGGTATACAATTGGTGTTACCATAAAGCATTTTGTGACCTCAACAAGAAGTGGCTGGAGGAAGTTCAACCAAGACATGAGCAGCCGCCGGATGGTCAGGACGAAGAAGATGCTGGAGACCAAGGACCAATTCAAGAGGAAGGGGAAGAGCAAGTCGTACTTGAGTTCGAGGTCAACTTCAATGCCGAGGGTCAGGACGATGCGCCGCAGCAAGCCAACGTAGGACAACAGCCACAACAACAAAACGGCCACGTCCACCACATTCTGGGTGAGCGCGGAGGTGAGTTGATTGATGGATCATCCTCGATTGCAACAACCGTGCTTGGAGCACTAGTATTCCCCGCTGTATCAGCAGGCATGGGCAGTCTCTTGGGTTTGGTCTTGCCCCCATCGTGGCTCGGCCCTTCCAATACCATGAACGGCCGGTCAGGACTGCTTCGCACGAAATGGGGCAGAAGTGTCGTTGGTGGATGCTTATTTGTGGTTCTCAAAGACGCTCTTGTGTTGTACTGTCGATGGAAGTTGGCACAAGGTCATCGCTTGAGGCGGATCATGAATTTTGACAAGAAGACGAAGAAATATTCGGTCTAAAGACACCTTCACGTCGACGCAACGACCGGAGACGTTGGGAGACTTAATTAACTGTGACGATGGATAGATACCCAGTGCTAACGACGTACTCCTCCCTCATACTAGCAGATAGCTGCAACAAATTTCATAGCGGCTAGATGATAAAGACCCTTTTTAATGGGCACTTTACGATGTCTTTGACTAAGGGTTTGAATGTGCTGAGCGACGCAGAGAATCTTCGCTGATGCCTTGGGATGCGATGAAGGGGCGCAGCTCCGGTAAAATTTCGCCAATTCTCCCGCTCGCCTAAGTTGCCCTGGATTTTTTGACCTTCAATCGACCTCCAAAGATCAACTTCTGCTAGCCAGCCAGGATAAACGAGCTTCACAGCGCAATACCTGCATCTCCTACGCCGTCGCCTGCCACCATGCATCCCTCTTCCATCCGTGCCGCACTGGCGAATGTATTCCAGATCCCAGCGCGTTCGATAGCCCGGCATGCTCTTCCCGCCGTTTCACCTGCAAGCAATGTTACAGCCCCCAACCCTGTGAAAGCGTCGTTCTCGACGAGCGCACCTCGCGCCGCAAAGAAAGGAGGCAAAGTGAGGACAGATCGAAGAATAAGTGCGCAAATACCCATCCTGACACTCGGCGGCCGTGAGGCGTACTGCTGTTAGATGTGTTTTACTAACCGTGGTATTTGTACAGCTCTAATCCGTTATTTCCTACACCACCCCACGACCCTCACACCCCGACCTCTACGATTCAGCCGTAACCGATACCTACGGCACTGGACGATCCATCGCGCATGGCAGCTTTACCGGGCCAAAGTGCGGGAATTCCGCCAACTGGAGCTGGAGAGGCAGTACAATGCGATGAATGCGGCGAATGAAGAATTGCGCGTGGGCGCCGGCGACGGTGGACGATTGTTCCGGAAAGCGCAGATGAAGACGGGGATTTGGAGTATTCCGGAACGAGGCGGTGGTGTGCCGATCGAGTATGCTCGCGGATTGGTCGAGTGGATGGGCAGTACGGGCGGTCTGGGTAGTGGTGGGAGTGGGCTGGGTGCGAAGGCGAAGATCTGGGATAGCGATTGGAAAAGGTCGTGAGTTTCGGTTCCTTCAGGCGTTGCGGCGAGACAAGGTCTGTTGTACAAAAGAGCATGGTCAAGGATCAAGGGCCAGGTCCTGTGTCCAAAAAGAAAAGGAATGGATTCCATTTATATACAATGAAGGTTCATGACAACTTTTCCCCGTGCCTCCATGCCCACCTCAACACCATTTTTGAAAAAGACAGATTGGTTTGAATCCTGGTAAGGTTGAAAAGAGACCATCATTGCCATTCGCTAAAGTCCATCACGAGAGAAAATGAGATATTGTCGCGCATAGCTGGATGCAGAAGATGCCGACTCCATGGTAATGCGAGGCAATCAAAGGGTTCCAATTATTGCCATCTTGTGGGCAGGTAGTTCCTCACCATGGACAGCCAACTCCAAATGCGCAAAGCCTCCCAGCGATGAGGGATCCGGTCCATACTTCAAGCGTTCAACTCGGAATTGTGACCGTAGAAGAGATACTGTTTCGGTAGGTAGGTCATAGAATAATGCAGCATCCACCTCCGCCCTGCTTGCCATTGAAGGTCAGGAGGGCCGCTCTCGTAGCAGCCTCAAATACATCGTCCACTCCTTCGCCTGTCAAGCTGGAACATTCGAGATATTTTCGAGCTCCGCAAGCCTGAGCCATCTCCTGCCCTTCCCTAGACGTAACGAACTTCAGACTCTTTTTGCGCATCTCTTCAATGGCAAGGGGGTCTTCTCGAAGATCCTTCTTCAGGCCGACCAGGATGATGGGGACGTCTGGGCATCGTTCTCGGGCTTCCTCAATCCATTTATGCCGTACATTTTCTAGACTGTCCGGGCTGTCAACGCTGAAGCCGATAAGTATGACATGAGATTTTGCGTATGCGAGCGGCCTCAGTCGCTCATAGTCTTCTTGTCCTGCAGTATCCCACAGAGCCAATTGTACGGATCTGCCGTCGACCCGACAATCGGTGACATAGTTCTCGAATACAGTCGGCACGTAATGCGTGGGGAAATAGCCCAGTGTGAATACCGACAGTAATGAGGTCTTACCACAAGCACCGTCGCCTATTATGACAAGTTTCCTGCAAGGTCGTCAGATCATCCATACAAGCTTTAAGGCCGCACTTCATGGCGGAAGGAACTCCCGTCATCCTCAACAAGAGAGATTCTGATTTCGCCATAACAGAAGGCTTTCATGGAATTGTGTACTGACCTTCTCATAACATTTTGTTGAGCCTGGTTTTGTGACATTCTCCTGGAGGGCTAGCCGACCCCTCTAAACAGTAATGTATGACCAAAAGCGCGATATTGATTGAGAGGAAGGAGCTGTAGTGAGCGGCTGTTGTGATATTATATGGAGGTCGGATAGAGGTGGAAGGTGCGCGCGCAGAAGAGTCAACGCTGTCTTGTTGTGGTCAGGCTCAGCTGAAGGTCGTGCTTTAGTGGTGTAACTAGACAGAATCAAGAGAGACCGCAGGCCGCGTAAGGCGATAGACAGCACGCTACAACCTTGCACTCGTGATGGGTGCCGACGCAGGTCTGAGATGTCAACTCTTAGCAGACAGTTTGATGCGAGTAGGTCTCTGAGAGTCTGAGACTAGTTTGAATATGAGTTCGTGGGGTCCGAGAACAAGACCAGAAGCAAAGAGGGCAGCGGAAGCCGGAGTAAAGAGGCGCAGCCACAAATAGATTTCGTAGTGGAGATGGAAAGGCGCGATTACGATCTTGGAGAGACAGCTTTCCGAGTCAGGTTAAAATCTAATGTCGTCGACGACTGCGGGTGAGAGGTGAAGTTTAAGATAGACGAGGGACCGGCTAGAGGAGGTGTCGTGAGAAGATGCACAGAAGAAGAGGTAGTTTGGTTGGGAGCGACGAGGTGAACTTAGGTGTAACTCTCGGAGGTGCAGGTGGTGGTGGAAGCGGAGAGGGTACGAATACTCGTACACTATTCAGTGCCAGGCCGGGATTGCGGTGACTGCAGTGCCAGACTGCAACTGCGCTCGCCGGCACCTTTACTTGGACTTGGCGGCAGAACGTACCTGCCTGAGCCGCAACTTTGCTTTGCTAACGAAACAGACAAACCGCCGCCGCCCCACGAAACTGCACTGCACCGCACTGCACATTCAACGTCGGACGTCCTTTGCTTTTAACCACCACCTTCCACCACAACGCCCTCCGACGATACGATCGATCCTTCTCTCCCTCGATACCGCCTGTGACATTTACTTGGCCTGCAATTTCCTCGTCCCTGAGCCCGTTTGTCCTCGATTTGTCATACCCCGCCAGCAACAAAAAAGGATCTCAAATGTCATCTTGACTGGAACAAGGACTGGCGTCGAGGCCTTCTGCAATAGACCTTTGCCATAGCCCGACTGTTTTCGCGACACTCCGGCACCATGCCTTCCAAGAAAAAGGCGAATACACAAGTAAATGCCGCGAAGCCACAGCCAGCGACAAACTCCTTAGGGAATGCGCCTGCTCCACCACCGTCACTACCCAAGGTTGATCCCACCTCCGTCCCGTCACAACCCGTTAATGGACAAGATGCCGCAGCGAGATATGAGGCAGAATCCAAAACTGGCGACACCACGGAATCTGCGGGCGAGCCAACCCAAACTGCAGCCGTCAACCGGAAAAAGCAAAAGCGGCGTGAAAAGGAGGCTGCAAAACGAGTTGCTGAGCAGCAGCAGGTAAATGGAGAGCACCATGTCAGTCCACTGCCGAATGGGCCTCTACCGCCGGTGAAGCAAGGACGAGGACCTGTAAAAGGCTACTTTACGGAGGAACCAGATTATCCCGACCCTTCTGATCCGGCCTACGCAGACCTTGGGAGTCCGGAAGAAGCCTTTTACAGCGGTGACGAAGCAGACACAATGCCAGACAGCTCGTGGCTGAACACGAGCAAGCGCAAAAAGTCCAAAAATTCGAGGCCCCATCTACCCGATAACGATTCTCTGTCTAGAACATCAACGATGCTGTCAAGGTCACACATTCCGCCTTTATCGAATGCTGCCATGCGGGCGTCGCAACGACTGTCAAGCGACCACATATGGAATACGTCTACCCAAGCCGAGCGGGAGAACATCAAGCAATTTTGGCTGGAACTGGGCGAAGATGAACGGAGATCTCTGGTCAAGGTAGAAAAAGAAGCCGTCTTACGCAAGATGAAAGAACAGCAAAAGCATTCGTGCAGTTGTTCGGTATGTGGGAGGAAGCGGACCGCGATCGAAGAAGAACTTGAGGTTCTGTACGATGCCTATTACGAGGAGCTTGAGCAATTCGCCAATCACAACACCGACCTTTCCAGCGTACCTCAGATGATGGCACCACCCCGTGCGCCCTTTAAACGCGTAGGACATGCTATGGCAGGTTCGTATCCTTCTCGAGGCCGTGTACACGAAATCGACGAGGATGAAGAGGATCTGGAGGATGACGATGAGTACGATGACGAGGACGAGGAACCTTACAGTGAAGACGATGGTGATCTCGACGACCATGGACTTCCTCCTGGTCCGCCCGATTTCTTCCAGTTTGGCAACAGTTTGACTGTCAAGGGTCTGATTGGAATTCCTCCTACAGACCTCAATAGAACTGACGTTGTTTCTAGATGGCATACTCACGGTCGCCGACGATCTGTTGAAGAATGATGGGAAGCACTTCATCGACATGATGGAGCAATTGGCGGAGAGGCGCATGCAACGTGAGGAAGAAATCCGTTACCCTTCATCCACATTAGCTCATCGAGATTACCATCAAGGTCACAATCATCCTCCGATAGACGATGACGATGATTATGACGACGAGGAAGAAGATGAAGACTATGACAGTCAGGAGGAAGAAGACGACTACGAGGGCGACGAGATGGTTGGTGCGAATCTATTCATGGTAAAACAAAAGTCTGACGCTTTATCTTAGGACTCCATGACCGAGGAACAGCGTATGGAAGAAGGTCGGCGGATGTTCCAAATATTCGCAGCACGCATGTTCGAGCAACGGGTCCTGACAGCGTATCGAGAAAAAGTGGCAGCAGAACGTCAGAGAAAACTCCTAGAAGAGCTGGAAGATGAAAGCCGACTCGACGCTCAACGAGAAGCTAAGAAGGCCCGAGAAGCAGCCAAGAAAAAGGAGAAGAAGAAACAGCAGAAATTGGCCAAAGATGAGGAGAAAGCCAAGAAAGAGGCCGAGAAGGCGGCACAGGAAGCAGCGGCACGAGAGCTGGAAGAGAAACGACTAGAAGAACAGCGTCAGCGAAAAGAAGAGCAACGAAAGAAGCGAGAAGCTGAAAAGAAAGCCGCCGAGGAAGACCGGCTACGTAAGGAAGCCGAGAAGCACCGAAAGCAGCAAGAACAACGTGACCGGCAGGCCGAGACCGAACGTAAGCAACGCGAAGCGAGAGAACGAGAGCGTTTAAAACGAGAAGAATCAAAGAGGAAGGAACGCGAAGAACGTGAAGCTAAGGAGAAGGAGGCCAGGGAGCGTCAAGAGAAGGAGGAGCAGGAGAAGAAGGCGAAACAAGACCAAGCAAGAAAGGAGAAGGATGCGGCACAAAAAGCGGAAAGGGACCCTAAAGACCGTACAGGTCACGCTCCTGCTACGAAACAGCAGCCTGTAGCCTTACCGCCAGGTCTACATCCTCCATCCAGAGGTTCCAGCATTCAATCGCCTCATTTTCAGGTCGCCACGCCAATCGTACCTCCCAAAGTTCCCACTCCTGCAGGAGGTCGGAATCGGCAGTCTTCTCAGCCTGGTCCACACTCGCATGGGTCATCTCCGAAGTCACAGAAAGCAAGTACTGATGTCTCCAGAAGTTCTGGGTCTCCTGCGACAGTAAGCATGCCTCAAACACCCGGACCTGGACAGGCGACAAAGACACAAGGCCAACCTCCGCCGCTTCATCATCCTCAGCCTTCGGCCCCGAGATCCCCTCTAAATAATGTTGGCCGTGGCCAGTATCCCTTCAATATTAATGGCTTGCCGAGTATGGGAATCAATGGTCCGCCGACCGGAGGTCAAGGGATGATGCCAAACATGATTCCTCCCATGCCAATGTACCAGGGACCTCCTATGGCCAATCACCAACGCTTCGCCATGAATGGAATGCAGTATCCGCCCGGTATATCCAGACCCTTTCAGCCTAGTCAACAAATGCCTTTCGTGCCTCAGGCACCAGGTCCAGGCCCGCACATGGTGAATCACCAACCGGTATCGAAGCCGCCACAGACACATTCGAGACAACCATCAGCAGATAACACTGCTCAGCCTCAGCCGACGCCGATATCACGACCTGGACCAATTGCGCGACCGTCGAGCACGACACCGGACAAGCAAAAACCACTGCGGAGGTCGCCTGATGCTGATATCGACCAGCTCACAACACAACTGGGAAGCAAGGCGTTGCTGGATGATTCTGACGAACCGTTCTTGGAGACTGCCGACTCACGAATGAACCTTCCACCAGTCGGACCGCCCGGCTCGACACGAATACCTTTTTCCAGCAGTTTTGATTCGAAGCAGGAACCTTTCGGTCCGATCAATCCAGGCTGGGGTGGCTTTAATCCGGGTATGAATTCGGCGCCTGGATGGGGACCTCCAGCACCGCAACGCTCCAGCCAAGGCTGGTCTCAGCCTCCTTTTGGAGCTATTGGTGGTGGACCTCAACCTGTGGCCAGATCACACTTCCCTCGGCCGATTGCCGTGAGATTGATGCTTGTCCAGGCATGTCGACAACTGTCACAGATTCCTGGAGCAAGCGCCGACGGCTATCATCCTGCACCAACAATTCTTCGGCAATTGGAGACGATCAAGGCACCAGGGGAGCCGCCTGTGTCTGTGGACGAGATGCTCGGCATCTGTGACACTGAAGGTAACCCACAGAATGGTGGTGGTTCTTTTGATGTCATCATCGACAAGTCAAGAGGACAAGTCATCAAATTCGTCGAAGATACGGCACCTCAGCATCGAAGTAGCGTTGGAGAGATTGGAAGTCCGGTCATGGCACATACTCAGCACATTCAGGCGAGTCCATTTGGTGGTATCGGAGCGAGCAGCTTTGGACTACCAGGCAGGGGCTTCTAGTGGCTGACTCCGCCAAGGACAACAAAGGTGCAGAGAAGGGAGAATCAGCTTCAGATTTTAGCGCAACAATTCCGACGCAGCATGTCGGCAACCTGAGAATGGTGGATACCCCTGAGCTGACACTGCAGGAAGGAACCTAGGTGTGAAGCTGAGCGATTCGTGCATTGATTTGCGAGTATTGTATTTTCGATTGTTCGGCCCCTGCTGTTACTCGTACAAGCATGTTTCCATCTGGGAGCTTCATTTCCTACTATGGTTTAATAGCATCACGCAGGTCGGGCTCCGGCTGGAGAAGGGCGAGTCTGGCATTGTAGGCATGGACGCTTTTCTAACTCGAGAATAGTCATAAGAGCAGCATTTGTTGGCTCTTTATGGCTGAAATACCAATTTTGAAGGTCTTGATCAAGGCCTTTTTTTCCTCATTCGTTCGCTGTTGCCCTGATCTCGGTAAGCTCGTTTACCAAAGTCGGCCTCATTACACCTCATTCCCCGGTTTACGCTCTTTAGTGACCCCAGAAGAGTGAATGGCCTTTGCAAGGGGCTTTGACTTGCACGTGCACCGCCCTTCTTCAGCTACGGTGCTGATGCTTGATGCCCGGGTCGTCTATCGTGCTCGGCCCTGCGTGCTCCTCGTTATTTTCGAGTAAGCATAAGCTATTTCTTTCTCTTAGTCCTTGCCTCCTCCAAGGAGACCATATTTCGGTTGCCCCTGGACCGAAGCCTCCGTCTTGGAACGATCATCGTGGCGTTTCTCGGACATCGTGGACATCGTCGTAGACTCATTCTTCCAGCCCATACTCTTCGGGCTTCAGTTTCTGTCATCGCCTGTGTTGCGTTCATTCAGGGCCTGGATAGCAAGTATTGGTGAGAGACTTGGCAGCTTCGATTCATCATGGCACATCTGTCCTGAAGCCCTCGTCTAGTTGGCCGACGTCGCCCTCTCGGGTCCCGTAGTTTCTGCGGGTATGAGACTCTTCCTGTGCTTGTTTCAAGCCCAATGTCGAATTGGATACGGGTACTGGTGCTGGGAGGGTTCCCATTCCCGTTCCCATGGTGTTCAGACGTGTGCCAGAACCAGGTGCTGATGAAGACGCAGACGCAGACGACGGCGACATCCCCTGGATCAAGCGCATGTAGTACCGCGCTTCCTCTAGACTTTCCAAAATATCCTCTCGAGCCGTGTGCTTGTTGGCCTTCTGTGGCGCGGCATCCAACACTTCGGACGGTGCCCACCGGCGGATCATTTCCTTGGTCGCACTGACGTCGAATAGCCGGTAATGTAAATGCTCGAGGATGGCGTTCCAGGGCGGGACCATCAGGAACGATTTGTCGGCGTGAATGCTGTTTCCTGCTAATAGGGCAAGACGCGGTTCGGGGATATATCGCTGTATGTATGTTAGGAGGGCTCGTGCTGCGGTGTCCGGGGTGGTGCTGGATTCGAGGCAGGCTTGCGTTAGGCCGGAGTTGCCGTGTGTGCGGACGCACCATTCTGACATGGCTGAGAGTTGGGTCTGTGTGTGTTGGATGACGGCGTCGAAGCCGGAGTTGTCGAGGGGGGTGAGGTCGGATGTTGTTATGATGGCGGATATGCTCATGATTGTGTCGGTTTGGGGGTTGAGGCCTGTCATCTGGGGTATGTGTTAGCTTGCTTGAAGTGGGGTATGGACATGATATATGTGCGGTATAGGCTGGCTGGTTAAGTTCATGTTGACGACGGTGAAAATGTATGGACGTTGACGAATATGCCACACGTTTTTGTAGAGGAAGAAGATATGAAGGTGGAAGCTGTCTGAATGCTGGTGTGGAATAGTTGTGATGCGCTGGTCTGCCACAGGGGATAAAGCGGTGAAGATTCATGTCCTTACCTCGCAGTCTATCCAGACCAAAGGGTCTGTAGATCGTGTCAATGCCATGTTGTTTGGCTCTGAGTCTCTGTTTGAGCTCAAGTCCACGCCCAAGCTGTTGCGCCTCGACTTTGTCTTGTATTGATGTGTCTGGCCGTTGATACAGCGCCGAAGCGGATATTGTCGCAATCGAGTTGCCGACACGGTATCGCGGAGTGTCCACCTCAAGGTCGAAGCTCGAAGGCTACAGTAAACGATGCGATTGTTCCTGAATGAGAGAGCAACAAGTCGACCTGGTAATAACCTATGCATGTAGTGAACAGGGGATGGCCAGGCGCTGCATTTATTGCGAGGCGAAGCCGAAATTCATAATGAAGTCAGTCCACGGTTTCACGTAAAGGGTCCACTATCGAGCGCAAAAGACCATTTTCTTCGATTCGTCTCAACATCGAGATTTAGAGAAGAAAGTCAATAGGTTGATTTACCCAGGAAGGGTTTTCCATCGTGGACGATCGGTAGACTAGGATGCGAATTGTGATGCAAATGCGATGGGAGATCCAGTGACGTTTGTTCCCAATATTCAGGGGACCAGGTGGAGGATCCAGTGACGTGGCCAATGATAATACGCCGTTGACAGCAGGCTGCGTCAGGAAGGGGAAAAGGGGGATCGATCTACAAAGCTACTCATGAAGATACTTTCGTGGTATCGCGTGGTTACTATGCACCGCCGGTAACGCTTTTCGATCGTAAAGGTTGTTGTAAACGTTGTCGACATTGAATCTGGTTCTTCTTGTTCTCAAAACAACATGCGCTTAGGTAGTCTTACAAAGACCATCATCCAGTCGAGGCCAGCAGACGTGTTTCTGGGACACAGCGCTTCCAAGTCTTTCTCAGCCCCGAATGTTCACTGCCATCGAATACCCCTACCCCTCCACGGAGTCCAATATACCAGCCTTCCGATGTAGTTGCCGGTCCACCATCAGCAGATGCACCTGATATCCTTTCCTGGTCGCCCAAGGGAATTGCCTGCCTCGGGCTTTCGTAAACAACAAGGATCAATTTCCGTCGCTTTGTGTCTCCTGGACAGACTATGAGCGCCGTGTTTCATATCATCTTGTGCTTGCTCTGAGAACAAATGAAAATGGAGAATGCATGGACTTTCCAATCCCAATGCCGGCAAAACTGACTCCAACTGTCCCAACCGTGTAAACAGCGCCTTTGTTGCAAGGGAAGTCGAAAGTTGCTGCGGAGAAAAGCAGGCCACCAGTCATACGCGCCATGAAAATGCTCGATATGCAGAATCGCGACGTGCCAGGTTAATTAAGTAGAGGCTGCCTCACAGCTCTTCGTCGTCATCGGCGGGTTTCTTACCCAAGGCACCTCCGAATTGCAGACCGGATGGATTGGAAGCGGTGGTTGATGCTTGGGCGGGTCCTCCGAATCCAAGGATTTCACCCATGGCACCCGCAGACGTGGAAAGACCACCACCAGCCAATCGGCTTTTGAGGTCGTCGTCGAATTCGGCAACACTAGCACGCGCTCTCTTCATTGGGCTACCGACCATGAAGCTTTCGTCGTCTTTGTTGGCGTCTGGAACCGCGGGTTTGCCGATATCAAGCGCTCCAGCGGGAGGGGAATACTCCTGCTCATCAGCACCAACCTTGGGCGTCGATGCCGTCGAGGGACTGCCAGACTTGGAGCTTTTACGCGCTTCAGTCGTCCCATTGCTATTCAATGGTTCCGCCGAGTGCTGCCGTTTGAGCTGATAGTACTTTAGCTGATGCCGAAACAATTTCAATGGCAAAGGGTCTCTTACCTTCATCTTACGGATCCCCTCCGCCACTTGACCTGCCCGTTCGGCATCCTCGGGCGAAAGCAAGTCGGAATCTCTCTTGGCATCCGCGTCATTGATGTCTTCCATCTTGCCAATAATGCCCTGACCGTCGTCCTCATCATCGCTCTCCATTTCGTCGTCGCTGCCTCGTTTTGTTTTGCTCGGCCGGCGTGTTTCGCCCTCTCGGAAGTTAGAGAAGCCCGCTGTGCCTTCTTTCTTCAGAGGCCCCAGCTTGGGCAGGTCGAGAGCTATGCTTCGTCTCTTTGCGGCGGGGACTGCTTTCTCCGTCTTTGTGGAGGGAAGGATGCCCATTTTCTGTAATTGTCGTTCACCTCGGTACAAAAAGGTGAAGACGGCATAAGGTTTGTCGGTAGGATCTATTCCGGTGACGGTTTGAGTCGAGATCGTCTTAGGATCCAGAGTCTTGGGCTTTGCGAAGCTGGTTGTGTGGTCCACATCTGCCCGGTTCTTACTTTCGCCATTAGCGACCGCGCCTTCCCCAGCCGAGTCCTCAGAATCGTCATGGGCATCGAACTGAGGCGAATACTCTCCGCGTTTGATCTCCCCAGATGCCAGCACTCTAAACAACGCAACCTTGATCTGACCTGCGGTCTCTGGGATTGGATCGTCGTCATCGTCATCTGTGGCGCTGTCGCTGAGGGAGCCATCGTCGTCAGAAACATCCTGGAGCTGGCCGTCCTCGCCGTACCGCAGAGTACTCTTTCGCCGGAGGCCCTTGGCACTGCCATTCGCCTCGTCGTCGCTGCCTGCCGTCTCCTTGCGCTTTGTTCTCCTCTTTTCGAGTTTCCGGCGGCGTCGCTCGATTGTCGCAGCAGCATCTTTACCATCAAGGTCCAAACCATTCAGCCATCGCTCGAGTCCGACCTCTCGAAACAAGAATTCTCTTTCTGCCAAGCCGCCTCCTTCTTTCTCGGGCACACTTACCCAGCGGGAATTTACCCAGGTCTCTTCACCCTTCCGCAGTAATGTTGCAACCTCCTCTTTGGCACGGCCATCGAAGTAGATGTATGCTGCTATCGTTTCATTTGGGGACGTAGTGAGAGGGACATAGGGTCCGATGGTTGCTGCGTTCTTCGCTGGTCCACCAGGGTGGCCCGGCAGACTGCCGACCAATTTAGGTTTGGGATCGGAATTGTCTGGGGTTGCTTTTGGAGTAGAATAAGGAACTTCTTGGTTTGGCGTGAGCAGCGTGATAGATATCGCGAATGTGGATTGTTCAGGTTGGCCCGTTGATGAATCGGCTGGGATTTTGGCTGGTGGCACAGGTATGTAGGAGCTGATCCTGGATAGACGGGAAGCTTTCTGCACCGAGTACTCCGGGATAGGTCCATTGGGAGTGTGTATGCTCACCGCGAGTCCCTTGAAGCAAGGCATTGTGAGGATGTACACTCGAAAAGTTGCCTAGTCGGTAGTGAAGTCTCCGCCCTCTGCGCAAGCAAAGGCAGATGCGGAGAGACTCTCCGAGGAAGTGTGACTGCCAGCAATGTGTGGATGTGTACAACTCAGATCCAACTCTTTCTCGGTGTAGACTACCTATACACGAAGCATCATCGTAAGAGCTCGAGCCGGTGGGTAGGGGTAGGCATGTATTGCGCCGTCGGCGTGTTGTGAAATGGGTGACTCGTCGGTAGGGCCCAGGATCGGAGCAACGGTGAAGATGCGATTGTGATTGTGAACTAAAGGAAAGGAATGTTGGGCTTCTCCGCAAGGAGCAGGAGAACCCAATCTTGACGTCTGTTGAGATCTCGTCCAAAATATCAGATGATTGAGATCTGTCAAGGAAAATAATGCACTTTGGCCTGACTGTTGAGTTGATTTGATTCGGGGTTGAACGAACTACTTGCGAGTTACCCGACGAGGCAGACATACACGCCAAGAGATGCCGCTTTACACTTGACCGCTTTGGGACCGACCAGCTTCTTTCATTTTGCGGAGATGGAGATCATCCTTCCGCTCCCTTAGATCCCGCCCGTCCACTTTTGTTGTTGAAACGCTGAAGGTATAAGTTGCCTGAGTAAATTGGTGAGCAGCGGTCAACGACTAAATGAACATGGGAAGACTTACAGTGACCGATCGCAATCTACCATTGAGCGCTAGGTCCATCTACTGCAGTGCGATCACCTATCGAACCTCATTCCTGGTGCGCGACGAGACAGCTATATATCTTTCACGGCTCAAGAGCTCTTCCTGGTCTGAAGATCATGAACGATACTGATGATATACACACGTTTTGCGTGTCTAAACAAGTCTCGCCGGATACAAACACTCAAGTAGAGGTAGGAAAACATGTTACCTGATACGGATGTCTTTAGCCAGAGGACGTCCGTGGACCATACTTCCGGCTTCAGGAAGCCGGCACTGGTAAACACCAGCTGGGAGACGACAACCTTGCGATATGGCATTGACACTTTCGAGACTGCATGGCTTGAAGGAGCACTTGAAAGATGTCGGGTCGTTGCTTGTGTCTTATTGAGATGGGCAGCTCCATCTGTGCATGTCACTGCGCACCATCGGCCGTTTCAAGATTGGTCAATGGGTCAGTACACCTGCTTATACCATTGAGTAGAAGAGGAAAATCGAGGGATCTCATTTCTTACTAGGCCTAGCACAGGATCACTGGGTGGTCTGGGTGATGATATTGAGGCTCCCCGTAGCGAATCAGGATAGCCCAGCCAGACAATGACGTAGAGTTGTTTAGCCAGAACTGAAACCCCAGAATTTTATTCCATCATACGACATTAATGATCGTCTAAATAGCTGTAAACTGCCCCGCGATTGAAACAGCTGCGCTCATTTTTCCACCGCATTTTCCTTTCAACACTTCTGCACAATCGTTCACGGCACTCTACAGACCTTGTGCTCTCAGTGACCTACCCGCAATTGATCCACAAACAACGAGACAGAACCTACAGCCATGGTGAGCGTCAAAGAGGTCGAATTCAAGTCCTTCACCGACCAGAAGTATGCCTTTGTTGCAACCACCACGAGCAACAATGTCTAACATTTCAATGCAGGCCTGGTACATCCGGACTTCGTAAGAAGGTCACCGTCTTCCAACAGCCACACTACAGCGAGTCATTCATCACCTCCATCCTCCTGTCCATACCCGAAGGTGTTGATGGCTCTTTCCTCGTCATTGGTGGTGACGGAAGATTTTGGAACCCTGAGGTCTGCCAGCTGATTGCAAAGATTGGCGCTGCGTACGGCGTCAAGAAGCTGGTCATCGGCCAGAATGGTATTCTCAGCACTCCCGCCGCCAGTCACGTCATCCGCATCCGAAAAGCTACTGGTGGCATCCTGTTGACCGCCAGTCACAACCCGGGAGGTCAGTCTCTAGAAGCTGCAAAGGTCTCTTAGACCACGACTGACAATCACGCAGGTCCCAAAGAAGACTTTGGCATGAAGTACAACCTCACCAATGGAGCACCAGCCCCCGAGTCCGTCACGAACAAGATCTACGAAAAGTCCAAATCACTTACCTCCTACAAGATCGCGGACCTACCTGAAGTCGATCTCGGTACGATTGGCAGTAAGAAGTATGGTGATCTTGAGGTCGAGATCATCGACTCCACAGCCGACTACGTCGCTATGCTTAAAGACATCTTCGACTTTGACCTCATCAAAAAGTTCTTCAAATCCGAGCCCGACTTCAAAGTCCTCTTTGATGGCATGTCCGGTGTCACCGGCCCTTATGGTGTTGCTATCTTCCAGGAAGAGCTTGGCCTCGGGTCCAACAGTACCCAGAATTGCCAGCCAAGTCCTGATTTCAATGGAGGTCACCCGGACCCCAACCTGACGTACGCACATGATTTGGTTGCAAGAGTCGACAAGGAGGGCATTCACTTTGGCGCTGCTTCAGACGGAGACGGCGACAGAAACATGATTTATGGCAAGAATGCGTTCGTCTCTCCTGGCGACTCCCTTGCCATCATTGCCCACTACGCCCAAAAACACATTCCCTACTTCAAGAAGCAGGGCGTCTATGGTCTGGCAAGATCGTTCCCAACATCAGCGGCACTGGACCTGGTGGCAAAGAAACAGAATTTGTCGCTATACGTGGTACCCACTGGCTGGAAATTCTTCTGCGCTCTATTCGACACCAACAAGATGTCCATCTGTGGTGAAGAGTCATTCGGTACCGGCTCGAATCACATTCGAGAAAAGGATGGTGTGTGGGCTGTCACCGCCTGGCTGAACATCATCGCTGGTGTAGGCCTCGAGACTGGCAAGTTCCCCTCCATCGCCGAAATTCAGAAAGAGTTTTGGGAGGAATATGGCCGTGTCTACTTCACCCGATACGATTACGAGAATGTCAGCAGTGACGGTGCTGGCGAAATGATCAAGTCTCTGCAGGAGAAGCTCTCAAGCAAGGACACTGTCGGGTCCGAGCTGTCAGGTCGCAAGATCACCGAAGCCGGTGACTTCTCCTACACCGATCTCGACGGATCCGTATCAAAGAACCAGGGAATCTACTTCAAATTCGATGATGGCACCAGAGTGGTCGTTCGGCTGTCCGGTACAGGAAGCAGTGGAGCAACTATCCGTTTGTACGTCGAGAAGCTGGAGGAAGACACGAATAAGGTTCTCGAAGACACACAGACATATCTGAAGGGTGCTGTCGGTCTGGCCGTTGATTTGCTGCAATTGCAGAAATTCATCGGTCGCACAGAGCCGGATGTCAAGACATAAACAAAATGCTCCGAACCAATGTTTCAGCACTGCTGCCATCAAGACCCAACAAGCCGTGGCCGTGCGACTGCTTGCACGTCGGTATCACGAGATGCATGAGGGTCCTGTAGATAGGTGGCTTTAGACAAAAATGCTCCACGAATACGAATCCGATGGTCAGACACCGTTGTCTTCGTACATTCAATACATTCTTCCGGGTCATCTGGATGTTGTCATGGCTGGCCCAGCTATTTACGGGCACACGAGTGGCCATTCCGTGCGGCACTGGAATAGACCACCCCTGAGCGCAATTTCCCTATGCACTTCATGTGCTTGTACTCGTGCTCCTGTGACACCGTAAGCACAGGGGTCTTTATGTCGTACACCGTAACACGCGGCGGAAACAGTGTGCTGCCACGTGTTCTATGCGGGTTTTCCTCCGAATTTCTATGCTGTCCGACCCAGATTCTCCAGCTGCTGCATTTGCATCCGACCAGCGCTATTGCTGCAAGTTCTTGTGTCTAGAAACGAAGTGGGTGCTACAGAGAGGACGGTATGGACTAACTAAGTAGGTGGCGATGGTGACAGCGGCTGCTTTTCGTATTCCTATTGTGGCGGGCTCTTGAACAATTTCCCGCTCTTCCACACATGCGTGATGTTCGCAGGGTCTTTGAACAAGTCCATGTTATCGTCCAGCGGATTTTCGGGGAGGGCGATCAAATCGGCGTCATATCCTGGGGCAATGATACCCGTCTTTGGCGCCATGCCCAGATCACCGAGGACTTCGGGACCCATGGCCGTCGCAGCCTCAATGGCCTGCAAGGGCGTCATACCGCCGTCGGAGACAGCGTACGCGAGTTCGCCGCCGGACTTGCCTAACGCGAGAGGATGCGTGGTCGGCGTGCTGATACCCAGGTCTGTGCCGAGAGCGATCTTGACGCCAGATTTGACGGCGAGCTGATACCCAGCGAGATGGTGTTTGGCCGTCTCGATCATTTTCTTGTAGGATTCTGGGGACATGAGTTCCGGATGGTCCACGCCGACTTTGACGATGGTTCTAGTGGGGACGTAGATGACGTCGTTCTTCTTCATGAGTTCTACACACTCTTCGTCCATGTATGTGCCGTGCTCGATCGTGTGGACTCCCGCATATAGCGCCGCCATGATGCCGACTTTGCCGTGACAATGGGCTGCGACGACACGGCCTGCGCGATTGGCTTCCTCGACGATGACGCGCAGTTCGTCGAGCGAGAATTGTTGGCGGAGTGGGTCGTCGGCGATGCTGAGAACGCCGCCGGAGGAGAAGACTTTGATGCATTTCGCGCCGCGGCGGGTGAGCAACCGCACGGCGCGGCGCACCTCGTCGATACCGTCGGCGATTAGTAAGGGGCCGTGGCCCGGAGCGAAGTTGTTGGCTTGAGTGTCGCGCACGCCGAGGCAGGATGTCACGAAGCCTGAGGGGAGGTCGAAGACGTCGCCGTGGCCTGAGGTTTGGGAAATGGCGGCCCCGGCTGAGTAGATGTGTGGGCCGATGAGGGTGCCTTCCTCGATTGCCTCGGCGAGCTCGATGGCGAAACCGCCTAGGTCGCGGACGCTGGTGAAGCCGCTCATCAGGATGTCTCGGACGTTGATGGCGAGGCGGGCGCCTGCTGTAGCCGTCGAGCCTACTAGGATGGGGCCGAAGTTGAAGGACTTAGAGCCCAGGAGGTGGGTGTGGCAGTCCCATAGTCCTGGTAGGAGAACGGGGACTTTTGTCGAGGGTAGACTGTGTAGGTGTGCCGGTAGCGAGGCTGTGGGGTGGATGTCCTGGATCTTGTCGTCTTTGATCACGACGGTCACTTGGTTCATTGGTTTCCCGCGGCCGGGAATCAGGAGTTCAGCACTGATGAGGTGGGTGCTGTGTTTTGCCAGGTTTGTTGGACCTTGAGGCACGGTAGGCGTTTGTGGTGCTGCTTTCTCCCGCTGGGGAGATGCAGGGGGGACGGCGAGCGGCGTTGAGTGTGAAGCATCAGCATTTTGGGAGACTTTGTTGTCTGACAAACTTGTCGAGGCCTGCGGCGACAATACCTGTCGGCGCGTCATGATGGGAATTTGTCTGGAGACAGGCTATACGGTGAATTTGCGCTTCAAAAGCTGGGCTGATTGTGTTCAATTGCCACGACGGAGCACTACTGCTGTAAAACGAGCGTATTGGAACGTAGCTGAAGCTACAATGGCTGCGACGCACGTGTAGAGGATGCGATAGGTAGTACTCATTGAAATCAATTTCTGAGTGTTTGCTCTAGTCCGAAAGACACAAGCTGCAGAACTAGGAGACGCACATCTTGACGTTCGAAATAACCGTTGTAGTCAGAATAGACGAAGGACATAAGCGGCAGATCGCCGAATGCATGTCCGGAAAAGGAAGGAGGATGTCGCGTAGCCTACCACAGTAGTTGTCTTCAACGCATACAGCATAGCGGGCGACCTTCATGATGTCTTTATCATGGCGGCTTGCAGCGCCTTGAGATCCATTCAAGAGTCATTGCCACAAAGGATGCAGAGCGGAAGACATGATCAGGTGACCAAGCGACGCGGCGTGGGAATCGCAACTCTCCAGGAAAGTAGTGGCAGCCGGCAGGTCATGTAGCTTTCTCCAGAGACGCTGAATCAAGGTAAGCGTTGAGCATGAAGGGATGTAAGACCTTGTAGTGGAAAGACATTCATGGTGAGTGTTCTCGTCCAAGTACATGGTCCAGCGAAGAGGGAAGATCAAGGGCAAGTGGGAGGTGCTTCGACATAAGTCTATCGCTGTTCGTTGCCAACATCTGGGCAACGCATTTCCTGTTGAAAAGCCATCGCCCAATACACAACAGGTCAACTGTCGGTTTTCGAGACTAAGAATGTCAAGAATGACACCTGCAGGCGGGATAAGTGAACCGAAGTGGCTGGGTCTAGACCATCAAAAGAGCATCTGCACTTCACTCGTATTCCTGTACTCTTCAACCACTTCTGATGTTGACACATGTGGAAATGCTTGACACTACTTACCTACTGCTTGAGGGCGGCACGGTCCTGACTACTGAACCGAAACTCACCTGAGTCTCATAGCGATCGCATTCGAGCGTCCATGCCCCAACAACAGGAACTTACCGGCGAGAAATCTAGACCTGCGATGGCACATACCGAAACGCCTCTGACCAGAGATCTGGACTTCGAAGGCCATGTTGCTGTTGGCACGTTAAGCTATGGTAGCATGGAGCCTTATTGCGCATCAGCATAACCTGCGAAGCGGGAAGTTGCCCTGTCAGCCCGTCTAATCATATCGATCGAGGACAGCCCAGGTTGCAACAGAGATCGGACTCAAATCGGCATTCGGCAAGTTCCATTCAGATATTGAATGGCTAAGTGCCTGCCACGGGAGCATCTTTGTGGCATGGTCTGGATCCTTGGGACCGTGGACACCAAAGATCAAGGCTGGTGCTGCAATAGACCTTGCACGGTCACCCATTTCCAAGTTTTGAAACGTCTCTATGAGAACAGCAGGGAATTAGAAAATAACCTCTGTCCGTGGTCGTGGAAAACATGTCGACTCGGACCACTATGTGGCACCAGCTGTGGATAGATGATTTCCAGAAGGCTTCTAGAATCCTTCCAGAACTTTTCCAGAAAAAGAACAGAGTTTTGTGGACTGTGCTGTAGCGAAAGACGGACCAGCTTCAATAGACCTGAATTCCTTAGAGATCACAATCGCGAGCTTGGGGACTGTTTTCGTAAATGGCCTTTGAGGATACTCGGGAAACGTGTCACATGACTGGTGTAGGTTGGAATTCGATATCACGTGCTATACGGAGCAGCTAGGAGAGGATGTTGAGCCACAGGTGTAGACTGCAAGGTTGCGCACTTACAGTTCCGCTTTCCGATGCCTTCCAGGTGAGACCGTCAGAAGATCACTCACACAACCGTGTTCGTATCACCTCATTGCCTTTCCTCAAGGGATTGTGAGAAGCCACGACCGTGGTGGCAATCACGACATCGACTGCTGGACGTACGGCCAAGAGTGGCTCGGAATCGAAGAGGTGTCATGATTCTCTGACTGAAACTCTATGGTCGGCAAAGAACAACAGCAGGCGAAAGCCGAAGTGCTGTGCGTTACACTTAAAGTCGTAGCTTGTGACATGGTACCAATGCGGGTCAGACAGCCAAGGATTGGCCTCGACGAGGATGAAGATATTCATCTATCATGGCATGATATCCGATCTGTGATCTGGTGATGCAGTTGTTGCTGAAACAGGTCCAGCAATCCTCCTGATTATGAGGGTCCATTGCCGTCGGAGTGGTGGATATCCTCCCATGCCATGCACTGTCTTGCCTTGCAGTTCTCGAGACTCGAAATGTGACAACCCAAGTAATGGGATGATGTTCGATGGAATGACTTTGCAAGCAATGGACGTCGTTGTCACATGATATTATGCACACGTGATATGCACATATACACGTGACGTGCACTGCATGTTGTCCGGTGAAGCAGTAAGCTTTAACCCGTTAGTAACTACTAGTTCTGTGTACAGTGAAGCGGATCTGACAATCGTTCGCCGCCTGTTCTTGCCTCACTTGTCGATCGTTCACACCGCTCATCAACCAAGAGGCAAATTTGTGTCTGTCGATCATCAAGGGGCTAGATTTCACCAGCAGCCTTGGTTCATCCTCTTCCTGTCACCCCAGCCCGGCTTTCATTGCTTCGTGGCTCAAACCCTGCATTGGAATTGCCACTCTCAACCTATACTCTTCAGGCAACGTGGCTGTACTGTAGTGTGTCAAACGAACAGCCAACCTCGCACCCACAGGCGGACTCTTCTCACAGAACGAGGTATTTTCCTACGTAATCTGGTGTCACCAGAGACGCCAATCGCATGCACCAGACTTGCAGCAATAATGCACAAAGCACCTTCCGAATCCCAGTGTGTCACCAAGAACCCCCTGTCGCCGTTGGCCCCTAACCCTATCCTGGCCCTGCCTCAACTTGCTCAGGGTCAAACCACGCCAAAGCCATGCAGGAAGACACCATGATCATCAACACGACCCTTGGAGACACGCGAATGACTCCCTAACAGACTCCACCTGCTATGCTAACATTGCTATTCAATCTCGGCAAGCCTCATGGGTGTACTGCGCTATCCAAGCACTATCTGCGCTTATTGGCCTCATGGAGGATGCCCACGAGATAGAAGCGGGGTCACATGCGCAACAGAAAACAGCCCGCTCAGCATTTCATCCGCCCAAATCCATAATGCGGATCGTATCTCCTCGAGGCATTCTTAGAAGTGGGCTGAAACAGTTCGGCCCGCTTATTGCTAAATTGTTTGTGGCGAATCACCGTGTGTCAGAAGGAAATAATTTCACAAGCCACACCACAATCGGCAGCCGGCACTTCCGCCAGAGGCTGGCTCCAGTTGCAAATTCGGTGGCAGATCGCCTGGCCTGCCTACCTGGAGAGGGCGCGCTACAGACACGTCTTGAACAGGTGTCCGGAGCACGGAGTCTACTTGGGTTCGCCTCCTCGTAGCTTGCAGGCCTTGTTTCGCCTCCAGTGCACTACGAGTTGGTGGCTGAAGATCTATCACAGTATGAATCAGCCAGCACAGCTAACCAGATACGGGAGCTCGAACGCAGAGGAAGCAGAACTGACAGACTTATCGACTGCCTCCTGATTCCTGAAGGTAGCGCTGACCACAATGTGGCCCTTCAACAAGGTCATCATGGGAGCCTTGTGTACAGGCAACAGAACTAAAATGTGCACGGCTTTGATAGGATGCAAATCTCAGAACGACGTTTGAAATGCAGCTGGGCAGGAATGGAAAGACTGTCGCCGGTAGGATGCTTCTGCCAGGCTTCGACCACACCCACTTGCATACAGAGGGGCCGTGCCACCATGCACATGATTGGCCACCTCTTATAATTGGATTGGACGCGAGGATTCCAGCGAGGAAAACTCCAACCTTCAGATCCAGTTTAGTGCCTCAGGCACAAACCTGCGTAAATTTCAGTCCGCCTCATCGTGGTTGCTGGCCCCCTGCCATATCCAGTGCTGGCCACCAAGCCTACAACCCACCCTCCTTTCCTGAAACACGGGCGAATAGCGACACGAAGCTAAACAGAAACGGGACCAGCATTACACATCTAGCCAGGCGCGAGGCGCAAAAAGCAACACGCATCTCAAGCATCTCGCCGTGTGGGTACAGTCGCCCGACGTACCGTCAAGTCGATCAATGGAATATCTGGTCGTCTCATCAGTGATGTCCGATCCCGTCTGTGCTGGCGCCAGCGTCGACCAATAGTCATGGCCGTGCACCGCAGGTTCATCATAAACTTGAAAGCAGCGTTGCCCATTGTTGATAGATGCACAACAGACGAGATAGGGTTCCTGGCTCCTTATTCGTGGGGTTACAAAGGAAATTTCCTTTGCGAGAGGCATTATTGGCGCCACAACACAGTGCATAACTTTTTACATCGAGGAAAGTAGAAGCAGGACGCGGGTTTGCCAGCCGTCTGCCACTGGGAAGTCACTTTGCTTCGCCATCAACCATGTTCAACTTGGCATCGCCGTGTGAGTCCTCTGCCGGGCATGCAGCAGTAGGCATGTTGCACTTCGATGGCATGGTCATCTCTGGTGTGTGAGTGGTGACAACTGACAAAATGGAGACACTCTTCTCGTACCGCGAGACCACCTTGAATGGCAGGCTTGGGTGCTAGTGATTGGCTTAGCGCTGGGCGTTCGGTCCTGCGAGAAACGCTGATCTGTGGTGATCAGATATGCGCCCAGCCATCTGGTGATCCGACCTCCCTGCCCTTGGTGTCAAAGGCATGCAACCCAGTGAACCCACCCGTGTCTTCCTGTTAGGCCGTGCCCGCCTCGTCGTGCTTCGTCTGGCCCGCCTAAACCGAAACCGTTCAAGGCCGAGTCGTCATCTAGCGTCAGACCACAGCCCAGGGTTTACGCACCTTTGACGCAGCGAAAGTGGATATCTGCTCTTCCTGGCGTTCTATTCGCAGCATCACCTAACCTGGTTCTGACAGCGTTTTGCCCCACCAGCATGGATGGTTATGGGGGCAATTGACGTCCGTGCGTCGACGCTTTGCCGGTGCGACTAGAGTCGTCCTTCAGTCTCCATTCTACCGTCATAACCTAAAAGGACCTGATATTTGCCTTTATACCTCCAAGAGAACTTCTTCGATATCACAATCAGCATTATCACCAACCACCAATCTCTCTCCACTTCCTATATCTCAGACATCTCTCTATATCCTATCTCAACTTCTTGTATTCACCTTCGAGTCCTTCCTTTACTACTCGACTTATACCAACTCACACTCCATTTGGATATATTCCCCACGGACCAGGCCACCTCACCGTCCCAGATACCAGTATCCGGAGTGCTCGCTTGGACCCATGTTTTGAGCCGTTTGTTCTTTTCTGGTCTCTGTCGACTAGTCCATTTCTTACCGCAAGTACTCAGTACTTTTGGGCTCTCCCATAATGCTCCTAACGCCGCCACCATCCCCTCAGCTTACAACTTGTTTGTCGCCAGAGGATCGATTGGGGTGCGTGCTTGCCGGAAGATTGGAAATCGTCTCAATCCTTGGAATTGGTGCCTATGGAGTGGTCTACCAGGCCATCGACATCCTGACCAACGTCCCATATGCGGTGAAGGCTCTTCCCAAATCCGGCCTGGATGCTAGACAGCGTCGATTCCAGAGACGGGAAATCGCTCTTCATCATCAAGCAAGTCAGCATCCCAATGTTGTCTCGCTTCTGCGCATTTTGGATAGCCCGGACTGCACGTTCGTCGTGATCGAATTTTGTCCCGAGGGCGACCTCTTCTCCAACATCACTGAACAAGGACGATTTGTCGGCGACGATCAATTGGCCAAGCATGCGTTCTTGCAGATCCTGGATGCTGTCCAGTATTGTCATTCCATTGGGATTTACCACCGCGACCTGAAGCCCGAGAACATCCTGGTCACCAACCATGGTAGCACCGTCAAGTTGGCCGACTTTGGACTTGCCACCACCGACTCTATCACATCCGATTTTGGCTGTGGTTCGACGTTCTACATGTCACCAGGTACGTCTAGTCTCTTCAAGTGCCACTGAGCGCTATCTAACCAAATTGCACAGAGTGTCAACAAGCACCAGCTAAGCCGTATGCTCGTTATGCCGCTGGACCCAACGACATTTGGTCGCTCGGCGTCATTTTAGTCAATCTGACCTGTGGTCGCAACCCCTGGAAAAAGGCCTCTCCCGAAGACTCTACGTTCCGAGCTTTCCTGAAGGATCCCAAGTTTTTGAGCTCGATTCTGCCAATCTCTCCTGAGTTGAACATGATCTTGCGCCGCATCTTCGAGTGTGACCCGAACAAGAGGATCACTCTTCAGGAACTCCGGGAATTGATCATCAACTGCCCCAGGTTGACCATGAACCCATACAACACTCTACCTCCATCTCCACCACAGTCTCCCTACACCTATGTGGACCCCATCATGGACTGCGCGAACATGGCTCTGCCACCCTCGCCTCCCGCGTCTCCAGCCCCTCACCAACTCTTCCAAACTCAACCTTCGGAATGGTCACTGTTTGAGCCAGCCTCGAAGTCGGGATCTTCTTGTTCTTCCGTGTCCACGGATTCTGGTTACGAGTCCGAGACTACTTTCGCCGATGCTGGTCAACATCTGCAGCCTCCAGTCTTCAACTTCTACGGCAACGTTATTCCCATGAACGAACATGACAAACCTTACTTCTCACCGGCAAACTTTGTTTCCACTGTGGCCGCATATTAATTTTGGCTCCCATCCCATATACGTTGAGCAGCAACCGGTTGATGCTGTTATGAAGTCACGGACGTACGACAGGAGTTTTGTCCCTTTTACTGGATACCCAGGCGGTTTACGATATTCGTTTTTTCACACCCGGACGAGATCGGGCACCTTACGCCCAGGAATTACGTCGAAGTTTTATCGTTTGTTGCTCAAACGTGGGAGCATTCACCGTTGGAGTTCTTTCTTATCTAGAAAGCGATTCGTCTTTTATTGTTGTGGAGAGGTGATTTTGAGCGTTGACAAATCTGGATAAGAGAAAATTCACCGAGGAAAAGGCGCAAAAACGGATCCTTGTTTCTGTTATCCCTCAACCCAAGTGCTGGCGAGAGGCGATATGCGGAATGGAGAGGATGTCGTGTGTTGCAGTTTGTTCAAATCACCATGTATACCGAGAGGATCATCCGCACAGGCCATTCAGGCTCCATTGGAACGAGATCATCACTTGCAAATATTGGGCTTGGACACTTATCCGGCTCTACGTGGATCTGATCTTTTGCTTCCATGGCCTCAGCTTGTTGGCTTTATGTAAATAGTTCGAAAAAGAATCACCTTACCAAATCAATCAACGTCCATATTGAGGACATGACAACAGAATGCTTTGTTTCATTTCCTCTACCATCAATGGTGATGTGGAGATGGTCGTCGTCCTAAAGCTTCTCTATCACGTGATGGATGAAATATCCGAGCAACGATGACTTGGTCTGATTTTCTTTGTCTTCGCTATCTTCATCCTCAACGTCTCCATCGATCAAATCAATCCATCCACCTGGCACATCCGCGTGGCCGCCTCCTATGCACTGCTATTCCTGAATGACATTATGTCGGGATTTTGCCTTTTCTCCAACCTTTAGCCCCAACTATGCCGCCCTGCACAGCAGACTAATGCAAGCCGCTTGTGCCCTTTTTGTTCCAGCCCTCAGTCTTTTGACAGCGCATGCGTCAGCCGGCCGGCAATGGCAGGATGCATTGGCTGCCTTACTCTGTGTCTGCCCCGCCAGCCTGTGCATATCCTCGCCCTGCCGTTCGCTATTCCAAGTTTTTGTTCTCCACTACTGCACCTCATATGCATGTAGGATGTCTATCTGTACGCCCAACCTGCAAAGGATCGAACAGGTTGATTTAGGTTGGCTTGGCTACCGCAGATTGGGGCTGGCTGGGCTATGCGAGCTGCATTGACTTCATGGAGGGACACCCTTCTCACCCCTGAACAGGTAGGTGCAGACAACGACAGGGAGTGAGATGCCATTTTGCCATACAAAATCCAAACTCTATCGAGCAACAGGCCCCGCCATCTTAAAATCGCCTACCTACGCGCCCCGGGACTTTCACCGACCATGCAACACGCCAGACCCGTCACATTCCTTCCTTCCCCTCCATGATGATGAGCTTATGCAGGTGCTTGCGCAGGACTAACGTTGACTTGGGCAGTCAAAACACGAAGTTTCAGTACTGATCACCGGATTTACAGCACCAAGGATGGATGGCACATCGACCACGTAAAAAACGTGGTGTGCGCGTAGTCCGTGGTACTGACGGCAAGTTGCACATATCCTTACTTCGATTCGACTAGGATGCTCGATGTATGCACGCCCGCCGTACTGCGCCGCCATCACGTAGGCTGCCACTGGCTAGAAATTCGACGAGGGGTGCTGACGACCCCATCGCACGGTAGCAACGTGAAGGCGACGGCGTCCTCAGGACTTGCTGCCTGATGTGGGCACTCGAGTGTTGTCTATCAGTGCCTGCCCCTCCTTGTCTTGGACGTTGATACAGCACTACCATTGTGTCATTGACAGTGCTCGGCACCACAGGCACCAATCCGGGCGCTCTGCGGCTAGTCGTTTGAGAGTGCCCATGCCGATGAACAACAACGACAGTTGGGAGTTTGTTGATCAAGTCTCGTCGCGGGACAAGTGTCACACCACATATCTCGATCTTTTCTAGCAAATAACTCTACCGCTACGTTTTCATGACTATGGACAATCGCTTGAAATGGTGCCATGATGCAAAACAGCCATGACACTTGACACAAGTTCGATCGTTGTCAAATAACTGGCCGAGCTCTCACTTGGTATTCCGCCGTCCTGGTACTGCTAATCGGATGGTGGCTGCATTCCTTCCAAACAAGAGTTTTGGATGCAAAGTATTGGCGCGCAGGCATCGACACACCTCCGAGGACAAGTATAGTGCCGGTGAAGGGTCAAGAGTACGACTTCATGAAAATGCTTGTAAGTTATCAAAAAGTATGCGCAGGCGAAGCACACATCGGCCAATTGATGACATCGCTGATGCTAAGCGACAAACGCTAGATGCGAAACAAGTTTGGCGGATTGGACGCTACCAATGAGTGGTGTGCTTGATCAGGTCTCTGTCATGCTTTGACCGAAAGCATGTACCACACATCAACCACTCATCTTGACGCTTTCCTCGGCATTGGGAAGTCAAGCTGACAAGTATGACTATCCTCGTAGACCACCAAGTTCGGATATCCTGTTTCGCTTCTCACATCCGGAACCAAGACTTAGACTTATCCTCCTTTGGCAGAAACGTTCTGGACGCCCACGAACACGAGTCGTCCAAGTCAAGATGTCCTCTAGTCAACATACCCGGATTTGTTACGTCAACACGCTCTTCACTACCGTGATTGCTATTGGAAGACGACCAAAAATGCCTCAAGCATCCGACAAGGACGTCTTCCGAAAAGCATGTATTGCATACACCACAGTCTTATGCTAGGCTAAGTTTACCACATTCAGGACTTTGTCTTTTTTGCTTGATCCTCATTATCGAAACTTCCCTAAGAGCCAAGAGCCACTACTCAGGCTGCCGCAGGGACGGCCCAACACGATAAGGATCGACGATCGATAATTGATTCTTGAAGAACTGGTGCCGTCGATCAGTCCATGAGCCGGTTTTCCACGTGCTCCGTGCGGCGTGCAAATTGCAACAACGGACGGGTTGAATCACGTGTCTTTCTTCGAGACTTGACTTGCGAGGCTGCTATGGAACACTGGCTCAAAACTGCTATTCAGTCTTGGGTTCCTAATGGCTTCAAGGCGATGCAACGTTGACATGTCCTCGGAGCACGACCGCGATCTGCACATATCAACATCATGACTGAACATTTCAGGCTCATCGATATCGATATGTTGACTGAGACCCCAGGTAAGGCTGGCCTGTCGGATTCTCTGGAGCACTATACTTGGTTCGTGGTCTACTATTGAAAAGGTGCATCAACTCTGTTACAATATTGCCCAGCGACACGAGCGGAGCCTGATTTGCAGACGTTGACTTAAGGAGGTTTGGCTTGCAGCAATACATGCATCTGAGCACAGACGCATTCCAATAGCAGCCTCGTCGACCATTGAGTTTGGCTGACAAGAATAGGGAGGATCTGCCAATGCATCGCCGTTTACAGCCATTGTTCTCCATCGGTCACAGTTGCAGAGTGATCCGTGGGTACGGGACGTGCTTCGGTCTCATCAAGGATGACAACGCCTGTCAGGTACGAGGGACGGTGTACTATGTGGTCATGTGCTCCTGGATATTGTGGTCCAAGCGCGCGTCAGCCGAGACGTCGCCCTCGCAAGGCAGCAGCATAACAAAAGTTAATAGAAGGTTACCCACAGACCACTCTGTAAGGGGCGGTAGGATATGTCACTGTGCCACACAGCCACAGCGTATCTCGTACGGAGTGCTATGGTATGTCTAAGCCACACAGATATCGACGCCACGTTAAGTACGCCACTCATGATCAGCTTTCTCCTCGCCAAAGCCGCCAGATGCGGGTGCTATTATTGGCTCTCGGACCAAGTGAAACCACCCAAAAATGCAACGACATCGAGTCTTTTTCAGCAATAATTCCCTACAGCCAAGAGGGTTTTGTCTGCTCGACTGATCTTGACTTCGATGGTCGTGTCTCGTTCCGTCTTCTGTTGCAACAGAACCAAAACCATGTTCCCTCGCAAGTACCAGCACCATTATTGCGTGGTTCCAGGCCCAAGGTCGGTGGCACCCGAGCGAAAAACCCTCCTCTGATGGGCGTCCAAGAATGCTTGCGCGTCGCTGAAGGCTTGTTAAGTATTGTGTTGCCGCCTACACCGAGTGAATTAAAGGCAAGTCACTCTTTCGCTATTAACCTCCATTCCGTTTGTGCAAGTTGCTCGAGACTGTTACTGCACGTCACGCCTATTTCTGGTACATTTTTCCACATCTTGCCACCACTTGACGAGCCTCCTTTCGTAAATCTCGTCGTCCTTGGATCTCCCTCTCCAGGGCATTCAAAATCAGCGTGCGCGAGTATCTTCTCGGGCCGATAGCGCCAATTGAATCGATCGAACGTGCTTCAGTTGCAGCGCCCAAATAATACGTCTAGCATTTTTGACCCAGCAAAGAGGGCAACAGCTTTCTGAACGAAAAAAATCCTCGAAACCACTGCGGCAATAATCAATCATGGCCGATAAAAATTATCCTCCGCCGTCATACCCGCCGCCACAGCAGCAACAACAGAACTCAGCCCAGGGCGGCTTTCAAACGCCCCCGCCGATGGCTTACAACCCCAACCCGAACCAATATCAAAACCAAGGCCAATATGACCAGAACTACGACCAGAATCGCGGATTCTTCGGTGGTCAACAACAGCAACAGTACGGACCTCCTCAACAAGGATATGGGTATGGTGGCGGCTATGGACAGCAACAACCGGGATATGGGTATGGGCCGTATCAGCAGCAGCCGCAGTACTATGATCGGGGCAGGAGCGGTGGTGGCATGCTGGAGGGGCTTCTAGCTGGACTGGCGTGCTGTTGTTGTTTGGATTGTTTGTTGTGTTAGAAAGGCTAGAGAGAGGATTTGAGGGGTGCTGAGATGTTCGAACGGTTCTTCATCTGCTGGGGTTTTGCTTTCGGGATTTAATGCATAGCGATCGCGGGTGGCACGGGCTTAAAGATACACCCTCTACGCAGGTTGGAACCTGCGGTGTCGTATATCATAGGACAAATTCAATATTATGTGCTGGATCTTTCACGACAACTCTTCTTGCTCGCATTCTAGTTCCATCGTCGTGTTCTCGCTATGGCTCTGCTCTGAAAGGATTGTGTGAGCGAGTAGGTGGACTACTTAGGAGCACTTAGTCGTAGACCACCCATGCCAGTGAAGAGCACGTAATGCTATGGACGTCGAAATGTAACACTGGTGCCGGGCGCCGGCAATGCTGAACACATCAGCACCAGATGTCATGGGAATGTCCCTAGATCTCTGATCCGAGACACTCACTCCCAGTGTCCTAGGATGGATGAAGGCGTCATTGACACGGTAAAGGTGGTTCTTGCCCACCCTCAGGGCAGAACATGAGGATCATCATAGAAGTCCACTCATCCCATACCTATATTTGTAACCATCAGTCCCAATGAAGTTGCGCCAGATTGCCGGAGACCCACGGTAGTCGTTTCAGGCAGACCGAACGCAGCCGCGTGTCCACTGGAGCCGGTCGATCCGCTTTAATGAAACACTGTCACTGGGATGGGCCCAATCGAAACCATCCCTGTGCGGTCTTGCTTGACCTGGGACGTTTGCTCCAAGGGTGCCATTTCGAGAGCGGGTAGCCTTCAATACTCCTCCGATCAGGCCGAAACAAGGAGGTTTTCAGGTCGTACGTAGACATCGTCGAGCGCGATACTGGTAATCTCCGAAGGCCCGGATGCCCACGAGGTCTCACATCATGCAACACGAATACTCACTCAGTGCCCCATTTTCCGTTGTTGTTTTCGCGGCAGTCCGAGTGATATCCTCAAGCGCCTCCCACATCAATTCCCCAGTGAGAGCACTGCATTCAGCATATCGATCGCATCTCATCTCCTGTGCCGCTCGGAGGCCTTCTTGCGGCATCACGCACTCAAAGGTCCCATCTTCCAGTCGATTTTCGTTGCGCTCGTCTCTTTTGAGGCCCAGTAACATCACGGGCATTTCGTGCTCTTGATCATTGTAATGGAGAGACAACTGCTTGCGCCAGTAGTACTGGGCGTTGTGCAGAGACTCACGCTCAGAGACGGAATAGGTGATGATAGCAAACGCAGGCTTCGAAGGGAACGGATCGATGAAGAGTGTAGATGTGGAAGGATGAACGCGAAACTGATATGGACGATTGAATAAAGTGACTTCAAACGTCTGCGGTCCTGCAGACGGAAACACACGTCTTGGAGGGATCGCCGTCAAGTCCAGCTTGCCGTTGCGGACATGTTCTAGTCGTCTAAGTCAGTGTCAGTATCATCTCTTGCTTCACGAAGAGACTATGGTAGCATACGACAGGAAGGTTGATTTGCCCACACCGGGGCTACCGAGGAAGAGTATGTCAACTTCCGGGACGCTTAAGGGCTTACCCTCGAGGACCGGCGTCGTCATTAGTCCTCTCACTTCTACAGCAGATCATCGTACATTCTCCATCAGTGGTTCACAAGTACGAAGTGATATTGAAGGTTCCTTGTCTATTGGATTGGCTGCACAATCACAGCAAAAGCCATGCCGCTTTGACCACCCACAACCTTGCCACTTTAAGATCACGTGAAATACCCCTTTTGATTCCTCCCTCATCACTCTTCAAGCGACCTCTGAGCGTGCAGTGCCACGAGACCAGCACCATTGCAAACGTTGAAGTGAACGAAGTGATTGTAATTGTCCACGTGGTTACCGTGATCAACCGTGCCGTACTGTAGTTGACGTAGGTTGCGTTGGAATCGGTAGCAGAGCTGACACTTGATGAATTGGCCACGGTTATTTGACTGTCAAAACTTCGAACTTCATATACAAGGCTTATGACGATTGCGGTCAAAATGCGCATGGGCAAGGTCACGCTAGTGCCAGCCCAGACGATGTCTGATACAGCACCCTGGATATTGTGATCATGACCAAGAACTGATTCAGGCTCACCTTGGGAGGATGCAGGCCATGTCTTGGGAGTCGGTTGTTGTTCACGAACACCTTGGTTGGAAGTCAACTGCTCTTCAGTGACACGTTGGTCTGGAGTCGATTGCCGTTCAGCAAAGCCATGGGTAGGGTCGACAACGGGCTGTTGCGTCACCGTTGGCTCGGGTTGTTTCCTGTTGGCGGTGTTGTTAAGGTTTGCGAAGCCATTGTTGGAGTAAGACTCCGTCGGCGACCTCGGTGAGCTTGGAGGTGGACCGGGACCCAAACCCGAGTCGGACGGTAACAGTAAGACCGCATCTTCATCAAATGCGGCGTCAGTCGATACTTATTGCTATGCAGAGCAGTCAGGCTGAAGTGGGATCGTTGAGGCTCTTCCATCCGTACGCGGTAGTCGGGCGGTGCGTGGTCTGATCAGGCCCCAATCGGACGCCAGAAGTTTGCACACCATGGTGTGAGAAAGCTTGCATTGGTTGCTGCAGAAGACGCCAGGCTTAGCGGCAGAAACTGTTTGCCTTCCTGGTAATCATGCCGATGAGGGCCCATTCGAGGCGACTTACAGTCGCAAGACTCCGGTTTGACGCGAAGAGGGCGGTGCTTCCCAGTCTAACAGCCGAGGCTGGCGGTGACGGCATTGTTGGCCATAGGACCGTCATTGCTGGAGTGATCGTCGCCTGTTTGGTGTCAGGCGCCCCGGGCATATTAGTAGAAAGTCGTATGTTTACCAGCAGATTGGCATCGAGAGGTTTCAAGGTAGCCCTAAGCTTCACCAGATTCCGACCTCGGTACTATGTTCTGTTGCCACTGTTTCCGCCGCCACGATATCGCCTGTACTAATTCTATTCCATATCTCTTCCAGGATTGCACCCACCAGGTTTTTGGACCGAAAGTCCCGATATATGCAAGGGTGATTCAGGGCTTCCCGAACAAAGGACTTGCTCTGGTCATCGGTGCATGAGAGCCCCGTGATGTATAGTGGCCATATAACCATCCTCGTGTGGAACTCTGGCTTCAAGATCTGGGAGGTTGTAAAGCAGGTAATGTGCGTCTTCAAGTCTTTAGCGAGTACTGCCGCGTCTCCCAGAATCTTTACCTGATGCAAGTGCAAGAAGAACAAGGTCGCAATGGCATATGCTTGCCAAATGTGATACTGTGCAGGGGATGAGGTCCATGAGCTTGTTTTCGATAACCATTCTCTGAGCTGGTCGGAGCAATCGATGTGCATAGAGGCCGCTGCAATCAGATCCAGCAGCGAACGCGGCAGACATGTGATGCGTTCAACACCAGATCCCCCAGTACACCACTTGTACCAGATGTGACTGGGCTCAGTTTGTCTCCCAATAATCCAAGCATCAAAGTCCATGGTCGCGAGCCACCACTGGAGACGCATTCTGATACCCATGTCTCCTAGTGGTGAAGCCTGCTCGCCCGATGAGGCGCAACAAATCGGAGAGATAGCGTGTCCAGCTGTACCCTAGATGCATCTGTTCCACAAGTCAATGATCTTTCGCGTATGGACTCCGAAAGACTTACCGCAGCGGAGCAGATCAAAGCCCCCATCATAGAGGTACAATCCGCATCCTCCCAAGGAAGAGCCTCGCGGTAGAGACTAACCGCCTTATCGAACTTTACCAGACTTTTCTGATCGTTATATTGACAAGCTTGAAATGAGAGTACGGTGGCGGTGGCCGCCAGGGATCGCTGGCACATCAACAACAAGTCATCAATGAGGGGATTATTGGGCAGGCTGGAGAAGTGGAGACCACGTTGTCCATGATTGAGGACTGGGAAAGTGTTAAGACTATAGCGCTTGTCACCATGCATTGGGTTGTAGACTTACATTCGTGAAATGTGAACAGGTCGTCAGCATCCAATTGTACCACGGTCTTCCAGGATGACAGGTTGGGACCTAAGCTCAGTGTAGAGGCAGTTCGCATGGACCCTGCCGAACTTGAAACTGCATCTTCGATTTGGTAAGGCATCTGCTCCGTTTCGGAATCGTGAAAGTTGCAAATTTCTCGACACGGTGATGTGGAGCGGAGCATGGTCTCTGAGGAATACCTGCTGAGCATTTCTTCTGGCGACATTTCCTCGTTTGTTTGGCTGGGGGATTTTGGAGTTCTACCTCCAGTTTTCCCTAGCTGAGTTTCTGGTTCCCTCGAACTGTTGCTCGTCTTCCTCCCTGCTATGTTGTTTTGGGGAGAACCTGCCACCACTGTTCCGCTAATTGAGCGTTTTGGTTCCGTCCAAACTAGACGAGGTCGGTATTCGCACTGGATAGACAGTCTTGAGCATCGATTACAGACAGGTCTGCGTTCGTCGCATTTCCTGCTGGCTTTTCTACAGCGCCAGCAACCGAAACGTGACCGGCGGTTTGACATATCTGAGTCTCGGATTGCGTGGCGTTGCAACGATGAGAGCGATTGTGAAATCCACCAAGGGACGTCCTGCAGATCACAAACAGGCTCCCCGGGCCTTCAGGGAACGATCAAGATGATATGTCTTCATGGGGGTGGTTGTGGCCTGTGAGGTGAATGTTGTTACTGCTGGACGATGATGGTGATAACGGAAGGAGGACAGGGTACAAGGCCTTCAGATGCGGACGGGACTTGTTTGTTCGAGCTTTAAGTTTGACTTACGGGCGCTGGGCACGCCGAGATTGAGGGATGACGGCTTATCTTAGTACACGGCCCGATGAGCACAGGGTCGACGCTGTTCTCATTCCTTATCAATTCAAGCTTATTTGGCCTGGACAAGCTTCGTACAGTGGGGATTGATAGGTCCCTTTATCTACCTCGCGAGGTATGAATCAAAGCCCCTCTACATCGTATCAGTCCATCACACTTTTGCAAGCTCGCAATTTATCAATAATACACCTCCTTCTCAACAAGTCTCCTGTACCGACCAGCAGTCCAGATTCTCATATCCTTTCCCCATATTTGGAAGATGACCGAGGAGAGATTGAGCACAAACATCAACACCGCGATAGTGATGCTCGTATTCTGAGCGCCGTTGTGATTTACCCAAGGTTGGATAACAAAAGTCATCGCCCCTCCTATTGCGTTGCGCAGAAAATTCGTCAATTGAACCGTTTCGCCGGAGAGCTCATTGTAACAGTCAAATGCATAAGCCATCGAAACCGGTGCAGCAGCGTTCATGGCAAGGCCGATAAGTGTGAGGCCAATGCATGGCACAATCCAGTGGACGCCATAGCTTGCCCCATCGCCGTACAGGATAAGGAGGGCGGCGGCCCAGAAGGAGACCGGTAGGTAAGCCCAAAGGCGGTATTCAGGCTCCATGATACCTCCGTTTCGTCGAGACAGGTGGAGCACGATCCAGTCGCTGAATGGTCCACCCAACACTGTTCCAAAGACCATGCCTATGATCACAGCGAAATACATCAGGCCAAGCGCCCCTGCACTGAAGTTTTATGGCGGCACCGAGAAGAAACTAGCTTGAGTGGTGAAGACGACGCTCGTCATGAACGTCAACAAGCTGAGCATGACGCTCGCCCATACAATGGCAGGGAGGAGCAGAAGTCGAAAAGGGGAGATAATGAAGGCCCAAAACCCAATCCGGACCCTCGTATCTGGCCGAAAAAGTGTCATCCGTTGAACATAAGTGGCTTTCTGGTGGTTGGTCGGAATATGATGGTGTGCAGTGGTTTCAAGACTACCTTGCTGTTCGGCGGTCTGTTCAGACGCCAACTCCTGTTCCCTGTCCCGTACGTACAGGGTTTCCTCCGCTCCGAAGACCAGCAATAAAGTGGCAAGGCTCATGAACACGAGCAGATATTTGAAACACCATTGCCATCCTTGAGAGTCGACGATGTAACCTGCCGCCACTGGAGGAAGGAAGTTACCAACGAGGAGCACAAGACCTTTTCGACGGATAGGTATCGTCAGCATTTTCTCAACGACACGCAGAATATCGACGCTTCGAATGAGGCATGGAGCTGGAATCGGCATATAGGGAAGAAAAAGAAGCGGCGTGACTTACAGTATATGCCTAACCAAGTTCCCCTCTGATGCAGGAACATGATATCAACGACTGATGTCTCGTTTGTTCAATAACCCGGCCCAGAGCCGAATCCTGAGAGAGCAGTGTAGGCGTAAAAGAAAGCGATGCTCTTCATTGCCAGGCCAAGTGCGAGTCCAACAAGCACGAATGCAGAAGCCACAACGTACGGTAAACGTCGGCCGTACTTGAGAGCATATGGCTGAAATACCAGACATCCGAATGCGCACAGAAATACCAGGATACCTTCCCCGTTGCTCAAGTCCGTGTAAGTTGTGTTGAGGTCCACAACCCAGGTCGCCCAGGCTGGACTGGTCCATGCGATACTGCGGTGCTGTTAGTTCTGTCCCTATATCCATACAAGCTGGTGGGAACTTGCGCTGCATTGACTATGAAGCACCAGAACAATATTACAAACATGTGCCAGTATTTGCGTCCCCGTGACCAGTTCTATTCCTCGACCGATCAGTTTGGATTATCCAATGCAGGGGCCACGGGTTGTACCAAAGGGTCATTCGGGTCAGAGGAAGGTTGAGGCACCAAAACCACGTCGGAAGTCCCGTCCTCTATCGCAGTCACAAAGTCAGTATTTATCTCCGGACCAATGTGGCAAATGGACGTACCTTTTGTGATCTGTCTTGTGCCAGGCACATTGGAGTCTGAGCAACGGACTACCGACTCTGCGTCGTTTTTGAAGGTGTTCTCTACAGAGTTCCCCATCTTGAATCGTGCGTGATGAGATAAGGAAACACAGCAGTGGTCTTCGGGTATGTGAAAAATTGGGATTCTGATTGGGAAGTCAATGCTATGTACATGGATTTAAATGTTTGAGGCCTCGGCCGTCAGGTTAGGACCCGATGATAAGTGAACGAGCATTGGTCTTCATCCTCTTCCCAATACTTAATCCGGTCTGGCCTTATCTTCGAGGCGTTCGCGGAATATCACCTATCATATCTATCCCCAATTCAGAACCTGCTACTTGTGATTTTAGAAGATCCATACTCTCTTTGGTCGAGACTACTTCAGATTGTCCGTCCTCTTAAATGTCCATATGCAGTATAGTCCGTCGCATAAGACATGCAGCTTCAATGAGCCATTGGTGACAAGAGACCAGACGTGATCATTATGGAACGGTCAGTCCTCGGATGCGTCTATCAATGATGCTAGCAAAACCCGGCTAGTGTGGGTCCATTTCCCCCAATGTGGATGTCCCTTTTTGGTGTCAAGGCTAGCGTCGTCCTTCTAAAATTACCCCATCCGGATTAGTCCCTTCTGACAGAGTGCCACCTCCTGTAGTATTGTGATAATAACTTTTGCTAGTAGTCGTAACGCTTCTGAAGACTTTATCAGTTCACTCGAGGTCATGCTCCACACTGGTCAGCCATGGTCATGGAGCAGGGGCATAGGTTGTTCCGATAGTAATCCCATCCTGTGAGAAGGTCGATCAGCAGTCTCCCGGGCTGCATTTGCGAAATTGTTCAGAGGTATTTGTTCGTCGTACTTCAGTCATCTTGACATGTGAGCTAGATTTTCAATCCTTACCTTACTATGTCCTCCCTTTCTTCGTCCGGTGCTCAGGGAGATGCAAAAACGGCAGACTATGCTTGGTCCCGTCCCGGCGGTCTGATCGAACGGCCTGGGCAGGGACCTGGTGAGTCCGAGGCCTGGGTCTACTGCGACAAGTTTTCGTACAATTCGGATGAGAAGGTCTCACTCAGGACATATACGACAGCTGAAGAGTATGACATCGATGTCATCAAAGACGGAGCCAAACCTCGAAAGGTCTACACCAAGCAGCATCTGCCAGGTCGACAACACCCGACACCAAAGGATGCATATGCTGTTGGTTGTGGTTGGCCCGAGTCATTGTCAGTACAGCTTGATGACCCATGGGAATCCGGCTTTTACCTCGTCATCATACGGATCAAGAATGTCCGTGGCAGGGTACACGAGCGGGAAGGATTCTTTGTAGTCAGGCCTGACAAGGACCACGCGACGGGGGCGGATTTTGTCTTGGTACATGCCACAAGCACAATGCTGGCGTACAATGATTGGGGCGGGGCCAATCACTACCGAGGGATCGAAGACGGATATCAGAATGATATACCCAGCCCGCATGCTTCCTCCCAACGACCCGTCGCAAGAGGAATGCTCCGAATACCGAGAAACGCCCCACGCGAGTCTACCAGTGACGCTGTCGTTGGGCCTGGGTGGACACCGAGGTATCACAGCCTCGAGTATTCCTGGTATTTCCGCTTTTCAAGGCACTACGCCGACGCCGGCTGGGCTACATATGAACGCCCGTTCGTTGTATGGGCTGAAGACCAAGGCTACAAGATTCATCATATCACACAGACCGACCTGCACTCTGATCCAAGCATTCTCAACGGATATAGCTGTGACGTCTCGGTCGGTCACGATGAATATTGGTCTTGGGAGATGCGGGACAACATAGATACATTCACTGGCCGTGGTGGTCGATTTGCTCGGTTTGGCGGCAATTTCTGTTGGCAAGTGCGCTTTGAAGACAATACGGACGTTCAAGTCTGCTACAAGGACCCAAGAGCCGATCCTGCCTTCGGCACGAACCCAACCAGGACCACGACTGGCTGGGACTTCCCTCCTGTGAACCGCCCTGGTGCGCAGACTGTCGGCTTGACTGGTTTTGGTGGTGTTTATACTCGCTATGGCGTTGCCTCCCCGCGATCTTCAGGTGGTTTTCAGGTATACAGGCCAAATCACTGGGCTCTTGAAGGGTCGGAACTCTTTTACGGCGACATATTTGGTGGTCATCCTGTCAACATCTGTGGATTCGAAGTTGATGGTGTCGACTATACCTTTAAAAAGGGGTTGCCATACCCATCCGGCGCTGATGGAACACTAATGGATCTAGAGATCATAGCCATGTGTCCAGCGGTCGCCGGCGAAAGGGATCGATGGGGAGGTATGGAACCCATCGGTGGACCGCTCAAAGAGCTGTAAGTTGATCACAAATGCCAGACAAGAACACGTTACTAATATGAGCAAAAGTCATATCCTCCTCAATTCTGTTTATCGGGAGGGAGTGCCAGCGTACTTGGAGGATCGTGAGTATGGAAGCGGTATGGTGGCCAGTCTGAAGAGAGGTGCTGGCGAAGTGTTTTGTGCCGGCACGGCAGAATGGGTTGTTGGGCTCATAAAGCATGACTTCTTCACCGAAACCATCACTAGGAATGTCCTGAACCGGTTCTCTGGCAGGGCTGAGGCATGAGACCAGAATGTGTGACTCCTTTGAGCTTTTGCCACTTGAAAGAGGAGGCCAGAGTTCTACATGTTCCATAATTCGGCGTCCGACAAAGCTATCGTCCTTGTTGGCCCCAAGTGCTTGCAAGATGCTCCACTGCTGAAGTAGCGAGCTCCGTGATGGAAAGAAATAAACAGTCCAATCCGTGGTTCATTTGACGTGGTGGACTGTGGTTAGTGCCGCGTGCGATAGTAGCAGCTGCACAAGCGGAAGGAAGGTCTAGAATTGTCTTAGTGTCACAGAAACAAAGCTGGCGAACTCTTCAAAACCATCGTTGGCCTTCGTCAGTCCGTCACTTCGTTCCAAATCTCGAATCTTGTTCGTCAGAGACACCCGGGACTACGGCCAGCTTCCGTGATTCTCCTTCACATCACCGACAATGTCTTTCGTTGCGAGTAGGGAACGACTAGAGTTCTTCCGAGAGCTATCAAGAAACCCTTCGTACTCACAAGAAGGTATCAGCGTGGAATTCACCACCACGTTCGAATTCATCAAAAGTGTTGTCCCACCGACCTTTGAGACGGCCGACGAACCGACCGGTCTCATAAGCATATCAACATGGGAGAGCAATGTATGTGGAAGTTATGAGCTCTCGTCTGTATCCGTGCGCTGCAAGGTTGACGGCGAGACAGGGTACTACGTGCTCAATTTGATCGTGAGCGAGGATGTCGCGATAACCTGGGGCCGTGAGTCCTGGGGGGAAATCAAGAAACAAGGGAAGCCAAGATTGTTCCGTAGCGGGACTCGTCGTCGAGGATACTGCGAGCGTCGTGGCGTCCGCTTGATTGAGATGGAAGCTGACTTCGACCGGGACCTTGCGTCGGAAACGAGTGAGTGGCTCAGCTTCGAGGTGAAGGCATTCCCAGGTACTCTTGGGTCTCCGAGCCAGGGTCTGCACTGTGATCCCATATTGATCACGTTGCGGGTGGTTGATCACAACGTCAAGCGTGCGACGGGCAAAGGAAGACTGGTGCTCAGAGGCACCAGGAGCGATCCCTTGCATACGATTCCCGTCAAATCTGTCGGAGATTTTCAGTATTCGAGCGGACCGTCAGAATGGAGATTGAAGAACGAGCGCTTCCTATGTCCCGCCGATGCATATTTACCGTACTTTGTTGGGCGCCATTACGACGACGTGGCGGATCCCATGCTCGGACAAGCTTGTACTCTGGACAGAACCCATCCTCAGCTTGCATCTGACCCTGAGGTCTACAAAGTGCAGGAATTGACTAGTACCTAGATTTCTTGAAAGACGCTGTGGAAACTGTTTCAGTGAGCCTTCGTCAGTCTAAATCTCCATCGGCTTGTACCGTCGATCATCAAACGAGAAGGCGAGAAGGAATACGTAGCTGAGAGATGATTTATTATCCCTGTGACGGATGCCTCTTTTGAAGTGCATAATGATGATAGCTTAATGCGCACCAATGGCCACAGATTCAGAGTCTTGGCCCTTGCAGCAGAACAGCTCTATTCCCTGGGGCTCACTATTCGCCCTTATGGATGAACAATTTACAGGTGGTGGCGTCCACCCCTTAATGTCCCCCTCCTTGGCGGTTCACGTCGTCAAGTTGGATGCAAGCACCAACCTCCTACTTTATCAAAGCTCAATCTCCCCTTTGGCATGATGACTTCTACAATAGATTCAGAGGTGGTGCCAGAAAGCATGACAGGACTACGAAGGGAAGTTGACAGCGTCCTCTTGTTCGATGGCCTCTCGCAACCCATCTTGGGCCGAATGATCCCTCACATCACGTCGAATGGGCCGTCATTCATCCACTGGAAGTCATCGGGCAACTCAAACAGGCTCTCCCAAGTCGCATTCGGCCATGCCAGAGTGTTGAACATTGACCAGTCCTTCGGCAACTGCTCGCTTGGATGCTGACCATGTGTTGACAATATTGCATCGTTTTGTGGCTGCCTCCCCAGAGTATCGACTGGCGGCACGGCAATGTCGACATGGCCAACACTGTACTGCCGCTCTGCATTGGGATGGCTAGTACCGTCGGGCTGAATAACGTCCACCTGCAAAGGGCGCCCTTGCTGGAATGATTGAGCACCAGGAGACGCTAAAGTGAGGATGGGGCTTTCCTCGGTGTTGTTCCAGACGCGCAACGGCTGCTGCCGCGCATTGTACAAAAGATTGATCAGGTCATACATTCGTTGTGACGCGACAGCCCATGGCTGCATCTCCTTCATGAGAAGCAAGGTCGCATTTATTTGCCGATGACACTGTTCTAAGACTTGACGTGTCTCCTCTAGGACTCTGCTGGACGTCCGAACAGCCCAGGGTGTGCTGCTTGGCGGCCCGTGGCTGATCTGTGTGCCTAAGCGGATTTCTTCACCTTCGCGAAAGGTGTAGAGACACAGCAATGGCAGCATACAGACCTGCAACACATACCATGTCGATGGCCAGGCGATGAATTGATTCGGGGACGAGGCAGGAAGTCCTCTCGCCAGATCAATGGTCTCACCGGACAAAGTCAGGCATTTTCGAACGCACAGCCTCTGGTCAGAAGTAAGTGAACTATAAGGCGTCTTGTGAAGCACAGATTCCATAAGAACAGGCCGGTACAACATAATCCTTAGATTGAGATACCTCCACCGAAGCGTCATACAAGGCTGAGTGAGGCGGTTGAAGGAAGTCGATGAGTGAACCCCAGCGCCTGGTTGGATCGAATTACCCGCTAGCCGGTGGAAATGGGTCGGTAAGCCTTCGTACCAGTCAACAAGATGTGCATCCAGGCTGAGCAGCTCAGCGAACGGCAAGGTGCTCGGATTCAACAAGCGACCCTGAACTTCAGTCATTGTTCGGGCGAATTCGATGGCAATGGTCAACAGCGAGACCGTGGTGAAATCATTGGTGGGATCTCCAACCTGGTAAGGACATTGACAACGTCAGCGCTTGCTCACTCAAAGGCAGTACGTACCAGACATCAATTGCAGCCAATGGTTCTCAACTCACATTTCCATTTGCATCCTGTGGGTATCGGACCTCGGAATCGAAGATATTCGTGTCCAGGGTACGTCCCAGCGTTACCGCCTCGGCTGCATCCAGCACTACCAGATTCCACCACATCGTCCGCCGCAGTTCTTGGTTTTCCGTACCATGAATGCTAAGGTGCATCTCTTTGTGAAGCCCCAGTGCGTATGCCATACGGAATGCGGCTCCGAGAAGCACAGAGGCCAGATTCGGACGGTTTCTGTAATGGCAATACCATCCGGCCATGAGAATCAATGATTGCAAAGTCTCAAAACTCTTGCTTGCAAGGAGCTCAAAATCCAGGAAGGATTTTGCCGCATTATAGTACGTTAGATGCTCTCTGGAATCGGTGGTGGTGCAGCCAATAGCACCTAGAGCGAGAACGATATTTAGGAGACAAAGCCAAGGTGCATCATTGCGAAGCCCGGAGAGTGCTGTCGCCCTGAACTCCTTCTCATCAAGAATCGGAGTCGCTGGATGCACCCAGTCGAAGTATGCGTCAATCAAGGTGCTCATTCGCTCAGACATCTGCAATGGTGTGTGGTGGACACCACGCCCAGGAGAAGTCTGCGACACGCTACGATGAGTCTCGGATGGGGTGTGACTGCATCCTCCATGTTCTAGAGACTCGGGAGCGATTCGAAGAATTGTACGAAACAATTGCATGGTCGAAGAAGGGCCGACATAAGATGATGTCTGGTTGGACGTGGCTGATATTGCGTTCACATCGTCTCCAGCTTCCGATGAAACACCGTCGTCATCCTGCACTTGCTGAGCTGCAAACCCAACTATCGTGTCTAGAGCAGCATATTGGTCTTCTGAACTCAGTGGCGCTGACGGCAAATCGCTGGAGAAGCTGGTGCTCTCACATCCACCAAGAGAACCATATCGAAACTCATGAGCGTCCGTTGAAATGCCAGCAAGGTCAACTTGCTTGCTTCCACCTGGCAAGCCAGTCCTGTCAAGCTGCTCAAGCAGTTGTTCGTGGGAAAAGTCGGCGAGAGTATCAATCGTGATGGATGGAAAAAGCTTTGCCAGAATGTCGGTCGTTCTTTCGAGCCGTTTTCGGAGGTATTCGAAGTTTTTCCGACTCACGACTAGTGGTGGCCGACTAAATGGGTATATACAGCGATCGGCCTGCTTGTACCATCGACAAGAATAGCAGGGATGTGTACCGTCGCATTTCACCTTTCTCCTTTTGCATTCCGTGCAGGCTGTTTTGATCCGCGGATCCCTTCCTGCCTGATTCGGGAATGTCCTTTTTGATGACGGTGGATGGCTCTCAGCTATGAAGAACTCATGTTGCTGAGGAGCCATGCCGGATTCCGAGGACATAGCAGGCCAGTAAGGTGAGTACACCTAGCGCTTAGACTGGAATGTGGTAAGCGAATGTTGAGGATTGCCGTCTGCCGAAGTCTTCCTTGAGGCACAAGCGTGATCCGGGCACGTTCCGACGCTTCGACGCCTCTTCAGGCCATACTCCGGATTCAAAGACTTATGTTTCAAGGATACAATCGATGACAGCCCAAAGTACTATTGGCGACACGTTCAGAACGCCATTCCCGCCCTAGAATCGGTGAGAAAAGGTAACGACAGCCTCGAGAGAACTTCTGTCAGCGTCGTCTAGCCTGACCTCGAATGATTGGTGCCCACAATTGTCCCGGGGAAGGTCCACTGATATTGGAGACTGAAGATAAGGGCACGTTAGCGCTTACGAGTACTCTTCAGGGAGGCAACCACGACGGACCTCGTTGGGTAAGCAGCTTGCCATGGCACTTACCAAAGAATGCCGACCGTGTTCCTGGTCTTCTTCGGCATTGATCTGCCATTTCTGTATGCTTGATCAACTGTTCTGCCATCCAGATTGACATTCATTTCCAAATAGCCCCTCACGCTCGCAATGCGAGAATCTCCGAAGACTAGTTTGCTGTCTGCTAAAAACCGATCTATCCGCATTCGACACGGAATGCAACCTCCTTATCCTTATCAAACTTCCATGTCTTCTGCTGTCCAAAAAGGCTTTCTACAGTTCAACGACACCTCAGTATCAAGAAGGCACGATAGGTGAATTGCTACGGTTACCATGAGGTCCAGGAGCTCTTATCTTCACACTTGGAGTCGTCGAGCAGTACATAATCAGGACGTTATTAATACCATCACATGAAGTCCAGATCCTTCGGTAATCCACCAACATTTTGAAGGCCTTTTCTTGCCAGGTTCAGTTGCGGATTGCTTACCTAGCATACCACCTCGGATCTGTGCCTCGATATACAACTTTTCAGCCTCCGGAACCACTTCCGACCTGCAAGCATGGGTAACCCCACCGGCGAGGCTGTCCAGAACATCGGCAAAAAGCAAGATGAAGACTTGAACCAACAGTCCAGGGTAGCCACCGACATTGAGCATTCTCTCGGGGTCATCGAAGCAGTCAAGCTATACCCCATGGCAGTGCTCTGGGCCTCGCTCTTCGCCTGGTCCCTGGTCATGGTGGGCTACGATTCCGGTATCATCTACAGCTTCTACGCTCTGCCCGCTTTTGTCAAGAAGTACGGTACTTATTACGGTCCTGAAATTGGCTATGAAGTCTCAGCAAAATGGCAGAACGTTCTGGGTATGGGGACCCCAGTCGGCCAATTCCTCGGTGCAGTCACCGCCTCCTGGCCCATGGAACGATGGGGCCGAAAGAAAGTCTTCGCGGTTTCTCTGTTCTTCACCACAGCCTGGATCTTTCTCCAAATGTTCGCCAACGACATCCACACCCTAGCCGCTGGCGAGTTCCTTGCCGGTATAGTCTACGGCACATACGTCGTTCTTGCACCTACGTATGCATCCGAGGTCTGTCCACTGGCACTCAGAGGTATTCTGAACGCGGGAATGAACCTTGCTTATGTGATTGGTCAATTCGTGGCATCCGGAGTTGGCAAGGGTGTTGCACTCAGGACGGACCAATGGGCATACCGTATACCATTCGCTGTGCAGTGGACTTGGATTCCCATCCTGGCTATCGGACTGTACTTCGCCCCCGAGTCGCCTTGGTGGCTGGTTCGCAAGGGTCGCAATGAAGAGGCTGAGGCTGTTCTACGACGCCTAGCGAAAGAGTCTCCGAAGGTCGACATCAAAGCGACGCTGGCCAACATCCAAGCTACGACGCTGCACGAGATGGAAGTGGAGAAGGACACCACCTACATCGAATGTTTCCGAGGATCGAATCGCGCGCGCACCGAGGTCGCCATTATGGTGCAGATCTGGCAGGTCATTACCGGCATCTCGCTGATCGGATACGCTGTCTACTTCTTCGAGCTGGCTGGACTGCCTGTCAGTGCTTCATTCTCCATGGGCATTGGCAATACCGCTATTGGGTTCGTGGCAACTTGCTGCTCCTGGGTGTTCATGTCGTTCTTTGGTCGCCGCACTATCTTCATGTACGGTGTTGGTGGGATGGCCGTGGCGCTCTTCATCATCGGCGGTCTGGACTGTGCTCCGAACTATAGCAACCGACCTGGCTTTGCTTGGGCACAAGCGGCACTCCTGGACATCCTCACTTTTGTGTTCCAAGGCACCGTCGGCCCGGTCAATTTTGTCATCTTCGCCGAGATTGGTGCGACTCGTCTTCGCTCGCAGACTGTCGCTTTGGCTACGAGCAGCGGGTCCATCTTCCAGATCGTCATGACCATTGCCATTCCGTATATGCTGAATGCGTCAGCAGCGAATTGGAGGGGCAAGACGGGGTTCTTCTTCGGTGGTATCAGTGCCATTGCTGTGGTCTGGTGCTATTTCCGCCTGCCTGAGACAAAGGGCCGTACCTTTGAGGAGCTTGACTACATGTTTGAAGCGAGGGTGCCGGCTAGGAAGTTCAAGGACTACAAGATCATGCATGCTGAGGAGGCGAATGAAGTGTGAGAAATGGTTGCTTTAAAGGAGCACACGTGTGCACAGAGTATCTGGATGGTCGCTGAGGAGAGCGTGTCTTGGTATCGAGTGTTTGATGATGCTGCCGTGATGTTTCACCGATGTCTTTTTGACTCTCAATGTAATGCCGTCACAATGCAATGCTATATTCTGTTTCGTTGACCACTCAGTCACCTCACTTCGTTTAGTGCGTAACCGGTAGTGAGAAGGGTTGGCCTCTAGAGTTCTCCTCTCCTGAAGTCCACCACCATGACATCCTCCACCACACCAGTCAACTGTTCCACCCCGAACCTCCTATGAATTGGGTCCTCATTGACATACCAGTCTCTGTCTTCTTGGGTCTCAAACTCCAACATGAATACATGACTGAACCCGTGCTGGAGATTCTCGATGCTGACGTCCCGACCACCAGTGAATGACTTGATGTATGGCTTTTTGGTGGTGGGTGAAATGCAAGTGTATCGGAGGTCGAGAAATGCTTGAGATATGCTCGCGCGAACTTCGGGTGTGATGGAGGGATAGAAGCGGAAGTGGACGACGTGAAGGATAGGACTGGTTGTGATCCGCTCGGGCGATGCAGGGGCTACAGACCCCATGTCGCTGTGAGCTTCCAGGGTTGAACTTTGCAATGTGGCAGCCGCCAGGGAAGGTTTTGTAGGGGGGACTCGGTAAGAACTGTCTAGGCTTTCGATGGGCGAGCAGGGTCTGTGGGGCGCCGTTAAGGTTTATCGTTATCAGCCGGCACGGGCATGAGGTTGCTCTGCTCCGTTGGGCGGCTTAAGCGCCGGTGGTGGGCAGAGTCGGGCGTGCTTTAACTATAAAGTTAGGTTACATCCAGGGTGCGCCATGTGCGGAGCATATTGGGAGCATTGCCTTCGATACCTCGTGGTTATGCATACCTCCCAAGCAGGTAGATTGTGGGAGCTGTTTTGAGTGATGAGCGCATGCCAAAGGAGGTCTCATGACTCATTCAAACGTCCGCTGCATGCTACTGGCACAGTGACTGCCTGGTGTCCATGCTGATTTCACGGCTCAGGACGCTTATCTTTATCCTTGATGCGTGGAAGGATAAGTACCGTCTACTCATGGAGCATTTTCCCTCAACACTTCTGCGGTTTCCAGCTTGGCATGGCATATGATCCATTTGGCGCCACCATGTTGAAGGTGCCTTCCCATTTCCATGCATGCAGAAACCAGCCAACATTGGTCTCCTTGAAGAACGGGCAATTGGCATCGTACGCTTCCCAGAACGCAGTGTACTGCGGCGTGCCGATGTCTTTGCTTCCCTGATGCAGGACATTGAGTTCCCATGCCCATTGCGTCTGCAGCACGACCGTGATTAGTACAGCATAGGACGAAAAAACAACGAAAAGAGGACAGCTCAAGGATGAATCGAACTTACCTCGGAAACGATAGTCGGCACCGGCGTGTTGTTCTTGTACCACCAGACCTGCGATTCGATGTAGCTCCAGGCATCTGACTGATTGTAGCCGTGGTAGTAAGGCATGACATGGGCGTGAATGAAGTCGCTCTGTGGAAGGATCTGCTCGCCGATGGGACCCAGGCCTTCTGTCTCGTTCGCACGCAATATTCCGGGGCGGTCCCAGTCTTCGCTGATACCTACGGGGATGCCATACGGCTTAATGGCGGTCTTGAAGTCGATCAGGTCGTTGATGAAGTTGTCTCCGTCGTCCATGTCGCCTATTGGTTCTGTGCCGAATTCGACGCTATGAAAGACGTACGGTGCGATGTCCTTGTACATGCTGGAGGTGAATATCTCAAGGATCGATGCAGCGATCTTCTGCCAGTATTCAAGCTGGTATCTAGGTCAACCGTTTATCTGATCGAATAGCAAGGGAGACTGACTGGATCTCCGTTCAACGGCCATGCCACCTGTGCGACCACGCCCATGTCATTGGCGACGGCAGCACGAACGAGATTCTCCCATATGTAGGTCGTGTAGCAATATGGCAGATACACCCGGACCATGCTGGCACCAAAGTCACGCTTCATACTTTGCAAGTCGGCATTGATGCGTTCGAAGCTGTCGTCGTAACATTCGCCTTCCATGGGGTACGAAAATCCAAGAAAGCCGTAGGTCATGGACTGCGGACACCACCATTCCTCTCTTGTCATGTTAGGTGGATGGAGGGAGCCATTGAAATGAGGCGCTCCCAAGAGGGAAACAAGTTGGGCCATTGTCCAAGCATGACTGACTTAATGGTAGAGTCCACGCACTGCTGGCGAGTAAAACGATGGAAGATAGCAAGCTGAGCATTTTGTCCGGCGTCTTGATATATTTCACGCACGACTGGTAAGGGCGACGACTTGCTCTTGTAGAAGTTGCTTACCGTTATAATCAATCCTGATCGTCTACGCGATGTGCAGCTTCGGCGATAAAGGTACTCTTGCTGCCCATGATCTCGACTGCCGATTGCAGCTTAACCCTTGAGCGTGAAGGACTTGCAGGTGTGGTCCATGAAGCGACAATGTACACGACGGTGGGTACAGTTCAGTATGCCGCTGCAGCAGTAGGTCAAAGTAGCGCGCTCGGATTCTCCTCGTGAACAACGCTGCAGCCTCCTTAAGCAGGAAGAAGCTAGACTTTCCCTAGGGTTCAAAGTGAGGTTGGAGGTGCCGAACCAGGGCAGTACGGAAGGAGTCAAAGTTTTCCGTGTCACTTTAGGGATGGCACTGTGGCACTGTGCATGCCCCTTAGGTGGCCCAGGCTTGCCCAGATTGGGATCCCCTGGGTACCGGCGATATCATCTCTCGATAGCGAGTGCTGTCGTCTCAACTTCCGAGGTAGTGTTTGTTCACCATCATCCTGGCTTGCACCGGTATGACAATATGTTCTATTGGAAACAGCAACTAGAATATCTCGCCTTCATAGGTCATCTTCTCCACGTCACTGAAATCATGCGCGTTGCGTAGTCTCTCGTACTCTTCAGGAGGCAACTCCACCATCAGCGGCGTCACGCCATGGTTCTTGGTACCATGAACAATGCGCTCATAGACACCAGTATCTGCAGGCACCCTGAACCGCGCAGTTCCATGCCACCAGCTGGCGGAGAATCCCAGAGCAATCATGTACCGAGTCGCGTCAGACTTATTGCAAACCCCGGCGTGCCACAACCTCATATCACGAAACAATATTGACCCCTTCTTGACAGTGGGCTGGAATCCAGGCAAAGTCTTCTTTCGCTCCTCGACGTACTCATCAGTAATGTGAGTCTCGCCTTTCGGGCCCATTGGGGTTTGAGCTTCGGTGTTATAATGATGAGTTCCGAGCCATATCTCCGTAGAACCATTGGCAGCACTGGCATCCGTTGTGTAGACGTTAGCAACCACATAGAATGGTGCTGGTGGATGGTTGCACATGGCATCGGAATGTACAGGTTGTCGCTTAACGCCGTTGGGCAAAGCATTATTTCCGGTGACCATGTTCCATGTGGCATTAGGCCCTAGGTATAAGTTCACAGCGTGGAAGAGCAGCCTGTTTAGGAACACATCATCGAAGAAGTACTTGGACGGCGTCAAAGGTGGGCCTTGTTGCAGATTCTCGGCCCCAAAGTTTTGGTAGAGGTTTTCTTTGCTCAATTCGTTCTTGGTGTCCTCCTCCATGAACTCGTTGATAATGTCAAGATGTGCGGGATTGACAACGTCCTTGAGTATAACCACACCATCGCGATGCATGCCGGAGAGAAACAATTTGATATTGGCATCATTGAAATGTCCCGTAGCTATCTCCTCCGGCGAAGGCGTGACCTCGACTGGAGTATTGAGATGCTTGGCCGGCAGTTCAGGCATGTAGCCGTTGGCGAGGGTTAGCTTTCCATCCTTGGGATATACAGCCACTTCGGCTATACTGGTGGTCTGGGGCGACATGGCGGCAGGCTTGCTTCGTCAAAGCCGTGCGCAAAGAGAGGTATGCCAAATGACAGGGACGGAAGGACCAGTTGGGATGCTTCTATTTGGCGGTCTTGCCTTTTTCGATATCATAGGCAAGTGGTCGTCCGTATTTTATCGTTGAAGACGGTTCTCGACTGCATAATATTCCTCGCTTTGCTGGGACTGAGCTTGCTATTCCCTTGCCCAAAGCGACACGGATACATAGTCAATGTTACCTGACATCTACTTATCAGTAGGACAAACCTCGTTACCTCTTCGAGCCTGGCTACATGTCTCTGAGGTGACCTGATAGTATCCCGGCACGCCGGTCAAGATAGCGGAAGGGATATGCCGCATGATTACAGCGTCGTATCCTGTCGCAGGTACACGAGTCACGATTTCGTACCAGATGCTCGGGTCACCGCACGCGCACCCGTTGAGACCAGCAGTGTTCGTAGGTCAGGGCGATTCCAAGGATGTTGACATTATATAACCACTGTTGAAGCGGACGAGATCATTGTCCAGCCATTCGAGACTGTTGTAGAGAGGTCACAACAGCTTTCAAAGGAGACAATTGAAAAGGCCGACAATTACACGTGATAATGTGTCATGTGACCTGATTGGTCACGTTGGAATGACCAGGGTGAAGTATGAACTCCGTTCAAATGACTGCTCCCCCCTTAGCCTTCTGCGGCTGAGGGATCCTTCTTGTGCATCTGCACAAAAGCCCAACAAACCCACAGGTACTGCTGTGAGCCTGCCGGCCGGTTCTCGGTACGAAGAGCTGGCACGAACGAAGTGCAAAGTGATTGTCATCAGCGACTGCAGTGCGATTTCACCTGGCTTAGTCCGCGCGGTCGTTGGCACGTCGTCACAAAAGAAAGCGCGAGCAATTATGGACCCGGTATCGATAGTTGCCGCCGCCTTAGCCATCGTTTACCAGGTGACAGGTGGGGCCTACTCCTACCAGCGCCAGAGATGGGGTCCATGGGGTCATTTCTTAGGTCTGACTAGGCTTGTCGATACCAAGGCAGTCCAAGAACTGCATTGGAACATCAACACGTGGACGGACGAAGAGGTCATGGCTTGGAAACAATCTTTTATATCGACATGCTCGGCCATCCAAGTCGCTGTAAGGACAGCCTTTCCATGACTGAAGGGTCAAGCGAACTAAGAGCTTCAGGGTGCGATCTTTGCCAGTGTCGGACTCACCACCCTTCAATTGCCTAACACGGACTCTACGCATTGGAGCGCGAGAGCATTATTGACCTGCTTGATGATCCTAGGAGGTCTATCAGTCGTCTTCGCCGCCTCACAGCAACAGAACATTGCAGTCCTCAACAAAGCACTCGATATCCGTTCGTGGCTTAGCCGAGGCAAAACCGAAATTGGACGTCGACAGTATGAGAACCCCTACGTACATCTTCCCCTCGAGAGCTCTGTGGCAGCTTTGAAGCAATGGAACACTCCAAAAGTCGTGCTCAATTTGGCTGTGTTGCTCTACACTATCGGGTTTGGTATTTACCTGCTCTACTCCTGGATTTACCATGTAGAGCCTGATGACGGGCGAAACGATTTTCGCAACGTCTTCATCGCCTTTGTGGCAACAGTGGGATGTGTCTGTATCTATGTCGTTATCGTCGGCGGCTTCGCATTCGCTGACGAGCTGAAAAGACACTTAGACTTCGGCCTGGGCAGATCCACCACATTTGCCAAGCCAGTCTCGCAACAGCAGTTGGAGGAATGGCTAAAGATTCTTCAGGATATGCAGTCTACCACTTCCGGAACAGACGAGATATATGGCAGGCTAGAAACCGCGATCAGCACTCTGCAGACGAAATGGGAAGCAGAAAGAATCGAACGTGACCGGCTGAGGACGGAATACAGGGAACGGAGATTGCGGACGGCATTGACCGAACAGGCTTGAAACAGTTCCACGGTTTGGCCAGTTCTTGCAAACGCAACGCACAATGAAACCTATGAAGCCCGATATCTGATTCATGGAAGGCCGAGCAGTAAAGATTGGATGGTAAGTGGAAGTCTGAGAGGTTGCAGCATCGAATACTTCTACAGGATGACTTGCCACAGAGACAATGCTATGGAGAGCATATGCATACTCTCATACATTCACCGTCGATCACACATCGTGTCATCACCAGTTTTAGGAGCATGTCCAATGGAGCACGAAGTTCGCAATATCCGCCATCACAACAGACCCTTCTCACCCCTCTCAATAGCAATCTTCGTCCTCTCATCAAGATCCTCCTTCGGCAATCCCAGAACGTCATTGTGCAACCCCTTGCTGGCCTCATGATTGCCACATCCATCGGGGTAGAACAACCTAGAGTACAACAGGCGCACGAATCCCTCCATATTCCCGCTCTTCATATCCTCGACACCCTTCTTATATCGCTCCTTCACGTCCTCATGCTTGATTGTCCAATCCTTCTCACTCGTCCCAGTCACCCTCAGAACCGAGTCAAACATGTCCCGCTGACTCGCCAGGAACGAGGACACGTACACGTAATCGTTTCTGAACTGGGAGATGGTCGGGCTCTTGTCACTCGCATCGTCGGGCAGCACCTTTAAACTGAACACAGCGGCCACGGCGCGCCCGCACTGCTCCCACGTGCTGTGATTGATCTTGGTGTTGCCGTCGTCGAACAATGTCACACTGCGGTTCGCAAAGTCAAACCCATACCGCGCCGCGGACCCGCCCAGGCTGAACTCGTACCAGAATCCACACACAAGTGAGATCCAGGAGCTTTTGCCAAGCGACTCGATCAGCGCGTGCACTTTATGCCGACGCTCGCCTAACATTGTGTCTTTGGCAACGCCTGCATCCGTGTAGTCGACGCCCCAGTCATTGGCCATGATCCACGGCACTCCAGCATCGGCCGCGGCTTGGATGATTTTGGCTTCGGTGTCGGGCGGTGCCGTCACGGCCATGGTGATAATCAGAGCGTCTTGGCCACGGAGAGCATCGACCAGGGTCGAAGTCTCATTGTAGTCAACTTTGACGACGTGCAGGCCCTCGGGGAGTTTACTGGTACTGTCGGGTCGAGTGATGGCTGTGACTTTGTGCTTACCTCCTTTGACGAGTTCTTTGGCAATGTATTCGCCGATGCGGCCTCCTGCCTGGAAATGCTGGTTAGCTACTGATACGCTGAGGGTGGAACTTGCTGTTTCTGGAGGCGAAGACACTTACACCCACAACAGCGATGTTCACCACGTGGTTCTTGAAGCCGTGAGGCTGGTCTTTAGCGTACTGCTGTGCCATCTTGAGAGCGTAGAATTACTTGGTCTTGGATATGCCTTGACTCTAGAGTAGTGGCAGTTGTTAGTGCCAGTCGAGGGACAACTGAGAGAGGGGTTGGATGGCGACTGGGATTATATATGCATCGCGCAAAATGTCACCCTCGGCCATAAGGCTAAGTACTTTGATGTCCCCTGTTTATGTCCGATCGTGAATCCATCTCGATCGTACTGTAGGTCTTCATTAAAGGTTGAATCGGGGATAGCGCATCTTGATCAATACGAAAAGAGGTTAGCGTTGCGCTCTGCGGGTTACCGGTTGCGGGTCATTCTGCTACCGATTGCCATGGAGCACAGTATTGATGTCCACGGACCGGCTCGTAGGAAGTTCAGTGTTTGTCAGCTACTAATGAGTACCTCATATGCCTGACTGCATTGGTAATCTCAATGTCTCTCCAGCCTAGTGAGGCCCTCCGTTCACATGGACTCCATTGCTATTCGTCGTTCCATTATGCGCCTGTCTCGTCTCCTCAATCCAGTCGTACTTGTCACCCAGATGGTTCGCCGCGCGCAAATCCCCCGATCTCGCATGGCCTTCGAACAATTCGGCCCTAGCAGCCCTGCCGCACAGCCGGCCCAATTTCCCACTTGCCTCGGGGTTGGTAACTTCCTGGTATGTTGTGGTGCGAAGGTACTTGCCCACCCAGAGACCGCCGGTATATCTGGCAGCCTTACGTGTAGGTAGCACGTGGTTTGTGCCAATGCACTACAGCAGATGGATTAGCATGCGCCCACCAATCAGAAAAGAACATTGACGGTCGGAACTCACTTTATCGCCATATGAGACACAGGTGTTCTCTCCCAGGAACAACGCTCCATAGTTGGTCATCTTCGTCAAGGCATCTCTCGGTGTTTTGGTCAGGATTTGCACGTGCTCACTCGCCAGCTCATCCGCAACCTGGTACGCCTCGTCCATATCTTTGGTGACGATGACTTCACCAAAGGCCTTCCACGAAACACCAGCCACAGGCGCCGTGGGCAGGACCTTGAGCAATTCATCCACGAGACGAATCGTCTCTCCACCTACCTGTTCTGAATTTGTGACCAAGATCGCCGGCGTATCTGGCCCGTGTTCGGCCTGGGACAACAGGTCGACGGCGCATGTGTATGGATCGGCATCCTCGTCTGCGACTATGAGAATCTCGGTCGGACCAGCGAACAGGTCGATTCCGACTTCGCCAAAGAGTTGCCGCTTGGCCTCCGCCACGAACGCATTGCCCGGTCCGGCGAGAAAGTCGACTTTCGCAATGGTTTCGGTCCCCTTGGCCATGGCGGCGACGGCCTGGACGCCACCTAGGATGAAGATATCGTCGGCGCCGGCGAAGTGCATGGCTGCCACAGTAGCGTGGGGAATCTTGCCGGCGATAGGTGGCGTGCAGCCGATAACGTGAGGAACACCGGCGACTTTGGCGGTCAGAATGGTCATATGTGCGCTTGCTAGTAACGGGTATCGACCACCAGGGATATATGCCCCGACCCGATTGATCGGTAGATTCTTCTGTCCCAGAAACACTCCAGGCTCCATCTCGAGTTCAAAGTCCTTGATGGAATTCTTCTGAGCTTCGGCGAACTTGCGTACATTCTTTTGGACTTCTTTGATGTCCTTGATCGTTTGCTCGGGAACCTGTGCGATGATTGAATCGATTTCCTTCTGCGACAGCTTGAATTGCGCGGGCGACCATTTGTCGAACTTTTCGCTGTATTTTCGGACAGCTTCGTCACCGTTGGTCGCAATCTCCTCAATCACGCCGGTGACTATAGTGGCAACGCTGGTCTGGCCCGTTTGTCCAGGCTGGGAAGGCAGACCCTCGCCTCTCTTGAGATATTGAGGCATCTCGAACAAACTATCGGCAGAGTATGCTTCCAGTGGCCTTGATACTCTGGCTTAGCTGCTGTACGATTTCAGATGTGTACAAAAGTAACGTTCCCTTCGCTGTTTTCTTTCACGGCGTCAGAGGAGCGAAGTTGTTCTAGATATCGATGCTAAAAGAATAGCGTTGTTGACCCCTCCTCATATCCATGCACCAGTCGTCGTGTTTCGGCGTAAACTCCGAGGTCTTGGAACCTTACATTGGTGGTTCGCCCCAGGACTTGGAGCCGAACTGGCCGACCTCCACGTGGAGCCGACCACATCTTGGGACACAATTGGAGATAGAAAATGTGGGCAACCGAGGGCTAAGACGACTCGTATTGCTGTCTGATTGTACAACTACCTGCTCCTTCCGTCATCTCAATCTGATGCAAACATCTCCCCAGTCCACCCGTAGGTGCGACCTAGTCGCCCGCCTATCCTCCTCGCCGTGTAAAAGGGTATCTTGCCCGTTGGGTGGGGCTCGTGCACATTGATGCTTCTGCCACCGACGGCCTCCGCTGGCGTAAAGTGCCAGACAGAGCCGTAAAGCTTCTCGGCAGCAAACCCCATCGCCGTCATTGCGTGGAGGAAGTCTTTCCAATCGACCTCTCCTTGACCGTCGTTGGAAGAGGTGTGGAACATCGTTCTGAACACCTTCAACGCACGTTTTGACAGATTGTTGACCGTTGGGATTTCGGCATCATTGGGCTCCGCTGGTGCCTGGGGTGCATTGGCCTGTAATGGCAGAGGTGATCCCCGCGTCTTGACCTTCGTACGTGGTCGTTGGATGACTGGTGGCGTTCCCTTCTCATCGGCAATCGCAAGATGCGATAGATCGGGCGGTGTACTGACAGCGATTGCCGTTGAAGGCGATCCCCTGGCTTGCCATGGAGGAGTCCGCTGGACCTTGCGTGAGCTCCTTGAGAGTCTCAGGAAAATGTGGTGCAGTGTTTCTCCATGATCCCGCTGAAAGAGATTGTCCACACGTGCCCAGAACTCATCGAGATTTTTCTCCGCTGTTCTCATTGCCTTGACATTGCTTTCGGTTCGAGCCTTTTCGGACGGATAGTAGAGCTCCTTTGCGGTAGGTGCGAACAGGCCGACGAGTAGAAAGTCAGTGGACTGCGGGTTTGTCAACGGACTCAAGGTTTTTCGAATAAGATCTCCGTCCTCGGTGCTCGGACTGACTTTTGACACGGATCCCATTTCAGAGCGAAACCTCGATGTCCAGGTCGAGAAAGAAGCAGTCTCCTTCACAATATGAGTAATCAAGGCGAGGTCCGAGAAGGTCATAAGGGTGGTAGCGGTCAATCGGTCTCTCTGCTGAGTGTCTTTGTCGAAGATTCTCTGCAACTCATCCACCACTGTTTCAATGCCGATGGCGCTCAAGTCATGCTTATATTTTTGGTGAAACATCAAAGAGAACAACAACCAAGACTGATCTGCTTCAAATCTTAGCAATTGCAGAAGTTTGCCCTTGTCCTGTGTGGCTGCATTCTTGGCTTTTGACAAATGTCTTTGTATGTCTGGTGATGTTGTCACTCTCATGCCCAAAGCACCCAAGAAGCTGGACATGAGACTTTGGGTAGTGCTGGCGAGTTCGGAGAACAGAATCAGTTGGTCAGGCGGCAAGGGTTTCGTTGGGTCAAGTTCTGCAAGGCTACCACCAGCCGATGTGTGTAGTTTTGAGGCCACCTGATACAAGGTATCCCAAAACGTCAGCAACAAATACGCTTCATCGACTGTGTGCCATAGAGCTTGCATCCAGTACATCGGAGCATGTGAGGGGTCAGTGCGCCCAGTGTCGAGAATCTCCTTCTCTTTAAGATGCAAAGCCACGTCCGCAACAATAGTTGCGACATAACCGGGGTCCTCCCTCAAGTCCAAGACGTGCTCTTCTGCTGCCATTCGTCTAGCTTCGATGAGTTGCACGAGCCTGTTGGTGTCGAGATTTGTTGGTGCTTTGTACGGAGCTTCCGCAGCAGCCTCGGCCATCTGCAGATAGGACATACTGTTCGTGGCCAGAGGCTCTGGCTGTGGTTGTACTGAGAGAGTCGTGCTTGAGATCTCTTCTGGCGAGATGTCGTGGAAGATCTGGTGGCAGCATCGGAGAAGGAACGTCAGGATTCCGGCTTGGATTTCCAGGAGTAATAGTCCGTCACCAGCGTCAAAGTGCCAGATCGAATTATGCTCGGAAGGCTGCACTGGTAAAATCCGTCCATAGGTTCCTTGAGATACATTGCCCGTGATCATCAAGGTAAATCCAGCAAGGCCCACCACTCTGAGGTACATCATGCCTCGTCCTGGACGGGTGCTCGCCATATCAGTATGAGCAAACACCTCCGGCGAATTCCGTCCTCGAGAATTCAAGAAGAGCAACAGTGTTTTCCCATATAGTAAGTCCTCGAGATTGATGAAGGGCCACTTGAAGAGTGCTGTATCGATGATCGCCCTGCTGCTGCTGGTTCCTCTGACGCTATTATGTTTCAAGATTGCCTGGAAATCTGGTCGATGCACTTTGGGCATTCCAGGCCATGCAGCCAGCAAGATCGTTGTGCGTTGCTCTTTCGTCTTCTTCAACCATCTCTTTCGAAGTGCAGCCTCTCTCCGCTCGAGGATACGGTGTAGCTGTGCCCAAGAGTCCGAGATCGTGTCGTTGTACTCTTTGACGTTCTTTTCCGCTTCGGCCAGGGTCATCAAGGTCCATGGTAATTTGCTGTACAGAGGTCCCTTCTCTCTAAGCTTCAGAGGTGCTTGTTCCAGGGCTTGATATTCTTCGAGGGTAAGTCGATACTGGTCCCCTGATGGTAGCTTCCCGTTCGCTGCGACTTGCACGATACCCATCTCCATGTTGAACAATGGTGGTCAAGCTTGCAAGTGAAAGAGTGACAAGAACTGGCGTCCACGTAAGACAAACATGCCGTGAAAGGCGGCTTGTTCCAAAAACTGCGGTGCGGTAGTTCAATCGAAGTATCGATAATCACACACATTACACTGCCTTGGCGCGAGGCTGTGAATGCGTCTGAAGGCAATCCATGATCACTGCCTCGTCCATCACAAGAACCACCTGTTGATTTATATATATTCGTCTCGCCCCTTTGAGGCTGGAGCATTGACATGGACAGCTTACAGGCCTTTGAATGACTGTTTGTCAGTCCTGGATGTGCCATCTGTCTGGGCCTGCAACATCTTGATGTCAGGAAGACTACTCGGCATCCAGTGGTTGAGACTGTGATTCAGATTGTCTGCCAAGGGTGCAGTATCCGTCCGAAAAGCGTGGTGAGTTCCCATGCTCTCCGTATCCGGGCCGACATTGCAATGCCGCCCATTTCATTGTTCCCATGAAGCTCAGGTCGACACTGAACAGGTAGGCTTTTGTGTCTGGGAAGACAACTGTTCTACATGGCTGAGGGGTTGAGCTCTCCTGACGCCATCTTTTGAGACCTGGAGCACATCTCGTTACCAGCGTGAGGGACAACACACCAGCGCCCACAACGTCGTCTGTTGACGTCGGCAAGGTACCCATGAGTTTGGACAGGTTCACGTCGAGATGGCCCCAGCGAAAGTTGGCACCCAGCTCTGTCATTGCGATTGGGTAAAGAATGGGGATATCAGGTGCTATGATATCCCGCCTGCATATGGCCGTGGTGTTGTCGTGATAGGCACGTGAATCTGTTCGTGCAGCTGAGGTTTTCACAGTTCATATCACCTTTTGGGGCCCTGAACGTGGAACGCGGCTATCTTGCACGAAGACGTCCAGGCTTTGGTCGTATTGTTCATGCACGCACGCGGTTTAGTTGACGCTCGCAAGTGCTGGCAGATCTGAGGGCGGACCAAAGGGCGGCGATGATGTCGATACTTCGGCTCCGCGCCTGTCCTATCGTTGTCCGTGATTGAAGGATTTGTAAAGGGGCCATTTCTCCTACGGCTCACGAAGAGGAGCGTCAGGCCAGTCAAGGCAGTCTCGAAAGCAGTGACCAATTTGTCATAATGTGCTGACTGAACGCGGCAGGTTTCCTGGTTGAATGGGGGTACCATACGTGAATAAGAAGGGAAGATCAGGAGTGCGGTGGTTGCAACATTATTTGAGGGAGGTGTGTCTTTGTTTTTCTACAGCAAACTGTTTGCCAAGTTTGTTTCAGAGATGCAACGACGAAGACAACAAAGCGGTAACCACAGAGTTTGCATCTATCATGCCAGCATCTCTGTGAAGCCGCGACGTCTGAGGGCGAAGCTGAAGGTGAGCACGAAGCTGACTTTGACCATCCCGTCGAAAGTCGGATCACGTGAGTCACGTGAGCAGTCAATGGCCTACTTCCCTGCCCGCAGTCAATGCCGTCTCGTATTCTTGCCAGTGGCCAGCACCAGTCGTTCAGCCTGACGGTAAGTTCGTGTCGACTACACTGAGGTCTGCACGTAGCAACTCCCTTGGGAAGATAGTGGAGAGAAGTGATCATCTTCGTTACCCAATTTCGTCGTTGGCTATGTGATGACTCCTGCCTGACTCTGTCGCTATCATTCACGCCCCTAGGCCACTCATACGCCATGCCCCTGCCTTTATTGATTCTCAGCCTCAATTCGGATCGCCCGCTGCCTCCTTGAACACCTCCTCGATCCAACGTGTCAAACCCGCTAGACATGGTCTCCTTCCCTCTGTGAGTTACGAACATACGAAGCGCTGCAATGTCGGACAACCCGTGCCTGTCCCATGAAGATTACACTGTGGGATGGATGTGTGCTCTGCCCCTTGAACTGGCTGCAGGTGCGGCTATGCTCGACGAAGAGCACGCCACACCACCGAATCATCCCCAGCATGACTACAATACCTACACATTCGGACGCATCGGCCCACACAATGTTGTCCTGGCATGTCTGCCCGCAGGAGCAATTGGGGTTACCTCTGCAGCGACGGTGGCGGTGCAGATGCGCTCCACCTTTCAACGACTCAGGTTCGGCCTCATGGTGGGCATAGGTGGAGGTGTGCCCAGCAAAGAGACTGATATCCGCCTTGGTGATATCGTTGTCAGTTCGCCTACACGAAGGCACGGCGGTGTGACTCAGTATGACTTTGGCAAGAGGACGCAGGAAGGACGGTTTGAAAGGACAGGCACACTGAACAAGCCCCCCGAGATATTACTGAACGCTGTGTCAAACTTGCATGCAACCCATTTGCGTAGAGGCTATGGTTTTATAGGATACCTTTCTACGGCATTCGATAAATATCCAAACATGGCTCATGACTTTGCGCGACCAGATGTTCAGACTGACATACTCTACGAAGCCGACTATGATCACCCCAGAAAGGATACCGACTGTTCAGGTTGTACCGCTGAGAAGTTGATCGTTCGGAATGCCCGTGCCAAAGACACTGTAGTCCATTACGGTTTGATAGCATCAGGTAACCAGGTGATGCGCCATGGCGCCACAAGAGACAAGTTGAGACAGGAGGAGGGAGCCATCTGCTTCGAGATGGAAGCGGCAGGATTGATGGATAATTTCCCCTGCCTTGTGGTCCGGGGCATATGCGACTACGCAGATTCGCACAAGAGCAAGATTTGGCAACCCTATGCGGCAATGGTAGCTGCCTGTTATACGAAAGAACTACTCAACATTATCTCTGGAGGACCTGTCACAGACATGCGGCCGGTCAAAGAAACCAAAATGTCAGGTACGTCTCCACTATCAGGTCTACATATGGTGTTATGAGAGCCCCATGGCTTTTCCTGCTGGGCTTTCCAAGCTTTGCTGCTCCGCTGCTACAGCTGCATTCGGCTATCATGATCTTTTTCATCATTGGGAAGGCTGTGGGAAATGCAAAGACACAGCAGATCTGACTTTGACTGTGTTAGGTGTGTCGACCTTCACACAAATTACTGCGAGCCCGACCGCAGCGCCAGTGAGAACGGCGTCTCCAGCTCCTATAAGACACCGGCAGACTCACTCGAGGCCTGACAGGTCCGAAGATGATTCCATCGTCAATGAAGAAAGACGTTGGCCGGGAAGACGCGAGCATCAGTTGGCCGACAGATTGCATGAATTGCGGGATGGTGGTGGTGTTGCTGGATCTGCATTGAACTCTGATCATACTGATGATAGCCGCCAAACGACCTTAACATCATCGTCACTCAGAGGGCACCAAGAAAATCAAGTACCAAGTCTTGCCGAAAAGGACTTGCAGCTGGATTTCAAGAAATTCAAGTCAGACCTTACTCCTCGACAGTCCGCAGATTTCGGCAACGCGACTCTGAAAAGTCTTCGGGTGGTGCTTGTGCGCATTGAGAAGGAGCAAGCCGAACGATGGAAGGCAATGAACCTACCACGAGCTGGAGCGTTCTCAGAACGACTCCAACAGCTTGGAAATACATCAAACTTCTCAATCATTGGCGATGTCTTGGCAAACATATGGGGCTCCATGCAGTTTCTTTTACAGGTATGTTCGGTCTGGCTGTGATGAAGCTTCGAGATTATCACACGGCCCACATCATAGCGCTGAGAACAGAAACACGGGCAAGAACTAACGCGTCCATGTCAAGGCCACAGCTAGTTCTGTGGAGGCATTCGAGGCATTGCTCAATGCATACGAGGAGATAAACAATGCAATCAGCCTTGACGGTGAAGACGTTCGGTGGTTGTCCCAGTCTCCCGAAGGAGACAATGCTCTGGCGAAGGTCTTTGACAACATCATGCAATTTCACAAGCACGTCTTGCAATTGCTAACGATTCCAACCTGGCGACAAATCTTCGCCAGTCTTTGGGAAGAGTTCACATTTCGTAAAGACCACATCATTCACGATTTACGTCGATATCAACAGCTAGTGCGGACCCGTGCAGCTGCTGCTGAGTTTCATGAACACCATTGGAAAAGGAAGCAAGCCCTTAGAGAACTGGATCAGCGCGAAACGCAGAGAATGGAGGGTCACCTGGCTGCTGTCCTTCGGTGGCTGGGAGGCACTGACAACGACACGGATCACGAAGATGTCCGCACGGTGAGACAAAGTTCTCCCGGCAGCGGACAGTGGTTTTTGAAGCATCCTAAGTTTGTCAGCTGGAGGGAGGATGATGTTCCCCAGAACCCTGGTCTTTGGCTATGTGGTATTCTAGGAGCTGGCAAGACCGTATTAGCATCGGCTGCCATTGATGAATGCAAACAAGCTCAGAATGCGCATACGGCTTACTTCTACAGCAGGCACGGCGATCCTCAACGGACGACCTTTACACCGATCCTCAAGTCGATACTCAGACAGCTTGCAACATCAGACCAGAAACAGAAATTCCTTCCCTGGTGCCACGACCAATTCCACCTCGGCAATCAGCTATCTCCTTCCGAGAAAGCATGTCGAACGATGTTGAGGATGATGGTTTTGACCTTAGACAAGATCTTTCTGATTATTGATGGTCTTGACGAATGCGAGCAACAGGATCGGAAGCTCCTGCTAAGCTTTCTGGCTGAACTTGTGTCTGAGTGTGACGTCCAGGACCCAGGCAAACTCCGTGTTCTGCTTGTAAGTCGAGACGAGCCAGACATTCGCAGGAGTCTTCCCGATTTCGTCCAGATTGCTGTAAAGCCTGCTGATAACGAAAGAGACATCAAACATTTCATCAATGGTTGGCGTCAAAGAATCCAAGCCAAATTCGAAGAGCTTGAGGAAGCAGACCTCGACTATATCTGCACATCCACCTTGAATCGTGCCGAAGGAATGTTCTTGTTTGCAAAGCTCGTCATGGAAAACCTCCACGAACAGGACACGTTGGAAGATCTTAGGCCACAATTTTCGCCCGACAACTTCCCAGAGGGGTTTGACCAAGCATACGCGCGTATCTTGGACCGAATCAGCAAGGACATTAATCCCGGGAGATTGGCGACTGCACGGAAGATCTTGGGATTGATGATTTGCGCCAAGAGGCCTTTGAAGTGGCACGAAATTCAGTGTGCGCTGTCTACGAATGCTGCGGACGGGACCGTTGATTTTGCGCAGCGGCGGTCTCGCACGCACATCCGAGAGATTTGTGGATCCTTGATCAACGACATCTCAGGAGACAGACTGGAGCTGGTGCATAGCACCGCTAGAGCTTATCTCGTCCGTGCGGCTTTCCTGGATGCGCGGAGCACAGAGTATTATCTTGCCTCTCTGTGCTTGAGCTATCTCACATTCGAATGCTTTGATGAGGACCTTGACCAGGACAAACGCAAGAACCTTCTGTTACAAGGTTATTTCGGGTTTCAAGATTATGCCGTGACGCATTGGCCAGACCATATGACTCGGGTCATCACAATTGGACCGTTGGAGTCTCAACAGGTGTTGGACGACACAGCGCAATTGGAGTCGTCAGTGGTGAATTTCGTCGCACATTACCACCTGGAACAGCAGGAACGGGCTACTGTTGTTGGAGACGCCCAGAAGTGTTCGCAATGGGCAGATTCATCGGCCTTTGACGACATATGCCACATTTGGCACCACATAGAACTTCAAAGATCTCGAGGTCTTACCGGCCTGGACGAGATCAATCCTAAGCCACTCGAACGCGCCGTCATGTCGAGCCGATCCATCTTGGAGGCTTACACCAGATTGGTTAACATTGACGTGACTCTCGTGCAAGATCTTTTCATGAAGTATGGTTCCAACTGGTTCAAATGTCCAAAAGCGACATGCTACTATTTCCATCACGGGTTCGGGGACCTCAAGTCAAGAGATTATCACATCTCTCGCCATGAGCAGCCTTTCCGGTGCAAATTCCCTGACTGTGAAACGGACTACAAGTTGGGCTTCCGTACACAGAAGGAGCTTGACAAACACGTGAGCATCTATCACCCCGAGAACGGGAGCATTGTGGCCACATTCACACGGCTAAAGCGAGGCCACGAGAAGAGCGAGAAGTCCGACAGGCAGTCTCCTAGCAGGGCCAAAAATCCGGCCACATTCGCATGCGGAAAGTGTCCAAAGCGGTTCACCCGACAAGCGACTTTGAATGCTCATATGTTGACGCATGCAAACATGAAGCCTCATAAGTGCTCCAAGTGTGAGCAATCATTCACGCGGCATAGTGACAGGGAGAGACATGAAAGAATACATTCTGGGGAAAGGAAGTTTGTCTGCCGTGGTGAACTGAAGCACGGTGTTCCAGGATCGAATATCTGGGGCTGCGGTAAGGCTTTCCCCAGAGCCGATGCCCTTGAAAGTCATTTCCGTAGCGAAGCGGCACGCACATGTCTGCAGCCTCTTCGTGATGAGGAAGAACGCGAAAGACAATTGCAGTTCCAGATCGAGCAAAGGAAGGCACTGGGTCTGCAGCTTCCGCTACCCCGACAGCTTGTTGATTTGTACCCAGAGCTGCGTGGAAGTGAAACTCCCTCTGGGACGCCGCCCGTGTCCGTTGAAGGACCGGACGAATCGACTCCGGACATTCCCAAAGAGAGTCTCTGGAAGCCTTTCGCGTCTAGTCCAATATCAAGACCAGCTGTTCCCGTGGACGGGACGACACTCTCAGATAGTCCAGGCGAGGAACTGTTATGGTCTGACCTTTCGAACGTGAAGCATGCTAGACCTCAGTCCGATCAACTCTAGTCATTAGTGATAGAAAGGTTTATACTATACTCGGTATCGTCACATATGGAAGACTACAAGCTCAACCACGTGATCAGCACAAAAGTTCCATCTCTACTGTGTACACCCACTCCATTGACGCTAGAGATTTTCTCTCAAGGCAATGCAAGTGGTGATTTTGGCTTGTCAGTTGTCAGACTTGACAGACAAAACCCTGTTATTCTGTCGACAGACAAATCGTCTTTTTTTGTCAAAATTGACAAATTTAGGTGTCAGGGTGCCAAATGCCGAGATTACTGCCTATCTCTACGGCTCGCCTATAGGGCCAAATATATATAGAATGGAGAGCTTTTGGTGTGCCTCGGGTTTCTCTACACAAGTTCGGAGACTTAGGGGACTAATCGGAGTATAGTATTCTTTCTCCGGACCAATAGATAAGCTACGATAAGGAGATTATATAAGCGGATAGTATCGATAGATATATCCTCGAAAACAGCGCCAAGGGCCAGACAAATCCTGCCCTCGACAGACAGAAAAGCATTTGTCAGACAAACCCACATCCCTAAATGCAAGTGAGTTTCGGAAAATTTCAGCCAATGAATGTTTGGCTTAAGCCCGAGTGGCTGCCTTTGGTTGCCTTTTTAGCTGAGGCAGCTCGCTAATTGGCGAGTTTGCCACAAAAACTGTGACTCACCGGTCAGGCTCCACAGATTCTGTGCTTGGGGCTTTTGGTAAAAGGACCGGGCAGAAACGGATACGCAGTAGTAGACTTGCGCAAGTGGCTGGGTGATTCTCCCGATTGCCAAGCTGCCCACGATAATAAGAAACCCGCCGTATAGGTCTGAGTAATCAGCCTACAATTTGTTCTCTTTCCTAGCTTTCTACCTACCAGGTAGGTAGGTACCTTGTACTTTGTCTCGCAGAACTTGGATGCAGTAATGTGAATGCGCTGTGCTATCCTCCAGGGTCTTTTCTACATAGCATACTGTTCCTCCGACTGGGAACATTCTGGTTCAATACTCTTGTGTGGGGCTGATCATTGAGTCCCCAGAACCGAAGGTCCTGCCTGTCTATCGGAGCCTCTGACCGACGCGCAGCCGCGCAGGTGCTTGTAGATGGATGCCTATCTGTCTTCGTGCCAAGACTCGGTGTAAAGCAAGGAGTTCCAGCCGCAAAAGTCATCGGAACAGCCTGTCGAGCCGTCCAATTGGTGGAGACTGCACCATTCCCGCTACCTGCTATGCTCTCCATGGACGCTAAAACTTTTCTCAAGGCAGTGCAAGAGATAAGAGGGTCCTGTACGAACAGGAGTAGAAAGGCCCGCGCATGGCGGACATCATTGGAGTGAGGCATCAAACTGCCTGTTCAAGCTCGCCTTCCCACCATGGTCTACCTCCTTGTCACGTGGTCATTCTGCCCACCGAGACGGCCTTGACGGATAAATCTTGATCCTAGAGACCACGAAATCCCATTTCGGCAACATCAATCTTCGATTGTTGTTGCTTCTTGATGTCCTGCTCAAATCAGTCTCCGTGCGCACTGTTATCTCTAGAGTGCTTCTTACCTCTTCCACTGTACCACGGACGACATATCGGATGACATGGACGCTATGCTCCTGAAGGAGTCTTTGTGCCCGGGCGATTGCTTGGTCCTCGATGCTAGGATTCCACTGCGGCTCAAGTATGAAGATTCGGTTCGCAACCGTCAAATTCAGGCTTGTACGTCAGTTTATGCCAATACTGCGAAGAGATTGGTGACGCTTACCCATATGCACCAGTCCCGGTGGTCATCAGGAGGACTCTGACCTTCTTGCTTTTAGCAAACTCATTGAGAATCTTTTGCCTCTTGTTGGGTTCGGTAGCTCCATCAATTCTGGTGAAGAGTATCCTCTCCTTCTTCAGGTGGAGTTCGACTAGATCCAGAGACCTTGTCCACGTGGAGAAAACGATGCTGTTCATATATAGGTCAGTTTCAGCTGCGGTGATCAGGAACCCATGCTTGGGCTTACCTTTTGGTCTCCTGGATCCGCTCTTGAACATCCCTTACAAGAGCCTCCATTTTTGAAGAATGTCCCATGGTAAGAAATCCGGGTGTTGGGTGCGGGAAAGCTCCGCGCTTCAAGATCGAAGAATATGGGGTGGAAGACTCTTGGTTTGCGCAGTATGGACACACAGATGCCCTCAGTGCTTCTTGTCCCTGGTCTGACAGCTGTGCGAGGCACTCGTCGCAAAAGTTGTGATTGCATGAAGGATTCTGGCGAACGGCAGCCCAGTTCGTCGCCAGCATGAGGGTCTTTTCGTGGCAGGATGAGCACTCGACCTCGCCATCCTTGCCAATAGAACTGAGTATTTCTTCCCGTTGAGTTTGTATGTCGTCGTTGTGGCCGACAAATGGCCTTTGGAAAGTGCCATGATTGCATAGACGACGTAATTGGAGCTGAATTTGAAATTTACCAAAAGGGGTGCCGGAATACTTGTCTCGCAGCCCATGCGAAAGCATGTACGACATGGAGTCCTTAGTCCTTTCGTAGAGGCGTCGTTCTTGGTCTGAGAGTTGCACGTTGCGCCGTTCGTCCTTCATCGGAGGAAGCTCCAGTCGTTCTCGTCTGCGCCGTATGCATACCGAGTTCAGCAATAGTGAAAGCTTGGCCTTAGCTTGATTGACATCCTCCTCATTGTTATGTGAGAATGGCATCACAACAAACCTGCGAAAAACCGAGCTATTATGAAAAGGCTCTGCACGTATGAACGCGAGCAAAGCTCCCAGATCATCCAGCGTATTCTGTATTGGCGTACCTGTGAGGCACCATCGGTAACGGGCCCCTAGCTCCACGACAGCGTGGTAGAGTCCTGTGGCCTGGCGCCGAATTGTGTGGGCCTCATCTAGAACGATTCTGAACCATTTGATCGATCTCAAAGGATGTTTCTTCGATTTGCGCTCTGCGGCCAGAGTGTGATATGTAGTCAATATGATATCGGTATCGAGTATTGACTGTCGGTGGAACCTGCGTCCTCGTCCGTGGTACCTGCAATAGTTGAGGGAGGTATTTAGTTTTGTTTCGATCTCTTCCTGCCACCCATTCATGATCAATAGCGACGGAACAACCACCAAAGTTGTCCTTGAACGCATTGTGCGACCTTCCAAGTCACCCGGACCTTCCTTGTCTGTTTGCGCCCAGTTTCGGGCTTCAGGGAGAGTTTTCGCAACCACACTCAAAACGTTGAGTGTCTTACCCATGCCCATATCATCCGCAATGATTCCACCTCCGATCTCTGACGGGGCAACCGCCGTCCAGGATCCAGTGACAGCGTGCTGGAATCTGACCCGGTTTTCTTCCACTTTATACTGCCAGAGCTTCCGATCTTCTGGGATCGGGCCCAGCTCTCTCTCTATCATGAACTGCACAGCTGTTGCCTGGTGGGGAAACAGTCGAGTGTTTGAAAGAACATCGTCGATGTCGACTTGGTAGTCATGATCTTGAGTCTCCGCGCTGCATACATCGAGAATAATCTGCTGTACATTTCTGACAGCACCGTTTTGTGACGCCTCACTGAGTCTGTCATCGGACTGTTCCGGTACCTGAATGTCATTGTATGCCAGCATATGTGGATTTTGGTATGAGAATCCAGCGTGTCTATGTCTTGGATGTTGAAGATATAATCTTTCCAGCGACAGAATCCGGCCCACCTCGGAGCAAGCACTTGCAGGTCCGTAGACGTTAATGTCGACATTGACTTCAGCATCACGCTGCTTCTTGGCCCGGTTGATGACCCTCAAGCAGTCTTCTTTGGGCACATATGCAATTGGACTGACTCCAGTCAACTTGTAGATGGCACTTAGAGGATTGTACAGACCGTCTCTGACCTGACCGAATGGCTGCTCGTTGTAGCCTTCGAGGACCAAATGGACGATTGTCTGCCCGAACAAAATATGGAAGGTGACCCATCGGTCATCAGACGGCATCCTACCAAGACGAACACTCAAGTCTTGCATACTGTTGACAAGGCGTGTCTCGCAACCATGGATCATTCCGAAACACTGAATGTCCTCCGTCATCGAGTGAGGCATCTGACTGGTCTTGGAGGGAGGCTCAAGGCCGATATCCTGATCAGATTGAAGTGAGCTAACCGCTGTCTCGGCCCAAGCTTCGATTTGTCGTCCGACGTGGGCTAATGCTGACTGCTCCAGGGTGGACTCGGAGACGTAGTCGACATTCGACAAAACACCACCTTTTTGAGTAAGACCCTCAGGAAACGCCTCATGGTCGTCGTCAGAGCTTGTGTCTTTGACGCCGAGCACTGAAGTCAGCATCTCCGACCAGGATTGTATCTCATCGCTAGGCATTGACAGCCCATCGGTATTCCCGGGACCTTCGATGCTCCGACGGGCAACAGAAGACTCGGGTTCGTCATGTCCAAACGCATCCCAGGTTCTCTTCATATTGGTACCCAGTTTTCTCACTAGATCATGCTGCAGAATGGTGAATGCCTGTCCTCTGCATCAGCCTTGCCGCTCAATGCACAAAGCGAAAGAACGAAAGAACATCAGGAGAACCACTGCCTGCAAGTATAAGACCCTGCTTTTTGAAGGGAGTTCGAAGCGTGAGTACCTATGTCCCAGACATTTGTTGAGACAGCTATGCTGTGCTGTCTCCCAGAAATACTCCACTTACCTCCCCTCTTGAGGGAGCCTTGCCATTGGGATTGCCTAAGCGTGCATGACTTTGAACAATTCTGTGAACGTGTCCGGAGCAAGCTGCGGTGGGCATAGTATTGCCATGGGCAAGCCTAGTGAGAGCATTTCCGGCAGACGAGAATGCGGTCGTGTCGTCAATAGTAAGTGCGGCTGAAGCTGTGTGATTCTGCGGTGAACGGCACGTGCGATCTGACTAATGTTAAATCTTACCTGGTGGCGTCAGCCTTGCCGCAGCAAGGCAGACTGGAATCCAGAAGGCCATCAGCATCATCGACGTGCGGAAAGATTGAGACAAAAGATTTAGATAAAGGCGGCGTTAGAAAAGCCAACAAGATTCTAGTCGTGTTTTTAGCATGTAGAGCGATCCACCTATTGCATATTCACCATTGCCAGGGAAATGGCTTTGGTTGGCCACTCCCGTTTGAAGAATTCTTGATGAGACGAAGGCTGGATATGGCTGTGTGGTTGTACAGATACCTGCGCGGATCATAACTTTACAGGCTGATCTCCTCTTTCCACATGGCGTCGCTGAGACCAAGCTTCTCGACAATATTCTGCCATCTGGGCCCTCCCCGGTCCTGCCGCCTCAGATAAGCCATCAACTTCTGTCGTCTGTGCACCATGAGTCTCAAGCCTCGTTTATTGTTCTTGTCCTTTTTATGTAGGTTGTCTGCCAGCACGTTGATTTTAGCTGTGAGGATGGCGATCTGCACTTCCGGAGAGCCAGTGTCTGCTCCAATTCTCTTAGGTACTTCTGTTGTACCTGCCTCCGCGCCTGTAGTGCTCGTTGCGGGCGCTTGCTTGCTTTGAAGTTTTGGAGGGAGGACACCGTCAGTACGATGACGCCCAAACTCTTCAATGCACCTTTGGACATTGATGCGAGTACGATCCCTTGTGCTGGCATTTTCGAGAGAAGCTATTGCCAGTAGCGCTTTCGAAGCATTGTCATGGGATGAAACATGCTTCTCAATTCTCTCTTTCAGGTCATTGTGAGCTCCAGGGACAGGATCTGTGTCGGGCAGAGGTTCCGTAAGCCATTTCGAGTATTCCAACGACTTCTCGACGTCCTCCTTCTTCAGGAGGTAATTGAGGTAAGATTCTTTGATCGCTTCGACGGGGGCTCTTGCGCGTAATGAGTCGACGAAAGGTGTCGGCCGCGAACGAACGGGGTCGCCCAGTGCAAGTTTCCGTTCTTCTTCCAGAACTTTTTGTCGAGCCAGGTTTGCAGATTTCCGTTGTCGTGCTTGAGCCAAGCGGTATGGATCAACATGTTTTCTGACTTTGCGCTTTTTCGTCCGCTTGGCTTCTAGCGTAGCTGTGGTCGAGAAGAGACATGCTGAACATTTCGTAAAGGTGTGACTGCGTGATGCGGAAGGCAAGCTTTGGAGAAGGCTCGTGACTAGTCATTGTCAATGGTGCAAATTTCTATCAGAGTGATCCAACTTACAATTGAAGATGCTGCTTGCCGCAGCGGACAATGCGTGGGGAGGCATCGCTGTGATGATGCTGTTTAGGAGAGCGCAGTCTACTGCTGAAGTTTCTCAATGGTGAAGTGCTCCCATGGTCGAATCTCGCGGCGCAGAAACATTAGCCCCGACTACCCGATCACACGCTAACCACATGTAGCTATAGCGAAAATCTTGGCAGAAGCGCACTTTCTCCGAAAAAGTTGCCCTGGCTATTGACGGTCGATCTCATCTTCAACACCAACGTCTACATTCCCTCACTTTCAACCACTTCTTCATTCTCGCTCCCGACTGAATCGCATCCTCAGTCGCAATCATGGCGAGCCCTGCAAACCTTCCCCCGATCTTCAGCCCGACATCCCAGGACATTGAGATGCTCCTGGCGGCACAATGTCATTTGGGCTCCAAGAACTTGCAAGTTCACATGGAACCATACCTGTGGAAGACTCGCCCTGACGGTGTCAATGTCATCAACATCTCCAAGACCTGGTATGCTCAGCCACGGCAGATCGTTGCTGCGACGTAGAAAATGTAGCGGAACCGCACAAATACTGACTTGCCTGCGCAGGGAGAAAATTGTCCTCGCAGCTCGCATCATTGCTGCAATCGACAACCCGGCCGATATCTGTGTCGTCTCCGCCCGTCCCTACGGTCAACGTGCTGTCCTCAAATTCGCTGCTCACACCGGCGCCGTCGCCATTGCTGGCCGTTTCACCCCCGGTAACTTTACCAATTACATCACCAAATCCTTCAAGGAACCTCGCCTGATTATCGTGACCGATCCCCGCACCGACGCTCAAGCCATCAAGGAGGCATCCTATGTCAACATCCCTGTCATCGCTCTCTGCGACACCGACTCTCCTACCGAGTTCGTCGATGTTGCTATTCCTACCAACAACAAGGGTCGTCACGCCATTGGTCTGATTTGGTATCTGTTGGCTCGTGAGGTCCTCCGTCTCCGAGGCACCCTTGCCAACCGTGAGGTCGAGTGGGATGTTGTGGTCGATCTTTACTTCTACCGTGATCCTGAAGCCGAGGAACAAAAGGAGGAGGAGAAGTTGCCAGGCGCCGAGGAAGCTGGTCCGGCTGCGGTCGACCGTGGATTCACAGACAATGCGGACTGGCAAGGAGAGCCTGCTGCTGCTGCTGCTGCTGCTGCTGCTGCTCCCGGTATCGAGGGTGCTCCTCAGGCCGATGCCACCTGGAACGACCCTGGCACTGGTGGCGGTGACTGGGCCCAAGAGGCTGCTACCACTGGCGCTAGCGGTTGGTAAGCGATTCAGCGCTGAATGATTGCAAGAGCTTAGTCACTCGACTACACTTGTCAGCACTCTTGGACGTCCACCGAAAACATCTCGCAAACCCCACAACTCAAGTGCACAACTACTACTCGAAAACTCCACCTATTCACCATGTCACGTTTCCGCAAGGTTAAAAGTCGAAGGCGCTCATGAGGGAAAGATACTCAACCGGGATCACTTGCTGTTTCTCGGCTGAGGGAAAGCCCTGTGCTGGAGATGAAGGGATTGTACTTGATCGTTGCCCGACCTTGTGGAAATGTATGCTTTGAGTCGCAAGTTTCAGGGGGAGCAGTAGACCATGTCTGAGAAGATAGAAAACGACAGAAAATGAGAGGCATTGCCCTAATCAAACCTGTATCACTTCCTCTGCCACATTCCGCATGCTGAGTGGTATATGGGTGTCTCTCTATAACCGAGCTCAAAACCCAAATGCTGAAATTTCCAGCCTTGTGCGGTTATGTAATCCATGCTAGCGTCGAATTAGTGACCCCATTTCTCCAATCCTTTCTCCTGGTCCCTGCGCAAGGCTGCACTAAATCACGGCCTAGTCCCTGCCAAGCACCTGACCCGGCCAAGACATTGAAAATAATCTCGTTTCCGATCCTCCTGCAGTGTCCGGGGAATCTCTATACTGTCGTCTGTGGTCTGCACAAGCAATGATGCCGCTGGTCAATGGCACGGCGAAGGAGGTGCGGATCAGCTTACTCGGCAAAGAGAGTATCATAATCAATTTCGGCCTATGGCGCAACTATGTTGCCTCAGACTTGCTCAACAACCTTGAGTCATCTACCTATGTCCTGTTCACCGACACCAACCTCGGCGCTCTCTACATTGAAAGCTTTCAGGAAGCTTTCAAATCCGCAGCACAACAAGCAGGAAAATCGTCACGGCTACTGGTTCATGAAATCCCGCCCGGGGAGAGCTCCAAATCACGGCAAACCAAGGATGACATTGAGGATTGGCTTCTGAGTCAAAGTCCACCATGTGGTCGAGATACGGTCATCATCGCCCTGGGTGGCGGCGTCGTTGGCGACCTGATGGGCTTTGTTGCTGCGACTTATATGCGAGGCATTCGGTTTGTCCAAGTTCCGACTACACTGCTTGCCATGGTTGACTCGTCGATTGGTGGAAAGACTGCCATCGACACACCCCTTGGTAAGAACCTTGTAGGTGCCATCTGGCAACCACAGCGCATCTATATCGATCTCGATTTCCTTGGAACTCTACCACGAAGAGAGCTCGTCAATGGTATGGCCGAGGTTGTCAAGACCGCAGCTATTTCCGAGGAGGAGGAATTCGTTGCCCTCGAGAAGAATGCTGAACGTATTATGGCTGCTGTTAATGGAGACATCAGTCAGGGTGCGGCTAGGTTCAAGGACATCGAGTCTATCTTGCTCCGTATAATATCAGCATCCGCCAAATTCAAAGCACACGTCGTCACCATTGATGAAAGAGAGACGGGTCTCCGCAACCTGCTGAACTTCGGACATTCAATTGGACATGCCATGGAAGCTTTCTTGACACCTCAAGTACTCCACGGCGAGTGCGTTGCAATTGGCATGGTCAAGGAGGCGGAACTCGCTCGACACTTGGGCATTTTGAGCGGAGTTGCTGTTGGCAGATTGCAGAAATGCATCGCTGCCTATGGCCTGCCTACGCGTCTTGACGATGAAAGGGTGCGCAAACTGTCAGGAGGCAAGCGCTGCACCGTAGACGGTATGCTCAAAAAGATGGGTGTAGACAAGAAGAACGACGGTGCAAAGAAGAAGGTTGTCCTGCTCTCTGCCATTGGACACACACACGAACAGAAGGCCAGTGTCGTGTCAGATTCCGACCTCCGTGTGGTTCTTTCTCCGAGCATTGAGGTTCTACCTGGCGTACCAAGCGATCTCAATGTTGTTTGTGCACCACCAGGCTCAAAAAGCATCTCGAACAGAGCACTAGTACTTGCAGCACTAGGTCAAGGCACATGCCGTATCAGGAACCTGCTCACATCCGCCGATACCGAAGTCATGCTCGAAGCTCTTACTCGACTGGGAGCTGCCACCTTTACTTGGGAGGACGATGGCGAGGTCCTGGTTGTAAATGGCAACGGCGGTCATCTGGAAGCCAGCCATCATCCTCTATATCTCGGCAATGCTGGTACAGCGGCACGATTTCTGACAACAGTAGTCACTCTGACCCGCCAGAACCAGGTCGCATCCACAATTCTGACGGGCAATGCTCGCATGAAGCAAAGACCGATTGGAGACTTAGTGGACGCACTGAAGGCTAACGGCGCCGGAGTCGAATATCTCGAAAGCACTGGCTGCCTTCCATTAAATATTACCGCTTCAGGTGGCTTTAATGGAGGTGAGATCAAGCTTGCTGCAAAAGTGTCATCACAATACGTCTCATCACTCCTGATGTGCGCTCCATACGCAAAAGAGCCAGTCACGTTGAGGCTTGTGGGAGGAAAGCCTGTCTCGCAACCATATATTGACATGACTATTGCTATGATGAGCTCTTTCGGCGTACATGTCCGGAAATCAGAGACAGAAGAACATACTTATCACATTCCACAAGGCACATATCGGAACCCATCAGAATATGTCGTGGAAAGTGATGCAAGCTCGGCCACATACCCGTTAGCCATTGCAGCGATCACCGGAACGACATGTACCATCCCCAACATTGGCTCCTCCTCTCTACAAGGAGATTCGCGCTTTGCAACAGACGTGCTGAGGCCGATGGGCTGTGAAGTCAAGCAGACATCGACATCGACAACAGTGACAGGTCCACGTAACGGAAGGCTAACACCTCTTTCAAATATTGATATGGAGCCTATGACGGACGCCTTTTTGACGGCCTCGGTACTCGCAGCTGTGGCTCAGGGTGGAAGCTCAAACACGACTCGCATATATGGCATCGCCAACCAGAGAGTCAAAGAATGCAATCGCATACAAGCAATGGAGGATGAGCTGGCCAAGTTCGGTGTTACCTGTCGCCAATTTGACGACGGAATTGAAGTCGACGGCATTGATCGAACTCAATTAAAGCAACCGAAAGGTGGTGTCCATTGCTACGACGACCACCGAGTCGCCATGAGTTTCAGTGTCCTGGCCTTAGCTACCCCGGAGCCGACCCTCGTCTTGGAGAAAGAGTGCACTGGGAAGACGTGGCCAGGGTGGTGGGACACGATGGCTCGACAATTCAATGTCAAACTGCAGGGAGTAGAACTCGATTCTTCAACACAACCTACAAAGAAGAAGCTCAATCGCAGTACTGCATCAGTATTTATCATCGGCATGAGGGGAGCAGGAAAGACCACGTCTGGTCGATGGGCAGCACGTTCTTTACGGAAAAGGTTGATCGACCTAGATACAGAACTCGAATCTCGCGAGAAGAGGACCATCCCAGAAATCATCAGAGAAAGTGGATGGGAGTATTTCCGTGAACGTGAGTTGGCCCTGCTAAAAGCAGTCATCAAGGAGAAGCCCAATGACTACATCTTCGCCTGTGGTGGTGGAATTGTTGAGGCCCCTGAAGCTCGGCAGTTGTTGATCGAATGGCATCAGAAGACTGGAAACGTTCTTCTGGTGCAGCGGGACATCAATCAAGTCATGGACTTCTTACAGATTGACAAGACGCGCCCAGCCTATGTCGAAGACATGATGGGAGTCTGGCTACGAAGGAAACCGTGGTTTGAACAGTGCAGCAACATTGTCTACTACAGTCAAAGCATACCGAACGAGCAAATGTCCGAAGCGGCTGAGGATTTCGACCGCTTTCTGCAGATGGTCACCGGCAAGATCGACATCCTTTCCCAACTCAAGCGGAAACCAGAGTCGTTCTTCGTCGCTTTGACGTTCCCGGATCTGAGACCGCACCTGAAGAGTCTCCCGGAAGTCTGTCTCGGCTCTGACGCAGTCGAGCTACGTGTGGACTTGCTCGTGGATCCCGAGTCGACCTCTAAAATACCATCACCCGAATACGTAACCGCACAGCTCTCGCTCCTACGTGCGACAGTACCTCTACCCGTGGTATTCACAATCCGAACGAGTGCCCAAGGCGGCAAATTCCCGGATAACGCTCACAACGAATACCTCAATCTATGTACCCTAGCCATCCGCATGGGCTGTGAGTTCGTCGATTTGGAAGTCGCTTCTTTCCCCGAATCGATTCTCAACCCTATCCTCGAGAAGAAGAACAGCTCTTACAGCAAGATCATCGCCTCTCACCACGACCCTCAAGCGCGCCTATCCTGGTCCAGACCAGGGTCCTGGATAGCAATCTACAACCGCTGCCTCCAGTACGGCGACATCGTGAAACTAATCGGCGTCGCAAAGACCATCGACGACAACTTCACCCTCCGCAACTTCAAGAAATGGTCCGCCTCACAGCATCCCGATCTCCCCCTTATCGCTATCAACATGGGTCGCGCGGGCCAAGCATCCCGCATCTTGAACGGCTTTATGACTCCCGTCAGCCATCCCGCTCTCCCCTTCAAGGCCGCACCAGGCCAACTCTCCGCCACCGAGATCCGCCAGGGCCTGTCACTGCTCGGCGAAATCACCCCAAAACAGTTCTACCTGTTCGGCTCGCCCATCTCAGCCAGCAAATCTCCCGCCCTGCACAACAGACTGTTCAAAGAAACAGGTCTACCACACACATACTCCGCCTACGAGACGACCTCACTCGACGAGATCAAGTCCAAAATCCGGTCCGAGGACTTCGGTGGCGCCAGCGTCACCATCCCACTCAAACTCGACGTGATGCCGCTTCTGGACGAAGTTGACCCATCAGCCCGCCTGATCGGCGCGGTCAACACCATCGTGCCCGTTGTTGGACCGACTGGCAAGACGACATTAGTAGGCCGCAACACCGACTTCCTAGGCATGATGGACTGTCTGCGCGCCGCCGGAGCTTCGACAGCACTCGGCGACGCCCAACAGTCAGGCCTAGTCATTGGTGGAGGCGGCACCGCTCGCGCCGCCATCCACACCCTCCACTCCATGGGCTATAAGCCAATACACCTCATTGGTCGGGACCGGGCGAAGATCGAGGAACTTGCTGCGAGCTTCCCGTCGGAGTATGAGCTCGTCGTGCTCGACACCGCTGGAGAGGTGAAGCAGCAACTCGCGACGCCACCGACCATCGCTATCGCTACGATCCCAGCAAGTATACCTATTGACGCTGCGCTGGGGAATGCTCTCCAAGAGATTCTGGAAACGTCTGTTCCTGCGTCGATTATGCTGAAAGGTCAGGGCTCGGCTGCCCCTGCGAGGATATTGCTTGAACTCGCGTACAAGCCTGCGCATACGGCTGTCATGCAGATGGCTGAGAGCGCCGGTGGATGGAAGACGGTGCAGGGTTTAGAGACGCTCGTGACGCAGGGCGAGTGGCAGTTTGAGTATTGGACTGGGATTCGGGTGAGAGGACTTGGTGGGAGGATCAGTAGAGTGAGTTTGAACGCCCTGAATTGAGGCTGTGGGAAAGAATGCTAACCATCATTTCAGGAAGTCGTGCTCGGTTCTGGCGCGTGATATGCGTGTCAAGAGTACTCATTCGAGCGAAGCTGAGTGTCTGTCACTACAGTAGTCTGTCTATCAGATCGGAGTATCAGTGAGTCGAGTTCCCCAATTCGGGCGACAGGTCTTGTATGCGTCACTATCAGAAAAAAGCATCGGAGAAAGTGATACGATAGATGGATGGCCAAGGATCGGAAAAACAAAAGCTTTGATACCAAAAAAACGGTGAATTTCAAGTTCGTAGATATTCGAAACATTGATGGCAACATTGTTGGGTATCTTGACTCTAATAATGACATCCACCATTGGTGTTTCCCAAACCTTTTCATTCCGAGACTTTTCCAAACCAGCGCCCAACGTTCTATCGTTAACGGTCTGTAAGCAGTAGTCGTACATTTTCCCAATCATCTGCACAATATAGAAGCCACAGATCACATTCCCTGATTTCTCCGCTGTTCCTCCACTTGTCTCTGCAAGGCTGCCGCAAGAGCCGGGTTGTTCGCCCAAGGGCCAGAGGGAAAGCTAGGCTGGGCTGCTGGCTGCGTGCCCGGAGCATAGCTTTGACTCGTCTGGTATGGCTGCATTCCTGGAGCATTATACTGAGTAGCCTGGTATGGTTGGTGATATTGTTGCTGCTGCTGATGCTGATGCTGGTGCTGCTGTTGTTGGTACGGAAACGAAGGCGGTTGCAGTCCAGGCATCGATTGAGGCATATATGGGAAGCCGGCAGGTGGTTGATAGCCACCAAAATTGTAAGGAACGTTCGGCAGCGGGCTCATGGGAGACGGTGTCATTGGTGTGTAAGCGGCGTTGTGAGGAGTGATCGAAGGCGTCGTAGGGACGGTGACTTCTGGCGCCCGTGGGTAACTGTGAGACCCGTTCTGTGTGTTGTTGGCGTTATGTTGGTTGTTGAAAGGACCTCGAGGCTGATTGAATCCGCCGCCGCCACGGGATCGGAAACCTCCCCTGTCACCTCTACCTCTACCGCGACCTCTGCCTCGTCCGCCGAAGTCACCTCTGCCACCACGGAAGGATGATGGTGGAGGAGGAAGTGGGTGGCCTGCGGTATCTCCTCGATGTTGCTCGGTGTTGCCAGCAAAGCTGTCTGGTCTTTGTAATGGAGTGTATCCATCATCAGCGCCATTTGGAACGTCGTCATAGTTCATCTCCAAAGAACCATCGCCATACGCGCCATTGCCGTTCGCAAGACCGTTGTTATCGTTGTTGCGGCTATGGCTGGGTCGTCGACCTCCACGGTGTGACCCTCTGCCTGATTGCGGTCCGCCACGGCCGCGGCCTCTTCCAGTGTCCACCAACCTGCCTTGTCGTCTTGCTTTCATTTGACGCTTGTGTTCGGCTTCTGCCTCATCGTCCGAAAACTCCATCTCGTCGTCACCAACCTCTTCATCGTGGAAGTTTGATGCGTCGCTACCCTTGACAGCCTTCAGGGGTTGTGTGAAGACGAAGGTCGAATAAGTGGGCACGTAAAAAACAGTCGTGCCGGGTGCGGACAATCCAGCCTCTGCAATGGCTTCGTCGTTTGTGAAGCGTATGGTGTACCGTGGTTCCTCGACTCGCCCTATCAAGTCGGCAATCACTCCAACAACACTTCGATCTTTGAGACAGATCAATGATCCTGATTCCAGGACCTGGTATTCTCCCGACGTTTTTGCCTTGATTACCACATTATTCTCCACGACGAATTCAACATTTCCAAGCTCTTCTATCTTCATATCCTCCGTAACAATGACTTCGGGCTTGGGGATGACTTCTTCCGTTCGCTCATTAGCAGTTCGTAGAGCAGCGCCTTCGGCCTTGTCACGCGACTTCCCGCCCTCATCATCCGAGCCTCCATCTCCTTGCATGAGTATTCTTGCCGTCTCTTCAGGATCCAACATGGAATATTCACCATCTGCATCTTCGTCGCTATCCTCATCGGAAGATGTGTCGTCGGATGAATCGGAGTCAGAGGATTCGTATGGTGAAGAATCGATTTCCCACTCGACACCTTCTGCGTCTTGATCAGGAGCGTGTGGCTCAGTTGCCGGGATCGAATCAATTGCAGCGATATGTGCTTCAGGAAGGGCGGGAACCGCGGGTGCTCCAGCTGTGTTTCCGACAATCGGTATAGAACTATTGGTGTCTGTAACGGTATCGGCTTCAGCATCCTGGAGTTGGACATGGTTCTCAATCTGCTCGTCCACGACGTTGTGCGTTACATCCATAGCATCCGACGTTGCAGGAGCAGGTTGGTTCGTGGATGACTGTTGTGTTCCATTGTCTGCATCTGCGTGTGTCTCTGGTGCCCCATCTTTCTCTATGACCATGCTCTCGGACTCCACAGCCTCTGCCTCTTGCGCTGCATCGACAACGGTGATAGGAGAGGAAGGGGCGATCTTTGGGATGGAAGAAGACTGCGCTTCGACCTGCAGCATGAGTGCATCGAGTAAGGAATTGGAGTCTTGGCTCGGTGCCTGCTGCACCATTTCTTGCTCGGGCACTGCGGATGCTGTGACACTAGTCTCTATATCTTCGCCGACTTCTATATCCATGGGGCCGGTGATGCTATTCTGCAATGTCTCGTGTTGCACGCCATCGGGCGTGTTTTCAAGAGGGTGCAATCCGGGAATCGATGGCAGGTCTCGGTTCGTTTCCGGCGAGTCTGTTCGTTGACGCTTTGCCGGAGACGTGGGAAAATCATCTGTCGCCATTTTCGATCAGGTACATATGTTGGGGCGTAAGTATATATCGTAGAGAACACAGGTCTGAATACACTGTACACTACAACAGACTGCGGCGTTGGATCGACTCTCGAGAAAAAAAATCCTGAATGCGGAGAACTTTCAAATGACCGACATGCCGATTATTATTTTTTGCGGAGAAGGCAATGAATGACATATGACATCGCTGTGGCTGGAAGTAGAAGTCCAGAGAGCAACCTGGGGGTGTGAACGAAGCCAATATCAATGATGCCGAAAAGAAGGGCTTGAAGCGGATGGAGGGATTCATCCAGACAGGAAGTGCTTATGCTCAAGAACATGGAACTCGACCGGCGACGATAGGATTCGTGCTGGCATCCAATCCCCTGGCATTGCTTGCTTGGATTGGTGAGAAGTTCATTCAATGGACGGATGAGACGCCGTTTTTAGAAGACATTCTTGATGATGTGACGTTGTACTGGTTCACTCAGTCCTTCCCACGTTGCATCTATATCTACCGAGAATACCATGGCGATCCTGGCGCCCATACGCCACACGGTGACCCAAGGTTCCGCAGTGAGAAGCCTGTCGGATACTCCTGGTTCCCACAAGAGCTGGCACCCATTCCGAAAGCCTGGGTTGAGCGTATGGGTAATCTCGTCTGGCACAGGCAACATGATTCCGGTGGTCATTTTGCAGCTCTGGAAAAGCCGGAGGTGTTGATGGCAGATGTTGAGGACTTTGCCAAACAAGTTTGGCAGCGCAAGATCTCGTTACCGGGCTGGTCATCGAGTGTCAACAACAATGACGTGTAGCCAAAGACGCAGACCGCACATGACAAGATGCCTGAGGTGGTGGCGCGAGGCTGCGGTGGGAAAGGGGTCGCTGAACAAGGTGATAGCACCCTGTATATCACATGCCGCAGCTGAGCGGACTACTGAAAGGACACGAAAGTCCCGTAGTAACCACGATGGTAAAGCCGTTTTCTTGCAGTGTCTAGAGCAAGTTAGCTGGTTTAGTAGAATTCATCTCAAGGGGTGATTGAATATGCACTGCATCGGCGTGATACCTCTAAAGCGGCGATGTGAATGAGGCCTTCTTGGCATATATCTGTCTCTTTCAAGTGGTGCTCCTTCCACAACCACAATAGCACACCTCAGTTCCTTCTATGCTTCGGAGGAGTTTCTAGGCGATGGATCAGCACCAGGGCAGCCAAGTCAGGTCGTCAGATGGGTGAGTAGCGACCACGTGGGGGTTCATGACAGGCACTGATGTGAACAGTGCCAAATCCGAGAGAATCCAGAAGGCGAAACCAGCATCAGCACCACCACCCAGGTTTTACCTGCCTTTGAACATTGCCTTCTATCTGTGCTTCGCATCGCACCTGCTAGCAGCTCTTTACGCTCCAATCCAAGATTGTGATGAGACCTTCAATTACTGGGAACCTCTGCATTATCTCAACCATGGCTACGGTCTTCAGACGTGGGAGTATTCTCCAGAGTTCAGCATCCGAAGCTGGGCATACATTGCTATACATGCGATCCCAGCCAAGATCGCAGGTCTATTTGCAAGCAACAAGTCCTTTGAGTTCTATGCTCTGCGAGTGTTGCTCGCCTTTGTCTGTGCAGCGACCGAAACTCGACTGTACTCAGCAATATCCCGTGTCCTCAATCCAAGGATTGGAGTCATGTATCTGATGATTGTTGCTTTCAGTCCTGGCTTCTTCTATGCATCCTCTGCATTCCTGCCATCCAGTTTCGCCATGTATACATCCACCTTGGGCCTGACCTCGTTTATGGATTGGCATGGTGGCTCTAAGACCGCGACCGGCATCATGTGGTTTGGCCTTGGCGCTATGCTGGGATGGCCATTCGCCGGTGCACTCATTATTCCATTTGTGATCGAGGAATGGTTGATGGCACTGGTGGGACATGCGGACATTGTTGAGACGTTCGGACATTACCTCGATGGTCTCGTTCGCTGTCTTATCGTCCTAGCTCTTCAAGTCAGTGTCGACGCCTTCTTCTACCACAAGCCGGTTGTTGTGCCTTGGGAAATCGTGGCATACAATGTCTTCGGTGGCAAGGATCGTGGCCCAGACATCTTCGGAACGGAGCCGTGGGACTATTATGTTCGAAACCTGCTGCTCAACTTCAACTTGTGGTTCGCCCTAGCCGCCATTGCAGGACCTCTTGTTCTTTTCCAGTCCCTTATCTTCAAGCAAAGAACCACGAATCAGCCGATACTAAGAACACTTACCTTCCTGTCGCCTTTCTACATGTGGCTTGTCATCTTTACCATTCAGCCCCATAAAGAGGAAAGATTCATGTTCCCAGCATACCCCTTCCTGGCTCTCAACGCGGCCATCGCATTCCACTCACTCCTGGCTTGGATCGGCTCACCAGATTCTGTCATCTTTGCCAGGATTCCAGGCAAACTCAAGCTGGCTGCGATTCTGCCGGTCGTCTTCCTTGCCATCAATGTCGGCCTGTTGCGTATTGTTGGGACTGTCACAGCGTACAGAGCGCCACTGCAGGTTTATGATGCACTTGAAGCATTGAACGCTACTCATAGCGCAGATACAGTGTGTTTCGGTAAAGACTGGTACCGGTTCCCATCATCACACTTTCTCCCAGACGGGGTGCATGCCAAGTTCATCAAGAGTGAGTTCGACGGGCTCCTTCCGGGCGAGTTTCACGAAGGTAAAACAGGATTCGGATTGTTTCCAGGAACATGGTTGATTCCATCCGGCATGAATGACCGCAATGAAGAAGACCCCGGAAAATACATAGATGTGCAGCATTGCGCTTACTTGGTCGATTCTTACATGCCTGACACGAAAGCGACTGAACACGAGCCGCTATATGCCCTGGACGAGGACTGGGAACAGGTCTCATGCGTTTCGTTTCTGGACACTTCCCGGACTGGCATCATTGCGAGAACGATATGGCTCCCGGATCTACCATTCATCCCTTCAAAGTATCGTCGGCACTGGGGAAAACATTGTCTCTTGCGGCGTGGGAATACGTGAGCATCGAAATGTCAGACCACAGAAAGGTAGTCGGAATATGGGCGCGGAAAAATATGCAGAAAATTGTACTTGAAGAGAGACGCCTCATATCTATGCGAGGTAATGCTATGCGAGGTCTTCCCAGAACGGTCTGGCCTTATCCTCGCGGTAAACTACCCGCTTGCTGCCCACGCCATCATGTGCGGAGTAAGATCCACGATGCTCAATCCGGCAATTCATTCCAGTCAAAACCCAGCACATCTATTGGAGCAATCATCCACAAACAAGTTTGCGTCAGTGGGCCTGATAAGAGTCCGAGTCCGAGTCAACTGGCCCGATAAGAGTATCTGCCTTCGAATGAGACGGCGACATGGCACAGATGTCCTCTGGAAGGTCGTGAACCTTCCAAACGTTGGTCGGATCCGGCTGTCCCTTTCCAGAAGTTCCATCCTTGGGGATCTTCATATATACGCTGGCCTTCTACTCTTGCTAGCCTGTCACGACTGTATTTGCCCAGGTGAAATTGTGTGTACAATCCTATGACAGTGTACGACCATGGACTCGGAAACGCTTAAGCGTTCATTAAACGACCTGGTGGCCCGGTCGCAACCCTACATCGACGAAGCGAGCACACACCTAGCAAAATCCAGACAGCATTGCTCATCGATATTAAATTCCGCTCAACAAGATCTCCACACATTCCTCCAGAGACCTCACGTATCACATCTCCTCCCCGCCGCGGCCTTCCTCATCGTTCTCACCATCGCCCTCACACAATATCTCGCCAGCCGGCGCCAACAAGCCACGAGCAGGCCGTCGACGCCAACTATAGAAAAAGCGCCACCCTCCAAATCCCATACTACCCGCCAGCCAGGAACATGGGAACCATCATCGTTTCAACGGCCCGCGCCCGAACCATGGCAAGGCTGGAGCATTGAGGCAACCAAGCCAATCCCATACCGCCCCTTCCGCTACAAGTACTACCAAACCATGGGGTTGAGGACAGTCAAATGGGACGAATGGATCGAGCTGGACAACCATTACCCACGCTTCCACGCCGACAAGGCGCGACGCATCGCCGAGCGCGGACCTAAATGCTGCCGCTCCGCGCCCGAAGCGTTACCCGCCGCATATGAATTGCTGGAGGAACTCAGATCATACCTACCAGAGCGATACCCGATGCTCTACCAGCGCACCGACAAAGGCATCAAGAACCTCTGGTCCGGCGAGGACCTCGACACGACGTCCCGCCCGCTTCCCGAGGACCCGATGCAGACTTGCGCACGCCTCACGCAGGACGACCTAGCGCTTATGTTCGAGCGCCCCGACGGCCAGTACTACCTTCTCGCCGGCGCGGTTCTGCTCGCAGGGTTCTGGAGATTGGAGGACAAATTCGGCATGCCCCTCAGTGAAATTCACACATCAGGCGATGTCCCTCAATACCGCGAGAAACTCGAAAAGGGCATGATGAACTTCTTCCGCCGACTGAAACCTGAAGAATTGATCGCGAGAAATAATTACTTCCTGCAAGTCGACGATGATCTGGCGTGGTCGCAAAGTATTGGCTCCGAAGATTCAGATGGGATCAGCTGGAACACCGCTGAGAAGAACCGCGCGATCGAGCACCACTTCTTCCGTAGCGAGAGACAGACATTGCGCCGCCTGCCCAAGTCCGGAGCCGTCTTGTTCACTATTCGCACGTATTTCCACCCGATCACTGAGATAGCGGAGGAGGATTACGTGCCTGGCCGTCTTGCCAGCGGGATCCGCAGCTGGGGCGACGATGTGAGCAAGTACAAGGGGAAAGCGAAGTATGAGGAGGTGCTGCTTGAGTACCTGGACAAGAAGCACCAGGAGCAGCTTGACAGGGGTTTGAAGCTTCAGGAGGAGGATGAGAAGAGGACTTATCCATTTTGAACACAGCCCATGCATAGAGACTGGACATAGATATGCCCATTGAATGGACTGGTGCAGTGCAGAGAGGATTGAGGTTAGCGCAGCGTTTTCATAGCATATGCATTGCAATATCTGAAGGTGAAGCCTCATGGACATCATCACCTGCCATGCTGAATCATGTCGCCTTCCGAACCATCGTCGCGTAAGGCTCATCTTATTCGTATCGAAGATCAACCTTCCGGAGTGTAATGTCCAAGTTCGGCCTAAAAGACAAGTCGCTCCAATGTGCGCCGCCACGCTTGTCAAATGCACCAAATAGTCGCCCAATATAACGCTCAAAAGCAAGATGCCAAACCCAGATGCTGCCAACGACCACGAGAACGCCGATGGTGCATATACAGTACATCAAGATGCACCCAAGCACCCAGCCACACCGTCTTGCTGAGGATACGAAGTGCTAGACTCGGCTTCTTCTGGACCCAGTCGCCCCGGACTCCAAGCCAGCGACTTCCCTCATCTTCTTGCGTTCTTCGGCTTCCCGCATAGCCAATTCATCTTGTTCGTGAATCCATGCGCACCCGTCGCGGAACTCGCAGATGCGACACTTCCAGGCATCACGAAGCTCGACGCCCTTGGGATTACGTTCGCCGCGCCAAAAAGCTAACGCATCGTACAGGTAGGATTTGATGAAGTTCGGGTTGAAGATCATGGATTTGCTTCCCAGTACTTCCGCCTGATCTTCAGATGTCCTGCCATGTGCCGACACGTATCGTGCTGTCAAAAGCGGGGACAGGCGGGTTGGAAAGGTCGGCATCGGAGGTAGTTGTGCGACAGATTGTGGTGTCGATGAAGGTACATCCTGAGATTTTGAACCGAACATTGAGTCTGGAGCTGTACTTGTGCCGAATGCTGACGGAAGAATAAAGGTTTCGCGAAACTGCCACATCATAAACTCCCATAACTTCTCCAGGTTATTGTGCGACAGTAGAATGTCCATAGAGTCTTGTGTTGATGATAGAATGTCTGTGTCCTGGTCGATTTCACGATTCTGCGAACTAGTCAAATCGAAAACTTGCTGGTTTAGACCTCCTATTTGTGCGATGAATTCATCAGAGAAGGTGTCGTGGATATTGAGACCATATCGCTCGGCGACTTGAGCCAACGCAAAGTTCCCTTGCACGAGATTTTCGAGCATGGAATGGTAGAGATGGAGTTGGATGATTGTTGGTCGGATGCTCGAACCTGTGGGCAACGTCGAATTCCCTCGCGTCTTGACGTCGGTGATGTAGATGTATTTGTCAACCTTTCTTCTCTGTGACCTCTGCTGCTGAGAGATATCGGGCTGCTGGCTGCCCAGGGCTTCCTCAATGGACTGTCCACGCTCCCTAGTCTCGCTGCTGACAAGATAATCTCGTATACTAGCTTGATACTCCGGCGGCACAGGTCCGGAATCTTGATTCGCCATCATGTTGAGACTCTGCTCCTCGAGCTTGGGGTCCGGACAGTCGTAGCTCAATTCATCGAGGACACCATTGACGAATTCGCCGCCGACAGAACCCCAGATCTCCAGCTCTCGTGTCCTTCCTGTCTCGCGTAGTGTCCTTAGGCCCTGAATCACGTTCCATATGTGCAATCCCCAACTGTCCTCTTTGGTGGTGATCTTCACGGGCACCGTGACATGAACCTCATCCTCAAGCGCCTGGTGTACTTTACTTCCCTGCTTCATGGCAGGTGTCCGTCTCTTGCGTCCATGCTTGCTCAGGACATAGAAGTATTGTAGCTCACACCACGCCGGGGAAATGAGATCGGTGACTGAGAGTGGTTTCTTGGGCGGTCGTCTGAATCTATCGAGAGGAGATCGAGTATCGGGTTCGGATGTCTGCGCCTCTGCCTGGACTGGCGTTTGTTCCCTTTCCGCCCTCAAGCCTCCAGTACTGGCTTTCGCCTCAGCTAGTCGCTAGTCAGCCTGTCAGCGAGACAATGCAGGGGATAGACAAATACTGTACTCACCACTCTCGTAACGTATGTTCTGGTCGCGGGGAAGCCCTGCAGGTTGGATCTGATTGTCCCATTGACGCGTCGCTTCGAACCCAAGCACCTTAGGCAGACGGACGCCTTGAGGTACTTCATAATCTTCGATGTCTGTTATCAGTAGAGACGCGATTTGATCCTGTTTCTGCTTTGTGGCAGCCTCGAGCAGTTGATCGATCAACTCGAGCTCTTCAGGATCTTCCGCGAAATCACTGTACTCGTCTTCATTTTCTTGTAGTTGTTGTTCTATGAAGGACTCGACTGCATCCAAGTGCATGCTCATATCCTCGTCTTGTGGTGGTCCAGGGTTATCGAACATTGTTGAGTTGGTATCAAGGGCCGATAGTGGCGTTCTAAGCTTCATGATTCATTCAATCCCTTGAAGTTCACCACACCAGCGCAGTGAATGAAGCACCTTCGCCCGACCGAACTCATCATGTGGAATATGACAGGCAGAAGTAGCGCCATGGCTTTCGATCGCGTTGTGCCTGAAGCTATGGTGCTTCTGCCTGATTCCCGGTCGCTCTGGACGTGTCGCGGAACCTTTTCCAAGTGCGCCGAATTCGCCTGCCAAAAAATATATGCTAAGGGAGCATGAGATCCAATGCATTTGTAGTTCCACAATCATTTCCATTCTATATCTCTATGTTGTAGACTTTCTGGTTCGAGCAGATGGTTCTATCGCAATCCGTCCCCATTCCTGCAGCCATGCCCTCTATGTGCGAATGCTCATCTGTACATCGTCGCAGCTCAAACTGCGCCCATTTGCAGTCCTTCCACGACCTTTTGAGTATTCTGGGTGAATCCCGTGAGGCGTCGTCCAAGGACCGAAGGAGACACACGCGATGTGCCTACTCGGTCGCAGAGCCCAGATCTTCAGTCCTTTGCTTTGAATCATCCGGCTCATCATTTCACCACTTTACCCTCAGGAATGACCGGCCTGAGCATTGAGTCTGTAGCCAACTCGATCTTCTCTTCTTTTCTGTTCAAGAAACTCAAATATGTCTGCCACGCGACCGCAAATATGCCTGAGAACATGAATCTATACTGGTGCGGAATAACCCAGAAGCTGAAAGCCGTGACTGCAGGCCACAACTTCAGCGAGTTGACAATGCTCGTAGGGACAGTGGCTTTGATTCGTGTAATGACTCCCGAGGGCCCTTCGCCTGTTAGAAGAGCCTGCATGCCGAAGAAGTAGCTGTTAAAGATAGGCGTGAAGACGGCCTGGTTGACCGCGACTTTCGTAGCGATGGACGCGACTTTGGACTGGAAGTTGAAGTTCCTGCCCAAGAAGAGAAACCTGGATGCCATCGTCAGCACTTTGCAATTCCTGCTTTTGCAGCATGTCCGGCTGAAAAGCCCACAACCATCACCTACCATTTGTACCCTGGTATAGAAGCAATGGCTCCAATTGTGAGCATTCGTAAAGTCCTCTTGCCATCGTACGGTTCCCCTCCAATCTCTTGCGCTGAAAGGTCACCGCACAAGTAAGTGATCAAAGTCATGCTTACTTGCACGGCGTGAGGTCTCTTCTCCTGTGTGCGGTGAAACCATCTGAAGAACGTCGACACCGGCCCCAATCGATGATACCATAGTTGGATGGGAATGTCGACTGGTTCTGCCTTCGCCCCTTCCACGGGTATTTCATATGGAGTATGGGGTGGGAGTTTGTCCTGCTTTGCAGCGTTTGTTGAGTCTTTGGCCGGCGTGGAATTGCTGGTGTTTCGCTGGCCGTGTTGAGGTCGCGATCTAGGTAGCCGTAGCCATGGCGATCTGGCACCAAACTTGATCGGTGCCCTGTACAATGCTATCATCATCGCATAGCCGCCATAGCGGAGAATGTCGACCTCATCTTTTAGGAAGAGTCACTCACGTAGATATACGCGGCATGAGTCCGCATGTCGGAATGCAAGGTTACCGCCGTGATCGGCTGCAGGTCCCTCACCAACCCGAGTTGACGCCATTTTAGTTAGGCATCTCTGGTTCGGGACATTTAGGCGCCCTCGCCCCTGTAAAAGTCAGGTCCGACACCTGCCAACGCCCTAGATTTGTAGCTCCGGGCCCCAGGTAAGCTAAATGATCAGCACATGCAGGCACAACACAACCCAAGAATCAAATCGCTGCGCAGCTGAGAGGATCTTCTACAGCACAAAAACAGGTTTAAGGAAGTAAAGAAGAATACAGTTGTTCAGGATGTGGACGTGATTTGGATTTGTCAACGTCTATTTGATCGTGGCGTCTTCTGCTTCGGCCATGTCATGTCTGTCTGACTGGCTTGATGGCTGATGTACAAGCAGAAACGCCCAAGCCCCCATGACCCCCATGATCATTGTGTTAAAGCAGTACAGCCCATTGTGAATATCATTCCGTTTCGCCATTGCAACTCATCATGAAAACCCCCGTAACCATTTAGGTCTTGCCAACAATCCCAAGAGCAGTAGAACCATCATTGATGATTGTCATTGTGATGTTGGTGACTCATGTTGTCATCTAAGATCGCTCACCACGGAGACGACGAGCAAGCTGGATGTCCTTGGACTGGATGGTGACACGCTTGGCATGGATGGCGCACAAGTTGGTGTCCTCGAAGAGGGAGACGAGGTAAGCCTCAACGGACTCCTGGAGAGCGCCGATGGCAGAGGACTGGAATCGCAAGTCGGACTTGAAGTCTTGGGCGATCTCACGGACGAGACGCTGGAAGGGAAGCTTGCTGTTTTGTTTGTTAGCTGATGTTCAAGTGACGGCAAGGGATCTGAAGGTGACGAACCGGATCAGGAGCTCAGTCGACTTCTGGTAGCGACGGATCTCACGGAGAGCAACGGTACCAGGCTTGTATCTGTGAGGCTTCTTGACACCTCCGGTGGATGGTGCGGACTTGCGAGCGGCCTTGGAGGCAAGCTGCTTTCTTGGGGCCTTGCCACCTAGAGAATGAAGTCAGCGACGATGATAAGCGGCGATGAGGGTCAGAGTCAATTCTTACCAGTGGATTTACGAGCGGTTTGCTTGGTACGAGCCATGGCTAATGACTTGTAGATGGATGGATGAAGATGTGTTGATGGATTGATGGATGATGAGTGAGGCTGATAAGAGAAGAAAGACGAGTGGTGGAAGTGGGGGGTGGGAGAGGGTATTTGTAGAGAAGACGAAGGGAAGGCAGCAGCTTGGCGTGATCTGATCCGGCAGTGAGTCAAGGGGGATCGAATGATTCGCAATTGCCGCATCAAAATCAACCAAAATAATTGTTCTCAGATCAAGACTGCCAAATGATCAAGTTTTGGTGGGTGCTTTTGGCAGTGATTCAGAATTGCACCCAAACTGATGGCGCCCACTAGCCCGGACCCGTGATCTGGCGTGCTTAGTCCACCACTTGGCGTACCACATCAAACATCAACCATCACAGCCTGTACCAGACAATCCCCAGCATCAATATCGATAATACTCTGATAATTGTAATGTTAGTATGCAAATAATCCCCTGATCTCGTTCTATCCTCCTGTGTCAAGATCAAGTTCTCTGAGTCATTTTGGCCGAGAGATCACTGGATCAATGGTCTATCAGCTGCAGTGACGGCATGATCACGGGCAGTCAGTGCTGAATTTTGATTGGCTCTGATCTGGGCAGCCCGGGCTGATCTGGCAGGCACTGCCGGGGTGCATAAGTCTCCCCCCATTCCCACTTCTCCCCAATCAAAGTTCCTTCTATTCCATTCCAACGTCTACAACCATCCATCTTCATACCACTCCAACTCATACACTTCCAAACTTCATCTTCATCTTCAATCCATCATCATGACTGGACGCGGCAAAGGTGGCAAGGGTCTCGGAAAGGGCGGTGCCAAGCGCCACCGAAAGATCTTGCGTGACAACATCCAAGGTATCACCAAGCCCGCTATTCGACGTCTCGCTCGTCGTGGTGGTGTCAAGCGTATCTCAGCCATGATCTACGAAGAGACCCGTGGTGTCTTGAAGACCTTCCTTGAGGGTGTCATTCGTGATGCCGTCACATACACTGAGCAGTGAGTAACCTGCAAACAACATTCTGTGGGCTTGTGCTGATATCTTCTCCAGCGCCAAGCGAAAGACTGTCACATCTCTCGACGTCGTCTATGCTCTCAAGAGACAAGGCCGTACCCTTTATGGTATGCATTCTTCTGTCTTCATTGTCTGCTCCTTGACTAACCGGATCCAGGTTTCGGTGGTTAAACAACTCAACCTCCAAATTCACATCACGACATTCTGGCTTCTCATGTCTGCCATCTTCCATGGCATGGTGGTCTCCTTTTTGCTTTGAGTTTCGGAGTGGTTGGTCATGCAATGGGTTCTCAATGGGGTTGCACAAGGGTCATTCACGGTTATGATGGGATGGCAAATCCAATGATGTGCTTTGATGTATCAATACAGGCACAAGAGATCAATCAGCCTGGTCGGCGTTGATAAATGAGCTGAGCAGCGACAGAAGCATCAGCATCAACATGAAATAAACATTTCGAAGCACACTTGTCTTCCCTTAATTCTCCCTACCTTGAAATTTGATGTATCCTAGAACGCTTCTCCTCCTGGAGGCATGCGTCGTCGTTGTCGTCGTAGTGCGGATCTGTATCAAAACAATCGCGTTCTGCACTGTCACCCAAGCCATTCTAGTAGTGTCTCTGTGCGTGGTGGATTTCACACTTAGAATCGCCTGGACTGGAGTGCATCGTTACCATTTCAGCCTGGGCACTTTTCCTGCGCTGCAGGCACCCATTCCGGTCCTTCGAAATCATGCCAAAATGATTCTCACACCACTTCTTCGTGCTCGATACAGTGGCTGCAGCCTGTTTTTGTTGCTCCAATCCCGACACTCAATTGGGCGGATGCAGTGACTCAGGTAGCTCATGTGGCATGAGGCATTGAGTCTGCTGTGGCAAAGCTCCGCGACGGCAGAAGCGGACGCTTGACAATGCCGTTCTACCGCCTCCTTCTCGACTGTCAGTCGACCCTATGTGGGTAGGTTCTGCGATGTCACATCGTTGCTGGTGGCGGACTCGCCATTGTGTTGGACGAAGTTGCGTGTTCTCAAGCATGCGAAGCGTATAGTAAGGGGAGTCAGGCCATTTCCGCCAGTGGGATATATTTGAGCAGCCAGAAGGGCTCTGGACAAGCATGAGGATGCGTGTGCTCGTCGCAGGGATTACCTGCCTTGTCGAGCATCGATTGCAGAACTCACCACGATGGATGGGGGCTTGCATGTCCGCACTCCGCGACAAGTGGTTTTTCATAGCGTAAATCGGTATAGTGATTACAATCTTGTTTTCAGCCTCGTTGCAAGCTCGATGACTCGTGCCAACCGACTTCATTAGTTGGGCCTACGGAAAACTCCATGCGTGGGGGATAATGGCATGAGATGTCTACCCATTGGCTGACATTGTGACCGGCCGAGTCCATGATAAGGTCGATTCGCTGTTGGATCTTTGAAACAGTGATGTTGTCCATGGTCGTTGAGATTATGGGAGGGTGAATGGTCGCATGGCCCTTCCGGCCATCAATTTCCCAATCATTCTCGTGGTGTGTCTCGCCATTTGACTATGTAGCCACTCATCAGTCTCGTAGACTCATTCATGCTTGAGCGAGAAGAAAAGCAATCTTGCAAGCGAGCTCTCGCTGATGCACCAAGAAGTGAACGTGGTGGTGTTGTTGTTTCGACGTTGCTGGAGAAATGCCGAATATAATTATTATATAATTGGCCCGATAAAACGAGCACTTTTCAAGACCAACATCAACGTCTGAGAAACTCCTCCCAACAGCGCACAAGGATACAGATAAACTCATTCTTCAAGTATTCGGACCGTTATTCATGATGACACCAGAGGTTTTCCAATGGCACGTCGAGAGCGCTTGGTGGTTGTCTAAAAGACCTCAGTCGCCAACATGCCGGCCAGCTTCATGCATCATGAGCTGGAACTACCGACCAATTCAGCCGCCCTAGGTATGTTGGCCGTCACAACTTCCGTTCGCAAGCAGTCACATGCAAGCTCTGAAAGGTTCAGTAGATCCAGATGCTTTGGTACCGCCGTAGACATCACCATGACCGAAGGTGGATGAGTAGACTGCTGGAGAAGGATGAGAGGAGACTGGGCTAAACCTCTTATTCACCTATCAAGTATTTGTGGCGATGGTTTCCAGCTATCTGCATCCCCAGCCTCACTGCCCTGATTTCTTGACGTGCTTATGGGTTGACCTCCACTGGACATTGTGTTACCAACATATCACCGAAGGACTCCATGCACAGCTGAAATCAAACAGCACGCATGCCCGAACCTAGCTCGCAAGATTTTGCAGCATAACTGCCTTTACCGGCAAATGATGCGACAAGCATACAGCTGACACATCGTACCTCAACAAGAATCCGAGCCACCAAACAAGCATTAGGGGCCCGGTCAAGCATCAATCGGTAATGAACTCTGACAGGTGAACGCCGGAAATGAAACTCTCTCAAAGATGCAATATTCAGCTTTTGCGTAAGGACGACGTTGTAAAACCTACTTGCAGCAGGCTCGGCAACTGAAATACCCGTCAGATCACCTAGTTGAGCATGCTACACAGCAGTCAATTAGGCCATGCAGCTGAACAAGGCTTTGATGACGGAATGGACTTCCCAACACAGTAGTGTCTTCATGCAATGCGAGAGTTTCCGGGGCATAGTTACGAGTACACATTCGGCGGTTGACTGCCAGCCAAAGCCAGCACCCCACTGTATAAAGAACTGTGCGGAGTCTGGCGACCACATGGCATGGCTTCGGCTGCTGGGAACAGCGGGAAGCATGTTGCGCCACTCGAGTATTGAACGAAGTTCAGCTTGCGTCTGCTGCCAAGCAGTCGACGACGAACCTTTCCCCGGACAAACACAAAGCACGACTATCCACAGCCTACGAAAGAACATCCAGTGCATGACCCAGGACGTATGTGGCGGTGCACCACGAAAGACCATTTAGATGTGCCCATCCAAGCTGAAAATGCCGTCCAATCAACCACAGATTGTGGCTGTACAAGATGCTCTGCTGTAGATCGCTTGAGAGTCATTCGACGGCTGTGACTGGAGAGAGCTGGCTTCGAGCAAGCCTTCGGGCAACTGGTCGTCCGGTTCGTCGAAAGTGTTGTCCATCACGGCGATGGCCGATACCTGGGAATGTGCTTCTGGCGCACATCCTTCCCGACGAGGGACACCAGCACTAGAAGGAAGAAAATTTTAGTCAAGTTTTCAGCATTGCAGCATTCGACATGAATCGTATACGAGTTGCTGGTTATGGCTGCCAGTTCGAGTTAGTGGCGCATGCAATATGCAATACTCGAGAAATCGGAAAATGGGCGACATCCGACTATAGCCGATGACATAATGGGTGCTCTCCTCCCCCAACAAGAATTTTCCTTGCAGGTGCCATCTGCATGCATGTCGGCCGGGGGACGCCTAAATTGGGCATGCCCAGCACAAAATTTCCAGCCCTAGCAAGCCCACGCGCAAGCCAAGGACGCCCGGAATCCTAATGCGACGGCAGCTCGGCACGTTCCTGCATTCTGCATTTTAGTGCGGACGATCTCATGTTCTAGAAGAATATCCATGCGTGAGTTGATTGGGCATGCTGGCACGTATTCTGGCTAAATTGGATGATCAGACCTAATGCAGCTGGCCGGCCTCCAACACATGGTCGAATGCAGGACATTGTCCACTTGTCTCATCAGAAGCAGACTTACGAAACGTCCAAGTTTAGATTAACAATCGCATCCACTTCTATACGAGAATAGTCGTGGCCGATCTTTGACCGTATCGAGTAACCAGCCTGAAGTAGGTGTGAAAAACAGACTTCGGCAAGGCAGTCCTACCACTCACAAGCATCGAGCCGTGACAAGGCTATGGATTGATGAACAGCAAGGCAGGCTGTGCGCATCGATACGAGACGGATGCGAGGAGGGCTCGGATCCGTATTGCGTTGATCTGTGCACTTGAAACATGTTGAGGTTACCGATGCTCGTCTAAATCCGTCCGTCTCTATGTCAGTCCGGGGAGACGGCGGGACAGGAGCAGCAGTGACCCAACTACCATTTTCATGAACCGACGGCATGTATAAACCGACGGAAACAGGGGTCGCATAAGTATCAATGTAAAAAATGGAGGATTAAGTTAAACAGACATGAACACCAAACGGGATCTTGCAGGAAGCCTAGATTCAATTTGTGCTTCTGTTGCACACAGGGCTGTCTAATGAGGCATATACCACTACCACGGTAGTAGTAGAATCATCGAGTGTCGCGCGAGAAATGCCCGCGGAAGCTTAATCTTCGGAAGGACTCGGATTGTCGTCACCGAAAAGTCAATCGACTCGATTTGATTGGATAGAACCTGCACAGCCACAGGTAGACGACTCAATGATTGGACGGGTAAAAACTAATCCGCCAAGAGGAAGGACGAATCCCTTTGTGCTTTTTCGCTTCTCTCTTTTGCACGGTCTCGCCCTTCCACCTGAACTCGCATACGCACGGCAGTTGAAGCATCCATCAACAACCACATCAATCGTTGCGCAGATGGGCCGATGCAAAGCCCGTTAGACTTTTCTGACAACGGTGAGTCCGGCCCAATTGTTTTCACCTGGCTTTGGCATCAATCTATGGAAGCCTGGGATCACTCGGCTCGACAGTGACACCGAAGCGAAAAGACGGGTGAACAACCAAGCTGAGGTGAGTACACAAGGAGCGATTGAGTGATGACTTGCAATCAATTCTAGGCAGGTGCAGCCCGCAAAGGCCGTACGAAGAGCCCTGAGACTGAACCCTCGGTCAAAGCGCCCATAAGAGCCAAATCTCAGTGCCGGAGAGATCGAAAGTCTTGGTCTTTGCACGCCCCAAAAAAGGCCGCAGACCATCTCGGACCCTGAATTTTCCAGATCACCTTGTCCAACGTATTGCCGAGCCGGCCCAAAAGAGCGACCCATGACATCGCGACCCTTGATCCTGGCCAAACCCTGAAGCCTTCGTCTACGTCATCCTACTCAAGTGCGGTCATCCTCGATTTTCCCTGCAGGGCCCGCGGGTGCATTCTCAACATCTTTGTCCAGTTCCGACGCAACCTTCACACTACCACTGCCTCTTTCTGTCCTCTGCAACGCTGCATTAAAGGGAAAAAAAGCTCGACCTAATATTGAACCAAAGAGAAAGAGGAAAGGAACACCCGGGGTTCATATTCATCCCATTCCGCGCCCTGACCGATATATCCGTTCCAATACTTCCCAGTCTTCTCCCAAATACTCACTAGATCACCATTCCACCCACTTCCACCTCCATCTTTCGTCAGCGTGTCCGTGTTGGTCCGGCTGTTCAAATACCTATCTCCTTCTTATATACATTTGCCACCCACTTCCTCTTGAGGATATACCTTACTGTTTCGAATCCACCTATACTCACTCACACCGAGTTACCTCCTACTCTATTACCAAGCCACGACAAACGCCGCACCTTTACAGTATAGAAGACATTCTACAAGAGTCACTCTTCGCCTCTCCGTTCGCCTCGATCGCATACTACCCGAACTCGATTGATGAACAGCCAGTCGACGACGAAACAAAGCAGTCCTAGCGTTCGCATCCAGCAGTCCACGCCCTCGACGACTTCCGCTACCACACAACCCTCCATGCTTGCTCATCCTGCCGCGGTAGGAGGGTGGAACGAAGGATACAACACAGGGGCATACCTGAGTGCGCTGCCGAAGAATTTCCAAGATCAGAGATTTCATAAAAGAGGCTCATCGGGGTCTTCGGTCACCTCCCTGGGGCCGCCCTCGCCTCTTAACCACAACAACATATATCCACACATTGTTGCCACCTCCGACTCAAACTTCTCACCCTCCTACGATTTCGACTACACTCAAACTCCACATACCGCGAAGTCAGATTCAGCAATGATGTTCCCCACAAACTATGGTGCCGTCGACATGAGAAGGATACAATCGACAGGCGGCGACGACCGCGCGTCATACGCAATGTCTGCGCCCCAGTCTGTCTCGACGATGAGTCACAACTCTCCCGCGACACCGCATACAAGTTATGAGCCAGAGTATGATGAGAAGAATGTCTATGGTGAGCATTTCAGCGACGAAGATCAAATGTTCAGCTACTTACAGTACGAAGCAGGCTACCCTACCGCTGCGTATCAGCAATCACTACAAGATGTCTTTCCAGACCAGAGTTTCCCAATGTCATATTCCACGGCTCAACAACAGAATATGCAAAGGATGGCTATGTCGTCGCATCGGCAAAATATGATGGCAGACAGACTTCAAGCGGCGACTCAAGATCACTTGAGAACAAGCTCGCCCACATCAGACCCGCGCGACAAGTCACCATTCCGACAGAGTTCGCCGTACGGTATGCCTGCCCCGATGCAGCGACCGCACCCACCAGCGACTTTACAAAAGCAGCGGACGTCCATATCGCCTAAGGAGCTAATGTTGGACGAGCACGATGTCGATGATCACGCGGCACCACTGTTCGCGCCTGAACAGACTAACCCTATGTTCGACGCCCGGAGAACACCGTTGAATCTCTCAAGCTTTTACGCTCCGAATATGTCGACGCCACAGCAATATGCTTTTGTCGATCAGTCTACTCAGCACAACAACCAGGCAGCACTGCAAGACGTGACTCCCGAATTCCCGGCTCACATGCTTTCCATGGAGTCGACCAACGAAGAAGGACCATCGGAACCTTCGAGTCAACAGTCTACCTACAAGAGCCAGCCTCAACCTCGGTCACAACCGCAAGCCGTGCCCCAGCAGCAACAACACCCGGTACAGCGGCCACAGCAGGGCACTTCATCCGATTCGGGCACTTACTCATGCACGTACCATGGATGTCACGAACGGTTTGATTCTCCAGCCAAACTCCAAAAGCACAAGAGAGAGGGTCACCGGCAGACATCACCAGCAGGATCTGCATCACCGAATCTGTCTTTGCGTAACTCGCAAGCTGGACCACATCGCTGTGACAGAATCAACCCAAGCACCGGCAAGCCTTGCAACTCGATTTTCTCTCGGCCTTACGATCTGACCCGGCACGAAGATACTATTCACAATGGTCGGAAGCAAAAGGTCCGATGTCATTTGTGTACGGAAGAAAAAACATTCTCACGCAATGATGCTCTTACACGACATATGCGCGTGGTGCATCCTGACGTGGACTGGGTTGGCAAGCAAAAGCGCAAAAATCAGAAGTGATCACAACTTTGTGTCATATTCTGAGCATTGTCACATCATGGCTCCGGGCTGCAGATTACTGTTTCATGATGATATCCGGAGTGGGATTATCGCTTTCGAGCTGATCAAGCATTTTTCTTTACTACGCACGCAGGGGCTGAGGTCAGCGATGACGATGACGAAAATGACGGGGAAAATATGATTTCAGGGGAGGAGTTTTTGATCATTCGGCATCACAACAAAGGCGCAAAAGAAATGGGTACCAATTCCGGTATAGCGATGCCTTTTCGACATTGTATAATCATGGGATTATGGGGGTCTTTCTTTCTGAGGATAGACTGTACGAACACCTGGGGAGGTTTGCATTGGCTGGATAATGCTATTGAGCGAACATATGTCGGAAGCGTGCTGTGGGCTCCTTCTGCTGGACCAATGGAATCGTACAAGAATGATATTTCGTCTTTGTGCTGTCAAAAACGTCCCTCTCACTTTCCTTGCTAGTTTCATGCGCGTGATTATTTTCCTTGAGAGCCTTTGCCCGCGGAAGGGCTCTGGAGGGGTTCGATTAAGCGAGGACAAGCAGCATCGAAGATGCCGAGATGTGAAGACGGATTGCCCTTCCGATGGGAGGCAGGGAGGGCATCGGAGATTTTCTCGATTGATTTCCTCGATGTTGAATCACCGTTTGGTAGGGTATCCCTCCAGGCGTCTACCCTGCATGATGCGCCGATACCAAGGTATTCAGGGACGTCAACTTCGGTTGGGTTCCCGCTGCGGAGAAGTTTGGCACTACGCTGTCCTACAAGTGTGCTAGCATGGGCATTTCATCATCGTGCTCGTCACGATCGCCCGAGCATTACTTAACACTCCTAGGAACTACCTGTGCTTACAAGTGGTGTCACCCCTCAGCGACTCTACTTGCTTGGATGGATGGGGATTTACGACGTCTTTGAAGTTGGGCTTTCACTACCCCTCTGTGTGGTGTCTGTCAGATGTCCTGGCAGGCCTGGACTGACGTCGGAATGCTCGGCTGTGTTGAGAATTGATTGTTATCGTATTCTAACGACGTCCGTCATCCTGGACTATACTGGATGTTTTACCGTGGAACGACCTGGGCCCTGACAGGGCCTTGCAGCACGATCGAGATCTCCGCCGACGCAACGAATACTTGATTTGGATGATGCAGACGAGAGACGTCAAGGCTGAGCCAGGTCTTTGTCCAGGGGAATCTGGTCCTTTTCGAGGGGACTTTGACCGCTCTATCCGGTCCGGGAGAAAGAGGATTTTGCTGACATAGGGCGATTCATGTGGTAGTGCCACTTCACACAGTCTTCCGAGCTAACTCCCAAAATTAGCTTCAAGTCTATCTCGTACGTAGGCAATCGCTAAGTAGTATGTGCAGGCTTCAATGTGGTAGTACTATGTCATGGTTACGGAGTACTAACGCTGCTTTGACCGCGAAGTAACATTTGGTATAGCCAACCTCGGCATGGTACCGTGGTACTCGTGTGCTCGAGCGAAGAGTAGCTTGACAGAGTGAGCAAGACATGAATAAGCATCAGCAGTCATAGCAGTATACTCTGATCGTAGCGGACGTCCTTGAGAAAGCGGATTGCAACTCGACATAACGTGCGTAATCCAACATGGTTTGAGATGCGAGGTGTACCTCACTTCACGCAGGTCTAGACCAATATGAGTGGTGAGAGCGACCCTTGTTCGAGTAAACGGCTCGTTCGGGCAACCATTTCAGCGGGAAAGAGGTCAGCGTTGCCGTCGCAATCTGCATTGCATTGCGGTGCATACGACCGCCAGTATACTTTGGCAAGGCTTGCCCTGGAATGGCTTTTGGCATTTGCTTACGCAGTCCATTGCAGGGGCGTTGACTAATGCTGGAGGCTCTGTTGTCTGTTCTGCGGCCTGAACATGCGAGCGCGGCTACTTCGTTTATTTCCGCTCCCGGCCGCCGCTCCCAGCCGGCTGAGGTTGAGGTTGAGGTTCAGGCATTGTTAGTAATGGGGATAGGGCTGACCATTGTCGTAAGCTCATGCCGCGCTTCGCACTCGCTATCGGAATCGTTCAACATGTAGGCTTTATTTCGTTCCGACACTTTCGGAAGGCCGCCTCGCGCCGGCTTCATCAGCATGTCCGCCCTGCCCTGGATGCTCACGGCTGACTGTACACGGTTGGCCGGCCGCGCGGACAGAAAATGATGTTGGCTTGAAGATGCGAAAGTCGGATTCGCATAATGATGTCATTGTTGCGGCCTTTGTTTATTATTCTCGCATCGGCTAATGAATACGAGGTGTCCGTGTGTGGCTGACGAGGAGCCTTATACGATTGGTCAGCTCGGAGGTAGACTTTTATCGACTGTGGCTTGCGTCAGGTCTGCAGCCTTGCGCGAGGCTGAGGGCCGAGACCGAGGCTACGGCCGCGAAAATGTATCACGAGGTCGTCCACCATCAGGTTGAAATTCGGGGGCCTAGATCTCAGCTCGCAAAAGTAGATCGATCGGAAGTGATGACGCCTCGAATGCTTGTCATATGGCCCGGACTTGGATGGCACTGAAAATAGCGAGGTGGATTCCGGTTTGAGATGCGGTTTTGGTACGTATATTCTCGATGGCTCGGATTACTGTAGGGATGCCTTGAGTCCGAGACAATAGCCGCCTTGTCAGCGAGATGCGAGACACCCCAGCATGGTCAACTGAGGACTGATCCGAGGCACCATCAGATTCGGCTCGCGAACTCGGATGGGCCAGGAAAGACTTGTCACTTCTGGGAGAACGATCCGAGCGGGCAAGGTGGCAGATCAGGGTCAGTGTCTGTAAATGATGGCGCTATTCGGGTGCCCATGGTCGTACACTCCAAGTGGACGCCTGAAGTCTGGGGGGCCACGATCCATCAGGCACAAGGCCATCGTTTATGTCCTCTCCAAGGGGGTTTCTTCGTGCGCTAACTCGGTTCGGGACACTCTTGAGCAGGTGTCTGAGGGGATCCCTCGTAAAAACAGTTATTGCCGCTTTTGGGGGAGTCACGGGTCACTGACATTCATGCCCCGGATTCCCTGGAAACAACGCTGAAGATACATTGATCGGACTTCCCCAGATAAAGTGATTTAAGGTTGGAGATAAAGTTGCATGAAACTAAGTTGATCAAATCTACCACACTTTTCCAACGTCTTCTCAGCACACAAGTTTTCTCTCTTCATCTGGGATATCGCAGAATTCGCCATGCCATCGGTCTCGGTGCCTGTCAAGAATTGTATACCCTCACCACCTATCCTCATTTGAAAGGTCAACCTTCAAAACCTTCGCTTTCGGACCTCCACCTGTCTCGAAATGCTTTGCCAGATCTGCAAGACGTGGACTCAGAATACACTTAATATTCGCCGCGACCTGCTGTGTGACAGCGAGGTACCTTCTTCGCCGAACAAGGCCAAAAGCCGAAAGCCATGGTTCTCAGCATAGATACTGTAGTCTGCGTTCCAAGAAGTGCAACCCATCAACCGCTTAAAAAGCGACCTTAGTGTGTCCATCCCAAAAAGCTTCTTCGCACCTGAATGAACGTGGACTGGAGATCCCCGAGTTATGATGCCCGCCACAAGCTTGCGCGCAACTGACACATGTAGGTGCATTCATCTGGTCAGCGACTGACATAGACCGACAGGGCACACGTGGGTGCAGCTTCTCCCAAGTCCAACGCGCTCACTTGGTCATCTAATATGACATGAAATTTTCTCCAGGCATTTAAAGCCCCTTCACCCACCTCAGGTTTCTTTACTCTGCCCTCAGCGACAACGATATTGATATCATCCTAGCACGACAGCCAACACGAAATCAACAACAAAATGGGTATTGTGCTTGCTATTGGCACAATGGCTGCCAGCGCAGGCATCATAGCTGGTACTATGAGCGCGGGCCTTTTAGCCCTCGACTGCAAGGGAAAGCCTGAGTGGCGTTGCCCTGAACCATCACCCGATGACCCGGAAAATATCCCTAGATTAGGACCGGTCGCAATCTACATCACGAACGGCCACAAGGAGTGGCCCAAACTTGATATGTATGAGAAAGCGCCGATCGTCGTCAATGACAATGAAAAAAAGCCACGTTTCGAGACAAAGGATGGTAGAGAGCAACTAGACAAACCCATACTATATCGTCACTATCCAGCGGTGGCACCCAACGGCCAACTTGTGTATGAATTCGACAGGATCCCGACGAAATTCTCCATCTATCCCAATGTGTCGGAGCCACTTTGTATCGCAGGCGTCTCCGTCGTGGACGCTTTGGGGAACTACATCACTGTCTCCGGCAATTACGCTGCACACTGCGGCGCTGGTTGGGGAATGTCCAAAAACAAAGTCTTGGGCGACAAAGACCCGCAATGCATGTGGATTGACAAGTATCAGACGAATGGCATCACGGTCAAAGGTTTCACGTTTGATTTGGTCGCCGAAGAGAAGAATACCAAGAAGACGCACAAGGACCCGGATAAGTACCCAAATGCCCTCTCAGAATTATGCCAGCCGCCCTTCCTCCAAGATCAGAGGATTCAACACAAACGTGACGGTTCTACAGATGCAGAGGACGAGAGGCTTTTTGAGTATTACCCTGGCGAGTTTACGAGTATCACAGCGGAACCGGCTTCCAAAATCGACTTTGGCACCCGTCTCATCAAGAGCAACCTCACCTACAACAGTGCCGTGAACATGTGCCAGGACCAGGCCTCGAAAGGCCCGCATTTCGTGAGCCACCATGAGAAGATGTACTGCGATATGACGGCCAAACGTCTATACTCCCTATGCGAGGCGGATACCACGGGGACGTGCTTCGACGATGACCAAGATGCACTTGTCGAGAGGGGTGGTGCCGCCGAGTTCAGTGTGGCCAGCGTTGGTGCGATCAAGGCGGCAACGGTCAAGACTTTCGAAAAGGTGTCCGTCTGGGAGTAGACGGCAAGAAGGGAACGTTGGGAACCTGGCGTACCCTGGGTCCATGGAAGAGGATGCGATAAGGCCACGGTTGACATGAGTTATGCTGTCTGGGTGCCAGAGCGATGGGGATTTGGAGATCGTCCCTGCCACTGGTCCGAAACGAGATGAAATGACGGGCGGGCTGCAGCATCCTACTGAGTAAGTAATATGTAACGTGGGAACTATCCTGGGGAAATGGGAATGTCTGGAGATGTTACGAATGTGCCTTGTTACCTACCCGCCTCTGGTGCTCTAGCAACCTCTCCGTCCTCCATCGTGACATCGCCATGTGTGCTTTGTAGAACAAGGTACTGAAAGCGTAACACTACTGTATGTCTATCGCCGACCTCAATGTATATGATGAGGATCCAAGGGCCTGCGACATAGGCCTAGCCTGACCTTGCCTTCCGCTACTGGCGCTGTGAACTTAGTAATGTCTCGATTGACCAACAGTGCCGATGTAGCAGTTGAACCTATCGAGGCACAAAGTACAATACTGTATCGAGCGCTGATATTTTACACGATGGTCGCCCAAACTCATTCAACGGTAGAATCTCGCTGCCACGCAGCTCCTTCTGCGGCTACATAGTAATTCAGCATTATCACGACGTCAATACCTAGAGATCGTATCGTCAAACGACTGCTTTTCAGCATAATGCTCCAAAAGAAGGTTTTGACTCTTGATAGTGGCGATATAGCTAAGTCTCTCTGTCAGGTCTAGACCCTCACCGGTAGACTCGGCGATAATCTCGTCCTTAAGACTCAGCTCTAGAGTGGACGAGCGAGTATCGTTTCCGTTGCCAGGTTCCGAGGAGCTCCATGAAGAACTGCTAGAGGAGGAGCTATTGAAAGAGAATTCCAAGGGTGAAGGGCTATCGCCTTTGCAGTAGTATACTGGTTTCCTGGAAGCTCGGGTTCATTTTGTAGGGGAGGTTGATCCTGTGGTGGGCAAAGCATCCAGGTGGAGGAGTGTTAACACCGTTGGAGCGAACAAACTGTATGGGAGTTGCAACAAGGTTCAGTTGTTGCGCACTGAGCGGCTTCGCTTAAGCCGTGGAAGATAGATATACTTATCACCCGTTCCACAGAAACCAAGAGATGCCAACCTGATATGATCAAGGGGACCGCGATTGCCGAGTCAAGGCCGCAATTAAGGACTCGGATTTATCTGGCGTACTTTCGCCTATAATCGGCAGGCTGTTTCGAGACATGCTTCATCGACGAAGCACAATCAATCAAAAACCCCAACGCAAAGAGTCATATTGAGCTCATCCTCGTTGGCATCCTCGTTGGTATCCTCATTGGCATCCTCGTTGGTATCCTCATTGGCATCCTCGTTGGTATCCTCATTGGCATCCTCGTTGGTATCCTCATTGGCATCCTCGTTGGTATCCTCATTGGCATCCTCGTTGGTATCCTCGTTGGCTGTAGCTTCAAGTTGTTTCCTCGACGGTCTCGCTTTGAGGGACGCTAGCGTACTCGTGGTAGATCTGGAGTACATAGTATAGCGATGATGCCAGGGCCCAACCCCCGAAGGAGAGGGATGTTCTGACTCGGAGTCAGCATTTCTGAGCATAGCATGTGAATACTGTAATTGTTCTTGACCACTTACGGTTTGAAAATAAACTGGGTGACACGATCGTCCTCTTCCCATTTTGATATACATACAGTAGTATCCTTACGCATTCTCGAGAACTTGCGTTCTCCATGCGCCTCCCCGTCCTGGATCTGTCTGACGATGGTCGCGAAGTCTAATCCCCTCAACGATATACTACCTCTATGATTGTATATAGGGACATTAGAGTTACTAGTATCTCGTGATGGGTGTACTAGTACAGAGTACAGTACGTAGTACCTCGCCTCGTATAAGCGGGCTAGCTTAGAGCCAGTCTGAGCTAGCTCTAGGCTAGCTCTGGGCCAGTACTGATCTGAACCTAGGCCAGCTCGCGCTCAGCCCGGGCTAGTATCGAGCTGGTGCCGGGCTGAAATCGGGCTGAGCTCGAGCCACAACCGATCTGGGGGCTTAGCTCGCCTGGGACCCAGCTCGGGTCGTGGTGATGAGATCGAGCCAGATCCAGGCTGGATTCGGGCTGGATGTGAGTCAGAACCAGGCTAACTCGAACCAGCTCGAATTGATCCGATTCAACATGCTTCCGGATCGGTTGGGCTCGAATCAAGCCCATTTCCAGCCTGGGTCAAATCGGATTGGTGGTGCTTAAGTCGTTGAATCGGTCTGAACCGATTTAGTTCTTGCCTGTGCAGTTAATGTTGGTTTTTCTGGACCGATGCGAACGAACCGTACTGTACTAGTACATACAGTACTACTTAGTAGTATGTACAGATCATGGTTAAATCAGAGAGGGGAGACGGGCAATGTGCGACTGTGAGAGAGAGAGGCGGAAGGCACGACTGACAGCAAAAGGAAAGAGCGACTGCGAGACTTGAAAAATCAAAATTTGAGATCGGAAGGATACGACTTTGAGAGCTGGAGGATACGATATTTAGACGACCTGATCCAATATGCAGCATATGAATCTCTGCTAGGGGCTTAGCTGCGCTCAGATCTCCCTGGAAACTATGTTGCGCGGTTAATCTAGGTGTGATTGGAGCTGCGGACCAGAAAAAGTGGTACTCCCATTCAAAATCACGATGAAAATTTCTTGTGACGCAATTAGGTCGCTGACACCTCTCCGTTCATCCAGTACTGCTACGCATGTCCCCCAGACAGCAGTCAGGGCCAGGACAGTCTTGCTCTGAATACCCAGTGATTTGTAGAGTGTCGTCTGGTAGTACTGAATCACATTGACACCAGTAATGGCGGTTAGGACCTGGACCGAGATAGACACCAAGACGCGCCGACGGTAACGCTGGAAGGCACTCATAAAAGAAGGGCTGCGTTGCTCCTGTTCAAAGGCGATTTGTGACTTCATCAAGGCAAACTCCTGCTGCACCTCGTGGGACTGGAGGTCACGTCGGACCCGGATGAATGCGCCGCGTGCTTCTTCGACCTTGCCCTGCCTGAGGAGGTGACGTGGCGAATTCGGCATGAAGGTGACCAGACCAATGAACATGATGACTCCCCATGGAATCTGCAAAGCGAGAGGAAGACGCCACTGGAGCTGTCCGTAAGGGGCATAGTTGCAGGCAAACCCTACCCAATTCGATACCATGATGCCGCAAGACAAGTTGACTCCAGAAAGACCGCCGATAAAGCCACGGTGTCTGGGGTCACTGATTTCGGACAGGTAAACTGGGACCGTGGCACAGAAGGACCTGATTCAGCAAGACGTGGTCAGTGGCTTGATTGGGGCTTACGACTCTCCAGATGAGGCGTTATATGCTTACCCAACTGCAATTCCCGTGAGGATTCGCCCAGTGAGCAGCATGCCAATATTGACTGCAGCCGTCTGTATGATGCATCCAATCGTGACAATGACACAAAGTAATTCCATGTAACGCAAGCGGCCCAGCTTGTCCCCGATGGCGATCTGCAGGAGCGCACCGACGGCCTCGCCACCGATGTAAATTGCACCGACCTGCCTGTTGTCAACGATAGCATCCCGCCAAAAACTCGCGTGTACATACAGCACCAGCAAGGGCTGGATCGGGATGGTTCATATAAGCAACCCAGCTTGGGTGCGCAATGGCTATCCGCGCTGTTAGTCTCGCCGCAGATCGCTGGGGACTCACTTCGACTGACTAGTAGTCACAATGCCTGTGTCATATCCCTGTCGAGAACGGCGCTGTCAGCACGACAGAGCAAACATCCACCCTTGCGTTGTTTTACTCACATATAGGAACTGAAAGTGCCCAAACTGGCGAAAAGGGCCACGCCCAGGGTGTATCTGTCGGCGTTCATCCTGTCCGGGCTCCAGTCGTCCAAATCGTCTCGAAAAGCAATAAAGATGTCAGGAGGTCGAGGACATTGCGGGAGATGCAGCACTAATAATCATCTCAAGAGGCGGCTGGAGCGATTAGCACCTCTTAGTCTCGCATGTCAAATCGTGGAGGATCACCGGACAACGGCCGCCCCCAAGACAGGGCCCAATGTTGGCATCTGCAGTTTTGCGGAGGATTCATGATCCGGGCTGCGGGGAATCCTGTGCCCCAGCACGGCTCCGTGGAGAGGTCCCGGCATTGCGGTTCATTATCCCCCCGGGCCAACGATGGCCTTGGCCCAACGTTACCGCACCCTCAGGGGCGGGTTCTCTGGTTGGTCCTGTATTAGGACCGGGAGCTGTGATACTGAGTACATACTTCTCGGCAGGATCAGAGAAAGTTGCTCAAATAGGTGGAACGCAACAATCTAGGTTAATCAATTTGGCACGCATGGATCTGGATAATGGTGTCTGGATCAAAAGAAGGTGGATCTGGTACATCTAGTTGTCCGTTTCATGTGTTTTTTGAGGAACGAATGTGCCGGTAGAGTCGACCTCAATGGCACCAATTGCAGGTCCTTCTGAACCAGAGCCTCGAGTAATGGCCTCATCTTGGCTGCCAAAGCCGGCTGCGCGCCACCTCAACGTTCACCGGTTTCGAAGACTGGAACAAATATGGTGCTATACAGATGATGCGCGGACTCAAAGAATAGTTAAGGACCCAGGTTGACCACTTACATAGACAGGCTGGTGCAGGCAAGACTTGGGCGACGGAAACAGGGAAATTGCCCGATTCGCTCGCAACGGCGCGTGCTTAATTGGGTCGGCAAGCATCGTCGCTTGAGGGACCACGATAAATACTCAGACCTCTGGGAAGAGTGCTTGCGAGATGTTACTCACTTTTTTTCCCCGAAAATAACATGATTTCCCTTGTCGCGGAAGTCGCTGGTCGTTATTCGTGGCTTCTCCAAAGAAGATATTAAGAAGGGTTGGAATGGCGGTGGGAAGTGTTTCTCCCTTTATCTCTTTATCATTGACTTCGGTCCGATGTTCCGATGTTGACGTCAGAAGAAGATTCTGTCAGCAATCATTCTTATCGCAATAGGAGGTAAGGAGTACCGACCTAGGTAATTACTACTTTGGAGACTACATTCTTTCTTTCTTTCTCTCTTTGAACACACGAAGATTCATATCGGTCCAGTATGCTGTGTAAATAGCTTCATCAACAATCAAGTGCCGCCGGCACGTCCCTTTGCTTTCCTTTGTCCGGCAAGCTCACACGATGTCGTTCATTTCTTGGGCGTTAGAAGCCGCTAGATTTGGAAGGCGGCCATCTGAACAGGAACCACTACTTCAGCATGCATCTGTACCTGATGCTCTCGAACAAGCACAGGAACCTCCACTGGGGAAAGCTGGAGCAACAAAAGATGGCGAGGGTTTTGCACTGAAGCTCCCGGCGGTCATGTACTCATGGTTTGCTGTTGGTATAAATACGGCCTCCATTGGGGTGAGTGAAAAGTCCTTATCTTTAGATTTCAACTTGCTGACTGGTACATGCAAGGCACTTCTCCCGCTGGTATGTGTACTCTCGGACATTGAATCCGAGCGCAACAGGCAAACTGACATCCACCTAGATCGAAGCTCATTACAACATCAGAGATGCAACAGCAGCTTTGATATTTGTCATCGCGGTGTCAGGCTACCTCTTCGCAACTACCCTTGTTCACGTCGTGCACGTGCATCTTGGCCGAAGAGGAGCTTCGACATTTACCTTTATTGCGCACCTTATCGCTGCAGTGTTGCTTTCGATGAGCCCGTCGTACGCAATTACTCTCATGGCCTATTTCTTAGCAGGCATGGGAGCCGGATTTTGTGATTCCAGCTTCTGCACCTGGGCGGCAAATGTGACGAACCCGGACAAGATCTCGGGACTCATCCATGGATCCTATTCCATGGGGTGTGTGGTCGGCCCGATGATTGTCGCCGCTCTCGCGAGCGCCGGGTTCTTGTGGCAGACATTTTATTTAGTCATGGTAGGTTTGAACAGCCCGTACCTGAGGTTGCTAACAGCCTGTCAAGATAATTGCCTTCGGCATCGAGGCCATTACCTTACTGGCGGCCTTCCGTCATGACGATGGCCTGGCATATCGATCTCACACAGACCAAAAAGACCCTGGCGAAGTCGGTCTTGCTGGCAATGGGAAAGCTATCATGCTGTGCAGCCTATACTGCTTCCTTTACGTAGGCGTTGAAAGTACAGTCTTCTTCCACCACCTACTTTGATCCCAGCTAACGATAGTATCAGCATCAATGGGTGGTTGGCTGGCAACATACTGTGCCCGGGATTTGCATGCCACCCCTTCCGTTGCCGCCCTTGCAACCTCATTGTTCTGGACTGGTATGGTCCTCGGTCGCTTCATGCTTGGACCTCTTGCAAGACTGGTGGGCCTCCGCGGTCTGGTGTTGATTTTCGGTTGCATATCAATTGGACTGCAGCTGTTGCTCCGATCGCAGGAGAGCTTGCCGCCTACGTTGTGTCTGGCAACCGCCATCGGCTTCGTCTTGGGTCCTCATTTCCCGTCTGGAATGCTTATGTTAACAAGGAGGCTGCCCAAAAGCATTCACGTTCCAGCCGTCGCCATCACTTGTTCGGTCGGCCAGATCGGTGGTGCTGGTGCACCTTTCATCATCGGACTGGTTGCACAGACTTCGGGAATTCAGCGCATGTTCGATGTTGTTCTGGGGCTCTCATTCGCCTATCTACTGGTCTGGCTTTGGTTCTCCTCGCCTCAGGATACTTCAAAGGAGGCTAGTGAAGCTCATTAGGTTCACTTCATGCATTGTGTTCACCAATCAATGCCACTCAACAGCTGCACGAAGTCGGCATAGTGCCGAGGAGGATCGTAGATTTGCTTCTCGCTTGTTCCAAGATTTCCTTGTGCCACCCACCCGTTGACGATCATTTTGCGTCATTCGCATGTGCAGCTTGCCTAAAAACCCGCGCCTCAGGTACCCCGGAAGATGCATCCGCGCCGCCACAACACCATATTTATGTCTACCCAGACTCCTGGAACATACCACGAATCCATTCGTGTCACTTGTCATTGTCATTGAAGAGTACCAGGATAGGCAAGATGTGGTTGACAGATTACGCCCACAGCCTTGTTGATTACTGCTTGGCACCCGTCAAGTTAGTCCAAAACCGCGAGATCGAATGTTGACAGTAAAGCGCAAGAATGGCAAACCTATCGATTTTAGCAATTGTTCAATCATGTTGTAGGATCTACACGCCACATAGTACGTGGCTGGATGTATTTCATGCATATATGATGTGCTCACGCAAGGTACCGAGCACGAGGTAGTAAATGCGGAAGGATACGAAGTGGCGTAGCCTCGTGACTGCTGACAGTCCAGAGCCTTGTAGATCTGGGGTTGGTGGCTGGCTGAGCCGGGACACCCACATGGCAGCTCTTTTGCACGACACACCAGAGGACAATTCAGGTGCACCTCGTTCAATTGTGCATTATAAATAATCATTGATCATTAGGGGAAGACTATACTATCTTCGTGAACGCATCACACATAAAGTGATGCACCTTTTCTCTCTAGACTTTTTTACGCTCTGAAAGCTGACGCAGTGGAACCGTAGTACGGGTTGGGTGGCACGCTGCCAGTGTAGTTGCCAGTCTGGGTGGTGAAATCTCCCATTTGGGTCAGACTGGAGATACGACCGAGAAGGAACTCGAGTTGTCGGTACGCCGCACCCGGCACGTATTGTGGGATCTCGTGGCCAGCAAGGTCAACCGTGACAAACGTCAGTCCACGCTCGGTGTGCGTCTTGCCCAACAGACCACCACCACCGACTAGACCGACGGGGGTAGCGGGGATGGGCTGATTCTCAGTCTCTTCGATAACCATGCCGATCGAGGGGTTGTAGGGAACGAAGAAGTCGTCGTTAATGCCAGAGGAGAAGCCCTGCTTGCCGTTCCAGGTCATGTTGTTCAAGGTCATGAGCGTGCCGTTGGTCAGCAGCAAAAAGTCCAACATACCGCTACCGACGATGACATTGTTGGTGAGCTCGATGACGTGAGGAAGGGCCGTGAAGCTTGAGGGTTCAGACTGGTCACCCTCGGGGAAGAGCGTGTCGTCACCGCAGATGGTATAGTCGGTGGTAGGGACATGGAGAGCCTTCTGAACATCGGTGCGGTTGAAGTAGTTATTTGGACCCTGTGGTACTAGTCAGTACATGCTCTTGGTCTCAAAGCGAAGAGTGGGGGCTTACAGATCCGAGGGACGGGAAACCCAGCTCGTCCCAGAGGAAGGGGCAGTAATCGGTTAAGTGATAGATATTGAAGCAAGGGTTCACGTAGATAGCAGCAGTCACAATGTCGTCCCATACCTCACAGCCTGTGCAGTGTTAGAGGTCGACATCGATGAGTGGTTGAGAGCGGCGCGACATACCTGGTGCGGTGACATTGGGAGCAGTGAATTTGCCCTTTGGTGGGAAAGTCAATGCTTCTTCCATGAAGGAAAAGTATCCGCATGTCTCGGCGCGTTGGTTGATCTCGGTCAGGAAAGTCTGATTGAGAGCGAACACGTTTTCGTAGTTGTTCAAATGCGTGACCGCAGGTGCTTGACCGAGTCAGTCTCAATACCAAAAGCACAGCTCGGGAACTGCTTACCATAAATCAGGACCGAATCAAGACCGATGCTGGGATCATTGATCTGGATTCCCTTCACGTTGTAGTAGTCGGTGTTGTTCTGGTCCAGGAAGTAGCTTGCAATGTATGGAACGTACATGCCAGCATAAGACTCGCCGGTAATGTACACTTTCCTGCCGGTCATATTGAAGGAAGTCATAAAGTTCTTCCAGAAACCTGCAAATTGTTCGGCAACCTGTGTCTCGTTCATGATCTGAGCAGGTGCCCCAGGTGCTGCCTGGGAAAGACCGGTGCCGATCGGCTGGTCGACATAGACCATGTTTGTCAGATTGGTCCATGAGAAGGGGTTTGGCTGGGGGGCGTAGGTGCCGGACTGCCATAGGAAGGGACCATGCTCCTGGAGCAAGCCATCAAGAGAACTGCAACCTGGGCCGCCGTTGAGCCAGATGGTGACTTCGTCAGAGGCATCTGGATTGTCGGAGGGGAAGAACCAGAAGAAGAGCTCGTTCTCGTTGGTAGCGTTGGCATTGATGGACAAGAGGCCGGCGTACGACTCGCCGATGTCGAAGTCTACCAGAGGAACTCCGGTACCGTTGACAGCGAATTCTGTCCATGTTAGTTGTTTACCTTCATAGGCTTGGAGACTTCTGAAGACATACTTTCAGTCTTTGGTGTCAAGTAGGCAGGTGAAGCCCTCTTGGTCAAACGTGCGTTTTCTGGCGCCGCTCGAGGTTTAAGGACCTTGTGCTCAGCTGCCTTCTTGTGAGGGTTTGACACACCGAACGCGGCAAGAGCGCCGGTCGCAAATGATGCTGCCAGGAGACCTGAGTAGCGCATTTTGTCGAAGTGGGCGCGAACGTGGGAGAGCAAACAAACAGACGCGCGAGGGTCTTGCAGCTTTAAAACAAAAAAAACCTACCGACCAAGTCATGAAAGCCCGGGCATGGATATGCACCTCCCATAGACGTCGTAGGGTAGTTCAATGACGTACAGCATCATCTTTAGATAGGAAGGTTGCATTGGAGGCCTTCTTCATTCAGGGCCATACAGGCACGACAGCCTGCAGGATGGAAGCTAATAAGATAGCGATGCTTGTTGTTGCTTGTTCGCCCCAGATTCGCGTGGAGCAAGGTAGACAATCCTTGCCTTTTGGAGCAGGTCGCTTGATGGAGACCGAGGGGTCGACCTTGAGTAAGCTTTGCCAGGTAGTAGTGGCGAAGAAAGAAGCAATGCACGCCGTTCACCGTCGGTATTGAAGGTAGATACAGCTGGTGTTCATATGGTTTGCCCATGAGTGTATGATTCTGGTCAAGACATACAACGGTACGAGAATAGCGATCAAGCCTCCATCTGAACAAACACGAGAAGGACAAGAAGAGATCTTCACACGATAAAAAGCTAGGTTACTGAAGGGCAGCTAAGGCACGAATCTCACCCATCCATACCTCGTGTGGACCCTTTGAGTTCCCGTCCTTCCCTTATCATGCATAGTGTGTTGTTTATCAAGGTTATCTTTCTTTCTTCTACCCCGCATCAGTGAGGGGAGGCCGGACTAATTTAGTTAAACATCACGTGCTGATGCTGCCTGCACTCTAATTTCTCTCGACTCGACCAACCACCTCACACAGATACATGTCTTATCGGTCACACTGCCTTTCAATGCTACCTCAGGTACGGAGTAATCGTACTGTAGTACGGCGTATCGTTCAGTCTCTCGCACACTATACTCAACTGATCACCACTCGTCAAGGAAGGACACTCCACTGATCCTCTCACCCTCAAGCTCCGCTTCTGCTCATGCCGGCAGGTCGCCGGTCAGAACCTTCCAACTTCGTCCTACCCTCCTCACAATGCCTCGAATAAGCGATGACTACCGTACCTGGAAATGTACGAAGCCGTATACTCGTATTCAGCCGAGATAACAGAGCCGAGCCACGTCCGCACCTGCATTTGCAGCATCTGCAGATCTAAGTTGCTTTGTCTTCTGGGCACCTACCTGCTCAGTCGGAGATTACTGTCTCTAGGAAGATTATTAGCAGAAGATGACGGTCAAAGAAGACATGGGACTTTTACGGTAACACTCGTATATGCTGTAACACAGTTACATTGCACTGCGACAATCACGCCCAAAGCTTGGGTGAGGAGCACCAGCATTCCCGAATGAACACTCCTGGCGTCAGGTAAGACAATGTCAAAGATCGTGTAAGTGGGAAAGGATGCTTTAGTGAAACTCTTGCTAGCTGCTTGTATGTGCAACAGCTGTGGAAACTCATCACTGGCAGAGTGTACAAGCCCGACGCCCGAGTCCAACCTAATCTTGCAGAAGCACCAGGCACTTGCCTCCGTCACGCACTAACCATGGATATGGACGCCTCCTGGGGTGCCAATCCTGCAGGAACACGATGAAGCCGAACCTTGGCTTGGTGTCCAACGATAAGAGTCCAGGGTCACGGGATTGCATTCCAGAAGCACCATGGAAATCTAGCACAAACACTGACAGATTCACCTATCAAATGACAGTGCCAATCGTTGAGTACCACCAGATAATCTTTCTCGGAAAGGCCATGGCCCCTCCCGGTGAGCACGATACCACATCGTGCGAAAAACCCCCACACCGGACAGCTCATGTTCTGTTTGTTGCGTTCTGGCCGATCGTCTTTGAGCCGTCGATGTCAGAATCGACACGGGGATCGAGTTTGTCTAGACCATACCCAACATCAATCCTCACCGCAATCATACCAGACAGACAACTAAACTCGCTGGCAAATATGGATTGAAGAGGACCTGCAGTTTTCTGAGCCGGCCCTATACCTGCGGGCGAGTCCGCTTCAAGTGCGTTTGCTCTCCGCTGGCTAAGCCCTCCGTCCCTCATACCAGAGATAGGCGTGTTGGTCATTTTCGACTCTTGCGAGCACTGGAAGACTGCGAGGCAGTGCGGTCGGACTCATCGGATCCTTAAGTTTATGCCTCTTTCGCTCTATTCACAAGCTTGGACATTGCGAAAATTCGATTTGTGCTGCGGAGTTCTTCTTTTCCCAAGGTCACCCGGTTGAGGACTTGTTGGCCAAATCTAAATACTGCAGCGCAGGCGAGTCTGTGATTTCCACGCAGATTCTCGTTCACAGGGATCCTGAACTACTTAACCGCCTCACCCAGGCGAAGGACGTTATGAGAATGCTCAGAAGACTTGTGGCGAGCAAGCTCACTGCCAGAGTGACGTCTCTGCTTACGTTGAAGCAGCCTCCTCTGCACTCACTGCTGTGTTGAAATGAGGACTACGCGCTGGCTTCCTCTACAGCCATTATCCTTACCAAGATGTTACTGTTATTCGTCAACTTACACAGGTCATCCACTCAGGTCCACTGGTCCCGTGCGGAGAACTCATCTAGTACGGTAAGGCCGTTAAAATCCCCTTCCACCCATGCTACGGCTGACGTAGACCCTTCGGATAGGATGCCGAGGTGTACAACGATTTCGATGCAACATACGACCATGTCAAGATGGCACTGCAAAAGTGTCCAAACGCCTTTTCGGTAAATGGATGAAGCCTATCACGGCCTTCCAAATCTATGAGAAAAGCGCATCCCGTCCTCTGCTGGGGGACGATTCGTCTCTCGGAAGGTCGGGAGCAAGGCTGCAGTACATTGTTCGTGCCGAACCCAACCCTTGCTCTTTTGGCATTCTTTGTTCGGTGAGAGAACAAAGAACGCGTACTCGATGTACGATCCAAACGAAATGCTAGTACCTCAAACCACTCTCTTCGATCGCGCCAGGGGTTAGATATTCGGCCCCAATGTCAGTCTCATTTTCGTGGGTCGCCCAAGTTTACACGTTCTCTCCTTGATTTATCCTTTCTCAAACTGCCAGTGGGCATGATATTGCGAGCGACGATCACAAGCAAACTTCCACGTACCAGTTGCTTGCCGATAAATATCACTTGAGAAAACGGCCTAGACACATCCTTTCATCCCCTGAGGGTGTCGGTATGTGCCTGGCGCTTATCACAAGAATCTTCAAGGCCGCATGGCAGTCATTCCGGCAGATTGGTGGATCTTTTTTCAAGGTATGAATTTCGTGCTGGCAAGGCATTTGCTGAAGAGGCTGCTAGGTGCACAAAAGCGGCGCGCTCGCCGAGGACCTTGATGACGACTATGCAAACTACAGGGCACGCTATCAAGGTGCTTCGTCAGATGCCGAGGTGAGTACATCACGCTGGTAATAATAACAGCAGTCTCGGCATGTTGACACTCTTTGATTGATTCAGTCACTATCTTCATTCGAAGGGAACTTCACGGACTCGTCTTAGTGGCAACCAGCGAGGCCACATTCTCAGAGGAGGCACGAAATGCGTTCGGGCCAAGAGGCTATTTACCGTCCATGCCTGTGGAAAGCACCCCGACGCAGCGACTCGTCTTACGCTGTGACCACATCGTCCGAGTCCTGCAAGATGAGCCTGGGGTCGAAGCCGGCCTGACTTTGGAATCAATCTCGGACTCTATGTTCTAACCGTGCCACCACAAACGGCATGCCAGAAGCCATGATGCTGAAATTCGCCTCTTCAGGAGGATCCACAAATGCCACCTATTCTAGCCTGGGCCCAACCTGTCTCTCAGGTCATTGTGATACTGTCCGGACCTAGAAGCCTCCGCCGACCATGCCAGCCAATGCTTCTTCTCGGCACGATTTATCGTCCTTTCACAATCCCTGGCCTCCCTCTCTGAAAGATAAACGATCTCCAAGTCAGTCGATTCGCGCTGATTCATTGCAGCAGACTGGATGTCCGCATCCCGACGGACATGTATGGCACGCCACACAGCGTCTTTGATGCTCTCGGCCCACGTCGTATAGCCGTGGCCGCGCTGGAACACCACTTTCTGCTCGGGAAGGTCCGTTGGTCCGTCAAGCAGACGCATCTCATCGTCATGCGACTTTCGGAGCATCTCGGCCAAGGCGTCGCCGAGGAATTGGTTGCTGATCAACAAATTGTGCGGGTGCGACTGCGGCAAGTAGTCGTAGAAGCTTGCGGTGTCAAAGATGGGTGGTGACGAGCCCAGAAACCCGGCCATGAGATAGCTGGGTTGCAGCATACTGTTCCAACTGTTGCAGAGGCCATACAGGATGGCGCTCAGACAGTGCGAATGTATCACGCTCTGTACGCCCGGGTACATGGCGTAGATGGAGCTGTGGGCGTAAAGCTCCATGTCTGGGGCGGCGCGCTCCAATTTCAAGCACCCATCGTGAGGGTCTTCTACGGGCGAACCGTCAGCAACATGCCATTGGCTCAGATCGCTTTTAGCTGCGACCAGAATCGCTGGTACATTGCTGGTGAAGAAGGTGGTGGGGTCGCGCGGATGCCGGACGGATATCTCGCCGTGTTCATCGACAACCTGATGCTGGTGGAGGATGTGGAATGCTGTGATGAGATCCGAAAGGGTTTGATCCACGAAGTCGTCCGCCATTTTCGAGGCGTTGACCGTCTATTCAGTTCATAAGGTAAAAATCTGTTGTCGTATGCGGCGCCGTCTATCAGATGTCTATCAGATTGAACCACAAGGCTGGAACTGTGGTGCGGCCAGCTAGCTAGCACTGTTGCCGTAGGTAATATGACGCGGGATAGTCCTGGCAAAACACCAAGCACTTTCGCTCTTTTCTCGATCAAAGGTCACAAGCAAATTTTCGTTTTCAGATCCGAGGCAGATGCAAGGGTATATTTAGGGACTTCTGTTGAGCCTTGGGGGGCGCAGGCCTAGAGTTTCAAACGTGATCGCATATCTACGTCATATATGGGCTTTGTGCGCCTCTAGATTCGAGTGACCTACGAGTCAGACACCTTACTCTTGGCCTCTTCCGAGGAGGGCATCAATCTACTCAGCAGGATCAGCAGTGCTCTTTGTACCAGATGTGGAATGTGGGATTGTATTCCGCAGCGATTGTTAGTGGTTCCCGGGGAATGCATCTCCTGGGCCCGTCATTGGTCGCTTATCTGGATCGCCCTTTTCAACGGCACAAATGCTCCGATCAAGTTCCGGGTCATGAACGACGGGATTTATCCCCAGGACTCATGGCACAGAAGTAAGTCGCAGCATGGGGACGCCGTCGGAGAAACGCATTGCGGAAGACATCTGCGACGCGAAGACACCACAAAGAGGACCAACTGTAAGTGGTGAGCGGTGAGCGATTCCAGACAATGAGTAGCCGAAGACTGACACATAGGCCTTGCGACTGGGGCCGAAGGAATGGGACAGCCCCAAAGAGACTCGAGAGATCAAGACCAGTCTACCAGATGAAGAATCCATATTTGAAGCTAAGCACTGTGGGAAGATGCTCCGGCTTTCTGGCGTGAATATGTGTACATTCTCGCTGGACATTCTGCTTGAGCATTCAATCGAGGCAGTTCAAGCCGCCGCGACATGCAGACTTGCGACGAGCATTCTGAGCGGCATGGAGACAAGAAGATTGACGAAAAGATCAATTGAAAACAAACACATTTGATCAAAACATGGAGGCTGCGGCTCAAATGCTGGATGACGTCATCGGCCTTTGCCATCAAATCTCAGCTTTGTTTTTGTTATTCCAGAGCCTGCCTGGTATTCATGACTCAGGAACTTTAGTAAAGTTAAGCACGATCTAACCGGATAATCTAGCCGCAAAGAAAAAACGTTTGCATCATTATTTAATGTCGCGGAAATTTGTCACAATTCGGACTTGAGAATTCTCGGGACGGTTCAAAAATGGTTTCGTGGCCCAATGGCAAGGCGCTTGACTACGAATCGTGCGTTACTACACTTCCCCCCAACAATGCTACATAACTGACAATCCTCGAGAAGAGATTGTGTACGTGGAATCACTCTCAGGCATTGAGCACCTTAACTAACGCTGTATCAGGGGTTCGATCCGTAAGTCTTAGTTGTTTGCTTTCGTAATTCCCTTTAACACTCTTCCAGCCACCGAAACCTACATTAACGATTTTTTTTTGAAGGGCTTTTAGGGGGTGGGGATGCTTACTTGGCAGCCCTTGCATAGTGTGCCGTCGCATACGTGCCCTAGATACTCCGCCGCATACTATGTGCTGTTGGTATGCTGTGCCGTACTCGTTGTCTTGGTATTCACAACCAGCCCCCAACAGTCCGGACCGGTTGAGCATACTGGCGCTCGATACCACGGCACCGGGATCAAAGGACCACGCGGCTTCCAAGTAGTGATGTCGCTCGTATGGTTTGTAGCATGCGTCTATTGCGCCTACCCTTGAAGTACCAGGCTCTACGCTTCAGACTTGTACTCCTTCCTGCTTTGACCCTTGTACCGACATAGGTCAAGGGAATATTCATCTGTTATCAATCAACTGCTGTACTTTGCCCATTCGACCAAGGCCCTGAGAGCATCTCTATTATGTCTCTACGCTGTTCCCCTTCCACTACTATTTGACTTCACGAAGAATAATGTCATACAATGCAGCCGCGGGACTATGTATTGCTACGGTTGTGGCCGCGAAGGTGTGACAAGACACTCTTGCCCTTCTTGTCCTTGCAATTTCTGTGCAAAGGGTCATTCGACGTTAGACTGTCCAAAGTTAGTCGGACGTAATCAGTCTCAACTACACAAGGGCAATGCACACCGTCCCGCCCAGTCAACCTTCGGCCGTCCTCAGCTTCCACCGTCAGGAAATACCAATACCAACGGAGTATCACAATTCAACGCTCGTCGGCGACCGCCAGCGAAGTGGCGGCATCAGAACCCGTCGTCGTCGACTGCACCTTCAGTATCCGAGAATAGGCCGGCCCGGCCTAAACGACAGACTGTCGCAGTTGAGTTTAGTCAGGACGAAAAGGATCGCGCTGCTAAGGCAGTATATATACACGACACAATTTCTTTGCCGCCTTTCCGTATACTTGCGGAATATATGTTTAAGCATTATATTCCGAAACATGTCCGCCGGCTTTCAGTCATTACCGATCCTACTTAAGAAATACCGATTTAAGAGAAATATTGGACGATCTGATCTCTGCGATTGATCCAGCGATACTCACTCTTGAGGGTCAAGACATCGACCGTAGTACCCTGGAAAGAGTCAAAGAAACTCAGTAAGAGCAGCCTGGCTTATTTGACTGCGATGGTGGATATATAAGTTTCATTGCGGATATCCGAAGTTATGGATACTTTATGTTATATATTGGTCAAGGACAAGTCATCAGAGTTCGAATCAGCCAACATAAGGAGAATATCGACTTCGGATATATTACGTCTCTACACTACTATATCATATTAAGCGGCGGTAAATCTCGAACAACGAACTTTATTCGACTATATCGTCTTCACTCAGATTCATTGCTAATCAAGGAAGATACCAAAAATCAGCAAGTCGAACAACTCAATGAAGTACGGCGGACTCTACTAGAGCTTCTTATGACGCTAGCCTTTCAGACGCTGCCAGCTAAAGAGCTACGTCAATGGCTTCCTAATAACTTTATCAAGTCTCCTTTTCGTACCTTACACCTAAACGTACTAAACCCTCTTTATCAGATCAAAAAGGGGTTCGCTACCGTCGAGGTTCGACAAGCAAGTCGAGACCAACTACTCTCATCAGATGACCCACAACTAGCCTTATGGCCCGATATCAGGAAGCGGCAAATACATGATCAAAAAAAACAGCAGACACAGAATCTCGGTCCATACCCTAAGCTATCTCAGATGGGCGATATCTTACAGACCACCCTTGAAGATAATCGATATACCCTAGGAGATATCGATATTCCAATCTTTCCACTTAAGCCTCTCTTCGATCAAATACGAGAGGCTAAGTATTGAAGCTAGACTTCGCCGACTTCGAGATCAAATACAAGATACGGAAGCTAGCCTATCTTCTGATGGTTTCTAGACTCCCGTGAGCGATTTAAACAGTCCACTATGTATAGTGTTGAATCAAGCTTTACTCCCGAAACACGATCGTTCGGACTTCGCGAACAGTTTCTTACCTATTACATTTGACCGAATGGGGCTGACTGATGGACAAATATTGATATGGCCTTTTGACCTTCGAAATCCATCAAATATTTCTACACACCTTACGGTCCTACCAAGTCAACCTACTACTAGCCAAAGTACGGCTTTCAAAGATTTCTCCTTAGGACTACTTCACGATAGTCGTGCTACTTTTATACTGGTTACAGAGGGACTCACCAAGGAATATCTCTTTGACGCCAACCCTCTTCTTTCAGCCGAATTCCAGATAAGTCTACGATCATTCAAGGTTAAGGCTCGCCTATTTATACGCGATTACAAAGTACAAAAGATCATTCTAGTTATCCCTGATCTAGAACGTCTATACGTTCAGGGCGACTGGAGAAGCTGTCAACGTTTCACACATAATCTCCGTATGGCTGCTTTACTTAGCGGAGTTCAAGGTAATAAGAAATGGAAATTATTCGAGCACGGAGGTGCTCATTCAATGATCCTTCAAGCATGGGCCGCAAAGGATATAGAATCGATAAGCTTGAATACGCTTGATCATTTCATCGTGGATTGGCTCTATCGCAAAGGTTTTCGAACAGTACACGATATTTAGGAACTCCAAGATATCGCCCCGGCAAAATCACTAATCGAGGCTTGTTTTTTATTGATGATATTTCTTCCGAAGAATAATCTCAAAGAAATCGACTGTGAGGTATTTCGAGTCAGAAAATCTCGTTCACAAAATACGAAAGCAAGAAAGTACACCGAGGACGTTGCTACCGCTATACGACAACTCTTTGAGAAAAAGATAAATATTCTAATCAAGGATGATCCTGACGAGCCTGGCTTATCAGACAGAGCAAAGACACAAAATAATGACCTTGTTATTCGTCCAGCTAATCGGGATCTCGATGGGACGAACGATGGTCCCACTGAAACCGATATAGCTGAAATCATGCCAATGCTGGAGCTGCCGAACATGAAGCCCCAGGTGAACTGGGAGCGTGGGGACATGCGGAACTGGGGGCGGCAGAGACGAGAGGTAGTCAAGAGTCTACTCACCGGCAAAGACAAGTTTGAAGTGAGGGCGAAAAATGACGAATTTCCGTATATTTCATTACGTGGCTGGCGTGTCAGAATCAGGGCAGATTTTCCACTCCACAACATCAAATCCGTCTATGCGAAGGCCGATATATCATCTCCTGACACACAGCATGAACACACGTGCTTCGGAGCGCACCAACCACTCCTACAACGCCTTGCATTCCAGTTTACGGTCATATCAACAACCGGCCAGTCTACACACTGGGCTCGGAAATCCATAGTCAGAACCCCGAACCTGGCGGTAGAGCTTCTTAATGCACTACTTACACAGTATAGTGATAGCGATAAGGAAGAGATACGAGGTGAAGTACATATCTAGGCGATCCGAATCACAATATATATTGCTAGTATAGTCATAGTAGAAGTATCTTTTGTTAGTTATACTATCCCAGTTTAGTTCTCTGTCACCGCTCAAGAAAAGTGTTCAGCATGACACTATTATGTTGCATTGGCAGATCATTAATCTCCTGCGGCTCAGTCGTGAATGTCTCTCCACAACGTTGCTTCACGGACACGAGCATTATCCTGATGATCATGATATTCGAACTCCCATGCATGCGTGACGGTGTGGCTGCAAGCCTCAATTCATACCCGTGTACCGGTGGATCGCTAGCAGGCACACCCTGCTCGTGCATGGCTTTCCTGGAGCACAAGGCTGAACACCCTGTTTTTCCACCTTTCCGTGCCTCGTATTCACGCATTTCCCAGCAGTGGTGCTCGTCTGACCCAATGCTTCTCTTCGACCTCTCTCAGCACCCATCTGACCAGACTAGCGCGACTAAGATCCGTGCCGCCCTCAAAAGTCCGATCCAAACGTCCAGCAATCACCTTGGCGTAAGGATCGTCATTCTTCAAATGAGGCACGCGGAAGACCGTCCACTCGAGCTGATCGTGTTTCGCACCGGCTTTGATCACAGCCTCGGCAATGCCTTTCATCTCTGCATTACCCTGGGGTGCGAAGAGCAGCGGAATCATGGTGTAGAACCACCATTTCCATGACATTTTCTTTCGTTCTTCGGGCAGACAGAATGCAGTAGGTGTGCTGAGCACCAGAATGCGTGAGACCTTGCAGTCTTTCACCGCAGGTAGTATGGCGTGCTGGAAAGCATCCGCGATTGGGTGAGACTGGTCGCGGGTGAGGACTGCCTGCAACGACAGGTAGGCCCCAAGGAATGATATGACCGTGGTTACTGCAGGGAAGGATTTATCTTCCGACGGTGAGAATGCGGTTCGTAATGCCTCCTTGTTTTCTAGACTGCCTTCCATGACGCGAATGCCAGAGTTGCTGGTCGTCCATGGCGGGAGTTTCGTGGCCGAGCTTGGACGGACGTAGAGCGTCAGCTTGGGTTTCTGTGCCAATTCCGAGATGACATCAAGAAATGCGAGACCCGAGGCGCCAGTGGCTCCGAGGAGGAGAATATGTTGTCGGTCCATTTCCTGGGTGGCAGAACTCTCAATGACGAGCTCAATTGTACGGATTCGAGTAGCGAGAGTGTCGATTCCTCACTTCCATGGCGCTGTAGTGTTGGTAGGCCTAAGTATATATGATTTTGGGAAGTGCTGGTATCATTTCTCAGCTGGGCGGATTTCGTCCGTTGTCGGCGTTTTCTCCTCCGATGCCCAAAATCCTACGAAAACCCACTCCACACTGCGTTGCCGTCCGAGACAGTCCCAGAGACTGGAGCGATCGAATTCATAAGACTCATCCAGTACGACTCATCAAAGTCGGTAGGCGTGTTCAATAGAGATACATCAGCCATCGTGGACAGTGTGTCTTCTCCACTAGTGCTTACCGAATGGTACGAGTCGCTCTGTGAGGCTGCCGCTGACCAGCCACTTGGAATCTGCTGAGGATCCCGAGAGTATGAAGTACTGCGCAGAGTTGGCATTGCATCGTGAGGCTGGAGGTCTTGCGACGCAGTCTTGTGGAGTGGACCCGCAAGCGGTAACTGAGGACCAGCCAAGCGTGCTGATGTGGTTGACATGGCAAAGTCGTATACGCCGGGACACTGATACCTGAGCTTACCACAGCACCGTCGAAGTATTGCATGACCAGACCTGGCTATTGGACTGTATGCATCGAGAACTGCATCGGTGAAGCGCTTGCCGCAGAACGTGGTCGACCCGACTTTGGACCTCATTTTCGATGGGAGGATAGATCGCCACAATGCAGGAGAGGAAGATCGAGGCATCCACTGTGTAGAACGACAGCGCAAACGACTTGTACTGCGCGACTGCCGTCAGCGCAAAAGATCGAGCGAGCGACTCGAGAGCTGTGACTGAGGCTTGAACCGCACAACGGCAAGAGTCTGCGTGGTTGGCAACATGGGGTCGGTGGAGAGTCATAAGAAACAAGTTGGCGTATGTGAGGATTAACTCTCGCTGCTGTTTCAGGTAGGGGTACTGCGAGTTCCATGATGTATCAGGGTTTTGGTGCTTGAGTGTTGCGGGAACATCGTCAAGCATAGCTTTTAGCTGATTGTGTAGTCGTGTTATCGTGGAGTAGTCCTTCGGAAAGGGCTTGTCGGCGCTGAGAGCCTTCATCTGCTTGAACATCTGGGATAGTTTGTACAGAAACAGGTTCATCGAAGCAGTGTTTGGGGTACCTTCACTGTCTGCATGTTTGTTTGGCATTGGCACTGTGGTTGATGGGTCCTTTGGGATGTTGCAGTCCATCGGTCGTCAACGTCGCACTCATCGGCATTGATCGTTCGAGGGCGTCCGAGGATCATGGCAATCAAACTAGAAGCAATGCCTGGTAAGGACTAGCTTATGCAAAGGTGGATAGACGGCCCTTACCTGTCCCAAATGTAAAGGTTCATCCATATCCGCTTCTGGTATTCGTGGTACCAAATTCGACTGAGAGTGTTCTCTAAACCTTGCTGCCGAAATTCTTTCGACTGATGGAGGCCAATTTCTTGGGCCGATCTGGCAATCCATTATCAGATCAGTAAGTGGCACAAGATGCTGGAAAGGTACCTGATGGCATTGCCTGTACTGTGCCAAGCATCGACTCCTCGTCCCATGTTCTTCAACCAGGCAGACCTGAGAAGATGTGTCTGGACGACTGTTGCAGCGGAGGCCTGAAACCCGAGAGAACTGAGCAGCTCGATGCCAGTGTCGCTGTAATTGTGGCATAAGGCCAGGTCGTTCTTGGAAAGTCCTTTGAGTGTGGGAGCTTCTGATGTGAGGAACTGAATTGCCAAAGCTAGGACCTGAAACAGCATGGCTGGGAAGTACCGAAGCTCCCACGAAAGCTCATCGGCATTGACATGTTTCGCGAGTGCGCTAGGATCACCAGACCAGCGCTCTAGGAGATCCCGAAAGTAGTACTCTTCCACCATGAAGTAGTACCAATTCACATCCGAGAAGTGAAATGTCACAAGACTATCAATGGCCGGCCGGGAAGGGAGCTGAGCAATAATTGCTTGAGCTTTCGAACTGAACGACGTCGAGAGAGCTGGCTGATTGTGTGCAGAGGCCACAATTTGAAAGTCATCATCCCCGTCCAGGACCTGACAAGTTGTCAGCCGCTGAGACTGACCAGTCCCAAGCAAACAAACGGGAACACTCACATGTGTAAGGCTCATAAATGCATTGCTACCCTTTGCAAGCGAGTAGCCTAAATCACCATTGATTGACTCGTGGCGTTCTGCCCTGGGAGCTACACTCTGGCTTGTTTGTGGCTCCTCGTCGGGCAGCAATAGTCCATGTCGTTCTTTTTCCGAAACTGCATTGCTCAGACTCATCTGTGTCAGTGCTTGAACATTGTGTTCACCAGGACTTAGTGTGTCGAAATAGGAACAACAAAGAAGACTACAAAGTCGAGAACTGCTCAAACCATCTTACCGGAAATCTTCATCGAACATGCACTTGGGCACGACGCCGCGTGCGACGCAGGTGCCACAAGGTCGTTTTCGATCACACTGCAATCTAGTTGGAATGAGACCGGATTGTAATTGTGTCGTAGCAAACCTTTTGCTTCCTCCGATAACATTCTGAACAAGCGTTGCTTACTCCCACCATTATTGACGAAGTATTGCCGCTTTTCCTCTTCTTAGATGCATGATGATCGCCGCCAGCTCCTATGGCGGTCTGACCAGAAGTGGCCATGGTATTGGGCAGCTGAAGTGCACGATCATAGGATGCAGATTGAGAGATACCGTGGTTGCAAGTGAAGATAGATGTTGGGGACAAGCCTGAGGTAGGATTTTGGGAGGGATGAGTTTCAGCCAAGACTGCCTAAATCCCGGCATCAAACGCCTATAAAGTGGCAGCGGCGGTTCTGATTTGTATTATCTCCTTAAATTGTATATCCACCTGCTACTGTAGGTACAGTAGACACTATTTACACATCAAGCCAAATGATGCCCAAAGAACTCAACGAGCTTTGCACCAGCCTCATCAACATGGTCGTAAAGATCAGCATGCGTCAACCTGTCAATGACAACCAACTCCTTCGGCTCCTTCGCCTTGGCCACTCCATCCTCGCTGTACCACTTTGTCGCCGCCTTCGTACCCGTGATCATCAACAGCGGCCTGGGACTGATCATATAGTTATGTGCAAACGCGTCGAAATTAGCCATGATGTCCCAACTCCGCGGCAGGCAGGTATTGGTCGCCCGTGGATGATACGCTCTTGGGGTGCGGTAATAGTTTGCAAGATCCTTGAATGACTCGGGCAAGTCATCCGGGACATCCTCGATTTTTTCAGGCAGCATGTGCAGAATGTCAACTTTTGGTCCGCCCACGTCGCTGTTCCTGTCCTTTGCGGCGTTCTCGAGCTGGCCCTGCAAGACGGACAGATTGGAGGAATCTTTGTCGAACCCTCGTCTGACCATCGTGCCCATATCGACCGCGGCCGACGTGGCGCAGGCTTCGATACGCAGGTCCGTTCGGGCGGCGAAGGGAGCATAGCACCAGACGCACAGATGCCTAGCACCCCGATCTTGTCCGAGTTGACGTCCTCTCGACCGATCAGGTATGTGACGGCCGGTTTGATGTCCTCGACTCGTTGGTAAGGATATTCAAGGTTTCGAGGTTCTCCCTCGGATTCTCCTTGATATGCTGCATCGTAAGCGAGACAGATGAAGCCGGCTTTAGTGAGGACTCGGGCGTAGTTTGCGGGCGACCGCTCTTTGATGGAGGTCCATGGGTGGCATATAATGATGGCCGCCTTGGCACGGTCTGGTGAGCCTGGCTTTGCTGGATAGAAGTTGGCTGCGAGCTTGAGATTGCGGGAGAGGAAGGAGACCTTCTCGGGTGATTCAATTGAACCCATTGTATCGTGATTGACTCAATAACTGATAGCTGTGATTATGGTGTGATCGATGCAACTTACCTTCACGTCTGAGTGTCGTCCTCCCGACTCTCTTATACCTTTCGCAAAAGTACATGCCGACCGAAAGCAAAGGGGGCATCGAGATGCGTCGAGGGATCGATTGATTTTCAACCATCCTCCATCGGACACGGCGGACTAGCTTGCTAGCTGTTGCTGCTTTGATTTGACCATCAGGCACTGCGTGGGAATATCCAGGCAGATTTTGGTGAGATCCAGGTGTTCATACCAAGGCCATTGGCCATGCCCGAAGTGGTACCTTACAAAGACATGTGCGGCTTTTGCAGGGCATAGCATCTACCTTTTCGTGAAACCATTGCTCATCGTCGCATAGCCTTTGTCAGCTCAGGTAAACCGGGGCAATGCACGTAAAAAAGCGTAGGAGAACTGTCTCGTAACTCCGCACCGGTGTTAAGTCAAGGATTTCCATTTGGCTGATTGAGAAGTCTCACCTACCTTCCATGAATCTTTGCTTGAAAACCTGACACTGACGACTGACTGCGTACCTACAAGGGCGATCAGAGTCCTGAGAAGGGCCTGGAAGACATGAAGTCGCTGCGATGGCATGCCAAGAGTGAGCGTTTTCCGACTCAAGACTGCCTTGTCTCAACTCATACCTCCACCGTCCAGGGGATTCAGGGATTTGATATGCCGGACGAGCAGATCAATCATGTCCAAGAAGTAGAGCAGTGCCACTTCAGGAGATGTAGTGCAACTTCTCACATCCAAGACCTCGAAATCGCATCATCTCCACGTTTCAACTCATGCACTCTACCTTCCGCAAGCGCCCACATGGTTTGACACTGGACCGGCCAGCCCACCATGAACATCCCGCGACGGACACAGTCGACGTCTACTGCAACCGCAATCGCAATCGCGACCGCAACTGTTCGTTTCATTTCATGGATCTACCCGTCCGTCGAAACACCCCGCTCTGACCGACCGAAGGCGACTGAGTCCACGCCAGCAACTCTATCCGTCGATACCAACCAGTGTAACACCAAAGCGGCACAATGCATGAACCAGCACATGGCATATCACGAACAGCAATTCAGTCAAGACCTACCTTAACGGGTATGACATCCACTGTCGCACAGGACCGGCACGACGCAGACACAGCACATGATATTCCTCACGACCTCAAGTCGAGTTCAGAAGCCGGACCGGGATCACCCTCCTCACAGGGCTTCTTCACAAAGCGCTTCAGCCCAGCTCCTGTAAGAACGATTCGTCAGGTCCGGAGTACAGTACTCGGATTGGCCCAGGTACTGTATCATCTATCGGTACTGTGCAGGAACCATCACCAAACACATTGCTTTATATCGCGAGCACGATCTCGAAGCCGAAGACGAAGCCGATGCGCAAGCAAGATCACGAACACCATACGGAGTAAAGTGAAACGCCAGCGTTCATCCACAGTAAGTACTTGTAGTCCACGGTCGCCTGTCCACTGTCCAACCCCGGGTAACGTTAAGTAAAGGTAAGTAAGTGGCTGTGCCGCGATGGCAGCTGTCACACCTGAAAAGTCAAGTCGCTGGCGCGTGTTCGCGGGTCCATGGCGTGTCCCAAGTTCCCAACACCTGCATGCACCTGCAAAATGCAATCAGCGTTTCAAACGCACGCAGCACCTAAGGAATGGAGACACACCATCAACCCCAATCCCCAGCCATCAGCTTTGAACTACACAAGACACGCAGCGTCCAAGATCGAGATGCCAATACTCTTTATTTCCAGTGCGCACGCAACGATGAGGCTGGGGAGGGGACAGCCGCGTAAGCACAATCACCACAGTACGGAGTAATGGAAACTTTTATACTTGCATGATCGGCGGAGCAATCCGGACGTAGCACGCGTCGCGCTGGGATGCATAGCCAAGGATCTCCAGAAATCATGTCGAACACGCGGCTACTCGTAGAAGTCAAGAATTAGGAATACAGGCACAGTAACGACAGTGATTTTCTAAGGTATAGTATTCGATAAACACCTGGACACGACATCCGCTGCCCAGAAGGATATATCTGCCGTCCAACCACGAAACCATTTGACTAAACGTACATGTATCACTGGATATCCATATGTCTCAGCATCAATGTAAGGTCCATTGCCGAACAACCAAATATAGCCCCCTCTGTACACAAGACATAAATGTCCAACACATCCCCAAGACCAATGACAAAGGAAAAGAATAGGTAAGAGAAATCGGACCAAATGGCCACAAGTATAACCAACAATACCAAATCCCATAGATCCGCGGGTTACTTGACATCGTTCGATATACTCTCTTCCGTTGTGATGTGGGCTTCGTAAGGTTCGTGCGCTTCTTTGACGCATGCACTGCCACAAACCCCATAGCCCATGTAGTCAACATCTATGACCAAGTAGTGGTCAGGGAAGCGCTGGATCCCATACCACCGCATCCACCGGATGGCGAGCCATCGTATGTGCCATAATTGGCTCCAGATTGAGATCCGTTGGCGCAGTTCTGGAGTTCGTAACCAGTGGTGCAGGTGGTGCCGGATGAGCAGACAAAGACGCAAGTATCCATGTTGGTGGTGCACTGGGGACCGACGACGCTGAGGCTGTGACCATCCATGTTGACTTCGCGTGAGACGTCAACAACGCCGTACTCGCCAAAGGTGAACTCCATCCAGGTGTTGGAAGCTTGACCATTCACCAATTCGGTGTCACTGTAGACAGCAGTGCAGGCACCCGATGCGCCATCAGCGAAAGAGACGGTGAGGGACTCGCCGGATGCGATGGAGGCGGTAATGGTTGGCTGGACAGCGTTGATCCAGGATCCTGCGACACCCCAGCAAACCAGAATCAGGTCCTCGCCAGCGTCGTTGATGAAGTTGCTCTTGTACGGTCCATCATCGCTGAGCCAGGCGTTTCCATTGGAGGACGCCGAGTTGACACCGACTTGGGCACCCAGGGAGGTGAGCTTGCTCGAGTCAGAGCTGGTCAAAGCCGTGGAACGTTTCCTATTTTTAGCGTGTCAGCTTTGTCTCTCTTTGTGTAACATGTTCTTTGGGGGTCTTACAAAGGCTGGATGTGGTCATGCTTGCGTGCATGGCTATGGAATGCCGAGTGGTGAGCGTGGCCCACGGTGGCAGCATAGGTTTGGCCAATTGCAAGGGTGGCCAGCACCAGGGTGTTCATTGTGAAATGCATCTTGTCTCTGCGTTGATGTTTGTGCAGTGTGTTTCGTTATCTGTTGGCTTCTTGAGGTCCGGTCAAGAAGTGCTTGTTGAAAAGGAGTGGTGGTAGCTTTCGCGAAATTGGGACGATCTCAGATCGAGTCTCTGTAAGGAGCGAGGGTAAGGAGGGAGGGGGCGTAAGCCAAAGTGCTGCTTCGCGTGAATGAGTGAACGCGATCGAATGTACGACTGGGGAAAGCGAACGGACGACGTCGAAAAGAGACGTCTACGAGATATAATCGATTCCAGCTGCGGACGCACAAAGGCGGGAAAGAAAGCAAGGAGACAGGAACCGGCCAAAATGCAACAACACAAAGAGACCCAGAGACCCATAGCAGGATGCGGATCCAACACACCAAAGGTCATCGGAGCAACAAAGCCAATTGGCATGCAGAGCCGGGGATGACCCCCGAAGACGATGCAGGAGCGTGGCGTCCCACGGCCCCAGAATTCCCCTGTCAGTGCTTGGATCCTTGGGCTTGTTAGGCTTTGGGCCCGTCGGAGTGAAACGCTCTAGCTTCAAAATATTCTCTGCCAATTTCCAGGCGCTTGACGAATGGTGTTAGTTGATTCTCTCGCGTACCTGGCGCCAACTGGACCTTAACCACCGCCTACGTCAAATGGCGTTGTAGATCAAAGACCCGACATTTGGACTCATCTCGGCACCTGACAAGCTGGCAGCTTTGACAGCAAAGAAGGGGCTGGGGCCCAAAAGGGAATGACTGCCTCGAAATGCTGCGTTGTAACAACACGTCAGCTCCTGGAATGTGGCAGGTCGCGCATGCATAGAGTCAGAAACTTAGTTGAGTCTGATGACTTTCACAGTCGACTGAGACTTCGCCCTCACATGCTGGGCCGACCCAGGATCTGGGCCCCTTGGTCTGTGCGGCCACATTTCGGATGCCTAGTCAGGAACCCAAGAATGCCCAGTAAAGACAAAAATCAGTCCACAAACAGAAAAAAATTGGCATATCTATCCAGATAGTTCCATATTCGATCATGAATGGATCATGCTGCAATATGCAGTAGGAGACGCAATCGGTTTGGGATACCCTGGACAGGTGTTCGCCAATGACATGTGGGCGTCATAGACGTCTACCAACCATATGAGTCGACCCAGGAACGGAACTATGCCACTGTAGCCGTATGCAAGCGAGAATTCCACCTGACATTGTCGACGACGGGTTCGGTCTGAGGAATTCGCACTGCTTCCATGATAGACAAATCTTCACATCGTGCAGATTCCGCTTTTCTTACGGACCATAGCGGAAAAGATAATATCGCAGCAGTTAACCATGCCGTGCCATTGCGCATCGAAATGCAAGAGTTGCCGGTCAACACCTCCACATACCAGCATCGGCATCGCATCTCTGACTGCATGATTCGTTGTCCGATGCATGTACGGTAAATCCTTCAACGTAAGCTGTGGAGGGCGCTGGTGAATCATGATGCGCTGTCGCTGGAAGTCCGACGAAGATCGACCTGTGTTTACAGAACACATGTGAATGTTTTGTCGTTTGCGAAGAAGACTTCGGTCGCAAATCGCTGCAAGAGGTAAAGTGCCATCTGCGACAACAACCATGTGGGTTTTGATTTTCAATAACTTACTTAGTTGCTTGCATTATCAAAAGCACCCAAAACTGAGGTTAGCAACTCAAGCCGACTATGCTCGTGGGAAGCCCACTCGCACTCTTGCCAACGGGTGGTAGCGAGGGAAAAGAGTTTTGTCCGTCTGCAAGGAACGGATTGGCGGCGAGAACGGTTGGCGCCTTGGGCAGATTTCGCGTGCTCTTCTTTTCCCCGAAAAGCTTTCGCATGCCGCCAAGGAAGCCTTCTGCCGCACTGCTGCCAGGTACAGAATTGATGTGATTGGCGGCGTCTTATGGAGTGGACACGGTGGATATGCGTATTCCTTATCACATCATCGGCAGCTTGATGAAAAGTTTGCGCACCTGCATTTCTCACTGCGCCTGCATCGGACAGGGCTCGGTTCCCTGGGCGAAATCCGAGGACAATGGACCAGTAAGATGGCGCGCGCAAAGAGAGAAAATGCCCAACTCGTATGTATTCTGCATCACGGCGGTTTGCCGAAGTTTGTTTTGCTGACTTCCGGGCCGTTGGCATTCCTTGGATCGACAGCCACCGATTGACAGCGCCATGCAGAGGGCCAGTCAGCAGACATGATCGCACTTCTAGACCTTGTCGAGTCTTGGTTCCGCATTTAGGGCCAGGTACTATCGATACCTATCCGTCGACTCGACATCGATAGAACCGAGTTCCGGATGCGGCCATTGACATTGACAAGAACATAGATCCGCTCTGACAAGGATGGACTCTTCTCGGATTGTGCTCAACGATACCAACAGTATACGTGGATCCCTTGCATGCTGACGGGTTTGCAACATAGGTTTGTTGGTGTGAGATGCATGCAGCGGACGTCTCCCAGAGTCCACCCCGCAAGTAGGCTCGCATGCCCGTTCTCGTGGCTACAACGCCGTCTATGCAACGCATCTGGTGGGTTCGGATAATCATCTTGCGTGCAGGTCTCAATTGTACGCTCTCTCACGACGTTCGTCTTCTCTCATGACCAATGTCTGCCTCTCAGGATGCATGTCGAAGATGGATGGCTCAAGTGAGGAAGTGGACGAACGGGTGAATCCGTTAGAGAAGACTGCTCTAGGCTGAGGGATTTTCGTTCGTTCTGTTGGCAGTCAGTCCCATTCAGTGTTCTGTCATCCTGCAGCAGTCGTGTATTTCACCTTCTCTGAGTCCGTAGTCGAATGCCACGGGACGGACTGTTGTGAAAATTCTCCTCCCTTCTGCTCACCGTGCAGTCTGCTTCATCATTGGACATGACCAGTCCGAGGAAATCGTGACGTGTCCGCGATGTAAAGCTGTCATGCTGCTACAGTCAGTGTAACGACGTGGCCAAGCATTACTCATGGTGGCCGGAATCAGCCGAACGGACAGCGAGAAAGAGCCGGACAGCGCATCCTGGTCACTGGTGGCGGACGACGATGCATGTCTGTTCGTCAAGGTGAAAATATCAGAGAGTTTTGAGAGCTTGAAAAAGTGCAGGGTAAACAGCAATAGCAGGCAAGTGTAACATCTCTGGGGGAAGTGGCCGAAGGCAACTGCGCAAGAATATTTCCCCGACTCCGGGTTTTGGAGTCTTCCTTAGGCTTTGTGGGCGTCAAAAAAGAATAAGCCACCACAGCCACCAGAGCCTAAGGACCCCCTACTCCGTACCGCAATGTCAATCTCAAGATCAAAGCTTCTCTTCCACCTCCTGTGGAATCTTCCTTTTGTTACTCACGTGTTGTGAAATTGAGCTTGCGCGGCGTCCTCCAAGTCGTCGTAAGGAACTGCTGATCATAGAGAGAGAAAATACAGCGTAATCTCGTCTCTTTTGTTATGTTTGGCTTTTGAGTATCTCAAAATCTCCATCGTTGGATTGCTTTTGATGGTGGATATTTCAGTGGTAAGATTGCTGCAAAAGGGAACCAACGACGCAAGTTTCATTGAGAGTGGACGCTGCTGAGTGCATCTAGTGAGCTTCAAATAAACAAGGCTTTGTACAGGTTCAAGTTCAGGCACGTCTCTGTTGGCAGAATGGCGATTCTCTCTTCCTGGACAGCCGATGAGTCACGACCAAGGGTGCAATATCGACTTGCCGCATCGAACATGTCTTCGCGGATAGTGGCAGCTACTGTTCAGGTGTGATGGACCAGGTCAAGCAAAAACCGGCTGAAAACATGGGACTTTTATACTTCCCTGTTCAAAATGTCGTAGAATTGCTATGATCTGTGCCGAGTCCAGTATTGCGGTCGACAGCGTCCTGTATTCCAACATGGCGATCACCTCTCTGCGTGTCAAAGTGGGCGTCTCCAGCAGCACCGGCGTGTAACCCCCTCCCTTTCGCGTGCTTTCTTCACCCTCTCTGCCTCCAGATACTGTTTCCCTTCGAAGAATGGCCCGGATCATCGATCGGAATGTGGCCGAGCAAGAAGGCGACCTTCAACAGCATGAAGGCTGGTTGTTAGTCATGATCGAGTGCACCTCCCCATTATGACCGTTGTGACGGGGGATGGTGGTGGCAAGACTTGTCAGACATGTGTCATAAAATACCACATTTGAACCGCTTTGCAGTTTTTCGCTTTCCGTGGTACCAGACATTTTCATCCCAAAAAATGATATCCGGCAACGTCTGGGAGCTTTTCCATGCAAATGAGCGCCGGACATGCGCAGGACCTGTGGGCTGCAGGAGAGCTCTCCAGGCATGCAAGTGTGAAGGCACTCGTGTAGATGCGATCTTAGACACCGAAGACTTAATAATGCCGCTCCAACATATCTGTCGTCAAGGTCGTAGCCGTGCTGTCATCCGTCTCTCAATACAATGATAGATTTTCGACCCCTGCTTCGGCACAGTCCAGCGAAAAATTCGACCACGCAGCACACATTCTTGAGCAGATAAAGTGTCATGTCATGGTGTGACACCCGAGGACCAACATGCACCACAGCTGGTCAAGTGGGAGATCGAGATTTTCTTCCCACATCGCTGAAACTGCTCCTCGTGCCCATGGATGCTGAACTCGAACCAAAGTCTCGGGAGCCATGAATGAGCTGCGCCAGTCTTTCCAACCTCGGTCGTTGAATAGGCTCATAGTAGAAAAACCTTTCTTGAAATCGCGTGAGGACATCCACGGTCTCCATATCTGGACTCGTCTCCCTAAAACGCCGGATGTTGTCTGCCAATCCAATCTCAAAGATCTGCTCCACAAACCATCTCTCTTCATCGCTGTCAATGACAGAGCACATCGCGCCGATCGTCAGAACCCACATCTTAAGCTCGAACAGACCTTGCCATTCATACGGCCATCTGCCTACTTTCAGAACCAACATCAATTTAGGCGCAATTAGGTTTCCGATTCTCTTCAGACCGAGCAATACCATGGATGTCAGAATCCACATCAACAAGGCGATCCGAATAGCATCGTGAGTTGCATCTGGGTATTTCATGGCCAAAAGTCGCCATCGAATAGCCGAGTTCCGCCACAGAAGCCACCTCGCAGCATGTTTTTTGACCTCTGGCGAATCTGTTTGCGCGTGGGTGAGTACCCAGGTGCACTCGACAGTCTCGAGGATAGCCTCAATCAGTTCGTCGGGAAGGTAGCCGTCAGTCAGTATGTCTTGCAGAGCCGGGGCGATGTGGCTCAGGTCCTGCGGTGGGGCCAATTGGAACTCAGTGGGTGTGACAGTCCAGTATGGGCCCGGATCATGGCTGCACGGCAATTCGCAGGGTTCAAGCACACATGCAGCAACGTTTCCATCGCCAATGATAAATAGCTCTCGAATGTGATGATCCGGTACATAGTCCAAACCACCCCATGAATCAAACATTGATTTCGCCGCACGCATGTGTACTCTTGCGGCCTTCCAATTTTGGCGATATGCCTCACCGGCGTAAAGATGGAAGATGATGAGAAGCAGTTGGTGCTTCGATGCCGAGCTGAGGGCAGTGAAATTTCGTCTCATCGCCACCAGCGCATTTCCCATAAACTTGTCCGTCCCTTGGCTAGGAATCATGTCGACATTTTCAATCCGGGCGGCCATGCAGGCCAAGATTGCGTTCATCTCGACTTCATTCTGCATTGCGCGCTGAATGGCCGCCAGCGCCGCACTCTGATGGGTATATTGACCCGAAAGAGTGGAACTTTCAGCATAGAAGACACTCGGATGGAACTTCTCACAGAAGTACCGACATAAACTGGCCACCTGTGGACTCAGTGTGACGACCGACAGCCCAAAGGGATCTATGGAGTTCGACGTCACTTGACTGATGTCTCTCGGAGAGTCGGAAGGTCGGGGAGAGTTCAGAAGCACAACGGCCTTTTCATCACTGCCTGACCTTTTGCCAGGAGCACGTTCATGGACGCGGTTGATTTTCTGAGGGCGATTCGTCTTTGCTTGAGCCCTGTCTGATTCGGCAGAGCGAGGTAGGTTGTTGGGCTTATTTGGTCGAGAAGGTAACGTTGAAGTTTGGGGGCCATCAACCCCGCTTTCTGGGGTTGAGTTATTGTCTATGGACACAGACTCTGGTGAAACTGTTTTGGTGCTGCTGGCGGATGCTTGAGGCGAATCATTCTCCTCAGTGCCCTTGTCAGGTTTGTCTTTGTCTCGACCAGATGGTCTCCGAGTTCTGTTGGCGGAACGGCCAGGATTGTGTGCGGAGCGTTTATGACGGCGGCCTCGCTGAACGTGAGAATTGATCGAGGATTGTTCTCCGGAATTGCTGCGAGTCAACGAGGCGCTGTCGGCGTCCTTGTTGACGAATAGAAATTGCGGCATGTCTAGGATTCCGACTGTAGTTTGTCGAAGGCTTCACCATGAATCCTGAGCGCGTCCATCACCAACCGAGGTTTACCGAAGTTTCCAGATGGAGGCTTTTGTGGTGCTTTCGTAAGCAGATATTGCTCTGAACAGCGGCGAGTCTAGCAAAAGCCCGAGATCAGTGGAAGCCCGGTCGACACCATGATGTTGAGGCGGCACAATGCAGCCCGCTGTGGATGGAATATGCAAGCCACCATGGGGAATAAGGCGAGAAAAGGCCATATCGAGACTCGAGATTCGGATTTCAATTGTGATGTTGGCCATTAGCGCCGGTTCAACGGTGCCGCCCGCTACTGCAAGCTATTCCGCTTTGGGGGGATAAACAATTCCGCAACTGACGAAAGGCTTTGTTTGTGGCTTGATCATCATTCAGCATAGCATACTGCTCGTAACTATTTCTTGAGAGCTCAAGAGCCGAGTTTAGCATCATTCGCAAAGACTCATCAACATCAGAACCTCTGACAAACGCACGCGGGGGTATAGACATGTCTGCAGCATTTGCCTCTTCTTATCCATCCAGCTTCCCACTATTGTTGGCAAACTTCTCATAAAACTCCAGGGTCATTGCCGCCAGAAAACATGGAATTTGCTTCTTCTCCTTGACCCAGAAGTTCACCAGGTCCCTGATCTCTTCCCCAAACGCACTGTTTGGCCCTCCACTGATCTTCATCGTGCCATTGTCTCCATCGAACACAATATAATGCTCGTCTTCCTCGTCGCTATCCTCGTCGGCATCATGGGTGCCGCCGTAGTACATGCTCGAGACTTTGGCTTTGCCGTTGGGCAAGAAGTTGACTTTATAGCCGAGCACACTTGCGATGACGTCGCGGAACTCGGCCGCTTTCTGAGTCCAGATTTCTCGTTGTCGTCGCATTCTTTTCTCTTTATCAGCCACCACCATTTCCATGTCCTTCAAATCAAGCTTGAGTGCATCCAGCGAGCTGGCTGGCACCTTCTTGACGCTCTGCAGATCATCTCCATGTAATTGTGCCAGGAGACCGGCATTTTCCTCCTTCAGTGTTCGCAAGGTAGACATCTTGATTGCTGCGGCATTTGCTGTCGGATTATCACGAAGCTCCAATACTCGCGTTTTCGAACTTTCTCGCAACGCCTTGAGTTGTGACTTAGTTGCCTGCAGGTCGGCTGCCAACATCTGAGACTGCTGGGCAGTCTTCTGCAACGCAATCTGGAGGTTTTTATTCTTCCGTAGCAATGCCCCAAGTTGTGAGTTGCTCTCTCCGTCCGGCTCCTGAGACTCGGCAGACCGTTTCATTCCGCGAGGCTCGTCTGGAACCACGGCCGAACCAGGAGGAGCCGATTCGAGTTTCGACAGGTCGGAGTGCAGCGTTTGTACTTCGCCTTTGTACTGGTCGACCAGAGTTTCCAACTGTTTGATTTGTTCAGAGCGCTGAGCGTCGAAATTTTGGTTGTCCATCATAACAGTCTCTTCCGTGTCGAAGGTCTTGAGTTGCGCCCGCAGGTACTCCACTTCTTTGACAGCCAGCACTCGTTGACGTTCAAGTCGCTTGTAGGCTTTGTTGTCGTTTCCAGGTTCCGTCTGCTCGGGATGCGACTTCAACTTTTCCAGTTCGGTTTTCACGGAGCTCTTGTCTGCTTCAAGTGCTTTGATGATCTCATCCTTCTCGGTCAGATCACTTTCGACCGTGCCCAACCTGTCCATGATTGACGCATATTCGATGCGTTGCTGAATCAAGGCCTTGACGACCGCTTCGGGAGATTCGAACTCGCTCTCTTGTCCGTCGCGTTCCAGCAGACTCGTCCATGTGCGCTTCTCATCTTCCAATATTTCCTTTTGTATTTGAGCTTCGCCGAGCTGCCTTTCGATATCCTTCAAGACTTGAAGTTCAATTTCCAGGCCATGTTTTTGTTCTTCGACCACTTGTACACTGCGGTGCGCATCACGCAATCTCCGGAGTTCTGTAAGTTGTTCCCTGTTTGTCGCTTCAAGTCGGCGAATATGCGCTACTTGATCGGAGAGTTGACTCTGTAGCACGTTCAGCGCTTCGCTGTCTGCCGAATGTGATTTCAATGCCGCCACTTCGGTCTGCAAGCTCTCGACCTCTGCGTCTCGTTCCGATAATCGGCCTTGGGTGGCCTCGAATTGCTGTGATAGCTCGTCGAGGTCCTGTCTTACACTTTCGACAGTCTCCTGAAGTGCCGCCCGCTTTGCCTCGACATCGTCCAACTGGTGCTTATAATGTCTTTCTTGGTCCGCCAGCCTTCCCTGCGCATCTTCGGCATCTTCCTTGAAGGACGCATTCTGATCTTGCAGGTCACGTAGCTGTCGGTCCAATGCAGCCTTCTCGTTTGTTCGCTGGTCTTGAAACTCGCGTAACTCTTTGGCAAGTGCCTCTTGCCGGTGGGTCGCTTTCTGAGCAGCACTCTCAGCATTCTATCATGGGTCAGCCACATGTCAGTTCACAGTAGTGTGTATACCAACCTGATACTTCTTGAAGTCGGCCTCTGCTCTGGCTTGCTGTTCACGGAGCTCTTTGTCATGCTGCAATGCGAGCAGTCCCCGCTCTTGTTGCAAATTCTTCAGTTCATACTCAAGCGCGTTGATCTTGGCTCGCAGATTCTCATCTTGCGCGTGGTCTGCCGGAGAATGTCAGCGAACTCTCTTGCTTCCATGTATACGCTTTTCCTGACCTTGTCTGGCGACCGAAGGCTGGCGCAGTCTCGATTGCCGTAGTGGTTGCGCCGAGCCGTCAGTGGCTGCGCCCGAGATAAAATCGTACGTGGGTTGGTTCGCAGTCAGTCTGCTCGTACCAGCCTACAAAGACTTATTAGCCTCGCATTTGCTTGTCCTCACTTTCATTTCACTGACCACAGATGCCGGGCGTGGCAGCGAGGATGAGCCACCGGAGATACTTTGTCGACCAGACAGGGATGCCCTCGAACTTGACAAGCGTAGACGTTTCGAGGCTGGCGAGGACATTTTGCTATTCTAGGGACATGGCATGGGATATCATTTGATTGTGTATCGTTGCGCGCAAGGCCATGGACCATGTTACGAGACTGTCTCGAGGTACGGAGTATTCAATGTTTACATGGCCCACGTGACTCTCGAGTTGCTTAGTGCTTCCAGAGTAGTAACTTAGCCGAGGCCTGGTCTTTGGCCTTGTCAACTTCACTTCACTTCACTTTACTTCACTTCACTTCACTCCTTCGTCAACCTCTATTCGTGACTTGGTCACGTTCACGAGTACTCATGCAGGTATGGTGCGACATTGTTTCCGACGTCCTCAGACTTTCGAGGACGCGGCCTCGGAGACAACCTATCACGTTAGGTTGTGCAGCACTCTACGGCTTTGAAGCCGACCATGACCGACAGACAGCCCTCGTGCTCCATAGACATCAGCCCACCGCACCTTCAAGCTACCACTAAAGGCTGTGACCATCTCTCGGCTTCAGAACGAGCGATCCAGAAGCTCCTGGCCGAGGACTACGGCTGAATTCTTCTCTATTACCCGGAAAATGAATGCAGGAGGTAGTGCGGGGGTGGAGACTCGTGCATGGGCGCGGAGTACAGGTGGGTTTTGTGACTGGATAGAAACCCCTAGCCCCCAGACTCCGGTTCCTCAAACCACAGGCGGACAGCTTGTTTTGACAAACCTTGCGGCGTACCAGTCTCTTCGGCAGGTGATCGTCTCGCAGGACTGACTCGCATATTTATGCTAATTACCAATTCAAGCGAGCGCACTCTCGTGGCTCGAATTTATCCCATCGGAGAGTCCCCGGTACTAGCAGTGGTCAAATCCATACTGTCTGACTGTGGAATGGCAGGTGGTCTCTTCGGACAGCCCTCTACATGGACCTGAGAGCCTCCTAGATCATTGAGAGCAAGTCTACGCAGTCCTCATGAGATTCTGTTGTCAGACGATGCACTTCATGTCGCCTGGGGTTCTTGCTTCCAACGCGCCTGGCCGCATGCAAGCCGCGATGTGCGGTTCACAAACCATATATCTAGGCATGTCTCCTGAGCCTCCACTTCTTCATTTCTTCGACCTGCAGGAGCTTCCAAGACTGTATCGCGCAAGCCTCGTTTGATCAGAATGGCCCCTCAAGAGAACCAGATCGTGGTTGGCACCCAACGAGGAGATACAACAATCGATGTCCAAAAGCTCCTTGGCCAGCCATGGTATCGATACAAACATCTACGGAAGCTTTATGGCTGGCTATGCGTTGTCCTCATCGTCCAAGCGACTAACGGCCTTGATGGTTCGATCATGAATGGCATGCAAACACTCACTTACTGGCAATCCTACTTTCACCATCCAACTGGAGCACAACTGGGTATCTTCAACGGCACGCAGGGACTCGGAGGAGTCATCTCACAGTTCTTCCTGTGGTGGCTTGTCGAAAGGATTGGACGCAAGCTCGTCATCATTTCTGGTGCTGTCATCATTATCATCGGCGTATTCCTGCAGTCTTTTGCTCAAGGGATCGCCATGTTCGCAGTAGCCCGCTGTGTCATTGGCCTGGGTCTAAGCTTCGAATATACTGCAGCACCAATGCTTGTATCTGAGCTTGCACACCCTACTCATCGGGCGCAATTGTCTACTCTACTGAACACCTTGTACTACTTTGGTAAGTCTGTCTAACAAGATGTTGCCTGTCCTGCTAAGTCTTGGCAGGTGCTACCATCGCAGCTTGGGTCACTCTAGGCACTCTATCCATCAAGAGTGATTGGAGCTGGCGAAGCGTCTCGTTGATCCAGATGTTTCCTTCCCTCATATCACTCAGTCTCACCTGGTGGGTCCCCGAATCCCCTCGCTGGCTCGTGTCCAGAGGTCGCAACGAGGAAGCACTCAAAACGCTGATCGATGTACACTGCGGCGGCAACGAGGCCGATCCCCTTGCACGATTTGAATACAACGAGATCGTTCAGACCCTCGCATATGAGAAAGAGAATGGCAGCCGCAGTTGGTTTGACCTTATCCGTACACCTGGTAATCGTCATCGTACATGGGTCGTCTTCACCTGCGCTATCGCAAGCCAAGCAACCGGTCAAACGATCATCGGGTACTACCTCGTCGTTATCCTCTCAGGCATTGGGATCACTAATCCCAGGACACAAAGCATCATCAACGGCTGTCTGACCATGTGGAACATGGGCTGGGCATTCTGGGGTGCTTATGTCATCGACAAATTCGGTCGTCGCCGCATGATGCTTACTTCTTTAACTGGCATGTTACTGGCGGGTTTTCTGCCTTGGACGATCTGCAGTGCTCTCGATGTCCAGCATGGCCTTAAAAACGCCGGGCCACCTGTCATAGCATTCATTTTCATCTTCAATGCATTCTACGCATCAACTTGGAATGGCATTCTGACAGGCTACACGGTGGAATGCATGAGCTACGACATCCGACCCAAGCTCATCTGCACTCAAAACTTGCTCGTGCAGGCCACCATTACTGGTTTCAACTATCTCAATCCAGTAGCCCTGAAAAACATTGGATGGAAATATTACCTGATTATCAACCTCATCATTGTCCTGGTCATTGTCATGGTATATTTTACCTATCCGGAGACCTCGAAAATTACGCTGGAGGAAGTAAGTGTGATCTTCGACGGCAAGCACGCTGTCAAGAATGATATCCTTGCGAAACAAGGGGTAAATATGGGCGAGGAAGATGCTGTTGGTGGAAGCGAACAAAAGGCGGTGGAAGTTTATGAGCATGTGGAGAAGTGAAGCTCAAGTCCGAATGGCAAGAACTTGCAACTCTCGGTCGTTGCGAATGTCATTGAGAGCAACGACATGATCCATTGATGCCCGTGAGTGGCGGTTTTGTGAGCACTGACAACTGGTGCACTGCTTTTGATATCCGAGCATCATGCTCTGGCTTTCTATCGTCGGTGTACTATCTGTCAAGATTGGTATTTCTAGTATAGCGAGTTGTCACAAGACCAAAGGTTTTGCCTTATGACATGCAAACCTCGTTAAGCATGCCAGCCATCTTCAGGACTCTTTCACAATCCCATTTACGTCCAACGACCTGCAGGGAGACGGGAGCCCCTTCGTAAGCAGACGGCTCATACTGTTTCCAATTGTACTCATCGAACTCGTTGTCTCTCGGTACATAATCAGTATCAAGGATATGTGTCGAAGCTGAGGCCGTAAGGCCTGTCGGAAAGCTCGCAGCCGGGTAATCAAGGATATTGAAAATTGCTGTATAACCCCAGTACCGCGCAGTCTCGTGCTTGGGAGCGACAGAAGGTCCCACTGGACATACTAGAAAGTCCGGGACCACCGGTGTAGACAGCCAGTGGGCCAGGTATTGCTCTAGAAAGACTGAGTTAGCTTTGTAACACTTCTGCGGAAGTCACCGTCGAGGGACCGTGGAGTTCTTACTTTGGAATTCTTCGCGCTGATAATTGAGCTCCCAGCTTTCTTTCAGCGTCCGGGGCCTTACGTGACTGTCCTTCATCACCCACTTGGACAGATCAAGGATGGGCTCGCCCGAGCCCTCCATTATCGCCATGGTTTCGACGCCACCATCTTCCCAGTATAGTTGTCTGATCAGGTCATATCCCAGATCATGTTTATATGGTGTCCACTCAACCACCTCGAACCGGGGATCAGCCTCTAGCTTGGCTTTCAATGCCTGGAGCGCATGCTTGATTGGCGGGTGGGGCATCACCGAGCCATCATCGACGTACAGACCGATGGTTATCTTCTCTGGCATCGTGACCTGTCGCCAGGGTAGCGGAACAAGGTTATATGCCTCGAGCCAGGGAGAGGTGTCCAGGACGGTCTGCATGAAGAGTTCTGTGTCCCGAGCGCTGTGGCACAAGGGACCGGCAACGATGGGAAATGACTTGCAGCCTCGCATGGTAGAGGTACCCCTGACGAACGGTATTCGATCAGACGTGGCTTTCATTCCGAACAGGCCGTTGTTCGCCGCTGGGGATCGAATTGAGCCGCCTCCGTCACCACCCAGCCCAATGGGCGAGCCTCGCATGGCTAACAACGCGGCTTCGCCACCCGAAGAGCCTCCAGGAGTGAGATCTCGGTTGAAGGGGTTCAGGGTCCGGCCATATACTTGTTCGGTAGTCAGACGAGTGTCTCTCACGAGGTGCAGGTACACAAGAACTCACGATTAGATGTAGTCTCCAGATGCATGGCAGTCTGAGGGTTAGTAGTCTTGCAGTACAGCACAGCTCCCTGGTCCCGGATGATCTTGACCAGCTGACCATCCTCTTCGGCAATGTTGTCATACCAAGCCACATAGGCCCCGTCTGATCTTCGACCTTTGACGGCAAATGTGTTCTTGATTGAAAACGGAAGGCCGTGAAGTGCACCTACGGGGCCACTCTCGGCGAAGATCTTGTCCAATTCCCGGGCCCGGTCGAGGGCTTCATCGAACCACATTTCGGTCATGCAATTCACCTGTACTGTCTATCAGCCTTTGTTTTCAGGAGATACTTGTTCAACACGAACCAGTTGGTGTGCTATGGCCGCCCGTTTGCAGAAAGCGAGTGTGACATCGAAGCTGGTCGCGCGGCCAGTTTTTAGCATCTCCAAGAGACTTGTTGCATCTTTTTCCGTCAATGCGAGCTCAGTCTCCGTCATGATGCCACAGGTATAGGGCACTTTCGTGACGTTTCGGACATCGTCCGACACTGGGTCCTTGAGAAGCCATTCGTGAGGAATCGTGCTGTCTCGCGAGAGCTTGTGCGATCTCCTGCCACGAGGCTAGTGGCTTGGACTCAATACTAGATCGTTTCAAGTCAATGCTCGTCGAGGCAGCCATATTGGCATGAAGTCTGCAGCAACAGGAATGGAGGGCTGGTGAGGCCACACCCAGTCTTCTGGGGAGACATGCTTGTTAGTATCTTTACCTTCGGCAGCGCACATATCCATTGCAGATCTTCAACAACCGCACTGGATGTCCGAATATGGCATCTGAGATAAAGTGGATTTCGGGATGCAGTGCGAAAGATATCCTTCCTAATCGCGGAATTTAAGAACTGTCTTATCAACAGTGCTAAAATAGTCCCCCCCTTCCGACTACAGCCTCGTGAGGGGTATGATTCGGGAGCAATACTTTGCCTGTGCCCGAATAACACCACTACTCTGCCCCGTCAAGGCCGTACGCCACATGCCAAGGTCAACGCTGAGTATTACCATTGGGGGCCATGTTGACTGGGGCGGCCTCCCAACATGGGGTTGTGTGGTCGAATATGAGTGGGCTAGAAGGACAGATTAAGACGTTAGCAGGTCAAGTATGCAGACAAGTCAAAGGAGGGAACGATGGAAGTCACGAGAAGAATGTCCATCAATGTATGTGATCAGCTATAGCAGGTGCTCACATAGTGACTATTCAAGCATGATAAGTTTGCATCAACATGGAATACAAACCAATTTTTCTTGTGACCACGAACCAGCTCCAAAATACCATCAGTAAAACCCATGATCCCCATATGACGCCGAGCACCTTCACTAGACATAGCAGCACGTTCGACATGTTGCCCACAAGATTGATCGTGCAAATGCCGAACTCAAGCCTCAAAATTCGAGCTCTTATCACCACTTTTTTCTCCTTGGTCTCCTAGGTCTGGAGTATCCTTGTACCCGGTGCTTTCATATCCAGTATCGACTTTGTCATAACCACTCTCGAAGTTCCGCTCGCCGAGCTTGTGACCGTTGGGGTCGAAGCTATCGGCTTCCGCCATGTCAGCATTGAACATATCGGTTTCCTTGTCCCGCGTAGCGCATTTGCCTTTGCCCTTGACATCGACACCTTTGCTAACAACGTTGTACGCTCTCCTTCTCCTGTACCTTCTCCACAACAAGACGGCACCCACTGATAGAGCAGAGAGGACCACTGCACCAACAACTGCAATCACGATGATGTACTTCGTTGCGAGACCGTGGCTCGACGGTTTGGAGCCATCGTCGGAGGAGGAGAGACCGGCTTGTGCCAGTTTGCTGGTCAGGTGTGTCATTTTCTCGGCGTGAATGCTGGTCGTTGTGGTCGCTAGACCGAGTCCGCCATCGCTATCATCAACCACACCTGCTTGAGCCAGCTTGCCGATAGCATGTGTAACCTTGCCGTTCGGTAAAGTGAATGTGCTCGTAGGGTTGCTGCCAGCCACAGGGTTCGGCATTGCGTCTCTGGCTTGTCGGATGCCCTTCACGAGACGTTCTGGAATGTAATTCATTGTGAAGGAGAATCGAAGTTCTCAATGATCGAGATTCAGCGCCTCGGTCCACTCAGTGGACGTGTAGCTGCAGAGATACTGGCACGAAGGTAGTGGGATGGCGGAGGGACTCAAAAGGTAGACTCTTGCGCAAAAGGGAATTCAGAAATTATAGAGAGGGCAAGAGTGAGCATTTCATCTCACTTAGGGCAGCCCAGCTGCAAGCCATTGCAAGGGACCGAGCCAGTCACGATATTGCGGTCAGCATAAGCACTTGTACCAAAAGGTCTCGCCCGTAGATGAGGTATTGTGGGAGAATAGTGTTTGGTAAGCACCCAGTTCTCGATTTAGTAGCAAACATAGATTGCACGGGGTCTGGATTGGGCAGGGTTTGAGACTCAACAGCCCCTGTCATTGTCAGCATCTGCCACTCATCAGCTCCTTTTCAGCCTCCAAGCACTATCAAGCTTCAGCAGTTGGCCCGCGGCTGGATTTTCGGGATTGCGGTTGAGGCGCAAGGCCGCCTGGGACGCCGGTACACCGCTACCGCTACGATTCCTCCATTCGACAATGGTGTAATCGGGACGCGGCGAGACCAGCTGAGATGTACTGAACAAGAAGAAAGTGATTACATACACCAGATAGACGAAGGAAGGCCCGAGTTATCGCGATTGCTGCATGACTCGAGGATGACGTGTCACGTGCCATGAATGAATCATCCCAGATATTTTTCGATTGCAGTTACATCGCTCTTAGGAGAGTGTCCGCCCACAGCACAGCAACTACAGGCGTGCGCCATCAAAGCAGACCAGGAATAAAAGGTCTGACAAGATGGCTCGCGCCGCCAACAAGAAAGCCGCCAGAAACACGGCTGCCTCGAACAAGGACCCGAAACCGCAACCTCCTTCTACCTCAGGGCCTCCGTCACCATTTCAATATGCGCCCGGCTCTCTACAACCCTTTTTCTCCACACTGCCCACCGACCATATGTACCTCGTCCACATCGACAACACGCCGGTGAGCCTGAAAAAGCGAGTCTTCGTCGTCCCTGTCCTCCTCAATCTACTCATCACGCTTGGTCTCTGTGTCCGCGTCTACTATGCTGCACCGATATATTTTCAACAGGTCATCACGATCTTTGGATATGATACCGCCTACACGGTCGACACGCAGACGGCTGGGGCAAGCGAGCTCATCAATACCCTCAGTTCTCGGACGTTCCTGCTGATGATCGACTACTTCATCTTTGCCTTCATTGGTAACTGGCCGAAGGAGTTCATGTTCGGGGGCAAAGTGTCTAGATTTGTCGGACCACGGCAATGGAGGACGACGTTGGGCTTCAGGGATACCGAAATCATTGTCCGCAGAGGACGAATATGGGACACACCACTTCTCACACCAGAGGTTCCGGACGGAGTCAAGACATGGAAGGTGGATGAAGAGTTGACCATCAAGGTCAAGATTGACCCTGCGATGCGAGCAGACTATCTGGCAAAGACGGGCTACCTGTTGCTGGACAAGGACTGGGATCTCGATTTCAAGGCCATGCTCGATGCTCATAAACTGGTGGACAGAGGTACAATCCAGTTGAAAGATCTGGAAAGCCTGGCGCTGGTATACTATCAGAAGACTTGGCTGATATGGCGGGTACATGAGACTGCAGTGGTCGAGGTGGAACCTGGGCCACAGGACAGTGCACTGGAGAAATTCAGAGGCCAACTCACCGACCTTGGGGCTGAGGATGTCTTCTTCCGGTGGATAGAAATTGTCCAGTATGAGACTTCGCAGCCAGGCGGTTTCACCGAAGGAAGGCAGGCTGAAGCACTGCGGGAATTGAAGCGTCTTCTATCCAAGAAAGGCGTTGACTATGCACAGTTCTGGTCGAACATAGGTGGTCAAGCCGGATTACCGGGTTTCGATACATAAAATTGAAATAATGTCATGTCAAAGCACGTGCTCATCGACAAGGCTATGGTGCCTGTAGCCTTGCACAGCCCGGTCCAGTGGTCCCCTCATTCACCGAATGTGTTCCTGCATAATGGTTACCCCGCGGTGTTTGAGCCTCAAGAAAAAAAGATCCAATACACCTGCCTTCGTAAGCGTATCCCAACAGATTTCTGTAGAGCACTGCAAAACGGGATGTCGTCTTCGAAAATCTACCTCGCCGTCATCGGTGTTGGCGGCGTCGGCACTGCATTTCTCTCACAAGTCGCTGGCCTTCCCTCTGCTCTGCGCCCAACCCTGATCTTCCTGTCCCGGTCATCCAAACAACTGTACACACCCAACTACGATGCCGTCTCCGCGTCCAGTCTACCGTCCTCGTCCTCGAAGCTGCTATCACTCTCCGAGCTGACCTCCTACCTGTCCTCCGCTCCCGGAAAGACAATCCTCGTCGACAACACCTCGAACCAGGACGTCGCCAATGCCTACCCTTCATTCCTGCGCAAGGGGATCAGCGTGGTGACACCCAACAAGAAAGCCTTCTCCAGCAATCTACAATTATGGACAGATATATTCGACGCGGTCGAGTCCTCGGACGGCCAGGCAATGGTTTACCACGAGTCCAGCGTTGGCGCCGGATTGCCTGTCATCTCCTCACTGAAAGACCTCGTCGCGACTGGCGACCAAGTGACACGCATCGAGGGCGTCTTCTCAGGCACGATGTCATTCCTGTTCAATTCTTTTGCCCCGGCCAACGAAAGTGGGAAGGGCAAGTGGTCGGAAATTGTATCCCAGGCAAAAGACGCAGGGTACACCGAGCCTGATCCCCGGGACGATCTGAATGGAATGGATGTCGCCAGGAAACTGACAATTCTGGCGAGGCTGGCTGGATTGAAGGTCGAAGGACCAGAGAGCTTCCCTGTCCAGAGTCTGATCCCCGAAGAGCTCGAGAGCGCGAAGTCCAGCGACGAATTCATGCAGAAATTGCCTGAGTTCGACGGTGAGATGGAAGGATACAAGGACAAGGCGGCGAAGGAGGGCAAAGTAGTTCGCTACGTAGGATCCGTGGACGTCGAAGCTGGAAAAGTTAAGGTTGGTCTGGAAATGGTGGAGAAAGGGACGCCAATTGCCAGTCTGAGAGGAAGCGACAATCTGATTTGCTTTTACACTAAACGATACGGCGCCAACCCACTGGTGATACAAGGAGCTGGTGCTGGCGGCGAGGTCACTGCCATGGGCGTCACGGCAGATCTGATCAAGGTCGTTGAGCGGTTGAGATAGAACCAGCTCCAAATGTGAATACCAAAAAGTTTGTCTGGGTTCACGTAACTATGTGCATGATTGGTTCCAAAACCTGTATACATATGTCGACATGTATATCACTGCTCCATCAACTTCGCAGGTACTTCTTGACAGCCTCACCCCATACGGCGCCACGCTTGTAAAAGTGCATCTGTGGCACGTTACCTGCCTTCAAGCCGTCGATCGCGTCGGCAAGCTCCTCGCCTGAGCCTTCCTCTTTGATCTGTCTGATCGGATATAGATATGTGTGGAACGCAAAGACCAGTGCCTTCGACTTTGGCAGTCGATGGAGTGTCTGCCGCTCGGAGCGGACGAATGTCTTGTCGACGTCCACCTCGTCGAGCTCCACGGTATCGTCGGCCCTGTCGCCGTCATGTGCATGCGTTTTAGAATGGGCGGCGTACAGGTCCGCGTTGGTCGTTATGCTCCAGTTCACACGCTTAACGTACTTGCCGGGCTCGATTTTGGCAAAGAAGCGGTCCATGCTACCTTCCAGCTTGGAGCTGTAGCCTGGGACGGGCCCGTGGATGGCGGCGAGTCGCTGGCCGATTTTCTCTGCCGGGTCGAATCCGGATGGACATACCGTCACGTATGCTTCGAGCACGTATTTGGGATCTTCCGTGTCCTTTTCGGGCAGAAGGAATAGAAAATCCTCATCGATGGTCCGGCCAAGGATCTCGAGGAGTCTGGAAGTCGGAGTTTTGGAGCCGGGTTTGGCAGGGAATAGTGCGCCTGTCACGGTGTTCTGGAGCATGAATGTCTGGCCCGCCTCGTAATTGGTCTCGTGGAGCTTGAAGACCTGTGGGAAGCGCAAGGGCAGGAACGTGCCCATCAGGAAGATGTAGAACTCAACGACGGCGGGGCGAACACGCTCATCGTCGTTTACATTGATAACATGCTTACCGTGCTTCGCCATGATGTCCTTGCGGTATTCGATGCGATCGGCGTAGGTCTTGTCCATGAGCAGCAGTTCTGAGGGCGCGAGGTTCTCAAGGGCTGAGGAGTCAGATTCGGCTCGAACAGAAAGTCAGCTCTTCCTTGCCACGGGGGCTGGACAGAGTGAAAAAGGAAATAAGGCTTAAGAAGAGAGGGGTATAGAGACTCACCCATGGTCAAGTGGTATTTGGGCTTGAAAGGCCGGGCTTGGACTGGTTCGGTGGTTTTCCAATCGAAGTCGATTTGCTCCTCGATGGGAGGAAATTCAGGCGCTTTGAGATAGCGTCTATCATGACCGGCTTTGGCGGCGGCGCTCTGTGGATAGAGGTGGCATTAGTTTCGTATAGCGAGCAGGCCAGGATTGCAGCGTTGAGTTCTTGATGTCGGACGGGGTGTGCCCGGGCAGAGCTTGATTGGGTGCGGGAAGAATCTCACCTGTTTGGACTTTGCTTGCCATAACGCAAGCCCTAGGAAGAAGACAATAAGGATGATATTCATATAGTTGGCCAATGTGAATGTCGAAGCGGCCTTGATGTTTTCCCATGACCTCCAATGCCACATCAGGGTGGGCTTCATGACGTGAGGAAGATAGTCCGGCATCCTGAATAGCAGCAGGCCCCCCTACTCTGCTTGAATGCCGCTTGCTTGTTCGAAAGGCGATTGAAGCGGTTGTCCTTCTGACCAATATTTGGTCTGGTGACTGCCAGTGGTCTTTAGATGGATTTTTCCAACTCACTGGTCACTGGTTTTCGTTCAACATGGGGGAAAGTGAAGTAGCTAATGTCAAGCCGCGTATGTGGTCTTATAAAAGCAGTCTTATCTGTTCGCGCCCAACGACATCCCGAACTCTCAAGATCGGCTTGACGAAAGTACTTCGGCGCGATCTTGGTATCTAGAATTACGACCCCAGAGTACCTACCTTATCACGCCCTTCTCCGCTGCCCTGCCGCGGCCTCTTCAGCATCAAAACCATCGGTGTTAAGGGCGCCGACAAAGAAAGACTTCGTGCACGTGCTCTTTCCCCCGGGGCCTTCCTCAACTGTGACGCGCTACCGCCTAAATGATCCATCATAGGCGTCAATCACTTTATTGACATCGACTTTGGATTTGTACTCTCGCATGGCCACTGACGGCGGAGATGACAGGGGACGATGGCTTTGCAGGTCTACATTTCTCATACCGGTAGAAACTTGACTTACCATGATACCAACGCTACCGTTGAGTCGCTACGGTCATGGATCGAATCCAACGCAGCCATCCCTGCGGTGCACCAGATCTTGATGACATCTCGGGGCAAACTGGTCAAGAATCTTTCGAACGAGGCCGAAGTCTACGTTTATGATAAGAACTATCTATCTTCCGATTCCAAACCGCCTGTTAGCCGCGATGTCGAACTTCAGGATCCCTCCGAACCCCCTTCCTCCCTCGCGGACGAGAACAGCCTCAAAGCATGGCAGGATCTGTTCATGTCACGGCGAGCTTGGGCACTTGAAGCATTCGAGGTAGCACGAAACGGTGTGGAAAACATCGAAACATGCACAGACGAAGCAACCGTGATTGCTCGTTCCATGAATGTTGCCCTAGACAACCTGCGGAATCATGTGAACTCTTTGCAGCAGAGATTCGACGAAACCCGTCAGTGGGCGGAGGGCTATCTTCAGGAACTTCGTGATGTCCTTAGGGATTGGCAGACATGCACAAACACCCTTGGAGAGCTGCCAGTGCGTGAAGATGTGGCTCGAATTCTGCGGCGGCCGAATGACCCTGGGCACGATCAGGCTGAAACGCCTGTTGGAACTCTGCTGGAGCTGACTCACCGAGATCGTCTTGATGCTGCTGCGGAAAGTGTTGAGCAAAGTACATCGACATTCGCAAAGGCTTTTGAAGAACTACACTATGGCGTGGAGTCTTTGAGGACGGACACAGATAATGCTAAGAGTCGTTCGCCGCAGGTGCCACAGTTCGACACAAATGCTCTTCTGGATGAAGCTGAGACTCTGGCCAAACGCATCAGCGCCGACTACGAAGATGTCTTGCAAATGCCAGATAATCCCAAATCGGTAATTTCAGCATCACGAAAAGCGGCTGTCCATACGCGAGACCTATTACCGGCCTTTCAAAGTCTTATACAAGAGATTGTCCAGGGATGCAAGTCGGCTGCAGAAGCGAGAAGTAATGTGTCTCTCGAATGGTCTTCGACATTGCGTCACATTTCCAGCCTCCAATCTCGCCTGCCAGAATTGTTATCTGCAGTTTCGAGCCTGGACTTTCAGGACAACGACAATTACCAACTGCTTACCTATGTCTTTCAACTTCCAGAAATCTACGGGGCTACTTTGGTGGAGGCTGCTCGTCGATCAGAATGGACCGAGCGTATGCGGTCGGAGGTGGACGCCCTTCACGATGATTTATCACAACAAACCGAGGAAGAGCAAAGACGTCGAAAGAGATGGGCGGCTTCTCACAGCGAGTTTCTGAACGACGACCTGAATGCTAAGGATGCTCTGATCGATCTTAAAGCGTCTTCTCCACGAAATTCTTGGCCTTTTGTGAGCAGAGACGAGATCTTTGCTTGGACAGACGACCTTCGAGCCTTGGGAATGGATGATGCAGTCCAAGCTATCATCCAGCGTATGAAGGAGTTGGATGCTTCGGTCCGCAGACAGAAACCAAAGCCTTTCAAAAATGGTAGTATGCATGACCTCACCCAAAGTGGCGTCCTTCGTGGCGCTGATGGAGTGAAGAGTCTACAAGATGACAAATTGAGACTGGAGGAGAAATTGCGTGCTTCGGACAGCCGTGTACGCAAGTTGGAAGATCTGCTTCATCGTCAGAGCCAACTTAGTCGACCAGCCAGTGGCGTGTTTGTGCCAGGCAGCGCCACGGACTTCGAAGCACGCTCCCCCTCACCGAGTCCCTTGCAGAGACCGAGTGATCATTCGCGACGATCATCAACATCGGGACGCCGACTGTCAAACAACCACGATGAAAAGACCTTGGTGCAAAAGATTGTGGCGCTGGAAGGTCAAATCCAGAAGTTGCAGGAGGAAGCACACGAAGAGCGCAGATCGAGCACGGAAAGCCGCGATAAGATGCAGGAGGCTGAGCTGGTCAAGCGAGACCTGATGGCCAATCTCGAAGCTCAGAAGCAAGAATTTGACGATGAGCGGCAACTATTAGATGACGAAGTACATAGGCTTAAGGTCAAATTGGATGAAGCAGAGGACGAACTTGACCGCCTTAACGAGTCCCGAGACCACCTCCGATCGGAACAAGATCAACTTGTTGTGAACCTCCGAAACGAGCTGGGAGATTTGAGGCGCTCCTCAGAGGAAGAAGTGGCGCAGTCACAGCGGAGAGTCGAGGCGGCCCAGAAGGACGCCGCTAGTCAGCGTGAGCGCGCAGCAACGCTAGAACGGCAAGTGCATCAAATCAAGGACGACAGGGCAAACGCTCAAGGCCACAACATGGCACAAGCCAATCAACTGAGGGCAATGGAAGATCAAGAGCAGGAATACATCGCTATACTACAGGTTGTGCACTCCAACTTGTCTCCAGCTGGCTCTCCGCCTGAGAACCTCCGCCGCCTTGTCAACGCTCTGGAGATCTTGTCAGAAGGCGCTGCAATTCATGCGCGCGGGCTTGACGATTCCTTGCAACTGGCGACCGCAGAACTCAAAGCTTTGGAGGAGAAAGTCTCTAATGCTGAGTCTCAAATCAAGGCACTGACTGAACAACTTTCTTCAGCGGAAACCTGGGCAAGTGAGTTGCGTGAAGATTTGAGCCAAGAAAGAAACAAAGTCTCTGCTCTTCGATCAGAACTCGCGGGCGAGCGGATTGAGATGCACAGCTTGCGGGAGAAGTTTGCAGCAGGCGAAACAGGCTCTGATGCATTGAGACAGCAGCTGAAGTCCGAGGAACAAAAGGTGGCTGACCTAGCTGATCGCAAAGCCGACGATGAAGGAGTGATACAACGCTTGAAGCATGAAATAGGAGATCTTACCCACGAAGCACAAATGGCGACAGAGCGGCAAGAAAAGGTCAAGAAGCATTTTGACAAACGAGGCGAGAAAGCCAAACAACTATCGGAGCGACTTTTCCACTATCACGATCGCATCATTCGTATGCTCGAGCAATTTGGATACTCAGTCGCTCGACAAGAGGAAAACCTACTAATCCAGCGGGCATCCAAGGTTAACGCTAGCACTTTACTCAGCGGCGGCGAAGGCTCGGGCCCATCTGTCATGAGAAGGACCAGTTCCGGAGCCGCCCCCACACAGCACTACTCGGACCCTTCAGACCTGGAAACTCTGTACTGGATGTCCGATGGCGACCTTGGGTCCGAGTCGGCGAAGTTCACTGGCTTCGTCTCGGCTTTGCAGCGACTGGACATTGACAGCACCATCGACCTGATTACCAAACGGTACAAGGACGTTGAGATGCTAGCAAAGAAGTATCAAAAGGACTCACGTGCCTATCGCGAGCGTACACATAGGAGTCAAGCGGAAGCCCATGACAAGATTGCATACCGCAGCTTCAAAGAGGGCGATTTGGCTCTTTTCCTCCCTACGCGCAACCAAGCAACTCGGCCTTGGGCAGCCTTCAACGTCGGTGCGCCACATTATTTCCTCCGGGAACAGGATGCGCACAAGCTTCAGACGAGAGACTGGCTGTTGGCCCGCATTAACAAGGTCGAGGAGCGCGTGGTGGACTTATCACGTAGTCTCTCAACAGGGATGCGTGGTAATGCTTCGACAAGTGGGAATGTTGACGACAGCGGCTCGATGAGGTCGATTGATGATGAGAACCCCTTTGAGCTGTCCGATGGGCTGAGATGGTACATGATCGATGCAAGCGAGGAAAAGCTTGGTGCCCCGGGTACGCCATCCGTAGGTAAATCGACAGTGACAGCATCGAACATCGATGTCAAGGGACATATGGGCATGGGCAGGAAAGAACACAAATCCGGCATCAGCATCGGAGGATCCAGCGGAACGGCGACTGCGACGATGGTGACCAAGACACTGACTAAGAGTCTAGACAGTCGACGATCCAGCACGGGCAGCAAAAAGAGCATGGATCTCAAGGGGAAGCACGATGCAGCTGGCACGGGCAGAGGAAGCAACATGAAAGATGTTCCCGCCAAAGCTGCGCCGCTTGCACCTATTACCAGTGACACAGATGCCGAACAAGCACAAGACTCCAATGGTGATGCGGATGCCGAGAACGACAATGATGCCACAGCACCGGATGCACGATCAAGCGTGGTCCGGCAGCCTACAGAGGCCAGTCAAACAGATAGGGAGGATGCGAAAGTATTTGAAGTGGTGAGGAGGGATCTCCTACTTGGCCCCTGATGCTCGACTGATGGCAATCCTAGCCCGGCAATGAATCGGCTTCGTTCCCGAACGAGGCGGCCGCCCCTGACTCCAGTAGGCAATACCCAACGTTCAGCGTATATGTTCAACCAGGGACCAAAGGACCAATTTCCAACCAGTCTGCTGCACCGTCCAGAGATGCATCGCAGTCACCGATGAAGCATAAGATGCCAGGCTCGGCTGCAAGCCCGGCGAAAAGCAACACGTCGCCGGCCAAGCAAAGGCCTTGGGACAAACTATTCAGCGTGGAGTACAGGGCATGATGAGCGATTTGACCCTACCTAGGTAGGTAGCGAATGTTGGACGGCAGCTTCTCACGTGCAGTGCAGCACGAATACTGCGGGGAACTCTGATAATCACGTGATTGGGATTACTGGACAATCGTGATTTCGTGATCATTCCGATCGGATGCGGATTGAAGCATCGGTTGAACGAATTCCATGAAGGTTTTGCTCGGTGCATATCAGGAGCGAGTTGCAAGCGCACGATAAGTGCCTACTAGTCGAGCAAGTAGCAACTTAAAATTCTGACAGTCCTGTGGCACAGACACGGTTGCATGCATTATTACAAAACACCAAGTACTAGTATCTCGGATCCCAAGCTAGGTACGTACCTACGCGAGGCATGGTGGGCACGAGTCCAGGACTGGCAAACGTAATGGACCACGACCAAGCAGAAGGGTATAAATAGGGAATGCAGCAGTGATTGAAGAGCAAGGAAAGGAGCTGTGCCTGCAGTGAGAGAGGTGACTGGTTGGGATGATAGAGAGTAGAGAGGGAAATGAGACGGAGCTGACTCGGTGCAGGCAGGGAGCGAAAAGGGAGCAGGGATAAAGCACTTCAGGTGAAAGACGTAGGAAGCTTGACTAGTTTGATATACGGAGTACTAATGTGCCTGTCAAACTGAGGTGGAAGCAAGGTAGGTATGATAGTGTGCAGGAGAGGGATGTGAATGGCTGCGAGGAGGAGCTGAGTACGGAGTACGGAGTCAGCTACCTCAGTAGTGGGTGAGTGACCCAGGTACGAGTAGGAGAAGAAGGAGAAGAGAGATGGAAGGAGGAAAGAAGGGGGAAGGAGGAAAACCAGCAAGAGAGGGAAGGAGAGAGAGAGCACTGACTGGGCAGCTATCATCAGCATCATCATCATCACCACCACAACCAGCAAGCCAAAGATGGTACCAAGCACGCAAAGGGGAAGAAAGGGGAGAGAGAGATGGAAGCTTGTGAGGGAAACTGGCGAGTGAGTGCGCAGGATCAGATCAATCGCTGCGGGAACTGTGCCCAGATCAATTGATCCGGCCACAAGGTGTCATTCCATTTCCCAATAGGCGGCCAGCCCGGTTGTTGTTGGCAGAGAACTGGCAGGCAGTCAGTAGTCACGGCCATTCCCCCCTCCCACCCAATTTTCCTACTACTACTTACTACTACTACTACTACTACTACTACTACTACTACTACTACCACCACTTTACTCTCCTCCCATACAAATCCTCCCATACAATTTTCGCTGTGACTTGTTACTGCACTCATCGCTCACACTGAGCGCCTGCGTTACTACTACTCACCACTGTAAGTACTATTTACCCTCACATTCACTACTTGCGATCCTTTCTGTCCACACCACCACCTTTCTTTCCAATTGTTTTCCCTTCAAATCCCCGTCGAAAATGGCCTTGTCATCCTCTTTCTACCCTGTTTGCTACCTTGCTCGACCTCATCATCGCCGTCACCACTACTATCACCGCACCATCAACAATCGCTAACAATCACCACCACAGTGCACACCACACAACTCACCTTTCCGACGCGTTTTTGACTGCTCGGTAAGTCAATTGGACTCTGCGCTTCTCTTGGTCAATTGAAAACACGCGTTTTGAACGTGAATGCATCTTTGTCGCGCATTGCCTACCATTCACTCAGTCGTGCAATCGTCACTACACAAGCACCTTCCTCATTACCTCGCGATAATGTCTTGGTCGCTGTCCTTCTGCGCTTCGTGTCATCTCTCCTACGCTTCGCGCCTATTCCAGTCTACCAGCAACCACTGTCTTCTGTTTGTTGGTCGCAGGCCACTGACAAGCCTAAAGGAACGCGCACCCTACAAGCTCAATTAGCAAACCTTTCACACTCACACATCACCGTCATCATGCCTAAAGCAGCAGCAAAAGCTACCAAGTCCAAGGCCCGTGGAGGCGACAAGAAGAAGAAGGGTTCGGAAACACATCATCCACAGCCAACACAACCCAGCTAACCATGGCAGACCCCAACGCGCCCAAGCGAGGTCTCTCTGCCTACATGTTCTTCGCCAACGATCAACGTGACACCGTCCGTGAGGAGAACCCGGGTATCAGCTTCGGTAAGACTTCAATCCTCATTGTAATTCACTTATACTGATTGCTTCTACAGGTCAAGTTGGCAAGGTCCTTGGTGATAAGTGGAAGGCCCTCAGCGAGAAGCAACGTGAGCCATATGAGAAGAAGGCCGCCACCGACAAGAAGCGGTACGAAGACGAGAAGGCCAAGTACAACGTGAGTAACCAGGAACCTGTCTTGCCATGGCGGACTGCTGACCTTCACCTCTAGGCCGCTGCTGAAGAGGATGAGGATGAGGACTAGACGGCTAGCAATGAGTCGACCACTAACGTCTCAATCGCACGCATTGTTTCGAGTCCATCCAAGTTTTCTTCCCACGTTATGTGTTTACTAGCAAATGATCGGCTGGGTGGCAGGGGTTCCGGAGTCTGTAGTGGACAGGGTCGGTATGCTTCACAGGCAGCTCGATGGGAACAGCATTGAGCATGAGCTCCAGCTTCCAAATATTACTATCGTGCATATGAGGATCATGTGTCACGGTGGTTTGAGCTGCAACAGCACAATGTGATTAGCATACCAAGGTACTTGCTGTATACTAGGTCTTTATGCAACGCAACATCTCATACACTTCCCTTTCTGCTGATGGCCAACGCGTTAACATGGTCAAACGCTGCCATAACGTGACGCGTCTCGATATCCAGAATCCAATTAAAGTGATCATCTCTTTCCGGTGTGATAGAACCCATCACCATGGTTCGCGTTTTAGCCCCCTTCCACCCACGCGGCTTGGCCAGAATCGTCTCAGGCAACAACAAGGCGCAAGGTTGACTTCGTGCGGACCTCATAAGGATGCTTCTTCCTCTATTTCCCTTCCAAAATCTCTTCATCTTCAATATGCGCTGCTCGACATCCATCTCTTGTGCGATGCTGCAGCCATATGTCCCCCGGCATCTGCTCCAGGCATCTGCTCCAGGCATCGCCTATCCGGCGTGTTGCCGAGGACTGCGACCAGCAATGAATCGTGTTACACGCGTCAAGGCACAATAATTCATGGGGATCATTTTTCACTTCGTATACTAGCGCCACAAACAAGTTGGCCAGGAAAAGGTAGGCATTATCTCTGAAAGCACAGTACACGCCGACTTGTGCAAGAGGTGTCGCTTGGCCATGCTCCTCTGCAGCAGAACCCACCGAGGGCCAGCTTATAGGCAGCCATGCCTGTGGTATGACGCTATCTGACTTGTTATTCAGCAAAACAGCGAACACACGCGTTCACTGCTGCTGCAACACTTTTCAACAATGCTGGAAGTTCGTGAAAATGGTGCTTATTGGGGGCTAAGGTCCTATAAGATCGATACCAGGCATGACGGTTACAGCTCGCGAGCTTGTGTTGCAATGCTCCATGTGCGAGCCGATCATGGACAAATCGGCGTGTCTCGAGCGGCAGTAGACCAGCGCGCCAGCGCAGTCTACCTTCGGCTTCTCTTGCTGTCCGTTTGACACGTCAAACCACCTGCATAAGGTTCGTCTCCGCGAATTACGATATCAGCTGTACCGGCCGGCCGGCTCCAAATTCTCGAACGGACTATCTTGACTCAGGAAAAAAGAGCCTCATCAATTCGGCTTATGTCGGCGTCAGATCTTGTCATCTACATCGCGAGGGCAGTCTTGCGTAATGTATGGATCTAGTATATCTACTCCTTCGCCAGGAGGCCGCTCGAGCTGACGAGATTGCCGAGATCCTCACCAACATAAAACGCTATGACAGGGAGCATGTGCAGGAGATTAGTTTGGCACTTGAGGAACTGCACTTGCTCAGCTGGACGTTTCGCAAGCTCGACAATCAGATTCGCGCTCCGGGTTGCAGACTCGGCACAACTTTCTCACGAGACCTGAGACTTCTCCAGCTTAGTGCCGCATTCACTCTACAGGATGTTTGGACGATACTCGGGAAGATCCCTGAGGTTGCGATCGACATCGATTATCTGACCGCTTGGCAAAATGTGAGGCTGTATTGCCGTCATATGGGCGAGCAGAATCTCTTCACGATATTGAAAACCTACAAACATTTTGCATATGGACTGCGCATGTTTCTGCTAAGGTAGGGAAAGGCGCCTCGCCCTGGGCCGTTACGAGTACTCAGTCGTTTTGGTTTCAGGCATTCCTATAGCCAAGAGCATATGGACAGTCTTCGCCATCAAATATACGACCTACAAATGAAGCAGCTACTCAATCGACGACCGATCCCCCCCGCAGAGAATTTCCATACGCTTTCCCTGGTTCCGGTTCAGCAGTCAGGCGCGTACATCTTATAAGCAATGTGCCGACTCCAACTGATAGCAAACAGTCATCAGACCACCGCATCAGTGGCCCATTTCACCGACATTGTCCGAGTACAGCGACGAGGTTCATTGGCGTCCAGCGGCTCCTAGTCCGCCAGCCTTGTCGCCTACAACTACGTTTTCCACAACGAGTCATGCTTCGAGCGCAGAATCGGAGATCGGTCATTGGGCGAGCAGGATCTTTTCCGACTTACCAGCTACCATGCTGGACGGTGACCCTGAACGGTGAGGCCCACTGCAAATCTATGCTCCTCGATTGCTGACGTACACGCGTGGATAGGTCTCGCTACAGTGACAAATACCTTCGTGGATCCAGCATTCTTCCAGGTGCTGAGTATAAGAAGATTTTCCAAATGTAAAAGAATGACTTGGGCTGAGTAACAACGCAAAGCTGACACTTGTCCAGAAAGTTCCCTGGGAATTTCCGAATCAAGCTCTACTTGAGATCCAGCGACTATCGATGTGAGATTGTGTGTACATGGCCGGAGGACCGTCACAGCGATGGGGGACATTCCTGCATGCCGCTTGATGAATTGCACATAAAACGGGCCGGTCCTCTTCTGCACCTGTGTTATCCAACAATCGAGTCCCCCCATATATGCTGGGCCATGCTCAAATTCACTGCATACGAAAGTCAGCAGAACCCCCAATTGGACTTATGCTTTATAACTGACGTATCCAGTGCTGGTCATTTTTCATTGTACGTTCTTGTCTTTGCGTTCTCATAACCGTGCACGATATGCGAGTAACGAATTCGACCACGAGGTCAAAGGGGAATCGTGTGAGTTTGGAGGGTAAGCATAGGCGTCTGTGCTGGAAGGAGTTCCGCTGACCACTGTAGGACTATACTTGATGTCGGATACAGGCATGCTCTGCGCCTCTGGCGGGACGAGGCCACCAATGTTGTGAGGCTTGAAGCCTCCGTGCTCAACGGCGTCATGAAGCAGTAGGTGAATGAGTTCCTTAGGAATTCGCGGACTCTTACTGCCAAGCAGCTGCCCTATCTGGACGGCCTTTATAACGCATTCAATCACTTCCCCCACCTGGTTTCACCGGCCCAGGAGAAGTGCTACCGTTTACTTGGCCGAGTTGCAACGGCATGTCTTTTCCTCACAGTATTCGCCTTATACATGCCCAAGTGGGGAACATTGTCTCGAATTTGAGGACGACAAAGGTAGCACGATAGGCGTTGCGGATGACTTGGGGCGTTGCTGACAGAATGCAGACGCAAAAGATTTTGTCAAAGCCATTGAACGTCTCGGCGAGGAACATGGCCGGATGGCAAGCGCGCCATGATGGACAATTGGACACTTGGACACTTTGACGACGTGATGACACTTACGACCTAACGAACTTGAACGATCTAAGGATCATGACTGAATGACATGGGCGGCAATAGCGTTGCTTGAGAATGTTATTTGGCCGCACAGCGAGGCGCCTTGCAGTTCTTAGAATACCCTCTGCGCAGGTTTTGTTTCTTGATATGTCGTTCTCAGCTCGTTTCAGTGCTCCAAGTGCCTGACAGGGGGTGCTTGTGTGGTGGAAAAGCCAGCAGCTTTGTCTTTCTGCTACTTCTAGCTCGACAAGAAACAGATATTCGAACTGTCATACGAGTTTACCGGGTAGTATCGGCACCCATGGCCATGTCGACTGCATGCCTGGTTTGCTTAATGTTCTTGCATTTTCACCGTGAACGGGGATAAAGGAGAGATGCTGTCAAGCCGCTCGCGGCCGCTTTAGCCGCAAACCCCTTGTACTGGATTCTATGGGTGCGGTGGGCGCCTCTGTCCATCAACTGTTCTCCGCAGTAGCCACCACCGTCGCCGGCCGCATTCCGCCTATCAAGTGGCCGCAGAAAATAACCTTTAGCCTCGATCTGCTCCTTGCTTCGCGTCATCGCGTACCGGACGGCTCAAATTCGTACAATGGGGGATGTGGGTAAGGATCATCTCCGTTTTCACCCTCACTTATTAGTCCTCTGTCTGCCGCTGCGGTTGATGATCATGGATCTTCACCTCTTTTCCTGTTCGTCGCTGTGTGGTAGACGACCAGTCCTACAATGTCGCAGCCAGATGTGCCCATAACGAGTGACAAGCAGACTGCAGAGGCAGCCCTGTTCACATCACAGACACCTCCTGCGCAAAGACATGGCGAACCGAAGCCGAAAGGGTCATTATGGCAAAAGGCATATGGCTATTTCACCTATACGCCTAAACAATGTCGATATGACCCTGACAAGCCCTTCCAATTCTCTATGAGCTTGAACCTGCTGTTCGGTAAGTCCTCACCTCTCTGCCGGCCAGTAATGAGATTGACAATTGTCGCTGAAGCATTCGCTGGATGTTTTACCGTCGCCAACTTATATTACACTCACCCGATCCTGAACCTCCTGGCCGAGGATTTCCATGTTACCAACGAACAATCGTCTTACATTCCTACCCTCGCGCAGGCAGGTTATGCAGGCGGCCTGCTGTTCCTTTGCCCTGTTGGCGACCTGATTAAGAGGAGGCCGTTCGTGCTCTGGCTGGTCTGGTTTACGGCTACATTATGGTATGTGGGACCATTCTCGTCTGGAGTGAATACAGTCACTGATATACGAGAATAGGATCGGTCTCTGCATTACCAAGTCCTTCGCTGCGTTTGGCGCGATTACCTTCATCACGAGTGTCACCACGGTCACGCCACAGTTGATGTTGCCCTTGGTAGGCGACATGGCGCCTCCGCATCGTCGATCGACTGCCCTGTCTATTGTTGTGTCTGGCATGTTGCTCGGCATGCTAATGGCTCGTCTCCTGTCAGGTGTGGTCGCTCAATTCATCGGGTGGCGGTACATATACTGGATATCATTCGGCCTGCAATACCTCATCTTGATCCTACTGTGGCTCTTTATGCCCGATTATCCTTCGAAGAATCCAGATGAGAAAATCTTGAAGAAATACCCGTTTCTTCTCTGGGACATTGTCAAACTGGTGGCCAAATATCCTGTCTTGGTACAAGCATGTCTTGTCGGATTGTTTACCGCTACCATCTTCACTAGCTACTGGACCACACTGACTTTCTTACTCGCTGGAGCACCGTATCATTACGACAGCCTGGTCATTGGTCTATTTGCGCTGATCGGCATCGGTTCTATGACTTGGGGGCCTATTTTTGCGCGAACGTTCATGGAGAAACACCAACCTTTGCTATCCGTCATGATCGGCGAGATAATCTGTTTGGCCGGGGTGATTGTCGGAACGTATACCGGCAAGCACACGATCGCTGGGCCTATTCTCCAGGCTGTCGCCATCGATATCGGCTTACAGACCAGCCAAATCGCTAACCGGACCGCCATATACGCTGTGGCGCCTCTGTCACGGAACAGGGTCAATACGGCGTACATGGTCAGCGTTTTTGTTGGACAGCTGATCGGTACAGCTGTAGGGAATCGTTTGTACGCTCGAGGTGGGTGGACCTCTTCGGGCTCGGCGAGTGTTGGATTTGTCGCCTTTGCTCTGTTGGTTTGCTTTTTGAGAGGGCCCCATGAGAAGGGCTGGATTGGCTGGCGAGGTGGGTATGATATGAGCAAGAAGACGCCGAAGAAGCCTGGGCCAAACGACCCTGAAAACGGTCCGACTCAGGAAGGCATGCAACCCGTTGCTCAGGACGGTGCCGAAGCAAACCAACAAGAAAAGGAATTGCAGGTCGAGCTTCAGGGAAGCCAAGATGTCGCTGCTGATAGTTCGAGGTCGTCTCAGAGGACCCTGGGCGAAGAGATCCAGGAGGAGAAGAGGTGAGGGTGGCTCAAAGGCCATTTCCATCATATATATTCAAATCGTCCATACAGAACGGCACAGCTTTTGTCATACTGACTGGCAGGTCTGTTCTCTGCAGTTTTACAGGCCAGACGAGCAGCAATACTCCAGGAGCAAGCCTGCCACTTTTCTGCTCTCGGTTGGAAGCCCACCACCTTCCAGCAATACGCCCCTCGTCTTCTCCAGGTTTTGATGGGGCTTGCTGCTTCATCCAATGTTGTGACTATGTTCCGTGCACATTCCTCACGAGCCGCGTTGGAATTCTATGCGGTTTGTCTTCAAAACCACAACTCAAGATGGATATACTCGACGACATTGCGCGTACACCCCTACAATGCAGTCTTTCATCACTTGGCCGATCATGGCTGTCCATTCATTTACACCCAAAAGTGCGGGTGCTTCGTTTCTTCTTGCTTGTCTTTTATATTTACAATATGTTTCTGCTCAGACCGGCTCTGTTTATCAACTGGACACCGAATATTCAGGCGTGAATTTCTTCGATGGCTGGGACTTTTACACAGTGGGTGTCGTCCTGTTGCAAAAATACACTTGACTGATTAGTGCAGGGAGGAGATCCCACTGGCGGATTTGTGACGTGAGTCAGGATGCACATCAGCGAATGCGAATATTGACCATGAGCCAGATACTACAGTCGTTCTTCGGCGCAATCTGCAGGCATGATCGATTCCACTACCAGCCAGTCAGTCTACGTGGGTTCGGATTATACCAGTAACATTTCCTCTCCGACTGCCGCGGGTAGACCAAGTGTCCGGATTTCCTCCCAACGATCATGGACGCATGGTCTGTTCATTGGAGATTTCAATCATGCCCCAGGAGGAGTTTGTGGGACATGGCCGGCATGTATGTTGTGTGCCTTTTGGGACGGACGTTTTATGCTGAAAATGCTCAGTTTGGACACTCGGGCCGAATTGGCCTTATACCGGAGAGATCGATATCCTGGAGGGCGCTAATCTGAACGACTATAACGGCATCACCTTGCACGCGTAAGACCAAGGAACACTCTGCCAGTAGGGTTGACTGACGAGACAGCTCGCCAAATTGTACAATCGCTGACACCAGTCCGATGACGGGTGCCTTACAGACTGACAACTGTGCATACTATGTGAGACGACTCCTATTTATGTCCGAATTGTGACTGATTAGCCACAGCCCGGCTATAACGTTGGATGTAGCATAAGTGACGATCGAACTTCGGCTTATGGGACGACTTTCAATCAGAATGGTGGAGGCGTCTATGCTATGCAATGGACAACGGACTACATCCGTGTCTGGTTCTTCCCACGTGGATCGATACCGTCTGATATCACGGACTTGACCCCCGATCCTTCCTCCTGGGGTCTTCCAGCTGCCAACTTCGAGGGGTGTGTGATTGATCAACACTTCCAGGACCACAAAATCATCCTGAACAACGACTTTTGTGGTTCATATGCTGGGGATGCAAGCGTGTGGAACTCATCCAGCGATTCTTGTGCGACACAAACCGGTTATGCAACTTGTAACGAATATGTGGCCTTTCAGCCTGCCGCTTTTCAGGACGCGTACGTGGAGTCATTCGTCTGAACAAATGGTGGCTGACTTGTTGTGTAGGTATTGGAGCATCAATTCAATTCGAGTGTACCAGCTCGCCAACTCCAGCAGCAGCGCGTCAAGCTCATCATCCTATATTGCAAGTCTGCAGCCAACCTCAGCCACCGCTGTAACGAGTAGTTCGGGATCAACACCGACAGTCAATCCAGGCACCTCCCTTTGTCCAACGTACAATTTTACGGTCATCGAGCAATCCAACCTGAAGTTTGAGATTGCGTGCGGCTTCAATCCTCCAGGCGACGATATTGGACCTCCCAATGGCAATTGGCCAGTAAACTCTTTCGAAGATTGTGTGGCTGGATGTAGCTACTGGAACAATAATATTACCACCAACAGCTGCGCGGGCGTCACTTATGATGTAGGTAGCAACGCATGTTACTGGAAAAGCAGCATCTCGGGCAACCCTGCGGATCCCGGATACAATGGCGCCAGACTCATTTACTATGCATACCCGCAAGTTACAGACAATCCGAATGATCAAACCGCGGCGGCAACAACAATTGCTACCTCATCCTACGTATTTACAAGCGTCCCGCCGAATACTTATGTGGTTCCATCGGGATCCTCAACAACCTCATTCTCGCAGGTTACCCAGACGCCGGCTTCGTCGCTGACCGATGGTGTCGGCATGGGTGCTCCTGCTACAACTAATTCGACCACAAGTGCTGGGACGACTACTAGCGAGGGTTTGACTAGTTCTTCGACGAGCCCTACGACGACGGCGAGAACTTCAGGTTCCACAGGCGTCACGTCTTCGGCTGGCCCTACGTCCGCAACGACTACGGTGACAACATCAAGCAATGTGGTCGTTCAGTCGAGTTCCACAAAATCCTCGACCGTGCCCACTTCTGCGACCACATTGCCAACGACCACGACGCCGCCCTCGCCTCAAGGATCGACTCAATTCTCTTCCACTGTGACCACGAGTTCATCAATTACCACGACAACGCTCTCGTCCTCTCAACTTTCCACGAGCACGACGGTTGAGACATCGCAGCCGACGACTGAGCCCACCACTGTCGGCACTTCTTCGAGCCCAGCTCCAACCACGACGCAGCAATCGAGCGTGGCATCGAGCATTTCTGTGTCGAGCGTATCGCCGTCGTCGTCTACGGTGACCTCCATCTCCACATCTATGACGAGCAGCACCCTCTCCGCGCCGAAGCAGAGCTCGTCAATCATGTTGACGACAAGCAGCGCAACTGGTCCTGCTTCATCTACGATCCAGACCAGTCTGACATCGTCGCCAACGTCTTCAACACTCCCAATCAACAGCAGCCCAAGTTCTCAGCCATCTCAGCAATCTACATCGACGTCAGCGACTTCGTCGGATTCGGTCTTCACGTCGTACGAATCTGTGACCATGACAACGACGTCGACCGCCTTCCCGACAGAAGTCTCATCCTTCACCTACGCAGGCTGTCTCAGTCCCATCCCCGACACGAACTTTACTGACTCCTTCCTCCTCGCTCAAACGTCCGAGAACATGACGATTAGCAGCTGTGTGGACGAGTGCACGGGTCAGCAGTATGCCGGCATTTATGATACGTATGTACTATGTCCAAACCCAGGGCCCCTCTGACGGATCGCTAACTGAGTGCAGTCAATGCTTCTGCTCCGATTACATCGGTGCCCCGCCAGCCTCCGATGTTGTAGTCTATCCGAACGATGCGTGCGATACACCTTGTCCCGGTGATTCCACCCAGGACTGTGGTGGGCTTGCTGAGGTTTCTGGAGCTGCACCGGTCGTCAAGAGGCAGGCTTCTGCGTCTACTTCCGCGACTGGTGCTACAGGAAGCAGCAATGTGGTCCTTCTGATCACTGTGTATAACAACACGCAGCCTGAGGGGATCGAGCCCAATACGACATTGACTACGAGTTCAACCACGACGTCGATTCCGATATCGATGATGGGATCCAGCTCGACGGTGCTTGTGGGTTCGGTATTACCACCAGTCGTGTCGACATCTACTTCTTTATCTGGGTCGGCATCTCAAGAGCAATCACAATTCCTGGGTCCAGCCTTGACGTCGACCACACCACTATCATCCCAGATGCAGGCCACCCCATCGTCATCGGCGACACAACTATCGCCGACAACGATTTCAACGACATACACTACCATCTGCGCGGCAAATCCATATACCTGTCCCATGCCCACAGCAACCTGTCTTGCAACTACGATTACAGTAATGCATTGCGGATGTACGGACATGCCTGAGCCCACGGTGCCAATGACTACGACTACCACCGTTATTCCCTGTGCTGACGCCGGTTCTGCTGCTGGAGTGGGTGAGGCGACAACCACGACGATTTTGACTGTTCCTTGCACGGAGGCGATATCGTCGATGGAAAGTGAGGTCAGCTCTTGGTCTGCAACTGCGACTGCTCTTGCGCCTCCGGCCGAGACTGCAATTCCAGCGGTCCCAGCTAACGCGGACGTCGCTGCACCTGCACCTACCGCTCCCGCTGTCCCCGCCGCCGGAACTGGTGAATCCGAGACGGCCCCTGCAACAGCTCCCGCAGTTGACACCACCACCTCATCACATCCACATCAGCCATACAGTTTTCCCATCTCATTCAGTATGACGACGGCGTCTTCAGCGGCGGCTTCAGTATCAGGATCGGCATCAGAAGTCTCACCACACACGACGGTCACTTTGACGATGATTGTGGCGCCAGTGCTCAATGTTACTGCCTCAGGAAATGGGACTGTGCATCTCGCGGGCAGTAATGCGACGGCAGTCAAGTCGGTGGTTGGACCTGCATCAACGCCTGGGTCAGTACAGCAGGGGAATCATCGGTCTGGAGCGGCGCAGGTACGGATACATGTGGTGAGCGGGTTAAACAGTGCGTTGTGCTTGACCATCGTTATGATGGTGCTGGGATTGGCTGTGGATGGGTTCTGACCGTGTATCTTGGTCTGAGGCCGCTTTGGATGAATGTATGTTCTTTTGATAGCTACTGGAAATGTCACAAAATTCTATGTGAAGCACTCATGGTCATAGTCTGTCTGCAGCAACCCCTGCCTAGCCGCAAAAGGCGTGAGCCCGGCCCACCTATGAACTTCAACCAGCCCTTGACGAAGAGGCAATTGCGTGTCATTGGGTCTGCCTCGCCTGTGTTGGAAATCTCGAGGGATCTAAACCGTGACGGCACAGCCTTTTATATCGCCGTTGACATCAAGGCCAATTCGTGCTATATCTCAACCACGCTGTATGGTGAAACTTTGATGACTCGAAACTCGCTCTATCGCCGACCTTGTGTTAGGGTTGATCCCCTTGGTTGTGAACGTTGGTCTTCGGTTCCTGTCTTGCTCCTGCTCGGACATAGGTAATTGTCCAAATATTGCTCACAACCAAGCCCATTTGAATAGCTATTGAGCCGTGGTGGCGTCTCACAATATCCTCGTGTTAAGCTTTGAGGGTTCTACCTAAACTCGACCAAGATTAATGACGCGCTGCTCGCTGTTCGCCAACTCGAAAACAGAGACAGCAAGAAATGGGCTTGGAACATCAACGGCCTGCACGGCCGGTGTATGGCAAGCTGGCTGCTCGATACGGACTTTGGCAAGGATGATGGTGTTGGTGGGAGTTGGGTGAGGATCGTAGCAGACGAAGACCTTGTGTCAAACCGGACCTTGGGTAGACCGAAAGGGAAACCCTGTTGACAGCAAGGGCAGGCGACTCACAACGCCGGACAAAGAAAACGAGAATGAGGCCGTCATACCAGAATACCAAGGTCAAGGCGGAATCGACCAGAGCAACGCGGAAATAGCCGACCAGGCGTTTCACGACGATATTCAGCTTATAGGCACACAAGGGACACTAACGCCAGTGAGCAAGACGCTGAAACCTATTATATTGGGGTCGACTACACCGAGACTAGCGACGCCAAAACCAGTAACACCAGAGCCGGTGACACTAGAACCGGCCGCTAGCCCTTTGGCTGAGACCAAGACACCGGCTACGATATCCACAATGAGAAAACGAGTTTTCAACTCGTTGATGGGAGCCTTTGAGACACTAGGGAACTGAATAGGCGGAACTGTGAAAGAAGCTACGTACTAGAAATCGAAAAACAAGCGGTAGAAGAAAATATGTAGACTAAGAGTTATTAGATTACGCGCTAGAAACTAGCAAACCGGTACTAAAGGGGACATAAGAGCAAGAGACGTTACGGTGAACCTACGGGTTCCTACCTCTTTTGAAGGGGGCAGATATTGGGAGTATCAGGCAGGAACGACCTGCGGTCACGTGGACCTGGCTACATAGGTTTCCAGGTCATTAGGACCTTGTACAGAATACCATACATATTCAGATTCTCCCTTGCTCCCCATACCTTGTATGCCCTTGGCACCGACATCTGGATCCACCTTCACCTGGACTGCATCGTTTGGGCCTGTCGCTCTGGGCTCGTCGTTGACAATATGCATGCCCTTCTCTTCAAGCATGTCGAGATGATGTATGAGAATCTTTGCATGTCCTATCATTCTTCAACAATGCTTGAATATATCCTTGGTGGCCCGGTGGGCATCAACCATGATGACGCGCACATCTTTGTTGAGTCGGAACGGCGTTTGGACTCATATCATTTGTAGGATTAAATGGGACTGAATGGATGGGAGGGGAGGGGAGGGCGACGATACAATTAACGTAGGGCGTTGGAAAATAGCCAACGTTAAGGTTGTGAGGTTCTCATGGGAATCTTCCCTCATCCCCAATCCGGGTGGTATGGTCGGCGACAGGCTCCCGTCCTACTCTGCTGTGCAATGCTTGACGGAAAGCTTTTGGGAGGATGGGCTGGACCAGGACGACTGGGGGCAGTGTAGTATTGGAGTCTGGGAGAGCGACTTTCAGGCCTTAAGTGGGGTGGGAGGAATACTCTCAAACCAGCACGTTGTCTCATCCAGTCCTTGTGCCTGCGGCGGGATTTAGAAGCAACGACCAAGGGTATAGTGATGGACAGGGTGAAAGTTGTTGTCTCCAACAGCATTCAGCCATTCAGCGTATGATGACCGTGGCGAGCACCTCGATCGTAACGGCACTGACTCTCGGCTGGCACAGGCGCATAGCACAGGTACAAGCATTGGTTCCCAATTCTCGTTTCTGGTAGAAAGACAGTCTTCAGAATGCTAAACAGGTACCGCCGGACTCTTCGAGATCAGCAGGTCATGATCCAGTCGAAGTCGAAAGAACAGAGCCTCCATCGTCGCTGGATCATCACCACAGTCCAGGGAAACCGCGCCAATGATAGCTTCCATCAACGTCGCGAGCATTCTCTCACTGAGGAAATCAACAGTCTCAACCACCACCAAGCATTCGTTGAGACCATTGTATACCGCCGCGCACGCCAGATTTTCGTTTCCCGCCACTTCCCTCTGAACCATGCTCCACTGACCTATTTCATCGTCAGTCCGATTGAACATAGATGAAGCTGGGGATGACACCTAAGGCCCTACCTCTGGAATTGCCCGTAGTGTACCACTGTCGACAGAGATGATGTGCAAGCACGGCGTCCCCAAGGACTGCGAGCGAGTCGTTCTTCCTGACCGAGCGAAGTTCATTCATGTACATGACAGAGGTGTTGAAGGTATGTAGAGCTTCGATGCACGGAAATTTGTCTTTGAATTCGTAATTGATGATCTTCTCGCACAGCCGAATCTTCTCGTCAAGGCCCTCAGAGTCTGGCATGATGAGTGGTGATGCGAGTGTGAAGTAGAGCGTTTTCGAAGGGCGAAAGCGACGTCCAGAGATTTTTTGGAATGCTAGTAGAGGTAACAGGCAGTAGAGGAAGGCTGATTGTCTGGAGGTAAGTGCCAAAATGGTTGTTTGGAAGTCGCAATCAAAGTGGCAGCCAACCTTGTAAGATGTGAGAGGGCAAGAGCGACTGCGAAGTGAACCTCAAAGCAAGAGATGGCTAAAACGACATCATGGCGCGGGCGGTAATGCTTGTTGGGGGAGACGCTTGTTATAGAGCGGCAGAGACAGCTCGACCTCATGAATTTCTCGTGTTCTTTGTCGTTGATGCTGCCACTGTTCATCGTCCGAGACAGCCTTGTTGGCATTTGTGCGAAATATCAAAACCGACTGACCGGTTGAGAACAGGAGATCCAAGTCATTGCGAATCGTTGACCTGGCTAGGTTGCAGTTGGTTAATTTCCTGCAGCTATCTTCAAGTCAATCTCTCTGCTGACAGTCCGACCAGTTCATTCACTGCCTTGAAGACCGCCCGTCCTCTTCCCCTCGACGAAGACCACCGGAGCCGTGAAATGTCTTCTCCCATGTAGCAAATACGTTACTGCGCTGAGCAATATCACACCAGCCCACACAGCAGGTGCCCAATTTGCGGTGCTTGTGTCGACCGGCAAGCTCGAGGGGAAGCAGCTGAAGACAATGGCGAAGGCGGAGTATGCAAAAGCGAACAAGTTGATCGCAAGTCCATATCGACCCAGACTCCATCTTGCTGGTGGTAGCGGTTCACCCTTGATTCTCTTTAGACATACGCACCCAATGGACAACAAATATGTGCTGAGCAGGGCGAGCAAATTGAGCGAAATGATGATATTGAAGGCGGTTGTCGAGCCAATGTTGATGAGACACAGGACAGCCATCCAAAATGCAGTGGCATAGACGGCGTTGAAGGGGATGTTCCTTCTTCGCTCTATCTTGCTGAGCCATTTCGAGAATGGGAAGCCTCTGTCCCGAGAGAAGGCGAACACTTCACGACTTGTTGTTGCCAAAGCGGTGATGTTGCTGCTGAAGATCAAAATCAGGAGAAGTATGGTGAGTACAAAAGCAACAGCGTTGCTTCCGGAGTTCACAAAGAGCTGGAGGTAGGGTACTTCGGCATTGATTGCATCGTCCAGAGTACCGATGCAAAAGAGCATCGTGAGAAGGATAACAATGCCCATGGCCACGTTCAGCACGAAAGACCACCACATGACTCTTGGTACAGTCCAGCTTGCGTCTTCCACTTCCTCGCTGATGTGACACGCCGAATCGGAGCCTGTACGGTTCGTCAGCTAGGCGCGATAATGACTTAGAAAAACTTACCCAGATTGCAGTATAGCACGGCAACCTGCGAGACAAGGCAGGCTGTGCCCATGTTTCCCCAGCCTCCGTTGTCGACGAAACTTGTGAACACTTCTTTTGCGCTGTTCTTCGGACACATCACCCAGAGAGGGATGATGGTGACGACAAAAAACAGCATGTGACCGATCAAACTGGCAGTCTCGACGGACGGTAGAGACTTTGCTCCCCAAGTGTTGAAGAATATCGTTGTCACCAGAAAAGCGATACTCATCAAGGTATATTGCCAGTTCGGAAAGACAAAGTCGGCGTTGGTTATTTCGATCAGGCTTTGGATGAGCGTGCTACATATAAACAGTCCGCTGGCGGCACCAGCAAGCCATCCGAGCGTGCTCATCCATCCAGCGGAATAGCTCAGGAATTTTTGACAAGAAGGCGGCGCAAATTCACTGACCCAGTGGTATTGGCCGCCGCTTGTAGGCGCCATGGACTCCATCTCGGCCAAGCTCAAGACAATAGTGCTGTAGCAAGTCACGGTTCCGATGAAGGTCCAGAATAGGCCAGCGAAGCCTCCATTGACAAGACCTTCGGCTAGCGACACAAGGACGAACTCCCATGTGGCCATGTAGATGCTGATGAATCCAAGTGTTGAGATGAAGGAGAAGTTTCGCTTGAACTAGTTGAATCTGGTAAGAAGGATAATGTTGGCACAGAGAGGAAACTAACCTCTTGTTTCTTACCCAGTCTAAGCATATCTCGCACATCCGTTGTCGTGTCACCGTAGATGCCTTCGAAGTTCGAAGCCATCTGGATCGGCGCCTGCTTGGTGGAAGGCTTCGTTTTGAGCAGTGAGTATGGGCCCATCTGTGTTCTTCTGCATGTAGGACTTCTCGATATCGGCGGGAGAAGCCATGGCGATAGCTTAGCTGCGCCAGAGAGAGAGTGTGGCACTCGACGCGAATATGCGAAGGATGAGTTTGTCAAAATGCTATACTGCAGGCCGAGCCATACCAATAGCAGGATTTATAGAAGCGATATCGAGAAACAAGACGTTCAATGGGATGTTGTAGTAACTGAGGTGCGCGGAAGAACAGATAAGAGCGACACAAGAAAATGGAAAGTACTGCGCGAGAGGGATGCTACTTGCCACATGAGGAAGCTCCCAAATGCAAGGCTAGTCGTTGTCCATGTCGGCACTTGAGTCTCGATGCCTTGTTGGTCCATCGAGTAGCGATCACGGAGACATGGATGCACAGCACCGTCGATGCAAGTCGCAGCATGTTCGCGAGCTGGGTACTCTGGGAGGCTTGATAGACTGGCGGTCTAGCCAAGCTAGGAGAACTCGATTGGGCTCTCGAGGCCAACCCTCGTCAGTGACTGGGCCCCTGGAGATCGGATAGTCCCTAGCTTTCGATTCGTGGCGGCGATGTGGGTGAAAAGAGATGAAAGATCTTGCGCCTCGAAGAAACCTGCTTATCAAAAGGTCTTATAACCAATGAGGCTCCAGGATAATTAGTCCTGCAGATCTGATTTCGGTGACCATTGAGTAATTCTCCGTTCGATAAGGAGGCTGGGCTACAAGGGGAGATTCAATCGCATCTCATGGTCACGACACAGTAGATGAGTACAGGTACTGTAGAGTATCACAAACTTGACATTGGGAATATATAAATCTGTACAAGTAGCCAAGCAAATGACATTAGATTCCATTCTCAGCTTCGTCGCATGAACGCAGAGCGTGGTCAACCAACAACGCCATGCATTTTAATTGGTGCAAAAATGCATATCCAACTCCCATCCAAGATATAAATATAGTAGTTCATCGAATCTTCTTACATGGCGGCGTCGGCGATCTTGCCGGCAGCCTCGTCAGCCACACTCTCCTCATACCACGCCTTGATGCGAGCGGCCTTCTCAGGACTTCGGACCTTGACATCCATCTCGAACGGAAGAGGACCTCCGATCAAGTTGGCCGTGAAAGCCATGGAATCTGGCCACTTGGGCTGTCCATTGGCGTCCATTGGTGGCAACAGCTCGAAACAGCCAACGATGCTGCCACAGGAAACAAGCAACTCAGCCTCGGTGACTTCGATACCTGGGCACATGCGGCGGCCCATACCGAAACCATGGTGACCCATGAGTCTTGGGTGTTCGGTGAGAGGCTCCTTGTAGGTTGGGAAGTCCTTCTCGAGCCACCGTTCAGGTCTGAAGGCCTCGGCGTCTGGGTAGAGCTCGGGGTTGCGTGCAAGAGCAAGATCGATCGCGTGAATAACTGCGCCCTTTGGTAGGAAGTAGCCGTTCCATTCATCATCTTCCTCAAGAAGACGAGGAACACCAAGGGGCACTGGTGGTCGCCATCTGAGGCACTCCTTGATTGCAGCACGGAGAACTGGCAAGGTGGGAGCGTCCGCAACCTCAACAACGCGGTCGCCAATGACTGCGTCGTACTCGTCGCGAACCTTTTGTTGCCATTCAGGATGGAGAACCATGGCGAGGAAGAAGCAGTAGAGAGGACCACCAATGGTAAAGATGGCAACCGTCACCAACATACCAACAGCATAGGCGGCTTCGTGATCATCGAATCCAAAAGTTCGGGCGCCACCTTCAGCTTCTTTGCGCTCAAAGTAAGTTCTGGCGTAGCTGATGGGAGCTTTACCCTGGTCCATATCGACTCGCACCTGCTTCATGAGACCCTTCCACAGCTTCTCCTCCTTCTCACGTCGCTCGCGCACTTTGCGGATGGAAGGGTTGATCCATTCCGGAAGGCCACCAAGGAAAGGCAGAAGGTTGGTAATCGGGCCGGAAGGAGAAATTTGAGGGATGAATTCTCCCGCATTCTTGCAGTGCGCCGCAGCAGATGCTGCACTACCGTAACCGAGACGAGCACTGATGCGGCCGCAGAAACGGTCCGTCAAGGCGTAGTGGTCCTTTGGATCGAGCAAAAGCTTGTACATAAATCGCTTGGCCTCGTGGCTAACATAGCCATAGTACTTGGAGTTGAAACCGGCAGTCAGAACAGTGTGGGCGAATTTGCGCTGATTGCGCCAATGTTCTGAGAAAATCAGCTTTTGGTCAATGACGTAGCATATAGTCAGGAACTTACCATCATGAGCGAGCAGAGGAAGATATTGACCCTGGGAGTCGCTGCCTGGAACCGCAGGCACCATAGGGCGAGAGGAGTAAATCCTGGCCTTTTTGCACAAGAGGTCGTAGGCAATATTTGCATCACCAATCCAAATGTGCATCTCGCCGCAGATGGTCGACTTGTAGATACCATTGTATTTATCAGAGAACTTTTTCATAGCATACCAGGGCGCGTTCGGGTCGACATCGTGGATACGTCCAATATAGGGGATGGTGCTCGTAGGACCTGGAAGGAGCTTTAGGCCTGGAGGGGGTCGATCCTTCAGAGCATATTTGATGAGCTGAATGGAAGCAACAAGAACGAAGATTGCCGTTCCGATGAACCATTTGTAGGTTCCAATGGCATCGTAAGCATTCTGGGTGGTGAAAAGAGCGTCCGAGGTCTCGTTGTTGTTGATATAACTGGAAATCTGGGTCATGATGACCGACGGCGAGATGGACGCCGCCATGGTGAGAAGCTGCCCTGCAAGTACGAAGACTTGCGAAAGAGCAGGTAATCTCTAATGAACGCAAGGGGTGTGTATATGAAAGAACAAAAACAAAGGGAAAAGCAGTGTGGTGGAGGGAAGTAGCAATATGAAGGGGCTAGGGGCTTTGACGTGCCCCAAGCGCAGGACGCGGTCTTTCTGGTCAGCTCCGACTTTAGAGAATGGACACGATCTGATAGGTGCACACAGAGGCGCAGTTGGAATCGAATGGGCTCCCGCTTGGGGGAGAACAGAAGGTTTGTCCGCTGGCTAAAGTCGTTGTCTGGCAAACTCCTTGGATTTCCAGCCCCGGGCTATCGATGATTAACACTGACGAGTTGATACATTAGTGGTATGTTAGACACGCATTAGCCTCAATCGATTGGGTCGCCTCGTTGCCGGATCTCATGGCTTGATGGCTTGGGCTCCCGCCATGTGTGCCCAAAATTGGAACATCAGGGGTACAGCCACTTGCTCTCCGCACTGTTCCCCTGATACAGCCACGGCAACCACTTGACTAAAAATGGCATGTCCGTAGCGTAGGATCTGTCCCGGGTTGGTTTGGCGCCGTACCGTTGAAGCTACTTTCGCGCAAAAGTAGGTGCTTGGGCTGTCATCGGATGGTAATATTTCAGGTCTGCCTCCGAGGCTAATGGATCCTTCAATCAGAACATGGTGGAGATAGTGAAACATCCAATTCTCGTCACCATCACTAGGCTCCTGCAAAATGGGTAAAGACTGCAGAAAGACCTGTGTTTCTTTCAAGTGGCAGCGAGATATATAGAAAACCGAATGCATCTTCCTCACATGATATCGCAAGTGCAGAGGCGTTCCTTACCTCTCATCTTGTGTTGTATAGAGGGTTAGAGGCGTCATGTACTCAATGTTCAGAAGACACGAAATGGGTGAGTTTTTCGCAGGGACATTTAATGACATCCACAATCGATGATGAGGTCATCCACTCTTCATCCCACCACTTGTTCCGGAGAATCGCAAAATGGCAATGGACATTTGAAATTTAAGAGAAGCCGTTCACTGGCATATGCGTGAATCAGAAACATTGATCTCTTGTATGAATTGAAATGAGCAAAGATATAAAGATATACCCCGACATTGAATTGGTCGGCGACAGGCATCCGTGCTAAAGATGAGGCTTTGCTTTTCCGCACGTGACAAGGCTGTCTTGGCAAATTTCCCAAGTTTGCACGTCCCATGTCGAAGGATGCCCCACAATCTAAATCCTCCGTCCGAGGTGACAAACAATCGTACTCTGATGAATACGACCAGACATCAGGTCCTGCTCTTCAATTAAAGTCAGGCTATACAGAGGACCATTCTGATGGTAGACCAGCGCGGAGAATGCGCTCAAGCATCTAGGACGCCACCAATGAACTACCCTTCAGCCAACCGATCTGTCCCATTTGTTCAACCTTGACAAAGACTTTTATTGTCGCTTGCTGCGCTGCTCGGTCCATGGCTTCTCAGGGACCATTACGGCCTGTCGAGCTACCTTACTGGCCGACCTGTAGGGAAGCGCTGAGCTGGTCCGAGCATGATTTGGCTGTTGCTGCAGGTGAGGTCGTGCATATCCTAACGCCTCGTGACGTGTTGAGCCCGCAAGAAGATCCCGGCCAAAAGCAGTGGCACAAATTCACGCTTCGGGTGAACCAGTTTGAGCAGGCAGAGTGGCCATATCAGGAGCTTGCCAATATCAAGCACGTCTCATTCGGGGAGGAAATCTCCGATTCCACTATTGTCTCTCTTGCGTGGTCTCCACCGGGAGTAGGTCTACATCGCAGGAGTGTGCTTGCCGTACTAACGTCGAATCTCGTCCTATCAATCTGGGAGACTGATGGAAGGCTGGGCATGTGGAAGCGGACTTGCATAGTCAACCAGCACCTTCCGGCACATGTCAACCGACAAGATTCTTCTCAAGCCAGACGACAGAAGCGTATACGGGCTTTCTGCTGGCTACCATCAGTCGCATCTGCTGCATCGCCCTTGTGGTCCCCGACTTTTCTAGTGGTGGCAGATGACACTGGCACCATATTTATCTTTCGCGTCTGGAAGAATAAGAATGGAGTCTATGGTCATTGGTCATTTGAAATGGTCGCTCAGCATGCCATCGGCACCGTGGACACCCAAAGTCCTCTAGCTATGGTGAGACTCAGTCTACGATCAATCATCCCGCATTCTTCTCCTGTGTCGAAGCTCGAGATAGTTGGTACTGGAGCTAATGGAGAAATCCTTTCAAAGGAGTTGCTTCTGCAAGTGAGCAGATATCGCGACACTTTGCCTCAAACGTTTGCAGTAAACATCGAAGAACCAACCCAAGGGAAAGCCGCGGATCCACGAGGTAATACTTTCAAGGTCTCCATCACAGAGTTTACATCAGGCGGACGCTGTCCCAACAGTCGTCGCCCTTCTGAGAGTATCTTCGAAGTGGCTATACAGAAGCCCCGATCAGATTTTGACGACAAGTTCAGCCTTGGTGGAAGAATCCGCCTCCGTTACTATGGCACTTCATACTCTCCTGACAAGTCCCAGGCTGCTGCTTGCATCTCGCTGCATCCTGCGGACATGATCGAATATGGTATACCCTCAACTCAACATACGAAGGTGGTGTTTGCTCAAATCAAAGAGCACGTCAGGGATGGAAGGCTCAACAAGGATGCGTCTGCTGTCCACGAAGAAATTCTGCAGTATATGGCAAGCACTCCTGCAGACTGGATCAAGAAACCCCTGGATTGGAAGATCGCCAAATCTGCCACCGCCCACATCTTCGGAAGCTACCAGCACTCAAAAGCACTTAGCAGCTGGGCATACTCGACGTTGAAGCTGGTTTCAGCTTTGTCAGAGTCAGAAGATCGCATCAAGGAAGGAAATACATTGCCAGCCTCCAATAAAGACAAAGAGAGCCTTACCGCATCCGGACGTGGGAATGCTGTCGCACCGGAGAACCAGGAGACTTGTGAGATTTGTGAGATCTGTGACGCAGTAATCCCATTTTCAGTACCTCCAATATCAGCGAGATGTGACAGAGGACACCAATTCAGTCGTTGCAACCTCTCCTTCATCGCTATCCAAGAACCAGGACTATCCAAGTACTGCGCCAAATGCGGTAGGCAATTCCTTGATGCTGCGAAGTTGTCGCTGCCTGATGGTCCAAGCTTGAGTCAAGCGTTATTCGACAAGTTCGATGTTTGCCCATACTGCCAAGGCAAGTACCGTGGTTGAGACTGGAATGCGGCTCGAGGTGGACCTTGTATCACCTGTTTCACCACCACATTAAGGTACTGCGAACATGCTACAATCATCTGCTCTGGGACGGCTTATATGCGTCGTATCCGGCGTCTCTTTGTCTCTGTCCAAAATGGTCAACCTATCCAGGCCGCCCGACTCGAGAGTCCAGCAGACGTACTGCTGGACGCAGCATTGCCGCAAACGGAAATGTTCTTTCACCACCAACTGTGTCGCCGCAAGCGAACACCACCATGGCGATACCTAAAATAATCCTCCATAAAGTCACCATCTTTGTGATCTCGCATCTGTCTTTTCGACATGCGCATCCATGGTGTTTAACCCCACAAGTCCGATTCGTATCTTCGGCCGTGAGAGTGCTAATCAGTCTCTACCTGCCACGACTTGCAGCGAAGTCGCTGCTGCTGAAGTCCCTACGACCATGTCGCCTGCACAGATCCCACGCGCTCCATCGCCCTTACGCATAGGGTCCGGGTGGAGGGACGGTACGACACGGATTATGCGCCCATCGCAGTCATCGCGGGACGGACAACAACACACTGCACCGGAGATCAGTCGCTGGTCAAAGACCACTACCGACACAGAAGTCTCAGAGGCACCTAAGGAGGCACTCACCAAGAAGATGAACGTCCTTAAGAAGAGGATCAGGCAGAACAGACAGTCGAAGGACACTACAAAATCGAGTCCTGTAGATCCAGCCTATGATCCTGTCGGCAAAAAGTTCCTCCCTACCGCCGTTCCTGGTTCCAGGGGTCCTCAGACGTTTTACGACTCTAGCTCCGATGATTCTAGCGAAGCGGAACCAATTATCCACCGCGCAAGCAGCGTTCGGGTCGCCAGACCACAGATCGTTGAACATAGCAATGGCTCCGGCGGTTCTGTTCCAAAACTATATTCTCCTCCATCTAGCTCGACGAACCAAGATGCAGCAGAAGAAGCGGAGCAACCAAATGCTGAAGCAGAAGCTGCAGTTACTGGTGGACCGAACGATGCATTGAAAGCCCTTCAAGGCCAAGATGGGGACAACGTGCCAGTGACTGCACTTCCACAAATCCCAGCAGAACAAGATGCCACCCTGAAGCAGACCATCCTCGAATGGCCCGACACGCCCAGCAAACTCGAGGCACTCGACACACTCCCAACACCGATGGGCGGCTTCGGATCACTGCGTATGCCCCGAACAGCCACAGGTACAACATCATCAAGCGGCACATATGTGGCCACGCCCTCCGTCAAGATTGACGGTCTGCGCTCGAACCCGCCTACCGAAGGCGACAAAAAACTATCTCGAGCAATCTCCGCGCCAGTCCGCAACTCGGCAGGCCGTCGAGTCATGATCCGTCCCTCCGATCTAGTCATCAACCGCAACTCCAACAACCACAAGCTCTTCCGCGAAAGCATCGTGAGCACCCCATACCCCGCCCGAAAGAACAGCATCGGCGACAACAATGTCCCTGCACCTGCACAGGTAAACAAACTATCGTCGCCCAAGAACAAGAGCCTCCGTCGTGCACGCCCGCTGCACAAAGATGAGAACGTCGGAACCGAGACGAAGTCCGGTGAGAAGAGCAGCAAAGGGACAGGAGCGCCCGAAATTCCTCTGTCGACCAAGCCCACCATCACTCCAGCACTTACCAGCGCAAGATTTAAGTCCGATCGCTTCCCATCTCCCGTCGCTCCCGAAGTCCTAGTCCTCGACCTCCGCCTTGCCCGCCACCCCTCAGCCCGCGTCCAGATCGAAATCGAAGTCGACGACAAAACGACCTTTGACGATGAACAGCTCTTCACCCTAATTCGCGCCAGCTACAACAAACAACTTCTGGGCGTGGTGCGACGAGTGTTTAGCGCGAGGTCGCTCTCGCACGCTAGTCTGTCCACCAAGGATGCCGATCTCACTCTTGCGCCCTCGTACTTACACGGCAGTACTTCCGCTGCAGGAGAGATCGATGGCACCGATTTTATCAAGCACCTCCTGCACCCCCGCTGCGGCCGCCGACGGAAGATGTGGTTGCTGTGGCTGCGCAATATGCAGTACCATGAGTCTTCTCTGGCTATGTCGGGACGGTCACGTCGTATGGCGATGTCAATGGCCAGTGGAAATGCTACCGGTAGCCCGGATTCGCCCTCGCTGTCGCCGGTGTTTTCGTTTGTGCAGACTGCACAATCGTCGCATAGCCGGAGTGGGAGCGAGTCGTCGCCTGTGAGCGCAAGTGCCGGCCCACCAACCACCGGCAGCAGCATTCGGATTCCGCGCATGCCGTTCCAGCCGTTCCGGAGCACGAGGTCTCGTGGCTCATGGGGGACTGGTGCCAGCGGGCCACCGGCCGTGTATTTACACTACAGATTCTCTATGTGGAAGATCGTGGGTATGTTGTTGCTCACTTTCTTCCTGGCCATCTTCACGGCGACCATGTGGATTTTGTTCGGGGTTCCTGGGCGCAATGCGGGTCAGGGCAACGGCAAGACAGTCATCGGAGGAGAGCCGTATACGCTGAGTTGGAAGAGGGATGCTCAGAGCCGGGTTGGGGTCGGTTTGGTTATGGGAATTGTGGTGCTGGGTTTGGGACTGGTCAGTGAGGCGGTTTGGGTGTGGGCGAGTTGGGTTCTGGTTTGATCTGGGTTTCCGTCTGACTGGGCTGATGGGAGATCCTCCATGCTGTGCATTGGAAGGGCTTCCAGATTAACATGGTCATCCACTGGGATGAGGTATCTGCTCGACTAAATGTGCAGTAGACACAACGTAATAAGAAACATTGCCAAGTGGTTCAATGTCCATTGTTCATTGCATCCTCTACATGAACCATTAGATACATATGATATCGTTAATCCTTATCAGGTCGTTCATGATCAAAGCTGATCAAAGCAGAAGTCCATTCACGCTTTACCAGCTTGTGTTTACCCTTCGCGTATTCTGACAATTACGACTTTTGCCCACCACCACACCAACATCTGTTTTCACCTTCTCGTTCCATCTGGATGACCACGTCCATTTTCCTCGTACGCAAGTAGGCATCTACTCTTTCCCTAATATCCTCAAGATCTGCAGTCTGTGAGGCGATAACATGTATTACACCATGCACTGTTGGATCTTCATCACTGTGTCCAGAACTGGCGTTACTGTCTTTGTGGGAATGGCCATGATGGTCATGCCCATGGTCGTGTCCATGGCCGTGGTCATGAGTATCCTTCTTGATATCCTCGAGCCAGAATTTTGGGACCGTATAGCCCACCACACCTCGTATCTCGGCCACACCACTAAGGATGCCACGAAGGTTGTACTCAATATCCGAATTCAGCGAGAGAAGAAGAGTTTTCGTGGTCGTCATGACCAAAGGAAGTGTCGAGGCGAAAATGAGGATAGCAATGATGCATGAGGCCAGCGGATCCCATCCGCTCCATCCAGTCCATCGGACGAGGAGTGTCGATGCAACGACGGCCACAGATCCGAGTGCGTCAGCCATGATATGCAGGTATATGCCTTGCATGTTTTCGCTGCCATGATGATGTCCACTTGCAGCTTTTTTGCCTTTCACTGGTGATGCAGAGGCGGTCAATGGCAGGTCAGATCCTGCATGACTGTGCGTGCGCTTCAAATCGTGGTCGTGGTCGTGGTGATCATGACTGTGGCCATGATCATGGCCATGACCATGCGCTCCATGGAAGGCCATTATACCAACCATGTTTACAAAGAGACCGACGGTGCTCACCACCAGAAGCTCCACGGTGCGGCTAACATCAGCCCCAGTGAACAGTCGCTCCACTGCTTCCCAAATGATTTCGATGCTGATGAGCATGAGGAAAATGCCATTTCCTAATCCTGCAAGCGTATCGACCTTCCCGTATCCGTATGGAAACTTGAGACTCGGGGGCCATTTGCTCATGACTGCAGCGCAAACGCCCACTAGTAATGCGACGCAGTCGAAGAACATATGTATGCTGTCGCTAATGAGTCCCAGAGAGCCGGTGAGAACGCCATAGGTCGATTGAACCACCATGAAGCACAGGTTCAGTATCATGAAGTAGAATATTCGTCTTGACTCGTCGTCGGCAAGAATGCCATGCAGCAATGAATAGTTCTCGGTGGAGTGTAATAACAATTGTGTAGGCTTTGACAAATGTCGATGAATTCGTGGCCGCGACGTGCTCGGAGATGAGTAGGCTGTTTTTTCAGTGTCCCTCCTCTTAGGAATAAAGTGACCATTTGAGAGGTCATGACTAGGGGCTCGGCTTGTATGGCTATGCTGATGCAGGTCCGTGTCGACTGGAGGTAGACGAGTCATGTCGCTCTGCTGGACGACCGACTCGGAGGGGATTCGCGCCAGAGGGAAAGGTGCGGTAAGCCGGCTGTTCCCTCGCTGTCTCTGGTGGGAGCGTGAATGTGAATGGGAATGAGCGGGCGCATGATTGCATTTGTCGGTCGCGGCGACTGGCAATGTGAATGTCGCGCTCATGGTCCCTTTTGCAGGACGAGCGGGTAGGAGCGGCTCGCTGTTCGACTCAACATCCGGCCGCAGCGCCGACAATACGTGACGATATCTTGGCTAACGTTGTGTGCGGTGGTGGGAGCTGAACAACAAAGGGCGCCGGCGCCGCAGGAGAATTGACACAAGGAAGGGATCAGGCTGAACAGCGTGGTCTGTGCTCGTGTAAAGAGGTTTGATACAGCGGGCCAGTGACTGTCAATCAAGTATTGTGCAGGCGTAGGCGGGGGAGACGGTGAGTGAATATGGATATCTGGGGTTCGATATTTAGCTCGTCATGTCAATATTAGCGACATGGTCTCTTTTAGCGAAACCCCCTGGGTTCAAATAAGAAGGGAGACTGAGAGAGTGGTAGCATTCCGACCGCAGGGCACGGAGTCACTCGTATGGAGACGTTTGCATACATTTTTCGGCGGGAATTGATTCGCAGACGGGAATGAAGCCCCTTTTTTCACTCCGATGACACCAAACTCCATTCATCGCCCATAGACGTCACCCGGCATACGCGTATTCAGGGTTTCCCTTCCCTTCCAGATCCCTTCCAAGGTTGTGGACAGCTTTACGTGGTACAATTGATACGCGTCTTTATAGGTGGTCTTCATCGAGACTAACCTAGCTTTACATTCCACCAAGAGCCTCCCAATTGACTCAGGCATGCTCGGCAGTCCACCATGTGGTTGACATTGCTGGTGATCCTTTCCACCTTGGTCACTGTGGTGTTGATGCTTCTGCCATCCCAGCGAGATCCTGCTGATCAGAAATGTTCGGCTCAAGTGGTAGTACTCGGGGACTTGGGCCGGAGTCCGCGAATGCAGTATCATGCCTTGAGCATTGCTGATCATGGCGGACGCGTCCAGCTCGTTGGTTACAGAGGTACCAGATCGGTGGAATGGGGCATTCATGTGCAAGGATCTAACACTATTGCAGACACCGAACCTCTGCCTGACTTGGTGGCGCATCCCAATGTTACAATTGTACCACTTCCGCCGGCTCCACGACTTCTTCAGACGAGCAACAAGCTTCTTTTCCTTGTCTTTGGTCCTCTGAAGGTCCTTCTGCAGACATGGTATCTTTGGCGCACTCTGAGTTATTCTGTTGCTCCTAAATGGATGCTTGTTCAGGTATACACGCTTCGCCTCCGCCACTCTTCTGCGTGCTGATATGTGATGTTTCCCTGCAGAACCCCCCTTCCATACCGACTCTGCTGGTCGTCTCACTTGTGTGCTTCTTCCGTGGCACCAGATTGATTGTGGACTGGCATAACTTTGGCTACTCGATTCTGGCGCTCAAATTAGGGCCCAATCATCCTATGGTCAAGGTCTCGAAATTGTACGAGACGATATTTGCCAAAGCCGCAACTGCGAACTTTACCGTTACCAATGCCATGGCGACAGTCCTGAAATCCGATTTTGGGATCAACGCGCCAGTTCTTACTCTGCACGACCGTCCGGCAGACCTGTATCAGCCCTTGGCCAATTCAGAACGGATTGCTTTCCTCCAGCGATATCCACTACTGGCAGAGCATTTCAACTCCATTGTCGATGGCAAGGTGAGACTGGTTGTTTCATCCACGTCCTGGACAGCCGATGAGGATTTTGGTATCTTTCTGGACGCCTTATGCAGCTACTCTGCCAGTGCTACATCGTCCCACCCTCAGCTACCCGAGCTGGCTGTCGTCATCACGGGAAAAGGGCCGCAAAAGCAGCACTACCTCGACAAAATCAAAGAACTGCGCAGTGGAGATTCTTTGGAGATGGTCAACATCTATACAGACTGGCTTAGCTTTGAGGACTATGCTCTTCTACTTGGCTCGGCCGACCTGGGTGTTTCCCTGCATACCAGCAGCAGTGGAGTTGACCTCCCCATGAAAGTCGTCGACATGTTTGGGGCCGGCCTTCCTGTTGCAGGCTGGAGCGATTTTGCAGCATGGCCCGAGTTGGTCACGGAGAATGTTAATGGACGTGGATTCAGCAGTGCAGAGGGACTGGCTGATATTCTGCGCGAACTCTTTGATCCGGATTCAGATCAGCTTTCCCACCTCAAGAAGGGGGCAAGGCTGGAAAGCAAACGCCGATGGGGTGGCGAATGGGATTCCATCGCCGGCAAGCTGTTTGGCCTCGTCTCTTGATTACTGTCGACCGCCAACAACGAAAGGCCATCTAGACACCGACCCAAGGCCAAGGACGGCTCGGAGATGGCCACTTTTTCCATGCCGGAGGGCCGAGTGCTTCCAGAAGTCGCCCATCTGACGTTGCTCCATTCTTGAGATCTCGAGCATCATGGACTACATGTAGTGGTCCAAGCCAAATATTCCGGGCGGGTATTTATTGGCCGCCTACCAAGAGTCCAAGACTTTCATGGCGATTTAGTAATTGCCTGCTTCCGGGGTCGCGGAGTTGACCGGCCGAAGCCCCCAATCTCGGAAGAGACCGCTGGAATAAAGGTTGTCGGCTACCCCTGGTATTCTCCTGTCCCTTCGAAAACACCTGGAGTGGCTTAAGCGAATATACTTTCAAAGATCGGCTCGTTACCATCAGAGTTGCCCAAATTAGGTACCTGCAGCTCTACAAGATGGGAGAATTCATATCGCAAGCTCGAAAACTCGCATGGAGTTCCGATAAATCTTCGGATCCTGCCGAGCCACCTTCCGTGAAGAGAATATCACGCTCTGCTCCGTTATCAGACTTTATTGAGGCCTTGGAGAAGGACGGTTGTGTCATTATCAAAGATTTCACCGACGTGGCAACACTGAAGCAGTCGATGGACGAGGTGAAACCATGGCTTGAAAAGCAGGATACAGGCGCGAAAGTCGGTGGTAGGTTTTCCCATACAAGACGTCTATCGCGACTACTGACATCTGCCCAGCATTGCAAGGCAAAACGAGAACAGTGACGAAACTTATTGGGAGGAGTGAAACGGTGCGAGAGAAGTTCTTCGCCGATCCGCTCTATCAAGACCTCTGCGAACATTTTCTAGGCCTGGAAACGACACACTGGTATGGGCCGGATCCTTTGACGACCAAAAGCGATCCACTATTGTCGATTTCTATCACGTTTGATATTCCTCCCGGCACCCCAGCTCAAGGACTACACCGTGACGACAAGAACCATCATGCTCGTCATTCAAAAGCTAAATCCTATGAGAAGGGTCGTGACCTTCTGCTCGGCCTGTTCGTTCCAGCATGCAATACAATGAAAGCCAATGGCGCAACAAGGATTGTGCCAGGTAGCCATTTGTGGGGCGATGAGATGCCGGATTTTGGCCCTGATGGTAATGAAGGAGTGACCGACGCAGAAATGCAAATGGGCGAAGCATTCATCATGCTCGGCTCTCTCTACCATGGTGGAGGTGCATACGATAAGGCCCTTGGAACTGGAGAGGATGCGGCCACAGAGCGAAGGACAGTACATGCTATGTTCTCCTGCACCGGGGTGCATCGACAGGAAGAGATCTCTTTCCTCTCTTATCCCATTGAGGATGTCAAAACTTATTCGAAGATTGTGCAGGAGCGGCTGGGGTGGAAACAAAGTGAACCCAATTTGGGTTGGGTTGATCTCAAGAGCCCAGAATTCATGCTCGCTTAAACGACCCAAACCCTCCTCGACAGATCGCTCCTGTCGTGGCTAATGCCATGCCGAGGACGTATTGATGAGGTCACTGAGATCTATTACCAGACGTCGGCGGTCAACGCTACGACTCCACGGCAGGCCCAAGGACTGTGCAACTGAATCTCAACACACCGGTTCCGGCCGCTTCTTCTCGTTGGATGAATGGCAGCGGTCCCATGCTCAGTGCCTTTTCACTTAGGACATCTTTGTCGTCTTCAAGCTCGCCGAGATCGACTGGGCCTTTCCTCCTACCTTCCAGCTCATGCAAATGGCCGTCCTTGCCTTTGACGAAGGCGATGAAAGCATGGCCGGGATCCTCTCCCAGAGGTGGGGCCGTAGTGTCACCGAGTTCAGCGGCTGCAGAGTGTGCTTTCTCCAACATGTCCGAGTCATGGAGATATTGTGCTCTTGCTACAGGCTGAAGAGGCCTGGTCTTCTCTATCAACCCCTCAAGGTCACTGCTGGGATGGATGTGATCGGCCGCAGAGCCGTTCGTGACGCAGTGCAGCAAACCAATCAGACCGCAGGCATGATGAATGATTTGCCGATAGAACATGACTGGCTCATCTGATCCAGCTCCGTCATAATCTGGTTCGGCTTCGTTGATCTGGGCGTAATATGCCTCGGAATGCTTGGTGCATGGATACACAAAAAGAAGCGCATTGGCAGGTCTGGGAAGAAGAGCGAGCAGATCAGGATCGGTCAAGCTGTATACATCGTGAAAAGCAAGGGTTGAAGATAAGCCTAGTTGATGGGCCAAGCTGGTCATGACTTCTGGATTGTTTTCTGGGGGTTACCAGGTCAGTCAGTACATTCTCCATAAAATCAGTATATGCCTCCAGGAAGCAGCCGTACCTAAGGGAATGAACGTCTTGTGGTCGTCGCTTGTGGGAGCCATGGCGCTTTCGTCAGTCGCCGCCAGCGTTTCTGGAGGAATGAGAAGAAGGAAACCGGTTGGCGCTGTAGATGAATGTATAGATACCTAGGTACTCGTCCCTAAGGCAGCCTTGCGTGACGTACTTTGTGAACCCTTGCCAAATAAATCCGTGGAGAAGTAAGTTAAGACCCGCGTCGTCTCTGCGCGCTCACATGTGACTTCAACACCACATCGACGTGCTCCTGCCAACGCTCAAAATCTGTGTGTTACGACTACGTCGACAACACTCACATCACAACTCTAAATCGAGAACTGTGAAGCATCAGCACCTTCACCGGGAGGAGCTCTTTCGAGGCACAACGATGCACGGCTGACCCACGACATCCCTCTTATGCGAGCCATCCTACCTGGCCGACCCCAATCGAAGCGCCAGGCTCTGAGTACTGCGCATTGGGATGGCCTCCGCCTCGTTGTATGACATATCATGCGATTCACTTGGACAGTATAGCTAAACGCAGCATAGGCGTATATATCCGGCAACGCGGCCGTCCTTCTCAGCGGCCCGCAAACTATCATCCAAACAATCTACGTGGACACGGTCGATACCCTCACAGCGATAACAATCGAAGAGACGACCGGCCGAATAGCACTTTGCGATGCTGACCATGTCTATATCTACAGACCGGTGGGCAGGGAAGAAGGCGTCCTCAGATGGTCGCAAATTCACGAGCTGGAAAGTACACACGGACTCGAGGTGACTTCGCTGTCTTGGGGCTCGTTGGGGGAGCTGTTACTCGGCGGCTCGAAACTGGTGCTCTGGCATGTTCCAGAGCATAGCACGCCGTCAATAACCTGGGAAGAAGACTTGGCCTACCCGACAGCATTTGCATATCTCTCCCCAGATAGCAGCTACATCGCTTCCGTGGGACGCCATGACAGGCTCGCCAAGATCTGGCGAAGACTCTCCTTCGAGGCCGGGACCACCAGCTTCGATGTCTCATATTTGCCGCATCCCGCCGTGGTCACGAACGTGCATTGGCGAAAGCCATGGCACCTCGAACAAAACCTCGATAGCCTACTTTACACCTTTTGCGCAGACAACCAAGTCCGAGCTTATACTACCTTTGATCCCCATGCATTATCGGTCATGCAGCTGGCTGGAACGATCGACATGAATGCTTCGATCCAGCCCCGAAGGCTCAGTGTCAACTCCATGAGCACGAGACGGTTTGCCTTTGTCATCGACAGCCGCGACTTCGCCATTGTTACAGAGCAAGCTGTCCGCGCATCGAACCCTACAGGTCGTGATCACGCACTCGAACACCTGATCGAGATAGCAAATCGAAGTCCGGAGCTATGCATCGTTCTTGATGGGTTGGGTCATATGTCAGTATGGGGCCTGGAAAATGCTGGCTACAAAAACAAAATTCCTTCTGTCTTCCACATCTGTCACGTAGATGGAATGGCTATCCACGTCCCTCAGCTGAGCGACCCGCTGGACGACTACATACAGTTTTGCATATTCGGTGGTGGGACCACTCCCTCATCTTTGTCAATACTCCTACACTCGTTTGCCGGTGACATTGACTGGTATGACAGCCAGATTACGCACCTGTTTGATACAGCTATGAGGCAGGACCGGACACGTTTAATTTCATCTCTGGCCGGCCATGGTGCTCCTGTTCAGCGCATTGTCCGCAATGTCATTGGTACTATTGTTCTATCCGCAACTGATGAGGGTCATGCCAGTCTATGGCAACATGGGGGCGATGGTACTACCGCTCCTCTGCTACGGCGCAGCTCTTTTGCCGTGGGTGCTGACGTCAAGGATGCAATCGTCTTGTCGCGGGGCCGATACGCTGCCATTTTGACCTCTTCTACCCTTGAGCTATGGGACGTACGGGAAGCCAAAGCAAACAGGCTAGGTATGCTCAAGCTGGATGATCAGCGTAAGCCGGAACGCATCACTCAGAGTCGTGTTGCAAGCGATCGCGCATTAACAAGCCGTGTAATTGTTGGGACTTATCCGGATGGTTCGATCGATGCCTGGGAGTTCCTCTTGCCTGCAAAAGATGGCCCGTCGAAAATGGGCAACGGCTATCATGAGATCATACGCTCTCTGGGCAATGTGAAATTACATGTCCAGTATCGCTACAACGCCAAATTGTCGATATGTGACAACATGAGCACGAATGACCGCCCGAGTGATTCACGCGAGATCAATGCATTAGGGTTCGCTGCGGCATTAGTCAAAGACGGCTTTGTCGAAATGGTCAAGTCTCAGGAAGAACCGGACTCAAACAAACCACATCTGTTTTCTGGCGCTCTGTTTGAGACCAACGTCCGGAAGCCCAGAGTCATCAGTGCCAGTGGATACGGCAAAGTTGTCGTGGTCAACGAGGACAGCACCAGCCTCAGTATCTGGGATGCGCAAACAGGGGCTTACGAGTTCGAACATGAAATGGACGGAACCGACACGATCAGAACTTTTGCTTGGGCTGTTTCGCCGTCAGGGCAAGCTTTGATGGCTTTGTGCTTTGACTACCACATCGTCGTCCTGGCTCAGTCAAGGTATTCATACTCGAAGTGCGATAATGCATGGATTGATATACGCCATATCCGCATACGAGATTTCACGACCCACTCGATCGGCGACTTGTGCTGGCTCAGAAGTGGTGATCTCGTTGTGGGCTCAGGGACTCAGTTCTTTATCTTCGAGGGATATGCCAAAAGCCATCACAACCAGGATTCGCAAGCTATTAAAGACCTTCATAGGCTCACCTCAAGCGACTCCACCTTTGCTGTGATATCGGTACTCAATTCCTTGCTCCCGGTATTCCATCCTACCGTTTTGTCATTGATTACATCTCTGGGAGGACTCGAACACGTCAAGCCTATCATATTGCGGCTGCACCGTGACTTGAAATTCTTCAGCGAAGGCGACCAACTGCCGAGCTTCTTGAGCCTCCGTCTGGAGAATGTCATGGAGGACACGTCGATGGACTTGATGAATGGCAACTCTTACCACGGCAGAAATGGTGCGAATGGCGATGTTGATCAACAAAACGTTTCTGACATTGTCGAAAACCTGGTTGAGAATCTGAAAAAGCACGAACTATGGCAGCTCAACCCAGAGGAGCAGAGTGGCTTGATCAGACAGATCCAGGTGTACTCAGACCTGGAGAAACAACAGCGATCAGTTGATCCCAATGGCCAACGCTACTTGCATGCGTTGTATGCCTCTGGTGATGACGGAGTAGCGTGGAGCGCTATTGTTTTTGCATCGTTGAGCTCATCTCAGGAAGTCTTGGTGGATCTCGTCACGAGGTTCCACGGAGGCAAACTTACGTGGGAGGCGGCGCGGAAATCAGGACTTTTCTGCTGGCTATCTGATGCAGAAGCCCTGCGCTTGCAGATGGAAAACGTGGCCCGCGCAGAATTCACCAAGCACGAAGATCGTAACCCGATAGACAGCTCATTGTACTACTTCGCCTTGAGAAAGAAGAATGTCCTCCAAGGGCTATGGCGGATGGCAATAGGAGTGCGCGAGAAGGAAAACACTATCAAACTTCTGGCCAACAATTTCAACAACCCAAGGTGGAAGGCGTCAGCACTCAAAAACGCGTATGCTCTTCTCAGCAGGCGTCGATTTCATTATGCCGCTGCGTTCTTCCTGTTAGGGGACAGCCTCTGGGATGCCGTCAACGTGTGTATTCATCAGCTCAAAGATCTCCGTCTTGCCATTGCGATCGCACGTGTATATGAAGCCGATCATGAACCATCCACCATCACCCGACTCGTCGAACAGGTCGTCCTGCCACAAGCGGTGGAGAGTGAACAAGGCAGGTGGATAGCGACATGGGCATATTCGATTTTGGGACAATCTCACAAAGCTGTTCAAGTCCTTGTTCAGCCTGTCCATGTCGTCGTCGGCAGTTCCCTCGACAAGGTTGATGGAAGGGTGGTCGGCTCACTCCACTACGTGGCTAATGATCCTCTCCTGGTCGTGCTCTACCTTCAAGTACGCAACCAAGCCATCAAGCAGAACACGTGGCACGATATCATTAGTGCCAAGGACGAATGGTCGTTCATCATGCGGTGTGTGCGCCAATATTTGCGCATGGGATGCGATGTTCTTGCCCTAGCCTTGGTGCGAGACTGGGAGTTTGTGCCGGAGAAGAAAGAACCGACACGAGCCGTCCGAGAACCTGTTTCACCAAAATTGGCTCGGCGGACAACCTTCTTCGACCTCGAAAAGCAAGAAGAAGACGAGAGGAAACCAAAAGTCGAAGCGGAGAAGAAGAAGCCTCCGCCTACACAGTTCGTGGAGCCAAGCGCGGACAGTCTGTTGGACAGCTTTGGATTCTAGATACTGGCTGTTGGACACAGTAAGCCATCCGCCTGTGGTAGTTATTAGTAGTGTATTATTGATCGGAGTGATGCTTCATCTTGCTGCATATAGCTTCGCAAGTATCAATGCTTGCACTGATGGCTGATAGGCTTGACGGGGCGTCCCGCTCATGAAGTTATAGGCGGGGGCGGCACTAATCCAGTTATACATAGTATGTCATTACCCCGGATTGACGCGTCTACTTAGTGCTTCTTTCTCCAATTCGCGCTTTCCACCTTTTTGACAACGGAGGCATATGTTCAGCGGCAAGTCATCCTGAAACAATGCCTCCTTTTCAATCTTTCGATTATGAGAAGGATGAGGGCTGGGCTTCCCTGTCGAGTGCCTCCTCCGACCTCTCCGAAGATGAGCTGGACAATCAGGAGGAGACTACCACCCATACAGAACCAGAGTCTAGATGGACGACCGTTACCACAGTCAAATTCGAATCGCTCTCACCTTCACCCTCTCCTTGTCCCGGCTCGAGTTCCAACCTCCTGTATGATATCCCTGCTACTAGGCCCGAGGAATGGTCGGACGCAACTACTGAGGACGAGGAAGAGAACAAGCTGTTACAAGAGTTCATGCGTGCACCAACTTCGGTCGACCATGACTACAATCCACATGTCCATGCCAACTCGGGCCAACGCCGCTCAAGTCGCCAGCACAGCGCTGTAAGCGGAGATGTGGGCGATTCGCATGCTACACTGGCCTATCCGACAACTCGCACAGAGGAGTCTAGGTATGCCCTATCTGTCATTTTTTAGATGTCCAAAGACATGCCAACTTCTTTGTCAGCTCCAATCCAGACTATCAGACACAGGACGCTCTTAGAAAACGGAAATTCGTAGATTACGCCAGAATTCCCCGGAATCCTTACACTAAGGATGGCAAGAGGCGCATTCTGGCTGGGGACGCGGCAGCTGTTTGGAGGCTCTTTCGGAGGTTAGAGGCCTCGAAGGAGTGGGGAAAATTGAGTCAGGCGGAACGAGAAGCACTCCGAGCAAGTGAGAAAGAGAAGTTGATGCACGAACGGTATGTCGCAATGGTCCTGAATATTTCGATCCCATGGGTTGACTCAATGCCTCAGGTTTGAGAACCGCCAGTCCTGGGAATATTGGACGAGCGACTTAGCACCACCTCCAAGGCAACCCAAAAAACGCGTGAAGGTCGAGCCTGCTGAACACTCACGACCTGTTCAGACCAAAAAACGCATGCCGGCCGACCCTACTGAACACTCGCGACTTGTCCAATCAGGCCGGAATAAAGAGCCTGCGCAACGTGCTGATTCTGCTGAACGAGCTATTTTGGCAACCCTAACTTCGCCTACGATAGACGACGACGACGAGTCCCAGCTTTCCGGTTCAGACTCAGAGGAAGAGGATAATACGAAGGGTGCAGATGCTTCCCCACGGAAGAAGACATACGGCCCTCCTCCCTACAAGAACCGAAAACGACAAAATATCTCACGCAGGGAGCTACGAAATTATATCTTTCTTGCCGCATGCGTAAAGCATGCACAGAACAGACTCGAGCCGGACTGGACTGCCCTTTCAGAAGATCTGGGTATCTCACCACATACTGCGGACAACAAATTACGGAGGTTGAAGAAACGGCTTGTCGCAGAAGGTGCGGAGTTTGGACATCGCTGGTGAAATGCTATTGTATGTTCGATGGGTTTCGTCAGCCCTCCATTTTGGTGTGGATATCTCTTCGATTGAATAAGGCGAGATGGTTGTGCTTGCGGACTCTTGCAGGCAAAGTCCCGTAGGGCTGATGAAGCCCTGGGAGACGTTCATGGGCTGACTCGAAGCCACGAAGGCAACACACAAAAACGGCCTCTTCTCGTCTATTATATCTACGGCTCCCTGACGCCCCCATTACAATTTGGCAGCCTCCTCAAGTCATGGCTACAATGACCTCCCAAGGCCTGAGCTTGATGCTCCACAGTCCCTCCGACTGCCTCTTGGCTTCTATGGCTCCATCTCCGTCCTCAATATAATTCCTCAACTCTTGGACCACAGCACCAGACTTCAGACCAGCAGACTCATCAATCAAGATGTCTGCCGCCTGCACTGGTACAGTCCACCAGATATCCTTAGCGGAGAAATTCGCCAACACGAGACATTTCTTCTTCGCAGCAACCTGTTCTGTGGCTGGCGAATCATCTTTCCTCACATACGCAACGACGAACGGGTGTTTCATATCCAACATTTCAAAGCCCCCATAGACGAAGATGTCCTTGTACTCCTTGCGAAGCCTCAGAATCCTGCGCCAGTAGTGGAAAGCACTATTTTCATCGGCCACCTGCGCTTCGGCATTCCACACCTTGTGATCCGGATGCACCGACATCCACGGCTTGACACTCTCAGGCGCATTGTGCGCCAGAAACCCTGCGTACGTCTTCTCATCAGGCGTCCACTGCATCGGTGTCCTGGCACAATCCCTTCCAATCAGGCGATACTGCTTCTTGAATTTCTCCTGCATCTCCTTGTCATCCGGGAATTCCTCGAGGACTTCCTTCCAGTGATTGACCACTTCAATGTCTTTATATTCCTCCAAGCCCCACGACTCGGGCACATTGATCTGGGCAAGCTCCTGGCCCTGGTACACAAACACGGTGCCGAACTGCAAGCCCATATGTGCCGCGAGCAATTTCGCCGATTTGCTGCGGTACTTGTCGGAGTCGTCGCAATATCTCGAGATGGACCGGCCTTGGTCGTGATTCTCCATAAAGGGGGCGTGCCAGCCGCCATTCTGCAACATGAACGAGTTCCACTTGGCCACCACGTGTCGCAGGTCTTTGGGGTCGAAATCCCGATGATACCATTTCGAGGGCTTGTCCGTCGCGACGTCCAGGCGCACGATGTCGAACTGGAACGCCATAGCGAGCTCGCCGCGGTCTTGACCCACTGCCTTGAGGACCTCCTTGGTGTCGTAGACTCCTGGCATTTCACCAACGCTGAAGGCGTCGTACTCCCGCAATATCGACCCGATGCCTCGAAGGTACTCGTGCAGGCGCGGGCCGCATGCATAATGCTGAAGCCCCGATTGCAGAAACCCCGGCCTGACAATTTTACCATCGGGCAGACCAGGCTCTTTAGAAATTAAGTTGATGACGTCCATGCGAAAGCCGTCGACGCCCTTGTCCAGCCAGAAGCGAATGAGGTCGTGCACCGCCTTACGGACCGCAGGGTTGTCCCAGTTCAGGTCGGGCTGCTCTGTTGCGAAAAGATGCAGGTAATACTCGCCCGTGATCTCGTCGAAGGCCCATGCCGACCCGCCGAATAAGGATTCCCAGTTATTCGGCGGAAGACGCTCACCTGTTTTGAGACAGTACCGCGGCGGGCGCCAGAAATACCAGTCTCGATACGGGTTCGTTTTCGACGAGCGCGAAGCCTGGAACCACGCGTGCTGGTCTGACGTGTGGTTTACCACGAGGTCCATGACATACTTCATCCCGCGGTCGTGTAGGCCTGCGACCAGCGCGTCGTGGTCCTCCATCGTGCCGTACAGAGGATCGATGGCGCGATAGTCGGAAATGTCATAGCCCATGTCTACCTGCGGCGACTGCAGGATCGGGCTCAGCCAGATGATGTCTACACCGAGGTGGGACAGGTAGTCGAGCTGTTGAATGATGCCGCGGATGTCGCCTTTTATTGTCCCATCGGTCTTGTCGACAGTGGAACGCGCTGACTTGAATGATGCTGGATAGATCTGGTAGACGATGCTTTCTTTCCACCATGCTCGCTGGATCGGCCGTCTGAGGGCTGTGACTTGTGATGCATTGGAGGTTGTCGAAGTGTTCGAGCCCGGTTGAGGCACCGGTCGCGAAAGTCTGGTATGCTGCCGTCTGGTCATGATTGGTGTTGGTGCAGTGAGGTGCAGTGAAGTATTATCCGGTGGAAAGCTAGGCCGAGAAAGACAGACTGAAAGGAACGTTTTCCTCACGGGGATAGAGTTTTGGTCACGGCAAGGTACTGATACGATTGAACTGACCTGAACATCAAGCCGTGGCCCAAACATGCCGTTGGCCATTACATATAGTGAGTATCTCAAGCATTTCGGGACAGCCGATCGAGTATTTCGGGTAGCCGATAATCGTCTGGGTAAGCAGCGATGTGTAGCGATACCTGCAAGGTGTACGATGGGGCCTCGCAGGACAGAACAGTGGAAGCTACATCGTATGACATGCGAACCCGGGAAAGCGACGCGCGCCCTTAGATAACGAAGCGCGAAAGGGCCAGTGAGGCGGTCAGGAAGGACACGCGAATCGACGATGTAGCAGTCGATATCAGGTACTATTGTATCTCTAATCGTCGATAATGTACCCTCCGGAGGGACCGTTGGGCGAATATTTCTCCGAGTCCAAGATAGGTAGAAACGTGTCAAATGTGGTTAAGATAGAGGGACTCGCCTACCCGATTAGGAAGACGCAGGGAGAAGGTCGGTAGGTTACTTTCCAACGGTTTTGTCGATCACCGTTGTCGCGGAAAAGCTTCCACCAACTGGCAGTATTCCCGAGTGCCCTGGTACCACTTCGAAGAACTTGGGATCATAATCATTTCGCTCATTCCGGCTCATTTGGCTCGAAAAAATTCATCAGAACACAAACATGCCAAAGAAAGACCGCTCCAGCATAATACATGGTTGCAAAGAAGTAGTCTCGAACCAGCAAAACCCACCAATCTCTGCTCAGTGCTCATAAAGCCTGCTGATGAAACCTGCTGCTTGCTGGGAAGTTGCAACATCCACCCCGGGCCCTAAGTAAACCAAATCGTACATCTCTGGCAAATGCAGTCATCAAGCTGGACGTAGCTTCTTCTTCGCAACCTCCCTAGCGCGGCCCAAATCTTCCAAACACTGCATATGGTTCTCGTTAGCATGATCCCACCACTCTCGGCACTGTGCATCGTCCTTCAACCACTGTATGTAAGCAGCATATCCTGCCTTCTGATTCCCATTTTCGTCCAACTCGTCGGCACCAGGCCCGTCACCTTGCTGACTGATCCAGGTCTGCGACATCGTTCCACACACGCGGTCCTGTCGGTTTCGGAAATGTTCAATCATTTTGGCGTTGAACGAATTCCATTCTCGCATATACACGTTCATGTTGTCCACATACTGCATAAAATTGGCCGGATCCAATCGATCTGCCGCAGGCGGTACCACCACCTTTGGCGGTTTCGGCAGATTGAGCGCTCGCAGTCTCGCCGAGGGTTTGCTGCTGCCATCAAGATTTTCCGCTGGCTTTGATTGAAATGGTAGATTCGCTGCGAGATCGTCCAGATCTTTCAGACCTGCAGCCGTAGGTGCGAAGGGCGCCTGCTGTGTAAATTCACGCAGATCAACTCCACCGTTCACGGAGCTTCGTCTGGAACCTGGTTTAGGGAATTCTGCACTACTCCGTTGACCACCGTTTGATGAATGGCCTGATTGGCCGTTGACGGGCGGTGTATCATCAACATCCATGGCGTCTTCCTCAACAACCACGTAATGATCTCTCGAGTCCACTGTAGAGGTAGAGTTTTGACTACTTCGACCAGTCTCCGGCCGAGGTGGTTGAGCTGCGGTGGTCTTGATTGTGGAAGCCCAGTCTGGCGGCAGCTTCCCTTGCTGGAAGGCGGCTGCCTTATCGCTTGATGCTTGTGCTTTGCTGTCGTCCCCGTGATTCGCTTCCGCGCTCGTTGCACTATCAGCGGACGGGGAACCCTCCTGCTCAATCCCCTTGGACATTCCTCTACCTCGGGTTGCAGGCTTGCTTCCCGTGCGGTTTAGTTTGGAGGGCGATTTGCGCATCTGAGAGTCTGAGGGACGGAAGATATCATCAGCACTCAGCTTGTCTTGCCAGTCTGCTGCTGAGAACTTCAATGGAGAAGCTGGCTCGGGACTGCCAAATGTATTAGCTCTCCTACCACGTGCGCGAAAAGATTGCAACGGGACAGTCTTTAAAAACAGAGTTTGCCCAGAACTGAAGTCATCATTCTTGTGCGTCTGAGGCCGCCGAGTCGGCGTCGACTGCGGGTAGACACTCGACGGTACTGCCCAAGAGGGAACACCATTGAAGGAGTATCCCCTCGAAGGAGCACGGCCGGACTTGGGATTTTGAGACCAGGGGTAAGAAGCCTTGCAAGGGGATGCATACTTGGGTCCGTCTGACTTTCCTCCTATTCCATGCGCACCATGCATCGGAGTCTCACCAGCAGGCGATGGCATATCAGGGAAAGGTCTGCGTAGCGGCTCTCGGGCTTCTGGAGCAGGAAAATTGTACTGACTGTGGTCGACAATTCTAGTATAATTAGTATTCGGAAATTGACCCGTTAAACCTGGATTGTTATCACTGGTAGGTTTTGTCTGTTGTGGTCTGGGTCGAGTTCGTAGGGGGGCCTTCGGCCTGTTGTTGATGTTTAGCTCTTCATCATCGCTCGACGAAGACTCGGACGAATATTCTGCATGTTTACCAGCTGGCCTCATGCCTGGACTTGCGCTTCGGTGTCGGGGAACATGCTCGAAGTGAGCATTTGGCTTGCCAAAGGGGCCGCGATCGTCCCAATGAGGATCCACCGGCGAATTTCGAACACTTGCAGAGCGATGAAGGCCCTCGCCGTGTAAATCAGTCCTCTCACCACCGACGCCGGCATATCTGGACGATGGTCTGATATCTCCAGCTGATTCATTCCTCATATGGTGATATTCCGTCGAACGCGCCTGTCGTAGAGGGCTGACAGCAGGTCTTGCTCGAGATCTTGGTGGTGAATGCATCGTATGTGCGTCATGAGGGTGCGGGTGAGAGCTTGGAGGCGGTCCACCTCGTCCTCGGACATGGGAGTAGGCTGAACGCGCAGCTGAATAATCGTCAGATCCGTAGGCGCTTGGCCCATGACCACTCCTGGTGCTTTGCGTCCTTGACAGCCCAGGAAAAGTCGTAGGTGGGACATTTGGAAGGTGCGGAGTGTCAGCAGAATGCGGCGGCTTAGGCGCCGTAGGAGCCTGACGAGGCGGCCGTGGTGGCATCTGCTGTGTAGATTGGGTAGTCCTCATGTTTGGGAAGGCACGCGCCGCTTCTGCTCTGGCATCATCGAATCTGGCTCTATCCCAGGACTGCGGCGCACCCCGAACGAAAGCATTGAACTTCTCCGCACCACGAGAGCCTTGAGATTTAGGAGTCTGTGGAGCTGTGCGCTTCTCATTCGCCTTTGGTGGAGGAGGAAACGGAAACTGTGGTGTTGTGGTTGCTGGCTTAGAAGTTGCAGCCCTAGCGAAGCCGTATGGATCAGAATAGTTGGTGGCAGAAGCAGCTGTATTCACGGCAGCTATCCTGGCTCGAGCAGCATCGTATTTAGACTTCTGAACAGGATCGCTCAAGATCTCATGGGCAGCCTGTACAGCCTGGAACTTGGGCACAACCTCGATTTCATGGCCGGGATTTCTGTCCGGGTGATATTGTTTTGCTGCGAAAGTCAGCCTCCCCATACGGCCTATCATCAACCGTCTTACGTACCCAGATATCTGAATTGCTTCTTGATGTCCTCTGTGTCGGCGGTGGGAGGTAAGTCCAGATCCGCATAGTAGTCGCGTTTCACATCCGCCTTAACCATGGTCGACGCTGAAATAAAGGTTGGAGCGTTAACAAAGCTAGGAATGTGTTTGGTCGAGTAATAACCTTCTCTTCACTTTATCTGTCATGATTTGAACAGGCAACTCGATGGGTCTTTTCAGGTGTAGGAACAGAGCACGCGAATGAGGTAGAGGTGAAAGAGTCTGAGACCCCCACTGCAAAACCCTTGAAGCGTGGGCTTGGATCTCGATCGCTGGCAGCCAATGTGTAACCAAGCTGCCGGTCAACGTAGGACACACTGCGTGGAGTGAGAGGGTGCGTATGGAGGAGTAACGACCGAGTGAGGTGTGGTAGAACGGTGATAAGATCGGGCTGTGGCTGACAATAAGTGATGATGCCTTTCGCAAAATCAGGCTACTTATTCACTCCTGCTGCGCACAATCAATGATGCGTTCGGACTCCTCGCCTATGCATATGTGTGATAGGTGTGATATTGGTAGACCCGTGAAGTAAGAACGGAGATTTTTGGCTTGTTGTTCCTGCGCAACGCTCAAAGTTGTAGCCGACGGACTAGCTGCAGATCTGCAGGGTGCATGGGATGACAGTATTGGGAGCCTCTGTTAGTATCCAGCGTTCAGAGCATGAACGGTAAATGTTTGTCTTGCGGCGCTCAGCAGACTTGTGAGTGGTTCGCAACAGCAAGAAAGAGGTGCTGGAATGATGTGCTGGCAGCGATTGACAGGCTGGTGTTTCTTTACTTCTATCGCTTTTGGGAATAACGCGAAGAGTGGGAACAACGGGACTTCACAGGGGCTTCCCCCGTCGCCTGGAAGCCTAGAAAACTGGTTCCCCCCTTGCACGCTAATAAGTAAGAAGTTAAGCACAAGGCAGCACCCGAAAGTGATCATCTGTTTGCCCATTTGACCTCTATCAAAAGTCCCCCATGACAGTTGCAGTGCACATGCATCATGATATCACCCCATTTGCTTCTTCCTCACGTTTCTCCTCTTCCTTCACCCCATTGACATTTGAGCCTCGCGTGTAGGTTTGCTGTAAAACTGACCCAAGTTCTTCTAGAAATCGGTTCACCTCTTTCTCTGTGCCCACAGTGATACGTAGACAACCCTTGCAACCATGTTCTTTACCCCGGAACCTGACCACTACCCCTCGCTGCCCCGCCATGGTTTCGTATACAGTAAGAGCCGTTGCATTGTCTGGCTGCCCACCTTTCTCCAATGGTTTGTCCAAGACCTCGACAAGCAAAAAGTTGGAATCGGTTCCTCCCCTGAACCTTCCGACACCAGGGACTTTTGGAAGATCTCGAACGAGCCTGTCCCTTTGTTCTAGGATTTTCGATCGGTTTTCTCGCATGGCTTTAAGATTCTCATCCTTCAACGCCGCCGTTGCGATGGCGCTTGTCGGACTAGAGATATTGTATGGTGCTTTCGTGTTGTTGAGCAGTGCTGCGATGTCTGGGCTGCTGAAAGCAACGCCCAACCTTATCCCAGCCAGACCGAAAGCTTTGCTTAATGTTTGCATAACGACCAAGTTCGGCCACTCGAGAACCCATTCTGCAAGGCTTGAACCTTCAGGTGAGAAGTCGATATATGCTTCGTCAACCACTACGACGCCATTCCACGTTGGGTGTTCGAGTACTTGCTGAATGTCTTTCTTGGGTATGAGCCCAGCTGTTGGATTGCCGGGCGAACAGATATACACCAATTTGATCGTTGAGTCCGAGGACAGCTTGTCCAAGATCTGCTGAGTTTGTAGTGAAAAGCCGTCATTTGGATTCAAGGGTACATGCACGATCTCAACGTCGTTGACATCTGCGCTGACCGCGTACATTCCATACGTTGGTGGACATGTCAGTATCTTGTCTTTACCAGGTGCGCAAAAGCATCGCAGCAGCGCATCAATGGCTTCGTCGGAGCCCACTCCGCAGAAAAGGTTCTCAGGTCGAAGCTGCTTCTCGGTATGAGTATGGGTGTTTCTTAATCGACAGAATCCTTCTTTCAGTTCCGCTTGATGAGGGTCTGGGTAGCGGTTCAAGCCTAGAAAGTCGACCTGTGGCGTAGAGGAAGCTGATTGTCGATAGGACCCATTCTGATCGAGTACTAATCCTGGACCGTATGCGTTTTCATTGGCATCAAGAAGGATGTTCGTGCCATCGTCCTTATAGTCACTGAGGATCGTGAGTCAGGAACATTTTTGGGGAGAGTCTTCTTACTCTCGAGCGCAGCGATATGGGTGTAGCTTCAGTATATTTGGTCGAGCGCATGTGAGTAGGTCGAAAGGGGAAGATTTGCTCGCCATTCTGTGCAGAATCCACGTCGGCAAGATCAGAGTATGTGCCTTCGAATTGTACTGTCCTTCATACCTAGAAAATTGTTGTCGATTGCGTTCTCCAGACACTGACTGTACTGTACCTAGGTTTCTCCGCACCGGACATTATCTTGCATGCGGCGCAGGCACCATGCACCTAGAAATCTTGCAGTTTCCACCCTTGACCTCTTCGCTCTCCAGCACAACACAATCCTTGCATTTGAAAGTCTTGACATCGAAGGAACGTGTACTGTATTTTCCAGGCAGCAAACGTCGAATTAGACGCCATGGCGGACCGCAAATCAGCCTACGGCACGGCCGCTGCGTCCGATACAGATTTTCGAAGAACATGGGATAGGGCAGAATATGAAGCAAAAGCCAAAAAGGAAAAGGAGGAACAGAGAGAAGAAGCAAAGGCTCGTTATGAAGCGAAACTTGAAGGCAAGAAATGGCACAAGCCTGTCGATTTCTCCGCGCTCGACGCCACGTCTGCAAGAGGCTCGCGCCTGGACGTGGCTAGCATGGTAGGCAAAAGCACCCTTGTACCCGCAACAGCCGGTGTTGGGAAGCGAGGCAGAGGAGCTGGCTTCTACTGCGAGGCATGCGACCTTACCTACAAAGACAACGTGCAATATATCGAGCATCTCAATTCGAAGCAGCATCTCGTCAACACTGGTCAATCAGGAGAGGTCAAGAGGGCCACTCTAATGGATGTGAGAGAGCGATTGGAGATGCTCAAGGAGCGTAAGAGGCAGCAAGAGGAAGAGGACAGACGGCTAGGAGAAGTTGACATCCAGGCCAGAATCAAGAAGGCTGAAGAACTTGATGCCGCCGAGAGAGAAGAGAAGAGGCGGAAACGAAATGAGAAGCGGCGGAAGGGCGGAGCGGACGGTATCAAGAAAGAGGATGACTGGGTCAACAGACTGGGCATTATCGGAGGACAGCAAGCAACGCCATCATGAACAACGATACCGTCAGATGAATAACTTGGATCAGATTTCAGGTATCAAGGGACTCACGCGCGTATGTCGGCCTCACCCTTTCTGCAAGTCCGCGGTGCAACAGAATTGTCGCATTACACTAGCCGGGTCCGTCAGCACTCTGAGGAATCTCCTGCTCTGCCAGAGATGGATCGACTCTGGAGAATGGTCACGCCGGCCCTCTCTCTTAGAACGGTACGAGTCCTCCTGCGGCAAAGATGGAGAGGCGTATTCTCACATCGCATAACTATTGTGGATGTTGTTGGGAATGGGCACTGTACTAGAGCACAGCCTCCACAATCAATATGGCCTATGAAATGCCATACTACCCAGACAGGGACAGCGTCCTGCCGCTCAAGGGCAGAAGATGAGACTATTGTCAGAGCAATGAAAGTGGACATTAAGATTGTGTGGCCAAGTCAAGTACGTCCATTGAGGCGACAGCCATCCAGACAGAAGGTGTACCATTTCTTTGCTGGCTGCCATCATTACCTGTAGTTGGCTTCGAAGTCCTTCAATACAATACTGGTAACGGAGATCAGTCACCGATCGATCTCGTTTCCTTTTTTTGCCAAGTCAGATATCAAGATGGTTGACGTCATTGGCTGGAACCAAACCTCTTCCTCTGCGAGCCTCGCGCATCAGGTCGACGACAACATCTTTTTACGAACACTTCTTGGTCAAGCGTTCCGATGGCAACTGCGTTTCTAGAAGGTGTCCTCCAGTTTGAAACGCCGTTATGTATTACAAGAGCAGGAAATAGAAAGCCTCCATGCTCACACCACCACAGGCGATCTCAAGTCCAACCATTGCATCATTGACACATCTCCCGCTTATACTTCAACTCAAGTCATGCGTGCCCCTCCACCATTTTGGAGAAATGTTTATTAGTGTGTGCCTTTGACAGTATTCACTCGCGATCGTGAATTGTGTTTCCCCTCATTTTTTAGTGCAAATTTGCGTGGTGATGCAGGTACTAGGTGACTTTGTGCTCGATCACCATCCTCCCACATGACGTACTTCGGGTCGTGCTTGTCTGCCGTTGCGTGACTTATATCCTCCACCACTTCTCGCTTTGCTTTCAATCCTCAATTCATTCACCCATAAACAGACCTTTGTCTATATTTCGTCCACTCAATTCCAGAAACAACTTCGACAAAACCACCCAAGATGACTTCTTCACAGCCCGCTGACCCGTACGTGCGCCTCGGGTCACCCCCAGGTCAGAAATGAACAGGCGCTGACATCAAGTACAGATACACGGCCAAGAACTCCGAGGATCCCAGCCTTGAGATCAAGGTCAATGACTTGAACACCTTCATCAAGGGCCAGAAGTTCGGCATGTTCACAACCGTTGCCCAATCCGGCATCCTCGCCTCACGATGCATGGCTCTAGCAGCTCAGGTAACGCTCTTTTCCCCAGCTACTCAAAAGCTTCCCAACTGACTCTGTCTGCAGGAAAACGACATTGACCTGCTCTTCCACACCAACACCGAATCTGGAAAGACCGACGATATCGAGAACGATAGCCACGTAAACGTCGCCTTCCTCTCCTCCGACGGCTCATGGGCCAGCATTTCTGGCAAGGCCAACGTCATCACTGACCGATCCGTCGTCAAGAAATACTACACCCCAACCTTGAAGACCTGGGTCGGTGACCTCGGCGATGGCACGCACGATGGCAGCGAGAACGACCCCCGTATTGGCGTGATCAAAGTCAAGGCCACCACCGTGACATACGCCGTTGCCCAAGGCAACTTCATCAGCAGAGGTGTTGAGATGGTCCAGGGTGTCATCACAGGCGAGGCAGCCAAAGTGAACCAGATTCGAGGTATCAGCGAGCAGGAGCTTGATCAGTGGAGATCAAGACATGCATAAATGTCAAATCAAGAATATGAGAGAAGCAGGCTCCATATACCCGCTATGCCTATCAGAATGAGATAGGTCACGATTAGCATGACAATAAGCACGCGAGAGCCTCATAAAATATTGTACAGCAGAGATCTGATGTTCATGATTTCCAATTAGAGGAGATTCTTCCCTTCTAAACTCCCTTTCCCTCGCTTTTCAATCTAGAACTCCTCCACGCCATTATATAACATACATGAGTTCTCAAACCGTAACAAAAGTTGATGGTCAGACACAAGACTGAAGAAGGTGCTCAATATACAGTATCCTACACGTGGCGTAACATATGATGCCAGCCACTGTTTCGTCCTCGTGATTGCCGTGCATAAATTTTCCCTCAATCCTGAGGATGGGTGCCATAGAGGTTTTCAAGAACCGCAACTTTCGTACGGGGAAGTCCAAGGACAATAGTAGAAAGGTCTGATTGAGTGGAAGGGCTGCATCCAGAGCCAGCGACTGACCTCGTAAGAACCTGCTGCATGATGAATCCGATGTTCTCCACAGCAATCAGGGCTCGTCTTTGTGAGCATCTTCGTGGTCGCGGTACCCTGTCAGACCATAACGAAATGAATCCGCTTAGAAGCGCGAACCTCGATCTCCGCGATCTCCTCGGTCTCCTCGGTCTGAGAAGCCGCCGCGTCGCTCACCAAAGCTGTTGCCGCTGCCGCCGCCGCGAGAGTCTCTGCCGCCAAACGAACCTCTCGACTCTCTGCCGCCAAAAGAGCCTCTTGACTCTCTTCCGCCGAAACTACCCCTGCCGCCGCTGGAGGATTGGCCAAAAGGATCGTTCTCATCGAAGTTGTCTCTCCGCGATGATGTACGACGGTCGCCGCCGCGTCCTCGAGGCGGAAAGTCATCTTCGGTGCCAGCGCGAGTTTCGATATTCCTCACACCGCCAAAGCCCATCTTGGAAACCCATTGGGTTGTCAGGTGTGGTGGACGTTCCAGGCCCCAACCGAACTTGGACAAGTCGTTCGCCATATCCACGATTTGCTGCTTCGATCTGCTAACGCGGCTCTGAACCATGCCGCTCAACAGCGTAGCGTAAGTCTTGGCCTTATCAGCCATGGATGTGGCCTTGACACCCATCTCGACGAATCTCATAATCTTGCCGGTCTCGGCGGAGAGTTGCGACGGCTGCGTCATGTCAAGTTGGGCCGTCTCTAGACTGGTGTTCTGATTGATGTTCTGTGCGTGGATTTCGTTGACGAGGTGTCGGAATGCATTGCGCTCGTCATCTTGCAACAAAAGCCATCCTTGTCCGGGCTTGCCTGCACGCCCGGTACGGCCAAGTCGATGAACGTAGTCTTCCGTATCTCTTGGGAGGCCAACTTGAATGACATGGGTAACATTTGGGAAATCCATACCCCTAGCGGCGACATCGGAGGCGACCATGATGGCTGACTCCGAGTTACGGAATTCTTTCGTATTTCGTTCTCGGAGGGCCTGGGTCAATTGCGAGGACATTTCGACAACCTTGCATGGATCGAGTGGATGAGGGGCGAAGAAGCCGCCTCTTTGACCGGGTTCGCGGAGGTTTCTCAAAATCTCGTATGCTAGTCGGACTTCATTGATCGAAGGATAGAATATGATGGCTTTGAACGGAGGATTATTAGCTGGGTCATCCTGGTTGGCCTTAATGTGCTTGTAGGCGAGTTCGGCTATGGCAGGAATCTGGTTTTGAAGGCCGGGCAAAAAGACAACGTTCTGGGGCACCGTTTCGTGAGTGGCAGCATCGGCAGGGTCAACAGTTCGGACAAATTTAAAGTCCGGTCTCATGCTCTGTTTGACGAGTGAAACCACACTTCTAGGCATCGTGGCGGAGAACATGAGTGTTTGTCGGTTGCCGGTCTCCGGTGAAGGCATGTAGCTCTGGATTTCAGCGATGGTCTCTGAGAAGCCAATATTCAAGAGACGGTCTGCTTCGTCGAGCACAAAGGTCTGACAGTTGTCCAGGGTGAGGCCACTGTACTTGTCTGACAGGAGATCATTCACACGGCCGGGTGTACCGACCAAGATATGGCATCCCATACGTTGCATCAACTTCAGGTGATATGACTTTTGTGTTCCGCCGACTGCCGTTTGCACTTGTAATCTGGTTCCGTGTACAAGTTTCCTGGCTTCTTCGGCGATCTGCTCGGCCAGCTCTCGGGTTGGGGAGATGATCAACGCTCTTGTGTCACTGATGTGTGGTCTTTTGGATTCAATAGCAGGGTCTTTGAGCATGCGCTGCACGATCGGCATGAGAAATGCTAGGGTTTTGCCGGTACCGGTACGAGCCTGAGCAACCACATCGGTACCGTCTAGACACTCATTGATTGTCATTCGCTGGACATCGGTCATGGTCTCGATCTCCCTCCTCTTCAGATTGTTGATGATTCTTTGATCCACAATGCCGTTCTCGCCCAGCTGTGAAAAAGTGGTGTATTCGCGCTGGACATGGGAAATGTCCTCAGCGCCCAAATCTGCAGCAACGGCATTTTGTCGAAGCTGAGATAACGAACTGAACTGGCTGATGCGGATCGGTCTGAATGAAGCGCTGGGAACAGCAGGAAACGAGGTTCTTGTGAGGGTAGAGGATGTCAATGGTGCATGAAAGGATCGGAGGACTCTGATGGCGAGACGCCCCTGCCGGGCTGCGCCGTACATGTTCGGGCCGTGAGAAAATGAATGATGGACAAGGTGAAGTGTTGAAAGACTTTACAACCCTGTACAGTGATATAAAGAAAAGGGAGTGAATAAGGAGATGCAGGAATGATCAACTGCAACATCAATTGAAAGATAGTTAGTTATCTGTAAAGCGGTCGCGTTACCTGAATCCAAAATTTCTGGGAGAACAAAAAGTCTCGAATGATTCGGGTCCCACTTACGATGAATCAAGCCAATCATGGGCTTTGAGATAGGAGGCTAGACCAATTTGGTAACATACGCGGAATTCGATAAGATAAGACTCGAAACAATGGACGAAATGCTTCTAGGAGCCACACCGATTGATTAATATGCACGCTGCTTATGGCCTCATGAACATAAATAATCTGATGAACCTCCTACTGATACAGGAAACGTTCTCTCCTTTTTAGTCCTGCAGCCATGCGATTCTCTGGTAAGTGCACTTGTTCTCCCACCCCTTCTGACCGGCGACAAACAGAGGTAGGTTTGGTCTTACCACCTTGGAACACCCTGCTACCACCAACTACGGCAGACATCTATCTTGGCTGCACATGGTTTCGTACTCGGACTGCCGAAGCATTGACTCGACACTTGCTGCCAAGCTCGCGCTTACTTGTGAGCATGTCAGCGAGAACAAAGCATAAGATGTCCGGAAACCAGTGTGCACAGACGGTATCCAACCCCTTCAAGAGTGTGCGCACTGCCACGCTGCCAGGGTATTCGCATCAATCTTGATACTGTGTCAACGGATTGTGTCTCGGTGGCGTCCATCAATGTGTCCAACCGAATGCTATCCATCTGGCCGACCTACTGTGGCAATGAGGCTGCTTCCAAAGATCATCACCTACTCGCATGCACGGTGGGATTGGAGTTGCTTGAGTCTTACTGATTGATGTTGATCCGCAAAAGCCGGCACTGCATTGCGGACGTTGACAGCGATTGAACGTTAATCGCAAGAGATTTCATTCGCCCAACAGAGCGGCTTTGATCGGTACATATCCGACCGGCGTTAAAAAACCACGAAGGGCGCATTGGTCAATCGATTTGACAACCCCCGCATTTCTGTTCTACGGCAAGAACGGCTAAAGGCGACACTCTTGATTCGAGACTCAAGCTATCTACAGAATTGCGGCAACTTGCGACAGCACAAGGTTGGCACACTATTGGACAGTGCGTCGATGATGTTCAATTCGCGTGGGGCACAAGCTGTGAACTCCGAGGCTCCAACAGGAAGCCCACCATTATTATCTTCGCCACTGCCGCACATCCCCTCGACCCTTTCCCCAGCACTGTTATCGAATTTATATCGCTGCCGCATCTCGTCCGGTCTCACATTCTCTTTGCCCAGCCATATTCAACCGCAGATAACCATCTCCAGGCACACTCCTGCTTTTCTATCTGACCACCACAATGGCACCACCCACAGCAACCTACACGGAAACGGACACCGATCCCTACTCCCACACTCCAAGCGAGGGATTTGACACCCCAGACGCTCAACCAAAAGGCACTGCGCCCAACGAGCCTGGTCTAAGCCAGGGCGCCGCTAAAGTCCAACTCCAGAAGTTCCCCAGCCCACCAAGATTCACAGACAAATACGAGGAAAGAGAATACCTCAAAGGCCGCCTGGCGCTGGCATTCAGATTATTTGGCAAATATGGCTACGACGAGGGTGTCGCTGGCCACATCACATTGCGCGATCCTGTTGACCCAACAACCTTCTGGGTGAACCCCTTTGGCCTTGCATTCACTGAGATAAAGAAGTCCGACCTGATTTTGGTCGACCACGACGGTAAGGTCATTGACGGAGGACCAAACCGCCTCCTCAACACAGCCGCATATATGATCCACGCTGCCATCCACAAGGCTCGTCCAGACGTTCTCTGCGCCGCCCACTCGCACAGTATCTATGGCCGCACATTCTGTACCCTTGGCCGGGGTATCGATATCACAACGCAGGACAGCTGCGCGTTCTACAACGACTTGGCCGTATACAGACAATTCAAGGGTATCGTGCTAGCCAAGGAAGAGGGCGAGAACATTGCAAAAGCGATTGGCCCCAAGAAGGCTTGTCTTCTCCAGAACCACGGTCTTTTGACGTGCGGTCAAACCATTGAGGCCACCGTATTCTGGTTCGTCAGTCTCGAGAAATGCTGCCACACACAACTCATGGCTGATGCGGCATGCGCTGGTCGGGGCGGAGAAACAGTCAAGATCGACGAGGAGGATGCCCAATTCACATACAAGAGCGTTGGCACGCCCAGAGCCGGCTGGTTCAGCGCCAAACCCATGTTCGATGTCATGGCTAAGGAATGCCACGATGAGTATCTGCTATAAGCAGCTTCGATGTGGTGGATGTGACGATATACATGATGAACATAGGGGGAGAATTTGTGTAGTTATCTTGAATGAACAAAATTGTCGTTATATTTCCAAAATATGTTTCATCAGTGGCTTGTACCTTCAGACGGCGTCCATCAATCGAGCTCCAGACATTCAACAGCCAGCATTGTCATTTGGCGACCTCTAAGAGAGTCCCCATCATGCTCATGTACCTGGTGTTCTAGACAGGTCCGACAAAAGCTATTTGCTCCATTCATGAACCTTACTTGGTAAAGGTCTCGCGCGAAATACTGAGTATGGGTTGAAAGGTGGGGCGATGGGAGTACCATAGTACGAGTACGACCTACCTACAAAGATTATTGACTTCGAAGCTTCAAGCCGTCGTGTCAGGCCAGACGGCTCGACAAGCTAGTGACGTGCGCGTGCGCGGGACAGCACCGCATACCTATAAGCAACATGACTTGACACTCAATGCCACATATAAGAGCATAGGTGACCGCCTGCTGTCGTCAAAACAACGCCTTCTCGATCAACAAAGGTCAGGAAGCGCACCGGATTGAGAAAAATTGTTGCCCTGCTGCCCACGCCATACAGCTATCGCAGCTGTCCTACATGAACTTCATGGAAGCTATCTGAAGTGAAGTTTTCGAGATTTTTGTCATTAGTTTGATCAAGACACGATGCCTTCAACACTCCAAGTCCTGTCCGTCCTGTTCGCCGCGGGCGCAGGTCTATACCAATTTCTGTTACGCGATGTCATATTCACCACAGTTGGAGTAGGCAGGACGGTGCTCCCGATCTCTTCATTCCCGTACCATTGCCAGCGTATAACAGGAGACCCCAATCTTCAAGCATGTGAGGATATGTGGCTCGATGAGAAGTCGAGGACGCTATATCTCGCGTGCTCAGATCCTGTGGCCCGGCGGGATTGGATGCCAAAGTACGAGCATCCTGAGCTTCTCCTCTTTAAGGACATGTCGCTGACGGTCTCCATAGCATCCACCGTATGAATGCGTCGGGAAGAGCTCTGAACGACCACATTGTCGCCATGGACATCGACAGCCCGAGCAGTGAAGGAGGGTATACTTACCGGGTGCTCGAGACGCCAGATTTCTCCGGGGTTCATGGTGACGGTCGCATCCATGTCGTGGGCATGACGGGTTCGGTTTCCGAAGATGGAGAGAATCAATTGTGGTTGATCAACGCTCGACCTTCGGTTGATCCTACCACTGGACAATTGCTGGACAACGCCGTCGTTGGAGGAAATTCAACGATCGAGCTTTTCACGACAGCGCCCGGCTCGGGAATCGCGAGACATGTCAAGACATTTGCCGATCCTCAGATAACCACGCCGAATAACGTGGCGGTCACTAAGGATGGGGCTTTCTTCTTCACGAATGATCACGGACCGCACAAGGTTGGCTTGGTAAGTGATGGCAAAATCCGTCATGAATATTTAACAGCCTGTGGCTGACCTTGTCACAGTTGCATCATCTCTCGCCCGTGCTGGCAACAGGTGACGCCTCCTATTGCTCGGCGGCAGGCGAATGCAAGCAAATTGCGAAAGGTTTCAGATTCCCCAATGGGCTTCACTTGGGGAGTGATGGGCTGCTTTACATCCCCAGTGCAGCGATGAGAGGGATTGACATCTTCAAGCCTGCTGCCGATGGATCAGTCGAAAACGTGCATCATATCCACCTCGACTATCCCATCGATAATCTGTCCGAGGATGCGAACGGAGATATCTTCGCAGCGGCTATGCCCAAGGGTCTCGCAACGCTCGCAGCATTCGAAGATCCAATGAACGGGCCGATTCCGCCGGCGACTGTCTGGCGTGTGAGGAGGGTGAATCGAGAAGTCGAAGACAAGTACGAATATGAGCTGTTCAAGGTCATTGAAGATGCTGCTGGGGAGAAGTTGCCTGGGGCCACCACGGTCATACACGACTCCTCGACTGGCAGATTGTTCTTGAGCGGTGTTGTCTCTCCATTCATCACTGTCTGTCAGAAGAAGATCATCTGAGGTGCCTAAGCTCCTCAAGGGGGAATGGAATCTCGCCACACTCGAAAGATATGGTCTTGACCCAATTGAAGTCTGCACAGTAGAATGCCCTGGAGGTTCCCATTGTCCCATAAGTCTCGAAGCCTCACCTTTCCTACGACTGTTGTCGTCGTTCACTGTCGACGTCATACCCATAACATGGTAAGAAGCAGCAACGGAGAGTCGGTAACTGTTCACCGAAGTTCCGTCGGTTAGAGCCAATCACGTTTGCTTGCGCCCCCTGTTCGTCGATCGACCTCCACAGCGGACCCCTGAATATCTCTTCTTTCTTTTCAAAACACAGACGAACAGACACACCCCTCGCCGGAGGCCTGACCATCTCTGACTCTCGTCTAGCCTATGAAGCCTGATTTCGGGCACCGACAGACCCAACTGCGTCACCTGTGAACCCTTTGTGAGTATGTCGTTCACTAGACTTTTCCTCCAGGGACTGAATCATGGGCCACTCCAGGATCTGACCACAGCGTCCGGTATTCAACGATGCTCAACTTGGCAAGCCACTCTCGTAACGGGCCAAACACTATGCGGGGCTTCCCAAGCATGTATTCGTCCTCTCTAGACTGACCAAGAGTCCTCCAAGCACGTTGCACAGATAAAAGGATTCCGGGCTGACCACCAGACCTCCCTCGTATTTCTATCTGCATTACTACCTCGTTAAGACCAGACTGTAGGAATCTCGACCTCACTTCCGACCCAGAAACCTTCAGGCCCTCCATTGAGTCACGTATAACCATCCGGCCGCGCAGTCTCCATCCTCCATTCCATACACATTGAACCTGTTTCCAAAGGCATACTCCATAGGTACTCTTATAACCCATCGTCTGTGTCCACCACAAGATAGTCATCCGCAACGTCAAGATGTCTCGCGGCGCCCCTCCTCCTCCCACAATCACTATCAACGCATCATCAGCCCCAACTCCAGCCACGACCATATCCTCGACACCAGTGGCAGCCGTCGCCGCTACACCGCGAGAAAAGGCCCAGAAACTAGTACTGGTCAAGACCTGCTATCTCTGCGACGAGCAGAATCCCGGCGACTTCTCGCCCACGACCAAGTTCCTCGAGGCCTGCCTCCTATGCTCGAGATGGTTTTGCCCGATCCACAAGTCCGAGACGTGGGATCAAGTATGCAACATCAATCACGCGAGCTACTACCATGACTGCTTGGTCAAGGCTCAGAAAGAGTTGGGAGACCAAGGAAAAGGAGGCGAAGACAAGCGTTCAGTCGCCGAGATGCTGATCAATGAGGGCATATATCCGAGTTTAGGAGAACGGGAAAAGGCCATCTTCTCGACGAGTCCTGTTACTGATGGTAAGTTTCGACGGCAAAGCAGGTCTGTCACGAGTCACGGGCTAACGTTCACGCAGACAAGATCCAGGAACTCGAACAGTATCGCAGCCTTGATGCGGCTCTGGAAGGCACGACCAAGACAGGCGGGCAGACGGTTGAAGAGCGGGATGTTGTGGGAGCTGACATTGCTGTGTGAGGACCGAGCATGAAATTGTAGGATACCATTAGGAATGATATCTCAGGGATACTGGCTATAGCCACTGCATGAAGCCCAGCAACGTATGAAGCAATTTGAAAAATGACAGAGTTGTCATGTACCAGATCTACCTTCCACGCCTAGATGCAAAGCTAGTACTGTCCGTGATGAACTGCAGAACCCCAACAACGCCATACTCGCTTATGATCCAATCAGAAGTTCAAGTCGTACAGCGCTATAACCCCTCAACATTGTATGACCATGAAAGTGAACACTGTTTCCTATACACAAGGCATTTGGGCCAGCACGCCCATTGCCCTCTGGCCTTCTCGCTCGAAGATGCCGACAACGCGCTCCGCTTCCGCTCGTAGACTGGCTTCGGCTTGTCCTGCAACATACCCAATCCAGTCCTGTACCGGCATAGCTTTCTCCTCGTTTGACAACGTCCCACCCGTAAGGCCGAGGAGATCAGCGGGCTGAGGCGTCGTAGGTTGGAAAAGAAGCTCAATGTCCGCAGATTCCCAAGTGGGCATAGGCTCGCCTGGTGATGATGCCGCAAGTGGAACTTTTTGAGTTGACATTGGCGCGCGGGCAGACCCCGGCCGGCTGCTTGGAGGAGCGTTTTCAATGTCTGATGGAGGTGAAGGACTTGTTGGAACAGGGGACTCGGCGGCTGGATGAGATCTGGTGGCTGTTCTGGGGGTGGTCGCTGGTCTGGAGGTGGCTTTTGATCGCGTGGAGGAAGGCGGCGCGCGTGTCTTCATAGGTGTAGGTGATGGGTGTGGTGGTGCTCCCAGAGGACTTAGTCGGAGGATCTCCTTCATTATGCTGGGACTGTTGGCAATGGGCGGGTATGTGATGTCGGCTGGCGGACTAGGTGCCGGACTAGGCAGGGCTTGCGGTATTGATGAGGGTATAGGTGCAGCCACTGTCTGCTGCGTTGGTGTTTCTTCGGCATCGGCCTCTATCGTCTCCTCGGGCGTAGCTTCGGGCTCAGCTTCGGCGTCTCCTTTCTTTGATCTGGTTGACTTCGTGGTTTTGGCTCGTTTCGATTTGGTAGTTTTGGCTTTTCCTCCAGCACCTTTTCGCTTTCCTTTTGTGGTAGATGCTGCTGACATTGTTGACATGACAGACGTTGTGCTTGTATCTATCGACTCATCTAGGTCGGGAATATCTGTGATGCTGGTTGCTTCTGAGAGCATGGTCGCATTTTGTGACTGTGTGGATAACCGTGATGAAGCCCTGGATGTGTTGGACGCTCTCGATGCACGGCCTTTCTTCGCCTTGGGTCTCTTTGATGGTGCAGTGGTACCAGCGAAGTGGAAGAATGGACATGCAGGAGACCTGCGATAGTGCTCGTCGAAGGGGTTGTCCTTTGGTTCCCAGCCGTCGAGTGACAGCTTGCAATGGGCACAGCTCACATAATCTTCGGAGTCTGGTGTTGGTGCATAATACCAGCCTGCTTCCACCATGTTTCTGATTTTACACGTCCAGCCTCGTTTCCCTTCATGAGGCCATCCGATTGAGAATGTGTCTGTACGCGCCTGCGCGAAATGTTGTCCTGTCGGATCTTCCATCGCATCGACGTCTATACTACCATTTTGCACCGCATCCATCAGGATCACCCACCCACAGTCGCTTGCATGTTTCAAGTGCTCTTGCACTGGGTCATCATCTGGCTCCCATCCATTAAGAGATCTCTGGCATAGGTAGCATTCGGTGTTATCGTTGCTTTCTTTTGAAGGCTTGTAATAGAAGCCTGCTCTGGCCAATTCTTCGGGGGTGGGTGTTTTGTGAGGCCATCCTAGTTTTGAGCGTTTCGAAGGAGGCTCGAAGGTCGCCAGACGCGACTCATACGTTGAGCCCATTGTTGCACCTTTCCCAAGCGCGAATCCTCGTCAGCGTGGTGGGATGTCAGTCGATCGATGGCTGTGGTTTAAAGCACAAACGAACCGCGCATTCGGGAAAGTGACAACAAACAAATGGCTGACATAAGCAGTTGATTTGCAAGGGGCCAATGACGCAAGTGCTCGGGGATGAGGTGCTACAACGAATCCATTTATGCCCAATAATGCACACACACTCCAATAAGCAACCATTCCTTGCCAGACCATCGTCCATGCTGGCACTGACAATGGTCGCTCTGCCTCAACTCGATTCATCAGTCCTACAAGAATGACATTGCGAGCAGTGCCCAGCATCCTGGGCAAAAGGGGATTTCAGGAGCTTTACGGCTATCCCACCAGATTCCCCATCCTCGCGTCACCCAAACGCCTACCTTTCGCTTACGGTGCTCGCCTCTATGCCACCCAACAAGAAGAAGGGCGACGCGATTCTGGCCCGCCGCCTGGGTTTGACGCCTCCAAAGCACAGCAGGATTCGGACAGTTCCAAGCCGCAGTCTGAGTCGAATGCTGGCTCCAAAGCAAACAGTACCCGTCCCGGTAGCAGCTCCTCCAAGTCTACGTCCTCCTCAAAAGATCACCATGACTGGGAAGAGAACCCTGACTTGAGTATATCGAAGTTTTCGGAACTTCCAACGAAAGATTTCGGTGTCAACCAACACATACTCATCAATGAAGAGTTCAAGGAAGCCCTGAGACAGATACTGTGGAAGTTCCGCGCTCCCATCCGCTATGCGTTTGCCTACGGATCCGGCGTCTTCCCTCAAAGCTCTGGCACAGTCGACGGCAACTCCAAACTCCATCCAAGTCCTCCGGATGCCATAACAAAAGTCCAAGGTGGCAATCAAAAGATGATTGATTTCATATTCGGAGTGTCTTATAGCCAGCATTGGCATTCCCTAAACTTGCAGGAACACCGTGACCATTACTCAGCGCTTGGATCACTCGGCTCTTACGCGGTTTCCAAGGTTCAGGACTCGTTCGGTGCCGGAGTATATTTCAACCCTTTCGTGACTGTGAATGGGACACTCATCAAATACGGCGTGGTCAACCTGGACACTATGTGTAAGGATCTGTCAGAATGGAATACATTGTATATTGCGGGACGACTCCAGAAGCCGGTCAAGATTTTGCGAGACAATCCCGCTGTCCGATTAGCAAACCAGGTCAATTTGATTGCCGCTGTCCGCACAGCTCTGCTTCTGCTACCTGAAGAGTTTACCGAGAAAGAACTGTACTCGACCATTGCAGGAATCTCTTACATGGGCGATCCAAGAATGACCATTGGAGGCGAGAACCCTCGCAAGGTTGAGAACATTGTCAAGTACCAACTGTCCAACTTCCGACGTCTCTACGCACCGCTCGTCGAGAATCTACCTAACATTTCTTTCACGGACTCCGCAACCTCCAACCAGGACTGGCTTGATGACCCTTCAGTCAATGCTAAACTATCGCAAAACATGGATCCCGTAACTCGAGGTCATATGGTACGCCGCCTACCAGGTGCTTTCCGCAGAAAGTTGTACTTCGAATACCAATCCAAGTTCAATATCCCCCGTGGGGAATTCAACGAGATGCTGGAGAACACCAAAGACGAAGACCCCGACCGCATTCGGAAGCGCGAAGGTGGGCCATTCGAGCAACGGATTGCTTCCGACAGTGAAGGTGGCGGGCTACGTGAAGAAGTCCGCCAGGTCATTGAGTCGACGATCCGCTGGCCTTCATTCACGCAAAGTCTCAAAGGACCCCTTACGGCTGGATTCGCTCGGAGTTGGCGATACATGAAAGAGAAGCGAGACAAGGCGAAGACAGGTGCTACTGCTAAAAAGGAGAATGACGAAGAGAAGGAAAAGATATCATAAATCACCCCACAGGGATCAAAATGTTGGCTTGGACACGGCGGTATGGTGTCAGCCATACCACTTCTTTCATTGTGTATATATATACAAAACCTGGATGAGATGACAGCTACTTTCCTGCGTCCCCAGACTATAAAACACAAATCAAAAACATGAACACTCACGGTTTTCCACATCTGGTCTACAGTTCCCGCTTTTCCGTTGCAGCCATCTTCCATCCAGCCTTCCACAATACGTAGAATGGGACGCCCACGCTGTAGAAATACACGGCTGAGCGCAAATAGCTCGCCTTCTCGCTCTTGACGGTCATGTACAGCACGCTGTAAACCACTCTGGCCGCGAGATACTCTGCCGCACAGACGTTGAGTTCCCGCGCGTCGACATTCGTGTATGTTCCTGCTAGCTGTCATGTTGTTAGCATGTTGTTCGATAGCCGTGGGTGTGCTGGATCTTCGGGCTTACCATCGCCGCCGCAAACAGCGGGAACCCTTCGAAAGCATTGAGATGGCATCCCCGTGCCCGCCAGAGCATGTCTGTCGTTGCTTTTGGCAGGCTGGCGCTCAGGGCGGACAGATTTGAGCGCGGCGTCATATTAGTGGCCTTCCAGCCCGTTGCGCTCATAAGTTTGGTGAAGAAATAGAGGTGCGGTGGGTAGGCGAGGGCATAAGAGATGGGGATCGCGTGCAGGGCGAAGGCACGCGTTGAGAAGTAGGGTAGGGCATTGGGAGAGGTCGGCTTTGAGGTTGAGGTTGACATTGTTTGAACTGGATTTGAGTGGATTGGGTGGTGGGTGTGGATGTGCTTGTTATGACAGGTGTGTTGGGAGAGAACAAGCAGTGAGGGAAGAAAGGAAGGAAGGGAACTTTATACTACCTCACATCTTCACAGGAGCATAATGTGTTGAATATTAGATGTCGGACTTACTTTGATGTCGGTGTAGGTGGACATGAGGCATTTGGTGGAGCAACGTAACGTTATGGCCATAACATAACGATAAGTAACAACGCCCAGCGGCGCGCGGGTTGCGCTTAGGGTCGAACGTCGGCAAAGCTGTGCTGGACAAAGTAAGTCATGCTGGGGTGATATCTGGCTGCGGTTGATGGCTGTCTGTGTTGTTTCTCTGCTCTATGAATGGAAAGAAATGAAGTAGGAGTCGTGAAAGGTAGGCGCCCGTCAAGATTTCTGACTCGGCACAATGAGTCTAGAAGTAACATATGAGCCACACCATAATTACCATCAAATTGCCAGAATCTTAGGCCTAAGTAGAAGTATGTAATAAAGAGATAATGTCAATTATTTGCAATGCTGTCGCTTTCATCCATATAATAAATGCACGCCATCATAGTGTAGTGGTATCAAAAAAGCAGCAACCAAAGCTGAACTGCCCTCGCAGTATCTCAATCCTTCTCGGAGGCCATGATGCCTTGGAACCATGTCATACTCTGTCCGCCCATTTGTAGACTTTGATATTGACTGGAGCGTTCAGATATATCCACCCTTGTCGTCCTTGCCCTGGCGTTCTGAGCGAGACATGACTTCCTTGGAGGTCAGATTGCCAACTCCTTCAAGAAGTCCTCCCTTGCCAAACTGGCCAGCGACACCCTCGTTGACACCGTCTTGAACTGCATCAACGTTCTTGTCGCCTGTAATTTTGGTCTTGGAGAGCTCGTCTACGACAATTAGAGATTTGCACGTGGCAAGCGCAAGCGATCAACAAGCATACCTTTGGCAGTGTAGCTGGTCTTGTTCTCACCCCACCAGCCTAGCAATTTGTCTTCAACCCATGGCATCCAAGACTCGTACTGCTTGTTGTAGTAGTTCCTTGCGGTCTCCATGACGTAGGGTCGGCTTTCAGATGTGAGAAGTGGAAATCAATGTGCCTGGTGTGCTGGTAAAGATGTTTTGTTGGATACGATGATAGTGTCACTGAGGATATAGGCAGTGTCAAGAATCGAAGAACAGACCGTACTCTACCAAGATCTTAAAAAGAGGCAGAACATGATGGCAACATGCGGACGGAGCAAGGCATGTGGCAGAGCTGCCAGGTGGCAGTCATGTGTGGCTGGTGTACGTCAGTCTCCCAAAGGGATGACCACAAGCCAACAGGGGACGGCTTGTACCGTACGAGTGTGGGCGGTCAAGAAAATCCTCACAACGAATCGTTGACGAATCATGGGATGTTGCAAACTGGTTGTGCTGGAAAAGAAGAATTCAACAAGGGAAGTTGAAGTGGACAAGTTGGTACCATGACGTAGGAAGGAAAGGATCACCCTGGCTGTCAATTCAAACTGACAGGGATCCCGCGATCGTGATCAGGCTGAAGGTTTGCAAAACATCGGTGGAACAAATTCTGTTATCTTTGTATAGCCAAACCCATGTCTAAGTACTGTAGGTGTGTGTAAAGGAGAGCTCCTCACACCTGATTCCCCCTAGTCATTACGGAGTTTCCCAAAGTGAGAACCCAAGTGCTATCAAGAGATCGACGACATTTTGAACGCGGTAATACAAGTGATGAAATAGTTAAAGCAACCCGTGTTGACGTCTCGAGTATAAAACGAAACGATGGTGTCTGAGGACGTTCGAAAAGCAGACTCTTGACGGTGAAGACCTAATATTCACCACGGGCCCTTCGCATTTCAGGCTGAGTGTAGTTGGTATTGTTCATTCGCTGTTGGACTAGCCGCTCATGATCTCTCATGTGTGCCTCATAGAGGCCTCGGCACCCAAAATTCTTCTGTCCGCAATGGTCGCACACGCAGCGTCCTGTCTCCCGATGTTGCTGATCCTCTCCTTGGCTGTTGAATGTTTTTGGGCAGGTGCGGCATCGAAACTGTTGGTGTTGCTGTTCTGGCAACAAGGAACGGAACTCGACGTCCGCTCCGCAGTTGAGCACGACTGTCAAAGCATCGTTGATGGCCTGGACTTCTTGTGCACCGGGACGATGATCCTCTGAGTTGAGGTGCTCGGAGATAGAAGGCCGTGGGCCATCGAGATAGCTCAGTGGCGCGTCTCTCACAGTGGCCGCAGAGAATCTGACGGTCGCTCCACGTTTTTGCAAAAGTCGGCAATACTCATAGACAGGCAGGAATGGTATATATGATGGCGGATCCTCATATGGCGTCTGGTGGTCGTATTCGTCTTTCCCGTATTCTTCGACGGGCCGTCCAACTTTGGTATGTTTTTTTGGTTTCTCCGTAGGACGATTGACTCCAACGAAATCTTTCTCCGGGCGTCGTGGCATCTGGACGTCCTGGGGGCTTTTCCCCATAGCTTGTGAGACGAGCACTGGATCCACTATCGCACTTCCCTCAGAGTAGGTGATTGAGTCGTCGTCCCACTCGTCCCTTGGCCTTCTCGACGTTGCCACCGGCTCTGGTCTCCGTTTATCGACAGGACGGAGCCTAACAGGAATAGGATTGCCTCCTATGCTGCTGGAGCCTGTCTTTTTATGAGGAGCGTTAGCGAAAAAAGGAGGCATTCCCGTGAGTTTATAGATCGGGTAGCTAAATCCAGATTTGAACGATTACAGCAAGCAAGACGGGAGATGGAGAGGTTTATTTGCTGGCATACCATTCAACTGAGGCCACGATGCGGCAACCATCATGACTGCAAGGCGTCGCAGTGCTCTGCCTCACAAAGTACGCCTCGTGATGCTGAATACGAAAGATAGGTGCGCTTTCCACCATATAACGCGACCGGTGACTGGGAAACGCCAGCTTTCCATCTGGCTTGATGTACGGCCGCTCAAACTGTTTCGTCTCTGGCCGGGCAAACAAGGCAGAAAGTTCGTTGCCTTGCATCTTACCGACGCCCGGAAAGCGTTTCAAACCAAAGCACTAAGTCCGCCATCCCACCAAGGGTGGTTACACAAGGTTGCCGAAAGTGGTTAGTTGAGGCTCAGATGTCGGAGTGCTGCTGCTTCTTGCAGCACTTCCTGTCTTGATTTCATCGTGTAAGCCCGACTTTCTGTTCATGTACAGCATAGTGTGGGTGGTGTGACTGCAAGACTTGCGCTTCTTCTGGTGACAAAGTCAGTACGTAGCCAGCCCAGCCCTGGCGACACGATGTCCGGAGAGGAGGACGCGGAATAACATCAGGCTGTGACGGAGGAAATGGAGAGCGACGGGAAAGAGGTCGGTTGACTCGCCGACCCAAGGTAAAGTGACACAAGTGTCACGTGGGTTCCACGTGATGCACAGCAGCATCTGTCCCATCACGTGATGCGATTTAGATCCTCCGCACATCACTTCCTCCACATTGCCACCAGGCTTGGCAATATCAGACCCAGACCTCAGGCTGTTGAGATGGTCGTCGTGTCTCTTGACCACTGCACCTATAAAAAGCTGTCCGTGTATCCACAGACAAGGAACAACCGGAACATCTCAACAAGCTATGGGAAAGAATAAGGCTAAAAGAGCCCTACAAAGCTCACACTACAATGGTCCGGCTACCAAAAAGGCCAAAATTTCTGCAATCACAACCCCACCACCGGATGCCCCAATATCAAGACCTCAGACTCTGAACGATCTAGATCTGACGCATGATGATCTCGAAATCAGTGTGGATGTCCTCAATACACTGGCAGAGAACCCAGGGATCATCAAATCGAAAGTATGCAAGGAGTTAAGGACGGCCGTCTTCACGTTTCGACAGGCTTGCACGACGGGTGTAAATGCTTCAGGTGAGCCTAGCACAAATCTCCAAAGCCAATTTCTCTTCACTTTAGTACTGTTAGCATATTGAAGACTACTGGGGCGCTCAATATCGCTGGATTTCGCTAACAATATCTCTCCTAGTCGACTCTAATCTCACATCACGCATCAGCGGGGCCTTAGCCGATGAGAATTATGTCGAGGCTCGCATCCTCTTGGCAGAGATGCGGATACGTGGTCAAGCTCCCAAGCTAGGTGCTCTATGTAGGTGGACGAGAGATCTGGACGTTGTTGGTGGACTGCAATTAGACCTGGACGACGACCAGATCAACCTCGAGGCAGCAGATATCGTCAAGAAAAGCTGCCCCAGAAAGGAGCAGCTTGTCAAAGTCCTTGACTCTATATTGAGAGTTGTAGGGCCAGTCGATTGCACGATAGAGCCAGATACACCTCTTGACACTAATCGGCTAATCATCTCGAGGAGAGAATGGAATCTACGTGACACGACAACATCATCAGAGCAGACCTATGCCTCTGTTCTCAACAGCAGCATCTATGAAACCGCATTCGGGGAAGACTCAACTTGGATATCTTCACATTTCCGCGTTATCGAAACAATTCCAGGACTCCAACGAAAACCTCCAAACCTGCACCCAGCAATCCTCTACGCCTCAAAAGACAATACGATTTCCCTCATTGCAAATGCCACGACACCAACACATCACACCCACCCTATCGTCCCAAATCTCCACCTCTTCCACTCCGTCCTCACGTCCCAAGAATGCACCCAAATCATCGCCGCAGCCGAAACAATGGGCTTCACACCCGACGCCCCAATCCGTGCACCCGGCGAAGAATCAAGTATACTCGCGCACAATTTCTACTGGGTCGCAGATCCAGCATCCTGCACGAATCTCTGGGACCGTGTAGCACCGTTCGTCCCCTCAAACATCAACGGCCAGAATGTTCGAGGCCTTAATCGTCGTTTTCGCGTCTACCGCTATGTGCCTGGCGCGGAGTACCGTGCACACATCGACGGTGCGTGGCCGCCATCCGGCATCGATCTTGTTACGGACACATACATCTACGATGATTCACCGAAAGGATCACCTCAATCATCATTGTTTACGTTCCTGATCTACTTGAACGATGAGTTCGATGCAGGTGAAACAACGTTCTTTCTACCAAGTGTGAGGGAGGGAGTGCTCAATTCATATCCGGTGAAGCCCGTGCAGGGCAGTATACTGATGTTTCCGCATGGTGAGACGGAGGGCAGTTTACTGCATCAGGGGACAGGCGTGGCGAGGGGGAAGGAGGGATCGCCTTCGGCCAAATATGTCATTAGGACGGATGTTTTGTATGATGTTGGGGCTGGGGTCGGGTCGAAATAGGCGGGTCACAAGTCAGGTTCACAATGCTAGAAGCTGTACGGCCAAAAGCCAGGTAGACGAGGAGGATGCTCCGAAATGGCATGCTGATGAGTGATGAGCTACATGATATTACCATCAGCAAGCAGAGCCATCTGTTTTGAACATGCCCCCTTCGAAGCGGAATGTGATTTTCATTGTCCTGCCAGTCCTGCCCAAAGTACTGTATGTAAAGACACCAACAAGACGAATTGGAATCGACAAGCCCGATGTAAGCAACATAAGTGTCACGTGCGTCCCACGTGATGCACGGCAGCACCGTCCCTTCCAAGTTCCGAGTCGGCCTCTTGCCGGAAGAAACGCCGGTCGACGCCGGCAGTTGCAATATTCTCTACTCCTCTTTTTCCTTCACTAAGACACCAACCAACACATTCCCCAGATGTTGCATACTCCGCAATCTCTGCAGAATCTACGCCGGCATGTTGCCGGTTCAAGCCCGAGGGTGCCCGTGGTGGCCACATCAAGGCACGATGCAACAATATATCGGGAATTGATGGAAGGAAGGTTGCTTCATTCCACGTCTTTATATATGAGAGTTCCTTCATTACCTCTCTTTCCCAAGTGACTCCCATACAGCAGTGTCTTGTCCCTGTCTTTCAATATCAGGAAGGATCGGTCGTCATTGACGAGAAACAGCTTGACCTCATAACAAGCAGCCATGGCTATCTCATCTTCCACGAGCCCCTATCCACAGGTGGCCTTTATCGGCCTCGGAGCCATGGGCTTCGCCATGTCCACTCATCTTGTCCGGACAGGCTTCAACGTCGTAGGGTACGACATCTACGGACCCACTCTGGAGAGATGGCAATCTACCTGCGACGACATCCCCCATTCCAAGGCATCAACAGCAACATCACCCTCAGAAGCCGTCAAGAACGCTCAAGTGGTATGTCTGATGGTCGCAAACCACCACCACGTCCACTCTGCTCTCTTCGACGAGAAAGTCGGAGCCGTCCACGCCCTCCCACAAGGAATCACCGTCATCATCCATGCCACAATCCCACCAACAGAGCCATCACACGTCCGGACACGACTGACAGAGGAGTTCAAACGGCCTGACATCCGATTGATTGACGCCCCTGTATCCGGAGGCGTAGCTAGATCCATCAACGGCACGCTAACCATCATGGCCGCCTCCGACAGCGCCAAGAACCTCGAGCATCCAGACGCCAGAATCGTTCTCGACAACGTCTCCAGCAAGGGCAAGACACTCTTCGTTATTCCCGGCACTCTCGGCGCCGGCCAATCAGCCAAAGCCCTCAATCAGGTCATGGCCGGCATCCACATCCCCTCTGCCTCCGAGATCATGGGCCTCGCCGCGATCAACGGCGTCGACACCCAGAAATTCTACGACACACTAACTACCAAGGACTCCTCAGGCAAGACGGCCGTAGGATGGAGCTGGATGTTCGAAAACCGCGGTCCCCGCATGTTGAGCGCCGAGCCGCCCATGGCGTCCGCCACCGCCATCATCAACAAAGACGTAGGCATTATTCGAGACGAGGAAGTGCGACTGAACGTCGAACTCCCCCTTCTCAACGAGGCCGACGGCATTCTCAAGGCCGTCATGAAGACCCACTCCAGCGCCGACGACAGCTGCATCGTCCAGTACTACCTCGGCTTCAACTCCGAGCGAGCCAGCCTCGTGGTTGAGTGCGCCGGAAAATCCCAGATGTCCAGCGCAGAACAAGATTCCAAAATCCAAGATCTCGCAACTGCCCACGCGGTCATTCATCTCATTTCCGCGTTCGACACCATCACCTTCGCCAAAGCCCTGAATTTGATGCACGCAGACCAGAAGAAGCAGTGGTATACGCTGATTTCCGGCGCCGCAGGTGGCAGCACCATCTTCTCCGAGGTGATTCCACTCGCATTCACCGACTCGGATGGTGTGGAGGCTGCTTTCAAGAAGTATGCCAACGAGAAGTTCGGTGCTGATATTTTGGACAAGACGGTACGTTTACAAGATCTTCCTCGGTCATGAAAGGACTTGGTTTACTGACTTTTTGTCTTTTCTAGCTGTCCATCATCAAGAATGCAAAGAGTCAAGGCTATGAGCCGAAGATACTCGAGGCCGCAGTGGCACGTTTCAGGAAGTTTGTTGAGTAGAGTAAAACATGCGTAGATGAAGCTATGTGGTCGCTTTATGCTAGGTAGCAGGGCCTTATTTGGGAGTTCGGATACACCTGGCTGGTAGCCATGGAAGTACAGCGTCAAAGGAGTCCGACATAGTGTCATGTATGCATCCCGCGGAAGTATGATTGTGATATTCCTATCTTCCAAGCATATCTAGCTGTGAAACTTAGCGACGACTGACAGCCCGCTCTGGCGAACTAATCTTAATGCACTTCAGGGACATTCAAGCCTCGACCTCCTTCAACTCACCTGTTTTGATATCAAACACAAACCCCCGAATGTTCTCTTTGATCGCGTCGCTCACCAAGGCATTCTCCCGCAAAAAGGCAATACTCTTCTTGACATTATCATCCAGACTCCCCGTGATCTCCCCGAACGTCATCCCATCAATCTCCTTCTTGTGGTCTGGCGCACGCTCTCTCAACCCCTGCTTCACAAGCTGGTTGCGAAAATGTGTGGCGCCGCAATCTGTCGAACACCCTGTTAGTCCGTGTACCACGACCAAGGCCTCCGCCCGCAGGACGAGAGACGACGAAGAAACGGACCTGTATGCTGAACAATGATGCACTCGGTGAACTGCACCAGCGAATCAATGCTCAAGATATGTTCCAGCAAGTATTGCGCATTTCCTCCTGCATCGCGCAAGACGACTGCCTCGCCGGTCTTCAGACCGAAAATGTTCTCCGGAATGCATCGGGGGTCCGCACAGGTGACTGGTCCTCATGAGTCTCATGTTCAAATACATATGCCCAAGGTTCAGGATTTTCAAGGTATACTCACTAATTAGCATGCGACATAATTGATCAGGAGTCATTTCCGAGAAGAAAGGGATCGGTGTGAACCCGCTGAGAGTCGCCTCATGGCGCTGAAGAAGTTCCTGACTGGTCAAAACCATTTTCGCTCGTCGTCAATTTCGTTGTTTAATTACGACTTGATGTAATTCCGTAGTAGCTTTACTGACAGAGCAAGGTACTTCATGACTTCAAGAGAAAACGCTCGCCTTCTTATACCTCTGGTGTATGAAATGCCTCCCATCTCATGCGCAGGTGTCCTTACCTTCCGCTGGGGGTCATCCCTTACCGTTGACGGCGAACGCGCGAATATGTGGCTCTTAAGGAAATCAACAAATTCCTTTCTGAGCAACATGATGCAGCGTTGACGTATGAGGCTCGACACCACGAGTTGCAACCCACCAGTGCCGAGGGTAAGAGGGGATGCAAGCAGTTACCTTTGTCAGCGCATTTTGGTCCAATACGGTGGATGCCGGACGCCATACCAAATAGAGGCTGTTATACCCTGGCACGCCTTGTAAAGCATGCTCGCCAGGCGTATTAAAAGCGACGACTAATCCTTCTCCACACCCTGGAATCCTTCTGATCGCAAAACTTACCAAATCACTTGCCAAATGCATCAATTCGAGTTCATCAACCAGGATGCGAGCAATCGCAGCCTGAGCAAGTCGGATCATAGCACCATTCGGAGTGTCTCCAGGCGGGTCGGTGCAGCGACACGGAGAGAAAAGAATGCTGGAACAAGGACCAATGCATTGCAAATACCTGACTTCTTGGTGGCGTCGGAAGAAGAAGACTACACTTCCAACAACACTTACTCCGCGCATGTCCAGCAGCTTGACGATCCGCCCGAGGCTGGCTCCGATTCCGACATGCATCATCAAACTCCAGCATTGGTGGTTTCTGGGCGGGCGCAGTGGAAGTCAGAAGCCAGAATCACTTCTCTGGCGCGTTATACTCCAGATGGGCGATCATTTCCACAGCAAGTCTGCATATTTATGCTGCCTGGCCTCACAGCCAAAATTCTGACGCATGTTGTGAGCGCGGATGTACACAACAACCAACTACGGTGGGTCAAGGCATGTAGGCTGGGCCAGGAATCGATTTTGGGCCTGTTGCCGCGGCGGTATGGTCATAGCAAGTGTCTAGATGATGCCATCAACTGTGTTGCTGGACGCATATGCTTGAGTCTGGTAGAAAGCAACGATCGACTGGCCCGATGGCAGATTGACAGACTCTACGGACGCGCACTGCGGAGTCTGAATGCTGCTCTCAGCTCAGACTCTGTGGATTGGACAGCATGGTATGCGACAATGTTGTTGCTGCTTTTCGAGGTCTGCAATATGTTAGCGCTGTACAGTGTCTTGCTGACGAGTGACAGATACTGGACAACAACAGTGCACATAGCTGGATCAAGCATGCACGAGGTGGCATTCACGTCCTGCTTGCACTGGGACCAGACCGTATCATAACTGAAACTGATAAGGATCTCCTGGTCATCTCAGCAGAATTGATAGTAAGCACTCGCACGGGTATACTTGGCCGGCTCTTACAATGTGACAGATCCTGGAAGCCACGTTCGGCAACGTCGACTGTTTCCTGAGCGAACCGAAATGGCAAAGAGCGCTTGAAGCAACCATATTACGCTGTCCGCACCTCATAGACCGTTCCGAGGCGACGGTTACACTGTTGATGATATTGGCGCGGGCCCCCGACTTGTTCAGGAAAGTCACGGAGGTCGTCGCCCAACAGCGTTTGCAACCACAGGACCAGCTGGTGAATTGTCTTCGAGGTTTGATCAACGCTTTGTCAAACTGGGCGGACTACTGGGAAAAGCACCTATCCAACGATGGTGATTCGGAAACGAGGACTGGACTCTCTTCCACAGAATCTGCTCGAGGACGGTACCTCTTAACGAGGTACTTGACGTTCCTGGCTTTGGCAAACCGCTTCCTCTGCGCAATCGAACCGACCTTAGGCGCCATTGCGGAGCGAAACGCCCTGGAAGCAGCATCGGAGATTGCATTCGTCTCTCAGACCCACGACCTCGACACGGTTTCTGGACTGGGTCTGAGACTTGCCGATAAAGTCGCCCAGTCAATCCAAGATAGCGCAGCAGACTGGTCATATTCGATGTCACTCAGGACATTAAGCGAATCTCGAACCATCAATGTAGAGACCTTTTCGTCCTGGTGTGCATTGCTGGGGAGGGTGGTGTAGATATTCAGGTTGCCGTACACATATGAACATGACCATCTGATATCTTGTGTCCCATCACGCGCGTTCGCGGGACTAGAGGATGCATGGAATCTTGAGTTTTGCTGGCCAACACAGTGGTGTTCTTGTTGGAGGTCGTCCAGTTGATACCTTTCATGCTATATGGGTCTCTTTCACCTTTGTGGACTAAAGACAGCAATGTGTCCTCTTCCTCAACATTGGCTAGGCTAGGCTATCCAAGTGACCATACTGCTCGCCTGCGCAGTAGCCCACCCGCAACTCGAGGTGCTGCGCGTAACGTTCACGAGTATTGAATTTCAGTGTAATGTTATCCTGCCTGGCTTCCAATTCGAGGTGAGGAGAGCGCTGAGGCTTATTCACTCCAGGAAATGCGGTGGCTGATAGCCGCTTTGAACGCATGGGAAGCGTAGGTTCGCGTCCAACTTCAGGCTGCTCGGGCACTTGAGAGATGGTCGCAGTTGCGTGAGTCTCGAACCGGATCCGTGCCAGGTGTTCACTCTCGTATTGAGGTATGCAGACAAAAAGGCAGAGAGTGTCCCTGCTGTGCTTGTCCGCAGTTTGCGGAATTGGCAAACCATTTTATGTATCCAAGAGCTTGGATAGGGGGCTTGCACTCAGTGGAGCTGAATAGACTGCCCGAATTCGTCCATAGACCGCTTTGGGCGCCCTGATTCGCTCCTGTGCTACGTAAGACTGCCCGTCTTGGCCTGTGATAGAGTGATCCGCAGAGCGCTGCCAGGGGTATGTTGTGATGAGTTGCTGTGTGCCCCAAAGGCTGGGGCGGCGGGAATATCTGTGCTTCACCACTTTGCGCGCATCGCTGTTGCAAAATACACAATTTCAGCGTGACGGTATACCTGAACAGATTGTTCGATTGCGGAAATTCGCTGGTGGTTGCAAGAACGGCTGGAAAAAGGTCTCTGATGACCAGTGCTCAGCATGAGCAGGTGCCATCTTCAACTCGGGCGGAATCTTTTGAGCTTTTTGGAGTTGCTGCGGTGTCTGGCTGAACGACATTGAGCCAGTTCAGGCCTAGTATTGGAGGCATCCCATGATCATCGATGGATATAGGGACTTGCGGGTAGAATTGCTGCTCGTTTACGTTGGATCCCAAGGGAAATGTCCATGTGCATCGGCCGATCCAATTGCAGAACCCCAACCAATTGAACTCCTGCCGCACACTCGACAAGACCCTCCAGGGCCCGTGCACAGAAATGATCCTCCCTGATTGCATCGCGATCATGGAAGTCACTATCTTGTAACCAGAACCTGTCAACTGATCTCATGCGGATTTGCGTCTGCGACTTTAGCTTTGGTCAGCCAGCCACGATTATCCCCAGTTGGCGAGACGTCCATGGGTCCACCCGATCGGAACGACCTTCGCATCGGAGCCCCGTTTACTCTCGGTTATGTAAGTCATAGTCTGCGGTATGCACAGCATTATAGACCCTTGTCGTCTGTCACGATCGTCTGCGGAGACGTATGCAAAGCGTATCTTGACTTCAATTGAGGCGCACGGAGATCCTCGATAGCTTCAATCGTCAAGCGAATACGAGGCTTAAGTCGCCGGGTATCGACGACAGCCCATCAGGCTCTTGATGCTCATTATCGTCCCATAAGTCGATCCGCGCGCACAATGAAGCCTCTTCAACCATCAGAAATAAGACGGACCATTCAAATTTGACTGTCAATCGATCAGGTGCCAAGTGGGCAGTCTAGAAGAGGTAATCGTCATATCCGGGATGAAGCAACGAAGTGACTGCTTCAAAACGTGTGTGAGGAACTCAAAATTCCCTGCAGGAAGAGAACGGGGCTGGATATCAACAACCGCATCCCTGAAGTAGCTGAATCAGACATGCACATTGGTTGGTGCCAACCGAAAACTCTTTGCGCGACAGTGTGGTCAAGAGGCAAGCCTCGAGGGCATCGGCAATGACCAGGCGAAGATGCCGCAGTGATAAGGTGGATTGAGGCTGGCTGCTGGGAGAATCAATGCACCAGATCATCCTTCCCGATGTTGGAAGCCGGGTGCCCATTGGTCATATCTATCTTTTCGACGAAACGGGCCCCTAGTTCTCCAGAGGCCTTCCATTCGAGGATAATACGGGGATCTTATTGAGCCACTTCATCGGCGCCCTTGGTTGTAGGTCTTCAAGCATATACGAAGTCCTTCCCAAAGTCTTCAACATGGGAGACGCGTATGCCGCTCCGGTCGAATCTATTGGGTCTTATTGGTCGCCGTTACCTGCGCCGAGTGTACGGATCGGTGAAAGCGAGGTCAAGAATGGGCATCTGATAGGCTTTCTTGACACATGTTTTGTCAAGAGGCGGTAGGACGAGACGCGAATTGTGAAGAGTTCAGCCGCGGGAAGGTGCTTGTTGGACTTCAGCTCGGGGATGCCGGGTGGCACAAAAGAACAGAGATAATTGAGCCGAGGCAAGGGCAGACAGGCTTGACATCCCTCGACAATTCTTGCAACTTGCAAAAAACGAGGTTGGCACGGAAGGTTTATGCTGGATATGACTGCATGCACTTCTGAAGTGCGCAATGGTCGTCACCACATTTGTCAAGCACTGATCGAAAGTGCATGTGGACGGCGACTGCGCTGATATCATAGGAAGGAAGATTATGTAATCACAAATCACATCACGTGAGCGCGTACCAAGAACCCTTGACGCGTCTCTCGTTGTTTCACCTCCGATTCACGATCGAAGGAAGAATTCAAGCCAGAAGGTCACCGTCAATCATGCCTTGGGTTGTGTTTCGACTGCAACACAACGATTTTGATTCACTATACAGCTCAAAGGACACAATCAGTCCATCTCTATAGCAACAGAATTTCTCTATTTCTATAATAATCCCACCATGCATGCCATCTGGATGAGGTCTGTTGAGGTGAAGTTGATTTTGAGGCGGCCCGGTGCGGACATGACATGACAGCACTTGGACCACGAGGGAACGTGACAGCGATCCTTGTTGATCAAACTGACAACGACGGACCTGATTCGATGTCCATATCATGTTTCAGACCTTCAGCGATGTCTGTGCGTGTGTTCATGGCGTTCCTCGGTGGGCTCAAGCCATACCGTGGCTTTTGCGGATCCAATTTCCCACCAGCACTCATGCCTTTCATGTTTCAGAAATTTGCCCGTTCACCCCAGAGGTCACCCGGCGCAACTTCCGAACAAAAATGTCAATTGTACAGACCTCGACATCCGATTGCATTGCACCCATGTCTATGGCCCCCGCGAGTCCATCGGAGAATCTAAACACCTGGTCATGGATGCTGGGATATCACAAGCCAGTAAACCCAGGAAAGTCAACTTGACGCCATCTCCACTGCTTTTGTCCGCCTCTGGGTACATGACCCGTCGCCAAATCTCACTTCATGCTTCCCACTAACTTTTGATGTGCCTCACCAGCGACTGTAATCGCCCGTCGAGAATGCTCAATTCCAAGGAAAAGACCCAAACAGATCCATTCCCCCGAAGCTTAATGGAATTTCGTGACATGGCATGACATGACCCATATTGATTGACCTGCAACAACCGGAATACATAGTAGTATGCAATACTGGGGCTTGTGAGGACCTTCTTCCCGCTCCATGAAATCATTCCAGATGCTGTATAGAGATGCAAGCCAGTTAACCATCCCCATGGACAATGCCGCATTAATCCACCAGTAGACCGGAGCTGACTGAACAAGCCCAAAATTCTGTGTCTCGATGGTGCTCCAAAACGATACCGTAAACACTTTGGGAAACGACAACCACTCCACCCTGCCCTCAGGTCTTGTGACGAAATCGGTTGCGCTTCATCTCCGAACCATCCTGGCGGCGCACCTACCGCGTTTCAGATTTAAAGCCCTCATATCGACCCGGATTGTCATCGCTTGATCCACTCGTAGAGGAGCTAGTCAGTTGCCTTCTTGGGCCTGGCCCACCACCACTAAGTTCATCCCGGCGTTGTTGTCGACTGCTAGGGCGAGCAACATGACGACCACCCATGTCATGATCGCGAATTGAGACATCACTGTTCTGACGAGAATGTCGTGACGGGCGATGTCGATGTCCCGGAGACATGTCTCGTTCTCGAGAGGATCGAGTTGACATGGGGTTTAATGGGTCCGACGTTGGTGCAGAAACTGCTTGTCCGGGGGCCACTTTGCGCTTCTTTGGCGAATTCTGGTAGTCTGACCGCAGGTGGGAGCCCGCATTCTGCGAGAACGGCGACCCATGCTGGCTCTTTCCCGACGGAGTCGGCGGCTGGTTGCTCGCAGAAGAGGGATTGGGCGGCGTCCAATGGTGGAAGAACAACCCCGGTCCTGAGGGTTGATCTGCTCCAGCCGTCTGTGTCTGCTGCAATGGGTGGTGTAATGAGTGTCGGTGGGATTGGTTTGTAGTCAACGTAGGTATAAACTCTGTAGTATTCAGCCGTGACAGCGCTGTAGCCGGTGGTTGTGACGATATTGAGTTACGGCTCTGGCCATGCGTTGGCCCCCCTTGCGCAGAGATAGAGCCCTGTGAAGGTTGAGCAGACTGCGGAGGTTGAGACTCCCCATAGGGATTGGGTGGTATCGCTCGACTGTCTCGATGAGTATCCGGAGACATTTGCTGGAGCTGCTGATGTTGAGCTTGGATTTGTTGTTGCTGTTGCTGGTTCTGAATGCTCAACGTAGCGAGGTATTGCTGGGCCCATTCCAGCGTATGGCTAGGAAGGTTCCCTCCTCCTATGCCCGCGAAGATTAGAGGTACCATTGGTGGAGGGACTCCTCCTTGGAGGGATTCGCGCAACATATTCTGCTCGATGCGCCTCTGGTCCAGCCGTAGTCCCTCCTGACGGGTCTTCTCCTCCTCTTGCTTGCGCCGATCTTCTTCGGCCTTTGCATGGAGCCAACTTCGCATCGAATCATCCTGTCCGGTCCACTGTGAGGGAGGAGCAGGTAGATGACCCAGAGTAAGAGGAGCTGTAGAGTGACCACGATCCGGTGGAGGTAGACTTAACCCAGCAGGCAACGGCAACCCCCGGTGAGAGTTGTTCATCCTCGAGTCCTCAAAGAAGGATGACAAGGTGCGAGTCGGCGACTCTGGCGGAGAATATCTGGACGGTGTTGGTTTATGATAGGTCGGATATTCATGAGGTTTATAGTCGGTGTGCATTGGCGTAGGAGGCCCCGGTGCTAATAACATGAGTGCGGCGGTCCCAATGGTTGGAAGGAGCAACGGAACGGTATGCTGTAGGACATGCAATCGTGATAGATAGCCTGTGCTTGAAATGGCCAAGATCTCAAGGCTGGAATCTCGGTCGCCTTTTGTATAACACTTGGACAAATAGAGTTGATTGCGGGATGGTGTCAATGACGTGCAGTTCGAGCTTTGACGAAGGTGGTTTCTTTCAAAGATTCTTAGATCGAAGAGGATGTCCAAGGGTTGCACACCAGATGGAGGGCTCAGCCAGATAGTTATGGATCGAAGCGAGGGCCCGGCATTTACCAGGGTCTCCGAACGTGGCTTCAGCCAGATCTTCGGTGCCAGATGGGAACCCTGTCGGTCCAGGTAGTAGAAGGTCGGGCCAGGAACAGAGCCAGTAATGAAAGTCTAGACCGATTCACAAGCTATCTTGGAGAGGGTTACGTTGAGTTGGAGCAGAGGGTTGAGCCGGATCTGTGTCGATAGAAGCAGGGACAACAAGAACAGGGTATGACCGGGGTTTGTACTGGAAGAATAACAACAAGAAGGAGCCTGCCAAAGTCCAGGTCGAGGTGCTAAAATGATAGTGGTAGTTACAATGAGCAAGTGGATCGGAGAAATAAAAAGCGGTTAGGCGCAGTTGTAGGGGTATAGGCAGGGTAACCAAGGACGTTTCATCGAGGAATGAGGGAAGCTCTGATGTTCTTGGTGGAGATCTCTGGTGGACTGTGGTCCGTTCCACGAAGCGAGAGGCGGAGAGTGACAGGACTGGCGGCAGTCTAGAGAGACCAGGATCAGAGGGCGTATCAAGATGGAGGGTGCGGGACGAACGCCGTCATCTGGACCGTAGCGAGTGAAGAAGAAGATGCTCGTACACAATGATAGTGTGGCACACAGTGCCAGGTGGTTATTCTTTCTCTTTGGGAAGGACCCAGGCCAATGACCAGGGAAAAGAAGACGGCGATTGGAGGCTCTCGTATAAAATGGTTCTGGTCGGCTACCAGCAAGAAAAAGGTTAGTAGCACAGAAGATGGAAGTAGTTCATTATTATTGTGGAAAACAGGGTGAAGCAAGAGTCCAGAAGACTCGGACATCAGAATGAGGCCCTGCACTGGCTGCTTCCAAACCTAACGCCCACTCTTTCTCGCTTCCCTTTTCCAATGTTCGTTGCTTTTGCCTGTCGAGCCGGTGGATTGGTGGTGGACTGTCCGACCAAGAGAATCTGATGAGAGACGGAAGAGTGGCTGAGCAACAGGACACAGAAGAACCAGTGGAAATGTCCCAAACGGTAATAAGAGCGTCATACCGTTGACCAAGCGGAGAGTGCGACCCAAAAAGCGTTTAGTTAACGACAGGAATTCAGAAACGGGCACAGACAGACGAGACGAGGGTTCAGGCCCTGAGGGTCCGTGGGAACTCTACAAGCACATTTCGACAGGCCAGTTTACAGGGACAAGGGCAGCACGAGATTACTAGGTACTATGGTACGGGTACCCTCATATTTCGCTCTGCTAAGACCTAACTGAATTACTGATTGCCTTTAGCGGTAGCTGCCATCGTGGGGAAAAGGGACCACCACTGGCGTCAGAACTCTATGGTAGTAAACGTTTTACTGGCAGCAGTTGTTATCACTATTACAGACACAGGTCGACTTGTCTCGTATTATGGCAAGAGAATGCACCATCCACACTGCCCGCCTGCGCTTTCTCTTTCCCTTTGCGGTTCATACAACCACAACCGTACCACAGCCGCCACCACAGTCATCACTACAGGGCTTCGAGAACCCTTCTTTTTTTTCAATCCAGATCCAGATTCCATCTCGGTTCACGGCAATGCACCTCAATCTACCCTCACAGGTACAAGTACGGTCTATACACCCGCTCACGCCTCACATTCCTACACACCACAAAATGAACACGCACCAAAAGAGGAGGGAAGAAAGAAGCAAAAACACTAACATGTATCCATTTGGGGACGAACACGCTGGTCGTAGGCCCCAACCGACCCGTCCGTATGCCGTACCTCCTGTGCTCGACCCCATACGTGCGCCGTGCCCATCGTCTCAAGTAAACGAGCGAAAGACAAGCCGTAGGACTGTCGATTACTCTTGCCTCGTGGCGCCACAAGGACCCTAAACAGCAAACCTACTCAAGTCCGGCTGTCGAGGCCCAATTGAGGAAATATCATCCACGACAGGCTTTGGCTAATAGGTAAATTGGGGCGATTGTCATACGATCCTGCCAATTCCACTCGTGGACAGGGCCGACAGCTTGGGCCGCTTGGAGCTACCCTCAAGCGATACGCACCGCATGGCGCCGGCACGCCCACCATGTGCTCATCATGCCCCGCCAAAGAGAAGATCTCCAGGCCTAGGATGGGGCCTAGAGAGCTTTCCGCCATGCCTATGATGCCTATCACTCTCTGCCTAAAAGCGCCCGTTGCGCTCATCATTTGCCCCCTTTGTTCACTGGCACACAGCCACAAACATTTTTATCCCTGTCAGCACGCTTTGCGCACGCTTTCAGCACGTTGTCGGAAGCCCGCCCGTCAGTCACATGGCGGCCATCCTCTGGCATCCTCGACGCCACGAGTTCCAACTTCTGCCCCTTCAAGACCGTCGATCTTCTACGTTTTCTGCAGGCGAGAAGTAATGCGCTTCCGTCATTCAAATTTGGCCGACTGCCATCGGTCGTCGGCGTACAGTGGCCGTCCGAGGTGGCTGTTCAGGACGGTCAGCATACTCTAATTGCCTGTCGTTTCATCAGGCCTACATCATCAAAGGATTTCAGGCAATAGGTGTTCGTGAGGTTGTGGAGCTAATGCTATGCAGGCACAACAGCCTGGAAACCTCCCAGTTTAGGCTTACGGATAGCCTCGCGGTCTACCATAACATGCTCTGACACAGCATGGTAAAGTGTCTAATCGATCCCCAGATTTCAGGCGTGCCAATTACCATACCAGCGCCACTGCGCGTCCGCGCAACCTCGTTACAATTCCCATCTGGAGGTAATCTGTGACCAGATCACATGCAAAATATGCCATCTTTCGAGGCATGGACTTCCGATGACCAAGGACCACCAGCGAGCCGCTCTTCCTTGCCATCAATTTCAGCTTGGACCATTTGCTGGCTTGCAAAGATCATTTGCAAGACGTCCAAGTTCTTCACGTACCACAAATGCGAAACGCTGGCGGCGAACGCTTTGGTCCTCAAGCATACACATTCCATTTGGTTGTCTCGAGAAACAACTGCCACAACAGCTGCGTAGAACTGCATTATGGGCATGCCAAAATTGTGGGTAGTTATTGATCGTCGTTTATACCGCTGTACAGGAACCTTTGAGGTTGGTCATGGCGCACCAGTCGGCGTGTCCGATGCTTTGCTATTGCATGGACTATTTGTATATCACTACCATATCGATCGGGATCTTCGTCACCCTGCCTCGCGAACAAATGGCCGGTGCGTGCCGGGGCAGTTTTGAAGGGAGATTTGTCTTCAAACTGACACGAGACTGTCTCTGAACGGCGTCTGAGCCGGACACTATATCGTCTACCTAAGATGGCAAGGCCCCAAATGCGCCTGTAAGGATTACAGCATCTTGCATTGCAGTAGCGGCTCGCGAGTTGCCTCATCTCCAGGTTAGTACGACCCTGACCAGGGAAATTCTCCGGATGGCGTTGCGAGGGTACGAGTACTGACTAGGTCGATGATGAAGACATTTCGGTGTGATGTCAGCAATGCAGCCAACTTCATCTGCAAAGAGCCGAGACTCTCAGCCAAGAAGACAATCTGCACCAAGGTCGCATCTCGTGTTTGATCAAAGACCAACTAAGAGCGATGCCCAAATGAGACAAACGAACAGAGCAAGCTTGACTTCATTAGGAACTGGGTGTGTTGCTTCTCGCGGGGGCAGATGACGAACCGTTCCCAACGCTACGTCGGGCCCCAAGGAGCCGTCATGCATACTGACTTCTGTGGCTGAAATCGGGCTGCCCTGCAGGCTGATAACCGAGATCGACTGAATCAACCCTGCAGCTAAAAAAATCCAACTCCATAAGGGTTTCGGATAGGTACCGGTGATATCCTTTATACACGTGAAAAGCTGGAAAGCCGCGCACCAACAATAATTAACCTATCCAGAAATGGTCGACAATGGCCAAATTCGTCAAGTGTTTCCTAACCGCATGGCAGCAAGCGGCAACAAAGAAGCCCGAAATGAATACAGAAACTCCCAACTATGCACTTCAGTAGGCGCGGCGAGTGTCCCCATCAGGCCAGTTTCCGATGCCGTACAGCCAAGCGAAACACGGACGGTCGGTCGGTATGAGAATTGATGAATACTGCCTTCGCGCGGATTCGCGGAATGAGGTTTGCTCATTTCATTGCTCAAAAATGCTGCTGGTGTCGCATGGCAAGGTCCGAAGCGGGACCTACACCTTACCTTGTCCTGATCGCCTAAATCTGCCTCGTGTTCTTGGGTGAAGTTTTTCAATTTGGGCTTTCATATGATGACTGCAGCAAGCCACTTTGGAGTGGGCGACCCTTTAAGCTTCATTACGGATTCAGCCACAGGCATTTTCCCTGTTCACGGATGTGTCAAACTGCTTGACTAAAACGGCTGTTGATCGACGTGTACACGTTTTGAGAGGCAAAGACCCTTTCCTGATCAGGAGGTCAATGATGTACACGATCGACACGGGATGTCCACTTGTTCTCGCTTGACGTAGCCGCAGCTATGAAGAGCCAATCTGAACAACGGGCTTGCTGCAGACATACGTCGAACACGTTGCACAGCACCATACCTTGTGCCATGAGGCCTCAAAGTCTTGTCATCCTCGTCGCCATGTGTCGACTATTATGACACTGCTTGCAGCACATGGAGTCAAGGATATCAGCACGCGACTGCTAAGCGAGGGTTGATCAACATAAATCTTGCCATGTCTACGGAATATTTCCAATGCTTGTTTCACAAACTGACAGTTGATCACCCAAAATCATTATCATTACCTCGAGGAAGCGATGTTGCAAGACGTATTCATCTTGGTCCGTGGCGTTTACCCAAGCTGCTTTGGCAGGTGCCTTGGTGTCGACTTAAATCGCTTCGAGTTATGGCTACAGCAATTTGCTGTCTGGTCACTGAGTACGGTGAACAGCGCATCATCCCCGACTCGAAATTCCGGAGGGGCGTCCCATGTGTGAGTGTCCCGCGTGTTGGCTCTTCCGGGCATCAACGAGAGGCTTCGTGAGCCGAGCATTCACTTAGCAGATTCCTTTGGAACTGGAGCTTTCTGCCATACGAATAGCCCGATGACTTTAAGCACTTGAATCCGTTATTGAACGTTATCCTCACCAATGAAGAAGCTTGGAGGAATACATCAATCAAAGGACCCTCGATTATGTCAGGCATTCGATGCAGGGTCAAGTCCCCTTTTGTTGTGGCACTCCAGCCACTGACCTCACTACCAACCCAAAACCCTGAAGCCCTACCATACCCTTCAGGTACCGTTCCAGCGGCTTGCTCCAAGACGTAGGGTTCTCACACACAGACAGGTGAGCATTTTTGGTAGCAAAGCGCCCGTCCTGCCAGATCTGGGCATCTGGCCGTGTGATTTCTTTCGGTCACCCCTCAATCAAACTGATTACGGGCTACGAAATATGGCAGTACACAGACAAATGTGATCAGACTGCTATGGTACTGACCCCATAGGCCGATACGGTGTTACTGTGTCTCCAGCCGTCCTCAAGTCTCAAAATTAACCTTTTATTTTCCGGTCGAACGAACCAGTTGCGCAATCTACCGGGAGAACTGGTAGTTCCGCTTATGCCTACGGCTCGATTCGAAAAAAGTCGTTGCGGGTTGCAACGTCTGACAGCCATTATGGCGGTCGATCGCAAAACACGTTCAGCCGAGTTATCGGACATGAGACGTCGATCTTTTCTGATCTTTGGAGTGGAAGTACGTAAAGCGACTAGGGGCCTTTTTCCGGAATTACTGCGTTATCAACGTGGTTTCTCAGGCTTGAAATGTAAGCGAGTTTATGTCTTTCGAGATCGACACTCGACCCGAGGCCGGTGGGCGCTGCACTTCATGCCGCCCAGCTTCAACATGCTCGAGAGCTGAAGAGGTGTTTTCAAAACATGCCGGCACAAATCAGCACGTCGTCGTCAGTGGCACCGCTAGTTGTTGACGAAGCAGCAGTACCGGTCCGATTAAGGACGGAAAGTGTCCCGAAGACGGTCGCCAGCGATGAAGATCAGCCAAGCCCAGCGTATGCAGGCTTTCTTCAGAGACGCAGCGAGGTCGCTGTCGGTTTGTTGTTCGAGCGAATGGTACGGCCAGACGCCGGCGCCGATCCTTGAATAAGGAAAGTGTTTACATCTTCGCACGCAGAAGAAACTCATGCTGTCTCACTGACGATGCATGCCCTCCCCGGATGCGGAGGTCCAAGCTCTTCGCGGAGTTCCAGATCTGGTTTCACAAGCCTCGTCTCGGACATTGCCTTCCAGAAGCGTGATAGTGGTCCAGCACCCCGCTGCACAGAAGCGACTTGCCCGGCTGGAGTGCTCAAAACAGATATTGTTTATTGCGGACCTGATCCACGTAGGCTAGATATAATTAGGACAGGCAGTCGGTCGGATTGACAAGCAGACTGCTGGAATACAACGCGAGCTGGCGGTCTGCCCATTGCTAATGCTCTCGACAGTGATAGTGTGGGGAGCTTGTGGTAAGTAAGTCGATCCTTACTCCCCAGCATATCTCTGTGCCTGGCAAAAGCCTCAAGACAAGCTAAAGGTACGTCTTGCACATGCCGTGAGTTTATACTGCCTCAGGAAGCGAATCACCACAGGTCTGAACGGACTGTCGCCGCCATGGACCCATGAGCAGATTTATCCCTTGCCAGAGCTCGTATGAGCTTTTGCTCTTACCACCCTCTCTCGTTGGTGATCGCAAACGCGAGATGTCAGAGTGCGTAGGGACACAGGCTAGAGCGTGAAGAGCGTTAGTAAAAGCGCTACATGAGTTCAAGCATCACAACTCTCTTCAGCGTTTGACAACAGCCGTATGTGAGTACTAGATGGAACCGGCTCCCCTGGCCATGAGTGCCTTTCATCATATTAGCTCATGATAAATATGTACCGTATCTCTTCCTCTATTCAGCTTCAATCAATTTGATGCTCGAAAGTGATGTCAAGAAGCATAGGTAAATGGTAGAAGTTCGTCTCCCTGGAAATGACGAACACACGGTCATGAACGCAGCTCACAACGCTCCAAGTGCATAACAGTAAACGGGCTGACACGCCCATGCAATCAAATCCGATTGAATCATAAAATTTTGCTCTTCATCACCAGATGGGGTTGTCCTGCTTCGCCAGATGCATTACACCTTGGCTTCCATTATCCTCCCCTTCCTGCTTTCCCCCCACCTTTCGAGCCATCATGCTTCAAATGCATTTTGAACTCTGCTTTGGCGATGCGCATGAACAGATCTTCATCCTGTATAGGGATCCACGAGGTAAGCACTTTCATGGCGTTCTCGAAGTCGGACTCCAACAGAATATCGCGCATGCCATCGATCAGCGCCGCCGAAGACGCATGCAGGATATCCAGCGTCGTGCCAAAGTCCGGTTGAGGTTCGGCCTCCGGTTGTGATTCTGGCTGGCCTGTCGCTCTGCTTGCCGGTCGTTGTTTGGGCGTACTATCGTCGCCCAGAAGCATAAAGACGTCCCAGACACGAAGTTGAGCGGGGAAGGGGATCGTGTAGTTGAAAAGTGTGAGGTACCAGCGTGTGCCGTAGGCGGTGGGACCGATGTTGAGTTCCTCCTAGGAAACCACTGTTAGCAAGGCACGTCCCTGGAAAGAAAAAGACACTGCACTTACCAATTTCCGCGCAACCTCACCCTGCCCCAACCAGGATCCTTCAAAATCTGAGAGCGCCGTCATGAGCCCTCCAAAGCCTGCTTTGTAGAGCTCACCTAACCCTCTCAGCTCCCACATCCGCACAAGCATGACGAAGGCTTTTTCCTCGTCGTAGTATGCCAACAATGTCACCGCCAGCGCCGCCATGCCTTGAACATACCCTGTATCCGGGCAATGCAAAGACATTGCGTGTAAAACACGAAAGAGCAGACGTTGTCCGCCACGATACCGCCTTCGAAACATGATATGAGCGGAGATGGTACGTGGGACGTCAATATCGATTTGCACGTCGTCGGGTGAGGACTCGGACTGATACGAATGAAACAACTCAATAAGCTCGGCGTCGCTCAGACAACCTTTGCGCCATGATGCAGAGGTGCTAAGGAAACTGTGCCACGCCGTCGCCCGCCATTTGTCTGGGATGCCTTTCCACGTCCGTTCAATGAGTTTGGGGGAGCGTGTATCGAATGTGTATCCAGTGTCAGAGCCACCACCAACGACTGGCATGCGAGTTTTGGGATCTGTAGCGGGTGGTTTCTCCCGTGCCATTTTGCGCCACTTCTCTTCACGTTCGAGCTCTTTGCGACGGGCGCGGGCGTCGTCAATATGTACGTGGCCGTCCTCAACGACAGACCTGGCTGATCGAGGTAGCGTGAGCATATCCATGGCCGAATCCATAAGACGGCGATCTTTGCCGAGAATGCGTGTAGAGACAGTCCTGCGACTCGTTGGCGTCCGTGCATAACCACTCTGTGAACTGGTTGGACGTGGAGGAGTCTGATCCGCGCCGCTGTATCTGCTCTGACCGGATCTCGGGGAGCCATGAGCGCTACTGGGAGTGCGGCGGATGGTCACCTTTCGCCGTGGTGTTTCCGAGGCGAGCTGTAAGCTTGTAGACATTCGCGTCAAGCGTTGGGGTCTGGAATCATTGGCACCGTCGACTGGTCCCGTGGGCGCTCGGGCGACGATGAAGCCATACCGGTCCACGTCTGCGTTATCGATGTCCTTCCAATCTTCCAGACCCCCAGCCAGCTCATTCTCCTCGCGATCCGACACCATATGCGTTTGTGATGCCGAGGCCGTCATGCTGGGCTGTCTGGAGCTATTAAGGCTTTCGTTGATGTCCGTGGTCGATGTAGCGCGCGACAATGAAGGTACACTGGCGCTTTGGTTGTCGGCGGCCAATGTTGTCTGCCATCTCGCACCCATCCGAGCGGCGAGGTTTGTGGATGATTCGGTTTGTAGTTGTTCATCTGTGCCCGCATCATAAAAGGCTCGTACCTTCTCTGAGAGCATCTCCTCGTCAGCCGAAAGAACTTTCGCTGTTGGCCGGTCTCTGACGATTCTAGACGTCGTTGCAGACGTAGTGACAGGCATTGAGGCCGAACGTTTCTCGCCGTTAGGGGCCGCAGTGAATCGCGTTGCATTTTCGTTCTTTTCCTCGTCCATGATCGACGCAAGTCTCGGTGAGGATTTGCGATTGTTCAACTGGTTCACTCGTCGTCCATCGATCAATACACTTCCTCTTTTTGAGAATTCGATATTGCTGGAAGAGAGCTCATCGCCGAATGCGCCTGTGGGTATTTTTATGTCCAACGATATTCCGTTTGTGTTCTTCTCCGCCTCCTCTCCAGATTTTATTGAGCCTGAGCGATTCTTATTGAAAAGGAACCATTTCCCATTCTCTCCGGCACTGCCACCACTGCGCCGGTCCAGAGTGGATTCTTTGGAGTTGCTGTCGTCTCGGCGGATCTGAGGCACGCTGAGAGCGGCAGAGGTCAGGCTGCTTATTGTCGGGGCCTTCGTATTGAGACTTGTCTGACTGTCTCGTGCGGAGATTGAATCAGAAAATGCGGTTCGAAGGATTTCTCCATCGTGCGGCGACGCGTCGGTAAGGTATTTCCTATTGGAGGATGTCGACGCGTTGTCCCCTGCTGGCGGAGATCGCTGAGGTTCGTCGGTGTCGAGGTCAGGCACCCGATGTAACGATGTTGAGCTCGTGACCCTGATGGGCTTGTGCGATGCCACTGTCGCGGTGTAGGGCAAACCTTGAAGGCTGTATCTGAATTCGGAGGTAGGAGACTTGGTGGAAGATGCAACGGAATCGCCCATTATCCTACCCGCCAATTCAAGTCGCCCAGGAAGATGGTGGTGCGGGATGGTGCGCCGGCGACGAGCGGCATGGGCCTCCACGGGTCTGTGCTATTGGGGGATTCGGCGGACAGTGTTTAACCGGCCAAAGCTTCATCAGAGATGAATGCTGTTCGACTCGGTCCTTCTCTTCATGTACAAGTATAATCTGCTCCTGTCCTCTTCTTCCCATTCGCAACCAGCTCTACTTGTATCTCACTTCGAGAAACGGCTGTACATATTCGCCAGGGGAAAAGGAGAGATCGACGTCATGGTTCAACCTGAAGCGAAGCGAAGGTCGATTTCTCTCCTATCAAGCCTCACTATTTTGGTCGTTCCCGGAGATTTTGCTTCAAGGGTTTCGCACTTTTTGATCCGGAAAAGAAGGCTGACAACGATTCTCAATTATACAATACTTTTGCGGTGTGCATGTTGGCGACTGCCGTTACACAAGGTACTTCGATATCTCTAAGCGCACGTCGAAGTTTGGCGTCGAGCAAGAGAGCATACACACTCTCTCCATACTGGCATAAATCCCCTAATACCAGAAGGTCTCTTCATGGTCTTGTTCCAGATACTGGATACTCCAGCAGTAGCAGTCAATGCCACAATCAATCGTTGAACATGTGCTACACAGATGTTCTTTTCGTCGGATCCATCTGCGAACGGTTGTCTTCAAACATTTGCTCCAAGTCTTTGCACGACCTCCTCAGCCTTGACGATGTTTCTCTCCTTCTGAGCAAGAACTCTGAGGCACCTTCTCACCTCCCCCAGCCTGTCGATCACAATCGCCTTTGCCTTTAGGTCGGCGCAGAGCTCGCGCAGGCTAATATGCCTGTACCTGTGAAGGGTTTCTCTGAATCGCCTGTAACGATGGCCCGTCGGTCCGTCTTCCAAGGGCTTTGCTGCTGGCTGCCGGCAGACTAACAAGTACTCGTCGAATTCTCCTGCATGCATGGTCAAGAAAACTCTGGCTCGGGGCTTTCGAAGACTCACCCCAGATCTTTCCCATGATCGTTGCACCAATACGCTTTTCGTCCTCTTTCGCATGGCCAATGAGCCTTGCACCAATCCTTGCAAATTGCCTGATCTCCAAGTGCTCTGACTGTTCGATATGAGAAAAGACGTACCTCCAGGCGAAGTAGTGAAGATTGTCGAGCTTCACTCTACCGCGATCGTCATAAGCCGCCGACACCCGCCAGCCATGCATCTTCGTACGTGCATACCCGTCGATCGCAGGGTCATTAGGCGGTCTTCGTCGAATGGCGAGTAATGCGAAATAGATTAGACAACATCGTTGACCGGTGAAGAAGTTTTTCGTAAGCCGTTTGCATGCGTCTATCTCATCGTTCGACAAAGGGTATTCCTTTCCAAAGGCTGCTCTTCTCAATCGTACAAGACCCTCTCTAAGAGTTTTGTAGATGTCGGGCAGTTCCAGTTCAGGTAGTAAAGTGCTGAGACCATCATTCTGCAAGATGTGGAAAGGAACGTGTAAGATTCGGCCTTGCAGTTGATTGAGAAAAAGGTACTCTTCATTACAGTCGAAGTGTATGAACTCTCGTATTTCGACATAATTGATCTTGTTTGCCAATTCCAGTACAGGGCAGATGAAGTCGTTAGTGGAGAGACCGCTTGTGTCCACTGCAGCGATGGTAACATCCTGATAGCCTCTTTCGTGTTGCCGTTTGGCCCGTTGCAGCGTCGTCAACAAGGAACAACTGAAGGAGATACATGGACTGTTGAAGGATCTTTTCCCCTTTGGTCCTTTAAAATGCTGAACATGTTTGACCACGAGATCTCGAAATACTTCAGGTGTCACACTTTCAAGCAACAATGGCTTTGATTTCTGGACCATGCGTTGTAACTGAAAGCCCCCGTCTTCGCTGTTCTTTCCCATGCTGCCAGCATCGTAGGCACGATAGAGAACTGGTGGCAACTGGATAGTGGTGGTCTTCTCTTGTATGAACGCTCGTAACTCCGTCAGGGTTGAATGGGGCTTCGTCGAAACTGAATTGAAGTTAGTCTGGTTTACGTAGTGATCACAGTGGCGGGTAGATCTGTAAGACAGACTCGGTTCTTCTATCCCGTGTGACGCTAGAACAGCAGGGACATTCCCTACGTGGACAGTCGTCGTTGTCGTGGTTATGAAGGTGCTTGTGGTGGTCGTGAAGGTCGTGTCGGAAGTGAGGCGCTTCTTAGGGTGATCTGACTCGGCCATCGTCAGGTATGCTGTGTGTCAAGGAAAAACAAAATCCAAACAGTCTGTCAAAGTTAAGGTAAAAGAGGCATGTCTGAGGTTGAGATTTGGGTCGAGGTTTGGAAAGCTGAGATGAAGTATGTGAGGTGAGACGAGGAGAATACTTTCCATTCGGCAAGACTGATGCATTGAACATTGTAGCAGCACCCTCCCACTGACTCCGAACCTCGAAGACTTTCGAAACATTCCCGATGTACCTTCTTTTGAGACTCAATGCGGTCTATACTGCTTTGACGAGCCCCTTCGTGCCTTCTTGTAAGCGCTGTCTATGATATCGCCCGGAATTCTTTTAATGATCGTGTCTACACATCTGACACCAAAGCTAAACATCATCAGTCGTTTTGAGATACCAATGGCCACACCAGGCCTGACCAGGGAGATACGATGTTCAGCAAGTACCTGCCATTTGCCTTCCGTGTCGAACAAGCTCACAGGCCCTCCCTTCGGCGCGACCTAGGCTCGTGCGGCCGTCATGCTCATATACCTAGGTATGCTTGGAACCTACATGGGAGCCCTGCTGGTCATGCCGCTATCAATCCGCGCGCCTGAGCTGAAGAGCACAGAGCCGTCTCTTGATATCGATTTACAGGTCCCGTTTGTGGCGTTCTGCATGCCATCTGAAATGGCGACGAATTCAACGAGCCGTGTCCAAGCGAACGAGACAAGCATATAGGCACCCCACCCCCTACGGTCACAGGCACCTTCAGACATGCGGCTCACAGAGTAGATTGCAGCAATCAATCTGCACACGCAATACTTTCTTGACAGGTAATACCTCTCAGCAAGCGGGCTGCCTTGGTTGTTGCTTTGCGACAGTAGGAGTGTCTACAAGCAACCATGAAGTTGGAAAGCGATGGCAAATGAGATCAGTACCGAAAGCCCTGGTGGAGCAGCGTCATTAAAATCTAGATGTCTGACAGTGAATATCCTCTTTTGGTCCGCATGAATGACTCAACGACCACTGTCAGACATGATTTTTCCGGCTCTTATCGATAAGGCGAATTTCCCTGCACAGTTTCGTCGCGGCCAACAATTTTTTTGATTCCTACCGTCGACTGTAAACAACCGATATTCAGACCGTTACTCATTTACTCAGGACATTTGTCGCTCGCAAAATGGGTGTCGCGGACTCGACTGCCGAGTTACTGAGGACATTGACTACGGCTCTAGAGTCTGCTTCCTCTGCATTCCCTGCGGACGAACAACAATTCTTACCGCCAATCGAAGGAATTTCCTTGCTCGACATCAAGAATGACCTCCTCCTCTCCTACTTGCAGAACTTGGCATTCCTTGCGGTTCTCAAATTACGAAATGGCGGTGACATCGAAAAGTCGGACATGGGTTCGGAAGTGGTGAAGAAGTTGGTCGAGTTACGAGTCTATCTTGAAAGAGGCGTACGTCCACTGGAGAACAAGTTGAAGTATCAGATCGACAAGGTCACTAGAGCAGTCGATGACGCCGACCGTCGAGCCGCTCAAAAATCAAACACGGCTCAAGCTGTGAGCAAAAAGCCCACAACCAAGTCACTCAATCAAGGGTCTGATGTATCCGATGCCGAGTCAGAAGAAGAAGAAGAAGATGATGAAGATGAAGGGCAGTTGAACGGGCACATGAATGAAGATATATCCGCGGCGCCGCGGCCGGCTGCGCTCTTGCGCAACCAAGGGGCTTCAAAGAAGGATACTGCGTCTACAAAGTCACGAGCAACGGCAACAGGTGCATATAAACCTCCTCGAATAACTCCGACGTCCATGCCCGAACCGGCCTCAAATAGGACCAGCGATCAGCCGGCACGCAAGCGAAGATCACAACTGCTCGATGAGTACATTGACGAAGAGCTTTCGACTGCTCCGCGCGCACAACCGTCGATTGGTTCGAACAGCACTATCGTCAAGCATGGTCGTGGTGCGATGTCTTCTCGGGATCGCGAGAAGGACCGCGAGCGTACCGACTATGAGGAGCGCAATATGGTCCGCCTGCCAGCGATCAGCAAAGCTGAGAAGAGAAAAGCCAGATTATCAGGTGAGTCCAGTCGCAGAGATCTATTCGGTGGGGAGGATTGGACTGGTCTGGGCGGTCTGGGCGATCGGATCAACAGGACTGTGGCTGGAAAGGCAAGAGGGGAAGGGGGTAGTGTGCTCGAAAGGAGAGAGAAGCGTCGGAGGGACACTCAAGACGGTCCAAGAGGTGATGGAGCAGCTATAGGTGACACTTTCGAGAAGAGGAGGAAGATCTTGCAGGGCAGAGCGGAGAAGAAAGGTCGCAGAAAGTGATGACACGGATCAAATTCATTTCCTTCGATACCCTTTCCATAAAATGTATTGTTTTCTTGAGGCCATAAGTTTCAGCATCTCGACCACCTAGGCCTCTATCTAGTCTCGAATATTGATATTCTTTGGAATCAGAAAGTCCTCATCTAGGTAAGGGGAGTGGATCAATCCGCCAAGCCATGTTCCGTGCATAATAACTTTCCCACCCGTGGTACAACCACCTTCCTCCATCCATATAACACTCAAGGTCCTCGTTGATCTGCCCTCAAAGGGTGCGGAGGAGCAGCAAACATGGATATAAGCAGATGAACGGCCGCCGGGTCCATTCCAATATTATATATACCATCCTTCGCTCAAAGGTTCCCAGTCCCAAGATCTTTACGCAGATCTGTCGATATGCCATGTCAGCACCCGCTCAAGATGCCAGGCCAAGCTCCGATCTATTCGAAGTCAAGGACACAGCAACCTCAGGCCGAGGTGTCTTTGCCTTGAAAGACATCAAGCAAGGCACACCTCTCCTATCAACGTCCACTATCGCAGCCAGTGCAATTTACAAGAACTACCAAAAAGAAGTCTGCGCACAATGCTTCGCCTACAACCGCGGCATTCTCTGGAAGGTACGTGACAATGCGAGGGGCGTTGTATTCTGCAGTGAGGTATGCCGCGATACGTGGACCACCAGCATGCCGGCCGTCGGTCTCCTCGCTCGCGAAGAGGTCCAGAAACTACTCCAACGGAAGCAGAAGCTGTGGGACGACGAGATGCATGATCTAGCCAAACCATCCGAGTCAGCCATCGAGAAAGCATGGACAGCGGCCGAAGAAACGGCCCAACTCATCCGCGCCGTCCGGGTTTCCGCCCACCAGTGTCCTTCTCTCCCTAACACAAAGACACAGAGGAAGGCCTTCCGTCAAGCTCAAGCCATCCATCCCGACCCAGACACGATATGGTTCCTGCTCGACGCTGCAGTCGAATCAAGCCGACAGTCGGACATCATTGCCCTGACCGCGGATCTCGCTGCTGATCCTCAGCCTTATATCAACGAAGAGGATCTGAGATTCCACATCGAAGCATATCTGGTGCTACTGGCAGAAGTGCCGGAAGAGCTCCTGCCACATGTGCAGCAGTCTCTCATGCGTACAGTGCAATCGCGAACCACCCACAACTCGTTCGGCCTCAGATCTCTTGATGACGTTGATGAACCTGGGACGGCAGGCAGCGAGTGCTTCGGGTTCGGTGTCTGGCCCGGAGCGAGCTACTGGAATCACAGTTGCGATCCGAATGTGCAGAAGCAGAGAAGCGGTCGGACGTGGAAGTTCTGGGCCAAGAGGGATATCGAGACTGGAGAGGAGCTTTGTATCAGTTACCTAGGCGGAGATGAAAGGGATATGTCGACGTCAGAGAGGCTGGAGAAACTCAAGCGTATCTGGGGCTTTGAGTGCGGATGCAACAGATGCGGTGTTCACCAAAGTGACATGCAGAGCAGTGCGTGAGTGACGGCAGCTTCGAACTTGGCTACCGGTTTCTGGTCATGCTCATGCCACGCTGGATGAGCGTCCGCCCGACAAGGCCAAGATCGGACTGTCTCGATATAACGGCAAGCCGATCCCCCGAAAAGTGGCACTGTCTGAGTGGATGAGCCCGTCAGACTCAAATGAATATATTTGCACGATATGTACTCGGAGTTCTTTACATATAGCATCGAATGTTGAGCCTTTCATACTGAGGAGAAGTGCTCGGACTCCAAGGATAGAGCAAATAGTTGGATCGCAGTACTTGTAGTCACCGTCCACATCTTCTTGGGATCACATTGTCAGATACATGTATTCCTTGTCTAAAGGTGCCAACTTGCTTGCGTTCGGCTGGACGGACTCGCCGCCGGGCTCCTGCAAACTTTCGTAAAAGCGCGGCACCCGCGGGTATCACTGTTGGCCCTGTCTGCAGCTTAATGCCTCGGCCGACTCATGCAGAGACGCCCACCATATTCTCAGAAAGGAAATAAAGTGTACGCATGCACGTCGCTGGGACGAACGAAGGTGGATCCAATGATCCGCGTGGCGGACTGGCTGACAGTTTGCCGGTTCGACACTTTGCCCCGGCTCGTTGACTAATCAATCCGACCGCCGCTTGATTTGTGTCTCATACCGTCCGTTTCGGGCAGCTGCGACGACAGGATGAAGGTAAGTCAAGGCTGTGTAGAGTGGGGCGGCATTCATAAACACGGGGCCGAGCAGAGGACCGGCGCAAAGTGATCATCAACAAGTCCAGCAAGCAGTGGCCGCAATCACGCCTTCCGTGGACGTATAAATACGTCTTAGCTCTCTCCAGCACACAAGGACCTCAACAACAACAATCACAGATCAAGTGTGGCAGTCTCCGTCCAAGCGTAGCATTCCTCTCTTCTTCAAATCGTCCACAGTCGGTAGACCACGATCTCAAACATGCCTCTTTGGCGCATATTCTCCCATCCTCAAACATTCTCCCTCGATCAGCGGAAAGGGCTCGCCAAAGCTGTCACCGAATTATATATGTCCCTTGGCCTGCCCGCGTTCTATGTCAACGTCATTTTCATAGATGTCGACGAGAACGGCACCTTCATTGGCGGAGAGCAGCGGTCAAACTTCGTCAGGGTCGTGGTTGAGCAGATTGCCAGAACGATGCCGTCGCCGGACACTGAAGATGGGCGGCAACACAGAACGATGTGGATGGACGTGATCAATGAGGTAGGTCTTTGTTCTTCCCAACTGCTAGTCAGTCCATGAGGGTTGGCATAAACCAGATGCTGATTTCGACCTTAGGTCTTAAAACCATTCATTATTGACCGGAAAGAACTGGATTGGGAGATGCACATCTACGAGACTCCTCGTGATCTCTGGCGCGTTCAGGGATTGGATCCTCCCCCAGTAGCATCAGATGCTGAAAAGTTCTGGGCTGAGCAGAACAAACCCACGCCATACGTGTAGTGAAACGACACCATTCGTTGATCAGCAAACACTGCATGAGCAGTAAGGGATGAGATAGCCGTTAGTGGATCATACGAGCTTGGGTGCAAAGTACCACAGTGCCGCGAGGCCAGATAGAACAGTGGCTCCAGCAACTTGACGCGCCCGTGGTGTGTTCTCGGACAGTTTCATCTTCCCAATTGTGCCTTGCTGACGAGATTTGTTGTCCTTGTTCATAGGGTTTTCGTGATTTCTTTGTCGTAGAAGGTCCGACATTTCTGTTTGGTTGCTCTCTTGAGCGTGCGCGAATGCCTCGTATTCGTCAACCAAATGTCTGAGGCCGTTGAGGTCATCTTTCAAACGTTCGACACCTGATTTGTTGCCCTGGATTTCTACATTCTGGACATTGCCGAAGAAATCAACGACTCTTCGACTCCTGCCGGCTTCCTCTCCTCCAGGGAACAAATCCCAACGGACGCCAGGGTTGGAATGGATCTTGCCAACATCATAGCTGTCGAACAGATCGCCGAGAGTCTTGTCCGAGTTGGGGCCAGTCACTTGTGTCTCCAGAAACTCCAATACATAATACGTCCAGCGGTCGATAACCGCGACTCCAACGTCGTTGTCCGCGTGGTGAGAATAGGAGCTCTCGTCTTCTTCGGACGAGCCAGTCGCGATAACTCCTGAAGCGTAGAATTGTCGGTACAAGGTGTTGGCCTGGCAGGTGTCGATCATGAATAGCATTTCATTGTACCGCTTCTTTTCTCTCATCTGCGAAAATGCATCTGCAAGATCCCAGCTTGAGATCTCTTCACTGTCTTGGAATTTGAGAAACTCGCTACCACCGTGGCCGGTCATGTAAATGAGTATGTTGCTTCCTTCATCCGTCTGTAATCTCTTGCTGGCCGGCACGCCTTCTTCCCATCTGTCCGTGAGGAGACGAATAAAGTTCTCGACCGTGACCTCGTAGCCACGATAGTCCACCTCGACATTTTCGCCATAAAGATCCATTCGACGGTCAGCGTTCGAGTAGACGGTGCCCGAGAAAGCGTTGCGTGGGTTGCATGCCATGTCATCGGGAAGGAGGAGCAGAATCTGAGAGTCGGGAATGCCTAGTCGTTTGACAGTTCGGTACAAGGAGAGGGTGTTGGCGAGATGACGGTAGTTGAACCAGAACCGCGACGTCGACACTAGGACTGCCCAGTTGGAAGTATGGACGGCGCAGACGACTGACATCAGGGCAACAAATGCCCATAATGAGAGAAGAGTCTTCATGGTGGCTGGCAAGGACAGACCTCCTCAAAGTCGGAGGATGCTATGAAAGCGCAAGCAATGTATACAACATCAATGTGTTCCCGAGATCATGGTCTAAGAGAATCTGGGGTGTTGCACATCAATTGGTAAGCACCGGAATCTGTCAAAAAAGACGCGGGTTTGGCCCTGAATACGCGCCTTCAGGGGCCAGTGGCGAGCCTATCAGAAATTACAAGAGGTTCAAAGACATCATCCCCATGACACGTGGTAAACTTGCCTCCAATTCAGGGCAACTGCGACCACCTGGCCGCATGTGGACGCCTGAACCCCCAAAAATATATACTCCAGCAAAACTTCATCTCATCAATTCCACCCTTTCAACCAAAATTGCAAAAACAATCAACAATACGGATTCGCTGGTGGTCACCCACCCAACTACTAACGTATCGGCATATGGCTTAAGTACGGCTGAGCGAACGGGAAGCCCTGTTCTCCATATCCTATGGTCGATTGTGAAAGCAAATCATGTTCTTAAAAATATATGCTACCTTAAAATATCAAAATCATTCCAGAAGCAATCATTAGGCTATCGGTGAGTGTGTACATGCTTACATGCAGTCCTAGGGTTTGAGTCCCCTAAATCTGCTCACTTTGTGGTTTGACATTGACGATATTGGAAATGGCGATGCCTCGCATTTGCACCATCAGTCCGTCACGCAGAGAGAGACTGCAAGCCGCATTCACTAGTCAAGGACAAAGAGACGGTGGGTGTCCACCTTGTGTTCATGCGCTGTCCTAAAGGGTAATGAGGAATTTCCCAGCATCGTCAGACCACCCGACATCTGGGCTCATGTCAATTTCCCCAAGATCTCGACTTTTCGAATGCTCAGCTATCCTAACCTGCATACTGAGAGAAAATTCAATATTGTCGGCGACAAGAGATACGTTCATTCGTTCCCCGAATTGAGACCATGCACATGGCATGCACATGCAACATCACCAAGTTGCGTACGATTCTTGCAGCAGTCGCTCAGACTACAAGGAACACCGTCCACGGAGCAATTCGGACCCTCAATTACAGAAACTCTGCATTCGTCGTGGCTGTGTGGGCCATTCACACAGCCAGCACGATTCGGCAGGTGCTCCCATGTTTGTAAAGCGAAGCATACCCTACACGTGTGGGTGGAGGCTTATGGATGTTCGCGCGTCGGCGCCGGCTGACGCAAGGTGATCACTCTAGCTGACTCGACCAACGAGGCTGCATTACAAGCCTTGCGTGCACGGATATGATGCGATATTGGGAGCGTGGGCTGCCGTTTCTCTGCCCGCGTTTTCCACTGCTGCTGGAGTCATTGGTGTATGCGGGCTTCTGTGCACGGTAGCCGCCCAGCAAAAATGCTCGACTGCCGAAGAAGGTTTTCTCAATGAGCGAAAAGATTTCTGGACGTGTGGCTCCTTCAGCCGATAACAATCATGATCCCTCCGGAAGTTACCGCAAGCTGAACGATGTCTTTTAGGCGACCCCAGCCGAAACCAGGTGGACAGGGGTCAGAATTGCGTGCATGAACCTAGGCTACGGGCACGCCAAGTGGGGAGGAAGTCCGGTATATCTTCGGTGCGGACAGCGCCAAAGAGACGCTCGAGCCTCTCATGTTGCCCCTGTTGTGCCGATCCTATGAATTGTAGGCTTAGGAAGGTTCCAAGTCAGCAGCTCCATCAGATGTTGTCCCCAGATTCGCGCAAGGGTCCTTGTCTTTTTGCATTTGCCGACAAAGGAGTGTCTTTCTGGTCAATGTTCCCTCAGCTAACGTCAAAACCCATGCTACAACTGTGGCTACAAGACTCAGTTGCCACCAGCTACGCTGTCTTGTGCTGAATGAAGGTTTTGCACAAGGTTCGGGGCTTTCCTATCATGGAACGTCGAGTTTGAGCACCGTCGTCAAGCACGAGGAGCAGAGCAGCATATATATCTCTGCTTTCCTGGGCCTCGGGAGCATGGCAAGGTGCCCATCAATCGAACTCCCGCCGTTGTTCTACTCTCACCCGTCCACTCCAGCACCATGCCGAACAAACCTCGCATTGGATTCCTCCGTACTGGAGCCGTCATGGGGTTTCTCCCAGACACGCCGCGGAACCACACGACTGCATTTCTCTCTGAATTGGCCGGTACATTCATGTTCTTATTCTTCTCCTTTGCAATTGCGCAAGTTGCAAACACCCCACCACCAGCATCGAATACAGATACAGCCCCGAGCGTTACCAAGATCTTCTTTATTGCTACCGGCTTCGGATGCTCTGTAGCGGTCAATGTCTGGCTATTCTACCGAGTCAGTGGAGGGATGTTCAATCCTGCGGTGCGCAACAACCCATGATCCTCCTCTATTGGCTTAAATGTCGTGTTTCTGACAGGATACCAGGTGGCTTTGACACTCTTCCTCGTCGGCGCCATACCTATCTCACGCTGTACTGTTGTCATTGTTGCTCAAATAGTCGGCGGAATTGCCGCAGCTGCAGCGGTATCAGCCACACTGCCGGGACCTATGGCAGTGAATGTCCGACTTGGAGGCAACTGCACTGTCGTGAGAGGGCTTTTTATTGAGATGTTCTGCACGTTGCAGCTGGTCTTCGCTGTTATCATGCTTGCTGCTGTAAAGCATAAGGCTACGTACCTTGCCCCGATCGGAATCGGCATTGCGCTGTTTATCGGCCATCTTTGCAGTAAGTCGTCTCAACTTACCCTGCGTGAAGCACGCTAATCCCGTAATCTAGGTGTCTACTACACCGGCGCTGGCATAAATCCTGCGCGAGCCTTTGGGCCCGACGTCGTCTCCCACAGCTTCCCTGGCCATCACTGGATCTACTGGGTCGGTCCAGTTTTAGGGTCTCTCGTCGCCGCAGCATTCTTCTACCTTCTCGAGATGTTCGAGTGGAAGACCGCAAATCCAGGCCAAGATTACGACGACTTGGAAACCCAGGTAGTAACCCCAGGCAAGAAAACCGTTCGTCCAAACGTTGTGCTTCAGGCGCCTTTACATCAGCCGGCGTACTATGAAAAGGGGAATCTATATTCCTCGGAGCCTGTATCTTCCCAGGGTGCCAAAACATTACAAAGTGGAGCCTCTGATGCAGTGAGTCCTTCGTATGATGGCGAGCAGCATTGAGTGCGAGGAAAGAAGTGCACTACCACGGCGCAAATACTACCAAACTGTGATTGCCGTCCAATGAGGTGCGAAGCACCGGCGGAGATGAGGACCTTTGATTTGTTTCTATGGGCGGCTTGTCGTGTACGATAGTCCTGCAAACTCCTTTCTCAACACAGGGGCTGGCGAATCATTGGATCTAGCTGGATACGGAGGCATATTGCGTTATTGCTCTATTATTGCTAATACCTCGACCAAAAGCGCGCCTGAGGGTGGCGTCAGTTTCAGAATGTACCTTGTATGTATAGAACTTACGAGGACGATTTACTGATATCATAACTATAACATGACGGTAGGTGAGTGCCTCACGAAGGAGGAACGAACATGATCGGCGATCTTTTCACAAGCCTGTTACTAAAGAAAAGTGTCTGCGTCCTGGCTCCTGGATTGTAAGTCTAATTTGGCGACTCTCTAGTTCTATTCGCTCTGGTTATGACAAGTTATCTCTGTACGTAGGTGGTGCTTCCGGCATATCCTGAACGCTAAGGCCACATTGAACGCGTGTGCCTACGTCTTTCAAAGCCGTTGTAACCTTCATTGAGCCCCCGGCAACCTCCAACAAATTCACTTCCGGAAAGCATGTGAGAGGGTGGCGCAAGAAGAACAGCGAAGATGGAAACCTCTTTCCCCAAGAGTACCCAACAACACCCAGCGATACAGCGTTGGTCGGTCGGAAAGGCAGGATACAATACACTGGCCCTGCCTGTGACCGAAAACCACCAGCGCACCGTGATAGATTGCGAAAGAGGTTGTGCAGTATTGATATGTGAACCTTGACTTCCGAGCTTGGTCCGCTGCAGCCAAGGTTTCCCAGTCAATGTGTCAAAGTCGGGTGCTTTTAAAGCTTCAGCAGTCTCCCTTTGCTCAGAATTGCCAGACGATCAGGCGTTATGTCAGCGACAGTCCGACACCTAGGCATTTGTGAGTACAGTAGGTATGGTAAAAGAGAAGAGCGAGATCGAGGAGAACTTACCCAGCCAATGCCATAGTTTGTCGGAATTCCTGTGTGAGGATCTGGACTGCTTTTGTCACACCTTCCTCGCCGCCAACCGAAAGACCCCAAATGGGTATCCTACCGACAAAGACCATCTGTGCGCCCAGAGCAATGGCCTTGAAGATGTCGGACCCTCTCCTTATGCCTCCGTCCACAGCGATCTGAATCAGTCTCTTGCCATTTTCGTCACAAGCCGCAGGCGCGCAATCCCTCAACGCGTCCAGACTGGCGGGTACGCCATCCAATTGCCGACCGCCGTGATTCGAAATCACCACACCGTCCAAACCGTACTTGATGGCCATCTTAACATCTTCTGGGTGGTATATGCCCTTGACCCAGACCTGCAGCTTGGTCTGTGACTTTATCCACGGCATCACTGATTCCCAGCTCTGCCCATTGTCCTTTTCTGCTGTGATTACGGACTTGAATCCCTTCGCGCCTTTGTTGACTGGTGCTTCCTTCCCAGCGCCGGTGCTGTCCTCGAACTGCAGAATAGGAAATCCGACACCTGGTGGCATTTTGAAATTATTGCGGTACTCATTCAGTCGCTGGCCCAGAACCGCCGCGTCGACCGTAAGAATGACACCTTTGAAGCCAGCCTCTGACCAACCATTGGACGTCAGCATTTCGTAAACAGAATCGGAAGGAATGAAGCCCTGAGTGACAAGGGCTTGATCTGACTCACTTTCGACCCGCCGAAGCGTCTGTAATGTTTTGCTTCTGTCTTTCATGATGGTGAGGTGCATTATATATGGATTTCCTCTTCCTTCACAGGCGACCTCCTCGATTGGGGTATTCGAGTAAGAGGAGAGACCCATTGGTATGCCAGCCTTGGCCGCTGCCCGCGATGTCGCGGCTTCGCCATCGGGGTGTGCGAGCTTGTGTGCTGCAGCGGGTGCAAAACCAAGGGGTAAGGAAATCTTGGTACCAAACATGTTGGTGGTAGAGTCCAGATTCGACATATCGATCAAAACTCGTGGACGGATTTTATAGCGGTTGTATGCCGCTTCGTTGTCGTGGAGAGTTATCATATCGTCAGCTCCATCGTTGAAGTAATCTCGATACATCTTTGGGACTTTCTTCTGCGCGAGAGTCCGAATGTCGTTGATGGTGAGAAGGTCTTCAAGCTCCTCCCCTCTTCGTGGCTCGAGGGCTTCTGCCGGGGGATCGTTCTTGGTTTCGGCTATGACCGGGAGCTTCGTACCTGGCGCCGTTTCTGAGACATCCATTGGACGATGGGCCGTCGGATCCATGGTGTTTGAAGACATCAGTAGTCGCGGCGCTCTGCAGTGATGTTATTGGGTTGTGAGTCCTTTGCACAAAAAGAGTCCGCTGATTCCAACTTAACGCTGCAAGCTTCAAGACTGGAATGTCCCGGGCAGCAAGATCAAGAAGGTTTTGCCTCACCTCGCCTGCACCTAGAGACGTTTACCGAACAGAAACACAATCAAAGAAGAGGTAAGCTTGACACGAGCCTCGTCAGGAATCGTTGGGGTGTATCTCCCCGGGAACGCCATACAACCTCAGTCCGGGAGATCAAGCCTTCCAAAAATGTATGTCTAACAAGTCATAAGGCGCACCAGTTCTAGGTCCTGCGGGTCGCCAGTCCGATGACAACGACAGGGTGATGAGGATCTCGGTGGGATCATCATTCTGGGGCAATGATAACTGAGTGGAGACGATAAGGGTCCATGTCATCGGCGCCGAGATAGATTGAGATACTCAGCATGTAGTCCTTGAGTTCGACGCATATTTCACCACTTATCGAGCGATCACTTGGACGTGCACGCGAGAGGCATTACCCATGCAGGGTACCATGCTATGACAACGTTTCCTCCCTTGGGGACGAATGAGGCTGTCTGGTGAGCAGGATTCTCTGGTAGAATGAGATCAAGCAATCCGACGGTGCAGCCGGAAGCCGAACATATTGGTATCAATCTTATCTTAATAAGTCTCACACGCAGCTGCCAGAACATCTCGACGTCATAGTCCTAGGTCGTTCACATCCATTGGAACGATTTATCAACCTCACACTCCCTTCCCTACCACATGGAGCACAGATATTTGTGGTGGCTCATACAACTGACTTATCGATTCTTCACCTATCCAACCAGCCTTCAGGTAACGCCCTTGTCCCTGGGCTCACGGTTCAAAATTGATTGAGTCTGCCCGTGCTTTTTACTCGTTGACCGGGCTGAGGAATGCTCAATCTCCAGCCCGCTATAGCACGCATTCCATACACGACTCAGGTAGGCCAGTCTCACAACAAGTATGTGAGACTCCCCGGTTTGTTCCTCACATCCTCTTATCTTGTTTGTCCGGTACCGTGTCTTTGTGGGCATTGAACATAGGTCGCCATGTACCGGTCGCTTACCTTACTGGCATTGCTAACGTGGGCATTGCCATACTGCAATGCCGATGTGACCATCACACAGACAGTCCTCGAGACGAGTTACACTTGTCCATGCCTTACAAGCGCATCATCCTCGTCTAGCCCGGCTGCGTCTGGATATTTCAGCACCACATCAAGCACAACCGCGACCAGCACCAGTGCGAATGGCGTTTCGCCTGTGCTTGGAAGTGTCTCGACAACTACAACACCTTCACAAACCACCTCTGACAATGTCATCATTTCCACGACTGCGACGTCGGAATTGACCTCAGCAGCTATTATCACGACTCCATCTGCTACATCTACTACAGCTAGCAGTGCCATATCGACTAGTCGAACAACGACCGTAAGTTCAACACCAGTCTCTCCCACCACCACACCCGCAACCACTCCACCCACAACGACTACGTTCCGAAGCACCACGACGATCCAAAGGTACCAGACCACAACCACTCCGGCCGCAGTCTGCGGCGACGTCATCCTAGATGGCTCCTTCGAGCTCATTTCTCCCGAATACCTCTACGCCACAGACTTCACCAACGGCTCATGGACCTTCTCCGGAGAAACCGTCACGATCGCCAACAACACCGCTGACGATGCAGTCACGGAGTGGGGTTCAGTATATGTCGAGTGGGATCCTACCAGCGCGACGCCGCCAATGTTCCTCGCCCAGAATATCTCAAACATACTCAATTACAACTCAACATACATCCTGGAATTCCAGTATCAAGTGCCTCTGTGGGACGACCCAAACAGTCAATGCATATTCGACACCTACTGGATAACCACAAAGAATTCCACGCTTCTTGAGAGTATGACCTTCAACTACGAGATCCCTTCTTGGACGATTCAGACCGTGGAGTTCAAACCGAATTCGACGAACGGCACATTGTCCTTTCAGGCAACATGCGGTGGTACGCTAGATTCCACAAGTTTCAATCAGTGGCTGTTGGACGAGATCTCACTGCAGCCGTACCCTCAAACCTGCTAAGCATGGGCCATGGATTTTAGTTTGGAGCCCATAATGGACGCTAAAGATAGTTTCGTATTCATTCATGAAGAGTAACCCAGAATGGAAAGCTCTTTGGTATTACAGATGTCTAATTTGAAGCACATTTCCTTGAGTATTCCACAAAATCAACTTTTGACCTCCATGCCCCATGCCGTATGCGATATCGGTATATCCGCTTCATTTGCCTTCACCTTGCACCTGCACTATCGATCTTCCCAAGGTCAACAAAAGCAACATGCATAAGGTGAAAAAGGGTCGTTACATCATGCATCAACAATAACCCAGAAAGACTTTGGTACACACTGTCCATCAAATATCGGGCTCCCTTTTGACTCCCTCGCCGACAAATACGTAGCACAAAATCAATATCGTGCTTGAAAGCCCAAGTGCCGTGGGGGACTTCCTTGAATAGTGATACTGATCCTACTTCTTTCGTTGCCGTCAATCTCCAGAGGTGAGGGCGGTTTCGGCGGATGATGAATTTCGAACACGTGCGTGCTCGAGGCGTCTCTTCCCCCGTGTCTACCTGCTCTTATCGACTTTGCATCCAGCTCATAGGTTGGTGGCGGTCCGTCGGGATCGGTAGTGTGGCCGACGCGCTCGCGTGACTCTCCGTCAAGCCGCTGTCGCCTGCCGAACATGCCGATGCCCATCATGCCGCCACCACCTTGTCCACGACGCTTGCTCCGTAAGTAAAGGGCTGCCACGAGAGCACCGCCGAGTATAACAGCGCCGATGGCGATGCCGATACCTGCGCCAGCGGCAGCACTGAGTCCGCTTGAACCTCCTGACGATGAGGGAACTGGTGTAGAAGTTGGAACTGTGCCCGTGGTGTTGGGGTCCAAGGTACTGCAAATCTCAGTCAACATGAAAGCATCTCTGGATGGGAGCACTTACGAGTCAATGATTTGCAGTACTCCGTTTGAAGTAAGATAGTCAGTGGTCGTTATCAGTGCTGTGTCGACGTAGAAGCCGCCGCTGATATTCCTCATGGTCAGGCTAAATTGGTTGAGCAGGGTGGGGAGCTCTGAGTTGTTCTTGAACTCTGAAGAATAGAGCACCTCCCCCTGTAAAATGCTATACTGAAATATTTCGAGCAAGGACGCTTCGGTCAGGCCGTCCCACCCTGTGAATGATGCGCCGAATTGAGGACTGTTCGGACCAAAGACGGTAAGGTCGGATAGGGTGTTGACTGTTGTGAATATGTGAACATGTTAGCATGTGAAATGATTAGTCAAAAAGGAGGCAGCAATTGACAAGTCGCAAACTGTCACTTGACATATTGCAAATGGCCACAGAGGTCTCAGCACAAAGGAGGCCGTGTCCGGTTTTCACAGCATCGGTCAACCCTTCTGGGAGCGTGTGTGACTTGGCCTCGTAAGGGGACAAGGCTTACCGATCGTGGCAGCCGGCGAGGTTGGCGTTAACCAGCCGCCCTTGTTTAACAGTGCGATGAGGTCAGTCAACCCGGCTTTGGTGATGGTCGCTGGGAATGAGATGGGTATGGTCAGCACTGAATCGACGATTTGAATGAGGCCGCCAATGTAAAGGATATCCTATGACCGTCAATGGTTTCTCTTGTAGATGCTCCAGTGCGACACTGACAGGTTCAACGATCTGCGACGCAGCCTTTACGCCAGACAAGATTGTAGGCGTGTTATTTAGCATGGTGATCTCAACCACCTGCCCACCAGTCACGTTGGTGTAACTAGTGTTGGTAAGAAGAGTCGGCGCAAATAGTGGCTGTAAGCCAAAGGTAGCCGACGGATGAGTGCCATTTACGCAGTGGTACTGAAGTAATGCTAGAAGTTCGTCTTCGGTCACATCTTGGTTTGCCGATGTGAATGTCGAGATCGCTTGGTCGTTCGGTACCAGGACTTCTCCTTGTCAATACTCTCTCATAGAACAGGCCTGGATGAACATACCACTGAAAGTGCCATTGTTCAACAGGTCAATCAGGCCCGGAAACTGTTGGAGATATCCAGTGAAGGTGGAAATCCCAGTTTGCTGGTTCAAGATGGTAAGAATGTCTTGATCAGCAGCGTAGGAGCCAGCAGCAAGGGCAAAGATAGCCCAAGTTATGCGACAAAGCAACATTGTGAAGACGCGCAGCGCAACAAGAGGACCATCGGCATCGCCGTGGTAGGAAAAAGGATATAACAAGTGGGCTCAAATCACGATGGAGATGTGCCTTATTTGACGAACATGCTCCTCGAAGACTAACCTGTTGGAATCACAGAAACCCATGTCTGCTGGTGCGACGCGGTCCTCAGGGGACATTATGCAGGATCCTGCAGCCCACGAGGCTGGTCCAGGTGCGGGAACGATGGCCTTTCGCTTGACGAGGACATCATCTCGGCATGCCCACATAGACTTTGACATTCCTGATGGAGAAAAGACTGGGTTTTGCGAAACATTACCCGCGTGTGAAAACAATGGACACGCTTCGAGACTGTCGAGACACCCTGTCGATATGCCGCCGGAAAATGGCTTAGTCGTTTCAGGTTCCTGGGTACCATGCGGTAAATGTTGACGATGCAAGGAACCATCAATTTCTAGCGGGGGAAAACGTCCCGTCCATATAGCGCCATTCAAGTCGGTGGCGTTCTAGGGCGCCTTAAGCAGGGCAGACGAAGGCACGCTTGTTCGACAGTCGACCAGTAGTTGATATCACTTTTGCTTCAAGCCATGTCTGCGTCAAGGACTTGTTTATGACCTTTCACTTTTCGAGAACGTAGCGAGAGAATGGCAGCAACATTGAGACCAGAGGTATGATGCTCCAAGGAGAGTCGAAAATTTTGAGTAAGCGACCGGAGATGCACACCTAGTAGTAGCCTTGCTGGGCAGTGACGATTGGAACCCCTCGCCCCCAATGCCCCGTCCTTGGCTTTGGGGTTGGCAATCTCCGTCCATAACACCTTTCCAGAGCAGCCCCCAACTCCCTCAACGGCCTTTGTTTGTGCATTGATCTACAGTACGGAGTAGGCACGTAGGCAGTTAGCATTCGGAGAACTGCCCCAAATTCTGCAACAGTGGTCAATGTTTGGGCAATAGACGCGTCATTGTACAGATGGAAGATTAGGGTTTTGTATGCCGTTGACAGCAACATAGGACATTGACGACATATGGTCGTGGACGACCCAGGAAGCATCGCATATCTAACAAGACACAATTCAGGAATTTGCAGCTTAGATGTCACCGAAACCCCCCGGCCCTTGTCATCATACGGAGTCAACCTACGGAGACTGTATAGGTCTGAGCGCTTACTGGACAGTATTCTCAGCCTTACGAAATACAATACTCGGAGGTCTTCCCTTTTCAGTCTACAACTCCGGCGTAGGCACGTTTATTTGAACAACAACGAGTACCAGCCTTGCATGATCGTAGCGAGAATATGGATACTCGCAAGAGTGGTACCTGAGCTTTGAGAAGAGTCCCGCGAGGCAAGGTCGACACTCTCACATCATGCCAACCCTACTCGTACTAATATCCATCCTTACTCTGACCCTATCCACTCTGTACATAGTCTACAGACCACCATCAGCCCTGATATCGTATCTTCAACGCCGCTGGCCAGACGTGCTCTTCCATGTGCCAACCCACAAGAAGATTCTAGCTCTGACGATTGACGACGCGCCCTCACCAAGCACTTCGGAAATCCATAAGATCCTCAAGACCTACGGAGCCAAAGCCACATTCTTTGTCATCGGGTCTCACATCGCAGGTCGCGAAGACACTCTCCGTGGTCTGGTCGCTGATGGCCATGAGCTGGCCAACCACGCCATGCGCGATGAGCCATCCTTCCGCCTCCCCCAAGACGGACTGACCAGACAGATCAAATCCGTCGAGGTACAGATAAATCAGATATATGGTCCAGTAGCGTCACCGCCACGGTACTTCCGACCTGGTAGCGGGTTCTTCAGTGCGGCAATGCGCAAGACCCTTGCCAGTCTAGATTATCGTCTGGTCTTGGGGAGCATATATCCTCACGACGCACAGGTGTCTCAATGGAAGATCAATGCAACGCATATCCTCAGCATGGCCAGGCCAGGCGGCATCATCATCTGCCATGACAGAGAATGGACGACGCCGATGCTGAGAAAGGTGCTGCCAGAGCTCACAAAGAGAGGGTATCACATCGTCACTGTGACAGAACTCCTCAGCGAGACGGCATGATAAGTGAGCATTGACATTGCATATACATGCCAAATCGAGGTTACGGCAACATTACAACGGTTTTGAACATAGACAGAGAATCCATTCTAACTTCAGAGTCAACGCCAGCCAGCCGTGGGTGTGCTTTTTCCAAAGTACTGATGTCTTCTCAAAGGACGCATCAGCCTCTTCACATAAAACACAACGCTCTCATGCCTCAACAAGTCAAAGCCAGACCAAGCATATGCAACGAAAAACATGACCGCTCTGTCACAACACAGATGCATCGTAATCCCATCCCCACGTACAACGAAGCTTCATCGGCCCACCACAGCCTTGAGACTCAACCCCTCCAAGAAGCCGCCGAGATCCTCTTTCTTGACCTCCACGATGCAATGATCAAAACTATCAATTTTGACCCTAGCATTCGTCTCCTCAATCACTTCTTGAAACGCGATGCCGAACCTGTTGTGCCCATAACCGCGTTTCCGCCTCTTCTGCAATTCGACCTCATCTTCTTCATCCGAGGAATCGGAATCCGCATCTGACTCCGACTCAGTCTCGTCCTCGAAGTCGCTGTCTTCGCCGTTGAGCTCTCTCTGCGCTGCTCTAGCCGCTCTCTTTTCTTCCCGTACTTTTCTCTTCTGCTCACGCTCAGCCTCCTTCTTCGCCTTGCTTTCGGCTTTCTCCTTTCTAGCCTCAAGGTCCTCGCCGCCGCCAATCCCTCCGCCTGTGCCGACGACAACATATGTACCTCGGGCGTCGTCCAGAGCAGCCAAGACGAGAGGGGTGGCGCCTTCTGAGCCCTTCTTGTCTCGATCATTGATTGCTACTGCCTCGCCAACCCAGAGCGCAAGCTTCACGAGTGCGCCAGGGCTGTTTGCAAATAGACCTAGATCAGGCCCGTCCTTGACCACACCCATCCGGAACGCACGCAGATGTCGGATCTGATGCTTCACAAGCAGAGAAGAGCCGGTTCGAAGGATAGCACGCAGAAGATGTTGAGCAGCAGGGATCGCGGCAAGGAGATGTGTCGGATGAGTAGGCGCCAGTGCGTCGTATGCTGCAAAAAAGCGAGGGAGAAGGGCTTCTGAGCGGTCAGGGACATCAGCGGCGCTGTTTGTCCGCTGAGACGACCCATTGTAACTTGCTGATGAGGAGGTTGACGGCGCAGGAACATGTGATGTGCCTACGTCCAGTACTGCTCCGAGTATGACGCCCACGTCGACAGCTGACAGTTGAGCTTTCCATCCCCACGATCGAATGAATCCCCATCCTTCTTGCTCATAGGATGCTCGGCCTGAGCCAGATGGGACGAGATCGTCCAGTCCATACACACCAGCGTACTTCAACAGACGCTCTCGAAGAGACTTCTTCAAGTCGATGTCCATATGTGTATATGTTTGCTTGCACTGAGTGAGCGATACACCCATCTTAGCCAGCAATTTGTGCAGTCGTTTGACCCCAGGTTCGTTCCACACGTGTAATCGTGAGGCAAGGTAAGGAGAATGGAGCATGCTGTCATATAGCGACCAGTGTCGGAGGAGAAGAAATCGTGGATCTGGTGTCAATCGGATAGAGGTATCACTAGGGGAACTAGTGCCACCAGCGCCAGGAGATATCGCGGGTGATTGGTCGGCAGGGGGAGGGTTCAGGCGTCTCACTTCATCGCGTAGCAGCGCGTAAGTTTGTGAAGAGCGTGATGATCTCCATGATCTGTGGTGTTCAAGCGTCTTTGTCGCTGCTCCTGAAGTCCCCAAACCCGTCGCTGTATGACCAGACAGCTCGAGCGATGTCACACCGATGATGGCAAGCCAGAGGAGATCATTGTCCTCTCGACCCAAATCTGCTGCTAGTGAGTATGCCAAAGTAGACACTGGTTCCGAGTATGAGGTGCCTAGGCTGTTATATTCTTCAAGCACCAGCTCGTGCTTTTCTCGTAACTTTCGTAATCGTCTGCGTAGTTGTTTCGCAGACTGTGGTTTCGGTGGCTGAGCCTTGGAAACAGGCGAGGACGGTTGTGAAGAGGACGGCGTTCTGCTTCGGGGTGTGGAGGAAATGGACGATCCAGAATTGCTTCTTCGCCTTTGACGGGGCCTTTCTCCTTCCGAGTCACTCCCACCATCTCCCTCGTCTTTGTCCGACCAGGACTTCCTCTTCTTTGAGGATGAAGCATCTTGGATGTCCTCATCCTCGGATTCGTCGTCATCGCTCTCATGCTCTTCGACCTCTGGCATTTGGGATAACGTACAGTACGCCTCTCTCTCAGCCTCAAGCTCGGCAACGATATCTCCATCATCGAAGACAATGATGCCGCCTCTGCCTGGTTTGTAAGATTTTTGAATGCATCCTCTTTCTACCCCAACGACAGGCCTGGAGATGGAAGCAGATGTTTCCATTGGCAGCCCACCGAAGAGATTGGACATGTTCCACGGCCGTCGCGCGTCCAGGACCCAAACCTCCACGCCGCACATGGCTTCTTGAGAGTTTTCATCTTCCAGACCTAGCAGACTTGCGAGGTCAACTAGTCCACCCACACCGAGACAGATGACAATGCCTCCACTACCGCCTTCGGATATTTTCATACGGCGTACCAAGTCTTCGCCGGCTTTCGAGAGGTCTGCATATCCAGAGACGGGTTGGATCTTGTGGGGAATGTAGTCGCGCTTGAGTAACGCGGTGAGGATTCGGCAGGCACATAGTGCATCAGGTTCGAGAGCGACCAGCAGCAGAACGGGAGGAGACAAGGGATGATGTGAGCGGACGAGGCTGGTATAGAGCTGCGAGATTAACGTTCTAGGTAGGTACATGGCTGGTGGCGGCGGGCGAGCAGTATTGTGTATAAGGTGCTGGCCTTGGTGAGCATCGCGTAAAGGGCCTGGACTAGCAGAGCATGTCGAGAGTCGAACTGTAGAAGAGACGACTTGTCTGTGTCGCGAAGAGGTGCGTCGAGCAAAGTAGTAGGGCTTCTGTTAATGTCGTGTGCCGTTTCGGGTACTGCCTGGTTTTGGTTCAGTATGGGTTGCGGCAGGCTTGGATTTGGGACTTGGGAGAGAGTTCGGTCCGTCGCGTCGGTTGTTTGAAAGACGCGTCGCGGCATTCAGCCGATTGTCATCCAAAGCATCAACTACGTCATTTCTAGCATCTTTCGATTGGCAACAGTGACATTGATTGTTCTCATTTTTAATATATAGAGATATCGATCCTAGCCGGCAATGGCTTCCAGAAGCATGACTTTCTCAACAAGCGCCTCAGAAATCCTTGTGTGACCAAGGCTGGTTGGGTGGAATATCCTAAAAACCTTCGCGTCCGCATAATGCTTGATTCCACCTACTTCGACCTGGCCTGACTCCAATGTTTGCAATTGCAATCTCTGCTCAGTCTGAGTTTGAAGCGTCTCTTGGGCCGGTATATTGAAGAACCATGTCTCATCTCTTCCAACATCAGGCTCTTGAACCCCTTCCTCACAGAAGCGATGCCCTTCAAAGACAGCATCAATGTCCAAATACACAGCGCCATATGCCTCCGCCGTTGCTCGGATAACATCATTTAAGATGTCCACAAGGCCGTTTAGTTTCCTTCTCTTTGCTTTGGTAAGGTAGTCCAATGGTCGAGTCCGACTGAACGTGGCGTGGTCACAGATATCTGTCTCCGGGTTGAAAAACCTGGCGTAGCCTGTCACGATCAACAGCGCACCAGGTCTCAATCGCTTGTTGGCCCCACGGATAAGGGCTCTCATGTTGTCCCCCAGCGCAGATTCGATCAATCGTCTTGCCTTGGCAACCTCGGCTTCGCAGGTTGAAGACGGCCAAAAGTGATAGACGCACTCATTCAGCACACCAACGAAGTCCACTTCGTTTCCACTGACCGTGATGCTCAGGAGATCCGGATCGCCCACGAGAGGGACTTGGTCATGCAGGACGGTTAGGGTTGTGGCGCCACCGCATGCGAGAATCCTGACATTCTTGATATCCAGGAGGCTGTTGTTGGCGACCTGTACCGGGTAGGCGTCCGAGAAGTATCCGCAGCCAAGTCCCAGTCCCAAGGGATACCCGGCCCCAGCGCCAGCAGCATATGAGTCGCCTAGAGCAGCATAAGATCGTCCAGATGGGCGTGCTGACGGTATTACAGAGGAAATCGACTCTCCCGCGTAGCGGAACAGAAACAGTAGTCGTAAGAGAAATGTTGAAAACGCCATGATGAGGCTACCAATTGCACCGATGCAACTGCTAGTCCACGTGTGACCTTCACATACTTAAGTCTGGATTAGATCCGTAACACCAGAACAAGTCCAGTAAGTCATGTATTGAGGTTGCCTCAGAAATCACTCGTCATTAATTGAGAGGGGATGTAGTGATGATTGTGTCAGACGCGGTGGCATTTCTCGGCATCCCTTCTTCAATTGGCCCAAACGCGAGGGCCTTTTTTCGTCAGACGACATTACTTTGTAAAGGACGTCACCACTCTTCTGCTGCAATTCTCGCTTGCGGGACGTACTCCAACCAATCTTTTCTATCCATCACTCTATGCGATTGATCGCAAGGCTGTTGCGTACAGCGGCTTCTCGTACTTATTGCGCCTCTCATAGCATTGGAATTTTGGGTGCCACTACATTGTTGCCACGCGAGCATCTGCGTCGCTTTGATGGCACCAGAGGCATGAAGAAAGCTACTACCACTAAGCCACGTTTGAAGCTCCCGGATTATTGCGATGTTGCGCCAAAACGAGATGCAGATGGGAGCGCGATATGGCCGGCGCCCCAAGAGGCTATCAATCAGGCCCGGGCACTCATAAAAGAATGGTATTGAAGCAGTCATCTCGATCACCAACATATGCACAGCAAGACTGACTATGCACAGTGCAGCAAGCGACAAGAAGACGTTGATCGTGCCAGACAAGGACGCTGATGGCCTCTCCTCAGGCGTCACACTCTATCGCACGTTAACAGCGCTTGGTCTTGACGAATCAATGATTCATGTACACTTGGTGCAGAAGGGTTCCAACATTCATGTCCAGTCCGAACGAGAGGCTATGGCCGCAAAAGATCCAGCATACATCTTCGTCCTGGATCAAGGCTCTGTTGCAGCACCCCCAGTAGTTGATTCACCAAGCACAAAAGCCATTATCATCGACCACCACTTGAGTGATCAATTCCCGGAGAGAGCTCAGGTGGTTTCCGCTTGCCATTACCCGCCGGTTTCGACAACATCTTTACTTACATACGAGATCTGCAAGACCCTTTCTCAAGACATTGAATCATCCTGCGCCTATCTCGCTTGCATCGGCACTCATGGCGATCTTGGAAACACTCTAAAATGGGCGCCTCCTTTCCCTGACATGAGAGAGACCTTCAAGATCCATACCAAGAAGTCCATCAACGACGCCGTATCTCTCGTTAATGCTCCTCGCCGCACAGCGAAGTACGACGTCATAACTGCTTGGAGTGCTCTCCTCAACTCCTCTGACCCGAAGACTCTTCTGGACAACGGTCGGCTACAAAGTGCTCGTGCAGAAATCAACGCCGAAGTCGAGCTTAACACTCATACGCCACCGAAGTTCAGTGCCGATGGTCGGATCGCAGTTCTTCGGATCAACACACCGGCACAAGTTCATCCTATTATTGCCACTCGCTGGGCTGGATATCTCAATTCGAAAGCTTTGGAGATAGTTGTCTGCGCCAATTCTGGCTATCTGCCCGGCATGGTGAATTTTTCATGTCGCATTGCGCGCTGTGCAAGGACGAAAGAGCCGCCTGTCAATATCATCGAAAGCCTCAAAGCCGCAGCAGCTCTGTCGACTGATGGACTTAGAGATCGGCTTGGAGAGAGCTTTGCCAGGGGTCATAAGGAAGCGAGCGGCGGTGTCGTTCCTGTCGAGGCATTTGAAGAGCTGATGCTGCTACTGAAAATTGGAGAGAAGCCAGAGAAGAAGGACGATACCGACGAACCAAGGTCGAAAAGGCCGAAGACGGTAGAAAAGAGCCCGCAGAAGAACACGATTGGGAACTATTTCCAGAAAACTTGAGTCACTACCTCATATGAGGCTCAGGAAGATGATTCTACACCTGGAGGAACGGCATTGCCTGTTCGAGCGGTTTCCAGCAGTTGGTACTGATGCCCCAGTTCTGCGAGAATGACCGGAAGTGTCTCTTCTAGAACTTGGTTGAGATGCCACTGAAGTGTGATTGCGCCCTCGCTACCAAAAAGTGGTACTCCCATCCGTTGAGCAAGCCTACGGGGTGCCTCTTGCTCCACGAAAGTGGTGAATGCTTCCACTATTCTGCGTGACAACAAAAGACTGTGTGGATTCCACATATGTATGGTCAGGAAGAAGTACCCCTGGGAAAATAAGTCTGAAAATGGCGAACCAAGCTTCGACGCAGTCTTCACCTAGTCTTCTCCGCTTGACTGCTAGGTATTGATCGGGACTCATCTTTTCAGCGAATGGACAATCAGTGATCGGACACGTTCTCTGCCGTTCATGCTGTGACCGGTCTTCCTCATTCTTGAAGGTTGCATAGCATGACGAGCAGTAATGCTCCGGCCGACGATGGACCCGGTATAGGTGTTGCTTCAGCCGAGCTATACTGGTCAGTATTTTGCTAGCGCACTTGTGATACGATGCTTCGGCCGGATTTGTGTTTCTCTCGGAATACCTCTCAGGATCATACTTGGCATGAGGACAAGCCAGAAGAAGTCGTTCCGTTGAGGAAGGGTCGACCTCGATCTCCCTGGGCCGGGGTCCTTTTTGGTCGCCGCCCTCCTTCAAGTTCTTCGTCGTCGTCGTCGCCGTCGTCCTGACTGGATCGAACTCTTTTCGACAAGGTCGTTAGCGATGTCCATTCGCTCCCGGATCCATAGCTCGTCTCGCCTTTAGAGGCTGTAATGGAAGCCGAGGAGATCGAGGTATCCGGACCGTCGGTCATCAGTGTTCTGGCTGTGGGCAGGAAGTCACGCACAAGACCTCGGACGAGTTCCGATATAGGTACGTCCGGATATCCCACACACTCGACATTAGACGTGTTGGGTGGTGAAAACGGCTCATTGATGAAGGATGCCTCCCCTTCAGACTCGACGGTAGACAACGTGGATATGGTACAACTGTCGCCAAGCAAAGGTTCATCGTCGTTGCTCGACGCCTCATCGTAGCGCGCCAAGCCTGCGAGCATATTATCATCTGGAGACGTTGGGTATGTCGGCTCAGTGTGGGGCTCATTCTGTCCACGACTCGAATAGCTCATTGATGGCTGCGACGATATATACACTGGCAACGCTGATTCTGGTTCGCCCGACGTGGTATGAGATGGCACTCGCAACAGCAGCGGCGGAAGCCCCCAAAACTTTGCACGGTTGCTCATAATATCATGGCGCATCCGTTCAACATCTTTAAGCTCGGTCACAGTGTCATATCGGATGCCAGTGCTACCCGCCTCCATAGGTCGTCGTTTTCCTTCGCCAGAGGTAGATGCGGTGACTTGTTGGGGATATAAGCTTGTCGAAGGCAGAGAATGAGCTGGTGTGAATGCTCTTTCCAGATCCATTTCTCCCATATTGAGCAACATGGACGACAACTTCACCCCTGACGTTGGCCGTTTCAGCCACGATTCCGCCTGAAATTTCACATTTGTGAGAAAGTCTCTGCGCCACCACGGGCATGCCCAAAGCTGACTGGATGGCACTGCAAGCGAATACGAGCATAGGAGACTTCGTACGAGTCAGTCAACTCATACTTTGAAGTAAATGTATGCCTTCCGCGAATGTCGGCGTGCATAAGCATAGACAGGACTGTCCTTTCCGGGGAGATAGATGGAGACCAAACCTTGTGCGACCAAACGGACAGACATAACATTACTGACGTTGCCGATGGGGTAGGGCACGGCCAAGACTGAGGTCACAAGGCTAGCACTGAACAAGGCTTCAAGGTATTACCCCTTGGCAGTCTAGTCTCTCTGTACTCCTGCGCGTCAACTCTTATGATGAGGTGCTTTGTGACACCTTCCCTAAGCCTGACGACCGTTCCAGTTGTATGCATTGATTTTACGAACCGGTCACTCTCATGACCGCTCCAGATTTGTCATTAACTTTCGACCACACTATTTTTGCCCTTCCAGTCTTCGAATAGAGCAACTCAACCTTCAACAAAAGACTCTCTTTTTGCAGTCCCATTGCTCAGATATCGCTATGCCCCTACTGTTCCATTCTCTGCACTATCGATGTCCCCTGCAACGAGGCCTGTCGGCACGTCATACGGATCAGGTATGGGGCCGCGGTGCATGCCAGGATGGTAGATGGACATCTGTGTGCCGTTCATGGCAGCCGGGAGAGAACCCGTGCTCAGGAAGTTCCTCATGATTGCCGCTGTGGGCAGGTCGGGCTCTGTTTGTGCAAGTCGCTGTCAGAATCTAGGTTGGGGAAACTTGTGAAGTCAAACCTCTGAGATTGAGCAGGGCAGGACTGACCGTTGAAAGAGACGTGGTCATCCCCGTGCCGGACCAGAAGGACCGAGTTAGGCGCCTGCTGCCACTGGAAGGTGGCTTTCTCGGTTGGGGTGCTGCACGGTACATCGATCAGTACGAAAAGTGTCGAAGGATCATCCCAAGATTTCTCCTTACGCAACGTCAAAATCTGCTGTGACTAGAAGCATGGGAGCTGTGATGTTCAGGGGCTCGAGTGGTGCAGTCGAATACGGCCAGCCAGCGCACCAAAGCCTGAACTGCATCGTCCCGGACTGGCCTATATGAAAAGTATCAAGCTACTGGAAATCAGTGGCGTATTCTTGATGTCTCGTGGAGTTCTTGCCTTCTCCATCGCGGCTAAATCTTGTTGAAAGCCGGCGAATGTGTTTTCGAGAATGGCTGTAGTATCCGCGTGAGCACAAATACACAAAGGGAGTCAATCACTTACTTATGTCACTGCAGATGATAGGTATACCAACGACTGCGGCTAAGGTGACAGAGGAATCGTCAGATCCTAGTGACTGTCCCTGTAAGAGAGCTTCGAAGGCTTCGAATATCTGTGGGAAATCAGGTTGGCCTGAAACGAGGTTCAAGAAATCATACTGCAGCTCAAATGCTGCAGAACTTGAACTGTTTTGAGCGGCTGCTACGATTTCTTGGTAAATCTGGATAGTTAGCCACCTCAGCAGGGGTTGATTGGCAAAGAGCTGCCGACTCACCTTGGGAACGCTGCCCTTCCCTTGGCTGTGAAAGGGGCAGCTGGCGTTGTTCTGGCAGTACGCGTCCGCACGAAGAAGTGCTCGGTTAACTGCAGCGACATCGTATTGTGACTGATTGATGATAGTCATGCCATGAGGAGAGATTGCGTCCAGGACAAATCGTCCAACATGTTCAGGATATTGTGATGCGTACTGGGCGACTCTGTAGGACCCGGTGGAGCATCCTAGGAAATGGATTTTGTCGTAACCCAGAGCGACACGGAGACTCTCAAAGTCCTGAACGCTCTCCCGAGTTCCCACGTGTTGGACTATACCAGGCGGCGTGCTCGCGTTGACAAAAGACTGGAACACAGCCTTAGAAGCTTGACGGAAAGCATCGAACCCTGACTGGTTTGTGGGGCTACACAGAATGTCAGCTATGGCCACAGGCATGAGGTCTCAAGGACTGACTATGGGTCGAGCAGTGGAACGACCACCTCGATTGATACGTTGAGTTCGTTGGAGCTGAAAGTGCCTCTAGTGTCCGCCACTAATCTGGGAGTTAGAGCTGACCCGGTAGTGCTGCGGAAAGAATGGTCGTACTCATCAAGTCAAACTCTAGAAGACCATTGAAGTCGGGTGTGGAGCTTGAGGTTCGATTCAATGCAGCCTTCCACGCCCATACTGCTGCAGCGTCGGTGCCTCCCGGGTTACTAGGCATAACTTTCAGAGTTGTTCCTGCAGGTTGTGTGAAATGGCTCAAACTCACTAAAAGATGACACCTTTTGGGTTTTTGGGGCGATACATGGCCAGACCAAGGGTTATATTGTTGGTGGGGCTGATAGGTCGTGAGTAGTCCATGGGTACTTCAAGTTGACCGCAGTGCAGAGTGGAAGGCAAGGCCGAGAGGTCGATGCCAGTGAGGTTGAGGGCGATGTCGGTGTCTGGCACATGTTTGCTGCAATCCACCCACCGTATCGTCTGGTTCGAAGGGAGAGCTGCCCCAAGCACTATGCCCCCGAGGGACACACATACAGCAATGTAGTAAGAGAGGATCATGGCGACACTTGAAAAGGAGTGAGTCGTGACGGTGGGTAGGTAGAAGGCACACAAAGTGGGCATGATCCAGATTCGAAGGGAGACTCATCATATATACTTGCTCGAGACCGTCCCAGCTATGCCATAAGCCATGAGCCTCGTCCTTCGACAGTCTTTGTGGCCGTGTAATATCCCGCATACCACCAATAACACAGGTGCAACGTGCTGTCTTAGATGGCGGCTTGATTGGTTCCCCCATCGCGCGACTGGTGAAAGTGGAAGTATTGTCGCAGTAGGGTCGGGCCGATGTCAATGACTCAGCTGCGAGAGCGTAGTCCCTCGATATTGTTTTCTTGTGACTATGAAAAGGGTAGATAGGTCATAAGAACTGGCGGCTGGAGTCAACCGGATCCCTGTCCAGATCTAAACCATCTCCACACAATTGGTCAGCTCGGAACGAAGATGTTTCAGCCTTGCCAGGCCGCCTCATCCCCGCGGTTTCGGGCTAGAACTTGACGACGTGCATATCAAAGTCAAACTTACGCCCGAAAGCTACTTCAGCTAGCAACGAGCTGCTGACCAGGTTCGGAATGGAGGGCGAGACTACAGCTGATAGAGTTCGAAGAGACATCTCTCATACCGTGTTGTTGCTCGGCGATCAAGCCTGGTCGCCTTGCTGTGGTATGGTGGTACCAGGCAGAACATGAACCAAATATAACCGACTCGAGTCGAATCATGATTTCTGTGAAGGTAGCTGGAGGTCGTGCTATACAAGTGTGTGCTGGTTGACATGGCAGACCAGGCTGGCTACACTGCTCCCTCAAAGCAAAGCCGGTCAAATGTGCGAACTGGCTGCATGGTATGCAAGTGAGTTTCCACCTTGGCCCTGTTCCTTCATTGTCTCTGTACTTATACATATCTGGGAACAGGACTCGCAAAGTCAAGTGTGACGAGTCGAGACCGTTTTGTGTAAGGTGCACATCGACTGGCAGAAAGTGCGAAGGTTACATTGACCCAACCCCAATTCAGAGAAGGCCGCTCTCTCCCAGATACGGGTACGCCGCGAAAGAGCTCAGCACTTACAGACCCTCTCTGAATGTCTCGGGAGATATCAGAGAATGTCGAAGCTTCCAATACTTCCAATCTCGGTCAATGCAAGCCATATCAAGCTATTTCGAGACAGATTTCTGGGGTTACCTGGTTTTGCAGATTAGTCGCGATGAACCTGCTGTGCACCATGCCCTTGTAGCGCTGAGCTCTTTGTATGAGATATACGAGTTTAACAGAGGTGAACTGGAGACCATCAACACCAGTGCCATCGGACCACGTGCAAGATTTGCTTTGCAGCAGTATACAAAAGCTGTGGCGCTGTTAACCCCGGACGTGTCTGGAAACCGGCCATCTTTGCAGAGTGTTCTGATCTCTTGTATCCTCTTCGTCTGGATCGAGTTTCTTCACAATGATCTTGACAAAGCATTGCACCATTTACAGGCTGGGCTCCGGATCTTGGATAACGTGCAGCGGCAAGCGAGCAATACGAGAATTGATCCATATGTGCCCCGTCTTTTCAGACGTCTTCACATTATGGGAAGACTTCACGGCAGCCCAACATCTGACTTCAATTCAGAAGTATACAATGGGCACATCAGTTCCGGACCTGACGTGCCGCACACTTTCGCCAGCATCTTTGAGGCGCGTGACTCACTAGACGCCAATCTCGACCTCATCTTTCGCTTCTTGCGTCGGATGTACAGTGCCGACTTCGTTGCCTTGACCATGAAGCATCATCCGTCCCCGGATCCGAAGTCACTGGAATGCACCGTCCAATACCATTTGAACAATCTTTCAAAATGGCAGACAGAATTCCAGAGGTGTTCGTCCCTTTTCGTGGACTCATCTGACAAGAGGCAGTCCGCCGGCGTCATGATACTCGAGCTCCAGTGCGCGTCCGTCACAATCATCCTGAAAACCTTACTCGAAAGCTCTGAAATGGTGTTCGATCAGTACAAATCGGTATTCGAGCGCATGGTGTCGCTGGCCGAGTGCCTGATCCACAACAGCGAGTGCAGCGGGCCCCAGGCCCTCTCTTTCGATTTTGGCGTTATATTGCCTCTGTTTTTAGTCACGTTGAAATGCCGGTACCTCGGCATCCGCAAGAGGGCAATAGCGCTATTGAAGCAAGCACCGGACCGTGAAGGCATCTCTCACCGCGACAGCTGTGTCGCATTTGCGGAGTGGAAAGTACAAGTCGAGGAGCGTGGCCGTGAATCCTTGCCAGAGTTGGAGCCATTGCCAGAATTCGCCAGGATACACAGTGAGCGCTTGGGGACAGCTGTTGTGAACGGAAAGCAGGTGTCGACGGTGCGGTTTAAGAGGGGCCCAATGGATCGTGCCGGACAGAATGAGTTTGAGGAGGAAATCAATACGTGCCTAGATCCAAAAATGGGGGAATTCCTATAATTCAGATGGAGGATGTCCCCTCCTTACGTCGACTGTGAAACGATTTCAGGGTTAGTAGCCTTCGTTGAACGCATAGATGATGAGAAGCAGGAGGGAAGAGAAGCATGGGAGCGAAAGAGGCGATCATGATAGACGTCAAGAGTCGTGGGGCGCCCAGCCACTAAGTTAAGCATACGAGCATGCCCGAAGTCTGAGGTGCACGACTGGCTAACCTCCAGGGCAGTTTTGCGACATCACATTTACACGAGACCTTACTGTACATAAAGCTGCGCTACCGTACTAAGTCAATTTGATACCAGGCTGCGGACTATCGCATGGCCTGCAAGTACTCAGCATGGAGTTGGCCGTCCTCGACCCTCTCAACTCGCTCGAATCCCATCTCAGTGCCCTCATAACGTCGCTCACCCAAACAAACACATTCGCGAATGCTCCTCAATTCGCCAAAGACCTTGTGGCCGACGATGACAGCCTCGCCGCAGCCCTGAATCTCCTACAGCGACACCAACAGAACTACGCTACTATCCTCAATCTCCGCGCCGAAGTTGCAGAATTACAAAATGAGCTCAAAGACACCGTCCGCCGCTGCGTCGCTCTCAGACAGGATATTCTTGAAGTCCAACCTTCGATTTCCACAGCCGATTCAGACGAAGAAGACGATGAAGAGACGAGACCTTCAGAGATAGACTACCACACACTGCTGGCCTTCGCGGCACGTATAGGCAAACACAATGCGACAGCTGCCCGTGAGGCCGAAGCAGAATCTGTGCGAAGGAAAGTCGCTGCACAGAGGGACAAGACCAACGGACTTACAGATAGTAATGCTGAGAATGCGACTGCCGAAACAGAGGCTGAGGTGGAACGAATCAACAACACTGTAGCCCAGACCCGAGCTCAGATGGGCATGGCCTTTCCTGATGCCAATATCCTACGGGTGGGCGCGTTGGGTCAACTACAACTATTCCGGGAGCGGCATGCGCAAGGGGCTGGTGCAGATGAAACTGTACAAGCAGAACTCGATCGAGAAGTAGAGAGGCTGGTCAGAGCGAGCGAGGATGTCGCTGAAGAAGACGTGCAAAAGACGGAGGAGCAAAATACTGAAGAAGGGACGTGGTTAAGTCCGGAGATGAGTAAACGCTCTTTGCCAGGGCATGAAGGAGCGGCAGGACAATCACACCAAGCAGCCAGCTTGCAACAATCCCAAAGTCGACCTGGTGGTGCTGCGCCAGCACAGGCGCCGAAGAGAAAAGTTGGTCTCGATTTCCCTAGTAGTGATGAGGAAGACGATGATTGAATGACACTACACGATTGTGATGAAAAGGCTGTTTGTCCTGGCCCCCAATACTGTACAAGAAGAGAATAGTCCAACACTTTTGGCCGCTCAAGCTCGCAGAACCTAGCTACATTCTTTTCACTGATGGAGCGTCCATCAACCGATATCCTGACTGGATGACGTCCCTCATATCCAAGCTCCGCCGTACAAATCTCACAAATGAATTGATTACAGCCTGTCGGTCTCCACAGCAAAGCAGTCTCAATTCCAACTCCGTTCAGTCGAGACCAACAATCCTCCATCAGCCTCTAACCAGTTACATGTCGTCGTAACCAGTCCAAATGTCCGGGTGTCGTGAAGTACTCGTACGTCTAGTGACCGGTCGATCCTGGCTGTCCTGCACATTAGTACGCTGTTGCTGAGAGCGGCGGCTTGGACTCCACTCCTCGTCAGACTCCTCTGATGCCTCAGACGGCGTTTCACTACTAATGATGTCTGAAAGGCTAGGAGAGTCGGCAGATTTTGGCTCCTGCATTGGTGTGTCTTCATGGTCTGACCCAACCGTACTCGGAGTCGTAGCGTCCAATCGTCCAGATTTCGCATCTTGGTCGTTATCGTACTGCACTTGTTGAGTCTCAGTTTGAGGTTGCTGGTGGACCCGAACCACAGGTGTACTTTCCAATGGAATGGGAGATGGAGGCGCTGGTTCGAGTGCTGTCTGCTTTGTGGTTGCGAACGGCTTGCCATCCACAACTTCGACCGTTGGCTCCTGCGTCAGACGGATTCTCTTGCTAGGACTCTCCTGTTCAAGTGCGGAAGGGGTAGCATCTCTCTTGCTATTGGGACCAACATTGGGTGCTGGACGAATCGCCGGAACCATCGGCTTGCGTCGAAGCTTATCCTGCTGGAGTATCTGTAGGATGTTGGCTCTTGCATCCATCGGAGGTGTTGGTGCAACAGCATTCGCATAGCGAAGTTTGCTCGGCGTGACTGGGCGTCGTGGTCGGAGGTCTGCGACAACTTGCCGAGTTTGACTTGGAGGTTGAGTCGCCGGCGGAGGTGGTTGGTTTATCACTTGGTAAAGTGCTCGGGTTGCTAGTTGGGCACCCAATCGATGAGATGCTTGCTGGGCTGCCTGATGGTGTGCTTGGCGAAGGTCCCAGGGACCAGGGCTTCTGTTTAGGCTTCCATCTGGCGGGTAACCTCTCAGAACTCCATCTGGCGGGTAGCCTTGGAATCTCTGCAGCAGGGTCGGTTTCTGCGGTGATGCTTGCTGAGGCTCTTGGTGAGCAGGATCGCCGACTGGAGTGCCATCTGGCGGACAGCCTTGAAAGCTCTGCAGCAATGTTGGTCTTTGCAATGGGCCCTGCTGAGGTCTTCCTGTACCGTGATCTAGGTTGCTGCCGCTGCTGCTACTATGCGCAATCAACACCGGGGCGCGTGCTAGGTTGCGATAGAACGTGCGCTGCTGTGTTTCGGGATCTTGAGGGTCGGGATAGACTGGGGCGCTTGGCCGTGTGTGCTGATTGGGAGATTGAATGGACTGTCCTGCTGATAGTGAACTCGTTTGTTCATGACGATTCACTTCCTGGTACAGCCGCAACTGTTTCTCTCCCTCCTCTTTGATCCACTGAGCATATGCATAGTTCTGACGTTCAGTTTCGTAGCTCCGGTGCATGGTCGTGTCCGATTCTGGGATATGTATGGCTCGGCCGCAATAGGTCATGATCTGTTCAGGCTTCTTTCGTGATGGTGTGGAGAGCAATTCGGCCAAAGCATGATCCTCAAGGCTTTGTACTGCTGAGAACAGGGTAACACCCTGCTTCGGTCCGGACTGTTCTATGATGTCGTCGGCCATGGGATCCTAAGTTGTGGCGTCAGCGAAGACAGTTGAACAGTGATGCAGATCTGAAAATTGAGTTGGCTGAAGAATTGGAACGACATTTTGAATTGCGGCGGCCAGTGAAGTGAAGTAAATTTGACTTTGTCTCGAGCACTTGTTGTGGTATCTGCATGCATAAGGTGAGGTAGAATCACGACGCGATCATCGTGTTGGACCTGGTGGGCACCTGCTTGTCAATTTAGTGAAGACTGGAACCTGCGGCAAGGCTGCGGAGAAAAGGAGAGAGCTGCAGGCCAATTCCTGACGAAACTTTCGGATCCCAGATAGTCTGAATTCGCACTGTATCTCAAGACACATTAAGTCCTCTCAAATGCTGAATATCGCTACCAGGGGCATTGCCCGCTGAACAAGAAACCGTCATCAAGAAACGAGAGTCATAGATGGCTATATACATTCACGAATTGAAAAGCTGTGTGGGGGTTCAAACTCCCAGGTTCTCACGAACCTCGTTTGCCCCAACCGCTGAAGAATCCACCAGTGCTTGCTGATGCGATGTGTGTCGGTTTCGGCGCCTCTTTGGTGCCTGGACTCGACGCAGAAGCATTGGAAGCTGTAGGTGAGTCGCCCGCACTTGCACGTGCTGATGGCGACGATGTCGATCCCGTCAAAATCTTCCGAAGGGCATCCAGCTTCCCCTTTGTCTCCTCCAATTCTTGTCTTGCAACGGCCTCAGCCGTCTTTGCATTGACCAGCTCGAGCAGAAGCGCGTCATTAGCGACCGGCTCGTGGTTGTCGGTCGCAAGAAGAGCTTGGCTGTTGAGGCTGCTAGATCGCTTTGAATATGGCCCAGCACTTGACGAGCGAGCCTGCTCTGACTTCCCGAGCTTCAGCTCTCGAAGTCCGGACCCAGTCCTCTGGGGAGGAGGCATCTTAACCTCCGGGAATTCAGTGACTGGAGTGTAAAGGTCTGCAGGTGATTCTGGGACCGAATTGTTCCGAGTCCGGAGGTCCGAAACTGTTCGCTCCAGCCGCTGTTTCTCCCGATGCGCATCCTGTATCCGGGCTCGAGCGTCGCGCAAGTGTTCCTTGAGCGCGTTGTGTTCAGCTTCACGCTCATCAAGACGTCTCGTGAGTTCACGGCATTTGGTGACTTCAGCCTCGTGCCGCTCCTTCCATTCCGACACATCATCGCGGAGTTGATGCTTGGACTGAGCAATAGAAACCCGCTTAGAGCTCTTTTGACAGAATTGCTGATCAGCCTGCTCCAGAATCGCGTCGACCTCGGCATCTTCCTCGGCAGTTTCATCGCCGGCCAGTTCTCTGATCTCAGCTGTTTGTATACGCAAATGCTCGAGCAAAGTCCGGCTGATCTGGCGATCTTCTTCGCGCTCCTCCCGCTCTCTTTGGAGCTCAAGAGCAAGCTCGGAATGTTGACGTTGCACCTTTGACAATTCGGTGAGTAGCCCCTCAATCTGGTGGTGCAGGTCCCGGTCATTTGTATTCGATGTAGACGTGGACGTGATATCTACCATTATCACACTAGACTTCGAACTTGTGTCGTCGGAGACGTCAGTTGGCGCTGTACTAGCCTCGGAGGCAGATGTCTCCACCGAATTGACGGTTGATGTGAGACTCTGGCCGGATGACGATTTTCGCATAGAGCTCCCAGGAATTAACAGACTCAAGTTGGCGGATCGAGAAGGGGCATGTGTTGCGCCAGCCCAGAATCTTCCGAGAAAAGAGGCTGCGGAACTTGCAAGTGACGGAGCCGCCATCAAGTTCTGTGAGAGTTTGAAGTCGGTTTCCAACGCCTGAAGAGATTCCTGGCTCACTAATCCAGTGAAAGACACAAAGTCGATAACGAGGTCGTCCGCATGTTGAGCGTAAGTATCCCATAGGCTCCTTGAAAGGAGGAATTGCATGACGTCCTCGAACTCAATAAATGCCATGAGCTTCTTCTGGTTGCGCTGCATCAAAGACAGAGCGACACGCATCAAGGTCTCCGTTGCTCCCTCGGACAAAATGACGTCGTAGATGCGCAGCAACATAGGCAGAGGACATGTGACTGCGAAAAAGGATAGAAACCACTGGGAGACGTAAAGTGGCTCAATTTTGAGTGCTTCGAGATGAGCAGCCAGTTCGGGTAGATGGCGTGTCAGAAGCTGTTGAAACTGGTAGATGCGTAGATGTAGTCCTGAGAGATCGGGTAGATAGCACGATCGCAGGTCGTAATGCTCCATCAGTCTGTGTCTTGGTCAGCTTCACAAGGGAACCAGAGTGGTTCCGCAGGACATACCTCACTAGGACGCAGAATGCTTCGGACTCGCTCATGTGCATGAGAAGTGGTCCTACAACAAAGCCAAGTCCTTGACAGTATCCAATCTGTTCATCGTAAAGGCTGAAGGCTTTCAACACTTTCCCAAGCATTCGTTGTCCTTCACCGTCCTTTTCTCGGAACATGTCAACATTGGGAAAGCTTCTCCCTACGTCTTTTCCAATCAAAGCATCGTATGGGCTTGGTTCGGTGGAAAGCCTTTGATACTCGGAATGCAGCACAGCATCGTGTGCACGAGCAATGCTGGGCCACACAACACCTCTCAGTGGTGGCGGAACGCCTGCTCGGATCTTATTCGAGGTGAGTGTAGGAAGGCGCTGAGCCGTCTGCGTGTAATCTTGTACCAACGCTGCCCAGAACTCCAATTCGGTCATTGGAGGAGCCGGCAACATAGAGTATCGTAGAGTTTGGCGCTGGGGTGCATCGACCATTCGTTTCAATTGTTGTACAGAAGGAGGACGTGTGTTCTTGCGAGGACGGGCAGAGGTCGCAATGCCAGCTTTCGGATCGACTGCTAGGGCTGCATTCTCCTTCTCTAGTCGGGCCAACAGAAGAGCGTTGGACTATCATTGTCAGCTGCTGCCGAACGCCCAATAGCATAGAAACTCACCTCGTCAGTGGCATCATCTCGGGCTTCTTGTTCTTCCGTCTTTTCAAGGCCTTCCCAATCCACTGTATTCATAGAGATAGAGCTGGCGGACGTTCGGGAAGATGATACGCTAGATCGTGGAGACGAAGAAGTGCTCTGACGCACTGAGGTGCGGGAGGAAGCATCGAGTTCCTCAGTCTCTGGCTGTAGTTGAACGTCGGACAGTCGAACACTGATCATTGAGCTTCTTGGAAGTGGGATGTTCTCAGGTTCGATGGCGGTGTTTGAATCGAATAATGTTTCCTGGTCTTCTTCAGGATATGAATGCTCCACGACTTGCTGCTCCATGGTCGACTTCGGCCGTGCCTTTATGGAAGGGCCACTAGACGAGGCGGGGAAGGGTTTGGAGGCAGGTCCGACGTAGGGCAAAGGAGTGAGCCCTCGGCGGAGGTTGGATTTGCAACGATGATGAAAGGAAGGACTGCTCGACAGGTACGCCAGCGACCGTGCGAGTGGACAGTGTGCAAAGCCAACTCAAGGAGTGTGAGTAGGCAGTGGGAGGTAAGGAATGAACGTCGTCGCAGATGATCAAAGCAACGGATGGCAGAGGAAGCACAGTTCGCAAGGTGGAATGGAAGGTGGGCCGCGCTTCAGGGGGTGTTGTTGAAACTCGTCATTTGGGAACTAGCCCGTCAAACTCGCCCATCCAATACTGATTGACTATGCCACCCAGCAATTTCGGTTCATTACAGACATGATCTAAACATGTCTACGATCGTCATTGAGGGTCTTCTTCAGGTCTTGCTAGAAAGTCTAGATTTATGCTGTGTATAGAACAGTTAAGACTGGACTCTGCAACTGCAAATACCAGTGAAACGCGTGTCGCGATTGAGACTGAATGTGGGGATTGTCAAGCAGGAAATCAATGAGCCACCGTCTGCAGCAAACACGCCTACGTCGTATGGTGCACCAATGGAAGTAGAGGTCTGTCGGCGATGTCTTGATAGAGATATTGATAGGTATAACTTAATAAAGATACAGCAATTCAGACTTCTGTCATGACAGAGTTGTGCCGTTGTAAGGCGACCCAGATTCAAATAGTTCAGGGGTACCAAGAGAAGCCTCGGTTCACCCGTTCCTCGAACGATCAACCATATACCAATCATACGGAGGCATTACCAATGTCGTTGCATGTCCAGAAGCACTCTGCACTATCACGTCTAGGATGTGCCTATCGTGCTTGTTAATTACCATCCTCCAGGTTGTCGTGTAACATCTCATAAACCAGGTAGAGGCTACTTTGATGAGATGAAAGTGGCCGAATGAGGCTAGTCCCATACTTACCATAATAGGCTTAGCTTGAAATGTCGCGTTTCGAGTTCGCGTTTTTCCGCTGCTCCGGCTGACCTTCCTCCTTCAGGATTTACGACATTGTTGTTTGTTGTTCTTCGCGGTGCAATTGTTTACCATCCTACAACCGATCTTGACCATTGCGCATGATCATTGAGTAGCAACCTCTACGGCAAACGTACACCTTGGCCCTTCGCCTCATGCGCGAAGTGGTCCTCCTTTTCGAAAGCCCTGTTCCTGGGCGCTCCTGAAACCGAAGTTCCAACCCTCCTCCATAGATCAGGATGGACAGTTCCATTTTCGATGTGGACGGTGGCAGCTCGGACTTTGAGCCAGTTACTGTGCGGTTTCTCTGAACGGCGCTTGTTGCATATACTGACCATGGCGTGCAGGCAGCGAAGCCCAAGGCTGTTACGAAACCCGCCGCTCCCAAAGCCGCCGTGAAAAAGACTACCGCGCCGAAAGCGAAACCAGGCCCGAAACCAAAGACCACAGTACCGAAGAAGCGCTCTAAGAAAGACGCAGAGGATGAAGACCCGGAGGATGACGATGTCAACGTCTTTCAGGACGAGTCCTTACTAGAAGACACTCCGCCGCAGGCAAAGAAAGTCAAACCCAACCCGCTTAAAGGTAGTCACAAAAAGCCTTTGGGAGATCTTGTCAATGAGGCTATAGGAGGAGATGGCGCGAACGACTCCCCACAACCACAAAAGAAGAAGCGCGTCTCAGAACAATACCAGAAGCTTACGCAATTGGAACATATTATCAAGAGACCTGACACTTACATTGGTTCGGTGGAACGTACCGAGAAGCAGATGTGGGTATACAACACTGTTCAAGATAGCATGGAGTTCAGAGAAGTTTCCTATGTTCCCGGAATATTCAAAATCTTTGACGAGATCCTGGTCAATGCCGCCGACAACAAACATAACGATAAGAACATGGACGAGCTTCGAGTCACAATAGATCGGGAGAAAGGTGAAGTCAGTGTCTGGAATAACGGACGAGGTATCCCCATCGAGATCCATTCCAAAGAAAAGATCTACATTCCCGAAATGATCTTTGGACACTTGCTTACTGGTTCGAACTACGACGACAATGAACAGAAAGTCACGGGTGGCAGAAACGGCTATGGCGCCAAGCTGTGCAACATCTTCAGCACAGAATTCTCGGTCGAGACGGCGGATTCCGGGCAGAAGAAGAAGTACAAGCAGACCTGGACCAACAATATGTCTCAGATGGGCAAAGCCAAGATCACAGACTCCAAGGGCGAGGACTTTACCAAGGTCACATTCAAGCCGGACTTTGCAAAGTTTGGTATGGAGGCCATGGATGACGATCTCGAAGCACTCTTCAAACGTCGGGTTTATGACCTTGCTGGAACCTGTAAAGGCGTTGCAGTCAAGTTGAATGGCTCGCGGCTACCAGTCCGAAACTTCAAGAAGTACATTGAAATGTACACAAAAGCAATCAAGAAGGAACGTGGCGAGGAAGCGGCCAATGACAACACTGAGATCATCACAGAATCGCCCGATCCCCGGTGGGAGGTAGGGTTCACAGTGTCTGATGGCTCTTTCCAGCAAGTCTCATTCGTGAACTCCGTCGCCTCAACATCCGGTGGCACCCACGTCAACTACGTGGCAGACCAAATGGTTACCCGACTGATGGAAATCGTCAAGAAGAAGAACAAGGGTGGTGCGACTCTGAAACCCAACCAGATCCGCAATCACATCTTCATCTTCGTCAATGCCTTGATCGTCAACCCAGCCTTTACGTCGCAAACCAAGGAGCAGCTCACGACCAAGCCTAGTCAGTTTGGCAGCAAATTTCAGGTTTCAGAGGAATTCATGAAGAAGATTGCAAAAACCGAAGTCATAAACAACATTCTCCACTTTGCCCAGCAAAAGGCTGATCAGATTTTGAAGAAGTCGGACGGCAACAAGCGCAGCCGTATCAACAATCCAAAGTTGACCGACGCCAACAAGGCTGGCACCAGAGATGGGCACCAGTGCACTTTAATCCTCACAGAAGGTGATTCAGCCAAAGGTCTCGCAATGGCAGGTCGATCTGTCGTTGGTCCAGATCTCTTTGGAGTGTTTCCTCTGCGAGGTAAACTCCTGAACGTTCGAGATGCCTCAATTGATCAGATCTCCAAAAATGCTGAGATTCAAAACATCAAGAACTTTCTGGGTCTGCAGCATAAGAAGGTTTATACTGACACTCACGGCCTCCGTTATGGTCACTTGATGATCATGACCGATCAGGATCATGATGGCAGTCACATCAAGGGCTTGTTGATAAATTTCTTGCAAGTGCAATTCCCCAGCTTGCTCAAGCTTCCCAACTTCCTGGTCGAGTTTATTACCCCCATCGTCAAAGTGTACAAGGGTGACCCCAAGAATCCTTCTCAGGCCCGCGCTTTCTACACCATGCCAGAGTACGAGACATGGAAAGAGGCACATAAGCACGAACGAGGCTGGGAGCACAAGTACTACAAGGGATTGGGAACGAGCACGACTGAGGATGCTCAGCAGTATTTCAATGATCTTGACAGACATCACAAAGAGTTTGATACCATGAAGGATGAAGAGGCTTCCCTGATTGAACTTGCCTTCTCCAAGAAGAAAGCGGACGAGCGAAAGGAATGGCTCCGTCAATTCAGACCGGGAACTTACCTTGACCACAACATCGAGAAGATCACCTACACAGATTTCGTCAACAAGGAGCTGATCCTTTTCAGCATGGCAGACAATATTCGGTCTATCCCTTCTGTTGTCGATGGCCTAAAGCCTGGTCAGCGTAAAGTCATGTACGCATGCTTCAAACGAAATCTAAAAAAGGACATGAAAGTGGCAGAGCTTGCGGGTCTGGTCAGTGGCTTGACAGCCTATCACCACGGTGAAGTGTCCCTTCAGCAGACGATTGTCGGCCTGGCTCAGACTTTCGTGGGATCAAACAACCTCAACCTCCTAGAACCTTCAGGCCAGTTCGGTACGCGAAACCAAGGAGGAAGTGACAGTGCTAGCGCTCGTTATATCTTTACGCGGCTGTCTCCTTTCGCCAGAAAGCTCTTCCACCAAGCTGATGAGCCGCTGTTGACTTATAATACCGACGACGATCGTTTGATTGAGCCTGAGGTCTATGTTCCCGTGGTGCCGCTGGTCCTCGTAAATGGTGCCGATGGTATTGGGACGGGCTGGAGTTCGTCCATTCCAAACTACAATCCTGAGGACATCGTCGACAACCTCAGACGACGAATGGCGGGCGAGGAATGGAAGCCGATGCAGCCATGGTTTCGTGGATTCAAAGGTGAAGTCAAGGAGACCGCTCCGGATCGTTTCCAGTTCAGCGGTATCATCCATCAAAGTGGCCCTACTGAGGTTGAAATCACGGAACTGCCAATCAGAGTCTGGACCCAGGACTTCAAGGACAAACTTGAGGAGATCATCAAGGCTGAGAAGGTTCCGTCTTTCATCAAGGACTACAGAGATTACAACACTCACGACCAGGTGCACTTCATCATTCAGATGGACGAAAAGCATATGCAGACAGCGGTCGACGAAGGTCTAGTTGAAAAGTTTAAGCTAAACAGATCTGTGGCGACTTCAAACCTTGTTGCCTTCGATCCTGAAGGTCGCATAACGAAGTATGCCAATGTCGAGGCCATCATGGACGAGTTCTACAGCTTTCGTCTCCAGCTGTATGCTAAGCGCAAAGAATGGCTGCTGCAAGATATGCAAAAGGATCTTAGACGTCTCACAAATCAGGCCCGGTTCATCCAGATGATCATCGACAACAAACTCAACATCTCCAAAAAGAAGAAGAACGTCCTCATTGCAGAGCTCCAGAAACTCGGCTTTGATCCATTTCCAAAGACCAAAGATGCCACCAAGGAAAACGAGATCCTTCAGGCAGGGGACGATGAAGAAGCTGAAGACGACTCTACCGATGCGAGCTCCTATGACTACCTCCTAGGGATGGCTTTGTGGTCATTGACCCAAGAACGTGTCGAGAAACTGCTGAAGCAGATAGGTAACAAGGAAGAAGAGATCGACGTACTGATGAAGAAGTCGAAGGAGGATCTCTGGCAACACGATCTTGACGAGTTTATCGCTGAATGGAAATTGCAGCTGGAAGAAGAGCACAATCGGAAGCGCAATGCCCGAAAAGGACGGCGCGTTTCCAAGAAATTCGCAACAGCTGCCAACTCCAAGAAGACCATCAAGAAGCGCAAAGGACTGGGTGATGCTTCTGACGATGAGTCTGACTTTGAGCAATCTGCCCCCAAGCCAAAGAAGAGTGCGCCAGCAGCAAAGGCAGCACCGAAGCAGAAGTCCATTGCAGCGTATGTTGCCCCGAAGCCAAAGACCAATGTGTTAAAGAACGCAATGGAGCAACGCAAGCTGTATACTGATGGTTCCAGTGACCCCGTTGAAGAGCCAGAAACTCACGAGGCTCGTGCCAATGGTGCTATTATGAGTGTCAAGGAGGATCCTGAGATGAAAGAGGCTGCTCCGAAGCCTGCGAATCGTCAAGCCCGAGCTGTCACAAAGAAGCCTACCAACTATGCTCTAGTTAGTGACTCGGAGAGCGACAATGGAGATGGCTTGCTCGCCGACTTGGGTGACATGGTCAAAGGACTCCCAAGCAAATCAACTACGGACAGTGGGAGCGAACCAAGAACCCTCTTCTCGGCTTCGGCGTCTCGTCCTAGCAGCAGTCATGGTTACAAACTTCCGACGAAGCCAGCTCCAAGGGACGATGGATCAGCAGACGAGACGGACTATAAGATGCTAGCGCCGCAGTCATCTCCCAGACGTTCGATCATGGTCACCACCAAGGAAGACACCAATGGGGTCGAAGAACTTGATGATGACGTTGCCTCTGTGAAGCCTGTAAGCAAGACTGCACCAAAGAAGGAGAAAGATATCATGGACCTAGGCAGCGACAGCGATGTGGTTTTGCCCAAACCAAGCAGGAAAGCTCCGGTCAAGAAGGCGCCCAAGGACAGCCAGCCCCAAGCCAAGAAGCCAGCAGCGAAGAAAGCAGCAGCGGCTCCCAAGAAAGTCGAACAGTCTCCCGTGGCAAAGGCATATGCGAAACGCTTGGCCAAGAAGAAGGTCATAGATTCCGACGATGAAGTGGACGCACTTGCGGATGACATCTTGAAATCCCCTTCAGCGTCCGATTCAGATGCGATCGTGGCTCAGAAGCCGGCGCCTAGAGCTGCAAGACGTACTGTGGCTACGAAGAAGGCGGCACAGTACACCTTTGACGACGATGAGGAGGACGGTGGTAGACTTGAGCATGACGAATCATCGGCGGCGTTTTCGGAGAGCGAGTAAGGATTGGATTCCATGGAACAGTGCAGCCTGATCAGGAAAATATCTGTGGCACGGCTCCGACGCCTTGTGAATTGGTGCATAGGCAGGCAAATAGGTTTGCACGTATTCTCGTTGAATCTTGCTGCCCATGGTGTGGAGAGGCCACACGAAAAGCTGCGTTCATGATATGTACGAGGTATTGATGTCACCGATCAATCGTGATTAGTATGCCCTTGGAGAAATAGCTGATTTGGGACGCTATTCGGGTACTTTCATCAATTGTACAACCAGTCTTCGAAGAAGATTAGTATCTTGGTCAACCCTTCATGAGGCACACCGTCTGCATTACTTGGACCGTGTATATATCCGACTTGCACAGTCTGATAAGAAATAGTTCTTTGTCTGTTCACGATGGAGCGCAAGGCTGACCAATGAGCGTTAGGCTCCTGTGATACTCACCACGGCACACTCCCGTCTACCGCGGGTCGACGGGCAAGAATCAGTCGGATACAGCAAAATGGCGAGTCAAATATCCATGGTGTTTCAAATCGATTGGCTTGGTAGAGATAGAGAAGAATACCGGCCGACCGTCCCGCACCATGGAACCCGCTTGCAGTAAGCAAAGAGTCCTACTATCCTCAGCTTGACGCCCAAGAGTTTATGATGTTTCACTCACAGAAAAACCTGTCTCTTCGAGGCGCACATCGGAGCAGCTGGCAATATCTCATATGGAACAAGGTTTCAATGTCCTGATGAACAGAGTCTACTTGCATGATAATTCTGAATCTGGCCGTCATGAAGATGCTCCAGGCTGCGCCATGCCGGCTGTTGAGAAAGAACCCCTTCACCGCCCATTTGAGAGTCAGTCGAAAGTCATATCGCATGCTCTCCTATTCGCCGAAATTGCATGTTCAAGATGAGGATCTCTTCGCCTCCCATTACGGCCAGACTGGATGCCTGCCTTAGCATCAATCGTCGTCTTAAGCGGTCAAAGAAGAGACTACGCTCCTTTGCTTGCTGTCTTTGAGACTGGCCACCGGAGTGGAGCTGTGAGTGCTGTCCCATAGACCATCCTGCAGTTTGTGAATGCCCAAGCTTTGTCTCAACACAAGGACAGATTGCTGTTTGTTGAACAGATCAAGCGCGAGACTTGGTTTAGGCGAATACTTGAGGTCTGCCACTGCCGAACTTAAGATCTCTCCGGTCACCACGAAGATCAAGTGCAAATCATGGCCGAAATCCGATCTCTACTGAACCCAGTGATGGATGATTGCAATCATGACAGCAATGCTGATAGCAACGACGATGTTGTTACTCAAAGCAGCCATACCTCAACCGACACTGCTAGACGGGAACGGGAGCACGGCCACGACAAGCCCATGCGAAAGAAGCAGAAGGTCTGCAAGGATGCTGCACTCTTCAAGGCCGACACTATTCGAGGGGACTGTCGATACCCACCACATGAGGAACAGGACGAAATGCTTGCTGCAAAACATCAGATGTACGAAGTCTATCCCGTGGGCCAGATTACAGCCTACCCCCGACACATACCGTACAACAGTGGGAAGAAGTTGTTCTGGGAGAAGACGGGCAGGGAAAGCTTCGAAGGTGACGAAGCGAAAAATCGTGGTCTTGCCACTGCTAATACTGAATAGTGTTTCAATATCAATTCAAAATCCCCGGTGATTCAACCACGTACACCATGATATGGGACTACAACGTTGGACTGGTTCGAACCACGCCGCTGTTCAAGTGCGGAAACTACTCAAAGGTACAAGTCGTCCTACGAAATCACAGGAGGCATGGCTGACCGACAGTAGACGACTCCGGCCAAGATGCTGGCTCGAAATATTGGATTGAAAGAACTTTGTCACAGCATCACTGGGGGAGCTCTTGTGGCACAAGGTATGATGATTCAGTTGCACTCATGTACTCATGCTAACCGTCTGCCAGGTTATTGGATCCCATATGAAGCAGCAAAAGCTATAGCCGCAACCTTCTGCTGGCACATTCGCTATGCGTTGACGCCTGTCTTTGGCATTGACTTTCCAGGCATCTGCCTTCCTCCTGGCCACAAACATTTTGGTTCCATGCAGATCGATCCTGAAATTACTAAGAGATGTGCTTTGCAAGCTCAACACTATCGGGAGATGGAAGGACAGTTAACACCAGCACCGTCAACAGCACCAGGAACACCACCAACCCCATCTAAGGGAAAGGCTGCCTTAACGTACAAGAGAATCATGCCGAAGCCTCCCAATGCAACCGACTCTGCCAGTGAATCCTCGGCAGACGTAGGCTATGAGGACAAATACCAGCTTTCGTCTCCCTCACCTTCAATTACTTTCAGCAGTCCTTGGTCCGCAGTCAACTCTCCTCGCTCACCATCGCCTAAAGTGGCATTCAGGAACCCGTGGTCCCCAGCAACCACCGCTCGCTCAGACTCTCCTCAGTCTAATTCACGCAAGAGAGGCCGGCTGGCAGAGCCTCCAAGATCTCACACAGAGCTTGACCTCCTACCTCCGCCACGAAAGCCGTTGTACCCACTGGTCGATATCATGCCAGCTCAGACTCAGAACTCACTTCCTACTCCTCTCCAGACACCGTGTACCCCCGAGATATCTCCAAAATCAGGTTCGGGGTTTCTCCGCGATAGCGGCAACTACAATGCTTGCTCGGGTGATGACATGGCACAGCGAGGTGAAAAGAGCAAGGGCGATGGTTCGGATGGTTTCACTGCCACACAAGCTGCGTATACTCTGATGCAATTGGGAATGCGGAAAGATGAATTTCAGCGACAGCCGAAGTCACGCAAACGTCGTGCGTCAGCCTGAGAAATCGAAAAGATGACAAGGTGGGCTTGCGAGATGGGGTGTTTTTGATGGGAAACAGCCATCTGAGGGCTTCATAGAATCTCCCTAAGTTGTGACGATTGATATCACACTCTTGTTGCTTCTCAATGCGACCGTCGTTTTCGAGTAAAATTGCACCTTCCTCGTAACCTACCTCCTGGTGTGCTGGATAGGCTTGGCTGCTCTTCTTCGCCAGGCACTCACCTCATTCCTTCCCCCTTTACTTTTCTCTCTTTCTTTCATTTTTCATCCGACCTTCATTCTTGTTTCCTTTCATCTTCCAGCTTGGTCACTTGCTTGATGTGGCTTTTGTATCTTTCCTCCGGCCAAACATTAAGCTCTCACCTCACGTTTACCGATATTGTTGAGTATTGACGTTCATTGCAATCATCATGCCTGCAGCGGTCAAACAACTATCCACTTGTCGTTACTGGGCTCTCGGATCACGTTGTCCCAATATTGACGCCTTCGGCACGAATATCTGTCAGTATGCACACTGGGACACAGGTAAACTGGCGGGCCATCTTGAACAACGTGGTACTTGCATCCCTTGGAAGTACTACGGCTATTGTGGTCGGGGTGCCGGCTGCTGGTACGAGCATAGACGCACAGGAGTGGATGGATTGTACCAAGGGAGTATGTCCTCACCTAACCGATACTCACCTTGTACTTAACTCGACGCTGACCGTCTCAAGCCATCGAACTCGATGGCTTCGGATTGCAGGTTGCGGATGCAGCCAACAAAGCGGGCTTCAACACCTTCAATCATGAAGCATTGTATCGTCTCATTTGGGCTGTGAAAAGGGTTGCTTTGCACTCAGGTGTTAACCGGTTCGGTCACCGTCCTCCCCCTCGTCACCCGATTTATCCTGACAGGTATCGACCAAGTGGCATCGGAGACAATACCAACAAAAAGAGAAAGAAAAAGGCTATAGCCATAAAGCCGCCTCCAAATCATACGGTCGAGCTCAAGTTCCATCCGGTCGAGCCTTTGATGCGAAAGCGTCCACATGATACCATTGCGGAAGAGAACCTGATCGACCTGACCACATCCTCTGACGATGGAAATACGACTGACATCAAAAGCTCGCCGAACACCACAGCAAAAAGACAAAAGACTTCGGATAACACCACCCTCAAGGCATTTCCGAATGCCGCGCAAGCTACCATCCATGCGCTTTCGAAGCGTGTCAACAGCGTTAAGCCGCCACAAAAGGCTGTTCCGAGAACCGTACGTCCACCGCCCGCTACTGTGGAAGACGAGATTGTGAAGCAGTTATCGCTCGTGAAGACCAAGCTGGACGATGCTAGAAAGAGCATGAATACCTGCCAAGCAACCATGAAATCACTGTTCGATGTGCATTATGAAAAATTTGACGATGACCAGATCATGGTCGGTTTTCAGAAGTTGAGCAACCTTATGAACAAGGTCTTTGACGCCAGCAAGGATGGCGCAGCTGAGGTCGAGAAAGTCATCGAGTGTTTCAGAGAAAAGAAGGCCGGTATATTGTGAAGGAGGAGAATATTCGCATTATGATGCCGTTAGAGGTTATTGTTGCCGAGGTGCTTACACATGTATTCGATCACCCCCCTGTTAGTCAGCAGCACAGCTGCAATTACTGTACATGGCAGGCACCTGTAACTGCATATATCACACGCAGTGCTACAAATAAGATATCAGCTTCGAAGTCAAAATTGCTATGTTTTCAAAGGGAGCCAACATCTCAGATGGTTGGACTGAGGTGCTGCAGGAACCCCGAGGTTGAAGGGAAAGATTGAGAGACGGAAATACAACCGACAACATCATCCGAGGTGACACCAACAACGTGTCACTTCATTTCAACTTTTGGGAGCTTTCCTTACCACGACAGTAAACGTTCGGGTCCATCGTCTTTCACATCTTGTACGGATCACGCGTAACGTTGCTTGTGCACACTATATGTGTAGCAGCCATGCAATACTCCCCTCGGACTTTGCTCCCTCCTGAGTCTCTGGGTGATTCGAAAATTTCCATGGTCACTGCTTCCGAGTTCAACGAGGCTGCAGGAACCCATATTTCGCCAAATTTGAAGCCTATGATTGCTCGAACCGGTCCCGATGGCTAAACGTAGCTTCTCATATGTGAGTAATGCATCAAGTCCGGTACTCATCATGGGCCGCTCCCTTGCCGTCTGCTGGAAATCAGACGATGGGCTGGGCGGTCGCCGTGCCATTATATCAAACGGTACATGCATTCTGCCGCACACAGTGAACATGGACCTGTGGTCGTTTTACCACAGCACATTCACTCATCATGGTCCTTTCGTTGTGCCTGCGAATTTCTTCACTCCCACTGCTAGCCACTCACGTCGGTCCATGCTACTCTCCCTATCCCTCGTCGGCATGAGTGGACGTGAACAACATCACTATCTCTTTTTAGACAACAGCTGAAGTCGAACATCGTAAAATCGCGGTTAGTTTACGAGGTTTCTCATTACCCTCAATAATGGGTGTCACTGATTTCCTTGCAGCGCGGTTATGGCCTCACAGCAACAAAACCAGGACAGTTCCCTCGCAATATCACCTGCGCTCATCGTTGGCATTGTCATTGCCGTATCTTTTGCAACCACGATCATCGTGGCTAGTGTTTATGGTTACTGCCGTAAGAGACGAGAGACTTCTGCCGACGACGAAATTGGCGAAAACGAGGCACCGATCTTCAATCCGAATCGGGTACGGACAGCAGGACAGACTGCGCGCTTGAAAGAGGTCAGATGGATCAACAATATGTACGCGTGGGAGGAAGGAAGACATGCAAAGTTGGAGACCGGAGAGCTACGAAGGGCGACCATGCTTCTTGGAAAGCAACCTGGTCAAAGTCGTGGTTGGGACGAGTGGAGCAGCATCGAGGAGCAGACTTCTACCCGTCATGTGAGTTCTTGCCACCGAACTTGACCATCGACGCTGACACGGCCCAAATAGATCCTTGGAAGAAGCGCTGGTGGCTGTGCGGGAGCGCACCTAATCTACAACATCGACGACCCTTACGCATCTTCTTCACGACATCGATTGAGTCATCAGGCCCTTCCACGATATTCATCCGTATTGCTTCCTCAGCCAATTCAGCGCAACTCGATTCGCAACAGCCGCCTACGACACAAATATCAAGAGCAGGGCGATCTGGAGCCACGAAAGCAAATCACCAACACAAATTTCGAATCAATAGCGTTGGGACCTAGTCAAGGACGAGATAGAAACACCCAGAGTCTGACCCCAGACATCCAAGTTTTCACTCCAAATGAACCGTATCCGCAGCCTCCTGTTCTACCACCTTCGCCTGGTTCCATAGTTTATAGTGACCATGAGGGCACGAATGAGCATGGACTCGCGGACACTACAACTCTCCAAGCCACAGATTCGAAATTGTCCCAGGATGAGGTCAAGAGCATGATACAAGAGTGGGAGAAGGTGAATGGGCGATTCGCAAGGACTGCTTGAACCAGAGTACAGAACTTTTTGTAAGGATAATCTTACGTTCGACAGCGCCGCCGCACAACCTTTTCACGCGACAAAGTCCAACTGGAGGTCATGTCCATTAGTTGCAGCCCTGAATGGTACCGGGACTCTGGCTACCATGTGGAAACTTTTTTGCTGTTTGAGGTATGGAGCTAGGAAGCTCCTGGATCGTTGCTTGGTAGGCTATCCAGCTTCAGTTCTGAACAAACCCAATCCTGTCCCATCGCGGGACGTCTTGGGAGGAAAAATCACATTGCTGCCCGAACCAAACGATGGCCGATGAAAAATCCTACAAGTATCTGGTCTTTTCCCTTCTTCTTTTTTCTCTGTTCGTTCTTCTTTCGACCTCTCGTTCAGCTGACTGTGTTGTTCGTCCAAGAAGGTCAACTTCTCGATTTACCTCATCTTACTTCTTCAAAACCACAACAGCATAGACAACATGGGCAAATACGCCATTGTCTTCCTCTCCCTGGTCGGCCTGGCGACTCTGGGTGCCGCTGCCCCCAGACATCTCAGTGGCCCAGGTGGCTTCGCGCCCACGCCGACGGGACCACCACGCGAGTCGCGATATCACACTACCAGCGAAGCTGAGCCAACCTCCGGCGAGTCGCATGCTCGCACCACCAGCAGAGCTGAGTCTCTCATCAGCGTGACGTACATCGACCCTGACGGCACCGGAACCAGCGACGGATACGGTCCCATGCCCACCGAGGTCAACGGCACATTTTCTGCTCGGGATGTGCCGGAGGTCACTTACTACCCGACCAATGTGACCGGGATGCCTACATGGACATCGGAATCTTGCACCAAGACCGTGACTGTGGACTGGGATTGTGCGGATTTTCGCATTTGTGATGATTATGATTATGATCCCAGAGTCTGCACCGAGCAGCCGCGGAGGACGTGGGTGGTAAGCGCGACTCCCACCACCACCGCCACCAGCAGCGGCGATGATGACCGTGGTGGCGGTCACGGAAGTAAGACTGAGTTCCCCTCACCGACTATGATCACGGACTACAGCTCTCCTCCACCGTTCTTGAGCAAGACTATTCTTGCGAGCCTTGACGCCGTCTCTTCCACCACGACCGGCGAGGCAGAAATCTCCCCGTTTCCCTGCGCTGGAAATTCAAGCTGTGTATGAGTGAGTTTTTTATCCAGATGTCGATGTCCGAACGGTACTGATGATTCTGAGCAGGCTGAACGCACCTCATGACGGCCGAAAAAGGCGGTAGACAAGGAAGTGTTCGGTGAGGACTTGGCCGAAAACGCGCGGAACCTGACGGGTTGGTGATATGGTGGGACTTGGGGCTCTGGGAACCGTATGGCTGTGCCACACACTATGTAGTTTGGCGGGGTACGGATGCGACACGATGGCAATGTACTATCCTGGAAATGCAACCCATGCACCTGGTTTCTAGAGGTGACGGACATTGCAAATACGGCTGTGGGTTTGCTTGGGCTAGCATTCCGATACGTCTACAGTGATAGGTAAACAGCATGGATAGGACAAGACTGGAGTTTTGTGATTTGAGTTTGCTGAGCATTCCTCATGTGATGTTCCTGGTAGATGTCTCTTTTGAATGACCGCTTGGTACTGTGATACATTATTTGGTGTTCTATGTTTGCTATCGTTGCAGTTTTGTGTACAGAGTGGACAGTTCAAGACCTAGTAGCCTTCCATCGTCCCCATTTCCAGGCGCCTGGGAAGTGCTGACGGTGCTATGTGGCTATGTTTGTCCGACTTAGAACAATTGCCCTCTGATAGCTTTCTCGACCAGCACTCCCACCGCACCACAGCTGATAGCGATCCAGGTCCATCTGTTGGTGATCTCCTTGGGTTTGGGCCAGAAGCTGTTTTCTGCTTCCCTGTAGTCTACGAATTCTCGCGCCTTGATCGCAGCAGCTGTGTCGCCGCGCTGAGCATCATGATCGTATCGGTCCTTTTGGGATTGCTCTGTTTCCTTGTCGCCTCCGACGTAGCGGAGGAAAGCGTAGTTGGCAAGAGGGCCCAAGAACGTCAAAATCGGATCAATCTGGTCCGTTGCGGAGGATGATAGCAACAAAAACGGGAATGCAAGGTGGACTAGAAAGTCACCCAGGTAGCTGCTCGTTCGTCAGTGCATGACTTGTGGTATTGACTGTGAGAAGGGAACATACTTTGGGTGTCGGACAATGCTCCATACGCCAGACTTGTTCAATCCACCTTGAGGTTCCTCAGCTTCCTGGCGCTTGTATTCTTCCAGCTGGTGATCCGCGAGCACTTCGAGCGCGAAACCGGTGCAGAAAAGACCAACGGCCAGACCTCGGTAGATTTCAGCGATCTGTGGCTCTGGACCGGATTGGTAAGCGACGCCGCGTCCTTCAGGCTGAATGGCGCCGAGACGGAAGGGCAGAGTGAATGGCAGGCTGATGATTGACTGGAAGATAGCTTCGGGTAGGAATAGAGAGAGAAGAGCTTTGTACCAGAAGTTCTTTTCTTTCTTGACGGCGGTGTATCGTGGATCATCCCCCTTGCGTGCGGCTGAACGTGTGGCGATACGATAGAAGAGACGAGTGCCCCATGCTGTTACACCACCCAGCAGAAGTTTATGAGGCCATGGCAGACGGATCAGAGCGTCGAGAACTGTCGAGTTTGGACTTTCGGCGGCTTTGTGAGCTAGAAATGCGGCCCAGGTGTTGAGGACAATCCCGGAGGGCCAGAGCCAGTCTTTGAGCTCGACTCGATCGGTGACACGAGCTGCTCCAAATGTGAGAAGGGAGAGGGCGCCATGGAGTTGCAAGGATGGAGTGAGTCCTGCCTGGGCGAGGCCGAGAAGCGATCCAGTCGAGGGATATGCCTGGAAGGCTTTACGTTCCTGAAAGCCAGACATCTTTGATCAATCACCTGGAAGAAGCTCACCTCTTCGAAGGCGGATGGCGAAGATGATACGACCCTTCAGTGATGGTTCGATGAACGTCGGTCTCAGGGACAAAGCTGAAGAACAGGTTGTTCGATGTTCATGTTGTCATCAGCGGAAGTAGCGATGGTGCCTTCCGCAACGACGTCATAGTCCATCCAGCTCACCTCACAGCAAACGAAGGCAGATACCAATGCGAAAAGAGCCTCATAAATGCTTCTCGGGATTAAATGTTTACTATGAAATAATATAGAGTACCATCCAATCCGCCTCCGTCATCTCGATCGTGATACTGAAACATAGCTGGCTTCCCACCCTGGATTTGATCGCCTTGAAATTCGTAACCCCACCGGACCCAAAAAAGGATCAAAATGCTTCCCCCAACACCAGCGCTAGATGGTATATAACATGAAGCATATGTCGAACCCATAAAAGATTTCCACCCGTGAGGAGCTCATCTTCGGACTCCGCTTTCCACTTCGTAAATGCTGTAAACCCAAAGAGAAACATGGCATCAATACATAGACTTCATCGTAGCAGACCGCCAACATCAACAAAAGTCAGATCATCTGGACCGCTTGGCCGCGTGATCGGTTCTTCGTCTTCCTCCTGCTGAGACGGTAGGCGATTCTGTCGTGAGATCTTCCTGCGCTCTGCAGACCGCAGTGGGGAGCGTCCGGGACTGTTGCCTTTTCTTGGCGAAGACGAAGACGCACGAGAATGGATTTCGTTTTCTTCCCGGATGTGTGAATGCCGGGACAGAAGCCCGCCAATGTCGGACAGGAAAGCCTTTGACCCTGATTTACCACCGGTAGTGTTCGATTGCGACAGGCGACGTGCCTCAATGATAGACGTTTGTCGGGATAAAGAGTCGGGTGATCCTGGTTTGTCGACGAGTCCACCCACATCGAAGAATCCCATCTTGCTTGGCGTGTCAGGCTCGGCATATGGGCTTGCCGGCTCATCCATTTGAGCTTTCAAATCGCGTAGTTTGATGTCGGTCGACCCGCTACTCATACTATCCATAGACTTCTTCCTTCGACCACGTGCCGCCGACGAGAAATTCCATTCCGAGCTGAAAGCCGAGTCCTGGCGATGGTGACCAGTCTCCAGGTCAGCAGTATGATTGGGTATGGCGACTTCAGCCGGTCGTGGTAATTGTTCAATGTTGCTGCCGTGTCGCAGTGGCACGGGTAATGCTGCGCCCACGCCCCTGGCAAGGTCTTCGTCAGAACCCCAGTGATGATGGGTCATGGACCGACTCCGGGTGCGGGTCATGGTCCGATTGAGAGAACTGTTGTCGTCGATAGATGGGACTCTGAACTTTGCTTTCTTCACTCCCTTGTCGCGAATGAAGCTACCGATAGCTATGGCGTTGGACACACCTGCTGCGGCCAGGATCTCCAGTGACGCTAACAGTGATCGGTATTGCTGAGAAGAACGACGTGATATGGTGGAGGGTATTCGATAGGCGGTGATGGCGATAAGGATGACGGACAACAGAAAGAGCAATATGAGGGATATCTTCTTAGTGTAACGCATCGAAGATTGCCAGACCAAAGGTATAGGGAAGACGATAAGGACGACATCCGTGACCATATCGCATACTCCCATGACAATCAATTGCACCAAGCCTTCTCGACACTTCGGACCTGGATCTGGTACCACCTGCCAGTAGTGATCAAAAGGTTGGCATTCACTGATCGTCGCGACAACGACTCCGAGATAGGTGACGACGAGAAACCCATAGATGAAACGCAGACCATATTCGTAGGACTTGGCCCATGATTTTCCGATGAGGCGCTTGAGGAATTCAAGAACGGTGAACTTGGCAACCCAAATAAAGGCAGCATAAAATATGCGCGCAGCCAGGACCAACCTGCTGCCGACCTCGCGCTGGCGAATCTCGGACTCTGTTAATCCTGCAGTCTGTGTGTTGTTTGTTCCCCAGATCAAGATCACATGCACAATGGCCATGCGGATCATGAGAGGTATTATGCTGAAGAACATGATCCAGTCTTCTCGAAAGAGTCTTTCGGTACGGACCCATCGACCGAACAATCTTATCAGGATGGCCGTCAATGCGAACAATGTACACCACCATGATACTATCAGCGTCGGGTTCATGGCCAGCTTGGACTGCAAGCCCGGCGGCTGGAGGTGATACATGTGGACATCGGTAATCGTGTACTCCGAGGCCATCATGATGTTGGCGGTGTGAGGGAAGGTCTGGGTTTCGAGGATCGCGATCTGAAGTTCATGACCTCGAGGGGGCTCGGAGAGGTGAATGTGTATTGCAAGTGCGCCTTGAGGCCATGGGACAGAGTTCGCAACCGTCTAGGGCTGTCGCATAAAGTCGTGAATACCTAGCTTCCCTTCCACCTCTTGCGCTTGGACGCGTGTGTCAGTGGTGGGCAAATACTGTAGTGTGGACTCGACCGACGACAAAAGGACAAGCAACAAGCGAGTGAAATGTTGGAATGATGGTGAAAAGGGTCGCTCAGGTACATGTGCTGGTGAGGTGGAACTGGCTGGAGGGCCATGACGAGGTAAAGAGGGCTCTCCAGTCTTGTGGCCGGGTCAGGGATGTCGAAAGCGAGTGCCGGACTGACAGTGGCGCGGTCACTGATAGAGGCGGGATGTTCTAGTGGTTAGTGGGCGACGATGGGATGAGACGCATACGCTTAGCGAGTCAGGAAAGCAGGAGAATGGCCAGGGGAGGAGATGGTGCGAGAAAGGTGCGGACCTGTGGATTTTGGCGTCTTCGGGCTTATCATGGGCTGTCACCGGCCTCATGGGTGTGCGACTTCGTGGATATGGGGGGTTGCACATGTTATACCAATCGTAATGCAGAGGGTGGATTGGAAGGCTTCCGGAGGGGGATGACAGAGTTTAACAGAGCCTTTGGATTTTCTTCTGCCGGTTCATCCACCAGATAAGAGACACAGAAACTCGAGTCCAAATCTGGTCCAATCTCCGTGAGCCTTTATAAAACGGTGCCGCAGATAACATCGCTCCCTGATTACGAGTACAGAGGAATCATCATCGTGTCGCTCAGCATCTCAAACACTGAGACAACTGACTCGTAAGCTGTTGGTAGAAGAAAACTTCAAGTGTTTCGAGTGTGCCTGGTCTTTGAGCGCATGCTCATCTTCTATCTTGAGCATGGAGCCCACCCCGGATCCACAGGCCATCGCCTACCTCTAGCCCTGCTGGGGATTTGTGTCCGAGCACAAATGAGACAGTCCTGAGGCACCGAGGGCACATGGTTGCGCATATTTATCCTGGCTCCATGTGCGTAAAAACGTTGACTAGGATGATGTTCTGTTCTGTTCTGTTCGCCTGCTTCCCATCTGCTCCAAGACAATCGCTACATGCAGAATCATTCCTTCCGATGTACAATTGATCTGCCAGTTTCAAATTTGTGAAACATCGTTAGTTCGCTATAAAATGCCGCCAATTGAACATACCAGTCATATTCAAGAAGTGCCCTAGTCCACATTCACCTTCGTCCTTCATCAAGCCATTGATTTCTGTACACTTCATCATCGTTGTCCGCCACTTCCAAACTATCAGCCTCGGCAATGCCTGTGTCAGCCAATTCGATTGCGCTGGGAAGTACGGAATGTCTGGGATTATTCGAGAAGCACAGGTCGAATGTTCTTTCGGATCCAGCCCTGATCCCAGTTGGCTCCAAGCAAATAGGGCCGTACAGCTCAACATCGTCAATCAGCGCCCCTTGATGGTGGGAGATGTGCTCGAACAGATGCTGTTCTCCTGTAAACGCGGAAGACGAATCGCCACTCAGGAGACAAATCAAGCATTTGTAAAATCGTCCTTTCTTCTGGTTGGGTGCCAGGTGAGATTTGAATAGAAGAAGTGATCGGAAACGGAGCTTGGATGCTTCGTGTATGCTATCGTCGAAGCGTGGTCGACCACGTTCATCGCGGTCGGCTGGTGTTGCGAATGGGCACTTGCGGCAATGACAGGCCCACTGTAAATTCTTCATAGCCACTTGTAGTGCTTTGTCATAGACAGCATTCTGCACATAGTAGGCGCCTTTACAGAGCCCTGCAGCGGTGAGCACGTCTGCAGGTGAGAAGGTGGACGCCGGGCTCAATGGGGGCGTCATGATCTGCAACCTACGGTCACCCAGGTTCATCGAGCCGGGCGAAGAGGACATGGTTGCCCGCGGAGACAATATTGGTGAGGTGCTCTTGGAGGTTGAGGACCGTGGAATGGCGAGAGCACTCGAATTGTCCTTCGTCTCCTCCGTGGATGGGGTGCGATTCAGGGGTTTGAAGACTTTCCATGACGATTTTCGCGACCTCATGGGGCTTGGTGGTGTACCGACCTCAGTTGTCAAGGTATCACTACGCTTCTTCGTGTCTGCCGGATTCTTTGATTCCTTGAGCTCTCTCGACTCTCCCGCGTCTTTAGAAGGTTCTTTTGCCTCATGTGGAGAGAGTCGTGAAATTGACAAGTCTGGTTCGGAACGGAGACTTGAGCGTTTCTGTTGTCGAATGTATAATTCGTTGAGTATGGTCACGGCTTTAAGCCTGGCTTCAATCGCCGAATCGATACATGTCTCAAAGTCTGTCATGTTGTCGTCTTTGCTCGCCAGGGTAAGATGACGGAGGAACGATGCTTGTACCTCTATAGTAAGGGCCTGTAGAGCCTGATGTGCGATATCTTGCACCGGTCAGCCATGCCTGGAGTCAGAGTAGAGGGGGTCTTCTTACCATCGCCTTGCTCGAATTCAGTCCCAAACCTTTGGATACCCTTTGCTGCGATTTTCTCAATCTCTTCCTGCCCCTCTTGCAATGATTCCTCCAAGGCAATGCTGGGAGGTAAGGCACCCTTGGCCTTGCGGCGTTCCTTTATGTTACTGACAATACTTCCTCCATCTTTATACGCTGTTATAAGGGCTGCTACCGCCCCAACCACAGCAATGCCAATCTCGATTCCCGACATTTCGACCTCAATTTTTGTCGAGCCAAGCGGGGTCGTGTGAGTCTCCTACTGATATTGTGTCAGGAATTGTGAAGGACCTCCATTGTTTTAGGACACAACGAAGAAGCATAGATGGGGCATGCTGGTGGTGCGCAGGGTAGGAGAGTGTTGTTCGTCAAAGCATTTCGCAATGAGACGATTGGGAACTCCATGGAAAGCCAGTCTCACGACAGTACTCGAGCAGAGCATGAAGAGCGGATTTAGTAACACAAGTGAACATGGTTGAGTCATGGCTATGGGCCGAACGAGGCCCTGCAGAGAGACTTGTTAGTAGAGGCTGCCTTCTCTCGTGGCCATCTTGATGGCAGAGACTCGGCGGTCATACAGGCAAAAGGTAGCCAATGATCTGAACATGTGGCCGTATGCCATCAAGTCACGACCAGCAGGAGATGGGGCGCAGTCATCTTAGTTGGAGGCTTTAGTGCGGCTTTGGAGAAGGTGGTGAAAGCTTGAAGTGCGCCGAAGTGCTTGAAGCTGTCGGGTAAAGAGGGGGATTTAGTGACCTCGGCGAGTCAGGGATGATCTCTCCACGATGGCAGCACGTGCACGACAACTGACCTACCACCTCGTTGCTCACTGCTCAGCCTCACCAGCCTCGCTTCTACACGTTGGCTGCATTCGGCCCCTTCAGATTAGCCTCAATTCCTCACCGAATTCTGGTACATCAAAGGATCTAATACTGCTCACAGGAGAGGAACACAGCCTAGCATGCTGTCATTCCGGTCACTGATACCTACGGCGTGTTTTCAGGCCCCAGGGTCTGCCTCGCCGGTCTCCACGGCATAGTCATCACGCTCCTGCTGGCCGAGCTCCGACGATGCGAACCACTCGACCACCTTCCGAGCCCAGGTTGCCTTCTTCAACCCAACCAGGCACCGGGTCTCCGCTCTCTTTGCTCTTTATGACCTTCCACACTTTTGGGAAGCCCGCCTTCATTGGTCCGCCAGCTTTTTGACTTCCAGGTATGGCAAATCTGGGATTGGTATGTAGGGCGAACCCTCTGAGCAGACCTTGCTGTATCAGACTGAGCACGACCGACTCAACTTCAGTCATTGTCGGAAACTCTGCGGTGTCTTGGGACGATGGCGTATGCTGACCAATATACTGATCGTCATACTGTCCACTTTCAGGGTCAAACCCCGTTTCGTTGATAGCTGCATCGAGTTCCCTGAACTCTGGATCAATATATGTTTCCTCTCCGTTTACGGCCTGAGACCCAAGCCCGTGCGAGAGTAACCCTCCCCTGTACCGCGGCAACGCCCACGCAGCAGCGTCACGGACGTAATTGAGCCTCAAGAACGGTACTTTCTTCTCTTCGCCCATATATCCGCTAAACAAAAATGTTTTTCGGATAAGACTCCTCCAGACAATGATCTCACACCTATCACGTAGTTGAAGGAGAATAGATCGCTTGAGGAACCACTCGCCAGACTCACTAGTCAGGTCAAGATATTGGTGGAATCGGCCCAGGTCGCCTGCCTGTATGATCTTGCAAAGCGGTAGGAATCTAGACCCCACCTCGGCGGCTTCGGAGCGCGATAGGAGAGTCGGGGAAGGAAATCGGCCCAAGCAAATGTTGGAGGCTGTCAAATATATGAGAATCAACCGTCGATGCTTGATTGCTTGCCGGTGACATTGCTCGTATGCCTTCTGAAGCACGGGCTGGGCGCGAAGGAAGTGATTGTTGGCGAAATGATACCGGCCCAGGTAATATAGGTAAGTGACCCGTTGAGCTGCCGGATAAAACGACAGAGGCGGGGATTGTGCATCGATGCTGGAAAACATCTGTTGAGCATTGCGTAATTTGCGACACTGCGTTAGGAGCTTCAAACATGAGTTGGCTGTCAGATAGATGCCGACTCGTTTGTCGTCCGCAGCAGGGCGTGATGTTCGTTGCACGCCAGGACTTCCAGCCAGGCATTTGATGAATGCGTCTCGTAAGACGTTAGCGGCATCTTCCACGAAGCTTACTTTTCCCGGCGCGCCCTCGGTGTCCTGTGTTGCAACAAGGTTATCGCTTTTGACCAGGGAAGGATTCCGATCCAAATTCGTGGCAATAGTGGCCAGTGTCCGGGAAAAAGACAGGACAATCGGTATCATAATGACTCCATACTTGGAATCGCCCAAAGCGATGACACATTGGCTAGCAGCATGGTTAGCTGGGGTTCTTCGAAGATTGGTGCCTGACTTGCCTTGTGAGTTGCCTGATTTTCGAGGCTTTGGCTTGATTATCCGCTGTCGTGAAATCTCTGAGATAGCGAAAGTACTGTACAATGCTCTCGGCGAACGAGATACTGAACGTCCCAAACTCATCCCAAGACAGGTCCCTTTGACACCTCGTGACGAGGTCAGCATCATTGCCCACGGGATAACATCTGCTCAATTCCGAGTTCAGGTCCGCGTAGGGCTTTTGCCGGTCTGGTGGCAGGCTGTCGAAATCGAGCTGGATGAGCTCTGTGATCCGCTGGCCATTCTTGCTTCTGATACTGTCGAGGATGACCACCAGAAATGAGTCAAGGACTGGTGTGGTGACGCCAAAGGCAGGCATTTTGTTGCCGGTCTCTAGACGTAAGTGTCGAATTCACGACCTCAAGCGCACCTTAGCTGTGGCGTCTCCTTAGCGCACGCGTATGTCACGGAGACATGGGCTCGGTAGGTATGAAAGGCATCATGCAAGCCTAGCTGAATAGTATGAAACGCCTAGCGATTTCTTCGATGACCAGCATTGGAAGAGATCAACGCTGGCAGGAACGGAACGTGTTTACAAATATTGTAGAAATATCGAGGTTTAGCAGAGCCTGATTTGCTGGATTTGGAAGAAATGAACTCGATTTGTGACTTTTGATTGGCCCCAACTACTTAGTTTATGTTCATTCGACCTCATCTGACTGCGAGGCTGCTGGAACTCGGACAAAATCTTTGCTACATCCTGCACGGCAGACACGTTCCAAAATGCTGTACATTAGCATTGGACATGATTTCTCCGTAAATGTGGTCTCCGACTTCCTATCGACTACATCTGCCTAAGTAGCCGATCTGGAAGTCACTAGCCCTCCGTAGCGAAATGGTGTTCACACCTCTTATGCAGTCAATCCGTTGCTGACGTTCTGTCTCAATGGCATACGTGTGAGTGCCAATATGCCCGGGTAAGGGTGATGGTCTGCGGGCACAGGTGTTTGACTTGGAGGCAAGTATTATGCCTCCTCGAAGCGGCGTCGTACGGGCGAGTGATCTGTCTGGACGAGCGTCACGTCCACAGCCTCATTGTATGGCTTCAGCCAACCCGGCACATGCTTGAGTAGGCGATCGATGAGTGTGATCGCGAATGGTGGACTTGCTGGGCTGTATTGGCACAGCCCTGCAGTGATTGTTCACTTCTCGGTAGCCAACACCATCTTTTCTCGCTCGCTCTGGCGAGGCATACTACCTTTCTTGCTATGCTTCCGCACATTCTCCTCTTTCCTCTTGATTGATTTCAATTCTTCACCCTTGATCTCGCCCGCCTTCTTGACAGTCTTAGGAATATGTCGGTGACGCTTGATACGTCGAATTTCCGGCATGTGAGCGTACCGCTTGATCAAAGCCTCGTCATACTCCAGTTTTTGCCTCTGTCTTGCCGACTTGACGCCACTTCGGCTGGAAGCATTCGTTCGCCATACTCTGACATTGCCATCGTCTGATCCGGATAGAACGTAATTGTTATCGGCAGTGAACCGTGCTGAGAACACCCTCTGCATTCTCTTTGTGTGGTAGACATCCCTGGAATGTCCCCGATCCCTATTCCACAGCCGGATTGTGCGGTCATACGATGCGCTGACCAATTCTTCGCCTGTCGGGCTGAACTCCACATCCATGACTGCGGCAACGTGGTCCTTCAGGACATTGAGAGCCCTATCCAATTTGCGCATATCGAATATATAGATGTTGTGATCTTCATTTGCCGCAGCAAAGTTAAAAGCCTCCATCGGATTCCATGAGATGGCGTTCGATGCCAATCTCATCGTCACTTTTGAGAGAGGTTCGGAGGTCCGGAGGTCATACAGTACGATTGACCTGTCGAGGGCGGCAGAAGCCAGGACCGACGTTTCGGTTTGGTTAAAAGAGACGGCTGTCACGGTGTCGGTTGAGGTTGGCCATCTCAGTACCTGACTGGGTCCTGATGAAGGCCTCGAGAGATCGTAGATGGAAATCGAGCTTGATGAGGCAGCGAAGGAGGGGAGATTTCGATGATGTGAGATGTCTGTAAACGCGCCTTGCCCAAGATAGGTGGCTAGAGGAAAGCCCTTTTTCTCTCCGTTGTATGGATCCCATACCTTTACGGTCTTGTCGGTGGCACAAGACAGCACCTTTCTGTCGGGAGTCCAACACATGCCTCTGACAACATTTTCATGTGCTCTGGCGCTCCATATTTCCTCACGAGAGGTCAAATCCCAGACTTTTACAACACCATCACCACTACCACTGGCAAATCTCTCCAGTGAACCAGGGTCTTTCGCCATGGAGTACACCCCGTCGACGTGACCCTCACCTAGTTGGCCGACAAATGGCGCCGCGAACATGCGTTCCATCTTCACTGCGTTGAGCGCTCTTGTGTATTCTCTGGCACGTTCGAAAGGATGGTGAGAGGGATCGAGATTTCGTGGTTGCCGCATCGCACCGTCGCCCGGAGGCGGCGGCGGCCTCGTCAAAGACTTGATTTTCTAGCAAATGTCAGACCGAGTTGTATTGGAGCGCGATACAGGGAACTTACCATCTCGAGGACAGCATCATGTGGTCAGTCATAGGAATTAGGTATCGAGAGAAAGAACTGGAGGGAGGGCAACGAAATGAACTTTTTTGTGGAGACGATTAGACGCCGCCCGCAACGGAACCTTTCCCTGCGAGGAGGCTAAAGTTAAGCGTCATCCGCGGTGCCTGCAAGGCTGGGGTGCTTTCCGTGCTCCTTCACTCGCCGACCGCGTCCCTTCTGAGTTACATCTACACTTTTCGACCACCAATTCCTGCGCACACGACCAGGACCCGTTCATCTCATACACTCTCCTTAACTTTCTTCGAGATGGCACCTCTACCTTCCAGTGAGGCCAAGGTGACCGAAGCCAAAAAGGTGGCCAAAACCGATCCCGCAAAAGCAGAGAGCATCTACAAAGAAGTGTTGGCCAAGTCACCCGGATCCAATCAAGCTGCTCTACAAGACTATGAAAGTGCTCTACTGGGCTTAGGTGAACTTTACCGAGACAACAAGCGCGCAGATGATTTGGCGGAGCTGGTGAAGACGAGCAGGTCGACGTTGTCCTCGTTTGCAAAAGCGAAGACGGCGAAACTTGGTACGTCCAGCTCGATCAATGCCTTTGGCAAGAATTGTACTGACCGGAACCCTAGTTCGGCAATTGCTTGACTACGTCTCAGAGATCCCAAACACCCTCGAGCTTCAGATCTCAACCACCAAATCATGTATCGACTGGGCCAATTCCGAGAAGCGATCCTTCCTCCGCCAGAACCTCGAAACGAGATTGGTTGGGCTATACATGCAGAAACAGTCGTACTATGATGCACTTACGCTGATCAACAGCCTGTTGCGAGAGTTGAAGCGACTCGATGACAAGCTTGTCCTGGTGGAGGTGCAACTGCTGGAATCCAGAGTGTATCATGCGCTCACCAACCAAGCCAAAGCAAAAGCTGCATTGACCTCTGCGCGGACGTCTGCTGCATCCGTTTACACACCACCACTCCTCCAAGCCGGCCTAGACATGCAAAGTGGAATGCTGCATGCCGAAGATCAGGACTTCAATACCGCTTTCTCATACTTCATCGAAGCACTTGAAGGTTACCATAGCCAGGATGATACTGCTCGAGCAACCTCGGCGCTACAGTACATGCTACTGTGCAAGATCATGTTGAACCTTGTGGACGATGTAAATTCCCTGTTGGCATCGAAGCAGGCACAAAAATACGCGGGCACGAATCTGGAAGCAATGAAGGCGGTGGCTCGAGCACACTCAAACCGATCACTGGAAGAATATGAACAGGCCCTCTCCAACTACCGTTATGAACTCGGTAGCGACGTTTTCATTCGGAATCACTTGCGACGACTGTACGATGCAATGTTGGAGCAGAACCTGATAAAGGTGATCGAGCCATTCAGCCGGGTGGAAATTGACCACATTGCAAAGATCGTTGGTCTCGACACACAACAGGTGGAGAGGAAACTTTCGCAGATGATCCTGGACAAGATCATCATTGGTGTGTTGGATCAAGGAGAAGGATGTCTCATCGTATATGATGAGGTGGAGAGAGATGCTGGTTATGATGCAGCTCTAGAGACCATCGAAAAGCTTAGCAATGTGGTCGATGTACTCTATACCAACCAGGCGGCATTGTTAGAATAGTCGAAGCATGGAGTTTTGGGGGTTGCATGGACTTTCTAGCTGGCATCAATCACCGGACAGCCATGGTAAGGGGCTAATTACGCCGGGCTGGCATGGCATCTCGACCTGGAAGGGTTGATCAACCACGAACCCTATCGAGTGTGAGGTCGTGTTCATAAAATGTAGAAGTACACGCGTGGTTCCCACATCAGCATGCGCATGGTGGATTAGATGGCTTTGTTCCGTGCCGATGGCTTTGTCATTATTCGCGGTTCCCCTCCAAAAGAACTTCCCTAGGACAGGCGCCAAATAGAGTCGACCACTGTTTTCAGGTGCTCCCTTACGTTCTTCTCAATCTGCCCTTCGACCTTAACCTGACCTGGTAGCCTTTACTACCCGGAGACAAAGCGGCTGCCTATCCTCTCTGAACCATCCACGTATTCAAGGTGCTTCTACGAAGAGCAGACCGCGCATTGCATACAGCCTCAGCGCAGCCCCCACCACAGCGAAGCACGCGCCTGCCAACGCAGCTCATATCGAGTGACGTCGCCAGTCAATACTCGAGATCTGTCGTGAAACTCTAGTAGGAAGAGGCCTCCAGGCCAGAGGCATACAGTATGGGACAAAAGTGAGCAGACTTGACGCTCAGCGCAGCGCACATCTCGTAAGGGGAAGTGCTGACAATCTCACAGACAGTCCAAATTGTCGCCGCAACAATTGGAGGAACTGCAGAAGTCGACACATTTTGACAAGAAAGAACTGCAACAATGGTACAAGGGTATGCTATGGATCGAAGCGGCTTCAAGTGAACATCCCCACTGAACTACATTCCAGGATTTCTGAAGGATTGCCCTTCTGGCACGTTAACGAAAGAAGAGTTCCAAAAGATTTACCGACAGTTTTTCCCTTTTGGCGATCCCAGCTCCTTCGCAGACTACGTCTTCAAGGTGTTCGACTCAGATAAGAGTGGTACGATTGACTTTAAGGAGTTCATATGCGCGCTGAGCGTAACCAGCAGGGGCAAGATGGAGGACAAACTGGACTGGGCGTTCCAACTATATGACATCGACGGAGACGGGAAGATCAGCTACGACGAGATGCTGGCCATCGTCGAGGCAATCTATAAAATGGTAGGTTTGGGAACTTCTGTTTGATCAACGCATCGCTGACGGTGGTACCCTCACAGGTGGGCTCTATGGTCAAACTCCCAGAAGACGAAGATACGCCCGAAAAGAGAGTACGGAAGATTTTCCGGATGATGGACAAGGACGAGAATGGAAGCCTTGACATGGCCGAGTTCAAAGAGGGAAGCAAACGTGACGAGACCATCGTCTCGGCTTTGTCGTTGTATGACGGCCTGGTATGATCGATCGAACGACACCCTCCTTTCACACCTCATCTGCCGACGGGTATTGCATACGAGATTACGGCGTTTGGTTTTTTCCCATCGGTTGGCCTCTTTGCTATTGGAGCTTCGATAGGGTTGGCTCACATACCTCATTCCACGACCAAGAACTACGCCGGAACAGAAAAACGTATCTTTACTTGGAAGACTGCAGGATACTGTTGCAGCACCATTAGTCGGCCTTCTGAGTTGAAGTCCGCAAATGTATTACAGGCCTTTTTCCTTTTCGACGGGTACACTACCTAGTGAGCATGCTCAGCCCTGCGTTTCTATGAGCCACGAATTGATTTCCCTACGGCGGTCGCTACAAATGACTGCCAGGCTTCTATGAAAGCTTTGCCTGCTTGTGTACTTGCGTCCAACGATGCACTTTCTGCAGGTCCATGACCTCGCCATCTGCACCGAATCGGTTCTGTGTATCATGCCAGTCTCGTGCCACAGCCGTTTCCGGTCTCCACCTGAATCCCTTTTTCAGTCTGGCCTCTATCGTACCTTCAAGTGCATCTGCAATCTGGACAGATACGGCGGGCATCATCATGAACCCCATCCCCGAACCACCCACACCAACGACGAGATTTGAATACCTGGGATGGCGGTCTATCAAAAACTGTCTGTCAGGCGTATCAGCATCCCAGCAGATTCGTGCAAAGCTGAAAGGGCGGTCGGCAATTTGAGGCACACTCTCACGAAGGAACCGGCGAGCCCTCTGCTCTGCTTCCACAGGGATTTGCTGTTTTGCGAAGGGTATCGACCGCTCTTCGCCAGTTTTCGGGTCCTGCATGAAATTGCAGTATCCTGGGTGTTCATCAACGAATTTCAATTCGCCATCCGCCTCCGAAGGTTCCTAGAGCACGTTGTTAGGAAACAGTTATTGGTGAACGACACGAAAGGCTTACAATAAAGAAACCACGTTCAATGTTGAATAAGACGGGCAGATTCTTCCACGTCCGCCTCTCTTCTTCCGTCATCTGGATATGCGCCAATGTCCACGCCGTCGGACGAAGTTGTCGCTCAAAGTCAAATATTCTGTCGCTGTTGGCACCCGCGCAAAGGATAGTTCGATCCGCTTTGTGCTCTGTCCCATCGGCTGTCACGGCCCCGAGGACGTCAGAAGATGAATAAAGCAGCCGCTCGACCTTGCCTTTTGGATCGCCCGTGATGAAACAAACACCTAGGCGCGAGGCTTCGTTGTATGCGGCTTCCAGTGCACCCCGTGCAAAGACCCAGCCTGCACCGTCCTCGCGGATGAAACCCTTCCAATTGGGGAATGAACCGGTCAAAATGCCTTCGGGCATGGTCTGCTGGAAGTCTGTCGCTGTGGTGAGTCGTCGAATAGGGGATTTGCAGGATTTCACATAGGCTTCGACTTCTTTGGCGGTTTCTGGGGTGGTACCAGCCATGATGAAGCCTGTAGGGTGATAAAACGGTTTGTATATTGAGTCATTTCGCCATGCGTCTGTGGTGATTTGGAACATCCTGTTCCAGACGTAAGATTCATCGTCGTCTTCTGGTGACGGAGATCCTAGAGGTAGTGAGTCACAGGGTTGCTGGTGCGCTTAGGATAGGGCACTTACCTTCTTCCACGATCTTGTTGACATCGTTACCGGCCGATATAGGTGACGGTATAGGGTGGACGTCGAGTACTGTGACATTCTTGAAACCACGCCGGGCGAGCTGTAAAGCTGTGCCGCATCCCCAGGTTCCTCCGCCGATCATGAGTATCGACGAATCGTGCGTAAGTTGTGACATGGTGATAGGTTTCTGAGTCGACACGCTATACAGAGATGTAGACCGAAGAAAGAATGCTTCTGCAATTGTGCTTGTTGCAGCCAGCGGGTTCCGAGTGATATTTTCGGCACGGAGGTTCCGTCCTTCAGCACCTCAGCAATGTCGCGATTTCCGCCCGTTTCGCTTGGACCTTCTGTTCTGCAAGAGTCGAGGCAGCTGGGAAAACAGATGTGGCTGGTCCAACACCTATGTCAAGATAATTTGTATCTAGATATCGAAGGGTTGCTGGATAGTTATCATGTGGATCCTGCCACCGACCTCGCTTGGCCCAAAGAGGCAAATGTTGCCGTAGACCAGATTCCTCGTGCTCTGATTGATGCGCCTGGACCTTCTCAATGACTTTTTGCCGACGATGGCCTCCATCATGGGCGTCGCTCCCGAATGCTTGTTCCACATCATTTGGCGCCACTTCCTAATGAGAAGCTTGAATGCACGAATTGCTGAACCCATATTGGCGTTGTTGGGTCGCGTGTCCAAGCGACCAACCCCAGAGACCTTGACAGAGTTAAGAGTGGAGGAGATCTACTGCGGAGTTGAGCGAGTGAGTCCAAGTGCGGAGGTATATACATATGGATGCTTTCCCGGAGCATGTTCAGCAGAGGAAGCATAGCAAGACTGTCCAGATCAGCTAGGGTATCATGGCTGCCAATACTGTCACCATCCACCACACCGACGTCCCAGGTACAGTCTACCTGGTTGATGGTAAGTGTTGGCCGAGAGCATTCCCCTGGTGCCGTTCCTTCCTAACAGCATACAGTCGATCATTCGGAGACTGGAGCTGCCCACGGTGGCAGACATGACGATATTATGCTGGTCCCTCAGCCTCTGAGCACTGCCCGTGATCCTCTTGTGAGACTGACGTCTGCCTTGTCCGCCCTGTCCCAGCTAACAGGTTGTAGAACTGGTCTCGCTCGAAAAAACTCTGGTCTCTTCTACTCGCCTCTTTCTTTGCCTGCGTCATGTCATTCGGCGAAAACAACCTCGGTGCAGCCTGGACTCAGATCTCGGACGAAACAAATGTCAGCTTGAACAATATGAATGGTGGCTCGGCCCTCAATTACCTTCTGTTAGGCTTCGTCAACATCATTTGGGTTCCCACTGCAATGAAGATCGGTCGCAAGTTCGTCTTCATATCCAGCATGACGATCAATATGGCAGCGGCGCTCTGGAACGCGTACATCTTTGGCACTGTGCAATGGTACCTGAATAATGCATTCGGAGGGATCGGAACCAGTGCATATGAGGCGATCATTCAACTCACCGTAAGAACGTCCAATGGTTGTTCCGGCAATGCTGACATGCTGTCTAGGTCTTCGACATGTTCTTTGCTCATCAACGCGGTACAATGCTTGCGTTTTACGTGTGGGGAATGCAGCTTGGTTCAATCCTGGGTTTGATCTTAGGCGGGTATATTGCTGCTGGGCCAGGTTGGAGATGGGGCTGCAAAATCGTAGCGATTCTTAGCGTGAGTATTGACTCACTTCTGCCTCTCGAACTGAGAGTCAGCAGGGCTTACCTCTGCTTGCAGGCTTTCGTGGTCGTTTTGTTCATTTTCACGTTCGATGATACCCTCTTCCCACGACACATTTACCGCGGTCGTAGTGGTCCAGCTGAGAATGCGGAGGCAGTGGCAGCGACGGCAGAGACCCACCAAGAGAAGACTGCGGATGGCTCAGAACCGCAACCTAAATCAGCTCCGCCGGTCACCAGGCAAGTGACAAAGACAGAAGGGACCATGTACAAACCTCCTCGCACATACTGGGAGATTCTGTCGCCTATTCACAGCTTTCCAGAGGACAAGACGACTTGGTGGCAATACTTTCGTCGGCCTTTCGTCCTGTTCTTCTTTCCGAACATCGTCTGTGTAAGTACTTTTGTCATGAGTCTCTCTACGGACTGGTACTGACACAGCGCCAGGCCGGTATCATTTTCGCATTTGGTTGCACAGCAGGTGAGTGAGAGTTGTATGCATTGACGAGAAGGGCATTGATACTCACGTCTACGCAGGGATTGTCTCATTCAACACCATCTCGGAGATCCTGACCGATGACCCGTACGATTGGGGCACAGGTCCTACAGGATTGATCTTCCTGGCTGCACTGGTGGGTTCGTTCATTGGGTATGTCAGCAACCTCCTGATCTGTTTATGCATTTGCTATGACCCCTTGGTATTGACATCTGGTAGGATGGGAACCGGATACTTTGGCGATCAGATCGTTTTGCGCCTCGCTCGTCGCAACAACGGTTACAAAGAACCCGAGATGCGTCTTTGGGCTCTTTGCTTCAGCTTTGTGTATGGAGGTGTTGGTTATTTTGCATATGGCTGGTGCTCGAAAGAAGGAGAATCATGGGTCGGCATTGCGTTTGGGCTGGGCGCTATGATTGCGCAGCAAGTTTCCGCTACCAGTATCGCTACGACGTATGCGATGGAGTGTTTTGAAGGGGTAACTTGGCCCCAGAGCCCGAAGCCGAGCAATTTGACTGACCAATCGTCCTGCATAGATCTCTGGAGAGCTTGTCGTGGTCCTGGCAATCTGCTCGTCTTGCATCAACTTCGCCATGTCATTCAGTGTCCAACCTTTAATCGATGCAACAGACTATGGGCGAGCATTCACATTCTTTGGATGCCTTGTGCTGGGCTCAATGGCACTGGCTGTTCCTTTGAATATATGGGGAAAGTCTTGGAGAAGTCGATGTGCGGAAAGGTATCACAGATTCGTAGCTGAGGCTGTTAGTGTGTAGGACACCTTGGTTTCGATATGATGGTCAAAGAGGTAGTGAGTATGGTGAGCGAGTATGGTGAGCGGGTTTCGTTAGATGCTTGACGGAGATGCCCTCCATAAGTGGAAGTTGATGAATGTTACCTGTGCATATCATATTCAGGATACTCGTGTCTTAACGGCAGGTGAAAGTCATTGAGGTAGCCTGAGTACGCTATCATTTACACCGACATTGAACACGCACTTAGATTGTGCAGATGTGTCAAAAGACAGGGACAGGGACAGAGACAGAGACGCGTCACGTCAAGCTCACTCCTTGATTGTTTAACTTCTTGACGCGGCATGGTCCGAAGCGGTAAGTTTGCCGATGTCCAGCTGTCACTTTTCGCATTGTGGACGCAGTTTGGGAGTACAGGAGTCAAGGACACCTTTTACACAATTGCCGGTGAAGTGCTCTTAAACAACGTCCAGTGTCCCCAGGAGTCGAAAAGACCTGTCAGCGACAAACCCTCAGCACACCCAGCGTCCTCGTATCATCCATCAGATAACCATGAACGGGAGGTGACCAGGAACTCCGCAACGCTACATGCCATCGGAACCCTCGGACTGCCACTGGCGACAAGTGTCTCCCTCTTGACAATCAAGCTATGGCTTCCTTCTTCTCCTCAGTCCTCCTCTGCTCTCTGTTATTGGGAGACGCTGCAGCCTTCTATCTCCCGGGAGTGGCACCGTCCTCCTACTCCCTCGGCGACCGCGTCCCATTGACTGTCAATGCCTTGACTCCCTCGATTTCAAGACATGATGAGCAGATTCATGCGGTAGTCTCGTATGACTATTACCATCCAGCATTCCGGTTTTGCCGGCCGGAACTTGGACCTAAGCGAGTCCGGGAATCGTTAGGGAGCATAATATTTGGGGATAGAATACAAACCTCACCGTTGGAGTTGCATATGGGTCAGAATGAGACATGCAAGATGGCTTGCCAGACCGGAAACTTCGACGAAAGATCGTCCAAGTTTGTCAACTCCAGGATAGAACAAGCATACAACATCAACTTCCTCGTCGATGGGTTACCCGCAGCCGAGCTAAGAGAAGATCCTCTCAGTCATGAACGGTTCTCGAGCCCCGGATTTCCGCTGGGCAAGGTGAGAGAAGATGGAACGAAGATCTTACACAATCATTGGGATATCATCATCGATTATCACAAAGCCGGTTTGAGAGGGGAACAATATCGTGTGGTTGGCGTTCTGGTCCAGCCTCAATCCTACTCAGGGTCGAAGGCTTTGGAGGAGGGCAAGGCAGACTGCGCTGCGGATTCGGCGCCGGTCACCCTGAACGATGTCGGCGAGACGTCGGCCTTGTATACATACAGTGTGTACTGGCGCCCGTCAGATACTGCATGGGCGACACGGTGGGATAAATACCTCCACATCATCGATCCGAAGATTCACTGGTTCTCACTTATAAACTCGACCGTCTTCGTCATCTTCTTGGTCGGCATGGTCGGCACTATCTTGTTGCGGGCCCTACGCAAAGACATTGCACGATACAATCGGTTGGAAAACATCAACCTTGACGATTTATCGGGGGCCTCTGCTGTGGATGACGACGTTCAAGAGGATTCTGGATGGAAGCTTGTCCACGGCGATGTCTTCCGCAGCCCTCGATACACTCTGATATTAAGTGTCTTGCTCGGCAACGGAGCCCAACTTTTTGTTATGACGGGCGTCACGGTAGCATTTGCCATGCTAGGGTTCTTGTCCCCTTCGAACCGAGGCTGGCTGACTTCCATCAGTCTGTTATTGTACACCCTTTTTGGTTGCATTGGCGGTTACGTGTCTGCACGCGTCTACAAGAGCTTCGGAGGCGAAAATTGGAAACTCAACATCGCGGCTACGCCCATCTTCGTTCCTGGGGTTGTATTCGGTACTTTCTTCCTCCTCAATCTCTTTGTCTGGGCGAAAGGATCCAGCGGTGCAGTGCCCTTCACTACGATGCTGGCAATTGTCGCAATCTGGTTCATCATCAGTGTACCCCTGAGCGTTGCCGGCTCCTGGTACGGGTTCAAGCAGCCAGCATATGAGCCTCCCACACGGGTCAACCAGATCCCTCGGCAAATCCCCCCTGTCGCACGATCACTGCGACCGCTACCGTCACTTCTCCTCACAGGCATCTTGCCGTTCTGCGCCATCTTCGTGGAGTTGTATTTTATCATGACGTCGTTGTGGACAAGCAAAATCTACTACATGTTTGGATTCTTGTTCATTTGTTATGGGCTGATGGTTTTGACATCGGCCTGCACTACCATTCTACTCGTGTATTTCTTGCTCTGCGCTGAAGACTACCGATGGCAATGGAGAGCATTCTTTGGTGCGGGCATGACTGGAGCGTATGTTTTCTTGAACGCGCTGGGCTTCTGGGCCACTCGAGTCAGCTTTGGAGGATTGACTGGTGCTGTTCTCTATGTCGGATATTCGGCACTGATCAGCTTCATGGTTTTTGTTCTTACTGGTAAGTTACCGAATAGCTTCCGAGTGAAGACAAGTGACTGACGTTGTGGACAGGTACGATCGGATTCTTCGCAGCTTACGCATTTGTTCATCGGATTTACGGCTCCATCAAGGTCGATTGACGACTGAAGTGTGACGCCAACAAAAGCATACCGGAAGCCTACAAAGTGGCGAAGCATGTAGCCGCAGGAAAGGACAGATTGAGGCATATAGCCTTTTGTGTAACATGTACGATTTGTTACGATTTCGTCGAAATGTTCCCACTGCTCAAACTCTCAAGTGCTGTGTCCAGGAGGCTGGGGGAATCTGCTGACTTGTCATATTCCATAGCGTACTTGACATCTGATTCCAGCCAGTGAAAAAGTAGAGCCGTGTCGATGCAAATGCAGGTACGAAAGCACCAAAGAGATGGGCAAAGTGTGGTGCTGATCAGTGGCCGGACAGGATGCCGACTGAGGGCGGAATCTAAAGCCGGGCGTGTAAAGAGTGAGAGAACAACACGTCAATTCCAGCACCTTTTGTCGGTTTGCATGCATGTTTCCAGGCGCCTGGGGGGCCAAAAACTTAAAGAAGAGGTGTGAAGAAAGAAAAAAGGACCATTGAGTGAGGATTGAGTTTGGTTCAGTGGCGGCCCGGCAAGCGCGATGTAAAGATCAGCACGAGGCAAACAAAAGATTGTCATCGAATTGATTTCGCATATGCAGATTGGTCGCTGTCATTTACGCTGATCGGGCTCCAGTGAGCGAGCGACGTCAGGGGCGAGAGAAGCATCAATGTGGAGTAATAAGCCCGCCCTCTTCAAGGCCAAAACCAATTGGCAAAGGAAGCACTTTCACTCCCATCACAAGGAGTAAACGAGTCATTCAAGCGAAAGCACGAGTGGTGCTGTGACAAGTGCCCAGCAGAAAGGGTGGATTAATTGGATGTCGATGACCTAGTTGATATATAAGGTAACAGACCTTGGGAAGTCCGTGACCGTGACCGGAGAACATAGATGCCAGTGAACAGTGTGGTTGCGGACCTCCCAAGCCTAGTAGCCCTTGTTGTTGTTTGCTACAGGTAACAGAAGGGGCAAGAGGTAACGACTAGTGTAGTGCCAAAAAGTACTGAGTAGTACATCATTCCGTCCCGTACAAGCAAGCCATGGACCGTGGGCACACGAGGACACGCTTTAGTTGACAAAGCTTTGCGTTGATCATAGCTTATTCTTGCAGTTGATGTGTAGAGACGTGGCTAGCGACATGGGTAGGCTTTGATAGCTTTATGAGACCAGAATACGAGTGTCTATGACCCAGGTGCACAACAGACGAAGAGAGGACACTGTACTCGTAGTTAATGAACGGTGGCCCTGTTGTGGCACCTGGCAAGGCACCCGCACTCGCACTCGCACTCTAAACAGAAAAGAGAAAAAGAACGACGTCATCTTGCGTGCCACCAACAGCCACAACCGGCAAACTGCGCTTCTCTCCTTTGGGTCCTTGTCTCGGCCTCTAATCCTTTGATTCACCTTTCAGCGCCCCCAGACTGACTGCGTCTGTACCGCATCTCATATCCCACTCACTCAAGGCACACCCTGCCAACTAATTCCCTATCATATCACCACATTGGCACCTTTGTCCACCTGACCCTCGTTGACCCCGATTTGTCGCATTAGGTGCCTTTACCTCACTCGACCCCAGTCCGTCAAGAGTACCATTTGGGTCTATCCGTTTCACACCGCGCTCTCTGTCCGATCAATTACATTAAACCTCCGTCACTTTCTATGGCAAGACCAACGCCTGCGACCCGCGTTTGAAAACATCCTTGCCATTCGGACGACCACAATATTATACCCATGAACACATGAATTGAGCCTTACACATCTTAGACATCGACACACATATGGAAACCTTGTCGGCATTGAGCTGAACGTTTCCATGACTCTCTTTCAATTGTCGCGAGGTTGCAGACACCGGAGTTGGACGAACGAGTGTCTGCATCCACGATGAAACCAGCAAAGTCCTCACAGCCTGGTATGCCAGCTCGGGGTCGATCTTCACGTACCGCTGAAGGTGATGGTTCAACCGCGTCCCCAGCGAAATCGAACCAGGGTGCAGGGGAAGGAGAGACTTCATTGGGGAACAGAAGTACCCAGGCGTCAACGGTCGCAACTTCCCCTCTTGTCCACCATCAGGTCACTCAAGTGCTTGCACGGGAATCTTCTGGAGGTATTGAGGCTATGCGACGTAGGATGAGTGCCGCCCTTGCCCAGAAACAGCAGATGCGCGCCGCAGCCTCCAGTTCTTCTCCTGATGTCGCCAAACAGTCTGATCTTCCCGACCCACCGCCTCCCCTTGTACATACCGAATCGAGTTCAGATGAATCTGTCAACACAGGCACGCTTTCCACCGATTCAGCCCGCACGATCAGAGCGGCCTTCGACACCACTCCGGGCACTGTGCGGACCCCGTCTTACCCTTTCCCACGCATGGCTCTTAGACTCAATCGAGGTCTCAGTCATCGCTCAGGTCCATCACATAAGCCTTTCACTCTTCTATCGCCTACCAGCGAGCCTCCTCCGAACCCTGATGCGCCGCCACCTCCGCCGTCGCAACCTCAGCGACAGACGTCCTCTTCCGACCTCAGTACTCCACTCGGCCAAACCATGAGCCCCGGCTTTCCTGAAGACCCCAATTTCCCAGCGCCTGATCTGTACGACCTTGTCCTCATGCTCAACGCAGAGCCAGGTCTGGATATGTGGTGGGTCAACGTGACCGAAATACTTTCAGAAGCATATGGTGCCGAGCGGGCATCTCTTGCTATTCCCGGCGACATCACCGACCTCGAGAATGTCCCCTGGGGCCAAAAGGCTACTTTCAATATCTATGGGAGTGAGGGCGTGCCTCCATCTCAACTTGGGTCGCTGACCGCTTCGGACGTCGACACCAGTTCTGTGGGCAGACGGCCGGACCCCTCAAGCAGGATGCCCAGTGACATGAGTACATTGTCCTCCCGTCGACCGCCTCTCTTGTCAAGACATTCCATCGCGGGTCCTATGCCAGACCTTTCTAACAGAGCATCCCGTCAGAGACCTGCAGGCCCGGTTCGTGCTTATAGTGCTGCCGTCAAAGAGGCGGAAGAACAGGCTTCAATGCTGGGTTCAGGTCTTCTGCCTAGGCTGACCAAACCGTCCTCCTCTGCTCGATCTGTATCTGTAGCAGAATCCGATCCATTGGGACTCAAAGGAACGTACAACTCTTCCGGTTCAGCGTCATCAACTCTCAGGTGCCATGTGCATCGTTCAATTCAGCCGCTCGAGGCAGAACCTGATCCTTTGATGATTCGAACTGGGGTTGCATCCCTATTTGGTAAAAGAAAACCAGTCATTCTGACAAGAGCATACTCAGAGGATGCCCCGCGGCGATCACCCATGCCGAAAGGTTGGGAAGATGATCGGAACACACCTACAACGCCCTCTGCGGCAAATGCAGAGGATCGCAGTACCAGTCGTTCCGAAGAACCACAACAGTCTTTCAATGTCATTCGCGCTTTCGATGAATACGAGCAGCCGGAGCCTTCCCCTTGGTCTCAAAGTCCTTCACCATCACCTGCGGCACGGCCTGATCCGGAGGAATCACCCTTTTTCGTTCAACCCACAGCATCAATTGACGAAACTGCCTTCGAACAAAACCCGCCTGCGTATGATTATGCGACTACGGCCAACCAGTCATTGAACGCAATTGGCGCCGACATGTCGAAGACGTTGATACACATACCCTTGATACAGCCCATTCTGGCCCGAGGTACAATGGCGTCCAACTTGCGCTTTCCCATTGCCATCCTGTCGTTCCTGTCGCCTTTAGCGCCATATCCTCTCAGCTTGCGCCAATCGCTGGAAGCACTGTTGCCACATCTAGCAAGCTCATATTCTCTTGCACAACAGTATAGCGCACTTCAGGATCGCCTCAGGGGAGGGCCTGGAAGCCGCCATGGTGGTGCTTTTGGACTGGGCGGCACATTCTCTGATGAAGGTTCCGAACTAGAACTGGTCGCAGAACTGAGTGAGCAAGTAGCGCATGATAAGGATAAACCGAGGGGTTGGAACCTCCAAGAAGCCCAGAGTCCCGCAGGGTTCAGCTCCTCTAGTTCTGTATCGAGTACGCCTCAGATGGACCAACTTGGGCTTAGTCCCGGTCTTCCACCCACACCAGGAAGGTCAGGTTCGGACATGATTGACAGCTACTTCTCCGCGCGGAGGCGTGCTGGACAACAGCCTCTCACTCCGGGTCCGCGGGCAAGCAAAGATGACACTGACCATGCAAAACGGTCGTCCGACAAATCTTCCTCCGGCTCCAAGACAACTGCGAAAAAGGCGAGCGTCAGCAAACCAAAGCCCGAAATGCAAAGCCCCGTCATTCTGCGAACAGGAAGTACTGCTTCCGGTACCGAAGTGGTCACGCACCTCTATGACAGGCTTGACTCGGTATCTCGGCGTCAGACACAGCGACGGGAGAGTCAGGCCTTGGAGGAGGGCGAAAGACCACTGCCCGAGCTGATATCGTCTCTGATGCTCAACGCAGTGCCTCTTCAGTTGTTTCTAGCCAAGCCCACGACGGGAGATCTGGTTTGGACGAACCGCAAATTCGACGCTTTCAGGAGTCAAGGAGAAGGCCGTGTACGAGACCCATGGAAGAATGTTCACACAGCAGACAGAACCGGCTTGGTGAAATTGTGGAATGAGGCCTTACGGACTGGAAGTCAATTTACTCACTATATCCGAGTCAAGCGATTCAACAGCGACAACGACTTCCGTTGGTTCGTATTTCGGGCAAGTACGTTGCTCAGCAGTAACGGTCAGCTTTTGTACTGGATTGGGTCATTCCTTGATGTGCACGAGCAATACATCAAGAATCTCGAAGCGAGTGAGAAGGACGCAATCATGGCTCGGGAGACAAAGATCCGTGCTTTGGCAGATGCCATTCCTCAGGTCCTCTTTGAAGCTATTGAGGGAGACGGCATCGTGGCGGTCAACCAACAATGGCACTCATATTCGGGGCAGACTTTGGACGAAGCTCGTGGCTTAGGCTTTGCAAAGCATGTCCATCGTGATGATCTCCACAAGTGCGGCATCCTGTCACCATCAGATGTTGCTGCAATTGCACGGTATTCTGCGGCGACGAGTCGGACGGATTCATCGAGCGATTCGAACAAGACAACAGGACCCTCCTTGCCCGCACAAAAGAACCTCTTCTCTCCTGATCTTTCCTCGCTCGATCGCATGATCAAATCGGGATCTGTCACAGTCGAGAAGGATGAAAACGGTCGATTGTCGTACCTCACCGAGATTCGTCTTAGATCTAAAGGTGGGGAGTACCGTTGGTTCCTTGTTCGATTGGTGCGAGTAGATACAGGCTTGTGGCAAAGTCAGAGTGGGCGCGCATCTTGGTATGGCACATGCACGGATATCGAGACACGGAAAGCACTCGAGAGGAAATTAAACGAGGCCAACGAAAAGGTGCATTCAGAAATGGAGTCCAAGACGAAATTCTTTGCAAACATGTCTCACGAGATCCGGACACCACTAAACGGCATCCTGGGCAGCATGCCGTGGTTGGTTGACTCGGCTCTGGACCATGATCAGAGACGTACGGTGGACACCGTCCAAAACAGTGCCAATAACCTAAGAGAACTTGTCGACAATATTCTAGACGTTACCAAGGTTGAGGCGGGTAAGATGACGCTACTGCCCAAATGGTTTCACGTGCGCAACCTATGCGAGGAGGTGGTGGATACTGTCTCTTCACGAGCGATCGAACGTGGCCTCGAGCTCAATTATTCTTTGGAAGGCAATGTTCCCACTATGGTGAAGGGAGATGCCTTCAGGGTTCGACAAGTTCTACTCAACCTGCTCGGGAACGCGGTGAAGTTTACTGAGCAGGGCGAGGTGTATATGCGATGTGCACTTCGACGAGACAGTCCTGTCATGAGTCCGTCCGGGAACAGCACCAGTCGTACCCTGCTTTCCTTCGACGTCGTCGATACTGGACGTGGATTCAATGAGAATGAATATCAACGATTGTTCAAGCAATTCGGGCAGATTGGAGGCGGCACCGCGCACGAAGCAGGCTCAGGCTTGGGATTATTCCTTTCGAAACAACTGGTGGAGATGCATGGTGGGGAGCTTTCTGTCAAGAGTCAAGCAGGGGAAGGCTCGACGTTCAGTTTCTACATCAGAGTCGAAGTTGAGCCGCCCGGTACCGACGTTACTTCGCCTCCGGTCACCCTACGGCCAGGGCAGAACAGACGGGCCCCTTCATTGAGTGGAAGCCCATGGTCGCGTTCGGACAGCAAGACGCCTACCATGGCGTCCACGAGAGGCCCATCGCAGTCAGAAGGAATTATTCAGACTCCAGGACTCTCGCGATACGTCAGTTCTCCCGAACATGCCTCGCCCGCCGTATCTTCGCCAGTCGGATCTACACCGCCAGTCGTCTCCCCGCCAGTCATTCCGTCTGAAAGCTCTGGAATCTCTCCTTCTGTGCGGTCAAACTCCGGAAATGTCATGCCTGCTTCGTCCGTATCTTCGTTGATTCCGACTCCGGAGTCCGGACCATCACGGGAGCCTGTCGTTCTCCCGAGTGAACGACAGGCATACTCAGACAAGGTAATATCCGCTCAGCCGATCTTTCGACGTGCGAAAAGTGGCGACGATGCCAGTGCGATTGTCCCGGAGATGGCACATCCTCAGACATATTCCATCATTATTATCTGTCCTGCCGAACATGCGCGAAAGGCCATTAAGCAGCACATTGAGCACGTTGTTCCACATCAGATCGCTGCCAACGTGACTACGATCCCGAACATCGGATCCTTTTTGGATCTCATGAATGGACCCACATCACCAACTTTCACGCACATCGTTTTGGATATCCCCGCGACCTCTGATATCATGCTTTTCATGCGCCAGATGGCCACGTTCACTGCACCAGTGATCCCATCTTTGGTGGTGGTAACAGATCACTACCAGAAGAGAGACATACTAGAAGATTTTACCATGTTGACCGCCACTGGCCGCAAAGCCTACCTGATCCACAAGCCGGTCAAGCCTTCAGTCTTTGCCATGATTTTCGATCCAGCTCAACTACGAAATCTTAGCAAAGATCGAGCACGAGAGGTCGCTCAATCCAGCTCCGACGATTTCCAGTACATAGTGAAGCTGGTCAAAGAAACGGTTGGTGACAAAGACAAGCGCGTCTTGCTCGTCGAAGATAGCGATGTGAATCGGATGGTGATCCAGCGGTATCTTAAAAAGGTAGCACTGAGCAATGACAGCGCCAAAAACGGTCAGGAATGTGTCGATATGGTCACAGACAAAGGGCGTGGGTATTATTCCCTGATCATTTGCGATATTCAAATGCCGATCAAGAATGGGTATGAGGCGTGCCGGGAGATTCGAGAATGGGAGAAAAGCCACGGATACTCACCATCGCCAATCATGGCACTTACGGCCAACGCCATGCCCGAAGAACGAGCCGCAGCAGCCAATGCTGGATTTACCGACTATCTCACAAAGCCTGTGGATTTCAACGTGCTGGGGACCATGATGATGACGCTACTGGACCCGACCGTGCCACACGTGTTTCTTCGTGATAGGCCTCTTGAGGGTTGAAGAGTAAGACAGATTAACCATGCTTGGCTGCATTCTCCACAGATGGCGGTATGCATAGGTTCATCATCAGGCGTTACAGCGATGCGTTACATGTTGTTTACAAAATGGGCGTTATGCAATTCCACGCCGCTTTCTGCATTGCGTTGCTAGCAGCGTGGGCTGATATGGGTCAGCGGTTTACATTTGCGTTGTTTGGGGCGAGACGCTTGGTCCACGAATTATGGAGGTAATACTGGAAGGCGAATATGTGTTAGGATTCCTGGTATGAAAAGCGCGGGCAATGCAAATCAGGCGTTTTCTTTGACATGGATGCCCAGTGAAAGGGGCAAAGGGAACGATAGCAGTCAACTGAATGAAAACGATGATGATAACGGCACTATGGAGCTAGCATCAGATGAAAAAGTTGTCAATGGGGTATCGCACCCGCGCCAAAGAGATCGCGAAGGGCAATGTACTCGTTTATTGCTTGTATTGTAAGGGTAGGAGTAATGTGAGGTACAGTAGTCTGTGAAAATACCCTTCGAGGCTCTGATAGACAGATGCCAAGCCTAGTGTGTCCTGAATGATGCCTGCCTGTAAGTTACTTAGTGCCTTTGGAACTGCTGACGGTGAAGCCCGTTTTATTTCGTAAGTTTGGACTTTGCAACGCTCGTCACTGGCTGGCTGCGCTTTGCAAATGATTTTACCCTCGCCGAACAGTCCATGGGGGTGTTCAACAATGAAAAGTGTTAGCACTACCGTATTTATTACTGTGTATGACTTGCCTGATTTCCATTATGGTTTCAACGAAATTCCGCGCCGAAATTGCTTGCCACAGATCGGTTCTAAACTTGCATGGTCACTGTGCCTGCGATACGATAATTGAACAGGATAAACGCCGCATCAGTCATGGTCCTTCAGGCCCAGCCAGAAACGCAGAAACCACCCACACCCATGACAGCTCGTGTTCCACACTACTTACGCCATCTCGCAACGACTCTCTGCACCCTGATGCCCACGCTTGACCTCTTCCTGACCGCTCTCCTTGCTGCTTCAGCCCTTCCGCAGACTCCTTTCGTCTGCGTACTCTCCAATCCTCAACCGTTGCCGAACACACACGGAAAAATAAGAGTACACTACGGTCATCTCAGGTCACCATGAAATACGCAGCATGTCCTCGGTCTGATTCTCCCCTGATGGAGCACACCTATCCTCCTCGTATCTCGCACTCTTTCCATTCGCCTCCATATCTTCCAATGAAGCCAGCATTCGTCGACAATCATGTCGATAACCTCGCCGCGTCCCGAGAACCCCCCTGCCACGACTCTCACAAGTTTCCGCGTCCTCGTTCTTGAGCAGCCACTCCCGTCTGCCGCTTGCTTCCTAGATCCCGCAACTAAGGACCAAAAGACATGGCGAAATGGCTGGTCGGTCCAATGATCGACCTCTGCTTCCCGTTTCCTTCCCTGACAAGGACCCAGCTGAGACTATCATCCCACCTTGCTCCTCCTGCTCCCGTTTGATCATGGAGGGCCACCTTCCGCTCTCTTTGGTCCTTTCCCCCAACGATTTTCTTCTCGCTCTGCCGGGCGGAAGGCCACGGACGGCGCCGACCCTGCCTGGCAATCTTCTTCCACATTGGTCTCACGCTTTTCCTTCTCTTGCTTCATGAGCGGGGTCGTGGTTCTTCATTACACCATGGAGTCCGTCAAATCTGTTGTCACATTGGCCGGCCCTGATGGAGGTATGAGTTGTCAATCTCGACCCCTGTGATGAGGATGGCGCTGGTTTCGCCTATAAAAACCTGCTCGTTCGTCCTGGAAGTTCTGCTTCCTCCCTCTTCCTTTCTTATCACTCAGATCCCCAGTCCAACGGCTCTTCTTTGCATTGACACAATACTACCTGGCACAAAGGTCTCACGACTAAAACATCTCCTTCATCAGCTTAGTTGTTACCTCACCTCTTATATTCATTGTCCTCACCTGCTATCAAAATGTCTACTCATGTGTCCCGTCACCCCACCAGCTATTCCGCTCACAAGTCCCCACTTCCCATCACCATGCCTCCCAAGACGCCAACCCACAGCTACCCCGTACCAAGGGGTATGTCCCCTCCAGAATTCTCTGACACAGCGACCTCGTATGGTGGAAGCCGTACATCGGGGGGTTCTTTCTCGGCTCGGTCTAGCTACGCTCCAAGCCACAGCAGCGGCGAATACGATTCCTATGCTCCACATCCCAGTGTTGATGTCGTGGACATGCTGAGCGAGAAGATGAACAATGCGTTCGACCCCATCAAAATGGATCGCTCCCTCGCGTATCAAGCCCAAACGTGAGTATTTTGACGGATGAAAACATGAATCTGGGCTGACTTCGCAACAGATCCGGCCAGCTGAACGCTAAGCAGCGAGAATTGCAGGAGTTGCAAGCGTTGGCACGACGGCGGCTGAAAAGCGCCAGGGTGAACTTTGCTGAAGGTCTCGAAGACGCTCGCGAAGTTCGACGGAATATCGAATACTCGACAAAGAAGGTGGCGTAAGTTCTCAACCGGGCTCTTCGTCTGCGACTTGCTCTGACACGCAACGCAATAGTTCTATGAAATCCAAGGCTGAGAAGAAACACCCAGAAGCATATGCGGAAGCCAGTCGCAACCGTCATACTTGATGCCGCGACGACTGACGATGGAACGAAGCCACGAATTTCATTATTTTCTTACATGAGCGTATTTCCTAGTACTTGAAAATCTTCCGCCCAACAATCCCGAGTTGGGCTGGGAGGAGACAATTTTCCGCGCCAGATACCAAACAGCATAGCAATTTTGAGCGACGTCCATTAGCAGCAAATCGGGATTCAACACGAACATCGAACAATCATTCGCCAGGAAGCCCAAGAGCTGCCTTGGCGGCTGTCCGCCAGTGTCGTTGACGTGGCAGTCGATTCAAGCTCCGCTCCACCCCACGCATTAGGTCGAGTCAATTGCTGCTTTTGCCCCGCAGGTTGCAGGGCGATGGCGTGCATGACGCCAGTCCCGTTTTTGCCCCCAGAAATGGCCCAGTGTCAAATTGCACTGCAGCGATCGACTTTGCAGGTGACCGGCAGAGCGACCGGCGTGGGTGCCACACGACTGGCATGCAGGTACGCTTGCCATTTTCACCCATTTGGTACGACCTCTCACCTTGTCTTATTGGCGTGGAACCCGCCAGGGCCTTTTCCATGGGACCTGGTGTCCGTTTCAGTCACAAGACCTTGCAATCTGCAGGTGATGATGCCCCAAGGCTGCAGATGGTGTGGAGCTTTTGATGTGGCTGGCTAAGCCAGATTTGGCGTTGAGCCAGGGTCCTGAAGCATCAAGAGATGAAGAGGAGGGTGGGTGAAGTCTGGCCTAAAGCCATTGATTGATTCACGGCACTTATGGCGGTATAACGAGTACCGCTCGTTACGTGGCTCGGAGGCTGTCTGTCAGGGTATCTGGCTATTTCCTCCGTGTATTCGTACTTCTCATGTATTCCTTTCGTCACAATGGGAGAAAAGTGTCGAGTTCCTAGCCGGTCCTGCCACTAAGTCTCTTGTGACAGGGAGATTTGTAGAGTGATGTCGCAGCCCGGAACAAATCCCGGTAGTCCCTAATCTCAGTGGTCTTGTGGGCTTCACGGGCATGGTTACGGGCACAATCAAGTGGCTTTGGCACCTGCCTGTCAAACAGAAAGCGTAGATTGGGTGGCATAACGTCCCTGTGAGAAACAAGGCCCGGGCGTTTTCATGGGTTGTCATGGCTGCTACTGTAATGAGCAGAGACAAGGCTCCAAGCCCCTTAATTCTAAGCTGTAATCCACCACCTGCACGCCCGGAGTGGCTCCGCCTAATAGGTGGCTTGGGAATGTCTGCGTGCCGTCCAGCTTCCGGAGTCCAAGGCACTCCAAGACTGGACTTCGCAGGGTTCTTTGATACCTGTGTGTCTGGTATGCCTTTCATGTAATGTATGAGTGGTGGTCAGTCCGCACGGCGAATCGGGATTTTCTGTGGAGGGATCGGAGCATATTCTGTTTCTGAAGTGTAGTAGCCTTTTCTTGATATGTACACGCGGTGCATCAACGCTCTGATGAGAGGCGGGAGGTGATGGCTCTTCATAATGACGCTCTCCGTCAAAGAAAATCAACAAATGCTGAATGGTGTGCTTGACGGATATTGCTTCCCGTGCCCATGCCAGCTGACATCTCGTCTCCGCAGTCCTGAGTCAGAGTGCCCAGCTAGGTACTAGTACGACGCTTCCATATGGTTGTTAGGCTAGATGATGCTGTGGCACTTGTGCGCAAAGGTCGTGCAGAGACGGCTTCCTTTGTCTTGCTGGTAGCGCACGAGTAGATACTAATCCTGTTCCCAAGTATGAAATGACAAGACGTACTGCCTCTAACGGAATCCATCCTAGTCGTGGAGTCACTGCGGTGCTGAAGCTCAGAATGGCTCGAGGAAGGACCGTAAAAAGATGTCGACAATCTGTGGCTAAATGTGAAAGGCATGGAGAGTCGATTCGTGGCATCCATGGTAAGACCCTCACTTCGTCTTTCCCAGGTCATTGCCGTTCTTGTCCCGGAGTCTGGCCCAGGGATCGTCAGATACGAACCCTGGCTTGAAGAATACGGTGTCTCCGTTCGCGTTGACTTTGCCGCGTGCCCATTCTTCGAGGTCGGTCCTGGTGTAGTAGGTGTTGCTGATGGGTGATGTGAACGCGTAGGAGGGAGGTTGCGGTGTGAATGACATTTGGTTGGGTTGGGATTGAAGTGAGGTCTCAGTGGTGGGTTCGTTGAACACCCTGGGTTCCCCAAGAGGGACTTGATTCGAGCCGGATGCGGACATGCTGGAAGGCGCGAACGTATCCTGAGATTGTGTGTCTATGCGATAGTCAGAATCTGAATTCCAGGGAGCGTAAATGCAGCAGATTGCGTGCTTTGGGCAGGAGTGTGTAGGCGACGGGAGTGAAGCCATGGATTGATCTATTCCGATGGGAGGCTATCTAGTCCCTTTGCGACGGTGAATGAGGAATATTGCACGGGAGTATTGGGGCGGTAGCCTGGTCGAAAAAGACCTTGCTCAGAGAAGGATGACGCATTTCATCGTCCACGAGGATGTCTAACTGCCGTTCTCTCGATGACTCTTTGCGAATAGCAGGCCAGTTCCCGCCCAGAGACTTTCCCTGAAACAATTTCTTGGTGCATATAGGGCGGTTAGATTTTGCTAGGCTTACCGCTTTGCTCCTTGGGACGTCGGACCGCGAAGGAACTGAACCCCATAGCCTCCCGCATAGCGGCCTCCACGTCGACCTCCGGAGCCTCGTCTTCCGACATTGTGTGTCGTCCTTGTAAGCTGGGTTCTGTGAAAGCAAAGTGGAAGGCGGGATGCAAGAGTTGAATGGAGAGAGAGAGGATGATGGATGAGAGGTCAAATTGATATTGAAACAATTGATCAAATGACATGTCTGACACACAGATAACTGTGGAGATACAGAATGTCGCACTGGCAGAAACCCTCAATTTCTCCGCCCCGTTTGTCCGCCGACTTCACTTTTCCGAATCAGTCTTCAGCTAGGCCAGCAATCCTGAAAATGTAGCGATGTCCTAATCTTTGTCCATATGCATCAGTGGATGTCGGCGGCGATCGTTCTCGCCCTCTTTTCGTGCGGTTTGTGACTGCCCAGGCAGCAGAATCATCACTGATGAGACCTTGCTGATCGTCTCGACTGATGTTGGTTACGAAAGGAACCCCAGTGAATGCTAGACATAGAGTCGCTACCCTAGGCTCACGGTGGTTCGCTGGACTAGAGCTTACATATTTTGCTCCCTATTTCCAGGTAAGATTGCTTATGCCTGCAGCCTTACGGGGTGTGTTCAAAAACACCGAAAAGAGTGAACATGGACGACCTTCAATAACAACAAGAACGCCTCGCAGCTGAGGACAGTCAGTGACTATCATTCCAGAATGGAAAAACTGAAGAATTCGTCGTTGGACCCGATTAAAGCAGTACCAGGCCTTTGCATCTCAGAGTACGCCGTACGGAATCAGCCAGGACTCTGCTGACGCACTGTCTTCAGTCGAGTCGCAGCGTCCTCACCACCAGAACTGCGGTCTCAAAACATAAGGAGGATATTGTCAGTACTACAGCCACATGACATACTCAAGCCCACCACATTGGCTTACGACGACAACGACGTTGAATGCAGCGGAGGCCCTGCTCAGATCCAGTTCAAAAGTATCCTGATTGACGACGACCCCACGATTGACATCCTCCAGCATCTTGGTACAGCTTGTGACTGGATCCAGGATGGGTTGCAACCAATGTCCAAGGATGGTGCAGAACCTCCCCGGGGTGTGTTGGTCCATTGTAGGCAAGGCAATTCTCGATCAGGAGCATTTGTCGTGGCGTATAGTAAGTCTTTGTCTTTACCATAACAACAAGCATAGCAGACTGATCAGCGATCGACTTGCCGCTGACCAGTAATGTGGACCTTCAAATAACATACTCCGCAGCCCTGTCACTGGTCATCTGCCCTAATGATTGTTTTGAAAAGCAGCTTCGCGTGTGGGAGCATTGCAGATACGATATCTATTTGGAGGTTGAAGAAGATGCTGGCTCAGAGGGCAGGAGGGAGAGAAAGGAAAAGCCGGCTCACAAAGCCTGGAAAGCTCGGCGAGATGACCTCCTAACAAGGGGCGAAGGAGACGTCAACAGGGCGCGGGACTCATCTTTGGCGAATGCTGCAGCTGCTTTGGGTAGATGCCGGCTCGAGGACCTCGAGATCCAAGCAGCCGAATAGGTGAAGAGGGCGCGAGGGGACCAGAAGAAGTTGCAGCATCTTATTGATGTAACACTCTGCGGCAGGTTTCATGCCCGTGACCTGCTCCCCCTCGTCCTTCCATTACTCGGGTTCACTCTTGTGCTGTGGTCGATCTCTTGTAATCTGTCCAACAGGTTGAAGACCGTCGCATCACCCTGTGTCAAGATACGCTCCATGTTCCTGATGCGACCTTGACTCCCGAAAACTGCTGCTTTATCGATCCCGCCTTGGTCCGAGATCTTGATCCGACCCAGCCTGTCATCCGACCACAGTATGCGCACTTGCCGAGCATCAACGCCGGTTGCTTCGAACTCTCGCACGCCAAATTTGCCAACCGGTGTTTCGACGTCTGGTACGGAACCACCGTGATGGCCTGAACCTTCCTCAGGTCGTTGCTCATTGCTGTTCTCTGTGGCCTTCTTTGTTGGCATCGCCAATTGTTCTCGTATAGACCCAATAGCATCCTGCCTCGATCTCCACGCGACGAGATCATGTCGGATTTTATTTATGAGGCCATGCAGATCTTGTTTCGGCGAGGCTCCACCACTGCTCAAAACAGAGTCCTCCGAACCATATCCTTCGTCAGCGGGCGGGAGGTATCGCTTCTCGTATTCCTGAAGCGGTACGAAAGCAGGAATCGTGTGGCGATGGATTCGGAGTTCCTGGCTTATAACGGGTCCCTCCCCACCGCCTGCGCGGATACAGAACAGGTAATATGGACTATCAAGGCGACCGGTGCGATCGCATATATCGATCTGGATGCCCAATAGGGGATTTCTGGATTGTATCTCGGGACTCGGGTCGTCGAAAGGGAAGGAGATCACCCCAATGCCTAGGCGGTGAATGTTTAATGAATATTGTTGTGTGGCAAATTCAACCGCAGGAGAGACTGTTCCATTGGCGGAGAGATGTTCTTGGATCACCGTGGATGATATCAAAGACGATATGAGGAGCTTCTGGCGTCTAGTAAGGCTGTCGACTGCGTAGGTTTAGATGTGTTAGTGGTGTGTGAGAGCAACGTAGGTGTGGGTGGAATCGAGGCGCATACTTTCGGCTCTTACTTTGGCGATGTCCTCGTCCAGTGCATCACTGATGTCTTCGGGAGTGGAGACACGATTCCCAGTTTGAGGAGGTGCTGTCAGTGCCATCATGAGAAGACCTTAATGGACTTGATTGTTCATGTTGAAGAGTCGCAATGGATGACTACAATCTTCAATCGGGTTGACCTCGGCTGTCGACGCGTGCGATTATTGAACGAACACGTCATCACGTGTCAGGGGTAAAAGATAAGTACTATCGTAAAGTGTAGAGGAAACATCAAAGTTGGGAGGGGATGCCACCTTTCGCATATTGGACCTTCCGCGCAAAGGGGAGCAGATACCATGTCCACAATGTCGTGAACACTGCTTGGGAAGGAGGACATCTATACAAGATCCCTCCTTCTCGCAATCTGTTTACAAATCGATGACTTCACATTTTTTTCTTTCTCAAATCCCCGAAGTCTCACTGGTCCACTTGTTAAAGGACACAGAGTCCTCTTCTATATCCCTCCACTCACGCTCCTTTCGCCGCATGTATGCCTGACTCCATTGCCGAACCACTCGCGAACCCACTCTTTCATATTCGGACTTCCTCTATAGATCATCAGAGCCTTCCTTACCACCATAATCACGTCCCGCCTAGAACCCACGAAGAAGAACGATCTGCAAGCGAAGTTGAACTTGACGAATTCTCCAGGACACAAAAATACACAACCAAATCTCCACACGTTACATTCTCGTTAGCCGAAGACGAAGAAGTGGAATTGTCGGACTCTGAGCATTCTGAAGGAGATCACCTTGTTCCCGAGAACCTTGTACACCAGATGAAACGCAACAAGTCCAAAAAGAATAAAGACAAACGATCGCCTTCCCGTCCGAACCTGCGTATTGATACCGACACAAACGGACATGCGAATGGCCACGCGAACGGAAACATGGATAAACATATGGAAATGAGGCGCAAGCATGTCTCGTCCGACGACCCAGCAGCAAATGCTACGAGGACAATAAGTAGAGATGACTTTAGCCTCGACAATGAGCCACTGGCACCACAAACACCACAGACACCTGGAATGGTCAACACCAGCTTCTCGAACCTGCCTCCACAAGACAAGAAGAATTTCCTTCTACTTGTCCTCCTCTACTTTCTCCAAGGGATACCAATGGGTCTTGCCTCTGGGTCGGTCCCGTTTCTGCTCAAGAGCTACCTGTCGTACGGTCAAATTGGCATCTTCTCCCTTGCGATATACCCATATTCCTTGAAACTCCTGTGGAGTCCAATCGTGGATGCTGTATGGAGCAGACGGTTTGGCAGGAGAAAAAGTTGGATCACCCCAGTACAGACCGTTTCTGGCCTGTCCATGATCTACCTCGGCGGCCGGATTGACGAATTGATGCACAAAGCAGGGGCGAAGGATGGCTCAGGGGTGTGGGGGTTTACAGGCTGGTGGTTCCTTCTGGTTTTCCTCTGTGCGACTCAAGATATTGCCGTGGATGGTTGGGCCATATCACTCTTGTCCCTGCAGAACATTTCGTACGCTTCCACGGCACAGACGGTCGGTCTGACTGCAGGCTCTTTTCTGTCGCATACAGTTTTCCTCGCACTGCAAGCGCCTGATTTTGCCAACAAGTGGTTTCGAGCCGTGCCGAAAGAGTATGGCCTGCTGACTCTTGGCGGCTACATGGCGTTCTGGGGCTGGGCTTACCTCCTTGTAACCATCGGCATCGCCATCATGAAAAGAGAGGACAAGACAAACGAGCGTGAGGGGATTCTGGACGTCTATCGCAGCATGTGGGCTGTGCTTAGGCTACCAAACATCATCACGATTCTGATCATTCACCTGATCGGAAAACTCGGTTTCGTGACCAATGACGCAGTCACGAACTTGAAATTGCTTGACAAGGGATTTGGACAAGCCAACATGGCTTTGGTTGTGCTGATCGACTTTCCCTTCGAACTCGGGTTGGGATACTACGCCGGTAAATGGTCAACGCAATACACTCCACTGAAATTGTGGTGCTGGGCATATGTGGCGCGACTGGTCGCTGCAGTGTTTGCGCAAATCACGATCATGATATATCCCACAGCCGTCGACGAAGCTGTACCTCTCTGGTATATGCTTGTGGTGATTGCCGAACACATTTATTCGACGTTCATGAATACGGTCATGTTTGTTGCTGTGGCCGCGTTTCACGCGAGGATCGCCGATCCAGCAATTGGGGGCACCTACATGACCTTGCTTGCTACGTAAGTTCTCTTCTCCACCACTCTCTCCATCACATTTGCTTACTCTTTGTCCGCAGGTTTTCCAATCTAGGTGGCACATTTCCCAAATTCTTCATACTCAAGTTCGTGGACGTGTTTACAAAGGCGACCTGTCTTCCTCCCGCCGATCCGGATGCATTTACGAAAGCCAATCCGGGCATCACACCGATAACGCAATCGTTCAGCTGCGCACTGGAATCCGACAAGAATCTCTGCCTGAAAGGTGGCGGGACGTGTCTGATGCAGCGTGATGGATACTACATTACGAACACCGTCTTTGTAATCACCGGCGCCATTTTGTTTTGGATGTATATCGAGAAGAAGGCCCTGGCGCTACAGGCACTACCGCTACGTGCATGGCGAATTCAAGGGGATCAGTCGTATCATCGGGTTGCGACGAGTTGAATGGTCTATAGATCGAAAGATACCCTATCAAATTAGCATGTTCGGTTGAAATGTATACAATATCTATCACTACCAACCCTCAGGCTGTTGACTCTCATGTCGTAGCCACTCGCTCCACTGAATGTCCATAGAGGGTGGGTGGGTAAAGCGAGAGTATAGAGCCATCACGTGATATCAAAATTGATGTCAAGGATTTGTAAAAGAGAGTCATGCATATTCGCATCCACTGTTCCCACCGGAACGAGGATTAGACTAGGCACACCAAAGACTCGGGCAGGACTACTCTATATGTTGTGACATATGGAGAGACAACCTCGAAATTGATATTGATAGTAGAATCTACAACTCACAGACCATCTCCGTGTCTCGGAAACAACTATCATGGAGCACACCCTGTCAAACGCCACAACAACCTCCCCTGCACCATCTTCACCGTCAACAACAGTGACCACACCGGAACAATCGCCCGGCGCTGACGATGATATCTGGGACACATCATCTGACCACCATGATATACCGCGAGCCAGTGGTGGCGGCGGTGATGATGGTGAGCACGATGCGGGTGGCAGGTCGATCCTCAGCGACGTCCCCTCCGTGCGTCGCCAGCACATGACGGACGGATACCGCGAGGGTCTGGCCGTGGGGAAAGCGAACGTCATGCAAGCCGGATTTGACGCTGGGTACCCTTTTGGCGTGGAAGTGGGGTTACGTGCTGGGACGGTATTGGGCGCGCTGGAAGGTGTGATAGCTGGATTGCGGAAGAAGAGCACCACGGCGAACATAACTGCCGATAGTGGTGTGGGTGTGGGCGTTGGCGTTGACGGTGGTGACGATGTTGCCAAAGACAGCGCGTTCCTGAAGGACCTTTACGAGCGGGCGAGCCGGGAATTGAGTATCTCAGAAATCATGAGGGGCATGGACGATGAGAAGATTGATCGGATGGGTCAATCTCAGTTACAAGGAGACGCAAAAGAAGGACATGGCCTACCGCCCGAGATCGAAGAGGCGTTGAAACGGTGGGAGGAGCTTGTTCTAGGCTGTCTGTCGGCGAAGACAAGGCGCGGTGAGCAGTCCAATGATTGAATAACGATTTCACCCACAGAACATGACCGGGGCGCAATGGGCAGAAGTCTGTCCCTTACGCTGACACGGACGCGATGACCGAAAAGGTTGCTACGGGCTGCCGCTTATATCGCAAAGCCTGGAAACACCTATGCTCAAGACTGCCTGGGTTTACGGCCACGGTTGCAACGCGGTGACGATGGAGAAATCGGAATGTGGCGAGATTCTGCATGAGGTCTACATTTTCAAGAGAACTCGGTATGATACTGGGAACGACAATTTCACGATCGACCAGCGCTTCATATGTGAACCACGATCCATGTAAAAACGAACACGTGGACACAATGTCGAAGAAGCAGTGGAGGCAAAACAAGCATTACGCCTGGGATACACATCCAGATCGGCGTACACCTTGTGAAAGCTTTAAGATGAAAGAGGCGAATGAGGACTCCCACGCAAGGAGAGAAGCAAGCTTGAAGAAGGTCGAAGCACAATGTCTTGGATGCACGAGTAGTCGTGACAGCAGTGAAATCGTCCATCTAGGTGAGGCTAACACGCTCACAATTGAACCAAATTCCGAGAGGATTGGCATTCTGCGGACACGAAGTCTCGATGTCAGGACTTTGTTGATCCTGGTTAGACAGTGTTGCAGAGGTAGACGCTCCCACCACTCAGAATCCAGAGGCGACTATCCCAGCCTGGCATACCTCTCCCTTGCGCCGTCTCTAGTCTTCTGGGCGAAATCCTCATAATTGCCCTTCGTGTTCCTCTCAGCCTCTGCCACGGCATCACCGACTCTCCCACCTTGAGCACCCAATCCCACACCAGCAACGTAGATATCCTGGCTGATGGGCGCCGTCATGCCCTCTCCCGAAGCACCCAGGCCCTGACCAGCCGTGTATCCCATCTTGCTCAACAGCGAAGCGCCCTTGGACTGTACAGCTGGCGCAGCCTCGTCATCAGACTCTGACGCCTTCGACGACTTGGGACCCGCTCCAACTTGTTCTCCTTTCTTGTTGACGACACCATAGATCTTCCGTCTTTCGCGTGCACGGTCTCGATATTGTTGTTGCGTTTCGCCTGCTCGTTGATGTTGAATACCATGCTTCTCAAGCTTTCCGGTCGCTTTCTTGACTTTGAGTTCATCCTGCAGGTTCTGGCGGTGCAAGTCGCTCAGGCGTTCGTGCTTGTTGACCTCGGCGGCAGTGTTGAATTGGCGCATGCAGAGATAGCAGCAGTGTCTATTTGGGTCGGCGTACGACTGGCTTGGTGGTGCACCATTGTCCTCGGTCGACCTGGAAGCATCGCTATTGCTCGCCTTTATGCCATGAAGCTCGGCATGCCTGCTGCTCCAAAATTGGAGATGTGACGGCGCCGGCTTCTTGACACCAGCAGCTTCGCTTTCGATTTGTGCTTTTCGCTTCTTGCTCTTGTCTGACTCTTTTGCTTTCAGACCTCCTAGATCCGCCGGGATCGAAGCGGGCTTCACATCTCGATTTGCAGGAGTAGGCATAGATACTGCCAACTCGGTGACATATGCATCCTCGTCCCAATACGCTAGCTTCATTGCAGGGTTGCCAATCGGGCTGAAAGTGAAGCGTTCAGTGTCCGGAGAAGGACCGAGGACTGGCACAAAAACACCAGCATGAATGAAGCTGACCAAGACCTGCTTTGACGCAATAGTGAATCGGTCGAAGGAGTTGTACCTCGTTACTGCAGCTTGTGCGTCTTCAATAGAAGCATATTCTGCGAAACCATACCTCCAACTGTCGTTGGTTCTCCGGTCACGCACGAGGAGTACACGCCGCAAAGTGCCTTCTTTTGCGCCTAGGTTTGCATCTCCGGTCGTGGAAGCAACTTTTGCACCTTTCTTGGTGGAGGTCTCCTCTTTCTGTGCGCCAGAAGCACTTGGTTTGTTAAGTTTGGACACTCCTTTCACCAGCAACTCTTCTGTCACCGAAGGCTCAAGTCCCCTCAAAAGTAGAAATTGCGATGGTGCATTGTCTTGGGAAGTGTCGTTGTCTCCAACATTGACGGCTTTCGCAAGGACTTCATAACCAGGTTCTGGGGATTGTAAGTGAGAAATCCGTTTACCAAGTTCTCTCACATACCTGGTCTGAATTCCTGACATCTGAAGCATCTATTCCTGGTCGAGAAGTTGTTGATATTACACTGTTTCATCAGCTGTGGAAGTCTGGTACGTAGGACGAACATACGCTTGGGCAGATCCAGTCTGCATCCTCTGCACGAGGTGGTTCTTTACGTTCGCGACCGAATGTTATCCGAACTTTGGAAGCATCTCCATTAGACTTGGTGCTGTCACCATAAAGGTAAAGGACAGGATAATTGTGGTCCATAAAGTCCTCTGCCTCTTGCAACGTCGTAAAGCGTAGGAAGCCAAACTGTCTCGATTGCTCTGCTAAAGTGTAAGTAGCAGGTCCGGAACACCAGAAGTCACCTGCACTTACTGGTCTGTCGGTCACGAATGACGCGGACGTCGTCCAGATGTTGCACATGGTAGTATTGTTTCAATTCTGAAGTGATCTGTCCAGCAATTCCACGATCTTAGCCATAGCTCATTAAGTGAGAAGAAGCACCAATGACAAGCAGGATTTGATGTGCTCTTGTCAAGAAATTTGGGTGGGATCATCGAACATCGTTCTCAGTCAAGTGTGGCGCCAACCCTTCCATCATCACTTCTTTGCTTGGCCGCCCTCGACTTTGTGGTCTGTCTCCATGTGGACTCCGTCTTCTGCTTCGGCTTCGGCTCCGGCTGGGGTGACTGCGCGAGGAATGTGGGTGGTCTCGGTCATAACATTGTCTGCCACGACGAGGCGATGGCGACGCACGGTCGTTGTAAGCCCGATCGTCCTCTCTGTCGTAGTAGTCCAGTCCGTCCTGCTCGCGTTGATATCTCCGGTCGGGACTTCGAGCACTGCGGCCACGAATGTGGAATTCTTCTTGAGCGCTACCGGCCATTGCTCTGGATGTATCTTCAACAGTTCGCATCAGTATGTGTTCTTGACACGCTACGCCAGTCTGATCTATGGTTTACCATGCGGAGGACTTCGTCTGGACTGAGGAGGGGTGTTTCTGTGGGTGGGTGACTGAGGTTTTGAGACGTCGTCATATAAATCGTCTTGGTGAGTCGATGGGAGATGGCGATATGACTGTTGAGCGCCTCGTCCTCCTCGAGCCCGGTAGGACGACATTTTGTTTTATTCGCTGAATGTAAGTGCAGTCTACCTGGGTATGGGGAATGAGGCTCACAGGACTCATGTACATGGTGCAGCTCGGCAAAGTTACCTCCGGGAAAATGTACAATTATGGGCTAACATAAACTGGAGTCACCTAATGTGTCTAACGTACCTTATCCGGGAATATCATCACTCTTCATAGACAGTCTTAATGTCCTCTCAGAAACCTGCATGCTGGTGTACAGACGCGATCTTGTAGCTCCGCTAACCACTGACCAGCAGTCTCGCATACCCTTCGAAATGCAGCACTCACACAGCCTTTCCGCCCGCGGTTCTTCTGCCTAAAAAGCCCATCAACCTCTTTCCGCCCCTCTCCACGCTCGTGGTCCTGTCGGCAAATTTCTCGGCGTCGGCAGTAGCCATCGGGCCTTTCGCCTTCAATTTTGCTCTGACTTCTTCATCTATAGTTGGACCAAACTCGGTGACTGACGCTGGTGCAGTGAGTGGACCTGCTTTCCGAAGCATTCCCCCATTCGTGAAAGGACTCAATGGAGGCTTCTTTCTTTCAACGTCGAAATCTGCTCCGTCTATGTTGACCGTAAGTTTCTTCTTGAGACGTTGACGGGTGTGCCTGGGAGACCGAGTTGGGGACTTTGGTATTTCTGGTTCTGTATCCTCAGCTTCACCTCCAGACTTCTTCATGAGCTTGTTAGGTGACCCTGGGGATTTGGGCGAGCGGGGGACCGAAGACTGCAAGTCTTCAATACTATCCTTTGTTTTAACGCTGAGAGCGTCATCGTTATCCGCGAGTCGAACACTGTTCGAGCTTGAAGTCGACTTGACGACGCGTATCATGTGTTTCTCTTGGGACATGTTTGTATCTCCACCTCTGGCGGGAGAGTTGGCCGGTGTTAAGTTGGCTGGCTTTACCACTGGGGAAGTTGCTGCTGCTGCTGCTGCTGCTTCTTCCCCTCCTTGCTGAGTCTTCTGCCGAGATTCCTGATCTGTTTCGGTTGTTGTTTCCTCAGAGTCGATGGATGAGGCTGAGCTGGTCAATCTGGTCGATCTTGCGGCTGGGACAATGCCGTGCTTCTCAAGGTATTCTGCGCCTCAGGTTAGTTCAACCTCTCGAAATGGACAATGACCACCGACCGTAGGGTCTACAGAAGAATCGAAAAGCAGCATAGGGCATGTCAACAGGGTCGAGAAGCTGGTATCTGTACCGTCTTGGACGGAAGCCTGGCTCTACTACGCCACTGTTGGTCAACCTATGTATTGTAAGTTCTCGAGTCTGGTATCTAAGAGATTCGAGCTTACCGCAGTCCATCAGCAGTCGTGCTCTTGACGTCCACAGAGCCAAGTCCCTGGACCAAATCGCGAATACGTTTGCGATGTTCAATCCGGTAGACATTGATTTGAATCAAGTCGTCATCTAGTTCGCCAACCTGACGGTCTTCCAATCCATCTCCGAATCTCAAGGCTTGTCTGCGTACAGCAAGTCCGCCCGTCAGTGGTTCTGTACCATCGTTCACCAGGTTGTACATCATCTTGCCATGGAAGTCATGCTTAGCAGTACAATCCCATGCTGTGATCACCTTGCCATTGATGAAGAGTTTGAAGTAGTAAGCCGCTCCAGGTGGGTGAGGGCCATCAATACTGTACTCGAACCAGATTTGACTGCCTGGGTAGATAGGTACATGACAGGATGCTGTTGGAGATGGAGACGCTATCATGGGCTCGTGGTTGCTGTCAACTTGGAAAGGGTCTGCTGGCTGAGGCGGAGTCGGATAGTGAAACTCGGGCAGTTTGCATATATCGAATTGTGAGATTATGCAAACCTCGATTCCTCGAAACTTCATGCTGGGCAGGAATACGTGGGACGAAAAGAGGAGGGCGCAAATCTCGTAGGATGTTGGGTATTGGACAGTTGTTTGTGGTGGAACTCAGAATACGTTCCTCGATTGAGAAAATATGGTCGGTCGCGGCTTCACTTTGAGTCAAGAAAACCCGTGGACAGCCGTGGAAAGGGTGAGGCAATATCAAGCTATCAGAGGAAAAGAATTAGTGGCAGGGATGGTCACCCTCAGCATCACTGCTGCCATCGCCTCTGTTCTCGAACCTTGGCGGGTATGGCAATGAAGTCTTCCACACTCTGCATTCACCTAGACATGCAACCTCACGATCTCGAGCACCTGAAACGTCGTAGGTCAATGCTACTTGGCCTGGGGAGCTATCTTCCAGGTTCTGTGGTTCGCAAGTCGAGTCACCAGTGCAAGGGTAGCGTGATATCTACCTCCGGCAGTAGCTGGTGCGCCGTCTTTGACAAGGATCCCAACGTTTCGAAAATGCACTTCACGAATATTTCACCATCCCAGCTTCACCTGCTCTGCATCGTCACCGTCGTCGACTTCCACGAAGGGGACCTCCTCAAAACTGGGATCTGCATAAAGCCGATTGAACCAGTCCAGTATACTACCCCAGCTTCTGATCACCGCACTCTCTTGATACAGATGCTCCCCACTCGCGTAGCAATTGCAACCGAACCTGCTTCTGCCAGTGATAGGCGTCTCGACCTTCTCTGGCGACACAAAGTACGCTCGGCTCCGCTTCGACAGAAACTCGACGAACTCTGGTGGTGCCCCATCCTCGATCAAATCCTGCACCTTGTGCTGTGGCGAGATTAGTGACATGCCAGTGACCCGAGAGGCCCAGAGACTCCCTGTAGCATAGATTAGCATATTACGACCACCTGATGCTAGCACAACGTACAATCCGAGGCCAAGTAGTCAATGACGGCTGAACCCAGGTACTCCAGAGCGATGATGTCGATTTTGGCGTTCTCCTTCACAAGTTTCGGCAAGACATGCTCAAAGACGTACTTAACGTGTTCTTCGTAGGTGCCGTTCTCGGGAATGCGGTTCTTGATAGGATCAATCCGAAAAGGCTCATGAACAGCCGACACACGAGGCAGGTTGAGCCACTCATTCTCCGACACCGCTCGCGCACCGCCTCTGTACCACAACAGCTGGCATGGATTTGCGACAACGATGCCTGGCATAGAATGTTCTGGCGTGGGTGGAGGGCCGGACAAGGCGGCGTTGACGAATTCGAGTAGTGACCCAACTTTGATACCCTCTTCACCAATAACACGCCACGACAAGATCGCAGGCTCCAGATGTCGGCCTCCGAAGAACAAGATGACTCGGTCTCTGCTCGAGACGTCCTTGGAAACTAGTATTGGCAAGTGATTCTGGTCCTCACTCACGCCCAAAGGCAGCCTGACGGTCTCGATATCAAGACCAGACAGCCGATCTTGAACGATCTTGCGAATAGCGGCTGTTGTTGATGAACTGTTAGCGTTCCTCGTGCTGCTCAGTAGAGTTGACATGCCGAGAGCTTACTATTGTTTGCTTGCTTGTAGACCTCGTTGACACGTTCATTCTTGTTGACTGCGTACTGATACTTCTGCTCGGGATTCTTGATCGATCGGATTTGGTCAGCCTCATTGACGAAGAAGCCGAGCTTGTCAAGGGCAGGCTCGAAGACCGGATCGGGTGGCAGTGTATGCGGAAGTCGGCGAAACATTTTTGGCCTTCGAAGAATTATTCGACTCAGAGGACGACGGGAAGAAAGAGCAGGCAAAATCGTCAAGAAAGGAAGCTACAAGCAATGTGAGAGGATTCGAGAGATGGATGAATTGTGGACTGAAACGCGCAAGATTTTAAAAGGTGAACTGTGTATCCCAAGCAGTGAAGGACTCCATAACGCCAAACAGAGTCAATCGTGAAATGAGGTGGAGAGGAAAACCATGGGAGAATGTGAATACTGAAAAGAAGTGGAATTTGGAGGCAGAGCTGTTTGAAATTGAAGTAGTACAGTATGAGCGGGTATCCGAATGCGGATCTATCGCTGTCATCCTGGCCTGCCGATGCCCAAAGATACTGATACAATTCAAGCTGCCACAATGAACCTCATGATACTCCACGTCAGAAGTAATTCGTCAAAACATCTCAACCAGTTTGCCATGCAATGCCGCCGATCAGATCCCTTGTGTACATATACCAGCCCGCCCTTTTATGCCCTTAACGCCGCCGAAGCGATCATGGTTCATAATATGCAGCCCACCTCCCCATACTCGTACAATGATGTTGTTGGTAGCAAGGAAGGGATGTGAATGACCCCAGTAAGCACATCTCACATGTAGCGTGATATATAGCTGTATCTCAAGGCCCAACTCTAGCAGTGCCCACACCGCTACTCCTCTGCGAAGCAAAGCCTCCTCCAGCAATAGGTGCAAAGCCTTTGGCGAGATCAAAACCACCATCTGCCTCGTCGTCATCATCGTCGTTGGTGTTCGCAGCAGGTTGCGAATTGAACCTGATTGGTGCTGCGCCTGCATTATTGCTGTTGGCTGGAATGCGACCAGTATTGGTGCCATTATCAATGGTCGTCCCGTTCTCATGCTGATTGTTACCAGGAGTGGTTTCTTTTTTTGCGCTCGAACTTGATGTTTGCGGTGCCTGACTGCCTCTAGCAGGCTTACTCGGACTACCCATACCTTCGTCCATAGGTGGTGGACTTGAACTCATCACATGTCGATCAATACCATTCGCCCTAGGATCATCATCCTTGACAGGGGAGATGTCAGGAAGGGGCTGACCGGGAGTCACAGCCATAAGCCCTTTCCAGAACAAGCCTGGACCTGCAGGTGATGATTCCGGCATGAATTTGCTGGGAGCCACCAGAGTGCTGGGTGGAGCAAGTCTGGGATTTTGTCGCAGTGGTGCGGGAGTGACAATGCTGTGCTGTGACGGATGGAAAGGAGTGTCGAGATACGAAGATGATAGTGTTGGGTTGACTGGTGAGTGATGCGGAGGCGGTAGAGAAGATGGCAGAGTATATGCAGGTAGCCCATTACCTAGGCGAGGGGTAGGCCGGCCCTGACCATGTGGGAGCGGCGAGTCTTCCATTTCCAAGTCTGGAAGGGTATTCTGCGTGTCTGTCCTCCGTCTTTGCGGCGTGATAGCTTCCCGCTGCGACATTGGGGGAGCTAAACTCGGAGCTGGAGGAAACTGTTGCGGATGTCCTGGGTTGAAGACGGGAAATTGAACAGTCAACTTTCCAGGTGGTGGAAGGCCGGAGCGTTCACTCATTTCCCTCGCCGAGAATTGGCTGACCATGCTGGTGTCGTAACCTAGATTTTGGCCATTGGGACCTCTGAAGTTGGGATTGACGTCTTTTCCGGACGCAGGAGAGGAAGGTGCAGAGCCAGCTCCGCGGCGTGCTTGCTTCTTCCAATATTCTTGACGAAACTCGGGTGCGATCTGCCACTTCATGCCTTTGCCGGGCTCGTCAGTACGCCTGGGAACCTTTTGAAAAGCCTTGTTCAAGGACAAATTATGCCGTATCGAGTTCTGTGCAGGTCAGTAATGAACGCGAGGCTGGGAATGGAGCGCTTACCTGCCAACCACTATTAGAGTGGCGGTAGAAGGCGTATTTCTCGGCAATAAAGGAATAAATATTGCTCAACGTTAACTTCTCCTCGTCGCTCGAGAAGATGGCTTGAGCAATCATGGTGGCATAGCTGAATGGTGGTTTGAGGTCTTTTGCACTGTCCCGACTGTAATCGATCTCCTGGGTGCTTTCCATCAACATTCCACGACCGTACATGGGAGACATGGGCGTTCTGCTGTCAAAGACGCCTCGCTGATTCTTCCCACCGTCTGATTGAGAAGGCGGCGTCATGTCCCGTTTGAAGTCAGGCGGAGCTGGGGCGAGCGACGGAAATGTCTGATTTGATGCAAATGGTACTTCTTGCTTCATTGGCTCGGTATGAGCCTGAGGAGGAGCGACTTCTTCACCGGCTGCCAAAGCTTTGGCGCGGTCGATGAAGTACTGGTCAATCTGCACTCTATCGCCTGGTGTTACGAACATCATCTGCGTGCCAGCAATTTCCAGTATGTTGCCTGACTTGATCTGGGACCGCAATCCTTTCTTTACCAGGGTATTATTGACTCGAACGCCGTTTCTGGCGTTGACCCGCAAGTGCCAGCCCCCTTCATCGACGGGAAAATCAGCATCGTAGTAGATGGAGGCATGGTGACGCGAGACGATCTTGCTGGGGCCCAGGTCGATATGGACAGGCAGCACATCTTTAAGATCGGCAATGGGACTCGAGGCACCGTTGGTGGTCGGGCGCTCATCTGGTGGTCTTCCGAAGTTGACAGACTGTTCCCGCACGAAATAAGTCCAGTCTCGTCCAGCAATCTTTGCATATGCAGACACCTTTTGAGGACTATTGTTTTGTACTTTGTCGTTGGAATATTCGGATGCCGCGACGATCGGATCTTTGGAGACTTGCAGGTAAGAGACGACCGAGTCGATGAGATCGCCCTGCGAGACTTCTTCGGTTTCGTCGCCGGAATCTTCAACAGGCGAGTGTTCGGGTTCGGCGGACACAGACTTTCTTCGCGCTGCAGCGCGGGGACCGTTTACCTGGGACGCACTTGTCAAAAATTTGTGTTCTTACTGCAATTTTTCTGGAAGACAACTTACCCTGCGCTTCTTTGCTGATGGACGGGAAGGTGAAGAATCTGGAAGGTCAAGCTCGGAGGACTCTAGGGCATCGGCAGGCCTGCGACGTGGTATACGCTTTGAGGGTGGCATTGTAGTTTCTGCGAGCTCACGGGCTCGTCCTGGCCGCAATGTGCTTCTAACGACGGAAACAAACGGATTCGATCGGAGTTACCACCTGGAAGGTACTTGCACGCGATATATGTTGGATAGGTTCTTTGCGACGTCAATGTTTATTTCTGACGCAAAGGTTTTCTGCGGGCGGAAATCTGCGCGGAATCGTGGGATGGACAAGGACGGAAGGAGGAGATGGCTCAGGCATCGACCGGTGATGCCTGAGGGTATTGTGAATATCACAATAATGTGGACGGTGATGAAGCCCGTCAAATGTGGCTCGTTCGAGAGGGCCGATCGAGTATCGAGTTTCGAGAAGGAGGAAGAGGAATGGCTGCACCCGCACCATGCACAAGACTCTTTGGATGATGGTGGATAGGACGGATGGGCCGAGTATGACTTTTTCGCGTAATTAATTGGATACGGGAACGCGTTGACCAGATGGTTTGGGGGTTAAATAGCCTCGCTAGGTGCCCAGTGCGCCACCCATTATTAAACATTTCACTGCTATATCTATCTAGTGTATGCCTGATCAACTTGCGTAGGCATCATTATTAACATCGCAGGGGAAGCTGTTGAAGTATTTCCTCATCATGCTCCTTGGTCTTCACCACAAAGTCGCTCCCTGACGGTGTGAGTCGTTTTCTTCGCTTGCAAAGACCACATAAGGAGTGTAAACAATGAGCAGATGTCACAAACAAATCAACGGCACCTTCGATTCCAACATGACATGTGTCTAATTCACTCCCAAGAACCATATTTCCGGGCCGATATAAATACGTGGCCTGTACTTGATGCAATTCCAGCATTGTCAGAGATGTTCCTGCGCCTTTCGGTGCAGACACCAAAGGATGATACTAGTGATCATGGTGAGAAACGTGGAAGACCATTTTTCTTCGCTTAGCCGTCACTACCGATTGGGCCAATAATCGAAGTAAACAACAATGACGTCTTATCGCCACATTCCTTGCATTAGGCAGGGCTTGGAGTCACGTTCGTATCAGTGGGTACGAACTACTTTGTACGAGTACCGCGATCATCGCGGATTCATATTTTATCTTCTGTAACATACAAATGGGGTTGCCAGCAGTCACCACGACAAGCGGCGATACTTGCTCTTCAAACTCCTTTTCAGTCCTAAAGCTTCGACACGGTAACAAGCGACCGCTTACGGAATGTTTTGTGACACGTATGAGACTTCCTGGCTTCCTCCCTGCATGGATTAGCTCCAAGGTTTCCGAACCCCTGAACATTCCCGCCTCCTGTCAGCAAAGGCATCCGCTTGAGACACTCTTCAGTAACAACACAGAATGACGCCCGAGGAAGACGGCTTGGAACTCCTCCGACCATACCATGATCCCGTCCGCGATACTCCCATCAACACCATGCAATGCAACAAAAGGCCAACAACAAAAATCAATGCATTCTAGTCGCTTGAGTTGCCAATAGTCGTAATATCGTATCCTGTGATCTTCACATCCAATGCATGCCATTCTGACCCAAATCGGACATGCTTTTGTTGGCTCATGCCTCAACCAAATCAACTCCTTCGATTCCATACCCAAAGTCGATGATGAGCACGCGTCCATCTTGACTCGTGCAAACGATCTTGCGATAGTTGCTTTTAGCCGCCAAAATCCAACTCGAGGTCCAGCCTTCAAAGTTGATCTTGAGACCACCGTCTGCTGCAGATTCGCCCATCTTCGCGTCCCAAACCTTGATGGAATGGTCGTAACTGCCACTTATAATGCGCGAGTTTGCCGAGTCCAGATGGAGGGACCGGACTAGGTCTTTGTGCCCCTTCAATTCCCGGATCCTATTGCCAGTGATCGTATCGTACTCATAGATGACTTGATCATTACCTCCGGCAAAGATGGTGCGACCATTTTCAGAAAACTCCACACAAGCAAGGCCTCGGTCTTTGGACTGGAATTCTTTGATGCAAACGCAGTCCTCAAGGCGCCACAGCTTCGACATGCCATCGCCACTAGCACTGGCCAACAGGTTGCCTCGCACTTGCACAGCGTTCACAGGACCACGATGTCCCGAAAGTGTCTTGCTCAGACGGCCAGTGTATCTGTCCCAAATCTTGATTGTCGTATCTTTGGAACAGGTAATGATCCGATGCTTATCAATACACACATCAAGAACTCCAGCGTGATGGCCAACAAGTCGGAAAAGAGGCTTGTAATTATCCTTGATTGACCAGACAAGGCAAGAAAAGTCTGATGAACCAGTCACAAGAATCTCGTCGTCATACTGCAAGCAGAGGACTGAGGCCTGGTGCCACATTGAAAGTTCTGTGTGAGCAGGATCCGGTGATGACACATCAGCCTTGAAAAATGGCAAGACACCCTTGGGTTCAACCGCAGCGGAAACGAGCTGCTGTCTCTCCCGTGGGTTGTTTGGCGGCCCAAGTTTGCGGATACATTGATAAGTATGGGCGTCCCATACACGAATGGTGTTGTCGCGAGATCCAGTAATGATCTTGTTCTCGTCGAACTGTGCACAATAGACACTATCTTTGTGGCCGTTGAGGTAGACGGCCGCGGCCTCGCCGTTACGCCAGCGCTTTTCGATCAATGTGCGAACTTTGAAGAGTTTGCGGAAATCCTGCCCAGGAGTGCTTTTGCCGAGTCCAGCGGCAAACGGCAGACCAGATGGATGTGGCCGCGCTTTCGGACCGTACTCCCGATAGAAAATTCGTCTCCAGACGGCTTGTGACTGACACAGATCGTGCCATTTCCGTGAGACAAGTGAAGCCTTGACAAGCGACTCCACGTCGAGGAATGACAGTACGCCTTCCACCAATTCTGTGGCTAGGACCGATGCAGGATCCCGACAGGGTACATGTGCTCCAGCACAAGAAGAGCCGCGTCGCTCACGGGTGTCAAGCACGATGCCAATACCACTTTCCGCATCTCCTTCGGCCTTTCTTTCACTTTCTCGAGGTTCATAAGGTGGCAGTGGTGGAGTCCTTGAAGCATGGAACAATTCATTCTGCGCGGCCGCAGCTGCTCTGGCGCCAGCACCGCCGTACACTAGGTCAGACAAGACTGGCTGACCTCTGTTTCTGGCCAATGATGCATCGAAAGCATCTCCTGGCGCGTGCAAGTTGAGGTGTGGCAAGGAAGGTCGTCTAGTTGTGGTGGGACTTCTGAACAGCCTTCCCCGTGACTTTGGCCTGCTCGACATAGCCTCTGTCATGTCCACCATGTCATCCGCTGCTTTGAAAGATGGCAGTCGCGGCCGCTTAAACTCTGTCCATTCTTCCTTGTCCTCCTTCTGGCGGGAAGACTTTCCTCGTACAGTGAGCGACATGCGTCGAGTCAGAGAACGGAGCTCAGACATTCCATTCTTGAAAGATTGACTGATAGTAGAGTACCGTCTCTGATGCATGCAATCCCTCAATTGAGGTTCGAGCGACAAGTTGGCGAATGGGTCTGTAAATTGGGGGGTTGTATAGCCTTCTCCTGCCTCTTCCTGATTACGATTGAAAGTCTCCCAGTCGAGAACATCATGCGTGGCTGCGGGCATCAGGGAGAAGCGGGAAACAGGTCTTCGATTGGAGGAGCCTTCGTCTATAGTGACCTGTTCGTAGGCGGTCGTGGGTCGAGATTGTACAAGTAGCGATGTCCTTCGTCGAGGAGCTATGGACGAGGAAGGTTCATTGTGTGACATGACGACGGCCGTGTGGCAGTCGCGACTCGACACGGACTTTTCGAACAATAAGGCTGCTTTCAGTCTCAAACAGAATGCTGGGAGTCTGCAGGCTGTCGAAGAGGCAACAATGTGACTCTAATAGGGATGTTGTGGAGGCAAAGGCCCGCACAAGAGGTCCAACGTCTAACAACGCTCGCAGGAAGAGACAAGACAAGAGACAGTGGCATGAACACTAGGCCCAAGCAGTAATGGAGAACTGTAAAATGAGAGACAAACAATACGCTCGAAGACAAAAATTTGTTGATTCTGGCAATTGATTGAAAGAAGTAAAGACTTTCGGAGTGTTTTGAAGAGTGGAATCCAATGGCTTGCGGGTTGCAGGGATTTTGTGGAGGACGGTGGACGCCAAAGGGGGAAGCCCACCTATAGACAAGCCTAGGTGAACTGTGACAGCTGCAGACTGCCAGACAGCATCCAAAAGGTCCACAGACCGAGTCCGCTGCCCCCAATGCAGAGGTTTAGGGCCTGGAGCCTCAAAGATCTAGGCGTCCTTTCGGCGTTTCAGCATCTTGCTCAATCCCATGACGTTCCTTACCATAATTTCTTTAGCTTTGCTTATATGCAGGGTCCTGCCACTCACAAGTGGTTCGCTTGCTGGTGATGGTCCTTCGCGCGATAAGCCAGTGAGTGACAAGCATCGACTCTTGTTGCGAGTCCCAGCTTGCTGGAGATCCACGCCAGAAGCCGAATAGGCGTGACCAATGCGGTCTATTTCTTCCGAAAATCGGGTCTTTTCCACCACTCAAGGGGTCACCTGGTTATACCACGCGGGATGGTCGACTTTGCTAGGGAAAGGACCTCTAGCCCAGCATCATCTCGCCCTTGTCAAGCTTTGTCTTTGACCAAGATCAGTCGTTGTGTTCCTGCATCGACCACCGCCAGCGTCCGTACTGCGCATCGCACGCCCCCATTGCTCGTTTTCTGACCTCCTCATTGCTGTCACTGGGATTATCTTCCTTATCAGTACTCTCACGCGACTCAATATGGCGAAGATCCCGCTCCCATATGTCGCATTCTTCCTATGGATCGAACCTGTCGCAACACTGGCTGGAGCATTCTTCGCATGGATTAAGCCCAAAGCATATCTAGAATTGACACATGCGGCGTCGGCTCCGGGATTTCTGGGGCTGCCAGTCTCTACGGAGGTCGCACTGCGACAGCTAGGAAATCTATATGTGGCCTTCGCGATTGTAAGTGCAATGTACCTGACTGGCCCAAGACGCTATGAAATGAGGGTGAAGACCGGGTTTGGTTGCTGACATTACATATCTATAGAACGAAGCATTCGTATTGAGGGCAACAAACGACCTCAAAGTCTGGCGCACCCTGTTGATTGGCCTTCTGATAGCCGACTTCGGACACTTATACAGCTGTTTCCCACTCGGACTGCGATCTTACTACGATATAAACAGTTGGAATGCGATGAACTATGGCAATTACTTGTTTGTATACTGCGGCGCCGCGACCAGGATCTGCTTCTTGCTGGGGATCGGAATGGGAGGTCCGGAGAAGGCAAAAGCAAAGGCTAAGAAACAGGTTAGACTGATAACCAAAGATGAGCCAACACCAATGACGCCGACGCAAATGAGCAAGACACCCGCAGAAAGCACGAGAAAAAAGAAGAAGAACAAGTCCAACTGAAGAAATACTGCGCGCCGTTCAGTATAGAAGTTGCAGCAGCCGATACGGGGACGACGTGTTGCTCAAGCATTGATTCGCCACCAATCAGTAATTGGCAAGACGAGTCGCAAACCATGTCTGGCAGAAGAGAAGAGCAGCGGCGCACCACTACCAATGGAGCATACGACCGAAAGGTGGACTAGTCCATGGCCCTCAGCAGATGTTCGTGTGCTCGGCCGAGAGGTTTCAAGCCAAGCGATATGCTCTAGCGGTGTTCTTTGCGAGCAGCTTTTTTAGAGCCATGTCGTCCACCGCGACAATGCCTACTGCCCTCAAGAACAACATGATCTGGGCGTTGTGTCATCGCCCTACCAGATACCGGAGCTCAGCGTATGGTATTGGATACACCCTTGAGTATGGAGGACCTGACATTGGAGTAAGAGGATCATTGCTTGAGCCTTATATAATGCGCCATCGTGGAGCACTAGATCTTGGTATTGGCATGATTTAGAAGGATGAAACAGAGCAATTGATGGGATACCTGTGAGGAAAATGTGGCTATCACTGGTTCCGCATGGAAAACTTGCTGTTAAAGCGTCTTTCGAGTGAGGATATGCAAATACAACGGTATCTTGGATGAGGAGATGATGCTTTCATGATTCACAGCAGAATAATATCCAGCTTGTAAACAGCTCCCCTTCTGTTCGATGAGCTTCGTTCTCCAGTTACGCCTTTGATCGCAATACCCATTTCACCATCAGACGCCGCCAATCCACCTACGGACGTTATCACGCCCCCAGTGCCACAACAGCCAACCTCCTCCCACCAGTTTTCTCAGCCGGCACATCCCACATGCCCCCCGGCTCGCCCAGATTTTCCTTTTGTCCATGGCAAGTGCACCTCCTCACACTCTCAAAGAGATCCGTCAACTCTTCATCCCTATCACCACCCATGAGCTCCCTAACATCCACATCAACAGGCAATTGCGGCGGCGAGACTGGCCCATCATCATCTTCTTCATCAGACTCATCCTCAATCATCCTCGGTGGTTGTGCCGCCGCCGACTCGAATCGCGTCAGACTCAGCCCACCCATATCCTCCTCCAGTGGGTCCGGCTCGAGCTCGTCGTCCGCCAACTCCAGCGCCGCATCCTCCTCATCCGAGTACGCATCGTGGATGGGTCGTTTCTTCGTCGGCGAAGACTCTATTGCCGCAGAACCTGACTCTTCGTCTTTGGTCATATATGCATACGATTCCGGCTCGTCGTAGTCGTCAGACGACGTGCTCCCCTCTTCATCATCGTCGCTCAGCGCATGCGTCACATCCACCGGCGGCGGCGATCTCTTCCGTGAGGGCGAACCGGTCCCATTATTGGACGCAACATCAGCGGTACTCCCGACTCCACTTGATGGTCGTGCATTGTTGTCTTTGAAACTGATCCTTCGTCCGCGACTGGCTGGTTCGGGCTGTGCAGATACCGGGTCAGGCGCCTGCTTAGTGCAGTCGTAGTGCTCGACAGGGTTCGGTGCTGTACAGTCATATTGTTCGCCTCCACCCTTGGGCCCTTCGCCAAAGACCGACTTGGCGCTTTGATTCTCAATCTCCACGATGCGCAACATCACGTTGTCTAGGGTAAAGGCGTGGCCTAGAACGAAACGTAAATTTCGGTCCGGTCGATTCGCTGCCAGTTTCAGTTTGCATTGTGCGGTGTGGGCGAGAGAGTAGGCCGTGACTGTGCCGAGTGGTGATCGAGACATTTTTGAGTTGCCCGCTTTGGGGCTGTAGTCGATGGCAGCAGTGCTTCCTCAAGAGGGTGTTTCCAACCGTACTGGCAGATCGATACACTGGCCAATGGAGATTAGTGACGAGGCGATGTGTCTGTACGCCTCAGAGGCACATGTCCTGTTCAGTAATCGAAGGAATGGCTCTGGTGTTGTGGCCTTTGGTGCAAGATCACAGTGACTTTAGTGTGAGACTTGCACGCCTTTTGATAGCTTTACGGATTCAGGCGGGCTGTAGGTGAAGTTAGACAAATTTTGACAAGAGGCAGTGCTGAGATATTGACAGTGTTGGCACTGTGTAGAGAAAAGATAGTGTGTTACCCCGGGGAAGGAAGTGCTCTCTCCAAAGTGGAGTCATAACGCTGACAAATGGGCACCTCCGCCCGCGCTGACCAATTGCTTCGCCTGTGCTCACCTTGGCTATCGCTTCCTCGCAACTAGTAGAAACTTTGTAAGGAACCAGGCTCCTTCGTAGGTAATGGGCGATAAGCTGCGCACGTGGACAGAATGCATTGCAGCATACCATTTTGTGAGAGTTGAGAACATTGGTATTGTAGCCAGTCTCCGCTCCTAGCCTTGCCTCCCGATAGCTAGCAAGCTCCATATGATGAAAGGCTCAAATTCCCATATCATATAAAACAGGCATCTGACCTCGAATTATACCCAGAGGACTTCCCCTCATCCTTACACCAAACTATCCCCTTTTGAAATGAAATGCTTCAGTCTTTGCATGTATAGTATACAGTTGAGCTGCCGCCGAAGTTGCTGGACCTGAGTGGATATGTCATAGGCCACCAGACGGCGGGCATGTAATGTTCACAAGTCTTCCTGATGTAATATGTCCAGAGTTGGTACGCAATAGGTCCCATGATCAAGCCGTCGCTGTCTGCCTTGCTGTTCGGGCTTTCGGATTCAGTGACTTCTTCTTGTGCTTCGTACTGGAGGTGGTACTCGTCTCGCCACCCTCGATGAATTTCAACAATTCATCAATGCTTCTGGAGTCCAGTGAAACGCTGCCAGTGCCAGTCCGTACATTTGCCTCTGTCGCAGCCGTCCGGCTGGTCGTATTCGGTGCCGCACTGTTGGCGTTCTGCGGCTGAAGCCTGGTACCAAGTCCCATTCGAGGGAGATGACGAATGCCGGCCAGTCTCCGACTTTGCAGCACTTTAGCTTGTTTAGCTAATGAGACGGCATTCTGCGTCAACTGTTCAAGCCAGCTTTCCGCCTCTTTTGTGTTGCGATCATTTGGCCCGAGCTCTGCAAGGAAGATGTTATATGCATCACGCATTTTACTGACGGCACCTTTGGCATCGCCATCCAAAGCAAGAGCTTGTGCTAGCTGGAACAATATTGTAGCAGCATTGATCGATTGCCGTCCAAAAAGACCCTCACAAACCTTGAAGCAAGCCTCGAACCATTTCCGGGATTCCGAGTATTCCTTAAGAGACTGAAGCATGACCGCTGCGTTATTCATAGTCGTGATGGAGTCGGGATGGTTTGGTCCAAAGATGATCTTCCATACATCGAGTGCATGCTTGACATACTTCAAGGCCTGTCGTGTGTTGCCAACGTGGTGTTCAAACAGGGACAGGTTGAGATATGCCAAAATGGCATCATGTGAGTCCACACCCAATGTCCGCTCCGTTACTATCACCGCTTTTCGAGCGAGCTCCACTGCTGCCTCCTTCTCATCAGTCTGGTAGTAGATTGTAGATAGAGATTGGTACATCTTGGCAACTTCGGGATGAAGAATGCCATAAATCTGCTCGTGCAGCGACAACGACTCCAGGATCAGCTCCTGGCCCAACTGCTTCTGACCCTGCGCCAGGGAGAGTTTGCCAGCTTCTAAGGCTTCCTCAGCCAACGAGCTCCTGGGAGTGGAATCTTTGACGATGGGCGTAATGTTCAGAATGTCGTCCGGCGTAAAAGTCGTATTCGGTTTGGCAACAGCACCGTTGGTTTGCGGTTGGTCAGTGGCCTTCTTCTTCTTTTTCTTGCTTGCTGTTTCTTGTTGTACGCCGTCGTTAGAGTGATCGCTACTGCTTCTGGCGGGAGACGACTCGGAGTGCGATTGAGATCCTTTGCTAAAGGAATACTCCCGGGCCACAAGTTGCAGACCCAATTTCAAGCAGATTTCTCGAAGCAGCGGCACCGATTGGATTCCCGCCTGCCAATTTTCCCTTGACTGATGTCTATATCGCGTTTTCACCTGTTTCTCGATCTCGGCTTGTAAACTTGTGGGATTCATAGTCTCAAACGAGAAGTCTCCCTCAGGATACAGAGCACGCAAATCCTCGTCAATTTCAGGCCGTGGATTGGGATTGAGTTCTGAGCCGAGTAAGCAGTTCATAAGATGCGAGAAGCAAGCAGTAGCAAAGACTGCAGGGAGGTGTCTTAGGTGGTGGTTAGCGACGTGCTTGAAAGCCCGTGCCACCATCTCCTGCAGAAGCACTGTAGAGAACGCCTGTAGACGTTGTCCCTTTTCTTCCGCGGCCGACGCTAGCCTTCCAAGGTATCGGATGTTGACGCCACGCTTGTGCAACAGCTGGCAGAGAGACTGCCCATCCATGGGGAAACCCACATCGCCGTCGTGGAGGTCGGTGATCAGATCCGGAATGACCTTGCTTCTGAGGAATCCACACACTGCTCGCACATCCTTCTCGTCTTGAGCATAGTCTGTCTTTTCTTCGTCGTTTTGAGGAGTTTGGCCGCTGCAGACATCCGGGTTGAGAGCAAGGTCGAAGTTAGAAATGTCCACTCGCTCCTGATCTAGCACAGGGGTCTCTTTTTGGGCAGAACCTTCTCCCTGACCCTCCTGCCCGTCCGCCTGCTCTTTTTCGGTGCTTTGACCGTCGGCTGGAGAATCTTCCACTTGCTTGGGAGTTCCTGTCTGGCCGTTGGCAGATTTTGCGCGACGCTTTTCAACCTCTGCACGGACGTATTCTTGCATTTTCGTGCGCCAGTATGCCTCCACCAACTCCACCCTCAGAACGGACATGCGGTGAGGATACTTTTCGCCGGCTTCGGCCTCGATCTCTTCGGTCCAAGCAACGTCCAGGGGCGTGATGCGATACAGATCAAGGACGTATTTACGGCCATCCGTTCCTAGAAGGCCTTTGGTCTCAACACTGCCTTCTAGATCATGTCGCTTGCCTTCTTTATCCCAAACGGCGTGTTTTTTGACGTGCAGTGCCTTTGAGAGCTTCTCAAAGACGGGCACAAACGCCTCGTTCTCCGTCACGATGTCTCTGCCTTCGACACCACCATAGTCAATTTGATGTTCCCCGGGTTCCCGCTGCTTGAAGATACCAGGCACAATACTCTGACCAACGATGCGTTTGCCGAGGTAGTCAACCACAATTGTGCCTGGGGTGAAAAGTCCGTTGATATCAAGTTGGTTGACGGCCTTGACGCCAGCCACATCTTTCCCCACAGCAACCCTGGCAGCCTCGTCACCTCCTTCACTAGCAAAGGTCTGAACGCCATCAGCACCAAATGAGTAGAATATGTTATTGTAGATGAAGATCTGGGCGTCCCGGCCTTCGGTGGGATTCAATGGCGCAACTTCGCCCCGAGCAACAAGGACAGCACCGCGAGCTGCGGCATCGTTGTAGTCGGCATAGAGCTTGGAGGTCAAGCGCTCTCGGAAGACACGATCTTGCAGATTGTCTCGAGGCAGTTCGCGGGTCGTCTGAATTTCTTCATTCCAATCCCGGAGATTCTCTGCGCCATCCGCACCACCAAGTAGATAAGGCTCTTGTGCCCTCGTAGGATCCGCCTGATGCTGTGTTCCTTGAGCGTACGAGGAGGGAGCAAGCCAAGGATTGGCGGGGATTGCATTCTGGAATGGGAATGTGGTGAGCAGATCTTTACGGCCGTTGATCTTTTGAAGCTCCACGAAAGCTTCGTTGAACCCCGGCGACAACAGCGAAATCAGAGATAGCAATGAATGTGCGCTGTGGTTCTTAGGGGCTGGCTTCGGAAAAGGGTCGAATTTGTTACTGGAGGATTTATTGATGAAGAAGCCGGATACAGTCGAGGTAATGTGATACTGCTCGCCTTCATTCGTCGTTAGCTGCAAGTAAAGCAGGTGACCTTTCTGCTGCAGGTGGTATGGCGGAGGGTTCCACTGAGAGACTGATAGTGACTTGATCGTCTTGGGCAAGGTATCCTGGTTAGACGCCAATATAGCATCGAACGACGGCCGGCCATCGACTTCGTAACCAGCCAGCGGGTTGTCCTCTGACTTTGGTGCAGGAGCATGGGCAGAGCCAAATTTATCATCATGCAAAGATAGACCTGCACAGATGCCATGTAGTTGATCAGATCGATCACCAGTCGCCCCAATGAGCTCCCTTATGCGGACAACATGTAATCTTGCCTCTTTCTCTGTGTACGGGTCTTCGACGAGGGTAAGTTCGTCGTTGGGCTTAAGATCCTTGACCTCGGAGAGCTCTACGAAGTCATTGATCCTCTGGCCATTGTGCTCGAGGTGGAAGCAGGTGTACTGGAACGTATCTGGCGTCTCGACGATCGATTGGCGTACATCTTGGACCTGCTCTTGCTGTGTGACCATAACCGACTGCTTGTAGGGCTTGTGCGGCAACTTGACAGTGACCTGGAACAACGCTCCAGCGTTGGGGTCATCGTGATGGGAATGGTCATGGTCGTGAGGGTGGTCGTGTTCATGCGAGTGACCATTGGTACCGTTCGTGAGGGCTGAGGACGTCTCCTCTGTATTTTGCGTGGCTGTCACATCTGTGTCTTCTGTCAGAATGCCAGTATTGACTACTGCATTGCAGCAAGTACCTTGTTCCGTGTGCGCGTCACCATTGAGATCTGCCATTAGGAATTTTTTGGAGAAGAACGCAATACTGTACAAGCCAACTCACGGAACTAAAAAGAGTTATGGACAAAGGAATGACGGAAGTGATAGTATACAAGCGGCGACAATGACAATGGAACTAATGTACAGTAAAGGGAGAAGAGCAATTGGCACTGGATAAACCGCCGAAGATGTATTTTTCTGGAGACTTTTGAGCAAGCAGCAGTTTAATGTTCCATGTTGGAGCATTTGACGGAGGAACAAGCTGCGGAAACGGTGATTGGTCGGCGGAGGCCCTGGAAGTTTTGGCCGAGACGAAGAAAATTTCACGGGAAGAAGAGCTGCACATCCTCGTGAAGGGTGGATTCCAGTTAAAGCCGCAGGTGCCGGACACCCCGGAATATCTTCGCGGGTCGGGCAGTCCCCTGAACAACCTAGGCGTCAAGCCTGTTTCCAGAAAAGATGGCACCGTCTGACCGCTGTTGCTCTCCAGGTTCAAATAGATACCTTTCCTTTTTGCCGTCCCGGAGTTCGTTATACACAACGATATAGTGTTGGCCTCTAGCACGGGGAAGGCCATCAGCTCTACTGTACAGTGCTTCTGTCTTGCTGTCGAGGCTTCCGCTGTTGTGAAGCAGCTTAATTTCGAACTTGTGACTTCGATATGCTCCCTGTCAGACGATGCCACTTTTTCTGGAAACAGGGTCGGCGTCTGCACTACTGGCTTCAGCAACCTCGATTATGTGACGAGTCACGCGAGCAGCGAGGTACTTTGACCGGCATGATGATAGCCCCCTTATCGAAACCTGCGTTTGCCGCTTTCCATGTCCCTTGCAGAAGCCCGAGAAGGAACATATTCAGCGAACTACCTGAGCATTGCGAATATCGTCAGCAGCGACGACAACTCTTACGAGTACGAATACTGGCTTTATAGGCAATCTCTTCGGTTTTAGATCTCTTGCTTGGCCTTCTGGGCACGTGGACCTCATCTCGAGCACCATAAGCTCTCTTTAGGCCCGCACCCCTTCTTCAGCTTCTTGATGTCAACATCATGTACTCATGTTTCCTGGCCAGGTAGTATTTACATGCCTTCTGTACAGCTCCCTTCCTTTTCTTTTTCTCTGTTTGGTTTGCCGCCTCCAACCAGCCGTTTAAAAGCCATTGTTCTTTGGTAAGCTTTAGGCGCATTACTTCGACCTCACCCAAGTCCCCTCAAGAATTGTGTTTCCGTAGCAGGGGAGCAATCATTGCTTGATCTTGTCTCCATCACTCGCACACATGCATCAATTCAAGATGATCGTTGCACGGAGGTGGACCGCACATAGGATATCATTCGGCAAGCCCATGCGCTTTGCGTTAGGTTCCAGACGCTACGCCTCGCAAGTCAGTCCTACGAGCAATATTCCAGGTTCAAACGAAGACGAAGATGACGACAAATACTCAAAGAATGCGAAGTCAAAGCAGTCAGAATCGCGTTTCGGATCGACCGTCTTCAAGGTGTTTGAGACTGCCGCAACCACCTTTGCTTCGATCGCCATCCTCGGGTTGGCTGGCTATTCATATCACATCTACTACAAAGACCTTGTCTTGCGGAAGATGGACATGGCATTTACACCAGGTGATCCTATGCTAGACATGGCCTCACCACCTGGGGCACATGAGTCTGTTCAACATGATGACGAAACTGAACATTGGGTCGACCGGCCTGAACAAACGAAAATCGACAGTATTATCAACGGCGAGGCAAAAGGACGGTATTTCCTGCTTGTTGGCGAGAAAGGAACGGGGAAGTCTACTATGGTATTGGAAGCTATGCGCAAGACCAATGGGGAAGGGGTATCCATGTTTGAAGCCCACGCCGACCCTGAGATCGTCCGAATCCGTCTGGGTAAAGCGCTCAACTACGACTTCCACGAAGATTACATTGGCTCACTATTCTCCATTCGCGGACCACGGGATACGACAGCCTTGCTAGACATTGAACGGGCATTCAACAAGTTGGAAAAGATAGCCCTGGCGCACCGAAATGGCTCCCGCCTCCGGAGCAAGCGGAAAGGGCCCCTTGTGCTAGTTGTCAACTGCGCCCATTTGATCCGCACCGACGAGGATGGCAATGATCTAATCGAATTGCTCCAGCAAAGAGCCGAACAGTGGGCAGCGTCAAACCTGATTACGATGATTTTCAACTCAGATGACTATTGGGTCTACGAACGATTGAAACGCTTTGCCACAAGAATGGAAGTTATACAGGTTCTTGACCTACCCAAATCTCGTGCGATCGCCGCTCTAGGCAGATATCGGGCAAGATATTTCCCAGAGCAGAAACGAGACCGGGAGGTCTTGAAACAGGTATATGATCTCGTCGGAGGACGGCTGAACTTTCTAAGCCGTGTCGCCAAAAGCAGGGATATGCTCAGGATGTGTCATCGAATTTGCGAAGCCGAGAAGACGTGGTTCCTGAATCAGTGCGGTATTTTGGGTGAGTCCATGGACGACGACGTAATGGACCAGCAAAAGTATGCCAGCGCTGCCATGGTCCTCGCCAAAGCACTGGTCGAGAAAGAAAAGGAGATGGAGTTGCATTATGACGAACACAAGGGTCACGTCCTGCCTCAAATCCCGCTGTACATCGCTCGTCAGATCATGACCAGAGCTGACTTCATTCAGCAATATGACCACGACAACATATTTACCATCGACAGCACGGCCATGGTGCGACCAGATAGCGTTCCGATGATGAATGCATTCAAGGACATCTGCTCTGAAGACGGATTTGATGAATATCTGCAAGCCACTCTGGATCGCATCTCGGCTATTGAGAGCATTAATCGAACAAAAGAACTCACATTCAAGGACTTATGGACTGAGCAGAGCGGAGAACAGAAGGGCAAGTATACATTTCTTACCAAAGACCACAAAGGACGAGAGACAGGCACCATCGAGATGCGAGTCCAGCCGGACCAACCACCTGAAGATTGAGAAAGCTTTTGTGCTGTACCCCCAATGCTTATTTCGGTACCTGGAAACTCAATGACGGGTTCATTACATACCTTGAATCAAAGGCTTCGCAGGCCGACGCCCCAAACAGATCATGCACTGGCGGATCATTGCGCGCGGCAACGGAGGCAATCCATTTGCTCTGGTTGCAAACTGTCCGGGCAGCTGTCTGCAACGTTGACCACATCCTGGGCAATTGTTACGGACTCTCGCTTCAGTGGAAATCCATCTGTTGAGATCAGTAGCATTGGATCCTGTGTACCATGCATCACGCGGAAGTATCCTGTTGTCAGCTTCGGAGTCTTCAAGATTGCGCCGCGCCTCCATCTTGAGTCCCTTGACTTGGATGGATCTGCACGCCATGCACTGCCAATCAGAATATGGTTGGTGATGGATATTGGGACGGTTCGTGAGGCCACAATCACATGGATGCATATCTCGAGTGATGCGTCTGTCGCGACTGCAGTGGTAGCAATGGTACATCTCAGTCTCTGGATTTTTGTGAATATCATGAGCCTGTTGCGCCTTCCAAACGCATTGGATGCAGAGATTCTTGTTGCAACCGGAAAACATTCCTGGATGAAATCTACCAAAACACCGACGGATAGCGACATGGGTTGAGGTGTTGAAACAACCCAACTCGTCACATTTGACCGGCTTCAGGCCTGCGAAATATGGGTCTTTGGTGTCTGATGTGGTAGGGTTATGAGGGAACGGTTTCCAATTGTCTGCAACTGTACGACAGCTCATTCGAAGCCGTGTGTATTGATAAGATGTCAGAACACCACATTCTCGCAGTCCGTCCCGAAAGTCTGGGATTGAGGTGAGGACGCTTAAGAAGTCAGCTTTGGGCTTGGAAAACGTCGGGACTTGGGGAGGTTCTGGCAGAGTAATGTTGAGGGAATTGATCAAGGCCGAGGGGACATCCGAATCAATACGTATGCGCTTACCTGGCTTTCTCTCGATACAGGAGGTTGTCGAGGATCGTTTTCTGCTGAGCGCCATCGTGGAGACTTGACGTTGGTGAAGTCTTGCTGTAGTTGAATGTGTCCAGCATTGCTGTCGGTGGCCTGCTGCTCACAAATAAGGGGATCCTCACTACAAAGGCATTGTGTCCGATACCGAACGACAACAAGGACTATGGACAATGCCCATTAACGTTCTTTATCCATTGACGTATCAGTGTACCTATCAGACTCGACATCGTGTCAAAGGAAGCAAAAGCTTTGTTGTGACAATGGCATCCAAGGCGATGAGCACCTCAACTGTGCCGACGGTGTCCTTTCTGAGGTGAGGGGACTCTGTGTATTGAACCGCATTGACTTCTCGTGGGAAGATGTTCCTACCTGTGGACTTGCCCTCAATTCTCATCTTGTCCATTGAGGTTGCCGTAGAGCTTGTGGCCTCGTGATGACCACGATCGACTTAGTATTATCGATTCCAATCGCTCTCATAGTCTGGAATACTTATGAGGTCGGGTTCGTCCCTCCGCTTGATCAGTGCGCTTTAGCCGAGATGCCAGTGACGTAGGTCTCGCCAGCTTCGTTCCTGAACCAATCACGTCACGATCGCGTTGGTGCCCTGGCCGCTTTCTTTCATCTCCCACTTCCTCATCCTCCAGCCACACCATTTCTCGAATATTGTCTTCTTGAGATCACGCGTCGTCTCGGTTCATTCTCACTCACCCCTTTGTCCTTCACTCACGAAGCCCGCCAGTGCCATCCTCCCTTCTATCATCTGATGCTCGACCACCTTGTCGAACTCACCACCACCCTCATCCATTCGGATCACGAACCCAACATCTCAGACGAGACGACCGGCACGATGGCTCCGCGAAGCCGACACTCCAAATCCGCAAGCGTTGGCTCGGTCGATGCTGATGGCACTGACTTAGTCAACGGCATCATGTTCCCACCCACGACTCCATTCCCTGTGACGACCGTACCACGCAGCAAAAAGGCCTCGTCGCGTTCAACTACCTCTCCACTCGCCCAGCCTGTGGTGGTCATCCCTGCAAAGCACACCGAGTCACATCACCATGAGATCGAGATCCTCAAGCTTGTCGGTGCAGTCATACTGAGCACAGTGCTCGAAGGAGGCCTGCAAACAGCAGCATCCTTCGTTGCAGCAGGCGATGTGGCAGCAATTTCGAAATCGGCAAACAACTGGGTTGAAATCGCAGGACTTCTTGCCTGGAAGATCGCCAAACTGACTTTATACTGGCTCGCTGGCTTTGATGGTATGTTGAATTAGCCGTTCTTCTTTATGACCAACTAACACCTTCTCCCAAAGCTTACGATGTCGGGTCAATCACACTGCTCCTCTCTACGCCTCACACAATCCTGCTTGGACTCTTCTACAAAATCCACCCGATAACCCTAGCAACAACGACCCTATCCTCCATCCTCGCCAATTCGACGCCATATTTCTTTCTGCGCTCTCTCTCACCAGCCCACGCGCCTGGCTCCGCGCCCAAATCGTCTCTTCGCAACCGTCCTATCCTGACCGACCCATACACAACCATTGCCATTTCCCTGCTCGCAACTGCCATCTTCGCCGTTCTCGTGGAGGGAGCCCTTGCGACGTTCCTCCCCACTTGGCTGGTCACAAACTTTACGGGTCTGCGCACGCTTGAAAAAGCTCATCTCGGCGCCGGAGGTCTACCAATCCTTCTCGCCGCCCTGATCCCTGCCGGCGCAGCCACCATGGAGTTTCTCTTTGCGCCGCCCACGGCCGCCGGAAATCACCCCATCCCGCCACCGGATTTTGATCCCGTAACGGCGGACTTCCTCGAGCACCTCTTCCATAATGCCTGGGGCTGGTACTCGCCGAGACAGAAATCTCTGATCAGCCGGGCCGGCATGTTGACCTATTTGATTGTCGTTGAGACGGTCATTCTTACCTGGGGCACCATGACCGGTGTCGAGTTTCTGGGCGCATTGGGCTATGCGGGTATTTGGGGTGTAGGCGTAATATTGACTGCCGCGGCGCTGGATTGGGTCGGTGGACCAAGCGATTGATCAAGAATCGAGTGACCGACTCAGCCAATCTCACTAGTAGGGTTGTCTATGGAACATGCCGTGGCACCTTTTTACTTTGTCTCGACTCTAGGGGACGGGTGGTCAATCGAATTATCCATGACGCACGGCGCGGTATAAAGAGTTATTGTACGAGCAATTTTGGCTCGATGTAGGATATATGGATGGGAGGCAGATTGGTCCTGGGAAGCTGCCGTGTCGCGTCGAGAAGGGCTGCCCTGAAACGAGGAAGGGAAGAAAAAGTATGGGAATGTACAGCGGTCATAAGACGATGATTGAAAGCTCAATCCAAAAGGACAGCACCAGTCACCTGGTAATGCCCTCACTTAGGCGATGCACAGCAGAATAACAATACAGCGATATCTCTTTTTCAGGTTCTGTGGAATTTATCTCATCAAAGGAAAAAGTTCTCGAAATCTAGGTAAAACAGGATGGTTAGACCCACTGCATAGCAAGACCAACAGTCGGTCAAGACGTGACGTTGCCTCTGTACAGGCACTGCGCTCCAGCACAATGTGCACTGCACGTCTTCCCACTAAGTCATGCCCTCATATGGGTCGGAAAAAAGGAAAAGCTCGTAACCATTAGGTCAACCACATCCATCATCAGCTTGCCAGTGGCCTAGTCCAATGGCAAACCTCAGGTATCCAAGCGAGGTAGCTGCGGGACCTACCAGAAAGTCCGAAAAGGAGCTTCTCAGGCTCGGTGATCAAGTCGACCTCTGCACATCCGTCGTTGTTGCGTGTTAGACCCGTCGTGGTTGTTGTCGTCGTCATCAAGGTCGTCCCCATGCACGCCCAAGCGCCCTTCTACCCTTCCTGATGCAGCCCGTCCCACCATATCATACAAACTTCCCAGACGCCATGTACCTTATTGAAGGAGAGGAGGCTTTCTAAGCGGCAGTCTCAGTATTCCTTCTCTCGCGGGCAAGCGGTCGGCTTCGGCCGCCCTTCAAACTTTTGACGCGACTGAGGAAACCCCCTCCAGTCTTGCCCTCTTCAGCGCCAATGCTCTCGCTGGTGACTTTCCTCTCCAGTCCAAACGAACGTTTGGGGCTGCTGGGTGCACGCGCTCTGTTTGGCTTCTGTTCTTCAGCAAAGGCAATCTGTGCGCCTTTCTTCTCGTATTCTCTGTCGTACTCCTTGAAGAAAGGGTTGACACCGTTCTGTTCAGATCTGCCAGTGCCGAGTGGACTTGTGGGAGTTCCCAACGGCTCAGGTGAAGTCATCCGCCCATTGTCGCCCATTCTTGGGCGAACACCTTTGATTCTCTGGGCCAAACTCTTCTTCCGAGAAAGCCCACCATTCGCATTGACTTGCTGCGCAGCTTCGTTCTCGCTCTCGCGACGTTGCATTGCGGCTCGGCTCGCTGGCGCTCCCTCCAGAAATGTGCTCGTACCAAGACCGGCTGTCTCATATCCATGGACAGGTTCAGTTCGTGCAAGCGGATTGAAACTTGCAGCTCGGTCCGGTTGTGGTCTGCGTAGATAGTCGGCGTCGTCATCCACGACTGCGGCTTCATTATAATCGACGTGAGCCTCTTGTCCTCTTCCATGGTATTGGTCAAGATTGAGCTTCGAGTTGAGCGGTCCAGCACCACCAAGCTGCATGTTGACGGAGTCTTTTGGGAAGGCTTGCATCGGCGCCTGCCTGGTACCCTTTCGGTTGCGATGAGGATTGCAAGCATCGAATGGCCCGTCATGATGGAATACTGAGAAGCCATTAGTGTCCAGCTCCACTGTGGTTTACCAAAGATTTTGACTTACATCCAGTCCCGTAGATGCTTGTTACGTCCAATTTGTCAATGACGTCCAGTTTTCTGTCAGGCTTCTTTGACTTCTGTGAAGTCTTTCCTTCTCGGAGCCTTCGTTCTTTTCGTCTTTTTTCAGCCTCAGGATCTAGATCTTTGGGTTTATCGCGAACAGACGACTCAGAGTTGCGCCGCTGTGTACGTTTATCACGAGAACGACTCTCTGGTGGGTCGGCAAAGATGTTCAGGTCTCCAAGCAGGTCGCGAGGCTTGGCTTGTTGCCGTCGGCGTTCTTCGTCAGAATTGGTGGGTCTGTGTCGACCTGGTGGTCCTCGTTGGTATGGTCGAGGAGCGATGTTCTCTCGTCTTGGAGGACCGTTGACCGGGAGTTTTTGCGCCCCTCTCGAAGGATCATTGAGATCAAGCGATGCCTATCAACGTGTCAGTCCAACAGATCAAGCCAGAGCACAGCCGTACACGTACAAATGCGTCGGCAGTCTGATCCGTTTCGCGAGTCTTCTTCATGCCATTGTTCCCTGCGTGTGGCAGTCTGCCATCCGACATGGTTTCGCTGGTATCCAAAAATGGGTTTGTTGCTGCAGCGTTGAAGGGAGCCAGCCCAGGGCTCGTGGTGCGATTGCGAAAAGGATTGTTTGAAGCGAGGGACGGGCCTCGGTCTATTGAAACAGAGTCAATCATACTCCTTTTGCTAACAGGTGTCGCGTGAACGATAAAGTCACCAGGGAAATTCGAGAACCACATGTAGGGATTGTGCAGAACAAAGGTGGTCAATACAAAGAGATGTAGCTGGCTCGAACATACCTGCTAGCGGTGCCGTCTGAGCCATTATGGCAATGGGTCGCTTCTGTTCACGGAGAATGCAGGGTCCTCAGCTGCGCTGCGTGTCGACTACGATCTCAAATGGTGAGACCAGCAGAGGGTGTCGGCTGCGTGCAACAACCACAGCGACAGCGGAGTCTCAACGAAATATTATGTCGAACAGTGAGAATGCCCGTGCAAGTACAAAGTCACTATGTACCTAATGGACGATGAATGTAGGACGTAGTGAAGACAGCTGTTTGTTTGGTCCTGGAAGAGTGGGTGTGAGGAGTCGTGGCCCCCTTAGGGGGTAGTGACCGTGCGCTGAATAGCCAAGAGGCGCGACGTATTTCTGCTCAATGGAGGATTATGCAGTAATATGTTATGCTTCGTGAAATCTTCGTATGGGAGAAGAATTAGGATGAATCTGAGTTGAAAGGCGAAGTCGATATGAAGAGTGGTTGAAGAATGAGTTCAGGATTGTTGAAAAGAGGGAATGGAGAGGATTGAGAACGCGCAGGAGCAGGCGCAGGCAATTCAAGCTCCGAGAGGCACGCCCGAGGTCTTGGTCTCTTGGGGGCAGAGAATGGGGAAGGAACAAGTCCGTTTGATGCACCGCCGCCAGCAAAGCAACTCTTCTTTATTTCTGCAACAACGCAACTTGATAGGACTCTCCAAGTTAGTAATTGTTGAATTGAACGAGAACAGCCTTTACAAACACCTGATTGCTTCTCGGGCAGGTGACTACTGCAACTACCTTGTTATCTACTTCGTACATCCTGGAGATTCTGGCCACAAGTGATCAACGTCAGAGAACACTCGCTCCCAGCCGCAATGACATCGGCGGTGGACTTGTAGGACTGACCAAGTTTAGGGTCACTGATCAACATCGCCAACCTGCTCCTGTTGATTCATCTTGTACCATAGTACAGAACTACAGGGGTTGTTCGCGTCGTCATAACATCATTTCGCTGGTGTTTGTTGTTCTGGGATCGTCTTGTCCTTGCCCTACTCGTACTCGCACCATCAAACTCAAAAGTCTTATTACTGGCACCGACCGACCCACGGCACAGCCCTCTCTATGCACCCCTTTGGGCCACTCAAAACACGCCTACGCATCAGAATCCTCAATTCTCCGCTTCCTTTTTACTAGGCCTTGGTGCAGGCAGTCTGCAGAGGTGTACGTTGGCAGGCGTGTCAGGCTTTCAGTCTCGCGTGCCATGCTTCGATAGTCATATCCTGACCGTGCTTGACGTTGACCACGGGCCTGTCAATTGATATTCCATCATCAATCAGACTGAAACCTGTTGATTGCAAATCTTGTGGAGAAACGCTTGGATCGACCGTCTTTTGCGGCTCTCCTTCAGTGGGTTTCTGTGATACATACCCCTGACTTCAACTCTAATCCGACACGTACTCTGGCCCTTGCATAGAACAGATACGGCAACTTTGATTATCAGATTTGGTGCTGCAGAACGCCGGATTGCGTAAATTCTGCTGTATCTCCATTACCAACCGCAGTACTACTGGAAGACTTCCGCTACACGTGGTGACTTCTGTCAAACGGAGATTTCACCTTGAACTCGTCCTTCAAGTCGCGTGCCTATAGTGCCATAACCCCGGGAGCTTTTTTCTGGTCGCTGCGGGTTTACCCGAAAGCCACTTTGGGTATTCTCGGCGTACCTAATTCGAGCAGCTGGAGACCGATATTCTAGGCCGCCGGTCAATCTCTATCTCAAGATTATCCGACGGGGAAGCATTGTTTCGTCAAACACAGCGACCAAGCGAAGGCCGGCCCCTGCTTGTACTTGTATCGGCATTTGTAGCGCAGTGACCTCAATGGATCTCACGAAGACGCCTACTCCGCTCTCACATCGGTTTACTCTTGAGTTGGAGTTTGTGCTATGTCTCGCCAACCCTCACTATCTTCAGTATTTGGCGGTAAACTACCCCCATCTGCTGAACAAACCAACAGCAAGCCACAGCTCCATCGACATTGAAGACTCTGATGCCGCTCGGTTTACCCGTTACCTCAAATATCTTTATGAGTATTGGCGGACACCACAGTACGCTAAATATTTGACACACCCTGGGGCCACTCTAAGAAACCTAGAGCTTCTGCAGCAAGAACAATTCCGGAGAGATATTATCAGACCTGATGTTGTTGCGAAGTTGTTGGAAACGGATGCGAGTCAGATAGTGGCGCAAGATGTATCTGCTCATCAGGACCCTGCCACAGAGTCCGAACAGCCGGGTGCCTGACCAGCAACTTCACAACCAGAATTTGTGGTAGATGTCATTTCTCTGAGCAAGGCACGACAGCGTCATCATCGGCTGGGGCATCGGGGTGGCATGTTATGCTGCGATGACGTGCGCGACCAACACAGCGGCCTCGTTATGAAACCATTCTTGCCCCAGATTGAGACATACATACGGAGGCGACCTGGTTGATTCCACAGAAATAGTGCATTGGACAGCCATCGATGTCGGGATCATGTCATTGATGAAAAGGCAGGCTCAGCCGACGGAATGGCAAGATCGGAGCTTTGCAACAAGTAGAAACAACGTTGAAGCTCGAATACGGCCCGTCAACGACAGCAAACAATGCTTTACTCGGCACAGCATTCTGTCTAACCTCAGAGACATGACCACCATTGAGAGCCTGAGTCAACTGCAGCAGCGACGGGAGACCGACGAGACTCAGACCCAAGACAACGACTGACCATTCCATCGCTGGAGTAGGAGAGTTGTCGTCTCCATCCTTCAGGTAGAGCTTGAATGGTTTAGCTTTGCCCCGAGATGAGAGGATGTGGTATTGCACCCGGGACGGCTCTACCTCGCGTGAATGGAATCAGTGTCTTGAGTCTGGCGGGCATTGCTCGTAGAGAGAGACATCTCATAGACATCTGAGATCGCGACTCTTGGAAGGTTTCATTTGAGCGAGCAGCTACGGTGATATTGCGGACAAGAGGCTGGAAAGGCTAAATACATCATTCATAATTGGCTGTGAGAAATTGTCAAACTGGCAAGGCCCATCATCGTGCTGCTACAAATTGTATTTTTCATCGGATTGTACGCTATAGGGTTGACATGCGAAAAGGAAAGGTGAAGATGCCTTTCCTGGCACGTCGGACGCGCTTGAGGTTGGCTTTGTCGAGTTGGGTCACCGTCCAATCGCCTGCATCCTGGTCCATTCCATTGAAACAACAAGCCGAGGTTGTTGTAGCGTTGCAGAAACAAGTTTAACGGCCGGAGTGTTGACCACCCTTGTCTCCTGCATCAGGCGCGTCTCAGATTTCGTGGTAGCCATGAATGCTGTCATCTCGTCTCTCGTTTGAGATAACTACATCACTTCCCACGATCCTCCGTGCTGATTGTCGTGCAATGCCCGCAGGACACCCCGCGCCGCTTAAGTAGGCGACCCGGTACTCACCGTGAACGGCCATAAGTCCAGAACATACTGCACCATACAAACACTGTATCGCAGAGAGCCTTACCACGTATCTGGCCCCGATTGCGCACCTTGGATGAAAGCACGCAGGACATTGAGCATCAAGAGATAGGAAATTCACGCGATCCATTACTAAGGGGCGGACAACCGCCAGAGAGCTGAGACTCCTCGCATACCGTGAAGTGCGGCTATCCACCTCGCGCTCCTCGCGCCGGGACACAGGGCGACGGCTCGCACCCATCGAGAAACAATCTGACCGCAGCTGGGAGGTCAACGTTCAGACAGTGTTGTCACGATGGTCTCGACACGGCATCATCCTAGGCCCTTTCCTGAAACACCGACACCCACCACGCCTTCCCAACCCAAGTCCTCGTCTTCGTCGCCACGAGACGTGTCAACCTCAGTATTACCGACTTCACAGAACCGCGGAGTGACTCAATCCTCTGGTGTCAGGCAGAAAGCATCTGCTGTGGGAGGCATTTCGCATAGGGTGCCTCCATTGCTTCTGGGGTGGCTTCTTGTGTCTCTACCTCTAGTTGTTTGGGACACAGGCTACATCTTCCTCCGCCCACATTCCATGCCTGGTGGGAAATTCCACTCACCCATCTGGAAACCGTATGCTCTTTACGGCACCGTGGACTACGTCTATGGCTGGCCAGCTTGGAACAACCACGTCGGCTTCTCGGCGGCTCAGGCATCGTTGAATGCCGTTGAAACAGCAATGTACATCTATTACTTGAGAGTCTTGTTCAACCACGGCGCCAAGAACTTCTTCGCATTCCAGAATCTGGACGAATTCATCAAGGGATCTGACGAAAGTGCTATCACCGGACCTGATGTGGCCATGGCAGTGCTTGTGCTATTCTCGGCCGCTGTGATGACGCTGAGCAAGACCATTCTGTATTGTAAGTATTCCCGATGAGCGGGATATGATGTGGCAGTCATGGCTGACTGGACGCTTCGCGCAGGGTTCAACGAATATTTTGGTGGATTTGCCAACATCGGACACAACACTCCCTGGAATTTGGTCTTACTATGGATCATACCTAATGGACTCTGGATCGTTCTTCCCATCTACATGATCTACGTGCTCGGAGAGGAGATGCTTGCGCTTATGCAAGGGTCCGCTTACAACAAGGCCAAGTAATCACTCAACCAATGCAAAAGTTACCCACGCTTTTCGCTTGCGGCTTTTTTGGCCGTTCACCAATCCAACAAACAGTGATTAATGAGCATCCCTAGCAAGTATTGCGATCATGAGACAGAGCAAAAGCGATTCTGGCGGGCCGCAGGTGGGTAGCACTGTATGCTTTTGCAGCTGTGGGCTCCGCTTCCTCTGCAACCCATATTCAAGCTGCCAGTACCTCCATATGCCAAGGCTGCTCGCGGAATGCCGGACAGAGCCCAAGTCGGTCCATGTCCCAGAATCTGTACCATGGCTAGGAAATAACAGTGTCGTCTGAACGCCAAAACAGCTAGGACAGACGAGTTCTCTGGGTTACAATGAAAAAGCAGAAGTCGCCATCAAGTGGGGGAAAAGGCGGAAAGAGAGCCTGTCCGGCTAAATCAATCAGCGGTGCTCGGCATTGCGACCTGGTTGCGATCTGATGACTGCATCACCGACAGATTCGTGCACGTTGCCGGTGCAATATCCTTCCAATGGACCGTGATGAGCCGTTCCTGTGTACCGCAATCGGCCGGGCCGACAAGGAGGAGAAGGTCACCGGCAAGAGAGCGAGAGGTCAGACCCCAGCCAACATGGTACCATCAACCACAGCTACATGCATATGCGAGGACACATTCCAAGACTAGAGAGGCAGGTGCACATAACGCGCAGGCAAACTGGAGAAAGTTCACTCCGGAGTGCCTGGAAGAAATGCGTAAGACCGGGAGGTGAATGGCTAGATGCATGACACTGGGGAAAAGAGGGCAAATAGGATAAACATCGGGCAGATGGAGGGGTTCATGGGTTAGCTTTATGGAGCAAAAAGGCGGGGAGATCACAAGGCTCACAAGGATTTCCATCTCATCGTAACGATGGCTTTTGACCGAAAGAGTGGCACGGAGCAAGACGAAAGAGGGAACTCAAGAGAATGGCAAGAAAATGGTGTGGTGGATGGTGGGAAAGAATCGTCCATGACCCGTACTTTGTAAATACAACAGCCATATGACTGGTTGACCTCAACTGACAGCTCCAACTTAGCTTGATAGCTTGCATTTGCGGGGTATAAAATATTGTAGGCATCACACGTACCGAAGTGCGAAGGTATTGTACCTCTGGGGAGGCGAAATACAACCCTGGACAAGGTGTGATACTCGTTGGTCATGTTCTGTTAAGTTGCCTCGGGAGATGATGGTCTTCGAGGGAGCATTTTTTTGCACGGAATGTAGCATGCGTCAGTTCCATCTTACCCGCCCAATGCAAGCAAGCAAGGCCGGCAAGTACTACTGTACCCAGCAGATTTGCATCTTCTTCCTCTCTTCGGGTTTCCCTTTTTTTCTGAACATATTCAGCTCGAGTATTCCTCCATGTGGCTGCCCCCCATTCCTCAAGCTCTCCACAGTAAGACATATAACTCATCACTCATCACTCATCATCATCATCATCATAAACCACTACCTGCTCTATGGCGACATAACTACCTGAAGGGCTCCTCAAATACCTGTAACCTATCCCTCAAGGCTTCCTTTCTGCTTCCTCTGTTTTCCACTTGGTCTGTTGCCTCGTCTGCCTGGTATCTCTCCATCTTTTCCTTCCTACTCGGTCCCTTCGCGGTCAAGGTTGATCACCCACCGGACCACGGCTGCTACGTCGGTCGACAACTAGCTGCCGTTGCACTGCAGCTTGTCTTCTCGACTACCGAGCATTAACCGTCCAAACAGGCCTCTTGCGACCCCTTCGTACGTGGGATTGACGTCAACGATCAAAAACAGTCAGGCCGACCTTGCTTCACCTCAAAAATGTGGCTGTCGACCACGGTTGTGGCTGCCGTCGTTACCCTGTCATTCAATGTCCTGGCCACTGTAAGTGCGACCTTTGCGCCCCTAGATTCCCAATAAGGCACCAAGATTCCCACCCCTGCCTTGTCAAGCTTTTCCCCCACGAAAGCCACCATGGCGCCGTCATTCTTGTCTTCTGCTGTCTATTTTCTGAATGCCACCTCGTACTGTCACCATACTTACAATGCGTCTTACAGCCCGTCGAGTTAGATGCTTTCCACAAACGACAGTCTGCAGCACAGCCCTTCAATAACGATTATACCGGGCCCAATTTCACTTCTCCTCCAAGTTATCCGTCCCCATGGGGCACCGGAGCTGGAAACTGGTCCTCGGCTTATGAACAAGCTCGTGCCTTTGTGAGCCAACTGACCCTGCTCGAAAAGGTCAACCTTACCACTGGTGTTGGGTGAGTTTCCTTTTTTCAATGTGTATGGAAATACTTGCAAGCTCATCACCTCTTTTAGCTGGGAAGGCGAACGATGTGTCGGCAATACCGGCTCCATCCCTCGACTTGGCTTTACCGGTTTCTGCACACAGGACAGTCCCTTGGGTGTGAGATTTGGTGGGTTCTGCGATGTACAGTGTGAAGCATCCAGCTGAGAGAATACAGGTGATTACGTCTCGGCTTTTTCTGCTGGCATGAATGTCGCCGCGACATGGGACCGCAATCTTGCCCAACTTCGAGGTGCAGCCATGGGGGCCGAGCACCGAGATAAAGGTGTCGACGTTCAACTCGGTCCTGTTTGCGGCCCCTTGGGTCGATCCCCCGAAGGTGGAAGAAATTGGGCAAGTCCGCAAATTTGAATTGCATTGCACAGCACCCTAACTATCCATAGGAAGGGTTCAGCCCCGACCCATACTTGACGGGAGCTCTCATTGCGCCAACTATACAGGGCATTCAGAGCTCTGGTGTCATCGCTTGCACGAAACACTTAATTGGCAACGAACAGGAACACTTCCGCCAGGTGGGGGAGTCCCAAGGTTATGGCTACAATATTACCGAGGCCCTCAGCTCCAATATCGATGACAAGACCATTCATGAGCTTTATCTCTGGCCTTTCGCTGATGCGATCAGAGCTGGCACTGGTTCAAGTATGTATTCATCGATATGCCACCACGAAAGCTGACAGTCCCTAGTCATGTGTTCTTACAACCAGCTCAACAACTCATATGCCTGCTCCAACTCTTACCTTCTGAACCATCTCGTGAAGAACGAACTCGACTTTCAAGGCTTCATTATGTCAGATTGGGGAGCCCAGCACTCTGGTATTGGTACTGCGCTGGCCGGTCTTGACATGAGCATGCCCGGCGACACTGCATTCGACACCGGTCTCACCTTTTGGGGCACCAACATGACCATCGCCGTGCTCAACGGAACTCTCCCCGAATGGAGACTCGATGACATGGTCACTAGAATCATGGCAGCGTATTACTACGTCGGCCGTGACGCCAATAAGGTGCCTACCAACTTCTATTCGGTAAGTACACACTGTCCACAGAAAGACTTGACGGGACTAATATCGTTACAGTGGAGTTACAATACATATGACAAGCTCCATGCCGCAGATCCTAACTCACCTATTGGTCTTGTCAATGAGCATGTCAATGTTCAAGACGAACATCGCATAATCATTCGTCAAATTGCTCAAGCCTCGAATGTACTTTTGAAAAACACTGGTTCTCTCCCACTCACTGGGAAGGAGAGACAAGTGGGCGTCTTTGGATATGATGCTGGATCCAATCCCTGGGGCGCCAATGGCTGCGCTAACCGCGACTGCGATAATGGTACCCTGGCAATGGGTTATGGAAGTGGTACAGCAGATTTCCCTTACCTGGTGACACCAGAACAAGCCATTCAGCAATATGTCCTGACCCAAACCAATGGTGAAACCCAAACCATCACCGACAACTATGCCGACAGTCAGATTCAGGTTCTTGCCACCCAGGCTGATGTGGCTATCGTCTTTGCCAATGCCGACTCGGGAGAAGGGTTTATCACGATTGACGGCAACACCGGTGACCGCAACAACCTGAGTCTGTGGCTTGGAGCTGATCGGCTGATCAACAACGTGACCAAGTACAACAACAATACTATCGTCGTCTTGCATACCGTGGGCCCCGTCAACGTCTCTGCCTGGTACGACAACGAGAACGTGACCGGCATTATTTGGGCTGGTCTGCCTGGCCAGGAGAGTGGTAATGCTATTGTTGACGTACTCTATGGTCTCATCAATCCCGGTGGCAAGTTGCCTTTCACCATCGCGCGGGATCGCACCGATTATGGCACAGACGTCATCTACGAGCCAAATAATGGACAATTCAATGCTCCCCAAGACACTTTCTCCGAAGGTGTCTTCATAGAATATCGATACCTTGACGAGCATGGTATCGAGCCCATCTACGAGTTCGGTTTCGGGCTGAGCTACACAACCTTCGAGTACTCGAATCTACAGATCACCCCAGCGAACCCGGCGCCATATACACCTGCTAGCGGCGAGACCGGGCCAGCTCCTGTTTTGGGCAATTTCAGCACGGACCCATCGCAATACCTGTTCCCCAATGGATCAATCTCTTACCGTCCCTATTTGTACATCTACCCCTATCTGAACTCGACCAGCCTAGAAGCCTCTGCTGATGAAACGGACTACGGCCTTCCTGCTAACCAGTATATTCCTCCGGGTGCCACTGACGGTTCGTCACAGCCTCTTTTGCCAGCTGGCGGTGCACCTGGTGGTAACCCTGGTCTTTACGAAGTCGTTGCTACAGTCGCCGCGACAATCACAAATACAGGCAGCATTGCCGGTGATGAGGTTGCTCAACTATATGTCGGGCTTGGAGACGGAGAGCCTCCCAAGGTCCTTCGTGGATTTGATCGCCTCACCATTGCACCAGGTGCTTCTGCAACCTTCACAGCCGAGTTGCTCCGCCGTGATGTATCTGTGTGGGACACAGCTTCGCAGAACTGGGTTCAAGTCGATAATCCCATCATCTATGTGGGTGCTTCCAGCAGGAACACTCCTTTGACCGGCACTCTGTCTGGTGGTAGCAGCTCAGGCAGCAACTCGAGTTCTTCAACTACTTCGAGCGCTAGCGGCGGATCTCCAGTCAGCCAAATCTCGGATGGTCAGCCTCAAGCTGGCACGACTGCTACGGCACCAGTGAGCCAGATCTCAGACGGCCAGCCACAAGCTCCAAAGACCACAAGTGCAGTGGTCAGTCAGATCTCCGACGGTCAACCTCAGGCCACCGCTTCCACGTGGTGAAAGTCGATGGTCTAGGCCTACCCGGCAGAGGACTGTCCACCTTAATGTTTAGTTTCGAAAAGCGAGAATACCTGGGACCGATAATGGTACGAAGTAATGAGCATCAACAGGAGGACGTAATGACCAAAGAAACAAAAGAACCTTCAAGCACACTGCACATAGCGCTAAAGCATTGAAAATGATTGCATCATGATCAATCATACCTTACAGTATCTGTGGTATTTTCCAGTACGTTTACCAGGTGATGCTAATCGCTAATCGGCTCGGCGAGATCTGAAACCTAAAGACTTAAAGTTCGATCTCCGAACTTTTGACTCTGCCAGGTACCAGGCCCAGGCGCTTTGACCTTCATAGATGCATGTCGTCATTGATATCTGCTTTTATGATGGAGCTGTTATTATACTCCAGACTAGTATTGTGGAAAGAAATGTGCCCGAGCCCAAGAGTACTCGTACAGCGTCTGCCTCCTACAATCCGAGATTCGCCATAGTGCGCAGTAAATCCCCAGGGCTCTCAACGTACAAGTAGCGGAAGTGCACGTACTGAACCTAGGGAGTAAAGTCATCGACAACAAGGTGGCAGCCATGCCGTCCAAGTTCAAAAAGAGCAGCACCTCAAATGGGCCACGAGTCCTGTACTGGTTCCGGACAGATCTACGACTGCACGACTCACCGGCGTTGATGCACGCGCTGTCCTTGAATCCATCGCACCTCATCCCACTGTGGACATGGGATCCACACTACGTATACCGCCAGCGCGGGTCAGCTAATCGCTGGGGCTTCCTGGTCGCCAGCATGGCCGATGTGTCGGCGTCACTGACGCAACTCAATTCAAAGCAGAAGTTGCATGTTGTGCGGCGCGCCCCGGGCAAGATCATTGCTCCGTTGCTGAAGAAGTGGAAGATCGATGTGCTGGTGTTTGAGCGCGATACTGACGCGTATGCGCGAATGCGGGACGATGAAGTCACATCTATCGCGGAGGGACTCGGCGTCAAGGTCGTCAGTGTGACTGGGCGGACGCTGTTCGATTGCGACGAGGTGGTCAGGCAGAATGGTGGGAGGCCTACCATGAGTATGGGCCAGTTGCTCAAAGCCACAGGGAAGATGGGCGACGGGACGCCGAATAAGCCGCTGGACAGGCCGACGAGCTTGCCGGATCCGTTGGACGAGGAGGAGATGGATTTGTCGGAATTGGAAGGTGATGTGGGGTCGAACGGCGAGCAGGAGCCAAAATTCGCGGGCGCCGAGCAAAACGATTTCAATGCCGTGCAGAGGACGATGGGGGAGGAGAAGAACACGCAGTTCTCGTGTGGGTTGATGGGACCGGGGAAGTCATTCTCAGTGCCGACGCTGGAAGAAATGGGGATCGATCCGGAGGATGTGACGACGCCACATAAGGGTGGAGAGGCGGTTGGTCTGGCTGTTCTAGCCAAGTACATTGCCAATGAGGAGTATATTGGGACGTTCGAGAAGCCCGCAACTGCGCCAACAGATTTCGAGCCACAAGCCACGACGCTGTTATCGCCACACATGCACTTTGGAAGTGTTTCGGTACGCAAGTACTGGTGGGAGGTTCAGGACGTGCTTGAGAAGCGAAGAAAGGCGAAGAAACACAACAGCAATCATCCTGTGAATCTGCCCGGACAATTGCTCTTTCGTGACATGTACTTCGCGGCACATGCGAAGGTTGGAGTTCCGTTCGGTCAAGCCATTGGCAATCCTGTGGCGAGGTTCATCCCCTGGCATCTGCAGTCGAAATACACCGTGGACGAGCACGGCAAGCCTTTTTCAGACGGAACGTATCTGGTCGATGACGCTCAGGCGGAGGAGTACTTTCGGAGATGGAAGGAGGGACGAACAGGCTTCCCCTGGATCGACGCCCTGATGCGACAGCTCAAACAGGAAGGATGGATTCACCATCTTGGAAGACATGCTGTGGCGTGCTTCCTGACTCGTGGTGGATGTTATGTGTCCTGGGAGCGTGGCGCCGAGGTGTTTGAAGAATGGCTGATCGACCATGAGATTGCTTGCAATGCGGGTAATTGGATGTGGTTGTCGTGTGCAGCCTTCTTTTCGCAATTTTACCGATGTTACTCACCTGTGGCTTTCCCTAAAAAGTGGGATCCTGAAGGAAAGTTCGTCAGGAAGTACGTTCCCGAGCTGGAAATGTTCGACAAGAAGTATATTTATGAGCCGCACAAGGCCCCCATTGCTGATCAGAAGGCTTGGGGATGTGTGATCAAAGGAGATGGGACGGAACGAGCAAACCAGGAGATGAGACTCTATCCGAAACCCATGTTTGATTTCAACGAACGGAGGGATTTTTGCATCAACAAATTGAAGGAAGCTTATGGAGTTGGACTGTATGGCGATGATGAGAAGGTGCTAAGCGGTGAGTGGAAGAAGCTGTTTAATTATGACGATGGAAGTGGTGATAGGCGAGAAGAAGCGAATGGTGTGTTGGAGCGAGGTGTCAAGAGACAAAGAAACTCCGATGACGACAATGGACCTCAGGACCGTGAAGATGGTACAGGAGAGCACGCCGCACCTGGCGACGACACTGATAGGAAAGAAGGCAGGCTAAAGGTTGTAAAGAGGCAACCTGTGGGCAGGAAGAAGAAACAGGCTACACTTGAGATGATGGTATCAAGGTAGTAGTAGAAAAGTCTTACCATTAGAAAGTGATACCCAGGGCAGAAAACATCTTCCATTGTGTTTCTGCATTCGGTTTGGGACAGTTCGAGTAACTTGACTGTTCTGAATGTGCGGTAGGACACGTTCAGAATCTTGGGTTGAGGTTGTGAACTTGTGATACTGCTCACAACTGTCTCACAGCTGGAATTTCCTGTTGACAGCAAAGATGCCAAGATAGCCCTTGGCATGTTTGGCTGTGACACTATCAACCTCGTTCATCCAGACTTTGGTCGCAGTTTCTCACTTTATCTTTCATACTGCCTTGAATGATCTGGTGAGGTCCCGCCACCGATATTCAGGATGGCCTCTTTGAGGACGCGCTTTAAAGAGTTCGAGCGCCTTGATGCTGCCAGAAACGCTCTTTTTGAGGCATGCAATCATCTGTGATGGATGGATCAGACACTAATCTGATGACAGGAGATGGCAGCTCAGCTTGACCAACTGACCCTGGAGCGTGACGCTGCAAAGAACGAACTAGATATGGCTAAAGACACTGCCAGGTTGTACTACCAACGGATGCTGCAAGCTGAAGCAGACAGATCTCAATTACAAACTATGGTGGTCATTTCAGATCGACGTCCGTTAAGTTGTTGTCGCTGACCGACCTTAGGACTTCGACCGATTTCTGCTAGTCCTCATAGACGGTGACAGTATGCCGGTAAGACTGACTTACATACATGCCATCGCTCATGGGAGATCACGGCTAGAAGGTCTGGCTGACATATCCAGTTCCTTGATGACTTTGTATCAAGAGGTATGGAAGGTGGCGAAGACGCTGGCAAACATCTTCGCAACGCCGTCCTCGAGTACTCTAAAACCAGCCCAACATACCGCGCAGACGACCGCATCTTCATCTGGATTTATGCAAACGCTCGTGGTTTGAGCAGAACTTACAAAGCCGCCAAAATAATACCTGACGAATCTGTCTTTGAGCATTTCATGACAGGGTTCAACAGGAGTCACCAGTTTTCTGATTTCGTCGACGCCGGACCTCACAAAGAGGCCGCTGATTCGAAGATAAAAGGTGCGTTGTCCGTCTCTCTCGCCTTTCAGCCAATCGATTTGACAGACTTCAAAAGCCTACTTCGAATTCTTCTACAGAAATCAGCATTGTCAGCATGTCATGTTAGGCGCCTCCGCTGATAATAGCTACGCTGGGTTTCTCCGTCCACTTTCACTTCCAGATTCGAAGGTCAACGACCGCATTACCATGATTGAAGGTCCTCCGTTTGCAGCCGACCTTCGGAAGGTTGCCCAGTGTTTCCGCCAGGCGTCCTTCAAAACGATCTTCAGACCTAGCAAGATTGAAGTGATCCCTAACGGCACCCATGGCATCACCGCGGGCGTCAAGAGACCCGCAAGCGAAGCTCTGATGTCTCTGCGAGAGCGACAAACATCGAAGGCAGATGCAGCAGTGGTCACGCGTCCGAGATCAACCGACGGCAACTCTACACATCCGAAAGCTGCATCAAATCCGTCTCTTGGTCCATCGCCAATCATTTTCCAAAATCAGTACGGTCAACGACTTGACGCACCTTTGGCGATCGACAAGGATTACCTCAAACAGTTGTATAATGGTCACGCACGCCTTTGCAACAATTTCTATCTAAAAGGTTATTGTCCATACGGAGCCGGCTGCGAGTGGGATCATTCTCAAAGACTCAGCCAAATACAGCTGGACACATTTCGGCAAAAGGCCAGAACCTCGAATTGCCGGAACCCCTTCTGCGTCGATCCTGCCTGCTGCCTGGGCCACATGTGCCAGCGCGAATCTTGCAACATATCTCAGTGCAAATTCCTGCCAGAGATGCACAACATCGACGTCAGCAGAGTCTATCAGTACAACACTGAGACAGGCGAGAAGAAGGAGTTGAAGCCTTCTTAGGAGGAATTGCAACAACCGCCTTCAATTCCCATCCACACCACAAAGCCTCGCCGGTGCCCGACTCCGCCATGGCGCTTGACCAATTGCGAAGAAATCAGGTCTCCTCGAGCACCAAACCAGAAACGATGGCTACCAGTATTCAGGCCCCTCTCACGTCGGACCTTTTGATCTTCACAAATAGATCAAACAGGTCCGTCCCTCGCTCAGCCTGGATCGCCGGGAACTTTAAGGGTGCCTGTCAGGGCTACTCCTCGAAGATTCTGACTCGTTCACCGATCAACGGTGGAAACCACAGGGTCCCTCCCCCTTACTTTTGCATCTTAGCGTATCCCTTCCTGCATCGTCCTTGTTCGTTCTTGCTGATGTGGTGGGCATCAGCAGTTGTCTTCCTTGCGAAAGAACCCAACAGTTCGTAATTCTTTGCTCCATAGCCTAGTGGCATGTGGCAAGCCCAAACGTGCTCTCTAGGCTCGGCGTCAGGCATGAAGCGCCTGATATAGCAAATAAAAGCTGGTTTATAACATGTTCCCGGCTATTACTATGTTTTCAATTTCGCATGTTGTGGCTTTGCCCTCGATGTCCGCGCGGACGCAGCCTTATGTCGCAATGCAAGGCGATATGACTCTGATTGTCTGTCAAGCAAGACGTCAAGCTGACTGGTCGTTGGGAGCGCTGGTTCACGAAGTCAGTCCCTGACTATAGCCATGCTTTTTCTCAACTCCCGTTCTCGTTGTTTGCTCTGTAACTCCAATCTTTCGATTGCATATTGAAGCCTCTCCTTCTTTTGCTGCATGCGCTTCATCTCCAGTACTCTGGTGTCATTCAGGCCGATCGGCTGCGAGGCCTTCACACTCCGCACTGGCTGGCTGGCTCCAAAGCCGGAGCTTCTTCGATTGTTGTTCAATCGACCTTCCAACAACTCCGATCTGGCCTTCAGACTTTCCTCTTTCCGCCCAAGTTGATTGATGTAGTTCTCTGCCGTTGAGATCAACTGATTGATGGCTGGGACGATCTCATCGACCAGAGATTGTTGTGCTTCACTTAGTGCGTGTTCGGGAAGTAATTCGAAGTGCTGCTGTGTTTGTAGTACCTTACATAGACGAGCAAAGTCGGATACACCCTCGTCAAGAATGGAGATACTGGAATCGAGTAGGGTGAGTGAGGAGCGGAGAGATGAGACTGCGGGACCCAGCGACGCCATTCCCCCAGCACACTCGCTAGACTTTGTACAGAGTGCTTCCTGTGCTTAATGTATTCTTGTGTCAATTCGGCGAGCGTAAACATACTTCTCGACGCGACGAAACTATGCAAACACACGAAATTCGCCAAGCCTTCATTAATCGGGTTTAGCTCCTTCAAGCTTCAAGATCATCGAAAGCCGGAGCTCATTGACGACAACTTCACCACGCAAAACAATACCTCTACCAGAACACTGTCAAGATGCCTGGCTGGATCCCGAAAAAGTTCCCCGGCAAAATTGGTCAGTCGCCTGGTCAACAATAAGCAGAGAGTCGCAAAACTGACTGCAGCGCAGCCGAACCCATGATCCCTTTCTACGCTGCAGGCGTTATCGTGATCTACGCGATCAACCTTGGTGCCAACGCTATGATGGCATGTAAGTGAAAAGCAAGCGTACACCGTGTTGCTATCTATGAATGAGCGCACTCCAAGCCCATAGACTGACATCATGTCAATTCGCAGCGGACGAGTTCAAGGACGATCCCCGAAACCCCAACAGAAACCATGAAGCGAAGTCAGCATAAACTTCCACCGAGCCGCCGGGAATGTGAAATGGAGTCAAAATTTGCAGAGATGCACCAAGTCGGGCTTGCATCGAGCGCACTGTACATATGGAAAGATTAGACATTCGCAGCGAAAATGGGATGAAATGAGAAAGTGGCGCTGTACTTTTGACGCATCGATTGTGTTTTCTCCTACAAAACGGATCTGAGACCCTCTTCCAAGGAATTCTCTACCGTACGCAAGCAAGTCAGCAAGGCACTGCACTGAATGTCGAGACGGGTCACAGTCGGAAGGCGTGCCACTGCAAACCGAGTTGCAGTGCTCGAGAATTGGATCTCTTGGTCCCAATTGCAGTGCTATATGTTCCGTGTGTGCCATGTACTGACATCCAGGGCCGACTCTTACTTATGACTTGCAAGAGCAGAATCGTATGCCTGCCTCCAGCAGTCAGACCCGGCTTCGAAAACGGCATGCCTTCGCCGGGACAGCCGCTTAACTATTACAAGAGACGGCATCTATCGCGGCGCAAGTCTTGCTCAGCACAAACCGAGAAGCAGGCATGCGACCCGTTCCTTGAGGGGAGTGCTGGATTCTAGGGGTCTGCCATGCCTTCGTTGGACAATATCTAGATTTGACCATGAATGATTCGACTCATAGATAGCTAGACGCATTGCAATGGCATGTCTATGTTACAGTATGAATCTCTCTCCTCTATATCATTGTGCTTGGCACCCACTCCGAAAGCATTTTGTAGGTACGTTCTCGCGGCGGAAAGGCTGCAGCCAAACGCCCTCCGAGTTTAGACCTCGGTAATGCTGGCCCGAGAGTCGAATACCTCAACATCTCTCCCCCAAAAAGCTCGATGTCATTGAACAGCAAACAACTATAAGCGCATCTGTTCCGCTCGGGCATTGCAGACTGTGGCCTACGGACGAGGCTGCAGGATAAGCTACACGCCGTCGATTACTATCCGTGATCGTTGAAAGACCGCGACATCTGCGGCACAATCTATTGAGCATTCAGCCAAACGTACTGCCAATCCACCATGAAAGCCGTCCAGATCACAAAGTTCGTGGACTCATTCTCCGAGCTCGCAGTAACAGATATCCCTTCCCCGAAACCGAAGTCCAATGAAGTTCTCGTACACATTACACATAGCGCGCTCAATCATGTGGATCTCCTCTACTCCCGTGGCAAACATCAGAACAATCACAGCGGCTTGGTCAAGCCGCCTTTCGTGCTTGGCCTCGAGTTTGCAGGTGTGATCGCATCAGCACCATCGGTTTCTGGCTTTAAAGCTGGCGACAAGGTCTGGGGTGCCAGTGTTGGCGGATTCGCCGAACAGATCGTTGTTCCACCATCGGCCTTGCAAAGGCTACCCACCGGATGGTCGTTACATGATGTGGCGGGTCTTGGTGGTGCGACTGCACCGGTGAGCTACGGAGCACTTGCCAGAGTTGCCCAAGTCAAGGCCGGTCAAATTGTGCTGGTCCACGCCGCCGCTGGCGGACTGGGTGTTGTTGCTGTACAGATTGCTCATGCCCTTGGTGCTAAAGTGATTGGGACGGTGGGTAGCGAGGCCAAGGCTGAGGTCGTTAGGGGTTTAGGCGTTCTGGGGGTGGTACGCTACGACAAAGATGGCTGGGAGAAGGAGGTCCTGAAACTCACGGATGGTGTGGGCGTCGATTCGGTGTATGATACGGTCGGTTTGGTAGGGAAGAGTATCAAGTGCCTCAAGTTCGGTGGGAACATTGTGATTGCTGGGTTTGCTGGGCTAGGTGGGAAAATGGAGACGCTGGCGATGAACCGTGTCCTGCTCAAGGGTGCGAAGCTGCTTGGATACAGATTCGGTGAGACTGGACGACGAGATCCGCAGGAGAACGAAGAGGTGTGGAACGGTTTGACCACAATGCTTGAGAGCGGCATGATCAAGCCGGTCATTTATGGGACGTATCGTGGCTTGGAAAGTGTGTCACAGGCTATGGATGATCTTGCCTCACGAAAGATATGGGGCAAGGCTGTCGTCGAGATCCAACCCCCACCAACTATGGCTGCGAAATTGTGAGCCTGAAAGACAAAGCATTCAGTTCATCACCAGACCCCCATCGACAACGAGCTGCTGCCCGGTGACGCCATTTGCCCAAGGGCTCGCAAAGAACAACACGGCGCCTGCCAGGTCGTCTGGTGTCGTGACCTTCCTTAGTGGTGTGACGGCTCTGATCTGGTCGAAGACCTCCTTCGGCGTACTTGCACTGGCGTCCGTTACGTTTAGCAGGCCTCCCGACACCATATTCACGGTAATGCCCTTGGGACCGAGGTCGGCCGCACATGTCCTGGTGAAAGCCAACAATGCGCCCTTGGCTGCGGTATAATCATGATAAGGTACCACCGGGTTCTGGAACAAATTCGACCCGATGTTGATGATCCGGCCATACCCGAGCTTCTCAAATCCGGGAAGTGCTGCCTGAGTGGTGTTCAAGGTACCTCGAAGGAACCCTTGCAGCTGAGAATCGAAATTGGACCAGGACAGCTCGGGTACTTTGGGTCTGGCGTCCCCATTGAAAATGAAGCCGCCTACGATAGCATTGTTTACTACCGTGGTAATGGGCTTCCCAAAGTGAGACTCGGCACGAGCGAATAGTGCTTTCACCGCTTCTGCATCCGTGATATCGGCGGCGAATTGAAATGCGTCCAGTTCTTTCGCTATATTGGCGACAATGCTGGGGTCCGACTCATAGTAGTTCAATATGATGCTAGCACCCTCTGCTCGAAATGCTTTGGCTATTGCCAGGCCAACACCCCTCGAAGAACCTGACAAATTAACATGAGTATCGATTGGAATCTCCTTGGGCAATACCTACTTGTACCGGCGGTCAAAACGGTAGAGAGGCGTTACTTACCCGTAACAAGGACGACTTGATCCTGGAATCTCATGCCGGAGGACGACGGAATCTCCGAAGGAAGAATTCCTAGTACCAGATGCTTGGTCGAATCCGTGAACGAAATTTCTTCTCCGGAATGTCGCTTGCGCTTCTCTGGCCTTCTTCCCGGCTTGTGGTGGAAATGACTAGAGACGCAATGTAGGTAGTGACGTATATCACAGTGCCCACTGGTATTGTCTTTGAGAGATATTTTGAGGTGGTATGCTCACTGACGAGCTAATAGTAGACGAGCCTCAACAAAAACTAACACTGATTGGCCTCCATAGAATCCCTTCCTTGAGAAGTCAACACGATAGGCAAAAAAAAGTCCAATTGATGAAAGAGATCACTCCGCGGGGGACAGGGCGTAATTTAGTGAAGATTCTTTCAACGGGGTGTATATAGCTTACCTCGAACCCACAACTATGGTGGTTGTCAGATGTTGTCATAGTAGGCGTTGGAAGAGAGTTCCTTACCCTCCAGATTAGAAGTCTGGCGCGCTACCATTGCGCCACTGCGAATCGTTAATAAGGTGCTTCTATTGAAAGAAGAACAACACTTACGCGGAGCAGTGGCGAATTAAACTCGAAAATCTCGAGAGCAATTTTAAGCCAAAAATTTGTGTCTCAAAATCATAATGCAAGCAATCTAGAGCCCTCAAGACGCACGCTGGAAGCGTCTTCTAAGTAGTCCACGCGAAGGCTAATAGGGGGCACCCAGACTAGTGGTCTCTTGGCGCTTGGCGTATACTTCTCTGGACCTCTTGAACAACCTACCTGGTCCCTCTTTAAACAATCTGATATCACTCTGCCCTTTTCCTACTAGAGTGGTAATGGCGATGTCGCCGACATATTGAGGCCCTCTGCGCTCGATGCTCTACTCTGCTGTCCTACCTTCATCTCGGGAATGTGGTGGCATCTTAAAGCGATGAAGAGCCAACCAGTCCTATGAGCGTACCGTTATGCATACTAAAGCGAAGTGTGTAGCGTATGAGCAAAGGACAGATGTGACTCGGCCTTGGGAACGAATCTGCATTACCACTATGCAGGTTATGGTCGCCTGTCGTCCAGTGCGCCCTACCGGAGTTTCGGGTACTAGGAGCATACTCCGATACTCTAAGACCTGGAGTGCCTTGCACACAAACAAAGCTCAAGGCGCACAGGCGACTCCTCTACTGATCCCCTGGACATGTGCCGATATGTGATCAGAAGAGACTCCCTGTCCAGTGGATTTACAACGGTATTGGCCAATGATGTCTACCTTCACTGCCTACACTCGCTCTTTCCATGCAATAACAACAGGACACCTGCAGAGGTGATTTTGAACAGTGGCCAACCCCTCATCTCTAAGAACCTCTTCGTCACCATGGCGTGATTGCTTTCCATGAAGAGGCGGAGATGATATTGATTGAGGTCTCAGCCTCCGCCACTAAGACCTTGTCTTCCTCATTCGCTGGTTTTCTCCAATTAGCAGCATGGTACGTTAGCGATCGATACTACTGATCTCAGGTCATCTTGGCCTCATGCTTTTACCACCGGTTAGTTGTCGTTCGCATTCTGGTTGGCAGTTATGACTGTACAGGAATGTGGCAGAGGCACTTCTCCATTCACATTATATGTATTTACTGCGTGGTGCGACCAGACGGTTCGCATGTGGGCATTGAACAACGGCAAATCCGAAGGTATATGACAGGCATCTCACACACAGTTTTCATTCCCCTACACAACGCCATTTTTCCTCGAAGCACTATCTAAACTACTCCTGCTCGCCAAATCTGCATCATGGTTCCATTGAGTGCTCTTGGAAGTGGATGGACCATTATAACTATAGCGAGCGCCTTCCAGCAATTGTGCAAAAAGCTTCATCGTTTCGCGAGAACTCTAAAGCAGGCTCAGACCGGGGTGATACTGATCAAGATCGAGATCGAAACATTCTGGCGGCTTCTCAAGAAATTCCATAAACTCGTCGAAGATGCCGATTCCTCAAACGAGGGATTTTCAGTCGATATCAAGAGAGCAAACATCAGCGCAAGCATCATCGAAGCGTCGAGGTACAACCTCAAGAGGTTACGCAGTATGCTGGCCAAGATTGAACCGCTTCGTGCAGACAAATCCAAAGATTATACGTTCCTCGCAAGATGGGTTGCTCGATGGCAATGGTCAGATTGGAAAAAGGACTGGGACGGAGTCCAGTCGTCCCTGAATTCGACGAAACAGAGCGCCGACTTGCTTCTCTCAATGGTCATACTAGAAACACAACTTCGCGTTATCATGACATTACAAAGGGAGAACAAACCCGTTCCAGTCGATATGACGACATGGGTGTGCGTCAGTCCTCATTTTGACTTCTGGGTGCATGCTAATCATTTGCTTCCGCAGAGACTGTCAAAGGGACCACATCAACCATCTGCAGGCGAGCGTCAGGAGATCACAGAGACACTACGACACTCTAGAGCTTGGGGAAGATGGACACGCACTGCAAATTAACATTTCGGTCACTGAAAACGACACGAGGCATCGTGCGAAGCTACATCAAGCATCACCAGGATATTAAGACCATCCTGACTAGTGATGCACCTATTTCTTCTCTGGTCGTGAAACTTGGAGCATCAAAATCTCCAAGTGGTGACGCTGGAAGCCAGACGTCCTCGTGGGGTCCCATTGTCGACACACCGGATACAAGCCTTGTCATCGAGTCTTCTGAAGGCAGTAGGGAGCGCGACCTCTTCACTGAAGAGGTGATTGACGTCCCAGACATGAATGATGACTTGATGAACTACACTGCGACCTCCCCTAGCGACCACACTGAATGTGACCGTGGCTGCACGCCCCACTCGGAACCACAGCGGCCAATGCAGACGATTCCTCCTGCAGGATGGGTCCCGACAGCACTATTCGGACCGCCCATGCCGAAGGCGCGGCCACCGAATCCTCGACCGCCAACGCCACTTCCTCCTAGCGAGGATGCTGCTGTCAACCAGGGTGATGGCTCCGCTGGACGTTATGATTATCCTCCTCCCGAAAAGCCCGGCGGGCCAGCACATAAGGCGTCTGTACCACAAGCTCGCCGATCAGAGCTTCGACCACCCACTCCAGATGCAGCCCCTCAAGACATAATTGTCGATCGGAATGATGATTTGGGGGTACGCCATGAATACCGACCACCGAGGAAGCCACGGCGGCCGCCAAGATCATTGGAATGGGTCAAGACATGTGGGCATTGTCGCACTCATGGAAGGAGATATTGGAACGGACAGAGCTCCTGCACAAGCTTCACCTACCGTTTGCATGTGTCATTCCTGATTCGCGTGCAATGGGATGGTAAGTAACGGTGAGAAACCGAGTTTTAGTGCAACAGATGTGATTTGATGTAGGGCAGGTATATCATTATCTGGATATCAAGGGGCAAATTACAATGCGATTTTCTCCCAGCACGTTTTGCGGCCTACCTCAACACCGTGCTAAGCATCAATGGCCCTGAACTGCTAGTCCACTAGACTTGCCCCCTTGCAAACTATAGAGCACTCATTATCCGTCAGACTCCCAGGACATTAGATCGTATTGATAAACACCTCACTCATCGTCGTCGAAAATCTGGAAAGTATTGTTGAGTATCGTCTCGATGACCTTCGCTTGCCACCCGGCGTCCGCAATATCAGCGCCACCACCGGGAGCTTGACTGTTGGCACCGCCGCCACCTTGTTGACCCATTAGTGTCGGGGCAAACACAATAGCCAGATTACTATGCGTCATCTTGTTCTTCTCACTGTGCTGTGCGATTCTGTTCAAATGCAGAACCAGTGTCCGCAAAGTAGCATAATTGGGGTCAGGCAAGCCGTTGATCAAAGCGTGGACTGAATCTCGGCGAACAATGTCGTCCTCGATCTTAGCAGCATCAATGAATGCTTGATATGATGCCGCCGTGAGCAATGGATCGGGCAGATCACGCAAAAAGTGCTTGAGCAAGGTCGTCACGGAGGCAATGTCGTTGTGGAAGTTAGCGGCATTGCGGAAGTCGATGGCGGAAGCATCTAGAACAGTGATCAGCCACGCCGGATAGAAACATTGTCAAGAGTGATTGACTTACCATGGTCAAACTTCTGCCTCAATTCCATGATATGCGGGGCGGATCCGGACGTCCTGTACACACCCTCCACGTCGAGGCCATACAGATCGACGGCTTGCACGCACTGGTAGACGATGGTCGGTACAGCAGAGCCGTCCCGCCGGAACAGATTTTCCAAGGAGATGCCGAAGACAGGCCGGACGGGAGGTCCAGCTCTTACTGCGGGTGCAGCTGCCCCGTTAGAAGCACCACGGCCTGCGCCTATCGACGGAGCTCCTTGTTGAGGTGCAGGGGCTGGAGCACCTCGAATTGCACCTGGAGGTGGCCCTGTACCTGGAGCACCTCGTCCTACTCCCATTCCTGGTGGAGGCGCTCCTCGGCCCGCGCCTAGCGGTATTCCTCGACCTGCACCTTGTGGCGGCATACCAGGACCCGGAGCGCCGCGACCGGCTTGTGGTGGCACACCTTGTTGACCTCCAGGCCCTGGAGCGCCTCGACCGACACCTTGAGGCGCCATGCCTGGCTGTCCAGAGGTGGGAGCACCACGTCCTAGGCCCTGTGGTGGCGGATCTTGTTGACCTGGAGGCGGGGCTCCACGTCCTACACCTTGTGGCGACTGCCCTGTCGGACCAGGAGTACCTGCAGGCCGAACCACCGGATGCTGTCCAAGCGGTGCTTGACCTCTGTCCATCGGAGCAGCGCCTGGGTTAGGGCTTGGAGCCCGTGGTTGACTTGAACTGCTTAGCTGAGGTGAGCCCATTGGAGGGCGGACAGCACCAGCATTCGGAGGAGGCGCTCCATTCTGAGCAGGAGCCCCTGAGTTCAGTCCTAGGCTCTGAATCTGAGGCAATTGAGGTGCTCCAGTAGGTGCTGTGTTTTGCTGAGACGTTACGATACCGGATTGTTGTGGGCCTTGATTGTTATTTGCGTAAGGGTTTGCTTGATTGAATGACTGTGTATGCATCTGCGTTTTAGGTGAAAGTGATGGGTGCTGCTCGTACTTGATGTCAGGACCGTTTCCAGCTTTGTCACTGAAGCCCACGACATATTCGGCGAAATCCCTATCATTGTCAATGCCCGACGCCACCTCTCGGAGACCACGTGCAGGAGCATCTCCAGAATTTTGTCCCTTGACCGGCGTAACAGTCAGTCCATAGCTGAGAAGAAGTTTCTCACTCTGGACGGCATATTTCTGTATCTGGACACCCAGCGCAGCATCCGTCTCCCGGATAATTTCTTGTAAAGCTCTTGCTGTCTGTGGTCTCAGTGTACTCGTGAGTTCCTGTTGCTGAGTCTGCGCCGACTGGACTTTAGCATTATAGTCAGCGTCAGACGCTTCGAGTTTCCGAAGAAGGTCTTCCTCGTGCTGTGCCGGAGACTTCTTGAAGCCGATGATCTTCCCTGACTGGCTCTCTCCAGTCCTGGCCCGATCATATTGTTCTGCCAACGCATAGTATTTGCTTTCCGCTTTTGTCACCGCGTTCTTTGCATCTTCGACTCGTTTCTCTGCGCTGAGACCTTCATGCTTCCAATGTTTTCGGGCTTTATCATTATTGGTTGCTAGTTCAGAGAGTTCATCTGCCATGGTATGAAGCGTGCTTGAGAATTGGAGGCCGTGCTCGGCCATTCGATCGTGTATCCTCGTAAGTTCTTCATAGCTTTGTGCGAAAGAACCCTGCCTGCCTTCGGGTCTTCTTATAAGGTCGTGAGTGTTTCGACTCAGTTTTCTTAGTGCCGAAGCATGTTTGTCCTCGAGGGCAGATCTCTCTTTCAGGAACGCGGCAAAATCCTGCTTGGTGTCAGCCTATTCTCGCGATAACGGTCGACATAGCGGACTCTCGTAGAACTTATGCTTTGTTTCAGCCGGTTCAGCAATGTGGTTATGCCAATCTATTGGGTTGATCAGTGGTGTTTCTCTTGCGACATGTACAATCCTCTTACGTCGGATGAAAGGACTTGGTGCACTCTTTGTCTGCTTGCAGGATCCAGGCCTCCGTCGTGTCCGGCGTTGACAGGAAGGGCAGGCAAAGACGCTTGGGATTGTCCTGCATTCTGTGGGATATTCTGGGGTGTAGGGCCATTGACGGCCACATTGGCCTGGCTTGGTGCCGCAGTAGCCATACTTGCGGCCTGCGACTCTGCGAAAGTTGGCTTATGTGGTGATCGGAGACTGAATTAGAGACTACAATGAGGGGTGAGTCAAGGAAAAACGCGACAGAACTCAGTCGTAGAGACGACTGTCGCAGGTCGTGAAGCAGTGAACAAGGCTGAGTGTCACGAAGGTGATTTGCATTACTGATGATGTGTACCGAATGCCCTTGCTTCCATGCTTCAGCTCCGAGGCCTCCAACTTTTTGACATGCATGCCTGCCAGCGGCAGGACTGCGGCGTCATCCTGGTCAACTGCGCCACAATTCAGCGCCCATTTGACATAAGTTCAGTGCGGGCCGGGCCAAGCAAGCAAGCTGTGGCCAGTCTGCAGGAGAAGTGGCACAAGTCTGACTCAGGGGGTCAATCGCCTGCCCAAGTGAACTTACTTGCTAGACGTCTAAATGGAGTCCTTCACATATCGTCGTGCAGCTCCAGCCTAGGTAGACTGTGACTGACTACCACTGCTATCAGGAAGAACACAGCTTGCTCTTTGAGATGTCGCCAGATCTATCGTGTGTCTACAATTTACCTCTTCTCCTATCCTCTGCCATCTTCAAAACAGGCCGAAGGTTCTTCTCTTGCACGCGATCCCAAAGGCTACCCAAACCTGCAGAAATTCCGCGTGCATGTTCAACCCTGAAGTACTGCTCTGCGCTTCTGATTCTGTTCGGATGGATGTCGTCAAGCAGCTTGTAATCTCGACGGATGACTCCTTGGTTGCGGCCTGAATACGTCCACATGTTGAAGAAGCCAGTGAAATTCTGTCTAAAGGTCATAAAGGACGGATCCTGCTCGTTTGTCAGTGATAGATCCCATTCATGACAATTCAAGCGGACCTTGGGATCTGAATTGTACCCGCTTGGTAAGTTGGCAGCAGTCGCGGTATTCCCTTCTTTCCAGTATGTCTCCATGTCGGTGTCGATGTATCTCGCTGGGTGTCCAGTAACCTTCTCAAACGCCTTTGCAAGGTCGGCGTAGTGAATATGATCAATGGCTACTTCGAGGTCCATGCCGTTCGACCTCTCTGGGTGGTCGAAGAGCCATCTGGCATAATACTCGCAGTCGTCCAATGACACATGAACAACAGCACCATCCCCAACAGGGACACGCCAGGTAACGACCCCATCTTCGACTGTTGGTGTAAAGATGGTGTGTGCAGCTATCGACATTTCAATGTACGGCCCGGTAGTGAACACTGCGACGCCCATCCGATGACTGTTGACCTGATTTTGGGCGAGCACCCATTCTCCTATTCTTCCCTTGCCGTCGTAATGGCCGGTTCGGAATTTTGGATCATAGCCGCTCTTCTTATACACGTAGTCGAGGTTGCCATAAACGTAGAACTTGACGCCCTCTTCCAATGCAAGCTCGTAGCTTCTTATGGCCCAGTAAATCTCGGTCTTTTCGCCGCAGTTGAAACCATCGATGTTCACAAAAGCACCGTCGCAGCCGCGGAAGCCGTTTCGCAAGTCGTTTTCGCTGGCGAAAGAACCTTCGACCAATTCAACGTTTCCCAAGGCGACAAGTTCTTTGGCCCTGGCAGAGTTCACGTCACGGGTTAGAACTCGGCATTTGTATTTCTTGTCTTTGACCAGCCCGCGAATGACGGGTATGCCTTGGGCGCCAGTACCGCCAACCACAAAGACGTACGAAGTATGATGAATAGCGGACATTCTATCAGCGGCTACAGCAACAGTAGAGATTCGACGAGACAATTGCTAGCACTTACCGAGGGATTAGATGGGCAAAAGCGAAGTCTTAACGGTTGTCCGCATCCCCGGAATGATTAGTATTCCAGTTGTAGGCCCATAATCAACAACGCGATTGACTTTGTTCAGTAAACATGGCTGCTGGGAAGACGTCGAAACCAGCAACGTGCTTCGAATGCGACGATTACCAAGGCTTTCAGTACGTTGAGTGATGTCGAGGTTGGCGTACTGACCAATTTTGTAGGATGAAAAAGATTGGTAAGTTCTGCTAAGGGTCCAGACTTGAGGGGGTTTTTCGGCAGGAGTTTAGGGTCAGTAATCGCAACGCGTGCAACATGTATTCGGTCGTGTTGGTCGTCCTTGGGCCGAGGCATGGTATGTGTGATCACAATTGATTCAGGAGATGAGTTACTGGTGTTGACTCAAAGGCACCTGCCTACTAGTACTTCCTGCAGAAATGACAGTACTGTGGTATGTATGCCTGCCCCAGACTCCATGCAATGTAAAGCAATTTGTCACTCAATTTCCAGGACTCTCTCAAAATCAAGAGGTTCTTCACCTCGCTTGACCCGCCATTCATTGCTGCATTGTTGGAAATTCAAGGCTCCCCGAAGAATGAATGGATATTTCCTGGCAAACGCCTCCGTCACCTCCCAGCCACCCATGTCCCAGGGCTCACCCCAACAGATCAGTCCGTTCTTTTCCTGTGTAGAGCATCCTTCAAGGTTATCAAAGTTGCCATTTCCTACCAGGTCCAGACAAAACTCGTAATCGTCAATGTTGCTCTCACCATACCGCAGGATATTATCGCGCACCATAGGGTCAGGGAAAATGTCCCATTGAGGATGATGCGCGATGCTCTTTTGCAGCTCGGTCGGCTGTAGCCCAGGAGGTAGACGGCGCAGATTGGACGAGGCGCTCGATGAAAGAGGTAAGAATGGTGAAGGATATTCGTCCGTGTACATGAGATTCAGATCCAGGCCCAATACTTCCACATTGGCGAGCAGTCCGCGATATACGTTGTAGTATACCAAGGAGATGAGGTGGTCCGCTGGCAGAGTCAACTTCCACGCATTTTCCCGCTCAATCTGCAATCGCCCTGCCAGGTCTTTGATCTGCGCCAATCGATTCTCCAGCAGCACTTCGTACCAGCGCTGGCAGGTGTGCTTGCTTCGGATGGAGACGAAGGCCGACGGATCGACTTCGATGACTGATTCTGCTTCCGTCACACGCCATTTGGTACCGGGAAAGTTCAAGCTTTTCACCTGTAGAGGAGCTGCATCATGAAGATCGATCTGTCTGGCGAGGGGTCTGGACCTCGTGGCGCTAGCATCGCTAGATGTCGAGGGGACGTCGTTGCTGGTACCCTTTTGTGAAGCCTTGCGTCTTCCTATTCGTCGTGTCAGCCATCTGCATACGAATCTGATGAATCAGTTGTTCCTACTTGCGGCTCGCTGGTTTAATCGATTTTGCAACTTCCGCCGAATAACTGGGTTCGTGATACCAGACCACTCATCATCCACACTTTGTACATCTGCATGCAGTCTCAACTCTGCCCTGATTTCAGAAACGATTGGCATTTTCTTATGTCGTTGTGTTTCGACTCGCTGTTCTCATATGGCTCAAAGCATGGGGACCATTCCTCGCGAATTGACAAAGCCGAAGGTCTGGCTCTTCTTAATATGCGTCCTGCTGACAGGCTCCAACATTCCTTTCCGACACGAAGCTGGGGCAAGACGTTATGTAAGGTGTTACGAAAGAGAGTGGAAGAGAAAACAAATGGGTGGAAAGTTCCCGGTAAAAAGCCTCAGTCCACACAGGCATCCGAACTGGTAAAGCTTAATGCACGTCGCTGACAGTGGATCAATATTTAGTCGCTTCAACCAACCAGACCATCAGCCGCGACGGATTAACATCTTGCCGACAGCCTTCCTGGTCAATATCAAAACAGCCTCAATCCCACTGCCAGTCTGTCATCAACGTACATGGACATCGTCACATCTTTGGCCATTCCATCACAGCCACCGGCCAGAGTCCCTCAACGACACCACGTACTGGACTGCGCAGAGTACATAACGAGTCCACGGCAGCCTGCAACCATGGAAATCACCACGCTCTCAACGATCTTCACAGCTACCACTGAACGATCACCGCTGGTCAAATCTACGCATTTGATATGGCCCGGCTAAACTGGTCCCCATCTTCACTTCCTTCGCTCAAGAAACGCACCTACATTGTCACCGGCGGTAACACAGGCATTGGCTATTGGACCGTCCACCACCTAGCCCTCCACGGCGCAACAGTGTTCATGACCTGCCGGACCGAGGAGAAGGGCAAGGCAGCGTTGGCCGCCCTGCAGTCCTCAATCAAACAGTCCAACCCGTCCATCACGCCCGATATCCGCTCAGTAACAATGGACCTGATGTCCCTGCGCAGCGTCCGCGAAGCCACCACCAAGATCCTGTCAGAAATCACCCAACTCCACGGCATTGTCAACTCCGCCGGGATCATGGCCACCCCCTATGCCATGAGCGAAGATGACTACGAGTCGCAGCTCCAAACGAACTATCTATCCCATTGGCTGCTGACATACCTGCTACTCCCGCTGCTGGAATCAACGGCAGCCGCCAGCAACGAGCCCGGCACAGTGCGCATCGTCAACGTCAGTTCCATTGGCCACGCAGCCGCGCCAAAGGAAGGCATCAACTTCGCGGACACAGCGCTGACCGGATCCTTCACGTTCCGCCGCTACGGCCAGAGTAAACTTGCCAACATTCTGCACGCCAAAAGTCTGCATGCGAGATACAACCGCGCAACCACATCCTCCAGCAACAAAATATTGGCGCTGTCTCTCCACCCAGGCAACGTGGACACCCAGTTGAACACCCAGTCGTGGGGAGCGGCGCTCGTGCCGGTCCTCAGATGTCTCGGCGTGTACATCACACCCGAGGAAGGCAGTTTCAATTCTCTCTGGGCCGTGGCATCTCCTCAAGTCACCGTGGGGATATCAGGAGAGTATTTCGTGCCTGTCGGCGTGAAGAAGGAGCCTAGTAAATTGGCGAGAGACGCCCAGTTGGCGGACAAGTTGTGGAATTGGACGGAGCAGGAGTTGAGGAGTAAAGGACTTCTCCAGTGATGGTAAGCCTGTCTCTCGAAGAAGTGGAAGTCTTGAAATGTAATCGGTTGTTACCTACGTGTTAGACGTCAAGGCACCAGACGTCTCAAGTTCTGGGAACCGAAGTTGTATCCTCATGTTCCCCCATAACAAGAGGAGCGATATGCTCGGATTTGTTTGTAGATTCAAGCTTCTCTTCCCCTCAAAATGTGAGGACACTCGTTATATACTCCAACCAGATTTCCTCCAGGAATGGGGATTCAGCTTCCATTATTATATCATAATATGCGTCTCGTCGTATGAGCCCAGAAAAGAAGGTCGAACAAAAGAGCCGCATTGAATCAGCATCGGAAGTGCACACTCCCACTTCCTTCCTCGTAGATTTCGATTGTCCTCCCCTCTTTCATCCCTCTATAGCCGTATAGCTCGCGCGAGCTCTCTTTCTGCACCACCAACCCCCGGCCGCTGGCCCCCACACTACCCGAGCCGCCCAGCTTCACATGGACCATACCTTCCCATTCCGTAGGATAGATAATGTTCATACTACCGCTTGAGGTGACTTGGTGTGTCGCCTCAATGGCTCTTACCGCTTCGGTGGACGAAAACGGCGCTCTCACCTCGACGTTCTGGCTTCCGGACCATGTTGAGACGGAGATCTTCGAGGGCGGATCCAGCTCCGACACTCCAACGGTGTTGATTTTGACATTGACAGATCCAGCCTGACTCGAAAGCACAGTTGATCCTCCATTGCCGTGCAACAAATCGCCAGAGATACTGCCAGCGTGCGTTGAGATCTCGATGTTCAGTGTTCTGGTGCTCGCTGCCGGCGACAAAGTTGCCTTGCTCAAAAACCCACCACCAGTCACGAATCTAACGTTGATGCTGCCTGCGAGGGTAGAGAGGCGGAGCGTTGCTGGTTTCTCGCCTTCTTGAACATCTACTTTGATACTGATGCTGCCGCTAGTAGTGGAGAGGTCCAGAAGATCGTACAGCTCGTACGTCCCTGAAATTGAGCGAAACGTCTCATGCTCGCGATGCTCTCGCTTGGGAAAAGGTGGCCACGAAGGCGTCGCAGGTTCGGGTGAGAGGACGGGATATTGCGATCGGTCTTTCTGTTTGGTGCTGGTCAGCCATGCAAAGACAAAATAATCATGTCAAGTAAAGAAATGAGGGGTGTGTACATTCGATATTGACTTGTACAAGCCAGGAAGCATCAGCCACAAGCACAACACGAGAGAAAAGGTAAACCAGCATATTCGTTTGAAGCGTCGTCCTCGCTCTTTTCGCCGTTGGCTGCCATCACGTCGGCCACGACAGCCTCGACTGCGGCCTCTATGATGCCGTTTCCAGCATCCTCTTCCCCGTGGGCCTCTGCTACAAGGGGAACCCAAGTACGCATCGTCAGATTCCTCGTGGTCTCGTTCGTGGTCGCGCTGGTGGTTATGGGTCGGATTGTATTCATGTTGTACAGGTTCGGGCAATAACGCGGTGCCCTCATCATCATCATCATCCCGGTACGATTGTTGCATATGGGATGCGGGGAAGGGAGTGTCTGAGGCAGGGGCGCTTACTGTCACTGCTTGTGGCGGTATATATCTGGTGCCCAACGGAGACGAAGGTGTTGTAGGTGTATGCACTGCAGTAGAGTCGGAGGGGGTATATTGGGGTGGCGGATCCGACGGATCGAGTTCATGTGCTAGCTGTGGGTATGGTACGTCTCTCACTTCGTTGCCATCGACAGTCGATGCTGTAGGTGTAAGGTTTGTGGCAGGCGTATCACCCGCGAAGTTGTCGGCCCATGAGCCCATTGAACCCAGCCTTTGAGCCTCTGCAGCTGCCGATCTTGACTTGTCTGAAGTTCGGGGTGTCTGCCCTTCGGCATGCTCTGAGAAGGTGTCGTAGTCCCGAGAAGGGTATTGTTTGCGAAGAACCATGGTGATGTTAGATCCGTGGATAGAGGCTCGACCGAGATCGTTGGTAAATGAAGATACTCGAGGCGCAGGAGAACAATCAGTCCAGTTGAGATGGAGGATACGAGGTTTCACCACACGGAAAGGACGGTAGAAGCGCACAACATGCGGCGCAAATGTTTCTTACAGGAGATGAGTGGAGGTCTGCAACAGCATGTTCTGGTACAGGTCTGGGATACGAAAAGGTTCGCAGAAGACTGATCGCATTGGCATCGAGAACGTGATGGAAAGAGTTGCAGATGGCCCGCATCTGCAGGCAGCAACAATTCCAGCGATCTGCCCCTCCTCCAGCACAGTTGTGGGTGTCTGTCAGTGCGGGAAGGCTAAATAGCCATCTCCATAGGCTGGAGACACTCCTGGCAGCCAACCATTCAGGGAGCAATGATAGGCATAAGAGGCTCGTATCTTGCGGGAAATAATGGATGGCCATACGAGGGCCAACCTCCTACTGGTGGAAGATGAGCATAATAAGGCCGCCTGCATACTCCCTTAATACTCCCAACGTCATAAACCAATATCCCCACTGATAAGGCTTCATCCCCTAGCAACAATGGCATTCAAGCTTGAGAAGATGGATATGTGACGATGCGGTCTTTATCAAAAGTGCATTCAGCTTGTTTTGACGAAAGAAGAGCTAAGGTGACATTCCCCTGCTACTTCCTGGTTTTGTCAATGTCCATTAATTACTCAATACCTCAAGTTACTATGGTACATCAACGCCTTGGGAGCTCAACTCTCCCTGTGCCATCATAGTAAACTGGTCTCAGACAAATCCCAAGTACTTAGTAGCATCCAATCACTTCAAGATCCTCATTGAATGTACAAGACTTGAACTCCGTCGCTGATGCCTCGCTAACTGTCAACTTTGAATGGCTGAAAACTGAATATTTCGCTCAATACTGTGCAAAGCTTTTCGGTGGTATCACTTGCAAGACAATTAAAACATGTCCAGAACGCATTCGACTGATTATGCAAAACCAAGATTCTCGAGGATCGCTCTGGTTTCGTTTGGTGGCAGTCCCGCCACACCCAGTGCTCGGACCTGACTGCCTCTCCGCAGACGTTGCAGTCCAACGGCCACCTTCCAGCCCTCACTTTGAGAGAGTATGAAGACGTATTTCTTTCCTTCTTGATCTCGGAGGCTGGCTCTGAGGACGTGCATGCCGTTGAGTTCGCAGCTCTGTGTGGATGTTTGGTCAGTAAATTCGCTCGTGGTTGACGGTGTAGGAAAGGAAGAACGGAAACCTTGGGCCGTGGACGCTGAAGACTGCATGGATTTGCAGCTTGCCTCGCAGACTTTCAACAACTTGTTGACAACAACGTTGGAGTCGGTCTGTGAAGGTGAAGATTCTTGCCTCGAGGCGGCACCAACTCCAATGGAAAACTTTCGTTTGGGACCACTAAATCCAAGGGGTAGATTGGGACACCATACCTCTGCCAATTTCATCGTCCAAGCCTTGATATCCCACTCACGTTGCGGTACTCCTCGTACATCATCGTCAATGAACATGCCTTCGGTCGTAATCCGAAGGATGAGGCCATCCGTGACATTACCTTGTCCGGACACTAGTTGCGAGATTGGGGTTCGCATGAATGCATTGTTGAAGGAGAAGACCCCCTTGATGATGATCTTGTCCGGATCCTTGGTCGAGTAAGGCCCTCGTGCTGATGCTGGAATTGTCGGCTTTGCGGTACTTTCCGATGGAGCATACGACGACTCCGAGTACATTGAAGCCGCCGAGTTGGCTTTGTGTGTTCGTTTTGGTCGATCGTACGGTCGGAATGAATAGGCATCTTCTTCTTTTTCCGTGGTCGCCGTCGGCATGGGTGGGCGTTTGGGTGATGCTTCAGCAGTCTTCTGCGGTCTTTGTTTATCGGCAGCCGCAGCAGCGGCGGCAGCAGCTTCTTTTTCCTCGCGTTCCTTCTTCTCCTTGCGCTCCCGTTCAAGTCTTTCAAGCGCATCTTTTTCTCTCTGTTTCTGTCTTTCTTTTTCCAGCTCTTCTCTACGCTTTTTCAGCTCTTCCGCCCGTTTCCGCTCTTCTTCTTTCTTTCTCGTCTCTTCTCTGGCCTTTTCCCAGCTAGATTTTGCATTCGTCGTGTTGGCTTTAGTGTTAGCCTGTGGCTGTGGTCTCTGCCACGATGACTGAGGAGGGGGCGGCGAATGTGCATTCGGATGAGGTCCAGATTGACTGTGAGGATATGTTCCAGCACCGCCGAATCCCCCGTGAGCTCCACCTGTTTGTCCTCCGGTGCCCGAGCTGGAGCCAGCTCGACTGGAGGGTCCGGCCTGCGCCCATTCATTCTGTGTCTTACCGAACGCCCAAGCAACAACTGCAACACCGCAGATGAGCATGAAAACTCCTCCTCCTCCACCATTGACTGTGTCGTAAAGCCATCTCTTGACGACAGGTACAGCAGTCGTGTAGACGAAGAACGTGGCGGCCGTACAGAAGACTCCGGCCAGGAAGCTATTGCGTTGTGTTTGCAATGATGGCAGATAGAGGAAGCCCGAGCCTGCGGAGTTTGGAGGGACGACAAAAATGTCATACTTGCCGTCAGGGAGACCACCTGTCCTGCCGCCACCTTGTGGGTTGGAGCCATGAGGCGGCGGCGGGGGTGGAGGTGGCTCCATGAGAGCTGGACTCTCTGGAGAGTGATTTGTTTATCTCTCCAGACAAAATGGACTGTGCTGGTATGACGAACGTAGGGCCTTCTTTTTCATATTAGATTTCGACTGCGCAGTGGGCAGCACCAGGGACGTGTGTGATCGAGTCTGAGCTTTGTTCTAGAACAACAGGCACCGCCGCGTGGAGGAAAGGTCGATATTGTGGAGGTGAGAGGGTCGTGCGGTCGTGCTGACGTCGAGTGTCGCGGTAATGCGTTGACTGTTGGTGACAACGAATATCGATGAGCAGAGAAGAAGAGAGAGAGCGAAAAAGATGTGATCACTAACATGAGTTTGGTGACAATGGCAATAAGAGTTCAAGACAGGGAAGCAGGGTTGTTGCACTGGCGCTAGAAACGGGTGATCAGGCCGCTGGAATCGTCAGGGCCGCCTTTGCGGATCCCAAGAGATGGCCACCAGGGAGTGGAAGATCAATGGAGGACGGTGTGGGCAACAATGATGCTGATGGCGCTGGATATTCTGATTACAAAAGTAAGTTATGATTCATGGGCGCTCCCAGCCAACCCTTCCTCGATCTGAATCATGTCAGTTTTATAACTCGACGGCGTGTGCAACGGGCAAGAATTATATGCTATTCAAAGACCTCCTACGCGATGCGATCATGGCATAATAGCTGCAAAACAAATGACACTGATGTCCAATGGAGCAGGTGGTCAGCAGAAGAATGATGCCCTCCACAGCGGCGATTTCTGTAGGCGAACAAATCACATTTACTACGTCTGAGTTCAGGACGATGATAGGTACGAATTCGTCAATTTCGACGCGCTTCTCAATAGTGGGAGATCCTTCCTGCAGGAAGAAGGCGCAGCAGAGGAGGACGGTCATGCATGAGAAAGGTCCACGTCGACTGGTCAAGCAGCGGTGAACAAATTGTGATGACTTGACTTCGTTGTGAAGGTTCGAGTAAGAAGCCAGAAAAACACGAAAAGAGCTGCAATGGTGATGAAAACAACGCGAAACACGAAGCCGACCGTTAGGCGTTGCTTCGGAAACGAGAGGCGCTAAAAAGCAGCCGGCGTGATTCGGGTCGAGGTTCCAACACCCGGATGTGCAGGCGGTGGCTCCCGGTGCATGGCCGCCCACAAATCCTCCTCTTTCTTTTCCCAAGGTCCCATCGTGGCGGCTCCAAAGGTTCGTGCCGATGCACCATGAGATCATTTCTATTGTTCGAGAATCTGCAGTAAGCCACCGCTTCCTCACGAACCATCTCAGATCCGGCTACACCTCGAGTCGGTCTATAGCCGTGCAAGCGACAAGCTGGTACATTTCATCACCACTGTTCAGGCAGCCTGCCATAGAATCCACAATAAGGTTCGTTGCGCTGACGAGCGGCCGAAGTGGCGTGGTTGCACAAACACCTACAGCCATGCTGGTGATCCAATAAAAATAATACATATCCATGTCCATGTCCCCTTTTATCTGCTTCCTAAGCAGCCCAAGGCCAGAGTGGCCATCGACCACCCGCATCCTCAAAACGTGAGCTGGAATCTCTCGCGGATGCCTTCTCCGTAATAGTAGAACAATATCGGACTTGGTCCGATGAGAACAGCCACGAATGCAAACACTGAGATCCCCCAACCATAGCCAAGAGAATCAAAGAGTTTAGGAGCGAACAAAGGCACCAGCCCACCCAAGAGACTCCTGAAAACAGATCCTCCGGCAATCGCCGATGCAGCATACTTCGAGAATGCGTCAATGTAATAGTTTTGGACCGCGTTGAAAGAGACCACTTGCCCAACACCGTAAAAGAATGTTGGAATAAGGGTGATCGCCCAGTGAACGCGATACTCCACAAGCCACGCGAAAGCAAAAAGACTGGTAGGGATCAGGACACTGCCAATATTGGCAAGCGGTAGCCGAAACTCTGGTTTCGCTTTTCCATCGTTCTTCTTGGTCAACTGATTGAAGACAGTGTCAATACGAGGCACCAAAAGCCGGACCGATACCAGAAAACCAAGTCCGGGTGCCAGGTACAAAAGTCCAATCTTTTCCGAGTTGAAGTTATACGGCTTCTCGGAATATATGTTCTGCATGTTGGTGTAAATGCTGTAAGTGGTGCCGAATATGAGGGCTTGGTAGAGGCTCATGACCAAGACAATCGGCTGGACGAAGATAACAAATGGTCTCTTCAGACTGGCGCGAAGTTTTGTCCAAAGAGGCCGCTCGTCTTCATCCTCGAAATGGATTTTCACGGCTCGACTGGCGTCTTCTTGAAGGGCAGTCTTACGTCGAGCAAGAAGGACGGGCGCATATGTCTCTGAGAGGAAAAAATATCCGATGGCAGTGTTGAGTGCACAGACGATGGTAAGAACCTGCGCAGTAGTCAGATGTGTGGGATTTATCCTTACTGATCCTCAATTTCACTCACCCAGTAGATCCACCTCCAACCAAGACGGGTGACGATGACTCCTCCGAAGAGAGGGCCCAGCGTAGGTCCTGAAGGGAATCGTGAGCGATACGTCTCCAAGATAATCACTCTCCCACATACCCAGTAATGGACCGAGTAAGTACCACCCGAAGATGCCCGCTCGCTCAGACGGTTCGTACATATCCGAAAGTGTTCCAGCTCCATTCGCCAGGCCGACACCTAGCTGAGGTCAGTATCCCTTTGTCACTACGTGGGTGCATCAAACGTACTGCCAAAGAAGCCAGATATCGTTCGCACAGCAACGAGAGTGGCAATATTCGGACTCAGTCCAGAAGCCAGCTGGAGCAAGGTAAAGACTGAATAGCACGAGATGTATAGCATTCGTCGTCCGAAAGTCTCGGACAACGGTGCAAGTACAAGAGGTCCAAATCCCATCATGATGACAAATCCTGTCGTTGTAGCAATGACACTTTGCTCATTGGTGTTCAGATCCTCGGCGATCTGGGAGATACCAGGGGTAAACATGGAACTGGCCAGAGGCGTGAGAATAGCCATCAAGGCAATGATTGCCACATTGACGAGTTTCTTTCTGCGAGTCCATGCTTTGGGATTTTCTTCGTCGTCGTCTTCGAATTGAATCTTACGACTTTCGTTGCTGTAGAGGCTTGAGACATCTGCATCTCCGTTTGGATGAAGGAGAGGTCTCTCTTCATCGTTCTGACGAGCCATCGCAAGACTGATCGGATGCTTCGAAAAGGATGCAGGATGTTTGAATCTTTCAGCAGAAGTCGGCCCTATTTCTGGTTGGACGTGGTGACGATTAGACGTGGCAGCAACCTCACGTGTGCCCCCGCGTCGAACTTCGGATTGGGGAGCCTGCCAGTTATAAAGCCGCCTGGGTGCCCCTTAAATTATACGGCTTTGTCATCTCTAAGTGCCACCACCAGCCGCAATGAACCTACATTTTTCGGCCACGACGGCGAACTCTACCTCACTCATGCTTACGCAGAAACTATGCTGGAAGAAAATACCAGCTTGACCGTGAGGTCGATTTCGAAACCTACGACTCAGACATGACTCGGCATGGCCTAATGCTACCTGCAGCCATTTGATTCTTCGCACTGACCGTTGCTAAGGCCATGATGCCTACTGGTCTCTCCATGTCGCCCTTTTACTTATCGCTGACGCTTGGCTTCGGTCATGACAGTTTCTGGGATCTCAGTGGCAAGCGACGGAGCTGAAGGTTGCCACCCCAGCACCTGATGGCCTCTCTCAGAGCCAAACACTGCATTGGTGCCCCAGAATATGGCACCGGCAGAAGTAGCTTCGTTGGCTTCATCCACCCCGATCGTACGCTGTACTTTTGGGCTTTTGATCAATTTCTGATCGTACGCGGCTTGAGCGACGCGCTCGCACACCTCACCGAACGCCTGTTCATGGGTCAGCAGGTTGCCGTTTCACAAAGCTTGATACGGTATACCATATCACCGTTGGCGGGCAGGTAAATGCCTTCCTTGTTCCAACCATGAGCTTTCTCATTCTGCGCCGCCTTCGCCAAGTGAAGGAACAAGTCTCCCAGGTCCCTAACGTGAATGTTACTCCATCGGTTGAGGCCTTTAGCGAAACGAAATCCCTCCCCATAAGTAAGTGTTGTCTTGACAATTTCTGGTACTTGGATGCTTCTTTGATTCCCAGGGCCAGCTCCTTGCCCATATATGAGTGGACCGAGAACCAAAGCTGTGCGTATCTTTGACGAGTCCTGCGAAACAATGAGGTTATCCACACTTCGCGAAGGATTTTTGCGTATGATGGCGAGAATTTTCTCGGTGTCTCCCAGGTCGTGATAAACTTCGTCCGACGCCTCGCCGTAACGTCCTTCCTTGATTTGGGGAATCACGAACAACGAAGCACCTGACATTTGCATCCAGTACGCTTCAACCTTGTCAGTTGGAGAGACTCTTCATGTGGAATCACTCACAAATGGAGCCTGCGGGCTTCTTGCTCAGCCCTTTGGAAATTGCCTGGCAACTTGACAGGTGATTTGTGCTCGCAAGATCTGGAATCACAACCATCAACCGCATGCTACCTTTGCAGGACCACCAGAGTGAGCTCACGAAGGACGATATCAGCCTGCAGGCTTTCGTTTTCCATCAATTCTCCATCGCCCAGGTCACCAATCACGGTTTGTACATGATCTGGATATTTATCCTTGACTGTTTGCGCTTTATCCTTGTCTCGTACCAGACATGAGATGATGGTACTCGCAGCAGCAAAGGATGAAGCTATTGAGTGCAAGGCTTGACCACCGACATATCCAGTCGCGCCCGTCCTTGTTCGCTTAGTCTCTTACTACCTTGTGGGAATTCTGGTCGGGCTTTCATACTCACAAGAATATCCTCATCTTGGTTACCTCGCTCTCTTGCTTGCTCTGAGACTTACCCATCGTGCGCTTGACACATTGGAATGTGAATAATGATGCCGTTCCCTGGCACTGTACTTGGCCATTTAGCTAGACGGGCATGTCCATCTTCCGCCAATAGGAACCTGTGCACCGAAAGAGGAAGGCGATTCCGGCCAAGTATTTCACTACGGATGTGCCAACCTCTTTGCAACTTCTTGACTCTTTCAGACACAACAGTGTTCATTTCAACCCCTGAAATCGGCCATGCTATCGAGCCCGTGTCTCCATCCACCCTCAGCTCACCACCAGGTGAACGAGGCATACGTCATAGGATGAAGACAGGCCGCACCAAGAAGACAACTCGCTCTCACACTTTGGGAGGCTGTGGAACGTGCAGGAGACGTCACGTGAAGTGTGATAAGGTCCGACCTGCTTGCCTCAACTGTAAGGCCATCGGTGTTGTCTGCGATGGGTTCCATCGCGAGTTGAAATGGGTCACCAACCCTGAGACTCAAGGAGACAAGAATGCCACCAAAAGCGAGACTCATAATCGTTCGGCCAGGCAGCATCTGTACACTGGTGGGTAGCAGGTCCTGGCAGACTCGGCGGGGCGATACTGACTCATGCACCTGCAGAGCAGAGTCGAGCTTCTATGAGCACAGCCCTGCGCTCAAATTTGGCAGACAAACCGATTGACGAGACTCTCGCGGAACTTGATGCCAGATCCAAAGTTGTCCCATCAGCCTCCGTCGATGGTATGGCTGTCGGACCATTCGGCGTTTTCAGTTTGGAGGAGGAGTGTCGCAATCCTCAGCCTCACGGCGAGTCAACCCAGCTGGTGGCTGGTGCACCGTCTCCAGAATGCCTCGAGCCGGAGGAAGCCTTGCCATCAGTTGGGTCGCTTGACACCCTGAACGATATGCATGACTTTCTCGACTGGCCAGATCTCTTCGACCTTGATTTCACGAGCGATATATCGCTCCTTCAGGATTTTGACGGCGGCTTTGAGGAAATAATTACACAACGACAGACTATTGACTCGCAGAACCCCTCTGACCAGCAGCCCACCTCTGATATTGTGATGCTATCTCAGGGCAACGTGACCAACGCTTCTCTCGTCAATGCTAGTGTGGCTCTCTTGCCTATCGTAAAGAGAGCAACGCCAAAGGACCTGCGACCTGAACAGGCGGAGATTCTTTTGAGACATTTCAAGGACCACGTTATTCTCCATATGCAACCCGCGCCTCTTCCGAAAAAGTCACCCTGGGATATCCACTTGGATTCTGCCATAGTCACATTGGCCAGATTAACCTATATGTCTTCACAAGCGATATCTCATGCAGCTCTGGCTAACTTATTGGCATTGTTGGCGCTGTCAGCACGACACTTATCTACTCAGCAAATGGGAGATGGTGACGCTCCTCAGTCACATTGGCAAGAATTTGCAACTAAGACGATTGATGAAGCGAAAGAGAATTTACAATCATCGTTAAGGAACGAAATCAGAGGACCAAATGTAGCCAAGTACAAGGAACAACTGATGGCAGTCCTTGCTATGCTAGCTTTTGCGGTATGAGTCTAGGCCATACCAACGACATGCTTTGTGTGCTGATATGTTGACACAGACTTTTTATGACCGACAACAAGATGCTCGGGCGTACATGGTGGACGCCGAACGGCTTCTCCGCCTGCGCGGCCTAGCAAAGAGGAACATATCTCGCAAAGCGAGGCAACTGCACCACGTCTACACCTGGATGCGGATAATAGAAGAAAGCACCTATGTCTTACGCAACTTTCAGAAAGTAGGACCAAATACAGCCATTGGGACCAGTCGGCACTTCGCAAAAGAGCCTCGAAGAGATCTGAATAACGCCGGTCGAGGGGATCCTCAATATCAACCAGGGCCCAATCCTCGCTTGGACGATTTCCTTCGATTCGAGCCAGGTTCTTCTGACAACGACGTTGAAGACATGACTCAGAAGGACCGTGAAGTGGGTCTGCACGACATTCACCTTGAAGACACTCGGGAGTTCGCTGAAACAATGTACCTGGACCTCTATGGCATTCCGGAAACCTGGTTGAGCCTTGTGTCTCAAACTACCCGACTGGCAAATGTTATGGATAGCTTGAATGTCAACAAGGACCGGAGAGACGTCGAATTCATAGAGCTTCTCGAAAGGCGAAAACAGCGCCTGGAAAATATGGTCTGCTCATTCGCAGCTATGGGCCCTCAGACCATCGAGCAATCGACTTCAAGCGGAAATATAGGGACAATGGACGCCCCTCGACATCATATGGTACGCGCTCTGAATGCAGCACTTGTGATCCTTTTCTACCGAAGGATCAGAAAAGTTAATGCGTGGATATTGCAAGAGCATGTCGACAATGTTATACGTGCTTTGAAAGACTTTGAAATGTCCTGCCAGAGAGCCAACATTGAAGGACCCGGATCCCCTTGGCCCGCCTTTCTAGCAGGCTGCGAGGCCCTGAATCTGGCACAGCGAGAGTATTTGTTGGGTTACCTCGACCGAGCCTCTGCTATGACAGGTTTCGCTAGGCTGGAGACAGCGCGCATATGCATGATTGAAGTTTGGAGACGGCGTGATGAGTCTACTGGAGGAAGTGCTAAGAGGATACGAGATCAAGTCTGGACATGGGAACATGTTTCGAAGGAATGCTTCCTCCATGTGCTTTTATCCTGAGCATCTCTGGTATCACTTGCCACCTCCTAGCGGGGCAACTGCTGCCTCAAGCACCGTTATTATCTACGACCTCCAGACCTGCAGCTTGCAATAACCTTGCCAGTTCTGCTCTTGGCTCGCCCTGAAGGAGTTTGAACGGCTTCCTCAATCCCCCGGTACGGTGTCCCAACAGCTCCATACCCGTCTTCACTGCGGAGGGGTAATTATGTTCTTCGAGGAACTTGCAGATGGGATAAATCTTTGACCACAATTCACGGCCAGTCTTGAGATCCCCTTTTCCTGCGATGGCGTCCCACAGCTGAGCTGACAGCTCCGGGATCACATTTGATGCTCCCCATACGGACCCTTTGCAACCAGCCGCCAGCCCGTAAAAGGTCAATGTGTCCCAACCGTTGAAGGCAGTGATTTGATCATTCAGACCAAAAACTAGCTCGGTAAAGGCTGGCGCATTTCCCGAAGTGTCCTTGAGGTATTTCACTCCGACCCGCGAGAGTCCAGCGATCTGTTTGGGACTTAAAGTGATTCCCGATGCCGAAGGTATGTTGTAGTAAACGATATCCAAGTTTGAGACCGCATAGATCTCAGACATGAGTTCCTGCAACTGCTCATAATTGACTGGGTCATAGAAAGGCGGCACCACCATGACAGCTGCAGCTCCCGCTTTTGCGGCATGCTCAGCCAGCTCGACACAGTCCTTTGTGGTCGTCGCACCAATTCCTGCTACGACAGGGGCTCTCCCTGCAGCATATTCGATGCAAAGTTCCAGATTTTGTTTCCGCTCCTCCATTGACAAAGCCGTGATTCTCCTGTTGTGCCACCAGGCACCAAACCATGACAACCGGCATTAAGGATATGGTCTATATGAGACTTCAGGCGACTCTTGTCCATGGCAGTGCCATCATCAGTGAATGGCGTGATCAAAGCCACCAATATTCCTGCTAAGGGCGCTCGTGCTTTGGCAATCATTTTGTCAATATCTTCGAGGTGATGGGGTCTCTGTTCGAAATTTCAAGTGGAGGAGAATCATTGCACGACCAAAATTGAACGGTTTTCTCTTTGGAACAGTCTGTGGAAGACTTTATCATTCATGGACTATTTGCTTCTTGCTTGGGAATCATCCTCCGGACAAATATTTTAATCATTTCCGGGAATGACCTCCCCAAAAGGCGAACCGTCTACGCCCACTGAAACTTGGGCGTTTCACTAGACTCGTCGAATGCTCTCGAATCAAGGGTGCGTCCTGCAGCGTCCAGCATGTTTAACCACTGCAAGCAGCCCACGGGCACGAACCTTAACTTGAACCAGACGACAAGCCAGTTTCCAGCAAAGGTGGCACCGTCTGACCGCTGTACCTCTTCAGGTCCAAATAGATATCCTTCCTTGTTGTCAGCTTGGAGTGCTTCGCACACAACAATATGGTTATTCGCCTTTGATAGGAGGAAGACCATCAGCTCCACCTTCTAGTCATACCAGCTTGTGGTCAAGGCACCCACCGTCGCCGATTTGCAGAACATCGACTTTGTATCGTCGATGTACTCTCCGTCAGACGGTGCCACTTTTTCTGGAAATAGGCTTGACGAGTACCATGGGGGAGGCAAGGGATGAGGGGTTCCCAATCAGGAAAGCCCTTCCCAATGTGGCAGGCCATTCCGGTATCTACCCTCAACGGCGTCAAGCTTTACAGCAGCATCGATTCATCCATGGAGAAGGCCGCAACGCCGCTCCTTTGGCATGGAGAGCCGTCTGCTCTCTGGACATCGTTGCGGCATGGTCTTGTGAGGCTGATTCCAACCATCGATATCGAAGACTTCGGTTAATATATGCTAACAGCCTTGCAAGCACACCTGAAGCCAATATCTGGTCGCCCGCAGCAGTGCATACCCTGACAACATCATGGCAAACCGAGGTCCTACTTTGGACCCAAATGTCTTCTCGATTAGCGACCTTGAGGCGCTTGGGTCAAAGAAGATCCCCAAAATGTATCGTGGTCAGTAATGCCATTGGACCCCAATCCTCCCCTCGTGGCCGCGTTTACCTAACTGCTTCTAGAATATTACAATGAAGGCGCAATGGACCTGATATCGTGAGTTCTTCCAAGGCCCAAAATTGTCGTATGCAGAAGACGCCCGTCTGCAGAAGCAAGACATTCCCATGGACTGATTGCTCACTACTCTCAGACTACGTGACAATGTCGCAGCCTTTGATCGCTACAAGATTCTGCCACGTGCTCTGCGCAATGTCAAAGACATCGATACCTCGACCACCCTCTTCGGCCAGAAGGTAAGGTTGGACCGTTCCGCCAGCACCATATTGCTGTGCGCAAAATACCTTGAGATGTCGACGCTGATACGTCAGCTGTATAGGTTACATTCCCCTTAGCATTCAGCCCTTCTGCGATGCACAAATTTGCCCACCCAGACGGAGAAACAGCGAAGTCGAGAGCAGCATCGAGTATGAACGTCGGCATGTGTCTGTCGTCGTATGCGACAACATCGCTTGAGGATGTCAAAGCTCAGGGTAGAGGAAACCCTTACATGATGCAAATGTGCGTTGTCAACGACCGGAATTTAACCAAGCAGCTTCTTGACAGAGCCGAAGGTACGTCGCCACGCTGGTCGTCTGCATAGTTCTCATGAATTACAATGCAGGTGCCGGATATAAAGCACTATTTCTCTCCGTCGATGTACCAGTCCTGGGTCGTCGTCTCAATGAATTCCGGAATGAGTTCGCCCTTCCAGAAGGCCTTGACTTCCCAAACATTCTATCAGGCGGCCTGAAAGAATTTGCAGAGGGTGAAAACTCGCATGACTATGGTATTCCCACCGTGTTCTGTAGCACCGTGTAATGGAAGTAAGTACTAACAGTGCCGGTACAGATGCAAGTTTAGAATGGGCAGAGATTATACCTTGGTTGAGAAGAAACACGAACATGCAGATCTGGCTGAAAGGAAGTAAGCGTAGCTTGCCACTTTTGCCAAGTGCTTCAAGCTAAGACACTGCCACAGTCCTGAATCCAGCAGACGTACTGCTTGCTATCGAGCATGGCGTCGACGGCGTCGTGATATCCAACCACGGAGGACGACAACTCGACGGCGTTCCTGCCACTCTCGACTGCCTCGCAGAATGCGCCCAGGTTGCCAGAGGCCGGATACAGATAGTGGTGGACGGAGGAATTCGGCGAGGTTCGGACATCTTCAAGGCTCTTGCGCTGGGAGCACAGCACTGCTTCGTCGGACGTATAGCGATTTGGGGACTTGCGGTACGTTACTTGGCGCATTTTAACATCCCTATGCTAATGTTGTGTTGCAGTACAAGGGGCAGGAAGGGGTGGAGCTTGCGTTGAAGATCCTGCTGGAGGAGTTCAGGACAACAATGGCACTCGCAGGGTAAGTCATCGTATTTGATCTTTTCTTCCTGAAATTCTGTAACATGCTTACCACACCTATTGTTCAGCTGTCGTACTGTGAGCGAGATTACACCGGAGCACCTTACATTCCTTGGGACTCATGGACGGTTATGTAAACTGTGAACAAGTTTGAATACTCAACAATCCATGCATCGCGTCTGCTCCTGTTCATCCGCCTGGGCCGCAACTAACAGGCTTGACATTGGACATGAAACGGAAATAAGATGGTCTGCCGCCACTGTCCTTGCGCTTCTTTTGAGGTTTCCATATCACTAGATTGATGATTGATGCATGAATTCCCAACACATGTAACGAGCTCTACTCAGTGAAAAGAGCAAAAACGTTGCCATGAACCCTGTCGATAGGGGTCATGGTAAGTGAAAGCCGGGTTCGCAGACTTTTTCCGATTCGGTTCGTTTCGTTCGGTGGGAGTCGAGGTCTTCACGCCTTCTAGCCCGATGCTAGTTTGATAGTCTCAAATGAAACCCAGAGAAGACCGAGGACTTGTCGTCGGAATCGATCGAAAAGTCGGTTTATTGTGTTGTCGTCGGAGCGCGGTTCGAACTGGCGAACAAATCGTCACTGACACGCCTTCTAGCCCGCTGCTAGTTTGATAGTTTCAGATGAAACCCAGAGCCAGTGAGGAATTGTTGACCAGTTTTTGACGGGTACAAGATATAAAGATTGAATTAAACGGTGTGGCAGTGAAGGCGGGCAAACTCACACCGCCGAGGAGGACGTCGAGTCTAGGACTGAGTTCCCACGAGTGTTGTATGCCCGCTTACAACTTGGCGGTGCTCGCCTCAGCTGGTATATCGGTCCAGGATGTGACGTCCTGCAAATCCATAATAGTATTCGGACCACCAAACCTGCCCTGCGTATCCTCCCAATTCCTGTTCACCGCAGTCTCAGGCCTCCATCGAAAGGACTTCTTCAATCTTGGCTCCAGGTTCCCCTCCAGAGCATCTGCAATAAACGCTCCTATCGACGGGATATCCTTGTATCCATGACCCGAACCACCACAGCCCAACACCAACGAAGGATACTCGGGATGGCGATCGATCAAAAACGCACGGTTAGGCGTGTCCGCACACCAACATAACCTTGCAAAACAAAACGGCCGATCCGCAAGCTGTGGCATCGTCTCACGCAGGAATTCCCGGCACCGTCTCTCAGCCTCGATTGGAATCTGATGCTTAGCAAGCGGCACACTGACCCTTGACCCGTCCGACTTCTTGATCCAATTGCAATATCCCGGGTGCTCATCGCACATCTTAAGCTGCTGCTTATCCTCGTCCGGCTCCATGAAGAACCCCTTTTCAATGTGAAACAGGACAGGCAGGTTCTTGAACAATTTGGTTTCGTCAGGCGTCATCTGGATATGAGCCAGCGTCCACGCCGTCGGTCTCAATTGGCCCTTGAAATCGAGCAACTGGTCACAATTCGCTCCAGCGCAAAGGATCGTTGTATGCGCCCTCATCTCCCTACCATCATTCGTCTTGACACCCTTCACGTCTCCGTCCTCAAAGATCAGCGCCGTCACCTCAGCGACGACGTACTTCGCTCCCAGCTTCTTGGCCTCGGTCGCGCAAGAAATAAGTGCCTTTCTCGCATGCACCCAGCCCGCTCCCGTGCTCTTGTACAACCCTTTCCATCCCGGAAAATCACCCGTGAGTATACCGTCTGGCATAGTCTGTCGAAACGACTCGGCGTCTTCCAAGCGCACAAAATCGGGGTTGATGTCAGGCCTCTCGCGGTCGAACAGCTGTTTGAGGCCGTCCGGCGAACTCGCTGCCACGATGTACCCTGTGTCATGATAGTAAGGGCTAAACACCGGGTCAGACGTCCATCCCTTGTTCGCTGCGTCGAGAACTGTCTTGGCCACGAATGCCTCGTCGTCACCTTCGGAGAAGATGCCCTGCTCGACGATTTTGTTCACGTCGTTGCCCGCTGAGATTGGTGAGGGGACCGGGTACGGATCGACGAGCGTGACATCCGTGTATCCTCTGCGCATGAGGTGGAGGGCTGTGCTGTTGCCCCATGTACCGGCCCCGACTATAAGGATTGACTGTGGTTTGGTTGTAGACATGGCTGACTCGGAGCTTTTGTCCTCGTACTCGTTACAATAGTTGGCAAATGGTCTTTTTGGGATCGTGGTGGAAGCTAGAGTATGAAAAGGGTGTGAAACCTATATATCCAATCCAACCTTACCCACCTAGGTAGCTGCTCAGATTGTCCATTTTAGCAGTTCAAGTCTAGACTGATCCCACTTGAGACCCTGACGGGTGGTGATTGATAAATGATGATTGATGGTTGACGGCGAAATGGCCGACGTTGTCTCCAGTCCTTGTGGACCACGGCAGGTCCAAGCGAAACCAATCATGAGCAGAAGCTGGGCTGAAACATCCGAAGCAGTTCGACTACAGCCGTTGATACAAGCCGTGGGCGGTAAGTTGAGGCGTAGCGTAGATTTAGAGGCAGAGGATGTATCTGGGAGTATCATTGGCATCAATCAGCCTACTTTTACACATAGAGAAGAGAGCCCTTTGTGGCTATCCAATTGTTATTCAATGCTGCGCCTGAGTCATTGATAGTCCAACATCTCGCCCAACGTTGCCCTTGAGGTCCCTCGCTCAGTCTTTCTTGCCAGCGATATCTTTCGGCTGCCAAACCAGTCCATTGTCGTCCATATCATCATCACGGCAGCTCGCATTGCTTCGGTGACGCGCAAGGCAGATGTCGCAGGCACCTTCTCGGCATCTCCTCCTCCACACGTAACCACAAAGAGCAATCATTCCCACGATGAGGACAAAGGTGATGGTCAGCGCTGCGATGTCGATGATGGTGTCGCGCATGGTATTAGTCTGATACTTTGGTGTGATTGTGAGGACTGGAACTGGAACAATCGTTGCCTCGAATTGTTTGGTCGAATTAGGATTGGTAGGGCCATCGTCCAACAGCTTGCAGTAGGATAAGCCCAGAGGACAAGGCTTGTCCGTTGCTGCTGTGTAGGACATGTTGAATCGTGTGTGTTTTCTATACACGAAAGTATCGAGCTTTGTAGAAGGTTCGTTTCCTTTGGTTTAGGTCAGTTTTGGGAGGAATTGAAGTGCCTGGCGCACACACGGTATCTGCTAGCACTTTCACTTGACGCTGAAAATACTTCGATGAGTTGAATCCCTGTAGGAGATGCGGCTGATGCGGGATCTGTATTGGTGGTCCTGCAGTTTCTTCCCCTGCTGATGAGAAGGTTGGGCGCAAATTTTGCACAGAGCAGTCCCGGGTCAATGGAGTTTTGTCCATAGCGCACGATGGTTTGTGCGGTTTTGGAATCAGTGAAGATTGCGACCTCGTGACCTTGGAATTGTGTGTTCTTCACTTAAGGCGGTGGCACATTCACCAGCAAAGTCGGCGTAGATTGGTAGGATGCATGAAAAGCACGCGGATCCCCGACATTGCAAAGGAGCCCAAAGGTGCAACATGATATCGGCCTCGTAACTTGTGCCCACACTCACAAGCTGAGTATCATCATCGTGGTGGCAGCTGAATCATCTCTCCTGTCCTCGTTCATTCTTTTGTGGTTTCTGGGGGCCTTTTGCGTCCTTTCTGGCCAGCACCGTTGCCATCCACTCTTCAAAATCCTCCTCTGCGTCTGTCTCAGACTTGCCGGTCCCGTCAACACCTAGTCCTCCTCGCAAGACTCTCCTGGCGTCGGCCATACTATTGATGTCGAACCACCACATTGTCCCTCCTGCAGCCACCATAGACAAACTGAGCACATTGACTGTGGCAATGTTCAAAGCTTCCAGAGCCTCCATGGGAGCGCTGACTTGCTTCGCCTGTTCTGCCTGATGTCCCGGAGCATTGGCGTAGAAAGCTGGGGTTGCCAGGCGTTTTCGAGCGAAGGTTCTCCGCGTGATGAGAAGGGAAAAGGCAAAGAAGGCGATACCGGCACCGAAGATGACCGTGCTCCTGTTCGGCCTATCTGTCTGAGGTGTATGGATGGTAGGTGGTTGTGGTTGAGGAGCTTCAGCAACAGGTGCAGGTTTCGGTGCGGGCTCTTCAAGCAGCCGCTTGTCGCTGGATGGTGCTGCAGCGGGAGAGGCTGTCGGCTGGCTTGTTGACGTGAACAAAGAAGTAAACCACGACATCGTGCAGGCTGAACTTCGAGCTGTGACACTTTAGATTGTTTCTACTGCCAATAGCATTATACACGAGATGAACTGCGGACAAAAAAGTTCGGCTGCGAATGTGATCACGTGAGCATGCTCTCCACACGAGCCAGCATCGCAATCGTCGACGGAGTTTATTGTGGTCACAATTTTGGCAGAAGGTCTCGATGAATGTTAGGAAGCCATCAACTGCTTTAACAAATGACTCGTACTATCTCGGGCTGCACTATATCAACGGGATCATCACTGAACCAAAGTTCCTATCCGCCAACCTCGCCCGACATAATCCTTGTCTCCAGCTGGTCCTTCCCCCACTCCATCGCTACCACACGAAGGTATCTGCCGGCGTGCTCTCAGTGCTTAGAAGCTGCTGTAGAGTCCACATGTTCAACGGTACCTGCGTGTGCAATACCCTCCTTCTCCGTATCGAGTTCTGCAGGGTGTCTAAGCGGGCCTCCGGCTTCGGTAGCGACTCGATGAACTTGTCCGCCGTCCGCGACGCCATGCTCATCGACAATAAGCTCATGAGTGCGCTGGTCCACGTGTAAGTCTTCCGCATACACCGCGACCTCATCACCGAACAGCTTGGCCATCTCTTCGAGGGGAATGTTCTTTGTTTCCGGAAGGAAGAAATAGACGAAAAATGTCCCCAAGCCCGATATGATGATGAAGACGAGATAGAACTTCCATCCGATGTTCGCGAAGGCCTAGTTCATGTCAGATCCCTAGCCGTCACCGAAAATCCGAAGTTCAACATACCGTGGCTGCAACTTGTAGGTACACCAGATCTGTAAGTGCGATCGTGCCGATGCTCAGAGCAATACCTTTCGCACGAAGATGGTTGGGAAACAGTTCACTGTAGAACACGACGCCAGCTACGTCAATTCCCATCCCGTACACTGCAATGAACAAATACGCTGCAGCAACGCCCATTTCGAGACCAGCCTTGTTTGTTGCTTCGGCTGCAAACGAGCTGACCATCGCTGCTTCTAAAATGAGAGACACACAGCAGCCGCCGACACCGATCATCAACAGCGGTCGTCGACCTGTCCAATCCATCACCAAAGCTCCAAGCAGGTTGGTGAAGATGCCAACTGAGATCCAACCACACTGGAAAATGAGCTGGTAAAGGGTGTCATAACCAAGCGCTGCGTAGATGGTAGGTCCGTAGTTGTTGAGCACAAGCACGCCAGTTGACTGTCCGATAAACGCGAAGCCCATAGCCATCAGAGTTCGCTTGCGGTAACTGGGTCGTCGGAACATTTCGAGCCACCCCGGATCCATGGTTCTATCGAGCTCGGCTTGTTTGGACATCTGGTAGAACTCCTCTCTGGCGAACTCATTGTCCACGTCGCCCTTGATCGCGTGGAGTCTGAACACAACTTCTCGTGCTTCATCAACCCTCCCTTTCATGAGGAGGTATCGAGGGCTCTCTGGCAGGATGAAGCAAACAAGAACCATGAGTACTGGCCAAATCAATGCGATCCCTAGAGGACCGCGCCACTGTGCTGAAGGATTCTCGACATAGTAGAATGCGAGGCCCATCTTGAAATCATCAGCAAGGTGTACCGATAGAGCAAGTCATAAAGTAGGATGGTTCATGCTCCAACGACATGAGATTCGTGGGAGCGGAAAGACTCACATAGGTTGCCAGTGCATAACCAAGGGCGATGTTGACACCGTTCATTCCGACCATCAAGCCTCGAAGGCCTGGCGGCGCCAATTCGGCAGAGTATAGTGGTGCTGTCACTAGTCAGCACAGTCGTCACAATGGTGTTGGAGGAAGCAAAACGTACTGATGGCGAGGAATCCCCAACTGCCTGCGCCAGCGAAGAAACGAGCAACGATGAACATTGGGGCATTGCGAGCCCCGCAGAGCATGGCACCGCCGAACAATGACAACAGTCCACACCAGTGGAAAGCAGCCTTGCGACCCCATCTATCGGCAATGTAGCCGGCCAGGAAAACGTTGATGGCGGCACCGGCTTGGAACACCTTCGATGTTATCAGCAACCTTCACAACGGGGAGGAGCACTGAAACGTACACCAGACATAGCTCCAATGAGCTGATCAGCACTAGGCTTCAAGACCGCAGGCGTCACGGTAACATCGAGAAGGTCCATGTCGATGAGGAATGATGGTTGAGCCAAGGTAACACCGATGATGGAGGCAGGATAGCCAAATGCTATCTGGCCCAAAGAGACAATGTAACAGATGAAAAAGTTCCATCCGTTCCAATTCTTCTTGGACTCTAGTGGAGACATGATGGGTGAAGCTGAGTCTGGATGCAAGGCTCTTCAGGCCTGGGATCAATGGCTATAGAAAGGAAGATTGAATAAAAGGAGAATGGACTGAAGTGAGCGAGAGGTGTACCTTATAAAACCACGAACAGTAGGCACTGTGGGAGGTATCCACTGAGAGTCTGGGGAAGATGGTGGGACCCGATTTACCCCAGAAACTTTGGGAAGTGCCAGTCTGCCAGTCTCCTTTGCTTGTGCCCGTATCTGCTTTCCCCGCTTCTCCCACAGACATGGCTGGCACCCCTGGACATTGACGGCGATCCGCCGTAGAACGTGCTCTAAACCTTTGGGATGAACATATCCTCGGCAAAATCACTGATGCTGGCACATAGTTGTACCTACCTCGGGTTTCCAGATAATGTATGCATACCCATCGTGAGTCTCTGAGGGGAAGGCGTACCTAAACCTACAGCATACGCCGCGAGCTCCCCTAGTACCATGAGTCGTCTGCATAATGATACTCGGTCATGCCACGCATCAGGGGAAGAGATACCGTCAAGTCTCCACAGATGGAAAGTTTCTTACCCTCTCTATCGTTCTCAATCACCTGCCGAAAATCCTGGTGCTTCTGAATCATGGGTCTAGACCGCACTCTGTCGTCACGTTGAAGAACAAAATGAGCCGTCTCGGTCAGGTACACTGACTCAAGAATGGTAAGAAGATGCTGTCCGTCCATCGGCATGGGTCTGGGGAAGAGAGAACTTCTGCGGGAATGAAGCTTCTGGCGCGTGGTCTGGACCTAATGTGACGGAGTTGACGTATAGCTCGAGGGACGAGCCCAGCATTCAAAGGTCGACTGCTTCACGCACCTTGTGCTGCGCAACATGGTCCTAGAATCAATCGGAAACGCAACGACCGACCGGGTTCATCACTTGCGTTCGTGCCGTCAATGAGCGTCCCTTGTCAGGTCATACGACGTAGTTGGCACGGTTCAAGAGCCGCTTGCATCTTATACGAGCGCTAGTCTTTCATCTAGATCTCTTGAGTCAGAGGAGGACGACTCAAGAACCGACGTCTGACTTGGTGCAAGCTGTTCGGTTCTCATTTCTCGATGCCTTGTACAGTTACCAGTGTGTAGGTATATGAGAGCAAGACACAAGCATTCTGCTCTTGAGTGATTGGGCCCCGAGGTGCTGAGCGAGGTGAGCATGTTGGTCTTCCTGTTTCTGGGTCGATAAGAAAATTAGTCATCCATGACTTGGAAATCACCAGGTGCGCAGATCCAGGGCACCTCCATCACTTAATATTGGAACGGCGACCGAATCCTTGAGGCATGCGTTGCCGTGATGTCTGGCTGAGGTCACTCAAGCTGCCATGTAGCAGACGTTCACCGCGAGCGGATTCTGGCCATTTCGGAGGTCAGCATCAAGTGGCTGGCCCCTTTTACGGTCGCTCCTAGGCATGAATCACGAGGTAAGGCGCCTCTTCCTGTTGACGCAGGCTCTCAGACTCGTACTCCACGCGAGAAGAAGGAAAAGCACATGTTGTTTCACAATGTTGCAATAGGAGTGAAGGATTACCTATTCATATTGTGAGGTTACCTTTGATCACTCACAGAAACAAAAACACTTCCACCTGATTTGGCTATTTGGAGGCACGGAGCTCGGCCAAGCACGTTCATGGTGGCGGTCGGTAATTGGTTCATTGGAGCCTTGGCAAACTGTCACTAGACGTTTTAAAGCCTTAGAACGCAACCCTCATTGGCTCAGCCAAGGCATATATCGAGATTACGGGGTACGAGTCACTGCCATGCCATGCAACTGAAGTGTCAATTCCGGTTCACCTCAGATGATGCCGACCTCTTCATGTGGACTTTCAATCATGAGCTGTCGACCTTTCTCTCTTTCTTGTATTACTTATGGGATCTTCTATTGTTCATCATTCGAAGTCATCAACCCACGATCAGCGGACCGGACTCAATCCTGGCCTTGACGATGCCTTTGAAGATCAATATCATAACGCTGTTCCTATGCATGATCATCTCAGCACTCGCTCTCCCGCCTCAGTTGCAGAAATATCTGAGCGGAGAACGAACTCTACCTGCCTGGGCTCATGAAGCCAAGCCGGCTTCGTTACACCACAACCTGTACTCTGATACAGCATTACCAGTCTCCGATAAAATTGAAGGACCAGTAACTGAAGCGACTTCTGCTCTGCCCTCCGCTCCTACAAGCCTATTGCCATGGCTTCAGAGCGCCGAGTGAACGATTGCGTTGGGATTGACGCGACCTTGCACATCGACCCCTTCATTCACCAATGATACCAATAATTGAAGTCACTCTTCACTGCCTATTGGCCGAAGCACCACTCGGTCACCGACTCCCACTTCCGGCGAATCGCTTACTCTTGGCCACAAGCCCGGGTTGGTCTCACCGTTCCACGCCTAGGAAAATCAGGGCACTCGCCAAAAGGCACCGTGGTCTACAAGTCGGCTCAGCCACAGCGCCATAATGGGCTCCAACGCACCGGCAAGACTGAAACGACGGCCCCTACCCGGAGACGCCTTCGTATACATGCAAGACTGAGGAACAGTCATATCATACGGGCACAACATCCAAGCTTGAAGAGTAATTTGTGCATGCGAGTGGAAGCGCACTCCCTTGCATTGCAAATTACCCGGGCAGATTGTTGTTCATTCCGCGCACCAGCAGTCCGCGCACCGGCACTTCATGCATCAACGACTCAGATCCAGCAATTGACTGCACACATGGTCAGGGGCGAAGAGTGGCTCTCCCGGCCACTGGTACCAGGTCCGCGGTGGAAATTGCCTAGAAAGTGAACGTGGAGTGGTCGACCCCAAGTGCCATGTCATATTGGCACAACCATAACGATATGAAGAGATCATGCTCAATTCACTCATATGTCGCGTTTTTCATTTTGTACATGTTACTATCTTTCTGTCACAACTATTTTCAACTGCGACGTCCTGCATTCAACACTCACATGACTAAACACACTGCAATCTGGATGAGACTGCCCAGTCACAAGGTCCAGTCTAGTACTGATCCGCGATAGTGAAAGTACCAGTCTTGGAGATGAGGTACTCATTCACCGCGACATCCTTGCCGGACTCCTTGCCGTAGCCGCTCTCCTTGATACCACCAAAAGGCGACTCTGCAGCAGAGCCGTTTCCAGTATTCTAATAAGGACAAAAAGTCAGTATTCAGCCATAAAGGGTTGAAGATGGAATATACTCACCAGTCCAATCATGCCAGCCTCCAGATTCTCCAACATCCTCCACAATCGGTCGACATTCTTGGTGAAAGCGTAACTCGCAAGACCCATGGACGTATTGTTCGCCCATTCCACAGCCTCCGCCTCCTTCTCGAACTTGAAAAGACCCGTGACAGGGGCAAAGGTCTCCTCGCGAGCCAACAACATTTGCTCATTCATTTCCGTCAAGATAGTCGGGTCCATATAATACCCGCCAACTCCTTTACCTTCGCCGGCGCCCTCGTCTGCCGTCGCATTCTTGTGCGCCTTGCCCGTACCAAGGATCAACTTGGCGCCATGCTTGACGGCGTCGGCAGCCTGTTCCTCAGCCTTGGCCAGACCACGGGGCGTTGTGACGGGACCCATCGTGGTGTCCTTCTCCGCGCCATGGCCGACTTTCAGGGTCTTGGTCTTCTCGACCAGCATCTCCGTGAACTTGTCGTACACGCCCGCCTGGACATACACCCTGTTCGCGGTGATACAAGCCTGACCTGCGTGGCGCCACTTTAAGGCCATGAGCTGGCCAAGCGCCTGCTCGAGGTCGGCGTCATCGAAGATGATGAATGGACAGTTGCCGCCGAGTTCGAGCGTGCATTTCTTCAGGCCCTTGGCGCATAGTCCGGCCACGATCTTACCCACGCGCGTCGATCCAGTGAACGTCACCTTTTTGACGTGCGGGTGCACGATCATCGCCTCGCTTAGGCTAGGCGTGTTGTCGAGACTGGTTGTCAGCACGTTGAACACTCCCGGAGCGAAGCCGGCTTTGCTGGCGAGGTGTGCGAGCGTCAGACACGTTAGGGGTGTCTCGGGGCTGGGCTTGACGACCATGGTGCAGCCTGCGGCGAAGGCCGCGCCCGCTTTACGCAGGATCATGGCGATTGGGAAGTTCCATGGCACCAGGGCCACGGCGACACCGATCGGCTGCTTGATGACGAAGACGCGGCGGTTGGGTGCCGCGGGGACAGAGACCGACCCCTGGATGCGCTCGGCCTCGCCCGCAAACCACCACGTGAAGCCGAGAGAGTAGTCGAGCTCGCCGTAAGCTTCGGCGAGAGGCTTGCCCGTCTCATATGTCAGGATCTTGGCGAGATCGTCTCTGGCGGCGGTGATGAGCTCGTGCCATTTCATCAGCAATTGTGCCCGTTTGCGAGGGTTCAAGACGCTGTATTCCTTGAAGGCCTTGTACGAGGACTGGATGGCGGCGTCGACATCCTCAGTGGCGTTATCCGGACACGACGCCCAAGCCTTGTCGCTGCCAGGGTCGACAATGTCGAAGCGCTTACCACTCTTGGCTCCTACCCATTTTCCGTCCACGTATGACTCCTGGTGAAAGAGATCAGGGTCCTTGAGTTCGAAAGGAAGTGAGGGGGCCATTGTGGAAGTTGGAGTAGATAAATATAGTCAAACTTTCCTTTTTCTGATACAGATGTTCCGAAAGATATATGAGAAAGTGAGATCTGAAGGGGATGACAGTATAATACTACTCGTCTTACAAAGAAACAAGCAAGATCGAGAGGATTGATAATATCATCACTTTTTAATCCCGAGGTCGAGCAACACAATTGGATTGGTGTTGACCCCGCAGAATGACGGTCGCGCTTCTCCTCTCACCACAGTAAGACGCGCAAATATGGTTCGGGAGATGACCGATGCCGGAGCAAAATAGCCGTAGATAACTCCGTAGATACCGTGCTATTGTGGTATTCCGGACTGTCCCGCCGTCCTTCTTTCCGGTGGAACTTGATGTAGATGCGCAAATACGCAAGGCTTTACCAGATAACCGGACCAAAGTATTGTTAATCTGTGCCTGTCCTACCGCGTCCATATGCACCACCTGTCAGAACAGGCTTGGCCGGGTCCCAAGGCCCAATGACCACGTTCTTGTACCGTTGCAAACCAATCAGCCACCAAGAACAACCTCCCATAACAAAGGCTGTACTGAAGCCTCCAACCACGAATCCTATCATGCTCCGTAATATCACATGCCATATCCAGCCCAGACAAAAACCACACTCGCCATATGTATGTGTGTATGATTTGGACAATATCAAGCCCAGTCCGCACGTGGACATGGTGACAAGCGCAAACGTAAGTAGTAGATGTAGATTGAACGACTTGTGCCGAAGGTGCCTCCGAAACACTGGAAATAGACCGAACACCTGAATGGAAAACAGGGTGAGACTAAATACAGCAGTTGTCGTCATGAGTCGTGAAGCTAGCACAGTGCTGGCCATCAAGGCTGCATTCGTCGACAATGAAGAGGGGAACGGAGGGGCGCGCAGCGACGAAGCATTCGAGGGGGCGCGTGATGCATCTGCTGGCGTTGCTTTGGATGTCTCTGCTGGCGAATCGGGAGTTTGGGACTTGCTGGGAACATATAGACTGCCGTAGTCGAAGAAAAAGATGTTGATGATCAAAAGCCATGTAGCCAGAGCCCAGATTGAGTCTGATGAAGTAGATCTTGTGAGAGATTTCAGGATGGGCGACAGACCAAGCAGTGCGAAATATATCAGGCAAGCAGACTTGAGCGTTTTCAACCTTGCTTGATTGCGCGCAGAGATGGATGCTGGTAGAGTGGTCGGGGAGTACGTGATGCTGGAGGATTGCGGCGCCTGCGGTCGAGATGTGGTCGGGCGAAGATCCGGAAAGGGCTCAATAGCAGACTCACCCAACGGATCGATGGGCGATATTGATTGGAAGGACGATTTCGATAGAGATTGGCCATGCTTTCCAGTAAACTTGGACTCGTTATCCTTGACCAGTAAGTTGGTCGTCGATAATTTGAGACCAACACCGCGGCCACCGAGTCCACCAGTCGCGTGGCCATTTGCATGACCATTGGCGTGACCATTTGCATGCGCATGGCCATTTATTACTGCTTTGCCTGACCCTGTAGAGCTTGTGCTTGAGACGTCGTCCACATCAAGTGACAGGCGGTTTATCTTCCAAGCAGCGGCCATTCCTTCCGCCTCTTCCTCGCCCATCCAGTGATCCCACATTATCCAACCACCGACCGTTGCAACTGTGCCGCACGTCACCACCGAGACTGGAGACAGACGATCCTGATATATTCCAGCATATGCGCAGATGAAGATTGCCACAGAGCATACATGTTGCACAATGACTGCAGAATCTGCAACCAGCGGCCAAAAGTCGTACGGTCTTAGCCTTGGGTTTCTTTGTAGATGGTCCAGAAACGTCTCTGTATCTGTGTAATTGTCGGGGAAACCATGCTGCTTGATCCAGAGTAGCTTCTTCCACACATGCGGTTGCTTCCGCCTTCTGCTGGCCGCTCTTCTCCTCTCTTCTGCTAGCCGGGCTGCGACAGGTGGAATGGCAGGCGGTGCTCGTAATGACGCGACGGCAGGTCGAAGAGCAGCTGCAGCTGCGGAGGCAGCCGCGGAGCCACTGATCTCCGGTACAGGCCGTAGTCGTGGCGGTGAGAAGGTACGATATGCATCTTCAGGTGCGAGACGACTAGGATCTGGAGTGAAGCGGTTCGCTTGAGGCTTTCCACGGTTGGGATGTGTTTCGACAGGGACTGGAGGTGGGATGGGAGATGGCGCCGGTGAAGGTGTCGGCGTTGACCCAGTGGTCGGGCTGGTAGTCGGGCTGGTTGGGGGTGATGAAGTTGGCGGCGCCATTGTGCGCCTCGAATTGTTACCGTAGGATCATCTCGTCGAGCACATGAGGAGAGACTGTGATCATTCCGATGAATCACAGTACTCACAATTTGCCGCGAATAGTGTAAAGAAGAGGGTATCCGGGAAGTGTACGGCGCCTGGAACCGTATGTCTACGGAAGATGGTCATCAAAAGCAGCAATGCCGCAGTCACGTTTTCGACGTTAGCGTCAAGACCGCGTTTACTCCGACAGGGTTGCATTGAAACCTCCTTCATCACGACGTATGCATCTAATTTTCTTCGCCAGGCATGTCATCATGTACAGCGGTGACCGGGCGTATTGACACACCATGAATCTAGATGTCTGTAGGAAGAAAATGTTTCTGCGTCCCATACTAGGACAGATCCGTGCTACTCTTCAACGTAGCTTATCAATTCGAATGGATGCCACATTTGCTTCACGGCACCGACCTGCATCTTGCGATACCTCGCACGAGGTGCTGCATGGTGATAGGACGAGATATGCAGAAGAGAGCTGCTCCTGCATTGACCCTCTCTCCAACAAAAGGTGAGTCGTCAATTCGGCAGCACCACCGGTGTCCCAATACGGAAAATACTTGCTGGCCCAATGAGAATGGTGAGGTCTTTCCTACCCCAGTTATCTGGCATGGCTGGTCATTCCGAGCTGCCATATCGGTGTTAGGATTACAATACATACCAGGATGGTTGCACATACGCAGGTGTTTTGTCATCAACTGACGACTGTAGAAGACCAAGCTCTAGATCTGGAAGGTTTTGGCTGAAGACTTCGAATCAGCTTTCAAGATTCGTCATCAAGCCATAGAAGACTGCAGGAGAAAATTGATAGCAACTACGCGGCGATTCAGTGGTGCTGGCGAAGACGTTGAAGTATATATAGAGTCATGGTGACGAAGTTTGAGACGCTCATTATACCGGAACAACAATACAACTCATCGAACAAAATACAGAGTCGCACATCTCGGCTCCTTCCACGGCATTCAGAGCAGATTTTCATACTGACACCATGTCCTACAACACCACTGTCCTCATCACTGGCTGCAAAAGCGGCATTGGAAAGGGGTTGCTTACCGCATATGCCTCTCGACCCAACACGCTGGCTATCGCGGCCATTCGAGATGGTCCAGATTCAGAACCCGCCACTGCATTGACTTCTCTCCCTGTCGGTCATGGCAGCAAGATAGTAGTGGCTAAGTACAATGCGAGCTCCACTACGGCGGCTCAAGAGCTTGTCGAGTACCTGAAAACGGCTCACAAGCTCAGCAGTCTGGATATCGTGATAGCAAATGCAGGCATACTTAAACACTTCGGCCCTGCCAAGGAAGCTTCAGCCGAGACCATCACCGAGCATTTTCAGATCAATACGCTGGCGCCGATTCTGCTATATCAAGCTACCCAGCCTCTCCTCGACGCTTCCGAGCAGACTCCCAAGTTCTTCATCATCTCCTCCAGTCTTGGAAGCAACGGCTTGCAGGACGATTACCCCTTGCCCATGCTCGCATATGGCATGTCCAAGGCCGGAGTCAATTATGCCGCCAGTCGTATACACCGCGAGGAGGATCGGATCGTCTTTATTGCCCAACAACCCGGTTGGGTTAAGACCGAAATGGGTCATGCAGCCGCTACTTACGCTGGTATGAGTCATGCGGATGTTCCTGTCACTTTGGAGGATAGTATCAAGGGCTTGATGGGCTGCTTTGACAGGGCGGACAAAGCGACGCACAGTGGCAAGTTCTGGGATCAGGAGGGAACTCAGCTCCCATGGTGAGTTCGGATGTCAATGGACAGGCGCAAGCTCCTACACCGGTGTACCGGGCGTGACCTCGGAGATCAAAGCTGCCATCCAGGCTCCATTCCGATTGGCCTTGTGGCCGCGTTTTGATGATAGAATTGGATCATGTTGTTGTGTAGGCTTCTACTCGTCCTCGTAGGGCGTCCCATTGACAATACAAATAATGTGCATGCGCGATGCATATAGCAGGTTCCCCATAGCCAGTGCAGGATGTTCATTCGTGAGCCCCAGGGATCATGTCATGACTCAGCCACAACCATATACACCTCGGTATCCTTTCGTCCATAGTGGCATGACCACTCAATTGAGATCATTCGCTTTGACATCGTTTTCGTACCGAAAGAATTCAAAAATTGATTTGGAAGCAAATGAGACTTACAAAAGGACGTTGACTTGGTGAAGTACTTTAGAGTAAAAGTTCACACAGCCCCATCGCCAAGCCGGGCCTGATATTGGCCGCCGGAGCCGGAGTCAAAACCGAAAGTCGCAAAGGTAACGTTGAAGACGTTGTAACCACTTATTCATTTGCTGCCAACAATTCACGCAAATCTACTGCGATGGCGACTGCACTCAGTTCAATCGCGACAAGCCCATATAGTGATGCACGGAGCAGCACTGATGTCCTGATATCGCTTTCAATTTCCTTCCAGCTGTACCGATTGTGATGGCAAGCCATGGTCTACAGGGGACCTAGCAAAGGATGTCAGACTTGCCGGCGTCGGCGAGTCAAGGTGAGAAAATACTCGATTATGTTAGAATCCACGCCGTATTAATATACGATAGTGCGACGAGGCTCGCCCGCAATGTGGCAATTGCATCAAGCGGAAACAACAGTGTCCTGGCTACCGAGACTCATTCGATGCCGTGCACAAAGATGAGACGTTGGCCACTTCTCTGAAGAACTCATCGAAGAAGAGTCCCGGAACGGACGTTGTCGATGAAACAATCGCCTCGGATTCAAACTATGCCGGCTCGACTGCGCAACTTTCGACACCTTCACCCTCTCAAAGCGATAGTCTAGTCATGCTTGTCAGCCCGTCACGAAACGTAGAGACTGAATGTCTGACATACTTCTTCGCAAACTATGTCGACATCCCTCGAGACCCCAGCACCAACATCTTTATCGAGCACATTCTCCCCCTTTACATCAGCGCTCCTCTGGAATCGGCCTTGACTCATGCTGCCAACGCCGTAGCCATAAATGTCGCGCAGATGTGGATGCAAAGAGGCATTGACTCCTCCCTAGCCCGAGAAAGCTATGCCAAAGCTGTGAGCCTGGTCCAATATGCTTTGCAAGACCCAGTCCAGTCCAGGACTGATGATACACTGGCCGCAGTATTCTTGCTTGACTTTTATGATTCTCTGAACAAACGCTTTGTAGGATTCATCGACACTGGCATGCATCAACAAGGAGCCATGGCCCTTCTTCGACACAGAGGCAAAGAGAACTTCGAGAGTGCAACCTCCCGGCGCCTGTTCACCGCATTGAGAAGTCGCCACATCAATTTCTCGCTGCAGGCGGGCAAGAAGGTGCAACTCGATGGCGATCTACTAGCCGAAGAGACTGCCCTTCTGCCTTCTGCAAAGCTCGACCTCATCAACGCCGAACTCGCAGATTTACATGTCACCGTTCCCGACGGTCCCGAGGCCATGGGTGTAGGATTGGTCGAATTCTACCAGACCATCATGCAGCAAGCGCTCGTGATTGACGAAAAGTTACAAGCATGGAGGGACTCACTTCCGGAGTCGTGGCGACCAGTCGCTATTCCTGCATCACAGCTCCATCCGACAATCAGAGCAGCTGGCGTCTATGGGGATACCGTTGACGTATACACGTCGTTGACAGTTTCGCACATCAACAATGCTGCTCGAAGTTCCCACGTCGGCGCCCTTCGGCTCATCTCATTGTGCAGAAGGGAGCTAGAAGCACTCGGCGTTGAGGCTGATCCTGATCTAGGCCAATACCTTCACACACAGATGCAAGAGATCGCGGATCGTTTCTGCGCATCAATACCTTATCACCTCGGGAATCGAACTACGCTCACGTTTCCCCACGAACACCGCGAATATCCCCATGTCCCCATCGAGCTACGCCGCCTCGCAAATTACGTCGACCCCTTTGGCAACCCCGTCGAGATGACTCAGGAAGACCACATTCGGGCCGCTGCTGCTATTGGTGGATGGTTTATAATGACACCGTTGATGGGCTTTCTGAGGGCGCCGTTTCTAAGATCGCGAAACGCCATACCTGGCCCATTAGTGAGCACTTTGCGATATGGTCAGCTCGACTGGGTTCGCGGCCAGATGCAACGACTCCAAAGAATATATGGCTTACCAGCTAATGGAACCCCTGAATGGAAATACCCCCTGAGGACCATCGGTACAGGGGCTGGCCATAAAGAGGTCCTCAAGGAGACCTTTTGGAATCGTCAGCTTTGGCAAGTATGAGGGTTGAAAGAAGCCGGCAATCACAAAATGAAGCAATGCCAGCAATTCACATGGCTGCGACAGCAGAAACTTGTGACCGGCACCCTCGGCCGCCTCATGACAGAACGCGAACGGTTGCCACTGCAATCTCCACTCAAGCGGTTGCGACATCTGTCATCGTTGACAATGAAAGCGATTAGTTTCACCACGACAAGGATTTTAGGTTGTCCAACCATGTATGTCAGGCCAGTCGTCAGTGTTCCGGACATCAAGTCGTCAACGTCGGCGAGGTGCCAGCAGTGCAGAAGGGCCGCCCCAACTTGGCTTTAAGATCTGGATGGTCAAATGCTCACAGGAGATGCAGAGACAAACCGAACCAAACAGCAAGACAGGTAGTGCGAACCATATGAAAGATGGAGCAGCACGCATCGTAGCAACCTGCCATCTACTCGGGATGGGATAAAATCCACATGAAGCTCCCAAAGTTTGGACATTACCCAGCACCAAGTGGTGGAAACTTGACTTTAGCGAGTGCATCCATCGAAGAGGGCATATGAGGCTTATGAGCCGCAAGGTTCCAAATAAGATTCTGACATGCATGTGTTGTGTGATGAAGAATCTGGATGGATTTCCTGTTTCGGACTTTCCAGCGTACAAGTTGAGTAATCTTGTACGAAAACTGTGAGGTTGAGTTTCTAAGCGACGCCAATATCAAATATGCTCAAAAACCTATTCACGATAGACTTCAAAATCTGGATCATGGATCTCGTCCATATTGAGTCGAATGGCACCGGAACGTCGGATTACCAGGGCCTTTGACTTACTGAACTGGGCCCGGCGTTACGCCAACACCAGTGACCATACAGTGTCAGGTGCCAGGTGCCTGGTGCCGGGTGCCGTTCTTCCGAAGTTCAGTAAATGGTATGACTTCGGTTGAGCTGCCGAACACTTACCTGTGAAGTACTCGCGCATTTGGCAGATGCTGCAGCACCTCGTCAACCTTTTGAACAATGAGCGCTTTTCCTCAGTCTTCCGGTTCTTGAGATAGAGATATCGGTGCCATGAGATTGCGGCTCTATACTTTCGCAACCAGAGTTAAAACAATGGGCTCCTCAGGTCAAAAGTCCGTCTATATGTCCGTCTGAGCGGGTCCACATGCATGATGGCACGTGAATGGTAAATCTAGGTAAAGATATTGAACGCTTTCCTATCTGAGACGCTTGGCCCGAAGAGTCGACTACGAGTACAGTACGCCAAAGTATGTGGTTGCGCCTAATCACTGACGTGGCGTGGCGCCTGTCAAAAGACGTTTTCGGTTCATGAAACCCATCAAGATTACCCGAAGGAGAAGGTTGACTTACCTAGAACAGTAAACATGCTGTGGTGCCAGGCACCTTAGCGTTGCGATCAAACGCAGCTCGGTTCTGAACCTGGCGTGGGCCAGAGTCACCATTGCGCCAGCATGACGCTTTGACATTTTCAAAAGTAGTACTTGTGATATACATTTCGGCAGACAATAAGTGGGAAGGTTTTATCTGTTCGTTGGAGGAGATAAGTCAAGAGTACTTATGGCGGAAGTTAATGTGGCAATGCAAATCAAGTCGGACTTTGGATGGTAGACCGCCGTCACAAAGACAGAGCGAGTGCTTCCCTTGAAGCACGACCCAGACCACAGCTGTGAGCCGGGCGTGACTTGGGGGTGCTTTGTCAAGATACAAAATTGCACCTGGACTACCGCCAGGTACAGAATACAGAATTTTGCACGTACAGAATTGGCACCTAGACTACCGTGAGGGACAGAAAACAGAATTCACCACAGGAACAGAATCCTGCCTAGACTATCGTCAGGAACAGAATTACCATCAGGCTCGAATTGTCCACCTAGACTACCGGCATATTCAAAGCTTGCCATCGCCGAGGCTATTGACTAGTCAACGAATATCATGAAGGTCGTTGCGCGTCAAAATCCAACCCTCCGAATCAGTGAGATACGTTTGTGGCGTAGTGAATCTCTTGATCTCGCTGGTGATCCTCCGCTGGCCCTCCCATATCTGTCGATGCTGGTAATTCCTCTCGCGGTGCTTCGTCGTCAGTACGGTCTTGTCACCTCGTCGCTTGACTTCCCAACACATTGTGTCAATGTTGACTAATGATGGTATCGCAGCAATGGACAGCACTTGAAGCGATCGACATTCCTTGCGCAAATACTCGAAAACACGAATCGCTTGATCGTCCGAAACAGGAACGCAGTGCCGCACACTCCGACTCCAGCGTGGAGAATCTTTGGGGACAAAAGGAGGAAATAGCCGAAGGTATCGGAGGCTGCGAAACTTGGAGATGGCATTCAGGAATGCGTATTGCTCGACGTCAACATCCACCCCGGGAATGGCCGTCGGATGCCAGAGGTTCTCGATGTAGCCGATGTCCAACTCAAGACGTTCCAAACCGGGTGAGACTCTACTGGCGAAAAGGATGTCGGCGTGAGATCGCTGGCTTTCGGCACTATACACAGACCACAAGGCGTCTTCACGATGTAACCGTAGGCTTCGCAGGTTGGGTCCAAGCAAGCTTATGATTGGGATATGGTTGCACATCCCATCAATCTCAAGATCCTGTAGTTGCTTCATATGTGAGAAGTCGACTTCGAAGGCAGGAACGATTGGTGTATCCGCAAATAATCCCATTGTGGGGATTTCATACCTGCATGCTGGATGATATAGTCTTTGATGGTCAGCACGAAGGCGTAGCGCTTCGAGATTTGTGAGCTTTGGCGCAACGTCGTGTATAAATTGGTTCAGCGGCATCGTGTACTCCCACACAATTGACAATCTCCGGAGGTTCATCCATGGTATCACCGCCAGGTCAAGGTCACGTAGCGAATGGTGAGTTCCAGGTGCGCGTCTGATCAGAAGCCGCAGTTCCATCCACGAAGGAGTCTCTGGGATGCCTGAGCAAGGCGTAATCCCTGCTTGCAGGGTATGATTGTTCTGGTCGTCTTTCAGAAGCCATGCCATATGCAGGTCGATGGCAAATGCCTTCGTTATGGCATCGTATGTCGCTTGAGGGACGGCACTGCCTCGTGGCGGAGATGCTCCGAAAGCGCCAAGGCCAAGTCGATGGCGCCTTGCTAGGGTTGCTAATTCAGTAGTTGCCTCAATCATCGTCGGCCAATTCGATGAGGAATAGAGATTGTCGAAGACGATTTCATAGATCTGATCAACGGGCAACATTTGTAGAACCTGGTAGGCGACTGCGGCAGAACAGTCCAGGCGAACGCAACGAAGACGAGTCATCAAAGGTAAGGCTTCCTTGAGAACTTGGAGGTCGGACGATGTATGCTCGCGGGTGAGACGTTGTGTGGTAGCGTGATCTAATGAAGGTACAAATCCATGAGCTGCCGTTGGGCGGACAACATGTACGATTTGAATGTATCGAAGTAGATGAGGATGGTTCAGAAGTCGACGAAGTGCTCCGTGTTCATTTTGGTCCAGCCGGTCCCTTACAACATGTGACACAGTCTTGAACAAAAGCGGAAGCGCTGAACGCCGGAATGGACGAGACACAAGTGACAATGTGAGGAGTTCGTCGACTTGACCCAATCCACCATCATAGATTTGGTTGGCGATAATATCAAGAATTTCTGACGGTAACCCTTGAAATGTTGTCGCGTGCTCGGTTGCCGTCGGAGGCACCCGCATCGACTTGAGGGCCAGCATCAGACAAAGGCTGAGAAGTGCGCGCCTTGCCAATTGACCTCATGTTAGCCATTCACGTTGCATGAATGTTGAAACAGTCAAAGTAGTTGAGAACTGTAGATGAAAGGTTGTTGAGGTCACCAATCGCCGCAATCGGAGTTGCAGGTGGCGGTGGCGGAACATCATTCCTCCGTGAATCAAGTCGAGGAATCTCGAGACGAATCATCAATCTGATCCCGATTGTGCTGCTTTCGCGCTGAATATGGACATGTCGAGCGCTATCCAGAGTGGAACATGGTCAGAATGTCCACGATCCAATGCATTGTCAAGTATATCAGTTTCAGCGACAGCATCAAGGGGATCCACCAAGGAGCGGCTGACGACGATCAAGTCTACCCGGTCGCAGCTCTCGCCCCAGTTCCTACCGCGTGGGTGGTAGGTGTGTTTCTGCCGATTACCATGTTTATGTCGGAAGACATCAACTGCGCTCAAGCCGTTCTCATCTGTGAAAAACTTGGCGTTGAAATCTGCACGGTTCTTAACATGCTGCACAGGTGACGTTCGTAGGTTTGGATGGCCGTCGATTCTGGCTCTGGCAATGTTCATGTCACCAATCAAAATGACATGCAGCCCTGACCTTTCGAGTCGAAGGGCTTCGTCCAGCATCCACTGATGGAAGCGCAGCTTATGGTCATGTCGTGTCCCAACAACTTGGCCCGTTTCAGGATCTCGATAAGGATTCGACGTACCGTTGACCCAATACCCATTGATCACCACCAGCCCCATGTCTAGCTCGTGTACTAAGACCCGTCCTTCCAAGTCCCAATCCGGACGTCGGGTTGCACGAAGCCTTGAACCGAAATCATCACGTATCAGAGTCGCTACTCCATGAACTTTGCCGCCGAATCCAGTGGCATTATATTTGTCTCTAGGAAGAGAGAACTCGATAGTGTAACTAGGCTCATCACCTGCGGCACTTTGATTCGCAGCAGCCTGCAGCCTGCGTTGAGTGGCGGTGTCTTTGGAACTGATTTTGACTTCCTGGAGGCAGAGAAACTGTGGCCAGTGGTGGCGTTTCAGGAATGTCCTCAACGGTGAAAGAGAGTCAGCACTGAAGGATAATTGCTTCTGAAGCAAGGGCCCGACGCCGTTGACATTCCAACTAAAGATTCGTAACTGATCCACAGATGGTTCGCGCGTGCTGGACACGTGTTCTGTCAGACGCGGGATCTTGCGTTGTAGGGGAGGAGGACTGATCGAGCGGCCTGTGGTACTGAGGGACCTCTTGAGTGGTGATGACATGTTGCTCGGAGATTATTGATGGCCATAGTAGTCGACAGCATGTACTAGGACTTTTTATTAACGCTGACGAGGCTGATAGTGACGACCTTGATACATGGTGTTGATGTACGTGAAGGTCTTCAGAACAGTTCCAGCCACGAACGTCATTGTGAGGAATTCAAGATTCTTTTGGCGCACCGACCAACGGACCGAGCCGAAGTTTTGGGGGCTCTTAGAGGTCAAACCAGCCTGTGGCTTTGCGCCTAAGACGCCCAGGGGCAGCTTCCTCGGAAGACGGAAGTCCCTTGTCTCCAGCAGCTTTTTGTCAATTGGGGGAATTCACCAACGCTACTTGTAGCAACTAACACTTTGGTGTCCAGGGATCTTCTTCCAGGCATCCCAGGCATGGCTGTTATCCGACTCGTTCAAGTGGTCAAACCGATGGAGCCAGAATAAGGAGGAGTGAGGCGTCCCCCAGGAAATAAATGTCGAGATCCATTATTGACTTCTGTTCCTGCCTGCGGCCCTGCGCGTCAACCACTGGTCTGACTGACTTGACATCTCGCAGCTCACCCAGTCTCGCCACAATCTATTAAGACAAAGCTCATGTTGTTGAGCCACAAAGAAGAGAGAGAGAGAGGAACTGAGGATCCATACCACAAGAACATCTTCGTATCATCGGAGTTGAGCACTCGACTTCGACCTTATCCTCCCACCTCAACCTCTCCTTCCATTTTGAGCGCTATCTCAACCCTGGACCGCCAGTCTTCCTTTCTCTTGCCATTCGCAGTAAGTTCGAGTCGGGCTATAAGCTCCTGATAGCTACTGAATCCATGGCATATAGGTCACTGCTACCAGTCCCGTTTCTTTCCTCGCCTATCTCTGAGCCTCCTGAATTGTTCCTGCGTCCGCCGCAATGGCTCCGATGCCAGAGCTCTACCCTACCCTAAATCATGTCCACGATCTCGAAGCTGCGGGGATACAAGATCTTCAGCAGATCATCCAGACTTTCCCTATCATCGACAATCATGCGCACAACATGTTGACCGAGGAAAATGCCTATGGCGGCGCAGACTACCCGTTCGAGTGCATAACGTCGGAGGCGCATGGACATGCCTTGACAGATCATGTCCACACGAGTCTGGCGCATATGCGCGGAATAAAGCACTTGGCCGAGTTCTATAAGTGTCCTGAGACCCTACAAGATGTCAAGGCTTCGAGGTACGAGTGGATAAGAAGGGACTATCCGGGCTTGATCAAAAAATGCTTCGAGGGCACACACGCGATCATGATGGACGACGGGCTGGCCCCAGAGATAATCCACCCTTTCAAGTGGCATAGACAGTTCGTTCCCACGGTCTCCAGAATCGTGCGGATCGAAGCTGTTGCTGCCGAGTTGCTTGAACATCTGGCTCATGCTGCCGGTTTTATGAGAGTTGGCCTTGACGCCGATTGGGATATCAATCAGACGGAAAGCTTTCTTGTCCGCTTCAACACAGTTTTCCGCAATCAGATCCGTACATTGGCGAATGATCCCGACGTACGAGGGTTCAAGTCTGTCGTCTGCTACCGAACAGGTCTTGATGTTACCCTGGAAAGCAGGACAAACTTTCGTCCTCATCAGTCGCTGACCGATTCGGTCCTTCTGCAGTCCTTTCATCATTTCCTGCAGAAAGCTGTGCGCGACCACAAATATCGCATTGAGCAGAAAGAAGTCAACGATTTCTTGGTTGTCGCAGTATGCGATGTCTTGGAGAAACTTGTAGACACGGACGGCGAGAATCTACCCTTCCAGTTCCATACTGGACTGGGCGATAACGATATCGATCTTATCAAAGCCAACCCAGCTTACATGCAACCCCTGATTGAAGCTTTCCCACAAGTCGACTTCGTCATCCTTCATTCTTCCTACCCTTATACGAGAGAAGCCGGCTATTTGGCTGCTAACTTCGCCAATGCGTGGCTTGATATCGGCGAAGTGTTTCCCATGCTCTCCAGAGATGGGGAGGAATCGGTCCTACGACAGGCTCTTGAGTTGACCCCAAGTTCGAAAATCTTATGGAGCACAGATGGACACTTTTATCCCGAGACTTATTGGCTTGCCAATAAACATTTCCGAGAAGCATTGGAGAAATTGTTGACTTCCTACGTTGCCGCCGGGGACATCAGCGTCCCACAGGCGATAGATATTGCGGTCGATATCATGTTCTGGAACTCAAATACGTTATACAAGCTAGATGAGGAACGCAGATTCCCAGAACTTCTCCGAGCGTGTGGCAGAGAGCCTGTCGACAGTATGAGGACTTTGGTTAATGGAAGTTCCAAGGCTCCTTCCCTCCGGTCTACCGCTAGCACTGCTGTCGCAACTCCGGGAATTCCAACGGCACGACCGGGACCCTCTGCGCCCACCGACATTCTTCCAACCACAAGTCAGACCATTGCTTTGCGATCGGGAAGTGCAAGTGCGCCCTCTGGCCAGAGCGCAACTGCCGTCTATGCCCAGCATTTGACAGCTTTTGACGCCTTTCTACAAACTAATGCTGGCATCAAGTATATATGGGTGCAACATATGGACTACACGGGGACGCTGCGCGTCCGAATGGTCACGACCCAACAATTTCGGAAGCAACTTGCCACAGGCCACAACATGATCTGCAGTGCTGCCCTGACACGCCTTCTGCAGGATGACTTCGGAGCGACTGGTGCTTCGTCCACAGGAGCTTTCGTGCTTGCGCCAGACCTCTCGACACTCTCACTCAACAAGGGTATCTCATCACCCTCCGCCACAGTCCAGACTTGGTGGATGGTAGAAACAGAAGACAACCTGGCACATTGGGATCGTTGTCCACGATGGCTTCTACAGTCACAATGCGATGCATTGAAGTCCGAGTTCAATATTTCAATGTTGCTTGGCTTCGAATTGGAAATCATATTTATGAGACCGATCTGGAACGAGGATAAATCCGATTTTGTTGATTTTGCACCTCTGCACATGGTGCACTCCTGGAGTAACATGACATACCAGCAGCTCGACATGCTGAATATCGTCGAAGAGATAGTGGAGCTGCTAGCCGAACTCGACATACACCTTCCTCAATTCCATTCCGAAGCGGCACCAGGACAATGGGAGTTTCCTCTGCCCGCACTTGAGCCGGTCAAGGCGGTGGACACCCTGTTCAAGACGAAAGACGTGATCCGAAACGTCGCGAAGAAGCATGGCCTAAAGGCTACTTGCTACCCGCGCCCCTTTTCATTTACCTGCGGCAGCGCCAACCACGCACACTTCAGCATCAACGGGCCCGGCAACATAGTGGAGAAGTACGACGCGCCATTCCTTGCGGGCGTGCTCGAGCATCTCCCTGCCATCCTCGCCTTTACCCTGCCGATCGAAGAGTCGTACGCGAGAGTGTCACAAGGAATTTGGGCCGGCGGCGAGTACGTCTGCTGGGGCTACGAAAACAAGGAAGTGCCGCTGCGCAAGTGCGGGCCTGGTCACTACGAGCTCAAGACCATTGACGGGATCGGTAATTCGTATCTGTCCATGGCCGCGCTATTGGCCGCGGGCCTGCACGGCGTTCGTCAGGACCTCAAGCTCGAGCATAAAGACTGCGCGGGCGATCCGACGCATATTGGCGAGGAAGAGAGGCAGAAATTGGGGATTACCACAAAACTGCCCGATTCTCTGGACAAGAGTCTGAAAGCGCTCGATAAGGATAGGATCCTTAGGCGGAGCCTGGGCTATGCCGCAGTGGATGACTACCTTGCTGTCACGCAGAGTTTGATGGAAAAGCTGAGAGGTTTCGGCGATGAAAAGAGAAGGGTATGGTTGATGGCGCGGTATTAATCGAACTTGTCGAGCGCGGCGCTGAGCGTAAGACGGGCAAAGAGTGCGTCTTACTGTATTAACCTACTGGTGAGCGTTGGGATATGTGCTTGGTGCTTGGTGCTTGGTGCTTGGTTCGGACCTGGCTGTGACATACAAGGAATTTGGGTTTTCAAGATGGAGTTGAAACTGCAACTGGAGATTGGGTTGTCAAATATCCCACCTGGAGCGTCGGTCTAGTTGATTTCATGTAGACTTCTTCACACTATGTTGTTCGTGCCTCTGATCACGCTCACAGGTTCGTAGTAGGAGTATAGGATGTCATCTCGCCTGGTCTGCAATACTCATGTCCATGCCCCGGGAGTTGTCCTCTCAGCCTCGCAGATCTGACATGTTCTCTGCTGCTTTTTGCTCAGAGGGTATGTCCGACTTGTGATGTCCGGCAAATCAGCACCGCAGCGGTCGCAATTCCTTGTGGCCACGTTCGGAGTTTCCTTTCCACCGATATCAATCTGTGCTTTAGGCCTGGTACTAGTTTCACCAACGCGGCTAGGAAGGATCAACTTCTCCTTGTCGGCACGATCGGAGAAGAAACCTGAGAGCTCTCTGACGAGCGAGGTGTTGGTAGGTGATATGTCCTCAGGCGTGCACGATCGTGGGCTTTTTCCATTGGATTCTCTTTCTGAGTGCTTGCGTAACGGATAACGGCGCTTCAATTTCAGAGATGTGCGTCGCAGGAAGAGGCCTGCGGGAACTCCATCGTCCATGGACTCATCAGGGGTCGTATTGAGGAGCTCCACGGCCTCTGCTGCGGTGTCGCGTCCGTCAAAATGAGCATCAGGCAAGAATGCCGGGACCTGGGTACCAGCAGGTCTTTGTTCAAGGCCGCCACGGGTGCTGTCAGTTGGTTTTGGTAGTGGAGTCAATCGTGCGGATGGTACTGCCCTCGCAATCCTGGCAGGCACTGTCGAGTGACGACTCAAACCGGACTTCTCGGAATCATGGTTTGTGGATGTCCGACGTGAAGGCAACAAGGCCATCCATGGAGGCATCCAGCGAGGCCCATCTCTTGTAGGACCGATCTTGTTCGCCTTTGGATCAAGCGGACGACTGATGGAAACGACTGAAGCGGCTCCGTCCAAAAGGTCCCGCGGCAACCTGATGCTTTCAGGTTCGACTGGTGATGTTTTCACGTGTTGCTCAAGTTTGGGAATCGACTCCGGTTGACTGCGGCACCGAGAGCATACAGGTGGATCTTGAGTGATCATCCCTTGCTGGTGAGGGTGTCCTTGAACATCGAGGTACGAAGGAGGCGGCAAAGGGGACTGTGATCATTAGCTTTTTTGGAATAGCTTCCATTGATCAATTCTTACTGCGCATATCAGGCATGAGAAGCAACTCCAATGCCACTAGCACCATCCAAACCTCACTGCATCAGTCTTGCGGAAGACTACCTCTCCGCAGCGCCAGCAGATACTGTTGTTGTGGATCCATTTCCAACAGTCAACGCAGACAATACGGCTTTGATGGCCAAACGTGTGGGGTGGCGGGTCGTGTTCAGTCCAGCAGACCGTGCAGAGGAAGGTATAGCCTGTTTTTTGATCGGCTTCGCGCTTTTTAAGAGGTTTGCTGGCAGGTAAGGATGATAGTACTGCTTTGTGTAAGGATCGCTCTAGAGGTACAGATGATGAAGAAGTTGACCTAGACGCAGTAAAGGGATGCTGTTTGAATGCCATGAAACAAGCGTTGTATGTAAGAATTGACAGTAGTGATTGAAAGCTGGATAGGAATAGTGAGAGAGAATGGAAAGCAGTCCGAGATGTTTGACTTCGATGAAAATGAGTATGTGTCTTCCGTGCTCCTTCCTTCACACAATATCCCGTCGCCGTTGCCTCCTACCTGCCGATAGTCACTTCAACAGCTCCGGCACCCAGCCCTTTGAGTCGTGAATCAAAATCCCCAATAGCTCTTGACCAGGTAGGCGGCATAACCACTCATTCCAGCCACAAAGCCCAGCGTGCCAAAATATCCAATCGGTCTTCCCCAACCAAGCGAGCCCTGACTCTTCAAGCCGAGCTCGACATGAACGATTCTGAACAGCAACAAGGCCGCCAGGGATCCGGTTATTGTTCGTCGATTGCCACCGTTCGCTTCGGCGATGGCTGCGACGAGCAAAGCCATAGGCACATTTTCTACGAAATTGCCATGCGAGCGATCTGCCACGAGTAGTTTCTGGTCGTCATCGCCTTTGGAACCCAAGTATGTCTCCTTGTGAGATCGGACGGCGCTGACCTGTAGATTCAGGTAGAGATAATAAGCCGCAAATGCTAGGGATGCATTAGATCACGATACCGTGATGCTTTGGAAGGAAAGAGACCTACCCGGAGCAAAAGCCCCCGTTACAGGAAAAAGCTTTGGCACCGTGATACCGACTGTAAGACGATGTCAGTTGACGTGCTTGCAAGCTTGCATTGAAATCAAGGGCGAGGCCTACCTGGGACCGACATGTTTTCTACTTGCGTATGTCTGCTGTGACTGCGGATGGAGTTGCGAAGTGAGACGTTTGAAAATCCGTTTTTTCGAAGAATGTCCAAGGATTGATAGACTACTGAGTCTTTATCTTAAATCTTAACCAATTCGAAGTACAATCACAAAGCCAGTGAATGGTAACGTCATTTCTAGATCTGTCGCGCTATGCCGTCTGCTTCCCATTTCGGCTCGGTTACTCTTTTGCCGACCTGCGGCATGCTCAATACGAAGCTTGCTATTCGACGGTCAACGCGTGGGTTGTCAAGACTAATACAACAGCCCCTGTCACAATTCCCCTTTCATAGCAAGTGCCCCTGACTCAAGGTAACTGCGACCACCTGGCCGCAGATGGGGGCCTAATCACCTAAAAAAATATAAAAGTAACAAATCCTCATCTCATCGATAGTTTCTGACACTATTTCATCCAAAAATGCAAAAACAATCAACAATACGGATTCGCTGGTGGTCACCCACCCAACTACTAACGTATCGGCATATGGCTTAAGTACGGCTGAGCGAACGGGAAGCCCTGTGTTCCATATCCTATGGTCGATTGCGAAAGAGATTTTGCAGCTTCGTCATATCATCCTCACTTTTCAAACTTTCGGCACTTTAGAGTGATTGCGGCTGGCATTTGACTGATTTCCTGCTCCTGTAGCCTCTTTCGACATTTTACCCCGTGCTTCCATGGTTGATTGACCTTAGCGGAACCCTGGCCTTCAGGCTTGAACGCGAGGACACGAACGAAACTCCAAGTGCGCACAGAGACAAAGACACAGGACACAAGTATTTGAGATCACCAAATTAAAAAGAGTGTATTAGCTAAAACCCAAGCCAAAGTCCATGCTATGCTATTTGTCCAACCCGCGCAAAATCGGAAAACAATGCCTCCCATGTCTACAAACAATGCCTCACTTCCCGTCGCCATGCAAGAGCCAAAAATCCATCTTCACCGTCCCGCCATGTATCGTCCAGCCTTAGACTCTTTTAGTAAGAAATGTTGCAGCGGATCAAGCACTCCTCGATACTGTTGACCAAAGGAGGAGGGATGGCTTTCTTGAATGCAGCAAAGTTGCTGCCGTCAATCTGCTTGGGGAATCCAAGCGTAGCGTCAATGACTTCCGAGTCCAAGGCGAAGAAGTTCTGGGCGATGGAGCTGGCGCCCGGGTCCTCCGAGTTCAGACCGGCGATGGCCACGGCCGGTGTGCAGTCGAGGTTCTGCTGGAAGTGAATAGATCCCATGGGGAAGACGGTACCCTGGAACTTGGTGAGGGTGGTGTTGAACTCGGTGGTCAGGCCGTTCTCCAGAACGAAACCGGTGAGCAGGTTGTTGTCAGTGGCCAAGGTCAAGAACTCGCTGGCGCGTGGGTGGATGTGGGGGGTGTTCAGACCGCAAGGGTTGAAGAAGATGGCAGCCGCGGAGATGCCCAGGTCCGTCAGGATGGGGAAGTTGGCGCGGTTGGCAAGATCGACTTGGCCACCCTTACCTGGCATAGCAGGCGGCGGGTTGGCGGCGATATTGAAGTCGAACTTCAGGCTGACGTCGCCGGCATCGATTTCCTTCTGGATGTCCTTGAAGCGGGAGACGGTGCTGTCGGCTGTGAGGAGCTCGGCAACGACACCGCTGCTGGGGCTTGGGTTGGGAACCACACTGGCGCTGGTGCTGCTGGAGTAGCTGCCGCTGCCGGAACCCCAGCTACCGGTACCGCTGGCATAGCTGCTGGTAGTGGTGGTAGTCCAGGTAGCCGACTCGTAGCCGGTGCTGGAGCTGCCCCATGAGCCAGAGCCCATGGGCGTGGCATAGGCCGCGGCCGCAAAGGCAGCAACGAGGACTGTCGTAGAATGCATTGTAAATATGTTGGTTTGGCTTGATTAAAGACTTTGGTTGAGTATGAAAATCGTTGTTGTTTGTTGCAAGAGAGCGTGCGTTAACAGTTGAGGAAAGAAATATTAGAAAATGGAAAGACTGAAGATGTTTTGTTGTTTAGAATGAATGAGCTGATGATACTTTGGATTTGAGGGCGTGGGAACTTGCTCTTATATACATGCCTGCTCTGTCTTCGACAATGAAGCCTTGAGATTTCCGGCCTATGGTCGGAGCACCCAGCGCAGTGGCAGGGTAAGCAGTGTATCTCCGCATAGCAGGGACCAAAGTAAGCTCTTCGAGGCGACATTCTCGGCAGTGAGACCACGAGGCGGTGGCTACTGCGGCTCCGGCCAACGAGGCACTGTTCTTGGCCAATAGCCTAATTAGTGCTCACCGTGTTTTCCGGTAACCGAGCATGGAGAGACCCGCACTGAAGAGCGCCATAGATAGAGAGCAGCAGGAGGGTCGAGGATTGAGATGACAATTTCCTTTCGTGGCTCGTGCAGGGCTGGGAAAAATGAGAGAAAAACGAGGGAAACTCGTGCGAGCTGAGGTGAAGATTCTCGTCCTTTCTGCTTACAAGTATTTTGGGCGGCGTAATTCGGATTTAGATCACTGCCTGTAATCAGATACGCTTGTCCCTGGTCAGGATCCAGTGGGATCAGTATAGCCATTGGCCACAGCAAGGCATATTCCAGCCAGTCGGCAATGATAGCTGCCGAACCGTGGAGAAGGCCTTAAAAAAGGTACAAGTCAGAAATAAGACAGGCAGTGTACCCATAGCCCATGCTGCTTCGTGCGTTTGAAAGAGGAAGTCCATGGCCACGATCTGACAGTGGACAGAAGGACCAACATAGAAGCACCGCTGACGTGTTCTGGCTCTGAATCGATGAACGGTCATTCTGGGTCTTGTTCTCCGATAGGCGATGCTGGGTGAAAGATCTCGGCTGACCTCCCGATGGTCACGTTTCTTCAAGGTTGTGGGAAGGGACTGAGACTCCGCAGTACTTGTACAATATGTACCGTGAGAAGCGGTGCATGGCTGACCAGCTGAGCTGTGTACTGTACTGCTCCATGGGGTAGTCCATAGCAGGCAGCAGGACCTGACTGCCACGCTGCAGTATTGATTACTTGCGGCAATCGTTCGAACACCAATGTGCATGAATTCATCCGTGTCGTTCGTGTCAGCAACATTCATGTTGTGTTCAACCTGGAACCTAGAGCAATGGCGGAAATTGGCCATTACAGTAATGATTCAAAAGTGCAATAGGAATACTCCCAAATCTTCATTGTAAGCCCAATCTCCTGTAAGAGGCGCTTCCAAATGCTTTCCCATAATCCCTTGGGATTGATGCCAATCGTCTTCCGGCCCTTCTAGACCAATGTTATTGATACAGTGCTCATTGAGAACCCTTCCGCTTCTATTTTTGCAGGTTCTGGACAAAAGAGTCCAGGTTGAACTCTTCCTCGTACTGCCTCTCATCCCAGAGTTCACCCACGTCGTCGAGCCAGCCTTTCTCACCTTTCTTCTTCACTTCACCAGTGGCCATGTCGACCATATCTTCATCTTTGCCGCGCCCAGCATTTTCTGCACCAGTGTCTGAGGTCTCACCAAGGTTGAACAGATCCAAGATTTGATCTGTTTCCATACTTCCCAGTCCTGCATTCTGCTGGTTGACGACTGTCGAAGCAACGTCAATCTTGAATCGTTGCAAGTTCAGAATCTTTTCCTCTAGTGTGCCGCGAGTAATCAGCCGATATACGTTGACAACCTTCTTTTGTCCGATACGATGCGCTCGATCCATGGCCTGGATGTCTTTTTGCGGATTCCAATCATGTTCCACAAAGATGACCGTGTCTGCTCCTGTCAAATTCAGTCCCAGACCGCCAACACTCGTCGTCAACAGCAGGCAATCGTAACTTGGATCGTTATTGAACTGATTGACGATATTTTGACGTTTCGTAGCTTCCACACTGCCGTCAAGCCGGAGGAACTGAACACTCGGGAGAAGTTTTCCAAGCACTTCATTCTGGACCATATCAAGCATCTCTTTCATCTGGCAAAAGATCAAGGCCCGGTGCTGTGACACAAAATTCGACGCTGACATGTCGTTGGATTCGTTGGTTACACCAATACCGCAGTCGACCAGCAAATCTTTCAGGGCGGACAATTTTGGAGCGTGAGCAACGTCCCGCAAGCTGGACTTGGATGCGGCGAGTTGTTTCTGGATCGCTTCATACTGCTTGTTGCCTTCTTTGACCACAAGAGCCGGAGAGTTGCACAATTTTCGCATATACTGCAGAGCTTGGAAAATATGCTGTTTGGCTTCCTTGTCACCGGAGCCGACACTATTCTCCACCGTCTGTCGCTCTTTCTTGAAAAAGTCGTCAAACAGTCGTCTCTGCAGGTCGCTGAGGTCGCAATAGTAATTCTGCAGGATCTTGGGTGGCAGATCGTTCAACACTTCTTCCTTCAGTCGTCGGAGCAAGAACGGGAGGACTTGCTTGTGGAGGCCCTCAATCGCGAGCGCACCAGCCTCTTGCTCCTTAGATGAGGATTTCGCGTTGCGACTAGCAGCGATGGGTTTGGCAAACCGATCCTGAAACACCTTTTCCGTGCCGAGAAATCCAGGCATGAGGAAATCGAACAGCGACCATAGTTCAAGGACATTGTTCTGGATGGGGGTACCGGAAAGAATCAAACGATGGTTACTGACGATCTTCTTGACAGCCTGCGTAATCTTCGCTTTCGGATTCTTGATCAGATGCCCCTCGTCCAACACGCAGTAGTTCCAGGTGATTGGCGTCAGAACGTCGTTATCGTTTCGACAGACGTCGTACGACGTTATCACGACATCTGCGCTCTCAAGTTGTTGTCGGCGACTACCTCTCTCCGAAGGCGACCCAACATAAGCAACGCAGCTCAAAAAAGGTGCATATTGCTTGATTTCCTGCTGCCAGTGACCTGATAGTGTGGGTGGACATACGATCAGAGAAGGCAGGCGCTTCATGTCAGGTGCTTGCGTCTTCGCAAATTCTTCCGCTCGTATGTGATGATCGCTTGCCACCATACACAGAGTCTGAAGAGTCTTTCCCAAGCCCATGTCGTCACAGAGAATACCATGGAGGTTGTATTTGTTGAGGAAAGCAAGCCAGTTGACGCCATCTTGCTGATAAGAGCGCAGTTCTGCTTTGATGCCAACTGGAATCTTGAAGGGTTCCACTTTCTTCGGATCAAGCATTTGTGCCATAAATTTGCGCTCTCTTTCACGCCCTTGGAGTAGCGATTCTGGCATTCCAGGAGGATCGGGTATACCAGCTTCTAGCGGCACCAGCTTGACAAGTGTTGCGAAAGACGTGGTGGCGAGGAGTCGGATATCGTTGTTGGCGTCACTCATTCGTCCCAAGACTGGTACAATCAGGAAGATCACATATGGCAGAATCCTGTCGCCCATGGCGTGAATGAGATGATAAACACACTCAGTGATTCCTTGTCTGTCTCTCAAGTCCAAGGGATTGCTGATGTTTGGCAAGATTTCTTCCACCAATGCCGTCATGCCCTCAACCGAAATGACGCTACATAGCGTCGCGAAGCATTTGGCAGCACTGTACCTGATGACGGAAAGTCTGCTCCGCATAGCTTTACCGATTAGGGGGCTTAGCGATAATACCCAGGGATACAAATCTGCATGCAAAGTCGGCAGCAACGTCCGTAGAATGGAGAAAGCATCAACCAATCTTTGACCTTGTTCGTCGTCGACTTGCAAAGTGGCTGGATCCGCAGGCTGGATTGACTGACGGACAGGATCCTCGATGAGAGATCTGAGCACCGGCAATTTATCGAGAAGGGCGGCACCATATGATATCGCCAGGTCGTTCAAGGCGCTTTTCGCTCCACGTCGCATGATACTAGCTTCTTTGGCTTCTTGCTCGAATCGCGCAGCGTCGGGATGATCTTTTCTGTCTTCCTCTTTTCGCAAGGAGAGGACGAGATCTTCAAAGGTGGCGTTAGGCGGAAATTCAGGCGTCTCTGACGTGTCCACGCAGGTGAACTTGACCAGATTGGAGACAAGTTTGTCCAGGGGTCCTCGTTTCGGGCTGTTCGCGTAATAATCGATCAAGGCTGCAACCGCTGACCCAGAGCGAGCCTGCAACTCCTCATATTCCTCACTCTTAACACTGTCCATGAGACACTTGATCAATTGACCAGGCTTCTTTGGGATCTCGCCCAACCTTACGAAGATGGAAGCGACCCCGGCTTTGATAGCCATGTCACGGCTTTCCTTGATCTTCCGAGCTTCGTCTACGGCAGTCTTGGCATTAGCACGAGCGTCGTTGAGGTATTGTGTTCCTGATACACGCTGTGATGGTGTGAGGCCCTTGAGAAGTCGATCGAAATCCACTGTCACTATTCTTTCAGCATCTGCGAGGGAAAAGGCCTTCGGACCGGCACCACTCTCTCCTTGGCAGACTACTGCTATGGCCGGCAGTTTGTCGCGAGACACATGGGCGTTGTTTTGAAAGGCGCTGACGAGTGACTGACATTGGCCTCTGGCAGCTTGCAAGGATGATACAACGTCTGAGTACCACGTGCTGTCGTCATCGAGTACCTTTTGCAATTGCCCCACGAATACCGGTGTATTTGGAAGTTTGGTAGACTGGTTCTTGGCGATCTCCTCCAAGACCATTGCCGCGAATATTCTCGAAGACGAATTGCTGCAGCTGGTGATCGGCACGAGGCTTGTCCAGTAGGACACAACGGCAGCCACGTCATGCTTGCCTAGGAGCGAACCCAGTGCCAGCGAACAGGCTATTCTTGTCCGCAGCATGACCTCGACACCTACCAAGTCCACTTCGCCATGTAAGATGTGGCCATCCGTGTTGTGGGAAAGCTGCTGATTGGTTTCTGGCTTGTCCAATTTCCGTTTCTTCTTTGGTTGCTGATCGGAATCAGGCGTGTTTCTGTGTTTCGTGGCAACAGCGGCCATTGGAGCACCTGAGGGCTTTATGAGCAGAGACGCGTCCATAGGTATCGGGCTGCGGACCTGCCCAATAGGCTGAATTGCCGCCATGACCATTGGCATAATATGCGATTCCAAGCTAGATGCAAAAGTGGCCATGCCCTGTCGCTCCATGAAGGCAATGAGCGCCTGCCACACTTCGAGGGACATCCAGAGGACGCCCTCATTTCGTTCCAGGAGCATGTTCTGAAAGAGCAGCCGAGTGACACGACCTCCAACCCAACCCATAGTGCTGGCATTCGCCAGCCGCAGGAAGGTCGCCAACGCCTTGAGAACAGCCATCCTGACGGTAGTGATGGTGTGCCTGAAGAAGGGATAGAGGCGTGGCACAAGCAGCTCGAAAGACTGCTCAGGATCTTCGGCCGCATTCGTGCGCATCGCTTCTAGGACTTGGTCGTATGAGCATAAAGTGGCAAGAAGGTCCATAACAGCTCCCGTGCTTGCACTGAGATCATCTTGCATGTCGAGGAGACAATCCCACACCACGCTGATGAGTTGCCCAAGAGATCCCGCTCGCATTGTTGTGAGTTCACCGGCTATAGGAACCAGAGTTGCAGCGCTCACTGACTTAACGTCGTCATCTGTATGAGCGAGACCCCGAATCACAGCTGAGACGACCCCATCAATCAGGTCGGGATGTTGAAGAAGAAGATCCTTGCGCACGGCCACGAAATACCGCATACCGATCATGCCACCATGGCAGACCTCCCAGATCGGCTGTTTGAGTCCCGTGTCCCTTTGGTTGATCATTTCTTGTAAGAATCCATACACAGAGATAGCGATATCGTCTGGCAGCTGCGTCAATAAAGCACCTAATGTCTGACCAATCGACTCGCGTATGGGTGCAACGACTGTGTCGGAAACATAGTCGCCAAAACGATCAAGCATCAAGACACAGAGCAGACGGCATGCGATGTCGTCAAGCCAGCGACGATTTGCAAGATCATTCTCAGCTCTGGATTTCCCAAAACGTCGCGCTGCACCACGGCCATGGGCTCGTAATACCTCTCTCAAACCCATTGCTGCCCCATGACGAATCTCCCAATTAGGGTCGAAGAGGTCGATAGATAGAAGATCGCACATGACGTCAAATGGCCAGTCTTGGGAATGTTCTTCATCGGGCTGAATCAGCGGCTTTTCAATAACGGCATCGCCCTTGAATTCGGAGACCAGTGCTGTGCCGTCGTCAGGGCCTTCTCGTTTGATGGAGAAATAGTCCGATTTCGAGTCACCGTTGGATTCTTCGTGTCCATTGAGTTTGACCGGATGAGGGGTTGCGGAAATAGGAGTCTGGCCAGGCTCGGACGGATGTCGACCGGAAAGGTCAACGACGCGCATCTTATTGCCCCCAGCCTTCACAGCATTCTTGTTCTTGCGCTTGAGCTGGTTGAGCTGTCGCTTGCTCAAGCCAAAATCACCTATCACAGCCTGTCCATTGTTTTCCGATGGAGACATTGCGGTGAACGGAGAGCCTGAGCTGAAACTCTCCTGTCGTTGAGAAGTAGACTTGGTGTCGATCCGTGACACCCCAGGCGTCTGAGCCGCCTTGTGCTGTGAAGCAGCGGCAAAGTCGTGCTCGTTGACAAGATCTTCTTCCATATACTCGCCACCCAGACCGAGCCTGGCAGTGAGACTCTGCTTCTGATGGGCCAATCGTTGTGCAGGCGTTAGGCCCGCCATTGAAAACTCGTACTCCTTGCCGGCACTACCCAGTAGCTTCTTGCCATGGCGAAGGATCATCTTGATATCGAGCGTGACCAGCTGGAGAAGATCGTCTCCTTCTGCGGGTTTGTCCTCGACCTTGACTGGCTGATCCTCATTTTTGAGGGACTCGGGCTTGGTTTCAACATCGTCGGCGTTAGGATCGAACTTTTCAGCATTTGTTACGATTCCGCCGATAGCTTTAGCAGCTGCTGTACGAGTATCCCAGGATTTTGACTGGAGATAAGGCAGAACTCTGCCCAACAGGGCAAAAAGATTGTCTGGGTTTTGTTTCTGGACATCGGCGAGTTGCTGAGCGGCCGTATTCCGAATGAGTTGGGTGCTGCCTTTGTCCAGCAAGCTGCAGTAGAGGTTAGTGACTCTCTGGGGCTTCTGTCATCCTCATCATTCGTGTGAGATGAGAAGGAGTAGAAGGATGGAACTCACGTGACCAGTCTATCAAGCCTGTTGCAAAAGTGGTTAGCGAGCTTGGCAAGCCAGATCCGTGAAAGAGGAAAGAGTGTCAAACCTTGAATTGGCCATTTTGCAGGGCCGTAGTCGATCGCCTAGGATCAAATCATCCGCATATCGACTTCAACTTGTGTCCGACCGCCATCAACTGCGAGAAATTGGGTAGATAAATCCCGGATTGTGATAAATGAGTTCACACTGATAAAACAGTGATGTCAAATTGAAAGAAACAAGAACCGCGTCCTGATTAGAAGAAAGGCCTGCAAAATGAAAATATAGGGACAAATGGACCTCCGTAGTGATGATACCCGGGCAGAGCCTTGCTTCCGAAGGGCAGAAACGCGGTCAGGAAACTTGAGATTGGGGGGCGCGGCGATGGTTATGAGGGTCTGGAATGGCTTTAAATCCTCGCTTGCTCAGTCGCAGCCTGCAGGCGCCCCCCTGGCCTCTGATTGCTCTTTCCGTGACCTGCTAGGCCCCCTTAGGCCACGCTAGCACCACTCAAGCTTTTTGCCCATGACTCTTCTTGGCAGTATCTTGCCTTCGACATGCCACTGACATGTTTCGCCGCTGGGTCGTATCTTCTATCATTCTTTTCTCAGAATCAAATCAGACAACGCCCGAGCATCGTCCGTCTCCGTTATTTACGCACCAAAGGTCGGTTTACGATGCACCCGAACGCTTGTGTCTACAAGGCATGATCTTGGGTAGACAGAGCTCAAACTTCTGATGCACTTGAGCAGGACTTTGAAGGCGCATTACGCGGCCCTCATGTCAAAGGTAATGTGCCAGTATACGCAGGAACCACGGGCCTACAAGCCTTCAAACCTCCATTGTCTATCCAGAAAGATTTCGATACTACCAGGGATACTCTATGGGCCGCATCCAGTAACCATACCTACCTGGTAGGTATTGACTGGGGAGAGTCACTTCGAAAGATGCAGCTTTGGCCGAGTTCTCAGTCCCTTGAAAAGCGCTGAAGCTGAATGTTCTCCTTTGTTTCACGTCCGAAGACCGTGATCCGGAGTAAACAGGTGCCGCTTCGAGACAAGAGTTGTTGTGATTGTGATGCTTCTCCATCGGTAAAGTGCTTGAAGGGCTTGTTTTGCGCCTCTCACAGGTCCCGTCAATATGTACAGTCCGTAAACTACCTGAACATCATGATTGTTCATATCTATCTCTTTAAAGTTGCACTTTCTTCTTTAGCTCTCATGCTGGGCTGGTTTGTAGTATCGCCTTGGTCTCATCCTCTTTCCCTATCAGACCCAAACTTCGAATCTGGCCAACCTTGGGTGCGTTTTCGCGTGGGGATGCCGCCTCGGCCTTTCGTAGTGCGTTCTGGATGGCAACTGTGCGCGCATACTAACATGAACAGTCAACATTCCTGTCCCCTGGACAACTCAAAAGTACTGGCAACCAACCTCTTTCTTGTGGTGCAGGCACTCGTAGTAGTCTTCTAACCGCGGTGCACATACACCTCTTTTCCTCGCTTCGGGATCATTCTGATTGATAACGTAACAGGACATGTATTCTTGCCAGAATGGGAAGCATCGAGAAACACCTGAGATTCGCACACAACGTCAGTTGAGGTCTTCCAACAACCCATTTTGCGGCGGCTGTGGGCAGGCTCCCAAGAGCACAGCTACCACATCAGGGAAACTAACCTCCAGTCAAGCCGTAGCCGGATGCCATTCTGACCAGGTTTCCTTTGCTATACGATGTCCATTCACTGCACAAGCGTTGCGGCAGTCGCAGTGATGTAGAATGGTGTGGAGTTCAAGTCGTTGGAGCTGCGGTCGAGCTTTAGCCTGCCAAGTGAGTGGCTGGGTCATTTGAATGATTTGATCTCGAGCGGCATATAAAATGCACATTCATAGATGTTTCATAGCAGTATATCTTCCACGTCAGACACCGACTTTTCTGCGCTTACAAGTGAACCAATCTCGTTGGTTCTATTCGCCGTCCCTGTCCTTTGATTCATTCATTATTGTGATCTCAAAGGAGTGCCCCCGCCCCAACGCTAGAGGCTTGCTGCCTGATCAAAGTCACACAAAGGCAAGGCATGTTGCTCGCTAAACACATTGCAGGCTGTGCAATGCGCAGAATGACGCTCAATGACACTAGGCACATCTCTGCCTGGGTGCTAAAAGACTGTGGGAGTTACTCCAAACTGTCTGCGGCTTAGATATTTGAGCATTTGCCAACATATACCTCTGCTCTTGAGGAATTGTTCATACTTATATCCGAACCAACCTCGCCTTGTCGAAAGGAGTCGTGGGACAAGATGAATCGCATCACAGCGTTCAAGCTCCCTTGTAACGAGCAATTGGGATGCACTCTTTTCGATAACTTTCCTGGGGAAATCCGTGACCGCATATTCACTTTCGCTCTAAGTTGCTATGACGATCAAGCCAGAAAATGGGACAGGAACAGTTCCTTCGTGAGACCAGACTACAGTGCACCCGAGGTCGCCGACACTGCACTGCTTCAAACGTGCCAACGGATCTATGCCGAGAACTGGTTCAGGCCATGGATCAGCGCTATCCACACATTCTATCTAGCAGCACAAGGGCGCAAACCGGATGACAAACATGTCATGTCAGTGGCTAAGCTGCAGCCTGCGCTCAACCAACTCAATGCCGCCCATGGAGAAGTTGAGATCTCACATGTCAGAGTGTTTCCCCAGCTATACGCGCTCGAACCCGGAAAGGAGATTGGTAATATTCTCAACATGGACAACTTCTTTCCACGCAAGCTAACAATTACAATCCGACACCATGATTGGTGGTTTTGGGAGCAGGACGAGCGCCTTCTCATCAGATCCTGGTGGGTCAATGTTTGTCGCTTTCCAAGTAGTCTCAGTGAGATTTGCATGGAACTCGAAAGCTTGCAAAGGAAGGAGAACCAGATTGATTGGATAGCAGAGGAGATGACCAAGGCCTGGCACTTCGAAAGAAAGGACGGCACAATCTTATCCGCCAATGGTGGAGACTTCAAAGTTGATCTTTGGAGTGGGAGCTCGACTTGGGAGCGCACACGCTGGCTTCGAGATGAAACACAACCGGGAACCAACGATTACTACGTCAAGACTGTCATATGGAAGCCCAACAGCGCAATCAGCGAACGCCCGTGGGCATACGATCTGCATGTTCCGCATACATTCTCTGTCATTCGCCGTGCGACCCCATCCCTGTCTGTTTCCCTCATAGAGGAAGCGCAGGTTCCAGCGGGCTCGTCGGCTCAAGAGACCTTGCGACTTGTCCAACAATGGCGGGAAGACCACCGTGAGGTTTATGGTGGTATTTATGATGATGATATCACAGAGGATGACGACGATGGGAATGACGAGAATGATGAGGATGGCGATGACGATGACCGTAGTGACTGGATAGATGCAAATGGCCCCTCAGATGAGGAAGGTAATGAGCACTTATTCACATGATGTGCTTGAAGGTCATGATACGGAGAACGACACCAACGCAGTGGACGGCCATACATACAACAGTTCGGAAGACGCTCATGAGGGTGTTCAAGAACCAGAAATAGGCGCAGGCTGTACAGCAGGGGATGGAAGATGCTGCTGCAGCGATGCTCCTCAACGGGCCGACAGTCTTACCACAGATGCCACCTGGTCCATCGTCGTCAACTCCTGCGACAACATGGCCAGTGGCATAATGACACAGGGAGTGCTCTGCATCATTCAAGCTGGCTCCTTTTTATTTCTTTTGTATAAGTACTTAGCCAAGGTATAGTCCGTACAGGTTGGAAGTCCTCGCTCCTCACCACGTAGTAGTATTATCCGTGACCATAACCTTGACCTTATCGATAAGAATTTTGATGCAAGTCCTGGAAAGAGGTGTCACGGCCAGATTTCTCCGACGTGCAGCCTGCGGAGAGACAAATGACGCTCCACGTATCCTCATCCTTTTCCCAAGTATGTTTACCTTGACGCGTTCATGTTCAATATGACAGCATGAGGCCAAACCGACGAAATGGCACCTTTGAGCACATCAACGGACGCTCATGTGGTTCTCTTCGCTGCCCAGCTGACTTCTGAAGGGGACTCGGAAGAGCTAGGGAAACTTGTCCGCAGCCGGCGCAATGTCCTGCCCGACGACCTGCTATATCGACTTCTACTGTCCTTTTATCCTGTCGATACACCTGAACAAGCTGCACTTGTTAAGTTCCTCGACGGTCTTTCCGAAAATCCTGAGGGATCCGAAGACCTCCGTGACTTCAAGCTTGATCCCTCGATATCCAACCTTTCGCGCAACGACGCATTGCAGCGCTGTCGAACGCTAAGACTACAGCGACTTCCCCAGCACATCGGTCGGAAAACCAGCAGCAGACTTGCAAATTTCATAATCGAATGGACCAAACGTCTAGAGTCTCTCGCTGGGACAGTCCAACCACTCGCAGAATTCGTCGAACATTTCGTCGCACAGGATCCTGAGTTGCAGCACTGGTATCAAACCTATCTCGTTCCCGTCCTCCGACTGCAGTGTGACTTTTACCCGGATGCGCAGGATCTTATTGGCGTGCAAGAGTTGGAGACTTTATCGGTCGAACGAGGTATTAAGACCATACTGCGATATTCCGAAAGGACACATAATGCCAAGGACATTGCTAGAGATCTAGACAACGTCGTAGCGCCCTGGGTACATGGCGCGACTGGAGCAAAGAGGAGAAAGGTCGATTCAGCGCAAGACGCTTTGGAGGGGGGAAGGCCCTGGGAGATCGTCAATGACTGGCTCATCACCGAGAGCGTCAGGAACTATGAGCTTGCAGCAAAGGCATTTGATGAGTGGAATGGTCCTGTCCAAGTACAAGAATCCTCTGATGAAGGTGAGCTGGTCGCTCGTTATGCTCAAACGGGCCTTGCTCTCGTCTACAATTGTCCACAGAGCACTCGCGAATCTATTGCAGTCTCTCAAAGGGTAATCAGCAAAGCTTGCAACCTGACTGGACTTGAAGCGACAAAACTTTCTTCATCCTACCCTGACATCGATTTACCCAACGATTTCGAAGTCGAAGAAGCGGACCTATTTCCCGGTTCGCTATCTCATAGTACAAATCGATTCACACAAGTCAACGACTCATCGGTTCAATTTCTGGTTGGTTTGTTGGGCACCTCTGCCATTTTATTGAGTATAGGACTACCGTCATCGATCAGTGAGTTGGCCAGAGTATGTGCCTTCGGTTCAGAACGGCGCCACAAGGAGGAGCTTGGTCGACTATTGCAGCAAATTCCTCGGCTGACTCGCAAGGAAATCGATTGGCGTTCTGTGCGCCGGCAGTTACTATGGTTGAGATCCTGGTCTGATAGCCCGGACGCGAGCTCGACAAACCGTCGCGTTGCATATCTGGGTCAGCTTTCCGCCGACTACGCAGAAAGGCAGATCGTCGATGCCTTTCTTGCCGCTGGTCAATACGACGCCGTCAAAGAGGTTTACATTCATCCCGAGTCTGCACCCTTACCTGTTGCCGAAGTCGAAAGCCGCATAGTCGCTGCGATATACGAAGCATACGACAACGCAACGAATGGGAACAGAGATCGTGGCGGTATGAAGCGGGCAAGCGAGATACTACGAGCCTTTAGACCTCATTTCCCTCAATCCACCGACCTCGCAGACATTGACCATCTAATCAGAGCCACGCATAGCCTTTCATTCTATCACTTGACCTTACAACATGGAGTCCCCTTCAAGCCCGTTGCTATACGAGTGCAGAAGGACCCTTTGACCTTGCTGGAGAAAGTGTTGGAGCAGGACACAAAGGCCTATACCAAGCTGGATGACCTTTTGGAAATCGGCAGGAATCTGGTTCGTGCCCATCTTCCTAATCGAGATGCATTAGCAAACGATCTCGATCCTCTTGAGCTACGAATCTCCGATGCCGACCACAGGATAACATATCAAGCCATCATGGCTGCGCTTACGGCGAATGATTTCGATACAGCCTACGCTTATATTACGACACGCCTACACACTACACCGAGCCAGAGCCTATCTACTAATTCTACTGACGACGTGTCCTGGCGTGCCGCGTATGCTGCTGGCAGATATCGTCCAACTTCTTCGCCCAAGAACCTCAGTTCCCGCATTGATAGCTTAGCTCAACGGATGGAGCTCCTTTCACGAGCCTTGATGCTGGCACCATCGGGGGAAGCACTATCGGGAATCCTTGCTACGTGGCGCCGATATGAAGAAGAGATGGAGGGTTTGAAGACACAGGCGGTGGAAGAAGAGCGATCTTTCGATGCCAAAGCTGATGCTGCACTGCCGGGAGCATTTGGACTTGAAGACCGTGATGCAGACATGGCTGAAACCAGACGTGCAATGGCGCGGCGGAATTTCCCAGCCTCGCGTGCGGGTCCGTCTTACGAAGAGGAAGCACCAATGGGTCTCTTTGACGTTGCAAGAGGAGCTGCCACAGCTCTACGGAAAACTGCGGCTATCCCACTTGGCTCAGGAGGCCTGCGAGATCTGAAGATAACGGAAGCGGGTTCAGGAGCGGAATGGGATGCGACCTCTGCTGCTTCAGCTGAAGGTGGGCGGGTCCGAAAGAGAGATGTGGTCGCCAACATGGTCACCAGTGGCCTGGCCAGTGGCATGGGATGGGTTCTGGGTGCGCAGCCACGGGATAGAGTTGATCAAAGTCCTGAGTACGAATAATGAGCTGATACTGCGCTGCTGAGATGGAGTGGGTAAGTGGCTGTTTGCCTCTTTGTTCATTTCTGCTATAGCACCTTTTCAAGCCCAATTAATGTCGAAAGACAGCACAGAGACGATCAACTGAGCGCTAGATGAGCGCAGCTGTATCGGTCGTGGGATTGTGCATGAGAGCATGACATACCACCTGCCGCTAATTTGGCGGTGTCTGGCGTGTTCTACAATCACTCAATGCCCTCAATTTTCCAAAAGAGACAACAATGTCCATTCACTTCCCTCGCATGCCTGATTCTTTCTCATCTCGTCCCCTCAGGACTCTTCGATCACATCTCCTAGTGCTTCTTGCATCAGAGGTTGACTCTTGTTCATCACTCCTCTCCACATCCTGACCGTCGTCGCCCTCACCGTTGCCGTCGTCATGCCTGCGGTATCACGACCTCTGCGGCAAGATGCAGGCCCTGGCGCCAGCGGTAACGCTAGTGGCATTGGCTCTACCGTACGCACCTTCCTCATCGTTTTCGGCATTGCTGCGGTGGTCGGCATGCTGGGATCTCTCCTCTTTGCATTCATCAGGCCGAAATTTCGCAGGGATCGCACTGGTCGACTAGCACCGAACAGACTCCCTACCTTTCATATCGGCAACAGAAACAGCTACCATTTCCCAACCCATCCAGCCTTACTGCGAGGTTTGGACGGTAACGCATCGGCGGCTATCCGGCAGGCAGCTCGATTGTATGACCCAAGAATCACAACTGCATTCCCTAGTCATCCGACGGAATTGACTACTATCGGTCGTCGCTCTCCTCCGCAGTCTGAACACCATGTCGGTCCTATTCTTGGCATCACCAACAGTAGCAGCAGTGATGGTCTCTTCACACCAGCTAGGGATCGTCAAGCGGATAGACAGAAGGAATACACAAAGTGCCCCCCACTACATTCAACAAAGACGGTCGGAACTGGTCAGAACACGATCAGCGCTTCCAACGGTACACACGAATACATCCTTCCGGTTCCTGAACCTCTTGCTCTGAAACCACGACCAGCAGGCCGCCCACCACCGTTGACCAGACAGCTCGAGAGGTTCCCGATGCCAACAACTGGCTTGAGTCGATCCGGAGGGTTTGCACGCCCTGTTAGACTGTTCGATCAGCAACCTAACATCAAGAAAAAATTGGACGTGCTCAATACTCCTTGTCCAAAACCTGGTAACAGCAAACGTACCAATGGAAAGGTCCGGTCTTTCTCAGATGACACTCAACAGCCATCAGAAAAGCATGTTGATATGGCAGCACCTGCACAAGGCCCTAAGCCACTGAACACAGCGGCCTCACGAGGAAGCAAGGAGACCGAGGAAGAAGAACAAGAGCCCAATGATAAGCCAGCAATGCTCACGGACGAACCGTTTCCGAGGAGTCAAAGCTTGAATCGAGCCGGTACAGTGACTCGACCGAAAACACCTGTCTCGGAACTTCGTCAGTGGTTTGACCGCACCGCAGGCGGCACCAAAATCGACCATTCGCCATACAAACGAGCCGGAACTGCAAGCAGCAATCCCTTCACGACCCCAGGACTGTCAACAACACCTCGTACTTCGCCAGAGCAAGTGACAAAAACAATCACAGCTCAGTCAACCCCATTTCAGGCACAAGACAAGGACATTTTGAGCATTGTTTCCGAGGCTGAGTCTCTTGACCCATGTGCATTGAGACGAACGCCGAGCTCTGTCGCACTCCCACCTGCGCAGCGGGTCGCCACAAGTGGACATGCTGTGACAGCGAGGACGACTGTCAATCGTCTAAGCAAGGCATTGTATCCTGCGAATCTATTCGCCAGGCGCAGAGGAGAAGGAGCTAGCAATCTGGCACCCATCCCAAGGAGATACTCACATTCCTCGCTCTCAACCATCATGAAGCCAATGATTGATACTGCTAAGAGTAAGCCAAGCAATTGCGCCAGCAGCGTCTACAGTCACCATCCCGAACGCTTGAGTTTCATCAGTACGGGAAGCCCTGGTGGCACAGAGTTCGCCGACGAACATGCAGAAGCCACAAGTCACAAGGAGTTTGTCTCAGTCCCAGGTCGACAGAAGCAGCCTATTCCTCGCCGCAAGACCGGATCGGTCGACGTGCTCAAATCGAAGATCGATGAGTGGGATTTGCATACCGAGGACCTCGATGCGTCGGCTCTCCCTCCTGTTGCCATCAAGCGAACATTCTCGGACTCCGGTCTTCCTGTTGCTAGACGCCGTGCGGTCGAGGACGAGGATGTTCCCAGGCTTCCAGAGATCAGATTTGAACGAATGAGCATGTTGAGTGACGAATCATGGGTCACTATCGATGGACCAGCGCCAGGTAGTGCGCCTGGTGGTGCAGAATGGTTGTGAAGTGAAGCGAAAGTGAAAAATTGGGCTTGTACATAGGGGCTTTTTCGCCATGACACAATAGCAAATGATACTGTTTTCATGGATATGGCGTGCTCCTGGTATGCATCGTTAGAGGTGCAGTTCGATAGGCTTGGTAGGCTCCCGAAGTTCAGGGGCTATCACTATCATCGTTGACCACAGAGAGTGCCCCGTTTACATGTGCTTTCTAGACGTCGTTCGACGCTTGGAGCTCGTTAGATCTAACGGGATGAACTTCCTTGATGTCTACTTGAAGTCCTTCGCCTACAAGGCAATCCTTTTAGATCTTAACACTTGGGAGGCCTTCCAGCACAACTATATAAATCTAGTGTATTGTTGACAAGGTGCTCATTAGATTCAACTAGACTCACTGACTCGATATGCATTTAGAGTTCTTCGGCTACCACGCCATACCTTTATTTAATAACAACTAGATGACCACCATCTCTATCGATATAAGTCCAGTGCTTTGCCTTCGGGGAACCCGCTGCCACCAACCTACTGACCATTGACGTTGACATCTTTGTCGTACTCCACCTCTAATGGAGCTAAAGAGGGTAGATGAAGTACTTGTTCTCCAAGTCCGTAAGATCAAGCAACGAGATATCGACCTCGACCTCCGTCTTATTGCCATTGGCGTCGATCTGCTCGATAACGCCGGTTCGCGTCTTGCCCGCAGCTTCCTGCTGCGCGATCCAGGCGTACCGCTCCTTATTGCGGCGCGACAAGATGACATCAATGACAATGAGTATCAGGGGCGTGCCGGCCCAACTGATGACGATCTGAATGATCCAGGCAGGATAATACCTCGGTGCATCACTTGGCACCCAGATTTGCGGGGATATTAGGTTGGCGATGCCGTACCCAGCCATGAAAAAGACGTTGCGCGCAAGTTTCTTGGTGTAGCCTGCAGCCGTCGAAGTCGTCCAGCCAAGAGCAATGATGTATGTGATGCCGAAGGTGCCGCCCGCTAGAATGAGGCAGGCCAGGAGCGATTCCTTCCTGTTCCAGTCCAGAGCGGCCATGCCGATGCCGCCTGCTATAGCCGGCAAACACCAGAATGTGCCCCAGTATGCACGGCGCCAGGGGACGTATCGGAGAAGCAGGGTGGCGACGATACAGCAGGCCACGCTGAAGCCGCCGCTGGCCGCACTGACGAGCGTGGAGCCTAGATCATCCACTCCAATGGAAACGAAAAGTAGGTTCTGCTGATAGGCGATGTTGTTGGAGATCATGAGTGTGAAGGCTTGCAGGCCGAATAGCCAGGAGACGGGATCGCGGACGACTTCGCGCAGCTGGGATTGCTTGACCTTCTTGTACTCGATTGACGAGGTCGTCGCGTCGTGGATCCTGGTGACGAGGAAGAGTCTTTCTTCGAGCGACAAGAACCGTGCTTCGGCAGGGTTGTTGGGGTACAGGAACCAGGCGATGATGGACAAGAAGAAGGTTAAGCCGCCGGTGGTGATCATGAAGAGCTTCCAGGGTGCGACGGCGCTGTGGCTATATAGCAGGCCGTAGGCGATGAAGCCTGCTGGGATGGGCGCGCCCATACATGAGACCCAGAATAGGGGCTGTAGTATGCCTTGGATCTCCGGTACGAAGAACATACCCAGCGTTATTTCGATGGCTGGGACGACGGTGGCTTCGACCATGCCTAGGAAGAAGCGTAGTGGGATCAGCCCGCCATAGCTTGTGGCCGTGCAGTGGAGTAAAACGATCAGTGACCACAAGAAGATTGTCACACCCATGAAGCGGCCTAGGGGGACACGCTGCATGAGATAGTGCCCTGGAAGTTGTCCGATGATGTAGCCTTGGAAGATGATTAGCTTGGCTTGGTAAGAGGGGAATGATTGATTTGCCTGCGTAGAAAAGCGTGTTGAGGTTGTTGTACTGGCCGTCTCCGATATTGGTCTCTTCGAACAATCCCAGAATCGAAGCGTAGGCCAGGGTTGCTTTGTCGATCTTTAGGCAGTGTTAGTGACAGTGCCGAATGTGGTGGAGGCATGGTCAACGTACAAACAGCATAAGGTTGATAAGAACCAGGAATGAGACAAGACCGTAGTATAGCTTCCGATTCAATCTTCTTTGACCGCCGAGGTCAAGAGCATGCAGATCACCGCCATGGCCCTTGATCAGGTTGAAGGTCACATCAGCATCCTTTTCCGAAATGTGAGGTTCGGGCTTTTCCGTTATGGAACGCTGAAACTCTTTCACGGCAGCCATATTGATGCCGGATACGGCGGGACAACTGTCTTCGCCAGACTTATTTGATCTGCAAGACTTTCGACGGCCCGGTGAGCTTGACCTTACGGCTTAAATATATCTTTTGCTTCATCGTGAATGGATGTGCAGAGATTTTCAATATCTCGTGCTTGAAGGGGTTCTTCGCTCATTCGCGATATTCGCCATTTCTCGCGTCATTGGGAGAAAGTCATATTGGAGGCGATAGTGTTCACATGTGCGTCGAGGTGGGCAGGGTTTTAAGTCAACAAACATTCGACGATAAGCAGCATAACGGGGTCGAAACCGCCCATGTAGCCGCTGTGGGCCGTCCAGATCTGGTGACAGTGAGAGGGGATTACAAGTGGTTATCCCGAGCTGCAGGTTCATGGGTCCAAGCCTCGCAGCGCTGGATAGCTTCGTGAATTGTATGAGTGACATATCTCGCTGGATCATTGGACTGGTCAAGGTGTTGATGCATGTAGGTGCTCGTGACAATTTGGATCAGGGGCGTATTCCACCGTCGAGAGTATGGAGAACCGACTTGGTGTTCCTTCCGCTCTCCTTTACACACGCTGTTGCGCAGAGTGATTTTTGTTGAAGAATTGGGATGGGTGTGGTAAAAGCATGTCTATCAGAGGAGATTTTTCGGGGGATCGGACGCTTAATTCTGCATCACCCAAAGCTTAACTAAATGGAATATTCCGCCCCCGTCCACCGAACGTCGTTAAGATTACAGCGATACTAGACTGTGCTGGCAACGTTGCTTTGATGCTCTTGCAGTTCCAGAGATTATCGCGCTGGAGACTACATGGCTCACCGAATGGCAGTAGCAGTCTCGTTGAGATTCTGATGCACACCGCATCAATGGACTCGGGATGGCTTCAGGGCTGCATTCCCGCTGTGCTCGAGCAATCATAGGAATTGCCTACGTGCTGTACTGACTGACCAACTACTAGCCCCATCTTGCGCGCTTTTCCCCAGTGCAAAGATTTTGCCCCAAGAGGCAAGATCACATCAATTTCGGTCAGAGTACCGAAACAAAGCAGGCATACTCTCCGGATCTTTGATACCGATGTCGCCATTTCACTCAAGAGCCAGGTGGGCTGATATCACACGAGGCTGGGTACCATGCTTTCGGAGTTACCCATGTCATTGCGACGTTGGGACTTGCCTTTTTCTATGCTCATGACGAGAAAACCTACAAGATGAGCAACAGTCGTGTTGGAAGCCATGTGCGAAAGTTTCACTCTATGGAAGTACCTCACGGGGAGAGTCCGTCGAGAGCTATCTATGCAATCGATAAACGTCAGGACATCATGCTCCAGTAGCACAGATTCCAGCCTTTCTTTGCCTCTATCACTGTTCGAAGCGTCCACGAATACTCTTCGAATGTCCTTCAGGTCACGTGCAAGGCTGTAGCAAAAGGGGTCATCCAGCGAAGGGCAGCATCGGAGAGTTGAAGATATACAACGGAATAGTGCATCTTGAGTGTTAGAGAGGACTGGAAAGACCTTCATAGGAGTAGAAGTTTTGAGGAAATCAACGTGCGCAGGCATGGCTCCGATCACTACCGTGCCGTATGCCTCCTGAATGCTCTGTTTGGCTGGTTGGGAAGCACGCAATCCTCCGCTGGATGGCGAAACACGTACACACCACCACGGCTCCCCGTGTCCCTACCTGACCGCCTCAACAAGTCGTGAGTCAAGCGCAAAGTTCAGTAATTGTGATGTCTCTCAATGTTACCAATTCCCAGCAAAGTAAAGCAAGATGACAGTGCCGCCAATCAAGTCAATAGCCATAATTGGTGCTGGTGCTTCAGGTATTATATAACCACATTGAGCTTTCCTGAAACTCAAACTCACCTTGCACTTTCTTTCGTGTAGGAGCGGCTGCCGCTGCAGCATTTGCAGCAGAGGCAAGTTTTGACCGGATTCGAGTCTTCGAGAGGCGGGAGACACCGGGCGGGACATGGTAGGCGAACACCATTCCATCCAGCCTTGCGACTGATACGTTGGTAACACGACAGGATATACGATCCTGGTCCCAAAGAGCTCGCATTCGTACCAGGGGCGTCGCCTCCGGATATTGACCCTCCTTTGACAATTCCGGATACTCTACCCAAGACGACCGCGCCGAGCTCGCAAGAACGGTTCGACCGGACGCCGATTTACGACGACTTGACGTGAGTAAAGCCACCGTCTTCCAACCGTGGGGCGTTGCGGGTGAGAGCTGACCCTCACAGAACCAATGTCCCAGCAATTGCTATGTGTCTCTCTGACATACCGTTTCCCTATGGACCCTTTACGCCGCACTGGGTACCACAACAGTACATTTCGAATTACTTCTCTTCGCACAGGACAGACTCATTACTGTCATTGAGCACCACGGTGGAGGATTTGTCAAGAATCCCTGCAGAGAAGCACTCTGGTAGGGACAGCTGGAAACTCGTCCTTAGACGCCATGATGCTGCAAGGAATGTCGATGTCTGGTGGGAAGAGAGATTCGATGCGGTGATCCTGGCTAATGGCCACTATTCGGTTCCAATCGTAAGTGTCGAATCATTTTGCAGTCGTGTCAATGATGCGCAGCTCATGCGCAAAAGGTGCCTCACGTAACCGGTCTGGACGACTACCGCAAACTGTTTCCTGGCAGAGTATCACACTCCAAAACTTACCGAAATCCGGAGCCGTATCGTAACAAGAAAGTCGTGGTAATCGGGAATTCAGCGTCAGGCCACGACATCACGGCAGCCCTCGTAGGAGTTGCTCAAGCACCTATATATCAGTCCCGGCGAAGTCGTTCGCGCTGGGATGGTCCGACGCCTCCCGAAGGCGTTGAATGGAAACCTGTCATCAAGGAGTTCCGGCCGAATGGCGATGTCGTGTTCGGCGATGGCTCCAAGTTATCGTCAATAGACGCTGTCATCTATTGCACCGGCTACCGGCCTTCCTTTCCATTCTGGAATGCTAAAGCCAACGGTGGCCCCATTTACGATTATGTCAAAGACGGTCTGATCGGGACTTACCAGCACACCTTCTTCCAGAAATATCCGAATCTGGGCATCGTCGGAATGCCACGCGTATTGACATTTAGGTCTTTCGACTACCAAGCTATTGCACTTGCTCGATTCTTTGCAGGAAGAAATGCTCTTCCACTCCCGCCACGAGAAGCACAGCAGCGCTGGGAGAAAGAGCGGTGGAAACTGGTCAAGCGTGAACGACGAAAATTCCACGACATACCTTGGGATGACGGAGAGACTATGGATTGGTTGCGGCTGCTCTTCGAGACGGCTGGTTTGCCATTGCTTGAAGGGCAGGGCAAATGCCCGCCGGTTCTCGGATACGAAACCCGATGGGCAATCGAGCACATCAAGAAATATCCCGATTATGGAGATGGTGATGGAAACAATCTTCGAAGGACTGAAGATGATGGCGATGAGTCGTGGACGTTTTTGAACCATGGCGACGTGAAAGATAGTCTGCATTTCATCTAGCGGGTGCTTGGTTGACATCAGGTAATATCAGGGGGTTATTAGGCGCACATACATTATTCGCGAGGTATGAGACATCTTGTCCGTTTAAAACCCCTGTTTCTGGAAATCTCGTGTTGCAGAGATAAACGACCCAATAGCTGACGGAGGTGAGGATTTGTGGCTAAAAGAGCTTGTCCCGAACGAAAAGAGGCGCTTGGGGTATCTTTCCTCAATGTTTCAACGTCTGCGATCTTCCCGTGCTGTTGATATCAGCGTTGCGGGAATTAGTTGTTCACTGCCACGGTGTTGTGCCACAGCAGGGCCTGACGCGCTCACAGCCGAAGTAAAAGATTCTTGTAAGTTGAGTCAGATTGTCACACGGGGATCGTGGCGGAGGGAGGCTGGCCCTTCTCGGCTGTTCCCACTTGATCTCTCTAAAAAGAACGTTGTGCGAAATATGGAGTTTTCTGGGCCTTGTGTCTTTCTTTTGCTTCGTTTGTTTCGCACAGGATCGGCATCCTGCATCGATCTTTGACGTTCTGCTTTCAAACATGACGGCCTTCTGCGCCTCTCGAGTGGATTTATTTAACTTAACGCCTGGGCAATGTGTTTCAGGCGAGCCTTGGCCACCATCGTGCCGCCTTGAGTCCAGCACAATATTGTGGGTAAGGCCTTCGACTATGCCAGGATCTTCACGCTATATGGGTGGCCTTGGATAACGTTACCTCCGCCGATGGAGCCGAACACCGAGCCATCGATGAAACAGCCCTGGCTGCGTTTGGATAAAATGAAGTGTTTGCTTTTTGCCGTGCCGCGGCCTCGAGATACTGATACTAACCCGATGACTTGACGAGTGTCTTGCTCTCTCCTGCTCTATACCTCTGTTGCTTCAAGACCGACAATTTCTCTACTACTGGGCATAGGAAGTCGTTTTTGCAGCAGCAATTGCACGCAATATGGGCCTCTCAGGGCTGGTAGGTCCTAGTCATCAGGTTGCTCAACAAATATTGATCTCTTGATAGTTATACTTCGCGTCTCTCCTCGTCGCATTCACTTATGCTTCACCGCTTCTAAAACGAGACCAATCAGTCGTATCAGGAAGCCTAGGAACAGATGAGTACTGGAACGACTATGATGGTGCGTTTGTCAAGGATGGACAAGAGACGGCATGCTAATGGCAACAACAGGCGGATTGAACAATTACACTCAATATGACGGAAACGGCTCAATAGGCGAAGGGTGGCCGTCAGCCTTGTCATGGGGTTCCTTCAATGATCTCTGGGTAGCGAATCAACATATCATCAGCCGGAGTTGTAGCCAGGTGTACGGCACACCCAACAACTCCGATCAGGAAATTCAAGACCTGTACAATTCCATCAAGCAAGTCGCCCATGAAACGAGAGTCGACAAACGCTTCATTCTTGCTGCGATCCTGCAGGAGACCAAAGGCTGTGTTCGCGCAAAGACGACTACATCTTCCGACGGAATCAAGAACCCAGGTCTCTTGCAATCCTTCAAAGGGAATCATTCTTGCAATGACGATGGAGAGGTACAAAACCCATGCCCGCAAGACCAGATCTTGGGCATGATATCAGATGGTGGTATGTTGATACGTTGGTACCGACGCAGATGATGTCGCTAACCTTTCCCCACAGTTGCTGGTACCGGTTCAGAACAGGGATTTGCGATCAACATCAACGCACAGGCAGACGTCGATGGAATTGAATTTGCCCAAGCATATTATCGAGCTGCGCGATTATACAACTCGGGTGCAATCGATTCGTCTGGCGACCTGGGCAAAGGATCTGCCACGCATTGCTACTCCAGTGATATCGCCAACCGTTTGCTCGGCTGGACGGACAGTGCCTCAACCTGTACACTAGACGATTGATCCACAGCAAGCAATAGTGACCGTAGGTTCCTTCTCAGAACGCCCAGCGCCACATAGAGAGAGAAGCCTGTTCTGTTGTCGCTGAGAAGCGTACTCTCATGAGGCCATCATGCAGCGACCGCTCTACAGATTGTGTCGACACGACGATTCTTCTTGTCATTTTCTTGCTTGGGTGCAATGCATTGAGGACATTCAAGGACGGTGACTCCAAGATGTCTCGCGGACGAGAACATACCCTGCACAAAGCACGTCACATCCGACTACAGTATCAGTAATCTTGGTCAGGATTGTGAGTTGGATCAATATGATGCAGAGATTATCATGTCCGATGGTCTTGAGGCTACAAAGCACGATCAAGATCGAGAGTGCTCTACAAGAGCAGACGGAGACGTCTCAGGGACACAGGAGTCAAGAGGACGTGGAGTACAAGTCTGTGGAAAGAACCCCAAGTATTCATTTCGTGTAGGTTCTTGAACCTGGGCATTGGTCGGGGGTGGGGTAATTAAAGTGATAGGATTAACGGATCGATAAAAGATATCATCATCATCACCCACCATCTCGGTCGGAGATAAGCACGGACGGGAATGTCGACATTCACTTCGCCTATCCGCAGCACCTCATCCTCTCCGCAGACTGCGGCTGACCTTATTCGACCCTAATCTATATTCATTTCTCTCTATCACGACTCCGTACTCTTTTGTAAAGTCCTAATACTTATGTCTCATCCCGAAAATGACCGCGAAGGCCTAAGCCCTTCGCCGTCGAATATTCTCGATATCTTTACTGGTGACGAGGACGAGGACGATGATATGGAAAGCTATCAACCTACCGAAGAACAAAGCACCGGTGCTAGTGGTTTTGGAGAAGAAGAGGATAGTGACGTGGACTTTGCTGGTACGATCGGAGCGCCATTCCACTAATTTCGTCCGCTGACACGAGACAGACGCTCAAGAGACATTGAACGGGATAGAAATAGTCCTCGAAGCTGGGGAGGACGATGATGAATACGAGGATGAAGAAGGCGAACAGACAGAGACAGAAAACGGCGCGGGACGTGCAGAGGGCCGACCTACCCAGGGTTTGTGTTTGTGCTGCGGAGTTCATGCCTTTAAGCAAATGCTGACCAGTCCAAAGTGACCACAGCCGACATTCGAGGCCTTCTCCAGGCGAGTGCACCGCTTAGACAGCTTATCCTCAGCCGATATCGGTTCATCGGTCCGGGCGGTCGTGACCTCTTTGCGGAAGACGAGGACGAGGACGATGACTTGACCGATGATTACGAAAGATACGGCGGCCTGCATGGGCGTCGGAGAAGGAGAAGACCAAAGCCCGCGGGCGATCGATTTCCAAAAGTACCTAGCGATAACGGACGGGCATTGATGAATTCGGGATTGTATGGCACGCGAGAGGACGATGTCGACATACGGCGAAAGAGGAGGCGCACAGTCAGTGAGCGTCTGATGTGGCGGCGACTGGGCCTCGATGCACGTTCGAGTATGCGACGGCAAAATCGCCTGATCGCTCAGGATTCGGTGCCAGCAACCACAATGGCGGACAAGATCATCCATTACGACAGTCGAGCGTACTCCGGTCAATTCTCTGACGATGGCAATTTCTTCTTCAGCTGTACCCAGAACTTCAAGGTGCGCATGTACGATACGAGTAACCCTTACGAGTGGAAGTACTACAAGACAGTCGACTATCCTTTTGGCCAATGGACAATCACCGACGCAACACTCAGCCCCGACAACAGATACCTTGCTTACTCTTCAATCCGCCACACGGTCTGCCTCGCTCCTACTGATCCTACCGACCACTCCGAGCACACCCTGCTCGATTTTACCAACTTCGCCCCGGGTTCGGGAATGGGCCGTCCGACCTACGGGTACATGGGACGACATGGCTTCGGCATATGGTCCCTTCGCTTCAGCGGAGATGGCCGAGAAATTGTCGCGGGAACATCTGACCATAGTGTGGTCGTCTATGATATCGAGCGACGACAGTCGACTGTCCGCCTGTCCAACCACGAAGACGATGTGAACGCGGTGTGCTTTGGCGACAAAATGTCTCCGCATATTTTGTACTCGGGCTCGGACGATCAGACACTGCGAGTATGGGACAGACGATCCATGGCCGATGGCCGACCTGCTGGCATCTTCGTCGGACACACCGAAGGTCTCACTTACGTTGACTCTAAGGGCGATGGTCGGTATGTCCTCTCAAACGGCAAAGACCAAATGATGAAGCTTTGGGATCTGCGCAAGATGATCAGCCCGAACGACTTTGCTCGGATTGATATGCACGCCTACACGACCAACTTTGACTACCGGTTCAGCCCCTACGACGAGGATGACTACGTGCCTAACCCGAAGGATTGCAGCGTCGTCACCTTCCGCGGACACAGCGTGCTCAAGACGCTGATCCGATGCCACTTCTCGCCCCCTGGCTCGAGTAATTCGCGGTACGTTTACAGTGGTAGCGAAGACGGAAAAGTGTATATCTGGAACATGGATGGCACGAGGAAGGAGACAATTGATGTCTTTGAAGCTACCAAATTCTCAAGACCAAGGACTGACGGCAGCGACGGGTATGGGTATGAACTACATGGTCACCATAATAGTGTGTGGAAGACCTGTGTGCGAGACGCGAGTTGGAGTCCGACGGCGCCCGTCATGGCTGGTACATATCTTTTCCTGACCTCTTTCCAAACCATATTCATACTGACTCTGATGTTTTAGCCACGTCTTGGAACGGTTGGGGGATGGCGACGGGCACAGTGTCGCTGCATAGCTGGAACGACGGTGCCGAGGACGACGAAGCTCTTCCAGCCATGTCGTCGAATTACAATGCTCGACTGGATATGCGTGAGGATTTTAACCTCGCGCAGCGCCGGTCTCGCGCTGCTGCAGAGACCAAGTCGCGCAGCAGAGCCGAGGGACGTGGATTGCGGAGTAGTGTCGTGCGGCCGCAGCGGCTGGGCGTTGATGAAGACGCCGATGCCAGCAGCGGTACCTGGTGACAATCATTGAATGGGGTGGGTGAGGTGGTGCGGAGGATGGGCAGGCGCTTGAGTTTAAGGAGAAGTGCATGGCCAGACGCTGGTGCTACTTCGCCTTGAGATGCACAGTCTCAGCTGGCTGCCGAGGACAGCGAAAGTCTGTTCAACGGCCGTAGACATTTGCGGCTGCAAAAGCGCGATCTTGTCTCTTTACTGCAGATATGCTTTACTTTACGTGGATACGATGAAAACGAAATGCTAGATGACGGGTGTAATCACAGACTTCTCGGTAAGCAATAACGACTGGCAGACTGACGCTCTGTTTGGGCAGTTTCTCATTAAGCTAGCAAAGCGATATCCTGTACTTGAAGCACGACAAATCAGTGTGTCGCAACACTGTTCAGCAAATGCGTCCAGGTGTCCAATTGATCTCTTGTTGGAAAAGTGGTGATTGATCCTCTCGCCTCTGGGCTTGGACGTTCTCCGACTTCAAGGAGTTGCTGCTTGCTCTTTCATGCGGCCCAGACACTGAAATACTCATACAAGTTTGTACCCATTGCCACATTCATCCTACTAATACATTGTTCACCGGGATGTGTACTGTAAGGCATCGTTGTTAGATTGTTGTCTTCTGGGAATCGTACAGATAGACGCACTCAGCTTGATGAAATAGCCGATGGCTCCCATGATCAGGAATCCCATTCCCACTGCTTGCGAAATCTTGATGAACTCTCTCCGATCGGCTATAAAACGCAGGTCAGCATATGTCCAGTCCACTTCTCGGCGCGTCTGAAAGACCAGTGCGCAGAGTGGCCGAGTCGCTTGTAGATGGATTGCAGCTTCCAGAACTTGAAATTGGTGACAATATCCAGCTCTTCAACCAATCCGCCGACTATACTGCAACGCATCCATCACGCTCCTGGCTTTAACGCAGCTTCGTTCACCATCTCTTTGAGCCAAGCAGCCCGCGTCGCAGAAGGAAAAGGGTCGTATGGAGGCTGTCACGTACGCTTTGTGCATCTGTTGATAAACTGCGTGCCGTCCTTGAAGAAGTCTCGAGGCACGTCGGCCATCTCTTGTAGAAGGTCTGACATGCTGTCGTAAAATGGGAGATGCGGTTGTGGTAATATGACCTAAGGTAGCTTCAATGGTCGAGAGAGAAAGTAAGAGTTGGTCAGAGATGTCTTGATGGAAGACACAAGGGTATTTGTCTAATTGTCAAATGCCCCAGGTCAAAATGTACGGAGAGGTGGCATTAATTTGTTGGAGGTCGAGAATCGCGCAGACCCCTGGCACGTCACGCTCCCGCAGCCCTTGGCGCGGAGAGCAAGCTGCAGGAGGACTTCAATGTCAAGGTGCCTCGCAACGATTGACTGCGCCCCAAACCAATTGTCTCTCATTCTCCTTTTGCAGTGCATCACTATTCAATTGACGGTATCCGGTTCAATACCATACATACTATCTTCTTCGTCGAGGGCGAGCTTTCCATCATCTTCGTTCCACCGAGTGAAGCGCGTCCTTGAACTGTCAGCACAGCTGCGGAGATCAAGGTATCCCGAGTGTGACTCTAGTGAAGGAGACTTCCTGACTGCGGGACGTCCTTTCTGTATTGCTCATTCGGTATCAGACTCTACAGGTTTACAGAAACCAAAGGTCGCCTTCCTTGACTGGTTCCATACTACTGCGGATTGAGGACTTGCGGAGCGGCTGTATCGGTTCATTTCCTGGAAGACAGCTGGACTGCTTCATGTATTATTGACAAGGATTATTGCTTGAGCATGGGGAACTGAATCAACATCTCTGTATGTATATCTTGATGGGTCCATTGTGTCCGGCGTTGGTGGTACTGGTTGAGCAGAGCACGAGGCAGATTCAATACTTACGGCGCATCTGCGATTCCTTCCTTCCTGTACTTATGGCTAATGCAGCATGGATATTGCAGAGCTCCATTCTTGTGCCTTGAACCTCTTGTGCATAACCTTCAAGCAGACAATCGACTCTTTCTTCACAGCACTACCTTCTTCACTATGGCAACCGAAGAGGATAATTTTGACATTGACATCTATGGAGACGGCGAAGGCGACGGCGAAGGCGATGGCGAAGGTGACATGGGCAATGATGGAAATATGGACTACAAAGAGGAGGAAGAAGAGGATGATGCCGAATTCATCATAGACGCCGGGGATATTGACACCGAGGGCCATGCTGAGCAAACACAACCTAAGGTCGAGCCTGAGGCAGACCACACAGCTACACAGGCTCAACCGCAAGATCAAACGGGACCAGAAGTCAACCAATCAGATCAACCCCAACCGCCGCCTGCGCAAGCGTCGGCTGCACCACAACAAGGTACCAAGCGCAAAGAGATTTCGGATGACAGACCAATCGACCACGGTGCCACCAACGCTCTCATGATTTCAGATCTTCACTGGTGGATCACCGAGGACGATGTTCGTGGCTGGGCTAACGAAGCTGGTGCTGAAGATGAGCTGAAAGAAATCACTTTCAGCGAGCACAAAGTCAACGGCAAGTCTAAAGGGTTAGTGTCTCATCAGCCTTCGTGCCCTGCATGATACTGATGTGTGACAGACAAGCTTATGTTGAGTTCTCCTCTGCTCAGGCAGCAACGGCAGCAAAGCGCCAGTTGGAATCCTTAGGAGAGGGCCAGCCTGCTTCTCGAAAACACTCTGTAGTCTTTACCAATGCGACCCAAAACCCCTTCAAGACACTTCCCAAAGATGCGCCAGCCAGAGCCAGAGAGGAGCGACCCGTTCGGGGTGGCAGTTTCAACTCCGGACCTCGAGGGGACTACAACCATGGACCGGGGAACCAGGGATTTCGCGGTGGCCGAGGAGGCTTCAATCGGGGCGGATACAACCAACATGGCGGGTACAACCGCAACTTCTCCGGTCCCACGGGTGGTTATAACAACCAGAACATGGGGTTCCAAGGCAACATGGGCATGGGAAATAATTATGGCGGCTTCAATCGAGGTGGCATGATGGGAAACCCTATGAGAGGCAACATGGGCGGCATGCGGGGGGCCAGAGGAGGTATGAACAATATGATGGCCATGGGCGGCGGGATGGGCATGGGGAATATGGGCATGAACATGAACCCGATGATGATGAGCGGTGAGCTTGGCAGCAATGGGACCGGAGGCTTCAGGAGCTGACTATATCTTCTAGGATTTCAAGGGAATCAGTTCAACCCCGGAATGTTCAACAATGCAGCACAGGGTCAGGGATTCAATACTGGCAGCGATTGGAATCAACATGGAGCCAAGCGACAAAGACAAGAATAGCCGAAGGAGATATATCTCCGCAGTCTGCTTGCAAACATCCGAAGATGCGAAGGTACACTGGCGAAACACGTGCTGCTGTGGAACCGCACGACCTAGCATCACTCTTGACATGTGATGGTCAAGTCGCGCGACTACCGGAGATGAAAAAGCAGCTCCAACAGAGGCTGTGGAGCGTCGATATCCGAGCCGGCACCGAGGCAATGATCAAAGACCCTCACCAAGGCGATAGGGACGTTTGCGCCACATCACCACGATGCAATTGGCAGGCTGGAACATGCCGGACGTTCTCTCGCTGCGATCGTCATATGGGTCGCCAACCACAGGGCATCTGTCAAAGATGAGACATGGAGGGATTCAAGTCTGCGGGCATATGGTGTGATTGCAATCGCTTTCCTTCTGAGATGCGAGGTGGTGAATTCTAAGAGAGAATCCAAGAGGAAACCAGGCTGCGTTTGGCAGTAATCAGCATCTGTGGCCTTTTGGAAGCCTATCTATCCAATACCACGGGCGGGAAATCCTTTCCGGTGGGGACAAAGCTTTTATGCAGAGCAAGGCCTTCGGTGCCAATCATAGTGGCTACTACGCCTAAAGAGCCTGCAGAACTATGTCATCGGCGGGGAAGCCGCGTTAACAGTGGCCGTTTGGAACGCCGCAGGCCTTTAGATTAACTCTCCCCCGACTAGCCCTGTAAGGTCTTAGCAACGGCTTTTCTTCGTGCCATGCTCGTGGTTCCCCAATGGATGCGAAAACCACCTTGCCACACTTACTGTAGGTACTGAACCATGCTTCACTTTCCCTTTATTTCTCACACGGCTTAGGAGTTACTTTCCATCTACTGCTACTCGTACACCAGATCTTTTCACATACACTCGCCGTGGTTTCGCACCACATGCCCCACTCCCCATGATTTGCCAAAACTCTTTCGTATTTGATCCGATCTTTTGCCTACCAATTTCCAGGTAAACTTTTGAGCAGTGCAATCCGATGTCAGGCCATCAGCAGCAGCGTCGTGGTGATACTGCGCGTTCTCTGCCGACGTCAGACCGTTCGCGGTCGCAATCCTCAGCCCAGATTCTGGCTCTCTCCATTGAAACTCCTGACGGTCTACCCAATCGAACTATCACTACTACTACACAGACGCCACAGTCACCTGCGCACGCTCCAGTCTTCCGAGTCCCCCAATCTCCTCGCGTCGCACCCGGTAGCGATGCCTCCCAGACAGCAGGAAAAGTTGCGATACCAAGGCTTAAGAGGCCGATCGATTCCGCAGGGGAGGATGCCAGTAGATCAGCTGGTAGGCATAGGGTCAATCATGCGTGCGAGCCATGCCGCCACAGAAAGACAAAATGTAGCGGAGAGCGACCGATCTGTAGACATTGCCAGGATTTCAAGATAGCATGTTTCTATGCGGATGGCAAGCGGGATCGGGTGAAGAAGTAAGCACATTTTCCAGGACCAGCGCAAAAGAACCTGAGCGGCTGACAAGACCAGGCAATTTGGAACAATGTCTGAAAAAGTGGCAGACTATGAAAAACTACTCAAATCTCTCGTCGACAGAGTGGACGAGACCGATGCAAGATTGATTCGAATATCCTTAGAGAAGGTACGGTTTGGCACAATCTCCAGTTAACTTGACTGACCTTAGCAGGAAGCATACGATGTTGAAGAGACGCCCACAGAAGCTACGCTGGACACGGTGACTACATTTGCCAGTATCGAAGATGGTGTCGACGGCCATGAATCTGGCGCCGAGTCTGAGGTCTCTGCCGGAGCGGGCTCTACCGGTGCTCTCGATAGAACCGATGAGGACTTCACACGCGAGCAGGCCCGCGCGACGGGTTACATGGGCAAGAATTCAGAGATTACCTGGCTGCAGCGTCTGCGGGAAGAGAATAAATTTGGAGATAACCCCAAAGACGCTCTCGGCAGCGAACAGCAACGCAAGATGGCCGATGGCTCCGTCACATCCTTCTCCGCCATGCGGCCCCCATCCGAAGTGCAGTTGCCGTTAGCGGAGGCAGACGATGGCTTTGCCGTCAACGGCTCAAGCTATCATCTCGATGACATGTCTATATTCACCTTTGAGGCTGTCGACCCATACGAGATGCCGACACCAGACGCCGCGAATCACTTATTCAATGCGTACATGGACCGATGCCACGCCACCTTCCCAGTGGTTGGAAGGACGAATCTTACGGCCCAGTTCAAGAAGTATATTACTGGCTCTGTTCAAACACCGCCGGAGAAGTGGCTTGCTATACTCAACATGATCTTCGCGATCGGCGCGAAATACTCACATCTAATCAAGGCGGATTGGCGAGGCGACGAACGTGACCATCTGATATATTTCACTCGAGCACGACTCTTGCACATGAATTCCGAAACCTTGTTCCAGCATCCCGATCTTCAGCAGATACAAATTTTAGGGTTGATGTCGTTCTACCTATTGTGCGTCAGTCAAGTCAATCGGTATGTACAAGCCTGGGTCTGGAGAACCCTCCGAATACTGACAAAAGCAGAGCCTGGCTCTTGACTGGATTTGCTGTTCGTGCTGCTACTGCGCTTGGCATGAACATCCGCAATGACAGTACAAACCTCAAGAATTCTCTCAAGGAAATTCGCTATCGCGTATGGTGGGCGCTTTACACACTCGAACATCGACTGTGTAGCATGACAGGCAGAGTCAACTGTATCCTCGATGAACATTGCACCACCCCGTTGCCCGCTCCTCTGGAGGAAGATCAGTTCGACAGCGAGGACGGACAGAAACTTCTCAGCAAGGAAAGACAACAGGGCGATCGAGCTCCAGCATCGAATCCTCAAACGCCGAGTGCATCCTCCGCGACTCCCTCGACGGAACGCTCCCGTTCTCAGACAAAGATCGACTCACGGTCGCCATCCATGCCCACGAATCAGGGCGACCTGGCCTGGGCGAAGGATGTTCCTGCCAACGGTTCCCTCTATTTCCTCCACCTTGTGCAATTAACTCGATTGACACAAAACATTTTCCATCGCCTTTACAATCCCGCCTCTGCCTCTGGCACTTGGTCCGACATCCAAGCCAAGATCGGAGAGCTCGATGAACAGCTCGAATTCTGGTACAGGAAACTTCCTCAAGCTTTTGCGTTCAAAAGGAAGCAACGTGAACGTGGCTCGTATGAATACCGTTTGAGCCTGGGGTTCTACTACTACGGCGCAAAGATGACTATCCACAGACCATGCCTTTGCCGGCTTGACCGTAAAATCCCACATCAATCTGTGAAGTCGCTGGAATTCAACCGAAACTCTGCTGCGTCGTGCGTCAAGGCCGCCATGGAGCTGTTGGAGTTGATCCCCGATGAGCCAAATGCTATTGGTCTGATCCGCGTAGGACCATGGTGGAGCATGCTGCACTGGCTTGTGCAGAGTACAACGGTTTTGATGCTCGAAATAACGTTTCGAGCCAACCACATGCCTGAGGAGGTGGATGCGATGATGGAGTCAAGTAAGAAGGCAATTCGATGGCTTCATGCGTTGGGAGAAGACAGCCAGTCCGCAAAGCGTGCCTGGAACATTTGTTTCCCCATGCTTCGGGAGGCCGCCAAAAAGTGTGGTCGCGAGATGACCGATGTTCCCCAGCAACCGCCGGGCAAACCATCACCTCCACCTTCTGATGCTATGATGTCAGACGGTATTGGCGCCAGCTATCCATATGGTGTCGATCTGTTCACAACGGCACCAAATGCGCAGTCGTTGTACGCCACGATGCCGCAGCAGTCGATGCCTCAATTGCCGACGTCACAAGCTTTCGCCATGTACGATCCCATGATGCATTATGATCAGTACTATCCACCAGAATATCAACTCAACGAGCAGATGCACTACCATCAATCTGGTGACCCAGAGATGGAGTTCATGAGCAGTGCATATCACGACGATCAGGGTCACAATCAAGGAAGTGGGAGCAGCCGTGGGCCAGGGTACAGCTAGGAGCAGTCCATGGCCTATGGTAATGACCAAACTTATCCCCCAGCCGGGAGTCTTCTCGAAACGGCTGACCTTCAGTATTATCCAGAGATCGACCATGATCATCAGGCTGGTGCTCCAGATACTGATGGCAGGTTCAGACGACATTACAACCAACCTGTCTCGCATGAACGAGCGCAACGATCAGGCTTTGGTCAGGGTACACCTATGGCCCTCGACGATGACGCGATCGATCCTCGAATCTCAAGACAGGACTTCGCCCAGCAACGCCCGCCATAAGATGCTTATTACTCACCAAGAAAGGATCTTCTGAAAACCAACAACAAAAGAACAATTTTGGTCTTGATTTATCGACGGATCCGAGATAATGTCAAGATATTAGGGCTGTCAACGCGTGTATGCGGGCCAAGGGGTCGGTTAAGGGGCTGATACAAATGCGCATAGGGCACATACCCATCTCATACAGTGGCGCTATGAAAGGGACTTGCATTCCAACCCAGCGCAGTCCCGACATGTTAATTGTACATGACCTTCCACATCTGCCTGCCACTTCCAGTCTTTGCAAAGTTTTTTATTCTGTTATTTATGCTTCTCCCTTTTCCTACAAGTCTTCGCTGGCGAAGTATTTCCCCTTCCTGCTCAAGTCAACTGATTCACCACAATGAAAGCTCACACATTTACTGTTCTTACCGCCCTGGCGGCGTCCATGGTCGCGTCCATAGCGGCTATGCGACATGATGGCAGAGGACACAATCATCCCCGGCCTCGTCAAGACAGTCATCCCAGACCTCGTCAAGATGGATGGACGACAACAGGAGCACCGCCCGAGTTACGTGCAACTTCTGTGAGCCTCAACGCGAAGATCTCTACGGTTGTGACCACGACAGCGACACCCTCCTCAGCCATGAATGCCACAATGTCTTCATACGTCTTTCCCACAACAGTAATCCAAGTCCCCGTCGCGACCGTCTGTCCTGACACTCCATCCTCGTCCGCAGCATTCTCGATCGTCCCAATTCCCTCGTCGTCGTCCAACGGGACGAGTTCAACGTTGAGCGCGCCGACCCTGGTCAACGCTACAGCTCTCCTACCGAATGGCAGCACGACCGTGTTTCTGTCAACCACGACGACTACCCCAAGTACAATCATCACTCCCACCGCAACGAACGCGTCTTCCACAACACCTACCGCCGGCGCTGATGGAGAAGACGTGGCAACAGCGCGCATCATCTTCAACCCTGACGGCTGCCAGACAGTCTACTCGGCCAAAACGACCTCGATATGCTCGACGACGATTCATCCAGCAGGTTCCCTCCCCGTCACGGTCACCGATTGTAATCAGTGGGTCACATTTTCGAGCAACGCCTTATATGGATGTTCTTCAACAGTTTCTGCGACTGCTGCGGCAAACACCGACACAGCAACACTGGCATCCAGTACATCCAGCGGTCCTGGTCCCAGCATAACGGACCCAACAGCATTCTACGTCGCGCACTGGTACGATCTCGCGCAGTTGCCTGGTATACCCAGCGTTGTCGAAGTCGAAGACTGTCTACCCTTGTCGGCGGGTGTGTCGTGCTTGACATCGAGTGAGAGTTGGAGCGTGGTGGAAAGCACGGTGATACGGACGGGGACGAGTCTTGCTGCATTTTCGGGGGTAAATCTTATCACCACAAAGCTCTCGGTTTGGATGATACGAATGCTGACGCCTTTAATAGCCCGCGATAATCACATCAGGAACATACACTGCCACGACGACACTGAGCTTCGAGTCGACGGTGACGACTACGAGTGTGGTCACGGTGTCAAGTATAGTCCGAAGTCGGTTGGGCGATGATAGCGACGAGGATAGCACGGTTACAGTGGCGGCCGCGGCGCCTACTACGATGACTTTGTCCGTAGAGTCGGTTCCGCAAGCGACGGTCACTGTGTACAAGACGTCAACGGCAGAGGTTATGACGACGATGACAATGACTGGGAGTCCGGGTAGTGCTAGTACTGGGTCATAATGAACATGTCTGAATGCCAAGATACTTTTCAAGCAGCTCATCTCGTTGTATGCGGCTCAATTCGCCTGTGCAGCTGTAAAGCCCCCGAGAGTCAGTTCAACACATCGTTGACATTGTCGCGACGCTGCCAGATCTTTGGGTGTCATGTATGCTTCTACTGGAAGCACCGTGATCCGGGCGCCGTTGAACTCCAGCCCAAGCTCCTGCATTCTCATAGTAGTACAAGTTTTCACCTCCTCGCCAGCTACGCATGTTAGCTCGCCCTCCCCGTCGATCCTCAGTGCCGCAAACCAGACTTGGGTTCCTCGTCGTCGACCGACGGGTCCATATGCAGTCTCTGAGTCAGGGCGGAGATGCCTTGGTCTTTCTGTCGAGGAGGTGATGGCTCACAGTCGGATGATGCCATCATAGCCGCTTCGAAGGCGTCAAGCGAACCATCAGATACCTTCCTTGCAGACGCACCTTGTTGCTGAGCTTGACTGGTTTGAACTTCATCAGCCTTGTCGCCCTTGTCGCCGTGCTGATTTCCATCATTCCACTGAGGCACCGTGGCTTTGTTCTTCTGATTCTCATCTTCTCTTCTTGCATCGTCATCTTTCAATCTGGCTCTGACAACCATCGCTATCAACACCTCAAGAGTATAGCGGGCATCGTTTCCACCATTGTGCATGAAGTAACTCGTAAGACCGAGATCCTTCATGATCGATCCGAGGTTGCGGTTCTGTGTCTCTTCTTTGAAAACTCTGTACAATGGAGCTGTGTCGATAGCTTCCAGGATGGAGGCAAGTGTCTTGACGTGCTTCTCATTCGTGCCCATCGTCTCCATTCCTGCAAGAGGATAAGTACCACGAGATGGTCCAAAGATCTTGCTGCCGAGGTCCCTGAGATAGTCGAGGTCAGTGCGAAGATCGTGGCCGAGGAGGAGAATGTTGCGGTCTCGGGGTCCTCTCTGAAGATCACCAGGAGCAGCTCGCTTCGCCTTAGCAAGCTTCACCGCAAGATCAATGGCGTCCTTATCTCCAATGCCGTTCAGAACACTGGCAATTGCGGCTTTGTTGCCACCATTCAGCTGATGATTGAGAGCATCTTCGCTTAAACCAGCCTCCGGGGTTCCGCCGACACTCTCGTCATCCCATGGGTCATCCAGCCCTGCATGCTTGTACTGCACAGAAAAGGGCCACTCGAAACAACTATCGACTTGGGCAGCAGCGTCTTTCAATTCGACAAACTCGGAACGTCCGAATTGGAACGCATCTGGGTTGCCGACGCAGAAATCCTTGTTGACGAGGTGTTCCCTGCCTTTGATTCTGAAATGACGCGATCGAATTTGGTTGATCCAGGCCTTCCCGTTATTTCCTGGAGGCAGTCCAACCAGGTCAAGGGTGTCCAGAGTGCTCACACCAATCTCGGTGATTTGATTGTGAGCTCTCTCATATGACTCTATATCAACTGAAATGATGATCGGCTCCTTTTCGAAGGGTAAAGGTGCCGGTGCGTTGACCTCCAGAGGATCAAGAATGATATGGGCTTCCTTCAACTGCTTCACACGAAACTCTTCTTGTTCGTCCCACGATAGGCCAGGATCTGGATAGGAGACTTTGCCAGATTTGCAGCGCAGGCCAAAGTATCTCTGTACTCTCCTCAGCTGAGAATACCAGTCTCGTATGGTCAGCAAACGATCATCTTCTCTCTTCTTCTTCACAGCGACGCCTTTCTTCCTACTGGCGGCCACTGCATCTCCACACTTCTTCCGGAAAGCTTCAAATTGTTGCTTGACTTCGTGGGAAGCCTTTGGCGGACATTCACCATGATCTTCCGGAGTCAGTTCAATCCTACTCTGGAGGTCCGCGAAGTCATCTCGTGACTGGGAAGTCCCCAATAGTTTGGGTTGCGGAGTACCGTCGTCGAAGAATGTGAGAGTGAACGGGGATTCGGGGACTGATACTGCAATCTTGAATGTCTGACCAATGTCGTTGATCAACTTCTCGACCTGGGCGTAGGGAACGAGGATGATCGGTTTGGCGCTGAGCGTGTATGGCGGGTTCAAATAATAGACGTCCCAGGGTCTGTCATAGAACTTGTTGTTGGCGAAGAAGTGCCTTGAAACTCGGTCATTGCTGTCATTCATGTACTTGTATGGAAACTTTGACGCGAGGCTGAACTGGCAGAAGTGTCCGGTGACAGGGGCTCCTTGCGGATTTGAGGTTGGTAAATCGTCCCCATCGGAGTCTTGTATGTAGGCAACGCCCTGTTTCGGCTTCGGCTTAGACGAGACTTTGCCTTTTGCGATGTATTCAATGGGTCCTTTTGGTTCGATTTTCGCCTCCTTGGGATAGCCGAATGCATTAGGCTCAGGCATCGCACGCGGCTTAGCTGTCTTTGCTTGCTTCGTGGGTGTCTTCATCGTAGGTTTCTTTCTGAAAGAGGATATGTAGTCATCGTCGTCGGAACTGCTCAAAAGATCGACACCCGGGGCTGGTTTTGGCGGTGTCTTGATCTTGCGTGGGTATTGTGCAGTAGAGGGAAGCTTCCAGACTTGATCTTTTGCTGCTTTGTCTTCTGCCGCTTTCTCTTGAAGCTCCCGCTCAGAGAAGTGAGGTTGGCCAGTTGTTGGACGGGCAGGAAGAGATTGACCTGCGAACAGTTGATCAAGACGACTTCGTGGTGCGGTAGCCATCTTCGCGGACGGTAACCTGATAGACATGCATTAACCGATCGACGGGGTTATTGACTGAGAATGGTCAATGGATTTGTTTCAGAGTAAAACCTTCTTCCCAGTGGCATAGCAGGTGAACATGAAGAGCGCAGATCGGTTGGTAGAGCCCGGTACAAAGCTTGATCACTCTGGAGAGCACCGTAGAAGCAAACAGTGTGGAAGGAGGAGATGAGAAGTCAAGTCAAAGAAAAACATCAGGTGAAAAGGACGATAGAAGATCTTGGGCACAGGGAGAAAGTAAAGTGAGAAAGGACGACCAGCGTTATGGTGAGGTGAAATGACGATGAGCCAAGGGGAGGACGAGAAAGACAAGTGATTACCTTTTTGGTTGAGACATGAGCATTTGGTACCGTTGTAAATTCATGCTGAAGTGAAGTTGAGTAAGTTGTGTTGAAGTATGAACTGGTCTGGCGGTGTATTATAGCAGCAGGAGAGATTTGAGTGCTTGCCGCTATAGGCCTTCAGCCCCTATTACCGCAGCACCCTAGCACGCCTAGGTATACAGCAGACAGGTTAGCCGAGAGCAATCAGATATTTTATCTTATCTCTCCTCCAAACAGCCCCTTTTCTAGAGCCTTCATACTGCTTTCTTTGACACTCAGACGTGACGAGTACCCCATTACTAGGGCAGCGTCAATCTCAAGCCATGTGAGCAAGTGTCCTCTCTTCGCAAAGGTTGGTGTCGGCTGATAGACGGCGACCATGATGCGACGCGACTCGTACAGCAGCTGAGCAGACCACTTATGCCCACCCATGCCTCTCCTTCGATTTACCAACGCTCGATATCCACAGCGGGATATGCCTAGTCTATGTAGACTATATTTGTCATAGTAGGGAGTATATACCTGTACTATCTCGTTATGCACATTTGTAAGCTACTCATAAATCACTTATCTAACTTCTACCCCTTCATATAAATCACTTCCCTCTAGATGTCTGAGCAAGACGTTCTCGATTTAACATGCCCTGTCATTCTCCCACCTACCCTTCACCACTATCAGCAGGGTGATCATGGCGGCCGATGAACGACTCTTCTCGCCACTCAAGCTGGGCAACCTCAACCTCGCCCACCGCGTCGCTCTAGCACCATTGACCAGATTCCGCGCCAATGACCAACATGTACCCCTAGACATGGTAGCAGAGTACTACGCCCAACGCGCCTCCACGCCAGGCACACTCCTCATCGCCGAAGCCACATTCATCAGCCCCCGAGCATCGGGCATAGCCAACGCCCCCGGGATCTGGAGCCACCAGCAAATATCCGCATGGAAGAGAGTCACAGACGCCGTCCACGCCAAAGGATGCTTCATGATCCTTCAACTCTGGGCTCTCGGCCGCAAATGCGATCCTAATTTTCTGGCCCGTGCCGAAGGTGGACCATACCCCGTCGTCAGTGCAAGCGCCGTGCCGGAGCAAGATGGTTCACCCATTCCTCGCGAAATGACACGCGAAGAGGTCAAGCAGTTTATCGACGACTACGCCACGGCCGCACGGAACGCAATGCTCGCAGGCTTCGATGGCGTCGAAATGCACGGTGCAAACGGCTACCTCATCGACCAATTCTTACAGGAATCGTGTAACAAGCGCACGGACGAGTACGGAGGAAGTATCGAGAACCGCTCAAGGTTCGGGCTCGAAGTTACGGAAGCTGTCATCAAAGCCGTCAGCGACAGCAGGAAAGTCGCAATGCGCTTGTCGCCGTGGTCATCAACGGACCCGACTGCCACCACTGGCACTGGAATGAGCACCCAGGACGCCGCTGCTCCAGTCGTGGCGCAGTTCTCGCACATCATCTCCGAACTCAAGAAGCTGGATCTTGCGTATTTGCATCTCGTCGAGAGCAGGGTTGCCGGCGGCGATGCAGGGACCGCTATTTACCCGGGGTTCACAGGCCGGAATGATCCATTCGTCAAGATTTGGGGTGCTGATGGGAACAAGACCCCAATCGTCCTGGCCGGTGGCTTTACGGCCGAGTCGGCCAGAAAGGTCGTCGGTGAACATCATGCGCGGGAAAATGTGTGCATTGCCTTTGGAAGGTATTACATTAGTACGCCGGATCTGCCGTTCAGGCTGCGCAAAGGGCTGGCGTTGAACTCTTATGATCGCAGCACCTTTTACAAGGTTATGAGTTCCGAGGGATATACCGATTACCCGTTTAGCGAGGAGTACCTGGCAGCGAATGGAGGAGGATCAAATGGTTCACATTGATAGATAGGATGATCCAAGCAAGTGTGCACTCGTACTTGGAGTACGAATAGAATTACGAGGTGTGGAGAGCGGACACCCTCTCGCACTTGACCTAGCGCAAGCTTGTTATCGTAGGGTATACCCGTGGAAGGAGGTCCACTACCAACAAGGCTTGCTATCTGGGCCAACGAATACATGGTTGGCGCATCGAGGCCGCAGAATTGCTTGGAAGTATCGGTCTTGCATCGTATTCGTTATTGACCGTGATGGTAAGCTAACACTTGTGTCTTCGCCAGTCATTTTTACCCCAGCATAAATAGTCAGAGATCGATTTGATTGCTACCCCGGACAGGACTTCGCCCCGGAAAACTCTCTCTGCTTGCCGCCTATTGAGTAAAACACAAAAATCATGCATCTCTCCCACACATCGAACTAAACGACATCCTGAACCCACAGACGACTCACTCGCCTTTTGTTGCCACAACAATGTTTCCCTCCGGGTCAAGGTCAGCACCCTTGACGTCGTGCAGTTCATGCTGATGCTCTTCAACCACATGCTTTGGTATCACGACCCCCTCTTCGCCAGTGAAGTATTCCGTCTGAGTGATCTGAGTGGCAGCCAGGTAGATGAAAATCAGTATGCCAGTAGCATAGAAGGTAAAGAGCACGCCGGCCTCCTTGATATATGGAATGGCAATCGAGTCCAGGCCGAATATAATGGCTTCTCCACCGGCCAAGAAGCCGCGATACACTCCCTAGAATTGATCATTAGAAAAAGGACCCATAGTCTCCAGATCTGGACTTACCGCGTAATTGGCGGCTTTGACCGGCGAGTTGGTCAAGCAGCTCAGATAGTACAGGATAATGTACTGCATGAGAATGCTTGAACACCAAGTCAAGACAAACAGAATAAAAATGGCCGGGAATCTGCCGTCAGTCCAGTCCATCGGATCGGTCGGAGGGTTCGAGCGGTCATAGTTGCGGACTCGCACAATCTCCCAGATCCAGGCCCCCATCAATGGAATGCCCACGGCCGCCAGGCCGACAAATGCTCTCTTTCGTCGTGTCCATGTCTTGTGATCGAGAATCTTCTGCAGTCCGTAACCACATGGGATTTGCACAACAACTGCGCAGAACGACAAAAGGCATCTCGTCCTCAGATCGTTGTGGTAAGCGTTGACTGAGCCGCTGTAGACAAGAAAGCATTCTGAGGGGAGAAAGGCCGGGATCATGATCAAAAGCCTCCAGTCCTTGAAGATTTCCAAATTGGCCTTGAGCTCCTGAAGGAAGCCGCGAGCATGCAGAACGGCAACTTGGGTTCCATCATCTCGGATGACCTTGGATGGATGCCGGAGTGTCAAGGCAAGTAAACAGCCGCAGCCCATCTATGAATCGTCAGAAAGCTGTGTCGGAAATCAACGTGATGAATCGAAGGACATATGGTGTGATAGCACAGTCTTTCGCAACAAAGGACACTTACCATGACGATAATGATAACGTATACTGCCACAGGCACACCGGCGGCTTCTGTGGAATCGCGATTGATGATCAATGGAATGATACCTCCAACAGCGCAGCCCACCGCCTGGAGATTGACCGAAATCGCAATGAAGGACCCTCGCTCTTCTTCCTCGGAGTAAGACATGGCGATCGATCCCATGGTCACAAAGACAAGACCAGCGGAAATCTTGAAATGGTGTTAGTCATGCTGCAACTTGCCCTGATCCCGCAGACTTACTCCGATTGCGACGCCTCCGAAAATTGCGAACCATTCGTGGCCGGTCTGATCAAAGTACCAGAGACCACCGACATAGAGGGCGAAGCCGATAATACCCAAGATGGCGGTGATAGCAGGCCCGATCGTGTTCAGTACGCTGCCGCCAAGGTTCGAGGAAAAGAAATAGACTGCACAGAGGGTGGCGTTGACCACTTGGACCGTCTGGAACGAGTTTGGTCGACCGCCGCCGGCGCCGAGAAGGTTGAGCGCTTGGTACAACCCGGCTGTCAAGCCGATGATGATGCCCATGATGAAGCTAAAGACACATGAGATGATCAGTCACCTATCTCGATCGCTTCGAAGGTCGTACTTACTTCTGCCACCATGGTGAGTTCAGACGAAACGCTGGAACGCCTGGAATTTTGACAGCCATCTTGGATGTGATTGTCTCGCAAGTTTGGTAGCTTTGTGAGAGATCTACCTCAGATGGCAAGACTGGCAGAACTGGGGGATGGACAATGTATCTTATAGAATCAAGCATACCAACCGAGGTATGCAGCTGCTTTGAGACTATGCATGATGGTCTCCGTGTCACCCGACGCGGTTCGTTAATCTTGAGTGCAATATGTATCAGAGTGTGTCTTCTCCGGGCGTGTCCAATCTGATTGATAGCCCTGCAAGCCACTGACAGAGTGGGTCCCGCCGGGCGCAAGTGCTTGAGCTTATCGCTCTAGCTCGTGGTTTTCAGCAGGGCAAAGCAGCCTAGAACATGGTTGAGCTTTCAACGAGGCAAACCCTGCGCATGGAGGCGCGAGAGTACATCAAGATTTCGCTGAAACCCGTGTAATGTCTATCAGAGTCGCCCCACTTAAGCAGTCATTGCGTCGGAGAGCACTTTACCCCAGATATCGATAGGCCATCCCCATAGTCTCTGCATTAGTGTTTATCTGCTCAAGGTTGGTTTGGAACGGCATTGGACAGGGGTACCCTGTGGATATGGGAGTACACGGCCAACATATGCCGCTTGTGCTTATCGACTGCTGGCGGATGCTGTCTTTATCGCGGAGATGTAGCTGTTCTAGATAAGGAATAGAATTTGCCCCTGTCGCTAATGCTGTAGTTCAGAGACTCGGCAGATGGTCTGTCTGAGATAACACTCCAGGATTTGTGAGGGCATCAACATCGGTTAGCACGAGGGGTTCCGCTTCCGCAAGTAGGGCAGCTAAGATCTCGTCCGAGTCCATGCCAGCAAAGTCCCAGCTCAGCGCATCTGCGTCACTAAACCCATAAGGGTCTGGGTAGACCAAGGATCCGGGATCCAGGTTTGCGTCGGACAGTGTCCAGTCAGGGTAGAAGGGTACGATCCCTGTCGTCAAGTTTTGCGAATCAGAAGGGTTGAAACACACATCAGGGTCCATTGATAGGCCATGTCCATTCGGTGCTGGAGGGAACTGTGATTCGACTGCTTGGCTCTCGGCAATCGGTGTGGCTTGCGTTCCTGCAGGCAGAGGTGAAAAGAGTAACAGGTGGCTGACTTTGTCCTTGAGCTCGTGGAAATGAGAATCCCAGATTGCTCCGCCAGATGCTCGTTCTTCCAATTTTACCAAGACGGCAGCGCATAGCGAGTCTATCGTAGAGGCATGTGGTGCCACGCCAGGCCAACGACGGGATATCTTCCACAGCAGGGACGGCAGTATCTTGATGTATTTCATCAAAATCGTGACGTCTTCTTCCATCAAGAGTGTGAGGTCCTGCTCTGAGGACTCCAACTCTGCCACTATCATGGCTATGAGACAAACACCTGATTCAAACATGTAATGAGCCGCGTGCCAGATGTTGAAGAGCTTCCCAACGCGATCTACCGTGGCGAACTCTTTTATCAGGGCAATGGAAATTTGCAGAGTTTTCTTGTTCATCTCCCTCGATGGACGGGGAAACCGTGGCGTTGGCCGATTAAGCCTCAATATTTGGCACTGGAAGAGCATTTCGTGGAACTCGATTTTCTCGCCCAGATTGATGCTTTGACGAGTCGTCTGATACCACGCATTCAGGCGATCTTGCACAGACGTGTACCACTGACCAAACGAGGCGTTCCAAGGAGCGTCTTCGGGGGAAAGATTGGGATAGTATATAGCCATCGAGATTTCGGATTCAAGCTCGCGAAGCAGCAGAAATTGGTGGGTCGGAGATGGCTGCGACCCGGTGCCTGGGAACTTGTAAAGATCAACCGCACTGGCCATTATCATCTTTATGACTACTTACTTTTGCCGTGGTTGCTGGGGTCAATGTTGGCCATACATATGGCTGACAGCGAACACTGGCAACAGCACTCGTCTGAACGTCAGCACCGTGAACAAGCCTTGCGACAGCGAACATGACTTACGCGTCAATGTTGTATGAGTTCCAGAAGAGCCTTCTCCGATTCTGTAGTGCCTTGGTGTCCAGGCTGGCCTGAATTGAAGCGGGCAATTCATGATGCAAGCCTAGTTGCAGACATAATCTGGTGGCCGCAGCAGCGCACTTGCTGCAGTCGACTGCCTTGGGATTCATGAAAGCGTAATGTGTACAAAGCTGCAACGCTTGCAAGCGTTCCCATGGATCTGAGGTACCTACCTGGTCAAGCAGGCCAGCTGCCGTGGTCCAAAAATTAGTTGAAGCGGTCGTAGCTCGCTTCTCATCTTTGTGCATGAGTGTTTGCATCTGGCCACATATTAGGACAGACTTTGGAGCATTTTCAAAGATGGGGGTTTCAGACACTGATGGCTAATGTGATGTGGACACTGAATATGTCGAAAGCGGAGGGGCTGATATTGTTGTAGACCCTTTCACATGCCTCGTATAGATTGGCTTCATCGATGGATGGATACAGTGGGCGATATATCTCACAGTAGTGTTTCAACATGGCGTCAATGACGTGACGAGGGATTGACGACAGCTTATTGGTAACTGGCAGAGGCTCCTCGAACAATACGTCTTGATTGAGGTCCGAGAGTCCAATCTTGACATATGGTAAGGGAGATTCGGTAAGGAAGAATGGCGAGTTGAGGGGCAGGAGACACCCTTGCTTTCGAGAAGGTCCCTGTGGAGCAAGAATGGCTGCTGCAAGGTGCGTCGAAAACTCGTCGGCAGCAGCATTGGCGATGTCTGCGGTAGATTTCGCAGGCGACTTGATCTGTCCCAGCTCGATCTCTAGACGAGCGATTTCTTCCTCGAGATGTGAAATTGTGCTGCGAGGTTTGTCGACACCTCGAATCGAGTCAAAGCCCAAGCATGGCGCTGCTGCCGCGATGCAAGCGCCACAGGTGGGAAATTGAAAGTCACACTGAGGTCTCTGATCAGCAAAAAATAGACCAACGCGGTGTCAAAACGATCCTTACACGTATTTTCCTCTTTCTGCATCGTGTACAGGCTTTGCTGTGCCGACGCTTCCTCGACGACGTTGTCGCGTTCTCACTCATGGTCAAGGAAGCGCAACCGAAATTGTAGGGAAAGAATGCTTGCAGAGGCCCGGTAGATATCGATGTACTGAACCATATCATAACACCATGAGCGGGGCAATGTGGTCACATTTGATTGTCATTGACTGGGACTGCTGGTCAATGATATGGGTAAAGATGCTTAGTTAGAACTCAGGTGGTGAGATGAATAATTCATGATTTACTGAGGTACGGCGCCTAAACAGAGGGTGTCGCAACCCCGCACTGGCTTAATGATTTTAGGTGCAGTATGCTGTCTAACTTAGGCTAGGGAGCCTAATTAGAGATCCCCTCCAGGCACAGTGTACCGTACGAGTGATTGACGTGGATTAAGTTGCCCACTCGATGTTGGGCAATAACGATATGGAATCGTCAGGGTCAAGCTACATCGCTTGAACATCTACCAAGTACTATACTACTTTAACACAGGCAAAACATCAGCCTTGAGCCAGTCTGCGACTACTGCCTCAAACTTCTGCGGCTCGTCCGAAGGCGGACTATGTCCTGATTTCTCGAAGATCTCCAGCCTTGCATGGGGAAGTTTATCTGCAATCTCTCGACTGCACTCCACTGGGGTCACATTGTCGTGACGACCGACCACCACGAGCGTGGGTGCCTAGCTTCATTAGCTGTATCCCAAGTCGAGAGGATGTGTCTTCCTCCTACCTTGATTGTATGGAGCTGATCCCGCACATCGAAGCGCGGCTGATTAACACTGAAGGCGAAGTTCTGGGTGGCGGAGTGGTATTTGACGGTGCCCTTGAATTCGGTCGATTCGGGCTTCTCTTCCGTCGTAGCCGTAGCCGACTCATCCTCAGGCGGCGTATAGAACGGAAGAAGTTCTAGAATCGCAGCTTCATAGTCCTCATCATTGCGTAAGGTTCCGGACCAGACGCGAACTTGACGTGCTACGTCGACTTTGACCTTGTGGGAGGTCAAGATATTCGCTAAGGCATTCATCGGGCCGAGCTTCCCATTTGCCCAGGCACCTCGGAGTAGAAGCCCGTACAGCCTGTCCCCATGTAGAATGGCATAATCGAGGGCAATGAAGGCGCCATATGAGGCACCAGCAAGAACAAACGTCTCCGCGCCCGCCCACTGTCTGCCAGAAAGTTAGTGGTGTTCTTGGACACATCCACCGGAGCTTTACCTTAGAATTTCAATGTCCTTAATCCAGCGGTCGTGTGTATATGGTCCAATATGGTCCGATATTCCACTGCCTCGAGCGTCGTATACCAGAACTCGGAAGGTGTCAGAAAGAAAAGCGAAGGAAGCTTCTGGCTCCATGTGCGTTGAGAGGCCTGGCGCGCCATGGAGCGAGATGAGCAGGGGCTTTCTTTTTGTCGCATCATCTCCAAGTACTTTGACGTGCAGGTTGACTCCGTCGTCTGTCTTCACAGTCGAGACTGTCGTAGTGCCTTGACTTGCCATTTTCAAAGTGATTTGAGGGTGAGTTTACCTTCTCGATCTCCAAACACAGTGAAGTGGATGTTACAACATCTTATATCGTGCTTGAAGTCCTCATACGATCTCTAAACACCGTGCAGTGAGGGCTTGGAGCTTATAATTCAGACTTCCGTGAAGCTCGCTGGATCCTCACAGTATCATAATGTGTACATGCTTCTAGCCTCCAGAATATTAGTCGGGTCTCCGCACAAATTATCCATGTTATGCACAGCTTTGAAATCGGGAGACTTCTGGACCTCAACCCGCATAAAGCAACGGTTGTGTGACAGCTACGCCCAGGCCCTGGTTTCGTCAATAATGGTAATGGTTGTGAAGTCCAGACACCTTCGGCCATCGAATTGCTTGGAAACGGCTCAGTGCGCCCATGACGCATGCACGCTAGGCATGAGTCGCTCAATGGATGACACCGTCGATAGAAATAGTACGCTAGGTCAAAGCCGTTCGCGAATGAGAGTGTCTCAGCAGAAGCCTTGCGTCCACACTACGCCGACGGATTCCAGCTTACATTGAGACCTCGCCCTAGCATACCTCCGAACCCGAAGATGCCATGGGATGTTACGAGAACGAGGCTGTTCACAGTGGTCGCCCTAAGCCGCAAACGACCGATCAAGACCGGAGTTATGATGGTAGCCGGTTGCTCAGTGAAATCAGGCGGGTTGAGTTTAGGGCTGTGCAAGGAGCATGGGAAGACTTGGAGCGCAACTCAGGCATTTATCTCCTGTCAAGAGTCAATGTTGCCAGATTTCATGCTCATATTTGATCATGCCATGTTGAGGTTGACTTCCTCCTTGGAAGGACCAGTCCACAATTGGTAGATCCTCACAAGGTCTCCCAATCGTAGCCTGCCCAGTACAGCTCGTCAACTCCATCAAGATCGTTCCCAGCGTGATTATCCTATCAATTCCCTTCGCTCCGGGTGGTACAGATCTACAAATAGCCGGCGGGCTTCCTTGCTCGTCCGAAAGTCTGCTCCTAAGAGTTTTGAAGGTTGTGTCCACCTGGTGACGGATATCATCTTCAGACAGCTCGCGTATCCGCGCAAGTCGCGTAAGAGAGTCAGCAGCAGGATGATCTTTTAGCGTCGATGGCCGACCTAGGCCATAAAAATGGTTCGAGTGTGCCACAAAGCCATTCTCAGGCCTGATAAGGAAAGTGCCCACGGGCGAGCATTCGATATCAGCAAACTTGCCGCTTTTGTCCGCAAGGACGTAATTGATCGAGCTGGCAAGGCCGAATTCTCTGATGATTGCAACGGCGGCATCGTAACTGGTGGCATATTGCAACAGACGCCGCGACATGACGTGCACAGGCATGTTGCTGGGGTTGAGTGCTGCGGAACGAAGAGCATTCATACACAATCCAAACCCTGCGCTGTTCATGCCAATCTTGCCAACGATGCCAGCCTCGCCTAGAAATCTCAGCGCAATCTCGGATCCCTGAGGTTTGATGTGCAGCAGTACCATCCCCTCCTGGAGCTCGGGTATCATGTCCCAGTTCTGAGCGAGAAACATCTTGCCTCCACCACTCTGACCAAGGGAAGTACAGCCGTCGGTGTAGTTTGTGAAAGCGATCTCAGTGCGGACGTTGAGCGTGACGATGTCTTCCAGCGTCAGACCCCCGCCAGCACCCTCGGCAATACCTCTCATCTCGTCAATGATCTCGGGCCATTGTCTCTCAATGGTGGGCAGAAATCGTGTGACGGCCCGCTCTCTTGCTTGTTGCCATGTGATCTTTGCTGTTTCTCCGAAGAAATATGTGTACATATCAACGTTGTGGTGCACCTCTGCCGAGACTGAGCTGCCATGGGTAAATCCAATTTCGTACGGACTACCAGTACAGTAGACTGTTTTGACAATTGGGTCATTCATCGTGACTTTAGAGGCACCATTCATCTTGAAAGTGGTAGATTGGGTTAGTCGTCAAGAGAGGGGATGGATAGCAATGATGCGGTGTATATAAAGTAAGACGCCGGACACTGATCAACAGCATCAAAAAGTTACAAACCGGCCCCTGCAGGTCAGTGCAAATGAACGGAACAGAGCGAACTGCTCACTGTACTGCTCGCAAAGAACCGTTGTAGCAAGGCTGTAGACCTATCGACCGGCAACTCAACGTTGAAGTTCTCCAACAGTTATGCCAGACACAAAATTGTGCACTGAATATGTTCGTGAACAATGCAGGGACAAGCTTGTTTGCAGAAAGCGTAGCGGCGAGACGACGATTGTTCTACTATTTCTGTACACCAGGAGTCGACTTATCTTTTCGACTACCGATCCCACTCGTGGTCATCAGCGATCATTCCCACCGCTTTACCATCCCGCTTGAAAATGTTTGCGTCCTTCATCACAAAGTCCACCCACCTCAAAGCCTTCGGATCTTCGCGCGGATCTGTTCTCAGCGCAATGATATCCGCTCTCACCCCCTTTTCAAACCAGCCAAAGCGCATCCCGCACAGATCTTTTCCGCAGGACTCCCAACCTCCAACTGTACACGACTCAAGTGCCTCCTCCAGGGACATACCAGCTTCAATGAGGAGCTCTAGTTCGCGAACCGACTGACCGTGTGGGTAAGTGCCCGTGTCTCCACCAGCGGCAAACCTGACACCCAATTTGTAAGCCAGCTTAGACTGCTCCATGATTTCGTGGAACCTCTTTGCGTGGATACGCTCGCAGATAGCCAGAGTCGGTACAAACAGACAGTCCTTCTCTACCATGAGTTTGAAGAGCTCTTCATTGGCGAAGTATGCGTGTTCGATAGTAGCCACGCCAGCTTTGACAGCCATTATGGCTCCTTCAATGGTCCCGGCATGGCAAACCACCGGCATTTTCGCCATTGCGGCCTCCTTGACAATCGCTTCCACTTCTTCTTGCGCGAAAACAAGATAGTCGGGGTTCGGGTCCTTGGGAGGATGCAGAGACCCTGGAATGTAGGGGTGTTGCTGGGCGGGCGGATAGCGCATGATGCGACGTCGATAATCTACAAAGAACTTTATGAGATCGGCGCCAGCGGCAACGCGGCGCCTCACAGCAGTGCGTATTTCATCCACGCCGTCGACTGCTTCACCACCTCGAGGATAGCAGACGCCATTGGCGTGGTTCTCGCTTCGCAGTTCGTATGACCCAGTGCTGGCGAGAGCACGTGTTGCGACGAAAAGACGAGGCCCCGGTATAAGTCCGCGGTTGATGCAATCACGAATTTGGGCGTCCATCTCTCCCATGGATTCGGAGCTCAGATCTCTGTAGGTCGTATAGCCTGCAAGCAAGGCGGTTCGGCAATGTTGAGTTGCTCGGATTACACGCTCAGGGATGCTCTCATCGCGCTTCTGGATGAGGGCGGGACGTTCATCGTAAGAGTGAAGCATAATGTGGGTGTGAGCATCCACGAAGCCTGGCATCACAACCTTGCCTCTCAGATCAACATCGCCCTCGGGCACAGTGCTACCAAGAGAGTCCGGTTTTCTCTCGTAGACATCGACGATGAGTCCAGAGGTCGGGTCAACAGTGACGGAGACATTAGTCACAAATGCTTTCTTCTTTGGGTCGAAAAGCGTAGATGTGTGAACGGTATACTGTGCTGCTGCCATTGTCCCGGCTAATCCTGTGCTTCGATACCCGCTTGCTTCGCCTTATGTCGGGACAGTCGAATTCCCCGTTGAGTTCTGGACAGGCCGTGAATAAAAGGTAAGTCGTTGTAGAAGTTCTTTTTAATCGTGGTTGGCTGCCGCTGATCGTTTGTACCGAGCGTAAGCAATATCAGCCGTGGTCCGGAATATGGAGAAGATACTGGGCGGATGCAACAGCGTCGTCTCTAATCTCTGCCGCTCTTGTGCGCACCTATAGTGGCCCCGCACGCGCAAGACCGATTGAACCCCAATTTAGCGGCAGAGATACGCCACCTCTCGCGATGGCTAAATGTCAGATCTTATGCATTGCAATTGACACCTAGCCTGACAAGCCCTGACTCGCTCTCGTCCGTTTGTCTGAAGGCACAGATTCTCGTTGGAATCAAACTCAACACCTTGACAGCGTTGGGGTACGTCTTGGTCCATAGCATGGCGAGTATAACGGAAGGTTTGACACCGTCGCAAGCGGATGGAGATGGGCCAGACAGGTCGAGCACTCGTTCAATGCTTGCTGGCACTCAAGTATACTTTTGCTTCGTGTGCGACATTTGTTTGCATCAGAAAAAGTCGCGCTTCATAGTTCTTGATCACTTTCTGGCTGAGCCTGGCAGAGCAGTGACCGATATTCTTTGCTGAACGAGAACCGGAAAACCGACAAGAGCCTGATCTGTCGTTCAAAATGTCTTTCTCGGTCGTTGCTGCAGGTGATGTGGTGCTCTCCGGACCACTTCATCAGCCCACAAACGAGGTGTACAACCATCTGCATAGCGCCGACTCGTCATTTGTAAATCTCGAAATGCCTTTCACGATAAGCAGCTCGCCTAGCGAGAAGTTGATCCCTCTGAAGTGCGAGCCAGCCCATGCCCGTATCCTTCAAGACCTTGGTGTTGATGTTGTAACATTGGCAAATAACCATGGAATGGACTATGGGGTTGAAGGTCTTCGAGAGACTTTACAAACCCTCAAAGATGTCGGCATAGCGCATGTTGGAGGAGGAGAGGATATAGCAGAGAGCTTCTCACCTGTCATCAGAGGTTTCAATGGCATAAAGGTCGCCTATATCGGCGTGACGACGACACTCCCAAATGGTAGCGGTGCTGGTCCTGCGAGACCTGGACTGGCGGGAGTTCGTGTCTTCACCAAATATGTGATCGATTCTGTGACCCTTGATGAATCTCCTGGCATGGCGCCTTTTGTTGAGACTGTAACATACAAGCCGGACGAAGAAGTACTTCTGCAGACCATCAGCGACGCCAAGGCTCAAGCAGATATAGTGTTAGTGGCCATTCACTGGGGGGTACCTTACGGTTGGGTGGCCGCTACCCAGGACGAGATCGCTACGTATCAGCAACCACTGGCTCATGCCATGATTGATGCTGGAGCGTCTGCGATATTTGGCCACCATCCACATGTTGTACAAGGCGTGGAATTGTACAAGGGCGCTCCTGTGTTCTATAGCTTGGGAAACCTCATCTTCAGCAACAGCATCGTCACACCCGATTCTGGCTCGCGTACCTATCCGCCCTATAGCTGGAGCAGTCTGCAGACTGGCTTCTCCAATATCGGTGCACTGGCCAAGTTGTCTTGGAGTGAGGGAAGACTGTCCACTTGTGTACTCACTCCGATCACGATCACGGGAAATGGGGAGCCTGCAGAAGCAACCATGGAAGACGCTGAAGTTCTTCTTTTGCGGCTGAGAGCGCTTTCACAAGGTCGTGGAACTTCCCTCGAGCTGCGGCAGGCGAAGCACGGGTATGCAGTGCATATCACCCAAGCATAACGCTTCGGAAGGCCAGCAGCAAAGGCACGGACGGCCGATTATGGTGAATATCATGTAATGTTCCAGAGTAGCTCCACAAGCGCTTCCCATGCTCTTACATATGCGGAGCCATGTTTCCAGCGGGCTGCAAAAGATGCCAATAAAGCGGAGACTCGCATTATCGGATTCATCATGACTTTGATACTCATCCTTGACGGCAATTGATATCCTGCCGTTATGGCAGTTTGGTGGCTGAAAAGGTAGCTCGACCAGACCAAACCTGCTTCAAAAACTCTCTCGGCTGCCATGAAGACGCTTATGAGCTTGTTGCCTTCATTGAGTCGAATGAAGTGGTCGATGAGAGTAGATGCGGAGTTAGCGACAATCTGAAATAGCCTTGACGGCGGCCCATGAACGACTCTGGGATTCAATAGGCCCAACTCGGTTACGCGTGACTGTAAGGCAATGTAGAGGGTTGCCGATTCTAGGCTAACGCCAGTGTTGACCGATGGTACCTGCAATGTAATAGGGATCAGGTTCTCCAGATTGCCCTCTGACAACTCCAACGATGTCGAGATGATATCCATGATTTCCTGCAAATGGCTTAAGGTACAAAGCTCAGCTGACCTTGTGTTAGTGGTGAAGGAGTCGGCAAAGAGCGTCCTAAGATGCATCGTGCAGAAGGGCGAAGGACGCCGAAAATATTGGGCAGCAGAGCTTGACTTAAGGTCAGCGAGAACGATCAAGCAAATGTGGGAAATCTTTTTTCACCTTTCCAGCTTCAAAATCAAAAATTCTAATCTTCGAAAGTCTCCTTCCAGGTCCATATTTTGGCATCGGTAGCCTTCACGGAGGTCTTCAATGGTCGAAATAGCCCGTCCAAGGATGCTCCAAAGCTGCCCGGAACAGGGGTCGATCATCTCACAGAGCGCAAGAGCACACAATGCGGTAAATTTCAAGCTAGTCGCCATCACCAAGGCTGCGGTGGAGGCTTCTCCCTCAGATATTCTATGCACTTCGTCAATGCAGCGCAACGATATCGCGGACATGTGTGGATCGAGATCTCGAGTGACAAGGGCTGATGAGACCGCAAAAAAGATGCTCAATGCAGATGCCATTGGGTCTTCCTTGTTCGAGCTGCTCCATCTCAAAGGATTCTCGTGGGCCAGTAAAGACGACTCTTGCTCACCAGAGAGCAACGGATATTCCGGTGACACGATGTTCAAGTAGTGCTCGATCATAGCTCGTTGAGTAGAGGGCGGCACATATGAGTAGAGCTCTAATTTCCGTTGATCGTAAGTTGTGAAGAATGATGGTGTTGTTGCGAGAGGTACTATAGGCGAGAATGGTGTCTCGTCTGGAAATAAACACTTTGGGATTGGCATGCTCCTTGCTGTATGCCATTGCACAGCAGCTTTCAGCAGCCGGTCTAGGAACCGAGCTGAACTTGCCGCTCCAAGATAGGCAGTCTGTGATGGACTCAGGGTATCTTCAGCATCAGGCAGGCTCAGATGATAACCTTGCTCAGACGATGGCCCTGAATGCACGCCATAATTGACAATGCCGGTTGTGGTAGCTTCATGGAGTTTCAGTTCGAGGTGCTGTTTCTTCTGCTGGAGAGAATGTAGATAACTGGAGGAAATGTCGGTCACGATTATAAGCTAGATGGTCTATGGTCGCTCTTACCTACAGGATATTTCCTGACCGAGTGAATCATCCCAGAAAGAACAGTCAACATCTGCCCCACGGCAGTTCTTGCACGCGGGCAACTGAAGGTCACACTATGAACACACAGTCAGTATGCTGCATGGGGACATCTTTGAGATGATTTACTTTTATCCTCCGTTTGCGACATCTGCTACAAACCTGAAGCGCCATGACGTGCAGAAGATCGGAACTATCTCATGGTGCATGACTGAGTGCCGCGATCAAGAGAGAAAAGGGAAGTAGTACCTAGGTAGTTAACAGTACAGTAGAAGTAACTGGAGATCTTATCGACACTTGACAGGCACCTCGAGGACCGAAATATCCGCCCGACGCCTAGACGTTGACTAGCAATGACCTCCACACCCCTAAATCGAGGCCGCGCCATTAACCACACACCCACGATACCTTACTCGCTTAATAATCATTCACGTGATCAAAGTCAAAATACTGCCAGTCCTCACCGCCTTCGACATCGCGAAATGCAGTCGCGTTGTGTTGAAGGCAGACGCAGGGAAACGACGGTTGATGACCAGGAATGGCGCTCATTGTTGCTTCCTGTTCTTTGCTACCAAACAACATGGCGGATGCACTGCTTGACATTCCGCTGCCATAACATAAGACGACAACAACATCTTGAAGTCTACCTTATAGATTTACAGTCGCTCACTCATCCACCCACCTTCTGCGTTGTCCCAGCCCGATGCGCCTTCTACGATAACACTTAGTCCCCAATGGTGACCATGGCAGACATCGCCGGCGATGGCGCTGTTGACCCCGATGCGCAAGCTGCCGTCACCGACTTCCTTGACTACACAGAATACCTTCCCGCCGACCTCATTCGATCCTTCACGTTGATACGCGGCCTCGACGACACCTATCTCGACAAAACGTCTACACTGAACGATCTTACCAAGCTGTATGGCTCGCTGCCTACGATCACTCCAGCCGCTAGGCCAGATCCACAAGAACTCCGCAGTCAGATTTCCACACATCTAGATTCTGCGCTCAACGCTAGAGAGTCTGCATATGCTGAAGCATGTCGACTCTACGATGTGGTGGACAGACATCAAAATCGCTTGAAGAGCATCTTAGCCAAACTAAACGCCATACCAAAACCCCCGTCACGAGACCCAACACCTCAGCCGCCAACATCACCACAGATCAAACGCTCTCGCAGCGGGCGAAAACTTGAAGATGGCCCTTCCACACGATTAACCCTCCACCCTCCTCGCGGGACTACAGTGGCTTCGGCCATTCTCAGAAAGCCTCGTGGCCGACGGGTTACTGTTCCAGGCGAGGTTATGCCGCCATACGATCCTGACTCGCCCATTGCAAGCACAGAAGTATCCGACTGGGAATCGCCTCCGCCATCACCACCGCGTCAAGTACTGAAGCTCAAACAACCAAAGATACCATCAGCGGTTTCTCAGCGAAGAGAAAAGTCCTCGCCTGAGTTGGACAGACAACGAGACGTCCGAGAAACGACTGAGCCCTATCGCAAACCCACTCCACCGCCCGAAGACGCGCCATTAGGAAGCAAATACAGGCCGTGGACGCATCTGACGGAATATGAAATGTACAAATTGAGGAAGAAAATGAAGAAAAATCTTGCATGGGAACCAAGTGATATCATGATCCGGCGCGAGTTGGCCGATCGAGGGCGAGGGTGGGAGAATTACTATCGAGGTAAGGCCGACGCAGACGCCAACGGCACTACATTCTACGACATCGATAGTGTTGAGAGATCGAAACCCAAACTTGAGAAGGTGGGCAAGATGGGAAAGATCGAGGTGAAAGAGACAGGGGACACAGTAGAGGTTGTCGAGCCTGCGCACGACTCCGACGATGACGAGAACGAAGAGACAATAGTCGTACCCAGCGCGATACCCACGCCCAGTCAGACACCGGGGCCAAAGGGCAAAGCGAGTAAGAAAGATACAAAGAAAGAGAAGAAGGCGGATCCAGCTCGATCACAGGCCGCTTTGGCAGCTCAGGAGGCAGAACTTGCGGCCAGGAGATTGAGTGACATTGGCTCCAAATTTCGCAACCTGTTCTCGACGCCCTTCGCTTCAGCACTCGCATCGCTGAGCCGAAGCACCAGTACTCCCAATCGTACCGCCACTCCGGCGAAGAAGACACTCGAAAAAACGTCCAGGAAGAGAAAGGCAGAAGATGCACCCGCATCATCTGTTTCCCCATCAGCAGAAGCTGACGCGGCAAGAAAAAAGCAGAAAACGCTGCCGAAACCGTCGCCTCTGGGCACAAGTCCTCCAGCGGCTGCCCCAGTCGCGCCCATCAGCGAACCTCCGGTCACAAGCGCAGGAACCATCAAGATCCCACTTAAACTCACAGTCTCGAATGCCGCTGCGCCAGCATCTAACATGTCTACACCTGCACCTCCAACACGAGCAGGAAGTGTACAACGCGCGTCAGTCGCTCCCAAGAGAGAATCTACGCCACCTCTTCCTTCGAGACCACCATCTCGTCTGTCGGGCGCTGCATCTGTCGAACCACAACCGACGAGGTCCAGTCGTCGCACTTCCATGACTCCCTCGGTCGCTGGACGCAAGACTCCTGCAGCTGAACCGAGCCCAAGGTCCACCGCGGCAAGTCGACGCAGCAAGCGCGATGCACCCGGTACCGTCACTCAATCTAGTCAGGATGGCGGCGCTGCTGTTAGTGTCAGCATGCGTAAAACCAAGCCTGTCAAGAATCAAAAGGTAACTGCCAAGGTCAATACCACACCAGCCCCAGCGGACGTGGGTGCGAACGCGGCTCCGTTGCCACAGATTCGCATTGATGCGGATGGGCGCCAGGAGATCATTGATCCGGACGAAGAACGATACTGTGTCTGTGGAGATGTCAGCTGGGGAGAGATGATTTGTTGCGAGATGGATGAGAAGGTGCGTTCTGGAATGATGTCTTTTATTGTTCGAGCACGATGCTAACGTTTGCTTTCAGTGCGATTTTGGTCAATGGTTCCATATGGAGTGCATCTCCCTGGCGGAATTGCCCCCACGAACAGTGAAGTGGTACTGTCCTGGTGATCGAAAGAAGTTGCACAAAGGAGAGAACAGCAATGGACTTGTTGGAAGAGGCATCAAGTAACTTTCGTCAAGCAACATTGGACGAATGCTAGCTATGGCATTTCAGAGGGGACTATGTTTGTCTGGCCAGGGCTGAGTCAGAACTTGTCGCAAGACGATTGTCATGATCAGCTGATATGCTTCATGAGCATCTGCATCCGTATGACAACAGTCACCATGCTGGAGTCTTGTTCCGCACATGGAGTGTGTCCCCAGGTACCTTTGGACAAAATGATATGCCAACCTTACCAAGGCGACCTTTGCAGAGCGTAGCTGTTACTCGCAACACGGCCAGCACAATTCTCAGAATCTCAGGCGTGTATGGACTGACTGAGTTACCTGGATGGAGGCATGAGATTGGGTCGTCGAAATCTTCAAGAGCGAGCAGCTGCTGGAAGCCCACTTTGATCAAGCATGCTCTTCGTATTTTGATTGACGCGGTCGCGAAGGTCAACTTACCTTCTCTGCGAGGTCCTACAACATGAAATGTGATCGACATATTGAGCAGAATGGAACTTGAAGAGCGATTGGCAACGAGAAGCCTAGAACGAGTCAAGTAACGTCAGGTACCTTGACAGCCAAATCGTGCTGTCAGGGTACATCAATCTTCCAAATAACATTTGTGCATGTCCGACGTGGCGAGTGATTCCGAGACCAGGGGCAGTGGATGAGGCATGCGTTGTCGAAAACTCGATACCGTTTCACAATGTCGTGTTCGATCGAGGCGAAGCCTTCCGTTAGCCGTTAGCCGTTATCCTCGGTTTGGAAGTAGACCTCGTTTACGGTTTTTCTGCGTGTAGGTTTCAGGTTGTATCTAGAAAAGGGTTCTGTCACAGCCTCGCGGTGCCTGTTATAAAGGACGCCAGGAGCATTGGATCATCATTCCAAAGTGTTCCGCAGAGCCGCTAGAAAAGCCGGATGCACCACCCTGGTGCCTCCGTGCTTGGTGTGCTGCAGGTAACGTACTCGTACCACCGCCCAGGGGTCCGGTTTGGGAGGTTGGTCAGATAATTTCCGAGCCCAGAGGGATGGAATTGGTGGGAAGCACGATAAAACACATGGCCAACTGCAGCTAAACACATCCCCGGCGCGCCAAGGCAGCAGTTCACTGGGAACCGATAGGCACGGAAGCTGTGTCTTGATCCCCGACTGCCTTGATAAAAGGTCAGCCTCTGAGTCAGGCATCTGTGATCTGCAGCGACCGTTGAAAGGCGGCCGCTGAAGCGAGATATTGTACGCGGTGACTGGGCCTGGGCCACCCAAGCCTGGACTATTCACGGCCATGCTTGCGCATGCTCTTGTGGAGAGATAAGTCGTCTGCAGCTATCAATACTCTTGAAAAAAGATCAAGAATCGTGCGAGTACTGACGCTGGGGTGTGCTTGAGTGATGAGTCTTCGTGGCGCACTCAAGAAAAAAACACCAAAGATGGCAAAGAGCCCTACCGACGAAAGCATCGCGAGTTTTGATTAATTGTAACCCGCCACATGGCTGATGATGTGCAATTTCGACAAGGGGTCCCGGCCAGCTTAGCCTTACCACCAAGCCATGCAACTTGATGCAAGCCAGCCAGAGTGCGAAGAAGTTGCTGAACGTGTCACAAAATGATCTCTTGGAAGAGGTTGACCTGCCGGAGAGCTTGTGTGACCATCAAACTGTTTTTGTTGCCTCCAATGGCTTGTCTGGAGCAACGACCAGGTGAGTGACGGATGCTTGCCTGTGGCGTACATATGCAAAGTATCAGAGACAATCATATATTTACCTTCTCGTATCGGACGCGACTCGATGAGCTTTCTTTTACGCGTTTGACGTCAGCCACCAATAGTCGTACGAGAGTGGAGGAAAGCGACCCGAAGGAGCTTCTATCGAGCGTTGAAGTTAGGCCAGCGGGCGGGAGAGAAATGACCTCTGCCGGATTTCTAGGTGCGTTCTAGAGGGTCCACCGAGTGACTGGGGTAAGGAAATGCAATTTGATTGACAGAGGAGAGCAACAGGGAGATGGAGCTGGTTCGAAACGCGAGAAGCGAGAGGTTGCAAGTGATGGTTTCGGCAAGGGAATGCCTTGTGAAGACATGACATAGATAAAGGTGCTCTTGTCTGCTCGGCTAAGGATGATGATAATGGCATGGGCAACAGTTCGAAATGCTGGATATGCGCCCGAACACTGGCCTTGGACGTGAATAACAGAATGAGATTGGGAGAAAAGTGATCAACTACTACGCCATGGAAAAGACATTCCGCTCTGCAGCTGCTGCATTTTCGTAATATCGCATTTGCTATTGCCAAGCGGGAATTCCTTTCTCTCGCATACATTTCGTCGGGTAGTTAATCGAGTTCGGTAGCACTGCATTGCGAATTACACGCTTCCTGGGTTACACTAACCGAGATTCCATGGGAAACACACATCGATCATCTTTTTCTATCCGAAGACTGAAATCTCGGACGATGAAGATGTTGTGTGACAGGTCGTCAACGCCATCGTCCTGCCCACATTGTCAGTCCAGTGCCCTTCCATGGTCGATTTCCTTCCGTACGATAACCGAACTTCGTCGATCTCAAGAAGTCATGACTGAAAGCGTCAGCTGTCAAACTACACGTCGAAACCTTCATTACGAAAGTACTTTGCTGAACAAGTTCGGAAAAGGTCCATCCTCGAGGAGAATTTGATCTACACCATTTGTGGACATGCTGCAGGTACCGGCAGTGACCCGGGCACACTAAGTAGCGGAAGTGCGAGGACCACGCCCAGAGAAAACAAAATGAAATCGAGAAGGTTCAAGGCTCTGACATGAGTGGAGAACGTGAAGAGGTTGCATGCAAGGGGAGCGCCGGATCACTGACACCATGCCACCACGGCATGAGTGCATCGCGCATCGTTGGACTGGCCCCTAACCTCTCAACCGTAACGATGAACAGGGGGGACCGTCCAGCTACCAGATTGTTTTGTTCCTTCCTTTTTCCTGCTATTTTCCTTCCTTTGATGACGGTGACTGGGAGCAGGTAACCGTCTACATCCCGCGACGAGTCCAAGGAGAAGCAACAGAAGCCAGGCAGCCTCGAGTACTCGATACGACGACCTCAGCGACCTGTCAGGAGGCCAGTCAACAGCATTCACATAATGACTGGCCAGAATTTCTTTCTTGATCAACAAATAAACAGGCGGAGCTTTATCGTCAAACGGGTAATGGATTGGAAACATTGTGTTTCTAGAGTTTCTAGTCTCTCGTCAATATCTCTTCCGCGCGTTGAGCAAACCCACTTGCTCACGTTGTCTGTGCTTGATTCCTCTGTTCCCCGGCGGCAACGCAGGCCCTAGGTCACTATCACCGGCACAGTGGCACTTTAGCAGCCACACCATGGTGCCCACCAGGTTCCTTTCAAGGTCAAGCCTGGGCCTTCCCGAAGCTTTGGACAGCGGGCGCAAAACGCCCTTGTGGCCCCTTCCCTGGATTCCCCTGGTTTCCGAGCCAGGGTTTCATGTTTCCACTTCGGATGCGTCATTAAAGCTGTCATCGCAAATAATCAAGTCGGCTGTACCGAATAGCAAGCGCTACGATCGGGGAATCCAGTCCACGGCCATAACTGTTTTACAATGTTGGAACTGTGTCTGAGGGAAAGCATGGCAGCGACTCATCAGCTGGCGAATTCCTGTCGATATCTAGCTTGTCGCCTGGATTGACTACGCATAATTGGTCCCTGTCATGCCGTCCGACCAGTTGCTGAGACCATCACGCTCTCACTCCGGCGGCCTCCTTGGGACCGTTTATTGACTAGTCCAGAGCCCATTCCTTAGCCGTTGAGGGTCGATTCCATCAGGCTTTCCGGGTCCCACCATCCGCCGCCAGGCACACGGGGATATCCACCCAGAGATTCCCTGGTTCGCGAGGGAGCCTTGTGGCTTTGCCGTCCCAAAAAGAAATGCTGGTATCCAAATCCGAAGAGAGCCCCTTTCACGGCGACCGGACTCGATCTGGTCTGCTATAACTGTCAGATTTCCTACCTTGCCCATAGTTACACGTTCTTTTGGTCTCTGCATCTCCTCTCTACACTCTTTGTTTTGTTCGTATATTGTTGTCTTGCTTTTGCTTGCTTGCTTGCTTGCTTTCTTGTCCTGGTCCAGGCCAATACCAAACTCTCATAAACAGAATCCCACTCGATACATCACACGCACAGATCGAGACCACCCAGCTGCGTACAAAATCTGTCCGCAATTACGCACCCGAGACTTTGAGGGACTACCTGTACTATGTACCATATATCTCGATAGCCCATTCTAAGACCTGTCGTTCTCAGCACAGACAGCCGCCGTCTGCGTCTACTTTGACAGCACCAGAAACTCAAATTCTCAACGCGCCTCCTTTCCTCATCCCTCAATCTCGCCCTTGACTCGATCGACATACCTCTTACAAAGAGCCTCCACCTACTCTGAAGCCAGAAGAAAGCCTCAGATCTTTGTACAACACCGGCTTCGCCTCCATTCCCTACTGGCTAGAGGAAAGAGAAGTCGACAGACTTCCATATCACATCGTGAGTCGCAACCTTGTTCTATATAAGTCTCGTCCAGACTTCCCCCTGTCTGTCCTCGTCAACAAGCAAGCCTCCCATTCTAACACTTTTCGCACCTAGACACAATGACTACCACATCGTCATCATCAACTTCAGCGCCTTGCGACATGGGTCGTGGAGGATACGACACTACAGGGGTGCCGAAGCCAAAGCCACCTGCCAAATGATTTTCGAACTGTACCCTCACAACAATCATGGTCGGCAAACACAAAAGCCGCCAAAAACATTCCATTCTTTCGCCGGTCAACATGCGCCACCTCGTGCGAGCTCACGCCCAACCATTGAGCGCGTCTGCTCGAGCGCGACGCACCTGCGCAGACACGATCACATGGCGGCCGAGCAACTTCTAATTCTTGTTAACAACATTATAATCCCCTTGTGCTTTTCGACTACCCTGTACAAGTACTGTCTCAAAACTTTGGAGCGCTTTCGACGAACTTTCCCTGGCATGGTTCGACATATCTCGGGGATCTCACCAAGACGATGGTTCTTGTATCACCAGTTTTTGTATCAAAAAGTGTTTTTGGCAACCGGCGTTCACAATAGACGGGGGCATGGGAAGGCTAGGAAAAAGGGATGAGGGCATCCATGGATAGATTGTATGACTCGCGTCACTTTTCTTTTCGGAGTATTCTTTTCGGGTCGATGGACGAGCAGAGCACGTTTGCATCGGCAGGTACGCAATGGGCATGTCTGCCTGTCCAGATGGTGCATGCAAGGCTGCGAGTGGTGTATGAGGAGGGGCCGAGGGTCTCTTGTACCATGAACAGGTCGTTGAAGGCTTGTTCGCGTGTGACCTAGAATGAATATTGATTAATATGGATCAAAAATGAAGCACCAGTCCATGGATCGCCTGAACGAGGTTCCGACCAAGGCAGTATCATGTTTTTGACCACGTCGCAAAGAGATTGTTGGAGGTAGACCTCAGGGCTCTGCTCGTAAGGGCTGGCTTACAGTGAATTGAACAAAGATGTGGTCGCGCAGAAAGGACGCGAGAAATAATGCATAATCGGAGAAAACAGAGGCGCTATTCCTGTTTCTACCTGCGCAAGGCCAGTGCCTCTGCCACTTGCCAGCCATAGAAAACAACTTATTATTGTAACCTGCCATCGACCACCTCACGCCATCATCATTTAGACACCCGACTCTTGCTATCATTGTCGCGACAGCCGATACTACCACTTGAACGTCGCTTCCTCCACAGCAGACTGCCCCATAGAGCTGTTCTAGCCGCTCTTGCCTTCTCCCGCCCTCCGTCATATCCTCTCCACCTCGAATTCTCTACCGAATACAAGACGCCGGCGACACGTAATCCACCATCATCTACTCGTCGCACTACTTCAGAGTCGTCCCTCGAATTCACCTACCATACGAGTGCCGACCTTGATACAGAAAATGGCCGATACGTCCTCAGCACCGAAACCCAGTAGCAGCGTTAAGCTTGTGTTGCTCGGAGAAGCAGCCGTTGGAAAGGTGGGTTGCGCATGACCGTTGCCTCGATTCCAATAGTCTCCCTGCCATCTGCGCCCATGCCGGACCGCGACACCTCGAATCGTGGCCGTTGCGGCGCAGGTGGTTTCACGGTTGAGATCACGATACCTTATCCTCACGTCGATCACTGAGATGTGGCTTTCTGATATACTGGATATCGAGCAGAAAAGAATGAGGCTGACATTTCGAGCAGTCATCTCTAGTCCTACGATTCGTCAACAACGATTTTCAAGAGAATAAAGAGCCCACGATCGGCGGTATGTCAAACTCCTCCGCCCACCTCCGATACCTCTACCAGTTAGTTGGCAGCAGTTATCTCACATCTCATGCAACCCGTCCGCGAGCAGAACTGACGTCTCCTAGCTGCCTTTTTGACCCAGAAGATCTCCCTGCCCAACCGGATCATCAAGTTTGAAATATGGGATACCGCGGGCCAAGAGCGCTTCGCCTCCCTGGCACCCATGTACTACCGCAACGCCCAAGCCGCGCTCGTAGTCTACGACCTCACCAAGCCCACGTCCCTCACAAAAGCTAAACATTGGGTCGCCGAACTACAGAGACAAGCCTCGCCCGGTATCGTCATCGCGCTGGTCGGCAACAAACTCGATCTGTGCTCAGAATCGTCCGAACCCGCGCTTGAGGGCGACGAAGAAGCAGACGGCGCGGAGGCGGAATCCACGGACGGCGGCGACGCGCGCAAGATCTCGACGAGAGAAGCCAAGTCCTATGCCGAGGAGGAGAGCCTGTTGTTCTTTGAGACTTCGGCCAAAACCGGCACGAATGTCGCGGAGGTGTTTTCGGCGATCGCTAACGCCATTCCGGAGACGTCGCTGAAAGGCGCCAGAGGTGCAAGCGGCGGTGGCACTCAAGCGGCGCTTTCGGGTGCGGCGAATCGTGCGGATGAAGCGAGAGTCAATCTGACGGATCGAGCGAAGCAGAAGAGCAATGATTGTGCTTGTTAGTGTGGGATGTGACCTTGTCATACGGGAGGCCTGGTTGAGCAGTCTTTCGCGAAAGAGAAGCGGCTGCAGGAAGCATTCCCATAGGTGTCCACCAGGAGACGGCGGGAACATGGATGTCTTTCAGCAGGGGAATGCTTTGCGTCGGTTACAGAGAGTCCTTCACTGGATTGGAGTTCTGGGTGACAGTTACAGCGAATATCCATCTTATCTGTGCAATCGAAGTATCAAGCCATAAGTTTCGACTCGTATTCCTTGATTATGGCAATCCTTCGTGTCTGTCCAAATCGCACGGACAACGTAATACCTAGGTAGGAAGGTACCGTCCAGATCATTACCAAAGCGCCTCGCTTGCACGCTTGCTTTCCAGACACATATAGACATGTATAATAAGTACATGAAGCAGCGCTCAAACGTCTGCCCTGAAATCAAGACAAAACTCAAGATGGGTGCTCAATCGTCAACCAAGTCAATAATCTCAACTTCCTTGCCCCTCATGGGTCGTTTCTGCTGGCCAGCCAAATTCGAGCTCTCAGCGAGTGGCTCAAGATGATCGGCTTTGCGTTTACGTGCGTTCAGGTCAGTCAATGCCTGATACTCGCCTGATTCAGCATTGACATTTGCGTTCGCGCTTGCACTCGCCATCTGCTGCAACTGGTGTAACATCTCGTTTGCGTGGACCATTGGCGGTTGCCAGTATCGAAGGGTGCTTCCTGCAAAATCCAGTGGCCGTCCGTCGCCTATGCCTATCACATCTGGTCCGTCAATATCTGGAATATCCAGGACTCTGCCGCCTTGCTGTTCGATCTTTCGCGTAAGTTCCTCGCGGAAAATCGCCGACAACAACCAGGTGAAGTATCGCCTGAGACTCAGTGGTCCTTGAGGCAGTACCAAAGTCTCCATGTACTTCCAATCTTCTGACTTCAGGTAGGCATATCGAGAGTCTTGCAGGAATCCGAGGTCGGCGATTTGACTGAGCATGTCCCTGTACCGATTCCGCTTTGCGCGCCAGGTCCTCTGGCGATCCTCGAAGATATGGTCTTCCTTGCGGAGGTACAGCTGGTAAGTCGAACTGCCGGGCGCTCGTTTTTTGTCGACATAGACTGTCAATTGCCTATCACAGTCTGTCAGGGCCCGCGATACGTCGTCACGCGTTCTGGCATCCCATTTCGAGCTGGTAAACGTGGATGCTTTGGGGTTCAGGAGGAATCCGTTCACTTCCCGGCCTTGAGGGGTGGACTGCAGAGCAGGACAGATGCACCGCTGAAGAGTCGGATATCCTTGAGGCGGACGCCCGACTTCGAAGACATAGTAGTGTAACGACACGGCGTTCAAGAAGTCCTCCACCTTGCTTCGCTGTGCCGAGTTTGGTTGTATCTTCACGATCCGGCCCTGGCCACTGCGTTGAGCGTCGAAGAGAGCTGGGATGCCGTCTCGTCCTTTCATAGCTGGTGAAGTAACCATGGCATTGATCAAGTCATTGAAAAGATCACTCTCCAATTTGAGACTCTCTTCGAGCAGGGCCACGATCGGGGCTTTCCGAGCAAGCTCATCGGACGCAAGATCTCTGACTATTGCTCGTACAGTCACAGGTATCTGAGACACTGCGTAAGAGTCGCCTTGCTTCATCTGAAAACCATGCAGAAGAGCTTCAGAATCGTTGATCCTGATGCCTGGCGCCAAAAAGCTGTAGACAATGTCTTAGTAAACTGCGACATGACCTTGCAATATGAAGACGTACCACGAAATGAAAGAATCGCTCTGGTAAGCTAGAGCTATCTCTGTAAGGACATCGCCATTGACGTCCTTACCTTGCTGGGCCAAGGATCGGCACAATTCCGCGAGGTTGCTGGCCACCCAGCCTTTCAGCTGCTGATGGCGAGCTGGTAAATGCTCGTGGCACCAGTCTTCAAGCATTTTTAAACGCTCATAGCGGATTTTCAACTGCGATATTTGTCCAGCTGCTATGCTCAAGCTTGGAACTCTTAGCAGCGACTTACACAACGGAGCTGGGCGAAGATCGGCTCACCTTTGAGAGAACGGCTCGAACTCTAGCACTGGTATAACGCGGATGATCTTCTCCAGGCCTGTTTGAGCAGACATATCCGTCAACTCGATAGCCTTTTGAAGTATGTCCGACGTCTCTGGTTCCGGTCTTTCGATTATGACATCAATGACTAGATTTAAGAGGTCGTCTTCTGGAAGTTGTGGCTTGTTCGACGTGAAAGGATGTATGAACCCGGTGTAATGGTAAGAGCCTGAGCTGCGGGTATGTCGCTTTTCGTGTGCAACCCTTTCGAGGATGCGCCGGCACAGCGTTTGCAGGAACAGGCGTTTTTCATGACTGGAGGGCTCTTTCTTTGTCTGTTCGTACGCTTCTCGGATACATCGAGCTCGGTCAGCCTCACTTTTCATGCTGCGTCCCACAATGAGGTCCACAAGAGTGTGCCGGGTCAAGATAAGTACAACCTAAACACAAGTTAGCAGTAAACCCATTATCACTCTATGCCCAGACGTACAGTATCAAGATAAACATGCTTCCAAGAATTGTCCTCTTCAAAGCAGCGTACATCGTCATCTTCTCCCTCGACGTCCTCCTCATCTGGCTCCCGCTCGCTTTCATATACCTCGTTTTGAATCAACCAGGTTGAGTCAAATTTTGCTCCACTTGCGATGGGCCTCCCATGCAGATCGTACACTTCGTCGAGCACAGTTTTGTCGTCTGCAAAGAACTCGATGATGGCATTCGCACCGGAAGAGGGGCATACCGCCCTTTGAGACTCACTCTGATGGTAAGTATCCTCGAGAATCGTTCGCGAAACATTGGCCAGGCATATGGAGTAGGGAGTGTCTTCACAAGTCTTCTCCAAAAAGCTTGCTATCGCACTATCGATGGCATCCAGCGTCCCGAGGTTGAGCAAAGACTCTGGATAAGTACGTGATAGTCTGTAGGCAAGGCTGTTCGCCGTGCCGACTATACCGGTTCCTGCTGTAAACCATGCGTCCAGCAGCTCTCGAAGCTGAGTCCGACACCGGATAGCCTCTGCAAAGGTGCTCGGTTGGGCTTCGGGACCGTGAGAGCTGAGTATATCGTAAGCAAGAGCAGCAAAGCAGCCTTGCTTAAGCCCTGAGAGCTGGACCTTGGTATCTCGAAGCCAGGCAATCTCCGCACTCGAGAAAGAATTGTCACTGCTTTCGAAGGAGAATTTCTCTGTCGCGTTTGACAAGTACACTTGGAAGTCACCAGTTATTGCAGGCAATGTTATCAAGACGGTACCCAAAACATTGAGGCGGGCAGTGGCTCCGAGTATTTCGGTCAAGTCTTGGGCTGTAGAGCATAACACGAGCCGAGGGCCCGCCAAAGAATGGTCCTCCCCAGCGAATAAGTCGTCGCAGAGGCGCTTTCGGGCGCTTTCCACAGCTACACACCACTGCAGATTGATAAGTTTGATGTTGCATGCCTCAAAAAGAGCGTATCCAGGATCCGATTCCATGGTGTTTCTGTGCCCGAGCAGCGAGGCCGCCACATCAGCCGTAATCGGAAGGCCCACGATTCCGTGTTCTGCTATGCGCAAACCTGGGTTTACTGGATTCTCAATCACAAATTTGTGGGCGAACTTCCCAGAAGTGGTGAGCGTATCTAGTAAATAGCGTATTTTTGACTTCATTCTCCTGGCCTCACGGGTTTCGGACGGAGGGTCTCCAATACAGGATTCTGGCTCAGGTGTTGTTGAAGTCTCACTCTGAGAGCCATCGTCCTCATCCACACCAGATTCGTTCTCACTGTCGTCCTGGGATGGTTCTTCCTCGTCATCATTGCCACCGCCGCCGCCACGCCACCAGTTGTCCATATCCCAAGTTGCATTTCTCATTTTGCGGTGATATCGTGGTGGGCTAGATTTCCACCTAGATGACCGATTATTATTATGTGATTTGACAGGTGGTTGAGGTGGGCATTGGTGGTTCGGCGATACAGAAGCACGCGCCGACGCGTTCTGGCGCGTTTGCGGAGAAGGAGCATCTCACCAGCGTCTGACGGCCTACATCTTGGGCAATATTGCCGGCTCTTTGCCTTGTCAGGCTGAAATACTTCCCAACTGGCTTTAGTTGGAGATGGCGGCTGTCTGTGACATCACCCATTGACGTCGTGATGAACGGCTGCGGCATCCGTCATAGTTATGATGATTTTATTTTAGTAAACCTGCATCTTCCATTCGCAGAATAAAACTTCTTCCTCAAGCTTGAATTTCTTCATTGCACACTTCATTCCTCGGAAACTTACCTCATTGCGTCGATTTCGTTACTTCCTTCAAGATGAGCGACCGTGTAAAGCAGGTCGCAGCGGAAGAGGCTGAAAGAGTCAAAGCAATAACAATCGATGCCGTTCAGTCTCAGGCCTATATCTATCCTTTCAAGGTAAGCATCACTCACGGCTTCAGTGGCCGGACTGACTGGTCCTCAGGGTCTTTTCTACTTCATCACGCACAAAGAACTTTGGCGACCCTTGATCTCCAAGTTGGCACCTACCATTACCCTCAGCGTTGGAGTGACGACACTCATGTTCCTTGTCGCATACGTGCCACAAGCCGCGGTTATGGCCTTCACGTCAGGACCGATTGCGGCCATCTCGGCAGCGCTGCTCACTCTCAGCGAGAGTTCCACCCTGATCAATCTGTTGTCGAGAACTTTCCTCATCGAAGATGCGCTTGTAGATGTCTTCGACGGCACACTCCTTTCTCGCAACTGTACCAACCTTGTGGAAGGAGGTAGACAAATATCGTCAAAAGGTGACAACATTGCTCGTCTGGGAAAGTTGGTCAAGAAACCTTTCGCAAAATTCTCTCCCAATGCCATCGTCAGATACTTGTTGTACCTGCCTCTCAACTTCATACCCATTGTTGGTACAGTCATCTTCATCCTTCTGCAGGGCAAACGTTCAGGTCCGGCAGCACATACCAGGTATTTTCAACTCAAGGAATGGTCATCAAGACAACGAGAACTACACATTGAGGAGAACCGAGGAGGCTACACTTCATTTGGCGTCACAGCTTTCGTGCTGGAAATGATCCCCTTCGCAAACCTTGTCTTCGCCTTCACAAACACCTGTGGTGCTGCCTTGTGGGCTGCTGATTTCGAAAAGAAAGCCACGCCTTCGACACGAATGCAAGAAGTGTCCAAGAAGGCCCAATGATCTGCCTCGAGGGTGTTGGCATCCGGGGGCTTGGCCAGTTTCACGACGAGAAGATGCATTGTCACTAGGAGGACTGTTAGGACAATGATGCGGAGGCCAAGGGGATCGGGGTCAAAAAGGGAAATCATGGTGTCAGGAGCCATTAACAACAACGGTGGTACACCAGCCATTTCAGGTGTTTATCTCTACTACTGAGAACCACTTTCACCAAGGCCTAGGGGACATTGAGCCAGGACATGATGGCAGAATGAGGGAGTGTGACTTTTTGAGACGAGTAGACGGATGAAACCAATAAAGAATGACAACTTGAGATCCTGCACAACCTGACAAGGCTCCCATGGTTTGGAAATATCCTGTACTGGACAGTACTGCCGATATCATCATCCACATTCAGAATCAGAGCGTGGCATAGCAACTTCACAGTGCAAGAGGAGTATCGAGGTATCACTGGTGGGAAGAAGGCGGCATTTGCGTTGTTTCTGCCGGTGGTGTTTATGTCTCTTTCCAAACATTGTCCGCATCTCAATTGCCATCTGCCCTACACCTTCTACAGGCATCACACCAGCTTCCATTCTTTACCGACCTGGTTCACTCCAATTGACTAAGAATCGAAAATCACATTCCTTGCTAGTAAACTTGTCGCTCTCTATTCACATTCCTTTGCCAGTCCGGTCGAAGTCTGGGGCAAACTCGAGACAAGGTAAGCGATGGATGCGAAGAAGGTGAAATTTCAACGACTCAAACTGATGGCACACAGAAAAGGATGAAGCATCATCGTTCCGGCTACAGCGTCTTGCTGTTGCTATTCGCCTTCGCGTCTCTCTTCACACTGTCGACGACTTCACCTCACGGATCCCACCACGTCCATGCTGCTCATAACCGAGAGGAAAACCCTACATCGACAACCCAATATCCTACTCCAGCCAAAGCGCAGGTCTCGCTCAACCCAGTGTCTCCTTGCTTCAATGGTCATTGTGCCACTGACACTCCTTTGCCGGAAATCTTGCCATGCTATGCTGCGAACGGTACGACCTTCAATGAAGAGTCCAGTACCAACTACACCTTAATCTGTGATATCGACTTCCCTGGTCAGAATATCTACCCCTTTGTTCTCGCTGGTTCCTTCGACGACTGTCTGGCACAATGTGAGAAGTACAATGCCGAAAACAATTCTGCCAGTCACTGTGCAGGCTTTGTCTTTGCACCTGAACGCGTCAATGACTCCGACGATTGCTATCTCAAGTCATCCCTGATTGATCCACTTCCAGCAACAATCCACCTAGTTGGTGCTACAGTGGCCACACCTACTCCCACATGCACTCCAGAAACAGCAAAGACACAACCTAGCCGACGCTCTGAGCAAGCAAGCACGTCCTCCGACTTGGTTGTCAAAGAGTTCAGAGTGTTGGGAAGTTCCACAAATAAGCCTACAACTCAATATGTCAGTCATGTACCAGCGACACCCCAGAAGCTTGCTAGCTCCGTCCTTGTCCCAGGTATCAACACCGACCTCATCACAGAATATCCGATCGCAGGTGATACAGGCGTCTGGTGTGGAGATGACCTGCCATCCAGTCCTAATATTGCAAATATGAAAGTCGTACCACACATGTCAAGAGATGGCGGAAAAGGAGGCACAATTAATGGCACCCACATATTCGTGTTTTGTGACACGGCCAGCTACCAGATCAACACCACATCCAATACAAGTCTGATGGTTGGATTCGTTTCGAGCTCGGTGGCAGCTGATGATGGCATGAAGGCGCTTTATGGCCAACCACTCGACCTTGTTGACCACTTTGGTGAGTGGCAGGATGATGTTGGCAGGATGAGAGGCTTTGCTCCAATGACAGCCGGAGAAGAATCTTTCAACATTGCACTTTCAGGCAATGGCTACCGTTATGCTGTGTGGCCAGAGTCATCACTCATTCCACTCAACGCCTCACATGCCCTGCTCTATCCATCATTAGTGTATGATGTTGTCGACATGGATACCCAGGCGGCAGTGTTCAACAACCTGGGCAACAGTATTCTCCTTGTGTCCGTTGACCTAGCCTACGGTCCTGGCGCGACTCGTGTGGTGAAGCAGCTCTATCAACAGAACCAAACTACCTTCGGCACTTTGGGTGGTGTTCGCTCCTGGGGCTCATCCGGCACAGGGGCTAACGACGGCAGCATATACTTGTTTGGCCAGACCGACCATGGCGTCCTTGTCGCACGCACCACGCCGGATGGCTTCTCCGATCTGTCCAGTTACACCTATTGGAATGGCAGTTCCTGGTCCGGCGACATGCCCTCACCGAGTTCGAACGCCACCATGATCGATTTCGCTGTGCAAGATCTCGATGTGGTATATGTTCCAGCCCTCCGCAGTTTCCTCATGATCTACCTCAATACTCTTGCCGACAACACTTTCTACTATCGATACCTGCCCCTTGATTTGAATGTGACCCAAAGTGGATACTACGTCGACAATATCGTGACAGGCCAATGGTCCGAAGAGAAGATCCTAGCGAATATCACTGCCCCTGTCGAAGGATACATATATGCTGGTGGTATGCACGCAGGATACTTTGGCGACGACGATATCACCAATGGTGGATTGAAGATGTTGATTACCTGGACTGAACATACTGGCGAGGATGCGGCAAGCCCAGATTCGGGATACGCGCATAAATCAGCATACATCGAGTTCGGCACTGAATGATACTGGCCCGACTCCCTCACATCGACACGGTCTTATTCCTGGATATCAAGGGTATTATCACTATGACCACAGACTTATGAGGCACGATTTGTGGCCAAGGAGCGGGTCTTCTTTTGGCATATTGTTTCCCGGTGGGCATGGAATATGTACTTTCAGTTGATCTTGCGGAAAGGGGGATCCTTTCGAGCTTTTTTGCTAAGATGCAGCGATGTGATGACTTCTTCAAATTGTTTGATTGTTTGACACAGACTCATGGTGATTGGCGAGCTCGGCCAACGAGATTATGAGCTCATCAGCGAGAAGCGTGGAAGTGTTTCCTCAGAATACGTACTCAATTAATCCATAACCTTCAATATTGACTTTTCTTTCGGTCCCACGAACCCACCTTGGTGCCCTTCCATGTCGGGTCTCCTTTTCACCGAACATATTGTGGCATGCATATGATCGTCCACTAACAGCCTCGATATTCTTATCCATCTTCTCACCCCTGTCACCTTCCCCGCGCCTTGTAAACCCTGCATGCGGTGCGGGACAATGTCTCTTTGTATTTGAGGGGTAAGCACCACTAGGTATGCAACGGCAATGCAATGCGTGAGACGTCGGTGGAAGCACACCGAAGCGAACATGTGAGAAGAGGTAAGGTACATATAATGTATCCTCGACTGCCGTCGTGGGTTCATCTCAATTTCGGTTTTCAAGATCGACGATAGACAGGCTATCTCGTTCCTCCGCCCTACAACTGACAACAAGAAGGCAGTCTGATTACAAACAACTTCCTCAACGTCCAAGCCGTTTATCACTCTTACACAGCCTGCCTTAAATCGGAGAAACTTACAAACACTCTGAGCCTGACCCTCCAAGAGCTCTGAGCCTCGTCAGTAAGACTGACCTTTTCTCTCAACAATGTCTGCCCCAGCGAACGGCAACGGCATCTCTCCTGAAGATGCCCAAAATGACCCAGACGCCTTCCCAACCGCCGCCCAAATCCCGCTCAAGGACTTCTCCATCCCAGACTTCCCACCCCAAGCGTCCCGCCTGAAGGAACTCACGTTGACCGCGGATATCAAACTCGACGAGTACCAGGCCCTGGTCCAGGACCGACCCGTCACGCAACCTTCTTTACCTGAACTTCCGGCATCCATCACCAATTTGACCCTCGAACTATTCACGCTGGGTTTCCCCGGATCTCCGCCATTCCTGGGACGTCTGGCCAGATGTCTCCCCAACATCCGCAGTCTGACATTGTTCAGTTGTCTGATCGACGGCCTCGATGACCTATCAAGGAAGGATGCCGAGGGTTTCTTTGAGAAGTTGACGGGTCTAAGGGAAGTGCATTTCATCGATACTTTCGCTCGGCCCGGCTTCTTCAAGAAACTCGGTGAAATGTTTGAGAAGCGTGGTGGTGATGGTGTCCAGATCGTGGATGTAAGTTATACATTCCGCGGGCACGAGGATAGTGACTTCCTCGCGCGAGTCCAGGGCGAGGAACTTGCTGGGTTGATCAATCCGGGTGTTGTGGCGGCGAACTTCGATTTCCTCCCGATCCCTGTGGAACTCACACAGGATCTGGCCCAGGAGGGTGAGAAGTCAGAGTTGCCGGAGGGAGTATTGCCGTTTGCGAGTGATGGGCGGGCGCCGGCTGCTGTGAAGAAACGGTTCGAGAAACTGAGTTCGGGGGCACTGAGGAGTCTGAAGTACTTGAATCTGGGGATGTGGAGTGTTAGGCCGGTTGAGGTCGGGGAGATTGTGTATGCTTGTGCTGGGGGAGGCGAACCACAGTTGGCGAGTTTGACGGTCAGTGTGCTGCTGGAGGATGGGTGGGCTCAGGAGCTGGTCAAGGGCATGGAGTATAAGGGAGTTGGAGGCGCTTTAGAAAACATTGAATTGGTGGGTGTGCCGAATACGAAAACAAAAGGGGAGGGTGATGACTGGAAGAAGGGGATTGAGGTGGTGGGCTTGGAGCATGTCGAGGAATTGGCGAAGGCGTGTCCCAAGTTGGCGCGGGTAAAGATGAGTATTCTCCAGGTCAAGAATGCGCCGAATGTGGAGTATATGAAGGAAGAGGGTGAGTGGAAGAAGGCGTGAGGTATACAGGGCAATGCCAAACCCAAAAAGGGTGAAGAGGGTGCAGCATATACTTCTGGTAAATATCTCTAGACCAAAGTGATATGAATCTTGATTTGGCTGTATCGAATACATGGTATTCCAGCTCGGTCAGGGCAGCGCCCTAGTGTTCAGCCCCCGTCGCCTCTGTGGCCGTTTCCATAATTCGTTGTTCGTTAAGTGTCGACATGTGGCATTTGACAATCATGCCGTCTCTTCAGTGTGGCAAGCCGTTATGGAGTATTGACCTCTCAAGCGAGTCCTAGACCGAGTAACGCTCACTGTGGGTGTTCCGACTGGCGTCTAGCCTGTCGCTTAATGATATCGCAGTTGTGTAGAGACAACTGCACTCGGTTCCAGATGTCCGAGAAAGCTTTCTGAGACGATATCAGAATGGATGGAACGATGATGTCGAGCACTATTCAAGTCGAACCTTCAAAGTGGAGAGTTTGGGCTTGGGCGACCCAGATCCTGAACCACCACCCCCACATCCAGTGCCAGACCTCGAGCCAGAACCCTCATCGCCGTATGTATCCTGACATCCGCACTGGTATCCTTCGAAATTGTTTCCGCAGTAGATACAGCGGCGGGTCATCGTTATAGGATGGGGCCTGGCGGTCTTGACTTGAGTCAAGGTATTGTCGATAGATAATTTATTTATCTCTGGTTCCTCCAAATATTGTAGGGGCGTATACCGAGATATTGGTATCGTAGGGGATGAGAACGGTTGACCCGTAGAGCGAAGGGCTGTCCTGCATTTGTAGCCTGAGGCCCTCGGCTCAACGAACGAAGCTGTTCGCATGTCTGTTTGCGCAATCGTTGTTGACACTGGATCAAGTGATGACATGGAGCCCTCGGTCTTCATGTGTTGTCCTTGTCTGAAACAGGAGATGACCAGCAACAATCAGGGACGGGTCAATGACTGGAGTCCTCGGCCTGAAGTATGGTGAGGGCGATAGCCAGGGGTGATCACTGAGGACGGTGAAGGCCTAAAACAACGGCAGAGGACTTGCATTCGTGTAGTGAAGTGTGCATACATGGTAGGGAGTGAAGAAAGTGTCGTCTCAGCAATTCCAGCATAAAAAGGGCGGTAGGCTTCAGTGTGTTTGCCCAAGGCACTTGCGACACGACAAGAGTCTGACGGTACACAAACGGAGGTGGGAAGGTGACACCATCAAACCGATTTCCCGGATTCATGTCCTGTTGGCCTCGTGGATACGAGTTCGATGCTTCTTCCATCACCTTCCAGGCGTCTTCTCGAATATCCTGAAACGAAGAAGGCTTCTGTTGTAACCCGTCGAGCATCGTTGCAGCATGCACGATTCCGCCCGCAACGCCCTGCAGCCTGCATCAACGTATGGACCGAGTAGGATGAGCATTTTGTCAAAACCGACGTTTGGAGCGTGCAGCGGCTGGTCAATCCGCAAGAAAGCACAGAAGCTTATCTAGCGGAATCATGGGTTACGCTCACAACAGGAGTTCCATAGACTGAAATCTCAAAATCCCTCGTCGAAGGTAGATTTATCCAGCTTTATCTTGCCGGCCTTCCAAGTGCTGACAGACCCAAAGTCATAAGATTTTTCGCTTGAGTCGCCTTCAGTGATGATCAGCTGCTTTCGTGCTGTGCCTACACTCTTCAGGTACTTGTGTTCGAGGCTTCGTTGATCGACGAGTTCAAGAGCTTTTTCAGATGCTTTGCGAGCTCCTTGTTCTTCTTGAGCTCTAAGAGAGCCAACCCCCCAATTTGGCCCTTTATCGTTGCCGGTGATGCTGAGCGTATGAATCTTCGGGCAATGGGTAAGGAAAGCCAAGAGAGCGTCGTCTGTGAGGTTCACGGCAGAGGTGAGGTAGACCTTTCGAAGGTTTGGACAGGCGGCAGCGAGACGCATTACGGCAGCATCAGATAAGTATGAGCCGAAACCCATAGAATCATCGCCACAGCTGAAATCCTCAATCTTGTGGCAGAAGCCTGATCCGCCGACAACCACCAGGTCCAGATGGTGACTGTACGATGTCAGCTCATGATGGCTACAAGAAAGACTGCAGAGAAAGTCGGAAAGTCGGAAAGTCGGAACGCTTCCTCTTTAATATCAAATGGTTGAGCACCCTTCGTGAACCGAAGACTGGTGCGTTTGGGGTCCAGTTTAGATGGGTGCCATTCGTCCTCAGAGAGTACCGCAGCATTCTTCGTCGGCTGAGGTTGCTTTGTTGACGACAGTGTTGAGGACGGATCCGGTTTTGAAACGAGATTTGTTGGCTGCGTAGCTACCTGACCTCGTTGTTGAGCTTGACTGTACTCTTGTTCTGGCGCTGACTTGATCGTATCGACTTCTCTACCCGCAGCAAAGGAAGAGGATCGGGAGCTAGGGGCTAGCAGATGAACAGTCTGTCCGTTCTGGATCATCTCGAGTAGGAGTGGGAGTTCTTTCCACTTTATACCATGAAAGAGGCCACTTTGTGTGGTATCTCCTATGATCTCCTTCAGTTTTTCCTCCATTTGGGCCCTTGTAGATGTTGGAGCCATTCGGGCCTGCTCAAATGATCGGTTGACATAGTCACGTATTTCTGGAGAGTAGTTCATTTTGTTCCTTGGTGGTGGCTTTGGCGGCTGTTTCTGGGAGCTGATTTTGATCTTCTGAGTGGCCGCTAACTCGTGAGACTTCGGAGCCTTTTTCACTCGGCCCCCGTCAACTTTGTGAAGCGCTTCCAGAGCCGGGAGTGGTTTCTGGCGCATCATGATGATGACACCTGTTGCTCGAGATACAGATGAGTGCGCAGCCTCGTCCTGCGACACGTTTACCCTAAACAACGCGTCTAAGCGCGTCGCGTCACCGATGACACTATTTCAGACCGTGGGGTGCAGCCTTGAGTTCACTATGTGGCTGAGAAGTTGAGATGCTTTCAGGAGGCACGACTTCTAGAACAAGTATCATTTCAGGGTATGTTAATATGAGTATGTATCTCTGCAACGCTTTGCTTATCGAGAGCGACTTGACGCTTTCCACTGTCTGCTGCCCTGCATATGCTTAGCTTCCCTTAACGTGCCTCGGCTTTTGCCGCCGACCGTAGCCCTCATCTAAACTACCTATAAGGTTCAAAGGTCAGTCTCCAAAACTGCGGCCAGAAAGCTGTCATGTCAGTTCCATGTGCCTGGAGGTTCCATCGTCGCATCCAATTTCTACATAAAAAAGCACATGTGCATCATCCTTACCACGATTTATTAATACCCACGCTTTCCTCTTTGATCTCTACCGAGGCCAATACTCACCTGCTCATTCACAAGACCTGGGCTCTAGCCCTCACTCACATACCATGGCCGCACCACCCGATATCAACTGCACCAACTTGACGGGCAAGTTCGTGATGGTAGGTATTTAGATGCGATCGCCAGATCATGCTCTAACGACTCCCAGAACAAGTCTCTTTCCGATGATATGGATCCTTTCCTCACTCTTCAGGGTCTGAGTTGGTTCACGCGCAAAGCTATCGCCCTAGCCACAGTAGTGGTATGTCAAAGACCACCGCGAAGTGACTTGCGTGCCTGACCACTTTTAGCTCACCATCAGAGAATACTTCAAAGACGCTCTCTGGCACATCGACATCACATCAGTGAGTTCTCCTCTTTCGAAAAGACTGTGGCATTGAAGTACAAGACTTCTGATATGTCCCCGCTTTCACCGATACCGTTTCTGACGCCTTTCAAGGTTGCCTCGGGTTTATCGACCACACAAGAAGATCGAACACTCGACTGGCAAGATAGGGACCATGAGGACAAAATATTCGGCAAGTGTCGCGGCAAGTCACGACTGTTCAAGAAGGGGGAATACCAGATGGAAGGACCTGGGTCGCCTGAAGATGCAGTCTTTCTGCAGGCTGATAAGCTGAAGGATGGCAAGACAGACTCGCGGTTCGTGGACGAGGAACATGTGCAGAGCATCGTCAAGCAGGTCGGTGGAGGAGACTGGACGGCTGAGCAAGTCTGGGGTTTCGAAGAGATCAATGGCGAGCGAAGATATACCAGGCGACTGATCGTGTGGAAGGCAGGAAAAGAGGAAAAGTGTCGGTTGGTATACGACTACAAAGGCGCGGTTGAGAAAGATGACGACGACGAAGACCTGGCGTATGGAGAGGAATAAAGGCTCCAAGTCTAGAGGCTCGTGCGTTGGAGACATGCTATGCAGAAATGCGCGCATGCAAAACGCCCATGGGGAGTGAGCCTCGGTTGAAAGGAGATCAAACTTCCAGGAACACGGCATGACCGATTCGTCGTGCAAGATTGAGGACCGCTATAAGCCTGACGGTCCATGCCTAGTTGTCGTTTGTGGTAGTATTTCTCCATAGATGACGAGGCTGAAGCATCACCATGATGGGGTGCGATATTTTTGACCGCTATCAAAGGACGCGACCAATTGAGGAATTTGTCGAGGTCAAGGCTGAGGCATTTTCTAATCGGGTTTAGTCTGGAAACCCAACAGTCACGTGATCAAACTACGAGGCTGAATTTTGCATATCAGAGGATTATGATTGGCGCATAAAGGGCTCTCCACCAAAATCACGCAGTGACAGAGTTACATAAGGCTGAAATAAGGAATGCACTATTCTCAATTGCCTCAATAAATTTTGACGCTCAGACACTTCTGGAACCAGGTCGACGACGAGTCCAGTAAGTGCCATTGTCTATATAATGAGTCGCCTCCCATCCCTGGTCGGTGGGCTTGACTATCAATCACACCACAGCAACATCACATTAATAGCTTCAAGCAACAAACATCTAATACATTTGCTCACACAATATTACAATAACCACTAATCAATCCAACATACAAGAATCACACACATCACTTCACACCACATCCACAACATCAAACACAATGGGTTTCTTCAGCCGCTTCAGCCGCAAGAACAACAAGCAACAGGAGGGTGAGGAGAAGCCAGCCCACCAGCACCAATCTGTCCGCGATCTAGAAGCAAGAGCCTATAACAGATGGGTCTCCGAGGGCAACGCTGAGGGCTCTGCAAGACAGCACGCAGAGGCAAACCCAAACAGCTTCGAGGCTGAAAGAGCTCGCCGTCGGTCCTTGAACGAGGATGCAAACCTGGTCCTCCGGGCATAAAGGAAGCACTCTTTGAACAGTCATCATCACATCTTCAATGAATCCCACCAACAGTGGTGATCAGGAGCACAGAACCATTATGTTTAAACATCTTGTGAGTCATGTGTTTTTGTATAAGAGGGTCAATCGCCCTTTGTAGTATCATTGAAATAGTGTCTTAATATCTTAAGACAACAAAACATGTTTCTCTTCCTCGGGTAGCTCCCCGCGTCCCGCACAATGAATGCCGTCCTCCCACATTACCTAGGTAGTGTTACTGGCCGGTTACGAAAGGGTTGCCACGGTTAATGGGTGGACGAGGTGTCGGTCTTCTCCCCTCCATTTCCCATCGTGGTGGCCGGAACGCAGACCGGTAGGCGCCCAATGGCAATGCTTCAGCATCCAGGTCCCCCAAGCCGAACCGACCTCGGACGGCAATTCTTCGATCTCCGCACTATTATGTTATCCTCATTGCTGCTGCGCTTTCCACTGGGGCACATCCACAACATTTTCCTCCTTTGATTGTACCTAAGGCGTTGCGCAGCTAGGCCCGTATAACAAGAAAAAGGCAGGACCTCCAGCTTCACTCACTCCATCTGTAGAGCCTCGAGCTTCTTTCTCCTCCTTCTCCCCACTCCGCTGCAGTGCCGTCGCAATGACTGCCCGCCGCTCTCTCCTCCGTGCTGCTGCCCCCGCATTGTCAGCCAGACGCACACCCCAGATCACCCACGCATTTCTGAGAATGTCACCATCAGAGCAGGTTGCTAAGAGACGGCTACATGCGACCACGAAACACCTCGCCCAGGCAGCAGCTGTCGCCGACTACCCTACCAGTCACGCAAAGATCGAACAGGTGGCCGACACGCACAACTTCATTGACAACCAGTTCGTCCCTTCCAATGCCACAACATGGATCGACCTCCACGATCCTGCCACAAACAACCTCGTCACTCGAGTACCTCAGAGCACCGATGAAGAACTCAAGGCCGCCGTTGCGTCGGCAGAGAAGGCCTTCAAGACATGGAAGAACACATCCATCATGAGCAGACAGCAAATCATCTTCAAATTGACATACCTGATCAGACAGAACATGGACCGACTAGCTGCCTCGATCACACTCGAACAGGGCAAGACGTTTGCCGACGCAAAAGGTGATGTCCTCCGTGGTCTTCAAGTCTGCGAGACAGCATGCGGCATCACCACCCAATTGCCCGGCGAGGTCATTGAAGTGGCTAAAGATATGGAAACCCGCTCATACCGCGAGCCGTTGGGCATCGTCGCCGCCATCTGCCCATTCAACTTCCCCGCCATGATTCCTCTCTGGAGTGTGCCCCTCGCCACCGTGACAGGCAACTGCTTGATCTTGAAGCCCAGCGAGCGGGATCCCGGCGCGTGCATGATCATCGCCGAGCTTTGCAAAGAGGCCGGCTTCCCCGACGGCGTTGTCAACATTATTCACGGCTCCGCCCGCACCGTTGACTTCATCATCGACGACCCCGCCATCAAGGGTATTTCTTTCGTCGGCTCCAACAAGGCTGGCGAGTACATCTACACCCGCGGCTCTGCCAACGGCAAGCGAGTCCAGGCCAACCTGGGCGCCAAGAACCACGCCGCCGTTCTGCCCGACTGCAACAAGAACCACGCACTCAACGCCATCACCGGTGCCGCATTCGGCGCAGCCGGCCAGCGTTGCATGGCTCTCAGCACGCTTGTCATGATCGGTGAGACAAAGGACTGGGTTCCCGAGATCGCCGAGCGCGCAAAGGCCCTCACCATGAACGGCGGGTTCGAAGAGGGCGCTGATTTGGGTCCATTGATCAGCCCACAGAGCAAAGAACGCGTTGAAGCTTTGATCAAGAGCGCCGAAGACGAGGGCGCCACCATCTTGCTCGACGGCCGTGGCCAGAAGCCCGAGAAATATCCTAATGGAAACTGGGTAAGTACCTACATTCCCCCTACAGCAAAGTCCTTAATGTAGCGGTGCTAATGCTTTGTTTGTGTATAGATCGGCCCTACCATCATCGCCAACGTCAAGCCACACATGAAGTGCTACACGGAAGAAATCTTTGGTCCTGTTTTGGTTTGTCTGAACGTCGAAACCACCGAGGAGGCCATCGAGCTGATCAACTCGAACCCCTACGGCAACGGTGCCGCCGTGTTTACCCGCTCCGGCGCCACCGCTGGCTTGTTCCAGAAGGAGCTCGAGGCCGGCCAGATCGGTATCAACGTCCCCATCCCAGTGCCGTTGCCCATGTTCAGCTTCACTGGAAACAAAAAGTCCGTCGCTGGAACCGGCATGTCCAACTTCTACGGCAAGGACGGACTCAGATTCTACACTCAATGGAAGACTGTCACCAGCTTATGGCGCGCTGAGGATGCGCTGGCCACGGAGAAACAGGTCGCTATGCCGACGCACTCATGAGCTGGCCGAGCTGTGGTCTACTTTTTCGCTGATGAACAAAATCGCACGATGTTATAGCAACTGGCGGGAAAATTGTCAAATAGGCCTGGAACTACCTGTAGTTTTGACAGTATTCAGTAAAGGATTTATATGAGCAAGCAGACTGTGAAAACCCGAATTCTTTTGGTATCTGGTGCTACAGCGCTACATAAGCTCATCATAGTCCTTTTCCTTGTGCACGATCCCGTCATCATCGCCGTGCCTGCTTCAAAGCGGGCACACGCGTGATGGCATCTGATATGCGATTACCCTGGCCGGTAGAGAAAGGTCTTTTCCCAACGCCAGTTTTGGTGCTTCGATTTCAAACAATACTTCACCATTGGTCAAGTTCGCCTTTGGATCGTCTGCGGCTACCACAAATCAGGCGTCGACCACTGTTGCACAACTTCGGTGCTCACATCTTCAGCGTCCTTTACTCGGAAAGCTCCGCGGCGGCGCTTGAACGAGTAGTTCTCTTGTTGACTTCAGCCTGGACAGCTTGTGCACCAGTTGCGGCAGCGTCGACCGCCTGGTCCTTGGCGTCCACTGCAGCATCTTTGGCCTTCTGGGCAGTCTTCTTGATGTCTTCCTTGCTGGGAGCTTGGCTGGCCGCCGCACCACCGAAGAGACCGAAGAGGATGGCGAAAAGCAAAGCAACAGCACCGCCAATACCGCCTGCAACCTCGGGCATGAACTTGATGGCCTCGACGGGGTCTTTTTTGGCCAAGGTGATGAACAGGTCGAGCTTCTCCTTGACGTAGGTGACAGGGTCGTCCAAGAACTTGAGGTCAGAGGGAGACTTGGGAATATCTGCAAGCTTGGGCTTGTTCTTTGCGTCCTCGGCTTCTTCGACCGCTTTCTTAACGTCGTAGGTCTCGGCACGGAAAGCTGCCGCGTCCTCGATGGAGTGGCCGATGTAAATGTTGTCGAAGGTGAGGTCGGCTTGCATGGTCCAGATCTCGAAACCAATCTAGAAAGGGTCAGCAGAGAGCCAACGCGGGGCAAGATTGTTACTCACGGCTCCAAAAGGCTCAAAGTTCGCTGGGGTCTTGTCCTCGTAGTAGTTCGGGTTGGGAATCTTGCGAGGAGCCCATGGTCCCTTGTAGTCTGGGTTATCGATGTATGGCGCTGTCCACTTGCCCGCGTAGAGAGGATTCTTTGTCATAGGAGGCTCCCATTTGCCGCAGCCAGATGCCTCTTCACACTTGGGGTTGGGGACTTGAGGAGAGATCCAGTCACCATCCTCTTCGTCATCCCAGTCTTCTGGCTTCTCGGCCTCTGGGTCAGGGATGGTTGATGGTTCGTCCTCCAGCCAGTCTTCGGGCTTCTCAGCTTCCTCATCGACGATCTCATATGGCTGATCCTCATCCCAATCTTCGGGCTTGGTAGCTTCTGGATCTGGGATGCGGGCAAGCTCGACCCAATCTTCAGGCTTCTTGTCATCTTCGTCATCGATCTCCTTGGCTGGGTTGATCGATGGGGCAAAATCCTCGAGAAGGCTACCATTCTTAAGAGACTTGTTGTCAATCAACATCTCGAAGGTCTGGTCAGGCTTGACAATGAGGGTGTAGAGGTGGGTGAGCTTGTCGTTCTTGGCTTGAGGAGGGGTCTTGAGATGCTTCTCTTCATACTCGCCGGTCTTTGGGTTCTTGTGCTTGAAGATGAAGTGGACCTGAGAAACTGTGAGTAGAGCACGCGACTGAATCCTGGCTAAATCTTACCTTGTTCGTGGAACCGCACTTGTCGGGGCCAAACATGATCACGTATGGGGAGGCATTTGAAAATTCCTCAGCGTGTAGTTCCTTGTTCTCTTGCAACAGCTTCATGTATGCACCACCGCACTCCAGACCCTTTTGGAGTTTGACTTCATATTGGATTACCAATGTCTTGTCTGTGTTGTCAATGGGAGCAGGGAATTTGGCGGAGATGGCATGATGGGCAGCTGCGTTTTTGACGACCAGTCCCTTGTCGCCAACGATACCGGGCAGGACGGTGGGCTCTTCCACGGACCATTCACCAACATAGGCCCAGTCTTCATCGCTCTTGGAGTCTTCCTTCTTCGCGTGGGAGGGAGTCCATCGCGAATCCCAGTCGTCGGTGAACTGTTCTAAGAAGGGAGCCTTGAGGCTGGTGGGCTAAGAATCGTGAGCGATGAAGTCCGACATCTGCCAGTCTCGTGCACTTACTGTGAAGGTGGGACGCTCGGCGACGGTGGAGGATGGCTCAGCATCTTCCTGTGCCAGTGAGGAGCTGGCAAGGAGAGCCGAAGCATAGAAGACAGAGGCTGCGTTGATCCGCATGACAGGCGACAAGTTTCTCGAATGATACTTGAAGACAATGCGAGGAAGAAAAAAACGCAGGTCGAGTAGATCAACACGTTTGGCGGATATATTTCCTTGGTGGTTCCTGACGAAGGTCAAAGAAAGGTGTCCTTTACAATATCTCCACAAAGGGGAGCCACTGGAGCCCAGAAATGTCACGCTAATGATTTGAATTCAGTTGTCCTGCAAGCTGCAGGCCTGCAACAGCGGGGGCTAGTTAAAGGACACCTAAAGCTTTGGCCCAAATGCCACCACGCCCCGGGGAGAGACACCTGACAGGGTGACCAAGGAGCTATCACGTGGTCTAGCACGTGCTAGCTGTCACTCGCTTTCTCTTTCATGAGGACGCATTTTTCACAAAATTATGGTTCTTCCTTCGACACACAGAGCTCATTATGGCGGATCAAAATAATGATCATCTGGTCCAGTCGGATGATCCAGATCATCCTGCAAATTTGATACCCAGACTATGCAAGCAGTTTTATACCCTCGGTAAGACACGGTAGGGATGGGCACTATGTCGCGAAACTGACCTCCGTTCAAGGATGGGTCACTGGAACTGGAGGCGGCACGAGTATTCGAAAGGATGAGCATGTATTTATTGCTCCTTCCGGCGTCCAGAAGGAGCTTATGCAGCCCGAGAACATATTCGTCCTCGACTTCCCAACTCCAAAATACCCACCATCTGCGCGCAAGTACATTCGCAAACCACTCAATCTCAAGCCTTCGGCATGCACGCCGCTGTTTCTTGCTACCTTCGAGCGTGGAGCGGGCTGCTGCATCCACACCCACTCACAGTGGGCTGTTCTTGTGACTCTGCTGACGGAAAAGATGCATGGCAAGGACGCGTGTTTCGAGATCAGCACGATTGAGCAGATCAAAGGTGTTCCTAAAGGACCGGGTAAAGGTATGCATGATTTTTTCGATACCTTGCGGATACCAATCATCGAAAATACGGCTTTTGAGGAGGACTTGACGGAGCATTTGGAGAAGGCTATTGAGCAGTATCCGGACACTTACGCGGTTTTGGTTCGCCGGCATGGAATGTGTGTATGCTCCAACTCTGGCATCGATGCATCGGCTGACCGATTTAGATATGTATGGGGCGATACGCCGGCCAAAGCCAAAACTCTATGCGAGAGCCTGGATTACCTCTTTCAACTCGCAGTTGAGATGCACAAGCTGGGACTTGCTTGGACCTGAGCTTCGTGTCTTCTCAATGACCACGACTAGCCTTCGCTATTCCAAATTTATATACAACCTTGAACGGGTTAATGAACTACAAAAGGGTTGAAATGTCTTTTTTGAAGGCTTCGTTCGATCGTCATGTGCCTTGGTTTGCAACATTGTAGAAGCCGACAAGTGGTCTGAACAGTACCTTTGTCTGACTAGACGAGGCCTTGTTCGCACTTTGCGCTGTATGTCTGCATCATGTGGTCGGGCTGTCACGTCTCTCATTGGACCTATTCGACTCACCTGCAGCACCGCCAAGAAGCCAGTGCAGCCTCGTATCAGTAGACTTGACCTCGTACTTCCGTACTTGCGCTATAGCCACCGTCGCATTACAGATTCGACGTGGTCGTTGACGTACGACAGCCGTGCTACATCAAGCGAAACACGAGGATCCATTCTGGTAGCGTAAGAACCGCAAAGACCAAAAATGTCGACAACGTCACTGCTATCGGGCGCTCCCGCCTCGCCGAGATCGCCGGACCCGACCCCAGCATCCTCAGCGCAACGAACAGCCGAGGCCAAAGTAGCCTTTCTGGGGTCGTTGGATTCCGTGGGCGCCAGTATCGACGGCGAACTCGAAGCGCGAGCGAAAAACATTCACGCCAACGCCAAAGCTTTGACAAAGCAGGAAGACGATCTGCGCAAGCAAACAAAAGCGGTGGCCAAGGAGAATGACTCCCTGCAGAAGTTGCTCGACAAGACGAAACGGGAAGTGGCAGGGCTGGGCGACTTGGACGGTATGATGGCGGATCTCGATGCCGATCTGGCTATGCTTGAAGAGACGCTTAGGCTGGTAGAGGAGAGCGGTGCTGAGATGTTGCATGAGCATGAGCATGATGATGCGCCTGGCAAGCCGTGATCACTCTACTACTATTCAGTTTCCAGGAGGCTTGATGACCTCTCTTCACGAGGAAGCGTTACTTGTGCCTGGGGTCAGTCTCGACAATGGCATGTACAGTATCATATGTTATTGAAGGTCGTGAACCATCTGCGCAATCGAGAGCAGTCGTCCTTGGGCGGGACTTACGATACGAATACGAGGTATGGTGAAGTAGTAGGAAGTATGGTGCAGTTCAGGGCGGAGCACTGCAATTACTCTAGCCGAAGCTTAGTTTGTACTCTAAATAACAGCCTTCCTAATTAGTTCTAGCTTTTATAGAGGCGATAAGGAATTAAATCCTACCCCTTACAAGTAATTAGCTACTTAGTAACATTCGTACACGTTTGTAAGTGAATGATCTCTTGAGTGCTTCACTCCAGATCTCTTCTTCCTTCTACACCTTGCGTTCCCTTGGCCATGTTACCATGCGGGGAGCCTTGCCCATTTTGACCGACCCATAACCACAAAGCCGTCATGAAATGACAGCCTCAAGGTCGAAGGACGGTAGTTGAGACCACTACTGCGATCAGATTAGAACACGGAGTGGAAGGCAGCCACCGCATAGCCCATGGCACCCTTCTTCTTCTGCTCGTCTTGCATCTCCATGATACTTTCTCTTCGCTGGTCTCCCGTGATGTGGTCTCCGCTGATGAAGTTAAGTTGTCCCTCACGCATTCCAGTATAGATGTCGATGTCCTTGATCTTGACGTACAGCGGGCGTTGCTCCGGATGCATGAACCACGACCAAGCTTTCCAGCCAATGTATAGGATAAGCAAGAAGGGGCCAGCAAGATAGTCCTGGAAGAAGACTGTCGCGTTGAGGTTGGGACCACCAACGGGCCAGAGGGCCACGTAAAATTGAGCACTCAAGCAAAGGAAGTTCATGACGGCGCAGACGTAAGAGCCCCAGATTCCAAATGCGGCCTTGAAGGGGAGTTCATCGACGCTGTGGCCATTGAGTTTCCTGTAGAGACACAGTCAGAGGCAGAACGAAGTTAGCGACGATAGTACGGTATCATACCATGCAGAACGGAAGCGGATGTGAGCTATGGCGATGCTGCCGTAGATGAAGAATGACGAGAGACCGGACAGAGCTAGGAGCCAGTTGAAGATGTTGCCACCTCCACTCTTATCCAAGTTGATGAATGCCAAACATCCAAACAGAAGTTGAAGAAGGATGACAACCATAGGGCGACCTTTCTTATCGACGTAGGCGAATATCTTTGGGCCCATACCTATTCGCAAAGGTTAGATATGAAATCTCGACTTAATCGTCGGAGGGGCTCACCATTTGCTGCCAATGCCTGGAAGGTTCGGGTAGAGGCAAACGTGCATGAGTTGGCAACGCTCATGACGGAAATCAAAATCATGGCGTTGAAGATTGAGGGAAGTGCTTTGATGCCAGCCAGTTCGATGGCAATCACAAAGGGCGAGTGACGACTTTCACCTCCAGTGCTCTTGTACAGCGGGCTGTTGGCGGGGACAATGAGGCCGACGATGAAGAGGTTGACAATGTAGAAGATGCAGATACGCCAGACCACCTGTCTCGTGGCTTTGGGGATCTCTTTTCTCGGGTCTTGTGCCTCGGCAGCAGCCAATCCAGTAAGTTCGGTTCCGCCAAAAGCGAATGAGGCAGTGACGAAGACAGTACAGAACCCATGGAAGCCGTTGAGGAAGGCGCCGTATGGAGAATGCCTATGACGGGTGCACCTGGTCAGTGTGTTCCAGAGGAACCTCCGTCATATAGACTGACCAGTATTTGGCACCGATATAACCTCGATGGTCGGTTGGTACACCACCACAGTTGATGATAATACCCAGAATCATGAATCCAATACAGGCGGTGATCTTCATGGCACTGAGAACGAACTCGACCTGGTCATGTTAGTGGTGCACATTGAATACCTCGTCTCACTGACCTCTCCATAGCCCCTGACTCCAAAGTATTGGATGACGCAAAGAGCGAAAAGCAACGGGATGATCCAGGCGCAGTCGTTGACATTCTCGACACTTGTCCAGTAGTGAATGATCTTAAGTATGTCAGCATTACCCGAGCATGGCCAGGATCGTTCTCACATTGCAAGCTGCGGAAATCTCAAAGGGCAGCACAGTGAGCCAACCAATACCGTATTCCCATCCACAGGCGAATCCCCACGAAGGGTCAACGAATCTGCAAATGTACATGGTGAAGGCTCCGTTGATCGGGTACATGACGGCCAACTCGGCAAGTGCTTGGGTCATCAGGTAGCTAAGCGTTACGTCAGTGTATTCTCACAATGGCTGCGACAACATGAGTTCATACATCATGCCACCTGTGGTAAACACGTTAGATTCGTTCATGTAAGCTGAATTGTCCGGTACTCACCAATGATCATGAAGCCCAACAGCACGGCGGCAGGACCACCAGTCTGAAAAGCACTAGCTGAACTAACGAAGAGACCTGCACCGATAGCGCCACCACTGGAATCAAGTCAGCCTTGTACATGGTACCAGTCTTGATAAGGAAGGCGGAGAAGGTGCGATAAGGGTGGCTTATCAAAACTCCAACAACAAGGAGCGCGTCGAGGCAGGGAGAGCTTACATGGCAATCATCTGCATGTGTCTCCCATGGAGGTTTCGGTGCAGCTTGTTTTGGTCGGCAGTGACAATGCCAACATCGGTGGCATCAACACTGAATTGGCGGCCACGCAAGTGGTCGCCCAAGCCGGCCGGCTCAACAGGCTCAACAGGGGCCTTCTCCGGGTTCGCGAGCGTAAGACTTTCTCGGCGGGCACTCATCTTGAAAATCGGCACGACGTCGTGCTATCCTGTAGAAATGGAAATGAATGTGAGAGGATGAAGTCAGGGAAGGGGTTGTAGGACTAGATAAACTCGACAAGCATTAGAAGCTCTTAGCTTATCAGCAGATAAGCTCTAACCTTGTCTGCAGACATGGCGAGGCATGGCGAGCCAAAAGATAAGGGAACACGACGCCAATCGTGGAACAGTTAGACAGGCCGAGGACACATGGAATTGATTCGTCCTGATGAAGCTCCGGTGGCGTCTTATCTGCTGTTGTAAACCTACCATCGTACTGTGGTACAACCACCAGCTTGTCAAGCCCTTTCTGTAAGTTCTGTAAGGGGAGCGGCATCGCCGGTGGCCCGCAACTAACCCATCATCTCGCATTCATTTGCTCGATTGAGGAGATTGCCGTGCTTCTAGGTTACATCAAGATCAAATGGCGTGAGGCCAATGATTGCGTGGAACAACCTTCTAGAAGGATTTGAATTGATGAATTTGTCTGTTTAGCAAAAGCAAATGCAGGCTGGGTTCCGTTCCCGAGAATAACCAGAAGGTCCAGAACCTCGAAGGGGCTCTGCGGTACTGGCCAATAGCACCATGCTGACTTTGATTGGCGCACAGTTCCCACTGATAACCGTGATCAGCCCCATGGTGCCCAGATGCGACGTCGAGCATGACGAGTTCCCAAGATGTACTTTGCAACGCGAAGAGCCTGGAGATAAAGGGTGGGGTGCCAATGAAAGCTTGGCTTGAGATTAAAAAGATAATCAGCCTCTTTCAGCCCGGCCATGTCCGTTTAAGGTGATGGTTATGATGAATTCGCAGCTTACGCTCTTGGATGTGAGATCGACTCAGCGCAGCTTGCCTCGATCGACGCGATAGGACTCTCGGCATGACGAAAGAATGAAAGCCGAAAAGAACGAATCTCCCCTAGATCTATCTCTATGTGCCTGTGATGCCCAGAAAGTCATGCAAAATATCGACGACACATTCGACATTATCGTCCGCCCGCAGCACAGCCAAGCAGTGTTGATCCGGTCTGACTAAGACGGCACCGTCCTTATGCAATCCAAATCCGTGGCACCACTTCGTCTGCGCCGCGACGTCGATGAACTCGAAGTCTTGGCCTTCCACGACGAGATTGAGCGGCAATGAAGGATGACAGGCTCCACTAAGTTGATCGTATCGATGATGCCATACATTGTCTTTGCTCGTGATGAGAGTGAACGCGCTTTTCGAGCACAAGTCAAGTGTGGAGAACCTTTTCCTCTGAACCTCTTCAACGGACAGCTCCTCGATGTACGACACGTCCGTTGCGTGTAGCCCCTGGCAGACATTCGTGGCAAGCGGATGGATCCACGCGTGTGCCAACCGCGCTCCGGCGACGTACTTGGGCGTGAAGTGTGAGGCATGTTTTGGGATCGCAGTGTCGTTATATACGTAGCCGATGTGCAGTTCGAGCTGGAGGTGTTTTCCGTGTCAGCAGATATGTTGTCCCATTTCAAGTATTGATCCATTGGCTCTGCACTTACATTGTCAAAATGCTCTCGCTGATCCTCAACATGCGCAGCAATGACATCGGCCTGCGTCGGGTCGTTGACCACTCTGAGCAACTCTGACCTTGCCTCGCCGACGTCGTCGGTGGTGGCACCGAGAGTCTTCAGGAATGAGAAGATCTTCAGACCATTTTTGACCGACTGCTCGGAATACACCATGGCCACATGCCGTCGTTCGGCCTTGTACGTGTCAAGAAGTGTGCTCGACGCCCAGCCATGATGTACCGCCGCGATCTTCCATGCGAGATTATGTACGTCAGCGATACCGGCATTCAGGCCCAACCCACCTGTGGGTGGGAAGCTATGGGCTGCATCTCCAGCTCTGGTTGTTCACGTTGTTAGCTTCTCTGCTCTTGCCGAGGACCTTGATCATTGCCCAGACTTACAGGAACACGTTGCCGCATCGGTATTTGTTGGCGACTTTCCGACTCAAGACCCAGGGCCGCCAACTCAACACCTTCAGCTCTTCTGCTCGTCCGATAGTGCTGAGAATTGTTGCTCGACAAAGGGCCTCGTCCCATGTATCGACCGGCCGCTTTTGGGCATCGAAGTTGCATATCAGGACCTGGTTTCCAGCCGGATCATAGTTTATAATGAATCCTGAGGTTTCCGGATCGAGCACCCAGTGCAGCATGCCTTTCCGGTCACCCAAGATGGGCCGGAGGTCACATTGGAAATGGATTGTCATCATCGTCTCCTCTGAGATCGCCCCTTCGGTCTGGATACCACAGAAGTCACGGACTCTGGATCTGGCTCCATCGCAGGCGACGACGTGACGTGAGCGGATTGTAAAATGACGAGACGTGGCGCGATCCTCGACCGTCGTTATCACTCCTCCCTTCGTTTCCTGGAAGCTCACAAAGGACACGTTCTTCATGATCTGCACTTTCTTTGGGTCAGGCTGGCTGATGATTTCCTCGTAAACCAGGTCCTCGAACATAGGCTGTGGGATGTTGTGAATCATTTCGGGGGTATCGTTCAAAACATCCGCATCCATGCGCTCATAAGGAAGGCGACCGATTTGCTGTCCTGTCAAGTTCGTGATGAAATTGACGTAGAATGCATCTTTGCGAGATGTGCCTAGTCTGCGGATTCGAGTAGTATCGAGCGAGAATTGACGACAAATCTCCAGGGACCGTGGCGACAAAGCATGAGCTTTGGGAGCGGCAAGCCGGCTGGCATATCTCTCAACCACTAAACAAGATACTGTTGTAGCAAGACTGTCAGTTCACAGTGGTTCGTACAGAGTCATCCAAACATACTTCCGAGTTGAGACAAGAGATGTGCCTGTAGTAAGCCAGCCGGGCCAGCCCCGATGATCAGAACGGGCACATCATGCTCAGGAGCTGGGTGAGACTGATACTCCTGGTCGTTGGTACTCAAGAGCCTTGCTGGCGCCATGCTCAGGATCGACTCGGTTCTCTCAATGCGAACGTGGGAGGGCCAGCGGCTGATAATATGAACAAGTCTTTCAAGTGTTATCTGCCGCTGGTCGAAATCGAAATCGAACGGCCCCGCAAGGGTCCGCAAGTCCAGGCAAGTGGTGCCCCCGACCACGAATGCCCTTAGTGACCGCAGCCTTAATAAGATGCCTTCTTGCTGCCCCCGATGGAGAAGAAGAATCGAGATTCAGGATGTTCAATTCGGCAAATGGAGCTCGGGAACGGGCAACCACGAATCGGAACGACCTTCGCCCCAACCGAGGCATCCTGCTTCCGCAAAACGGAACATCAGTCTTCACTATTTGTCTGTCGCTTTTCGGGATACGTGAACGACTAGCATCACACACCCTACCACAAGCTTTCGTCCCTGCATCACCAAATATCACAGGATACTCACGCTGGAACACTTGCTCCGAGGTAAGCCGACCCACGAAGACTGAGAACATTCTCTGAAGTCTTTGACCACCAATTGGGTTTTGGAGGAGCATTTTCTCTTGAGAACGGCAGACCATTGCCTTGATATCGCACAGCGCCAGTAATGAAGAGTGAAGTGCCACTTGATGAGATCAAAAATCCAAGTTGAAAAGGCAATGCGCCTACAGCATTATGGGCAACAGTATTGACCAAGGCAAGACTATTACATGTTGCTATCTTTCCTTTTCAATACTTGACTTGACTACGGTCTTGAAGTATCTCCTTTCAATCTTCGTCTCCCTCATTTTTCTGACTGGGCTATGATATCTTCTCGCATTCGGCAAGCCATATGTGCCAGATCCTAGTCGTGCTGGGAATCGTGCATCTGTTTCTTCCTCAATTGTCCTATTTCCAACGCACTCTCAACATGATCCGTCATCTCATCTTTGACCGGCTTCAGCAAGACACACAGCAACCCAGCAGCGACTGCGATGGCCATGTTTGCAATCCATACGAATCGAAATGAACGAGCGGAGATGTCTTTGATCGCGACAAGGGCAGCATCAATGATGGTTGGAGTTATGCCTTTAACATCGGTAAGGCTGCCGATGCTAGATAACAGCGCTCCCAGAAAGGCCGTAATGGAAGATTTCGGAAGACCCGCGCCGATGGCAGCCTCGGCGACGCCAGTGGGAAGATTGGCTTGAAACAACATTAGCCAGGTTTCTCACTATATTGGGAACCCCACCTTTCATGGCATTGCCATAAACCGTGGCAAAGATTGTAATTCCAACCACACCTCCAAGAGCACGTGTCGAAGCGAGGAGAGTCTCGGCGGTACCACTGATTTTGATCTTAGCAATGGCCTTTCCCAACAGTAGAAGGAAGGACTTACAGCAAGTACGAAGGAACCGAGTATGACATGACGACCACAGGAACAACCGTCGTCACTCCAACACAGATGCCAATGATACCAGTGAAAACACAAGTCATGGCGACCTTCGACGGCGTTACCAGCGCAAGGAGGCCTAGAAAGAGGCCAGCAATGACAAGTGACACCACCAGCATGAGTCGATAGTGATGGAAGCGGCCGAGCAAGATAGCTGACCCGAAACATCCCAACAGCACAGTGACGTTGAGTGGAAGGAGGTACAAGTTGACTTTCAGCAGGTTACTCGTGAAGATGGCCTCAGCCTCGACCGGGAAGAAGGCGTTGATGCCGTACAATAGCATGCCGTCTACAAAGGCGACGGCCAAGATCACTGGAAAGTTTCGAGAGGAGAGGAAGCGATGGTCGATCAGGCCATCTTTGCGTCCAAAGCTTTCTGTAGTTGACCATCGAGTTAGCCGCATGGTTTCGTGATGTTGCCCTCCCTGAGGGACGGATGAAACATACCGTAGAAACCAAAGCCGACCAGGAAGCAAACTCCCACTACCAACATGGCAATGACACGGGCGCTCGACCAGCTGTAGATGTTACCGCCCCATGTAAGGGCAGTTACGACGCCGACGACACCAAGAAGCAATGTGATGGTTCCAATAGCGTCCACAGACTTGAGTTCGTTGGAGATGGAATTCTCGCGGCGCAGCTTAGTTGGTGGAGGGCGGTATGCCACAGCAATCAGCACAGCACAAAGGCCGAAAAAGATGGCGTTGAAATAGTAAACCCAGCGCCATCCTTCCGTGGACATTTGGGCAAAGCCACCAGCTGAGAGCGACCCAGAGGTTAGCGAACACTTCTGACACAAGCATGAGGCGAGGACTTACACTCTACGAGTCCGACAATGGCCGCAAGGCCGTTCAAAATGGCCGAGAATCCTTGCGCATACGGACGTGTTTTGGCCGGGACAACTTCCATGCTTGTGGGAATAGCCAGGAGCTACAGTAACATGAGCTGTCAGTCCTGTAGCTGCGCCATTGCGAACTACCATAGCATCGTTACATACCAGGAGAGATGCGGCCACACCATTGATAGCTTGACCTCCAATGACCTGGTTGATACTGTCATAGGCATATTGTCAGCCGGGGACAAGTGTAGAAACTGAAAAGCACACCGAGATGTTTCCGACCAGACTTACTTGGAGGCTTTGCCGGCAATGATGTTGCCCGCTATACCCAACACGCCTCCTGAGACGAGAAACCACTTCTTTCCAAACCGATCACTCAATGCGCCCTGTCGACAAAAGTGTATCAGCAAGCCATCTTTGGTGCGCAGAGACAAACTCAAGTCACTGACCCATAAAGGCTGAAGCCCAATAAGAGGGAAGAGGCCTGCGTTCGGAATCCATGACGACGATGTCGTTCCGCCAAATGTCTTTGCGACGTACGAGGAAGTCGTGCCTGGTCCCACGTTGGCCAGGGTACAGGTTCCCCATGCAAGCCCGAGGATGAAGATGAGTGTCCAAGTGCGGAGGGAAGTGTGGTAAGAGTGCTCTAGAGCAACGGTGTCCGTAGTCATTTGTCTGTCCAGATTCTGCTCCGCGGTTTCCACTTGGGCGTCTGGTTGAGATTTCTGCTCCATGGCGCCTAGTCTAGGCAGGAAGCCTGAGGAAGGTACAGGTGCGCGGGTGATACTCGGACGTGGACAAGGTCAACTTCTGCGGATGGACGGAATGCTGTCGCAAGTGGTGTGAGAAGCATTACCAGAGAATACATATAGTTTGAGTGCTCTATGCGTTCCCCAGAGTTTTCTTTATGGAGAATGTGGAGGAGGAGTCTCGGACGGAGAAAGGAGAGCATGATACCCACTTGCCGGATTGCTCGCTGTACTCCGTACATCGCTTCCGATTGATTCGGTTGCTTCGCCAAACCCCTCTAGACCAAACCGAAGACGTCTCCCGAGGCAAGACGTTGTGGCCGGTCCGAGCAGGGACTGAGGACTTGGTTTTGATTGATGGTGGTGGTACCTGCTTTAGTCGTTCGTAGGGTAAAACAGTGCTTTGCAAGGCTCGCTTGCACTCAGATTTTGTCTAGCCATTCAAACAACACAGTTCGTCTATGGTCCGCATGCGCTCAGGTGTTGCCCTAATTGAGTCAGTCATGTTGCACGGCGTCCCCCAGTCATCCTGTTGTCTAGACCATGGGTACGAGTAATGAGCTTTCATATTCTCCACCAGTCCATATCTTGACGTCGCCCCATCCATGATTGGGGCCCTTCACTTGTGTCCGGTTCTGCTGGTTCGTAAAAGGGCTTCCCTTGACCACCAATCGTAGCGTCTCTCCTGTCTCCCAGGTTGTACTTGACGGCCAGATTTCAACACTAACTCCAACGATGTCCCCTGGGGTTAGCCACTGCCGCTTTTGATGAGTGTGATATGGCCTTTCCGGCCTGCTCTTGCTGGTATCAAGCTCTCTGTGGGACACACGTAACCATCCAAACGACGCTGATGCCTCGATCTGCTGGGTCGAGTGATAGAATTTGACTTCATTGCCGTCCTTGTCAAGCTTTTGCAGTGCTACATAGAGATCGACATCTGGATAGTTGAGTGCTTGAATGTAAAGTCGGACCGAAGAGTAGCCTGTGATCTCCGTCGGAGCCGTGAATTTGTGGTCAAAAGTTGCCACTGAACCTGGTTCGTGAGCTCGGAATGTCACAGAGTCTGCCTTGGTGACAGGCTGTTGCGTCAGTCCCGCCGGGGAGAGTATAAGCCGGGTGAACTGTGCCTTGGGTGGAAAGTCTTTTGTGGTCCGCTGGGTTGACTGAGTCGCTGAGCTTCGCACGTCGTATGTGACTCGGGGCCAATTGTCCACTCCGTTCTTTATACCTTTGAGATATCTGTCGAAAAACTGCTTTTGTCTTTGGATATTGTGTTCGTTGTAATACTCACCCCATTCTCGACCGGCCTAGAACATTAGTGAGAGTGTGATCCAAAACCCGCAGCAAGACATACATGAACGAGGAGGTATTTGTCCTTCGAAGAGAATTGTGACCATGCCTCAATGGTACCACGTAGATGAAGCCCGAGACTCGACCAGCCGGTCACCGAGAACGCCGGAATATTGATTAAAGACCAGTCCGCAACTTTTGATTGCCACCAAGCATCATAAAGCGGACGTTCGATTGCAGCCACAGCATGATCTTCACTCTTGTTCAAGCCATTGCCGGTCATGTCCATCCAAAGCTGCTGGAAGGCGACGTTAGGGATTCCACCCGGACAATTGACCTCACGGTAGATGTCGCTGATGCCCTCCCAAGGCATTATCGCTTTCAGATGAGGTGGGTGCAGAACCGCAGTCTGGTAGATGGACATGGCAAAATAAGATACTGCTCCCCAGCCCACAGCGCCAGTACACCTAGACAAGGAATTAGTATGTTCATGAGTCTAGAACCGTCGCGAGAAGAGGGTTGTACGCACCATTCTTGCTCAGCGATCCACTCAACCACGTCGTACCCGTCTCGTCCCTCTTCTGGCGAGAAGAAATGAGCAGCTTCGCCCTCTGACCACCAACAGCCACGGGGATCCACGCTCACAAAGGAATAGTGGAATTCTGCACACCATCTCAGGGGGTCGGGCAGCTCCCAATGCGTATACTTGGAGAGCTTGCTGAAATCGACCCCCATATTCTGAAATAGCTCGCGTGGCACAGCACCGTGCTTGCCGAAAGGCGCAAAGAATACGATGGTCGGTGTCTTTGCCGCGACGTCTGGGACAGGACGGTAGACATCGACATATAAGTGGACGCCATCTCGCATGCGGACTGCTACATCTTTCTCGAGGAGTACTTTGCCTCCGTCAAGAACAATCGTCTCATGCTTCAAGTCCGGGGCTGGCCGCTTGGGTGCAGCAATCTGAGAGAGATGAGCTTCAGGCCATGTGGATGAGGAGTCTTCGGTGCTCACCTTTTGAGGATGGACCGACTTGCGGTACGGAGGACGAAAGTCATGGGTATAGATATTATGCCCTTCCGACGACATATTAACTGCTACGACCTTCGTGAAAGCGTCAGCCCTAGATTTGCTCGACCTTGATAATTGCAACGCGAGTATTTAGCATATATCGTTGGCAATGGTTCGCAGACGTGATCATCCCCGTCAAAGTCATCTCCGCAAAGCGGAGATGGAAGGCAGGCGATATGACAAGAGGCTGGCCCGAAGCAGGAAGTACCTGACCACCCGATTGGCGCACCAGCGGAGCGTTTCCTGTCTGTGAAGTCCCACTTACCGTGATGATGAGTTCAGCACCTCGGCAAGGAAATCGCTGCTCGCGACATTTTTATTGTACAGTACCAGACGCTAGCGCCCATAGCGGTTCGCGCCATAAGGGTTTAATCTCGATGAAATAACACAGAGAACCCCAAGCTTGCAAACTAGGCGTGATGACGTGGTCGAGAAACTGCCTGCTTGCACGTTGACTTACAATGATAGTGTGCTACGAAATACTCGTTCCTGGCTCGGCGTAGTCAGCAGCCTCAGTGATATCGCCGTGGTACATGTTCCAGGAGACTCCCCCAGACTCGAAATCAAAGAAGTCGGCCAGTGAACATAATCCCCCAGCACCTTCTCCTAGAACGCTTGTCATGAAAGCGTCCTGCCAGCTGGCATCCCCATGGACATCACTTGGAGAGCCATTTCCGGTGGCTGAAAACCCTAGTGGGACCAGAGGCTGTAAATCACTCTGTGTCGCGCCAGCCGGCATCGAAGGGTCCTCTCCTCTTCGGCTGGCCGCTGCACGCTCCCTGCAAACGATTTTGGCAACTTCGCATACTTCTTGCGTGAGTTGAGCGCAGCGGCGCGCTACCACAACAGACTTCATCACCTCAAACACTTCCAGAGCTTTGTCAAGGTCCTCAAAGATCTCGAATACAGGGGTGTCGCAAGAGCCCATAAATATCACAGATAACGCTATCATGCAAGCATTGAGCAGGTAGGTCGTGTTATACCACCACGTCCGGAAGTAGGGGTTGTGCAAATACGTGTCATACAGTAGTTGAATCGTGGTTCGGGCTGCCTGCAAGCATGCAGACACCTCTCGTCCAATGGTGGCATTATCGTCGTTGGACGCCCATGTCTCAACGAAGCGTCTGTAGAGGAGAATGCGCGCACTGTGATATCGAAGTTTCAGAACAATTTTGCATCTGGTTACCCGTTCAGGTTCTGTCAGTGAACGACGAGAAAAATAAAAAACCGTCGGTAGGCTGCTCTTCCAGTCCTCCAGCACTGTATCAAGATAACTGGCTTTTGTGCGAAGTTCTTCGAGACGTGGCGGGAGATTCTGATACAAGTCTTCCGATATTTGCTTGAGAATGTTTGCCAAAGTCACCATGGCGATGATATATTGCCCTTCAGCCTCGTCTTCTTGTAAGGGTAAGGAGTGGCTTCCTGGCAAAGGCAAAGTGTATTGCGCCGAAGTCTTCGTAAACGTATCGCGACCGGACGCACAGCTCATTTCGACCTCGTGTGCATAAATGCACCACCATGTTCTCGCCGCCAAACGTAAGCGCTCATCAGACCGCGGACCTCGCCCGCCTTTCTCATGTGGCAGGCCAATGGCGACAGCCGACGTTGTAGCCATACCACTGAATAGATAGCAGCTGTGTGGCTTCAAGGCGTTCTGGCAAAACACGGAAAGGAGGAACATCGCTTGGGTGCTCTCCAAAGAACTAACCTCGAAAACGTCGCCCAAGTTGGCTTTTGCGTGGCTGAAGTATTGTTTCGCATACTGAAGCGAAAGTGGCGGAGAGCGGCTCGTCGAAGAGTTCTTTTCGGTCGACCCCAATGGCAGAGCAGAGCTACAGAACTCTTCGCTCGCCACAATAGCGCCAAGCGCCAGGACAGCGTAGTAAAGAGCAGTAAATCCTTGAGAAGGCTTGGTAACCCTGTTGCCTTCGTCCCACAACTCCCTCTCACATCGAGATATGAAAGCCCTCTTTTCGAGAATTGGGTGTATCAGGTGCAAAGACAGGAAATATTGCCCAATGAATGCCGAGTCAACCTCTCTAGCAGTACGAGTCACGCTGCTGGTCGCTGGTGAGGTGAAACCAAAATCGAGATTTCCCAGTCCTAGATTTGTCTCATGCGTACCTGGCGATCTACCGTCGGACTGAGAGGTCGGGTAGAAGGGGTTATGCAAGTAGCTGAATATCGAGGCGCCTTTCTGTTGATGAGAGGGCATATTGTGCCGATGCGCCTGTTGGCGAAGGCGCGAAAGGAATGGGAACACCCCAGTTGTACCGTAGAATTCAGTGCCTCTTGTATGAGGGTTGATGCCCCCGAGCTCTTTGCTGTTATCATCACGATCGGCAGGGACTTCCTGCTCATTATCGATCAAGAGTGATCCTACTGGGCTCTGAGACACTGATATAGACCCGTCGTCCACGCCTTCACAAGGCAGATCTCGGAGTCTATCGATGGTAGTGGTGAAATGCGACACCGTTGTTGGATTCGGGGCCGTCAGGATGGTTCCATCAACTTGCCGTGAAATTGACGCCGGTCTTGACGCTTTGCGAAGGTCTGTACCATCGACATTTTCGTAAATGCAAGAACTGATTATTGACGCCTTTACACATCTGCTGCATGCATTTTGGCCGTCCCCTTCACAGCGGAGTTTTCTTCGGCGGCATGGCTCACACGCAATAAGTGCTCTAGGTAGTCTCTTCCGCTTTTGACCTCTGGAGACAGTGTGAACGTCGGTTGAAGCTGCTGGCGCATTTACCACTGGCGACCCCCAGCTTTCCCCAGCATGTGTTAGCATAACACCAGCCATGTGCTAGACAAAGGCCTCCTCAGCAGTCTTTTCGAGGCAATAACAGGACAACCATCCCATGTCGGGAAGTCACGCTTGCTAGAAGTTGTATACTGTAGTGGTTCTGGGAGCGGCGACGGAATATGCGAAGGAAGGAGGTTTCTTGGTAAGCCCTTATGAGGCTATGACCCAAATACTGTAGGTGTTCGACCCTTGGCGTCGGGGCTCAAAATTGGGGACCTCGCCAGGGAATTTCCCCACCTGGAGTCTCGATACAGGCGACAGACCTCCTGTTTAGGTGTGACTTTCAGCCTCGTCCAACTGGTACTGTAATGACGTATCCAGCCTGAGGTCCAATCGGTGGCCTGCGTTCTCCGCAACATCTCATCGTTGTCAGTCAACAATCCACAGCCGCAGTTTCGAAGTCACCCCTCCTTGCGCGATACAGGTTTCTCCGTTGTCGAAGAGCGCGTGCTTCATGCAGAGCCTCACTCATGCTCTCAGCTTTCACAGCTCAGCCGATTGTTGAGCTTAAGCGAAGGGACAAGTCGAAGATCGAATCAATCCTTTCGCATAGCGATCAATTGCTGGTTGGCCTCAATACTGGTTCTCTCCGGATATATCGAGTCAAAGCCTCTTCCTCACGTCCTACGGACGGCGCAGAGCCCGATGGCGCCAGTAACGACGCGTCCGCAACGACCACGAAGCCGTCTGAATTACTTCGAGAGTACGAGAAGTTCTCCAAGTACAAGATCGAACAGCTTGCAGTCTTCCGTGAAGCAAATATCCTGATATCGTTGAGCAATGGACTTGTGTCAATTCATGATCTGGGGACATATGAGCTTCAGGAGCAGTTGACAAATACGAAAGGAGCGTCTGTCTTTGCAGCGACGAGCAACATAGTGAAGGATTCTACAGCCGGGGTCCCAACCTTGGTCAGCAGACTTGCCGTTGGTGTGAAGCGCAGGTTACTACTGTGGTCGTGGCACGATGGTGAACTTAGTGGAGACGCCGTGGAGATCGCTCTTTCACATAGCATCAAGTCTCTCACATGGGCTACTGGGACGAAGGTCCTTGCTGGACTGAGCACACACTATGTTCTCGTCGACACTGACTCCCAAGATGTCAAGTCCATCGTGGGACCCGGGAGCATCGGCGGTGCTCCTGGACAAGAAACTAGTCGACTTGGAGGGACGATGAGCTACATTGGAATGGGGTCGATGGTGCCCACACCCTTGGCAACAGGACTCGGCGAAGACGAAATGCTACTGGCACGGGACATCAATACGCATTTTATAGACCGCGACGGTGAACCAATAGGACGACGTCAGGTGCCATGGCGAAGTCCTCCCCAGGCCGTGGGTTACTCTTACCCCTTCCTTCTTGCTTTGCAGGAGCCAACTAAAGGTTCCCTGGAAGTTCGCAACCCCAAAACCTTGACTCTGCTGCAATCTATCGATCTACCTGGTGCTGTGCTGCTCCAAGTACCAAATCCAAATATCAGCCTGGCTCATCAAGGCAAGGGATTTCTCGTGGCCAGTGAACGTATCATTTGGAGGATGCAAGGTCTGAACTATGATGCTCAAATTGATTCCCTGGTCGAAGGTGGCTCACTCGATGAAGCAATCAGCCTCCTGGAAATGATAGAAGAGACACTTATCAAGGACAAAGCAGGCCGTCTTCGAGAGATCAAGATGCAGAAGGCTCAGAAATTATTCGACGAAAAGAGATTTCGAGACGCATTGGATCTCTTTAGCGAGGTCTCTGCACCTCCAGAGCGTGTGATAAGACTATATCCTGCCATCATCGCAGGCGGTCTGACTCCGGAGGATCATCAGGCCAGCGAAGAACCTGTGCAGCCTTCTGCAGAGACTGATGCTCCTGCAATGACGGAAGCGAAGCCGGAGTCCGCTGCTAGTCCCACGAAGAAGGTCAAAGCTGCACCCTCTGATGTCGATACAGCGAGTATCAAAAGCGTGAAAACTGCCGAGAATGCTACGGAACAGGGACTCTCTGACAAAGACCTGAAAATGGCAGTGCGAGAACTCCAAGCATTCCTTGCTGATGTTCGACGGCGTCTACAAAGATTCTTCAACCCAGATCAGACCGTCCGAAGCCTTTCCGAAGTTCAAAATGGAGCCCAATCTGAAGATATCCGACAGATAACTGAGTTCCTTTTGGGGTTGCCGACCCTGGAACAGGTTGACCTTGCTGAGAAGCTCTTAGAAGTGGCAAGGCTGGTCGACACAACCCTGTTCAGAGCTCACATGTATGCAACACCGTCCCTTGCCGGCTCGTTATTCCGGATATCGAATTTCTGCGATCCAGATGTTGTCATGGCCAAGCTCGAAGAAACCGAGCGATACAATGATCTGATCGAATTCCTTTATGGGAAACGACTGCACCGGCAAGCACTGGAGAGGTTGCAAAAGTTTGGAAAAGCAGAACATACAGAAGATGTCGACCCTCAATTACACGGACCTGCCCGAACAGTCTCCTATCTACAGAACCTGGGACCTGAGTTGATCGACATGATCCTAGAATTCGCGCGATGGCCATTGGAGGCCGATCCAAACATGGCAATGGAGATCTTTCTGGCCGATACTGAAAATGCCGAGTCTCTTCCTAGGCACAAAGTCCTGGCATTCCTCGAAATTATTGACAAGGATTTGGCACTAAGGTACCTTGAGCATGTCGTGGATGAATTGAACGACACGACCCCCGACCTGCATCAGCGGCTTCTGACTCTCTATCTGGAGCACTTGCAAGAGACGACATCTCCAGCACACCAACAGGAGCATCTTGATAAATTACTGACCTTGCTCAGAACATCGGAGCAGTACTCGCCGGCAAAGACTCTTGGATTGCTTCCACGAGACGACCCTGTGTTCTACGAACCACGAGCGATTGTGTTCAGCAAAATGGGCAACCACAAGCAAGCCTTAGAGATCTATGTGTTTAAGCTGCAGAACCCAGCTAGGGCAGAGGAGTATTGCAACCAGACTCATCTGGAGGAAGCCATCAACGACACCAACAAGCCCACATCTCGGCGGAGATCAACCTCAACCACCGACCCAGTCGACGAACAACCGTCCATCTACCAGATTCTTTTGAATCTCTACTTGAACCCACCCAAGGGGGAAAAGGCATTGTGGGGACCAGCCATTGAATTGATGGCTCGTCACGGGCCCCGACTGCCCGCAACTTCCACGTTGGAGTTAATCCCTGAGGATTTACTGATCAAAGAGCTCGAATTTTATTTCCGTGGCAGAATCCGTAATGCCAACAGCATCATGAATGACTCGATGGTAACATCTGGATTGAGGAAGGTCGACGCAGTCCGTATACAGGCTGCTCTTCTGCTTGGTGACGGCGCCAAAACCGGAGGTAGAGGCAGGAAAGTCCGAATCGATGAAGATCGCGTCTGTGGTGTCTGCTACAAACGACTCGGCGGCAGTGTTATAAGTGTCTTTCCTGAGTAAGTGTTTCGTGTTGCAGAACCCTTCCGTTGAGTACCTGTGCTGACATTGTTATAGCAATTCCGTTGTCCATCTGGGATGTGCCGCACGCAAGCAGACTGATATGGATGCTCGGTCACGATCATGACGACTCTTTCAATCGAGTTCCTTTGTCGCCACGTTAAGATACCCGTTTGTAATTTTCTTTAGTAGACGAGTTGTCCTGCAGCAGGGTTTCCACTGTTATTCAAGAATCGTCCTCTGGAGCTTCTTCACCATAGGTTTCTTCCTCGAGCTCCTCTTCCGCCTTCTGGTTTGACGTGCCTTTCGTGGTGACCTGGCCCTGAGCTTTCTTATCTTCCTCCATTTTCTCTGTGAGGAACTTGTTGATATCCTCTTGTAATTTCCTGCTGGAGGCTCGAAGATCGGACAGATATTTCGTCTTCGCCCGTGTATCGAGAGGCTTCGTATCCTGAGAGGCCGGGGCAGATATCGCGTGCTGAAAGTCCTTAGAGCCCGTCGGAGACTGATACTCAGCCCTCAGTACCGCTGAGGAGTCGTTGAGGCCTGGCATTATTTCAACATGTATTGTAGAGATGTTTGAAGGAAAGAGTGACAACTTATTTGCCCTGTGAATTTGCAACTGAACGAACCACGAAATTCCGTCATCTCCGCAGCAGATCGACCGAAACATGGAGATCCAGATCCCCAAACACCCTTGACATCAAACACTCGACTATCGTGGTAATCATTATTCCCTACCTACCTAGATACCTTCCTAATCGACTGTCGCTTTCCTTCACATCCCCAGACACGCAGCGACAGTGGCATGCGCTCCGACAATGCCGGCTTGGATTTGCGATCGTGAAGCACCACATGCGCAACAGGCGAGGACTCCCTAGCCCGCTCCAATACCTCGTACTGCTTTCGACGAACCTACGACCAATGTAAAAGCACGACCAGTTCGATGCGCGGCTGAAACTTGAGTCATACCTTACGGTAACATCTCTCTATACTCCAGATGTCGATGAATCCTCCTCCTCCTCCTCCTCCTCGAGGCCGGCTGGGCCTACGGTCTCCCGTGCCTCCTTCCTCTATTTCACCAGATCCTTCACGCGCAGGATCAAAGCAAAGCAATCGACCTGGTTCAAGCGGAAGTGACACCTCTGCTTCCTCGAACCTCTCTGTCGTCAAAAGATCTCCTTACAATCAGCAGCTGCCTAGCTTTGTCTCGCATAACAACAACAGCAATGCTTCATTGCAGTCCCATACCAGACCCTCCGCCCAATATATGCCTCGGGACGGTGCAGGAAGACCAAATCTGGGGCCTCCGTCAGACTATCACAAACACCGTCCTAGACAGCATTCTCAGGGCTACTTTGAACCCTCAATGCCTTCAGCCTCTCTGGCCAGTCAATCGGCTTTACACGATCATGCCGGCACCCCGGGGCTCACGCCATCCCAGATCGCGGCGCAGGCTGCCATGCAGCACCTCGCTGCCGCCAACCACAATCGGAAGAGATCTCAGACCATTCCGTTTCCGCAAGAACAGAATCAATCAGAAAGTCGTCGGAGCAGTAGAGGTTCTACAGGGTCTCATGAGGGACAGCCGCAATCTCCTGCTCAGGATCAGCAGTACCGCAACGGACTCATTGGTACCAATGCAGCAGCAACAGCGGCTAGTGTTGTGTTTCCGCGAAACTTTGCGTCGTCTAGTCAGGTTTCTTTGGTAGAAGAGGATAAGTCCAAAAAAGGACTCAAAAGATTCAGGCCGAAACACATGGTATTATCTAGAGACAAGGATAAAGACTCCAAGGAGAAGGCACTCCCGTCGCCGAGCAAACCGGCTCCAAGTGGCTTGTCGAAGGTCATCAACGCCTCAACGACGAGTTTGGCTGAATCCTTCTCCTCCAATGCCTCGTCCATCTATCAGCACGCCAATGCATCTTCGACCACAATCCTTCAAGTACCGGAGCAGAAGGACAAGGCGCACAAGCATCATGGTCTTCGTCAGAAGCTGAAGCTCAAAGACAAGGACGAAACTCATTCTTTGGCCTTGTCATCAGCGAACTCGAATTCCCGGCCTGTGGATGTCAATAATCCTCAGTCCCTCTACTCGTTCGCACCGTCCTCTCCTGCTCCATCCTCCAGTTTTGCGAAATCCATGTCGGGCCTCGACCTTCGACATGGCGGCCGTGCTCTGCGGGAGAAAAAGAAGGAAGAGAAAGCGCAAGCTATGGCGACTCTCGAACCTGTCTACAGCCGGGGTGAGAGCGACACGTCTGAATGGCCGGTTCTCGGCACCAGTCTTACGAACTCATCAGTCACCAACTTCAGCAGCTATGCCGAAATCAAGGAGGCCGGGGCGAACGTTGGCCTCCCGAAGATGGGCGCTGACGACGCCTGGGATCTTTTGAGAGCCAAAGTATTGGCAATTTTCGAGAACGAGGATGTGAGGGTTCCCGTAGAGAACTTGAACAAGTTGATCACGATTCACGTCCAAAGATGCGTCCAAAGGAGGGATCCCAGTATCGTCATAGGCGATATGGAAGATCTACTCAAGACTGGTTTCTACAGCCTAAATCACACGTTGCGTCAAACTTTTGACGATCGATTGGTCCCCAACCTTGTCAGTATGTGGATACAAGTGTTTGGGACCATCTTGCCTTTCATGCAAGCGGTCTTTCTTCCCCTGGATCAAGAGTTCAAAGGGCGAGGCAGTATACTGACGAGTCCAAAGATGGCGGCAGAGTTCTGGGGTGCCATACCAAGTGCCGAAAGTGGCAGCAAACTGTCGTCGTCGCCTGCTTCTGGTGGCGGCAATGATTTTGTCGTTGCTGCCGGAGAGGAATTGGAGGTCAGGCGCATTCTTTTGATTACCTTCCGAGACATCATCATCCTACCCAGATTTGAGGTGTTGAAATCCACATTCTCACGCTTGAGCCTTGAAAGCATCAATGCCAATCTATCTCAGCTGGATCACCCCAGCCGAGGTCGCGGCAACAGCGGCGGCAGTGACCGACCACCCACCTCGCAAAGCGCCGAACCGGTTTATGGAAGCTACAACTCCCAGACGAGCACATTACTTGGTAGCGTAGCTTCCGGTGGCCGATCTCGGGCAACGTCGAATCTGTCCGTTGTTAGTAACCCTGCGCAAGATGTCGCTTTCCAATCATTCAGCTCCCCTCCAGCAGCACGACCCTCAGATACTTCTTCGGCACAGGTGACCGAGACTGTGGGGCGAATGCTCCAGTGTCTTTCAATCTTGTGTGCGATTCAATCAGGTGATACCTCTCAAGCTCGAATGGAAGAGCTCAACAGACAGCTCAAGCTGAATTGGCTCGGCCGTGGGCGCACTGGTCGGAATAGGAAAGGTTTTGTTGGAAGCCGAGTGAGGCCCATGGGAAGTGTCACCTCGACGATACGTGGGTTAAATCGTGATGGAAGTCCGACTCCCACTCCGACTCGGCAGGGAACTGTCAGCAGGCAAGGGGAAGATACCAGTTGAGGTTGCCGAGACGGTCTGTATTCCTGACCAGAATCAAATGGTGTACAACCTAGTTATGTAACAGAGGAACGCCAGATGATGCTGGTGCCAGCATTTGTGTGGGTGACCGAACGTCAAACTCAACCCGTTATTCCGCGCCCTAGCCTCCTCCCCGCTTTTGTGTTCAACATGCAGATGTCTTCGCTACGTGACCCTACAATAGGCTGCTTACGAAAGGTACTTGGCCAGTCTCGAACTTCGTATTCGGATTCTGACTGAGGAGGCGGCCGCAAATCAAGCCTGATCAGTGCCCAGAACGCTAACTTAGGCAAGTGTTACGCCCAGGCATCACTTAAGGGTTCTGGACCCTGGCTTTTCCATTCTAGGCCAAAGTTAGACGTCAGTAATGGCTGTTCGGGGTGCCTCGCTGCTGGCCTGACCTCCCAAGATTTACGACGACCTGACCAACATTCAACAACAGACTTATAAGACCACCCAGGAATCATTCAAACCCTGCGAGATACGCTGATCGATTCTAACTCCCAGGAGACTATTCATAGCCAAGCCCTGTCCATTTGTAACACCGGCGCCTGATCCTGCTATTTAGATTCGAGTTTAAGCAGCAGAGAAACTGTGAACAATCATGCCGCCAAATCGAGTCCGAGGCGAAAGGAAACCGTCAGTCCTAGAGGTTCCACCTGCTGGGAAAGACCCCGCCGAGAGAAAGCGCACTTTAAATGTCCTAGCCCAGAGACGATACAGGCAGAGACAAAAAGAGCACGTCAAGAAGCTCGAGGCGCAAGTCACTCATGTCGAAGTGGATGTTTCTGAGGCACAAAGAGGCTCACCGGCAGATCGAAACAATCAGAGCACGACATCAACGACCGCAGATCCAAACATCTTACCATTTGATTCGCTCTTCGAGTCCGCTCCGCACGATAGAGGGCCATTGCTCACAAATGGCCACACATCTTCAGCCGAGTACTCCTCACTGCCTTATGAAGACATCCGAGCGGACCTGGCATATCCAGAACAACAGCTGTTCGAAGGCGATCTCTTTGCGGCTTTTGAGGGGATCGAGCCAGCGCTAAGTTCAGGCGGCCAGGATCAGTGGGAACTCGATTTCTTTCTGCCATCGCACGATGGTACGTCAACACTATCATCTTCGACATCGTTATCGTCTTCCATACGGAGCGGTGATTCATCCGTGTCAGCTCCGGCGATGGGCCACATCAAACCCGTGTCGCATAGGACACTGAGACAGGAGAATGATGCATGCTCTTTCCCCGACGAAGCACACCTGGACATGCCGGAACTAGCACTCCTTCGTGGCTGCATGTCAATAGCGCGACGCATGAACATTGAGGAAATCATGTGGTCTCTCACCTCGACCTCGCCGTTCACAGCGGTTGGGTCCGCCACAACACAATTCACACACTTACCGACCAACCTGCGCCCGACATTCACGCAGATGACGGTCTCACATCACCCGGCAATTGATCTCTTGCCGTGGCCTTCGGCTCGCGATAAGATGATCAAGGTCCTGTCACAACCGCCGGAGGTTCGACCACCAGGGGCAGCGTCTCCTATGGCTCTGGTCAATTTTATTTATGACCTTGAAGACAGCGCGGAAGGCGTGAGGATATCGGGGAATGACCCTTACTCGGGACAGAATTGGGAGGTCGGTGAGAAGCTGTTCAAGTCGTGGTGGTGGATGCTGGATAGGGATATCGTGAGGCGAAGTAATGAGTTGCGTGCGCTGCGTGGAGCGCCCATGTTGGGCTGTGGAAGTATTTTGGGGGAAGTGGCCTAACGAGAGTACAGCTTGTTCAAGCTTGAAAGTTTCGACCTCGCCTATATCTATTGGTAAGACGACAAGCAGTCGTACTTGCCATATACACCATAAGCTGAAACGTTTACCTCGATATATTGTGGCAGGCCGCTCCACGGGAACAGTGAAAGCCGCGCAAGTTCAGCCCTTTTTGAGCCATGTGCTGCTGGATTTGGGCCAGGCCAGCATTTGGGATCATGAATTCTCGTGTTGAACTTAGCTGTCAGATGAGAATCTTCGAATGGATCTCGCGGGAGCGATGCAACTCCGGCGGCTTATATTCCTTCTGGGGTTGATATCACTCAATTTCACCGGTCGGACGCCGTACTGTTATCTATATCATCCACTGGGAGGACAGCAATGCCGGTCACCAAAACGGACGTCGTGATCTGACACGGCGGGGCAAAGGCAATCTCTCGTACCGTACCTGCAGTCGCCCCCAATGTTCATCGACAGCCTTATTGGACCACAGGGCGAGACTAACATTAGCTGCATGAACGGGGGATGTGGCTTGCGATTCCTTCTGGTTCTCATTCCGTTCATCTTTCGACCTCATGCTTGTTGGCTTCAAGCCACCGGATTCCCCTGCAAGGTAGGCAAGGTCCCAAGCCTTTCGGCTGAAGAGCAGGACACCATCACAAATCCATGGCCGTCGAGGCCATGGATTTGGAACGAGCCAACCTTGCTCTGTCGACGGAGGAATCATGCCGTGCGCCATGCATCAGACCCTCGCTATGCTCTGATTTACATCTCCCAGCGAGCGAAGGAACAGCCGCAGCATCTAAACACGGTTACCATGTTATGGTGCTGACTGACTGTTCTCAGCTGATATGCATCATACTCCTCGCTAGGTAACCCCTGCTGTTTTCATCCTGCTTGCTCCAACCTGGAAAAGACTTGCCTTTCTAAAGTCCGGCAAACACACGACCTCTTGCGCCTTGCAAGCCATGCCCAGCACCCACTGCCATCGTCGATTTTTGTCGTATCTGCTTTCTCGGCACAGCCTGCGCTCCTCTCAGCTTCGTGTTTAGTTACACAATGGATGCTTGACTACGGTTGCGTGCAACATCCCCAGCTGATCTCATCTTCCTGTTTCGTGTACACCAGCCTTACCCAATTCTGTTCGCTGCTTGACCACGTCGACTTCAGCACGACGTCAATACAGCATCGAGGCAACTGCCAACTCAACTCGACAGATACATCGACGGTTGCGGTACAATGCAGCAGTGGTTGGTCCCGCTGCTGGGTCTCGCCGCACTCGGTTGTGCGCAAGACAGCACCTCCTCGTCACCGGCTTCCACCGATGATTCCTCAGCCGCTACCACTTCATATAGCAGCTCTGCTCCCACCAGCACTGCGGCGACAAACACTACCAGCGGACCGATAACACATACTGTTGAAGTTGCAGAGGTTGGTTGGCATGTCCATAAGGGTGAAAAGAACTATACTGATGGCAAAAAATAGGGAGGCAACACTTTCGTTCCTGATGTCGTCCTCGCAGAAGCCGGCGACACCATTTTGTTCCAGTTCTACCCGACCAATCATTCGGTAATCCGTGCAGAATATGGATACCCTTGCATACCGTACGAAGATACAGGTGTGGACAAAGTAGGCTTCTTCTCAGGATTCAAGCCTGTGGACGCTATACTGCCCGACCCGCCAACATGGTCACTATTAATCAACGATACGAACCCTGTCTTCTACTACTGCGGCGCCCCAGGGTCGTGTATCAACTACGAAATGGTGGGCGTCATCAACCCGAACGCGACAACGTCGCTGCAACACCAGAAAGATCTGGCATCGCAATCCAGTTTCATGCTTCTTCCAGGCGAACCGTGGCCAAATGAGGAGACAGACCCGTTCACAACCACTTCATCCGCCCCAACATCCTCCGCTACGGAATCAGCCACGAATTCAGCCGCGGCTGCCAGCGCAACAAGCTCGAGCGCCCCATCACACAGCCATTCAGGCCTCTCAACAGGTGCCATCGCCGGCATCGCCATTGGTGCAGCCGCAGTCGGTCTCGCTGCGGCAGCGCTGCTGTACCTATGCGGCCGCCAATCCGCCCGCAAGAGCAGAAACAGCGATCATCCCGTAGACACCATGCAGCAACACCACTCTGTCGCCTTCAGCCCTCACGCGAGTATGCCGCCTTATCTCGATCCAAACAAGCACATGTCCATGCACAGCAGCGTGGTGGGCGCTGGTTCCGCACTCCCAGGATACATGCCTCAACACGAGCCCCATATGTCACCTCCCTTGCAGCCCATGTTCCCAACAGGCGACTTCCTGATCTCGGGCACAGGACAACAGCAGCAGCCTGCGCATGCACCGAGTACCAGCGACATCGCCACGCCGGACAGGAGTACGTACAGTACGAGCCCGAATCAGATGTACAGTGTACCCGCGTATAGTAGCGGAGTGGGAGTGCCGCAGAACATGTAAGTCAAACATATTATCCCTCCGCACTTTCAGCAGGAGCAGCAGCAACAATATCCCACTGTCATTCTGTCCTCTTCAGCCAGATAATTAACAGTTTTGTTCACAGGGTCATTAATCCGACGCCGCACCATTCAATGCCTTACCCTCCGCCAGCGCCCTTGCCAATGAATCTGCATGAGATGGCAGCGGAACCATCGCAGAGCCAGGGCGGGAACATGCCCGAGAGAAGGTCGAGTGTTTCAAAGAACGGGGGCGTTGAAAGGTATGGTTGAAGGTGCGAGTTCTCGGAAAACCCTGGATTCTTTCACTTTCTACTGGGTCTCTTTATTTTCTGGTATGATCACGACTATCTGGATATATATACTGCTTTGATGGAGAGGGTGCGCTTTTTGCACGTCTGCAGTTTGCTCGTGTACATTATTACAGTATCAAAATTGGGATATTTGGGGGAGTATATGGTAGGAGCAAGGATCATCAAAACATAATTGACCACCGTTCCATATGCCGCTCCAACGACAGTATACAGTACCCTCCCAATAAAAAGCTTTTTGTTATTGCCAAACCAGAAATATCCTACAAGACCACTGCCAGACTACATGCTTTCATTGTTGGTGCTCTGTGCTCATGAATGATCTGACCCCATCAATCCCACCGTCAGCCCTTTCATGCGTCTCTTGAGTAAATCCTCTTCACTCCCCAGCGACACAAGACTCTTACTCCTATTGACATCCGGTCGCGGTTTCTGCTCAATCGGCCTTCCACGTCCAGCCGCGCCATTTGCAGCTCTCCCACTCGAAGTTGAACTTGCGCCATCTTCCGCTTTTGTAATAGAGGACATCACAAGCGGCGCATCATCGTCCATACTCTCCCCCGTCGGCGTACGATGATGATGCCGTAGATGCGTACTCGCCAGTTCCAAATTCCCTCCAATAGAGGAGTCCTGTAACGTCCCACTCCTTAAGCGCGACTCGATCGCCGGCCCCTCAAGAGCGTGAGGAAGTTTGCTGAAGATATCTTGAATCCACCCTCCAGCTCGGAAAACGTGTTTCCAGCCCTCGGGGAATATCGACACAAAAGTGACGAAGCCGTGCGATATACCCGGGATGAGTGTGACTTCTACATGGTCTTTCTCGTTGAATTCAGCCGTGGATTTCTCGAGACCGACTTCCTGACGTTCGCGGAAGAGGTGGAGTTTGGCCTGGCGTAAGCGCCCTGCGAAAATGACTGTGTCGTCGACCAGTGGGTCTCGCTCGCCTGTGAGGAAGTACGTTTTGGGGAATTTGGCGAGTAAGTTCTCGGGCGCGACGGCGGGACAGAGGAGGTGGTCTGTCGTGAAGTCGGGGCGGTTGTACGGGCCGACGTATAATATGATCATGGCGCGCATCATTTCGGGAGTAAGAATGCGGTCGCCGAAATAAGAAATAATGGATGATACGGCGAGTCTTGTCTTTAGGGGTTGAGGTTTCAAAGCGGCAACTGATTGGCGGTGTGCTTCGACGTTGCTGTTTTCGCGGGTTACGGGTTTTGGGTCGTCGCGTGGCGTGAAGAACTCGTGGTTTGCATCGTCTTCGCCTTCTTCGGAGGGTTTAGGCGTGGTCGGTGTGTAGCGGCGGTCGATGTCCTCGCTCTTTCGCTTGATGAAGGTCTCGTATTTCTTGGCTGTTCTAGGGTTGCGGATCAAAGCCATCTGGTCGTCTGTCATCCAGCTGCTGATGTTCATGTCTAATGCTGGGTAGAGCAATACCAACCCAGCAGGGGAAGGTAGTATCCCTCGCGAATTTCCAGTCTGGTTCGACTGGATTACCATCAATGTTGTGCCTGTGGCGAGGTTGCCGCCTGCACTGTCGCCTGTAAGGACAAGCCGCGGACATGTGTTTGGTTTCATCCCGATGCAGCGCCCTCTCGTAGCAACAATCTGCGTGTACACGTCGAAGCATTCGTTCAGGGCGTAGGGGTAGGGATATTCTGGAGCCTTTCGGTAGTCCAGACTTAGTATTGGAAGCCCTGTTCTTCCTGCCCAGGCGAGTAGTCTGTCATCGTTGGCTCTTGGGTCCATGGCCACGAATCCTCCTCCTGGAATGTCCAGCACTAGATTCTCTTGCTTCTCCAGCTCTACCAGAGGGCCATCGAAGTACATCCATGCCACGACAGGCTCTTTGTAGTTCGACTGCTTCGGTCGAGGTATGCGGATCCTCCGTGGTTTGTATTTGGTGAATCGAGGCCTCATCGCAGCATTGAGCGTCCTGATGTACGGTGTGTTTGCTTTATTCCATGACACGCGCAGATGGTCCACGGTCAAGACTGCTCGCACCTTGCGGACCTTTTCATCTGCTTGTTCTGCAGCGATGAGATAGTATATTGTGAAGATGATCGACGCCAGATCTCTTATGGGTTTGTTGCGGATCTTCATGGCTGTCCAGAAGCCTGCGTCCAAAGCAGTGGTAATCCATGTTGCTCGAAAGTATGATCTATTGTACAGGTTCGCTAAGGGTTCGGGTGATTCAAGATTGACAAGCTTCGCAAAGTTTCGACAGATGTAGAGATACAGGAGAGTAATGACGACGGATCGCCAGGGAGTCAATCGTCTCGAGAGACGTTGAGAGAGGTTTCGAATGAGCGGCGGCCCATGTTGGTCACCCCTAAAGGAATATGAGTTCCACGTCGTTCACAAGATCTCCAGAAACTCACTTCAGTAGGTACAGCGACCAGAATGAAACAACGGCAAACACCTGATATTTACGGACTCGGGAGGATGGTCTTCCCAGCACATGGTCTGTCCGTCCCAGTCAGTATGACTCGACCTGACTGATAGGTCGAAAGGTCTCAACTCATACCTATCATGTTGGAAACGCATATGAAATGAGGGTGTTAAAGAGCATCCAGCTGGGAGTGTTGACGGTCTACCTGTCATAACATTCCGAAGCCATGACAAGCACGTGCGCAAGTGCTGCAATGTTCTCACAGGAGGATGAGGAGGAGCAATGAGGGTAAGTAAGGATACTCGAGTTCATGATAGAGGGAGACACATGACAAGAAGAATGTGAATGTGACCTGCAAGAATCGCAGTGTCTGACGTTGTTCCACGCATGCCCCTTCGCCGCAGTGGCACTTGATGAACTTGCGGGCCGAAAAACAACAGTTGAAGGCCTGAATAAATGGCATGTGAAAATCCCAGTTGTCCGGGGTGTGCGGGGCGGAAGCCCAAGAGGCATGTGACCCTGGCAAGGCTGTGCTTTTGGGGGATGTGGTTGAGTGCTTATGTTTGCCTCCAACTTGATTGATTCAGCTCCGCTCCTATCTATAACTCATGCCTAGTCCAAATGGGCAAATTATCGCGCCCTTTTGGTGAGGAGGTCACAGGCTCTACTACCAAGGTAGTATGAGAGGACCCTCCGTCATTACTAGGGTGATCGTGGCATATCGCGACGTTCCTGTTCGTGTTCCTGCTAGAAAATAATCCATACAGCAGGTCGAAACCAAGCTGGGACCTCATGAATGGGTACATGCGATGTACCCCTGTAGCCCAAGACCGTTTTATCATCTCTTCCAAGTCTGCGAAGGGAAAATTCACGTGTCCAGGATCACACCGGAGTCATACCGCGAATGCCGACATCGTTCCCACAGCGCCATGCTAGGTACCTTTTGGTTGCCGAAAAGACGCTCATTGACATTTCCACAGTCCATTTCAAATCATGAAAATGGCAAATGATCCCTGATCCAGCCCGTCACGCCACCGCCAGTATTGTTATTCCTGCTGCTTCCACTAGCACTAGTGGAATTCCGCGTGATGTGTCGACGACTACTGTGACTGCTTGTCTGCCGCCTGGGCTGGGGAAGTTCGATTTCTGGGTCACTCCTGCTTCCATAATAAGACTGTCGGGCTTCGTGTAATTCGCTGGGACTTTCTGGGATCCCAACACCATCACGATAACGGCTGCCTTCAGGTCCATATCCCCGTGGACTCGACACAGATGATGGTCGGATGCTCGATCTTCGTCTCTGACGTGATGGAGGTTGCTCTGAATTTGTGATGGGTTTTCGACAATGCGGGCATGTATCGTGCTCTTTCAGCCATGCCGTTACGCAGTCGCCATGGAACCAGTGCTTGCAAGGCAAGACAGTCACTTCTTGTCCTAATTCCACATTATCCATGCATATTGAACATTCAGCAGAGCCCTCGTTGCCCAGCATCTCCTCGTCCACTTTCTTCTTGCTAAGCGATCTGATAGCATCTTCGGATGCCGGCGGCGGCGCATTGCCCGCATTGTTCTGATCCATGAGCTGTGTCATGACACGATCAAAGGCGTCTTGGGTGAACACCATGTCGCCATGCTGCGCGTTACCAGGGTTGAATAGCTGATTTAGAAGGTCGAAGGGGTTGGGCGGGAGGTTCTGTCCTCGTCGGTTATTTGTGTTTGCGTTGATGGGTCCAGGTGGCTGCATCGAGTGAAGGATGAGGGAGAATAGGCTAGTCATGTCAGTCCAATCAATGGGTTCTATGTACACTACTCACTCTTGCAGATTTCCAGACTGTAATGGAGCATGAGGGTCTCGTGGAAAAGCGCCTGGTGGAAAGACGCCTGCTGCAAAGGGGTTCGTGTTTGGTAGTGGTAGAGGTTCCATCCCTCGGGACTGTGGTGGCACCGTAAGCATCAAATCGAAATCATGCGCAGTATCTTCGTCAAGGGTCTCCATTACATTGATTCCGTTTCCGTGCCCTCCGATCCGAACTGATCGTGTGCTGAAAGATATTCTACCACCTCCACCATTGTTTGTGAATTCAAAGGTCGTGAAGTTGTTGCGCGGATTAGGATCTAGATCGTCTAGGTCGTCCCATGGATTGTGGTCGTGAAATGGGAAGGCAGGGTTTGACAGCGGGTCACGAGCGAGTCCGGGTGCCGGTTGTTGGACACCATACTCTTCCTCTATCTCGGGTTCAGCTTCCAACTGTTACAGTGTCAGTATGATTTGGCCCTGCCAACAGCCACTCCGGAGTGCCTACTATTTCGGTAAAATCGCCTTCGCATCTTGGGCAAGTCAAACCACCCTGCGCTCTTTGCCACTCATGGTTGCACTGGTGGCAGAAGACTCGCTCTCCCGTCAATCGTCGTGTATCTGACATTTGGTAATATGTGGTGTTTCTCCAGGCCCCGATGGGTTGGACGAGCAAGGCTATGATTCAGCGCTTGCTGGTGAGAAGTAAGGCTGCGTCATGCGCCTGAGGCGGTGCGGAGGGTATCGCCAGAGGCGGGGGAAGAGTGGCGATGGACCAAATAAACTGTCGGGGAGATGGTTTCAATGAAATCTTTGTCTTGTGGAAGAAATGCACGAGAGATACGACGTCAAAGAGCGTGTCGAGTGAGTGTTGTTGAGTAGGTGCAAACGCAAGTGATAATCAATAAACGTGAGTTTAGGTGTCACTGCGGAGAGAGGCTGAAGTTGACGTAGGCGTGTATGTACCTAGTACTTAATGCTGATGGCTTTATCGATAAACGAGTGACCAAGTATTTGAGACCGAGTCACAAGAACACCTGCATTCTTGCTTTCACCACAATAGCATCTACACGGAACGATAGTATGGACGACGGTCTCTGATGTCAATGCTTCAGCGCAATAAGAGGAAATCCACAAGCTTGCTTGTTCTTGTTTATGGTCAAATACATTTCCATTTTGTTCTGAATGATTCCCTCCAAACTTGAAGCCAGGCATCAAGATTATGAGCCCAAACCCCGGTCATTATCGTACAATTGCTGGACAGCGACGTCGCTGTCCTGTTACGCTCACTTTGATTTACCAGCAATCCATGTGAATGTACAGCATCACCTCTTCCTCGAGCCCCTCATGAGTATTCCACCTACGATGCCGGCAACAACAGCGGCACCACCGACAATGGCAATGCCCATCAATCCTTCCCTTGACACCTTATCGTCAATCAACTGCCTCAAGCTTCCGGCCTGTAAATTGCTTGGTTCTTTGTCCAAGAGAAGGTCGTTGTATCGTCTTGCTTCAGCATAGTTTCCCAACTTGTAGTTGCCCAAGGCCAGATAGTACAGGCATTCTCGCCTTCGCTCGGGTGTGGTCTTGAAAATGTCGGATAGCAGCTGCACACCCAGTTGCTGTTCGCTCCGTTGATCTGACTTGATTAATCCCTATTGACTTGTTGTCAGTGGCACACTATCTGTATCTTTCTTCGGCCCTTTATCCGTACCCAAGCATAGTTGAACTTCGTCTGGACCCCGACATAGTCGCCTTCTTTCTCGTATTGCGCTCGGAGGACCTGAAGTTCTGCGGGCTTCAAGGGACTGACATTGAGCAATCAGCTATAGATTCGATCACATCAGACAGCGCAAGCGAACCTTTCTGCGTCTGCGGCATCTGCTCACATGTTAGCGGACATACATCAGTGGCGATAACGACTGCGACTGCCTACATGGTAGATTCGACGGCATGCTGAGAGATTCCCAATACCAGTGGGAAGTTGCGGAAGGAATTAGGTAAGTTAGGAGCAATTGGCGACCAGAATCAGATGCACTCGACTGTCGACAATTTGTAGGCTCTCAAAAAGACCGTTGCGTTCGAGGCTGCAGGGACTTGTGGCTCAGCATTTCCGGGTGTGAGGCGTTAACGCGTGACGTCTTTGCTCAGGTGTCAGTCAGTCAGGCTACACCAGGCGTGCTGAAAACTAAATTCTCCGCGGCTTCCCCGTTGCTCCGCAACCTACCACGATCAACATTGATTTTGATTTGGAGACCTCAGAGAAGTTCAGTCCAAGTTGCGCTCTCAACGACACAGAGGACATCCCACAAAATGCTGCTCGACGAAGACCCAGCTACGGTAAGCCATACTGTACACAGGCTGTTGGCATCACTGACCATATCTCCAGCTCATACGCGCCACTGTTTCCAACTTCAACATCGCACCGGATAAAGCTGCCTTGTCGCGTGTCAATGACTCTCTCGAGACCTTACAACAATCGCGCGACGTTCGATTCCGAGATGCCGACACCATCCTGAGACAATTATCGCGGCGATTGGCGACTCTCGAATCGCAACGGCGGGAAGTTCTGTCCGGCCATGATAGCGGAAGACATGCCAGCGAAATTGTGCAGCTTGACACGAAGAAATTCAGGGTAGCCAAACATGCGTCAGAGCTGGAAGCTGAAAGTGAGAGACTAGAGGCTGAGCTGGAAAGACTGAAGATGCGCTTAGCCGACTTGGAGGAACAAGGTGTTGAAGGAGACGAGAACATGCGACGGGCTCAAGAAGCAGACGACCCAACAATCTTACGACTTTGGCTGTACAGATCACTTGGGATCACTTTGGAACAGGACGAAGCAGGCAACTACAACAAAGCCACTATTGGTAATACCAAGAAGGGCGATGTGCATGTGGTCAACATTGATCCGAAGTTCTCCAAGTGGTTTTATGCGGACTATTTCTGGCAGACCATGCAAGGATAGATTCCAGAACAGGACTTGGTGATGATGTTTACGAATTGAGCGAGGCGTCGGGGTGTATTTGGTTCAAGGCGTGTACAAAGAGATATCCATGGCACAGTTTCATTTTTTAGTCGAGTTCGCACGTCGAGTCGTCGTTTGGTTCAGAATCTCATGTTCCCTGCAGAAGCATCTGCTGTAAATGCAAGCAGGCATCTGAGTGACAGGCGACGCCAATATAGCATGGTCGAGCGAAGACCAAAAAATGAGGCCAGCAAAAACTCAGACCTCGCAAGGCTGAGAAACCCCACAAGAATTTTTTCTACAACTGTCTGCATTCGACCTCGTCTCTCCGACTTGAACTCAGTAACATGGTAGAGGAGAATAAGAGGTCAGATACTGGAAGGGAGTATCGCCGAGCAGCGCGGAACGCACTCGTCTCTCCAAGCACTAAACCATGTTGAAACTTGTGATCAAGTCGGTTTAGGAGGCAAGGATACTGGAAGGGAGATTGTTGAGCAGTTTTGAGAGACTTTAATACATCAATCGCAAAAGATACCGAATAGGTAGGAGGGTGTGGTGAAGCCTTGCTCGACCTTTACTCGACACTAAGCTATGATGGATATATTGACCTACTTCTAAATAGGTTTAGCTTGCCTCGACTTTCAGATTTCTTGGCAGCAATTCTCCGGGTATTTATATCTCGTCTTCTTCTCACAACCTCTTCTTCCCTTTTCTTCATACTTACCTTGTGGGAGTCGGCATGCTCAAGAAGATGCCTGACTACAGAGATGCCACTCCATTGCACATCGGAGTAGGGATTTCTGTTAAGTGTCCTTCGGGGCTCTTACTCGCGCATTTTTTGGCTCGAAATTCCTTTTCATCATTGTGTCATTTGCCTTGAGCAAAGCTTTGGAGAAGAGGGAATGAAGTTGAATGTTAAGGCACTGCAAATACTTGGGTTGGTATTTCAGACGAGTTCACCTGTCTCTTCTTTGTAGTGTTTTAATCATGTGCTGTATCTGTGCATGCTGAGAACCTGACAGATTAGGCGCCATCTTGCGTAGGCTTCAAGGATGTTACAACACAATCTCTCCCGCCACTATAGAACGGAAAATGACTGCCCATGTAGGCAAGTTATTCTCGTATGTTCCAGTCCGGCCCCGGGTCATGCACAGCCACCACAGCTTTGCGGCGTCGAAGTTGGGCCTAGTATGCCAGATATGGATCGCGTCGCATGTTCCGAGGCTATCGACGGAAATGATGGCCTATTACAAGGTACGTGGCCAGCTGCCAGTCGTCAACGCTGGGGACTTGTGTGGAACTAAATGGTATACAGGTAGCCTTGAAGACTCTGGTGGATGATATCGCCGTCCTGGCTGGCGAAAAGTGTCTCCTCAAGTGTATCTCCGAGCTTTTAACGTCTCGCATCGTCATCTCACTCAGTGATGTCCAGGTATCAGCTATCGCGGCCGAAAGCGACAACACCCGCGCGGAACGGGCTCGAGCCGACAAAGAACACAAGGTTCTGACCAAAGCTCGGGCTATACTCAGGAGACTTGACCAATCTCGCCCAGGGGAAGTTTCTGATCCTGAGAATGACCCCGACTTGTTTCCTCTTGCACCCACGTCGAGTAATGCGAAGATGGTTTCCGATGTCTCCAGCGATAAGTCTGCTCCTTCCGGGACCACCAAATCCATCGAGGAACCCTTGAATACTGTTCACCAGGACGCAAACAAACCGCAAGCTGAATTGACGACAGATTCGCCAATCTGGTCGACTCACCAAATTTGTCGGACGAGGACGGCCTAGTGAAGGACTCTTTGGTTGCTCCACGAGCGGCTCCCGATGAGTTCAACTGGGGAAGCCCAACGTCAGCCTCAGAACGAAGCAAGAAGCAATTGAAGACCTTCGATTGGAGCGATTGATGACAACGCCAGCATGCTATGGATGATCGGAGTACAGCTAGATATGTTCCAACTAAACAAGCAAGCCAGGTTTATGCAATCGACACTCTAACGATATTATTGCAGCAGATATAGGAGCTGTATCTGTTTTTGAATCTTCCTTCGGACTTCCTTCTCCTAGTGATGTTGCGGTGAAGGCGCCGTGAATCATCCTCGCCAAAATCGATGAGGTCGTTATAGAGCAGCACACTTTGGGTATCCAAGTCTCATCTGGAGTTGGGGTAGACTTTGTACTCTGTCTTTACTGATTGCCGCCAAGAACCGCGGAAAAGTGTAGGTCCGCATCCGCAGATTTGACAAGCTGCGCGCCGGATCATCTAAAATATCTCAATCCCTCAATGCACGACTAATTCACCACCAAGAGTCTCATCATTTGCCCAATCCACAATGCGCAATAGAGCCACAACACGGCTCAAGTACTCGCCCAAAAGAAGTCCCCAAATACGGCAGAGTTGGAGCAAATACAATCTCTACAACCTTTCACGATCACAGCCCGTATCGGCATACCCCAACTTCTTCAAGACGAAATGGACTGCCAAAGCCTTGACACGCAGCTATCATGGCGAACAAGTACGAGAGAAGCAGTGGGTGCGAATGTTTGACAGACGCATCCGAAGTGTGATTCCAATGAATGCCGACTACCTCGCGATAAACGACGGCTCTCTTGAATCGGCTGGCCGAGGATCAGGAGTAGAAGAAAAGCAAATCACCAGGCGCACACGGGGAAAAGAGCCTAGACATGATCCCGAGCGAAAGCGAATACCCTATATGCAGATGACTTATGCTCCGTTGGAACGAAGATTGGACACTGCCATCTTCCGGGCATTGTTTGCAAGCAGTGCCCGTCAGGCCAGACAATTCGTCGTTCACGGAGCAGTCAAAGTCAACGGAAAAGAAGTGAGTAACATCCAAGCGATCAGCTTGGTGCGCCGGAACTGACTCAAACATCACAGATGCGATATCCCGGCTACCTATTGAACCCTGGAGACATGTTCCAAGTCGTACCAGAACGTGTCATGTACGCCACAGGCGCACCGAAAGTCGTCGAGAAAGCCAAAGCTGTTGCAGAGGAGGATGCAGAGAATACCGATGCGGAGGCCGCGGAGACCACGTCAGAAGAGGTGGAACAAGAATCTAAAACAGAAGTAGAAGAGGATATTGACGTCGACCAAGATCCCCGAGAGGTGCTCAAGGCGCTTCAAACACAAGCCAAGTCTATTCTGGGACAGAACAAAAAGGACCTGGGAGCGAAAGGAAAACAGAACCTAAGAGCATTCTCCAAGGCGGTCCGACGCCTGCTCTCGAAATCCAAGTCGTCTACGATGCCCAAGAACGACGCAGAAGCACAGTTCGCAGAGATCCAGCAGCAGCTGAACATCAGGCGGGAGAACCAGGTAGCGGGTGCAACATCTCTGCCCTCCGCGAAGGACGCAGCTACTTCTTCTGAGAGCGCAGAGACGGCTGATGCGGCTACCGAGCCAGAATCACAGCCGCAGACTACCATACAAGAGACCAGCCTGTCAGACAACGACTACAATGAGCTCTTATCTGCCTTGCGCACAATGAATGAGAATCCCGTGGACGAGTCAAAACCCTACGCTACCCCCTGGGTGCCTCGAGACTTTATGAGCGCATTCGCCTTCATCCCTCGGTATCTGGAAGTCAGCCACAAAATCTGCGCAGCCGTCTATCTGAGACATCCTGTCGCAAGACCAGGTCTGGCTGAGGTGCCGACACCTTACAACGAATATACCACCAGCAGTGCGTTTACATGGTATTTGAGGAGGTGGTAATGGAGGTCCTCGACTGTACTACTTGTATTATGTTACGTCCTTTGCGCATAGCGATTGGCGCTGGACTTAGTCACGAATCCCCCCAAAAGAAGATGTAGATAACATTTCTGTTCGTATATCTTGGAGCCTCGGCCCAGCCAATACATATATTGGTTGTGGGTGATCTAGAGTTTATTCATCTGTATATCTCTGTATCACAGGAATTCTACAACAACGGGTTCGACCGATACTCGGGAGCCGCGTCGCCATTGACTTCAGGCTTCTTGGCCTGGTTCTCCTTCTCGATATTGGGTTCATCGTCCTCGAGGTCTGCAAGGTACTTCTCGGCCTCGAGCGCTGCTATACATCCACTTCCCGCGCTGGTGATGGCCTGTCGGTATCTCTTGTCCTGGACATCGCCTGCCGCAAAGACACCCGGAACGCTAGTGTAGCTTGTGCCAGGTTTCGTCGCGATATATCCGTCTTCGTCCGTTTCGATTTGACCCTTGAAAATCGCCGTGGCGGGGTCGTGGCCGACAGCGTAGAAGAGCCCGTTGGCTTCCATCACTTCCTCTTCATTGGTGGCCACGTTCTTGATCTTCAGGTGTGTCATGAGTCCTCTGGGCTTGTTCTCACCTTGGACTTCTGTGGCTACGTGGTTGAACTTCACCGTGACTTTAGGATTTGTGAGGAGTCTGTTTGCCATGGTCTTGGATGCGCGCAGTTTCTCTTTCCGTACCAATACCGTGACGTGCGAGCCGTATTTTGTTAGGAACATGGCTTCCTCTGCTGCGGAGTCACCTCCACCGATGACTACTAGGGGCTTGTTGCGGAATATAGGTACGGCGCCGTCGCAGACTGCACATGCGGAGATGCCGTTTTGCCAGTATGTCTCTTCGCCTGGTAGATCTAGCCTCCGCGCGTTGGCACCTGTGGCAATGATGACTGCGTCGGATGTGTGGGCTGGTTCGTCGGTCTCGCTGTCCTCATATTCTCGCCACATTCGGAACGGTTTTGACTTGAGGTCTACTCGGGTTATCGTCTCGGAGATTATTTCTGTGCCAAATCTCTGAGACTGCGCCTTCATCTCATCCATAAGTTCCATGCCGCCGATGCCTTTCGCGAAGCCTGGAAAGTTCTCAACGTCTGTCGTTGTCGTGAGCTGACCTCCCGCCGCGGTACCTCCTGCCAGCATGCCCTCATACATGACCGGTTTTAGTTCTGCGCGGGAAAGGTAAATTGCTGCTGTGTGGGCGGCGGGCCCAGAGCCTATGATGGCGACTTTGGTGTGAGGAGGCGCCATGGCGCTGGTCGCGGAAGAGAACTTGGCTACCGCTGGCGACTGTGGCTTCTGCTGGAAGATTGATGTAGCGGCCACCGAGAGACTGAAGGTGGAACGAAGAGGAAGCTGGGCTGCGCGTCGGCGAAAAGCTGAGGAAAACAGTTTGGCGGGTCGGACGGGATGGGTCTGTGTAAGTCGAGTGTTTAGGGCTCGAGGGGACGCAGGCCGCAGACTTGTTATATACGCAGCAGAAGAAAAGCAATGTCAGTTGAGGGACGGCAGCAGCATTTGCCCAGCACAATTGAAGGGCTTTGACAAATCGTGCAGCTGGAGGATTCGAAATACAGTAAATTGAAATAGGCCGAGTTACTTTTATTGGTGGGGTTGAATTCAGGGACCCTCGCCGCGCACCAACTCAACTCGCACAACCACTAACTTAGTGAAATGGTGAACCTCTCGGGCTGCTTAGGTAAACGCAAGGGGCACTGCACCATGAAAGGGGGACTGCAATGCTCGTGTCACCAATATTGAAACAAAATCACGCACTCGCACCTCAATGATTACAGCATCAACTTCCAAAAAGACTTCTTGACCGAGTCCGAGCGAGAGGCTCCAAGACTTGTCGCGGAGGAGATGGGGAAAATCAGAGATATCGTGCATGCTTTGTTCAATCCAAGGATGGTGCCTGCCTTCGTGATCTCGTTGGACGCTTTGGGAACAATCTACAAGTTCCGCGAGCCCATCTCCAAGCAGTACATCAGAGTTGCCCAAGAATGTGGTGTGCGTGGTAGTTTGGACCCTGCCGAGCTGGACAAGGCCTTCAGGTCTTCCTTCAAGCACTACAACGCTGAATACCCGAACTACGGCAAGGGGCAGCTCGAAGGTCCTGAGGAGTGGTGGACAAAGGTCGTGAATCAAGCTTTCGGTGACCTCGTTGGCCAGGATAAGATACCTGGGGAGCTGGGGACTAAGCTCTACCATCATTTCTCATCTGGCGCTGCATACAAGCTATACCCCGATGTTCAACCCTTTTTACAAAGTATTCGTGCTTTGAAGAATCGATACGAGCAGCCTGGCGGTCCGCTTGTCCTAACTGGGGTCGTCACAAATTCAGATCCTCGTGTCCGACTGGTGCTGCAAGACCTTGGACTTCAAATAGGGCCTTCAGAGCCTGTTCGCTTTGATGTAAGGAGCATGCACGCGAGGGCGTCAGCTCGCAGCGACCCGATGCAGGCCATGGTCTTTGAAGGCTTCTACAATCCTCGAAATGACTTCGACTTCCTCTGGACAAGTTACGAATCTGGCCATGAGAAGCCAGACGCCAGAATCTGGCGCTCTGCCAAACATTCCATGTTACCTATGATGCCAATCGCGCGAGCAGACGCTCTATACATAGCGTCAACGGAGCCTTCTCAAAGATCTACTGTCGAGGCTATGAGGCAGAATCTTGACTTGACACTTGACTTTAGAAAACTGATGTGGATTCACATTGGTGATGACTTTTCTAAAGATTATGTTGGAGCCAAGGAAGCAGAATTGAATGCTTTGCTGCTGAAACGGGATGAAGTCTCAACTTTGCTGCACAAAGATCATGCTGTTGACGACGACGCCGAGACTGTCACATCCCTAGGAGAGGCAACCATGGTGCTGAATATGATGGCTCAAGAACATTTTCGCGAAGTTCGATCGTGAAAGGGGCAGAGTCTGCACTTGTTCCCAGTGATGGAGCTATGCGGCACAAAATCAAGGACCCGTCCTGACTGTCGCCATGTCGACATGTTTTCATATCGCGTCATCTGGTGATTTATCGGAACTGTAGCCCTTGCCGGGTCGCAGGCGTAGTCTCCAAGAACAGCCAGGAGCACAGCATGTCACCTAGACAACCTCAACGACTGCTCGGTTTCAAACAGTATCGAGCTCCTCTTAGTCGAGACGAGTGATCCGGAGGGGTTTACAATCCAAAAGAAGACTGGGGTGCAGTATCCGGAAGGGCAGGATGTTGATGGTGGATTATGGAGCTTCTGCTTTCCCATGACGTAAGCGGGGAGGTGTATCACCATATCTTCACCTCAACAAAACCATCCCACGCTTCTTGAATTCATTCCACGCTGGGGTATATTGCTCGATCGGCAGCTTGGCGGCTTGACATGATTGCTCACATCTGGAAATGGTCCGTTTTGCCTTGAGAAGTCTAAAATCCCAGTCACTACGTCCATCGATTTGTTCAGCACCACAACTATTTGGTTGGACTGCTCTCAAGCCACCATCAGCTGGGATGGCCACCAGCAAAGGAAAGTACGATGACTTACCACTGGCCAACCATGGCCCACTCAAGGTGCCTCTTCATGGACGGCTGCTTCTTGACAATCCTTTCTACAACAAAGGCACATGCTTCACGGCACAAGAACGTCTTGATTTTGACCTTAAAGGTCTGCTGCCAACCAATATCCAGCATCTGGATGATCAGGTCGAACGAGCCTATCAACAATACAGCAACCAAGGCGATGACTTGTCCAAGAACACATTCATGACCAGCATGGCTGAACAAAATACCGTCCTCTACTATAGACTAATCCTGGACCACATCAAAGAGATGTTCAGTATAATCTACACCCCCACCGAAGGTGATGCCATCGAAAACTACTCCCGCATATTCCGCAGACCCGACGGCTGCTTTTTAAGCATCAAGCATCCGGATGAAGTCGAGGAGCGACTGAGCAAGTTCGTGAGGGAAGGCGAGGCCGACGGTGGTGTTGATTACATCGTTGTTAGTGACGGAGAGGAGATTCTTGGGATAGGTGACCAAGGAATTGGCGGAATTCTGATCAGTGTTGCTAAACTGGCCCTCATGACGATCTGTGCCGGCATACATCCCGATAGGACTCTTCCCGTTGTCCTCGACGTGGGTACCGACAATGAAAAGCTCCTCAACGATCCTCTGTATCTCGGCCACCGCTTCAAACGTCATCGTGGAGAATCGTACGATGATTTCGTCGAAAGATTCGTCAAGGCCGCGAAGAAGCTCTATCCGAAAGCATACATACACTTCGAAGATTTTGGTCTGACCAATGCAAGGAGACTCCTCGATAGATACCGAGACCAAACAGCAGTTTTCAACGACGACATTCAAGGTACCGGCTGTGTCACTTTGGCTTCGATCATGGCCGCTTTAAGTGTTGCCAAGGTCGACTTGAAGGATATAAGGACGGTCGTTTTCGGCGCTGGGTCAGCTGGAACAGGTATCGCTGAGCAAATCCAAGCCGCTATCGCCACCGAGGCAGGAAAAAGCAAAGACGAGGTGGTGGGCCAGATATGGTAGGTCTTCACCACGACTTGTTGACCACCACGCTTTCTACTGACACTTGTTTACTATAGGTGCGTCGATAAACCTGGGCTACTGGTCGACTCAATGGGTGACAAGCTTACCATTGCCCAAAAACCGTTTGCTCGAAAGTCATCCGAATGGGAAGAAAAGGACACCAAATCCTTACAGGCCATAATCTCGGAAGTGAAACCGCACATCCTGATAGGCACATCCACCAAGCCAGGTGCCTTCACTGAAGACGTCGTCAGGGAGATGGCCAAACATGTGGAGAGGCCAATAATCTTTCCTCTCAGCAACCCAACGCGCCTTCACGAAGCCAAACCCGAAGATCTCATCAAATGGACCGACGGAAAGGCTTTAGTCGCGACAGGATCACCATTCCCGCCAGTCAAGCATAATGGCAAGAAAGTTGAAGTCGCCGAGTGCAACAATTCGGTGTGCTTCCCCGGCATCGGACTAGGAGGTGTTCTTTCTCGGACAAAACTCGTGACAGACAAAATGCTTGTCGCCGCGACCGAGGCACTCGCCAAAGAAGCGCCCATCTTCAAGGATCCGAGTAAAGGACTCTGCCCCGACGTGGACGAAGCCAGACCAGTGAGCGTCAAGATCGCGGCAGCTGTGATCAAGACGGCCGTGAAAGAAGGCCTCGCACAGACGGATAATATTCCTGTGGATAATGATGAGGATCTGGAGGAGTGGATCAAGGCTCAGATGTGGGATCCAGTGTACCGGCCATATCAGAAAGCATGATCAGATTCCATGTGGCGGGTCCGTTACAGCCTAAGATCCGAGTCCAAGGTATTGGGAATCCTCTGGCTCCGTCCTTGTGAGAATACAGGGATGGAAGGGCAGGGATAGAATTGACTAGCAAGACGCGCGGCGTTGAGGGTTTTCGTGCTTCCGCAGCCGCCTTCGAGCACTTCTCAGTTGCTCAACTAGGTGGGAAATGCGATAGATGCTGCTTTCTTGGGGGGCAAATAATACGAGGGATACTGCATGTTCAGAAACTTAATTCCTCCATGGCTGATACCTGTCTCTTCTGGATACTTTTGAGTATAGGAGACAGCGACTACCATGCATCGATATTGATCACGCCGACTGTGACGCTGTTGTTCTCACTAGGCGGCAATAAACCTCCGCCAGCAAGCAACAATCCTCTGTCCCAAAGTTGGTCGTGAACGATCCTCAGACTCCTCGTGTAGCTTACCCTCTCACCCGTAGCCCGGCTTTCCCATGCTCCCACATCGCCCTCGGCCTTGTTGACAAAGACATCGCTCAGCGTCCCGCAGCTGACGATGAGCATATTTTCCTTCTCATCCCAGATCACGTACGGACTGCTTGCGGGTACTGTTCCACCTGCGGTCACAATCGGCTGGCCTTCCACTGCGCCGAACGCGATCGGGTCGCTGCTGATCTTGTAGAAGACTGGAAAGGTGTAGTTCACAGGCAGAACTCCGTCGACTGGCCCTCCTCCATACTCGTACGTCATGATATACTTCTCCGCAGACGCGATGTGGGCGACGACAGGCATGCCCGGTCTCGAAGTGTAATTCGCGTATGCGACGTCGGTGACAACTTCGCTCCAAGTCATACCATCGCTGGTTGTTTGGTGCACGAGTTTCTGCCCGTGAGCAGGGTCGCGCTGGTCGGAGTAATAGGCGATTAACATGTCGTTGTACAGCATGAGGAATGGTTCCCAAACCGGAGTCAGGCCATTGTCTGGAACTGCTTCGCCGCCCTTGGCGATACTACTGACGAATGACCATGAGAGACCGCTGTCGGTTGAGACGTACAGCTGGATATCCGTGGAGTTGAGATCCGTGGGGATCGAACTTCCCGCCAGAAAGATCGTGCCTGCTTTCCAGTTTGACCAGTCATGCGGCAGGACGTACAGGAAGGGCTGGTACCGTAGGCCATAGTTGTTGCCGGAGGTGTCCTGTACGCGGGAGAGCTCGGCCCATGATGCACCATAGTCGGTGGAGCGGAAGATTGGGAAGTAGACTGGTGGAGGCTCTGGTGAGTAGTTCTCCCAGGTCGCAAGCAGAGACAGGTCAGGGAGTTGGACTGTGCGGGCGTACAATGTCCCTGGAACGGTGTAGTTGGGTGGTGACTGGAAGACGGTGTTGTTGTTGAAGTAAGTGATTGCGGCTGTTGAATCGTTCTGCCAAACTGGAGTGGCTGCGGTCGAGGTGAAGAAAAGCGGTAAGGAGAACAGGAGTGAGTACTGTTGCAAGAGCCTCATTTTGCCTGATGGATAGAAGCGAATGAGCAGACCCTGGAGGTAGTGCAGCCATTATTCTCGACGGACTGTGGGTATATATACTTCTCATGATTGTCCTGCGTATGGACACGTCGTTGAGGGGACCAGTCAGGAAGCATTCTGAAATATCTGCCGAGACCGGCTGATGCAACTCCAGACTTACCATCATCTCCGCATATTTTCAGGTGTTTCTCCGGATTTTCCTGAGACAGGAAGACACCTACCGGTCGATCCTGACCCCGGGCGTGAGGCAGAACTGGGCTAACGAAGACTCCATGAGGTCTCCACCGGACCTGCCACAATGGGCAAATGTCCGGTGATGAAGTCACTTCAAGGAGTTGTTGCTCGCCGGGTTCACATTACGTGCTTCAACCAACGAACACAAGAGGTGACGGGTCACCTCGTGCAATTTGACTGGCAGCGTCTGCTACTATCGTGACGGGAAAGGATGACTTGCCGCAGAGTATGTTGTAAGTAGTCAAGAGGCAGTCCAACCAGGTAGGTTTCTTCCCGGCCTTTTGTCGGTTCCGACTACCGAGGTTGTGTGGACGTCACCGCGACGTTTAAAGTCGTCTTCACGCCGCATGAGAACTTCACTTCACTTCATCTCTACAGGGTCACCGTCCGAGCAATGGCTTCAGAAGAGGTCTCGCCTTCCGTTGACACACGGCAGCCCTCCGAAGCCCTCGAGCTCGATGATGGCTATGTCACCGCGGAGCTTGAGGCATCCAGTCTCCCTCCAACGGATGGTGGTGTCGCAGCATGGCGGCTCCTACTCGTAGCATTCGTCTTTGAAGCTCTGCTCTGGGGCTTTCCACTCTCTTTTGGCGTCTTCCAGAACTACTACTCTAGCCTCCCCGAATTCAAGGGCAATCGTTATATCTCCGTGGTCGGCACGATCGCATCAGGGATCTCATATCTCGGAGCTCCCTTGTCTGTGCCTCTGGTGAGGCGTTTCTCAAACTACCGGACACAGATGATACTGGTGGGATGGCCGCTGTGCATTGTTGGATTGATTGCGGGAAGCTTCGCGAACCGGTTGTCGACCCTCATACTAACCCAAGGAGTTATGTACGGCATAGGCTTCATCATTTTCTACTATCCGATCTTGACCATGGTGGATGAATTCTGGGTGAGAAGGAGAGGAATGGCGTACGGGTTCTTGTGCGGCGCATCTGGGGCATCAGGTGCTGTCATGCCATTGATACTGCAGGCGCTGCTGACCAGGTTCGGGTATCGAACCACACTCAGGGCTGTGGCCGTGGCGCTTGTCGTGCTGACAGGACCTTTGATTCCTTTGCTTCGGGGCCGACTTGGACCGCAAGCTAATAGGAGCCTGCGAACAAGTTGGAGGTTCCTCGGGAAGCCACTGTTCTGGATCTACAGTCTTAGCAACCTCTTGATGGGATTGGCTTATTTCTTCCCTTCGCTTTATCTCCCATCTTACGCAACGGCGGGTGGTCTCAGTGTATCAAACGGAGCATTACTGCTCACAGTCATGAGTATTTCACAAGTTGCGGGACAGTGGACATTTGGCTATCTTTCCGACAAGAGACTGTCGCTCAATACTCTCATGACAGTCTCCCTCACGGTTGCAGCTACTGCGACCCTCAGTACATGGGGTCTTGCGCGCTCCTTACCTCCGTTAATCATCTTTTCACTATTGTATGGCTTCTTTGGCGCAGGCTATACGGCCATGTGGGCGAGAATGGTCTCTGCGATTGACGCCGAACCTTCCGCCCATCAAGCCATGTTTGGCCTCTTTTGCTTCGGAAAAGGCGTGGGAAATGTGTTGGCTGGTCCGATAAGCGCCGGCCTGCTGAGAGCATCTTCTGGCACGGCTGGGTATGGGCATGGAATGTACAAACCGGTCGTGATTTTCACTGGAGTTTGTCTGCTTCTCAGCGCCGGCACCCTCATCGCAACCAAATGCAATTGGAGAAAGTGGCAGGGAGCATGAATTTCTAGCGTTCTTGCTTTTGATAGCTTTTGGGGGCTTTTCGGAGCAGCCCCTATCGTATTGGCCGGACTACTAGTATGGGTCCCATTGCAGATGCCTTACCAGCAAGTACCAGCAGTGGCCCTGTTCTGGACAACAAGACACATTGCTCCCTTGCGGCCTCCTCCTCTCCAGCCTTGCTCGCGTCTGCAGCTGCACAGGCTTGGTACTTATCACTTTGTCTGACGACTCGACCTCCGCAAATCGGAGTGCATTTTCCTTGGCTACGTGCGCATGGTGACGGGCTACCGTATCCTGGTTGGACCGACAAAGGAAATCGTACTTCATCGCCTTTGGGACTACCCTGACCAGCAGGTTTGTCTGGTCTGAAACAGGCTCCGAAAGCACGGAAACGTGGCTGACATCCCAGCGTAACCAGACTGCTTAGCATCACAGCACTCTTAGCCTTTGTGCACGGCTTTGATGCATGCGATGCCATTCCATCTTGCAATTTGGCCCCGTAAAGGGCGCGCAGCACAGGGTCAAACCGCTGTCTTCCCGTCATTCCCTAAGCCTAGAAAGAGCTTGCCCAGCCCCGGCCGAGGGATGGAACCAGCAATCCCGCACTCATAGCGTTTCGATCAGCGACAAGAAATGCGATCGGAACCCCTCAGCATTGACACCGACGGCAACTCGACAATTAGGAGTTGGTGGGTTGGGAGTTTCCAGACGATCCGCAATCATAACACCTCGCGCTTCACCGTCACCAGTGATGATCGAGACAGCCATGTCCTTGTACTCGCACAGGTCGGGTTTCGACACGACGGCCACAGCCAGCGGGTCGTGCATGGGGATTGAGTCGGTCTTGGGTCTGCCAGGGAAGCGGACAGCCTGGTAGTCGATGTAAGTAATGGTGGCATCTCCGGCGAATTGGGCAAAACTCGAGGTTGATTTCTTGAGTGCTTCGGCATCCGCCATGCGTAGTCGCACTTGCAGAGTGCAATCAAGGCCGATCCAGCGCTGGGGAATGCCGGAGCGCAAGACGGTGCGCGCAGCCTCGGGGTCCGAAAAGACGTTGAACTCGCCGGGCTTGGCGCGAGAGTACATGGTCCCCAAGAAGATGCCGCCCATGATGACGAGCTCCTTGATGGCCGACTTGATGCGTGGTTCGAGTAGTAGGGCGATGGCGATGTTGGTGAGAGGTCCGATGGCCACGACGGTGATCTCGCCTGGATTGGCCATGATGTGCTCGACGATAGCCACGGGAGCGTAGCCTGGGTTGGGAGATCGTGCGGACTCTCGTAGGGCGACGACTTTGTCGGCTGGTGTGCGTTTCAGGTCGGTATGGATGATGGGCGTGGCTGAACCACGGACGAGGGGCGTGTCTTTGATACCCAGTCGGTTGAGAAGGACGCCGGTCAGGATGGTCGCGCTCTCGACGTCAGTATTGCCATTGACGGTGGTGATCAAGTCGAGCTGGATGTCTGGGTCGGCATGGGCGAGGGCGAGGGCAAAGCCATCGTCGACGTCCGCGCCCGCGCCCATGGACAAGTCGGTGTCGAGAATGATACGCGTTGGTGCCATGTTGGGAAGGTCAAGCACTGTACTGAGGAAAAGAGGTGGTGAGGACAACGACGTGTTGTATCTTAGACTTGATGAGTTTGTTGTCTTCTCTTGGGTGCCGTCATCTACATTGGATTAGGAGTTTCTTCGTAGCTCTCTTCAGCCTTTTCTACTGTGCAGTGGGAAGTAAATGTGGTTGAAGTCGTCGGATCGTCGGCAACATGGCATTATCCCACTGGCTTCTCCGAGTCCCTATACTTGGATGGGCACCGCTCATTAAAGCTTGGTGCCCCCAGCCAAGGAATGACCCGCCCATAGATCCCCATACAGGTCCCGCGCGTGGTGCCTATGTTCCCCTATGGGGTGGTATGCTCTCGACTGGTCAACTCGTGGGCGTGGGCTTCCTTCAGATGGCTACCGATCGCTTGGGTCGCAAGGTCGCCATGCACATTACTTGGCTTGCACTCGTAATCGTAAGTTCTGGCCCTTTCCTCTTCGATCTTGACTCGGTCAATCACTGACTCTCTCATCAAGTCTGTCGCACTCGAGTCGGCTGCGTCCAACTGGCTGTACTGGCTCTTTGCCAAACTCATCGCAGGAGCTGGCCTCGGCATGATGCAAGCCACTTATCCCATGTACATCGCTGAGCAATCACCAACCCCGATCCGGGGCCTCCTCACCACCTCGTACATGATTTGGTATGTCATTGCACAGATCTTCGCGCCGTTGGCTCTGCGACAATTGTCCATCTCGGATCCATACAACTTCAAGATCCCCATCTACACGCAATGGAGCATGCTGGGTGTCTTGCTCATCATCAACGTCTTTCTTCCAGAAAGTCCTTGGTGGCTCGTCCAAAAAGGTCGAATCAACCAGGCGGAAAAGGTGCTTGCCACAACCCACAAAGGTGTCCCCGGTTACGACACGAAGCATGAGCTGTCAATCATGGTTGCTACGGTTCAGCACGAGGACCTCGTCATGGCCGAGGATAAACATCAACTCATTCAGATCTTCAAGGGTACCAACTTCTGGCGACTGTTCGTTGCATTCTGGCCAAAGGCGATGCAACAACTCTGCGGCCAGAGTGTCACAAACAACTACGCAACGTATTTCTTCGAACTGGCTGGGAATGCCGCGCCCTTCACGGTGACCATTATTCTCGCTGTTTGTCAACTGGCTGGTGTCGCCACGACCTCTGTGATATCAGACCAGTGGGGTCGTCGTTGGCTCACATTAGGTCTCTTTGGATCTGGTGCCATAGCGATCTTGGCCATTGGTATCCTCGGATCTTTCGACTCCACGGAATCGTCCCTTGGTAGCGCTCTTGTAAGTGGAGCCGATCACCCACGATAACCGTTACTGACATTCATACCAGGTGTTTTTCGCATGTGTGTCCAACTATGGAGTCATTGGTGGTGCCAGTATTGCATATTCTTATGTGGCCGAGATTCCCTCCCAACGACTTCGATCCCGAACCGCCTCGGTTGCCTTGATGGGATCGTTCTGTCTCGGCCTGACTTTCAACTACACGGTCCCGCTTATGTTGAAGGTTTGGAGTGTGCGCACAGGATACTTGTAAGTTGACATCCTAATGCCGGCATAAGACAGCGTCAAGCTGACTCCACTGCTAGCTTCGGAGCCACTGGTATCATCTCCTGGATTATCGGATGGTGGTGCCTCCCAGAGATTGCTCGTCGAACTCCTGCCGAGATTGACGAGATGTTCGAGCACAAGGTAGCGCCTCGCAAGTTCCGAAAGCATCTCACCGAGGTCCAGATGTTCCTCGAGGACCATCCCATGGCGGGACGAATTGTAGGCATGCATCTAACGATAACGAAACACGGAATATGGAATACTAGTATGGAGCATGTGTGGGCGTCGGGGCAAAACGCCCGTGGGATGATGGAATCCAGTATATTGTCAGTATCGGAAGTACGGCATACTCGGAGGACACAATATCAGTCTGGTATACAGTAATTTATACACGACTGGTGTTAGTATCTGCGCATTCGCGCAATCAGACCTGCAAAGTAGTACTTACTATACTAGTATACATACATAGTGCTGGAATATATACTGGAATACACTTAGATAGATTTTAGCATTTACCGAAACTTCAAGTTCTTGATGTCGGGACTTCATCGTACTTACATAGGTTATGACTTTACATATGTTTCACTTGTTTCATATATATGTTTGCGATTGATTAGAGCTGTATCACCCATTCAAGGCTATTGAGAAAGTTCAGATACTGCGTTTCATATCCGTATGCGATCAATAGTACAGTATTATATATATAACACGTCTCGAATACTAGTAGTACTACAGTACTTATCAATACATAGCGTGTTTAATACTTCAATAACGGATCTCTACTAATAGGCCCTTAAATATAGGTTTAGACTATACCCCGATAGACAGTGATGTTAATGAGTCGATCGATATATACACTTTCCTTCACATCAAAGTCACGAACCTCGGACTCCGTCGCAGAATCCGGCCCCCTCGAACTCACTCACAATCGAAGCCTCAAATCTTTCTCACCTCACAACCCTTTCCGAGTTTCCACTTACGGTCAAGAACAATGTCTACCCGCTACTCAACAGCTCTTTCGACGCGTTTTCCTGCTTATCGATTGGGATGGCCTCCAATTCCTGGAACGCTTTTGAAAATGTTACAAGATACATCACAGTACCTCACTACCTCGACTATTACTAGTATGTACTAAGTACATGATGGTGACCCTGAATTTGCCTGACCCTGTCTAAAGGCCGTGGGGCCAATGGTCATAAAGATACTAGTACTGTATATTGGAAGTGCCTCGGACACCCCATGCAACAAAGACTCCTAGGAGCTTTCGAAATACTAGTACGAAGCGACTACTAGTATCCTCCCGCACCAGAAGATTGCAATAAGGCCCAAGCCGATAATTTGGACCTCATCCTTCTGGACCTGCACTGCTCCATGAGGTACCACTTGGTAATGCTCACGGCGCTCCCCACGACTGCAATCTTTCTGATCGAACACTCAGAGTCCTCAAGCCACCCCAACGTGGTAAGCATGCGCTCCTCACCTCATACGACTTGCGGCGGAATGGTGGAATGCCAAAACACGAGTCGCACACAATCTGGACGAAACACTGGCATCGATGCTGAGATGTCTGTCTTCCAGCAGCTGCCATGTTTTGAGGATCCCGACAACGGCTGCGCATGTCTCGATGTATCGCAGCCGCTGACCGGAGGCTGCCACCGCGAAAGGCGCACCGGAAACCCCGCATCTTTCTCTGACAGCTCGTTGCCGCGGTTACCCTCGGTCATGCATGATCGACGCTTTCCTCTCCATGGTATTCCTAATGCTACGCTTGCTCGACTTCTCGCTGCCAAAATAGGGACAAGGCCAATGTTTCGAAGCGAAGAATTTCGAATTCTTCTGGACAGCCGCGGGAAATACTACTGTAGTTTGCAATGTTGCTCCTTTACCTCTTGTCGTCAGTTTCGAAACAGTCCTCGGACGTTCCATGTGGTTGTGCTGTTTGCAGAATGCACGAAAAGGACTAAATCCCTGCTCTGGACCACACTTCGACTGCATCGCAGACAACGAGGCTGGAAAATCATGGTTCTGGTCTTCTCGATTTTGGGAATCACAGTACCTGTCAGTTGGATCTTTTCCTTGAGGTATTAGTACTAGTATCAGCTCACGAGCCCGCCACCGCTGCCTCATCGTACTAATCGGCAGTTAACGAAACGCTTCGGCCACCTAGTAGCCCTATTACTACTATGTACTACTGCTACTACTAGTATACTATGTACTATGTATGAATGTATATAGTACTACTAAGTACTACTGGTACTTCTGCGTTTCACCATGTACTGGTAGGCACCCCGAAGACAGCAATCCGAATAAGTATATTACAGTACATATGCATAACCCGCCAGTTAGACTTTCTACATCACTGCTAGAAGCTCTTACAACTAGTACTTACGAAGTAGACGGAGCATAACCAGAGCTGCGAATAGCTATATACTAGTACTTACCTAGTAGTAGTATACTATATAGTACTATAGTATGAAGCAAATCGTTCTGTACGCGGGCTCGCGTTATTTTAGAGTACTACTAGTAGTATTCAATATTATAGTTAAGTAACACGGTTCTAGCTCGAGCTGTAGTGGCACTATACCAATTTATATCTACTGTAATAAATATACTGAAACGAGGTGTACTGATTTAGGCAATCCTATAGTACATAAGTACTACAGTACTACAAGTAATAATATAGTACTACTAGTACTGTATATCATCGATACTAAATAGTACTGGGCACACTTCTAGTAGTTATCACTATGTGGTGCCCGAAACACCATGAAATACTTATATCGTTTAAGAGAGCGAGCGATAACGAGCATTTCTATATAGGAAACGTCCAAATTGCTTGGTATATACGAGTGCAGTATGATTTTATCACTCCAAATCGTGAAGAAGTTTGAATTGTGAGGTGGAGGTACATGACAACGGGAGGTCCAAAAAAAGAGCTTTGTGCGGTCGCGATGAGGTCGTGAGCCTGAGTCGGCGTCGTGCGTTTGGGATGGCGAGATAAGGTTCACGACTCGGAGGTCGAGGTGAAAAGTAGGTGAAAGTTTGGAAATGACTCGAGATGAGATGTTTGTAAGGTCACCGGAGCTTCGCAAGGTCGAGACTCAGTACGTCTAGGGATGGGATGGACACGGTAGGTCCCGTCCAGTCGCTAATGATTCTTGTGAGTGCCTAGAACAGTAAAAGTGAGCGGCTGATCGCTATATGTAGATGCAGTTCAATTCTTCTCACCATGGAGACCTCATCTCGATCCTTGACCCCACTGGCTATCGCAGCGCAGGCTGAGATTGAGGTCGTTTCAGGTGCTGGCTATTCAAGAATCTTCGTCAAGGATCGTTACGGCAACCTAGGCATCTGCGGTGCTGAGAACGCGAATGTTCATTGTACTTGGATAAATAGAGGGGTGCCGAAGACTGTTTGGGGACTGCGGTGAATTAACACTGATTGCGGCAAGGGAAAATGGTCGATCGTGTTTAGGAGGGCGTTCCTCAAGTGTTTCCGGTCCGGAAAGGCATGTTCGCGGATAAAGAGGGATACGACGTCCATGATACTGTATTTATAGGAAGGCCGAGAATGACTTCAAGTACCATAACGGCTATTGCAGAAATTCGGGTTGGAGTCAAGTATGAATGAATTGCTCACGATAACTCTGGCAGCGGATGACCATACTGTATATTATAATAGAATACTCCATAGATATATCGTTGTGAAAGTGAAGTGAGACGACATTGAAATTTCGAATCCAGAAAATCATATTAAGTGCCAGTGTATACTGTATGTACTTACTTACTGTAATATACTAGTCTGAACTCCACGAAATGCTAGTAATTCCCACCAGGCTCGACATAATCTGGTTAATCGCACTTGTTGTTTCACACTTTGCTTGGACTTGCTGTGAGTGAGGTCTCGGCAGCCACAACCTCCTTCCCGTCGCGAAGAGTGAGACCAGGTTCAACGCCTTCCATCACTTCTCGAAGCTGTGGTACGCCCATAATGTGCGAGGCTCCAAAGATTGCATCAATCTCTTCCAAGGTCCTGCCTTTAGTTTCGACCCAGAAAACGGCAACGAACACGATCTGGAGAACGTCCCATGCTCCATTGATCATGTAGGTCTTCCAGCCAATGGCATCAAGAGCATACGGGAAGGACATGGTCACCATCAACCTGGAATAGTTCAGCAAAGTGGTTCCCATAAGCCAAGATTGTCTTGACTCTTACCCAAATCCATTCGTCAAGAATGTATATACACCCATACCGCTCGAGCGGACCGAGTAGTTGAGCACCTCTGGAGGATAAAGCATGGCCAAGGGAGTCCAGGCCACACTGTATGCACCTTGGAACAGGAAGATGAGGGCAACAGTACCGTATATCCCGGATTGATTACTACTCGATCCATAGACTGTAATTGGGGACTGGTTGTTAGCATGCTCCACGTTTTATCATGATTGCTCCTGGAGAACTGGAAAAATGCACTCGCCTTTTGTCAAAGCTCCCACGAGGAAGATGAAAATTGTCATGGCCACACACGATGCAATGGCCAGAGGCTTTCGTCCCGCTTTATCGAGAGAAAAAGTGCCCGCGAGCGCACATAAGAGACACCACGCATTCAAAATGATGTTCTGCTATAAGTCAGTGAACGACCTCACGTCAAACTGCTTGTGAAGCCTACGATCTGCAGTTGAGTTGTTGTGTTCGTGATCCCGGCGTTGTCCAGCATGATTCCCAGGTAGAAACTGATGATGTTGTTTCCTGCTTAGCAGTCAGCGACTACCTATCATGTTCGAGCATCAGGAGTGTCAGACCTGAGACCATAGTGATAACAGCGACGGAGACACACAGCATCAATCTTCTCAAATTTTGTTTGCCCTTCAGAAGTTCAAATGGACTCAGGTGTTGACCGTCATCCACTTCATGCTCAAGTGTGTCGCAAATCTCCTTGTACGTAGTAAGGACAACAGGATTTTCTCGGTTGCCGTTAGCATAGGTCGCTGCGATGATGGAAAGAGCTTCTTCATGGCGACCACGATATATGAGCCATCGAGGACTCTCAGGGAGTAACGGCAACACCACCACAGAGATGATTGTCAAGACACCCTGCAGAGCCGAAGGCAGCCGCCATGCCCATGTAGATGACATACTTGCGGTGCCGTATGTGATACCCGCTGCGAGCAAACCACCTGCAAGGTCATTGTCAAAAGAATGTGCTTGGCTTCGAAGCTCATGAACTGCATAGCATACCGACATAAAAGAATGCCATGAAGATTCCTAGACCAACTCCTCGCCATTCCAGTGTCAAAGTCTCGGCAAGGTAGACCGGTCCACAGAGGTAAACTGCACCATTCCCCAGGCCAACAATGAAACGAGCCGTCATGAACATGCCGACATTTTGTGCTGCTGCTTGCAAGATGACGCCGACGAGTGTGATGACGGCACTCATCCACATAGCCTTCTTTCGTCCCAGCCAGTCCGTGATTTGACCGTAGAAGATTCCGGCAGCTGCTGTACCGGCCCATCCAATGGAGGATTGAAGAGCAAAAGTCGCAGTATTCAAGTGAAAATAGTCAGTGTACGACGGCAGGATGTTCAAACCGGACCTTTGAGATAAGGTCAGAAAGCAGGATGGTACATCACTCCACCAAAGGACATTTGTGCCTCACTCACATAACAGAAGCATCGTAGCCAAGTACCTGTACGATGAATTGTCCGTCAGTCTTGTTCCGGCATTTGCTCAATCATTATCAACGTACAGTGGACAAGATGCTGGAGCACCACAAAAGTAAGGCCAAGTTCACCGTGGAACTTGAGCCAGCTTTCAGGAAAGCCATGGCTGTGCAGAGATGGTCAAAAGCCCTTCGTCTGCTCTATGCAGTAAGTCTGGAGGAGTCTGCCAAATGCGCCGTCTGGGAAAGCAAAGTACAATTGCACTTAGTTGTGGAAGGCGTTCTTCAAACCCTACATGCAGGAAGGTCATCTTTGTACTTCTCACCAACCTATAAAGCCCAGACATTGATATCGTCGGACCAAACCAATGAACCGACTTCGATTGTAAGGCTTCCTCTATCTCGCGTGGATCTCCGGTTGGTCGCGAGTCGGCCTCGGCTGCTAAGGCCTCGACTGGCTCTATTGTAGAGGTGCCAACGCTTGCTCAGGGCGGGTACAGACAGGTTGGTGAGCAGTGGAGGAAGGTACATGTGGCGTGCAGGAAACAACACAGGAGGACTGTCGCCCTGGAACCAGATTCGCTGCTGAAGATCTGCATATCGGCGGTTAGCCATATTGGGGCTAACAGGCCAGACAACGAGAGAGTAGACCTGAAAGCCGGTGAGGCGGGCTGTCCTGTGCCTGCTTATCTCACAGCCATCTAGCTAAAAGATAAGGATCTGTGTCCGTCGCCCGGCTGGCTAGCACTAGTGCCTGACCATCACCAAGCAGCGACACCAAGAAACGGCTTGAAACCTCGCACTAGGTGAATGGCTTAATCCCACAAGGTCGAGAGGCTTGATAAGGAGTCTACACCTTTGGAAATGGTGAATTCCTTGGTGATTGGGGACGCCAATCTCCGCAATGCTGGCGGTTAGCCAGATCGGGACGCTTTCCAAAGATCATCGATGGCAGCGACCCTAACTTTCACCTCATAGTAAATCTGATCCGAATAGGATCCAGATTCATCGAATTCACTCTACTATGGCTGTGCAGAGATGGTCGGTAATGTAGTCGCAAAAGATGTGTCCGCACAGCTACAGATCCGCTGATTGTATATTGAACTGACGAAGACACGCTCAAAGAGGCATTGGATATGGGGTAATATTGGTCGAGGCTGACCATTCGATACCGTCTGCTTCCCGTGAGGAAGAGGAATCACAGTCTGCAGTCTTGATATTGTGGTCTTACATGTCCTACTGTTCATCGAGCACCACGACATTGTACTTCAGAAAATGACTTGGCAGAGAAGGTCGTCTCTGAAAATGACATCAAGGCCAGAACCAGCACCATCCACCGTGGGCTGGCATCCCCATGCATGTAAAAGCAACTTCAAGATGCCCTGTGTACATCCGATCCCACAAGTGGAAAGTAGGTATTGGAGAGGCCGCTGGCAAGCAACCTTTTCCTCGTCCGTGCCTGCGCCCAAACCTAGGATGAAGATGGGCCATATCACCAAAGTGGTGTCCTTCAATTTCAAATCTGAAATATTGTTGAGAAGGACTACCCCGTGGTTTACGTATGAGCGGATCACGGCGTCCTTGGGGATGAGAGTAGGCTGGAGGATTTTATGGGCCAGGATGAGACTTGCGCAGCGATACAGGTCAGCAATGACAGTCATCTCGAACGGTAAACCAGCTGGATGCATTGTTGTGGCAGAGTAGGGTGACAAAGGCCGCCAGCTCTCTAACTTGACCAGAATAGCTTTGGCTTCGGTACGGTGCCATCCAGTCAGCGGAACCTGTAGACGCAAGTACGACAGCCTGAATATCCAATCGAAAACCTCGTGTATGATGCCGACCGGAGACGACGTTGCCCAGTTGAGTGTTTCGCTGTCAACCAGGTCGCAGTCAACACAGAGAGTTTCCAGCAAGTCATGAACGTACAGTAGCGGTTGTTCAGAGGGAAAACAGGATGCATGAAACGTGCTGGCAATCGCAAGCTGGAAGATAAATTCTCCTAGGATCCTGTGTTTGAATAAAGTCATTGGTGGCGGAGGTTCAGCTTCCCTGGCACAAAGCCGGACCGCAGCAGTGAGATGAAAAGTGTTGGGCCGAGAGTCATAATTCCGCAATGTCTAGACATGTGAATTAATGATTGAAGAATGGCAGTGGAGCGAGATACGACTTGCTTACTTCAAATATGTGTAAAGCATTGATCGACGCCAATAGCCATTCGTGGTCATCCGCAGTTGGTGTTCTGATGCTGTTGAGCGCTGTAGATACTGACCTGATCGACCGAGTATGGTGAGCAAGGCTGACCTTTTCCCATCGAGAATCAATTTTTGCCAGGATGGCTGCACCACATGCAGCAAAGGCGTACATCAGAGATGGTCTCTCGAGCGCGTACTGAAATCCGAGCGCAACTAAAGAGTGCTTCGGATCAACCCAAGAAACACAATGAATGTTATCGAAGGTCCGGAGCAGGTATTCAAGCTGCCTGAAGTCGATATCGAATGCCTGCGTCTCTGCCGTGTATTGGTGCGCTATGTAAGACTGCAGAGTCAGTTGAGGTGACCATGGCGTCGTACTGGTAGTACTAGTATATAGGCTGCATGGTGATGCTGTACTGGTCGTATGTGTGGCTCCAGAATTGCATGGTGAAAGTTGCTGTTCAGCTTCCCAGATGCATTGGACTGATGACTTTTGCCCACATCTGCGGCAAATTGGTCTGGTCTCATCACATTTCTTTCTCAGACGTCGACCTGAGACGGGTCAGCATTTGCAACACCATGTGGTGGCGCCTGGTAGGGTACATGTATAGCAGCCCTTAGTGGACCGGCGATGGCGCACCATGGGTCTTGTGGTTCCAGTTTCCTTCTTAGAGACCTTGAAGGTGGCAAACATTCCATGCGCCATATTCTGCAGAGTTCGGCCGACGCCGTGGACAGCCTCTTGGGGTGTGTAAATTGGGACTCACAAATTTATGGTGGACCACGGATTGATAATTGATACTGTATCGTTTCAATGTAATGAGGAGCAAGCTAGATTCAACGAAGATGTCGCTACTGGGGAGATCAATTGCACTTGGGGATTGGAAGGTGTGAAGGCGGCCGGGGCTGCTCCCATTGGTGCTTCCTTCCAACCCTTATCAGCAAGCCAAATTCCGATTACGTGACCTCTAGAACCCTTCTCGGACTCTGTCGGTTAACCTCATTCTGTCTAGCTTATCAGGATCCTGGGCCAGACACATCTGAAAGAGAAGTCTGGGTCCGGTGCATGTGCTGGTGTGCCGAAGTCCATCTGACCAGGTAGAAGAACTTAGTGCCTTTCTCCGGGCAGGAAACAGCAACGGCGATCGGCGAAGCATGGTCATAACTGCGTGCAGACACTACGGCGATTAACCCTTCCTGGCCATCGAGGTGACTTCGACGACGTTACGTGAGGCCAGTCTTCTCTGAGCAAGTATAAAGCTATAGCGCTGTTCGAAACCCGTCAGGTTCTTCACGGTCAACTAAGTTGCATGATTGATTTCTGCTCGCGGGGACCCAAGAATGGACGACGCCGGTGATAGCTCTGTGGAATGGATGTGGCCTGAGTATACCAGAGAGGAAGCCGAATTGGATCCTGATAATGTCAGGATCAAGAAAGATATTGCAGCCCAGTATGGAGAAGACGCTCTGCGTCGTAGCTGGATTGCCGTCTGCAAACAGCTTGAGGTTCTTACGCAAGCAATCAAAGAAGACGGGACTGGTCTCATTCATGAATTTTCCTACGAGGACTTCTTCAAAATGACCGACGTGGAAAAGGAGGAGATCAAACGGAGAGGCTGTGTGGTTGTAAGAGGTACCATTCCAGAAGAAACAGCCAGATCCTGGTTTCAGGACATAAAGACCTACTTGCAGGAGAACGATGGTGTCATCACTGGTATGTTATGACCCTGCTACGTCCTGTGAGTCATTCGCTAACTATTGCCCCAAGGCTGGCCCAAAGAGGAACCGTACATACTACAGCTTTACTGGTCGCGGGTGCAACTTGGCTGTCGCACTCATCCACGCACTATGGCTGTGCAGCGTGCCATCCTGAATCTGTTCAACGATGATGATGATCCCGAGAAGACATTCGCTGCACCACTAGCCTATGCCGATGCCATGCGCATGCGTCCTCCGGGAAAGCGCTTTTTGGGCTTGGGGCCACACATTGACGCGGGTAGTCTGTGTCGCTGGGGTGATCCTGCATATCGCCAAATATACGACAAGATATTTGCTGGCAAACCGGAGGAATTCGACCCTTTTGACTTTACTCACCGGAAGCGCGGTGACCCAGCGTACTATCCTGGCGCCGACCAGTCGCACGTCGTCCGCGCTTTCCAGGGTTGGACGGCACTGTCCCCTGCGGCTCCTCATGAGGGCACACTCCAGCTCTTCCCAGATCTGAGGTACGGCATTGCATACGTGTTGTTGCGACCGCTCTTCCAGCCACCAGAGAGCAGCGCTGATATCATGGATGCTGAAAAATGGACACTTAACCTCGACGATCCTTGGTTCCCTGGAGTTTGGCGACACACTCCTCAGGTACTCAGTGCAGACGCCTTTCCTCATATGCGCCTGAAGGAGTGCTTGGCCTATATTCCTAAGATGGAGCCTGGAGATACTGTATGGTGGCACATGGATGTAAGTTCCAATCCTTGCAGAATCCTTCCCCAGCATTAACCACGGTCCAAATAGATGTGCCATGCAGTCGAGATCGAGCACAAAGGCACAGAACCTGCATGTGTGGTCTACGGCGCCGCAACTCCAACCACGGAAATGAACGTGCGATATATGAAAGGTCAATTACAGGATTTCCTGAACGGTGTTTCTCCAGAAGACTTCCGCGGTGGGTGTTACGAGAAGGGGTTGAAAGGGTTTCCTGGGGAGGCGGCCATCCTGAATGGTGAGGAAGGCCGAAGAGCGTTTGGATTCGCATCATAGAGTGAGTCTACGTCCTGATCGTGGAATCGTGGCGCTTGTGCTCCTTCCAAAAATCCCTATGAATGGGAAAGGCTGGTCAATTATCTGGATGACAGATGTTTTAGGCATGTACCTACCTACTTAGATACTTGTGGGCTACCCTGTGGACGCTTGGCGCCCGGCAACGACTGCATGGCATGGTTGTTCACCCCTAACATACCTCGTTGAGTTCAGCTCCCATAAGATTCCACATACACTAGAACAGCAGGCCAGATCGTGACCCGTGATCAAGCCATTAATCCCGTCTGGTGGAAGGATCATCAATATCAAGCGTCACTGCAGATTCACAAACAAACCACCATCTACGACGATTTCATCATTCAGTCAGCGCATACAGATATCCTGACGAAAGCTATTCTGCAACTTACCAACCAACAGCTGAGCTCCAGTCTAAGACAAGTCAGCACAGTACACTCGAGATTGGAAGGACGAAACTACCTACTACATACTGCGAAAGGTCGCTAGCCAAGAACACCGCCGGTCCTGCAATCTACGACTCGTCAGAAGTGAGCACTGACGGTATGTTCCAACTCAACGTACATCTACTGGGAGGCCTACCCTTTTCAGGCACGTTCTCTGCTCCACCTCTTTCTGCTTGTCATTCTGTGCAAGATCATCCACATTGAGCCGTGTTTTGATCGTGCCCGGAAGCAGTGCATTGCACCTGATGCCATACGGTCCCAGCGCCACTGCGGATGACTGCATCAGATTAAGCACCGCAGCCTTGGTCGGTGTATAGTGGACCAGTCCTCCAGACCCAGTGAGAGCCGAAACGCTCGATATGCCAATGATTGATCCTCCAGTGTCTTGCTCCTTCATTATTCGGCCAGCAGCACGTACGATGTAATAGGTTCCACAAACATTGACCTGAAGGTGTTGTTGTATGAAGGCGTCGGGTGTTGACAAGAAGTCATGGAACCGAGCCACTCCAGCGTTCGCAACGACGATGTCAAGATGACCAAAATGCTGAGCTGTACTGGCCAAGAACGCTTCGGCCACGTCTGGATCGGAAATGTCGCCTGCGTAAAAGTATAGTGGGAATTCATCATGGCTGTTCTCACTCCCAACTTCTTTACAGAGACAACGTTGATGCTGCTGTGCAGACATGACTCATACGTCAGTATGGGCCTCCAATCGAGGGAGGTCATAAGGCTGACCTCGATCCTGATATGCTCACCTCTTCAGCGGGTTGACCTAGATGATTGACAGCAACTTTTGCACCTTGCCTCGCAAACTCAATAGCAATTGCTCTACCTATACCTGTAAGTCCACCCGTGATTGCGGCTACTTTTCCTTCGAGAAGTCTTGCCATGTCTGCCTTGCAGCGGCCATTTCAGTTCGTCCTAGGAGCTCGCTTTTGTTTTGAGACGGTCATCTTCGCTCCGAGATGAAGCGACCTTGATCAAAGGCTGTCGCAAACATAGGGGTCGGTGCAATCCACGCCATGAACAAACTGACATTCTCCCCAAAGAGAAGGGACACTGGCTCAGCAACATGACGAGATCTTTGTGGTTCGGCCTTTCATGGCCGCCGAAAAATGCCAGAAATGGTTAGAATGGAAAAGGAGATATTCTTGGGGTCCCCGCACCGCACTTGTGCCATGATGCGCTATGCGTCCTGGCTAGGTCGGTACATCGAGAGCATGACTTCTTCAAAAAAGCAGATTGACCGTGGCAGAAATACAATTCGCCCTCGTCCCTCGCTGCATCGAAGAGCGGGATGGGATCCGGTCATGTTGGTTTCATGAGTCCGATGTATCGGGTGATTGGTACACCGAGACAGGAGTGAGAACGTAATACTGCATTGGAGCCTTGTTCGCAAAGGATAAAATGTCGAGTCTGTCCTTGTCCGGTCCTCTTGTCCAAGAAACTGTGACCAACATCATAATTGTTCCTCAAACCCAAGGTCGCAACCATCCCAGGGACGATGTCTGCACAAATCTACTACGAGAAAGACGCCTCCCTCGATCTTCTCGAGGGCAAGACCATAGTCTTCATAGGCTATGGAAATCAAGGGCGAGCCCAATGTCTGAACCTCATAGACGTGAGAAGGATGCAACACTGTACCCAGCCATGAGCTAACTTTGGACCACAGACACTCGCGAAGCACATCTTCAAGCAAGTCCCGAAAGTACTAGCGACAAGCCTGAATGACAAATATGCCGCCATGTGCAAAGAAGACGGTGTCGACTTCACAAGTGACTTCGAGAATGCCGCTTCTCGGGCCGACGTGCTCTTCCTGCTGATCCCAGATCAGTTTCAGCCAGCGCTGTTCAACAATCGACTCGCACCTGTGCTCAAACACCGTGCCGTCATCGTAGTCGCGAGTGGGTACAACTACTTCTACAACAAACTCAAGATCGCCCCAAGTCAGGACGTCGTCATGGTTGCGCCTCGAATGATCGGGACCAGCGTACGCTCATTGTTCGTCAAGGGCGATGGGTTTCCATGCTTTGTGTCCTCCGAGCAGGATGGGTCTGCACAGGCTCACGAGTGGAGTCTCACCATTGCCAAAGCCATCGGCGCGCTGAGGAAAGGCGCCATCAAATCCAGCTGTCGTGAGGAGACCTTGATTGACCTCTTTGCTGAACAGGCTCTCTTTCCCACAGTGATCACCATCTTTGAGCAAGCCTATACCACACTCAAGAACTTGGGCTGCAGCGAAGAGGCGTTGTGCTTTGAGCTGTTCATGTCCAAGGAGCCCGCCGAGATTTTCGAGAAGATGGCGGATGACGGGTTCGTGAAACAATTGGTCCACCATTCGACTGTGAGTCAGTACGGGCAACTCAAAGGCGCCTTGAATTATCCTCAAGAAATCCTGCAGCCTTTGTTGAAAGAGTTCTCCCGCGTGGCGGAGAACAGAGTTCTCAATGGTAGTTTTGCCGAAGATTTCACACAGTTGGAGGAGAAGGAGGGTGGCGTGCAAGGAGCTCTGGACGAGTTGTATAGGCAGGCCGAGAAGAGTGATTTAGCCAAGGGGGAGGCAAGAGTCAGGCAGAGATTGACCCTGTAGAGGTTTCACAGAAAGAGGAGTGCCATGCAACCACCCCTTTCCTGTCTCAGCCTCGCACGTGACCCGGGTGACCGACACATACTGGTTTGACCGGTCATTGGCAATAACCTGACCTGACCCCGTGGTTCTATGACCGTGACCGGTCTGACCGAGGTGTTTGGTCACCAGGTCATGGCCAACCCACTTCAGGTGATATAATCAAGTCCTCTAAGTGTTAGGAATCCTTATCTGAAACTTGACTAAGCGACTGTTATTCAGGAATTTTTTGCGGCGTGTGGTCTATCACCCTCAGTCATGTCGGTCATGACCCAGACATCACCGGACGATTATAACCAGGACCGTGACCGTGACATGACCGGACCCCTCGGTGCGGTCACGGTTGCGGTCATGTCAACGCTGCCAAAACGGTACAATGCTGTATGAAGAGAGACACGGCTTTCCCAATGCACGCGGCCACAGCCGGAGTTGGATCCCTCGTCACGCATTTGCCATCATCCGCCAAATGAAAACCATCTAGGTCGACGAGGTTTCCAAGTGTCGACTTTTGGACTCTGCCATTTCCTTGTCACTTTCAACACGAACCTCCCTGGTGAGCGCCGTATTCGCTTCACCGATCTCAGGATTTCCTGGTCGATTCATCATGCTTCTGAAGCCCGGAAGAGTGCGACCATTCTTGCCGATGACCAGGAGACGATCACAGTCACCGGCATACATGAAATCAATCTCCTCGAGGGTCCTTCCAGACGTCTCCGGGTAGAAGAGCCAGACGATGATGGCTTGAGCAATGTTGATCACGAAGAATATCATGTACGTCTTCCAACGGATGTTGCTAATACTGATAGGCGTAATCTGGACGATCATGTAGTTGAAGATCCAGTCAGCTGCGGTGGCTATGGCTGCCGAATGTGTTCGGTGTCTGAGCGGCATGAATTCAGAAGGGTATAGCCAGGGAATAGCCAGCCAGCCGACGGCGAATATGGCTTCGTAGGCAAAGAAGAAGAACAGGGATGCCTTGGCCTTGGTTGGGGTGACGTCTTTGTTTAAAAGTCCAGCCTATGCCCTTCGTCAGAGATATCTTCGAAGCAAGTGCAGACGAGTACTCACACAAAGGAAGCAGAGTGCTTGTAAGAATCCACCAACGATCAAGGGTCGACGTCGTCCCATCTGATCCAGAAAGAACACCTGAGAGAACGAAAACAGCCAGTACGTGACAGCGATACCGGCTCCAACGTACAATGCCTCTCTGGCACCAAAGCCCATGTCGGTCGTCAAGGTATGCGGGGCATAGTAAACCAGGACATTGATACCTGCCCATGTCAGTGGTCAGGGTATGAGTGGGCATATAACACCAGGACGATTCTACCTGCTAGCTGCTGCATAGCTTGGATCCCAATGACCATGATATATCGGCGCCTGATCTTGAGTGGTCCATTCGTGAAGACTTCGGAGAACTTCCATGGACCACCTTCGTTTTCAAGTGCCAGGGCTTCGTCAATTAGTCTTTTCTGCTCAATGACGGTGGGTGCATCGCAAGGGACATTTTTGCCCTGCAGCTGAGCCAAGATGTCGATTGCCTCTTCGTGGCGACCATGCTTGATCAACCACCTTGGTGACTCTGGAAGAAACTTTGTCCAGATGAGCTGTAGAATGATGAAGACACCCTGAAAGGCGATCGGCAGCCTCCACTGGACGGGACCCGTTGTGTAGGATAGCCCAATGTTGAAGTAGTAAGCGATGATGATTCCAAACGCGATCAGATTACCAGCGGTCGACACGTCACGGCCACGGCGCTTGGCGGGAAGTAGTTCGCATAGCCAGAGAGGTGTTGTAGCGGTGTTAAAGCCATTGCCGAGGCCACTAGCATCATCAGGACAAGCTCCAACAAGGGCCAGGAAAGGATGGCATACCATATTATGCGCCCGACGAGCATTTGTGCTACACCAAATGAAGAGGCTTGCAATGCCGCGCCAATGAACATAATAACTGCGCCGATGTAGATGCATTTCTTCCGACCAAGCGTTTCTCCACAGACGAAGACAATGAGAGCACCGACACAGCATCCAATTCTTCGGCAACAGTCAGCAACGTGCAACTACCGCATCACAAGGGGTGTATGCTCACTCATATATGGCATTGATCGTACCAAGAAGGCTAGAGGATGGATGATTGAATTGTTGAAGGAACTCCTCAGCCGCATTCAGGCCCTAGCCATTCTCAGTGGTTGATAACGTTCTCAACATGACCATACTTACTCCAAGGACACCTTGGTCATACCCAAAAAGTAGAAAGCCAATCGATCCGGCGATGGCTATCTGTGCCCGCAAGGCACGCCCTCGTGCAGATGCAAAGTATCTTCTGCGTGGGATGTGTGCATAGTCAACAGCTCGTCGTGGAGATTCACTCCCAGTTGACCCCTCAGAGGTCGTGATCTTTTCGCCGCCAGCCATGTTCAGATCTGATTGATGTGATGAGTACAAGGAACTTGATCACCCTGTGGATGAGTGCGACATTCACGATCATCTTTATAAGTTGTCTCGCACTGCTCGTCTCCTTCCATGATGATTGGTGTGTGTCCTTTTGCTAAAGGCGAGCGAGATTCGGGGCATTCGCCGAGATTCCCCAAGAAGGGAATAGTGCACAGTCCATGATCCTGGGGTACTCCGCATGACCAACTTTGTGGCAATCTATCTCGCCAAGTCAGGCATTCTCGCCGTTGTTATCGCACACTTGCAAGACTTCGTCAAAGGTTGGCCACCCCAATCTTGTAAGGACGGGCCGAGGTGGTGCAGGGAGGTGGGCACGATATCCCGTGTCTCCATGCGGGGAGATTTGGCCGCATGATCAACGCCATGGAGCCTGCGGGGAAGGGAGACCTCCCAAGTATAAAACAAGGTCAGAGCCCTGGACTGGACGGCGAAAATGACTCGAACAGGAAGACTTCAGCGTATGGCAGGAAATTATGCCTAAGGCTCGGCGACCAGGCTGGCACGTTCCACCAAGACGTTCCTCTGATCAAGATCGTACTGACCCTTGCTGGTAGCACTTCATGTCGCGAGAGACATCTCAGATGCATGTGAAGCCCTGACCTTGCCTTTTCTGGCAGTGCTGACACTTCCCTGGCGCATAGGCGATCATGCAAAGCCTAGCTGCTCCAACTGTAGCATTGCCAAAATTCGACGGAGATGTACATATGGGGACTTGAAGCTGCGCTACAGCAAGTATTCTTCCGGTAAAAGACCCGGCGTGCCTTCCCCGTCAGAAGGGCTTCAGGTGCTTTCCGACGGAGATGGTCCGAGTGAGACTCCATGTTGGAAAGCGTGTTTAACTAAGAGGGAACCTGATCTCGTGCAGCTCCAGTTGGACAAGGTGCACTCTCCCCTCCCAGCGACCTCGGAGCAACATCACCCGAAACTGCACAAGCATCCGATGTTGAGCCTGCCACCATCGTCGGTTCCAGCATTCATCAACATGCGATCTCAGAGGCTGTGTTCAACAGCCCCTCGGCAACATTTAGCTATGTTCTGCCACCAGGCTCTAGTCCTGAACAGCGGCTTGCAAGCACGAACGGAAACATCCAGGACTTCAACGCCAAGGAGGCAGAATGTGCTCTCTTCCAGTTCTACAAAAGCCACGCCGGGGTGTGGGTAAGATGGCCCTGCTGCAAGTCCTTGAACATGCTCTCTGACCTTCAGGCGAAGCTTGATATTGTCACTCCTGAGAGACATCTAAGCCAGACTGTGCCAAGGCTAGCAGTACACAGTCCGGTATTGTATTATGCCTGCCTCTCTTATGCATCCAACCTCATGAATGTGAGAGGCGAGATTGACGAGGCGGTTAAGGAGGATTACCACTGTAAAGTGATTCGCATCCTAATCGACTCGCTTTCCTCCGTTTTCAGCCCCGAGAATGAAGCCACCCTTCTGGCCACCGTTGTGATCCTCCGCATGTCCGAACAATTCTGCGAGATCGACAAAGATGTACGGCATCATCTCGACGGTGCTTCTTCGTTGTTCACCTTGAGAGGCACCACTCGGAAATGGTCAGTCTATGATACTGACCTAGCAGGCACATCGTTCTGGATCTACCTTCGAGAAAGTCTCCGGCTATGCTTCCTCAAGGAGGAAAAGTGCCAGTTCGACCTGGCCTTGATTGCCGGAGAATCTCTTTTCTTGCCTGCATCCGAGGAGGTCTGGACAAATCGGATTACACTGATCCTAGCACTGGCATGCAATTGTGGTTTCGGCAAGACTGCGAGGTCAGAACGAGACTTGCAATCCACAAGATTGAAAGGACTTATTGAGCTTTGGGCAAGCAGCGTGCCGGACGCCTTTCGTCCGTGGAGTTTCAGGGATGGCAAGTTCGGCCCTTTTCCCGCCATCCGTTTCCTGAGTACTTGGCATGGTAAGTCTGTGGCCTTGACTATTTCATGCTTGACCTGGAGCTACTGATCTGACATCCCAAAAGAAGTGGCGTGGCAACACTACTATACCGCGAAAGTGATACTGGCAGTAGACGCACTTCACATGCAAGAAAATACCAATATTCTAAGGCTGAACAGGTACACTGAGAGTCAGATCTTTGAACCAAGCAGGAAGCTTTGCGGCATCTGCCTTGCCACCAGGGAAATTGGATCCGAGATCAATGGGAGCCATCTTGTTTCTTGGTGTGGCCAATTCTTCACGGGTAAGGAGGAACAGCGACGTCTTCTGGACTGGCTGGAAACTACTATGCTAGAATCCAGATGGCCAAATAGGACTTGCAGTGAACGTTTGCAGCAAATATGGAAAGGGTCTAGGCTGCAGTGGGTCGATACTCCTTGCATTTAGGTGGATATTGCTTCAATCCACACTTGGTGAGCGACTGAATTGCACTGCCAGCCCATACAGTATATGAGGAGCGAGATCAATGATACCGGAGCCCCGGGTGCTCTGGATGATGTGTCACGCGACCTGGTTTTCCGGGGTATGTCGATCTCTTCGACGAAAGTTCCCGGATTGGGAAAGTTTCGACGGATCGTCACACACATCAACCCTCCCCAGACTTGATCAGGCGTTCTGGCGGCGTCTAATAAGACGACATTGAACGTCATTCATATCAAACATGCGAAAGATTCGCATTCTCTACGCAAGTTCTCATCGTACGGATATACAACCAACGGAAGCACAACAAGAGATCCTGGATGACCAGCTTAACCAAAGTGTAGACGACCTGTCCCTGGCAAATCGATACAGAATGCATATTCCGGGTGAGCATTGTTTCATCCTCAGAGAATTCAGACGACTGACTGCCACAGTCTTGACATTCGTGGCCGCAACGGGTTTGCTGATAGGGATATTGATATGGACAGTGATACAAATCATCGTTGACCCTCGGAAACTCAGACGCTTTCCTACCCCGTCACTCGGGTCCTATACACCTTTCTGGCTCATGTACCACAGCTCTCGAGGTCAGAGATACGCAGCTGTTGATAGAGCCCATCAAAAACTAGGCCCCGTTGTGCGAATCTCGTCGAACCATATCTCTTTCACGGACCCTCGTGCGTTCAAGGAGATCTACAACTATGGAAGTTCGATTGTTAAGGATGACTTTTACGAGATGATTGCAGCTGGAAATCCCTCCATGGCTCAGACTGCTAGCAAGGTGGAACATGCTGCCAAGCGACGAAACCTCTCACACGTCTTCTCGGGTCCACAAATCACGTCAATGGAGCCGAGAGTTATGCGAGTCGTCGACAAGTTGTGCAAGAAGCTCGAAGCGAAGTGCGAGGGCCGTCAAATAGGCGAAGACGACAAATATCCTGCCATTGAAGGTACATTTGATCTTCGTCCGTGGCTGAATATGACGTCCTTCGACGCAATCACGTCCATGTTCTGGTCCAACGAGTACGGCTTCCTGGACAGAGGGAACGACATTTGCAGTATGCAATTGGCATCCGGCGACGTAAGGCAGACCAATGCCATGAATTCTTACCATTCCGCTGTTCACTTCAATGCCTGGCTCGCCCATCTTCCGGAGGACTGGTACCGATTTGGTCGGAAGTTGCTGAAGTATACTCACGGCCAAATGGCAGGCGATTATTTCAGTGGCATGGCTCGATACCTGGTGAGCGAAAGACTGCGCTCGAATCCTCCAGAACCGGATCTCTTCAGCTCTTTGCCCGTTAGTCCTAGCGAGAAGAGACCGCTTCCGATGACCTTCGATCAGATCCACGCCGAGTGCACCACCATGCTTGATGCTGGTAACGACACCACGCAGACCTCACTCACTAACTGCATGTACCAGCTCGCCAAGCATCCAGACAAGCAAAGAAGACTTCGTGACGAACTATACAGTGGCTTGCCACCAACAGCGCGTCCTATTGCCAGTTTTGCCGACCTTCAGAACATCCAATACCTGCGTGCGTGCTTGGACGAATCATTCCGCGTACGTACCCCCCTTGGGTTCGGATTGCCTCGAAAAGTGGTGGAGCCCGGCGTCGTCATTTCTGGGCACAAGATATCCCCCGGTACAACAGTAAGCGCGCCGTTATACTCTCTTCACCTTAACGAGGACTTGTTCCATGATGCAAAGTCATTCATCCCGGAACGCTGGCTGCCATGCGACGAGTATACGGACTCTTCGTTTCAGACGTCACCAGAAGAGCGTAAGAACCTCAAAGACTATGTCCTCCCGTTCAGTCTTGGGTCCAGGGCTTGTATTGGGAGGAACTTGGCTTATATGGAGTTGAGCATCGTCATCGCCGCGCTGATTATGTCCTTCGACTGGGAACTAGCTCGGCCGGCGGAGAAAATGGTTACTGTGGAGCGATTCAACAGCAATCCGAAAGAGCTTTTTGTCAGGGCGAGGAGGTTGGAGGCAGCTTGATGCTCCAGGAACATCGATATCAATGTTGCAAGTGATCTGCCAGCGATGATGAATGTGATAGCCATTCAGTCGTCCAGTTGTCGTGTAGTATGCGCAAGTGAAGTAATAGGGCACTTCAAAAGTAGTGAAGCAAGGGGTGAAGTTAAGATCACCGCCACATTCCATCACTACTGCGATTCTTGATTGTTTATTGACCTTTCGCATTCTTTTTTGGAAACACAACACTGGAAACACTGGAAACATCTTTCTCATAATCATTACTGCAGTCTGTTCAGATCTTACGCCTCGTCAACCTCAGCTCGCTCAATCAATCATGGCGCCCCCCATCAATCCTCCTCCACCGACCAGCGCCAACGAAGACATACCTATCAAATTCATTGCCCATCCCGACGAAGCTCCCAAGCCTACGGACACGGTCGGCATGGAATCAGCTCCGGCAATCAAGGTCCTGATGCAATTTGCACCGTACGTGAATTGGGCCGAGACGACGCAGTCCTACGCAGCGCTGTTGGCCGGCACATCTAAGAGATTAAGTGTAGCCGCACAATATGGTGAAAATCTCATGCATCGAGCACACTCTGGATATCAGCCTCTCAAGATCGGTTTTGAGGAGCCCATCGGTGAAGAACTACGCAATCTCGCTTCACTCCTGCCGGCAGTAGGCGGTGATGGCCTCAATCCTGACTCGTGGTTGTGGAAAGAGGTTGAGAAAGTCGTGGTGAAAGTCGAGTCAGAGAAATACCAAGCACTCGTGGCATTCTTCGATCCAGCAAACAACAAAGACCTGTCTGAGGACGTTGCAAAGGCACTTCTCGAGGAGATACAGATACAATGGCCCGACGCGCCTAAGCTCACCACACAACAAGCTCAGCTTCTGCATCGAGCAATCGTCGCAACTGGACTCAAGATACAATACAAAGACATCAAGGGCTTTTTCTCTTTCGTGGCGCCAGCCTTGAGTGCGGATGCCAACGAGGACACCTTTACTGAACTGGTCAATAGCTTCAAGAAGTCAGGCAGGACGGTGTACGCTCTTTTCGAAGCCGAGAACACTGTCTTCTCCGGGCTGGGCGAGAAGAATATTGTGCAGCTTCGGTATACTTGCAAGGAGCTTCCGACTATTGCAACTCCATTGATCGCGAAACTCCTTGCAGACTTCGATTTAGAGCGTCCTGGCCCAGTAACCTCGACTGCGCTTTGGCGGAAGATCAGAAAGTACAGTCCAGGAGATACTGATCTCTCACCTTCTGCTCGGAAACTCATCGAGGACATATTGGGAGTGTTTGGGCCAATGATCACTAGCGATAGTGCCATCCAAGTTCTACAACTTTTCCAGAAATTATTGTTTCCTAGTAAGGAATTGGGGGAGATCGATCCTGACGCGACTATCACGTTGGCACTGGACAAGGATGAGAATGGGCCGCTCGGGATGAGGCAGAGATAGATCCGACCGTCCGATGCCCCAATGGTATGGTGTGGGTCGTGGAAAGGTCGATATCTCCAAAGCTTGAAGGCATGCAGTCATGATGGATTTGACTACCCTGGAGACTGTGGAGAGATAGCTATGTACTGGGATACGAGTTCTTCATCCGGTATATTTCCCGAGTCTTTCCCTCTTTTGTGCATCATAGAGCTTGGTGCCATGCAACGTGCATTACTTGCAATGGTATGAAGCAGCGTTCACTTCCTGTGTCGGATCTATCCATTTCGCTGGATTTCAGACCAAGTCAGATCTATTTGTCAGCACCTCCCTAGGGAGATGGCCTTTCCGTAGACGAGATTTGGAGACCACAGTTGGACCGCCCTCAAGTAAGCTTCGATACCTAATAGTACGTAGCACCCTGGCATCAGTCGTGGCATTCACCTGTTCCAGTATACAACGCTTGCGATGAAGGCTCTAATATGGGACGGCGAGAAGGCAAGGGTCATCAACACAAGGCCGCTCCCCAGACTTCGTGACGACTACATACTCGTCCGGACCGTTGCAGTCGCAATCAATCCAACAGACTGCAAAGCAACCTCACAAGGCAGGGCAGCAACAAACGGCATTTTAGGATGCGACTTCGCCGGCATTGTCGAAGAAGTCGGTGCCAAGGTCACCAAGCCCTGGAAGAAAGGCCATCGGGTCTTCGGATTTGCCCATGGCGCGAACAGCAACAACTCAGAGGACGGCGCTTTTGCAGAATTCATCACAGCCAAGAGGGATCTGTGCATGGCGACACCAGAAAAGATGGCTTTCGAGGAGGCAGCCTCCGTCGCCGCAAGCGCCTTCACCTGCGGCCAGGGCCTGTTCGAGGAGATGAAACTGAACACCCCAGACAACCCGATCGGCGAACGACAATACATCTTGATATATGGAGGAAGTTCTTCAGCTGGAAGTCTTGCCACTCAATACTGTAAACTGTAAGTCCACAAAATCCCAACGGGTGAGAGATCACACTGTACTGATGGGTTAGAGCTGGATATCCCGTGCTGACGACATGTTCTCCGAACAACAACGAGTTGTGCAGGTCTAGAGGTGCTGAAGCTGTCTTCGACTACAATGACACAAATTGTGCGCAAAAAATACGCGAGTATGCCCAAGGCGAGCTTTTCTTGGTTTGGGACACCATTGGCTCTCAACAAGGTATCGAAATCTGCATGGAGTCTATGTCGACAAAGCCTGGTCACAAAGCATATGGCACCATACTCCTGAACAGGATCACCCGGCAGGATGTAGATTACTCAAGCAGTATCCTCATGACGTGTCTAGGCGAGGCTTTTGATGTTTTGGGAAAGCACTTCCCGGCCGAAACGGAGAAACTTGAATTCGCCAAAAGACAAGCCTCACTCACGGAGCGCCTGTTGAGGGAAGGTAAACTGAAGCCACACCCAGTTAGAGTTGGTGGTCGTGACTTCCATGGGGTGCTCGACGAGGGACTACCCGCAATGTTGGAAGGGATAGTCAGCGGTGTCAAGTTGGTATACCGAGTGGCAGACACTTAGATTTCTTTAATTACAGTAGGTCTGTCCGAGATGTACATATGCTCATAACTCAGAAGAGACACTCGAGACCGGTTTCCAACTGGGATGATGTAAGAAATGTCACATTTGGAGTTAGATGAAACTTGCTTCAACATCGGCAAAGGATCGCTTGCAGTGGTCACCAGTCTTCTTGCGCTCCTTTCGAGAAGGAATATCACATTCCTTCCCACTCATTATGCGACCTGGATGGACAACATTGAGCAAGATAAACGCAAGCAACATCGGCAACGAGTCCAAACAGTACTGATATGCTTCGTGGTTGGGAATGGTGCTGTTCAGACCATTTGAGTACTCGCACAAGCGGAAAATGATGCGCATCTGTCCATAGTCCCGTTAGAACCTTGTGATAACCATGTTGGGACTGGGTGTAGCGTACCGTTATCAATGCCAAAACAGCATACACGGTGTAAAGTAGTGTGAGTGCACATTTTCTGGCCTGCTTGTCGAGTCCCACACCTCTGAGGAGCACACGGTGGAGTTGAGTTGCGAAGAAGACGAAGATGAGTATGAAGAGTTGCTGGATACCGACGCCGGCCATGTAGATGTGGAGACCTAGTGGTACTCGTCAGACAAGATTGTTCAGCTCTTCTGGATGACATACCTTGCAGAGTCTGCGAGACGGAATTGCTTTCCTGTTCGGCAGAAGCTGCTCCATAAACCTGGGTGATGAAAGCACTGGTAGTCCAAATCCCGTCAGCTCCTGTCGTGGACATCTAAGACGAGCAAGGGTAGAATGGCTGACGTACATGATATCCAAAACGACAAAGCATGTGCCGAATCGCCATGCCGTAAGGCCCAAGATTTTGGCCGTGGGCACAAAATTCCAGACCATCCGGCCTACGACTATGTACACGAATGCGTTGGTCCAGAGGGGTGCGACCTGGGGATGTCAACGAGCTGGAAGGGACTTGAGGGTAACAGTGCGACCTTACCAGGATGAGAACAAACCAGGCTGCGTAGTTTCCTAGGTTGCCTGGCTGCTCAATGCTTAGAATGCGGAAGATGTAGGCTATTGTCTGCCATAATGCGCCCTGCAAGGATGATCAGCTCAGTCCGGGCAGACCTATAAAATCCACTGTCGTAGCGAAGAAAGCGCCTCTTGACTCACCATGCAAATGACCCAGGTGTACCATTTTCTATGGTAGATGCCCTGAGTGACGTGGGCGAGGAAGGCAAGGCCGAAGAAGACGGTCAAAGCGTACGCTGCGCCGAGGGATGGACAGAAGTTCCATAGAGTGTTCGGGTCGGTGAGGGCTGTACAGGAAGAGGTGTTAGATACGCCATGCCTCAGGGCCTGATGGTTGAGAACATACCGTTACATGTTGGTGCCATGGCGAGCATTGATTTATGGATGAAGAGTCGGATGATTTGGAGACTGATGAGATTCTGCGGACGAAAGTGATCAAACTTCGATATTTGTCTGTTGGTATTCCTTCGAGGCAGACTTAACCCAATGTCTCTTTACTTGAGAGGACCGTTGGGTACTTTATAGTTGCCATGTTGCCGTATGGGATAGTCGCCACGGCCGGTTATCTCGACATGACATGGGAGCTCGTATGGACATACTCGTATGGACATGCTTGTATGGACATGCTCGTATGGACATGCACAGCCATGAATATCGGTGCCTTAGCCCGGCAGAACCATAAAGCATAATGAAACTCATGCAGATCATGATTTCTCGTAGGGAATTGAAGCGGCTTGCATGATTCTCCACTGTGTTATCATCCGGCGCATGGTGATTCGACAGCTCGTAAGGACACCCCCACGTGGCGCCAGCAAAGTGACGCCCAAGCCCTTTTGGGGCAGCACGGCTGGTTTTGATGGCCAGGCTTAAACTGACCCCATAAAAGTTAGAGCGTTTCAAGATCCATGAGGCACCCCTCATGACGAGCAACCTCTCTTCCTTCTTCTCTGTCGAAAGGTGCCGTAATCTTTTACCTCACTCATTTTCAGTGGCCGCCTCGTATGGACATTGACTGCACTCTTCAAGGGTGCGCAATGATGTTCATTTAGCGCCGGCTACGCCCTGACAGCGGAGGCAACGGAATCGAAATGCCGAGAGTCAAACCCGGTCAGAGGAAGCGATCGTATGCACCGAAAACGAGGTCTGGGTGCTTAACATGCAAGTTAGTCATAAGACTCTGCCTAGCTTCTGGCCTTCCTGCTGACAGCCCTTGTGCAGAAGTAGGACACCTGTTTTCAGCATGATCGGAAGCTGACCAAGCCTCGAATAGTCCGCAAGGTGAAGTGCGATGAGAGCAAGCCAGACTGCGACCGATGCTTGTCAACTGGTCGGAGATGTGATGGTTATGAGACCGAGCAAAGGTCTCAGGATGGCCTCGTCCTGTACAAGCCACAGACAATCAGTCGTCCGCCTTCGTTCTCCATCCTCTCTGCACAAGAGTCCAGGTCTTTCCAATACTTTTATGAACAGACCAGCTCACAGCTCTCTGGATTCCATGGCTGTGACTTCTGGAGCGGTACTGTTCTCCAACTTGCGAGCGAAGATGAAGCTGTTCGGCATGGCGTTGTTGCGCTAGCCTCCTTGCACGAGAATTTTGGGGTGGGCCGCGTCAATGGTGGGGATTCTGAACACTTCGCTCTGAAGCAATACAACCTGGCCATCAGGCGTCACATGAACCAACTTGAGAGCCCCAAAAGCCAGGCAGGTATTGAGTGCCACCTTGCTGCCTGCTTGATTTTCATTTCCATTGAGGTGACTTCCCCCTTACCAGTCTGTCAGTGATCGGGCCGCTTACTTCACCCAGATCATTCGAGGCCATTTTGCATCTAGCTTGTCCTTGTTGAAGAAATCCTTTGGTGTTTTCGAGGAGCTCCTACGAAACCGAAAGTATTTGCAGAAGACAGCATCAAATGATCTTCTGAAGACATTCGGAAGCCAACTGAACAGGCTAGAGTCGCAAGCTGTCGGTGTAAGCTATATAAAAATGATTCACCTGTATGAACAAGAGCTGACATGAGCAGCTTGTTGGTGCGAAGGCTTGGGGAACTCCGTACGCGTCTCGAATCAGGGGTCCTCCCCCAAAGTTGCCAAAAGCATTTTCTTCCGCGGCAGAAGCTCGTGATTACTTTGAATACTACGCCAACGCATTCATCCTGGGCTCAGGAACCTCGAGTGGGCCAGCCAATGTCGCCCCAATGGACAATGATATTCAGCAAGGAGACCTCCGCGCTCAACTATATATTTTCAACCACTGGTCCAATGGATTGGATGATTTGATCGGCAGAAGCAACAACATGCCCGCGAACGAAAGGGCTGCTCTAGGGGTCCTTCAAATTGAAAGGCTTATCCTGACAACCTCCCTGGACGTGATCACGCAACGCACGTCGGTTGATCTCCAGGTGATGTGGGACAAATATACCGACACCTTTGCGCAGATTGTCAATCTTGCGCAATCAATACTTGAAATGGTTGAACCCTCAAATGACAAAGCACCCGCATCAAGAAAGCCATATTTCACACTTGATCTAGGTCTTGTCGGACCATTGTACGACATTGCACGACGATGTCGAGATCCCCAGATACGGCGAAGGGCTATTGGACTTCTTTATGCGTATCCTCGGCAAGAAGGAATGTTTGACGGTGTGCTTGCTGCTAGGGTGGCGGAACGTGTGGTGGAAATCGAAGAGGCTTCGCTGGGTAGTGTCACTTCATGCGCCGACGTGCCTGACTGGGCACGCCTATCAGATGTGCATCCAGTATTTGACCTGGAAAAGAAGAGAGCTGTGTTGTTTTACCAACGACAACTCAGCGCATTGGATGTGGGGAGAATACCAGTGCAGGAGACAATTGAGTGGAATTGATTCTGGCAAATGGACTCTTAGTTGTAATATACTAGACGATGAAGACAAGAGCTCGAAAAGTACATACTGGAAGCAGGAGTTGGAAAATCGATACAGTAAGAAGTCATTGCGTCTCTCGCCCTGCGGTTCGCCGAGTTTCTATCTATGGCGGAGTTGTGGTCCAGGCCCCGCAGACGGTAACAATCAATGGACATCATCCATCTTCGCCTACGGCGACATCTTTCCCATCTTTACAACCTTGGAGCATACCCCGAGATGAAGCATCATGTTGCAAGACTTGTTCTGCAAACTCAGTACAGCTTTGGCGACTTCTGCATCTTAAGCAGGCCATGTTTCTCGTCAACCCAACTTTTGATCTGCACTCTCAGCGCGTTCCACAGCTATCAAACGTGCATGCGTTCCTTTGACCGTGTTCTCAAGCCATTCGTCCCTGCTGGTGATAACGTTGCGCCCCCATCTACTCCAATAGCAGAATGTCAACAAGCTCGCACTGTACGGATTGGAACCGGAAGGAGACAAAGAATGAACAAGGCCCAAGAAACTCCTGCAAAAGCCATTTCAGATACATGTGTAGGAGAGGAGCAACAATGAACAGGTCATGACTTCGGGTCAGATCGTACAACGTCGATGTAGGTGTGCCAGATAGCAATGTCGCAAATCAGTCGAGCCAGATCCAGCTCGACAAAGGACAAAACAAAACTGCGTGTCGCCTGATACCTTCTGCCTAGGTCTGGGCAACACCAAAGAACAAAAGCTTTTCCCACAAGCTCTTTGATGGAGGCTGCAGTTAAGTGAATTTATCCGGACTGGTTTGGTGGGGTTGACCCTGGCGGTAATCGAAGTGCACCTCACCAGATAGTGATGATGGAGTTTCACTTAGGAACTTACCACTGGCCATCTACGAGACTGCTTTCGCACATCTCTCAGCTTCACTGGGAAATCAAGCAAAGATGCGAGGCTCAAAGCCATGTCCGACAATTTCCTTTCACCGCCAAGGAGTGCTGCTTCAGCCTCGCCGCCCTGTTCACTGCCTTGCTACGCGTACAGGTCCGGCGGTGGTGAACGATAAATACCAGAATTGTTCCAGGTTCCTGTAATGACAAACAATTCCTCATTCTATTCAAACTTAAACAGCTTTCCACATCTGCCAAGGGTGCAGGACAGACATATTCCTACTTCCTAAGGGTGCAAGATGGTAGGTGGTGATGGCTACAAAGGGGCTCTGGGACTAACGCATGACAGGCTCCCCGCAAGGCCACTACCGCCGGCATACGCAAGCCACGCAAGAAGGTATGGGCAACTCTCTTTACTACGATATGCGGTATTCGTTCGCTGACTACGTCGACATGATCAGGCTCGTCTCCCAAAGATCTTTAGTTGCCTCGTGTGCGACCGAAATGACGTTGTTCGTGTTGAGATGAGGAGGAAGAAGAAGACTGTGATGAAGGACGGGAAGAGGACTAAGAAGACTGTGAGAGAAGGAGTTGGCAAGCTGCAATGCTCGTCATGCCACGTCAAATTCGACTACCCCATCGGTCACCTCAGTGCTGAGGTCGATGTCTACAGCGCGTGGGTAGATTCCTTGGAAGCACAGAACGAGGCCAAGAAGGCCGCTGTGGCCACCAGCACAACCACCGGAAACTGAGAGATGACGACGTCTACACCGGCCAGACGGAGTCACTTGGAGAAGAAATGGCATCGAGTTGGTTTACGATACACTTGAATGCTACTCGGTCAACCTACGATGGTTAGGCGTACGCATATTGAACAGGAGAAGGCATTGTGGTCGGTCGACTTACTCAAGGAGATTGGGGAGGTCAACGTCAGGGCTACCAATGAGGCAGACTAAGTTGGTCCGCTAGAAACGTGTGGTAGCATGCTTGTCAATCCAAGAAAAGCCATCATCCAATATTTACCTTCCAAAATCAGCCGAGCAGTCCACTCAGTGCTCCCCACTGCCCAGGGCAAAGATCGTACTCAGCCTCGTTGTCACGTGCACGTACCATTTATTGTTGATGTCACCAATTCTCGCTTAGGGAAACCGCCACTGCAGAACGTGCAACCCGAAAGAAACTTCGTCCACTCAAATATGATGGGAGACGCAACACTTGAAGATCAGCGGATATATAGTGGTCATTGCTTGCCCTGACTTTGACCATGACATTGTCACACTCGCACCTTCGCCATGCCTTCAATGATATGGAATCGTTTCGTTTCGCGACTGCCGCCCGTCCTGCGCCCTCGCTGGACTTGGAGATACGTTGTATGCTTCGGCGTCGCCACATATTCAATATACTGTCTTCTTTCTGCGTCTCCCATGCTCTCGTCTAGGCTGCCAGAATATACTGGGCCTTACTCGGTCGGTGCAATCGACCTTGAAGTCCCATGCGAGCCGCGGAGGCTCAACGATGCGAGATTAAAAGACGATGGCCATCACGCCTTTCAGCTTGAGACCGTTCTCTTCACACTCTACTATCCTTCGGCCAAAGGCGTGCTATCATCGAAGCCACATCATCTATGGATACCACGACCACTCGGGATCGTTGGCGCTGGATATGCCCGCTTTGCACGAATCAGCAATTTCCTTAGCAATTCACTCCTGACTTTTGGGCTATGGGCGTTGGTAGGTGGTACCAAGATCCCGGCGCACGTTGATGTCCCTCTTCACCAAGGACCAGTACTTCTGCAAAATCCCGATGTTGCCACATTGTGGACGGAGACTGATGACGGATTCCCCGTTGTGATCTTCTCACACGGAATGGCGAGCTCTCGCACCCAGTATACCCAGTACTGCGGCGAACTTGCAAGTCGTGGCCATGTCGTTGCTGCAATTGAGCATCGAGACGGTAGTGGCCCAGGCACTGTGATCATGACAGACTCAGCCGAGGACAGAGTCTTGCTGCACTTCTCGCAACGAGATTTACACGACGATTCAGGTCTGGATTCCGAGGCGTTCAGGCAGGCTCAGCTTGACTTCCGGCAAGCAGAAGTAGAGGAGGTCGTTCGTGTTCTGAGCCATATAAATGAAGGCAAAGGAGAGGAGATCTCTCAGTCTAATGCTCGCGGTGAAGGTGAGCATCTTGGAGAATGGCAAGATCGGCTTGCAATGAATAATATGACCATCGGTGGACACTCATTCGGAGCCACACTGGCACTGCAAACCCTGAAAGATGGGCCTTCCGAAAAGCTGCCCTTCCAGAGTGCAGTGGTGCTTGATCCTGGCAAGCATAGCGGACCCTTGAACCATGACGTGCACGTCTCGACGTTGGTCATCCACTCCAACTCCTGGTCTTCAACGCACTCTATCTTCCAAGGTCGACCACACTTTGACGTTGTCAAGGAAGTCGTGCGCGGGATATTGAAAAGAGGAAAAGATGCATGGTTCATGACATCTCTGGGCACGACCCATCCCTCAGTCACGGATGCGCCTCTCATTGAGCCTTTCCTGTTGGGCTGGACGACTGGCTCGACCATTGAGGCACATGAAGGAGTGCGCCAGTACGTCAAAGTGTCGGAAAGGTTCTTGCAGTACCAAGCCGCTGGAACCAAGGCTGGGATTTTGTCCGAGTGCGTCACACATCCTGAGTATAATGTTCCGGAGAAGGACAGGTTCGAGAAAGGTGAAGGTATACGGGGAATGTGGAAGTTTTGGCAAATTCATGCTGCGCCTTGTGGGCCGAACGAGACAGAGGCAATTGAACAAGTCAAAGGACATGAGTGAAAGACACTGCCACTTCATTGCACGATAGCTTGCTGGCAACGTGGATGTCAAGACTGCGATTGCTGCGGTATTCAGCATGGTCTCCATCTTGATGGTCAACTAGCTTTCAATTTGAAAGCATGCCAACCACAGATCCTGACTCGACCCGCTCTTTGTAACAAACTGTGAAATCGATTCAGCACGCTTTCTGTACCTCACCGTTATCTCACATGACCTCGAACACCTCGAAGACAATCAATCACACCAAAAAAGCGATTTTGAACGCATGCGAAGAACAAAAACTTTGCCATGAACCCTGTCGAGTAGGGGTCATGGTAAGTGAAAGCCGGGTTCGCAGACTTTTTCCGATCGAGTTGTCGTCGAGAATCGGTTTCGTGGGATCGATAGTTTGAGTCGAGGTCTTAACGCCTTCTAGCCCGATACTAGTTTGACTAGATAAGGCCTAGAGATTTGTCGTCGAGAAGTTTGATCGAAAAGTCGTCGGATGGAGGATCGAACGTCGAGACAAATCGTCACTAACACGCCTTCTAGCCCGATGCTAGTTTGATAGCTTCACTTTTCAGTGAAACCCCAGAGCCAGTGAGGAATTGTTGACCAAAATTCGGCGACTTCAGTATATGGATATTCAAGGCGGTGGATAGGTCTGGTACACTGATGCAGCAGCCGAGGGAGATCACACACTACAAGGCAGAGAGCGCGTCCATCCCTGGATGAGTCGGTTGAAGGCACAAGATGCCGCAGAACATGCAACTGGCTGCAATGTGCTCTCGCTGATGGGATGTGATGTGCTGTACATAAGCCAAATAATTGCAGGATCCTTGGAACAGTGTACGCTGGTCGCCTGGGTGCACCATCCCAGCCGGCCGCATCCAATCTACGATAGAAGGCTTTGCCAGTAGCTGTGAACTTGGCCGGAGTACACTACAAGTACTGTATGTGAGATAGGCGCCCTTTCGGGCTTCGAGCAGGCTGTCAGTATTGGAATTTAGAACGCGGGGAATGAAGACCGGGCGGGCGTTGTGGAGGTGGCGTTCCTTCCCCGGTCACTGAGATCTCCAGTATCAGCTTCGGCCATGGAGAATATAGATAGAACTCAAGGCCCTGCAGGTGCAGTCGGCTTCCTATTGAAAGCAACAGAGGCGACAAACAACTATGGCCACCGAAACAATTTCACAAACTCAGACTCTCAGGACTATCTTAAACTACCACCTCGAGCCTGAGCGAGGTGGTGCAGCGGTATGGTGCCCTGGGACTGTTCGAGATAAGCGTCGGCCGCACGAACATCAAGAAGTCACCGTTACCAACATTCGAGGACATGAAGCAGAATTCACGGTTGACAAGCAGGGTTTCCATGTAGGACCCTTTGAGCCATCCGTGAACGACGTGGAGGACGATTCGGAATTCCGTGGACAATATTATCAAGATGTCGCAGCATACGTGAAGAACATGTAGGTTTTCGAAGAGCCCTATTGATCGGTGTCCAGCTAACAAGTCTCAAAGGACTGGCGCAACAAAGGTCCTGCCCGTAGTTCATATTGTCCGTCGAAAACAATGGAACGAAGTGGCGGATGCCGAGAAGGACTTGCCTGATGATGCTCCGGTAACAGCACCCACCAGCAATCGCTCTGGTGAGTCAAACGCATTTGTCTCTCACAACAACTCTGACTGTATGGTGCAGTGCATATCGATCAATCATACTTTGGCGCAGAACTGGTCCGAGACAGCAAGTTGGAGGATATCCCAGCTGATGAGGCGGAGAAGCTCAAGAAGGTCCGCTGGGCCATCATCAACCTCTGGCGACCTTTCGATGTCGTGACTCGTGATAATATGGCTCTCTGCGATGCTCGAACGGTGGATGAGAATGACTTGACCGCCGTGTACGCAGACCTCCCCGAGTCACTCCGAAAGGCCAAGACTGGCTACAACTTCGCCGCGAAATCGCGCTCGGAGGCGTGGGAGGTCAAGGCGAATCCGGGATCGCACAAGTGGTATTATGCCGCGAACATAAAGCCCACAGAGGCCTTGCTGATCAAGCAATTTGATTCGAAGAAGCACGGGGTTGCTCGACGGACGCCCCATTCGGCGTTTTCGTCCGAGGAGGACTATGGCCCGACGAGGCAGAGTATTGAGGTCAGATGTCTGGTTTTCTGGAAAGATCAGCCGCAAGAGTGATTGTAGGATATTTACAGTATAGGTGCCAAGCGCCGGAAAGCTCTTACACGCATCTTCCGTGCAACCAGGAGCCTAGCGTCGGCATCTGTGACAAAGTCAACCTCCTAAGCCTCATACCCCGGAGCCACTTTCAAGAGTGTGGATATTTAATGGGCATGCCTCCGGACTGGAGACCTTTCGCATTGTGGCTCAGCCCTACAAGCGTGATGGGAGCCACACAGGCGGCAAGACCGATGCTTGCAAAAGCGCTGTTCGGGGTCCTTCAAAAAACGTGCTTTCTGATACTTTCTCATAGCCCTTCAAAAGAGCCATGGCAAGCAGTCGGGCAATGTCACACGGCCAAGGACGCAATGGGAGGCCTTACAGCACGACCCAAGACATCTGCAGGCCTTCAGGCGCCCATTGTTCTCGCTTAGGCTTCGGTAGTAATGCAAGGCACTCTTGGACTCTGATCTAATTCGACGGATCGCATATTCTCACGTGGAGCCCCTAAACTCTCAGAGCCTCAACAGGAATCGGGAAGCATGAGCAGCCTTGGCCCGAAACACACCTGGAGCACAAAGCAGGGATGGTTGGCTGCCCTATGGCTAAGTTAAGGGGATTTGACATAACGGCGTATTCTGCATTGCTGGACGCCCGTCGCGGACGAAAAGAGCCCCCACCAGATGAACGATATCGAGGATGCTTCCTGTGGTAGCATTTTCTTCTGCTCACTCATTTCGGAGTACTCTTTTGTGCCTCCCAGTTCTAGTGAAGAGTTTCTGTTGGATTCGTTTCCTGTGAAGAGCACCTCAATTTTCACGGGATTCAGGCTCTTTTTCTGTCATTCCCTGCTCGCCTCGTGCGACGCGACATCGCCCAAGATGCTGTATCCATTTCTTCTTCTGGGCTGCCTGGGAACCTTCCTACAGGGTGTTCAAGCACTGGAAGTCACCAACACATCGTCCTGTGTAGACACCTGCGGTGGAGTTTCACTCACATGGTACACCAACCTGACATGCAGCGACGATGGGTACTTCGGCACTTCCAAGGGGGAAGGCATGCGTGAGTGTCTCGTCTGCGAAAGTACAAGCTCGGCGGACAATGGTGACCTCAGCACGCCCCAGAACAACGATATATACTGGTTTCTCTGTAAGCATTGCACCTCAATCTCCTTCTTCCTCATCATGCTTTTAGCAAGCCCTTCCCCCATAGTGAGGCTAACGCATGACGGTTCAACAGTCAACATGAAATACACGCTGGAATACTGCCTGTTTGAATCGAACAGCAGCACTCCCTCGCTACCAGAATGCCAGGCCGACTGTGCGGGATTGTATCCTGTCTTGATGGCCTCGTGGTTCTCGCCGACTGCTGCGAAGCAGTATGAGTACTGCTCGATCAATGACACGGCCTTCACAGAGTACGCTGGAACGTGTGCATCGTGCCTACAGGCTGGGACAGGGTCAGTGGTGCTTGGAAACTTCCTCAATGCAATGCAATCAGCATGCACTAGCCAGCCTGACGCCACACTTGGAGAGACAGTGCCTATCAAGCGAGAACTATTCAATACCACCACCGTTGGTACTGCCACAGCGACCGCGACCACGTCGTCGTCACAGACGTCTGCCGCTGTGGCAACGACATCCTCATCTACGACTTCATCTTCATCTTCCTCTTCAGCATCGTCATCGAGCGCTGTAGCTCAATCGGAAAACAAATCGTCAGGACTCAGTACTGGTGCCGCAGCCGGTATTGGCGTAGGGTGCGCCATCGTTGCGATCGCGCTCCTCGGCGGACTAGCCTGGTTCTTCCTCTCAGCGAAGCGCCGTTCCCGACGACAGGCTGCGACAGAAGGATCTGACTTTGCCGATACCAAGACGCCCTTTGTAACCGAATATGGGCATGCCCAACAACTGGGTAGTACGGAGGTGCACGAGATAGACTCGACGCATGGTGGTGAATCGTGGACGAACACGAATGAATTGGATGGTCGGCCGATAAAACGATAGCCTGCGAGGTGCTTCGACACATAACGTTCCTGATGTTCCGCACACAATTGTCAGGTCGGGTCAGCATTGAGCAGCAGTCTACCTGAGTTAGCGCATAATCAGTCATCTTTGATCAAGGGGCGTATCTTGGACATCCAGAGAAGAAGGAGCATTTAGAAGGGAACGTCCACCTTGGTGGCAATTGCTACAACTTGATACTCTTGACCACATTGGTCTTGATACCCGTTGCCTCTCCTCCATACCCACCGCGACCCTCACCGCCCTTGTACACCTGGCGCATGGAGCCCAACTTCTTCATCTTCTCGTCATACTTCTTCCTCTTCTTGACACGCGGGTTGCGCACGTCCTTCTTCCTCTTCGGCGCGAGACCCTTGTTCTTCTCGATCGCGTACGTGATTTTACGCTTGCCGTCCGTACCGATCTGCTCTTCCTCGTACACCTGCGCGCCCTGCTTAGCTGCCTCGGCGTAGGCTTCTGCTCGGACCTGCTTATCCGCTTTCTTCTGATTCTTGTTGGCAACAAGCATGTCATAATACTCATTGGCACCGTCATGGTCTCCCCCACCAGCGCTGTCACCGTCGTCGTCCCCACCCAATGCTTCTTGGCCCTGGGCGGCAGTTCGGCCTCTTGCCTCGGCTTCACGCATCAACCGATCTGATCTCTCCCGGTAACGTTCTTTGTGGGGGAGGTCATCGTCGCCGCCGGCGTCCCGTGAAGCGGCGCCTCGCTTGTTGGCCTTTTGCGCGATCTGAGAAGTGTAGAATCGGAGACTCTTCTTTTTGCGCGCCTTTTCTGCCGCCTCTTCCTGCGTCAAGGGCGCCTCGTCGCCAAAGTCGGATTCGTCCTCGGCGGGTCCTTGCAGTGACGCATGTAGTAGCTCCTCCAGGTCGTTTCGCTTCGGCTTCCTTGACCTCTTGGTAATGGCGGGCTCCTCCATCGGAGGTTCTTCTGGTAGTGTGGGCTCGAGTTTCCTCTTCTTGGTCTTCTTCTTTTCCGCAGGTGCGGACCGAACAGGCTCCTCTGGCAACTTGACCTCTTCCACCACTGGCTTAGCTTGCTCTTCAGGGACAGGTACCTCGATCGCACGCAGAGCTTGTGCATCCTGCCACAACTGCCGGCACCGCACGAGGTTATTCATTACCGGATGCTCACGCAACTCAGCTGGAGCCAGGGCCATTCCTGTTTTCGACGAGGTCAGGACCGCCAGGTACATCGCAATTGCACCCAGGTACGAGGACAGTGCCCGGAACTTGGTCGACGCCACCGTCCGTTGCCCGGATCGTCCTTCAACAGCAATCTCTTTTTGCAACGTTCGGTACTCGTCTTGTAGCGATACAAAGTCTTTCGTCAGAGGTTCGAATTCAGGATATCGGGACCTCAACATCTGCAGGCGCTCCTCGGGTGTCGCATTCTCGGGCACTTGAAGACCAGGAAGTTTCTCGACCGCCGCTCGTTTGTCCTGGGTTTTCTGCATCTCGCCAACCCATGCGCTCTCGTCGAAACCAAAGTCTGCTTCAGTCATGGCTTTCAACTGTTTTTGTTGTAACCGCCGCGCCTCGGTCTCTTCCTCGAGCGCATCCGCTTCCGTCTCAATGACATCTGCATTGTAATAGTCGGCTTTGGACGTGCCCCAATTCTCGGCGCCCTCTTCTTCTTCCTCTTCCTCGTCCTGGACATCTTCGCCTGCATCGAAGTCCTCATCCTCGTCGTCTTCGGTTTGTAGGTCTTCGTAGACTTCTTCATCCGAGGGTTGTAGGTCCTTTTCCTGCTCTTCTAGCCTCCGCCGCCTCTTTGCCGCTGGTGCTTCATCAAGCAGGATCTTCTCTCGTCCTGCGAAAAACTCATCTTCAGAGCCGTCGAATCTTTCCTCAATGTCATATCGCTCTTTCTCCTGCGCAGGTGCGCTTTGGCCGCTGTGCCTACCGGCCTTTCTCTTCTTCGCCATGGTATATTAATGCGTCAGAATCCAACAGTGCGTGGCGACCTCAGATCGCTATTGCAAGACTTCGGATCCCAAAATTTTGGTCGCGGCTTGGCACAGCCTGCTCAGGGTCCTCGGTGGCAGATGCTCCGGGGCCGCTAAAACCTCCGCAAAAATCTTACCCGGACGAGACGGACATACCCACAAGCTGCCCCTGACGTCTCATGCTGTACCTTTTTTTTTTCGGTTAGGCCTAGTGAGGCTGACAACCAATACTGCTGGTCCACTGTTGCTTACCTACAGGTACAGTACGAGCTATCATTCCTTAGGGCTTCCTGGCTGCCTCAACCTCGCTGTGCAGCACAATGTCAACAGCCACAATCACATTGGCCTCCATCGCAGTCGCCGCATTAAGCTTCATCGCATTCAGGATGTTCTTCAACAGCAAAGACCACTTCCCCGTTGACGGACTCACGGCCATCGTCACCGGCGGCTCACAAGGACTGGGCCTAGCGATAGCACAAGAACTCTCCTCCAAGGGCGCCAACGTGGTCATCGTCGCGCAAGACAAAGGCAAACTCTCTCGAGCCGTTCAAACCCTCAAGTCTCGCGCTGCCCGACCACAGCAAAAATTCCTTGACCTGTCCTTCGATCTGCGCTCGCCCGACTCTGCACCCGAGATCATAGACCAAGTCACGCGATGGAACGACGGACGGGCCCCAGATCAGATCTTCTGTTGCGCGGGCAACTGTCAGCCTGCCTTTTTCGCCGACGCCAGCATCGACACCCTACGAGGCCAGATGGACACTATATACTGGTCGGCAGCGTATATGGCGCATGCAGCACTGAATGCGTGGAAGAAGCCTTCTTCACAAGACAAAAAGTCTGGGATCACAGCGACGCCGATACGGCATATTATCTTCACATGCAGCACGCTCGCGTTCTTCCCTGTCGCCGGCTACTCCCCATACTCCCCTGCAAAGGCTGCCATGAAGGCCATGGTCGACGGATTGAATCAAGAGGTGGCACTGTACAATGGCGCCAGACAAGGACCTGGGCCTGCTCCGGACGCTGATATCGCGCTTCATATCGTATACCCCATGGGAATCCTCAGTCCTGGCTATGAAACCGAGAATAAGACGAAACCGGAGCTTACTTTGGTGCTGGAGAAAGACGACAAACCACAACAGCCGGAGGAGTTGGCAAAGATTATACTGAATCGTCTCAGCTACGGTGATTTCATGATCACCACCCAGCTTTTAGGACACTTGATGCGTGGAGCAGGAATGGGCAGCAGTGTTCGCAGCGGCATTATGGACGTCTTCTGGAATTGGCTCGGATCTCTCGTCATTATATTCGTCACTCCTGATTTTATCTCAAAATGCAGAAATTGGGGCAAAGAGAAAGGCATGAACGTCGCCAGAGCAGCTGCATGAGCTGAAATGCCTCGTGCACAAGCAACACGGCTCAAATCCCAAGCTCCTCAATGTCTCCAGGCACCCACTCCAGCATGGTATCAAGAGTCGACAGTAATTCCGCGTCTGTCATCTGCTCACCAAAATCTCGAGCCGTAAAGAGCTCCGCAGCAACTTCTGCAGACTCCAGCTCAGATACATCGTCCTTGCTTGGTGCTGAACAGACCGCTATCAAATCTTTGCCTTCCCGTGCCAACAAGGCCACTTCGTAGGAACGCTCGACAATGTGTTCCGGGATACCGTTCATGGCTGCACACTGCGTACCATAAGAGAGAGCACTGCGGCCAGGTTGAAGGTTGTAGAGATAGGTGATGTCACTTTGGCGTTCGATCAAGCTCACATCCTCTCTTTCATGCACCCGAACCTCCATATGTGCAAACGAGATATTCTTAACGTCAGAAAACAAGCCGACATCGAAGATCTCGTGGAAATGTGTGGCTACCAGAGCCTTGGGGGCTTCGGGCCCTAGGGACAGGAGATGGAGGAAGACGCCCGCTGCTAGACCAGCGCCGTCGCATGAATCGGTGCCCTTTCCGAACTCGTCAATCACAACCAAGCTCCTCCTTGTGCAGGAGTTGAGCGCTATAGCAACCTGTTGAATGTCAATCATGAAGGCGGACTGAATCTTTGATACTGTTTCTTTGGTGGTGATGCGGGTGAAGATTTTGTCGGTGATACCAATGATTGCTGAGTCGGCAGGGAGAAAGGATCCGATCTGAGCCAAATAAACAGCCAGGGCGACCTGCTTCTGATATACTGATTTCCCAGAATAGTTCGGACCTGTCAGCAAGAGCATACATGGGCCATCTGGAGCATCAGGGTCTTCGCCTCCACCACCCACAAGGAACGTGTCGTTTGGGACATAGGATGGAACGCACAACTCCTGCAGCAAATGCCTGCCGCCTCTGATGTCGATAATGTTGTCGTGCGTCATCCTTGGGCGAGTCAATTTATACTCGTGTGCGCAACGGGCAAACGCTAATAAGCAATCCAACTCACCGCACAAGTCGGATGCCGCAATGAGGAGCTGCTCTTCCTCGAGGACTTTCTGTGCCAGCTTGTACGCAATTTCGATTTCGAGTTCGCAGATTACAGCGTACAAATCACCAAGGTCTTCATCCATCTCACGCATCGCACCGTCCTTGAAGTATGCCTGCCGAGCTGTCGTGAAGGAGTGTTGCCAACCGAGATTTGTGCCGTCGTAAATCGGCTGGCCAGTCGTCACATTCAGAGGAACAGTAATGTGAAAGCCCATATGAGGAAAGTAAACAATGTCCAGCTCAAAGTTGACTCCCGAGGGGATCTTTCTGGCAGTTTCGATTGCTTGTTCGCGCAGAATCTCCTCCATCCCATCGTAGACATCTTTTACTTCATCCAGGCGCTCATCAACCCCCCTCTTGACGACGGTCCGCAGCTTTTCGACTGTCAGGTCAATGTCGACCACAGCATTTATCGTCTGACCTATCCTTCGTAGACTGCGTCGGTCGAGGACTTCCACTGCCCGCATGCACAAGGGTAGATGGTCTGCGCCGATCACCTCAAAGAGCCTGTCAGCGATATCAATGGTGTGATAGCAGAATTCCAACAACGCGGACCAGACACCGTGCTTGAAGGCATTTGGGTTCTGCTTTCCACTCTCAATGCCCTTATGCAGCTCAGTCATGGTCTTTCTCATGTTTCGGACCTTCCCCAGGCTCTTACTGAGCTTCTGGCGCCGCGGTTGGTTTTCTGGTCGTACGAATACCGATACAAAGTCAAGACGACGATTGATCTCGTTAATATCCAAGGATGGGCGCAAGAAAGCACGACGAACGAGTGTCTTCCCCTGAGGCGTTCGGGCGTGATGTTGGAAGATAGTATGTATCAACATATCATCCTTGGCTCTCGAAGCTCCAACACTTTGTTTGACAACGTTCGAATAGCCTTCTGGCTGAATGATTTGCAGAGATGCAAGTGTCTCGGCACTGATGAGCCTGGCGAGAATCAGCTTCACTCTCACCATGAGCTGAAGGGATCCTACATGACTCCGCGGAGGCTGAACATCTCAAAATGTAGGATACGCAAGGCAAGGCTGGCATTTGGATCGTCTGGCAGGTATGCAGCAGACCTTCGTCGCTGCAGATGTCCAATAACAGCACCGGCACAGCCGATGCTTATCTCATTGCTCAGATCAAGCCAAGTTGAGGTCTGTAGAAGTCTTCCACGTTGTGCCGTCAGGCCTATTTCATCAGGCCGCAAGTCCTCCTCGTAGAAGTCGAGATCACCAGGGACCAAAAATCGACCGTTATCTTCCTGGTACGCATCGCATGGCAGACTCAGGAGTTTGTTCAGACCTCCTTCATAATAGAACTCGGATCGTGGCCGGACTTCCGTATCGTAAGGGAGTGGGGGCTGATCGCTCTCTGCATCTGGTTCAGAATGGAAATCTTGGAAGTCAGGCTCTGTACTTACCACTATCGACCAGGGACGTCTGTCGTCGTATCTGACCTTCCGATTGTTCTGTCATGGCAACACACCGGGGAGAGAGGATGACCATGGTAGGCTGAATATCAATTCTTACTCCAGGCAATCAGCGTAGAAGATGACATATTCAAGACTCCCATACACTTCTCGATAATATCCACTCCTCCCAGGACAACCTCTTCCATGCAAAACAGCCTTTCTTCACCAGCAACGTAGTATGCACAGCCAATCTTGCCTTTTCCCCCAATGTCGAGCGCCATGATGACCTGATCTGGGAAATCATCACCGGATACTGGAGTTCTGGCTGACTGCGAACGTTGGTTCTGTTGAGGCCTCTCCGACTGTGCCTTCGTCCGGTATGGGAGCGATGCTGAGGTTGTTGATGATGCCACAGACGGTGTCTGCAAGGTCCATGTCGGTCTGGTGGCTTGGATCTGTTGACGGAAAAATTGACTGCGTTCCGTGGCATGTGGATGCCTGCTCCTACCATTGTAAGATCTACCACGCCAACGACGGCCACGCCCTGAAGTAGAGGGCATGCTGGCTGCAGCGCTGCTTGGAATTCGTGAGTTGGGAGGAGAAGCACGGGTTGTGGGTAACAAAGCCAGGAATATTAGGGTTGGTTCGATCAGGCAAGCACCTTTCAATGCCTGCAGCCACGAGCCTCGAGAAATAGAGATCAGCAAAAGGAAACCAGAATCTTTTTCTTTGGGGCCCGACTTCAATCGTACTGGGCCGAGAAGTCCATATATGTGCATTTTGTGTTTAATTTCCATGTGGCTCGTTTCTATCGAATCTTGTCTTCGTGTCTATCCTGCATAAATCAGTTCTGTACTTCCCGGTCTGACCAGCCTCCAACAATGCGTCCGCCTTCTGCTCTTTTCACCCGACACCACATTCCCACCTCTTTATCAGTGATGAATTGCCATAACACCAGAGGCCAGCTCTTATGACATGGCAAGGGTTCGTAGAACTCCCGAGCAATTTCATACACCATGGGTAATCTGGTCCAAGGAATGGCGGGGAAATCATGATGTTCGTTGTGATAGCCGACGTTATAAGTAAGAATGTTTAGTGGTCCATAGTAAGAATAGGTCTCGGGAATCGGGACGTCCTTCGGCATCTTGCCATTCACCAGACTTGACTTAGCAAAGACATAGTGCTCGGAGATGAAATGAGCGGCACATGGGTGCAAGGAGCCAGCCAAGAATGAGCTCATGATGAGATAGATCAGGGCCTTTGAGCCCAGAAAGCGGAGGATGAGGATGTCGAATACGACTTGTGCAGCGATGTTGCAATAATGTACCGGCCCAAAAGGTATCTTGTATACCATAATGGGTCTGATGGCATAGAACAGCAGTTGGAACGTACAGAAGAAAGCCTTCCCTAGAACCGAGTTGAAGAACACGGCTTCGAGCGCCGTCGGAAGATCGGTGTCGACGCCGTCAACACCCAGGGATTTGTGATGCGTCAAGTGATATTGTCGAAACCCTGCGGAATAAGGCACCCCGATGGGCAGGTTCGCAAAGATGGCGAAAAGTCTATTGTAAATGGGTGTTCGAAAGGCAAGGTTGTGACTGATCTCGTGAATGGCGAGGAAGAGGTTCTGATTTGCGGTCGCTCCAACGATGTAGGCTGTGAGAAAGAAGGGCCAGGAGAGTACGGACGAGTTGCTCAGCAAGGCGGCGCAGGTGATTTGTAGGAGAACGACTGCGAAAACCAAATACTTGGTGAGTGGCTCCGGACCACAAAGCTGAAGGACTTCCTTGTGTGCTTTGATGATTGCCTGTCGACGAGTTCGATGTGGCTCTTCCGTGTATGTCCAAAAGAACTTGTCCTCTGCAGATTTAGGTCCATCCTTTGGTACTTGTCTCGTGGACTGCTGTTGTTTCTCGACGATGATTGTGCTCTGTATGCGTTGAGTCTGGGTAAGCGACTGGGTCTCCGTGGCTGTTGACATGGTGCTGTTCTATACCGCAATGTAGTGCGGCCTTTAAAAAAGAATGAAAAGCGAATGACTAGGATCGAGCATGGTGTACGAGAGAAAAACAAGGAGCGATGCCGATCAGGGAGATAGTGAGGTGCAGTCTGGCCTGGCGGTGGATTCTCAATGTTGAGGAAAAAGACGCAGGACGAGCTCCATCAGATCCCCGCACGTGCATCCACCGATTCGCGTCTATTTGGAACGCGATGTTCGGTATCACTTAACAACATTAAATTTTGATCTAAAAAATATCGCTTCTTCTACAACTCAAATATATCTAGTTGGTATGGGAATGCCCCGGATGGGACACGAGCTGATGCTTACCAAGGCAATGGATAATCCCTTTCATACTTCGTCAGCCCTGCGCCTGGCATCATCTCAATGCGAAATGGCAGTAACCCAGCATAAACGCTCAGACCGAATGCCCAACGCCGTCGCCGTGAGAACTTTTGCGTGAAGAAGGATCAGAAGACTGGGATCACCTACTTGACAATCAAGCTGGCGCTGGGCACTAGTTTCAGGTCCTTCAATGTCTCTCCGAAAAACTCCTGGTTAAACTCCTTTCTCGGGAAGTTCTGTGTGAAGCTTTCGACATCCCTCCCAGTCTCCTCTCCAACTGCGGCAGCGACCTCGAACAACGTCGTCTCGACTGGGAACGTCTTCATGATGTTGCCACCAGATGTTTGTAATCGAAGTCGTGTCTCCTTGTACTCTGATGCAGGTTTCGAGGCAGCCGGGGCAGCTGCAGGTGCCGATTCAGCAGCCACTGGCATTGCGGTGCCCGCTCTCTGGGCCTTTTCTCGCTCCGCCTTCAACCTTCGCTCCTCCTTATCAGCGGCAATCTTCGCTTGTATTCGTTTCTTTGCATTGATGTCCGCTTGCTTCTCTGCCCGCTTCTTTTCAGCCTCCTTGATCTGTTCTTTGACCCGCAGCTGCTCCTTGAGGTCCTCGGATTCTTTCGTCTTCTTCCTGTTGATCTGCTCATTCTTTTTCTGGGCGACCTTTTCCTCCTCCGCTTGGACGGCTTTCTTGGATTGCATCTTCTCTCGCAGTTCCGCCAATTTCGCCTTCTTTTCTTCTTCGGTCAATGGTGCGATCTCTTCGGTTGACTCGGCAAAATCTGTGTGACCTGCTTTGGAGGCATGGTATTCTGCCTGGGCAGTTCCTCGAAACTTCTTTCCACATTCGTTGCAGACGAGACTTCGTGCCTGATCGGCTGCTTCTTGGGCCTTCGCTTCGGCTGCGGCGTCTTTCTCAGCCTTTAACTCGTCGAGGGACTTTGACGAGTTTTTGTCTAGCCAGTCGATGGCGTCGGCCACTGCGAGAGATGTTAGAATGGGCCGTAGGAATGGGAGTCGTCGATTCGATCCAACTTACAACCTCCAGTGTCTTTCAGTGCCATTTCACCTCGTTCTTTATCAAACCCCATCATGACCAGCTGGTCAAGATCTGATGCCATTTTGAGTTGATTACTTGAGGCCACTCGTGATCGTGGTGGGGGCTCGTTCTAGGTGGATGTAGTTCTGGAGGAAGAGGTAGATGAGCGGTTGCTTAGGGAGTCGATGTGGTTGAAGGCAGCAGCCAGCGAGTTAAATATTTATCCGAACCCTTTGGGAGATGGAATGAGGGAGAAGTGAGTGACAAAAATTGGCCTCTCTCACAGTCACCCGCAAGATTGTTTGTGCTGTTCCGGTGGAGGCAAACACGATCACGATAGTACTGTACTCGTAGAATGCGGGACAAACAGTGATGAACTGCAGCCCGCACCCGCCAGCTCCTAATCGTCATCTTGCCAAGAGGCGCGGGTTCTGGATCTTTGGCGCGTAAACTGGAGTGACTGGGCGCCCTGAACTACCATGGTCCGCCGCAGTTTCGCAGACCAGACCAACCTCTCCAAATCTACCTCCGTCATACCTGACCCTGGTTTCGCATGTTGAGCAATTCGATCGGCCACTTTCATTGCTTTACCAATCCACGACAAGAAATCCATCTCGGTCGATAGAGCTTCGACTTCGCCTGAACAATCTCAAAGACTCCTCCAGCTCATTTGCGCGCAACTGCGACTTCACTCAACATGTCTGTCGAACTCCTGCCAGCCGAATTGGGCTTCCGACGTCAGTATTTCCAAGCAGCACGAAAGGCCAGGTATTGACACAAAATAGGCCCGTTCAACCAAGAAGTCACAGAGACTTTGAGGCTCACAAACGCAAACAGTGCTCCAGTGGCTTTCAAAGTATGCTGCTCCCTCCCTCCGATGCGCATCACGCACTAACGTCATTGCGAACAGGTCAAAACCACTGCGCCGAAACAGTTAGTGCCCTGACCAACATCTGCGAGACAGAATTGATTGACATCGGACAGATATTGCGTGCGACCTAACTCGGGCATGATCCCACCCAACGAAGCCGTTGAAGTGCAAGGTAAGGATACCATGAAATGGCACTATGGTCCCTGAAGCTCATGAATATAGTGCTTTTGCAGGCCATGAAAGAAGAGCCTCCTCTAGATGCCAAATGTCGAGATAAATTCCTCGTCCAGACCGTCCTGACCTCAGCGGACCAAGATCCCAACGTGACCACTCTTTGGCAAACAGTGGAGAAGACTGCCAAACACACCATTCAAGAGAAGAAGATTAGGGTCAACTTCCTTTCCGCAACTGGCGGAACACCCAATGGTGTGACCTCTCACGAAGAACAGCCACCTGCCTATTCTTCTCCTTCGCAGTTTGACTCTCCCGCTCCACGAAACTCCATCGGTGGGGTCTCGACGGCCGAGTCTGCCAGAACATCCATGGCTAATGCTGCCGAATCCACCGGGCTGATGTCTGCGGCCGCTACCATCTCCAACGCTGTACCTACATCAGGCCAAGAGGTGCAGGACCAGCTGGCTGCGGCGAAGGCTCAGATCAAGACATTGAGCGACCAGGTACAAGATCCGCAATTTCGACAGAGGAAGGTTCAAGAAGCCAGCGACAAGGTGCAGACTGTGGTGCAACAGAGCCAGGAAACTGGAGTACCACTACAGATTGTCGCCGGGTTGTGCTTACTCAGTTTCCTGATTGCATATTTGTTCTTCTGAGATGCATCGGGCAGAAAGGGGGCTTGAGGAACAACTGCTTGAGGTCGACTCGGTTGTTCCTCAAGCTTGGATATGAATTCCTGTTCAGGGCATGTTTAGGCAAACGACAAATGAGTGTTAATGACTATGGCGGTCTAGAATGAGATGCCTTGTGGTATCAGATTTTCGATCAAAAACTGGGTGTGCTCCACGGAGTAGCGCCTCACCATGGGACGCGCTCCAAGTGATGTCGGACTGCCCTGGAGTCTACTGTCAAGAAGTCGGATCGGCGGGCCAATCGCCAGGAAATGTGTTTATTGAGGTTTCTCTTTTCAAGTTCCAATGTAAGCGTACAAATAAGAGCAATCGCCAGGTTCCAGTACCGGAAATGGGGTGCAAAATGCAGCAGAGTTGCAGATCATGTTGTGTTGTATTTCGTCCAGAGAATGCTTAGTTATTGCCCTACGAAGGTTCCCATGCGTCTATCATATTATTGTACAAGGCAACAATCGCATGTACGCAAAGGTCTCCAGTCCAGGTCCGACTCACCCGCACACCGATTTGAAAAGCATCGACTCGCGACTCATCCTCTTACTGTGTATATCTTACTGCGACACGCAATTCTAACGGCCAATTCCGCCCCACTCTCTACGGGAACACAGGAAGCCGAGATACTAAGATCGATGACACCGTGTACACCAGTACTTTTTACTCGGTCAGTACGGAGAAGCAATCAATGCTCTAGACTCATACCACAGAACGAGATTTTCGCTAGCAAGCGTCGATGGGCGATGTTGATCTTAGGTATGCAAAACTGTGTGACGGGAGCTAACTGTTACACCTTCTGGCGACTGTCTATTGAACGCTATTGTCAGGCTTGTCAAACGGTAAAGACTCTACCCGATGCCTCGGATCTCGCAGACTCGATTGAGCCCGCGACACAGCAAGACGAATTCCGTCAATGCGTTACTGTACGTTCTCCCAAGCACACTACGTCATGTCGCTCTGGACAAGCTGTGACCATTTCTCTTGGATGGCATCTGAGACTTACTCATTCTTCAGACGACGTTGATTTCGGTGACATAACAGAGACGATTTACCCACAGATCCCGTCCTGATCGACCTCCACAAAATACCGTTGTGGTGGTTTAGGCTCTTTCCTATTCTGGATTCGATGCCTCTGTGTGCAGATCGCTGCTCCGCCTTCTTCCCCGGATATTCGTCTATCCGGTACGAAGTGGGCGACGCGCACCTACTGACCATTTCAAGACGCCCATGTCTGGACAATGAGGCGACACGTGCCTGGCTTGATGGGTTTACCTGGTAGGTTCGTGGCCCAAACCAGACGCCGTTATTCTTTGCTGCTCTCTTTCGGGTTGTCGAGATTTACCATTTACGCCGTCCTGCTGATCCGCCGCCAGAACCGTCCCTGCCGTGCCTGTCTGGCTTATTAGCCTGCCAGATCTAAGACAACACCCCCGGAGCCTGTCCTTCCCGAGGGAATAAGATCGATCGGGTTACGCTTGAGCAAAACGAGATCGTGAACTTCCATTTCCGGTTCGTTGCCATGAACCAGGTGACTGATGTGAGTGTCGTTGTTCGCTTCAGATTTTCAACGCTGTCGTTCCATGAAGACAACCAACAAACCTTACCGTGCCGTGCGAGCTCGATTCCAAATGTCGTTGACACTAGAGCAAGCTCTTCCACATTTTGAACCACGGTCCATCCAATACAGCAGATCGATGACTTCTCCTCGGGGTATGTCCTGTGGGCGAGATCCCTTCGTGGCGTGTATAAATATCGCAATGATTCCGTTGCAAGCAACAGAATCTCTTCGAACATTCAGATCTTTCCTTTGAAGCTCATTCTTTTGCAAGACCACCTCAACCAACAACCCTTCCCACCACAAGAATGAAGTCTTCATCAATCGCTGCCAGTGTCCTCTGGGCATGCGGTGCCCTTGCAGCCCCGGCTGGCTTGTCGCCTAGGCAGACGACCAACATAGACACCACAGTTCTTCAATTCGCACTGACGGTTAGTGAAGCCTCCCAGTCCACTTCTCTGGACTAGCCATAGCTGACGGATGATTAGCTCGAACATCTTGAGAACGCCTTCTACCATGGAGCCATCAACAATTTCACCGAGCAAGACTTCATGGACGCCGGGTACTCTGCCACTTACTATAACAACCTGAAGTACATCTCGGTCGACGAGCAATCCCACGTCCAGCTGCTCAGCAGCGCCTTGACAGCTGCAGGTGTGACTCCCAATGCTGCCTGCAGTTATAAGTTCCCGTACACTGATGTGTAAGTCTTACCCTACCACGTTGAGGAAATGGACATCAGAGGACTGACTGTATGTGCTTTGACAGAAAATCATTTATCACGCTGTCGTCCGTCCTCGAAGGCGTGGGTGTGTCCGCCTACCTTGGTGGTGCACCATTGATCACCAGCAAGGCCTATTTGACCGTCGCTGGTTCAATCCTGGTAACGGAAGCCCTCCACACATCTTACCAGCGCGCCAACATCGGAGAAGTCCCGATGGCAAACCCATATGGCACCGTAAGCACATCCTGACATTCCCATTGCCGAGTGGGACTTCTTGCAAGAAACTGACACGTTCAACAGCCACTCGACCCAACCTCAGTTTACACACTCGCTGCCATGTTCATCACCTCATGCCCAGCCAGCAACGCGGCATTGCCTTTCACCGCCTTCCCAACCTTGACCTATGATTCCACAGCATCATGCTGGGGAGGAGAGTCTATCAAATTGACTGGCGCCAAAGACATTCCCGCAGGCTCGTACGTCACCTTCATCTCTGGCCTAAGTGTTGTCAGTGTGCAAGGCACAATCAGTGGTGCGGATATTATGGTCGAGGTCCCAGCCGTGGCCATGGGTCAGACTTATGTCTTCATCACCAGCAAAGATATTGAAGGAACCTTTGTTGACGCTAACGTTGTGTTCGGACCTGCCATTATTGAAGGTATGTTAAACCCCTCCACCCCAACCATTCACCGTCGCTCTGAAAGTCATCTTACTGATCATCCTTGTGTGCTTGCAGTGGCTCCTCCAGCTCCGGTCATCAATGATTCGATTGTTTGAGTGATTGACTCCGAAGAAAAGAAAGTCTGTGGAACATTCAGCTTTCCGCTCAAGCCTACGCACTCTTTAAATAGTCTTGTATGCGATAATGTAATTTGAGAGTGTTCTGTTTGGCATGAACGATCATAACTGAAACGAGAGAATTTCCGCGAATCTCCTGCTGCTTCGATGCGATACAGTAGTACCGTTGACGCCTTCCAAGACTTCTCAGTGGTCTTTCTGGCTTACTACCAGGACTTTCGGCGATGCAATAATGCTAGAAAGGTTGTCCCACAAAGGTCAAGTTGGAGATAAGGTAAGCTGCAGTGGTTGATTGATGTGCCGACGTCATGGACTCACGTGACTGTCTACGACGATCGCTTAGTTGCGTCACACAAGCCTATCTTGTTACCTCGTCCTTCGTGTAGCATCTCCAGACTCTACATGCCAGGCCGCATCAAAGGTGACTCTGGGATACATTTCCCTCCCCCGGGCGCTTGCGCTCGTTATGCGTCAGGGGGTGTGCCGGCGGCGCTCTATCACACCCCTGTAAGTGAGGCTGTGAGCCAACGATCCCGTAGCTCACCTGACGGTATCTTGAAGACGCCGGACATGGTCGCTTTGGGGCTGTCACAGGTCGTCACTCACGTTAGTGGGTTGATGGCCATTCGGGATGCGTAAATACATCAGCTTGATCTACATGAGGCTTCCAATTCACCGCAGATCTAGCATGAGCATTAAGCAGGCTATGTTCATGCTGCACCCCTGATCGCAGCAACAATCGGAAAACGCTTCCTGCTGCATAAACAACACGGAGGAAGCGCTACCATCGCAGATCATCCACGGCTTGGCCTTCGAAAGACTAAAGTACATCCCATGGAAGAATACTCATACAAGCTCTCAATTCATCAACCTCAACGACCTTGGCAACCGTCCTGAGTGGCTGTTAGTCGGAATGTTCCTACGGCTCGGGCCTATCTTACCTATGGTTCGGCGACGGAACGAGTCCTGGAGGTCGATAAGTGGTTCCATGCAGATTTTAATCGGTCATGCCTGATGAGCGGCTTTTTTGATCCTGCTTGGTGGTCTTCTTAGAAGTCGTCGTGGAGCCCTTCGATTCGCGACCCTTCGAACCCTGATCTTTCGACTTTTGGCCCTTCGAGCTCCAGTCACTCCAGTCACTCCAGTCGCTCGAGGCGCTCGAGACACACGGTGGCCCGAGCGGTACACCAGCTGGCGGGATGAAGCACCCGCTACCCGACGAAGAAGAGGTAGTAATGGTGGTCGTTGTCGAGCTCCCACTACCGGTGATAGGGATAGGAGCTGCCATGACTGATGCTCCCAGGCATGACAGCAAGACCAGGCAGACTTGTAGCTTCACCATTGTGATGAGTGTTTGAAATGGTGGAAATCGGGAAAGAATGGTAAAGGACAATCTGTCGTTCTATCTCACGGGGCTCTAGAGTGCTATATAGATATTGAGAGGGAAGTAGGTCGGTAGCTACTGGCCTGGACCTCGATCTCGGCATCGGCCGGGACTGAAAGGAATTGCTTTTTGATCAGTAGAAGCGCCCTGTGGGCTGAAGGCTTACCTTTTGTCTACTGTGGTTCATGGAAACTACTCCGGAGTCCGGACGCTTGCCCTTTACCACAGTATATGACCCATAGTACTATTGGAATATATGAACCTTAAAGGGTCGCGAGAGACTCAGTGGACTCATAATCTCGTTCAGAGCCACATGGCGCTGTCATTGCGGAGCATCTACTCCGTGTTAGACTCAGATCACTAAGTCTCTCCGGTTTGCATTCCGTTTCTGGCATCTCGGAAAGCATCCCAAGGAAAGAACTCTCCTCAGTGATCAAATATCACGAATTGCCAATAATAGTCCAGTGGGTAGTTGACGTAAACAAAGGTAGCTTCAAAGGTATTCATCTGCATGGGCATCTTGGGAAGTTCCGGTCGAAGCAGCGCCATGTACTGTAGGTGAAGCACCTCTCTCGCCCTGTAGGGTCGAGCACTGGCACCGGCAGGTAAACCATGGCTTGGCAAAGTCTGCCGTAGTGAACCCGAACTTCACTACGTACTCAATTTGTATGGCCGCTCAAAACACGTTCACGAAGAACTTCACTGATTTCCACTCCCAACGTCCCTCCCTTCCGCATCCACTGTCCAACGACACACTCCATTGCCACGATGTCGACAGAAATGGAAGTCGACACCGCCCCGCCAGTGTCCGAAGAACCCAAGGACGGCGAGTCCTCCCCTACCGAAAAGAAACCCAGCGCCGGCACCGAAGCGCGCACGATCCAAAATGCAGTCGCCGTCCGTAGTATTGAAGGCTGGATCGTCATCGCGACCAACATCCACGAAGAAGCCACCGAAGAGGACATCACGGACCTGTTCGCCGAGTACGGGGACATTAAAAACTTGCATCTCAATTTGGATAGACGAACAGGTTATGTCAAGGTAAGCTCGCGTCCCGGCCAAACACCTCTGGAAGAAGCTAACTTTGCTTGCAGGGCTATGTCCTAATAGAATATCCTACACAAGTCGAAGCCTCTGCAGCCATCAAAGCTTTGAACGGAACGAAACTTCTCGATCAGACTATATCCGTGGACTATGCTTTCGTGCGACCACCGCCGAAAGAGAAAGGACGTGCGGGTGCGGGAAAGGCGAATGATCGTCGCGGTGGAAGGGTTGGCCGAAGTCGTAGCCGGAGCAAGAGCAAGAGCAGAAGTCGGAGTGCGGAGAGAACAAGAGCTGATGAAGAGCCGGACAAAATGGAGAGGGACTGAATATGTGCAACGACATCTTTATCTCAGCTCACCCCATCCGGAGGAGGCAAGAAGTCGAAACACCATGTCGTGTGGGACCCTCGATATTCCGCGAAAGTCGGCCAGACAAGCCAAGGCCGAACCATCAGCATTGCATAGATGAGGTACGATGCCTGCACCTAAGCCATATAAATATGGCCGTGTCGCGACGATGATCTGGAACAAGCCATGACTAGACGAAAGTCATGTCTCCTGTCAAGAAGGCCGATACTATCGGCTACATAGAAGAACACGAACAAGGTATGCCATCTTTACCTACGCCAGAATTGGATGCTAACGCATTTTATCAGATGCAAACCTGTGCCGCAGTAATGCGATCATTCACTGAAGTCCAGATGCATGCAGCCAACATCTCGTCCGTGGTGCATTGGTACGGTAGGCACTAGTCGTTCCCGACTGCAATTAAACAAACTTTTCTCGTGGTGTTCACGCATGAGCAGCTTGGCTCTGGAAGACGCCGGCCCGTTATCCCTCTTCCCGCCTGGACTGCCGCCACCACCTCCGATGAACCACTCACTCTGGTCATCTACCGATGACGACCGTCGTCGCGCCAAATTCGTAGTTGGCCTCGATGAGAATGGAATGCCTGTCAATTCCGATCATGCGCTTGTTTCTCCCGCATATGGTGTCTGATCCTGTGACTCCTCAGCACAAGTGTGGGAAACACGCGCATCCGCGAGTCTCTTTCAGCACGCAGGAATCCGGTGCTCCGACAACTCACTGGGCATTGTGCCCAAACTCTTTCGGGTGACACCCAGTGTGTCCTCGAAGAAACATGCTACAGCCATAAACCGTGGCGCTCGTCAATGAGAAACCCAGACACCAGGTCCGTTACTTCATCATGCCCCATTTGCAGCTGGCGGCTCGATTGTTCGGACAATCTCCAAATTAGTGATTTCATGCATGCCTTTCGCTTCGAACGGACATTTGGGTCTGCCGCAGGCTGATGCATGGGACACGTTGGGACAATGATGACTTCCAAAGCAGTCATGTCGACGACAATCTGGACCAATGGTGCAAGGTAGCCTACGTGCTTTGTTTCTCAGCGCCAGGTAAACACCAGTAGATATGGATTCATGGTCATAAGCACAACTCGGGTTGTTGCAATTGGAACGCAGGTGATGTTCGTTACACAGTCTGCGCACACGTGTGCGCAAATCGAACAATTCTTGATCATCTGGCGAGGGACGCGGCAGTTTCAAGTCGATGCGCTGATCAAGCTTATTGAGCGCTATCGGCGAGCATATGGGACGTTGGCCGGGATTTGGCTCCGGCCTAGAAGCGACTTGACGTGTGAAAGCGGCAGCGGAAATGCCATTTGACCTGGGAGATGTGGGTGGCTCTGGGGTGGCTCGCATTGAGCTTACCTGGGATGGTCGTCGACTTGGTTTCTGTTCCACAATATCGTCCCAAGATCCTTCGAACTGCCTAGGAGCTCTTCCCGCAGGACGTGAAAAAGAAGGATTCGGGTTTGATCGGTCCTGTTTCCAGGCCGGGTTCTGATTGCGCTTGCTGCTAGTATTTGTGCCTCGGCGAGAGTCCCCGCGTGGCTTTGACAAACCTCGGCGGTCTCGTGAGTACGCTTGATCATCGCCATGATCGTCATGTACAGTAGCAGAATGGCTTGCCTCCTCACCCCAGGCACCTTGAATGGGTGGAGGTGCGTAGCTGTTTTCGCTCACATTCATCTCCCAGCTCTGTTCCGCGGCTTTGTTAGATTGTGAAGAAGAGTGTGCTGACGACTCAAGCTTGACGATGCCGGCCGCATCTTCCTCGTCGCCGTCCTTCGGGGTACCATTCATCTCGCCGTATGAATCGGCTGCACGTTCGAGCTTGGGAGGGAGCATCGGTCGCGATTCCGGAGGTTTCTTGGGAGCCTCAACATCCGTGCTTGCAAGTAGTGTATCGCCTGGAGGGTATGTCGGACGTGCAGGTTGTTCACGGACCGACGTGGCCGATGGAATAGTCGTAGCTGACGCTTGATTGGTATAATCCTGACCCCAAGCAGCTGCGGACGATTGTCCACCCAGCGATTCGGGCACACTTTCTAAGGAGAGGATTTCCACCGTATGGAAGGCGATATCGACTCCAGGAGCGAAGCCATGAGATGGGCGTACGAGGGAAGTTTTGCCTTTGGTGTAGTCATCATCACTGTACAACTGAAGGATTTTGTAGTATTCAGACTGTTGTCCAAGAGCCAGGAAAACATGTCGACAATGACAGTTCTCGATGAACAACTCGTAGTAATCTGCAATCACATTAGAAACAGCCAAATGCCACATGTTAAAACCCTACATTTCAATTTTGCATCGACAGCTTCACGGCCTGAGCCGCAGTCACTGACGGTGAAACATGGCTCTAACTTGCAAATATCCTGGATAAAAGTCCAGAGCTGGTCCGGGTTTGGAAGGTTACCTGCCGTAGAAAGGTCCTGTGCCAGCCGGCCAATATCAGAGAAAATGTGCACTACCAACAATATGTCTTCTGGTAGGTCGTTCTTATGCTGTGCCTTGGCCAGTTCTTTCACTTCTGTTATGAATGCTGCAGCGGCCTCGCGTGCACCTACAGTCCCTGCTCGTATGAAGCTGCTCTTGAAGAAGGACTGATTGCCGTCGATCAGAACGAGGAGGTGCTGTACGCTTGTCTGAAGGGTTGGTCAGTGAGGAGAAGGTGTAGAGACGGGGATACGGACGATGCGGGATTCGACGTCGACTGCCCGCTTCTGCCAGCGACGGCGGCTTTCGGTCTGGTCATCAAGGTCGGATTTGAGGTCTTCATAGGCTTGTTCCTTTTCAGCAAATAGCTTCAAAAGTTTCTTGGACAGATCAGCAATCGTTTGCCACACTACGAAGCAGGTTGAAATATCTTTACCTCGACGAATGCATGTTGGTCGACGGTTTTCTGCTTGTAATCTTCGTGCTCTCTTGCTAGAGATTTCGAGTCTACAGAAAGCTGCGTCTCGCTGTCTGCCATTGTTGATCAGAACAAGGTAGAAGAGCGGCTGGCAGTCCCGCTATGTGACGAGATGTGAGAATTGAATCCGTGGTGAGGATCAAGAGACAGATTTTGGTAAGTAGCTACGGGCAAACAAGCAAACTTGAAAGCGGACAGACGCAGGAAGGCGCGACAGCCACTGCCACTATTGCATGATCACAAACTCGCGACAAGGAAAGACAGCCCTTGGACAAGCATGAAAGACTAGATCCAGCTCAGAACCAGCAATTCATCGAAAAAAGTCAGACCGAAGATAACGAAGTTCCAATGCGATTGAGACGCGTACGGCCAGAGGCTAATTCACGAAAGTGAGCAAGAGCACTAGGGAATAAGTGGCTTAGATTCAGGTATCATTACCAAGAGGCACACGGAATGATTGGGCTGTTCCAAACCTCCACTTTCTGGGGAACCCAAAGGTACTTACAGGCTACAAGTACAGTAGTAAGACGAAAAGACCTGCGACCGTAGAGGCTGGAATGCACGTATCGAAGCTCTTCTTGCTTGTGTAGGATACTCTCATGATCACATACAACATGTGCGGCTTGCGCACATGACTATTCCGCTGTTGACTTGCATTGTCCTTGTCTAGGTTTTCTCTTCTTGGAACCAGTCAGTCCTACACAAGATCTTCGCGATCCATCTTGAATAACCCAGATTTTATCGGACCTGCAAAGCCCATTTCCATATCACCTGTCCCCCGGATGAGGGCAGGGGAGCCACAGTCGCAGCTAGACCCTCGATTACGCATGTCTCCGAGCCTGGAATCAGTGCAGCTTCCTCGAAGGCAAGCACTGCAGGTATGTTGGAGTCGACATGTTGGAGTCGAAGGGAGCTTTGCAGACATCTGGTGTGGGCTTAACTTCATGAATCCGAGCTCCTACCTTGAAGCCAGCCTGACCACGTAAGTACGTCCGAAGGATGAATAATGACTCGATTGCCAGTATTGGGCTTGAGGGGTTTCATCATGGCAGACTCTTTGACGAGAGTACGGAGTTGCATTGGTTTTACTCGGCTGACCACCGATCCGTCCTCTGGACAAAAGGATTGATCATTTGAGATTAGTAAGGACATCGTGTTGGATCAGAATAGTATGAAAATCGCCATGGCGGCATAGGCTGGAACGACGCGTCGTGATCGAACCGATCATGAACAGAATCAAGGCGGATAGGGGCCGAGAAGGGTCTTCTATGGAGACAACCATCAGGCTCTAAGCCTCACGGTCATTTGTAGCCGAAGTTTTCTCCTCGAGGGTCTCAGGTACCGTCACGATACCGTGATGGACTCTAACCGTATTGGTGCTAGTGAAGCCAAGCAGCCTTTTTCCAACCTCATATGAACCTCGACTCCGTTAAGTTTTCAGATGACAGCACTGACACCTGCTCTCCCTTCCTTCAATTATTGAATATGCTCGAAACTCCTAAGCTGATATGCCCGGAGAATTCAAGGACGTTGACAGCTCCCCTGAGCACTTTGAGCACCCTGAGGACCTTGGGCAAGCTACCTGAGACCATCCTCCAAGACCCCCACTCAGTGGTTGGCTAGGCCCGTGTCAACCGCAATGACCGCAGTCTGCTCCTTCCCAATCTATCACGGTTTGAGACTTACCAGTCAGCTATCTCTTATCCAGGACGACGCGATTTGAAAAAGTCAAACTTATCGTTCTGACAGAACACGCCTGCGTTTGAGGCGTCGCGATTGCGAGAGCGTGCCCGTCCCAAGTCTGTGCCTCGCAGCCACCCGGTGCCCTGGCCTCACCCGTCGGCAACATCCTCGGGGAATTCTCTGGGTAACGTGATAGGCTGATGTTCTTCACAGTTGCCAGCCCTCTCTCGACGGCATTCACCTCACAAGACTTGTCCCACTCGTGGCCACTATTGGGCGCAACTTCTTCTGCGAAGAGTCGAGGCAGAATTGCTCGAATTGTCTCTGCAACTCCTATGTCATACCCACTGTTCCTTTCTTGATCTGCTGTTCTCCATCTCTCCTATACTGTTCCATGTCATGAGGGGATGGTTCCTCCACTCGAGCATGCCATCACGTATACAGCCGACCTGGAGATTGGACGTTGCTGTCAAAGCCATCATCCGCGTTATCAAGGCCCGTGTCATACCCACGTTAGGTCTCTGGTGCCACGCCCGGGTGTGGTCATGCCTTCCTTGTTCAGGGCTTTGGTGCTCCTCCTCCAGCCATTGCGCCCCTGTGCTGATGGTCAATGCTTGAGTTAGCTGAGGCGTACTGCTTCACATGTCGGTCCCTGCGGTGGAACTGGTGAGCCTTGCCTGGACACCGCACGTCCCTTCAGGATCATCACTCCACAAAAAAATCCACCCGCAGACTCCTTTACAGCCTTTCTGCTTGGTGACACCATGGACTGGCTCGGTCTCCATGCTATATAGAACTCGACGCTCGCACCTTTCACCAACCTCTCTCACCACTCCGCTCAAGCCAGCACATGTCACTCGTTCACTCCTTATAATCCCGAAGGATTTTCCTTCAGCCATTCTTTTCATAGGAATCATCATTCGTTACAATCTTTCAACATGCGCTTCTCTATTTCCGCGGCCGCTTTGATGGCCAGCGCTGCTGCTGCTCAGCTTACGGTTATCACTCCTTGTCCGCAAGCCAACGGCACCAACGCAACCCTGAGCTTCGCGCCGATCACAGTCACATCTCAATATCAAACAGTTTCAACCTGTGTTCCAACATCGGCCTGTCTCCGTGGATCATGCACAACTAAATATCCCTTCTCTACTTTCGACTTTGTTAGCACCACCATACCTGCTTTCTACAACGGTACCACGATATCCAGCACCTTGGTCACCACGACGACTCAGAAGGTTACCGTGTCGGTCCACTCTTCGACTGTGACCAGCTTTATTACGCCCAACGCTACTACCGCAACCAACGGCACCATATACACTCCTACAGCTACGCCCGTATATTTGACCATTGTCAAGGACTACTTCGCACCATACAACCAGATCGGTCCTTTGGCCATTCCAGGCTATGATGGCAGTGGTCTTTGCACGACTTGTGGCGTCCAAGACGATGGAAGTCGCTCCCAGGTGGTCGATGTGACTGAATGTCGGCTTGGCGCCTATGGTGCCAAGTGTCTGGGGTACCAAGAGACCTGGGTTTCTAGTTCCGCAACACCTGCTGCCACGTCTGTCCTAGTGGACGCCGTGTCAGTAAGCACCACTGTCCCTACTCCTGGTACCTACACCTTCACCTTCAGTCTCACCGCCGATGCCGCTGTCATCACGTCCGAGTCGTCGACGATCACGGTTCCACCGCAGCCTTACTTTGCTCATGTCACTCGTGTGTGCTACAAGCACCTCGAAGTCGTCGACATCACTGTCACCGTCACCAAGACCATTTACATCACTGTGCCTTGCAGCATTCAAGCACCGACAACTGCCAGCGCGGTGGCCATCCCAACTGGCGGCCAATGGCCATGGTGGGCTCATCATGATCACGGCTATGGACAAGGCTATCCTTTCGGACGCGATCCATTCGGCGGACTTGACTGGGGCAACCCGCGCAACACTGACTGGATTCACTGGTTCACTGTGACTGTAACCGACACTGAAACTGACACTGTCACCGCCTCCATGTCCTCCACAGCATCTATCGGACCGATTTCAGTCACAACGACAGCCTCTAGCACGTCATTCACGTCCACCAGCAGCACCAGCTCGGCCTCAAGCACGAGCACTAGCAGCACGAGCTCATCCAGCTCCACCTCTACTTCCAGTAGCACCTCAAGCTCCTCCACCACATCGTCTACGTCCTCCACTTCGTCGAGTTCGAGCTCTTCGATTACCAGTTCCTCTTCTACCTCGTCTAGCAGCACGACTACTACTACGGCCGCCGTTACTACGACTTTCCTCATTGAAGCAGTAAGCACGGGCACTGCCAGGTTCCGCAGGCGAGCAATCAACTATGTTCGCTTCGATGACGATCTTGGTCTGATTGAAAGTGACATCGACATTGCTGCAGAGTTTACTCTCGACACTGCTGGCGTTATGGCATCTGGTGGCTTGTTCATCAACACTGACAACAACTACCCTTACCGCGCTTTCCAGCTTCTCGCCGATAGGCCTACTGCCGACGATGCCAGCTTCAGCATTGACTCCAACACTGGCGAAATCTTCGTCAGTGGCACCAACCATGGATTCTGTTTTGACCAGAATTCGAATTTGTTCATTCTGTTCAGCGACACAACTGCCGAGCTGGGATTTTCCTGTATTGCCGTTGAACTTTTTGCAATCAGGGTGCCAAGCAACTACACTACTAGCACGACTACTACGACTACTGGATCTACATCAACGAGCAGCACTCTGACGACCACAACGACTGCTGCTGGTGGAACCTCCTCCAGCAGTGTGACTGCCACATCGACAAGCACTTCCACTGGCAGCAGCACCTCATCTACTGCTACCTCCTCCAGGAATGCCACTGTCTCGTCGACAAGCACTAGCAGTGTCAGCTCTTCCGTCGCACCCATCAATGGAACCACTTCTTCGTCTACAAGCACTGCCACGAATGGAACATCCTCCACCACGGGTACCTCGACCACGACCAGCAGCTCAGCTTCTGTGGCCCCTGTCAACGCGACCACGAGCAGCACATCATCCAGCCTGAGCACAACCGCTACCGGAACCTCGTCGACGAGTACCACTTCTGCCTCGAACGTGACTTCAGTGACAACCACCAGCGGAAGCACAACCACAACTCCCTTCGCTAACGTGACTTCGACGACTACCACTGCCGTCATCAATGGAACATCATTGACGACCAGCACTGGAAGCTCGACTACTGTTCCTTTCGCCAATGCTACTTCGACGACTACTAGTGCCATCACCAACGGCACGTCATTGACAACCAGCTCGACCAGCACCACCGCCATCCTGAACGGGACCTCGTCAACTACTACCACTACTTCAGCTGTCAACGGAACCTCGTCGACAACCACTACCTCAGCTATCTCAACTGCAACTCCGATCGCAGCAGGCCAAATTCTGCAGATCTCAGTTACTGTTCCCACCACCAGGAAGCACAAGCGTGATACATATTACCTCGGCATAAACGACGACGACATTGCTATGTTGGGCAGTCAGGCCGATGCAGCCACATTCGTCTCTGGTGACGGAACCATCCTGTATGGCACTGAGTACCTTGGATCCGAACCCACAAGTGATGACGATGCTGCATTCCTGGACGTCTTCACATCCAAGCCCGAGTTTGCCACTTGGTTGCTTGATGCCACCTCTGATGCACTCTCGATTTCCCAGAGGCTGTTGTGTGTAATGCCATCACTGGAAGTCAGCACGGTTGACGCGGCAGCTGACTGCGATGGTACTATTGTGACCTTCACTGCTATCTTTGTCGCTGGCAACAGCAGCGTTAGCTCGTCGGCCTCTAGCACAACCGCCACAATTACCAGCACGACTTCCGTGGCTAACTCTAGCACCACCACTTCAATTATCGCCATTACCACGTCGACGATTACAACTACTTCCGTCATCACTTCGTCAACGACTACTATTGCGGCCGTCAACGCAACCTCGTCGACTGCCACTACCACCTCAGGCTTCCTGAACGTTAGCACCACCAGCATCCTGCCGACCACCACCTCAGGCTTCCTGAACGTCAGCACCACCAGCATCCTGCCGACCAGCACTTCCTCCGTCAACGTTAGCGCCTCGATCACCAGCTTGATCAACAGCACCACTACGAGCTTCCTGTCGACCACCACTCCCGCTGTCAACGTCAGCGCCTCGATCACCAGCTTGGTCAACAGCACTACCACGAGCTTCCTGTCAACCACCACTGCCTCCGTCAACGTCAGCGCCTCGATCACAAGCTTCCTGTCGACCACCACTGCTGCTGCCAATGTTAGCACATCGACCACCACCGCTGCTAACAGTACCACCACGTCTGCGTCCAACGGCACCTCGACCGCCACCGTGGTCGCCGCTGGAACCTCTCTGAGTATCGCGGTCAGCGTACCAGGCTCCAAAAAGCGTGACACATACTACCTTGGTATCAACAGCGACAGTATTGCTCAGTTAGGCAGCCAAGCTGATGCTGCTACTTTTATCACTGGTGACGACGGTACTATCCTGTACGGCGCTGAGACCCTCGGCTCCAACCCTACCTCTGACACCGACGCTGCATTCCTTGAGGTCTTCACCACTGAACCAGTTGACTACGTCTGGTTGATGGATTCCTCTGGCTCGCTAACTCTCTCAGGCCGACAATTCTGTGTCCTGTCTAGCTTGGAGATCGAGACCGTTGACGAGGATGGTGATAATTGCGATGGTACTATCGTGAGCTTCACTGCTGTTACCAACGGCACTGTCAACGTGTCAAGCTCCAGCACCACCTCGACGATCACGACAACCTCTGCTGCCAATGCCACTTCGACCGCGATTACCACTACTAGCGCCAATGCCACTACGGTTACGACCACCACTTCCGTCGCTGGTGTCACTTCGACTACCAGTCCGGTTGCCAACGGCACGTCGTCCACGACTACTAGCATGAGTTCAACTACTACCGCTTCTGTCAACGACACCTCGGCTACGACCTCTAGCCTAAGCAGCACTACCAGTAGCTCGAGCAGCGCCACCAGTAGCCTCAGCACCACAGCCTCCGTCAATGACACCTCGGCTACGACCTCTAGCCTGAGCACTACCACCAGCACCTCGAGCTCGACTACTGGCACTACCACCACTACCACCACCAGCTCGACCACGACCACGACTACGTCCTCGACAACGGACGAGGGCACAACTACAACCGCCGCCGAGGGCACAACTACTACCACCGCCGAGGGCACAACTACAACCGCCGCCGAGGGCACAACTACTACCACCGCCGAGGGCACAACCACAACCACCGACCCGGGCACGACCACAACCACCGACCTGACCACGACCACGACCAGCGACTACAGCTCGACCACGGACATGGCCGCGACAACTAGCTTCACCTCCAGCTTCAGCTCGGCCACAAGCCTCATGACGAGCTCTACTTCATACTCCAACTCGACGACTTCGTTCACGTCAACCAGCGTGGCCTCTACCACTACTGGCTACGGCAACTCGACTACGACGGATTCGCTAGAACGTCGTGGTGGTGTGGTGTACAGAGAGCGCAGCATCCGGCACCATGCTCGCGACTACGCACGCCTCTTCTAGGCTTTCCTGGATGTCGCATGGCAGTTGGCTCTGGCAGTTCGATCGCCTTTCCGAGTGAACGAGGATGATACTTGTATGATCTTATTCAAATGAGCATGTTTTGTGTGTTATGGTATACGGCGCTGTACGGGCTTTTGTGGATCAAGCATCTTGAGGCTACGGGCGATTGCGATGACAAAGTGGGTTTCTGGGGAATTCACAATGATCAAATGTTATATATAGACTTGGTTTTTGGGTTCATGAGATAAATGATGAGATGGTTCTGCCGCTCAGCATTTCGAGTGTTGACACTAGATAGCTAGCTAGGCATCAAATCAATTATGTACATTCAGATTGGCCTTCCTTCCTGACTGAAAATGGACTTTCGTGCTGGAGAGGTAACTCGAAGACAACGGGGACTTAGACTTGACCCTGAAGAAGTACCAACCCCTTCTTTCAAAGGTAGAGGTACACAGTGGATCTGGTGTCTGCGGCCTGGGAATTTGTCCTTGTGACTCTCAAAAGCTGTCGTCCTCTGAGGCATGGCTGGGACGTTTGGGCACGGACTTTCACCGTGGGGTTCAGGGGGTTCCTTAAGCTGCTCAGCAGCCAGCACAGTTTTAGGCCCAGCGTTCCCCGGGCAGTAGGGCCAGGTCATTTGAATGGAGATTCTCTGTTCGCACTAGTAATGGAAGGACCCGGTTCTTTCAGGGGTAGCCGACCACCCAGGGGCCAATGCTGAGGGCATGGCGAGGAATAAAGTCTCGTATAGCTTTGCTGTAGTGGCGGCAAGAAGGATCTACCTTGCAGAATGCATGGAAATCATGCACGACATGTTTTTTTAGTCAGGTATACATAGGTACTGTGGTTGCGGGCAGTTTCCGAACTTTTCCCGTCGTCAGGAGAAAAAGCTTGCACACACAACTGTAGGTGTATTCACAAGGAACTCATTTCTGTGCAAGAATGACGAGGGTAGAGGCTTGAAACAGCTCTACGTCCGTGCTCCGTGGCTGGCCGGCCGAGGGTTTCTTCTTCCTTACCTGACCTGTGCGCAGGACTTTTCTAGCTTTTGACAGCCTTGTCAGTCTTAAACTCTGATAAGGCTCCACCAAGCCTGACATGTCGCGCCGCCTCAAGTTCTGACAGCTGGTCATAACGCGTGGTCGCGTGCTTTTGCGGCTGCGGTCCTGAGCGAGATTTGAGGACTTCTACGGTCTACCCTGTGAGGTACCTGGTCGGTGCGTTGCCTTGTAGAAAGCCAGTCGGTAGCGACGGCAGCGGTGGAGGTCATGGCGCAAGGACCTTCTGCCAGTGCACAAGCGAGGTTTCGTCATGCGGTGGTTGCGTAAGAGACATTGATGTGTACCCTGTAATCTCTCGTGGCATTTGGGTGAGCTACTGAAGGGCTTGGATTCGGAAGCTCTGCGAAGTACCGGCTAGTAGCCAAGTCAAGATGTACCATGAGTGTTCCGAAGCGCCAAAGAAATGAGCATACGCAAACGGCTGCCGCTACATGCAAAGCCACTGCAGGTACTCGCTTAGATGTTGGTCGGAAATTGCATCAGGTTGCAGCTGCAGCAGCGACACATGTGGCGGTCCTGGACAAACGAGGTATACGGTACTTCTGCTGCCGCGGGATGCATCGCCGAACATGACTCGATGATGATGACGACGCACAATCAGCAGCTAAGTCTATGTCTTCCACACCCAGGAATCAAGCAGGCTTTCTCTTCAAGAAAAGAACTTCATGAGACAAATCGACCCGTAGGCGTGTGCCTCGTTGGTCTGGCTGCCATGTGCACGCTGCTGGTCAAGGTCTCATGGACATAGCCAGGGCGGCCCCATCTTCGCGAGCGAACAGGGCGCATTCTCATTACGACTGAACGGGTTCAGTGCAAGAGGATGATAGCCGTTTGTCGGTATCAGATCATGGAGATGGGAAGGGTATCCTGATTCTCAAGAGATGACCCTTCACAGTCACAATTTCGACTTTCTCTTCGCGTGCCTCGAATACTGACACAAGCAGAGATCTGCTGCGAGGTCTGTTTGGACTTGCCTTCCTGGTTTCTGGCAAAAAGAAACAAACCCGATGGGTGTTGTATATAAGTCGATTGACGCTTTTTCCCGGTCTCAAGAACCCAAGGACAGTCATCGAACATACCATTCTCACCCTTGCCACCCCTATGACCTACGCTCTACGCACCCCAGTCAACAGATCCAAACGGGAATATTATATGCTGAGCACAGTCTCCGACACCAGGTCTTGAGGTTCATATTGACAACTGTACTAGAAAGAGGGTGACCTGCCGGATGCCCAAACTGCCCAGTGTCTACGGCTCATCCAACGACAATGCTGGAAACTCGTCGCGAAATGTTCAGAAGCATCACACTGACTGGTATATCGGTGCACAGCCTTGTCGTGTCCGTGAATGAAGAACGGGGTTTCGGCGTCTCTATCTCTATGTGCTGAAGGCTGGGTTAGGTCACGGGCACTGCTTGAAAATAGGGGTTGGGGGGAAGGCCGAACAAGGCTCCCGGTAAGAATTGACCAATTATAGGGGACACGTGAGTGGACAATTGGTTGCCGTGCGGGCTCCATGTCGCCGCCTATCAGACCGAATCATTTGCGGCCCTGCGGCATTTTTTCTAAGCTCCGCCCGATATTGCCCGTTATTGCAGCCACAATTGAGCGAGAGCGAGCTATCTCCATCTCCATCTCCAATCCTCCAGTTCCCTTTTTCAAAATCGTCCCAAAAAAGAATTTCAGTTGCGTCTTCACCTGTCTCTATAGACACGAAAAGCACCCTCTTCTTTCGTCTCCGTCTTCTAGATCTCACCTTCATCTTCACTCCACTCTCTCACAATGGCCGCTACACTTCCTCCCAAGTCGACCGGCTCGACCAAGCTCGATGCTGCTATCCAAACGGTCAAGGCCAATGAGCCCAACAAGCTCTCTGGCTTCGGTCTCTACGGCAGATTCGTAAGTCAATTGCTCTCACCTCAACTTCTGCCAGTTTCTTACCCTTTCGCAGGCCTTCGCTGGTGCTGTCTGCTGCGCCGTCACCCACGGTGCCCTCACTCCCGTCGATGTGTAAGTTCCGCCTTACCTGTCCACCCATGCGCCTGTCTTCTGACATCCACAAACAGCGTCAAGACCAGAATCCAGCTCGACCCCGTAACATACAACAGTGGCATGATTGGAGGTTTCAGAAAAGTTGTTGCCAATGAAGGCGCAGGCGCTCTTCTGACTGGTATTGGACCTACCTTTGCTGGTTACTTCCTGCAAGGTGCCTTCAAATTCGGAGGTTACGAATTCTTCAAGCAACAGGCTATCAACCAACTGGGCTACGAGACCGCCTCCAACAACCGAACCGCCGTCTACCTCGCCTCCTCAGCTCTCGCTGAGTTCTTCGCCGACATTGCCCTCTGCCCTCTCGAGGCTACCCGTATCCGTCTCGTGTCCGAACCCACCTTTGCCTCCGGTCTCGTTTCTGGTTTCAGCAAGATCGCTAGCCAGGAGGGCCTTGGTGCATTCTACAACGGTTTCGGTCCTATCTTGTTCAAGCAGGTTCCTTACACCATGTCCAAGTTCGTGGTCTACGAAAAGGTCGCCGAAGCCATCTACCAGCGAGTCGACAAGGCCACCGCTTCTGATGGTACCAAGACCCTGATCAACTTGGGCTCTGGTCTCATTGCCGGTTTCGCTGCTGCTCTCGTCTCCCAACCTGCCGACACCATGTTGTCCAAGATCAACAAGACCAAGGGGCTTCCTGGTGAGAGCACCACCAGCCGACTGTTCAAGATCGGCAAAGAGCTTGGTCTCCGTGGCAGCTATGCTGGTATTGGTGCTCGTCTTTTCATGGTTGGTACTTTGACCGCCGGTCAATTCGCTATCTACGGTGACATCAAGCGTGTCCTCGGAGCCGTAAGTACCTCCATACATCGCGTGTTTGAGTCTTTTGCTAACAGATCCAACAGACCGGTGGTGTTGAGATTGCCAAATAAATCAACTGAACGAAGATGATCGACGATTTCAACCGAGTACGGACGCTTCTCGCTTTTCGCTTAGGGTCGGCGCATTTCCATTCCAAAGCTCGCAATGCACGGACGGTTGCATACATCACGTTTTAGACACCGTTACCAAAAAGATAAGATGGGCATTTCTGAATAGATGATGCTGGACGATCCGAATGGGCAGGCTCACCTGGTGCACACACACACAGCTTTTTGCAGACTAGAGCTGCAGGAGGCCACATCTCAGAGATTGTGGGACGAAAAAGCAATTCGATAGACGGGGATGATGTACCAACAATTAATGGCTACTCAAGTTCTTTTGCGCTCTTACTACCCGTACCCATTCCCTTGCTGACTGATCTACCATGGTTGTTGTTCACGACGGTCTCCCGCCAAACAGGACGGCAGAATCACCTTCGCCAAGAACCAGCGACGACTTTATTGTCACAGATATATTTGAAAAGTGCAAAACTGTTCAATAACTTATAACGAAGCCAGAGTTTCACTGCAAAAGTGAGAACCGTGATGGCTGAGTGGTTATAGCCTGGATCAGACAGTCACTGCACCCTCCCCCAATCCTTCTGAAATCCTCCCCTAAATCCATAGGGTGCAGTCACTGTCTATCCAGCCCCTAGATTCACCAGGGTTCATTCCTCCCGTTATTACGTTCGACGGAAAAAAATCAGTTCGCCTGGTTTCACTACCTACAACCTCTCTGATCACCGGATCTTGGAGTTTGTGGGCAAAGTTTTTGCTTTTTTTGAATGTTGCTATATGACTTCGAACCCTGTCTGCGTGTTCATCTACAATTACAAGTTACGGTGTGTGACTGTCCATATGGCCGCCGACCACGTTCTGCCGCACCCATCATTACTCGCAGCTTGGCGATTGAAGCCATAATGCTCTACGCTTTCCGCCGAAACGCGAATAATGCATCATCCTTGCCGGCGAAGCTCGGGAGTGCGACCTGGCAAACCTTCTGCCAGTCCGGTTTCTCTTTGGCCATGTACTCATCGATCATCATGTCTTTGAAGCCCGTATACCCGTTCCCATTCTGCGTGCCTGCCACGACGATGACATCGCCAGAATACGCATCGAGGACTTTGCGCGTAAAGTCACCGCCGACGATCGGGTACACCAGCAAGAGCACATGATCTGCGCAGCCCGATCGTTTGCGCAGGTACTGTACACCATCTGTGGCTATGGTGTCGGATATCCAGGTCGTGCGCCATCGACTCTGGCCGCTATCAACGGCGACGACATTGACGCCTGCGCGCCGCAGCATTAGTGTCCAGTAGCCGTTGCCGCTGCCCATGTCGAGAACTGACCGACCGGCGGCAAGCTTATTGATGATTTGAAGAGATTCGTACGATGGCACCACACAGCCGAAGTGGTGCATGTAAATGGGCAGCATGTGGTGTGAGGACTTGACTTCCGCCGTATTGGCGTTGGGTCCTGCATACTCGAGGGCTAGACAGGCGTATGCCCAGAAGTCGAGAGCTGGGTTTTGGGGGCCTGCTGCATCGCCATTCTGAGACGACGGGATCTTGAGCTTAGGCACCGTGATAGAGGAGTCGAGATAGCGTTTGCTGAGAAGGTATTCTGCTACTGTGGCGCGCAGGGATCCTTTCTTTGCGTTGGCTGATAAAGACTTTAGACTATTGGCGGCCGACTTGGTCGGGTCGAATATCAAGATGTGGGCTTGAATGTCGGGGGCTGGTGGATAGCCTGATATTCGGAGGGATGGTTGACCTGGGAGTGCGGACTCGGGGTCTGCTTCGCCATCGCTTCCTACTGGCTCGACGTACCATGCATGAAGGCCGTTGGCTCTTCCAGCGTGGATGGCGGCTTCCACTTGAGCCAAATTTACGGATGCGGTGGCATGGTATGTGAAATTATCGCCTGTCGGTAGTTCGAAGGCCGTGGTTATTGCGGCTCGGAACTCGTGGGCATTGAGGTGCTTGTGGACCTTGGGCCAGAGGTCTGAGTCAGTGTTGTCGAAGAGGTGTTCGGGTGACCAGATCTTGGATCCTTCGGTCACTGGGCCTGGTATTGATGGCATTTATGTGAAATTCGTAGGTCCGAACATCGCTTTCTTGAGGTCTAGTCGATCGTCGTAATGTAAAAGAGATATTGAGTCATGCCGTTTTTGGCTTCTACAGTAGTACAAGGTGTCTTATGCTGCTTTAAGAGTCAGCCGCTGCGTCAAGCCGCCCTTGCCGTGTCTTCATTTCGCCGCCTCCTCTTCATTCGCGTTCACCCAGAAAAACATTGTCACGATTGCGATGGACATCACTACGAGTCAAGGGAGACCTTTAATCGAGGATGATATTGATGTGAGCTGTTGCTATCTATCCCCGGCTCTTTCTCCCCAAGGATGCTAAAAGCGGAGGGTGGAGGTGAATGCCGGGGAAATGCAATTCCCTGGAGCCGTTCACCTCGGTTCTCTTGCGTAGCGCTGTTGTCGACTCCGCCTTTTAACCGAGTACCTCTTCATGAAACACTGACTCTGGAATTTCAGGTCAGAAGACTCTCAGATTGGTACCCTTGCGATATGTAAGTCAGCCATGGATACGACAATGGATGCTGCCGTGCCCACGTCGAGCAAATCTCGCCGGCGAGATTCTGACGACAGTCGAGCCGAAAGGAAAAGAATCCAGGATCGCCTCGCTCAACGAGCTACCCGTGAACGAACGAAGAACCGTATTTCCTTCCTCGAGCAACGGCTTAGCAGTCTCGAAGCTGGGGACAAGCAAGGTGAAATCGCCAGCCTAACGCGCATCGTGGATAACCTGCAAAATGACAACCACCGACTTCGCAATGCCTTACTCAAGATGCGCAACACCATTGATCAGGCCATCCTTACCACCGACGATCAGTCCAAGGATTCTAAATCCTTGAAACCATGTGGGTGCAGTGCTCTATCTGAGTGCGCCTGCTCCCAGGAAGCCATCACTCCCACTCCGGTCGAGCAACCAGACCCGCAAATTGACGAGCAGATTGTGGACGATAGGCACAATTCGGTATCGACAGACACCTCGGAAGTCACTGACCTTGTCAATGCAAATGGTAGTGGGACCGGTCTGGACATCGCCTTTCCTCAACCTGCCGCTACAGGAGGACTAACTGGGCTCGAGAATTTCTTCGACTTCAATCCCGATACGCTGCTAGAAATGTTCGAAATGGGCCCTTCCAGCATGCAAGGCTGGGGTGCCACCGCCACTCCTTCTCCGTTCGACTACCGCTTCCCTGCAGCAGAGACCGTCAAAGTCGCGCCGGACGAGGACAAATGGCACGTTTCTAACGGCGCGTTCATATCGGCTATGGATTCTATAAAGGAACCTGTCATGACCAACACAGAACTCGACCTGCATGTCCCGTTCAAGGCAGCGATTTGGGGCTGGGATAACATCGGTCCCGAGGCGCAGCATCCTGTATGGCAGGCACTGCGCCAAGTTGATCAGAGGGTATTCGGCACCTGGACGTCAAAAGCACAGAGAGTTGCATTGATGTATGTATGTCAGACACTGCTTCAATACCGCGAGAATCCGACCAAGGAGAACCTCGCTCGCGTGCCGGTATTTCTGAGACCCAGGTACGTTTGTCATCGTTTCACTACTTCGCGTACTTGACGCAACTAACGTCTACAGGCCGTCGCAAGAGAAGATCCAACATCCCGCTGTAATCGATTTCCTCATATGGTATGTCAACACCCATGTTGCTTGGAGACATCTCGTTCTCACTCTTGCTATTACAGGCCCAGTCTACGCGACCGTCTAGTATTCGAGCACAAAAAGTATACTGCGACCGGCACCTTTTCGGCTGCATTCGTGGAAAATTTCAACTTTCACTGGCCGTACTCCGATCGGGATATCTTCGCCTATAACCCTACCACCAACCGCTACGAAGTGTCCAAGTTATTCCTGGAATATGCTTACAACTTCAAGAATTGGACGATGAAGCCTGGCTTCTTCAAGAAGTTCCCGGAAATGCAACATGACATTGCAGCTTCTGATGAGACCGTCGATTTTTCAAGGGCCGCCTGGACGGGGTGATGGCGTCAATAAGACAATTGCCAGGTCACAACACAGCCTTCGCTAAGTCTGGCTCCCTACTGGACCACACGTCGGTCAGAATTCCGGTCCCACGGCCGAGTAGCCGAGGCCAACTCCTACTCCTCCCCCGTCGAAGTGCCGAAGAGTCATTGCAGAGCAGTCACGCGACAGGAAGTCTGGTTCTCCGCTAGCTTGACTTCACTGGAAGCCAATGTGCCAGCCAGCATATGCTACATGTGGCCACGACTGGGAACGAATCTATCCTAGGGTCGTTTGGACGGCGTCCTCATCAACGTACTCACCACCCACAGGAAGAAACCGGGAATTGGCCCAGAACGACAAGGTACCGCGCCTCTCGGTCTGCAGCACGAACCGGCGATACCAGCAATGCTGGCATTGCTGGTACCTAGCCATCCGATATGCACCTTGGTAGCTGAATGTCCGAGGCTCGCATCAACGTCACCCGACCATATATGAATTGATTAGCAGGGTAGATATTGTCCAGGAGACATACACGTCTCCGGATTCGAATTCGAGGCAGGTACGGGCATCCCTCGACAGCGATGGAAGATGTCATGGGTCTATTGATCAGAGAGCCTGGTCTGCCTTCAAGGTTGCAAAAGTTTATTCATATATATGTATACATACATGTAGACCTTTGGCTCACCTTGCGCACTTTCGCAGTCTCACTCAGTCTTTCTCGTGTGCCTGGTCTGTTTCAACTAAGTTGTATTCTCGTTTATCGTGAAACCCCTGTGAAAAAGGCAATGTCAGCATCTACACCAGGCCTACTATGCGACTGCAAGATGGAAGCGCGCAGAACATACCCATCAATGACCAAGTTGTGGCCCACGACAAGACTCATCCTCGGCGTACTCAGCAGCACAACAACGTCACCGACCTCATCGAATGCAGCCTTTCGACCCTGCCGAGCCTCGTACTGCCCCCAGGTTGCCATTCCGCTATCGCCCTGCTCTACGAGTGGGTCAAGCAATTTGGTTAGCAAGAAGCCCGGAGAGACAGCGTTGATGCGGATATCGTGCGAGCGGGCTTCGAGGCTAGCCTGCAGAATTGAGACTCAGCATCCTGAGTAGAGTATGCGCCAGCCGCAACCTACAGCTTTTGTGAGTCCTAGAACGGCATGTTTCGATGCCGTGTAGCCCGTGGTCCCGGCTCCGGCTTGGATCGAGTTGACGGACGCGCAGTTGACAATCGAGCCGCGTTGAGGAGGTCGGCCTTCTTCACTGACTTTCAATTTCAGCTGTCTGGCTCGGCACAATACAGTGGTGTGCACGTCAAAGGACGGGCAGGGTGTTTTACACTTCGATCGATTCCTGCTTCATCATCTGTCTCAGCTCGTACTTATTGCAGAGCCAGACGCCAACTGTGTTGACTTCGATGACGCGTCTCCATTCCTCGGTGTCAGTGTCCCATGTCACATCGAGGGGACCGATGATGCCCGCGAAGTTGCTGTCCCCAGTGTCAGCGTCGCGAAAGCACTCTCCGCTAAAGCATCTGGCGGAAAAGGACGATGAGTTCAACGTGGATGATACTAACGCTGCATAATCAATCCGTCCAAACTCCTTGACCGCCTCTCCGACCGCTCTTTCAACGTCTGCTTCCTTGGTCACGTCCGCCCGGATACATAACACCTATAGCACACGTGCGGTTAGATGGCGAAAGCTCTTGTCGGCGTGTACTGCCAGCTGGCGCTCGTGGCCGACCTCTACGTATGTGGCCGAGCACTTCAGAAGACTGGCTTCACACCTCGACGTACCTTTGTGCCGTACTTTTCAACGTTCTCTTTGCCTTCTTCAAAGGCAGCCTCGTCTAGGATGTCGACCAGACATACTCCTCTGGCACCTTCTTTGGCAAATGACACTCCGATGGCATTTCCCAGCCCTCGCGCACCGCCTGTGACAAATGCGACACCTGGAGCAACGGGGCCACTGCGGAAGACCATTTCTGAGTAAGGCGAAAGACAAGGGAGGTGTCAGCAGGATGGGTGCAGAGAGTCACGACGTGTATGTTGGGACACTTGTAGCGAAGCAGTAGATTCTAAGGTTGGAACGGGAACGTGGACGGCAATGAGTGGCTTGAGAAGAAGTCTTGCCTGTAAACGATACAGCCTGTAACGGCCTTCCTGATGCGTACATAGTTGGATCATGATGCCAGTACTCGTACAAACCTACCTGGACTTGCTGGGTGTTCGAAAGGAGGGGTTCTCTATGCCGAGGGAGCGTCGGAAACATAGCTGGTCATGGCACTCGGGCGCTGAATAAGTCATTATCTAAGCTTCCTTGCTACCTTGCCGCCCAAACATTAACCAGGCTTGACCCTGTTGCTGCGGAGCGGCCCGCCTGGATATTTTTTGTTATTTTTATTTTGGGCCCGACCGCAGATGGTCGCAAAAATGAGGAACGGATAGAGATCTTCTTTTCGCCTTCCACCTCGAAGCCAGTGCTACAGACGTAAACCTCGAATGTCAATCATGCTAACATCTCCTTGACTGAGTACCGACCTCAATTCCCTTCCTGTCCTCCGAACCTATGGACGCCCACGCACACCTCCTCTCCCTGGGCTGGGCAGGACCCGGCCACTCCCTCGATTCACAACCATACAAGCAGAAAGGCCATCGTGGTCTAGCCTACGACCCAGCCAAAGTCGGCAATAATGGCGTCGGCCTCGTCAAACCGCTTCTCGTATCGCAACGTAAAGGCCGCTTGGGTATCGGCAAAAAGGCCCACGAACCACAAGCCGGAAATGAATGGTGGCTCAAAGGCTTCGAAAGCGCACTGGGCAACATCGGCAAAACCGAGAGTGAACGAAGTAGTGGCACGTCAACGCCCGTTGTGCACGAATACACCACGCGCAAACACAGCGGGCTGTACACGTTCTTCATTAAGGGTCAGCAGATGGAAGGAACGTTGGGCAAACTCGAGGAGTTGAAAAGATCGAGTACCAAACGGAAGAGCGATGTATTTGAAACCGATGACGGGGTATCGTCGAAGAAGAAAAAGCAAAAGACCGATCCAGCTACCGAGTTTGAGACGGTAGGCGAGTATATCGCGTTGCGGGACAAGGATGAAAAACGTCGGGACCGAACAGAGAAACCTAGTCCCGTCGAAGAGTTCAAGCAGGTCAGCGAGTACCTTGAGGCGCGGTCGGATAAGAAGAAAAGGAAGCGAAATTCGGAGGTGCAGGACGCGGAAACGAGCACGCCAGTGATTGAAGACCAACATGGCGAGACCAAAGAACAGCGACGAGAACGGCGGCGTAAAAGGAAAGAGGAGAAAGAGCGGCAGCGGCAGGAAGAGGGTGGTCAGGTCGCCGATTCCACTGAGACTGAAGATGCCGCTGTAAAAGCCGCTCGACGAGCAGAGCGGAAGAAGAGAAAGGCCGAAAAAGCTGCCAAACAGTGAAAGTAATGAGTGATCTGTATGATTGATGAATGATGATTTCTGTGCCATGACAATACTGTACATGACCATTTCGATGTGCGTTAAACCCCTTTCCAGCCCAGATTATGCCATATACAACTGGAACCTTCGTCAAATTTGAGACCCCTCGTCGACCAATCTCCCGGGCTTCCCAGACCGTATCCAAGGTCTTTGCACCCAAAACTCATCCCTGATGATATCCAGATGCCTAACCACGACCTTAGCCTTCTGTCTGGTCTTGCGCATCTTCTCCATCTGCGTCTTGGACAGGGGCTGTTCACCCGTGCCAGAAGCACCAGTTTCACCATCATCCTTCTCGTCTTTGTGGACTGTCGGATCGACAGCCGGCGACTCAAGTGCATACTCCCTAAACACCACACTCCCCTTCCTAAACATCTCAGCCTCATTATTGTAATTGACACCGAACCGACTCCACAATATCTCATTCTTGTCAGCGGATACCGTGCCCTTGAGAAACTCTTCTGCCTCGGTATGCGACATGCCGCCTTGATTCACCAGGGCCCAAAACGTAGTGTTGTAGAGGTTGTTGATGTGGCAGTCAACCTGCCTCCAACTCAAATAATCCCGCAAATTCTCCCAACTTGGATATAACACAGCGCGCCCGTCAAATGTAGGCAGCATGTTGATGTCCAGGCCCCCTTTGGCCTTACCCTCGCCTTCTACGTTACCTTCATTCTCGCCGTCGCCCGTAGTCGTAAAGCAAGTAGGCCACAGCGCAACATAAGCCGCCGTAAAAGTACTCACGACAGTACTGACAAGTTTCGCGGCCCGGCGTTCAAATAAATTCGTCGACCGATGGAAGACAAAACTGTATTCGTCTGAGACGCCGTACCCCAGAACAATCTCCGGGATCGTAGTAACGACATGTGCGGCCGCCTTGTTCATCAAGTCCAGAGCCCGGATGTCGTTGGGCTTGGTGAAGGCATAGTGGCTGGAAAATCTTCCCCCAAATATCAGTCAATGTATGCCAGCCACAATGCACGAGATCAAGACGGACTTATGAAACCCCCTCCCATCGATCCTCACCACAATCCATGTGTTGGGTAATAAGATCTCATCGCGCTCAAAATTGCGCACGTATTCAAACCTGTGGATGACTAGTCAATTTGAGGTATTCTCTGCTACGAACACACGAAGACATTTTCGCATACTTTGAGTTTGCCATCTGAAAACTGGCGGGAAAATCTCTCTGAGAATAAGAGATTCATTCTCGTAAAATATGGATACAGGGATTGGAAAGCCTTCAAGAGACACGCAACAGAAAACAAAGAATTCTGGGATGTTGCATGGCGGGAAAAATGGCAAATGATAAGTCTGCTACGGGTAAGATATGGGTGAATGAGTCAAGGTTGTTTAGTGGCACGGTTCATCACCTCAGCACTTACAGTACTGAACATAATGTACCTCGATGATTGTACAAGCCATTCAATATTCAGCTTGTAGGGATTGACGGGAATCAACCAATTCATCCTCATATTCTTTCATTCTATCATATTTCATGCCTCATCATCATCCCTTTCCTCTCCTGTTTCACTTGCTCTTTCGCTACTCTCACTGATTTCGCTGGCCGTCAAATCCTCCTTGCCTCCCTTCTTACCCTTACGCATCGAAGGCATGAAGTTCCAGCTACTCAGACTTGTCCGACTCGTTTTCTTTTCTTCGCCACTGGGAGTAGTCGACGTGCTCTCTAGGCTCTTGCCGAGATGTTCACTCGAACCTTGTTCGTCCTCGTTCTCGCCGTTTGGTGCTGTTGCGTCTTTCCTAGAGAACAAACCGCCACCTTTCTCCTTCCAGCTACCAAACTTGTTGCTGCTGGCTTTCCGAGTGATTTTGGAAATGAAGTTGGGCGCTTTGACTGGCGTACTTTCGACTGACATATTCGCACTCGTTCCGGAAGCGGTACGATCAAGCGTTTCAGAGTCCAGAGTCGAAATTGTGGCAGCCAAAGAACTGGTATCTTTGGACTTTCTCGACTCGGGTGGCGAAGCAGTGTCGACATCGCCTGCCTTAGAGTCTTTGGACTTGTTCTTCTCTTTGCCCTTCTCACTTTTTCTACTGAACAAGGTGGTGAACGCGGGTGCAGCTGGATTGAGCTTTGGAGTCGAAGCCTGCTGTGACGATGCTGGACGTGTGCCGATAGGTGCTTGCAGGGGACGGCCCATCTTCCTGTCCGGCTCAATTATCATGGGTTCATTCCCAGGCAGGGACAAGTTGCTCGTAGACTCATGAACAAACGATGGACGACGGGAATGAGCCCGCGAGAATGACTGGAAAGAGCTCCAATCTGCTGGAACAAGAGGGCTGTTCCGTAATGCAGACTTGTCGGCGCCCCATGCACGGAATTGACTCTCTTGGGACGGACGCGGCAATTTGTCGAACGAATAAGTGGATGATGGGCGTGGTGACGATGTCTCTCCACGAAAACCAGGATCCAATGAGCCTGACCTTGGTGCGAAGGGATCATACGCCCCAGAAGCAGCCGACGACTTGCCAAAGGTAGCAAAAGCACGGCGTGCCGATGCAAATCGTGACGATTCCGGCTCCTTTTCTTCCGAGCTGCCATTTCCTCGCATAACGGGAAAGGCCCAATTACCGCCATAGCTGAGCCGCCTCCTAGGTTGTGCGGATGGGTCGAGATCTTGAGGCTCTCTTGGGAAGGACTGACTCTGGCCTTGCTTGAGCGAACCTAGTGGTGGCGGTTGATCGGCAAGGGAGGTTTTCCCGCGTTGTCGATGAAGGCCAAACATGGACGACATCGACATATATTTGGGCTTGCTTGTTTGCTGGACAAGTTCCTCCCCGTCCTCCTCCTCAATGGTCTCGGTTGTATCTTCTGGTTTGTAACTCGAGTCAGAAGACTTCTGATCAGCTTCAACTGCTGGTGCTGAAGTCTGCATCGGGCTGGAGAACGACCGCCCGGAAGATGATCCGGCGGAGGGAGTTTCTGTACGGCGAGCATGATCGTACAGCACAGGCGAACCGATTGTGGGAAATGGTGTTGTTCCCGTATTTGGAGGCCCCTCCCTTGGTGCGCCCAGGACTGTTTCCGGCAATTCATCTGCAGATTCATCCCCAAGCAGATCCGCAGGTAAGAGCATGTCCGCTCTGGGGCTCATCGGAACTGATGTGACGGGCTCAATATCATCAGCGACCGGAGTTTGTATTTCCGAGGGAATAGTCAATGTCATGCCGTTGTTGGGATTGAAGTAAGTCGGCACAATAGTGGTGGGAGACGCATTGGTGACTGACGTGTACTGCAACGCAGTGGGAAAGGAATCTCCGCCAGCGAACAGACCTCGAGGTGAGGAAATGCTACTCCCATGTGAACTGGTGTGCCGTGCTCGACGGACGGACCTCATGCCTCGTCTGAATGCCTCTGGGTCGAACGATGGCGGCGGCGCGAAGGAAACCATATTTGCTCTTACCGCCTGTGCAGCCTTGACTTGCTGCTCAGTGATGTTAGCCTGCTGGGTGACTTGATTCAGCTCCTCCCACAGCCGCGAATAATGTTGTTGAAGGCCGTCGAATTTCACTCTCCATCTCATGTCTCGCTCACGATCGAGTCTATCGACTTCTCGCGTTTCATCGGTCTCGTCCTCCACTTCCACTTGCTGGCGCTCTTCTTCCATGGCCTTGATTTGAAGAGCCTTCTCCTTGTTGTCTTCCTCCAACATGGCAACCTCTTTCTGCTCCTCTTCAATCTTCTTTCGGATCTCGGTAAGGTCCGACTGACCTCTACTCTCAACGGCGGCTTTCTGGGTTTCAATTCCGGCAACTTCCTTCTTCATCAGAGCGCTCTGTTTCTCCCAGAATTCGATATCGTTGCGACGCTTCCGCCGTTCAGTCTCCTTCTCTTGCAACAGACGTTGTTTCTTAGTCTTCTCGCTTTGAGCGGTTCGACTGGCAGCCTCCATCTTATGTACTTGCCTGCGCAGGTCATTGCTCGCATCATCCCTTTCTTTCAAGCTTTGCTTCAGCTCATCTCGGCGGGCTTCTTGTTCCTTGAGAGCAGCCTCATATTCCTTGTCCTCCTCCTGAATCTGTACGTCCACCGCCTCGATATCTTGTTGGACCTTTTGAAAACGTTCGGACAACTCTGCCAGATCGTCATCCACCTCGTCGTCTGTGCCTTTCGTTAGATCTGAACCTTGCGAGTCGATGTTATGGTTTGCAGGAGACGGTCTTCGTCCCGTTGTGCCTCTTCGAACCGTTGGTACACTTCCACTGAGTTCACGGGACATCGTCGGGGCTGGAATGGGAGCAAGCGTTGCATTGTTTCGAGCGGGAATGGCTTTGACTTTTGGAGTTGGCTCGGACGATCCTTCAGGGGAGGAAGTCGAGGAAGACCCGGGCGTGCGTACGTGTAAGGCTGCGCTTGGTGTCTGGAAGGTGCCAGTACTGACGCAGAAAACGCGAATGTCGTAGATTGTGCCAGGCGTGAGATCGTATATGACCGCGCCGAAATCGTGCTTTCGTGTGGTGCCAACCACCTTCCCATTGACCTCGACATGATGTTCTTGTATAGAAGATGAAGGTTCTGTATATTTCCAAGTAATTTGCACCTCGTTCTCGGCTATCTCTTCGAGGGTAATAAGCGGAGCAGGGGGGATGTCAAGACCGAGTTTCTCAACCAGGACTTCGTTCGGGGTGGTAACGACTGAATAGGCACGCCATAGTAGCCTGCATACGGTCAGCATGGGAGTCCAAGTGGTCAGCCAAGAAGATGTTATACCATGCGAAGGCCCAGATAACGGCCAGGAGCATGAGGAGAGCCATGCGGCCTTTAACGTGAACCCGTGGTGCGAGGAGTTGGTAGGCATAAGAAGCCCAATCGAATGGCTCTGTATGCCATCTAGATGAGTCCATCCACAAGAGTGGTATGGCAGGCATACGCTCAATGAGATAGCATGTGAAAGCAAAGGAAGGATTCGACCATGCAAATGAATTAAGAGTACGCAATTATGTGTTGACAAGTCGACAGTCCTGCCACGCAAAAAGCCAAAGTCCAGTGCCAGTCCCGGAGCCACCGAAAAGAGTAGAGATCATACGTCGATCCCGCCGCCGCTGCCAATTTTCCGCCATGAGGCCTTGGCGCCTTCCAGTGTACCTCTACCGTGTAAGCCTTAACAGACTACGTCTTCTCAAGGGATTTCCATGCTAAGATTGCTCGATCAACAGTTTCCTCTTCATCGACAAAGTCCTTGTCTCATCCTCCAGATGTAGCTGTGCTTGTGCAGACGCGATCTTTTTTCTGTCCTTGACGAGGTGTCCCAGAGTCCAGAAACCCCATACGCCGAATGTCAACAATGTGATGGGCACTGTTAGAGCGAGAAAGATAGTGATCCTCGGTTTCCAGTACGAGGTACGGTACATCAACTCTGTTGATTTCGCCTGCCAATCGAACAGAGGTATACTCAAGAGGGCCGCCACGAATGTACCAGGTAGGAAAAGCATAGTGACAACGGCGATGCATTTCATGCTCGCCGAATCACGTTGCGAAGCCATAGCCAACAATTTGCAGTCGCGAGCCATCTCACCTGCAGACAAAGCATCATCCTCCTGAATCAGGTGATAGATCTAGGTTAAGTGCACACATCAGTATTCGCTCCGCTGACAGAAAGCCTCAATAGTAGCCTACGACCTACCGCGTCAATCTGCGTCCTGACTCGACGTTGGATAAAAGTCATGTCAATTTCCTGACCTGCTACGCGCTGCTTGACAACAGCGACGGATTTGAGGATACTTCCCGACGGCTCATAGGAAGCCATGTCTTCATCGTCGTCGATCCATGTGCAGCGACTTTCTTTCTCGATGAAGCTGATCATCGCTTTCAGTACACTCTGCTTACGAAGGCATGAATCTATCCTCGTCTTGCTGCCGCTCATCTTCGCTGCTAGTGCAATTAGGTCTCCAAGAGCAGGTGTTTCCTTTCGAGGTTTCCAGTGGTGTCCTGTGCGGACCTCAACCTCACGAACCTGCTGTTTCATTTCTTCTTGTATGTCCTGTATGTCCTGAGTGAACAAGACAATACTGAACAGAGCACATCCCAACTGATGTCCCGCTACACGTTGGGCGAACTCCTGGTTGATCAAACCTTCAAGGATGTTCAGTCTCGGCTCATCGGCAACGCATATCATGGTTGTCACCTGCTGTTCCACATCTGCTGTCCAGACCAATGAGATCTTGGAGTGATAAGTGAAATGCTGCGAGGGTCGTGTTGGCGAACGGCTTGGTACCGTCCCAATGCCAGCGCTGTTTGTCTTGCAATACTTCTGGGCAAGGCCAAGCTCAGTCTCATCATGGACGAGGTTGAAGATGTCTTCGTTAACGTCAAATTTTTGTTGCTGGACCAAGCGGGGAATCCAGACGGCGCGAAGACGTCGAATACTGCTCTCGCTGTCTGAGCCTGATGACGTTGCTTGGCCATTGGAAGTCTGCAGCCAGTTCTTTACATCGGGCTGGGACAAAACCATGGAACGGCTTGAATAACGTCGACTCCGCCCATCGTTATGCTCCCACACCTCCGAGACTCGCACCGAATTGCGTGTGGAGTAGGTCCATTGACCACCGACTTTGCTCTGCTCAATGAGGTAGTGGTACAGTGTAGACATGAAGTTTTGCCGATCAAAGCGTCTACAAATGGACGGACTCGACCTTGTTATACTTCATGTTCAGCGCAACTTGTAACCATTGGGCATTGGGTGGGCGACTGAGGCTGGCTGAAATGGGACGTCGAGAGGCGGTGCTAACATAGCCACTAATGCCGTGGTTGTGTTTGTACAGTAGTAATTGCTGTGGTGGTTGCATCTTGAATGTTCACAATTCTGGAGGCGTTCCACTTGTTGTGGCCAGGCCGTGATAGCCTCCTTCGTTCGCGGACTAGTCATTGCAGCATGCATACCTTAGATAGTAGGCAATCTGTGTCTTAGAAATTTAGGCTGATAAGCGGGAGAGCGACCTGCATGGCATGAAGGTCATCTGCTCGACTTCGACGCAAGTGCCATGTAGGCAAGAATAGTCGCAGATATTATGTCAACCTCGTCTGCAAGTCACATAGCCAGAGACTGTGAAGTGGAATACAGTATAAGGCCGCTTGTCCCTTGCCTCAGGGCAACTTCTTCCTGTCTTCCTGATATTGTGTGCAGCAGTCAATGATACACAGCCTCGAATCGCCATACACGAGACCCAGCTCCTCCCGTGAGCACATGTTATCCGGCACGAAATGATCGCCTAGCATCTGCCTGCCAGGGCCCCTGCGAGGCACTTTCTTGAGTCAACCACTGTCGCCAGAATGCTCGTACATGACATCAACTACCATCTGGAAGTCGAATGCCCTATTGGCAATGAGATATTGACCATTAGCCTCAGGTTTGTACAATGCATTGATGTGCGCCTGGACAATTTCAGTAATATTCACCACCCAGGGCATCGGCGTGGGTGGGACATCACTTTGCTCGCCGTCCATGATCCTTCGTCAGGTCCGAATTCGTGAAGTTCGTGGCTGATCTGCTCGTTAGGTGCTGGTGCTAAGACCCGAGGGTATGCGTCTGGTTGATGCAGACTAGATCGAACGTCCTGGGCTCAGTTCTCAAGAAGTCCCAGGCCGCTTTCTCCGCCAGTGCCTTGGATGCCGTGTACACCGGACCGAACGCTCTCAGTGGTGACGCTGCCCGCAGGTCATTAGAGGATCACTGGATATGGCCACCTCTTCTCTTCCCGGCTCCGTTCGGACTCGGGTCATTCTCGCCCTGACCTCCATGTGACAAGCAATATAAGATCCAATAGGTGGTAACAAGTCACGAATGTGCGACTGTCGCTGGTGTGTAAATGAATCAAAAAGGTAACGACTGCTCACTGGAAACCCAAAACCCTTTTTGAGGCACCTGCTTAGAGCATCCACAGGTGATATGCAAAGGCATCATGCCCAACGCCAATTGTATGATAGAGTGATGTGGTCCTTCCTTCTATCCTGGGTATCATAGTCGCATTATGTGAGAAAGGATAAGATCATCAGTGAGATCTCGTGTCTCTCAGCCTTCCATTTCGGCGTCTCCGTCTCTGTTCTCCTCATCACCAACCTCATCATCGCCGAAGACATCTTCCATCGTGCCCAATCCTTCATCATCCTCGTCTCCCACCCTGTCTTCCATTTGCAGATCTTCTGGCTCCGGTCGATCTTCAGGCTCGGGCTCTGCCTCGTCCATACTCTCCTCACCTTCGCTGTCCCACTCGTCCTTTAAACCCCAGCCAACACCAGTCAGACAGTATTTCTCATGGGGTATCCGGACGCCACCTATCATCGGCCCACCTTTCTCGCTATCTCTGGACTGCGCAGTGAGTGATATCCTGTTCCTCTCGTCTGCTAAATTCTTCAGAAACTCTTTGGGCAGACTACCCTGAAATTGATAACCCATTCGCGAGCCTATTGACATGCGTAGGGCGGCCAGGCTCAGGTCGCCTTCTTCCGTCTTGTTTTGATTCTGCTTGGACCCTCGACCTTTCCCTTGGGCACCGACATCTGCTTGATCGTATGCCTCGTTTTGAATGTGTAGCGCATCACTCAGCACCGAACTCGTGTAACGATAGGCAAAGTCCATCAACTGCAGGGGTACGCGTTGCTGGTAGGCTGATATGCCATGTGAAGCGAGAAGGAGGTGTATTAATCGGTGATCTCGTGGTCTTCTAGTTTTTCCATCGTCTGATAATGAGGTTAATGGCTGAGAAAGAAGTGCTTCGACTTGCGGTTGTGATGTGGCTTGAGAGGGCTGTGAGGTTTGGGGAGCTTGTGAGGATGGTTCTGCAGGCGGCGTAAGCGGACCAGAAGGGTTGGCTGGCGAGCTCATGTTGGGCAGGTGTGTTGGGTAGTCAAAGGTTCTCGGATTTGAGGAAGATGGTTGCGCCGGAGACAGGAATTCTAAAATGCGGTCTCGGTAGCTGCTACGGACCTGCGACAACTAGACGGAGGCCATAGTGCGACGACAGACAGACGCGGTATGTAGGGACTCGACTTGGTGTGGGTGAAGTGTTGTTGTCTTTACATGTGCTTTGTATTATGTCGATGCATGCGATGCCCCTGTTGGAAGATGTTGTGGATGGGAATATCTGGGGAAATATTAGAGGTGTTAAGGAAAGAGAGAATAGAGATGTTTTGGCAGGTACTAAAATGGTTGAGATGCATCATCAACGTGTCTCTTTCATGCCAATTCATTCCTCCGACATGCTCCTTGGTTTGTACCGAATGTTACCCCATCATTCTTCTTCTATTCTCTCAACCACTGTATCTTCTTGTTTATTTGCTTTACATGTCTGTTGACTTATTCTCCTACCCTCGTTCTCTCTTACTCGCAGCTTGTGGCTGGAGCGTGGCTTGACTCTACACGTTCCCATTCCGAGCTCCCGCTAGATCGATACCTCGGTCATCAACCAGATCAGGCGACCTCTGATCATGCTCTGGCAACACATTATTTCTGACGACGACCGCCAACTTTGATGTTTCTAGGTCTCTCGAACCCATTTTTCAGCAACAATGCAGTACGTTCGGAGTTTGGGGAGCGGCGTATCCAAGACATGGAACTCCATTAATCCAGCCACTCTTTCAGGCGCTATTGATGTCATTGTGGTTGAACAAGAAGATGGTAGCCTGGCTTGTTCTCCATTTCACGTGCGCTTTGGAAAGTTCTCTTTACTCCGGCCTTCCGACAAGAAGGTCGAGTTCAAGGTCAATGGCGTTAAGCAGGATCATGCTATGAAACTCGGGGATGGTGGCGAGGCTTTCTTTGTCTTCGAAACCTCGAGTGACATCCCGGAAGCTCTACAAACGTCCCCCCTCATGTCGCCGGCAAGCAGTCCACCGGTCTCTGCTGACGATCGACCTCCTCTCGGCCTTTCAGAACCTTCGTACCTCGATATTACCGACTCTGGAAAGACTGGCATTACTTTTGAGTCCGGCTCTGCCACGCAGCCAATTCCGATGCTAAGACGGGCAGGCACGACCCTTAGTGATCAAGCTCTCCTTCAGTCCTTTCCCTCCTCCAGACTTGACTTGTCAGGAACTTCATTACCCGAAACTGCTCTGGCACTTCCTTCCACATTAGGACGTTCCTCCTCGGAAGAGGTTGTACCTATCGCAACACGAGCAGAATTTGACACGCTCAGTGCCGCATATCTCAACAGTACAGTACCGGACCTCCCGAAATCCACTTTTGATGGCTCGGATACTCCAAAGGCGGCTGCTAGCCCTCCCATCTTGCGGCCGAAGCAGGCACACGACCGGGCAATGACCTTGTCCAAAAAGCTGTCTTCCTCGAACATTCGATCCCAGGTAACCCCATCAGGGGACCTAATGCTGGACATGACTGGTTACAAATCGAGTGAAGACGAAGCTCTCCGAGCTGAAGCTGTCGCACGAAAGCTACTTTCAGAAGAACTGGAAGGAAGTCATGACATTGGTTCTCTGATTGGTACCGATGAGAAAGGCAATCTCTGGATATACAGCAGCGAAGAAGCCCGTGATGCTGCGAATCGAAAAGTCGCCAACACTGTGCTGGGTGAAGCCAACCCTGTCTCGCTTGACAATGCCTCTGATCCAGGTTACCATAGTGACAGTGACCGAAGTCCCTCACCAGATTTCCCCAGCAGGCCCAACCACCTACAACACCAAAGAGCTCAGTCGGAAGACCTTCCTTCACTTTCCGAGTTGTCTCGAGAGCAAAGCCGCAATTTCGCGAAGACTCTGCGCCTGACAAGCGACCAGCTCAAAGCACTCAATCTGAAACGAGGTGAAAATCAGATCTCATTCACAGTGAACCGCGCCACATGCACGGCGTACATGTTCTACTGGACAGCTGATGTCCCAATCGTCATTTCCGATATCGACGGGACCATAACAAAATCAGATGCTTTGGGCCAGCTGTTTCACGTGGTCGGTCGGGACTGGACACATGCTGGTGTTGCAAAACTGTATTCCGACATCGTGGCCAACGGCTACAATATTCTGTACCTGACAAGTCGTTCGGTCGGTCAAGCCGATACTACCCGCGCATATCTGAACGGCATCATACAAGACGGGTGGAAGCTGCCTCGAGGTCCTGTGATATTGAGCCCGGATCGAACCATTGCAGCTCTACGACGCGAGGTATACCTGCGAAAGCCTGAAGTCTTCAAGATGGCGTGTCTGCGGGATATACTGGGCCTCTTTCCAGGGCGGACGAATCCGTTCTATGCCGGCTTCGGCAATCGTTTCACGGATGCTCTCAGCTATCGAAGCGTCCATATACCCTCGTCCCGGATCTTCACCATCAACACCAACTCCGATGTCTCTCTCGATCTGCTGACGCTGAACAAATACCGGAGTAGCTATGTGACCATGCGTGAACTGGTAGACCACTTCTTTCCGCCTGTGGCAACACTTGTGAAAGAGGGCGGCGAGGAGTACACCGACTTCTCCTACTGGCGAGACACACCGCAAGATTTGGAGGATTTTATACCTACAGACTCGGAAGGAGATGGCGAAGAGGAAGATGTGTCCGACGACGAAGATGACGCAGAGGTTGAATCCGGGAATGAGATGGGTGACAGTTACATCTCGAGAGGAAGTCTCGATGAGTCCATGATGAGCGAATCAATTCGCCAGTCTATCGAAGTCGATGATGCAGCAGATGCACTTCAAAGTTCGTACCTCAGCGACGAGGCCGAGGTTAGGGAAACTGATTTTGCGGACGATTACCTTGGCGATAATGCATCGAGGCGGACAGGAGGGCATATTGTGACACCAATCGCAAGATCTCCGAGGATCTAGTACGAATTCAAGCACTGACCAGGAGAGAGAGCCAGGGACCATTGGAACGATGGATGGGCTCGACGCATGTATCAGGAACGACTTGCGGCATTAGCGAAACGGAACAGGACCGAAATGTGCAAAAAGTGAGTATATCAGCTAGCATTCAGTGGCGTATATCTGGACAATGACGGGAAGCGATGACCCTGGTATGCTTCTCGAATTATGTGTATATATTAGTTATCATGGAGGCGAATGGAGATCTGGTTCTGTCTTTCGACTGGCAGTCTGGATTGAATTCTGTCCCTCGAAGATTCTGTTTTCTGTCCCTCACGGTAGTCTGGGTCGAATGCTGTCCCAGCTACCTCACACTTGAACAGACACCGTGCACGATGCTCTGCCTCGCCCATCCACAAGCACTCCAGCTCAAACACTCTTTACCACTCGATATTTCATGCCACTCCTCTCCACGTCAGCCCATGGTCCAGACGTCTTGACCATTTACGCTTAGTGCTTCTTCTCCGCCTCCAATCGCCCAACGACCCGTTCAAACCTCGTCAAGCACCCAACTCCCTCCAACAAACAATCCCCGACCCAACACCACCAAACCCACGTCCCGACCTCGACCCAATACCTCTTCAATCTATTCGTAAACCACACAGCCTCCGCACCATGCAAAACAACCATGATCCCCAACACATACGGCTGCAAAGTATAACTTAGTCTCGCCAACCCGGGCACAAGTCCACCGAGACTCCAAATACTCGCAATCACACTCCCCGACTCCGGCCGTAGCTGTTCTCGAAACGGAAACGTCGCGAAGATCAAGAGACACAAAGCGCTCAGGGCGCATTGCCACGCACGATCCGGAGGCGTGTAGCTTTTGAGCACGACATCACTTAGCCCCAACGCGGCGAGACACTCATTGTGCAATGCGACCAGTCGTTCCCTTGCCTCGATGAGCGATTTCATTGGTGGATCGAGCGATACCACATGCCTGCCGTAGCTCGATGTGATGATCATATGCTCGTTAGTGATATCCTGCATTGCCGCGGTCGTGGTGCCCGGTAGCGGGACGTGTGCGTAGTGCGCCAGATAGAGACGTAAGGAGAGTGCGTGGTCGGCGTTCATATGCTGTATCACCCTCGCTTTCATGGCTGCTGGGTCTGGAGGGCCACGTTGGGCGGTGGGTGGAGGTCCCGATGGAACGGAAGTTGGTGCTGGTGCTGTCGTCGACATTGTACCTGCTTATCGCGTCGATAAGCTTGTCGATGGGGTTTGCAGGATCGGATATGGCGGGGCGAACGAGTTACTGATCGCCCAGCAAACTGCAAGTGACGCTTCGCTTGGTGTCTGTACACGTACAGTGGGAAGTCCGCCCGAATTGGATGGAATGTCGGAGAACGGAATCTAAGATAGGATGCTCCTCGGATCCGATTGGGCCGCCGCGATGGACGAGACCGCGACAAGAACAAAAACAAGATCTTATTCTGAAGATGTCCCTTGCTGCTTACAGGTCAAGCGGTTTAATTGACTGGCGCTACGTAGAAAGTTGCTCGGTCAAGGTGTAGCAGAAGAAACATCAGTGACCGACTTTGCGACATCGGATGATCAAATATACTTAGCCTTGCCAAGGACTCGCCAGTGATGACCTCAATGATATGACACACCACCACAACGTCGATGAGTACCCATGAAACACCTCAGCATGGGCTGATCACTATCAAAGACCGAGAAACAAGTATACTCGACGTCTCGGAGACAGCAATTGTCATTTGTTTTGTAGCTGTTTTGCTCGGACAGCCTATATAATCGACAATTGGCTGTCATGTGTAAGGTCAAAGGTATCGATGTAAAGACTCAAATGTATATCAACGACCAAGCGACTCTGGTTCTTTTATCCCAGCCAGAAGCATCGACTTGGTCTCACCCAAAATACCTTCTTTTCCCATGCGATTCATGTCCCGTGTTCCTGTCCGTATCCAACTTCGTAACCCATCAATTCGTGAACTCATCTCATGGTATTCGACCCTATGGATCGACCGATTAACAACCCCTTTTATCGACGTCTTGAAAAGTACTTCTGCACTCTTATCCAGCGAAGTTTTCACCGTTCACAGCGTGGGCAAACAGTAAAAGCTCCGCATTTTGAGGGTTTGTTGAGTTGGCAGCATGAGTTTCCCGCCAGTCGAGCAACGCCTCATGTACAGCCTCATCACTGTCGATGAGAATGAAGTCCCCATCTTCGTCTCGGTACCGTAAACGGACTGAACCAGACGCTATCGAATGATTGGTGAATCTCGCTAATTTAGCATCAATGCGATCGGCAAGTGATCGGAATTGAATGTTACTCGCAATGATCATCGAAACATAATTCTCGTCAAAACAGACCTTGGCTTTGAGTTGACTCGGGATGTATGAATCTCCATCACTGGAAGACGGTGACAAGACTGGAGGGGAGAAGGTCCGGCCTTGTGACAATGACGCCCCGTGTGACGGTCTCCTCACATCGTTCGCGTATGAAGTATCATATGTGTAACCGTGGTTGGGCATTCCTGGCCGTGGTCCCTGGGGAAGACCATATTGTTGAGGGGTGCCTCCGCGTGGTGGAGGGCCGTTGCTTGGAGAATTATTGTGACTCCTACTCGGAGGAGCCATTTGCTTCGCGACATGTGCTGGAATAGGAGGTACACTCGGAGCGTGCTCACCAGAGACATACTTGCGGCTCTGCTGCACCATTGGATGCACATCTGGACTGCTGGCGGATCGCATACGGGGCATAGGAGGTTGCGGCGGTCCTCTCGATCGACCGTTGGCCAGATATGGGTTTCCATTAGACTGACCATTGGCGTTCCGAGCCACAGCAGGAGCAGTATTCCTATAAGATTCCTCAGGTCGATGATTGCCAGAGCTGACCGGAGTAGCCCCTCTTTGATAGCCTGCGAAAGCCGATTGCGAACTCGACCGGCCGGATAGAGTCGACTGTGGCGTTGAGTCTCGCTCGATGGGAGAAAAGTATGAGCCACCAGCATAGTCCTGCGGAGACTGCGTTGGTAGTCCACGAGTGGTCAAGGAGAGGCCTCCCATTTCGCCAGTCGGAATTCGCATGCGTCCAGCTGACAAATGAGGGTTGCTTCCTCCACTGCCTCCTGTCGCCGAGCGCGACCGGAGACTGGTGCTTGAAGCGTTCCTACTCATATTGAATTCAGAATAACCGGTAGCGTCAGTCCCACCATAAGTGGTGCCTGACAGTCTACTGTAGTCATCGTCCTCTTCTTGGGCAAGATATGGATTCTCCATACTCATGCCCTGTAAAGACAAGAGTTGCGTGTCAGACGTCGTTCCTGTGGCCTGGCGAGCTTCGAGCATACATGACGACCTTTGTGTTTCGATCATAGTGTGCCACTTTTGTAGTGTATCGTCATTCCTGAACTTGATGTTGAAGGTCTCTGTTGCTTGTTCACCTTTCCAGGAAATCTGCAACGCATAGTGCCCCGGGGTGGATTGTGATGTGACACTGATAACGTTGATGAAATAAATCCGACCTTTCAAATTCATCTTTGGCTTCCCGTTTCGAGTCAACGCCGGTTTATTGTTAGCCAACCTATTCTTTGGCTTGTTCGCATTGACGTCCTTGCACATGATCAAGATGCGGCTGAAGAGGTAAATATGGTATTCCTTCTCGTCCGATCGCATGCCGCTGTCTTTCATGACGTTGAAGGTTCCAAGCAGGAGAAGCTCACCAAAGGTGTCGATTTGCAATTGCTTCCAGTCATCAATGCGCTCCCGTAAATCTATTAAGGCGTCATCTCGTGTTTCTTTGTCAATGGACGCATCAGCTTGCATCAACACATCTTGTATAATTGCAATGGCATCTGCTAAGTCGGATTTGAGGTGCTCATCCGAGATTTGGTTTTGCAGATCCTTGAGCAATAGGGGGTATTTTGTCAGCCTCTGAAAGGGTTTGAGCAGAAAACCGTTCAAGATGGTGGAATTCGCCAGCATTTGATGCGCTAATGGCGTCCTAGCCTTCTCGACCATCCTGTCCCATTCTTGTTGACATGTCGTCTCACACCTTCTCTGATTGGCAATAAAGGGCTCATACTGCCTGAACGGGTCTTTGTAGTGCACGAAAAGCTGACCCCAATTTTGCTGATCATCTGGAGTTTCGTTCTGTTGCTCGATGCGGATGAGGAAACGTTGCGCAAAATCCAGAAGGTTATTTAGGTTGAGGAAGATATTGTGAATTGCGTCGCCCGTCAATGCACCAACTTCCTCCAATTCCTTTTTCAGAGCTTGCAAGTTTTGTAGATGATGAACATACTGCCTTTCCGTCTCAACCAATTCTTTCAAGATATGCTGTCTCCGGGTCATCGTCTTGGGTGCTTGTTCCGGAGCACTGGAGCCGCTGTCCGTCCCCTCTCGCGAGTCCTCGCTGTCAGTGGAAGGATGCAGCTTCCCACTTAATCTCAAGATATCTAGAACTCGATTGACTAATTTGGTCACTTTGACAAAACCAGTAGTGTTGTCGCTGTAAAGGTCCGTGACTGTGAACGTGTCCGCCGCTGGTATGTTCATCTGCAGCATGCACGCTTTGATGAAGAGAAATGCGGCCTCTTTTCCAACCCTTTCCGGTCGATTCGCGTTCACATGAAGGTCGCCCTCTTCAGGGTTTGAGGCATTGTAAATCGTTAGCAAGGGCAGACCGCTTCGAAAACATTGCCACAGCGATGAAACCGGATCTGAGCCCTCGGCTTCACGCTCCTCCATTTCCTCCAGGAAGGGGCGGAAACCTGGCACACCTGACAAGCGGCGGCGCAATTTGATGCATATCTGATAAAGTGATTCTCCATCTCTTACATTTATGATATTGTTCCGGTCCAAGATGGGTCCATGATCCCTAGTCATCGTGGGCGCAGACGCCAACATCTCTATTCGGACTCCAGTGTGCGCCTCGGGCAGAGTGTGTTCAAGTTGAAAGAGAATAGACTATGACCGCATGGATTCAGTAGGCTTGGCCTGTTGCGTTTGCAACGTTCGGTGTGAGTATAGCGCCAGCGGAATCCTCGCTGGTGAAAACGCGCGCTATCGTCCGAGAGGGAGACGTGGCGGGGATCGGGTAAGGACCGTACAGGTAGTGAGTTGCGAGGCTCTCAAACAGAGTCAGACTGCGGACCAGCGCAGGTACACAGCAAGGATATATATCTGAGACATGATTGTCAGATGGACCAGAACGTTTTCAAGACAGGATATGGGATGTGCAGGATGTGCAGGGCGCCAGCAAGGCAAGGAGTCGATAGACAAAGCGTACCACAACAGGAAAGACTGACAATTTCTTTCCCCAGGTTCCACCGATAGGCGATAAGGAAAGGGAGGAGGACGATGCAAGGCTCGCCGTTGCGGCGCCGGTTGCTATTGTTGGACTTGAATCAGATCGCAAAGAGGTGTTTGGTTTAAGTGGTTTCGCAAAGATGGTGTGTGGTTGGTCGGTGTGGTGCAAAGAGGACCAATCGATGGAGTGTAGCGAGGGGATTAGAGCGCGAAGACGAGGACAATGAGAGGACGGCCCCAAAGAGGATTTCTCAAATTCGATAGTACGATGATTGATTAGGCCAATGGAATGGCAGAGTTGGTGTATACACCGACTGATTCGTGTGTTTGTGCGCTTGTATGGGAGGATGTAGGATGAAGAAGATGGGATCTGAAGTCGAAAGCTGCACCCATGGCCGACGGCGACTGTTACAGGACGAGTTTTCTTGGTGGGCAGTTTAACTAAGGTCGCTAACTCGCTACTGTACCTCTACTGCTGCAAGGTCGTTTTTTGGGGGCCATGGGCTCGGATTTGGTTGCGGGACGGGGGACTGCGCAGGTGCACACATGGGATCTCATCGTCGTCTTACCCCTTTTGCCGGTTTCCCCCTTCTCATACACAACAATGTCTTCTGTCTTCTTGTATGGTGTACGAACAATCTGTCTACTATTGCTCATCCTGATGACAGCCTCTGATCGTTGCGGTATCTCAACGTCTGCCCCATTGCTTTTTTAACATGTGATGCTAAGTACTCAGGTATCACCCTTCCTTTATCACCGATTAAGTTAATGGGCAGCACCCTCGACCCCTGTAGCCGATGCATTAGAACACGCTTGGAACGCCTCAATGCATTCTTCACCCGGTTCCGCGCGATGGTGCCCGCCACGATCATATTGCAGCCCCAGCATGCCGGTTGTTAAAGTCGTTTCCAAAAGGACTGGGGGTTCCATCCCACCAGGTATTCAGCCTATCCGGGCTTGTTGACACATCAATCAAACCCCCTAACATACTACGGGAGTAAAAGTAGTATCCGTGGCGGGGGTGTCTCTTCCTTCTGTGGAAAGTCTGCCCCTCTTCTATGGACATACCGAGACACCAGAGTCTTCTAGTATTCGAGAACACAGGACCTCGCATAACGGGCCACCTCTGTTTGTCCACAGCGGAAACCTTTTGCATACCAATTACCACCACAGATGGTAATGTACTTTGTCTGTTGTACAGGCGGATTCTCTAGCGCTCCAACTATTATAGTTGAAAGGATCACGGCAATCCTACGGCAAAAAGCGGTACTTCGAGACCATGGGCGAATCCACGTAAACCTTCATGGGGCTCTAAAGAATCCATGTTTCAGCAAGCATGAAAACAGACTAATGGCGCCTCGTGTGAATACTATAGTATTCTGGTGGTCTTCCATGCAGGCATCAAACACTGGTCTGGCGACCTCATCAAGCTAAGCAGTCCAATGGACAATATTTGTCAACCCCGGCTACTTCGGCCACGCGGTCAGGTCTGAGGACAGACAACTTTCCAGGGCACCAGTTTGGGCGGACTTGATGATTACTGTGAATCGCAAACGGTGCGAGATCAAGATCACAGCGTCAGAAAGTACACTATGCGCCGGAGGACTTGACTGCTGACAATGTCGTTTGAAGAAGGTCCTGTCAGTCCGTGCTTGACACAGCAAAACATAGCTTGTCTCGATTCGGCAGGTGTCCTCGCACAAGTATCGACAGCGTGGTACTGGTCATTACCGAGGATCGACTGGTTCGGTCAGCACTCGCTTCCGGAGCCTTGTGAACGATGTGAGTGTGCACGTAGTCGCACAGCGGACACGCTTGGGTCTGCCCCCAGAAGATGGGGATGACACGTTGTCCCGGAACAGCACAACTCTCGAATCTCCCCGCGAAATCTACTGTCTTCGGGTGCGGAACGCATTTTATGAAGTTGCCGAGGCCCAAATAGGTATTCCATACTTGTCCATGATAGCGACATTGAGGGGTTCAGAAGAAGTGGCCCACCTCGAGCCAGACTCTTACCCGGCTAACGGACCAACTTCTTCCCTTGCCAGTCCACCGGAGACATGAGAAACTTATAAAGAAGAAACGGTAAGTTCAGAAAGCTCAGATCTCCCCCAAAGCTGGTAGTACAAGAAGCTCTCATATTCTTCCCCACCTCACAAAATCTATATTAATTTAGTACCTATTCGATTCAGGAGTCTATAGATCTCCATCATGCCTGATTATACCGACGAGAAGTCCATCCTGGCACTGGGAGAAATAGACCCTGAATTGAAGGCAGTACGTATCTCAATCACTCCTCTTCCAGAGCGGCCTGCTGACATCTTCTGCTACAGTTTCTCGAAAAGGCCAACCTGCCCACTCCTGATTATGACGACCTCGCTGCGTTCAAAGCTATGGCAGCAGACCGCAATGCCGAAGCGCTCAAAGTCCTGGGCGATTCTCCGCCAGAGATCAAGTCGACAGAACTACAGTACCCAACTCGTGATGGCTCAAAACTCCGCGCAAAGCTCTACCAACCTACAAGCCCACCAAAAGCTGGCAGCCCTCTGATCGTCATGTACCACGGCGGCGGGTTCTGTATCGGAGCTCCTGAAGGCGAAGAGCAAACATGTCGAAACTTCGTTCAGGCCTTCGGCGCCGTCTGCGTCTCGGCCTCGTACCGCCTGGCACCCGAGTACAAATTCCCGTACGCTGTCAAAGATTCCTGGGATGCCCTGAAATGGGCAGCTGAGAACGCAAAGTCCTGGGGTGCTGACCCTTCAGTCGGATTCGTCGTCGGCGGTACCTCGGCCGGCGGCAACATCAGTGCTGTACTGGCTCACGTTGCCAGGGATGAAGGCCTCTCCCCACCCCTGACAGGGCAGTACCTGATCATTCCAGCGCTTGTACCGGAGAACAAAGTACCCAAGAAGTACAAGAAGTACTCTCTCTCATATGAGCAGAACAAGAATGCCCCAGTTCTCCCGATCGCAGCAATCGACATGTTCATGAAGGGTTATGAGCCTGACGATGACGATGCAATCTGGTATGCTCCTTTCAACCATCCCAAGGGCCACAAGGATTTGCCTACAGCCTTGTTCCAGGTCGACGGAATGGATCCGTTGAGAGACGAGGCGCTCATTTATGAACGTGTCCTCCGAGAAGAGTACAGCCTCAAGACGAAGCTGTATGTCTATCCTGGCTTGCCGCACGGTCATTGGGGCTTCTTCCCTTTCCTCAAGGCCAGTGCGACATTCCGCAAGGAGCAGGTCGAGGGTATGGGCTGGCTTCTCGGCAGAGAGCCCGATTTCAGCAAAGTCGTTGTCAGCGCCGTTGTTGCAAATGTATAAGGCTGAGACTTTTTCGCATAACGTCGTCGATGGATGCAAGGCCTAGATCTCTACATACTGTAGAAATCAAGCTCATCAATAGATAATTGTCGTCAAGTCGTGTCTCATCATCTCAGCGTCAATAGGAGGATATCGCTATTTCTTGCGCTCTCGAATCTTGAACTTGACACCATTCCTGTTTACGCCCCCAACCGTCCTGGCCATTTTTGCCCGCTGCAAATCAAGCTGTTCCGCCGCGGCCAGTATTTCGCGTTGCCGGGTTTTCAGCGCTTCCAGTTTGGCAACTCGCATCTCTTGTAGGCGTTTCCTCTTCTTGCGTTCCGCACGCAGACGAGCTGCTGCGTCTTGCTTTGTAGCCATCGCTTTCTTGGATGTTGGTCTTGACTTCATAACGTCTGGCTCGTTTTCCTGGTCTTCGATATCGAGGCCCATCACCGCATCCACCTGGTGTACTTCTGCAATGGTGTGCGTTGCAGTATATCGTGTACCGTTTTCGATCATGTTGCTACTCAATGTGCGCTTCTTGCCTCTCACTAGCACATCCTCGCCGTCTTCATCTGCGAATGTCTTGTGTATTGGACGTATTGGGGCGGACCGTGTATTGAGCGTGACAGAATCCAAACCCACCTCTTCCTTCAATTTGTCGATCTCTTTCCTTCCCTTTGCCGCCACAGTCCTGAGATATCCAGCGTCTTGAGTCTTTAATAATTTGACCGCATCGTGGCTCAGACGAGCACTCTCTGCGCCGTCTGCAGTTCTGGATGCCTTGTGTTTTCCCAAGCCGGCTTTGCCCTGGCTGAGCATACCAAACGCAAATTCATCGGGGTTCCTTTCCTGGGCCTTTTGCGACAATTGTCCAAGTTTCTTCTTCTTCAGATTGTAATCCTGCGCTCGTAGTGAGTAGTCCTTGTGTTTTTCTAATATGCCCCATTTCTCTCGTGACTTGGGCTGCGCTCGCTCCTTGTGTGGCCGTCGGGTGACGGCATTACGCATGGACGACATCTTGATAAGTCGCAGCCAGCAGGGGAATACTGGTAAAATTGTAAATAGACCACGAATTCAGAAAGCCGCTTGGAAGGACTGAAAACAAAAAATACTTGTTTATGGCAGCGGCGTCAGGGAAAGTTTTGGAGTGACTGCAGGGTTTCTCCACACCACGGATGAACTGCATGCAGACAGCTTTCGTTACCATCGATCACCGAGTCGATCACAACTCCGCTAGATCTCTCGACCAAATTATGCTCACTTCTCGTACAACGAGCAACTAGCCGTCACATCATCGTTCTCGATATCTCAGAGACGATGGAAATGGCGTCTAAGATTGCCCCGGAACCACCACGATCGGCCACAATGAGCACACCACAGAACAATCTCCGTAATCCACTACCACTAGCCCCAGCTCAAGAAGCTGAGGTGCGAAGAATGTACTACGCACGTGTCCGGACGAAATGTGCAGATGATATCAAGCGTAAGTCGAAAGATACCTCTCTCTGTTTGACTCCCATTCGTGTCTTAGCCGGCTATGCTAATAGTATGTCTTGTGTTTAGAATTCGCCGACTGTGCACGAGGTCGAACACTCAGCGTAGTATGGAATTGTCGAGCCGAGTATCGGGCCATGAATAGCTGTATGATGCTGAACGCCACGAAAGAGGAGGAGGATGCTGCTCGCGAAGACTGGTTTGCAGGCGTGCTTGAGCGGCGGCGTAAGAAGGAGGAAGAACATGTTGCCGTGGAGAAGAGGAGAGTGGAAGTCATTGAGATGACGAGGAAGCAGGAAGAGAAAGAACGTGTCGAAGCGGAGAAGAAGCTAGCTGGGCAGCAAAAGGAGAAGGAGGTGAAGAAGTCGGGCGGATCTTGGTGGCGGTGACGATGTCGAAATTCAATTCTTATGAACCACAGCCATGAACGTCAAGCAACAGGCTGTGTCCACTCATTGGGACACATGGCCATTGCCTTTGGGGTTCCCTCCAGAAGTATCATCCGACCATCTCAGTTTGGCCGGTGGGAGGACGCTGGCATCACTGTCAGCGACGTACCCGGATATGCTACGGGCGACCATCTCACCTATCGACCGCCTATCCAGGGCGTCAGACACCCTCACAACTCCTCCAATGCCACTCCCACGCCATGTCGTTCTCCTCCTCCCTAGCCGCCTCCGCGGCGTCTTCTGCAGCCATCATGGCCAACTGCTCGTTGACCCACAGACGAACCTCTCGTGCAACAATCTGATGCTCCAGCTCTTCTTCTCGAAGTTGTCTTTTCTCTTGAAATCGGCGGTAAAGGGCGAGTATAGCGACAAACCAGACGAGGCAGTTGCCGAAGGCGATGAGGAGCTCGAAACTGGAGAGCGGCTTGTTCATGGTGTTTCAATTCAGGGTGGAAGTAGTGGTTTGGAGTCGTGTCTGGATGTATGCTGCTAGCCGAAATGGTGAGGACGCTGAGGAGATTGACGGAGAGCAGGACGCATCCACACAGCAAGCTTGTTTACAAACAGATCATGCTACTCCTACGGATCGCAAGGACCATGCGGAAAGACGTCTTTATGCTAGTACTGTGGTGCGTTGATTCACAGCGGCAAACACAAACACGCGGGTGCATATTGCAAACACCATGACAGCAAGCGACGACCACGCAAGCTGCAAGAGAAGCGTCAAACGGTGTGAAGAAAGGACAAACGGAAGCATCGAGTAAGAATCAGCACTTTCAGCTCAAGTCTATCTGTACACCGAGACAACGTATTGCCTTGTCTCAGTATAGTCACTGCTTGCACAAAGCGTTGCTACAATATTGGCAGGCTCAACTCAGTCATTCACGATCGATATGGGATGACGGCTTATGCAAACAGTCATGGCGAATAAGCGCTATTGTGTACAACATATTCTTTGAAGGCACCTCAGTCTATACAATCTATAAACCATCATCATCTCAGAAATGATGCAAACTCGTCACAAAAAGCCTCTGTGGCCTGAACAAACTGAGCCACGTGTTCCTCGGTCAGCATTATATTCAATGCAGTAAATCCTCGCTGAGCCATGTATATTCCACTTTCCAACATGTGATGGAAGTACAACCCTTGCAACACGTCTTTATCCGGGCCAGCGAAGTGGATGGCATTCAGACTGCCGACTCCCTTCATGAACATTTTGGGAAGCTCCGGCAGCTTCGTCTCATCTATCACCGGGGTGATAGGCAAGGTGCCTTCGATACCTCTCTTGGATAGGACTGCCTCAACCTGTTGCCGCAGCGAGTCACCCAAGGCGTTCAACGCTTGCAGTCTGTCCGGAGTCAGCAAGGTACAGCCGGCCACTCCAGCGCTCATAGTGAAGACATTGTTGTTGAAAGTCCCAGGGTGCTCTAGAGATCCGGTCCTCGGGTCGTACAACTGCATGATTTCCCGTTTACCACCGAACGCGCCGAAACTCATTCCGCCTCCTATCCATTTGCCTAGGGTCATGAGGTCGGGCGTCACACTCATTTTGTGGCCTAGACCGTGGTAATCGAGACGGCTAGTCATGACTTCGTCAAAGATGAGCAGAGCTTTGCTTTCATCGGCCAGACTGCGGAGAGTGGCGAGGAACTCGGCTGTGCCTGCAAAACATCCTCCACTGCCCATCATGGGTTCCACGAGAATGGCGGCAAGACTGTCCTTCGGCAGGGAGTGGAGCAGAGCTTGAGTGCCCTGGACATCGTTGTATGTGCCCAGCACAAAATCATGTGGGAGGTTGATGGTCGGTTTGCCGGATTGGACTCTGCCCGAGATGGTTGAACCATGATACCCCTTGTTGAAGACCAGGACCTTCTTCTTGCCAGTCACCGCGAGCGCCGTGGCGATTGCCATCATATTCGCCTCGGTGCCAGAATTGACGAACCGGACAAGGTCAATGGCAGGGAATCGTTCACATACTAGCCGTGCAAGCTGGGGTTCTAGTTTGTTGTGACCGCCATAGTTCCAGCCGCCCTCGATGGCTCTTTGCAGAGCAGCCTTGATCTCCGGGTGATTGTGGCCGTAGATGGCTGCTGTGTATTCGCCTAGGAAGTCGACGTATCTGGTACCGTCGATTGTCGTCAGATTGCAAGCATCGCCTGAGTCAATGGTCAATGGAAACGGGTTGGCAAACAGAACGGTCCTTGTATTGCCGCCTGGCATATAATTGCAAGCTTCTTCATAGTTCTTGCGTGATGCCGAGTGTCGCTGGGTGTAAAGTTCATGCGCCTGCGATAGAGCGGCTTGAAGGCTGCTTTGATCTGGTTCGGCTATTGAACCCATGATGACCGTTCTGATACAACTTAGATGTCTCAATATTTATATCTGATCAAGGCACTTTAGGCATTCTATGGGGTAATGAGACACATGTACAGAGAAAAAATCGGATGGCATGAAACTCGGCGCGAACATGGATCGATCACTCATGATATATCCTGTGCAGTACAAGTTCTCGGGGCGAACGACGCCCTATGGGTAACGGGTATCTGCGCCCTTTGATGGCTTATCACTGTACCTCAGGTACCTTTCATGTCGATATTGCTTTGGAGATGGCAGTCCATAGCGAATGACTAACCTCGACATGATTTAGCGTCTATATCTCCAGGGACCATGGGCTTTCCAACATGTGGCTTTCTAGGTAGAATGGCATTTGCGGAGCATCTGGCAGTCCGAAAGGTTGTCCCGGTATTGAGAAGCAGGGCACAATGAAGCAGGTTTCCTCCAGAGCTCAACAGGGTCAATGTCCGTGACTGAAAGAAATTACTGTACACATGTGGAAGCACTGGAATGCAGTGACTGTAAGGTGAAACGATCAAGCCGTTGGACGAATGTCACCTTCACCGCTATTGAAGTTCCAGCTTCAACTCACAGTACTTCATAGACCCCCCATTGCCCCTCTTCAGGCCCTTCATCGGTATCACCTCCACACCAACGTCCCCTGGGTTTCCCGCAGAGCCAAGCAAATCTTGACTAAACGAGTTCCCACTGAGAACCACACCATGAGTTCATCGGGCGCCCGTCGCGTCTCGACGTTGAGATCAGCGTTGAATGTCAGCTCAGATGGCCGCCGATTCTCCATCCACCCAGAAGATGAGCGCTCGTCCGACACTCACCAGGACTTGAGAAATCACCCTTCTCACAGACACACTGGTCTAGACGAGAGCAGAGCCAGCACTGGTGTCATCTGGTGAGTAAACACCTTGTGGTCCGCTTTGCTTATTTTAGTGGTTGACGTGTTCTCCAGGACGACAGAGCAAGCTGCTAAACATGGCTTCCAGGATGAACCCGAGAAATGGGCCAACTTAGGTCAAGGCATGTTGCTGTTCTTTTGGAAGCCCTCAGACCGCTAATCCCAGGACAGGCGCACCAGAAGTCGGCGATGACATTGAAGGCTGCTTCCCCCGTCCCACCTCCATCGACATCTCTATGAATGGCAGAGAGTACGGTCCAACCGCAGGCATCAAGTCCCTCCGAGCAGCGGTCGCCAACCTCTACAACGACAACTACCGCAAGGGCAAAGATTCGCAATACACATGGGAGAACGTGTGCATCGTTCCAGGCGGAAGAGCTGGACTCATTCGCATTGCTGCGGTCTTGGGCAATGCCTATCTTGGTTTCTTCATTCCTGACTACACCGCGTACAATGAGGTCAGTCCCATACATTAGTTGCATGTTTTGGCTCTCCTCTAACCGTCCTACAGATGTTGAGCTTGTTCCGCAACTTCGTGGCTATCCCTTCTCCATTGAACGCCGCCGATGGCTACCACATCCACGTAGACAAGATCGCCGAAGAGTTGGCCCGTGGAACGTCCGTCATTCTGACTTCAAATCCTCGCAATCCCACGGGCCACGCCTTGCATCCCGATGAGCTCAAGCTGATCCAGGACATCTGTCGGGATCGAGCGACTCTCATCTTCGACGAATTCTACGCCGGGTACAACTACAGCACCAACTGTGATGGCACCACGATTTCTTCTGCTTCGAATGTCCAGGACGTCGATCTCGACGATGTGATCATTGTCGATGGCTTGACCAAACGATTCAGACTACCAGGCTGGCGTGTTGCGTGGATCGTTGGGCCGAAAGACTTCATCAAAGCGTTGAGCTCTTCCGGCAGCTACCTCGACGGTGGCACCAATGTGCCCTTCCAAGAGGCTGCTGTCAAGATGCTCGAACCTCACAAAGTCAAGAACGAGATGCAGGCTCTTCAACGACACTTCAAGGAGAAGCGCGACTATTGTTTAGGCCGACTGAAAGAGATAGGTTTCCACATGGGAGACCAGTCCATTCCGGATAGCACGTTCTACATCTGGCTCGATCTCACCGCTTTGGACCCCCCGGTGCCGAAGGATAGTCCCATTGACATTTCCAACGGTCTCTCTTTCTTTCATGCCCTTTTGGAAGAGAAGGTGATCGTCGTGCCGGGTATCTTCTTTGACCTCAACCCATCCAAGAGAAGAGAACTCTTTGACAGCCCGTGTCACCATTATGTGCGGATCAGCTACGGGCCCAAGATGGAGATGCTGAAGATGGGTTTGGACGGGATCGAGAGACTGGTCAAGCGTGCCAGAGGCGAGAGTGGAGATTACGACAGCGCAATCCATGACGAGCCCGAAGAAAAGAGTCCCTCAAGCCCCGTGTTTCGCAACCCCAAATACCGCAGTACTGAGGGACATGGCGAACAGCATTGACGAATAATATGAATCTTCAAACAGGACACGAGAAAAGGCTGATCCAAACGAGGCATGGAGACTGAGCTGATTAAACAAGACACAAGTCGGGCTGATCCAAATGGCACACAAGGATAGGCACGATGTGCTTTATTTTCTGAGGGTAATACATGATAAAGTTACAAGCGGGTGCTCATCCAATGCTCTGTTGACGCCTTCAAAGTTCATTCATACACATGTGGCTGTGCCGACAACCACTTAGCTAGGGCTCAACATGAGAGACCACAACACATGCTAGCTAGCCTTTCATTACTACTAACATGATTTCCATTAGGTTTGATTCCTTTTCTTCCCTGTCTTCGTCCTCGTCCGTCATAAGCCCACGTCCGGCAACTTGGGTTTCGGTAGTTTGACTTTCGGTAACTTGACTTTGGGTAACTTGATTTTCGGTAAGGAGAGATCAAGCCCTGCCGATCAGTTTCTTTGGTCAGCGTTTAACCATTGGTCCTGACAAAGGAATTAGGGACAGGCCACAAGGGGTCTGGGGTACTTACAATAGCGCGAGCGTCAGGTCGCCGTGTATGCTGGCCTTGAGTTCGATTTCAATGTCCAGGTTCAATTCGATGCGCAGCTTCAAGCCATCTTGGTCCATGGGGTCTTTTTCCTGGCCGCCGCCTTGGGCGCCCATGCCTTGGGCGTTCTCGAGGGGTTGACTTGGAGGCGGGCCGCGCCAGGGGATCTCGCCTCGCAGCATGCGAGCATATGTTACGGGACCATCCATGGACTGGGAAGGAGGCTTTATTCTCTCGAAGGGTTGTGTTTCGGTGAGGTCGCGTGGATCGGGGTTTGTGAGTTGTTGCTGTTGTTGCTGTTGAGGTGGTTGTTGCTGCTTGTGAAGTTGCTGTTGAGGTTCGTCATCCTCATCGATGGCGGCCATGGACTGGGCTGAGGCATTGCCGGCTTGGGCTTTGCCTTCTCCTTTCCTTGATCGCTGGTTCTGTCTTCTCCTTCGTCGGGATTGAGATCTGGACCGTGACTCGTAGCCTTGGTCGTCGGCTGATGTGTCGGAATTGCTGCGGTCTGGTGCGGCAGGCCTGCTTTGTTTCTTGTTTCCCGGTGTCTTCTCCGGGGTGGGTGTTTGCTGTGGTTCAGACATGATGGCCACAGATGTTTGATGCGAGGGACGACGGGTGGAGGGGATAGATTGTTCAAGATGTGTAGCAGTATGTACGAGCTTCGAAGAGCTCTAAGGATATGAGAGCGGATGGGGGAGAATTGGTATCAGTATGAAGCAAGACCCTTTCGACTTCCAAAGGGAGACATGGGCTGGAAAAGCAAGCAGCGGAGGAGAGGCTTGCCAACAACGACATCATCGGTACAAGGACAAGGGTCCCACGTCAGTGCCCGAAGTATCCTGCTTGGGAGTCCACAAGTCCACAAGTCTCACAGTGCACCTACCATACCACCTTTCTTCTGCTTGAAGCGGCGAGATTCGCATTGCGGATCGATCGCCACGATCGGTGTCGTCGGACCAAGAAGTTTGGCAACGTGGCCGGGGTCAAGGAACAGTCGGAAGTTGGAAGCAACCTGGTCGTGGGAAGCGGATTGACATCTTGTCTGCGATCGCTGATTTGATGAGCGGGCAAAGTGCTTGCTGGCCCCAGAGTTCTGCCCGCCTAGAGAAGCCCTGAGTGGCCTGCAAACTTGGTCAAGATGGAGACTGTCAGCGGCTGTGGCTGACTGTCACTTCTGAGAGCATGACGCTGATGACGCCAGCTCCACGTGTGTGCATACCATGCGAAAATGTGTATCGAAGTTGAGAAAGTATCTCCTCACTTGCCTCTGGTTCTCGCTGGGAGGTATACATCATGATTATGATCATGACTGCATACAGACGAGTCGCAAAGGACGTCTTTGTAGCACGAAAAGTTCGAACAAGCATTTCTGTAGCTAGCCGGGCGACCACAGAATGGTATGCATCCAGCCGAACTCGCCTCGCAAATTGTCGCAATCGGGGAGATTACCATGAGACGTGCCTGAAACCCACCGTCTCTTGACTATCCCATAGTACTACTACGAGTATAGTATAGCACGGTAGCATACCTTGTTCTACGCCACAGGCAAGCGGACATGTTGATCCCCTCTCATCGACGATGGACCCTCGTCTGCCTCCGTCTAGCCACGCCTAAGTTAACATATTTCCGGACATCATCCCTGTCGCACTGACCAGCAGCCACGATAGCCGGCTCCTTCGGGCTTCACCTAGCCACAATTGGTCTGAATGCCTTGTACAAACTTGCTTTTGGAAATTCCTTCTCCGCAACTCGCCTCGATCTGTGGCGCCAACAGCATTGACCTCCTTCAAAAGCAGCAACATTCGACGTCATGATACTTGCGTGTACAGGCCAACATCCATGTAAATCTCGTCGGACATTTCTATACCCTGACGTCGATGTGGATTGATCGTCTTCCTGCTGCGTGCCGACTTGCCTTCCTTTCTTTGGACAACAGTTCCAAGGTTCCCTTACGTCGACTCTTCTGCCGTGTATACTCCTCTCTTCATCTCCCTCTGCACCATCGTCTTCAACTCCCACCATGTCTGAACAAGAGACCAAGTCCACTGAAGAGTCAAACATCGGCGGAAATCTTGACGCTGCCGGATCTGCCTCAGGTGCTGGAAGTGTAGGAGCCTCTGCCAATACCAAAAAGACCGAAGAGAAAAAGAAGCCCAAAAAGCTCGGCCAGAAATCAGCAAACGGAACACCACAAAAAGAAGTAGCCGACGGTGACGCAGACGCCGGCGCCGAAGAAGCACCTTCAACACCTCAACCCAAGATGGAACAACAGTCTCGGTCTAAGTCCCGGCAAGCCAGCCGCGCTCGCGGTCGTCAACAAAGTCAACCACCCAGCGACACCGACAGTGCCTATCGAAGCGACGTATCCCAGAAAAGAAAGCGGAACCGCAACCGAGGCAAGAGCCAACAGCAAGCACAGACGCAAGAAGAAGATGGTGGCGGCGGCCTCCTCGGTGGAGGTGGCGGTCCTCTAGACTCTGTCGACGAGGTCGGAGAGACAGTCAACGGTGTCACCGAAGGTGCCGGAGACCTTGTGAACGATACGGCTGGTAAGGCGCTCAACAAGCCCACAGAGGCCCTCGGCGGTTTGCTCGGGAACAAGAAGAAGGGCGGTCAGGAGGGTGAAGACGGCGAAGAAGACGCCGGCGAGAACGAGCAGCTGAGATTAAGGCTCGACATCAACCTTGACATTGAAGTCCAACTCAAGGCCAAGATCCATGGTGACTTGACTATTGGTCTCCTGTATGTATACCGGCTTCCTTTCGCAGCAGCAAGCGCTAACCCTTCACAGGAACTAGTGGTGGACGACGCACTCTGTCGACTTGTACCTACTATTCATGTTCTCACCTACCGTGGACAACTCATGACTGCGGCGAATTGGTCTTGTTTTGAAAATTGTGTGCCGGTGTCGTTGTCATGGACTTCGCGCTGTTGCCGGCAAGGATCGGTCGTCAGTGTATGTAATAAAATGAATAATGATCAAAACAATCTCTGTCTGTTAGCTTGTCTATTGTCGATGTGAGGGCTCTAGTAAAGTAAACAGGTAGTCATGATGGTTACAAAGGCAGAACCACAATATGCAAGCACATTAACATGTCACTGGACCTGCACGTGATTGTTTCGGCTGCGCCGCAGACTTCAACAATCTCGTTCTTGCGACATTTGCTAAACCTCGTTTCACTCGCATACTGTACACTTTTGGACACATCGTTCGGATGCTATGTCGCACTGGTTGGCGAGGCTTCATCGGTAATCGACCGATCAGATTATGTCCGGCTAGAGCCTTGTTTGCTCGGGTAAACAGGCCTTCCCTTTGCACTCGAGTCCGTTCAGGATTTCGACGCCAATATGCATCCTCCACGTTAGCTCCCATCCTTGGAAGTTGGCCTGAGGAAACTCGCTCATCCGACACAATCTATGCCTTATCCACGGCACCAGGCCGAGCGGCCATAGCGGTTGTCCGCATCTCTGGCCCAGCATGCCTCGACATCTACCGCAACTTGTGCCCCAACCGGCCGCAGCCAAAGCCACGGACAGCCACATTACGCAAGCTCTACCACCCGTCCGTAGACTCTCCTGCGGACCAGCAATCCAGAGTCCTCGACAACGGCGCCTTGGTCCTGTACTTTCCTGCGCCCAACACAGTGACTGGCGAAGACGTGCTGGAACTGCATGTCCACGGTGGTCGTGCCATTGTGCGCTCCATCCTTGATGCCATCGCGGCGTGCGAGCGGAAGCTGAAAAAGAATGCACAATACATAATCCGCCATGCCGAGCCAGGCGAGTTCACCAAGCGCGCATTCTACAATGGCAGACTGGACCTCACGCAAGCCGAGGCGCTGGGGGAGACGCTGGCCGCCGAGACTGAGCAGCAGCGCCGACTGGCAGTGAGCGGCTCAGACGGCGGGCTCGCAAAGCGCTACGAGGACTGGCGCCTCATGCTTCTTCATGCTCGCGGCGAAATGGAAGCCCTGATCGATTTCTCCGAGGACCAACACTTTGACGAGTCGCCTGTTGAGTTCATGGCATCCGTGTCTACGCAAGCTCTTGGGCTGAAGAGACAGATCGAGATACATCTCCAGAACGCGTCGAAGGGTGAGTTGCTCCGCAATGGTATCAGCATTGCCTTGCTCGGTGCGCCTAATGCAGGCAAGAGTTCACTGCTCAATGGGATTGTGGGCCGCGAGGCGGCGATCGTCAGCGCTGAGGAAGGGACGACCAGAGATATTGTCGATGTGTCAATCGACTTGCAGGGCTGGCTGTGCCGGCTGGGCGATATGGCTGGTCTGCGTGCTGGGGAGGGTGAGGCATCTGTTGGCGCAGTCGAGCAAGAAGGTATTCGACGAGCACGAGAGCGCGCGTTACAGTCCGACGTCGTCGTCGCGCTACTGGCTATAGAGAAAACGCCAGACGATGCGTCCCTCGATGTCCCTATCAATGAGCAGGTTCGTGAGGCTGTCTACGAGTGCCACGCTGCGGGCAAGACGATTCTTATTGTCCTGAATAAGGTCGATCTTATTGCTCCTAGCGAAAGAGAAGAGGTCATGAAACGACTGTGGAGACAAACTGAGGAAGCTTTCCCCATGGTTCCGGCGAACCAGATCTGCACGGTGTCCTGCAGGAATGCAGACACAACCAGCAGCATCGGCCAGCCTAGTACTGATCCAGGCCGGATTCAGGCATTCCTCGGACGATTGACCGACGTTTTTGCCAAGATAACCACGGCGTCTACGTTTAATGGCGACGAAGACTGCGAAGCGATGAGTCCGGCGGAAGCACAATCGTACTGGGCGGCATCATTGTCTGTCACGCACCGTCAGAGCATGTATCTGGAGCGGTGTCTGGGTCATCTCGAGGACTTTCTCGATCAGGCCCAGTCACGATCTGTCGACCGGCACGAGACTCAAATTGAGCATGGTGATGTCGATATCATTACTGCGGCAGAACATCTACGCTTTGCGGCAGCTTGTCTGGCGAGAATCACGGGCAAGGGCGAAGGTGGCGATGTGGAGGATGTGCTTGGGGTGGTCTTTGAAAAGTGAGTGTTTTCTTTTATCATCTAATCACGTTCTATCCATTTTTTCCTGGGTTTGAGTACTGTTTGATACACCATTGCAAGGTCCAGCCTTGCATGCCCATTCTTCATCAACTCCTCGAAAGCAGTACATGAGCGCCTGAATGCACACCCGCCTCGAAAATTCATAAAACTGTTAAATCATATCCGCCGAAAACTCCTCAAAATGCTGTTTGTCTTGCGAGCTGATTCTATTTTTGGATTTCTGTCGTCGCTGTTTGCGCCTGAAATGAATGATGTATCTACCCCTGAGAAAGAAAACGCTGAAAATGCCGCTTGAATGCTTTGATCGAGAAAATGTTGCTGACTGGGAATCCAAATAGATTTTGCGTCGGAAAGTAAAGTCGAATCTGAACCTGGAAAAGTTACGCCGGGAATGCCGCTGAATTGGATCATTGTTGAAAGGAAAGAAGACGAGCTGATCGCTGAATGGGAATGCGATCTTAAAATCCGACGCCTCGAAAATGCCGCTAAATCTGATACATGGTGAAAGCAGAACGCCTTGAAATGCCGCTGAACTAATCGCTGAAAGTTCGTTCGAAAAGAGATGCCCGTCAAGAGCTGTCAGAGAAAATGAATGTGATGTGATCGAGACCAGGATCACCCTGATGCTGTCGATTGTCGTGTTTCCGGAAACCGACTTAGTTGTACCCGCCACGACCTTGGGCTGCTTGTTGTCGGTTGTATCCACCTCGACCTTGAACCATGGCAATGCGGTTATATCCTCCTCGGCCTTGTTTGTTGTATCCGCCACGACCTTTCTGAGGGGCAGAGCCTGCAGGGCTGTTGTATCCGCCTCGTCCCATGTTGAAAATAAACGACGGAATGAGATAAGTAAAGAAATTAATGATGGGCGGTTGTGCCGGAGGGCGGGCTTAGGCGGGAAATGCAGAGCGTATCGACAGACAGGCAAAGGAAATAAGGAAAAGAGATATGAAATGGTTGGGCTTGTTGCTTGCTGGCTGGGTTGTCGATGAAAGGAAATAGAAAGTAAGAAATTCGTGTATACCTGGTGTTCTAGTCTTTGATGTTGAAGTCGACAGATGCTGAAAGCGAAAAGTATGAAGAAGCTCCGAACAAATGGAATGTATTAGGAAAGATGATACTGGTAGAAGGAGTGAAGATTTGGTCTGATAGTAGGAAACATTCCAAGATGGGTGTGGGATAGATATCGTGATATATACCCATCTGGTGTTTCGATTTGGTGTCTGACAAGGCAGGCACTGCAAAGCAAGATAGATGGCGTCGCCTTGTGCCTTGTTAGGGCTCCACCACTGTGGGTCATACAACACACGTTCGGTGAGCACTGAGCAGTATGAAAAGTCAGGCCCGGATAGAGAAGGTGGTATTTCGCCGCCTAACGGGTAACTTGCAGTTGTCGATGAGGTAAATTTGGGGGCTGACACGAGCTATCGCGCTAGAGTGCGATGGAAAAGATATCGCTCTGAGGGTTTCCCGCATCATAGCCTGCCCCGAAGGAGGGTCAGGGGCCGTAGGGCTGACGGGAGAAAGGGACAGGACTTTTGTTGTGCGTCTGCCACTGGTCAGTTGGGGCCAGGAACAATGAAGATCTTGAGAAGGGAAGTGCCACGGGGCCAATTAGACGGAAAGATCGGATCGAAGAGGCGTTGCGTGGAACATTCTAGTGGACAGGGCGGTGATGCCCTGGGCGAGGAAGGAAACTAAATTAGAACGGATGGACATGGGTCGAGCATGTGCCGTGCATGATCGGAATCTAGGGCTGCATGAGGTTCGTTGATGTGCATGCATACCAGGCAGGTTGAGAGGTATCAGGAGATGAGATAGGTTGGATGTTGAGAGGTGTTGATTTTTAGTGCTGATAAAATCCTAAGGCTTGACCCGGTTTAGGCAAACACACAAAGTCCCTGTCGCAATAAACTTTGTTTAAGGTGTTAGCGTGAGGAATGAGCCAATGGGGGATTGGATGCGGCGGAGACTATCCTCTTTGGGCTTTTTATATGCAAGGCGCAGCATCGAGGGGAGAATGTGGTCACTGATCGACAGTCGTTCATGCAGCCAGGGGAGAAAGATACCCGTGCGACATTTGTTCCTGAGACAGTCTGGAGGCATGTGCAACATGGGTTGAATCATAGCTTTGGTCGGTTTCATGATCTGTGACAAAATACACTGCAAAGGTTTCTCATGATATACTGCTCTAGTGCCTGGCTGCCTATATTGGCCCTCGATATGTTTTGAACTGCAAGTGCGAAGTATAGTTCATGGCATTCCAAACAGGATCACTTTTCACCGGGTACAGAGTGAGTCGTCACGAAGAGTCGAAAATCTGGCTGATGGTTCCGCAGAGCCAGATTAGTAACGACACTCATGGTTCATCCGGACGACGACTGCCGCGATCCGTGATCAAGCGACGGTTCCTCCCGACGTATTACAGAATTCAGGTACATGTGCCTCGACTGTCGTTGGGACGTGCATCTGTATCTACCAAAGTACCCGGCGAGTTGATTTGTTGGTGAGGCCGAGTTCCGGAACTGGATTATCTCTCACGCCGGCTCATCTGTCACCTTTCAGCTTGCCCAATGCTAAAGCATCTTTGACAAGTTACTATACAATGCGAGGCAGATTCGGCCATCGACATGCACATCCGGATTCTATCTGGTATACAAAAGTTTGATGGCCTAAGGCATCTAAGGCATTCTCGCTTCATTTCGGGCCTAGGTCCAAAATATTCTCCGAGGCACGTGGGAAGCCCAATATAGAAACAAAGGCTGTCTAGACCGTCTACGGTTCAGCCTCACTTGAAGCCGCAACTGCTGACACGCGTTCGTGTCCTCTGAGAAGTGCAACTTCATCATCACAATGCAGAGTAAAGCGTGAGACCATCTTGTCGCGGGCACCATGCTTAAGTCACTCACGAGCTACTTCTTGAGAGACTGATGTAACTTTCCACGTTGTCCGATGTTTCCAATTAGGGCGCTGCTGTCATACCGGAGCTGCACCTCAAATTCGGCAGGTTGTTCCTAAGTATGTCCTTCTGTTTGTCGGGATCTTTGCGGACAGAATGCTCAGCATGTGAGCATGTCGCATACAGCTCTGAGTGGTGTAACAGTATTCAATGACCTCTTATCTTGGCATCTGACGTCTGGTGGCAGTCTTGGTTAGGTGTCGCAGTCACGATCAACAAGAAGTGCCGACTGGAAATACTCGGACGATGAGCAGCCGTTGAGATGATCGTTCGCGGTGACTAGTATCCTTATCTGGATCTCGTTGCACTAAGCGCCTTGGGCGACTTGCGAGCCAGGAGCTATTCAAAGAAGCCACCTCCTGCCCGCCAAAATCTGTCCACGACAGGGTTGAACTGGTAAGTGGCAGCAATTGAATACGAAACGATGTAGGAGTATGGATTCATGTCCGCAGAAGGGTCGGCGATAACTACATGGCAGTGTCTTCCTTCATCACCAGAGAAATGAGGCATTCGTGTCTCAAAGGGTTGCGCGGCGCCGTGTGTTGATATGCCAGGAATGTGGGCTGGCTCGTGCTGAAGCATCTGGCCCTCTACACAACGATGGGACAACCATCATTTCCTGATCTGCTCTTCTGCTGCATCCTGAAACAGACCATAGTCACTCATTGAGCATCACCGTCGTCTGCATTACTTCAGCGTGCTCATCAGCATGCGGTATCTTTGTCTTTTCGGCCTGGCCTCCGGCGCCACGGCCTTGAGCATCAGCATCAGCTACAGTTTGACAGCGACATTCACGGCGACCATCTACGAAACGGTCACAACCTGTCCATGCACAGTAACGACATCCTCAACTCCGTCAGTATTGTTACCAAGCAATCCCATCCAGGCCACGCCAACCACGTCGAGCCCAGGGACTACTCAAGCTACGAGTACACTGCTTACGACGACGTCTTCCACCCTTGCGAGTTCCAGTACCATCGCCTCGAGTGTAACTACACTTGCAACCTCGACTTCATCCACAGCTGTCAGCAGCACTACAGGCATTCCAGCCGCCGCAACCGACGAGGCAGACTACGTCGATGCACTCCTCCTGCACCACAATGTCCACCGCGCAAATCACTCCGCCAATGCGATCACCTGGTCTGACACCATGGCCGTAATCGCCCAAACAATCGCTGACACCTGTGTCTATGGGCACAACGTCACCGTCAGTGGAGGTGGCTATGGTCAGAACATCGGCGCCGGTTTCTCAGCTACACCATTGGGTATGGGCGAAATGATCACCGAGTTCATGTACAACGACGAGATGCCCAACTACTTATACTATGGTCAAGAACCGAATTATACCACGCTCGATCAGTGGGGCCACTTTTCGCAGATTGTGTGGAAGGGCAGTTCGAGCGTGGGCTGTTACACGTCGAATTGTACGGCGAATGGGTTGGCAAATACGAATGGGGGCGTCCAGCCTTTCTTTACGGTGTGTAATTACTCGCCGGCTGGGAATGTCGAGGGCGAGTTCGCGGATAATGTTGGGGAACCGCTTGGGCAACCGGTCGTGGATCAGAATTGTGGACTCACTTCATAGAAAATTGGAAGGTTGGTTCCACATGATGGCGTTGCAAGAGGATGGACATCTAGTTGGACTAGCGGGTGCGAAATTCTGTGGCATTTGGTCTTGACCTAATTTCTGGTCTATCCACATTGGGTGGTATGTTAAATCTCGTCGAGATTTGTGTTGAACCCAAGCTGTGATTTCGTTCTACATTGCTTGTCCTTGTGAAGATGGCGGCACGAAACGCGGTCTGAATTGTTCATTCTGGGACATAAATTGACTGTCTACAACTTTCGAATCAGCCCCTCAATGTCGTGTGCGTCGCTCTGCTCCCATGGAAACTTCATTTCGAGATCACGGATGAGTTTCTCCCGTTGTGCATCCCTGGCCCTGATGTTTGCTTGGAACGGCTTCGGATGGCTGATGATTCCATCTAGGAATTCTGGCGCAACTTCCACACCATCAGGTTTTGAAATGTCGAACACCGCCAGCATCTGTGCAATGGTGAGGTAGATCGATTGATCGGCCAGGACGCGGCCGGGACAAATCCGTCGACCGAACCCGAACACGTATCTGGTAGGATCTAATTCTGCGGCGTGGTCATCAGTCTGGATGAAACGTGCAGGCTTGAAGCGCATCGGGTCCCGATAGGTCTCCGGATCATGAGTGAATAGCCAAATGTTCTGCAAGAGTATTGCGCCTTCAGGGATGAGATAGCCATTGTACTCGTCAGCCTGGGTCGAGGCGTGTGGGAGGCCCATAGGTCCAATGGGATGCCATCTCAAGCTTTCCTTAACCATGGCATCGATGTATGGCAGATTTGGGCGGTCACTGAAGGTCGGGAGACGGTCTGTCCCGACAACACGGTCGATCTCTTCTTGAGCTTTCTTCTGGACTTCGGGGTGCAGCATCATGGCAAGTGAAAACGACGAGAGCGTCGCGACGGTCGTATCCGCGCCACCAGTATACAGAGACGCCGTCGTAAATTTGACATCGAGCTCCTGTTCTGACGCTAATTTCTCATTCTTGAGATAATCGCCCAGGAACGAGTCTGGTGCTGCGCCTTTCGAGATCTGATGTTCAACAAACTTGTGGGGGGCTTCGACGACCTGCTCAAGAGTGTGGTTCCACTGCTTTGCGGTCCGCTTGAACCCAGCACCCGGGAACCACTCCGGCAGATGTCTCAAGGCAGGTACGATGTCCACAAGCCATTTACCGGGCACCGCGGCTTGAGAGAATTGATCAAGCGCTTCGTCTGCGAGACTGACGAGCGGATCTGGGCGATGTGGCTCGATTGTGTAGCCGTAGGCGATTTTGAGGATGATTGCACCGGCCTCGGTACGAATATGCTTAATGAGGTCTTGTGGGGTCTGGAGGATGCGAAGTAGACAGTGTGCGACCTCTTGTTCTTGGAGCTGACCGAACCTGTCGAGAAGTTGCGAAGCACCCAAAAGGCTGTGGAGATACTTTCGATAAGAGCGAAAGCGCTGACCAGGTGGTAAACTGGAAAGGAAATTAAGCCATCCACACATCTCGAAGGCGAAGACCAGCCTTGGGCGCGCGGAGTAGATAGCGGATCTCTTCTCAAGCAGTTCAATTGCAGCCTCGGGATCATTCAAGATGACGATTGTTTGGCCCATGACTGTGACTGAGCTTATGGGACCGTACAAGTCTTTGTGATGAGTCCAATGCACCCATTCTTGTACACCTGGTGGAGGCAGATCTTGGAGGTTCCCGATTAGAGGTAGTCCTTTGGGACCTGGAGGCAGTGGTAGACTCTTTTTGGTTTGTTTGGATCCAACCCAGATGAATCTGAAGGCAACAAGAACGATCAAAGCCGTGCCGGCTTGCATGAATGTCAGAGCCATTGTTGAAGGAGTTGCAGTATCGATTGATCGCTGAGATACAAGACTTACCGACAGATAAAGGTCGAGAAGAGTTTGGGATGCCATGTTATATAGATGCCATACTCCCATGGCGAGAACATGATCTTGATGTGGCCCAATAACCTCGTTTACAACCGGCTTTCCTAATAGTTGCTAGTATGACTGTGCAACGTGATTTCGCCGCTTCTCATAGGAGACTTCGGGGGCAAACACTGCTTCGAGGTATGTTGGCGAGCGGTCTGACACGTAACTTACATGGTGGATGCTGTATCATCTAACGACAGGCGGCCCTACATGCTGATGGGTCGTTTCCCGTCGGCGTACGACCGTCCCAACTTCACGCAACTTAGTAATATGCTGCTGAGAAAGAACTTAGTAAATGGGTAGAAGAGATCGACCTTGTTGTAAGCACTAATGCGAGGATGACATGCCCTGACGCAGAAGCGAGGGGACGTTGGATGTCGGACAGCTCCACCTCTTGATGTTGATGGAGGAAATCTCGCTGCTAATTGACTCCGCATTGTGAACCCACCTCTTACGAAAACAGCAATAACTTCTTCTACAAGTAGTTAGCCCCAGCTGTAAACTTTAAGCGATAATTTAGGACCGACTGTGAGATAGGTTGCAAGCACCTGGACTTTCAGAAAAGTACCTAGCTCGTTGCGTGGACTTGGTGTGCCGACTTTGGAATTGTTTGGAAAGAGTATTCCTGCGGCCTACTATCTCCCAACATGGCGTCCGCTGCAAAGCCTACCAAAAATCAGTTGCGACGAGCGAAGAAGAAGGCCCAGAAAACCGGAGTACGCCCTCCTCCTGTTGATTGTGCGACACATGTGGCTGACATCACACAGGGAACAAGAGAGCAGACTCCTGACCGTTCAGTACAGGAAGAAACCCCGGAGGCAGCTCCCATAAAAACCGACGAAAATGTCAAATCCGAAGATTCACGCGATGGCAATCCGCTCACAGATCCTTTTATTGTCGATGAGGAAAACCCTCTCTTCGACATGTACAAGGACATCATCGGGCGCTTTGAGGAGGCAGACAAACAAGATCCATCATTAAGAGAAATAGAGAAACCCGAAGTCTACTACGATGATGACGACGATATACCGGACGAAGAAGAGGAAGCGGCCCCGAAGATGTCGAAGAAAAAGCGGAAAGAGATGACCAAGCTGTCCGTGGCGGAACTGAAAGCGCTGGTCAAGAAGCCCGAGACTGTGGAATGGACAGACACATCAGCACCAGACCCGAAACTTGTTGTTCACCTGAAATCCTACCGAAATGTTGTTCCTGTGCCCACTCACTGGGCGTTGAAGAGAGAGTACCTATCTTCGAAACGAGGAATCGAGAAACCACCCTTTGCGCTACCGAAATTCATACAAGAGACCGGTATTGCCGAAATGAGAGATGCCGCATTGGAAAAGCAAGACCAGCAAAGCTTGAAGCAGAAACAGCGGGAACGTGTACAGGGCAAGACGGGAAGACTTGATATTGATTACCAGAAACTTTACGAGGCATTCTTCCGCTTTCAGACAAAGCCCGAGTTAACAAGATATGGCGAGGTATACTACGAAGGGAAAGAGTTCGAGACCAATCTACGACATCTACGGCCGGGTGAATTGTCTGATGAGTTAAAAGAAGCACTTAACATACCAGCTGGTGCTCCTCCGCCATGGCTCATCAACCAACAGCGGTATGGCCCGCCTCCATCATATCCCGCACTCAAAGTCCCTGGTGTGAATGCTCCGCCGCCTCCAGGTGCCAGCTGGGGTTTTGCGCCAGGTCAATGGGGTAAGCCACCCGTCGATGAAGCCACCAACAGACCTTTGTATGGTGGTGATATTTTCGGTGTATTACAACAGCAGACAAACACACAACAAGGCGAGCCTGTTGAGAAAGACCTATGGGGCGAGCTTCAACCACCTGAAGAGGAAGAGGAAGAAGAAGAGGAGGAAGAGGACGAGGACGAGGAAGAAGAGCAAGACGGAGAGGAGGGTGGAGCTGCTCTTGCCACCAAATCGGGCATCGAAACGTCGACCGGCCTGGCTTCTTACGTTCCTACAGAAATTGGCGGGACTGAAACCGTTTCCGAGTTCGACCTACGGAAGCGACGTGGTACAGAGACCGAAGAATCATCTCACCCTAGATCGGCATATCAAGTCATTCCCGAGCGACAGACGCGGGTAGAAGGCTTCTTTGGCGGCGACCGTGTTTACGATCTTAAGTCGACGCAGCAGAACGCCGACAGTCTTCCAGTCCTTGGACAAGACGAAACGCGCAAACGCAAGAAGCCGGGGGATGTCGACGTGTCAATTGATCCAGATGCTCTGGCGGCGCGCGATGGTATGGACAAGGAGGATCTCCAGCGTGCATATGATCAGCAACGGAAAGCCGAACAGAACCCACAATGGGATTTCCAAGACGACTTGTCAGACATGATCGCGACTGAGTCGAGGAAGAGGCAGAAGAGGGACGAAGAGAGGAGAAGTAAGCGGTGATCAATCTTGTCGGAGAGACCCTTGCGGACTTGTATGGTAAAGAGCAAAAAGATACCCCTTAAGTGCAGGCTTCAGTAAAGTGGCAGTTTTCTGTTTTGATCGAGCTGGCGATCGAAAACCAGGCCTCATAGACAATATGCACTGTGTGTACGGACCATCGAATGCCTATGTCTCATGCCACATATGGTGACAAGTTTGAGGGTGATCTGAAAGGCTGAAACCCCTAATTCAATGGAAGAATGCTTTGATTGGCCCTAAAACTTCCCGCGCTTGGCCCAAGCCGCAGCGCGAGATGCCTGGAAATGGAGATTCATCTGCGGCGCATGCTCTTAACGTTAAAACGAATTTATTTTCCGCCTTGTTGCTCGTGACCTCCACCTCCACAGTGCATATATGCGACTGAGGTCTTATGTCGCCAACGTCGTGTCTCACTGCCGGTCTCTAAGTACACCCATCTAATGGACCGTTATCGAGGGTATGCTCTCCTCCGCTTTGACTCCCCCAGGAAGTTTTCCCAACTGACAACGATTCAAGACAACGACGATCGCCTCCGCCTCGAGACAGACCTCCTCGTAACGACCGAGACGACCATCCTAACGTTGAATACTTTGGGGCTGGTGAGAGTTACAGACCTGGCGGCCAAACTGGTGACGGACCTTACCGACCGGCAAATCGAGAACGACAAGGTCCGGATACCTGGTCGGGTGACAGGAGAGAGGGTAGAGATGGTAGAGACGGGAGAGATGGGCGACGAGATGAGAGAAGGGAGGACGTAGACTCATATGTGCCAGTGACAAATGCACGGCCTGCGAGACCCCGAAGCCGTTCTCCTGCATTTCGTCGAAGATCACGCTCCCGGACACCGCCAAATCGAGGAAGAGAAGATTTATTTGCAAATAGACGATCACCACCACGTCGCTACTCTCCGCGCAGAAGTCCTCCGAGAAGACGATCTAGATCAGCATTTGGTGCAAGGCCCAGGAGTCCACCAGATGCGAAGAGATTTCGCGACTTCTCCCCTGACAGACGGTCACCTAAACGAGAACGAAGAACATCTCCAGACCGAGATAGATTCGATCGACGGTCGCCACCTAGACGTGGTTTCTCACCTGGCGGAAGAGGTGGAGAGAGCTACAGACCTAGATCAAGAACACCTCCGCGCGGCAGACCTGGGGAGGACAACTGGAGGAGACGGTCACCTTCGCCGAGGACATCAGTCCCAGCATCAGGCAACACTTCACGAAGATCATCCCCTCCTGTCCACCCGGACAGAGCAAGTCTAGCAGGATCGGTACCCAGATCACCGGCACGTCCTGCCAGAGCTCAATACGACAGAGCAGACTCTGCAAGCCGTCGAGACAGATCACCTTTTGCTGGCGACGGCCAAGCCAGACCACGAGATGTAAGCGCACCTCGCGATGATGTGCGTCCCAACGGCGACTCTCTACAGCCACCGTCCGGCCCCAGCGGTCATCGCAATGGTGATTACAGCCGGCCACCACCAACTGGCCCAGCCCGCAGTTTCAACCAGTCTACCTCACATGCACCACCCACAGGTCCCGCAGCATCAACCATGTCGATGTCCGCGCACAGTCGTGGTGGAGGCCCTGCGACGTTCTCAGCACCGACAGGACCCCGCGGGAGTGGTGGCCGATCCGATGGTCCACCACGCGACTTCGTTAGTCCCGCACCACGTGGACGCGGCAGCTTGACGTACCGTGGCCCTGCTCCCCATGGGCCTAGGGGAGGAGGTTATGGTCGCGGCGACTTTGGCGCACCTAGGAGTGACTATGGTGGTGGCCGAGGTGAATATGGAGGTGGAGCTGGCGGCGGCCGAGGAGACTTTAGCTCATCTAGGGGTGACTACGGTGGAAGTGGCAGCCGAGGAGACTTTAGCTCATCTAGAGGTGACTACGGTGGAAGTGGTGGCCGAGGAGACTTTGGCGGAGGTGGGGGCTATCGCGGTGGCTTCGGACGCGGCGAAGCATCATTCTCTTTCCGCGGCAACAGCAGCAGCAGCGGAACATACCCTCGAACTCAGCGCTTCAACACGCTACAGCAACACCTCGCCACGAACGAGAAGATTGTGCCTGGCGGTAAACTCTTACCGTCGGGTCTCCCGCCCGATCAGGAGAAGCGCATCAAGATGCTGGAAGCCGAGTCTGAGCGGATGCGCACTGAGATCGCGGACAAACAGAAAAACAAACGGGAGATCCTGAATGAATGGGATGTGCGGGAACGTGAGAGTGAGAGGGAGAGTCTACGAAGTGAACTTGCGGAAGCGCATCTGCAGCAGTTGATGGAAGGAGAGGATGGGATCGGGCGTGCGGCGTTCTAGGAACATTACCTCCTGCCCACCGGCTCTGCCATCGTGGTACGTTGGATCAAAAGCAGCTAGGCCACTTGGTGTCATGAAGGCTGCGAAAGAAAGATCATTGTTAACCCAGGATTTCTGCATAGCGAAATGGGACAAATTGGGTAAAAAGTAGCGATCGAGCGAAAACTTGAACATTGAACAAAATGGACGTGCATTGTGTTCCCAGGCTTGGAAAAGCAGACCATCAGAAGGGCATCTGAAGGGCACAATTGATACATTCCTGCCTTCCATTTCTTTTTCGAGATACATATATGATGATGGTCGAAGTCATATCCTGTTCATGCACCCACTGCTCTTCCACCGTCGACTTCGAGGTTCACACCAGTGATGAATTTGCCCTCGTCACTGCCGAGGAACGCGGCAATGTTAGCCACATCGCTCGGATCCGTCAATCTGCCCAACGGCACGTTGAACAAGAACTTATTCACGTTCTCCTCGCTATATGGCACGCCGACAAACTGCTCGAAGAGACCCGTTCCAGACAGCAAAGGGCACAAGGCATTCACGCGGATCTGGTCCTTGCCGAACTCGGCGGCGAGACCTTTCGTTGCCTGTAACACCGATCATCAGTATCGCCCCCAGATGATTCGTGCAAGTGACCTACATTTGCAACAGCGCCCTTGGAAGCATTGTACCAGACCAAGCCGGGGCGAGGTCTCATGGCTCCAATACTAGCGACGTTGATGATAGCACCGCCTCCTCTCTTCTTCAACGCTGCAACGGTGGGCGCTATGCTCAGATAGATGCTCTTGACATTGACAGCGAAAACCTTGTCGAACTCGGCCTCTGTGACTTCCAAGGTGGGTTTGTTCTTGTAACTTGTGCCGGCGTTATTGATGACGATGTCCAGGCCACCGAATTTGGTCTCGGCGGCTTCTACCATCTTTTCCCAGTCTCCTTGCACGGTCACATTGGCCGTGAGGGTATGCACGTGTTGGTCGTATTGTGATTCGGAGGCGTATGCTTTGGAGAGACCCTCGCCGTTCATGTCAGCAGCCACGACTTTGGCGCCCTCTTGGACGAATTTCTTCGTGCATGCTAGACCGAAGCCTGAGGCGGCGCCTGCGGACTGTCAGCCTATGTCACGGGGATTCAATGCAGTTGTGTAAGTGGGCTTGCTGCGCACCTGTAACGATGGCTACCTTGCCGGCAAGTCGGCCGGACCCAGTTTGTACTTCGTGAAGTCCTGACATTGTGGTAGTGCTCTGATGTGAACAGTGAAGCCGTGGGCTGGTCAAGGTACGAGTCTGCGGGTTGCAAGAGGTGTGATGGGATCAGCACCAGATGCGGCGTCCATTCTCACGACGCTGGAGTACATATACGCCATTTGGACAAGCTCGATGCCCCTCACTGAAATACAATTCGAGGACCAAGAACGAAAAGGACGCGGAGAAGGATGATTGACGTGTCAGATCAGTTCCCAACTTCCGCCGGAGCAACAGTACCCTGCGGGGAAAGTCCGAGAAACCATTTGTTCGGTTACTTGTTCAAGGGTCGTAAATGCGGAGTGTGACGAAGCGGCGTCTCTCGGCGACTAAAGTTACGGCTCCTCGTCTGTATATATCAGAATGTGGGCGACACAATTTCAATCAATAGCCATATTCGGTGTCTCAAGTGAAAGAAAGGCCGATGTCGGATTCGAACCCGACGAAACGGGATGGTGTCTACTCCTGCCACTGCGGCTTATGCTGCTCGGCCAGTGACGAAGGAGTCAATGGTCTTGTGATGATTGTTTTACATCAGACTTAAGATTGATGTCGCCCACGGTGGTTCAATGGTAAGTTTCAGAATGAATCGTGCTCATGGGACGCAACGATGGACAAGACCACAGACAGCTCTGCGCCAGGACAGCGCAAAAAAGGATGATGAGGCGTCGAGTCTCAGGGAGAAAGAGAGCCTAAGTTGCCGCATGTAAGCAAGAGACCCTCCAATACAGAGATCGTAGTCCGAGGGCCTATTTCGCGAACACTGTAACCCGCAGGCTGGCAGGATCTGATGTCTGCTGCTGACATTGGCGCTTTGTAGAAAAGGAGCAGCGACACCAGGATGGACCACCGAACAGGAAAGGTGGGCGAGTACCACAGCCTGACTTGTTGGACATTGGTCCAACTCTTCCTTGGCCAGCTGGGACTGTTTACCTCTCAACGCCGTGAACGAGTAATTCGGATGTCGAAGTTGTAACCGCCCCCTGCCGTGTGCTTGGTCATGTATGCACCGGCTCTTGTGTTTCAGGTCGAGACGTTCAACCCGTCACGGAAACGGGATGGAAAAATCCAAAGTTGTCTCCCATCTTCATCACGATGTAGGCCAGGCTTCTTCGAAGGACGGTGTTGGGTCGGCGAATTCCATCAATCTGGATAATCAGACACGTACCACGCTTCTGAATATTTTCACGATGGATTTCGACGGTCATTTGCGTAGCCGCAGTGTTCGATGATTATATATCTCCGCCTCGCTGGCTTGGGTATCCTAATATACAAATCTGCAATGTCGTAGGGACATATCTATCTCTTCTTGCCCTTATTGGCACGGCTTTCTGTGCAAGTTGTCAGCATGTTTGTCTTCGACTGGGATTCAAATCAGAGGGAAATCGTACCTGCAGCTGTCCGCTTCTTCTTAGGAGCACCCTTGCCTCTGAGTTTGGCAATTTGGATGGTCTCGAACCGGTCATCTTCATCTTCATTGGACCCTTCCAGGTCGAATCTCTTGAACTCGTTCAACATGTCCTCGATGGTGGTAGATCTTCTGGGATAATAGGCGGCGAGGGCGGGACCTCGTAATCTCTGTCGCAGGATCTTGTTGCCCAGTCGCTGCTGGTTTGGGTTGAAAGTTGTGGAGAATAGGGAGCATTGGAGCTATGCAATCGATCATGGTTAGCCATCAGAGCATGGAATCAACGGAGACAAGACAGCATCTGTAAATTGTGCGCTCGTCGGAGAATGGAACCTCTGATATATTGGTCGTACCTTTGTAAGCTCGAGTAGTCGGCCTCGCGTAGGAGCAGCCATGGCAATGCTTTGGGCGCCGGAAGGTACAGGAGAACGATGGTCGTGTTGGTGATTCTGTACGGAATGATTGAAAGGCGGAAGTTCGAAATGATTTAGGTGAGGACTGTGGGCCGGCAAAAGTTTCCACTTTTTACTCGTTGGCCGCTTCTAGTTTCCCTCTCTTGAACCACCATTTTCTACTTTTGATATTTAAATATCATCTCTTTTCAGATTTTTCGACAAACCTAAATAAAGCAAGTCTTCATGTGGCTTCGAATACTCATAGAGTTGACCTCGACTATGCTATGAACGTCCCGCCTGGGCGCGATAACGACAGAATGTCGCATTTCGACAGAAAGAGGAAGACCAACAACCATCACAATTCTCCTAACAAAAGAGTCCAGAGAGATGATCCAAGGGCGCTCGAGAGCAAGCCAATGCAGCAACCCGACAAAGATATCAACTCCAGTGACCAATCAATTCCTCCTCTACCAGCAATTAGCCCGCGTTATGAAGATGTCGTCTTCACTCACCCAAGTGTGAACACCCAACCGGGCGCCAGCTACGACAGACTGGAATTTCTAGGAGATGCCTATCTTGAGCTCATCGCCTCGCAACTGATCTACGCCAAGTTTCCAGATCTAGGAGCGGGCCGTATGTCCCAAATCCGGGAAGACCTCGTGAAGAACGAAACTTTAGCCAACTATGTCGTGCTCTACGGCCTTGACAAACGACTGAGTCAATGGGAACGACTCCAGAGAGAATCGAAACATGCCTGGCTCAAAATCAAAGGGGATCTCCTCGAGTCATACGTGGCAGCTATCATCCTATCCAATCCTACCGACGGGATGGCCATCATTAAGAAGTGGTTGGGCGAATTGTGGGGACCGAAATTGGATGCCCAATCAGTACAACCGCAAGTCTCATCGAAGAGCAAGGAGGATCTTGCAAAGAAGATTTCTGGAAAGGGTGTTAAGATCAAGTATGTCGACGAGAGAGATCCTGTGGTCCATTATGGTAAGGGAAAAGAGACCTACTACATTGCTGCGTACCTGAATGGCTGGGGTTGGGAAAATCGGTATCTGGGCAGTGGTGAAGGATTGAGCAGAATAGCTGCGGGACAGGCTGCTGCAGCCGCTGCGCTGAGCAATAGGTCAATCATTGATGAGATTGTGGCCAAGAGGGCGGAAACCTTGGCTCAGCAGCGAAAAGAAACTCAGCGGAAGGAAGAATCACAAGGATGATGGTGGAAAAGAATATGACAGAACACTGTTAGGCATTTACACAGGTGCTCGATGGACTGGGTAGGCCCTTCGATTGCAAGGACATGGGATTTGCAAGACAGCTTGACATCATACAGGGTGAGTATGAACAATGTAACCAAGAAAGTTGCCTACCTATATCGGGATGCAGCCCACAACAACATTTCGATCTTGGCCTGCCCTGAGAACCTTCACCGACTCTGACAACGACTTCATCAGATGACAAGCTGCCGCACACCCACCTCATCATGCACCGGCTTAATATTACCATCTTGACGTCCAGTTCAACGCCAAGGCCAACAAGCCAGTCATAACAAGTTGTCGAATACGCACCTCGACGTGCAATAGCGACCATATCCACGGGGGTGTCTTCCAATTCAAACACCGCTCCAAACTTCATCCCACTTAGGATGACCTCCCAGGGCAATAAGACGCGCTCTGTATGTCTGAGTGTCAGATTAGTAATGACCAAACGAGAAACCGACAATGGTCACTTACATCAAGTCAAAAGTCCAAACCAAACATTGTCCAATCAGTCAAAGACTTCCGCATCTGGAGCGTTGGCAGACTTTGACTTTGCGTTGTTGGTTAGTGGTGCAGTGAAGAACTCTGTGTTAACTTCCTGGTGGGATGACTCATGATCCGCCTCAAGAGTCATCTGCTCTTTGAACGGACTGGCAGATTTTGGCTCATGCACTTGACGAACAGGAGTACTCGGTAAGACGCCATCGAGTTTTTCCTCCATAGAAATCACGCACTTCTTGTCCCTACTGCCTGCCTTGCGGTGAACGAATTCGGAAACATGCTGGTTCATTCTCTTGAAAGCCCTCGACGCTCTGTAAATTTTTGTGCTCCTTGTCTCGGACTCGGTTGGGTTGGACTCTGGGAGCGAGATCTCCACGGGCTTTGTTGGAATCGTGGACAGGTCATTGTTCGCTTCTAATGTACTTGTGTCGGCGTCTTTCTGTGGCTGCGCTTCATGTTCATCCGTTATCGACGTCTCGTTGGAGATGGTCGAAATACTCGAGCCATTGTCAGCCGGTGGTGTCCAAGACTGTACGCTTTCCCAGGCCAATATGCTTTCACGTCGATATGGCTCCGAGTCTGGCCCAGCATATTGATAGCTGAACGAGTTGCCATCTTCAATCCTGTCGAATATTCCGCCGCTCCGTCCAGCTGCGTTGCGACGATTTCGACGAGCCTCTCTGATCTCTGAGCTGTGTGTAATCATTGTCGGTCACCCAGCACTTCCGTGTGTCGATCAAGACGCGTGTACAGGCGACAGTCGTAACTTTATGCCTCAATCAACCATCTGTGTACAACACAAGGTATGAGAAGGAAGGCACTGGTCGTTAGCGTCGCTCAGGCGTTTGTGCTGCACAAGAGAGGCTGTTTCTCCAAGGAGAGAAAGAACAGTATCCGAGAACGCTATGATTTGTGCTGCAAAGTCGAGAAGGGAAGAGAACCATACTGTTTATTTCTATGGGACATAATCACGTCTGATCGTGAATGATGTTGTTGCTTTGGTATTGCTGTTGCCATGGTTGCTGGTGGTGAAGAGTGTGAACACTTGAGAAGCTCCAAAACACTGTCTGTGAATGTGAATGCAAGCAAAAACAAGGAGGCAATGCCATAGCGTAAAGGCAAGACCACAAGGAATCGTGCGATGGGTGTTCTGGAAGACCACGACGTGTCATTTGGAACTGCCTGACTCCTTGACCCTCTCAGCCTCGCAAACGATTCACGTGACCACCCGTGATCGTGCTTGACGACGAGCCCAGTTTCTAGAAATAACGTGGCATCGTTTGAGAGAGAGTACATCAACGATGTAGGTTCATGATCCAGCAGGTTCACAATGGTGGGTGCGTTACACCAAGCTAGTAGGCACACACGGTAGCAACGATGACCTTCTCTTTCCAAAGGCTAGTGCTACATTGTTGAGTACGAAGGTCCGGGACGACTTGAAGGAATGGTATATAGTTGAACCTGGAGAGCAACAGCATTTAAAGGCCGGGTTTCTATTAAAAGGGCCTCGTTTGGCGGAGAGTACATCGAGGATATGTGTTTCAATCCACATAGATTGACGCCAGCGGGTGTCTGACTACATTGATAGAGGTTATGACCTTCCTCACGTCAATGACTAACAGTACATGGTTGTGTTCGAAGGACTCCAGGCTGACAATGACGAACGCTATTCAATTGAAGTGGACGGACTACAAATGATCAGACAATGCGAACTCTTCTGGGTACCGGCCTGGTAGAAAGCGTGCTCCAAAATGTCAAATATTAATATTTTCGCTAAGCTAACAGCTTGTTACATCTGGTATACTGCATAGTAGGATGTCGACGATGCGACAAGTGACATAACGATCGTGGTATCATATCATAGTATGGACGTCAGTGTCTCATATCCTCCCCTGGGGTATCTTGTCGTCCCATTACCTTTTGACGTATAATTTGAAAACGAATGTGTGGACTTTCCAATTGAACTCGGACCTTTTTAAGACGTCCCCTTCACCTTTATTACCTCCTTTCCCTTGCGTCTTTCAGGGTTTCGATATGTTGAGTGGTTTACTCGCGGTGCTCCGCTTCTTTCTCGGCGTCGGTATTAGCAGTCTCGACACTATCCCGTCCAAAAGGCGCTGCGTCGGTGGCAGCGGGGTGGACCTCTCCAGCTTCAGCGGTGGCCTCGTCGGTACCGGCTTGTCGTCTAATGGCAGCTATCTCGTTTGGAGCCGGAGCCTCCCAGTGTCCAGATTTCCAGGGCTTGACGGAGAGGAGATACATGGTATCGATCTCCTCGAGGGTCCGACCTTGACCTTCGATGACGAAGAAGTAGATCAAGAAGAAGCCCAGGACATTGCAGCCGGCGAATACGTAGCCGTAGCGGAAATCGATGGCGCCTGTAATGAAGGGCGTGAAGAATGCCAAAAGGAAATTCCAGAGCCAGTTGGAAGCCGTGGACAGAGCCATGCCTTTCGCTCTGTAGCGCGATGGATACAATTCTCCGCAGATTGTCCAGATCATAGGGCCCCTTTATGTGTTAGTGAAATTCTTAGTGTTGCTCGCTTGATAACTTACCATGTGGTGGCGAAGCCAAAAATGAAGAAACTGGCCATGACAATCATTGCCGTACCGCTGGATTCGGTGGCCTGTGGGTCGCTGCGGTTGAGGGAGAAGTGTCCGACAGAAGCGAAGATCAAGAACATGAGGAACATCCATGCGGACCCAACCATGAGGGACCGCCGACGACCATAGTGTTCGACGATGTATAATCCGTAAAAGGTAGAGCCAAAGTTGATGCCGTTCAAGATCATCTGGGTGACGAAAGAGTTGTTGATACCCTATCATCAACGTGTGTTAGTATATCACGTGTCACATTTCGTTGATGCGAGAAGAACTTACGGTGGCCTTGAAGATGACCGTTCCGTAGTAGAAGAAGTAGTTTGCCCCGGTCAACTGCTGAAACATTTGCACTTCCAGATCGTCAGCAAATTGCGTGGATGGACGCCGGGATAAAGCAAAAGACTCTTGCTTCAATGGCACAGTCTTTTGCCCAAAAGGTACTTACACGCAACTCCGAGCAGGATACGGTACCCCATCTTGGGAGCAGAGAACATATGGATCCATTCCCGGATAACTCCCTCCTGGCGATTCTCGGCGCGAAGCTTGGCCTCGATTTCCTCCAGCTCGACATGGACGCTGTAATGGTTAGGTGGAGCACCGTAGACCTTAAGCATGATCTGCTTAGCCTCCTCGGTCTTGCCTCTGCGGTAGAGCCAACGAGGAGTCTCGGGGAAGAGCAAGATGCCGGCACCAAGGATGAATGCCCAGACAAATCCGATGCCCATCGGGATACGCCATGAGCTTGCGTTATGACGCTGATGCTCGTAGGTACCGAAATTGATGCAAGCTGCGAGGAAGATTCCGAAGGTGATAAATAGCTGGTATGTGCTGATCAATGCGCCGCGAATATGTCGAGGAGCGGTTTCGGCTGAAGAGATAAATTTAGCATAGTACGGGTTGGGGTTGAATACGTAGAGACTTACCCATATACATTGGTACCAGGAGTGAGAGGGCGCCAATGCCTAGACCCGCCACCCAACGGCCCATCATGAGTTGGTACCAGTGGTGTTCAGAGGAGATCATGACGATGTTTCCTATGGAGAAAATGATACACCACAGCGTGAGGGAAGGCTTTCGGCCAAACATATCGGCAATGGGACCAGCAACCAGAGCACCGATCAATGTACCGATTGAAAGCTGGGCACGTCAGTAAGCAGATGGACACCAGACGGAAAGACGACCACAAACCATTCCCACTATAAGACCAGACCTGACGTTGCTAAAGTAAGCGGTTCCATCCTTGTGATGCTGACCAAACCTCCCCAGGAAGTCCGGCATTGACAGGAAACCGCTGATTTGTCCTGTATCGTACCCGAAGATGAATCCGCCCATAGAGACGAGCATGCCCATCCAGAACGACTCCCAGGTCACTCTTCTAAGAGGCGAGTAGTCGAGGTGGGACAAGGACTTTCGGGCATCGGTAGAATCGACATCATGTGGGTTGTACTTTTCGTAGTTGACATAGTTGGTGAGTCCAAGAGATTGCCTCGTTGGCCTCTGAAGGGTAGGAATCTTGTGATTCCCCATGATTAGTTGGTGTTTGTTCGCTTATTGGTTTGTGTTGGAGTAAGATTGTCTCGGAAGGAACGAATCGCAGAGGCAGACAGGCAGGCCCTTACTCTTATACTTGTGTGTGGAATGCCCGGAAGAGAAAATTGCGACCCTACACGTGGTCGGGGTCGAGTCTGGTGAGGTTACTTCGAATAGCGGAGGCCCACGGATGACGATGCGTGGTCATACAGCGGATGTGCATCATGTCCAACCAGGGGAAGGAGTGAGTAATTTCTCCAGAGATCTGTAAGCACGAGTGATTCGGTGAATGTTCTGGAGCTTCTGACTTTCAGTGTGAGGCTCCATTAGGCACACAATAGTCAAGTAGACCGCAATCAGGGATCTTCGACAAGGGGCCCACAAGACAAGGGGCGCCTCCCAGTAAGCAGCCAGAGAGAAGGACATGATGGTCTTCGCTAGGTCCAGCATCTCAGAGATGGCGAATCAGAGGACAATTCTGGAAGAGAGGCTCCAGCATTGTCAACGTGAAACTCGAGTGACTGGTTTGTAGGTATCTGTATGTTGTGGCGTGAGACGCTTCCTGATTAGTCGGTACCTTGACCGTCCTTGTATCCGGTGCACCTCACGTGTGGAAGACAAGGCTCACGGACCTACCGGAAGGGCGCGGCTTATCAGAAACAACCTCAAACTCCAGAGTCAGCTTTGGAAAATGGTCACTTGATCGGTGACGCGCCATTTTGCCCCAGACTGCAAGCTCTTGCTGTTATCAATTTGATTTCCTCCCAGAAAAAGGATCCCTCCCCATGGGGAGTTTGCTTTGCGAGTACGAGTAGGGTAGTAGTTGGAGTGTAAGCTGAGAAAGCATGGAGAGGAATGATTACCGTGGAGAAGGAAAGAACGCCTTTCGACCATCGTTCTGCACGCAGGCTTGACAAGATGTGGTCAACAAGCGAGATCAGGCCGAAGGCCGATGTTTCTTCCTGCAGCTGTTGTGCATAGCAGTGCATAGCATGAATTGTGAGGTTGGAATACCCTCTCGGAATTTACCGAAATTCCCTCGTTACAAGTGGCGGCGATTGCTCGGGATAACCCCCTTGACATCAGGTGAACACTGATGATCACTATCTCAAATGCGCATACGAGTACTATCGGCATAACGACAGTGGAGCGGAGTAAAATGCCTCGGCAACCATTTTAAGCCTCATGTCTGGATAGTGTTGTACCTGACACGTCAATCCCACGACTTGTCGATCACAAGGACAACCACGTTCTCCCACGATGCTGACCTTCCTTGCCCCGCTATCACGAGAGGCGAAACCCTGGAGACATGACGAGTACGCACTTCATACAGGCTTCCATTGTTTCTAGAACCACGTCATTGCAAGGTATTCACTTCATCTAAAGAAGAAGAAGAGGCATCTGGGTACGTATGCGATATACGACAGCAGCGCCACTTTTCTACCTCGTACCTATGAACCAGGAACGAGAAGGCATCGCTGAGAGCCACGGGGAGCTTCTAACGCCAGATCTCAAACTCCCTTATCTGATACCGCGGCCGCCTGCTCAGCACGGATGGCTCCTCCAAACCCAACGTTTGAAAGCCTCATCGCTTGACGAACCTGACTTTGGCGGCTTCCGGTCTTTTCAGGTGCGTGCTAATATTGAAATACTTGTCATCCAGCACGCCCATGAGTCTTGCTCTTGCGCCTTCAGTAGTCTCTCCGGCCTCCTGGTGCGGCTCGATCCGGTATCTCGACAGGATATATGCAACCACAGCGACGAACTCGACCTGACTGAACTTCTTTCCTGGACAGATGATCGGACTAAATGACCACTATGAACACCGTCAGATAAGTGTCTGCCACAGAACAAGGATAGCACATAGGATTGGGACAGAATACTTACTGCCGCATACATCGCGCTATCACCTTGCGGAACAGTCAGGGTTTCGGAACCATCTTCTGCCACTGCGACGAAGCGTTGAGGCTTGAACTCCAGACTGTCCGGGCCCCAACGGGGTGAAAGGTGCAACGCATGGAAATGGGCGGACACCAGCAAGTTTGGCTCGATCGCGATGGTCTTGGCGTGGCCGCCTGGTTGGTCTGAGGGCACTGGCAGCATTGTCGTCGTGCTGGGTGCCCTGACCAGCTGAGCAACGGGGCCAGCTGTCCGCAATGTCTCGTACAGTACTGCTAGACATCGCACAAGCTTGGGATATGTTTGGGCATAGTCGACGGTGCCCTTTGCGGGTAAGACTGCGTCCACTTCTTCTCTAACCCAGTCCTGTATTTCGGGGTACGCTGCGAGGTATGGCACTGCAAGACATCAGATTATCGTCTAACAAAACGGGGAAGGATCGAAACTCGCCACCGAAAGTCATGCTACCCGCAGTGGTTTCGAAGCCAGCAAGTTTGAACAGGAAGATGTTGCCATACAATTCGTCGTCGGTCAAATACGATGCTCGTGAGGAGGACACCTCGGACTGCACTTGCTTCTCGGCTTCGTTTGCACTCACCATGGCTCCGAGGAGACTGGTCCTATCCTTGGAACCCTTCTGATTCATCTGCTGAAGCACAGCTTCCTGCATGTACAATCTGAATTCAGCAACGGCGACTTTAAGCTGTCGTAGGACAGAAGGGAGGAGTGCATCCGGGATCTTGATGTTTCCAAAGATGATAGTAGTGAAGATGTGCCTGAGAATGAAGCTAAGTGCCTGCATCAGGGTTAGGCGGTGTCCAGGAGGTGTCGATGTAAGGGAGGCGCTGTCTTGTCCAAACCCGACCGCAGTGAGCACATGCATGGCAAGGAGTTCGAAGTCAGAACGAAGCTGTGCAATGGATCGCGCGTCTTCCGTCCCCAGGTTGAACATCTCACGTGCTCGTTGTGTAGATTCGTCCCAAACATAACGCATGTTCTGCTCGTTGAACGCCGGCGCCGTGATTTTACGATGGCGCTGCCAACCTTGACCATTTTGGCTTGTCAGATTTTGGCCGTAGAAGGCGAATATCTGGGTGAACGGGTCGGGTCGAATGAATGTCTTCGTGTCCTTGTAGATGCGCTCGATTGCTGGTGGATAGGTCGTCACGAGCTGATTGCGATTTGGTGAGACTAAAACAAACGTCTCCCAATCTGGACACCGTCTTGTAGCCATCTTCGGTGGGCCATCCAATGTCACTATAGTCGTACCAAAGACCGAGTCCCCATGGCAGATGTTGGACCCATGCAAAGAGCGGCTTTAACAGGGTCCACCACGCATCTTCGAAGCTGAGGGGAAGCAAAATTATTGGAACTCCCAGTCGACGTGCTGCGGCATAATTGACGATCAGCCTGTACGACCTATAGCTAACTAGCAGTACAAATGGAAGGAGAACAGCATAGATGAGCTTCATCGAGAATATATTTCTGAATGCAAATACAAGACAACGTCGATATTGGTACAAATCAGTACAATTGCCCTACCTTGATCGGTGCCCGGCAGGATGATAGTTGCAACAGGCGACGGTTACCTCATGTCGTTCGAATGGGTATAATGGAACTTTAGTAAGTCTTTTCTTTTTGTAGGGCGAACCGCGGGAGGCCTGGGCCGCCTGATGCGACTGTGCATGGTGTTTTGAGCTAGCGGCTTCGAGAATGTTTCCCTGCATGTCAATACCCTCCGAGTTGACCTCAGCTTGCTGTTGGGATCGATAGCAACCTCGAGTCTTTCTTTGGTTGAATAGTGTTGCGACGCGCCCTGCCTTGCACTCACGTACTGTCGTCTGGTGGTTGCGTAAGCATTCACAGTAAGCAGTGGAGTGAAAGACTTCGCCGGGCAATGGCGTGGCTCTTAAGAGCTTTTGAACATTTGCGTGCGCTATGTCTCTACGACAACTAACATATACAAAATCTATATATAGACCCCTAACGGCTCAAAGACTATGACCTATACTCGTACATTGAAGTGACATTAATTCCGTCACTTTTTACCTGGGAAGCTTCGCGTCAGGCCAATTATTCTTCGTAGAAAGACCCGGGCGTCTGGCGACCACTCCTGTAGTAATCTCAAGAAGAACGCCGAGAATTAATTCTGTCTGACACTGAAATTCGTGAGAGTGTCGTCTCGATAAACCTGCCTTTGGTACGTGACGCGTCAAGGCCAAGTACTCCGTATCACATTTCGCAATCCGAAACAAGATCGACAATAAGCGAGCACATCGGAATCACACATCCCAATTTCGCTTGATAACTTGACAACAGTGGCAAAGGCGAAACTCGCTTCGATTCATGGCAGGAAGACCACCGCACTTTGCTGCAATGGTAACAACCATGATCGTCTAATTTGCAGCCGAGTACATCGTGACTGCCGATGCTCTACAGGAGAAAGTCCCCTTTCCACATCCGATATGAAGCCTCGTTCTTTCTTTTCATGCGCCTCGGGCTTCACCTGCCAACAAGTCTGGATGGAAGGAGCGGCCTTTTCCAACAGCCCGCAGGACTTGCCATCATGCATTTGTGTTCCTATTCGTAGGCTGATCGTTGTTGTCTCAGGACATGCTGATAGGATCAGTCTGACCCATGCACAAGTGGATTGGTGGAGAAACACTGCCATCAAATCTTCTCCAGTGACCTGGCCGTGGTCGCTTATGGTAACATTCTACGTTTGTGGACGCCAATTCGGGACGCAAGCCTTGCAGGATTGCTGTGTATGAATTTTGGTTACTTCCTTTCACTCCTTTTGCCTGTTTTCTGTTGCTGTTTACGAAAGTCCACCGATTTCCTCTGAGATGTCCGCTGCTGTCACCAGGAAACCATGAGCGTCCACAGCAGTTCCTCTCGGTCGAGCACGGACGACTCCCATGTCGGTCTTCTTAATGAAAAGCGGCCTCTAGACGACCAGGAAAGAACGTCTGGACTTGCTACTTGGTCCACGGTTGCCACACGGAATGAGGTCGTCACCTCTCGGCCATGTCTACCTCTACGCCAACTCGGCAGAATCTTCAAACATTCTTTGTACATTCTACTTCCAACCTTCCTTCAACCTTATCGCCACAATGCTTTGGAAAAATTTGAACCCCTACCACCGACGGCGTTTCTGGATTCATGCCGTGGATTGGCAGCTTTCGTTGTGATGCTCACTCACATCTTATACGGAACTTTCAATATCACTTACGCATGGGGCGCAAATCCGGAATCAAGTTCAAGATATAGCGACCAACAAGCCAACAGAGAGTTTTTGCGCCTACCGATAGTCCGCTTGCTCTACTCTGGCCCTCCGATGGTCCAAATATTCTTCGTCATCAGTGGCTATGCACTCAGCTACAAACCACTCAAGCTGATGCGATCAGGACTTTCCGAGAAGCTCATGACGACTATGACCTCTTCAATCTTTCGCCGTGGAATGAGACTCTTCTTACCCTGCTTTGCGAGCACTTTCATTGTGATATGCCTGGCCCAGCTCAACCTATACAAAATGACGGAAGACTTTGCAGAGAACATGCGCGTTCTGCCCGAGGACCACTGCTATACACAACCAAATCTCTGGCTACAGTTCGTCGACTGGTTGCAGCAGATGTTGATCTTTGTCAATGTTTTCGACTGGTCGTTGTACGCTGGATCAGTCGAACTGGATCGACACCTCTGGACCATCCCTGTGGAGTTTCGATGCAGCATGGCTCTCTTCTTGACGCAGATGGCGGTCGCCAGGATGTCAACCAGGTTGCGAATATCGACATTCACGCTGCTCATCATTTGGGGCGTCTCGTGGGGGAGATGGGATCTATGTCCTTTCTTAGCTGGAGCAGTCATTGCTGAGCTGGACATTATCTGGTCCTCAACGTCAGCTGACCTTCCTACCACGACTGTTCCAAAAACACCTCGACGGAGGAATTTGGCAGCCAATGTCATTCACTGCAGCACACTCCTTGTCTCATTATTCCTGCTGTCATATCCTGATGCCGCCGGACACGCAACGCCAGGTTATGTCACCCTCACGAAACTCATTCCTTCAGGTTTCACCGAGATGCATCGCTTCTGGCCGACTATCGGCGCCATTCTCATCATCTGGTCATTGTCTCGCATAGATTTCTTACGCCGCGTGTTGTGCTGGAGTCCCTTGCAATATCTTGGCAAGATCAGCTTTCCACTCTATGTCATGCATGGCCCAATTATTCACACCTTTGGCTACTTGGTGAGTCAACGACAGCCCTCTATTCTACCTCTATCGATCCTCATGTCGCTAATTCGTGATCACAGATTCTTCCAAAAACACCTAAAGTTGAAACGCCAGAAATAATGCGCCAATTCGAATTTGAGTTCTTGAAGTCTTCAATCCTCGTCGTCTTCACTGTAATATGGGCTGTAGACGTCTTCCTCAGGGTGGTGGACACACCGTGTGTTGCCTTGACGAAGAAGCTTGAGAGAATGTTGTTTGTCACATGATTCTGGGGCACATATTACGAATAGACGGATGTTTCGTGTTGGTACACACGGCGGACACTGCGACGAAGTAACGACATTCCTTTGGATCGATGACGAATACGATATGAGCATGATGGATACCCAGTATAGTGGCTTTTTTGGTAACAAGTGTCAGACCTTGTCGCGTATATCAATGCAAATCTTAGTTCGAGACATTCCCGCTGAAACAAGGTATTCATTTGTTTTTGGGGCGCTCCAGAGTCGAGGCCGCTGTTGACTCATGTTGGTTCCTGGTGTTTTCCGCATTTACAGCGTCGAAGATCTTTCCGGGATTCATTAACCAATGCGGATCGAGACTTCTCTTCAACGTTTGCATAACATTGATCGTGTCCACGCCCAGCTCGTCGATCAAGCTTTGCTTCTTACCTAAGCCGATGCCATGCTCGCCCGTGCATGTACCTTCCTATCATTCACTATTAGCGTGAACAAACTATTCGCATCGGAGTAGCGACGACCTACCATCTCCAAAGCGCGATCCACCATGTTGTGGACAACGTGCTCCACCCGCTCTCTTTCGGCAGGATCTTTCCGGTTATACAATATCGAGGCATGGAAGTTTCCGTCCCCGATATGTCCAAGGATGCTTGCAAAGAGGCCCAAGTCGTCAAGCTCCTTCTTAGAGAGGTCGACGATATCCGGTAGTCGCGAGATTGGAACACCAACGTCGGTCGACCAGACTTCGTCGCCCTCTCGACGCAGCGACAGCATGCTCCACAACGAGTCTTTGCGGGCCTTCCAGAGATCGTGAGCTTCTTGATCGGTCTTTGCGTAGACGATGTCGCCGCCATTATTTCGTTTCGCTATCTGCGTCGTGGTCTTGATGTTCTCCTGCACTCCGGCTGTGGTGCCTGCAAACTTGAAAAACAGCGTGGGCACTTCTTTCCAGGTCCTGTTTGTGCCGCCGGCTTTGTTGATCACACTCATTTGGACGTCGTCCATGATCTCCATGGCTGCCACGGGAACACCAGACCGGATGACTTGCATCGCTGCCGCAGCTGCATCACGAATGGTTGGGAACGTTGCAACGGCCACCTTCGTCTCTTGAGGAATGACAGCGAGCTTTAGCGTCGCCTCGGTCACGATGCCCAGGGTGCCTTCTGCGCCCACAAAAAGACCCGTGAGGTTATAGCCTGCTGACGTCTTTCGAGGCCTCCGTCTCGTTTTGATGATGCGACCGTCCGGCAGCACGACCGTGAGATTAATGACCCAGTCTTTCATGGTGCCGTAGCGAAAAGCGTTGGTCCCGCTACAAGATGTCCCGATCATGCCTCCTATCTTTGCGGACGGGCCTGGATCCACGGGGAAGAAGAGGCCCGTGTGTTTCAGCTTGTCGTTGAGTTCCATCCACTGCATCGACGGCTGGACTACGACATCCATGTCCTCGGCATGGATTGCAAGGATCTGATCCATAAAGGCAAAGTCTATGCTGAAACCGCCGAAGGGCGCTGCGAAGTTGGCTTCCAGCGACGAGCCGCCGGAGAATGGAACCATGGGGATCTTGTACTTCGTGGCGACTTTGGCGATCTGTGAGACTTCTTCGGTGTTCTTGGGGTATGCCACTGCCACTGGTAATTGGTCGATGTTGATGGACGACCATTCGGAATAGCCGTGAGCTTGGAGGTCCTCGTCGTCAGTGCTGACTGCGTCTTCGCCGAGAAGGCTGCGCAGTTCGCTGATCGCCTTGTCCATGTCTTTCTTCGAGGCGTATTTTGGAGGACGGGGGGTCAGTTCGTGAGCATGGTTTCCAGCGTCGTTGACGCCGACTGCATAGCCTATGGACGCGAGTGCACCTGCTAGGAGTAGCGCTCTGCTTGTGGTCCATAGAGGTAAATTCGGGCGGGCAAGCTTTTCTGCTGTTGTTGCTCGAGTTGAGTAGGTAGCTTTGCTACGTGCCAGTGGTCCTTGTCGAGAGGTACATTTTTGAAGTCCACCCGGCGCATGCAGAGACCTTGACGCCGGCCTGAGGGACTCCCACCACAACTTCATCCTCCCTGACATCCTGATCGCTTGAACACGGCGCGACCTCCAGCATGCGCGGGGACAGACTCAACTTACCTTCACTACCGCTGAAGCATTCAAGAAAGTAGATGTGGAAAGGCTAGACGAAAATCGAATATTACCATGATCGGATTTCGGCACAACGTTGTTGACGCACGCCATCGATGCGGTTCGCGTGGGGGTTGGCTTTCAAGGGCACCTCAGCACCATGGGCATCATGGGTTCACTAGGCGTATAATGGGGTGGAAAGTGGGCGGACCATACCGAAATCTCGGGCGTAAATCCACCGAAATCGACATCAAGTACCATACATTTTAGGCATGCTTCTCGGCCACTTGCTTCCGGAGATAAACCCTCTGGTTTGGCAGGTCAAGCAAAAGTGAAAGTCTGCACGGAGCTCACGCCGACCCAGCCCGACTTGGATTCAGGGTGATGCAGCCTTGTGTCCATGATGCCTACCGTGTTCTATCAGTGGTGGCACTGTCTAACTTTCGGGCCCTCATTGGGTTGAGTTAGATACACTTACTCGATATGCATCAGGGGTTCTTCGTATACAAATTTATGCCTTTAATTTATGATACTCAGAAGGCTACACGCACTACAGAACACAGAATTATTGTGCTACAGAAATGTACAGAATTGTCACCTAGACTACCGGCACTACAGACATTCAGAATTCGTTTGCTGTCACCTGCGGCGGTTGGCTTTACCAATATAATTCAGTATCTTGTTGTCTGGGCATCCGCTCCTATCGAGAAAAGTAAAAACAATAGCAGGGGAACAGCCATTCGTAATCTTGGTCTCTAGGTGTGTCTCGGCGCGTCCTTGCTTAGATAACCCCCTTTACATCCTTCATCTCCCTTGGCGAGGTAAAGGTGACGCACTCAGCCTTGACAGGATTGACTCTCAAAGACAACATATCAGGGCGCGAGTACTGCCCTACGGGGTCGCACATGTGCTTGGCCAAACGAATCTTCTGTTCATAGTCTGGAATCTCAGCCACCAAAATGCCCTCCTCGCCCGGTGGCAATGGCTCCACCAATTCCGAACCGTCTGGCCCGAAGATCATAGCGAAGCCGCCAGCACCTCCAGTACGGGGGAACAAGCCTAGGTCTTTGAGGCCGAGCAGTTCGTGGTACTTCTCGGTGAGCACTTGAGTGGTACAGATGACGAACATCTGGCCTTCCATCGCCGCATTCTGAGAGATACGATAATTGGCTTCGGCGGTGTTATGGTAAGGAGTTGGGATTTCGCAGTCCCTTGGGTGCGCCGGAAACGGAGGCCACCCAGCAACGTGGACTTGCACTCCCTGAGAGTAGCAGTAGTAACGCAGAAGGGGCTGGATATTTTCCCAGCAGTTCAAGCCGCCGATTTTCATGTTTTCGAGTGGAGAGTCTAGTGGGAGCTGCGAGGATGGTGTCGTAACAACGGTGGTAAGTGAGTCTCCTTGACCGTCACCCCAAAGCGATCGTTCGACGTGGGTCGGCTTGATTTTTCGACGGGTGTGTAGAATCTCGCCGGCAGGGGAGATGAAAGACTGAAGTTAGGAGGTCAGTATGAAAGGTGTCGTGGCTCTACAGGCTTTCTTTCCACGAACCTGCGTGATGTAGATGCTCTGTCCCTCTCTCTCACTGTACCCGAGGATGACGAAGATCTGGGCCTCTTTGCAGGCGGTTTGGATTCTTTTCATTTCGGGAGAATCTCTCCCCATTGAGTTCGCGATATACTTTTCCGCAAACATTGCGTTGTGTACAGCAGGCCGAGACCATATGGCCCTGTTACAGATGCTTCCATTAGTTCGATGGTCCCATATCAGTCAAAAGGTGTGGAAGTCTGTACCATGGATATCCGGTAATCCAGACCTCTGGGAAACCAAGGACATGGACACCCTTTTCGCTTGCTTCCTTGATCAACAAGATCGTTTTCTCCACAGCAGCCTCGAGATCTTGCCAAACAGGCTCGGCTTGAACGGCACCAAGACGGAGCGTTCGAGTCATGATGGTGATGATGGTCGACAGTCAGTCCGCTTCACGTAGAGGTTTCACGGACAATGAACAAAGGCGGACGTATGCGCACGGATGCGACCTGGAAATTAAAGATGCTTGTAGGAGGACAATGATATACAGATATCACAATGAAGATGGGAAAGAGAATTTATAACCACGACGATCTAACAGCTTCACCCCACTCTCCCTGTCCCTGACCTAATGTGCACCACATGCTTTTCGTAGCTTGTAGAATGACTGTTCCAATCCGTGTCATTTCCGCGGGTTGATAAAGAACCCTGAAGCTGTTAAAACGCGGGGCAATTCCTACGTTCCTGATAAGGGCCCGGATAAGGATAAGTTACTAACTTATACACGTCACTGACTTGGGCCCAAATAAGCCCATAACCGTGTAGCCGGGGCCGGCCAAGTTGGCACTAAGAGCGGCAGTGTCTGGGGGGCAATTGTCACTTTGCTTCATTCACGTTGGACCCATATGAGTTTGTGTTTCTATTGTATCGCGATATGCTGTAATTCACAACAACAACCACTGCCCGTAAAAATATATATCAAACCATGCATTCTACCCACCTAAGACAAAAAGAGTGATTGCTTGTGTCACTGACTTGGTTTGAATTCAGTTCCTGCCAATCCAGCAAACGGTTTGTCTCGTAGGGCAATTGCATACGGGTGAAAAAGACATCAGCAATCCTTTTTTCCTATCCTACATATGCACCTCTTTCCTTTCACACCGCACTTTCATACCTCATCTCATTGCCTAACAACCATCAGTTCACTACTTTCTATCTTCTTGACCATACAGCATCTTACTGCTTCTCCCATACAGTTTGATCTGCCCAGACGCTAGCCTACGGGTATTCCCTTGCTCAAAGGCTGTTTGTTCACTTTACGGGTGGTGGAGTGCAAGCCTCTTGCTTCTCCATTCTATTTTCATTCCTTTTCTCAACCTCTTTACGCGTCGATCTCAACGTCCTCTCAGATCTTCCTCAGCTTGCGTTAACCTGCCTTCGAGGTGCACTGCCCTTCAAGGTATGGCAGGCAGCACTGGGTTTGAGATCGGCCAAACAAAATGAATACACAATTGGCGGCGGCGAGCCGATCAAGCCCCCGACATCGCGTCCAACGCGACAACAACAACGAGGAATGGAGAAAGTGGCCGGCCGTCAAGGCCCTGATACCAAACTTGCCGCAGGGTACTACAACACTTGATATACACAAAAATCTGCAACGCTTTGGGTCCGTTGAGTACATCCGAATCGAGGAGACTCGCCAGGGTGCTTTTGCCAGGAAAGCACTGGTCACATTCAAGTAAGACACTGCTCAACATGCCTGGGAGAAACCACTAACAATGGTAGACCGCCACCACCTCGCCGTGCACCATGGCATCCAGCCTACGCAAGAGGTATCGACTTCGTCATCAAGAGATCCCATGGAGAGCAAAACCACCTCGTCAAGGTTCTATACTCAAGCGCCCAGTCCCAGACACAATCTGTCGAGAGTCCTGTCGGCCGCACCATCCGATATCCTTCAGACATGGTCCTTCCTGCCGACAGCATTGACTTTGGCTATTTGGAGCGTCCGACATCCATGGTCGTCAAGGCCACAAAGCGAGACGTCGAAGGAGGCTCCATTAAGTTGATGCTGAATTTGAAACGCCTGGAGCTTGAGGTACACTACCCTGTCGTCATGAAGTCTAAGGGTGTATCCACCACACGTGCATACCGCTTCTTCGTAGCACTCGACGATCAATTCTCCTTGTGCGAGGTTCAACAGGGTAACACTGTATCACTGGTCATTCACCTCAAGAATCCTCCTTGGTACTCAAGGCAGTTGAGGGATGCAATGGCCATGAGTCATGCTCCAGATTCACACAAATGGAGTGCGGATGATGCGTGGACCCGGCAGACCGACATTGTTGAGGACAAGGAGAAGTTCGAGCTGGTCGACAACAGTCCAATCTCCGTGCGGAAGGCCTACAACAACATTGACATTGCTCGATGGACCACTTTCCGGATCACCGTCAAACCAAGTGTGACTACTGGACCTCATTCACTGCTGCGGCAATTCATCAAAGCGCTTGAGGACTTCAATGTTGCGGTCACGCTCAACCCTGCATATCGCATCACCAATCAGTATGGCACTGAAGCAAAGATTTGGAAGGTGCTAGACGCTGGTGAGACACAGTCTTTCAGCGAACAGCTGACGAAGGTATACCTTCCATTCGAGTTGAGATATCAGCTTGAGGTCTGTATCTCGCAAGGCTGGTTGAATGAGTACACTCTGACTGAGGCATTCCTCCAACGTCTACTGAGCCTTGCACCACACCGCGCGAAACAGATGCTGATTCACGTTGACTCGTACCAACAACGTGTCTACGACCCAATGGACATCTTCACGGATCTCAAGTACTCAAAGCCTGTCCGGGCTGGCCCACTCCCTGACAATTGTGTCAAGATCTATCATGCCACTGTGACGGCCACAGGCATCCTATTCCACACACCTTCTGTCGAAGTTACCAACCGCGTCGTTCGCACTCATCAGCGCCACACAGACCACTTCCTCCGCGTTAGGTTCGAAGATGACTCCTATCGTGGAAGATCTCGCCTGTATCCGGCAATCAACGGCAGGATGAAGTTGATATTTGAGAGAGTACGACGAACTATGAGACATGGCATCGTACTGGGAGAGCGCCACTATCATTTTCTTGCTTGGGGCAATTCTCAGCTGAGAGAACACGGAGCCTATTTCTTTGCACCTGTCAACAATATCACCCCTGAGTCGATTCGTGAGGAAATGGGTGTCTTTGATCGCGAGAAGGTTGTTGCAAAACGTGCTGCGCGAATGGGTCAGTGCTTCTCGACGACTAAACCTGTCTCAGTGGTCAGCAAACGTGCTTGGAAGAAAGATCCTATGCCGGACATTATCAATGGACAATACAACTTTACCGACGGTGTTGGCAAGATCTCGTCCTTGACCGCCCGGCTTGTTCACACCTATCTCAAATTGAAGGGACCTGTGCCATCGGCATTCCAGTTCCGTCTCGGAGGTTGCAAAGGTGTGCTGGTCGTCGACCCTGCACTCAATGGCGTGGACATCAAAATTCGACCAAGTCAATATAAGTTCGACAGCAACTCTGATGAATTGGAAATCATTCGCGTCTCCGAGTTCTGGCAACCATTTTTGAACCGCCAGCTCATCTTGGTGCTTTCCGACCTCGGTGTGAAGGACCACGTCTTCTTACGCAAACAAGAGGATTGCATTGAGGCGCTCGACCTCGCTTTGGAGGACGATCAAGCTGCTCTACGCGCATTACGTGACAATGTGGACCCCAATCTCATTACACTGAACATTGCTACCATGATCGAAGACGGATTCCGCCAGACCAATGATCCTTTCGTTACCTCGCTGCTGAGACTGTACCGAGCCTGGACGCTCAAATACCTCAAAGAAAAGGCGAAGATCCCGGTGGCACAAGGTGCTTTTGTCTTGGGCGTCGTGGATGAGACCAAGACACTTCGTGGCCATACCAACGATGCGAAGAAGTTGAAGACGGACAAGGACGACAAGACAGCATTGTTGCCCGAGATTTTCATGCAGTATACCGATCAGCATACTGGGAAGCGACGAATTGTGGAAGGCGTCTGCATCGTTGCACGCAACCCATCTCTTCATAGAGGTGATATTCGCGTGGTTAGGGCGATCAATGTGGACAAGTTGCATCACTTGACTGATGTTGTGGTTATGCCGGGCACAGGCGATCGCGATTTGCCAAGCATGTGTTCTGGCGGGGATCTTGATGGCGATGACTATGTTGTTATTTGGGATCCCGATTTGGTACCACCAGAGTGGAATGCGGAAGCATTCGACTATGAGGCCCCAAGACCTGTCACGAAGGAGAAGATATCCACCAACGATATTATCGACTTCTTCTATGACTACATGCAGAACGACTACCTTGGAAGGATCGCTCACGCTCACTTGGCGGCTGCCGATTACCTGGACGAAGGCATTCGAAGCGAACAATGCCTGGAACTGGTCAGACTGCACTCCATGGCCGTTGATTACCCGAAAACTGGAGTGCCAGCACAGATGCCCAGAGCACTTGAGCGGACCAAGTGGCCACACTTCATGGAAAAGAAGAGATCAGGCGAATATACATCTCACAAAATTCTGGGTAAGCTTTACGACGCAGTCCAGAGGGTCAATTTTGAGGCCAACTGGGAAGGCATATTTGATCAGCGCATCCTTTGCCACAAGCTACCACCTCAGGAAGTCCTGGCAGAAGTCAAGAAACTAAAGAGAAGTTACGATGAGAGTATGCGAAGAATCATGGCCCAGCATCAGATCGCTAACGAGTTCGAAGTGTGGTCAACTTTTGTTATGCACCACAGCAAAGCCGCCAGAGATTTCAAGTTCCATGAGGAGATTGGCCAGCACTCCAAGACGCTAAAGGACCAATACTACGAGGCCTTTGTCCAGGAAGCTGGAGGTTCCGATTTCCAGAAACTGGTTCCTCTTGCCGTGGCCGCCTACTCTCTCACCCAGCAAGAGTTCCTCAACTTCAAGGAAGAAGTCAACAATCGCAACCAAGAAGAGAACGGCGAGTCTGAGCAGAAAGGTCCTGAGGTTCCGTTCATCAGTTTTCCATGGGTTCTTCAAGATGTGCTGGGCAAAATTGCCCGGAGCACTGTCCTTGAACAGAGCGAGTCTCTACAGGTTGATGTCACGAGCACGAATAAAGAGACACAACACTTGAAGGCGGTCTTGGACGTTCTTGACAATGTCGAGAGCACTGTCAAGTGGACTAGACTGGGAGAACATCTGCCTGATCCATACGTACCGGAAACGGCAGCTGTCAAGACCGAGCATGATGGGACACAGGAAGACGCAGCAGCAGCAACCACAACACCAACACCGTTGCCGTTCATCACAAAGAATGGAGAGACCACGCAAGACCATGCAGCTGCACCTTCGGACCGCTCCATGGGTCCTCCACCACTCAAAGTTGTGACATTGAACTCGAAAGGGCGAGACAATCATTCAACGTCTGAAAGTGGTTCAGTGGTCTCTTCCGGAATGGTCTCGGTTTTTTCGAATATCGAGGATCCTCCCTCGAGCCCTGATGATGCCCACCCCGGCTCAGCCTTGTCTCTACACTCTTCGTCTTCGGTGTCCAGATCGTCCAACCTTTCGAGTGGGTCGCACCCTTCTCGGGGTTGTGTGCGACTGGACTCCGCCAATACAGCGAAGGTCGATGCTACTGAGCAGCAAGTATTCATGGATCCAGCAAAGATGTCTATGGAAGAGGTGACCGCAAGCGGTCTTATTGACGACGACGATGAGGATGATTTCAATTACTGAATTCATCTTTGAACGACGATCGCACGGCTTTATGAACACGAAAACGATGACACAGAAGAACTCATGAGACGAATGAGGCTACGAAGAGCAGATCGGCAACGACCACTCATTGCATTGGAAGGCTTTATGAGCAGCATGAAACGGAGCAAACGGTTCAAGGGCTCCTGAATGCATAGCGCGGCGTAACAGGAAAGATGATACCTTGGCATGATGGTGCTTGATGCAGTTCAAGCGCAACGAGGTATAGGTCACGGGCATGAGCATGAGCATTGGCGCTGGCACAACAAGTGTCACAAAAGGGCTTACTGAGCCTTGACAACTCAGGGTATGCATTGGAAGCGAAGCCGGGCAATGACGACGACTGGGCATCACGGCAAAAGCGCTTCGCGAACGGCTTGTACTATTAGCATGCAGCATATGATAGCTGAGAGAAGAAACAGAATGGTGTTGGACAACGGCTGGTTCAGAAAGTCTTTCTTCATTGATCGTAGCCATTTAGACCAGTGGAAACCCGGCGACCCGGCTTCCGCACTTGGACTGCGTAGACAATTGCAAAGGCCGACGAGCAGCAGCACGACCCTGTAGAATGGATCGCCCCTTCGCCGCGCCTCGACCTTTTCTTGCGCCTTGATCATCGCAGCATTTCGCGCCAGGATTGTATTATCACAATTGGCAGCATTTGACCCTCTCTCTTGCATCATCATTCCTTCCAGATATGCACGCCCTGGGAAACCACCCATAAACAATACTGCTTTCCTTTCTCCACGCACGAGAAAAAAACCACTCTAGATGTGTGTGTCGTATGGTTGAGGAGCCAGGCTTTCGATGTCGGTGAGTTCGACAACGCGCTTATCCCGGGGACCAACAGGCAGACGCTTCAGCTGGACAGACTCGCCCTTCTCCTTGGCTTCCCGTCGTCGCGAGGCGTTCGACTTGACTCTGTTCAAGACTATGAGGGATGTTAGGACGGGTAGCGCACAACTGCTTGTCATAGACTTACACTCTTCTCTTGATCGGGATTTGGAGATGTGCTCGACACGGACGTTCACTCGCTTCTCCATGTATCGGTTGCCGACCTTCTTGTAGATGATGACGCCGACAGCGGATCTGGTCACGTTGTAGATGACACCAGTCTTGCCGTGGTACACTTTGTATGGCATACCCTTTTGCACGGCACCGTTGGCTTTGATGTCGACAATGTCTCCAACTCGGTAGTTTCTCATGTATGTGCCCAGGTTGATCATACCCTGTTTTTCAACTCGTCAGCCTATGTTTCAATGCCTTCACTTCTCCCTTTCATCCTTCTCATCATCATCGTCGTCTTTTTCTCGTTCGGAGTTTGTGGGAGTGCGATTTACCTTCTGGCGGAAGTTACGGCTGAACGCATAACGCGTACCAGCACGGAGACCTGCTGCGTGACCCATCTTGACGGCGAGGAGTGCTTTGTCGGCCTTGAAGTTGGATGTAGATGGATTTGTGTATGAGGGTTGCGATTGTAGTGCGCTGGACTTTGGCAGGCGCAGTCGAATTCGACTTGCCAAGATAAGATCGGTTATGATTGGCCTAACTTCAAAAATTCGTTCAACTGTTGTGCGGTCTTGGCAGGTTTTTCGCCGGCTTCTTGTCTTTCGCACGAACTACCAACTGCGCTGCAACCCTTTTTGCAGATTCATCAACGACAACAATTATCTCAATCGTGAGTTTTGATTGCGCAGACTTCCCATCGCAATCATGGCGCCACGATCATACTCCAAGACCTACAAGGTCCCTCGTCGACGTAAGTTCTAGCACAGAATTGGGACGATCCTTGAGGACAAAAACTAATGTCTTGATATAGCATTCGAATCGGCTCGTCTGTACGTATCTCCTGGCCACTGAGCATCAGCTTGTCTGTGCTTCACGTCTGAGATATCCCTTATCCTAACGATGTTGCGCTATACAGAGATTCGGAATTGAAGATTGTCGGCGAATACGGTCTGCGAAACAAGCGTGAGGTCTGGCGTGTCCAGCTCACTCTGTCCAAGATTCGACGTGCTGCTCGGTATGGATTGGTCCCCGGAATGCTGCAGAGGCAGAAGAAAGAGTGTGAACAATAGCTGACATTTTGTTACAGTCAGCTTCTTACCCTCGACGAGAAGGACCCCAAGCGTCTCTTCGAAGGCAATGCCTTGATTCGCCGTCTTGTGCGTGTCGGTGTGCTCGATGAGTCCCGCATGAAACTCGATTACGTGTTGGCTTTGAACGTCGAAGATTTCTTGGAGCGCCGTCTCCAGACTTGCGTCTACAAGCTCGGTCTCGCCAAGTCCATTCACCACGCCCGTGTCTTGATCAAGCAGCGACACATCCGCGTCGGAAAGCAGATTGTCAACGTCCCCAGCTTCATCGTCCGATTGGACAGCCAGAAGCACATCGACTTCGCCCTGACGAGTCCCTTTGGTGGTGGCCGTCCTGGTCGTGTACGAAGGAAGAAGGCCAAGGCTGCTGAGTCCAAGGAGGAGGGCGGTGAGGAGGAAGGCGAAGAAGAGGAGTAGATGTTACGAGCACTATGAGAAACTATTTCCGGTGACATGGTTCCATGGGAAGAAAGGGTGTCGACTGGTTACTGCAAATTTGCGACCACGGAACACTGTCGTGGTGGGGTCGTGACGGCTTCGGCCAGATACCCAGGAAAGAAAGTGAAAATCGAAGCACCTGTCCTCAGCAAACTCAGCAGATCCTCAAGCATCGTTGAGTCTGTTGATCTGGTAGACAATCCAGATTCTACCTTAAGTCATCACCATGTTATCCTGTCACTAGCTTCGTCCGCTGCTCATGCAAACATACTCGTACATTGTTCTCTCGAGACCAGTTTTATGCTATTCTACAGCGAACCGCGCTACCAAGTTTCGTGAAAGGTCGTAAAAGTCGTGAGGTCGCTGTCCTCTCATCACATCTCAGATCAGCCTTCCACACCCAACAAGCCTCTCAACACAGCCTCCGAGGACCTATACCATCTCCCCAGCTCCTCGATTTCATCCCTTCCACCCATCTCTCTTCTCCTCCTGCCGTCCATCGCCAATCTGGTGCTCTCGTTCCTCCTCCTCTCTAGGTCGGCTAGTTCGCGATCCACCTTCTCAACCTCCCTCACCTTCCCTGGCATTTGCCTCTGGAGTGCCTCGATCTGCGCATCAATCTCAGCCGTGGCAGCCTGTTGTTCAGCTAGCGCCATCTCTGTCGCTTCCAGGCTCATATTCATCCGCGGATCATTTGAGGTGTGACCTTCCTCAGTTCCTGTTTTCTCCATGATTTCGGCCTTCAGGGCCTCGATCTCTCCCTGTAACCGTTCAAGTTCCGTAGGTACAGTCTCAAGAACTTGCATGCCATCATTGACTGCATCGTATCTGGCGGCCAGGACACGCGCCTGCTCTTGTATCTCCACCACAAGCGCGTCGACTTCGGTCTTCTTGGCCTTCAAATCGATCTTCATCACGGCGAGCTTCTGTTCGAGAGCGAGGTTGTCATCGTGACTGACGACCAGTGGCGGGTCGCCTACTATACTCCGTAGGTATTTCTCCTTCGTCACCTGCTCAAGGTAGCTGAAGCGGAGTTTGGAGAAGAGATCCTTGTAGTGGGCTAGGTCGACAGTCAGAGAAGCAGGCGTGAGTAGGGAGGACTCGAAGTCCGACGCATTGTTCGAGGAGATATCTGCAGGCCGAGGTTGTGTATTTCGCAGTTGAGGTGGTAGTGTTTGCGACGCGGTTATGGGTTCTGCTAAGGCGAGGATGGAGAGCGATTGCGCCGACTGCTGTGCGCGGAGAGTCGCCAGCGTAGTGGCATAGTCTGTTGCTGCCATTGTGTTGCTGAAGCTATTGAAACGATCGTGTTTCCATGTATCGGTGTTTCGACAATTGTGGTTGATCGCGACTTGAAGATGGATCGTTCTCAACCTGGAAACGTAAACAAGCGCCAAGCCCCAATCGCCTTCAAGGTATCAACTTAAACGCTGCTGCGACTTAATCCCCTCATCGACCTTGACAATGGCCCATACAGGACTTTGAACTCCCATTGTGCCGGGTGAGCGCAGCCATTCGACACGCGACACTGGCAAAGCATCAATGGCCATGTGGCGATACTTCTTCCACTCAATCAATGTTTTGGCTGGACTTGGCCGGATATCTCCAGGCGACGCTTCGTATTCCACATTTTAGCGAGGTCAGAGATCCGGAGTGACTACCCTGCTTCCGCTGATAAGGTCCGGTCTGTTCAACACAGCTCCGGATGCCTTCTCGCTCGACCCCTTGAGCATGGCCGCACAGCATACATGTTCATGTCAAATCATGGCTGGTCCGGAAGCCTCGATTGCCAAAGGGAATTGCGATTTGATTGGCGGCTTGCACCCTTACGTTAGCAAGCTGAGCATTTTGGTCCTTTGTCAACATGTAGGTTCCTCGGACCTCCTTATGCGCTTCCGGAACCTTTGTCGCACCTTGACTTGAGCCTGGCAGCCAGCCCCAGGTCAATCCGGGCCCGTTGTTGTGAATGGATCATCCCTTTTCAGCAGCGATAAGCTCGAGTTTCAATACTCGCACATAAGGCGTTGTAGGTAGGTGTACGTACCTGTCGATCCGGAGGGGTGGGCCACTCATGTTCCCAATACGAAAGCCACTAGATTCAGCATGGACACTAGATTCATGGAACTCCATGACCAGACTCTGGTGCAGCGGGCTTGGTCCGGCTGAGATCATGTCTACTGAGACAGTTCGAAGATAAAGAGAGGCACTGCCAGTAAGTAACTATTCAGCCCAAACGTCCTACCGACGCGCTTTCCATCTACCACTCCCAACAGTAGAGACCACAAGATGACGCCCTTTCTGGTGGAATATTCTGGCTCGAGCACACGACTTTTCTTCCGTGTCTTCTTTACTCTGGTATCTGCTCTCATCACGTTCACAGGGAAGAAATGTCTCAGCACACGTGCTAAGCTCAAGCTTGCGCAAGGTCGCTCTGTCAAGCTGACGTTGCTGTCACCATGGCTTTCCGATTTCGACTCGTTGTCAAGCATCACAAAGACGCATACACTACCGGGTGGCTGGCTGGGTATTGTCATGGTTGCCGCATTCCTCTTGGATCGTGCCTCTGATCTCACTTCCGCTCTGGTCCAGTCCGTCCCTGTCCACGACCGCTGCGAGTTCGGCACCGGCCTCGTGGTTGGGGATACGGGTTCGATAAGTCTCGTCCCGTGGAACGGCGCACCCTACACGGTGGCCTCGCAGGCTCAAGTCGTCAGCCTCCAAAACGGCGGCGAGCAAGGGATCTATCGCAAGGCGAACCGCAACATCAACTTCGCCGCCGACTACGAAGACGTTCTCGGATACTGGAACTGCACCAGGAACGATCTAGCATACAACTACGCCTGGAACGTTCCCACCCAGGCCATTCAGAGCGACTTGTACCAATATGGACTCCTCTACGGCACACCCGTCTCGGTGTCAGCCTTGTCGGGCAATGCGAGTACAACGCACCTTGTCATCCTCGACACCTCGGCAGGCAACCAGACACACACGGTGTTCGACGTGCGCATCGCGGTCGACACAAGTGCCTTCGCCAACGACACCAAGAACATGCAATGCTACCAATGTGTGCTGCACGACACCTACGACACGCTCCGATCGATCCAGATGGCCATCAACTCTCTCGAAACCTTGTCCGACTGGCGTCAGATCTTCCAGGGCGCCATCTACGACGGCTCAGGCACCCCAGCGTCGAACAATACCGGCGGCATTCTTGAGCAAGTCCTCAATTCCATGACCATGGTCGCCGGTGGGCAGAACTATCTGCTTGACACAAGCCACTCAACCAGCACTCAGGGCTGTCTTACCAATCGTACACGTATCCTGTGGGAGCTCGTCTTGCTGACGTTCCTGACGGCGATGACGTTAGCCCTCCTGGTGCTCTATTGGATCGGTATGGCTCTATGGCTGAAGTGGCTGGCCCGTAGCGGCGATGCCACTACCATGCTCATGATCGACGAGTATACTCCCAGCGGTCCCTTGGGGTGGATGGCACACGGTGTGCGCGAGTTCAAGAGACCACTCATGGCCTCCGTTGAGCCCGCTGACTTAAGTAATTGGTATTTCGGCAAGTGGGCGCACGGAAGTGGGTATGGGATCGTTGGCAGGGACGAGCCCGCCAACTCAAACTACGCGGATGAGGCGGTGAGTATGGGTTCGGCGAATTCGTTCAAGAAGCCTGGAGGTTATGTTCGCGCGGTGGAATCACCATATGATGAATGATCTGGAGGCGCTTTCTGGTATTGGCTATAAGGGGTTCATGATTCGATGAGTGGTATATTGGAGCATTCCTTCAGCAGCTTGACTCAGTGGGTAATAGGTCGAGGGGTTGACCTGGGCTATGAGTCTGGTAATGTGCTCTTGAACGACTTGATTGACAACGAAACCTTTGGAGGATCGTAGAACGTGGTGGAGCACCTATATAGATGTAATGTAATTTATACAGCAACTGCGTCAGTGGAACAAGGTCCACTAACGGGATCTTATTATTCCTACTTGATAAGGAGGAGGGTATCTGTGTAATTTTCCAGACGCAGCCTTTCCTGATTGCCCTGCGCCAATCCAACACTGGAATACTTTTGATATCGTGACATGATGGTAGTGTTGGTACAAGCCCCTGAGGCGTCGGGGTCATCTTGACATTACGAGGTCGTCCCGAACAAGCGCAGTATTATCTCATACATTCCGAACATGATGGCTGCACTGGGCACGGTTCGAAGCAAATGCGGCGTCATGCCTCCATACAGGCCAGCGAGGCCCTCTTCTTTAGCGACAAGCCGGAAGCACTGCGCCAGACCGGTGTACTTGACGGTGACTTTGCCGGACTCGGAGATGGTTGTGGGCGCTTGTCGTAACCTCGTCCTCACAACTTCGTGGGGGTATGTGATGACTGCGGCAAACAGTTTGGCTCCGGCAGCAGCGCTGAACTTGCCGGCCCATTCCTCGGTGTTATCAACCCACGTGTGGCGGTATCCGGGGGTGTTTAACCGCTTCGCTTCCCGTCTCGCCAGAGACAACTTCAGCCGTTCATACAGCACCCATTGAAGCGTTGATTCTGTGACTCCAAGATACGATGCCGATAAGCCACGGTACAGGCCCCTGATGCCCTCGTGTCTGACAGTTTGTCGGATACAGTCCCAGCTGTTCTTGTAATGTCGGCCTCGTAAAGGATCGTTGCTGGCGTTGTTCTTGTCCAGCTGTAGCCTCGTCTTCACAAGCCAGATTGGATTCGTCGCCGTACCTGTTGCGATTCCTGCAACCGCTGCCGCTACAAGGTGGATACTCCAAACGTTTTCTCGGCCCTCAGGGTTGAAGTAGTTGTTAAGTATTCGCTTGCCATTTCCATAAACATAAAAGTTGATGCTGCGAGCTGGGACAACGCCAACCAGGTTTGCGCCCAGACCTCGAAAAAGTGCCCGAAAGCCTTCGTGCTGATATATCGATCTTAGTATTTGTACAGTCTCTGCGAGGTGGAAGTATGCGGCTCGAGGTATTCTGGTGAAAGTGTGTTTCGGGGGAAGAGGATGTTGAGCATGGAGCGCTCGTAGCTGTGATTGATAGAAGTCTGATTGTAATCGAGTCTTTAGGACATCAAGAGGAGAGGTTAAGCCAGCTGCGGTCATGCCACCGATACTAGAAGGTTTTGTCAACCATTTGAGTTGGACATTGGTTAGGATAGTTGTTGCCTACCCTCCTGCAACGAAATGAGCCCATGGCTTGGCCACAGGCTCGTTCTTTGTTACCGGTGTCGCACTGGCATTGTGACCTTCTGGGGTGACTTGGCCAGTCTCCCGAGGTTGTTGTAACAGATTCTCTTCTCCTCTCGTGGTACCCGTAAAAGGCTTCGCAGGCGCGGTCGGAAATGTCATGAACGGTGAATGACTCGGCGCCTAGACTCAGAATGAGAAGGATATGGGACGACACAGGACACAATAAAAGGTACAGAAAACGAAGAACAGACGTAGCAGTTGCGAAACGTGCGAATAGGCGATAGTGACGGGACAACTTTTGGAAACCCTGCAACGTCAAGATGCGAGAAAATGTTAAGAGGCGACTATATGCTGGTCATGTGACCTGCAGCGCTTCCCATTAGTCACGTGATGGGATTTGCCCTGCTTGTTCCAGAGGTATGCAAGGACAAGCAACATTTCACAATTGGATCATATCGGAAACCAATATGAAGGTGACAACAGCTGCGCTTTCGTGAGACTAGATGGAACCCCACGACATTGCAAGCGGATCATGTTCCTGCTTCCAGAGCTTGTCAAGGCTGACCTCGGTGGTGCCGAGGTCTCTCCCCGTATATTTTGTTCCACCGGAACATAGTCTGCTGGGGTATCCAAGCACTGGGAAATCCGGTGGGATCTTTAAGTCTGGGGATTCTGCATTCCTTCCGACATACGAAGAGGTCGCTGATCAGACCATGAGCCTTGGGATATCCTGATGGGTGGAAGCTGACGATGACCCAGCATAGCAGATTTCACGAGTTCATGGTAATGACATTTCTTCATGTACGGCGAGGAAGCCGCTGCAATCAATCTCGAAAATGATCGATGTCCAAGTCAATGTCCTACCGCCCAATTGACGGCCTATAACCGTAGTATAAGAATTCTCTGCGCAACGTCGAATAGCCTTGCATTCAGACAAGGCTAGATAGTTGGTCTTCTGTCAAGACCTGATACAGGACCGCGTAGCCGATATATAGCCACAGTGTTACCAGGAGGTCCGTAGGTGGCATGATGAATAGGCGCTTAAAGTTTGCTGATTGTGGTGGTCTGGGGTAATTTTGATCAGCTTATAGGCGTCATGGAGCAATCGGAACCCTTGAAATCAGCCCGCTCTTCGCCTCACCAGCGACCCAGATTGGGCCCATTAGCCTCGGTAGTTCGGAAAAGTGTAAGATGGCCGACGATGAGGAGCTCCAACTCGATCACAAATTCAACAACATCGTCCCATCTTCCCTTTGACGTGTGGCCACTGTATATTTCAACCACCGCCTTTTCATCCCTCTCCACGTTTCCCCGGATCTGTTGTCTTTGTCCTGGATTCAAACATGTCGGTCCCTTATCTCATTAACAGTGCCGGTGGCTACATCCCCGCATCAGAGAGGATTCCTGTTATTGCTCGTCCGTTCGTCAGCGAGCGGGCCAAGAAGACTTTGGATCTGGTATGACTCTCAAACAATGGTTTTCTCGGGCGCACATGTTGATTGCTTTCCAGGTCGAAAGATTCGTCGAAGAAGAATGCATCCCCGCGGATACTGTCTTCAAACAGTCTCTCGGCGAGACCACAGTCGAGCGCTTTGACGCTCATCCTCAAGTCATTGAAGATTTGAAGGCCAAAGCAAAGAAACTCGGACTATGGAATATGTTCCTGCCCAGCAACCACTTCAAGGAGGGCGCCGGTTTCAGCAATCTCGAATACGGCTTGATGGCAGAGTACCTTGGCAAGAGCGCCACCGCCAGTGAAGCCACCAACTGTGCTGCCCCGGACACGGGTAACATGGAAGTCTTTGCAAAGTACGGCACAGAAGAACAGAAGAAGAGATGGTTGGGCCCGCTATTGAACGGCGAGATCCGATCAGCCTTTTTGATGACCGAACCTCAGGTGGCAAGCAGTGACGCCACCAACATCGAACTCGACATGAAGAAGGACGGTGACTACTGGGTTCTTAATGGCCAGGTGCGCTGAAATTACCCTCTTGTTCCGAACCGATTTTTGCTAACAAGAAACTCAGAAATGGTGGTCAAGTGGTGCCGGTGACCGTCGCTGCCAGATCTACATCGTCATGGCCAAATCCGACCCAACCAACAAGAACGTCTACAGACAACAATCTGTCATCCTCGTACCCGCCGACACTCCGGGTGTTACCATCCACCGAATGCTTTCTGTCCTCGGCTTTGATGACGCCCCCCATGGTCACGGCCACATCACCTTTGAAAACGTCCGCGTGCACAAGAGCAATATGGTCCTTGGTGAAGGACGAGGTTTCGAGGTCGTTCAAGGCCGTCTGGGCCCTGGAAGAATCCATCACGCCATGAGATCAGTCGGCGCTGTAAGTTTTACCGTGTCCCCTGTGCGATCGCACATGCTAACCAGACATCAAGGCCGAGAAAGCCCTCGAATGGTTCCTCGCCCGCCTGAACGACCCCGCAAAAAAACCCTTTGGCAAACAACTCTCCGAACACGGCATCATGCTCGAAAGAGTTGCCAAGTCACGTATCGAAATCGACTCTTCAAGGTTGTCCGTCCTGAACGCTGCCATCAAGATCGACGAGTCCAACGCCAAGGATGCCCTCAAGGAAATTGCAGAGGTCAAGGTTCAGGTCCCTAATATGTTGTTGGACGTCCTCGACCGTGCTATCCAAGCCTACGGTGGCGCTGGTGTCTCACAGGATACCCCTCTAGCCAACATGTGGGCCAGTGGACGGACGATGAGAATCGTCGACGGCCCAGATGAAGTGCACATGTTGCAATTGGGACGAAATGAGAATAAGCGTGGGCCTGCGTTGCTGAAGCGCATCGAGGCCCAGAAGGAGAAGTCCCGGGAATTGCTGAAACAGTATGGCTTGAAGGAGCGTGATGTTCTCGAGCTCAACCGGGTGAGTGGTGGGAAGTCCAAATTGTAAGATATCAGCATCGCTTAGAGTTTTCGTCTATCAGAATGGAACTATTGTGCGGGCACCGATTTCTCAAGCTACAAGAAATGAAACCAGCTTGATCTTCTGATTACGGATGTTTGGCCCTCAGACTTGATGATGACCGCAGCCATTCGGTGCAATTCAGATGAACTGGTAGGGCCTCCATACAGAACACTACTTGCGTCAGATGAATGATTGTCATCCTCTCGCCTGCTTCAGAGACACATCTCGGCCAAGCTCGGTACTGACAGAAGTCAACAATAGCAACAAGGATGCTCCTTGAAACCGACCCGCAAAAGTACACCCCGGGTGTCAACCATTCCCTTTATCCAAGGCGCAAGGTTTAAGCGGCAACACTGCCCCAGTCTCCTCTAGTTGGCCCTGAGAGTGTGTACGTGCCAGACCTGAATATTTGAGTAAGCTCTCGATTCGCTCATAGCATCCGAAATGTGAAGCACAACAGCTTGACCCACACGACGCCGACAGGCATGCACAAGAGCAGGCGGCAATTTGTTCGCTTCCAGCCCGACCGCCATGCATAGAAGGCGCCGTTGTCCGCAAAGCCGCTTTGGCAAGGCTGCAAGGGAGCACAGAAGAAGTCCACGATGGCACCTCAAATACGCACACAATACGGAGGAGCATCCATAGTGCGAAATCAAGGCGCAGTAACTTTCGACCGACTAAGGCCTTCAAAGGGGAAGAAGATCAACGTCTGCTGTTCGGCCGTAGCTTGACGGCAACTCTCCACGAATCTTTTGGCATCTTCACTTCCCCATGATGATTATAGTCGGTGTCTCAACTGCAGCAAGGAACGTAGCCTGATGTAGAGGAGTTCTGAATCTCACCTCGTGCTTGACTCTCGAACAAGACAACGTTTGACCGTCTTAATAATAGCGACGGTAGAAAGCGGAACAGAACGAGGGGAGAGTGCCACAGGTGCCCCGATCCTCCGTGTCATCGCGATCAATGGAAATCAGTTGGAAGGGACCGTGATGTATTGTGTCGGGTCAGAACTGTGGAGAGGAAAAGGGGAAGAAAAGAAAGAGGGAAATGATTTGATGAAATATGTTTTACAAGGGCGGAGAAAACAGAACGCGGTCAAGCCCGGCAGCGAAAAAGAGCCAAGTCAAAGTCAATCACAACCACCTCTCGACCTGCATGATAGAGCCATGCATGCTCCAAATACTGCCTCACACACAGCTCACCTTACCGAAGAACATCCAACATGCGCGCGTCTCCGTCGATTCGGATCAGACAAATGTCCTCAAGGTACGTGGTAGACTAGGCCTTTTCATCTTCCGATTCGCAACTGCCACGGTTAAGTGTCCCCAGTCAAGGTGATGTTGGGTCCAACGCACAATTAACTCATCTGAGCCCTACCAACCCATACCCATGTGTCCTGACTCGACTATGCACGGTCGGGATCTACCCTGCTTGCATATTACAGTACCACAGTACAGCTCTCCACCGTCGACGAGTCAGCAGGCCCATTTGCTGGGACCACCTGCATCAGAATTCAAGCCTTTTTGGTTGCGGCAAGCTCCATCTAAGCTACCTACGAGCCATCATCTCGAGCCTTGCCACTCGTATCCTAGGCTGTTTCCGGCAGCCAACCCATCTCGCAGCCTGTTGCCAGAATCGTCTACCAGCATGTGTTGGTCGGCGAGCCACGGCAAAAATTGCGATGCGCCTGATTTTCCCCGTCGGTTGACGCGTCCTTGCAACGTTACAGCCATTCAGGCCGTCGTGTAGGTTTGTCCAGGGACCTATATCCGCCTACTGGTTTTTGTATTATTATTCATCGATCACACATGGCCGTCTTTCTGACTTGCGGCCGTCGCTGCAGAAGTCCTGTTTATGGGATAGTCCATCCGACCTTACTCATGGTGGTAGGCCTCGCTGGCGAAAGAAAACCTATATAACGTCCCATGCACGGATAGTGACGTTTATGCTCGTCACAAATGGCGACCGAAGACAGCTCCACGCCTCCAGCTGCGAAGTCCAAGCAAGAGCGTATTCGTGACAACCAGAGACGCAGCCGTGCTCGCCGACAGGAGTATTTAGCCGAGCTCGAGAAAAGATTGAAAGAATGCCACGCCATATGTCGCCAAGCTGACCTGCAACGTGTAGCCTTCGCCGACCTGCAGGCTGAAAACGCCCGGTTGCGTGACCTTCTCAACTTCGCAGGCGTCGGTCCTGAGCTGGTAGAATCATATGGTCAACAGTATATGCAACATCATCAGAACGATCTGGCCACCGCTTCACTCCGACAGATCAAACCCAAATGGCATGCAGCAGATGTCTTCCGGACAGCAGCGCCAGGAAATTTGCCAAAGCAGCAACCTGGTGACACCAGGCACTGTCCTTCATCAGTGATGTCGTCGGCAACGTGCACACCTCAACCAATGACCTTTGGCGACGCCTTCCAAAACTACGACGATTCATATCGCTTCTCGTTCTTGCCTGGTCAACCTTCTCTCGGAACGCCGTTGTCTCAGATGAACATCAGCTCACCATCATATGACTGGCTCTTTGGCTCGGACGCGGGAAGCTCCAATGCATCCAATGATGGAGGCCTCATGTGTGACACATTCAATGTTCCCTCCAGTGGGCACCTTGTGCCGGACGACGGTAACACAGTCTTGTGTTCTGTGGCCAAAACCATGATTGACCAGTACCAAGCAACACCTGCAGAGATGGCGGAGATCAAGGCACGACTGTCGACGGGGTTCGTCCGGCCCGCATTTCCGGAGACTGGCTGCCGAGTTAACAGCCAAGTCTTGTTCCAAGTCTTGAACGATATGAATGCCAGAAAATCGCGATCATGAGATTTGGGATTCATGGGCCAGCTCTTTGCCTTGTGTCATCACTATGCCGCCCAGTTCGTCCGTTTTCCGAACCACTTGACCACATACACCAGAGCCAGCAGCACTGGAACCTCTATCAGGGGTCCTACGGTAGCTGCAAGGGCCTGGTCACTGTCCACCCCATACGTCGCAATGGCCACGGCGATTGCCAACTCGAAGTTGTTGCTGGCAGCAGTAAAGCTTTGCGTGCATGCCAACCGGTACCCAAATCCCAGTCTCCGCGTGATCAGCAAGGTCGAGCCAAAGATCACCGCAAAATAGACCACGAGTGGAGCCGCAACTCTGACAACGGAGACGATCGAGTGGACCACACGATGCCCTTGCGATCCAAACAGAACGATGATGGTGAAAAGAAGACCGATCAGAGACAACGGCCCGATGCATTTGAGAAAAACCCTTTCATACCAGTCCTTGCCGACCAGACTTCGAATAGTGAATCGGGTGACGATGGCTGCTGCAAGTGGAATGCCTAGGAAGACGCCGACACTTTTGGCCACTGGGGCGTAATCCACGTCGACACCCTCGACAGAGTGGCTGATATCGACAATGAAGAGCACGGCCAGAGGCGCAAACAGGACCATCTGAAGCAGGGAGTTGATGGCGACCAATATCGCGCAATATTCGTTGTCACCTCCAGCTAGTCCAGTCCAGATCAAGACCATGGCGATGCATCTTGCAATGCCAACCAGGATCAGGCCCTCACGCAAGTCAGGTTCGTCAGGCAAGAACGCCCATGCCAGAGCAAGCTATGTATCAATCAGTCAGGATCTCTATGGCAACGCTGCTATTTACTCACCATGAAAAGGGGTGCGATGATCCAGTTGACCACGATGCTGAAGCCTATCTGCACCCACAGCTTCTTTTCTTTGAAAGAGTGGTGCAGGGTTTCAAATCTGATCTTGCAGAGTATTGGATACATCATGACGAGCAGTCCGACGGCTGTGCACAATACTGGTTAACTTGTAGACCACGAACATTAGGGTCAAGTCCAAGGCCTACCGATTGGAACAGACACTCCCACGAATTGTCCCCGTTGCAGCGCAGGACCGGTGCTGGGAACGAAATTGCCTAGGAGGATGCCTATAAGCATGGCTAGGAAGATCCACAATGCGAGGAATTGGTCCAGGATTCCCAGGTTCTTGAAGATCGAGGAGTGTACTGGAGGAGCGGGCTCGGTAACATTTTGTTTCTCGACATCACGGGCTGTGGCGGATGAAGGACCCTCGGGAGCGAGGACAGCCTCTCTGTTTTGAACGTCCATATCGATATGTTTGATCGTAATTTGACGAGGGCGCTTCAATGCACATAGGCAGGATTGCAAGTTATACCTGGCCGGCACTCGGATGCAGCCTTAATATGGCACGATTGTTGGCCTTCAATAACATGGTGAACAACATCAAAATTCGAACAACCAATGGAATCATCGACGTGACACTTTTTTGGAGAAAAAATGCCCAAGTGCAAACGTGCAGACTCCTCTCCTCAGGTGGATCAGATGGATGCCTGTGGACTTTCGCCGCGACCTGTAGTCAGATGGAACCGGTCACTCCGACAGCTTGCTGGTGTCAGTATACCACAGATAACATTGTCGTGGTAGCTTTGTCGTTTCCTACCATTTGATCCATTGTATGTGAGTGCCGGAGAGATGGTGGACTGATAGGAACAGGCATAGTGTCGACCGACCAGGATTGTGCCGAGGATTCTCACAATCGAGCGAATGGCGTCATTGATTGACTGTGCGTGTTGATCGGCTGACCTGGGGAACTTCTCCTGTCCGGACTCCAATACTGTCAATGACCATAGAGCTTCATCTTCATCCTTTCCTCCCGCTTTTCATTACTCCCAGGTTGGAGCTTATGAGCTTTGTATCATACTTTCTCTTGTGCCATTCTTAACCGCGATCACCGTTTTCAAGTGCCCATCATGCGGCTGGTTTCCGCATGGGCAGTGCTGGCAGTTGCCCTTCCATGCTTTGTCGAGTCCTCACGATTGACCCCGCCGGTGCTCCCACTTATCGTGCGAAACCCATATCTGAGCACATGGCTGCCCAACGCAAGAGATCTCCCTTGGGAGCATTGGCCCATGTTCTGGACCGGTCAAGAGATGGGCTTCTCCGTCCTGGCCAGTGTTGCCGAGGACAGGACTGTATACCCATTGCTGGGAAGAGGTCAGGACTCCTTGGTCAGGGAGGGTGACAAGTAAGAACAACCACATGGACTTACAGCATCGTTCAGAGTCTTACCCTTCGCAGTTATACCATCTCGTACCCTGTATACCATGGGGCTCAGTACGATGCCTCTACCACCAACCTATCTTATTCGCTTCCTCTTCCTTCCACCTACTCCAATTCAAGCAGCCTGGACATCATTATCTCGTTTCTTTCGCCTATAACTCCTACCTCAACCGTCAGACAATCACTGCCAGCAAGTTATGTTAGCGTCTATGTTTCGGGAAACATACCTGTTGATATCTACATGGACGTAAATGGTCAGTGGGTGAGCGGGAATCGAGGTAGTAAGATCGTCTGGGACCTCACCCATCGACCGTTGGACGGTTTGACCGAGGGCTTCAAGACGTGGTCATTCAAGAGGGAAGTCGAACAGCTCTTCACGGAATTCCAGGACCGCGCAGAATGGGGTAGTCTACATTTCTCTGCTCCTGCGGGTGTCCGACACGAAGCTGGCACATCGGCTCTGTTAAGGCAGCGCTTCTCAAGGACGGGTACCCTTCAGAACTCCATTGACAATACCTTCCGCGAGATCATGGATGAGGAGCCGGTCTTTGCCTTCTCGAAATCCTTCTCACTGAATTCAAGCACGCATTCCGTTTCACATGACAGTGTCACATTCACCGTGGCTCATGTTCAAGATCCAGTCGTGCAGTATGCCTCCGCTCGGGGCTTGACTTACATGCGTCCTCTCTGGGAGTCCTATTTCAACACAGTCGACAAGTTGCTTACCTTCCACTACCTGGACTTTCAGAATGCCCGAGATCTTGCCTTCAACTATTCTGCCCAGCTTGCCGTCGATGCGTATAAGTCCGGTTCTGCAGATTATGTGGACATTGTGGCGCTGTCTGCTCGACAAGCACTGGGCGCCACCAGCTTCTCCGGCACCCCTGACGATCCGATTCTGTTCTTAAAAGAGATATCCTCCAACGGAAACTTCCAGACTATTGACGTTATCTTTCCCGCTTTTCCATTCTTCTTATACACCAACCCTCGATGGCTTGGATATCTGCTCGAACCGCTCATTGAGCATATGTTGAGCGGCCAATACCCCAATAATTACGCCATGCATGATCTCGGTACTCATTTCCCGAACGCGACTGGTCATGCCGACGGAAGTGACGAGTACATGCCCGTCGAAGAATGTGGAAACATCCTGATCATGGGCCTTGTGCTGGCCAACGCCTTGAAATATGGCGCCAATACTTCCGTGGGTGCAACATGGGAACCCATGAGTGAAGTTCCACTTTCTAGGAAGCTCAGTGATAACATCGCTCCTCTGACTGTTGGCAGTCAGGATGGCCAACTCTATATCGACAACCCCTGGGCTGGCCAAGCTCAAGGACTGAAAGTGGCCAAGAAATGGGTCGAAAGGAGTTACCCGTTATGGAAGCAGTGGACTAGTTATCTTGTGGAATTCTCGTTGGAGCCTCACAACCAATTGTCTACAGATGACTTCGCCGGCTGGCTGGCGTTGCAAACAAATTTGGCGCTCAAGGGCATCATTGGCATCAAGGCTATGGCTGGACTCGCCGAAATCACAGACAATCATGAAGACTACAAGACTTATAACAATATCTCAAAAGTCTACATCGCCAAATGGGAGGAGCTTGGTATCTCTCGCGACAAGACTCATGCCAAGCTTGCGTACGACTGGTACGGCTCCTGGACCACCACATACAACCTCTATGCGGACAGCCTGCTCTGCTTCCATCTCGGGTCGGACAACAGCTCCCTTGCATCAAGTAGTATTGCCGGACGGTACGAATACCAGAAACCACTTAAGGAGATCGACGGTGACAAGGATGGATTCGTGCCCAAGCATATCTACCAGATGCAAAGTGACTGGTACTGGTCTGCTCGGCAGAAGTACGGTCTTCCACTCGACTCGCGACACTTGTACACCAAGACTGACTGGGAATTTTTCGCCATGGCTGTCGCAGCGCCGAAGGTTAGGGCAGGTATCCTACAGTCAGTGGCTAAATGGATCAATGAGACGGCCACGGATCGACCCTTCACCGATTTGCATATGACAGAGGGCAATGGAGGGTTTCCTGGACCCAATTTCTTTGCACGGCCAGTTGTTGGTGGCCACTTTGCATTCTTGACCTTGGGACAGGCCTGCAATGGTAAGGCTATGGAAGGGTTGAAATTCTTGGATGATAGCGTGACGACAGATGGTACCGCGTTGGATGTGCAGAGTATTTTGGACAAGGAGCGGGCTGAGGCTGAGTGGGCAATGCAGGAGCTTTAGTCCTCACTCGTATAACACATAAAAACGCGGATTTTATCATGATGGCCAACTTACTGGTTGACGTTGGTGCACTTTCGTTCGGTGTATTAATTGTCTGCCTTGTGATTTCCGAGGTCAAAAGCTCTCGTCAGCCCTTTTCCTGGACCTTCCGCCTCCACATCTGGTGCCGCCATCCCTTGCTATGGCAGACCCCACCGCCCACGGAAAACCCTCGCATCTTCCAATCCGACGATGCAGGAAGGTGGCCACCAATGAAGATGCGCTGCCGCGCCTACCATTGTGCAGAGCGATCAAATGATTGGACTGCATCGCTGGCCACTACTCAAGTGTTTCGAAAAAGCGGCCACCAATAGGAGGCAAACTAGACTTGGTCATACTGCCTTCTGATGCCTTTAAAAGACTGCTTACCACCCCGGTACTCCCTCTCGCCTCTTTCCTTCCGCCGATGTAGCCTTTGGGTTACGGTCCGCGCCACTCTCCGTGCGGGCCAGACATATCTGTGTCCCTGGCTCTCCACGAATGTATTCCTGTCCATACGTTCCAGTGGCTGGACCCGTTCTGGTCGCTGGTGAATCTTGAGTCCATAGGCACTGGCGATCAGTGTGATCAACCTGGACTCGGTTCAGTGTCACCTTCATTGCTAGGATTGTTCTCCGTGGACGATTCGCAGCCGACCTCAAGCCAGTTTTTCGAATATGAGGATTTTGAGGCTGTGTATCCTTCCGAGTCGATTTTGGCAGGAATACCCTGACAATGGCCGCTTGCCACGAATCCAAGCGCAGTGGATGCTAGACAAACTCGGCATGATGACCTCGGGGGTATTGTGTCGTCCTCTGGTGAGGTTGCGCCAGCACCAGAAAACGAACATCTGAGTACGCCCATGAAGCCGGGGTTCGGTATTGAAAATGTGCAGGATTGTGGTTTCCATGATGATTATGCATCATTAGTGATCGCTGGATCATCTACGTTCAGTTCAGCGAAGGTTTCTCCAACAACAAACCCCTATCCTACTGGACGCTCACGATATGGTGATAATGTCGTCATACCAGCGTATCATCAACGCCAGAACGCTTACGCACCTTTGGCTGGGTGTGCTCACCCCAACGCCCCACCCTCGATCGGCTCAGACCATACGCTTCCCGAGTCGACTCCTTCCTCAAGTGAGCATGGATCAGCCCAGGATTCAAGAAGCTTGCGTTCAACGGCTTTCCCTCCGAATGTCGAGACATCGAATACCACACAGGATCCTCCATTCGAAGCATGGGTGCCCTTCCGATGTACCGTGTGCAATCGACCTTTCAGCAGCAGGAGGTCGCTTCAGTGAGTGTCGTGCGCCAGATGCCCTCGAACATCATTTTAACTGTCGCAAGTCGCATCACATCTCCCACAAAAAGTTCACGTGCCAACAATGTGGGACGTCTCTGAGTGATCTGCGGTCTCTTCAACGACATGCGATTACAAAGCACAGCGCGGCGAGTCACCATTGTATATGCGGGAAAAGCTTTAAGAGAAGAGATGTTTCACTTCGCCATGAGAGATCATGCCCCTTGAAATGAAGAAGATACAAGCATGAAGTGAATGAGTCAAGTAGTAACGTCGAGTCAGTTCGCTCGACCAAGGTTCGGGAGCCGTTGAGGAATATTAATTTTGTTCCAATTCGTTAATCACCACTTTCTTTGACAGCTTTTGTGCTGGATTTTCCGGCAGACCACATGGGCCATGCCATCTGGCAAGCCTGTTTCGAGAAAAAGTGGGATCATTGAACCGTTGTTGCCCCTCAGGTTCATTTGGATACCATATCTGAATGTCAGTCAATCCGGAGTCCTTTTCTCAGAACAATCGAGCGTCAGCTTTACCGATACTGGTGCTAGCCTGAAATCAAGGCACGCGCAATCGTGAACTTGCTGGACCATAAACATGTATCGTCGTTGTACTCCCCGTCGGACGGTGCCATTTTCTTCGAAAACAGACCCGCCGTTTTGGGTGGTTGAGCATCTTGCCTAGTAGGAGTGTGCAGTCTGCTTGTTGGAGGTCTAGAACACTGTTATGTAAGCGAGGCTGGAGATTAAATTAGGCTTCTCCAGGCATCCAGGGGCATGAACCCACTTGACGCGGCTCGCTAACTTAACTAGAGATGCAGGGTCTTTGGGTCCTGGGAGGCTGCGGCGGGTCGGACCACAACATGCACGCGATGCTTTGGCATACTAGCCTCATCTCCGGGCACTGGCGTCCGTGTTTTGCGCATCCTTCGTCTCGACGTGACAACGCGACGTGATGCTCTTTGCTCTTCTTCTCCCTTTTCGTTCCTGGTCTGAGTAGCGACCTGAGCATCGCAGTGCATTCGTTCACTTTGTTCGTTACCACAGTCCTTCGTTCCAGTTGATTGCTCGTGGAAGGCACATCTTGGGCTGCATATCGAAGTATTCCGTTGACTGCCATACAGTAAGTTGACGAGCCGCCAGGTCACACAGACTTGCTGATTATGGATAGACACACAGTCTTTCCCGCTTGCTCAGATTGTCCTTCGTCAACATGAATGCCCTAACCTCTCCGGCGCGACGCGTCCTCGGCGAGAAGGATCCAAACACGCTGCTCGCCCAGGTTCAGTCACCTAAGAAGGCGAGACTCGACATCGGGTTCGCCAGTCCTCGGTCCGTGAAGCCCGCTCACCCCTCAGGTAGCCCACACGCTGGGCAAAAACGAAAATTACAACAGGTGGAGGACGAGGCAGCGGCGGAATCACAGAACACGTCCACCCTACACCTTCTCTCGCAGAGGACCGAGTTATTGAGTGATGAGGAACCCTCAGTGCATGAAGAGGGATTCTACACCTCAATGGCGGAGATCAAATCTACCCCGAACACTCTTCTCACGTCTTTCCATGCATCACAGGAGGAGCATCCTCAACTCGAGGCCGAGTTTGTGATTCTTGATGAACCCAGTCAGCAAACACTGGACAAGATGGTATGTTTCTCTGCGATGTGGTCCACTTCCGTACTGATGAGTCCTCTAGCATGCTGTATCATTTACGCAGACCACTTCACAGCTGGTACCACCCCTACGGCCCGGTTTGGACAAGGCGCCGTCTCAACTCAGCTTGAGTATGTCAAGTCTGATAGACTTCGACAACAATCTCTCTTCTCAAGGTGACGACATGCAAATGCTCGAAGAGCCAGACCACAGGCAAAACTCCGAAAAGGACGCCAGGAAAGAGATGCTGCTTGAGGTATACTCCTCTGCTTGTGCTCTGTTGCTGTTACTGACGTCCCCGCTCAGAAAGCAGAAACTCTCCGGACCCGACTTCAGCTCGCCTTCTTCAAGGTAGAAACCAACCAAATTTCCAAGCCCTTTGCGCGTCTTCAGGTGCCCAAGGCAAGATCATCGTCCCCAGACCTGGCAAGGTCGTCATCTTCTTCCTCCACACTGAGACCTCGTTCCGTACACCATCAGACGACCACCATGACTCCCGAAACTCGAGTTGCTATCGCACGCGCGAGGGCGACCATGGGGCCGAAACCCAGTGTGAAAGCCTTGTCCAGCCTACCTATACCGAACATAGCTCCGACCGCCTTCTCCGCCAGGTGGAACGAACAACAAGAGAACCAAGGTGGCCAGGGCTTCCCGGCGTACATGCCTAGTAGTCCGCCGTTGTCGGACGGTGGAGAAGCGGAAGTCGACCAACCGATCAAGCGTGTCATCCTCGAACCTAGAACGCCTGTACAGCGTGCCAGTCCTGGCGGAGTTCAGCATGGGAGGAGCAGGGCCCAGACGGAAGTGCAGTATGGTCGATTCCGACCTGGAGGGCTGACAAGCAGTGTCATTAAGGGCGAGGCTGCAAACAGCCTGCTCCAGCTTGTTAGAGGTGGCAGCGGCGGTGTCGGGATGTGCGGCCTGTAAAATGTTTGTATTCTGAAAGATCTTGTAAAGATACCATGGATGATTCAGCATTGTCGGAGATAGCAAGGAAAAGGGCATTTACTGTTCAGCAGCGGCGTTCCAGAGAAGAAACAAAATGTCAGAGTTCAGACGAAAAATCAATACCACAGAGTCTTTCATATTGTGGCTGCAGCACTGTCTGTCCAGCAGCTCATTTGCAGCCAAAATGTAGCACCTGCAGTCATCACCGGAAGATACAACTCATGCAGAAGGACAATTCCAAATTCCACAACACGGGTATCTCATTTTGTTCCCGCTGCTCGCTCGCAGTTCTGCAGCTGTCGAGTGCTAACGAAGTCTATCTACACACAAGAGTGCCTGTTCGTGAGTACAGGTATGGGCTATTTCTGCTCCTTTTCCCCAAAGCCTTGTCGCTAGCGGTTTGATGCCTTCAAATACATCACACTGCGTGATGTGCATTAATATCGTAATCTCGTCGGGTCTTGCAGGCTGGCAGTGCCTAGAAGGTTTCTGGCTCTTCCGCCCCATTGGCCTCCAGATCCGGGATTTCGAACCCTTCCTCTGTGCTATAGAGGATTGCTTGGATATGCTTGATCAATCCGTTGTCGTCAGCCTCGATACTCGGGTCTTGTTCGATAGCATTTTGGAGCAACAGCTCGATATCGCGGAGTTTGCTGAAGTAGAAATCACGTTCCTTTTCCAGACCGGCAATAGCCTCCTTGAGTTGTTCATTCTCTTGTTTGAGGGCGGAAGATCCTGCAGTCGACACACGTGGCGGAGCTCGGTTCACAGGTGTCGTTCCGGTCTTTCGCGTCGTGCTCGCACCCATACTGGCTCTCGGCGCAGCAGCAGGCGCAACGGCAGCGGCTGGACCTCCTGCTGCCTTTCTTCGCGCTACTGCATCGTACTCATGGCCCGGGAAGTATTGATCCCAGAATCTCTTGGACCACTGCAGGAACTCGAGGTTGTCCTGCATTTTGCACTTAACGAGTGACTCGACGGGTACTGTTCGATCGAGGCCATGCTTTGTGAAAGTATCTGAGAAGATTTCGCGTCAGTATGATTTCACTAACGACAAGTCGTGTCTTTGTTCACTGGGATATTTGACATACTCTGTAGTATTTTGAAGTTCTGTATGTAGGCGTACTCTGTGTTGACATTGAACTTGACCCGACTCATGGGCATATCAACTGCGGTATCAAGTCAGCACTGGTCGCCTTGTCCATTGCTAGTTCTTCGGAGAGAGGAAGCGATGCGTACGGAAGATGGAGTCGTATAGTTGACAGAAGGCAGCCCTAGAAATGCAACATCAGTCTCGGACTGAACACTGTGACCCTGAAAGAGCGTACCCTGTCCCGCATTGCTCGACTTTTGTAATGTTGAGTTGGAGCAGCCCATTGAGCCAGTTGAGGAGCTCTTGCCTGTCAGCTGAGTCAGTATAGTATCGACATTTGGCTGGATGGTTCGGGGCATTGGCTGGCCTCGGGCAACGTACCTTGATTCACCCATGATGGCGGCTACGATTCGTAGGGGGAAACGGAGCGCAAGTAAGGTTGGTTCGAGTCGAAGAGATGTACCAGAGAATCTTAGGAGTAGCGAATCAATCTGAGGTCAGAGGTATAACAGGAACGCGCCGAACAAACAAAACGATCTCGAGTGAACGTTTTCCGTTGATGGAGGGGATGCTTTGTTGTGATGCTGCGCAAGTTAATTAAACAGTTGGAGTCGCGAGTTGCCAAAGTTTAGATCGCCACGATAAGTTAGCCTCTTTCCAATTCAATCACGCCAGCACTTTTTGTTCCGCGTAGTTACAGTAAAGAGTCCCTCAGGACTATCAGAAATCATATGCCTCATCTAACAAGTTGTATCCTTTTTGATTCCAATTCTTAATCTACACTGCTAAAATGGAGCGATTATATCTAGCACTGAATTCCTTCTGACAGGTCATCTACTTCGTTGCCTCACTGGCATCGCTCGCAGGCTTCGCCTTGCCGTCATCTCCCTTATTCTTGACAGATCCACCTGCTTTTGCTTGCGCGGGTTCACTGTTCGCTTTCTCCTCTGGAACTCCCTTGGTCTCAGGATTTTGTCCTTCAACATCAGGATGGTCCGGTGCGACCCCAGAAGGATCGACCTCGTTACCATCGGCGTCAACCATCCTAGTACGGGTCTCATACTTAGTCGAAAAAGACGCCCTGCCATCTGCCAGTAGTTCCTGGATCTTTGCCTCATCCAGAAGGTTACCGTTCTGGTCACGGTACTCGACACGCTCTTCTTGCCCAAGAATCTTGGTCTCAGCTTGTGGAGTGACAGCCGCTTGGTCGTCTTTGTTCTCAGCATTCTCATTAGCAACCTTGGCCGATTGTGCCGTGGGAGTGACGTCTCCAATTCGGCTTGGTGTTGAATATTTGGAATACTAGGACTCGTTAGTATGAAGCGTTCTCCTGTGTATTCTCACGAGACTCACCTCGGTGTGGAAAGTGTTGCAGTCAAAGTCCCAAGTCTCGAACAACTTCACCGCTTTGCACTGGTCTTGTGTCCATGCGTTGCCGTAAGCCAGCGGAGCGTACAAGGTAAACACCCCGATGGCGAATGCCACAAAGAGGACCGCGACAGCGCGGCCGATCTCTGGATGACCTTTGAGGCCGAGAGATGAAATTCTGTTGGCTCCAAAGTCGAAAATCTGGCACATGGCGATGATGGCAAAATACAAAGCAGGGAAGTAATGGTGCAGGAACAATTGTCGTGCCATCAAGAAGAATGGGAAGTAATGAAATGCCCAGCCCAAGACACTCTGTCCGATCTCGTAATCAAATCGTTTGAAGTTGACATTGGAATAGTCGCCGCAGCTTCGTTGCCAGCGGAGGACGGCAATGCCCTTGAAAACGACATATGCCAAGATAGCAAGACTGGAAGGCCACCAGATGGCAGGGTTGCCCAGAAGATAAATTTGACGATGATCCTTGCCCCAGAAGTTGATACCACGTCTTAAGATAGGCCACGAACCTGGGCGAGAGTCCCAAGCGTGGGACTCGACGAGGCCAGCGTTGGTCTTCCACATGACCTTTTGTAATTCCCAGAACTTGCCCAGGAAGCCGGGGTTCTTGTAGTTGACTTTCTCGGCGTCCTCTCCCAGCTGTGGATGATCATTCTGCTCAACGTACCAGACGCTGTTGGGTAGAGTGCCGCCTTTAGCGCACGTCACTTCCTGTTGCTCGAAACCCCAATCAGGCAGCTTGACCTTGTGTGAAAAAAGGACACAGCCAGTCATGATGTGCACGAGCTTGAATTTCGTCTGAATGGTCCGCAGTCTTGTCTTGGCCTCTTCACCATCAGACATGGACTTGATAATTTCCACACGGAAAAGGTCATTGGCGTCTCCTTCAAAGCCCTCGTATCCGTACGCAGTAACCTCTTGTTGCCAATCTGCTTCAGTGACTGGAGGTCGCACATCATGAGAGTGGATTCGGCGGTGAGTTATGGTATGGTATAATCGGATGACATCGCCATCTTTGATGAATTGAGGGCCGTCAGTCAGATTAGCCCAAGCACGTGGTCCAGTGATGGTGACATTGTCTGCAGTGATCGGCTGGGTCTGATTCTCAATCAGGAAGACGTTGTTCTCATCTTTGTGAGGATAGAGAGTGATTTGTTGTTGCTTGCTGCCGGTTGGATACATGTGTGAGTGAGAGTGGAGGTAGCCGCCCTGAGTATTGTGATGTCTAATGCTGACTTCGCTGCCAAAAGCTACGTCTGCCGGTGTATCTGCCATACCCTTGTTGTTCAAAGTTGCCTGGAACTCGGACGACATGAAGCCATCGCCGTCACCCGGATTTACCAGGCAGAGGAAGTGAATGCCGAACATACCGACGTAGAATGCGATTGGGATGACAATGAGACAGAATACTCGAGCGAAGAAGTGCTTGAACCACTTTCTCGGGGTGATATAGACGTTGTCGCCCAGGAGAACCCAGAGTTGAAGGACCGTCAAGCTGCCCACCCAGGCAATCGTGAAGAGACCAACCCACTTCACACTGACTGTCGCACCCAGACCGAGGCCGGTCGCTGCAAGCCAGAACCACCAACTAGCGTCGAACGCTCGATCAGGACCGAGCTCGTGCTGGTTATTGAAGCATGTCCAAGCCAAGGCCGTGAAAGCGGTGCAGATGACCAATGGTGAATCAAGCAGGATCAGTCGAGATTGTGTAACCAAGCCATTCTCAAAGATCAACAAAGCAGCCCCCAGCGAAGCAGTGATAGTCTTACACCCGGCCGCCTTCAAGGTCAAGAACATGGTAGGGATAGTCAAAACTCCGAGTATCGCGGGCAACATGCGCATTGAGACGTAAGGGACACCGGGTTCGAGGTAATCTTTTCCAATATCCTTGAAATCGAAGTTTCCGTCGAAGCCAGCGGCCCAACCAGCAAGTGTGATCAAGAGTTTTGCCAGAGGAGGGTGGACGTCCATAAAGAATTTGCCTTTGATGTACTTCGTCGCAAATCCACCAAAGCTATTGATGCTTAGTCTCTATGCCCTGAGTCTCATGGATGTAGACTTACTGGACCTCATCGAACACGACACTGGTAGGCTGATAGATGCGGAACAAACGAACCACACAAGCCAACAGGGTCAAAAGCGCCATGACCTGATAGTCGGAGCCGGGAAGGAGGAATACATCATTATCTGTTACTCCGTCGGACGCATAGCTCTTTGCTTTTATGGCCGTCACTTCTTTTGAAGGCGCAGGAGTAGGAGCCTTGACTTTATGGGCAGTCCCATTCTTTCGGGGAGCTGCGTTCGCCATGGTGTTATCGCCAATTGAGAAATGTGAAGGGGTGTTATTCCACGGTGCTCGAGTGCCGCAAGGCTGTCCGCAAGAAGGGATCGACGGTGGTCAGGCCCTGCGTTGGAAGAGGAAAGCTGGTCAAGGAGAGACAAGGAAAGAGAAGGGAATCATTGACAGGTCTAGAGACCAGATTACAACGATTTAAAGAAGAATCATGGAAAAGAAGAAGAAGCACAGGGGTGAAGGTTGAGTTATTGAAAAGGCTCAGGAGGACGATTGATGGATAGGACAAGTTGTTCTTGAGCATTTGACAACTCCGCAGCTGCGCAGTCCAAAAAAGTGACACAAGAGACACATGCGCGTCCACCAGTCGCGTTGTAGGCGAAGCGGCACTCTCCTTTTACTACTAGGCCTTACGAGTAAAAGCCCCTTGCCAACTCACCAGCCACAGAGCCTACATTGAGCCACACTTCTGTGGCGGAGAAGTCAAAAGTTTGTGGAGCAAGTCATTTCTACGAGAACATTTCCAGGCCTCTACGTCTACAAAGCTGCTGGCAGCACTGCACATTATCCAGTGGTCATTAATGCTCCAGACTGTTCTGCACGCCATTCCTATCACAACCTGAAGAGCGTCCAGGGAGTGTAATAGTCCGCTCAAATTCTCGCAGGAGAAATCAATTGTATTCCTGCCAGGCACTCAACCTCATTCTCGACCATGGCGCAGAACGGCGCAGTCCCAGAACTGCCCGAGTCCGTCTCAAAGCCTCCTGAGGGAGTCATCCTGCCTCCAAAGGACATCAGAGCCATTATCGAGAAGACCGCAGGCTACGTTGCACGAAACGGTCCAGTCTTTGAAGACCGCATCCGCGACAAAGAGCAGGCAAACTCCAAATTTTCCTTCCTCAACCCGAACGACGCATATGCACCTTTCTATCAGTGGCGACTATCAGAAGTCCGCTCTGGACGAGGTACCACCGTTTCAGCTGGAAGAGCAGGGGATGCTACACCTGCACCAGAAAAGCCCAAGGGACCAGAACCTCCTCCAGAACTCCATTTCAGTGCGCGAATGCCAAACATCAGCGCAGCTGATCTTGAGATTGTCAAGTTGACTGCACTTCACGTCGCCCGCAAAGGCAAGAGTTGGATGACTGCTCTGGCGGCAAGGGAGGCTCGGAATTTCCAGTTCGATTTCCTTCGTCCACAGCACTCGTTGTACAACTTTTTCCAGCGACTGGTTGACCAATATACCATCCTACTACAAACGGGTCCTGAAGGCCAAAAAGCAGAATTAGCACGGATACAGGCTTTACAAGCAAACATCCAGAACCGGTTCCGTGTGCTCGAGCTGGCAAAGAAACGGTCCGAGTACGTCAAATGGCAGGAAACGCAGAAGCAGAAGAAGGAGGAAGCAGAGGAGGCTGAAAAACTAGCCTACGCACAGGTTGATTGGCATGATTTTGTCATCGTTGAGACAGTCCTCTTCACCGAAGCAGATGACCAAGCTGATCTCCCTCCTCCAACAACTCTCAACGACCTTCAAAGTGCCAGTCTCGAACAGAAAGCGATGATGAGTCTCTCTCGCCCAGACATGCGCATCGAGGAGGCAATGCCCACCGATGACATGAACGGATATGCCTACCCTGACCCCTACGCTCAGCCTCAAAATAGCGGCTGGCCCGCGCCTGAATCCGCACAGCCAGCGATGCCAGGCTACGCACCGTCGCCTGTCCCCCAGGCACCCATACCATCTTACTCTCCTGCTCCCGCTTTCCCACCACCGGCATCGGTGCCATCTCCTCAACCTCCGCCTCAGTCAACAGCATCCCCAGCGCCTATACCAGGCCAACCGCCCATGCGCATTAAGTCAGACTACGTCCCACGAGCTCAACAGCGCGCCGCCCGCGCCGCCACCGCAATCTGTCCCAACTGCGGCCAACAAATCCCTGTCGCCGAGTTGGACGCCCATTTGCGCATCGAACTCCTCGACCCAAGGTGGAAAGAACAACAAGCAAAAGCCACGGCCCGCTTCTCAACGACCAATCTCGGTGGGACAGATGTCGCCGCCAATCTCAAGCGCCTACGTGCCAGGACTGATGGAACCGGCGCATCTGCAGATCCAGTGGCAGAAGCAGCCGCTAGAGTGCTGGGCGAGCAGGAAGAAGAAGAACGGCGCAAGCGTATGCGCATGGACGGCGGGACCGACTCACCCGTCTACCCCGGCGTAGGAGGTACGTCACAGCAGCCACCAAACGTGCAGGAGCAGATCCGTCAAATCCACAACAAGTATGGGTCGTGAGAAGGGCTGTGAAAGTGTAGTCACTCTGACTCAAAGCCAGTTGAAGAGACGACCGATTTCAAGGCTGCTCAATCACGACCTGCAGACGTCGTCCACTATCTCGACTTCGAGGTGATGCCACCTAGACTGCAATCGTCGTAGTGTACTAGATCAACTACCAAGCCGCCACTCCGAGTGTCGTCTATTGCACATGCTGCAGACACGCCGATCCGAGATTCACGTTTTGAAGCAAGCTTGGAGCCTCACCGCCCTCAACATGGTCATTACGTGTTTGACGCCTTCCAAATGGTTTGGGGCAGGTCACTCGGATGCCCCCATGTCGGCAGATTGTGGTACTGCAGCCAAGTAGGCCAATCTATGTACTCCATCCTGTGGCTCGACACTTATGCCACGCAATCGATGACAGTTGAACAGCTCACTTACCGACTACGAGGTTGCGGACGTTCGCCGGGATCGTACATCCCTTGAGCATAGTCAGTGGCTGAATATCGCACTGATATGGCTATGCCTAGCTATCTCGGCATTCGGCTGAAGTCTCTCACACGGCACCGGGATGTCCCATGTCGTGTTGAATCTGCAGGGATGGAATGTTGATATCCAGACTAGTAGCCTGGTCGAACATCATACGCAATAGTTAGCCGGAAAGGCACAACGGACGACGTTTGAGACGGCCACCTATCGATCACCATGTCCAGTAGGCCGTCTACCAAATAAAGTTGTCACTGAATAAAATGTATTATACTCACACTCTTGTATGTCTGTGTGAATTATCAAAAGACCAAGTAACTTAGGCCATGCCCGCATGACAACGTAGACTTTTCCATACCATAAAACCATAGGATCGAAAACAACAGATACTCCTCTGTATGCCCTTTGCACTTCTGTTGCTTGCTTGTAGAATGTTCAGATTCAGTGCGTTCTGCAAACATGCTTGAACGCTATACCAAGAGCACGATAGGGGTATCCTATAAAACAAATTCTTGTACAGGTGAACAATCAAGCTCGGAAGAACCATGGACAACAATGTTGGTAGCCGTCGGTATTGACCACAAAAGACGCAATGGTCTCACAGTGCGAGACAACTCAGCCCGATGAGGCTGGATCAACAGTTGCTCTGTGATGGACTGCAGCCGTGCCGTTGGCTCCAGGGGCGTTGGTGCCTTGGTACGTTGGGTTTGTGCTCTGGTACGTTGGGCTGGTGCTCTGATATGTTGGGTTGGGGCCCTGATATCCCGCGTTGGAATCTTGGGATGCAGTGGCTCGATGTTGGGGGATTAGTGATCCGGCTCTATCTTCATCCCTCGAAATCTTTGGTGCACTATCCTGGGACGACATCGGTTCGATGGCAGCAGTCGGGCTGATGACAGGACGAGTGAGGTCGCGCTCTGGGTTGTAAGCAGTCGCTTCGAGGTCGTCAAAGTCTTGACCAGGGTTGGCGGTTTGATATTCACAACTCTTGATGAACCAGAAGAAACCCGACGCAATAAGCGCCCCAAGGAGAGGGCCTACCCAGTAGATCCAGTGTTCACTTGGGAATTCGCGGCTGGCGACGCAAGGTCCAAAGCTACGAGCTGGGTTCAGCGACCCGCCAGTGTAGTAAACACCTGGTGATTATAAGTTTAAGATACTTCAAGGTGTTGACAACCGTGAACTTACCAGCCAGCTCGGCGATGAATAGAGACAACCCAATACCCACTGGTGCAAGGAAAGTTCCCTTGTGCTTCTCTGCCTGCATGGAGTCAGCACTGCGCGGAGAATCAGTCGGGTCGTACTCACAGCAAGCATGAAAATGGCAAAGACAAGCTGGGCAGTGAGGAACTGTTCTGTTGTTAGACTTGTCTTTTTCCAGTCTTGCACAAGGAACCAACCATTTCAATGAACAACCCCTGTACCACGCTGGTACCCCCACTCAGGGACGTTGTGACTGCAAGCGGACCGGGGAAGAGACAACTGACGACACCAGCCGCTGCCATAGCTCCTAACATTTGAGCGATGAAAACCAGCCCACCACGAATGAAGGGCACGGCGCCAATCAAGCAAAGACCAAGAGTCACCTGCGATTGTTATCAGTCATCTCTTGTCCTTCTGTGCACTGCGAACCACTCACGGCTGGATTGAAAAGACCGCCCGAGATTCTGAAGAAGATCCAAGCATTGACAGCAAGGGAAAAGCCAAAGCACAGGCTGATGTAAAGAAGCTGGGCAGGAACAGGGCCTTGTGGAAGGTTCGTACTGGTGCTACCAGTCGAAGTTTGAGGGGTGTTGGCGACCTGAGTGCCGGCGAATGCGAAGAACCTAAGAGCAGGACATCAGCAAGAAAACCTTTACAATGCGGTGTCACAACTCACAAGAAGAGAAACGTGCCCACGAACTCGCCGGCCATAGCAATGAAGTGGTTCCGAGGCTTATTTGGGATCCTCATGAAGAAGGAAAGTGGTTTGGGGCCCTGCATCTTCTCGTCTTCGCCTGCGTGTGTTGCTCCGGTTGAATTGAAATGATTCCTTATTCTGCCTTTGCCAAAGACACCAGGTAGAAACCCGGATTTCGCGTTGATGTTATCCATGATAACTTGGAAGCACCTGCCGTCGGATCTTCTTGTACACGATACGTTCACTGGAAGGAGGCAGCTGCGGCCTCTCAACGAACAAGGAAGGAGGAAGGTCGTGAAGAAGGTCACAAATAGGAGTACAGAGGTTACAGGAACAACGCAGCAACCTGTATCGAAAGAGAAAAGGCCAAACCTCGACAAAGCAGTGTAATGAGGACCAATTGAGCCTGCGAGGATATATTCTCAGAAGTCAGTTTTGTAGCAGATGGCGTTCCACGTTAGGGATAACTCCAAGGGAGTGGTAAGATAAGCGTCTACTGGAGCAGCAACGATGTCATGAAGGGCAACGACTTCAATCGCAGGGTCCATGTGGATGGAGGGAAACGCCATTCAAAGCCTAAAAAGGTCAAGAAGAACTCGAGTCTCCCACGGTCCTCGTAAAACTGGTGATGGTGCGTCGTGGACAATGGGGATTTGTACATGCGGATCGACATCATGTACGGAGTATCGAGTGGAGAGTCGTGAATCGTTAAGCAAAACGGAATGACGAGGGCTGCAGACGTCGAACGCGTGCATTGGGCATGGTGCCCGTGTTTCTACCCACCCCCAGCCGCGCATTAAGCCCGACATGGCCGTTTAGGCGTCGAGTCTAGCCCCGGTCGTGCGCCTATTCAACGATGTCTTTGGCACTAAACGTTGTAAACGAGCAGAATTGATGGATTGACTTAGCTGAAGATGAGGTAAGTGAGTTCGCTGACCTGCCAAACGATTAGAAGCTCGACTATATCTGTTGTTTCCGCGTAATCAACAAGCGAGTTCTTAGTGCGTCCTGGAAAAAGGAGCCTGTAGATGAATATCCAGCCTCGAATCTCAATGTGTCAAGGAACCGGGGTCGAGGTCAGCAATCCAGCCCGGGGTTGGTATGCCTGTAGATGAATTTTGGTTGCCGTTATCCGGTACGAGCGTGAAGTAGGTAAGGTATACCTGGTAGACGTGCTATAGAAACTCCGTACCAGTACTGCGGCTCTTGTACGAAGGAGATAATGGGGAAAAAAGGATGTCACCACAAGATTGCGTGGACATAAGTCACCTCTAGCATTGCGTGGCGTTGTAAGTCATCTGTGCCGGTCATCAGTCTTTTTTCCCCGTAGATCTATCTGTTCTGCACGTGATCAAGTCTGCTTCGTTGGAGCATTCAACTCTCCAGTGCAGATGCAAGGATTAACTCAGGGTACTGTCACTTGAGCAGCAGGATACGGCGAAAGGGCACAATCGGATACAGAATCCATTCCACATCAATCAATGACTGGAAGCCTCGCCAGGCTGCACTGCAAACCTTGGAACTTCGTTTCTCAATCCGCCTCCTTCTTCACGCAGCGTTCCTTCCGAGCCTTGCAGATTTCCTTATACCTCATTATCTTTCCTCTATTTGACGTTACCTATCGCTCATCGCCCATCGCTCATTGCAAGGCGCATGGAGTCTCGCTCCGTTTCAATTTGATAGCGGACCCATCGCCAACCACATATCCTCCACGATGCGTCCGCTTCGCTTTCTACTACTGCTCGCTTTCTTCATCGCTCTACCAATAGCACTGACCTGCTGGTCTTTACTCAAATCATCGGAAAGTGCCGCGGACGCCCTTCAGGCCGGCTACGATACCCGACCAAGAGGCATCAGGGCCTTATTTTCCTTTTCTACACCCTCTGCACTCTTCCCACCTTCCGCCATCATCAGCCTGACGAACGACAATTCAACCTTCTTCCTTGCCAGGCCAGCAGCGTTTGGACCGGGTCTCCCATCAAAGGGTCTTAGCGGTCAATTGTGGGTTGGCAAAGGATTTGGAGATGATGCACTATTGAAAGAGGAGAATATCCATGTTGTGGGTTGGGAATTGGGGTGCTCTGACGTGCCGGGTTGGGCAGATGAGGCATCGAAGCGTGTGCAGAACCTCCCGCAGGTTGATCAGAATGAAAAAGCAGTCAAGGGGCGCCGTGATCTGGATCACGCAGCCATGTCAAATGAAGCAAGCGTCGACGGGTCAGACGTTCTTTCCGATGACACTCTCCTCCCCGACGATGGAACGGACGATTACCTTCATCGGCCGTTGCCTGACTCCAATCCTGCCACACCCGCTCAGCCTGGCGAGCCTGCAAATATCGATATAGCCGACAAGAACAAGAAGGCGACTCATGCAGATATTGAGTCATTACAAGAAAGCGCCGATATTGCAGGGAAGATCGTCATGGTCAGCCGAGGCGGGTGCGGATTCTTGGAAAAGGTCAAATGGGCTCAGCGACGTGGAGGGGTGGCTCTCATTGTGGGAGATAACGAACGTGGAGCCGCATTGACTATCATGTACGCGAAAGGCGATACATCGAACGTGTCAATACCAGCAATCTTCACGTCCTACACGTCAGCGCATCTTCTCTCTTCCCTTGTCCCGCCGGAGTCGGGTGAGGATGAGGACGGGTCTCCGAAAGAGCCGGACAGGCCCTCTAAGGGTGCTCCAAACCACGACAAGCATGCGAACCACAAACAGCAGGGCAACAAACCAGTCTTCACTTCTACCAAAACAGGAGCACGACAACCTACCATGGTCCCTGCTGGCGAGACTGACGAAACAACTGAAGAGACGTGGCTGGGTAATGTTCTCTCCGCAATAAGACTGAACGAGAATTCCCCGTTCGGCCACGCTGAAGACAGCCGCCGGCCACCTAGCAGTGGCAACATTGACTGGGTTTTGTTGGAAGACTGGGACGAGGAAGCAGCTCCGAAATCAACCAACAAGGCGAGCATGGCGGTCAATCCTGCCACATTATCGACCTCAACACTCAAAGCTCAATCAACGAAGTCAAAACGTCCTGGCGAAGATGATTTTGTGATCGGAGTACAGGATTGGCGCGACACTGATCTCGTGGCTCCGAAAGCTATCAGTAGCTCGACCAATGTGCCTGCTAACGGCAAGAACGTCCCGTTAGAATCTGCTTCTACCATCAAAGGCACAGATGTCCCGGAAGAGACATTGAAAGGTGGAAGCATTACTCCTGGTAGTGGTGAATACGACCATGTCAAGTCTGATCACCGAAGTCCGCGAGGGAGAGCATCTTCCAAGCAACACTCAAATCATGAGAAAAGTCAGCATGGAAAGCAGTCGTCCGACGACTCCTGGCTCGACGTGTTCAGGTCAAGTAAATCAGAGAAACATGCTCCCAAAGCAGCAGCATCTAAGAAACAGAAGCGCCCTGGGAGTAATGTGAAGGACCACGCGGCGCCACCAAAAGAGGAGGAGGAGCATCCGGGACTCTGGGTGACACTGACGCCAACCAGCGTGTCCACAAGCCCCTTCTTTGACACCCTGCTTGTCCTTGTCGTAAGTCCACTCGTCACTCTGACAGTGGTCTACGCATTGCTACTGTTGCGGTCGCGCATCCGGCGACGAAGATGGCGAGCACCCAAGTCGGTGGTAGATCGCTTACCTGTTCGCACCTACCACACAATGTCTACAGCGTCGTCAACAACTTCCTCGCAAGTCGCATCGCCGGCTTCCTCCTCACCGGCGTCGCCTCTACTGGTGTCGACATCACAGAACGTATCACAGAGACCTCGGCCTCGGTCACAAACGACGAACGGCGTGTTCTCCTCTTCAGCGCCTGCAGATTCGTCGATGTCAAGCCCTCAACCGACGTCAACGGAGAAGCCGCAGTCGCCCGCAGCGGCAGCCAAACCCACCAACGCCAAGCGGAAGCGATATACTGGACGACAAGTCGAGTGCGTGGTCTGTTTGGAAGAGTACGTCGACGGTGAGAGTAAAGTCATGTCTTTACCGTGTGGTCACGAGTTCCACGCCGAGTGTATTACGCCCTGGCTGGTAAATCGGCGGCGCACGTGTCCAATCTGTAAAGGCGATGTCGTCCGCAGCCTGGCGAGAGGCGAGGACGAGACTCTCGAGAATGAGCAGACGAGCGACGACGTGCAGGATCGAGTCGCGCAGACTGTCAATGAAGAGCCGAGTGCTGCGATACCTATTCCTTCGGGGAATGACCGGAGGGCGAACGAAGATGTCGAGCGCGGACAGGCTGCTGACGCGCCTTTGCTGGGCGAAGGCGAAGGCGAAGGTGAAGACAGGACTGTCCGGCAGCAGGAGGGTGAGGTCGCTCGGCAGTCTGTTTGGAGGAACATTAGCGCCAGTGTCAGTCGGCTTAGTGGTGACACGCTTTGGAGGCAGACTCCCGTGGACCGGAACAGATGAGTCTGTCCTCTTTTAATGACAACTATGTGTTTTGCATGCATGGAGTTATGGAGCATCTTTGGGCTGCAGACTTGTCCTCTCAACTTGATAGCCTGCTGTAGTCAACGAGGCATTGCATGGGTGAATGATCCATAATCATAGCCTGGCGAGAATATTATTGGTATTGCTACAAGATTATATACAAAAGTGCAAATGTTCAACCGTCGCTGAACTCGCAATGATGGTCTCAAAACGGCTGAAAGCATGGTGTCAAGGCCAAGCTTGTTTTACAAGGTGTCTGCAACGTGTCTTTTGGTGACGTCTCGCATGACTTTGTTGCAGTGGCTTAAAAGAACATGCGTTCAAGCAATAGTATAAATCTAATGCCTTGGCTGCTTTGTCGGATTGAGGGATGCAACAGGAGGTCTTGCTAGAAGCCAGGAGAGAGAAAGGTGTGCATCTTCGGGTAGCGGTGACAGCAGTCGAGTATCTGGTCTGGCTCAGCATTGTTCTATGCAGTGACTAGCCTCTGTAGGCCCTGCGCGTTCTGTCGACCATGCTCGTATTGTTGATACTTTTCGTGTTGCCGGTCCTGCTCATGTTGTCGGTCCCTCTCAGGTTGTCGGTCCTGCTCATGTTGTCGTTCCTGCTCAGGTTGTCGGTCCTGCTCAGGTTGTCGGTCCTGCTCAGGTTGTCGGTCCTGCTCAGGTTGTCGGTCCTGCTCAGGTTGTCGGTCCTGCTCAGGTTGTCGGTCCTGCTCGTGTTGTCGATGCCGCTCGTGTTGCTGCCAGCCCTATCGGCGTAAGATTGCGCAGCCCCAATTTGGGGGAACGGAGACCACGTGGCAGTCTTCATCTTCCTCCCAGCGTTGACAGGAGGATACTCCGGAGGGGGTGGCTCAAGTTCGCCTTCCGGGCGCTCTTCATCAACCACGTAATGTCTATACTCGGGCTTCAAATGAGGTGCCTTCGTTTCCCAGTTCCATGTCCGCGGTGTCATGTCAGTGGGCAAGGCCCATCCTGCGGGCGCGGGTATTTCCACCTTTTGCCCAGTCTCTTCATCGTAGTAGAAATGACGTGGGGGTAGAACTTCGACAACCCGCACGGGTTGGACGTATGTGTAGAAGTGATGTATATGGAGATCTCGTGAGATCTCGTCGCGGATGACTTTCACCGTATGCTGTTTGACAACTTCTTGTGTCACCGCAGGATGGAAGACTGTTTCAACGTCGGTGTGTACCTTAGACCCCAGCTGAAAGTTGGAAGGGAGCTGGACATGTTGGCTGGACGGTCGGACAGAGGTCTCTTCTTGTGACGGAGACCACGTTGAGCCTGCTGGGCGGAAGGCTGTTCCATTGGACATGTCTGAGGTCGAAGGAGTGTGGTGGAGTGGGTTCAAAGGAGAAGGATCGTAGGGTGCCAAAGGTACGTGACGGGGTGTCCTTGGAGTGGTGGCTCCCTGCTCGCGGGAAAGACTCGTGGAGGAGAGTGAAGGGACGTTTCCTTTGGGTACGGAAGTCGGGAGTGTGTCTTGGGATGGATAGGTTCGGGGTCTCAGTGGAAGAGCTGATGGAGGAGATGACTTGGCGTGGTTGGTGGTCTTGGTTTGGCTTTTCGCAGTTTGGGGTCGATGAGCCGTGTGAGAAACCGAGTTTTTACGGAGAGATGACGACCGTTGAGGAATAGCTTGATCTGGGAGTTGAGGCAAGGCTGTAAGGCTTTCTGGATGATCAAACGATAGTCTCTGGTTCTGGTTTTTTGTGTGGAGAGGTTGGGCCATATCCGTGGCGTGCTGGGGATCTGTCAAAGCGTACGAGGAAGGCTGCTCTCGCATACGACTTCTTGACGGGAAAGACCGAATGACATATTGGGGAGGAGTCGTAGCTTCATTTTTCCGGGCATTATTGGATGGGAAAAGGTAATAATGATTGCGTTTGACTTGTCTCGGAGTAGTACTCGTCGCGATACCTCGTGCTGTGTTGCTGTTGCCGGTGGTGGTGCTGGTGCTCGTACTCGAGGTGCTGCTGTGGGTGCCAGTGGCTCCGTTATGCATGACGTATGAATAAAGAAGCTGTGCGGGAGCCTCCACCAAGCTGGCACGGGCAAGTTTGTGTCTCAAACCCAGCCACACTTTCTTCTCTCCTTCTTTTTTAACGTAACGGCTGTCAGAGATGTCGTCAAACCCACTCACGCAGAAACTACCACTCGATCTTGCTTTTGATGAAGAGTCAAAGCGTTTACCATGACGCGCCAAGGTTGTTTTTGATCGGTTCTAGAACCAAGGAATTTGGAACGAAAAAGAAAATTGCGACTTCTGCTATCTGGCCCCGACTTGGATTTCGCTTGCGCCTCCTGACTACCCAGAGGTCCCAGACCACCAGAAGTCCCTAAGAGTAGAACTCGTAAGCGATGCAAACTTCACATGGCTGAACCGAGCCACGGGAAGCTTAGTTCGCAGGCTAGACCAGCCGAAATGGCCTCCCTGACTCCCAATCCCAGTCCCGGGCCCCTGTTCATTAGGCTCAAGCATGCCCAGCTGGACCAGGGGGTTATGAAAAAAAGATGCCCATGTTTCGCTCGATCGGCAGTGGACAGAATTTTTGAGGAAATCCATTGCGCCCAACCTGAATACATGATTGGCCCGATGCCTTTTGGATAAACAGACCAGTCTGAATTGAGTCGCTGGTATACACTACCTGAGTAATTCACATTGTCGGGCTTCCCGGATTTGTGGTGACCTGGCCACCGGTCCCGACGATTTGAGAGCGATCTCTAACCGCGCTGTCGATCAGGAAGGTGTTGGAAAAATGTCATTCTACAGTGACTGTGCCACGGTGGTACCGTTGTACAAGCACAAGCACAAGCACAACCACAACCACAACCAGAGCCTGCCTACAATTAAAGGTGACACCTATGACGATGGCCAGCAAACAAGAACAACCCCTCCGAGGAGGAAACTCTCAGTAACCCCTCAGTATAGTGTTTATGCCAGTCGACGAGAACAGACCGCATTCGGAGCGAGCAATCGTCACAGGAAGAGAAGAAGCGTGGAATGAAGCCTCAACTGACACGGGAATGTACCCCTGTTGTGGCTTGACACAACCCCCATTCGCTGTGAGATTTGACAGATTGGGTGTTAGTCTGCCTAAGCGCTCGAGCCAGGCGGTTTTCGCCTCCCCCACAGTACCTTTTGAATGCCGTTCTCACGCCACAGCTATTTGATATGACCTCAAAAAGAGACTTTCATCATTGCGATGCATCATGACGCACGAAAGCCTCCATCCTGCATCATTTTGGTGAGGGTTGCCTTGGGTGAAATCTTGTTTTGGGCCCGGCAAGACTTGTCTGTGCGGTGTTGGGGACCACAGCTCAGTGCATCCTATCCTCCGGCAGCAGCCCGTGGAATTGACATACAGCAGCGGGTGAACAAACAATGATTTTTAGTTGATGCGAGAAATTGTGCTTCTAGAGAGCCTAAGGAGTATGAACCTGAGGCACAGCTGGGCATCGTGCAGTTCGTGAGGTAAGTTCCGTTAGCGAGTCCAAGCTCGATTATCCGGTCCATGTTTCCACTGTGAGATTGGAATCCTCCAGATCGATCGACACTGGAGCCTCGAAGGTCGGATGGTAGACGCGACTCTCGTCACCAATCGATTGAGCCTATGCTTTCGGTGACGACGTCTGGATCTCCCTACCTCGGGTTAGTGCAGGTTTAGTTGGTGCACCATGATATCACTTCTTTCTGGAAAATGACATGGTACCTCAACTTGTCAGTTCCTGCAGGGCATTACAGCATATATTTGACCTACTTCCCAGACTCTACGAACTCAATCAAGATACCTTTTCTACCTATCCAACATACTCGTACCCAATCAACCAATCAACCAACCTACAACCGTCAACATGGAAGCAGCAAGAGCAGCCGTCAACAAGATCACCGGCAACCGGGGCCACCACACCACCGTCGATGAGACCGTCAACCCCGCCGTGACCCGGGAGGTCGTCAAGCCCCACGTACACGAGGAAGCCACTCAGGCCATTGACCGCGAGGTTCACCAACATCATTACCACACCACCGTTCAGCCCTTGACTCACCAGGAGACTCTCCCTGAGAAGCACACCCACAACATCCTCGCCGCCGAGGAGCGCGAGTTCCACCACGACAACACCAAGGATACTGAGGCTAAACTCGCAGCCGAACTTGGTCACTTCAAGGACACCAGACGCGTCGAACAGGTTACTCAGACACAAGCCACTGCTCCCACTGTCACTGGCGAGCACGTCCACCACCACGTCCACGAGACTGTCGTGCCCGTTGTTCACAAGGAGATTATCCAGCCAGAGGTTATTCACACCACCAAGCCTATCCATGAGTAAGCCATGCCATTTCTTGCACTTTTGAACGAGTTGCTAACATTGAGATAGAACTCACCATGCCGCTGCACAACATCACGGACTCTCAGCCCTTCCTATGAAGACCCTTGACGAATTCTCCAAGGCCGGCGGTGTTCTGGCCGGCGGCAAGCACGGTGCTCACGAGGAGTATGACGGCCCACCGCGCAAATACAACGAGAAGCTCTCCACCACCTTCGACAAGCTCGGTCTTGAGGCCAAGGAAGCTCTGAGTGGCCACCACCACAGCGGTACTACCGGCACCACCGGCACTTCTACTGGCGGCGGTCTGACTGGTTCTCACCGCCAGACTGACTCTGGCTACGGCGGTGTTGACAACGGTCTTGAGGGTCGCGAAGCTGGCTTGACCAGTGGCAGCACCGGCTATGACAACGAGCGAAGCAGCGGACTTAGTGGACGCGATAACTATGACAACACCCGAGGAACTAGCGGAACGACTGGTGGTAATTTCGGCAAGATGACTGACCACTCGAGAGGAACTGGAACTACCGGTACCACTGGTGGTGCCAGCATGAAGGACAAGTTGGACCCTCGCATCGATGCTGACGGAGATGGTCGTCGGGGTGTCGGAAACTAGAGCAAGTTTCCATTGCAAGCATTATACCAGCGGGGAATTGTTATTGCGTCGTTGTACGTTTGGGCGATTCAAGAAGGATGTTAGAATACGCATACCCCCGTGTCTGCTAGCTATCATGACTTTATGACGAAAAGTCTCAAGAGACTATTGAATCAAATACCTTGTATAGTAGTCACCAGAATTATGGAAAATTTGGACCCATTCAATTGTACCCCTCAATCTTGCTAACCTCGGTTATACTATCATTGCTCTTCATATCGTCGAATCGACGTCGACTCGATTATGTTTACCTAAGCCAACGGAGTTGAGCCTCCGCGCAATTCGGCACGAAGCACGATGTAGGCCGACTCAACCACTCATATATGTCAATCGCCAGCGCTGTGGCTATTTCTGCTTTAGCCTTGTTCCTGCCATACATGAAAGTTTTGCCTATCCGATCGGTGACCCCAGTTTCGGTACCTTCATTGCCTTGTAGAGCAGTATTGGGCTATTTTTGTCATTTCCGTCCACATCCAACCAGGGTCGTATCAGCAAGTCGAAGGCACAGGCACACAATGTCGAGCGAACTCATCTTATACGATCTTCCCTCGAAGCAAGGGACCAGCTGGAGCTATAACCCATGGAAGAGTGAGTCGTCTATGCCCCTGATGTTTCCCTCCCAATATTACAACCAAGCATCCTAGTATGTTCCTGACGAGCTCTTCCTCAAACAGCAAGATTGGCATTGAATTTCAAGGGCATTCCCTACAAGACAGAATGGACAGAGTATCCAGACTTGCAACCCAAGTTTGAAAAGCTGTAAGTGTTGCACGTTACGCACATCCGCAGCCCACGGATATTGAGTGTCTCTCTATGCGAAAGCCAAAGTCACAGCTATCCTGACCTCTCTGTCGCAGTGGCATCCCGCCTGCCTCGACCGGCATGAAATACACTTCCCCCACCGTCAAATTGCCCGATGGCAACTACATAATGGACTCGCGCGCCATCGCCGACGCACTGGAGAAACTACAGCCCAGTCCGTCACTGCATCTGGACTCGCCGTACCAGGCGCGCATCGAGAAAGTCGTGCCCGATCTAACGAACAGCATCCGCCCCATCTTCATGCCGTTGGTGCCCAAGACATTCCTCAACAAGCCTAGCTACGACTACTTCCTTGCCAGTCGTGAGAAGATGCTTAGCATGCCCCTCGAAAAGTACGCGGAAGGCGCGGATGCGGCGTTCGAGAAAGCGAAGCCTTATATCAAGCAGCTGGGCGACATGCTCAAGGAGAACGAGGGTCCGTTCTTGGAAGGCAAGAAACCTGTCTACGCGGATCTGATGATTGTGGCGATGCTGAGGATGCAGGCTGGGCTAGGGTATGCGGAGAAGATTTTTGATTGTGAGGGTGGGAAGGAATTGAAGGCGCTTTATGAGGCTAGTAAAGAGTGGTTGGAACGGGAAAGTCACTAGACTCGCGTTGAGAGAACGTACGACGGGTGAGGTCAAGGGTTTCTAAGCTAAGTGTATATAGGGCTCATGCTCGAGCGTTCAAAAAACCCCCATTCGGTGATCTACGGCTCTAGTTTTTCTGTGATATCAAGGTGGGCTACTGGCTATAGCTGAATGACCACCTTGCCAAAGTTCTTCTGTTCCCACTGGTACTCGTACGCGTCTGGGGCGTCTTCGAATTTGAATACCTTCTCGTCGACGATTGGATGGATGTTGTTGGCGTCAATCGCGCGGTTCATGGCGTTCAACTGTGCTTTGGAACCGATCAGGATGCCGCGGATGATGCACCCAGCCATCAAAGAGGCGAGGGTGCCTGGATCGTCCTGGGATGGCCCGCCGAGGAAACCGATGACTGCGATGACACCTTCGAGTTTGATTGCTTGGGGTCCGAGTTAGTATCGAGCTGACGATTCAAAAGACAAGAGGGAAAGGTAGCTTACCTTTCAGAGACTGAGCCATCGTGCCAGGACCGCCGACTTCAACGATGATGTCGACACCGGCCTTGCCTGGGGACAACCTCTTGGCTGTCTCGCCCCAGTTGGGGTCGGTCTTGTAGTTGAGGACAATGTCCGCGCCCATCTTTTCTAGACGCTTGGCCTTCTCATCGGATGATGTCGTTGCGATGACGGTGGCGCCGGCGGCTTTCGCGAATTGGATTGCTGCCAGAGAAACACCTCCCGTTCCCTGGGTCAGGACGGTCTGTCCAGGCTGGAGGGCTTTAGACTCGAGGCCGTAAAGGGCGTTCCATGCCGTTAGAGGAGCACAGGTTAGTGTCCCTGCTTCGGTCGGCGAGAGGTTTGATGGAGCACGTGCAAGACCAGACTCAGCGAAGACGGCATACTGGCGTAACGTGCCGTCGATGGCACCGCCGAGGCCGGTCCCGAGTGCTTCGGTAGTGATGGGACCATGTTGATGAGCTTGGTTGAATAGTGTTACAACCTTGTCGCCTTCTTCGAACTGCTTGACCTTCTTGCCCGTAGCCAGGACTCTGCCAGCTCCATCTGAGCAGGCGACGACCGGAATTCCGAGTGGTAGCGGGTACATGCCCTGTGAAAACATGTAAGCTCGGGTATTGCTTCGCGAATAGCCGACCCGAGGATATACGTACCAGAGGGATGACCAGATCCCGGTAGTTTAGTGAGACGGCTTGGATTTGGACCAGAACATCATTCTCCCCGAGTTCTGGAATGGCTTTGCCCTTCTCGAGCTTCAAATTACCCCGGAGGCCCTTTTCCTTATCGATACTCTGGATCACCCAGGCGTCGGTGGTCTTTGGTAGTGACATTGCGAAACCGGGTGTCGACAGTACAGGCTTGGGTGATCGACGTAGTGTGGAGGGTTTGAAGTAGTTCTCACGGCTGTGCAAGAGAGTATACACAGTATAATGTAGCGGCACAGTGGATGATATATAGAAACCTACCGGTCCGGGAGAATAAAGTTTCCACGGGTGTTTCTGGAAAATGATCCGCAAGGGAAGAAGAGGGGAATTGGCAATCGACGCTGAGGACAACTCTGATGTAATTACAAATGGCTGCCCGAGGGTAGTAGTGTCTTTGCAACCGACGCGTTACGGCTCGAGTTCCTATCCCAGCACGAGCTTCTACCTGCCGAAGCTCAATAGGCCCTTACAGTGCTTTCTTGACGTTGACTCTTGACGCAATAAAGCGACGCCCCACAAGTTTACTGACAATGGGGAATGGCTGCTTCTCGGGAGCATATTCATATGACCCAATCAAGAGGACATGACAGAGTGCAAAGGACTTTATGTGTACTTATGCAAGGCTCTCCATGGATGACCATGGCAGCGTCGATATTCGTAATGCCACATAGAAACCCGGGATTGTGTTGGCGAGGCAAAGGGGAAGAAAAGTTGTGTTGCAGTGACCGCGGGGACGAAGACCGGGTTTCGGCGTGGCAGTGGGCAGCGGTAGATCATATAGTCCTCAACCACAATATATGCTACAGCGAACCATACAGGCTTCTGCCGCTCTTCCCATTTGTGGGATTGATTTCAGCAAAAATCTTGGCTTGGCACTTTGCCTTGCGCCGGCTTGCTAAACGATCAAAAGTTGATTGACTTACAACTCAGACCAGTCGACCAGCAATCAGCAAAGTCGAGACAATTGGAGGTTGGAAACGAATACCAACATTCCAGTCGCAATCATGTCTCAACCAGCCCTCAACAAGATCGCTCACAACAGCCCATCGAGGCAACATCCTTCCGAGTTGGAAACCAGCATCGCGACTGCCCTTTACGAACTCGAGACCAACATCCCAGACCTGAAGGCTTCCCTGAGACCCCTTCAATTCGTCTCTGCTCGCGAGGTACGATTTTTCTAGCCTGAAAAAGCAGTCCTTTGTGCTGGTGTGGGAAGAAGACAAGAGCATAAACTAACAAACTCGATTCTACAGCTCGAAGTCGGCCACGGAAAGCGTGCCATTGTCATCTTCGTCCCTGTCCCTCTCCTCGCAGGCTTCCACAAGGTCCAGCAACGCCTGACCCGCGAGCTCGAGAAGAAGTTCTCCGACCGCCACGTTGTCATCCTCGCCCAGCGCCGCATCCTGCCCAAGCCTAAGCGATCCAACCGATCCCGCACCTCGCAGACTCAAAAGCGACCTCGCAGCCGAACTCTGACCGCTGTCCACGATGCCATCCTCGCCGATGTTGTCTACCCAGTTGAGATTGTCGGAAAGCGACTCCGAACAAAGGAGGATGGAAGCAAGGTCTTGAAGGTTGTCTTGGACGAGAAGGAGCGTGGTGGTGTCGACTACAGACTCGACACTTACTCCGAGGTCTACCGAAAGTTGACCGGCCGTGTTTGTGGCTTCGAGTTCCCATTGAGCGCTGCTGTCGATTTCTCATAGACGAGTCAACCAGGAAAAGATCAAATGCATGATGGGTGGTGATACAGGAGAAATCTTCAGTGCACGTTTAGACGACTGCGCTGACATGTTCGATGGTGATCAGGGCGTCATCTTGATTCATGGGCTGCAAAATGTGAACATGCAGAGGTAGCATTGTGCCTAGGTTGAATGAAACAGAAAATACCATTCAGTTTCACAGTTTTTCGCAGAGCATGGCTCTAGATGATTGCATGCCTCCATCGCGATATCACGAGGTTGGATTGGGGCTATTAGAGACAGTGCATGTCTTTTGTACATGGACTTGGTTTTCTATCGACTGAAATCTCCCCCACCAAGAATGTCTTTGATATTGACCTCTCCGCTTCCTCTTTCCAGAGGCTTCGGTTGATTTGCACCAGGTTTCCAGCCGATCATGTATATAACCCGAAAGGTGGCGGGTATCCTATCTTTTTCGTCGTCTTGACAGTGCAGTTCTCTGTATATGGCTTCGTTTGCCAGCAAAACATCCCGAGTCATTGGCCCACCCATGGATTTGAGAATAGCATTCCCTTCACCCATCGCCTGGACGTCTGTCATTAGAGCAAATGTATCCGGGTATTCAACCACAATATCGTCCACGTCAACAGTGAGAAGTGTAAAGCCAGCCCGATTTAGTAGATTACCCACATCACGAACATCCGCTAGGGGTGATATGTGTGGCGAGACACCACCGCGACGCTCGAGATCAGCCAGCTGTAACGAAGAGCGTAATTCGAAAAGGCTATCCCCGCCAAACATGGCGGCAAGAAAAGGAGCATCGGGTTTGAGAATATTATTTACGCTGGAGAGAACGGAGGGAAGATCGTTGATCCAATGTAACGACAAAGAGGACAGTACGGCGTCAAAACTGTTCGCTTCGTAGGGTAGTGCCTCGAGCGATGTCAGGACGTCCTGCGTGATCGGCACTTCTGGCGCAGGGAGCGAGTCATCGCGGTGGAGAGTCGTTGGTGAGGTCTCTGCGCATACAAGATGCTGGACACGTTCGGAGAGTGGGATCTTGGTCGAGGCTTGTCCCTCTGGAAGTTCTGGCGCAATCAATGGAGGTTTGGAAAGTGCTCGGGCGATGTTGCAGCTGTTTGCGCCGAGATCGAGAACTTTTGGGAATTGGCGGTCTATGTCGAGGAGACGGTCCACCAGTCGCTGTGCAACTTCGTCTTTCAGATAGTCGACTTTGCGACTGAACTCGGGGTGGGCGGCGGCTCGCTCTTTTTGTAGGTACTTGACATTGTCATTGAAGACTTTGAATGTTGGTGCACCTGGCGATTGCATTGCATAGGGCCTGCGGAAGCCTGGCCGCCGTCGAAGGGCCGGTGTGGGAAGCCATGGCCGTAGAGCTGGAGGCTTCATGCTGATGAGATCTGTGTAGAGTGCTCAGACAAGTAAATGCCTGGCATGCAGAGTGAGAATGATCAATTACTTCAATTGATGTTGATGATGTCAATCATATACACGGCCAGTCGCGGTAAATTTTGGAAGAGGGAAAGTCTGCCGCGCGAGTCTTTCACACCGCGTATGTTTTCGTCCAGCTGACTCTAAGTGACCAATAATGAGGACGGTGGAGGTAGGTCTTTTGGACATCCATATGAAGAAGATGATGATGTGTGTTCTCGTCATGAAAACATGATCAAAGTGACCGACTACGATCATGGCACTGGCGTTTCCATACACGTTCATCTCCTGCCCCTGTTCGGATGCATCACGGAGAGCATTGACTTCGAAGCGCTCATCGAGGGATGTAGACTTTGATCAAGAGATTCAAGATGAGGACGCTTTCGACCCCCGGAATCCGCGTTCTGCCTTTTCTCTATTTCCTCCTGAGCACCTGCTATATTGCGAAGAATGTCACGACATCAAATGCCCTCGATGTGTGACCGAAGAGATCAATGCCATCTACTGTCCGGATTGCTTGTTCGAAAGCCCGAAAGCCATGGTGAGAGGCGAAGGAAACAGGTGTCCCAGGAACTGTTTCCACTGTCCCATATGCACATCGCAGATGATTACTACCTCTGTGGGAGGTGCAAAGGATGGACCGTTCATTCTCAACTGCAATTACTGCATGTGGAACACGCTTGACATCGGCATCAAATTTGACAAAGCCACAAGCATCCGCAGCCAACTGGACGAGATCTCAAACAAGGGTAGACCGAAACCACCGACGACGATCTCTTCGCCCTATTCGGGCCAAGACGAACCCTGGAGGAAGTCCTCTCTTCCTCAACCTCCTTTCTCGCCGAGCGATCAGACTGAGACCGCTGAACCGTCAGATACGGCACAGACTACAATGGATGCAACGGCCAGGTTCAATGCGCTCAAAGCATTCTACAAAGATCAGATTGCCGCGATCTCCGACACAGATGCAGGCTTTCCGACCTCGGCCCTTGACATCAACTATTCCTCACCATCGTCCCTGCAACGTATCATGAACATTTACACCAACCGTGAAAACTCCCTGAAACGAGCGCGACAAAAGCCCAGTATCATGCGAGAAGCAAGAAGCGCGAGTGAAGGCCTCAAACTTGCAGAACCATCACAGTCCTTCGGTTACGACGCATCCCCAACACCCTTGCAGCGTGCCTTTCAGTGTCCTTCATTCATAGGCAACCCAGACGCCCAGAAAGCATCAAACCTACGACCAATGCCGACGATGATGCGCACCAAGCGCTCCAAACGCTGCGCAGCATGCAAGCACATCCTCACCCGGCCCGAAGTCAATATCAGTTCGTCACGCTGGCGCATCAAACTGATAGCACTGAACTACATCCCTTACGTGACCGTCAAACCACTCCCCGTGTCCGGCGGCCTGCCACCACCCGGGCCTGACGGCGAAGACACGATCCTGAACCCAGGCAAGACTGTACAATTCGTCATGACGCTGCGCAACCCCTTGTTTGAAGACGTCAGTGTTAGTCTGGGCAGTCCCAGCGTCACACCCGGCAAGCATGGCCACCGCGTCACGATTTTGTGCCCGCAATTCCAGATCGGCAGGAATAGCGACGCGTGGGATGATGCCCTGAATAACCCGCCGAACCGGGGCTTGGTAAATGCAGCGGGGGGCGAGCAGATCGCCGGGAAACTGTACGAGCAGGGCAGGAACTGGGCCAGCGTGGTCCTGGAGATTGTGCCGGCTAGTATCGTTAGGAAAGAGGGCGAAGAGCTGGACGAGGATGAAGATGTCATTGAGATCCCGATTAGGGTCAGGCTGGAGTGGACGGTCACGGATGAGGATGCGGGTATTGAGAGACGTAAAAAGGAGAAATTGCTTGACGAGTGCGAGGACGCAGATGACAGGAGGAGGGAGTTGAGCTACTGGATGGTCATTGGCATTGGGAGAGTGCATTGTTGAAGTCCAGTAGAGTCTGGTTGGGGGTGTTCAACGTTGTGTATTGAATGATACCCATATGAGCGTCTATGATTGATCGCAGTACCTCCGTCGCATTCAGAGCAGCCTGAGGGCTTTGATGATCGTATGGCCTGCCTCAACTTCCATACTTGTGAATTGATGTCCCTGCAAGAGGAACTCACGAAGATCCAGCGCTGTCCTGGTACGGGATGCCGGACTGAAATCGTATCATCTCATACCGTCCGACGATCCGACATGACTCTCACGATACCGCCCACACCGACCACTTCCGTCAACTTCTCATGCCAGCTGAGGAGGACGCTCATAACCTGTCCACCGCCGCCTTCTCCAAAGTTCCTGCTGTGTATCTGGCTGAAGCCGCTTCCGGTCGCTTGAGGGCTCATTCCCTTTCCACCGCTCCCACCTGCTCCGCTTGCCATGCCCTTGTATATGTACTTCATCAAGGTGTCTCCCAGTGCGTTTCCGCCTGGTTGTTCAAGTATCTCGTTTAATATCCTGCTAACGTCGCTTTGTCTGATGCCTTGAAGGACTTCGAGTACGGCTGCGAAGTGGACTTGCTTGGCTGACTCGTCGCCGGCTAGTGGTGCTGTTTCTAAAACGGATTGGAGAGCTCCTACACTGTCGCCTGCGCGGAGTAGTTGGCGGACTTGCTGGCCTATTTGTGCTGACTCGGAGGATGTGGAGGGTGCAGGTAGATTGGAGGGGAGGAGTGTGGTCAGTGGGAAATTGAGCGCCGAGTCGGGATCGTAGGCGTCGACGTCTATCGTCCGCCAGTTTATGTTCGCCATGGTGGAGGGTTGGAGGAGTCTGGCCCACGCAGGGGTCGGCGTTCTTGCCCAAGGGTAGGCAGATGGAGGCTCTGCTGCGGAGAGACTTAGAGCAGTCGAGGTTAGCGTCTGGTGTGTGCTTTTGCTTCACAGCTATAGTGCAACGAGGCACAAAGTCTATGTGTAGCTTCTGAACGAGAATGTTCAACGAATGCGAAGACCAATGTACGTGTAGTTCAATACCTCCAACGGAGGAGGGGTCCGCGTAAGTTAATGCCAAGTCTCAGCCTCGTCAGCCTTGCTGGTCTCTCAATCGCAGCCTTGCAACGCAGCCTCCTATTCCATCAACAAGCACATTGTTCAATCTCTTGGTTGATCGGATTCAAAGAAACCTCGGACTTGACTCTCTGCTTACGCGCTTGCGCCGGAGCTATCTTATGGCGACCCGACACCACAAGCTTCCATACGTGGTTCTACAATGCTGTGACCTCAAAGCCAGGTCTCTTCGACTCCGGTGCGTTCATACCCCACGCTTGACTGCTGGCATCATGCACAGTCGTTCTGCGCATGTCTCTTTTATATTTCCCAGCAAACGAGCCGCCTTCTGCACGGTGCATAACACATCTATCCGCAATGTCAGCATACAGGTCATCATCACCCTGGACTGTGTAGAACTTACGTGTTGTCCCAGATGATCAAGTCGCCAGGGTCGTTCCAGGGAATACTCAATGTATATTTGTCTTGGGTGGCGTGCGCCATGAGCTTTTCCATCAGCCCTGTGGATTTCTCGGAAGGAACATCGACCACATGATCCATGTGAGCGGCAATATACAAGTTCGTTCGGCCCGATGGCTCATGCTTCTGCACGATGCGATGTCTGTGCATAGGATACTTGTTGACATCGACGTCCTTGAAATACTCAGGCGCCGCTTTCTTGCGAGACGAATAAAGTGAATGCGCACCGATGTACTCGTGCTCCAGCAAGTCGGCCTTCAGCTCAGGGTCCAGCTCGTCAAAAGCTGTCCGCGTGTCTGCAAAGCCGGTTTTTCCTCCGGTATCTGGCGGCGGTAACTCGTGGGCTTTCAAGAGTGAGTAGGATGCCCGTCGTGGGTTGAAAGATGAGTCGACATGAAACAGAGCATTGCCTTTGTTATATTGAGACCGAGGGCTGTCTGGTGTCAAGACGTTGTTCGTATCTGGATCGATATTCCCGGCGTCGAAGAGCTCATAATATTCATATCGTGGCTTGCGACCATTGGTCATGTACGGTCTGATGTCGTCCAGGTCACCGAAACGACGAGAAAACTCGACATGACCTTTGTCATCGAGACCGGTTTTGCGAAACACTATCACGCCATACTTTTCGCTGGTTAGGATACGAATACCACACAGGCGTTGGACTCCAATGACTTACCTTGGCAGATGCGGCCAAAATCTCGTTGAATACGTCGTCTGGAATCGGCTTCGAAAAGTCCACACCTTCGATCTCGGCTGCAAAGGTAGGGTGGAGCTTCTTGATTTCCAGAGTCTTGAACTCGGTCTCCGGCGTGATCAACAGGCCAGGCATTGTGATGGCTGTGTACTATGAAGTATCTTCGGGTCAGATCTTCAGCAATACTCCTAACCAGATTACTGTCGATATCGAAGCAGCAAGAATCAAAACTCTCTTGTGCCCAGCGCAACTTGGCCGACATATAAGCCTATCCTCCGGCACTTCCCCGCTCACTATGAAAGCCATCTGCCGAAGCCCCATGTCACTACCTGGAATGGAACAACTTGGAGCAGTTTGGCAGCCTCATACTTCTCCACAGTCTATGGTGATGGAGTATTTGCGGGGAAAACAGCACTTCCCCAACATGGGTGGCATAATATGGGATGGCCGTGTCGCCTGCACATGTAATCACACTTCAATCAACCTTCATATCTCAAGATCACCATATTCTTCCTTGGAAAGCCCAGTCCATCTTACGAGGTAAGCATCAAAGGACTCGGTGTCTTCGATCTCACCGTGAAAATCACCGCCTCTGGTCTCAACATCTCCAGAACCATATATCTCATTGCTGGCCGCATCCTTCTCCTCTTTCAGCTTAGCAAGAATTGGATCAGGTTTCTTCGGGCTGGCAGATGGCTTATAGGGTGGGGGCACTGGCACTGGCGGAGCCGGCCGCCGTTGTGATGGAGCAGGCACTTTGCTGCTGCGAGACCCTTTCGATGGTAGTTTCTTGAAGAACTCCATATTCTGCCCCTGACGACGTGGATTTGATGGCCCAGGCCGGAAGAGCTCAACTTTGGGGTTTACGGCCACCGGAGCCGGCGAAGGACTAGCAGCCGTTGAATCTGCTTCCTTGTGTTCTTGTGGAGCGTTCTCGCCAATTCTTTCCAACGACTCGCTGTTGAGCTTGATCCGGTCGTCAATCTGATCAGTCTGTGGCATTGTCAGTATCATGAGGGCGCTGAAGGAGGGCATGACTCACTTTTGCTTCGGTGGCCTCTACTCGAGGTGGCCCGCTGGGAGCGACTTTACGGTCCTGTACCAAGGCTTCAACCTTGAAGCTGTCTTTCGCGACTCTTCCAGATTATCAACACTCTCATCTTCCATGGCGTCATTCTCACTGTCTGCTTCAAACACGAATTTTGCTCGTTCGGCAGATTTAGATGGCTTAGCCGACTGGGCACCTCCGAATGTTACGGGCGTGTGGGGGCCGGCCACTTGTGGTCTCCTATTGTCTACACCAGTCAGAGCCTGTGGTGTGGGCCACTTCGCTTCTGCCCTCGACAGTGTACTCCAGTGGCCGGACTGTACTGCTTCGATTTCCAGCTGAGAAATCCAGAATTCGAACTACGAACGGCCATGAGCGCGGTTTCATTAGGGTGCTGGGGACAATTGTGAGGAAGATGCGTTGGGCATGGCGTAAGCGCCTGAATCTTACGTACCACTTCTGGATGTTGAGCAAAAGCATCCATCAGAGCCTCGTCACCATATAGGTTGCGTAATGGAGCCCATTGCTCCCAATGCGCACCCAATATCCCACGGTGCAGCTTGTCTCGGAAGCCATGGGTAAGTTCGTATCTCAAAGCGTCAACCTCTGCAAGGAGGGTCTGCACTGCTGCTCCATGTTGCTGGATTTCAAAGTTGCGATACCTCAGGGTCGGAGGTGTTGAAATAGCACCGAATGATGGTTCTCCAGGCACCTTTGGGCTCCCTGCCGTTTCGCTGCCAAACACTGTGCTTATGAATGGATTCGCTACTGTGACCGAGTCCCTGTCTTTGCTCACGGCTGAAGAGCTTGGCAGAGCTTCTTGTTCAGCTTCATGGGCCGGGGTTGTTTCGGTGCTTGACTCAATAGACTTCCTCGCGAGCTTATACCTCTTCTCCGAATCATTCTTCTCCTTCATTAGAGTCTGGACTAGTGCTTTCTGATCCCTCAAACTACCCAATTCCCGATGACTGTATCGTGCATAATGAAGGTTAGCAAGTTCGAGCACGGCAAGCCTGGTACGAGTCTGACATTACCTCTTTGCTTGTACTGCGAATGTGAGCACCTGTAGCATCAGCAGCAGAGAGCTCTTCAATCTTTCCAAATTTGAGCGCAGCAATTCAACCTGAGCCTCTATGAATGGGAACTTGGCTCGTCGCTTCCAGCCAATGACAATCGAATTATTGGATCCTTTGCAGTGTCTAGCTCTTGAAAGATCCTCTTACAGCTGTCGATCAGGCCTTTGAGCCGTAGCAAGGGCGTCTTTTGTGCAGAGGTCGGCATTGTCATCTGTCTGAAGCTCCTTGCCTGGTTGCTAGAGCACTGCACCTGTTGCGGCAATGTCTTGGGAGATGCTGTCGATATCCTTGTCGGCGCTTTTGATCTTCCTGGAAAAGACGTATAATTTGACTGCAACACGTGCTCCAACGTCTGCGATTTGTATCACGCTTGCGGCAACTCCAAGTACTTCAAGGCCAGACATTGAGTCTTGCTGGCAGCAAGAGGGTACAGCGCATCAAAAAGTTCACCTTACATTGCGCCGAGTAATGAGGGGAGAGAATGAGGCTCATATTGTACGATTCGGTGCCGGGCAATGCTGTGGCTCAGCCTAATAGCCGCAAATGAGGTTGACACAAGGCTCACAGGGCTTGCCCCCAAGGCTAAGGAGGCCCCCTATGATTATTCAGCCAGCTTGGCACTACCAAGGGATGTAAAGACGGTCAACGACGGTCAACTAACTTAGGAACCTGGAAGGCGTCGTACTCAATATGACTCTCATTCTCCGGCACATGCGCAAACAGTACGGAGTATCTTTTCGGGGGAAACAAAGGTGCCTTGACTATGTGATCTCGGCAGGCTCGGTCTCCGGCGACGTCATGCAGTCCTCAACAACAGTTCACTCAGCTCATTTCTACAGCCAGACGACTATCAATATATCGTGAAGAATCCAGACGTCTTACGTCCTCCGACCAGCTGATTGTAACATGACTAAGGTCACCTCCCAGAGAACATTCACAGGATGCTGGACCTGCCGGCGACGCAATGTTCGCTGCGACAATACGGTGCCACATTGCTTACAATGTACACGATCACGCATTTCTTGCGAAGGGTACCATATTCGCCTCGTCTGGGTTGACTCGAAGACTGGAGAGTACCCTCCTCAACAACGACGGTCATATCGTTGCGATTTGACTTGGAGCGGCCATTCGCCGTGGACCAAACAGGACTTGGATCATCTGATTGAAGACAGCGAGAAACGACAATGTCGATGCACCTTGCATGGGATCCCTAGTCCGTTTTCGTCCTTTCATCAACATCACAAAGAAAATGAGACTCGCAGCAACAACGATGTAGAGGTCACGGCAGAGCTTTCGCTGGATGCGCGTGCAAACAATGAGAATTGCGAGCATGAAATTGGCACCGCAATGGCCAGAATTTTCGACATGGAGAATATGAGTGCCGTGGTTGACATCGACATCGACGCCCTATTTACGCTCGGTGATACTCACGAAACGAGACCGGAAGAGAGAGCGTGCTTTGACGGAAACAAGTCCCAGCTGACCATGTCGGAACTCATTCTGCACGAAAAGACGAGCCTGTTTGCCAGTCAGGACTCATGGGGGACGACTATGTCCATCATTCGACCTCCTTCTGCCTCCATGGTGCCGGGTGATCGCGAAGACAGGTTTCTATTTTCTCATTACGTTTCTCAAGTTTCAATGTTGATGATACCGATTGAAGATGGCGAGAATCCTTGGAAATCGACCTACCCATCCCTTGCGCTACAGGAAAGGTCGTCATGCAGCACACGCTCTCTATACAACGCGATTCTAGCCCAATCGGCGTTTCATCTAGCGAGTGTCAAAGGAGCGGAACGAGGAGCATGCGATAATGCACGGGCCGTGCGACATTATGGAACAGCATTACGCGAACTCAGGAATAGCTTGGCAACACCAACGGAAGAATACAGCAGTGTGCTGGCCGCGCTGATGACCGTCATTTTCGTGGAAACGGTATCCCAGGGACAATATCGGGCTTGGCGACACCACTTCCGAGGCGCCATGGGATTTGTCTCTCAATATCTTTCTCAGAAGCCTTGGTCTCTGTCACGAGATGCCTGGAACATCACACAGAGCTTTGTGCTTGACATGGTCCTGGCTTACACCGCAGTGCATCCTTCCACAACGACTGACCATATCTCCAAACTAAGTGGGATTTTGGGCAACGTTACGAGAGAGCCTCGTTTTGGTTTCACAATTGGGGGAAATGCCCGTCTGATCAACACGATCTACCGGATTTTATTGCTCGAAGAGCAATTCTCTGCTGCACGCTACCTGCAACATGGGCAACTTGCGAATGAGGATCTACATACACAGGCCGAGGAGATTGTCCAGGAGCTCCGAATTTCGCTGGAGGACGACGTTGACCTGTATATAAAGTATCAAGAAATCGGCAGCCTCAAGACGTTACCCAGAGCGCGGCTACTTGTCAAGCTCCATCTACAACTCTTCAATAAAGGTGTCTTAATCTACCTATTACGAATGGTCCTGCGACATCCACCAGCAGCCGTTGCCGACTATGTTGGTGAGGTACTCACAGATGCCATAGTCTTCCTCGACATGAACGGCGGAGAACCGTCCATATGGCCAGTCTTTGTCGCCGCGGTCGAGGCCTATACCCCCGAGTCACAGGCCTTGGCGGATCACTTTTTCGACGAATCCAAAACGCGGGGGACTGGCACTCGGGAAGAGATGCGGAGCGTGATCCGTCAGGTTTGGGCAGATCGTGAACGGTTGTCGGCGGAGCGGCAATGTAGTGTTGGGGGAATCGCTATCGACTGGCGCGAGGTTACAAAGAAAATGGACGTCGATATTCTTCTTCTATGACTCTGTGGCTGTTTGTTACAATCACAGGGTTGTGAGAATCATCTCAGGTAGCGGAAAACACCCCTGCTGGATTCTGGAAGTCTTCGATGCAAAATTTCTCCACATCCAGGATGTCCAATGCGTCCTACATCGGAACATGGCCGTTACCCTCCTACTTGAACAGAAATATCTAGAGACCCTACGTGGCAACCCAGAACGAGCCTAGTAAGACCCGTGAAGGGCTCCACCAGCCCCATTTATCATGTCAAGCCAGCACACCATCGTTGTGGACTACCTAACTGTGATTAAACCTCACAGATTGCCATGAGCGAAAGTTAAATCAAACACTGGCTGGCGCATAGATCTCCACTGTCGCCATCGTCGTAAAACGCCTAGATGATAGTATATGAATCGCAAATGAAGACACCCAAATCGAATCCCTAAAGGGTTAGAGAATTCGGGGCACAAGTAGCTCATGGTTGAGGAAAGATCCACACAGGTACCATCTTTGTTGACTGCCTGACATGGAGCAACGAACACAGATTCCTTCGTTGTAGACTGCCTGTTGGACGTGCACACATCGATCCGTGGCCGCTCATCTGGTGCCGTATATAGAGAGAGCAATTACTCTGAAATCGAATATCTCTACGGGATACATCACCGGCCCTGCCTGTTCTCGCTGTTTCTTGTTATTGGAAGAACGAAAGTCTACGATGCCTTCTCCAGGGCTATTCGCTGACGAGGAGCATTCGTACATTGCCTCTCAAGTAGCCAGCGCGCTCGCTTCGTTTGCTGCCAAAAACCCCAAATCTGCCAAAGCCCATGGCAATGCCACCGCGCATATGCCTGGAGGAAACACGCGTACCACGCTCTTTTCGAATCCATTCCCTCTGGCCATCAAGTCCGGCGCCGGTAAAACACTGACTTCGGTTGATGGACGCACATATATCGATTTTCTGGGCGAATACAGTGCTGGATTATTCGGACACTCGAATTCGCTCATCGCGGAGACGCTCATCACTGCGATCAGGAATGGATGGAACTTCGGCGGCGAGACTTTGGTAGAAAAGGAGCTTGCATCCAAAGTCACCAAGCGCTTTTCCGAGGGAGGTCTGGACTTGGTTCGTTTCACGAACTCGGGGACGGAAGCCAACACCCTGGCTATCGGCACAGCCATACACTGGACAGGGGGCCGCAAGAAGGTGTTGGTTTTCAGCAACTCCTACCACGGCGCCACCATGTTTTTCACCATGGATCTTTGCCGCTGGGTGCACTTCAAATCGTCGAGTCCGCGTCCAGCCCCGTTGGCATCGAACCTCCCACATGATTTTGTCATGGCGCCCTACAACAACGTTGCAGAGACGAAAACCATCATCGAAGATTTGCCAAATGAAAGTCTCGCGGCAATCGTGGTTGAGGCCGTCCAAGGAGGCTCAGGTTGCCGTCCCGCGACATTCGAGTTTCTTTCCTACCTGAGAGAGACAGCCACAAAGTTGGGAGCCGTGTTGATCGTGGACGAGGTCATGACGTCTCGTCTAGGTCCCTCTGGTGCTTTGGCAGCACACGGCCTAAAGGCTGATTTGATGACGTTGGGGAAATGGATCGGCGGTGGTATGAGCTTCGGTGCTTTTGGCGGACGAAGAGACATCATGGACGTCTACAATCCTGCCAATGGGGTGAACACGCTATGGCACCCAGGGACGTTCAATAACAATGTCTTCTCCATGTCCGCGGGTGTTGTGGGTCTGAATATTTACGACGAGCAAAAAGTACACGAATTCAATGCCCGCGGAGATCGGATGAAAGCTGGACTCACGCAGCTTCTGTTCGATACAGGCATCTATTCGAAAGAGCACGCTGAGCACTTGAAAGATATTCGAGAGATCGACAGCTTCGAGACAAGTACACGAGTGTACACAGGCAACGACGAAGTTGTCCCCCTGCCCAAAGTTCTCATCTCCGGGCGCGGTACCATGTTGAACTTACGTTTCACCGGTAGTGATGCTGGTCTGTGGCACAGTCTCTACCATCACTTCATGCTAGAACACGGCATCTATATGGCGAGCCGAGGATATACACCAATGAGTCTAGAGATTACAGATGAAGATGTTGACAGTTTCGTGGACCTTGTTGGGAAATTCATGGCCATTCATCTCGATGAGTTGCTCAGAAAGAAGTGATGGCATTGTTGTGCACAATGAAATATAGCTACCATCTTGATAAGTACTTTAAGATTTCTACTCTGAGTTCGACTGACGCGTGAGGCGGCTTTAGTTGGCTGACGATGCGCGATCGTGAAAACGTCCGGAACAGAATACGAGTCCTCCGAGGACAGAATTACGATATTTGCCACCCAGACTACCGTGAGGGACAGAATACAGAATTGCTCGAGGGACAGAAAGGCGATATTTGCCACCCAGACTACCGTGAGGGACAGAATACAGAAATCCTCGAGGGACAGATATCTCAATTTTGCCACCCAGACTACCGTGAGGGACAGAATATCGAAATCCCCTGGGACAGGATTCAGGGGACAGATATCAGTGCCGGAACGAGGTCTCCAGAGTGACCGTGCAATCTTCCTTTACATTTCACCTTCCATTGAGTTCCTGTCCGATATGCCGACTGGCCGGTGTTTGGAGTAGTACATTAGTATATCGACCTCCCCCATTGGCGCTAGAGCCGTTCACGCTGGCATCGAGCGAGAGGTCGCGCATCGGAGTGTCCGCGTCACTAAAAAAGGGATCTGCGAGTGTCTGGACCCTGGCTTATACCCGAAATCCGTGTAGGGCGAGGGGCATTTCAGCAAAGGCGTCTAAGGACTCCTTTTATCGTTGACAATAGCACCGCTGTGTTCGTAGGCTGCGTACCAGTCGTCCACCGCGAAATTGACCTTGTCGAAGAAGGATCGAAGCTCTTGATCGGATCGAATGGAACGAATATAAGGAGAATTACTCGATCATGGGCGAGCAAAAGTTCAAGGCCGTCGAAAGACGTTCTCTGGTAAGTCTTCTTCGAAAGATGTGTTATGAGAATGGAGATACCGGTGAGTCTTGACGTTTTATGGAATAAGACCGATCGGGGATGTGGCCTGACTGCTTGGTTCGTCTGAATACTTGAGGCCCAACATGGCCATGGTTGTGATAGAGCCGCTGATCAAGCATGGGGATATCGTGCTCTCACCTAGAGGTGAGTTCACAGGAAGAATATTGTCCACGTGGACAGCCATGGCAACCGCTCTTCGGTATGTGAGTGTTGCAAAGCTCACATTCTTAGGCCATGCGGATGGATATTGCGCTGCATCCGTCCACCTCCATGTTTTGTTTTGATGCAACAGAATCTAATGTATCGTTCACTCGAGCCACAATGTTCCCGTCTTCCGACCCTGCAATACCGCAAGCTAGATCAGAAGAGTTAGCGGCCGCAAATCGGACACCGCATAACGCTCCACGATTCTCGAACGATAAAGGTCACCGCGAAACCGAACTCGGCAGTGTACAGCAGCACGAGGGGCATAGCGTCATGCCCACAGAGTGGCTTGAGCAGGAGCTCATAGATAAGTCTCGACATCCCAGCGACGCCGAAGCAGGGCATATACATATGCGAGGAGAACCAACCCATCAGTCATGGCAAGAACCTTACCTGCCAATACAAGAAACTGCGCAACAGGAGCGAGGAAACCCGAGGAATGATACCCTGGAAGCTTCGTCGCTGCAGCTCTCAAGTCCGCTGCACAGTCAAAGACCGGCGTTTCCAGAACAAATCCAAGCCAATACTGTGAAGGCCACTCCCAGTGCTAATCAAGCATACAAGATACGTAATCACTATGCGCCAGGACTGGATTCCTTTCTTCTTCAGCAGGAGGCCATGGCCAACCGTCAAACGGGACGTTCGGATATCGATGCCCTGTTCGAGAGCAGTGATGTTGAGGGGGACAATTCCATGCTGCAACAATCTTCAGAGTCATCGCAACATCACCCTCCCATCCCTGGTTTATTTGACCACAGACCCCCCCAACACCAAGCTTCAGAAGCACTTCTGTCGAATGATGACCTCTGGGACGATTCTGGACACCTCCCCGAGATATCGTCCAGGCTAAAGCAAGATCTGGGCAATGCTGAAGAAGTGCTTGCTCGGTTACGAGACGGTGATTGGCGCCACCCGGTAGAACTCCAGACGGCGTCCAGACAGTTCGGCCTGAGCAATGCTAGCAGTGCTGGGACAGAGCCGTTCGGTCCACCTCGGAAGTCCCTGGGCCTGGAATCCCCTGAAAGTGCCGCTACCAGGCTATACAGTGCAGAAGTACAGGAGGAACATCACGTTTCCGCGTATCACGACAACGGGGCCAGCTTGGAAGGTGACAACGAAACTGAAGGTCAAGCTCAATTCCATTGGCTCTCATGTGGCTGCGCTGTCGGGCGTTGTCATTGCCAATCTCCCAGCTTGAACGATACTGACGACCTCGAACGGCAAGCGAACAATGACAACTTCCGGACAGATCCCAGGCCAACTCAGCCGATTGGTCATGCAGCATCTTCGCAGTCGACTGAAGTTGGGTCAAGGCCACCACCCTGGCACTCAGGACTGGGGACAACAAGCACTGGCCCGTCTCGTTCAGACACCCCTCGTCCGCCGATAGAAGACAGAGAGCAACCTCCATTCATTATCTATGATTTGGATGACAAGATCCTCACCACCGTCGAGGGCGAAGCTTATGAAGAGACCACTGCAGGAGAAGACTCACGAGGTGTGGTCCCGCTTCATCATGGTGAACGATCTTCTACGCCATCACCGACATCTGCACGTGGACGTTATCCTGAAGTTCCTGGTTGGGACCACGAATCTGAGGCGAAACATATAGAACGGGAAGTTTCGGTTCCGCCTCCTAAGAGAGAATGGGTTATGCCTCCTCGTGACATGGAAATGTCTATGCCGCCTCGTGACAGGGAAGTGTCAATGCCGCCGCCTCCTCGGGAGACCTCTGTGCCGCCTCCTGAGAGGGAAATGTCCATTCCTCCCGCCGATGTGGAAATGTCTGTCACTGCGGAGGTGGTGTTCGGACAAGAGACGGCAAGCTTTCCACCTGTTGAAAGACCAAATATGCCTCCCATCCCAGACACTACGGCGCCTCTGAAGCAGCCTAAGCGTGGTGAACGACGCAAGTCAGCAGTTCAGGGCGCAAAGGTTGACAAGAGGTCAGTCACAGTGACGAAGCAGAGATCCAAATCTAGGAATGTGACCAGAAAACCCACTGCCTCCGTCGGAAAGCTGGTGGAACAGGCTAAGAAGCTCAACAAAGCTTCCGATGGTGTTGCTGATGACAACGATATGACCAGGGACAAGCCGAGAGTAGCCGGGAAGGTTGCTGCTGCGGTCAACAAGATCGAGAAGCAGGTCAAGCAGCAAGAAGACGTAAAGAACCTGAAGCAGAAAGATGGGATGCCGGTCCGCAGGAGTCAAAGGACGAAAGCGGCCAGGACGTCCGTGCCGTGAGAGGTTTCATTTTCCCCGGGTTTACTGAGGTTGTAATGGCTTTGTCCTTGAGCGTAAGCGTGTTGAGCAGTGGATTTATTAGTCCGTAGCATATCATGATATCATGATACCCTTCTTTTCACCTTGTCCAGGCACATTGTAAAGAAGAGAGTGTTCCTAGACATGAAAGGTGGAGGTGTACCCCGGACTTGGCGGATTGTAAAGCCGACCAAGATCGATCGGCCTCACTACCTCCACCAGACATTCCCATGATAGTTCAACCGTCTCATCCCATACCCAAGTCTTCAGGCTAACATCGATCTTCCAAAAAGCGTCACTCCACTGACCTTTCGTCTCGTTACGCCGGCTCGTGCGAACATACGGAAAATGGCGCTACCCATGCCCGACCCGACCGTTCCCCCACTCCCACTGACCGAATACAAAGTCCTCTCCTTCGACGTCTACGGCAGTCTAATCGAGTACAAAGGACACATCCTAAACTCATTTCAGCCTTTGCTATCCCGTCTCCCATCATCCTCACCATATCTAGACACCACACCGTTATCAACCACGATCCCAGACTCAGCCAGCGTCGGCTCAGTCGAGTTTCTCAAGGTCTTTCAGAAGCAGGAAGACGCCATCAAGCTCGAAAAGCCGACCAAGCGGTTCGACCAGATCCTGACCGAGATCTGGCGACGTATAGCCAGAGAGCTTAACGTCCAGTCCACCGAGGAAGAAGCACAGCGGTTCGGCAGCGATGCCAATATCGCCAGCTGGCCTACTTTCTCCGGCACTCTGGAAGCTTTGACGTCGTTGAGCAAGCACTACAAACTCGTCGCCCTATCCAACATCGACAAGTACGCATGGTCGATCACATCGTCCTCGCCGACCAGCAAGCTAGGCGATGTCGAGTGGTGCAAGGTCTTTACTGCAGAGGACTTTGGCGAGGATGCCAAGCGTGCCGATGAGATCAAGTTGGAGACGTTGATCGAGTACTGCACTGCCAATGGAGTGGAGAAGAAAGAGATCCTGCACGTTGCTCAGAGTCTGGGTCACGACCAGGCCCCAGCGAATAGGCTGGGTTTGAGCAGCGTTTGGCTGATCGGAGATGGACCACGATGGGGGAAAGAGGCTGAAAGCAAGATGGTCTTGGAAAAGAAGCTAGTGGGGTATGCATGGCGCTTCAACAACTTGAAAGAGTTTGCAGAGGAAGTTGAAGGGGCTGTCAACGAATAGAAATGACTAACGATCCTTGTCATGTTGTGCGGCAACACTGTTCTGAGAACGCCATGCTTCAAGCACAACTAATGTCATCGGGGCGAAAGGACAACCGTCGCAGTCGACCGCCTCGTAATGGCTAGTTCCCTCTCTTCCGCGACGTAGCCTTGACTCCATCACCCACACGTTTCAAGAACGTCCAGCTCTTCCGATCATCCTCAAAGTCAAGATAGCCATCGAACCGCCGGGCCTTGGTATATTTGACAATCTTCCGCACCATCTCCACTACGTTCGACATGTCCGCAGAATCTGGAGTCTCATACTCACTATCACTCGAGCTCAAACTCTCAGCATTCACACCATTGAGGCCAAGAACTTCCGGCATGGGTAAGACTTGAATATAACTACCACCCGCACGGGGCAGACGCGAGATGTCGCAGACAGTCGAGCTGGCGATGTAGACTTGCGGGACTAGCAATACGATCTGCGTGCGCGGTTGAAGCAGCATTGTCGAGATGGTTGTGTATGTCTGCGGGAATCTGAGAGAAGCCGTACTCGGGCAGGACAGCAGGTATGTCCTCGCATCGATCGAGTCTTGTTTCAGTTTTCGAAAGATGGAGGTGTTTGTGTCGTCTTTGGATTGTTGTTTTCGGAATCTGGAGCTCTTTTTGCGACTGTCTATGCAGTTGCGCTCGCATGTCAGGCTACATTTGCCTGTGGAGTAGGCGAAGTCCCAGCATGATATGCCCTGGGTCGCCATGTTGGGGTCGAGAGTCGAGGAGGTCGTGACGACAATGGACTTTATCTTCGCTCGACGGTTGCCCTGTTTGCTTGAGTGTGGTTTGGGAGAGGATAAGCCGTTCAGTCAACTGCGTACAGGTGCCTGAACAAAAAAAGAATATGTGTCTCGTGATGCTGAGACTTGGAGGCTGGGCTGTTCTTGGACGGTCTTGACAATCCTGGCAGTGTGCACTAGGCTGTCAGGGCTATAACGAGTTCGAAGCGCTCATGGTAAAGCTTCGTATGTGGTAATCGCTGTGTGATCGAGCTGTATTTAAGTGCTGTGAAAAAGGGTGGAGTGAACGTCTCCATGGTATGGGGAAGGGAAGAGATATAGTTAAAGGCAATATCACGACTTCCAAAGAAATCGCGCTTGGGAACCTACAGGACTTTCCCGATCAGGATACTGCAGATACCTGGTAAGTGTCTGGTTTGTGCCACTCGCGCTCCGATCATGCAACAAGGGAGATCTCTCGGGCAAGGCAGACCACAAACATCTCGTGACATTCCTGTGTGTGACACCGGATCAGTAGGGATGAAAATGCGGGTAGGCGGAAATGCACACCTCGGTGCCACACCACAGAGTGCACGGGTATTCTCGGCATGGCGACTGGCAGAACATTAGTATTTTGATGTGCCAGACTTCGCCAGAAGTTCTCGAAAAGCATGAACTTCAAGCCGGGGGAGAACGCTGTTTATGCAGAGAAAGAATGATCACTCGTGTCGGTCGTCAGGGTCCCAGTCAAGCCAGGGTAGCAAGGATGAGGGCTGGGGGACATCGACAGGGGCCACCCCAGCCGAGGCCTCATACCCCAAACCGACTATGCACCGTACTATAACAAGCTGCCATAGGCAATAAGAATATGTACATTGTTCGTGATTAACTATATACACTTTTGTTTGAAAATGATGATTTGGTCATGCTTCCCACCCTCAATACGTGGGAACTTTCACCTTGAAGACTAACACTTGGTTGTCGAGGCTGTACCCGCTCGCATCCGCGTACGGAAACTTTCCACCGTCCATGAACCCATTTTGTGTGATAAAGTCATTATCACTCAAACTGAAGATAAAGTACTCTCCGTCAGACTTGGTGTATCCATCCTTGCACAGGGATGCAGAAGGATTGACAGGAACCATGGCAATGCTCTCCCACTTCTCGTTCAACAAGCTCGAGTTCTGAGCACCACCGTTGTGAAGTCCAAAGCGGTTGAGCTGGGAGTTCACATTGAAATCGAGCCACGAACAGTAGGTGGCTGGGATCACTGCAGTTTTCAATACACCTGTCGAGTTACCCGCAATGGAACAGTTGAAGCAATCGTAAGTCGTGCCGAGGGTGTTTGTAGCGTTGGAAATATCGAAGACGTCGATGTGGCGATAGAGCGAGGTCGAACTGCTTTGCCCGTGACCTGCATTGGAATCGCGGGCTAGGACCAAGAACTGCATTGGGCTGATGTAGTGCACTTCGGACTGGGCTGCGACTTTGGTGTTGTTGGAGTAGAATGGCAGCTGCACGGCGTACTCGGCTTTGGCGATGGGGTTTGATGGATTGGAAATATCGTACTCAAGGAATCGGGTGTTTCGACGATTGGCACTCTTAAGACCACCATCTTGGTCCAAGGCAGATTGCAGCAGAACGTAGAGAGTCTTGCCATCAGGAGAGGCTGTCAGTCCTTCGAAGCCCTGATTGTCGTCACGTCCAGTAGGGTTGGATGCGGGAATGATGATTTCATCGGGGTTGTAAATCGGTGGACTGTCGGCGGAGAATGAGTCACTTCCATTGCGGAGAGGGATGTATGCAGGTGGAGGGCGGATCGCTGAGAGCAGGTGGCCAGTAGGAGAGAAATGGTAGACGTAGGGTCCATATTCGTCGGAAATCCAGAATGAACCGTCTGCGGCTAGCACCAGACCTTCGGAGTCCAATGAAATGCGATGTCCGCCGGTGCCGTTCAAACCGAATCCGTCTCCCGTATAAGTGACTGATGGAAGCTCCGGGAAGCCAGGGAATGTCAAATAAGGTCCATGGACGTCGGCGTCCAGTCCACTGAGAGGTGAGCCGGAAGGGTCGGTCAACAGAATCGAATCCAGATATTGAAGCTGTACATTTGGAGAGCTAGGGTTCTGGACGGTAGAAGTGTAGTTTGGTGAGAACGTGATTTCAAACTTCTGAACACGAGACTGGTAGTTGAGGGTTCCGTTGGTATTCCAGCCGCGGTCTGGGATAGCGTAAAGAATCCCGCTGTAGACTCCTGCAGCGTTCACAGTCCATGATTTTGGGTCGAAGGTGGCACTGCTGCCGAAACCTCCAGCGGTATCGCCAAACTTGTCACGAAAGTCAGATGGAAGAAAACCATAGCCGGCCAATTGTTCGTAAACGAAAGTCTGCCCATTGCATGTCGTGGTGTTCACTGCACTGTCAGCAGTCCGTCGTGCGGGAGATGCCACTGCAAGGCTGGCACAAAGAGTGGAGAGGATAAGAGCTTTGACGCCCATGTTGATTGGTGATGGCAACACTTCGAAATATTACTGGAGGATTTGGGATTGTAGGCTCACCGAAACGAGTGAGGAAACAGACTCTGCGACAAGGGAAGACGATTGGATTCATGCAGAAAGATAACTCTCTTTATGCTCAGGGATGCAGCTCATTGAGGTATACCAGCGTAAATTGGAGGATACCTAGCCCCAGGCACGTGTTGGCCTCAATTTCGTTGATTCGTGACACCATTCCAGCTTAATGAAGTCAATGTATACAAATTTGCTTGGCTTCAGCCATTCTCAGGCAGATCGCAGATGGGTGGATTGAGGAAATGCAGGACCAGCAAGGATGAAGAGAGAGAAGAGAGGAAGAGGGGATGACAAGTCAAATGTCTTACCCGACCTCAACAATGAAAGTACTCACATCATTCGGTGTTTGGATCGCAATTGCAGATTGGGAAGGTGCCTATTCTGAGCATGTCATTCTGCAGCGAGATTCCAGCAGGGGGCACATTATATTTCTGGTTCGAAACACACGGTTATAGGTTTTATACTTCATTTGTGCCTGACTCCGACACTCGGCCCCCAGTTGTGTGGCTTTACGCTTTACGGTGTGCTGGGCAACAGCAGGCGCAGACACACCGCTGTAGCTGCGAAGGCTGACTGACGGAAGCTTGAAGGATAGGTCAAGAAAGCACTAGTCGTGCTTCAAGCTCGAAATGGTGGGCACACGTGGCCTGAACAAAATCAAAGGCTCGATCTGTGGATATTGCGATTTAGCGTTGGGCTTGCGTTTCCTTCCTCGATGGTTCTCCTGCAAATTGAAGATCGTGAAGCTGTACGAAAGAATGGCGAAATGCGGGATGGCAAAGACGATCGAGAATCGCAAAGCTACATATGCCAAGGCGCGTTCCTGGAGTAATTCTGATTGGTCTGTGCCTAGCACTGATGCATTTTGATTGGACCTCAAACGTCATCGATGACGTCGGTTGCTCCTCACAATGGAATGCAGGATGTGCACCTGACCGTCACTTGTTTGCCCCTCGAGGGGTTTCACTGTGTATATAAGCTGAGAAGTATCTCACTCTGCACTGGATCTCTTTTTTCCATATCACTCAAAGCAAAACTCCAACTTCCAGAACAAACTTATCACACTACCAAGTCAAAGACTTCAAACAACCATTCATAATGGATACCATCAAGTATGCATCTCCTGATCCTCCCTGGCCATGTACCATACTGACTTGAAGTTCAGGAACACCGTCAACTACGTCTCCGAGTCCATCCAGGGCGCCGGCAGTACTGCCTCCAAGGAGGGCAACAAGAACGTCGCCAAAGACTCCAACGCCAGCCTCAGCACCCGTGCCCAAGCTGCCGGTGATGCCATCGGTGACAAGTTCGACGAGCAGGCCCACGACCGCAAGGCTGATGTCCACCGTGAGGCCGCCAAGCACTAGATGCATCTATGCATGACTGCATGATGGGGTTTGAAAGAATTCAGAACAGAAGCATTATGATACCCAACAAACAAAACAACATCAGGTTGGACGTCCCTAAGACAGGTAGATAGTCCGAATAAATTTCATTGAAAAGATCCGAACGCATTCGTCATCCGATAGAGTAGGCATTTGTTTTTTTCATATATCGCCTAACCGCGCATATGTCTTAAGTCATCGATGACCCTCAAGTGCATGGGCTGTCAACTCTCGCAATCGTTCTCGTTCCAAGGGATGAATAATTTTGAGAGCGGCATCCACATCTCTCCTTCGATTTGCCATCACTTCGTCCACCTCATTTTCTGACAAGTAACTTGGAGGTCGATAACCCATTGTCTGATGCACTTGATTCAATGCTTCATCATAAGTGGGCGTCAGTGGCGATGGCACTACCTCTTTCCAATGGACAAGATCAGGGTTGATTCTCTACAAGACTAGTTAGTCGAAACCTGGCGCAGCAACCCTCATAGGACGGACAACATACCATGCTCGTCCGGTCGTTCCCATAGACTGGGGGCGGTATCTTAATAGGAACTTGATCGCCTCTCTCAAGGTCAGGGCCGAGCCCATCCGCCGCCATATGTATCGGGATGGGCTTCTCGGGTTGTAGTTCATCCTCCGGTCCGGCCCGTCTGGATTGTGCGTTGCTGCGTTCTCTTCCATGTCTATGCACTGCTCGTCGTCTCTTTCTTCTCGGGCGCCGCTTGAGCATCAACATGCTGATGAACTGGTGGAGGAAGATTCCAGTCAATATCAGGATCAACACAATGGACATGACGTTAAACATCGTTCCTTGGGCGATTTTCCTGAAAGTCAATACGAGATCTGTTGCGTTTTAGCATTTCTCGTGTAACGCACCAGCAGCGGAGGTCTACTCACATATCACCACAGACACAAGAAGCGTTATGCCAAATGCAAAACTCATCCTTGCCTTTGTGCTGATCTCTACATCGCGAGAGGAGGGTTTCCTTCTTGAGGCAGGTCTGACGCCGGTCCTCGCTGAGGAGTGGGTGCTTCGAGTACTACCGGATTGTGTGGAGCGTGCCCTGCGGCTGCTGGAGATAGACCTGGAGTTGCCGAGATTGTGGGCATCCGGATGTCCTCCCGTGGTCCGATCAGAGAGGCTACCGCCGTACATATCGGAGACTTCGTCCTGTTCTCGTTGCTGCCTCAATAATAGGGGCACCTGACCAGGTCTTCCCGGCCCGTGCTCGATGACTGAACGTACCGAGCTGCGTGATCTTGTATTGTGAGGTAAGGCTCCGCTGGCAAAGGCGCTCTCTCGAGCCGAATATCTGGACGTTGACAGGAACAATGGCACGACGAATGTTTTCCCAGGTGTCTTGGTAGAGCTGGCAGAGCTGTTCGTGTTTTGGTAGGCCAGTTTGGTACTCATTGGTAGCAATGGTCGAGAGGCGGCTGTCCTACCCATTTCACGGAAGCATGGGAGCAGTGCTTGTGGGAGATAATGGTTCGAATGACAAGTTGTCCGTCCCATGGAAAAAGTAGCGTAGAGGCAGAGATCTTAAGCGAAAGAAGCAGTAAGGGAAAGACGCGTTCTGTTCGACCTACCAAGACTTGACAGTGAATGGCACAAAACACAACAACGTGTATACGCGTGAGCTGATACTGTTCAGTCTCGAAATGGCCATCATGGCGACCAGATGTCGATGAAGTATGGGACTTTGCATTTGTTCCATCTCTGGGATGCAAGGGAGGACAAATCGCGTTTAAATCTCAGCGGATGATTGCTGTGAAACAGTATACCTTTCTAATACGGATATGGTAATCGAACTGACACGTTGTCAGGCCCCAAGACGCATATCAGTGTATTGGACATGGAAACGATTCGATTCTAGCATACAATCGAACGTGAGGAGGTGACAAGTCAACAAGATGAGGACGCGTTTGTGAAACATGCGCGGTTGAGATGCGCACTTTTCCGGCTTCTTGGCGGCAAATCCATGCCAACCAATACTTCGCTACCACTCGGTCTCGAGTACCAATGATGCTATCATTTCATGATCCTCGTTCTCATGAGTCTAGACTTTTGCCATAGCAAGCTCCATGGTCGGCGACCTATATCACGCTTGGCGTTGCTTTGTTGAAAGTGATACCTTTCATTCGGGGGGCTTGCGCTTGCTCTCGCCCTTCTCTGGTGACCTCGCATTCTGGCATGTGTCTGATCAGTTGAAAGCTGATGACTACTGCAGCAAGGTGAACCAAGAACCATTGCAGCATCCTGTCAATGCAGCGCGTGCAATGAGGTCATTGAGCAATTCAATCTTTGTGGACAAGATTCCAGTGGCACTCCAAGCTGTGATATCGTCTTGTCGTCGTACTCATCGGCCGCCACAGAGGGTCGCTGTTACCATGGTATGGATATTAAAAGCCTGCTAGAGGTTTGCTTCACCTTCCAAGCTCACCAAGAAGGATATTCCGATCCGTTGAGCCAGACACAACTAAACCCTGTCAGTGGCAGAATGAACATGCTGGAGAAGACACTTACTTATAGGCTCTTCCGTGGGTGAAAATCGCACATCATTGACCGTGCCTTTGTGGCCAGGTAATTTGTACAAGAGTTTGGCTGAACGAGTATCCCATACCACAGCCGTCCGGTCACCAGATCCAGCGCAGATTCTATCTCCTTTAGGGCTCCAGCTGGCTCGAATGAGATTCTTCTCAAATCCTGCAGGTGCTCCATCATAGGTGCGTACAGCTCGGTCGACGGGAGCAAAAGGTCTGATATCCCAGGTGCGGACCGTTGAGTCGTGCGAATTGGACAGCAATGTTTGCGAATCCGGCGAGACTTCCAGTGATGTTATGGTGTCTCCGTGACCGCTCAGAGTGTAAGTGACCTCCATCTTACGAGCGTCCCAGACCTTGATGTCATTGTCGATTCCGCCCGAGTAGATTTCGTGGCCTTGCTCGGCCATGACGACTGCTGTGATTGGGAAGTCGGTTTCAATGTAATCCACCGCAGCTTTTTGCCGAGGGTCCCATATCCCTATACACCCATCATCGCTACCACTCAGCAACAGATCTTGGCCGCGTCTGCTTAGATCGACGCAGTTCACCACCTCTTCGTGACCCACGTGTTTCCGTATTCTCAAGCCTGTTTCTAGATCCCAGCTTGCAACTGTCATGTCGGCGGAAGCGGAGTATATCGTTCTCGAATCTCGAGACCATTGTAGGTCAAGTACTGCGCCTTTGTGGCCAGTCATGATGCCATAATTGTCGCACTGTCCGTATGTGTTCCAGAGCATTATTGATCGGTCCATGGAACCTGAGGCTATATGTTGGCCAGTTGGATCGAATCTGACTGCAAATATCTCGCCAGAGTGACCTGTCATTTCCATAATTGGTGCATTAAGGGCGCTTGTGCGTAGACTCGAAGGCACAAGGGAGCCATCTTGACCTTTCGCACCAACTGTCAAGGCTCGACTGTCCTTAAGGTCTGCATTCGATCTTTGTCTTTTGACCAAGGCCCCCGACTCGCTGAAGCTGTCGGAGGCTTGTCGCTTGACAGAAGCCATGCTATGCAGATTATGAGGCGGGTGGGAGGAGGCAGCTGCAGGTCACCGCTGGTATGTATGTTCGGTCGCGCTCATGTATTCAATTTTTGGACATCCAGGAACTTTTTCTGGCCCATGAAATGAAATCGCAGCCTTCTCCAAAATCCTCAAATTCCACCCCAAACTCAGGTGGACCCCTGCTCACCCATTGGTCATTGCCGCTTTAAGCGACAAGGGACAATTCATTGTCTTTCACTTCCTTCTCCTGCTCTATCCTCATGCACTTGTCCAATCTCTGATATAAATCAAACCTGTCCAGAGACGAAGTGATGTGGGCAGGCTCGATGGTCATTCTGCGCTAGTAAAAGCCTTCGGACTCGATGGCGTCAAGCCAGAAAGCCGCCCGCGTGGGCGAAGAGTAAGTCCATTCCCATCGCTTGCCATCACAGTACTAAGTCACCTGAACAGGATCTGGAAGTAAGAAAGTGTCTTTGCTTGATCCATTCTGGTGGCTCATATACATCAGGACTCGCGTCGATAAAGTCAATGCCGAACTCGTGACTCTCACCTACGGAACCGTTGTTGCACAGCTGTGCACCGACTACGAATTCGATTATACCCAAGTCAACCAACAACTTGACAAGATGGGCTACAATATCGGAATGCGTCTCATCGAGGACTTCCTAGCAAAGTCCAATACGGGCCGTTGCGGAAACTTCAGGGATACAGCAGAGATGATTGCTAAAGTCGGTTCACCAGGAATTCTTGCGTTACAAGGCTAACCCGTTCAAGGTCGGCTTCAAAATATTCCTCAACATTACTCCGACAGTGACAAACTGGACTGCGGACAACAAACAATTTTCGCTTCTGTTCGACGAGAATCCGTTGGCCGATTTCGTTGAGCTCCCGGATGATGGAAGGGCCCAGGACGAACTCTGGTTCTCCAACATCCTCTGTGGTGTGCTACGTGGAGCGTTGGAAATGGTCTGCCAAAGCTGTTTCGGCTTGATACAACCACTGCTGATTTATATATTCAGGTCCAAATGTCCATTGAGGCGCACTTTGTGAGCGATGTCCTACGCGGAAACGATGTCACGGAGATGCGGGTTACTCTGATCCGCTATATCGAGGACGAGATGCCGCCGGACGACGAATAGTCCCAATGGCCATTGTGTGTTTATCGGGACGAGTCAGCGGCGAACATGGGCGCTTTCTGCTACTCTTCGATGGCGACACCCATCGTCGTCGAAGCTGGCCCATCAAAGATCATGGGAAGCCAGCCTTGTGTGGTCACGCAGGCCTGCCAAGTCACGTGATTGGCGGCCCCTTTTTCCTTAAAGAGGTGTTATAGAAATCAATTAATTGATTGCCGGAGGATCTCGCCACCCCTGAGGCAGTTTCAGCAGGAGGTGCCGGGAAAAGGAGACATTTGAGTCCTGGCGGACCCAAAGGAGATGACCAGATAGAGCCCGGCACATTGATGAAAATGCGCCAAAAACATGAGTCCTAACCTTTCTGAATTTAATGTTTGTATTTTATGTAAATGATTACTACTATTCTATGATGATCGTTGAGGTGAGGTTGTTGTATAAGGTGCCTCATCACCCCACCATCGGTAGCCCCGATTCGAGATAAGCGTGCTTCTTTCTACGCGGGGCCGATGCGTAGGGCTGGGTCAATTAAGTCTCTGAGTGGCTGGTCGGCGGTCAGATTAGGCCTGTCTGTCTTGCCTTTCGGCTCTCCCTCTTCCCTTCACTCCCTTCTGGCTCCCGATCTTTCTCGCCTTGCCTGCGCCCTGAATCTCTGGGGCCCTGACCTTTGGAGGTTCCTTGCTGTCAGTTCGCAGCGCTGAGACCGCAGCCTAACCAAGCACCCCGAATCCTCACGATTCTGAACCTCACTTTTTTGCCTTGCCCACCACCACCTGTCGCCTGTCGCCACATCAGGTCCTTCTTCTTTACTTTCTCCATCCTATACGCTTGTGCTCATCGCTTTCAACTCCATCTTTCGGTGTCTCGATATTCGGCTCAGAACTTGCAGTCCACCAGCCCAAAAGTCCTCGACTGCATCCCCTGTCAGGTACAAACCGTCCTGCGCTCCAACTTAGCCCGGCTTGCCAGGTCCATCCCGATAATTCGTGGCGGGCGCGTTTCGTCAAAAGGACCTCTCTCAATCCTAGGTCACCTCAGTCGCTATACTCGACAACATTCAATCACCTCTGCAGCTCATTAAACTCGATCCGAACATGAGACAGGCTCTGCTCTCTTGAAGTCGTCGTCGGTTTTGCGACCGGCTCTCCGCATCTAATCTGCGAGTGCTTGATCAATCGACCTTCCCAAGACCCACCTAACACTCATCCTGCGATCGAAGTCTTTCGGCCTCTCACATACCTCACTATCGTTCGCTCGGCTCCCCGGCTCTGACTTCCTTCTCATACATGATGAATATGGCCGGCATGAATCCTGCGGCGGTGGCAGGTGGCCCCGTCGGAGGTGGCATGATGATGAACAATGGTAGCCCGGCGATGCAGGTCAACACAACCACCTCCCCGGAACAATTAAAGGCCCAGCTCAACACCTACATCTACGAGTACCTTCTCAAGCTGGGGCACTACGATATTGCTCGAAGTCTGTTACGTGAAGAGAAATTCGATGTTCGAACCAAGCCCCCGGTCAAGCAAAGTCCCGGCCGCCGCAAAGACGCGGAAGTCAATGGGGTAGATGCAGATGCCATGGACACCGACCTCAAAGATGATATACCTGATGACATACCTCGACCCGTGCACGCAAGTGATTCGAGCACGCCTGGCTTCGGCTTTTTGTTTGAGTGGTTCAGCATATTTTCCGACCTTTTCACTGCCCACCAACGATCGAGTAAGATGCAGGGAGGCCAAGGCGCAAACATGGGTCCAGCTGCACAATACTTGATGCAACACCAGGTAAGTCTGGCAAAGGGTTGATGTGTTGACCGCCTCGGATTAATGATGTCTAGAACATGCAGCGCATGAGAGAGAACCAACAAAACCAGAATCTCGCTCGGCCGGGCATGATGAACCAGAACCAGTTTGCTATGCGTGCCAACATGCGCAACAACCTGATGAACGGTAACATCCCACGAGATATGGCCAACAAGATGTGAGCTTGCAGTTGCCCCTTTCCACGATCAGACCACTAAACTTTTGCAGAACCCCTCAGCAAATGCAGCAAATGAACAAAGCAGCAATGCTTCAGCAACAGCAGCAGATGCAACGGGAGCAAGGCGACGTTGACATGAACGGCCGTCCTTCGTCTCCAGCAGAAGGCGAAAACGGTGGGTCACCGTCCAAGAGGCCGCGGCTCGAAGGTCAACAGTTCAACGGTGGCATGATGCCTAATGTGCGGCCAGGAATGCCCAACGTGGCACCTCAGAACATGATGATTCAGAATGCCTTCAACCCCAACATGAACAATGCCCAGTTTCGACAGAACGGCGCTATGCCGCAGAAGCCCATGCAGGTAAGTCGTACCCATTGATGCTGCTACTTGCTGTCACTGACGACACAAAGGCCAATATGGCCAATGGCATGATGAACATGAATGGCGGCTCGCCCATGATGCAAGGCATGAATCCCGCCCAGTTTAGCGACAATATGCAAATGGAAATGTACAGGCAACAAGGAATGGGCAACCAACAGATGCAAGGTACACCGGGCGGAGGCCAGAGCGGCAACCACGCCCTGCAAGACTACCAAATGCAGTTGATGCTGCTCGAGCAGCAGAACAAGAAGAGGCTGATGATGGCGCGACAAGAACAAGACAATGCTGTCAATAGGGATGGTGCTCCTATGGTTGGCATGCAGCCCGGCGGTATGTCACCATCAGGCAGTCGCACAGGCACTTCGCCAAACCCTGCGGATCAAATGAAGCGAACACCACAGATGGGAGGAATGCCAGGCTCACCCTCGGCTGCTGAGGCAATGGCCGGAAGATCACCAGCTGGCATGAACTTCATGAATGGAATGCCGACGTCTGACTTCAACCCGGCCATGTTTATGAAAGACAACCAAGGCATGGTCGTGCCTGGCGGCCCGAACATGGGTCGACCGCCTACTTCTATGGAGATGCAACAGGCCATGGCTCGTCAACAACAGAACAGAATGGCTGGACAGTTCCAGGGAGGTCAGCCAATGGTCCAGCAACCGTCCCAAGGCCAGCCACAACCGATGGGTACACCTGGACAAAGGAACGAGATGCCACCTCCTCAGGCTCCGGTAGCCAATAGCGCTCAACGCAATCAACCAGGCTCTCCCCAAAGCAACGCGCCTCCGACGCCTTCCACAGGCAACAAGCCGAACCCGAAGTCGAAGAAAGCCAAAGAAGACAGCAACAAGAAGAAACCTGCAAAGAAGAACTCGACAGCGAATGCCCCCACCGAGAATGAACCCCCTGCCACTCCTACGCCATCGACGCCAATCACCCCAGTGCACCCACAAGGCTTCAACGGGCCGGCTGGCAAGGCTCCAGCTCCTGGCATGCCCACGGCTAACCAAGCTCCTCCGCCCGCTCAGACAATGCCTCCCGTTCCACCACAAATGCACCAGCCCGATCTGCAACCCAACTTTACTGACAACTTTGGTCCGGATCAGAACTTCAACCTGGACTTCAGCACACTGGAGAACAGCGATGTTCTTGAAAACTTTGATTTTGATAGTTTCCTCAACACGACAAACGACGACACGTTCAATTTTGACGGGGCCATTGGTGTCGGTGGTGATTTTGGTCTAGAGCCTGGCGAATGATGGGCGTCCTTGACGCCTTTGTATCACTTATTAATCCGCTGGCGTTCTGTTTCTACACTTGTCTCTCACGCATGGATGGCGAGGGTGCGTGGTTGCTCTTTGGAAATGCTGATCTTGACATATTTTCTTTCCTGGTTACAATACCCGCTGCTCGGACGAAAAATGACTTATTGATTGGACATAAATTTAACGGGTCAAATGTGTGTGTGGTATAGGCATGGGATCTTTCAGGCGTGTTATCTCATGTGGCTTTACTGGTTGTGCAGCAATTCTAGGAAGAAATCTTCGAGTATTTACATGGCAGTAGGTCTATCAACCTCACTTGCACCTTCATTTTTTGAACCTTTTGGATCTTGTCTCCTTCGCCACGGATCGTCCTTGCTGTCAAGTGCTTCGAGCACGATACTACACAAGCCTGTGCTCGCACCTGCTCTCACGTCAAACTGCTCGAGAATGGGGCAACGACAAACCAATGGTTGCATTCAGTTTCACCCATGTCCCTTCTCTAGATCCTTTCACCAGTTTCGCCATGATTGCAAAAGCACCTCGAGTCCTTGTGGTCTATCCTCACGAGTCTTCCTGAGTCATATGCGGAACGCTGAAGTTCGGACAAGGTAACAACCATGAGGTACCAAACCTGGGACGTGTTGTTGTTTCCTGGAGACTCGAAGGTGCCTATCCAAGAGTTTGACACGAAGTGCTATGCCATTGACCAGAGTGAGTACTTCAGACTCTCCCGGAGGGATCGGTCGACTGACCTGCTGACTATATCAGACGTCCGAATTCCTGCTCTTCCTTCCGTGGATGATGTCGACCCGAAAATGTTCGAGTCCATGACTCTCACCCCGATCCTGACTTGTTTCGTGGCCAGCCTCGAGCGTGGTTCGTCTTTTCGACTTTCGATTCACAGCTGGGAGCAGCCAAAACCGTCACGTCGTCTTTTGAGCTACAAAACACCAGATGAAGCAGTTCTATTCGAAGCCAGGGTCTACATCGATGGCATACTGATGGCGTACGTTCGTCCATTGTAAGAACTTCTGGTGTGCGAAGCTGACAGCAGTCTTCAGTCAGCAAACATTCGAGGACGGCATCTGGCCAGAGGTCATTGGTAGGTCACTTGAATTTCTGAAGTTCACACTATCAGCTAACAATGCGTTCAGGAGACAAAGGTTCATCTCAATCGCGCTCATCAAGAAAATACTAACATGCCTGTAAAAGGACATCGTCTTCGCTTCCCTAAGTTTCACAGAGAAATCCTTCAGCAGCCTCAGTGGGAACCGGGTGATCCTGTCGGCCGGATCAAAGTTGTCATATCAGAAGGGGTGTTGAGAGAGACAAGTCCTCCGGCTGCACGAGACCTCATGTTCGATCGACTGCGAGATGTGGTGGCATTCTCGTTCCAACACGCGCCTCAAAGTAAGTTGATCTCATTGTGGAAGCTTCTGCGCGCGAGGCTCACAGGGAGCAGACATTCTCGAGTACTCTGGCATTGCCTGGCCAAATCCTGGACTTTTCGGGAAAGCATCCAAGCGATCATTGCGGCCACCACCAATTGGCGAACGTCTTGCCCCTGTTGCTGGTCACGAAACTCACTCGCACTCACCAAACCGTACAGTCACAGCCATCAGAAGTGGTAGACCGTCGTCGAATGGAGTGAACAGTTTCCAAAAGCGGCTCAACGCGCAAACGTTCTCCGACTTGCAGTCAGACCCAGTCAGCAAAGTGACTGATTTCCAAATGAGAAAGTGCTCACCCGAGAGCGGAGACAGCGCTGAATCTGAAGACCCTTTTCTCTGTCCGCCACGTACATCAACGCAGCAGAGGCGACTACAGCTACAATCGAGCAGCCACGACGTTCCCATGCCTGACTACAAGACGGATAACAGCGCAAGTTATACAGAAATGTCAGAGATCAGCTTTGCGCCTGTCAATTTTCTCAAGCATATGAATCAGGCCAATCCAGCCGAAATCGTCCAAGCATTGAGTCCTGCTCGACAAGAGGCGCTACTAAAGGCACTGAGTGTTTCACAAAGCCCGGCTCAAGGCACGGATCCTCCCACCAACACTCCTTGTTCAACCTCGGAGGACAACCGTCCACAGTCCGCTGCCGACCAAGAGGCCGATGCGCTCAATGAGCAGACGCAGGTTCAGAAGATTGGGCTAGATGACAACTGCGACGACAGCTCTTGGATCAGGATTGTGGATGACAAGGAACGACACCCCAGCCAATCTTTGGAAATCAACACTGAGAACAGAGCAGAAGGAGCAGCCGCCATGAATCCCCCGATGTCTCGGATACCAAGTGATACAAACAAAGATCACAGCCTGGCACTGCTGGGAGCTAGATCGAAGTCGCTGAATACCATCAGGGAAAGGTCGCTTTCCAATCCGACAAAGCGCAAGCATGGATCGCTGTCTCCAGCACTTGGAAGCGGTACCGTGAAGGAGGCCATCGCTGTGGTCATCGAGTCTCCGTTTACGTCACCGGGAGAAGGAAGCAAAGCAACCTCTAAGCATACTACACATGGCACGGGTCGGATTCCATTGCTGGTGGAGTGAACACGAGAGCCGTGACTATGTCCCATCCGAAGCAAGCGACAATTACATCCACATGGTCGGTGTAGGCGGAGCTGCCTTTGGCCCAGTAATCTTTGAACAGTATGGATTCTTCAGACAACGTTGGCCGTGCCGCCGCTAGGTTATGGGACTCGATGATTAGGTCCTCCGATTTGCGGAAGTTGCAGGGTCCCGAGAAAAGATTGGCTTCCCGAGGATACATACGCAGTAGGGCATATGGATATACTCTAGCTCATCGAAAACTGGTCGGATCACACCAGTAATACAGTATGAAGCAGTTCGCATAGATTCGTTTAGAAGCGGCTACTTGGTACCCTACCTCGTATCGATAGGATGATTACCCCACAAATCCTGTCTACGAGTAACGGCTTCTCGCTTCTCGGCTTGTCGGTCCCTGCGCCTGCGCTGCCCCACGATATCAAAACTTTTTGCAAATGTCCGAACCGAAGACTTCTGAGTCATTCTGCATTGAATTGCTTCCTCGCTTCGATACGTGGCCGTGATATATATCCTGAGCCAGGCATCTCATCTGGCACCTTTGCACAATCGTGATTCCATTCGATCAACCCAGGGTCTCCTCGTTCACCACCGCGATCACCGGTCCCTACGCCACCTCCGCACTCGAAGCCGCCTGCAAAGACATAATTCCCTGGGAGACACTGCTGACCAGGTCCCCCTTCCAGGTCGCAATCATGCCTATGTATAAGTGACTGTTCCTAGGCGTGGGTTTTCTATACTGACGTTTGCACAGGCTTCGAGAACCATGGAAGAAATACCGCAAATTTAGGCCTCTCGACCTGCCCTCCCGGCAATGGCCCTCGCGGTCCATTGACAACCCTCCTAGGTGGCTGGCCACCGACTTGCGAGATGGAAACCAGAGCTTGCCTGATCCCATGGTATGACGAACAAAATTGTACACTTGGCAGTAAAGCTAATGTTCTGCTCAAGGATGGTCAACAAAAACTGCGCTTCTTCAAAATGCTTGTTGAACTCGGCTATAAGGAGATTGAGGTCTCATTTCCCTCCGCTTCACAGACCGACTTCGACTTCACGAGACATTTGGTCGAAACGCCGGAGCTGGTCCCCGACGATGTTTACCTACAAGTTCTGTCCCCCTGTCGAGAAGATCTGATCCGACGTACGGTCGAGTCCTTAAGAGGCGCGAAGAAGGCTATTCTACATATCTACCTCGCCACGAGCGAATGTTTCCGGAGGGTGGTCTTTGGCATGACCGAGGAAGAAAGTCTTGCCCTGGCAGTAAAATGCACCAAGTTCGCGCGGTCAATCACCAAGGACGACCCTTCACATGCGGGCACCCAGTGGCTGTATCAATTCTCCCCCGAGACGTTCTCCGACACATCTCCAGAGTATGCTGTTCGCGTATGTGAGGCTGTCAAGGAAGCCTGGGGACCCACCGAGGGCGAAAAGCTGATATTCAATCTTCCAGCAACAGTGGAAATGGCTACGCCCAACGTCTTTGCAGATCAGGTTGAGTATTTCTGCACCCATATGACGGAGCGGGAGAAATTTGCGGTCTCTGTGCATTGTCATAATGATCGTGGCTGTGCCGTGGCCGCCTCCGAACTTGCTCAGATGGCGGGTGCTGACCGAGTTGAGGGAACTCTGTTCGGCAATGGAGAACGGACGGGTAACGTGGATCTTGTCACTTTGGCCCTGAACCTCTATACCCAGGGCATCTGGCCCAACATCGACTTCAGTGACATTCAGAAAGTCATCCGGGTCTGCGAGGAATCCACCAAGATCCCGGTCAACGAAAGGTGGCCGTACGGAGGCGCATTGGTTGTTTGTGCATTCAGTGGTTCGCACCAAGATGCTATCAAGAAGGGCTTCCAAGAGCGGAAGACCCTCAAAGCCACTCACGAGTCTCCATGGCAGGTTCCGTATCTGCCACTCGACCCCCAAGATATTGGCCGAACATACGAGGCTGTTATTCGCGTCAATTCACAATCTGGCAAGGGCGGTGTCGCTTGGGTCATTCAACGCAGCTTGGAGCTTGACCTGCCTAGAGGGCTCCAGATCGCTTTCAGCAAAATCGTCCAGAAAGACGCGGATGCCAAAGGCCGAGAATTGCTACCCCGAGAAATTCAGGCTTTGTTTGAGGAATCATATCACCTCAACAAGAACCCTCGATTTACCTTGGTCGATTACAACATCACAGCTTTGAGAACGACATCGCCGGCCCCTCAAACCAAAGCTCCATCAGTCGGTCAACCCCCACAGACCGTGGCCCCGGCTCAGAACACGTCTACCGCGAAGCGACAGTTTGCTGGTATCGTTGCCATTGATGGAGTTCAACATCCCATTGTCGGTGTCGGCAATGGTGCCCTTTCGTCCTTGGCCAATGCTCTTTCCACAATAGGCATCGACCTGGCTGTGAACGACTACAAAGAACATGCCATTGGTGAGGGTAGCGACGTGAAAGCTGCAACCTACATAGAGTGTACGGCAAGCAGTTCACACGAGAAGGTGTGGGGAGTGGGTATCCACGAAGATGTGGTTCAAGCTTCCTTGATTGCGATGTTGAGCGCGGCAAGCTCAGTATGTATTCCATCCAGTGCTGACAACGGCATGATACTGACCTATCCGACAGTTTTTGACTTCGCGAGTATCGACACCCGTACCGTTCAAACCACACCACGTCCGAGAGTTTTCGCAGGCCGAATTGGAGGCTCTCGAGGGCCTGAACCTCAACCACGGAGACAGCTCCAACAGGGGCTTTGATGCTTCTGCACCCTCCCAGACGAACTTGGCGACCAGCGGGAGTGCTGCCGCGCAAAAGATCGACATCGAGGCATTGGAGAGAAAAGCTAATGTTAACGGCCACAATGAGCCTGCGTAGTCGCATCGAGTTTTGTATATACCCCTACTCAAAAGAGGCCTCCAAAGCTACATTGGAGGAACAAAACTACCTTGGGGAACCAAAAGCGAGGGGTTGACTTATTGAATGACCACCTGAGTCACATGTCGATATGTCCTTTTGATATTGATTTGGACTGCTGCTTTCACATGTTTTCCAACAAGTTGAAAGCGAGAGAGCGGAGATACAGTAATAGAGAAAATGCGGCGTCCAATTAAGGAGGGGTGGAAGGCTTCCCTTGACTTGGGCCATCCCTGGTCAACTCGGGGATTCAACACCGAGATGCAGCTCGTTTCATTTAGCCATGACATGTTGAATGCATCATGCCCCATATCAACCGTCCCCGAAAAAGCAGAATGCGCTTTGACTCGTCCTCCAGACTGCCGCTTCGTAACTGCGTTGACCTCCTTTCAACGTCGCTCCCCCGGATTTCCTCTCCTTGAATGTCGCCATATTCATCCTGAGCGTTGCTTTACCTTACCTGTAGCGTGCTAGCCGCGCTTCTATTGCTACTACTTCGTTACCAGTCGACCCCACCCTGACAATGCGGACTATGGCAGCGGAAGCGGAATAGACCCCTTCCAAGACCATCCGGACCATCTTCAAAGACCTTCTTGTCTCGTGTAGACAAGCTTGACCCGCCGACGGCTGATCCCACGGAGGCTCAGCCTTCCTCCTAGACCGCTATGGCCTCCGGCGCTCGTCCTGCATCTACCCGTCGATTCCTCAAGCCTCTCCTCTACTCAGCGGCTGCCCTAGCGGGAGTAGGCGCAACCGTTTTCTATGTATCATATCGTCCCATCAATATCCCGGGCTCACAGGGCGCGGCGGTTCCCGTGCGGCGGACAGAAGATGGAAAGATCATACCCCCGAAGTTCCCCTTGATCAAGTCGCGTGCACAGCAGATTGACGATCTAAGAAAAAGTGGTGGTCTGGTTGGGGCAGCTTCTGAGACTCCCGTCACTCAGCAATTGAAAAACAGTTTTGATCGACTTAAAGGTGCAACAAGCGAAGACAAGGACAATGTGTTAGCGGCCGACCAGGAAGCCGGAGAACCTTACGACCTTCTCATCATCGGTGGTGGAGCTACAGGGTCTGGGATCGCCCTCGATGCTGCTACTCGAGGCCTCAAAGTTGCTCTTGTCGAGCGTGATGACTTTGCTGCGGGGACGAGTAGCAAAAGCACCAAGCTTGTGCACGGAGGAGTTCGGTATCTGGAAAAGGCTGTATGGGAACTCGACTACAATCAATATGCCTTGGTCAAGGAAGCACTGCGCGAAAGAAAATACTTCTTGGATACCGCGCCTCATCTTTCGACATGGCTTCCGATCATGATCCCGTTGCAGAAATGGTATCAGGCACCTTACTTTTGGGCCGGGACGAAGTTCTATGACTTCTTGGCAGGAAGTGAAGGGATTGAGACCAGTTACTTCTTGACGAAGAGCAAGGCTTTGGACGCGTTTCCCATGTTGAAGACGGACAATCTGATAGGTGCTTTGGTGTACTACGACGGAGCTCACAACGATAGCCGCATGAACATCTCCATCGCGGCCACTGCTGCGCTTTACGGTGCGACGGTGGTGAACCATATGGAAGTCATTAGCTTGACGAAAGATCAAAACGGCAGATTGAACGGTGTCCTTGCTCGAGATGTGATTGCAGAGAAGAATGGCAAATCGACCTCTCCGATCACCATACGCGCAAAAGGTGTCATCAACGCGACTGGCCCGTTCTGTGACTCGATCCGCAAAATGGACGATCAGAAAGTGATGGAGATTGTCGCTCCGAGTTCGGGTGTGCATGTTGTCCTTCCTGGATATTACAGTCCACAGAAGAACTCGATGGGTCTGATTGATCCTGCTACATCAGATGGGCGTGTCATCTTTTTCCTACCCTGGCAAGGCAACACGATTGCAGGCACCACCGATGCGCCATGCAATATCACCCAGCATCCTATTGCTGGCGAGGACGAAATCGGCTGGATCCTGAATGAAATCAAAGGCTACTTGTCCCCAGACATCAACGTGCGCCGTGGAGATGTTCTGGCTGCCTGGTCAGGTATTCGACCACTGGTCAAAGACCCCAAGGCGAAAAATACCCAGTCGCTGGTGCGGAATCACCTTGTCACAGTCTCAGATTCAGGCCTGCTCACGTGTGCGGGTGGAAAATGGACAACGTATCGACAAATGGCAGAAGACGCCGTGGACGAAGCCATCAAGCAATTCAAATTGCAGACAAAGCCTCTGACTACACCGAGGAGGGTCAGTGGTACGGAAATGGTCAACGATGCTGCGCCCTTAGACGGAAAATGCCAGACCCATCAGGTCCGCCTTGTGGGCGCCCATGGATATTCGAAGACACTCTTTATCAGCCTGATCCAACATTTTGGCCTTGAGACCGACGTGGCGAAACATTTGGCTGAAGCGTACGGCGATCGTGCCTGGACCGTGGCTGCACTTTCGAGCCCCACCAATGCTAGATATCCTATTCGAGGCGAGCGGATTTCTGCCCTGTATCCTTTTGTGGACGGAGAAGTACGATACGCTGTTCGACATGAGTTTGCCCAGCGCGCGGTTGATGTCATCGCAAGACGGACCCGCCTTGCATTTCTCAACGCTCAAGCCGCACTGGAAGCATTACCCAGGGTTATCGACCTGATGGCCGACGAGCTGAAGTGGGATAGCAAGAGGAAGGATCTTGAATGGAAGGAAAGTGTTGCATTCCTGGCCTCCATGGGTCTCCCGAAGAGCAAGCTGGGTGCTTCGAGAAAGGACGTTGAGAGTGGAAGAGCCGTATTCACAGATGAGTACGAGCGGAAGCTGTATTCGAGATTTGGTAAGTTTGGCAGAGCTTGCACGCCGATGTCGCTGACAGCTTGTAGATGGCCCTGCAGATACTCTCGAAAGCGACTCCAAGCTGGAACCTGGTCAGAATCCCGTGATGGGATCCGAGTCTCCAGCCAACAAATGATTGTTGATCACCACGACAGGATGCACTTCAAACTCAAGCTTCCCGGAACGGATGCAGGTGATGCTTTTCAATTGTTGTGGTTGATCTATCAAACAAGCATCTGATCAACGTGGAGGAGTCTGTGGACAGTGTTGAGGACTTCGGATCCATACGAATACCATCATCTAGCTCATGTCGGTCTGCATGTTGGCTTAGTGATTCCCACTGAAATGTCAAGATAGTTCCTGCCGATCAGGAGCTGTTGCCTTGTCCAACCCCGTGTTGTGTGGTTCTTTCCCCAGCTACATTTTTCTGGTCAACCAACCAGGCATTCTTTACTTTGTCCGCACTTTGGAACGCTTCATCTGATGTACGATTCAACACCTTTACACGTTCTCGCATAAGTAGGGGCGGTATTCTTTTCCCTTCCCTGTTTCCTTTCTTCCACCTCCCTCTACTCCTATCCTTTGTGTCCTCATCTCCAGGACGCATGTGTAGAGAAGCACGTCTTCCTTTTCAACATCGTTTCACCAAATACATTATCGAGATACCATCTCTCTGCTAAAGGCTGCCCAGTAAGATGCCTTTCATGCTCGTTCAGTACATCGCTGACAAGTCTCAAAGCTCCTGCTCACCCAATTACATCGTCCTTGCTCTCAGCGGCCGAAGATGGCATCTCAACCTAGCGTTTCCAGCGGCTCCTGGCGCAAGGGCCTAATGAAGGATTCTATCACTTCTTTCTTCAATAACAACAACAAGAAACCTGAAGCGGAAAAGGACAATGATGCTGTTATTAACGAAGCATCTCGCAACAATTCCGACGCCACTCCTACCCCCAACACCGCAGTACAGGGTGACCGCACGCCGAATTCTGACGAGACTGGAGGTATACATCATATGAGGTCGAAGATACTGAGGAGTTATTGACATGTTGGCAGCTCTTCCGCCATATAAGGAACGTGATCCCGATCCCACGGCCAAACATGATCCCATGGCCAGTTCTATTGAAGGTGGCGTGGAGTACAAGTCTATGGTCTGGTGGTACGTCACAAGCGCACCGTGTCGTTTTTGCAAGTTGCACAACTAACTGTCATTCAGGCAAGCCGGCATGGTCATGGTTGCGGAGACCATCTCCCTTGGTATCCTGTCACTTCCTCAAGCTATCTCGCAGGTTGGAATCATACCCGGCTTGATCCTTCTCCTCGCTCTCGGAGCCCTGGCATCCTACTCCGGCTATGTCATCGGTCAGTTCAAGATGCGATATCCTCATATTCACTCGATGGGCTGTGCCGGAGAAGTCCTTTTCGGCCGTTGGGGAGGTGAAATTCTCGGCTGGGGTCAATTCTTGTTCTATATCTTCGTCATGGGCAGCCACATCCTGACTTTCTCCATCATGATGAACGCCATTACGGGCCATGGAGCTTGCACGATCGTTTGGATGGTCGTCGGCACCATTCTGAGCTTCCTTTGCACACTGCCACGTACTCTCAAGAACTTGTCCTACTACTCTGTCGTCAGCTTCCTCAGTATCATTGGTGCCGTCATGATTACCATGATTGGAGTTAGCATCACCAAGCCCGGCTTGGCCCCAGGAGAGACCACGCTGCATGTCCGACTCTGGCCTAGACCAGGCCTCGGCTTCCAGGATGGATTTCTCGCCGTCGCAAACATGGTCTTTGCATACGCCGGCCATGTCGCCTTCTTCACGTTCATCTCCGAACTGCGGAAGCCTGAGGACTTTCCTAAAGCTTTGGCTCTTTTGCAATGCAGCGACATCAGCATGTACATCATCACCGCGGTTGTGGTGTACTATTATGCCGGAGACAATGTCAGGAGCCCTGCACTAGACAGTGCTGGCAACGTCGTGAAGAAGGTTGCCTACGGCATCGCCATTCCCACCATTGTTATTGCCGGTGTTGTCAATGGTCATGTTGGTGTCAAATACCTGTATGTGCGACTATTGCGAAACCGGACCGATGATTTGATGCATCAAAAGTCATGGAAATCTTATGGCATTTGGGTTGGCATCTGCACCGGCTCCTGGCTCGCTGCCTGGCTTATTGCCGAAGCGGTTCCTGTTTTCAATGATCTGTTGGGTTTGACCAGTGCACTCTTTGCCAGTTGGTTCACCTTTGGCCTCAGTGGTATGTTCTGGATGAAGATGAACCTCACGCGACGGTCATGGAAGATTGTCCCTCGAGAAAGCTGGAGCAAGCGGAAGTCGTTCTTGTTTCTGGTCAACGTTTTGCAGATTCTCATGGGAGCTGTTCTGGTAAGTTTGTCTCGGAAGCGACTCTGACAACAATGCTAACAGTCACGCAGTGTGTGGTTGGATTGTATGCCAGCATTTCCAGCATGATCGAGAATGGAACTGGTGGCAAGACCCCATTTAGCTGTGCCAACAATGCTGCTGGAGACGTCCTGGATTTCCAGAAAATGGGAACTGATGCTGCCTGAGAGGTATTGGGTTTGCAGACTATGGCGTGCTATCACGGCGCACGTACTGGGTTTCTCCTGGATTGGGAGTATTGGAAACGAGAAATAGAGAAAAGGAGGATAGAAGACATGCCCTACAAGTTAGGGCGCACTTGCGAGTGAGTAATGGTAATCTTAATGCCACAGTCACCAGGACAGGTGGTGGGCACATCATAGAATGGGAATGGAGTTGGGATCGTGTCAGTATGGAACACGATCCTACTAGAGGTGGTATTGATAGAGGATAGTCGTCTTTCAAGACTCTGATGCAGCAAGGCTCGAACGTCGGCATATTCACTGTACTACCCCAGGCTGGCCTTACCCCAACTAGTGGGCACATCTGCCATTCATTGAGGTTTTGAGCACGGTTTACGACTGTAACTCTGAGTTTCGGCACATAGAGGCGGCTGGGTAGCGGAGCCACAGTCACGCCACGGGCATGCATGCCATAAATGCAGTAACTTTACTCACTGTAAGTGCCTATTCAACTGCCGAGCCTTGCATCACTTGGAGCCTTGGAGTCCGTGGATTTTTAGCCGTGTTGCCCGTCCCTGGGATGCCCTTATCGTACCTGTGGTGACCACGACCACGGAATATCTGCCGTGGGAACTTTCCTACCCGGGACTTGCCATCATTGGGGGTTGTGGTTCCCTTTCACTGCCGCTGTCGTGTATTGAGCACTTCGGTAGTGCTTTCCGGCAGTGAAGGTCGGCGATTCTGATGATGTGATGCTGGATATATTGCTGTTGACTTGCCCACGTCGTTTTTATTCCTCCGCTGACGGTATTGTGTACTTCTATTTCTTTCTGCGTTTTGGCTTGGTAGGCTATCGTGCTGGAGAGGCCTTGCGTCATTCATCCCACATCCATTGTCACAGACGAGTAATTGACATCCACGGTTGCAATGGGGAAATTACAGCTTCACGTCGGCATCATCGGCGCTGGCCTTGGTGGTCTGGCAGCGGCCATTGGTATCGCTAGAGCCGGGCACAAAGTCACCATCCTCGAACAAGCTCCCCAACTAGGAGAAGTAGGAGCAGGTATTCAGATTCCACCAAACAGCACTAGAATCCTCGCACGATGGGACATCCTACCGGCCATCGAAAAAGTCTCGGTTCGCCCCAACAATGTCATTATGCGATCTTACCGTGACGGAAAAGTTCTCTCGTCTCAGCCCTTGATTCCAATATGCGAGGACGTCTATGGATATCCTTATCTGCACATCCATCGCGCCGACTACCACAAAATCATGGTGGAGGAGGCTCGGAAACTGGGCGTGGACATCCAACTCGACAGTTTCGTGACAGGGATCGACTTTGAGCGTCCAGCGGTCCACGTCAAGAACCGCAAGGACCCTTTCCTTTGCGATCTGATTATCGGCGCGGATGGGTTGAAAAGCGTATGTCGCGAAGCGCTGCTTGGCCATCCCGATCCACCACATCTCACAGGCGACTTGGCGTATCGCATCACTGTGCCAGCCGAGGACATGAAGAAACATCCCCTGCTGGCCGATTTGGTCGCCGTGCCGAACATCAATTTCTGGCTAGGCCCCAGCTCGCATGTCGTTTGCTATCTTCTCAAGGGCGGCAACCTGTACAACATTGTCATTGCATGCCCCGACAACTTGCCTAAATTCGTCAACCAGCAAAAGGCCGATTTGGAGGAGATGCACGCCATCTTCAAGGAGTGGGACCCCAAACTGCGCGCATTGCTTGAGTTGTGCCATGATACATCGAAATGGCGGCTCCAGAATTCCAGGGAGATGATGTCCTGGTCTCACCCTTCGGGACGGTTCACTTTGTTGGGAGATGCGTGCCACGCCACCCTGCCTTACCTTGCGCAGGGCGCAGCTCAGGCCGTTGAAGATGCTGCAGTCTTAGCTCATCTATTTGAAAAGGTTGAACATGCGCACCAAGTGCCGGATTTGTTGACGATTTATGAAACGATACGGAAGCCCCGAGCGACCGCTGTTGTGGCGGGTAGTTCGTATGCTGGACAAAAGATTTATCATTTGCACGATGGGCCACGGCAAAAGGAGCGTGATAGACAGATGCTTGCGTTCCAGGACAAGCCGTTTGAAGGGTATCAGAACCGCTGGAGAGATCCGGTGTTCCAGAAGTTCTTGTTTAGTTATGATGCGCAGAAAGTGGTGGATGATGCTTGGAAGGTGTATCAGGAGGGACGGTTCGTGGGGACGATCGGACAGTTTGGTGTTGATGGGGTGGGTGAGGCTGGGGAACGGGAGGTGCATGAGCTGAGGAGGAATGAGAAGGCGAGGAGTCCTAGGGAGTCAAGACTGTGATGAGGATTTTCAGCTCGGCACCAATGGCTAGGTCAAGTTACGAGCGACGTGGCGTTGGTGTAGGTTCTTCTGCTCGGGATGGCGTTATGTTGTTTTCAGACACCAGCTTGGGTAGCGATGCATAGCGAGTCTAATTTTTCAGGCAGTCACTGCCACTCATGATGTTTCTGAACCACAGATCAATGAATTTCATGGTTCCAGAGCATTGTTGAAGGTCGTCCTCCACCAAGTAGTCCCCAGTGCACACATCCGTCCTCGCCGTTCCACCACTCAGGTCACGAGTGTCAAAAGCTCGGTACAGAACAGGTAAGGTGCAACTGGAACAACTTTTCATGCTACGCGGCTCTCCGGCACAAGGCGACGTCGAGCCTTCGAACAGCCATTGTTGACTTGACCGTTCGGACTCCGGAGGCTTATTATTGCGGGAGAACCACAGCTAGGGTACAGTTGTATGTACCAGGAGGCTTAAATCGGAGCTACACCTTAGCTTTTCGATAAAAGCCAAGTTACGTACAGCCGCAGAGATTGCTTCCTTCCTCAAATTGACCTGGTCAATCAATGTCTTGCAGACATAGAGACGGGAAGACCGAAACTGGCTGAAGCAAAACGCATGCATTTCTTGATATTGCACGAAAGCAGACCTGGGCACAGAAGGCCCAGCAGATTAAATCCCCGTGTCTTTCGAAGGGAACGAGTCTGCTTGGACGGACACCCAGCACGCGACAGATGGAACAAAAGCCCAGAGCACGGACTCCAAACGAAGCTCCGATCGAGCTAACTGAACTGACTATGGTCATGGCTTTGGCGGCAGGCGCATACTGAATGGCTACTCCCTCCCATGCCTCTTCCAGATCTTTACCATTGTTGTTGCCAAAGAATCAACATTAGGAAGCGGCGTTCTATCGACTTTTCAGCCGCATCACCTTCAACAAGTCAGACTCATCGTTCTTCGATTTATCTCCTCAAACCTCTTGTTTGTGTATCTTCCATCAATTCATTTAGGACAACACTTAACAATGGCTAATTCGTCCATGAAAAACCTTGCTGTCTTTTTGCAGCGTCTGGACCAGTCTGGCGAGATCTGAACCCCTTTTTTAGTGGAGATGGTACTTCCAAGCAACTCTTGAACCCATCAAAACGACTTCCGGGGATCCATCAGACCTGTCCACGCCTATCCCAAAGCAGAGTTTCCATGTGGAAGGTAACGATAACTTAGGCCTCGCCGAAAGCTTTGTCCAATTCCAGCTTTTACCCCAGCCTGCTTTGGGATGGGTTTTCAGCCCCAGGGTCCTTCTGATCCAATGACCACCACCACCCAGAGACGCGCAGTGCTGTCTATACTTTTGTGGCGGGCTGAGAGTGAGTTGGCTTTCTTCACCTAAACGCCATGGCCTTGTCAAATGTCTTGGTTGGACAAATGGAACGGACTCGTCCTGCCTGGTGGGATGAAACGGGAAAAATCATTAATATCCCATCTGGTCCCTGGTTTTTCTGGTTGTCCAACAAAAGAAGTCTCTTCTTGTCGAGGGTGACCTGCACATATCCAGCAACCAGCAACCAACAGGAAACATGGCGACCAATATGGACGGCGACAAGATCGATCCCATCACGGAGAAACCTATCGTCTCAGCTACCGTGACTGCAATCAATGCCGAAACCGACCCGGGTGCACTCGAAAGCGATGCTGCAAAGCCCAGTCGTGATTTCAAGCAAGCCATTTACGCCATCGTTGGCGGCGTGGCTCTCCCTTGCATTCCCATCATTGTTGTTTCCGCGGTCCTACTATATGTCATCTTCGAACACCGAATTGTTCCACGAGAAGGTTGGCCAGACCTCTACGTGGCTTCAACCCAGGCCTCAACGGACAATGTCACGACACTGATCAAAGAGATTCGCCATCAAGGCGGCAAAGCGGCGTACTACGTCCGCTACAACCCCTCCACCATCACCACAATCGCATCATGGACAGGTCGAGTGATCCCATACCTATCGAGCTCCATCATGGCACTGGTCGCTTTCTTTGCAGCCCGACATATCGTCGTCAAGTCCAGGCACGGCGACCACACACAGCTACCAACGCCAGAACAGTTGACCCTCCTGATCAGCTTGCTGGGCGGAAGTGGTTTTGGTCCTCTCAAGGAAACAGCCTTGTACCGATGGGGAAGGAAAGAAAAATTGGTTGCTCCTTTGCCAGCTGCCTTCGCCGCACTGGGTGTCATCACGTTGCTTGGTCTCATCATCCCCATCGTCGATACATGGTTTGGTGTAGCTACACAACCAGTGACCATCACACAGCTTTACAATACCTCCACCAAGGCTTATCACTCGTACGGTCGTAATCTGAATCCCGGAACTGCGGAATATCCCATCTGTCCCGATGGTCCAGGCTATCAAGCAGGATCTGGTGGTGGATATCAGGAATGGTGGTGGCCCTGCAATCTCATCATTTCCATGCAGCACGAGAACGACGTATACCTCGAAGGATCTCAAGCAGTTGCCGACCTCCAGCTAGCTCAATCAACCAACGATGTTATCTCCAATTATACAGGCCCGTTGTCTTCCGACTCCACGCAGAACCAGACAGTCTTTTTCTATGGTGACACGCGGAGCAGCAACACGCTTGATTTCAAGGCTCAGACATTGGGCGTATCGACGCAATGCATTATGGCCACAACCATGTGCGGTTACCTTAACAACAATGAGACGGATGACTGGTCCTTCAGATGTTCGGAAGGCTTTGGAGGAGACGTCACTTACGGTTATCCCAATGTGTGGCCGGCCAATGCTAGCGACGCTGATTCAGGTGGTACAGGTGGTTATACCACGGGGATTGGCTACGCAATTGATGCTCAGCTCTCCGAGGCAGCCCCAATGGTCAACTGGACGGATGGGGGCCTCGTTGAGGGCACGATCCAGAGTCTCCTGCGACAAAACCCTACGCATTTTGCAACATGGGCAGTAGGATACCCAAGCGATGACATCAAGAACCCCCTATTCAGTTCTCTTGATCCTCAGGTTTTCCCCAACAACTCGCTTACTGCCGTGTGGATACTCAATTGCAGCTCTACCGTTTACGACGTCACATATACATATGTCGACGGTGCACTGCATTCGTTCAATGCCACTCTTGCGGAACCGGTATGGGGTGCTTTCTTCTCTGCGCCCTTTGCCTGGTCGTATCTGAAAGGTTTAAGACCGGCGCAACTCACGCTCGAGAACGCTGCATTCAAGGCAGGCTCTACAGCTAAGACCGCCGCCGACATTGCCACCATATATGCCAAAGAGTACTCGAAAGCCGCCCTCCAATTGTCAGTGGGTGCCTTTCAGCCTTACGTCAACGATATCGAGCAAGTCCGCAACAGCTCCATCTCGGTCGCTCGAATCCCTCTGGTCCCACTGTATCTTTTGCTGGGATTCAAGTTCATATATGTCCTTGTGGTGATCATTTTGGCGATTGGCGCGTACTGCTTCACACATCCGGCCGAAACCGAAGTCGTCAAAGCCCAGCTCAGCGTCCAGGGTTTGGCGGCTGCGCACTTCGACCAACCCGACCTTGTCCGAAAGAATGTCGTCCAAGAGGTCCAGTCACGTCTGGACCCGGCGAAGAATGGCGGAAGCCCAACGTCAGAAACGCCGGTCCAACCACTCGAGCGCGCTGCGACGGCGCCTGCCCTGGGTGGTGGTCCTGCTGGCGAGGCAACAGAGGAACTTCCCAAAGTCGGCCTCATGCCTACACGCGCTGGGACGTGGAAGTTCGTGCTTTTGGCTGATGGTGCCTGGCAGAGCGTCAAGCCCATCGTGCAGACTTTGGCGCTGAACGAGGCCAAGGCAGGTAAATTGGGTGATATAGGTGATGCGTACGCCGCGTGGAAGTAGGGGCATACCTGTTTGTTTGATATTGAAAGCATAGCAAGCGTCTGCATTATATACAGTAATATTATGGGCTGGCCAACGCATGAGTTGTACAGAAGACTTATATTTCAACCTTCTTGACTGACCACTGGTGATTTCACTTTTCTTCTCGACATATCTTTCATTATGGAGACTGCGAATACATATCGTGCCTTTAGTCTTGGCTACCTCGAACGTGCATCAGAACAGCTATAAACACAGCTATCTACCTTGACGCTACCAACGCCTCGCTATCACTTTTCAAAAACTGGTAAAATCATGCCTTCTTTTTCCGCATCACGGCCGTCTAGGAGCAGGATACCCAGCCTGACCAGGCTGATTTCCCGGCCCACCGAACCTGATTCCAATGTCTGGCGTCCAGACACCGCCGACACCAATCGTCCCGCCCGCGACGTTGAGTGGTACCGGGCCTGTCGCCGCCGAGGGCATGACACCTCCAGGTGGAATATTCCTCGTCGGCACAGGTGCAGTGATCGGCTCATGGTGCTGGTCCTGCTGCGCAGTAGCTTGTTGTTGATAATACTGCTCCTGTTGCTGATGCTGCTGACTCTGGCGAGTCTGGCGGCCCCTCGTCTGCGGAACATGCTGTTGCTGATTCTGGGCAGTCAACTTCCCTCTCGTTTCTTCCAGGTTCAATCGACCCATATCCTGCCCAGCAAGTTCAGCTTCCAGATGACTTGCCTCGACACGCCGCTCATTGACCTGCGCCTTACAAGTCTCTCTAAACCGCGCGACGTGCCCTGCCAAATCGTTGTAAAATTTCCGGCCCGTGTCCAAATTGCTGATAAGCTCCTTGTACTTGGCGTAGCCTGTCTCTAGGGCCTGCAGAGCCTTCTGCCGCTCGCGCGTGGTACTTGTATCGCCGCGCCGGGCTTCGACAAAGGCCTTGTTTGCCTCGCGTAGGCGCGCAATGATCTGGTCTTGGTCCTCTTGCTCGATCAACAAGGCTTCGCGGTCAGGCTCGTAGTTCTCCAGCCTCTTGGTGAATAGGCCTTCAAACTGGCTCGGCTCGATCTTTTGCATGGGATACTCGCGTTCCAGGCGCGCTGCTTCGGCGAGCAGTGCGGGCCCGATATCGTCGGTTCTGGCTTTCTCTTTGAGAGCGCTGATTCTGTTGCGCCGTCGCGTCTCCAGGCGCGAGATTTCGTTCAGACATGCCCTGAGACGCGAGGCCGCTTGATCGATCACCGGCGTCATTGTGACTTGGCCGGATGAGGGGACGAAGCGTTCGAGGTCTCGGTCTGTGCCGGTCAATACCTTGAGGATGTGTTCGTTTTCACGGAATTTGGTTTCCACCAGATTGTCACTTGAGGCTGCGGAGTTGAGATATGTTCGGAGTTCTTGAGCTGATTGGTATAACTTGGCCAAGGCGGTTGTGGACGGCGGTCGAGACCACCGGTCTGTGCCGTATTTTCCGCGCGATTGGTCGTCTTCGACTTTCTCTGCTTCAAGCAGGGCCAGGCCTTCCTGGTAGATCGCAAGATCGTTGGTCTTGAGCTTGGTGGTGTCTTCCACCGATCTCTTGATCCGATACAATGCATCTTGTTGTCGAAGTTCTTCCGCTTTTGATACTAAACTACCTGGGAGACCTAACGGCTTCTCCAATGCTTGCAGTGAGCCGGGCAAATCGAGTGATTGGAGCACTTCCCGAAGTTTGACTGTCATGGCTTCCAGATCTGCAATGATGGATTGACTGACCAGACGATCTCGGCGGTCTTCGTATATTGAAGCGGCTTGGTGGACAGCATAGGGGACCAATTTCTCGAATAGAGGTTTGCCAAAAGGTTGTCCTTCGCCCAATAGGGAAATCCCATTGGCTACATCGGGAGGTGTCTTCGGGGCGACCATATTTGTGCGGTCAAGTATCCGGAGTTCTGACTTGGGCGTGACTGTTTGCAGATATATCACATCATTGTCTCTTTCCGCCCTCTTTAGGTCTTCCTGGACTCTGGTCTTGAGCCCATTTAGATCTCCCACCACGGTTGCGCTGATCCAGCGAGCTTCCTGCAGGCCCTCATTGACACATTGTATGCTGTCCTTTAGGCGAGCGATCTCCTCACCGTACTGCTTGTTCTGCAGACAATATCTGGATTGGCGGTACTGAGCGGCGGCAGCGAAGTGATGGTGTTTGGCCTGGAAGTGATGGATCCATTCAGTGCTGACGGCTCTTGACTGACGACCTGTATCCGCCGCCATTATGTAGTAGTCTGATACCTTTGCAGCGAGTTTTGCGACAGTGCCATCCGACATGTTTTTCTTGACGGTAATCTGCCAAAAGCATTCCTGCGCCTGCGCCAAACACGTTGACTGTAGACTGTCCAGCGTTATATCGTCCATATCTTCAGGTGGAGAGGATCGCATGTCGGGCATGACCTCTTTGCGCATGAAATCCAACACTCCGGCAGCAGCAATGCCATACTCTGCTGCAGCCTTGAGCCCATCGACCGTTGTCCAATTTGTGCGGACAGACAGCTGTGAGTATAAGGCAGCCAGGTTGAACAGGATATTGGCCAATTCGAATCTGACATTATTTTGTAATATGGGTTTCTCTTTGTCATAGCCAATTGCAGGGTACCAGGGAAAGTCGACACCAATGTCTATGGGGAATTTCCCACCAAGGTATCTTAGGTGTGCGGCATAGAGGGCCAGGCGTCTGATGCCGCTGATGTGAGGCTCTACGACACTGATTGCATCGGCTCGAAGTCGGTCAATCTCGCGCAGGTCATCTGCGAACATTCCAGGTGACTGGTCATATTTGCTGGAGATGTATTGTTTAATGGCAGAGGATAAATCAACCGAATGCGTGCGGCGGAAGGGAATCTCGAGCACATTTCTAGAATTGTCAGTAAGCCGAGACACGGGATAGCAGCAAGGTGGTATGCACTTACGAGGACATCCTGTATCAAGGTGCTGTATCACATTGGGGTGCGAGCGCATGATTGACACTTGATCGACCTTGCTGTTCCTTCGTCAGGCACGAAAGTGGTGACTGTGGGTGGCAGCCTTGCGGTGACGTCAGTTGAAGCAAGATCTCACTATGTCACGTGAACTCAGAATCTCAGCCTCGTATGCTTTGTCATCCTCGCTATCACTTTCCTTGCTAAACCTTCGGAGAGATGCGTCGCTCCCCGACGATTTTCGCGGAACGTGCACCGAAGACCATCGAGATCCGCACACGGCTCAGCCGCTCGTATCGTCCAGGCGGCTACTCGTATGCAGAAGGTCTTTGCGGAGATCTCCTTCATGGCAACTGACGGCGAGACGAACCCTTTTGGTCCCTCGCCTGGACCAACCACTACGCCCTTCGATTTTGCTAAGTACCGGTAAGTGTCTGGTCTGGTCCAGTTCCTTGACAAAGATCATATTCTCTTATTCTCCCCGAGTCTGCAAACATCAACAACCAAAGCTCATTAACCAAATCCTCATTTGGTGTCGATCTCGCATTATAAACCCTTCGTTCGCTCCAAGAAATAAAAGATAAGCAAAAATGGCGCCCTCCGCTATCGCCGACCTTCTCCCCTCAGGCCCATTGACCTCGAAATCCGTCAAACCCGCCAACGAACACCACGTCCATGGCATGCAAGACAAGAGCCCGATCGCCGCCATCTCCCACGGCGATGTCATGCTCCCCGGTGTCCCAACATTCACTGATTTCGCCGCCCAACGGCAATGGCAACTCGAACACATGGCCGCCGCATTCCGCCACTGGGCCCGCGAGGGTTACGTAGAGGGCATCTCAGGCCACATTAGCGTCAGAGATCCCGAGCATGAAGACGTCTTCTGGACGAACCCTCTAGGCGTACACTTCGGCCTCCTCAAAGCCAGCGACATGATTGCCGTCAACTTTGACGGCAAAGTCGTCGGCGGCAACCGCACCCGCCCACCCAACGCCGCAGGCTTCTTGATCCACAGCGAAGTGCACAAAGCCCGCCCAGACGTCCACGCCGTCTGCCACGCTCACACCACCTACGGTAAAGCCTGGAGTGTCTTTGGCCGACCCCTCGAAATGCTCACCCAGGACGCCTGCAAATTCTACAACTCGCACAGCGTGTACAACTCGTACGGCGGTGTCGTGCTCGCCAGCGAAGAAGGCGCCCAGATCGCCAAAGCTTTGGGTCCCACCAACAAGGCGTGCATCCTGCGCAACCACGGATTATTGACTGTCGGCAACACCGTCGACGAAGCTGCATTCTTGTTCTTGTCCGCGGAGCATGCTTGCCAGGGTCAATTGCTCGCCGAGGCCGCCTCGCAGGGTGGCAAGATCGAGAAGGCCCTCATCTCCGACGAGGAGGCCTATTACACCAACCGCATGGAGAGCGACTCCGAGACATGCTACGCCGAGTTCCAGGCCTATTATGATTGGGAGATGCATCACTCTAAAGGAGATTTCAAGAACTAAGTGGGAAAAGTCTGTCTGCTTGGAAGTAATTTACATACAGGAGAGTGTTAGGCATTGACGGAGTTTTGTTGATGTTGATGTGAAATAACGAAGTTGACGGCTGATAGAATGTGTGCGGATCCATTCATTGTATCTTATCCTGTACCACCCAGAAGGGCTGGTACTCATATCGAATCAAAGCACATAAAGCATAGTGTACGTCCAGTCTTGGACATTTTGAGCGACCCTTCCACCCGGCCAGTGCCTCTATTCTGCCTCACCCATCACCCGATATTGCAATATCACATCATTCTTCCCATTTCAATTCTGCCCTTGATATATCATTTCCGCAGGAATGGGTCGACTTCTTCCGAATCGAATGGACCAGGCAAACCCCTAACAAACCCCAATGACTAGGTTACAAATGAACTCACTGCCACCGGTGTCTGGTTTCACTCTTCTCGAATAGAGTCCAAAATCAGTAGAGGGCACTGTTCTTTGACCCTGTTTTGCCCTCTCGCGCTGTTGGCCTTTGTGTGCGTCCTGACTTGTGCGCGCCAGGTGAGGATTGATACGAGGATATTCGAGGCAGGAAAGGTTTGTTTCACTGGTCGAACAGAGACTGCTTAGCATCGTTGGAACCAGAGAGCGTGCTGAGAAGTGGCAGAAGCTTTCTGTTCCTGCGGTCATCTCGGTCGGTCGTGGCTCCGTCTATCTTCACCGTCGCCGCGGACAGAGATGTGACCATCCAAGTTGATAAATAAGGTCGACATCGTCCAGCGAAGTTGTTGTCGTATTCATCGCCATATCATCTCCCCGTGCGTATCTGATATGCCAGTCCATAATGTTGCTGTGAGTCAGTGCTGGTGTGACAACTCTTAGTCCTCCGCCTCCTGTGCCTGTTCCTGTCCCTCATTCTGGTTTCCCCATCCAGCCAAAGTCCAAGTGATCGCGCAACTGACCAGCACCCATCTCGAGATGTAAGTCCAGAGATACGCCCTCCACAGCAAGGCCCTTTCCCACATTGGTCGTTTCATGAATCCTGCACTCCATAATATCGTGCCGATCAGCAGTGGTCCTGAAGCTTGACATGCCGCTATCAGTGTCTTTTGCAGGTTCGGGTGTGCCCGTCCGAAAGCCGTGTCCGTATCATGGTTCGGAGTCGAGGTACTTCTGGGCGGCATTTTGAGTCGGGATGGCAGCAATGATCCAAGTGCTATTGTGAATGATCTGACTTGATGTTGTTGTTTGCGAAAAGGGGTGAAGGATTTTCAATGCATTGAAGTCCGGATCCCTAAGTGATCGATATGATTCCGAGTCATTGATATTCACTCGCCGGGATGAAGCACCAAGACAACTTCGTGCGGTATGTGATGTGACGTCTCGTGTGACCACTGTTAAATGTTTCTCGGTGTTGAAGAACAGAGACTGTCAAACACCAGGATTATGTTGAGTCAACCAGTGATGTCGCGCCTTCTCTTCCGTCAATCGGCCACTTGCAGGCGTGGTATCACAGACTGGAATTTGATGTCGAGCCTGTCATCAAACATGAGTGACAGTGGATTCCGGCTGCCAAAGCTACGCGTATGGCAGAGCCGATAGTAATGATACAAAAAGCACGCGAGCAAGAGCAAACGATGAAGATGAGGTTCTCGTTGTTTTCGTCATTTTGCTTATGTCAGCTACTCAGCCAATCAAATCCATAGCATTTCCATACGAAGAGAAGCTGTTCTACTTCGTATGCCTTTGTAGTCGATATCAATTCCGTGTCCCAGTCGGTGCCCAAATATGCTCGCAAGTCTGTGCCAATTCCAATTCCAAAGCTCAAGCTTGACTCGACATAGGAAACATGAATTACACAAGCATAAACATCTGTGCCCGATTTGGCCCATCACCAGCCAAAGCCTTCCTCAATCAAATCGAGGTTTGCACCTCTGTCCAGCATCACTCGAGACACGCGTCTTACTTCGTCGGCCAGACCGCCACCTGCGCAGACACTGACACCGAGACATCCCATCTTCTGTTGAACTTCATCCCACATCAGGGCATGCACATTGGGCCTTCCGCGCGAGATCTGAACCATGTCGCTAGGGCTTCTGATCGATTGATTCAAGCCCCCTCGAGTGATAAAGAGCAAGATCTTGAGGACTTCTCTTCTTCCTTCCATGCTCAAGACATCTTGCATCCACCCGCGAACCCACTCCAGACATTCCGTGGTTGGCATGACCCAGACTAATGTGATCCGCTTGGTGGCGACAGTGCCTTGACGATAACCTTCCACGAGTTCTCTGACATATGGGAGTTGATGTGTTATTCCGACGCCACTAGCGAAGAGCATGACCGTGCCATAGCTGGACAGGCTTCTTTCAGTGCCGTAAGGACCCTCGATGAAGGCGTTGACAGTCAGAGCAGTGCTAGACTTCTCGGCGCGCTCCCAGAGTTTCCGCGTGAATCCGCTATGTCTCTTGACAATCAGAGACATTACTTGCTTTCCTGGAACCTCGAGGTCGATCTCTTTGTTGCGCACCTTGATCTCTTTTTCGTCCACAGATCTAAGGGTGCTGGCCCGTGAGAGGGACTCCTCGACTTCTGACCAAGCGACCGAGAACGGATGCGCCGTCCATAGGCCAATGGAAGGGATGGTCAAGTACAAAGATTGACTTGGTCGATGGGTCCAAGGTCGTGGAGGTGTAAAGCTGACCTTGACGGCACCTCCTGGTAGTGACTGGATTTTCACTTTGCAGCTCTCCTTTCCGATGCTTCGGTAGAGCAGCGTGGCAAACCTGAAAGCCCTGCTTGAGGCCCAAATGACCGCTGCTCCAAGCAGCAGGTATCGTTGTGGGAGGCTCTTGAGGGCCAGATGTCTCCAGAGAAAAGCCATGGTAAAAACCGCCAAAACAACGTGCAGATGATGGAAAAATTCGTAGGAGAGGCTTCTGAACAATTTCGGAGTGTGGATAAGCATCACTGTGACAGCAATAGTGGCGACCAGCCCAGCTACGAGAAAAGGCTCAGTTCTCAAGGAGACTTTGATATTCTGCCACCCCTTCTGGTGTACCGTGGTAATGACATAACAGATCGTATGCGCAATAGCTTGGAGGACTGCCAAACGACCAAGCCAGCGATGCATCAGGCTGAACGAGTCGTATGAGATGTCCAATAGGTAGATAAGTGGGTTCTTGACGGAGGACAAAACCACAATTGGAATGAGGTTGGCCACTGATAGAGTGCCAGTACGATTGCGGAGGATGGGCAACACTTCCAATTGAGGGTCAGACCACGGAACGTTCCAGGTGCTAGCGAAGACGTTGGTGATGACCAGAAGGACGATGAACGTCGATTGGAATCTGGTTGGGAGCGTGCCCAAGTTGACATGTCGAGAGAATCGGATTTCGCGAGCTCGTCGATAGTAGAGGATTGGCGAATAAAGAACATTGCTCTTGAGCGCTGAGATGGTTGGTGTGGATTTGGAGAAGTATCGAAGTGCGCCCTCATTGCTCATTGATGCCAGGTGTCTGACATGGGCATTGAGGCGAATGATGACAGTGTAGAGGAAAACCAGCGCAACCACCCCCAGCAGAGCCCACAGGTAGTTTTGCGCAAGTGTCGTGTCGAGCTTTTCGAGGTATACCTGAGTGGCGGCATTTTGATACTCCGTACTGCCAGAGCCGGTGGAGTTGGACTTGACCGAAGGTGCCGCTCGGGCAGATATGACGACAGGGGACGCCATAGCGGTGGCGAAGAGTCAGAAGAAGATCGTTACTGCTTGTGGGAGCGAGGAGATAAAAGAAGCAAAGGAGGGGAGCGGGCGAAAGGCCCAAGTCTTCGAGGTTGAGACAAAGAGAACAAAGCTTGGGCAATCCCGCAACCAGTGAGGACGGAATAGGACAGGAAATGAATGAGAAAGGCAAACAGCCCAATTGAGCGTGAAGATGGACGTTATAGACTCTTTGCAGCCGTTCGCCGACCGGCGGTGATGATACCAGATGACAGCATCAACACGTGTCACCGTCTTGAATAAGTGTATCGGATGTTTGGCTTAATCAAGGCTTCGTTGTTTATTGAGGATCAGCACGCGTTGGGTGCGGTACAACTTACCAGCCCGGTTCCGGCTTTGAGGTTGACATTGCACAGGAAAGTCATGATGCACTGCACAGCAAAGGGGGAGTATCAACGATAGGTACGCCGCCAACATGATAATGAGGGGGTGATCGTGATGACAGGCATGGTTCGGAAGGCGCGATTGGCGACGGACAGGTCGTAGCACCTAGAGCTCGAGGAATGTGGGCAGGCCACATGGACGGGTCTGTGAGTGGATGAAGCGGACAAAGACAACATACTGGAAACGGTGCTGCGAAGGGAGGTTGGTTGGAAGTTGGAACAAAGGGTCGATGTCAACATACCAAAGCCTCGTCATTTCTGGATTCCACTCCCTGATTGGACCATCTCACGTCGGACAAATTTATGCCCAGGGGACATGGACTTCTTCTGCAGCCTCGATTGAATGCCAGGCTGCTCCTGAAACACAGGATCTGTGCTTTCAAATTGGCAAGACGGCGGACTTTGCTCACAGTCACTTCCTCTCTGCAAGGGAAGTGATACATATTCGGCCACCAACATACTCAACTATTCTAACAAGCTCAATTCATCCTCAGATTCGTCATCCAGATGGCTCCATCTTTTCCTTTTGATTTTCTCTTTTTTGCTGTTCTCATTCTCATCCCCTCCCAGATTGCGCTTCGGCCTTTTGAACACGAAATCACCATCGCTATGAGTTTCATACTCACGACCGAGACCTTTTCGCGGCTGCCCAGCTGGATGTGCGATAGCAGAATTGCTCGATAATGCTGCAAGAGCCTGTCGAGACTTTAGATCAGATGAGCTCCTTTGATTCTGTTCGTGGCCGGCTTGGATGAAGTGCCGATTGACCGGTGTCTTTGCAACCCATTCTGCAATATGATCATCCCACTGATACTGCTTCAGGGTTTTGCTAGACGGGGTATGTGGACCACTGGCATTGCTTTGCTGTACCTTCGCAGCAACTGCTTCATTAATACCTTCAGCCCAACGCACTGCGCCCGCATCCACGTGATGTGCAGCAGCATAGGCCATGGCTGCCAGTGAACAGATTTCGGCAAGTGAACGGCCCAAATCCTGATAGTGACCACAATCTAGCGCCAGAAGGTGCGGGATGATTTGTTGTCCAGCTTGAGTCCCCTGCTTTACCGCATAGAACGCAGATAATGCAAGAACAATGTTTGACTTTCCTTTCTCTGTCAAGATTGTGTCCAGGCTGTTGAGTAGGCCTTGACATACCTCAAGTCCATCGATCAAGCGCTGACAGATATCCACGAACAACATCTGAGCCCCAAGACAACACTGGTACTCTGACAGCTCTGAGTACACGTCGAGCTCAATGGACATTTGCGCACTTCTGGAAAATTTCTCAACCAATGGACGGTATTGGGCAGCCACGGCGCTATGACAGTGAGACCAAATGAGGGTGAGTGTATACGCCAGCCTTTTGAACAGCGCCTCGGACATCACATGGGCGTTGTGGCTGCTTGAATGCACACCATGCCGCATTGAAGACCCAGCTCGCTCTGTGCGTAGAAGCACACGCTGATCAGATTTGCCAGCGAGTGACATTGAGCCAGCATATATGGTCTCCAACAACAATACGTCAGCATCTCCCGGCCCTTCTCCTTCGCCCTTTAGGCCTCTCAGGATGACGAGGAAAGCCAGTTGTCTGAAATGGATAAAGCGTTCGATCACCGCGACAGGATCATTGGCCTCCGTCACCGCTCGTAAGGTCCAAAGAATCCGTATCTGCAAATCGAACACTTTGTCCTCCCAGTGTGTAACATCGTCCAGATAGGTCTGATCTGGCAAGTGATGGAAACCAACATTCAGGTCCAGATTGTGCGTGTGCGCCTCGAGCAACCTCTTCCGCATAGCATGTTGAAAGTCACGCACGGAAGGGTCAATCCACCACCGGCTTGCAAGGTGGAACGCAGCGCTATCCAACAAGGCACCGCTCTTGACCATGCATGTTATCGTGTAGATGCCACAACTTCGGACTACATGCCTAAGCATATGCCATCCTTCTTGTGAGTCACCGAAGAACTCTTCGATTTCCTGCAATTGCGATCCGATGAAATCGTGCTGTCCATTATAGCCATCATTCTTGACGTCGTTTTGCTTCTGCTGTTCGACCACATGCTTGGAGACTTTATTCAGGGCCATCTCGAACAATGAACGTGCGCCCGGTTTCCTAACAAGCTTCTCGGAATCATCCCACGCGGACGAAAGTTCAGGGTCGGCTGTAACAGATAGAAAGGTCGAAATCGTGGAACATCCTTGACGTAGGATGTCCTCATACTCCTTTCCGAGGTGTGCAGTACCGGGTGACCATTCGTGCGAGAAGGCTTCACACATCGTTACCGTTACCTTGTTGTCCCAAGGTTGAGTCGTCTCGTCGGGCCATGCGCGCGCTTTCGCCTCAGTAGTGTTGTTATGCTGGCCTATCGCAGCAACTTGTCCGGTCGAGGCGGCGGAGAGGGCAAGCTCAGCACTATTTCGAGGTGTCTTGACCTGGCGGTGAGGATTTATCCGCTTGGCCTGCGGCGTCTTTGGAGCAGTAGTCCTGCGTGTAGAGTAGTTCTTCCGTGGTCGTTTCGTCCCCGATTTGCTGTTTGCAGTCAACCAGTCCGAGGCTTCGCTTGTTGATTGTTCATCTTCGCGGAGGCCATCTGCCTGCGCTCTTTCCCCCTGCTGAGCAGCAAGGAAGCTTTGATGCCACTTTTCGACACGATTAACGAAGGAGGTGAGGTGTCGGAGGATTCGATTACATCTCGAGGCTGTCCAGGGCGCTGGCGGAGGACGTGGGGGAAGGGAGAGACTACCCAAAGAATCTCTCGCACCTGCAGGTGCCATTGCCAGCAAGGAAGATACTTGATTGTGGATAGAAACAAAGCTAGGGGTTAAAACAAAGTGAGTTGAGCGTCACGTTCCATATCTGTTTAGTGGTGCCAAATTGCCTATTTGGCTACGCGTCTCCATCACGCGTCTAAGTTATCGTTCACAACCCCGCCTTCTGAAGCTTAAAGAATAATTTCACTGGGGTAGAACCCTGCAGGTCTCCAGGTCTCCATGACGTGAAAGATATCTGTACATATTGTGGCCACAGCATTGATTGGCCGTGAACTAGTCTACGCCGGGATCTGATACACGAGCTTCCTCCCTCTGACTTGACCGTCTCTCAACCTATTCAAGCCTTCCGCGACCCCATCGAGGCCCCCAGGAATGACTTCAAATGGATGACCCGAGAACTTTCCTTGCCGGAGTACCATTTCAAGCCACTTGAAGAACCCGACAGCGAAGTCGACGTCCTCCTGAGCATCTTCAGCCGACGGCTGCTTCGGCATGCCAGGCTTATACGCACCATCATGTCCAGTGCCGACGTATGTGTACAAGACCTGGACATTGCCTGGAATCCCAGCGTCATCATATTTGTTCGCGCCAGAAAAGACACTGAGTATCCCTCCATCCATCATCTGACTCACATCCACCCAGCTTCCGTTCTCGCTGAAAGCATCAACAGCGTGCGTCAATGAAAGCTTCCTATCTTCCACAACTTGGCGCACATCTTGCTTCACTTTGTCCATACCCGATCGGTAATCCAGGAGTACATCCTGCATGTCGAGCAGAGTGCTCAAGTATGCGCTACTACCACCACCTATTGCAATGATCGGGCCAATGCCCGCCAGCTTGGCAAGCCTGATCGTGAAAGTCCCCAGCGCACTTGTGGCCGCATACACCAGCAACGGCTTGTCGTTCTTGTCGGCGGCCTCAGGCTTCCACGGCGCCGCAAAGCCTTGCCTGCGGAACAGAGTTATTGCTGCCGTAAGACTGACCAGCGGAATGGTACTGGCTTCCTCGAAGGTCATGCTCTCGGGAATCTTGAAAATTGTGTGCTCTGGGGCGGTCGCATACTCTGCGTAGGCGCCGTAAGGCTGGCCCATGGGATGGAAGGCAGCCACTCTGACCCCTATCTGGAGGCTGGTAACATCTGACCCGAGCGCAGCAACAACTCCTGCGAGGTCATCTCCTGAGTTCAGCGAAAAGCCACGAGAAACAAGGTGAATCCAGTCTTTAGGGTTGGAAGCCGCGGCATGGATCTTGATCAGCACATCATTCGCCTCAAGAGAAGTCGGGACGGCAACTGTTGTGATAGTAGTCGATATCGGTGATGTTGGATGAACAACCACCGACTTCATCACCTCTGAAAGCTCAACTTTGGAAGACATCGAGAACATTTTTGACTGAGGATTTCCGCACTCGAGGTCGATAAGGATGATCAGATACTTAGGGATGGTCTTTGCAAGCTCATAGGGAGCTTCACACCTTGCATCCTCAATGTATATGTTGACACTCTTGCTGCACCGTTATCGTGCCTAGCAATGCATAAGATGTGCACAGTTGCAAGCCATGTTGTACATCTCACCGCTGCTTACCCCATGATACAGCACAACTAAGGTAGCACATCTCGATAGTCCACGATTTGAAGCCATAATTCTCAGCACCACATTACTAAGCTTTGTAAGATTCTGGACGCCACATAATAGGCCAAGGCTGCGAATACAGGGGCTCGAGGCTTGCGGCTTACCGGCTAAACAAGACGACATCCATCTTCTTTACTTGACTGTACGATTACAGCGGCCGCACCCTGCGCATCGTCTTACAAGAACTTGCTCGTCCGTTGAATTGGATGTGGTCGTATGGGATTGAACTCGGACCGGAGAAATTACCACAATACCATCCAGGAAGCCGACTAAGCCGGTACAGGAACATATCATATATACAAAAGAGCCCGGCGTCAAATCCAGGTAGATACCTGGATAGTACAATAAGCCACGACTCTATAAGGTCCTGGCAACTTGACTCAATACTGGCAAACCCAAGGCCAAAATTCTTGCAGGCCCTGAAGTTCATCAAAGCTCGGGTTCGGCCCAGACCCTGAACGTCTTGAGGCCTAGTGAAGGCCTGAATTTTCTCTCATCCTCGGTTTTGGGCCCGGCCCTGAACGTCGTCAAGCCCTGAATTTCACCTAGGCCACATCTACCGGCACGCGCTGCACAGTCTCATCAGAGAACTCCTTCTCCTTCTTTGCCTTCTGCGTCGCCCGCCACGAAAAGATCAAGCCAATTGCCATCAGAAACCCCAACGCGTCCAGACCTATGCCAAGGTACCACGCTCCTCGATATCCCTTCAATCGGTCCTTCCCTCCATCATTGACATGCGCTTCGACAGTCCCAGCCATACCAAGACCAATTGATATACTGTAATTGATGACAGTATTGACCAGCGACGCCGCAAGACCCTGATGTTCAGGTGGCATGTGGTTCGCCAGCACAATCACACCACTCGGGAAACTCATATCCATGCCCCACGGAGCGATTATCAGACTCACAAAAGTCTGAGCCCAGTAAGTTTGACGCACCGGCATCGTAGCCAGCAGTATGTTGCCGACCAAAAAGTTCGTCATCGACATCAGCATGACCCAGCCTGGCTGCATCATACCGCATAGATATCCTGTGGTAATGGCTGCGATGCTCCCAGATATAGCCGCCGGAACGAACATGGCGGAGGAGAGAACGATGCTCTGCCCTCGCAAAAGCTCCCAGAATTGCCTGTACGAAACGTCAGCATAACAAATGACAGAAAGCTGCCACCAAAGACTGACCATAAGAAGTAAATCCAAATACCGAACGATGCCCAACCCATACCTTCGCACCCAAACACCAGCATCGTATCGCTCGTGAACGAGTGCATCGGCACTAACGGGAACTTTGCCAGTTTCTTTTCGTACCAGAAAAACACGCCAATGAAACATGCACCGACAATAAGTAGCACATAAACGTACACCGTCTGCCAGCCTGCAACTGGACCCTGGTTCCAAGCAAAGTTGAACAGAATCAAACCGACCACACCGAGCACCGTGCCAACAGCATCAAGTTCCTTGAACGCCGGTTTGCCTCCCGCAACAGGCATGTCTGGCACGACGAAGATTGTCAAAGTGCCGACCAGAGCACAAACAATGCCGAGCACCCAGAACGACCAAGGCCACCAGACCAGCTGTGCGAAGATGCCAGAGAATAACGCGCCCATGAGATAGCCGTTCGGTGCCGTGGCCCCGAAAAGGCTGAGGACCATGTTTCGTTTCGGACCAGGCGGGTACGTTCGTGAAAGCACAGCAAGGCCGTTTGGTATCATGATGGCCGGCCCAATTCCCTGCATGGCGCGGCAGAAGGAGAAGAAGACGATTGAGTGCGAGAACGCGGAGAATCCTGCAATCAATGACCACAACGCAAACCAGTAATATCCAATCACAAACAGCTTCTTGTGGCCGTACAAGTCACCCCATCGCCCAGCGGGCAGAATGAATGTGCCGACGGTCAGGGAGTATGCGGCTGGAAACCATGATAATTGCCCGGGATCGGTGGTGTTGAATGTGCGGCCGATGACGTGCAACGGCGCGATGGACTGAGCGAGGGATGCCAGTGCGAGGAGCTGCGCCGATGTGATAACCATGACGAAGAGGATCTCGTGGAGACGGGTGAATGTAGGTGGCTCTGTGGCGGTAGGGATGCGGGAGATTGTGCTCGTGGTACTTTGTCGGCGAAGGGATGTATTTCTTGTCTCGTGACGGGCAAGTTCTCGGCTGGCACTGTTGGCAATATCGTCCGCTCTCGCAGCGCTTGTCGTCGTCTCTTTGTCGGGCACATTCTCGCGGGTTGGGATGTCGGACAGGTTCCTTGGCTGTTTCTCGAGGGAGAGCTCATCGTCGGGAGATTCCGTGCTCTCGCCAGGCCTTGCTTTGTACGTGTTCAGTGCTGCAGACGTGTTTTTCATCGATGCAGGCACTTCGCTGTAGGAGGTCGTCTGTTGAGCGCCTTCAGACATATTCCACTATAGTCGTAGACTGCTAGATGTGCCTCAGATGCTTTTCGTGTTGGGCGTGGAGAAAGATCGGCTAAGGCAACCGACGGATATGGCAATCCGGTGCTAGAAAGCACATATGGTGGAAAGATTTCATCCTTGGTTTCCTCCAGGTGCGGATTTCAACATGGGAGATGAATGCTTTGCATGTCCGATGTCACTTCGAGCCAAGGAGACGGCTTCATTCCGAATAGGCTGAATAATGTCGATAAGTTCTTTCTACCTGCACCGATATAGGTGGATCACTGCCTTGACCCACAGCCATGCAGGCCACGTCGCCAGCGCAAGGCTGTCAAAATAGTGGCGTGGTCGCAGATACCCACTTTCGTGATCGATAAGATATGGAGTGACATCTTATCAATGACGACCTTTGCCTTGTTGGGACCTTGCCTGCTCTTCAAATTCGGAGAAGGTCATTAAAAAGTCATGCAAGAGTGACACCTCCATGAAATGGAATGGTGTTCCAACTTGTCATACGTTTTTCTCTTGAATGGTTCACCACCTTGTGCTTCAATGGGAGTTCTCAAACATGCTGGTGGATGGGTCTGCGGAGAAGAAAATAGGAAAATGTCATTCAGGACTCACCTTGGCATTCCGAGATTCCGCCATCCAAGCGTCGAAAAGGGAAATCGGCTAGCAGTCACGGCAAGACGTTTGGCGGCGGCTGTTGCGAAAGTAGCGTTTCGACTACCTTGCACATATATCTTTGGATGATGCAGGAGGAGTCACTGTCAAAGAAACGCTTGAGTGCTGGCATTATCGCCCGGCTGCTGGCACGCCTTGTCAACCTGGAGCAAGCTTAGGTATCTAATACTTGGCCAAAAGCAACAGCAAGCGTCTTCGATGCTCGCGAATGGTGCAAGCTTGCAAAACATAGTCCCAAAGTCAACGATCTTCTTCTCGCATGTGTCCCATAATGCCGTTGAAAAAAGCGTTACACTCGAGGCAGGAAAAGTTGATGCATAGCACAAAGTAAGGATGAGGTTCGGTTTGGACTTTCATGATATTCGTTCAAAATTGGCCACAGCTCATCACAGTATCTGTATCGTCTCTTTTCTGCGACCTTGAGGAAGCCTGAGCATGAAAGACCTTGGCTGGCAAGGCCCCTGAAACGGTGATCGTGTGTAGGTACCGCGTGTAATGCGGTACATGCTCTTCTGGAAGTGGGCTTTCTCGGCGCCAGCAGACTACCGATTCGGCGGCTTTAGTCTGTGACAGTTTGGGCGGACAGTACAGGCGTACTGTCTCTGTTTGTGCCTCAATGTGGCTGTAGACTGGCACCCAGAGGGCTCTTCGGTCCACCTAAGGTGAACAATGCAGCTGCAAGTCATGACATCTGCAAGACTTCTTCAGCAGATTCCAGTCAATTTCTTCCCGCCTCATTCCGAATCCGAGTCTGGGCCGGCAGCTCCATCATCCTCATCGTCTGGGTGAACGTCGGCGTTCTTTAGACCTTCGTTGAGTACATATTCCTCCTTGATCAAAGTGCCTCGCAGCTCTTCAGTTCTCGGAGTACATATAGCAGCAGGCTTCCTGCCGTGGCCGTCTTTAATCCTCGGATCGCCTCCAGCTTCAATCAACATTTTGGCCATGGCCTCTCCGAGGTCGACTTCACGCTCGTTGGCGTACTTGATGGCGCAGTGGATGGGTGTCTCTTTGTCTCTTCTCGTGAGAGGATCGCACTCGAGGAATTCCACGTCCAGTAATTCGTTCATGACATCGTCTGCACACACGTCAGCTGAAGATGGTCAACGCAACTGAGCGTCCAGCTTACATGCTCCGTAGTTCGCACAGACATGTAGCAAGTGATTGCCCATCGTGTCTGTGGTATTGTTGAAGAAGTCCGCTATTTCTTCCTTGCTCTTATCTTTCAAGATGTTCACGACCTCGTGGAACAATTCGACATTGTCTCTGCGGCATGCTTCGAGGACTTGCTCCTTTGGCGAGGCACCCTGCATAGAGCTTAGCTTAAGTCAAATAGGAGACCCAAATTGCACCCACGTCGACGTCGGCCATCGTGGCCGTCAACCAGAGGCCGGTCTGATCAATCTAGGAACACTTAAGCCGCTCTTCCATTGACCAGTCGCTAAGGGTAGAGTTCAAGTCCGCGAAGCGCGAAGGTCGTGATTATGCTGTCGGAAATCCGAAGATTGGGTTGGATCAGCTGCAGATTTGAGTCTTTGTTATGTGCAAGGTACCTAGGTATGCAGTTCATATACGTTGCAGGTGACGTTTTGCTTGATCAGGCTGGCTCCCTGAGACGCTTCCAGAGCAGCACAGCCGCGGGTTACAAACATGCCAAGCAGAAGCGCGTTTCGGGTGTAGATGCCCCGGCGGGCAACGATCCGATGTTCTCCCGCCGCTGATCGTCATCTCCAGAAAACGTTTGCGCAGTTTGCACTTTGCGGAAAGATACAGATACCAAACCGTTGGAGAGGCCGAAGTGTACAACAAAGATAATCATTCGTGCTGAAGGAGGCCAGTTTTGGTACTGCTACTCATCGCATGGCTCCGACGTGTGAGTGCACCTTCCCAGATGCCTCAAAGTCGTTGCTAATGGAGTAATAGTCTGCCCTTACTGCCAGAACAGTCTCACTATCGCGCGAGCGGCTGGCACCGCAGAACACCCTGAAGGCCTGAACGCATTTACGTGCCGGACGTGCCCTTACCAGTTCGTGATGGATCGCTCATACTATGAAAAGACACCCATGAAGAAGAAAGAGAAGGACGATATTCTCGGCGAGGAACAATCCGATCTACCCGTGAACGAAGGTACGAGCAGGATGTCCTATTTGATGGGAGGGTTCATTGCTGACATCTCAAGTGCCTGGTGGCTGTCCCGGAGAGAAAGATGGAGTTAAATGCGACTCCAAGAAGGCATACTTTTACCAGTTGCAGACAAGAAGCGCAGACGAACCTCCGACCTCTTTCTTCAAGGTATGCTCCTGTGACGGTAGGTTGCCTAAGCCATCTAACTTCTACACAGTGTGTCAAATGCGCCAAACAATGGAGAGAATATTGAAAGACTCGACATGCCATTTCAGTACCTGCACCACCGACTACGGCTCCTTCGCTAGGTGAGAGTCTTGGTCGAAGGGCTTGTCGCGACACCAACGGCAGACGGCGCTGGAAGCAATGTATTCAGGTGGCAACAACAAACGGCACATTGAGGCAAGGTTCAAGTGGACGCGAGCCCTGAAGGTTTATTGATTCAAACAGAGAGAGGACGACTTCAATGTCAAAGTTTTCGAATCGACGGCGGGTCCGAGATCATATGGATACAAACGGCTGCCACTGCTTCCTGGAGAGAGGTACACGCACTCCTCGCTGCGCCATGCATCAGTGGGGAAGAGACAAGCAATGGGCAGAATGAGTCAAATACCCTATTCAGACTCGCCAGCGGTTGGGGCTGAGCGTGAAAGCGTGAACCACTGGACTGTTGTTAGCGAAGGTGGTTGATGACTCTTTGACGGCGGGGGGAGTGGTCACATCACAAGAACTAGGAGTAATAGTTTTTGCAAAACACTTTGCCCAGAGCAAACTCTGCATTGAAATTCTAGACTCAAGGGCAAATCCGCGTTACTCTGGCAAATTGTGTAAATCGTAGGTGTAGTCGCCACAGTTACGACCACGCTTCCAAGCTGGAGTGAGAAAGATAGAGGCCGGTTCCAGAATTCCTGGTTAATCTATTGGTGGGACGGATATGAGCAAGGACTGATATGCAGGTCTAAAAGCAGATGCTGAAGACCTCTTTGAGAATATCTTCCAATCATACCGTCAGACATGCGCATGGTGGGGTGATCCGAAGTGCAAAAACTGAGAGGAAAAGTAAAACGGTGCTAAAAGTGACGGCAACCTGGCGGGCCTGCGCGCTGACTCTGACTCTGACATGAGGGAAGGTGGTTCACTTGCTTTTTTGCCTGGTCCCTTGCCAAGCCGCAGGCCGCTGCCCTCTGTCGCCGCCTACAAAATCTTTCGCACACTCCCGCCAACTTACCTTCTCCCTCCTTTGTCGCTCAGTGAGTCTTTCACCCACCCCCCATACCATTACATCAAAAGACTAATCATCAAACAGCACCTCTACGCAAGCTGTAGTATCTGAGCATCTCACGCGAATTTCTTCTAGTCTCTGCCACAGAACTACAAGATTTCAACAAGACAAGACAAAACAAACACAAACAACCGCCACCATGGGGTAAGCCAAATCCAACACCAGCCTGCGCTCACGTCCAGACCTCAGATGAAACCTATCCACGATATCAATGATCTTCTCTGACATGTTTCACATCACTACAGTAAGGAAAAGACTCATATCAACGTCGTCGTCATCGGCCATGTCGACTCCGGCAAGTCCACCACCACTGGTAAGAGGAAGCTGAAAAACATACACAATCAAGATGGAAAACTCACAAAATACAACAGGTCACTTGATCTACAAGTGCGGTGGTATCGACAAGCGAACCATCGAGAAGTTCGAGAAGGTAAGCATCGATCCTTGCTTCATTTGGCCTCTTTTGAGTCACTCTGGCCTTATCACCGCCTCTACCAATTTTTTTTGGTGGGGGAGGGGTAGCGCTTACTCGCACGTGATGATATCCTTTATCAGATTGGCTGACAGACTATCAACAGGAAGCCGCTGAGTTGGGCAAGGGCTCCTTCAAGTATGCCTGGGTTTTGGACAAGCTGAAGGCCGAACGTGAACGTGGTATCACCATCGATATCGCTCTCTGGAAGTTCGAGACCCCCCGGTACTTCGTCACCGTCATCGACGCCCCAGGTCATCGTGACTTCATCAAGAACATGATCACTGGTACCTCCCAGGCCGACTGCGCAGTTCTCATCATTGCCGCCGGTACTGGTGAGTTCGAAGCCGGTATCTCCAAGGATGGCCAGACCCGTGAGCACGCTCTCCTCGCTTACACCCTGGGTGTCAAGCAGCTCATCGTCGCCATCAACAAGATGGACACCACCAAGTGGTCTGAGGAGCGTTTCGGTGAAATCATCAAGGAGACTTCCAACTTCATCAAGAAGGTCGGCTACAACCCCAAGTCTGTCGCTTTCGTCCCTATCTCCGGCTTCAACGGCGACAACATGATCGACAACTCCCCCAACTGCCCCTGGTACAAGGGTTGGGAGAAGGAGACCAAGGCTGGCAAGTCCACTGGCAAGACCCTCCTTGAGGCCATTGACGCCATCGACCCACCTTCCCGTCCTACCGACAAGCCTCTCCGTCTTCCTCTCCAGGATGTTTACAAGATCTCTGGTATTGGAACGGTGCCAGTCGGTCGTGTCGAGACCGGTATCATCAAGGCCGGTATGGTCGTCACCTTCGCTCCTGCCAACGTCACCACTGAAGTCAAGTCCGTCGAAATGCACCACGAACAGCTTGTCGAAGGTGTTCCAGGTGACAACGTTGGCTTCAACGTCAAGAACGTCTCCGTCAAGGAGGTTCGCCGTGGAAACGTCTGCGGTGACTCCAAGAATGACCCACCTAAGGGTGCTGAGTCCTTCAACGCCCAGGTCATCGTGTTGAACCACCCTGGCCAGGTCGGTGCCGGATACGCCCCAGTGTTGGATTGCCACACTGCCCACATTGCTTGCAAGTTCTCTGAGCTCCTCGAGAAGATCGACCGTCGTACCGGAAAGTCCATCGAAAACAGCCCCAAGTTCATCAAGTCCGGTGACGCTGCCATCGTCAAGATGGTTCCCAGCAAGCCTATGTGTGTTGAGGCCTTCACCGACTACCCACCACTTGGTCGTTTCGCCGTCCGTGACATGCGTCAAACCGTCGCTGTCGGAGTGTAAGTATTCTCCTTCGCCCTTCAAGATGCAGCTTACTGACGATTTCTTAGTATCAAGAGTGTCGTAAAAGCGGATAAAGCAGGCGGCAAAGTCACCAAAGGTTTGTGGGATTGAAAAACAATCAATGAATACATGCTAACTATCATGCAGCTGCTGTCAAGGCCGGCAAGAAATAGACGATTGCACGATCTTACCGAAATGGTATGGCGGGTTATGGAATTCTTCAGGAGGGGGTCTTCAGGGTTCTCATCTTCTGAAACGCTTCATGATTCGCATCTTCCAGCAATCATCAGTTTCTAGTGCTTGTCATTCTCCAGCGTTCACCACTGTACTTGCTACTCCACGGAGCATGGGTACCAAAACTGACTCGGTCACTTTCAGTGCTGCGTCAAGTCAAGTTCGATAGATAGATTTCATGTTCTTCATGAGCTACACGCTTCCAATGAATCAAGACATGAATGCCATCTTTCGTTCCGCCTTTCCTTTCTGTCTGCAAGCACTCCGTACCATGACCGTACGCGTAACAATTCCAACACGTTTGCGCCCGATCTGAGGAGACCTCCAGCGTGCAAAAGTCTCTGGCCAACCGCCTGGCATCACGCAGTCCCTTTCTTGACAATTCTCTCTCATTTGGACCCTGTCGCCCGCCATCAGCTATTGGCTACGGTTGTGGCTTTTTTCGGTCCACACCCACGTTGCCCTCCAGCGCTAAGTGGGTGCTTGACACTGGAAAAGGGTCGATCGGTGTTTCTGTGCCAGCGTGCAACATACAGTCATTGTCGTTGACATGCTCCTGGACTTCATTCCAGGAGACGATAGCCTTGGAAGTGGTGGGAACCTCTGGCGGAGCGGCCACTTGTACATGGACTAATATCCTTACGAAAGCAAGGTTACAGGACATACATTTGGAGGAATAGGGACATGTAATATCATCAAGGAGACACACTCCGTAACGCATAGGCTGATGCAGTACTTGTAACGTGGAGGACAGTACGCATTGGGCGTAGGTAATTGCTATGCATTTGTGACTGAATCACTTTGTCTGCTTTCTTCAAATCCTCTGCAGGGGAGAAGTGGATCCTGTCTTCCATATGATGCTCCCCAGAACACTGCTTTCTGAATGCATGCACCTTGTCTAGGTCCTGCACATGATCGATCACCAACATGTATATCCACCGTCGACAATCTGTGCGACTCGAACGTCAGCTAACATACCACTGGTGGACGCGAGCTAGGGCAACAAGGTGACTTACCACGTCTGAGCCGTTCAGATAGCTTGAAGCTGGGGAGGCCATCCAGACGATTGTACCTCTCAGCTCACTTGGCTCAGCCATCCTTCCCATTGGGATATCCTTCCTGCGAATCGTCAGCAAGCTGCATCGGTAAAGACAGGGACAAAACTCAAGGGTCGTGTTTCAAAGGCAAAGCCTTTCAGGAAGACTTACTCCCATGACCCAACAAGCTCTTTGCCTTCATGCTCCAGGAGGCCCTTGATCAAGTCCGTTGCCATGTAACCCGGACTCAGGCTATTGACTCTGATACCCCTGGGACCCCATTCCGTAGCCAGACTCTTGGCCAGCATCTGTACGGCACCCTTGGAGGTGTTGTATGCGGCTTGCTTCTGCGGTCGGACACAAATCGTAGCGGACATGCTTGCGATGAGAATGATGGACCCTTGAATGTTGTGCTGGAGCATGTGCTTGCCAGCCTCGCGGGCAAAAAGCCAGCTCCCATCGACGTTGATGTCCATCATTTTCCGCCAGCGGGCATATTCGTAGTTCTCGGCCTCGACGTTGTCCACGATGCCCGCTGCCGTGACAAGGACGTCGACTTTGCCGAAGTCCTTCACGATCTGGTTCCATGTTGTCTTGACGTCGTTTTCAATGGTCGCGTTGCATCCGTACGCGCGGAGTTCTGGAGCGGGCACATTTGGATATGCTTCCTTGACCTGAGATGCTATTGAAGAGATGGAGGACTCGCCAGCTTCGAGAGACAGGTCGACGCAAGCGCCCTTTGCGCCAGAGAGAGCGAACGCAGTGAGGAACTCTTTACCAAGTCCTCGGGCAGATCCTGTGACGACGCAAGTCTTGTTTTCCAGCGAGAACAACGGCAATGTTCGCATGGAACGAGACGGCGTAGAGCCAATGACGTTACACCTGAGGGGGCGTACCAAGGATGTACGGACCGAGGAACGGAACAGCATCTTGAGGTATCAATGGAAGCCCAGTGCTCGAGGAAGCGGCGAAATATGGTAGTGAGGAGCGTACCAGGTCCTACCTTCACGATTGCCTCGTTTGCTAGAAATCTAGGAGTTTTGACCCAGGCGTCCCATGAAGTCAGGCCATGTTGTAATAAAGCGTTGTGCCGCATGAAGTGACAGCTTGTGGTACCTTTGGAACTTACTGGTTCGGGCCATCTTGTCCCGGTAAGGCTTGACCACAGAAAGTCCAACGGCGCAGAGAGTAGTACTGCCTAGCCATTCTGGCTATACGGGACCGTCAAGACTGAAAGTGCAGTCGGGGTATTTGGCGTGGAAGGGTTCAGCGCGGGGTTCCTTGCGAACCACCCGCATTTGGGCGTCTGACACACCATGGCGGCTCCTTTTGCGGCAGGCTAGTGTTTCCACGACCTTGTGACCCTTTGGAAGCGATGTTGGACTTGAAGGTCAGCTTGTTGATGCATGCATGAGGAAGACGTCGCGCAAAAGGCCCGGCCTGAAGATGCTTGATATTTGACGACGCCACTTTTCCACCCTGCGTTTGCTAGAGCTGAAAGTAGCTCCACCATTGTCTTTCTCCTTTTCCCTCCGTCAACTCGTATTTGTCGCCCTAATGCACGATGTCCAGGTAAGTTTGGGGGCTATATGCGGGCACCAGCGTGATCAGCCAATGCGTGCTTTCGGCTTGACATTGGATCTAGAGGCCACCAGCAGACCAATTTCAATGAGCGTCGCATGTTTGGAAGATTTCCTGTTCCTCCCTTCTGTACCTCTTCGCGCGCGTGATGCAAGATAATTGCTGGCAGAGACAGTTGCTTACAGGAAGATATCGTGAACACCTTTCATGCCGCAATGCTATCAGTTCGCGACGAGCGTCGGTCGAGATCGAAATCTCCTGGCGGTCGAGATAGGGACCGGTCAAGATCACACTCACGCGACAACCGTGGCTCAGACGAAAGAAGTGAGTACACCAGGTCAAGCAAAAAGTATGTAGCCCCGGAGTCAGAATCGGACGATGATCGGCGGTACAAAGAGAAGAAGTCCAGCAAGAAATACTACGAACCTGAAGAGGAGGACGACCGGCGCAGGCGCACAACAAGTTCTAAGAAATACGTAGAAGAAAGCGAAGAAGAGCAAAGGTACCGGTCGGGTCGGACCGAGAAAGAGTACAGGAGGCGGGATGTCTCCGTTTCAGACGATGACCGAAGATATGAACGATCCAAGAAGAAATCGGATAGCGACTCAGACAGGCGCAGAGAGCGAGACAGGCCTAGCAGGAAGACATATGATCGTTCAGACGACAGTGATGCTAGTGACCATCGCCGGCCCTCAAGCAGCCGAGATTTGAAGAGCCAGAATGGCCGTGACTCTCGCCCCGACTATACCGAAGTTCGACCTCGTGAAGTCCGCCAATCCAGTTACACTGGCAGAGATTCTCAATATACAGCTCCTGATCGAGCCCCGTCTCCTCCTCCGACGCAGCGAACGAACTCATACACTAGCTCTAGAGGACAAAAATATGCGGAAGTTGGACAATACAAATATGCAAAACCAAGTGAGTTTGCAGAGAAGAGGCCTGAATATCAACGGTCTCGTCCCTCCGACAGCAGTCAAAGAGATGATCATAGAAGCGGCAAGCACGGTTCGAGGGAAAAAGACTACCATGAGGATAGGTACGAGACTCGTGAGCCGAGAGACAAGAAACACCATGACGACAGATACGGCCCTTCTCCAGAAACCGTCACGAAACGAATGTCCGCTCTTGCCGTTGGTGGTGGACTGGGGGCTACACTGGGAGTTGCAGGACATGCGGCGCAGACCGCAGGCGGCAAACCACCGGCTTCGCCCTTGCTAGAAGCATACAAGGGCACATATCAGTCCATTTCTCCTATGCCTTCAGCATTGGTGCTAGCAGACCACAAAGACGACTCAGACTTGTCTGACCTCGAACTCGACTTGGATGATGATCCAAATGCAGACCTTAGGAGGAAGATTCGAAAACTTGAGATGGAAAAGGAGAAGTACGCCAAAGATCAAAGAAGGAGTGTCAACCTCACGCCAATTGAAACTCGTCCTCGACGTACGCCCCAATTAGAGTCTGTCACCGAGACGACCATGATCGAGATCCAACCTGGCATGAGACGTGAACGTTCCAGCAGCAATGTCAGCATCCTGTCGCCGGGAGGCTCTGGAAAGAAGAAGAGTGTGACCTTTTACGACCCGACCGACGATGCGAAGCGTATCGCCGCAGCCCTGTCGGGTACACGTAACGCCCCTGACCCACGTCCCCTGATACAGATTCTACCCTTCTTGTCGACCGACGACCTTTTCAACCTTCGTGCCGAGTACAAGAAGCACGCCAAAGTCAATGGGCAAGGCATCAACATCGCCAAGCATATAAAGATGCGAGTTCCGGGTAACCTGGGTAAAGCAGCCTACACAACGGCGTTAGGTCGCTGGGAGAGCGAAGCATACTGGGCCAACTCCTGGTACCAAGGCGGGGCGTCAAGGCGAGAACTTCTGATTGAGAGTCTTATGGGGCGCTCGAACAGTGACATCCGCGAGGTCAAAAACTGCTTCAAAGACAAGAAATATAATGACGACTTGGAAAAATGTATTCGCACGGAATTGAAGGCAGACAAGTTCCGCATGGCGATTCTGCTCGCGCTTGAGGAGCGGAGAATGCCCGAGTCCTCACCCATCGACATCAAGCTCGTCAGGTCGGATGTTGACAGTCTGGCCATGGCGCTCGAGTCATCTGGCGGTGAGTCTGACATGATCAAGATCATCGTGTTGCGAAGCGATGCACACTTGCGCGAAGTACTGAGGCTGTTCGAGCGCACGTACGGTGTCAGCTTCCCCAGACAGATGATCCTCAAATCGCGAAATCTTGTCGGTGAGACACTGGCGCATGTACTGAATGGTGCGCTGAACAGGCCGATGCGTGATGCATTGCTTTTGCATCAGGCGATCAGTGAGACGGCGCCAGGCAAAGAGCGGACGGAGTTGCTCATTTCACGGCTTGTTCGCTTGCACTGGGAGCCTAAGCATTTGCAGAGAGTAAAGTCTGTGTACAAAGAACGGTACAGGCATACAGTGGAAGAGGCCATCAAGCGCGAAGTGTGGGCTCTGATGAAGACGACGGAAGGAAGATTCTGCGCCGAGTTTTGTGCTGCGTTGGCAGAAAGCAGTTCGTTTGAACGAAGAGGCGTGGCTATGGATATGCCGCCGGACTTGAGATAGTCGGCTTTAAATGTGCAGCATGTACTAGTAGATGGTGTCCGACCAAAATCTCGGAAATAGTGGAGGATCCCTTACCTGGTAGATTTGACGACAAGGCTGAATACTCCTTATGCGTCTGCGTCTGCTGCCACTCGGACAAACTGAAGTCTGAGATTGTCGGGCCGATATCTCCGTGAAATAATGACGCCCATGCAACGCCCCAGATCTTGACATTTGCATCATCAACTTTTTCTCCGACAGGCAGATCCTCTTTGGCGTTACTTGTAACGTTATCGCGTGTCCATCTGCCTCTTCTCTTCATGTCGGTCACGAGTTGACAACAGTCAATTTATCCCCTGAACCCTCCCTTATGGTCTTCGCAGGAGGGCGCATTTGCGCTCACTGCAGCCATAACCTCTCCAGATTCTTTCCTCGCCGTCCGATATCTCTATCGTCAACCCCATGGCAGCGGCGGGCCTTTTCGCAGGCGCAATTCCGTGCTGCATTCACTCCACCCACTCCCGAGTCGCTTGGTAAAGCGGTCCCTGCCAAAGACTTCAAGAGAACGAGGAAATGGCTGCGGCGGCTAGCATATCTGTCTCTATTCGGCGCGGCCGCCTATGTGATTGACAGGAGATACTATGCCTCGAGTCTCGCGCGATGTAGTCGGACATTCAGTTTAGGACTGATCGTTGCACTGGACTACAAGATCAATTTCAGAGAAGATCCTTGGTTTGCACAGGATATAGGCGAGGTGCATGCGCGCAGTGCCACGAAGCTTTTCCATCTGCTGAGGACGAATGGAGGGTTGTACCTCAAGATCGGCCAGGCAATTGCCATGCAATCTGCCATCCTGCCACCAGAGTTTCAGAAAATGTTCCAGAAAATGTTCGATGATGCTCCACAAAATAGCTGGGAAGATGCACGGCAGGTCATTATGGAAGACTTTGGTGGACGGACTCCGGAAGAGGTGTTTGGGATATCGTTTGATGGTGACCCGGATGCTGGAGTCATGGAGAAAAAGGCGCGGGCTAGTGCCAGTGTCGCACAAGTACATTGGGCACGTCTGAAGGATGGCCGAGAGGTTGCGATCAAGATTCAGAAGAGAGAGATCGCGCAGCAAGTAGGCTGGGATCTCTGGGCCTTCAAGGTCGTTACAAGAATCTATACCTGGTGGTTCGATATCCCACTGTACACCCTGGTCCCCTACATCACGGAGAGATTGCTGCTGGAGTGCGACTTCCAAAACGAGGCGGACAATTCCAGAAGAATGGCTGGCTTTGTCAGAGGCGAACCTCGACTGCGGGACAGAGTGTACATTCCCAAGGTTTACGATGATCTCACCACGAAACGTGTCATGACAGCCGAATGGATAGAGGGTGTGCGTCTATGGGATAAAGATGCAATCACGAAACCCTGGAAGGGTGGCTGGAGGACAGGCAGTCCCGGCAGTCATGGCGCTCCTCTCGACGCGGCTCCGACTTCTGTCACCACCTTGCAAGAAAAGGCTCGCGTCTGGGACCAGGAAATCAAACCTGACAGGACGACATGGTGGAAAGGAGAGGACGGCAAAGGCGGCCTTGGCCTTAACTTGAAGGAGGTGATGACTACCATGGTCGACCTTTTCTCCGCCCAGATGTTTCTTTGGGGTTATGTCCATTGCGATCCTCATCCAGGCAACATTTTCGTCCGACGGCTTCCGAACGGACGCTCCGAGCTCGTCCTGATCGATCATGGCTTGTACATCAACATGTCGCCCTCTTTCCGACATCAGTATTCGCTGTTCTGGAAGAGTCTGATGACCTTCGACAACAAGACCTTGAAAGAGGTCGTGAGTGATTGGGGCATCAACAATCCCGAAATCTTTGCATCTGCAACACTTATGCGACCCTACGAGGGTGGCGACCATACAGTGTCGAACCGCATCAAAGGCATAAGCGAGAAGGAGAGGAAGAAGCGCCAGTACGAAATGCAGCAGGCTATGCGCAAGGGCATCAAGGAGATTCTGGGCGACGAGAAAAAGTGGCCTCAGGAGTTGATCTTTATTGGTCGCAATATGCGTATCGTCCAGGGGAATAACCAGTACTTGGGCAGTCCTGTCAACCGCATCAAAATCACGGGCAATTGGGCTTCGAGGGCTCTGGCGGAGGACCAAAATCTCAGCTTTGCGGAAAGGTGGAAGTATTTTGGCAGCCATCTCATTTTCAAGCTTGTGCTGCTGGGGAGTGACTTGGTGTTTTGGTACAGCAAATTGAGGCAGGCGTTTGGTAGAGGCAAGGGTATGGATGATGACATGGAGCAGCAAATGCGGAAGATGGCGAAAGATTATGGCATTGAGATGAACCACAGTGTTTTTGAGGGATAGATGTATTGTCCAGCATGGGGTACTGGATTTGTATATATACCTGCATGCTCTTTTGCAAGATCGTGAGCTGGCATAGCAGCATAGAATTGTGTATGGGGTGGTAACCCAAGTCATCTAAGGGTGGCCATCTAAGTCACCGAAGCAATCGAAATGTCATCTCATCATTGACAGGCAGGAGCACGCCGTGTCAAGGGCTGCAACACCATGTCAAGGACTGTATCTTGTGGTTGATCTCGAGCAGCACGTCTTGTCGCCGAATGAGAAGATCGTTCTCATCAAAGCGATCTTCGACGCAAGTCGCAGGAAGTTTTTTGTGAATTGCTCTTAGCTTCGCAGCTCTTGCATAACCTTTGCGCGCAGGAACATGTGATGAATCTGTTGAAGTGCTCCCTGCACCCGACATGATGGCGGTGCCTGGTCTTAAAACCGGCAGCCGCACCCTTGGCTGGACACAACCGAGCGTCTTCTGCTCCGACCAGCGGCGCTGACTTTGAGATCCGGAAACCAAGAGAAACAGCCGTACAGAGGTGCTTAAGCCCTGTTCATGGCGTAGTCTTCAAGTTCGAGCGCCGCCGCTGTTGCTGCTGCGGTCAGCCTGGTCTCTCTTGTCCTCTCTTGATCATTCCTCCTTCTGCACGCTTTGCTTATCTTTCATTTGGCAATGTACGAGGCCGAGTCGTCTGGTTGGGTTGCCGAAAGAATGAGAGAGCTCGTGATCATCTCGTATGGGATCTTCAGTCGAGAATATACCACCAATGTGGATGGAGTCTCCCCAAGGTTAGAGATCTGATCGCCCGCGACACGAACCAGAATGCTCCGAAACGACTCTCGTCAGGTCTCAGACTGTACATGTGATTGAGACCTTCGATGACCGAAGTCACGGAAAGGAACTGCGGCCATTGTCTTCTGCTTGAAGTCCCGATGAGCATGAAATACCTTTCTGATTCTTCCGATGTTGGGAAGTATGGTCAGTGATTGACCTTGTGATGCTGACCTTGTTGTCTGCAATCGAGTATACCATGAAATCCGATAAACGGAAACACCGGATAAAGAGAAACAGCAGCTGAATCCATGAAAACGCCTTGGAAGATCCAAGCCCAGCCAGGGTGGCATTGTTCGAGCCAAAGTTTCCAGCCAAGCCTGGTGTAGTCGGTCCGGAAGTTGTTTAAACGAGCACAAATCTGCTCCGAAGAGCACCAGCCCAGCGCCGCAGACCGGGAACAGCACCAGACCGTCACTTTCGGTCATCTTTGCCGGGTCACTTGGCCATTCCATTCCCACGGACGGTGTTCCAGTGTTCTGTCATGCGAACAACAGGGGCCGAACATAGTGTTCGGCCCCTGCGAACTGTCGCCAGGCGCATATGCAGTTTCCATTGACGGCATAGGCATTGGGAGGTCCTTCAAGTCTTCTGGCACTGTCGACGGAACCTGAAAGTGGCTCGGTCGCTTTCTCCTTATGGAGAAACGTATTTATGGAAGGCTGCCCCGGTATTTGGGCGGCTTGAGACAGCTTCTTTTGTTTGTCTTTCGCTCTCCATTGCTTTCTTGTAGCCGAGGCCTTTAGCCCAGGGGGCCTTCTTTCTGGGCAGCCGGTTTTCCATGGATGCGCTACCGTTGGCTTTCTTCTTTGGCGCAGATAGCGCGCTATCTTGTCTCGATCAGCGGCCCCCTTGCGTCTGCTTCCTCAGCCGTCTCCGTGGCACGACGTTTCTGTGTGTATATATATATATATATATAAAGAGAGAGAGAGGGAGAGAGAGCTCAAGGCTCTGAGCTGTATCGTATGCTCGCCTATGCTCTGGCTTCAGAGCGTCTCTGATCAGGCGTACGAAATATGCTCTTCTCACTCATCACACCTCCACAAAGCCGAGTCTCAGCGCAGCTTGCATGAGCACGTGAGGAGAGCTGCATATGGGTTGGATTTGGGAGCGTTTGGGGACTCAGACTGGATTGCTGCTGATGTTCTGGGCTTGAAAGATCGTCATTGATGTGCATGTACGAGATGTCCACTGACGACAAACCACCCTGCGCGTTGCCACACTGTACGCGATTTTCCATACTTGCATGCTTTTACACAGGGCCGGCAAGAATGCGTCCTTGAGTCCTTCGAGCATCCACAAAACCCACGTTTGATGTGATGATGTCCTGCTTCGACGAATGGCGATTTTCAGCGACAACATATCGCGTGGATTTGAGATGTTTCTAATATCCAGTGTCGCGCTGTCTGCCTGTGCCCGGATTCTCTGCGTGATGAACCCAAGAGTCCATGGTCGCCACAGTAGTAAAGTCAAGGAAGCCCTTCATTAATCATGATCTTCGCGGCATAGTTGAGGCCATAGGTAATGTACGTCCCAGTGTAACGAGACGGTCGTGGCATTGACGACATCGAAACAGATGACGTTGTTGCCAGGGCCCTCTCTGCCCCTGGATATTTTAATGGCTTCTGCCATGAGAAGATTCTCAGATCCGGTGCTGGATCATTGGGAAGGACTCCGTGGTAGACGTTGTCATTGAGAACTGCGGCGATTGCTGGTACCATGCGATACTGTGTCATAAGCATGCCATACACAACGTGAAAACCGTTTGACTCGAGACGTCCCATCAAGGAGATTCTCAGCTGTTCTTGGGATTGGCCCTTCTCGCTAGAGGAGGAAGTGACTACCGGCCCAAGCTGGCATTTGTCACCAACGACAACCATTACTTTGCATTTCGGACAGAACGTAGGGCCGCAAGACGAGCAAGTCTTCCGAACATGGGCTTCCTCGTCGAAGAGTACCTCTGCCGAAACATGATCACCGATTCACCAAAGGTGCCCTTGAGTTGGTCGTAAAAGCGCTGGTAGACCTGGACAATCTCCTCGAGCTTCATTCGAACAGTTTTGAGCAGTGCATACGTCGTAGGGGCAGAAAGTGACCCGGCCACAGTGTGTTCCAGGTTGGTCATTCGGTCGTCAACGGACGCCGGATCTGCAATGTTACCAGCTTTGCCTGCAAGACTGAGTCGGTACATCCCAGATTCAAGCGCCTTCGCCCGAGAGTATTTCTGCTTTTGTTGTTCTCCGAAACAAGACGCTTCAAGGTGGACACACAATTCGGCGTCATGTTTTGGACTGAGTGCCAGTGCTGTGTTGCTTCCTGCATAACAATCCCAGCGTGCTCGTCTGTAAACCAAGCAAGCTCGACCTTCGCGAATGCAACAAGTCCTTCATAGTTAGGCGCGGTGCGATACTCTGGGTCCATATGCGCCCGCTTCAACAGATGATGCTCCAATTCCTTCAGTATCCCAGTCCCCTTCCTGTGTCCGAAAGCGGCGACAATTGGGACACGGCAGCGGACTGCCCGCCTTCGAGCAAGCTTGTGTGCTATCGTCAAAATCGAATCTCTGTAGGAAAACAGAAAGGTCCCTTCGACTTCGTCACGTCGTCGCAACCAGAGGGCTGGCCGGCGGTCCTGGTAGCGTCCGTCGAGGTCTCCTCAGTCGGCGCGCCATTGTAAATCTCCTTCCCAAACGACTTGTGAGGTTCCACACCGACCTTTCCAATGTCACTGGCGCGCTGAAACTTGGTTGACTTCTCCGTGAGCACGCTGGAGAGACCTGGACGGACAACCTGCTTCAAACTCGCATTGTTCCAAGCGGTCCTCCGACCCTTGAGAGTAGTGATTGCACTTCTGCATTCATGCCGGAAGAACACGTCGTCCTTCCCAAGCTGATACGGCGTGCAGAGGCCCTTCCGGGGTAGGGAAGCACCAGGAGATGCAGCTGGTCAGGGTGTTTGCCAAAGAACCCCGACACCGCATAGCAAGGTCTGATGTCCACCGCCACCCAGGAAAGAATACATATATATGGCCGTCATTCGTGAGCAAGGCAGCGCTTTCGCTGTGTCGTACTTGCTCATCTTGTTGCCTCACGACCAATGATGGGTCTTTCCAGCCATGCTTCATTGCGTATCACCAGGAAATCGAAGGCCGGAGATTTGATCTGCTCTGCAGGACGTGCTCCATGGCACACACTGTAGAATGGGCGATCCTTGAGATCTAGCCCGTAGGCAAGGCATCAGATGCATCGCGAAATCTTCATCCAAAGTTGAGCTGAAGTCACCGAAGAGACGACATCTGGCTGGAATCGTGGACCATTGGCCATTGTGGCCGTCCCTCAGATTGTACTGAGGTACCGGGAACGAAATAGGAAGCTCCGTCAAGCTATGGTTTGATTTCGCAAGTATCTTGATGATTCTCTGCTTTGTGGCGTTGATATATATATTTTCGCGGGTTGTCAGACTCCACCCTGAGAAAGTGACCGAGCCGGTGTCGGTGCCTTGTCGAACTCTGAGATGTAGGTTGTATCTTTGCGATGGAAGCTCATCGCCCAGGATGGACTGGTATAGTAGCTGGCGTGCCGTTGCAGGGCTTGAGAATCGCTGCCTGTACAGCAATGAGCGTGCAAGAATTGGAGAAGAAGAGTAGTGCTGCGTACAATGCAAAGAGAAAGTAGTTCGCTGGAGTGGGAAAAGGAGACATTATATAGGCGAGTGCGACGTTCCGACATCGCTCTGCTGTAACCAACATCGACTTCCCTCCGGTTTCACCGCTTTACACCCATCACTTGGTCTCAACTTTGGTTTCATTTTCACCCTCCATCTCTCATGTTTCACCCCTTCCTGTTCCGCACGCGACTCACCGTTCGCCTTCCGCTTCCATCTCTTTTGCTTCGCAGCCGTCACTTCGGCAGTCCACCTCGTCATCGATCATTCAATGAATGATCTCTGCTTCATTGTGGTCAAGCCCGTTCGTCTAGAAGCCCAGTCCCGAATTTAACAACGAATGAGGCAGCCGAACAGGTGTTGCGATCAGGGGTCTCTGGAGCATGCATGGTATTCAGCAGGACCAGCTCACCTATTGCCATACATCCTGTGCAGGCTTGGCATGTCTCCTGCAGAGCAGGTCCGGTGATGAGGCGAGGGCGACATAGTCAGAATGGAAAGGAGGACAAAAGTGACCTGGTCGGAAATGCTCGTTGTCCAATTTCTGTCGTCTATTGCTCTGTATGATGGTTCGATGCACATGGTCTGATGCATCAGCCCCAAACGGGTCGTCTCAGATCGAATTGCTCTTGCCGAACACTGTGACCAGAACCCGGGTCCTGCAAAATGGTGGATGCCGCAGCTTCATCGTCCTTGCGCACCCAGCCGTTCAACGAACGGTCTGATACCCATAAGTCCAAGCCAAACAGCCTCCTCGGTCCTGATGGTTCGGCTTCCTTGACCTGGCAAGACATTGACCCAAGCGTCGAATAATTCGTTCACATTCTTTTCTGTGATGCCCATCTTTTGCAACTCATTATCACTTTTTGTGGCCTTCTCTAAGCCCGCGACACCGCCAAACACGAGAAGGACGTGCTGGAAGTTGAGTTCAGCAGGCTTTAAGAACCTGGGCTCCATCATCACTTGAGTCAAAGGTGCACCTCGCTCGGACGTCCCAATCGTAACATCGTACCCTCCGTCGAAGGGACACTCGGTCAAGACATTCGACAAACTGTTACACTGTCTTACAGCGAAGCCCCAGTAGTAACCCTTGTCTTCCCGGGGAGCGCTGGGAGCGACAGTCTCAGCCAAGGCGTCATCAGTCAGGCGCACAGTAACACGAGTCCCCGCTGGAATGTCGTCGGCGACCTTAACCAGGTCTGGTAGGCCGACGTCTATATGAGTCCCGTCTCCGTTTGGACGAGATGCTTGGGTGACGCCTTCGCGGTATTCGCACCATTCGTTGGCACGCAGGTGGTGAGGCATATCTAGACTTGGCAGTGTCCCAGCCGTTCGTAGATTAGGATGCATTGGGAAGAGTGATTTGCGTAAGTGAGGCGGTGTTTCGAGATAGGATAGTACATGGGCTAGAAAGTGGTCTGGATGTGAGAATGCTGTATAGTCATTCCCTGCAACGGCAGGGCGGTTCTTCTGCGTCCGCTCATCCTCGTCGTCGAAGATGACCACTTCATCGACACAGAAAACTGCCAATGCTCGGGCAATTTGGCCGGCTAGGAAGTTTTTCTGGTCGTGAGATTTGGCATTGGCAATAACGCTTCCTGCTAGAGCAATAGAGAGTGTGAATGAACGGCCGCCTGACGGTTGGAAGACGGCTGATGGCTTTGATGTGTCGACTGGAACGTCTTCTGCCTTGTCCAGAGACTTCTTCTTCCTGGGCTTGTCTTCGCCGTTTTCGCGTTTGCGTTTCTAGCATTCGGCGGTTAGGATCAATACCAACATTGTGTGGTGATGGATGCTCACCATTTCTTTGGGCATGTTGCCCTATCTGAGTCCAATAAACAGACTTCAACCAGGAGATGGAAATGATTGACTGCCGGTATTGGAGTGCCAATGGATAGACTTTAATGAACCGTTCCAGAGAAATGAAATTCTCCAAGGACGAGGCTGTATCTCAGCCTTGCCAAGCGGTACGAGTGCTTGCACGTGATCGGAGCATTGTTCATTGGCTGTACCTGCTGACCACGAACCGCTAAAACCCAAAAGTTATTTTAGTGGCCACTAAAGATCAGGGACCACTGGACCACTGGCATTAATCGAAAGGGGCCAGTTTGGCATTTTGCGGGTAAAGAATTATTACTCGTAGGGACCGCAATATGGCAGAAAGGAGCAGCAATTAGAGCCCACTTCCTCAAGATTGCCATGTCTAAACCCCAGAACACGCGACGACATCGACACCAGTAATGACTGCTGCTCTCAGGACCTCATCTTAACTCATTCTTGAGCCTATCCTTACCGATCTGGTATAATACGAGGCGATTATCACTGGTTATTGTCTGCTTACACTCGGCGTTGCAACGACAAACCGTGTCAAATCCTACGCCGACTCAATCTCCCTCCACCTCATTTTATATCCCACACGCGACAATGAAGATCGGCCGGCGGCGTGTCCAACTGCTTCTGTTCCTCCTAGCCTCCATTCTCGCATCCGAAGCCGCCGAAGGACCTATTCACGCCGAGTCTGTGGCCAAGAACGTCGCCGCCGCGAAAGCAGCCGGCGACTTAGTTGCTACTGCGTCAGGAGTAGTCGGAAGCGTGAATGCGAAGTCGGCACCCGTAGGAACCGAGCACGCTCCAGTGGATGGCAAGGATGGGATGCCCCACGAAGGGCCCTTCGTTGAGACAAGCGCAGAAAGAACGAGAAAGAAGGCGCAGGGAAGTGGCCAGGACGACGAGGTGTATGTCGAAAAGCCCAAATCAAGGAATGGCGACGTTCCACAATCCAATGACGCGGTCATGGACGAACGTATCAACTCAAATCCGGCCGAGGGCACGAGAGGTGTAGAAGGTGGCATCTCGGAGAAATCAAAAGAGGGCAAATCAACAGACAAGAAGCCTGATCCTCCCAAGGACGCAAGGCCCTTGCCACACAGCGAAACAGAAAAGATGAAGGACTCGGATGCTTCTCAAGCCCAACCCGTGGATGAAGAGCCCAAGAAAGGCTTGACAGTGAGTCTGACATCCTTCCATGCACATACACATACTGACTCCGTCACAGTCTCCTCAAGACCTTCCAGATAAACCTCACGATATTCCCTACCCTGAGAACCCATCGTCACCGAAAGACAGCACAATCTCGTCCGAGAATCCCGACAGGCTATCCAAGACCAAAGAACCGGAAAGCGCAGTCATCTCGCCAATGCACTCACTCGTCCTCTCCTTCACCATGATCATCTTCTCCGAAATAGGTGACAAGACGTTTCTTATTGCCGCGCTCATGGCAATGCGTCACCCCAGGGTGGTGGTGTTCACCGCCGCCTTCTCCGCACTCATCACCATGACCGTCCTTTCCGCAGTTCTCGGCCACGCCGTTCCGACTCTCATCCCCAAAACGATCACCAACTTCGCCGCGGCGGGTTTGTTCCTGGTCTTCGGAGTCAAGATGGTCTTCGAAGCGCGCAAAATGAGCCCGGAGGATGGTGTCGGTGAAGAAATGAAAGAAGTCGAAATGGAATTAGAAGAAAAGGAACATCAACAGCGGCGCATGTCTCGAAGAGCCTCGTCAATATCCCCATACGCGCTTGAAGCTGGGCGTGCTGGCGTCGGCCGGAAACATACAAATGGCCGACTACCCTCTCCGCCCGAAAGTCCCTCCAGCTCTCGCGACGGTTCGCCCGAGCGCAAGACGTCCTTCTCCGATATGCTCGCCGGGATCAACAACTTGTGTTCGCTATTACTGAGTCCAGCGTGGGTTCAGACATTCGTCATGACGTTTCTGGGCGAATGGGGCGACAGGTCACAGATCGCGACTATCGCTATGGCGGCCGGGCAGGATTACTGGTGGGTTACCGCCGGTGCGTTGGGCGGACATGGCATCTGCACTGCCGCCGCGGTTCTAGGTGGAAAAGCCATTGCTGGCAGGGTCAGTATGCGGACTGGTACGTTTGCTGCTCTTCGAATCAATTTTGACAAGTGAATGCTAACTTTTATGAACAGTCACCATGGGCGGCGCGGTTGCATTCTTGGTCTTTGGCGTCATTTACTTGCTCGAGGCTGTGTATTAATTTTCACTTCATGGCGTAGGAATCATCCTTTTCTCCCCATAGAGATGGCCGCGGACCGGACTATAATAGGTGACGCCATACCTGTCCTCTGTCTTCCACGCTAGAACGCGGATGTGATGTGTATTTGGCGGGCGGCGACCAGGTTCATGGATCAGGAGTTGTGCTTCACGAGGTGGGACAAAAGGGATTGCATAATTTGTACAGTAAACTACAATTGTTAGTCGTACTCATCACCAAACGTATGGGCTGGACGATGGCCCTCTGTGCCGATGTCCAAAAGTCCAGCTATCATTAATGTATTCATTTGGTAGGCCGTGCCGTACACCACAGAGTAGTAATCCCTGACTTCGTACTTAGACGCCAGCCCGATTGTCGTGAAATCCAACACAAACACCCAAAACTCACACACATTACCCTCCCCAAGATTCCGAAAACCGAATGAATCAAGAACTTTTGACGGACTGTGATCCCAATGAACACCCCCAAGCCGTAAACCATAATCCAACAAACACCTCAAGCCGTGACGCATACTGCTGATATGTCGGCCTCTGCACTAAGAAACGACCCATGACCATAGATGGAGGTATCTCTCCCAACGTTCCACAGCCACATGAGACCAAATGGTCTACCCATCTTCGATATGATGAGATGATGTTTCAGTCGTCAGAGTAAGGGTCTTCTCAATCTCTCTGCTTCGGACGACTGAGCATGTTCAAGCGACTCAAGCTCAAGATTCCTTTGCCCTTCCGAGCATTCGCATTATTCTTGGCCATTTCGCGTGCCATGCTCTGTCGCGGTTTCTTGACTTCTTTGACCGGGCTCTTTTCCGCTGCATCATCGAAGGTCCTAACACGAGCACGCTTGCCACCTCGCTTCTCGCCTTCATCTTGTTCATCAAGCTGCGAGGTATCCTGCCAGCCACCCGGGATGGACGGCATGACCGAGATGCGGCGATTCTCCTTGCCGTCGTCCTCAGTGCTCTGTGAATCCTCGTCGATGGTTGAATGGCGACGACGCTTCTTGCCCGGCAATCCATGAGGCATGGTCTTGACGTCCGCGTCTTCGAAAGGTTGCACAAGGTCGGTGACACCGGAAGTACGGACTTGGCGGATGGTAGATGGTGATGGGTTCGAGTAGTTGACATTGCTGGGCGATCTCATGACTGTATTGGCATGGACAGTCGGATCGGTCTTGTTGACTGTTGTATTGATTGAAGTAAGAATTGATGAAGGTGATGGACGAGACGGATGATGCAATGTTGTGAAAATGGATTTGAATTCCTTGGACTCGCGCCGATTGTGATCTTTCGACTTGTCCATCAATGCATGTGCCGGCTGTGGTTGCATAGGGCTGGATGATGGCTCTGCCCCTGGCAAGGTGGGATAATCAATCTCACTCTCGGCATCTTCCCAATTGTCATCACCGTCTTCATCATCAAGAATGTACGCAGCTGGGTCGTAGGGAACAAGAGGCGCAAGGGCCTTGCCCGGTGTGAGATGTGGTAGCTTTGCAGGGCTTGGACTTCCAGCTGCTAGCTTTACGGCGTAACGTGATTTGACACTTGGTGTGAAATCCACCTTCTTGACCGAGCCATTTGCAGAAGTTGTAGGAGTGGGACGTTGAGGAGTACCTTGTCTCTCGCTAATGGATGCCAACATATCAGTCTTGCGTCCAGGCCGTAGGATGGACTTGAGTCCTGCAAACGTGGGGAGTCTTGAAGAGAAACCGTGGTGGCTGCTATCAGCCGAGGTTTCCGCAGTGGAGCTCGCATGTTGGAATGCGGCAATGACTCCAGAATGGGAAGATATAGCACTTCTCGGTGGCGCTGGCAAAGGCTTATGTGCATAAGCAATACCAGCTGGTGGTGACTTCTGGGTAGAGGGCTGAGCAGGAGCTCCATGAGCAGTGGCAGGTCTATCATTGGGCACGGCATCAGTGGTTCTCAGAGACTTGACGGACGCAGGGCGTCTCAGCGCAGGAGCCTTATTTGGCGAGGCCACAGGGATCTGACTTGTTGTGGTCCGGGCCAATGATGCTTTTGTAGGCGATAGTAAGCTGCTGGAGACTGGCTTTGGCAACGTGGTAGGCCGAGCAGCTTGTGTAGCTTCCGCTGGTCGAGTTGCAGACACGTCTTGTGAACCCGAGTGTCGGGGCCGCTTCGCCGAGGCCGTGTTCTCAAGCCGCTCTGGCTGTGCAGGGACAGATTTGAACGGACTGACGGAAGTAGGGCGGCCAAGGAATGGTGGAGGCCGGCGTCCTGGAGTTCCCTTGCCGGCTGTTCGAGGTCGTTCATCCTCGTCAAGGCCAGCCCTGGAACCACTGCGCTTGAGTGACTGGGATGTAGGCTGCGCAAAGCCAGGTTTGCTTCTGAAAGCGGACGCATGATTGGATATCGAGTCCATCTTCTTGAATTGAGCCATATGGATGTCGCTGAAACGACCTGCTTTGCCCTTTGCTCTGGCGATCTTTCGGCCTGCAGCATTCGTCCCGCCATAAGCAGCCTCTGCCTCATCATCCTTTTGCTGTTGAGTTTCCTTCTCCGCTCGCATCTGTGCTTTAATCCTAGCCGCCTCCTCACGGACATTGTCCATCAACTCTTGCGCTGCACTACTCAATTGAGACTCGGCGCCGAAGTTGAAGTCGAAATTTGTGGATGACAGATTTGCTGGTGTATGTGATCGGACTTTGGATGGTGTGTTCTGTGCACTTCCGACCGAATGGTGAGGATTTGCTGGTACATCCACAAAGCCTAGCTTGAGGCCAGAGTCGGGCGCCTTCGTGGTGGTTTGGTGGATTTGCTCTGGATGCATCTCGCCATGATCAGGACGTGGTTCGGTTCTGGGTGTCTTGAGGCCCGAGAATTTCTGTAGTTGTGACTTGATGGTAGCGGAGGATGTTGGCGTCGCAATAACATCGTCGATTGATTGTGGCTCGGAGACATCGGGAGTCTCGTCTCTCTCGACAAGAGAGCCCAGCGGTATGGAAGGGAGTTTACGAGGAGAAGCACGCTGTGATGATTGTTAGCTTCCAACGCCAACTACCTTGTAGCGATCAAGCATGGGGTGGTAAGGTAATCGGTGGTAGACAAGCAAAACCTGCACAAAACAATGGGCAAACATATTACCTGTTGCTGAGCAGCCTTGCTCAATCGCGCCGACCTACGACGAGGTGTGGCCATGATGAGACAGCATGTAAGACCTGGAGGGGTGAGATTGAGCGCACAGGACAGCAAGAACAAAGATAGTAGTGTGTGGAATGGTAAGCGGGATGTATCAGAAGTGGTGGAGGAGGATTGAGAGGATTGGTCCAAGTGTTGATATTGGAGAATGGAGAATCGGATGACGTGCCACAAGTAAACAACCAAAAAGGGTCTTATAACGCGGAGTCACGTGTCAGGCTGTGACAACCACAAGCTGCCATTTACATCTACATCGTCCTCAAGAGTGAATTCATCATTAGCTACAGCAACTAGGGAATCTGTCATGGCAACTCGCACATGGGCGAATGGCACTAGTCAAGCTGATTAAGGGACATGTGACCAGGCCACTTTCTTGCTGCTGCTCATTGCCACGCAGACTATCGTGGGAAGTTACAGACAGGATTACCGCCTCCAGAATAGGACATGAGATACCATTCAACCATTCCTCAACCTGTTCAATGTATTTTCAATAAGCGTCGTTCCATCGTCAATCATTAATCATGTCCAGACGCCATACCTTCACACTTTGACAATCCGATATCTCAACTCCACCCAGTACTTACCAAGACCTGCTAAATCGGGCAGTCATGCCCATCGAAAGAAAAAGGAATGGCCGATTATCAATCTCACACAACAGCAGCAGTGTCCTGTGTCTGCGTCATAGCAACAGGATCCTCAAGCGACGGCATCGTGAAACCATCAAAGACATTGCACACACCGCCACAATCATCAACAGTCTGCTCCGCCTCGATCAAATTGTCCATCCACAAGTCACTGTTGAACGGCATGTCGTACTGCAACTGCGGCGTCGCTTCCGGCACGATCCTTGGAATCGTGCTCGGCATTATACCGTCAGTGCAGACACTAGGCTTGGCAAGCACTTCGCGCGCAAACTTGGCGACTTGACCCTTCGCGATCAGTGCGCGAGGCCAGATCTCTCCGAAGGCGCCGAGCGCAGAGATGCCGACTTGCAAGCGCTCCTTGATCGCGGCGGCTTGGTCAGGCCGGTCAACCATGGCGTATGCCGGAAGATGGACGGTCGCAGCGGTCGTGATGCCGCACATCAGTATCGGTGCCGCGTAAGCCATGGACTGCTGAACGGTCGCCAGGTTGATGATGTTGTTTGCGGCGCGGAGAGCCTTGGCGGTGTGTGAGGAATATGCTAGGGCCGGGAGACCTGCTGCTTCGGCTCGAGTGCATGTCGTGCGGTAGTGGTTGCGGATGAATGTCAGGGTGGAGCGTGGGCGGTGCAGGCTGATGGCGGCCCAGTTGATGATGAGGTGGGTCACTGCCAAACATTGGTCGACATGGCCGTCTTGCCGGATGACTTCGCGCTTGTCTTGCGGTAAGGACAGGAAGAAGTTGGTGATGCTGGCGTCGATGGCCTCGACTTGAGGGTCCGTCACGGCGAAGGTGTCTGGACCCAGTGCCAGGACCGAGCCGAGGATGTATGCTGCCTCGATGGCGTATGCGAATGACGAGTACGCGAATGTGTCTTCGGAGAATGTTCGATTGCGGAGGTCGGCGAGGGTGCGAGGAAGAGGAGAGGCGCGGAGTTCGTTGTAGTCTTCGTCGTGCCCGGGCAGAGGAACGTCAGTGTACGTCGAGAACAGTCTGTACGGTTGTGACTGGCCGCCGATCACCACGATGACACCTTCGAGGATCATCAGAGTCCACCATGTCCGCCGCCAGGATTCTTGCAGTGTCGGGTCATCTCGGCCATGCTGGATGGCAAAGCTCTGTCGATTCATGCCGATCCTCAAAGCAATCTCGAAGGCTTGCCCCAGGGCTTGGGCGCCTTCTTCTTGGTCAAAGCGTGCAAAGGACGTCATGCCGTAGAGGAGAAGACCTTGGACCTTGAAGCCATCGTCGGGAACTTCATTGGAGAAGATGACTTTGGCCGATTTCTCGAGCGCGACGTGGTTCGCGTCAGGGACATAATGGCTGGCGAGGTGTTGGAGGACCGCCTTCAATGGCTTGGGCAGACAGGATGGGTTCTCCAGATACTTTTGGCGTGGGACAACGAAGGGGTGAGCATGATAGAAGTATTTGTAAAAGAGATCTATCAAGTCATCTCCTTTTCCTGATTCTGTTGGATGGGACTCGCGGGGGATCGACAGGGTTGAATCACTACCGTTAGGGCTGGGAATGCCTTTGGGGAGTACTGATTGTAATTCCATCGGCATCGTCGAGAAGATAGGGTCTATGCCTGCGAAGAGGTCGTCGTAGCAGAGTGGGGTAATTTCAGGAGGGTCAGCCTCGTCGACGCCTAGAAAGATGAGTTGAGGCTCGCAGCCCTGCGATTCGTCGAATATGGCATCATTTCTGGCGGACCTCTCCTCGCGCTTTTCTTCAGGTGAGGGTTGGTTCTTTCTGAATTCCCGGTATCCTCTTCGGGAATCCATCCAGATACATTCCCCGTTGCGATCTGCGCATCGGGCGCAGATTGGCTTGTTGCCATTGCACTTTAGATGGGATTTTCGGCAAGCAATACACGCCAAAAGACTTGGGGGCTTAGTTCGGCCTTTAGGCGTGTTAGTGGCTGTTGATGTCTCCGTTGTAGTCGACATGTTGAGTATTCAAGAGATCAGAAACTGTGCAGGCGCTGCTCTCAAGATGGAAGACATTCAGGGATTGAAAAGGACATCTAGGTACGTGGTTTTAATCTGCTCTTGAGGCTGTTTTCTGGGCGGACTCTAGGAGATCGGGCGAGGAATGAGAGCCCAGATGGCAGAAGATGCGAATACTCCCGTGGATCCGCCACATGGACTTGACCACTGGCGCTGCCCACCATCGGGAAGGTCCGTCACTGTCAGACCGCCAGAGGGGTTTGATTGTTTCTGTCATCCATCATGCTACGTACGTTGGCTTTCGGGGACCAAACACGGTCGAAAGAGGAAGGTACGGCGAAGAGCCCGATATGCATCTGGTCCCCGAAATGCTGACATGTCAGCAGCATGTTCAATTCTCCCTCACTCTGCCTAAACCGTTTTGTCCATCTTGAGCCGTTCATCAAGTGAGACATCGAGTCAGCACATGCATATGCACCGCAACAGCTCGGGTTGGAGATTGTAGGAGACTCCCTCCGCTGGAACCCATAAAAGCTGTTGCGACAGATTTGAGAGCAGTTCAAATGAGAATCTCATATCAGTCTATGCCCAGGTCACCAGACAAATTAGAAGAGTGCACTCAGCGTCGGATCAAACCACTTCATCGGGACGTTCGGGTACGATGGTGGCCGGTGATTCCTTCTCTCTTGCCGGGGCGTCAGGCGCAACATCACCCACCTGGTGACTGGTGTGGTCCGATTCCTGGGTCGAGGATGTGCGCGACCAAGAGACCTTGAACCCACTGCTCTGCCACTGCACGGCCTCCGGATGCAAGTCGAACTCCAAGCCAGCTTCTTTGCACTTCTTGCGCAGGCGCCTAGTTCGCAGCAGCCAGATCCCATGCGAAATGAACATGGACATCTCGATGCAAGCACTATCGAACGGTTAACATCGTGTACATCAAGTAGGCCAGGTGAGAGAACTTGCCAGCACGCGTATAGTGTTCCGAATAGGGGATCGAATGTGTTTTGCACCACTAGTATCTCATCAGCCTGGCCACAAAATGCAGGACTGGTGCCACACATACCCAGAGACATCAACGAAAAGAATGCGCCCAGCCAATCGATGGTCAGGAACCAAAGGTCGATCCCAACCACTCTGCCTCTTCGTTTCACCAACTCGAACGGTATAGGGATATACCCTGAGATCAGAAGGACGAAAGCGAGCGATCCGACCAATGTCATGGGCCACTCCAGGTGCTTTTTATGATACCCCTTCCGCAGCAGCCAGACGAGAAGTCCTTGGAGACCGGCATCGACAACCAGGATTGCTGTACATATCATGATCACGTGCCGTGCTTTCCATTTACTGATACCTTTGTCAGTGCCAGCGTCCGGTATTGCGAAAGACATATTTGAGAGTGAGATGCATACCTGGAATAGTATTTACACTGGCCCCAGTTGACCAAGCAGAACAGGCAGAAACATTGTGGCTGGATCTGGATGGGAATATTGAAGTTCTGCGCGATCGCGTATGCGCCGAACGGTACGCCACTGATTGACCAGAAAAGCATCATGAGCGGAGGGACACCGACAGTCGACTTGGTGCGGTAGCTTCGGTAGATCTGGGGAAGGAGCTGGATGGACCAACAGACTGTTCCGATGGTGCCTAAGACGTTCGCAGCCGCAGGTATCGAGGTTTGGGGAGCCATGATATGAATGTGAAAAGAAGTATCCTGACCCTCCGTTCCGTGTGTCAATACCTAACCTCCAGGATTGTGACCAGGTCGATGGGTTCTGCGAAGGCCATGCACTCTGCCCAGAGATCCGTCCTGCAGCCGATCGAATTTGTTCGAGAAGAGGGTTCAGGTCTTAGCCTCACAGATTCTCTTCTTTAGAGCGCCGCTACGCTTGGGAATTCAAGGAGAGTTGGGTGCCCGTGCGTGGTCGAAGTCGATCGCCGAACGGTAGCGATCTCAGATGACAGAAACGAGTACGCAAGACAATGAGAAGCTACATCTCGAGGACGCTGAAGACGCCACAGGTGCAGGGAAGCGTGAGGAAGAGCAATTCACCGCCGAACCATGATGTTTGGACGGAGTTTGTCTCTGCCAACCTATGAAGTGACTGTCAAAATTCACTGTCACTGCCTCACGTGACTGTCTGCGATGACCATATAGTCATCGCCCCTTAGGCCTATCCTTGCAGCTAGTCCTTCGTGTAGTATCCTAGTATCAATCCTGACAGTGATGGAGGCCAGCTGCCTACCGCAGGGCAGTGTTTTCCCGGATAATGATGAAAACCCAAACCGCCAAGGCAAATGGATTCTACATGAGTTCATCGTGTCACAGTCGCGTGACGACGCTGGATGTAACAGTATATCTGCGTCTTCACGACGAGGAAAATGAGAATGACGAACGAAGTTGATGGATGAGTTTGTTGACACTTAGGAGTGCACTCATGAATTTTTGTACATATATAGCCTCCACTGCCTCTGGTGGCCCCTGAATATGCTTACATAATCACAGCCTTGTCCGGTGGCCCAGGTTAGGGGCAACCAATATTCCAGCCCTCGGACACGCATATTCCACAGCATTGGTGCGCCTTCTGACATGAGTACCTGGCATCAGCGTACAGGCATTGCTTCCATCACGCCAGCGCAATCAACTCCATCTCCATAGACAGATTCATTGGCAGACGCCTCGCCTCGATGGCACTCCGTGCTGGTTTCTGCGGAAAATACTGGGCATAAACCTCGTTCATCTCGGCGAAATCATCCATATTCGCAAAGAAAACCTGCCGGACAAGTGCATCGTCAGTCAAGGTCACGACAAAGGGACAGGGAAATGTGTTGCTAGAGCTAGGGACGTACAGTGACCTTGACAACTTTCTCCAAACTCGACCCAGCCGCTTCAAGCACGATTGCGGCGTTTCGGCATAGCGAATGCGTCTTGTCGGTAACGGTGCCTTCCGTCAGTTTGATCTTTCCATTTTCAAAAGTGGCGGGCATTTGGCCCGAGACGAAGATAAAGCCGTTGGCTTTGATGGCTTGAGACTTGTAAAGGTCAACATCACCAGCTTCTCATTCCGACGCACGCAACTGAGCGCACTTACATAGGGTCCGATGGCTTTTCTCGATCCACGATTAGTTCACTCTTCCTGTTTAGGACTCGCGGGGGCACTCACGTGGAATTCCCTTGTCGCTGTAGACAGTTTCCATGCCTGCTGCTGCGTTCCCTTGGAGATTGTACTTTGGGGTTGTCGTTGTTGATGAAGGTGTGCTTGACAATGACATGTTATGGACTTGAGCGCCAACGACGCCCTGTGACGCCCCGGCGACTTTTGTCAACTTACCGAATTATGGATCACGTGCATCACCCGCAGAATTATGATGATGACCGAGGAAGGCTCCAAAGGTGTCCCTTGCCCTTGTGCTACTCAGTCGGGATCACCCTCATTGCTGAAACTGCCAAAAGAAACGAGGGATGGAGGTCGGGCTGTTATTCGTTGAAGTATCGAGAAATCTAGGAGGGAGCATAGGGTTGTGAACGTAGTACGGTGGACTACTGTAACTAAGGAGTTAGATCTGATATAAAAACCAGACTTTAATTTCTCATTCCTCATCCCAAAAATACCAACTGCTGCACTGTCATGCTTGAGATCTTTTTGATTAGTGACGACAATACTGTCTCACTCGGGTATCGTCATCATGGTGCTCTTCCTCGTGTCGACGAGAAAGGGGGTTTCTTGCTGCAAATCTCTCTCCATCTCCTGAGTATCTCATCACTCATAAGTAAACCCTATCCCGGAGCTTCAGAAACGGTCCTTTCATACTTCCTTGAAATCCAGCTTTGGCAGAATGTCAAAAATATAAAGAGTAAGAGGCCGGCTGTGACTCACTGCGCCGAGAAGTTCTCAACGTCTCCTTGGTTGTACCATGGATATGGGCATATTAAAAGGTTATTACTACATATGTTGCGGTGATCAAAAGAATGGTTAAGTGACTCACCCTTGGCATATCATTTCGCTTCACTGTCTTTTCTGTCTGGTTTTACTACTAGATGACTCTTGCAGACTGTCACTTAAAGCTGGAGATGGGCCTCAATTTTACTTGAACGTGCGACAGGATTCGAGACCAATCCCAAAAAATTGTTCTTATTCCTCTGTGCAGCGCACTTATATCCCTCTTGACGAGCCTTTTCTTGATACGTGTTCATATTGCGCCTCCAGCGTTTTCCACGCAAATCGCATCAATCTCGTTGGCAGCTCAGACGCCCTAGACCACCAAAATATCTTGTTCCGACCTGATTGCGATCCTATCGATTTTCCAGTCTTGATGAAAACATTTCCTTGCTCCCAATACTGCCGGTTTCCATCTTCTCAAACTCCACCGCCGCTCCATCGACCGAGTCGCTAAGTTCTGGTATTGGCCTGATGGATCAAAGCCAGCAAGGACCAACTCCTCCGGATTTTGGGCCGTATGAGACAGATGCGTGTCTGCTGTTCTACAACGATGCCACTCCAGAGAGTAACCCTCGTCGACTACGCATTGTTAAGACATTGGAAGGTTCACCGCAGGAAGGCTTTACCTATTCCTGCTGCATGATTGTCGAGGACTTCACACCGCTGGTTCGGACGACACCCGATGAAATTCCCAACAAAAGATATGTTATGAAGATCTTTGATTCAAGATACTCCCGTGGGCTACGCAAGTCTTTCGGCTGCATGGACTTTACATTAGAGCTGTCCAAGGTCGTCAACAACGTTGATGATGCGAAATTGGCGGAAATACATGCCCTGACTACCCAGAAGATCTCTGTTCGAGATTCCCAGAACGAACTTCTTCAATATCTATTCGAAGAAGAGAGGATCAAGCCTACAATCACGCGGTTCACCTTACTGGGCATCGCCTTGGGCGAAGAGGGCGAAGAGATCCGAGAAGATGAGAACATCGAGCTCCCAACCCCCGATCTGGCATACCAGGAAGGTTTTCTGATGATAATGCAGCGATTACTGTATCGACATGAGCTGGAAATGTTCGAGCAAATTAAGGACCTCTCTTACTTCCCCAAGCTGGTCGCAACTGGGAGTGTCTGCATGATTGACACTGAGCAACCAAAACCCGACTCTAAGCTACGCAAATTCGAGTGTCCTGCGATCATCATGTCTCTCTTGCCCGGCGAGTCACTAGCAAGTCTAGTAGCGACAAACGAGGACAATCGCTATCGTCGGTACCGGGGTCTACCAGAGCGGGACCTAAGCAACAGCCTCAAGCTTACTGATGATCAATGGCACACAATTCATGTGCGTCTTCATGAGCGGGCAATTTATGAGCTCTGGCTTCGAGGCATTCAACATACTGACCTACGCCCCCTAATATCTTGTTGGTGCAAGACTCCTCTGAGGCTTGGGATCCTATGCTTATTGATATTGGTGCGTTGAAATATTCAGAAACACCGTACTCTCCGATCCAGCCTCCCAATCAGTCCTCAAAAAGGTCTTCGAATGGCTCCACAGGTCAGACTGTCCCCGGGTTGGGCGATTTCGCCTGGCCCAAGGAATACAATGAAGAGCTTGAAGACACACTGGATCAATTGATAAGCAATCGCGCTTCTCTGGAATATGCCCACTCGGCGGCATTCCGCACGGTCACGACAAAACGATTTGAAGGGTGGTATGGTAGGCCTGATGTAGCACTCGAGACAAATGTTTGGCGGCTTCTGATGGAATCTCTGTTTTCGGATCTGACAGAGCACAGCCCGGAGCCGTCCCAAATCGGTCTTCGATCTCCTCGTACACCTGCCACACCATCTTTTGTTGCCGGAGTGTTACGTTACGTTCGCCAACTGATGGATAAAGAATATAGTCGAGGGGACAGGATTGGCTCGTGGTATGCACGCGCCACCAGCCTTATCACTATTCTCGTTACTGCGAGCAATATCACCTGGAGTTCAGAAGACTCCAACCTCGTGCAGACTAAGCTACGCCAATGCGACGAGAGCTTCAGCAAGCAGATTGAGCACTTCAACCGGGGTCGTATACCACTGGAGGGGATTCAGACATGGGCTTTGCAGTCAACATTGTGGGTTGACTCTATTTGGCACGAGCCAGATCTGGACGATGATGAAGTCTTGCATACCCTAGGGCAGCGCTTCAAGGTTTTGAACGACAATCCCTTCCCATCCTACTTCGAAGACATGATCAAGACATCTGGACTCATGCCACTTTGGACATTAGCCGAAGGGACCGTATGATGAGATGAAGGTTGTCATTCGCACACGACTCGCTCTGCTCGCCCTTGGCCACATAGGCAGCTTTCAGGCTCATTTGAGGGCCCGAAACATCTCTCCAACTCATGCTACAGCCGCTTGCGTGAATCGTTGTATCCGAAAAAAACGAACCGCTGTGCATGTTCACAGAGACGGTCCTAGAGCAATCACGGTTCTGCAAGCGACTCGCGCAAGGGTTAATAAGAAGATTCGCAACAGTCCCCTGCACCAAATCAGCGCCGTCTTCGTCTCCGACTGGGTTCGACACGTGCACACGTCGGACTCTTTTGTCTTCAGACGCCAGGGCTCCATTGGCCTCGTTACCGTCTTGAAGATCAAGATACGAGTCCATGCCATATTCCTCGGTTGCGATGATGGCACCGGCTAAATTGACAACTCCAGGATGTCTTCCGATGCTTGTCACGGCCTTGGTCTGGCGCAGCAGATCCAACGCTTCCCGTCGTATGCCCCGATGGCGGCATTTGAAGACTGTAAAGAATAGTGGCTTGACGGGACACAATTCAACCGCGAAAGGAGACCGCATCTTCATGGATGTCGCGAATGCTAGTGCTAGATTTCCATAGTAGATGATTTGGCCGAAGCCGTTGACATGCTCGTCGAACTTTGTCTCCTCTTGCGACATGCATACTGATAAGTGAATGTGGGTGGTCCAGTAGTACAACATCAGCAACGACGAAAGCCACGTGTGAATGTCGGAACGCTCTTTCCTTCCAGACTCCAAGATGACGTGGTGCCAATCTTCTAGACTTTGCAAGACCTGCGTTTGGCGCACCACCAGATCATCTGCAGATACCGCCTCTGCAGATATCCACTTTGGGTCAGCTTGTCTAATGACGCCGGTAGCCTCGTGCATCAGGCTGTAGAGACGGATGCGGTACTCGTCTAGTCGATCTGGCATAATGAACAGGACTGATAACGTGAGAAGTTGCCTTGCACAGGGGCTCTTGTGAGTGATAAGTGAAGCAGACATTGACGGGGATAAAAGGTTCGAAAGTCGTGCAAAGAACATGCAGATCTTCCCATCCACGTCCAAATCATCCGGACAGCGCTTCATTAGGGGCATCATCTTGTGACAGCTTTGGACCAAGACGAGTGCGGTCTCCACGTTCCACAGCTCGAATTCGAACAGCGCGAAGAGAATGCAGCTGAGGAGAGCGGTTGGAGTGTCTGGGTCTGGGCCTTGCAGTCGTTCTCGATATGCCTTGATCGCCTGCCCATGGTATTCCAACGCCCACTGGTACCCAGGCTGGTGGCGGACCTGTTCGAATGAACTCACACCCACTGTTTTGACCTGTTCGTACAGGCTGCTGATGGAAACGATGGCGAGCCATACCACTGAGTCGGAGACCGACCATCGAGGGACGACCTTCTGCCAGAACTCCGTGTCATGGACTCCAGCCAGGATCGGTCCCATAACATGGACGAAATACTCGAATGCTCGTCGCTCCTGGTGGGTGCCACGTATCAATTGAAGATGGGACGTTGGTTTGGTCCGCGACCTCGACAAGAACGATGTTGACGTTTCATTTCTTGTGAACTGATATCGAAAGACGCGTGCGGGTTTGCACTGGCGTAGACCCTTGGAGCATGGTCCGCATGTGGGCTGGATCTCGTCGCATTTCACGCGCCTTGTCCTGCGAAAGATAATTAATCCACAAGGCAACATTGTAGGCAAGCCTGTTTCCACAAAAAGTGGCACTTTTTCTGAAAATGGGCTCGCCGGGCCACAGAGAAAACGGTTGCACATACTTGCAAGTTAGACATCCATTATGTGATGGTATGTAGCCACAGCGCCTCTTTTGGTTCTTCAAAGGTGGCTGTGGCACCGGTGCTTGGAGGAGATCCACAGGGTCCTGCTCGATCTCGGACCGGACGTATTGATCGTCGTCCATTGACGTCGCTTGGGAGGATGATCGCAACTTCGGCTCCACGGTATTGCTTGTGGAGCACTTCTCATATCATGAAGTCTCTTGGAAATGCTTCAAGTCTTATGGAGGAGTACAGGCTGGAGGTTGTCTTATTTTCGAAGAGGTCAATTCTACAAGTAGAAGTACATTCATTCTTGATAAATCCTCCAAATATGTATTAGTGCATTTGCAATGTCAGCACTCAGGTCTGGGGGCTGACAAATACTCCGGGGTTTTCATTATGGCGATGTGAGATGACCTCAATGTCAGTACGAAGAAGCGGCAAGCCTGATTTTAAGAAAAAGTGGCCTGATAGCATTTTAATTGTCATTCTGAAGTCCTTCACGTCCTTCACGTCCTTCAGGCACAACGATATATGCCTAGTCGTTGACAGCGGGGAGACCATCAGCTCTACCGTATATTCCTACTGGCCCATAAAATTGATAACGTCGATGTAGTCCTTGCCAGACGTAGCCGACGTTAGCATTGTTGTTTACACAGCTGTCGCTGGCTAATGTGCAAATCGAATGTCCAGCCTCTTCGTCCCAGTGTCCTTCGTAGTGGAAAGGTAGTTCGCCTGGTCGAAGTCGCTGAGCAATCTCCATTGCCTCTCCTTCTGCTGATTGCGCTTGATGTAGTACAGCTTGGCCCAGAAGAAGAGCACAATGTTAGCTGAGGCGAGGCCAACAAGAATCTTATTTCCGCGATAATCTGGAATGTGTCAGTGGGATGTAGGCGATGGGTAAACGAGCAATTTGTGGTTATCAGTTGACTTACAATAAGGCTTATCGTCGTTTCGGTATACGTTCACCGCAACGATAGAACCGATTTGATAGCAAATGTTGTAGACAGCTGCTGAGACAGCTCTAGTACCAACACTATTGGCGTTTCGTGAGATCATCCCAACAAGGATTGCGTGAGCTTGACACGTGTTAGCCTTTGGCTCAAATGCTCCAGGCTGGCTTTGCTTACTGTACGGCTCCCCATTTACACCAGTGAGAAGCGCATAGCGAACCCATGGGCTCGCACTTGACGGGATTGTCACGAGTGCGATCAAGAACGGCAATACCCAGAAGTTGCTGGTAGCTCCAAAGATGAGCCGTTCGCGGTATCTCTCGCTCAACCAGACCACCGTCAGGATCTGGCACAGTGTCAGCCAGGGACGAGGTTTCATATGGTCTGCCTTACATTAATGAAGAACAAGGTATAGCCGGGGATTGCCAGCATGTTTGCCTCGAACACCGTGTATCCCAGGTTTCTCAATGTCAAAGAGAGATAATTTGCAGCAGGCTGGAATGGGATGAAGGCGACGATACCAAGCTGCCTCAAGTTAGCGAGGATCGGAAGCTGCAACAAGAAGGGACAACCCACCATATATGTTGGCCACAGATCAATATCTTTCACCGCCTGCCAGATGCCCTGGAGACTCACGTATTGGCGATTGTTCATATCACCTTTCGACGGGTCATCGCGAAGAATGCGGTTCACTCCAATCTTCTCTTCTCTTTCTGTGAACCATCCAGTCTTTCCGTGAAGCCATGAAGCTTTTCCACGGAGGATATGGCCGGACTCGGTGATACTGGCGGGCATTACGACGAAAGTCACAAGTCCCACAGTGACGCTCATGAGGCCTTCGATCAAGAACCTGCACGTCATTAGATGCGTTATAACTAAACGTGGTTGACTCACAGCCACTGCCAGCCGGACCAATCGTGCAATCCTCGCATCTTGAGAAACCCTGCCGCCAGCAGCGATCCGATGATTTGGGTCAAGGGAATAGCAGTCCAGAATATTGATAGTCGTATAGGCAACTCGTTGGATTTGAAAAAGTAGGAGAGATAAAGAACCATCTCTGGAATGAAGCCTAGACGTTGTCAGAAAGACCCTAGTACCAAGGGTTGGTTCTTTAGACATAACGTACCTCCTTGAGAGAAACCTAACAAAGCACGAGTGATGAAGAAGCCAGTGCGGTCCTTGATCATACACTAGCAAGTATAGATAACCCCCCAAATGTAGATTGCAATTGGAGTCATGACGTCGGGGCTAATCTTCTTGCTAAGAAGGCCGCCCGGGAGCTCGGCCGCTAGGAAAGAGGTTAGATAGATGGTCTAGCTAGTATTGAAATCATTTGTATTCATGTCCAATTCATTAAGCTATGGTTGTTAGCTTGGCCCAAGGCGGTCTCGGCTAGGATAGCTTACTATATTATCTAAGATTACGCGATTAACGTTTCGTCGAACCAGGTTCAACGAGGAAAACATTACCTAGACCCAAGCCATAATACGCTAGTCAAGCTTATAGTAAGTATTAATAGATATTCCCCCCCTCCTATCACTCATAACGTACCTTTCGAACGAGTCTCTTTTCTTCTATCGCGCTTCACCGACACGTGGGATTAAATCGGTGTCGACCCTCGTACTTCGCCGTTTCATAGACGTCGGACCAATATTGAGCGTTCTCGGGAGTGCTAAAGGGATGTTGGGGCGTAGACCCAAGGGAGGGGTCCTTGAGATTATTTTGCAAGTCTTTAATATTAGCCGTAGCTAAAGGGCTTGTAGTGACGCCCTTGACTTCCTCATTATCAGCGATCTTGGATATCTAAACGCCTTTCTTAGCTATATCGTTTTCATACTCTCTAGGGTTCTAAGAATTTTGCTAGGAAAGATATCGCTGCCTAGAATCTAGAATAAGCTGCAAGCACCATAGTAGCTAGTAACGGGGATATCGCTAGGGATTTTATATATATTCTACTACGAGTATTCGTTATCTTTCCTTGACTATGGTCCTGACCTCACTCATAAAGGGACGAGTATATCGAATATAGCCTATATCACGCAAGTCCTCTCGGAGCGGACGATAAGACAAAAGCATCGTGGAGTACCTAGACGTGGACCTATTATCTAGACTCGTCCGCCTCTTGTGAAGCTTAGCGCGTGATAGTGCCGTACCGCTAGACGGTAGGAATCGTTCTAGGTCCACGCATCTTACGCCCCGTGGTGGCCTAGATCCGCTTAAGCTAAGAGATAGTTTCGGGGTGGAAGTCTATAGTAACGAAGGCATCCACGTATGGAAGCTATCTAATGCTACGGAGTTGGTCCCCGCGTATTCGTATGTGGATATTTAACGCTATGGACTTAGGCTCTATAGCGACGGCCGCTAACCAATAGGCGATCAACTACAAGGTATTTAGCTTCGTCATTATGCTTATAGAATATACTTACGGCTATGATTAGAGGCGGCTAGAAATGTGAAGAGGATCGTAGGGTACTAAGTATAAGTCGAGTTAACCTGTTAGCGTAACCTAGTCTCTCTAGCTAGGCTCGTTAATGGTAGTGGAAGAGTGATGATCGCGAAACCTAACGTGTACGAAATAGCAAGGTTCACTAAGCGCTCGATAGGAGACTATGTTCGCTAGGTGATATTCTTGTACTTGAGTGTTCAACGTGAGACGGACATGAACTCCAAAGGATACAGGAAAATTAGCAATTCGTCCCTATCACCACCTCACCCACGCACGGACATATTGTCCGTCGTGCCTATACTAGTCCAGCCGCGAAAATATAAATGATAGTAGGTGTTGATGCTCCGTTGAGTATAAGAACGAAAACCTTTATCTTAGTGCCACTTACTGCTAAGATTATGGCCACGGCCATACGACGTCCCTAAAGCTCCAAGGGCTAATTATACTCAGGTATGGCCTGCCTTGGGTCAATTGACAGTTCTCGGACAGAGTCATGAATGGCTTTTGAATTGCGGAAGTGTTCTTAGCATCCACGAGGATCACTTACCAGTGGCAACATGCCCCTCCAGTACATCGACTACAGACTTGTAGTCGCGGCGGCGTATGTCGCAAAGTCTGGGTATATCTGACCATTTTCCACCTACCGTGGTGCATTGACAGACTTCATGAATTCAAAGCCTAGGATGATGAGAGTCTCTTTGTCGGGAGGACATCTATGATGGATGTGGTGGAAAGCGACGTGGAGTAAGAAAATCCCGAAAGCTTACAGTCCTCAATCACTCTCAAGGGTGCCATGCAATGTCCATGGTCAGGTTGGCAAGCAAGCCAGCAAAAGCCAGGACGTCTGCCGGGGTCAGATTCGACCGGCCTTAGCGAGTACTGCAAAAAGAAGCACATCTTGCAACGATCATATGAGATCCAGTGTCAGACAGACCTATCAACGCGAAGAGCGTCTCGTCACAGTGAGACTTCGATTGGAATCCGGTACAACGAGTTGAATGCCAACTTGTTGAGGTTGTATGGTTCCGTCCCTACTCTATGTCGCTGGAGTGGATGTAACTCGAATCCTGTCACTCTGATCCCAGGCCTTACGATCATGCATAAAGTGCCCTTTATGATTAGCCATGAAGAGGTCGATACTGTCGCGACCTGATGATTTCGCATGAAACGACGTGACTTCGGTCCCTTAACTCCATGAATGTTCAGGTTCAGCTTGTAGTATCCAAGGTTTGACACAGGTCTCGTACCCGCCAATATTCCAGTTGAGTACCTAGGTATGGAGTACTACCGAGACTGGATGATGATGATGATGATGCAAACCGAAGCTGACGATCGAAGCGCGACTGAATTTGCTGTAGGCTTGGCGGTCACGTGGAAGCAAAGCTACCCCGCAAAATTGAAAGCACTCCACGTGACGGGAGACTGACAACCTCAAACTATCGCCGGCGATCCTGAAGTTGATCATCTTAGTTTTGTACTGAACCAAGTCGGTCACCGACTTTTGTGCCGCTCTGGGTCTGTCTTGATGAACAAATCGCGTGGTGGTGGTTCGAAAGCCTTGATAGGCTGGCATGAAGGCCAAAGATGGGGAGCGACCGGCGGAGAGATCGGCGGCATGCACGGTCTGTGGCAAGACTGTAGGTCGTCTGCCTCCTTGACGGCTTATGGACCTCGAGCTAACTCATTCTGTTGGCATCCAGTTTGCACGCTCTGACACTTTGTTGCGGCACGAGAAGAATCATCATGCATCTCAAGATCGCGGCCCTGTTCACCGTGTCACGAATGACACTTTCCGAGCCTGTCGCGGTTGCGCAACTGCCAGATCCAGATGCTCGGGGTCAGTGCCGTGCGGCAGGTGCACTATGAGAGGCATCGACTGCGTCTATCCGAACAAGCGCCGCAAAGGTTCCTCTCCTAGCGTGCCTGGCGCAAACGGCTTTGGCGACACGGCCCAGAAGCACCATCGTTCTGGTCATTTCGGCGAATTGGTCTTTGCTGCCAATGAGCCTATGCTGGTACATCAAGACGTCCAGAATATTGCCAGAAAATCGTCGATGTCGACAAGCGTGCTCGACTCGGTGACTCAGCCAGGATCGACGGAAACACATGCGCCACCGACTTTCCCCCCAGCTTTTGACTCGAGGCAGATGCCCATTTCACAAGGTGGCCAACTTGGTCTGGGCCTGGATGCGATGAACTCCATCACCAGCGAAATTCACCAGCCAGCTTCCTTTGTCAACGCTCCGATGACGGGTTTCGACAATGCGTTTGTGGGAGGAGCGGCGGCTTATGATTATACCTCGTTTGACGAGCCTCTGAACTGGATACCGCCGTCGATTTACCCATCACCCTACGATGCGGAGCTCGAACAGGATTTCTCCTTCATCCTACCACCGTTGTCCGCCACACCAAATCTTGGCACCGACTATAACATGCCCATTTCTCTGGATTCAGCCGCCCAGATATTCCAAGTCCCGACGAACATTTCCCAAGATACCTTGGAAACCCAAGCATTTTCGGCTTCGTTGATGGCTCTCGACCAAAGTCCTGTATCATCAGGCAGCGATAGCATGAACATGGCCAAACCGAACAACACTGCCTCGACCGCATCTGATACCAAACGCAAGAAGCGCAAAGCCTCCTTCGTTCCCGATCAATTCGACAAGCCTAGAAGAGCACAGACCTCTTATGCATTTCCTGACCCATCAGAAAGCTCCAGCACGACTGCCACCACAGAAGCTCAAGACCACTGCCTGCCTGCCACGTATGAGGCCATCGTTGACCGCTTCAAAATATTGTGCCTTGCCACGGAAAATTGCTTCGCCCGGGTGTACTATCCAGATATGGTTACTTTCAACCATTGTCTCAACCTGTACTTTGAGCACTTCCAGCCTGCTTGTCCCTTGATTCATCAACCATCTTTCGGGCATTCGACCCATTGGCTGGTGGTCCTCGCTGTCGCTGCAATTGGTAGTACCTTCTCCAAAGCTTCTCGTGCTTTGGACTTGAGAGAAGCATTCCAAGAGTTTTTACGTCGTGCCGTTCAACGAGTGGCTGATGGCATCCCTGACGACTCTTTAGGTATTCCTCTGGCACAGGCCCGAATCCTGAATTTGATTGGACTTGTCCAGTCCGATCGTGATCAATTGCGTTCACAGGCGCCACGATATCATGCAGACCTATCGCGCTGGTGCTTGGAATCTGGTGTGCTTCAACTTCCTGACCTCGGCGATATAACAGATGGGGAGCCTAACACTGCCAACACCGATCAATGGCAACTATGGCAGAAATGGATCAGAATTGAATCACTACGACGAATTGGCTATCTAGCCTGGATGATGGATTGTTGTTTGGGCTACATGGCTAATGCACGACCACTGTGTAACATGGACGACGCGAGAACGCGGCTGCCTTGTGCAGAGTCTGTATGGAATGCGCAATCAGCCGAATCATGGGCTCAAATCATGTCCAACGTCCCGGAGACGCCTTCCTTGTGTGCTGCACTTGAGATATTGTACAACAAGAAGAAAATCGATCCCAGCTACAGCGAATTGTCACAGACGTTGTTGATCCACGCCCTTTACCTACGTACTTGGGAAGTAGGGACTCATATCAAGCAGCCACTCAGTGAGTGGGTACCAACTGGAAAAGCTCGTGGCTTCTTGAATACACCTTCGAAAGACAACTTTTGGTTACCACTTTATCCATTGTACGCCAACTGGAGAAACAGTGCATGCGATTGTCTTGACGTGTTGAATTGGCAAGCATCGAGTGTCGTTGCAAATGCTTCGGGAGTTGAGCATGGGGTCATGCTTCATCTTCATCTTGCGCGCATCATTCTCTTGACCCCCTTCCAGGAAATCCAGGACCTGATGTTCTCGCTGATCGGGAAGGTCGGCAACTCGGCCAAAGCGTCCTTCTACGTACACGATGGCAGCTATCAGCCACGTAACAGCGCCAAACTGCCTCAAATCCGCAAAATCACATGGCGCTGGCTGAGAGAAGATCAGCACAAGGCGCGTCTCGCCATGATTCATGCAGGGTCAGTCTTCTGGTACGTCCGTCGGTATTCGTCAACGAGCTTCTTCGAGCCGATTGCGGTGTATTTGGCTACATTGGTTTTGTGGACGTATGGTTCGTACAAATCTACCGCACTGGATCGTGATGCGGCAGCGGCAGGTCAGAAGCCTGAAGGAGGTCCGAGTGGACCAGACGCTGGAGCCGCCATTCAGCCATCACGTGTGGAAAGGAAGGAACGCCCAGTCAAGTTCATGAACAAGGCTGCGGGCCAGACAGACAACGCATCTCAACTGCAATCCTCCACCTCGCCTCATACTAAATTTTCAGATCTCGATACTAACCAGTCGCCCGACACTGAAAACGGAGTTGATCCGTCAGCATCTTCACCTCTCCACGACTCCGACTCGGACGGTGACGAGACATCCTCTTCTAATGAGCAGCCTGAATTTATACACCTGGACCGACCGTGCGATGACGAAATGGTGCAGCACTTTGTGCGAAATGGACACAACATGTCAGGACACATGAGCAACGTTGGCGATATATGCAAAACGCCACAGAAGGTTCTCCTCGAAGGGGCCAAGCTGCTCCGGACACGATTGTCATGCTGGGGCGTTAGCAGGGAATACTACGACATACTGATGAAGCTGGCCGAGTTGAGGAAGGCAGGATAATCCAATGCCGTCGCAATCTATTTCCATGCACACTTTTGGTACGACAGTACATTACGAGCCCTTCCACCTTAGCATGGTAATGGAACATTTTGGAAACACGAATCTGGAGTCCTTAGTCGGTTCCCACTGCGATTCTGCCATACCAACCTCTTCCTTGCCCGCCATGTTGGTGACCGTCTGATTTGATCCGGTAACTGTGTAAACCGTGACCTTGGCGCCTTCTGTGCCTCCCAACGTCGTCTCCAAGTTCTTTTCGACATGCATGTTCACGACACACACACTGACCCAGCCTTCGTCATCCACCGTGGCACTGACATCCAACCAGGGCGTCTCCTTCAAAGCTCTTACCCAGTCCGGCTTCGTAGAGCCCTCGTACGAGTCACATGCAACATGCACGGCAATCGTATGACCCTTCATAAACCTGCAGAACAATTCGTACGGCCACCAAGTCGTCTGCCTGATGAGTCCTGATTCGGTGGTCATGAGGGGGCTAAGCACATTGACGCTCTGCGCAATACACGCCATGCCAACATCCTTGGACTTACGCACCAGCACGTTCAGCCACACGGCGACAGCCAATGCATCGGACAAAGTATATTGCTCCTCAGCGCCCTTACTGCCTGGTGCACGCGGCGGGGACCACACATTCCACTCGTCGAAGCAGATGGTCGGCCGTTTCTGGGTGGGGAGAAGCTTGTTCTCAATAAATGCGAGGTCGATCAGGCCCGAACACACTTCGATTGCGCGCTCCGCGGCTAAAGGAGCAGTCACGTTCTCGTAGTGGTCTTCGCTCGCAGTGTACAAGTGGATGCTATGCATGTCGATGAGCGGAACGCGCTCCTCGCCCAAATCGCTCAACCCCGCGGGCTGAAGGCAGTGCTTGAGCGTGTAGTAATCCCACGTCGTCGCGCCTTCTTTGCCACATAAGACCAACTCGATGGTCGGATCGAGCAACTTGAGTGCTTTGGCCCATTGCAATGCTCGCTCGGCGTACGCTTCTTGCGTCATCTGGTTGATTTGCCAGGGTCCCCACATCTCGTTGCCCAACGCCCAGTACTTGACGTTATATGGTTCCTCATGACCGTGTTTACGTCGTAAGTTGGCGTAGTAGGTGTCGTTTTTGCCGTTGCAGTATTCGACCCAGGCCATTGCTTCGTCGAGCGTGCCTGTGCCGAAATTCAGACAGAGATATGGTTGCGTGTTGGCGGCTTTGCACCATGACATGAATTCGTCGGTGCCAAAGTGATTGGTTTCGACGTTGCCCCAGGCCAGTTCGGGTCTGGAGGGGCGCTGGTCGACGGCGCCGATGCCATCTTGCCAGTGGTAGGTGGCGCAGAAGTTGCCTCCAGGATACCGAAAGACGGGGATGTTGAGAGGGGCTAGGGCTTCGAGGACGTCTTTGCGGAAGCCCTCGGGTGTGATTAGGTGTTTGTTTGGGTTGGTCGGGTCGTACAGGCCTGTGTATATGCAGCGGCCCATGTGCTCTGTGAAGCCGGAGTAGATGTTCCGATTGATCTTGGCTACCTTGTGGTTTGGGAAGACGGCGATCGACGGCGTCGATGTGCGCTTTGTGAGGGTCGTCATTTTGACCTACAGGGAAAGCTTGTCGTGCCAATAGTGCCTGGCAGGTCGAGTTACTGTGGTAGTTGGTTTGTACGTAGGACGTTGAAAGCTGTCCACGTGATTTATCACGTGATGAGTGTTAAGAAAGTGAGAACGCATCAAAGTCGAATCAGACGTGGTAGGTACGGAGGTACATGTCTTGTAAAACCACCGGTCAACTCGCGTTCCGCAGTACTCACCTTGTCTCACGCAGTTGGTCTTGCAAAGAGGCACAAGACTTCTCCTTTGGGGGAATATCCGGATTGCATTGTCCTGCTACGTCTTTCGGCAAAACTCTCCGGCAACGTACACGCGATTGCATGCAAAGATGGAGTTGCCTCGGGGCTCCTCAAGTCAAGTCACGCAACCAAACATGCACCAGCGGCTGATTTGCCGGGTCACAAGTCATGCGTCCCAGAAAGCGGAGATGCATTGTGAGGATGATGGACCAGGAAGGTGCGTCGTGACTAGCCAGGATTTCTCCATGGACGACGACATTACACGCCGGAGAACTTCCATTCTGGGCGGTAAGATGATCTTCCACCGGAGATTCTTCGCTCGCAGATTCGACATCAGAGATGAATGGATCGTCTCGCCAGCCATCTTTCCAACCGTGACCACCGGCTTCCAAGTAGCCATGTGCAGCGCAATCTGCACTCTCCGCTGTCCACAATCTACTCCGGTTGGATGTTGTTCTGCCTTTGCGGGGATATCACTCATGTGGGAAAAGTTGCGGGAGTCTTAACGTGGGTTTTGACGACCGAAGCGAACTCCGGCCACTCAACTGATCAATGCCCTTTTTGGCGATTATCGCCAAATCACATATCTACTCCTGACGTCCGCTGATCAATCTGATCTGGAGATATCGTTTTCCATCCTCCCCGAAGATATCAGACAGCCAGTCCAGCAGTTTTGCCTCAAGCTGCGACGACGATAGCTTCACAGCAACCTTGTCTTCTGCCCACCATGGCTCTTCCCCCAAAATGGTACCAGTTCCTCGTCAGCGTGTTCGCCTCCCTGGGATCATATCTATATGGCTACGATCTCGGTGTGATTGCCGAGGTCGTGGCTAGCAGCACGTTCACGAAGAAGTTCCATCCAGATGATACCCAATCAGGCCTTGTGGTATCCATGTTCACCACAGGCGCTTTCTTCGGCGCTGCCCTCGGTGGCCCCAGCGGCGACTATTTCGGCCGTCGCTGGACTATCACCTTCGGCGCTGTGATTTTCTGCCTGGGCGGAGGACTGCAGACTGGAGCACAGACCATCCACTTCCTCTGGTCCGGACGATTCCTGGCGGGCTTGGGCGTCGGCTTCCTCGTCATGATCATACCACTGTATCAGGCTGAGCTTGCGCATCCGAGTATTCGAGGCCGCATCACAGCCCTGCAACAGTTTATGCTAGGTGTAGGTGCGCTGGTTGCCTCTTGGATCTCGTGGGCTACATATGTGCATATCCCCAACAACTCCGCACAATGGCGCGTACCTCTAGGACTACAGATCATCCCTGCCGTCTTCTTGGCCTTGTTGATCTTCATGTTTCCGGAGTCTCCTAGGTATGGGATTCCCTACACCTCTTCAAGCTGTGCTAACTCCATCTTCACAGATGGCTCATGGACCACAACAAAGCAGACAAAGCACTCAAAGTCCTCGCTCAGCTCCACGCTCACGGCAACGAAGAAGATCCATGGGTCATGGCCGAGTATGAACAGATCCAGTCCTCTATCGCATTCGAACACGAGAACGAAGCGAAATCCTACTTCGAACTCTTCCGCTCTCGGTCGTCCTTCAGACGCCTGTTTCTCTGCTGTGCATTGCAAGCTTCGGTGCAGATGACCGGTGTATCAGCCATACAATACTACAGCGTCACCATTTACGGGCAGATAGGTGCGTAACGCTCTGGGCTTAAAAGTCTACACACGGCCACTCCTGTACCGTTCACTGACATTTTGTTACAGGAATCTCGGGCAACGACACTCTCAAATACCAAGGCATCAACAGTATCATCGCACTAATCGCCCAGTTCTGCACGATCTTATTCATCGACAAGACTGGTCGTCGCTGGCCTTTAATTTTGGGCAATCTCGGTAACATGGTCACCTTCATCATCGCGACGATTCTCCTGGCCAAGTTTCCCCCAGGGCTTTCGACGAACCATGGCGCGCAGTGGGGGTTCATCATAATGACCTGGCTTTACAACTTCAGCTTCAGTTGCACATGCGGGCCGCTAAGCTGGATCATCCCCGCCGAAGTCTTTGACACACACACACGAAGCAAGGGCGTGAGTTTCGCCACCATGACCAGCTTCGCGTTCAACACCATGATTGGACAAGTCACACCCATCGCCATGACGAACATCGGTTACCGCTTCTACTTTGTCTTCATCATCTGCAACTTCACTAATGCCATCTTCTTTTGGGCATTGCTTCCCGAAACGGCACGCCGCCCTCTCGAGGAGATGAACTATCTGTTTGAAAATGCGCCGTGGATTGTTGTCGGGACCACAAAGGACAGCTACGCCAGTCATGATCTGGAGAACAGGTTGAATGAGATCGCACAGCGAGCGGAGATCAAAAGGAGCGAGAGTGTAATGCATGATGAAAAGGTGGTGCATTGAGATGGACACCTGTGGGCTGCTCGACTCTGGTCTTTTCAAACGCTAACAGCCATGAGGACCCCTTTCTCCGGAGAGGTTCGACAGTGGTCTTCTGGCAGTTGCATGGCTGTTGGAGCCTATCGCATGTCTGTTGCATGTGTGCATGGATGGTGACATTGACGCAGCGTGCCCTTTCATATCCAGTCATTGATATTGAGCTGCATCTAATGTGTCACAACAATGATAAAGATACTTCAACAACCATTTTCAAGCAGGAAAAATGCCCCTCGTGTTGCCAAGTGAGAAGATTCCTGGCGACAAAGACATCCTGCAAGTCGGAATTGTTCCCTGCACGCGAGTTTCGATTCTTACACCGTCCCCAGCTCCACAATCTCCTCATTCTCAATGATCGTCTCCATCGGCTGTTGGATGCAAACTCTAAGCAGTGCACTTGCCAGCACTGATACATGCACCCCCGGACGCCCATCAATAGCCATGGAGGAAAGGTTGTCCGCATCCGATTTGACAAAACCTGGTCGGAGTACGATGGCGCGGAATGCTTCAGGAGCTTCTTCGGCAATATCCAGCAGACCTCGCTCAGCGGCACCCTTTCGTCAACATGTCAGTCATTCTTCTTCGATACTTCCGGGAACATATGCACACCTTCAATTTTCGAATGTCAGCAGCTTGTATGTCAGCAGTTTCCCAGAACGATTCCAATGGATCCCACTCCGCGCCACTCATACTGCAAAAGACGAATTGAAACCTTTGTCCTCCTGGTGCAATGTTGCTTTTAAAGGCATTCGCCGCAGCTAGAGGGAACTCTAGGTTGACTTTCTTCACTGACAGCGGGTTGAGCCAAAGACGGGGTTTCTTGCCGAGACACCTGAAGCTCCTTTTCAATATGTTATCACATAAAAATTGAGTAACATACCATATGCAGCATTGGGCCCCTCTCAGCGTTTCGAGAAGGTCTGGAGGATAGGAGAGGAAATCGTCATGGCGTATAACGCGGACTTTCTTCCTCTTGAGGAGTTTGCCGACAGGGTTTCTCGAAAGTATGATAACGGACGTGATCGCTTCAGACAAGATACATTTCCGAACGACTGCATGGCCAACGAAACCTGTTGCGCCGGTGACGATGATTTTCATCATGAATGTCGATGATTGCTGGTGTTGTAGGATTGGCGAAGACTTCGAGGAGAAGAATGAAGTTGCTACATGAAGGAGGAACCAAGAGGAAAAGCATGAGTAAGGGCTGGTTGCAAGGTCATCGTTGCATGCAATCTGAATACGTGCCGTAAGGCTGAGGCAGTCACGGTCAACCGTGATATTCCTAGGAAGTGGCCTTCGTCTTTGACGAGCAGGCAGTAAGGGCGGCTGGATAGGCTGGCATCAGCATCAAGTCCCGCCTACTTCATTCATCTTCGAAGGTAACTTCATGTAGCAGCAACCATGCCTCACGCAAGGCTGTCGAGGTTTGAAACATCCCATTGGTTTGAACAAAAAAGCAAAAAACTTTTCCTACAAGCTCCTTTGGTGGAGGTTGTAGGTAAGTGAAACCAGCCATACTGGTTCTTTTGCGGTTCTACGTTTCTACAATTGGGGGACAGAGGGATTGCACTCGGCCATCAACAAGAACGCTTCTACATCTCTCTTGGCTTCATTGTGACCAGAATTCTCGAGTTTTGTTATATGTACGACAATTATTCCTTTCACGGCCGTAGGGTGTGATACTTCAGGTTCATTGCTTCAGCCTCGCCACTACAGCCTCGTCGTGAAGGCACTAGTAAGTGAAGTTGCCCTACGGGTGTCACATGTTGGCGGCTATTCCACTGGTGGATCAAGTATTATTTTTCAAGAGACAGCTGAGTATTTGAGAGCAACGCTGCAAGCTGGAAGGTGATAGTGAAAAGTTCGATTTCACTGCATGGGCTCGTTCAGAAATGGGCTGAAACCATTCTTTCACATACCTAATTGGTACCACCATACTCCTGCCTGCGCCAGAAACAAACAACGTTCTCATCATATCATGACGCAGCCACAAAGAAATTCTTCTCACCCTCCATCGGCTGCACGGTCCCCATTTTCAGCAAATCATCGCCAATAGCCAATCTCAACCTCTCAGCCGTCGCCGGACTACTTAGTATCAGAGGCTCCTTGACCCCGTTATCCTTCCTCGCACTGATGAGCGCTTCTCTCAATGCAAATAACACCGCCGCACCCATAAACAACGGAGGCTCGCCAATACCCTTACTGCTCTGGATGGTGTTGAGATGGTTCCATGACACGCCTTGCAGGAAACTGACGTTGAACACTTGAGGAATATCGCTGAACCCGGGAATCTTGTACGTGCCGGGACCGCGGGTGAAGAGTTGGCCAGTTTGAGTCCAGAGAGATTCTTCGATCGTGAATAAGCCTTGACCCTGGACAAATGCTCCCTCGACTTGTCCGTAATCTATGGCCGGATTGATCGAGCGACCTACGTCCATGTGAATATCTGTTCTGAGGACGGTGTGGTCTCCGGTCAATAGGTCCAATTCAACTTCGCTGCATGCCACGCCCTAAGATACTGTCAGTGGACGTCCTGTAAAAGAGCTGGTTCGCTTGCTGATACTCACCTGCGTGAAATAATAGTACATTGGCTTCTGGGTCTCAATGTCGTAGTTGTTCCATTGAAATCCGACCTTGGGCATCTTCCAGAACCCTGTTGCAGACAGATTGACGCGGTCCATGTACGCTGCGTGCGCGATGGTCTTCATATCCGCGTTCGATCCAAATTTCTCTCGATATGGCTGAAGTCGCTCGTTGAGCTGGTCACAAGCATTCTTGACAGCCATGCCGTTCAGGTCAGAACCCGACGAGGCTGCTGTTGGGGATGCGTTAGCCGAGTAAAAGGTGGCTGTTTCATTTGTGTAGATCGCATCGATGGGGACATTGAGTTCCTGCGCGCAGCACTGCGCCATCTTAGTGTACAGGCCCTGACCCATCTGCGAGTCACGGTTAGCTCTGGCCTGATTCCAATATGAGTTTTTTCATACCTCTGTACCACCGTGATGCAGTAAGATACTTCCATCCGCAAAGATTTTGACCGCGGCAGTCGCTTGATTGAGGTAGACGGCCGTCGCGAAACTGATACCGAACTTCGACGGTATCAACGCAATACCTCGCTTCTTCCACTTGTTCTTCTGGTTGTACGACTCCACACTGGTCTTTCGTTCCTCGTAATCACATCGATCTTTGAGCTCAGACATAAGTCGCGGAACGTGCCAATCCTCGTCGATCTTCTGGAGGAACGGAGTATAATGGTCCTCCTTGTACATGTTCTTCATCCGCAATGCGTCAACGGGCATGCCTAGGCCTTCAGCCACAGCGCAGATATACGTTTCTGCAATGAACATGGCTTGTGGACCACCGAAACCACGGAAAGCAGTATTGCTGTGGGTGTTGGTCTTGCAGACGTAGCCCTTGACAAAGACGTTGGGGATCTCGTAGCAGTTATCGACATGCGTCGAGCAGCGATCCATGACAGCTCCGCTCATATCGTATGAGAAGCCGGCGTTGTTGTACAGATTGATATCGAGGGCGACCAGTGTACCATCATTCATGGCTCCCACTTTCCACACGGCTTTGAACGGGTGCCGTTGTCCGCTGGTCATCATGTCTTCGTCACGATTCAGCATGAATCGGATCGGTCGCTTTTCTTTCTGCGCGGCGATGGCCACGGAGCAGGCTAGTGGCGTACTTCTGCTCTCTTTTCCACCGAAAGCACCCCCCATGCGCTTCACTCGGGCGTTGATCCGATTACTAGGCATGCCAGTGCAATGGCTGACCCATTCTTGAGTCTCCATTGTGTTCTGAGTCGAGGACCAAATGTCCATATACCCATCCTCGATATGGGGGATAGCCATGGCGGCATTCGTCTCAAGGTAGAAATGTTCTTGGCCTCCCATCCGTACAGTGCCCTCAAACACGCGGTCACAGGACGCAAACACGTCATCCATTGATCCGTTGATAGCGGCGCCTTTCTTCAGTTCACGTGGGTGTTCGAAAAAGCTGTTCGCGGCAATGGCCTCATCGATTGTCAAGATTGGCGGGAGATCTTCGTACACGATCTTGACCATACGCACTGCTTTTTGTGCTTGAATCGCGGTCTCTGCGTAGACCAACCCTATCACTTGGCCGTGAGATTCCACCAGCCCATCGGCGAAGAGAGGTTCGTCCTTACGGACTGGACCCCAAGTATTCCGCACGCCAGGCACGTCGTTCTTGTCGACATAACCAACAGCCAGTCCCGGACCGATGGCCGGTGAAAAGTCCACTTCAACCAGTTTGGCATGCGCTTTCTGCGAGAAGACAAATGCAGCGTACAATTGACGTTCCTGATGGGGCATGTCGTCAATGTATTCGGCTTCACCAGTGTTCTGCTTCAGCGCCGACAGATGGGGAATCTGTTTACCAACAAGGCGCTGCTCGTTGGGATTGACGTTGTCTCGAGTTCCGGAAGAGATGCCTCTGTGGATTTCTTGGATCAATTCAGGATCAACCTGACCGAGTCCCAGGTCTGCAGCCACTTCATGCCAGAACCGGAAGAAGAAAGACAGAGTGAGCGTCACTCGGTAAGTGGCCATCCCGCCGGGCACGCCGTAACTCAAGCTGAACTCCTCACGCAATGACCGAAGACCTGCCTCGAGCGTTTTGGGATCGTACCATTTTTGACCAGCGAGGACTTCCTGCGTCTTCTTGGCCAGTACCGTAGTCGGTGCCATACCGCCAAAGGCGAGAGAAATCAACTCGACTTTGCCTGCATCGTCCAGCCTGACCCTGAATGCCGCTGTGACGATTGCAATATCATCATCTTTCCTCTTCGCTTGCTTGTAAGCTTTCGTAATCTCCGCAGCGTCAGCCGGTGGAATAGGTATACGAATCTTCGTGATGACCGCATCCGACGGCAGGCTTGTTTTCCGATATGATATGAAGAAACTCTCCATCGGCAGCAAGATCTCGCCGTCACTTTTGCTTTGTGCAATGACGGTTGCTCTGGCAGCAAGTAGGACGGGATTCATGTCGGAAATGGGAGAGGCTGTCGCAATGTTTCCTGCCAGAGAGGCTGCATTGCGAATCTGTCGACCTGCAAAATACCGAAGCTGTTTCCTGGCCGCTTCCAGAAGCAAACCGCGTCGACCGAGCTTACCTGAGAGACTCTTGAAAATGTCTTCGCAGTCTGTCAGGCTTGTGTTTGCGCCGAGCACAATCTCGGTCATCTGTGCGATGTCTTCATCACTTTCAGGGATATTTGTCTTCTTGAGCTCCGGAATGTCGCCCACGAATACCATGATGGCAAACTTGGAGTATTTGAAACGAATCTCAATCTGGACTTCACTAGATCCACCGACAAGTTTCGCAGTGGGATCCAGTGCCTTAAGAGCCAGCAGCTGTTCCAGTGAGGTTGGTCGGATCCATATCATGTCCGAGTTGCCGTAGCAGATTGGCTGCAGTTCGAACTTCTTCAGTGATGGCGGGAAAATCAATTCTGTCGCTGGGACATACGGTTTTAACTCAGGGAGTAGTAGTTTGTCGGGGTCGGACTTCGGTGGAGCAGCATCAAGGTCGCTCGCAGGCTTTGTACCTTCCCCCTCTTCGCCTGGTGGAGGATTTCTGTTTCTCATGTGGACTGGCAGACCAAACTCTGCGCCAATTACCTCTTTTTCCTGCCCGGGCGTCGATATTGATGTGTCTGAGCTTTTGGCGGACTCGTCGTCCGAGGACGTTTCCGGATTGCTTGATTCGGACTCGATGTTTGATGGGGAACAGCTTGACGCGCCAGGTTTGTCTCTGCAGCAGCCGCCCGGTCTTCCACAAGACACAGGCGTCTTTTGGAGTAATTCAGGAATACCTTCAGGCACGTATGCGGCCATCTCTCCATCCTTCGCATCGGAGGGGTCCTCCTCGTGACCCGGATCAACGACGATGTTCGATTTGAGGTCATCCACCACAAATGATTTTATGGCAGCCAAAATTGGCTTATAGCCAGTACACCTACATAGATTCCCGTCCAGATGGCCTTCAAGCTCAACGTCGCTAGCGGAAAGTCTGAAACTCCGTGTCACAGGATCATAAGCATTCCTCACCATCGCATAGGCGCTCATGACGATTCCTGGCGTACAGAATCCGCACCTAACGAATTAGCCGGAGCCCCCCCTCGAGTGAGCTCCTGAGAGCCAATTTAAACGTACTGTGATCCATGTGCCTTTGCTATTCGTTCCTGAAGCGGGTGCGGGTTTGCCACGCTTCCCAGACCTTCGACTGTGATCAGATGCTTACCGACAACTGGGATTTCGTCAGATAATGCCTTGATGTATCCGGAGATGGGATTCAAAAATACCACCGACCAGCGGATATAGGCATGCATTCACGGCTAGGTGTCTCAGCCTTCTGCCGTCGTTTTGATCCGCGAGTACCACAGTACAGGCGCCGCATCCGCCCTCACCACAGCCCAGTTTCGTTCCTTTATGCCCATGTTGAGATCTGATGAAGTCCAACAGTGTCCACTCAGGGTTAGGATTTTCAAGCACGATTTTCTCCCCATTCATGTAAAAGTGCAGGGTTGATTCGACATAATCAGACTCAATCAGGGTTTGCAACTTCTCGAAGGCAGGGGGAACCGCCGGACGGCGGGAAACGAAAGGCAGACCCATTGCTTCGGTGATGCTGCAGTGTCCCTAGTATCGTGCTTCTCATCACTCACTGTTATACGTGCGACCGGGGTGAAAGCAATCTTCAGGCCTCCTCATTCTGTGGTAAGCTGACAATTGTCCAGGTCAGTTGGTCTCACACCGGCCGTGGTTCACGGCAACAAGTCAGCATTATGAGTATGATTGGCTCGATAGATATCCGTGATTTGGCGGATATCTGCGCCCGGGCCTGGACGAGATGTGAATCAATGGTTGGGATTGGTCACAGGTTTTGAGCTGTTGATTGTTGCAAGCTGTCCCCCACTCTTGATTGTGTGAGGTCGTGGGTTCAACCGCCAACGTACGCCAGAGAGACTTTCGATGTCGGCGACCTGCAATCCAGAGCAGCCACTTCTTTCCCACAATTGCCGGAATAATGATGGCTCCAAGAGCCGGATCATCTTCTCGGGTCGGATCCATGCCCAGACACACATCGGTTCACCGTAGCAATGAAATTCGATATTTTGCCCACTTCTGGCATGGCGAGAAAATGAACATCTCCGAGTTTAGGCGTGGAGGATACTCCACGTCTAGGTGGCGGGTAGCATTTCTCCCAATCGGTTCCGGGTGATGAATTGTCCTTTAATACGAAGACACACTCAAGACTTACCATAGTTGTATACCACAAGGTACGATTCGAGAATTTCAACAGGAAACATTACAACCTAGAACAAAAATGCCTTCGAGAACTGGTGGCTTCAAGCCGCTTGAGGACACTGTCCTGTTCAAGCCGCTCCAATTGGGTGCCATCAACCTCCAACACAGAGTCATGATGGCCCCATTGACGAGAATGAGAGGTACCAAAGAGTCTGAGGGCGTCTTTGTCCCCGGAGACCTTGTCGTTGAATACTACGGCCAGCGCGCAAGCAAAGGCGGTTTCATATTGACCGAAGCTTGCCCGATAAGTCGTCAAGTAAGTTTACTTTAGGAGATAGGCTGGTCGTCCAGTTTCTGATGTTATGTCTAGGCTTGCGGTTACCCTGGTGTACCGGGCATCTTCACCAAGGGTCAGATTGCTGGCTGGAAACGCGTCACTGAGGCCATTCACGCCAAAGGTGGCTTCATCTTCTGCCAGCTATGGCATGTTGGTCGTGCGACTGTTCCGAGTTTCCTCGACGGAAAGCCTTGTGTCAGCGCTAGCAGCATTCCCCTGAAAGGCAAGGCTTTGGACGGCTCCGACTACGAATCAACCCCTCCTAAGGAATTGACCGTTGAGGAGATCCAAGAAATCGTCCAGGAATTTGCTGCTGCGGCCAAGCGAGCAATGGAAGCTGGATTTGATGGCGTTGAGATTCACGGGTAAGTCCGAAGTCGATATGTTTTGGTGTTCTACATGGACTGATTCCGGACAGTGCCAATGGTTACCTGCTCGACCAATTTCTGCACGACAATGCCAACGTTCGAACGGATTCATACGGTGGCTCGGTTGAGAAACGCTCCCGCTTCCCGCTCGAAGTCATCAAGGCTGTCACTGAGGCGGTCGGATCAGACCGAGTTGGCATCAGATTGTCACCCTACAACTATTTCCAGGACACCAAGGATTCAAATCCTAACGCGCACTGGGCATACCTCTGCGAACAGATCGCTGCGCTTCCAAAAGACAACCGCCTGACCTACGTCCACATGGTCGAGCCCAGATTCGACGAAGTCCTCGACGAGACCGCCAAGCTCCTGGCGCTGCAGCAACCAGTGGTTGAAACGTCGTCGGCTGCAAGAGCCACCGAGGGCAAGCCTTCTTTGGTTCCTTTCCGACGAATCCTCGAGAAGGGTGACATCAAGTTCGTGGCAGCAGGCAGCTTCGACGCCGAAAATGCTCTTCCCAAGGTCGAGTCAGGCGAGGCGGATGCTATCATCTTTGGCCGCCATTTCATCGCGAACCCCGATCTGCCCAAGAGACTTGCTGAAGGTCTCCCATTGAATCCTTATGATCGCAACACCTTCTACGGGGCCGACCCTCCCCAAAAGGGATACGTCGACTATCCATTCTACGAGTCATCGGAAGCTTCAGCATAATTCATTTGACTCAAGCGAGGGATCCGAGCATTCTGTTAGGTTTACTTTAGAAAGGCGGTTTCCGAGGCGTAGTGCATCATCGAATGGGGCAGGATCCTACAGGGCATGTCATGGGTCTAGATAGCATCTTGCATATATAAAGTTGATAAAGATGAGATGAAATGAGACTGATTGATTAGCTTTTCGGCCGTCGCTGGCCTGGTCGAGGTAGCAAGCTACTGGCTGGCCCTTGCTTTCCCGAACCTATGGTCAACGACCCTGGAAACCGTGCTCTCATTCCGTTTCGGGGGACTTAGTAACTCCACCTATAAATCGCCCGTCTTCCTTATCTTTACCCACATAATTGACCGTCTTTGAGCACGGCACCAGATACCGAACCAAGTGCGAAGCCTATCTCGCCACCATCCCTCTCGGGTTCCTCTCGCAGGTGCCTCTCGTACACCCTAGATTCGTAATTAAAGAGGTCTCAACTCTTCCCCACTAAAAACCATCCTCCTCCAAGGCTTGTGTTGGACCCTTACCTGTTGACATTGTGCCACCCACCTGCAGTGTCCGACCTTCACCTGCTTGTACCTTACAGTCGCGGCACTTTGGATGCATCACAACTGAGACAGCTGAATTTAGGCTGTCACCGATGGCTTCGACTACGACCACCAAACCCAAGAAGTATATTTGCACCCACGACGGGTGTGGAAAGGGCTTCACGCGGTCAGATCATCTCCAGCGCCATGTTCTAAACCACGGCTTAGGAGAAAGTACCTGCCCCCGCTGCAGTCTACACTTCAAAAGGCCAGACTTGCTAGGTAAGTGCAGTGCTTGACTCCCGTCCGAAATTGTGGGATGACGAGATTAATTTCCATACAGATCGGCACATGGCTCGCCACCGCCAGAAGGATGAGGAGGCCGGAGGCGAAGGCCTCGGTGTTATTGAGAGTAGGAAGAAGCTCTGGAGAGACCCTGATGGCAACATCGTCAACAAACGACCAGCGCAATCAGAATGTTCAGACTCTCCAACCAAGAAGCAGGCCACTGAGTCCGTTGCTTCGTCCACTTCATCCCAGCCGATGCTTGTCGAGGCTTTCAATGGCCAGGCGCCTTTACACGCCGAACCATTATCACCACCAAGGTCCATGCTGAGTTCCGAGTCTTTCGAGCATTTCTCCCATCAACTACCAGAGCTTCCCGATGATCATGACTTTATCAGCTCTGCCACTGGTCATGATAACACCATGTTCGACTTTCTTGCCAATTCGTCCTGGGGTTCCAACTCGACTACGGCGCTCAACGTCTCAGGTGAAATGCCAATTGATGACATGTTCGCCGCAGACACTGGTGAGTGTGCTTCCTGATTGATTGCCTGTGAAATCTGACTGGGTCCAGCGAGTTCATTCAATATGCCTTTCACAACCATGAACAACTACAATTGGCTGTTCGACGTTGGTGGGCAGCAGAATTTGAGCATGGTGCCCGACGCACAGAATGCGATTCCTGATTCCCAGATGCAATTCCAGTCCACAACCCAGAACACTTCCGAAGTGTTCAAGTTGAATGATGGTGTCTCCGGAAATACGACAACCTCGACGAACTCTCTCTTCAAGCAACCTGCACTTCCCCGACCACCAGCTATGGAAGCTTTTCAAATGTCAGAGATCTTTCAATTCAGCGGAATGACACCTCATAATGCCGGCATGGCCAATACTCTCTCAACCTCGCCTATGGGTTCCGACTCGACAGCCAATCCTGCAAATGAGGTTGACTTCTCCCCTCCCACCACTACATCTCCAGATTCTATGCATACTCAAGCAGCCAATCAACCGAATCGAATGATGAACAATGGCTACAACTTGCAAACTCTGCCTCCCAGTCAGCCTCGGCGCATTATGCCTACCATGGATGATGTTTCGCGGAACCAGATACTCGATCTGCTGGTGGCCGCTCGACCCAAGACGCCAGAAGGCTCCGAAATCTCTCGCGATCATCCTTTGCTAACACTATCCTCAATGCAAAACTACCTCGATCTCTTCTTCTCGCGCTTCAACGTCGCCTACCCCCTCCTCCACCAACCCACATTTGATCCTTCCCAGACAGAGCCACTACTGCTGTTGGCCGTCCTACTCCTGGGCGCCACCTACAGCGAGAAGGCTATCCACAGATTAGCAGTCTGCATCCATGACGTACTTCGGGCACAAATCTTCCAGCATTCCGCCTTCTCTGCAATGCCGGAGCTATGGATGCTCCAGACTATTCTGCTGGTGGAATGTTTCGGAAAGTCGAGAGCTGGTCAAAAGCAACACGATATGGCCCATCTCTTCCATGGCCTCTTGATCAAGTACGCCTCACCTATCACACATACTTGACTTCAAGCTTGCTAACATGGTGCAGTCTCATCCGTCGTAGCGACTGCCAAACTGTACGACAGCCGAACTTTGGTGAAGGCTCTGGTGATCTCGAATCTGACTGGCGCAAAGCCATCGATGTCGAACTTCGCAAGAGGTATGCTATTCCAATTTTCCCTAGGCGTCACATGCTGATCATTCCAGACTGGCGTTCCTGTGCTTTCTATGGGACACACAACACGCCGTGCTCTTCTCGCAGTCGCTATGCATGTCCTCATTCGAACTCCGAACAACACTCCCGTGTAATCAGACGACATGGGAAGCTAGCTCTGCCGAGGAATGGTGGAAATACGCCAGAAAGGAACCACAGATATCATACCTCTCGGTTCTGAAAGCGTACATGAACCCCGACTCGGGTGCCCAGATTCCCCAGCTGAACGCCCTATCTCGGCTGCTCGTGCTCCACGGACTAATGTCCGTACAATGGGACATGAAACGCAGAGACCAGACGTCTCTCGGTGAGCAGTCACCGCATTCCTTTACACACCCAGTGAAGCTAACACATCGCAGGCGTCGGCAACCCAAGCGGACCTAACGCTCCGGAGCAACCAAAGTGGCAGGAGCGGCTAGCTCAATCCTACGACGCCTGGAAAGCCGACTTCGAAACCTACTGCATGAACATGACACTCTCACTCAACGACAACCCGACACGGAAAGCGGAATTCACGCGCTTCAGCACCGCGACGATAGCAATCTATCACGCCGCACACATCACCCTGAATGTCGAGATTCTCGATCTTCAGATCTACGCCGGCGCTCGACACATCATCGGCCGCCCAGTCACACGCGCCGACTATGACCGCTCGCGCCGCATCGTCAAGGACTGGGCCAAGCCCACGCCCGGCGGATCGACCCCCGCAGCCAAAGCAGCCTGGCACGCCGCTCACATGTTGCGTGATGGCATCATGAACCTGGACAATTGGGACGTCAACAACGCCTTCCACTATCCTTGGTGTCTGTACCTTTCGACGCTGACGTGCTGGGCCTTCCACTTTGCAAATGTGGTCGACAAGTCGCTGTCCAGCGCACCTGCGATCGGCGGTGACCGGAATATGGGTCATGCAAAAGGCCAGGAGTCGCCGTTGGACCAGAACAACAGTGTCGACGACGGGATCGTCTGGCATGCCAAGGCCGAGATGAACGCTTTGGTCAGCAGCATGACCAGTGTGATCCCGGAGAACCTGTGGCGCGGGCTGGGGAAGTACTCGACAAGTGGCCTCACCACTGTTATGGCCAAGCACCTCAGCAATATTCGGTGGGCGGTCGTGCACGAAGGCATGAAAGTGCTGAGAGGGCTGGTGCCGGAGAGGTGTATTAATGAGTATGAGACGTTTTTGAAGTGAGATTTATACTAGTATCTTAAGATAATGTTATCGAGCAATCGACTTTACAAATAGCTAGAGACGCCATTAAATGCAATATAAATACCCCTTATACTGTGCGCTTCAAGTACAAATTTCTATCAACCCTGTACAGTACTAGTCTTTAAGCCTTCAAGAACCCGCCATAGTACGTGTCCAGCCACTGTGCAGCAGCAGCGCCGTCGCTCTTCCCATCGAAGCGACCGATACTACCGACGTAGCCATCCGGTCTGATATTAACAATCGCAACCTCATCCTGACTGACCTGACCCAGCCATTTCTCCGTACACGATTTACCTGTCTTATGGTCTTTCAGGTCATCGAGGTAGAATGTCCATCGACTCTTTTGTAGCAGGCTCGGCAGGTGTGTGATCTCAATTTGCGATTTCTCCATGCCTGTCACAGTGGCGAACGTGAACAGTTGTGAGGCAGCCGTATAGCGGCCTGGCTGGATGAAGTTGTCGGACTCGACGGGCGGGAGATTGGTCTGAGCATAGGACTTGGCTGCAGCGGCGGTGGCGCGGCCCAGAACCGAGTCACTGGAGGAAATATGACTGCAGACATTGTTCAAGAAGGTCGATGAAGAGTGGATGTCCGGCACGAAGAAGTAGACGCGGAACTGGCCGAGCATGGGGATGTCGATTTGGACGTCAACGGGGTTGGCGTCAATGTACCGGGTGAGTTGGGCGGGTGCCATGAGTTCGCCGGCGCGTAGGACGCCTTGAGGTGCGTTTTCGGGGTAGTTGAGCACGTTGGCTGCGTACTTGACGCCGACGCCGGATATGAAGCCAACGTTGGTGGCGAAGTTATCGGCGAGAGCTTTGGAGTCGCCGTCGGCAAAGGCTGCGGCGTGCTCGAAGTCGAAGTTAATTAGGTCTTGGGCGATTTTGCGACGTTCGTGTTGGTATGTTGAGATGAGGTCTGGAGTGGCGAGGCCTCGGATGGTCAGGTTGAGTTTCCAGGCCAGGTTGAAGGTGTCGTGCATCGAGGTATTCATGCCTTGAGCTGCTTTGGGTGAGTGCGTGTGGCCGGCCTGGTTTGGACAGTCAGTTTGACAATACTACTTTGGTGAGAGAGGTGTAAGCACTTACATCTCCTGTGATGAAGACCCGTTCATGCTCAGCAGAGAATGTGCTGGCAACCCGTTGTCCAACCTTGTACACACTGAACCATTCAACATTGGTCCATGTCAAGGTGAATGGCGCCATAATCTCCCTCGCCTTCTGCATGACGTACTCCTGCGTCGCTTGAGTCGGCACATTGTCTTGCAGATTCCGATCGAGCTCGATGTAGAGTCTAGTCATATTTCGTTCCCGCGGGATGCAAAGAACTGTTCCTGCTGTCTCGGAGTGGATGACGACCTTGCTCCAAAGATCAGGAAAGTCTGTCTCAATGACACCTTCATATGGTCAGCATTGTTGCAGTTCTCGGGAAGATTTGATGCTGTCTTACCATCAAGAACTCCCCATTTCGAATTGCTACTCTCTCCGACCATCTGGGCACCGGCAATGCTCTTCCGCACATTCGAGTGGGCGCCATCACAGCCGATGAGATATTTCGTCTTAAACGATCGACTTGAGCCGGTCTTCTTGTCCTGGCAGATGGCTTCGATCGGTGCCCCGGCATCGTCTGTCGCTACGTAGCGCGAAAAGGGCGTACTTCGAGTAACCTCGATACCTCGTTCCCTCATATCCTCGATGAAGATGTCTTCGACCATACCTTGATGGACGAGGAGAATAAATGGATCTTTGACATCCACTTCCGTTGGATAGTGGACTTCCCTTCTCGTCCGGTGAAGAGGCTTTGAAGTCGTTGAGCTCCAGAAAGATATGTCGTAAATCTTGACTCCTTTTCGGAGTAGGTCATCTGCCAGTCTGAATTGTCGAAACGTCTCAATGGTTTTTGGCTGAAGACCGTCTGCACGACCAGTCGAAGTCTTGTCATCTCGATCATCCAGAACCCTTGCTTTGATGCCGTATCGGGCCAGATTCGACCTGCAAACGAGTCAATATCAACATCGAGACAAGAACGGATTTAGGCAAGGCCTACCCGAGCATCAACCCAGCAGGTCCGGCGCCAACGATGATCGCGTTTTCCACCTCATTCTCGTGTCCATTGAGGTTGTGGCCGTTGACACCAGCATCGAAACCCTCATCATCTGCACCGGGAGACATGGTCGGCGATACTTGGGAACGAGTTCGCTTCATTAGCCTTTTTGCCCGTCCGTCCCTTTAAGACTGGCCGGACTGGAAACTGTTTTTAAAGACAAGCCTTGCAAACGTGGGCCTTTCGCCCCTGGGTGAGCGGCCTCGTCAGGTGACCTTTTAGCCTCAACACCCGAGCACCATGGTACATATCCCTTTGAGGTGGACTGATTCGATGCTACTGTTTGATGGTGATCTGGACATGATTGCCCCACTCTTGAGTTCAATCATTGCGTGGCGAAGAAATGGAGGGGGGAATATTGCCATTGCCCGTCCGAGCATAGACCGTCACTGACAAGCAGAAACCGATAAGGGCGGACATCACCACAAGGCCCAATCACGAAGCCGGAGATTTGACTGCAGCCTCGTACAGATTGGTACGAGATGCACTCAACTCAACGGGAATGACTCAGGACAGCTACCTGGTACCCGAGATAGCTGGGACGGCTACCCGAGTACGGCAGATCAATTCGACGACGGCCCTACGACAATTAACGCCTATAAGCTTAGGGGATATAGTACCTAACTCTCTAAGTATTATAGATAAAGAGCACGCCTAAAGTTTATAAGTTCTTAGTATCTAAACCTCTAAGAGCCCTACTAAAAGAGGTACTTTTCACTATACGTACACTTCACGAAATCATACCTTTAATATGAAATACTAGTATAAATAGGAAGCTACGCGCTCGTACTCTCTATATATACTAGAAAACCTACAACTTACGTGGTACTTAGGGAGTAGACTTTGAATCGTACTAGCGATTAATTTAATGTGTCTTTATACGTGGTAGTATTGCGTTTGGGGTAGTGGTCCGCCCTACTCGGATAGCCGTCCCAGCTATCTCGGGTACCAGGTAGCTGTCCTGAGTTATTCCCTCAACGTTCAGGGTAACCAGTTGGCAGGGCATCACGGCAAGGCTGTATAACACTGGCATACGAATTGGTACGGTCGGATGTGATAGCCGTCGGATATCAGCCTGCAGAAATGTCGACCCGGCCGTGGCAGGAAGTCGTCCAGGAAAAGCGCAACATTCAGCAAAAGCTCGTCGAGCCATATCTACGCGATATCCATGGACAGAATGCTCTTCCCAGTGCAATACTCGACATAGACAGCGTGGAAGGCTTGACCAGCGCCTTTGCAAATGGTAGTGTCACAGCACGTGATGTTACGAGGACGTATATCCGAAGGCAAGCACCCATCTCTCAAAGACGCGAGTACCCATGCTGACCAGGTGCTTAGAGCTGCAGAGGCACACCAGAAGGTCAGACACCTCTGATACCAACATTAGGCCATTAACAAATGAGTATAGACAAACTGTCTGACCGAGGTCTTCTTCGAAGAAGCTATCCAGGAGGCAGACAAGCTTGACCAGTACTACCAACAGCATGGAGAATTGGTTGGTCCTCTGCATGGAGTCCCAGTCACTCTCAAGGATCAATTCGATGTCAAAGGAGCCGACTCGACGCTAGGATATGTGAGCAGAGCTTTCAAGCCTGCTGCTAGGGACGCCGCAATCGTCGAGATCCTCAAGTCCCTGGGAGCAATTGTTCTGGCCAAGACGAATCTCCCACAGAGCATAATGGTAGACACCACCCCTTCGGATCAATGTGATCGGCTGACTTGTGAAGTGGTGCGAGACGGAGAATCCACTTTGGGGTCTAACAACAAATCCTCGAGATCCTAATTTCACCCCTGGTGGTTCGACAGGAGGAGAAGGAGTATTACTTGCCATGCAAGCATCCATGATAGGTTGGGGAACTGATATTGGCGGTTCAATACGAATTCCAGCACACATGAATGGCCTATGGGGCTTCAAGCCTACCGTGAGACACATTTCTGCATCCTTAAAAGTGGCTGGCTTGCTGACAGTCGAAAGAGCTCCCGATTGCCGTACATGGGTGTCCCAGTATCGACCGAGGGACAAGAACATGTACCATCTGCAGTCGGCCCATTGACAAGGAGTCTTTCAGCTTTGGTGACGGTCATGCAGACTGTAGTTGATGCCAGACCATGGGTGGTAGATCCAAAAGTCACGCCCATTCCGTGGAGGCGAGAAAATTATGAGGATATACAGACAAGACCATTGACGATAGGAGTGCTCCTTGACGACGGCGTGGTCAAAGTCCACCCGCCGATCGAAAGAGTGCTAAATGACATGGTAGCCAAGCTCAAGGCTGCTGGTCACGAAATCGTTCAATGGAATTCATCTGGGCACAAGGAGTGCATTGAAATCATGGTAAGTCATCCGAAAAGCATTACTCCTCCGCCATTCTGACATTTCAATAGGATCAATACTACACAGCCGATGGAGGCGAGGATATTCGAAGAGAAGTCCAAGCCGGGGGGGAACCGTTCATTCCTCATGTTGAGGCCCTGACCAACAGAGGCAAGCCAATTACGGTCTATGAATATTGGCAGTTGAACAAACGCAAACTAGCAGCACAACAAGCATATAACGATAAGTGGAGCCTTGCTAAAGGTCTCGAGTCTGGTCGCACCGTGGACGTTGTGTTGATGCCCACGATGCCACATCCAGCTGTACCGCATCGCGGGTGCAAATGGGTAGGATACACCAAGGTGTGGAACTTCCTGGATTATCCGGCGCTGTCGTTTCCTGCTGGGAAAGTCGATGCATCGAAAGATCTAGTAACGAAGCATGAGCCAAGGAATGACTACGACGCTTGGAATTGGAAGTTATACGACCCCAAGACCATGGACGGACATCCGGTCGGACTGCAGATTGTTGGTCGACGATTCGAGGAGGAGACGGTGCTCGGCGTGGCTGCTGTGATGGAAAAGCTGATAAAGTCATGAATCTATAGCATTTCAATACGACCTGGCATAGATCACATTCAAATAGTGTCAGATTTCTTACTCAATGATCAGTGAAGTACGACCTCCTTGGCTATATGTGGACTACCACTTGGTGACACCACCATCGACACAAACATCCTGTCCCGTCATGTACAGACTGGCATCACTAGCCAAGAACACACAAGCCCCTCGAATATCGTCTGGCTGCGCGACACGTCGGTTCATAATCTCATCCTTCCAACTCTCCAATAAGTGAGGGAACTGTCGTTCATTTATCAGTATATGTCTCGCTCCTTTTGGACCTCGAGAGCACAGAAGGACTTACCGGCGCCGTCATCTCCGTCTTGACGTATCCAGGCGATATCGAGTTGACTCTGATTCCCTGCACGGCACATTTGTCAGTCACAATCCTACGTGAACACGTAGCAAAGGTATACGGGGATGCTCACATGAGGCACCAACTCAGCCGCAATGGCAGGACACATGGCCCTCACCGCACCCTTAGTTCCACAGTACGCACTGCTCATCTGGCTGCGAATAGCCATGTAACTAGCAATACTCGCGACCAGGATAATACTTCCGCACTGAGTCTTGTTCTCAATCATCTGCTTAGCAGCGAATTGGGCGGTGTGGTACACTCCCATGACATTCACGCTCAGAAGCTGCTGGTGAGCCTCGAACGATGTATCAAGGAATGCAAGGTTCTTGTTGATACCAGCGGTGGGCACGCAGATGTCCAGTTTGCCGCCAAAGTCGGTTTTGAACGACTCGAAGCCTTGGGTCAGGCTTTCTATGCTGCTTACGTCGACTCTGAAAACGAATCGGTTCAGCTAAGGTCGACGACCAGGGGTGGTGTGAGTGCTCACTTGTAGTACTTGGTCTTGACGCCAAAGTTCTTCTCAATGTCGAAGAAAGCTTCGACTGGGTCAATTACGTCGAAGATGGCGACATCGGCACCAGCTTCGGCGAGACCTTCGGCGAAGGCAAGGCCACAGCCTCGTGCGCCGCCCGTGACGAGTGCCGTACGGCCTTTGAGGGAGAACTATACCAAATATCAGAAAAGTATGTCAGGTCTGGAGGAGAGACTTACTCTGCTCATGGTAGGAGTGTCACGTGCGAGGCTGTTAGTTGTAAGGGGGTCAGGCGTGCTGCTCCAGGAGAGCTAGTAGCAGCAGTGCTAGATGTTTTGCAGCTGGGTGCTTTGCAAGGCAGAGAACGGGTGGCTTCTTTCGTTGCTTGATTGTGTGATCGTGCTTGCTCAAGGCTAATCAACGATTAATTGGGTGCCAAATGTCGAGGGTTCGGAACGAAAACCCCATCTTTGGGGAGATACTGTGAGTCTTGCTTGGTCATAGAAAATGTACAGTGGTGGTGTGCGTAGAGACACTGCGAGCGCCGAGCACTGACTGTAACCCTGGTGGCGCCTACCAAGCACGTGCGTCTAGGTACCAGGTTCCAGGCATTACAGGCATGGAAATCAATCGCCGGACGCCCAAGCCGGTGAAGCGCCCCCAAGTTGGTCGTCGCCCATATCCGCCCACCTTCCCTTTCCGACCTTTTCATTTGTCAAGACCAGCCTTTTTAAGCGCTGTCAATGACAGTCCCCCCGGCGCCCTTATCTGAAGAATTAGCTAAGATCACTCCGCCTAAGGTCCACTTTGTGCAGGTACGTTCGGTCGTATCCATAGGTCAACGACAGGAATGGTTGAGGACCTCGCGCGCCTATCAAAATGCGTCATTCAATTCCGAGCTTCTTATCAATGTTGCGGACCAACGACCAACACCGTTAATACCTGACCTTGCCACCAATAACGTCGTATCGAGGAGACATTGTTGTTCGGATATCAGCAAGTGCTGCTATTCCATCATCAAGAACCAACGACAATCGCGCTTCAAGCACATAAGTCATCATGGGCAAGAAGCGCGTCCTCGTCAGTTATGGTGTCGATATTGATGCCGTTGCCGGCTGGTTGGGCTCCTATGGAGGTGAAGACTCAACCAGCGACATCAGCAGAGGTATGTATCTCTCCCAGCACCGGACGCTACCACTTGAACAAGCAACTAACATGCCGAAGGTCTCTTCGCCGGCACGCATGGCACACGACGCCTTCTCAAGCTGTTCGAAAAGTACGGCATAACAGCGACATGGTTCATCCCGGGGCACTCCCTCGAGACATTTCCCGAGGAATGCGCCATGGTTCGCGACGCCGGCCACGAGATCGGTCTGCACGGGTACTCCCATGAGAATCCCTCGGACATGACATTCGAGCAACAACGCGACGTCCTCGACAAGACGTTCAGATTGCTCACCGACTTCTGCGGCAAACCGCCCCGAGGCAGCGTCGCTCCATGGTGGGAAGTCAGCGAGGCGGGCGCCGAGTTATTGCTGTCCTACGGCATCGAGTACGACCACAGCATGGGCCACGAGGACTGCCAGATGTACTGGTTGCGCATGGGCGACACGTGGACCAAGATCGATTACTCGAAGAAGGCCGTCGACTGGATGAAGCCCCTTGAAAAGGGCAAAATGACTGGCCTCGTCGAAATTCCTGGGTCGTGGTATATTGATGATTTGCCGCCTATGATGTTCATAAAGGGCTCGGCGAATAGTCACGGGTGGGTCAATCCTAGGGATATCGAGGAAATCTGGAAGGTACGTCGTATCACATTGCATCACACTCACGTTGCTTTTCTCCAGGCGAGCCGTGGAGATTGGACACTGACTGTTGTTCTAGGACCATTTCGACTACTACTACCGTGAGTTCGACGAGTTCATTTTCCCCATGACTATCCACCCAGATGTATCTGGACGGCCGCACGTCATTCTCATGCATGAACGGTACGTGCCCTTTTCTTGCCATCCCATGTAGGAGAATCATTACTAACATCCGTAGTATCATCGAATATATCAACAAGCACGAGGGCGTTGAATGGGTGACCATGGGCCAAATGGCCGATGACTTCAAGAGCAAGAACACCGCGCCCGAAGGTGCAATGATGCCAGCTCCGGCGGGCGAGATGCTGAAGCAACCTCCCCGAAATTAGTCTAGGCGTGACTTCCCATATGAATATATTCAATCTACACTACAACTCTTGAAACTCCACAATGTGACTTACTCAAGTACGGCTACAAGGGCTATTCAACCATTCAGCAAATATACAATTGTGACATCGTACGGTGCAGAGCCAGGAGTCTGTGACCTCACGCTGGAGATGCGGAGGCCAGGCTCGGAGCCTCGCTCATATATGACGACCTCGACTCTAAGTCCATCATGCCAGCCTTGTTGGGTTTCAGTGGCCATAGCAAGAGATCGTACAACCAAAGACCGGCTACGGAGTATCCAAGCCAGCAGATCCTCAGTATTAGTCAGTGTCACCCTTGGTGGATGGCCATTCCCCATTCTTGAAAATGATACCCCCCACCTGTGGGCTACCACCCAGAAATCGAACCAACACCCCTGCCAAACTCTGATTAGACGTGTAGATCAAGCCTGGAACGAGCCGCGATAAGGGTCCTTCTTAGGCTAAAATGCCGACATCGATGGCCATCCTTCGCTTAGATATCGGCACGTGTACCCGACGGGGGCAGCGTCAATCCATGTGAATATTGCCGGCGATTGCACATGAATAAAGATCAGGACGTCAAGTGGTCTCAATTCCGAATTGTAAACCTCAAATACATGAGCATGGCGATATTATCAAGTCTGTGAAAATGCTCTGTTGCACCGTGTCGAAGGTTTTGTACAGATGCAACTTTGAGGATGCAGTTATCTGTCGTACATACCCGCATATCACCGCTTGCAGGTAACCTTACTTTGCAAGGTGGTTCCAGAGTGCGATAAGACCTGATAGATGTCAGCATCATTGGCCGAGGCTCGTGTTCGTCGACGCGTGCATTCAAAATGACCCAGACATAAGGTAGGATCTCAAGTAGAGTACTTTGCGTATCATTCTTGCCGGCATCCAGATTTGTTGTCTTGACCGCAACCACCGTGAGAAGGACTCACTTGCAGATTAGTCTCACAAGGTTAGAAGAGGTCCTTGCGCCAGTTGTGAGACGTCGTTCAGCGTTCACAAGTACGAAAGAGATCAGCACATATCGACTTTTTCGCCTAGTTCAAGATGTCTGATTCTCCGATTCCCGTCATAACGCCTCTCAAGCGCGATCCTTCCACACAGCTCGACATCATCATTGTTGGAGCAGGTATAGGCGGTGTAGGCGCTGCCGTTGCCCTTCTCCTTGCCGGCCACAAAGTCACCATCCTCGAGGCAGCATCAGAGATTGCTGAGGTGGGAGCAGGTCTCCAGCTCTTACCAAACTCCTCACGCGTCGTGCAATCATGGGGCCTGCGAGAACGTCTCGAGCAACACGCCACGAAGCCTCAACGCATCAATGTGCTCGGCTGGAAGGGCAACTTGATCTCCTACATGGACTTTCACGAAAGTGCCAAGGCATATCCTGGGACCTTCTACTGGGACTTTCACCGCGCCAATCTGCACAGATGCATCCTCGACCGGGCAGTGGAGTTGGGTGCGGAGATCAAGGTTCACTCGAGAGTGGTCGATGTGAGGATAGCAGACGACGAATCCGAGACTGCCACTGTGCTGTTGTCATCTGGCATCGAATATGTGGCAGATCTTGTAATCGGTGCTGATGGAATCAACACACGTACGCGGGAAATATTGTTGGGCCGTCCTGATCCGCCAACACCTACAGGTGACCTGGCTTACAGGTTGCTGCTTTCCACAGAAGGGATGCTCAAAGACCCTGAGCTAGCAAAGTTCGTCACGGAACCACAGGTGAACTATTGGCTTGGCCCGGACGCTCATGCGGTCAATTACGTGCTTCGAGGTGGCAAGCTGTTCAACATGGTACTCCTAGTACCCGATGATATGCCTGTTGGAAGTGCAAACACCCTGGAAGGCAATGTCGAGGAAATGCGCGCCTTGTACAAGGACTGGGATCCACGAATTCCGAAGCTGCTGTCATTATGTGAGTCGGTGTACAAATGGAGGCTGCAGATTCGTGTGAGCAAAGATCCATGGACTCATCCATCAGGCACCTTTACCATGCTCGGAGATGCAGTGCATGCCACTTTACCATATCTTGCCTCTGGCGCGGGCATGTGTCTTGAAGACGGGGCGGTGCTCGGCGAGTTGTTCTCGCGGGCTCAAAATCCAAGGTCTCCGATTGTCAAGAAACAGCTGCTCGAAATATACGAAAAGTGTCGACAGGATAGGACAGACATGATCGTGAAAAGGGGCAACCTACAGCAATATCTTTACCACCTTCACGATGGGCCAGAGCAAGAAGAGCGAGATCGAAAGATGAAGGCAGAGGAACCAGGTGAGGCTCTGGCTTGGAGAGACTCAGAGTTGGCACCACAGTTGTTGGGCTACCAAGTCGAAAAAGATGTCAGTACCGTACCCACTCTGGGGTTGCTGATTGACTGACGCAAAATAGGTCGACCAATACTGGCCCCCGGAGGGCCTTGGGGAGCAAGATGGTGAGCTGAACTCGTCTGCCATTCAGAGTCGCCTATAAGACGTAGAGTCGTCGGAGCACACAAAAAGCAGAAAGCTGCCCACTACGAACTCCAAATCCTTCCCGCACCGTGGAAATCAACTATTTCGGGATCCTCCTAAAGGTTCAAGTTCAGAGGGCACAGAACTACTCTGCAGTTCGTGTCGTACTCCACTTTGGGGCGAGGTTCCAACATCAGGTCCGTTTTGAGGTTGTTGAGGCTGCACTGGTGAACCTTGCAATTCCGAGTATACTCGCGGTGGGCGGATCGGGGCTGGGTCTGCAGGCAACTCGGGTTTGACAGACACGGTTAGGTTCTGAACGCTCCGAGAAGGAGGTTGGGGCTGTTCTGCAGGCAGTGATGTAGCCTTCTTTCCCTTCTTTCCCAGTATGGATATTGACAAGGCAATGACAAGAGAGACCAGACCGAGTCCTCCAACACCTGTACCCACGCCTATTCCGACTTTTGCATTTTTAGAAAGTCCGGAGCTGTGGCTACTCGGGGGCGGCCCTGTAGACGCAGGTACGTTCGTTGTCGGTAGAGTCATGGAAGATGTTGTGCTTTGAGTAGGCGTGATGCTGAATGAAAGAAAGATGGTCGAGGTCACAACGGAAGGTGCTATCGGTGACATGATACTCTCGGTGTCTGTCGTCGGTGGTGAGCTTTGCTCTGAGGACTGGGATGGAGGCTCGGAAGTGGTCGGGACACTTGAGGATTGCGATGTTGGCGAAACAAAGCTGACAGCAGAAGATTCGGTTTCAGTGACTGTCGATGTTGAGGTGCAGTTTGCAATTGAAGGCCATAGGGAGGTTACCAAGCTCTCTTCGATATTGACCGTATCAGTATCACGCTGAGACGCTCCTTCGAGATCTATGACTTACCCGTTCCATACGCATAGACCCAATTCTCAACCGTCGCAAAATCAACGCAGCTTGGGCACTTTTGAAGTGCGCATGTATAGATGTCCGCTTGGGTCATGTTTACACAGTCCTCGAAAGATGCTTGACCGGAGTCGTAGCAGTTCAACACGTAGTTGGCGCATGTTGATTGCTAAGACTGTCAGTATTGGCTGGGTGGACATCAAAGCAGGGATCGTACAGCACATGCTGGAAGGTATTGAATGTCATCTGGACTTGATGGTGTGGTTTGCAGAATAAGTGACGAAATGCACAAGAGGATCAACAAACCGGGGCGAGAGCGAAGGTCCATCATGTTGACATTACATGGCAACAACACGGCTGTGAATAGGAACAATGAGCATTTCGAAAAGATTCATGGGCTTGAAGATGCGAAGTCCAGGCACTCAAGAATATACGTTGCTGTGAAAGTAATTAGCCTTGAGCAAAATGTTGTTGATGCATTGCAAGGACAAATTCTGCGGGACGGCAATTTTGGTTGTACAACCGTAGATCCTGCCAGGGATCAGGATGACAATGTCTTTTGTTCGTATTCGAACAAGCTGGCTTTGCGAGAACAATCCGACATTTGCACGACGATACCTTGCATCTTGGGAGTGTTGAGTCTGGCGCAGCTGTTGACACGTCCAACATGTAGTGACGTCCTCCAGCACGAAGCTCAACTTCTCAGCGACAGTGGAAACAATATTGCGAACTATATCCTGTGCGGCCCGCGTTGGAGGCGTCGTCATCTAGCCATCAAGTCGAGCGATAGGCGCCACAGCACTTCAGGATCTTGCTATAGCAGGAAGAAGAGATGAGGTCAAGATCTGAGAGATTGACAGAAGCTTTTCTAGGCCGGCGGCATGCCGCGCTTCGGCGAACTCCTACGACTCCAACTCACAAGAACAGCTCTTGATTGGTTCATGGCCTATCATTCGCGCGAAGGAAGAAGCACGAAGAGATTTAAACATAAAGCAAGACTTCATCCTAGGAGATGAAACGGAAGCTGTCGGTCGAAAAGCACAGTGTCGACTAAGGGACCGCAGACTCGACGTCCAGGCTTCACCGCAGCTGCTACAAACCAGAATGTCCCAAACAAAAAAGATCGCCGAGGCTTTACTCGCCGCAACTGAGCATTCGATCGTCCCTCTCACGGCCAAGCAGGTCGCGCAAGGATCGAAACTATTTGGTGCTGCTATCCTCGACAAGGCATCCCTATCAACTATCCTCGCTGAGACCAACAACGAGCGAGAGTCACCATTACTCCATGGAGAGATAAATTGCATCCAGCAGTTCTTCAAGCTCCCAAAAGATGGACGTCCAGAAACTAAAGATTGCATCTTCTTCGCAACTCACGAGCCTTGTTCATTATGTCTGAGTGGTATCACCTGGTGAGACTGCCAATCCGAGTGTTGCGCTTCCGGACCTGCTAATGCATGCCAGGTCTGGGTTCAATGAATTCTACTATATGTTCACTTACGAGGACAGTCGGGATCTCTTCGCCATACCCTGTAAGTAATTACCTAGCAAGTTGCTCAATCCGGCTTGACTAACACCGAGCAGATGACATTCAGATCCTGCAGGAAGTTTATCAGGTTCCGTCTCCCAGTGACACAGAGGAGACATTGGCAGCCAAGCCATTGTACAACCGGACGAACAAGTTCTTCAAGGCCAAATCACTGGCGGAGTTGATCGACTCGGTTGAGGATGAGGCGTCCAGGATGAAGCTGGCGAGTGAGCTTCAGCGGGTTAAGCAGCTGTACAATCAGTTGAGTGACACGTATCAAGAAGGGAAAAAGAGTGGTGCGGAGAGCAGCAGCTTTTTCAAGTGAGAAGCATTGAGGCGGCAGACTGAGTGAGAGTACTCGTACTTCATCTCAATTGATTTACGAGGCTAGGTGTTTTCAAGGCTGGATTGGATGATCATGACCCCGGACCAATGTAACCAATCTCAGCCTGGCTGTAGATTTTACTCGAATGAGGAAGATTTACCGATTGTGCATATCACATGCGAACTCAGCCTCAACCTGGTTTATCATCCTCATGGGAACTTCTTTCCTACACTTCCGCAGGTGCGCGCAATCATTTTGGCTCTGGTCGCGCCGTGAGACTTTTGCACAGGAGCGAGTTGCCGTGACTCAACTGCCGAGTTTTACTCAAGGCCAACACTCTCTCGAATTGCGATTTCAGCCGATCCTCTACGATGCACAGATAATCCGTGCTCTCGAAAACCTGGTCAGAAAGCTAGTTCCTGCAACGTTGCTCTTGGCGTCATGCACCTTGTCGAGATCCAGGCCGGCGGTACACCTTGCCTGAAAACCAACGTCACTGAAGATACGGAGGATGTCCCTCCTTATGCAATTCTGTCGCACACATGGGCACTAAACAATGCGGAGGAATTCACTTTTCAGGACGCAAAATCTGGATCTGTGGACAAGCCTGGATACGTCAAGATCAAATTTTGCCAGAAGCAAGCAATCAAAGATGGTCTGCGATACATTTGGGTCGATACTTGCTGCATCGACAAGACAAATCAAGTCGAGGTCTCCGAAGCCATTATATCCATGTTTCGGTGGTATCAGGAAGCCAAGAAATGCTATGTTTACCTCTCCGACGTCTCGTTCAGTGGTAATGGTACAGAACAAGATAAAATCCAATGTGAGTCAGATTTTCGAAGAAGTAGATGGTTTACCAGAGGCTGGACACTTCAGGAGTTGTTGGCACCTCGAACAGTCGACTTCTTCTCTCGGGAAGGACGTTATCTAGGGAATAAAACCACTCTCAGCCAGCAAATCCATGAGATTACAGGACTTCCGCTCCGTGCGCTCCACGGTACGCATCTGGCCACTTTTAGCGTTGAGGAGCGCATGCGGTGGGCTGCCAGGCGTCAAACCAAGAGAAAAGAGGACCAAGCATATTGCCTTCTCGGTATCTTCAATGTTTTTCTACCACCCTTATACGGAGAGGGTGATAATGCTTTCAATCGGCTCAGAAAAGAGATTAATGAACATTTGAGAGGTAAGTTTCCTGTTCTGTATCCCCGGAGTACTTTGTCGAGATGGAGTCCCTCTGCTATTTCAGCTCCACAGACTACCGCTGTACGTCCGCGCCTCCATTGCTTCAGAATATCCCATCTAACAAGTCCAGCTACTACAGCTCAACACGATGTTCGTGATTCTCTCCAGGAATCGCCAGCAGAGGTCGGCCACACCCTCAAAACGTACGAAGACAGTCTCCTTCAGTGGAATCTCTCAATCCGTCCAAGACCGATTGGGTATACCATTCATTCATTGACATCAACCCCATGCTACGAAGAAGTTGTATGGCCTCTCGGAGATCGTCCTGTTGCAAAAGACGTGTCAAGGACCTTGAAGCTTGTGCCGGATTCTCGACGAAGTCGGTCAATGCCCGGGCACATGCTGCCAGCTTACAAGCTGCCAGGCTTATAGTGACCGTATGAGACGGATCTTCCTCGAAGCTGTCTTAAAGAATGATTATAACGGTCTATTGACGGCGGCCAAACAACGAATCTGCATGGAACATCGGCTGCGGGAGATGGACAGGCTGTACGAGGCGGACCAACGAATGGGAATCGATAGGAGGACAGAGCTTAAGAACAACCGTTTGATTTGGCGATCGATTGAATGAGTCCTAAGACCTCATGAATTACACTGTTCATACTTACGTAGTATTTTGATATCAAATATCACGATGATTGTGTGTTCATAACGCAGCCGTGAGCAATACTCCTCCTATCTTGAACTTCCCTTTCTAGGTACCAGCAGTCCCTCTACCAATACGCCACCTCAACACGAGGCTGCTGCCTAGCGCGCTAAGGCTCTACACGACCCCTACACGACTCCACGTGCTCCTCCGCGGCCCCTGCGACAACGTCGACGTCGAATTCTCCACCCTTATAAGCGCAATTGTCCACATGGGCATCCCCTAGCTTCGTAGGTCTAAGCGACGACCGTCCATGGCTTTGGGTCAGTGGACTAGATGAGAAGCAGAAGCCCATCCCTGATGATGCTCAGGCCCTGGGAGTGCACCTCGCACTGACAGCGAAAGGTACGCCAGATCCACCGCAATGCGCTACGTCCATGGTGCACCTTTGCGATTTGCGATGAGTTCATGCAACAATGACCTCCCTAAGGCTTAAGTACCTAAGTCTGACTGCTATATCCATACAGTCCGCACTCAAGTCGAGACATTCTACTCCGAGGCTCTCAAGGCTGGCGGGACGGACAATGGGGCGCCGGGAGTCAGATCGATGTGTCATCCCAATTACTACGGTGCTTGCGTCATCAGTCCTGCGGGACATAACATTGAGGCGGTCGCGCACTCGGCAGCTACGTGAGCCTCCATCAACTTGTCCTGTTCATGCTGGACATATATAATTCCCCCTGACAACATGTCTGCCGCCCAAATACGAACGACTGGTGAGAGAGGTGCTGAGATACAAGAAGATCCCTCCTGATTATTATTGCAGCTTCGGCCTCTCCCCCGCCATATACTCCCTTGCCACGTTCCTGTTCTCCCTGAACCGTTTCTCCGTGATGTGATACGGCTTCGGCACATCCATCTCACCCACACCCTTCACCTTCCCGCTCACCAAACCAGCCACCGCCCTCGAGCACCCCAATATCCGTGGCATCCCATGCCCCGTAAACCCAGCGACGACAAACACGCCCTCCCGTCCAGGAACCTCTCCAACCCAGGGCATCAGATCCGCCGAGTAGCCCATAACGCCCGTCCAAATATCCGTGACCTTCGCACCCGAATCCTCCCACCCATGGAACAACCGCTGCATATATCCCTCAAAGTACTTCTCCGCGCCAGGAATCAAACTCGAATCATCCACATTATCCCGCCAGTACTTATCATCCAACAGCACAGCCTGCTTCGCCCCTCCAACGACAATACTCCCGTCCGTCCGACTAATCAAGTAATCATACTCTTGAGGCCCATACCGTATCGAATAACTGTTATTCAGCGTAGGCGGCTGTTCCCCTGCCTCAGGCACAGCAATCCGACACGCCACGCCCCGTGCCGGCGTAATCTTCTCGGCAAACTCAGGTAGGAGACTCGACGTATACGCATTGGCCGCGACGACGACTTTCTTCGCGCGAACATCGCCTCTAGCCGTCTTCACCACCCACCCACTCCCACTCCTGCCGAGGCTAACGACAGACGTATTCGTCTGCAAATTCGCGCCCCAACTCAAACACCGTCTGAGCAAATGGCTAACAAGTTTATAAGGCCACACCGTCCCCGCGGTATACGAGTAACAGCACAGCGCACCCCTAACCCCCGACACCCGTTCCGCCTTCTTCGGATCACTAACAAAATGTAGATCCGCAGGAAACTTGTACCCCCTCTCTTTCATACGTCGGTACGCCTTGACCGTAGGCTCCGCGACCTTGGGGTCTGTAAAAACATCAATCCCCCTCGTCAACTCAAAGTCGCAGTCTATCTCCTCTTTCTCGACCAGCCTCTTCACCTCAAACACCTGGTCCGTCTCAAACTTTGTAAGGCTCTCAGCGACATCTGGCCCATAAGTGTTCTCATATAGTGCCGCGTTAAAGTATACGTCTGGTTTTAAATGGCCGCCATTACGCCCCGTGGCGCCGGAGCACGCGTCTCGCGCTTCGAGGATGAGGACTGATGGTCTATCTTCCTCGTCCTCGAGCAAAGAATGAGCGGTCGCGGCGCCGACGTAGCCTGACCCGATGATCGCGACGTCGACTTCTTGCGGCAATGTCTCGGTGGTTCTGTGTTTGGACAACTCGGATGGGTATGAGAGCCAGTACGAGGTCATCGGCGAAGGGTGAGGGCGAGACATGGTTACCTGTGCAAGGCAACGAGCGTGTAGACACCTGGAGGACAGAGAGGAAGTGTCAAGTTAGCAATATGTCGAGAACATCCCTCACCTTTCTTAGATGCACGCCCTATGTCTTGAACAGGACGTCAAAAGAGTCCGGATAAGTCCGTTGCCCGCGGTTGGCTGATACATGAACCCTAATCCACTAACAGTACCCTATGCTCCGCATTCTTTGCAGGTCGTATCTCGCTGGAGCCGAGCAGTATGCGATAGCACTTGATATCTCAGAGACACATGCAGGGAGAGCACAGAGAACCGTACGTGGTATGGCAGTGAGATCTCAATGCGGCAACTGCCTAAGAGGGGTCAACGCCTTATCGATAAGATATCAGACTGGCAGCAAGATGACGTTGCCGTCCCGCAAGCGTGATGGCCTCGCACAGTGGCCCCAGACAGGATCAGACTGCAACCTGTCAAGGCAACATAGTTATTCGAGACAGCATGGGCTGTGTGCATATCGAGGATATATACATAAAGTTTGGTTATGCTCAACGCTGCAGAAACATTTCATGATGACAACGGTCGTGAAACACGCCACAGCCCTGTGAAGACAAGTAAACGCCGTGCTCCCTTCATGACCCCTGGCTACCCGTCTCAGCCTTGTTCTTGAGTCGATTGATCAGGCTCGAACTTCTGTTTCGATTCTCACTTTCCACCGTCATGGCACGAAACCTCTGCGAGCTCGACACACTTCCTGGACTATCTGGAGGTGCAGGACCCTCCAGCTTGCCAATCTGAGCCATGAGCACTGTGTTCTCCTTCTGCAAGTCGCCGATTTGGCGTGTAAAGATCTCTTGTTCCTTCTTCAACAACTCAAGCTCTGCTCGAGCCTCGTCCCTTTCTCGAGTAAGACGAGTTTTCTCATCTTTGTCTTCCTGCTTTCGTTTCTTGTCTGCCAGCTTCTTGGCTTCTTTTTCTTTCTTCTGTTCCAGTTTGGCCAACTCCTTGCTATATTTCTCCTCGTGTTTCTGGAGCTCTTTTTGATGCTTCGCTTCCGCCTTTTTCGTGGCTTCTTTCTCTTTCTCCGTCTGCTCGGCGGTTTGACTAGACAACTTTTCACGTTGCTGCGCAAACTTGGCATCCAAAGCGGCTTTGCGCTCTGTCAGCTTTGCAAGATCTTTGTCGTGCTGTGACACGATTTGACTGTCCCCAGAGACCGATTTGGACGAGGCCAAGGGATCAGAAACAAGATGAGAGTCGGCAGAGGCGAAAGAGAGACTCGAAACAGTAGACGAGGCGTCGTCGTCGTCATGATGGAATGTCACTCGATGGTGTATGCCTGCATCTGTTTCACCGGAACCGTTTTCAGTCTTTTCAGTCTTTTCAGCCTCCAACGATGGACTAGCCTTTGGTGTCAGATTGGGGAAATGGTCTTTGACAACCTGTGGCGTATAGCTGTTCAGCGTTTCCGTCATGCTCGACAACAGTGTCGAAGAGGACGATGAAGGCGGGTCTTGCTCTGGTATTGGGTCTATGGGTGAGAGCGCTTTGGGTGTTTGAGGTGCGGACTGATGACCTGACTGATTGCCTTCCTCATGCTCGCGGATCCCAGCCAATGTCCCGTTCGCTTCCCAACTGGCGAAGCTTTCTCGTCGATGAGGTTCTGGTCTTGACCCTGCCGTCTCACCAGTCTCCTCCTCATCTTCTCTTTGGCACGCCCAATCAAGGAACTTCACAGCGTCGGCGCAGATGCTGCCAGGTGTTCCCCTCTCAACCATAAATCGAGGAACGCTCCCACCAGGATCGCTCCGAGTCACCATTATCCATTCCACCGGATTTTCTTCGAGATCATGATGGTTGCCTGAATCATGGTCTTGCGTTGGGGATACACCAACCGTAGCGCTTCTTCTCCTGCTTGCGGGAGATGCCTCTCTATTCGCGGAACCATTTTCAACTTTCAGATGCCTGTCGTCATCGTGGGTGGAAGAATGATGCTTTTCAGCATTGTGTAGTAGTACGTCTTTCTCCAGCGATGGAGAGTGTGGTCTGTGGTGACTACTTAGGTCGGTGGAAGAGGTCGTAGCCTTCAATTTCCGGGGTATCTCTCGGATGAACTCGACTGATTCATACTGGCCTCGAATAAAGCCGTCTTGAGGTTGCGTTTTGGGATGATTGCAGGGTTTGGAAATGATCATGTAGTGCCGAGGAGCCAGCTCAGGTGACTTGTGGCCTTCACCTTGTGGCTGGAGTGCTTTAGAAGAAGTAACCAAGAGGGTGACAAAGTCTCGTGGTGTTGTTGGTCCCGGGAACTGCGCACTGAGTCTGTAGACTTCGACCTTGCCTCTGTTAGGGACAACGATCTCTTCGACTTTGGTCTCTGCGCCTATTCCTCTGATGTTGCCTTCACCTGGGGCGCCCTGCACCGCTAACGATGTAGGAAACTCTCGTTCGAAGCCTCGCTTGAAACGAGCAAAGCCCAAGCCTTCATGTACACTTCTGCGAGCAAACCAAGCTCCCTTCCCGTCCTTTCCGCTGGCTTTGTACACTGAGATACCCAGTGGGTTTTCTTTTGCGGAGAGCTTAACCGGCTTGCCCCAATCTTTCTGAAGTGCTGCATATTCTGCTGGAGGTGGAGGAGCTCGGGCAGACGAAGTTGTCATTTCCGATGCACCCGAAGCCATGGAGCCTGTCGTGTGCCCACGAGGTCGGTGAGAAGGATCTGCATCAGGTATAGGGATCGATTCGACTATCGTTTGAGCTTCTGAGAAGAGATTGGTCAGGTACTTGTCCAGCTCTTCCGACTGCTGCGGGACCTCGGAGAAGTCGCAGGGCGATAGAGCCTTTAGAGCTGAATGTAGATTCGCCATGTTGGGAAGTCTTTCGGTCGTCACGGCCAGAACTCAATCACTACTGGTAAAGAGTAGGTGATCACAGGCAACACGGTGAGTCGAGGAGGGGCGGTATGGTAGGACGGTACGATAGTGGTTTGTGGTTGAGATAAAGGTCATGTTCGGACTAAGAAAGACCAGGATTACAAGCAGACAAGCGACATTCTGAGACGGCGATCTAAAGAGGGGAAGGAACTGAGATAGATCTCGTATCTAAACGGTAACAGGTCGAGCATTGAGGCAAGGTGTGACGGTGTTCATCATGATGACTGAGCAGTGGCTTTCCTGCAAGAGTTACAAGTGGTAAAGTCAATTTATCACGATCTCGCAAGTTGGAGAGCGCAGCAGGCAAAGCCCATCGTCATAATTGTACCGTGCACCACAGGCACCGCCAATAAACTTCTGGGTCAGTGGGCATTGTAGCTGCACTGATGTACACTTTTGGTTCCTTGATTATGAGCCGAGGCCTATAAACGCCGGACACCCCGCTACCATCAAGCCTAGGGGAACCGTTTAGCCTTTAGTTCCACAGGCGGTTAGGCTAGATTTCGTATCCTGCTCCCAGGGTATTATACTGAGTATTCTACACACTCGCCCAAGAGCTTTAAGAGACAAAGAAAGGTCTAAAAGGTTAGGAAAATGTTCACATTTGTTTGAGATTATCTTTATGTGTCGAGACATCTCGCCTCGTGTATACCAGCATCTGATTCCTCCTCCACTCAGTGGAACGGAAGGCTCTCTTCGACACCAGGCCGAAGATATAGGAGATGACCCTATAAACCACACTTCACTTCATGGAAAAGGCGCAAAGGCTCGTCATGATCACACATGCAAAGTCACAGACCTGGAATGTTGTCACCACCAGCCACAGGCGTGGTGACATGCAATCATGATCGATCCTCTGCGACAACCCATCAGATGTTGTGCAGTAAGGCAGCAATACTGACATCTCAGATGCAACACATTGCTACCCTGCCGGTGTTTCGACCTGAGACTATGGTCAACCAGTGACCATGATCAAGGAACAAAACAGGCTTGTCAGTCGTGTGTCAAGAAGGACTAGCCTTCTGTAGAGACACAATTTGACAGCAAACCGGCTTCCCAAACGTAACCCATGCATATATCCCGTAGCCGTGAGGCTGTCCGATCTGGCGAAAATGCGGGACTGTATCCAACCCAGGGATATCATGTATGCCAACAAGCCGACCTGCCGCTGTTGTATCGCAAAACCCAGAAGACATAATAAAAATGAGAAACGACTCAACAACACCACGCTTGCTCAAAATCAGACCATGTCCCCATATTATCCTGTTTGTCCTATATCGAATGCAGAGTGGTATCCTTGTGTCGCTAAACTGATCAGAAAAACTCCTTTTTTGAATGCTGATGATATCAATGTTCCGCACGCGTTTGACCGACCGCTTTTGATGAGGGCTGCCCGGTTCGGCAGACCGAGAAGTGTCCTAGGTGAAAAGTGTTACAGTGCCGGATGCTTCGTCTGTCACATTGCTGTCGCATATGGCATCGCGTATTCTTGGTACCGGTCCCAACCAAACGCACTTAGCCCTGCTGTTGTGCTGCAGGGTTGGTGTTGCGTCAGCATGCTAGGCAAAGGCAGAGCTGCGAATGACGAGGTAGTGACTGGAGCACTGTAAGCGGGCGCGCTGTAGTATTGAGGTGCACCATATGCAGCTGAAGTATATGGCTGGCTGAACGAAGGAGTCGGCGATGGAAGCTGAATATCGTGTACGCCAACGCTCGTCCACATGTGCGGGTTTGAATCGCAGGACGAGACGGGGCTTGGACTTGACGGGATAATCTTCCATGCCTCGACGGGGGCTGGATGCATGGCTTGCATGTGTTGTGAATGCCACCATTGTTCAGCTCCTGTAGAACTCGGTAGAAGAGGAGTCGGCCGAACAACGTCCACGATCCTAGGAGGAGGAGGTAGAAGTGGTACATAGAGTCCCGTGATGGCGGCCCGAACTTCGTCGCTGCGACCACACAGGAGTTCACCCGCACCTTCTTCTTCCATTCCTTCTAGAGCGTGAACGTTGGTCCTGTAGACAAACTTGTTGGCGGCTTGAACAAACTCCTGCTGTAACTTCTTCAGCTGTTGCTCCTTCTCAGACCAAGTCCAGGTCTTGGCGGACGTGTCGACGGAGAAGATGTCTTTGTGATATTCGACCAGCGATTCAATAGTGTCTGATGTGAGCTTGAAGGCGACCTCGTTCTGTGAGACCATGTCAACATGGACGACATAGGCCTCGACGTGGATCAATTGATAGTTGAACAGGGCTTCCACCAGAGGGTTAGAGTCAGTCCGTAGTTCCGACTCGGGCGCTTTCGGGACCATAAGGGAGCACAGATGCCAGATTGCATTGGCAGACGATAGGGTCTCGGTCAGACATCTCGTGTGTTGGGGGACACTGTTCAATGGCCGCTTGATCTTGTTAACTCTCTTCAAGGTGGCTGTCAACCAAGGTTCGGCTTTGGCGTTCAGTACGACATTGCAGTCGGATCTCGGGGCAAAAGCAGCCGCAGATGCGGGTAATAATATCGTCGGCATTATGAGTTACTGATTTGTGTATAGGATATTGTCTGGTAGGACATTCGATATAGAAACAGGGTGGGGCTTGGCTGACCAGGCAGAAGCGAAGACGGGTTTCTAACAAGTGAAAGTAGATGGAGAGGATGGTCTTCTCTGCGGCGGTCCCAACGAGGGAAGTAGTATGCGCGCCTTGTGTAGAGACAGGGCCGGGAATGAGGTGTTGAAGATAGAAGGAGAGGGTGGAATGGCGGGGATGACGAAAAGGGCAAAGGAAGGGCCTGGATATTAAGAAGGAGGAGAGAGCCGTACCTTATATCGTGGGCAGGTGAGAAAAGTAGCGTCTACATGTCTTGATAGGTTGGAATCATGATGAGCTAAAGATGGGACCTGGGCAGGCGCAGCAAAGGACGAAATATGCAGTGGGATGGAGTCGACGAGTAGAGAGAAACGAGGTGGAGGAGGCGAAAAAGAGATAGAAGAGGCGCAGGCTGTACGTTAGGCATCACCAGCATCCCCCATAGGCATAAAGTTCTTACCTGGAGAGGCCGAGGGGAGATCTGCCAGTGCCGGCCATGCCAAACATCCACTTTTTCTTTACCCGGGCTTCGGCACGCTCCCACGCTCCCTTCAGTTGAACTTTGCCTCCCTCCATCTCACCAGTCTTTTTCTCTCTGCCATCTCCACCCAGCACCGCTCACTTCATCGTCAATACTTCTTTTTCATACCCTGCCGCTACGTTTGCAGCTTGCATATACGCTACTGCACGTCGAGAGCAACCTTTGCTGCTGAGCATCGTTGCATCTGACTTTCCCACTGGTTGCACTGACTTTACACACTCCAGCTGACCCTGTTTCCGTCCCGACTGACCTGCTGCGAATACCTTTCTGCCAGCTGCAAAGAACAAGCCATGGCTGTTTAGCCCCGTATGCAAGATCAGGCCAGCTTCTTGCTCGCCTTTCCGTCCTCGCTTCTTTACTGGTGGCCTTCCTCCAGCTGCCGATGCTTCTCGAAATCAACGAAATCTCAACGTACACTCGAGAAAGATTGCCAATATCCGACCGTGATCAAGGCTGTAGTCAACCTCATCCAAACCCAGGGAAAATCACAACATCAGTGGCTATCATTCTCGGGCAGCATGCCTGTTTGGAGACTCGGCTGGCGCCGATATAAGCGTAACCCGAGATGATTTTCCTTTCCAGAAGAACCAAATTGTCCGAAAGAGGTTTCCAGATACCCTAATCCTGGTCCTTTGGGACACTTCGTAAACGCATGGCTTTCTTTGATGATGCTGATCATGGCTTTGGAGACGGTGGCAAACGTCCTCAATCTTACGACCGCTCAATCACACACGTCCATCACAGCGAAGAGCCAGAAGTCTACCATTTTCCCGGGCCATGAAACAGAATCTTTCCGATGGCGGGATATGTCTATGTCAGAGCTTATAGGAGGCACGGGTTCGACTGCACTCGCAGTTGGCGCCCTCGTAGAAACTGACCCAAAACTTGACGTCCTTCTACAAAGTATGACCCTGAGGCATCGGCGGCTGTCTCAAAGCACGAGGAGGACTTACACGGACACGAACACCATTTGCAGACCCAAAATGTGGTACGACTTCATCTTGTTTCAGGAACACGGAGGACCATATGCAAAGGCTTATAAAAGTCCGGAGCGTCACTCGAGACCAGTCGAGATCAGGACGTCCAGAAGGGCATGTTTGATGACTGGAAGATGGCAAAGACGGCATGACCAGTCGATGGCAGTTGAAGGCAAGTCGTTGCAAATCCGCCCGAGCTAGTTAGCGGAAGCCAGCTGAGGTGATCCTCGTCAAAGAGCACTTCTGCACATGCATTGGTCGGTCAAGCCGGGCGTTGGCGTCGTACACTAATGCAAGATCCCTGTTGGCCTATATCATTGGCTATCGAGCCCTTTTGGACTGGCCATCGTGCAGAATCATGTGATGGTGCTTGAGTCCTGTTCTTGAAGATGCGAAGAGTCTGGGAACAAGATATCAGGTTGCAGCAGCCGCCCATGCAGTCCATCTCCGAACGGTGCTGTTTCAGACATTATTTCCACGACAAGTCACAGTGAGGGGATGACGACTGGTGACGCTGCCCGAAATCCACCGAAAGATCAACACCCGGGTTACGCGATTCATGTGGCAAAGACGTTTCCATGCTTGAGGCTGAGGCCGATCACCTGTGGCGCAGACTTGAACATTCGGTCACGCCGGTCAACGTCGATCACGTGCCCGGGCCACCTTCTTGCCGGTGGACGTTACAGTACTGAGGTCTCACAAAAGGACTTTCAGTTCTTGTTGTCACTCATTAATTAACTCCAAGCAGCAGTGATGAGCGAACAAACACGTATGCAATCGGTCTTGGTGTTTTCTCCGGCGCAAATGTGCAGATGACCCTCGTTTGCATCCACTTGATGAATTGAAGCGTGATGGTCGTTAGAAAGGCTGCAGATCTCTTCGCATCACTTTCTGTCGGCTCATCCATCGGGCTCGAAGGTGGTCAGAGAATGGCACGACTTGCATTTCGGCAGTCTGCAAGACACGGCTACCAAAAGTTTCCAAATCATGCTGACAAGTGAAGGTCTCTCGGTCGCATCTTGTGCCTGATCCATTGTTTCTTGCAACTTGTTTGCCCTACATACCTACGTGAAAATGTTGTCCGGGTCCAGCATCAGCTGAGCTGATCAACTTTTGAGTTCCGTACAAACGCAGCGAGGGGAGCCACGGGAAACGGTACCGAGATGGGAAAAGTCACTGATCACCAAAAGCTCGTGTTGAAAGCTCGTGTCGAGGATGAGTCGATAACGGTACTTTACGGATCAGGAGGGAGCGCAAAGTGGTCTTGCCATGTTGACATCGTTTCGTTGATTGTTGTACGACGGGTACTTCCCTTGTCTCACAAGGATCGATGATTTCCCACTACAAGGCAAAATATCCAGTCCTGCTTGTTACCGATCGCGTGTCTGCTGTGGAACGGAGCCAACGACATTTTGTGAGACCTTGCTTGGCTGTGGAAGGAGTGCTGATGCAACTACAGAACCCCATGCTTTTCCAAGACGCCGGCACTGTTGCCCACAAAGTTTAAGGCCCTTGCTTCCGGGGACTCGGTCTATATACACCTCCCACCTCCTTCGCTTTGACCTCATCCCCCTCACTCGCAGGAACATTTTCCCCATGCATCACACGGAAGTGCCCAAAAGGTTGATACCAAGCAGAATCTCCCCATGTTCCTGCCTGTTTGAAGGCATACTCTACGAACTTGAAAAACTCCACACACCTGGGGCATGGAAATGGTACAATGTACGTACATTATCTTGTGCTTCCGGGGCTGAGATTTTCTGCACATTTCTCATTGCGTCCTTGCTCGTAAGCTCGTTGGACTAGCATTATAGATGGTAAGCTGTGACAACAACTCGACTTGAGCCTGGGATATTGCCTGCATCCTCGCTCCGTATCTCTCAAATATCAGGGGCTTCAACAAGTGCTGAGAACGAAGACAGTAGCCTGGGACTTCTTCTCCTATTGCGCCACAGCCTTGCGAACAAAGCAGAGCGATAAGCCCAAAAAGGGGTGGATAGCGTAATGCTTGATCAAAGCACAGGCCTAGGAAGAAGGTGAGTTATTTTTGGAATTGGGCTGGGCCTACTTAGAGTGCGGGTGTTAACGTAAGGCTGCTTGGACGGCCGACTCGGTGGTGAATCACGCCGTAATACTGGCAAGGTAGCCAGGTCAGAGTATGGCGTAGACGGCCTGTAGAGGGGACGCCTAAAGCACGTGAAGGAACCCCTGTCGGAGAGCGAAGAGATCGGTGGTTGCCCTTCCCGGACTCCGACTAAAGCTCCCCATCCCGGTGACAGCTAAGTGTTCTTTCCCAACACCACCAAGAGACATTCAATTGTCAACAGTTACAATTCTTTCACTTGAAATCGGTTTTTTTCTTTGCGTCACTTAGATCAGCATAGACTCCGGTGCTGTCTCTGTTCGGGGTTCAATCATACTTTGGCGTCGGTCTCGTTGGGTTCCCGAGTCATTTATTGTTATTCGTGGACATTATCACGACCTTACTTCTCGTCCAAACCCAGGAAGGCGCCTGTAGAACACCAGGGTCCCTGTCACTAACGGCCAAAAGTCTTCATCCAAGTTCCCATTGCATAAGTCAGCTCTCACGATGTCCGGATACCTTCGCACGTCTTTAAGAGTGGCCGGTGTGGCCGCTGCCGGCGCTGGAGCCGCTTACGCTGGACACCACTATTTGACCACCACATCTTTCTTCGTCACCACAGCACACGCCGAGTCTTTACCATCGGACTCCAGAGCTGCGTTGAAGAAGATGACATGGAAGGGCTTTACGGAGCTCAAGCTCCAAAGTACCGAACAAGTCAACCACAATGTCAAGAAATTGACATTTGCTTTGCCTGATGATGAATCCATTACTGGCCTCGCTCCCATCAGTATGGTCACTACCATCCCGTTTGTGTAGCCAGACAGTTACTGACCGGCTTGCAGCATCTCTCCTGACCAGACACACTCCCGAAGGAGCTTGGATTCCGGTCTTCAGACCCTATACGCCAGTGAGCGAGAACGGTAAGATGACATTTGTTCCCCACGACGATTTCTTACTAATTGATATCCTGCAGATGTGCCAGGTACCGTGACTTTCATGGTCAAGAAATACCCCAATGGCAAGGGTTCGGGGAAGATGCACTCCATGAAGCCTGGTGACTCGTTGCTGTTCAAACCTTTGCATGAATTCGACTATAAACCCAACCAATACTCTGCTATCACCTGCATAGCTGGCGGCTCTGGCATCACTCCCATCTATCAATTGACTCGTGCCATCCTCAACAATCCCGAGGACAAAACAAAGATCGCTCTTGTGTACGCCAACAACAGCGCGGAGGATATTCTGTTGAAGAAGGAGTTTGACGAATTTGCTCAAAAGTATCCTGATCGCTTCACTCGATCCTACGTTGTCAGCACCATCACGCCCCAGAATGAAAGCGAGTACACAAAAGGTTACGTCAACAAGGAGCTGCTCTGCAAGGTCATGCCGCACAAGCTGAACGAGCGGAACGTCAAGGTCCTTGTCAGCGGTCCCCCTCCCATGACCGCAAGCATTGCTGGTGCTAAAGGAGGGTTTGGCTGGACTCAGGGGAGCCTAGGAGGTGTCCTTGGAGAGCTGGGTTACACCAAGGAAGAAGTCCACAAGTTCTAGGATGGTAACCAACCAGCTGGAACGTTATCCGATGTTTGTATTACTAGAGCGAGCATAGATCATATGGGTTTGGGAAGGCATTAGGCATAGGTAGACAATATCCCTTCTCTGCAAGGCTGACTAATACTAAAGTGGTCCATGCTTAAATCGGCCGAAACAACTCCGTCTTATCTTCGATTTCGAATGGCACTATCCTCTGTCCATCATCGCAGGTATACGCAATCCTGCATTCGGCCCAAAAGCACATGTGAAGCGGACCGGAGTGGGAAGGAATCTCCACCGATGATTCTGTCTGAGCGCAAGTGAGAATGGCCTGAGTGAAATGTGACGTTCTGCAGCCATGCAGGCATTCGGTACGCTTTCTACTTCTCTCTTCCTAACCATGCAACCTGCGCCTGTCTGTCAAGGACTATGCTCCGGAAGCAAGCGCTGACGAATGTTACCTTCACAGTACCCAAGAATCGAAAGGTATTCATCCGCCTGTCAATCCCAAAGACTCCGCGACCATGTACTGATCTACTGTGCCCATCCAGCCCAAGTTCGATCTCACCCTGCGCATCATTGACTTGACCAATATCCCGCTCATCTACGGTACGGCCTGTGTCAGATGGCACCTACCCTCCTCCAACGCAGCCGAACACCGCGGCCGGACTGAAAAGGCAGCCATCCTCGAGCACAGAGCAACATGGGACTACAACAAGGAGATCCCGGTGCGTTTAACGATCGACAAGACGGGCATGCTGCAGGAATGCGAACTCCAATTTGAGATCTTGCAAGAGTTTGACGAAAGCGGAAGAGGTGGTCGAGTCCATCTCGGTAATGTCAAGCTCAATCTCGCCGAATATGCGCGACTGCCGGAAGACGCCATAAACGACGCCCAGGACGAGAATGAAGATGGCGGCATTACACGCAGGTATCTACTGCAAGACAGCAAGGTGAACAGTACATTGAAGATTGGCATCAAGATGAAACAGACCGAAGGCGACACCAACTTTATCGCGCCTCCGCTTAAGTCGGCCATGGTCATTGGCGGCATAGCCGGAGTCTTGTCTACAGAAGCCGGAGAAGGAGATGATATACCAAGCATCACGAGTAAGACTAGGGAACTGTCGGAAGCGCAGGATATCTATCGGCGTACTCTGGCTGCCACCTGGGCGTGTCAGGCAGGAGAGTTACCGCCGGACAAATTGATCGAGGACATCTTCGCTGGCGGTGGTGGAGGGCGCCTGCCCGCAATGCATAAACCGAGCTTGGAGGCCAGAATGGGACTGCGCGAAGAAGGCATGGGTAGTAGCTCGAGCGACGAGATGAAGAGACCAGTCACGCCGCCTCAGCGTCTCATGCCGCAAACGGCGCATCGAAGTCCAGGCCATAGGCGGGTGAGCAGTCGGGATTCGCCGAATGCGACGCCGACACAGTCGGCTTTCGGTGGGAGATCGAGCATTGAGCAGCAAATGCAGGCGAGTCAGCAGGATCATCGGCGAAGGGACAGATCGGATATTAGTGAGCATAGCGAGTTTGAGTTGAGGGACGATTTGAAGAGTTGGCAGGTCCGAGTTAGATAAGGACGCTCCCTTGTCACATCACATACATGCAAGATTCCATCTTGTCTCAATGATATCAGGCGGACAGTATTGGCTGAGAGTATGAGACATCTAACTCTCTCCCATTCACATGCAGAATGCTTGAAGCTCCCATGCCGCCAAGGCTGTATACATTTTTTGCGGAGAAGGCGCAGCCTCTCCAACTCTGCATGTATCGTTGTTCACTTTTACCCAACGCCTACTTTCCGCCCATATCCTTGTTCTTGCAGTTTCTCATGGCCCATGAGGCCAGTCATATATGTTCAAACGCTTATCGAGGTCGGCCTACGTCTGCCTAAGATGTCAGAAGAATCTTGCCAGAAACGATCCGCAGTCTCTACGAACGGCAGACCTTGCCTCCGCCTTCGTACCACGACGATGGCAAAGCAGTGCGGCCGCAGCCCACGTCGAAGATGACGATGATAATCACGTCGATCGTATCCCTCAACAGCCACCCTCTGGTACAGAAAATCCTGGCCGTCCCAAGGATTATAAGTATCGAAGATGGAAACCGAAGCGCACCGCAGAGCTGGGGGTGAACTCGCTGGGAAAACCTGCCGAAGTATTGATCCTGCCTTCGAAGGACCGCTTCATACCACGAGTTCCCGACGACGGTGATGACAAAGAAGATGTCCGGGCTATGGTGCAACAGGCACTCGACTTCGAGAAAGAGCCTCTAAAACTCGAAGACCTGAGGACCAACATCGAACAAGTCCGGTCTGTGATCGGCAAGGAACGGGGTCAACTGGAGGTATCCGAGTGGCAGGCTTTGAAAACACATCTGAAGAAAGGATTCAGCTTACATCAGTTGCGGCGTTACATTGTTGCTATGGCAAAAACATCTGTGACTCCAAACCAGGATACCCAGTTTCTCAGACTGGGTAAACCCGATCTGGTTCAACATATAATCCAAGAAGTCTGGGGTTTCACAAAGCCTGCAGCAGCCAACATGGATGCTTCCAAAACGCTAGTCTCACTTAGCATCAATGTGGGCCATGAGGCGAAGCTGGGATGGTTCTTGACAGACAGCCGCCAAAACTTGAAGAAGATTTCGGAAGAGTGCAATGTCCAGATTGATATCTTCAAAAAGCGAAAAAGAATCATGGTACGTGGCCCTGCTGTGCAGGCTAACGCTGCGTTTCAAAAAGTGAATCGCCTGGCGAAAGACCTCACGCTGGTTCAAATCCATCTTACTGGCACCGTTGGTAACACATATCGCGACCCCGCCTTGCAAGATCGCGTCAAGGCTTTCCTGAAAACGGTGGAACAGAAGTATCAGGTCTACATCTCGCTCAATGACATTGGCGACCACATCAAGCTGGTACATGACAAACGTCCAAACTCAGGAGCGCATGCTCATCGCGAGATTTTGCTTGCTGCTGAAAACTTTGTTGAGTCACAACAGGTCGCCGTCTGGAACACTGAGTCGCGAAGCCAGACGACTATGATGCCCTGTCCAACGCCCACTGAATTCTCCTCGGATCTGTATCAACTACCATGGACCAGGCAGGTTGCTTTGAAGAGCAATCCGCAGCCTACAGCAACGACAGTCTCTCCACCTTCGTCCGCGACGAAGTCACTGGTGGATGACATCGAAAGGCTGTTTCATCGGACTTTGTCAATGAAAAAAGTACATTTTGCTCGCGACGGCATGCACGGCGACTTCGGTGTCAAGTTTGGGCGGGCACTCTCTCGGGACAACGCTGGTCTTCACAAGGACACCACGGATGAGGTTGTCGCTCACACAGGCTCGAAAGCAGGAGAACATCCGATGACCGTGGCTCCCTCGGAGCATAGAGCAATTTCCGCATCGAATGAACAGCAGATGGACGGCATCGATCAAGGTGTTGATGAAAAGGCAACCGTGGTGGGGACAGAAATAGGCGACTCGTCTGAAGGACTCAAACCTTATGCCACACCAGGTGTCCAGAGCTCTCAGCTGAAAGGGGCTGATACTGTTACCAAGTCAAATGCTGCGGACACTCGGGCCGCCAACATGATTCGGAGTGAACCCAGTAGAGCATCGATGAATGAAGGTGCCGAACGCGGACGCCCAAGTTTTGTCGGCGACATAGCATACTTGATGCAGCTACTTGCACCGATGAAAGCCTGGGCACCAAGACGGCCGGCAAGCAGCCGCGTCGATTCTGATGCTCAGGCAATTCTCCGCCTCGAACTTGCACCTCTTCCCAACAGTTCGAAAGCCAAACGGTATCCTAGCTTTGAAATATTCATTTCTGTTGGGGACGGAAAGAAACCACAACTCACGCTGACTAGATTGTCGGCAATTTACAAAAATCAGTCTTTCATCGTTCTTTGTCCCGGTCAGGAGGTTGACGTGGAATTTCGTGGAAGGCTTCTACGAGATTTGTGGTACCAGGGTGCTGAGCCAACCAAGGTGGTGGAGCCCATGCTCAAAGGGATCAGAGATTACATTGGCAAGGCTCAAGCCCAGGGAGTTACCCAGTGGCTATTCTCGCCATTCGTAATGTTGAGCATGCACCAGTCGCTTGTACGTGAGGCGCAAGCCGCTCAATTCAAAGTCGGAGATGCCATCGCCGAGAGAAAGGAGTCGCTTCTGAGGCACCACAAGCCCCTCGACAAAACGGAGTATGTGCTACAATCTGTCGACGTGATGGATGTCGATTCACGGGTAGTCACAGTCCTCACACACGAGCACGATGACAAAAACATTCCTTTGGGGGTGCATCAGCTGTGTTTGGAACACATTACGCTTACTGGCGCCAACTCGACGAGGCAAGAGCTTCGCCTTGCAGAAGGATCTGTTCTGTACACGCCTAAACTTGCATCTCCAGAGATTCGGCTTCTGGCACGCACCGCCTTGGAAATGTCACAATGTCTTGGTCACGACCATACAAAGGGTTTCGGGATAACGCCCCTCCACCAGGGATTTCAACTTCCACGGGAATTCCAGCCTGATGTGAAGACACCGATAGGTTCCAGGGTCCTACCGGGTAAGAAGCCCCATCGTGAACCCCGGGCGGCAAAGAGGTCGAAAGGTGAAGACTTAAAGGTGCGTGAAGCGCCTGTCAACAACACAGGTCAACAGCTGTCGCCACAACCAGTCGAAAAGACGGCCGAAGAAGCAGACCAACAAACCTTAAAGCAGCCCATTGCGGCGCAACAGGGAGACGTCAAGGCTGTCAAAGAGCCAGGTAAGACCATAACTCCCAAGAAGTCAGCCAAATCTCGTGCTTGGAAGAAGAAGAACTGAGTTGGCGAGAAAGTCACCGCAATACAATCTCGCAGCTTGTCCGGCTGTGATGCTGTTGGTGGATACCGGTCATTTATGTACCACCATCGAAACGAGATATAATATGTATTTATAATCTACTAGAACCGTCCTCGTAATTGGGGTTGTAGGATCTGTTGGCTCTCTGGATCTCTGCAACTTCATAGGTGGGCTTGGATCATGTACATCTACCTCCTTCGCTGCGCAGCCAGTGTTATTTTGGGGTATGGAGCTGGAAGCGATAGACATTACACGCAGTGATGCTTTCGTCGACCCCAGACTCGAAACCCCAGAATTCTCGGATCCGTGCCCTGACGTCTTTCGACCAATCACAACGATCTGTACTTTTGTTGGTTCATCAGGCCGCCTCTAACTTGTCTCTCCTGAGGTTTTTGTTCCTGCATCTTTCACCTACTAAATATCATCGACTAGAAATCCAAACATCTCGGTTGAATCTGACCAGCAAACTGGATGATCTGAGACGACGTCTTTGGATATCCCCGCAACGTAGCTCTGGAAGCTTGAGTGTCCGTCTTCGACGTCACCAGCTCCCCTGATCTACTGCCACAGGTTTTCCCCGTCTTCCTGCGAAAGCTGTCTCAACCGCCTCCTGCTCCATCTTGAAGCTCAGAGTCTGCTTGGTCGACATGGTGTAATCCAGCGGCAACGCCTTAACGTGTCCGACTTCCGCGGACAGTCTCGTGCTTCTAGGACTTTTCCCTCTAACGAGATCACCTTGGCATACGAATATGCGCGGCCTTTCAGCATGGACCGTACGTGGACCTTGGAATTTTTTCTTTTGTAGTGCTAAGACTATGTCCAGACCACAATACATCAAGGCCACGGCCAAATAGCGATGCCCGGACAAGTCATGCGCAAGAATACCTTCCTGCCGCACGACCTCTTCTAGCTGGTGATGGCGAGGGCGTCGACGATGGTGACCACGACGCCCATCTTGATGATGATGACGACGACGACAAAGACGAAGACAGTACTTCAACAGCCACAGATAATGACGACCCTGGCCATGGTTCTGCACGATCAGAGCCCAAATGGCGCCAAGGGAATTTCACGACCCGGAAACCAAACGACTATCAACCCGGTCATGAACCGCAAATGACCGTCCGAGAAGCGATGAGAGCTTACCCAATGGCCATATTCTGGTGTCTTGCCGTGAGCATGTGCATCATCATGGAAGGTTACGACACGATCCTGATTGGCAATTTCTTTGCCTTTCCTCAATTCCAGCGTAAATGTACGTTATACGCCCTCTCTTCCCAAACCCCCCCATTGCTCAACCTGTATCTACCTGCTGTACTGCTTGCTTGGTTCACCTGGGGTATTTGAACTGTACTGACAGGGATGCCCCGCATCTAGATGGCACTTTCGTCGGCATCACCGACCAAACTCGCTCGGGCTACCAAGTCTCTCCATTCTGGATGGCCATGGTAGGCAACGCTTCAGGTATAGGCGCGTTCTTCGGCACTTTGCTCACAGGCTATCTGGTCGCTATCTTTGGACAGAAGAGGGTTCTTATCGGCGCATTAGTAATGCTCAGTCTCTTCATTTTCATCACTTTCTTCGCGCCGAATATAGGTGTATTATTCGTCGGTCAAATCCTGTGTGGCTTGCCGTGGGGTGTGTTCGCGACGACGGCGCCCGCTTACTCTAGTGAGGTCTTGCCTACTGAACTCCGGGTTTTTGGCACGTCCTGGACCAACATGTGCTTTATCATCGGACAGTTGATCAGCGCGGGCGTGTTGAGGGTGTGTTTGGAACGGGAGGATCAATGGGCTTATCGGATTCCGTTTAGTGTGCAGTGGATTTGGCCTGCCATCTTGGTGCCGGTGTTGTGTTTTGCGCCGGAAAGTCCGTGGCATCTTGTTAGGGTGGGGAGATTGGAGGATGCAGAGACATCTTTGAGAAAGCTGCGGCGCGGATCGTCGTCGTCGGCTACTGCAGCAGCAACAGCGGGAAATGTTCCGACAGTCAAACAAGCCCTCGCGGCGATCGTCCATACTAATGCTTTAGAGGAGGATCTCAGCGTCGGCACATCCTATTTCGACTGCTTCTCTGGCTTTGAGCTACGCCGCACGGAAATCGCGTGCGTTTGTTTCGCAGGGCAAGTCCTCTCTGGCGCGTCATTCGCTTACAACGCATCATATTTCTTCGAACAGGTCGGCTTGGCCGCTGAGACGACATACAGCTTGAACTTGGGCGGTACGGGTCTCGCGTTCGTGGGGACATTGGTCAATTGGTTCTGTCTGATGCCCTACTTTGGACGACGGAGAATTTACCTGGTTGGCATGCTCGTCATGGCGGCGGAACTGTTTCTCATCGGTCTACTCAATGTCTTCAGCTCCACGATCCCGTTTGTGGCGATGGTACAGGCTGGGTTGACACTAGTGTGGACATTCACGTACCAGTTGAGTGTCGGACAGCTTGGATGGGCTTTATCCGCCGAAGTGGGGAGCACCAGACTCCGACAGAAGACGGTCTGTCTGGCCCGGAATGCGTATTACATTTGCAGTGTGGCTGCGGGGGTGTTGCAGCCTTACTTTATGAATCCCGAAGCGTTGGATCTCAGAGGGTATACGGGGTTTGTGTGGGGGACGACGGCTTTGATTACGTGTCTGTGGGCGTATTTTCGGCTGCCGGAGACGAAAGGACGAAGTTATGAGGAGTTGGATGTGCTTTTTGCGAGGAGGGTGGATGCGAGGAAGTTTGCGAGCACGAATGTTGATGCGCTCGAAGGGCGGAGGCCAAATGGGACAACGACGTTTGCTGACAGTATTGAGATGGAGAGGACAAGTGCCGGGCAGAGGCACATCGAAGACAACGGTGGGCCGTCTGGAGGCAGACACAGTGTCGAGGACGATACGGCTGGGCTACTGGCCAGAGATGCGGATTAAGCGAAGGATGCACATAGGCAATAGTCTGGTGAGTCATGTGTATAACATCATTTACAGACGACATGTGATCTATAACCTGTTTCCCTTGCCAATCTCCAAGATTCTCCTTCTCCTCGTTCACAAACTTGCCTTGCCGCTCGTCTCATATGGAAACAAGAAACTCAGCAAACCAGCAACAATGTACAAGCTGGCCGACACATAGATCGGAGTGTTCGTATATCCGACATATGTTGCAATGATAGGTGCCATGAGACCACAGATACGGTTGAATGCAGCGGCCAGCCCTGTGCCCGTGCCACGATGGATGCTGGGAATGACTTCGGGCGTGTAGCAGTACAAGGCTCCCCACATGATATACTGCACGAAACTGGAGACGCAATTAAACGCCAGGATCTGCGCCTGTGTGCGAGCCCTGGTGAAGGCAAAGAGGAAGACGGACGTCAAGATCAAGGAAAGACCGAGTGTGCCTCGTCGTCCGATGTATGGAAGACCGATTAGCCAACCAGCGATCAATGTACCGGGGATGGTGCAGGCGAGAATGATGAAGTTATTGCGGTAGGTAATGTTGATGCTGTCTGAACCACTCTGGGCGCCGTGCAAGGCAAGATATTCGGGCAGGAAGTTGCTGTAGAGGGGTGAAGCCTGTGGTAGGAATGGTTAGAACACCGTACCGAGAAATTCAGGAATAACGCAAGACTCGTGCTTGGATGCCGTGGTCTTTTGGGAGGGGGCACACTTACCAGTCCGATCATGCCCCAGACAAGAAGGATCAAAACCATGCTGTATGCAAGTTTCTTGGAGGCGAAAAGAGCACGAATATGCTTGAGGCCGCCCGGGCGGAATTGTGCCAGTGTTCGTTTCACGGCCGTCTTCTTGTTGACAGGTGCAATGTTGTGGCTTTCGGCAAAGTCTCGCTCGACCTGGATTAGGTCTTCCACAGTCAGGGGCTGGGTGGTCCCATTGTACTTGGCTACGTCGTTCAGAACGTCGATGGCTTCTTGATAGCGTCCTTGTCCGATGAGGTAGCGAGGACTCTCACGTAGTCGGAACAGGAAGAAGCGCAGGAAGAAGGCGAATAGTGTGATGGCACCCATGGTGTACATGAGGTATCGCCAGCCCATGTTGTCGGCCTTTTTGCATTGACCAGCTGGAGTGTCCGAGGCGCACGAGTAACGCGGAAGGAACCCCCAGGCAGCACCGGCAGGGATGGCCAGACCAATGGCCCACCACAATGCCAGTATCTCGAGGAGGTACTGGTGAGTGCCAGGTAAGAACTCGAGAAAGACGGCACTGTCCACGGGTACTGAAAAGGTTAGCCAGAGTGGTGTCTCATGAAGCTCAGGCTTACAATTTCCTCCCACTCCAAAGCCACAGAAAGACACTAGGACAGCGCAAGAAATGAAGCTGTTAGCGGCACCAGCAGCAGTACCGAAGACACCAGCAATCAGCAGGGTCAGGTTGAAGGCAAGGCGTCGTCCTATGAGGTCACCTAATAATGTTAGCAGCAAAAGACTTTGGTGCTTTGGTTTGACTGACATCCAAGTCCCCAGAACGAGGCGCCAACCACAAGACCAGCAATCAAAGCCAGGGACAGAAAGGCGGAATGCTTGGGGTTGAATTCAAGTGCTACCTGGGTAAGGGCGTCGGAGATTGTTGTTTGCCAAAGCTGGTACAATCAGCTGGTCTTGAGTCGATACATCCATTCGGTCAGCCTTACCTGGTCGCATAGCCAGCCATAACCGCACAGACCAAACAAAGCCCATTGGTACTGTACTCGTCAGTCGGAGCGAGCACAGATGATGTCTGGCCATACCTTGCCCATGCCGATGACTTGGACTGCATGATTGACTAGTCGGGCCTGGTTCTCGAAGACTGGATCGAGACCATCGACATGAAGGGAAGTGTATTCACGAATCGATCCAACCTCAGCAGTAGCCACTGATCGTGGATCGGCTTCTGCGATCTTGGTGTCTTTGTCGTTGCCCATGGTCTGTGGAGGAGATATGTACCTAGGTAAGTAGATGATGAGAGTACTCACATTTCAGAGACGACGGATTCTTGCTTCTTTTGTAGCCCTGCTTCAGATTGAATGCGATAGATCCATGTTAGAAGCGCGCTTGCATTACCTCGAGGCGTAGTAGTGGCAATCCTGGCATGATTCCTGCTTGCGGTATGCGATAAGCACGTTCGGCGCAACCTCAATCTGCATCTCGGATCACCATATGATAGCCGGGCCCTAATGGGAAAGGCTGATTATGTTGATTGGGTGCATGATGTGTTATTGACAATGAGAAGATGGAAGATAGGGCAAGTTCCATTGATACTACCCCGTAATGTACAGAAAATGCCACGGGCAAGAATGATCTCCCCGTGCTTGGCCTATCGGTGGCTGCCCGGCAGGTGAGGCCGGGGTAGTTTAGTTAAAGATTGATGCTTATTGGCACGCCGGACAAGAACGGAGGAGTCCGCTTGGCCGTTTTGTTGACTTCTCTTTCATAGTCCTTATCAACACACTCACATCGCTGCCCGCTCCTCATTCACCACCATGATCGCCTTGTATATTCCAAACAAGGAAACACTTTCCTCGAGTCTCTGTGTTCCAGCTCCAGAGTTTGATTTGCAGGTGGTCGCCGACGTCTCCCGTCGAGATGTTGCGCCCACAGCAGATGCTGCACGTTGGCCGTGACCGCCGTATAAAGCTGAGGTAAGTTTGATAGATGCATCCCGAGGATTCATAGCACCACAGGAACGTGTCCAAAATGGCGTCCGAGACAGTAGTCCTACCTGCGGCAGTGCCGACTCATGCGTTCACCAAAGTCGAGCCCTTTCAGCAGTCACCTGTTCAGACAACCTTCAATCCTTCACACCATCTATGCTTCGAGCCTCCCAAATCTATCGTCACATTGAAGGAACTCCTCCTCTCCGAGGAAGATGCCATTTCTCCTGTCGCCATCACGGAGCCTTTCCCTCTGTTTACCCTCGAAGGCGTCAAGCAAATGCGAGCAGATCTCTTCCGTAAGGAGGTGGTTGAAAAACATGGAAATAGGACACTCAAGCACTGCTACAAGATGAGAGGCTACTCCAAGGACACACCATTCGTCGACACGGTTTGGCGCCATGAGGATGTCATCAACGCGTGCTCTCGCGCCGCCGGTGTGGAGCTTGACGTCGTCTTTGACTACGAGATTGCCCATATCAACGTGCAAGTTGATGCCCTTGAAGATGACATGGCTTTGGGCGATGCACTGCCACCGGCATTTCCCCCAAACCAGTCTACTGTGACGAAACCTCCTGCCATTGATCATTCTGAGGAGCTTTCGAAGGTCGGCTTGTGGCATACAGATTCATACCCCTGGGTTTGTGTTTGCATGCTATCTGATCCCAGCAATATGGTAGGAGGCGAGACCGGCCTGAGAAAGGGGGATGGCTCCATTGCTAAATACAGAGGGCCACAAGTCGGCTGGGCTGTGATGATGCAGGGAGGCTGTATTGAACATATTGCTTTGAAGGCGAAGGGTACCGGCGAACGGGTCACCATGGTCACTTCATTTCGGCCAAAAGATCCCAATCTGAAGGACGTAAGCAACCTTGGCAATGTCAAGAGGAGCAGTAACTGGGATGCGCTGTTTAAACAGTGGTCTACATATCGCCTCGACGTGCTTGAGAAACGTGCGAAGTACCTGAGAGACCGCATCCAGGAAGGCAGCCTCCCTGCCACGGAGATCGCGAAGCTCATGGCCGAGTGGAATGAGGAGCAATTTGCATATATGAATCACACGGCGGTGGAAATGACTGGGGATGGTAACGCTGGCTCTCAATACTAAGTGTAGATACCTTGGTAGGTAACTATATCGAGCAGACACCCAATCTTTGCACCGGCGCAGGCATAGCCAGCCATTCAACCCCGTCGACGTCCACTGTAATTAATGTGCTATAGCAATAGCCCAATTCTACCTAGGAACTTACTGTAGGTAGAGGCCCCTAGCCCGCCAGCTGGTATCTAACTGCTTGCAGATAATCTATCCCGCTTTATCCGTATCTCGGATAAACGTAATCGACGCCCAAGCCTACCCCCGAGTTCTTTCTTAGGTACCATGAAATCCTTTGCACCATGGCGTAATAAAAAGAGCATCAAATGGATGCACAGGCCTCGGTACGAGATCGAGGTCCACGAGAATACAAGTCTCGGAGGTATCGACCTTGCGATTCATGCCGCGGAAGGAAGATCGCCTGCCGCATCGACTCATCACCACCATGCGCCTTTTGCCGAAGTCGTGGTACCGATTGCACCTTTCTCGAGAAGCCCGTCACGAAGAGGAGAAGAACTCTGTCGCTTTTGGGAGCGTGCAACAATGATGTCTCTGGGACCGATCACGCAGCCTTCGTTCAAAGCTGGGACGATCTGACCAGTCAAGCGTTCGACAGCACCATCTTCGAACGTCTGGATCTTTTTGAGAACGAAACCTCAAACTTCTTCGATTACAATGCCATCGCAGATCTGCCGCAGGACGGACAAGCCCAAAGCAACAGCACCGGAGATGAGTCCATGTCACAACTTGCCCAAAGCAACTCGCCCGAGAATCTGCATGTTTACATTGACAGAAGCCTCCATCGATCTTATATGCCACCAGACACCAGTCATCTCAGTCGCCTCGTAGTTGGCAGACTCTTCGATTCACAAGAGCGAATGCACTTACCGCGACTCACATTGCTGTCTACACAGGCATGCGGTCACGACAGTGAGTCGCGCAATCTTGATGGACGCGTACTCGCACAGACTGAACAAGAGAGTCAGCCATTGGTCTCCAGAACTGATACTTCAAAAGTCTCATGGTCGGATGTGGAAAATCTCCTGTCTGAGAAGCAACGGGTGAACCTGGTGCAGCTGTTTTTCCGTTTTATTGAGCCGGTATTTCCAGTTCTCGCCCAAAGCCAGCACAATGACGAGTCGGTAAGCAGGGACCTTGGACAAGGGAGGGGATCACTCGCTCTCGCTGCATCCCTTTATGCGACGGCTCTTCCCTTTTCGATGCACGATGACCATCTCAATGCTACATTGACCGACGTCTCCGCGAAAAGAGAACGCCTCTACTCCATTGCCCTCGCAACTGTCCTGGACGAGGCCCATGCTCCGTCCATGGAAACCTTACAAGCATGTCTCTTGATATTGCAAAAGGGTCCAACCACTCGTCCCGAAGGATTAACGCCAACCTATTCCTGGCTTACCTCTCTAGCAGCGACAACTGCTAAATCACTAGGCCTCCAGTATGATTGTAGCAATTGGAACATATCTCTCATTGAGAAGCAAAGTCGCACCAGAATCTGGTGGGCAACATTTATCATGGATGCATGGGTGAGTTTGGAATCGCCTGGTGGTCGGTCGATCAATTCCGATGACTACGACGTCCTCCAACTTCGAGCTGGAACAAATTCCCTGCACGATGTCAATGCCATACCAGACAATGCCCACAATTTCTACCACATTGCCACCATTAGCTGTCTGCTATCTCAGGTCTATGAGACGTACTATACGGTACGTGCCGTCAAAGCCACAGCTGCGGATCTTTTCAAAGCACTTGAACTTGCCCGACCGTTGCGCTCGGCGCTTAATGAGTGTCGGCAGAGTCTGACAACTGACCTACCATTCAACGTTGAGGGAGAGTCTGGTATCAACGCATCTGTTCACCTTGCGGGCTCGGTTGTCTCGATCGTTCTTTTTCGAGCGCTCCTTCGTCCTCTCCAGAACCGGGCCACAACGATATCCCACACAGATAACAGCCATAAATCGGCAGCCGCGGCCGTAATGACAGGCTCATTGAATTCTGCCAAAGAAGCCGTACAGTTGCTGGAAAGTATGGTATCTGCAGTTGGACCGTGGAATGCATTCTGGCATTCGTGGTCTCAGGGAAATTTCGCTATTGTTAGCACCTTTCTGGTTCAGCTCACACTTCTCTGCAAGCTTGAGGACTCGCCTACTAGTATGAAAGCCGAAGTCTCAGGGCTTATCTCCCGCTGGAAACGTGCAATACGAACAGGAGCTGGCAGTGGAGGTTGGGGGAGCTCATTGATGAGTTTGGCCTTGACGAGATTGGACTCACTGTTGAACCAAATTCAGCCATGACGTCGGATTTATGCCACCCCTGGGAGACGTGTGTACGCGGCGACACTCGTATGAAAACACTGAAAGCTCTGTTATGGTCTACTACATCAGTATCCACGCTTGATGCTGGAGTCATTATGGGAACACACACCGGAACGAGGTCATGCAGAATACTTCAGTCATTTCAATTCTAAGGACATTCTGCTGATAATCTAACTATCTGTCTCCAAGCTGCGCTTCAGACTGGCCTCAAAAAACTACCTCGCACTGCAAAGCTCACGGCCGTCGACCAAGGAGCAGCCTTCAATCGTTGCGTCAGTCACAACTTCGAGTCTCGGATAGCTCCGACCACATCCTTCAATGATAGCCGTTGTATCTGTGGTGGCGCGATCCATCCGATCTGTGATGACCGTGCGACCCGTTTGACCCATGATGACCGTTTGTTCCGTTGGACGTATGGCCGTTGGTACCACTTCCTCCATGGTGGCCGCCACCGGAGCCTCCACCGCCGTGCCGTCCGTGGTGGCCATTCGATCTATGATGGCCATTCGTTCCATTGGAGCGGCTTGATCGATACGCTGCGGGTCGATCAGCATCTTATTCGCAGTGACTCCTGAAGTCTGAGTTCGACATACCTGCTTCACGCTCCCGGTTCTCGCGGCCTGCACGCTCTGCATTGCGGACGATCGTCTCCCTACAGCGTTGACAGATGATACCTTCATCCGTGCTTAGGGTCTGATCGGTTTCGATAACTCCTGGGCATCGACTCCGATCACCGTACATGTATGCATGGCATCTCACGGTCTCGATCGGTAGGTGTCGTGGATCAGTCGGTCCGACATCATCAGTACACTGCATGCAATATTTCTTTACTCTGCCACGGAAACACATGGTAGAGGCTTGACTGTTCAGGGTTGCTGGGTTTGTTGTTTCGAGGCCTGACTATCCTAAATCGATGTCGACTCGTATGTGATCTTGGATTGTGTCCGGGAGGAATATATACCGAGAGCGGATTTTATACCCCCTCTGAGGCCTCTTCAGTGACACTCCGGGAAGACCAGAAGTGTGGCACGTTTGTCCTCGGCATCACTTTGTGGCAAGCTGACCGTCAGAATCCTGAGGCAGTGTCTGATGATGCGTGGGTGACATTGTTAGAAACTGAATAGGAGGTTGAAGCAAACGGTCAGTCAAGGCACGCCTTGACGGACAATGGCGATGCGTGGCCGATGCAAGTGACAAGGTGTGAATATCCAGCAGCAATTGGTAGTGACATTTAGGGAACGGGCAGTACCCAGAGATACAATTATTGCTGATAAAGTCACTTGAATGGTGAAAGAAGCTGTCAGTCGATGATTCTATGCTCTCGTTGGCATACGAGGAGAAAAGGTTTCCTAAAAGGCTCCATACTGATTGGATTGACGTTCATGAAGATTCCTGGCCAAATCGGTGGTACTGCCCTTCCTATCGGTGATTCAGAAAAACAGGAAACCGAGAAAGCTCATTCATGCCAGCTAGCCAATTCGGATGCAGAGCCAATTGAAAGCAACAACGCAATGGCTATGACAGCGAAGATCAAGCCAGAATCCCACGCAAAGAATTGGACGAGAGCTCGATCTGGAGATAACCTTCCCATATGCTCAGTCGAATTGTAACGATCCGGCTGTCGTTCGGTCATGGGAGGTCTGAGAGGGTTCAGACTCTTCCTCTGAATGGACGGATTGCCAACATCGTCCTGGGATCTGACTACCGGCCGAATATTGACTTTCACAAGTTGCGAATCTCCATCTCTGCCAGCCTTGCACTGGACACATACGTCCTTGAAAACTTTCGTCCACTCGAATGGTTCTCGGGTGACTTGTCGGTCGCACTGGCAAGTGAGGACCATGCTGTAGCAGTAGGACTGGTACTTCGGGTCTTCGCGGATAAGAGTGCGGCGTTGGACGCAATGACGGGTAAGGGGGCCTTTGAAGCACATCTCGTTCTCGTCCGTAAGTCTGGTTATCGATGGAAGTATGAGTGGCTCGTTCCGAGGCGTAATTTTGTGTCAAGTCCAGTGATTTGAGATATATCTCTAACAAGGGCATTCAACTTCGATTCGATCCGTATGGCATGGGATGGTACATATTCGAGGTCATAGAATGTTAGATTGGTGCACTGGAAACAGGAGATGCGATGGCATTATATCTACTGCCCTTTGGCGAACGGGCAAACAAACGATCTGTATTCGTGTCAACGTTGTTTGCAGCATCACGAACCTTCTTGCTGATCGAGCTTTGTGCAATGGCTAGCCAAACGGACGGACTGTTTGTGTGTGAGGAGTAGGTGGTTCGTCGAACTCACAAGGCTCTGGCATTCAGGGGTTATTGCCGCACGGGCGCGTTTTGCCGACAAGGAACAACCCGCTGTACCCGACTGACAGCACGCATTGATCACGCAACTATTGAGTCATCTCCACTCATGAGTTGTGTTGGGCATTGTGAATTGCATTCCCGTCTAGACCAAATTCTGTAGTCCTGGTATATTCTTACCATATTGCAATGAAGACTGTATGGTCCTTGATATGGATACTATGTACATGCTCGGATACTTTGACAATTCTCCTCAGCAGAAGGCTCCCCATGTCGAAGCCCCTGACCTAAATGCCGAGCAGTGAGAAGCTCAAATGCCATAGCTTGACTGCATAGCTTGCTTTCCCTAGCACATAGTTCACTCCATCGCTCAGCCACGGAATGTACCTGTAGTGATATTCATGCTAGGTCCGAGACGTGTACAACTTCCAGTCCAGCTCACTCCTTCCATGCCGGATACATCTCCATATTTCCGAGCATCCAGCCCCAGAAATCCCTGTTTTACAAAGTCAGCCACCAGTGATTTGGCCTTTTCAGATGCTGACTTTCTTGGACTTATTTTCGGGAGACTTGTCGCAGCCAGGACAGTCCTCTTGATAGTAATCCAGCCATGTCTTTCTCACGGTTTCGTTCTGGGCAACCTTGCATTTCTTCTTATGTTTGACGTCGTCGCAGAGAGTCTTATGCTTGTAGTCTGTGGCGAAGTGCGTGCCGCAGGATCTGCACCATTTGCGGGCTGGGCCTGTGTTGCACATCTTCTTGATCAAACACGATGATTGAGGAACGCCTCGATGTGGGTTTGCTTGAGTGACCGAGGTTAGGCAGGACTGGCGCCTTGGAGAAGTGCTGCCCTTAAGGATGGCTTTGAACTTGTGAGCTCCTAAGCTGGTATATCATCTGAGCTAGTTGTGCGCGGACTGTGAACTGGTTGAACCGCGCGATGGATGAGGCGATGATCAGGTCGAGGCTATGAGGGAGGATGAAAGCAAGAAGTTGGATGGTGGATTTATATGCGAACCATGACGAACGATGTGTTTGGGAAGGGTGACCAAGTCAACGAAATGACAACGTGAGGCAGTGATACGCCATGTCAAAGTCATTCACAGGCGGTACATGGTCACATGGGGCAATTGTTGGTGATGGAAAACGGCGCCAGAAGAGGTCTGAGGACTACAGAGTCACTCTCAACATGACTGGAATCCGATGTACATGTCATGGTTTGCAGTGAGTGAGGTGCAGAATATAAGCTGAGTGAAAGGTTGAGGTTGAGCAAGTAGAGAGAAGTGGAAAGCATGATCATCTTGAAAAAGTGTTGAAGGAGTGTACAGAAGGGTCAAAGTGGCCAGATATACTATGTGATTATCATTACCATTCTCATTATTTTTCTTCGCCTTTTTTACCCTTGTGGGCCTTTTGCTTTTACAACATGTGTCGTGGTGTTGATACATGCCCACGCGCCGTCTCGATGCTTAGAAGTTCTTGCCGGTAAAGGCGCTCTGGACTGAGCCGAATCTAAGATGGTGAGTTAGCATGGCCGTTGACAAGGTGCCTGTAATGGGCAGGGACACTTACCCTTGAGGACACTGCGCGCCGAGAGCCACGCTTCCGCTGCGCATGTAGCAGATCTTGGCCTCAGCACAGGCATTGCTCGTGCAGTTGGGAGACTTGACGCTGGATTTACCTTCGAATGTGTTGAACTTGCTGACGAGAGAGTGGTTGGCGGCCATGGCTTCGGTGACTTGGTGCCAGTAAGTGGCGTTCAAGGGCGCTGTGGTGGGCCATCCAATTGGATATGCGTCTCTGGTGGAGTACTCGAACTTCCATGTCGGTCCGGAGTGGGTGGTGTTCAGAGTGGTGAAGGTACTGACGTTGGTGTAATAGGTGTAGGCGTTGTAGATGGAGAAATCGCCCGTGTCGACTTCATACATGCGGTAGCCGCTGTTCAGATTGGTGAGAGTGGTGACGCTAGGTCCGATCCAGCCGACGGCAAGGGCGTGGGCGGCATCTTGCACGGTACCATTGTTGGCATAGTAGATCATGAATTCGTCTTCGTGAGTGTGGCCGAAGAAGATTTCCGCAATGACATGAGGAGAGTAGCGGTCGATGATCTGGTAGAAGAGATCTGAAATTATGTTAGTCTGTAGAACTAGTCCCCGATGACTAGTAACGTACCGGTGGGGTTGGGAATAGGGTTGGATCCATCCCAGCCGGTCAAGACGTGTCCAATGATCCAGACTCTTTCACCCTTGTTTTCGGCGTCTTGGAGCTCGGTGGCAAGGAACATCAGGTTGCCGCTGACGTCGGGATTGGTGGTGTTGCTGTGCATGGATTAGATCTCGCTTTAGTAACACGGTAACAACTCACATGAAGTTCAAGTAGTTTGACTTGTACCAGAAGTCAGTATTGAGAGTGATGATCCTCAACTTAGGATATGTGGGATGATTGATACTGTAAGCAGCGTAGTGCATGCGGGCTTCGTTCGCAGCGTCAGCGCTGATCCATCCGTTCTGTTGCCAGAGCGCGGAAACGTGGTCGTAATTCCAGGATTGTTGTTGACCAAGGTTTCCGGGCAATGAGTGGGGGGAGTCAATGGCTTCGGGATTACTGTCGTGATTCCCTAGAACGGGGAAAATGGGTCCACTGGGAATGTATGCTTTGAGCATATGGTAGATGGACCACTCGGCGTACATGGTATAGTTGCGGGACAACTCATTCTGGCTTTCATGAGAAACCAAATCACCAGTGTAGATGCTCCATGCGAACTGGTCGTCCTGTGATTGGTTGTTGTGAGTGGTTCCCGTCAATGGTGCAATCGATTCGAGGGCCGAAGTGATGAGGAAGTAAGGACTGTCGCATTTGAAAGAGCCATGGAGAGGCGCTGGAAGAGTGACCTGTCCTGAAGTGCTTGCGGCATTGGCGCGACAGCAAAGACCACTGGAGCAGTTGGCTTCAGATGCGACTGCATATCGAGGGTCGATATGGATATCGCTCATGTGAAGGACCTTGACGCGGTTGCCGCTGGCTTTCGGGACCGTGATATTGGCGGGCTTCGCACCAAAGTAAGCGGTGGTATTGGATGGGAGAGTATAAGGAGCTGAGCAGAAGGTGCTGCTGAGTGAGTTACAGATGTAGTGACCATCAGATCCCGACACGTTGGCTAGAGCAAGGATTTGAGTCCAGATAGCGCCAAAGCTTCCCGCTTGATAGTTGTCGGTGCATGTGGCATTTGAAGAGAATTTGGTGCTAATGCAAAGCTCGACTAGCAAGTCTGGCACCAGTGAAGGAGCGCGCTGAGCGACATATTGGCCGACTTCCAATGCTGACATACACTTGGTGCAGTTGGTCCCGTTTGCCGCGAGGATGGCACTCAGTTGGCTGGTGGCATTGGCAATCAGTGCGGTCGTGTTGGTCACCGTGTACAGCGGAGTTGGGTAGTAGACCGGATCCTCGTCGATCTGGGGAATGTTGTAGGGGTCGGTCAATGAAAAAGGGAAGGTGTAGTTCAGTGTCGAGTCATAAAGGATGGGTTGTGGCTGGAATCTTGGTTAGAATTGTTGTCAGATCAGATATCTCGACTTACTTCTCGCGTTGGCGATGGGGGGATGTAGTATGCGGGAAATAGACTGGTTGGGAAGCCAGCAGGGACAGTGTAGGCCAGTACCTGAGAGCTTGAGCTCTGGGCATATGCGAGCTGACAGGTACAGCTACTCAGAGCCGACAAGAGGAACAAACGAGAGCAATGCATACTGACGAGCACTGAAGAACAGTAATGATGTTGTGACCTACCAAGAGATTCTCACCAGATCAGATCGAGAAAAATTCAAGATAAGATAGCTTCATTCGCGAGGTTTATAAGGCTCTGCAGCATGTCGGTTGGCTAAGCTGTAAGCATCGCATCGCACCCACACAACAGGGAGGAACGTGGTGTTGATCACAGCCCAATGATGCTGAGATCTCAAGCAAACGGTGCCTGTTCCTGCCAAGATTCCTGGAATGTGCCCAATGCGTAGCCGTTGAGCTTGCACGTGGTCGATGGGTGTCGTTCAGATCTGACGAAGCTCTGCGTCGGCGATGTCGGATGCTGCATGTCCAGGGCTGCCTTGTGACAGGTTTGGGGAACCTCACTGGCGGATCGAGGCCGCCCCCACAGATTGAGTGTAGCCCAGGGCTTAACTAGTGGTAAGCTTTCTGGTTTGAGCTTGGTGCGTGGCTGGGCCGAGTTATGTCGAGCTACGCTTTGCTTGTTTCTATCCGGATTGAACGCGGACCTCCAGAATTTAGGGTAGGTGGGAGCGAGTTGGACTTCTTCGTAGATATCCAGTATTGTCGGAAGCATCAGTCTAAAATGTCTTTAGAGCAGGCGCGGAGGATGCGCGTCCGCTGAAAGGGCTGAGTTACCGTGAGTCTGCTATGGAAAAACATCACAGGGAGTCTGGAGATCACCACGTCTGCGCCTACTTAGCTATACCTACTTCAGTCGTCTCGGACGATAACATCTACAGGTGCTAAAGCACGACTATCGATCATGCTATAGTCCGTAAAGCCGAAGAATGGGATATTCGGAAGACAAGTAAAGTTCAAGGCGATCAGGATCCCAGCGCTGTTGCTACAGCCCAATCGTGACTCAAGCAGCCCCTCCAGAGTTATCATGGACTCCGAAATCGTTTCCAGTGGCGCTTCCGACATCAACCCAGCTACCGGTAAAGGGAGGTCGAATATGACCTGGCCGTCCAACTGGTCTTAAGCTTGCGAACCTTGATGCAAGGGACTTGAAGGAGGAGCGGGAGCGATCTTGGCATCGAAGGAAGAAACTCTCTAAAAGCGGCGGTACTAATAGCGTCCACAGGGATCAAGTCTACCCGCCGCACTGGTGCCTCGAGCCATTATAAGTTGCTCTTGAGCACTGTTGGGCAGAGCTTGGGTCGCATTGATAGACCGAGCGCGGGCTCAGACTAAAGTCTCCTGGCCAGGAAAGGCTGAAGATGTTCGGACCCTGGAATAATTGGCTTCATTAAAGGTCTGGTCACGTGACTTGCCAAGCTTCGCGAAAGGTCATTTGTCTGCGGCCGACTTGATGTTCACCAGATATCAAAGTACAAACATCTGCATTCAAAGCTGCAGGCGCTCACTCCGGCTTGTCAGCTAGTGACATGTCTTCGCTTCGGGCAAAGAAGCTCGACTTGGGCGGCTTCATCAACATCAAAATCATTCGCGACCACACCAAACGGAAGAACTACGAGCAATTCGAACCTCAAAGGTAAGAATCAGCACCACCTGGTCTTCGCTGAGAGAAGTGATGCGGTGACGCCTGTAGATGATGATGGCTAACACATTTTGCTACTTCAGGCAAGCACTGCGGTACATCATTCGCAACACTTCCCTCCCAGGCGCGATGCGAACAAAAGCCCAGCTTCAATTACAACAGATGCACTGCTACACCCGACCGACACAAATAAAGAATAGATGCGTTATGGGAGGCGTGGCAAGAGGTGTCTTCAGAGCCTTCAGAATGGGTCGTGTATGTCAAATATCATATACCCATGGGAGTATGCACTCGGCTAACCTTGTCCAACTTGCAGTATCAATTCCGTATGAATGCTCTCGAAGGAAACCTTCCGGGCGTCAAGAAAGCAAGTTGGTAATTGTTAAAACACTTCAAGAGCGTTGTTCGATACTCCAGCATCATTTGGCGTTGGAATGTACATATACCTATGAGGACATGAATGAAAAGCGGCCATCAGTCTTGTGCCACAATTCGCGCAGCACTCTGCTGACTTCAAATGAGGTGCGTTGACCATCAGGCTTGCGGTTGCGTTGAAACCGTCTGCCGCTGCGAGAGACATCAACAAAGGTCACTACGGACATGCAGAGGACAGAGCTGCACTAAGCCATGGGGCGGTCTACTGACTTCTCAGGAACATTGTCACCCTTTTTGTGGTCATCGTGTTGTGCTCAGTTGCCAACAGTGGCATACGCTTTTCCTCCAGCCTCCTGATCAATTTTGATGCATTCTTGCAAGCCGCAGAGATTGAAGACTTCCTTGGGGCTGTTCGAAGCATCTGATGGAGAAATCTTTCCGGTCTTCTGCAGAACCCCAAGCTCATGAGCGACAGTTTTGACCACCGGACCAAGGCAAACTCCTGGAAAGATCATGATTCGAAAGCCGATCTGCCGTGCTTCTTCGATCGACAATTCAGGAGTCACACCATTTGGAACGACATTGAGCAGCACCGGAATGTCTCCCATGATTTTGCATACCTTTGCCATTTCCTCTTTGCTTCGAAGAGCTTCGAGGAAGACGACATCGACTCCGATCTTGACCGCTTCCTGCAGACGCCCGATTGCTTCCTCAAAGCCATATGTTTGCAACGAATCTGTTCGAGCGATAATGACAATGTCGGACTGCAACGCATCTCGCGCCGCCACTGCAGCTCGGAGTCGGCTATAGTAGACTTCGCGGTCCACGATTTCTTTGCCCAAGAGATGTCCGCACCTCTTTTCTTGTACCTGGTCTTCGATATGCAACGCCGCAACGCCCGAGCGGGCATACTGAGTGACCGTTCTTGTTACCATGATGGGCCCGCCATATCCGGTGTCTGCATCTGCAATCAGAGGAACATCCGGGTCGAGCGATGCGATCATCTCTGCATTTTCTCTCATGTCGGTCAGGTGTGCTATGCCCAAATCTGCCCAACCGAGTCTTGACATGGAAGTGCCTGCTCCTGTCTACTTGGCTTAGTAACGAGTGGTATTCCAGGGACTACACACTCACCATGTACAAGGCGTCAAACCCCATTGAAAGAGCCACGCGGGCACTCAATCCGTCGAAGACGCCAGGGCATACCACGACTTTTGACCGATCCTTCAACATCTCTCGAAGACGTGCTGCACCGCTCAAAGGCGAGCAGGCTTTTGCTCGACTCTTCTGAGCAGTGGTTGCGACGATGGAACCCATGATTATTGCGGTCTTGAGTTTTGTTGCGTTCTTCGTATAACACAGAAATGGTAGGTCAAGCAAATGGCATACTCGCAAGAACCTCCAGCAGAAGACTCACTCAGATCTATTAAAGCCCGCCTGTGCCTCTACAGGTGCGTCCCGATTTGCGGGGAATACTAATTCACTCATCTCGATGCCGGGCGGGTCAGAGCCGACATCGACCTCCATATCCGATGCTCGCGCCGAAGTGCGGAGATGGCTCCTCAGATCGGCCCAAACTAACAATGCACCCTTTCCTAAATCGCTACATGTCACGTATACCACCACCACCACCACCACCACCATATTCAATTGGTGTCCATAATGCTAATGACGTTTGGATGCCTCCTCATTGGGCCATCGGAAGCAAATATTGAGGCCTTCCATGGTCGATAAATATGCAACACGTAGCCTCCGAACTTGCCTCCCGACATCCACGCAGCAGCTCGCAACATGGCCTTAGCAACAGAGTCTCAGAAAAATGTCCTAAGCCCTGAAGAAGGACAGCTCGCACAATCCATCTTGGGTCCTGGAGTTGATGACTTCAAAACAAAGCTGCAACGCCTGCTGTCTCAGACGAGGAGAGTACGACCAGATGACTTGGTGTTCGATTCTTCAAGGACGGCAGACACCATCCCTGGAACTCTGAGTTGCTATATCTCTGCATTGACAGAGGCAGACAAACCTGCCGAAGCAGAAGCTTTACAGCAAGTTTATGACAAAGTGGTTGACAGTCCAAGTTTCGGAGGACTCGGCTTGACTGAAGGCGCCCAAGCGTCTGCTCATCATGAGGCCGAAGCCGTCTTCTTGGTTGAAGCCTGGTTGAATGCAATCACTTCACGAGAACGGGCGCGAGACTATCTGTCATTTCTCAACGCCCCTGCTCCAGGAACCAGACCTATGACACTAGCAGAAAAGATCTTCGCCCAGCATGTGATTGGCGAAAAGTCTACGCATGGCCTCAAAGCAGGTGACGTGGTGAGAGTGGGCGTTGACTGGATCCTGGCATCAGAATTGTCATGGCAGGGCATGGATCGGACGCACAAAGAACTGGGATCTCCCGGGATCTGGCGAAACGACCGTTTTTGGCTGGCGGGCGATCATGTCTACCATCCAGCTCTCGCATCCAACCCCAAGATCAAATCATTCCTAGACGTCGCCGAAAAGGCTAAGAACGAGTTCAAAATGACCGAGTATCAGGGCATGAATTACACCATCATGCATACTGAATTTGTGCGAGAACGAGTCGAACCAGGAATGCTTGCAATCGGATCCGACTCGCACACCTGTTCAGGAGGAGCGGTCGGCTCGTTGTCACTCGGCCTGGGCACCGCGGATGTCATGATGGCTCTGGCTTTGGGTGAGACGTGGTTCAGGATCCCGGAGTCCATCTCCATCGAGCTGGTCGGCAAGCCCGGGGTGGGTATGACCGGCAAGGACGTGATTTTGAATATTCTGGGAGAGCTCAAGCGCAATACCGTTGCTGCTGAGCGGATCGTTGAATTCACTGGTGACGGGCTCAAGTATTTGTCGTGTGATGCCCGGTTTGCCATCTGCAACATGTGCACTGAGTTCGGAGCTATCAGCGGCATTTTCGTGCCCGACAGCATTACTCGCGATTATATCGCGCGACGGCGACGGAAAGCGAACCGCCAAAAGTCGCTGTACTTTAAGCCTGACGCCGACGCTGGGTATGCTGGAAAGTATACTATTGACCTGGCGAGAGTCGAAGCTTCGGTCGCTGTGTACCCGAATCCAGACGACGTGGTTCCTGTCTCGAAAAAGGCAGGTCTCGAGCTGGACGGCGTGTTCATTGGCGCTTGTACAACGACTGAAGAAGAACTCGTCCTTGCTGCGCTCGTGCTGAAGGTTGGATTGGACAAGGGTTTGCCGATCGCGAAGGGGAAGCGACATTATGTTCCCGGATCGCTGCCTGTGCTTGAGAGGTTGAAGGAGCTTGGACTCTTAGAGGTTTACGAGGCTGCGGGGTTCACTCGTGGACTTCCTGGGTGCTCTTTCTGCGTGGGCCTCTCAGCGGAAAAGGCGAATGAGGGAGAGACATGGTTGAGCTCGCAGAATCGCAATTTTCAGAATCGCATGGGGAAAGGTGGACGAGTTTGGTCTGCTGTGCCAGAGTTAAAGACTAACGCGCAATAGGCGCCTTCGGGCACGTTACGACGGCCATTGTATGCGCTGCTTCCAGTTTCAGCCTCACGATCACCAGTCCGGCCGAATTCTTGAGGGATATCGACCTCGATTTCTTCAGGCGGTACAGTCCATTGGCTGGCATGAGCTATGCCCCGATCGAATACGTCGAGCCTGATTTGACGTCGAAGCCGGGACGATCGATTGAATCGACGACCGCTGCTGACACAAGGATAGAGCTCGGGAAGGAAGGTCCACAGAAAAGGCTCGATAAGATATCGAGCAAAGTCGTGACATTGGGAGATTTTATCGATACTGACGCGGTATGTTTGGACAGCTTTCGAGGGAAGAGGCGCAAGGCACTGACACACCGATAGCTAGCTCCCGGGCCAACACTGACCACATGCGTCACGGATGAAGACTTCGGCCACCACGTCCTCGAGCATACCCATCCTGAGTTCCGCGCCAAAGTCAAAGGAGGCCAACAGATTGTCGTGGCCGGGCACGCGTTTGGTGTCGGGTCGAGTCGTGAGTGCGCAGTCTCAGCTCTGAAAGGTACATCTTTAGCCTGTGCATCCAAGGTGTCGTAGACTGACTACGGTCAATAGGCGCCGGCGTCAAAGCCGTGTTGGCACGTTCCTTCGCCTTCATATTTGGCCGCAATCAACCGAGTCTCGGACTGTTAGGCATAACGGTGTCGGACGATGCTTTCTTCGAAGCGGCCAAGGAAGGTGAGGATATCACGATTGACATTCCGAGCCGCAGCGTGACGGTTGGTGGGCAGGTCTTCCCGTTCAATCTGTCGGAGATGGAGTACAATCTGACGATCAATAATGGCATGGCGGAGTCGTTCAGGAAGTTTGGAAAGGGGATTTGGGAGAATTTCACGGGGACCAAGACTGACGCGAAATCTGTTGCCAGGGCTTTGGAGGAGGGAGGTGGTGAGAAGAAGGACACAAAGATGGAATGGTAGGTGCGTCTCGCGACCATGCCCGCCCAAGGGTGAGCTACCTCAAAGCGTGTCTGGTGGGTGTTGACGTGGAGCTGGATGGTCAACCCGATACACGTATTCCGCAACATTAAACCACGCATGATACTCAACTCTGTCCTTCGTGTCGTCCACATCGTAGTGATAGTGGCCTCCTTTGTCCGTGTGGGAATCGCCAGACTCGCTAAAGCAATGCGTATGTTCCATTCTCAGACCCCAACCGCCATCGTCACCGGAATGCAGGACGCTCAGACATACCAGGGGGTTGCCGTCGCCAGTGTCAACATTGAAGTGCTCTAGCCACTTTGCCACAGCGGCGGGGTCCTTGAACGGCTGCGCTGGAAAATCGGGCATGACGTGGACATTGACCGTTCCAGACGTGATCAAGAACACGCCGCCGAGGGAGATCAATTTGTCCCCAAACGACGTCTTCAGTGCCTGCTGGATGGTTTCGGTGAAATTGAGCGCGCTCGTACGGGACTTGGCCCTGATGTGCAAGCAGGGCCCAACTTTCCCGTCGGAGCAGAATAGGTTGCTCATGAGACCGAATTTCGACGTTGAAGACAACGGAGAGCATTGCACAGACCCGTCCGGTGTCAACTTGGCGTAGTATGTGCGGTTGCGAACCGACTCCGCATCTGACCCGCCGGCCGCAATGCCATAGGCGAAATTGGGCATCAACTCAGAGTTCTGGCCCAGGACAAAGAAAGGACCGGCGCCGGCACCGATCAGGAGGCCCGTGGCAGGATTCATGTCGACTTGTCGCGCAATGGCCCTCAGGTCGTATTTCCTGCTGAGGTCGCGTTTGACCAGGTATGATCGGTCGCCCACCTCGGCGACGCGAGTCGAGCCTGTTAGCCCGGGGCCTGCCAAATGGAACGGAGCGAGAGTGAGGTCCGGCGGTGTCTCGACGGTACATGATGACGAGGCGAAGTTGGTGGAAAGACCTGCGGAGATGCTCGTGGCCAATTCGGCCAGTGACGGTTGTGAAAGGGATAACTTTTTAACCGGCAGGGTGTGCTCAGAACTCATTGTGAGGATAGAAACTTTTCGACTGCAAGCGAGGAGTAGGATGGTTTGATAGATTCGGCCACCAGCTGTGTCGCTGTTAGAAACTGCCGGAATTTGGGATGGCGTGTCGTCGAGAACAAAAGTACCTCGGTAGAACTCCACTGTCATCAGTATAAAGTACACACGAAACGAGTGGGCACGTGCGAAGAAGAAGCCTAGCCTTCATTGTCGGCGACGTCGCCTACGTATGTCTGCCGATCTCAGGACACCTACGGTGATGAAATCTCCCGCAGGGTACCAAGTCAGATGCACATTGCCCGGATGATCCAGCATGACTGGCCATGTGACGCACTACAGCTACGCCTGGACAATGATACTTGAGTGTCTCATCTCACCCCGCATTCCGGGGTCGCAGGAAGGCCTCTCTGATGACAAGAAGGACTAGAAATGCAGTGGTAGGATAATGATTGCACGATATATCGACGATGTAAGCTGCATCAAACTCTCGACATTTGTACGTTGATCTGGTTCCCTCCGCCAATCAGAGACACGACGCTCGCTCACCTCCGAGGACTGACTTGAAGTGACTCTTTCGGACAGAGATACCGTTAGGCATCTTGAGTGGGAATTCCCTGGTTTCGATTTTGACGACTCTTGCCCATTCCCGTTTCAACTTCAGTCGTCGGCGTGCATTTGTGGACCAGTTGCTGATCTTGTCAGAGCGTTAGCACGTGTATAATAGTTCTTTCCGGCGGGGACATTGTAGACCTCGCTGATGGTCAATCAAGGCTCCCTGCCAAACATCTGCTACTCTTCAGCTCCCGAATGGGTCATCACGAATTGATTCAGGTGGTCTTGGAAAAGTTCTTCCATGCCCCCAACGACTGCGTTGACCGTCACCTCAACCGCCTCCGCCCTCTGAATACACTGGTGTTCCAGACGACATCAGCGGTTCGTCCTTCGTAGGACCTGGTGGTGGGTCAGATCGCTGGTGGATTGCAAATTTACAACCTGGCTGACCAGGCTCTCAGAAGCGTTGTGTGATGGACTGCACATGCTGGGATCGACGGCCGGTGAGCTGTCAGGGTTTCGCTGGGTAAAGCCGACATGAGTGGATTTCTTGTCCTTTTCCAGCCTTTCTCTAGGTCGTGTCCCTGCTGTCAGAAGCCTGGCTGCCTTTTCGACCTGCCCGCTCTCCTGGTATGCACAGGCTAATAGCCCTTGCGATGCGGGTCGGAGAGGATGGTCTTCCGCTAAGCTTTCTTGCATTCGCACCACATGCTCTAGGAGTACAATCGCCTCCTCAACCCGCGCGTTTTTCAGGTATGCATAGGCCAACTCGTGCTGGGTGACTAATCGACTGGGATGGTCCTCTGTCAGCTCCTCCTTGATCTGAGCTACATATTCCAGGCGTGGGATCGCCTCGCTAATCTGCCCTATAGCGACATATGCGCAGGCTAACTCGTGCTGTGATGCTAATCGGTTTGGTTGGTTTTTCGGTAAATCCTCGCTTTCGATTCGTACCACATCTTCCAGGATCTTGATGGCCTCGACGATCTGCCCCTTCACCCGGTATGCGGCGGCCAACTCGTGCTGCGAGGCCAATCGATTGGGATGGTCTTCCGCCAGTTTCTCTTGGATCCGGTTCAGGTGTTCTAATAGCGTGATCGCCTGATTGACCTGCCCATTCGAAACGTAGGCCCTGGCCAGATCGTGCTGCGATTTCACCCGATCAGGATGGTCGTCCACAAGTCTTTCCCGGATCTTCGCGATCTGTTCTAACACCACAATACTATCCTTGAACTTACCGTGATGAAGAAGAGCACTGCCACGGAGCTGGTAGAGCGAGAGCCATTCTTCTTTCACAACTACTCTCGAAAGTTGATGGTGGGCGCATAATCGATCTGTCAGTCTGAGAAGACTGTTGTCATCGCGTAACATTTCCAGCGTCCATCCACACTCGATGAGAATCTCAGTAATTGAGACGCTCCGGTCGGAGCCATATATGCACCGCATGTCACAGTCTAATAGCACCTGAAGATGAGGTTGCAGCAGTCGCGCCTGACTTCGCCAGAATTCTCTGTCACTGCTCGAAATCGCAATGATGCAGCTAGCTGACACCCAGGAGGTATGTTGTTGTTGCTCGTCTTGGCAGTCTCTCGCCCATGCGTGAAGGAGCGGGTGCATCGACACTCTCATCTGCTCACCTTGAGCAGTAGCCGAGACTAGTGCAAGCGACCTCAACGTATGCACTGCTTCAATCAAGCGAAATGGGTCCCAGCTATTATTGTCGGGGTCAATGAAGGCAGGCAAGCGCGAGACGTGCCATGATGTCAAAGCGAGGTCGTGGCTGTCCAAAGAGTCTCCTAAGGCCAGGAATTTGCGCCCACCGTTCCATGCCGCTTCGAATAGCTGTAGAGGAATCTCCCTCGTACCGTACATCGATAACAATGGCAAAAGCTGCAATGCATCCTGTGCCGATGCTGTCGCGCTCGATTGCAAGATTTGAATGGAAGCCTGGAAGCATGCATAAACGTCGCCGTATCGGGACTGCACCTGCAACGGCCGGAAGGCAAGGAGCCGTTTTCGAAATCGAGTGAAAACTTCTGGATATCTTGCCAGTGTACAATGACCGTGTGCGACGTAAGCACCAGCCTGAATTAGCGCCAGAGGATGCGAGTTTAATAAGGCTGCCACAGCTCGTGCGTCATTTTCCACCGCAGAACGTTCACCATCCGGAACTCTGGCAGCCTTGAAGACAAGATGCTGGGCATCGCCCCGAGCAAGCTGAGTCAAAGCAATGAAATCGGCTGTTGCGTACTGCTCGCAGTCAGCATTGCGCGAGGTGAGTATAACCACTCCATACGAGCTCGGGGGGAAATAAGTTTGATAATCAAGATCTGGGTCGTCTGCATTATCCAACACCAACAGCCACCGCTGATGTACATTAGCGAGTCCGCGCCGGCCATCCTCCCATGTGGTCGCAGAAATCTTGAGTCGATCGGCGATTCCAAGAAAGCCGTTCTGTGCAAGAGAAGGAGTGCTGACGTCAATCCAGAAAACACCCCAGAACCTGAGCAACTGTTAGGTGTCTATGCGTGGCAGACTTTATTTTGCCATACTCACAATGACCGGAGACGCTGCGCGAGTTGTAAGCAAATCTCACTTTTCCCCAGACCACCCATGCCGGAGATGACAATACGAGGCTGTTTATCATTCATTCCTGCACGCGCTGCCTCGCGCAGCTTCTGTTCCAGGTCTTCAAGGATGTCTTCTCGCCCAGTGAACATGTTGTTGACAGGGCGGTCGACACCCCAGTGTACATTGTTTGTGTTGCCCATCGGTCCTGGTGAAATCAGCTTGCACAATCACAAGATCGCTCCCCAGATTCTGTGTCGTTGACAGCGGGGTCATCACTCACCCACAGCAGATATCTGGATCTCCCTATTTAGCCTAACGAATGCTTTATCTTCCTCACCATATATCAAAGGCATAGACACATCGAATATGCCTAGTAGGCAGTATGCCATGTCCTCTTTCTTCTTGGTTTTGCGCTTAGCCGCCCACCCAAAGCGTTCATCAACGCTGAAATCAGTTAGAGGCATGGTACCACTCAAAACGGCAACAGGGATTGCGGTGATCTCGTGGACCAGGTCCTCCAGTGAACCTTTGTCGCCCAAACGCACCCACTCTCGCGAAAAGAATTCCACCGATGCTGGCGCAATGAGTTCTTGCAGAGTCCAGCCTCGCCTGAACCACCGGCTCCTTCGGAAAGCTGGCTCCCATGCACGTTGGGCGCCTCGTGCATCCTCGCCGGAGAACGAGACATCGGAAAGGCAGACATAGCATCGCTCCGCATTGCGGTACCAACGGAACATCGAATTGATAGCCTCGGACAGCTCAGTATTATTAGACTTGTCGATGCAGCACGTATCAACCCAAAAGTACTCCAACCCGTGGGTTTGGGCCTGCTCGCCACAAAACATTATCTTTTTGTGGCCATCTTTGTTCTTGCCAGAACCAATGCGCAAATCACTAAAGCTGACTTCGTTCTGATCGGGGCCCCAACTGTGGGACAGGATGGCATATGGGTGGGTCATATTATCCAGATCGTCCGTCAACGTCATTTCGCCTCGTCCATCGATCTGTAGCAGACGCATCCTTATGCCTGTTCAAAGGGACCGCAACGGGGAAAAGACTGCAATGCCGGTGTGGTCAGAGGGTACGACGGAGTGGTAAAGGGCGGACAGCAACTGGGATTCCTAGCTTGGGTAGGCTCGATTTCATGCCCAGGGATCAATACTGTAAAGCATTCAGCTCTTGAAAGGGGAACAAGCGCCAGAGTCATCGACAGAATCTATCAGTATGAGGAAGATGTCGCGAATGCCAGTACAGTCAAGTTGAAGAATTGTTGAGGCTGACACTTGGGTTGTGCGTCAACCAATTGAAGCAGACAAGACCAATGTCACCTATTCGAACTGCGCTGTAAGGCGATACTTACGGGTGGCTGTCAAAACAAGCCTCCACGCGCCTTTCGTAAATGCGATTGGTGGACAAAGCACAAGTGGTAATACCCAGTGGGCGAAGCAAAAGAACATCCAGTTGCAGGATGAAGATAGAGGTTGTGTTGAGTGGTATCAGCATAGAAACCGGGCAAATAGAGAAGGGCAAGACCCGAAGCGCTAGTAACCCTTAATTAGGACCTTTGGAGTTATTAGCTTGTGTGCGCGTACTGTAGGTGCCTTCGGGCCGCCGCCAGTCTCGCATCGCCTGCAAGGAACCAATTCACCTGTACATTGCCTGGACAATAATCCGCGCATATCTTGTCCCAGTCTGAGTCACAACACTCTACGGACCAACATCGACCCAAAGAGCGTTCTCAGGCATCAGACACTGTTGATTGGTGTCAATGGCGTCCCGGTCTTCAGGAAAGCCTCTAGATTATCTAGGTTGGTCTTCTCGAAATTGTGCCAACTCGTGCCTGAGCAAACACCAATATGTGGAAGAAGCGTCACTCTCCAATTCTCTCGAAGCTTGGGATTTACTCTCGGCTCGTCTTCATGCACATCGAGACCAACTCCGACGACCTTCTTACTTTCAAGAGCCTCCAGAAGTGCTGACTCGTCGATCATCTTGCCTCTCGCAATGTTCACGACTCTCAGACCTCCTTTCTTTGCCAGTGAGAATTGCATCGTGGACAGTAAGTGATGCGTGTCTTCTGTGTACGGAGCAGCGAGAACAATGCAGTCGACCTCGGGGATCATATCCTCCACACTTGAGTGGTACACTGCAGGCCTCATCAAGGTTCGCTCGGAGGTCTCTTTTCGTCTTGGGCCTTGATAGTGGATGTTCATGCCGAGCGCAGCTTCACACTTCTGTGCGATCGCCAGGCCGATATCTCCCAAGCCCACGATGCCCAAAGATTGTCCGCAGGGATCAACTGCTTCCATGCCGAGTTGCTTACTCGCCATCCAGTCGTACCGCGCACACCACTGTGCATAGGTCAGAAATCGAAAGGTATCCAGAACCAAAGACAAGCCCGTGTTCGCGACAGCCTCAGTACATGCATTCGGTGTATTGCAGTACCATATCTGACGGGCTGTGATCTCCTTGATGTCTGCAGCATCGTAGCCATGGCCACTGCAGCAAATGATCCGCAATGTTGGAGGGAAGTGCGGCACGACTTTCGAATTGAAGGGAAACTGATTCGCCATTTTGCCAATCTTGTGCCAACCATTACGCACGATTGCCATGACTTTGGAATATGGACCGCCAGGTTTCAAGCGCTCTATGAATTGTGCTGTCGAGTCACAATCATAGTAAATTAGATTGTATTGTTGTGATAGTGCTTGCCTTCTTTCGACATCAACCGCTTGCACGGCCGAGTCTATCATAAGAATATCTGGTTTCGTACCCATGACTCCAGCACGGTACCACTACAACTCAGATGACCGTTAAATCATGATGCTAGAAACGACGAGCAGATGCTTGATGTGTTAGTCGGCATCAAGGCCAGCAACGCCGATATCCGGGGGTCTTATCTGGAGGGTAAACCTGTCAGCAATCATCGCGTCGAGGTCGGACAGGGGTCCAAAAAAAGTGCCCCGCAGATTATACTGTACCTGTAGAGGAGTGAACGGGTCTCTCTCCAGGCGGATTCCCGGGCGTCCATTAGGTGCATGGCAACGAACTTTCGTCCTTGCCGGTTCATCCACCATACAAACAGCATGAGGCAACCGCATGCCCAAGCGAGGCAGAGCACTACAACTCCTTGCAGTCATGATAGGTCCAATACCGTGACCACAATCACCTAGCGTGCCAGCAGATAAGGCTCTCCCGCTCCATATCAATCGCTGTCTCATCGATCGATTGCCAATATCAAGCCATAGCCTCCCATCGCTTGCAGCTCCTTGCATCGTCGGATCAAGGCCGAGGTGGCGAGGATGGGAGACACTGTCGCCGAAGCTTCCCCACAAACGCTTCCAGCAATTCAGGACCCTAATGGACCCGGCGGAAACCATCAAGTGGTCCTTGCAAGTGGTAGTCCACGCTCCAGGTCTCGCTACGGATTTATGACGAGTCTGTTCGGCACTGTCAGCGCGGTCGCACTTGGTCTCTGGCTAGTTTGGCCATATGGCTCCCCGTTCGAGCGAAGTATCAGTCCTCTTGACTATCAAGGGCGAACCGAACGACTTCTCTCGACGACACCATTGATCGATGGACACAATGACCTGCCATATCTGCTGAGACTGGAATTGAAGAACAAGATCTATGATGAAGTAAAGTTCACCTTCCGAGAGAGTATGTACTTGACCTCAAACTTCCGGTGCCTACTGTAGAACGACTGACGTGCTCCTTCTCAAGGCCTAGCAGGCCATACCGATCTTCAGCGGATGAAAAAAGGCAAAGTCGGTGGACAATTCTGGTCCGTCTTCGTCGAGTGCCCGGACATCGTCCAGCTCGATGACCCCAACCACGCTGTCCGCGACACATTCGAGCAAATCGACGTGGCTAAGCGGATAATCTCTCGTTACGATGAACTACACTACTGCGAGACGTCGAGTTGCGTACCCGCCGCCTTCAGAGCAGGAAAAGTCCCGTCAATGCTGGGCGCTGAAGGCCTGCATCAAGCGGGTTCCTCCATCGCATTGATCCGCCAGCTCTTCGATGCTGGCGTACGATATATCACCGTCACTCATAATTGCAACAACGCCTTCGCCACCGCTGCGTCGACAGTCACTGAGACTGGTCGCGACGGCGGTCTGTCAGACTTTGGTGCCGCCGCAGTTGTCGAGATGAACAGGCTCGGTATGATGATCGATCTATCGCACACTTCGCACAAATCCATGCGCCAGGTTATGGACATCACACGGTCGCCAGTCATCTTCAGCCACACTGCCTGTTACGCGTTGTCGGCGAATTATCGAAATGCTCCGGACGATGTAATAGCCAGATTGAAGACCAATGGCGGAGTCTTGATGGTGTTCTTCGTCGGACGGTTTCTGAACGCTAAGAATCCGGATGCTGCGGATATTGAAACCGCAGTCGACCACATTATGCATGTCGTTGACGTTGCGGGATGGGAGCATGTCGGCATCGGCGCCGATTTTGACGGAACAATCGATTTGGCAAACGGCATATCGTCGGTCGCAGACTACCCTAAAGTCATTGAAGCTGTCATGAGAAGGGGTGCAACTGACGAGCAGGTCAGAAAGTTGGTTGGCGAGAATATCCTAAGGTATGTATGGCTGATACATGGTATCGTTCTCTCCGTCCGTGATTCGGAGATGACTCTTGCTAATTCGTGCTGGTCAAACAGGGCATGGCGGCAGAACGAGGTCAATGCAAAGCGTTTCAGCAAAGAGCTGCCAGTCGAGGACGTATGGGAAGGTCGCCGCTGGACGAGATGGGACAATGGCCTTCCAATTATGATCCCAGGGAATCCGGACCGCATCGCAGGGAAGAACCATCCTTAGCTAGGGAAGGCTAGTGACAATCAACGAGATACCGAAGCAGCCCGTTCAGTGTTGGTGGATCCGGATATACGACACATCAACATAAGTCTTGAGACTGAATGATACACTGTATACCTGGGCTCAATTTCCTGTGGCCTTTGCATTCCTCTCAGCCACACTTCCTGAAGTCCTCGAGTTGCTGCTGGCTTTGAATTTGTCGCCGATCTTGAACGCTCCCACGATCTGCTTCTTAGCCACAGCATTAGGGTCTGGTCCATACCCACCACCACCGGGAGTAAGGACAATGATGCGGTCACCAGCGTTCATGGGCGTCGTAGCCTTCCCACCCAGGCTGATAGTCCGAACAGTCCCATCTTCTGGATCTCGACGAATCCATAGATTGACTCCACGTTTTCCTTCCCCACCTCCTGCCATGCCGTAAGGAGCAATGACACGCCGTTCCGACAGTATCGATACTTGCAAGGGTATGCGGAACTCGATGTCACGCACGCACCCGTCTCCTCCGCGATGGAGACCAGCACCACCACTGTCAGGACGAATGGAAAATTCATGAAGGATGACGGGATATCGTCGCTCGAATATCTCCGGGTCCGAGATCCTCGTGTTGGTAATATGAGTGTGCACGCCACTTTCACCGTCCCAGTCAGCGCCTGCGCCTGAACCACCAGCGATGGTCTCGTAGTATCCGAATCCTTTGACGACTTTTCCTGTCATTGGGTCGGTGCCTCCGTAGCCGAACGTCAAATTATTACACGTTCCTTGTGATGCTGCACAGGCTTGGAAGGCTTTGAAGATCAGGTCGACTATCCTTTGCGATGTCTCGACGTTCGATCCGACTGTCGCCGCTTTCAGCGACGGGGAGAGTATGGATACTTCAGGTAGTTTGATCTTGATGGGCTTGAGACAGCCTTGGTTCAACGGGATATCGCTGGAGATCATTGACCTCAGACAATACTGCACGATATACTCGTTAGTACGGATTCCGACAGTTACTGGAAGGAGAATCTTTAGTGAATCTCACCATGATACCAGAATACATAACCGCTGGAGGACAATTCATGTTTCCAAAGTGTTCGGGACCACTGCCATTAAAGTCGAAGACAGCATCACCACTCTGCTCGTTGATTGTAATCTTCAGTGCTATTGGCGTGCCATCATCGATATAGTCGATCGCTTCAAGATCTACTCCTTGAAAACGTTGGGCGAAGACCTTGAGCAATTCGCGGACCGCTTGTGCGGCATTGTTCTGGATCGCCTCCATGTAGAATTGCACGACCGGCCAGGTATACTCCTTGACCAAGTCCTGAATCAGCTGGATTCCACGATTGTTTGCCGCCACGGCAGCTTTGAGATCCGCGACGTTGTCCCGGTAAGTACGGGTACCGCTACATCCAGGGTAGGAAGCGGGGATGTCCACGAGAATATGTCTTAGACCGTCTTCGTCGAAGACACCCTGTTTCACCATTTTGAATGTCTCAACGGCGACACCCTCCTGCCAAAGCTCGGTCGAGTTGGGTGGCATCGAGCCAGGCTGTATTCCACCAATATCTGCATGGTGGCCTCTATTCGCAACGAAGAATAATATCTCCTTGGGGTTCTCGTCATCGTCAAAAACGGGCGTCGTCACAGTCAGGTCGGGAAGATGCGTACCACCTGATATGGGGTGGTTGCTGAGCAGAACGTCACCTGGTTTCAGCTCTCCTGGCTTGTACAGGCGAGCTTGGTAGGCAATGGCGTAGCTCATAGAGCCCAGGTGTCCGGGGATATGAGGTGCGTTGGCCACTAAGCCGCCATCAGCAGAGAAAACAGCGCACGAATAGTCAAGTCGCTCTTTGATGTTGACTGAAATAGACGTCTTCTGCATTGTTTGGCCCATTTGCTCCGCGACGCTCATGAAACGGTGGCCAAACACGCTCAATTGAACAGGGTCGACTACCTCAGTGGCCACCTGCTCCTTTTCGAAGTCGTTGATCTCAAGAATCAAGTGCTCAGATAGCACTGTTGCTTCACTGGCTGGGTCCACAACGATAGTCTGGGTTTGATCGACCACCATTGCTGGTCCTTTGACGTGGGTTCCCAGGGGGAGATCTTGAAGGAAGAACACCGCGGTCTCGGTCCAGCCTCCAGACTCAAAGTATACCTGTCGCTTTGATTGAGGCTCGATTGGGGTAGCAGGAGGTGACGCTCGTAGTTGCTGCAGTTCTTCGAATGGACTCTTCAGGGTAATGTTTGCGCCTTTTCCCACGCTACGTACTCTGACATCGTCGACAAGGATCTCGCGAGGTTGTGTGAAGCCAAACCCTTGCTTGTGACGTTGCGTGAAGGCTTTGCCGAAGTCGGCAATGTTTCCAGGCTCCGCGATCATGAGTGCAGTGTCACTACCCTGATATCTCATACTCAAAAATAGCTCGTGTTCGATCTGTGCTGGCGGAAAGCCTTGAGGGATCAAGCCCTCAACACCCAATGCACATAGTCTTTCGAAGCGACTCTGCAGTTTTGGTAACACCGCATCAGAGAATGTAAGCGCTTCTGGCTCTTGGTTCTCGACGGTAACATCAGCTAATGCCATACCGTACGCCGAAAGTATACTAGAGTATCTAGGGATGATAACTTGTCGGATCCCCAGATCTCTGGCAACTGCGGTCGCGTGTTGGCCACCCGCTCCACCAAAGCAGCCTAGGTTATGGCTTGATGTCTCGAAGCCTCTGCCCTCGCTCAAGGTCCTGATCGGCCGTGTCATGGTTGCGTTCGCGATAGACAGAAATCCAGTGGCGACTTCTTCAGGAGTCATGCTACCCTCGCCCTCCTTATCGTTGTTGATTGTCTCGGTGATTTCGGCAAATTTGCTTCGCACGACATCGAGGTCCAAAGGCCGTGGGAATAAGTCTGGAATGATTCTCCCCAAAAAAAAGTTGGCATCAGTCACTGTTAGGGGTCCGCCCCTCCCATAGCAGGCCGGGCCTGGGTCGGCGCCCGCACTGCTGGGACCGACTTTGAACAGGCCGTTCTCCCAGAAAAGCATTGAACCACCTCCAGCCGCGACAGTATTGATATCGAGTTGAGGAGTTTGTATGGTAACCTCGGCAATAGTATTCTCAAAGATGTGCTCAAGGGCTCCCGCATATCGTGCAACATCCGTGCTTGTACCGCCCACTAAGGAGCCTGTTAGCCTGCCGCAGAATCCAATCCGAGGGAGAACTGATACTCACTGTCGAATCCTAGCACAGGAGTGCCATCATTGGGATCATAGCATGTCCTTGAAAGTCCAACCACGCCACCAGCAGGACCACTGAGCACACCTCTGATCCCCGTGAACTTGTTGAAGGTGGTCAACCCACCATCTGACTGGTTGAGGAAGAGCTTGTTAGCATGCTCGTCCTCGAATTTACCTTCGAAACCTTGTCGGAATTTGGCGATATACTCGTCGGTAATGGGAGACAAGTAAGCATCGGCAACAGCCGATTGACAACGTGGCACCAGCTTTGCCATTGTCTGAAGTTCAGACGAGGCTGAGACTCGGAAGCCCATCTCCTTAGCGATCGAAGTGACGGCAAGCTCATGGTCCTGATACGTGTACGAGTGCAACATGGCGATAGCTACACTCCTGTAGCCTTGATTCCACAGGTCCTGCAGATCGCAGCGTACGGCTTCATAGTCTGGTCGTTTGAGGACGCGTACTGCTTCGCCCGTAAGGCCGACTCGTAGATTGGGATCAGATGTCAGATCGATCGACTTGGGTTCCGGATCTTCTGCAAAGCCTTCAATTGTGACTCGTTCATCGACTTCAACGACCGCTTCATAGAGTTTTCCCAGCCTGTGCACCGACAGGTCGAAGATATGTGGTCGAGCCTGATTACCGATCCTGAGAATGTCTCGAAAGCCTTTCGTGATGAGCAAGGCTACCCGCTCACCCTTCCTCTCCAGTAAAGCGTTCGTGGCCACCGTGGTACCCATGCGGATAAATTCGATGCGACTCGGGTCGAGAGGCACACCACGAGGGATCTTTGATTTCGTCGCAATCTCCAGGATTTGTCGTATGCATTCTGTGGGAGCATCTTCGTACTCTTCCGGGCATTTGGAAAGGACTTTGATCACTAGATTGCGATTTCGACCTGGAATCTGCGCCCAAGCATCGGTGAATGTGCCACCCCGGTCGATGGCGATGCGAACTCCTTTGATAGACATCGCTTCTTGAGTCCAGAATCAACCGAGCTTGTACGGTCCTGCGAACTGAAATCGAATAAAACGATGCAACAGTAAATCTGTGAGCACATATCATTCAATAACGATCGCGATATCTCGACTGAGTACAGATTTGGGCCAGTCGTCGGTACGCGGCGTGTGTACCCCTCCTTGTTGCATTTGCGGCCAATGGACCGGTCATACCCCGTGTCGTAAACATCTTGAGCGACTCGAGGAAATCGCTCGACCAATACCGGCCCTATCATAGCAGCTCGGCGTTAGAAGATAGGAGCACAAACCGAAGCTTGTGTGAACGGCATAAGGACATCCCCGGATGATAAGAGGCGTACGGATTTCCACGCGCAGGACTTTCAATAGGCATGACTTGATGGGTACCTATGGTCGCATATGCTGAACTTCGGCGCTGACCAAGATCTTAATCCTCAGCGAGGACGGGTTCAGAAAGTCTTTTGACCCCTGATATCGGAGTCCGAGTGTCGACATCGGACTCGGCATTGAGATCAAACCAACCAATCGGCGTCGACCGCATGTCTATGCTTCAGGATATGCAGGATGTTAACTCTTTCTCCCTCTGTCTCCCATGACAACACCGGCTTGCATGAGCCTGGATCAGAAAGGATGTGAAGTAGTTGGCTAAGGCATTTGATCAGGGGACCAACAAGCCTTTCACGCAGCGGATCCTCAAACCGATAACGGTCTGGACTGTCCTCAATGAGGTATTTCTCAGGGCCAATATGGCACCAGCACACGGTCTTTAGAGTTACCTCCTTCATGTGTACGTAGCCACCGTCCGGCGTCGAGTGCGATCACGGTTTGATGGTCCACGACATAAAAGCAGAGTGACTCTATGAACTTCCACCACTGGACAGAGTCACACGAAACAGCACTCAAGCACAAGCTATCGAGTTAATACCTAAACTTATCCCAACCACGATGTCAGCGTCATCGGCAAACCAGACAGCAACCTCCTTAACGGAGGCCAGCAACCCACCCGGCGTCACAGGTCAACTATGCACCTGGATCCACGACACAACCATTGACAAGATCCCCGCCGACGTCCTCGAGCGGGCCAAATATCTCATCCTCGACGGCATCGCATGCGGTCTGGTCGCAGCGAACCTGCCCTGGTCAGAGACCGCAGCCCGAGGCATCTTCGACATGGAACCGGAAGGCCAATGCACAGTGATCGGCTACGGCGGGAAGAAACTGTCCCCCATCGCCGCTACGGTCCTAAACAGCACATTCATCCAAGGCTTCGAGCTAGACGACTACCACTCCCTCGCACCGCTGCACTCTTGCTCACTGCTCTTACCCGCTCTATTTGCCGCCGCAGAAGCCACCAGCACGTCCACGCAGACATTCACAGGCAAGGACTTCCTCCGCGCATTCGTCGTAGGCTGCGAGACCGGTCCACGCGTCGGCCTGGCCTTGCACGGCGCCGACCTCCTCACACGCGGCTGGCACAGCGGCTCCGTCCAGGGTCCCTCGGCGACCGCCGCGGCAGTATCGTCTTTTCTGAACTTATGTCCCGCCCACATCGAGTCGGCACTAGGCATGGCCTGCACGCAAGCAGGCGGTCTAATGTCCGCGCAATTCGGCTCGATGGCCAAACGCATGCAACACGGCTTCGCGGCACGAAACGGACTGTTCGCCGCCTTGATGGCCAAGGAAGGCTACACCGGCATCGAGCAAGTCTATGAGGTTCCCTATGGCGGGTTCCTGGACTGTTTCGCCCAAGGCGCCACTTACGAGCCCAAAGCCCTGCCCGAAGAGCTTGTCAGTGGCCTCGGCGAGCGGTGGGAGTTGTACGGTGTTCGTGTAAAATTACACGCTGCGATGGCTGGTTTGCACGGGACCATTGACTGTATCGCCAACTTGCAGGAGGAGCATCCGAACCTGTTCGAGGTCGAGAACCTGCAGAATATTGAGAGCATCACGACGCAGCATAGCAGGCCTGCGTTTGAGCATGGTGGGTGGGTGGCTCCGCCAGACAAGCCAATCTCCTCGCTCGCGGCGCAGATGTCGATTCAATATGTTGCCGCTGCACAGTTGGTCGACCACCAAGTGCTGATGGCGCAGTTCGGTGCAGATAAACTCAATCGTCCGATCTTGAGAGATATCATGGCCAAGACGACGCCCACGCACAATGCCGAGTTCGACAAGGACAAGAAGACCGGCTGGGTCAATATCGCCACGGTACGGTTCAAGGATGGGACGGAGGTGACCAACCGAACCGAGAGCCCCAGAGGCATCGAGCCGCCTGCGAGTAACGAGGATGTCGTGACGAAATGGCGGATGTTGGTACAAGATGTGCTAGAAATCGAGAGGCGCGAGGAGATCGAGAAGTGTGTTCTCGGTATGGACAGTCTGGATGATGTCAGGAAATTGGTCAAGTTGCTTGAAGGGACTGTAAAGTGTCCGATCACTGTTTAGACTTGACTCGGTATGTTTTGGACAGCTTTATTTTCATGCTATTTAGTCCGCTATCATCCACCTTATCGTTCATACCAGCTCTGTCAATCTGTGGCCACCTTCTTAATACCAACATCAACAGCGATCGCCTCTGGAGGGACAAACAACAGTCATCAAAACGTTCAGGATCTTCTTGGATTCGTTCGCAATTGACACTCTTTTGCTGCGTTGAGCCAGTTTTAGGGCGCCCTTGCCATACTCGCATAAGCTTATCTAGGCAGTCTTCTCTCCATAATCTTCGCGAGTATCAGTCGGAACATACTCGTCGGAATCGAACTTGTACAGCTGCGGCGGAGTAAGACCCTTTCGACGCAAGACCGTCGTCTTGAACCAGTAAGGCGCAACCTGATTAATCTGGTAGTGCATGTGCGTCCTGGTGGGCACGGCAAAGACATAGTCCAGCTCTTCTAGCGTCCGCTGCTTGGTTTCCGGAAGCCACAAGAAGATCATGACGAACGCGATAGCGTTGAGAGCCGCATAGAATCCAAACGCACCCTGAGCCGTCATGGCCTGTAACATACGTGGGAATGTGAGCGACAGCACCGACGCCCAGAAGTTGTTTGTCGCTACGGCCCAGGACATGCCCACCTCACGATGAGACAGTGGAAACACTTCTGCCGAGTATGTGAACGGTACGGGACCTTCTCCAGGTGAATAGAAAGCGTCGAAAAGGAAAATGAACAACGCGATAAGACCGAGGTGGGCCTTTGAGCTGAACGGGACCCAGAAACAAAATCCTGCTGCGAGCAACGTCCAGCACATATTGGGGAATGTAAACAACAGCAAAGCGCGTCGACCGAAAGTGTCAATCGTCCAGATGGCGGGCCAGGCGAAGACGAAGTTCACCAGGCCAAATCCCCAGGATGCTAGCAAGGCCCCCGTGTAACTAGCCCCTGCCTGGGAAAAGACCGTGGACGAGTAGAAGGCGATAATGTTGACTGTTTAAAGGTGGTTAGCCTTTTCGACACAATTCCGCAAGTAGCAAGCACGACTTACTTCCACACATTTGCTGGGCGATCATGACAATACCCGAGGCTTGAGTGGCTCGTCGAACACGTGGAATTGTGAAAAGCTCGACGAATCGAGTGAAGAAGTTGCCATGGGCTGCCACGCCCGACTCCTTGACAAGGATCTCTTCTTGTTCGAGTTGAGCGTGGATATAATACAGGTCTCGAGCGGCTTGGAGAGGGGAGTTACGTAGGCGAAGCAGAGCTCTGTAAGCCTTCGCATGCCTACCCTTCTTCATGAGCCAGCGTGGAGACTGCAACATATCAGCAAATAGACATGGAGGCAATCGAATTTTGCACGACTCACCTCCGGGCAAAACCAAATTCCGAGAAGCAATGGAATTGCTGGAATGAAGGCAGAGCCAAGTTGCAACCGCCAGGCTATGTCGCCAGTGTCTTTGATGGCCAGGTTCGCGCATGTGCCGAGAAAGATGCCGAAAGCCGTCCATACCTGCCAGGACATAACTAGACCGCCGCGAATGTTTGCGGGTGAGTTCTCGGCAGAGAACACAGGTACTGTGACTTCCTTGAGACCCATACCGATTCCCAGCAGGATACGTGTCGCTACCAATTGACCCCAGTGCTGAATGAAAGCTGAGCCTAAAGGAGCAAGGAAAGAGAAAATGGCGCCTAGGAAGATGGTACCACGACGACCGAGGTAGTCATTGAGAGGGTCAGAGATCCAACCGGCACTGTTTGAGTCAGCATGGAACAGGCTTTCATTGGAAACGGTGGCAATACAAGAATGCAATCGCGATATACGGGCAGGAGTTGATGAACCCAATGAGCCACGAATTGGCCTCGCAAGTGCCTTTGGCCGTGCAGACGGGACCAGAATCAGGGATACCCATGTCGGCTGGGAATCGCAAATTGGCGGCATTAGAACCAGTCTGATCCCATCCTTGAATGGCAGCAGCGATAGAGTTGAGAATGATGGTGAAGTAAAGGACTCTGGGATGTCTCCAACGGTGGGTGATCTCCTCGCGGAGGCGTTGACGTTCTGAGTCATCCAATTCTGGGATGTGTTCGAGCGCATGAGGACTTTGGGCGACCAAAGCGCCCTTGCGAAGCAACGGCAAAATATCAGTCAGTTGGTATTCGCTGGCATAGTTCTCGACATCTTGAAGAAGCTGATCGCGTGGGATACCCACGAGAGGATTGCGGACTCTTTCAAAAGGTCAGTACTCAGGACCACGGGTGCGTCCTAGGTCATACATACTCTCCAGTCGTGTTTGAAGTCAGTTGTGCGACACTTTGTTTTCGTTTAGTCTCATCAGCATATAGAACGCTAGGCCTTCTAGGCTCGCCTGTGTGATCTCTGTGTTCAGCCATGGCTCTGTAGACGTCGACGAAGTCGTGCTCTGTGTGGTGTGGTCGGGCGCTCGGAGCTAGGGAGAAGGACAAAGTGAGACTGCGGGCAAACGCTTCTTATGAAGGTGATGTTGCACGAACAGCGCTCCTCCACCTCACTCTTAGCCGGTACGGGTGGCTAGCGGAGCTGGTCTGTCTCCTGTCAGAGGTCTCTTCGTCACTGATGGTATGAAACCCTGTGGCTGCCTTGCATAACATCATCAGCATGTGAGGGGTCGATTGGTCAAGCTTGTCAAGTAGTCGATGTGAGGACGCTAGCTATAGCTTCCACCTGGGGTGGTTATGGACAAGGATGCCGTATTGAGACGAGGTCACAAGGCACGACATGTTGCCATGTCAGTGCGTCCAACGGCAGCCACCACAGGCTCGAAGTGTCAACTGGATGCAAGAATGTAAGCGGCAACCGAGAAAGACAACAGTCGAGATGGGGACAAGGTAGCTGGATGAACGAATGGGACAAAACAACCTCCCCGTGAGGTGACATGGTGGTGTGAGGTTTGGTTTGCCTGAAGTAGCTAGAGTAACATCACATTCCCCGCCATCCATTCAAGTGAGTTGGCGCTTTGTGGAGGCTCCAAGGTTTGCGGAGGTCAGTTAGCACAACATGGGGTACTGCATGGTACTGCATCAGTGACTGTTTGACTCTTTGTCGTGCCTACCCTTCCGTTCCATCCGTCCGCTCATGACTCACGCCTCACAGGGTCATCTTTACCGAGCACACAGCAGACAGAATGCTCAGCAGACCCTGCTTCTTGGATGAGCATCATGCATGGTACAGTTGAGCATCGCAATGTCGAAACAGATCTGAGTCCTACTGTCTCGTCCCCATCGATATGATGCCTCAAGCTCCCCTCAGTCTGCAGGCGTCGATTTGAGGTTGATCAAGTACAGAAGATGCTTTGGTGGCTGAGATGGCGCTGGGCCGAGTGCCGTGAAACCTCCACGATCGACCGCTGCAAAGCCAAAAGGCGCCTTACCGCTTACCGCTCCAAGGCTGACAGATCATGCAGAGCGCCCCAACGGTGACATCGGACGATCAGTCCTACAAGCGGAAAACCGAATTCCGGTCCATACGACAAGCTGCATCTACCTCGGGTCGTGCAGGCCATCATCATCTCTGAACAACACGATCTGACGCAATATGATACAATCTCAAGTCAGATCCGTAGGACGACCGCTTGCAGATACTCTCTCGATACTTCAGGCTTCCAACTATGCAGGATTGACCCCCTGATCTTTGCTACTAAACCCTTTGGCGCAGTCAAGGCCGACCCTTCTCGAACGATTCCTTATCTGATCAAGGCTGACCCTCCCAGTGGTAGGCATCACCTAGACTTGCGTAGGAGTGATCACTCAGTAGTCGAGAATATTTCTATATTGATATTGATTGTCTTACAAAGACGGGCTTCGACCGGCCCCAGTGCAGACTGATTTCCGCCCAAGTCCCGTTCTCCATGCAATGCAGCCATGGCCCTGCTAACCGTACTAGCAGGACGTTGCGCTGGAAAATGCTCGTCTGAAAGCTGATGATACAAATATACAACAAGAACACGGCAAAAAGCCCCCAAGAACCAGAAAAGTCGTACACATCAAACAACCAGAGCCCAAGACCGCTTCGTCTACTTATCTTGCCCGCCGAACGCGATGCTCATCTCGTCGTTTTCCTTTCTTTCGTTTATCCTTGCCAGGTCCGAGAGGGACATCGCGCATGAGATACGTCTGCACGCGAATCATGTACTCGTCAATATCATGGGCAGCCTCGTCATTTGCTTGCGCTTCGGCCAAGGCAGTCTCGTTGGCTGCAAAAGGTCCAGGCGTCTGCGCATCGTTCGTCCGAGGAGTCGCCGTGGCCGTCTTGTCCTCAAAGTCACCATCATCCGCATGTTGGACCTCTCTCGCGGCAACCTTGGCGGCAGCACGGTCTTCTTGATCTTCCGCCGTTTCCAAGACAGTCAGATTGGTCCTGTCATTGCCGAGAAGTCGATCCATGGCCTGGCCTGCAACGTCATCCTCTGCCGTATTGTCGTCAAGCATATCCCGGTAGGTGAGCTTGTTCATGTAGTCGGTGGTGAAGTCGCCCTCCTGGATCACGACATCGTCCAGCATCTGCTTTTGACTGGCTTTGCGGAGAATGTTGGACTCAATGGTATGCTCTGACACGAACCGATAGATGTGGACGTCTCGGGTCTGTCCTATACGATGAGCCCGGTCAGTGCATTGCTTGTCCATGGCCGGGTTCCAGTCCATGTCGTAAAAGATGACAGTGTCTGCTCCAGTCAAATTGATGCCCAGACCGCCCGACCGTGAGGAGAGAATAAACGCCAAAATCCGAGTGTCATTGTTGAACCGATCAGTCAGAATTTGACGCTGCTCAATCTTAGTGGCACCGTCGAGTCTGAGATATCGATGCCCATGGATGTTCAGGAACTGCTCCAGGATGTCCAATACCTTGGTCATCTGAGTGAAGATCAGCGCCCGATGGCCTCCAGCTTGCAATTGGCGCAACAACTTGTCCAATCGTTGTAGTTTGCCGCAATCGTACTGCAACAGCCGTTTGTCAGGGAATGCTATAGACATCTTCATCCGAGCTTGGTGGAAAGGATCAGCGCGGCGAGCCAACTCTGTTGCTCTGATGGCTGCAGCGCCAGCCACTGTCACGGTGGCCACGCCCAAATCGGTGGCCACAACGGCTGGGGTAATACAGGCGAATTGCTGAACGAACGGCTCCATTTGTTTTGACCTCGACTCGACAGAGTGCACGAGACTGATAGACTCCACAGGCGATTGCTTTTCCCACCACCTGCTCATGACCTTGGAAGGGGATAGTCTGGACAGCTGAGCACTTGTTGTTTTTATGGCCAGTTTCTCAAGCAAGCCTCGACCGTAGATCGGACGCTGATTGTGGCGCCATGATTCGTAATACATTGTTTGATCAAGCTCCTGAATTCGAGCCTTTCTCCCAATGTTTTCCAGCGACCCTAACACTCCCGACCGAGTCTCGCCGTTCCACCCAGAATTTCGAGCGATTCTGCGCCTCTGAGAGTCCATTAACCCCTTCAGCTGTTGATATGCATGTCGTTTGACTGTCTCTTTGAATTCTATCATGGACATGTTCTCATGCGAGATCGGCGCAAGCTGCAAGAAATCGAGGTTGAGGTCGCTAGAGGCGTCAAGCATCAGTTTTCGTCGTACTAGAAAATCATTGATCTCAAAGTCGGCGGCAACGGACTTAGGCATGGCAAATGAAGTGGTGATGGGTCGTGTCTCGAACAGATCTGGATGGTTGCAGACCTTGCGAAGCTGCATCAACGCGTTGATGATGGATAGATAGTTGCCTGAGGCCATGGTTTCCTTTGTTTGCGCTCTCGACATGAAGCCATCGTAAAGTTGTCGCTGTCGCTTGGATAGTCGGCACATCTCGACATGCTCATATTTTAGCGGCATCTGCTTCTCAACATCGGCTTTAAGCCGCCGAAGAAGGAAAGGTCGAATGACTTTGTGCAGCTTTGCGACCTGCTCTTTGTCCTCTTCATCAAGCACCTGACGACCATGTTCAAGAATTGACTCCACAGGCTTTTTGAACCATTCAGACCATTCCTTGAGACCCGCGAAAGCATCGTCTTCTCCTTCATTGTCTTGACCATAATGAAGAAAGAACAACAAAGACCACAGCTCCGTCAGGTTGTTCTGCAAGGGCGTTCCAGTCAAGAGAAGGCGAGCCCTGGTGTTGAAGGTCATCATCGTTTGCCATCTCTCCGATCGGAAATTCTTGATATTGTGTGCCTCATCCAGAATCATGTAGTGCCACCTCCTCCTCTTGAACGAGTTCGCGTCCTGCAGGACAAGCTGGTACGAAGTAATGCAAACATTGAAACTGTCATCAGCCATCCATCCTCGTCTTTTTTGCTTCCTCTCTTCTTGGTTCCCATAATATGTCAAAATCTTGAAGCCTGGCAAAAACTTTTTGAACTCCATTTCCCAATTCAGCATTACACTGGTCGGCACCACAATAAGATGCGGACCCCAAACTTCGTGGACTTCGGCAAGGTGCGCCAACACCGAAATGCTTTGAATGGTCTTTCCGAGACCCATTTCATCAGCTAGAATACCACTTCTTCCATGTGCATAAAGCTCTGCCAGCCAATCGAGGCCTTCATGTTGATATGGTCGGAGAGTTCCTCGCAACAAGCTTGGAACCGGAGTCTTGATATTGGACGACTTTCCATCGGAGGGAGTGAGAGGCAGCGCTGTCTCAGCATGAGGCTCGATCGACGAGACAGAGTCGGATTCGGAGACTTTGGTGGCGCTGGTATGTGGCGAAGTGTGTGCACTAGGATCCGCGCTTCCTGAGTCCTCTCCAGATGCAGAATGCTGAATGTCCTCCTGCCTCGATTCGGCGTCGACCTCCTTGGGACCATGTTTATCTGGGCTCGCTGGTTGCACCAAGCTTTCTGCATCCTGCATCTCGTGGTCTTCCAGCACTTGAACCAGAGGACTGCCCTTAGCAGCTTCTTCCTGTTCCGCAGACAGCCCATCGGACGCCGGCGCCATTTCCGAGATTTCTTTCTTCGAGAACAGTGAAAGAAGACCGCCTTGAGCCTCTTCCTCACCCTCGTGCTCTTCGTCGTCATCTTCGTTCTCTGTGCCTGACTCATCCGTGTCGAACTCGCTATCCATCTCAGTCTCTGGGTCCGAGTCCTCCTCAGACTGTTTCGGATCCGTCTCGTTTCCGCTGGCTTCGATGGAATCTTGTCGCGCTTCTTCATCAGCCTCCGGCATATCCGGTAAATTCTCATATTTGCGTCTCAACTCTTCGACCGACATTTCTGCATCGCCATTGCCAACCTCTGGCTCAGACTCGAAATCTGTATCTGTTTCTGACATTTGCTCACTGTCTTCAGAGTCTTCCTCGCTTGTCTCACTTGTCGAATTTTCCGCATCTGTACCCACGATGGATTCCTCGTGCTCGGCCGCTTTATTGAGCATTTGATCAGTCCGATCTAGAACTCGAGCAAGGTGACCTTTCACCCTGGCTTGCTGTTCCTCTTCATACTGTTTCTGGCGCATGGCGTCGACCTCAGCCCTGACTGCTGCCCATAGCTTGTCGATATCCTTAACAACGGTCCGATAGAAGGCGATCGTAGCATCTCGTTTCTCCCGCTCAATCTCCTCCACGGTCTTGACTCTATTTCGCTTTTGCTTGTCTTCAACGTACTTCTTAGCCTCATGCGCCAATGCATGCGCCTGTCTTCTATGGTCCTGGGCCTCTTTCTTTAGTAGGACTTTGAAGCGGGAAACGTGTGCAAGAAGATGATCAAGATGAGCATATTGTCGTTTCGGCTCTTCCGGTCTGTCAGGAAGTGTGTCAAGCAGCTTTTTCTCAGTCAGCCGACCACGTCTTTGCGCTTCTCTCACTCGTCGTCGCGCAACAGCCTCCCTCGTTATCTCAACAGGGGCAAGGGTGTCCTCCCGTGGTTCCGTATCATCGCGCTCTAGAAACTCCGTGAAGGATCCAAACTTCTTGGGTGCGGGTATGTTAGCAGGTGTGGCTACAGAAGGCTGAGGCAGTCGGACGCGAAAGATCACTTTCGACAGGAGCAAGGGAGGGCTCGGAGATCGCTTTTCGTGTAGACTCGATATATCCGAATCGTCGCCTTCATTGTCAGTCTCCTCGGGTTGCAGCACGCCATTGGTGTATGGTTCTTCTTCTTGTTTGACGCCATTTAGATGAGGGGAATTCGGTCGATCGCGTCGAGTGACAGGCCCGGCAGAGCGGCGAGGGGATTTGGTCTTGACCTGGGTAGATTTTGGACGAGTCGAGGTTCTCGTATGCTTTGGGGTTTCTTCTTGCTTCGCTGAATGCGGGCTGTCCGCATCGCGACTCTTTGGTGGCCGGCCTGGACCACGCTTCGTAGACGAGGTTGGCTCCTGTATCTCGACCTTTGCCTTCTTGGCTGTCACATTGTAGACTGGCTTCGCAACCTTCTCGCGCTCCGCCTTCACCTTATCGAAAGCGGCGCGTGTGTTTCTCTTAGTCGACTGCGGCTGCAACTCGAGGGGCACCACATTTGTTCTCCCAGATTTCCTCCGACCATTCTCGACGAAGGTGGTTGGCCCCTCTGCCACGACCCGTTTCCATGGGGGAGATATGAGCCTTGGGGATGGCCTCTGATTTGTATCTGTGATTTTCCGCCTCTTAGCTGGTGGTCCATCATGATCGTCGCGCTCGATTGAAGGTTGTCGAGGTGGAGTTGCCAATGCAGGTTTATCTTCGGGGATTTCTATATCAATGTCAGTCAGATTTGTGGTGATCACGTTGTATGATGAAACGTGCCTTGATCCTGGTGGTTGGAATGAGAGTCGCCGGTCGGGGGTGAGTTCGGCATTTGCTAATCGCGAAGGGCTGCCTGCTGGCATTGCAAAATTGATCCCTTAGAACAACAACAAACTGATCACGGGCATGTTCCACGGGCGGGGCGTAATAATGGTCGATTCGCTGGTCAGAGTGTTCAGCGCATCGAGTCGAGTCCGTTCACAAAGTTTGAGAGTGTCCAAGACTGATTTGAGTGCGTGGCGTATGGTTGAACTTCTGCAGTGATCAAAATGGTGGATGGTAAGAGAAGTGAAAGTTGCGCAGGCAGTGGGCTATTTTGGTGGATTCGCCCTTTGCCCTGAGCTCTTTCTACTAAGCCAATCATTACCCACCCACCGCTCACTTTCAATCATCAACGTCAAGGCTGTCCGTAACGCTTGATACGAATTAGACTGCATGATTTGAGATCGAATTGCTACACCACGCTATCTGGCTCTTTGGAGCCTCGTTCCTTCACCACTCCTTGCGAAATGTTCTCCCGACGAGCCTTGAGCCTGGCCGCGAGGTCAACTCGAACCTTTGCCCGACCCCAACCGCGCATTCCTAGAGCTCCATTCTCAGTCGCACAATGTCAGAGAGCAGAGGTACAGCCGGATGGTGGAAGAGTCCTCCCTACGGACAAGACTCTGGGAGAAATTGATGATGTGGAAATGGTACTTTGACTGGGTTCTGGAGTTGAGGTGAATAGGCTGACGAGACGTGCAGAACGGCGGATACATAAACCCTCCTCGGGTGAAGAGACAATTCCGCGACCCCTATGCCGAATGGGACGATCCTCAAGAACGACGCAACTTTGGCGAGCCAGTACATGAGGATAACGATGTACTGGGTGTTTTCGCATTAGAAGACTACAGGCACATGACAACATCTCGAGGTCTGCTGATGTGGGCGGGCTTCATCTCGGTGGTATTGAGTTTGAGCTATGCTGTGGCATCGACTTATCCTGGTAAACCGAGTGCTCCGAAGGAATATGAGGCTGGTTTGGACAGAGAACTGGGAGGCGCAGGTGCTGTTAGGGTGAGTAACGATGTGCAACATGTTTCGTTTGCTTTACTGACTGGAGCAGGCTTTCCAAACTGGTGATGAAACTGAGAATTGAGTACAATAGTAGCCGAATGTGTATATACTCAAGAGGCGCATTGTCGCTGCCAAAGTCGGTCTATGAATTAACCTGTACACGCGAGCGGTTCTCTATTTTGGCCTTCTCCATTGTTTGTTTCTCGAGCGTCTCCGTTTGCCGCGGCATTGCTACACCTGCCATGCAGCTGCTTTTGCAGTCTTCGAAATCCCATCTGTTCTCGAGCAGAAGCTATTATGGGAGGCTGCCTCATCTTAGCTGACCAAACCGCAGGATTCCGTGAAGCCCGAATACTAATACCAACCAGGCCTGCTGCTTTGTCAGTCGTCTCGATCCAGAACTTTTCAGACCACAGCGCATGCCGAGTCGGTACCCGAGGAAACGGTGCAGCAAGGCCATGTCAGTCGTCCGCGCCCTCACCTTTTGGCGGATAATATCCCGCGCCGAACTCCAATGCAGCACCATCGAAATGATCATCAAGTACCTTCTCCCACATACCACCAATCCAGCCCCGTGTATACACGCTTACATCGAGCTTGGCCTGCAAACTCTCTCCCAAAAAGTTCTTTCTATGTCCATCTGGGAAAGGCGCACTCAACCCGAAGAAAGTATCCCAATCATCCCGCTCGACATAAGCGTGGACATCAAGCTTCTGTCGTAAATCCTGGACACTCATTGTGAACGACCTCGACGCCCAGTCCGCTTTCACCGACAAAAAGGGCGACATCCCAAGGATCTTGACGGCAAACGGCGGCCGAAAATCAATTTCAATACCAGCCTTCTTATTACGGTATCCAAGAAGATACGCCTCCATCCCAAGGATCTGGCCGCCCGCACAATTGAACCCATGCCACGGCTCCTCATCCGAGTCCGGAGCAGGAGGATAAGCCTGGATCCAAATATGCGCCGAAGGAAAGCTACTCGCCCAATTCTTCTCCTGATGCACAGTCGCCACACCCTTCTCGTCCCTCTCATCCAAGTTGCTGTGGCTGTTCTGCGCAAGCTTCATCTCAAACTCACACTTCGACGCGAAAGAATGGACATGCCAGTGCAGCGGCAGCGGCAGATACACGAGCCATGACTCGGGCGTTTGTGTGCTAGACGACCAAGGCACACGACTGTTCGGGGTTGTTATGCCTTTGAACGTGAACTCCGGGCAGGAGAAGTCGTATGTCGTCGTTGAGTCCGGCGAGACTTTTACGCTGCCAATCCCCTTCACATCCAGGACGAAGCTTTGACGGTCTTTGCCGGCTTCGAATGTCAGGCTTCCCTTAGGTGGAAATAGTTCTCTCTGGTAGATTTTGTGGTCCTTGTTGACGGGCACATAGGTGAATGACACCATGTGCGGTCTAGACTCGGCGTTGTGGACGGAGCAGACGATTAGACATAGCGAACTGCCTGATGGGAGAATGAATTTCGAGTAGTAGCCTTCGAATGTCACATTTGGATGGGGTGCAAAGTGTTCCATTGTAGTCGTTCAGGAAACCCACTGCCCTTTACTGGTACAGGGTTTCGGGTTATCAAACGCACGCGCCGTCGTTCAGCCTAGAAGTACCCAGAACAACTCTATATCATGATTTCTCACCTCGCTCGGAGCACAACTCTATGTGGTATTTTGGGAGGTCAATCAAAAGACTCCAAAGGAGATACTAGTAGGACATGAAGTTGTGCAAAACACTCTACGTCATCATATTTCCATTGCCATCGCGGCGCATGCAAAACGAATATGTCATCTTCAGACTTATGATGGGTTCATGGCTTTTCACAGGCTATACATCCTTCTTCAGCACCACAGCTCATTGTGTTGTGGGTACTTGAAGGCCAAATGATCTCGCTAAGAAAACACTCAGGAGTGATAGTACACGCAGAATGAAACAGCCATCCCAATCATGATCATAACCAGGCCATCCAGACTGTCATCAGCCCACGGCTTGCTTCCCAATGCTGCCCCTGATCACGGGTTCAAACAACAAAACCCGACTCCTCACGCCGCCATCCACATACCCGTCGCGACCGTAGCAATCATGATCCAGTATCCTCCATAATTCATCGCCAGCCTCATACCAGCACTAGGAATCTCACTAGTATTCGATGGATCCGTGCCACCATTCGCAGTAGTCCCGTTCGCCAACGACCCATTGATATACGTATCGACACTTCCGTTGCCATAGTCCACAGTCCGCACCAGACTCGAATTCACAGGCGCGGCACCCGTCCCATTCGCCACGACATCGTTCAAGAACGTGCTATTATCCGTCGGATCGCACCCACATACTTGATACTGCTGGCACACACAAGTGACGTTGCTCGTGCGGTTTCGCCCATGGTCGTTCCAAGAGTATCCCAAGCCGTAAGGGTACGCATAGACGCTACCGTAAAGCCACAGACCAGGGAAGAATGCGAGTGCCGTGATGGGCAGGGCGTACGGCGCAATTGATCTGCTCGGAGATCTCGCGCCAGCAGTATATGGCACGACCGCGCCGCCGGTGTACTGATTGCCATAGGACTTGGGTGTGCCTGAGCCGTCCTTCGTGCGGCCGCCAGCATTGGAGGTGGAAGAGAAGGAGTATGATGATGGTGATCGTGAACCACTGCCACTGGATCCGCCTTTGCCACCGCTGCTACTGCCACCGCCTCCTCCTTTACCACCACCACCACCCTTGCGCTTCTCGAGGGCGTGGTATGAGTCCAAGGGCGAAGCATCGCGGACGGCTACATCGCTGATAGGCTGGGAGGGTGGTGCTGATAGGGCAAGAGTGACAAAGTAGAAGAGTGCGCCTAATTGGAAGAGCTTCATGACTGCGCTGTTCTCGCGTGAGCTGGATCTCTCTGAGAATGTTATGTTACAGTATGAAGACAGGGCTACTCTGCAACCTGTCTGCTGATACGATTGTCAAGCATGTAGAATAACAAACCATGATGGAGTCTGCCGAACAGACATGATGCGGAAGTGAATGACACTGCCATTGATTTAGGCTGATCCTGAAACGATCGTTGTGCAGAGTCGACACTGCCTTGCCATTTGTGCCAATGCGCTAAACAGGTGCAGGAGGAGTTGTTGCTGTAAACGAAGGCACAGCCTAGCGATCTCATAGGGCGTCATTGGATGCACCACTTGGCTGACATCAACGACTGCTATCAAGTGGCTTGGATGACCTATCAGCCTCCACGCCCGTACAGCCAGCCGCCCATCGATCTACAGCATCACTAAACACGGGAAACACGGCCAGCATCTCAGGCATTCAGTTTGTATCAGTGCTTATGGAAGCTTATCCGCACATAAGCTCCAAGCTGCGAGCAGCATAGCCACAGTCACTGTGACGGTTGCTTCAATATTATACAATCACAAATAATCTATTCCGCCTTGTCCCGGCGTGTCGCTTCGTATCTGTAATATCGGTCAGCAATCATGTTCGAGCAAACAGTCAAGACACAGTCAAGCAAAGGTCAGGACATACCTCTTTCCTCGGAACGCCCAAACACCCCAATTACCGCAACTGATATCTTGAGGATCAAGATCATTCAAGTCCCATCTTAATGACCGGAAACGGTTCTCTCCAGGTTCCATGAGAAGATCAACCTCGCCGGCGCATTTTTCCATGACCCACTGCCAGTCCCGCTTCATGTCCCATTCGGTATAGCCAGTGCAAATGATGGGAACCTTCGTTTCTAACAACTGAGGTAGAGTCTTCTCCCATTCGTGAGCGGATGCTGGGTGACCCAGTCCAGGGTGGTATAGCATAAAACAGTCGAAATACGGATCGTAAGGATAGAAAAGGTTCGCCTCATGCAGCGTGTGGAAATACTCCACATATGTCGTGATTTTCATCTTGGGTGACACACGGTCTTCGACAATGGCGCCGAACGGGTTCGTGGCAGTCCTCTCCGGAAGAGGAAATTCCGCGTCTCTGTTCGCCATTGACTCCGGTCCAATGAAAACGAGATGGATGAGTGCCAAAGGAAACAGGTGGGAAAGCTGCGTCCAGACTTCACGTGGCAGTGATGACTCGGCACGAGCACCTAAAATAAACACTCGGACGGGTGGACTCGACAATCGCAGACCTTTGATGCCTGGGCCTTGACCAGTCTTGGGTGGATGAAGTGTGTATCGTAGTGCTATGAAAGTGAGCAAGAACAAGTGCTGCAATGACAAGGGCACACTTACCAGTCAAACTCTTCAAGCCCTCGGTTGTCAGTCTTCCCCCCGTGCGAATGTTATAAGGGCTTAATTCGTGGAGCACGCTTCCCAACGACAATGGATATGTCAATAATCGGGTGACCTGTCGCATACTTCTCTCGTCGTTGATCGCCTCATATTGTCTTGTGTAGAGTAAGGTATCCCAGTTGGTCATGTTGACCAGGATCTCATCTGTCTGTTGAGGTCCAGGATATTCAAACTCAGGAAACCATCTTCCGGAGCGAAGATCATGGTCATCTTCATTGATCTGCCGCAATGTGTCGCATATCTCCAAATGTGCCTCGAAGTCATCTGCCCAATGCTCTTCGCAGCAGTATGTCGCAATACCGCAATCGGGACACTCGAATTCGACATGAGCTGGCGGTTGAGAACTCACACCCTCCACTTTTCTTGCTTCGGGATCATGAGGAGATATGGGGACTCTGGTTTGTTGATGTGCAGGATGTGGACACAGGGCATGTTGCTTCATATAACGAGCTCTTTGCCGGATTTCAGGTATAGGCGATCTGGAGAATGGATGAAATAAATTGTTTGGTCCGAGTACAGCTCTTCCATGAGCCCGCCACTCGCCATAGTCGGTCGGTGGGATGTTATGTCGCTCAAAGTTGTCTTCCTCTGCGGGTGCTGCGGCCGTCGATGCGACTCGCGTCACTTGTTTAGGAGTTCGTGTCTGAATTGCTCTTGATCCATTTCCGGCATTGAGGGGACGATTATTGAAGACAGAACTCGAAGCGAAGCTGCGGTTCCCGGATAGTTGTTGTGGTAGTTTAGTGCTTGGACGACTTTTGCCAGCAGCTGAAAGTGCTCTCGCACATTTCAGACAGGTAAAGAGTCCTTCCATGAGCTGTGTTGGATCTGTTCTACCGAAACTGCGCGCTCATGGAAATGTTGCGGGAAATCGTAGTATCATCAGACCATGTCCGCGCGCCAAGCTGCGGCATAAGTCTACCACTCGCCAGTAGTTTCTATACGGCAGATCATATAGAGACTCCATTTTCCACTTGGCTATCAACTTCAAATCTCAACTTCAAATTTCATCTTCCTCGAAACAAAATGTGATGCATTCACAAAGTACCGCAAAACAACCTTATGACTCAAATGTCGTCTCCCCTCGGAGGCGTCGAACTTGATGATACGGTATGTCCATACATCGGACGTCCGTCATGTCGCAACATCCAACACTTTCCAGCTGCTTGACTCTTCCCACAAGCTCTTCGATACTCTCGAAGTCACGGCTTGCAAGACTCGCGTCATGCGAGCTTGCCTGCCAGAGCTGGTGGATATTTCACACCCGTTGCAAGAACGATTATGGACCTTCATAGTTCAATCTTGATCCTGGTCTCATGGCCACTGTGGACAGGTTGACTCCTTGCGTGCCTACAAATACATGTCTTTGTAAAAAGTTCTTCATGAAAATTGGTAATAGTACAAAAAATGCCCTTGAGTCTGCTCATACTCTCGTTCTTCAATCATTATATCATGGGTATCATCATCAGGTCGCTCAGAACGCTATAGACAAAAACAAAATCCTGTACAAGAAAAACGTCTTGTGTCAACCTGTATTCGCTCCGGTCATCATGGCGCTTCCCAGGTTGGTCTTCTGAAACAGGTTAATCACTTCATCAGCCGAGTAGCCAAAGAAGACTGGTCCATTGAATATGATCTGTGTTGGACGGTCTTTGGTGGCCGTGGAAGCAGACTCAACTGGTGGTGATGGTTTCTTCTGATCTGTCGTATGATCCACGGCTGGCTGGGGTGCCGGCTTCGTGTCAGCTTCCGCACTTGAGCTTTCTGGTTGGATCTTCAGATGCTCGACATCGTCTTCCGATTGTAGAGCACTAGGCGCGGGCTCTTTGTCTGCAGGCACAGATATACCCCACGGCCGACTTGGAGACTCTCCCACTCGCACTTCTCGTAACGTCCTCTCAAAATGTGGCACTCTCGGTGCCTCTTCTGAGGCCACAACCTCGTCCACAGCAGGCGGAGGAGGAGTTTCACTGAGATTTTCCGCCCATTTTTCAACGGCGTGGCTCGAGCTCCTTCTATCACGGTCCTCAATACGATCTCTCTCCGGAAGGTATGCCTTGTGCTTGACACCCAGGCCCTGGATCATATTCGCCAGGCTTCCATATTTCGCATCAAGTTGGCGGGCGCTGCTCTCATTCTGCTGGTATCTTCTGACGCATATCTCGTGGCTGCGCGGAATTTCGTGCTTGTGATTCTCGAAATACTTTGCTACCTCATCGGGAGAATGTTGATCAAGAAAGCGTATCGGACATTTTCCAGAAGGCTTTTGCTCGCTAGGGGGTGATCTAGTCGAGATCTTATCCTGGTGGAATTCAGCAGCGATGGGATCTGCCTGGCCGTCTAGTCCATTTGGAACAACATTCGCCATCCTAGCGAAAGGACAGCCAAGGCCGCCTTGGACACCCGGCGTGGTAAAATCATGTTCAAAGTCCTCTGCGTCCACAGCCCCATGTGCGACCGGGCATTTCCCACCATTGACTTGAGGCTTGTCCATCTTCGATCTCCTGTATACCTCTATGATTTGCTTGGCCCTGCGAACAGCAGGAAGGCCTTCGCTCTGGTGTTCTATATCGAGAGGTTCGCGCAATTGTTTCAAAACTTGGCTCGGAGGGGCAGCATGTGAGGATATTGAGCGACTGCTGTCGACAGCTAAGAGGTTTTGATACTACAGTGAGATCGTCAGTGCCAAAGTCTTCCTCGAGCGTTGTCTTCAAAGGCAATGTTCAAACAAGAGTGTTCAGGTAATACATGCAAATGTCGCTCATCGCTGCATAAAGCAGCTCTTGATCTAGAGCTAATCAAGGTTTCTCATCATGACAGAAAGGAATAAGCAAACGCGGACTGTTGTACGTACCTCATTTGCAGCCAACTCGATTTTCGCCTTCAAAGTCTTTTCGTTCTCCGCCTGAAGGTTGACTACCGATACGAGCTCCTCGAATCCTGCAATCAGAGAGTCCACGAGGTCAAATAGACGGGTGTCAGGATGAGAAGACGCGTTCATTGGAACTATCAGGTCGATGGTGTGACTTTGGTTCCGCAAGAACTCAGGGCAGACAAAGCAGAGAGCGCAGACACTAACAGGAATCCGCGCAACCAGCCAAGACTGAAAAGCGCAAATCTTCAGGCGCGATCGGAGAGGGTTCTGCGGTTTGGTCCGGGCGTGCCCCTCGATATTGGGACTTAACTTCGTGGAGGGCAGGTTTAGCGGGAACCGAGGCTTATGCCCCAGATCCGGCGGCTGCAGTCCAGGATGCGTCCGCAGTTTTACTTGTCGCCGACACAGACAACTTGCTCAATGTGCTCCTGTATCTCGATGACCGCCGATTTTTAGTTGTCTCACGATAGTCCTCTACCCATCATGAAAGCGGTACAGGTCAGCAAGTATGTCTCCGGACCTCAAGATCTCACTGTAACCACCTTGCCGACCCCCACCCCCGATGCTACAAAGTACCTGATCAAGATCCATGCCGCTGGAACGAACTTCTTCGACCTGCTCCAAATCCAGGGAAAATACCAGCACCAGCCACCTCTACCATGGATCTCCGGCATGGAGTTCGCTGGCGTCGTGATGGCCACTCCTACCACGAAGAAGGGCTCATCGGGCGTAATTGCGAGTAGTCTTGATGGAACCATCAGCACGACAAGAGATCATCAATTCAAAGTCGGTGACAGAGTATTTGGCGCAAGCCAAGGCGCATACGCTTCTCACATTCTCGCCCCCGAATCGAACCTGTTTCCTATTCCCGAGGGCTGGAGTTTTAAAGATGCTTGTGGTCTTTACGTGACCGCTCCAACAGCGTATGGTGCGTTGATAACACGAGCAAACACACAACCAGGCGAGTGGGTCTTGGTTCACGCTGGTGCTGGTGGCGTTGGGTTGTCGGCCGTTCAGATTGCCAAAGCTTTGGGTGCAACGGTCATTGCAACGGCCGGTTCGGAAAGAAAGAGACAGGTATGTCTGGACTATGGGGCAGACTATGTGGTGGACTATCGCGACAAGGCCTGGCCGCAAAAGATTATTGAGCTCTGCAAGAAACACCGGACAGGTAATGGCCAGCAAGGTGTGGATGTCGTATATGACCCAGTTGGTGAGTCTACCCCTTATTCGAAGAGACTGCGCAGGAGCTGACCTTGGCACAAGGCATGATTGATCCCTCCATGAAGTGTATAGCGTGGAACGGACGTCTGCTCGTAATTGGCTTCGCAGGCGGCAACATCGAAAAGGTCGCACTGAACCGAGTTCTCTTGAAGAATATTAGCATAGTGGGAATACACTGGGGCCAGTATGCCAACAGGGAGAAGGAAACCATCCCCGTAGTATGGAAGGGGATTTTCGACTTGATCAAGAGCGGGAAAATGAAAGGCATCACGTATAGCGACAAGCAGTACAAAGGTCTGGAGAGCCTTCCACAGGCCCTGATTGCGCTTGGTGCACGCGACACCTGGGGCAAAGTAGTGGTTGAACTCGGCGAGCATGAAGGTGAGGATGGGAGGAGTAAGTTGTGACTTTTGGACTGCTATATAGAGATGTACAATTCTAGAGGCGCGCCGGTGGTCGCTGGTTGTGTTGGACTCCTCTGAACAATCAGATCGTTGTGAAGGATAGGCTGAGCTCGGACGAGCTTACTGGATGGCGATGGCCTCGATCTCGACGTCGACGCCCTTGGGCAACTCTCGCACGGCGACACAAGTTCTCGCTGGCTTGTGAGTGAACCACTTCTCGTACTCGCCGTTCATCTCTGCAAAGTGCTTCATGTCGGAGAGGAAGACCTTCGAAGATACTCAGTTAGTATGATAGACTCGTGCTACGATGCAATGACACTGTGTACTCACACCACATCTGACCACCTTGGAGATGTCACTTCCAGCTGCCTTCAGGATTGCCTCAAGATTCTTGCAGCATTGCTCGGTCTTCTCGGCGATGGAGCCCGTCACAAGCTGGCCGTTGCTGTCGGCAGGGATTTGACCAGCGACAAAGACCTGTCCTGCAGCTTTAATGGCTTGGCTGTAAGGCCCGGCAGCTGTTTTCAGACATTATAGTCAACGTCTGCTTCGTTTGCTGGAAGACTTCTGGGCTCAGACTTACGAGGACATGCGTCTTTGGAGAAGACTGGAGTCAGACCGGATGACATTTTGGCGGGGTACGAGTGAAATAGGTGAGTTGTTTGTTGATAGAGTGCGCACACGGTTTTAGTGTGTCGTGGTAGAAGTCTTTGTACGAGTGAAGTGCTTCGTAGTGATATGGACATTAAGAGAGGTGGCTTTTGCTTGTTGACTGTCGGATAATAAAACTGTAATAGGGCGTAGATCGCGCTGATGGGTACTACAGCTTTTTTATGGAGGCATTGCAACTTGCCCGCCGCGCCAAGATGGCGAGATGCGCGCATATCAACGGAAATAGATCTACCTACAACTGCGATGCTTCTGCCCACCATGTCGTCCAGACGGGACAGGCTGCCACCACAGAGGTTCTTGTGAGTATCCTTTGCCTGGCGCCGGTCCCGGAACCTGCGATGGGTGCAAACCAAGTCCGGTCATACAGGCGGACATGTGACAGGTCGGCCATGGCTTCGTCTCAGTAGGTCGCCCTTGGTCCTACCAAGCACAGAGCTCTTGTAGATGCAATAGGAGCGTAGCTTCCACAGTCGACGGCTTATTTCCGCCGTTCTCATATGTTCGCTTGCTCTTCTGTGACCATATCAATGAGAGGCAGCAAACCTGTTGTTGGCATGAAAATGATATCACTCATGCACTCTCGGATGTACACAAAGCAATTCCAAGGGTTGTCCCACGTATCGACAACGTAGGTTGGCAGGTCCAGTGAAGTCCAACCCACCACTCCGCGTAAACGTGCTTGCAGTGCCAGAATCGTCTTCCCAAATCTGCTCGGATCGGAACCATCCATCTTGTACTCTTTGACCAAGATGTCCAGCAGTCGTTCTTTTTCATCATCGGATAGCTTGTAGACCATACCGCCAGCTTCCAAGGCTTTGAGGGGCGCATCCTCCGGAGCATCAACTCCTGGTGATACCACAGCGGTGACCAAATTGTAAGCCGGCGATAGTTTGCTGATCGCTTTCTGTACGCGAAGATCTTGGTCTGGAGTAGTTCCACCACTGCTGTCAGCACCAAATACATCACCACCGGTATCAACAATAAGGATCGTATCAATGGGAGCCTTCCTCTGCGCCAGCACAGCATCAAACTGGTCTTTCAGATCGGCTCTTTCGTCTTTGGGAATCGTCTTTGTCGACTCGCCTTGGTCCAGCACCAAGAAGATTTGTGAATGGTGGCTAAGCGGGATTGTTTCAAGGTCACGACCCTCAGCGTGTGTGTCGCTGTTGACGCGGAAGGTGCCTGCTATAGGTCGTCCATTCGCCTCGATGGGAGGCCGACCAGGATTGTAGACTTCCCTCTTAACACCAAGTTTGGAACCTTGCTTCCCTTGAGATCCCGTTGCCCAGGTACGAGTGGATATCAGCAGGTCCATTCGCTTGCTGCCGGTTCTCTGCAACAAGAGACCCATCAGGCTTGCACTGATGATATCTGATCCTCCACCGCCGCCAATACCAGCATACCCATGGCTGGCAGAGTGCTCTCCCGGCAACAACTCAGCGAGGGATCCCAACCTTGGGAGTTTGTCGAAAGACATACGCACCACAGGCTTCCAGACGGCGTTGCGTGTGCCATCGACTTTTGTTTCGAGTAAAATCTGGTGTTCCACATATTCCACAGTGGCTTCGTAGTGTGTTAGTTTGTCTGTAAGAAGCCGCAGGTCTACACAGGGATTTTGACCGAAGCTGTGTTGATGGTCTTCTGTCCCTTTGTGCGTCGCTGCGAGACTTCTGCATAGAGCGACATGGCATTCGTCGTATACCCGGGCCAACGTCAGAAGAGCCACGCCTAACTGCACCAAACCCAAAGCTCGTATCAAGCCTTCTTCGCCAACAAACCTGCATAGTGGGCGGTCTGAGCGGGGCTGGACGGTGTTGACATGTTGGCGTCGTAGCACTGTTCGGACATTTCGAGGTGCTGTGCTGTAGGCGCGCTCTACATCTCCCCGACTGTGATGGAAATGAGTCGCAAGCTGTTGGACAAGGGCATCTTCAGCGTCCTCGAGCATGACCACGCGCCGAGTGTATCAGTCTGCTGGCCTGACGACAGTGGCTGATGCGGGCTTCTTCCTCCGATGTCCCAGAGTCCTTGTTGCGTGATGTGGAATTGGGACTTTTAGTACACTGTGAAGGGAGAGGGGATGAAATGAGCAGACCGGTATGATCTGCAAGACCCAGTACGATGCATGATGGCTCGAGTCAGAATGAGGTCCACGTGAAGCTACCACGAGCTACTTGTGACTGGGCCTCCGCCACTTCTTTCATATTGAGTGATACAGGAGGTAACTTAATAAGAGAGTGACAGGACTTTTGGTCACCTCTGCAGGGGGCAGTGCGAAAAGGAACACAGCCACTACAGGCTAGCCATAAGGAGTCAAGCCCATTGTTTGGGGCATTCCCGCCCTCCCGTTAACGCCCATTCTTTAACAATCATTCGCCGAGTCTTCTTGCCCTCCACCAACGCATCTCTCTTCCTTCATGCGAGGATCTTTGGTCTTTCTTTTTGACCACCGACCCGTGAGAGTCCTTTGCGGGATCTTTAGTAATAAGACATTCCTCGCTCAACAGCCAGATATTCCTTGAATATAATGGCCAATCTCGAGCATTTCCGGTCTGGGCAGTTACGCAGGTCATAACCGGTCTTCCCTCCTTGAGGACTTTTGGCTCTCTGCTGTCCTCGACCTTTCTCCAGGAATTGGTAATACGCCTATGCACGTCGTTTCGTAGCGCTTCAAGGAGAGGGACAGGCCTTTTCAGCCTCAACCCGCGCTATATTATCGCTTCAAATCCCACATCTGCTTCCTTCTTTACCAGGCTCACTCCTACTTTACCAAAATCTCACAAAACCATACTCATGGCTCAAAAGACCACAAAGTATCGGCCCCAGTCTCCAAAAGACTGGGAAGAATTGCGTCCAGTATTTGTTCGACTATACATCTATGAGAAACGACCTTTGGCCGAGGTGATGGACATCATGAGGGACGAGCATAAAGTTTCCGCAAGGTAAGACTATACACTTGAGAGCCTGTCGCGGGAAGTAATGGCACTGTCTGAGTGGCGCGTCCACCGGCTGAGAGGCCACAAAATGAGCCGTAGAGCAGAAGGCGAAACAAGCATAGAGTCCTACTGCACCTCAAACCCTACGGCAGGCATCGCTGCTATCAGTATTGAGTTTACCTGCCTGGAGAGTGTGCTCAGACAATAAGTTGGGAGTGGACTTTTGGGGCAGGAGTGCTTCTTCTCAGACAGTGCCACTTTTTCCCAGACATGCTGGCCCGTTGCATTCAAATGTCCGAGCTAACCTTCTTCAGTGTCAAGATGTACAAGAACAAAATCAAGGAATGGAAGCTAGGGAAATACATGAAGGGAGACCTAGCTCAACAAATACTGGAGGGCGATGTTGCGTCTTACAGGGTTATACCCGCCGCCGGCAGTCTTGAGGAAGCTCGAAAAAAAGCCGAACGGTCATTGAAACGCAAAAACGCTCGCCAGCGAGCACGAACACTGAATCAGCCTTCACCGATGATCACAGAGTCAATCTCTACACCGACGTCGCCTGGGTCACCAGAGGAAACCTCTGCCGCTTTAGTCCCTTGGAGTTCTTCACCAGAAAGCATCGTTTCGCCTTCGATCGGCACAATCCATTTTACGACAGGGGTTACTGAACGGTTCCTGAAGAATCTTCGAGCATGGACTCATGAGGCTTATTCCCAAGGCCACTGGGACACTAGTATACAACTACCTGGTCAACACAACGGTGGACGTGGAGCTGCCCGCTTACTCTCCTCATACCTCACTTCAGGTATCAACCTGTATGAGAGTGGCAAGCACAAGCTTGCCTGGGGGCATTGGCATCAAGCCTTCGAAGGTTTCCAGAGCCCTGATCTTTTCAAATCGTGGTATCACGACATTCCCATGCGTCTGCTCTTCGAAGTGGGTCGAGTCGCCCATATGGGAACGATACATCAACCTTTAGCAGCATCCTTGCTCAAGAATATAAAGAGATGGGCGCATAAATTTCTGGAGCCGGAAGATTGTCGACACGCCCTTTTCAGTGCCTTTGGCGAACTGGAAGTATCTCAGCTCAAAGACCTATATGAGCGCGCCGCTCGCTGTATGTTCAATGGTCTTGAGGCTCGAGTTGAAAAGCACAACCCATTGCTCTATGAAGTACGACTCAACAGGGCTCTAGATATGCTATGGTACGACCCGGAAGCCGACATGGCCGAATGGCTCCCACATGTGGAAGAGGTTGACGAGATTTGCGGCTCCAACAACTATTACTCAGTCTACTTCCTTCTGCTGGAGGCTTATAGGCTGGTTGCCCGGGATTCGCACGATGAGGTGGATCATGTCTGCTCACAAGTTAAGAGGAGACTTACAGACTTAGAGCAGACCCACGGCAGCATTGACCCTTGGCGTGTTGGGTTGGGATATCGACGACTCGGACGGTTGCAACACGAAAAAGGACAGTTTGCAGACGCACGTCGAAGCTTCAACACTGCATACAGATATGTCAGTAGTGATCCCAAGCTGTCAAGATCCGTCTTGATAGAGATTTGCCAACGTCAAATGAGTATGGCTACTGACCAAGAAGACGAATGCTTGTGGCAGGGCATACTTTCAGAAATGGAGCAGGAGACCAAGCCACATGTCGAGGATAACGACCGCTTACGACAACCTTCAGGACCTTCTGCCCATGCGAAACCACAAGTCAACAGACAGCGGGGGCTTTCGCCAGCACGATCCAATACTTGGTAACGCAATCATGAAAACCCAACCACGAAACGGTTGCAACAACTATGATTCAGGATGAGATGAATGATGAGATGATAAGATGATGACCTGCGACATTCTATGATACCATTTATGGGGTCTTTGGACTGTACAATACGATTGAGCATTGTTGTTATATATATTTATATCCTCCCTTTCATTAGGCCAAGTCTTAGGATTTCGGGATTATTATCTGAGCCTAGATAACAACCCAGGCTCGCCAAATAATCGAACCATCTATTCCTTGAGTAGGTCCGCATGGTCAACGACACAGACAACCAGGATACCCACCTGGCATGCCTTCGTCTTTCCTTTGCATTTCCTTTGCATTTCCTTTGCATTGCCGGTTCACGGCTATGAGCATCATCAGCATGGAGCATGACTCCCTATTGTCATTCGAGGCAGTTAATTGGTCAGCACTCAAGCACAGATTTGCCGATAGGGACAGGGACGCGCGTGTGCATGAAAGTTTGTCTCAGTTCTCAGACCCATGAGGCTCACGTGACAGTGCATACGCACTAGTCCTTTTCGGAGAAAAGTCCTTCGCCAGAAGGGTCTGAGCTCCAAAACAGGTAAAGTAGGCTTCTTTTCGTTACTCGACTACGTATTTTTCGATCTCCCTTAATAGTTAATCTTTTCCTCTCGTTTAAGCGTATTTATATATATAAACCTAATAAAGACCTAAATAAAGAAGAAAAAAGTAAATAAATCGAGTTACTATTCGTTAAGATAAATAATACCTAAGTATTAAGTATTACGATATTCTTCGCACTTTAGCTTCTTAATTTAATAACTTTTTAGTTTTAGGGTCGATTTAGCTCGAATTTTAAATATTATATATATTATATCTATATCTATATTATATTAAAAGCGTTAATAAAAATACTTAAAGAGTAGCTATATATCTCTAAAAAACTAAGATTTTTTTAAAAATTACGATTTTCTAAAGGTCGTAGTATATAAGAAAAAATTCTCGTACTATAGTTTTAAATCGAGGTATAAAGTATTTAAGAAGAGCTCGGCACTCTCGAAATTACTAATAAAATCGAGTACGTTAAGAGATAGTTAGAGCAATATTATAAGTTTCTATATCGATATCAAAAACTTTTGGGAGAGTCTTGCTAAGTAAGCGCTAAGAATAGGGGTTTTGACGTATTAGAGCTTAGACTCGTTTGGCAAGAAATTCTGCTGAATTTTTTGATTGGCTCGCCAATCCTGCTATACCCAGTTTAAGAACTGAGACAAATGAAAGTCACGATGTAACCAGCCGAAATGCTTCGGACCTGCATATGAGGGAGCCCATCCTTTGTCTCTCTGCACGCTGCTGTACACTTCTGTCAGGCTAATTTTGTTGCACAAGTACATTGCTGTTGCCAATTCACAGGTGTGGTTCGAGGGTTCCAGCATGCTCGGCTCGCGATACAACAGGTTCAAACGACAGGGCCGAAGCAACCACGGCGAACAGCGTCCAGAAGCCTCCGCAGGCTTGGTGTCTGGCGAGTCAGCTGGCAGCCTATGTCCAAAGTCGTCGTATGAAATGGGTGAGGTTCCAATAAACACAAGCTATCGCGATCTGGAAGAACAACTCGACCGACCTGATCATCCTTTGGGGGCCACAAAGTCTGCCGACGCCAGGTCCAGTCCTGGACTGTTTCCATCTCGTACGAAATTCCCGGTGAGCAGGAAATATGCGACCATGCACCCAAGATCAGGATCCAGAACGATTGACCTTCTCAAACTCATCCTGATGCTAATGTAAGCAAGCATCCTCTCATTTTGACTCCACTGACTGAACTGCGGTAGTGGGCTATTGCAATGCCTTGTCGTTGTCTGCAATGCCGTCGACGCCTTGATGCCTGACTTCATCGATTTGGTTGCTGGCCCTATCAAGGATTTCAGTGCATATTCGTCCCTCCCGAAACACTGGAGCGAGACACTCACTGCTGATGTCCACCCAATTATGTGTCACTCTCACAACGACTACTGGCGACGAGAACCTCTATTCAGCGCCATACGTGCCGGTTGCACTGGAGTTGAAGCAGACGTTTGGCACTTCGAAGGGGAACTCTATGTCGCCCACACCATTGCCGGCATTCGGCGCAACAGAACTCTTGGAAGCTTATACCTGGAACCGTTGAGAGACATCTTGGATCAGCAGAATGTCGTACCGAAATTTCTGGACCCTATCTCTACAGTGCGCAATGGTGTCTTCGCTGATCACCCAAGGCAATCTCTCGTCTTGCTTATTGATTTCAAGAACGACCCGGGACAGACGTGGGAGGTGCTGTCTTCATACCTTGCCGACTTCCGTGAGAAAAATTTCCTCACATACGCCAGGGCGAGCTCCATAGTCAATAGGCCGCTCACGATTGTCGTCTCAGGCGAAGCCCCTTTCGAACGAATCCTTCAGAACTCAACACATCGAGATATATTCTACGATGCGCCACTCGACCTTATGGCTTTGCCGTCACCCTCTATGCTCTCAGTCGATACAGTAGCCGACCCACATCCCGACCCAAATATCCTCGAAGAGCCCGAGACATCACCAGCAGACCCTGCCATCTACTCCCCCACAAATTCATACTACGCCTCCGTCTCTTTCATCAAGTCAATCGGCTACCCATGGCACTCGTCACTATCACAATCCCAGCTCAATCTCCTGCGCGGGCAGATCCGCGGCGCTCATGCTCGAGGGCTTAAAGTCCGTTACTGGGGCATCCCTGCCTGGCCAATCGGTGTGCGCAACTACATCTGGCGTGTACTCGTACGAGAAGGAGTCGACTACCTGAGCGTCGACGACATCGAAGCAGTAACCCACGACAATTGGGGACCTCGAAAAGGCGGCTGGGGCAAGAAATTCTGGAGGTAAACATCATACAATGTCGGAGTAGCATCCCTGGTCAAACTAGGCCACAAATAGTGGTGTCTTCACACCTTATCAGCGACGTTCTCGCCCGTCGCCTCACCAGGCATCTTGAAGATGATCTTCAGCACCTTCCTCGCCTCAAAGTCTTTATATGCTTGCGGCGCATCCTCAAGGGACATGGTCTTCCCGCACAAGAACGCAACTTTCTTCTGCTCCTTGACCAGCACCTCCAGGGCATCCTCAAAGATACTTCGCACCGGGCACCGACCAAACGCCATGGTGACATTCTTGCCATAACATAGCAATCCATTAAGTGGGAGCTGCTCAGTGTGCACGCCGACCGAGCTAATCTGGCCCCACGGGCGGATCATATCAAACGCCAGCGTAAATGCGTCGGTATGGCCCACGACCTCGAGGACAACGTCAGCGCCCCGTCCGCCACTCGCGGCCTTGATCTTCTCGACCGGGTTGTCATTAAGATTGATCGGGATGGCGCCAATCTTTTCGGCTTCATCCAGACGTTCCTGAACAGAATCGATCGCGTACACCGTCTTGACCATAGTGAGTGCAGACGTGATAGCACACAGCCCCACGGGTCCACACCCAATGACCACTGTCGTGAACTCCTCACGATCCCGCTGCGGTAGGTTCTTCAAGAACCGCGACGCCGCAAAGTATCCGGTTGGGAATATGTCGGCCATGAGAACGAGCATTTCTTCCGGAATGCCTAATCAACGCGTCAGATAAGTTGCACATATCTCAAATCCCGAAATAATCGCCAGAATGGCTTCGCGTTTTAACATACCCTTCGGCGTCTTCACAAGCGTAGAATCCGCCAGCGGCACACGCACATACTCTGCCTGCCCTCCATCAATCGAATTCGCGGGCACCGAGTTCCCAAACAACTCGCCCTTGGCGCAACGACTCGCCTGCCCTCGCACGCAGTAGTAACACTCCTGGCACGCCGTGTAAAAGGGCACGACGACTTTATCGCCAATCTCGAATTTACTCACGCCGTCGCCCTTCTCGACGATGGACCCGACGAACTCGTGTCCGCAGATAAAATCTGGTGGACACTTGAGATGGCCGCGGTAGAAGTGTAGATCGGAGCCCTAGCCCCTGAGATCAGCGCTGCTCATGTCTCCTTGAGCCCTGACGGCCTCAGTATGGGTGGTGGACTCACGCAGAGAGCGGTCGACGAAACCTTCAGTACCGCGTCGGTCGGTTTTTGGAGTTTGGGGTATGGTCTGTCTTCAACGGCGACCTTCAATGCCAATTAGCACTCCTACCTCCATAGCTGCACAGAAGTCTTCAGAGTCGAATACAAAAGCCCAGTGCAGACATTGTCTTCAAAGGGCCAAGGACATAGACGCAAACATACCTCGTAGTTACCCTTGAGCACCACTGCGCGCATAGTGGATGGAGGCATGACTGCGGTTCGTTTGCAATACGAGACTTCTAGACTGGGATCAGTGGGTTGGTATGTAGTATTAAAGGTCCTTTGATGCGTCCCCAAGACAACTCTCGAGTTCACAACTGATCACAGTGACTACTTAACCGCCCTCGAGAGGTCACGATGTCGTGGCCGTTCGGACGTCAGGAGCATTTCGTATGTGGAGGTGGATTTTCCCCGCGCGATGGATGACCCTTTGCCGAGGTGTGAACGTCAGTCTGGGTGAGGGACGAGGCTGAACCCCGTCCGTCCCTGGGCAGCCTTGCTCGGTGCAACGCAATGCTTCTTGGAATGTACCGTACTTTACGACAAAGAAGACGTGTAGTACCTAGTAAGCAGAGTGCCACATACTCGACACGCGCATATGCTGGCGGATCCTCACGACACAAGTCATGAGTTACGAGGAACAATCTCATTGTTTATTCATGTCACTTCATTCTGCTTTTCATATGCACAAAGCTGGCCAGTCACTAACAGCAGACCGGCCATTTCGTCTCACAACTGCTCGTATTCTTTACATGTCCCACAATCCCAATTCCTCATCACGCTCAATAGTCATAGTCATCATAGCCACTTCCATCATAACGTCTTCTGATACTGCCAGCAACACTAGTCATATCCACATTTTGTCGCTCCTCCTCAGGGTGAAGTAAATTCTTTCTGTGCTGACTCTCTGGAGAAGGCTTCCCGTCATAAGCCGACGCATATGCCAATGCTTCTCTAGGCAAGTCTTGCGCCTCGTAAGAAACTCCAGACTGACCAGAGGCTTGTCTCGATGTCCGCAACGGTTCGGGCACATCAGGATTAGGATGTCGCGCCTGTTGGCTTGGAAGCAAAGCACGTCCTCCTAGCGTGGGAGAAGTAACTTGATTGTAAGCCGCAGAGACGCCCGTCTTTTGATCCCGAGCCGGACTGCGCATAGGCGCAACAAAGTCAAAACTCGGGACGGATGCGGGTATGGAGTTCCGGAAGGGATTGCCCTGGTCTTGATATGGACTCTCCAAGTCTGCTTCCTGATTATCCAAGCTGGAAGCAAGAGGGAGTGCCGAAGTTGGCGTTGCAGTAGCTGTATACGACGTGGGAGTGTTTTCGTTGCTCCCATTCGAAGAGTACTGATCCGGATTGACGAGAGAAAGTCGAGGAGGCCCTCCTTGGTCGATGTCGAGTTGTGACCCAGAACGGGAATACTCCCCAAATTGCCTTTCTAGCTCCACAGAATCCGCATTGGGGTCGAAGAACTTCTCGTCCGTCATATAGGGATTGTTCTTTTCATCGTCGTCATTGTAATTCATCGTTGGCATCTCGACAGCACCCTCTGGAAGAGTGTAGGGCCTGTCAGTCAGAGAAACTCCTCCATTCTTTTCACCGGCCTGCGCTTCTCTCTCGTCGTAGAGTCCTGTAGGATCGATCTGGTAATGATTGGGCGGCAGCGAAAATGGCAATTCTGGGGCTGGGTTGGAGCGGCCGACTGGTCTATCTGGCTGTATGCTGTTTTGCGACTCCGAGGCCACTGACATCCTTGTTTGGCCCTGGTGACTGAGAGTCTTCGTGATTATGCTCGTGGATTTCCGCTCTGCGGGTATTCCAAAGTCCTGTGAGTCTGGACCGTCCGGGTCCCGGATACCAAACTGAGCGATGGTGCGCAATTTTCGGGTCACCCACGACGCCAGGATCTTGCCCCGTTGCTTCTCTGACAGTCGACTCCGAGGAAAGTCCCCTTGACCAACAAAAGCGACAATGTCAACGATGATTTGATGTTCATGGAGGACAGCATTGACAATGACCGGTACAATAGAGGCCAAGTATGCCTTGCGGAAGACCTCGACCAGGACCACGACCAATCCACCAGCTTGGAACACGGCGCAACCGCCCGGTGCAATGTTTCGATGACATCTTTCAATGCTATTTTCGATGTCGATCGGGAAATGATTGAGGCCATTGACCTCGAAAGTCTCTCCAATACTTCCCAGCACAAACAGGATCTGCATTTCGACAGGCTGATTGCCTGGACCTATTGGTCTCGTGACATTGTGCAAAAAGCCCAAATCACCTGTGCGGACATAGGTCTGATTTGGATCGCCTCCCGCAATGCGGCCACTGAATCTTTCCTCGTCGAATGTTTGCTTGGACATGTAGAACGATTTCGCGCATGCTTCGGACTGCACCCATATCTCGCCATATTCGCCGACGTGGCACAATTGACAAGTCTCCGGATTAACGACAGCTATCCGCGTAGCCACGGGAACCATTCCCGAATCCTGAATACATAACGCTGTTGGATCGGTGTCCGGATCGACTGGATATATAAGGCCTCTTCGGAGAGCTCGTAGGTCAAGCCAAAGCTCAATGGGCTCAATGGACATGTAGCTACGAGACGCTATCATCGGATTGAGAACATGCGTGTAAATCGTGTTGACAGCCGTTCTTTCGAGACCGGTTTGTGCGAAATGTGTTCTTGCTTTGATGAAGAGGTCGAGACGTGGCCGAGTCTCTGTGATTATCATCAAGTTTTTAAGCTCATGCAAGGAATAGCCTTTGCCAGCAACGTGACCCATGGCGAAATCCAGCATCTGACTCGTGGCGTATGTATCCTTGACTTTATACCTCGACAATGCTTGGAATAAGGAACCAGGATTTTGAGCAAAGTCGAGTGGCGATATCAAGTAGGTAGTACTTCCATTGTAGACACCCATCATGACCGTATGAAGAAAGCCAATGCCAATAGTACTCCTAACACAGGCCAGGACAGGCTTTGAGCTCGTCATCTGGCAAGTCTCTTTCTGAACTTTGCACATTCCAAGGATCGTATCGTGTCCTAGCTGGACAGAGACTCGGCGTTGATCTGGTGTCCAGTAGGTCCAAATGATGACAGGATTGGAAGGTGATACCCAGGAACGAGTCATGGTGAGACCGAGGTCTCTACAGCCATGTGACTGCTTGGCGGGCTTTGTGGTGTTGTACACGTTGGGAATATTGGTCTTGAGATATTGTGCGGATTGTTTGAGATGCTGCGAAACGGGTTTTTGTTTAAAAAGATGATCGACCTCGGTATTGCAGAGAACCGCTTTCACACCCATGTCCGCGACAATGTGAAGGTAAGCTGGTGCATCTTCGGAAAGTCGATTCGAATCCAAAGGCGCGAGCGGAATGGCGATTGCTCCTAGGACCATGCAAGCATAAAGCGCGAAGACATAGTCCTCGGAGTGGGTATACATCAGAACAACATGGTCGCTTGGCTTGATCTTCACCTTGTTCCGCAAGTACAATGCCACAGCCGCCACTCGTAGGTCGAACTTTTTCCAGGTGAGCGGCTTTCCCTCCTTACCCCTGCCATCGACTGTGCAGTATGCAAGTTCATCGGCCTGCCTGGCCACTCGCCATTGCATGAGGTCGAAAATGTTTGTAAAATTGCTTAGGGCCGTGGACGTTCGATCATCAATAACGACTTCTCTGGGATCGACACCTGACCATTGCGTCTCCTGGTCGTAGAGGAGTTGTGTTCGAGCACCGCTCGCGATTGCAGACCAGATCCCACCGCTGATGTCTTCCCCAAATGGTAGATTTTGGACGGCTCGTTCGACGCCAAACTTGACATGTACACATGGCAACGAGCCGTTGTCAAATTCTTTACGGCATAGCATGTTGCCAATTTCCCGTCGACCATTCTTCGTTACCCGCGGCAGAACCCCGGGCGCCGTGATCAAAACACAGTATACTCGCAGGTGATGTTCCTGATACAACACTTCCATTGTCCGGTCGGCTAGGGATTCAAGCAAGGCAATATCAAGTTGCCTCGGAGGACCTCCTGACGATACAGGAGCAGTCGAAGCGGAGATCGACTCGAGAAGGATGATTGGAAGATGCTCGTCATTCACAAAACAATCAAATGCTGAACAGTCATGAATCTTGGGCACATTCCTCATGATAGTGAGAATGAGATGTTGAACGAAGTAATAGCGGTGTTCCTGCACCGCGAGACCAGATTCGACCCATTCGACTCTTTGCCTCAGACGATCTTCATACAATCCGAGTACGTAGATTTTGCCTTCGATGAGGCAGCCAAGCAGGCCGGTTCGAAGGAATTCCGGGTCAATGGCTGTCGGCGTTGGATTTCCCTCTTTGAAGCAGTAGGGACGTGCATGAAATATCGTCTCGGTGTGCCTAGGCAGTGCCCAGAACCCGCCTGAGAGTGAAGGTGAGTCCACCCAGATCTCACCGATAGAGTTCGGACTGCATATTAGACCAGACTCCGGATCTACCACTGCTAGAGTAGCATCAGGTATTGGATAGCCAAAGGCTCCGCACCTCACAGCATTCGGATATGACTCGGCTTTGGCGCGCGCCTCAGAACCCATAGCTAGGACAACGATATCATTAGTCTTCAGAGCCTCTTTGTCCAGCAGTACTTCACCAAGATCTTCTGTCGAGCGTTCTTTGGGTGGTTTTGGCTTGCTGCCACCTCCGAGCAAACTGCTACCAAAGGCGGACTTGTTGTTAGAAGTTTCGTCTTCTTTCTTCTGTTCGACTTCGTGGTCATGGTCCATCTCATGGGTCAATGAACAGCCCATTCTTTCCTCTCCACCAAGCCAATCGCGCATGCTGATCACCATGCCCCCATGTTCGGGCAAACACAACATCGGCGCGACGATTTCGCGGGCCCGGGGGTTGCGGAGCGGCTTGAGCCAGCGGTCTGCAAGCAACTCATGGAATTCGGCGTCCACAGTCAATGTATCGATCATGCATAGCTTGACGCTGCTGAAGTTGGGCTCAGTCCCTTTTTTGAAGTTTCTCGTCGTCATCGGATCTGCTTGGTAGTTATATACCACACGTTTCAGGCCAGGATAATCCGCCACCAGAAGGGTTGTCTTGTACTTGGAGATCAGATTCGCGTAAAGACCAGCTGTCTCGATCGCACGCTGATCAATGTAGACCCCTGTATGACCGCCATAGACGTTCAACAAGATGCCCAGAATCATGCCGATGCTTTGCCTCGGATCCAAATAGCTAAGGATGGTCTCTCCATGTCTCGAACCTGTGATCAGATGGCCTTGTTTGTCCCGTAGAGAAGGATTGAAGGTATCAGCTCTTGTATTGCTCGTCGCGGATGTGATCATCGCACTCAGTGTCGCCATCTGATGCATGATCGTTTTGTGGCTCATGACAACTCCCCGCAAATCGCCAGTTGGGGCTGTAGAGAACTCGATGTATGCTAGATCAGGCACTACGAGAGGAGGCTCTTCGCCCTTTCTCTTTGGGTGATAGCTTCCAAATTCATTCGTCTTCCACCACTCAACACCACGAGGCCAACTGAGTTTAGCAGCAGTGATGTCCCGCTGAAAGTTCTTCAGATTGGCCTCCGTCGTCAATGCGAGATGGGCTTGTGTAGAGGTCAACACAACGTTCAAACGAGTGTAGTTCTTCAAGTCGTTGATCGGCACCGCGACGACACCCGCAATGAAGCAGCCCAGGAGTGCCACGGCAAACTCAATGATCTCATTCTCGGTGTAGATCAATGCCACACGATCGCCCTTGTACAGGCTACTCTTATCCCGGATGACCTGGGCCACCTTTTCCGCACGACTACAGAGCTTGTCCCATGTTATTGACACAAGCTCTTTGCCCTTCTGATCCAGCACCCAATATGCGGCCTGCTTGGGATTCGTCTTTGCTCGATGCCGCAGCACAGCTGCAATGTTTTCGAAACTGGACATTTCAATGTGGGAGTCATGGGGGTCGCAAATGGCGAAAGGAACTTCTCGAGGCTCAAGGGGCATCTGATGTATCGCTGCACCTCCCGGCAGCTCTCCAGCACCCAAGAAAGGTGGTGGAATCTGCGCAGTTGGGGAAGTTACCTCGCCCGAGGAATAGCGGTGGACGTTGCCACCATAGGTTTCTTGTTGGTCTTCTCTTTGTTGGCCAGCAAAGTCCGAGAAATACCCCTGCTCCAGCATGGTAGAGTTTCTGGTGTCTGCGCCAGCGTAATTAGGCTGGGTGTCGGGATTAAAGGCGTAGTTCTGGCTCATGAGTGTCTGAGTACGAGAGGCCTCATTCGCAGTCTGAAAGGTCTCATTGCGATTGTCGTACGACGATCCTGACATTGTCCTGCCTCCTCCTGCTCCTTCCCGCTCTTGAAATCTCTGGACCAGACTTTGTGGTGTCGAACTTCTTCGAGGATCATTACTGTATTCCTCCCTTACAATTGAGACCGGTCGAGCCATGCTCGGATAGCCCTCTGTCATTGTTCCATTCCCCGAGTGGTTGCTCGCAGACCTGCCCGTGAGAGCGGCGAGTGAGGCTGCCCGGGAGGCATCGCTGGATGCCGGATGATCAGTGTCATCAGGGGAGTGTACTCGAAGTCGCGACTGCGGCTGCGGGGACTGCTGAGGGCTGATGTACTGCGAAAGTATGAGCGTGCGGCGTTTCTCATAGCCTTTCCTGGTTATGTCCCCTTCTTCCAGCTCCTCGTCGAGCTTGCGCAATTCTTCCTCCAGTTGGGGATTGACATTAGACATTTCGGCGGGACTTCATGAAGGCGAGTCGCTTTACGTGATTTGAGCACAAGACCAGGACCGCCCACGGCCGAATCGGCCGACTTCTCTGTACACAGCGCTCGAGGAGAAGGATGAACGGAAGAAGAGGCTAAGCGAGTGACAAGGAGAGCTTGCAAAAAAACGCCGATCGACCTGCTCAAAAGGACGATTTTCGTGGGTTTCAGTTGGATTCGAAACATGGAAGAGACGGCGCGCACCAGGCGCAATGTGGGGAGACGTGACGATTGGCGATGTCTCACTCAAAGCACTTTTCTTGACTTTGCCATACAGTACATTATTACTTGTGCATATGCCTATTTTCTATGCGACACAATCGAACATCCATCCTGATACATATACACTGTTTCTAGAGCCTGCGAAAACAAAAGCTAGCGAAACCTGAACATCAATGAAGATGGTTGATCGTCTATCTCTAACTATCTGTCCGCTTCGGGACAGAAAACAAGACTCCGATTTCAGACGACGTGTTTTAGGCCTACCAAGCCGGATCACTACATGTTGAAGAGAGCTTCCAGGCTGCCGGCGAGACGATAGTGATGCGTACACCTATATTCCCCTTCTCTTTGCAAAGACAAGAATGGCCTCAGCAGTATCGCACTGCACAGATAGCGGTCGCCTCGAAATGGCCCTCCTTGGCGCAGACCGTGGCTGCCTTGCCTTGGTGATCACAGAGACCAGCAAGCTTGTGCGATGTTGACAAACTCGGAAGATGACAGCGAGATATCTTTTGGTGCAAGCAAATCGCTTGCAATAAGTGAAACGGGTAAAACGTATAGCTTGGTTGCGCAGATCAAGCGTAGTATAACAGCCACATGGGCTCTGAAAAGACACGGCTGAGTTGCTCATGGCTGGCGCTGGCGGACTTGAAGCGTCCTGTTGTCCTGGACGTCCTCCACGCCTGGTTCGGTAGCATCCTGTGGTCGCTACTATGACTGGCTCTCCAACAGTGTGTAGACGGGTGCGTTTAGCTTATCCCGACCTTTCAGAAAGGTGAGCTCGATGATGAAGATATAGCCGAGTAAGGTTCCGCCGCATTTCTCAACCAGAGTGCCTGCAGCTGAGGCCGATCCACCGGTTGCGATCAGATCGTCCACAACCAGGACCTTCTGACCGGGTTTTATCGCGTCGGTTTGCATGGCAAATGTATCCGTACCATATTCCTTCTCATATTCTGCCGTTTCGAGTTTGCCAGGCAGCTTCCCGGCCTTTCTTACTGGTACGAACCCAGCTCCGAAGCTCAAAGCCAAAGTCGGTCCGATGAGGAAACCTCTGGCATCGAGGCCGACTATCACATCTGGGAGGTTGTCGGGGCCGAAGCTCTCGTGAACTTGAAGTTCATATGCGCGGATGAGATCTTGATGTAGGCTATGTGAGGCGAAGAGTGGGAGAATGTCTTCGAATAAAATGCCTTTCTGGACCCGATCCGTGAGCGGCGTCCTTTATTTAGTATTGTGCTTGGTCACACCTTGGGAAAGTCTGGATACGTCTTCAGTCCAGCTTTGATTCGAGCCTTTAGTTCCGGCAACGCTTGAGGACCGGAGAGTTGGGAGGCTATAGCGATGATTAGCAAGGCTGAACATGTGCAGGCAGGAAATGTCCACATACAGGTGGTGGTGGCATGGGGCTCTGATCGCGCGGAGCCATGACTTGAGTCTGGATTTTCAGGAAGAGTCATGCTGAGCAGGAAACGAGCTGGACGAGGGAGGCGGATAGCAGGATAAATAATGAGACAGACGAGAGAAAAAATCGGGATGACAACAAAGAGCACCGTTGCACAGGACGAACAGGCGATGCAGGACGAATCAGTCAGGCATGCAATCCACAGTGGTAGTAGTGGAGGAAGCTGAATGCAGCAGCTGTTTGCTAGGTTCCGTTCGGGATAGGGACTGGGATGGACGCTATTCCAGATGGTCTTGGGTTTGGAGTATCCTGAGGTGAGCCTTTCAGATGCCAGTGCCAGTGCCAGTGCCAGTGCCAGGGCCGTTTTGACAGTTGGTTGCATGTGTTAAACGTGATGTTAGGAACAGACTTAGAGTCAGAGTCAGAGTCAGCCTGCCCACCGGCCGGCATTTCTCCCAATATTTTTTTTCCCTTTCTCGCACTGACGTGATTGACGAGGGGCGCACACCCCCCAAGTTACCCATGTCTGGTTTAGGACTTCCGATAGACAGCGGTGTGCTTGGAAGCGAATCCACTCGGCAGTAGTTCTCCCTTCATGGTCTCAACACCAAAGGCAAATAATTCATTTCTTGCTTTGAGTCAAGGATCCTCAACAGGTCCGTGGGCATGTGTATTTTCTGGATACCCCCGATCGTCAAAGATAGGTCATTATGCCGGTCATGGCCGGTTAAAAGGCCATAGTTCAGGCCCAGAAGTGGGATGTACGTGTGGTGGGCTTGATAAGGCGCAAATCCATTGATAAAGGAACGTGGAACCGCAGAAAGATGCCTACATCAGCCCGTAGGATTGGCCGATAGGAACCACCGTCCTTCGAGGCCGTGGGTATGGTTGTGGGTATGGGCGATGGTGTGAGTCTTGGTGGATGCATGCCAGTCTGCAGAAATCCAACTGTCTACTACCCACCTCTGCTGCCTTTGCAGATACGGCCAGGACGACCGCATCTGGTGGTGCCACAAAACAAAAGCCATCTCCAATCTCGATTCACCAACTCCATCTATCTGCCTAACGACGGGCCGTCGTTCAGTGGAGATGTAAACTAAGCTTTCACCAGCAGGAACCTGACCTTCAGGAGTTCACAAGTAGATATCCTGTCCTCACTTTGGCAGGGTGTTGTGTACAGTATACTCCGCCCAGATGCAGCGACGCCATACAATGCGCCATCATCTTTGCTTGACCTGATGAGCCATTAAGTGTTTCGTGCTACGCGAGTTCGCCACGACGAGCAAGCCACCCACGATCCTTCTCGATCACCTCAGCCTGACCCGCAATTGTCTATGGCTTAGCCCTGCGTGGTGAGAGACCATGTTCTGGATTCCCTCGTGGGCTGCTGCAGTCTGGACGATCATCTGTGATCTGCATTGTGCACTCATCTGAGCTGCGATTCTTCTTCAACAGATTCGCATGCATTAGGCGACCGAGGTCGATTTGTTGTCGGGCCTGCGTATCGAAGTAGCGGTCACGAAAAGAGGTTGTTCTCAAGGGTCTTGTCATATAAAGCTACTGCAAGCCACTGTACAGCAATCGGCCCTTGATCCTGGACGGTGCCACAGGCGTCCGTAGTTGCCGTTGCTCATATTTCCGGCGAGTGCCGGTTCGAACTTATATAGATCGTGGTCGTCCAACGCGGCAGGGTATCTTCTCACCAATTCGATTGAAGTCCTGCTGTCATGAAACATTGTGACAAGATGAACAATGGCCGACCACACAGTTACGTGCTAATGTCAGTGTCGTCAGCGGATATTGGAGTATTCAGTACCCCGGCAGGTATGCATAGAGTCGTGCTGAAAAGTGCAACATTGGACCACCCTTACCAAGCTGATAGCTGCATTGCGACAAAGACTCTCGGTGTTCCATCCCGAATCGCACCGCGTCACTACGGCTTTCTCGCGGAGCTGTAACCTGGCTGTATAGCCGGCCAGGCTTCAGTCATAGGGGAAAGAAGTATAGTTACCTAGTTACCTTCTGAATACATCTGGTTACATGGCGACAACTGCCGGCTTGCTTGCTATTGAAGGGTCATCTTCGTCCGTGCATGTACCTATTTGTCTCGTGGGAGGTTCATTGGCAGAAATGGCTTCGGCTAATTCCGTTGGGGCCGTCTACAGAATCAGTGAAACAAGACTGGAATGTTCGCAATCGACGACCTGGCCAACTAGCTGCAGCACCTCAACATGACAGCGTAATCCGCGTTCAGTAAGGTCTGACTACCGAGTTGTACCTCAAGTCCTGACCAAGCAAATGGCGATGTTTGACAAGTGACATGATCCGTTAATGACTGAATCAGGTGTAAACAGTCACTTCAGTGTCGGAGTGGTCGGGCTGATAGCCACATTGCCCACTTTGAAGTAAATCAAGTCACAGGAAATATCGAAAAGACTTGAGAAATGGTGTTGCCGTGAAGTATTCAGTGGGTGCGCGATATCCGTGCTGTAGAGTCCTTATCCGGACGAACCCGTGATTCCAGAAAATTTCCCCATTCGGAACTCGCCCCGCGCAAAGCCAAAAAATTATTTTGCAATTGGGGACCAAGTACGGAGATGTTTTCTTGGAATAGACCATCAATATCAAAGCCAGCGTGTGACGTATATCTCACACAATGGTCCGGGCCAGAGAAGAGGACGAGTTTGTCTTGACGCTGTCGGACGCCGAAGAAGCACCACCAAGCGAGTCCGAATCCGACCATGATCGAGGAACGAAGCGCAAGCGAGACGAACCATCCAAGAAGACAGCCAAAAGCAAGAGACAGAAAACACAGTCCAAAAGCCAAAAGCACATTGAGCCTCAACCAGCGTCCGAGGCAGAAAGTGAAGAAGACCAAGGTGTAGAAGACGGCGCCATTGATTCTGATTTCGAGTTCGAAGTTGGTGCAAACGCAGCGCTCGAGGACCTCGAGGACTTCGATGGATGGGGTGCCAACGAGAGTGTGTCAAAGACGAAATCCAGTAACAAGAAGGGCGTGGACATTGACGAGCTGATTGCCCGTCGCGCTGCAAAGAGACAATCCCAGACGAATGGCAAGGAGCCCGTCGCGGCAACGGATGATGTAGTGGACGACGACGAGGAATCTCCGGCCGACGATGAGGATGGTGACGATGAGATACCAGACTTCGACGACGATGAACTACTAGCACCCGACACGTTCGGTGCCGAAGCTGCCAGCGAAGACGAAGACGACGACGCCGAGTCTGCTGACGGGGAGGAGGCTGAGAACGACGATGCCTCTGACAACGACTCCGTTGCTTCTCCCACCGCACATCCAGACGATCTAGCCTCCGAACAATCGGATGCCGAGTCACAAACCTCAGACGCAGACCCAGAAGAGCAGGCAAAGAGAGATGCCTTCTTTGCTCCTGAAGAGAAGGCCAAAACACCCAACCTCAAATCCGTCTCCTCGTTCCAGCAATTCTCCTTATCACGACCTATACTACGAGGCTTAGCCACACTATCTTTCACCACGCCCACTCCCATTCAGGTCCGAGCCATACCCGTTGCGCTGCAAGGTCTAGATGTCGTGGGTTCCGCAGTGACAGGTTCCGGCAAGACGGCGGCTTTCCTTCTGCCCATCCTCGAACGTCTACTCTACCGCCCACGGAAAGTACCAACCACTCGCGTCGCCATTCTGATGCCAACTCGTGAACTGGCTGTCCAGTGTTACAATGTGGCCATCGCACTCGCCCGCTTCACCGACATCACATTCGCCCAAGTGGTCGGTGGATTCTCCTTGCGCGAGCAGGAGGCCGTCCTCAAGAAGCGGCCCGACGTCGTCATCGCTACACCAGGTCGATTCATAGACCACATGCGCAACTCAGCCAGTTTCGCCGTGGAGAGTATTGAGATCTTAGTCCTCGATGAAGCCGACCGGATGCTGGAGACTGGATTCGAAGACGAACTCAACGAAATTTTGAAAACGATCCCAAAGGGCCGGCAAACCATGCTTTTCTCCGCCACCATGACCGATAGCGTCGACAAGCTCGTCCGCGTAGGCATGAATCGTCCAGTCCGGCTATCCGTTGACGCGAAGAAGAGCACAACCGCCGGTCTCACCCAAGAGTTCGTCCGCCTCAGGCCGGGCAGGGAGACCTTGCGTCTACCGACACTATGCGTACTTTGCAAGAAATTTTTCACCGAGCGCACGATAGTCTTCTTTCGGCAGAAGAAAGAAGCGCATCGAGTCCGAATCATCTTTGGACTTCTGGGCCTCAAGGCCGGCGAACTCCACGGAAGCATGTCGCAAGACCAGCGTATCAGCGCTGTCAACGATTTCCGCGAGGGAAAGACCACGCATCTTCTTGCAACCGACTTGGCCAGTCGAGGTCTCGATATCAAGAACGTCATGACGGTGGTCAACTATGAAGCGCCACAGACACACGAGATCTACGTGCATCGTGTGGGACGTACGGCTCGTGCGGGTCGTTCTGGACGTGCCTGCACTATTGCCGCCGAGCCGGATCGGAAGATCGTCAAAGCAGCAGTGAAGAGCGCCAGAGGGCAGGGCGCCAAGGTGGTCTCGCGTGCGATGGATGTCGAGGAAGTAGACGCGATGACCGCGCAGATTGAAGAGCTGGAATCAGACATCGAAGAGATCATGCGAGAAGAAAAGGAGGAGAAGCAGCTTGCACAGACTGAGACTGAACTTTTCCGCGGCGAGAATTTGGTCAAGCACCAGGCTGAGATATTGGCCAGGCCTAGGCGGACGTGGTTCGAGAGCGAAAAGGAGAAGCTAAATGCAAAGAGTCGGGGTTTGATCGAGCTGAACGGGCCTAACGGAGTAGTCAAGGTCAAAGGCGAGAAGAAGAGGTTGAGCAATAAAGATAAGAAGAGACTGGATGATCACAAGGAGCGTGTGGAAGGCAAGATGTGGAGGAAGGGTAAAGGCAGCGAGGACGCTGCTAGGAGGGATAGGCAGGACCGGAAGAAGAGTAAATCGAAGACCGCCGGGAAACCCAAGGGCAAGACATTCAAGAAAAGGAGGTAGAGATATATTGTGAAGATGGATCTGCTCTTAGGGTATCTCCTATTCCATGTCGAAGTAATTGGCAGCTTTCTCCTTGCCGGCTCATAGGCACACTTTCTGCGAACTGCTCAGGCTCCATATATAATTCCCCCGGAGTACGTGCTGGACCGGTCAGACTGCTGGAGACGAATCGAAGCGGCTCTGTACATGCTCGAACGACTGCCTCGATTGCTAGTATCTTGACATTCCGGCTGGGACGCAGATCGCCCAATATAAGCTGTGCTGAGCAGAGAATCCTTGAAGTGATGCTGCGTGGCCGGAGCTGTCCAACTACATAGAAGCTGCAAGCACCCGTCCCGACGTCGTGTACATATCACTTGTGTTCCGCGGGCTTGAGTTTGCCTTGTTTGATCAGGTCATCCACTTTCGGTGGAAGGACGAGGCCGACCCTGTCATTTCTCCTGTAAAAGTCGGCGACCACCTGCGCAGTCTTGGCGGGTTGGTCTTCTTGGATGAAATGGCCGGACTCTGGAAAGACTTGTAGCTGATACTTTCCTGCTATGATGTCAGTCATCCGTCTGGATGGTAGCATATGTCGACAGGAGTACTTGCCTTGCATCTGGCCTATCATCAATTCCTTGTCCAGTCTATCGGTGCCGGCGAGGAGTAACAGCTTGCCGCCACGAGACTCAAGGAACTTCTTCGACAGCCCAACAAACCAGCCCTCCCAGAACGGCTTCGTCGCGCCCAAATCTGTCCGCCACGACCATTTGTCTGTGACTTTCGATTCAAGCAGCAGGGATGGCACAGATACCCTAGCAGAAGTGGTGTTGCGGATCGTCCTAGACTTTAGATGCCATTCTATGCCCGAGGCGAGGGTTGGGAAGGATCTTGGTCTTGTTGAGAGGTAAGTATCCATGCTGGAAAGTGCATCCATTGCGGAGCCCTCGACGACGTCCAGGACTCCGTACGCCAGTAATGCGTTGCCCAAGAGTCGCTCATGGGCCACCTCAGTGACTACAGCTCCTCCAAGACTGTGGCCGATAAGCACGATATCTGGTAAGGCTGCCCATTTCATGTGTGCCTTGGCGGCGTTCACAACAAAGGCCAGATCTTTAGCTAGCGTGGTCAAGCTCAAATCTGGGGCTGAAGGTGAGCTGCCGGACGAGGTTGTGATAGATGCCTGACCATGACCCCTGGCATCGAGTGACAACACGCCAGCGCTGGGGATGAGTTTCAGGAACTCGGAGGCAAAAGCAGCAAATGATAGTCCTGAAGACCCAGCGCCATGATGTGTGACGATAAGGGGACCGGAAGATGTCGGTGGAGTCAGATAGGCATGGTGACTGATGTTTTCTGACGGCGTCCTTTGCTGGAAAGAAAGTGATTGGGCAAAGAAATCGTCCCAAGGTAAGGGCGCGGAACGAGATTTGATCGAGGAGCTATTCGAAAAGTTAGGACGTCTGAAGGGAGGTAAATGGCTTGTTGTGCCAAACCTTTTCGGCCTTTCAAATAGTTTTTGGCTGGGTGATGGGACTATGGTACCGGTGGATGATGTTGATGAGGCTGAGGAGGATGAATCATTCGGCGACTCTGGCGGAAGGGGGAGCACTTCGTCCTGGCTTTCATCATGCTCTTCTCGTTCATCGAAAACCGGAGGCGCATCGGGCGGTAGTCGGGCTAGGTGAGAGCGAGCAAATGCACGCTGAAGGTCGCTCATACTCAGACTGTTTCCATCATCATTTCTCGGGATCGAAGAGTCGATAGTCCGGCTTCCTAGATACAGTATGTAGGTCTTGTATGGTTGTTCCGGGAAGTCCACCTTCACTTAGGCGGCCTTATTGGTAGTACTGTACCTTTTCCGGCCAGCGCCGCTTTTACAGTAACCTCGATCAACCATGACATGTTGAAGTTAGATTGCATTCAACGTACTCTGCACAAGCTGATTTACATTCACAATATGAGTCATTCGACTAGCTTTCTCAAATCACTGGTAGGCAGAATATCATGGACGTCCCCCGCCTCAGGCAACCCTAAATGACAACCAACAACCAACACTGAACGGGGACCACCAACCAACAACCAACCTTGGACGATAGCCAACCTGACAGCCGTGTTGGACTCTTTGCCCAACTCTGGGCAAAGACATGGAGCTCTGTTGCGGACTCGTGGTATAAAGGGGCCTAGACCTGCAAAAATTGTCACCTTACATCCTAACTCATAATTGGTCATCGACCTGTGAGCAAGCTCACCTTTTGTGTCCCTAGTGTCCCACATATTCAAAGAGTGATGAGCTTGTCAAGAGTACCTAGGTACATGGCCAAATATTCTGACTTTGACTTCGAGGTTGTGGGCATAGAGATGGCGACGGGTTTTGTTGGAAGAGGGCATTTCTCATCGAGGGGAGGGGTTGGCTGCAGATGCGTTCCGAGAGATGGGTGCTGAGGAGGCTGCACAGCATGATGGCTGCTCCGATGTCAGTGCTCGAGCAGAGAAGAGTATGGAGACAAGGGGTGCTGGAATATTGATGCTTACCTTCGTTGGCAGAGGGTCTTTGGTTGTAGCAGGCACAGTTTGACAATGGTGACACAGACATAACATGCTGAAGAAGCATCGATGGTAATAGATGAGCTGAGACTCTGTGCCGCGGGTGATATTCATGATGAGGAGCAGAAGAGAATCTTGCCATTAACGAAAGCAGACTGAGTGGTGTTGATGAGAGGAGACCGTTGGTGATGGGAGCAGAGAAGAAGACGTTGAAGAGAAGGAAATGCCGATGAGAAGGAGATCTTGAGGAGAGAACTACAGTCCACGTCATGTTCTGCTTCAACATTTCATTCGAGGTAGGTACGATCGCAGTATCTTACAGTCACGGCAAGAGCAAGAGTTTTGGTAACTCTGAAGAGGCAGGAGCGGTTCTGGTTTGAGCCAGGCACTTTGGTGGCCAGGCCAGACCGAAAAGGTCGACCAAGGGAAGAGGCAACGGTAAGTACCACTGCACCCTTACCACCTATACGACTCAGCCAGCACGAGCATCATGTTGCATTTCTATTATGAGCAGGCCAGACAGTTTGCAGGGTTTCAGCCCTGATGCTCACGTCCGTTGAAGGATGCTAGAAGAGACAGCACCACACATGAGAGCGTCCATTCCGCTCCACAACCTGACACAGCCGAACATTCTTTGTTTGGCAGCCCAGCATGTGGTACATTCCCAAGGCTTGCAGACACTCATGTTCGGAGTGCGTGGAATTGCTTAGATGGGCATAGGTGCTAATTTGACAGCGTTTTCTACACAGGCACGAAAAGACCGTATGTCTTCTACGTCATGGACAACGTCTTGTCAAGCAGGTGCTGTTGAGCGAGAAGTCATGCAAGAAACGCCAATCACCACGACAAGCGGCAGCTGTGTCGATATGACTAGAGTTTATGCTCAAGGAGCAACGACACTTACTATGGATGGATCAAGGGGCCACAGGTAGGTTCATAGCTTGTTGTGCGTCTGCACTTGATATCTGTCGGGTCCCCGGGCCATAGGCTTTTCGGCACAAGTTCTTAGCTATATCACACGTCCATCCTCCATATCACATCTGCAGTGATTACACACGAATTCTGGCCAGGCTTTCGTGCGATGTTGCTAAGCACGTCTCCCAGCGAATGTCATCGCCCAGTGCGGATTTTCCCGCTATCGGTGTTTCGTTGTCGACACTGCAGCCTTCGAACCTCCATTATCTGGTTATCTTACCTTGGAAGATACTCAGCATCTACTATCACTGTGACGCTCTGTCCCAGCACCAATTCTTGTTAAAAGGTTGCCACAAACTTGGGCATAACAGAATGCCATCAGCAACTCCGTCCTATGCGGTGTCAGGTAAGACGCAAGCAGTCCTAAGTGACTACCAAGAACATGTTGCTGGCGGATTTGCACCTCTTCCGGTCTGATACGTGTCAATTCGCTGTCGTCAAATATGCTCATCACCAACAGGTCGCCATCGTCCGGGCCGAGAATGCTACTGTTTGGGACGTTGATGAGAAGGAGTACTTAGACTTTGTACTTAATATTTGGGGTCCGATCTGCGAGACTTCAGAAGACAGCTGACACGCCTATAGCTGAGCATGTACTCCGTGGTGAACATGGGACATGGCCATCCACGTATAGTCAGCGGCTGTAGCGGCCATGAAAGACGCTGCATGCGTTAACATTGCGTTTCACAGCCCCTTGTATGGAAAATTAGCAAAGCGACTTGGTGAGGTATCAGCCCCCCTGCCTTTTCAGACTCCTGGCTGAAGTACCCTTTTCAGGTCTTTGGTTACGACAAGTTCGTGGGGATGACCAGCGGAGCAGAGGCTGTGGACGCCGCAGTGAAGATTGCGAGGAAATGGGCCTTTTTCGTCAAAGGCATTCGAGATGGCAGTGCCCACATCCTAACAGCGGCAGCATGTTATCATGGCGTCACCTTGTCGACCGTCTCTTTGGCCAGCAAGAAAGCAGACCGTAGGTGCCTCGAGCCCATAGGTGTTGTCGAATACTGTGTTGACAACATACTCCAAGACTTCAGCAACTACCTTCCAAATGTCGGATCAACTGCGCCAAGTGGAACAGCGGTACGATTTGGAGTGATTGATGATCTACGGAAAGCTTTCACCGAAGATGGTCCTAAGATCGCGGCGTTCATGATTGAGCCAATACAAGGCTCAGCAGGGTGAGCTTTCCTCGAGCGTGAAGATTCGATGCGTACCCACCATTGCTGATGTGCCCCAGCATCATCGTCCCGCCGGTGGGCTACATCAGCGAAGTCGCGGCCTTGTGCAAACAGTACAACGTCCTGTTCATCGCAGATGAGATTCAGACTGGCTTTGGCAGGACAGGAACCAACCTGAGTCACCAACGAGACGGCTCGAAAGCCGACCTGGTGGTCCTCGGAAAGGCACTGTCTGGCGGTCTTTACCCCATGTCAGGCGTCATGGGTCCTGCTCACGTTATGGACCTCATAAGCCCTTTCGAGTGAGTCTTCGTGCTTTTGGTTGGGTATGTACTCAACATTTCTTGCAGAATCGGCACGACAATGGCCAACAATCCTCCGGGTTGTGCAGCAGCGCTTGCCGCGCTTGATGTGCTTGTGGACGAGAAACTGGCTGAACGCGCTGAACACTTGGGACGACTTTTGTTGGAAAGACTCCGATCTCTAAATCTTCCCTATGTGGTCGAGTTCTCAGGCAGTGGCTTATTCTTGGCCATTGTGATCGAACCAAGACCACCCAAGGTTACCGGACGAAGAATCGCAGCATTGCTGGCGCAAAGAGGTGTTCTCGCCAGTGCTAATATGGGTGGCTCCCGCGTCAGAATTTGTCCACCATTGACCATCAGCGAAGAAGACCTTCTAAGAGGAGTAGACATCATGGCGGCGGTATTTGCCGAAGTCGAAGACGTGGATTACATTCCAGGTGAAGTCATACAGGGACTCATGTAAAGAAACCGTGGTTGCCTCAACACAAGCCACAGCAGAAGCATGAGAGATAAGTTCTTGAACGTTGGCAGGAAATCGAAAACCACAGAATACAGTACATGGGGTGAAATGTCTGGCGGGATCTTTGAGACAAGGCTGAGGAGCTCGCAAGTGTGGCGGTGTCTGGTGATGGGCGTTTGCGTACCAGGATGGGCCGTCCAGGGGTTAGGATTGGATGGATGAACGAAAGCGATGGGCACCGGCAGGGACCAGGTTGGTAGAATTGGTGGGGAGGCATGATAGACGACGTTAGCTGGAGATGCGCCTAGATTCATGGCAATCTTTTCCGTTTACCTCTTATTCTGCTCCAGTCGTCCATCCATTTCATCAAGATACGGTTCACTTTGGGAGACTTTGTATGCCTTCGACGACGTGACAGAACCGCGTACTGGGACGCCTAGACACTGCTTACAGTCAGGGAATCCCTGGTGTAGTGATTGTTGGTATTGTGGCTAGTAGTGCTTGAAGCTTCAACGGGGTCGTGCGTGCTGCAGCTAACAATCTCGTGCCGTCCTCAAACTTTCCAGATGACGTCTTGAGGGCTTGAGACCTGGACCAACTGCGCACCTGCAGCTTTCCACCTCCTCGTCACCACTATTGCTTTGCTCCTCCTTTCTTCGTCGTCGACTAATTCTTTTTTCGAAAAGACACACATCTTGCTACAAGGTTTTATCATCCTGTTCTTTGGCCAAGCGCCAAAGTTTTTGACCTCGCCGCACCTCCGAAGTCGATTCCTCCAAGCTGTTGCCCTTGCAAGCCCTGGTTCAGACCTCAAGGCTTCTTACGCCTTTTCCGACACATTTGCTAAGCACCGGGCAACTTGCCCACCATGGTGTCACTATGGGGAAGCAACAAAAACGACGATGAGCAGCAGCATGAAGAGGATGGCCACGATCAAAGAGCAACAACTTCACAGGACCAGCCAAGCAGGCCGTCCGAGGATACCAACGAAAGAACGAGATTGTTGCCTCGTCATGAGAATGGGGTTGGGTATCTGAGCCCAGATGACCCTGCTGTAAGTCTTTCACTAGATAGTGTTGTTTGCAGCTGCTGATGTCTTCTCCAGGTATCACCCTACAACCTATGGAGCGTTCGAGCTCTGCGATTCTTCGAGGTCTTCTTTCTCATGATCACCTGCCTATGGTGGGTATTGCTCTTTATCTCTATCTTCGTCAGCCCGCCGTCGATGCATTCAAGAGGGTCTGGCTTCTTCGATGTCGCCTATACCACTCTCACCATTGGCAACATCGTGACGGCTCTCCTGTTCTTCGCATCTCCATCCACTGCTATGAGCATTCTCCAGATGGCTATCTCCGTGCTTCTGCTCATTGACATGATCATCATTCTGGCCGTGCCACGCATCAGAGTCGAAGAGGGTTGGATTGGTGTCGCCTCAGTTGTTTGGGCTGCTTTGATAGGTGGTTATAATGTCGTCACAAACAGAACGGTGAAATGGGGCAAAGCCGAGGAGGAAGAACGCCTTACCGGCCGCCAAGAGACCCGTCGCACCCTCCGCGAATGGTGCGCAGTCCTTACGGCGACAGTCCTCATGGTCATCTTCGTCGCCATTACCGTTCTTCTCACCGCCGTCCTGGTCTTGCGGTCAAGAGACGCGACTTTGTCCGCTCCCGGAAAGCGCTATCTCGTCGACGGTGACAAGTACGCGGTGCATTTGGCCTGCGTCGGAAACCAGACTTTCAATGCCGATGGCAAGCCCAATCCCACGGTCCTGCTTGAAGGAGGGTACATGCCAGTCGAATACTCCTTTGAAGACTGGATGTATGATGCATACACCAATGGCACAGTCGATCGCTACTGCTATTGGGATCGACCTGGCTTGGGCTGGTCCGACAATGCGCCGTCTCCCCACTCAGCTGGCATGTCCGCCGATGCTATCTCGGAGGCATTAGCTATTGCAGGCGAGGATGGTCCTTGGATCCTTGTGTCTGCCGGCATAGGCAGCATTTACAGCCGGGTCTTCTCTGCAAGACACCCACGTGATATCAAGGGCATGATGTTCATCGATGGACTGCATGAGGACCTTCTCTACAAGATTGCTGGTGCCGGTAGAGGCTTCGTGCTCTGGGGTCGCGGAATCATTTCTCCCCTTGGTCTTGACCGACTGGCTGGAGCTTTGTTCAAGGGTCGTACAAAGGAAGATCGAGTGTACGGCAGGTCAGCTTATCAAGGCGGCAAGTTCCTCAAGAACAAACTACAGGAGAACCTTGTTGCCGATTCATTCACCAAGAACGAGGTGGTTAGCGCCCGAAACATTCAAGATCCCAACGTACCCCTGGTTGTCGTTACGTCGGGAGTCCATTTGAAGAAAGACAAAGACTGGGAACGAAAACAGGAGGACTTGACCAAGGTGACGGAAAATTTGTTGGCATGGGATATTGTGAAGGGGGCCCCTTCGGAGGAAGTATGGCGGTCGCCAGAAGGAGCGAAGCTCTTGGAGAAGAGACTGGGTGAATTGTACAAGGGGTCATGATGGTGAGATCGGTCCTGATTCACAGAGCATGATGCCGATGATGCCTATTCAAATAATCTTCTAAGCAAAGCAGGCGTTTTCTGGAGTGGGAGCATGGATATACGTACTAGCAGAACAAGCATGAACCCGTACTCGTTGCAGCACCATAATATAACAAACTCGTTGTCCACTGCACCAGATCTGAAAGCAAATTGGGCACTCGTGCTACTGGTGCTGCAAGGCTACAGTACCTATAGGAACCGAAAGGCTCTTAACGTTTATAGGGTTATTAGCGAAGGGATGACGCAACATTGGGAGCCTGTCAAGTAGCGGCGAACGGCCTGCGACATTGACGCGGAGAGCCTCATCACTCTCAGGTACCGCCTTGAGAAAAACATCATCAACATTCGCCTGTTTGCTACTTTTGTCTTGCCAGTTTCGCCATCTGCTTCTTTGCACTTCTCTTGTCATATAATCCAGACACACTGCCCTTGTCCCCAAAAAGCTAAACTCACTGTATCATCACCTTCATTTCGACTTGCCATATCTCGCCCGCACCGCCTCATCTTGTACCATCGCACATCTCCACTCAGTGTCTCTACCTCTTTCCTATTCCACGATGCTACTACGGTTCGAATCAAAATGGGGACAATTCCGGTTGAATGTCGACCCAAAAGAACACTTTTCCTCCCTGACCAGCCAGGTAAGAGCACACTCTAAGTGGTGAACGAAGACTGACCCTGCTGGAGATTCTTGCCCATCTACCTCCGGATACCGATGCCTCCACGATTGTACTCAGTAACAAGCCTGTCAGCTCGACGCCGGCTCCGGATAGGGAACGGCGTCTGGCCGACCTGCCAGGCGTGGAATTGCGACAGGTTGGGCTTTCGTATGTATCTACTGAAGAAGAGTTGGGAACGGTCAACTGACCAAATCTTCCAGACACGGAGACAAGCTGTACATCGGATACCAGAACGTTGAGAAAATGTCAAACGGACACACAGCCGACGATAAGGCGTCTGCGCCTCGAAAGCTGAATGGAACAATCGCGCTACCAGAACCTACCGATTCCATCGCCGCGCCGACGATCACATCACCCACACTCGTACGAAATCCTTGGGAGGTGGTAAAACAGTCAGCCATCGATGATCGATTAGACAAGTTAGATGGGAAGATATCGCGGCCTAGAGATCAAAAGATGTGCCGGCATGGTCCAAAGGGCATGTGCGACAATTGTCAACCGCTGGAACCCTACGATCAGAAGTATCTGGACGAACGAAAGATCAAGCACCTTTCATTCCACAGCTACCTGCGTAAAATCAATGCAGCCACGAACAAGCCGGAATTGAAAAGCTCGTACATGCCACCTTTATCAGAGCCATACTACAGGGTGAAAAAAGACTGTCCTTCTGGCCATCCTCCGTGGCCGGGAGGGATTTGCTCCAAATGTCAACCCAGTGCCATCACACTGCAGCCACAAGCATTCCGAATGGTCGATCATGTCGAGTTTGCTTCCGCCGACATGGTGGACAAGTTGATTGACTTCTGGCGCAAATCCGGTGCTCAAAGATTAGGCTTTCTCTATGGTCGTTATGAGGAATACACTGAAGTACCCTTGGGCGTCAAGGCTGTCGTTGAAGCGATATACGAGCCACCACAAATGTGCGAAGTGGACGGTCTCACCTTACTCGAATGGCCTAACGAGAAAGAGGTCGACGAGGTCGCCAGGCTGTGTGGTCTCGAGCGCGTCGGGGTCATTTTCACGGATTTAATGCCTCCCGAGGATGGAGAAGGGCAGGCTGTCTGCAAACGACACATCGATTCGTATTTCCTGGCCTCGCTCGAAATTGCATTTGCCGCACGCCTTCAAGCACAGTATTCGAAGCCTTCGAAGTGGAGCGAGACTGGCAGATTTGGCTCAAGCTTTGTGACATGTGTGGTGACGGGTGACGAGGAACAGTCGATCACAATCAATGCCTACCAAGCCTCGAATGCCGCTGTGGAAATGGTGCGCGCCGACATTGTGGAACCTTCTGCCGACCCCAGTGTGATGCTCGTGCAGTCTGAAGACGACGAAGGAGTTGACGGCAAGACTCGATATATCCCCGAGGTCTTCTATCGACGTATCAACGAATACGGTGCAAATGTGCAGGAGAATGCCAAACCCAGCTTCCCAGTGGAGTATCTGTTAGTGTCTCTGACGGCAGGAATGCCCATTCATCCCACTCCTCTTTTCAAGAACAATAGATTCCCTGTCGAGAACAGGGATGCGGTCGCAGAAGGGCAAGACCCTAGAGACGTTGCCAAACAGCTCCGGTCATCTCAATCAGCGGAAGCCATCTCAGACTTTCATCTGCTATGCTTCCTGCACGGCATGGAAGTGTTCAGCAAGGTAAGTCAGGGTATCATGGATTATTATTGGCTAACATCGCACACAGGACGAGGAACGACTTTTGTGCAGTGTCGCGACCAAGCGTGATCAGGTAGATACCGTTCATCTAACCGAGTCTTCCGGATGGGGAACCCTAATGGCGATTCTCGAAACATATGGTGAGCGGCCCTTGAAACGTCCATGGTCTTTGGAATCGGAGGATGAATCTGGTGACGCTGGCAGCCCGTCTGAAAACCTGGCTAAGCGATTCAAACAGGCGGCTAGCCTCGAGCGCTAGGTATGAGTCCAGCAAATCACGACCGACAATTTCACAACACGGGTCTTTTTTCCATATGCTTTGCATAGCGACTGGGTGTGCGCATTTTCAGCATTACAGCATTGTAGCATGTGCCGTATAGCGAGCGTGGGACAGGGAGTAGTATGGGGAAGATGAGATGCACTGGGTGGTCGATGCCGGAGCAACGGGACGAACATTTGACCCATATGATGCCGATAATGGAAGTCTGAAAGTATGGACAACCTTCGAAGAGTCAAAGCCACAAAGAGGTCTTGACACAAAGGATCGACATGGTCGAAGGGGTATTGATCGACAGAGTCGAGGTCCCTAGAGGTGGTGATCATTGATGAAGCCCTGGCCATCAGTGACAGCGCTCCACCCTTTGCAAAAACAAAGCGTAATTTGTACAATATGCCAGAGAGATAACGATTTGATGACCTGCCTCAATTCAGCTGCGCCTCCCATCTATCCTAATGGAAGTGGAGAGTGTTACGCATCTGATTTATTTATCCGTCATAACAAACAGGTTGGGCAGGGTCGTCGTGTGTTTGCTTGAAAGGGGACAGAAACGAGTCGTCTACGGGTAGGGAGATCCGCGGAGAGAGACCTTTAGATCAGCGTCCGCCGCCTGGCGAAAGGCTTCTAGAAGGCTGCCGGAAGGGTTCATGATTCCGGGCAAGCCTAAGCCCGTGACACAGTCTGGGGGCGAGCAGTGTTGGGGGCCTAAAGGTCGCACTCTAGGGCCACAGCCTACAGATAGTCTGCCACGTCTGACAGTCGCATTATCGTCTCGTCCTCAAAACACCATGATCATACAACAAAGCTATCAACACAATTTCTCTGATACAGTCGATGACCTCTTGAGATGATGAGAACTGTTCATTCTATCGGACACGGTATGAATTTACCACCAGCAGAACAAACCACTAATCTGGATATACACTGGTATCTTTGTCAGTCTGTCAAATTCCCGCGAGAGATGAACAACTCGTCATTACTGGGTAAGCCCGAGCCCTGTCCCTCTTGGCTACTCGATCAATTGGGCTGGGCGCTGCCTCCGCATTTCAATGGCGCCTCTGGTCGGGCTTCCATTTTTCCTTTCATCTTCCATCCCAGATCCACTACTACTGCATCCCGCTAGTTGGACACAAGGCCATTCCATCCGAACTCGCATCCTCTTTGTTCCCTCATCCATCCTCAGCTTTACCCATACAATTCCCTGCCTGGGCCTTAACTAATACCCTGCTCGTTCTCGTACTTGGTGTTGTATGACCAAGACCCTCAATCTCGACCTCTCCGCTGTTTTCACACCACAACTGCGCCGAGCTGTGCGTCTAGCCCTCGACTCAGTCTACTGTTTTCGCGCCCGCATTTCCATCACCTTGCTCGACCTCGACTGTCAATCTGTTGTGCTTCGTCAGACCTGCAGCTCCAATCTGCGACCACCCGACGACTCGGAGACCTGACACCTGCAAGCTGCCTTGTTGTCCTCCATCTCCATCCATCATCGTCGGAACTGTACAATTTGACTCGCCTGGCTGAGGTCTTCAATCAATTGTCCCATTGACAACCTCATTGCGCTACAACAAGCCTTACAACTTATTACCTCCAGGCTCAGCTCCCATACCGATCTGTCGCCCCTTCCGAGTATCGAACCGGACCGCCTGCTGACGCGCAATGCTCTTTCCTTAACCGAATTCCGACCTCAGACTTTCTTTCCTGTACTGGCTTCGATCATCGCGAGTGAGCTGTTGAAAGCAGTATAAAAGACTATACAATTCTCCCTGACGGACCCATTGATCGCAGTATGGGCCCGTAGAATCTCAAGAGCAAGGGTCCGTTCTCTCTTCGCAGATCAACATTTCGCAGCGCTATGGATCCTGCGGCCTGTCGCGTCATATACATCGATGAGCGGTTCAACACAGAACGGTGGATTTCTCGGGACGGACTGGGATCTCCCAATACACCGCAGAGAACGGGCTCCGAGGTCGAGTTCTCTGAGTTGCCTTTGGATCTGCAATGCAATGTCAATGCTTTTCTAACTGTCTTCAACCAAGGTGAGTTGCGAATACCCTGCGTACTGGTGTCAGAACTGACGAGAGATCTTTCAGTGTACGTTTGTAGCTTTGGCAGGTCATTTTCCTCGAAGTTGTCCGAATTGCACGACCAAGCGAAGGTCGATTGTACGCCCATTCTTGCCTGTTTCGATGTTGGTGCCGAATCAAAGCACGAGTTGTTGAGAGCCAAGTCAAAGTTCTTCCCTGCCGCAGAGTCTCCCTTGCCGTCGCCGAATTTACTGAGGAGAGAGATCACCTTTTCGTCCGAGTCAGACGAGTCATACGGCCTGCAACTTCTGTCGAGGATAGCATCGGATCTACAAGTCGAAGAAGGAGTCAAACTTATTATACCAGTAGCCGTTGTCCAGCCTCAAAGGAAAGAATCCGCCAGTCAGGCTCCCGAAAATGACCACCCAAGCGAAATTTCCAGGGCTCCCTACGGTCCTGAAGAGAGACCCGTCGAGATCAAAGACACGTCAGACATAATCGATGCGCAAATGATGCTGCAATGTCTAGACGCCGGTGCGCTCGACGTCGTCAAGAGCCCTTTAGACAAAGCAGGTATCATGGGGCTAACAGTACATGCCTATCGCATCTACAAGAACGCGAAGAAGGAACAATCAGGATTCATGGGCATGACCCGTAGTAGGAGTCGCAAGCAGTCTTGGGTCGGCGTGGAAGAAGAGAAGCCTTATGCTTACCTTAGAGAGGCCATGGTGAAGAAGCTACTCAAAGGAATCTGCGACCCGCAAAACCTGATTGAAGACTACCAACACCGCGACCTTTATGTTCGAGAAGCGCGAAAGCCTGTCATAGCGCAAGCTGTCGGAAGTTGGGGATTTGATGGGCACGACTTTACCGAAGATGAACTGGTCTATGCCGGTTATTTTATGTTGAATCACGCCCTTGAAAGTGAAGCCGTTGAAAGGTGGCGTATGAGCAAAGGTAGGTGTCTCCATGCGATCAGAGAGTCTTCTAACATTTGTTCACAGCCGAATTACTCCATTTCATGCAGGGTTGTCGCATCGCCTACAACTCCTTCGTCCTCTATCACAACTTCAGGCATGCGGTCGATGTCGTCCAATCCGTCTTCTATTCCCTTGTTCAAATTGGAGTACTTCCGCCATATCCTGCCGGCGGGGATCCATCCCCATCTGCAAACGCGAAGTCGCCCCTTGCGCGTCTACTAGGGCCGTTTGAAGCGCTGACTTTACTCATTTCTGCCATTGGACACGATGTCGGTCATCCTGGAGTTAACAACATGTTTCTGGTGAAGTTGAATGCGCCTCTTGCGCAACTTTACAACGACCAGTCTGTCCTAGAATCGTTCCACTGCGCCGCCTATTCTCAAATCCTCCGCCGCCACTGGCCTGCTGCATTCCTTGATAAGGACGTCCGGAAGCTCATGATCAGTACGATTTTAGCCACCGATATGGGTATACATTCCGACTATATGCAACAGCTTGGCAATCTGCAAGAAAAAATCCATGAGACAAAAGACACCGACGCATGGAATCCGAAAGATATTGAATGGGCGCGCACGCTAGTCTGCGGGCTGCTCATCAAGTGTGCTGACATCAGCAATGTGGTAAGTTCGCCCGTGCACGAAATCCGCTCGTGGTCGCTTTACTGACAAGCACAGGCACGACCCTGGCCAGTGGCTGAGAAATGGACAGACTTGCTTCAGAAAGAGTTTGCTCATCAAGGAGACATGGAGCAAGCCGTTGGGATGGAAACAGCTCTGTTTGGAGGCCCTCCTGAGTTGGGCAATATGTTGAAGCTGGCTAATGGTCAGATTGGCTTCATGACCATTTTTGCACATCCGCTGTTTGCAAATGTGGCAGATGTTATCCCAGCTATGCGGTTTGCGGCGGACGAAATCCTCACCAACAAAGGCGTATGGTTCACACGAGCAGAGCACGAAAAGAAAATGCAGTTGCTTAAGAAGGGAGATGTGATGCGTGAAGGAGGCGCTGTTAGTCCTAGGACCCGAAGCCCCCCTCACCGGAGAGGAACTGTGGACAGTACGAATAGCAAACACAGCGTTTTGCCATCCTCGCCCTTGCGAGGTCGAGTCGACGGCCCGGAGAGTATACCGAAGGGCCTTGGTGTGACACAGCAGGCGGGAAGCGAGTATGCCGCGTCACAAAACAATGTTCGCACGTCGTCTCTGGCGCTCGCTGCAGGCATTGCGGTCTCTTCGAACGACCCGACGATGCTGGACCGAAGAAGATCGGCTCTGGTTAATGGCGAACAAGATGCTTTCAATGAGTCGCGCAACGGTGGAAAAGAGCATGCCTCGGCTACCAGCACGCCAAAACTGTCCGTTACTGGGATGGAGTTATCATCGGAATCAATGCAAGCGCTGAGCGATACACGACGAGACAATGCCGTGTCCATGCGTGCCGGAAGCGAGTCCATCCCGGCAGAGGTTTGGGAAGCCGAAAGACACGAAATATCCCATACCACGGACGCATCGAATTTCACCTTTGCAACGTCAATTCCAGAAGAGCCAGTTCGGACTTATGATCCTGAACGAGGCTATTCTGCTGCGCATGTCAGTGCCAGAGCCAGTGCACCGGCAAGTGACCAGGGCTTCAAACATCTCGGAAAAGATAATGCTGATAGTTCCAGTCCGGCCAGATTGACGCAGAGCGAGAACGCGAGCACTACTTTAAGAGGAGGAGATGAAAGTGTTATCAGTCCCGCTCAGAGCACCGAAGGGACAGGCTCACCGAGTGAAGTCAACGAGGGCACGTCGCGCAATCATGACAGCTTTCAAGCTATGCGCAGTCGTGTGACGAGTGCCCCAGTGCAGTCGCAAAGTCCTGGCTTGAGACCCAGCTTCAGCATGGGCAGCAACAGTGCCACCAGCCGGGAAAGCAGCAAACTGGATATTCACGCTACGATATTGAGTAATGGTAATGGCAATGGGGAAGAGAGCAACGGCAATCATCGTCAAGTTCAATCCAAAACAATGGGCCGCAAAAGGAGCAAGTTAAAGCTTGGACTTGCCTTTTGGAAGAGGAGCCGAAGCGACAAAAATATTGCAGAAGAAAGGCGTCCGGATAGTCAGGGCAGTGAAGGAGGGTGAAATATTGATGTGGGAGGCCATTGTGAATATTTCGGAACTTGTCAGCGTTATGGGCATCATGTTTGAGCTGGAAATCATGTTTTGGGAGGCCTCTTGTCGGGACACTCTTTCAGTTTCCAATACGGAGAACCAAACCGTGGACGGAACATCACGGAGCGTTTCATGACTCCACTCTACCAACGGTGGTTTTGTGCTGTGCGGGATTAATGCTGACGATTTACATGTGTGAGAAGAGGGGAATGCGATCAGGCTGCAGAGATGGCCGTACTGAGAGGAGTCAGAGGACTGAATGCATGACGGGCTTGGGAGATGATGTTTGATGACATTGTACGTTTATGAACAGTCGAAAGTGCATGAACAGGCGATGGGACACAGCGCATTGCAAGAGGGAGCACGCCGCGGACGAAGCTCTGTTCAGACTGATTCGAGTTCGAGTGCGAGTGCGTGTGCGAGTGATATCGTATGTATAGCTGTTGAACTTGAATGGCATCAAAATACTTTGTACAATCTGTATTGAACTCAGCATAGCCAATCTACTTGGCTGCATTTAACCAAGTGCATTGCGGAATTGCTTCAGTAGGGCACTATCGGGCCTTTTCCAAGCGTCGTTCCCTTTTGCTGCAGTGGCAGTCTTGCCGCTTGCGCTACCATTCGCGCTCGCGCTGACACGAATTTGGCTTCGCTTCTTACTAGCACCAAGTCTCCCAGGTGTGTTATCGAGGTCATCGCTGTCCTGATCTGAGTGGCCAACGGGCGAAACTTTACCGGCATCCCATTCCCGTTGCTCGCCTTTTTTCGCCCATTTGACGTTTTTGAGGTCGCCTTCGTTGTCCCTGTCCGCGAATGCGCCGCTTCGTGACGTCTTCGCAGATGTCGTCGTCGTTTCCCAGCGTTTGATCTCGTCTTCTTTGAAGCCTGCTTCGCGCATTCGGTCGGCTTGTTTGGTGCGCCAGGCGCGGCGGTCGCGGAGAGCTTCGAGTGCGTTGTCCCAATCTGCTTCTTCGTCGGAGGGGGGGTCTTCTGGGTCGACGTCGCGGGAGGGGTCGTAGGTGGAGGAGAATCGGGTGTCGATGTTACTATGGGTGGTATGGTGGAAACCGCGGCCCTTCTTGCGTAGGTTGGGGTCAGTGGGTTTGGGACCGATTATGGAGGAGAGGGGGTCGGATGATGTTAAGGATGCTGAAGGACTTCGACTTCGACTTCGACTTCGACTTCGACGTCGATCACTGTGTTCATTATGTGGTTTGTTTTCTGGGGAGTGTCTGCTTTTGGATTCGCTGCCGCGGGATCTGGACGTCGATCGGCGTGCGCTCTTGTGATTGTGGCTTCGACTAGGATGTCGGTCTTCGGCTGCGGAGTCGCTATCATCGCGCCTCTTCTCATCTTTGTGTCGGTGTTCTCGACTAGGACGGCTCTGGTGTTCGGGACTTCGACTTCGTCTTGAGGTTCTGTGTCTCTCGGATCTCTCGTGCCGAGTCCTCCTGTGTTCCTCACCGTCGGTACTCAGACGTCGTCTTTTTCTATCACTGCCTCTTTCACGCTCATGGCGGCGCTCGTTGTCTCTGTGGTGACGGCCATGATCTCGTCGAGACTCGTGTGAGCCCTCGGCTTTTCTGATGTTGCGCAGACGGCTCTTCGCTTCGAGTTCTTCCTTTTGCTTGAGAGCCGCATTGTGGCTGTCGGCGTCGCGGACGAGTGCTTTCAGAAAACGAGTGTTTGGCTTCGGGGCTGCTCCGGCTGGCCTCTTTGGTACCAATGCGGACATGCCCATGGTGGCATACTTGAGTGAACTTTTGCGTGCGTCTGCGGCCAGTAATTTGGCGACATACTCGTCATCGTCGAAGTCTCGTATGGCTGACATCTTATGGCGCGACAAGAATCTTGTGGGTATTAGTTTGGAGTAATGGAATACATATCGTCGAATGAACCTACCTTGAGGGAGGGAACAGAATTTGAGTGCATAGAGTGAAGGACTTCCATAGTACTTACTTTCCTGCGAAGTCGGCGCACCTTCCTCACGTAGATTTCATGGCTCGACTCTCCTGTAGGAGCTTATGGTACGACCGACTGTCTTCACATGTTGCAAAGAGGGGACCCCCTCAAAGCGATTCAATGGATTCCTCATCAGTGTGAATAAGGTCCATCATCGACCGGTTCAGTAGAGTCTGTTCACTCGGCCATCGACATGTTCTCCCGGTTAACACGATTCATCCGGGTCGATGCCATCCCCAACACTGGCTCCGTAGCCCGCGATCTTTTGGCATCAGAAAGGACATTTCTGGCCTGGGCTCGCACTGGCCTAGGCTTCATCGCTTTGGGAGTTGCTCTCGAGAAAGTGGAAGCATTTGCAGCCTTGTCGCCTACGCTTCTTCATCTCTCAGACTCCCGGACCAAGATTGCGGCAGGTGTACTTGTCGGCAGTGGGAGCCTTTGTGTCGGACACGGCACGGTCAGGTATTTCAGTACCCTTCGATTGATACAACGAGGCAAATTTCGTCCGAACACTGGCGGAGTCACTCTGATGGCCATCACTTGTATCGGCATCGCAGTCAGTGGTAGTATCCTGGTTCTGGAGAACGAAGCGCAACAGAATCGGCTTAAAGAGGAACAGAAGACATGAGCTTCAAGAGTGAGTAATGCATGAATCACTTTCTTCCAGGCGTCAAAGTCATGTCTTATATCTATTTCTTGCTTGTTCTAATCGGCGCCAGACAGCTCTATAGAAACAATCATTCTTCCATTTTGTCAACCAACCTCTAAGCGGCAGGAGCGCCATACGGTTGCGCGGCGACGCTTTCAATGTCGACATAGCCGTAGTTGCTGGCATCTCCAGAAGCCATCTTCTCACCCCATTTTCCCATGTCCTTGTTGAAGGCCTCAACGTTCTCCTTCACGGACATATCAATAGGCTCCTGGTCCTTGCCGATTTGCCGAATCTGAGTACCAGCAATGACGTTGGTAAGGCCAAAGTTGTCTCGGTCGACCTCTTGCTCAATCGCGCCAACAACCTTGCCGTCCAAGAGGTCTTTGCATAAATGTGGCTCTTGGCAAACAGGCCTAGCAAGGCCGACCCCGTCGACAGTATCAAGAGCCTTCACCATACCGTCAAGCGTCAAGAATCCTCCAGTCACATATGTCTTGGTCTTCTTGAGGCCTGGCGTGATCTTCTCCGCAAACTCCAAGAAGAAGGACTCTCGCTTGCGCGTGCTCTCACGCTTGTGAGCAAAAGCAAGAGATTGATACGTTCCGCCGCTCAATTCAACAAAGTCGAATTCAGCCTCTTCCAACATTGAGCATACTTCCTTCGCTTCCTCGGCCGTGAAGCCACCTTGCTGGAACTCCACCGAATTGATCTTAATGCCGACAATGAACGATTTGGGTACTTTTTGACGGATCGATTGGGCGATGTCGAGGATGATGCGGGCGCGATTCTGGATGGATCCACCATACTGGTCGGTTCTCTTGTTCGTTGTTTGGGACAAGAATTGAGCAAGGAGATAGCCGTGGGCACCATGCAGCTCGATCCCATCGTATCCAGCCTTATAGAGGAACTCGGCTGCGTGGGTGAAGCGGTTGATGATGTCCTTGATCTCATCTTGGGAAGCAGCGTGAGGCTTGGCGAAGGTCATTCCCATGATCTCTCCTTCGAGTTGAACATCGCTGGCCGAGATCGGGTCCGGGTTCACCCTTTGTTCGACTTGTCGTCCTGGGTGACTGACCTGTCCGGTGATCAAACTACCGTGAAGCTTGGATTGCTTGGCCAGCTCCTTGAAAGCTTCGAACCTCTCACCCTCGAATGGAGCGTCCAATGGGATGATTGGATTCCCTGGCGCTTCCAACTGGTGATAGTCGACCATGATGTTGCCAGTCAATATGTGGCCTAGGCCTCCCTCACCCCATCGTTTGTAGACGTTTATCAGGTTCTTTGAAGGGACGCCTCTTTTCTCCTTGTGCTCCGCGTCCCAACTTGAGAGACGTTCCGTCATGGCGCCCTTGAGAAATCTGTTCGGGGCGGTCTTGCCACTGAATTCGAACTTCAGGGGCTGCGCCAAAGGCGATGCATCCTTGGTCTCGGAGTCGAGTCGTTTAACCATGTTTGCGTCGAAAGAATGATTTACAGGGGTTTCTATACTGGTTGTTCCAACAAGTCTATTGTGTATACTAACAAGCGGCTCAAGTGAAAAATACAAGATGTTATTATACTATATTCTATCTCTCCATAGCCGGATGGAGGATAAATCCCGACTTTTCGACGAAGGGTTTACAAATCAACGTCATGATTCCCTCAGGACTACCATCGTACGAATGCGGAGCACTGAAAATTCGTCCTAATCCCCCACGTCATACTATGTGTTTGGCTTATGCATTGTGCAGAAACCTATGGTGGTAGGGTCCTCACCAGTACTGGTACCTGTCGAGCACTATCTACCGGCAGTTATGAGTGTATCCACCGGATCTTGCTATGACAATTGTCAACTGTACTCGTACTGCTCACATTGGTAAGCACTGAAGATGGTGGGCCGGCTGCCGCGGGACTTTGATTGAGAATTCCTTCGGGCCGATCAGGGTCTTGACAAACTGGTAGCCTCTGTATGCATTTGAAGGTGGAAGCTTAAGTCTGTATCATTTTGTGCAGATTTACATTCATTTACATATCATATCTCCGCCGAATAAGGTAGGCAGTGTCACCTAAAACCTGGCCTGGACCTTATTTTGAACGTCTTGGACCGCCCAGTCCGAGTATGACTCCTTGCTAAGCACTTGCTTGGCTTGCGCGAGTGTGAAGCCCTTGGCCTGGGTGGCCGGGTTGTATCCCAACTTGTTGATCTTGCCGACCTCCTGGTCCGAGACGGGGGCGGCAGCCTTGCCATCTGCACGCTTGTACACGGTGACGACGACGGCACCGCCGAGACCCAGGTTATGTTGCAAGCAGTACTTTGTGTCTTTGACAAGACGGTTGTTGGCCCATCCACGGAGGTGCCATGTCAATTCGGCGCATTGCGCAAGGCCGGTTGCACCTATTAGATCTTGTTAGCTGGACATCTTTGACCGGTGAGTGGGAGAGAGGCTTACCGAGAGGATGACCCTTGGAGATCAGGCCACCTGAAGGATTGATGACATATTTTCCACCGTAGGTGATATCGTGGTTTTGAACCAGTTCGTGGGCCTTGCCTTTGGGAGACAGGCCGAGCGCATCAATCACGCACATCTCATTGGCGCTGAAGCAGTCGTGCAATTCAACGACTTGGACATCATTGGGCGTGATGCCTGCTTCCTTCATGGCTTGTTCACCGGCATACTTGGACATTTCGAATCCGATAAGGTCCATTGAAGATTTGCTAAAGAGTTCTGTCGAGTCGGTGGCCATCTGTTGACCGGCAATCAGAACGGCCTGAGCTTTGAGGTGAGGTCGCTTGTCGAGGAATTCTTGTGAGACGACCACGACAGCAGCGGCGCCGTCGGAAGTGGGACAGCATTGTAACTTGGTCAAAGGTTCAAAGATCATGGTCGACTTCATGATCTGTTCGAGCGTGTATTCATCGGTGAATTGTGAGTATGGATTTCTCTTGCTGTGCTCGTGGTTGACCCGGGCAATCTCGGCAAAGTCTTCTGCTTTTGCGCCATATTTCTCCATGTATTCACGACCTGCATTGCCGAATAGCTGGGCGGCACCCGGGGCATTTGTGATTCCTCTTGTTTCTTTCATCAGCGAGTTGGTGGTACTCATAGGGTTTTCGCGATCATTGAAGTAGGCTTGTAGACTACCGGGCGACATCTTCTCGAAGCCAACGACAAGGACGCAATCCGCGGCGCCATATGCAATGGCCTGTCTGGCCATGTTCAAGCCCGTACTGCCGGTTGAACAGTTGTTGTTGACATTGTATATGGGGATTTTGGTCATGCCAAATTGGTAGAAGACGCGCTGACCACAAGTAGAGTCGCCGTAGCAATAGCAAGCAACTCCTTGATCGACCTCATCGTAGTTGATCTGGGCATCGAGCATGGCTTTGACACCAGCCTCGAAACCAAGTTCATGGTAGTCAACCTTGCCGCGGGGTTTGATGAACTTGGTCATGCCTACGCCGAGGACGTAGGCTGGGGCGGCGGCTTTGCGAGGCATCGTGGCGATTTAGGGTAGTCAAAAAGGTCTCGTTGGGTGTGATGGCAGACGTCGGATGTGAAGGCTTCACAGTGAGTATGATCGAGGGGAGGAAGAAGCGATGAAGAATCAAGGGACTGTTACCGTGGGATTCTCGGTCAATATCAAATTGTACCCTGTGGACTTGTAAGGGCCTTCTCCGGACCGAGGTTGACACTCAACCGGGTATCTTTATCCCCCAATAAGCCACCGTGCCTAGCCCTCAGATTATTTTGCGGGGAGTAAACACCTTGCACGACCTCGGTTCACAGCTTGGGTTTCTGATGCTCAGTACAGCTTTCTTTAACGGTCGACCATTGAGTCCTTTCATGCAGAACTTTTTTGGTGCGATTGTTCACCCTCAAACTTGCCGTCTCCCATTCCCTCCAGACCTTTCACCAGTAAGCAGCCTGGTTTCCTGCATGACATAACACTGTGCATAGCGCCAACACAAGGAGACATTCAGCATGCGAATCATGAGGCCTGCTGAGATGTGGGATGGACCGGCATTGAACAGACGAAAGGTAAGCCTCTTGGAAACCCTAGAAAGAGCCAATGAACAAGGGAGGAACCCTAAAAGCCCCTGCCATGAGAATTGAGGGGCAGAAGGTAAAGAGCATTGTTTGTGCCCTCTTCTCAATCGTTGAATAACCACGTCGACGTCACAGTCCCTCATTTCAGTGCGTGGAGGGACCTCTAGGCCCAGAGTCGGGAGCCCTAGCAAGCCTATTTTCCCACCCCACTCACTGGGCTTTGTCCAACTGGCATCCCTAAACGATGCCAGATCCAGTACCCAAAAACATCTTGGACCATTCATGGCTTTGCACATGCAGTGCAGCCCACCAACGAGACCTCGTACCCTCCCATTGTAGATGCTGATGGGAGGCCGTCCTAAGTCTACTTAGCACCTCATCAACTTGTTCAGTTTCCTTACTCTTGTTCTCTTCCAAAGAAACCCGTCATCGTCCCTGAATATTGGGTTCTGAGCTCTTCCGATCATAGTCGTCACCAGTCTCCGAGTCTTCTTCGTTGGCAGCTTCGAAGCTCGACCGTTTCCGCTGTCCCACCACTACAACTCCTGGCTAGATTCCAATGCGAGCTCTTTAACATCTTGAGAAGACCTGGGAGACGTCTGGAAAGAGAGCATTGCTGCAGGAATAGGTCGTCGAGAAAGAATCCACCTCGCATCGTCCACAGCACACCATCTACCTCCGCAACGCTTCGGTGCCGTATCAAGGAAGTGGTCTTGTGCTTCACTGTCGTCCTGCGGAACTTGGAATACATAAAGAACCTGAACATAACAAGGGAATGGAGTGTGGAACGCGGAAGGGTCTTCTCGTTTGAATGAATGAGAGATCTTCTTGCGTTCCATCGGGTTCCGCAGCCCATTGTGCGTGTCGACCACAATATACTGCCGCATCGACGACATCATACGCACCGACTTAGTGTCTGGCTGGTCTGTCTCTTTGAAGTCTTCGTCGCCGAGAGCGATGAATAATGTCTGCAAAACAAACCACAAAGCAGTCATCTCTTGATCATGAACCAACCTCTACCTCCATACTTCCATCCAAATCATCACAACCACCCATAGCCATGTCTTCCAAACCGAGAGTGGACACCGGATGGGCATCCAAAGACACTCAGATCTACTATGCAAAGAAATACAGACAGATCCTCGCTTCCGGTCCCGCGTGTGCTTTGGCTGTTATGGCAGGAGTAAGTAAACTCAAAGAATACATTCCTTGACAGGAAACGTTGACCAGACCCAGGCTCCCCTTGAGAACGTCAAAGTTCGAATGCAATCGTAAGGCTGAGCCAGTTGAAGATGAGTTTCTCATAGCTAACAGTCGAAGGCGTCATTTCGAAAATGCTCTTGCAGCGACCAAATACACCTACCGTACCGAAGGACTTCGTGGTTTCTGGGCCGGTAAGATGCAAATTGCACGACAGGAAGAGAACGTGTCTAACAGCTTCCAGGTACACTGAGTCCACTCTTTTCAATCACTTTCTCTCGTGCGCTCGGTTTCTCTGTCTATCGAAAGGCAAAATACACATTCGACGGCTGGATCGAAGCAACTACTGGAACGTCACCACTCCAACATGTCAACAAGCCAGGCACATACCCAACAATCTACACTATCGCTTGCTTCTCTGGAGCTGGAATGGTATCCGGTGGTGTGACAGCCGTTGCTCTGACTCCAGTCGAACTCGTCAAGAATGCAACTCAAACATCTGTTCTGATGGCCAGCCAAGGCAACTCTCCAACCGTCAAAGCTCCGGGCGTTAAGAACGTCGGCAGGGTCAGCTCGTGGACATCTATGAAGAGAATCGTGGAACGACGTGGAGTCCTAGGTCTTTGGACGGGCTTTCGCCTTCATTTTGCTCGCGACGTGATCGGCACTGGCATCTATTTCGGCATCTACGAAACCACCAAGCAGACCCTGAACTCATACTACGGCTCTGAAAAGGCAAACTCTCCTGGCGCGGTGGCTGTCGCTGGTCTTCTCTGCGGTATCGGCTCTTGGGTCGTGACCTATCCTCTCGACACCATGAAGACACGGGCGCAAAACAACCTCGTCGGCGCTGGCAGCGTGCCATCCACAACCTCCAAGGCCTCTGCGTCGCTGTCGTCTGCCCTCGACACCGCTGCAAAGACGGCGGCGCGCTCCTCCAAGTGGAAAGGCGTGGAAATGATCATCCTGCGGTCTTCGATCCAGAATATGATCCAGATGTCCATCTTTGAGCAGGCGAAGGTCGTCATCGACGACCTCACCTTCTCCGACGGTAGCCGCACCTTGCCGGAGGTGGAGCGGCACTTTGGCCGGGACTCCAGAGTCCATAAAAATGACAAGTTGTGAGCGGCGCCTTCCTGGGGAGTATCGACGTGCTGTTTTTCTGTTTGATTAGTTAGCGAACCCGAAATACAATCAGTTCATCAGTTCACGTTGCTCATGGCGTGCTCGTTGTTCACATCGTCCTTGCCAATGCTCCAAGATCACCGCCTGTTTTTCTTCTCGCTTGCACGTCCCCTTTGTTGCTGGCGTTCTTCCTTGTGCCATCGACCCGCACGACCTTCAATAGTGTCGGCTGCCGCTTCGTGTCTACTTTGCATATTACATCTTGTTGACGACAGCGTACGCCTGGTGATCACAATGACAGACAGCATGCTTTGTGATGGCGTGCTTCTCATTGCTAACGTCAGCATCCAACGCCTGCAGGGTGTAGGTGCTCTTTATCACTACCGCCTCCTGAGCGGGATGGCACGGGCATGCTTCTCAAGGACACTATTCTTTTCATTATGATTTAGAAGTCAGATGTACGCCATGTACAAGCGGTGTCCATTCCGTGTTGGATTTCCAGGGGGGTATCATATGCATCACAATTGCCTTATCCAGTTCTTGTCAAGTCACACTCCATGAGCGCCCTATACCAGCATTACTGATCCACAAAACCGATTGGGAAGTCCTTTTTGCAATCATCAGAGGCTCCAGCCGCCATGCATAGAGCAATTTCCTGCAACATCAACGCCATGCTCATGATCATCTAACGCTCATTCAATCGGCCTTCTCATGGTCCAGTGCCTCCGAAACATCTCCAAGCGCGGTTGTGTATTGCGTGCCTACTCCTGGTCCGTCGAGCAAGGGACTGGTAGGGGCAGTGACCATACCACCTTCTCGCTCCTTGTCCTTATCCTTTTCTCTTTGACCGATGCTCCCACTGATACTGTCATTTCGACCATGCCCTGCACCGAGCAATCCACTGCGCACACTCGCCGCGTCGCCGTACTTGCTGCCAATGTAGCTGTTGCGCTCGCTGGCCAATGCTGGCGCTGTGATGCCTGATGCGGATATCAAGCTGGCTCGTTCGGCGTTGATGTTTGATCGCTGATACGCGGCGCCGCTGGCATCTCGAAGTGAGGCGTTGTCTGCACCTGAGTGAATGACTGTTCCTGAAAGAACGGATAGAGGAAGGGATTCGCGGCTACCACCGAACATTGACCCGGGCGCGAGTGCCTTCATGGACGCATTTGTGTCCACCGAGTTGCGTCGGCGCCTCTTGGAGGAAGAGGCCAATGTGAGGATTGAGGCATCATCCGAGAGGACGTTGTTGGCAGTCGCAGAGTGGTAGGTCGTCGGATGTCCATGAGGCGCCAAGTGTGCTGGGACCGCGGTGGCCGGTTGAATGCCAATGTGTGAGGTGGGATTGCTTGCCGATGTGCTATGTGTGGGAACTTGAGCTGTTGGGTGATTGTGTGCCGGCGCAATCGATTGGACAGTCGTAAGCGTGGTGGTCATTGACCGTACGGATGGCGCAGGAGACGAGAATGTGCTGTCCCTGCCGCCATCAGTTTTCGGGGCTGTAGCACTTGTCCCAGCACCTGAAGGGGCCGCGTCTGATATTGCTGTCTCTGCCTGCGTAGCTAGCGTAGGGGCTCTTGACTTGTTGAATGTCTGGCTGTCGTGAGATATGGACATCGAGTGTTTGCTCTGTGAGAGCGAGCTGTGCCTGGATCTTTGGGACGATAATGGCGTGGAGAACGATAGCCCTCCGTTATTCTGAGGTTCTGCCCTCGATGATAGAGGATATGGATTATTCTTCAGCATGTTTCCTTTCTTGGACTTGCCAGTCATGGGCAGTGTAGTCCGTCGAGGCCCGCCACTAGGTTCGTTGGAATCGACATGTAGGGTCTTGAGGTTTGCTAGTCGGCGCATCCAGGTCGTAAAGGGTCGGCGTCGGCCATGTCTGTCTTTAAATCTATGTTAGAGGGCACTGTTGCGCTGAGGTGGGTGCGAGCTGCTGCTTACCCTGGGGCCTAGGCGGAGCTTCAATCGAAGTCATTTTCGACAACACCGCTTGACTGCAAGATCTTGACAATCGTAAAGGCTTGTCTCGTCGTGCGCAGGTAGAAGTGATGTTACCGGGAGGTTGGGAACCCAGGCTGAGCGATGTCGCAGAAACCCGGGGTGACGCACAGATGATCGAAGTCAACGGATCCGCTCAGACCATCGGTTATGCTAAGCGACTTGCAACGGGCTATCACTCGCAACTCTTAGTCCGTGATAAGGCTCTGATCATGAGCGTCGATAGCAATAAGGGGAAAGAGGATGTGCAGAACAACTAGTAAGGAGCAGCTGCGTTAAGGGTAGTGTTGAGTTGGACTAACGCAGGTTCGCCCCGGGTTTAGTCCGGAGATACTGCTATTCCTCCTAAACCTTCCACGTGGCTAGCCCTAGCCTAACATGGTCTTGCTATGCCCCTTAAATTTGCACACTACGCCCCGTATGGGGCCGGGAAGGGCGAGATCAAAGACCCTGAAGTACAGTAGTATTACCCTGACCTGCGACTACGAGGTACACACAGTACTGTTCTTATCACACACCGGCGGGAGCTTCGATTTCGACTTTACAGTGTTCTGTATCTCGAACATTTGATCTTCTTTCTCTCACATAAAGTCGTCCTCGTAAAAGGTCGCGTCTCTGTCCTGATTGCTCACCATGTTCTCTTCCCTCATGATATCGTCATAAGCATGGTCCTTCTGCCATCGCAACTCTTCGTGTCGTTGTCGCTCTTCCCGGTCCTTCGCTTTCTGCTGTTCTCGCTGGATCCTCTCAGCCTTGCGCCTCTCTCTCTGCTCTGCTTCTCTTTCGGCCAGCAAATCCGGAAACTTTTCGACTCGAGTTTTGTTCAGTCGGTTGACAATGATATTCTGACGAGCCGGAACAAGAATTTTCTTCACCATTTTCTGGTCGTGGAAAGAAACTTGACCGGTTGCCATTGAGCCATCTTTCTTCAAATTCGACCACGGTGTGTAGATGATTGTGACGTCGTCCTTTTTGTTGCCTGAGAGCTTTCGTCAGGAACGAGGGATATCCAAGCTTTCTTCGCGCCTTACCTTCAATCGAGTTGGCTTTGGTCAATTGAGCACAGTCTTCTAGCAAGGCTCGATCAATCGACTTCCAGGACTCGCCCGCTTTGAGACGGAGGTACAAGTGTGCGCTGGACAGGTTGTCCACGTGAAACTGACGCTGGTCAGTCATGCACTTCACCTGGCCTGTTGTATTACCCTGATTCCAGTCAGCCATACGGTTTCCCCAGCCTGCCTAGGTAGTCAGAAGAGTCCTTACCAAACGTCCTCATCCCAGCCAAACTTGATCAAATCTTCATCTGCTCCATTGTCAGAGACTTGAACGAGCAAGGACACCCATGGTCACACGAACTTTCGACTTTATCCTTGCCCACATATAGGAAGGCGGGAGGGTCCACCACCGTGGATTTGAAGTAGTAGACCATTTGAAAAACAAAGTCTGCTCACCGCGCTACGGCGCTCATATGGCTGTATCTCCTGTATCAAAAAGGTAGACTCGACCAATAGGCAGACGTGTGCTGCAGCACGAGTCGACCTTTTGGAGTTGCTTGGTTTCAGTGTGCAGAAGTCGTTAAAAGGTGCGAAGGGAAAACAACTGACTCCAAGGCGTTTACTTCACCGTATTATATCTGGCCGACTCTTGGCGTTTCTACGGTGAAGTATAAGTGGGCATTGTCAGTGCGGAACATGCTACCTCGGTAATAAGACCAAGAGCACTTTTCTATTTTGTGGTGGACAGGTTATGAGGATGTCGGGCATAGGCTATGGCCACGAGCGAGTCCCCCGGCTGGCTATTCGCATCATGCTCCTTCGATGACAATGGCCTCAATTGTCCTCCCTCGGCACCCTGTGAGACCGACCACTGGGGAGACTTGGGCGAGAATCCCCGAGAAAGGTAGGGGCTTGTGCAAGGACAAGAGAGTAAGATATACACATACATATCTGTGTCTCAACGTCTAAGACACCATCAAGCCCAGCATAAGCAGCTAGTATGTGGCCTTGCGGCGGACGTAGGCTCGCTATCAAACATTGGGTATCATGAAAGATCATAATGTCCGTGAGCGATTCAAGTGCAGCAATCAAGTTCTGAAGCCGGTCCCTGTGTGGTTCACAGATCACCGATGGTCAGCCATCCCTCGAGAAGCCGTACCTCTGTTAGACTTCAGACATGACGCGCGAACACATATATCTTAAGCAGGCTGACGGAAAAAGCAACCTGCCACTTGATCAATGCATCGACATGCGCCAACCCCCTAAGCCAACATTCTCATGCAAAAGTACACTCGTCACCACGCGCAGAATGTATGGTGGCAGCGCGCAGATCTGTTGGTGCGGATCCCAGCTCCACGTCACCACCGTGATCGTGATTAACTCAGGTCCGGAGGAAATCCCGGATCCCATTTGGCGCTTGAGGGTTTGACCTGCAGCTGACACTCGAGATCCTGATAATGTTGAGGTATATCTCTTTGAAGGACAGCAGGGTTTGATCGCGAACCTAAATACATCAGACTTAATTGGGTGCTCGCAATGCTGCATCCAGGTATGCCACGTTGCCACCAGGTAGAAGTTTCCAGCGTTTGAGTTTATGCTAATGCAGCCACGCAGTATTGTATACCATTTGTGGGGAGAGCTGGTCAGTGTAGTAGACGTCAATTCTGTCCTTGTCGTTGAGCTTCATATCGCAAGAGTTGCCTTTCGGCTGTATCAAGACGAAGTGTAAGTGCAAGCATGGCGAGCATCAACATGGTGAGCAAAAAGAAGGGATTGGAAAGGTGGTGCCAGACCTTAACTATCGATGAAAAGGGCACGTCTCAAGGTCCGACCCAAGTGGTGATCGACAGATCCGAGATCAAGCGTGTTTGTGGGACAATTTTTGGGGACGGTCTTTCAATCATATATTATCCCGGCTCTTCCAATATCGCTATGCAAGCATCAAGGACTGTTAAAGAAATCCCTGACGGCTGATGCAAAAGAACAATTTGCGATGAGAGGATCTGCAAGGGGGCGGTTGACCCATCTTCAAACGCGGATTGTCATATCGCATGATCATTGCCTGGACATTGCCAAGGCGGAAATAGAGACGGTGACAAACTGTACCTCAGTGATTTGATGGTAACTGTCTGCACGCGATCGCCAGAGGCATGGAACCACGATGTGAGAAACCGGTCATGATTGCAGGTGGACCGAAACAGAGTCGAAAACAACCGAAGGGAGGGGAAACAATGAACAGTACTTCCGTCCACCCAAATGATGCCTGCTTTTACTGGAAAGGGTGCAATCGAGGTGGAAATGTTGAAGCTAGCTGGAACTCCGAACTTTGGCACGAATAGGCTTCGTTGTTGGCCTACTGCGAGAACAAAAAAGCATAATTGTTGTCCGGTGGTACTTCTTGAGTTAAGGTTCAGACGACTTCGGCCACCGGATGAGGCGATTAGGAAGGAAGTGGATGATCGCATCGTTAGGTGTAGAATCTAAGAATGCAGTTGTTAAAGATGTCGCTTCTTATTTTTGAAGGGAAGAATAAGCCCGCCGGTAGAATGGGTAAGGTTGACGCGATTGAAGGAACAGGAAAGACAACCCGCGCCGGACCAATGACTGATTCAAGCGACGAATACAGCAGCAGCCCCATGTGGTAGAGAAGCCCACGGATATTGAAAAGCAGGACCGCGTGGTCACAGCCCAATGGAGCCTTTTCGATGTCTGCCGGCATTACGCGCAAGCCGCTCAAGAGCAGAAAGTCTACTCGATTATAGTGTTACACGGCTCTCCAATTCAGAACAAATTGATTCTGTCCGGAAGCATATGTGGAAGACCCAGCCATTTGCGATACGGCAACTGGGGTGCTGGGAGGCAGCCAAGCCAGCCCACCTGTCAATCAACGGCTGATGTGCAAGACTTGCCAGTATGCTCATTCCGATTCGAAGACCAACAAATGGGAATGTCCCGGAATGGATGGGCACATCACCGTGCAGCCCATCGCAGGGGTCAAGGGTAGGGGATGCACACTCCGCAATACTACGTACGGCGTGCGAACAGCCCTGCAACTCGTATGGCAGGCATGAAATCCTCCATGGCCGTCATTTATCACACGAGCGAGCAGATCCGTGTCATCTGGAGGACCACATGCGGACACTGGTCGTTGTTCCCTTCCGTACAAAGAGATGGCCTCGCCTGCGCCAGAGAAACGCTTACTTACTTTGGTGTAACATGCATATGGTGAGCCCATCCTTCCAAAAGCTAATCAAAAGTGGTTCTTACCGCCTGCTCAATTGTGGGGAACAAATAATGCAAGCTTCTGGCTGACCCCTTCGTCGAATGTTGGATGTCCTATGGTTTTGCGTCTGTGCGATTGTCGGTTTCATGGCAATGCGGCACCACATGGCTCAACTGGACGCGACGATGCACTGATGCATTGGTTCCACGGCTTTTCAACCGGTATGGGTGCCGCCACTGGGAAGGTCTCGATAAGCACAATTGCCACCATGGAGAAGAGTTCACGATCATCCCTAGGCTGAGCCCGATGGCACGCTTCTCGGGTGCTCGTCTTGTCAATGGCAGTCGTGTCCAGTCTGTTCGGAATCAGACGATTTCTTCCGACTGCAAGTTAGCCAGTATTTTCGCATGGATGGATCACTCGCCAACAGGAAGTGTACGACCGTACTGTCCCAGGCTGGCGATTGCCAACCATTAACGGCTCCAAATACATGGGTCAGCATGTTCAAAAGTCATTCTAGACGGCCCGGCCCCTGCTCGCCTTCGCATGAGGGAGCTGCGGCAATGCGGGCACCATAAAGGGTGACTCTTACGCGCTGGCTGAACAATCTCATGGCTGAACTACGTAGCATATGTCTTTTTGTAATGGAAATCCGGGTGCTCCCATCGAATGGCGATATGTAACGACGTGTCTGAGGTGTAGACCCGACCTCGTATTGGACCCAATTCGGCTAGATACTTTCTCGCTAGCGAAAACCTGGTTCAGATCTCAAACTTAAAACGTCGACAAATACACGGCATTCTGTCAACCTGGAAAGTTATTTCCTGGCTCTACAATCAAAACTTGGATTTATTCCTAAGCAGATTGTCGGTGGGTTTGACCGGCGGCACCACTTTGCTGCATCAGTTTGACTTTTTCTCACCACCCCGACCATTGTACACATGCGCCTTCAAACTCTACCTCAGTACATTCGTACATAGGTACTTGTGTGAATGGCCAAATTCGGTTCTGAAAAAGGTTCCGACAATGAATCCACATGACAGTTGATCCCCGCTCAAACCTAAACCAGCACCATCATACCCATACCGCTCTCAAGTTCTATACTTCGGCCATTTATTCCTTGGGACATACGAGTCGTGGTAAGTCAGGGACTATGGATGTTTCGATGTGCACACAAGAGTCCGGATTCGGAGCCAACGTGAGAACATAGTCCGACTCGAGACTATTGGTGAGCCAGACGACCGTGACTCGAGCACACCGTGAGGTTGCCCTGTTGGTCGCAGCCTTATTAACAAACGCCGATGGGGAAATATGCCCGGTATGTCATGCTCTGTGGATCACACGGCCACTCTGCGGCCAGCTCTAGCAATTCACAATATGGCTACCGCAAGGAGCAGACCTGCGTCGAATTTGACTGAGGGACAGGACCGACACGCCACACCTCCCAACCTGATGATCTGCCTCCATATCACGAAACTTACTTTTTAGTCCTTCCAGTCTGCATGGGGTTGCGAATGTCAATCATGCTGTCCGCCCACGCAAACTTTACTTTTGTGTTTCGCTTATGATCGAGTGACCATAAGAGTGACATTGCACAGCAGTGGGGCTCTGCATGCTGTGTGATGCCAGCAGAGTTTCCCATGTCTGTGTCTTGCCATGTGTGAGCCAAAGCTTGTCGATGAGGCTTTGATATCAACGTAGAAAAGCCAGCCATGGCACTTGTTCTTGATTTGCGTTGCTTTTCTGCACTCCCGTCCAAAGCCAACCGTCGACTGATCCAAATCAACCCATCATTATCCCTCCGAATTCGCTTCATATTATCAGAGGGTGACTGAACATGTCCCGTACCGTTGTGGTCACTGTAAGACAAGCTCTCCAAGTGGCACAAAACAGCGAAAGTGGTCAGATCGACCCCCGAATCCTTCAAATCTTGGAGAACGCATTGAGTCACATCTGGGAAAACATCCAGAAGCAGCCCAACAGTTATGTCATGACAGTCCTCGAATTTGCCATCTTCAACTTCTACAGAGCACGCTCTGAGTTGCAGAATGAGATCGCACGCAAGGCCGTCTCACGATATTGGAACAACCGAAACGTTACTCATGGACAATGAAGGAGACCACTGAAGACCGCAGAGTTTTGGCAGGGTGATTGGTTCTGGGAATTCAAGTCCGGCCAGTAATCACGGCGACTCGCAGGTTGTTTCCCCATGACACATGACGATGAATCCGATCTTCGCCATGTCGCAGTACACAGTCCACCAATCACTTACTGGACGGCTCCTGTTCACGACGCTCGAGCGAATGGCGAGTCCAAATGCAACCATCTTGGACTCTCGATTGTTGGTGGCACGCGTCTTTTTTCGCTATCGAAGTAACCAGTGACCCTCGAGGCATTGTCGGATCGGCATGACATACGGCCCGCTTCTGGGGGGTGACATGGCCTATTGCGGCTGCAAAAAGGCATGAAACAACGCCTTTATTGAGATTAGTCTGGGCTGTTTCCACCACCCTGTCTGCGCTACCTATGCCCGCTCAGGGCTGAGCTTGGGTGAGAAGTATTTCGGAGTTTGGACACGGGGGTGCTTTCTCGCTGAGATGTCCATACCCTCGATTTCGAGGTTCTCTTTGGACAGGCTCAGTCTCACGATGATACGACCTCTCACGACTAGTACTCTCAGCAGTAGTGTTGTCACTGCTCTATGGCTGCTGTTCCTTTGCTTGTACAAGCCTTAGCATATGTTTAATGTTATGCATGCAGCATGCTTCGCGCGCGTGTCAAGGGATAGTCTTCCTGTCCGTTCGAGACGATCTTCCATTCTCTGTGAAGATTCACCCCAAGCCACTACAAGCGAGCACCCACAGCATGCCTCCAACGAGCACTTCTGCTCCCGTTATTGGGAGGAGAGAGCCTCAAGTTGATACATGGGATGCGGAACGACAGACTTTCAGCGTGGTGCAGCGACCGTGTAGGGGTCTCATTCCTTGAGCCACATTCCAACGCTGACGAGAATGCAGGAACCGCGAAAACACAACACCACGATTTCTTTCACGATGGCTTCGATAGCTGTCTTGACCTTCATTTTCCGAGCCAGCCAGCCAAAGATGTATACCGTCTTCTTCGCAGTTTTGTGCTGCCTCCTGGCAGAGACGCCCCTGGCGCTCGCTGCAGCTGGTCCCGGTCAACCTGCTTCCGCGTTCGGCAATCTGAGAGCGTTACTTGGTTCCGCCGCACATGCCGAGTTTGCAAGAGGTACTGTAAGCGTATGCCTCTACTGCCATCGAACATGCATTGGTGGAATGTGGCTAACTTCACCGCGACAGTCAGTTTCAACTCCTCCGACCACCACCACTGCTCAGTGTGACGAGTACAACAACTACTTATATGTGACGCCTGAGAACTATACCTTCCAGCTGCAATGCGAGACGAACTATGATGGATTTGAAATAACGGTTGACGATCCAGTCTCCAGCTTGACAACTTGTATTGAAGCCTGTGTGACCTACAATGTGGGCAACCCAAAACAACTGTGCAAGGGCGTCAACTTTAACGCGGCATTTGGGGCGGCATTTGGACAATGCACTCTTTATTCAGAGGTGACAGACTTGAGCCTGGCAGACGAAGACGGTAAGATGACCACATGGGCGTCTGGAAAGCTGGAAAAGAATCAAGATGAGCTTTTCGGACAGGAAATGCACAATATCATGACAGGGCATTGGCTGACCTGTATTTGTGCAAACAGAAGTTCAAGATTCTGCATTGTTGGTGGAAGACCCCAGTGGAAATATGTACGCGTCAGGTCAGGTAGCATCATTTTCGGGAGAACCGACCCAGGCACCGTCAATTGTGCCATTGCCCACCACTGCGGCCAGCCAGACAACGTCAGGAATGAGCACCACATCGACTACGACCATCACGACAACGGTAACAAGTACGACTCTTATCACCTCATGCCCCGCTGGAATGTCTGGTTGTCTGTCGAGTCTTACGACTCCATTTTCCACTTCAACCGTGGGGCCCATCAGTGATGGCACTACTACTGGTAATCCTACTACGACAGTATCTCAACCACCGAATAGTGCAAGCACTAGCCCATCGCCGTTTACTTCGAGCCTCACAACACCTACTGGCACTGGGACGGCTGGAACAAACACAACACCACCAGCAGGATATAATGTTGACGCTGTAACGACATTCACCAACATTGTGCCGGTTACGGAATACAGAGTGCAAGTTGTGGAGATATGTGCAGCCACCTCGACTCCATGTTCAGAATCGACCGTCACCTCTACCCGTGTCGGTTATAGAACAGAGATATCGTGCTCGCCTGGGCCTTGTACAGGGGTGATGGTGGCTAGCAGCTTGATGGCTGATTTTGCAGCCACTGGGACCTGTATCATGACCTAGAAATCATGTCTTCAATTCGGGGGGGAATCATGGTCCAAATAGGTGCACGGTTTGATCTTCGATGTTACGGCTTCTTTTTCCTATTGACGTGCTAGCCGTAGGTTTATTGCCTTCCGCGGAAATCTGAGATTTGGCTCAATCAAGTTTTTGTCGCTATCCGTTGAACTCATTTTATGTGATAGACTGCTACTACGCGTCTGTAGGCCCTTGGCATAAACCCGCTCGTACTAGTAACCCGTAAATGTCATGGCTGATCACAGAGCAATCCGATGCGCCCCCGGCACGAGGATCCGTCCGTACAGGGTAAATTGTGGGTGGAGGTGGACGCAAAGTTCGGGAGATTTCCCATAGCTTCCGAGGTTCTCAATTTTGGCTAAGAATACCGACTGTTTGCCGCAGAATTGCCGGCCCATCTCTCAATATCATTAACAAATGTATCACGATTCACCGTTCCTTTGGACTTCAATATCTGGCAACGAAACCGTCAGTCTGCAAGTGCCCATCAGGCAAGCAACTATCAACATCATGGCTTCAATATGGGGCTTGCCAGATTTCTCTCACCTCGACGTTCTTTTTGGGGCTGCGTTGCTTACAGAAGGGTGCGGCAGAATTCCTCCTTGCTCTTCCCTTGGTCGTAACAACCGCGTCGCGAAATGTTGTTCATCCTTCGTGATGCTTTGAGATAAGATGAGTACTGAGATCTTTGTCGTTGTGCCGAAAATACTTCTCAAACATTGCGCAACCGGACTGGCCGCCATTGTCTCAATTTCTTTGTTTGTGGTCGGCAATGCCCTCATACCTAAACTCCCAGCATCTTCTTTGTTTTGAGCCTCAAGCGACATATGCCTCCAAAGATTCCTTTCCTCTCGTATTCATCCCCTGCAAATATTCACTGTGGTTATTCTAGTTGGTGACCATTACTCTGGATAACACCCACTTCCCTTCCGATATTCATCATGGCGAACTTTTACTTGCTTCATGTATTCCTGGCTATCGGTGTCCTCTGTGCCATCGCAGAGGCAGACTGCAATCCCCTTGTGAATGGTTGGTATACCCAGTCCTGGCATAGCGCTTTCTGGCTAACGTGCTCGTTACAGCCTCATGTCCCGCCATCCCGGGTTTGGCGACGAACACTTATTCTGTTGATTTCACTCAACAAACAGCTACTCCCTCAGATTGGATTCAAGCTGAAGGGGAGACGGTCATTTATGACAGCCAGAATGGTGCCACTTTCACCTTCGCGAACCGCTATGATGCCCCCTACATCTGGAGTCGATTCTATCTCTTATTTGGTCACGTCGAAGTGGTCGTGAAGATTGCCAAAGGAGAGGGAATCATCACTGCGGCGACTTTGCTCTCCGACGACCTCGATGAGGTGGACTGGGAGTGGAGTGGCAACAATTTTGATCAATCCAGTGGGCTGGTCCAGACAAACTATTTTGGCAAAGGTGTTACGGGCAATTATGACAGGAGTACCACTGTATCAGTCAGTGACCCGCAGGATGAATTCCATACTTACACGTGGGATTGGACCCCGAGTGCATTGACATGGTCTATTGATGGTACCAGCATCCGCACTTTGACGAACAATTACCAGACAACTGGCGATTATCAATATCCTCAGACCCCATCCAGAATTCATCTTGGTGTTTGGGACGCTGGTGATCCGGGCAACAACCCCGCGACCATCTACTGGGGAGGCGGAACCACGAATATCAGCCTGGCTCCTTTCAGTGGTTATGTCAAATCTGTCAAGGTCACAACCTCGACCCCTTGTTCGAGCTACCAATACCCGAACTTGTTCAATGGGACTTATGAGGATGTGTTATGTACAAATCAGACCATAATTGTGCCATGCACTTACTCAGTCGCCGCCGGAGACAATGGCCAAACCATTGCAGACAGCCTAGGCGTCACGTTGGACGCTCTGATAGCTGCAAATCCGAATATTGACTGGGATTTGTTGATTGTTGGTCAGACTCTCAAAGTGCCGGGAGGGGACTGTCCTACTTCTACCACATCTACAACAATGTCTACCACATCCACAACCTTATCAACCACATCTACAACCCTTTCAACCACGTCACTATCATTCAACTTCGTGAATACTTCTACCACGACTTCAATGACCTCCAACACGACCCCCTCCATGATCTCCTCGAACACCTCTACTGTTATAATCACTACCACTGTCACCTCGTCTATCAGCTTGACTTCAACTTCATCAGCAGCCCCGTCTTCAGGCCCTTCTCAGACGGCAGTAGCCACAACAGCCTCCTCCGCAAGTCCTACCGCAGCACTCTCAACATCTAACTCAGTTTCTTTGACCTCAGCCGCGCCCACAGTCACGACCGCAGGAACTCCCGCTGCTACTTCAACACAGTCTGCTACATACTCTTTGTACACTGTGGTTGCTGGGGATTACGGATATGAGATTGCCTCCAAACTAGGTTGCAGCTTCGATGCATTGTCAGCTGTTAATTCTGGTGTTGATTGGGACATGTTGATGCCTGGACAGACATTGAACATTCCCTGTACTGTTTCGGGAGCGTCGAGCATTGGTGCCACGGTTGTCTCTCAGCCTTCCGCCACTTCGGCCGCGGGGACTGGGTCTATCTCCGCTTCAGGCCCGTCTGTGGTTTCCTCTAGTGGTCCGGGCCAACAGTCGCCTGCAGCTGCCGCGACCACAGGAGGTGTATCTGTTGACTCAGCTTCAGCCGCTGCAACAACTCTACCGGATTCTTCTCCAGCAGCGGCAACACAATCCAACACTTCAATACCTGGAAGTATCCAGTCATCAGCAGCTCCAACGGCTTTGTCGAACATCGCGGACTCCAGCTCCACATCTTGCACTACACTTCCCGCGGATTCCCAGGCAGCAGCCACAAGCACACCATACTGGTCAAACAGCACAGTGGCCAGCTCCTTCGTCGCCAGCAATGCAACGAGTCTTTCAGTCATGAGCTCAACTGCACCTACTAGTCCAACGGCTTCTGATTTTGCAGCAGCTACTACCACAGTACTACCAGACGATGACGACACGTCTGCTGCACCTACTTCTCAATCTACAACCACTATCAGTGGAACCACGGTGACAAGCACGAGTAGCTTGCTGATGTCTTCCCAAACCACTTCAGACATGGTCAGTCCCACCACACAGGCAGATCTAGCAAACATGGTCTGCAATCAAGACAACTGCTTGCGCAACATGATGGACGCACGATATTCGTCGGCTATGCTGTCTTTCTGTCCCACTTACACTATTATCACTTCTAATCCCGCACCTCTTCCCACGTTTCTGGGAAACTGTGTTGGCGATACTAGCAGAGTCAGCAGTGCTTGCAGCTGCCTAATGACTAGCTATGCGTCATCTGATCCCACCCCAACCATTTCAAACATGGTCAGTCCCACCACACCAGCAAGTTTAGCGAAGGTGGTTTGCAATCAAGATAACTGCTTGCGCAACATGATGGACGCACGTTACTCTTCGGCTATGTTGTCTTTCTGTCCAAGTTACACTACAATCACTTCGAATCCTACGCCCTTGCCTACTTTTCTGGGAAATTGTGTTAACAATACAAGCAGAGTCAGCAGTGCTTGTAGCTGCTTGATGACTAGTTATGCGCCAACGATCCATGCATCATCAGAGACGCCAGCAATGACAGCTGCAGCCATGCAAGGAGGAAGTGGGTCATTGAGGTTAAAGCGAACACCGTTGAGGTGGGAGCGTGCTCTTGTTTAGGATATAGCATTTCAGGCGTTAGGTAAAATGAGTGGAACCTGTTGTCAAGACAGATTTGATAGCATGATCAAGACGGCGTACTTGATGTCCAACAATGAAAGTTTTCTTTGTTTCTCATCGCAAGGCTGAGCAGAACCGTAGATTGATCAGACAAGGCTGAGTCATGTGACTTTAGTGATCCTTGGCGTCAGTCTTGGCATCTCGCCCACAATGCGCAGCCGGGAAAGACTCCAGCGGCAGACCTTTTCGAGCCTGCAATCTCGACAACGTCCTCTCTTCAACAACACCCTATTCCTGTACGCTCGAACCGCACGATATAACTCCGTAATTCGACTGACAGTACCTCCAGATCGTTCTCGGAATAAACAGTCAAGATGACGAAGGGAACGAGTTCTTTCGGAAAGAGTGAGCCTCTTCAAGACAGCAGCCAGACTGGGACAATATATTCTGACCACCATCTTTTCAGGGCACAACAAGACGCATACTCTCTGCCGGAGGTTCGTGAATCATAGGACATCGATTGATGGGGGAATACTGAACATTGTCAACAGATGCGGTCGCCGAAGCTTGCACATCCAGAAACACACTTGCGCCAACTGCGGAGTACGCAAAACCTCTCCTTGTACCCAATATCCCTGGACAAACGCGACTAACAAGTCTTTCCGCTACAGTATCCTGCTGCTAAGGTCCGAAAGTACGAGTGGAGCGAGAAGGCCAAGAGACGCAAGACCACCGGTACTGGTCGCATGAGGTCTTTGTCCCTGGTTTCAAGGTAAGATATTCATCTATGCGTTCTGATGCGAGTAAAGATCATTGCGAGTTGGGCACAAAGCGAGGCGAAAGAGAAGGACATGGAGACGGCGCTTGCACCTCTGCTAAATTGGGGCGGCTACAATGCCAACCGACGATGGATCACATCTTGGAAAGAAAAAGCATGGCTAATACAATTCTCTCCGAACAGAAAATTCAAGAACGGCTTCCAGACTGGCACACCCAAGGGCTCTCGAGGACCTTCCAAGGCATAAACGAGCCGACATTTTCCAAGTGGTTTTTCGACAATGATTTCTCGTTGAAGAAGTGGGATAAATCGGACCGGGCGTAAACGAAAATCGTATTGTGCATATCAAAAAAGCATTGAAGCGATGGAAGGAGAGGAATGTTCGTGGATGAAGAGGTGATAACGACCGACTTCTAAGCAAAGTGCGTGATTGAGGTTGAAGGCCTTGCAAAGGGCAGGCGGCCAGGTCTTGTGGCATCAGAACTTGCATTGGCATCTGCCATGCTCAAGGAGCACGCTGAGTACGTGGTCAACCGGCTCAAATCAACCCGTTGAGAAATGAGATCAATTGCGTCTACTTCTTGTTCCACTCGTGTGACATACAAAGTACCATGTGTAGACTGGATCGTAGTCTCGTCAAAGACAGTGCCCATGAGCCCATTTTCAGATCTTCCCTGTAGTTGCATGACTTCCAGTCCTGCTAAGCCATGAAATGTTTTTCTCGAGAGTGAATGAGTATCTCATTCACGCTGAACGCCAAATTCTCAGAAAGCCTCCGCCTAAATCCTTGTAACTCACGTTTTCTACGACTTTTACATCCGATCCAACAACCACCACCGTCGACACCACCATAATGCCAACAGCCATTCCACCCACTCTCGCCGCATACATTCAAGCCTGTCTAGCTGCTCGCACACAGACACTGGTGACATCAGTCCTAAGCACGCCGTCGCCATGGCTCTGCCTACGGCTCCTGTACGCCGCGCTTCATGGCATTGAAGGCCAGACTCTGGACCGTTCGGAGCCTGTGTCGAGAGACTCCCGGCCAGTCATCTTCGTGAGTCTACTCAGGCCACTCAGTCTGTGGACTGAGACGGGTAGGAAGTTGGTATGTCTAAATTTTGTCTTTGTTCTTTGCGACGCCCAATTTTTTCGAGTCCCACATCTTCGGCTCTCATACAATAATGTGCAAATGTTTTACTGACACCATGACAGGGCCTAGATATCCCGGATCTGCTCAGGAGCAAGAAAATCATATACATTGATGGGCTCAGCCTTGCGGCCAGCTCTACGTCAAACCCGAGGGCTGGCCCTGACGGTTTGCTTCCGCCCACGCTGAAACTAAAATCACTCGGTCTGAACGATCTACGAGACGCTGTTAATACAGCGTTGAAGAGTATGTCTACTCCGCCAGCTGCACCTATGTTACCATCATCGAGAGGGCTTCCGGCTGGTACACCTTCGCCTCGGACGCCTCAACCTGCCTCAACACCTACCCCCGTCCTCCCGACCAACACGAAGCCGATCATTCTGTTAGACGGTGTCGACTTCTTACTCGCCTCGGTGCCAAACATGTCCACCCTGGCATTAGGATCGGTCCTCTCGATGTGGAGGGCACAATGCCACGCATTGATGATCACTGCTAACGCCGATGCGCCTTTGCTCCATACTGCCACGTCCCATGATTCTGGTACACCATTGGAACGAGATCATGCACACTTCCTGACCAGTATGGCGCATCAGAGTCGATGGGTGTGGCAACTACGCGGGCTGGATACAGGAAGTGCAAAGGACGTGACGGGCGTGCTGAGGATAAGTCGAGGAGGAGACCTAAACTTCGAGGAAGGGAGTAGTGGTGCTGGAGCCCAGTCCCATACAAGACTTGACGACATGCCAGATGCAGAATGGCTGTATCAGCTCAAAGGTGACGGCTCGGTTAGAATCTGGAGTCGTGGTGAATGAGTTGACGTTAGTAATTCGTGAATCCTACCTATGTTAGGTACAAAGACCGAGGCTGATGCTGCTGCTGGAGCTTCTTGTACCACACTTTTTCTCTGGCTCCTATGGCCAGACCCTTCATTTCTTGCTCGCCTCGCTGAAACGTCCATTTTCTCGTTCTCGAAGTGTCGATGAAATTAGACCCCTGAAGACACCTTATGTCAAGATGGTCGGAAGTAATTCCGCTTCTGATGTTATCAATTACCGAGCAGAATGATGCCATCTTCGCTTCCCCACTGACGGTTGACCTTGCTCTTGACGATGGTGGAAGCAACTATGGACTTTGTGGCACGTCGATCAAGATATCGAGATGAGTTGTCTCTTGTAGTCCTTTGTGCATCACCTTGAAACATATTTGATACAGAATCTTTGAGATGTCGGACCCTTTTCTTTATACTTACCCTTCTCCTCTGGAAGGTTATGAAAATCTTGCGCCTTTACCGGATGACTTAAGTGAAGATGGCAAATCCTTCAAGAATCCTGAGACGGGCGTCCTGAGTGAAAGCTACTCGAAATTCACGTCAGGTGTGACGAACGGTCGTCGGGGTGGTTTTGATATTCACATCTACTATCACTACAGCAGTGAATATCAACGGAACTTTGCGAAAGCGCTTTGGGAAAGGATTCGAAGGGAGTTCCCGGAGTTGAGGTACGTCTTCCAATTCAGCTTTATGGACATGTCATACTAAATTCCTTCGCAGGATATACAGATTTTGGGATCACCCTGTTGGACCACATACACTGGCGATGTTTGAGGTCAATGTCTTCACACCTGCACAATTTGGAGCCTTCATACCGTGGCTGGTAATCAATCGCGGTCCTTTGTCTGCTCTTGTCCATCCAAATACGGATGATGGCGATGAGCTAAGAGCCCATAGTCAAAGGGCGACTTGGCTGGGAGAACGTGTACCTCTAGATTTGAAGATGCTGAAAGAGTTCATGGACAAAAAGCATGAACAAGACAATGGCACGAAAGAATAACGATGTCGTTGAAGCAGTCGTGAGTCAATCTCACTCGCCTCACTTTATTCGCCTCCTGACTTCCTTCCTCTTCACTCCATCATTCGCGACCTCGTTCACAAAGACTGCCCTTTGGAAGTTACAAATTACCTGCTGCATCTGAACGGCGGGTTCTGCCCTGCCCGCGTCACTGTGACCATTGTTGCGACCGACTTCTGCATGTTGCCTCGTCCCATCACTGCCACCCACACTATCTGGACTATCGACGATGCCTTATCTCTCTGATTATCACTTGACTGATCTGGATACCAACTTCGACCCTTCTCCGCTAACATTCTCCACCAGCCCTTCTCCCAGTCCCCGTACCCCAGACTCGATTGGAGTGCTGAGCAAAATGCCTCCTCACAGCTACCAACCTCGCCTCGCCCGCAATACCATTGATGACTCCGAAGACGACGAAATCAAGCAGGACGCTCTGCGTGAGCGAAGCAACACGCCGCCCCTCAAAGTCGAGACTAGGGTGATACGAGGAACATCAGAGGACATCACCCCTCCTCGCCCTGATAACTGGACAATGTCACCAAGCCCTGATTTGAGCACTCCAAGATCTCGGCGCCTTCGTATGACACCTACCCGGAGTCAAGCAAAACCTCCATCAACGCCTCGCCTTGGAAATCCTCGAGCTGCAAAAACTTCCATGAATACTCGTGGCAGTCAAGACAAGACTGACAGTCAAGCCGACGGGCGGGACACACGCAGTGCTACGATCGGACGTGACAGCGAATCCGCGAGGGATCATGAGGAGGGGGACAGAAGCACTAATGATACCGATGCACAGCCATCCACTCGCGCTTTGCGGAAACGGAACATCAATCAGGTTATGCCCTACAAATATGACAAGCATCAGCATCATTTGACGAGGGCGATTGGAAAAACGGCCGATGCCGACTTAATCGAGGAAGCTGTACAGGACGAAATTGAATCAAGTCAACGACGATCCACGAGGAAGAAACCGCGAATATCAGCTGGTAGCACGAAGAGCAACTCTAAGAACCCTTCTTCCAAGCAGAGCAACAACCAACGACGCGGTTCGCCTTCAGCCGCATCATCTGCCCGAAGTGAGAAAGTCATTCTTGTCGGGCCCGATCTAGCCAAAGTAACACTCAAGATTTGGCTAGACGGATTTTTGGCAGGTGCGATTCCTACGACACTGGAAGATTGCGACAGTCTTGAGGCGCTTATGGATTTTATAACCACATCATGGGGATGGGCCTTCAATGGAGCTTCTTTTCATCATGCCATTATTTCTTTCCCGTGGCTCACTCAGGATGCCAACATCCTTCTGCGGCCTGAGTTGAAGCACACTTTCGAGAACATGATGAATGAAGTCGAGATTGCACCGGTTTGGGCGGAGAAGGGAGAGAAGGCCACGTGCGAGATCAAGATCCTGGTGTATCTGAACGCGTCAAGCGCAAAATGATCTGAACTTGCCTCGCTCCATTCCAATCCTGGAAGAGAGGGGAAGCATTTCGATTGGTGCTGATGACCTGCAGAATGCGCAGTAGAAGACGCTACTGGGGTCGAAAGTGAGTGAGCAGTACTTGAGGACATGAAGTGGGACAGACGGGCTTTTCTTCACCAAGATGATCCTGCGAACAGGCGTTCAGCTTCTTGCTGTATGGTCCGGGGTGGATATGAAATGCCGCACGGCTTGACGGCTCCAACCTAATTGTCGTGCTAGTGCGACGAGAGAAGCCATCTGAAACGAAGGTCCATCGACGGGTAGCCCGCCGCTTCGGGGCCACTTTTCCCCTGAATATTAACTCTCAAACGAATAGAGAGAGAGAAAGAGCAGAAGAGACAAGAGAGAGAAAGGAGAGGGCTGGAGATGGTGTGTACTTGTCTAGTCGAGACATTGACTTGTTAATTCTGACAACGATAATATCACCCATCTATCATGTTCTCTTTCTTTTTGTTGGAACTTAGCCTGAGCGTGGATTGACATTGACAGGCCCTTTGACTTTGGGCGATCGGTGGCTTTTTGAACGCCCGCAGTGAAGCCTGTCAGGCACGAGTTTCGGAGGGTTTCTGCCCACTCACCACTCGCTTTTTATCTGTTTATCGCTGCGAGAGCGATCCTTAAAACCTTTACCCCATATTTCCTTGATTCGAAACAAGCAAACAAACCTGCCACATTGTTACACGAAAATCCTATCTCACAGCCATCAGGTGGGATCAACAGAGAAATCGTTGCTGTCCACTCCAGCTTCTAAGTCCTCTTCAAGACACCGGACGCGAGGACGCTGACCTCCCACTCGCGCTGGCACATAGTCGACTCATTGATTGTCCGGCGCATGCATTCAATTCACCTGTCGGAGTTCAGCCTACGTCGGTCGCCCCTGCTACCATACGCGTCCAGCCCCTTCGCAATCCGAACCTTTGACGAATGATCCTTCCTCAGTCAAGCAACATCTCCAAATCATTTGTCCTCACGTCAGCGCCTTCCTGCGCCTGTGTCAACCTGCCTTTGAATTGGTCGATCGGCACCAGCCCTCTCCGATCCCAGCATTCTTGACTCTCCTCCACCACCATGACCTCTCCAACTCCCCTCTCTCGCAATGAGTCTCTGACATCCAAACGAAGCACAAGTTTCGGTTCTCGCCTGTTTCGATCAAAGAGTGGAGAAGGATTGAGTGAACGAAAGAGCTCAGGAGGCCGCTTGAGGAAAAAGCACAATGAGATGGATGAAACTCCCAAGGCTACACAGTCTCCTCCGCGCCTTCCAGGCTACACTCCGCAGCCACTGGGTCTCCGACCGTTCAGTGAAGAGAACAGCCCTCACTCGGCATCCAAAGACTATCGAAACGGCACATCCACTCCACCTGTACCTCCTCTGCCCAGCAACCTGGAAAGGGAAGTCGTCGATCCATATGCTCGGACAGAAAGCATGACACATCGTGAGTAAATCCACAGACCCCTAGTGACCACACCGTTCTGATCACTGTCCTTACCTTAGGTGGCCGCTACTCTTACGCGAACTCAACCGTATCGACGCTCAATTCACCTCGCAGAGTCCGACGGCGCAAAGATCCCACCCCGTATAATGTCTTGATCATCGGTGCAGGAAATTCCGGCAAAACATCTTTCCTCAACTTCCTGAAGAGCTCTCTGGCTTTGCCGCCGAGGAAGCTACCACACCGATCTCCAGATGGCGACACTCCCCCTTCCTCAGCTCGGCCGAACCCACACTTTGTGCACCATTACCAGGAAATTGAGGTGGACAATGAAAGAATAGGACTGACACTGTGGGATTCACAGGGCCTGGATAAAGGAGTTGTGGACCTCCAACTAAGAGATATGACCAACTTTGTGGAGAGTAAATTCGACGACACTTTTCTTGAAGAGATGAAAGTTGTCCGTTCACCTGGCGCCAGGGACACCCACATTCACTGTGTATTCTTTATTCTTGACCCTGCCAGGTTGGATTCGAACATCAATGCCGGACAAGGAGCGGCCAACGGCGTGGAAACCAGCCGAGTCGGCAAACCACCTCGAATAGTCGGCGCACTCGACGAAGACTTCGATATTCAGGTCATCAGAGCTCTTTCGGGCAAGACCACCGTTATTCCTGTGATCAGCAAAGCAGATACCATCACGACTGCGCACATGGCATTTCTGAAAAACAAGGTCAGTAGAAGTCTGAAGAAGGCCGGTCTCGATCCGCTCGAAGCCCTGAATTTCGGTGCCGAGGAAACCGAAGATGACAGGCTTGACGAACGCGATGAGGATGGAAACAGCAGTGGCGGAGGTTCAGAAAGTGGTGGAGCCTCAGCGAGGAGTGAGGACTCTGAGCTGGACCACACCACTTCCAACATGAAGCGGCCCATCATTCACAAGCGTCAGGCCTCAAACATGTCGACAACAGGAAACATAGATGATAGTGGCTTTGTTCCTTGGTCAATTATCAGCCCGGATAAGTATTCACTCGATGCGAAGTATGGCCCAATTGGTCGACAGTTCCCATGGGGATTCGCCGATCCTTACAATGCAGAGCATTGTGACTTTTCGAAGCTGAAGGAGACCGTATTCGCCGAGTGGCGATCGGAATTGCGAGAAGCAAGTCGTGAAGTTGTGAGTCGATCTATCGAGAACCGGCGGACCAGTGTAACTGACAGATACAGTTCTATGAGCGATGGCGAACAAATCGTCTCAATCGTCGGGGCTTGTCGAATGGACTTCCGTCAGGGCCCAGACAAAGTTCTGGCATACCGATTCAACTATACCCTCGAGTCCGTTAACCCTTGTTGTAACAGGTCATTGTGGCTCGTCATTCAGGGTTGCCGGCATCATCGAACCAGCGGAGCGGGATGTTGCGAACTAAATGTTAGCGGAGACATTTCTTGTCTACGCATAGTAGAGAACATGAAGATAGGTTCAAGGATGGCCTGTGGACAGGAAAACAGACATTATACTGCGTCGCAAAGCCAAGAGAAGCCGAAAGCAGTGTTGGCTTTATCATTCAACCCCTTGCATGGCAGGGTGTGGGGGGCGGTTGCTGGGATGATTTCATTATGACAGCAATCTCCAATAGTCACGAGTCATGACAGCACATTGGCACTTTTACGTTTACTTTGGGACCACAGCGGGAACCATGTGTGCTTGTAGGCCCTGATTCTCTGGGGAAGACGGGTGGCATGCAGACCAGGAAGTGGTCTTGACTTCGTGCTGACCTGTATCAATTTAGATAGCAATTTGATACCCATTCTGCATTTTCACAAAAGCTGACGAGCTGGGTTTGGGCCGTAATTCGACAATGAGGAGGTCTGAAATGGCGGCAGACATGTCCATTCTGAATTATTATTGTTCACAACAAATTTCATTATACTTCTTACAATGTACTCCAGCTCTATTATGTACAGTATTACCCCAGGAATAGTGACCCAGCCTGAGAATTCCAATTTTGACCCAGCCATACTCCGACCGTGTCGATTTCCATCAGACTTCATGTGCTGTCGTGGCACAACTTTTTGGTTTCCTATTCCCCCATTCCGTTTTCCGTTTTCCGTTTTCCGTTTACCGTTTCGTCGTGTCGTCGTTGTCGTGAATGTCGTAAGATTGAATGTTGATGTCCTAGAAGTACAAAATTAGTGTAGATGTAAAATACATACCTGATGAATCCCGCCCAAGAAAAAAATTATATCCGTGCTCTTCAAGTCTCTGGTCTTCATAGTCTCGTGAAAATTACTTCGCGGCCGCGAATCTTGTACGCGGTCGTCGTCTCGGCGCCAGTCACTGTCGTCTCGGTCGTCGAAATGATTTCATCCGTGACAGCCTCTGTCTCCGTGACGAAGGTGGTGACTACGCTTCCATCTGCGTCGGTGGTTGTTGTCTCGGCGCTTGTAACCGTCGCCGACGCTGTGGCTGTGTCGGAGGTTTCTGAAGCTATGGTCGTTGTGCTGGTCGGAGTGATTGTCACGTAAATGGTGGTGGTTTCGAAGATCGTAGTTGTCGTCTCTGTGTCAGACGAAGTGGTTGCCGCCGCTGTGGATTTGGAGCTTGTGTATGTAGATCCAGTGATTGTTGCGATGGCAGCTTCGGTGCTGGTGCTTACCACGCTCGTTGACTCTGTGGTGGTACTGGCTGTAGCGCTTGAGCTTGTGTCGGCAGTCGAGGTGACGGTGCTGCTCGAGGTCTCGGTCGAAGTCGTCGAGGTGGATGTGCTTGTTGTGGACGTGGACGTCTCACTGTCGGTGCTTGTACTTGTTGATACAGTAGTAGTGGTTGATGCTGCCGCCGAAGTCGCATCGTCGGCGGTGTCCGCGCTCGTTGATGTAGTCGTGGTCGTGGTCGATGCTGCCACCGAAGTTGCGTCATCGGCGGTGTCTGCACTTGTTGTTTGTGTGACAGTACTTGTTGTTGATTCGGTGCTCGATTCATAATATGTGGTGTAAGTATCCCCAGTCACGGTGTACAAGTTACCAGCGACGCTAAACATGCTCACTGTTTGTAGCGAAGTGGTTGCGTCTACTGTTGCCGTACCGTCTGCATCGGTAACGGCGCTTGCAGTCACGGTTACAGTGATGGTCACTTCCACGAAGTCGACACGGAATCCATGATACCATCGGTTGCCGTTCCATCGAATAGTGGTGGCTGGAACAGTAACTGTGGTACCAGACGTGGTCACAGTACTTTCCGCAAGTGTGAGGGTAGGTGCCTGGCTGGTCGCCGCAACTTCGGCATCATCTGTGGTGGTGGTCGTAGCGGCAGCAGCCGTGGAGCTTCCAGTCGAATCTCCTGGGTCGGTAATTGTCACCGTGTCATCACTCGTGACTGTCGTGCTTGTAGCATCGTGGGTCTCGGACGTAGCCGTGTCTGCCGGGCTTGCCGAGCTGCTCGTGCTTGTACTAGTGGTATCACTCGACGACGTTGCAGCCGAGACAGCATCGTCCGTCATGGAGGTCGTCGAGGTTGTGCTTGAAGACGTCGTGACCGAGGTTCCTGAGTCCGCTGTTGTGGAGGTTGATGCGGCAAATTCTGTGGAAGTTGGATCATCCGAAGAACCAGAGGAGGAGGAGGAGGAGACGCTATAAGTCACACCTGCATCTGTGTCATAGTCTGAAGCCGATGCGCTGGTTGCTGATGTTGCAGTGGTTACGACTGCGCTTGATGCTGAGCTCGTGAGTGTGGTTGCCGTGGTGGTGGCAGCAGCATCCGTGGTACTGCTAGAGTCCTCGTCATCAGTGCCGTTGACATAAGTGAGTGTACCCTCGGCACACACTTCCTGTGGAACGGAGTCAGGACCCCATGAGATAGGGTTGCAACCTGGCAGGCCTGTGAGATTGCCATGTACGGTCTCGTTCAATACTGATGCTACCTCCGGACAAGTTCGTGGGTAGTTGTCCGTGAAGCTTGCATTAAGGTAGGAACAAGCTTGAACAATTCCGTTGTCGTCGTTGGCATACAGGCAGTTGGCGACAGCGTCAGCCTGTACGTCCATATCCCAGCCGTTGAGGAAGTCGGCATGAAAACCATAGCCAGTCGGATCTCCGTTCGAGAACACAAAGAATCCGCCATCGGATTGGTCGATCTCATTGACATAGTACCACGATCTATACCAGTTACTCACAGAAGCCATGACTCGCCTGGAGGAAACTTACTCGAAGAACATGCCCGGAATGTGCACCGGATGAGTTGGTGGGCAAACCCCGTCGATATCGTCGATGTCGGATAAATAGGCAACGTGTGCCGAATCATCTAAGTAAGTGTTGACGCCGTCCCAGCAAGACTGGAAGTTGATCTGCGCTCGCAGGCCATTGACACAGTTGGTGTCGTTCAGATAATGCGTTTCTGGAATATCGTTAGCTTCGTTTATGCAACGGAAACTTACCCTGTTAGCCACGGGCGTGGTGCTGTCATATGTCAAGGTCGTATTGTCATATGACCGCGCCGTCGTCTCGCCAGTAATCATTTTGAAGCCTTCGGGAAACACCACGGTGTTTGAAGAATTCCCACCACGTCCTGAGAAGATGTATGAGTACGGGGACAACAATAAGATGCGCAACACTTACCAACATAATACACCGTGAGTCCACCATCAGGTACCTCTTCCAAGACGCCGTCTGTGTGTGCGTAGTATAATTTGGGCACCCAGTAGGCCGAAGTGTCGTCTTGAACTTGGCAGGATGAACATGTCGATTCCCTAAGAGAGTCAAAGTCCGAATTTTCATTGACATCTAACAAGTCAGCAACTGGTCAAGCATCGATCATAACCTGCTGAACTGACTGTTTCCTCCTGCAAATGCGTGAACGTGACTAGCGAGACTGCCGGGGTTGAGAATGGGATCGACTCGAGCAGTCTGCACGAAGTCGCAGGCCATCCGCCAGTATGCAGCAGAGAAGTGAGGGTGTAGGGCCAGAAGCCCTAGCGAGGTTAAGAGTTTTGAAGGATGCATATTGAGCAATGGCAGCAGTGACTGCTGCCCAATAGTTTCTGTATGCTTGGATATCAAATGGTATGAATGCAAGTGTTGAACATGAAGTGTTAACAGCAGGATATGCCACAGATACTCGGCGACTGTGGAACCCCTCATAAACAATATGCTGATTCTGTCTTCCAAAAGATGCACAGTCCATATGTGGGCATACGTGGCGCCGAAGCTTGGACTGTGTTCCTGACTTCTAATCCTGCCCACCCAAAATGCCGGCGACGAGGCTGAACTCTAAAAACATAGAACGCGGACAACAAGGGGGCTCAGGGCAACGAGCTGCTGCTCCGAGTTCCCGGCAGCAATCGCAGCAGACCGGAGCGATCGATGCAAACATCGTCAATGTGCCACAGTACGAATACGAACGTGGCGTCGACTTTTGAAGGGTGTATGCATTACCGTGCTCGCATAAGTCCTTACCTCTACTGACAGCGTCTACTTAAGGCTGGACTTCCCGCGAAGGAGTACGCGTAATGCCTCGTTGAGGTCTCATCCGGCGTAGTGTCATGAACTTGGGTGCTGATCCGCGAACCCGCCAGCGTGATTTATGATCCTTTTGTGTTAGACATCTGCCGCTGCGGTACACCGAAGTTGAGATATGCGACGGGTACATGCCCAAGCAACCAGTGCTGGCACAACGGAATCCTCAGAAGGATTTTCATTATGATCAACGCGACCATCAGGCGATCACTGTTGAGAAGCATCATTCGAACAACCAACAAAGGCGAGTTGTATTGCACAGGCCATGGCCTGAACTGTCGCCATAGCAATCAGAGGGTCAGCCTCAATGCTTGGTTTCCTTTGACAGGCGTTGACGTGGGCGGCATGATGCGGAGTCAAACTAGCCCGGTGTATACTCGTTCGTGGTGTGGTGGCTGTCTGTCGGATGAACCATGGCAGACTCCACTATTGGTCCGAGCTTGATATTCCAGACTCAAAGAAGCTTGCACCCCGTGAGGCACAGATCCTGTTGATGCTCGGACAACTATTATCTAGTAAATCATATCTGACTCACCTGACAGAGGATCATACGATTTGTGGGAGCTGGAGTTGTCTTGTTCCGGGAATGGGTCGGGTGATACAGAGGGGAAGCGTGTCCGCACAGGAGTTCTGCGCGGCTTACTCGCTTGGACCATCGATATGACAGAAGCCTGGAGTGGTGACCGGAGGACATGATCAGGTGTACCAGGGAAAGGCCTTCATAATGATAATCGCTGATCTTGCAGGAGGTAGGATTGTTCGGAGAAGGCTATGAAGCGATGCCTCTGTGATCGTCGTGCACGTTTTGCGGTATCTCGTGGTTGAGGGAAGTTAGTATGGTAGGATGTAATCGCGACAGCTGTGCGTAGCTAGGGTACGTCGACGCCAACGCTGATTCGGAATGCCGCTGTTACCAGGTTCAGGTAATTCTCCCTGCAAGTGCTTGTCGGATGGTAACATAGCAGAGGATGCTTTATTGTGGCCGTCCACGGATCTGGTCGAGGGGATCGTGTAGCAAGTATCAGTCGAAGCACAACTTATGCGTACGATGTCTGAGCAGCATGCAATCGTTCATACTTGCTGCGAATTCGTCAATTGATGCGTGCATGCGGGCGCGGCAACATTATAGAACGCCGTCTCAATCGAAATCGAGAGCCACGCGCACGCGCCAACGTAGAGAGGAGACAGCCCAAGAACGGGACCAAAGTAGATGGATGGGGATTTGATTGAAGGTCTTGGTACTTTGAGCAGGTTGCGACGGGAACTTTAGGAATCAAGTTCGCTGCTGAAGTGAATGAATGAAGCTGGTGTAAGAATCGACCGGCCAGGGTTATTTCGTGTTGGAACTTGGGAGCGCGCCCGCTACAATCACAGTGATTATGCCTGACAGCTTATTTTGCCAATTCTCCGGCTTGGCTGCACTTTAGTAGACTGTCAGACCCTGAATTTTCCCGCCGCGCAGCGACTCTCAACACACGCTGTTCAGTCTGTCAATTGCTAGATTGGCTGCACGCAAGCACAAGCAATATTGCAAACGACGCCGACGACCTTGAGTAAAGCGTTCAGCCTGACAGACACTCTCATTTTGATCGCGAAGCTGCTGAAAGCACACGGTCTTGACACGTTGCCTGCCTTGCTGCCCGGCTTAGGCCACTAGCTGCCCATTATGGCAGACCGCTTCCCTTCGATTGAGGACATTGATGCCGGTCAGTCTTACCTTTTGCGACTGCACTAAATGCCTTCGTCCCTTACCAAGAGCTGACATTGGCATCAGGTGAGACAGGAGTTGGATCAGACACCGCCGCTCAAGGCAGCTTCCTTGAACGAGAACGAGCCCTTTTAGGAGAAGATGCAGACCTCTTTGCCGCAAACGACAAACCTGGCGCAGCCACAGTACAAGATGGGGACGACGACTTGCTAGGTGGTGATGATGGCGACTTCACATCTGCCCCCGCTCATCCTTCAGGCGGGGCGCAGGACGATCTAGATGATTTTGAGAGTTCTTTTCCTGCCATTGACACGAGGAATGAAGTATGTATATATGACCCACTCCCAAGCGCCGGATGGATAGTACCATTGAGCAAGCTGACAAGTTTACCGCAGAACGTTGGACCCGGCGGCACAATCACCGACTCTGCGACGCCTTTCCAGGGAGGAGGCTACACGAATTACACCGCTCCATCACAAGACGAAGAGACCGAGCCCATCCGAGAATGGCGAGCCAAAAGAGACGCAGATATAGCCCGCAGAGATGAGGCATCGGGTCGCAAGAAGGAGGAGACAGTCGCTACTGCCCAAAAGGACATTGACTCGTTCTACGAATCCTACAACCGGAAAGCGGACAAGCAGAAAGCTCAAACGGCGAAAGAGGCAGAAGAGTTCCTTGCAAAGAGGGAAGACACAACGGCTGGAGGCACCGCCTGGGAGCGAATTGCGAAATTGGTCGATCTTAGTGGAAAAGGTCATCAAGGCGGTGGTGATGGCTCGTCGAAGAAGAGAATGCGGGAAATGTTATTGAATCTGAAGGCTGACAAGGAAGCACCGGGCGCATCAGGTGTCTGATTCGAATCGGACCTTGAATGGGGTTGTACAGCTGAACCAAAGGGTTCGCTTCATCCTCATCTTTCAAGATATGCTTGGAACTCCGGTCTATTCCTGCTTTCAAAAACTGCATGTCAAAACTAGAAAGCTGATGCAAGGTCTTTCAGGAGTTCGGATCGGATCTTGGGACGAGTTATCTGAGCATTGCAGTGTCAAACTGTGGGCCAACAGGCCGGAAACACTCTGAACACATCCTAGGTCTTTAGAAGGCTGGTACCGCAAGCTGAACCAAAAAACGCAAGGGCTGTAAATGTCACTATTCACGAAGACAAACATAATCTCAACATTTCGATTCTTGCTATTGGCAGATCGAGGGACAACTTACCTAAACCTCAATAGACCCTGTTTCGACCGGCTATGCTCATGGTCGTGAAAACATCTTTTATTGCCCGAGAAAAAAGCCCATTTACGCCGATCTTTGACATTGATACCAATGCCCATGCTCCGTCCCACTCCGATGCGCCTGTGTGCTCCTAGCATGATGATGTCTTGGTAGAAGCAGTATCCTTTTCACTCGTCTTCGAGGCCGCAGGACCTTTGCATTGTCCGGCAGCCCCCTTACCGGTGCCAATTGTAAAGCGTTGTTCCAACCAAGTCTGCAAAGCGGTGTATCCTTGCACTCTCGCGATGTTGTAAGCCATCTCGACGTGGCCAACCGCCATCTCCTTGAATTGTTGATTGATCCCAATAAGAGGGTTCCTATCAGTGACACCAGCGATATCCGCGAAACCCTGGGTGACGGAACGATTGATCATGACGACGCCTTGGAAGAATTTTTCCAATTTCGTTTTGATTTCGAGCTCGCGCGCGTTCATTACCAGTGGCACATTGGTAGTCTGCGCGCCATGCTTGCCACGAGAATGGGCTGCGCTGTTGCCCTGGCTAGCGGTGCCCGTGGCCGCAGGAGGCTTGGTTGCTAATGCAGGTGCGACCTCAGTTCTGTCCTTCTTTCCGCCTTTACCGGCGTTGGCAGCGCCCAACGACTCTCTCTCCAGATTGCCTGCCTCGGAAGTCTTGCCTGCGGTACTCTTTTGAATGCTGGGCACGTTGACCGAGACTTGTCTGAGCTGCATTGGTTGTTTGGTGTTGAGCGATGATGCTCCCTGAGTACCGTTGCTCGGTCTATTCGCCAAGCGTGCCATCAATTCGTCTGAAGCCATGGTCATCTTCTTCTCCGAGCGATTGTTCAGGTTTTCCGACGAGCGATGCAAATTGACTTCTTTTTTCACATGACGGGGAAGCCATTGTGGGCTTGTCCGCGCCGTGTTCAACGTCCTGATTCTTGCCTTACAGGTATGTTGCGGCGAACATCTGTGTCGTGAGTCCCGGGACATGTGGTAGAAGCGAGAGAATACCTCCTGGGGTTTGGCCACTTGAGTACGCTCCTCATGCGCCACAGACAAGATGTCAATCAACGCTTTCAGCATGTGTAGATTGACTTCCGCCTCGGTGGCATCGACTGCCAGACCAAATGTACACATTAAGCCAACAAAATCGGCCGCAATGAGTGGGGTGAACAATTCTTTAAGGTCGGATACCAGATAGTACATGCATTCATAGAGATCTGAAATCGCCCGAGCAGCAAAAGTGAACGCGTGATACCAATCACGATTCTTGCCTGCGTCGTATTGGTTGAACATGCTTCTGAGCCTCAACATGCTATCGTTAGCAGCTTCGGGGTCCGCTCTGATATCGTAGGTGAGTCGCTGAGCTACGACAATGGCCGTCATTCCAGGACAAACACCCAGCTGTTGGTACATGGAAATGACATCCTGTAGCTTTTCCTGTCCTGAAGAAGAAGCAGCGAGCCGGACATTAGCAAGGTAGAAGGCCTTTTCGTCCTCCCAAGGCTCAGGGCTGAAGAGGTGCGATGTATTGCGACTGGCGATTACTGCGAAACTTTCCCAGATGCCTTGGGCGAGATGTTGGGAGATGAACCCTAAATAATGGCGCCGCACAGCGACTGGGTTCTTGGCCTCAGGTGTGCGAAAGAAGTTCATGAAGGACTCCCGAGCTCCTTTATCGATCTCTTTGCCGGTTAAGAGGAAGCTGGGGTCGAAGGACGCTGGCTTGCCAAGCACCGATTCCATCATTTTCTCGGCAGCCTGTTTCTGCTTCGTTTCGTGGTCGGCCACATACTTGCTCATTGAATTCTCGACGTTGGATAGTGCTTGGAGAAGGACCGGAGGATATTCGGTCTTTTTGTTTCTCTTCGCCGACTCTTTGAACATGTCCAAAGCTTCCAGGAAGTTCTCGGGCTTCTTTCCAGCTGTCGTAATGACGAGAGAAGTGATTTTCCCAGCCAGCTGATTGACCTTTGCGCTACCTGCAGCTTCGTCGACGATGTGTTTGACATCACGATCAAAAAGGAGCTCGGAGATGAATCCGTCGAGGACAAAGTCGGATACCGTTGGGATTGGAGACTTCAGGTTCGCCTTCACCTTGATCTTCTTGAGTGCGGCTTCGATGTTCGCGCGAGTATCATTGATCATTTTGTCGGTAGCTTTCATCATATCTCTCTTTGCCGCATCTTCCACCTTGATACATTCGACATTAGCTTTGACGGTATCTTCGTCCAAGCTCAACCCGGGGGTGGTGGCGGATGAAGGGCTTTTGGCAGCGCGCATAGTTTCTCGGAGCCTCATCATGGATTCGACGATATCGTTAGGTAGACGAGCTTTCCCATTGCTGTTAATTGCGCCGCGTCCAGGCCCTCCAGTGTTGGATCGTGACAACATTCCTTCGAGGGCACGAAAGGACTTTTGGAGGACAGGAGACAGTGGACCATTCATCTCGAGGACGCTACGTAGGTCTGTAATGGCGGTTTGGACGTCGTGAGGGTCAGAGGCACTGAAAAAGTCCTTCATGACGTTCAGTGCTTGGGAAAAGGCATCTGAGTTAGAAGATGATGAATCGTTTTGAAGGATGCTTGATAAATTCATGGGGTTTGTCTGGTAAAGTTGTGAAAAGGCGGGATCGGAAACGTCGAGAATCAGTTGCCTGAACTCATTGTTCTTCTTCTCAGCTTCAGCCATTTCAGAGTTGGCCTGGTCCAATCTGGCACGCGCATCGGCAGGAGACACCTTGCCTGTGTTGACTTCATGTCGAATTTGATCCAGCCTCGCGCGAATTCGGTGGACAATGTGTTCGTTCGCTTTGGCAGCCTCCAAGATTGCATTTCGCTTGTGATCAGGAAACTTGGATGCGAGCATTTCCACTGACGGATGGATCTCTGGACCTGGCTCGTACTCCATGCTCGCTTGAACAGCAGCTGCTTTGAGGAGCATGCTATGGTCGAACAGTGCATTCTTTCCTTCTCGCATCAACTCTTCTTCGTCGTCTATCTTCACACGAGATAGCTCAACGTCTCTTTGTTTTCGCAAAGCCTTTTGCATTCTCTGTGATTTTTCGGACCTTACTCTCGTTTGGTAATATTTGATTGTGTCCATCTCCATCCAAGAGACACCCTTTGTCTTTGCTCGCATGCATATCTCATGTCCACATGGGTATTCATTTGTTGGAACATCAAGGACAGTCTCAGAATCCCCATCCAAGCAACACGAAGAGGACCCTACAAACTTCTGGTCACCGCCCACAGGGCCTTTGAAAAGCTTGTCCATGTCCATGGCATTTTCATCAAGGAGCGCTCGTTGTGCCTGATGTCTAGATGACCGCTGCTCCAGCTCGTGCTTTTCCTTCTCAAGCTTTGCCCTCTCATTGAGAAGATCATTGTAAGTCTGGATGTCTTCATCTGTCCAGCCGTCGACATTGTGTCCATCTGCAGCATGCGGGCGGGACTCGGATTCAGACACAGGAGGAGAGCCCAGAAAGACTTCACTTGGACTGCCATTGAGTGCTGCCTGCTGGCTTTTGCCTTTCGGCTTGCCCATTTCTCTTCGATGATATGCTTCTTGTCGAGTGCAGCTCCAAGCACAGCTTACAGAACTGGGCTGCGATGGATTGAGAGACCCTCGGATGTTGGTAGTGGTTTTCGATCGGCCAGTTGCCCTACTCCGATCACAAATGACAGCGCCACAACCTCTTCGAGATGGGGGAGCGCTGCAGTACGCAAAATAATCTTTAACAAGTGCCGATTTTGCTGGTCTTCGAATTCAGGTTGCTGTCCGCCGACTCCCGACACCTGCCGCCCCGGCCAGCCAAAGGCTTTGAGAAAGCCTTTACCACATTCAACGACTCTTCATGTCGGTTTGACAACATTAAAGAATACTGATCGGGTAGACGCGACTGCATGATCCTCCCGACAAAGAGTCTGCGGCCAAAGAACTGAAGAAATATTGTAAGTGTGTCTCTGAATGAGAGTGTCTTTGACTGTCATTCGACGACACAACCAGGATGTTTGCTAGGGTAACCCGCCGGACAAGACCACGAAGACGCCAATATGACCCGAATCACTCTCCTTTACATCCTAGACCTCGGTCCAACAGTGTGCGATCGCGAGCGCTGCTGCAATAACCCATGAAGAAAGAGTCGAATGGCAAAGTTGAGGTTGATCAAAGCGAGACAATTCAATGACTTTGAGAAACCGGCGGATCACGAGGTCCGGTCTCGGATTTTCTTTGATCCGGCCACCACCAGTTTGCGAACACACAAACTACCTAGGGATTTAGACTAACAAATCGACACGGCATGAAGAGAAGTGGCTCCTGTTTGACTGGGACATCATGACGGAAGCGTCTGTTCACGCCGAAGGCGATGTACAGCAAAGTCGCATATCCGACGTCATTCGAGCGTCTGCAGAACACGATCTAAAAGTTCTGGAAAAATATATCGACGAATATTCTTTTCCAGAGTGCAAAGTTGTTGATGTCCAGGATGTTGCGACAGGATACACGCCGCTTCATGCTGCCATCGCTTCTTGCAGACCGACAGATTCTGGACATGAGCCTGAGTCCTCGGCCAAGCTGGATGCCGCTGCGGCGACTCTCAGATTCATGTTAGAGAATGGAGCAATCTGGAATCAACTCGACAAGAACGATGAAACGCCCGGTTGCATTGCATACCGCTTGTCTCTATCGGATCTCTACCAAATTATGGTCGATGCTGGAGTGCGTGCCGAGATGATACTGAACCGGTTGGAAGAATACGACAGAATGGAGGACGAGGACGAAGATGAGAACGAGAACGAGACCCAGAACGACAGCGAGAACAAAGGCGGCACGAATGGTGAAAGCGCACATCAGGAACCAGCCTCAACAGCACAACCAGAAGTGAATGGTTCGGCATATCTGTCTTCTGCCCTCTCATTGAGTGGCGACAAGCTCTTAGACGAACAGCAGAATGGGGTGATGATGGTGTGGGAGAGTGGAATCATGCAAAAGTCTGCAGATGCCCTGTTGTATGATCCAGGCCTGCGAATCTTGAATATCGGCTTCGGAATGGGCATAATTGACTCTCACATCCAAACCCACTCAAAACGACCCGCCGGGCACCATATCGTCGAGGCGCATCCCGACGTCCTCGAGAAAATGAAGAAAGATGGCTGGATGGATAAAGCTGGTGTCGTTGTGCACAGCGGGAAGTGGCAGGAAGTTCTTCCTCGACTGGCTGCAGAGGGTGAAATGTTCGATGCAATTTATTTCGACACGTTCGCCGAGTCTTATTCGGAGTTCCGTCAATTCTTTTCCGAACAAGTACTGTCGCTACTCGAGGAAAGTGGGCGATGGTCCTTTTTCAATGGCATGGGCGCGGACAGGCAAATCAGCTACGACGTCTACCAAACGGTGGTTGAGATGGATCTGTTTGAGGCCGGATTTAACGTCGAGTGGAAAGACGTTGAGCTTCCTAAATTGGATCAGGAATGGGATGGTGTGCGACGCAAGTACTGGGACGTCGACCACTATCGCCTCCCTGTGTGCAGATTCATGGATTGAGTCTTGCCGCCAATATGCCTGTTTGACATTATCAGAGAATCGAGCTTCAGCAGATCCAGCTGAACGAGGCCAACTCCAATACCAAGGACTGGCTTCGGTACAATTTGGCCGAAGTACGAAATTGAGTGAGCCAGATCGGACCCGACCCTTCAGGAACCGCGCATGGAGATTCGGCCATCAGTCCGAGGTAGCCTTGACGACTCGCTACGAGGAGATCTTTAGGATCAGTCCACCAAGGGTGCGGATACTTCGTTGGCAAGCGTTGTATGCTCGGAACATGTTCCGCCGAGTTGCAGTGCACTTCGAGACTTGCCCCCGCATTGATCCCATTCCTCCTCCATGTTTTGCGTACTCACTCGCATGCTCCTCAACTCCACACTTCAGCGATTCGAGGAACCTCAAAGGTTATGGAGCTCGTAATCGAGCCCTCGAGCAATGGAATTCCGCGTGTCCGGAGAGGGGCCTCGGCAATCGTACTTTCAAGGTAGCTTGCAGTGATATATCTTCCTGCGTGGGAGGACCAGGATGCCTCTCATTCACTCATACACAAGCTGCACGAGACAGACAGCGTGAACAAGGAAAATCATCCATAAAGCCAGAAAATCGGGTCGTACATCGGTAGCAGGAGAAACAGAGCCAGATCAACACCATGGTCAAGCGAACAGCAATCGTGACAGGCTCAAGCCGAGGCATGTGAGTCCAACACCTCAACCGCTAGAAGTCAGTAAGAGAAGCCAGCTAACTCTTCCTAGCGGCGAGGCCATCGTCCGCCGCCTGGCAGTCGAAGGCTACGCGGTCTGCGTAAACGACATTTCTGCAAACCAGTCCGGCATCGACAAGCTCGTCTCGGAACTGAATGAAAAGCACGGCTCAGGCACAGCCATTGGCGTCGTCGCCGACGTATCCTCCTCCACGGACGTTCAGTCCCTGATAAAAGAGACGGTAGATAAGCTGGGCCCGTTGACGGTGATGGTAGCCAATGCAGGCATTGCACAGGTCGCACCCGCACTGGAACTCTCCGACGAAGACGTGCAGAAGATGTTTAACGTAAACTTCTTCGGCGTCTGGAATTGCTACACCCACGCGGCGCGGCAAATGATTGCCCAGGGACCCGTCCCCGAGGGAAGCAGCGGATACAAAATCCTCGGAGCAGCAAGTATCGTCGCGTTCAAGCCATTCCCATTGCTCGCGCATTATAGCGCTTCCAAGTGGGCGGTACGAGGTTTTACGCAGGTCTTCGCCATGGAAATGGCGAAGCATAAGATCAATGTCAACGCGTACGCCCCTGGTATCGTCGGGACGGCCATGTGGGACATCATCGACGAGAAGATGGGTGCGATTGAGGGACGTGGCAAAGGCGAATCGCTCAAGAAGTACAGTTCCGATCTCACTGCGCTGGGAAGAGTGAGTGTCCCCGAAGACGTTGGCAATCCGGTGGGCGGGTTCTTGTGCTCAAAGGACAGCGAGTTCATCACGGGACAAACCATTGTAATAGACGGAGGGATCATATTTACTTGATTTGAGATACTCTCGAAGAAGGTCCTGTCAAAAAGATAACAATGAGGAGATCAACATGTCAATGCTCAGTCTGATGCCACCTCCCTGTCTCGAATAGCCACAGTACCGTTGTACAGAGTAGATCGCCGCGTCCCATCCTGCTTTCCACTTCGTAATCTACGAAGCATGACCCTCACCTTGCTTCGGCGGGTACGTCTTGCCGTCGACTTCAACCGTAGGCTTACACGTGCAGCGGTCATCTTCGGCTATCGAGTCCATGACTGAAGGGATGTGCTTGCCGCAGCCGAACCAGGTTGCCTTCTCTGTAGATCTAGTCAGTATCCAGGCCAGACACTGAACCTAGAGAGACTATGTGTGCATACGGCAGGTGGAACATGTTCTCTTCATGCACATTCTTGCGAAATGTTTCTGTGGATGGATTTTTATTTTATGTGTCGCTTCTTTGTTCCAATGATGTCCCTAAGCGGCGTGCTCGGGCGAGATCGAATTTTGCGTTAAAAGGCTGGGTCCGAGGCTGATCAATGACGTGCTGTTTTTATGGCAAGAAATAAAGAAATGTCGAGTTTCGAGCAGTCTTATATACATAATACAATTGTATCGGTCGGAGTGTGAGCAGCAGCTATCTTAGAGCCCGTGGAGACACTAAAAACAGAGGTCAGATAAGCTGTTCCGGACGCTGCCACCTGTAGCCAGGCTAATAAGCCTAATAAGCCCTCACCGTCTGTGATGATGGAGCCCGAGGTCGCCGAACAACGAGCATTCGCCACCACCACGAGGTCAAGCAACGTCGAGAATAATACGAATGATTAGTTGTGCACACCTGCTTCCGCACGGTACGTTTCATTCAGGCTTCACTACTACCATGAACAGCTAGTATGAATTACATAAGAATCTTTATCAGATGAAGTCATCAGACGTCGTAAATCATCATTGCTGGAAAAGTCATTGTCGCATAGCCTCAATGTCCCTTGGTCGCAGAACCCTTGTCATTGGGTGCAAAAGCCCAGCCAGAGAGTGCTCAGCGCAATCAGTGTCCATGGTAACCACGTTTGCCTCGCCATGCTGTCACTCGTCGAAGCTGAATAAACACAAGCCCAACCAGAGATCACTCCTCCACTCCCACATTGAGTTGGCTGTACTGGTGCCTCTGAACTCGCATCACTCCCACACTGATCTGTTGCTACTCCAGGCGGACAGCATTTCTGCTTGGACCAGTCGCCCGAGTTTAACCACAAAGACCAGCCTGCCGGACAGCAAGTTCCCCAAGTGCCACCGCCGCTGGTGGTGGATGACAGGAAGCAATAACCCGATGCGCAGAACGAGCTTGTTGAACTATCGGCACACACGACCTGTCGCTGGACAATGGTCGCTGCGGTGTTGTCGCTTTGATGCAAGATATTGATGTCAGATGTGGATTCTGTAACGTTGTGCAGCCTGATGGTGCTTTCGGAAACCGTCGGCTCAAGGCTGTCTCTATCTATGCGGAGAGCGGAAACAGTGGTCGAAGCGCATAGCAGGGTAATCCACTCAATGGCGCAGAGCAACCTCATGATACCATTGACGATGCGCTATGAATGGCGTCGAGGCTGAAATGGGCAGGCTGAAGCTCAAGAGAACGGTTGGTTGAGGATAAACAGGATTGCTGGAAAGTTACTTCTCGAGGTTCAGCGGAAAGTGCGGCGGCTGACTGCTGACTAAGTCTGCCAGGTGCCCTCCATTGGTGCAATTCACAGTCGATATCGGCCAAGTACCACAATGCACGAAGCACATAGTCCTTCATTGGAGTCGTTCTTGTATACTTCGTACCTCAGGCGAGACTGCTTCAGGAGATTTCAGAGTCAGGACGGCAGCGTCTTGAGCGATCGGTATTACGTCGTCCAGTGTACGGCCTTTCACAAGTCCTGCAACAATCACACCCAGCATTGTGTCGCCGACACCATTCACCGACACAATGTCCTCCTGCGAGACATTGCACGTCGGAGGAATAAGTCGCATGTATAGGCCGCCGATCTCCGAAGCATCTGACATAGTCCTACCCAAAATATAAGGCGCGTACTCGGGGCGTGTTAGTCTTTCATCGGTATGTCTTAGCAGACTCGTCACCAAACAGCCCTTGGGGCCCAGCTTCGTCACCAGGTTGGGAATGAAAGGCAGAAGTTGAAGGCACTGCTGGGGAATACCTTCCTCAACCAATTCGGGTCCAGCGATGGACACCAAACGGTCCCGTGACCCGGATCCCGAAAGACCAAAGCTATCAATCACTTTCCACCAACGCTCTGATTCAAACATCAGCGCATCGGTGGCAGCTTTGTAGAGAGCTGAAAGCTCTAAACTGTTTGGAGAAGCCAAGCTGACGGTATGATTGGGTACTACACTCGTGCTTGTCATAGCATTGTTGTTCTTGTTGAAGAGGCGCGCAGCTTTCGCAATGGAAACAGGTTCAAATGCAATCATGGCTCCTTGGACTTTTGCAGCCTTGAAGATTGACGAAAGTATCTCCGGAGACCAATTGGCATCCGCAATGACCCATTTTGGGGAGGTTTGGCCGATGGTAGTCGTCCAGTACTCCAGGGACTCAAGCTCTGGTCGTGCCAGAATTGACATGTCTGCCATAGCAACCACCAAGTCTTTGCTTGTGTCATTCACGGCCACATACTGTGCTGTTCTTGCCCCATCAGCAGCAGGGATCTGCCGGATATGATCAGCAGAGACGCCGCTTTTTCCAACATGGTCGAGAAGAGACGATCCGGCGAGGTCATCGGCCACTACACTTGCCAAAGCTACTTTGGCCCCTGCCAAATGAGCGGCCATTGCAACGTTTCTGCCGACACCACCTGCAGAGGGAGATATTTTGGCTGGGTTGGAGGTATGTAAAGTTGGTGGAACTGCAGTGGAAGGTCTGTCGAATGGTTCGTAATCGCAGATTGTATCACTTGCAAGTGACCCAGCCACCAAGATGTCCACTGGCTGACCTGCCGAGCTAATCTTCGCGGATGCGTCCCCTGCTGGCGTTGACAGAGCGGTCCCGCTTGACTGCGTCGTGATCGGGAGTTCTGATGGCGTTACCACGGATGCGTCTCCTCTGGACTTTGTCAACATGTTGTCTCAATGTACACACGACAAGTCTGACATGGCTCACCGCTGTGGTGCAGCACCCTCACGTAGTTCGAGTTTTGCTAATTCGACTGCCACCTTGGTGCCGCGCGCGACGTTCGCCTCAATGAGGGCCTCGTTTGCTTTCACGCTTGCGCCATTACTCAATTCTCTGATCCTTCTCAGGATGTAAGGCGTGTTGGCGCTTCCACCAATACCTTTCTCCTCAGCCTCTGCAACTGCTTGGGCGATGATTCCGTCAATTTCGTCCTTCGCCATTGCCGAAGATTCCGGCACGGGATTCGCGAACAACAGGCCAGACTGAATGGGAAAATTGGACTGAGCATAGACGAGAGCTGCTGCATCGGCTTCATCGAAGATGGTCCTCGGGCTTTTGACGCCGCTGTCGCGCGAGAAGAAGGCGGGAAAATCGACAGTGCCCGTCCTCCCGTCCGCAAAAGTGCCAACACCGACACCCTGTGTCTCCAGGTATTCCAGTGTTCGTGGGATATCTAGGAAAGATTTGCATCCAGAACTGATCACGGTGACAGGCGTTCTTCCCAGCTCTGTCAAGTCTGCTGAGATATCCATGCTGTTTTCACCTCCCCGATGGACGCCTCCCAAGCCTCCAGTTGCGAATATCTTGATGCCCGCAAGATGCGCAAGGATCATTGTCCCGGCAATTGTAGTTCCTCCATTGAGCTTTTGCCCTCTCAGGCCGAAGCCACCAATGAAGCCCAGATCTCGCCTCGATATCTTCCAAGTATTCTCATTACCAGCCGTAGAAACAAGCTGTATCAGTTCTTCAGCTTGCATGCCCACACGAGCAATGCCATCAAGAATTCCAATAGTGGCTGGCACACCGCCATTAACGCGGACTAGAGATTCGAGGTGGGAGGACAAAGCGACATTTTCGGGGTAGGGAAAGCCTGATGAAGATGAGCCTCGATACAATGGGCAGGAAGGCTCTAGGCTGATCGTTTACCGTGGGTATAGATCGTGGTCTCCAACGCGACGACCGGTTTGCCAGTCGCGAGAGCATCTTGGACTTCTTCGGACACACGGAGAAGCCTTTCTCTGCCGGACAGACAACGGCGGCAAGTGTAGGTTGGCTGCAGGGCCGGAATATGAAGACTCCTGGGAGTCCATCTCGTAGATAACGCCATCACCAGCGCAATAGCGAAGGTCGCAATCGAGGGGGAATCTGTTCGACGTGTTTGACGCAGCGCCGGATCAACGAAATTCCATGGCCGATCGCTATCACAGCCTTGTTTCTGCAAGCAACTATCTCAACTGGTCACAACATGATCCTTTTGATGACGGCCCGAAAACTCCCCATATTATCTGAAGAGGACTGACATATATTGGGGCTGTTGAAGATATCAAACAAACTACGGCCGCGTCATAGAGGACCAGATTTCCTATGAATGCACCGCACGCTCACTCGCATATACATGGAAGTTCTAGCGGTCTGCTAAGACTCGTCTGACAAGACGACTTGTCGTGACGGTGTCCTTCCGACAAGACACCCCCTTGCTGCGACAGATATGCGTCTTTACGCAATCTCTGATCTGCATATCACTTATAAGCAGAACAAGGAAGCTCTGAGTGAACTGAAGGCTCATCCAGACGACAGCTTGATCATTTGCGGAGATGTGGGTGAACGAATTGAACATCTGCAAGAAGCCTTCGAAGTCACCACGAGGCTCTTCAAACAAGTCTTCTGGGTCCCGGGAAACCACGAATTGTACACTTTGCCAGGTAACAAGGCCGAAGATGAGGAGTTGGACCATGAACTTAAGGGAGAGTTCAAGTATCGAGAGTGTCTAAGGGTCGCCAACGAACACGGCGTCATCACCCCAGAGGATGAATTCGTCAAGTGGGATGGAGAAGGAGGACCCTGCCTTATTTGTCCCATCTTCACATTGTATGACTACAGTTTCAGACCTTCCCATGTAACAAGGGAGAATGCCCTTGACTGGGCCATGGAAGAGAACGTCTACGCTACCGACGAAGCGCTGCTGCATCCAGATCCTTACGAGTCGCGGGACGACTGGTGTGAACAGCTCGTGATTAAGACGGAGGAACGCCTCAAGCAAGCCGCCGAAAGAAACATTCCGTTGATCATCATCAATCACTGGCCACTGCGTGAGGACTTGATCACGATACCGAGTATCCCGAGGTTCAGTCTGTGGTGCGGGACGAAGAAGACGGAAGACTGGCACACGAGATTCAACGCGAAAGTCGTGGTGACTGGGCATCTTCATGTCCGGAGGACTGACTGGATTGACGGAGTACGATTCGAGGAAGTGAGCCTGGGATATCCACGACAGTGGCAGGCTGCGAAGGACAGAGGTCTCGACATCAATGATCTACTGAGGGAGATCTTGCCTGGAATTCCAGAACCAGAAGACAAAAGAACAGTATGGAGGCGCTCGGGAGTACCTGCTGATAATGTGAGCAAGCTGGCTACCTGAGGCAAGTCAACGAGCCTGTATGCTTTACCAGCAATGAGGAAGCATGCGGTATGAGAAGCTAATGCCTGTCAATTGAAGATCTGTGGCTGGAGTGTGGAATAGCCGCATGAGCTCGAACAATCGCGACGCTCATTTCTTCTTTGCTTGGTACTCCTCATCTGTGACTGGCCCGTGCCATTCAGTCTTCCCGTGGCTCACGGCCAAATGGAGCATATAGGTCTCATCATCGCCTCCGTGCCAATGTGTCGTTCCGGCATCACACCAGACTATGTCACCGACGTTTAGTCGCCTCGGCTCTCCCCCTTTGTCGCAGATCCATCCAGATCCAGCCAGGACCTTGAGCAATTGTCCATTTTCGTGAGTGTGCCAATTCGTTCGGGCACAAGGCTGGAACATGACGTGGTTCATATTGCAGCCGTTGCCCAGGTATATCGGGTCCATCCAGACATCCCCTGTGAAAGTCGCGGTGACTTTGGCGCTGGGCTTTTCGGGGTTTCGCGAGTCTTTAATGATGGTTGACGGCATTGCCGATGTTGCTATTTTGAACTTGCTTCGTCTGGTGATTTTAGTATGACCGCTTGAAGCTCACTCGATGTCTTCAAAACCCTTGGAAGCGCCAGGTGGAAAGGTCAGGACTCGACATGCTATACGCCTCCCCACTATCACGGCAATTCGGCTCTGCTCCGATGATGGGTAAGATGGGGATGTCGTTGGAGTTTGTCACCGACATCGACTTCTCCAACGTCAACTTCAAACTGTCTTTCTATCGTTTTATTTTCCCTTCACAACTCTTGATTCGAGGATCCTCATCGGCTGGTGAGGACGTCTTCTTCTTCGAACGGAAAGGTCGCCTCATGTGCTTTCCATAGGGATGAACAACCACTGTAAGTTACCTAGCCATCGTAGCTCCTCCACTATGGTCTCTTTCAGCTCTACTGCGTTCCGCCACAAAATCTGGTCGTTCAGCCCCTCAGCCGCTTTTGCGAGTACGAGTGGCTTGTCGAGACGACAAGCCCCTGTTACCGCGATCAGCTTTATGTTAGCATACAAGTCCTGTTTAAACGCTTTCCCTTTTCGGTCTATCAGAGCCCTCGATAGTCGAACACCATAGCCCTATCACTTTGCTATCCTGATGTTGAGGACTTGGGATGGAGCAGCTTTCCTTATAAAAGGACGAATCTCTCCCTCTCAAATAAGACAAGACTTCTCTACATCTTCATCCTCTAGCACAAGTCACTTCCTAGTTCTTAACACCCCGACGCCTCTCATTCTGCGACAAGTCTATCACAATGGCGCAAGCATCAGGCCAGGTCTTAGAGCATCGCAACTCTGTGCCAATCGAGCACTTCCTTGAGTCCAAAGGGCCCGACGGCACCCTCATAAGCATGAACGTCTTCGTCGACCCGTCGAAGGTTGATGACTTCATAAAACTCATCACTCCCACAGCCCGTAAGATCCGCGAGTATAAGGAGTGCCTCTTCTGCGAGGTCTCGGTACATCCGACTGATAGGGGCCATTTGCGAGTCCTGCACGGCTGGACCAAGGATAGCGCTTGGTTTCGAGATGTCAGTACTTCCACTCTTCATCATCTCGGCGAATTGACAGATTGGCTGTTTTGTGACCTTCCACTGACTTGACCCTTAACCACTCCAGAACCTCGAAACTCAAACGTGGTTTGGAGACTATGTCAAAGCCCTTGCGTCGATCAGGGATCCCAATCGTCATCGTAAGTTTCACCGAGTTTCCAAGATTAAGCAATCCTGGCGGAGATGTGGTGCAGCCAATGTTGTTGTAACGCTCCTTGTGGCACAGGTCAAATCCAGCACTTTGATCTCATTCCCACCCATTGAGACGTCTGCAAGTGTTTTGAGCATGCACGACGGCTCTGCAAGGACCACGTCGCCAACACAGATAGGGACTCTCGCGTGGAAGGCAGCAGAGTTGACGCGAAATTGGGGAATAATTAAGATGATATAATTGTGTTTGCTGGCTGCAGAGACACATATATACAAATTTGGCCCGCCAATGACACAGGCTTATTAGGAACTTGACGGTCCACTTGTAGACAGGCTCTGCTGCTGGGAGTCTGGGAAAAAGTATGCTCCGACCGCAATGATGATATAGCAAGCACATAACAGTGCGCCTTCCAGATAATTGCTCCTTCCATCAAGCACAAGGAAGTTGACAATGAAGGTTGACACGAACAATGCCGCTACTTCAAACAAGCTGAAGTAGAGCGACATATCTTTGTTAAGGATCCACCCGAGTAAGACGACGATTGGGGTAACGAACAGCGCAATCTGGATGGATGATCCCAGTGAGACACCCAATGCAAGATCAAGCTTGTTTTTTGCCGCCACGGTAACCGCCGTGACATGCTCTGCGGCATTGCCAACAATCGGCAGAATGATCAGTCCAACGAATGCTTCCGACAGAGGTGAACTCTGCACCAAATGGTTGATACTACCGACCAAAAACTCGGCACAAAGAGCAACCAGAACTGTCGATACAAGTAGGAGACCGATTGACGCCATCTGACTCATAGGCGGTTCGTCGTCCGCTTCAGCCTCTGCAGTCTTGGGGATGGTATGTCTCGAAGCTTTTGAAGCTCCGGTGTTGCCCCGACTGGGGCCTGAACCTGGAATGCGACGGTCAGGATCGGATCTATGGCGTCGCAGAGGGTCCTGTTGAGCGTCCGCAGGCAATTGTCCTCCTGGTGGATTTGTCGAGGCACGGAATACTGGAGGGGTTCGGAACGACAAGCCCCGAGGGCCAAGGGGTGCCTTTGTTTTGGCTGCGGGCGCCTGCGAAGTTGCCGTCACGGCATTAGGAGCCGTTGTGGAAGGTGCCATCTGCTCTGGTTCAGCTGTCTTTTCTTCCAAAATGACCGTAGAGAGCGCGCCTGCTTGTTCTGGCCGTTCAATCTGCCCGGTCTGCTCGGTCTCTGCTTCGGGCTCGACTTCTATTTTTGCCCTACGTTTCATTCCAAGCTTCGCCCGTAGTCTCTTGCGCACTCGACGACTGGATCCGGTGCTAGCGGTAGAGTTTCGTGAGGACGCAGACGAGGAGCTCGTAGAATCAAACCGTGCCAGAAAGCCAGGGGCTGCTTCTTCGTCTATGATGTTTTGCGGTGTTCCTTGATATAGGTACGCATGCGATTTGAGCTGGAAAAGCAGGTAGAGAAAGTAGATAACCAGAAGAATGACCGAAGTACCGCGACTGAGTTTGACGACTGCTTTGTCCGCAGCATCAGTATCACTGAAAGACGCATGGAAAGCTGTCTACCATCACGATTACCACGTTAGCAGGAAGAGTAAGGAACGTGGGGGAAGAGGAACAACATACCGGGATGAGCAAACTCAATACTGCCAAGGCCAGTAAACAAGCCGACATTTGAGTGACGGTGCTGTCATATATCTGCTCTCGATACTCAAGGCCCCCAATAAGGAACGCCATCCCAAGAATGAGCAGCAGATTTGCCAAAAGAGAACCAATAAGTGATGCTTGAACAATGCGGATCTCATTTTTGACCAGAGCGACGATAAAGATGATCAATTCGACAGCATTTCCAAAGCTCACATTCAGCAAGGCGCCTAGGGTTGGTCCAAGTCGATGAGCCACGCTTTCGGTGGCGAAAGTCAAGAGACCTGCCAAGGGAATGATAGCAATCGCATTCAAGGCGAAGACGACGTTCGGGTTGATATTCGCAAAGTGGACTGCTATACCAACAGGTACAAATATTAGGAGAACATTGACCCAGCTGTGGAAGAGTGCTGTTTTGAAGTTGTCGTAGAACCGAGTCCAGAGGGATTTCTTGGGCTTTTCTTCATCACTTGGCTGGCCATTTTGTGAGAGGACAGAAGTCTTGCGGCCATCTGCTGACCAGGGATTGAATTTGTTTTGGTGGGCAGACGAGTGTGCCCAAGCCCGGACTCGATCTGGATAGAGTCAGTCAGACGCACCAATATGCGTCTACAGGACAGAGGTGCTTACGCATTGTTATTGAGCGAAATTTCTGAACAGTTGCATTTTGATCAATAAGCTATACTCGGGTCGGAGAGCACTGGGGCTAGGGAAGTCGTGAAAAGGTGGTGTGGTTAGTAGTGGTATTGAATAGATTAGATGGCCCGTTAATAACAAAAGAGAGTCGGCGGATCTAGAGCGCGGAGGACATGCAGGCAAAACAAGAAACTGGATGAGGTTAAGCTTGGCACGTGCTTGGCAATGACTCTGCCCAGAAAAGCTGACGCAAGTAATAAATTAGGGCATCTCCGTTATCAAGCCACGTATGAGCGCCACTGCAGAAACCACTTTAAGTCGCCGTGAGCCACAGAAACGGGATGTCCTCTGCGTGGCGCGAACCGCGTCGGGATGATCTACCATAGTATGCCGTCATTCCTAAACAATCTTCTCCATCGGGTGAAAAGTCGCAATCAGGGTCACAGGCAATGTACATATTTGAGCGTTCAAAAATCCTCGGTGTAAACAGGCCCACGATGTTATTCTGGTTCCTTGGGGACTTGAGATGAGTTGTACTGCATGAGGATGATCTGCCAAAGTGTTCACAGGGATTTGTGCAGACTGACAGAATAGAAAAGTGGTAAGGAATGTGCTGCTACCATTCTAAAACGGAGAAGCTGCAGACCTTAGTCGGAGGACAGGTACAGGTTGAGGCACAATCGTCTTTGCGCAATCATTTATCTTCATCTCAACAAGTCTATCACCGTTTGGCGAGCGAGTTTCCCGGGGTTCAAGAGGATATGCTAATTCGAGATTGTCACTCTTTGGCACTGTCTGCAGAAGATACTGTACTACCTAACGGTTTGAGACGATGATCACGGTTAGCATAGTCTTTGGCACAGGCTTGGGGATGCACGCCAGAATTGATGGAAAGTTTCAGGGTGTAAGCGTGGCCTCGGTGCCTGGAAGGGCGCCTCGGGCTCGACGATAGCGATCTAGGGTCCGTCTTTTGAACAGTCTGGGGTGCGACCTCGCCTAAATGTTATCCTTTATCGATACCGATACTGATACGGCACAGGTACAAATCTGCATCAATGCATTGTGACCAACGTCTGTGCGGCCACGCGGATACACTCGTATCTGTCTCACGTCCGAAGTGTTCAACAATGTGTTTGTGATGCGAGTTCAAGAAAGCTATCAGGATCAATTTGCATGTCTGGAGATGGTCAGTACACCAATGTGCAACTGCGGAATTGGCGACTTGATGGGCCACATGACAACCAGTGGGGGTTTTATGCGGCTCAAAATTATAGGTAAGGACAGGTACTGTACTGTTCACTTGTGTGAGCGAGCGGCCTCAGAAGTCTTTGCGAAAATGAGATCATAGGTCTGCCTTGGGCTTGTGGATTGGTAAACTGTCAATCCTCCACAGTTCCCCAATGATCGTCGAGGGGATCATCCCACGTGTAGCCAGGAGACATAACTCTTCAAGATTGCCGACTTTCAATCACCTCAGACGTTAGAGTCTTGCCGGCTGGTCAGTTGTGAAGGACAAGAAGCTGCAGATTCGTCTGACCATAAGAGAGGCAGTGGTCAAAATGTAACAATATACGAAGATGTGACCAGCGGTATCTTTCTTTCAAGCAAAATTGAGAGTAGAGGTACCAATCAAGGACCTTTGGTCAATGTCAGACCAAGAGTATCCCAACGAGACTGGCAGAAGAGCAAGAAGATGCCCGGGCGAAGTCATCAATTGGTTTTTTGAGGGTGGCCGTGTCGCTCCCCCCCCGAATCCTCGCATTCCCCTCCCACGTCGCAAGCTTACTCCTGCGCTTCCTCTCGCTTTCCATCCCGATTTCCCAGAGGCACCGCCATACAAAATATAGAAAACAACGACAACAATTTTCCACCAACAATAATTTATGTTCAGTCCCTTACATTATTCAAGAGATCCCACTCATACTAGTCATCTCCTCTACGATTTCCCGGCGTACCACATCTTCAAATCCCTCTCACAAGAAAACAGAGAGATACCTCTGACTACGCAAAGCATTCACCACATTTTGGCTCGCAACGCCCAAAGAAATGAAGTACGTATTGCTTTTTTGCATAATGCCTTCCTACTCTAGTATATGAGGGTCCTTCTCCGCAAGTGACATGCGGGATGCACAAGCCATCGGGTAGATACTGCAGGCATCCAGGGTGGCCATCCACTCGGCGCTGAATTGTTCAACTGACGACTGGAATGCTTCTGGAATGCTTGACACGCAACAGTGGGCAATGACTTCACGCTTCTGCTCAGACAGTGCTCGATCTCGAGCCGCGATGAGAATGGTCGCTGCAGCCCCTCTGTGTACCAAAGAATCGCTGGGACGTCGAGATGTGATGTCTAGTGAAGTGAACGCTGACATTGCACCACAATAGTCCTTCACAGAGCAGCGCCTCTGAGTCAGGCCGAACCTCCTCTTGCTCCATTACCAGTACCTCGTCTTCATCCTCTAACTCCTCCACTTCGACACCTACCACACCTACCACACCCCAAGACGTGCAGGGCCCTGCCATACAAAGGAGGGAGCAACAATACCCACTACATCGCGAGGATGCATTTCTCATGCCGTCGAACGAGCGGAGACGGTTGTTGACACAAGAGCTGGCTTGTATCCTCGACGATTTGCAAAAGCGTGGAGATGGCCCTCGATGGTGAGGTCGACGAAGGTGGGAGGATGGGGCAAGCTTTTCCTTCTAGGTCAGCAAGCATGCAGCAGGCATGTAAGAGACGATAAGGACTAATAGTATCAGTGACAACACATTCCTTTCGGTTTCCTTTGTCCAACTCCAGGTGACGACACAACGAAGCAGCAATACCTACCAAGTCAGCTCACGCCGTACTCCCGGGACCTTTCAACTTCATTTCAGTGACACTCCTTTCAGAAGAGTCCTGTTCCATTCACCTTCCTCACCACGATATCAACAACTCATGCAGCATGCCAGTCATGTGGCTTCACTTCGCAAGCCAGGCAGCCACGCACCCTCCGCAGATATCCGATATTATCCGGCGAGATGGCTTTCGAACCACTCGATCACGTGCAAGTCATCAAGCCATCCGAAAGAGGTTGGAAAAAGGCAACCATGAACGGTGCATGAGAACAGCATTCGAAGGCCAGCCTTGTCGCAAGACATCGATATAACACTTCCGGTCACGGCGATAATCTCATGAGCGTCAGTCTGTGTCTGACCACCCGTTTGAAGCTTCCTGAGTTAGCAGACTGAAGATTCCGGGCCCCAAAATTCTTCTTTCCCAGCTGCTGCAAGATCGACAGAGCTGGAATGAAGCAACATGGTCAAGAAGACTTGCTCAAAAATTGCGTCGAGGCTGCGTGTCGAGAAACATACAGGACAGATGTGTGTTGTGGCATGAAAGAGGGGAGAAGAAAACCAACATACACGACCAAGACGCGGCTGAGGGGCTGTCCTCTATTTATTATTGCTGTTCGACCGCAATAAATGCGACCTTCCTCCTTTGCACGCCCACTTACACCAAACTGCAGGCCGCGACGCCCGAAGGCTGCAAGCTGTTGTCATGGCACACCTTGAAGGTTTCCAAGGCCAATAGCCTAAGGCGCCTGCCCTCTGACAAGGATGTGGGTTAAGCCTATCTAGGCTTGCACTAGGTGACATCAGGCAAGCTCTCACCCTTAAATCGCCATCACCTGGCCCATCCTTTACGAGTGCTTTACGGCCCTTATAGCGCCACTTCTTCCAAGCGATGCGCGCCTCCATGGGTACTCGTCGCCGTGTGGAGGCCAGCAGATCATTACTGCGAGGTGTAACCCACTACATCCGGAGCATCAGGCTGTACAAGAAATCTATACTTCTCCTGTGGAGGCCCGCGCAACTTGTATGCTGCTTGCACCGATGATGATTCGGCCAGGATGTCAGCATTGTCAGGGTGAATCCATCCTTGCGAGTGGTTCACAATGCTGGTGAGATCGCTAAATAAACCGCGCAAAACTTGGGCGGGCACCAACGGCTACAAATCCGTGAGAAGCAAGTCGGAAGTAGGAACCCTCATACCGCTTACTCGACTCGGTCGACATGTGGAGGAGCACTGCTGACCAAGTGCGAAACGAACTCTCCCTTGAAGCTGTGTTGAAGTGCACCTGATTGACATCTCAGCATGCGACGGAGGCAAATTATGTTCAGTATCGTGTCCCAGCAGTATCAATCTGCATTGGTGCACAGCAGCTGATGGTGCCCGACCCTTCAAGTCAACCACAACAAACACATCAGAGCGTCTCTGCGGTGTTATTGTCGACCAATTGTGCGTGCGTTGTTCGGGTTCGCTATCTATCTCATCCTGCTTGGTTGCCTAGCATGGGGCCGTGTTGGTGGTGGAGTTTGCAATTATTGTTTGCTATTCGGCTCCCTGCATTGCTTTCATTGGCGCCACTCTTGCTTTCTGTTGCTCGCTGATGGCTAGTACTTGTTGATTCCTTGCCTTCTCATCTCGCCATTCACCTTTCGACTTCGAGGACCAGTGTCCTGTGAGAGACGCGAGCCAAGACCCAAAGCCCATACTTAGCAAATTCGGAAGAACACAAAAACATTGTAAAAGGGGGTGTCCTCACGGAAAGAAGAAAAAACAACCAAAGAAAACCACAAAGTCACAGGTCCAGTATCACTGCAGTCAGCCTTGGCTTCAGCATCGTGGGTCAGGACTGAGCCGGATCGGACACAGCAAATGTCAAAAGTCGGAGGGGTTTGAACAATATTGTCATTTTGCATTTCTCGCGATACCTTTCATGGCCGTTTACCAACATGCTTGGAGGCAACGAAAGATGACAAAGGTATACCTGGTCATGAGGAGGCAATGATTGCGTAGATCAGCGTGCCCAAGCGACAGCAGTGTTCGGATCGCGTTCATCAGCCTCTTGCATCTCAGTTCTGCATCTACCGCTGGCGATATTGCTTTTCTCAACTATACAAATGCAAGGAGATACTATTGGAGTTGGATTTCATTTGTGCAAAGGGACGCCTTGAGTTTGCTTGAAGAGTTTGAAAGTTACCAGAATGATACCCACAGAACGATATAGCGCAACAGTACGGGAGAACATGAGATACGAAAGACTGGGCAGAGTGCCAGGCAGGAAACTACGACTTTGGCGTTTGGGTTTTCGTTCTGTCAAATAAGCTGAATCTCAGATTCCACATGATGTATTGTTAAGCATCAATACGATGTAGATCATCGAAATGGCACTGAGCCGTGGTATGGAAAGCTATCAGTACCGAACGAACAGAGAAACGCGGCTAGTAGAGACCGTCTATTTCATTACGCCCTCCTGAACAATCGACATGCCTGTCGTCAAGACGAAAACTTATCATACGTCGTATTCCACAAGTCTTGCAGTTCTTCGTGGGCCTGAGACTGACCCTGTCCCATCCTGACTCACTTCAATCCAGATCTGAAATGCGTCGCAATGATAGCCTGCGTGCCAGGCAGCAAGGTGGGCCAGGGGTAGGATTTTATGACAGACCCATCCATATAGCCAATGCTGAGTCGTCATAGACGCAAGTATTGGCTCGCCGCTCATCATGCATGAGGGTCTCATGAAGTGCTGCGCCCGAGCGATGTGCAGCCTGCACTGGGGCACGAAAACCCTTCTCTTCTGGTGAGTTGAACACGAGGGCAGGTGAGCGATGAGCCAACCCATTTTCAAGCCCTACTCACGTCCATACCTCGCCTTTGCAACCACATGACTCATGATATGCTGTGGCAACTTGCAAAATTGTTCAAGTCATTGTATCTCCGTCTATGTTCCTTTCTTCGAATGGCCATGAGCTCATTACATCCAGCCTGAATCCGAACGAGGTCAAATGATGTATCATATCATCTTGGGTGATTCTCATATGTTGTTAACATTGAAGCGATCAATGCATGCTCTTCAAATGCTCGACCAGAGCCTGGAGCTGTTCACGGACTTCGTCGGTCAACTGGTCCTCCGGCTCGCCGAGCAAACTCAGCATGATGGGCGCAAGCTTGGGCGTGAGTTGCTGGACAGTAGGGTCCTGTTGGCGATATAGCTGGACGATCATTGTCCAGACGGGCTCATTCTCCTGGTAGTCTTCCTTCAGAGGCAGGATGCCACTGTCGATTAGCGCAGGCAGGACTTGTGCTACGGGCACCTTGTCCTTGTGCTTGAGGATCAAGCGGGAAAGACAGCCCGCGGCGTTGTCGGTACACCGAGCCTCGGTGATGTGCAAAATTGACTCGAGTTTCTGGAGGATCTGAGGGTAGGCTTTGAGCACGGTGGCGTCATCGTTAGACTTCTCGACAAGCCTGCCGACAGCGTAGGCGGCGTTGGACTTTGTCTGAGCGTCCTCGTCGCCCAGGCGTTTGAGGAGCACGTTCATCATCTGCGCAGTGAATGGGGTGACAGAGCCTTCCATGCCGGTGATGATCTCAGCGAGCACGCCACAGGCGGATGCTCGGCCTAGGGACTCGCCTCCACTGGCGTATTTGAGGACTTGTTTCTCGAAAATCTTCCACAGTTCTCCAAAGCTGGGACCTAGAGCCGCAGCGAGCCCGGAGATGACATCCATTGCACTGTCAACCACAAGCCATTCCAGTTCTGTAGATTCCATATCTTCCTCGTCAACCTCATCCATGTCCATTTGGCATGCATGCTTCTTGGTGATGAGCTCTGTCACCGTCTGCACGATCCGGGATAGGCAATCATTGTAGGAAAGCAGAGAGGGGCCGGTCAGCTTGAGGTTTTCGGAAAGACATTTCGAAATTTCAGAGACTGTGGCACTGTTCTTGATGTCAGTACTGATACAGTTTGAACAATAATGTGACAATGCAAGTAGGGGAAGGCATATTCAGAGGGTTGAAGATCGTTTTCGCTTCATCCACGGATTTTCCGTGTCGGAGTGAGCTGGGATTAACGAAGTAAACTCATCATAATAGTGCGTGCTCGGATTCGGCAAGGCAATGGACTTACGTGTCATCCTCTTCGGTCCAGACGTTCAGTGTCGTGGCCATCAGAATTTCTCCGAGTTTCTTCAACTCTGGTGTTGGCTCGACCTGAAGTGGGAGTCCAGGCTTCCACTTCTGAAGCTGGCCAGTCTCCTCCGATACCTCGTAGAGAGCAGCGTATGCCCGGTGTAAGGTACTGACAGTAGCTTTTCGAACGTTCTCATAGCTGTGCTCAGCCAATGGGAGTAACTTCTCGATGGTCTTCTCGAAGTATGGGAGATAAGCCGTCTTCGAGTTTGCCACAACGTCGCCAATGACTTCGATGGCGATCTCTTTCTCCAGGGCGATTGGTGTAACGGTGGCAAGGTCACCCCAGTCATCGTCATCTTCACCATCAATGTCGACGTCTTCGATAGTTCCATCTTCAGGCTCGTCATCACTATCAGCAGCTGCGACCTTAACCTTTTGTCCGGCGATGGTGACCTCCTTTCCAAGCAGATCTTTGGCGCTATCTCCAAGAGCCACCTCCAGGTCGGCTTCTTCTTGGTCGATGCATGCGAACAGACCCTGTACGACGCCGCCAAGGAATGGAGCGAAGTCTTCTTCATAGACTTTAGCCAGTGAGCCCCAGAGGATGTACACGCTCTCCTTGAGCCTGGAGTGGTCAAGTTGCAGGGCTTCTTCGCTAGTGTGCATCAATGGTCGCACGTAGTCCTTGAACTCTGCAGCACCTACGGCGACGGCCATCTCACCCATTGCATCGGTGCAGCTGGCTCGCAGGTCAAGCTCTTCTTCACTCTCTTTCTTGGTGATGAACTCCTGCAAAGCATTCATAGAATCGCCGAGGTAGGGCAAAAACGGAGCTTCCACGGTTGAGGCCAGTGATCCAAGAGCGCCAGCTGCCAAAGCCTTGATCTTGAAGTCGGGGTGTTTGAACAATTTCTGCAGCAGGGGTGCCAATGTCTCGAGGTATTGCACCGCGTCGTTGGCGTCCATGCCGTCGACGACAGCATCCACTGCGCTTGTAGCGGATTTCATGATGTCAACAGTAGGACCTTCCTCCTCACCCTTGTAGGCAGCCATGGCGGCGGTAAGGTTCTTCGTGAGCAAAGGCATGAGCTTCTCGTGCTGTTTGGTGATATCCTCAGGAAGGTCATCAGCCAGTCTAGCAGTGGTCTGCAGCGCAGCTTGGCGGACTGTGACCTCGGAGTCTTCCAGCAGAGCGAACAGGATGGGCAGAACTGTGCTCAATTGTGTGCTGATGAAGTCAGGAGCACCTTCGACAGCCATCCCAAGTGCCAAAATACCAGCTTGACGATGTTTGGGATCGGCGCTCTTGGAATATTGAGGAAGAGCATCAAGCAAGGGAACCACCACTTGACTGGCAGGAAGGGTCTGGGCCATTGTATCAATCAACCCAAGCGCTGACCGAGCAGGTGTGATATCGTCGTCATCAGCTGAAGCATCGTCGATTTCCGTGACGATTTGCAGCATACTTTTGGTCAACGGGGCGCCCATCTTTGCTCCTTGAACGCGCAACCGTCTGTAAATGACACACTGCATCAAGAAACTGATCGCCTGAGTCCTCGTCTCGTCGGACATGTCTGTGTTCGTAGCAATCTCGTTCATGAAGGCCACCAGTTCTTGGAAATGTTTCGACATCAATTGATACTCAGCAGTGAGGAGTGTGTTGAAGACCTCAAAAGTCAGCATGACCTGCTCTTCCTTGCCCGATGCAATCGTATCTTTCAGTACCGCGACCATTGAGGGAAATATGTTTTGAAAGGCCTTGATCGAGGCTTGATCTTCGTCGGCGTCAATCACGAGGGCCATTTTTGAAATGGCCAGCATGGTGTTGACTCTGACTTCGAGGCTCTCCGGATCTTTGATGGTCTTGCTGAATAGCGCAAACAACTCTTTGAATTTGGAAGTGAAACCATCCCCCATTGTTTCAAGGACGCTATATAGGACATACACGCCAACAGCGCGCTCTTCGGCTTTTGAGCTCGTGGCAGCTTGTTGCAGCATGCCGGGGAGTTCAGGCCATTCGCCATCCTCGAGGTCGACCTTGGCAATAGAGCTGATAAGTCGTGATGCCGCATGTCGGACGAGGGGTGAGGATTCGGAGAGAGTAGCTTGAAACAGCTGGCTTCTTGCATGCTGTCGTTGCTCACTGGGGGTCTTTGTCCAGTATTTGGAGACTAGAGGTCGAGCCTGAGTAGCGGCGAGTTGTTTCAGCTCAGTGCTATCGTGCGAGATTATAAGTTGAATGAGGAATAGTAGCGATTGTGGATTCTTGTAGTATTCATTTTGCAGCACGTTTGTGGCTGACTTGACATCACCCTTCTTCGGGTCGAGGACAATGGCCAGCTGCTGAAGAAATCTTTGTTGATCCATGTCGGATCAGGCACACCGCTGTGCAGCGCGAGGGATTTGGTTGCGTATCAAGGATAGTAGAAAGGTCACACGCTGGAAACGCTATGAAAGGCAAAGCAGCACAATAATCGAGGGATAATAAGGGCTCACTGTTCCCTAACTGAGACAATCCAAGTGTATCGATGAACTGACAGAGTTTTAGAAAATGAATTTTGTGATTGTAGCGCAGTCCACGCCAGGTTACAAGAAAAAAAATGTTTAGGCTTCAACTCAACTAGCCGATTCGCCGACATCATCCTATGCTGAGGGGCAGGTACTGTGTCTGCCATCGAGTCAAACTTGCCAAGGTTGTGAGAAGTGTGGCGTACGGGTTGTGGCTGATGAGGCTGGAACATTGGTCTGCACGTGATCCACCGACTAGGCGCCTTTGCCATTCAATTTCTCCGCATGCAGTGTAGCCAACCTCCACATATAAAGCTGTTCTTCAGCCGCAAGAGCAGACATTTTGCTTTGCACTGGACTTGACTCCGACTCTTCTAACGTTAAACAGTCCGTGCGACGAAAGCAGGTTTGTCTAACAATCTGTTTCTCCTCGGTGCCAGGTGTGCCAGGCTTCTTGACAGTGGAAACACAGCCTCTCTTGGTGGGGAACCAATCAGACACTCGACGGGAAACCGACCCGGCCATCGTGCAGCATAATAGATTCAATGACAGCATGTTTCAGTCTTTACAAATTGTCGTTCGAAGGTGCAGCAGCAACTTCTTTGGACGCCTTCCTCTACCGCACCGTGGTTGAGGTGGACTCTTTCAGGATTTTTCCGGTCTTTTGACCCCCAGATGCTCCCATCGCTTCTTAGACCCCTTCAGGAATGTATATGAGATCATGTTCAAAGGTTGATCCGAGGTTCGGACAATCTGTGAAGTTTCTCTGGTCTGTCAATGGGAATCACCAGCGAAACGTCATATCCTGGTAAGGACTTATAGCAAACTTCTGCCTCCAGAGACATCGGCTACCATGCCTCACAACTGCCAAAGGGATACAAGGGATGATCCATATGACGACGTCAGTCGAAAAGACCGACCGAAGAGTATAATAAGACATATAACCGCGCGAAAACCCCAAACGCTCGAACCGTCAGTGCAGGAACGCCTCTCCGGATATATCGTCCGCCCGCTCTTCCAAACCCGCTTTCGCGCTTCGGAGGGTTAGAGGAAAAGATTCCGACCCTCTCCTACACTCTGGACCTTTCCAACATTTAATCCTCACTGAGCACCTTGTGCCTGTAGTCAAAATTGCTCAAATCTGGAATCCAGAAAGCGTCCGGGACGCTCACCACATTGGTTGCAGAACAAATGAGGTCTTGACATCTCTCGCCAGATGTAGCTGCTTTGGGAAGACCAGTTCCATGTCTCAACCTCTGGCTCCACGACCAACTCAGAATGCCGATGGCACGATTCCCGTGTCAGCTTCACATAGACCGCGAAAGATCTCGACGGCTTGCGGAGCATGCAAGCAAAGAAAAACAAGAGTCTGTCACATGATAGCTTCGACAGACAAGTGTCCTGACTAATCTGGCTACAGTGCACTGGCGGGCACCCTTGTGAAGCGTGCGCAACCAGGAGAAGTCCATGTGTCTACGATGCGACCTCAGACCAGCGTCGAAAAATCGCGAATCAGCGAAACGTCCAAGAACTTGCCGACACTCAGATCCAACTCGAGCGACACAAGCAACTGCTCGGTGGTATGATCGCCATTGTCAAAGCTGGTGACTACGACGCGAACAGCGATCTGAATCGCGTTATACGCTCCGGTGTCGACCTTTCCCAGCTTGCCGCGCACGTGCGAAACGAGTGTCGTTCAAACCTTGCGATTCAGCAATCATTCGACCAAATCGAGTTCATTATTGATGGGCCACTAGAACTACCTTCACCCACGCAGATTCTGAGCGGCATCAACACAGATCCGCCACCTTCAACATTGTCACGTGGATCTGGGTCGAACAGCGACAGCAGCATAGAAACGCAGTTGCTTTCAGGTAATCCAACGCCTGATGCACGCCGATCATGACGAGAAGAATGACCTCGACGCAAGTTCGATTGACGAGATCTGGTGGGACAGATCATGGTATCGATCAAAAGAAAGAGGTGGAAGTGTCGAGTGTACTTCCGAGAGCATTTTGGACCTGGACGGATGCAACCGCCCGAACACGTGGCTGGCCCAATGTCACTTTTCACGATCTCCGTATGCTCGTATGACACCATGCCTTTTCCGCTTACTTTCCTATGGGAGAATGCTTCCGGAATCTGCAGCATATCCAGCTTGCCAGTATTACTTGACGATCGCCAACGGTTGTTATGACGGATGCAGCGTCCTACCTGTCCAATGTTTTGATTCGAAGGCTCAATCGAATAAGCAGAGTTCCCTGTGGCAATAAAGTACTCCGACTTGCTGCTGTGGCTGGGGCGCTACAACAGGTGACGATCATAATATCATCCGAGAAAGGCACATTTGAGATTTGAGAGCACGTGTGAGCACGATGAACGGGTATCCGTTAATCCTGTGCGATCACCATAGAAGAGCTCGGGAATCTCCTAGAAGCAAAGGGATGGTCATGCCCTTTATCGACAGACTGTCGCGGTTGAGAGCAATCAGAAGAATTGGTCTTGCACGACGTCCGTCTGCGCACAACATCCCACAAATGAGGATCAGCATTATTCTTTGCCCTAGAAGGGTGCTGGCACTCTGTACTGCACAGACTGACGCCATAGCAGTTAATTCCATTCACCAACAGGTCGGGCTGGGACTTGTATTCTGCCTTGATATCCACTAGGGTTGCTGGAAGAAGTCAGGCTTTGTTGTTACTCATAGATAATCGATTGAACTTACGCGAAGACTTGCGATCCTCATATCATGTAAGGAAGTCTCAACCTGCCTGACCTTGCATCTCTTGTCTGTTCACGTTGAGTACTCCACCAAGGTACCTGCATGACTCCCTTGTCAATGTATGTTAGTCGGCCACGGTTGCGATAAAGAAGCACACCAACATGCAATTCCAGTTGCAACCTCCCGCCGAAACGACAACGCTAGCAATCATATACACGAACATAATCAAGTCTGAACCCTCGTTGGCATCCAACCAGGTCCGGATGTCACGGCACGGCCACATGATAATGCATCTTCCCCATCCTAGTTAGGGAGGTTCTGTTATCGTGTTCAGCGCACGGCTACAGCATTGTGGAACATCCATCGAGATGTTGTCGGATCTCAAGGAGCCGAAGCTGTACGGAATGCAATGGTATTTCCTCCAAGTTCTGCAGGTTGACCGTTAATGATGGAAGAACACGTTTGTTTCCTCCAAAATTTCAGGTCTTGGGCGACACGCGAGATTCCTGCCCCACCACCAAAGGACTCTCTTCCCAATCAATGTTGGAGGAAACAATGATCCGGCGGAGACCAAGGCGACGAGAAACTGGCCCTTCTGGAAGATAGGGGAAAATCATTGATACGACAAAACATCTTCGCCTCTCGAAAGATTACCAATGTTACCACATCGATGATGACTGCCTTTCGAAAACTCCAAGAATAAAGGCCCGGATCAATTATGCGAGGAAGGTGTGATCGAATCTAACAGCTTCCTCAGGTGCTGTTGACCGACTTTGTCAAGGTGAAGGAAGGTCGCTCCGTCTGAGAGAAGAGACGAGGTCGTTAGGATCTAAGACCTCCATGATTTCTTACGGGGAATCTTGGGGGAATCTTCTGCTCAGGCAGATCGCGAAATCAACTCAATTGGAGTCAGTCGGGTACCAGCTGATTCTGATGTGGCCTGCCAAAGAACGGTTTGTAAATGGACATCTTTCTTATTTGTGCATGTAACTGTTGCCAGCCGAGACCTTGGACTTGTCTCCCGGAACAAGAGATCGCAGCACGTTTTCTAGTGGTCAGAGGATTGTTGCGCGCAGAGACAATGGACCTCGATGGAAAGTCACATCAGCAGAAGCTATGTCATTATCTAATTGGTGAATCTAAATGCAGGGCGTCGACATGCCTCCATCTTAGTTGCAGGGCAATTGACAAGCCATGGTCCCCTGGAAAACATTGTGATGGACCGTTGCGAGGACCCATGGGGCTAAATCTGGGGGCTAGTCTGGATATCGTTTCGATGACACCTGGAGCGCATTCTATTTCCAGGCCTTGAACCCTTTGAGGTGTACGGAAGAATATCTCCCACGCCAAGTATGATCAATTGCAAAGTCAGTCATCACCGGAAATTGTGCTTATGCATGTTTGGCTTTTGGACGATCCCGCAAGTTTCGAAATGAACAATTGCCTTTTTCCAAGATCCCATTTTATCGTCTGTCTACAGTGTCTAGTCAACATGGTCCAGCAGTTTGTCCATAGGGCACTGTGGTTATGCAGGTTCGCCTTTCGTCCAATGCAGAGTTTTGTATCCAACAACCATTCTTTCCCTAGATCCCGTTTCGACTGTCTGATCGACTGGGAAAATCCCTAACAAGAGATTGCCTTTTCCCAAGAGGCCATTCATCTGTCTGTCTCATGGATATGTTCTAGTACCTTGTACTCAACCCAATAGCGATCCAGGTAAACACGGGCGATCGTCTAACCTAACCGATTTCCAACACAACGGCAACTGCTGTCACCTTCCCGCCGTTGAAACCTTCGCCCTCGAACGGACAACTTGATACGGCGCAAACTACGTCCATTTCAGCCCGCATCTCGAGGTAGTCCCCAGGCTTGGAGCAGTTGAGCGCCTTGAGAGTGTAGTACGGGGTGTTCTGGAATACATTAAACGGATCGATGACTTCACTCCAATGCTTCATACCCCAAGGTTCCATGGCTTCAGCGACATTGGTCGCACATGACCTGTGGCCCGGCTGGTTTTCGCGCTCGTAGAAGCCAGGGTTGCAGGCCATGTAGAGCAGATCGTGCGTCTTGACCGTGTCGTCCATGAGGGTGAACATCTTGCGGTCGCGGTTCGTGTACAGGCACTCGCCGACCTTGGGCGTGGCGAGTCCTCCCAACGCATACCGCGTGTAGCTTGTGGAAAAGTGTTCGCACGTAGCGCTGGGGGAGTAAGGTGACGCCCAGGCCATGAAGTCGACCACCTGTTGGCCATGCAGATCGACAATGCGAAAGTGTGAAGATGCTTTGACTTCAAATGCAAAGCCACGTGCTGCTGGGACGACATGTGTCTTCAGTGTCGAGCGGGGCTGGGTGGTGAGCAAGGTTTCCCACTCAGCTCGAGATTCTGAGTTTCCGCTCGAGGCTCCGCCCTTCTCTGGCGGGCATGGAGTGGTCGTTGTTGTCAAGGCTGCTTGCTGCGGGAAGCTCTTTCGGGTCATTGTTGCATGTCAGTGTCCTCCTGGATAGTAGGTTGGCAGAACCAAAAGAAAACAGACAACGATGCAATGCAATACGACTTCGAAACCTCAAGCTCAGTCCTTCCCGCATGCGTACTAGCCAACAGTCCCGCACGCGCTTTTTGTAATATCGGTGTGTTGGAAAAGGCGGAAATGTACAACAAGCATCCACGATCCCATGGTGCTAGAGACCGTCAGATACGGGTCGACGGGAATGTGCGTCCTATCCAATGATACGCCGCCGTTAGATCCCCACCTCTAAAAGCATATCTGGCTTCTTTTGGATCCTGGTTGGTCAGTACCTATGGTGATGGATTTGTCTGCAAGCCCTGGGCCCTGGCATCAGGGTCGAAATTCCGGAATGAGCGCTAAGGGTGAGGATCCGTCGTCAAACCCTCCTCTGCAAAGGTATCACAGGTCTCGGACTGGGCTGTTGCAACCCAGCCACCTCGGACGATGGCTCCAGCTCCAGTATTTCCATATGGAAATGCGGAATTCCTACAATGTTGGGTGATTAAATTTCATTTTGGGAATCACCAGATGCCGTAAAGGGAAAGCCATGTGGACCTCAGGCACTGACGATCACGGCCTGTCAATGCAAGTTATGCTACGCACTAGCAACCGTGCGATGACCTCAATACAGTACAGAGCTGCGGAAAAATACTGCCGGGCTAGGTGTTCCCCTTCACGTACTCTCGCTGTAGCGCAAACACGGGAAGCATGGCCATGATAAGCTTGGCTCCTCCATTCAATTCGAGCACTCACGCAGCAGAAGAGCCCATCGGCTTGCGGACGCCCACCAAACCTGCTATGCTGACAACGCCTATCAGAAAGTCATATGCGAGTGCACTGACGGCAGGATTGCTGTTTAGAGCAGTTAGGATTCCGCTTAGACCATTCGTCCTCAACGTCTGGCTTGCCTGCAAGAGCACACCACCAACGCCGAGCATGCCAAATGACCGTGTGTACGCCTGCATGAGGTGTTTCGAAGGCGTCCGTTGGACTCGCCAGGAGTCGACCAGGGATGGCTGCAGCAACAGGTAGGGAGCAAACAGGAGGATCCTCGTTGCGAAGAGCACCGGGAAAAAGTACCGGCCTCCAACGTTGGACGGAGCTGCCCGCAAAGTGATGAGGTAGAGAAGGCAGGTTGCAGACTGTAAGAGTGGTGTTACAGGTTTGAGGTCCTGTGCTCGCTTCCGTCCTTCATGAAGCACCGTCGACAAGAGAAACATATTCTGGGTAAAGGAGACAGGAAGGATCTGATCCAGCAGGAAGTATGCCCAGAGGTGGGGAACCTTCTTCCGAGCTCCTAAATAGGCAGTCTTCAGCAACTATACTTCTGCTTGTCGCGCGCTTCCGGAGAACGTACCTTCAACGCTCATGTACACATTCCAGGCGTAGGAATAGAGCAGCGCCGCTTGTGTCCACCAGAAATGATCTGGGTCGTTGCAGATGACGTCTGCAAAATCCCGGAAAAGAGTTGAGTTGACCGCCCATGCCCAGATTTCGGAGGGAACGAGGTTCTTCACAGCATAGCGGAAGGCATGAAAGGTCACTGGGGACGTCGATGATGAGACGGACCCTGTTGACCAAGCCTGGTAGGATTGAATGAGGAAGCTAAGCATATGGTATGATAGAACAGCAAAGCTCAACGTGGCTAGGGCAGCAGAAAGCGATATCCGAGCTTTTTGATCTTGAAGTGATTGCTGGTTCTTCCTTTGTCTATTCGAGAATGCTTTCTGTACATCGTTACAGAGGATGCCCGTCAGGAGAAGGGCTGCAACAATATACGAGAAGAAGATGATAGCTCCAACGACGTTTTCCTGGCTTCGTGCCGACATTTTCTATTTGGGAGCCTCCTCAAAGATCTCTGATCGTATTTGAAAGGTGTGAAGTTGTTGGTTTACTCTTTCTATCTTCCCTATCATGAGTAGTGACGACACCATCAAATCGCCACCCTGCAAGGAGCAGCCCGCTGTGTGGAGAAACCTCAGTCCGGCCCACACGCGTGCCATACAACTCTACACACACTCTCATGAACGAGATAGATGATAGGAGTAGGATAACCAGCCGTGGCATTGCTGCTCTTGAGGGCAAAGAGGCACTGTTCAGAGAGTGCGGGTCGTCCACCGCCGCTGCTGCCATTGTGCTGGGGACCGCATGGTAAAGCCTGGCATGAACACACAGTAACAACAGCACCAGAAGGTATAGGCTTCTGGACATCCAAGCCTTGACACCTTCCACCATCAACGTGATGCATCGGTGCATACATGTGCTCAAACTGGCTCGATGACCTGCGTGGGTAGGTCATTTCGCGTCTTAGGAAGACCGAGTTGCTCGGTCGTAGGGGATTGCCCTTATAGAAGAAATGGAAACGACGATGGCCTCAAGAACCTAATATAATCTTCAGGATTGACTTCAAAAAGGTCCATCTCGACGTTCTTTCGCATGATTCCCCGGAAGAACATGCAAGCCCGACGAAGATGCAACCTTCTTTGAAGCCGAAGGGTCGATGCTACGCATCATTGACATGATGGGGAGGTTTGGTCGAAACCCCGTCGCATGCGGTCAGTGGGAACTTTCGCAACATCGTTCTGTCGTAGCGAGATTGTCATTTGCAAGACTGATTCACATGAGACTCGAGGCGCCGGGGACTATTGCTCAGGGGGCCAGCCTAGTTGTCAACCTGGCGACGGTGTACTCGACTCATATGTGCGAAGGCCGGTGTTTTCATTCTTGTAAACAATCATACGCGCTGCGAGCATGACTCCGTTGCGCGAGCGTCGAATTGGTCCCTGGTCTGTGGACGTCCATGACGCGAGGAAGTATCCAGAAGTAATGCAAGTGGTTCCTGAGACAGTAGAGAACTTCTGGCAGAACCCCCAACGGCAGATCTTGTTATAGAAGCACAGAAGAGGTTGAGCATGACAGGAAGAAAACAACAAAGTCGAAGACAGCTAGGGGCAAGACCGCAGCTGGATCATAGCCATTATTCTAAGCATCGCTTTCGTGATCAAAGACAAATGTTCTGGTCCTCATGACATACTGAGCCTCTGATAGTCATATGGAAATGCAATCTCCGGCCTTGGTGGTCCAATCACAAAGTCCGCCCGGCTTATTGAGCCTTCCGATTGCGGCCCCGAGGACGAAAGTGAGAGTCAAAGATTGATTGCTTGCACATTCCTCCATTGTGCAAAGTCGTTGGTGCCTTCAGAAGACGCAGGACTCTCACCACTGCATCTAGCAGGCGGCGCTTGGATGCGATCGTGTCGGGCTGCGAGAGTTTGATACTCTCCTCTCGGTTGAGCTCATGTGGTGCATGGAGTGTTTCGACGGGACCAACAGGCACGTTGGTCTTCAGAAAAAGTACATGACGCTCTCGACCGAACACACTTTTGTTGACGCTCCATGAGACTGGTGCAGGGTGATCATGGACCAACCAGGAAGTCGAAACCTACCATATGCCTGCTGCCGCAGCCGTTACACTCCTCTTTACCAACGGCCGATCCCATCAAATCGAGCACCTTTTTGAGAGAAGACTGCTCCCATGTTCCACAAAAGAAAGCGTCACAACTTGGTCTCCGTGCGATGCGCTGGCTGTTCAAGCGGCAGTATATCTGTCGCCTGGAATGGACTGGGAAGGACTTCAAGAACAAGCTGTGTATTTGGCCTTGCAAACCCAGCCAGAGGGAGAGTCATAGACATATCCCGCGCTGTGCATACCACCACGCAGGCGGCGGATAAGAGCACCATTGCAATGACATTGCGCCTATTGCTGCTTCTCTAAACCTGGTCAAGAGTCACATTTACAGAAGGCGTCGGCTGCCATGGTTGCCATGTCTGTCCGTCCATACCCTCTACAGGCGCGCAATACACGAACAATAGGTAGATAGAGACCGTTGGGACAACTATGATGTTATATCTTCCACCCGCAAGTTTCGCCACGCATTGGTTTTGCCCCCCAGGAGGAAGTCAAAAACCATCCTTGGTCGACCAGGCTCGAAGGCCGGGATTCCCATCCGGTCACCGAAATCGAAATTCAGGGAAAATTGCTTTCTGTCTGGCGGTAATTTTCTTCCTCAAAAGGTTCGATCTAATTGGGCCATTTGGACTTCCCTTCCCACGAATTGGCTTGTATCACAGCGCGAGGTGCCGTCCAACGTTGGAATCTTTTGGGCCAGTATCCTGCACCTACCGTAGCAGAAGCAAATCTGGCGGTAACGGGTGAGCCATGGGCGGCCATCCATACCCCGTGTTGTTGGGATCTATCCGGAGACATCTCGGAGGACCGAGAAGGCCATTCGCGAGTACGCTCAGGTCTGCCCGTCATGTCCAGTTTGCCAGTGTCGCGACCGTCCGAGGTTAGGTTCACGAAAGCAACCGCGATCCCCTGGACGCCGTGTCTTCCTGTAAGAGGCCCAGTGGTGCAATTGCGACGTTCTGCGCCGGCTCCCTGGAAGATGATGACGCACTACACTGCGGGCGTGGTTTGGTATTCAGAGCCTCAAACAGATACTTACTACTGCTTGAGGAATTGGCCAGGTCCATATGAGTTGACATAGCACTCTTGGCCTCCCTTGTGTGACCTGTGTACACCGTTGCTTCGAGATCCACGATGAGTGTCTCCCTATCGAGGTCAAGGGTGTTGCCGTTCGGAAATATCCTCCAAACGAATGTCCTCCGGGAATCCTGTAAGGACCGAGTCCCATCGGCCTACACCTGCCAGGGATTCTCCGTTCAAAGCAGTGACTGCTTGCGCTGATTGATGTGTGTTTGGAGGAGAATAGCCTTGGTCAGAATCGTGTCCAGTATCCTCTGAAGATCGTGTTCTAGTGCCAGTACGTTGGTCCGAACGGCGCTCCTGGGCATCACCATCGGCCTGGTGATGTGAGTCGGGGGTCCGCGGAGGAATAGTTGTGGCGGTGCCATGGATACTTCGGCCACCAGAAGTCGATGCTATTGCTACAGTTCAGCATGGTTCTCCAGAATGTAAGTATCGCTCCACTGACCGCTCCTATTGCCTCGGGGGCTCACTCGCGATGTTGAGCCCTGCTGAGTAGAGTTACCGGTCTCTGACCCTCTGTCAATCGTTCTAGGAGCCTGGGCTGACAAGGTAGACGAGGTAGTGTTCGGTACGTTCGTGTCTGCACTGTGTAGCAAATTAGTCTCAAGCCGACGTTAAGGACCACTACCAGTACCTTCTGCCGTTCGTAGTAGCCGGTGACCCGTTCGTCTCCGCAGCCCTCTCGCAGCAACGCAACCTTTTTGTGTTCTGCAGAGTTCGAGTCATGTTGTTTTACATAGTATGTGCGAAAAGCATGCGATACTGAGTAAGAAAGCCCATCTTTATACATTCTTCCAGTTCGTTGTGTAACAGAGACATCACGGCCTCAGCCACTCCCAAAACGTCGATCCCTCTCTAGTCCCTGTTCGAGGAAGTGAAGCAGCAATAGGACGCCCGGCTTGACACCGCAAAGCCACAACTCGGGAAGCAGTGCAATCGTCGAAGGATCCGAACGATGGGTGTCAAGCGGCTTGTTGCATTGCTGACTTCATTTTGATGAAGCAGCAGGCTTGTCTGCCCAACTACTCACCGTAACAGGGGTGCGCAGCGATGTCGCTGTGTCGAGTCTTCTCTACCTCTGGACTATCAGAACACACTCATACAGAATGAGGCGGGGTGTTTGCATTGGTTGCCTTTTCCAACAACGATAAAGGTGTCCTGTCACTGCGGCATTTTCAGAGTCCAAGCCTCACCGGCACCTCTGGACAACCCAATCGTGCCTAAAGTCACTGGAGCGACAGATACTGAACAACACATTACCACCGCAGATGCAAGTCGGGACTGCGTCGGAGGCATTCAAGAGAGATGAAAAGGGGATTACCAGATCAATTGGGGAAGTGGCATGGAAACGTGGCTGCCACGCTTTGTCGATCTTCAAGTGCACACTTGACAATCTACCAAGTCCGTGCACCTCTCGACGATCTTTGCTTACTCTTCAACCTTTCACCCTGATCCATTATTGTGTTCATTCAGTGCATCAGCAAGCCACCAGTGCGATCACGCACAAGCACACGATGGGCGAACCTGCGGCACTCGATTGCGCCGTGAAGCTGCCTCGTCGCTTCACTTCCGCTGAATGGTCGCCTCGAGGAATTCAGCAACCCAACCCAGCCCTAGATGAAGCCTAGTTCGTTTATCAGCCATCGAGAGAACGCTCACTTCCATCATCCGTCCCCTTGCTGCCTCCCCCCAATCCTGTTCTTTGTTCCTAGTAGTCAGAGCGCTGCTCAGCTGATCAGAGAGCCCTGCGCAGCCACCACAGGCATACTCAAGACGTTGGTCGTTGTGAATGTTTAAATTTGCTTCGAAAGAGCAGATTACCTGCCAATAGGAGGGAACTTGAGAACCACGCTGCACACGGTGTCTAGATTTTCGGGTTGAGGCTATGCTGCAGAGACTTTCTGCTGCTGCACACTGACTCCAGCTCGCTTCATTGCGTGCATGAATGCGTTTGGACCTTCGTCGAGTCTTCATGACCGTAACCCCGTATGTCCTCACTTCAGGTCGATGTTCGGTGAAACACTGGTTTGTGTATGGCGAGGATCCAAAAGAATCAGGCTCGAAAAGGCCCGCCAGCCGGTCAGCCTTCTTCAACGCTGACTCAATCACCAACAACATCTACAAGAACAGAGGACCCTCAGTCTTATTTACGGTCATGTATATATTGACTACGTCCGACATTGCTTGCTGCAGCTACTCATCATCACGTGGCTACGCACCTGGGCTCTGTGCCACTAGTTGTGCAGGTCACTCGACGAGTAAGTGAGTGCTTGGTTGATTGGCAGTATCCACCGCCAGTGAGATGTCGCCATGTGGAAAGTTTCATACTCGCCAACCGACGAAGAGCTCCATGTCGGCATGACTGATCAATCACAGCTCAACGTGGGCGTCGAATCGAGATGGCTCTCGTGCACCGAGCGGAACCCAATGAACACTACATTGCATGGGAAGACCTGCACTGTCGAACAGGGAGTATAGGTCGATCTTGTGGAAGTGTTGCGGCTTTTTTCACTATCTATCTTCCCAGGTCACTTGACTGAGATTCCCTGAACCTGGTTTCTGCAAATGTACTCGTAGAATGTCATCGGGGCATTTCACACCGCCTTTCGCCCACCTGCAGCCAGGACCACCATTCATGTGCCACGGGCGGCCTATTCAGATACTGGGTGTCCCCATTTTACGGCATCATTGTCCAATGCCTCTGGCTCGCGCAAACATGCCCGAAAGCTTGGTTGTTGCTTCATACCCTGGATTGACATGTACAATACTCACTATAGCCGAGGTAAGCTACTCGTCATCTGAACGGGAGTGGAGGAGATCCCACGCCTTGAGGGAGTTTCGTTGGACATGGAGTGGTCACCGAGGTGCGAGCGTTCAGGGTATGAGAATGGTACAGGATTTGCGAAGACGCATACCAAGTCAGCAAAGCCATTGCACTCGTGGCAGGCCATGCTTCAGGATAGTCAGAGTTTTATCATTTCCATCATGCCACGAAGCTTTCGCAGCACCATCACTCAGAGCACTAAAACCTATATTCAGCGCTTCATTCTATGCCTCAAAAGGCCTATTATCCTTACCGAGATGGCGAGCCTCTTTCCAGAAAAAGTAGTACCGTCTGACAGTGCGTCCATTAACGACGTAAGTTCGAAGTCAAGCGGGTTCACCACAGCGGTTGCCTCGAGAGCAAGACCGAAGTGATATACGATAGAGCTGATGGCTTTTACCTCCTTCAAGAGCGAAAGCCATATTGTTGAATGCAAAGGACTCCGGACTGACAATAATGTTCATATTATCATACTATACAAGAACAGCCACGATTCTGTCGTAGCGCATGTTCAAAGCTCACTTAGGTAAGGGAGTCAATCAGCACCAAGCTCTGGTTTGTCGTTGTTATCGAACACTTCAAGGTCGGTGTAGTAGATCTTTCGTGGGAACCACACCAAAAAGTCGAATATCTTGGTGCCGACGACGCAGAGGAAGGTGGCCCAGAATTGCCAGAAGACCATCAGAAACACACCCACTCCCCATGGCACGAGGAACTTGATCCACTCGCTGGTCTGGTAGAGATCATCCTGAGACTGGATGAAGTATTTGACGTTCCCTCCTGCCCCATCAGTGATCGCCATCGTGGACTCAGAGGAATCGTCCTTGCGCCTTTTCCTTGTGTTGGTGTCTTCAAATCTGACTCTGGTCTTCCCATTGGATTGTTCTCCGTCCTCCTTGCTGTCTGTAAATTGGGATGGGCCGCTCGGTGCCGCAGTGAGATCTTGGGACTCGGGAGCAGGATCCGTGGTAAGCTTCAGGACTGTGACGAACTTGACGGGAGCGACATAGAACGGGACGATCCAGAGCCGGAAATTCTGATGGATAGAGACATAGAGAAGCATTTTCTCCTTGTCAAATGCTGTATGCTCGTTAGAGAATGCCACTGAGTGCTTCGTGCAGGGCCACATACCGACACTATCGATCCAGACATCAATGTGAGGACTGAGGATCTTGTACCACCGATAGATTATGATGACAAGCCATATTGAACCAGAAAAGCTCCCTGTCCGACAGAAGGGGTGTGTGAAGGATGCATTGGGGGTGAAGTGGGTTCTGATTGCTGCTGCTTGAATCGCTGGCGGAGCGGTACAGAGGGTTCGTATGATATGGGATATCTCGCCCACTGCGGGAGAGGAGTAAGCACTGTAGGCGGAATTCTCATTCGATGAGATACGTACCTGGGTCATCCATCGTATCAGGCACTGGAGGCCGTCAGCGCTGATAAAGAAGACACTATATTGTAGCGTTGCAGCGCCCGCGACAAAGCCGGCTTCTGACGAGGCTGCACAAGCGGTTTCGTGCGGGTGTGCTCTCGATCGACAATGAGGAGACTGATGACTGGGTCCAGATACCCGGAAGCACTTGCAAGGTGAACCGCACGCCGTCCAGCAGCGACAACCGAGTTGAGACGGGTACGAGTTAGTGTCTTCCAAGGAAAGCACCGTCCGCTAGGAATTAATGAAGCGAGAGCCTTGCATTGACGTCACTCATCGATTGGCCAGTTAAGCGATGCTTGCGAGGCATGTGCAACACCTCGGTACGCGAAGGCTAGGGTATCTACAAACACACAACCTACATGGGTGGCATGTTATGTATGCAGATTTCATGTGAGTGGGTGCCCTTGACACCGGTATCGATTTTGCTTCTCACTGTCCAGTGGTTTGGCCCCTCTACTCGTCCATCTTGCTTTTCGCATAGCCGAATCCATTTCTCAGCTTGTCCTCCTGCTCCACGATCTTGGCCGGCAAGTCCTGACCAATTCCGAAGAGCACAAAGAAAAACCACTTCCATCTGAATGGATTGATCAAAGTGACGAAGCCGAACCAATAGAGGAGTTCAGAGTAGGTGAAGAAGTCGAATGCTTTCGTCGGGGCTAACGATTTGATCGCACTGGTAAAGTCCACCCATCGCTTCATCCACCAAGTATGAGGTGTGGTCAGCGGATCAGCAAGGAACATCAGCAGCATCCGTGTGTAGATGCCGATATGATAGTTCCCCACAGTGCTAGCAAGCGAAGTCAGCATGTACGAATCGATGATTGAAGCGCTAAAGTACTTACCCAATAGCCGAAACATATGTCGAGTTGATTGCACAGATAGATGGTTCTTCTGGAGGGAAGCACTGAATGAACCATCGAGGCGGCATATAGCCCTCTTCAAACACATTGTCTGGTAGGAATTCGAGACTGGGTCGCTTATATCCGGTAGCCATAATGATGATATCTCCTTCGACCAATTGGTGCCGGCCTGGGCCACCTTTGGGAACACCCTTGGCGCGATGATTGAAGTAGATGCCGTCTTCACGGACTTCTTCGATATCGCCCCGTAACCACGCAGCTTTGCCAGCCCTGATTTGATGGAAGATGTCACTGTTCACCATGGGCGTTTCCGTGAACAGCCCCTGGTCAGCCGGAGCGATATCCCTCAGATCGCGATAGAAGAAGAAGCGGAGCAGGTTCTCGGGTATCCAAGAGAGAAGCGTTTCCTGACCAAAGATGTTGAAGGCGAGCAACCCGTCTATAAATGCGTTTCGTGGAATGATCCATTTGTCGCTTCGTGCGAGAACCTTGATTTGTGCAGCACCTGTATTGACGGCCCACTCCATTGCCTCGACAGCGCTGGCACCTCCACCAACAATGAGGACTCTCTTTCCCTTAGCGTCCGTGGTGTCCAGCTGAGATGAGTGACATATCTCGCCCTTGAAGTTCTCTTGGCCGTGGAGACGAGCCATCTTGGGCTCGCCGCATGTTCCAATCGCGGGAATGATGCCATCAAACCTGCCGTTGGAGGGATCATTGATGATCCAGCGTCCTTGTTTGTCCTTGTAAACCTTTTCGACTTTGGTGTTGAACTTTGTCCTCTCATCAAGATCATAACGATGCCAGAGCTGTCGTACCTGGTCGACGATCTGATTCTGCTTCGGATAACCGCCGTCAAATTTGATTGATGGATGGAATCGATACATAACACTGTGTATTTGGAGGCCAGAAGTCGAATTGACATGTGTCCATATACCTCCCACATGATCCTTGTCGTCCGCCTCGAACAAAGTCACCTCGAAGCCATGACCAACACAATGTGCTGCGGAAGAGACCCCGGTGAGGCCGGCTCCAATTACTGCGATTTTAGGACGTCGGAGTCGAGTACCCGGAGGCGGCGGATGGGGAGAAAAGATCTTGTCGAGCATCCATTGAATGATGGAGTATAGCCAGTAGACCGGGGAGAAAGCCATGACTGCGCAAGAATGATGCCTACGACTGCTCAAAGAGTGAGACAAATCTCAGAAACAATCAACCTGTTTTAAAGGAAACACCGTAGGTAAATACGGGGTGTAAGGCTACCTTAGAAGTTTGTGAGGTCCAATCCCGGACGTCATCATGCAGAACGTCGCACAGGCACCAAGCCTATTTCCAGAAACAGGGGCACTGTCTGACGGTAGTTGCTCGTCAGCTTTGAATAGATACCATTTCTTGTCGTCATGGCCGAGTCTTTCGCACATAACGATATGGCATCAGCTCTTGACCAGGGGGAGGTCGTCAGCTCTACTGTACATTCCTACGAGCCTGGGGTCAAAGTACGCGCTGTCGCGAACCTGCTGTGACCATGAACTTATGTCGTTAATGTATTCCCCGTCAGACGGGGTGCCACTTTTTCTGGAAATAGGCTTGGCACTTAGGCTGAAGACTCCACCAATTCTTTCGCTAAGCATGTGAAAGTTGACAGCTGTTTCTAACGAGGCTGAACCACCCTTCTCTTTTCCATCTTTCTTTGGAACACTCTTTACTTCGTGGGCAGCCGTTGCGGGCTGTCACGTGGTTCGGCCAATGTCAATAAATGTCATCTCATAACCATGAGGTTGACGGCACCATATCCCAGAGCGGCTGTGAACAAACAACTCAGAGTGGTGTTTGGTGGTTGGTAGGAATGCCACGTCCTCCCTCATCTTGCTGCCGAGACCACCGAGATGCTCCACGTCCTCACTGGGATGCATCATGCGACTGATCTCCCCAGCATTCTCTGACCTACACAGCCAAGATCGCCGACATCGCCCTGGAGATCAGCCTGAGCCGAGGTTCCGGTCATTGAGGAGCTTTGGGCCATCCGCCATCATGCACTGGCGGTGGTGCAGGTCGATCAAAGAGTCCGTAGTTTCGTCTTAGTGGCATCAACGGCCCGTTCAGGATTGTGGGAGCTGGGGCAATGGCGGAAGCGACTTGTGCTCGCCCTGTTGATTCAGGAAGAGCAAAGCATGTGGAGGTATGTAGTAATAGCACCGGCATTAGATAGAGGTGTACCGAGAGTCGCATTTTCAAATCGAGGTCTTGATATAATGTACATACGTACCTCTCGAGACAGGAACATTGTCTTCATTACAGCAGCGTAGGTCGATGGCTGCGAATACTCATCCCTTACCGTAGCAACACCATGGCTTTCGGTTGGGCAGGCCAACGGTCGCAAATATCAAGCACAGACCTGTTAACACGAGGCGGAAGCAAAACGTGAAATACCACAGTACTAAGATCAAGGCACGGAAGAGAATACCGACACCTGAGTCAACTTACGTAAGATATGACAGGCAAAGCTCCGAGCATGGACGGGCATTCGGATCCAGGTTCTTGTTTTACCTTAAACCCCCCGTGGCACAGCCCAGCTTGCGTGTTTCAATCCCTAAAACTTGGTCGATTGGGCACGCTTGGGGTGGCTCCCGCCCCATGAAAGAACGACGACGTCACGTTTCCATTTTCTTGTTCGATAGTGAGTGCGGCAGCTTGTTATATAGCCAGACCGCCTGGACAACTCAACCTCATCCTTCACGATCAACTGCATTCGCCTCTGCAAGCATTCTCAGGGCCATCACAAGTAGGCGGTGAGCCAAATCCCCCAGCGTTGGCTGCTAACTTCGAGGTCAGATTCCAAATATCCTTCACCCACACTCCTCACCACAAACATGCCTCCCTCAACGTCCTCCACCTCGTCCATCACAAAGGGCGTCAAGGGTCCTATCAAGCCCTGTATTCCCTGCGACTGCGGGGCTTTCGAATGCGATTGCTGCATCATCCCCTGCACAGTCATGTGAACGATTATGGCAGGAGAAGAACGTACGGTGACAATGGAGAACTCGTGGTGTTACTTTGGGGCTGGCTTCTAAGGCGCTATTGGAGATGGGAGATCGCATGGTGGGAAGCAATTCAAAGGCCCTATGAGAGACGGAAACTTTTGACAGCATTACAAGCACAATTGCATACCTAATATTATTAAGGCGGACCGGCGGTGTGTTCCTGCTCCTGCTCTTGCCCTGACCTCCCTGGCCTGACCTCCGTCAAGGGAACTGCTTGCGCTTCATCCTCTGACAAATCGTCGAGGGAGAAATCTTCGTTGAGCTGTCGTTCCAAGTCTTTGGCCTTGCTGCCAACCATAGCCGAGACGTACTCTGCCCTGCTAGGATACGGCACTTCACACTTCGGGTGTCTGAGGGGTCGATAGTATCGTCGATACGTCAAGTACGCCACCGACATGCCTAAGAGACTGCCAACAGTAACGTCGTAAACATCATGTCGGTAATCAGCCAGTCGTGACATCGCAATAAGTGCAGCACCCACCAATGGCGCGAGCACGATCAACACTCTTGCCAGGTCTGCAGACGGACGGAGAACATGTAATTGACCCGCCAGAAACAAAGCCAGATATCCCAACCCAGAAAATGCCCAGCTACTGTGACCACTCGGAAAGCTACGCCAACCATCATGGAGAGTATGGTGGTCTGTTTCGGTGCAGACCGATATGGTGACCAGCTCGTGTTCCGGTGTGCCTAGTCTCGGTTTGCAGCGTGCGATGAGGTCTGGACGGGGTCGGCCAATAGCGTTCTTAACGATATCGGTGAGTAAGGTCGTGAGGAAGAGGCTTATGAACAGGCCGAGAATCGTAACGTGGACTCTGTGGACGCCCGGGCGAACAAGCACTGCCCAGAGTATGAGAAAGACAAGAGGTCCTACACCGGCATATAAAATGTTCTGTGAGGAGGAGACCCGCTGTATTTCAGCATGAGGATATTGTTTCGCATGATTGTCTAGGGTAAACATTTGATGGAACGGCTCAACGAGTAATTGTTGCTGCCATATTCAGTACTTTGTAGGATCAAGAGATAGAAGGTACTGACGCCAATCAATGCGAGCAATACGAGGAGAAAGCCAACATAATCGGGAGCATACGATCGTTGCCAGAACCTCTGTATGGAGCCTGCCAGCCCGGTTGCGCCATTGGTCGCTTGCCTCATTGAGGCGTATATATATACACTCGATGTGATGCGCCAGGAGGGACTCGGTGCGCTTATGTGCGCTACGGACGCTTCATGGTGTTGTGCAGATAGAGAGACGACCAGGAACGGGCAAGCTGGCTTGCACGTCAGCTGCCGGCACAAGACCAAACGATTTGCCCGCAAAACGCGTCTCTCCATTGGTCGGTTTGCAACAACACTGGATTGATCAGTCTTCTTGTCCTACGTTGCTCCTACTCCATGACCCTGTAAAATTTGCATCTTGCACAGAAGACTTGCATATCCGTGAAGAGCCAGCAGGTGATAGCAATGCTGTCAGGTCAATATGGCGGACCAAGACCAACCGCAGCAACAGCTGCCTGAAGCGCCCTTCCCTGCACCTCCTCCGTTCTGGCGACACTTTACCAGAGCCAACGAAGACAAGTTGAAAGAAATCGAAGTTGAGGAAAAGGAGTCAGAAGCGAAGCTACCGATTCCTTTGGCGTACTTACGCCCTCCACCTCCACCACCAGATTCTGCCGAGTTTTATACGACATTTGGGCAGAAGCAGGTCATTGATCCTACCAAACCGTCCTCCTTACCGCGAGAGCAACTCCTTTTCAACCCTGACGATCCTGATCTCAACCATGCTGTCCTCCTGAGCAAACTCACAAAGTCCCTGCTACTCAACTTCCTGGAATTGACAAGTGTTTTGTCACAGGATCCTACAAAATATGAGGAGAAAGTGGAAGACATCAGGCAACTAGTGCTCAACGTTCACGTCGTCATCAACATGTACAGACCACACCAGGCCCGAGAGAGCGTCAAAGAAATGCTCGAGGGCTTCTTGGAGGACGGCGAAAAAGAAATCGAGGAATGCGACAGGCTGAAATCAAGGGCCGAGGACTTACTCGACGACATTGGCAAAATGAAGTCGCTTTCTCCCAGTTCGACTTTCGCACAGGCAAGTGGGACGTCGGTGAATGGTGCAAATTATGACGCGAAAATGGAGGAACAACGCAGAATGTGGCAGAGGATCCATGAGATCGCAGATTCCTGAATGTGATCTAAAGGGTATCAAATTCTCTACTTGTCCAAGGTCAGAAGACAGTCCCGCCATAGCACTCGAACAGACACCATGACTACTGCTTAGATGTTGAGTTCTGCAGCACGGCTGCTCTGGATCTGGTTCTTATAATGTTCCAATGCTGGCTCGACCTCTTCCTCGACGAACTCCTCGACCTGTTCAGGAGATCTACCGATGAATTTGGCGGGATTTAGCAGATCATCTTCCGTCAATTCGCTCCAAATGGGTTCAAAGAACTTCTCCTTCCGGATACGCTCAACCAGATCATTGGCCTGACCCTCTTGCTTGACAACAGCGCCTGCCTGGTGCGATAGTACTCGGATCTGTTCATGGGTCTCTTGTCTGCTAGCACCTTTCTCGGCCATGCGCATGATCATGGTCTCTGTCGCCATGAAAGGCAGCTCCTGTTGCAGCCGGCCATTGACCACGGCGGGATACACAACCAGACCTGACGAGACGTTCTCGAGCAAGATACACAAGGCATCTGCGAGCAAGAACATTTCTGGAATATCGATTCGGCGAATTGCAGAGTCGTCCAGTGAACGTTCAAACCACTGGTGTGCATACGTTGCAGCAAACCCCTGCGGCAGGGTAGTCAGCTTTCTGGCGAGAGAGCACATCCGTTCTGACCGCATAGGGTTACGCTTGTACGCCATGGCGGAGGATCCAATCTGGTCTTTCTCGAACGGTTCTTCAAGTTCTTTTACCATTGCCAGGTGGCGAATGTCTGTGCCGATATGTTCACAGGTAGTGGCAAAGGACGCCAATGCGTTAGCAATGTCAAAGTCGATTTTGCGGTTGTACGTTTGCACTGAGAGGATGGATCTTTTCTGAAACCCGGCCTTCTTGGTGACAAGCTCATCCAACTGCTTGACCTTTGCATGGTCTCCATGGAAAAGTTCTAGGAAGGAAGCTTGGGTGCCGGTGGTACCCTTGACTCCTCTGAAGCGGAGGTCGGATCTGGCCCGTTCGATATTTCTCAAATCCATCAACAGAGACTCAATCCACTGGATTGCCCTGCGACCAACAGTGATGGGTTGAGCGGGCTGGCCGTGGGTGTAACCTAGGCAGGGCATGGCCTTGTACTCGACCGCAAAATCGGAGAGCTTCTTGACACACTTGGCGATCTTTGGGAGGAGAAGTGACAACCCGTCTCGTAGGAATATCAAGTCTGCATTATCTGTGACGTAGCAAGACGTAGCGCCCAGATGGATTTTGCCGGCGGCAGCAGGAGCTCGCTCACCAAAAGCGTGGACATGAGCCATAACATCATGTCGACGTCGCTTCTCCTCGACGGCGGCGACCTGGAAGTCTTCATCTGACATGACTTTGGCGGCTTCCATTTGCGTGATAGCTTCCTCAGATATGTCAAGCCCCATTTCCTTCTCGGCCTCGGCCAGCCAGATCCATAATTGTCTCCAGGTAGAAGCACGAGTGCGTGCTGAGAAAAGCTTGAGCATTTCTTTGCTGGCATATCGACCGCCCAGGGGGCTCTGCCACTCATCGTAGGACATTTTGGCCCGTGAAACCTAGAAGCAACTTGACTGAGGTCAGGGCTAACGAACACTTGACTCGCAAGATTTGAGATGAGATTGATCAATTAAACATACCTCAGTGTCACCTGCTGCACGTTTGCCCTGAGGAATATTTTGTCTCATGCGCGTTTATGATTGGCTGTCACCAGCTGCCAGAAAAAATGTTGCGTATAAAGGTCCGGCAGAGCAGGAGGCATATCAGGCATTTCTCTAAAGATTTTATCCTCGTCCGGCTACTGCATCTCGAACTTTTTCGAGGTTGATTTATCTTCTTCACTGCCGTGTGAAGATCAGAAAATCGCAATGTCTGTGACGGAGAAGAGAAAGCGTACAGTAGCGACGCAAAATTCCAGCAAGAAACAGAAAACTACAGAGGCCTCTAAACAGGATGGCAGCAAGCGTATAAACGTCCGAGGTGATTCACTGAAATGGAAGACAGTGAACTTGCCTGGGAGATTGGAGGATGCAGAAGGCTTCTATGGACTCGAAGAGATTGATGATGTTGAAGTGGTCCGAGATGAAAGTAACACCCATGTAATGTTTCTTCCAAAGTCGGACGCAGACGTGGTACAGGAAAATGACGCCGAGGCCGGAGGCGAAGAATGGGGAGGCTTTGAGGACGAGGAGGTTCAAGCCACAGACCCCCCTCAGACTGTTAAGAACGTGAAAGATACGTCGACCTCAGCTAAGGCCTCGAAACAGAAAGATGCAAAGCCAGGACACGGCTCGAAACTGGCTTCCGCTGATGGTATTGAGTCTGGGTTGACTTTCGACATGTTGTCCGATACGGCGGATGATAATCAGACAGACGTCTCACTTTGGAACGATCTCGATCTATCACCGACAACTCTCTCACAGCTTGCTCGACTGGGCTTCGGACGACCTACGCCCATACAAGCCGCGGCTATCCCAGCGATCAAGCAAGGCCACGATGTCATCGGCAAAGCTGTGACAGGGTCTGGTAAGACACTTGCCTTCGGACTACCGCTATTCGAAAGTTGGCTCGCCAAAGAGAGTGTCCCATCCAATGGCACGATGAAGACTAAGGGCCCTATCCTCGCTCTTGTCCTTGCGCCCACCAGAGAACTTGCCCTACAAATCAACAGACATCTCAATGAATTGTGTATCGGTCTAGAAAATCATCCTAGGATTGCTGCTGTAACCGGAGGCTTGTCAATATACAAACAGCAGCGACAATTGGAATCTGCAGACATTGTGATAGCGACTCCTGGACGGTTATGGGAGGTCATGAACGACACCACCACAAATAATGATACAGATGCCTTATTGGACCGGCTGAAGAAGGTCCAATTTCTGGTGGTTGACGAGGCAGATCGATTGCTAAGTGAGGGGCACTTTAAGGAAGTCGAAGACATCCTTGATGCCCTGGACCGAGAAGTGGTTGATGAGGATGGGGAGGGGGAGGGATCTTCAGATCGTCCCAAATCACAGCGACAGACTCTAGTCTTCTCTGCCACATTCCACAAAGGTCTGCAGCAGAAGCTCACAGCCAAACCCAAGCATGGGAGTCGTACGAAGAACGACTTGCTTGACAATCAGCAGTCCATGGAGTACCTTCTTAAAAAGCTCGCATTCCGCGAAGCCAAGCCTACATTCGTCGACGTGAATCCTACAACTCAGATGGCATCCGCGTTGTCCGAGTCTATTGTGGAGTGTGCTGCAATGAAGAAGGATTTGTATCTTTACACCCTACTACTGCAAAACACGACTGCGAAGACGCTGGTGTTCACAAACAGTATCTCCGCAGTAAGAAGACTGGTTGCGCTTCTTCAGACCCTGAAACAGCCTGCGGTTGGCCTGCATTCAACGATGCCTCAGAAATCACGACTGCGTTCGTTGGAGAAATTTGCTGGTCAACGGACCATTTTGGTGGCTACTGATGTTGCAGCCCGTGGGCTTGATATCAAGGGCGTTGATTTGATCATTCACTACCATGTTCCGCGGACTGCAGACATGTATGTACATCGATCTGGTCGAACCGCACGAGCCGAAAGCTCTGGACGTTCCATTCTGCTTTGTTCGCCCGACGAGGTCGCTGGAGTTACCCGACTGATAGTCGAAGTGCACAAGACGGATAAGACGCCTGAGATTGTTCAAGTAGATGGGCGGCTCATGAAGAGACTTCAAGCCCGTGTGAGCCTGGCACACAAGATCACTGATTCGACGATTTCGAGAGAGAAAACTGCCAGCAAGGACGGGTGGCTGCGGTCGGCAGCCGAGGAACTGGGGGTGGACTATGACAGCGATGAGTTTGAAAGCCAAGGTCAACGAGGCAAACGAGGCAGAGGTGGTGGAAAAGCATTGAGGGAGAAGGAAAAAGCCGCTGTTGCCAAGGACCAGGTTTCGCAGTGGCGATCAGAATTGGATGGTCTGTTGGACAAGCGCATCAACTTGGGCGTCAGTGAGAGGTATCTTGCTGGTGGCAGAGTTGATGTGGATGCTCTGCTGGATGGAAGGATTGATGGAGCTTTTCTGGAGGGTCGTTGAATTGATCGAAAGCCGAGCTATGTCCTAGACAACCAACGGAGTGCCACTCGAAAGCTTGCCCGTCAGCTGAAGTCATCTCCGGCTGCCAAACAAAGACGATACATGCCAGTTGTCCGTGCTGCACCTGCTGCAGCCGAACATAGCCTGGACTAGGGGAAACGGACGTCGTGCAGTACTGCAGGAAGCTGCTTTTTTGGCAGAACATCCGCATCTACTCCATTCCAGCTCGATGTTCACGCACTCTCTCGTTGATATTCCGCATCAGTATCCTTACCGAACAGCATATACTAGTACCCTCTTTCATCGAGGTCATTAATCGCTGCGCCCTCTCGCAGGGAGATTCGGAATATCTCTACAAATACGATTTTCAGCATCGTCTCAATACCAAGCTCAGCGCGCCTGTCTACGATCCGTCCGGCAGAGACCTTACAACCCTCAAGAACATACCTCAACACTACCTCTTCTGCTGGTGTGTGCTGGTGGTGCGGTTGCCAACTGGCCCATAGTTGCGACAATGACACCTATGATAGACCCCAATATCTACAATCGAGCGAACTCACGTCCGATCTTCAGTAAAAAGTCTGGGAATGAGAGCAATCTCAGAAAGAAAGGGGCCCGAGGAAGCAGTGCCAAAGATGTCGGGACGTGGAGACGCGTCAAAAACACCCGCGCCAAAATCAGGAAGCACCCAGTCGTACGGGCGTTCAGCTCCAGATGGAGGCGATGTAAGAGGTACCTCAAGCACGGCCATGCTCGAAAGGATCACACACAGCCCCCCAGGGCAGGACAAGCTCGACACTCTGAGGAGCGGGTGCCTGTAGCCTTTTCTGGGCTTCCAGCAGCCCATGCTTTGTGTTCTCGGCGTGAAGTGGAGTGAAGTAATCGGAGAATGGCAAGTATCGCAGACTAAGTCTTCGACTCAAGTCGAGCGCCGGTATGCCCACATAAATGTGGTCGCCAATGGAAGGCTTGTCGGCGCCAGTCGGCTCACGGCCTAATGAGTATCCTCCTGCGCATTTGACGCCCCTGGTCTCGGCTGTCTCTCAAGACCTCAAAGTCAACACGGAACCGACCAAAGCAGCTGTCCGGGGGACTTTTGCCGCACCAACATACGTGAAACAGGGCTATAATTAGGCTCTGGTTTTCTTTGTGACGCAGTGGAGTGTTCAACAACAGTCCTATTGACTAAGTGAGGCACAGTCAAACCGACTCGATCGAATACATCTTGAGTCTAGGGGCAACACATCCTGAACATGAAAGTTGAAGACTGAGCATCAACTGGCACGGAAAGGAGCTGTGGCAACTGACCGTTGGCTCAAACAGTGCATGTGCTTGTTGGCTGGACGCCGCCTATCTCTCCATTATAGTCCTAATACCAATCATCACCTTACTTGTGAGATATTCTTCTCCTCGAGGGCACCACGAGCCAAATAGAAGTAACAACTCAGCTGTCCAGCAATGTAGTGATAAATGTTACTGTAGTCGAAGATGGTGACGACGTCGGACATGTGCGTGTTTCTAGTATGATATTAGCCCAAGCACACGGTCATTCAATGGTATGCACGGAGCATGTCACTTCAGTCGGCGCCGAACAACTTCCCGGCTTCAAATTTGTATCAGCATAACGTTGTACTAGATCGAGGTGATTATTAATTGCGGCAATCTACTTGACTTACCTCTTGAGAAGCCGTAGCGCGTAAAGGTGAATCCAAACTGATCCAAGCATTTTCACATCTGGTTTGTCGCACCAAGAGAGCTTCGCCAGGGCAAATTTCCGCATTCACTTACGCCGCCGATATTGCACTCCCAACCCGACAGAGAATAGAAGCAATGGCATCTCAATCATCACTCAAAATCCCCTCGACGATGCGAGCTTGTCAATTCTCCTCAACAAAGGGCGGCCTGGAGAAGAACCTCGTCCTCAACGAGTCGGCTTCCCTGCCGCCACACGATGACCGCGCGCTGGGCAAGGACAAAGCGCTAGTTCAAGTTCTCGCCGCATCGTTGAACCCAGTGGACTACAAGCTCGTCGAGTTGCCTGTTGTCGGGCGTCTGGCGGTGAAGACTCCGAGTTCGCCTGGTCTGGACTTGGCAGGACGGGTTATCGCGCTTGGGGCAGCAAACACGGCCGCCGGTCTCGAGGTCGGACAGCTTGTCTTCGGCAGACTCGATCAGCCCACGCAGTTTGGCACGTTGGCTGAATACACGGTTGCACCGGTTGGAGCTCTGGCCAAGATCCCCGAGGGCGTCACCGTGCAAGATGCCGCGTGCGTGGGCACTGCCGGGTTGACCGCTTACCAGTCCATTGCGCCTAATGTGAAGCGTGGAAGCGGAAGTAGGGTGTTCATCAACGGTGGGAGCGGAGGCACGGGTGTTTGGGGCATTCAGATCGCAAAGGCACTTGGGTGTCATGTGGTCACGAGTTGCTCGGGAAAGAATGCGCAATTTTGCAAAGAGCTGGGCGCGGATGAGGTGGTGGATTACACGAGCGAGGACGTCCTCGAGGCGCTGAAGAAGAAGGTCGGTGTGTCGGGGCAAAAGTTTGACCTGGTGGTTGATAATGTGGGAACTTCTGCTGGGTTGTATTGGAATTGTCACCTGTTCACGAACGACGGGGCAAAATTTGTGGTAGTGGGCGCCGATCCGAGCGGTCGCACAGCTTACGAGATGGCGACGAAAATGCTCTGGCCTGGATTCCTGGGTGGAGGAAAGAGAAAGATGGAGGTGATGATGGTTCAGGAAAAGAGAGAGCAACTGGGTGAGATTGGAACTTGGTTGAAGGAGGGCAAGGTCAAGGCCGTGGTCGATCAGATTTCCAGGATGGAAGACGCCGCGAAGGCGTTTGAGAGACTCAAGACGAACCGTGCGAAGGGAAAGATTGTGGTTGCCGTGAGCGAGTGAAGATGCTGAAGAGGGTCTGCAATGCGAAGTGTGTCTCGTGTCGACAGTTCGTGTAGCTGGATACGGGCGACTCGAAGTTGCTCGAAAGTCTACGGCCGCATGGTCTGGCTAGGGCAGGGCAAGGCTGTGGAAGAACATCTGACCGCCGGATGTATGATCCCTAGGTAGAGGTGCAGGAACACGAGGGGAGGTTGTGGTTTGTTGGGATGTGGAAACGAGGTATTGCGACATGCGGCAGGAAGCCACCGAGGCTCTAAGCGATGAGGGGGAAGATAACCGTCTACTGAGGGTGAAAGCAGCAATGTCGCACAGCAAGGCGAAGGATAACAACGGATGCTGCGTACGGTGAGGTCGGATAGAACTGGGCGCCCGGGATGTGGACCCCGTCGGATACATAGGAGAATACGGAGGACTTGGTCAGTAATGCTGCACGATGATGTTGAATTCGGGAAGACAACATGATGCAGGACATCACATGAGAGGAAGATACGAGTCCTTGTCGTGCTGAAGATGAACCATGAGGGGGAAAGGAGAGGTTGTGCTTTCCCAAGTTGGGAGGTGTAAGAGAATGGAAGGGAACTTTTGTAAAGTAGGTGGACCACTAAACTGCAATAGGCGGTGGAGGCTGTGCAACAGTGCCGAAGAGGTTAAGGCCACGCTACCGGGCTTAAGCACGGCCAACTCCCTGGTCAAGTCCCTAGAGACTCGAGAGGTAGTTTTGTAGCAACATGGGGTCCCTTCCTTCCTTGAGTCTTTCCTCAGGCGCACACAAGGTTGACTTTTGTCATCAGTCGTCGTCACCTGGGGGCACATGATTCTTGGGTGAGTCGTGTTTGTCTTCTTGATCGGCAATAACAGGAGTTGTATTTCTAACACATTGAACATTTTCTCGTGTGGCCTGGACTGTGTGAGTGTCCCTATGCATCATTGTGCATTAGACTGAACCGGTGAGGTTAACAAACAGCTAAAGTCCACAATGGTGAGTTAAGCATGTTTGGAGGCTTGTCCTCCTCGAGTCTAGCGCCCAGAAGGTGATTGGGGCGCAGGTGATCGGCTCTTCACTGCCACTGTGGCCTTCATTTCCACCACCCCGCCAAACACCCGGATATCCAACTTGAACGACTACACTCTTGTGTATACAACTTTTGCATTCCTCTTTCCTTCTTGGCCCCCGTGTTCGTCTCATACAGCGGCCGAGACCACATATACCCACCCTCCATTATTCATCGGCCTTGGGGTCAACCCAGGCTCCCACCGGGCGGTGCCTGGCCCATTGGACCCAATCATGACTCACTCCAGGCACAAACTCAGCGTTATGACATTGGATTCCTCATGGCAGCCTGGTGATTTGGTCACACGTCCAATCCTTTTCCCAGCTACTATGATACTCTCCCCTGCTCCCAGGCTTCCAACCAAAAGACCCTTTCAGCAAAAGACCTATCCACTCTTGGTAAGTTGATACTCAACATTGCACTGTTGTGTGCTACCATTGGCAAGTCTATAACTCCAGCCTCCTTTCCATTGACTCTGCTCTTTCTACACCTTCATTCCCATCCATTGAACCAAGTCTATCATATCATCCCAATCAGTGCCTTTCACACTCATTACCCAGGAGCTTCCGCAGTCCACCAGACTGTCGCCCAATCCTTCCCTAATCTTCCATCAAACTATCACGCTGTCGGCTCATCGCACCACCACCTACTACTATTACCCAAAGCGGTCCCAATCCTATATCCAAGAAGGATTGGATGCTCAATACCGATACATCACCATCGCCCGTACTCCAGCCAGGTCACAGTCACCAACACCTCCCACACCTCCATTGACTCATTCAAACACTTCCACTCCAATCATTGGATCACCGTCAATCCGAAGTGAAAGAATGGCAAGAGGTGCAACCACTCCGCGCGTGGCCTTCGCCACAAGCGTCACCTCCATTCGTCGCCCGCGTGATGACGAGTACTCGGTCATGTCTTATTACGCCAGACACGCCGACAAATGTATCATCTGTGCCAACCCTTTTGACGCCTTCAAGCAAGATATATCCCTATGTGACCGAGGATATAAATACGCCAGAGACGTTGCTCAGTACATCTACGCCAAAGGAGGGAAGCCTTTCTCCATTATTGACAAGAAGAACGGCGATCCTTCCCAGGTCGAGGTTCCTGCAGACTGCCAAGTCATCAACAGCCTCGTTAAAGCATTCGACCGTGGCATGAAAGTGAACAACGCTCCTAAGCCTATCCTGGTTGTCCCTAAGCCTACCGAGAGGTATGAGAGGGTCGAGAGAGTGGAAAGGGTCGGCCGCTCACCCACATACGTTCATGCCACCAAGGCTTACACTTATGAGGAACCACGGAGAGAAAGACGTTATCCCCGCGAGTACGACGTCGTTGAAATCAAGCCCAGCTCGAGTCGGCGAGATCACAGGGACAGACCGTATGAGGAACGGTACCGGTCCGAACGTAGAGAGAGACCAGTTACTCATTACGAGAGCAGGGGAAGCTTGTACGAGCGCGACGAAGAGGAGAGAAGACGACGGAAACGGTACGAAGAGGAGCCGATTGTCATTCTCGCCGATCCCAGACGACGAGAAAGACGGTGAATCGATTGGCCTGCCGGGGAGTATTTCGGATTCTACAAATATCAATAATCGACATGTACCACCAATGACACCAAAAAGGGACACTACAAAAGAGAATGGTCCAGCACCAAAGAGAGTGCTCGGTTTGTAACAGTCTCAACGAGCCTTGAGCCACATTAACCTGGACGGTCCAGCAGCGAACCAACAGCACGGGGAGCTCGACTTGCAGCAATTCAGCGCCGAGCTCAAGGTATCACCAAAACAGCATTGACATCATCAAGGAGGATTTCGAAAAGGGACTCGTGTTCTAGCCTACTTGATTGATTTGTCTGCAAAATGGGTTGTGGTTTAGTGTTTCTGTTCGTCATTGACGGAGCAAATGGTGCTTCTGGCTCTTGTTCCAGTTGCCTGTCTTTCATTCATCATCAAGAATATCTCACCAAAAAAAGTGCACGAGCTGGTTGCCTCGGAAAGGAGGCCGGACCGTGGAGATGGCTGTGATGACAGGCGGCGAGAAACTTGCTTAGGAACATTCTTCGCCCGCCATTGTGGCGAGCACCTCGAAGGGAAATGGGAGGTGGAAGGAGGACTTCGGGTTCAGGAGGCCTCATCAGGCTCCATGCGAGGCTGAGACTGAGAAGGGTGTGCACGGTTGTGCATACGCGTTTTCATGGTCATACACTTATATGACATTGGGTCTCTTATTGCCGCATTGGGGAGATTTCTGTTTCTAGGAGCCTAGGAGGATTTTCATTTCTGATGCTGCCTGGGCTGCTGTGGCACCGTCGCAGCTCACTTATGTCAGCAGGAACGTTTGTGGTGTGGACCAAAGTTCCTTTTGTGTGAGACGGACAGGGGGAGGACTTTGTGGGCACGGCATGGGATGCCTTATGTAATCTAGGCTTCGCACGCATCGCACGCAAAGCGGCAGATAGATAGTACCTTGTATTCCAGATAGATCATTCAAACTCTTTACGGGGTACTGGACAATCACCTCAAACGACGAATGGTGTGCTTATGTCATTTCACGACGGGCACTTACTCTGTGAAGTACGTAACGCCCCCTTAATCAGCCTTGCATTTATCGTATGCGATGCTCGCACTCCGAAATGGCCGGATTTGCAAAGGGTCCGCAGCGCGATCCAGGCTTCATTTGCCTTCAAGAGTACCTGTCCGTGGAGCTGCAGACGTAACAGTGTCTGCCACCCTCGTTCCGGGTAGCGTGTACGCCTTACCATATGATGGCCGTTGCCTGACATGACGGAGCGAGAAGATCTGGATCATTAATGTGAAACAAGAAGGCTCAATGATGACTCAAAGGCATCAACTGTGTCCTGAACCGAGCTGAGAAGGCGACCGGAAAGCACCGCGCTTGGATCTGGATCAACTCAATTCCCATGGTCTCCCCTGCAACCGTAGAACGCCGGTGCTATGCCCACTTCTATTTGTCGCCATTTCTAGCATTGTACATTGCATGACCGCGCTGTTGCCTCCGCGCTCATGCTTTCATGGTATCCTACCTAACTGGAATGACTTGCGCCTAGCCAGTCTCCGCTTCCTCCTCCTTGGCCAGCCCATGCTCCTTGAGCAGTGACATGATTTCATCGCCGGACCATAGGTGGTGGTAGATCTTGCCATCTGGCGTCTTTCCCACTGTCGCAAACTCGACTATACCGCAAACATTAGCATCTGCACCGACAGCATCCTCAATGATCTATCTTACTCTTCTCGCTGCTCAACTTCGTTGAATCCATCGTTTTACTCAGCACCTTGACCGCCATGCCGCATGCTTCTTTCAGGTCACACTCTTCTTTGTAATCCTGCTTCAACAGAGACTGCGCGCTAGCATTGTTCGCTCCTACGCTTGTCGCCTTCCATCCGCCGTAGTTGCCTGAAGGATTGCTCTGGTACAACTGGAATTGCCGTTGGGGATCCCAGCCGGCGTAGATGAATGAAACACCGAACGGCCGCAGACCTCCGTGCTGTGTGTAGCCCTGTTTCAAGTCGCAGAGCCGTCGGACCAGCTGCTCACAGGGGATGTCTTCGTTGTAGGTGAGAAGGTATCGTTGGGCGGCTTGTCGGGCGTAGTTGATCAGAATGTTGGCGTCAGCTGTCATTCCAGCCACGGCGCAGATCATGTTGCTGTATTCCAGTCAGCGATGTAGCTCTCATCTGCATAGACATTGCGCCCCGAACGCTCTGGGGAATAACATACTCATTTAGGATGTAGAGCTTCTCTGCAGATGTATCTTGTTCGAGCAGTTTGCTTGTAACTTTCCGCTCCGCAGCAAGGACGATGCCATCTTGCGCTAATATTCCCAGAGCTGTACCTGCATGTGAAATGGCTTCTAGTGCATATTCGACTTGATATAATCGACCTTCGGGGGAGAAGATTGTGGTCTATTCAAGGTAGTTTAGTTAGAGATCAATCGCTGCTTGCCCGGTCATGGAGAACGTACTCTGGAATCGTATCTGCGGGCCATCGTGACTGAATACTCGCAATCGGTTCAAAAGGCTCTGATATCAGGTCAGAGAGACAGAATAAAGGCGGAGAGTTGGTTATATTCATATGGACTTCATGATGCGGAGGAAGCCAGTTCACAGTGCAGGCACGAGCCTCACGCGTCTTCCACCCAGTCGGCCAATCAGATCAACTCCAAGGTTCTCCAAGGCTGGCATCAGAATTATTTCCATTTCGATTTGCAACTACTGCGCAAGGGCTCAACTTTCTGGGAGCAGGGCACCGTCGCATGTCCAGCAACCTAGACCACGATGTTGAAGTCTACACATCGTCCTGCCGGTCCAGTGCCGGTAGAGGAACCTCTCCCACCCGGGTGGACAGAACACAAAGCCCCGAGCGGACATACCTATTACTACAATGCGGAAACGAAACAATCCACATATACGAGACCGACCATACCGTCTGACGAGCCCTTGCAGATCGACTATGGTGCCACCGAGCCCGATCAAGTTATGCGTGCCTCGCTCCAGGTCATGGAGGAATTTCAGAAGAATAACACACAAGGAGCGGGCCATTTCACTGGCGGAAGAAGTTACCATGACCACTCTCGAAGGCGAGGCAATCAGGGAGACCGACCAAAATCAAAGGCCGCCATCCCAGACTGTGCGCCTTGGTTGCTCGTAAAGACAAAGCTAGGCAGACGGTTCGTGCACAACACCGAGACCAAGCAGAGTCTCTGGAAGTTTCCGCAGGATGTCATGATGGCGGTCATAGAGATGGACAGGTTGGAATGGGAAGCGAAGAAGAAGGTCGAAAGTGAACCGGAGACGAAGAAACCAGAAGAAGTTCAGACAGTTACCAACGCTCCTCAAAGAACAACATCTCCAGATCACCAACCACAGCCGAGACACGACGATTACGACAGCGACTCTTACGAGGAAGTTGAGGTGACGGACGATGAAGGAGAAGAGGGCGAGCCCAAACGACCCCGGCTCGACGAGTCTCCACCTCCGCCCTCCGGACCTGTGGAACTGGGCGAAGACGACATAGCCTGGCAGCTGGCCCAAATGGAAGAAGACTACGAACAAGGCGAGGACCCGGCCCACCAATATGACCAAGGCGAAGATGAAGATGATGAAGCAGGCCTCCCACTCACAGCCACCGATAACATCGCCCTCTTCCGCTCCCTGCTCGATGACTCTGGGATATCGCCATACGCTACGTTCGAAAAACTCATCGAAGACATCCACGTGGTTGAGGACGAGCGGTATATCGCCCTACCTAACACGACAACCCGCAAAGAAGCCTTCGTTGCCTGGTCCAAAGATCGCATAAACGAGCTCCAGCAGCGCAAGAAAGCCGTCGAACAGACACAGAAGCCACGCGACGTGAAAGTCGAGTACCTGAGATTTCTGCATCGGCATGCCACTCCGAAACTGTACTGGCCCGAGTTCAAACGCAAGTTCAAAAAAGAGTCCGAGATGCGCGATGTCACGCTCCAGGACAAAGACCGCGAAAAGATCTACCGCGAGCTCGTTGCCAAGTTGAAGACCGGCGAGTCCGACCGGCGGAAAGAGCTCGTCACGTTGCTGAAGAGTATGGACAAGGGAGCGCTAACCAAATACAAGGCTGTCGAGGACTTGCCAGACGCGGTTCTACGGGATGTCAGATTCTACACTATTGAGAAAGACAGACGAGATGAGTTGGTGCGCACGTTTCTGGAGACGCAGCGTTGAGATACACCCGTCCTTCCGAGAGCGATAGAGCTGTGGCCCTCCGTATACATGAATTGTATCGAATCAAACTAAACTGTCATTGAACACTACCTAATTGTTTCCTGAACTAATAACTGAATTCCCCGTATTGAACATTTGAAGTAAGCACAGCAAGACACCCTTTGACTATACGCCCTCAATAGCAGACGACTAGAACCCCTCAATAGCCTGTCTTTGCAGAAGACTAACACGTTGAATGTCGAGATGGTATACTCGAACAATACTAAGGTAGCTACTGATGGCCCTTGCAAGCCCCAGTGCTATTGCGAAGTCTTCTCCCGTGCAGACGGTACGTCCCTACACAGCACTACGCTGATGTGACTACACACTCGCGTAAAACTAACGCTCATGCCTCCTTCACGCCCACAACCTGGTATCATTGCATCTGAGGCACTGCGAAACAGCCAACCATCCATAACAAGGTCTCCGCCAGACAGACTTATCCAAGTCTTCAGCCCTTTTATTCTGCCGTGTAGCCGGTGGTCTATTTCGGACCAGAAGCTGAAGCAGCATGACTCTGCTGCAACATAGCCGTCAACAAGCCCAGATCATTGCCCGCCTCAGGATTCTTCTCCAAACACTCCTTGATGATCCTGAACTCGAACTCTCCCGCGGTCGGCACCTGACCGCACAGCTCGACCACAGCAGGACTCGAAGCCAGCGGGCCTAGAATCTTCTGGGCATTAACTAAGGACTCCGTCTGCGGAGGAGCTGCTTGTTGTTGCGCAGAGTGTTGTGTTGTAGGCGTCGACACCGGATAATGCTGTGGTGGGAAAGCCTGGCCTGGAACCATTCCCGGCGCACCGTTGACGCCATATTGACCAGGCGCAGGAGATTGACCGTAAGCGGCGGCCTGTTGGGGTGGCATATCGAAAGCGCCATCATGAGGCGTTATAGGGGTCTGTGCAACAGGCCCGCCCCGTGACGGACTTGCATAAGCCGGGTTACCATTACCGTCAAGCATCGCCGTTGCAAGATTGTGAGGAAGTTCACTGTTCTTGATGACAATGGGCACGAGCATCATGCGCTCTCGGGTTGGGTCTGGAAACTCGGTCTCAATCTTCCTGACAAATGTTGGTAGCTCCTGACCCGCATCCAGGGGAATGAGATAGATATCTTTGATGGCTGGATTCTGGTGTTGTATGCCGACACCGAACCGATCTTTGCCCTTGAAGTATTTGAACAGCTTGTCGAACTGCTCCTGGTCGTGGGAGTTCTGTGGCTCAGGCATACATACAATGACAAGATCAGAAGTGTTGCTGTATTCCAGACCACAGAGATACTCGTCGGCTTTGGCGGGCGCAATGCGACCACCAATGGCGATTTCCGGGGGAATGACTTGATCATAAGTCATACGCAAAGTGTCACTTTCAGGCGTTGCTCCCGCTGCAAACTTTGCTGTGGCGTGGAAGCGACCGAGGTTGCCTCCATTGACCGTGCCTCTCCATACGACACCATCAGCTTCGGCAACCTCTTTGGGCGAGTATGGCGGTGACTCGGCGTCTTCATCTTTGAGGAGCTCGTCAATGTCTGCATCCGCCTTGGCGCCTGGTCCCTGAGGCTCGCGAGCAGCCACGCCGCTTGATTGTCGAGGAAGTTCGCCGAATCGTTGTTCACCGTCAGGAGAGCCTTGAACGTTTGACCACACCTTGTCAATATCGAAATTGGCCGACGATTGTCGTTTGGTGGTATTCACGGATGGCCTCGCGCGTGGAGCAGCTGCAGGTGTCTCAGAAGGACTTTTCAAGCCAGGGCTTGTGATATCTCCATCTGTGGGCTCGATACCGCTGGGTTTGCGTACAGGAATGTGAGACGTCTGAGACTCCATGGCAACTTGTCTCGACTCATCAACGTATTCTTCACCCTTGTGTGTCCGTCTAATTCGAGGTCCATCATCCTCCACAATCGTATGTTGTTTCTCCAATTCCTTTATGGTAGCTGCATCCTTTCTCTTTTGTTCATCACTTGCCATGTCTTTCGGATCCATTGCCGCAAGCTCCTCAGGAGTGAGCTCTCCGTTTAGGAGGCGTGCTGCCAAAGCATGATTCTTCTTTATGTTGAAGGGGATCGATCGAAGTTGGTTCTTGTAGGCTTCGGTAGGGTCGCCATTACCACCGGAGTGGATATGATACAGGGCGCTCTCGAGCCGTAGGGCGAGTTGGGCTGCAGTCTCTGGAGCGCTTGATCCAGCGGCAACGGCGTATTCACCTCGCTTTACAGTCTCTTTGATTTGTTGCTCTATAAGCTTGATGAGAGTTGATGCACTGCTTCTTCGTGCAGTGTTTGCCAAATCTTTCACATCCGATACAACAGGCCATTCTGACTTCGACACGACTCTCGAGGGAGTCTCACTGATCTTGCGAGCTGGTGTTGTAGTCTCTCCGCCGTCCGTATCGGCAGGAGGGGTACCGCGAACTTTCTTGTTCTGTTGCAATGTTAGTGTTTGACCGCAGAGACCGCTCATACTACATACCTTCAACTCTGGTACATTTGGTGATTCCTCAAGTTTGCGCTTCTGACCAGTAGTGGCAGGTTGAGGGGTCGCTTCGGTCGCTTCTTGAGACGAACTTGCAGGGACCTCGCTCGTACGAGCACCTCCAGACTTTCTGCCTTTCTTGCCTTTCTTCTTGCCTCTCGCCTCTGCCTGTCTTCTCTCGAGTGCTGCTTCCCACGGTCTCTCCCCTCGCGCTATGGCGGCGAGTAGGTCTTTGTGGTCTTCAGGTCTGCATTGTTCACAAAAGTATGTGTCGACTTCATAGTCTTCTGGCAAACCCATGCAGCCATTGTGTTGCCATGCAGAGCATTTGTCGCAGCAGATCATAGCTCGAGGGACATCTTCCTCTTCTTCGTATTGTCCGCAAACACATCGGATGATTTCATCGCCTTCTTCATCTTGCTCTTCCTCGGCTGCCTTCGCCTTGGAGCCTTTCCCTTTGCCCTTCTTCTTGGTAGAGCCCTCTTCGATGTCGCGATCTTTGGTGTATTGTCCTTTGGTGGCGCGACCTGATCGCCTAGGTTCGTCTGCGTGAGTGTCAGTCACAGTATTCATAGCGGAGCGCGTAGCAGACGGCGCGCTGATGATGAATGCTTACCGGCCATGGTAGGCATTTGGAGATATCGAGCGACACTACAGGATACGCAAAACGTAGAGGCTCGTCACAAATCACGGTTTATATCGCGATCTACAACAAGCCGTGGAGAGTGTTCACGAGACCAGCAGATTGCGCCAATAAGCACCCCGATGCAATCTGACCCCTCAATAGTACTATGCCTCCAGTACGAGTACCGCACGACCTCGGTCTGTGTAAAGAAAATCCTAGAAATGTAATAAGAGTGCGTAGACGAGTGTGTGTTGTGTTGGTTTGGAATGGCGCAGGCGTTGGATGGATGGCGGGAAACGGCAAGGACGGGTTTGCGACTCACCATCATAAGCTGCAAGGTGCCAAGCGGCGGAGAAGAAATGCAACGACAGCAGAGACAAGTTTAAGAGTGGCCAATCACATCAACCTCGGAACTCGACAGGGTCACGTGAAGAAATCGATGCCTGGCTTTACCCGGGAGGCAGCAAGACGAATTGTTTCACAGCGCGTTGTGATCACTTACGTGGACAACAGTTTCAATTGTGAGTTTTGGACATGCGAGGTACATTCAGCCAAAGATGACCGACGTCCGCTCCCTTCTTGCCGCCGAACGGCAGTCTCGGCGCATCACCCATCCTCACCTCTCATACACAAAATCTGGCGTGTTACTATGTACGATCTGCAACCTGAACGTCAAGTCTGAGGCACTATGGGAAGGACATCTGAGGAGTGCCAACCACCGCAAGAATGTCGTCCAGCAGTCACAAGAGAGCACAAACAGGCCCACCAAGAGAAAGATCGAGGATGTAGATGAAGTGCAAGAGGAACGCTACGAGGCCGACCATTTAGATGCCCGAAAGAAAGCAAAGTCAAAGTCACGGCCGAAGAGTGTATCTTTCGTGGTGAAGGATGAGGTGGAGGAAGACTCCGTCCCAGTACAGGTTGAGGCAGAGCCAGAAAAAAGACAGTTCGATCGACCGTCCTCACCTGCGCCTGCCGATGCAGAAACATCAAACCACGTTACGAACACAGCAGCTCCTCTTACAAGCGACCCAGCACCGGGCCCTGGTGTGGACGAAGATGAGTGGGCTGCGTTCGAGCGAGAAGTTGCTCCGCTGGCTGCGGCGCAACCACCACCAGACTATACTTCGGCCACGATAGTAGCAGCCCCTGTGACAGCGGAGCAGATCAAAGAACAAACAGACGAGGACCGGCGGAAACGACTGGAAACAGAAGCAGAGGACGAGAAAGAGGATGAAGAGAGGCGTCTAGAGGAAGAATTCGACGTCATGGAGGAAATGGAAGAACGTGTCCGGAAAATGCGAGAGAAAAGAGACGCATTGAGGCATCCGGTGCAAGCTGGAACCGATACTGGGCAAGAAGAAGCCACTACGACGGCCGTCACCACTGAGCAGGAAATGATTGTGAAGGGAATTGAAGAAGAAGAAGATGACGATGAAGAGGATGAAGATGACTGGTATTCATAACATTCGTGATGGACTGTCAAAACAGATACCCAAACTCCGCGAATAAATCGAAGACTCTTAGCCGCCCAGTCTAAAAGCCTTGTCTGAAGAGAATCGTCCCGAAAAAGAGAGCCTTTGGCCTCATCCCCTATCATTTGAAATTCTCACCCATCAACTCTTCGATCTCAACAACGCCGGTGACTTCGTTGTTGTAATCAACAATTCCGAGCAGAGTCCCCCGTTTGAGAAACTCTGTGCCTCGACCCGTGCCCTCATTCCGCATCTGGTGGATCCAACTTGTGCATTCTTCCACAGATATGGTGCCCAGCACGGATATCCAATCGGTCTGCTCAATGACCACTCTGCCGTGTTGGTCTTCTAGGTCTTCGATAGGCGCTTCAGGATTCGTCAGGTGTTGAATGCGTCGTGGACCGACTATATGATGTGGTGTAGTACGGACGAAGCCTCGTGGTGAACGTACAGCTGTTAGGAGTATATCGAAGCACAATAGCTCATGCCCTGGACGCCCCGTTGCAATCGGTACTTGAGATACCACTGTGGCAAGATCCGCCATTCGTCGCTCGGGTTTGGAAGCAGGCTTGATAGCAGCGCCTATGGCACCTCCAGGGTGGTTGGAAGCAAATATGGCGGGTGTCTGGAGTCCAGCAGCAGCATGCAGCTCGTCCGCGACGGCAAGTGCAAGGCTGTCACCGAGCGCAAGGGTAATGGTTGTTGATGTTGTCGGTGCTGACACGCCAAAGGAAGAGATCTCTGATTCATGAATGATTGTTGGTAGTATAATGTTCTTAGAATTTGACCTGGCTGGATGCGTCGCAAGTGGACAGGTGTCTGCATTCAGATGTGCTGTCATAACAATTAAAGGGATGCAAGGCTGGATATGCGGAAGAAGCGATAAGAGTTCGGGCGTTTTGCCAGAAAAGGTAACCATAACCATAGTGTCGTTCGACCGAACGACGCCCAGATCTCCATGTAGCGCTTCAATTGGATGCAAAAACACTGCATGGATGCCCAAAGACACGAAGGTGGCTACGAGCTTCTTCGCGATATGGCCTGACTTGCCAACCCCTGTGAAGATAGTCTTGCCATGCCGGGTTTCAGAGCTGATAATTTGGCTAATAGCGTTTAGAAGGGATTCCTGGATCTCGGCGGAATTGGTATAAAGCTCTTCGAGATGGGTCAAGGCAAGTCTTTCGGTCGATAGGACGTGCAGAGCTTTCCTGATTGTTCTGCTGTCTGGTTTGAAGGCTGTCTCGTAGAAGTCGTCCGAGACTTCTGGAGGCGTGATTGGTAACGACTCGATTTGTTCTGTTATCGGACCAGACAATGGCATAGACGGGGTGACTGGGGTGGGAAGCGAAGGCCGTTGTGAGAAGGCCATTTTGTTCTTGATATTCTGTGGTGACAGGGGTCAGAAATCGACACAGGAAATGATTCCCGGTCAAGGTTAGGTATAGCCTTCAATATACAGCAATAAGTCGTCGGCGATATCCTTCCTCGGTTGGCCTGTATGAATATGAAAGAGATGCGATGATATGGCCACGTGCTTCCCCGACCTCAAAGGGGATAATCTGTGGTGATATCGTCTGGGTCGGTCAACGATCGACCAAGCGTGTGACAGTTCGCCACCCAGGATTGCGAGTTCCAGGAGAGCCTAACATGACGCCATAGATCTTTGATAAGAAGCCAGGCAGGAACGATTGAGCACAAGGTGTTGGTAGAAAGTGCTGCTGATTGACGACAGGTTTCGAGGCAGGATCAAGGAGATCGATGGGAGGCAATATGATCAATAATGATGAGCCTGGTATCGCGGTCGAAAGAGTAAAAAAGGGTTCTGACCAGGGGCCTGGCGTCTGTGGGCTAGAACTCAGGCCACGCTAGTCCACGTATGCGAGTGTATCAATCGAGAGAATCGGGAGAAAAGATAGGTAGTCAGCCAGAGTGGATTCTGCATAGACTGGTTTCCATTGTGGTTGATGAATGGCTCCCGATGGCTCAGGAAAGACGCGGGAGATAAGGATCGTCTGGAAGGACCAGGCACAAGGCATCGGGAAGCTTCGTTGGCTTCGAAAACAGACCGCTATTTCTCAGCCACACCCGCAGATACCCATCGATGATGAAACCCAAGCACAGACTCCCAAGGGGAGCGAGCATCAATCTAGGTAAACATGGAGCGATTCGGATAACTAAAGTTTTTGGTGTCGATGGTGCAATCGATGGACAGGGTGATGGGAGTGCACAAAAATGGCCTGTAGTGGTGTCACTCACGGAATCTATGCCAAGGCCCAGCCTTTATGCATGCAACAACCAGCAACCTCTCCGTACTGTGGTAGTATTGAACCCTGCAGCATATTCAACTCGGTACGGAGTACCTCGCATTAGTGAATATCCTTGCATGCCCGAGTTCGGATTTATCCTCTAACCTCTGCCACAGAAAATATAAAGCTCCAGCATCGGGACAACCTGATTCCGCTGTCCACAACGCCCAGGCGGTTTCAATACTGTTTACCTGTTTTGTTTTATAAGCACAAGCTTCCAAGCATGGATGAACGCGTCATGACTCTTTGCATGCATCTCACGGTGGCCACGACCATCAGTCCCATTTCGGACGCTTTGCTGGCCATTGGCGCCGGGTAGAGATATCAATCCCCGGGAAGATCCAGAGCCTGAAGCATGTGCTTGCGACCAACAATTGCCGGAACCTTCCGCGGCATGACTAATGATCCATCTACAGGATGAGTCTCACCGCTCAAGAAGCGAGGAATGATTAGATGTCTGCGTGCATATCAAACAGAAACACAGTGAATTTGCCTATCCACTCGACTCTTCTCTCTTGAATCAATGCTGCGCAACAACGAAATCATCGGGATGACACTACCCTACAAGTCGTCTCCATTGGTGGGCATCAGATACAGCTGGTAAGCTGCGATCTGGATTGCCCGAGCCTAGGTCGATGGAACAAGATTATGCGCCAACTGTTGCTTTCAGCCTGGGATCTCTTTTCACATGCTCATAAATCCTTGTTGCTTTGTTGGACCCTTCACCGGTTTCCTCGCGAACGGGACAGACGATGAAGTCGGTCTGCGGCATAGATGTCAATGCTAATCAAGGAAGCAGATGCAGTGCAACCTGCGATGATACGGAAGAGAGAAATCATGGGGCAGCAGCGCTGGTACCACACGGCTTGCCTGGCCACAGCACATGCCGCAAGGCTAGATCCTTGCTGCATCACCGCTGCCATTGGAGTCACCTCATGGCTACATGGATTGTCATGTCATGCCAGAGCTCACCATACCACTCTTCAAGCCGAGACGTCTTCACCTCTTCCACTGACTCCTTGAGAGCGATTCAAGACACCGGACAAAACGGAATCTCGGACAGTGGCATGGGACACTTGCAAGAAGAAGTACGTCCCACAGCGCTAAGCAACGTGTGCTCTTCGAGACAGCCATCGCCTAGCATACATTCGCCTTCCTCGCCGTGTCTTAATGGCAGACTCCATGCTGCGCATTGCAAGGCTGTTGGACTCAACGGTGCCGCTGCGCCGAAAGGTTGCTCTCCCTGTGTTGCGCGGTAAGTCAAACCATCCTCTTTTGAGGTAGGGTTTTCGGTGATTCTATGCTTTTACGCTCCTATACACCGACGCGGACAACCCTTCCCTCCAAGCGCCTGTCAATCATGAAATTGAATTTTTGAGTCGGTCAGGGATTGGGTGTCTTTGTCTGGATTGTTGCCGATGTTTGTCGTTGAAACATGGTTTAAGGAGAGCAACGACTGTTTCTGGACGATGCAGCACATCTATCGCATCCTCATGACCGTTCATTGGGCCACTTACGGCATTATAGGGCGCTGGACCGGAACTTGGAGGCATACAGATATACTACCACAATCGGCTGTCTAGCCAATTTTGAGACTCTGTACCTGGGTAGCCTACAACAAAATTCATGCTCGAAGACCTGCGTCAACTATGCGGATCATGTCGCGATCAATGCCTTGATCAAACGCCTTGCTGTAGATGTTCGTGAGTCGGCTCCTTTACTGCAAAATCTACTGCCAGAATGTGGTGATAGTAACAGAGATTGATACACATCAGATTCGGCATGTTGCTTGGTGGTGAATTGGGAAAATCGTCACTGGCTCGGATGTCACCCATTGTAGACTGGTGTGGAGCTGTCCCAATCGGCAAACCCCCAAAATCATCCGCAACTGAACTGGAACTGCGATTGCCAGCATTACATCGGCAGCAGAACCGCTCTCGTGCTTTCTTACACTCAACTTTCTATGCCCAATATTGAAGTCAACACAATGTCCGTCCCGGACAAGCACTAATAATATTTCTACGACAATCTCGCTAAGCCCTTAGATGGGCGCAGCAGTATGCCTTCCGCGTCGCCGTCCCCAATGAAGCGGCCTTCGCTAACCGAACGAACATCTTCCACCCATTCTCTTTCCTCCTCAGGCAAGCAAACGACCACCCACAAAGTCCATCGCCCACATGTTGTCACCCGTCACTCTCGAAATGCGTCGCATGGCAAAGGGCTTAGCAAGTTGGGCAAGGTGCACTCAACGGCAAGTATCATCACAAATCAACACCATCAAAGGAAAAAGTCTGGGGGCACCACACCACCCCAAAGCCCCAGAACGGCGCTTGTGAAACGCAACAGCTCTCATGTGACGCTGCCCAAGAACCTTTCACATGGCAACCTGCGGAAGAACCATTCGGCCACTGCCTTGGCAAGAAACACCTCCCACCCTGCTTTGAAGAAAGCCGGACTTGCTCCTCCGGCCCCCATACAGAATGAGAAAAAGGATGGAGTTTTTCACCTTGGAGACCGATCGTCGGATGACGAAGAGGAGGCAGAGTGGGAAGATTCAGCAACTCAGTCCCCAGAGATGACTCGCAATAATTCGAAGACAGCAACACCAGTCCGCGTTGGCACTCCCAACGGTGCACACGGCTCGGAGGAGACTGCGGATAGGGTCCTTGTAGACCGAACGAGGAAGTCATCTTCACCGCCTAAACCATCCCTGAAGAACAATAACCGCTCTGCTCCCAACTTGAGAAAGGAATCGGGTATTTCGCCGTCACAGCTTCCTCCAGATCCCGCCCTCCTAAACCAACATCCCCGCGCGTCCCGAGCGCCTCCGGCCATGTCGACCGTGTCTGCGCAGGTAGGGCCCAAGGACCTTCTCCGCAATGAGTCCTCGAGATCATTTACTCATGTTTCACATGGCGAGGCCGCCTCGATAATGACTACCCCAGCCAAATCTGGCGCAGGGTCAAATCAAGCCGCAGCATCCTCATCGGTCGATGGTGAAGTCTCACACTTTCTTCCTGACACTACAAACTCTTCATTTCAGCACGACGTAGATGGCTCCGACGACGATTCACCCTCAACTTTCCTATCCAACTACAAGCCGCAGCCTTCGGAGTCGCCCGAAAAGGCGAGAAGACTGCACAAAGTACGACTCCCTCCGAATGCATCCAGGACTCAGCAAAAACTTGAGCTGCAAAGAAGAGAGATCATGCGCGCTGGCGCAGCGACACCGACGACTCCGCCGACGCATGGCATGGGTCTGAACGGATCTTCGACATCCTTGCACAGCAGAACCAGCTCAAGAAACCGTAATCGATCCTTAGCTGGTGGACGCAGTCTAGCTGGAGAGTTTAAGGCCGTGAAGCAGGACTATGAGAGTGCCGTGAAGCATTTGACGGTAGTGAGGAAGTTCCGAAGTCCGGTTATGGAAAGCGTGAGCAGGCTCAAAGAGGGCAATGTCCTACCACCAGAGCTCGGCAAGGTGCACTCGAACGTCGCATCCTCGAAAAGTCGGCCTCTGAGCCGACGTGGTTATAGCACAGCCAGTGCTAATGGGACACTGAGGACCGGGACCAGCAAAAGTCCCGAAAGTAAGAGACCGCTGCTGGCATCACGGTCGAGCAGTCGCAGTCATGTAGGAAGAGTACATTTCGAACGGCGGAGCAGTCATGATGATATTGAAGTGACACCTGCGCAAGGCAGTCCGGATGATGCAGAAGATGACGAACAAGAAGGTCTGTCAGCAGAAGAGGCCTTGATACGACGGATTTGGGACAGTCGAGAAGTGTATGATTCTGGAGAATCGATACCTCCTAGGTGAGGAAGGACAGAGAACTATCCTTACCATGCATTTAATGCTGCGTTTTGAGCGGAATGATGATTTTTGGCAGTAGTACTCATACATTGAAGATGATGGTTCAAGCAAGATACCCATATGATGATTGAGGGCTAGCAAGATCCTCCTCTAACCCGAAATCCGTACCGCGTATCGAACAAGGTAAATTCATTCCCAAGGCACGTCTCGCTTAACGCTACGCCGGCGCCGAACTTGTCGGTACTTTTGTCGTCTGAAATCCCCCAATTTTCCACCACACTTGTAATTTGTGGCGTCGAGTGACGGTCTGAACCTCCAGTCATTCTTCTTTCTAAAAGCCTCTTTCGAACTTCCACTCACAATTCTATGGCGGGCGTATGGAAGACCTCATGGTGGCCTGACAATGCCCGTTCCCAATATGTTGGCCTGTGCATCCGCAGGAATATGGGACATATACCTGATTTTGCCACAAGAACGGGAGATTTTTCTTCAGCCAGCCCTAGCGACCACAGTACGTACAAGTTCCCACTCGTTATCATCTATCTTGTTTGCTGCCATCAAAACACTCCTGCTTTCATTGTGCATATGTAGTATCATGTTTTTTGCTCTACCGAGTGCTCCTCATGTTCCTTTGTTCTTGCGTCTATGAAACCTCCCAAAAAAACCGTACCCTTAGAACCACCACCATCATGTGAATCCAGCATCCCCGGCCCAGCACCTGCACCGGCATCTTCCTTCGACCCTCCCATTAGTTTCTCAACTGTCATCGAAGACGACCACAGAACCATCAACAGTTACGCAGCTCGTCTCAAGAAAGCCAGGACGTCACAAGATCGCGCCCGTCTTCTCGGCGAAGTCACCTGGCGCATGGTCAGACACGACATATCAGAAGAACTAATCATGCGTCCCGCTCTCATCGCCCACCTAGGCCTGACTGGACAGCAAATGGCCGAGCACGACCGTCTGGACCACGAGCGCGCGAGAACGGAACTCATGGCGCTCTTTAACTTGGGCGTCGACGAGCCCGATTTCCTACCGAAAGTCAACGCCCTGATGGCCGAATTGCATGAGCATATGAGGACCGAAAGTGGCGAGCAGATCCCTGCACTGGAGAGGATGCTTGGGCCAAGCGAGAGTCAGAGGTTGGGAAGGGAGTATATTAGAACGTTCGCCCTCACGCCGGAGTTGGAGACGCTCGACCCCGCGATAGGACTGAGACGGAGAGTCTGGGCGACTGTCGAGGAGTATACGTGCATGGATAGTGCTGGGTTTAGGGTCGTGTGGGAGAGTTTGACGGAGGAGCAAGTTTGCAGTGCGATGAGTGAGTATTATGGGTCGCGCTCCGGCCCTGGCAGAGGCAAGGGGAAGCTGTGATCAACTCACTGTGATCGTGGATTTGCATCGCTGGTAAAAGTGACACCAAGTCATCGGAAGGGCCTAACATGCATGGGAGGACCGCAACGATTTGTTGTGCAGAAGGGGATTGTCCTACGAGGATACGCTGAGGACCAGCTCACCGCATGGGCTCGAATCGCATCGAAGCGAAATGATATGGTGAGGGGCAAAATGATCATGGTTATGCTACCACAAATCAGACGCCATGTCCAGAAGGCAGACGGAGCTAGCTATGCGCTGCGCTACCACTCCGGGATAAGCTTGTTACTCCGCGAACTATCCTCGTCCAGTACCTTCCGAGCCGCCTCCCTCCCTACCACAGGCAACCTCTCGACCTCATCCTCCCTTCCCTGATCCGCAGTCTTGAATGTATCAGGGATGTACTTCGGATCGATCAGTCCAACCTGCACCAGCACGCTCGCCTGGTCCCAATGGACATGCTCGTGGAACAATTTTCCACCCCGAACACACACGACGCTCACCAGCACGACCTCGACTTTCTTATTCGTTGGCGGCACACCGGGTAACATCCACGGCATGTCGGTCGTGTGCGTGAAATTGACGAACATTTCGTCGACGATTCGGTCTACTCCAATCGTCCGGCTGAGCAACTTGATCCGCAAGTCGGCCGGGTTGTTGGGGATGAAAAACTCGTCGTAGAACCGGCGCAGTTCGTCGTGGCCAATCCCGCCGGTCATCGTGGGGATGTGATTGACGTACGGCTGGTCGACCATCGTCGCCATTGTCTGGTCGACGTTCTTTTCGGAGAAAGACAAACGCATGTGCGAGTCCCAGATTGCTTCGAGGTCCGGTGGTTCCATGTCGAAGGCCTCGCGGAGAACGGTGAGCGTTCGCGACCACGCAAGCGATGCGCTGACCTTATCGAATTCGTCGAGGTCGTATTCGGCGAAGCCCGGCTTCGTGTTGGAGTATCGATATGATGGGTGCTTGGTGCCGAACTTTTGCGAGCTGGCTAGGTGGATTTGCACGTTGAGGGTGGGAGGGAAATTGGTCGTCGTGCGTGGCATGTATGGTGGATAGTATGCCACGACAGCGACGAGCTTGGGCATGGGCTTCATACATGCTTCGAGAACAAGTGCTGCAGCATCGCCGTAGGCTGGGGCGTGGAGGAGCCTGGTTAGAAACGTCACCAGAACTTGAGATAGTGGTTTTCGCTGGGAAAAATCATTGAACAAGGAACAAACACGGCGGTCACGGATAATACTGAGGTGAAGTCCGTCACGTACCCACAATCGCATATTTCTCGCCCAGTTCGAGCGGATCTTGCAAGTGCTGAAGCTTTTCCGTGTAGCTGGCTTTCTTGCCCGTGTAGGCAAGGTAACTCATCTGGAAGCCTTCTTCTTTAAAGTGCTGGATGGTCGTCGGATCGAAGTCATCGGTATCGCTGGTCAGCACGAGCCTAGGGATCGTCTTGTTCCAGCCCAAGTTCACGGCACGGCCGCTACCACGGATCTTGCGCCTGACATGTTCTTTAAGTCGCGCCGAGTCGCCGGGAACTGCGTCAACGTCGATTATGGGCTTGCCTCCGAGCTCAATGCGGACCATGTTGTAATAGTACTGTGCAAGCAAGGAGATGTGATAATGGGGCGATAGTAAGACTGGGCAGATGTCTGGTTAAAGTTGGATATTGGATAAACCTCGAACTTGTCCGTGGAATCTCAAATCGACGATGACGTAGTTCGATATGCGCCAGTTTCGGGTTTAGCGTGGTCGTCAACGTGCAGGGGAGAACATCATGTGACCATATCAATCTCGATCCTTTCGTTGCACTGTCTTCGCGAATCTGACTTGATTGTTGCAGAGGGGAAATAGCAACTCTGTCGCTGGGATAAGATAAATCATCACCTCGTAGAGACCTTAGACAGAGTACCGCTGGCTGTGATGCGGGTGGTTTTCCGCAGTAGGGCTTGGGATGGTCAGATGGCGGAGTATTGCTCAAAGGCAAGAAGTGACATATATCCGTATCGATCGTGACAATTGGACGAGGCAGGCACGTTCTTACTAGAGCAGGGCTAATGCCATGGCCGTTCAAGCACCCCAACAACATGAGAGGTCATACACATTATGTTGCCGAGGACAACCTTTGAAAGTCCGGCTTGCATGGTGCAGTACAATCAGAAGCACGGGCTTTGACCTGCAGCATAGGTCTTCCAAGAGTCAACGTGATGTGATCTTGACCCACGACAGCCGGGAGGTCGAGGCACGTTACACGTGATGGATTACCAGAGTGTCATTGATGGCTGCTTTAAAACATGGTCTGTTCGAAGTTGGCAGCCATCTGGAGATGTTCTTGCCTCGGTGTACGCTTGCCGTAATTTTTCATACGCATTGACCGTCTTTCGTCGAAGCGGTGTCTTTTCAACTGTCTGCATCGACGGCATTGGACAAGAGGCTGGGAGATCGACTGGAACGGACAGCTTTCCACACCATCCAGAGAGGTGAAACATGCATCATGCATGGCCGGCAGGTATATGCAGGTCTAGGTCAAGATGTGGTGCTTTGCTCGGGTGATGGTGGAGAGAAGCGCCGCATAACGCTACCAGATTTCGCTGAGGAGTGACATAAAACCACTCCAACTGGTGGATAAAGAGGGATTCTTCATCCGGTCGGTCCAGGCGAGCAGGCTCTCCAGATGGAATGTGGCAGCTCCTAGAGGTACGAGCCGTACATACCAGGAAAGTGCTGTTGTCTTTCACGTTTGATTCCAGTTTTTTTTTTTCTGTTCAAAGCATCGAATCCACCACGGTTGAACAAGTGGTGAAAGATGGCTGAAAGGTGCCAGATAGCACTAGGGACTGTCATGACATGCTTGGTTGGCACATTGACGGGGATAAACGGATCGAATGATGGTCATCCAGCCTGTGCGAAGGGTGTCCCGGAACGGCAGGTCACTGGATATTAACATGTGAGGAAGCATGCTGTGGCCGTACATATCCTTTTGGTGGACCCTGCACCTGTTTCTACACAACCCAGCGAAGCGGCTTTTCTGGAGAAGATGCAAGAAAGAAGGAATGTAAGTGGTCTGTGCTCATAAGAGCAAGCCACAATTCGGTGCATATCGATCTTAGCTTCTGCAGAAACCCTGGACAAGCCTCCAGGATCTGAAAGTTTGTCTGGACTCGGGACAATACGACAATGCACCAGCGTTTGCCTTTTTGTGACATTGAAACCTGGTCTCAGCCTGGATGGTGATGATCCCGCCTTGCTAAGTGGAAAAAGGCCGACTGTCCGTGGTGGCATCGAAGAACGATAGCTGAACTGGAGACTGCAGAGGGGTTGTCCGTCTGTACCTCAACAAATCCAGGCAGCTGACGTTGCAGTAGCCTGCGGTTAGCTTTGCTCGGGAGACGGGTTGCATGGACCAAATCGATGTTCGCCATACGCGCATGGGGTTCCCTGACCCTTGAGCAAACGCGTCCAGGTGCCGATGGAGCCCGCCAGTGGCTTCACATTAACCCCAGAAACCTCTTCAACGTCATGTCATGGAGGCGAAAGTAAATCCTATCACGATATATATCTTGCTCGTGGAGGTCGACTGAAACATGTGGACACCCATTCTATCCCAAAGGCTGGACCGAGTCACTTCCGTAGCTCCTCATCAACCGTGCACTTGATAATATGATGAAAACGACTACTTGCCGCTGCTGTCAATTGAGGGTCGGAGGTGGACGATCCGGTCTTCGGAGGGGTTGGGTGAGGTGGAGGAATTGTCCGTGCAAGGTTAGAAGGATAATTGTGCGTGAGTCGCTTCCTGCGGTGTTGCGGAGGGGTTTCTACCGAGGATTATGGTCGATTCGACGGTTCCAGAACCACAGACTGCACCACCGCAGGTGAACCTCGTTTTTCTGTCCACTCCGCACTTTGTAACACACCTTCCCATCCAACGACGCTTGCCTCGTGACATTCCCAGGCGGAAGCTTCCATTCCTCATTCCTTGAATCCTGGCTACAGCTGCAGTTCAACCGAGAGACCTTTTCGACCTAGCTCGGTTAGCAGTACTCATTCCAATGCTTGATGACGCCTTGAATCACCCATTTAGGGGGCGGGCTGTCAGCCATTATTCCCAAAATCATTGCCTCTGCAGTATGGCTAGAAGCACCTCGATATACGAGGATGTAAATTGTAAAAAAGACACACTTTGTCGATCCATGGTCAGATGGGTGTCTTCCTGGAGGCGACCGAGACAACCCCACAGATTTGGATTTGTTGAGTCCAAAGGAAGCTCATGCTCCCGCTCTGGAATGAGGCTACCGGGGATATAATGATGACATTGATGCAGAAGTCAATGGACAGATCGGCAAAGTCTCGTATTCCACCATCAAATATCTCGAACTGTAGCCTGGTTGAAGCCTGATGTGGTTACCAATAAGGCTTACCATCTCACAGTAAAGGTGTCCTTTGTCAAAACTCTCTTTAATCGTGCATCCACCACACTGATGACTTGTCGAAATCATGAATCACGAGCCTTTGCCACGGAGCTTTTGTGGGGAAGGAACCAACCAGATGTTTGGGGACTATCTCTCTAGACACTTACTTGGGACCTTGATGACTGGTACTGAGATAAAAGTCCTTGAAGTGCGGGGGAGATTGTCATGGATCTTCTGCCCCAGATTGATCATCTTCAGCCAAAGTTAAGTTCGTAGACACAGTTCCCTGGAAGATACTGCATTGACTGTGCAGACTCCTGCGTGCAGACGTGCCTCAAATTAGTTCGCCGTCACGAAGTAATAATGAGAAGAGGGAGAAAAAATATGTGGCTTAGCGACAAGATGTGACATTAGCTATTAAGTTGCTTGCCAGGAGCCCTATGATGCTGATGGCAAGAGGTAGAGAGAAGCAACAGCACAAGGAAATGATCACAGTATTTACACCAATGAGCTTTTCCCAACTGCCCTGTGTTCTCCTGAATTGCGCGATTCGCTTCATTGCCCATCCAATATGCAAGATGCTATGCATGCGGTGAAATGCAAGCTGAGAGTCTCAGCACGTGAGGAACCAGGTGTGTCTGCGTAGGCGTAGAGCACGCGTGATTGACCGATTAAAGGAGTGGTGGTGTAATCATTTAGAGCAGAGCAACGGCGCCAGCGACACCAGCAACCATGGCCAGGGCACCGGAGAGACCTTCACGGTTGGCAGCACCAGTGTACGTGGCTGGAATAGCGCTGGTGGAGGAGTAGGTAGCCACTTGAGGCTGGCCGTCGGAAATTTGGGAGACGGCTGCGCTGGATGTGGCCATGCTAGTGGTGGTGGCTGCTTGGGGCTGGCCATCAGAGATCTGAGAGACGGCGGCACCGCTGGTAGTAGCCATGCTAGTGGTAGTGGCTGCTTGGGGCTGGCCGTCAGAGATCTGAGAGACGGCAGCACCGCTGGTAGTGGTAGCTTCCTGAGGCTGGCCGTCGGAGATCTGGGAGACGGCAGCGCTACTGGTAGTGGTAGCTTCCTGGGGCTGGCCGTCGGAGATCTGGGAGACGGCAGCGCTGCTGGTAGTGGTAGCTTCCTGAGGCTGGCCATCGGAGATCTGAGAGACAGCAGCACTGCTAGTCTTGGTGGCGGTAGCTTCCTGAGGCTGGCCGTCGGAGAGCTGGGAGACAGCGGCGCTGGTAGTCTTAGGAGCTTGTGGTTGACCGTCGGAGATCTCACTGACGGCTATCGCAGTGGAGGCCTGGATTTGACCATCGGAAATTTGAGTGACAGCTGTGGCCTGAGTGGTGGCTGCCGGTTGGCCGTCACTGGCTTGTGTTGCGGCGACCGAGGTCGATGACGAGGAGATCAGAGCATAGATGTAGATTGGACTGCAAGTTGTGGCCCAGTTTTCGCTGTAGAGGTTGTAGAAATCGCCACTGAAGCATTGGTACCAGATCGCTGAACCACCCAGAGCCAAGCTGTTGTTCGAGCAGACGGAGAAACCGTCGGTGTAGATAGCGCCAGCTTGCGGTGGGTTGTCAAACTGGAACTGGTAGTTTGCGGCAATGTAACCAGTACGGCCATCTTCGTCCTTGAGGATACCATCGGCGAGGGTCAAGGTGAGAACAGTACGCTACCCCTGGTTAGAATGCTTTCGGAACTGGTGGTGTAACAGATACTCACTTTCTCGATATCTCGCTTGCTGCTCATGGTGACGTTAACAACAGTGATTTCGAAGCTTCCGCTATACGAAGTCACACATCCAGACGGAGCAGGCGTGGATGGTGAGATATTCGAGGTGACAGCAGCAGGCGCAGGCGAGGCGAAGGCCGAGGCGGCCAAAGCCAGTAGAGCGAGTGATAGTTGCATGGTTCTTGAGTAAGATATCAGTCTCCTGGTAGTGTTATGCTCAAGATCAAGGGAAGTCCCAACAACAATGAAGATGAGGGAGAGCGAAGGACAGTAGACAACTGATAAAACGAAAGATCAGTGTCTGGTCGATGAATGCAAACCGTGATTAGTTTTCGCTGCAAACGGAGAGTGAAGCAAGCTATGTGAAGAAAAAGTGCACATGGAGTGAGTTTTGTAGCACCGCTCGGTGCTGGGTGAATGATGGTGTCATGATTGAACCGAAGCGAGGCGATGTCCATTTTGCCTCACCCGAAGCATGTTTGACATTGGGATGGACCCGCACGAGAACCAGTCGTGGGATCACCACTCATTAGGCAGAAGGTTGGTATACGGTTGCTGGCCGAGTTGTAGAGGTGGAGGAGGAGGAAGCGATAGAATCGAGGTTGGATGGAGGCTAGTCCGTTTGACGTCTACTTGAAATGACTGTATATGTTTATTACAACGCTATACCTGTCCAAGCCTAGCGGTGTCTCATCTCTCCCATGCCGCTTTGGAAGCACGCGAGACCTTGTGACACTATCAACATCCTGTCCCATCTGCAATGCAGATCGTCTTCATGCTTGAAGCTTCAGATAGTCCCTAATGTACTTTCACTTTAGCCTTTAGAGTCTTCACTGCTCCTGAACGCTGTGACTCACTGATCTGTCACGACCTGCACTTGGCGGCTCAAATAGTATCCAATAAGAAGCCCTCCTGAATAAGTGAAGAGGGCGCTGACAGGTTGGGACGTGATCAGCTTTGATTCTGGTCATTGTCCGCTCTCTCTATCCATCATGACCTGCCCTTCTTGTCTTCGTGGTGTTCTTACAGAAGTGCTCTCCACAGAGTAGCTACGGAACTGGACGGTCTTTATATTGTGCTGCATGAAGTGGTGGTGCATATGTCTACGACAGATGTCGCGAAGTCTTTTCGCGACTACCCTTCCACAGACCCGAAGTCCTCGGTGTTCTTGTAGCATCAAAGGAATCTATCTCGTGTTCAGGTTGAGTTATCCCTGCTATCATCAACAATCGGCCAGGGAAACCCAAAATCCTTTGACTGACAGTAATGACCATTGCTGTTGGTGGGTGTGCCCATGCAATTTTCAGCTTGACCACTCACAAATCCAACGGTCAATTTATGTAGGTAGATGGCAGTGACAAGTCCAACCGCTCATGGTAAAGATATTTCTCCCCTGATCACTCAGCCTTGCAGCCTTGTCAACCGAGGCTGGAGCGCGGAGGACGTTATCCGATAGGTCAGATCACTGTCAGAAATTAGTAAGTCACGGACTAACGCGGAACGGACCATCTGAGATGTCGCACCGCTATGATTCCTTCCTGTCTTCCATCTTCTACTCAGTTTTACCTCTTTCCGTCAGCAGATGGTCATTCCAGCCACCATACAATTCGTCCATTTCTATGTTTTCCTCCTGCGATGAGTCCTCCCGGGCATCACCAAGACGAGACTCGAGAGTCATGGTACGGAGTTGAGGACCCAAAGCAAAGGAAACAAATCCAAGATCGCTTGGCTCAGAGAGCGAGACGTATGCCACGCGCAGTACCCTCCTCGGGGGGTATATGACACTAACACTAGTGCGTCCAGGGAAAAGGCTGGCTGAAACGCGCACGAGTCCTGAGAAGTCCTTGGTCGTTCGGCCCAAACATACCAAACGACTTCTTCAGCCATTAAAGACGACCGAGCACGATTTCGAAAGCCAACATAGCACTTCTTCATCCCTTGCATCTTCATCAACTTCAACGCAAGAGCTGGGGATCCTAATCGTACCATGCCATGCTCCGCCTCTACCTCAAGACCACAAATTCCTGATTGATCCGAAGTGGGCAGTATTGTTGGCCCTTCGCGAGAATGGCCACCGGATAGGCCTGTACTGCTGGGGTGTCAAGGTCATTACCTCTCGACATCAATCTGCAACCGTCCCGATCAGCCTGCGACCAACGCCACTACAGCTGACGACACCGCACTTTGACTGGATCGACAAGTTGCCCTTCCCTCGGATGCGTGACAACTTGATTCTCCTCGCCGGCACTATCGACCTGAAACAACTGTACGAGGACTTTTTCACCAAACTATCATTCCAGATCAAAGAAGACGCGCCTACATGGGACCCTACTGCCTGGAAGATTGACAGCGACTTCAGCGTGAAATGGGGATACTTGTTCTATTGATTCCAACGCGTTTTACAGACAGGAGCGCCAAAATCACCACGCCATGGTCGTCCCATCATATTGCATGAACTTTCCCGACGTTGCTCCCCTGGTCGACCCGTCGATCTGCGGTTGTCTTGTATCAGCCCCTTTTCACGGAAAATCACTGCCAGGTCACCACTTACAATATTGACCAGACCTGCCACGCTCTCTTCGACAGTAATCGCGGCCTTCTCCAGGCCCCACAATCTGGCTGCGTGGTTGCCATTGTCCGTCTGAGCCCACCCAGGATGTACTGGAAATGCAACAATATCCTCATTCTCCAGATGAATCTTCTTGGTCACATAGTTCAAAGCAGCCTTGGATGTGCCATACACAGCATTAGGGACAGGAATTTTGTCCATATCTCCAATCGTGCCCGCTGAGGACCCGATGGTGACGAATTTTGCCGTCTTCGCGGAGCTCTTGAGCAGTGGGAGAACGGCCCGAAACAAGACAATTACAGCAATGACGTTGACTTGGTAATCTTCAAGGAGGTCCGCAACCAGAGCGTCCTCGACACGTGGGAAGACCTCCGCGATCCCAGCATTGGCAACAACGACATCGAGTGCCGTAATTTTGTGGAGGGAATGAAGCTCCTCCACAGCTGCTTCGGCATCGGCCTCAGAGTGACTATCAATCTTGACGACGATGAGTGAGCTTGAAGGGCCCCGTGGAAGGTCGTAGAGGGTTTGGCTTGTATGACTGGAAGGGTCTCGCACGGCAGCTACGACGGTGTTGCTGGGACGGCTGAGATATGTTTCGACAAGACCTCTTCCCAGACCTGTAAAGACTGTTAGCATATCGGAAAGTCGTCGGCCTGAGGAACAATATACCTCTGCTTGCGCCTGTGATCAAGTAAGTCGTGGCCATTTTTCACCGGCTTGCTTGCGTAGCTGTTGATGAGGAGTAAACAGCACAACGTATGTGTCAGGGGCAGGACTGAATATATAGCATTTTCTAGGATCTTGGATAGACATCGTACGCAGTATCTCTATCCAAGAGTAGTGTCCGCATGAACAGAGACCGGAGTAGGCATACCACTGATCCTTGCTCCCACATGTTCCACCGTCAGAAAGTAGTGTGTCTCGCCATCCACAAAACCTTCACCACTCTGAGAATGTACGACTCGCGGCGCCTCTTCAGGGTTGTTCCGGTTTGTCAGCAGCAATGGACTTACTGGGCTGGAGATCGACCCACGCAAGACCAGTGCTAAACCATATATTTAAGTCCGTCTACTACGTGATGTCAGAAAGTAGTACGTTGAAGTCACTGAGTCTTCCCTGCGCTCAAACCGGGGGCCTATTGGGGATAAGCCAACAAGGCTACGATATCAGGGGTGGCGGGTGCTAATTTCGCTCAGCTTTGAACTTTAATGCACACTGATCGTCTCCTCGATTGGAGATACGAGCAATGCTGTTGCTGCATAGGCTCCGCATGATGTCGAACGAAGAAGCGACTTGATGTGTAATAAAGTGAGAATTACGCAGAAGGTTTGGAAACAATGTCTGTAGGGTGGAAGTAGAGCTCGATTGAGGAGAACATGTGCTGATTCGGGTCTAGGAGGCTCCCTCCACCTCATGCCTGGACATGCTCGATCATACTGTGACATGCAGCATGACTTGGAGCGTAAGGCGGCTGACCGGGTGCATGGTGGGAATGCTATCCTCAGGAAGCACTCTGATCTGCCCATAGTGGCACAGTCAACGAAGACTGATGTAGAGCGGATTGCGCTGTCTTGTCCTTGAGCCAACGAATACCCTAGCACAGACTCCAACTGCACTTGTCGTATGCTCCTGGACGAAGTCCTGTTGCTTCATAGACCCAGGCTCCAATCCAGTCAGCAGTATTCTGAGTGCGAGGCGCTTGACGACCTGATATCCTCTCGCCAGCCATAGGTTCCCAAATTTCTATACTCGGTCTCATGCCGAGTCCCCAAGCAGAATCAACCACCTTTCTTGATACCTGCTGGGCTGCCCTTATTTGTGTTTTCGGACCCCATTTTCCCATCGATCATGTTCTTCGACAATTTGAGAGCAACCTTCGAACGCTCCAGATCCACCACTCTTTTCATGCGGTCAAGATCCCCATGTCCCCCTTCAACAAGTCGCACATTGACAGCGCCGTATGGCTTCTCGATTTGGTAGGTGTCTGAGATGACCATCACATTGCCGTGCCATCGGGCTGGATGGGTTCGGGACAGAGCATCAAATAGCGCCTGATCCGTGGGAGTTGTACCCTTGGGACCCAGGCGTGCTTGCGCGGCTTGTTGAGAGGAAATGTTTCTTGCAAGTCTGGTTTGGACAGCATTTGTGTCGATGGTGTTCAAGGCGGGTGCGAATGTGCTTTCACTAGCTGTTTGCTGAAGCGAAAGAAGTTGAAAATTGCTGATCTGGGAGATGGCGATGATGCGGTACGCACCTGCTGGAGCCACCAGAGACGTGGAGCTGATACCAGCCGGAGGGGATGTGCTTGTGTTCAAGACGAGAAGACTGGTTAGAGCATCGGCTGTGTAGACGGTGCCCTCGACGGTTGACTGGTTCGGTGCGGTAGTGGTAACGCGAATCCTGTGGAATTATCAGCAACGAAACACTGCAGTTCCATCTGGGACTGTGTTCTTACCGGCTTCCAATGGCCTGCTGCAGACTGATGTCTAGAGGAACGGACGATGCAGCTGGCTGGCTTGGCTCGCCTTTGGGCAGGGCAACAGGTACTCTTGCTCCTGCATTTGGACGTTTCGCATCAGAGGCCATGCTGGAAGCCCAGCGTGTCGACACAGGAGGCCGCGGTCGTCTGAGGCCTGCGATTGTGCTGTCGTCGTTCTCGATACGGAGGTGCGGAGAAGGAGACGGAATGACAGTCGTTAAGCACCGTGTGTGCCGCAGCACAAAGAGGCAGTGACAGCCAGATTATAGCGGGCAAGCACGATATGCTGGCATGAACACGAAGCCAGAATTAACATACGCCAGGCGCCAAATGACAATGCTTTGAAGATAAAAGCGCAAAGCAAAGCAAAGCGCGGCGCGTGGTCAAATCTTTATTTTGAGGTGGAAGCGAAGTCGGGCGCAGGACAATTTCCCTCAAGTCTGGAGTTGAGTGACTGGAGGCCTTTCCCAATCGAGTTTTGGCTTGAGTGGAAGCTCCAATTTTGTCTCAGTTCTCAGACCCATGAGGCTCACGTGACAGTGCATACGCACTAGTCCTTTTCGGAGAAAAGTCCTTCGCCAGAAGGGTCTGAGCTCCAAAACAGGTAAAGTAGGCTTCTTTTCGTTACTCGACTACGTATTTTTCGATCTCCCTTAATAGTTAACCTTTTCCTCTCGTTTAAGCGTATTTAAGTATATAAATCTAAAAAAGATGTTAATAAAGAAGGAAAAAGTAAAAGAATCGAGTAGATACTCGTAAAACTAAATCTTACTTAAGTATCGAGTAGTATCGTCTTTCTTCGCGTTAAGATATTTTAATTTAATATCTTTATAGTCTTAAGATCGATTTATCTCGGATTTTAAATATTATATATATTATATATATATTTATATAATATTAAAAGCGTTAATAAAAATACTTAAAGAGTAGCTATATATCTCTAAAAAACTAAGATTTTTTTTGAAAATTACGATTTTTTAAAGGTCGTAGTATATAAGAAAAAATTCTCGTACTATAGTTTTAAATCGAGGTATAAAGTATTTAAGAAGAGCTCGGCACTCTCGAAATTACTAATAAAATCGAGTACGTTAAGGGATAGTTAGAGCAATATTATAAGTTTCTATACCGATATCAAAAACTTTTGGGAGAGTATTGCCAAGTCACGCTAAGAACAGGGGTTTTCACGTATTAGAGCTCAGACTCGTTTGGCAAACAATTCTGCTGAATTTTTTGATTGGCTCGCCAATCCTGCCATACCCAGTCTGAGAACTGAGACAACTCCAATTCTCCGCAATTCACTCTACGACCTAGACGTCAAGACGTTTCGACGTCTACTCGCGAGCCGCATCAGTATGTCATTAGCATAGGTGTATTTGTTTCCTAGGCACTAACTAGATGACTTCTTAGATAACCTTTGTCATGCAAACTACTCAAAGCTGCACAGAAGGAAGATCCATATAATGCCTAATCGTGCGCAGAAAGAAAGTGATCCCCGCCCAAAACGTGTTCATTGCACATTAGGAACGCATCTAAAGGCGACGACTTTTGTATTGTCCACTTATGATCCATCACCCACTATGCGATTGCAGTGTTCCGAAACATGCCGCCCATGACAAGCTGTTTTGCAATCGGGACGATCGTCTATGCATTGTAGGTCGAGGCGGAAACGTTTCCACCACGGCCAGTCCAGTTGACGTGGGTGTAGGCGCCGACCTTGAACTTGTCGTTGGCGTACTCAGGCTTGATCTGGAAGGTGTGAGCACCAAAGTAGTCTCGCTGAGCCTGCAGAAGGTTGGCCGGCAGGTCCTTGGTGCGGTAACCATCAAAGAAGGCCAAAGCAGTGCTGAAAGCAGGTGTGGGGATACCAGCCTTGACGGCGAAGGCAACTGCGTCTCTCCAGCCGTCCTGAGCGTTGTGGATGGCCTTGTTGAAGAAGTCGTTGAACAGCAAGTTCTCGAGGTCTGGGTTCTCGCGGTAGGCTGAGGTGATATCCTTCAAGAAGACGGATCGGATGATACAACCACCACGCCACATCAAGGCAATGGATGGCTTGTTGAGTTTCCACTTATATTGAACAGCAGCCTGTGACTGGGTTAGCCACAAAATGTGGTCGGATTCGAAGGGTGGTACTCACGGATTGCATCAACATGAAACCTTGAGCATACGAGATGATCTTGGAAGCATACAATGCCTGCTCGAGGTTCTTTAGGAAAGCAGCCTTGTCGCCGGTGAAGTTTGGCTTGGGGCCGGTAAGAAGCTTGGAAGCACGGGTACGCTCATCCTTGATGGAACTCAAGCAGCGGGCAAAAACGGCTTCACCGATCAAGGTAACAGGCATACCAAGATCCAGAGCATTGATGGCAGTCCACTTTCCAGTACCTTTCTGGCCGGCGGCGTCAAGAATCTTCTCAACCAGGGGTTGTCCGTCGTCGTCGTTGAAGCGGAGCACATCACGGGTGATTTCGATGAGGAATGAGTCGAGGACGCCCTTGTTCCATGAGTCGAAGATGTCACCCATCTCCTTGTAGCTGAGGCCGAGACCACGTTTCATGACATCGTAGGCCTGTAAAGTCAGTATCAGACTGCCCGGTCCACAAGTCGGAGGCTGCGCTTACCTCGCAAATCAGTTGCATATCACCGTACTCGATACCGTTGTGAACCATCTTGACGTAGTGACCAGCACCCTCGTCACCAACCCAGTCGCAGCAAGGCTCACCATCAGATTTAGCAGCAATGCTTTGGAAGATGTCCTTGATGTAAGGCCAAGCCTCTTCGTTTCCACCGGGCATCAATGATGGACCATAACGAGCACCCTCTTCACCTCCAGACACACCAGTGCCGACGAATCGAATACCCTTCTCCGCGAGGTACTTAGTTCGGCGGTTGCTGTCAGGGTAGTGGGAGTTTCCACCGTCAATGATGATATCACCCTTGTCACAGTATGGCAGCAGCTTCTCGATGAAGTCGTCGACGGCAGGACCAGCCATGACCAGGAGCATCATACGACGGGGCTTCTTGAGCTTGGAGACGAATTCTTCGATGGAGTGGGCTCCGACAACAGACTTGCCTGCGACCATGTTAGCTAAGATCCCAAACACACATAATGCTGCAACTTACCCTTGGCCTCATTCTCAAGGAAGCGGTCGACCTTGGAGACGGTTCGGTTGAAGGCAACAACAGTGAAGCCATGATCGGCAGCGTTGAGAATCAAGTTCTGGCCCATGACCGCCAGGCCAATGAGACCGAAATCACCACTGGGTTCAGACTGCGCAAGGCCGACCTGAAGGCCAGCCAGTCGCGCACTAAAGTCAGCATTTTGCTTGTCAATGGGGGTGTACTCTCAAGGAAAAGGCAAATAGTCTGTGTGCTTTGTTGGAGCTCGCAGCTTGCCAGGGCGTTGAGGTAGTAACTGGGAGAAAAGTTCGGCTTCCGGGAAACAAAGGATGGGACTCACACTGGACCAGACATCTTGTGGTGGGTGGTGGAAGGTTTAATGGGCTGAGTGGATGAGTGTGAATTGTTTGTTTGCGTAGAGCAGAAACGTCGAGACTCTGTCTAATGCACCGAAAAAGACGAGAGGCACGAATTGTAAAGAGGTGGAAGAGGACTATGACACGGGGAATGAGTAAAATAAGTGTTGATTAGAACATCAATCATTATTACCGCACTGCAGAGGATGGAGCTGCGCTGCGCAGGCTGAATTGGACCCCCACTAACAGCAAACAAAACGGTGGTAGAGATTTTGGAGGGGCAGCACCAAAAAGTCCGCCAATGCAGCCATGTCATTGGGTCACTACCTGGAAAATCTGGGTTCAGTGTTGCCCACCAGCGGCTGACTACGGCAACGGCCACTGACAGTCTTATTAAACCTTTTAGCATCAACCACTCATCATGGCACGGTGAGTTCCCCAATCAAGGGAAGAAGTCTTGGGCTCAATAACAAGCCATAGAAAGGCCATGTGCTTCTTGAGCGTTGTGAATAACCAGAGTGAAGGTGACTCAGCATCCGCATGGTGGATTGTGGGTGCTCGTGAGCTTCGCACATAATGACGAGAGTCCTCCGGGCCTATTCCGAGCAGGCCGATTTCAGCCGGATGAAGTCTTCCATGCATAGAAGGAGATACACGTCCTTGATCTGACAATCACTATCGCGAGATCATTTGGGATAGAATCACAATACTGGTATTGCGGGATCAGCTATCTCTTATGCTCCATGCTCCGAGGAGACTCAACGCTACTCTCATATGAATCTCTAGGAAATCAATGCCGACAAAGGTGATCATCACGTGGGCGGATGGTATTCCTGAATTGTAGTAGCGTATCTCGTCTCACCTTCCTCTCGCAAAAGCGTGCAGAATCATCTCGATAACCACCACAGGGCCTCAAGTGTTCGGTCAAGGCAGCGACAGTCACCACTATCTTCTATTGCTCCATTTTTCGACTGATAGGCACTATTACCGTCTACACCTGTGTCTCGAAGACAATTCATCACTCGCGCGTCAACGGAGCACGCTCGGATTAGCCTGTCTAGCAGTCATACTCCAAGATCAGCCTCCTTGAGGCATCTGGTACGTTAGAGACACCAGTAATTCTATTGCCAGATCAAACATTCATCATGTCATATCCGGGCCCTCCAGGCTCAGGTTCCAGACCTTCTACACAATTTCAACCGCCGGCTTCATTGCCTGCGCGCCCTCCACCTTCAGCGGTCAGTCCTGCTCCAGCCTTCAAACCAGCCTCGAGTAGCACCACCAAGCCTGCCTTTACAGCCTTTGCGCCACGGTCCGTAGCATCAGCCAACACCTATCGTACGGCCAGCCCAGCCCATTACTCCGCAGCTCCTGTCACATCATACGCATCACCGTCACCATATCAACAACCAGTCGCGCGACCTCAATATGATTCATCATACGGAGCCGCCCCACAGATTCGCAACCCTTTCGTCCCCACCTCAGACACTTCCTCATCAGCAGGTGCCTATCCGCCCGGCTACGATCCAGACTATGAGGCCCAGGTACAGCAGTGGCAGAGCGCCTACCTGAAACAAGAGAACGGCAGCACCACAATACCAAAGCCGGCACCAGTATCTGCGCCAATTGCCTCTACTAAAGTCGAGTCCAATACTCAAAAAACCGAAACTACGAAGACCGTTCAACGTGCAGGAGGTGGCACGACATGGCAGGACCCGACTCTACTAGAGTGGGACCCCGCGCACTTTCGCATCTTCGTCGGCAACCTCGCAGGTGAAGTCACCGATGAATCGCTCCTGAAAGCCTTCTCTCAGTATGGTTCTGTTCAAAAGGCGCGGGTGATCCGTGAAAAGAGGACGACGAAGTCCAAGGGCTACGGTTTTGTCAGTTTCTCAGATGGAGACGATTACTTTCGCGCGGCTCGCGACATGAACGGCAAGTACATTGGAAGTCATCCGGTCACTGTAAAGAAAGCCGTTACGGATGTCAAACCTACGACACAGAAGCCGAAATATCATAAGGGCAAAGGTGGAGCGGGCGGCCATGGCAAGGTGCAGCACGACGGTGTTAATAAGAAGCAGCCCAAGACTAAGGGAGGATTGAAAGTCCTGGGCTGAAATCATACCCCCTGTTGTATGAACTCGTCCAGGAGATTCATCAAGAGAATACTTTCGATACCCGCCCCACCGAATGCGCACATACGATGCAAAATTGAGAGCGTAGTCTTTCAGACCTGACTGCTGGCAACTGAAAAGTGCAGGGACTTAGTTGGGCGTGTAGCCGAACATAACATCGGCAGCCGTGCCGGATCCCGAGTTCTTCAGTCGTCCTCCATGTCACCGGAACGCCAGGATATCGTCGTCCGGGATGAAAAGCGCCATTATCTTCTCACGAGCTTCTTTTGTTATTCAGGCGGCAGAAGACAACGCATCGAGGCAAGCTCTGACTCCTATAGATTCTCCACGCATCATGGGAACAAGTCAGTCGGCACGCAGACAGACCCTCCTTCGGCAACTCGTCTTGCAATTTATCTGCAGAACGACAGGTCGTATGCAATGCATTCATTGAGTAGAGCTCATGTCATACCATAGTATCATCTCGAACCAGAAGAGATCTTACCTACGCACAAGACTGCCGTTTCTAACATTCCGTGATCAGTCCTTCATCTCGGCCTTCTGCCCAGCTTTCTACCCAATCTCATATGTTCGCCCTTCTTGATCTCAGCCTTTCCGCCCTCCTCGACTTCAACGCCCGTACTCTGAGGCACTACAGCCACCGCCCCCTTCGAAATATCATCCGGGTCCAACTTCGTCCCCTTGGCCTCGTCTTCTTGGTCGATTTCTCTTCGGTCTCCTTCATCGTTGTTTTCGCCATCGCTATTATCATCATCGAGCGGCCGCACGACCTTCAACCTGACCTTCTCGCCTGATAGAGTCGAGTACACACGCAGCCCAACCACGCAGACGGCGTTCCACGGCTCATCAGGGCCCTCGCCAGCATCGTCTGTCCTCTCTCTGCCGTCCTTCATGTCTGGCGGTGGGCCATTATCCGGTCCTGGTCGACGGCGACGACGACGCGGACGAGGTCTTCCGCGTGCCGACGAGGTTGGACTTGACTCATGGTCGGACGATTCGGAAGGCATGTCGAGCTGGGAGTCCCAATCGAATGGGGGAAATGAGTCTCCGTCATCGTCCGAGTTGGCGTTGTCCTCCTGGACTGACTCATTATCTGCTGGACGCTGGTCGCCGTTTTCGAGATCATCTTCACTGGCACCTGCACGCATGTCGGCACCGATCATCGCGGCTGTCGTGTTGAAGGTGTCGCTGCGAAGCGGATATCGTGACGGGTTACCAGCAGTACCGGCCCAGTTTCCTTTCGCGCTCTCCATCGTGCTGACGGTTGCTTTGCTTGCAATGGACGGAGAAGGCTGGGAAGTGGCCATTTTAACGTTCGTCGTGGCTTCTGCTCCTTCCGCTTTGAAGGGTTTGACATCTTCGTTTGTTCCAGTACCTGCGATACCTGGTTCGAGTTTGTTGGGTGCTTGATGTGAGTCTGCTTGTACTTCTGTGAGTAGATTTGCTTTGGACTCCTGATCTGCAGTCAAGATCACGTCCTCCAGTGGTTCAACGACCTTCTCGGCCGAGAGTTCTTCGGGTGCTTTCGTTGTCGACGGGGTGTCAAAGCCGCCCATGTTGTGTATTATCTCGTCAACTCTGTCGCCTTTCTTCCGGAAAGCCAGGTCCTCAACTTTCGCAGTCTGGCCTTGCATAGAGCCGGAAGGATCATCCTGCAACTCGCCACTCTGCTCTCTGGTGTCTTGAGGCTTGTGCTCGTTGGGGACACCATTCTCGTTCGAGATCTCACCGCCAGCGGCACTCAGTCCAGGGTTGACTCCATTAACTTTAGAGTTATCAACCCTTTCGTCAGCACTCCTTTTTCTCTCTCGCCACTGTTTAATCCTTGCGTTTCTCGCCTTCTGCTTCTCATGCCTATCTTTCCGCTTCGTCCACTCCTTCTCTGCCTCCTTATTTAGCTTCATCTTGAGCTTTTGTCGATCCTTGACTTTTTGTGCCTTCCGCCGCTCTTTTCTTTCCTTCTGCTCAGCCTCAGTCTCGACAATGACACCTTTCGCATGCGCCAAGTCATACGATAGGCCCATCTGGATAAGCTTTTCGCGTCTGGTCGCAGCATACATTGGTAGAACATCTTCGAGGTGGTCTCGGTCCACATGTCTAGTAGCCGTGATCCGCATCAACACAGAATACGTGCCTGCGTCCAGCTCAATATCCGTGCTGACTGATCTAGCCATAGCATAGTTGGCATTTGACCGCACGATATAGTCATTCTCATCTTCCTTGTTGTCCGACTCAAGACGGAACTGGAGGTCAAAGGCATAAGCACCTTCCAGGCCACGGAAGTAGGTTTCGTCCAGCTGAGCAAGAACAATCACGACTTGAGCTTTCTTTTCCAAAGTCAATGAGAACTTTGTGCTGTGATACTCAGCCGACCATGAAACGCTGAGACTCGTCCAACATTGTGTGACATGCCACTCGGGGCCGAAAATCCTCGTCCGGTCGATGATCTGGTATTTCTTGAGAAGATCTTCGAAACTGATCCTACAACGAGGTCAGAAAGCTGCATGGGTAGAACTGGGACATGTCGAAAGACTTGTGCTTCAACGCCATAGCCTTTCAAGTAGGAAAAAGTACCAGAAGATACCGTCATTCCCGAATTTATGATCGAGCAAGTCCATCCAACTTGCATTCCACACAGAGTCGCCATCTGACCATTTTCCGGTCCATTCCTTCTTTCCCCATGGGTTGCGTAGCTTCAGCAAGCGGTGACCGCCAACCTCCTTTGCGTCCATGATGCTGTACGCGTGGTTCTCAGCAATACCTTCACGCTCACGTGGTTGACCACTTGTGTCGAGCCAGTCGGAGTAGAACCCTGTCGCGCAGCCAAACAAGAAGGTCTTTCCTACCTGCAGCAATTCGTTGTTCCAGAAATCCTCGCGATCGAGAATATCTGTGCTGTAGATTTCCGTCGTAACGCCGCCCGTAAGGTCTTCGATAGCCTCGCCTGTAAAGCCGCCGTCGATAGAAGCGAAGTCGCCGTGGGCCTTTGCGTATGCTTTCTCTAGCAGTGGAAGCCACGTCTCGTTCTCCTCGCTGCACTGCGCAAAGTAAAGAGCTCTGGATCCAGTCTGATGAGCCTTGCGGTATTCTTCAGCGCTGTCAGCGCGGTTGATGTCATCCCAAACCACTCGCTCATCTTGTGCTTCGTCATAATCTGGGGCACGTAGGTACAACTTATCATCGATGATGGTATATTGCCATTCACCGTCTGAACATTTATCAGCCATGCCTGTACAGAAAACGATGCTGGAGTGGCCCACCTCTGAAGAAAACAAACCCGTAGACGCCCACTTTCCAGTCGTGCTTGACACAGACCTTGTCGATAAGTCCTTCCTTGTTTCCCAAGCCGCAAAGGGCGGCCATAAGATAGCAGTCTCCGTCTCGACCTTGGCGGACGTCGCCTGCGGTCGGACCGTTAATATAGAACTCCGGCTTTTCGAAAATGTCCTGTACAAATCAATCGTGGAAGAGTCGCGTGTACAGGCTACATACTGTGACCCTCTTCACGCCCTTCGGCTTCATTGAGTCGCCGATGACGCTGAGACCATCCAGACTGCATGTTGTACAAGCTCATGTCAGTACGCAGGCCCGGAAAGCAATGCAATAAGAGGATTCAGACGCCCGAAAGAAGTAGACTAGACAGACTGACCAATTGCGATTCTTGCTCTTCAGATCCCACTCGATATCAAAATGGGGATCACGGTACTTCTGGTTCAATCGTCGACATTCCTTGATAATCCTGTCCACGTCCTTGATGCACTCGGCACGAGCTTCCTCATATGATTTGGCCGCTCGTTGACCATGAACGGTCCCATGAGGTATTTTGGCGGCCTTTTTGCGCGCATACGGATTATTGGGAAGCACAGTGAACACTTTCCCAGGATACTTCGAGTCCAACCTATCCCAGTACTGTTGGACTGCGTCTTGAGGTGTCAGCTTCCGCGGTTTGCGGCGAATTTGGGGTGGTCTGTTAGGCGAGGGTTCGTCAGGTGGAGGGCCATAGTAACGGCCATCTCGGCCTATGTTGTCGCGAGGGTCGGCCATGAAGAATAACGTCAAAGCCGCGTTGTTTGAGGTGCGGTAGATGGGACCCTTTCACAATCGCATAGTACAAATTCAGGCCCGCCTCAACTCGTTACACACTAGTGTTCCTCTCGCTAGGTAGGACGGCTGACACCAAATCGATGCTCGTCGGCTCAAGAGGCAATGTCACTGCAGTCAAACGGCGATCTCAAACTCACGAATGCTGCAAGACTGTTGCGTGGGGAAAGCAGGAAGGGAAGGAAGCTGAAAGGGAATCAGGCTGAGAGGGGACATGAATTTACTAAAGGTCAAACATGTTGCGCGCCACGTCTGAGCCGCACATGAATCTGGCCAGGCCACTCAGGCGTTCAGGTCGAAGCATCTGAGGCTAGCGAGGCTAATTAGGGTGAGGGTGAGATAACGAATGAACGTGGGATGAATTTGTCTCGCGCATGAGATGATTCGCACCCACCTACAAGACGATTCGAGAGGCTGGATTCCGGAGCTGCAGCCTGAAGGCACGCAAGGCAAGTATCCTTGCCTAGGCCCTGGGGCCTGAAAACGACAACGAAGGCGTCGGATCACAACGCGCAAAGTCTGCGCAACCAGAGAAAAAATTACAAACAGTGACCATCGGGGTGTACCTCTATGTGCAAGTATCCTGCCGCCGCTCACGAGGGCAGGCGCGATTGAACTAGGTGAACAACAACAACCGTTGAAACAATGGAAGTTACGCAAACTTGAGGGGTAGAAGTACAGCATAGAATGTAGGCAAGTGCGAGCTATATAATTGGCGGCGCACACCTACTGTAAGGCATTCGATAACCCTTAATAAATAAGTTAAGCCTTGACAGCCTCCTCACTGGAGGCACAGGGGCTGATAATTTAATGACGGTCTCAACTCGTCAATTGCTTTCAGCACATTTTGTATATTCCAGTATTGGGTCTAGTTTCAAGGCGGTATGTTCAAACGTGGAGTTTGGTGTTCATTCAATGATCATCAAGCAGATGTTTTAATGCTCAAATACTCAGCTAGAATCGATTTCCGCTATCAATAAGACACCATGAACATATTGTTGGAAGGAAATGGTCCATTAGTAACCCTTCTTCTCAGCGACATCAAAGCCGTTGTCCTCATCAGGGACGATAACAAGATTATCCGAACGGAAAGGATCAACCTTGACATCCCTAAATTTGCGAGCGGAGACGTGATTCTCAAAGAGAACATCAAGATCGGCGTATGTGAGACCCTAAAGATCTGTTAGCTTCTGTGCGCTTGCGTGACAGGTCCTTGACATACCTTTGGCTCTGGAAGACGGAAATAAGTCCAAATAAGTCCAAGCAAGTTGAGGCCTCCCCAAAAGAAGCAGGTCTTTCCACGCCAGCCCCAGGCAGTAGGATTCATCATGCGCGGTTGAAGGGTACCAATAACGATACCCATGAGGTTGTACACGTTTCGAGATAAGACAACCGTCTTGATACGGAGACGGGTGGATGGAATTTCAGCCACAAGGGAATAGCAGACCGGACCGACAGTGAAGTCGTAGACAAAGGTCAGGATCAAGATCAATGCGCCAGATGCCCAGCCGATAGAAGTCGACAAGGCTGGGACACCAAGTCCGCCAAGGGCCATGAGGATGATGAACATGACTACTTGACCCCAAATGTAGAGGGTGCGACGACCGAAATGAGGCATCAGAAACCAAGAAAGGACGGTACCGCAGAAGCCCATAGCACTTTGACCAACACCAAGCGAGTAGGCATTGGCTGCAGTGAGACCAGCTTGTTCCATGAAGTAAGTACCCCAGCCAATCATCGGAGAGCCAGATGTTTGTTGAATGAGCCAGGTAATGCAGGTTACCTCCGTTCGGCGAAGGTCGACGCCTTTGAAGCAGTCGAGATAGGTGGTACCTGAGGTCTGTTGGATCTCGAGCTCATTGGTGTGGATTATCATGGCGAGGGTGTCTTCGACGTTGGATTCGGTGTTCCTTTTGGAAGTGAGCTTGGTCAGGGCGGCACGAGCTTCGTCGAGTTTACCGTGACGGACCAACCACCACGGTGACTCGGGAGCAAAGAATGCGGTCAAGGCGATTGGAAAGGGCCAGATCCATTGAATTGAATAGGGTACTCGGTATGCCCATTCGGTGTCGGTGTTGACGAATCCCTTCAGAATTCCAGCAGCAAGTAACTGACCAATGACCCAGCATAGATTGACATAGGTGGTTAGGTATGGTCGGAGAGGTACAGGACACACCTCGGCAGCGTACGTCGTGGTCAAAGTCTGAAACACGCCCCAAGGCAAGCCAGAGAGGATGTACCCGGCCAGCAACATCCTCACATTGACGGCGAAAAAGGTAATGAAGATACAACAAGCGATGAACATCAACGCACCGATCATGGTCCAGCGATAACCGATCCTTTCGGACACGATACCGTTGATGAAGAGTCCAATGATCTGGGCGGCCGCAGTGCCGTTCGACAGAGCAGATTGCCAGGTAGCTGTGACCTGATATGTTCTGGCGCCGTCCACGACGCCGGCAAAGGTACCGTATTTCTTCTGGAAAGCCGGATTACCGAAAAAGTTTCCAAGCAGGTATGTGTCGTATCCCTCCATGATGACCGCAAGTGAGAGACAGAAGGAGAACATGATCGCCTTGGGATATAGTCTGCACCCTTCCACGAAGCCCATATGGCGTTCGAGATTGGCAGCGGTTTGAGCATCGGCAGTCAGCTCGGCCAAATTGGGCACAGCCACGGACATCTTGCGAAGGGTGTCATCCTTCTGGTTGAAGACAGTATCGCCTTGGGTTGCGCCAATTACTGCGGCAGGGACGATGGACGACCTTCGTCGGGTGGTGTCGTAGGTAGGAGCCCCCATGTTGGCTGCATACTGGGAGACACTCATGTGACGGCCTGTACGGCCGGGGCCGCTCTCCTCGTCGTGGGCGTAACTCATGGCTGTAGTCTCGTGCCGCCAAGTAGTAGTTGGAGCAGACCGAAGAGTATCAGCTACACCACCGCCAGGTCTGTGATGGACGATCTTCCAGTCCCAAGACAGATCTATGACCGGAGATTGTGTGTTGAGAAGTCACATTCAGTCGGGGGGTCGAGGGTGACTATATACACTCTGTCACAGTGAATCGTCCTGCTCTAACATTCAAACAAAACATAAATGACGCACGACTCGAGAGTGGGAGAAGTAGATGTCGACCTATGATAGCGGACAGAAGTGAGCCGAGGGAGAGTATGCCACCGTCCTGACCAACCTATCATGATTTTGTCTTTGACGGAGTTGAGGTCATAGCTGGGTTGAATCCTTCAAGTCGGCCACAATTTAAGCGTATGTTCTCGCGAAAGGCCGAAAGTCAGGCTTTGGATGGCCAGTAGCAGCAGCAGCCGAGGCACCTTGTGGCAGCACGACAGAACGACAGAAACGCAAGCATAAAGCTTGAAGCATAAAGTCTTCCCCAATGTGTGGAGACACAGCCGAAGCAAAAGAAGACGAGCTTTGCCAGTTGGCCGGGAGGTCCTACACTGCCGAAAAAGGCTGCGCGTGGGAGTATCCGGTGGAGCTTCTCCAGCAAAAGGACTCCCTCCTCCTGGACGCCACGAAGCTAGACATCCATTCAATTGAGCGAGATTTGGCGAGGTCTGCTTGTCAAACCCGTCTAGAACTTCACGCAGCCTGCTGATCAAAGTGTCCCGACCCCGCACCCCCAGCATAGTCCGTAGGCGAGCCCACTTCCAGGAACAAAAAGGCACAGTCTGGATTGGAGACCACCAGTTTCAGATTAGGCGGTAGAACATGCTTGCTCAGTACGGCATAGGATTAGGCCTTGATGCTGTGGTAGGATTTCAGCCCTGTTCAAATATATGCTGGTCTAATGGTTCTGATGCCGTGGTTCGCATGACATGGGAGATGCTGTCTATCCGAACTGTGTCACCTTTTGTGGAGACTTCTCGCCGCCTCGGTACCCGAGATCTGGCTACCCTTTAGTGATACAGCGAGCTGGCCTTCGTATCGACGGTCGTGCTTCTCATCTCCAAGGAGTCTACGCAGTCTTTCCTATACGGGACCGTGCGTCATTGTGTCGATCTGGGGTTGGACAAAGATAATCCTTCCCAAGCGCAAATATACTGGGTATGCGGAGAAAATGAATCCACAATCCCGGGGGAGTCTGCCACTGACGCAAACAGCTCGTGCTTTTCTACTCTGCATTTGGTGACTGGATTCTGGTCGACCCTGGCGATTGTACATGAGATGACTTGAATGGGCATCTGATCGCTTCCACAAGCCGAAATGGATCTTCCTCATGTACGTACTCGGCGAAATGGTCGCTTTTGTTCCTCATGTATTGCGCAACTTCAGGGCCCTTTCCCGGCGCTGGGGAAGCTCCCATGGTACGATGCATTTAGCGTTGAATCGAACGACCTGTTGCGGGGTCTGCGATTGTTGCATCGAGATCTATGTGTGTCGCGAGCCGTCATTTCTTCTTCCGGGTTGAATAACGATAGAATCGCCGAGCTTGAATCCGATGTCTCGTCGAGCCTAATTGCCTCTGATCACCGACGATCTCATTGAAAGCTGGTAAGGCAGACGCAGTGAGTCTTGGTTGGCGCCCAGCTCGACTAATCATGGGTTGCGTGAGTGGCTGCGAGGTGTCGCACCACTAAGGCAATGCAGCAGTCCAGCCATGTAGCACTATTATGCTTCTCATCTTGTAGCGATGCGTGGCGTGATAGGCGTGGTCACGATATACAGTGTTTCCAGACCAAATATTCCCCAGTCGATTATGCATATCCACATCATCGCGCGAAGGTGGAGATATGGGGGAAGGATTGGGGCTAAGGATCTGCATACGTCCCGGATACACTGGCAGTCGGGGCTGAAGGCGCACGAGAAATGAGGCGGCAGGACGAGGTAGTGGGAGATATTCTGTAGCCGGTGCGGGAATACAATAGTGTGACCGAGAATACCGCCGAGACACATGGCGACAAGTCGAATGCATAACCTAGGCTGTTCAAGTGTCATCATTGATGGTATGGTCACCAGACACTTCGATTCTTCGATCCCATTTTGTCACAATTTGGGAGATCTGATCCGTACGCCAATGCTGTGATGTAGCCGCAGTCATGCTTTTGTGCTCTCATAAGACAGCGGCGGAATCCTTCTATTTCTAGATCTCGCAGGATCAGTCGTCCGATCTTACTCTAGTATGCAATCGTCGTCGAACCCTCTCTAGGAGCTGGCGAGGCCCAGACTCAGCTTGTCGCCAGAATTCGCGCTAAAACTTCGACAGAAGGAGCTGCTTCGAGTGTGTGCATCTGTGCGACCTATTCATGTTGGGCGGTGGCAGTTAGACAAGATGCTGCTCGTGAGATTGTCTGCAAGTTCATCCTGTTGTGAGGTGAGGAGAATGGCATTCCCCGGACCATCAAGCCTGTGCAGCATCATCACCATTGATCTCCAGCTTTGACATGGCATCTCCAGCGGTCTTGCCAACCTCGACCTCTTCCTTTCCTTTGCCTTCAACCGTACCATCAGGATCAGTCTTGACGTTTGCTCCGCCAGGGTACCTTGAACCCTTATCTTTGGGCTGCTTTTTCTTCTTTACAGGCTCTGCAGGAGGGTAGGCCTTCTTCTCGATCTCCTGCCACTCGGGCGACGCCTGGAAATCGGCTTGGATCGGGGCCAGCAGGTCGACTAGAGCAACAGTAGCGCCTGCCTTGAGCAGCTGAGGTGTCAGCTTGTCTATCCGGTAGTCCTCCTTCAATGTCTCAATATCATGATAAACCAACGATTCTCCCTCTCCTTCTCGTCGCTCGCACACGAAGCGCCCTTTGCCTTCCGGATCGCGTAGGGAACTGATTGGAAGCAAGACATATTCCACAAAAGAGATGAGACCATTTCCCTCAACCTCTCCTGATGCTGCGTAGGCTTTACGCAACTTCTTCTTGACTGCATCGGCGGTATCAAGGATATCGATTTTGGAATCGGGATCCGAAGCAGACATCTTGCCGCCAGCAAGACCTGGCACCATGGGATTCATAAGATGTGCTCGCTCTTTGTATCCGATCTTAGGTAATGTCTCCTGGGCAAGAGCAAAGATCTTCCGCTGGTCGACTCCACCAAACTGCGCATCGACTCCGAGGTGCTGCTCGTCCAGTGCCTGCATAAGGGGATAAATCAAGCCAGAGAGTGTGGCGTTGTCCACCTGCTTGACCACCTCTGCACCCGCCTTCTTGGCATCATGTTCGGTTACCACACTGCTCAGTCGGAAAATGTCCATAGTGTAGTCTGCGCTTAGCTGGTAGGAGGAGCCCAAGACGAATTCCAGCTTTTCTAAGCTGACTCCGACAGCCTTCAGTAGTGCTTGAATGATGTATTTGTAGTACTCTGCGCGAAATTTGACCAGGTCAATAGGCGCTTTGAGGTTATCGAGGAAACCGTGGATATCAGCTAGGAGGATCTTGACTCGACAACCGGCTCGTAGAAAGTGTGCAATTTTCATCATGGGAACGAAATATCCGCAGTGAGGTCTACCCGTTGTAGCTGTTCCCCAGTAGATGACCAATGGTCTCTGCTCTTTCAGGATCACATTCTCGAGGATGTCTTCGTGCAGGACTTCTTGTAATTGGTCTTTGATGAGTGAGAGCTTTTCTTGCGGATTCAACTCTCTGCCAGCCATGATGGGAAACAACGAGGTCAGGAAGGTGCGTTGGACCAGCGCAGATGCAAAATGCCAAAGTTTGAGGTGGTCTATTTCGAGAGTAAGTCTGTCCAGGAAGTAGTTTTGTACAGGTTAGCAACAATTGAGTCAATGTGAATGTGAGTCAAAAAAGATCATGGACAACATCATCCCGCAGTCTGCCCGCAGCGCAGTGCAGAATTTGGCCGCACTTCAATTCACCCCCTTTACCCGCCAATCAGACGCGTTCAATCCGACTAAACACCACTTAATAAACAAAACAATCCCACTACCCTCTCTACCAACATCGACAACTTGAACTCCTGCACAACCTTTGTACTGCTTTCTTCTGCGCAGAACCTTCAGAAAATACTGTATCAACACATACCTCTTCACCTGCACCCTTTCTCCCGCCGTTCTCATTCCTCGTCCACAGCAACTAGACAATAGAGACCCCCTGTCTTCCCCCTAGCCCTCCAGGGGCCTCGACGCCGAAAGTGACCATTGTAGCACACTTCTATGCAACGATAGCAACCATTACACCGAAATGGAGAATTACCAAAAGATAGAAAAGATTGGTGAAGGTGAATGGTGGTCACACCGCACAATTGACCACAAACTTACCCTCACTAATAGGAACCTACGGTGTTGTATACAAAGCCCGGGATCTTTCCAATGGCGGACGTATTGTTGCGCTCAAGAAGATCCGGCTGGAGGCAGAAGATGAGGGTGTTCCTAGCACAGCCATCCGCGAGATCTCTCTACTGAAAGAAATGAGCGATCCCAACATCGTACGTCTCTTCAACATTGTTCACGCCGATGGTCACAAGCTGTACCTTGTCTTTGAATTTCTGGATCTTGATCTCAAGAAATACATGGAGGCCTTGCCCGTGTCAGACGGCGGGCGTGGTAAAGCACTCCCAGAGGGATCGACCATGGATATGCAGAGACTAGGCTTGGGCAAGGACATGGTCAAGAAGTTCATGGCGCAACTCGTTGAAGGTGTCCGATACTGCCACAGTCACCGCATCCTGCACCGAGATCTCAAGCCCCAGAACCTTCTCATCGACAAGGAAGGCAACCTAAAGCTAGCTGATTTCGGTCTTGCCCGTGCTTTCGGTGTTCCTCTGAGGACCTACACCCATGAAGTAAGCAACGCCAAATCGCGTATTTTCTGTCCCTCGTGTCATTGACCAACAATTCTAGGTTGTCACTTTGTGGTACCGTGCACCCGAAATCTTGCTAGGCGGTCGACAGTATTCTACTGGAGTGGATATGTGGTCTGTTGGAGCCATCTTCGCCGAAATGTGTACTCGAAAGCCCCTTTTCCCTGGTGATTCTGAAATCGACGAAATCTTCAAGATCTTCAAGTATGTCTTTCTGAGTGGCTGGCCCGACGCAGAGCTCGGTCCACGGCAACTGTTCTACGATGCTAATGTTAATCTAGGTTGCTCGGCACCCCTGATGAGACAACTTGGCCAGGCGTGACTTCGTTTCCCGACTTCAAGACCTCGTTCCCTAAATGGCGACGCGAAGCTACCAGCAAGATAGTCCCCAATCTTGAACCAGCTGGGCTCGAATTACTGGATGCCATGCTCGAGTACGATCCCGCACACCGCATCTCAGCCAAAGGAGCCTGCAATCACCCATACTTCGCCGCTGGTTCTGCAGCGTATTCGGCACGTACAAATGGCGCGCCACGGACGAATGGTTACCATTGAGATGCTAGACTGCTAAAAGCACACCCAACGGGATCTGCGGCACGAACGGCGTTGGACTTGACTTGCGTTGAAATGGAATGATTTATGCATTTGGGCTTGGGCTTGGGTTAGAGAACAGGCAATGATTCAAGATGGCATTGACATGGTGTTCATGACGGTCTAGGACGTTTCTATTTTGTCCTCTTGTAGCGAGGTTGACCTTTGGTGACAGGCGTCCCTGGAGACTACCAACTGCTTCTTTGCGAACCGGTTCATCGTGAGTGGTGACGGTGCCTGGACGGGAGCTGGATTGCGGAAAATGTGCGAAAAGCGCAATAGTGACCAGGCACACAAAATGCATTCACGGTTTGACGCAGGCAGAATACATAGGCTCCTGTTGTGGGTTAACTCACTGCTTTTTCTGTTGTACAATGCCTCTTCAGCCTGACTATACAAGTAGCCCCTATGCAACATGCATGCGCGAAACTTTCCAACCCGCGAGATATCTTACGCCCTAAGCTTCAACTTTGTTGTATTGCCCCTATTCCCGCAAGACGGCTCTGTCAGTCTTCGGTCTTCCTCTTCTTGCTCTGGTGACCATTCTTTCCATTCTGCGCGTGCGCTTTCAGCTGTTGACTAGCCTCCTTGAAGAACTCCGGTGGCTCAAGGGGGTGTTGTCCAGTCACGTCATGGAACGCGGTGGTAGAGATGTAGTTGGTCTTTCCCTCGCGGACGAGCGAGTAGTATTCGAGGAGGTATTGCAGTTCAGAGGGATCCAAGTCGGACTGCGCTTGGAGGACCTTCTTCGCTTCGTTCCTGCGAACGGATGTTAGCAAGTGTCCTTGCACCACTGAGAGTGGACGACGTACTCGGAGATGTCCTCAAATTCGAGTTCTTCGCCTAGACTTTGACTAGCTGCTGTTGCAAGTTCTTTGCCCGCGCAGAGCAACGGTCCTGTTTGAGCGTGAGTAGGAGGGGGCTTCGTAGCTATTAGGCTATCATACCGGTCAAAACCATCAATTGGCCCCGATGCTTGTCGCTGAAGCCGTGCTTGCCTTTACCGGTCAGAACATTGGCGGCCACGTTGGCTAGATCCTGCCTCTTGTCAGGACAATGTCAGCGTGTGTCGGAAACACACGTACTTTGATGGCCATGGGTGCGAATTTGTGACTCTCGCCAATAGGAAGCGGGATGCTCTTTTCTTCCAGCAATTGAGGGGCATAGAGCAGGAGATTCTCAGCATAGAATCCGGGGCGAATAACGACAGGCGAATGACCAGTCTCTGTCGATGTGTCGCCTTTGCTAGCCAACACGAGGGTCTCAAGCTCGATGAACTCCCGAAGACGTGGCTGTTTCTGTGGATCTGCGAGGTCGCATCCAGCGGAGCTGATGAAGCAGACGTTTGGTATGTTGGCTCGCTTGGTAGCTTCGATGAGTTCCTGAGTGATTTCGACTTTGTCTTGATGCGCCGGTGGGATCAGGCAGACGGTGTCGGCGCCGGTGGATTTCATAGTGTTGACCATCTCCTTCATCCTACCCGGCTTGTGAGGCACGATCTTGACGCCCATTTTGGAAAGGTCTTTGGCATGCTGGGATTGAGGCTTGAGTGCAAGGCCGGTGATAGTGCCGACTTTCTTCTTGAGGTTATCATGACTGAGAATGAACTCAGCGATGGAGTACCCTGTGTGGCCATCGACGGCGGTGATGCAGATGTTGCGTGACATTTTTGGTCAGAGTGAATCAAGGACAGGGTAGTGGTTAGTAGGAAGGAGTCTTGTAGGGAAGAGGAGTAAGGTAGATGAAGGTCGTCGAGACAGGTGGTACTCCGAGACTTTTACCTTGGTTTCAATTGAGTATGACACACGTAAAGCAACTGAGAGTCGTCATGGTGACGGACTCTATCCAATAGTCAAGCATATACCTGCATTCTACCGGACCTTTGGTTGCCAGTTGTTCGGATCTGTGACAAAATCCTCTCAGCCTCCACAGCAACTAAAGTACGGAGAGTATATCTTGCATTACAACATGACTTGTACAGTTCCCCGATTTGTGAAACCTCACGTAGCCCTCATAGCATCAAAGGTACTGGTATACCCGTCGAATGAGAGACAGACGGCCTGAAAAAGTGCGGACACCTGGCTGGACGTGCCTGAAAAAATAGCATAAAGCTACTCCACGATTGCCAGATTCGCGGAGAAGAAACATCGGAGGCGCATTCCGGTGCCTGAACGTCATTCGAGTACTGAGGAAACTAGAGGAAATTGAATCCACAGCCAGCCTCATCGCTGCGGATCAGACTTCCGGGGGTTTAACGTCATGTTGGACCTGACAAAGAATCACCCTTATTACGCCTTGAGTAAGAAACTCAGTTTAATACCACATCTCTGGCGTTACACTTCGGTTTCCAGGTTGATCACTTGAGGCAAATACAGCAAGCCGACTTGATTCAACATGCCTGAGCACTACATCAACCCGGCTAGGCCAAAAATCCGCTTCTCACTGCTAGAATGTATCGCAATCGGTATGGGTGCCGGAGTGGTTGGGGTTGCAACGTAAAGTGCAATTGTCAGATGCGAGTATTATATGCTGACAGATACACAGTATGACACTATTCGAAAAAGCTGAGCAGGCCCTCACTCACAGACCGAATTCGGAGGTCCCAGGCAAGACGCTGTCGCGACTGTTCAATCTCAACTATGAATCTTCGCCATTCGCGATCAATCAGTGAGCTTCATTGTACCTGTTCTCGTAGACTGAGCTGACATGAATTGCTCGTGAAGTACCATGCATTGGGGTCAGGGAATTCTGGCTGCTGGGATCCGCGGCCTGATGGCATACAATGGCATTGTTGGACCATTTGGCAGTTTTCTTTTCATGGGCGTGAGATTACTCATCGACCAGACCCTCGAAAACGCGACTGGTGTTGGCACTCTACCATGGTACGACAAGTTGTCCGCAAGTGAAGATAAAGCTGACATTGGCATCAGGACATGGCCAGTAAACGAACAGATCATTGACCTTGTGCACAAAGCTGTTTTTGCTTTCACGACCGGATATGTGGCTGACCGATTGATCCTCGGAGAAGCACCTAATGCTTGAAATGCTTGCAGCATCGGGAGCTGAGAATTGAATGTGGCAGCAAAAGCTCAAGATGTGGTCAGGCGTAGAGATGCCGTATTTGACGAGAACATCAGCCTCACCGCGAGCAGCGGTGGGTGCAGGAGAAGTTCAATGGACGAGAGCTGAATATCCTCAAATTGAGAATGCTGTAGGCTAGGCTGGAGTCATGTGCCCACCTTGGCTGACTTTGAAACGAGGACTGTACCTCGTATGGTGTTGCAGGCCGCTCATAACTGGCTGCCTAGCGTAGAAGAAATAGTACTGAACAAAGAGTGTTGCATGTGGTCACCTAGAGTCGCGAGGTGCTGCACTGTATCATCGACCCCATGGAGTCCAGATACCAGGGCTCGACACAAGGGCATCGTCTGCGTGGCTTAGCCCGAGCGAAATAGATCGTCAAAGACGTGTGCGGTCACTTTTATGCTGTCCCTTGTCGAATCATCACCTTTAGGATAACATATAGGTTCCTAGGGACTCTGGTGATGGTGTGAAAAGGAGGGCGCCCTAGGTCGATACCAACTAGAAGGCGCCCCCGGAATTGCTTGGCATTAATTGATCAGGCTGGCCGTCGGTTGCGCGTTCCTGCGGCTTCTAACTTAAAGTCGTGAATGCATCTGTGTCTACAGAATCATACAATCAATTGACCTTCTTATCCTCAAACTCTTACAAGCAAATCAACTGCCCCAACACCGTCAACATGGGCTCAGATCCTCAGTTCACAAAATATCCCAACCTTGTACTCGCCCAACACATTTTTTCCCTCGCAAACACTCCAGAGACTGCACAAGCAACCTCATTAAGCTACCTCCAGAATGCAATCAAAGACAACAAGATGGCGCCACTATATCGGCACTTAGCCCATCCTGCAGAAGGCGTGCTGAACACAATTGGCGAAAGTACAGCGCAGACGACCGCACCACCTCCCCGACTTGCCAGCCGAAGAGGTTCGCTCGTGTCGAGCAATTTATTACCACCTAGAAAAGCTGTACCATCCGGCATCCTCCCCTGGGACGAGTCTCTTTACGAAGAGCTGAAAGCTGATAACGAGAAAGAGCTGGAGGGTTTCCAGAAAGAGGAAGAGGAAGCTGAAGAGAAGGCTGGAGAAACAGAAGTACAAGCGGCCCGGAGCAAGCGTGCCGAGTTCTGGGCTCGAGTGGGCGACAAGGTCAGCAAGATACACGACGGGACAATCGTTCAGACGGCTAATACGTGTGTAGGACAAAGCTATAGAGGCACTTGAGAAAGTCTTCGACAAGACGGGTCCTCTGGGGACCAAAATCGACATCGTGCTGGCAATCATCCGAATCGGACTCTTCTTCAACGACAAAGCTTTTGTCAAAAAGCAGGTTGACCGCGCAAATATACTCGTTGAGAGTGGTGGTGACTGGGATCGAAGGAATCGATTAAAGGCATACAAGGGCCTCCATCTTCTCACCGTTCGTTCCTACAACCTCGCCGCGCCTCTCCTGCTCGACAGTCTGTCCACCTTTACCAGCTACGAGCTTTGCAGTTACTCGTCGCTCATCGTATACGCCGTTCTCGCAGGTTCGCTATCACTGAAACGGGTTGACTTCAAAGCCAAGGTTGTTGATGCGCCAGAGATCAAAGCCATCCTGGGCAACAATGAAGAGAAGGCTTCTGGGCAGGACGAAGAAATGAAAGACGTGTCTGCATCGACGGCAGAGCGTGCAGCTGGTCTGGTCAATGTGGCTTCCCTTGGTTCCGGTTCAGCATTCGAGTCGCAAACCGAGGCGCCTGTGGATGTTTCGTCGCTGGGCAAGCTGGTGAACAGCTTGTACGGCGGCCATTACCAAAAGTTCTTCTTTGCTCTGGCTGCGGTGGAGGAGAGCTTCTTGACACAGGACCGCTACCTGTACGAGCATCGTGCGTGGTTTGTCCGCGAAATGCGCCTCCGAGGTTATCAGCAACTTCTACAGTCATATCGAGTGGTGGGTCTGTCGACCATGGCACAAGCCTTCGGGGTCAGTGTGGATTTCCTGGATAAAGATCTCGCCAGATTTATCGCTGCTGGACGCCTTAGTTGCACAATCGACCGAGTGCAAGGGACTATTGAGACAACCCGGCCAGATGACAAGAACAAGCAATATGCAGATGTTGTGAAACAAGGTGACGCCCTGATCACCAAGCTACAAAAGTACGGGCAGGCTGTAAGACTACGTGGAAGTGAGAGAGCTTAGGTGGACCTCTACTGGCTCGAAGTTCGAGGTGGCTGGTTTGAGCGGCATGCATAAGCATAAACAAAGGCATCAGAGCGCAAGGTGTTCCGGGCAGAGTTGAAGGCATCAATATCGTCGTCAACATACATGTGCATCCGCGGAAAATAGACCTCTGCATCGCTTATCAGTGATGCTTGAGTCGAATAAGAAACGCCCTGGACGCATCTCGTCACCCATGCAAAATGCCAGGGCTATTTGTTCCAATAAATTCCTCGGCTTGAATACCCCCACACCCTGGACTCTTGCGATAAGATAGAGAGGAGGGGGCCCTGGTAACCTGGTGAGTACATGACGGTATTCGTATTTTTATTGACTCCATGTAGATAGCTGTTCACGCTCTTACGCATAGCTTGCTACAGATCGTGTGCTCATTTTCTTGTCCCTCCGGATGATAGCGAAGCTATGAAGCATAACCTACATTGAGCTCCGATAACGGTTCGTGCTTGCCTACTAGTCAATCCCCCACACAATTCTTTGGTCCTGCAGAGAAAGGCACTCGCTGCAAATGTCGAGGGCTTCTGTCGTGCTTTCGAGGGCTCAACTCTTCTCTCTGGAACTTGCTACAGCTTGCAGATCGATATCGCCGAGTACAACACCACGTCACACGTCGGCATCACACCGACGTATCACACCAGGTACGAAAAAGCAATGCGCATCTACATCTCCGTCTTCTGCCCATGCCTTGTGACTCATCATTCCCGTCTTTGCTTCTGCTCGTATGATAACTGCTAGTCGACCGGTTATATAACGATAACTAACATTCGTCTTGTATAGCCTGTTCTTCCTGTCTTGCAACCTGGTACCCTTCGAGTCGCCGCAACATGTCGTCGTCACCAGGCCTGCGCAGTTTAAATATCAACAATATCAATCCACATGTGAAGGCGGCCCAGTACGCTGTTCGAGGAGAGCTTGCAATCAAATCAGAAGAACTACGCATAAAACTGAAGGAAGATGCATCTCTACCCTTCGACTCTGTCATATCTGCGAACATTGGCAACCCTCAACAACTTGACCAGAAGCCTCTCACGTTCATCAGGGAAGTGCTTGCCCTAGTGGAATACCCGAAACTGTTGGAAAATGAAGAAGCACTGAAGTCAAGTTTCGGCTACCAACAAGACGCAATAGACCGTGCCAAGTGGCTACTGAAAGAGGTGGGTTCAGTAGGAGCATATTCCCAGTCTATGGGCGCCGCAGGAATACGCCAGTCTGTGGCCAACTTCCTTGAGAAGCGTGACGGTTTCGCGGCAGACAAGAAGGATATATACTTGACTGCTGGCGCCTCGGCAGGCGTACACACCCTGCTACATGTGATCTGTGCGAAACCCGAGACTGGCATTCTCACACCTATACCACAATATCCTCTCTACACTGCCACATTATCAATGCTGGATGCTCGTTGCGTCCCTTACTACCTGGACGAGACCCATGGTTGGGACACCAGTGTCTCTGGCATGAGAGAAGCGTATGAAAAAGCGACCAGTGACGGTACAGATGTTCGTGCTCTTGTTGTCATCAACCCGGGAAACCCTACAGGAGCTTCACTGTCAGAACAGGACATTGAAGAGGTCATCAAGTTCGCTGCTGAGAGGAAGCTAGTGATATTGGCGGATGAGGTCTATCAGACAAACGTCTTCATTGGAAAGTTCCACTCTTTCAAGCGTGCCTTGCGGGTGATGCAGCGAAGGGACCCTGGCGTTTATGACCACGTCGAGCTGGCCTCTCTTAACTCGGTCTCGAAAGGTATGGTCGGTGAATGTGGCCATCGTGCAGGCTATTTTGAGCTGGTAGGATGGGATGCAGAGGTCCAGGATCAGATCTACAAGCTCGCCAGCATCATGCTCTGCCCGCCCGTAATAGGGCAATGTCTGCTGGAGATGGTGGTCAACCCACCAAAAGAAGGCGACCCTAGCTATGAAAAGTACCACAAGGAGTACAACACGATCAAAGATGGTCTGCTAGAGAGGGCGACTGCACTGTATGAGGCCTTTGAACAAATGGAAGGTGTTGAGGTCGGTGAGCCACAGGTATGTAACTGACCATGGTTCGTCACTGGGTCTCTGCTAATTCTTCCCAGGGCTCAATGTATCTCTTCCCTACGTTGCACCTCCCAGAGAAAGCGCAGAAGGCGGCGAAAGAGGCTGGTAAGAACCCAGACGACTTCTACTGCCTTCGCCTCCTCGATGCGACAGGTATCTGTGTCGTGCCAGGATCCGGTTTCGGTCAAAAGCCAGGAACGCTACATTTGCGGACAACGTTCCTCGCTCCGGGAACAGACTGGGTAACTCGGTGGACAAAGTTTCACAAAGATTTTATGAAGGAATACAGCTAGGTACGCACCCGCAAGTTGAGGGAAGAACAGTACGGGCGCGACTCATATGTGAGGCTGAAGGTCAGAGCATTTGATGGTGGTTTGCAATGGCTAGCTCGCAAGCATCTGAAGTATATCTTATGTGCAGGCTACGTGGATCATCTTGGTCACAGTCCAGAATCAAGAGGAGGCAGATTTATGGTAAAACTGACGTTAAGGATATCTCACAAACTGAGGCGCGCCGGAAATCGATATGTTCCCTTGGTGATGAAGAGCCTTTTGCACATGTTCTACTGTAACCTCGTCAAATGCAGGCCAATCGCTACCGATGCAGAGTAAGCCAGAAATTGGCTTATATAAGACGTGGCCCCTGGGTCCCACAGCCCTGTTCGATTTGAACCTTCATCTGGAAAGGTATCCGTATCTAGACATGCTCTGATATCAGGGCAAGAAGATGGACGCACCTCAAACCCAAGACTATCGTCCACCAACCCATGTTTTGATAACGACGTTTCCACCGCACCAAATTCGTCCGGGTCGTCCGCCCCTTTCGGTACGTCAAGGTTTCTCTACCAAACGTCCCGCGGTCTGAGGACTAGATCCCGACTATACTTTAGACAGTTTCTGGACGTTTCTAAGCCGCCTTTTCGATGAAAACACCCCACTCTAACCGGAGACATATGGCCACAGGCACGGAACGCTTTTACAAATCCTCGGTAGAGTATTGCCGGTGCAGTGCGGCCAGGGTTCCGCATCCGTGCACCCCAGGATCCATAAAGGGTAGGCATATATAGAGTTCATCTCGGGTCAAGCTGGCCCGCGGCTATACCATAGCACAGCACAGCCTACAGGTAGGAAGCTTCTTGATCAAACCAAAGGCGAAGCACCAGTTTATACGTCAAAGTAAACAGCTTCAACCCCGTTCTTCTATATCACTAAAAAAATTGGGATATCCGAAGCAAGCAAGGCACGATGGTCCAACTCCCCAAGCTCTCACCACCAAGCTCGAAGCCCGAAGCCGAGGTCGATCCAGAATTCGCTCCGCTCATCGATCAATGCAACAAGGACTTCGGAGCACTATGGGAGCTACCGCTCGCCGACTTCAAAGCTGCGTGGTTGGCGTCGCCGATAGCCCTGAGGCCCGAAGTTCCTTCAATTGATGAGATCGATGTGCAAATCCAAAAGGCGCCTGTGTCGGACGGCACTGAGGTCGAGATCCAAATTTACTCGCCTAAAGGTTCTCAGGAGGTCTTGCCGCTGATGTTCGTCACGCATGGCGGAGGGTGGGTCGTCGGGGGCCACTCGATTGAGGAGAGTGTGAACCGTAGCGTTTGTGTCAAGAGTAAGGTGAGGGTCGTTTCTGTGGATTACCGCATGTATGTCGCCAGGGTTCTTCTGTGATGCAACGGAAAGCTGACCACCGTCTCGCAGGGCTCCGGAGTACAAGTTCCCATACGCGGTGAACGACTCGTGGGATGTGTTGGTCTGGGTACGTCTGCCACGATCTAACTCGATGTCTGGTCGGAGGTGATTCATGCTAATGGGATGATCGTAACATGCAGTGCCAGAAGAATGCGGAAAAGTTGAGGATTGATCCGCATCGCATCATAGTTGCGGGAGGGTCTGCCGGTGGGAACCTGGTAAGGCAGCCTGACGGTACAGACTGGGTGGATGGGATGCTGACTATGATTGAACCAGGCTGCTGTTCTCGCTCAGAAAGCTAGGGATGAAGGCGTCAAGGGCATTGTTGGGCAAGTACTCAATATCCCGGTGACTTGTCATCCAAAGCTCTTTCCCAAGGACAAGTATAAGTATACGAGCTTCGATGTGGACAATTTTGACGCACCGATCATCGATGCGGCGAAGATGGTGTGGTTCTGGGGTAATGATATGCGCCCCGATAAAGCGCGGCTATTGTACTGACGCCGGATGTTTAGATCAATACTTGGATGAGGTGAAGCCCGATCCGCGGCATAGTCCTTTGGTTGCCGAGTCGTTGGAGGGACTGCCGCCGGCGCTGGTACAAGTTGCTGGTACGTCTAACACTGACTTGAGCAGCTGCTATGTGGATTTGTGATGCTGACAGGCAATGTAAGGCATGGATCCACTCCGAGACGAAGGCCTGGCATACGCTGAAGCATTGAAGAAAGCCGGTGTCGATGTCGACCTCAAGTTCTATCCTGGTGTGCCGCACGGATTTAGCTTTTTCCCATCGGTGGCCAAGGTGAAGGATTATAACGAGAACGTGGTAGACTTCGTTAAGCGCGTCATATGAATTGCAAGTACGCTTAAGGCGTGTCAGAATATATCTGGTCCTTCGCCAGCTTGTAAATCTGGACAAACGCAGTCGTCGTATGGAGTTCCGAAACCAACGGTACAGCGTCAAGTGAACCAAGAAGGAAGAGATCGCACAATGAAGGCTTACTTTTGCTCTACCATAGTGATGGATTCTGCTGAAGCCGGTAGTCATAGTTGAGTCTATTGACCGTTACCTGGCTGTTGTTCCTACCGCTCCTTCTGCTGCTCCAATTCTTGCTTGGCTCGGGGATTCTCCTTGACAATCAATAGTTTGCCCTGGGATATTTGCCACAAGGTGAAGCCCAGGTTGACAAAGAACAATATGATAAGCCAGACGAGTCCTATAGCAGTCATCACGCGGAAGAATGGCGAATCCATCTCGATGCTGAACTGCGACAGCGAAGTGATCAACGTTCCCACAGGGAAGATAGCGCTATTCCAAGCAGGAGTCCAACTCAGCTCCTTTTTCACAGCACGCTCGATCATGCAAATGAATGCGACGATCAACCAAATTGTAGCCATGCCGGAAAGCAGAAACGCTAACAATATGCACGCAACCTCAAGCGGAGCAGCTGATGTCTCTGTCAAGAATGTTCCTTTGTTATACCCCTTGAATCTGCCGTATTGATGAGCTGCAGAGCCCAGAAGTTGCAAAGCAGCAGCAGACTGCCCCATGGGGCCCACGAGGAGGAACATCCCAGCACTTTGCTCAGGTGCAGGCCAGCCCTTAGCAAATAGCTGATGCACAATCATCGTGTAGATAATCAACCCGAGGAAGATTCCGACCCCAACAGACCAGAAAGAGAAGATGATGACCGGTACCGCCATTCTCGCGGAAATGTGGCTCGAGAAACTGGAGAGGAGGCCACCAACTGTGGCTAGAGTCGAGACACCGACAGTGGGAATAAATACCATAGGTGGAAGTGACCGGTCCTTGATTGCGTGTCGACGGGTGATGATGATAAGAACAAAAACAGCCGTGGAAAGCACCCAGGCCGCGCCGAACCACCACATGACATAGGCAACGATGGTAAATGCATGCGAACCCCAATGTGCTTCGCTGATAATCAAGGAAACGAACGCAGTGACTGTCAGCCACGCGATAGGCCAGCAAGCAAGCAGGCCCAGATCAGGGATGTTTTCGCAGATCTCGTTGTAAGGTTGCCCTCGGAACATTGCGAAGCGAAGGAGCATCACCACCGAGAACATGATGAAGAGGATGAAGTCGATCATGAATGCTATTGTTGACAGCACAGGTAGCCCGTTGAACTGGTAGGGAAGTTGGTGCATCAGAATAGCAATAATGCCAGCATTCATGCACCAGGAAAACCTGAGATCTGGTCAGCGTTTCATACCCAGATAGAAGTGATCATTCGTGCTGTGCTTACCATATTGGTGAGAAATCCTGTACCATAGCCCGAAAGGCGCTTCTCTTAAGAGGCTCGCTGGTTTGAGGTTTCCTTTCGATATCAGGGCGACCATGCGCTCCATTGTTGCCATTGGCATCGACCATGTCTGCGCTGTTGGATGGAAACGAGGTGGCAACGTGATGAAACAGTGAAGAGAGACCGAAAAGCGATCCTCGTGAAGCAGCTATATTCGCAAACCTTGGTCCGGCCTCATAGATAACCTGACAACATGACGCCTTCAATAAAGTCATGTCGTAAACCTGATGAGCTTTGGATATGATCCACGTGTTGGCCCGCGCGTGGGTCTGGCACTCAAGTTACCTGTAACACCCCATGAGGAGACCCAGCGCCTGAAGGCTCTGAACAGCCATGGTGGACAAATACCGTCTTGTGGGGAATGGGACGGCGCAATATTGCATGGGCCAGGACGTCATGTTTGCTCTCGACGGCAGGAGTCGATATGTTCAAATAATGTTGACGTAAGTCATGCCTGATGATTCCGAGAATCCCGAAAGCAGAGCCTTCCCTGCTCCAAGCTTTTGCCGGGATTGCTATCCGGGTGGTCGTTCTCCAGTGGAGAATCTGGAGAAGGGCAAGGAATCTTTGGGAATAATCAAAGCAGGATGCAGTGACGTCGGTACAAGGTATTATAAAAAGTTATAAGCATTTCAACCACGCGGTCAACGGGAGATGATATGTATAGCCTATCTAACTTAGATGTGTTTGAGGGACACATGAGTCCAGCCACCTCCTCACTGCCAAGTTGCCAACAGCTCCCCCAACGCACAGTAGTCCGGGCGTTGGTGAATCCCCCACACACGGCAACCCAATCCGGCATCGGCGACGGCATGAACGGCGTTGACCCCCGCATCACCCCAGGTACATAGTGTTCATGATAGCATTGTTACAGCAATCCAATTACTTTTCCTGCATTCCCAAGCAAATATAATTTCATACTACCACTAACTTCACCATGTCCGACCTCATCCACGGCCTGGAAGTGGCCAAGCACAAATCCCGCGAGTCATGCTGGGTCATCGTGCAAGGTAAGGTCTACGATGTGACAGAATACCTCGACAAGCACCCAGGCGGCTCAACGATCCTGCTACAATATGGCGGAAAGGACGCCACAAGCATATATGAAGCCAACCACCCCGAAGGCACGATCGAGAAGCATCTGCCCAAAGAGAAGCACTTAGGCCCCGTCGACCCAGCCACAGTGTCAACGCCCAAGAATCCCCAAGTTACACGGGACTTGGACAAGACTCCCGTTATTCCTCTCTCGCACTGTTTGAACCTGGACGATATAGAGAAGGCCGCCGAACGTCTCATCAAACACAGCGCCTGGGTATATTTCCACTCAGCGGCGGACAGTCTAGGCGCACTCGAGAACAACCGCGATGACTGGAAGAAAATCACCCTTCGACCACGCATCATGCGTAACGTGCACCGCGTGAACATGCAACGCACGATGCTCGGCCAAAAGTCTCGACTACCATTCTTTATCGCGCCAGCCGCCCGGGCCGGCCTCGTCCACGAAGACGGTGAACTATGTCTAGCCCGTGGCGCCGCCAGAGCCGGCATCCACTACTGCCCCAGCACGCACTCGACAATACCGCACGCCGATTTGGCCAAGTGCGCCGCCGAGATCCGCGGATCCAGCGAGTACGGCGCTCAATTCTTCCAACTGTACGTCGCGCACGAGAGGTCACTGACGCTCGAACGTATCGCCACGGCGCGGAACAACGGGTACAAAGCGCTGTTCATAACGGTCGACAGTCCTGTCGTCGGCAAGCGCGAAGAAGATGAGAGGTACCGCGCGGAGCTGGCCACAGCCTCGGGAGACGATTCGGTCCTGACAGAATGGTACCGCCCATCGACCAGCGAAGACGGGCCACCACTGCGTGGCCACCACTCATCTACCCTCAACTGGGATGATTTACCGTGGATTCGAGAAGCGTGGGGGAACGCCGGCCCCATTGCCCTGAAGGGCATCCAGACGGCCGAGGATGCGGCGCTGGCGGTGGAATACGGCATCGACGCAATATACCTGAGCAACCACGGCGGACGGCAGTGCGACGACGCACCCAGCGCCATCCGCACGCTGCTGGAGATTCGCAAGTTCTATCCCAATATCCTCGGCAAGGTAGAGATATACCTCGATGGATGGGTGCGACGGGGCGCCGACGTCATCAAGGCTCTGTGTCTTGGTGCCAACGGTGTCTCGCTCGGCAGACCATTCATGTATGGCGTATCCATGGGTGATGAAGGTGTGATGAAAGTCATACAATGTAAGTTCTCGACGCAATGTCGACCTCGGAGAAGAGCAACGCTAACCGCACCATCTCAGTGTTGAGCGAAGAAATCGAAACAACAATGCGCAACATGGGTGTTGCCAGCGTCGATCAGCTCAATCCATCCTACGTCAACACCAAGAGACTCGAGCTCGAACTTCCTGATGACCTACGGTTCGGCGCATCGTGGACCGAAATGATTCGATCGAAGTTATAAGAGTAACTCACGAGTCACTGGGTCTGCCTCCGATTTCTATCAGATCTAGAGTGTCTCCGGGAAAGCCACACCATTAACATGCCGTTTTGAGGTATTACATAAGTAATCATCCTGTACATCTATGACAGATCGTTGCCGCGCAGGCGGCTGCACGAGACCCAACCGTTACGCCAGAGCCTCGTGACCGAACCATATCCTACAGCATCATTCGCTAAACATTGCTTTATGAAGAAGAGCTAGTTCCCAAACCGCCAGTTCGGTCTTTCACCTCGGGGCCCCGGTCATGCATGAGTGGTAGCAAATCTTCACTTCTGCCTTCAGGATTGACCAGACTGGTCGGTGCTCCGTCGACAGCGTCGTCATCAAATTGAATGACTTCATCGTCGTCCTCATCCTTCTTCTTGAGCTTATCACGCGCCTCCTGTCGCATCTTCATGATCTTCATATAGTTGTAGCTGGCGATACTGCATATTGTGACCAGCAATCCACTGATGTTTACCATGGACAGCTCGTCGTGGAACACTATGCCCGCCGCACTGATGGTGACCACTTCTTTGAAAATGCCACAGATGCTGAGCGTGACGACACTAGTCCGTTGTAACAAGGTGAACTCGCTTGCAATCATGCAGAACGCCAGACACCCAGGAATGAAGAGCAGAAGCAATGCCTTCAGAAGGCCTTGCGAGCTGATCAACATCTCGATCCCCGTGACGACCGCAGCTGGTGTCTCGGAAATGCAAGCAATGGTCATCAATGTGACAAACATAATTGGCGACAGAAAGAAAAGCGTCGCAAAGGGGTTCGAGGTTGCCGGGTGTCGCAGAAGAAGGATCTGAGTCAGCCCCCACCGAAAGCCGGAGAAGAAAGACGCAGATATTGCCAGCGCAAAGCCCAGTGCGTGGAATGATGTCTCGCCTGCGACCATCATAAGAACGCCGATCGTCATGGTGAGGATGATCAAGATCAATTTGAGCGAGAGTTTCTCGAGTCGGAAGATGAAAGCGAATGCGAGGACGAAGATCAAGACCGAGGATTTACACATGGTGTAGAATGTAAGGGTGATGTATCGAAGGGATGTATTTCCCAAGCCAATGTCGAGGGATGTGGTTGTCCCTGTTGGAACCAGTCGAGTAAAATAGAACAACGGCGTGACCAGCCTTTTCGAAGAATGCGATTCGCCTCGGTACGTAGACGGCTGGGGTTGAGTAGGTCGTAGATGAGGAAATATGAGAAGAACGATCGAGGCCAGACTGAACTGGACCAGCATGTGGAGAGATGTTGCAAACAGTGGGAAAGGGAAGTCGATGTGGTCAGAGGAGAACATCATCTTGTTGTACTGGAGGGCAATCAGTAATTGAAGCAGCGGCCGATGCGAGGAGACTCACAATGGATATTGACAGAGAAAATATATACCATAGTCCAATCAGACTGGCATTCACTAGTAATCGATGAAGGACACTCTTGTCGGCTTCTTTGGCTTCATCTTTGGAGCCCCTGGCGGTCCCTGCGATGCGAGCGTCCAATCCATCACGTTGTCTCTTCCTCTTCATATACTTTTGTCGTTCATGTTTGTTCAACCCGGCCTCTTCATCGTCTTCCAGGTCGACGTCCGAGTCGAGTGCGTCTAGTTCGTGTTCTTCTGATTCCGACATGTAGGAGACTGCCTCATCGTCCGAGCTCGCAGTTGAACCAGTCCCTCGACGCCTGAATTTGCGACGAGGATTGATGACTGTCGACTTGTTCTCGGTCGGAGTCGAGGGTGCAGCAGAAGACGACGTCCTTTGGATGTGATCCCTGTATGGCTTCGCGGCCATGTGAGAAAGAGTTTCGGCGAATAGAGGTCAGGACATTGACCCGTCACGGCTCAAGGGTCGATGGGGAAGGAGCGACTCGTGTGTCCAGGGAATCTGAAAAGGTAGCGAACGACAATGAACGTTTCAATACGACCGAAAGGAGCGAAGAGAAGAATTGTTTGGGCCGTTTGGAGGTATGAGCGCAGTTACACGGAAAAGGTACGCGATAAGTTAGGGGCTACTTCCAGGTACACGTGGATACAATGATTCCATATCTGTCAGCCCCGGGCCTCGATGATCAACCATCAAAGCCCACTTCAAGATCATTATCGGCGCCAAGATGTGTGGCGCATGCATAACCGGCTTAACCGGTCCTTTATTGAAACTACCTGGCATAGCTGGTATTCTTCTCTATTCATCGCCTTTATCACCCTGCTTCGCCTTCTTTGCCCTCCACAAATAATACTCCCCAGCCGTCATCACCGGGTATTTGGATGGATTGTCCTCGGATATACATGATGGGATAGGCTCCATGATCATCCTTCTGTCCAGTCCATAGAAGAACGGAATCGAATACCTCTCATGACCACTCTTGTTGATTACTCGGTGGACAGTCGACACAAAATAGTCGTTGGTCTGGCGCATGAAGCAATCTGCGATATTGATCACAAACGAATTTGGTACTGGGTTCGCTCGGATCCATCGGCCTGATTTGCTCAACACTTCAAGTCCTCCGGACATGTCTTGGTTGACGATGGTGAAGCACTCGAAATCCGTATGAGCTCCAATACCATTCTGGTCGTCAACAGTTGCCTCCTGTTCCGGGTAATGGAGGATGCGCATGCCAGCCTCAGGCGTCTTGGCCCATTCGTCAAAATATGTTTCTGGAAGGTGGAGTGCCAGCGCAAATATCCGGGTCATCTTGCGCGCAAACGACAGCATGGGAGTGTGGTAAGCATATAACCCTTCTCTGAAGCCGGGTAGATCGCTCGGCCATATTGACGTTCCTGCATCGTTCTCTGGGTTTTCGGGATCTTGCTCAGCCGAGTAAGCCAGATTGAAAGCTTCACTGAGGTCTGCAAAGAGGTAAGAAGGTCATTCGCAGGCTGTGATCGCTGTTTGAATCCGCAGACTAGGGATTGGCCTACCTTTATGTTTTCTTCCATTCCTGTTATAACTAGACATGGCATGATATCCCACGTATTCCTTGGGTACAAGGTTGGTGTCCACCTCGAGCTTATTCTCCAGCGGCAAGGCGAAGAAACGCTTCGCTTGCTCAAAAACGTCTTCTGCCAATTTGGGATCAAATCGCTGAGAGAAGACCGTTGATCAGCTGTTGCACAGGTCAGGGAGTGAGATACTCACATGGTTGACCACATAGAAGAACCCAATACGATGAGCAGCTTCACGAATCTTATCGGCCACAGCTTGCCGGTCTTCCAGCTTCTCACTATAGATGCCGTCCACGTCGATGACAGGGATTTCATCTGCATCCGTCGCCTCATTGGATTTCACGTGAAGGACCTGGCCATTCTGCAATCTGATAACCAGCGGATTGTTCGCCTCGGTTTCTGTTACGACTTGCGACATGGTGAATGATGATAGCAGCCAATGAGGTCGACTTTGCACAGGCGATGAAGAATATATGCGATAGGTGAGTTGCCTCCTCCGACTCGAGACACTGTTATGAATCTCCTCAAGTCTGATTAAAGGTTGAGCGGCGGAAACTGATACTCGTACATTGCTCGGACTTGGGAGACGGAGGTACCCGCGTCCTTCCTCTTCTGCTATGGTTTTGACACCCTGCATGAAACGAGACTGGTCCCGATTGTGCGAACCTCCACAATTGGCCAGGACGAATTCCGAGATATCAACCCCAAAAGTAAATTGATTACGATGATTGGCCCATGGACTTCTTAACGGTCGTCAAGCCTCATAACGTTATCCCGACCTTGACATTCTCAACGATCGTCAGATCTCACACCCCATTCTTGAGGTATTGATCAGCGATGAGACCTCTTTGCGGCAAAGCAGCACTAGGGGTGCACATGTTCGGCGCAGATCGTTCTCACTTCATGACGCTAACAACGTCCTAGCAAGACCGCCCCTTGTGTCTTGCCGTCCATTGCAGCTCTGGACCGCCCTGGGATAAGGCTCTGGACTGGCGTCGATATCATACCTTATCAAACACCCCGGCGAGTGGCCGGCGACGGAAAGGAGATGGGCGACATCATGCCGTGAGAGCCGTAAACGAAGTTCGCTAATGTGCAGCTTCTCATGCAGAAGAACATGGGTAGATATGCGACTGGACGGACTGGCTAGCCTTTAGGAAGGCAAGGAGTACTCTTGATAAGCTCATCGGCTGGCGCAAGATTTCCTCTGACCTCCTCCAAAACAATCTCTATACATCACTCAGGGCTACGATTGTTGGTTTGCTAAGTCTGCAATCTAGTCGAAGCTATGTCTTCCCTGCGCCAACGCGCCGCTCGGCTCAGCAAGAAGCTTGAGGTCCCTGTCGACGAGAACCTCGATGGTGAAAGACCTACAGCATGGAACAACCGTGATCTGGCACCTCTCCCTCCGTCCAGACGTACCTGGACTGTGTTCGGATTTTTAGGCTTCTGGGCCGTGATACAATTGAACACAGTGGGTTGGCAGACCGCAAGCTCATTGATCTCCATGGGCTTGAGTGTCTGGGAGGCAATGGTTGTGACAATCATCGCTAAGGTCAGTGTCGTGCGACATAGCTTCTCTTGTCCGGCACCTCAACTGACTCATACCATTGTAGTTTCTTATTGCTGGGCTCGCTATCACGAACGGCTGGTGGGGTGCGGTATGGCATGTCGGCTTCTCTGTTGGCAATCGCGCTGTCTGGGGCCTCAGAGGTTCCTACCTTGCTCTCGCACAAAGGATCATGCTGTGTCTGGTCTGGTACGCCGTCCAAGCGTGGATCGGCGGACAAATGACCGGAGTGATGCTTTACGCCATCTTTTCTGGTTACAAGAACATTCCCAACACCTTTCCAGCCAGCGCCAACATGACGACTCAGCAGTTCGTCGGCTTCATTATCTTCCTCTGCTTTCAGTTTCCCTGCCTCTTGATCCCTCCCGAGAAGACAGCCATCTTGTTTCGCTACGCCAACATCATCACGGCTGTTACCATGTTCTCAGTCACAGTGTGGGCACTTGCCACTGCACATGGGGGTGGTCCATTGCTCGTCGCCAACAGCACCCTTACCACAACCAGTGAGAGAGCGTGGGCTATCATTCGCGGCATCACGACTGTCATTGGCTCCATCGCAGTGTCCCTTACCAATCAAAGCGACTTCAATCGTTTCGCAAAGACTCCTGGCGCTCAAATCCCTGGCCAGGTATACTCTACCGTCATCATCGGCTCGCTAGTGACGCTGATGGGCACCCTCAGCACGTCCGCCGCGCAGAAAATCTATGGAGAGTTGCTCTGGTCCCCCGCCGAGCTTGCCATTCGGTGGATGGAGGATGGCTACACTGCTAAAGCTCGTGCAGGAGCTTTCTTTGCCGGCTTCGGCTTTTTCATTTCCCAGCTGAGTATCAACACCGTCGACAATGCGTGGCCAGGCGGATTCGATCTCGCTGCTCTCTTTCCAAAGTGGATCAACATCCGCCGTGGAGCTGTCATCACCTTCATTCTGGGCATCGTCATCAATCCGTGGCAGCTCGCCGATACCGCCAACACCTTCATCAACGTGCTTGATGGCTACTCAGTGTTTCTAGGCCCGATGGTGGGCATGATGGTCTGCGACTTCTGGATTGTTCGTGACAGGAAACTCAAGCTCTCACATTTATATTTGGCCGATCCATCTTCAATTTACTGGTACAACCATGGATTTAATTGGCGCGCCTATGTTTCCTGGCTCATCGGCATGGCACCCGCTTTACCTGGATTCATTAACGCGGTCAACCCGTCGATCCACGTGCCCAAGGGCGCTCAGGAGATCTTTTATCTCGCTTACATCGAAGGATTTGTACTGGCTTTCGTCGTGCATTACGTCCTCAATCGGCTGTTCCCTGTGCCGGGCTTAGGGGAAATTGATGGGGAAGATGTATTTGCTACTTTCTCGGTGGAAGAGGCAAACAAATTGGGTGTTGTGCCTCACCCAAAGTTACTGGAAGGAGTGGAGATACGCACACCGTCGGAAGAGGAAGAGGTAGAGGCAAAGGCTGTGGTGGTTGGGGAGAAAGTGGTTGATTAACCGTTGAATGTTGAGATGACACGATGTCTTGTCATTACCTCGGACTCTATTGCCGCTGCATTCGACGTTGTCGACTGCCCCAGTTCCGAACTGCATACATACCTAGGATGCACACGCAAGGCTGGCCTAGTGTCACGTGCAATGTATCTGTCACGGGGATCATATCCGGTCATACAAAGTCATAAATCTTATCGTCGTATGGATCCGCCAGCAAGGCGATGACTTCATGTTTTTTTGACCGTTTAAATGAATAAACAATACATGATGATTTTATAACACGCCGAAGGTTCCTCAGCTAAAACATCATTCTTGTAGTCGCTCGTTGAGACATTCGACCCTTCACTTAGTCATCATTCGTTTCCTCAATCCGTACGACTCGTGACCAATTGTGACACCTTGAAACAAAGAGCTTCCCCGGATTTTGCTCAGGCTGAGTCTTTCCTCACCTCAAGCTCGCGTGCTCAGAGAATTCCCTACTTCTGAGGCTCTTTTCGATCTATAACTGCATGCTGTTCCATTGGTGGCCGAACACACCGTCGAAGCTTTGGATCTACTCGCTATGGGCGAATTAAGAGATACGGAAGCCCCTCTCCAGATCGAGGATTATGGCCTCATTGGTGACATGCGAACATGTGCTCTTGTGGGCAGGAACGGTAGCATAGACTTCATGTGCTGGCCTCAATTTGACTCTCCCTCTATCTTCGGCAGGCTTCTCGACACAAGCAAAGGAGGTGGTGGACACTGGAGTATAAAGCCGCGGAAAAGCACCGTGTGCAAACAAAACTACCGAGCATCCTCCAACATCCTACAAACGAAATGGATCGATGAGGACGGCGTGGTCAACCTTACCGACTTCTTCGCTCTGTCCAAGTACAACAAGCTCCTTCGCGAGAAATGGAGTGGTTCAACCTTAGTACGCAAACTCGAATGTGCCCGCGGGAATATGTCAATCGACATCGAGCTTCGTCCACGGCCAGGTTACGCCCAAGAAGCAGGATTTCTGCATGAATCCGAAGCCGAGGAGGAAGACGGCACGTACCACCAGAGACTGACCTGGACATCCGAGGGTTCTGATTCTACTTCCGACGTCCCCGAATTCTTTGTCGCGTATTGCACGCACGACAAGCCCCTTGACGAACCTCCGAAACTGTTTCAACCAACCAAGAACCACAAGGGCGTCGACGACGTCCTTCGGGCTCGCTTCGACCTTTCAGAAGGCCAGCAGATCTTCATGATCATGTGCAACCGGCACGTAGGTCCACAGCTGAGCAAAGACCTGATCATCAACCTTGAGTCCGAGACATACAAGTTCTGGACTAGCTGGATCCGCTCCTGCACATACCGCGGGCGCTTCCAGCAAGAAGTCGAACGCAGCATGCTCATCCTCAAACTCCTCACGTACGACCCAACAGGAGCCATCGTCGCAGCCCCCACATTCTCTCTTCCCGAAGCCATCGGCGGCCCACGAAACTGGGACTACCGGTACTCTTGGGTGCGAGACAGCAGCTTCACCATCTACGTCTTCCTCAAAATGGGCTTTCCGAATGAAGCCGAAGCGTACATCAACTTCATTTTCGCACGCATTGCCGAGTGGCGACGACAGCAAGAATCCGCCAAAACAACGCACCATCTCCCCCTGATGTTCAGCATCGACGGCTCAACGTCTCTGCCTGAACTCACACTTGACCATCTGTCAGGGTACAAGGACAGCACACCCGTGCGCATCGGTAACGCGGCGACCGACCACGTCCAGCTCGACATCTACGGCGAACTCATGGACTCAATATACCTGTACAACAAGCACGGCAAGCCCATTTCGTACGCTCAGTGGCTGGACATTCGCTACCTGACGGATTTTGTGTGTCAAGTCTGGGACACACCCGACATGTCGATCTGGGAGGTCCGTGGGCAACGGCAGCACTTCGTCTACTCCAAAATGCTGCTATGGGTCGCCGTTGATCGGGCGTTACGGCTGGTCGAGAAGCGCAATTTCCCCTGCCCGAACCGCAACAAGTGGATTGAAACCCGCGACACAATCTACGAGCAGGTCATGGAGAAGGGTTTCAACTACGACATGAACTGCTTCATCCAGAGTTACGAGTACAATACAACTCTCGATTCCGCTGTGCTGATCGCTCCGCTGGTGTTCTTCATGTCCCCGAACGATCCGCAGTTCGTGGGGACATTAGACGCTATTCTGCGCACACCCGAAAAGGGAGGTCTCACGTCTGCTGGGTTTGTCTTTCGATATGATCACAAAAAGACTGATGATGGTACGTACCCCTATCCTCTCTGCTATCTTCGTTACCGCCGCTTGTATTTTCGCATTCCCGGCCCCCGTACAGTCGCTAACTCTTATGCAGGCGTCGGCGGGCGCGAAGGCACATTCGTCATGTGCACTCTATGGCTCATCGAAGCACTCGTCCGCGCGGGCAAGTACTCGAAACATTACCTGGAGATCGCTAATGGCATGTTCGAAACCGTCACGAACTTCCGCAACCATGTCGGCATGCTGAGCGAGGAGATTGCCATCAGCGGTGAACAGCTGGGCAACACACCGCAGGCGTTCAGTCATCTAGCGTTCGTCAGCGCGGCCATCAATCTCGAGCGTGTCATGAATGGTGGTGGACCAACATTATAGTACAAGGGAACTCCCTCGGAAGAAACTCGCTCGATGATTCATCTTGACGCTATCATTGAGTGGTATTTGGCAACCTCCTCAACCAGTCATTCACAATTTGGCATATGGCGACTGGCGAGCTCCAGTCTTTGTACGAATCTGCATGTATGGTCTAGCGAGAGCGAAAATGTGGAAAGACACTGGCGTACTTGTTGCAAAATAAGCATGAACTGTGACTTGTTTACTTTGACTTGAGTTCTCTTATGGAAAACTGCTTCTCTCGTGCACATCTGACGTGAGTTGTTCATGCGTCGTTGCTTCCTTTGTTCAGAGTGTGCCGCTGCACATAACTTCCCTGATCTTCCTCCGCCTGATACCGTATGCAAACCCTCGCTCCCATGACAGGCTTCGTGGAACAAGACAACCTTGGTGGTCTTGTGGTAATGACCTACACCTCATGCTCATTCATGATATCTTGCTTTCTTCCCCTTTCTTTCCTCCTTCGATGCCTCCGACTTCTCCTCCGATTCCACACCATTTGCCGCCTTTCCAGTCTTCAAAAACTCGTCGGCGCCGGCTTTAGCCTCACACGCCATGTTTGGACTTGCTGTCGATTGTTCTTGCGCTTCCTCCGAATCCGACGCGTCCTCAATGTATTGCTCATTCCATTTCTGAGCTTCTTTTATGTTGTTCATTGTTGCCATATCGACCTGGAGCGTACCAGTTTTGGCCTTTTCCTGCTTGATCTTCTCTTCGTATCTTCGTATTTTGTTCTCCATCTTGGCAAGCTCTTCGTTCTGTTCTTCGACGTCATGATCGTGGCCGTCTTTGAACATCTGGACCGCCGTTTGCAAGTCTCCCACTTCTTCTTCGAGATCATTGATCTTCTTCTCAAGCTTCTTTTTTTCTCCGTCGTAGTCGACGAGCTTTCGATGCTGTTTAAGAGAGTCTTTTTGCCACTTTGCTGCATCTTTGCTGAGTTCTCGATTCTTCTCTCCAAGGGCACTTAGTTCGCCTTCGAGCATGATTTTCTCCCTGCTCAGATCGTCGATCCGTCCAACGTAGCGCTGCTCCGCCTCTGCCAAAGCCTCAGACTTGACTTTCTGGAGGGAATGTGCTTGCATAGTCGTATTCGTGATGTGTGGTGGTGTTCGGACCGGGAATGGGTCCGAGCCTATCTTTCCACGTGAGATCAGAGGCGTGGTCTTGAAAATAGTTGCTTGGTCAGCACTTGACGCTGTGCTTCTGTTGCCTTGTGAGCGAGCCGACATTGGAGTCGAGGGCACTGTGTCCAGCTCCATGTGCGTGTCATTCGCTTCAGCCTTCGCCCGCGCCTGTGCCAGTTCTTGCCTCAATTCGGCAATGAGTCGGTCCTTTGCCTGTACTTCCGTGGCTGTAACATTGGATTCTGTGTCAACCTCCATTGGCGTGGCATGGACATCAGCTTTGGTAGTAGTTGCCAGAGTCAATTGATTTCTGAGGTCGACGATGGTGCTCTCCTTTTCTACTACTTTCTGCTTTTCGTCTTTGAGCCATTCGGACAGTGTGTGGTTGGCTTGCCTCATGGCTTTCAAGTCGGATGTCAAACCATTTATCCGGTCCTTTCTCGACTCTGCTCTCTGGGCCAGTGCTGGGTAGTCCCTTGCCTGCTCCTTCAGTGTGGTTTGTTGGCCTTGTAGAGCCTTCAGCTCCTGCTCTTTGGCCTCTTTCTGCTGCTTCTCAACATTGTAGCTTTCTTGCAGTGTTTTCCACTCCTCTCGCTTGATATTCACCAGCTGATAACGCTGATTATAGCTTTCTCCTTGGATCCTCAACTCCTCCTCCTTTTGTTGAAGCAGACTGTTGTATGTTGCCTCCAGAGCTTCCAGCTGCTGACCCCTAGTCTCCCAATGAACCCACAATTTCTGGCCCTCGTCCATCAAATACTTTCGCTCAATCAACCATTGCTGGTATTGACTCTCGCCTCTGTTAAGTTTGCTCTGCAAGTCCTCACAGGTCTGTTGATTGGCTGTATTTAGCGTATTGAGCTGTCTTGGCTCATCGTCGTGCTCTTTCTTTAGCGTGGCGACTTTCGCTTTCAACTCATCACGCTCGGCCTTCACAGTATCGTGCTCGAGCTTCAAGGCGCTCGTTGCCTTTTCGGCGTCCTTCGCGCGCACCGTCGCCGCCGCCAGATCGCGTTCTAGGCCTGTTTTGAAGCTTTCGAGGAGAGCCACCTTGTCGGTGGCAGGATCCTCGGCATGAACCACGGTCTCGGCAGCGATCTCGACGGTGCTTATTGGTGCCACAATGGCAAACTTTGACACCTCGACAGCTACCTGGACAGCGACGTCCACCACCGCAACGCTCTCCAGGCTCTCGTTGACCTGTACCACTCCTCCTTCGACAACAGCATCCTCCTCGCTGTTGTCTTCAGGAAAGCTGCCAGGGACAAAGACGATTTCTGAAGGAAGAAGCGACGACGAAGGGGAGGTTGCCAACGTGTCAAAGACCCAACACAAGACTCCTTCGACACCGTTGTAGGACGATGTGCGAGACCGCAAGAACCCGGGAACAAGAGACGCTGGGAGATTGGCGAACATCTGCGACAGTCGGCCTTCAGTACGGTCTTGGTCATAATTCGACCACAGGGGCCAGAGCTTGTACACCACTATGGCGAAGAGAAAGAAGTGAATGCACCACTCGAAGGTGTCGAGTTCGTCGTCATCCATGTAGTAATTGATTGCGAAACAGTCAGGGAGACCTTGGTACATTGCGCTGACCCATTGTGAGAACACCTCGTCGGCCCAAGAAGCGAGGAAGTGGAGGATGAGAATCGCGAACTGAAGGGCCATGACTGTGAGGAACAGGGGTTGCCAGGCCATGTTTCGTTTTGGTAATGAAGCTGAGGAAGGGTAAACAATCGAGAAATAGGTGAGAACCACTGCAATCTTGTGATGATGTTGGGTGTTGAGTGTTTTGGTAGAGAAAATTTGAGAGACCGCAGGAAGAAGTGGGAGGAAGTGACACTGAATCGCCGCACTGCCTTGTATGGTTGTTGCTACAATCAGCCAGGCGACTCGATTGAGTGAATAAGCTCTTTCTCTTCACTCTATTCACTGCCTGACTGCCCCCTCCCATACTGCCACACCCCTAGCAGCAGAGTAGGGGCGCTGTGATTACATGAATCTTCACCCAGGTCCACAGCACTCATCGAACAACAGCCGCAAACAGATTATCGTCACTGGAGGAATCCATGGCGCAGAGTGGGCGAAGATAATTAATAGTCGATTACAGTATTGTTCGCAACGTCGTTGCCAGGTTTATTTGTCTCCCAACAGTGGCTCCCGTTCTCCTTTACCCTGGTGCTTGCGTCTTCGACGCTTCTTCTTCTTCGCGGCTTCACCATGTCCCTGCGAAGGCTCTGTGTCGTGTCCTCCGGCAACTTTGACATGCAAGTCGTTGTTCTCGTCGACATACGTTGTGGGCGCCTTGTTTGCACCACTGTTGTCGTCTTCATTGGACTCGCTGCTCGAGGTTGTCTCCAAGACAACCTTGCGGAATCCGTTCGCATCAATGATATTCTCGGTAATGCTGCCACTCCTGGCGGGGCCTTTGGAACGATAGAATGGGCTTCTGGACCGAGATGGTGACCCAGGCAAGCTGCCAATTGTGCTATGACTGTCAAACGTCCTTGCTGAAGGCCGAGCTGTTTCCTCAGTATGATCTTCGCCGTTGCCGTTTTGTGTTGGACCATCCTCTTCAAGGAGGTCAGCCTGAATCCCTTTGTTGCTACTGGCAGGCCGTCTCTCGTTCGGAGAGCCCGAAGTGGTTCCGTGCCCATTTTGCAAAGCTTGCAGCACAGCATCGCTTGCTTCTTTGCCACCTGACTTCACGACACCCTCGCCAATGCCGCCTTGATATTCCGACAACGATTCAGAGGCTCTCCGAAGTTCAGTACCTTGACCGTCGGCACCAGCTTCTTTTGGTGTGTTCTCTGCGCCAGCTGCGCCGGGTTTGATCTTGACGGTGGCGTATCGCGTGGTTCTGGGTCTGCTCGCAAGATTTGAGGGACCAAGATGACCGAGGTGTCTGAGTTGCTCCTTAAGTACATCGTCGGTGCTCGCCCTGCTCGCCTTTTGACCGGGTCTACCATCACCAAGGCTGTTCCCAGCACTTGACCGGCGTCGAACATTCGCAAAGATTTTCGACTTCTGGGCGGGGTCGGCTGTTTTGGCTTTCTGTAACTCGGCTGCGTCAAGGGTTTCACCTTCATCGATGTCCACCAGATCAGCGGGCGCAGCTGTTGCAGGCTGCTCGGCGACCCGGTGTGTCTTTGGAATGCGGCGGGAGGGAGCCGGAATGGCTCGTCTGATGGCCTTGTGCACATCAACAAATACATCCGACTCGTCGACGATTTCTTCTCCGATGAGCTCTTCGATCACGTCTTCCAAAGTGACGACACCGATTGCTCCCTGATCATCTCCCGGGAAATCGGAGACCAGCACCATGTGGGACTTGCCTTCCTGGAAAAAGTTGACAATGTCTAAGCAACTGGTGTTCGGGCGTGTCTCGGGCAGTGTGGCCAAAGCAAAGTCGCGCACGGGTTTGGCATCTTCGGGATCGTAGGTGATCAGGATCTTGACAAGCAACATGCCCACAAAGTTGTTGTCATTGTCCGGATGATGGACCGGTATTCTGGAGTAGCCGCGAGAAAGGATGTCATCCATGGTTGCCTCGTCCAGGACGTCGTCCAGAGAAAGAGTGAAAACGTCCTCCATTGGTGTCATGATACTACCAATCGGCTTTTCCTTCAAGTCCAGGACGGCACTGATGATGGTAACTTCGTCAGCGTTCAACTGCTGTCCAGCGTCGCCCAGACTGCGATGAAGCGACACCAGTGTTTTCAAGCCCGCCTTCTTATAGGTTGTTCCATGATCTTCACCCAACAGATAGTCGAGCAATTTCGCGGTAGGCCATGCGACCGGTGCCATCAGGTACATGAGGCCAAGGACAAAAGGAGCCATCCAAGAACCGATGGGCAGACCATAACGGACACAGACTGATTGAGGTGCAATTTCGCCAAAGATGACTGCAAGAGATCAGTAAGAGCGCAGCAATGAAAGTGCAAGGCCACCATACCAATCAGCACCGTTGAACCCAGAACAGCCGGCCATCCTCCTCCAAGTGAACGATCCAGAACAATAGGCAAGGTCTCGTTGGTTATTACATTGCTCAAAAGCAATGTTACCAGAACCCAGTGCTTTCCTCTCTTCAAGAGCTTGAGCACCTTGTCTGCATGGACCTTCTCGGCACCTTCTCCAGAGTCTCGGATGACGGTAAGGTATATCTCATCCTGCCACAATGTGAGCTCTATGAACAAGATCCGAAGTTCGTATGAAAATTACCTGTCCCATCAATGCAATCGTTAGGCCAGCAAAGGCACCTCCCAGCAGGACCAGTATAGCTGCGACACTCAAATATATCCATAGTGACGGATCTTCAGGATCTTTTCCCTCCGGCTCGTCGGACGCGAAGAACAAGTATGAGGCGTGAAGAGGAGCGGCTTGGACGAAAGGTATCTGACCGAGCGAGAGGACGAGAATTTTAGCCAGGCCCAGCACCATAGGCCGGAGGGCCACATGGGAGGCCGTAGTTCGTGCCTGCATGATGTGTGATGGGGATATTGGTAGGTTTACAGCGACATGGTCAAAAAGCTCTTGCTTGCTATTCTTCAAAAAATTCGAGAAGAATGCTCCGGTCGTGTTCGCAGGTTCGGAGGATCGATCGAGTAGATGAGCTTGGGCTGTTGCTGAACACGTGTGTAGCAAAGAAAATGAAAGATCTTGTGACACTGGTGTAAAAGGACTTTTGGAGGACCTAGATGGTGGTGATGGTAGAAACTGCGGCAGCGGGGGCGGTACGAGTAACTGTGGTTGATGAAGATGAAATTGAACGGCAGCAGCAATGACGGAACAATGAGGTTATTGATTGGTTGGGGGACTTGTTAAGTTCTGTACTGTCTTAGAAGAGGGGCCCTAACCATCCTCAGCATAAGCCTGGGGAAGACCGATCAGAATTGCTTCTGGTCTGGACCCTTTTACTGGTACTCATAGGCTTCAATAGTGGTGAATTATAAAGTGAGAGATGCTCGATGGTCGCGATGGCTGCAGTAAACCACTAATTGCACCTTCTTCAGGCACGCGACGGAATAGCTTCTCGACGCCAAACAAGCATTGGTGCACGACCATTTAGGTGCAGAACATAACCGGGGCACATGGCTGGGCATCACGTGAAGCGGAGTTTGCCTGTGGCTGGTGCCCCGAGCGGCTATGCGTGGCTTGTTATCCCTCATCCCCTTCTTTTCTCCGGATGGGTGCGCTTATCCTCGGCATTCTTCAAGTGACCCCCTTCATATACCTGATCGCGGTCCCCTCCTCCTCGCTTTTCCTCTTGCTGATAGCGACGGAGGCTTGCTGACAGTTCGACATGCTCTTTTCTCGCAGGACAGCTTCCATAGGGAGTCTGTTCTGGGTCTCCGGTCAGCGTCGCTGTGCCAGTCAAGCGACGACAGGAGCACGATTGAATAAGCCTGTAGAATACAAGAAGACTCCTATTCTACATCAGTCACAGAACAGCGCCAGGTCGGCTTTCGGATTGTCCCAAGATGCCCCTGTGGATTGGCAAAACCTGCATGGCGCCATCAACACTTCCATGCATCATGCCCTGAAGACGGACGAAAATGTCCTGCTTTTCGGAGAAGACGTCGCTTTCGGAGGCGTTTTTCGATGCTCCAAAGGACTTGCCGACGAATTCGGGGCCAGCCGTGTCTTCAACACTCCTCTATCAGAGCAAGGTATTGCGGGCTTCGCCATCGGTTGCGCAGCGGAGGGCATGAAACCAATTGCTGAGATCCAATTTGCTGATTATGTCTATCCTGCCTTTGATCAGCTGGTCAACGAAGCCGCAAAGTTCCGATATAGGGAAGGTGGAACGGGTGGTCATTGTGGCGGTCTTGTGGTTCGCATGCCGTGTGGAAGTGTTGGCCATGGTGGACTCTACCACTCGCAAAGTCCGGAGTCGTTATTTACGCATATCCCTGGGTTGCGGGTGGTGATGCCTCGGTCGCCATCGCAGGCCAAAGGACTCCTGATTGCCTCTATCCTCAACTGCAATGACCCCGTCATCTTCATGGAGCCCAAGATCCTATATCGAGCATGCGAAGAGTTCGTGCCGCGAGACCCATACACCCTCCCTCTCGACAAAGCCGATGTCCTCAAAAAGGGCAAAGATCTCACCGTCATTTCATATGGCCAGCCGCTCTACCTCTGTTCCGCGGCCATTGAAGCCCTGGAGAAGGACATCAAAGGTCTGAGCATTGAACTCATCGACCTAAGAGCGATATATCCCTGGGATCGGCCCACGATCATGGAGAGTGTCAACAAGACTGGCCGTGCAGTCGTCGTTCACGAAAGCATGTATAATGCCGGTGTTGGCGCCGAAGTTGCCGCAAGCATTCAAGAAGGCGCGTTCCTTCGACTGGAGGCGCCCGTGGGCAGAGTCACGGGATGGAGTACCCATGCCGGTTTGATGTTTGAGAAGTTCAACATCCCCGATGTAACGAGTAAGTTGGCATTTTGGGTGCAAGTCTTTCAACAATTACTGACCCAGTCACAGGAATCTATGATACAATCAAAAAGACCTTGGAGTTCTGAAACAATTGTTTACGGTATAGCCTTATGTGCGGAGTGGAGGAGCGTGTGCCGTTGCGCCGGCACTGCACAACAGACGAGTCTGTAGTGTGCTGACGACATAAAATTGACGTCGAGGGCCTACACTGCCTATCACGCCACCAAAGGGTACAACCATCCGTCGTGGCCATCTGTATTCACGACATGACACGGCCACCATATGTCCCGGCCTCAACAGCAGAGAAACTTGGTGTCGGAGACACACTAGGGCACTTGAAAAGATTTACGACCGGAATATGATGGCCGAGGAGTCCTTTCCTGCTTGAGAGAACCCCGGGCAGCGGAAGCTATGAGTGGTAGAAGATCTGGCACTCCATGTTCGGAGTTCCTTCGAGATACAAACTTGTTATGACCTGCAATGATCCTGAGTAACAGGAAGCCCCAGATGTGCCCTGTCAATCTTTGCATATCAGAAGTCATCTAGGATTGTACTTGATAGCATTCGAATCCGCGAGCATGATCTTCGTGGAGATTTACCTCTAAGTCGGAATGCATCATATATATACATTCCATCTTTGTCATACGGTATCCAGACATGTCCTCAAGTCAAGCCAGGACAGCATCTCCAGTGCTTTTAGTACTCATCCTTAAACACCATCACCTTCGGCTTCTCCTCACCGACATCCCTTTCTATCTCATAATATGCACGGAACAACCCGCCACAATTGAAGTCAAAGACTGCATGGCCAACCTTCTTTGCGGCTTGCGTTTCATTGCCATGAGGTACCCAATGACCATCATCATCCACTAATTCAATGCCAATGATACCACCTTGGCCCTCACCTGTACATCCCCATCGATCTCCGGCAGATAGTTGCAACTCGCCGTCGGGGCCGGCGACAGCAGTAACAGCGTCCGCCAGTGAGGTAGACTTGGAAAAGCGGCACAAGGCGGCCGCTGTCCGCGCTGCGTTGACGCGCAGAAAGGAATCTCCATTTCCTGTGCCGCTCATGGCCACGGCGCGGCGCCGTTTGCCAGAGATTGACTTGGTGTCATGACGGATCGGCTGAGGAGATTGATAAGGTCGACTTGGCAACGCAGTGTATGACGGAGAGGCTTCCAGGCGCTGGCGTCTTGGTTGCGGTTCGAACACATTCAAACAGGATCCAAGGATATTGCTAGCTTCGTTCAAGGCATGTTCGACGAGTGGGATAGGGGAATGGTTCACTCCAAGGTAACGGAGCTGACGTGTGGGCTGAAAAGTCTCCTTAGAGAGGTCTTCCTCCCAGCTTTCTGCCCAGAAACCGGATCCGATGGTCGGCGTGTCGCCAATTCTCCCTGCTTTCTTGTTAGTCAATCCACCGGTTGAAGTCGCTACGGCCAGGTTCCCCCAAGAGTCCAAACAAACAGCACCGACAGTGCCTTGGCTGGGGAGGTCATGGAGACCTGTTTCCTCATCCGGATCTTTGGTGGTAGATAGGGGGTCAACCGAAGCCAACAGGTCGTCGTAGGTATAAGTGCTCGGAAGTTGAAGCCCACGCCGATGTTCTTCCCACCGCTTCCGCGTCCAGAACCACCGGTCTGGTTTCTTTTCGAGGGCTTTCTCCTTCCAACCCCAAGCCTCGACATCCGGACCACTCAAGTGGGAATGCATGCTGCTCGTTCCTCCAAGTCCTCCATCGTCGTCCGCAGCCACCAAGACTTCCTTCGCGAGAAGGATGGGATGTCTCGTATTTCGTATCAGACTGACTGCCGCACCCCTCTTGATACTGCCTAAGGCTGGACCAGCAGGTTCGAGTGAACAGACCATTACGCTTGCTTCCATTTCGATCGTGCCTTGTTCTGTGAACACGGCGCCCCGACCACAATTGAACAGAGGGTCATCCTCGAATCTAGTAGCCGCATAACAAGCTGCATCGAGCGCAGAAGCTCCAGCATCGAGCAAATCTCGCGTCTCAGTCAGGTACTTCAGAAGAGACGCATGATACCGAGCGTACAGAGCAGGAGGAAGTCCGGCTCTGGAGATGCCTCCTGCTCCCCCATGGAGGATGACCGTAGGTCTGTAGGGCCCGGCGGGCGAGGATTTTTCTGACGGAGTTGGTAACATCCTTGTAGCATACCACCAAAGAGGGTGCTGACAAAAGAGGAAGGGGTGAAATGTGCAAATTGGCCCGTCTATCACGCCATCGAGCTACAACCAAACGATTTAGTAGGGATTTCGCTCGCTCTTGCGAGACTGACACATTTTGCCGAGCTTCTTGCTTCAAAGTTCCAGTATGAGCAGTCGTTGATGACACAAGACTTCTTGCTGAAGAATTGAAATGAATGAAGAAGCGTCAAGGACCATGTAGATGACTAATGGACTGATGAGGGTCATTATTGGGAAGAATGTGTCAGATCAACGAATCCGGGCGTACGCCAGGGACAACGTGGGGAAAGGTGCAGAGTCTACCCGCGGTAAGTGCCCTCACTAACAAAAACACCCTGCATCATTTTGTTACTCGATTCTTTGCATGGTTTTCAAGGGATGGCGACGACTGACTCTCCTACACAGAGTCGCCTGCCCACCAACCCTGCTTTGGCATTGTCACTCGAGTCCGCGAAAGCTGAGCAGCTGGTTCAGCAAATCAACAAGGAAACGAATGGGACGGATTCATCCTCACTGACCCCAAAGTCACCCAAAAGCCCAATCCACCGTATAAGTGCGCCGGGCAGTGTTCAGGCACTTGCTGTTGACGATGATGTCCTGTTCGCCGGCGTGCAAGGTGGCAGTATCACTGTGTGGTCTCTCGAAGCCTACGAGCTGCTGGCCACTGTACCAGCACACAAAGAAAGTGTCCTGAGCCTTACTCTTTCAGAGGACAAATCACTGCTATTCTCCACGGGTGCCGACTCCATTGTCAATGTGTGGTCGGCGCAAACCCTCCAAAGGCTGTACTCACTCTACTCTCATTTCGAAATAGGCGATGTATTTTGTGTTGCTCATTCTATCAAGAAACAGACCCTGTTCTGGGGAGCTCAAAATGCAAGCATCCATTGGCACAAGATCAGCACAGAGGCTGGAGTCACGTCGCCCAGTCTGACTTTCACACCTGGTTCTCGGAAACATCGATTCTTCGATTCTTTGGGTCCTGGAGGCGCAGCTAATGTCATCTCCGACGAAGATGGCGCATCGGTCACTTTGAACAATCAAGGAGGCCGGATCTTGACTGTTCCTGGTCGAAACTATCTACCTTATGCTCACAAGAGCTACATATACAGCATGATGGTCATCAAAGGCTTATATAACCATGGCAAAGACGAGGAGATCCTCATCACAGGCGGTGGGGACGGCACAATCAAGCTGTGGTCGATTGATGCATTATCGTCGAAAGGAGTCTCACAGCTCACAAAGTTCAAGAACCCGGGGTCAAATGTCTTAAGCCTCTCATTCCGCGGCTCCTTCCTCTACGCCGGTCTTTCGGATGGGATAGCTAACGTCTACAACCTTGCCTCGAATCAATTGGTCCAGAGACTGAACGTCCAACACGGAGATGTGAGTCAAATTCTGGTGAACAATAACAGCATCTTGTGCGGAACCAGTAAAGGATGGGTCAAGGTATTTTTGTTTATGCCATCTGGAGAAGCACCGCAACTGACACCTGTACAGCGTTACAATGACCACTTCAAAGAGACGGAGTCCTGGCAGGCTGCGGACGGAAAGATCCTGGCAATGAGTCTTACTACAACTCCTGACCACGATATTCTGGTAACCGGTGGCAATAATCGTCTGATCTCTTTTTGGAATGCCGAAGCTCAACATCATGCGTCGATAGCGTCTTCCGTACGAAACAACGATGAACTCATCAATGCCCTGCGCGAGTTCGTCGGCTACCGCACCGTCGCTTCTAATCCTTCTTGTGTCCGCGATTGCCACGACGCCATTACCTTCCTCCGCAAACAATGCAATGCCTTCGGTGCGACCACAACCATCATGTCAGCCCAAGAAGGAGTGAATCCAATTCTGCTAGCGAAATTCGCCGCCTCCAAGCCATTGAAGTCGACAAAGTCGGTCCTCTTCTACGGGCACTACGACGTGGTCGATGCCGAAGTAGATTCATCCAACAAGTATCCAAATTGGTACGGCGACCCATTCAGTCTTCAGCCATTGAACGGCTATCTCTACGGTCGCGGCGTGACAGACAACAAAGGTCCCATTCTCGCCGCCATTTACGCAATTGCAGACCTGGTACAACAGCAATCCCTATCCTGCAACGTAACACTTCTTCTCGAAGGGGACGAGGAAGCCGGCTCCCGTGGCTTCCGCAAAACAGTGCAGGCAATACACGACACAATTGGGCCTGTAGACTTTGTCCTCCTCTCCAACAGTTACTGGCTAGATGACCACATCCCGTGCCTGACCTTTGGCATGCGAGGCGTCATCCACGCCAGCGTCACCGTCTCCTCCAACAAACCCGACCTACATTCCGGCATGGACGGCAAGTCCGTACAGCACGAACCCCTGAAAGACTTGACCGTCCTTCTCGCTACACTCATCGGTCCCTCGGGCACTAAAATCACCATCCCAGATTTCTACGAGAGCGTCGATGAACTATCCGAATCCGAAATGCGGTCCTACATGGCCATCACATCCGCCTTGTTACCAGGCCACTCCGAGATCAAAAACGACAAAGGATTCGCCCTTTCCCTGATGCAACGCTGGCGGTACCCGAACTTGACCGTCCACCGCATCGAAGTCCCAGAGGCCAAAACGGCAGTCACGATCAGCGGATCCGCCAAAGCCACGCTGTCGATCCGCATCGTCCCATCCCAGACTGCTGAAGAGATCGCTGAAGGGCTGACATCATACCTGCAAGACCAATTCTCGAAGCTACAGAGCTCGAACACACTCGACGTAAGAATCACGTCCCAGGCCGACCCCTGGCTCGGCAATGTCAAGAGCGAGATCTACACGGCTCTCAAAGAAGCCGTCACAGAGATTTGGAATCCTGATCTTCCCGGCTCATCCGGCCGCTCATTCTCATCGCTGACGCAGCAGTCACAAAACGCGATATCCAACACCACCAGCTCATCTGATTCCGGCACGAAGCGCTCATCCCATCGTCGTGCCTCGTCCCTTGCCACGACTGGAACATTCACATCGACGAATTTGCCTAGAGAACCACTCTTCATTCGCGAAGGAGGTTCTATTCCGGCCCTAAGTTTTCTCGAACACGAATTCGATGCACCGGCCGCCATGTTCCCCATGGGCCAGGCTAGTGACAATGCGCATCTTGATAACGAGCGGATGCGGGTTGAGAATCTTTGGAAGGGGAGAGATGTGCTGAAGCAGGTTTTTAGTAAGCTCTGAACACGAGCATTCTGTACTGCTTGTCACAAGGTAATCAAAACGATAGATATATGGCTCGTGCCATCGTATGGTTCAAAGTATTAAGGGGTTGTAGCAAGGCCCAAAGAGTCCAATTCTATACACCTATATGTGAATCATGTCCTCGTAAGCATAAGTCGATGAGACCTGTATGCCTTTTCCAAATGAAAACGCCGTCGCTATGCCATGCTGTGCTGCACAATCCAATGCACGTCCTCCAATTCCAATCTCTTTGGCCAGTATTTTCCAAGTTCTTACAATGCAAAAGTCTTCCCGATATATACGCCACCTTCAGCGCAATATACAATCCAATTCTCAAAGATCCGGGCGCAGTACGTTCTGTACGGTCAGCATCTCACGACAAGACATTACCACCACTCAAATTGATCCCACCAAACGTCCACGACCCAGCCGCCCAAATCCACGCGCCCAACTTTGGCGTTTGGCCATCCTTCACATCTTCCGCGAGTTCCTCGACCCCCTCAAAACTCGTCTTGCTCCATGTACTAGCGCTCTCGGTCTCATCCGTATCTCTTGCCGGCACCGCCGTCCTGCCCGTTGGCGAAGTAACCCCGTTCATATTATCGACGGCATCGATTGCGGGACCTTGGTCGAAGAAATCCACCAGTGTGAAGGTGGGCACTTCGCCGTAGTCGCTCTTACAGCTAGCCAAAGCTTGCCCCAGGGCTCCCGTCGTTGTGGTACTGTCAGAGTTTGTGGTGTTGATGTCTGTTACGTCAGGTGTTTCGATGTCAAATGCGCCAACAGTATACAAAAAGTGGTTCATCAGAGCCATCCGGTTGGAGTCGATTGCGGCGCTAACGTCGTTTTCCACTGCGGTTGGTCGATTCGGCGCACATGTGAAGCTCGATGTGTTGGTGTTGTCGTAGGGGTTTTCGAAAATGAATGTGAATTCGTCCATAAGGTAAGACGTGTTCGTGGTGATTGTGCTAGTGTCGAGCGAGGCTACGAAGGTCATTAGTCGTTTGCCATCGTCAATGATCTCCTGAAGGGTAGGCCAGGTCGTGGGCGGTGTAGTCGTGGAGTCAGGAACATAGCAGTCGTCGACGATGCTGGCCGTCGTGAATTGCGCGGCGAGTTCTGAGACGGTAGCGTCGTCCGAGTTAACAAGCAGGACTGTCACTACTTCGTTGGGATTGTCGTCGAGCCACGTCTTGATCTCTTTGAGCCAGTCTGAGAGTAAACCTGCGTCGAGAAGGTCGCAGGAGGAGTGGCACAGGTGCCATTCCGAGTTGGACTCGTGAACTTGAGCCGAGACTAGTCTTACGCCGGCGGAGAGTTGTACGGTCGTGTTGTAGTACTGATTTCCTGAGGTGGAGTCGTCTGTTGAGGAATCGCGAACGAAGGGTGAGTCATGAGCACCGAGGTGTACGATTTCGTTGTAGGCTTTGGAGCAGAGGTCGGGGGAGTTGTTGCAGGCTGTCTCGCGGGGGTTGAGCGAAGCGGCGGATGCTATGCTGAGGAAAGGGAGGAGGTATGTGAGCGAGCGCAGGGAGAGCATGGTTGATGCAGAGTGTATATGATGTGGTCCTGTTTCGTCTTTTCTTCGGCTTCCTGGTTTGTTTACCAGTGGAGTTGTAAGTACACTGGGGAGGCAAGCAAATGGGTGAGTATTGACAGCACAGGCGATGGCGAGAAATGTGCAGCAACTCGCTATAGACATAAAAGAAAGAAAGATGAGGCTCAACTTCACTTCAATGCAAAAAGGCAAGTCAACACAATGTCAAACTGGTTCCTCATGATTGTTGCGGCTGGGCGCAGCTGGAGATGCGTCTACGTGGATGAAACCACAAAGCCGCGTGTGCAAGGCCGGGAGAGGCGCAGTCCAAGAACCGCTGCCCAGAGACGTGTGGAAAGATCCGCATGGGCCAAGGATGCAAGGACCCATGGCGGCGCAAGCAAATGGATTCGATGCAATGACAGCTGTAACTCCGTATCCTGGAGAGGCCTGAAACATACAGACATGGCTTGTAACAGGAAATGAAAAGGGTTGGTGGGTTTTGTCGGCGTTGTTGATGCCGGCCTCTCTAGGCTTGACTGGTAGCTGTGGAGGATTATTTTTAGCCAGGCAGAAAACTGCTGACTGAGGAGTCTGGGGTAAACAAATCGTTGATGATGAATAAGTCAAGTTACATATATACAAAGACCTTTTTCTTTATCAACAGCAATTGTATCTGTACCTATGCACTTTTGGTTGACCAAGCCAAAGGCCAGGTCAAGCATCGACTTTCGAACTACAACTAAGCCGTCCTTCGAAAACACGGTGGCGCCTAACCTCTCCGTGTCATCTTCTTCTCCTGCTTCTTCCTGTTCTTCTCACTCTCCCGGTCCAAAAACTTCCGCTGCTCCTCTGCAGTCATCCCTCTCATCTTGCGGTCCCTCTCCTCCTTCTTCATTTTGTCCAGTTGCTTCAAGCGCTCCTCCTCAGCCTCTCTGTCACTAACCTTCTTCAGCTTGCCCTTCTCTTCCTCTCGAATAGCATTGATCTTTCTCAGCACTTCGGGCCTCAGCTTGGCAGAGCTGACCAGGAAATCAGGGAGTCTAAGGAAAGCCTGGAAGATAGGCAATGTGGAAAGGTATTCACCATCAGGTGGCAGCCTTAGACAAAGGTTCAGACGCTTCTTCGGAGTGGTCTCATTGAGGGTGGTGGGCTTGTCCGTAGGCTGGTCCGTAACGATGAGGTACTCGAAAAGATCTCCAGCCTTCGTAACAGCATCGATCAGGTCCTTCGTCAGCATCATGTCTGTAACCTCGCCGCTCTCGCTCATGACGGTCGCCCAGTTCGGCAATTTGGGACTGTCCTTGGTGAACGTCAGAGACAAATCGTAGCGCTCCTCCCGAAGCTTCCGCATGGCCAACTTGTTGACAACAGCAAAGACGAAGGCATCGTATGTAGAGTTGCCGACAGCTTTGGTTTTACCTGTCTCTTCCGACCCGGGCACGGGAGGTGGGACAAACTCCTTCTCCTTTCCGTCAAAGGTGTATAGAACTGCCTCCATTCTTTCCGGCTTCGGCTTGACAGACTCGGCAACCAAGCCTGCAACTTCTTCGGCGATCATCATCACAGGGTTCATCCGTCTCTTCAGGAAGACCTTGACATCCATAAATGCGACATTCTGTCGTCCGGTGGTGTAGGTCTCGTATTCCCAGGCCGCCTTCTCCCTGAGCATATCGTCCGGCACATTGTCACCAGGAAGCTTTGCGCTTGCGGCAAGCAAGCTGTCACCTTGCACGCCTTCTGCATACGGTGTGACCTTGGGCACCTGGTTATAGCCGACTAAAGCAAACTCCCGGTCCAGCAGCGGCGCATGCACAGCCATCCATTTCTTGGCTTTACTTCGGTTTCTCCGGGTTCCCCAGAAGTGCACGAGTAGAGCGACGAGGATGATTGGAATGATGACAGCTTCGAGCATGAAATCTGAAGGCTTGCTCCGTTCCCACACTCTGTACCATTTTGTGTAGACCACTCCATCTCCTGGACCAGCAGTCGGTTCCGCGGCTTGGGCATCGGCAGGAGAGTGAGGGATTGAAGCAGGGGATGGTGGAGGTGCTGCAGCAAAGTCTGCAAAGTCTGTGGTACGCTCGTTAGCCCTTGCCGGTCTGCTTGCTTATAAGTAGGCGTAATTTACCAGAATCCTCGGCGACGACAGGCGCTTGAGAAGGCTGTAGTCCGCCGACAAGTGATTTGAAATAATCCATGACAGGCAATGTCCTTCTCAGTCCGGGTGCAAGCTAATGACCCAGACTTGTTGATTCTATGTAGATGTGAAAGGCTGTTTTCTCTGATCGCAAGACAGCAGGCGCGGCAGGATGAAGCTCTCCCCACAATCATTTAATCTCCATTTCTGGCAAGAAGACGTAATGGGGCCAAGACTCATCCCAGCCTCGTCCGTGTAGCCGAGACATCTATCTAATTCTACAATCTCACATACGTGCTACAATTGGCTCTCATTCAAACGCAAGATGCTCACAACATACAGACTTATACGTGGATGTTTGTATATAACTTCGCGCCGTGGCGGATCTCGCTCTGGTTTACCTCGCTATTTCGACTACTCTCTGATCACTCTCGACTAGCGTGGCCGGTACTGGCTTATGAGCTGGATGCATCCTTCTGGCTCTGAGAGCTAGCACTCATGGCCCGTTGAAAGGTGGGGAGGACCTGCTTGGACTGCTCTTTCTGCTTCATCTTGCCATAACCGTAAACGAGGCCGCTGAAGAATCCCAGCAGGATAGCCGAGACGCTGCCAAACGTGACGGGAGAGTCAAAAAAGACGATGCCGCTGATGGCGAGCGGGAGCTTGTTGAGATAACCGACGAACGAGTATGTAGTCGACGACGTCTTGCGAATGCACCAGGCAGACGAGTACGAGATGAAGATGGCACCCAGGCCAGAATAGAGCATACCAATCATGAGGTTGTTGCGCGACTCGGCGGGGAAGTTCTTAGCCAGGTTTGTCGAAGACCAGTCCTCGGTAAGTAGGGAGCAGATGACCATAATAGGGAGAGATAGCAAATTGTTATAGAACATGGCTAGTACATCGTGGTCAGCATGATTCGCAATGCCTCGTAGTACATGAGAAGCTTACTGTCCCAGTCCTTGAAGTTCAGCGAAGTGATGAACTTGCGCGTGCCCAGGACGTACGAGGCAGTGCAGAAGATGTTGAGCCCCATCCATGCGTAGCCAGCGTTCAAAGTTGAGACAGCGGCGGCAGTCTCCGCCGAGTGCCCAGCGCCACTGAGGGCAGCCTGGATATCAGCCCACGCAGCAACGACGGAGCTGAGCACCATAAAGCCGAATGACAGCAGAAGCAGCTGGGTGACTTTGCCGCCAAACCACCGGAGTTCACCATAGGCGATAACAATGATGGTCAAGTTCTTGAAGATGGTGTATACCGGGACAGATAGAAATTGTAGGGACTTGGTGCTGGTGAAAATCATGCCGACAAAGGCCACAGACACGGGGAGCCCTGTTCCGGTATTAGCACGGCCGGAAAACGAGCGAGTGTCAGTTGGTTGTCGCAGACATACATCTCTTGGCCTTGCCGGTCTCCAAGGCAGCAAGGTTAGGAATAAACCCCATCTGCTTCAGGACCAGAATTGCAGCCGTGCAAATAACGGACTATCAGATAGGTGTTAGCAGCAGCCTCTTGATGTGGTACCAAAGTGTCGCAGCGCATACCTGAATGGCCAAATAAAGAAAATTCAAGTTCCAAGACGAGCCCGAAACGACATACTTGTTCACGACCGTCATGCTGATCGAGGAAAAGCAGTATGCCAGAACAGCAGCACCAGGACTGTTCTCGAGTTGACGAAGAGAGGTACCCATGCCGCGATCGACGCGGGCCCGGTGATGGGGCGCGGGCTTCAGCAGGAAGCCGTCCTGCTCACCAGACTCCTTCTCATCCATTCTGCTCATCTTGAAATTTCGTTTTCTTACTCGACATCATTATACCAAAAAGCACGTTCGACTTCGCGAAGAAAAAGACGCGTCAATCGAGACGGCAGGTCTGTGACCATTAAAAGGGGAAGTGGAACTTGCACTAATTAAAGCCTAAATTAGAAACATTCAAACACCTCCTCTTTGCCGGCCAAGAATCGTCCCAGCCTCGTTTGTCGAGCCGAGACATTGGTAAGACCTTAGGATTGGCATGCGATAATTGAGTCCTCGTCAATCACGGTTAATCAACAAAAATACCGGATGCTCATGCAGAGCAAGGAAATCTGCGTATAGTTTTGCTCCAGAAGAGGAGATCGCTCAATGACGTTTGGGACAATCCACATCTTCTATACACATTAAATCATTAGACATCATGAGCCCATAAGACTTTTTGTACATCCACCAAAAGAAACATTACACCTGCAATCCTGGAGAGGAGAACTACTGGGCATATGCCGGTGGCGGTGGCCGTTCGTCATCCCGATGGAACATTGACCCAAAGCTGCCCTTCAATCGCTCGTCTTCATACCTTCGTGCCATTTCCGAAGCCATTTTGGCCATCCATGCCCTTTCGGCGATACCGCTAGCATTGTTGGGATCTGTCACGAACTGAGTGAAACTTGGAAGTGCTGAAAGTGCTGGACGTGAAGGACCCGGCTTCTCAGCAGACCTGTGGAAAGGCTGGGCCGTCGACTCTGCAAACGTATGCTCTTGCTGTTCTGGCAGATACATCGATTGCCTTGGAGTGTCATCTTCGTCGAATGTCATAGGGATAGGTCTTCGGTTCCGTGCGCGTATCGTCGCATTGGGATCTTGAGGTCTCTGCCCATCCTCGATATTCGCCGTCTGCTCCTCACTCCGGCGCAACGTGGAAGGTCCAGGTGTTCCTTCACTAACACTACGCAGATCATTTGCCCGTGCCTCCAGGTCTTGAAGCGTGTCACCTCGTTTGGGCATCAGAGGACTTCGAGGGGACATGGCGTCGATACTTCGACTCGGGTCTGATGACATCGTAGCCGCTGGTGCAGAAAATACAGAAGGTGTCGTTGCTGAGGTGCTTTCCGAGACACTCGCGGTATCGGCGGTTGAGCCGTCCTCGGTGACAGTTTCTGGCTCTCCGGTCTCTGAATGGGCTCGGAGATCGACGACTCGCTTCTTCCTCCTGCGGGGCCTATGTCCCTGGCCATGACGTGAAGTGCCCATACTCACGCCATATGTAGAAGAATGGAAACTGTGTAGACTGGGTCGAGTATTGGAGCTACCGTCCAGAGTAAAGGTCGTCGCAGTGCTAAGACTTCCAGCGTATGAATGCGTCCTCGACAGCGCGGGAGTTTGCGTTCGGCTGTAAGTCCCTGTCGTCGTCATTTCTCCACGCTCAAGCGGACCGGTCCACGCTCTGAACACAGCGTCCCGGATGGGTGGTGTGAACAGAGATAACGTACGATGGGAATCAGTCAATGTCGCCAGTCTAACCAAATTCTTCCGTGAAAACAGCGACAGCGTCTCAAGAGAGGAATCGAGTGACAGAGCCGCAACTTCGGCTGGTGTCAGGGCATTGCCCGTGGAATCGACAGGGTCTTGAGGAGGACTCGCCAATGGATCGACAACCACTTCGGCCTTTGCGGTCGCGGCTGACCCAACCTCTCTTTCCTCATGCACTTTGTATTCGGGTACCAATAGCTGCAAGGAGAGACGATGGATGATGGCTGGAAGTTCGTCCATGAGTAGCCCACGTAGCGTATTCTCGATTTCCTTCTGCAGAAAGTTGGCCACAAAAGGTATTGAGTCGAAAGTCGAAGAGACGCGTAGGGATTCGAGAGGATCGTTGCGGAAAACCAGTGTCAGCCCTTTCTGTCGGGAGAAGACCAATATAATGAAGCCAGAGAGTCGAAACTCTGACAAGGTTATTTGTAGAGGAATCGTAAGGCCTGTATCTGCGGCCAATGGCTGGGGCGATGCGAAAGCTGATCGTGTGCGCACATATGTGTTCAACGGATTCGCTTGCACCTTGGTCTTGAGCGTGAGATATGCGTTCCCTTTGTACATCATTTTGAATGTGCCCCGGAATCTATCCTCTGCCAGATCACCAATCTCCAAGATTTCCAGCTCGGGAGGCACATCGCCCAGGTTCAGCTCGTTGACTATGATGTCGTCGACGATGATAGCGGGTTTAGGGTCGGCTCGATTGAGGGCATTGGTGAGGAGTTCTTGTGCTCGAGGGAGGAAGCCTGCGTCGGTCGACAATGGCGACCAGTTGAAGTTGAACGCCATCGTGTGTGATGAGTAGCCTCTGACGTGGCGCAATTGCAACGACGAGGACGAGGGCAAAGCTCAGGCCGTCCTCTTAGATAGACATGGCTTTCGATGCTCGGAACAAAACCGTCTGAGCGTGAAGCAAGTGGTGCAATTCAATCAGAGCACATGCCTGCGGTGGTGTGACTGATGTCGTCTGATACGTCGTTCGGTGCCTAAGAGCGGGCGCAACGCTGCCAATATTCGTTTGAAGTGAACAGTGTAAGTTGACTTTCCAGTTTCTCCCTTACAATAACAATGGGATGATCACTGAAGTAGGAAGCGCGTTGTTGTTGGAATATTTTGACATAGGCCTGGTCATAGACTCGTAGCGAGATTGGGTTGGAAACTTCTTCCTGGACTCCGTGCTGCCCAGAGACCAAATCGGAAAAACCGGGCACCACGGCACAAACGGGAGCCAAAACAAACCTTATCGGGCAGACTTTCCATTCGTTGTCATGGTCACAGCCTCGCAGCCTTGTACAGTAAATGAATGCTTGACGAGGCAGGAATTCCTGGGGGCCACCTGGGTCACTCAACTACCATAATACTTCACTCCTTTTTCAGTGCTTAGTGCTCAGAGCGCGGAGCGGTAAAAACAAATGTCAGGAAATAGATAAAAATCTTAGATTCTCTGCTAACAATTATTCTCTGGCGCAGGTCATCTACCACACTAGCTGGACTGTGCCAGTGACGCATTGATAGCGAAACAGCCTACAAACCTGGCGTTCACTTATCGTGACCCCTTCCAACAGGGTTCATGGCAATTGTTTGTCAATAGAGATACTCGAGCAGACATATAAAACAGATCTCTTCATTATCTAGACATTCTATTTAGCTGAACAAAGGTATTCACTTTTCATGGCCGTAAGTCCCATTCTTCATAACATTCATCACAATCATACAGCCTCTTTCGTAGGCATAGCGACCTTGGAAACCTCATCATCAGTGCCGGTAGCAGCCGAGTGCTTGCGAGACTCCTCAGCCGCCTCCGCAGGGATGTCCTCAATCTCGTCTGGTAGGATCAAGTTCAAGATCATTGCGACAAAGGCTGTGACGGCAAAGCCAGTCTCCAAGACCAACACAATAGCATCGTAGAAGCCACGGAGAGCATGATTGCCACCCTCATATGTAAAAACATAGCTAAACCAGGTGGGCACAAGGGTTGCGCCGTAGCCAATAGCCAGAGCTGCGGTCAAGACAAATCGAGTCCGACGGTTGAAAGGCACGCGGCTGACAATTGCCATACCACTGACAGCCACCGCGCAGAAAAGGAAGGTAGTCATGCCTCCGAGGACTGAAGATGGGATGGCAACGAGTGACGCTGAGAACTTGGCGAAAAGACCCATGATGATAAGGAAGACTGAGATATGTTGTTAGTAAAAGCACTGTAGGATATGTATTTGGAGTATGACTTACGGCAGCAGCAGTATCCAGCGCGTCGGTTGGCGCATCGTGTAAGCGCAATGACACCATTGTTCTGAGCAAAGGTTGACATAGGGGTGATTGTCATCAAAGCTGCAAGACAACCGTTGAGACCGTCTGCCAGAATACCGCCTTGGATTCTCGACTCAAATTCTGGACCCTCAACATCGAGTTTCGAGACATCGCAGGTAGCAGTGACGTCGCCGATGGCTTCGCAAGCACAGATGATGAAGACCGTCATGATTGGTAGGACCAAGGGACCGTAGACGGACAGCTTGAACGTCTTGACCCAGATGAATGAAGCAACAGGTGCAGAGTCAATACCAGATCTGTCGAAGTATCCACAAGCAGCAGCGACGATGCAACCAGTGAGCAGACCGAGGATGACACTTGTCGACTTCATGATTGGCGAGCCAAATCTTTCGCAGATGATAATGGTGACGAAAACCAGGAAACCAAGACCAACAAATTCGGCACTTCCCCAAGGAAGGGCATGTGGAGCCGAAACGTCAGGGCAGAGCCTGTAGATGCCAGTATCAGGTCGAGACATGCATGACCCGCTGCCTCCAGCCCAATCTTCAAAACCACTCTGAATCAGGGAGATACCGATAAGCATGACTGTCGGACCAGTCACAATCGGAGGGAAGATCTTCTTGAGCACGTGTGGTGGGAGGAACGACAGGGCGATTTCGATCAAGGCGCAGACAGCACAGGTGCCAATCAGCGCGCCATAAGCGTCCGGGCATGGTAGTTGTGTTCCATCCTCAGCAACCGGGCAGAAACCATTCGTGTACATCTGAGAGAAAGCACCCGTAGCGACCGGGATGATAGCAAAGGAGGTACCGACCACAGAGATCAATCCAGTTCCGATGTAGTATGGTGTCTTGTAGATGTGGAATCGAGTGATCTGTATGGAAGAGAGGATACCGCAGACGATGAGGGATGTCGAGACGAGGTATTGCTGCCACTCAGTCGTGAGATTGATAGCGCTGGTCAAGATCAGCGGTGGTGTTATGATGCCGGCCAACATGGCCAAAGCATGTTGGAACCCCAGCAGGAGAGCCAGAACAACGGGCATATCATCGTTCAGGCCGAAGAAGGGACTCGCCCGGCGGTCCTTCTTGAGAAAAGGGATGTTAGGGCGGAACAGGAAACCATAGTCGTAGTCGCCGACGAGCCCATGCTTGGTGAAGAATGTCTTGCGCATCCCATTGGCTCGGTCAGCCAATGTTTTCTTTGGGGTCATGTCAGGCCCGATTCTGTCTGCTTCGCTCATGTTGACGGTGGTGAGGAGAGATGTGGTGGAAGCAGCAATCGATCGAGTAATGCGTTGTGTGTTTCAGCGAATGGTAGATATTCGTGACAAACAAAAACCACATTGGCTCTGGGGCATCGAATCTTTATACATCACACCCTGGAGTACTCGAAAACACTCCTGTGGTGGGCATCGGCACATGGCCAGCTCCGCAGAGGCCAAGAAAAATGTGCATTGAGGTATCAAAGACCGAGTGGGCCATATGTTCTTGTTGTGGAGTGATCTGGCCTATACCAAGCGCCAGTGCCCGTTGGTGGATGGCGGTGGCCGGCGGCCACAGAAGCTCCAAAGTGATGTGAGGGGATTGGCAGAGTAGGTCGAGGCTGCGACCGGCCGTCGCCTCAAGATGGAGCTCCTTGAAACTCCACCTATAACCAGATCCGGTACTGTGGTTGGTCCGGTGCCTGCCGACGCATAGATAGGCGCTTTATATGAGTTTTTCTTTCGAATCATCAAAATCCTTCTTCCGGCATATCCAGCTGCAGGCACGAGACCCCGACTCTTGCCTTCCAATCACGTCTCATGTCAATTCTGATCCCCTGAATACTCCGCTGATTTTTCGTAGCCCTACGTAAACCCATCGAGTCAAATCCTGCAGCCACTATCAGTGGCTTTAAACGGTCTGCTGGCGGATCGATTACTCGCGTAGGAAGTGACCACAAATGCTACCCGCCACGAATGCATTTTGCTTGCCGGCTCCGAGGGCAGTATGCACCATGCTCTTTTGACGCGCGCAGAACTCCGTTCCAGCCTGTCTTCTTGACACTTCTGAGACGGGATGCGAATTCGTATAGGCAGGAATAGCGGAATGGTAAGACGGTATGGACTTCGGCGTTGTCCTGAATCAACCTTAATTTTTGCTTCATCAAACCACCCCGTCGTCCTGATGCGGACGGCAATCACTATCACGGAACGCCCATCGCTATGCTGTTTTCTAAGACACGTTACTGTACACATCTCGAGCCGATACTCGTCACGCAGCACCGATGGCGCCTTCAGCTTCTGCTCTCTCTGACTTCAATAACTCCTCGCTCGGCGATGCGGCAACTGTCGAGGCTGAGACACTGGCTAGCCTGGGTTTTCTTGCATACTGCAGTAAGCGCAGTGCTCCCGCTGGAGTAACTCCTTCGACTCGTCGCGCCATTCCAATGCTTCCAGGTCTCACGAGCTTTAATACCTGTCTTTCCGAGATCCTCAGCGAGGGGACCTTGTCATAATCCAAATCTGCAGGGAGCGCGAGGGACTCGTCCCGTTCGAAAGCCTCAACGGCCTTCTGCTGGAAGCCAATATATGGCGCATAGATGCTCTCGATTTGCACTCGTGCCTTAACCTTATCTTCGAAGTTGGAGGCTGCGGACAGGTTTGGGACACGGCTAGAGAGCAAGTCGACAGTCATTCCAGTTGACCGGAGCATAGTGAATGCAGTTTTCTTAGTCGAATCAACCCGCGATTCGATACCGAACTTCAACCAGTCCTGGCTCGAGAAAGCGGCATTCTTCAGCGCTTCCTGCAACTCGACCACTTGGTCGCGCGTGCTGGTGAAATGTGCCCATCGCTTGTCGCTGACCACGCCGGCTTCACGACCCTTCTCGGTGAGACGAAGATCGGCATTGTCGGAGCGGCAACTCATCCGATACTCGCTTCGAGCGGTGAACATGCGGTACGGCTCGCTGACACCCTTGGTTATCAGATCATCGATTAGAATCCCGATGAAGGCTTCAGCGCGAGTGAGTGTAAAGGCGCCATGGCCTTGTGAAGCCCGACCGGCGTTTATGCCAGCGATAATACCTTGAGCGGCTGCCTCCTCGTAGCCTGTAGTACCGTTGATTTGCCCGGCAAGGAATAAACCCTTGATTAATTTGGTCTCAAGAGTTGGAAAGAGATTCCGCGGGTCAATATAGTCGTACTCGACGCCGTACCCAGGTTGGAGCATTTTGACGTTTTCCAGTCCTTTGACTGTCCTCAGCATCGCATATTGTGCGTCAGCAGGCACAGTCATACTGATTCCGTTCGGATAGATAACCTTATTTGGCTCAAGACCCTCGGGCTCGAGCCATATCATATGTTTCGGCTTATGTGGGAATTTGATGATTTTCGACTCCAGCGACGGACAGTACCGAGGTCCTTTCACAGTCTCGCGGATGTGTATGGATTTATCGAGGTTTGCACGGATGATGTCGTGTGACGCTTCGTTTGTGTCAGTTGCCCAGCAACTTAGCTGACCCTCGTCGCCTATCTGAACGGTATCATTGAGATACGAGAAGGGATTAGGAGGAGAATCGCCTGGTTGCACTTCCAGTACAGAAAAGTCGATAGTGTCTCGATCGAGTCGTGGAGGGGTTCCAGTCTTAAGCCGTCCTAATGTAAATCCGGCACTGCGTAGTGACTTGCTCAACCCGAAGGTTGCAGCCTCGCCTATCCGCCCAGAAGGGTATGCTTCGAGACCAATGTGTATTTCTCCCCCAAGGAACGTCCCTGTGGTGATGACGACGTGCGATGCGGGAATGATTTGTCCATCCTCTAGACGAACGCCTGTAATACGTGCCTTTGCAACTTTATCGTTCGGATCCAAGCCATCCCGCGACGTGATTATATCTGCAACTTTGCCTTCCAAGATGCTTAAATTCGGCGTGGACAACATCTCTTCTCGCATATATCTCTTGTACAGTTCTCGGTCAATCTGCGCTCGCGGGCCCCAGACGGCTGGTCCTTTGCTCTTGTTCAGTACTCTGAACTGTATACCGGCTTTATCGACGATTCGTCCCGCCACTCCGTCCAGGGCGTCGATCTCGCGCATCATGGTCCCCTTGCCTATGCCGCCGAAACTGGGATTGCAGGAACAGACTCCGAGATTGGACAAGGATGGAGTAACAAGCGCAGTTCGGGCACCAGATCGTGCCGCAGCTGCACTGGCTTCGGTACCGGCATGACCACCGCCTATAATAACGACATCGTAAGGTCTACCAAATGTTAGCGATCACTTGGAAGCGCGTACCTTCGAAACATACCGGACTGCATCCGCCACCGCAGCGAAGCATCGGCGTTGCAAAGCACGCGACCTTGCTCGCGGCGTATGACCCCAGCTGAAGACGCCGGGCGGCCTACGCATCACTTTCATGATGCAATGTGGCAGGTCTGCAATGCAGGAGGATATCGTCACAATGTCCTGCTCGAAGAACGTAGTATGAGGAGCAATCGAAGGGGAACATTTTTGTGGTGACGGATAATCCTCGGATGACCTGGTGTGCAAGGCTGCAGGTCACCACAAGGCTTGTGGACAGAGCAGTACTCGTGTTACCATGACAGGTCGAGCTGGGGAATACAGAAGTACAATGACAAGGTGAATTGTGTCCATTGGGAGCCTGGTGCAGAGGTCGCCTCCACATATCGGGCTTTCAATACGAAACCGATTCCCTAAAGTATTTCTACACATGTACACTGAGTCTAGATATTACAGTTGCTCGAGCTTGGAAAGATGCAGGTCAACCCAATGACCTGTGCTGTTCAGTCCTCAGAAGACTATATTCAACACTTTTCCGTCGCCTACAACCACCACCCTTTTCCTCTTTTGCCAGTCATTCCTTTCCGTCAACCAGACCCGACCATCTTCGGTTGCAAGCACGGCCTGAAGGACTTCTGCTTCTCGGGCTGCTTTATCAGACCTCACAGCTCCTTGTGACTGCGAGGAAGGAACTGATGCCGTGAAACGGAGTTTTCCATTGATCTGCACGGCGCATATCATGGATTTTTGGCGTCCTTGCAAGGCGGTCTCCTGGTCTGGAGTGAGAATGTCACCAGTCCAGGCCGTCTCGAAGATACTTCCCGAGTCCCCGTCTTCCGTAAGGTCTTCCCAACACTCTTCGGCGAAAGCTGGCGTTACAGGCGCCATCATCTTTAGCAGTGCAGAGACTGCTTGTTGTGCCACAATAAGCGTCAATCTCTTCACACCGATATCGTGCAATGCGTTCGTCAGCTTGATTAGGTCTGAGATCGCGGTATTCAAGCTGTAGACGTCGTTTTCGAAGGTGTGAGATATACTTTTGCTCGTAGCTTGCGTGAGAAGTAGCGCATTGGCATCGTGGTCAGTCAAATAGTCCAACTTATAGGGGGCCATGGTCGACGCGCGCCCTCCGCCCACAGATTGCTGCTCAACCAGCCCTGACACAAGGCGACTGACACGGCCGAACCATCTCTGAATACCAACAATCTTCTCTTCGTCCCATTGTAGCACCTCACTGACAGGGGCTGCGAAGAGAATATGAGCTCGTAAAGCATCCGCACCAAACTTCTCAATCGCCACTGACGGATCGACGCCATTGTGCTTGCTTTTGGACATCTTTTCAAATGTCACATTCGGAGTCTTGCCGGTTGACTTGACCACAACTGTGTCACCATCGACATTGAGCTCAATGGGCAAGAGGAACTTTCCTGTATCGGGATCGGAATAAGTCTTTCCGTGAACCATTCCTTGTGCAACAAGACGTTGGAAAGGTTCGCGGTGGCCCTTGTCACCAGGTGCAAGCCCCTCACTGCATAGGAACTTGTAGATGAACCTAGCATAGAGGAGGTGCAGGATGGCGTGTTCGACTCCCCCCACATAGGTGTCCACAGGTAGCATTGTGGCTGCTGAATCGGCAGAAAAGAGTTCGACCTCGTTCTGTGAGTCTGGAAAACGGGCGAAGTACCAAGAAGAATCCACGAAAGTGTCCATGGTGTCTGTTTCTCTCCTAGCAGCTCCACCACATTTGGGACATTTGCAATTGACCCAGTCGTCCATCTTGTCGAGAGGATTGCCTGTTTGGCCTTTAATGGAAGAATCCAGTCGTGGCAGGACCACGGGGAGATTTTCTTCCGGCACTGGAACAGTGCCACAATCTGAGCAGTGAATGATTGGTATGGGTGTCCCCCAATATCTCTGCCGACTAACAAGCCAGTCGCGAAGTCTCCAAGTTTCGGATGGTTCGGCGAGGCTCCTCTTGCTTAGGTCATCAACGATTTTGGAGCCTGCTTCGGTGCTTTTCATGCCAGCATATGGTCCGCATATCAACGTCAGGATTCCATGGCTGGTGTATGCTTCTTGCAGATCTTCAGGAAGGACAGAAGTGTTTCCAGCTTGCCTTTCTTGGGGTGTTACCACCAAATCAATCGGATCTCCGGGTCTATGGAGCTTCCAAAAGCCGAGGTCCCTGGAATCATGCCCAGGAACGCCCATGACCGCACCTTCGCCGTAAGCTTCGAGCACATATGGTGCAGTATAGACTGGTAGGGGCTCTGCTTCGATATCGAGTGCCTGGGAAAGAGGATTGATTGCACGGAGCGGCAGCTCAAATCCTTCCTTGGTATCTGGCGTGAATGAGGCTCGTCGATCGATGAATCGTTGCAGTTCCGGAGAGTTGGCAGCCAATTGCAACACCAGAGGATGGCTCGTCGACAAAGCGAGGTACTTTACCCCAAATAAAGTATCGGGCCTTGTCGTAAAGACATGTATGGGCCTTGAGTTGCCACTTTCATCCTCAATTGTGAACTGGATGCGAGCACCCATCGAACGCCCGATCCAATTACGCTGCTGAGAGAGCACTCGTTCGGGCCACTTTTCCCCTTCCGACAGGTAATCGAGATCCCTAAGAAGAGCCTCCTTGTAGTCGGTGATGCGGAAGAACCATTGGCGAAGGTTGATCTGCTGCACCATGGCTCCAGATCTCCAGGATCGTCCGTTATTGTCAACTTGCTCGTTTGCTAGAACAGTCTTGTCGACAGGATCATAGTTCACAAGTGCCTCAGCTTGATATGCTAGGCCGCGGTTGAAAAGCTTCAAGAAGATGCTCTGAGTGTGCTTGTAAAACGACGGCGAACAAGTAGAAATTTCCTACGAACACTGAATCAGCGCTATGTACATGCGATCTTGCCTGTTGACCTACAGCATCCCAGTCAAAACTTGTATTCATGCCCTTGAGCTGTTGCTTCATCTTTGCAATGTTGTCTACGGTCCACACAGCAGGATCAATACCACGCTGAATTGCGGCATTTTCAGCCGGCAATCCAAAGGCATCCCAGCCTGTCGGGTGTAAGACTCGATCGTTTCGCATCCGTCGATAGCGTGCTATAACATCGGAAATCGTGTAGACGCGGAGGTGGCCCATGTGCAAAGATCCAGACGGATATGCAAACATGGGAAGAATGTATGATATCCGAGACGAGCCTGGGTGATGCGTGCGGGACTGTTTCGCCCATCTTTGCTGCCATTTTGCATCAATGGCTTGAAAGTCAAGGCGACGGGGATCTGGGGACGCGGCTGCCCGCCTGCACGAGGAGCTGAAATGTCGGGCACATTTCGAGCCCGTCAAGCAGCGGAGGGGAAAGCACTGCTTCATCACCTCCAACCCTCCCCTCGCCGATATAGCAGCATTTTGCAATGCAGGAATATTCCAAGGACACAATCTTGTAAAGAACTGCGACAAAAAGCAACAGTGTTTCGTGAGCCGAAGTTCACCCATCGCAGTTTTGGGCCTCGAAATGGCAATTACGGCTAGGTACCTAGATAGGGTTCACGCGCCGAGAAAACTCTCGAAACCACACCGCGTTTATCCAAGGCTTTCGTCCACAAACATTATCAATCACTTCTCACCTCGCTCAAGACACGCACAAATATACCAGTATGCTCTCATGGCTGCCGAGCGCCGGCTCAATTGGATACACACCTTGCTGCTCTGGCCTCTGGCCAGTGTCGCCGCACTCGCACCATCCAGCCAAGTTGGCGCCCTGCTGCGAGGTCTGAACCGGTTGGAATCACTTACAAGTGACACACTCGCGCCTGTACTCAGGCATGGTAGGCACGTGAGTCCGCAGTCTTCGTGCTGTCCAAGGGTTATATGAGAGCTGCTTGAGGCTTTTCGTGCCTCATCAGTCACAATGGACTATCGATATTGTCTTCATTGACCCAGCTATTGTCGTGATTCTATATCGACAGCGATGCCGATGACTGATCCATGCACCCAGCTATCACGGCGGAAGGCTGAGTGCTTGCTTGTCGCTCTCCTGAACTCAGAGAACACTCATACGAACCTCAGCTGTCCTTCGAGTCAAGCTTCTTCCTATTGTCACTCATCCCAATACGGATATTCCACATGTCACGCATGTGCTATTGACAGCCGTTACCAGTGAAGTCCACCGAGTCCCCAAGAAAGCAACGTGCTCACTACCTCTATTCATTACTTGAGGTCTTTGCTTTCTTTTTATACTCATCATTCATCTTCTTCATTCGAAGACCTTGCCCCGTGGTCTTCCTCTCTTCGTCCCTTCAACACTTGCATGATTCCTCTCAGTGTATCACGACCGCGATGGCTCATTCAGGATCGGCGGTCCTAGCTCGGGGCAGAAAGAGTGAAGCCAGCCTTTCTACACGCGATGCTCAGGACCTTACTCAAGACTTCACTCAGAGAGCTCTTACACGACGGGTAGGTCCTCAGGAATTTCGACCACAATCTGCAACTATCGCCCTGGGCACAATCTCATACCCGCAAACACATCTTCTCGGCATTGCTCGCGAAATTCGTGACAAAATACTACTTCACGTCGATGAGGACACATACTACCGTCGTCGAGAAAGTCTAGGATCGCACCCCACGACTGGCTATGAAGCTTTACCACTCGTCTGTCGGCAAATGTACCATGAGACGGCTACCAGTGGGGCCTGGGCTCGCTCCGTTCAAATTGTGCACCATAATGAGATCGAGCAATTCCGTGCCTGGACCTTCAGTCACATTCATCACCTTAAGAAGCTCCGCAGCCTCACAATCGAAATTCCTCACAACAGTCCAGCTGATTACTTCTGTTTCTTCGCTGAACTCCTATCTACAAAGACGCTGTCTGGACTAGAGGAACTGAAGATCTTTGGCGTGGGACCAGACCAATACAACACCAAGACCAGTTCTGTAGCGCACCCATGCGGAAAACACGATATCTCGTTGACTATGACTTCGATGAAGAAGCTCCCAAGTACAGGCCAAGGCTGGCAGGACCGCCTCATTTTGCTCAACAGTATTCTATGTCTGACTAACCTCAGAGCGCTAGCCGTGGACAACATGAACATGCCCGTATCTCAAGCGCACGTTCTCAAAAACAAGCCGCGCCTGGAACGTCTTCGAATTGGTGCAGACCCCCGATCAGCACTTCACTGTGATTACCTGAACTATTTTCCATACGCAATTTTCACATTGCCGCAGTGGTTAGAGGCACCCCCCATCAAGGAACTCGAGATCGATTCGAACGGGATCATGACGGCGGCAACTACAATAGGCAGGATTGCTCCGACATTGGAAAGAGTCTCTCTGGTCATTCCGAACAGCTTCTTTCAAACATCTTTCGACCGTTTTAATTTCCTGATCCAAGGTGCTTCAATCCTCGAGGGTCTACTGAGAGACTCCACGAAGCTCAAAGTGCTCAAGCTATGTGTTCATGGAGCCATTTATGAGATATCGAACACATTTGCGACTTTCATGGGAGCTTTCAAGAACTCTCTTCCTCACCTCCGGAAGCTGAAGACCTTAGAGCTGCACGTCCACTCTGAGTCTCCGTGGTTGGCCCAAGAGTTCCTCCACGCCATTCCAAGAACTGTTGAGCGCCTCTACCTCACGGACACTCTTGTCAAGGGAGATGTTCACAAAGTCTTCACGATTCTCAATGAGGAGAACGGTCATCTGATCAGAGAACCACCAAAGGATGATGAAGACTTCAGATTCGACACTACTGTGGAACTAAGCAGGAACGACTTTATTCCATTCAGCCGAAAACTTGGTTTTGTTGGCTACGAATTTGACGAACCTGAATATACTTCACAGAGCACCGACAGCGGTATCTACGATTTTCTAAGACTCGACGGAAGACTGCTTGATAGGGAGCGAAACAAGCATCTCGCAAAATACAGAGGTGGTCACATCCCGCTTCCGAAGGTTGCAAAGAATAAATATGTGCGTACCTTCTTCAAGTATGCCACTGAGCAGGAAATTGATGTCAATCGCATGGCTCTGGGAAGCTGCGGCCTTCTGGACAACGAGTACTACGGCCTGGAAGACGAAGCGGAGAAGGTGTTCTGGAATGAGCCGGTTGCACAAGCCTCTAAGCGCACCCACTTCTCCTCTGTCGATGTGGTTGATGTCGACACCGTCTTCAAAGAATCCAACCACTGGCAGAGTCGTTGATACACGGCCCAAGGCATCGATACGAGCAGGCATCTGCTGCATGCTGAGTGTGCTGGGCAACATTGAGCTTTGCTTTGCCTTGATTTTGGACACGACGATATCCTTACTCTGCAGATTTTACGGTGTCTTTTTGATGAAACTTTTGGGCTCTGCGCGATTGGGGTTTGCGCTTGCTTCAACTGTGAGTGTGTCAGGAGACAACATCATTTAGAGATGATTTAACGATGCATCCTAGTGGGGGCATTACCTCAGCTTGCGAAAGCATTGTAACTAGGTTAATAAATCACATAGACCTTCACTCATAGTCAGTTGGCCAGGCTGAGTCATGTGACCTATAAATCCACCTTTCGCACCTGACACCTTGCAATACCTCCAAGGGCAAGTGCAGCGAGCAAATGACTCGAATATCTCCTTCGCAGCATCTCAGTGGACACTTGCGGCCGTCCGTCGAGTACCACTTTAGCGAGGAACAATGCAAAATGATCTAAATGCTTCAGATACCACCTCGCCCGCTGGCAACAGCGCTGGCCACACCACTACGTCGCAGCATGCTGGTCGAAAACGAAAGGCTCCGTCGTCTGGCTCCAGAGGAGTAGCAAGCCTCACGCAAGAACAACTCGCGAAAAAGCGCGCCAATGACCGAGAAGCGCAGCGCGCAATCCGAGAGCGGACGAAGCAGCAGATCGACAACCTCGAACGAAGGATACAAGAGTTGACGTCGCAACAACCATATCAAGAGCTTCAGGCTGTGATCAGACAAAAAGATGCCATACAAGCAGAGAACGACGAGATCCGGAGGCGCCTGGCCTCGATCATGTCCATAATACAGCCCATTGTAGGAGCTCAGGGCTTGACAGGTACTGATGGCTCAAGTGCACCAGAGAATGTAAGCAGTGGCTCATACCATACAGATCTTGCGACCGCTGCGCAACACAATGTCCAAACTGCACTGGAGCAACAGACTAGTGCCTTTCAATCCAACAACGTCCCTGCCACCGATCCGTACCTAGATGGCCAGCAGAACGGTCGTCAATTCTCCACATCACCCACATTGGCCCAACAACCGTTGGAGAACTCGTCTTATCCCTCGCCATTCGCACAGGAAGAGCAGACTACCGAGAACAACAGAGCGTGGGCTGCATCGAGAGACGCGCTCAATCATCAGCGTGACAATTTGCAGCGTGGCGTCGAACTGAACGAGTCTGGCGAGCGGCTCTCATTTACCTTTCTCCTCGACAGTCTTGGCCAGAAGTCCCAGAACCCGGCTTCGCAACCGCAGCAGACAACTTCACCAACGCGTCGCTCCGCTTACCCAGCCATAGCACCAACCTTGACCGAGCAATCACAGCTCCAAACACCCTGGACTGCTCTTCCCAAGCATATGCCACCCACATGCCCGCTAGACGGTTTGTTGCTGAACTTTCTGCATTCGCGACAGCGTGAAAACAACACGGAGATGCTGAGTCCAAGCTATCCCAGCGTCTCTTCGCTTCTCAACCCTTCTGGCGGCCACCGTCTTGACCCGCTATCTCAATTAATGACCGACATCATCAGCAAATTCCCCAACATATCCGACATGCCTGAGCAAGCCGCGACACTGTTCGTGATGTTTATCTTTATGCGCTGGCTCATCAACCCGACCCAAGAGAACTACGAGACCATCCCTGAATGGAGCCGGCCTACACCTGCGCAGATATTCACACCACATCCTGCTTGGATCGACCATATTCCTTGGCCGCGCATGCGGGACAGACTCGTGGCTAACTTCCAAGACTATCCGTTCGAGAACTGGTTTATCCCCTTCACCAACGACTTGAGCGTCAACTGGCCTTACGATCCTATTGACTGCCTTCTATCTACATCGGCGAAGGAGGATCCCGTCATCAATCCGGTATTTGAGAGACATGTCCGTCGGCTGGAGAACTGGTCGCTTGGCCCGGGTTTTGCGGAGGCGTTTCCTGCCATGGTCGAGACGACTCGCATCAGACGCAGAAGTACGACCAAGGACAAGTCTGCCACTGTGTCATCTTAGTTGGACGAAACGAGCTGGCACTGAGTCATTCGAGGCGGGTGTAGAGATGTGCTTTCTTTCCCTGAAACGTATTCACTTTTTGTCGATTTTTGATACCCGTGGCGGCAGCAAGGTCAAAAGACCGGTGCTAGCGAACAACAGACTTTCTAAGCAAATACATATGCATCACGTTGACGTGACGAAAATGCGTCTTTTCACCTTCGAATCGCTCACAGCCATATCTTTTGTCTATGGTAGGATTCCTGAGCTTCTTGAACGCACTTGATTCCGACTTGGTCGTGTAGCATTTTCGGCCAAGCTTAAGGAGTGCCATAATCAGGTATCATGTCTCTCTGTCGGTCCGCCGCACGGTTGAGTGGTCGCAACCAGTCGCCCTCTACCGAGCCTGAAGCCTACTTATAGAACAAGTCATTGCTACGCCAACGCCGATTTCATGGGTCATACTGTTGGAGCAACATCATGGAGCAAGTGTTCCTCTGTCAAGCCCACAGACGTGCCACGAACAACAGCTTCATTCCGAATGTTCTGCCTCATGCCGCCGCCTTCGCGCTGTATTTTGACGCGGCCACATCAAAAGCCTGACTCTTCTCCTCCAGATCCTTCAGGAAAGCATGCTCCCTGTCCTTCTCTCGCAACTGTTCGATCAGTCCTTGCACAATCTCGCTCTTCTTGCCCACGACGCTTGCCCATACGATACTGTTTGCGATAGCCTGCACATCTGCATTCTCCGACGCGACAGCATGCTGCAGCGCAGCCTCAGCCTCCTCCGTTCTGCCCAGATGTAGTTCCGCGACGGCTTGTCCGACTAGGGCTGTTGGCGACGTCGTGCCGGGGGTGCTCGCGAGTTCTTCGTACACGTAGAACGCGGACTGGTACTTCTCGGTGCCTCCTTCACGCAGGTTCGTCCACGATTCGGCCAAGTTGATCAGCAGGCTGTCCTGAGCCCAGCGTTTAGCGGTTTGGACTTCCTTGACGGCTAGGTCCGTCCGGTTCTGGAGGAGATGGATCTGCACGAGGAGCGCGACGGCCTCGAGACTGCCCTGGTGCTTGGTCAGGAGGTCGATTGCTGTGGAATAATCACCGGCTGCGGCGAGGACGGTGCCGGCGCAAATCTGTACGGCGGGATCTTCGGGGTCAGATTCAGCTAGGGATGAAGCGGCGGAGGTATCTTGCTGAGCTAGGGCGAGGAGAGAGCGGGATGGAGCATCTTTGGCGGATTTGAGGGAGGATATGACTTGTGAGGATTCGCCTAAGGCTATTTGTGCGCGGTATTTGAGGATCTGGGCGGTAGATTTGTTTTCGGGGGAGAGGGCTGAGGTATCGAAGTCGAGGACTGCTTGGTAGGCGTGCGTGTGGAATGCTGTTGTTATGTTGAGGAGTTCTGGGGGCAGGTTAGTATTGACATTGGAGAGGGTTTGTGAGTTGTTGCTCGTACCTCCCTCCCCAGAGAAGGGATCCATCTTTCTATTGATACAAACCTGGTATGAGGCTGCTTCGGATGCTCGGAGTTGCCTAATCTCTCGACACTGTCTCGCAGGTCTTTACGTTCTCTTTTGGCAGGGTATGGGAGTTGAGGTCGTCGACAACCGTGTCCCTTGAACATTGAGGATTCCGAAAGTGGAAAGTACTTGCGACAGTTACGGCGGAGTAGGAAGACACACCACGGATCAACCGGACTTTAAACTTGCACATACCACCACCACGCACCTTTGATGTCTGCTATTTGTAGAAGCACCCTGGTCTTTCTCCGCTGTCCGTTGCAACTCAATCTCACCAATATTGCCCTTGGCGAATTGGTGGACACCCTTATTCGGGTGGCCGAGATTCTGGCTGAAACTCCTCTTTCTCGATATCTTGACTCCTCTCGTGATGTCAGGGAAGTGTAAATGCAAATGCAACGGTGTTGGACCTGAACGGCTTCTGCCGTCGAAAGGTAAACTGGAATACCTTTCCATTAGCGGCGATCTGAAGATCATGAAGAAGGGCAACCAAGCCACCTGGATTCTCTTTGAGACACAAGCGCAAGATCGACTCCTGGAGTACATCAACCCCGGGTGCCAGCGCTCAATGGTACGATCTCGAATACAGTTCTGCACGTACATGAAGCCGGACGTCACAACTCACAACCATTCTGGATGCGTGATCGTACGCACGGTGTTTCAGGCCACCCGCTCTATAATCCCCTCAGCATTTGTACCTGCAGTTGAGAGGCTGTGCCCAAGGATGCATGTTTGGTTATGCCAACAGGTCAATGCGCTGCAAAGTTCAGCAGTCACGACTGGTAAGGTCTAATCAACTGACAAATGACAAGAATGGGGAAACAAACAGACATTGACAATCGAGTCTTCCTACAACGATGTTACCCTATTATGACTCTTGGATTTTGTCTCGCAGTACTTGAGGTCGTCACTGCAATGAGTTTCCAGTGGTCTCCCTGTCTTGCTTTTCCCATCCACAGAGGCATTGTGGAAAGCAGAACATGACATACCACGCTCACGTTTTTGCCTGGGCCATAACGCCTTCCATTCTCGCAGGCATAGCAGTTATATCTCGTTGCGTTACACGCTTTGAACTAACGAACACACTCGGCGTGGAGGAAATTATCATTGTTGTGGCCGCCCTCGGGAGTGCAGGTCTCGCCACTCTGATATGCTTGGGTAAGGAACATTTGCCCATTGACCAACAACACCTGATCCTCGACTGACGGAGACATAAGAGGTCGATCATGGCTTTCAAGACCACGAAATCTTACCGCCGAGCGATTATGTATATCAGCTCAAAGTAAGTGCTGCAGAGGCTCCAGAACAACCGGCTTACTTGTTGCCAGATCCTCTATGCCGGATCCCTGCTCTACCAAACGGCGCTGTACTCTGTGAAAGCTTCAATTCTCTGTCAATGTCTCAAACTTTTTTCTGGTCGGTACCGCACGGCTTGCGCTGTCGCCTTGACGTTCATCACAGTATACGCCATTGCAGCATTCACGGTCGACGTCTTCGCATGTTGGCCGATACACAAATTCTGGATGCTTACCGTCCCGGGCAAATGCATCGAACTGTCGCCAATTTGGTACATAACGGCCGCAGTACAGATTACCACCGATCTGGTTGTTTGCCTGCTGCCGATATCGGTGTTCAAACCTCTCAAACTTCCGAAACTTCAGAAATACAGCTTGATTTTGGTATTCGCCCTGGGTGGAGTGTTAGTCAATGATTCTAAAGGTCGCTTATGGTTGATTTGCTGACCATTTTTTAGGGGATGTGTATGCTCAATGATCAGACTCGTACGACTCCATCAGATCCTGGAGGAACCTTACCTCTCACGGAAAGATGTATCGGTTGCGCTATGGTCATCACTTGAGGTCAATCTCGGGATCATATGCGCCTGCCTTCCCAACCTCCGACGTCCGCTTAGTCGTTTGTTTCCTAAATTCTTCCGAAATACTGGAAGCGAGAGCTCTGACTCATCGGGGAACAAGATGTCATTTTGCCGTCTATGGAAAGGGACCAAATGGATCAGCTCAAATAATTCGACCACCTCCGAGCGCTATACACTCGCAACGATAGAATGATGTGAAGCCAACGCTGACCTGTCTGGCCGTCAGTTCGCACCTCTCTACAGCTTCTGGGGACTTTCAATGTCGCCCTTGGTAGACGTGGGTGTTAGAAGCAATGCAGCTAGGAGAAGCCCTTCAAAAGGCCAGCCAACAGGTGGAAGAAAGTGCGGCGGCATGGATGGAAGCTGTCGGGTCACCGAAAAGCGCTGCGACAAGCTACAGAATGAAAAGCCGACGTCGCTGCAGTTGGATTTCAAGCCAGACATGTGTTCCACAGACGACCTTTCTCGCCATGTTATCCAAGGGAGGCAAATAATTGCTGGCCTCCACTGGCCTGGGAACGCCAGAAAGACCACACTTGCTAAGCAACCTCCTCGGATACGTTGTATAGCGTGGCTCAAGAAGCCACAATGGGTACAATGCTCCCGCAGCGGCTTTCGCCTTCTTATAAGGTGTTGTGCAATGTTGGTCACAATTTCAGCACAGGACGGGAGGGCGTCAATTGTGCGAAACCTTGGGTTGCTGAGGACAGACGTGAACTTTACGATATGCTGTGTAGACTAGCAGTTGAAGTAAGGCTAAGGGTGAGAATTGGAGGCTCTACTAAGACACTTAAGCCTAGCGCCGTAAAGTCCGCTGCTCCCTATTCCTTGTCGCCAATCCTTTTCCGCGTTGTGACTTTCAAGTACTGCGCTCTCGAAATAACGACGACCGCAATACAATCAAAAAAAGAACGACTTCTATAGCGCTTCGCTTACCATTACTTTGATTTCGCTCTTCTGTGCCAGAAGAAAACTCCTCGAGCTACCGTCAGCACACCTGCGCCCCTCAAGCGTGTCCGGGCTTGCAAGTCTGCATCCTCCGTCTCATCATGCCTCGCGGCGCCCGATTCAGCTTTGCCTACAACAGTATTATCCTCGATCATCGAGCCTCACAGACGCGTCGGGCACTGAGCCGGGTCAAAGCCAACTACCATCTCTTTCTGCGAAATCAGCCACGAGCACCAGAGTTCAAGATTCAAGATCTGGGCCCGTTGAGGAAATGGCGGGTGCCAAAGATGGAGAATGTTGTTGCGTAAAGATGCAGATATAACACTTATGAATCTGTGACGATATTGCATTTCGGGGCGTCGGCATGGCCAGGCAAGGAGTCTAGGGACATGATGGCAATTCATGGATTGTATGAACACGACGACACGGACCCCTGATACCCGCTGAAATCTCAGCTCTGATAGAGTACATCACAATGATCTTCTCTCTAGCTTCTCTCCGATGGTGACTTTGCAACCGCTTCATAGCTCACCCTTCAAAGGAACAGTGTCGACGAAGAGTGCCTTCGAGAACGCATCTGGGTAACGACCTCCATGAACCTCCGCCGCACTGATGGCCTTGCGGATCTTCTCGTTATCGTCCTTGCTGATGTCCACTTTGAGCGACCCGATGTTCTCGTCGAAGTTCTTGGTTCTTGTCGTTCCGGGGATAGGAACAATATCGTCACCTTGAGCCAGGAGGAATGCCAGCACCAGCTGTCCGGCTGTGCAGCCCTTTGACTCGGCCAATGATGTGAGCGTGTCGACCAGTTTCAAGTTCTTGGGGAAGTTCTCCTTGTTGAATCGTGGAGCGAAGGTTCGGAAGTCACCTTCCTCAAAGTCATCGGGACTTCTGATCGATCCGGTCAAGAAGCCTCGACCGAGAGGGGAGTAGGCGACCACTGAAACACCCAACTCACGAGCCGTCTTCAAGAGCGCGTACTGGGGATCTTCAATCTCCATGGAGAACGGGCTGTACTCCATCTGAACAGCGGTAATGTGTGTCACCTGTGCCACCGTATCAGCAGAATGCCCGGAATCAAGAGGTCCAGTCAACTCACCTTGCAAGCTCTTCTGAGACTGTCTGCACTGCACTCACTCATTCCCAGGTACTTGACCTTGCCTGCATCTTGCAGTTCCTTCATTGCCTTGACGGTGATTTCAATGGGTTGATTGGCATCCAGACGATGGACGTAGTACAGGTCGATTTGGTCGATGCCGAGTCTCTGCAAGGACTTGTCGCATGCTTGTTTGACGTACTCGGGTTCATTCTTGACGCTCCTGACGCCGGTCTCTGGGTCGACGTAGTTGGCGAATTTGGTGGCGAGGAAAATGTTCTCTCTCTTGCCTGGGTTCTTCTTGAACCAGCGACCGAGGAGATCCTCGCTGTCGCCGTACATGTCTGCCGTGTCCCAGAAGTGTTCGCCGGACTCGTAGATGTGATCGAGCAGGGCATAGCGTTCCTCGTCCGGCTTGGGTTTTCCGTAGAAGGCGCTCAAGCCCATTGTGCCGAAGCCTAGGGCTGTGACTTCCGGGCCATTCTTGCCCAGTTTGCGGGTGGGAAGCTTGGTTGGTGCCATTGCGATAGTTCTAGTAGCAATAGTATGGAGAAATTTGGGGCTGATTGCTGGCGGTGTAGGTCGGATACCAGAATGCAGAATGCGAATCACTTCCCGTCTATATATCATTAGCAGGAATGCAGAATTAGTAATAAGCGAAAGATGTGCACCGCTCTACATAATACCGCTCCTTGCTCGGTGTTAATCGTTAACATCGTCTCCAACCCCACATACTTCCATATCGTGACGTTGTTAAACGGGGTTTATTCCTCGGTACGCTCGTCCATGTCATTGTCATCTCCTCAGCGGCCGCAGTCCCCGCGTTGACCTGGTTGTGGAATTCCACCGCGAAGAGTGAATGAGACTCCGGATGCAAAAGAAGACCGAAACACGGACTACAGGTTACATAATTGCCCAATATGGCCATCTTCTTATCCGAGTTCGGAGTTTATTGTTCGCTTTTTCTCCTAGGCAGGCAGGTACGATACCTTCCCAATCCGGAAAATGCGTCCTGTCAGACAGGGGAGCTAATATGGCAAAATTGATCATTCGAAATTGTCTTTTGTCAGTCATTCGTGGAATTTTCATACGAAAGGTGGTCAGGCTGGTCTTTCTATCGGCCAGGTATCATAGGGAGTTGCGATATGCAGAAATCAATGAGGAAGCAATCGAGTACCAGATGCAGTCTTCTGCTGGATTGTCGTTGGTCCCTCAATTGGACTACTTCGTTCTTCGTCTTTGAGGGCCTTGTAAACATGCATATGCACAGCATATGTCATAGGCTCGAATAGTAAGATAATCCTTTTGTGTTGCTAGGCCCTTATCGATAGCAGTGGATCTCGCCTTCTTTTATTCCGGCTGCGCTGGACCAGATGACTCTTCCAATGTTTCTCAACATGCTACCCTCTCTCCTCCAAGTCTGATAGTCATAGGGGACGATGGCGGAGGCATTCGACATACCGCCATGCTGAATACTGCTCACTTGCGGATACATTTCTCCGCCAGAATAACCGCATTCCGAACCCCAAAACTTGTCAGTCCTGCGCTACCCAGCAAAGTAGCTGCTAGGTGCTCTCACCATGCGGCTCACTATGACGGACCAAGTCCCACGATAGCCGTCATCGGCTCTGGGCCAGCTGGCTTCTATACTGCACAAAAGGTGATGCGCGAGATCAAGGGCACCAAGGTCGACATGTACGAACAATTGCCCGTCCCATTTGGTCTTGTGAGATTCGGGGTAGCACCAGACCATCCGGAGGTCAAGGTCAGTAGAGCCTCTATTCCGGCTGTCCCCTGACTCACAATCTCCAGAACTGTCAAGACACCTTCGGAGACGTCGCAGCCTCCCCAGAGTACACCTTCATCGGAAATGTGAATCTCGGGCACGACTTGCCTTTACCCTTACTAGCAAAACACTATGACGCCATTGTCTTTGCCTATGGAGCATCGAAAGACCGTAAGCTGGGTCTAGAAGGAGAGGACAAACCACACATTTACTCTGCCCGAGCGTTTGTTGGCTGGTACAATGGACTTCCGGAATACCGCAACCTGAACCCCGATCTGACTGCGGGAGAGACAGCAGTTGTGGTAGGACAAGGCAACGTCGCGTTGGACGTGGCTAGAACGTTGCTGAGCAAGCTGGAACATCTCAACAAGACGGACATAACAGAATATGCAATTCAAGCCCTGTCGCGAAGCACCATCAAACATGTCCATGTGGTCGGTCGACGAGGTCCCATGCAAGCAGCGTTCACGATCAAAGAGCTCAGAGAGCTGCTACAGCTGGATGACGTGAACTTCAAACCCGTCCCTGACGAGCTGTTTCCCAAGGATTTAAAGAGTCTGCCGCGACCTAGAAGACGATTGATGGAACTTCTGAAGAAGGGTAGCCCTACAAAGGAGAACGCATCTAAGTCTTGGTCACTGGATTTCCTGCTCTCCCCACAGTCGTTGACCTGGTCTTCTTCAGAATCTGACAAACTCGAAGGGGTGATGTTCTCGAAAACTCGACTTGAACAACCAGACTCGCCGGAATCCAAGGTCACAAATACGGATGAGAGACAGTTGATTTCCACATCGACCTTGTTTCGTTCTATTGGATATAAATCAGAAGCCATACCGGGCATGCAAGAACTCGGAGCTGATTTTGACGAGCGGAACGGAACAATTCGACACGACGGGATTGGCAGAGTGGTGTCTCTGGACACCCGTAAGGGCGACAAAGCCAGTCTGTACTGTTCAGGCTGGGTGAAGCGAGGTCCGACCGGTGTGATAGCCAGTACCATGACCGATGCTTTCCAAACCGCAGAAGCCATTGTCGAGGACTGGAAGAAGACATTCGATTCACCGCGGCCCAGTCGAGGTGGATGGAAGGGTGTACAAGCTGATGCTCAAGCGCTCAAACTTCCATTACGACCTGTGCACTGGTCGAATTGGCAGAACATCGATCAGGTCGAGAAAGCTGTCGGTGCTGAACGCGGAAAGCCAAGAGAGAAGTTTGGCGACGTGGATGAGATGCTCAAGGCGTCTGGTGTATCTGACTGAGAAAACCATGTCTTAGACATACTATCTACAAGGCTAGAAACATTTCGTGTACTAAAAATCCACTCAAAACGGTCATATGATGACTTATTACCTTATCTTGTCATCTACGCTCCCCCTGATCTATGCTAATCGTCGAACCACGGCGACAAGGAGCATCTCAAAATGGCCTCATTATCAGAAGCAACCCCAGCGTTCGTGCAAGCCTTGTCTTATCAGCCCCCGTTGCACTCCTGGCCTGTCCATAATGCACCCTTCTGGCTCCTCCATTTCTATCATGTTCAGACTGACGCCTTCTCACCGTAGAGAATATCCTCCACCATCTCCGCAATCGCCAAACTGCTCGTCAACCCAGGACTCTCAATCCCCAGAAGATTAACAAACCCGGGAAACCCTTCTTCCTCCTGTATATAAAAATCCGCAAACCCCTTCCCATCCTTCCCGTACGTCCCGCTCGTCTTACCAAGCTTCGGTCGTATCCCACAGTAATCGAGATCAATACTCTCCACATCCACACCGGGCAAATACCCTTTGATCACTTGCACCGCGGCATCCAGCCGCGCCGGGTTCGGCGCGAGATCTGACGGATCGTCCACCCACTCTACATCCGGCCCAAAGCGTACTCGTCCCGCCATATCGAGCGTGAGGTGCGTTCCCAGACCACCCAGCCCGGGTGTTGGGGCCGGGTACAGTAGGGTTCTGGGCTTGGGGTGTCCTGAAGCGTAGGAGAAGTACGTGCCCTTTGCGTAATACGCTTTTCGGTGCCTCTCGGCGGGTAATAGCATGTTACTTATCTGCACGGCGCCCAACCCGGCGGTATTGATCACCGTTTCTGCGGTGATGGTGTCTTCGCCCCCTGCGCCGTCGCGAGACGTTGTAGTTATCGCATAGCCAGCCTCGGCATCACTGTCATTGACTCGTTTGAGGGCAGTGACGATAGTATGCATGATTTGTTCGCCGCCGCGCTCCTCGAGGTCGCCTTCCAGGTACGCCATCAGAGCATGACTGTCGACGATACCGGTCGTGGGAGATTCAAGAACGCCAGCTTCGGCGCGGACATCGGGTTCTTGTTCTGATATCTCCTTTCGAGAGAGGAATTGCATTGGTACATCGATCGTTTTGCAGAAGGCGTGCAAGTCTTCGAGATGGGACATTTGTTGGGCGTCTTGGGCCATGATCCATTTCTTGGTGCGGGCGTGAGGGATGTTGTTGGCCTCGCAGAGGTCGTAGAGCATGTGCTTGCCTTTGATGCATAGTTTTGTCTTGAGGGTGTTGGACCCGTAGTATATACCTGCGTGAATGACCTATCTCAGTGTCAGATCTGGTCTGGTCTGGGTTGCTCTGGCCCAAACGGAGCAGGGCAAAGCAACGTGATATAGGAGGACTGCGAACCTCAGAGTTCCTACTACTCGTTTCCTGACCCACCTGGCCGTGTCGTTCGATCAGGATTGTCGAGGTGCCTGTTCTTGCTGCTAACTGGCGGGCAATGGCCAGACCAACGATGCCTCCACCGATGACCTGATGGGCACAGATAAGCATCGTATACAGTAGGTAACATCCTCGTCAACATGAGACTTACAGCATGGGTGAAGTCAGCATTCAATGTTCTCGAGGTGCTGAATGCTCTTTTGACTCTGGTAGGTGACTGACGACATAGTGATCGAATGACAGCTCTCGCAAACGGCTTCGCCATTTTGATACCAAGGTCCAGACAGTACGGTACAACCACGGCTCTGGGTGGCTGTTATCGACTCATTCGTGCTCGGCCGTGGCTGAAGAATCCTGGGCGCCAGTAGTCGAGATCTTTATCTTCTGTTGTGTTTCAGATGCCGAGTCCTGAAAGTGTGTTCGTCGACAAGACACAGCGAGCGTTGCTCTGCTTACCGGGTACCTGCGGCGTTATGGTGGTGAATAACTTAAAGGGTACTTAAGGGATATGGTACTGTAGCATGGAAGATGCCTGGCAGTGTTGACGAAGCCCGAAGTGGAATCTTCGATGTCGTCAGGAGCCAGCCCGCCAGTCGACCGCAGTTCATCGTAGGCCAACTCCGAAGGGCGACATCAACTATAGCTTCATCAGATGAGGGATCTTGGTCGAGCAATATTGATACAGTATTCAATATGGATACGATCGGACATGCAAGCTATCCAAACTTCCGTCGTCCGTAGACAATCTATGTACAGATGAATGCGCCTTCGTCTTCGAGACTCGAGATACCTCGAATTGCGGGCTCTTGCCGCCTAAACAATGCTTTATGGATGAATACTCCCCAGCAATCCCCTTGAAACTTGTCCTTCCGCAAGTAGTCAATTATCATGCATTCCCACCCCTATGAAAGCTCGCCCTTAGGATGTGGACCTCTTCCTAGCAATGGACTGCTCCGAAGTCAATTATATCGCCGAACGCAGCACGCAATAACAAAACCCAACCCCTCATGCCATGTTTATGCTCGTTCAGTAAAGGTCAATCTACAATGGTCCTGTCATAGGTATTAGCAGGTAACTTCATCACAGAGCTTCCATTTGAACTCACCTGAGGGAAGATAGTGGCAAAGACCTCAATATCTTCACTGATCGCCGTCGGGTCGTGTACCCAGTCAAGCAGGATACTGGCCTTGCCAATCATCGCCATCAAATTTAATTGAGCATAAGTCTGGCCAAGGCAGTAATGAGGCCCAGTGCCAAATACCAACCAGTTCTTGACTTGCTTATCGGCATCTCCAGTGATCCATCTTTCAGGAACAAAGTTGTCGGGATCTGGGTATGCCTCAGGATCGTGAGTCGCCGGCCAGACGGCAGGAATGACCATTGATCCTTTTTTCAGCGTATATGTTTCAGTCATGGGAAAGTCCTTCTTGGCCACGTATGGCACAAAGATGACTGGTGGGCGGTATCGCAAGGTTTCCTTGACCACGGCCCTCGTCCAGACCATTGATTCTAGCATGTCCATATCAAATGGCTTGTTTCTGTCGCCGCCTCTCAGTCTAAGGTTCTCCTCTCGGACCTTGTCCAAAATGTCCGGTCGATCGGCCATGATCTGGAACAACCAGGTAGAAGCACTCGAAGTGGCATCCTGGGAAGCAAATAGGAAAGTGAAAACGGTCTGGGCGATCTCAAAGTCGGTGAAGTCGCGCAGCAACATCGGTGGCTTGTCGGCCTCGTCCACCTTCTTACCGCTGGCAACTCGTTCGCGATACTTGGCCGAATCTTGCATCTGCTTGATCCAAGCGTCCATGATGCAGTTCGCGGTGCCACCAGCCGCCATTCGTGCCTTGGACTTAGCCGCACACTTGGCGAACTCATTCAAAGCCACGTCGGCTGCCTTTTTGCCGTACCAAGTCTTGGTGAAGGGGAGGATGATGGGGAAGTTGACCAGTTCCAATGCAGCGGTGATCAAGTAGTAGTCCACGGCAATTTTCTTGACCACGGCTTCGCTCATGTAATGACCAACAAACGTTCTGCAGGATACGGCGCACATCAGCTCTCGCAGTATGGGCATCCATGGTTTCGGCTGCATGCCATTTTCCTTGGTCATGTCGACAAATGTCTTGAAGTACTTGCTGTAGACCTCCTCTTGACCTGGCAGGTACATTTCCAATGCCTGTCGAGTGAACAGCCCGTTCAAGCCCTTTCGATATTCGACGTGATCCTTGCCATCTAAGAACACCCAGTTGGTAGGTCGGAGCAGTTTCGGAGCGACATCGACCACGGTCGGTTTGACAAACATTGGCGAGTTGAAGACCTTGCGAGCCATATCTCGGGTTGAGGCAATTACAACAAATCTGGCGCACACTGTTAGCCGCACAACCCAGGCGAACAAGTAGGATAGCACGTACTTGTGGAAGACAGAGACACAGCTCAGATCTCCGCTTTCCCACTTCGTCTTGTACTTGTTAAAGTCTGGATGCATTGACTCGAGGAAAGGCCCGATGAAAGGCATCTTCCAGGCCGGTCCAACAATGCCATGCTTGCGGTACTGATAGCTACCTGCGCAAAGTGTCAGTGGTTTTGGTCTGAAGGCACTGCGATCCTCTCATGTCTCACATTGATCGTAGGCGACCAGAACCAGCAGGAGGGTCACAATCACTGTCCAGATGTTCAACTGCGCAAGCAACCTTCCGACCAACCCCGAGGCACCGGCAGCATGACTGTGTAGTTGGGCATTGGCGAGAGGCGAGGTGAAGCTCGTCGTATTGGCGACAGCGTCCATGGCGAATCCTTGTGTCGCGGGGAGATGGGCAATTGGAAATGCCGACTGTCGAATTGGGAGGCGCCGACGATTTCCGGGCGCTGTGAGATACCGATAGGTCGTAGGTTGTAGGTCGCAGTCGCGCCCAACAACAAAACTAGGGAATGCTGCGACTCGTAGAGTCCTTCGAGTATGGGTAATGAGGAGGGAATCGACAACGAGGGTGCAATCGCAGATAACGGAGGATGTTCTCTCTGGCGCGACTTGACCGCCCTGGTAAGTTAATTAGCTCGGCCCAGCACTTTTTAATTCTTTTTTGATTTGGGACCCTCTGCGCGCTGGGGAAATTGAATCAGCGATGACCGGTGCAACCGAAGACTGGCCGTGCTGGCTTTCATCAGTTTATGATTGGGTGTTGCAAGTGGCTGTCTCCATCGGTTCCTGGCAGCTCCGGATGGCAACACTATCGCCGTGAATACTTATCATGACTTAGTCATCCAGATTCTCAATCATCAAACTTCTAACTACTATTCATCCTGAGGGAGATTGATGCCTGTTCAGTACAGACGAAGCAGAGAGAATGTCATTCCAGTCCATTATACGCCCTTTGCCATGCCCAGTCATGCTGAAAATACAAATGCAATCGTAGTTGCATGCTCGTCACGCTGAACTTTTGTCCGAGCAACCTCGGAATCGACTTTTCGCGTTCAACTCATATCTTCATCTATGGAATGTCGAAAAGCGGCTTCATCTTCCTAATAAGAGACCACTCCTCCTTCGTCACCTCGTCGCGGTAAAACTCCTTGAGGGTATCGATCGACTGTCGGGATAGGAGCGAGTAGAGTGTGTCCTTTTCGTCCAATTGTCGGCCGTACAGAGGCTGATTAGGTCCTTCGATCTTCACGGCCACTGATGGCTGTCCTTTCTTGCAGAGAGGGATCGCCTTGTGTTCTCGCTCGATAGATGTCCTGTCATATGGTCAGATCTACCTCCACTGGCCTAGTGGGAGGAATAACTTACACTCTTCCTAATGAGACAATTTCCTTCACATTAGTCACTGGATTTGTCCTCACAGCAGCAATCGGTGTCAATGGTCGAAGACTTCCATCCACCACGTCAAGTCCAATCACGATCGGATCCTTCTTATTAAAGACTTGTAGTGGGTTCAGCACGCAAGGGAACACCGCATGAAGCTTGCTCTCCTCTTTTCTCTGCTCCGCAAGCTGATTTCTGTACTTGGTAAAGTCGTCGAACAAGTGATAAATGATGTCGGCCGTGAAAACCTTGATGCCGTTCTCTTCGGCATATGCCATCGCTTCTTTGTCCACCTTGACATCGAAGCAAAGCATCACCGCGTACTCTTTGGCCTTCTCCAACATGGTGCCTGCCATCATTATATCACGTTTGTAGACCGGACCGATGGAGATGTTGGCCACAGGGATCTTCATGTCCTTCAAGAACTTCAACAGGGCTTCTAATGAGCCTAGCGTAGAAGCCTGTACGCTGACACCACGGTTATCCTTCGAGACCGACGTAAGCAGCTTCTGCAAATCAGCCATAACATCATCCTCCAGATCGTCTTCATCGTCTTCAGGGCCGACTACAAGCAGTCGGGAACCAGCGATGGCACCTTCCAGGTCGTTCGCCGCAATCTTGACGCCAAGTGCGGCTTTCACTTCCTTATTGTGCACATATTGTGACTTCAGACGGAGCTCCTTTAATGGTGCAGGCGTCAGAAGAGCTCGGATGTTGGTGGCGATGGGCCCATTGATACCACACAGCACGATCCGATCACCTTCTCGAAGATATCCGTTGGAGAGAATGACATCGATGGTGGTACCAAGACCCTCAATGACCTTGACTTCTAGAATGGTCGCCTCAACCTCTGACAAGTACATCAGACTAGACGTCATCCGTTCTTGAGTCAAAGTCACCAGAAGCTTGATCATGTCAGGAATACCTTCACCAGTATGTGCCGAGGTGGGGACAAGAGAGACGTATCGTCTCATGTCGTTGTTCTCGTAGAAGAGCTCGGCGTTGAATCCTCGTTCTGCAAAAGCTAGCTTGGTCTTGTCGAGACGATCGCGGAATTCGTTCACAACGCCTTTGTTCTGCATGGCCAAACTCTCTTGGAAACCGTTGTTATCGATCTTTTTCCACCCATACAGACGATCAATCTTGTTGAGTGCAACGATGAACGGGATCTTACGATCTCGGAGCAAGTTCATAGACTCAATGGTCTGGGGTTCAAGACCGTGCATGATATCCACCACCAAAATGGCGATGTTGCAAAGTGAAGATCCACGAGACCGAAGGTTGGAGAACGACTCGTGGCCAGGAGTATCGATGACCAGCAAGCCGGGGACTCTGAATTCGAAACTACCATCCTTGTTGACAACGGCTGTCTTCTGCTGCAGTGCTTCGACCGGGAAATACGTAGCACCGATTTGCTGCGTGATACCACCTGCTTCACCTTCCTGGACATTAGTCTGCCGAATCTTGTCCAGCAGTTTCGTTTTACCAGTATCGACGTGACCGAGAATACAACAGATAGGTGATCGCAAGTTGTCCTTCGACCGTGCTGCAAGAGCCTCTTCGTGGGCTTTCTGCCTTCGGGCAGCTGCATCTGCCTTTCGCTTAGCAATTGCGCGTTGGTTTGAAGTGCCTTCTTCTTCCTCTTCTGAAGAGGAATCATCAGAGTCAGAGTCAGTGTCAGACTCAATGGGCCTTTCTTTTGAAGGTGGTCCCGAGCTGCGTACTGGCAAAGTCGAAGTGCTTGCTGTCTTTGTGGCACTGCCATTTACTGCGGCTTTGGCATCGCCGTTGACAGCAGGGGATTCTGCATCCGAATCAGCATCCCAGCTGTCTTTGACCTCCTCGTCAGCAGCCTTCTCCCAATCGTCAAGGTCGGACGAATCGTCTGCTTTGTCGGCCTCTGCAGCAGCCGCCGCCGCCGCAGCTTGTTCAGCTTCCTTTGCTAAACGTTGACGTTCGGCGTCGGCAGCCTCAGCTTCGCGTCTAGCCTTTTCTGCGGCGGCTTCAAGATCGACCTCCTCCTTTTTGGGAGCCTTTCGTTTCTTGTCAAAAACGGGCTTTTTCTTTTCCTCCGAGTCGCCTGCCAAACCAGCGACCTTCACACCAGATTCAAGCATCTGCTTCAATCGGAGCTCTTGTTGCTGCTTTCGCTTCTTGTCGGAATCTGACATAAGTTTGCCCTCTTTCTTCAGCTGTTCCTTCTTCTCTTTCTCCTTTTCCTTCTTGCGTTGCCGTACCTCCGCTTTCTTTTTCTCTTCTTCAGCCTCTTGGCGCAGTCTCTCTTCCTCTGCTGCCTTTTCCTCTGCTGCAATTCTTGCTTCCTCCTCTCGTTGCTGGGCGAGTAGTGCTTGCTGTTTCTGGAGGGCAACAAGCTGTGGAGTGAGTTTCTTTTTCTTGCCGCCTTTCTCCTCTTTCTCTACAACCGGCGCAGCAGCTTCAGGTTTCTTTTCCTCCACTGGTTTGGCCGCTTCCTCTTTGACAGCTGGAGTTGGTGCAACAGTCTTCTTCTTCGCGGCTTGCTCCCTCTTTCGTTGCTTTTCACGTTCTTTCTTCTCGCGCTCTTTTTCCTTCTTGGACTTTACGCCGCCACCCTCGTCATCTTCGCCGTCCTCAGCAAGCGTTTCCTGCTGCTGTGCCTGCTTTTTGCCCCCTTTGCCTTTCTTTACATTCCCGGCAAAGACGTCTTCTTCTTCGTCGTCGAAGGTAGCCTCGGCAGGTGCTTTGGCAGCAAGGTCCTCCACGGGTGGGGTGGGAGCGGCACTATCTGGATCCTCGCCTTCGACGAAGTCATTGAGAACAGGCTTACCCTTCTTTGCACGTTTGTCCTTGTTCTTCCGAATGGCAGCCATCAGGCCGCCAGCATTGACTTCCCCGTCCGCGGCATCCTGTTCATCTTCTGTGTTCTTCGCTTCAGCGGTGGCTTGAGCGATGGGGTCGATGGTCTCGCCGAGGTCAGCTTCCCAATCGTCGGCCTGTTTCTTGCCGCCCTTCTTTTTAGGAGCCATGTCGGTCTTTGGTGAGATGCGTGGTTGAAATTAGGGAGAAGAATCGTTCTCGGTTGAGAGGCGGCGACATAAAGTCGTGTGCAGGTTCGACAACGGAACAATGAAGATCTTCAGTCGAACAAATGAGAAACGATTGGTTGGCGTCAAATCTCTCGATGTTCTTTGCCACAATTAGTTGCTTTCTGTGCCTAGCAGTGAAAGACGGAATAGCCAAAAAGTCGTGCGCCGGCCGAATGTGTATTATGGTGGGGTAGTCAACGGCAGAAAGTTGTGACGCCAGTCGAGGAAGGCTTTCGCCGCCAAGATGCAGCCTTGCCGTGCCGTTTTAGCAAGACCTTCAATTCTTTCTCCCTACTTCAAATCTGTGAGTCAAACATGAGTCACTGCCATAGACCAGATTATTACTCAGTAGCATGCATAACCCCTGTCAAGATGATGCCTAGATATAGTGTTTGGTGGTAGATCTGGCACGTGTATCGGGCTCAATTTGCCATGCCTATCTCTATCTCCGATGGTCCAGATGTAAATGCTCTGTCCCGAATATGACCAAGACTCAATCTAAGCAAGCGCCTCCTTCACAAGCTGGTCAAGAGTTCTTTTCGGCATACCCAGCACTTCATTCACGAATGCATCTCCCTTCTTCTCCCAATCAGCATTCACAATACCCTCGACCGAGACGAGCTCTTCAGTAGCCTCCCCATCGTCACCTTTACCCGTCAATTGAGCCTTATTCTTTTGGATGTACTCTTCAGAAGATACCTCCTCGATGTCGATCTTGGCTCCGATCACCTTCTCAACCGCAGCGATTAAGTCGTTCTGTGTGGTTGACAAGCTCTGCGAATATACCAATTTGTTTTTCAAACGAGCATCTCCAGTGTGCTGCAAGACTTTTGCCGTAGCCAGGCCTATATCCGCAAGCGTCGAATTGGAAAACCGAGCTTTCCCATCGTCAAACACTCTTGCGGTACGTTTCTTGACATCAATATTGAGCAGGCCACTTCTCAGTCCGTAGTCGAAGAAGTGCCCTGTAATCAAGCTTGTCCACGCGAGGTGGCTGCCGTCGTCTCTCTTCTGCTGAGACAGCTTGATCAGATAATCTCGAACATCCTTCTTGTTCCCATAGAGCGGAATCAGATCAAGGGACCTCGGATCACTGCTGTCGCAGCTTCCGAAGTCGGACGGGATGACCAGCTTGACACCTGCCTCGAAGGCAGCATCCGCCAGCTTGATCGAGTTGTCACTCTGCGTGCCTGGGAACGCAATAATAAGAGCATCTTGGCCTCGTAATGTTTCCACAAGTTGTTCGTGCTGATATGTGTCGTCTATCTGCGCGACCTTGACATCTGACGAATATGTGGATTTCGAGGATTTTCGATTGAGCACCGTGACATGAAACGACTTTGTGTCTAGGATCGCTTGCAGGATGAATGGCCCGACTTTGCCATTTGCGCCTACGATGGCCACTTTGCTTATGTTTATGTGTTGTGAAGCCATTTCTCATGAATGTAGCACAAGAACAGGAGACGATAAACGAAGGAAGCTATCTTATTAACTCACAGGTGAGAAAGATAGATGACGTGCCCGGGAAAAGTTGTCAAAGGGCGGCAGCGCAGGCACAGAGGTTCGAAGACACTTTGCGTAGACTTCTAGGCTGACAATGACCACGGATCTCATGTATTGTCAGGCGTCCTCCGAGCTAAGTCGAAGAGACGAGAGCAGAAGCTCTTATCTGCTGCTTGGAGTGAGAGCATAGGCATCAACACACGGTGGACCGAGTGAGTTTCTGTGGTGTTAATTAGTCATTTCTTATCTCAGGTAAACCTCCATATACGCTGTGAAGCTAGTCCGTGGGTGGTAAAAGGGTTGTGGGAATTGACTCATGAGGTTTGTGGTCACTGGTCAGCCAATGGACCTAGACGTAGCCCCATATCCACCCCTGAAGCAAGTGATTAAATATACCTGAGATCCGAAAGATTTCCACTGGTAGAGGCAGATGGAGATCACCACCCTCACCAAAGCTGTTGATGCTCACTTTGTAGGCCACCAGCATCGTGGAATGTCGTGCAGCACGCACAGAAAGACATCAAAACCCGGGGATGACACTGAAAATGCCAACATATCTCAATTTCCAAACACAGCTGTTTGAGCGTAGATATCTACAATGCGGAGCAGAAAACTCTTCGTACTGAATTCAAGAAGAGAATCAGGGCCCGGGAAGACCCCGGGACAGTTTCCTTCACGAAAAAAGCCGTCCTCGCGACATTGGCACAAAACTCAACTCACCTCAAAAAAAGCGAATTTTGGGTATAGACCCAAAAAGACACCCCAGACCTGCACAGCTTTGGGGGGTAAAAATGATCAGACTGGGGATCGATCCCAGGACCTACTGCGTTCGCAATCCAACCGTAAAGCTGAATATTGTTAAGCAGTCGTCTAGAACATGTTAGGATGTGTTTTGAGGTTGAAAATGGTAGAAGAACTTACGATAACCCTGAAAGCATGTTAGGATGTTTGAAGCTCGACAGAGTGATGAAGTACTGACATCTACACCATCTTATAAAGAATGTTAGAGGTTGCAATGCCATTTGAGAAATGGAAGACATACCCGACCATTGGAAGTTGGACAGTTTTTAGGAAATTGCTTATATGAAGACTCAACTGTGACAGCACCGCTACTAATGCAGGGGGTTGAAAAAACCCTGTTTGTGTGACACACGGGGGGCGGTGGGCCCCCAGGAGATAAGCGCAAGAGGCCGCGACAGCCCCACGGACCAGCGGCAGCTTGGGTACGGAGAACTAGAGAGACGGGATGACAGTTGAGCCGAACTTCCAGTACATGTCTTACACTTCAACACCAGGCCTACCCACAAAGTCAACACCAGGCTTTCCAGGGGCTGCATGGTGAGCAAGAGATCATGGGCAAGGCAAAGGAACCACAAGTTGAACCAGCTCGACAATACGGCAGAGAAAGCGATCGGCTGTGAGAGTATGCATTTTATTCTTGAAAATTAAGGATTGTAGGCCGTCCAAACTTTTCCACGACCATCACGATCTCGACGGATACCTGAGCAGCTTCCTCAACCACACACCCACAGCATCCACAGGATGCTCCGTCTCGCCCAGCACTCTCGTGACTAGAGCATTGAATGTGTTGAGCATCTCGGACCCCCTCAGCACATTCCGCAGATTGTACGGTCCTTCTTCGATCATCATGAGCAATCGGTCACCACGAACATGCATATCAGTCAGCTTCACTGGTGGAGGTCTGATGACCACATCCTCGTTGTTCGCATCTTTCTTTCGGATTGGCACAGCTTTGATGCCCTTCTTGTCCATGTAGCTGGTCTGCTCCAGGAAATGCAACAGCTCCCACTCACTTTCTCGCAACACCGTTAGGTGAAATAACGTCCCATCGCTGGCACCCGCGTAGAAGCGATGACGTCTGCCCGAGCTAGGACTCAACAGCAGGTTATCCACAAGGAGAGGCAACGTCGCGTGAAATAGTGGGTAGGGCTCGTTGCCGTCCTTACGAAACCCCGAGAACGCCACGAGATCCGTACTGCCAGCATTCCAAGCCGAAAACATTGCGGAGGTGCCATCGAAGACGACAACGTCCCTCGTGGACCTTGCCTCCGTGTCCGATTTGTGTTCGAAGAGCTTGTTATCGCGTTCAACGAGGACAAACAAGGAATGCTGAGCTGTTGCCACGAAAATCATGGATCCTTGACATGTAATAGTGTTCGCATAGGATGGCAGCGGATGCTTGGATAGCGTCTTCCATTTGCGAGTCGCAAAGTCTAAGTGATGCAAGTGTAGCTCCCTTCCCACGGCGATCAAGAGTGAGGACATCTTGTACGCGCAAATGGCGGTTACGGGTCGATCGGGACTTCTGAACGCAATCTTGGGATTTGAGTCGGGTGTTCCTTTGCTGAGACTTTTGGCGTTGACGCAGACAACTCGGCCACTGCACTGGGGAAATCCTGGTTCTTTCTGCTCCAAGGCAAGAACAAACCATTCGTAGTGATGCTCTCCGTCAGTTGGCGCCCAGTGGATGAGAGCATTGACTGTTTCGTTTGTTTCCTCAGTTACAACCACCGATAGTCCTTGGCCGTCTGTGTCTGTCATGCTGGGGTCGACCAACTGAAGACCGACCTGTTGGATCTTACGGGGTGTTGGAGCACTATGGCCACTATTCTTGACGTGCGCAACACGCTTTTTGGAAATGCTATCAGCAGTATTGTCGAGCGTGATACCGGTAAGCAGGTGATTTCGCTCGAAAGCGACGACAAACTTTTGCAGGTATTCGGAATAGAGCACACGCCGTGGGACACCATCTATAGGCGACTTTCTGACAATGCCTTGATCTTGACCTACCAAGGAGCAAAAGAGAAGGTCGTCTCCCGTAGCACAAACGAGAAGACCTCCAGGATCTCCTTTCGAAGATAGGTTTGGGATGCGGTGAAGAGCATTTATCGACGGTTCCACTGATGGCTAGGATTGTTAGTCTAATCACGACACCGACGAGATAGTCTCACCTCCGAACGGTTGGTAATCCATAGTGAAGACACCGTATAGTCTACCATAAGAGAATTTGAGTGCAGTGTAACACGCCGCATTTCCGAGTCACACAAAACCAATGCGGACGTGGCTTGAGCGTGATCTGACGACGAAGTTTCCTTAGTCACGATCACCGAGGTGGACCCAAGACGATAGATATCATCGCACCGTAGACCTGTGATGGGTTAGTGGGAATAGCGACTGAAACCGTAGGCTTCGTACTCAGCTCTGACTCGCGTCTTTCAGCCTTATTCATCTCCAAGCAAAGCAGCATACCGTAGCGGAGACCACAAAGGATGAGCACAGGGTCATCCGGTCCCCGTTGTAGTGCCACTAATGAGGTGACCGCTGAAGACTCAATGCTGGAGTCCAAATCACTAACCCTGTGTTGAAAGACCACCCTTAACGTCAAATCGGGAGACACCATGTATCCAAGCAGCTTTCCAGTGTCGGTGCCCACAACGAGCAAAAGAAAGCCTCCCCATTTCAGGCAGCACAGACTGTTGGCGGTGTCAGGGAGCGTTGTGGATGTGGCTGGTGCCAGCTGCGCAATGCCAGAATCAGTGGTCATGATGGCCGTCAGAGCTATCTCGCTGCCCGCAGAACGTCTGACCACCGTTGCAAGTATGTTCTCGCCTTCGAATATGGCAGCCTGATGCAAATTTGCTTCGATGCGCGTGATCTGGGATGGAGTAGGATCGGGTGTGGTTGGGATGATATTGACACTACCAGTCGTCACCTGAACAATGATATCGACGCCGATAACGGCGGCAGCAAGGGTCGGATGATCATAGTCAAAACCTGGATGAGTTTCCGAGTCGGTGAATGATAGATCCTGCGTATCTAGGTCAAACGACACCATTGTTGACTGTGTGGACTGCGACCCCAATAGCAACAGTTCATTCCGAGTTGGAATATCCAGAGTCCATATTCGGTCAATGAGAGCAGCATCTGGGTAGGTCATAGTCCAGCCAATCTGCGCTTCCAAGCCATACCGGATCTCGAATAATGCACCACTCCCGTGGCCTCTGCTACAGCAAGTGTAAAGCCGATCCGGAGTCTCCTGTGACCAAGTTGTTGACTGTCCAGCATGTACTGTCGTTGATGGACCAAGGATCATATCCCGCAGAGGACAGACCGACTCAATGACCTGAGTACATTCAGGAGAACCTCTTGCGGACACATGAAACACGCCTCCATCGGTCATGCTGCCGCCAGCAATAATGATGTCGCCACCTTTGTCAGGCGGTCCCGCAAGCATGCAGAAAGCAGTGTCGACATTGAACCCAAGAGGTCCTATGGTGCAATTCATGCTGAATTTGACACTCGAAGCCTTCTCAATCTGGAAATAGTGGACCATGCCATCCTCCCTAACAAGCACGAGATCATCCCGTTTCCGCAAATACTCGTTATGCCGCCTTGGCTTCGCCCATTGAACCCATTCCAGAGAGCCAGAGGTTTGCTCAACAAAGGGGCAATGGATACGCTTGGTGTCGTTGGTGTGGACGTTTTCATAGTAAGACAGTCCAGTATCCATAACAATCATGAACGAGTAGGGCTGTGCTGACGGTACGAGCATCGAAGGAAGGCGACTCTCGGTTAAGCGGCGGCCACTACAGGCCATAGGTTTTATTGTTTGAAGGGGAGAGCGAGTATCCCAGCTGTAAAGGTATTGGTGTATCCCTTGAGTCTGCTCGCCCGAGTAGACTAGAAGAAGGAGTATGACTTTATCTGGATCTGATTCGAGACTGCGCAAGAACGACATTGCTAGAATATCTCCGTCCACCTGAATGAAGCGTTGCTTGCTATGTTAGTAGCAAAGGCAACCAGCTGAAAGGAGTCTCACCTCTTCTGAAGGACGGAACGAGCCAGGTTTCTGTGGATCCCAGCTGTCGATCTCGGATTTGATCTCGTCAATTGGACGTAACTTGAATATGCCAAAGTAGCCGGAAGGAGAGGCAATGGCAAGCGCACGAGATCTGAATCTATCAGTTGGCATCAGAGCGGTCATCTGTGACTAATGAACAACGTACTGCGATTCCACAGCGATGGATCGACACTCGCTTGAGGGTAACCCAGCACCTCTGAGGAGTGGTCTTCTCGCAAAGGCAAGCTTGACATCGCCGTCATCGTATTCCCTTGCATAGACGTAGATGAGGTCGTTGTCGACGGTAATGATGACGAGAATCTGTGGTGGTTGAGTGTGTTGTACAGGCTCTCCATGGACAGTGAAGCGTTCTTGATCCCGTTCCTGCTTCAGTATTGCGTCGACGATTGGGACGACCTCCACATCGGCCGAGATTACCTTTGCATCAGTGATTTGTGTCCCAAAGTCAAGTTTTGCAGTGGTATTGACTAATTGACCAGTTTCCTGGAACTCATGGAGTTGGACAAACGTCGCTCCAACGAATACCACATCTTCCTTTACAGGCGAGCGAATCTTGGCCGGAAGAATCCATCGGATGCTTGAGCTGGAATTGAGAGTCCTCGAGAGGATCCCGAGCCGTTCATGAGCAGGCAGTCGCCCTTGCTCCCCATTGGGTGACCTGCTTTTCTTGGGTCTGTTGGCGCTCATAGTGTTCCCAGCAGTACCTGGGGAAAGGCAAAATAACTTGCTGAGAAAGTAACCGATGTTGTCCTAGTGAGCAACGAAGCAACTGAGCGACGAGACGCTACAAGAATCCAGTATTAATTTCATGCGCGAGCCGTGATTCCAGACGTAATTTTCTTGATGTATTGCAGTCAGCTCTCACTTCGTGCAGACACTGGAATCCTTGGTCAACATGTCAGAGAAGCAACAATCTGGTTGATGGCGATTCCGGTGAAGACTGCGAGGGATGAAGCCTCTTTATCTAGACACAATGCGTAGGCCATCCGAAGAATAACAATCCTTGCCCCGGCCTCCCAGAACCGGTGTACAGCCAAAGCGACGCAAAAACGTCCCAAAGATTCGTACACTTTCGGTATCTCGAGCCTCTTGGAGGAATGTCAAACCGTTTGAGGCATCCCTGTCTAGAAAGACTTGACGTGAGGTGTTCAACGTTGTTGTCTGGAAAGGTGCCAGTGCCAGTGCCTGTCATTTTGGCCCCGGAAGGTCCAAGCCCCGAGAACAACCATTTCAGGCAATTCCCCCTTCCAACCTTGCATCTTATCATACCTACCACTCATCAATCCTGGTCGCTGCATGACCAACAGACGACGCATCCTGGCACATAGTCATTCATCGGAACGTTCAGCTGCACGAATATACTATCAGCGACAGTTGGTGGACAAAGTCTGACAAGCTGACGTCCAAAGGGCTGGCTTTTTCGTGTTACCTGTCACCTTTGCCGTCCACATCAAAATCATCCCCAGGCAATCATTGACATCTGTTGTGCCACAAGAGGGTCACTACTCTGAGCCTATTTCAATTCCAGCTCAAAGAGCGGCGAGCTTCCACGACCAAAATCTCAATTTGCAAGACCTCTGGCTACTCAACTCCCATGGAAGAGGTAAGCTCGATATAAGGTCTAAAAAATTGTGATGCTGGACGTTATACGACCAATGTGAGAGCATCTCGACTTGAGGAGAAGCATACCTTCAAGCTTAAGCACGGTCAGTGCCAGTACGCACATCTATGGATCAACAAGACAGGGAGAAAGGCCAATCAATCCAACAGGCATGCACACAGGGTGACTTCGACACCCTGGTCAAGCTAGCAACTTCAGCAGGGGGTCTTTTGACCGACGAACTTCGCCGCCAGGCTTGTATGTGCTGTCCTTCTTACTTCTGATCCTTGGTGCTACTGTAGCTAACGAACGAACTTGGAAGGGCCAATCCTATTGGGCCACAAGAGTCAATCCGGAGCAAGTGAACAACAACAGTCAAATCAGGCCTGGAGAAAGCTACCCCGGCATTCTGATGAGGACCAAGTCCAACTTGACGTTGACCGAGCTTTTGTATACTACCCCAAAGGTTCGTGCAAGAGTCCCACCGATCGACGGTAATCACTGGTCTAAATGCAAACAGATGAATCCGAACAATCCCTTGACAAGAGGAAAGCAGAACTTTCCGACCTAATCGTATCAACACTCAGGAGTCACCCTATGCTCTCCTACTTCCAAAGCTACCACGACGTCGTACAAGTTCTCCTCCTTGTACTAGGAGAACATCATGCTGCCGTGGCCGTTCCGCGAATATCACTTCTCCGCCTGCGCGACTATATGCTACCAACAATATCGCCCGCGAGAAAACATTTTGAGCTTGTCTCAGCCATCGTCAAAGCTGCAGACCCCGAACTGGCTGATCACATTGCCGAAGCTGAGAATAGCTTTGCTTTGTCGGCAACGCATTCCTTGTTTGCCCATGACATTCAGAACTATGGCGACATAGCTCGAGTGTACGATTTCCTTCTCTCGCATGAACCAGTCATGAGTCTGTACTTGTTCGCCACCATTACCATCTCGCGCCGCATGGAGCTGTTGGAAATGCCCGCAGATGAGTCCGACATACTCACTTTCATGATCTCCAAGCTACCACAAACACTGGAGATCGACGAATTGGTTCAGAACACGTTGATCTTGTTCCAACACCACCCGCCTGCAAGGCTCCCTGGCTTCGTATGGTGGCGATTGTCACCATACAGCGTCCTTAAGACATCACGAAACATCAATCAACCACACAACCTCAAGGCCGCCGAGGTACTATGCCAGAAGCAGATCCAGCAACTTCGCAGAGAGGAATTGTTGCAGAGGAGGGTCAAGTTACTGTACATGTACAGAAGACCGGTAGCCTCGCTGACCGCCACATTGCTGGTTGGTGCTGTATCATTCTGGCTGCGAAGAACTGGACAAGACAGGTTTATCTTGTCTTTGTTGTCTTCAGCCTTTCAATATCTTTCCAGAAAATCCTGAATTGACACTCGGCTCAGATCAGGTCTGAATGCCGCCACAATGGTGGTCCTGGTGGTCAGCTGTCTAACCCTAGTCGTGTTGCGAAGGACCACAATACCTTTACAGAACAATCGCCTTCGCACATATAAGTAATGTCAAGACGCTTTTCTCAAAAGATGAGAAGCCCGTAGTGGCCTCGATGCATAGAACATGGCTATATTGTAATGACAAAACATTCTCGCGCAGATTTCACTATAGTTTTGTCATTACAAGAATATGATCTCCTGCCGCGTCAGATAGACAGGCGACGTGTTGCACTTCCGGATTCGAAAGGCTGAAGATTCAGCTCCAGAATAGATCGTTCTGTTCATGCTGCAGCACTTTTCCGATTGAACACAATACCCTGCACTATGGCGAACAGAGGCTACGATGTCGTAGTAGACATCGACACGGAGGTATTGCTCGCCGTTATGCATGCACTTGCTCACGCGCTCTAACACATTTCAGGGTGACCTAGGCCACACCGACCTGCAGGACGACGACCTCGAATTTCACTCCTCGAGTATGTCCAACCCCTGCCAGCTACCTCACCTCGAGATCGCAGAGCCGCTAACAATGCTTCAGACTTTGAGACCAACCCATCAAACCGCAAAATCCAACCCGACTCAACGGCCTTCCTGTCCAATAGCGCGACCAACCCAGCGACTCTGCCCAATGACCCCTCGGCCGTTCCTCCCAAGCACATGCTCTGGTCACTATCGTTCTACGCCCAATTCTTTGATGTCGACACCACGACCGTCCTGCACCGCTGTCGCAGCGCCATCCTCCCCTTCCTACCCAACCAGGCTCCATTCCTCGACACGCTGGACGGAAACCCCGACCTATACGGGCCCTTCTGGATCGCAACGACAGTGGTAGTCATCCTATTCCTCACGGGCACGATATCTCACAAGCTCGCGACCGAAGGCAAGAAGCATTTCGAGTACGACTTCAAGCTACTCAGCGGCGCCGCGGGCTTGATCTATGGATACACGCTATTCGTCCCGCTGGGACTGTGGGCTGCACTGAGATGGTTCGGCGCGCAGTCGATGGACCTGATTGAGTGCTGGGCGCTATACGGATATAGCAATCTCTTCTGGATTGCCGTGGCGCTGGTTTCGTGGTCGCCGCTCAATGGGCTGAATTATGCCTTGGTCGGACTGGGATGTGGTGTGAGCGTGTTCTTCCTGGTCAAGAACTTACGCCCTGTCATCAGCGCTACGGAGAAGAAGATCAGCCAGATCCTGTTGTTGGCGGTGATATTATTGCAGGCTGGCCTTGCGATCGCGATCAAGATTCTCTTCTTTAGCCACAAGAGTCCTGCTAAGGGTGACGCGGACGACAGGTTGATGCTATTCTAGGGTTGGAACTCTCGGCAGAAGCATTGAATGGGGTTCTACAATATACGGGATGCAGTGTAATGTATTATCACAACCCCACAAAGTTCGATGTGGTATACAGCATCGTGTTGCTTTCATAGGAGCGATATAGGCTTTTTCGGATTGTCCTAGGTCAGGTCAACAGGCCAGGGACTGGGGTCGCAAAAGGCAAGCGACCATGGCTTGAAACTGGGGTCTTGAGGAGCAAACTCATATTAAAGACCCGAAATGAACGCGGTTTAACATGAATTGACTTGCTCTAGCCTATGCATACCGGTCATTCTCTCTTCATGGAGAACTCTTTGCCGGGGTTTCAACCGGTTTTCCACAGTCATGATCTCCAGCCGATTCGCAACTTGACATTGTCCTTTTGCGCCTGAGCGGCTTAGACTTGCACCTTCCACGCACACCACCCACGCCAAAATGAAAAAGAGCGCGCAACCACTACTTAATCTTCTTCTTTGGTCGGAGTTGGTTGGTGTGTCCACACTTCTTCTTGCGGCAGTTGGTGGCTCGGGGTGGCAGACGGGCATAGCACTTTCGGCAGATCATCTTCTCGCAGTTGTACTTGGAGGCAAGAGCCTTGAGGGAGGGCTCGATGATACCGCCACGGAGACGGAGGACGAGATGAAGTGTCGATTCCTTCTGGATGTTGTAGTCGGAGAGAGTGCGTCCATCCTCGAGTTGCTTGCCGGCGAAGATCAGGCGCTGCTGATCGGGCGGAATTCCTTCTTTGTCTGTAAAGAGATTGTCAGCCCTTGTCGCAATCGTCCAACTGTTCAGGACAAGACATACCTTGAATCTTGGACTTGACATTGTCAATAGTGTCGGAAGACTCCACCTCGAGGGTGATAGTCTTGCCCGTGAGGGTCTTGACGAAGCTGTTATTTCAAACCAGTCAGCTCATTGTTCTCCCTTGTGTCTCTTCTGATCCCGATGGTGGCGGTCGGATTGAATATTGACGTCGTGGGGTGATCGAGGCCCGATCGAGGTGGAAAGACTTACATCTGCACTGTATCATTGTTAGTATCGTGAGCACAGCAAGTTCAACAGAGCAACAACTTACTCTTGACAGTATCTTCGTATTACTGGGAATGGTGGATGGCGATGATACTCACTTCGTTGCTGAAGCGGCTCCAAATTATGTGTGAACTCAGAAATATCATTGCCAAGAAAATCATCACGTGGTGCCTTGACTTTGCTTAGTCATGACGTAGAAAACAACTTTTTGCCGCCATGGCATCTTCTCATAGACTCACCGTTGATGATTGACTCATCGAGAAAAGCGACAAACATCCAGCCGAAGTGCGGGCTTGCGTGGCGAGTCTACAAAGGATGCTACGTCGCATGAATCGATGAAAGTCGCCTCGAATCCCTGCATGATTTTCTGAGGCCGTTATGACCGGATCGACTGCACCACTCCTGCTCACCCTGGCAGATCTAGCATTCTAAAAGCTTGAGATTATGGCTACATTTGAACTATGCTCGGCTTCATGACTTATGAACATGCTTTATGCCAGTATGTTGTCTGTATAAGAGGGCATAGATCTGGCGTTGACAAGCCACTTTGAGAGTTGTCCAATCGATCACGCCATTGCGGCACTGTAACATTCCCAAAGTCCACCTTATCCTCTGATGATCGGTCTGCGCCGTCGTCATATCTCAATCGCTGTTCTTATAGTACCCGTGTCTTACTAATAACCAGGCCTTCCACTGACTTGCCTGATGCGAAACAGAGCATACGCCCCTAGATTTAGGACTGTTTGACCCGGTATCACTTTGGCGCACGCATATCAGGCATTCCAGAAGAAGCACTCTGCTTATTGCCCGGAGCCTTCAAGATTACCTTCATTATATTCTTCACCGAGCGTGCAGTTCTACTGGCATCTTCCGAAGTGGCATATAGGAGACCATGGCCAAACAGCAGCCTAATTTTATTCTCGGCTGGGCGAGCTTTGGCTCTCCCGAAGATCCTACGACCAAAACGCACACATCAGCTCAAGCAGAAGTCCTATTCAACGTCCTTACATCCTATGGACATAGCACTATTGACACCTCACGACGATATCCCCCTACAAAACCAGGCACAAGCGAAGAGGTCATTGGCGCTACGCTCTCGTCTACTGAGACTGCTTCCAATATCGTCATTGATACCAAGGTCCTTTCTGCGCCAGGGTGCCACAAGCCAGAGAACATCGTCAAGTCAATCGCCGACTCTCTCAACGCTCTGGGCGTCTCTTCCGTGCATACAATCTACCTACATTTCCCAGACCGGACACAGCCACTGACAAATCCTGTTTCGGCCCTCTCGCACGCTGTATCTACCGGCCAGGCAAAGCAATGGGGTATATCGAACTATACACTTGCCGACGTACAAGAGATCCTATCACTCTGCAAACAACACGACTGGATTCCGCCGGCAGTTTTTCAAGGCGAATACAATCCCTTGAACCGCGAGGCTGAGAGCGAGTTGATCCCCTATCTGCACGAGCATGGAATCGCCTTTTACGCATACAGTCCCGGTGCAGGAGGTGCGATTGCGCCGACAGGCTCGAGGCTTACGGCGAAAGGGCCTGCGGGCGACCGTGTTCGACAATTGTACGGTGGCGAGAAGATGCAAGGGGCTATACAGAAAGTGAGGGATGCAGTAGACACGGCTGGCTTGAAGGGCCACGAAGCTGCAATTCGATGGACAGTGTGGGATGGCGTTCTGGACGGTAAGTATGGCGACGGCGTGATCGTTGGCGCTAGTAGTGAAGGACAGTTGAGAGAGACCTTGGAAGCAGTAAAGAGGGGTGGTTTGAGCACTGATGTCCGGGATGTAGTTGGAGGCATATGGGGCGACATCCAGAGCAGCAGAGCTGAGAAGGCGCAAGGCTAGCCAATGCTCGATAGTGGCCTCAACCGAAACCAAGTACGAAGCGCGAGGTTTTCTCAAAGACCCGAACCTACTTGGGGAGGTGAACCAATGTCTCGTGAAGATCGATTATGCTTCTATCTACTATATGTAACGTCCAAGTCACTTGCTCGGCTGTGTTCGAGACAAGCATGGAAGACAGTTTACACCATCTAGTCAACGGGCTCCTCCTCAAGCAACAATTTGAAACTGAACGGCTCAAACGGCACACCCTCGCCGATGAAATGTTTACTCATAGCCTCGACCCAGTGCAATCGCAAGCTGTGTAACATGGCGGACGTACCCTCCATGACACACAGAACAGCAATAGTGAGCATGAACCAGAAGTAGAACGTGACAACAATCATGACGATTCGTAGACCACCACTCATGCCAAAGGCACTTCCCAGGGTCATGTTCCACAGGACCACCGAAAGCTGTTGATGAGCTAGAGACAAAGCCCACAGACGCAGGTACGAAGCCGTGTGGGAGACGCAGTTGAGGCAGAACTCGATTGTATCTAAAGAATCTGTTAGCATCGTCACTGTAAATTACAAGATCGAGAAACTTACGAATGGTTTGGTGGATCATCACTTCTGAAAACTCGAATTCTTCATGTTCCTCGTCGTCAATGTTCTCGGTAATCATAGCACCTTCGTCATCGTCGTTATCCTGGCTGGGGTGTCCGTTCGTATGATGATCCGCGTTGTCATCGTCATCCAAGTCCGTAGCGTGAGTGACGCGGCTCGTGTCACCAATGCCTTGATAGCCTTTGGCAGCGGTCTTGTTGTGTTGGTGACGAAGCCAGAGAGGCTTCAGAAGGAGGAGAATAGGCACGTTGATGACAGCAATTAGCACCAGGAAAACTTGGACTCCCGCCTGACCACTGTATAGCTGTTCGCTCTCGTCCACGTTGCCTGGGGACAAGAACATCTGGATCAACATGTTGAGTAGTGAAGGGGGATTTCTTCCTTCAGCATACCAGTCAACGGACCACTTGTAGACAATGCAGAAAGCCAGATATCCAAAGATGCTCTGGAAGAAGATCATGCCCGGTACGAAATTGCCCCAGATGTCGACGTTTGACTTAAAGTGTCTGGCGTTGATATAGGAGAAGGACAAGGCGTATGTCATATGGCACCAACCCATTAGGATAGCAAGCTTCATCTTCAAACTGTTGCTGAAGAGAAGATCGTTTTCGGAGCCGTGCCATGCCCAATCCAACCCAAAAGGATAGCGATAGCTGCCCTTCAGATGTGCAGTAACTTCCGGTCGTCCATCTTCGGGATATTCCCAAGCGGACGCAAAAGGAGTGAAGCCTTTGGAAAAGACATCGTTGTAGATGAGTCCAGTGAAGCAGGAGTAGATACCCATCATCAGCATGATGTATCGACCATAGAAAGCCATGGCAAAGAGTTCGTCTTGCTTGGATCTCGAAAGTGGTTTCTCCCAGTAGATCATCGCTGCAGCAGCCATGGTCATCAAGCATCCGTGACCGAAATCACCGAACATGACAGCGAACAAGAAGGGAAACGTGACAATGGTGTACAGGCCAGGGTTGACTTCTTGATATTTGGCTGTGCCGTATGCGTTGATGATGGTCTGGAAGCCCTCTGTGAACTTGTTCGTCTTGTTGTAGGTAGGCGGCGTCTTGTTGGTCTTGATCTGATTGACAATCGTGGGGACAGACAGGCCAGCACGGTCGTTAACATCCTGCAAGGTGGCTCTGATCTGGGGGAGGGAGTTGGTAGGACACCAAGCTTCCGCAATCAAGGTCTTTCTTGCATGATCGTAGGAACACATGTTCAATGCATTGTAAACCGCCTTCTCTTTCTTGATCACGATCATCCAGGCGGCAAGTGACCGAGCAATGGCCGTCAACTCCGCATCGAGGGTGTTCTTGGTGTTTCTGAGGACGCTGGCAAGGTCGCTCAGGCGAGTGTTGACCTCGTGAATCTGGTCCCGACGTAGGTCGCTGTTCTCGTCAACGTTGTACAGGTCAGCACCCAGAGATTCGGAAATCTTTCGAATCTTCGCAATGATCTCCTTGCCATGGGCGAAAATGACGAAGACATTCTTCCTGACTTCCTCGTTGGTCTCCGGGTTGATGATCGGTTCAGGTATTTCGGACTGGTTCATGTAAAGATTGCCACGAAGCGTTCTCCACAGAATGCGTTCGAAAGCTGGCAGCCTTTCTCTTGGGATGACACCTGCAACAAATCCGATGTTCATCACCGCAAAGCTCTGCTGTTGACCGACATCGCCATTAGCTCTGCCTTCTTCAGCCTCAGTGTTCCGTAAGAGAGGAGCATCGTCTTCGTCCAAGCTTTGGCGGATGTCTTCAGTCTGTCCATGTGCGCGGTCAAAGAAACCACCTGCCTCTTTCAAGACCCATCGCCACTCTGTCAACTCGACCTCTCTCTTCTTGAGAGTCTCGTAGCTTTCGTTCAAGCTGCTGACTCGGTGTTCCAAGGACTCGGATCGGTCGGTCAATTCGTCAATCTCGTTAGCTTGAGGTGCAGCTAGCATATCCTGGTCGAAGTCCCAATGGCTTCGCATCTCGATATCGGATTTGTCCATCTGCGTCTTGAAATAACGGAGCTGACGTTCGACATTGTCGAGGCGGCGAATCTCTTTCGTAAAGGTTCGCTGGAAGGCTGTAGTATCGGAGTTGAGGTCCCGGAACTGCACGACGCCAATTTCTCCCAACGCAGAGACGACCTCACGACCGATTTCGTTCGAGATGTAGAGCTGCGTCAGGGACATGGCCGCCGAGCGGAAAAGGGTGTCCTTATGGGCCATGCTGGGCGGTTTGGAGGCAAAAGAATGGCCGCCCAGGCCGATGTATGGAGGGAATCGTTGTATGGACAAGCAACAGGAAGCTTCGATGGCCCTGTCTGTGCTTGATATGATTATCTCGAAGATGGACGCCTGCGAAGAAGCATTATGCCGTCGATGATTGCATAGCTTGATCGAGCTTGGCATGCTTAGTCATTCACGGGGCAAGTGATGCAAGTCGCGATAACCTTTCTGTACTACCAGGAGTAACGTCCCTCGCAATATCGTGATATATCCCATGTATTGAGGTGCAGAGCAGGTCTTACTATACCATTTGCCTTTCCCATTACTTGCTGCATGGTGGTGACCGAATGCTTGTGCCACCACGCCACAATGCCGTGGCCTCGATGTTCCACCTAAAAGGCGGTCGCGGCCTCAAGCCAACAAGCCTCGCAGGCTTCTCGACACAAGCTGTTGGATTGGCGCCACTGCCACGGCAGGCATTTGCTTCGAGTAGAACGCAATCAAAAGGTTCAGGAGGCAGGTATCGTGGACCTGTTCGTGGTGAATGGCGTTCACTCTCAACCCTCACCAGGCCACGTCTGAAATATTCCAGGTGAGCATTCAGTCGCCGTCATGGCGCAATTGCTGAACGTTGTCAAGACAATGGGCGGTACAGATAAATCAGAGTCATGTACGGCTTGTGACACAGCTTCGGAGGTCCTCCACTCAGCCACCAAAAGACAGTGAACTGGAAAAGCAGAAGACTACTACTACCAGGTGAGGGAGCATTCGATCATTCTGCCGCGGAACTACCCTGTGATAGCAGCAGCAAGAGAACAAAAGCCTTCAGATTGAGCATGATTTATGAACACATCCGAGACTAACATATCAAAACACCCTCAGTGCGGACCCTTCATCCAGTCCTACTGGCTCCAAGCCAAAATTGACAACGCTCCTGCCACGCCTTCCAAAAACCGCCCACGAGAACATCTACACTATCCCCAACATTCTCACATTTACACGTCTCCTCGCGGCTCCAGCAGTAGGCTACTTGATCCTGCACTCACAACCATTCTGGGCCCTGTCGCTCTTCTTCTACGCCGGCGTCACCGACCTCGTAGATGGCTACCTGGCGCGACGCTTCAACAGCCAGACCGTGGTCGGCACAGTCATCGACCCTATGGCCGACAAAGCTCTAATGACCATCGCAGTAGTCACTCTAACCATAAACGGCACATTGCCCATCTGGCTTGCAGTCATCATTCTAGGGCGCGACGTCGCTCTAGCCATTTCGGCCATCTACTTTCGCTGGATATCGCTGCCGCCGCCAAAGACAATGGCGCGATATTGGGATTTCAGTCTACCAAGTGCCGAGGTGCATCCGACGGAGATCTCCAAAATCAACACATTCTTGCAGTTGTTGCTCATCGGCAACGCGATGTTGCTGCCTGTGTTGCCTGAAGCGTTGGTGCACGCGTACAATCTGACCGGCGTATTTGAAGGCTGGTCGTACCTCGTTGCCTGCACGACGGTTTGGAGTGGGTTGAGCTATATTGGCAATAGAGAAGCTGTGAAGATTTTGAGCAGCAAGGAGATTGACGAGCAAATGGCGAAGCGCGAGAAGGCGAAGGAGGATAAGGAGTTGAAGTAGTCGAAACCACCAAGACGTGCAATGTGTGGCAGCAACGAAAGTCGACACTGTAGAATATCGTCGTCCGAAGAATATAACATTCGCCAAACCTCCGGAGGTCCTCTTATGAAAGCTTTTCATCTGTGTTTAGCGAAAATCATCGCTTCGTCAGCAGCCAAGCGTGTCCAGCTCAAGTCATGACTTCGTCTCATCGCGTGCACATTCTCTAGCCTCATCTTCCCACAGCCTTGCCTAGCCTCCCTTGTGCAGTCGCCGGAGCCTGGTCAGGCCAGCTCCCCACAGCATCATCAACCTCTTCAAGGAATGTAGCTGAGTTGTGCACTGTAGTACCGCCCAAGACTATCCTCACGCCAGGTACAGAGGCATTCGCCTGAGCCACCATTTTGGTTTCCTCGTACGTAACTCCGCCTATCATGAAAACGATAATATCCTGTGGTTTGTCCCGGGTATGGCCCTCGAGGAAGGGGTACTGCAGCTCCTTCAGACGTCCTTTGATCAGGTTCTGCAGAGTTGTTTCGAGGCGAGGTGAATGTTGGGTGTAGACATTCTCGACACCTTTAAGATTCAAGTTACGTCGGAAGTGGCTGAACGGTGACGATGCAGACTCGAATAGGTCGGTGAACCCACCAGCAACGGGTGCCGGCTGCAGACTGTGGTGGTATGCAAGTACTTTTGGGATTATAGAGAGTTTATGGGTTGAGATGTCGGCAACAGTGGTGAGGAGGTCGAGGAGCACGGGGAGTGCATTGTTGGGATTTCGTTCATACCGGATTGCATACAATGCTACCAGCCGGATCTTGTTGTCGGCTGGAATGTTGGGGTTCTGGATCTGTTGTTGAAGCGTTCTCAGGTCTGTAGCGTGATTGTCGTTGCATACCAGGCTTTGTTCGAGCTCTGATACATCCAGCAACAAATCAGCCGAAACCCGGCGACTCAGCTCACTGACCAGCGTGACATGCTTAGACACATTCCCTGACAGCTTGCGGAACTCGGGATAGTCTTCAACGAAGCGTTTCATATCGTCTATCGATTCGATCTGAGCCGTTGATTTGGTCCGTGTCTGGTACTGATCAACGTACTCTTTGATACTTCCGCCTAGATCGCCAAAATTCTGATACATGTTCTTCTTGAAGAACGGATCCTGGTCTTGTGTGAGGACAATTTCTTTCAACTCTGGCCGGACATCCGGCACGACGCTGAGATCTACCCTGCCGTTATGGATGCCCAGCAATTCGTGTACCTGGGCTTGGTAGGTCCATTGTGTAAGTAGAGGTGTTATGGGGTCATCTCTTCGATCTAAGATTAATAATATTGGTGGGGTGTCCGTCTTCCGGAAATCGAACAGCTGTTCCTCTTGGGTGATTTGATATCGGACCTCGGTTGCTAGCTTTTTGGCCATGAGGCTGTTCTTCTCATATCGTATCAAAGGGTTCTTCTTCAGCGACAACAACAGTGCAATCACCCCTTCTGTTGTCCTTTGCAGGGCATCCGTATTCCAGATGTCTGGACTGTGGCTCCAGAGTCGCTGCGCCGGAAATGACATGTTCAGCGACATTAGGTCCGGATTGACCACGATATAGTCGGCAAAGTATTCCTGTACAGCCTTGACCACTTCATGATCGTCCGCTTCTGCCAAACGTTCTAGAGACGACTTTTTGATGATGTTGCTGAAATAGATATTGTACTCTCCATATTTTGGTTCGCGCAGCTCATCAATGAGAAGTTGTATCGAGTCTGGGGAGGGCCGAACGAAGCATAGACATCTGAGGTGCCGCATCCGTTCTCGTGCAGGGTTGTCGAGCCGGTCGATGAGGAAGACTTCGTGTTTGAGGAGTGCTGACTGCGTAATGGCGGTGGAGACTATCGAGACTGTACTCGAGTCCAGCAACAGTATCTTCATCTTCGAGGACTGTGTAGCCGCTGCGCCTTCGCCGACTCCTGCGATCTTGGAGATGTAGTTCTGGACCGCCGATGCCACGTCCATGATGGCGGATGTTGTTTTGCGATATGGTGGTGGTCAGTTGTTCATAACACTCAGCATGCATCACGCATCTCCCAAGCACGGTAGAGGGCGCATGTTCGGGTCGCCTGTGAGATAACCATGAGAGCAGAAGTAAATGCCATACGTCTTCCTGCGACACGTACTCGTACAGCCTTGCCTTTAGCGCGAGGCTGGAGAAATAAAGCCGATGATGAGCCGAGTCCGGCGCGTTGTTGGTGCTCAACGTCATCGGTCATCGGCTATTAAGTTATTTCAACCGTAGGCTCGTTGGGTGTCAACAATTCATACTAAAAACATGTATATAGTACTATATTGATTCTCTATACGCTCACAGCGCACCCAGAGTGCCTGTAGGCTTACATCAACATGCTGCCAGGAATAAACGTCCGTACGTTACCATCTCTACAACTCCCAGCTCATCCCAACGCTGTACTGACATGCCACCTAAGCCTTCTCCTTCGTCGCGAAGTCGCTCGGGGCCTCGGTGGACGAGGTCAAGCTGCTGTAAGTCCCTCCAGTCCTACAAATATTGCTACACGTGGTCTCTGGAGAGTTCATCCTTGCTGACCACTCTACTAGCTCTACCTTCCTAATGTAAGCTGTCCCATGCCTACGAACAATTACAAACCGCTCAGCGCAATTGTCTGGAACGGTTCACTGACCTAACGCAGCTCCTATCCTCTAGCGGCAGTCCTGAAACGCCTCCCCGACAACAAGCCAGCATACCGAAACCTCTTCTCCGTCGGTATAACCCTCTTCTTCCTCGTCGGCCTCTTCGACCACTGGGATGGCATATGGACGCTCTCGATCGACGCCGCCGCCACGTACGCGATAGCATACTATATCGACGGCTCTTTGATGCCATGGATTGTATTCTTCTTCCTTATGGGCCACATGTCGATAAGCCACATCGAGCGCCAGACCCTCAACGACCCAAGCGTGGTCGACATAACAGGTGGACAAATGGTCTTGATCATGAAACTACACGCATTCAGCTGGAACGTACATGACGGAAGGCTCAAATCCGATCTGCTGACCGACGCCCAGAAAGACCGCGCCATCTACAAAATGCCCGACTTCCTCGACTACGCAGGCTATGTCTTTTTCTTCCCCTCGATCTTCACAGGTCCAGCATTCGACTACGTCGACTACCGCCGATGGATCGAGACGTCCATGTTTGACGTAGGACCGAACCAGAAACCCGCGCCAACACGCAAGCAGCGTCGCATCCCCCAGTCCGGCGTCCCAGCGACATACAAAGCCGTGACAGGTCTGGTTTGGATCTTCCTCTACCTCCAGTTCTCCGGATGGTACAACGTAAGCCTGTTCCTATCAGACAAGTACATGGACTACTCATTCCTCCGTCGCGTATGGTTTTTATACATGCTCGGCTTCACCTCCCGGCTCAAGTACTACGCCGTCTGGGCCTTGACCGAAGGAGCCTGCATCATGGCTGGAATAGGGTACAACGGCATCGACCCAGCGACCGGCAAACCACGCTGGGACCGCCTTGAGAATGTCAACGCGTGGGGCATCGAATCGGCCCAAAACTCGCGCGCATACCTCGACAATTGGAACAAAAACACCAACAAATGGCTGCGCAACTACGTGTACCTGCGCGTCACACCCAAAGGCAAAAAGCCGGGCTTTCGCGCTACGCTGGCCACGTTCATCACCTCAGCCGTCTGGCACGGCTTCTACCCAGGCTACTACCTGACGTTCGTGCTCGGCGCGTTCGTCCAGACCGTCGCGAAGAACTCTCGCCGGTACATCCGCCCCTTCTTCCTCACGCCCGATGGGACAAAGTCGACAAGTTACAAGATCTACTACGACATCGCCGGGTACATCGCCACACAATTGACCTTCTGCTTCGTCACGGCACCGTTCGTCCTCCTAGGCTTCTCGGACTCCCTAAAGGTCTGGGCGCGCGTCTACTTCTACGCCATCATCGAAGTCGCGATTGCAATGGCGTTCTTCGCATCTCCTGCGAAATTGTACCTAGCCAAGGCCATCGACAAGCGTAATCACCCTTACACGCGCAAGACCATCGCCCAAGAGACGAACTACCCGCCCTCGCTCGGCCTGCCCAGCGACCCTGGTCGCGAGATCGATGAGGCAGTGGAGGAGCTTCGTCAGGAAGTCGACATGCGAAGGAGGCGAGGCAGTGGCGTTACCATGCCCACTGGAGAAAGTCTGAAGAGGGAACTTGAGGCGAGGTTGGGTCGCAGGATCCAGTTCCCCGAGTTCAAGTTCGGTCAGCAGTTGGCCAATGGTGGCGGTGCTTCTGGCCTGCCCAGGGGTGCTGAGCAAGGCATTGAAAAGCGCAAAGTCGAGAAAGAGGAGGGTGGTGCGGGTCTGGCGTCGACCACGACCAGTGGCATCGACAAGAAGACCATATAGTACTGATAAAGGGTCAGGGACATATGTACGTAAATTAATGTAGCACTCTAGCGCCAAATATTTCTAGATCTCGATCTCATTGTACTTTTGTACTCCGTAACGCAAGCAGTGATCAAGAATTGGTTGCAGACCTCATCATTGCAGAGTACTTTGCATGAGGAGGCGTCATTGCGCGACGGGGATTGTTAGAGGCGACAAGTCGATTTAGCAAGGCATGTCGCCGTAGTCTCAACCCGCGCGTACCCATAGGCAGTTTCAAAGCTTCCCACCTGAGTCAGCAACGGAATCACCCAGAAAATTGAAATCTCCCACCTTCTGGGGTTGCACCCGTGCCGGCCAACCCTGTCGAGATCGAGAAAGTGAGACGCCCAAGCGAAAGTGTAGATTAGTCAAAAGGTGGCTTGTGCCGTGTGGAGCGTACCCTGCAGCCTTCGGAATATGAACACTCCGAATCCCATCACAGATTCATTGACCTGGCACAAGGACCATCGCTTCAGACAGCTCTGCGGGTTTGTAATGGATTCTTATGACAAGACACTCGTCACTCGTCAAGGACTTGCCCCGAAGAAATGCTGAGTAGCTCGGTCAGCTCCTACATGCACAGACAAATCAAGTCGGCCGCGTAGTGATTAGTGTCCATCACAATGCTTGAAGTCCCATCAGAGTTTCCATCAACCCCGACACCAGGATGATCAAAGTCAAAGACATTCAAACTTCTCAAAGATCGCAACGCTCGCAACTTTAACCTTGAAGCGAAAAAAGATAAGCACAAAGACTGTCACTAAGCAGATAAAACCCTTTTCGTGCTTAGGGTTGGCTTATCCGGAGACAAGGTTCGCAAGCCTGGAGATTTGCATCGAAGGTTTCGATATAAAGTATAACTTTTCTGCGAACAAAAGCTGCAACTCTCGCCCGACCTCGCCTTGTTAAGTGTTTATTGTCGTCTGCCAGCGAAGCAGGGGACCAAGCGCTTGAGTATTCTGCACTCGACCGAATGGAGCAGGCTGCATCTGCGCTGCTTGACGTGACACGATGAAAACGGACCTAGCCGGCAACAAAGTATCGGCGTGTTTTCAATAGCTGCCAATGAGCACGTCTTGGACAATATGGGGAGGAAATTCATATCACATGTGCAAAAGTACGTCTGAACAACTCACGTACACACAGGGCAATGCCTCAGCGAGTTGGCACATATTCCAAAATGGCAGAACGCATCAAAATGACCCAGGATTGCCACAGGAGAGATCAGCACATGTCTCGCAAGCATCGATCGAAGACGCTGTGAAGTCGGATTGCCGTGTGGGGAGGCTCGTGTCACTGGACTTCGATGCTCTGTCGCCAGGATGCTCTTGGTGTGACATGCCAACCCAGTTTGAGAGCGATCCATAGGCTGACCACAAACACTGTGCTTGACTTAAATTCTTCACCATATCGCTCCTTTACTGTAAGCAGCAATAAAGTAGAGAGGCTAGGGGAACAGAATGGATTGCGTGCATCCGGGCCGAGGGTTTGCGGAATGTTTGCTCCGTTTCCGAGGCTTACCATGACTCCTTGAGGCGACCTCATCACCGCTTCTGCCCAACTCTTCAGCATAAATTTCATATCACCATGCCCACTGATTGCACACTCAGCTAAGTGACTTTCAATTCACCAACGGTAGATGCTTCCAGGACTCGGGGTCGGAGAACGTCGGGCATTAGGCGACATCTTGGGGAAGCAAAATGAGGGTGGCGTACTTTTAGGCTCTGCATCTCCGTCGGCACTCCAGTCAGGAAACCGTCCCGGAAGTCTGGTCAAGCTGCTCTCCACTGCAACCACAGCCTGGTTCAAAAACTTCTTCTGGCTTGCAGATGACGGGGTATCCGAGGGAAGAAAGCCTCATGAAAAGTGCTTGCCGTTCGCAGTAGTCACACTGGGCACCTCCATATCCCTCCATATCTCCGTATGCTGTACAACGCCGGATATGCGCGAAATCAAGGCGGAGAAGTCAGGTCAGGGGCGAGTCCATTGAGTGGTGCTAGTGGTGATGATTCTCCGTAGTTTGGAAAGCACCAAGAGAGTGGCGTTGTTAGCTGCACTCACGCCTCGTGATGGGGCATTGACTCCTCAGCAGGGCCTCCCGCCTTCAAATGTCAATGTCGGAGGACGACCCTGTCAGTTTCATGGTGCCGAACTATGCCGTTGGGACATGACAGTTGCTCTGCAGCATTGGTCCAAGCGAGCTATAGTCGACTAGTCCTCGTCGACCGGTCAGGAACTGATAGATGATGTGTTTCCTGAGTGAAAGCAACACTTCGAAAACGTCCGCAAGGCTCATCAAGTCCGCAATGTCGCCTATAGGTTGCTGCAATAGGCCAGGGCCCGAGAATAGGTCGACGGGCGTGCCCCAAGTTCCCTTGTCGAAACAAAACGTTGGGGGTCACAGGGGCTTAGTGATCAGACCCATACATTGCGGGCTCCCTAGGAAGACTGTCCCGATGCCGCTCCACAACCCTTTCGGAAGCGCCTATGACTTTGAACCAACCTGTTCTCCTTGTTGCTAGCCAGCCGCCCGCCCAATCTCATACGGCATTCTCTTCTCATTGATCGTGCCTGCTTCCCTTGGATTCATCTTCAGCTTGCGAAAGCACATAGTAAGCTGGCGGAGCACCAGCTTGACCATGCTCGATGCCACCGGTAGAACCGAAGATTATCGGCATCGGCGTAGCTTCCAATAGGCATAGGCATATGCACCGTCCTCCAAGATGTTCGCCGGCTGTGTTGCGAGCTGACTGGCTACAGCTCGTCGCATAACGCCGTCGTCTCCGCAAATAAAATGCGTCGGAAGTAACATGCAGGGCGTGGACCGTCTATCCGAAGGATTTGGAAAGGATTGGGGTTGATCCCAGTACGATATCCTGTACCGCCCACTCCTCCGACATAGGCTCCCTTGGCTCTCAGGACCGTCAAACGGCAACGATCTGAACCTCTCTGTCCATTGTCGCTTTGCGTTCCGCCACTGGCTTGCAAAGCTGCATGTCGACCATGACTCGACTAGTGACTCTCTTACGAGATTGATGCTGTTTGAGGTGGTTCGATGTCCAATGCAGAAGACAACCCCTGTATGATGGAGCGTACCGCCAAATACATGTCTGACATCCCGGCTGTGCGTGGTAATGCAGCCTCGTATGCCTTGATTTCCTAATATGGATTGTCCTGACGCAGAAGCATGCTGATCGATGGTATACAGCCCTGGTTCGAGTCGCTTCGTCTTGCATCGTCGACAACTTTGGTTTCCAAATGCATACCAAAAGTACACCATGCTTTCAGGCTAATACTCCGCTGGTTTCTACACAGCTGGAGTTTGTCTGCGAAGACGCAGCAGGGTGGGCCATGCAGGATGTAAATTGCAACAGGTGGTGGCAAGCGAGCCATTCAACTAGGATTTGAAGTGGCATGAAGCACGTCCACATACGTGATGCGACAGGTTATCACACTTGTGCCTCTGATGTCGCGTGCCTCGTGCTGCCACGACACCTTGTGTCCTGCTATTTCTGCCGTGGTAACCTCCTCTTCTGGCCAGGTGCGTTCATGACAGGTATGAGACCAACTCTCTATTCAGATTGACCGTCAAGGGTTTGACTTTTCACGTGAACATGTTCTTCGGCTGAGCAGGCGTCTGCATATGGAAGGCTGCAAGGATTGGCCTTCAGCATTGTCGCACTTGCATACTGATGACAGATCGAGGGTGAGGCCTGAGTTGAGTTGGAGACCGCCTTGATTTTGGCTGTATGGACTTCAGATTTGTGTGATAAAGATCGACATCGCTCGATGTTCCATGCTAGCTGTCATGAGATAGTTGTTTGAAAGGGCGAACATTGGTTATGCCGGCGAGGCGTCCTCGGACTGGGGGTCGTGTTGCAGGCTGTAGAGAACGTGAGTTAGAGGAGCCTGCCTCAAACTGATGTGGCCTCTACTAAGCAGTAAACGCATGAAACCTCAGGCATACGCATGAACGCTTCTTGAGAACTACAAGAGCATAGTAATCCCGGGAATAGCCAGATGTTCATGACTTCTACTCGAGGTAGTCGCGCATGAAGTACTCCCTAGAGTGTATATACGGTCACGTGGAATAATGTACGAAACACAGGTCGCAACAAGTCCCATCTATTAGTGGTATCTACTGATAACAACTTACCCCCGCTAGAAAACGCCTACGAAATGCCATCTGTTGAAGTCAGGGCAAGGCCCATATGCATTTGAATCGCATCCACGAACTCCTCTGCAGCACCTCGATGCGTCCGCTGACTTGCAAAATGTACACTTTTCCCCCTTCAGCACAAGATTCCCATGATGGGAAGGCAAGTAAGCAATAATAAGCCACCACGCAACAATAAAGAAAATCAGCACCAAGCCACCGAGAGACGGACGCCAACTATGTACACCATTCCCCCAGATCCGCTCGTTCTCGTCGTAAACACCTGGACCGCTGGTCGTCGAGTACATATCCATAGACAACACCATGACTGATGCCAATCTATCTTCGCTTCCGTCCCATTTGCTGGAAGTATGTGGCTAGCTCTATCTGATAATAGAGCACTCTGTTGGTTTCGCGTTCTGGTAGACGATTCACTTGTCAACAAGAGTATGGTGAGAATGCAGCGAAGTCCTGAGAACTTCGCGGCCTCGCCTGCATTGCAAACGATACACGCCCTGGATAGATTGCGAAGGCTGGCTACGAGGCACTTGAGGCGTCACACCCATAAAGAGTACGCAATGCCTTTGGGGAGTGCTTCACAGTGAAAGAGCACTGTGATGATTCCAAGCAGGGTCCTTCTGCATTCGAAAGGCTAAAACCTTTCATAGGAGTCGCAACGCGTGACTTTCAATGTTGAGGACCTCCTTATTTCCAGTGGCGAAACCACCGTGCTGCCAGGGAATGCACCCAGCTGTGTTTTTTCTAAGCCCATGCCGTACCTAGTCGATAAAGTCCTGATCAGGTTGCTTCGCATTCTACTGCGGAGGATGGGGCTGTGGTGTCCACTGCGCCATCTGGGGAGGCTGCGAGTATTGCGGCTGTGGTATCTGCTGGCCGGCCCCTTCAGGATAATACGGGGCTCGTGGGCTCTGATAAGTTTGAGATGGCTGCTGTCCAGACTCCCGACGATCTTCGTATTTGATTTGATTAGGAGACGGCTGGCTCTGTCGCGTGTGATCCATCTGTGGTGCAGCTGTATTCACAGGGTAGGGACTGGATCTGTATGGCACTGGATTGCGAGAATCCATAGACACAGGACTCAAGTTGTTCATGGGCCGCTGCATACTCATAGGTGGGTACATGCCACCAGGCTGCGGCTGATTCCGATCTGGCATCATTGAAGGCATGGATGTGGGAGTTGCTGGAAGTGATCTTGAAGATGGATCGTAAGCTCTGTTGTAAGCAGTCTGGTCATACTGGTTGTAGTCAGGTCGCTGGCCTTGCATTGGCGGTGCAGAGACTGGAGACTGCAGATAAGGCGCAGGCATGGATGGAACTCCCATACCATAGCCTGGCGCGCCCGGTTGCTGGGCCATCGGAGGGTAATTTTGGGGCATGTAATACTGCGCTTGTTGTGTATTATTCTGCATGTAGCCACCTGTATTGACGCGGTATCCGTACGCGCCTGGAGCACCTTCAACCTCGTCAACGTCCTCAATGGGTGAACGGAAGCTTTGCTTGGATATCAATTCGGTCCGGGGACGAATATACTGCAGGTTTTCCGTCTGCGAAGGTGTTCGCAGCTGATTTGACATCACGTCATTGAGGTGATAATATGAGACCAAATGATGCGTAACGCCCTGGACGGTAACACTCATGGTCTTCTTGACCAGGCCATCTGCCTTGAAGCCATATGAGTCTACCAGTGAACCGATCAGTTGTCTTTCGATCTCTGACGCGTTCCTGTCTGCACCAAAACCAGCAGGTTGGTTATCTGAGAAGGAGGTTGCTTCGGGCCTTGGGTAAGGTTCTCCAGGTCTGCTCGGCCGTCTCTGCTGCTTCTTCATGGCGCGCTTTTTCTCGCCCGGCGGGAATGGTTTGTCCAGCTCGCGATAGACCAAGAAGTTGCCCAAGATCCGACTGGGACTCCACGTAACACCATCCGTCCACCTCTTGATCCCCGACGCATTTTCCTCGTAGATGAAGACTGAACCGCTCCTTATTAGGCTACTTCGTTCTCGATCGTGGGGTCTTCGAGGCACATGTGAGAGATGACCTTGCAAGCATGCTTCGAAGAGGATGAGCGCATCCTGTGTGGTCGCCACATGGCCCTGAAAGGTTGGCTGCAGTGCTGCACCGCCAGAGGACATAATGAAATAGTTGGTGGACTGGATGTCCTCGAGACTGGGTCAGGCAAGAGAACTTTGTCGCAAAGTTTTCGGGTGCTTGAGACTTTAACCTTAAGCAAAACTCACCCCCAGGAATCTGGTACATGTATTGACAGAGCTCCAGAAAACCGATCTTCCGGACAAAGTTGAGATGGGAAAGACTCAAAAGCCGCTGGGGTGGCCCCGGAAAGACGTTGAAGAAGTCTTAAAGTCGGAGGTGGATTTCGAGGCCACCCTCCTGTGAAGCTCTAAACAAGCCTCGACCAATGCTATGAAAGCAGAAGATGTTCGATCAGAGGCCGGAAGCTGTGTCAAGGCGCATAAAAAGGCACACCCCTGACCCCGAAAGTTACAAATGAGGTAAAGGGCTGAGATTGAATTGATAGTGACGTCCCGGCTGGGGAGTGCGGTGGCCGAGGTAGCAGCTTGTTGCTCGTAGAATGGAGCACGACCCGATAGAATGGCCGCTTGCTTCTGTGTACCTCAAATGAGAGGATGAATAGACGGGGATCGGAGCCACCTAGTGATGTCCGTGAATTTGACTTTATGGGTTGTTCTCGAGATGAGATTTGAGTAAAGTAGCCGTGGCAGGTGATGTCTTCGCTTTTGTCGCCAGTTGCTGATAGACGCAAAAAAAAAACTGGTCCGCAATTATTATCCGCAGATCGATACCGCTGATAATTCACTATCGCTACACCGTTCAAGCGAAGATGCAGAATCAGTTTGGACAAGTGATTCAATGGTGAAAGTACGAGGCAGCAAAGCAAGACCCAGTGTGGGATCGTGAAAGCTAAGCTTGAGAGTTTGGTGATATATGCTTTCGTGCGTGGAGCAGTGTTTGGCGGGGTTTCTTTTCTTGTCGCTGATGATTGATGAACCGTTCCACGACGTGTGTTTGGATCTATGGACAGCGATTCTGGGTCCGATTCAGTCCACCTGCTGGAGCCGATGTTAATGCCTAGAGTATAGTTGTAAGGACCAAGCGCGCGACGCAGGCCGGCAAATTCCTATAGACCCGTTGGGCGTGGCTGAGCTGAGCAGGGAAATACAACGTTGGCGGGAGATTTGGGCAGCAGGTGCCAGGCGAGACCGCCGCTGTAGAGCACTCGAGTCAGGACAGCTGCAGTCGTTGAAAGTTTGCAAAGAGTTTCTAGGTTCGTGGTAGGTTCCCAATTCAGTCTATCGTCGCCATGCAATCAGGGCAAGACTAGACTAATGTCCCAGCTTGAGGTGAAGTGGTTGATAGGGAGCTCGTTTTGAAGAAGCTTTCCAGCACGACCCGGCAATTTCGACGATTCGTAGGCTGTCCAAGGTGTCCCTATTGTCGACCCAAATTGGCGAATTCAGGGCGAGAGCGGAGCTGTGATCTCTGTGATTCTGCAACTTAAACTCCTCAAGGAAGAGTGACCAAGTTGACTTTCGGCATCGACGGGGGGGCTTTATGGGTGGTGACTTGTCAGCGTGGATATAGGAGGTTGGCTTGTCAACTTAAAAATTTGACTTTAGTCAAACCCCCAGGGTGTCGATCAGATCCCAGCAATGTATGGAATTACAAGAAGGAAATAATACTGGTGATGTTGGTGCCTAGCATCTGCAGAGGTTCTTACACCGGCATATGTACTGACTTGGTCAGAGTAGCGAGGTCAAACCATGCCGGCCGGAAAAGACCAAGATTTCGGGACCCTGGAGGGGTCTGTTTTTGGTGGCTTGTCCAGGTCGAAGTAGCGGAAGGTGAGTGGGCCAGACAAAGAAACGGCGGATGGCAATGGAAAGGCCTTGCAGAAGGGTGGAAGTGTGGAAGGAAGACACACTGACCAAGTCGCAGGGTGGGTGCTATGGAGAGTTGCGCGCGCAGACACGACGCTACCAAGTTAGCCTGGTTATTTCATTCTGGTGTCAGTGCAAAGAGAGGGAACAGCAGGAGAGTGTAAGCGGATCTCGGAAAAAAAGAGATGCAGCTATCTGGAGCCCTTGTTCTTGCACCACCTTGGTTGGCATCAACTAAAAAAGAATGATTCGATGGCTGCGATTCTGCCAGGGTCTTAACCGTCTTGGTTCTTGACCTCGGGCAATGAGAATCGATTTCGCCTGTTATTGGTCTATTGAGAGACCACTCACACCCGACGGTAACGATCGGTCATTTTAAGCGGCCTCCAAATGACTAACAATTGTATCGTTGTTTCGTGGCATGCACGACAAGATTCGTACTCCGATTTGCATATTATGAAGAGTATATGGTATTTGCACGTCGTCATCATCCTGCGGAAGCAATCTGGCCAGCAGCAATTTGGAAGTGCCTCCTCCACACCAAAAGTCGGGGAGAGCACTGACAACCGGATGGCACATCAGCTTCGACCAGTCTGCATATGACCATTAACAAGCCCAGGCAACACCGACGCAAGCATGGCAAGGTTTAGGCACGTATTTGAATCACGCTCACTAGGAAGTCATCGTCTATATCAAGATACTCCCGAGGCGACTCCTTCCTAAGCAATGTCAACAATGTTTGAGTCGTTGGGCCTCATACACGTTTTGATTTGAAGTCATTAGAACCCACGGAGACTGCATTTCCGTTCGAGGTGTTATGGCAGCAAAACCCATAGACTTCACGAGACGGCAACGCTTGGTCAGTGACTAACAAAGTTGTAGATCGTCATGCTGTCCACAAATCACCCTGCGTAGACCGGCTTGCTGAATTCGGGAACACCGAGACATGAGCAAAATGGATGCGCATTTGCAGAATGCCATGTATTGCCCCGATGAAGCTTGGATAAACCCTCAACACCCCTGCTGTCCACGGTCAGAACCTTGCAGGGATTGTTGGCATGCTTTCTCAGACGTGAGTGTAACCGCCTACACAACGACAAATGCTAGTGTCGGATTTGGGGAATGAACCACTGCCAGACCTTCACTTGTCCACCCGTCTTTGACATGTTTCTGGAACGACTTCGCTGTCCGAAAGTCCATGTCAAGAGTGTCACGGACTCACGGTAGTCAGTGAGATCGTGCTACCGTCAATTCCACGCGTCATGACACCTGCCTTGCCCTCAAAAAATCTGGTGCTCGAGGACTCCGGAGGGAAATCTACAGTGGAAGCAAGTCTTCGTCATGTCGGCTGTTGTATGCTTAGGGCCCCCCTCTCCGAGGCGGGGGTCGCTAATGTGCTCCCTAGGGCCTAATGGTGCGCCAATCTTGCTCTATCAGCACGGTCCAGACTGGTCCACCGCAAGCATTGCGCTGCACCCCGGTCTTTGAACCTGGCGAACTATTCTCCAGCTTGTTTGGTGGCCTGTAAAGTCGAGCTACCAGAACTAGAATGCACTAAGATTACGCTGGCTGAAAGCTCAGGCCAGAAGAACTACCCAAAGTATTGGGAGCAGAGTCGCCGAGGGCGAGTAAGGTGTGTAAACAAACGGGCAGAATGGAAAGATTAGAACTATCAGACTGTCAATCACGCCTCAAAACAGAAATGAAGGTCATCGATAGATTGATCAATGGTTCACATCAGCGCATATCGATGTATGCGGGCGGGGTTCTCCCAGGCGGCGCTCCGTACGAGATTTAGCGTACGTTTTCAGGGAAGCCGACAATCCGTTAGTGGTATCCCATATACTGTCGCGAATCATGTTGAGATCGTTATTCTCGAGACGATGTAGTGGGACTCGGTGACAAATCGGCCTTCTGTGTCTTTTTGGTGGTCGTGTATCGGTAGGTCGCTCGTGCTGGCGACGCGTAGTCGGTGGGTATTATTTCCAACGATTCCCGTGAAAGATGAAGAGTGCGATGACACTACCCCTGGATCTTGCGCCAACGACCCAAGGGAGTGGTTACAATGAAGGTGAGGCGCTCGAGCGTTTGGTTAGTGTCCCCGACGTGCATGTCAAAGGGGGTGACGTTCTGCCGAGACAACACCAACCAGTGTACCAGACCCACGGAGACCATAGATGGGGTGAAAGGTTTGCGACCAGCTTGGTATCTCGAAATGTCAATTGTGACAACATCGACCAAATTGTGCAGTAATGCCATCCGGGAGGTTGAAAATACCTTGAGCGCTACACAACCCCCCAGCCTTTGACTCTTAGCTTTGCTTTTCGCCCTCTAAGCGTCATCTGGTGGCCGCCTCCGAATGGGCATTTGCCTGGATCTGATGACGTCTCTTGCCTTGAAATCTGCGACACTAGCTCCTTTTGTAGTGAGATGAATGGATCAGTTTGGTGGATGTTTTTATGATTGAAAGATCGGAACCGGTACGAGTAACAAGTAGACTCATGCTTTTGGTGAGCGACATGGACGGGAAGTCTGCTACGCACATGGCTTTTCGGCGCTAGCCTAATTTAGAGGGGTCCTTTGCCCCTCATTAAATGGCGCCTGCGTCCATCGCGGTAGGGGAAGAGCAGACGAAAAGCACAAATCGTCTTACGCTTTTCATCCACTGAGGCACGCACGGGCATCGATCGGAGGCCTCACTCTTTACAAGCCATCACCTACCATCTCGTGGTGGACTCCTATTCCTGATCTGAATTCAGCTTGACAAGGTGCCATCCAGCGCACATAACCCACACACACGTCTACCGCCACGTTTCCCTGCGTCAGAACCCATGGCCAACCCCGAGGTTGCTCGACTAGGGAGACATGTTTGATGGGCATATGGACATACCACAGTACGATCGAGTGGGAAAGCACAGACCAGAGCTAACATGTGAGACAGGCCGCCATGAGTTGCTTCTTTTTGATGAAGAAACGCCCGCCCAACTCTTCGACAATTTACTAGACCATGAGCCTGTGGAGCTCCGCCCGGATGTCTTTTCACAAGCTTCGAAGTAACCTTTACGAAAACGACAGACAGGGGTCAGCGAAAATTCAATAACATTCTTCAGGGATGCAAGGCAGCACGGGCCGACGAACCAAGTAAACCTAGGCCTGCATTGCAAACCGTCCTGGTTCAAAGCGAACCATTCATGACCGACAACCCTCTACCAAGAACGGTTAGGTCGTTGCATACGTAATTACACCTTTTGGACCTTGAGACCCTCTATCCTGCAGGGAGCAGGGGCCACATCGTGTCGGATGTTCCTTCATGATCACGACGGCAAGTCCACAAAAATATTAAATCGCCCATAAGACAACTGCAGCTGTGGTCATTGGCGGCCGGTATTTGAGTCCCAACGATCGACCGTTCGCTGCCTTGTGGAAACCACTGAATCCAATAAGTCATTCGGGCCTGACACTTTCGACCTGAAGAATCAAGATACGGCACGGTACGGCTGTTTGATCCTACAGAACAAAAGCATGGACGACCTACAGAGTACATGTGTCTCTTGCCGGAATTGGCATACTGCGAGGTGTCCTCTTTCCCAGTCTCCCCTTTCTCGCCACTAAACGCACTCCGAAACAGGTTCGCCAATCTGCTCAGGTGAAGTGACTTTCCTAGCGCCCCTCCTTCACTCATTTCGGCCCGGGCTCTGCCAATATCCAGTGTTGGCACGCTGCAGGTCATCAAATCGTGTATAACGCGTGATCCAACCCCATAGCGAGTCTGGTCTTGCCTGGCGTTTGAAGGCGTTCATTCCCCACTGTCCACTTCGACGCCCATTGCCTGACTAGGACTGCAACCCCATCATTGCCAAACCTTCAGCTTCTTGATTGCTGTTATCGAACGAGTCGATTCCACCAAGATTCAATGTGTGCCCAAATCACCTGAAGAAGGTCCATGGCTTCTTTGCCACAAGACTCTCGCCTGGAAACCGCATTGGTACTGGAACAACATCCTGAAATCCTGCAAGCCTCATCACACCGCTTACGTGTATACCAGGAATATTCTGTCGACTATCTGCCTTGGCAGGACTGGGGATGAGGACTCCGCATTCCCAATTGCGACAATTCAGTTTAGGCTGTTTCGTGATCTTGTCCTGGACAAGTCGACCCCTGTTCGGGAGTACCAGTGTCAGCTCATGTTGTCCTGACGCATCACAACACTGCGGGATGGTCACCTACCAAGCACTTTCGGATAGATTCGCGCTTCCCACATAGGTCCAGCCCGAGGTCGGCAATTGAACGCCATCCGAGAGATTCGCGGGTCTAACATACAGCAGCTATGACATTATCGTTAATTTCTTGTCGTGACGGTTGTGCCCGACACACAAAGGACGTGATAATCCTACCTTGTTATGCATCAACAAACCTTCGCGAACACTAACGCAGTCTCGCATATTCGAAGTGGGAAACGTGCCATTTGTCCACCACTTCGAGGAGAAGCAGATGGTGCCTGCATTGCGAGGACCTCCCTTCGACCGCCGCACAGTTGCATCGCTAGGGAAGTAGAAGCGAAAATTTGTCTTCCAGTCCTGACCCACCTTGACTCCTTTTGCGCCCCTGTCCGCGGTGCCCGTGCCCGTGCCCGTGCCCAGACGGCTATCATACTCGGCGAAACCATTGTCACCTTGCGCAGCGAGATAGAGCGAGCTCATGAAGCCGTCACTCAAATTGCCCAGTGATGATGCCACGTAGTCGAGCTCGATGGGACTGTCAGTTGCCAGTCCAAGTGCCGTGACGGTTTGACCTAGCCCGCACACCCCCGTAGACTTGGTCGTGTCACCCACGTGCATGCCACCGATGGTGTGAACAAAGCCTAGCCCAACTGTCTCGCGGAAATCGAACCGCTCGAGCTTCCGGACCACATCGTCTGGTGCGGTCTGCGCTCTCAGGAATGTCTTGAGCGACTTTTCGAAACGAGTTTCATCTTGCGCGCCTGCGCTGAGTCTCGGAGGCAAGTCAATGAGCCACAGTGTGTTCTCCATGAACGCGCCGACACCCCAGTCAAACCCCATCAGGTTCGCTGTCGGGATGACAATGCGACAGCGTAGCCCCTGCCCCTTCCCCTGACCCTGGCGATTGCCAGTTCCACCACCTGCGTCTTCGTCCTTGTAGAACAGCAGCATCAACTTGCTGTGCATGCAATTGACCATGCCGTCCATCGGCGGGAAACACAGTCTCACGTTGGGCACGCCCTTGAAATCAGCGCGCAATGCCTCACGCTGCGCCGCGCCTTTGGCGTGCATGACGAGCTGAAATTTCGTGTGCTTCAGGTCGAAGTGCGGGAAGAGCCAGTCGAAGTCCCAGATGAAGGAAGAGAGGAGACATGATTCCAGGGACGCCTTGTCGGCGATGAGGGTCGGGAAATCAATGGTATTGTCTGCGGGATAACCTGCGACGAAGGTCTGGAAGACTTTGCCTTTGGGATAGCGGTTTGGGGTTGTGCCCCATGGTGATGTGGCTGCTGCGCTTTTGCTGTCCAGTGTATTGCTGCCACCGCCTGGATTCCTTAAAGGTAGTCCGCTTGTAGCTGTCGTAGACGGACGAGATTGTCTTTGGAGCGGTGGAGGTGATATGTTCGTCGTTCGTGACTGTGTTGCTGTCGCTGTTCCTGTCTGCGTAATTCGTGCTGCCTTGGGCCTTCGTCCATCGTCGTTGTCACCTTCGTGTTTGCGCTTTTGTCTTGCCTTGCGTTCTTGTTCCATCTGCTTCCGGTCCAAACCTGCTAGGCTGAATGCTGGTGCTGTGTTCGCAAGAGTGGGCGTGGTAGGATCAGCTGCGCCCGATGCTGGTGCTGCTGTCGTTTCAGCCTGCGCAGTCCGGTCTGCGAGGGCATCAGAAGACGATGGCAGGATCGGAGAGGGCGATAGCGTCGTCTCGTTGGACTCGACCTGATTTTGCACGACAATTGCCGTGGTACGCTTTGGTGATTCGGCGGACTGGCTCGATGGCACCTCTTGCAGAGAAAGCGCGACTGCTCTTATAAACTCCTCCTCCTCTTCGTCATCAGAAATTTCGATCGCACGATGGGATCGTGATGGTGTGCTCGAAGCATTGGAATTGCTAGCCGGTGGAATGAATGCTCGCTGCTCTTGTAAAGATAGTGCAACTGCTCGTCTGAACTCTTCGTCGTCAGACTGTTCATCGCCATCTGGCAAAGTGATTGCAGAATCGAAGTGTCGGGAAGAGCTCGTTGTGTAGTCGTCGTCCGAAGGATTGGATAGATTCACTAGTCGTTCGCGCTCTTTTCCCTTCCTGCTGGTCTGGAGCATCGCAAGTGGCTTATTTTTCATGCTGGGTCTTGCTATCTGTTGTATATCATACTCACTGTCGCTGCCCTGCTCGGTATTACTTGCTGTGCCAGGTTCATGCACGACATCGAGGACGTGGTTGAAGCCAGGACGCAGTGTATCCTCCTCATCCAGACCCCTTTCCATCGAAGTGACGGGGCTGTCTCCGTCAATAAGTATTGGGTCAGCGCACCTCTCGTCTGCGGCGGTCGTTCTTGTAGGAGCATCTGCAGCTGCATCTACAGTCGCATTTGTGCCGGCGGCCGTGCTTGATTCGACATTGGGTCGAGGCCGAAACTGATTTCGTGATGAGGCCGCTTTCCCGAAGTAGGCTTCTTCGAGCGGCTCGATGCTGCATCCACGGCAGGAGAACTGCTCGTTTGGGATGTAATGGCTTTTGTCAATGCCTCCAGCGTGAAAATGGTGCACGCGGCCTTCGGCGTAAGGAGGAGGAGGTTCGTAAGGTAGCAGGTCTTCTCCGCGTGCTTGTCCCAGCGATCTCCGGGGTGAGGAGTGCTGTGTATGCTGAGATTCAGTACTATTGTGCATGTGTAAGTCCTGGCGGTGAGAGTTGATCGGAGCTTCAGGCAGTATCGCAACATCATCATCGCTGTCGGAGAGTAGATCGACTATGTCGGATTGCTGGCTTCCCGTCGCCATTTTTGCGCGTCGCGGACCGGTAGTAGTGAATGATTGAAGTGAGAGTGACTCAAGTGAAGGACTTCTGGAGCAATTCCTTCCTTTTGTGAAAATTTTCACAAGGGATTTGAATGGCTTTGGTATAACAAGTTGAACAATGACTGCTGTAGCTGTCGGCGACAAACATGCGGCTTCCCGTATAGTAGGCTTGACAAAGAGCTTCGACCCGGCATGGACAGAGAGAGGTGATGTGCTTTGTCTTGTCGAACGCAGTAATGGGGAGACAGTGACTCGTCTAGAATGAAGGTGATGATGACCGTAATCGAAAAGGCGCGGTGCCGTTGATGTCGCCTGAGGAGAGGATGTGATGCGCATGTGGGAGTGTTGTACTTCACCTCAACGTCGATTGCCACCGGTATACAATTCTCTACCGTTTGCTCCTTTCCTGAAAGCTAACCCTGGTCGCTCACAGGGAAGATAGCCTTCTCCTGAATATCCAATGATACCCTCGAGGAGGCTTTAGTGCGGCCTGAGGGGTAACGGAACAAAAGGGTGTAGATCGCAAGTAATGATCTGAGTGCCGTCTTGAGGGAACTGTCCACTGGAATCCTGATCGTTAGCAACCAGAACACATGAGCTTCTCACGCTTGTAAGAACCTCTCTTATTCTCGATGACAAAGGACCCGGAGCCCGCCCCAGTGTTAAGAGCCGAAATGAGCTGGGAATGCCAACCGCATTCAAATCATGCTATTGTCAGGAGGCGTACAGCAAGCCAGGTCAACCTGAGGAGCATGCACGTTCTCAGAGTTGGTGTTCTGCCACATCCAGCATACAATGAGGTCTGGGTGTCGGACAAGGCACGGCCCCAGGTACTTCTGGCAAAAGCTCTTGTGCGATCAAGACGAACGGCTTCAGCAAGGCTGCAGCCTGCCGCTGCCCGCTCGGCTGATGATCGACCCGATACCTCAATACCATGAGCGAGGGTGTCTGGATCGGCAGAATGAGGACTATGCCGTCCAATAGTGAACAGCAAGACTAAAGAAAGCTCAAATTAGAGTCTTATAAGATGCGACGTTGAAGGATAGAAAAAGTCCGTCTATATTGCCGTGCGGGAGCCTAGTAAGCAATTCTGATATCACGTGGAGACGCGTATTTACGTTCTGACTTCGGCACGGCTTGCAGCGCCAGGGACATGTGCTACACTATACTGCAGGATACCTAGAATCTCCTGAGGGCTGTGGCCAGGACTGAGGTCTCATGACGGATAGGTTGGGAGAAAGGGTTTGCAAGAGAAGGCCTTTTCACACAGTGCGTGCAGGTGTATTATTCCAGATAGCTACCTGAGAAGCATATCCCAATGGACATACGGTTCTTTCGTGAGCAGCTATACTGCATATGGATGCTTTATCGTCGACTAGTCCCTCCAAAGCCAGTGCTTTCGTGTCGTGTGCTTGAGAAACTTGGGCTTGAGCTGGTCGTCCTAGATGATGATCGTTGTGCGGCGCCGCCGCCACCACCTCCTCCAAACCATCCACCCTGCCGAGGTCCTTCGTCTCTTCTGCCTCCAAACAGCCCGCCTTCCCAAGGGGCTCTGCGGGGTGGCTCAGGTTGCGTCCGAGCACCTCTACCCACCATGTAAGCTGCAGCGGCGCCTGCACCCGCACCAGTCCAGAATCCTGGTCGCCAACCCTGCTCTTGATTCGCTCCCGCTTGTCGTGTGGAAGAAGACGCCGAGCTTGATCCTGAGGTCCAGGTTGCTTTCTTCGGTCGTGGCGGAGGACGAGGATCATAAGGTGGTGGAGGATCATCATCGCCGCCATTACCGCCTCCCCATCCTCCAAAGCCACCACCTCGCGGTCGCGGCCGTACCGTATTGTCCCGCCATGCCTTGTAGAGTCCTCGCAGAATGATAAAGAGAACTAGCGCGAAGAGAGCCATGAAAGCATAGCCAGCAATGCTTTCCGAAGAGGTTTTTGGCAGGCCACCAAAGTTGAGACCGCCCATTTGTGATCCATATTTCTCCTCTCCTTTGTCCGTGAGCAGCAGTCTATATTCGACGCCACAACTGCCCTTGAGGACATATGGATCTTCGCTGCTTTCATAACCTTCGCACGTCACGTCTGTACTGCCTAGTTTGAACTCGTCCGGTAGTGCGGCTTTACAGCTCCATTGTACATTGCTCTCATCGTAGTCGACACCCTCGTTCGTGCAACGCATAGAATCGATCGAGTACAGGCTGCATATTTTTGCAGGGCCGACGCATTTTAGTTGTGAAACGGGGGACACTCGGCGAGACGCAGTCTGCTTGCCGGCTCGGACGGTGATTGCAGAGATTTTGGATAGAAGGGCTGCATTACGAGGTACTTTCTTCGGGTTTGTAACCTTCGCTGAAAGCGCTGTGCTTATGAAGAGCAGGGTCAAGAGTAGGAGATACTTCATGGCGGACTGTTGAGGGAGTGATCGTGGAGGTTACAAATCACATCTAGAAACAAACCTGGAAGAAGCAGAGTGCGGCCGGTGGCGAAAGCATGGCTCTTTTAGCGAGTGAAGTTCATCTATAGTGCGAATCTGAAGAGTTGTCAAGTAGACACAGTGGCCATACCGTTCGAAGAACGAAGGCGAAGGAAGGGTTTTCTTGTTGCCTGATTTTGTAGGTTGTGACGAAATCTCTAGGTGCAGGTCAAATCCGCGGTAAACATTCCTCGTACTTAGGGGGAGCCTCGGTACCTGGTAGTGCAGCACCTGTCGGCGACCACGATCAACCAGCTCCCGGGACTCATGTACAACAAGTCGAGGGGCGCTTTGCACGGAAGTAGAATTTAATTCAATTACATAGGCATCGACACTCCGGCACAGGGCAGACAGAATGCTTCTCAAACCACATCCTGGCGTGCGCGGCGTGGCACCCATGAGAGCATTTCAAGCAAAGCACTGTAAACTTGGACATTGCTGTGTCCCATCTTTCAGCCTCTTCGACATTTGTGCTGCCGCTCTCAGGCTCCAGTGCAGGAGTTGACGGCTGGTTTACTGTTATACTCGGCACCCCTGTATGGCCGTTGACGACATCTTCAGATGCATTTACGGGATTGTCCTGAGACCGCGACGGAGACTTCTGCTGAGACACTCCCGTCCCATTTGATGGCCGAGTGGTTGTGCCTGGACCGATCGTGGTATGTATGCTGCCCGCCATGCTGGCACTAAGATCGATGCTGCCTTTTTTAGTATTGTCTCTTGCCTGTTGCGACCCGTACCATGGCAAGTACGATTCATCTGGTATACCAAGCCACAGGTCACAGACACCGCACCGTGGCAGATGCCGACCGCATTTTGGACAGACTGTAGCAATCGCCGCAGCCTTTTCCTTTGTGAGTGGATGTTGTGGTGTATCCACTACCTTGTGATCGGGAGAAGTGTCATCGTTGGCGCCTGCTGTGTGAGCAATGCTCTGGGCGCAAAAGCTGCAGACGAGCCGTACTTGCTGTTTCGCCACGGGTATGAGTCGTCTTCCGTTATGATCAACAGCGGCATTCTGACAAGCAATGTCGAATCTGACTCGGTCGAACCTCAGATTCCAGCTGTTCATTTCATGTTTGTATGCTTCTTTCCACGCACTGAACCTACGCACGATATCTTCGTCATTGAGATATCGTGGAATTGTGGGAGACATGGCTAAGACGGCCGTTTGCAAGTCATCGAAAAGCCGCACGTAGCTTGCCATTAGCTCGAAAGCATCTCGGCTCGCAATGCCAGTGAGCACAACTCCTTCGATGTCCCCTTCTTTCACGGCTTCGGTCGTGGCTTGGGAAATATAGCTCGTCAGCTCCGAGTCATTCAGCTGCCTCAGCGCCACGCAGACCCGATACTTAAGCGGGAGAGAGTCTTCGGTAACCACATTAGACCAGTTCCCTGTCTTGACATAGGCAAGAATTGCTCGAGCATATGGATCTGTCAGTTCCTCGGCCAAGGAAGCAATGGTTTCTGCCCAATCGTCTTGCACATCCGAATCATCGCCGCTTGTGGCTCCAGCTTCGCCATTGCGGGTGACCTTTGATGCTCCTGCAATAGCCATGGCCAGCATCTTATGAGACTGATTGGCACTCTTGCTGCGGAGGGCTCTATAGGCCAATTTCCGTTCCATCGCAAACATTGCAAGAGCTGCGGCTTTCGTGTGCTGATTTTGTGCCACGAGGCGTTTCACTATCGTTCCCAGTTCTTCGTATGACCATGCTAGGCCTGCTGAGTACAGGCAAAGCTGTCGATTGGGAGCGTATTCAGTTGCAACGCCATTGATACGAGGTATACTCAAGCGACGCACAAGGTTCTCCACAATCTTCCCAAGCTTGTTAGAGCTAGGGCCAAGGGTTCTGTTCTTAGCCTTGATATCCTCCATCCACAGACCGTGTACACCGACATAGGATAGATCGAAGTTGTCATGGGTCATGCTGCCGTTCCTGGAGATCTTTGCGGCACGCTCTATCCAGGCCCAGAAGGACTGCAACCAATGAGAGTCGGAGACGATCGCCTTATTCTTTGTTGCGTCCAGCAGGTAGCCTGCTTGACAACGTAACCTTTGTGCCGAGATCAGATTCATCAGATCCGTCAGAGGCACACCTTCTTCGTAGTAGCCCAAGTCCGCATGCCAGGCTTGGTTTCCCAGGCTGGACAGTTTCTTGACGTCAGGGACTCTTCCGTCCTGACGAGACTGCTTGAACGTAATTTTGAGCTCATTTCGTGGTTGTGCTCGTTGCCGAGAACCCTCAATTAGATGACCCGGCTCAGCTACTTCCGAGGCAGACTGGGTGGTAATATTCTCGCCCTTGCAGAGATATCCGACGGAGGTAAGTGCAGTCGGTTCAGGCAGCGGATTTGTACAAGTGTATTTGATCGCACCAAGACCATCAAGGGTGACTATCCTGGGTTGTCCAAGTCTCGTTGCTGATGTGGTGAAATCGAAGGACACTATCCTGGATTTTTCGTCCTGGGCTGTGGTCTGATTCGAATACGACTTTGAAACCTCTTGAGCTCTGTCAAGGAATATATCTTGAGGTGGTGTGTTTTCCCACGACGCTTCCTGGCCTCCATCTTGCTCGATGCGGCTTGTCTCCGACGCGGGATCTTTCACAATATCGTAGACTTTGAGGTTGCCGGTGCTTGAGAGAACACCAAGATGTCCTCTTTGCGCCTTTGAAAAACGCAGGCTCCAGATCGTTCCTGGGCTCTCGATGACATTCTTCATTTCCATAGATAGCTCTGGTTGTCGATTGTCCGAGCTTGATCCTGAGCCAAAACTCATATGGGGAGTGTTGAGTCTGCTGATCATCCTCCTGTCCCACACACATATCGACGGATCGTTCGTAGGATAGCAGGACGCGAAATAGTTTTCGTCGAGCCAGTCGATAGCTAAATTATGGACGCATCGTGTGGCAAATTGCAGCCCATTCCCGACCGATGGTTCCCTGAGATCATACAGCCTGACGAATTGTCCCTTGACGCCAGCAACTAACAGTTGGGGGTCATCGTGAAAGAATTTCAAACTGGTAATCGGTTCTCCGCTCGCAAGCTTGTGGAGAGGATCGGAGTAACTCTTCGTGAATCCCTTAGCACCTGGTGCAGGAAGTTTCTGACTGAAGTCCCATATGTTCAAACAGAAGTCCGTCCGTACTTTATCAAGTCCTGCTGCCAGAAGATTCTGCGAGTTCAACGCCACAGCATTGCATAGTCGCTGACTGCGGACCTGAAATGACAGAGAGTCCTGCTGACCTCCTGCTATGTTTAGCAGAGTAGCTTCTCCGCCCGCCTGCCCTACGACCACGAGTTCTTCATTGACAGGATGCCAATCAAAAGCTCGAAAAGGCGGGACTTTGGTTGAGGTATGGAGCGCATCATATTTGACTGTCTTCTTGTTCTGGCTAGTAATGTTGCATAGCCTGAAAACCTTTCCTGTCACGTCAACATGTAGAAATCGCTGAGGAGTTCCTGGTTGAGAGTTTCGTGACACACGAATGGCAGCCTCCATGCCGAAACCATAGGTTTTAACGGCTGGTGATCATCGCAGGATTTCAATGTTTACGGGGACTGCGCCCGTGGTTTCAACGGTGACATGGGGGGAATATTTGCCCGGATGGACTCTTCGGAATGCTGCCTCGACGCTGTTGTCGTCGCCTCGAGGTGAAGCAATGAGCCCTGGAAGAGGGCAAGGAGGATTAGTGCCATCTTCGGCTAAACTGTGGGCGGTGCCAGAATAATTTTATGATTCACTCCGCATATCCACTACGTCCTTCAACCAGGATTTTGAAATCCTCATGTGTCCCCTACAATGCTCAATATTTCATGACATTCAGTGGCAGACGCACGCGCAAGACTATTTCTCCGTTTGCCTCTACCTTCAATCTACTACGGTAACCGTCTCTCGCGCTGCTCCAGTGGCCGAGACCACAGCCGTACACCATGGCTTCATACAGACCTAATTACGAACGAGATGGTAGTCCGCGACGACGAGACGTAGATACCGGACGGCCACGCTCGGCCAGATATCCGCCACCAGACCGTCAACGGGACTCCCGTCCAGAGCGTCGGCCAGATGCACTAGCACCCGAAAGATCGGCAGTGGTCAAGACGAAGAAAGACCGTCAAACCAACCCATCAACACGAATTCATTCTCTCCGCAACCTGCTGGCCAAAGACACCAAACTGCCTATGACGATTCGTCAAGAAAAGGAACGCGAACTAGCGGCGCTACTACTCGATCAACAAAAGGCCGCTCTGGCAGAGAACGGAAAAAAGAATTTGAAACGATACCATTTCGTGCGATTTGTCGAACGCCAGAAAGCGCAGCGAGCCGTAAAGAAACTTCACAAGATGAGGGACGATGGCATCGCTACGGATGAAGGTCAGAGAAAGGAGCTCGAAGAGAAGATCCACGAAGCTGAGGTGGACTTTGCTTACACTCAATACGCTCCGCTGGGGGAGAAATACCTCAGTATCTACGTGGAAGAAAACAAGGAAAAAGGCACCAGCAAGCCGCGTATGAACCCGAAGTCATATTCCATCTTGACCGATGAACAGAAGGGTGAACTGCGCAATTTTGCCGACGAACTTGCAAATGTGGTACGATCGGCAGCGGGAACAAAGCCGCCAATGTGGTATGAGGTAGAGAAATACATGGCTGAAGGACAAGCGAAGCTGGACGCCCTTAGGGAGGGAAAAATGACTGGTAAAAAGATAGATAAGGACATCGCTGCGGTTGGTGGGAAGGAAGCAGCGGCCCTGCGAGGTCTACACAACAACGGGTCCGCGACCAAAGCATCCTGGCTTGAGGATGACGGAAAGATCGACCCTGCGGACTTGGACAGTGATGACGAAGAGGGCGGCGTCCAGGTTGACGACGAAGACATGAGCGATGGCGGATTCTTCGAGCGCTGAGACAGAGGAGCTACCAGCATGATCATGGTCATACTACGATTGATACGAATTAAGATACCCAACGTTCTACCACGAAATATACTCTCAAACCAGAGCAGGATGGAGTCATTTGACGAAACTAACCTTCCGACCTAAGGGCGGTCGTTATCATCAACCACATTAATGTCTATGTTGCGAGGTGAACAGTTTCATTAGCTTTCTACCGGCTCTCCTCCATGCTCTACCAACCAACAAGGCCAACTTCCAAATTTCGCAGGAGAAAATCACCTCAAGCAATGAACCCAAGTCGTCACAACCACCGGATATTCTGCCGCTCACCGAAGGACGACATTCACTCGACCACTGCCGGAAGTGACAACGTCACCTAGCAGTCACCGCCCTTCCTCACTTCATCCTTCTCCTCGCAGCAAGGCTCTCAGTTGGTATTACTGACCGCCGAGATCAGCGCGAAAACTCCTCGTCCATCGACATAGCGTTTGCTCGACGCCGTGACGACGGACACGGCAGGACCTTCGCTCTCCAAGGTATACAACGCTGTGCTCACAGATGCGTCAAGGGTACACTTCCTAACTCTCTACATAGTCTACGCCTTCATTGCACCATGGGTCAACCGATCTGACAACCGATGCATCTTTGTCTGCACCGTTCTCAATCGATCTGACAACCGATCTGTGCTTGCTTTCACCATCCTCAATCAACTCCGACAGATCGGCACAATGTCCCGCAAACAAAACCGTCTCGCGCCTCTCAAAAAGAAACTCAAAGCCCTCTGCGCCTCAAAAGCCTCACCTTCCTCATCCTCGCCGTCCTCGCAATCGCAATCTCCATCTCCAATATCCCCTGCGTTTACGTCGCCATTGACCACATGGTCATCATCACCCTCAAGCGTCACGAGCAACGTCAGCAGTCCCAGTCCCATCCTCACAGCACTCCCAGATCTCGATTTTGACCACGACTTTGGTCATAACCGGACGCGCAGCAGTATGGAAGACATGTACTTCCAAGACGCCCCCTCGCGCGAGAACCTGAGCACCAACCCCGGCGAATGCGGCAAACATCTTGCCCAGCGCTTTCAATGCACCGCGATGAACTACACCGCTGAAATCGACAGGCGCATTTGGGGTGAGACAGATATGCAAGATTTCGCGTACGATGAGGACGACGTTCAACATTGGTGCACATATGGATGTGGCGACGGAGAGAGAGACATGAGGCAAGACACGACACGACGTGCCGTTCTAAGTTCATGAAGTCAACGACAAAGAAGGGAAAAGAGATCTATGCTCCAACGTAGGTTGAGCCCGACGTCCAGCATTGGTGTGCATGAGTGTGGCGACGGGGAGGCATAACATGACACGCTGTGACATGCTAGGTTATGTTCTTAAATTCGACGAAGAGAGAGAAGGGAACAAGGTCCATGATTTCAGGTACACAGGGGTGACCTTGACCATTGGAGTGAGGAGGACGAGGCATGATATGCACGACAGGACACGTCACTGGCTCGTCACCAGACTCGAGAGCAAAGGATAAAGGGAGCAAACCATGTCTGTGACACGTCCAAGAAGGAAAAGACCTGCTGTGCTCTCAGCGTTTCGCGACTCGTCCACATTTTTGGATCGATGATAGCTCATACAAGATGGTCTGCTGCGCTAGTCACTCATCCAGCTCCTATCTCTTGTACACAGCTTCAGTAGGAGGATCCAACTCTTTCATCCTGGAATCAAATGCGTACACATCTTCGCCGTCCTCTATTGCGTCCTACTTCTTCTTGCAACAGCGTCCTTTGTATCGTCTGCGCCATTTCGCCACTGGTCATTTATCTCAGAACATCCCTCTCGACACTCCAATCTTTTGAACGGCCACCTCGGCAGCCGCACGGCATGGAACTCCTTTTCAAAGATTCCTTTTGAGCTCCACCACTCGATATGCTCTTTCGCCGCCAAGACTATAGGCCGTTGGCAGAAATTACACCTGCGGCCAGGCGCAGCATGAAGGACGTCCAATTCGTCGAGGATGATATCGGGAGTTTCAGGAGGCATTAAAGCGCGAAAGTCGATTTGGTTCTGAGGATCTAGCTTCGCCAGCTGACGAAGGACAATTTCTTTCAACGAAGACACCCTAGAGTTAGGGTTTGGAGGTTGATCCAGCAACGTTTGTTTCCAAGCCAGAGAAGACTTGCGGACAAGCAAGGTCGATTGCGCAGAAAGCACCTCCCTGTCATAGTTGTATCCTACAGGAGGGTTGGCGCACCAGCTGTTGTTGGGATGGCATCTTAACTCTCGCAGGTTGTGGAACCTAATAAGCTCGAGAATCTCGAATGGGAGAAACTCCAGCTGGTTTCCTGCTACGTTCAGAGTCTCCAGGTTGACCAATTCTCTGATGGAAGGGGGAATGGACTTCAGCCCGTTGTGGCGCAGAGACAGGACGCGAAGATTTCGCAATTCAAGGATAGGCGTCGGAAACGTTTGCAGCAGGTTGTTGGCCAAGTATATACGTAGCTGCGGTTCGAGATTGGTGCCAGTATCAAGCATTCCAGGGACGATCTCGTCTTGCTTGCTGAGCGTTTTCAGAGAAGTGATTTCGTTCGGAAGGTCGCTCAAGGACATTGAGCTGCACACGTCAGTCAGAACATGGTACTATACCACGTAGGGTAACTTACGATAAATCCACATCTTCCTTGCCAATGTCCAGACATTGCCTGACAATGCGACAAACTTCCTCGTGTTCCTTGGACATTATGGCGGCCGGCTTCGGCGGCAACCGCTTAGGCGTGCTATTAGGATCCTGAACTTGATCCTGATACTGATGTGACCAGATCCTGAGTGCGGACTTATGTTGCGTCCTGTGGTGTTGTTGATCTCTTAACAGCTCGTCTTCCAGTGTGAACGAATCACTTGACAAGAGGTCTTCGCTACTCTCACTGCCCATGAAAATGCCAGAGTCGAAATTACGGGTCAATTCCTGCTTCCGTGAACTCTTCCTGCTGCCGTCTTTGCGAGGGTGTTTGTCCCACCATGAGCCCTTGTAGATGCGTTTCTTGCGTTTGCCGGCGACGTAGTTTTCGGCGTCGGGCGCCTGTTCGTCGCTGGAGAAAAGTGCCGGATCACTGGACGTGGCGGGGTCGTCGTCGTAATCGGCGTGAGTTCGTTTGCGGGTAAGTAGGAAGGATGGGCGAGGTGGTGTTCGAGCTGCGCGGATGGTGGCTTGTGACAGTGCTGGGAGGTCGAGGTCGTCCATCGCTGATGCAGTGCGCTATTATCCGTGTTGATGTTGACTTTCGACAAGTGAAGAGCCTGCAACCCGCCCAAGTAATAAATGTGTGAAGTTCAACAAAACGAGTGAATGCAGACACGTGCAACGAATGTAGCTCGATCTCTGGATATCGAGGACGTGATGAGATATGAACAGTGCAAGGCAACAAGAAGCTGCGGCTATTGAGGCGTGTGACGTTGATCGGCAAGAACGAGACGCGTCGAAGAAAAATGGGGAAAAGTGTCGCGTGTGCCTGGCAGCGACCCCAGGTTGATTATGCCATCCATATATGCCACACGATGTCAAGTCCAGGTATTCCACCATCGCGTTCATGAACGATCATCAAGCTATTAGAGTGTAAGTGCTAGGACTCGTCAAGCTACCAGGGTCAATTGCAATATATGCAATCGTGGCATGAGACAGCTCCTTACATTAGAAGTACGATTCTGGACACAATGCAGCACGACAGATATCTTTCATACAACTTGACTCGCTTGAACGCTCTACTTGTACAAGATTCCTGGTATCGGTCGTTCAAAGTATGATCCGTAAGCTCCCCAACACTCCCCTAATGACCCCTTCGTGACACTCCAAACACAAACGTACATGCATAGCATCAACAGGCCCTCTAGCCTCTCCGACTCATATGCGCCCAAGCGGCAAGGAGTATTCGGAATTCCTATTGGAGCACATTGTACGATAGACCGGCTGCGGTCAAATGTCCACAGCTTTGCAGCTCTTCCAGAGATTCACAGACAAGGGTATAATGCGCAAAATCGAAAGAAAATAAGCCGCAAAGAGAGCAAACTAGTGCTCAAGTCGTGGAGGAATTGACTCAGTCAATTCAAAGAAAGCTGGTCGACTGGAAGCTGAGTTTCGCTTGTCGAGAGGTGGTCAGGATGAGTTTGGTCATGACGAGGCCCAGAACATGGCAGCAGCACCGGCAAGAGCAGCCACGGCAAGGTTGACTTCTTGCACACTTCCTGCACCAGTGGCAGTCACCGAAGCGATTGAAGGACTGGCAGAGTAGTAACTCGCCGAGGCTGTTGTTAACGTAGCCTTGTTGATAGTGGTTGCCGTAGCATTCCACCCAGTATACTGAGAAGAATAGGTGCTGCTACTTGTGGTCGCATTCGCGAATGCCAACGTCTTGGTGATGGTCAAGGTCTTTGACATAGAGGATGTAAGTGTTATGGTGGTCGTCCCCCATTCCTCCGAAGACCAGGAGCCAGACGCGGCTACTGTCAGAGCCAGCAGAAATGTGGCGATAGCGGTGATCAGGCGCATATTGATAAGGGATTTGTGGTGGTTTTAAAGGTGATAGAAGAGTTTGTTATGCGATCATTCGCATATCCTGGTGTCTTGCGACTGTCGCAACACCGTTAAATCGGATCGTTGCAGATCTCTGTGCGCGCCCTGTGATGCGACCAGACAATCGAGAACAACTGTAATTGGTGGTTGGCTTTGCACAAGGCCGGTCGAGTGAGCACTGCTCAAGTTGAAGTGAATGATGGAACGACTGAGAGGGAGCTCAGCGACTCGGACGATAGTAAAATGCTATCTGGCGGCAGTATCAGAGGCAAGAGGGAAGGAAGCAAGCCACGAAGAGGTACACGGGCATGCGCAGGTGTATATGCGCCGGCTGGAAAGGCGGATCATGGTGTGGGAGGTCGGAGGCAAGCGTTTGATAACAGTGGAGCAGTTGGTCCGGCAGCGATAGCAAGGTCGCATGAGCAAAGCAAATTGCTTGCAGTCCTAGGTCGAGCTTGAGCAAGGCGCCGGTGTCGACAGCGACAAATTGACGAACATCGACTGGCTCGTGTGACTGATTAGGCCGGGATATAGCCTCGTTGATCGTGGGGAGAGTAGCGAAAGTGGCACCAGATGAAACGCACGATTCTGAGTGGTTGTTGACTGATCTCTGGGCCTGTTCCTGGCCTGTCTCCGGCCTGCCAGCCAATGCCAATCATGCCAAATTTCCCGACAGCCCGCTAAGGGTGTCAAGCCTGGTCGTGGAGGTCGAGCTAGCCTAGGAACGCGCGAAACCCAGGTCCTTTAGCGGGACACTCGGTGTTGCAAGCTCCTCCAGTGGCTTCTTGTTTGCTGAATTGAAGAAGCCAAAATCAAATGCGATCCGTTATCTATTGGTGCAAAATCTCCTTGAGAAACCGACCACTTTCGGCCCCTGCCAGATGAAAGGAAATATGCGAGTGCGTCCTGGGAAACTTCCCTTCGAATTAGAGCTTGCCATCTGCTGCCACTCTCGGTTCGGCCCTTAAGCGCATTGACTTCTCTGCAGGTGTTCTTAACGTCAAGATGACCTTGGACCCGTTCGTGAAAGAAGCCACCAGTGTCACTTCTGTCAATCTCATCAAGAGCCGACCAGCATGGTGTGCTTCGTTTCATTTACCGCTGGTGTTGCTCACAAAATTCACTCATAACGAATTGCTTGGTTCCGAATCTCTGATCGGGTCACGGTGCATCGCACGTTCCCCAAGCAGGTACCCATTAGAGTGTCAATGGTTTGTCGCAGAGAGTACGTCTGTCAAGATTTGCAATATGCCACGCGCCTGACCATTTTAGTCGCTTGCTCTAGCATCGCAAGCGGAACCCCGTTTGTCGTGACCGTTAAAGCCAGAAGACATCAAGTGAGGTGTTCTTCTATGCTCACGAAAAAGCCCGCGACTCTCTTATCAGGGCAATGGGGTACCATAATTTCATGTGGGGACATTGAAAGTGATTATGGACATATAACATAGTATAGTCTGTGCTTATATTCGACGGCGCACAGTCCAAAAGGTCATAGGCATGAACCATCGCTCCCAGCGAGATGGTTGAGGTGGGTTGAATATGATTTCGCACGGTGCGACAAATCATCAAATCTGTCCCCCGGGTCCTCCATAAGTTGTGCTTTGCGGCGCTTTCGTGCTTCTGGACCCAGAGCGGATAGGAAATCTTTTCGTTATCCAGACCACGTTGCTGCATTGACTGCAAAAGTGAAAATGCTGATGATCCGCGGTGATTCTCAATCTCGTTAGATGTACGCACAGGCAACGGTACTTTATCCTGAAAGTTGTCTGGACTCTGGACTCTGCAATCTGATCACTCAGGCTTACTGAACCATTGACTGTCCTTCCGATGTTGGTGTTCTGTATTGGCCTAGCTGCAGCTGTTTTCGAATGGGGTGGGCTCGTAGATGCGAGTCTCGTAGTGACAATCGGTGTAGCCCGGCAACACGCTCCTCGGTAGTGCGAACAGTCTCAGCCATGATTCCTCCATGATAAGAAAGCGTAACCTCTTCCGTCGTCTCTCCAGAGTCTCCACAGCATCGCAAATGACGATGTGGATCGTTGATCAAGGGTTCATCTTGGAGAAAGATTAAACTTACTCAGTCTTTCAACCGCGTAATTTCCTCCTCTCCACCATGCAAGCACTTTGGACAAAAGCGATAAGTGAGCACGATTGCAGTTCTTGTGAACTCAATTTGAGAGTGCGAATTTGTTTGGTCACAGAAGGAAAGTCGAAACTTTATCGCCACCTTCCGAGTTTTGTGGCTGCTACAATTCGGAAAAGCTGTCAAGAGACGTTTGTCACTCCATACCACCTGTGTCCTGTCTCAAGAGTCTCAACGGTTCGAAAACGTGCAGTAGGAGCCACTACTATGGTCCCTGTTATCCGCGTTACACTACAGCAGAAAGTAGCAATCACGGATGAACGAATCGTTATGACTGGGAAGTCAGATCTTCTCAAATCTCAATACAAATATTATCTGAACGCAACATGAAAGTCTTTCTTCCTCTAAGATGTTGTACATATTAACTCGTACCATCCGCATCATAGTGCTTCATGATCCTTTCATCCAATATAACTACCACCACAACCCCTTAAGATTACACATGACCCTGAATCGTATAACAATACCAGATGGTTCAATCGTCATGAAGACGGTGGAAGAGCACATGACTCCAACCTGGTTCGACGTACAATGGGTTGCTTCATAGACTGCATCTATACGGTGCTAGAGTCCTGACCGGCACCAGTGCTATTGTGGCCATTAGTCACACCATTCGAGGCGACATTAACGGATTTCTTCTCTCTGAATGGACTAGGAGTGGTTTCAGGGTCGCGAATGTGAAGACCAAGACGTTCGACCTCAATATTGCGATGACCCCAGATGAGAAGAGCACCGAAACCAGCTGTCCACCTCGTCAGCGTATGTTCCAACCTCACCGAAGAAGAATTCTCACGCTTAGCAAGCAAGTCAAGGATACCATAGAAGATAGCCTCTGAGTCGCTCGGAATGACGTTGCCACCTTCACTCAAGCCCCAGGCAATTGGGTACAAACACCACAGGAAGATGGTCCAAACACCGCACATAGTGTAGGTCTTGAGGATATCCGGACCAAGGATGCGAGCGTAGGCACGACCCTCGAAGACCACGGAGTACGCGACGAACAAGAACGCGACGCAACCGAACGTGTAAAATCCTACATAGTTGAGCGCGTTAGAGTCAGATCTTGCTCACTGCCCGGGGAACAACAAGGATTCATCATAGGAACAATATTGGTGAACTTGACTTACCCCACTTGTAGGAGCTCTTGACAAGCGCGCCCACGAGACCAGTAACGATCATGATCTCGTTCATCAGAATGACATAAAGGATGGTAGGCGTTGGGAGACCACAGGTCAACAACAAATCTGTAAGCAGGAGAGGCGTAGTGATGAACCAATCAATGTATCGGACATAGAAGATCTGTCGCATGTTGCCAGCTTCCTTTGGATTGCTGCGCTCGAATTCCACCTGGATGGCGGTCCAGCCAAGATTGGAGCCCATGCAGAAGTACGCAATGGAGGCGACAAGGGTGATGGCGGCTGTGATATAGTGGAATAGCCGTTGCGATCTGGACTTGCGGAAGGATAGGCCCATGAAAACCAAAGTGGTAAAGGCCATCACAGCACAGACGGCAAAATACCAGTCGCTACCACGAACGGTAATGTGGTTATTCGTGGACACCGTGTTGGTGAAGCCATTGGCCTGAAGAGCTTGATTGCCGCCCATGTTGACGGCGGTAGCTAAGGCTATGGCGGGCGGTGACTTGGATTGACTGTCTTTCTTCGACTGATAAGGATGAGTATCCAGGCCGAAATGAAATCGTAGGGCTGGTCTGATATGAGCTCAGATTCGTGGAAACATCATCTGCACACGACGGTGCTTAATCGATAAGGTACTTGTACACGGAGCATGACTGGAGGCACAAAAGGAGGGCATAAGGTGACGTCGTCCTCAAGTCGATGGACGATGCACTCATCATCATAGATGCAACCATACCCGAAAAGCCAGTCTTTCACTCACTTACCTGTGCATCCGCGCAGTGGGTAATGCTGGCAAACAGCAAGGACAAAAAACGGAACTCTCCAATTCCCACGCGCGATTGTTGGTCAGTCACGCGAACAGCTGCTGTTGCCATGATGTTTCGTCGTCTGGTCCATCTGTATGTAAAGTGTTGATGTCACCAGGACGCATGGGCCGGAAACATCCTTGCAGCAGATCATACAAGCATTAAAGCTTGTCCGACTTAGCTTTTCCATGGTATCCGGTTTTCATGAGACGTTGAAAAGGAAGGTTTGAGATGTCATACATTTTTCTTGACTCGGATCTGGTCGGCTCGTGTCAGTCCAAGATGAGCATGATATTCCACAAACCATGTCTGGGATGAGTCCTAGCTTTGCTTTGCTCAGGCGAACGCTCTCATGGAGCAGGCTTCGTCGCTCAATGATTTGAAATTCCGCGAGTCCCACCAGGCCGATACATCGACCCGGAGATTCGTCTTGGGGATCGACAAAGTTCACAGAAAATCTGAAGTCACGACTTTTCGCCAACTCGGGCCGAAGTCGATCTCAACATTTGACTATGTCATGAGAACACTCGCTGGAGAATGGATGCTGGTCAACTTGCCGCTTTGCGATGTGTGGCGTATCTGGACGCCACAGTTGCTATGGGACTCGCAGCATGTGTAAAGTAAAGTGAAAAAGCACAGAGTAATGATTCAATTAAGCAGTAGCGCTGTTCTAGAAGGTCTATGAGTATCCGTTACCACATGCAATGTGCCTAAGCAACCACAACAAGCCAGTACAACAAAGCTGCAAAAAGGATGAGAGCAAATGGCAGCAAATCCAATGGCGGCCTTCCCAACTTGTCGAGGCTGCTAACAATCCTCCTCTTATGGCCGCCTGCAGTCCAAGGCCGTGGCAGCCGTAGATCATCAAGGATTTGTCCCGTGGTGAGTTTGCTGCCCGCGAGCACAATCGGCACGCCAGTCCCAGGGTGTGTGCTTGCACCAACGAAGTACAAATTTGAGATTTCGTCGTGCTTCGTGCGTGGGCGAAAACTGAGAACGTTGAAGAACGAGTGACTCAGTCCTAGTATAGCACCTTTGTCGAGATTGAACTTTTCCTTCCATGTCGCTGGAGTATTGATATCTTCATCGACCACATGTGACGCGATATCGGCACCCGTACGTAGGCGTATAGTTTCGAAGATGGCGTTGCGAGCTCGCGTAACCATGTTCTCCCACTCTTGTGCGTTTTGTGGGTTCAGCCCCCGATCGGCCTGGTTCTCCAGTAGATGACCACAGGGCACTAGCACCACAATAGTGTCCCTACCATTGGGAGCTGCGCTGGGATCCACGCGCGACGGCACGTTGACGTAGAAGGATGGTTCGGTGGGTATCTGTTGGCGCTTGAAGATATCATCAAAGCTTTCCTTGAACTCGTCCGCAAGGAACACATTATGTGTGTGCAGTTCAGGGATGACCTTGTCCATTGACCCTGTCGTCATCAGTAATGTTTTTTAAGGCCGAACAGTCCACTCACAGTAAAACGAAATGCTAGAGCACGACGCGGGCTTCTTAGAAAGCGATACAGCCTTCTTCGAGGAAGGCAACAGCTCGTTATAGGCGTAAACGAGGTCGGAATTGACAAGAACAATGTCGGCGTTGATGATTTCCCCGGAAGCCAGCGTCACACCGGTCGCGCGTCCCGAGTAATTGTCCACGTTGACTTGCCTAACCGAAGTCGAAAGCCTGTACTCAACGCCCAGGCGTTCACCCACTTTGGTCAATGCTTCAAGGACTTTTTGAAAACCACCCCTCGGATACCTATTGAGGACAGTCAGATGGGTTTGTCGCAAAACCGGGCTCAATCTTACCAAATACCCTCGGCCAATTCCGTATACTGTAGCAAACTGTACGTTCCGGGTGCTTCGAAAGGACTCATGCCCATATACATGCTGCCGAACGTGAAAGCCCGTCGCAATCGTTCCGTCATGAAGTATTTCGATGCACGGCGCCATATGCTTTCAAACGGGTGCAATGCTAAGAGGTATGGCAGGAAACTCGGCCTCCCCAGTGCCCAATAGGATGTAAAGTTCTTCTTCAGCACGTGGACGATGCTTGCCTCGTAGTGAGTGTGAGCCTCCTGCATCCATGCGAGATATCTCGCAAAGCCATCCTTCCCTTCCCAGCGTTCTATTGTCTTCTTCATTCTGGCCACGTCGGTGGAAAGTTCAACGCATTCGCCATCTCCGAACCAGACGTTGTAGTTGGGCTCGCATTTTAGCAGTTCGATACCTTCGGCTTCCAGCGACGTGTCGAGATCGGTAAAGACTTCTTGGAAGAGGTCGGGGAGGAGAAGCAGCGAAGGTCCTTGATCGAATCGATGTCCACCTCTGTGTATTAAGCTGCAACGTCCGCCGGTGAAATCATTCTTCTCAATAACCGTGACGCGAAAGCCGGCCTTTGCAAGGCGCGCCGCACTTGCGATGCCTCCAGCACCTGCGCCTGCGCTTCCGTCAGTCTCTGCAACCCAAAGCTTGCCCCAGACGAGGGCTTATTGACTTACCAACAATCACGGCACTCCTAGGCTTGTTCATATCTTTGGTAGACCTTTCCTGAATGCTGAATCCCAGTAAATGGGCAGAGAGTCGAGAAAATCACATGGCTGATACTTTTTTGGTCCGATGCAAAAGTCCATGACACCATCACTTTTCTTAGCGGTTAGTGGCATCCTGCCTGACATCGGCTTCGGCCAAACCAGAGCCTTGGGACGTATGTCGATGCAGGAACACATCAATATTGACAAACACCATGGCTACAATATTCTGGAAGAGGTCGGCAAGAGATCACTTTTTGTGAGCAAGAAATCCTTTCTCGCCGGCTTTTGAGATCACAAGTGATCAACCTCCCCCGCATGACGACGGCAGGCTGTGAGGGGATCGATCGGCTAAAAGGGGTGCCCTGCCGTTCCCTGCCGACAATACTTCAGGAACACCAATAAGGGTAGTCTATCTATCAATAAGTGCATCAGGCTGATCCTCTCCATCCCGCCATCGTCTTCCATCCTACCCAGATTCTCCTGCTCTTGGGCACGCTTGCCCGGCCACTCTTACCACCACCAACAAAGTCCAGAGCTTTGCCTTGTTGCATGCGCTCCCGCATGACTCTCCCTATCTCCATGTAGCTTTCCACTGCGACACGAATGCCGCTGCGGGCGTACAGGGGAAGATCCTCGATAGCATCCCTATTTTCGGCATACATCTTGAATGAGATCTCGAGTATTCTTTTGCGATGGCGCAGGATCTCCTTCTCCTCGGCCTCTGGTGAAGAGAGGGCCGACTGGTGAAACCATTCTTTCGGGATGTAGCATCTTCCGACTCTTGCGTCTGTGTTGACATCGCGCACGATGTTGATGTACTGTAATGCTCGTCCCATTTCTGCGCCAGCCGTGAGACATTTTCGTTTTGTGTCTGCGCTCGCAGCCTGGTCGGGATCGTGTTGATAGATAAGACAAAGGCACAACTCTCCAATCGTGGCCGCTACGCACGATGCATATCGCTCGAGATCGGCAAACGTCTTGATAGGTGGATTTTCGTTCGAACCTTCGCTGAAGAATCGTTGATCTATCCGGAAGCCGTCCAAGAGCGAGTAAAGAGGCGCTGACTTCAGTTTATCTGATGGTAGCAGCACGAGGATCGAACGTGCTTCTGCCGGAAATGGGGCTAGAGCCTGGTCGACGTTTTCTCGATCGCACTTGGAAGAGAAGACCGTGTCTAGAAAATGGGAAAAGTGCTTCACCCACATATCAGCTTCTTTCGCGGATGGCGCATCGTCGATAAGATCATCTGCCACTCTGCAGAAAGCGTAGAGCAGAATGAGATCGATCCTCAAGCGGCCTGAAAAGACACCAGATGCGAGATAGAATGACCGACTCTTCTTTGCAAGTACTGTTAATGCAGTGTTTAGGCCGGCTAAGCGCGCACTGTCATACTTGGCAGTCGACATGAACAAACCTTTAAGAAGCAGTATTGGCGAAGGCATCCCTGGGACAACGGGAAAGTGTGCTGGGAAGGCGTCGAGAATTGCCATGGCGTTGTCGAAGGCCGTTGATCCCCACACAATCAGCATGTTGGTAATGAGAAAGAACACGGCCTCTTCAATCTCAAGATGCGGCCATACATGGATTCCGAGTTTGGTTCCCAACTCGATGCTCCATGTACCCCGATGTAGAGCGATCGTGTCGACAATCCAGAGATAGAGTGTTGGCGCAGCAATTGGTAACAGTGTTGTGGTCCACGGTAACGTAAGAAGCAGCTGGTATGCGAATATCCACAGCATCAGCAGCACAGGCGAAGCCCAGGCAATGATAAGCCTCATATATGTTCCTTGAGCATGGCCACCTCCAAAGAATAGCGGCACCACAGAACATAAGGTGAAAATGACTTGGCCCGCATACTTCCAAGGTCGAAGCGATCTGCCAACCGCATCTTGAGGGTCGGCCTCATTATGTAGGTATGTTGCCGTGACCACTGATTTACTAAGCAGGATTTGCAAACAAGTGGTCTGAGTAGAATTAGAGATCATATGAGCTGGAAGAGAGCAATGTCACCTACAATGTATGTCTGAATCACGAAGAAGAAAACTTCTTCTGCAGGGATGTCGAGAAGAGTCGGCCCTATAATGACATCTGGCGGGTATGCTTTGGAAGATCAGCAGGCTGAAAAGCAGATATGCGCACAGGTACCATACACCAAACTTTGGTCCTGATTAGGTAGGAGTCCCTGCAAATGGGTCAACACCTCATACGGTCAAAAATGATTAGTCAAGCATACCATGGGATAGTGTATGAGACGGCAATCAACTGCAAGAAGCAGATCTTGTATACATCCCGTCGAGTCAACAAAGGACCCAATATTATAGATAAGGCTATTGCCCAAGGGATGGTGAAGACGACATGGCTATATTCCAAGAACGTCAATATCTGCGAAATAACGGCCTCTGCAAAGACGGGGGAGACACATACACAAGCGCATAGTCGTACATCAGGTCAACAAGGTTGGGAATCTTTTTCCGTCAAGATATCCCGTTGCATTCACAGACAGACGAATCAACAAATGCATGTGCTAGGGGCCATAGTAATGTGAAACGAACGATCCAAGAGCTACGAGACCGCGAAGACGCAAAAGAACGTTGCCGTGTGCTTGCAGGGAAAAGTGCTTGCAGGGAAAATATGCCATGGAAAGAAAGGATGGTTGAGTGTAGGTAAGGAATTATCCGATGCTTCCCAGAGTCAATGACGCGCTGAAGATCTCAACAGATCAAGCCACAAGGAATTGATTAATTGAGATCCGACGAGGCTGGGAAAGAATGATCCTGTTAAAAGCGGCCAGAGAGTCATCTCGGTCGACCTTCTTTTTTTGGCCTCTATCGTTTCCACCAGCAAAAGTGACGACATTGCAAGTTCGTCTGTGTCGTCGTTTTCTCCTCATTGATTGAAACGACATCATGGCATGGCAAACTCTTGGGCTCCCCCCTAAAGCCTAAAAATGTTGGTGTCATGGGCTACATCATGCAGTCTCCATCATGTGTTAACGCTTTCATACCTATGTCCGCGGCTATGTGAGTTTGTTTTGCCTCTGCAACAGTCTGATACTATAGTTTGAATGCATGCTTGACCTCTAGCACTCCCGAGAACCCGAACGTCGGCAAGCTATCCCGTCTCTGACCTTGCCGTGCCATGGTCCCAGGCCACGAGTTCTGTCCCTTTTGTTGAATATATGGCTATGGCTACCCCGAATCTTGCTTGAAGACGTCTGGACCTTGATGTGGGTACTCCCTGCGTTACAACGGGGAATTGAAATCAAGCGAGTCGTCCGATGCTTGTGAACAGCCGGTCATAACCAGCTCACCAGAGATGAAGCCCATTTCTAATGCTCGAGAGGGCGAAACAAGCCATCCACATCCATACCTCAGCGGCAACTTCGCACCCGTACACAAGACTATTCCCCTAACACCGTGCACATACTCGGGGACAATACCAGAAGAGCTGATTGGCGGTGAATACATAAGGAATGGAGGCAATCCGGTATCGAACGAGGACTTGGGGAGAGATGCACACTGGTTTGACGGTGATGGCATGCTCAGTGGCGTTGCGTTCACGCGGACCGCTCATGGTGTACAACCCGAATTCGTCAACCAGTACATCTTAACGGACGTCTTTCTTTCGACAGTGACATCGAAACACCTGCGCACTCCGATATTGCCCAGTATAGCAACATTGGTCAATCCTCTATCTTCCCTATACAAAATTATTCTCCTCGTTTTCCGCACGATTTTCCTCGTCATCTTGTCACGACTACCAGGTTCAGTACAATCCATCAAGAAAATCAGTGTTGCAAACACAGGAATAGTGTTTCATGACGGAAGAGCACTCGCAACCTGCGAATCTGGACCACCCATGCGCGTAGCGCTTCCAGGATTGGAGACTGTAGGCTGGTACAACGGTAAACGAGCCGAAGGCGAGCTAGGAGGTGAGCAAGGCTCAGGATTTGGTGGAAACGGGCTCATCGGATTTATGAAAGAGTGGACGACAGCGCATCCTCGAATCGATCCGAAAACGGGAGAGCTGGTACTCTTCCATTCGACATTCGCACCTCCGTATGTACACTACTCGATTGTTCCGGCTACTCACCCACCTGCCGTGCCGTCCACACCACTCAACAGACCGACAAGGCTGCTCAACGCTCCCATCCCAGGCATATCATCTGCCAAAATGATGCATGACTTTGGTGTGTCTCTGAACCATACTGTTATCATGGATCTGCCCCTGTCGCTCGATCCGCTGAATCTGGCCAAGAACAAGCCCGTGGTGGCTTATGACCCTACTTCCAAATCTCGCTTCGGCGTCTTTCCACGACACTGGCCACAACAAACTCAGTGGTTCGAAACCAAGGCTTGCTGCATCTTCCATACTGCCAACACCTGGGACGATCAGGTGATGGATAAGAAGTCTGGCCAGCTAAAAACCACGAACGTCAACATGTTGGCGTGTCGATTGACGTCCGCTTCCGTCGTTTTCAATGCCGGCAACATTGCTGCACCGCAGCCAATTTCGATTGACAGAACAGACGAAGAGGATCAATGCCGTTTGTACTACTATCAATTCCGCATGGACGATCCGAAGGTACACCGCATCAACTACCAATTTGCCCTAAGTTCGATTCCTTTCGAATTTCCGAGCGTTCGGGAGGACAGAGCAATGAGTGAGGCCAAATACATCTACGGGTGTTCTACCTCAGAAGGCTCATTCAGCGCTGCTCTTGGAAGAGTAGCCAAAATTGACTGCCTCGTTAAGATGGACGTTGAGACACTGATCAAGCGTGGGCAAAAAGATCCTTCACTACTACCAATCACTGGATGTGTGGATAACCGTTCCATTCAAGAGATTTGTGGATGCAGCACTAGCGAAGATCCGATTAGCATCTTCACTCTGCCTCCTGGATGGTTTGCCCAGGAGCCACGCTTCGTCGCTCGTCGCGACGGAACGCATGAAGATGACGGTTGGTTGTTGACATATGTATTCGACGAGTCTCAGCTCGATGCAAATGGTGAATGCCGCCCCGATGCCGTGAGCGAGCTTTGGATCATCGATGCCAGGGACATGAAGACCATCGTCGCTCGAATCCATTTGATCCAACGAGTGAGCTATGGTCTCCATGGCGGTTTCTTCAGTGAGGCCCAAATTGAGTCTCAACGACCGGTAGAGACGATTCGCGGTATGAAAGAGGTTACTCGGATGAAGCAACAGGAAAATTGGTGGCTAAGCATCAGAGACCATCTAGAGAAATTTCTAGGATGATTTTTGGAGAAATTTATGATACCCAAATGTGTACTTTATCCTACATGGCGCGGCGTTGTTTGAGCTTGGAATCTGTGAGAATATATAATATGCTGGGTACTGCATAGTGATGGTCTTATAGAGGCCCTTCCCATATAATGATAATCAGCTTGGAGCTTATGTGATGTTCGAACGTTCTGTACTATTGGTACTGTTGTTTGTTACGCTGGGAAGGTGTAATGCAATTCTCCGCATGTTCGAATTCCCGCTCCGCAGCCGCGAATTCTATTGCGATCTTAAAGCTGGCCAAACAATTTATCATCAACTTTCATCATCTTCAGCACCAACAAAATGCCTGCTCAGACACCTTTCCTCGGCCAGGCCTTGAGGCGCCTTGCTTCCCGATCTCTTCCCACGAAGTCCAAACCTAGGCAGGCATACAGTACGACGCCGTCGAGTACGCCCTTGACGGCAGCATGCAATCGACGGCAGCCTCTGTCATCACAATGCCTAAAGCTGCGCCAATTCTCATCCTCAAGCCCCAGGCTGCGCGCCGGAGACAAAATGTACCATCGCACAGGCGTACGTATTTTCATCCGCGGTATGTTGGATCCGCCCTCTCTGACTTGTGAGGTAGCCATTCTCATTCAGATCAGCGGCCCTTTTCGTCGGTGTCGGCGCAGCAATGGTGTTCTATTTCCAATATGAGAAAGCCCGACTAGAGCGAAAGAGAATCGTCGAGATGAGCAAAGGTTACGGAAAGCCCAAAGTTGGTGGGCCATTTACACTCAAAGACCTGGATGGAAAAGAGTTCACGGAGCAGGATCTGCTTGGAAAATATTCAATGGTATGCCTTTTGCCATCGAGCATTGAGACGGCCACTTACAATATTTAGATCTATTTCGGATTCAGCCATTGTCCTGACATATGTCCGGATGAACTTGACAAGATGGGAGAAGCTATTGACATCCTGCAAGAAAGAGCGCCAAACGTCCTACGGCCGATTTTCATCTCCTGCGATCCGAATCGTGACACCCCAGACGTCCTGAGAGCCTACTTGTCCGAGTTCCACCCTGCCATACAAGGTCTTTCGGGCACTTGGGAGCAAACCAAAAATGTGTGCAAGCAGTACCGAGTATACTTTTCCACTCCCCCAGAATTGAAACCCGGCGAAGAGGACTACTTGGTCGACCACAGTATATATTTCTATGTCATGGACCCGGAGGGCGACTTTGTCGAGTGCATTGGCAGACAAGACACTCCAGAAAGTGCGGCCGCGATCGTTCTTCAACATATCAGAGACTGGAAGAAGGAGGGCAAGCCGATTGATCCGACACCACTGCCCTACGTTCAGGCGAAGCTGGCTGCACCGGCTGCGAAGTAATTACTGCCATCGGAGGGCATGGAATCAACACATACCTCAGCCGCCAACAACACTCAACGGATGAGCGCAAATGACAACCTGTTTGATTGAGAGCCTTCAGCGGCAGGCCACGAAAGGAGAGCCACCAGTAGGCCACATGACTACGAAGCATGGCGATAATGCATTTTCTGGGATCAGTTATATACTCCACTTCTGAGCACTTGTACGTTTTAGACATCAGTGAAGGTCCAACATGTACAAATCGGAACAAACAATCTAGGGCAACAGGGTCTAGCTTGGATCTTGCCCTTGCATCTCCAGATCACGCCGTCTCGCATCTTGCATATTACCACGATCCAATCCTGTTGCTTCCCAGCCACTTCAATTAGACTGTTGATCCAGGAAAATCTGCAATAGGAAGGTTTGTTGCCTTAAGGAGGGTAACGGATATGCAGGGGAGCAATTAGACGGACAAGTCGTGCATCAAGCCTGGTACGAGTGGAAAGATGCGAAAAAACCATGAAGCGGTGAGGATGGAACGTGGCACCAGTTGGGGAGGAGGAAGACGTCTTTTTGGGCGAATTTGGACATTTTTATGAGAGGGTCAACCTACACAAAATAATGGGGGATGTTGAGATCTGGTAGCGAATAAGAAGCGCAGGGTCTATATCCGTACACCTGGGTTTGATAAACACAGAATGTAAAGGTCCCTGGCGCCGTACACAAGGACCTCGGCCAGGACCCTTGGATCACGCTGGAGTGAGAATTCTCGGTTCATCTGATCAGCAAATGACTTGTTGTGTGTCTAATTGAACACCTCATCTTGTGTATGAGATGGGCATTGTAAAGACCACAAATGAGTGTGCTCAAAATGACGTACTGTTTTCGCGGGGTTCCTTTTTTAACTGCTGCAGGTGCAATTCGATGTTTTGACGGTAAGATAATCTCTCCAGTGGTTTGCCAAAAACTCTTTGCATCTCGACTAGCTACCCATATCGATCTGTCCTCTATCTACGCACGCTGATGGGATCGTGTCGTCCTCGTGAAAGGCAAAGCACAGGGTTCATCACGACCTTCTGTTGACGCAACACAAGAGTTTTGACTCATTGACCGGATTCCCAGGACAATCGAGAGCGGCAGCCCTGATATTCACCAAATGTCCACGAACGGCGTCACTTCTGACGCCAGTGGCAACCATGTCTCCCAAAAGACATCTGTACCGTCCAGCAACTCGTCCGTCCTTGATCCGGCGAACTTCCCACAGACTCTGACATCTCCCACCATCTTTGTTGCCCTCACCTATGATCCTCTCGATACTGCAGCATACTTGCGCTTCACACGCTCACCTCTCGCGGGTGCCAATGTGCTTTTCTTAGGCACCACCCGCAACAATTTTGACTCTCGACCAGTATCACGACTGTCCTATTCTGCTTATCCTTCACTCGCCTTGAAGTCATTGTACGCAATCGCAGAAGATGTCCATAAGAAACACGAGTTGCAGAAGGTCGTCATTGTCCATCGCTTGGGGGAGGTCAAGATTGAAGAAGAGAGCATTGCCGTTGCGGTGAGTAGCGGTCATCGAGCGAGTGGCTGGAAGGGAGCCGAAGAGATACTGGAGAGGGTCAAAGCAAGAGCTGAAATCTGGAAAAGAGAATGGTTTGCAGACACCGGAGAGGTACAAGAGGGTGTCTGGCGTGCCAACAAGGATCGAGACGCCCAGGGCAACATCATACAAACGACATGACGAAGCAAGTCTCGTCGTCAGCACCGGTGGGCATTTGTGGAACAGCCTTATCATTTTGACATGTCCGCTGCGTGCGACGCAATCAGCAAAACTTGACGTGGTCTCGAATCTGCTCGGATAACTTTGCAAAGCATGGGATTCTTGAAAGGTCGTGAAACCATCGAAACCACGGCACTCTCACCGAGAGCTTTACCTTGTTCTGGTACCTGAGGAGGACAAGCCGCCCACTTCGTGCGAAGCCAGGCAAAATCAGGCGAAGCCAGCATCCCTGATAGTCGCCGTTATCAAGCATTTGGCTTCCAAGTTCTGGACATACCTAGGCATGGTCTGCATGGAGTTCTTCGAGCATGTGAATGGAGACGGTGTCGATGCTCCACCAAAACGGCAGGAGAATCCATGCGAGATGCAGCTTACGAAGCTATCTAATCAGATATCTTCTCTGCTGTTTGGCCTGTACGACAGACCAGGTTTTTGCTTCTCCAAGCCCGGCGCTAATGCAGTTGACCCGAGCCATCAAGCTTCCAACGCCTGGGTCAAACCGTCAAGGGTAAGAAATTTGGCAGTACCTCTTAGTATGAAGCCGCTTGCACCGAGGGCATAAAGAAGTGGCTGGGCCGGTAGTTGCGGCGGCAATGGAGGAAGATCGTTGACCCATCGAGGACGGCAAGTTTGACAACATCTCACCAGGAGTCCAGGACTTTGCATTTTTGAGTATGGAGTATAGCTCCGAAACGATGAGGTGACAATGACTGGTGAATCATGCCCCTAGGAAATCCTACAACGCTGATACGAGGTTGAAGAGCCACTATCGATTTCTTGACTCAGATTTGGCCTTCTTGGAGAATGCGGGGTGTCAAGACTTTCTCAATCTACTCGAATGCCTTTCAGCAAATATTATTGTTGCACCTTCTTGATCGAGAGGTGCAGGGCAACATTCTTGCGGAAAAGTCTGTGGAAGCTCAAAGCTTCCCATTATTGACGGCAAGGCTGGTACGCATCCGGCGCCTGTGAGCAATCAACAAGAGGTGAAAACGCCGACTTCATGCATGGTTACGTACTTCTTGCGCCCCAGGTCTGCTGTCGCTTTGGTACCCACCAAGCCACCAAAAGTATCTCTTGCGGGTGCATTTGTTCGAAAACAGTCCTCAAATCGTGGTTACGGACCATGTTGTTGAGTGACATCTCTATGATGGTGGACAGCCTTTCCGCGAATGGAACACCTTCATTTTCGCGAGAAGAGCACAAGCATATGGCGCAGCGATGTACATATACAGGCAAATGATCGCGTCATAAGACGGGAAGCATCTCGCCCTAGAGCTGTTTTGAAGTCCACCATTTGCGACCATGACTGAAATACAGCCTAGGCATGCATCAAGAGGCGGAATTCGGCACATGATCGAGCTGAACGATTGGGGTCTACAGCCTCTAGCTCCATATTGCACGGAGAGGTCTTGTGACTTGGACGCCTCAGCCATCACAATCCAGATGAAGCCAATATTACAACATTTGCCCGACGAGCGCACTGTTCAGTCAGGCATACCCAAAGAGATGTGCAACGCGAACATCATTCTGGAGAACGATGGTGAGATGCAGAGCTTTGCAAGACTCCAGCAGCCACCCCCGTAGTGGCCTGGTCAATATTGGATGCTCACGATGCACGACATCGGTGGTCGGTATTCGGAACGATTGCCTGGTGTTAGATTTTGGCAAGGTTCTTTTTATAGCGATTGTCATGGCTTGGCAGTTCTGCATACCCGTTCAATAGCGATGCGACGATGCATACTACTAGCGGGAATCCGGAGTACTGCTTGTCATCGACATGCGGTCGACACGACCCTCAGCTGGCAATAGAGTTTTTGTCCGCTCGTAACAGATATGTATCATGATTCATGTCTCGTGTCAGGAATCGGAGCGGTGGTTTTGCCTCGCCGACAGCACACGATTAGGTCGCAAGGCTCGCAAGCATGCTTAAGGGTGCGTGCTGAGTACTCTTCGCTTGCAGTATTACAAGCCTCAAAAGACCCACCGAATGGACACCGAGGCGGACTTTCGCTGCCCACCGGGGGGAGATGGTGGGCATACCACGTTTCGCTGATAAAGGGTGCCACAGGCTATCGTCATCTTACCTGTGCACTACTACGAGTCTGTCTTTTGCACGCGACTGTGGCACTCAGACTCGCAAGCTGGTGGACCCGTCGGGCATGAATGCTCGTGTGCCATATCGGGAGGTATTCACGGCATCATCTGCATGAAATGGACAACTAATACGGAGACCATTGAAAGCGGTCTGACTGAAAGAGGCAACGAACACGTATGGCATGGCTCGAGTTTATACTATAGTACATCAACGCTATCCGTAGCGAAGATCGTCAAGTGCCAGATCCGATGGTGCTTGTCCTGTGGTCTTGCGATTTGGACCGTATCCCCCGGAAGGAAAGGCCTAGTGACTACATTGTATACTTTTGTCGCAGGTTTATTCCGACACAGCCAGCAGACACATGGGATCTACCAACTAGAATGCTTTTTCTGGCCTGCAAAGGTCAGCGCACTGTGCCTGTTTCAAATGTGAAGGTTGATGGGGCATCAGCCACTAGAAGATAGGCGACAGGCCGTGTCAGATAGCGAAGAACAGGAGGGACGAGGCAAAGAGCACAATATTCTTTTGACTCCTATCTTTTGCCTCTTCAACAATCTCGTCTTTAAAACAGCCGAACGATCCCCAAGAGAAGGATTCGAATCGACAGAGTGCAATCAGAGACAAATCTCCCTCCAAGGCTGAATCAGTGGTGAACAACGCGATGCTTACGGATTGTCACTGGTCAGGGGGTCTCGCCAAGAAAGCGACCAGAGATTAGAGGGAGCAAAGAGAGGAGTTTCCCCCAGTATGACTAGGATGAGGCTCAAATTGGATCTACGCAAACCTCAGATCGATCACCCGTGGGGCATAGGGTTCTTTTTCGAATATTCTCCAAGGGTTCCTCTGTTTGTTGTTGTTTACCGATCGCACATTGGCCATGAGCACGAAAGGTTTGTCGGTCAGATGAGTTCCCGTGCTGGAAATGCTTGAGCACCAAAGTTGCAGCTGTGTTGCTGTCTGTCTGCAGTTACCAGAGGCAATAGTCAAGGCCTAAGCATGAACTAACAGGTGCTGGACACTACAGGGATTGGCTGCATAAGGAGGTCCCTAGGCTGGTTAGAGCAACAGAGGCGTCACTAGCTCGGTGGTCGGACGATCAAGGCCGTAGAGGAGCGGCCGGGAGGGGACCATCTCTTGGTCCTTGGAAATTGCGGCGCAAGGGGGAGGCTAGGAAGTAGGGCAGAACTACGGAGGTGACCTCAAAATTAGCAACAAATCGTATGGGGGTGGCCTGAACTCCGATCCAAAAGCATCAATATCAACCAATAAGGCCTCCGGGTGCCTGGTAAAGGATCCCGCTAAGGCTGTCTACAACACTTGCACATGAAAACATGGTGCTGTTTTCCTCTCCACTGCTCGGCGAACACCATGAAAATGTTTCCCTGGGGTTTGGGCCTTTTAAGGCTTGCTGCTTTGATGACGGAATTGTTCGCGGAATTGAACAATTGTGCTTTGAAATGAGGCTCCATGGTCCCTTCTGCCCCCAAGGCAGCGACGTGATCCTTGCGAGGAGGACCCAGAGGATCAAAAAGAATGCTCTACTACTGTAGGTCCGTATTATGGCTGTCATACATGCATTCTAGGGCATTATCGATATCCGGGTCTAACCAGAATTGCCATCCTTTCGCCTTAACTTACAGTACAAACGACCAAATAATGAGTTCATGACTATGTCTTTTGACGCCCATTCTATCGCGTGCACAGTCCCCGTGTGGCATTTTTAGCGGCAAAATTGTTAGAGACCATACGATTGCTCAGGTGTTTCTCGTAGTTGCAGTACGAGTATTACAATAGTTGATTTTTCTCTCGCGTTAGGCGTAACAATGGTCGCGAGCTGCAGTGTCATCGTCTCTCACGTATTCTCCGGACAATCGGTGGCCTTGCTCTGGCCTGGCGTCTCTATCATCCGAGCACCGACGGCGGCGAAGTTCTTTGCTATGGAGCATTGTTCACTTGAATTAAGCCCAAGCCCCTAAGCCCCTAAGCCCGCAAAGGCGTCCCTTGCCCCCCCCTCTTTTCTAAACTCGGGCCTGAAAGTGAAAGTGAAAGCTCGTCACCCAAAGGCTTGTATCGTCTATTCCCGGAACAGACTAACCTCCCCATCTCAAGGCCCGCCGCCCGACCAGCGACCTGCCGCCGTACCCAGCACCTCTCAGCCCGTCTCTCGTCTCCTCTCCATCCCCCAATCCTCGTCATCTCGCTCATCTCGCGGATCTTTTCTTGTATCTGTTGTCTCTCTTTTCCACACTCGCTCCATTCCATCCTCCTTTTCTGCTTGTACACAAGCCCTTCGACCCAGACACTCGCTCAACTCCCCTGCTTTGCTTATCCACCGATTGCCCGTCGTCCGCTTGTGTTCGGACCCGGTTCTTTTGTTGTAATATCCTCTCGCTGAGCCCCCGTCAAACCATTCATCCCCTTTACCACGCTTGTCATATACCAACCACACTGGCGGCTCCAAGTTCTTGGGACAGCTGGGAAGTCGCAAGCGGCTACGACTCCCACTCACGTTCCCCCTCTCTAGCCCAACAACAACATCAACGTCGACCTTCTCGACCGAACGCCGTAGCTGTCTACCCACCTAACAGCAGAAACAACAACAACGACAACCTCAACGCCGCCGCCGCCGCCGCCACGAACATGGAGGACGACACGCGGAGCAACAGTGGTCAGACACTGCGGCCTTTTTCCCAACCTACCATAAACTCGAGGTTCCCTTCGTTACGACGCCTCAACTCGACCGAACCCTATCGACATCGTTCGTTACCTGCCGAACCTTCACCTGGCTCCGACCGCGCCAGCAGTGAGATTACCTTCGCTGTCCTTTATGATGATGGCCCTGACTATCATGTCGGCCACTATGATGAGGAGGGATCGATGCGGTCGGCTCAAAACACACGCGACTCCATGAACTCCTTTGCTCCATCTTTCCGTACACGCGACTCCAGAATTGTTAGTGACGACCACTACCTTGACCGAAACCCAGACTTTGTGGCCAACCAGAGACTACTGGCAGAAGGCTACCTTAACAATAATGACTCCTTATACGACCAATCTGTGCCTCGATATCCCACACAATCAGAAGAGACCTTGGCAATGAATGCTCTACATAATACATATGGTCGGGATGAAAAGGGACCACTTTCACAACAAATGACTCCGCCTATGGACCGTGCTCAGAGCAAACATTCACATGAATCTTGGTGCACATGTGACGAGGATCATGGCCATGGTATGGCCGACAGGAAAGATCCTTCCAAGTTCGATCTGGAAGCTCAGAATGGTCCTCCAACTCCTACAGCCTTCCTGCCCAAGGAAAAGGGCGGCAAAGGGCCTGGAGGTCCGGGAGGACCAGGAGGACCACCAGGCTCAATGCCCAAAGGCCCCTACGATGTATGTCCCCTACGAGCCCTTGAGAAATTGCATTGCGTTGCTAACCCTTTGAAAGGTCACATTCAACGGTCCCGACGATCCTCTCGACCCCAAGAACTGGGCTCCCAAACAGAAGTGGGCCGTCGTTGCACTCACCGCGTCATTCACATTCCTCTCCCCCTTGGCTTCATCCATGGTGGCTCCAGCTCTTCCTCAGATCGCTAAGGACTTTCACATCACCAACAGCATTGAACAACAAATCGTCCTGTCCATCTTCGTGTTGGCCTATGCGATTGGTCCCATGATCCTCGGTCCTCTATCCGAACTCTATGGACGTGTCATTGTCCTCCAATCCTCCAATGTCGTCTTCCTCGCCTTCAACACAGCATGTGGGTTTGCTACGTCCAAGCAAGAACTCATGGCTTTCCGTTTCTTATCCGGTCTCGGTGGTTCCGCTCCACTCGCAATTGGTGGTGGTGTGCTAGGTGATCTCTTCAAGCCTGAAGAGCGTGGCAAGGCAATGGGTCTATACGCATTGGGTCCTTTGCTTGGCCCTGCCGTTGGTCCCATAGTTGGGGCCTGGGTCGCTGAGAAATCGACCTGGAGATGGATGTTCTGGGCTACCTCAATAGTCAACCTGTTCATCCTCTTCGGTGGTGTCTGGAAACTCCGAGAGACCTATGCACCTTATATCCTGCACAAGAAAGCCAAGATGATCCGCAAACAGACTGGCGATGACCGATACAGGGCACAGGACGAAGGCGCTGTTGATCAGCCCGTATGGAAGAAGGTTGTCACGACAATGGGTCGCTCGTTCGGCATGCTCTTCACCCAGCCTATTGTCCAGGTCTTGGCTCTCTATATGGCGTTCTCCTACGGCATTCTTTACCTGGCCCTATCTACCTTCTTCGAGCTTTATAAGACCGTCTATGGTGAGAGCACTGGCATCGCCGGTCTCAACTACCTGTCTCTTGGTCTGGGCTTCTTCATCGGCGCCCCTCTTTGCGGCAAATCTGGCGACAAGATCTATGCAAAGCTCAAGGCCAGATCTCATGACGGAAAAGGTAAACCAGAGTTCCGTATGCCACTGGTGATACCTTTCTCGCTCTTTGTCCCGGCGGGACTTCTGGTCTATGGATGGTCCGCTCAGGCACGGACTCACTGGATCGTCCCTAACATCGGAGCCTTCCTTTTCGGCATCGGTACGATCGCCGCCTTCCAATGCGTTACCACCTATCTAGTCGATACCTACGCCCGACTTGCTGCCTCTGCAGTAGCCGCAGTCACCATTCTCCGGTCTCTGGCTGGTTTCGGCTTTCCTCTCTTCGCACCTGCCATGTACAAAGCTCTCCACTATGGCTGGGGTAATACTGTACTGGCCATCGCTGCCATTGGTATCGGTACTCCAGTGCCAATTCTGCTGTGGATCTTCGGTGAGAAGCTGAGGAAGAGAAGCAGTCTCGCATTCAAGGGTCCTCCTCCCGGAATGAAGGGTCCTCCAGGAATGGGCGGTCCTCCAGGGAAAGGCCCTGGTGGTCCTGGCGGTCCTGGTGCCAAAGGACCAGGTGGTCCAGGTGGCGCAGGTATGGGTCCAGGAGGTGTTCCAACGGGTCCTCCACCGCCATTCCCCGGACACAAAGGCCCGGGCGGTCCTCACTAATTTATATCGTTACCAAAAAAACGCTCCGACTGTTACGACCAAAATGGCAAAATGCATTATTCTAATATAATCACTGAACCTCATCATATCTTTGTATCTATGCCGCCATTTGGAAGTTGTTTACTATGTCAACTATGGGATGAGCGGGATCGGCGTTTTCAGGGCGGCATTCACAAGCAGAGTGAAATCAAATTTACGCGCAAGAGCGCCAGGGCGTGTCAGCATACATTTTCTATGTCTTATTCTTATCGAATCGACCAGGGTTGATCTGGGGAAGAGAGGAGAAGAGGGAGTACGGGGATAGGAAGGGGGATGGGATGGCAATGGACATGAAAGATGAAGAGACGGACACCATTATTAACATGATTCATATTCTTATCTTTTCAGCCTTTCATGTTTAGGGAGAAGGAACCCATGAGTCGCTTCCAAAAAGTTGAACATGCTGCTTTTTGTGATCTGTGCCTGTTCAATCTTGTGTGAGGTTCGTACCGACGCCTTGAGAAGCGACGTCTGCCTGGCATGCACATGCGCCTACTCAACAGTATCACGTTAGTCATACCACTGTCATGCTATCTACCCACAGATAGGCACGAACAAGGTCCTAATGGTTTGCGAAGATATCAGCGCCCATTGGAGGTGGTCTCAAGCAGCTTAGCAATTTGGGGGCAACAATGCGGAGGTTTACTACGATAGTAGTGTAAGGCGTCCTCGGAGGCCCATGTATGTTCTCGCTTACCATTCGGGCATTTGCTCTTCTTGTAGGTGCCAAGTCGCGGTGTGCCCCGGTTGTGCCCGGTTGCATAATGATGGGTTTGTCCGTACAGTACGGAGTGCTCAGAGATAGACAGGGGAGTGTAGAGTACAGATTGTTGCAGGTGGCCTGACATGTAGGCACAGTAAGGCTGACTCGGTGACCGTGTCGATGTGACCACTGGGACGCGTGATGAGCGTGCATAGGACTCCGTACAAATTGTTCGTATTAGGCCCTGTGCACAAGCGTACTTTACGGAGACTGGAGTAGTCCCCGGCCCTCTAGGCTGCCCAGTCGAGCGACGAAATGGGAGGATGATAATCATGCGATCCTGGTGCAAAAGTGGAAGAAACGCCCACCTAGGCCTGCCTGTGCCTGTGCCTGCCTGCAGCGCGTGACGGTACGTGGGTGGAGCGGAAGTGCATTCTCTGGGCGTGGGTTATGGGTTGCTGGGGGCCGGGTTCGGCTGTGGTGATGACCTACTGTAGTCTGTAGCTTAGACTTTTAAGCCAGCAGTTTGAGATAAAGACAGTTATGTTTGGGGTTGGGGCGGGTTACAAACATACCCTGGTAGGAAAGCGGAATGAATGGGGATCTGAGCACGAAGGCGCAAAGACAAGGTGAGGTGATGAGACGGAGACGCTCATGGTGAATACGAATACAGTTGTCATGACTCATGGATAATGAAATCATCATGTTGAGCATAGCAGGTGCCGAATACGAAAACGTGTGATAGAGTTTTGCACACAATACTACAACGTATGAGGGTGGCCGGAAGGCTGGGGGAAAGATGCATGGCTTTCGTCAAACGGGTTGATATTTGATCGACATCAGCAGTACGGAATTGAGAAGGGTTGTATCTGATTTTTTCAGAGTTTAATGTTTGGAGGGAGGTTGGCAATACGATCTTGTCGATTAGCTGGAGCCGTAAGAATAGGGGATGATAGCCTTGTCCGGTTGAAGTGCGGTCGGTGCACATGAAGTAGCAGATTATCAGATAAACATTTGGCAATGGTATAGTATCTCTGTGTTTTCTTATAACCTAAGCATCTCATCAGATGTTCGAGACTACAATCCCTAAATACTTTCGCCCTAACGCCTTAGAATGTGAAACCCATAGCAGTAGTGCCACTCAGTATCCCGTACGCCTTCAGAGATTCAAAACAACACCTTGACTCCCATTCGGTCTGGTTTTCCCTCGGATGAAGCTGTTCCCAACGTGCGGGTGTAGAACCATACAGCCGCCAAACACCGACAACCTACATAGACAAGAGATAAATATCGACAAGATTTGAATCGGAAAGGTTAGGGAGCGTCCCTGCCTGCGTGAATAGGAGACCTGACATCGCTTGCTGACTCCACTCGATGCCAATATCAGCACCTTTCCAGTCCTTAAGCTTTAGCTAGGTCCGATCACCGACACCGACGGTACAGGTAGAGTGCTTGGTTGTGTCCGGTTTTCGGGACTCGGGATTGAATCGAGGTTGGCCTTCTCAGCTTGCTTGGAAGTCGACGTAGGGGAAATGCCAGCTTCCTCGTCAACGTTCATCGAGTTCATTTCCGTCACTTGCTCCTGGCCGGTTGCATGAGTGCTCTCGTCTTCGTCGGCAGAAGTCTTCCTGCCTGTCATTCTCTGCATAGTACGCTTGGAGAAGCGAGTGATGGCACGGAACATGCTTGCCACAGGGTGCAAGATGATATGCAGGAGCTTCCACACCGGTCGAAGAGCCACGGCCAGTGCATGTGTGACGCCGTAGAACACCACCGCGAACCATGCATCAGGCAGACATCTCACCAAAACACCCCAGAGCAAGCATGGCAGTGCTGTCAGCAGTGATATTGCCCACTGAACCCCGTTTAGACGCGTGATGGAAAAGGCCTGACCTCCGACGAATATGATCATGATTTGACCGGCGATCATGATACAGTTGATGCCAATAAACCAGAAGTTACGGTGAATTCCCTCAAACACGTTAAATTTGTTATCCAGTCGACGATTGTTGAGTTCGTTGAAGATCTGCATCCACACAAACGAGTTGAAGACAATGGTGTTGAGTTCGGTGCGCTGGTGCATTTCGTAGCTGAAGATCGACATGCCGGCAAAGTACAGGATAAGCGTCACCACAAGTTGGTAAATGGCTTGTCCGATGATCATCTTCCACATATTGACAGTGATGAGTGGCTCTGACTTGGGTTGCGGAGGGCGATCGAGGATTGCCTTGGTGGGTGCGTCGGTCGCCAATGCCAACGCAGCGAGCGTGTCCATGATGAGGTTGACCCAAAGAAGTTGCACTGCTGTTAGAACAGAGTGATTGGAGTCGTTGGATACGGCGGATACGAAGGTCAGAATCACGGCCGTTATGTTCACAGTGATCTGAAACTGCAGGAACTTCTTGACCGCATCATTGACAGCCCGTCCCCACATCAGAGCGGTGATAGTCGAGGAAAAATTGTCGTCGAGGAGTATGATGGAGGATGCTTCCTTTGCAACTTCTGTGCCGGCGATGCCCATGCTGAAGCCGACGTCGGCCATCTTCAGAGCTGGACCATCGTTCGTGCCGTCGCCAGTCACTGCGACCGTCTCACCCAGGCTTTTCAGTCTTTCGACAAGAATGCGCTTGTCTTCTGGTGATGATCGTGCTAGAACACGTAACTTCGGAAGGATCTTGTCCATCTCCGTGTCAGAAAGCTGACGAAATTTCGGCCCTTCCATAACTATGCTCTCCTCGTCCTTGCGAAGGATACCACATTCTCTGGCAATAGCGCGAGCTGTGCTGATGTTGTCGCCGGTGACCATACGGACCACAACGCCAGAGTGCTGACACTGAGCCACAGCCTCGACGACACCTTCTCTGAGCGGATCGTGAATACCCACGACACCGATCCAGATCATGTCATGGAAAATGTCTTCGAAGTCAGCCATCTTAGGATCGTCTTCGAGAGTTTTGGCGTCGGAAGGCGGCCATTGAGGAAAATCTTTGTACAGCATGCCGATTGTACGGAGGGAATGCTGTGCGTAGTCGTCAATGGTTGCTGAGATGGTTTCTCTGTCTTCGGCGGTCAAGTCAGTCACCTCAGAGTCGTTGTCGTAGATGTTGGATATAGCTTTCGTTGCACTGCCCAGCATGAGCTCTGCAGCGCCCTTGACAAATAGTCGGTACCCGCCGTTGTACTTGATTACAACGCCCATACATTTTCGACCCGAGTCGAAGGGTATAAGCTGCTTGACTTGATGATTTGACCGTTCCATAGCCAGATCATCAAGACCCAAATGTTCCTTGGCAAGCAAGAGCATTGCTACTTCCGTCTTCGAACCGATGAAACTTGGAACATCGTTTTCTTCACCCTCAAAAGCCGTGCTGTTGAGTGTGATCGATAGTCGAAGGAGTTCTTTCACCTCTGGACTGACTTTGCGCAGCATCGCAACAGGTTGAATGGCTTCTGATGTTCCATCCGCGCGCGAGGATGCAAATCCGTCCCTTGTCCCAAGTGTACCTGCGACCACAGTCATTTTGTTTTGAGTCAGTGTGCCAGTCTTGTCAGAGCAGATGGTCGTGGCGTTTCCCATAGTCTCACAAGCGCGAAGAACCCTGACAAGATTATTCTCCTTGAGCATTCTTGTTGTAGCAAATGCCAACGCCAAGGTTACTGCCAGTGGTAAACCTTCAGGGACGGCGACGACAATCACAGTGATTGCCACAATCAAGATGTCCAGGAATTCCTGAGCCTTCTCCGGGGCGCTCCGCGTGTCAGCCGAGAGATGCGCAAGAAACTTGATCAGAAGAACGAAGAACAGAAGTCCAGCAGCTGACGAACCGAGACCTCCGATCCAATTTGCGAGCTTGCTGAGCTTGACCTGTAAAGGAGTGGGCGAATTCTCGGTCTGCAGACTCATCATGATCTTGCCGTAGGAGCTGTTTTTGCCAACACTTGTCACGAGGTATGTGCCGACGCCCTCGAGAACTTTGGCGCCGCTGATGATGAAAGGATCCAATTTTGCTGTTGCTGTTCCATCCTGAATACGTTGCCAGACTTCCTGGCCGGGTGCCTTCTTCATTTGGTCAGATTCGCCAGTCGCAGAGGATTCATCACATTTGATGCCATGACCAGAAATGAAAATGCCATCGGCCGGCACTGCGTCACCAGGCTCGAGATGGAGAACATCTCCCACCGTGATATCGTAGACAGAAACCTGGATGGATTTGCCTGAACGAATGACCTTGACCTCACGATCATCTTTGCGCTTGTTGAGCCTCACAAATTGGCGCTCTTTTTGCCAGTCATTCGCCGCACCGACAATGACTACAATGAGGATTGCCACGCAAATGGCGACGCCTTCAATCCAGTCCACACCAAGATCACCGGAGACTGTTTCATAGATGCCGAGTGCCAGTGATATCACGGCAGCAAGCGTAAGGAGAATTAGGATTTTATCATTGTACGCTCTCCAAATCAACAGCAGTATTCCGTCGGGTTTTCGTTCGGGAAGTCTGTTGTCGCCGTACACCCTGAAGCGGTCCTGGAACTGGTCGGTACCAACCATCGATTCGGCTATCGGCTCGGCTGGATTTAGTGGTAAATCTGAGAGCATTTTTTCATCGCTGATCGATGCTGCTTCTTCGAATGGGACTTGTCCGTCAAGACGAGTCTCGTCAATTGACAGGCCCGCTGTTAGACTGGTGCGCAAACCTCTCTCAAGACCTTTGATTCCTCCAAGCGCTTTGTATGCAGATAATGATTTGGGATTAAGAAGCTTATTCAGCTGACCAGGAGTGTAGGCAAAAGGATTATTCTGGACTTCAAAATCCTGTTCATTGCCCTTGTCCGGTCGGAGGGCGTCTTCTGGCTTTTCATATTCCAAACTGGATCTGGAGTAAAAGGTTACAGAAGAGGTCGCGGATATCGCCGAATCTGATCGATATCGAGTCGATGCTTCACCAGACTGTACAGAGCCTGACCGTGAGTTCAGCGTTGATCCGTCATATCCAGCTCCTTGTATGGGCGTCGTAGGTGATAAGTATGAGGTTTCGTCAGGACGCGACTGAGGCGTCATTGACATGCTAGATTCTCGTCTGTGAGATAAAGGCTGACTCGTCGGTGATATCGCGTCTTCTCCTGATATACCCTATAATCATAGAATTAGTCGATCAAGTTTGGTAAATAGGGATAAACAACACCCACCGAAGTATCTATGGTAATTTTCGGCGCAGCAACTTTCTGGGTCGCCATGATTGTCCGGTTCGAAGTTGAACCCTGACGACAGATGTCTGAAGTTGTCGATCTGATGGTGATTGCTCTTCAGCCTTATTGACACCGAGGCTCACCAGCTTTTCGTTGATAATACTCGATGTAAGGCAACCTGTGAAACATAAACAGGAAAAAAGGGCGATAATCTGATTCCAGCAAGAGATAATGTCCCTGGTATCTGCCTTTGTGCCCATCGGCAGTTGCTATGAACCGGAGCCCTGGCATCGTGTGGTGTTGAATTATTGCTAAGAGGGAGGCTGTGCACGTTAGTTGCAGCTGGGCAAAACTGCCACACGCAGAAGAATGGGTAACACATGTGCTTGCACCCCAGTTTTTCTCATGTTTGAGTAGGCGCCCAAGATGAATGATCTGGCAGTCAGTCCTGTGGGGTGCTTCGTATACTTTACAACATTCTGGGCCGCATCCTTCATATGGCTGATCAAGTCCATCGAGAAGAAACCCCTAACTTACATGTGTTTGGGGACAACCAACCCCCAACTTACGTCTTACCCAGTTACACTGACAGATGATATGACTCGAAGATCGCTTCATCCGTCACCAAAAGGCCTGCGAGTACCAAAGCCATGGGTATTGATTCATGCTTCGAAAGCGAACCGTTCAAGCGCGATGACTTTTCTCTGGTGACGGCGAAACTCTAGGATTGTTGAGAACGAGGCTTGGCCGAACGTCATGTTGGTCTTGGACTTCTTGTGTTCCTTCATGCCCAGCACCGGGGATGGATATTGATTGGGTTCCATCATCTTGGCGAGCTGGAAAGGGGCAGAACTGTCAGTCTGTTGGATGAGATTCGGGCAAATTCATGCCCAGCCTTCGCCAAGATCCGATAAACCACAATATAATGACGATCACGTGCCTCTTATCGCCACCAATTGTGGCGGAGCATTACAGATATCTGGGCGAGGCACACTCTACGCGTTCCAAACATCAACGAGGCAATGATCATGATTGGTCTTAGATTCAAGCTGAGTCGGTTGAGGCAGAGGCAAAGTCAATCAGTTGAGTCTGAACTACAGCAAACATCAGGCTGTGCATATAACACTGCCCAGCAGGCAACTCAAGAAACCACTACGTGACGCTAACCGCGATCTCTCATGACAAAACAACAACGTCAGTATCACCGCCATTGAAAAGGAGGAATGCCCATCTTGGTGAGTTTCTCCGCTGTGGACCGACACCATGCCAGTTCCGTCGAAACATTCATCAAGTGTTCAATTTGTGTCTGTGCGAAAAACTCCCATGCAGTCTCCAGTGGCCAGAGGGTGACTATCCGTCCGGTAAATTTCATGTCGCCAGTGTGAAAGAACTCCAGACATTGGCATGCAACCCTCGACCACCGGAGTGCCTCCAACACAGCCGACTCAGGATATACATCTGCCGATGGATCACGAGATAGAATGTCCTTCGAGATTCTTGCGATCAGGGCAGCAACATGTATCCGTACAGCCGCATAGATCGAAAAGGCAATAGCGGTCGACAGCAGCTCAAATTCGAAACAATAGTCAGCTAAACCTTCCCAACTTGCCGATCTCTCTTGGTATATTACGCCTTGATGCTCCGAGCGCAGTTTGAATTCCCACTCGTCCAGCTCTTCGACCGTGGCCCAGGCCTCTTGCAGTCGTTCCTCGAGCGAGGACAGCTTCCACTTTTTGGGCATGTCTTGCTTGACAATTTCTGGCAAGATCTTGAGAGCGATGTCCAGCACCGAATGGAGGGGGTGTTGGGCGAGTTCGAGATCCTTCTTCCAGGGAAAGTCGATCCATTCTGGGCTTGACAGGAATGCTCTTTGCCTATGCATGAAGAGAAAGGGTGCCTGCATGGCGCGGTATCCGTAAAAGTGTTCCTGCGCCGATTGCGTGTTGAGGGCTTCGACGCCGCCGGAGAAGATGAGAGCACCCACCCCGAAGAGGTGCCTGTTGAAGTTGTCCCACGACTGGTTCGCGATGAGCTCTGACATGGCGCAGGTGAGGGCTGTCAGGGACAGCATGGTGGCACATATGGTTCTATCCCCTTCTGCATATCTCGATAACGCGAGTCGCAGTTTCTGCAATGCTCGAGTCTGCACGTATGCAGCGTGAAGAGTCATGTCTTCATCGTTTCGGTCTCTGCCAATGATGGCCAAAGATGCTGCGAGGAGGGCTTCCATCAGCACCTTTGTCTCTGGTCTTCCCATCTCGAGCGTTGCCGACGTGATCCATGTTGAGCAGCATATTGAGAACCTCTTCTTGGGTTCGTACTGGATTCGTTCCAAATTTGTCTGGGACGGAAGATATTTGTCTTGGAGGGCATTGATTAGTGCGTCTAGATAAGTTGTTCCGACAATTTTGGCACCGAACTCGGAAGGAATTGCCCACAGCCAGGGCTCCGTCTCTTCGGATGTGACAAAGGGCTCCCGTGAAATGGGTTCGAGCGACAGGAAAGTGGAAGATGTGTCTGCCTCTTGTTGATCGTCTTCGGCCTCTGACACAGCCTTATGAGGTGAATGGCCTTTGCTACTATTCGACCGGGGACTTTCCGCCTGGCCTGCAAGCTTCTTCTCTTTTTGCCGCCTCCTGAACGCCTGCACGTTGGCACGCACCTTTGCACGTCGGGCCTCTGCCCTTTCTTCCTCGGTGCCTGGTATGCGAGGCCTGCCGATCGGCATTATGACAACTGGACAAGACCCCGCAAAATCGATTGCCACAAAGATGTCGTCTGCAAGGTGTCTGCAGTATGAAACACGTTGTCTCAGTAAGTCTAGGAATCGAAAAGGAAGGGGCTCTTGATAATGAAAGACTCCTTGGTGCCGCAATTCAAGCGCTTGAGGACTATTCTAGCTATTGCACAGCACCGATTCGAAGGGGCTACAACTCTAAGAGCGAGAAACTTGCAATCACCTGGCTAATGATCCAGACTCAGGAGGCTCAGGAAGATCCACCACACCAGGGCTGGACAATTAGGTAAGATGCTCCTTGCCCGGGGTGTCCTCGGTACTATGATTATCGCCCCAGATATCGTGAGAGTGTCAGCATGCAGCAGAACGCGCTTTCCTGCTCATGGAAATGTTCGTCAGGTATGTGGCCCTGAGCAGTAGTCGCTTTTCGTACAACGAAGCGGGTCAGACCATTACCCACCGGTCAAACGAGGCTTCGTTATCTGGCGACATGCTATCCTCCTTCTGGCAAGCGAACCTGGGTGGTTATTGGTCTTGTTGACACGCAAGGTAGATCGCTCCTCGGATAGCCTCGCCATTGGAGGACGTTGGAGGGTCATGGGTATAGTACGCTATACTCAAGGTCGGATTCGGCAACACGAGGCTCGGGAATCGCTTGGTCCTACTGGGCCACGGTTCATCACATCGGCAGAGCCGTGATCTTTTCGGATGAGTAATTTTTTACGAATCACCGAGGACATTTCTTCCATTTGGTGATGCATGTTTCCAGAAATACATGTTCTTAGAAAGCAGACCAGATATACCTTGCACATACCATGTAATGCACATATTATGCCTAGATTCCCCTGTCCCCAGCCCTATGTCCTATTCTGCGATATCCACTGCCAGGAGTTGATATAGCATGCCCATGATGTTCTTTCAAATTCCGTTTCAAAGTCCGTCATCTTTATCAAGATATTTGCATTTAGTCGAACTTAGAAATCATGCTTCGGCTCTCCCTGTCAATCGCTATCGGGGTCGCTGGGCTGAAAGCAGTCGGGGGTTTATTACTCGTCCATCACAACCCGTGGGGGCCACTCAAGTCGGGATTTTCACACATTCTATCCTCGTGTCTACATGTCATGCGCGTGTTGGGGTTCGTCATCTGACTCACGAAGCAAATTCTGTCCTCATACGGACGTACTTTGGGGATGCTTGGACGCGAGCTGGGCATAAACGTCATTGCGCAAGACTAGCTTACGTTCTGGAAGAGCTGATGGAACGTTCCCTTACCGCGCTGGTCAGCAGCATCATCATGATATGCAACTCAGCCGTGTCTGCTCGTGCCGAGTAATTCGGTCTACGGTGCTTGTCAAATGCAAAGCGCCTTCTAGTCACGGCTGATGGCCCTCATGTTCCGTACGCGGACCATCATCGGAGTCGCACCACGTTGACGCTAATAGCATATGGGTTTTCGATGCTTCGAGACTGTCGCCATCTCCTTGGAAGGGTGTTTAAAGCTGCCTGTCAACGCACCCCTACGTGGGCAGCACAGGCTAGCACCCAATCATGCCGTCAGCTAACGAGACTATATGTTACTAAGCACTGTTGCACGATATCATTGGGAAGCATATCCCTTCCTTGTCATCTAGAGGACATATCGTCACAAAGTTCGTTACCTGGCACTGACGGTGCACCCCTCAAATGACAGTACAGACTGCCACCCATGACGATCGGCACGACGTTGGTGGTATAAGCTTCACCCTGGCCATTGATACTGGGGGCGCGACATCTTTGGATACAAGGAGAAGAGGACCACAGCTGGAGTGAGGGTTGTTTCGACCCAATAATCAAAGATTTGACCACAGGAAAATGCAAGGTAAAGGTCTCTTTCAGACTTTGGGGTAGATATCATATGGAGAAACGACTCGGTGCTTGCTCCGGCGTCAATAGCCGACTATGGGGCGCTACGTGGGCGCTGCACGGGCAGGTATCCTTCCCTTTGCCGCCTATTCCCCAAAGCCCAGGCGGGCAGTCCTCCGGCGAATGAAAAGAATCAACTTCTCCGCTTCAACGGCTATTTCAACTATGGATTACTTAATTGCTTAATTAGCCGCATTGCTTCATAGTTGGGGTTTGCATCGTCACGGCTCTCTTTCCTCAACGTCACGAAGACTAAAACAGTCTGTTGCGGCCTTTCTCTGATAACAGCCAATATCAGATTGAGATTCTGACGACGACCGACTCAAATTGTAACCCGGCCAAGTAGATTCTTAAAGCGGACGACAGTTTATCCAGACAACATGGCGCCTCCGGCGGTCTTGATGGTAGGTACGGGCGAATACACCACAGGCTTTGTATCAGGCGCAGCTTCAACGTCGGACAAGAAAGTAGGCGTCGTCGGGCTGACTCGTAAGTGTCCCGCGTTCCAAGCCTCAACGCAAAAAAACTGCACACCACCCAATCTCAGCACAGTGGGCGACTAACGAGAACAACAGTCTTCGATTTACGTCGGCGAGGAAAAGTTTCAGACCTATCCATGGCAGGTGTATCGGGCCAAAAGTTCCCTGCCATCAGACAGCACTTGCAGAAGAACATCTCAGAAGCCTACAACGGGCTAGACGTGTCGTTCAAGTCATTCCCCTCAGACGACAAATCCGACCCCGAAGCATACAAAGCAGCCATTGACGCTCTGCCCAAAGGTTCCGCCGTGACCATTTTCACACCGGACTCAACGCACTACGACATAGCCAAATACGCCATCGAGCACGGCAACCACGTCCTCATCACCAAACCCGCGACCAAACTGCTCTCGCACCATCTCGAGCTCGTCTCTCTGTCCCAGAAACACAATGTCTTCGTGTACATCGAGCACCACAAACGTTTCGACCCAGCGTATGCGGACGCCAAGTTCCGGTCCCGCAACCTCGGCGACTTCAACTACTTCTACAGCTACATGTCGCAGCCCAAGTCGCAGCTAGCCACGTTCAAGGCCTGGGCAGGCAAGGAGTCGGATATCTCGTACTACTTGAACTCGCACCACGTGGACGTTTGCGAGTGGATGGTCAGGGACGCAGGATGGCGTCCCGCAAGCGTGAGGGCAAGCGCGAGTCTTGGTATTTCGGAGGAAGTGGGATGCGTCAAAGGCACCGAAGACACCATCACGTTGCTGGTCGATTGGGTGCGGAGCAGCGACGAGAAGCGCGCCACGGGAATTTACACGGCTAGCTGGACCGCGCCGATGAACGCGGGAGTGCACTCGCAGCAGCATTTCCACTATGTCGCGTCCCAAGGTGAAGTCAATGTCAATCAAGCGAAGCGCGGGTATGATGTCGTCGATGAGAACGATCATTCTGGTAGTTCGCTGAAATGGTATAATCCATTTTACATGCGATATGCGCCTGATGAGGAAGGGAACTTCAATGGACAGAGCGGGTATGGCTATGTGAGCTTCGAGAAGTTTATTGATGGCGTGACGGCGGTGAATGAGGGCCGGCTCAGTCTCGAGGACTTGGATAAGAGGGGCTTGCCTACGTTGAAGAACACGGTCATGACGACGGCGATCCTTGAGGCAGGTAGGATAAGTCTAGATGAGGCTTATAGGTCGGTTCAGATCCTGGGCAAGGGAGACAAGATCGAGTTGATATAGGCATTGGTAAAATTGGAGCGTGGGCAAAAACTTGAGGACGATCAACATAAAAAACAAAAACTTTGCCCCAAGCTCCTGGACCCGGTAGTCAGGAGGTTGTAGGTAAGTGAAACCAGCCATACTGGTTTTTTCCGTTAGGGAGAGGAGGAACGAACGAACCCTGGTGAGTCTAGGGCAACCGAAGTCGAATGAAATACTTTCACAGTTAAGGCTAAAGTATATGTCATCGGTTGTAAACCACTCGGCCACGAGAGTACCTTTTGGCACCTCGTCTAGCTTCATTGTAAGTTGTGGCAGAAATTCCAATTTTGCAATATATCAAGGACAATTAATCGTGAATGTGAAGACTGCTTGGCGTAGAGGAGAGTCTCTACACGTGCTTGTACCTCACCACCGCTACGAGACAATGTTGTTCCCATTAAGACGTCACGGCATGTCCCAAGTATTCATACATCCAGGCGCCAGCCTGTGGTCTGGGGCCATCATTGCATCGCACCAGGGGTGATTGCAACCGAACCCGAGTAAGTCATGTTGACCGAATCAATCTGACAGCTTCATTTCAGCGACTCAGCGTTGCCGTCCCTGCTACCACCACTTATCACTCTGACAAGGCGCCGGGCGACACTCCCCCGTCGTTCGCGCTCAGCCTTCCTTTGCTCCTTCTCCTCAGCCTTTCGCTGTTTCCTCTCTTCGTTGGTCTCGGGTTTCATATCAGGCCAATTGGTGGTCTGAGGGCTTCCGGTCTGCATGGGACCTCCCCAGGCCAGACTCTTCATACCCATACCGGTCCTGACGTCGGGTAACGTGCCGTCGGTGCCTGGCTGGACGTACATCTTGGCTTGTGCGAATTCTCTCAGAGCAGCCAACTCTTCTTGGCTGCTGGCGAAGGTATGCGAAGCCTTATATGGTGGCAATCGGTCTCCTCTGGGATCTGCGCGGTCTGAATATGCCGGTGGCGAAGCCATGCTGGCTGTCGTTTCTTGTTGATTGTTGGCCTGTTGGAACGTTGAGTGGTGAGGGTGTTCAGTAAAGCGCTCTTAGTCCTGTTGATGACTTCAATACAGTAGCGTGCAATCGGAAGTACTTCACCACAGGACGATGGATCCGTGCCTCATCGATATCGCCCGACAATGATCGTTCGATATTGACCTGATGTCAAGCGCCGTTGTCGTCATGTCACATGGTTGATACGAGGCCTTTCGTTGGCCAGCAATGCAAGGCACAACATCTTTGGAGCTAACCGCTTCCGCAGGTTGTGAGATACCAGCAACCTTCACCTGCCTACCTATATGAGTCGAGATGCACGATGCTTTGTTGACGCGTTCTTCCATCGAGAAGCAGAATCACATATCGACACTCTAAGTCTGTCAGGAAACGACGTGAATATGGTGGGCTTACTCATTCGCAACGCGATCTTGAACCATGGCTCGGAAACTCTCAAATTTTTCCTCCGTGTCGCAAGCAGCACGTTATCGCGTGCATGCACATATTATCAGGCAACTGACGATACATTTGCCTTTGCGCAGATACTAGACAAGTGAGATCACACATGAGAGTTTGTGTATGAAGCATCTCTGTCGGTTGGGTCAAAAATGAGGTGAGGTCGAGCTTTTTGAGGCAGCTGTGGGCCTGCATGCTCTTGCTTATTATGCTTGGTCGGCAGGTTGAGATGATGCCTATGGAGACACGATTCCTGGGCGTTGCAGCGCCTAGGGCACCTAGTCGTATGCGAAACTTTGGGCTTTCTCGGCGTATATCTGGCGCCTTGGCAGGCACCACCTGAATAAGCCCACACCTCAAACAGCTTCTCTTTCTCTTTCCATGCACCATATCTCTTCATCGCAGCATCCACACCCACAGATACCTGTTATCCCTCTGATGATGACGAGCATGCAACTTCAGGCCGCCGCTGACATGGTGGTTGAGAGCATGTGAAACCGCTTACCTGAGTCCGATCGACTCTGTCATCTCAACCTACCATGGAAACAACCGTCCCATGATGCTCACACTCACCAGGCTGGCCTGCTCATTGTCAATTGTCCTCTTTGCAGATTTCATGCAGACTCCAGCCTTCCACATATATTTCGTCAATTTTATGTTTGAAGATTCTAGATGAACGGACCAGCAAGAGGACCCAGCCTATTTATCTGTGGCGCATTGATCTCTGGCGGTGTCTGGGGAACAATAGCCACAGTTCCACCGCCCGCCCGGGCCCTACGGCAACGTCGATCACCAACCTCCTCGTTGCTGCAACTACTGCTTGTCTCTGTATGCATCTCATTGTTTCAAGGCCAAGCGCATTGACTTTAGAGGCCTTCTATCGACTATTGACGTCAGTGGTCATTGCGCAAGGCTCTCCAAAGGAATATTGTCACTAATCGACAACAGCCAACCTCTTCTTTACAACAAAAACCTTCCAGAAGGACTTTGAGGCCTATAGCTGTGGATCAGTGACTGATCCATTAGCTTGTCCGAACCACGAGTTTGCGGAGGTTAATGACATTATGCTTTCATGCATCAATATACTGAACTGCCGCCACCCAGTTTCAATCCAAATATGGCATCCCCAACAGTAGTCTCTGCTGCAAGCAATACTGCTGTGCCACTGCAACTTTCCGACATCCTGCCACGATCAAGTCTTAGCTGGAGAGCTGCAGCAAGGCAAGGAGGGATCTATTGACTCGTCCTATTGAATAGTATCATGACCCCCAACCTCGCTCACACGACACTGCGTTCTTTGTATGCAAGTCTTCCATTATATCATGCCTCATGCCATCCTGATATATGTGAGTAACCTTGGTCGCTGTTTGACTACCTTCACTTTCACATGTGCTTACTGGTAACCATGGGTCTCTCACGCTTCATTCATGTTCTGTCGTTCTTGTCGCTTGCTATACTCACATATGCCTCCCCATTATCAATACCTACGAAAAGATTTAACACCTCTAGTACTGTCCAATTCGAAGTCACACTGACATGGGAGGACTACTCACCGAATGGAGGAACACCACGCAAGATGATCCTCACTAATGGGACATTTCCTGGTCCTCCGTTAAAGGCGCAGGTTGGCGACTGTGTCGAGTTCCTCGTCCACAATCAGCTTCCAGATGAAACGACAATCCATTTCCACGGTATTGTCCAGCAGGGAACACCATGGTCAGATGGCGTACCAGGATTATCGCAACGACCTATCGCTCCCAACTCTTCTTTCCTCTACAAATGGACCGCCGATGCGTCCGGATCATACTTTTACCACGCCCATTACCGTTCGCAAATCATGGACGGCCTATACGGTGCCATTATAATCTCAGACAACGAGGCCTCGAAGCCATTTTCGCTCATCAGCAACGATTCGTCAGCGATCGCAGCAATGGAAGCCGCAGAGAAAGACCAGCAGACCGTATTCGTCGCAGATTACTACAAGTACACCTCGCAAGAATTACATGAGCAAGAAAAGGCCGCCAACATCGACTTCGCTTGTGCCGACTCGATCCTCTTGAACGGAATGGGTGCTCAATGGTGTCTGAGTCGGGATGAAATCACAGCCTACACCAGCCCCATAGTCCAAGGCATTCTGTCCTCGGCGAGTCCACCACAACTCACCAACAAGGGCTGTCTGCCTCCAAACCTGGCAGCCATCCAGGGCAATTTCACATTCGACACAGCCGCTCTCCCATCAAATGCGTACGAAGAATGCACAGCATCCTTCGGGTCAATGGCCACCTTTGAAGTGGATCAAGCCAAGGGATACGCCGCCTTCACCTTCATCAACCCAGGCGGCTTCGAACTCCTCAAGTTCACAATCGACGGGCACAAAATGTGGGTCTACGCCGTCGACGGCGGGTACATCACGCCCCAACTCGTCGACCAAGTCGTGATCAACAATGGCGACCGCTACTCCGTTCTCATCCCTCTCGACCAAACGCCCGCACAGTACGCGCTCCGCGTCGCGAACGACGGCTTCAACCAGATCATCAGTGGCTTCGGGATCCTCAATTACACCGGCTCAACCGGTCCCGCGAACGCCGACCCCAACGCCCTATCAGCCATGAACTTCGCCGGCACGAATCTGACCGACATCACCATATTCGACGACGACCGGGCAGCGCCGTACCCACCGTCCGCGCCCGCCCCCGAAGCGGACGTCACATACGCATTCAACATCAAGAAAATGGGTCAACCGTACGGCGCGTACCAATGGACGCTTGGCGGTCTCGAGGCGTTCAACATGAGCATGGAAGATTCCACACCCTTACTCTCCGAGAACCCCGCATCGATAGACGAAAGCGACCTCATTTACAAAACTACAATGGGCCAATGGGTCGATCTGATCGTCCAGACTGATGGGCCTTTAGCCCAACCGCACCCGCTGCACAAACACAGCAACAAAGCGTACGTGCTAGGCCGGGGCGTTGGACCATGGACATGGAGTTCTGTCAGTGAAGCCGCGATCGAATTGCCAGAGGGGACATTCAATCTTGTGAATCCACCACTACGCGATGGTGTAAGTACAACCCTCTTACTCCTCCCTCACTCGAACCACATACTAACATATGGTTACAGTACACAACAACTCCCATCCAAGGAAACAGCACATGGCTCGCCCTGCGCTACCAAGTCGTCAACCCTGGAGCCTTCCTGTTTCATTGCCATATCCAGACACACATGTCCGGCGGTATGGCTGTCGTTCTGCTCGATGGCGTGGATGCCTGGCCTACGATGCCCGTCGAATATACATCCGGCAACAACGGCACGTTACCTTCGCCACCTCCTGCGCTGCAGAAGAAGGTCAGGATGCGGGCTAGGAATTGAGTGAGCGGTTTTCTTCACAGCAGCTTAGGTCAGGCCAGGTCGGGTCTGGTCAGGGGCTATTCTTCATTCTTCACAGCCTCTTGGGCTCTCTTGATTTCTCTTTCGGCGGTTGTTCACAAAAAGCATTGTGTTTCATGAGCGAGCATGGAAGGATTCGTTGGATTCCTATTTCATTCAAGATTATCATAATCCATTTCTTCAGACCATGGTACCGCTCAACGGTACCAACATGGCCTCTCAGATAATGGTTGCGCGTGTAGACGCAAACATAATGACAATCAGAGGAGCTTTATTGTGTCAATATCCAGTCTACCACTTACTGATAAGGCGGGATACACATCCTTTTCCACATACTCGATTCTACCCACCTACGCCAGCCCAAGCTTTTCTCCAGAAACACCTATGCTGGGAAAGACGCATCGATGCACAGCTCTTTCATATTGATATCTACCTCAGACAGTTCCTACACGCCATTGCCACACGTGCAGCCAAAATGATGGCCTGGTAGGAGATTGCATATGCCACTGTTCCTTGAAATAGCAAACTGCGTCCCTACTTCGTAGCATCTCCAGTCAACTTCCGTTGCTCCTAAACACACATAATAGACCCCTAATCCGCCAACCTGCGGTAGCAGATGCTGTCATAGCTTACTACCACGTAAGCACCCACAGAAACCCCTTCCCCGTCGTCCACATCTTATGCAGTCGTTGTGCGCTCAAGTGCTACGCGGCTTCGGAATATGATATGCTTCTGTGTGTTTCGCCTAGGAATTGAATTAGCAAGCTGCTCACGTAGTTCAATGGCGTGGAACGTCTTACGATTTGGTCCTTGATGATCTTCTTGCTCCTCTTGATCCATGTTTTCTCAGAGAAGAAACCAGCAGGTAAGCCTGCCTTCGCGGCTGCAGCAGTTCGAACCCGATTGAACGCCAGAGTATTCGCATCGCGATGGAGGGAGTCGGTCACCTCAGCGCGTAGACATACCTCCGCATTGTCGGCATTGACCGTCACTGGCGGCTCAGTGGGCACAGGAGGACCGCCCTTTGCGGCAGGGGCATTGCCATCGTTGATGCTGACGTCGGCTTCCGCCAAGATGGAGGTCGCTGTCGCTGTTCTTGGCCTGGAAGGACCCGCGACCATTCCACGAGCAGGACCATTGCCTCTGGGGTTGGAGCCGGGAAGATTGAATGGGCGGATGATGTTGTCGCCAACAAATCCTCCAACGCCAGCGGCTACAGCCTCACCCGATGCCATGATACTCCTGCCGCCATCAAAGGCCACTCGGGATCTGATCTTTGCTTTGACGTACGCCGATCCCAAGCGGCGGACAGCACCATTGTCGACATCCAGGGACGCCGTAGGACAAAACACCAAAGCATGACCAGTCTGCAGACCCACAATAGTCTGGAAGAGTTCCTCACCGTCATGGTCATTACTGAGGCTTGCCCCTGCAAGGTGCTCCTTCAAGACCTTGAACCATGCCGGGGAGTTGAATCGATGAACAATGGACACATTGCACAAGTCCATGAGTGACGGAGCAAGAGTAGGCTCTTGGGTTGCGACAATCACACGACTGGCCAGATGGCGTTGTTGACGGATGATGGAGACCAGCTGCTCAGTGAGCTTCTCTGCCTCACCAGACTTTGTCAAAAACTGCGATTTGTTAGCAAGAACGTACATATTCCGGGGAGGAATGTCGCCGACCTTGTGTGCCTCATCTAGGGCAATGACTCGACCACAATCCCCGCGGTTTTCCATGAATAACGACAGACAGATAGTGAACAAAGCACAGGCGTCGTTTTCGTTAACAAAGGGGCAGCTGAGGTCGACAATCGTCAGTGTGCCTTGTGTCGACGTGAAGATCCCATCCAACAAATTCTGGGCTTCCGCCGACTGGTCCGGGTCTGCAAGGAATGACTCGAGGAGCTGAAGCCGTAGTCCGAGTGGTCCAAGTTGGTCGCCTTTGAATCCTTGTGCTCCCAGACGTGCCTTGAATGCCCGGTAGTCTATACCCGAGCTGCCATTGTTCTCCATAGCCATGTCACGAAGTACCTGATACAGCACTTCCATGTACAATGGTGTGTGCCCCTTGTCGTTCATGGCCATCAATGTCATAATGCGAGTGACATCGAGTTGCTGCTGCTGTATCCGAAGTGGAACGACCTTGGGTTTTGGAACGTCGTCAGGCAAACCTGGAAGGTTCGAATACAACTTGTGCATGGCGTGGAAGTTGCTTGGTGAGACCAAGACACGAACCGGAATGCCAGCTGAGCAGAGATATGCTGCTTCGCAAAGTTGCGTGCATGCATTGCCGCTGAAACTGTCGTAATGAAAGACGAGTCCAGCCAGTGGTTTTGGATTGACAGCTGCAGGTGACTCAGACATGAGACAATTCTCGAGCAGGCATGTCAATGAATGACTTTTCCCAGCACCCTGCGAGCCACATATAAATGCTGACCAAGGAGCATTTATGTTGGAGAACACGAGATTTTCGGTAGTCGGTATTGGTGGCACAGAGAGTGCGTTCGAACGCGAGTATGTCTCAATACGGCCCCCTAGAAGTCCATATTGAGGGAAAATCCCAGCTTCATCCTGACCTGTGAAATCCCCAATCTTTCCATGCCGTACATCCTTTAGCACTTGACCGGAAAACAATGGTGTCGTCTTGAGTTCTTCCAATGTTGTTCCTGCGGTGCCTAGCGGGCCGGGGTTTGTGTGGCTGGTCTGCTGCAGATTTCCCATAGGACCGTGGACTAGGCGGAGATAGCCTTGATCCTTGTTTAGCTCCTCTTGTCCCGGTCTGACGTCGTCCATGCGAGCGGATGCCGACGACATGGTGGAGCTATCAGATCCCTGACTCGTATCTCTCATGTTTGAAAATTGGGTTATCTGCTGTGCGAGATATCCAGAGACGTTATTGACGAACGGCGCAGTGTTTGGAGAATTAGAAGATCTTGGGTGGCCAGAAGGTGCTAGATAAGTGGCATGAGGAGTTGAACCAAAGGGACCCATCGGTGTCAAACGTCCAACCTTGCCGAAGGCTGGCAGAGGACGGGCATAAAGAGATGTTCCAAGAGAAGCTATGGGATCTGAGCGTGTGCGTCCCACACTTTCGGCGGCAGTTTGTTTGTTGTTTGCTGTACTTGCGGCTGGAAGGTTCGTTGACTGCGTAGGAGGAAGGCCTTGCTCAGGCTTGCCGACAGGGGAAGCCATGGTCCTGAGAAAGACTGTAAGATTGGGCGTGATTTGCGTAAGCAGAGTATAACACTACCTTGACCTCAGTCACGATGTAATGTTGTCAATCAGGAGTAGATTGGGAGGACAAAGACACTGTTGCTGAGCGTTTGACGTTGCAAGAAAGACACAATGATTTGCGGGAGCGAAGGAAGGAAGCCTTCAACAAGAAGTTTGGGAAAGAGGTCGACCTTTGCAAAGCAGTGCAAAGAGAAGCAGCTACCTATGTTGATAGATTTCGTTGTGCAGTCACATGGCAGAAGAAACTGTAAGGATGATTGTTGACATCGCAGCAACAAAGCAGTGCGATGAGTCGTCCAATTCACGTGTCTCTCCCTTCAATAACGTTGAGTTGTCGAACCAGGCTCGTCGCCGAGACCTGTCTGGGGTACATCACTCCTCAAGTTGCCAACACCTCCTGAGTGGGCTCCAGCGCCAGTCGTGGCGCCACCGGTAGTTGTCGTTGTCGTTCCACTAACTCCTCCAGTCTTCAGTCCGGTATTGTTCCCACCACTGAGACGTTGGTCGGCAGCGTTCACATCTGCTTCTCCTTTTTCTTTGACAGCTCGGTTTTCCACTTGGCCCTGCTTATCGTCGAATGCTGTGTCGACCGATTCATTGACTGTGCCACGGATGGTATCGCCGGCGCCTTTGATACCCTTCAGTGCGGACTTGACGTCGCCCAGCACGCCCTTAGTCGTGTCTTGTGTCCGGTCGGTCATGTTGGCGATCAAATGAGTTTCTCGAATAACCGTCTTGTGTGTATGTTACAATGTTACTGCTTCAAAAGGCTTGAGTATTTGACGTTCTTTGAGAAGACAACTTGTCACTTTGAGTCAGTGTTGTTTTGAAGTACAATAAATCCTTCTACAATATGACGACATCTTACCTGACGTCAAACTAGCGCCGGGAAGACCCGGAAAGCTTTTCCGTGATCTACGAGGTCGGTGTACTCGTTCTTCCGTTCCGGTGGCAGGGAAGACCAGAGCACAGGGGCAGTAGACACGGAACACAAGTTCATTGTCACATCCCACATCTGACATTGAGATTTGCACATCGTTTTCTTCCAGGCTGATAGCATACTCCGAGCCAGGACAGCCCCTCCCTGATGATGACAATCTGTTCGAAACATAATGATGCGCAGCTATGCCAACAGGCCAAATTACGAAACCAACTCCCATAGACCTCTCCATTCAGCAGCAACTTCACCTTTTGGCTGGTACTCCTTCGACATCTCTTTCCCTTGCCAGGTCGTCCAGGCCAGTGACTGAGTTCCTTGGTCCACCGATACCATCGCTCTCCCAGAATTTGTTTTTGTTGTCGGCCCCCGTCACCAGTCCCGCGATATCGAAGGGATCAAAGAGTGTCAACAAAACGGGTCTGTTGTCCACCATGCCTGGTCCTTCAAGTTCTGTTTGACCATCCACGGCTAAGTAGATCTTATGGTTGGCGGGGAGGTATTTTGCAGGTGGATACATGTTCAGGAGGAAAGTGTTTGCCAACATTGGAAGGGCTTCGAGTACCCAAAACAAGACCTCATCGTCATTTGCTGGCGAGAGGGGTCCATAGAAGAACGCCGCAGTACGAAAGGTGTTGCGAATGAGTATAAGGAAGCAGGATGCGTACAGCTCGTAGATGATGACCTTGGTTTTGTAGTTGAAGACGCCGGCTGCTAGACATCGCCGGTGGAAAATGACGACGAGAGATATGAACCCTAGAGCCATGGCCAGCAGAAGGAACAGGGAAACTTTGCCAAGAATGATGCCGGTGTTGATGGTGGACGCGCTGTTTTTCGCATTAGCCGCATAAGACGCGCCGATCCCAGCTATCACCCCGTCCACCATATCGAGAGCGACAAAGGTCGTCCACACTCGTCCAGGATGGAGTGGTGAGAGGTATGGGAGGTAGTACAACAGTCTCCCGAAAACGAAGTAGTTGGCGCCATTGTAGACTGGAGGAGCGATGAACAAAAGGACCGTGCTGGCAATGTATACGCCCAGATTCCCGAAGTCGTATGCCCCACGCTCGCGAAGGCCAAATCCTGCGATGAAGAGTGCGGCGGCCCAGGGAAGGAGAAAACCGATTCTCCAGGACCTATACTTTAGGTTGTTCTGCCAGATATGGAGTACAAAGGAAATGAAAAAAAGCACCGCAAAGGCGATGGAGACACCTTTGGTTGGAGCATAGATCCAGTAGGAGCCTTCGGCAATGTGCACCATGCTTGAAGTTGATTGTTCGTCTCTGTAGGGGCGGTCGTGATAGAATCAGAGTGGTAGGGAGCTGGGGGTTCGAAACCGCCAGTGTGGGTGTTTCCCCCATTTATGTTGACGAGAGTAAGGGCTTGAACCTACACTGCCTTCACACAACGCGAGATAGGAGTGCGGAAGGACCACAATAACCTTGAAATACGTCTGATACGAAAGGAACGACTTAGCTTATTGGACATTGTAAAGTGCGTCAGACCGAAATACTACTTTGCTTCAGCCATGTCCTGAGTATCGTTTCATTGCGATCACGCGAACATGGCGCTATGACCTGTGTGAAAGGCGCGGTGGAGTAGCGAAGCCAGACCGACCACCTTGCGAATGAAACGCATCAGGGTACGAATCAGTAAACAGCCTGGGGTCCGCCTCGGAACCTGTTCTTGGGACGTGATCGCTGGAGTACATTCATTCGCTAAATAGGCTTGACTTAGGATAGTGTCAAGCTAAGAGGCCATTCATTCTATATTGAGAGGAGGGATGTAGAACCGGCCATCGATACGAGAATTCGAATACGAAAGTGAGGGATAAATGAAATAGAATTCAGGAGCGTGAATATCGAAAGTCAGCCTTGCGGTTCGCCCTAGCGCTACATACAACTGAATCGGGATTAGTCTTAGAAATGTGACGTTTGTCCTTTCTGCTCGTCCGGAGCATTTTTTCAAATGACAAACGTTACGGAGTACTAGAAATGCCTCGGCTCATGAATTCTATCGTGATCAGAGCAAACACCATCCCATCTATACCAGACGAGACACTGACAGTGCAATCGTCAAGCATGACTCTGGCTTGATCCGGTCACTATACCTAGACATACACCGAGTCTTCTTCCATGGACCTCTCACTTCATCGAGAAGATCTTCAATGATTATCCCTTATCACGTATGATGGTGTTTACACTGCAGTTCTCATACTCAATCTCTCCAACGTCCGTCGGTCGAGAGGAAGCTTCACTTTTTCTTGCTAAATGACTTTCCGTCTCACTGACTCATTGGGTGATTTCTGCAGGCTGTCTACATTTTCGGTGTGATCTCATTTTCAGCAGCAGCGATATCTCTCACCGGTTCTCACCAGTCTAGGTATCGTGAACCAATATCAATCACGATCATTCGAGCTTTGATTTAGCTATCATGTCCCAGCAGCAGCCCAATGGAGCTTTGCCAAATTCTGAACATGCTGACGAATACTTCGACAAGCATCCAACTCCCAAGTCGTTATCAAAGCACCAAGCCTTAGCGCGAGAATTCATCCAATATCATCTAGAAAACTCTCCGAATCGACGGATCGTCCTGGTCACTTCAGGAGGAACGACTGTGCCGTTGGAAAACCAGACAGTCCGATTCATTGATAACTTTTCTGCTGGTACACGCGGTGCCACATCAGCAGAGTACTTCTTGCAAGAAGGTTATGCCGTTATTTTCCTACATCGCCAATACAGCCTCCTACCATACTCTCGACATTACAGTCACAGCACGAATTGCTTCCTCGATTTCATGGAAGAGTCCGATGGCAATGACGGACGAGTTGTTGTCCGGAAAGAATACCAGGACAAAATGCGGCGGGTTCTGCAGCAATACCAATTCGCGAAGCAGAACCGATTACTGCTTCTGCTACCTTTCACCACAGTAACAGACTATCTCTTTCAATTACGCAGCCTTGCTGTTCTCATGCGGCCTCTTGATAGTCGCGCATTGTTCTACCTAGCTGCGGCAGTGTCCGACTTCTTCATCCCCAGAGAACGAATGGAAGAGCACAAAATCCAGTCTAGGGACGACAAAGGTGGAAGTTCAGGTTCTGGGGCCAGTCGGCAGTTGGTGATCAACCTTGACCCGGTCCCAAAGTTTCTCAGCACATTGGTTCATTCCTGGGCCCCAAAGGGAAGTATGATAGTCAGCTTCAAGCTCGAGACCGATCCCAACCTTTTGGTGTCCAAGGCGGAGCAAGCCCTTAAGAGATATCGGCATGATCTGGTGATTGGCAATCTACTGACCACGCGCAAGTGGGAGGTGGTCTTCGTCACACGAGATGGCGGGGAGAGGTGGTTGCGAGTACCCAAGGCTCGGCGGTCCAAGAGCCTCTCTGGAGTGGAGGAATTAGTGGGAAAGGCAGAAGGCAAGCATGACCCAGAGCCTGTAGATCTGGAAGGGGGCACAGTCACCGAAGGAATGGAAATAGAGAGCTTAATCATACCTGAGCTGGCTCTGATTCATACCGATATGATAGAGCATGGAAAATAGGTCAAATACGAGGCAGATATGGTACGAGAGAGTGCCAGACATCGCCTCAAGAAGACCGCCCTTCTGTGGCAGGTGGAAGTTTCATCGATTTGACGCATCTTGTCGCGTGCAGGGCGACAAATCGTACACAGCACCGCCAAAGTGTTCTGTTCCAGAGACAGACACGAAAATTGTGCTCCGTATGTTATGCTATGATAGGAGGCCACCGTGGGAAGCTGTCGGCTTACCATTCAGTTTCGCCGAGATATGACTTTTGGGCTTCGTTGTTGTTGGTCCGTTCTGTCTCATCATCAACTTTTGCATGTCTTTAATCCAGACGTGCAGCCCATCCTCAGGTGTAACTCGCGATATCACGGAAGCGCTTGTATATCCGATGATGTGCGTCCCGGTGTTTTGGCAGGGATCCATTACTATGGTAGGTCCCGACCCGCAGGCTGCATTTACCCGCGTTTCAAGAGGTTGATCTGCGTTGGTGGCTGCATGGGGTAAGAATCTGCAAAATCGAGATGACATGCGGCAGGCAGTTTGTAGTCGTGACCCAATGTCTGGAACAAAGGCGAACAGGGACACTGGATAGATACTTTGCTAATCTCATCATCAGTAGGCACCAGGAGCCCTGTTCGCAATGAAGAATGGCAGCCGTTGAGGCTAGGAAAGCAGCTGTCGGTACTGGATCAAAACGATGCATGGACAAAGAAGAAAGTCAACTTGTCAAAGATGAGGCTTTGGTCAAGTGATCAGCACAACTAATCCACCGCAACGGCCGTGACGTTTGCATTGCATTTCTTCTCCATGAAGGACTCTCTTGCCCGGTTTTACGTGTCTCTGGACGAGTGTTAAATTCCGAAACAGACATCGGCCGATCCAAATGCCTAAGAAGGTCGCCAAAAGGCAAATCCGGGCTGACTAACTCACCCAAGTAAGTCACCTCGGTCGCGGGCACTTTCAGGCACTTGGGCTAAGAGCCTAAGAGGCCCCCGCGATCGCAAGAGCCAGTCCGGCGCCTTCGCTTCGGCACCGTCCATCGGCGGCGATCGCTGCGCATCTTGATTCCTCTTAGCCACAGATCGTCGCCATCATCATTTTACGGTATTCGACCCATCGACCTCTCAAGCCACCATCTAGGCGCACCCCGCATACCTGCCATCCCATCCTGTATAGTGTATACTCAATAGTGTCCGTGTACACTTTCTCGTTCTCGCAAACAGAATTTCAATATGGGCTGGGCGGAAAACGGCTGCTGAGAGGGGAATGAGACCAGTCGCTTGTTGCAGCAGATGCGGTTCCAGCATCAAGCTTCTTACACAAATCCAGCCGGTCCGGACAAGAATGGAACAAGATATGCAAGAGTCATCAGCGGCGCTCCCAAGACGATTTGGAAACACCCAAGTCCGGAAGGCAGTGGCTGCAGGCGAGCCCGAAAACAGAATTAATCCCAGGCGAGTCACACAAGGAGGAGAAGGTCTCTCCGTAGATGCAAAAAGGCCGTTGGTTGTAGACGCATAGAGTTTCTTCAACAGTGGGGATGTTAGGGGCCTTTTGACAGCACTGGTTCGACCTGGAATCCTCGATGCTGCAAATCCCGCAGGCTGGTGCCCGGGTTCCTTGGTCTCGGTCTTGGTCTACGGTAACTAAACTGATCGCTCCCTTCCATGGTGTCAAAGTTTCCTTGGTTGTTCTTTTTGAGTCCAGCCTGCCTCATCGCGACTGGCCCATTCTTCAACTCTTCACTTCTTGACATCCCGAAGAATCATTCGCTTGCATTATTCGTCCCTCAATCTTTTCTGATCGTTCACTGCTTCTTACGTCCTCTTCCCTCATACCCACTTTCGACGCCGATCTACTACTCCTTGCTAGACGAAACAACGCATACGGAGCTCCGTGCAGGCCGCCGTAACCTTTGTGCTGCTGTTGAAATCAAATAATTGTCAGTCTCCCCCCAATCGGCACTTTGCTGCCGACAGGCACCTCGCTTGCTCGCTCAGCTCGTCAGTGTCAAGCCCAGCTCCGTCTTCCCTCTGCAACCATTTCCGATGTCGAGGAAGCCCTCCTTGTACTCTTCCGAGTCTCACATCTGACTCTCGCGTCTCAATGTGGCACGAGCTTTGGCTGACAAAAGGACTTCCAGACCGGATCAACATTGCGAAACCCCACTCCCCTCTTGCCTCAGTCTTTCGCTTCTGAGGTCAAACGCACCGCGAGACTCGATCCCTCCCAGGAGGCCGTGTGAGACACTGGGTGACCATCACTCGGTGACGAAGAGGTGCTGCTTGCGACCAATCAATATAACAAGCAATGAGATAGTATACAGGACCAGTCCTTCAGACAATCCTCCAGCCATGATGGCCCTCGACTACAGTTGGCCTTCGGTCGCGGACATGCCCATATCGAAAGCCAGAGCGAATTGGGATTCAAGCCATTCCGCCTTGCAGACGTGGAGGGTCCCTGCCCAATTGATCGATCAAGACTCTTACAATGCTACCGTACTTCGGTTGACTGCGACAACCTCGGAGGATGATTTGGATGATCGGATCGCATTGGAAGCACAGAGTCTCGACCTGCTGCCTGTTCACGTTACTCCGGATATCGACAGTCTCACATCTTCCCTCTCGACAACCACTGTCACATCCGAGTCGATCAACCACAGCTCTGTCCAATCCCAGTCCACGGCTCCCACATCTTGTGCCTCAAGCGAGCATCGTCCAGTTACCCGATCTTCCTACCCATCCGAACGCTCTCCCACGCATTCAGAATCTCCTTCCTCCCGGTCCCAACCCGACAAGAAGAGAAATTCACCTTTAAAAAGAGGCTTCCGAAAGATGACAGGATTTCGGAAAAGAAGATCTGGATCTGTCGCTCTCACATCTCCTACACTGTCCAGCATCAGCAGTGACGCGGACACGAACCGTGGCGAGGAAGCACCCGTCGATATGAGAGGTCCTCTGTCAATCAAGTCCAGCAAAAGCTCTTGGTCGCAACCACTCTCGGCCACGAAGTCAGATTACGACTCGAGTGCGCCCGTTGATCAAGAGGCTGTTGAACGAAGTATGGAGTCCAAAGATCTACTCAATCTTCGAATGAGCCAACTTCAGGAAAAGGCTCGTTTTCTGGAATTTCAAGCCTCACTGATCTCGCAGCTGGCGGCACGGAAAGAGCAGAAAAAATCGCAGAAGAGGATGGAGCATGATAAAATCATTGCCGACCAAATCCACAAGGTGAGACCGACTTTTGCAAGACTTGTCCAGGACATAGCTGACAAAGCATAGAATGACCGCGCCATCGAAGCTCTGGAAGCACACCAGCTGGAAGAGGAGATGAAGATGCAAAAGGAGCAGGAGCTAGAGAAACGAGCTGTGTTGGTCCGGCTCAGACATATGGAGGCTTATTGCCACAATCCGACACCACCACCAACTCTTTGTCCAACTTCTGGACCTCCCGCAACCGAATCTGCATTTCCCCAGCGAAAAGTAACGGACAAGGACTACCATAGCCTCGCTCAACAGTACCGCGAGCGCGACGTTATGGATACCTTACATTCATCCAAGATCAATGTTTTAAGAGGCAAGCAGAAAAAAGCGGTCGAGAGATTGATGGCCAGAAAGGAGCGGGAGCTTGAAAACATGGAAAAAGAGCAAGAGAAAGAGATTGCCGCCATTGACCAAGACTTTGCTGCTCAAGAAGCCGATCTAAGATCGGCCCTGAGTGCGAAGCGTGGCAGACTTGAGACAAGGTGGAAAACTCAGACTCTGATTGAACGAACCAGATTGGAGAGGGCGACAGGATTGAAGCATGCTGCGCTGGGAGATGTTCTCGTGAACGACGACTCCCCTCTTCCTGGACTTGCCGTCTGACGAACCCTCGAAAGAAACTGTCCGTTCAACGTAGTCACACCAGTGCTGGCCACTGTTGTTGACGGTCCTTTATTGTTATCCTCCAGCGCAAGTTCCAAAATTTATGGATTTATGCCCGCAGATACCCCCCATGGCTTGTTGTATTTATTTTGTACGATACTTTTTTATATGAGGCGCTCACACGACGACACTGGAAGGAGGTCATTGGCATGCATTGAAGAAAGGGGGGAATGCACCCTATTTCAGACGGTATTTGTGATGAATCACGGCTACATATGATGACTGCTGATGTTTCAACAAATGCAGCTTTCCAGCGAGATAGATGAGTCCAAGTTGCGGGCTCAGACAAATGAGCAGCAAATGCAGGAATTTCGTCTCTTCTTTGTCTTTCATCCTCAAAGAATCTGAAGTTGACGATTGACGTCACCTCGCGTTTCCCTTTGTTTTCTCACACCTCACAGCGCCTCATGTTTTGCGTGTTTTCAAATATCTCTTGATTGAAGATGACAGCGCTGGATATATCAGGCCGAGCGCTGCAGACATGGTGGGGTGAAATCCATTCTCCTTTGACGTCTCCACGAGGCCGCTCCCCAAATTCCAGCTTGAATCCAGCTTGCAAACCATGTCATCGGAAGCTCTCACCGACTCCTCACAACCATTATGACCGAGCCATCAGCTTCTGGCCACGAGCCAAACTTGCACAAATCAATGGACTGGATATTTCGGGTTCTTGACCAGCGTGTTCGACTCGGTCGGTGCTGTCGTTGCCACCGGTGTCATGGTGGTCCAACGTGTTGAGTATGGCACCTGTCTTCACCAAGAGCTTCCAACAAACAATCACTGAACTCCTAAGACGAGGAGCCTCCTGGTGGCCTTAGGTTAGTATTATACTTTATTCCTCGACCCAGTGCTTATTGTTTCTTTCCCAGCAGTTCTTTAGATCAAGGCCAGCCATGGGGCCAAGAAATCAGCACTCGAGAGCCTCTCTGTCACAAAGAGCAACCTAGCAAAGTTTCCGATCATATGTTGTCGATATCGTGACGTTGCTGGCCATGTCTTTGTTTCTGCTGACACGAACTTCTTCTACCCAAGACGGCGGCTGCGAAGCATGCTCGGACCTTGACAAAGAACGCAGAACAAAGGCACCTCGATATAATCAGGAGTCAAGTCATGGAGGCCCATCCCGACCACACAGCTCTCCTTCACATCCTTGCAATATACCAGATTCATTGGCTTTACATTTTGCGAAACATCATCCCCATGTCAGGAGAACCTGGAGCTTTCTGGATCGTCACTGCTCCCATGCCGAACTTTGACGAGATTGCAACGATCAATATCAGCGGTCATGAAGTCCCCCTGCCAGCATACTGGAAAATAGTCGACCTCGTGGCGCAAGGAAAACGCGAAGAAGACATTGTCAAACTTGTCACTCAGCATACTGGGGCCAGAACTCTGAAAGTCGTCACCGACGTGGTAAAAAGTGTCGTGGAAAATCAAAGGCACATCGACACGACAGCAACGTCAAGCTCCTCGCGTCGACTAAGCCTGCCATTCGCAAGACCGAAACGTGTCAGCGCATACCGTGCAGCACGTATCGAGGCACGTCGCGATCTTGAAGCGGCGGAACAGAAATTGAAGAGTGCCAAAGACCAAGAAAAAAAGCTCCTCAATAATGCTATAGCTTTGACTCGAGAAAGAGAAAGACTCGAGAAGAAGAACATGACCACGGACGAACGACGGCAGACGTTGTCTGCAATTGAAGATGAGATGAAGGTGGTACTCCGCAGACACAAAGAGGTCGAAGCTCAAGTCGAGTATGCGAAGACTCTCACTGTCATACACAGGGCTTCGCTTGCATAGGAGGTCTTCCGGATAACCACCTACTATATATATCATATGATGTATATCAAATCATCTGTTGTGGTGAGTACCTTTGCGAGCTCAAATCTACAGCCCAAGAACTAACGGTTGCTCTCAGACAAAGCATCCATTATGTCGGACAAAGGATCAAAGCAGCGCTATACTTCGGAGGCGCCCCCTCTCTGCAGACAAAGAGACCAACATACTGCCTGTCGCTGCTTACGAGCATGTCACAACTACGCAAGATTGTCCTGCTGTGGTGACGGGGAGGCACTCACCGGCATCTACTGCTCGATGGGATTCTTTTCTTCAGCCCACAGGCTTGCGTTTTGTTTTCCTTCGTTCTACTTTGAAAGGCCACACACTATTGCTGCAGAACAACACGCATTCACTGTTGACAATTACCTCCACTACTGAGTGTAGCTTGTTGAAATTCAGTATGGCGTCCAAAGTCTACTTCGACAGAGACCCTCTCCTCGAATTTGAGGTCTTCCATGACCTTAGATTTCCACGACTTCGACTTCGTACGGGTGAGATTATCAGCGTGGGCATCGCGGCCAGAGTCCTCCATTTGCTCAAGAACAAACACGATTATTCTTGTATACTCTGCCACCTCAAAGAGGAGTTCAATGTTGAATTCTGTGCAGAGGCTCTTGAAGCGGTCCTCGAGAGAAACTTCGATGTGACAGACGAGACCCTTCCAGTTGGTGAAACATTGATCCCCGTCTCATCGGAGACCAATCACAGGGGTTTCGTGAAAGGGCATGTTCTGCCCTCTGGTATCTACTTCGAGATCGTCAACCTTCGCGATTCCGGGGCTAACTTCATCAAACAGTATGTCAGCACGCGCTGGGGCTTGTGCGTGCCCGAAAATGTCATCATTGTCGCGATCAATGAATGGGTACACCGGATGGCCATAGCCAATCCATTTATACCTCCACCAGCAGATGCTCGGCCGGCCCACGATGGTCGCGTACTCGGTGAGTTGGCGACAACAGCAGATGCAAGCTCTTCCAACAGATCTTCCTTTGCGAACAATCCGCCACCTGTCTACTCTCCGCCCCCGGTATACCAAAATGCACGCGGCCAACGAGTTGTTCTACGTCACCCACGTCAGGTCGACGCAATCTATCCCGAAGGCGAAGCGCAAGCTCCCCCATACTCTGTGGGAAATACGACGCCGCCTTCGTACGAAGGCGTTTCATCCATCGAAAGTGCAGAGTCGGGTTCGTTACAAGCCGCACCTACACATTTGAGGCCAGTTGACGAAGCTACCGTGAGTGAGGTCTCTTCTGCGAACAACGCGGTCACACAAGTTCCAAGCAAGCCCAGACATTCAACAGAAGAAACCCTCATCAAATATTCTCGACAGAATGTGATCGACTATCTGTTCGATGGGATGCATGCCGCAAATATTTATCCTGTCGACCCATTTGAGCCGGTACGACTGCCCATGGTGTCTTTTGAATTTCGGCAGCTAATGTCTTTCTTCATCGTTCAGCGATCAGGAGAACTGACGCCAGCAAAATTATTCCCTGTTTACAGAGTTGGAGCTGGGCCTGAAATCAATCAAACAGGTCAGAGCATATCGAAACTCATTGTAACCGTCATCAGGGAATTACGCCTTAGCTCTTGTGCATCATCAAGAACAATTGCGACAAGACTCCGCACAGTCAGCAACCGCCAGGGTTTAATCTTCCTCATCGACCACATGAGGGCGGCCAGGGGAGAACAGTCACTAGGGATTCTGCCAACGTACAATGACATTTGGCAAGCTATCATTGACGAGTTTCGAATGTCTGACAACATGTACGTGCTCAAAGTCATGGACGGGTATGCACCGATTACGCCGCCAGTTGTCCTCCTGAGGAATGTGCTCTCAGAGGTCGACAAAGCAAGAAACGCGAACACGGCAATGACAATTGTCGTGAGCAACAGTGCGACCGCGCCTTGTCCTCGGCTGTCTATCTCTATCCCGAATGTCTGTGTGCAGCCAACATACAGCATTGGCGAGCTGCAGAAAGACGAATCACGAACGTTCGTGGGGGAACAGCTGGATAGATACAGTCTGCTACTTCTCGACGCAAGATCATTGCTACAAGCTGTCATCGAGGCGACGACATCGGACGGTTTCGAGGCAGGCAAGCGTCATCTTGAAAAGTACCTCCGGTATGCCATCAAGAGATCCGCAACCAAAGCTCCCAATGCTATGCACACGATAAATGAGCTGGAAGTGGTGGTCTATCGAGTTCAAGCTCTGACGAGCCCATCTGACGTTCTGGAACTCTCACCAGAGTACTGGGCCGCGGCATTGACAGACGCAGCTCTAGCAATGTCTCGTCAGTATGCAGACTCTCGAGCTTGGCTGCCAATACCCGACGCCGAAGTCCACGAGCCATTATGGACGATAGTCGCTATCCCAGTGCAACGACCACCAACAGATTTCTCCGTGACATACCACAACCACACGTTAGAACACCTGAGGGGCTGGGTTAGACTTGCTCGACGGGTCTATGCACCTACCGCGCTCAACGGCATGATTGAGCACTTCTATGGCAACTACGAGCTACTCATGACACAGTGGGCTGCGGACAGAGCCTCTCCTTACCCGATATTGGGCACTCTTCTTCTTGAACGACTGGCGAACGAGTATCAACGAGGTCTTTCTCTGTTGTGGCATCTCCAAGATCGCTTTCAGGTCTCAGCAAGCGTTGTTGATCCTGAGAGAAGAGCAGCCTTGGAACACGAGCTTCGGCACTTCAAGAAGGTTGAACAAGCATTCAAGGCCCGCCTAGAGGTCAACAAGACTTCTGCCTTCGCGGATTCGCTGGACTTGACGACGGCCAAAAATGCCATGACACTCTTTTCTCGAGAGCTGATTCGGTTGGATCCATGGTATCGGCAAGCAGGCCAGTTGCCTCTTGCCCCACCGGCGATCACTCCAATGGCTGCTGCAGTTGAACAAGCTCTTGATGAGCTTGATGGAGAGCGTGTGGGCCTCGAACAAGCAGAATTGGCCGCTGATCAAGCCGATATGGTTACCGAAGAGCACGTCACTGTCGAGAACCCTGCCGTGCAAGAAGAGCCAATTCTTGACCAAGTGGACCATCTTGAGCAGCTACAGTCGGAGAGTTCACTTTTCGAAGACGATGACAGTGAGGCTGAAAACATCAACAATGGCAACCATGAACAAGAACGACCAGTCCACGGCAATGTTGTCTTCCCAGGCACACCGATTGAGAATGATCATGGAAACAACTCTGCATTACCGTCCAACTCGACAGATGGAAGCAGCCTACCGCCTGCCGGACCTGCAGAGCCGAGAGCGAGCAGTCTCCAAGGTCTTCCCTGGAATCCAAGGGGTCCAGGACTTCCATGGGATCCAAATGGTCCAAGTTCATTATATTGGCATGCGTACGAACGAGATCGGAGAGCACGGGAACAGCAGGCGGCCAACGCAGAGGCCGGCCCATCCAGGTCGACAGGTACAGTCGAGCACTCAGGTCAAACTGGACCTTCCAATGCTCATGCTGGGGACAGCTCCGGTCGCCATGCTACAACAGCAACTAGCGAAGCCGCTCTTCAGGCTGCAAGGCCCGTCACGCTCGTCGAGCAAGCATCAGATCTGGACAGTTCCTCTATCCTCCGTGTCTCAGCTCCAACGGCTCCGACCGCGGTTCAGACCGAGGAGGCCGTCGTCTCATCAACAGTCAGTCACACTGCCGGCATCGATCTGCTTCGACGTCTACGGGGACATGTGCAGCCTGCGATAGAACCATCGCTTGCGCATGAGCCTAGATGCTGTGGGCTTTTCCGTGCTTTGTGTGTGCGACGACAGCGGGACAGACAAGAGAGAGAACCGCTTTTGCCAAGGTAGGGCATGGTCTGAAGCTTTCAGGTTGTCATGAGGTACTAATGCTGCCTGCGGATGGTACTTGTCTCGAACGGTATACATGCGGAGGAATGGGTTATTGGCTCAGAGAAAAGAATGAGCCTGTGACAGTAGTAGACTATCTAGTCATGTTTTCCTTCGATGGGATCAATTTGTGGAAGTCACATTGAGCACAAAGTATCAATTTACAATTTGTATCATCAAATATACCATACTTCGATCCGCCTTGACGTCCTACTCAGCTTCGTATCCTAGGCTGTCGTAGTCCGAAATCAGATTCATCCATGGGATGAGTGTGCTAATCGCACAATGTCAAGTATCACATCGTCATGCTGGTCGTGTTTAGGTTCGCCATACTTGTGACTGGCGTGCCTTGTCTGCGTGGTAATAACCAATAATCTCATCGTGCTCATTTCTTGTCGATCGTAGCTGGTGACCAGCGTGCCCGATTTGACGGGTCGTTCCTAATAATCCCACCGTGACTATGCACCGGATCCGAGGGACGATCAGGCCAGGCTATGGTCATGGCAATGCTGGTCAGGTTGCTTCATCCAGAACAACGAGCGCTTCGCGTGGAATCAACAACTGCACCGAGCAAACCAAGAATGTCGAGATCGGTGTCGACAAGATGACACACATTGTGACGCTGTATGCTCGACGGGTTGGTCCTGACATAACCTGATCGTCGCGGGCACCCTTCCTTGCTCTTCGGTGATTCAAAACCGCCTCACAGTAGTATCATACGTCAAAGGTGCGCTTGTCAAGCCGTTGGACCATGAGATTACGCTGCCGTTGTTTCGCGGTATGGACCTCGCACGGGGCAGTCCAAGGACCAGGAATCGTCTGTCGCTGCAATGCATGCCTCCTCATCATCCACATCGCCTTCAAATTTGTGTATCTCGAACATGTCCAAGGGAGAGGGGTTCGCGGGTATGCGAGGGTCAAGGAACCATCTGATGACGCGTGCCTTTAGGCAGTCGTCTCCGTGCTTGTCGCCATCAGCAACGTGGAAATCTGCTTGGTATGCATTGCCCAAATAGCCCCCAAATTCCAGCTCCGTCAGGGAGAGCCGCGGGTTCAACCTCCTCAACATGGCGGGCCAGCAGGTACCACTGGGATCCCAATCGTCCTCGCTAGGAGGACGTATGAGCCCCAACTTCCCATTTCTGATAGTCAGAGATTGGAGGTTACGACAGTGGCGCCCAAGAATATCTTCCAACAAAGGAGCTGGACACGAAAATTCCTGCAGCCACAGCTGTTTGATGCCCCGAAAAATGGACGTGTCGGATGGTTGCAGGCAAGTCCGATGTCGCTATGCAACCTCAAAGATCGAAGCTTGGGTAGTCGTTGTTGTTGCAGAAAATCGACGACCGCTTTTGCCTTTTGCCATCTCGTGTCCTGGGCGTAGCGACTGAGACGCAGGTCTAGGTGAGAGAGGCCTCCAAGGACGCGGCCAAGCAACATTCGAGGTTGCACGAAATCGATCGGGCCCACGGACTCATCCGCATCGCCGTCTTGGTACAACAGGTAGGGGATGAAGTCAAGCAGCGAGAGTTCCGTCAGAGACGGCATGACAAATCCCAAGGCAGGCACAATCGATCGTAAGAGACCCCTCTCGAGGGCAGGTCTGCCGCCTGAAGATATTTCGCCTCGTTCTCGGACTCCCAAAGTCTTCATTAGTGCAACGAAAGCTGGTAGGATTGGCATACATCCAGGGTCGGTGCCAAAGTTGATCTTCAGAACCCGGAGTGAAGAGCATAGACCGAGCACAGCACCGAAGGCTGCAGATTGGACAGAATTAAGGTGGTCCGTTCTGGATTCGACTGATCTAAGTTGCTCCATATCACCTCTTGTGCCAGCCATGCTGTCGCGGGGACGGAATACCTGGACGTATAGTGAGTCCGGATATAATTGCACCAGATCCCTTAATGTGTAAGTGCTATCTGGCCGAGCACGAAGGTCGCCAACAAATGCTTTTCCTTCTCTCGTGCACCAGTCTTCTAGCATTCCGAACTGTGAGGACCAGCGGAGATCAATGTAGAGTGACCGTATGCATGACATGAGTGGGGAAGATCTGAAGACGTACAGGAAACGCTCCAGGAAATACAGGTGAGCAATCAAGGTTATTTCACTATCGAAAAGCGAGCAGCCGACCTTGCCGTATGCCCATGTCGAACAACAGCATCGTACCTGCTTGAGCGTTTCCGTATCACAGAAAGAGAAGATCAACTCTGTGACCTCTGTTGGCAGGAAGGGACGCGGAATCAAGTATTTAGCTTGACTACGATCGATAACGACCATTGTCGAGTCGAGGCGTTTTCTCTTGCTTGCCATAGGCATGTAGTGGATTGTTTCGTTCTCGAGCTTGATTCTGAAGAGTGGTTGATGTCGGACTTGAGGTTATATGCAAGCCAGATGACAGGATGAAAGTCTCTTTCATGGAAAGGTTGAATCGGTCGATGGAGGAGCCAACATCAAAGTCCTTCAGAAGCGGTGAGTCATGCGCGTGTCACTGAGAGGGCTTGGTCAAATTCAGGCGACAGAGCTGAACACACTGTACGTGCAAGCGATGCTTGGGGTGCGACCAACCATGTTCCGCACGTATGGATACTCAGAAGCGACACTTGCTCTTGCCTTTCAACAAGTCCACAGCCAAAAACTTATCCGGATTCGGCTTGAGCCGCTAGAAATGCCGCCCCCAAAGCCTGTTGCCTGGCAGTGCACAAGGACGTCCATCGAAAGGCCTCCACTAGTGGTACCGAGAAACCAAACGACCCCTTAGGTCGATGTCCATTGCGGGCTGTGTTGTCACGCTGCTTCCCAGGCAGCACTCGTATAGTACGTTGGTTCTCGACAGTTGCGGTTCTTCAATGGATGGATCGTGCTGGGTTGGTAGATCTCTCCCACCATCCATGATTGAATTCATTGTTCCGTTTTCCAGCATGCAGATTGCATCATTCACCTGGGGCCCTTATTCCGAAACGGAAGATCGTATCGCCAACGCTTTCGCCTGCGCAGTCTCTCTCGTTGACACTGTCACCGTGCCAGACCATGGACAAGTACAATATCGAGGCAGGGTCATACCATACGCGCGAGACAAGAGTGAGGCCTGTGGTGGCTGTGTTGCCGGACATTCGCAGTGCTTGATTGATGAATGACTCCACGTCCATGATCGTGGTCAGTACCCGATTGTATGGCATGCGCATTGTAAAGGTTCTCATATACATACTCAGCATGCGTGTCGGTTTGGAGATGGAAGAAGATGACTGAATAGCACACCTGCAAAAATGGCATCGGCGCCGGAGGGAATAAAAGGGCACCGTCTTATCCTGACTTGCATGGTTGTGCAGGATGCTTGGTACCGCAATAGTTGGTATGAGGGTCTCTGGTTTAGCAGTGCACTTCTGACAGTTTGCATAGGACGAAACAATGCTGAGCGGCATGATGGGCGGCCATACTGAGGCGTGGTTGTTGACCACGATGGTGCGCAGCCCACGAGTTCTTACATATTATTGCAGTCATTGCGACCTTGGACCTGGCCGGCTGCCGACCGAGCCTCGGCGAGCCTTGTGATGCAAAGACTGTGGCAATTGGCACAAAGAACAATTCAAATATGTTGTACTTGCTTGCGTGACAGCTGGTGGTAGAAGGAAGACACAGAGATCGGAGGCGCCGGCGAGGGTAGTAGGTATCTTTGCAGTTGAAGCTTGTTAATAAGCAAGCAAGCCTTCTCCCCAGCGAGGCGCAGTCGTAAGTAAGTTAGAGCCTCAGTGTCAGGGACCAACCCCATACCTACCAACCCTCGGACACCTCAAGTGCATGCTCCTGTATCCTTGCCACTTCACTCGATTCCAGTAACCGCACCAGCTGCAATCATACTTCTTTTGCAGCAGAAGTCATCGGCTGCATGCATCGATAATCCGAGGTTGAGTGGTCCTTCGGGACATCACTCACGATCCACCCGCAATCATGGGCGACGAAAAGAACCCATACAAACACCTGCCCATCCCTCCTACCTACGAGGAGGCCACTTCATCCCGTCCTGCATCCTCCCAATCCCGCCTTGGTCCCGAAGAGATAAGCGACGATGCAGAAAGGCAAGGACTCCTCCGTGGAGGCAACGCGAACTATCAACCTCCGACCGTCGAGTCCGCGCGGCCGAGTCTCGATTCGCTGGACGGCATCGAGCACGAGGGCGAAGAAGATGTTCGGCGCGAGATGCAGCAGATGGATCTTGAAGATCCACGAAGTGAATCCTCGGATCGCTCACTCCTACGATACCGCCTCTCCAAGCGTTTTTCAAGTTTCACCAGTTCCTTCCCTTCCTTCAGTTTACCTTCCTTTCGCGCATACCTCCCGAACGTCTCGTGGCCACGCATAAACTACCAGGCGCTCGACACGAACCGAGTTGTTATTATCGGCCGATTGTTTGGTGTCTTCTTGATCATGGGAATATTGTATATACTCATCGCCTCGGACGTGTTGTCATTTACAAAGAGCAGGATGGGCATGGGCCAGATGTATGACCCGGAGTCTATAAGGATATTTGTACAAAATCACATGAATGATCAGGGAGATATGCAGAAATATCTGGAACACATCACCAACTTTCCGCATGTCGCCGGCACAGAAGGCAACTATGTACTTGGGGAATGGGTCATGGAGCTGTTCAAATCATCGGAGCTAGAAGAAGTGAACATGGAGAGATTTGATGTCTATCTAAATTATCCTCGGAAAGATGGGAGGCGAATCGCAATCGTCGAGCCAGAAGACCTAAAATGGGAGGCCAAAATTGAGGAGGACCAGGAACAGGATTACGTCTTTCATGGACATTCCAAGTCGGGTGATGTGACGGGTCCTCTACTATACGCGAACTTTGGCTCGAAAGAAGACTTCAAAAGTCTGGAAGATAACGGTATCTCGGTGAAAGATGCCATCATCCTTGTGCGGTATTATGGGTCTCAAGGGGACAGAGCGCTGAAGGTCAAAGCTGCCGAACTTGCTGGCGCCGCTGGCTGTATCATCTATTCTGATCCGAGTCAGGACGGCTTCGTCCAAGGCCCAACTTTTCCCGATGGACGGTTCATGCCCAGTGATGGTGTCCAGCGAGGTGCCGTGAGCCTGATGTCCTGGGTTGTTGGGGATGTTCTCACTCCAGGTTGGGCATCGACTTCCACCAACGAGGAGCGTCTGAAACCTGAAGACAGCCCTGGACTTAACAAGATCCCTTCCATTCCGATTTCCTGGAATGACGCGCAGCACCTGCTGGGAGCAATCAAGGGGAAGGGAAAGCAGATGACCGAGACGTGGAAAGGCGTACCTGACACGGAGTACTGGACGGGAAGTTCAGACTCGCCCAAAGTCAATCTCCAAAATCTTCAAGACGAAGAGGTCAAGCAACCCATATACAACGTTCTTGGCAAAATCAGTGGCTGGGAACAAGGATCGAAACGCATCATTGTTGGAAATCACCGTGATGCGTGGTGTACTGGGGCAGCTGACCCTGGTAGCGGAACTGCGGTTATGCTCGAGGTCGTTCGTATCTTCGGAGAGTTACGAGCACTAGGCTGGCGACCACTTCGAAGTATTGAATTCGCAAGTTGGGACGGCGAAGAGTACAACCTGATCGGCAGCACCGAACATGTGGAGAATCGCGAAGCTGAGCTTCGTGCTGATGGCGTCGCGTACCTCAACGTTGATGTGGGCGTTACAGGCGTCGATTTCCACGCAGCTGCTTCACCTATGTTCGAGCAAATGCTTCTGCATGTTCTGGACCGTGTAGGCGACCCAGCCACGGGCACATCGATCGGCGAAATCTGGAAAAACAATCAGAAAGGTCTCGAAGGGCTTGGTGCTGGAAGCGATTATGTCGCGTTCCAGGACATCGTCGGTGTGTCGTCGATCGACATGTCTTTCAAGGGACAGAAATTCCCATATCACAGCTGCTACGACAATTTCGAATGGATGTCCAAATATGGCGATCCCGAGTGGACGTATCACAAGGCCATGGGCGAGATATGGGCGCTCATGATTCTGGAGTTGGCGGATCGACCGATGCTGCCATTCGACCTGAGCGCGTACTCCACTGCCGTGGCCAAGTATATCGACGATCTGCAGATTTATGCAAAGTCAGCACCTACAGCCAGCGACCACAACACTCTAGATCTGAGTCCTTTACGCACTTCTTCGGACTATCTATCCGAACAGGCGAAGACTTTCCACAACTTCGATGCCAACTGGCGTGACTTTGTGTTCGGATCGGGCGGCTTTGAGAGTTCTGCGATGGCCACCGCTCGTCATGAGCACAATGAGCGCATGATGCACTTTGAGACGGATCTCTTGGATCTAAGTGAGGGCGGTGGACTGGTCAATCGCACGCAGTTCAAGCATGTCATTTTTGCGCCTCAGGCCTGGTCGGGTTATGATGAGGCGTACTTCCCTGGCATTCGTGACGCTGTTGATGCTGGGGATTGGGCTGAAGCTCAACATCAGGTTGAGAAAGTCGCTGGCATTCTTATGGATGCTGCGAAAAAACTGAATGCCTAAATGTACTTGACTATTGCACAAATTATGGTTATGGAGGCCGCACATATTCGAGTGTTGGCGTTGGGGCGAAGCTCAATCTTGGGCACGTTGCAGATCTTCCACGTTGAGATCTAAGGGATCAAGCACGGCGCACGAGGTGTTGATGCATTATGGATGTTGATGAGTACAGTGCGTCCAGCTGATAGACAGACCGGACAGGGGTCTGTTGTCGATAACTGTTATCTGAATATACTGCCATTTCTCTGCATCTAAGCCAGCAATGTCTTAACATTTGACCATTGGTGTCTACCACTCCTTCATCACGCCATAGTCTGAGCAATATCTAGTAGAATTCCCTCTTGAAGCTCTTGGCCAAGTTCCAGAAATTCTCCATCTTCGCACGGCTCAACACGTCCTTGGCCTGCGTATCTGTCTCGCAAGTCCGCGCACCCAACCACTTACGAAAGCTGCGCTGCTTCGCCTCGCCCTTGAAAATCAAGTCGCAATTATTCATACTGAGGTCCTTCAATTCGCCATTCTCATCCTCAGCTTCAAGCCACTTTGCCAGCACCTCGCGGTTGCCTTCCTCCACGGCACGCGGAGCCTCCATTTCCTGCCACTTGATGCGGTTCTGCAGGAGCGCATCGTACTTGCGGACCGAGTGCTCGCCGCCCTCAACGACCACCAAATTCATCTTCGGGTGCATGATGACCACGCCGGTGAGGGCCTGTTGCTCGGCGTTTTTGGAGACTTGGAAGCGGTGTCGGCCGTTGGCCAAGCTGTCGATCTTGTAGACGCGCACGTGAATGCCGTGGGCGGCGTCTTGTTCTTGCTGCGCAGCGAGTTTCTCGGCTTTTTGCTCCTTGGTGAGTTTGCGCGTCTCGTTGGTCTCTTCGTGCTTGTGCTGACGTTCGGCGATCTCGCGGTTGACGCGGGCTTCGACCGCGGTGGGGTCTTTGACTGCTTCTTCGCCCAGAACGCGCATTAGGTTGCTCTTCTTGACTTTGGGTGGTGGAGGAGGTTCTAGGCCCAACCGAATCTTGGCTTGGATTTCCTTGAGGTCGGCTTGACGTCTTTGGCGGCGCAGTTTGGCTTGCTCTTTTTGCGTGAGGTACATGGGTTTTGGAGCGGGGTTGTTCTTCTCCTGGGGCGGCTCGATCAGGACGGGGTGCTGGATGTAGATTGTGATGATGGAGTCGGGGGTATCGATCTTCAGTTTGGATGGGTCCTCGATGACATCGTAGGAAGAGCCGTCGACGAGTCCTTCGTCCCACCATTCTAGGTCGGGAGGTGCTGGTACGAGGAAGCCTCTTTCTGCGTTCAGGTCCTCCTCTAGGCCGGCGAGACGGGTGCGCTCTGCGATCTTCCTCTTCGTCTCCTCTAGTTGGGCTTGCCGGCGAAGAGCGGCGGCTTGTGCAATGTATTTGCCCTTTTCGTTGAAGACTAGCTGTCGAGATTGTCGTCCTTTGGCCACCACATTCTTCGGCCCAAGGGTTGGGTCAAAATATGGGTTCTCCTTCAGCTCTTCGAAAGACGGGCCAGAGAGGTCTAGCTGTGCCTTTTCAGGTGTTGCTGCAAATGAGTCTCTTCCGCGATTGCCGAATCTCGATTGTGGAGTTCGGGTCTTGTTTCTTGAAACATCTTGTTGGGTATCTGCCAGGAGCGCAGGATGTAAACCAATGTCCAGACCACCGCGTGCCCGGGGTGTCTCGTCACCGTAAACAGGTGGGCTGTAGCTCTGAGCGGCAGGAGCCTTCTGCTGACTGAGTGCTGTTGATCTACTCGTTGCCGCAGCCACTCGAGCCTTCAAGGCTGCAATCCTGTCGCTCGGCGCTGGAGGAGTCGGTGCCGCACTTGAGGGTGCAGGAGAGCCTGTTGCTCCTTGGATCCTTGCTTTCAGTGCCTCTGCCCTCGCTCTTGCCTGTGCAATGATATGACTCATGTCGGGCTTTGCAGCCGGCGCGCCGCCCGAGGGTGTCGTAGGGCGAGGCGAACCATCGTTGGCTCTGGCTCGCTTCTGCCCATCGAGATCATGGTCTTCGGGGTGTAGCCTTTTCAGCACATTGCTCGACTTGTCTGCCATGATGTGCTGCAAGGAGGGAGACTCACTGGCAAAGGCTGGGTCCTGGGGCTACACCCAAGCTCACCGTCGGTTTGCGATCGAAAGGGATAATATTCGTCGTTGTTTCTACCTGCGGAGAAGAGTCGACTTTGGGTTACAAAAGTTAGGGTGCGGGCTGCTTTTCATCATGCACGTGACTGCAGCCTGCAACGCTGTGGGCATCGGAGTTTAGTTGCACCAACCGCCGATACTCCAAAGAAAAAAAGTTGTAGATCCCCGCAAGAGGCTCGGAAAACAAACTGCGTCTAAAACTTTTTTATTGTATCACCTGTAGTCTTGCTGTCTCTATATTTCCATGCTGGCTGGGTTATGGCCTTGATGCGCAATGGCAGCATATCCCAAACCCCTTCCGTCGGCCACCGGCGGCCTGTCGTTCTCTCGGTTTCCTTCCGACGAGATCAGGAAGATCTCAGTCAAGACCATCCATGTCACGCCGACATTGGATTCTATGTTCAACCCCGTCCCAGGTGGTGTTCATGATCTGGCGCTCGGAGCTATCCAGGCTTTGGATGCAAAGTGAGTAGAGGAAGACCTCGTCGCTAGCCAAGCTGATCGTGTGCAGCTGCACGACATGTCGCATGAATGCGATCCATTGCTCTGGCCACTGCGGTCACATCGAACTGCCAGTCCCCTGCTACCACCCTCAGTACCTCGACATGACACTGCGCCTCCTGAGATCGAAATGTGCCTACTGTCATCGCTTCAAAGCTGCGCCCAATGTAATCAACCAGACTGTCTGTGCCCTACGATTGTTACAGTACGGCCTTGTTGAGGACTACCAGAGCATTAGGGCCATGCATCTAGGCGGAAAGAGACACAGGAAAGCCACAGACGACGTTGTAGAGGACATCTTGGAGGATGACGCGGAGGAAGAGATCGAAGATCTTATCGACAGGAGGACATTGGCAACAGACAAGGCAATCAAACGTGCGCGCAAGAGAGGGCAACTTGATACACAGGCCCTCGTCCACAACCATCTCGCTATCGACGCCCGGAAAGCTGTCATTACAGACTTTCTGAAAGAAGTTCCTCTGCTGAAAAAATGTGCCAATTGTGGTGGCACCAATGTGACATATCGAAAAGACCGGAACGTCAAGATTTTCAGAAAGCCCTTGGCACAGAGGCAGAAAGAGGCGATGCGAGTCCTCAGCATGAAGATTCCTAACCCCTTGATCTATCTCCAGGCCGAGAGGAGACAGAAGGAGGAAACAATAAAGAAGCCTCTGGCGAACGGAATCCATCATGGTGACGTTGACATGCAGGACGTCGAGGACACAGATACCCACGGCGCCGAACAAGAGATTGCATTGCGCAATGCACTGGAGACAACGGCTGAATCAAAGAATGCCGAACTCGAAGATGAGGACGACCTTCAACATTATATGACGCCAACCGAGGTCCGGGCTGCTCTCGTCCTTCTATTCGATCGAGAGCAAGAAGTGCTCAGGTTGCTGTACACAGCCCAGCCGACGCCTAAGCCAGTTGCTGTCTCACCGGACATGTTCTTCATGACAGCTGTTCTCGTTCCACCAAACAAGTACCGGCCTCTTGCCCGGCAAGGAGCTGACGAAATGACCGAAGCACAGCAGAATGGGCCTCTGAACAGAATCATCAAGGCTGCGAATGATGTACGACATATTCTTCGAGAGATCAGAAGATCTAGAACAGACAAGTCAGTCCGGCCTCGCACCCTAAATGAAAGCAACCAAGCCGCGATCGTACTCCAGGAGACTGTGAATGCTCTGATAGACTCTCCAATAGGACCAACTGGAAAGCCCACAGATCAAGGTATCAAACAAATCCTGGAGAAGAAGGAGGGTCTTTTTCGTATGCACATGATGGGAAAACGTGTCAACTTCGCGGCCAGAAGTGTCATCTCACCCGACCCCAGCATTGAGACAAACGAGATTGGCGTACCTCTCGTCTTTGCGAAGAAGTTGACATATCCGGAGCCGGTCACGAGCCACAACTTCGAAGAACTTAGCCGAGCGGTGATCAATGGGCCTGACAAGTACCCTGGGGCTTCCGCGGTCGAGAACGAGAACGGGCAGGTCCTAAGTCTCAAGCGCAAGGACTTGGATCAACGAAGGGCCATCGCTAAGCAGCTCATGACCTCCATTGTTCCCGGCTCAAAGGGTGAGAACGGGAAAAAGGTATATCGCCATTTACAAACCGGTGATGTGGTCATTATGAATCGTCAACCCACTCTACACAAACCCTCCATGATGGGTCACCGTGCGCGTGTCTTGAGAAATCAGAAGACGATCCGCATGCACTACGCGAATTGTAATACCTACAATGCCGACTTCGATGGCGACGAGATGAACATGCACTTTCCCCAAAACGAGCTTGCACGAACCGAAGCACTACAGATCGCCGATACGGATCATCAATACTTGTCGTCGACAGCAGGGAAACCGTTGCGAGGTCTGATTCAAGATCACATCTCCATGGGTGTGCAGTTTACGAGCCGTGATATCTTCCTTGACAGGGAGCAATACCAGCAATTGCTCTATAACTGTCTGAGACCGGAAGACTACAATACCGTCTATGAAAGAATTCAGATGGTGGAACCTGCCGTTCTGAAGCCTAAGATGCTGTGGACCGGCAAACAGGTGATCACGACTGTGCTCAAGAACATCGTCCCAGACAGATTCCGCGGCATCAACCTTACCAGCAAATCTTCCACATCCTCAGACTCGTGGGGTGAGAAAACCACAAACGATCCGTCAAAATGGGATGTCACCCGAGACATTGTGGCTTTCCGTGATACCGAGCAGATTGTGATTTTCCGAGATGGAGAACATTTGTCTGGTATCCTTGATAAGGGCCAACTTGGCCCAAGTGCTGGAGGATTAGTCCACTCTGTTTATGAGCTCTATGGACATATCCTGGCTGGCAAGTTGCTAGGTGTCCTTGGTCGTCTCTTGACTCGAGTCCTGCACGAACGTGCCTGGTCTTGTGGCATGGACGATCTCTACTTGACCAATGAAGGTGACAATGCGCGTCGACAGGAGCTGAGCAGAGGCAAGGGAATCGGCCTTGAGGTGTCCGCTGAGTATGTCACTCTCAAAAAAGAAGGTGTCAATCAGGAAACACCAGAGCTGCTCGGCAGACTTGAAAATGTCCTCCGCAATGATGACCAGCTCAACGGTCTAGATCAGCTCTACAAGGCCAAGGTCAAGTCGATTACGGACAACGTCTCCAAAAGTTGCCTGCCCGCAGGTCTTCGAAAACCCTTTCCCCGAAATCAGATGCAAGCCATGACCATATCTGGGGCTAAAGGGTCTAGTGTCAATGCGAACTTGATCTCGTGCAATTTAGGTCAACAGGTTCTAGAAGGTAGACGAGTACCTACCATGGTCAGCGGAAAGACGTTACCATCGTTCCGGGCCTTCGAGACCGATCCGGTTGCTGGTGGGTACGTCTCCGGCCGCTTCTTGACGGGTATCAAGCCGCAGGAGTACTACTTTCATGCCATGTCTGGCAGAGAAGGTCTCATCGACACTGCGGTCAAGACTGCGAAATCTGGGTATCTCCAACGCTGTATCGTCAAAGGTCTCGAAGGTGCTCGCACAGAATACGACACATCAGTTCGTGAAACCTCCAATGGCAACATCATCCAGTTCCTGTATGGGGAGGATGGACTGGAAGTTACCAAGCAGAGACACCTGCGGGAATTCACTTTTCTGGCCGAGAACAATTCATCTATTTCTACGTCGCTGAAAGCTGAAGAAGTTGTTCCGAAGCTATCCAACCAGGCACTGGCTGATGAACAGAAAGCAATTTTGAAATCCCTTAAGAAGGGCACGCCACGAGACCCTCTTACGGGCATCTTTGCCCCAGCAAGCAATCTCGGCAGTACATCCGAATCTTTCGCCGAAGCAGTCAACGCCTATGTGAAGGAGAATCCCGATAAGCTGATCAGAGACAAGAAGACCAACCCGAATGGTATTATCAGCAAGAAGACGTTCCAGTCCATCATGGACTTGAAGTATATGAAGTCGATTGTGGACGCTGGTGATGCCGTTGGGGTCGTTGCGGCACAGTCAGTGGGTGAGCCATCGACTCAGATGACGCTTAACACCTTCCATTTGGCTGGCCACTCAGCAAAGAACGTCACGCTTGGTATTCCTCGTCTCCGAGAGATCATCATGACCGCCTCGCCCAATATAATGACACCGACAATGACACTAAAACCGATTGAAGAACTGACCAACGTCGAGGGTGAGACTTTTGCCAAGAGTATCAGTCGTCTATCATTGGCGCACGTCCTTCGAGAACTCTCACTGACCGAGCGATCGGGTGGTGGCGCGGGACATGAACATGAAAGGATCTACGACATCCGCATGAAATTGTACGATCCGAAAGAGTATGAAGAGGAATATGCCATCAAAAGAGCTGACGTCCAACGCTGTCTTGAGAAGAGGTTCCTTCCCACACTTGACAAGATGATCAAAGATGAGTTCAAGAAGAAAGCCCGGGAATCGTCTCTTTCGGAAACCACGGCAGCTGTTCCAACCATTGGTGCTTCCGTCGGCGTCGTTGAAGAGGCTCGACCGACTGGCACAAGGACCGTGGAGCGCGAAGGTGGCGAGGATGATATTGACGAAGACGCTGACCCAGATGATGCGAAAGATGCTGCCGCGAGACGGCGGAGAGAGGACACTTTCGATGAGCCTGACGAGGACGAAAGAGATGTTGTAGCCGAGTCAGGAGACGAAGCGGAGGGAAGCGATGATGACGATGAATCACCAGATGCTACGCCGGCAAAGAAGCCACGTCCAACCAAGAAAAAGTCTCAAACTCTTCGAGAGCAGAATCCCGACGAAAGCGAGACAACCGAGGCGGAAGATTCCGAGGAAGAGGCCCGGCAAAACCAGCTCAAGGCCAGCTTGCCTCATCTCAAGCGGTTCAGCTTCGCGAAAAGTGAAGGCAAAGCCTGTCGGATCGTGCTGACTTACGATACTAATACGCCCAAGCTTCTTCTCCTTCCTCTGCTTGAAAAATGTGCGCATGCTGCCGTCATTCAGTCAATCCCGGGTCTTGGCGTGTGTACACAATTCATGGAAGAAGTCCACGGTTCGGATGGCAGACCTCTCAGGCAAGTCGACAAGGACACGGGCAAGGAAGAAACAGTCAAAGAACCTGTCATCACGACTGAAGGTGTGAACCTCCTCGCCATGCGAGATTATCAGGATCAGATCAAGCCGCACTCGGTGTACACGAACTCGGTGCATGACATGCTCAAACTGTATGGCGTCGAAGCTGCGCGGATGACTATCGTTAAGGAAATCGACGGCGTCTTCAAGGGTCACGGCATCACGGTGGACTTACGACATCTGAACCTGATCGCCGACGCCATGACACAATCTGGCGGATATCAGCCCTTCAGCCGCCATGGTCTGATCAAAGAGGGAGGTAGTGTCCTTGCGAAGATGAGCTTCGAGACTGTGATGGGTTTCTTGAAAGATGCTGTGCTCTATGGGGAAAGTGATCCACTACTTGGACCCAGTGCAAGAATCGTTGCTGGACGGAAAGGCAATATTGGGACTGGGTCGTTTGACGTGGTGATGCCGGTGCATTAGTGTGTTGATATTGGACGGAAGACTATGATTGGCATGGGTGTCCGGCGAATGGTAGTTCTTCATGTGATGCATATAAGTACATGTTCGATCGGACAGTGATGTGTAGAGCGATTTGTAGATTGGAATGTGGAATGCAGAGACGGCTCGCCTACAAGCTTTCTGATCATTCCCTAAGTTAAGTTCTGGGGCTGTAATGATTTACAATCGCTGCTGCCCGGCCCGCACGCGGCACACCTGCAACGCCTAGTGTGCAAGATTCAGGCACGATCAGGCTGAGTTTCCTGGCCACTGGTGCCTTGCTTCCTGCTTCCCCGCCAGCTAAGGTCAGAAACACTGGAAAGCGCTTTCCACGCGCGCATCTTCTTTCTGGGCTGCGGAACTCGAAGAACAAATCTCCTGACGACATTTGTCTCAAGGAGCACGTTGCCACATGATCAACTCTAGCAGAGGAATGGTCTAGCCAGGACCGCGCAGATGTTGTCTTGTTTTTCATCATGCTCACTTGCTCTAAGCGAAACCCTTTGAGCTTCTTCCCAAGGGTCATTCGTCTCCAAAATACCAACGGCATGGGTAAGCAGGGAAGCTATTCCACTTCGCCTAACGCTTGCAGGGTTTACAAGCGACTTTGCGCCTTCACAGAAGTCTGCCCGAAGCTCCCTAACTTACACTCAGGGGCTTCGAGCAACGTGGCCCCCCTGCCAGTCCGGGTTGTTGGCTAAGTCGAGGCTCTTCGACATTTACCAGTGCACCACATTGCATTGAGTAGCCCCAAGTCAGGGTTGATCATCATGGCAAATATATGCAGGAGGGGCATATTCTTTTGTCACACCTTGCCTCGCTTGCGTAAAAATGAGGCACCACAAGGCTCATCTTCCTCTCCAAACTGCCCGAACTGCGCACTGATGAAGCCCCTGGCTGGGTGGCACGCCGCTAGAGCCTTTCTTCACGTTTGGACGATCTGCGCTTATTACGACAGATAACGATGATCGCTCAGGGTTGGCACCTCGCGCAAGATGCTACGCACACACTGACCTGCGACTCGAAACCGCTCGTCTTAGTCTCTGGAATGCAAACCACCATATGATGCACACTTGGGCCCTGTCATCGATCGATGAGAAAGTTCTGGACCGACATAAACGGCTGCAATGTCGCCGCTGGGGCCCAGGAGTGGACAATTCCCACCTCCACAAAACCCACGTCCCACTTTCTGTCACTCATTTCTGGGGACACCACTGATGTGCTCTCTGACACGGACGGTACTATCAGTGTTGGCATTACCATCTACAATCGGGAAGTAGAGAATCGGGCTTTTTATCAGAATTGGTCCAAGTAAAGCTACTCACTCACAAGCTTCGACTACTTCATAGCCTACCGAAGAGCCTTGTTGTGCTCATAAGACTTTGCAAAGATGTCTGGAACAAACTCCTCTGCAATTCGTGCTGCAATTGCGCCTGCTACATTGCTGCCACCATACTGGTTCATTTGACACGGGCTACTAGCGGTCGAGGCTTGGGATTGCTACCTGCCTATCCCGGTAATGGGTGGCCACGCTCTCTTCGAGGCTGACGGGAGCACAGCCTATTCTACGCCAGTAAGGCATGGCCCGGGGATGTTCTGCTAGTGTTTTCTTTCTTCACTAGTATACGCTATGGTCAGCCACCGCAGACTCGCCTAGCTGTTGGAAACATGCTTGGCTTGGACCATGATGCTCTCGGCCTGCTCCCGAACCCCCCTTGTTCCCCGGATATGTGGTCCTCGCTTCTAACACAATACCAGAAATGAGCAACTATCAAATTAGATCGGTCCTACTCGATTCTACAGGTGTTCCCCGGCTGCCCCTGCGTCTAGCGTTTCAACGTCTGTTGAATATACAAGCATTCTCTGGAGAAACGCCATCCCAGGCTTGGGGAACTGATCTCATACACTGTTCTCGGGGGGTCCAACCGATCTTGGACAACCCGCTTTGTTCCGTTATACTCCTCCTTGCGGCTGACATATTTGATGGCTGCCCCCCCACCCGGTCACCGCATACTTGTTGTTCACACCTTCAAAGCAAACAAGCAGTCTTCGTCTGTTGTCCGGTAAAGATGGGTTTGGAACGTGGCATGCAAGCTGTGGTGACAGCTGTGGTGTTCAATGCATTGGCATTCCTTTTCATTGCTATCCGTTGCGTCTCTCGGTTCTGCCTTATCAAACAAGCTGGCCCAGAAGATTACCTGATCATCTTCGCTTTGATCACTTCGTTCGGTCTGACTGCTATCATTGTATTGCGTAAGTGCAGAATCTCTGGACCACTGCCATCCACAGGAACTGATCACTTTGCCACAGAGAAAAATCATGGACTGGGCCGACACTCAGACACTGTCAGTGTTGCAGACAATGAGACGTTGTCCAAGGTACTGGGTCATCAGGCATATCTGTGGACGCTCTGCTGACTGCTATAAAGCTGCTGTATGTCAGTGTTATCATTTACAACCTGGGTCTCTTTATGGTCAAGGACTCGATCCTCTATCAATACCTCCGGTTTTTCGTCCAGAGACGGTATCGCTATGCGGCATGGGCTCTCATCATCTTCATCGGAGTCGTGGGCTTGATCATGATTCTCACTTCTGCGTTCTCGTGCTGGCCCATTGAGTACTATTGGGACAAGACTGTCGAGGGCGGCCACTGCGTCAACATGCTTGCTTTCTGGTTTAGCTTCTCCGCATTCAACATCCTTACAGATCTGGCCGTTTGGGCTCTTCCAATGCCTGTGCTGAAGAGCTTGCAACTTCCGAGGAAGCAAAAAATGAGCTTGATAGCGGTATTTGCGCTGGGTGGTTTGTAAGCAAACAGCATCTGTTTGGTATCGAGCTATGATTAGCTGACAAGATGTGTTAGTGGTTGTATCACCTCAATCCTTCGACTGCATGCCCTCTATATCACCAGCATATCGACCGATATCACCTATGATAACGTCGATGCCGTGACCTGGTCCGCTGCCGAATTGAATGTGGGCATCATGTGCGCAAGTATTCCCGCCATACGCCCTGTCATCGGCCTCATTTTCCCAAGGCTCCTCTCAAGTACTCGGCGCGACTATACTTCGGACCCCTATCCTCGCAGTGCAGCGTATCATCGACATGATAGCGTCGTGGAGCTGTCCACAGTCAACAAAATGCGTAGTGGTGCAAGTCAGGAAGAGACGATAAGTCTGGGGTCCTCAAACGCGACGAATGCCATTCATGTCAAGCAGGAATGGTCTGTGACGCAGCGAGAAGAGGTTTGACCAAATTCACCATTCAGTCGTTCGGGCCTTAGGGGGGTGTGGATGAGGATTGTACAACATGATAAAACGACACGGCATTGGGCACAGACTTTGGATGGAGTCGAGCAATTGACGACTGCATTTGCACAGGGTAACGAATTTGCTTCCTGCACTGAAACAAGCACAGCATGGGACGTTGTTGACAGAGCATGTCCAAAAAACCGGTCGATGAAGGGTGGCATCGTGTAACTGCGTACATATACCCATTTTGGTTCGCCTTGATTTGACGTTTCATGAAAAGCGCGTTGATTTCCAGGAGGTCTTTGGACCAGTACACGAAAAGTTGGTAGTATCGTCTGTATGATATGAGTAACTGTCTTCGAGGTCTTCAGACTGCATTCAGGGTGCGGCTCGATTTTCCTTGAAGAACACTGCGCCAGGCCGCGGGACTTTCGTGGGCAGTCGTTCAATCACCACGTGAGTGCCGCGGATCTTTCGGCCATGGGGTTTTCTCCGTAGACGTGATAAGATATCGTATTGGATTGCATGAAGTCCTACCAAGGTTCGAGGTATGGAAGATGGAAACCCAAAACCCCATCTGGAGTACAATCTGCGTTGTGGATGATGGACTTGAGCGCTGTGGCCCGTGGGCAACGCCGAGCAAGTTATGGTGCATCTTATCTTGAGTGGGCATGTCAGGCACGGTTCTTGCGTGGGCATCTAAGCGGGCTGCCTGTCCTCGGACCTTGCTCTCCCAATGTTACCTTTCAACAATCGTTCAATCGACGAGTCGCCCACGCAATGAGTGGGATGCTTTTGCTCCTTTGGAGTTCAGCGACTATGGCCCTGTCAGGTAAAAGCATGAGACAGAACCTTGTAGATGGATTCGATAGGGCGCCCTTCACCGTGAACTCTCGGCCTAGATTCCACGAATGAAGCGCTTCTGGTCTTGACGACAAGTGACACGCACTCTTGACCTTGGACTCGCCTGGCAAGGAAGCATTTCTGAGAAGAAGACCTCGCCAGCATGTCATCAGGTCCTGTTGAGGTCCTTCAAGGTGGAAAAGCATGGCTTCGATGTGGTCAGGGGATGAATCTTGGAGAAGCGCCGATATATCGCGCCAGCGATTCCACGCTACACTGGGTAGACTGTCTGTGTGAACCACCAGAGTTGCATATTCAGCGCGTTGGTCCAGAGACTGGCGATGCCATTGGAGATACGAGGGTGCTACAACTGGAAGACAGTGTCACTGTGGCGTTCTTCCGGAAGGAGAAGCCTGGGAGCTACATTTGCGCGTACTTTCAGGGCGTGGCATTTCTGGACGAAGCTACGGGCAAGCTTGAAGTGGTCAAAGAGATCATTCCAACTGAAGATCGCGGTATACGACGATTCAATGACGGCGGTGTCGATGCCAAGGGTCGTTTCTGGCTTGCTGAGATCGATCGTGTGGCTATGGCGTATGGAGCCAATAAGTTGCCTGCCAGTCATGGTGAGCCGATCGGTCGGTTGTGGCGGTATGATCCTGATGGGACTCTGCATTTGATGGAGACGGGGATTATATGTGGGAATGGGCTGGCTTGGAGTCCGGATAACAAGACGAGTGAGTTGAACCGGAGCTGATCTTGGAGATGGAGCGAGGAATGTCTGGTACTGACGTGAATGATTGCAGTGTACTTTAACGACTCAGTGGCGATGATGGTGTTTGCTTATGATATCGACCTCGAGAGCGGCAGTATCTCGAATAAGAGGTTGTGTATTGATCGGCGGACGTCGTTTGGTGAACCAGATGGGATGGTCGTTGAGTGAGTCCCTTCCTTCCATTCTATTCTGGTCCAGACATGGAAAGCGTTATTGACACGAGACATGGTAGTACTGAGGGCAATCTTTGGATTGCAGTGTTCGCTTCATCCCGAGTCATGGTGTTTAGTCCGGCTGGAGAACATCTCAAGGATATTGTCTTCTCGGCGAACAATATGGCTTGCACGACTTGGGGTGGGCGGGAATTTGATATCCTCTACATTGCTTCTGGGAAGGATAAGAGCCCTGACGCGAGTCAGGATGATGAGGGTGGACATATGTTCCGGTACAAACCTGTTGGTGTCAAGGGGATGCCGAAGCATGAGTTTGACGGGTAGAATACCGCTACAGTACAATCTATCATTCTTAACTGTGGATCCCGTGCCTATAGTTAAGGAAGCCCCTATCATTTGTTGTTCTTAGGCGTATCAGGCTGGCACATTTCGGCGCCAAGGCCGACTAAAGTAATAGTGGCGGGTGGCCTGTCCAGCCCCACGACTTCCCTCGGGTTTACCTTGGTTTCTCTCTACCACATCGCCGTCTGTTCTTCTTCATATCCTTTGCCGGTGTGACACAGCAGAAATGTATTGGCGTCCTCCTCTGATGTGAAGTGTGTCTGACGGGAGGGGTCTTGAAGACAGCTTCAGTGTCCTCCAGACATGTCTGCCCTGTGCAGGGCTGTGGCAAGACTTTCAAGCGCCCCGAACATCTGAGTCGACATCGATTGAATCGTGAGTATGAGGCTCCATAACATATGATGGGTGGCTTGCTGACTACAGTATCGAGCAGATCGTCCCAAGAAGATATACAGCTGCGACACTTGTCACAAAGGTTTTGTCAGGCTCGACCTGCTCCAGAGGCATCAACGACGCCATGAGCGAGGAATGTCATATCGGAAATCTGGCGGCTATGTGCCTGATACACCCGCCTCTCCTCCAGATCCTCAGCAAATGGACCTGCCAGACACTTCGCTCGATATGACTCTTGACACTGTCGATGTCGCAACCCAACAAACGCCGCCGCCACAGCAAAATAACTCAATAACCGCGCCACTTCCAATGCCGTCAATTCCGGTACCTTTGCCGCTGGACGGCATTGAATATCCAGACTTCCTCCAAATGCCAGAGATGGACGCCAGTCACCATGTTATCTTTGATGCATCAGACGGCGCACAAGGTCTGGTGGAAGACCTAGATTGGCTTTTCGGGAACGTTCCATTCACAGAGAATTTGGATATGAGCCAGACATTGGATATGAGCCTTCCCAACGATCTGCCCTGGGCTTCCCCGAATAGCACACTATCCCAGCAGCTGAGTACCGATGCACCCTCGTTGACGAGCGGTCCTTGGTCAGCCGATAGGGATTCTGGATGCCCTTCGTACGTTACCTCAAGACCTGCTGGAGGATCAATTTTTCGACCCCTCCAACCTCAAATCCTTCCTCGACAGCTACTTCTCGAATTACAATGCTCATTTTCCGATTCTTTATCAGGCGTCATTCGCCTTACAAGACACTTCGCCTCTGTTGCTCGTTGCCATCCTCACTCTGGGAGCCACGTTGTCACCAGATCCGTTGCACTACCGTGCCTCGGAGAGAATTCACGAGAGTCTGAGATGGCTCATTTTTAGCTCTGGAAGTTTCCAGCCGCCAGCCCCTTTGTGGTACTTGCAAGCCCTACTCCTGGTCCAGGCATGCGAGAAAATGTTCTCCACACGAAAACGCCACGAGATGGCACATATTTTTCACGGAGCCGTCATTACACTGATGCGAAGAGGCGGTTCTTACTCATCTGATGGCACCCTGGACTCCAGCAGCGCGTCATCTGCAGAACGAGCCTGGCATCTGTGGGTTGAACAAGAATCGTTCAAACGAGTTGCATATTTTGCGTTCATAATGGATGCTCAACACTCGTCGATTTTCGGGCATACGCCGGCACTCTCCACCAGTGATGTGCATTTTTCCTTGCCATGCGCGGATGAGGTATGGGACAGCTCAAGCCCTTCATCATGGAAGAAGGCTTTTTCCAAAGCCGCCTCTGCTATCCAATTCTTGCCTACACTACGCGCTCTGCTCGCACGCCGCCCGATGCCTTCAACCTGCAGTCCCTTTGCACGATTTGTCCTGCTGCATGGACTGTTCAACGTTACAAAGCATATGCAGGCCCGTGATTTAATGGCGTCGGACATCGAGACTGGTAGGGCTTCGGATCATGGCGCTGAATCGACTCCGTCTTCCATCATTGGGGTTGACAATTGGAAAGAGATCCTGGATCGAGCTATCGATACTTGGTCATTCTCTTTGATGTCACAGCAGCCTTCATTGTCACTTGAAGCTGCTAGACCGTTACACCGGATGGCGCATGTCACCATCTACGTGAATTTGATCGACTTCCATACATTAGCTGGAGCACCGTCACTTACTGGTAGCAGTACCACGAGACACGAGTACACCAAAGCAAAGCGACGAATTCAAATGTGGTGCCAAAAACCAATTGCTAGGCGTACATTGTCGCACTGCATCCTGTTGATCCAAGAGACAATGTTTACGAGAAATCAGTATCGAGCGTCTCAAGACAATATTGCACCCCGGCGTTGGTGCTTGTATCATGCAACTCTTATCCTCTGGGCTTTCGGCATCCTGACGGAAGGGAAACCTGCCGAGAAGATCACTGCTGAGGACTACTTGGTCCATATGCTGAGTGGTCTGATGGACCATCATACTCAGCTGAAAGGCACGAACAAAACCCTGGGGTTGATCAGTGTGGTCAAAGACTCACTCTCTGACTGTCGTTGGGAACTACTCCAGGAAGCATGCACGACCTTAGGTAAACTAATCGAATCTTCTGCGTCTTGACACCGTTGAAATAGCCGGTGCTTCAACGATGACGGTCTCGACGATGCCGGGACTGAATTTGACTAGGAGACATCTTGTGGGAAACTACATTTCACACACCCTTTGTCATGACTTTGAGACAGCCTTCTCCAGACTTTGGCACAAAATAATGATCGCAGTCTTTCCAGCCTCAAGGACTGCATCCATTGCCAAGAAGGGGTGCGGCATTCCTTCCATGACGTGCACAACTGCATCGACACCAGCGTCCCTTAACTTCCTGGCATATTCCTCGCCCTCATGCTTCAAGACATCAAGTTCTCCAACCAAGACCACAGCTGGCGGTAGCTTGGAGAAATTCTCAGCAGGATACAAGAGCGGAGACGCCTCCGGGTTGGACCAATCCTTCTCGTCTGGCAGGTAATGCCGCCTGTACCAAAGCATCTTGTCTGCTGGAAGTGCTGCGGTGAGCTCATTGCTTTTATATGTTGGGTTTGACTTCACACTCGCTGTGTTGTCTGTGACCGGAACCACCAGAAGCTGGGTTGTGAATTTGATGCTGGTACATGCTAATGCTTTGTTCGTCATGATCGCGGCTAGGTTACCACCAGCTGAAGAACCACCAATGGCGACGTTCGACAGATCCAGCGACAGAGTTGATTGTCCCTCACCAAACACCCACAAGACGGTTTCCCAGGAGTCATGCACTGCTGCGGGCCACGGGTGTTCTGGTGCGAGTCGGTAATCTGTGGTGATGACCACATATTTGGCTCGAGCACACAGGTTTGTGCATACGGTGTTCTCGGTGTTGATATTACCCAATACCCAGCCGCCGCCATGATAGTAGATCATGACTGGCCAGCCCTTCTGGGGTGGTTCGCCCTCCGGCGTGAAGCATCTGATTTGAACATCCGGACCGTCGATTGCTTGTCGCTTGAGAGCAATGTCCTGCGTCTTTCCGACCGGTAAGGGATCTCCACCGCCTGGGATGAGCTTGCCTCCTACCCGAGACGCTGATACAGGCTGAAAATGCACCTGTTGAGAATTGATAATGTGTTCATTGTAGAACTTGACATATTCAGGGTGAAGCCTATCCTTGACCGACTCGTGAAGCGGATATGGAGGTTGAGGGTTGGTGAACGACATTCTGAGAACACTGGCTCCTCCGGCGAAGATCAATTGATCGCTATAGATTTTGGCGGTTGTGATACAAAGATTACGGATTATTTCATATACTATAGTGAGTAAGTACCAGGTAAGTCTAGGACTTGTCCGAAGGGTTCCTTTCCTGCTTCCCTGATCGACGGCGCCATGGTTTTGGAGCCCGCATCTTGCAAGGGTCTGAACATGCTGTTCAAGCTGGGACGATTGATTGCGACGTTGCGAGTTGCGTGGGGGTGTTCAAATAGGGAAGGATATGAAACGCTGCCCGCGTAATAGGGGAAAGTGGGCACTTTTTCTCAACATCAGGCCGAACATGATTACAGCCAGGAGTCCTGGGGATATGAATGAACGGATGAGTAATCCACTGCTGACACCCACCTTGTCGGCGACGTCGAAAGCTCAATCTTACAAGATCGCTTTCAGGAGACATTGACAACCTTCACACCACTGAGCTCAGGATCAGGCAAACCAACCCCAGTTACAACTTTCCCCCCATGTCAAAGAAAGCAATCGTCACAGAGAATGCTCCCAAGGCCCTCCCCGGGATCTACAGCCAAGCCATCGTCGCAAACGGCTTCGTCTACTGTTCAGGCTGTGTCCCAATGGACGCTAAGACGATGAAATTGATCGACGGAGACATCCAGGCTCATACTGTGCGTACCATGTTCCCCCGATTCGTCGATTCGTTTGATGTTAATATGAGTGTGTCGCGCAGCATCAATGCATCAAGAACTTGGGCGCCATCCTGGACGCAGCGGGCTCGAGTCTCGACCATGTCGTCGAAGTCAATGTCTTTTTAGCGGATATGGATGACTTTGCAAAGATGAATGAGATTTACACCCAGTATTGGGGTGATGTCAAGCCTGCGAGGACGTGAGTTTCATGGTGTTGTCAGTGGTTTGGGAGCTTATGCTGATGTTACCTGATAGTTGTGTGGCTGTCAAGACTTTGCCGTTGAACACGGATGTCGAGATCAAGTGTGTTGCTGTCCTGAAGTGAGGCTGCGAAGGTATCATATTTGATGTTGGTGGTATGATCGTGGTGTAGGCTCTGGGCGCTCAAACATGTCACAAACTCCAGTGTGACAATGGGGGCTGCGTCCATTCAAACGGCCGGCGGTGGAGGCCCGCAGCGCGGCGTGATTGTCGCTGTTCGCATGAGAATCGAGGGAGACTTGAAGGTATAGGCGTCAAGAAGTGAAGGTATATCAAAAGTATGTTCATGATACGAAGGTGCAAAGGCCACCATGCCTATCGACATGGAGAAGGGGTAGTCCCTGCAATCGAAGAAAACCAAACTACTTGAAAGCAGCCTCCTGGTCAAGAGGCCTCCTGCTTCAGCTCCTCTGCACAACTTCAATGGTAGCTTCGTCTGCCTCCGTCTCAGTAATCGGATTGCTTTCAACCGTCTCCTGGGTATCTCCAGTCGTCGGTCTCGACGTGTCAACAGGATTCCTCTGCCTCATCTGCGTGAGGCCAGCTGTTTCGTCCCGTGTTGGCGGCCGCGTAGGGTTCCTCTTCAATTCACTCCAAGCAGCGATGACACTGACATACAGTATCCATACGAGCGTAGCAATCGCACCATATGCGATCCTCGGCCCAGTCGGCCACTGTCGACCGGGAAAGGTGGAAGCAAACTGGAATCCCAGGCCACCGTTGATGATACCGACTGTGATCAAGATCCGGCCGAACCATAAATGCGCTTTCGCGAGGTATGCGACGCGCGGAGACTGGACACGAAAGATGTGGGACACAAGTCCGGTGAGTGGTTGTATGGTAAGGAAAGCTAGCATGACGAGGCCAATGATAGGGTGATAGTCGTTCATCGTGTGGACCTTTCTCGCCATCCATATGCCCATCCCGGCTGCCGCCGTGAATATAATGTATGCAAACGTCTGGAGTGCAGCGTGGATATAGACTGCATTAGGGTGTCGGGATATGAGCATAATGGTCCCGCCCAGGGGGAAAAACAACAGGAATGCGCATGCTCCGAAGACGGCATGCGCGATTCTGACGGCGTTGAAGCTTGGCGGTAAAGATAGATTTGGATGGGAGATCAAGTTGGGGAGTGAGCTGGTCAGCGTCGTAGTAGAAGAATTGTCAGTGTCTGTTGGCGCGAGTATGTAAGTTGGCTGCGCCATGCTGACGGCCGCTGAGCAGTCATGTTAGCCAATGTTCGCACGAACAGCCTATCATGGGGAGGAGGTGAGTGTCGTATCGTGATGCAGCCTGGACTTACCGAACATACTGCCGACCAAGTACCAAGCGGCTATTCGGCTAGATATCATGTTGGCTGATGTCTTGGAGGAATTGTTCCTAGGTGAGTGATGACAGTGATGTCTGCTGTCGCCCACACCCGCAGTTTGGAAAAGATCATCAGCAGCCACTGAGAACAGGCTCGTTGGGTATAAGGCTTTGGACGTTCGCACATGCCATTGTGGACATGACTCAAAAGGGAAACCAGAACTGCATTGGAATGTGCCATCTGCGGTCCCAGCAACATATCGGGTATGCCATCTAGGTCCAGTTGAAGCAAATTGAGCCGGCCCTCCAGGCTGGGTGTGTTCAGACATTTCATTCTTCTAGAATAATTATTGTGCGGAAACCGCTGTATAGGCCAAAACAATCGCTGCATTTCCAGATATTCGTCGTTAATCGTGCAATCGTAAGCGTTCGTCATTATGATGAGGGCTCTCCAGTACAAGGGAAACCACTTCAGGCAGTGGCTGTTCCATTCCTGACCCACCAGTCTGCCCAATGGACAACCTTCTTCTCGCGTCTAGCTTCTTCAGCGGCGAAGACAACGGCATGGCTCAATATGATCTCTTCCAAGTCGTCTCCCACAAATTGCCTCTGCGCTTCCGCAACGTCCATGGTCCCTTCGTCGACGCTTTGCACGGCTTGGACGAAGGCACCTGCAAGACCCCAATCGCCACCACCATGGCTTTTTTCGACTTCGGGTGCTTGCTTGGGGATGTCGTGGGCGATTGTTTTGCCCGTGGCAAAGGTATGCACACTGATCGTGTGAGAGTCGTAATGTATCTCTCCCTCAGTACCATATATCCAGCCCCGCCGCTCACATTGTGCTTGAGTAGGGTATGTCATGTGGAACAGGGCTCTTTTGGGTCCACGACCAATTTCCTGACTGGGAAGAGGCTCGTCATCCCACTCCATCGTGACTGTTTGATCATCTACGACATCGTTGTCTGAATCGAAGACACAGCGGCCATACCAGCCCCTGCTCGCTACTTCATCATCAGGAGTAGTTCGCCTGTCGTAGTCTTCGGAAAGTTTATCCATCAACCTCTTCTCCGCCGCGTCCCATCCTTGTCCTGCTACAATATCTTCAATCTCTGGAACAACGATCTTGAGTGGCCAGCCAGTGTCCTTCTCCTTGCGGAGCCAGCAGTCACGGTAGATCTTCTTTGCCGAGTAATTGCAAACTGGCTCCGCGGAGCAAGATAGGCAGTTCGTCGCCGTACCTGCGGCCTTGGGTTTCCTTGCTCGTCGAAAGTGTGTTATGGCTCCAGTGCTTGAAACAGTTGATGGAAGATGGGGTCTGTCCCCATTCAAGGGACTTGGTGAACACAGAAGCCACAGTAGGAAATCAATATCATGACATGACTTCGTTAGCAAAGAGCCAACGCCTTCTGGTGTTGACCTCCGCCAGTTTCCGCGCACGTAGGAATGGGAGAAGTGCCACCATCCAATGGGCTCTGTGTGCTCAATTGAAACAACTTCCCCAATGATTTGGTCCGACGTCAAGAGCTTGCGCAAGAGGATGTTATGCGGTGAGTATCGTAGAACGTGGCCGATAGAGAACACCTTTCGCGGGTATTGCGACAAGGATGAGGAGATGGACACACAGTCTGACAAGAACAACGCCAGAGGCTTCTCGCACAGGATGTGAAGGTTGAGAGGGGCAATGGCTCTGATGATCGGGGCGTGTGTCTCGTCCAATGTGCAGATGAAGATGCCCGTTATGGGAATGTATCCAGGCTCAGAGCCTCCTGCCTTGTCGACATTCTGTCTCCGTTGTGACTCCCAATTCACCCACTCTTCCCACCCGTTGAAACACTCGTGCTCTGCAGGAGTGCCTTCCCTTCCCCATATATACCTCTTGCCGAACTCTTGCCGTTTGAAAGGATCAATGTCAGCGACAGCTGCAACACGTCCGGATGTGGAGGCTTCGACTGCGCGGGCATATGCATGTCCTCGAGATCCAGCCCCGATGATCAAAAACTGCGGAAGGTTCGCGGGAGGACCGATAGAACCCATAGTGTTCAGCGGCGCCGAGAGCTTGGACAGAGACAGAGAAGAGCAAGTGATAGAGAAACTGAGTATTGTTACATGGCGGGCATATGAATGTTGTCGGCGGAGTAGAGCGTGGGCAGAATTGCGGAGAAGTCAATGTCAAGTTGATTGAGTGTATCACGATTGGCCAGCCTTATGGTTCCCAGCACATCGCCAATGACCATCGTTCTCCTCTTCATCACGCAATGTGACTAAGTCTGGCCAGAAAGTTGCTCCAGATGTCGTGAAACAAATTGACATGTTCTCCTTGTTCCGCTGATAGATTTGATGCGACCAGGGTACAGGACAGTAGATCGACCATGCTACTAGGCCACAGATGGGCCAACACCACCACCCTCGGTCACATACAAAGATCAGTCCGTGTATGCCTAGACTTGCTTTGGATCAATGAGAACACGCAGTGGCGGAAGCCCATGTCGACGGCACCATTCCCCTGCGCGGTTAAAGCGTCCTTCTGGAGAGGTGGCACGTCCAAAGGTGTTTTCTTCAACATTGACGACCTTCCAGAATGGATGCAATCCATCTTGAACTCGGAGAAGCATCCCGACAAGAGTCAATTCCAGAAAATGGAAGGATTCTTCGCTGCAGTGATGGGATCACCCGACAGCTATGGAAGACAACTTAATGGCATGGGTGGAGGCATCTCTTCCCTTAGCAAAGCAATGGTGGTCGGGCCATCTAGTCTGTCAGACGTTGATGTGGACTACACCTTCTTCCAGATAGGTGTCAAAGATGGCAAGCTAGACATGGCTGGTAATTGCGGCAATCTGAGCTCTGCAGTCGGGCCTTTTGCATTGAACTCCGGAATCTATCGTGGAGCACCTGATACCGAGCAAGCGAACAACGACATTGAGACGGGATCGGTGACCATGAAGATGAGAAACACCAATACCAAGAAGATCATTGAATCAACCTTTGAGGCATGCAAGATCAACGGCTTCTGGCAGTACTTGGAACTGGGCAAGAGCTCCATTGATGGCGTCCCTGGCACCGCGTCTACCATCACACTCTCTTTCCTCGATCCCGAGGGCTCCAAGACACCAAACGCTTTACCGACGGGCAACGCCGTGGATCACATCAAAATCGGCGACCAAGCCATACGAGCATCTTTGATTGATGTCAGCAACCCAGGGATTTTCATCGATGGTAGGGACGTCGGTTGGCACACTGGTGCAACGCCAGAAGATCTGAATGCAGATGAACAGCTCCTGGGCAGACTTGAAGCTATTCGCAAGGAAGGTACAAAGATGATGGGACTGGATCCCAATGTCAGCAGTATCCCGAAGATCGTGCTGTTATTCCCTGCCAGAGCAGATGGCCTGGATATCTCATGTCAGGCTCTCTCAATGGAACAGGCTCACAAAGCTGTTCCTGTTACGCTTGCACTCAACCTAGGTGCAGCTTGCAAGATGGAAGGTACAATACCTAACCAGTTGTCGAAACATCTGAACCACGCAAATACCGTCATTGGTCATCCTTCTGGGACGCTTGTGGTTGGGGCAGATATACAAAATGGGAAGATACGGAGTGCGAAGCTGCTCAGAACCGCTCGATGCCATATGGATGGTATGGTCAATATTACCAAGGCCGACGAAGACGAAGCTCAATTTTGAGGATCCAGAGTGCTAAGATCTCGTATCTTCGAAAGCCCTCGCTGGATCAGCTTACGTGACGTCGGTATTGCCACACCCTACGAAGAACGTCGCCAACAAGGACCGCTTCAAAGCACATTCCACGATCACATATCAGACTCTAGCGCCACACGTCCGCGGCACAACCTACCTGAGGCGATACCTGTCGCGCATGAGGGCTGAACGTTGGTGATCTTAGACGTGATATATCTCGCTGAGCTGGTCACCAGAATGTCCGCAGGCACTGACCAAGCAAAATACCACTCGAACGAGGAACTTACCAAGCAAGTGCTGGTGTTCGCGCTAGACGGAATACTTCAAGCCTCGTGTCTGCTGCGGCAGTGACACTTGTACACAGTAACCTCACACGCATCACATATCAATTTCGGACAAACTTCGGGAAATGAGGCCGACGTTGGAGTATTTCTTTTCAGCTTCCCCTTTGGTCCGCGATCTCCTCATATGTCATGACCGCATACGAAACAGATGCTCCATTCGTACTTGAATAGCTTCTGAATCGGTGTTAACTCCACGCCAATGCGAGCAAATGGAATTATTGCGTCAGTGAGGATAGATCAACACACATTTTCCTTAGCAGCCTCAAATGCTATCATTGGACAGAAAGGTTCAAACGTGCTAGGACAAAAGGTAAAGTACCTTCAGCTTGATCTATCTTCCTCCCTTCGCTTTCCTGCGTCCTTGAAAACACCACCTCCGAGTTATCTACCCATACAACCTACCGCCAAACACCTACCCGAATCCTCACCATGTCCGCACAAAAATCCCTAGGCAAATGCTGCATCTCGGGGTCCGTCCATGATGGCACCCCAACCGGTCGCGAAGACACCATCGGCGGCCTGTCCACGTACATCGCCGAGCCCAGCGATAAATCCACCTCCAAGACAGTCGTATTTCTAGTCGACATCTTCGGCTACAAATTCAAAAACGTCCGCCTTCTCGCAGACAACTATGCCAAGGCCGGCTTCTACGTCTACATCCCGGATGTGCACGAAGGCGATTCCCTGCCCATCGAGTTCCTGCAGAGCGTCGAACCACCTCTAAAAGCGAAAGAGGAGGAAGGATACCTGACCAAAGCGAAAGAGACGGTTGACGTTATGGCCACGCTTGGCCCGTGGCTAGCCAAACACCGCGAGGGCGTATCGGAGCCGATCATCAGCGGCTTCATCAACGCGGTGCGACAGATCCCTGGCACGAACAAGATCGGCGCCATCGGCTTCTGCTGGGGTGGCCGGTACGCGATCCTGCAGGGCCACAAGCGGACAGAGGGCCAGGTCGGCGGCGTGGATGCAGTGTATGCTGCTCACCCGTCGCTGCTGTCTATCCCGGCGGACATCGAGGCTGTCACGGTCCCGACTAGCGTCGCGGTCGGCGAGAAGGACTCGCTGCTCGACTTGAAGTCGGTGGAACAACTCAAGGAGACGCTCGAGAAGACTGGTGTGCCTTCCGAGGTCAAGATCTACAAGGATCAGGTACACGGGTTCGCACTCCGGAGCGACTGGAGCAGCGATGAGGATAAGAAGGCCATGGATGATGCCGAGAAGCAGGGTATTGGGTGGTTCAAGAAGTATCTCTCATGAACATATCTGAACAGCGCTCTGTACAGCTACTAGAGTGAGGATGCAATGAACGATAATTCCATTCTTTATACGAAACCGTGAAAATACTCAATGATCTTTGGCCGGGGAATCCTCCTCCTCCTCCTCCTCCTTTTTCACCGCACCATGATATCGCAAGTGAGTACCGATATAATCGCTAACCTATTTCGTGTGTCACTGATAAACTCGTGGTTCATATATTCAACTCGAAGAGAACTGTTCAACAATCTCCCTTCCAGTATTCTTGCCTCCTAATATCGACTTGATCACAAGTTTCATCGTGATATTAGTGCTTGGAGAGACGAGTACGTTCCGCCCCCCTGCTGCGGTGAATCTCCCTTCCAGTATCCGACCTCTTATTCTCCTCTACTGTGTTACTGAGTTAAAGACGGAGAGACGAGTTTCGATTGCAGACATCAATAGAAAAAAATCGTGAGGTTTCTTGGATCTCTCGAGGTCTGAGTTTTTGCTGGCGCTCCGGACGATTTCCTGTGGGACTTTTTGGTATGAAAAGCATCTAGGCTCTCTGACTTTTGATGGGATGGGCGGCGTGATATTTGTGCGGTGAGGCAGAATTGCGATCATGGTAGGAAGCAAGTGAATGTGCAAAGATCAACGACACGAGGCTGGTGAACGTGACGAGGCTGAATACCAGGTACTTGGGAAACGACGTACGTCCCGCGACGAGCATCGATTGGGTACGTCGATCATCATGTCGCTCAAGATATTGAATGGCATCTTCCGGCTGTAATGGAAGGCCATCGTGGTGAAGCCGAGATGAAGGATTCCAGATTTCGTCTGCGACTATCAATATTGTTCTAGTTGTCTTTACCTTGCAAGAATTATCCATGTAAGCGGTCGCCGTGTAGCAGAAATAAGTATAGGGAGCATCCTATCATTACTCACTCCGTAACCGGATGCTCCAATATGCTTGTTGCCTTATCGCCCGGTAGGTGAGATGTCACTCTCAACAATGGATGGTGAAAGTCATTTCATATAGCGCACTCCTTTTCCGCGGTCTCGCAAGACAGGCTCAAAGTCATGGTATCCCTGACCAGACACAACCATACGGAACGAGGCTGCTAATTTGTGCCATCATCGTTCCCAACTTTTTGTTTTGCCAACACTCGTGCCGAGTCGCCGCCGTAGGCATCCAATATGGAAAGAGAAAGATACATATATTGATCGTAATTTACACCCTGAAATTCGGATTAGGACAGTGCTCCAGGCTCTGTGCGCGGGTTGCATGTTTTCAGCCACGTGCACTTTGTACATCCATGGTATCGGGCGAGCACTTGCCACTGAGTTACAGCATCTCACACCGTGCAAGGTCATGCTTGACTTATGCCATTCACATGATAGCCCACACGCATATCAGCCGACAGTCGTATGGTAGACATCATGATATTTCTTTCGGCCAGATGGATCAATAAGGCTGAGTGGGTAAGGATGTATGAACGTCAGCCTGTGGAACCACTTTAGATAAGCGTACCAGTTGTGGGTCGATGGGTTTGTGCCAGTGTGCCGGCTCACCCAGGATCGTCAACAAAGGGTGTCTCACGCATCAAGCCAACACCTTTGATGTTGGCCTCCAAGCAGACACCTTTCCAGGACTCACCACTGGCTCGTTGCTTTTGATGAGAGGAACACCCTTGTCGAATCACCATCATCGGCGATATCGCTCGTCCTCGTCAACTTTCAAGGCCAAGCCATGACAGCGTGGGGAGGAATCGGAGACTGGTGGACTCTGATGAAGCTTAGCAGAGTTTAGAAGTCTTAGGCGTTAGTTCACCGTGACGCCAAGCACTGATAAGCTTCCTCCCCAGGATTGGCTAATGCCCCCCAGCCTTCCATGCTGGCCATGACAGGCTCTTTGACCTTATCAACACCTCAAACTTATTCCACCTGTTCCCGCCCTACGTTTTGGAATTGCTTGCAAACCCAATCACGTAGTGGCTTTGCTCTCAATGATAAGCAGACGAGCAGCATTGACCTCTGATTGGTGATCCAGGCAGTATGCCGCTGCCACGTTGGTGCCTGGATCGGTCGCTAGCACTGCTCATCATGCTGAATCTCCGCTTCTAGAGACGAGCCTCCGAGAAATGTGGTCAATCGGCCAATGATAACACTGCTTCAGCAATTGATATCGCTTGAGCCCCCGGTCCATCTCGCAGTAGGGGAGATAGGTAAGGGTCCGTTCGGGAGCTCGGGGTCTTGGGTTGCGCTTTTCTTTTTCGTCGTGCGCAATGGCGACTTTTCCATGCTTAAGAAATCCATTTCCACCCTCGTAGCGGAACGCGTCCTTGCGCTCACCTCTCTCCCTTCGTATCCCTCAATCCGGTGCCCTCTCACACTCTTTGGGCTGTGTCGCCATCTCGAGAGCCCCGGCGAACAAACCCACGACGTCGAGACTTTCACAGTCCGCAAACATGCCCGCAAGGCCGAATGCACCGATAAGGGCAAGTAGGCGATGGGACGCCGACACGTTGGTCGCCCCCGAATGGCTTAACAATGGTGACAACGCCTGGCAATTGACAGCCGCAACTCTCGTCGGCCTACAGTCGGTTCCTGGTCTTATGGTCATGTACGCCGGCTTGGTGAAGAAGAAGTGGGCAATCAACTCCGCCTTTATGGTGCTCTATGCCTTTGCAGCCGTGCTCATTTGTTGGGTGATTTGGGCTTACAAGGCGGCCTTTGGAAAGCAAATGTTGCCTTTTGTTGGCGTACCTGGCCCTGCGCTCACGATGAACTATGAGTTGGTACAGGCATATCTGCCCGCAGCCGATCTTTACGCAGCATACCCCATGAGCACGATGATATATTTCCAGTTTGTCTTCGCAGCCATTACACTCGTCCTGATTGCTGGTGCCGGCCTCGCAAGAATGAACTTCACCGCGTGGATGTTGTTTGTTCCACTCTGGCTGACCCTCAGTTACACCGTGGGAGCCTTCAGCATCTGGGGAGGTGGTTTCTTGTATCAGATGGGCGTTCTCGACTACTCTGGTGGATACGTCATCCATGTGTCCTCTGGATCGGCCGGTTTTGTTATGTCGTATTGGGTTGGACCGCGACATCCTCGGGATCGCACAGAATTTCACCCCAACAACGTTCTCCTGGCCTTGGTGGGCGTTGGCCTTTTGTGGCTTGGCTGGAACGGCTTCAACGGAGGTGACCCTTATACCGCTTCGCCCGATGCCGGCGCTGCAGTGTTGAATACCAACATCTGCACTGCCATGAGCATGTTAACCTGGACACTGATGGATTTGGCTTTCTTCAAGAAGCCCGCTGTGATTGGTGCTGTTCAAGGAATCATCACCGGCCTTGTCGCAATCACTCCCGCCGCAGGGTTTGTCGCTGGTTGGGGTGCCATTATTATTGGATTATGCTCCGGTATTATCCCATGGATCTCCATGAACATTCTCGGCAAGCAGAAATGGTTCCTCGAATTTGCGGACGACGTGGTCGGTGACTTCCACACCCATTTGGTTGGTGGTATCGTTGGTGGTTTCTTGACCGGATTGTTTGCCACTAGCGAAGGCACAGCCGCTTTTGCCCTGTCCCCAACTGGCGGTGCGATTGATGGGAATGGCCGACAAGTTTGGGTACAAATCGTTGGTTTCTTGTTCATTATTGGGTGGAACATTGTTTGGACCTCCTTGATCTGTCTCTTCATCAAATACGTGTTGAGAGTGCCTTTGAGATATAACGAGGAGCAACTCTTGATTGGTGACGGTGAAGTTCATGGAGAGCTTCCGTATGCATTCTTCCACGACGGCCGTCATGACTATGAGTAAGTCGACCTCTGCAATTGGTGTTTGTTACACGTACTGACTCTATCCTTTTCAGTGCCAAATACGGCCAGCCAGACCCGGAAAGAGCTCATGAGAAGATCGAAGGTGTCGATGCTGGCAGAGACATCAGCAGTGAAGAGGGCTCAAGCTCGGGCGGCAATAATCTGAGCGGAGGACAGATTGGAGCCGTTCATCCAAAAGTGACCAAGCAACATTAAGCTTGACCTTTTTTTTTTCATCTCAAGCCAGTGCGCTGGATGTAGGATTGGGGCGTTGTTTGTATGAAAGTCGTGGTTTGAAGGCAGCTTCGGAAGAGACATCTCATACATTTTCTCCACGGTTCCGGAGGGACATGCTTCATGAAGTGTAAGAGGCCAGCCAGAGACATATTCTTTGACCATTTCAATATACCCCTTAATAATTTGAACCTTTCCTAAGACATGATGAATGTGCGCAGTTGTTTGTTTGGGATGAATTATCATCGAACAAAGAGCAGTTGCCCAAGGCTGAGTGTGTGATGTCAGGCCATTCTCAAACGCGTCAAAAGAGTCTTGTCTGACAAGTATTTTATACATGAAAAGCACGACAAAGACGGTGTTTGCCCATTAGATATTTTATCAGACGTGCCGATTTCTTGCAAGCAAGGCAATTGCTCACTTCACTGTGTTTCAGCCTTTCTCTTGCCTGTTTGTATTTCTACTTCCCCAGCCATCGCGATGCTCATTTTGTTCCTTCATTCTTCCTAATCAATTTCCAACTTCTCTGGACTTTTCTCGATCATTGAACCGCTGCGCCCGTTCTTATGTCTGGCGTCTGTCACCCATTGACACTCCCAACCCTCAACCCGCGTATCTGAGCTACTTGCCAGCGCATCGCTGGCTCCACTGTTCATCATGTCGAGCGCAGTGTATCGCTTCGGTAAGTGCCCTACGAACATCCTGACATCTGTGTGATCTGTACCGTAGCTTGGTGGTGTACCAAAACATGACCACGCCTTTTCCCGTCTCCAGCCTTGGCTTTTTGGTCAAGCCAATGCGTATGCTAATCTGAGCAGAGATGGCCAAGACAGGCCGGGCCGGCTGTCAAAACACCCAGTGCAAGAAGGATCAAGTCAAGATTGAGAAAGGTGAATTCAGATTCGGAACTCAAGTCATGATCAAAGATCATCTCACGTGGATGTGGAAACATTGGTAAAGACCTCCTACGGTCTGGTGACAATATACGCGGTTGGAACTGACACTAATCTAGGGGATGCGTCACTCCTGGGCAGATTGCCAATATGCAGTCTCAGATTGGTTCCCTCGACGATCTAGACCTTGATGCAGACCTTCCAGCCATTCTCGACGGATACGAAGAAATCAGTATCGAGGCCCAGGAGAAGGTCAAATTCGCTTTGCAACATGGCCACGTTGCTGATGAAGATTGGAAAGGGGTGAGCTTGCCAAGTGACGCTCGTCTGCCATGACTAATGCAATCTACATAGGAGCCAGAATTGAATCGACCGGGAATGAAGGGCATCAACAAGCGTACACCCAAGGCGAAGAAGACTGCAGACGAGGACGGCGAAACACCGGCTGCAGGAGGAGATGAGACACCAACTAAACCCAAAGCAAAGAAAGCTCGCGCCAAGAAGGTCAAGGCCGAGGCAGACGATGACGAGGATGAGTTGGGCTCTCCACCACCGAAGAAGAAGTCCGCCCCTCGCAAACGCAAGGTTGCTGAGGAAGACGCAGACGAGGAAGCTGCTGAGAAGCCCAAGAAGAAGTCAAGAGCCAGAAAGGTCAAGGCTGAACCTCAAGACGAAGAGCTTGGCTCAGATGATCTTTTGAACGCTCCCGAGGTTCCGGCACAGAAGAAGTCAAGAGCGAAGAAGGTCAAAGAAGAAGATCTGGACGATGAGGAAGACGCTCCTGTTGCACCAAAAGCCAAAGCCAAGAAGTCCAAGAAAGTCAAGGCTGAGCCTGAAGTGGAAGAAGGTATCGACATGGAAGGTGTTGGTGGCGGAGACAACGAATGGCTTGACCCAAACGCTCCGATTCCGGAAGAAGAAGAAGAAGAAGAGCCTGAAGCCGCTCCAAAGAAGAAACGAGCTCCAAAGGCAAAGGCCAAGAAGACAGCATGAGCGATTCTCGACAGGATCGCATCTCTATGACCACACGAGGGCCCGACTTTTGCGAAGCTATGTGTAGCGAACAGAGCACTGTTGTATTGTACAAAAGGTGGTTGAGGGATTGACACACTTAAATCCGAGGGAGTGATAAGCGAGTTCATAGCGTCGCGAGAGATTCCCTGTACTATTAGAGTCATTTGCTTTATGCTATCAGTGAAGTCGGATGCATCTTGATCGTGAGCTTGTTAAGACAACAATGGAATTGAGATGCTTCATTTTGAGCACAAGACTGGTCTTCCATCAGGCCGTCGAGTCATTGTTGTACAAGTTCACCTGATTAGCCCAACCCGCTAGAACTCCCTCGAACATCATGCTGTCTAATAACAACCATCTAATAGCACCGATTGGCCGAGATGCAGGCTCAAAATTCTCGACTGTCGCCAATATCACAAACGTCAAACACGCCGGTCTCGGGTATGGAGTGGTGAGCAAGAGCCTTCTTTAGCAGCCTGGGCGGTTCCAAGACATCTTCTTCCGTCAGGACCCAAGTGCCCCAGTGGATGCCCATAGCTTTCTTGCACTTGGTGTCCCTGAAGACCTCAACCGCATCTCGAGGATCACAATGCATCGGGCTCATGATCCATCTAGGCATGTACGCACCAATGGGGATGAGACCGAGGTCGAATGGACCCCTCAGACGACCAATGTCTGCAAAGGCAGGGCAGTGCGGGAGTGAAGAGTACTCTTCGGCCCAGTCATCCTTACCGTCCGACTCTTTCGGTACAGAACGATAGCCCGTATCACCACCAAAATAGACGGACTTGCCACCTGAAGATACGGACCACGAGGCCCAGAGTGTCGCGCAGCGGTCGTGGATGCTTCGCGCTGACATGTGCTGACAGGGCAGACAAGAGATGCGTGATGTGATCGTGTCGGCTGCTGGTTTTGGTGTCGGACTGTCCGTTGAAGTAATGCTACCCTTCTTTTCCGCAGGGGCAGAGGGTGTCAATGTAAAATCGATCTCATCCCACCAGTCCATTTCTGTGCAGTGTTCTTCAATCCCGCAGGCCTTGAACCACTTCTTGTTACCGAGGGGGACGAAGAAGTGGGCTTCGGGGTGCAGTTTGCGGATCTCCATGATGGTTGGGTGTGAGAGGTGATCGTAGTGGTTGTGGGAGATGACTACCGCGTCTATCGTCGGAATATCTTTGATCTGGCAGGGCATTTCGGTGTATCGCTTAGGGCCCAGCCAGGAAAATGGCGAGCAGCGGTCCGTGAAGACTGGGTCGAACAGGACTCGTAGACCGGAGGGAAACTCGAGGTAGTAACACGCATGGCCGAGCCATGTCGCTCGCAGCGCTGTGCTGGCTGTTCGCGAGGGTAGGAACGTTGGTGGATGTACTGGCACTGTAGGAGGAGTTGTGTCGGGTTTATTGGCCTGCCCGCTGAACCTGCGGCCAAGCATACCGCTCATAATGGTCCAGAAGGAAGGAAAATGCCATGATGGCCATGGGTTGTCGAATCCACCGCTCTTGACGTGCCATTTCTTCGTCTTGGTGATTTCGTCGTCGGGTCTGGTGCTTGCTATTGAAGGCACGGCGACGGTCGCGCCGTAGATTAGTGCTGAGGCTGATGAGGACATGATTGGGCGAGACTGCGGTGGAGGATGCGGAGGATGGATTTTGTGTGCCACTCTTTTGGCGAAGAGTTGGCGGAAGAAGGAGCGCATGGGAGGAATCGCAGACACCCGGGGAGGATGGTGTCTGGTATTTATCGAGACTCGCTTGTGTTGGTGCCTAATAGAGGCATAGAAATATATCGCATGGTGGTGAATTGTCCTTCCTTACACGTACATAACGCACGGTCTCGGGCGAAATACATTGGAAATTCTTTAAGTCCGACTCTCCGGTCAAGTTTCTCGGAGTGCGGATAGACGCTGTTCCGGTCGTCGCTGCGACAGAACTCGTGAATTTAACCCATTACTATCTCAAATCGGATGATACCCGTGACAGGTCGCGAAGGGGATGCAGAGCGACAATGGAGTGGTTACGGTCGCTTCAAAGCAACCTACGCCGGTAGCTCGAGGGAACGATGCCGCGACGCAGAAGGCTGACTTCGTGCGCCTGTTCACTGGGGAAGGGAACAGTACAGAGGGGGGACTGATCGCGCAGTTGGCGAATAACCCTCTTTTCACTGCTGTAAGTATTCTGGATCGACGTGGAAATGTGGGTGGACTGGTCTAACAGTGACAGGGTTTTGGTCTGGCTGGTCTTGGTGCCCTCGCGACATTCGGTCAACGAGGTCTGCGCAATGGAGCAGCCCTCTTGCGCCGCCGCCTTCTTGTCGATGTCGAGATCAACGTTCGGGACGATTCCTACCCCTGGTTCCTGTATTGGATGACATTACATGAAAGGGGAAGAGTGGCCAGCACTGCAGCGCAAGCGAATCAAGGTGTTTTCGAGTCGTTGCTGCAACGACTTACACCGCGCATGCGACATTTGGCCATCGAGACGGAAAAGCGCGAGCTACCTAACGGTGCCATCCATACAAACTTCGCTCTAATTCCTGGTCCTGGAAGGCACGTCCTGCGCTACCGAAAGGCATGGATTTGGGTCAATAGGCAGAGAGAAGCCAAACAATTTTCAATGGACGGAAAACCGTGGGAGACAGTGACCTTGACCACACTGTACTCTCAACGGCATGTGTTCGAGTCCTTGTTCAAGGAAGCGCACGAGATGGCTACGCAAGCTGTGGAAGGCAAGACGGTCATATACACTGCATGGGGTACGAAGTGGGATAAATTTGGTCACCCTCGAAGCAAACGGCCCTTGGAATCGGTGATTCTGGACGAAGGGGTCAAAGAACGAATTGTCGACGACGTGCAAGACTTCCTTGGTTCTTCGAAGTGGTACTATGAGCGGGGCATCCCATATCGACGCGGCTACCTTCTCTATGGACCTCCAGGGACTGGAAAGTCGTCGTTCATCCAGGCATTGGCGGGTCATTTGAATTATGATATTGCTATGCTGAATCTCAGCGAACGTGGCCTCACAGATGATAGACTGAACCATCTACTGACTGTGATTCCGCAACGCACGTTGGTCCTGCTGGAGGATGTAGATGCGGCGTTTGCGAACCGCCGCCAAGTCGAAAGCGATGGGTACCAAGGCGCCAATGTCACCTTCTCGGGGTTGTTGAACGCCTTAGATGGTGTTGGAAGCGCAGAGGAACGCGTTATCTTTCTCACAACAAACCACGTGGATCGACTGGACGAGGCATTGGTCCGACCGGGACGAGTCGACATGACTGTTCGTCTTGGTGAAGCCACGACATACCAGATTGAACAACTCTGGCAGCGCTTCTACAATGAGGCAGATCCGGATGGGGATGTCAGGGAGAAATTCTTCAACAAACTTCAGGAGATTGACGTCTTGCCCGGACCGGAGGCAAAGGTCAGCCGTACCAGTATGGCTGCTTTGCAAGGACTGTTTCTGTACAATAAGGGAAATCCCGAGGGAGCCGTCGATATGGCGTGGCAGCTTGCGCCGGGTGAACTGCCGAGCTCTTTAACGCTGACGCGGGCAAAGGCCACGCTGTGAAGTTGGGGAGCATTTTGTATCATCTTTGTAGCTTACAGCGGCTTTCATTCTTCAGCTATTGACGACTGTTGGAGAAATCAGGAAGTGACTGCCAACCTGAATCCTCATCGTTTGGGGCCCTGCTAAAAGTTATCGAAGCCTGTAGATTTCAACTCCTCGTCCAGATGAGACTTCAAGTGGGAATCCTGATCATATGTGAATTCTGTACCTATGGAGGAATTCTGTATTCTGTATTCTGTAGTGACGGTAGTCTGGGCGACAATTCTGTATCCGAGAGATCCGCATCCTGTATATCACTCCATTGTCTGCCCAAAATTCGAAGCCTAGGGAGCCTCTAACAATTTAGGTGCGCGGATCGGCCGCTGATCTGCCTGAGAAACTCAGAGCCGCAAATGCCATGACTGTTGTCAGATCTCACCCAGTAACCTTCCGTTTGCAAACATGCGGAAGCGTTGTCGCCGCTGCCCAGAGTGGCAGTGCTTCCCTCGTACAGTAGCTAGCTGCATCTCCTCACGTACCAAGCTGCGATTTCCTTGTTTCAATCGGGGGCTGAAAAGTCGACCTCAAGATCCTCATCCCACCTTCATTCTTCTGCCCAAGAATGCCAACTGAGCCCACGGCTCCGATATAGCGGTGGTCGAACAGTGGTGGTCAAGCCCTATAATACTGTCACTGCTTCTGCAGAGCAGCGTTGATATTGCACGACTCTGCGACATGAAAGCCTGCCACCTAAAGGTGACCTGAACTGGGCCATAATGGACCCTTTTTCTATTGCCACAGGCGTAGCCGGCCTCGTTTCACTGGCTGGACAAGTCATTAGTCAATGCTATCGCTATGGATGTGTTGTCTCTGATGCTCCGAAGGAAGCGAAAAGACTAGTCTCCGAAGTCACCAACCTTAGTGGACTGTTGCTCGGTCTTCAAGGCTTGATTCGGCAAGATAGCTTTCCTCTGCAAGACGTCAAGACGATACTCGAAGAATGCAAGAGTTCACTGACCTCCTTGCTTTCGCGACTACAGAGTCACAGCCCGGAAACCAGCAAGTCTACCGCGGAGCGTGCAATCAGACGCCTATTGTGGCCACTCCGGAAGAGTGATACTGAGGAGCTTACCTCTGCCATCGAAAGGCAAAAAGCCTCTTTGTCGCTGGCTTTGGACACATTCTCAGCGTAAGTCGGAACCCCAGCCCGGATACCGCCTGCTGATAGATCTAGAGGAGCTCTTGTGAAGCAAGGCAGTACCCTCGACTATGTCTCCAATACGTTGTCGGATCTGTCTCTTGACCTTAAAGCCAACCATGCTACGCAGCAACGTCAGCAAATCCTGGACTGGCTTTGTGACTATCAGTATGAGGCACAGTATCGTCGTGGACTTCAACTCCATTGTTCGACAACCTGCGCATGGCTCCTGAAGCATCCCGACTTCATCAAATGGTCCAGTCGCAGGTCATCGCTGCTCTGGATGCACGGGCAAGCAGGCTCGGGCAAGACTGTGGCTACCAGTTACCTCATCCACCATATGACGAACCAACAGTCAGGGCACGAGACCATGTTCGCATACTTCTACTATGATGCTAGTACCGTCGAAAGTCTAACACCAGAGACATTCTTCGGAGCCATAGTCAAGCAATTCTGCTCGCAACTCCCACAGATGCCTAGTGACATCGTTGAGGCGCATGAGCGAGCTTCATGTCGGCAAGGCACGCCGAAGCAAGCCAGCCTAAATGAGCTCCAAAAATATCTGATACATCTCCTCGAAGCCGATAGATCAGCCGCCATCGTCATTGATGGACTAGATGAATCCCCAGAATTTGCGACAGTCTGCGACTTTCTTACATCCACAGTTGGATGTGGTCATTATCCACTCCGAGTCTTCATCAGCAGCCGACCGGAGAAAGACTTACGGAGACGCCTTGAGAAGTTCCAGGAGATTCCTTTCCCTGAAATGGCCGTCGAACAAGACATCGGTGTTTATATCAAATGGAGAATCGAGAATGACGACAGATTGCGCCGCATGAGCGAGAAGATCAAGAAACATGTGGAGAACAGCCTGCGGGTGGATTCTCACGGAATGTAAGTGGTTTCGCGTCCTCATCTTTTTCATGGTGCGAGAACTAATAACTCGTGTCCAAGGTTTCGCTGGGTTCAATGCCAACTGGACGAAATCGCGCGCTTGAGGACGGACGCAGCCATAAAGAAAGCGCTGACTCGACTTCCCTCCAGCATACAAGGAGCGTATACGAGGATTCTGCAATCCATCTCCCAAGAAGACGCTGTCTACGCGAGAAGAGCGCTGCTATGGCTTGCGCATGCCACTATCCCCCTAACACTTCCAGAACTTGCGGAGGCCGTGGTTCTCGAGCCGGAGTTTGACAGACTCGATCCTGAAGCCGACTTGAATGATCCGAACGACATCCTCGAGATCTGTGGTAGTATGGTGGCTTACAACAGCCTTTCTGGTACTGCTCGCCTTGCCCACCACTCAGTCCGGGAATTTCTTTTGGGAAGCTTGAACGAGAACTCGTACTTCTACATGCCTGCTCGCTCATCACATCGTGTAATGGCTGAAACCTGCCTCTCGTACATACTCTTGGACGACTTTTCGAAAGGGCCATTCTATGGGTCCGACTTCCGCAAAATGCTCAAACGGTTCCCTCTTATAAGATACGCCGCTCAAACGTGGCCGTCCCATGTCCGAAGATCTGGTGCCGAGAAAGACATCCTGCCCCTGATCCTCCGTCTATTGACTCCGGAGACTAACGGCAACTTCGGGTTCTGGCTGCAAGTTGTCCTGTTTGATTCACGGCACGGGTACATCGAGCCGAGTGCGGATCTTGCGCGAGCGAGACCATTATACTATGGCGCATCGTATGGTCTGACGGAGACGGTCCGCAGTCTGGTGGCAATGGGCGCGAATCTCAACGACCGGGCTGGAAGGTATGGTGGGACCGCCATGCACGCTGCCGTTTGGCGAGAGAGGCCGGAGTGTCTGCAGATACTGCTTGACGCTGGCGCTGATTGCTCTATCCAGGACGATAATGAAACGACGCCGCCTCAATTAGCGCGTTGGAGTGGGAAGAAAGCGATATGTGATATCTTCCCGGAAGGTGTTCGGGTGGAAAAGATGTGGAAATAAATTTCTTGAATCAGGAGCCCTCTACAAAGCTGTCTGCAGGATTCCCTATGAGACCTCGACGCCGCCATCATTCTCATCCTCGGCCATTTTGACTTCTTCTCCGTCCGCCTCGCCTACAAGCAATGGCTCCGGAGAGCTGCTGTTCCGGCGGACTGCGGGCGCATCATCTTCACCAGCCTTCTTCTCACCCGCGTCCACCAGCTCGACATCTCCAGCCTTCGCATCATCTTTCTCAGCTCCGTTCCCATTCTTGACCCAGCCTTTGCTCAGATTGACCAGCGGGGTATCGTCATCATACAACCGCAAAAGCATCGCCTTGCGCTCTTCTTTCGGCAGCATGAGATTCAGACTCATGATAGACTTCCACAAAGGAAAGACCATGCGCTCACTCAGCCCGTCCTCGGCATCGCTAGGCTCAACAATGAGCACGCAGCAGCCCATCCTCATATCGAGAATCTGTTCGCCCACCTCGCCTAATTTCTTGTATTCTTCGTCGTTGAATCGAGGGAACATCTCGATCAGTAATCTGCGCAGTGTTTCCTTCTTGTGCAACTTGACAATACGTTCGGAGCCGACCCATGTCTCGAGCAGGCGCAATCCATCGGTCTGTATACGCCAAGGGCATACATCTGGGGCGGGGGCGTCCTGCTTGACAAACATTTTGACGCCCGCATGTACGAATTTAAGGCCCTTGCCTTCGTTCTCCTGGAGTATTTCTTTGGTGAGGGCATTGGTGTAGTAGATGTTCTTGGTGGCGGTGCCTTGAGCGTTGCGCACCATATATCTGTCCTGGGGAAATCGTGGGGAGAGGTTGTAGAATTCCCTGATCTGTGCGAGTTCGGGAATGTCGGCGGAGAGGTATTTGAATGGTTCTTCGAATGGTTGATCGCGATTCTTCTTCTTAGGAGGTTGTGCTGGTCTGTCTAGAGCTGGTGCTGCTCCGTTGGGCGCCGCGGCTTCCCCGTTCTGATGACTACTGGCGCCAGCATCCTGCTCGCTCTTAACGCGCTTCATGGGTGCGCTGTCATTCTCGGGACCTTCATCTTCATCTTCTGAGCGTTTGCGCTTGCTCGTCCCATTCGCATCAGGGGGTGCCGAGCCGTTAATCGTCTCTACCGTCCCGTCGAGGGCAGTTTCGAGCTTCGCTTCGGTCCCATTGGAGTTGGCGGTCTCCACCTTTGCAGATCCTGACTTGACAGTGGCCACAGCCGGTTTCGTTTCAGCCTTGGCTTTGATCTCTGTTTTCTTCTCGAGAATGGCAATGAAGAATGCTCCTGTATCTTGGTCGTGGGGGTAGACACGAATGGCACGGTCGAGAGGTATATCTTCTGTTGGTGGGAACATGCTTGCCGAAAGACGTCCCAATCCGTCGTCACCAGCGTCAGCTTTCTGCTTCAGCACCGATTCGTAGTCCTCCCAGATGCGGCCGGCCTTGTCCATGATGCTCCACTTCTTCAGTCCAGATTGTCGTTTGAGACCGGGCAAGTAGTCTTTTGTCTCTAGGAGTTCGACATACTTAGAACCGCCAGAACGATTGATGGCCTCGGCCAGAACGGCTTCGTCTTCCACAGGATTCATGCTGCATGTGGAATAGACGACTCGGCCACCGACCTTGAGCATTTGTAGTGCTCTTATCAAGATTCGTACTTGGGTCATATGTAGACCAAGGCCATTGCTCGGGGTCCAATTTCTCCAGATTTCTGGGTTCTTGCGCACTGTGCCGTCGCCGGAGCAGGGAACATCTGCTAAGATGCGGTCGAATTTCAGGTAGCGGTTCTGTATGGGTCCTCCTTCCGGTCGGGGTAGGGAGGGGATCTTGATTGAGGGAAATATCGTGGCGTCGTGGTTTGTGACAAGGATATTAGGCGAACTCAATCTCTTGACTTGATGAACCAGCATGTGCGCTCTTCGGTAGTCGACGTCGTTTGCAATGAGTAATCCGGTAGATCGGCCGTCATCGGCAAAGTCCTCTCCGTCTGGTCTGTCGGAACTGTTGGCAACATTTGCTGCGACTTGCCTACATCTCTCCTCTTCTCCGGCGTGGATCATCTCGATCAATTGCGCGGATTTGCTGCCAGGCGCGGCACATAGATCCAAGACAGTCATGCCAGGCTTCAAGTCCATGAGGAGGGGGGGTATCATGCTGACCACCTCTTGACGACTGATGTTTCCCACATCCGTTTCTGCCACCAAGAACTTCTGGAACGCTGCGAAAGGTTTGAATCGTCGAATGACATTTTTGGGTGTGGTCATGAACCAGGCCAGCTGGTCGGGGTACCAGACGACGGATTGTGGAGAGTCGACATATTGGCCTTCATAGGTGATCGAGGTGATTTCGGGAATATGGACATCGCGGAGGCGCTGTTGTACAGCCAGAGCGTGTCTATAATGCAGAACTTAGTATTGATGCAGTTTGTAGATCGAATTTAGACATACGCTCTTGATCCTGTAAAGCGAAAACTGTTGGGCAGATCTCTCCTCATAGCCTCCCAGAAAGCGGTCTTGTCATCTTCCGATAATATACCGAGCTGATTGTAGTACTGTTCAAACTTCTCGTTATTTCGAGGGATGTCCTGCTTGCTCGTTCGATTGTCTGCGCGAGGTCGGTTCCCTTGCCCTCCGCCGCCGCGCCCACGACCGCCGCCACGACCGCCCTGAGGAACATGTTAGTATGGTATACAATTGTTTTGGAGACGTAGCTTACTTTGTAACCGCCTCGTTTGCCCATTTCTGAGGTATGCAAGGCTCCGAGTCGCACTTGCACCGTTCAAAAAATGACATAAACAAAAACGTGGGGAAATTTTTCTTCGTAAGATCGATCTGACAAGTCGTATCGCAGCACCTGCACCGAGTATCAATTATTTTACTTGGCAAGTCGGCATTGCGGCGGAAAGGACCCCGAACAACGTAACCGATACCGGCAACATCCCGCGTTATGGTTCCCCATGCCCCCTCAGCGGACAGCCTCGTCCCCATTACCTAGGCACTAAGTTAAGGACTATTCAAAGGCGCGAACACCGGCTAATGTCCAGAGTCAGAACCTCGATCTTTTGTCACTGTCATTCTTTTCATTCTATAGATGAGCGGTTTCAGTCGACATCATGACTTCTATACCAACCTATACTATCATACAAGCCGACGGTCTCTACCCCGTACGCTATGCCGGTCACCTCCAAGAGGAACCATTTCACTTACTAATCGTGCCATAGGACGACGTAGTCGAGCAAAAGATATTTACTGAACATCCTACACATGAATATAAAATCAACTATGTCCAGACTTACCTCTGGCCACCCGGCACGGTCACTGCTCTACCGTGGTCTGCAATCGACAAGAACCTTCGCGACCAGGTCGACGGAATTCTAGTCTTGAAAATGCCCTTCACAGCCCATGACCTGGCATTATTTCCTAAGCTGAAAGTGTAAGAATTGTACCCTTCTTTCTTCACTGCACGACATTCACACAGCACTGAAGTATCGTCCGTATGGGCGTTGGCTACGACCGTCTGGACCGAGTAGCGCTCGCTGCCCGTGGTGTCACGGTGTGCAACGTCCCAGGTACGTGATGACCATCTGCAACATCCTGGAGGTCTCCCCTGACAGTCCAAGATTATGGCACCGCCGAGATAGCAGACCATGCGCTTGCCCTGGCACTCTCACTCCGTCGCGGCGTCCTCCTGCACCACGAGCGTCAGCGCGGCCCTCAGCCGTACCCATGGGCATATATCGACAGCCCACTCGTCGCCCGGATTCAACAGGCAACCTTCGGCGTCTTGGGGCTGGGAAGGATCGGGACGGCCGCAGCTCTACGCGCCAAGGCGTTCGGTTGGAAAGTGCTGTTCTATGACCCTTACAAGCCCAACGGCACTGACAAATCGCTCGACATCGAACGGACCAAAGACATCAAGGAGCTCTTCCGAAGGTCAACGACCTTGAGCATCCACTGTCCCTGTACGCGAGAGACTCGTGGCATGGTAGGTTATGACCTGTTAAGTCTACTGCCGCGCGGGGCGGTGTTCGTCAACACCGCTCGCGGAGAAGTGGTCGACCTTGACGGTGTAGAGAAGTGTATGCGTGAGGGCATTATCTCCGGGGCAGGTCTTGATGTGCTGCCCCAGGAGCCTATACCGGAGCCGGCGCATCCTTTGATACAAGCGTATCGCAATAAGGAAGAGTGGTTGACGGGACGTAAGTACCTACCCCGAGCATGGCTTGGATAATTAGGCTCACCCTGTGACCAGGAATGGCAGTGACATGTCACACGGCATTCTACAGCCCCGGAAGTTTCGTCGACATCAGAGAAAAGTCGAGCCAGACCATCAGGGATGTACTGATAGACAAGCTGGACAGCAATGTTATAACGCCGGATATGGAATAATTCGGGAACCGTCTCCTTTCAGAGATGCCTCAATCCAGAGAATGTTGACTGTTGGTATGCCGACCGAATCGGTTGATCATCATGAGCGCGAGAAGGTCCTGATAGAGCAAGCCCTCGGACCTCATGCCATAGAAGCTCTTGCCAAGGACAAGTGGCATCGAGAATCAGCTGGATCCGACCCGGTAGCATCTTACCAATTCTAGGGGCAAGGGTCACCGGAATGTTACCATCAGATGTAATGCAATCGAGAATGGGCAACATCATCCTCCTTTTTTTGGTGAAATCTGTGTCCCAGGGATCTTTTGAGCAGACAGTCTTTCACACCTAGACGCAATATATTCCGCAGCGTTGATCTTATCTTGACAATGGCTATAGCCAGTTGATATTTCCCCGAGCGAGCCGCCATAGACTTATTCATGTCATTGTGAACTCCGAGCAATGCATCTTCCCTTTTTGAAGACCCTAAACTCCTCGCTGGAAAACAATTTCGACGTTCAAAATACCCATCGGTAGCTGGCATACCGACCGGCAGTTTCACTCTTCCGAATGATCTTGACAACGTTTCCTCTCTTCAAACCGAGATACCGCGCCACCGGATCGCTGTATTGGATGCGAGGTAGTTGAGTCTCCTTCAGTCGGTATCTGTCCAGCAAGACTTTCTTCTCTTCCGCACTAAGTAAGACGTGCTTGGGCACCAGCTCGTGTCTTGTGATGTTGACCAGTAAATCCTGCTCTTGGAACCATTCAGCTGTTATGCCTCGTTCCGTCAACGGCTCGAACGCGCGAAGGGCTGCGGCGGTAACGGGTCCGATGGTGATAAAGATGCCAGTGGTGAATTTGTGTTGATCGAGATGTTGGGCAAAGGCTCGTAGATGTTTGATACCGATTGTGGTCTCGGGACTGAATTCTACCCAGATTGTGCCTGCCGTTGTTTGGGGGTCTGGGTTGCTCTTTGTTGGTCGCGGAGTGTCGCGCTTGATCATCTCTTCAGTAGGAGCAGCTTGTAGTCGCATCAATCTCCGCCTAGTTGTGGTCACATAGTCAGCGGCATGATGTTTACTCGGTTCTTCGGCAACTCACTCTGCATGTCCTGCTTGACGGTCGCAAAACTTGTTCTGGAATTCGTCTCGGGATATTGTGAGTTCATCTGTAGCGATCGCATAGCCCTGTTATATGTCAGCAACTCTGTCTCCCTCTTCTGGTTGTCTCAAAAGCGTACTCTGTCCACGAGCATCTCCAAAACTGTCCTCCAGGTTCGCCATAACCGGGTCACCTCTTTCTCCGCCTCTACCGACAACCTTGGTCGCTCGTCGTAGTCCATGTCGGAGATGAGCTATCAGGCAGCACAGGTGACGCGCTTCTTGAAGGACAAACGGGTATGAGAAAAGGCGACTCTTTAAAACTGCAGGTCCCAAAAGCCATGCGACAAAAAAGTTGTACAAGTCCCTTCTTTGGCTTGGCGAATCGGAGCGAAGTGAAATCTGCTCCGCTGCTCACGTGCCGCTTTTAGAACGCCCCCTGTATGCGACTCACTAGGTAGATACTTGCTCTCACCTTTACTCCCACGTTCGGACAATATGGTCAGAAGAATTCGCTACAATATATCGGGTTCTCAAGTGACCATATATACAATGATACATCACTAATCTCATCGTTTGGGCAGGCACTCATTTCTCTAGAGCAGCGGCTCTAAGTGCCTCGCTCCCAGCTACGGCCCTTCCATCAATGACAACAACGTTGTCTTCCAGAACCGAATTTGTCTCCTTGATGTAGGTGTGCCGAGCCCGCCAGACCCAATAGATTCCGGGGAATATGAGAGTTGCGCCAGTGATCAAACATGACCAATTCATATAGTCGATTGTGGATATCGTGACAGGCACGTACAGTGGGGACAGGTACATGGCAATGATGATCAAAGACCAGCATACGCTGATAATGTTGACAAAATAGCCCCATCGACCGAGGTCGAAGTAAGGTCGGGCCGGAAGGATCTTGCGTCCACGGATGAGGACCTAGCGTGCGCATGTCGCTTGGTTAGCTGTCCGTCGCTAGAACTCGACCAAGACTGGTGTGCAAGAGGACTTACGACGATGATGGGCGTGACATAGCCTATTTGCAAAGTCACACCTCCCCCAGAAATGATTGATTCGAATGCCAGATCACTGCCGAGGACGATCAACCCTAGGAGAAGGAAGATTAGCGGTCAGGTATGAGGGTTCCATGCGAAGCATATGACTTACCAATGATCAGGTCAATAACCAGGATGGCGACCATGGTCCGCAGGGGAATGTGGAATCTCGTGCTGACATGGGCGAAGTAGTCTGAAAAGGGAAGTCCTTTGTCTCTAGCCATGCTCCAGGCGAGGCGTGAGCCTGCAAGATTGGTGCCAACAATAATGAAGAAGTTCAAGCCGATCATGATTAAAGCGCAGAACATTCCGCCTCCATAAACGGAATTTGTGATGTCCATCCACCAGTTCATGTAAGGTTGAGCGTCTACAAGAAGTCAGTGAGAAATGGCAGAGGGGACCCGTACCTCGGAGTTAGACATACCTAACGTATATGATTCCCAGGCCCCAGCTGTCCACATCATGAGGACTGCTGCAAGCCAGCTCGTGATGCTGCAGAAGATCATGGACCACACCATCACGCGCTTGATACGGGGCAATCAGTGTAAGTTGTGAATCAGGCGAGATTCAAGACTTACTGGGGCCTCCTTGGACGCATCCTTCATCTCTTCGACAAGGTGCATCATTCCGTCGGTGCCGTACAATCCATACATTGGAGAATAGAATGACATGATGAATACCCAGACTTTGCTGGTATACCCTGAATTGTTGATGAACTCGGTAAAAATGAAGCTGGCGTCATGCTTGGGTTTGGCCATGACACCGAAGACGATTGCCCAAGCAATACCGCCAGCAATGGTCCAGAAAGCACCAAACAAGTTCATTGCTGGGAGCCATCTACATGTGATCAGTGGATTGCATCAGGACAGGCGCATTTGGCGCGTTCCTTACCTCTGTTTCAAATTGATGGCGATAGGGCCAATGAGAAATACGCTGTAGATGATCCAGGTATGCCACGGCTGCCACCGACTTGTCAGTCATACCTTGTGGAGCATTGAAGTGTGAGTACTCACATGCCAAGCAAAGTCTGGATGAGTGACCTGGACAAAGGAAGCAATGATGTCGGCGCTGTTGAGAGCGCAGCTTGACCCTGTTGATATCTCGCCAACGATGACCGCCCAACCCACAAAATATGACAAGAAAGCTCTCGTTGCTCCCGTGGCAACAGCTTGAGTGTAGTACTGCTGACCACCTGCAGTAGGCCATATGCTGCAGTACTCGGCGAGGGACATCATGAGCAAGGTCTGGCCAACAGCGACAAACAAGCTGGAAATATGATCAGCTCTGGCAGGCGATTGGGAGAGATACCGCATACGTTCCCCAGAGTAGGCAGAATGGTCCACCGATATCGAAAATGGTCGAGTACAGGACCACTAGGCATGACCAGCTGCACGATATCATGATCTGGTAGGCACACACTGGAACAAGCAGTCAGCTACCTATTGTTTGGCACTTACAGAAGCAGACGTACACGTCCAGAAATTGTAGACACGCCTCAATTCGGGCTTCTTGCCCATGCTCATGAGCAATGCATCATCACTGTTGACGGACTTTGCATCCTCCACCGACAATGTCCGGTTCAAGTCCTGCGCCACATATTCGATTTCCTCGTCCTTCATCGTGACTGGTTTGGCTCGGTCTGGCAATGAAGATAGCCACGAAAGAAGCTGGCTATCCGACGTGGATTGGAAGACCGAAGATAAGTGCAATGTCGGTTGTGAGCCAGTGGCACCTCAAGAATCCGTTAAGGTGCTCAGGGGTAAGAGCTTCACAGCTCGAATACTTGTGCGCAAGGCTCGAGACCTATATGTTCAATTGTGCCGGTGCCGCATGCCAGCATCACAGATAAGACTGCTGTTCTTGACCATTCGCAAGTGTTGCGCAACCCCTTATCTTTCGTGGTCGTCTATTGAAGGCGGACGCAGATAGTCGTTTTTCCAAGTCGCCCTATTAGGTGGCATGATTGCGTGCTATCAGTGACAGGCTTCAGTGTGTGGTACTTCACATCAAGATATCAGAACCTAGGTTCACGCACGCCGCTAAGCGATGAATACCCAGGGATTGATTGGTGTCGTGCTTGAGCGAACCAAGCCCGATGAGGCGGGTCGATGGAGAGACGCCATGCCCCTGCCTCGGTGCCACCTGGGGAAACCGTGGCCGGTAGGAAGCCTAGACGCAGTCGCTAAACGGGAAGGACGAACCGCGCACATGCCAAAGCCTTAATCGTACGGCATTTCTCGTGGATGACCGGCCATACACCTCCTCTCCATCCACCAGCCTGATGAGGTATATCATTCCATCACTTCGGCGATTGGTTCATACGCAAGATCGAACCATTGTGAGACTAATCGTTGCTCCATGCATACCTAGTCGATCCAGATAACCGGGTCTATCTCAAACATGCCGTGAATAGCAGCCGTTGACAAGCAGGGAGGGAGCCGAGACAGCGAACTCAAGTACTCAACCAATCCTGCCACACGGTTCACTTCCAGGTTAGGCAGGCCACCGGAGATGTTTGCCCGCATTAAACTTGTGCATTGATATAACATCTGGAGGATATCCTTAACCCAACTGAACCCTGATCAATGAAGATAGGATATCGTGTTTTGAACCAGCAACCGACCCCGATCTTACTAAAAGCTCTTGCCAGGCCAACAAGGCCGTACCTTATTCAGCCTTCCAAAGCATTCACAACACTAAGCTGACTTCAGCTTCCGACAATGGCACCCATTGCCGTAGACGACATCATCGGAGCTTCGTCCGCACCAGTCAAGGATGCTCAGCAGGTGAACGGGTCGACGAAGAAGCCCAGTATTGCCCGGTGTGATGCAAACGATAGTGCCACGACGACAGAGCTCCTTGTCTCCATCATTGAGCGTGATGGAGGTGTCATCGTTGAGAACCTGATAACCAAAGAGCTTGCAGGTCAGATCAAGTCGGAGCTCAAGCCATACTTCGACACAGATAAGAAAGACCCTAGCGGCTTCTTCCCAGAGACGACTCAGAGAGCGACTGGGCTCCTGGGTCGATCTGATGGATGTGTCGAATTGGCCACGAATGCCACATACATCAACGTAGCCAACAAGATGCTGTCTTCGACATTCACATATTGGTCTGGTCAAGAGCAAGAGACGGTAACGTCTAAACCTATCATATCCTCGTGAGTTCTCTTTCCCAAATGCAAACACTATATGCGCCTAGCTTTCATATCATATTCCTGTCTATGCCGCAATGGTTTACTAACAGACACAGAACTGTCGCATTCCGAGTCAATCCAGGAGGACGACAGCAGGTGTTACACCGCGACGACGGGTAAAGATCCTCTCCCACACTGTTCTGCTGCTGATACTTATTTTATTCTAGTGATTATCACACTCGAAATGTTGATATGCCCATGATGTTAGGCTGTGTGACGGCTTTGACGAAGACGACGAAGGAGAATGGTGCCACCATCTGCATTCCTGGCTCTCACATGTGGGGTCCTGATCGATGCCCCCATGATGGAGAGGCTGTACCGGCAGAATTGGAACCTGGATCTGCTTTGATTTTCGTGGGCAATCTATATCATGCTGGTGGGGGCAACATCACGAAGTGAGTCTTGAGCGCTGGTAAACTTTGAGCCTATTCTAAATGCAGGACAGAGATCAAGCTCGCGAGACAGTTGGCATATTTCTTTGCAAGGCTCACTACCGACCAGCAGAGAATCAGATGCTCATGGTGCCGCCGGAGAAAGCCAAGCGTTTGCCACCGCAAGCACAACGACTTCTGGGATACGGAATCTCGCTTCCTGCTCTGGGATTTATGGAGTACCAGGATCCAATGCGGGTCTTGTTTGGTGTTGAAGATGAAGAGACAGTCAATATGTGAGACTGGCCGTGAATCAAGCGCGCGATCTCTACTTTCTGGACCTATGGGTTCAGATGACTACGAAACTCAGGCCTTTCTGAGACTCCTGACGGCAAAATTGAATCCAATCAACCACAACAAGCTCGTCCGTAGTCCAAAAGTGCCGCAGAAATTCCAAGGCCAAACGACAATTGGAGTATGCGGTCGATCGCATTGCTTCCAGCATTGCAGATTCTGCGAATTTCTGTCTCGAGGGATTGTTCCTACTTTCCGTCCCAACGAGGAAAAGTGGCCAGACAAGATCGTGCTGAAAAGAATCAAGGTTCTGTATGAGGCGGATACTGTCCACCACCGATTCCACGCAGTCCTTTCGCGCAAGAGCAGAATCTTTGCGGTGCAAAGCTTGGTAGCTATAAAGCAGTCCGGCTTGCTGATAAAGCACCAGCAGTGTGGCAATGTCACTCTGCAAGCCCTCGAAGCCAAGACTTTGGCTTATGAGGAGCGAGGACTCCGTTGCTTCCTTGAATCGTTTTTGCAGTTGTATCATGTCAGCTGAATGCAACTGGTATTGATCAGCAGGCATGGCGGCGTGACGCCGGCGCTCCACGATCGTCACTTCCTGCACAAGTTGTAGCCACTGGGTGAAGAGCTGGGTATCCTCCCCGTCCAGGACTGAACAGGGTATCTGCTCTTCGCCATCAAATGTCGTCGTCGACCCAAAGACGTCGTATACAAAAGCTTCCTTGATTAGGAATCTGAATCCAGAGTCGAGCGTCGGCCTCGGGTGATGTGAGGAGGTCCATCGTCGTGTGATCATCCTTGCTGCTTTCCAGTGGACAGGCCAAACGGCAGAATCGCAATGAATCATCTCCACGTTGCAAAGTACTAAAATCGTCGCCAGCATGGCACAAGCAGGGCCTTGGTGGGCTTTTTGATTCTCAGCTAGTTCTGTTCGAAGATTCTGAGCCAGCAATTGAAGGCTCCGCTCACGGTAGTGGGCAGACAGTGGGCCATGTTCGCCCGTCAAGGTGGACCCCGTTTTGGAAGAGTAGTGTTCTGCGGACAGAGCTAGAATGGCTAGGAGTAGTGCCTCAGACTCCATTGCAAGAGGCAGCATGATTGTTCGCCATGCATTGTCTGGCCCGTCTACCCATGGCATGACCGCAGCAACGACATGGTCGTAATAGTGAATAAGGTCTCGAAAGGCATTGGATTCGACGTAATCTGGAGGGTGGAACAGGGCCAGATCAAGATTCAGACCAAACTTGTTGTGGATGGTGTCTGGAGACATTGCAAAGTTATATGGCGTACTGCTCGTAGACGTTGCCGTATTGCGTTCGGTCTGATACTTGGCAGGCGCCGCCTCGAGCACAGGGATGGCTTTCCCCGTCAGTTTACCGCGGCTCGCGACTCCCTGGCCCCATTGAATACGAAGCCCATATCCGGGACACGGCAAACCCTTGAGAGCGCATTTTCTGCAAGTCTCCAGACTCCTATCGCATTTCACCCGCCTCCTGCTGCAGGTCCGGCAATCTGTCCAGGGTCAACGTCAGCATTTTCCGTCAGTGATTGCGGCGCGTCGCCATACCTCGAGCGGCCCTAGGCTCGTTGGGGTCCAGGGACGATAGTCGTAGACTCATAGTACTAGTATGAGTCTGGAAGCTAACTGATGGCGCCCGCCGGCTGAACACCTCCTGCTTGTCGACGACGTTCACTTTTGAGGCGAGTCGTCACTCCCACATATGACGAGAAGCAAGGTCTAAGTTCCGACCTCGGCGTGGGGGTTTTCCGCATAAAGCGTGGACTTATACTTTCTTCTGCGACTTATCATCGCCTCATCTTTCCTTTCTGGGCGGACGCGATCCTGGAGACGTTCAGGCTGTGAGGACGCTCTCGATTGCTAAGCCCGATGATCGTGATACGGAGGAAGATGACTTTGTGATGCGAACTGAGCAGCAATAAATATTGACCAATGAGCCTCTTAAATCAGAGAGTTGCTGCCGGTCGGGAAAGTCATTCCCATGCGAGAAGGTGGATGGAGATATTCTCTTATCTAATCAGACACCGTTGAGGGCTGTGGAGGGGTTACGACTTGACCTGTTGACTATCGCACCAATGATCAAGACACCCTGTGCCGACGAGCGAATACTTGTATCTCACGCATAGCATATGAGTACAGCTGGGTCGCCTAGGCAGCTCTTGCGGCAATGCCGCCCATGCGGAGGCCAAACCCATTATGTCTGATGTGCACCTCAATGGAAATACTCTTGTAGCTGGAGTGCATGAGAACCATGTTCGCGGACTGTCGACGAAGGCCATATCGACTGATCTGAACTCAACTCTACCGGCCGAATTCTACCACTCTCAAGCCATCTATCAACTGGAACGACGCGCCATATTTTCCACGCGGTGGTTCCTAGTCTCTCACAAAGCTCGATACCGTGATGTTGGCGACTTCGTGCAATATGAAATGGCTGGCTTCAACTTCGTCGTGGTCAAGAACAAGGAAGGAAGTATCATTGGCTTCCACAATGTTTGCAGGTAAGGTCTACAGACCCAATCTAAACACCTCATCTGAGGATGACTTGACAGGCATCGCGCCTTCCCTGTGGTTCAAGAGACGAGCGGCAAGGCCAGAATCTTTTCGTGTAAATACCACGGATGGTCCTACGACTTGACTGGTAAGTTGACCAAGGCTCCGCGCTTCACCCTTGAATCAGTACCTTCGTTTGACCCATCGACCATCCGCCTCTTTCCCATCCACATCCATGTGGACACCAATGGGTTTGTCTACGTCAACCTCGATGCAAGCCCGAAGCCGAAAATCTCGTGGGAAGCCCAGTACGGCCAACTCGACCGTCAAGAACGCCTGGCCAACTCCGGTATCGACTGGGATGCAATCGAATACGACTTCACATGGGCCAAGGACGGCGGGTTTAATTGGAAAGTCATGCAGGACAATTACAATGAGGTACTGTACTCTCTCGGCCTGCCCCACGGTTTGAGCTCCTTACAGTGACATTGTAGTGCTACCACTGTCTCACTGCACATCCGGACGTTGCTGAAACGACCGACCTCAACACGTACTACGTCTCCCCTGGTGATGGATACATTGCGCACTTCAACGAGCCTAAGCCTTCCATTCTTGCCAACTCTGCGTTCGACGAAAAGCGGTTCGCAGGACGCTCGCAAACCCACGTCTTCCCTGGTGGCCACTTCTCACCCAACCCAGGCACGGGCTTCATGCATCTGATGCGCTCGATACCGACGTCGGCAACAACAACACGACAAGAGTATGATGTGTACAGACTCAACACGCCACATGCAACGCCCGAGGCGCATGAGCGTATGACCAACTTCTACAGAAAAGTTGTTGACGAGGACTTTGAGCTCTGTGAAAAAGTCCAGAAGAATCTTGAGCGGGGTATCTTCGAGATGGGGCTCTTGCATCCATTTCATGAAGAAGGTGTGCACGCTTTTCAGGGCATGGTCCTGAAGGCGCTGAGGGAGCAAATCCAAGCGGAGGAAAAGGCTGGGACGGAGCTTTGGGCGGCCAAGCCTAAGAACCTGAGTTCGGCGAAGAACGGTAGGCCCGAAGAAGCGGTCGATGAACAGAAAGGGGGGCGGAACGTGTGCGAGACCATGCTTGGCTGTCAGACATTGCGGCTGAGAAGTGTGGACTGGTGAAAGCTCTCTGCGTTCTGGATATCTTCGCATTAAAAAACTTTGGGATCTTCCTGGCTGTACGCTGAGCGCTGCTATGCCTTAAATCGAAAGATTCGTGCAGGAGAATGCAGGTCGTGTCGGATTTGCATAGTCTGCGATGATGGCTTTGACAGATGCATACAGGCCAGGTCCAAAGAGGAACAGACCGCCGACGAACCCAACAAGATGAAGAACGGTAAGGATGGTGCGTACCAATCCATCCCAAAGACGTCCCCGGAAGAGATGCCAGTAAGCAACCGCCCAGAAAACCAGTCCGAACTGGGAGTCGAATGATGCACCCAGGATCGTTCCAAAATCGCCCATACTGGGAATGACCTCTGCGAAGACAAAAGCCACGAACCAGAAGATGGTCATGAGAATAATCCACATGCCCCAGCCGATGAAGGTGTGTGAGTGTTGATGTCGCGAGTCCCGCATGATAACGCGATATATGAACTTGACCGACACATTGGCGTAGATGACTCCAATGATGATTGTCGGCACGATCACTGGCCCATAAGCCACCTTCTTGTAATGTTCTTGTAGCGAGCCGAATGCTGGTGCCTCTGTGTATTGTCCCAAGTAGTAGAATCCGACAATGGCGGGGACTAGGAAAAGGACGAACGAAGCAATCGAAAATGCAGCAAGAGCCTTGGGAAAATCGCGTGGCTGGCGCATTTCGGCGATGAAGGTTGGGAAGAGGATCTGCGCGAACCATAAAAATGCAACATTCAGTACTGCATTTAGACACTCAATCCAGGTGGTGCCCTCTTGAGGCCATGCATATGTCTTGACAGGACCGAGGGTAGGGTACTCGGCGGGATTGGCTTCCTTGCCGACAAAAACCATGAAAAGGAGGATGGCGAGTGCCATGCAAATTGCACTTGCGATCGAGATGAGGCTAAGGTGGCTGAGTGTGCGAGGAGCCGACAGCACGATCGCGATGACCGTGACGATAATACCGAATTGCACCGAGCACAAGGAGTGTTCCGTCACTGTGTTGAGAACTTGTGCGCCAGTGAGAACGTGGAAACCGCAGAGCATGACGTTGTACAGGACAAGGCCGATCATGGTGCCATAGTATGCAAGAGGGTTGCCGCCGAACAGCAGGTGGCCCATATCGCATATGTCGCGAATTTGAGGGTGCTAAGTATCCAGAATGCCCCTATCAGCATTCCGATGGAAGGAGGGCACATTGGAGTGAGTTCTCACCTTCATGATGTACTGCCACATGGTATAACTGGTTATCCAGAATAGTATACCAGAGAAGAACTGAACAAGCAGACCAGGCACCCATCCGAGAACTTTCAATGTCCATGCCTGAGCCATGATTGCAAGACACACTTGGTCGCCGAAGAGGAGGACAGCACAGCGTTGCCATGACATGGTCCGATATTTGATGTCGTGATCACTCTCGCCGGCAGCAAGCGCTTCAAAGACCTCGGAGCTGTCGACGGCAGTGCGTGGCATGCCATCCTGTGGCGGCTGCGCTGCGGTTTTCTCAACGTCCGACGGTTTGCCATGGTGCTGACCAGGGGCTGAGTCTGTTGGCTTGCTGTTCGGCTTGATGGCCATCTCGTACGACTGTGGTGGCCCGTCGATATTTGCTCCTGCCATTGTTCTGGTATATGCTGGGAAAGGTGGTCGCAGTCTCCTTCACCATGACAGCTCATCAATCATATACGTGTGCAAGTCATACGATACCATGAGCTTGGTCATCATTTCGGCCATTAGCATCACGAGAAGATAACGCCATAGTACCTAGTGTGATGCCATCTATCAGGACAGAAGATCAGCAGAAATACCATCCATTTGGGGGTGGTTATTGGTGCCTTAGCCACGTCCAAGCATTGATTCCGTGCTACTGGGAACTTACTTGATGCTAAGCTTGAACTCTCACAAACTTCGGCAACGTACCGTCGGTATACCGTCGGCTGTTCGTTCACCTTGTGGGGAGACGAATCACACCATCAAGTTGTCCACAATACGTTGTAAACCCGGTCGTAATCGAACTTTTGAAACGGACTCTCCATCACGACCAGGGTCGACAGAGGTCGTTGCTGCTATTGTCTTTCACCAACAGCGGTGTTCTCCGCCACGCTGTAACGATGGGTATCTTTCGACCAGCCGGTGTGACATACTGCGATCCGGAGCTCGTATATGACACTCATATCCTTTTCACCGGCGCTGATGGCGTCACGCGCCTGATCGATATCAACGGCGACGTTGTTCGCGAGTGGCCATACCCAGGTGTGCCTCCACGAATCCTTGATCCCGCTCTCACAGGCGGTCAGAAAGGTGAAATAGCATTTCAACTATCAGAGAGCGGCGATGCACGGGGCGGGATATACGCAAATGGCACCATAGGTCGACTGGACTGGGATGGTAAGCGATTGTGGGAGTGGGGTAGCGAGGCGCCTGGCGGTGCTGCACGGCAGAATCACGACTGGCAACTGCTTCCCAGTGGCAACTGGTTGCTTCTCATCACAGTTCCACGCGTGGTGAATGATCTTGGTCCGCATGTCATTGGAGATCAGGGTCTCGTTGAAGTCAATCCGGACGGGAAGGTCGCATGGAGATGGAGTTCTGGTGATCACTTATCTGAGCTCGGGCTGTCGGAGCAGGGTTGGGAATTGCTGCGCGAAGCGGTCGCACGCGATCCCGGGAATTCGTGGGGATGTCTGGAGATGAATAGCGCGACAACGCTGGGCTCGAACAAATGGTTCGACGAGGATTCGGCGACGAATTCTATCTTCCATCCCGACAATATCATCATCAGCTTTCGCAAAGCCAACGTGGTCGCCATAATTCAGAAGTCGTCAGGCAACCTGGTCTGGCGATTAGGACCGTATTTTGACGAGAAGTCGGGTGAGCAGCACGAGCGCATATTGAGGCATAACTTACCTCGTCCTCTGGACCAGATTTCAGGACAGCATAACCCGCATTTCATTCCTAAGGGTCTGCCTGGAGCAGGGAATATCCTCCTCTTCGACTGTCAAGGTGGAGCTGGCTATCCTCCAGCCTCCCTGGGGATCTATGCTGGTTCGCGAGTTCTCGAGGTCGACCCAACCACCAAAGAGATTGTATGGCAATATACTGCGGAAGACTCGGGCTTGCCACCCTGGACATTCTTCAGCTCATTTGTTAGCAATGCCCAGCGTGTTCCGAATGGTAACACTCTCATCACAGAAGGTATGCAAGGACGATTGTTCCAAGTTACGTCCACGGGGAAGGTGGCCTGGGAATACTATGCACCGTATACTGGACTCGGTGTTGCTGGTGAACCTGAGGTCAGTAAGCCACGAGTTCCTGGAGTGGATAGGCTCAGTACCACGCCGCTTGTGTACCGGTCTCAGGCCGTACCTGGCGAATGGTTACCAGATTCCGTGGCGAAACCAAACCCGGTGAGGATCCAAAAACGATTACATGTCGATTAGACAAGATATCAAGGGGTGTTTAGAGGTGTTTAGGATGTAGAACTCAAAATGTTGTTGACATGGACCCTGTGTCTTTCCTCCGTAGTCCTTCAGGGTGGAAGTTTGATTCCTGACCTGTCTTTTCCTTGTGCTCCGTTTCGGCGTGCAGCGTCTTCAAGCTAGTAGTGATACAAGAATAAAAAGAGATATTGATCTTCTTTCAGCTCCTGGTGACGACTGGTAAATGAAGGGAGACGGCAGAGCGGCATCATCCTATCTCCCAAAAGGGGTCATTTGTGAAGCCCATTTAGCAATCTTGGCGGCGGTCATTACCACCAAAAAAGTGCCAGAACTGCGCTGCCAAAAATTACTCCACACTACTTAACTGGCACCGTGTTCGAGGGACCTGGCCCAGCTGGGAATTGTTCAACAACTCACGATCGACACTCGGCCGCTCATTTATTCATTCACTTTACCCTGCAGTCTGTCACTTGTACTGTCAGCGATATCCGTTATTATCCTTCGCCCTTCCGACAACCTCGTATGCAATCCTAGCATGGATTAGAACCATATAAAAAAGATATATCACTTATTGCTAATTCGTATTGTCCGCCGGTAACTCCAACTTGGTACTCGACTACTTCCTTCCACCATGGCTGAAGTCGAAAATCCCCCCGCCCAGAGTGGTCGCCATGAGAAGCCTGATGAAGCCAAGTACAAGGCCGATCTAGCAAAGGCCGAGAAGGAGCACGAAGCTGCTCAGGCCAGATTTGTGCGTAGTCACCCCAAATCCTACAATCGAACGACATGCTGACTTTGCACAGAATGCCAGCCGCGCAAAACTTGACAGCGCCCGCCCTGGAAAGTCCACCCCTGCAAACGACCGTTTCAAAGAGCTGGTCGACGACCAGAAGTCGATCCGTTCAAAGCAGCAGGAATTCAAGTCGGCAAAGGCGGGGCAACAGGACAAGTACAACCAGAATGAGAACCTCATCAAGAAGCTCATTGCCGAACAAAAGGATACTCGCGGTCGTGTTGGCTTCAAGAGCGCGGACGAAATCGAAGCCAAGATCAACAGCATGATGAAGGACGTGGACTCGGGCCACATGAAGCTGGTCGACGAGAAGAAAGCTTTGGCCGAAGTGTCTTCCTTGCGCAAGCATAAAAAGACAATGGGAGGTCTCGACGATCTACAAAAGAAGATTGATGAGAAGAAGGCTGAAAACGCCGAACTCAAGAAAACCTTTGACAGCCCAGAAACTCGTGCTTTGTCGCAGAAGTATGAGGACAATCAAAAAGAGCTGGACGACATCAAGGCTGCCCGAGAAGACACCAACAAGAATTACGATACCCTCAAGGCCGAGCGCGAGAAGCTGTACCAGGAGCAACAAGAGACATACTCCGCCATCAGAAAGATCAAGGACGAATACTACGGTCAGAGAAAGGCGTACAAGGCCCACGAGGATCAAGTCTACCAGCAAAGACGTGAAAGACAAAAGGCTGAGCGTGACGCCTACGAAAAGGAGAAGCGTCGCCGCATCGCCGAGCAGAAACTTGAGGAGGCCGGCGAGCCCGCTTTCCTCGACCAGATCCGTACTGCTGAAGGGCTGATCCGACATTTCGACCCTTCTTCGAGTACGGGAAGCGAGGAAAAGGGCCCCGGTGAATTTGCTGCTACCGCTCAACGTACGGTAGACGAGTCCGGCTTCAAGGGCATGAAAGTCGTGAAGAAGGAAGAAGAGGACTTCTTCGCCGGCAGCGGAGGCAAGAAGAAGGGTAAGGGCAAGAAGGGTGGTGCAGCGGCTGCTCCCGAATCCGGCAAACTGAACATGAACATCGGCATTATTGAGGAATTGGCCAAAGTTGGCATCGACCCTCCCAGTACTCAGGCTGATGTTCCTGGCGTCGTCGAGAAGCTGAAGTCCAAGTTGGAGGGATGGAAGAAGGACCAAGATAGCCAGACCCAAAAGGTATGCAAGTTCGCCATTACTACTGGATTGCACTAACATTACTGTGACAGAACGTTGAGAAGGCCAAGAAAGAGATCGAGAAGTTGGAGCAGGAGGCTGCCGAAGCCTCGAAGGCCGATGCTGGAGAAGGCCGCGCAAACCGAGGAAAGAAGGTGTCCTCGAAGGATACTGGGGTCAATGGTCAAGTCTCCGCTGATGGTGAGCTTGCTCAAGAGAAGGATGCTGTGGCTGATGTCACCAAGGAGTTGAAGGAGGCTAAGCTTGAAGACGCCGAAGTTGCGGATGGTGAAACCGCCTGAAGCTTTCTCGGTGCCTGAGTTCAGGCCACGGAGATTACTGCATTCGCCCTACTCTAGCTTGCTCTGATATGGGGGACTTTTGCATTCGTTCTGGAAAAGCGGTTGAAAAGCATAGCATTGAGCGCACCTATGCAGATCCAGGCACCAAAATTGATACATTGTTATACAAAACCTTGCATACCAAGATATTCGACCATGATAGTACTCCTGCTTTGAAAATGTTGTTGAAGTGTTTGTCTATCTCCACTAAATCCGAGTGTATCGACGTCACTGGTTCAACTCCAACACTATCAACCTCGGATAGTGACTTGCTATTCTTTTCACTGACTACCAGGTACTATCTTTTCATTCACGTATCATCTTCCCATTCTCTGACCATATCGTCAGACTCGCGATCCTGGCTCACAGAGCATTATATCGACTTAACGTCGAGCGTTCAACGCAGAGTTCTTCAGACACAACAACCTCACAAGCACCGACAAGCGCAATGACGTCCGTCTTTCGTCCAGGTGCTCTTGCCCTGATCACCGGTTCTGCTTCTGGCGTGGGTTTCGCATTTGCCCAACACTGTCGCCGCCAAGGCATGCATCTCGCCCTGATCGACAATAACGCCAGTTCCTTGCAAAAGGCGTCGTCTATCCTGTCTTCTCAAAGCACTGGATCCGAAAAAGTTCAGACATTGACGTATGAAATCGACGTCTCTGATCTATCAGCTTGGAGCAAAGTGCACAGTGATCTGTCCTCCAAGTTCTCGACCGTTGATTTCCTCATGCTCAATGCCGGTCTGAGCAGGAAACCCACAACGTCACAAGTATGGGAAGACGCAGAGTACTTCCACAAAACGTTTGCAGTGAATTTCTTTGGGGTGGTGCACGGTCTAGCCACGTTCTTGCCCATGGTGCAGAAATCGGAAGGTCCTTCTGCGGTCGTCATGACGGGGAGTAAACAAGGCATCACCAATCCTCCTGGAAACCCGGCGTACAACGCTACAAAGTCTGCCGTCAAGACTGTCGCGGAGCAATTGGCTTATGATCTCCGGACGAGCTCGTCACCGGCCCATGCCCCGCATGTCTCTGTGCATTTGCTCGTTCCTGGGTGGACGTTTACGGGCCTCAGTGGAAATCAGGGACCTGTGCCGGATGAGGAGGCTCTGGAGAAGAAGCCTAGAGGTGCGTGGCTGCCGAGTCAGGTTGTCGACTATGGCGTGAAGAAGATTGAGGGCAAAAAGTTCCATATCATTTGTCCGGATACGGATGTTGATGAGGCGCTTGATCAGGCAAGGATGACATGGGCCGTGGGTGATGTAGTGGAGGAACGAAGTGCGTTGAGCAGGTGGGATGAGAAGTACAAGGATGATGCCGCTGGGTGGATTTCTAAGGAGGCGAGTCGACGGAGGGGAGAATGAGGGTGAGAGTGTAAGAATGGCGGGAGCTTCGCAGAAATGAACACGAACAATCGTCACGTACAGTCTACTCTTTTGTGCGAGAACCGTAAAATGATACCGTCTGGCTCAACTATAGCACTTGGGACTGCCCTTCGCCGAGTAGGGGAGACCAAAAAGTTGGAGTTTGCAATACTGATTTGCTTTTACTCATATCTAGCAGTCACGACGGGGTATCGGCTCATAATCTTCTTTCGGTGGTGCGCGCTGCCTTCAGCCTGACCAGCTCGACCTTCGCATGTGGCAACGTATCCTCGACCCTCGTTCTGCTGTGAATGGCACAAGTTGTCAGTGAGGATCAACGACTATGCCTTTGCAGCCCGCATGAAATTGGCATCACTCACCATACAGGACAGGTACCTGCAATCCTCAGTAGCCAGCGATCGACGCAACGATGATGATAGATATGTCCGCAGGGCAGTATTCGCACATCATCGTTCGTGAGGAAAGTCTCAACACAAACGGGGCACTCATCTGCAACGGACTTAGCTTGGAGCTGCGAGGGGCTGCGAGGAAGTTCTTACCTCTTGTGGAGTCCTGACCAATATGTCTGCTCGTGTGTACTGACAGACTGGCCTCCTCGTCTGTTCCATTTTCCATCCTCGAAATCCTAATCACGGTACTGTACTTGACGAGTGGTATTGCATCGACCATGGACCTGGGTATGCCCCTCTCTGACTGTTCCCTGAGCATTCTTTGATATATCACGACCGAAGGACTTGGAGGGGAAGCCGGTCGTTTGTTACCTGTCCACCATGCTGAGATGATAATAAGCAATATCATGGCGAGGATGACGCCCACCGTGACAGCGGTCCTGGTTGTAACGGGCGTGCTGTTAGTGGCGGTGTTCTTGATGGGAGCCGTCGCCATTACAGCAGCGAGGTCGCCTAAGAGGTGAGCAGAGACGTGGTCTTGTTATAGTGCTAATGGCTTCATTTTCCGGTTCCTTCAGGCCTCAACAGATCACAGACCAAGATTTAGGTCACAGATATCGCCGCATTGGTTAGAGCTGGCAATGTGTTGCACCCCCTGTCACGGGGAAGTGATATGACGGTTGACCATTCATGTATGAGGCATTTTCCTGGATGAGTATGTGGAGTTGAGATTTGGTGACAGCGAAGAAAGGGGAGGAGAGTGGGATGGGCGTGGAAGAGGAAGAAGGTCGCCTCGAACAGAGGATTAGTGCTAATATGTACGTTGCCTAAGGGTGGACGTAGTGGACCTCCCCTAAGCGTAGTGAGCCTAAGGAACTTTAGAAATGCTTAATTTTGTTTGGCAAAGGCGTCTTTCCACCGCCAAAAAACATTCGTAAATCATTGATTTTGCACACGCGTCATGTTACGCCGAATCATCTCATCTTGACTATGATTGACAGAGGCCAGTTACACGACATGGACCTGAGTGAGTTATCAAGATTTCATGACCTCTCCAGCGAAGAATACAGCTATTCATTGCGTGATTGCCGATGTCTTCGGCCGTGCCTGAATGAGTCCAAACATGTGGATCAAACATGGGCTGCCATGGCATCATGCACACTGTGTAGCCAACGCAGCATTGCGGAGATGGAAAAATCCCTCAGACCAGATACTGTCGAACTGATCAAAATGGCAGTGCAAAAAGGGCGCCTCGAGTGTGGCTACGCATAGACATACCAGCCGGTAAGACGGAACACATCTCGGCAAGACGGGATATCCGAATCGAGGTATGCAAAAAGCATGTTGTGCACATGTCACTGCCCTTGAAGGAAAGGACTCAGTCTGGTTTGGATTCCTGCCGGGTCGAGCATCCTTTTACCATCTTCAAGCTGCTTACCGTTCTGTTTTGTGGGCAACCCTTTTTCGCACAAAAAATTCCCTCCCTCCGCCTGCGAACCGCAGAATCTCAGATACTATCGACCTTCTGTCGCGATAGCTGCTCTTACCGGGGCAGATCAGGGCTCCAGGACCACCAACAGAGCTACCTGAAGAATGGCGACAACGATTCGCATTGCCGATGGACCACATCCGAAATTTGGTTTGCCCATGAGCAGATCTGACACCCAATCGACGCGGGCACCGAGAAGAGGTAGTCTGAGCAACGACGATGGTATCTACAATATCCGCTCAAGGTCAATAGGACACTCAAGAGCACCATCAAGAGCACCTTCGCGCGAGTTCAAGCCCGACGAAGACCCCGGCTTGCGGAAAGAAGGAGACTACAGGCATGCGCAGGTAAAAGATGACTCTATCTGTCCTTGCTATGAACTTCGTTCTGATCCGTTCGTAGGTGTTCAAAGGAAAGATGTTGATGTGGCTGGCATACCAATCAATTGGTGTCATATATGGCGATATTGGCACCAGTCCTCTCTACGTCTATTCATCAACCTTTACATCTGCGCCCTCACGTCAAGATCTTATTGGCGTATTGTCGATCATCCTTTGGTCTCTCACCCTGATGGTGACAGTAAAATACATCTTTATTATTCTGCGGGCGGATAATGACGGCGAAGGAGGGACATTCAGCACATATGCACTTCTGAGCCGCTACGTATGTTCACAGCTCTTTTTCGGGGCAGCCAATACTGACTACGGTGCAGATGAACATAACCAATCGCGACCCGCGAGAAGCATCCCTTGTCAAGATGAGACGACACGCTTCTGGAGACCTTGAGCAAGCCGGCCGAGTCATGCGTCATGGCATCGAGAACAATAAATTCGTTCGAGGACTGCTCAAAGTCATGGGTGTTCTCGCCGTCTCCATGGTCCTGAGTGATGGAGTTCTCACGCCAGCTCAATCGGTTCTGGGCGCTGTACAAGGAGCAGAAGTCGTCAACCCCAGTCTGTCAAAAGGCACCATCATCGGCATCACAGACGCTATCCTAGTGCTGCTCTTCACGATTCAACCACTGGGCATTACGAAAATCAGCTATGCTTTCTCACCAATCATTATCATCTGGTTGGCATTCAACGCTGTCTTTGGGATTTACAACCTCGTCAACTACGATGCAGGGGTTTTTAAAGCGTTCAATCCTGGATACGCCTTCGATTACTTGATTCGACACGGAGAAAAGGGTTGGAGGTCGCTCGGCGGTGTGTTATTGGCTTTCACCGGCGTCGAGGCCTTGTTTGCCGACCTGGGCGCTTTTAGCAGAAGAGCAGTCCAGCTGAGCTGGCTTTGTTACACTTACCCGTGTCTGTTGTTGGCCTATATTGGTCAAGCATCTTACATCAGTGTTCATCCGGAGGCATATTCGAACCCTTTTTTCAATGCCGCACCACCAGGAACGATTTATCCGGCATTGATCATTGCTATCTTGGCCGCTATTGTAGCCTCTCAAGCTATCATCACAGCGACATTTCAGGTGAGCAATCTTTCTTGGGGTCATAACCATATGCTAATAAGGTCAGCTCCTTCACCAAGTCATGAAACTTTCGTATTTCCCACAGCTGAAAGTGGTCCATACGTCGAAAATCTTCCATGGTCAACTGTACATTCCCCTTGCCAATTGGCTACTCATGATTGGAACCATACTGATCGCATCAATCTACAACAATGTAAGTCAGCTGGGTCTCTTTTGCTTGTTTACATGGTAGCTAAAGCAGCATACAGACTACGTCCCTCGGAAATGCATACGGCGTGTGCGTCATGTTCGTTACGTTCTTCGATACCTGCATGTGTTCCCTTACAGCCATATTCGTATGGCGGTACAGTCCTTATCTCGTATTCTTGCCATGGTTGACCATCGCCTGCTTGGACGGAACCTTCCTTTCGTCAGCTCTCACCAAGGTGCCATATGGAGCCTGGTTCACTATTACCCTCGCCATCATACTCGGTTCGATCTTTTTACTCTGGAGATTTGGCAAAGAGCAACAGTGGTTCGCGGAGGCAGCAGACCGATTTCCGACGTCCCATTTTGTCCAGATTGGCCCGGACAATGAGTTACGCTTGACAAAGCGTTACGACGGGGATACATTGAGTTGCATCAAAGGATTTGGTATCTTCTTCGACAAGGCTGGGGAGACAACGCCCATCATCTTCAGTCAATTCGCCCTCAAGCTAACGGCTGTTCCGGAAGTCATGGTGTTTTTCCACCTGCGGCCTCTCGAGGTTCCTTCAGTGCCTCCGGCGCAGCGTCATACCATCTCTCGACTTGCCATTCCAAATTGTTACAGGCTGGTCGTGCGATATGGTTTCAATGATAACGTGATCAGCCAAGATCTGGCGTCAGTTGTCTACGAGCAGATTCGAAGTTACCTTTTGACAGAACAAGCCAAAGATGAAGACGCAAAAGAGGACGCAATCGCGACAGCGACCGAGAAGAACACGAATGACAGTTCCCCAGCTGGGGATGCGGCAGACGAGGAGAACGGTGGAGGGGAGTCGTACAATGCTGAGCTTGCCAGACTTGATGCCGCTTTTGCGCATAAAGTCATGTACATTATGGGCAAGGAACAAATGAAGATCAAGCCCAAGACCAATTACTTTCGGAAGACCCTACTTTGGGCTTTCTTGTGGATCAGGGACAATACGAGGACGAAGATGGCCAATCTCAATGTGCCAGCTGATAGATCGATTGAGGTTGGATTTTTGAAAGAGATATAGTGACCATACTGGAGGCCATCGGGCGTGCCTGATAGACTGTGGGTGATTGAGACTTGCATGTTGATGAATATTTCTTCGACGGGCAACAGTACATATTATGAAGAAACCCTATGACTTTCCGATAACGATGACGAAGCCAATCACCAATATCTTTCACGAGATAAAGCCTCGAATGAGTGTGTGCCCTATCAATCTGAAAACATTGAAGGAAGGAAGGGAAGTTCTCCTGACGTTCAAGACGCTGATATAAGACAGGAAAAATCGACTATGCCTCATTCATCATAGCGCCAGTCATCTCCTATTTTTCGGAACATTTATTTACCTTTCTGCAAGGTTACTCTTGCACATTATCTGCCTTTGGGTATTGTCGGAGGATGGTCGCACCGTCGTCTTCACGATGGAGCATATTGCTCGTCGTCGTCTTACTTTGTCTTGCCACTACGTCCTGGGCCTCTTTAGGTGACCGCCTACCCGAGTTCCGCGAGTGCGTCCGGGTAAGTGCTTTGTCTTGACCTGTTGCTTACCCAGTTGACATGGCTATTGCAGGTATGTGTCGAAGAAAATTGTGCTACAGGTCGAGCGAAGCTACCATTACATCTTCGGCTTCTGTTCTGGAATTGTCCGTCAGAATGCGACTATACATGTCAGCATGTCATTACCGACCGTCGCGTGGCTAGAGACCCGCCTATGATCGAGCCCGTCGTTCAATACCATGGAAAATGGCCGTTTCATCGTTTCCTAGGCATTCAAGAGCCTTTTTCGGTTCTGTTCTCGTTGTTGAATTTGCTGGCTCATCGCGAGGGGATGAAGAGGCTGCGAGAGTCTATTCCGGCAAAGTACCCGCTTAGACCCTATTATGTTGGATTCGGCTACATTGGACTGGCGAGCTGGACCTTTAGTACAATCTTCCATACGCGAGATTTCAACCTGACCGAAAAGCTCGACTACTTTGCGGCGGGGGCTAGTGTGCTATATGGCTTGTACTACAGTCCTATACGGGTGTTTCGACTCGACGAAAACACTCCGACCAAGCAAAGCATTTTGAGGTTCTGGACCTTGGTTTGCAGTTTGTTGTATGTGGCTCATGTGACTTACCTCACGGCCTGGAGCTGGGATTATACGTACAACATGGCAGCGAATGTTGCTGTAGGTGTTGTGCACTGTGTTCTTTGGACGTGGTTCAGCATCTACAGATATCGGAAGACTCACCAAACTTGGACGGCGTGGCCTGGCATGATTGTGGCGTGGGTTGCAATGGCCATGAGTTTGGAATTGTTCGACTTCCCACCTATTGGTGGCATGGTCGACGCACACAGTCTTTGGCATCTTGGAACGGTCATCCCTACGATCTGGTGGTATAGGTAAGATAAGACATGCGGCTTCGTGACCGATACTGATGTGTGAGCAGCTTCCTAATTCGAGACACTCAAGAAGATCTGGCCGGTCAACGACTTAAAGCATGATCAGAGATAAGGTATGGGCCGATCCTACCGAAGTTCCCAACCAAAAGCAAGTCAGTGGCGGTTACGAGCTGGTTGGATGATGGAAGCAAAATGTACGGGGTAGTGCAACCCCCAGATGTTGATAGTTCTCTGCATGATGTACAGAATGAAAGAGGGGTTGTTGTAAAGCAGGAATGTCCTCCCCACGCCAACGCTTGGACGGGCCGCTGGTATTGGCGGCAACCCTCCCACTAGTCAGGCACATTTACCATCCAGGGATCGTGGTACAGGCTTGTCGGGCCTAAGCGGGGTTTGTCGGAGGGGCCGTTTATTCCACAAGCCACCAAAATAGGCACGTTGATCATTTATTGACGGCACTAATTAAACCTTCCCACGTTTCGGCTGTAACATCTTACGTTGTCGCATTCTCAGGGTCGCAGATACAATACCTAAGTATTTTCAAATCTCACCGTTTGTGTTTTTGTACTTGTTCTCTACTTCTGTTCGTCCAGCGATTCGTCGAAGCGCACACCTGTGTGCACCGTGGCCATCATGTCTTCATACAGCAACCCTCGAGAATCCGTCTTCAATCAGCCTAAGCCGGTGGTCAACCTTCCCAGCGATCTCCTGGACGCAGTCACGAAGAATGTCGAGCCATACCCTATTCCTGAGGGGAGGAGATACGAGTATGGCACCGCTGGGGTATGTATTGGTATCTGCGTCCGCAAACATCTGACTGACAACTTTGTCGCAGTTCCGCATGAAAGCGTACGTCTCTCAGGCCTTCACGCTGATACCTACCTACCTACGATCTTCGAGCCTGTTTCATCGCTGACAAAGAGCCGCGTGTAGAAATGCAGGATTGGATCATGTCATCTACACAGTTGGACTCATTGCCGCGGCTCGGTCAAAAAAGCGCAATGCAACTATTGGAATAATGATTACAGCCAGTCATAACCCGGCAGAGGACAACGGTGTGAAGTTGGTGGATCCTATGGTTAGTTGTCTCTCTGGACACAAGAATTTGGCTAACGATGGGACAGGGTGATATGCTGGAGGTATGGCCTCGCAACTTGTTTCGCATCACATGACTGACTGGGCCCAGCAATCCTGGGAAAGCTATGCGACGACTTTGGCCAACACGCCCAATGACAAACTTGCCAAAGCATATGAGAACCTGGTGAATGAGACATTGGTTGACGAGATTCGTCAACTTCATGAGCGACCAGCCAAGGTGGTCTTCGCCCACGACACCCGAGCCTCAGGTCCTTACCTCGTCACTGCTCTCAAGGCCGCATTGGATGCTGTCAAAGTCGAATATACCGACTATGGACTCTTGACAACCCCTCAACTTCACTACATTGTTCGTTGTATAAACACCCTGAACTCGCCTTATGCATTTGGTGAACCCACCGAGCAAGGATATTACGAGAAGATGGCCAAAGCATTCAAAACTCTGATGTATGGACGGTCAATCCATGGGTCTGTGACTGTTGATTGTGCCAACGGTGTCGGCGGACCCAAGCTGAAGGAATTTATCAAGTACCTTCCAAGCGGGAAAGAAGGTGGAATTGACATCAAGATCATCAACGATGATGTTGTTAGACCGGAATCTCTCAATATGGATGTGAGTTGTACATGCTGGACATGAGCCATGCTGACCTGTTAGTGTGGCGCCGATTATGTCAAGACCAAACAACGCGCTCCACCAAGCTCGAATGTCGGTCCTGGAGATCGATGCTGTTCGTTAGATGGCGATGCTGATCGTATAGTATACTATTATACGGACGATTCGAAAACATTTCACCTCCTCGATGGTGACCGAATCGCCACTTTGGGGGCTGTCTTTCTTGCCGATATGACTCGAGTGGCTGGGATCGACAGCAAACTCAAAATTGGCATCGTTCAGACCGCGTACGCCAATGGAGCTGCAACCGAGTATGTTGAGAAAGTCCTGAAACTTCCAGTCGCAGTCACACCTACCGGTGTCAAGCATCTTCACCACGCTGCAGCCCGGTACGACATTGGTGTCTACTTTGAGGCTAACGGTCACGGCACGGTTTTGTTCTCGGACAATGCCATTAAAGTGATCAAAGAGTCTGAGCCGAAGTCTCCTGGACAAAAACATGCTCTTGACTCTCTTCGCGCTTGTATCGATTTGATCAATCAAGCTGTGGGTGATGCCATTTCAGACATGCTGTTTGCCGAAGTTGTTCTCGCTCACAAATCTTGGACGTTGGAGAACTGGCGGAACACTTACATTGACTTGCCGAATCGTTTGGTTCGGGTTGAAGTTCGAGACCGATCGATCTTCAAGACGACTGATGCCGAGCGGAAACTTGAGTCGCCCAAGGGGGCTCAGGATGAGATTGACAAGTTTTGTCAAATGTATGTCAAGGGTCGTGCCTTTGCTCGAGCTTCAGGGACGGAAGATGCTGTGAGGGTCTATGCCGAAGCACATTCCAAGACTGAGGCGGAGAAACTTGCAGGTCAGGTTGCTGAGGTTGTGAGGAAGTATGGAGCCAATTGAATTGGTATGAATGAATGACAATTGGGGGTGAGCATAGCGTTGGCGTATGATGGGGTGTTTGGGTCAAGTGACTGGATGCAGATGCAGATGCAGATGCAGCTACAGATACCACGAAATAAAAGTGCTTTTCATTAAGATGATGACTTGACCTGGAGTGGTCTCTGTAGAAACAGCAGCGCTGAACCTTTGCTGTCCTGAGTCAAGACGTTGGAGGTATTTGTGCCATTTACTTATTATCTCCACTCGAGCATACATCCGGTGTAGTCGTGTCATGCCTTTCGTCAACAATCTGCACAATCAGGAAATCACACGCAGCCATATGATTCGATGATTTGGCCCGCTAAAACAAATTCCCATATTGGCTTTAGTCAGGGACCGATCATCAAGTTTACCAACATATGTCATAAACTACTGCACCCGTCGACATCAACATTCAAGATATGGATGACAATCGCGTGAGAATGATTTCTTGACCTGAAAACAATGGCATCATTGCATCCTTGAACGCAAAGCTGGGCTGAAAGCGGGCAGACGTTGGAGTACCAGTGGCCGGAAGTCAATTGCCCGGATACCACACCATCGAGCAAGCTTGTCGGCATGAAACTACACAATGTTATCCTACCAGGCCGGGACCCCATTTCACGCTGGGACGTCGACTTTGAAAACGACACGATAACCGCGATCAAGCCTGCTGTTATATCGACCGCTCCCGGTTGCACCGCTTCTAGTTCAAATAACCCTTCCCCATTCACTCTCGAGGAACATCCGGATCCATCACCACTTCTACTCCCGCCATTATGTCACCCGCACATTCATCTCGACAAAGCGTATCTCTTGACATGCAATGCTCAACATAATCCGCGCTGTTCCGGTTACGGTGGTGGTTTACGGCAGTTGCCGGAGTACACGGACCTCGCGCCACAAGATGGAAGCTTCAAGGAAGCACTTGAATTCACGGCACGCGCGAAACAACGGTACACGGTCGACGATTTGTATCTACGGGGAAGTCAATTGCTGGCGACGAGTCTGGGTCAGGGCGTGACGAGTTGTCGGGCGTTCGTGGAATTGGATCATGTTACGGGACGGAAATGTCTTGATGTTGCGGTCAAGTTGAAACGGGTGTTTGAGGGGAAAGTGCATGTGCAGATTTGTGCGTTTGCGCAGGATCCGATTTTCAGTACGGAACACGCAGAGGAGAATCGGAGTATCTTATCGAGGGCACTGGAGGAGTGCTCAGAGGGGGATATAGAGGTGTTAGGGACGACGCCTTATGTGGAAACGAGTCAAGAGGCCAGCTTGGAGAATATTCGATGGGCTGTTGAGATGGCGTTGACGAAGGGGCTGCACTTGGATTTCCATCTTGATTATAATCTGGACCGGGAACAAAGTGTGATGGTGCGAGATGTGCTTAGGGTACTGAAGGAGAAGAAGTGGAAGGAGCGAGCAAAGCCGGGGAAGACGATTGTGCTGGGTCATTGTACGAGGTTGACTTTGTGTCAAGATGAGGAGATGGAACGATTGGCGGCGGATATTAAGGCCAGTGGATTACCGGTGCATTTTGTCGGGTTGCCTACGAGTGATTTGTTCATGATGGGACGGGTGGCTGGTGCGAATCGACCGAGAGGGACGATGCAGGTTCTTGATATGATTTCGAAAGGAATGGATGCGTGTCTGAGTGTGAATAATGTGGGAAATGCGTTTACGCCTTGGGGAAGTGGGGATCCGATTGCGCTGGCGGCGTTGGGGGTGGGAGTGTATCAGGCGGGCACGACGGAGGATGCGGAGAGATTGTATGAGTGTGTGAGTACGAGGGCGAGGAGGGCTATTGGGTTGGGGAGTGAGGATACGATGGTGCTGTCGGAGGGACGGAAGGGGGAGGTGTTGATGGTGCGGAACGAGGAGTGGGTTGGGTGTCCGGGGCATTTTGGCATGAAGATTCCTGCAAGGCAGAGGGTCAATGTGAGGGATGTCGTTTGGGATCCGCCGGATGTTGGACTGCGGCAGATTGTGCGCGGTGGGTGAAGCAAGAATGATAGAGGCTATGGCATTGCTTGAAAGATTGAACTAAGGGGGAGAGAGAACAGAATCAAGCACATTCAAGAACCACCAGTACCGTCGCACTAAACAATTTCTTGTGCTCGTTCTCCAGTATTCAGTCAATATCCATCTCGGCCAGGGCATGCGTGAGCATGCCCCTGATCGACTGAGGTCCGCTGTGTGGTAGGCTCGGACTCACCAGCAATCGATGCCGAGTACGTTCGATGCTTTTGGAATCAGCACCAGTGGTAGCGGCGAGTCGTGGTAGGCATCGCCTGCGGACTTTCCACAGGCAGTTGGTATCAAACATCTGGCTGAATTGTATAAACAAGAGTCCTTTATTTGCCCGGCAAACCATCATAATGCCATGGCCTGCTGAGGTGGTTTGTCCTCATGCCCAATCCTGATTGCCGCCCGGTTTGCTCACTCGCTGGTGACGATCCCGGGCTTTCGTCGCCAGACAAGGCTCTGAAAGCGAGGTTGACTATGCTAGGCATTGGATAGGGGCCAGCTCGGATTGTAGACGTTGAACAAACATTCAGCATCGTACTGCCACATAGTTCAAACAGTGCATCGACTGGGGCGGCTTGGTCCGCCCCTGAAAGCCACACTGTCCACAGCTACACGTTACCCTTGATCACGCATAGATGCAATCAATCAGTGTCCCCGGCCCACGGCTTGTCCGCAACCATGGAGTTTTATAGCAAGCTGTCGGCAGCAATCGTGGACCTTGATACTTGTAGTTGGAAAAGGGTCGTAGATGCTCATCCTGACTGGCTGTTGTGTGGGGCCTTCGGAGATCCCAGCCCAGACCGGCCTTGGTGTGGGATCAATTCTGACAGCGGGTGTGGTACGAAGTACGAAGCTGGTCTGCAGCCGTGCTTTGCCTGCTTGCTCTTCTCCGTCCCACACGCCCATGCCTTGCCGTCCAGGATCGGGCTTCCCCCGTCCCACACGCCCGTGCCTTGCTGTCTAGTAGTGCTCGGGTTCCCTCAGTTTCGAGCCTAAGCAGCCTACCATCGGCCGCTTTCATTCGGCTTTCCCGGCCTGGGTATTTTTGCCTTCATATACCACACTCGGCTCAAAATCGTCAAAATCGTCTCTCAGAGACGGTCAGGGGATGTAACTGTTCGTGCCCCCTCCTCTACTGTCAACAACATGAAACTAACCTCCTCATAGCAGGGGTAGAGGTGAGCATCAAGTCTCTAGACGCCCTAAACACAGATATTAACAGTCAACGCTAGTGTTCGCTTTGCAGCTCCTAGCGAGAATACATGCGAAAAGTCCAGCGTTCAAATCGCTGTTTCTCCATTTTTTTGCCCTTGTCTTCGCATCGCAACGTGGTGTGGTAAGAAAGGGCGGAAAAAGGGGCGCATGCAACATCGAGAAGCCCGAATAGGCTTAGTGTGGCGGCGGTATATATTTTCACGTGCTACTCCACCCGAACCAACTACTGCGGAGCGCAAGTGACCCTCGAATCCAATCTTTTTAGAAAAATATTAGTCGCTGGAAGTATCCCTCGCCTTACCAGGATAATCGGATTTTTTGGTCCTCAGACCTCTTTTTCCACATTATCCATTCCCTCGACATGAACGGAGCAAAGCCGACGCCTACAGTAGCTGATTTGGCCGCCATGTCGACAGAAGAGAGAATGTCGGGCATGGAGCATTCGGAAGTTCGCTACTTCACGAGGTGAGATCAATGGAATCTATACCTAGACTGCGCTGACCCTGGTTAGCTACGACCACCATGGAATCCACGAAGAGATGCTAGTGAGTTGACTCAATCAACACTGTATACGCATACTAATACCCAGCGCAGAAAGACGAAGTGCGCACTCGATCCTACCGAGACGCAATCTACCAGAACCACCACCTCTTCAAAGACAAGGTCGTCCTGGACGTAGGCTGCGGAACAGGCATTCTTTCCATGTACGAAGTTCGGACAAAAAAGCGCGGCAATGACTGACCGAAACAGGTTCGCGGCCAGAGCAGGCGCGAGACATGTTATTGGAGTCGACATGTCTAGCATCATCAACAAGGCCAAAGAGATCGTGCAAGTAAATGGCCTGTCAAAGAAGATCACACTCCTACAAGGCAAGATGGAAGAGGTGGAGATGCCTCAAGAGCACCTCAACGACGGAAAAGTCGACATTATCATCTCGGAGTGGATGGGCTATTTCCTTCTTTACGAAAGCATGCTGGATACTGTTCTGTATGCGCGAGACAGATACCTGGTAAAAGGAGGCCTGATTTTCCCAGACAAAGCGACGATCTATATGGCTGGAATCGAAGACGGAGAATACAAAGATGACAAGATCGGATGTAAGTTTATGGATCTCCCTTTGAGGCGCAAACTGACCGTCTAGTCTGGGACAATGTCTACGGCTTCGACTACCGGCCCATGAAAGAAAGTGCTTTGACCGAACCCTTGGTCGACACGGTCGAAATGAAGGCTCTAGTCACCGACCCATGCCCGGTCTTCACAATTGACCTCAACACCGTCACTGTGCCGCAATTGGCATTCTCAGAGCCATTCCAACTTCGATGTCAGCGAAACGACTTCGTTCATGCTCTGATCGCCTGGTTTGATATCGACTTCACAGCATGCCATAAGCCGATTCGATTCTCAACCGGCCCACACACGAAATACACCCACTGGAAGCAGACCGTGTTCTACGTTCGACAAGTGCTTACCGTCGAGGAAGGCGAGACCGTGACTGGTTTCCTTTCGAGCAAGCCCAACAACAAGAATAAGCGTGATCTTGACATCAAGATCGATTATGAACTCGACACGCTTGACCGGACGCGGTTCGCCAGAGGATCATGCGAGTACAAAATGTAAGCCGGCCACCCCACGGTTAAGGATTTGTTCTTACATGTTTTAGGTGCTGACCTCAGATGACTGGTTTTGGTCTTTGCATTCCACCCGGCGTTTATTCTCTTTGGTGTCTTCCCGTGTGCATAGCACAAGGCGCGTGGCTTTTGTGACATGCTTTCCTGGCAATGTATGGCCAGATGGATGCTAGGCTGGTTGTGCCTGCATCATGTTATGATCGTGATAATGATCTCGAAAAACGACTTCAAGCTCCTCGTTTATTACATTAGATACCCCACGAGTCGATGCTGAACCTTTATACCTGGTCACAATGAACGTACGAAAAGTTCTCTGCATGTCTTATGGCTGCTGGAATTTCCCGTGCACTTTTGTATACTGATCCACCCATGTTTATTCCTGATTACTATCTTTTACTATCTTGATGCGGGTATCGAGAGCCGCTGTACCTCGGTATCTTTCCCCGCAACCATTTGCAGAAGCTGATCGACAACTACTCTCTCTGTTTCTTATTGAACATTGCACCCGGGAGCATTTGGAGACCTTTCTGTTGGTGTGTTTGTATTGACCACCCAAGTTGAACAAGATGTCTAGTCCTGGCGCCGGTTACGAATACCCTTCAACTGAGGTGTCCTGGTTGAAGAGAGATGTTCTGCTGTTCGCGGTCAGCATAGGGTGTACCGTGGACGAGCTTCACTTTATTTATGTGAGTAGTGCTGGTAGCATAGGCGTGGTACAACTGCTGATGGACTTTAGGAACTTCATCCCAACTTCGCTGTGTTCCCTACCTATTCCATCATTTTACGTGAGTCTGAGCAATGGCGCGAGCATATCCACCCGTGCTGACCACATGCAGCATTCAAAAAGAGCACGCAGGAAGTCATCGACTTCTACGCTTCTCAAGAGGCACACCCAATCCCTGGCGTACCCAAGCTTGACCCACGGCGAACCCTCGATGGTCAGCGTCTGCTCCAATTCCTCAAGCCTCTCCCTCCAACATCCGCTGGTCGGAAATTCGAGCTGCGGTCGAAAGTTCTAGGTGTCTATGACAAGGGCAAGCCCGGAACCGTGGTTGAGACTGAGCAGACTATCGTCGACAAAGAGTCTGGCGAGGTATACACACGAGCTGTGAGCAGTGGATTCTTCGTCGGTCAAGGAGGATGGGGAGGACCAAAGGGCCCTTCAACCGTCAACTACCCGCCTCCCAAGGGCAAAGAAAACAGCCCGGACAAAGTCAGCGAGACGCAGTTGACTGCCGAGAGTCCACATCTGTATAGGTAAGATGCCTCATCAATGCTAACCGGGACAGTGCTTACAGGAGTCAACAGGTTGAATGGCGACTATAACCCTCTCCATGCCACACCCGAACCAGGTCAGAAGATGGGCTTTGGCGGATCTATCATGCACGGATTGTACAGTTGGAATAATTCCGCACATGCACTTTTGAAGGAGCTCGGTGGAAGCGACCCTGCCAACATCAAGGAGTTCCAGGCACGGTTTGCGGCACCTGTCAAGCCTGGCGCGAAGATTGTCACGGAGATGTGGAGGACTGGCGATATCAAGGATGGATGGGAAGAGATCAGGTTCCTCACCAAGGTGAATGGAAAAGTCGTACTTAGCAATGGTCGTGCCTTGATGAAGGTCGCCGAGGGGAAGAGCAAGCTTTGAACATAGATCGATAAAAATCAGGAGCACGTTCGAGCCATCATTTCTATTTGCTATTAACAACCCATGCCGACCAGGAGCCAGTCGATCCCACCGACCACTCCTTCGCCTACCTCTTAGCCAGAGTGAAGAGAAATACCGACCCAAGATGCTGGACGATTATCCTCACCACTATGTCATGTTCATAATGGAGCTCGCCAAAGAAGATTTCGGAACGATGGGACTGGCAGGCTTGAAGCCCGTTGCCGTGGGTGGTCTGCAGGACTGTAACATTGCAATTCGACGCCTGCAGAGCCCTCTCCTCGCAATAAGCGGATCAAAAGACCTGAAGACCTTCCAGAATCTGGTTTCATTTGCTTGTGTCGCCGATCAATACCAGGCCAGCTTGGCTGACTCTTGATACAGTAGCCAGGCGACCACCAAACTCAACGAATGCACATAAGATAGGACAACACCATGGCGAACACCAGCACAATCACGCCAAATACAACCGACATTTCATAAGCAACCCTCCGTCCGACAGACCTTGGCATATCAACAACATCAAACTTGATACTCCTGCCATTAGGGCCGCGAATATAGTAACGCCCACTTTTCGAGGACCCGCGTCTTTTCCTCGTGACAAAAGGACACACGTCGCCCGTGACAAAGCACATAATCCGTCCTCTCTTACCAAACTTGTCGACCACGTACGCCCGGGCGTTCTCGCATTTGACGCATTCAATGTGCAGTCTCCTCCGGCGGAGGATGTCGTTTACTTCGCGGTTGGCGACGAAGGCTCTGTCAGACCGAAACGAGAGTTGTGCGGATTGGGGGATGGGGAAGTCCTCTGCGTTCCGCTGGAGGACCCATGATACGCGCTGGGTGACGGTGGGGGTGCTGGCGAAAATGCTGGTGAAGTAGGGGTGGCTGAGTTTCAAGGAGAGGAGATCTGGGTAGTCGAGGTATCCTGCGATGAGGTGGATGAGTTCAGGGGGTGGTGACAAGATGGTGGTTTTGGGTTGTTGTATATGTACCGAAGCCAGAGCGTCTTTGTCGTTTTTGATATGCTGGTGGCTGGTCACTATCTCGACAGGGTCTTCGATCAAAGACGTTTCGACTCCTGGCTGCACTGAGGCTGCTTCACAAGGTGGTTTCGCGGTATGACACATGGAAGACACGGCTTGATCTTGAATTGATGCTCCCGATCGCTGCTGACATCGAGCACATAGAGCCACTGAGCCTGTCTGGGCCTCTTTGAGAACACTTTTGCCGAGAAGCATTGCAGTCAACCAATCTCACCGAGGCCAGTTAGGGCCGTCAACGCCGAGACCTCTTGCGATGGCGCAGCATGCGATATCACGTAGTTTCTCCGTTTGCTGTGTCGCCCAGCTATCTGTCCGGCTAAGTGAAGATCTCGGGCTGACTTGCATCGTTCTGTAGAGATATTCGTCTCGTTATTACCTCCTGACCTTTGCAAGGAAAATGTTCTGCCTGGCAAGGCTGCATTTGTAAAAACCTGCTGTACCGAATTTTCTCGAGGGACACTGTGGCATTTTGCCACTTTGCCACATGTTTTCCTTTGGGCCTGATACCCGTTAATGAGGACGTGTGCAACCAGAGGACTTTGTTGTCATGGCGTGAAGTTCGTGGGTGGATTGTCCTCTGAGTGCCTTGAACCAGTTCCAGATGGCGTTGGTGATGGCTTGGAGACGTGATGGACACCAACCTGATGCCCCGCAAATAAACCCACCATCAGCCCAGGCACATCATGTCGCGAACGTCACCTTAGCAGAGTCCACCAGATGAGACTTGAAAAGCAGCCAGGATTGAATCTTACCTGCCTCAACCAACAACAGACAGGAAGAAAGTTCAGAGAGTGTGTTGGCGCAGGATTTTTCCTAAAAAGCTGCAAAGAAGAGATATCGTCTGACGAGTGAATACAGACGTTTTAAGCGCAAGCTGGGCCATAAATTCATCGTCGATTCTGTCAGGCGAAATTAATTCCGTGGTGACACCACTCCGACTTCAAAGTTCCTTTGGTTCGCTCTCCTTGTTTCCCTTTTCCACCATTTCTTGAGCAATGCTGGGTAACATCATCTGGTCAACGAAATTTTATAATAGCTACGGGACCGGTACAGCTACGAGACTAGTACTCAAAACTGGCAGTGTCGGAGTATCTGACCGCGCTCGAAGAGCTACATATTCTCCTACGGTAAGATGTGGTCAAACGGAATGTCACCACTGTCGGACGAACAGCGTCTCGTACTTTTTTTCTCGCCTTTCTCGCCGTTCACGAATCATCTGGACACTGTCCGTACTATGCTGTCTTGCCATCTCAGCGATCCATGAGTCGGCCAATATGTTCCACTCGTGTGTCCTCTTGGCCGAGGACCTCAGCGGCACCAAATTATGTGGTTCGCCAACAGTGGTTGGTTTGCCTCAAACACCCCAATTCAAGTCTGGTTTTGACGGCGGCATGAAATACTGCCGACGTCTGTGGAAGAATGAGGACCTGGTCTTTCCTAAGTATATATTCTTATATCTTCCTGGCTCAACCCTTTTTCACACTTGAACCTCCCACACTTCCAAGAACTGCTCGAAACGATTCATTCACTCAGGCATAATCACCCATCACAGTTACAACCACAACCTACAGGATATACCACGGTCTCATACATCATGGTAAAGGTAAACACCCTCCTGGCAGCTGGCCTCATGGCCCTCACTGCTGCAAGCCCAGTGGCAGCGTCTCCCGTGAACCCATCACCCACCACAGATGACGGCACAACGACCGCAACTTCGGAGAGGGAAGTAGCACCACTACCGCTGTTCAACACAAGCAACTTGGAACACGCCGCAGGATACCAGGCTGCGGAGATGCTAAAACAAACCCCATCCTTCACTACCCTCATCGGTACAAGAACAACCTCGCTCGGCACGAGGACAACCTCGCTCTTCAATGGAACCGTGTCAGAAGAGCTAGAACCTAGAAGGCTCCGCCCTGGTCAAGTTGTCCTCGGCTGCCACGGCAAATGTGACAAAATCATCCGGACAATCGACCTGAGCCTGCCAGTTCCATCACATAGCTGCGTCCGCGATGCTCTCACTGCTCTCGCCAACTGGCGCAAATACTGCGACAACGCCGACCGCTGGAACATGGGCGTGAACTTTGTGAATTTCCAGCACACTTTGCTCTGCTTTCCCAACGCGCCCAACGTCGAAATTTGCTGCGGCAAGTGGGTGGAGAAGGACGACCCGAAGTACGCCGTCTATCCGCCTCGTGTTGAGGAAGATAGATTCGGCGTGTACCACCCATCTGAGATGGGTACCAAGAAGCAAGTTATTCAGCCTGGATGGGACGAGTACAACGTCGAACGCGATCGATGCAGGAGGTGGAGACCAGAGAACGAGGATCAGTACATCTACTACATGCAGAATCTGGACAAGTACGACATCTGGGACGCGGATGATACGGGCAGGGTGATTGGCAGTAATCCCGCACGATACAACCCTGAGGGAGTGGGATATTTGGTAACAAGAGCGAATTACCTCGCCGCTTGAGTGTGATGGTCCACGAGGCACCCGAACTGGAGTATGGTTGAGATGGGCATTCAGGTTGGCATGCTGAAAGAGGATGCCGGTGCTATCTGTTACGGAGAACTTGTAGGAAAGTTCAAGTGATTCGGCATCAGACCTGCGATCTTGACTTTATTATGTTGGACATCTCTCCCGCAGGGTTTTCCCACTGCGTTCGAAGGGGCCGCCGACGCCGATGCCGACACGAAAGTTGAGATCGGATCTACGCTTTTACAATGTGATCTACCAAATTGAAATAACCAGTAAACTTGAATGATTGTGGATTGATTCGAAGAGGACACCGTCATAAGAGTGCCACGGTGAAGATCGAGGATATTGGGAGTAAATACTACTATGCATATGACGCCTGACGCCTGACGCCTTAGATAAATATTCCTTATCGGTCGGTCTTCACGTGGCCAACCTTCTGGGGGGGTCCCTGCTCCAACGGTAGCCCTGAAGTCTTATCGAACAGTAGTTTACAGTCGATAATCCCTCCATCATTCCTACATTGCCGACACATAGCCTGTTTGCCATGCCGGCAACCTGGTTATCTTGACGAACCCTAACTTCTCAGTCGGTCGCCTGCATTTCTTAGAAATACCCGGACGACCTCACGACTACTTTCTTATCGTGTGATTGACCAACTTCTACCTATCCGCCTCGACAGCGTCAATCTTGGCTCTTAGCCGAACCTGCGTCTAAAGAACATCACTGTCACCATCAAGCAGATTACATGCCCTTGTCGGCGAGATTTTGGCCTTCCACTGGTTTTTCTCGGGCATAAAGTCTGGCGTCCACAGTCAAGATCTCCTGTCTCGTGTCTTTCCGAAGCAACAATCTCCTCGCACTGGATTCGATGGCGACAATTGGTGAGTACGACTGGTATGATCCGCAACAACTAGGCTAACAGAATGAATCAGGTCCAGCTTGTTCCACTTGCAGGAGAGCTTGTCGTCGTTGCGACCGTGCAAAGCCTGCATGTGATCGATGCGTCTCGAAAGGTGTCAAATGCGGCGGCTATCCAGAAAAGTACAAATTCTGTGGTCTCGCAAGTCGAGGCAAGTGGCGAGACGCCCAACTCCCAGTGGCCAAGAAACCTACACGGTCTACAGGTCGAGCGACTCGGCGTCCTCAGCGACTTTCTGTACAATGTACTCGTGCGACACCATCACCTGCATTCAATGGTCAGCCGGAGCCCAGGTCGAGGCCTCTCGACGCCCTGGATCTTACCGCTTTACCGAATATTAACGCCGTGCTCGAAATATCAGCAACCGAGGGCATAGATGTGAGCGTACTAGATGAACCAGATGAGTCTCTCGACGCGCTTCTCGTGCAAGATCGAACCGAAGTCTTATTGGCTTATTGTAGGTGACCTTCGTTTGTTTATTGGGGGCGTCATTATTGTGGCTTGACTATGACTGACAGTAATGACCTAGACGACGAGGTCATATGTCCTCACCAGATTGCAATGGTCACAAACAATATCGAGAACCCATATCGAAAATACATCCTCCCCCTAGCATATGAGCATGTCGCTCCTCTGTGTGCTATCCTTGGCCTCTCGGCATGTCATCAAGGCATACAGCAAGGCGACAGAGAGATGCTTGATAGTGAAGCTGTGCAATACCGGCTCCAGGCTATTCGATCATTGGCGAGTTTGCTCGCCAAAGATCGACGCAGCACTCTTTCAGAAGTTGAACAGGCTGCCCTGCTGGCCACCATCCAACTCCTCATTCTACATGATGTAAGTAATTGTCCGCACGGATCCCGGACAGTTTTCGGAATCTGCCTATTCCATTTGACACTAGACTCACCGCCTTTAGATATGCGAGACCGGTATCTCAAGTCATGGAGCCCATGTCACGGGATCTAGCGTGATTGGCGAAAGATGGATGGAGGAAGGCATGACTACTTCTGGCCGTGGTCGGACTGTGTTTTTCCTGGCGAATCTGGCTTGGTCTCACCCCTGTCGTCTAAGAAGTCGATCCGTAAGCTAACGAGGTTTCGCAGGCTGGACGTGACTCGAAGCTTTGCAGGTCCGGAGCGACTATGCTTCTCCTGGACTCTCATGCAAGCCATCATTGCCGCAGCGGATCGTCACTTCGAAATGGTCAATGGTTGTCCACGAGACATATTCTTGATCGTCGGCTATGTGCTATGGAGCTCCAAGCAGTGTAGCCTTGGCATTCTGTCTCTGGGAGCGCTTCAGGACGTGATTAGAGCAGGAATTGTCAAGCTACAACAGTGGAACAGCACTAGCTACGAGTATCCAACAACCGACCCTCTATGGTTCAACGTTGCAGAGGCTTTTCGAGCAGCGTGTATGTTATGGATGATGCGCCTCCTCGAGCCTTCCAGACCTGCCAAAGATGCAAAAATTGAGTCTCTCGTCACTCAAGTTCTGGACAACATTGCTGAAGTCCCCGTAAGCTCGCCACTACTTGAGTTACTTGTCCTGCCACTCTTCATTGCCGGTGCGGATGCGATGACAAAACATTCGAGATATTATGTCATTTTCCGCCTAGACGAGATCAAAGGAAGGTCTGGCTTTGCGAATCCTGCCCCTAAAGACCTTCTGCGCCAGGTCTGGCAAACTCGAGACTCACCAAGCACTGAGGATGAGTTGAATGTACCATGGATGCGATTTGTAAGTCGCGCTTCGCTACAAGGGACTCTACCAGACACTGATAGTATGCAGACGTTCAGCACCGACCTGGAGCGCCAGAATGATTACATAATCATTTAGAATGTCGCCTCCATTCCACACATGGAATGGTGTTGATGAACGTGGGATTGCAGACAGAGAGTCGACTTCTTTACATGCTTGGGGTAGGGGATGATGCTGGTTCCCAAGTCAGGTCGAATATTGAGCATCTATCCCACGGTATAACCTCCATCTATGATCAAGTCCGAGCCCGTGGTATATGAGGAAGCAGGAGTAGCAAAGTACAAGAATGCGCATTTCAGCTCGTTGGGTGACGCTTCGCGCCTAGACATATGTCACTCAGTGGTGCCAAAGACCAGCTTGGATGGAAAGACTTACCCCATAGGTACTTTGTCCCTCCAAACTCCTTTCATGTCGTCTGGGATAAATGCGGATATCTCGGTGGCGATGTAGCCTGGCGAGATGCTGTTGACCCGAGCAAACCTGATCCATTCAATGGCTAGAGATTTGCACAGATGAGCCACACCTGCTTTGGCGGCGTTGTAAGCGGCCTGCAATTGAGGAATGTTCACTATGTGTCCGCTGATACTGGCGGTTGCCACGAAGCTGCCTCCACTGTAAGACTCTTCCAGTTTGTTGCCCCTAAGATCGGTCTTGTCAAGGAATTGGCGTCGGAAATGCTTTCCTGCTGCGAGTGCAGAGTAGTAGGTGCCGTCCAAATCGACCTTGACGACTTTTTGATAGTGGGAGATCTCGCCCCCTAATGCTGCGCCTTGGGTCCAAGGTATTCCGGCGTTTGCAATGAAAACGTCCAATCGGCCATTGAACTCGCTGACTATTTCATCCACGGTTCCTAAGACGGCTTCGGCGGACGCAACATCAAGTTGATACGCCTTGCCTGCGCAATGAAGCTCGGGTCAGAATCCCATGCGATTGTGGGTGGACCTAATTCAACTTACATTTGACGTTGAATTTTCTAGAAATCTCGGTGGCTTTTTCCGGAGCCTTGGTGTTGGTGTTGTAGGTGATTGCTACATTGGCACCGACTTCAGCTAACGCCTCCGCCGCCGAGAGGCCGATTCCAGCCGCAGCGCCCGTGACAATGGCAGTTTTCCCATGGAGGCTGAACAGGTCGAAAACGGAGGTGCTAGTGGGTGATGGAACGCCATTATCATGCACCCACGTACCAGCTTTGGTCAACGCACCGTCGGACATATCTGGCATCAATCTTTGACCGTTCGCGAGTGAGACTTCAGTTGTTGACCTCAAGCGGCAGTTCGTGCTTGGGCTCCTCTTATAGCACTTATTTCGATAGAATTGGTGTCTTCGCCTCGCCATGTCGAAGGACTGGGATCGGAATAAGTATTGACACATCTTTTGCAGTGCCCTTCAACATGTGGAGGTAAGCTCTGTGGCCGAGCATGACCCGGTGGTCCCCGTTGAACTCCAGGGACTCTCGACCTGTCCGTTTGAGTAAAGGGAATGGACCACAAATCACGGCCGGACCATTGTATCTGCGCTATTGGTTCTATCCACTCATAGGCCGTCATTTTCGGAGGTGCTATCGGGATCATGGTGACCGGCATATCTCGGTCGACAGGCAGCCGAGCAGAACAACGAAGATCACCACGAGCAAAGTCCCTCTAACGACCCACCGTGAAAGGTTGTCATTTCAGGCAGTCTCGATGTTGACACTGCGATGATTAACTATATTTGAGGCATTGAGCGCACAGTTTGGCTTGATGTCTCATTACACCACTACAATGTGGTCAAGAAATCGTGCAACAACTGGTTCACTCGCCATGTCTCCCGCTATCAAGGTGAGTTTGCCGCGCCTAGGACTCCATGCAATACCTAATTCAGACTTCCCGACAGACTCAGAATCCAGCTTTTGTGCTGCGTGCTGTGCATGATACAGTCATCGAAGAGCGGACCATCCCAAAACTGCGTAACGATCGTGACGTCCGTGTCGAGATCAAGCAAACCGGCATATGTGGTAGCGATGTCCATTACTGGGACCATGGCCGGATCGGCGGTCAGTTAGTACCGGAACATGGCCGAGCCAGTAGCTGATGACTGAATCCAGACTTTATCCTCACCACCCCCATCGTTCTAGGGCATGAGTCCTCCGGGGTAGTGGTCGAGGCTGGTGCGGCAGTCAAAAACGTCAAAGTGGGCGATCGTGTTGCGATCGAGCCTGGCATACCCTGCAGACAGTAAGCCTACTTTTGGTTCTATCATGTATTCCTTCTGATCTTGGCGAATCGCAGCTGCGATTATTGCCGCAGTGGGCTCTACAACCTTTGCCCGGATACCGTCTTCGCTGCCACACCACCACACGATGGAACGCTCTCGAAATACTATGTCGTCGCCGCAGATTTTTGCTACCCGATTCCAGAACATATGGACATGGAAGAAGGGGCTCTGGTCGAACCCGTGTCGTCAGCTGTCAACATGGTCCGCACCGGCGACGTCCGTGGCGGCCAGACCGTCGTGGTCTTCGGCTGCGGACCAATGGGCGTGTTATGTCAAGCCATCTGCCGAGCGTGGGGCACAAAAAGAGTAATAGGCATTGATATCGTCCAGTCCAGGCTGGACTTCGCGGCTTCTTTCAGTGGTGGTAGGAAAGAAGATGTTTTCATGACTCCCAAGAGGCCCGAAGGCGTTGATGGCATGGAATGGAGTGAGCACGTCGCGAAAGTCATCCGGGAGCAATTTGATCTGGGAGAAGGTCCAGAAGTCGTTCTTGAGGTGACAGGTGCCGAACCCTGTATCCAGGCCGGAGTACATCTTTGCAAAAAGGGCGGCACCTTTGTGCAAGCTGGCATGGGCGTCGAAGTGAGTTTCATGCCACGTTGACTAACCCCAAAGCCGTGTACTTTTGATCACTGACCGCTGCTGCCATCTAGAACGTCTACTTCCCCATTTCCGTGGCTTGTGTCCGTGGATTGAGAATTCAAGGGGCAATCCGTTACGTGACCGGCTGCCATCCGTCCGCCGTTGATCTCATTTCAACAGGGAAAATCGACGTTAAGAAGCTCATCACCCACCGATACAAATTTGAGCAGTCCGAGGAAGCTTTCCGAAAAGTCAAGGCCCGTGAAGAGGGTACGCTCAAAGTCATGATTGAAGGAGTTCAAGATGACACTAAGATCTGATGCATGTTCTGATTAAGCGGATACAATATCAATTTGGAGGCATTCACCGCATTGAAGGCGATTGACTCGACCCATCCATGTCTTCTCTCGTTTTCTATAGTCGCCTGCGCTGTTCCAAATCACATTCAAGGCTATTTCTTGTTTATCCCGGCAAAGCCACAAGGCGTAGAATAGCTCCTCCCAATCGAGGATCCGAGACCTGGAAATCCACATCTATGTCGGCATGACTACTCCACTTTCAGAGCCTGGCAGTTGCTGGTAAAACTGCTTCCGCTTGCAACTCGATGATCATGCCAGGCAGGACAAGAACATGGCTGCCCACAGATGCCCAGATGGGCCTGTGTCCAGGGCACCTTCTCCTCCAGATCTCCATCATTAACGAATCGTATCTCGGGTCGGTCAGGTAGCTTGTGACCTTGTACGCAGAAGCAAGTCCATTTGAGACACCCGCAGTCTTGAGTGCAGCGTCGAGGCAATCGAAAGCCGCTTCGATCTGGGCTTCCGGACTCGAAGTGACGAGCTGGTTGGTTTCAATGTTGATACCTGCTTGGCCTGCTGTTATAACAACGCGCGCGTTGGCAGGGAGGACAACCGTGTTGGAAAAGCCGGTGGCTTCGCAATCTAGCCCCCCAGGGCCTGGGCGTCTGAAATACTCGACGGACATGTTGCTTCTTTTATTGAAGTAAGGGATCGCTTTGAAGGGGACAAGGGAATGAACAGTAGAGCCGTGAATGGTCATTCTAGGCAGTCCCTTGTTCTTGTCCTATAAAACGCCATGGTGCTGACTGGGTAGGCCATCTGGGGGGCATTGACCTACGGCACCACATATTCCTCCCACTAATGATGCCGCGGACCTGTGGCTCGGGCATCACAGCCCGTGAGCAGAAAGTTACACGAGTTTGATTGGTAGACTTGCGGGGGAAGTATGGAGTGTTTCAATGACTCTCGTGATACTTCAACCCACAACGGCCGATGTGTTCGCCGATTAACAGCGCGAACTAGATCAGTCGTTTTTGTCCGTTGTGATCTCAATAACCCGTGAGCACTTCCTAGCTTCCCGGACTCGCCCGCCACAACACCATCTAATTGTAGAGTCGATCGTGCGTTCTCGCATAGTTCTGCCAAGAACCTTGGGGATGCGCATCACTTCGCTAGAGATCTCAAGAAGGTGGTGTGAAACTGTGTCCCTGCCCATGTACCCACGATCTCTCAAGAAGGTGGCGTGAAACTGTGTTCCTGCCCATGTACCCACAATGAACCGTCCGTTCTGGTATGGTCCATTGATGAATTAAAAGCATTCGCACCTTTGGATTTCTGCATATATGGTACACCAACATCTTGGAAACTCAGTCGATGAGGTCGGTGTGGCCAAATTGATCTGGAAGGCTTGAATTGAACATGATCCCCATCTCATTGAAGTCGGCATCAAAGTCCGCAGAAGGAATTTCCCCTAAGTCCAAGTCTATAGGCTGTGCTGACCGTGAAAGCACAACATTTTCGACTATTTGCACACACCGGGCTGCTTTAGAAACTAAGCATTCAATGGTTCTCATGAGCCGCACAGTACAATCGACCTGATTTCGCCATTGCTCAGCCTCGGCAGCATCTTGACAGTCCCGTAAAGAAAGAGCGGCAATAACTGCTGCTTGGAAGAGAAACCATAGCATGTACCAAGACGCCAGCTGGGTCTTCGGAAGATACGGCATGACTGCATCAACTTTCGAGATGGTTTCCTTGGCCGCCTCTTGACAGCGACAAGCCGCGCTGAAGATGGCATCTAAGGCTTTTGATGGTGGAGACGCTAAGCTTGTCGAAGCAGCCTCCATTGCTTGGATCAGGGAGGGACGGTACATAACAATTCGAAAGTTCCAGGGCCTCAGATGCAAGATCGAATGAGACAGCACAAATTTGGGATCTTGTGGCATATGCTCGGCAAAGAATGGCGGCAAACTTGCAGACCAGCCTCGAATCATCTCGTCATCTGCTGCGATCACTTGTTCGGCAGCTGGATTGTCCTCGTCTAAGAGACAATTGTAAATGTCCGCTATAGCGACATTGAATTGGGCCTGGCAAATGAGGCCGGTGTAGATTGTTGTCTCCAGCACCTCCTCCGGCATCTGTGTCGCGGTCATCGTGAGAGTCTGCTGTCTCGTCAATGTCCCTCGCCATATTCCTGAAGGGGACTCTGTCTTACCTCATCGAGGATGTTGAGCGGGATCTGGACGTCCGCCCCTTGTAGGAGTTCTATCGGCCTCGACAACGTAAGCGACATCTCGAAGTCAAGAACGAAACGACACCACCAAACCCTTCGGCGATTTTCGATCTTCCACGCGTTCGTGTTGATATTGGATGAATCTGGGACTTCGCGGTGTAGACCAAGGGATAAAGCTATCCGCCGAGCTAGTCCTATAAAATTATACGCCTGATTCGGCTTGTTGCCACTCTTCTGTAGATATTGCGCAAAAAGGGCCAGAACTTGCACAGTTGTCATGTTACCGCATTCGAGAATATTGATCGTAAGTGCCAACTTTGCCGTCTTGAAATATGACTGATGGAGAGTACGGTCGGAGGCAGTCGCAGTGGCGCCGATCGCAGCCACGATGTATGTGAGTGACTGCCATAGTACCTGTGGTGGGCGAGCAATGATCTCCACTTGCTGAGCACGAAATGTCGCTTCGTGTAAGATCGGGTAGGACGTATGGAACACACTAAAATATGCGTTGATATAGGTGTCGAGTCGCTCCATGCCGGCACTAATTTCGCCAATGCTTGTGGGAGAAGAAGGCAGTATTTCCAACGAAGCGAAAGATATGCCGGCCACATGGAGAAAAGCTGCGCTAGAAACGTTTCCTGGCCAAAACCACTATGTCAGTATACCTTCAACTCACTGCAAAGAGGTTGTTTGCCGCGTTTACCCAAATATCCAGAACCACTCTCATGAAGCTCACTAGTGTTCGGTGAGCCATCCAAGCCAGAGATTTCGTCACTTTCATCCCATTCAAACGCTCCGAATGGCATCGTCCTAGAAAAGGTTGCCACGCTTCTTTTGCCGGGTGGTACAGGTGCGGTAGAGAGCTCAACGGTCACATCGTTCATCGTGAGCAACTCTTCGAAGGGTCTCAAGCTTGAGACTTTGATTTGGTCGGGAAAACTGGTGCTTGTGCTCGGTACTGGGTGTTGAGTGCTTTGACTCTCCATGCGTCTCGTCTTCTGCTCTATATGCATTTCACTGTGTCTGGTAGTGTCTTGACTCCGTGGAGCCGGCGCTTGAGTACTCCCATTACTGCTATCACGGTTACCTTCCGGGGTCCACTGCAAGACCCCGTGTTGTCGCAAAAGAGAGTTGGCTTTCAAGAGTTCTTCCTCAAGATGCGTCAAGTTTCTGCGCCTAGTCTCAATATATTTCTGTGCTCGGGGGTAAGATGGCTCACTTTCTCGTTAGAGGAGTTCGACGTGGTCGCTCGTATCGGCAGTTTTCCTCAGACCGAGCACAAGGGCCGCATCTAGGCTTGCCCCGATCGCACTGATACCCAGTCAGCCAAACCTGCTCACCGATGAGGTAGCATGTTGCCTTTCTTTGATTTTTTTCGACCTGCAGCGCGTGCACGCCTGGCTGGGCAGTTGGGCCCACGTCTTTTCAGTATCATTCTCGGCGTTGTAGCGTTGAATGGAGATCATCGCAGCCTTGTCAATGTAGCCTTGGTACTAGTAATCCTTTGACACGCTTCCTGTGAGCGATAACACCATATTTGTTTTTTGACGTTCCCACTGACGCTCCGATGCCGCACTTCCCAAGATGATGTGCCGTGTGCTGGAGGTGTTGAACTCGGACCAGGATCTGCGTCCTCGTCAGAAAAGAACAGTACCCACGCGGTGATGAACCCCAGAGGAAGCATGCACGAAAGTGAAGATAGAGGGGTCGAGTGGTTGCTTGATTGCTGTTTGCCATGAGGATGCAAGGTGGATTTTCCACAGCCACACCACAACTTTGATTGGCGAAAGACATGTGAAACTGCTGGCCGACCTGCTCCATACGGTTTAGCGCCTCTATTGGATGTCGACTCCACCAAGTGGGTTGGATCGTCGTTCATTGACGGACACGTCATTGCAGCACTCGCGCGCATCGAGGAGCGAAGTGTCTTTAAAGATGGCCGTCTCGCCTTCATGGTGTGCAGTGTCAAATTGTCTTCATTGCATTCATCTTCTTTGGCGTGCCGCAAGAAATCGCCATCTGACACCTCACTCTGTAAGACTGTGAAATGGCAAACTCCAAAGAATGGGGAAAGATGTGTGATGGCGAGATCTACTGGCTATGGGACGAAGACTTGCAAGCCAATCGGACGCGGTGTAAAAAGGCTTGTCAGCTCTACAATGCAAACCAGGATGCTTCCAGGCGAGAAAAGGTGAAGATGTGGAGGAGGTAAGCTATCCATCATTTTTGCTGCATAAGTAACGCGTTATTGACGTCGGCCTGTAGCATTGTAGGCGATACTCGGCCTTTGCCCCCATTGCTCGAGGACTCGACAGCAGATGCAGCTCAGTTCGACGAGACGGACTGCACAGTGGACGGCCCGATTTCCCTTGATCATGGTCTGAATGTCCATGCGGCACCAAAGTCTTACCTCAACTTTGGTCTAGTTATTCTCGACACCTGTCCGGTCACGATTGGGTCTCGCACTCTTTTCGGACCCAATGTCTGTATCTATACTGCATTACACCCAGTCGACCCCAAGGTTCGAAACGGGCTGGAGGGTCCAGAGTTTGGGAAGCCGGTAGTGATCGAAGAGGACTGCTGGATCGGCGGTAACGCGATCATTTTGGCGGGTGTAACAATCGGAAAAGGTAGCACGATTGGTGCTGGGGCCGTGGTGTCCAGAGTAAGTCAACCTCCCAATGTAATGCACGCCAGTCCTAACAATCATGAAGAGCATCCCACCATTTTCGCTGGCAGTTGGCAGCCCGGCACGAGTGGTGAAGAGAATCGAGACGGACATGAGTCTGTGAAAATAAGAGGTGGATCGGAACCTTGTTGGTGTGGCTGGCACTCGAGACCAGTAGTGATGGTTTATAGGATCCTGCTCCGAAATATGGGTGTATACGTTGAGCTAGATGAGATGCGCTGAGCGTAGCGACGCAAGCGACCATCATCGTAGGACAATTGCAGTCACGGCTATCGCTTTGACAAAAATCCACGGCCATATCCATTCTAGTAGCACCCTTCAGCCTGCGAAGACTCATCTTCATCAGAAGTTGTCATGCTATCCACTCTGAGTGTTGAAACGCCGCACGACTCGCAATGCGAACGGTGTTTGCATGGTCGAAGTCTCGCCAAGCAGGCATACATGCAGGAGTGCGACGAATTTCATCTTACACCCGATTTGGCTCGAGTCATTGAATACGCAATGAGCGGCTCTGCTGTGAGGTCTCTTCGCACGACATATACTTACATTGGAGAAGTAAGCTCAATGTCACGTCAAAGAGTGTCCGCACCATGAGGCTTAAAGCTCCTTGGCGATGAGCCACCTGTAAAGCGACGCACATGTTCATCCCAGGTCGCCCATTGCACGCGGGTGTTCATCATAGCTGCCTGCCGGCAGGGTCAGAGCGCAATTGCCACATTCCGAGACCAGCTGTTTCTGATGCTCTCGTCGAAACTTTCATGTTTGCGAGGACAGTGCGCTCATTCCTGCTTGTGAACGCGGACTCGAAGGCACGAAGAACGGGAACACATGGCCGCCGGATGTGTGGGAGCCTTTGCTAGTTTTCGGGTAGCTGTCGTCCGCGACAATATCATATCATGGAAGATGTTGCTGCGGCGTCGCAATCTACAAGCTGCCTCATATACCGCATTAGGTAAGGAGCGCCCGAGAGGACGAGGCTTGGAGAACTCGAATCAAGCACTTTCTCATTGGCTCCTTGCCGTATTACACTTTGCCGGGACCATGACGCCGAGCACTCGGAGGTCTAAATGTGAGCATAGAAACTCAATCAGACTGTCGACGTTCCGTCGCTGCCGATATCAGGATTGGTCACGGCTGGCTCTTTTTCCCAGTTCGGATGCGCCACAACTGCTTATCTTCCCCAAGTCTCAACACCTTCCCATTGATTGCTTTGCTCTAAACCTATAGGCAACATGTACTGGCGACAGGACTTTGATGAGACTTGAGCACACCTTGGTCAGGTATTAGTTCCGCTCGTGGCGACTATAAAGAGGCGATGGCCGTGCTGGAAGCTGGCACAAAGCAGTCGTACCACTCCCAAGTTATACTATGGCTGAAACGCATCAAGACAAGAAAACTGGTGAAGTTGTGGGGCCCTCAGGGCCCAACGTCGAGACCTTGCACGCCGTCGAGAGTTTCGAAGTCGGAACATTGGAAGAAAGCAGCGGCGATGCCATTGATGATGCGATGCTTCGGGCTCAAGGGTATAAAGCTGCTATGCCCCGCGTCTTCTCGATATTGTCGTCCATTGGGCTATGCTTCAGGTATCACTGTTCTGTGGGTCGCACGAGGTCGTCGCTGACAAGAACTCCAGCATTACAAACTCCTGGGTCGGTGCACTCAGCAACTTCGGCCAGGGACTTCGATATGGTGGACCTCAAGTTGTCATCTTCTCCTTGATTGTCGCCACGTTTGTTCAATGGATTATCACTTTGGGTCTGTCCGAGCTTGCTTCAGCATTCCCATGCTCGGCGGTAACGATCACTCTTTCCACTTGCGCAGAACGTGCAATACTGACGAGGCTTAAGGCCAATACCACTTCGTGTACATCCTTGCTGCGCCAAAGTACAAGCGCATCAGTGCTTTTGTAACAGGCTGGATGTCCGTCCTTGCATGGTGGATTATGACGTGCTCTGGTTTGTCTCTCTGTGCAATTTCTGCCACTGGATTGGCGGCATTCATGTACCCGTCCTACGAACCCACGAGCTGGCAAATCTGGCTGGTATACGTCGGCATGGCTATCTTCTCTGGTAGGAATTGATCTTCTCCTCGAATCTTGAAGCTTGGACTGACAGCTGGGTAGTCATACCACTTTTCATCTTCCCCAAATTTCTCACAAAGCTCGCGACTGGATCTCTCTACCTGACAATTATTGGATTCGCGGTCTGGTTTATCGTTCTCCTAGCCATGAAAAAGGAAAGCAACCCTGGATCCCTGATGACTGAGTCTGGGCTCGGGAGCAGTGGATGGAGTTCAGGGACCGCGTGGATGCTTGGTATCTCAAACGCAATGTATTGCTACGGCGGCACTGATGCGGCCATCCACATCGCAGAAGAGATGCATTCGCCTGGTCGCCAAATCCCGCAAGCCATGTAAGCGTCCAAGCTAGACTACTGCTCGACCCACAGAACTGATTGATGACCAAGGAACTTGACCATGCTCATCGGGTTCGTTACATGCGTACCCATCATGGTCGTCTTCATGTTCGTCATGAAGGACATGGACAAAATCATGAACGCCGGCTTTCCTGCCGCTGAACTATTGTATGAGGCCACTGGTAATAGACCGGTCACCATCTTCCTGACTGTCTGGTTGATCTTGATCTATATCTGTAAGTTGCATTCTCCTTTGTCCTTGCCGACTCCATCAGGAAAGTGTTAGGAACCTAACCAATATTTTCCAGCATGCCTTCCCCCTCAGTTTGTCGAATGCGGACGCATTGGCTGGGCATTCGCACGCGACAATGGTTTGCCATTCTCGAACTATTTTGCTCACATCGATGAGAAGCTGGCATTTCCTGTGCGGACCACTCTCGCATCAGTCGTCTTCACTGCAATCTATGGCTTGCTATACCTCGCTAGCTCGACTGCCTTCAACTCCATCATTACCTCGGCTGTCTTGTTTCTCAACATCACTCTGGCACTTCCTCAGGCTATCCTGGTCATACGTGGACGCAACACACATCTCCCTCGTCGATATGTGAACCTTGGCTGGGTGGGGTATTTCTGCAACATCTTTTCACCTCTCTGGATCATCGTGCTCACTGCATTGGTCTGTATGCCGCCTTCCATACCAGTGGAGGTTGGAACCATGAACTACACATCGCCCATCCTTGTCGGTCTGTTTGCTATTGTGATCGGCTCATGGTTTATCTACGGTCACCAATTCGAGGGACCCAAGATCGATTGGGAAATGCTCAATGCCACCCATGAACTTGCGGGAGAAGGTACTAGCAAAAAGGACAAACAGTAAAGTTTGCGTGGAAGGGAGCCTAGTGCTAGGGGTGTCGTCTGAGCCGATGCGTATCCTGAAAGCTCGCAGATCGAGCTTGTGAGCGGTTGGTATGTGAGTGTCAATGCTTAGGACTGTTATAGATAAGGTGCTCTTCTTGCGGAGAAGTTTCGTTTTGTGGCTTGTAGCTGATGCTTGCTGCGGTCCATTGTGGAGTCAACTGTACAGTATTTAAGCTAGCTTGATTGGTCTCAGCGTCCTGCGACCTTGTGCGCTTCAATTGACAACATATAGCTCCTTCTGGAAGCAGAATCTGATGGCACTCACTGAAATATGGTTCGATGTCGCTGCTATTGATGCCAGCTCCGGAGCCTCTGGTCGCTTTCGCTGGCTGCTAGCCCACCCAGGCCAAGATATGTTCATGCATCCAGGCCTCCATATCAGGACATGAGTGGGGGGCTCGTTTCACCTCTCACCAAGCTTTTTCCTCGGGGCAGGAGTCCTACGTGACAACAACATGCTCACTTGCCGATAGAGTTGTCTAGATGAGTGGTACTCTATCTGTCGAGATCAACTGCCCAGGGGGCTCCATGGATTTATACGCCCTTCATGACTTGAATGTACCATAATGAAATGATGAGACTCCTCCACATCCTGTGAAAATTGTTGTGACTGGCGATCCCAAGCCTGAATTGTTTGAGACTTCAACATCAGCATCATATATCGGGTTGCACCATACGATAACATAAAGACTCGTGAATCAGACAAAATTCTTTCTTTATCGATATCGTCGTCCATTCAGGCTAATAGCTACTTTGCAGCTATTACTCGTACACCTTCTCGTAGTGTATGTGTCTCCAGGCCCCGGCAAGACAAGAGCGGTGCCCGCTTGCACTTGTACTAGTAATCTTGTGGCACCGCTTTGGCAAGCTCCTCAGGATATAGCTGGTATATGGGATCAAGGTCATCCACTAACCCGCAACCAGGGTCTGAGCAAGAGTAACCTAGAAACTTCTGGATCTTACGATCATACTGCATCAAAACATCATGTGGGATGGAAAGATACATCTATGAAGTTAGTGAGACCCCGATTGGGAACAGGCAAAGGCTTCGATGGACTTACATTGTCTTCTTGTCTAAGCCAACCTCGTGTGACGAACGTGCTGTACACGAGACGGTGGCTATCGGTAGTTGTGTTGGCGGAGCCGCCATGGAAGCATGATGCAAACATGAAAAAGGCATCTCCTTTGTTCAACTCCGCATACACCGCGAGTGACTCGTCCGGGGGTGACTTGCGCTCGTAGTTACCCCTGTCATGTGTGAGTTTGCACGAATGGGATCTTGAGTAGGCCAGTGTAACATACCAGAGATGACTTCCCGGGATGAACCTTGTGGCGCCATTTGCAACGGAGGTGTCACTTCCAGCCACAAACAAACCCACTGCGCTCTCTCGCATTCGGTCTCTTCCGTCGTCCCAGATGTCAACTTCAGTATGTACATTATGGTGGAGATAATCATCACGATGCAGAGGCTGTGCCTTTGCACCGGGGCCAATGCACATGGCAGCCCCAGTATGTGCTTGTGGCTTCGAGACAGATTCTTTCCACGACTTGCCCCACCAGAAGTGGTTCCGAGTCGTGAGAAAATGATCCGCAACGGCTTGATAAAGGGGGTGCATGAGGAACCTGTTGGTGTATGTTGGGCTATGTCTGACAAGCGAAGTGCATTTACGAGTTTCTTTCTGCAATCAAATTGTCAGTCCGACGTGTTCTGACTTCATCATGAGTGCAGGGCATGCATTGCCAAAAAAAGGCGTTGACGGGGACGAAACATACGGGGAAAAACTCGCCGCTCCATGCTTGCTCTTTCTCGATTTGAGGCCAAATCTCCTTGTTGGCCTGATCGATGATATCTAAAGGAACAAAATTCCTGATAATGACACCGCCATCGCGCTTCAAGAGGTCGATGAAGTCCACAACTGGTGCATCTACAGGCAAGGCCTGGACACCAGTTGGGAATCTTGAACCGGGACCTGCAATACTGCCCATGTTGTCTCGATTATTGGAAGACTGCAGATATTCGAACAACTAGACAACGTGTGTGGAAGAGCCAGTCGAATATACCTATCGAGACAGGATAGGTAAGACCAGTGACAAGACCTTCTGAATAGATAGCCGGTGTGATATCAGAGCCCGTGGGACCAGCATTTTGAGAATGAAAGCCTGTTGGCCTACGTGCTGACTGACCTTCCCAATCGGGCAGAACATGCAGCTGAGACCCACAATCACCCAATCACCAGTTGATGGTGTTCTATTGGGGAGCGTCTACGGAGAACTGGTGCACTCGCTACCAAGATCGCCACAGTCGCTCGGCTCTCTATCTTCCACTAGCGCTGTCGGGCAACAGTGGCACACAGCGCACCGATGGTCGCACAGTCGGCGCACTTCGTGTTGCACCCTTTACTTCCGACGAACAGAAACGACCCTTGATGCATGCTAGGTCCATGGAGGTCCGGCTGGGCAGAGTACATACCAAAGGTTATCTCGGTAGCAATGGTCTTTGGTTGTACATCAAGCTTTGGTGCTGCAGCTATCTACGGCCCTGGCTTGCAGGCACATACTTGATGATAAAACACGTGCAGCGAACGTCGACAAAGTTGTGCCTACAGAGCACCGCGTAAAGTACAGTAGCTCACGTCAGTACTGGCGAGCGGGACGATACGACTACTGTATGTTAACGTAGGGAAACAACGCCGTTACACCACGTATACTAGCAAGTCATGTTTCAGGGGCGATTTTTTGTGGTGAAGATTGAACATAGATTGACGCGTATCACGTCTGGTGATAATGAGCACGCGCTATTAATCAGGCCGACTGTATGCTTTATATATCGCCGTTTCAATTTCCTCAGACAAACCTACAATAGGCTTGTCTTCACCCACAATCAGTCAATTACATCCTGACTGGTCAAGAGTGCACATACCTCCATATGGAAGAACCTGAGCAGCAATGATGCCGCCCAGTCCATTCTGACGATCGGCAAACCAGTATAGATTGGGCAGACCCTCCCAAGAAGCGGTTCCCGCTGAGCGACCTGTGCTTCCAGCGCGGAGAGTCAGTGCAAATGAAAGTCCCCAACCCATTGTGTCGTCTTCAGAATTTGCGTCCTTCGGCGGCGGAAACAATGGCGATGAGTTTGCAAGTAGAGGTTTGGCCGTCTCCCAGGTCTTGTAGGTATAGATGGGCTTGTCAGCGATCTGATCCTCGAACATGACTAGTAAAATGTCAGTAAAGTCGTTCTAAGTAGGGGGCATGGTTGGTTTACTTGCCTTCTACAGTCTCCTGACGCAATAAGCGAACACCAGCCTTGCTGTTATATCCCCCATTGAGAAGAGTGGCGATGATTTCTGTGGGTGTTAGCACTACCCTGTCCAATTGCTGCATCACATACGACAATATTGGTCAGGCCTGCCAAAGCAGCCACAGCCACCCATCTGAAATACTGCCTGTGCCTCTTTCCTTGTATGCGCAAGTAAGTGGCGTCGGTTGATATGTTCGGTTCGCTGCAATATCCCATCAGGTTGGCGCTGGTGCATATATGCGAGCCGCTGTTTCATGGAATCTGTAGGCACGAAAGTGATGTCTTTCAAACCGAGTGGTTGAACTATATGCTTTTGTACGTAGTCATCTAGTGTCGTTTTGGTGAGCCGCTCCAGGATGACTCCTGCCCAGTCAAGTCCGACACCGTACTGCCATTTCTCCCCTGGTTGGTTGACTAATTGATGCCGGAGTAGCTCTGAGAAATCGGCGTGGAAGTCGTCGATACCGGCCGGCAGTGACCAGTCTCGTAGCCTGGGGTCGTCAAACGCATAGCCAAAACCGGCTATGGAAATCCAGATATCAGTCAACCTTCAGTCGTAAATAGCAATCTGCTCTCTACGTACCTGTATGATTCAATAGCATTCTCAAGGTTATAGGCTTCCGCTGATCTTCAAGTTGAAAGCCTCCGCCGTCACAGCGGTGAAGTACCTGAAACTTGCTCAGCTCCGGGGCGACCAGCGCTACTTGCTCCGGATCGTCTAACGTTATATAACCCTGTTCGACAAGCTGCATGCAGGCAATGGTTGTAATGAGTTTTGTCAAAGACGCCATCCAGAAAATTGTGTCCAGGGCAAGCGGCTCGCTTGATCCAAGGCCTCTTGTACCCGAGATGTGGGAAAAGATGATGTCCCCATCTCTGTCCGCAGCAAAGTACTCAAATGGGGGAACAACGCCGGACTGTACCTCACGGTCAATCGTGGCTCGGAGGTTCGAAGCTACAGCTTCATTGAGTGACTTGCCCATTCGAATAAACGTTGAGATTATGCTGTTCACGCAATGCAGTCTACTGGAGCGTGTATGATCTCTGTGATATAAAAGTGGTGAACGACACTATGAGTAGCCGTACAAGGTTGTAAGCAGTGACTCCACAGTGTCGCAGGCACTCGAATTCGATAACCTTTCATGTAGGTGCCATTTGACTGCCGGTATTGGTGTGCCGTGGGAGAGTCAACTTTCGGCAGGCAGCGGTCCGCGAGACCTGGCCACCGAGATCTGTTGTGAACATTTCCCGTAGCCTAGTGATTGACGACATGTGCAATGCATCTACAAATCTTTTCTTGCTTGTTTCTCAGATGACTGCGACTTAACTAGTAGAGTGTCGAAGCAACCTATTGCTACACAGCAGATTCTACCACCATGCCCGCACCGCTTGAAAAGAACAACCCCATCATAATCGTGGGCGCTGGAACCTGGGGTTGTTCCACCAGTCTGCATCTTGCCAGGCGTGGCTACACAGATGTGACAGTCTTCGATCCCTTCCCAGTTCCTTCAATTATCTCGGCAGGAAATGATATCAACAAGGTTTTGGAGGCGGGTAATTCTGCAACCATTCTGATTTTTGGTGGAATCTCTGTCAACTGACTCGCCCGTAGGATCTTTCTCTGGAGGGGAAGACGAAGCTGTGGTTGCCCAAATCCTTCTTGCCGCTGCTAAACAAGGCTGGCGTAACGACCCGGTGTTTTCTCCATACTTCCATGATGTTGGCTACATCCTTGCTGCATCCTCCACAGCCGCAATCAAAACAACACTGGAGCGTGAGATCAACCACCACAAAGATCTTTTCACCGAGCTGAGTACGGCCGAGGACTTTCGAGCCACTATGCCTCCAGGAGTCCTGACAGGGGAATTTCCACAGTGGAAGGGTTGGCTGCGTCGAAGTGGCGTTGGTTGGGTCCATGCCCGCAAGGCGATGGTAGCTGCGTACGAAGAGGCCGGCCGATTGGGAGTCAAATTTGTGTTTGGTAATGCTCGAGGTAAGGTTGAGAGTCTACTCTATCAGACTGGTGATGTCAGGGGCGTGCGTACGGCGGACGGCATTGATCACTCATCAAACAGGGTGATATTGGCGGCTGGGGCATATGCTCCTCAAATATTCGACTTTGAAAACCAACTTCGACCGACCGCGTGGACCCTCGCACATATTCAAATGTCCCCTGAAGAGGCCAAATTGTACCGCAACCTACCAGTCTTGTTCCATTCTGAGAAAGGCTTCTTCATGGAACCGGATGAAGACAATCTTGAGCTGAAGGTATGCGATGAGTATCCTGGGTATTGCAACTGGGTTACTCCGGAAGAGGGCAAGGACAATGCTTTGCCTTACTCGAAGCCCCTACCACGAAACAAGATTCCGGTTGAGTCAGCTCGACGAATACGACGATTCCTGTCTGAAACTATGCCACATCTTGCAGACCGACCGTTTTCACACGCCGCCACGATTTGGTGTGCTGATACTTCCAACAGAGCCTTCCTCATCACCCAGCATCCAAGATATGAATCGCTCATCCTCGCTGCAGGAGACTCTGGCCACGGATTCACGCACCTTCCATCCATTGGGGGCTTCGTTGCAGACCTTATGTGTGGTCAGCTGGATTCCAGGCTTGCAAAGTCTTGGAGGTGGCGTCCCGAAGTTGCACAAGGCTTTTGGGGCGACGACGTTCTCGGGCGGTCTGGAGCGGAAAACAGAGTCATTCATCTAAACGAGACAGCATCAGAGGGCTGGATCGGTGCGGGAAGTGATGCCACACAAGTCGTGAGGCTTTCAAAGCTCTAATCAGGTGTATCGTAAAGTTGTTTGTTTCTGCCGAGCTGTAGAGGACTGAACTGTGAAGAAGCCCTTGCAAGACGTAGTTCCCACTGATTCGGCGGCTCAACGCTTACTGGGTGCTTACTAGAATATGAACTGAGTCCATGATGGATGACGGGTTCGTGTAAAGAGCTAGCTGATACTCCATTGTTTCGGATCAGATCCAACCAGTATAGGACAAGCAATAGAACCCGGCCCTGCTTGTTCGCATTCAAGCTTCGCAGGTGAGGATCACATATCACATGATTGGGACGACCAGATTCTTGATGGAGACAAGATTTCCGTTATGGCTTGCATGATTGGCCATTATGACGATTGTTGTGGTGATGTCGTGTTCCAGTCACTCTAAATTGCAGTTGCGGTGCGGATCTCAGAGATCGAAGCTCGGGTGAACGCATCAACCCGCCACTCCGAGTAGTCTTGTCGATAGAGACTCGAATTCGGTCTCCAATCCTCCACATGCATCTTGTGTGTAATTCATGTGTTCAATCAAGCAGGCTTCCACCAAAGCCATTGGCAGGCCCAGTCGCAGTCAGGATAGGCACTGCAGCAGTTGCCCCACAGTCTTCACCTTCCCGATATGGTAGGTGCGCGCGCCTCTGCCTCTTTCGGTAATCTGTTTGGGCCTTTGATCTCTTGCGTCACTCCATCCATGCCGACGAGCATGGTCTTTGAGAATGAAGTATTAGTAGCCTGCCGTCCGATATTGGCCTGCATTATGTGTCATTCATCCACCAAAGCATTCATTCTTTCCAACACAGCCATCCACGCAAAATAACGCTATCAAACAGAACATGTCGGAAGACTTCTCAGGGGTCTCGCTACGAGACAAGACCGCTATTGTGACGGGTTCGTCGAGGCAAGCATAATATCTTCTGGTTCTCTCCAGCGACGACGCTCATGCTTGCAACTTAGAGGCCTTGGGGCTGAGATCGCCGTCACCCTCGCCAAGCGCGGAGCTAACGTTGTGGTGAACTATGTGTCAGAAGGTAGCAAGAAGCGCGCCGAGGAAGTCGTGAATCAGATCAACAACCTCGGCAGGGAGGCTGTCATAGTTCAAGCCAGCGTCAGCGACATAGATCAGATTCAACCTATTGTGGACGCTGCATTGAAGTTGAGCAAGAACGGCAAGATTGATATTTTGGTCCACAAGTAAGTGTTTTCTTCCATCTGTCGGTACCTGAGTTCTCCAAGACTGACTTCAACCCACAGCGCGGCTCAAGGTCTTGAAGCTAATCTTATCGATACCACCGTGGACTTCTACAATCAACACTTCGACTGTAATGTCCGGGGTCCGATTCTTTTGACCAAGGCTGCATTACCACATATTCCTAGAGGTGGCCGGATCGTCTTCATCTCCTCGGCAGCTGCGCGTCTCGGAGTTGGAGGTCAGACTGTCTACGCCGCAACTAAAGCTGCCAACGAAGCTCTGTGTCGTACATGGGCCAAAGAGCTGGGCCATACATATGGGGTTACCGTGAATAATGTCAACCCAGGACCAATTGCCACCGGTACGTGACGACTTCTGTTACTTCTCTTTGAGACCTCAAACTAATATCCAGCAGATCAATGGTTCAATAGTGACGAACAATTCTTGAAGGACATGCAGCCATTGATCGATTCTACCCCAGCAGCGCCTCGAGTCGGCGAGGTCAGTGATGTGGCCCCTCTCGTCGCATTCCTTTGTACCGATGATGCTCGTTGGGTAACCGGATCATCTTTGTCAGCGTCGGGAGGACTGATTCAATTTTGAGCATGCAAAAACAAGAAACATTCTTCTCCTGGTCCTTGCTAGCATGGCCTTTCAACGCAGCCATGTTGAATCTCTTCGTATCAGGAATTAGATATTTTTTATTGAAGCTTTTTCACTTCCAAAACAAGCTTTGCTACAAAAGCTTGGCGACAACCTTAGATACAAGCGATTGGTGACGAATCTCTCCCTTTAGTACTTTATTATCCTATCTGACACCGGTCGACAGCAAGCAACCTGGCCTCATGTTGCTTGATCCTTGAGTGCACGGGCAACAGGTACCTGGTTCATATGCTTCTTCTCTTACCCCAAGCAAATGCCTCCGAGGAGATGGCGTAAGAAGTATCCCTTCTTGTACACGCGTCGGGCACGCATCTTCCGCAAAATCTTCACATATTTCACCACATATCTCATCCTCGTTCCCCTCCTACTCTGGGTATTCCTCGCATCTCAGAGCAATCCATTTCCAGAGCAGCTCTATGAGGCACAACGCGTCTTGATCGTGTTGGCTCACAGGAGTGATGCAACCCTGTTCTTCAGTCCGACCATCCTCCGCGTGACGAGCAGGCCTGAGCAGGACAAGTTGACCAGGCTGCTAGTCTTGTCAAAAGGTACTTATCAAACAAGCCAACAACGCGCTCTGAAGTCAAGTACTTACGTCACCTCTACAGATGATCACCATGGGCAAGTTGACGTAGACAACACCGATTTCTTCGAGGCATGCGACATCCTGGGAATTGCAGAGAGACATTGTAATGTGCGAGATCTTCCTGGGCACGTAGATGATGCCGACGTCGTCTGGTCCCGTGGGAGGATCGAGGCGACCGTGAAGAGCTATGTGATGAAATGGGCAGTTGACGCGGTAAGCAGATGTCCCCAACAGCCCGGCGAACCTGATCCTGTCGTTCACAACGAGATGCTCGAGCTAAGCTAGACTTGTCAGATAATCACCTTCGACGACGGTGGAGTGACTGGACACGAGAACCACGTCTCAGTCAGCGATGCTATCGTGTATGTCTCAACTTGCTGGACTGCATACGATCTCACGTACTCACCGTTGCAGGAACTACGTCTCCCACACGGAGTCAGCACCACCAGTCTACACCCTAACCACAGTCAACGTCCTCCGCAAGTACAGCTTGCTAGCGGATCTACCACTCACGACTCTCACGCACGCTCTCCGAAGACTGTTCTTCAGTCCAGGTGCAGAATACACAGCAAGTGACACCTCAGTACTGTCCGTCAACTCCATGTCGATGTGGCGTCAAAGCGTCTCTGCGCTAGAGCAGCACGAGAATCTGGAGACCTGGACTCGATATCTCTACGCCCTGCTAGGTCGATACATGTGGATCAACGACCTGAAGCTGGTAGTACCAGGAAGCGCCAAAAGGGGTCAATGATAATAAAGTTGGCACTTGGCACTTGGCCGCTCAAGCCCAGCATCGAGAGATATCGTATGATACTGCATTTTCTATCATCCTGCAAACTTTTACCTAGAGATGTCGTGGCGTCGTAGTGCGTTCGGGCTCTTTCTTCATCTGTTCCATTGTTCCTCTCCACCGGCCATCCCCATCTCTTCGTACCGATTAGTCGACCACCCCCTTAGGCAAGAAGACGACATAATCCAACGGCGCGGGCTCAATACCATCAGGCGTACCCGTAATCTCAAGCCTATCACCCTTCTTGATCGTCACATTCCTGAACGTGACTCTCGTCGCAGAATGCCCATCAAGGTACACCGACGGCGCATGACCTAGCCGGCCAGTCTCGACGTTATCCGCTGTCCACTGCCCGACAAAGTCATTGTTGATATTGAGATTGAACTTCGACTCTCCACCCAATAAATCGTAAAAGTTCACGCCAACATCATACGTGCCATTTGGGAATGTGAGCACCGCACTCGCCGTTCCCATCGTCGAGTTTGAGCTCGTCACGATCGCCGTATTATTGCTCGCGGTTTCGAACGGCGACACCGTATATGGCATGTACCCTTCCAGCTTCATACTCTCGGCCTCAATGCGCCACGGATGATGGGTCACGCGGCTCTGGCTATCCGCGATGCCCGACAGATTGTGATAGAATCTGGTGATTGCATCACGCCACACAATGCTGTGGCCAGCCTGGTACGTCAAACGGAACAGCGTCTCATTGTACCTCTCCGCATCGATCTTGCCTTGCAGACCTTCCCACTGCGTGGGGAAAGTCTGCGCTGTCTCTGCGCCCGCGTAGTGTGCATTGTAGAAGTGCTGGATGACTGTTTCCCCAGAGTGCAATTGGTGCGTGTAATTGACGTGGTGGAACCACAGGACAAGATTGTCGGGTGTGGTCGTGATGTTCTCGTACATCTCCATGATCTCTTGGGGATACTGTCCCGAGAAGCCTGTGCCATTGCTCACAGTCCGGTCCATGCCGATTGTTTTACCGTCCGCGCGTGTCCATTGGCCCCAGCCGTTGCCGTCCTGCGACGCGGGGTTCGGACCGAAGTGAGTGTACAATATGTCGGTCAGCGTCTGAATGCCCAGGTTGCCGCTGTAATTCTCGTACGCGGGCCACGACGACATGGATAGATTGGTGATGGTTTGTATGACTGTTGGGTCGGGACTGAATGTCAGGCGTGTCCAGTCTTGGAGAATTGCTTCTGGGTCTTCGGCCCAGTTCCAAGCTAGACGTCCGTATGCATACAGGTTCGACATGGATAGGTGGCTGCCGAGCCAGGTATCGTTGAGGCCGACGTTGACTACGGCCGCGGACCCGCCTAATGGTCGGTTGAAGCGTTTGCCTGTGATGATGTCGCGGACGAGTGAGGGCTGGTGGTTTTTGCGCAAGTCGAAATCGAGGACCGTCTTCCACAATGGAGGGAGGTAGACTAGATGGCATTGTTGACCGAGGTATTCTTGCGTGACTTCGAGTTCGATTGCCGTGCTGGTGTCTTGCAGATATGCGAAGAGCGGAGATGTGGGTTCGCGGATTTGGAAGTCAATGGGACCGTATTTGATCTGGATGATGACATTATCCGCAAATTTGCCGTCCAGGCCGGAAAAGAACTGGACAGCGGCATTTGCGCGGTCGGCTTTCCAGTCGGTTTCATTGATCATATCGTTGTAGACAAAGGCGCGGAACATCAGAATGCCGCCATGAGGTTTGAGTGCGTTGGCGAACAAGTTTGCGCCGTCGGCTAACGTGCGATTGTCGGTCAACGGACCTGGCTGGCCTTCAGAGTCGGCCTTGACCAGGTATCCTGCGAAGTCGGGCACGGTGCGGTAGATTGTGTCAGTAACGTTCTGCCACCAGCTTATGACACCGGCATCGAGAGGATCGTAGCTGCTGAGATTGCCATAGACCAGACCTTCGGTTGGCGAAGCAAAGTCTAAGGAGATGCCCACCTGCACGCCGTAAGGTCGGAAAGCGTCGGCTAGTCTGCCCAGACCTGCAACATTGGTTGGAGATAGGAGAGAGGAGTTGGCATTGACGTTGTTGACTACTACGCCATTAATGCCGATGGATGCCAACAGCCTGGCGTACTGCGAGACTCTGTCGGTGGTGTTGACAACAAGGCCGTTGGTGAAGAAGATGGAGTTGCCGCCGTATCCTCGCTCGATGGAACCATCAAGGTTGTCCCACTGGTTGACCCAGCGAACTGGAGCGGCAGGATTGGAGGCGTAAGCGACCTTGGAGAAGTTGCCCTGAGCAAGCATCGACAGGTATTCAAATGCGCCATAGAGTGCACCTCTCTCATTCTGGCCGAGGATCTGAACAGATGGTCCGGTCGTGTTGAGCCAGAAGCCGTCATTCTCAAGCTGTGGGGTCTTGGGTGACTGCCCATATGCAGAAGCATATTCGCTGACAGTGCCGACCACGATGGAGGCCGAGGTACTGCTATGGCTGGCAATGGTGAGATTCTTGGCAAAGATGCTTGATATACCCTTCTGTAGCTCCAAACCAGCAGTGTCGACGGGACTGTTGGCTGATGTGTTTAGGGCAACGATGCTGGCAGGTAGAGTAGGATGGGACATCGCAGATGGCAGCGGAGCATACCGGAGCCAGGCATTGATGCCGGTCTCGGCAGCGACGAGGCCAAATGTCAAGAAGAAGCTTAAAGACAACATATTGGATGACCTACCACGACTTCTCCTACACCGACTGAAAGAGACCAGGAGCGGACTTGAACTATATATACTTACGTGGGTGGCTGCCTCATTCGGGGGTTGAAGCATTTTAACCCCATGCCCCGGGTATTGACTGAGTCGTCTTAATCCTATTTCGGATTTCCACAAACAGAACGCCCACCTTCGATTGGCTGGCGAAGTGTGATCTGCCGTACCGAAGCCTTAAAAGGGAGGTGACATGATGTTCGGTGCCTCATTACCGACAGCAGTCTCAGGCAATACCCCGGTGGAGGTCATGATTCGGCTAAAGCCCCTCAAGAATGAATTCAGGCTATATATCCTGTTTGGGGAGCGGAGTGCGGAGCAAGGAAAAGCAGAACGCGTGATCGGCATATACTGCTGAAGGTAAGCGATGCTCTAGTTGGAGGGTAGCTGTAGTATGGATTTTGAGGTAAAAAAAAAAGAGCTTACAGGGTTGAGTGAGGTCTGGTGCTCTGCCACAAAATGAGGAAAAGGAGTCTGCACACCAGACGAAGTGCTTTGCCGGAGACACTACGGTGGCGTACATAGCATATATACGCTACGCCTGCTGTACGGCAAGCTTGATGGCTCCCTGATATGTGATAGCTCTTCATTCGCCAGCATTCTCCCTTAAGCGAGGAACCCAGGTAAGATGCCTAACCAACACTGCCCCCGCACAGCCTCTTTCCATCATTCCATAACAACCTTCATGTATGTCACTTTCCCACATCTTGAGAACACGATGTGGACAGCCTGGTCCTCAACCATTGGCGAAGCGCCAACATGCCTGCCGCACGGTCACGACGAAAACGAATACACTCTGGTCAGCCGGGAAATGCCACACAGGCCTGGAGTCGACCACAGCAACTGTCAGAGGTGTCGGACATCTACCAACATCGACCTCTGAACGATGTCTCGTCAATTCGTCTGGTCGAGCTGCTTCCCGGACTGATAGGCAACGAATTGACCTTGGCTATGCATCATGCAGACTTGAAAGAGCCTCCGCCGTATCAAGCTCTCTCATACTATTGGGGCGATCCTGCTCCAGTCCGAACGATCCACGTCAATGGTAGAATACATCGCATCCATGAGAATCTGTGGCAGTTCCTAAAACATATGTGGCTGGACAAGAATTCCACCTCTACTGGACAGATGCATTGTGCATCAATCAGAATGACGTCCAGGAACGAGATAAACAGGTCCGGCACATGGATATTGTTTATCGTCAAGCCAAATGTGTGATTGCTTGGCTCGGTCGGTCATCGTCATACGAAGAGGACCTGCAAATCATCTCTTTGGTCGCGGAAGGAATATGGCCTGGTTGGCTAGCAGAACCGCCCGCTTCAGCGTTGTCGCAGCAAAAAGGTCAAAAGACTTCGTACCGTGTGTAAGCAAATCAGTGCAAGAACTACCACGAACCCGTATTGGGAGCGTATATGGATTCTACAAGAACTTATATTAGCGACGGAAGGGATGGTGGTTGCTGGGAGCCAGTCGATACCGCTCGACCACTTTCTTTTTGTCCTCCGGTCCAACCAGGCCGGCGGAGATGATTACGGGATTTGGGAGTTTTCTAGAGCAGTTGACTGGATACGTCGTATACGTCGATGCCGAGAGGGAAAGGAGCTTTGGTCCCCTACGAGTGAGCAGTACTGGGCGCCAGAGAGTAAGCATCTCTGGCAACTTCTTTCCCAACTCAGATGCAAAAGTTCAGATCCACGAGACATTGTGTACGCCTTACTTGCAATTGCACCCCTGGGCAATTCGTCGACGCCTGCAGTCGAACGGATCTCAATCGACTACACGAAAGATATGAGCGATGTCTTCTGGGACGCGGTGCTCGAATGCGAACCACCATGGGACCAGTACGATCATCTGTTCCACGGTCTGACGACAATGATGTGCAAGAGCCGGCCGGCGCCTGACGTCCTTGCCCTGTCCGAGTATGCCGAAAAAGGAAGCACGTCCCAACGGCATATGGAAGGTGCCAAGGTCGCCTTGGAGGTGTGCGCCGCAATATGGATTCTTCAACAATGGTTGATGGCTGAATTCTTCTTTGATGAAGATGGGACAAAGCTCAATGATTTCACCAATGCGATCAAAAGATTATCAGAGACCATCGAATTTTCTCGCAGAGCCTCTAATGGTGAGCGGACATACCTCGAGTCTTCACTGATGTTGGGCTTCGCACTGGCAAGGCGCGAGGATCCCCAATATTCTGCCTATTGTGAGCGGGTGCTGCATCCGGTCCGGAGCACAGGCAGTCCATCGCCGTGGCGGTGCTGCACACACCGAAACCTTGACGCGACCAACCTCTGGGGCTTAGAGACATGGAATGATATTCGTCTGTCCTACGGCAAAGATCCAGACCTCGTGTTGTATGACCCTGTGCCCCCACTGTGGACCCTCTGTGGAATGTGCACATTCAGATCCGTCCATGGCTACCATGGACCAGGGAGCTTTGGTAACCCCGATTGGGGCCTCAGTTGGCGCATCCCTGAGACTCGCTTTTACCTGATTGTGGACCATTGCTTTCACACAGGATTCTCGGTCGGGTTGCACGAAAGGCCTAGGGTCGAGTTGAGAATGAGACTTGAGCTGATGCAGAGTTATATATCTGCACAACGAAGCCGAGGGACAGATATAGCCACTGTCCCTTTTCGCAATATACCAGAGCATGCCGGGATGTATACGGGCACCATGTTCGGCACAATTACCCGGCAAACAACATACTCGGTACAGTGGCCCCAATAAGTTTGTCACACACGCGTATTTACACCAAACCGCACACTTTTGACGCACGCTTTTCTCTATAACATTCAGTGTAAAGCAGTACCTTTGCTTATATGAATAAATACCAAATTACCTAGAGTTTCTATCAGCAAGAAACAAATCAAAAGAAGCGGTCTCCAAAAGTCAGGAAGTAGGGTTTCAACAAAAGTTATGCTTATAAGCATGGTTTTCGTGCTTTCATAACTTTATCCCCTTATAACTTTTTCTAGAAAAGTCTGCGAAAGACATCCTCTTGACTTATATATACTTCAGGTAATTCTCTATCTGTCTGTCAAATATCTTCTCTTCTTCACACTGAACATACTCGAGATAGCATAGAGAGGTACACTAATTATTGAAATAACGTCGAATATGGTAAATAATAAATAAGTTTTATGATACTAAGGTAAGTCTACATAAGATTTACAATACGATAATAAGGTTAAGGTAAAGTTATAGGATTAAATAGAATAGTAAGTACTACGAGTAGATATCGAAGTATAAGTACTTGCTAATAATGTGGGTGGCAGGGCTGGTACTTAGCCATATTCTTGTTTGCCGAGTAATGTGTCGAATATAGTGCCCGTCTACTGTACATCCCGGAGCATGCACGCCCACAGTCCACTATCCTCAAGGTGCCAGCGGATCCATGTTCTGTGGCACCAACTCAACGATATACCCATCCTGCGAACATGTCAGTCAATCTATTTCGTCTCAACACTTCATCCCCAAGCCACCCCTAGCAAGCACTTACCGGATCCCTGACAAAAGCAATCTTCTCAAAGACCTTAGCATACTCCTTATGAATCTCACTCTCCGTCCCCTTAACCTCCACCCCAACACCCCGTTCATTCTCCCACTCACTAATCGGAATACTCTCCCTCGTACAAACCCCTAAATCCTTGACCACCTCCACCCCAGCCTTCTTCAACCGTTCCAGCGCCTCAGGGACATTCGGCACCGTGAACCCCAAATGCCCGAACCCCAGATTCGGCGGCGTATTGCCAGTCTGGTAATACCCCTCGTCTTGCTTCTCGGAGCCATGGACATGATACAATTCCAGCAGTCCCAACGTGTGCTGTAGCTTCATGGCCGTCTCACCACCAAATTGCTCCGGATTTGCACGGTGCTCGTCCGTCTGCGGATAGCCCAAATAGTATATCGTGAAGGGGCCAACATTCATGTTGAAGACGGTGCGCATGCCCATGAGATCCAAGTAGAAATGCATTGACTTCTTCGGGTCACGAATCCTTAGCATAAAGTGGTTGAGCTTGTAGCCCATCGTTGGGTCGTTGGCCTCGAGAGGTTTGTCGGTTTTGAGACCATTCGGCATGAACACGCCGTGCGGAAATGGGGTTACTTGTTGCGACGACATGGTTTGATACCTCCGAAAACAAGTCAGTCTTCGCCTTCGAAAATCAAGATACTGTGAATATGAAAGAGCGTATTATCAAAAATCGCCAGCACGCCTAAAGGGAGTACTAGTATTATCTAATGCGAGAAGTCCTACCAGTAGTTATCGGCTATTCTCCCCGCTTACATGCCGAAAGGCTGAGGCCGGTAAATACCCATGTGGGATGGATGGACGTGTGGAGCAACGTGGGGAAGAAGCGACAGGGACGACAGCCTCGTCCGCCACAAGTCAGAATGGCATTGTAACAAGGATAAGGCTTCATGCATTGTTCATACATCATCTATATGCATCCAAACGCCCGCTTCATGCCCAAAAGCTCAGCGAAAGCTATTCCCCCGCTCCGCGATGGCCCTGGACATGGTATTGGCGAACCGGGATACAAGGTCGGTATCCAACTTGGACATCTCAATAGCCTGTAATACATGCTTGATGCCCACACCAACCTCTTCACTCCTGGTGATGTCCTTGATCTCGGCGACAGCCTTACTCATATCGCTTGGGGTAAACGCCCTCGACTCCTTCATCACATGCTCGAGCTCTTCATAAGTGCGAACATTCGCAATAGGGATGTCCGAGTTGAAGTGCCTCCACACATCGAGCTGCTGTAATGTACTACGTTCCGTGGCCGTGACGAGGACCAACAAGCTTCGACCTAGAGGAGGGGCCTTGCGCAACAGTGCCACCATCGATTTCAGGATACCGTTGCTGAACCTGGGTCCAACCGGCGTCCATTCTATAAATTCTTCAATGTCGTCAATGACCACGGCGCTTTGCGGACTTTTATAGGCGTCCATAAAAATCTTGCTGAGGTACGAGATCTTCTGTGGCTCGTTCATTTCGAGGGTGTCTTTCGTGCTGACCAGTTTGATGAATGGGTATCCGGAATCGATGGCGATCTTGGCCGCCAGTGCCGTCTTTCCACATCCAGCAGGACCATGCAAACAGACAGAGAATATGGGTGTTGAATCTGCTTGTCGGACTTGCTCAACGAAGAGCTTACCCTCGTCCAGGACGTCTTTGATATACTGTGAAAAGTGAATGATACCGCCTCTTAGGCAGTATGACAGCTCTTCCTCTGAGACACCAAAGGCAGGTTTGACTTCTTCCAGAGCACTTTCAAAGTCATCCCGGTTGATTTTCATGTCGGCCACATCATCGCTGATGCCCGCCATGGTACCAACCTTGATATGTCGGTTGAACGCAAACGAGGTCGCTGCCTTTACTAGACCGTTAAGTTCGGCACCCGAAAAGTTCTTCGTCCGTCGGGCCAGTTCAGCGATATCGACATCTCGATCCAGAACCTTGTTCTCATACATCTTGGCGGTGTGAATGCGGAGAATCTGTGCTCTACCATACTCGTCGGGTAGAGAAATCTCCAAATGTACCTCAAGACGACCAGGTCGAAGCAATGCATCATCGATCATGTCTTTCCGGTTGGTCATACCGATCAGTAAAATGTTGTTCAGCTGGTCCACACCATCAAGTTTCGAGAGAAGCTGATTGACCACACTGTCTCCAACACCGGTACCACCACCAGCACCACTACCTCTTTGCTTGCACACAGCATCCAATTCGTCAAAAATGATAATGTGGAGTCCAGACTCGTCGCCTTTCTCCTTGTATTCCTTCTCGGCATCGGCAAAGAGTTTTCGAATGTTCTCCTCAGACTGACCGACATACTTGTTGAGCACTTCCGGACCGTTGATGACTTTCGGTTCTCTTGCATTCAGCATCTTTCCAATTTGTCTGGCAATCAAGGTCTTTCCGGTACCAGGCGGACCGTACAGTAAAATACCCTTGACGTGCTGGATACCCAGTTTCTCGACCAGACCAGGCGGGAATACACGAGAAGCGAAAGCCCTTCGGAATATCGTGGCAAACTCTTTGTCCAACCCACCAATGCCCATGTCTTCAAACTTGAAATCCGGAGCAATGATTGAATTGGCTGCTGGTCGTTTTGTGGAGGCCTTGAGGTTGATAGCCGTCCGCGCATCTTTGTAGAAGTTGATCTGTGTCTGGGGTGTGAGGATACCTCGTGCCTGAGCATCCGTTGTCGTTACACCTGTCTTCTCGCTTAAATCTACCAACTGCACCGTCTTGACGTTCAAGTTTAGGGGAATACTCCTCAGGTCCATCAAGAATTTTTGCCCAGGAGCAAACATCTGGCTGTTGAAAAGCTGCAAATAGTCAGTTTCAATTCTCATATGTGAGAGACTCCCGCAGGTCATACCTTTGTGACCTCTTTGGCCAAATCATCCTGATCATACGGCACATCCGTCGTCTTTCTAGTACTTGCGAACCCAATCTCGATATCCATCGACCCGATATATGCCTGGCCACCTGAGGTGAAAGGATCGTACACCTCCGCTGTAAGTTGGTCTGTTAAAGCCACGCCCATCCACGACCGCTGTGGCTCCGAAAGACCAATGTAGCCGATGGGAAAAGTGTCGAGTGGCCTCGCAGTCACCACATAGGATCCATTGATGAGGAGGAATTGATCTGTGCCATCCGGCGAGTGAGGTAGATCTTGCGTAGATACAGCGACCAGGTTCCTGAATGTGTAGGAGTTGTCAGGACTCTTCGCTGGCTGTAATGTCATAATATGGCTTCCGCCTTTTGAACTCGGTTTACTCGATCGTGGCCGAGGGGCTGTTCGAAAGCCTGATCCTCCACCTCCTGACTGTCGCGGTGGCGGCGGAGGCGCAGAATCGTATCCGTTCATCATAGGAGTGTCGTATGGGCCACGGCCAGGACTGGAGCTGGAGTAACCCGGTTGTCCACTTCGCATCGGAGGAGCAGGGGCAGGGCTGCCGTAAGGATCTCGCGGCGGCGGTGTGTTATTGTCGCGGCCGAATCTGTTGAGGAAGGACATTTTTGGATCAAGGAGTGAGGAAAGGTAGAGTATATAAGGAAGGAAACATGTGTTCAGGAGGACTGACTGGTGTGAGGACTCGTGCTTACTTTAACGATACTATGGTACATCCAGGGTGGCTAATAAACAGATGGCTACCTAGGCTGCTGAAACCCACCTTGAGTTTAGGCATCCCTTATCGATAAGCGACCACCTCTCACATAACCAAACTATGTCGCAGCCTCACATTTCTTTTCCCCACAGCCTCGTCATGGCAACCTCATAACCAACCTCTAACCATGCCGTTGCACCTTCTCGGCAAGAAGTCATGGAACGTCTACAATCCTGCAAACATCGACCGCGTGAAGCGAGACGAAGCAGAAGCCAAACAGCGTGAAGAAGAAACAGAGGCCCAGACCCAGAAAGATGAGGCAGATGCGCGACTGCGGCTACTACGGGGCAACGCTCCCCTTCCGAAACCCATCGAGTCACAGATAGACTCACACCCCAAGGATACTCGCCGGAACAACAAGCGGAAACTGCCCGGCGAAGACGATACAGACAGGGAAATACGGCTCGCTCACACTCCTCATTCTCAGCCGCTTCCGGCGGCCGCACCAAAATCCAAGAACGATGATCCCATTGTCGATGCAAACGGAAATATTGCGCTCGTAGCAGTTCCTGAGCCTGCCACGAAGAAGCCACGTCTAGACAAAGATCCGTACACAGTATACCTTTCACACGCGAGCGGCAAGGGGAAAGAATCCGGCGAAAAACCATGGTACAGCAATACGCCGGATCCGGACAAAAGAGGCAAGTCATGGGGTGACACAAACCCACGCCGGCACGAGCGCGAGGCCGCACGCATCGCCGCGAACGATCCACTCGCCGCGATCAAGAAAGGCGTCAAACAAGTCCGGGAAGCGGACAAAGAGAGGAAAGCATGGATGGCGCAACGGGAAAGAGATCTGAAAGAAGTTGAGGAGCTGGCAAGGCAGCAACGGCGACGTGAGCGTGACGAAAAGCGGAGAAGGAGACGGGAAGGCGACGAAGAGGATCGACTTAGCCTAGAGGATTTCAATCTGGACGAGGGCAATGCGAAGCCTCGTGATCGAGGGCACAACGACGAACATCGCGAGAAACACCGTCCTCGTGATCCTAGCCACCGGCATCGACATCGCCATCGTCACCATCGAGATTCCAGTCACAGCCACAGTCACAGCCGGTCGCATAGAGACACTGAAGTTGTGCAGCAGCAAAGATGAAAGTCGCCATACATACCTAGGTACCTTGGTATTGAACCAATTCACGATGATATGACATATTCAGATACCCGAAGTACAATGAAATGACTCTATGACTATGAAAATTGAAGCACCCTACCAACGCCAACGATTCCAACCAAATCAATGTTACTCCCTGCTCATTCTCATTGCCAACATGCCCATCACTTCTCGCATACCATGCACAAAGAGAACAGCGTGAATCAAATAGAGATGAACCCAGTCCCAACGCCAACCAGTGATATTGGTGCGACAGTCTTTGCCCCCATTTCTGAGCATCCTCGTCTCCCCCGTCGCTCAGTCACATCGATTAATGCCTGATTTCCTTCTCATAGTCAGCATGATATTCCCCCTTCCTGTTGAAAACATCACTTACCACATTCCTAATCCCTAATTCTTCTTCCTCTTCGATCGCCTAGGCCCATCCGGCTGAGGGCTATTGAACAGAGAATTCTCGCTACTGCCCTCCGGCGTAGTCTCATAGTCCTTTTCACCTCCATTGATAGTCTTATTCATCCAGTCATCGTCGTTGTTGTCGGTCGGACTGGTGTCAGCATCAATGTCGTCACTCTTGCGTTTGCGCGTCGTCGATGGCTGCACGAGCTTGACCTCCGCGTCTCCAGCTACCTTCACGCTTCGACCCTCGCCATCAGTCACGTCCATTTGAAGGTCAGCATTATATCCTGACATCCGCTGCATACTGAACCAGGGCTTGAATCTGTATGTGGGCCACTTGATCGCGTATCCATTGATACTCGCTTTCACGTTGATGGCCCATTGATCTGGACGGGGACCACCCTTAAAGTTGGCAATCTGCAAGTATTGAGTCCGCTTCTGACCCGGCGCACGAATTGTAGGGAGGTCACCCATGGGAAAATTTTCGTCCGACTTGATGGATGATACCTCGCTGGGGGTATCCCCCGCGTTTGAACTCTCAGCATCGTCGTCGTTGTCATTGGCCTCTTCAGGGTTTCCATCCTCAACGTCGTCGTCGTCGTCGTCGTCGTCGTCGTTGGCCTCTTCAGGATTTCCGTCCTCAACATCGGCGTTCTCGGTGTCGGCCTCCTTGTGCTGGGCGTCTGCGTCGGCAGCATCTTTGCCGTCAGTGGCTTTCTCGGGCGTTGCCAGTCTGGGGCTGACCCCTCTCGAAGGAGACTTTTCAGGGGTGTTCTTCTTCGACGCTGCCCCTCGAGGACTGACCCTCCTTGGAGGACTCTTGCCGACAGTGGACTTCTTCGTGGTGGTCTTCTCAGGAGAGACGGCCTTCACAACCTCCTTCCCGGTCACCCCGTTTCCAGTGACGCCCTTCCGACTGGCATCATTCTTGGCGGCAGGCTTAGCAGCACCCTTCTGAACAGCGGCCTTCTGAGGTGCACGCTTCGGAGCGGCAGTTTTCTCAGCAGCCTTCCGAGTCGCAACATTGTCACGCTCAGCCTTATCCTTAGCGGCAGCCTTTTCAACTTCGGCCTTTTCTTTCGCAGTCTTCTCTTTCGCCCTTATGGCTGCATCGTCTTTCTGGATGCCGGCATAACTTTTGGAGTTGTCGTCGTCATCTTTGATTCTATCATAGATGAACATGTAGGGACTACATGTTCTCAAATAAGGCGGATTGTCGATGAAGCTGAAACTGCTGTTGTCTACACGCGTGTCGCTCACTTCGTACCAATCAAGTCCAGTACGGACAAAGGTGAAAAAGTGGCCGTCTTTCTCAATTGACTTCCCGCTGTGGAAGATAACGCCCATGAGCCGGTACTTCGTGGACGAACGTTTCGGAATACGTTTCTCCATGTAGGGATCGAGGTCAAGGACTTCCGCGAACTTGACTTTCTCATGGTTCTTTGTGGTAAATTCCTCCCCTTCTTTGTTGGTGACTCTCGAAAATCGAAGGAGGTGCACGATGAGAACCTCTGGTAGTGTGTATAGACGGAGGCGTTCATGAGCTTCCTTTTTCGAGTCAAACTTCGGTGCGATCTTTCTTCTCGCCTTCTCGACTGCTTCCTTGCCAAAAGCTTTTGCAGCATCCAGCGCCTGGCGTTTCATATCTTCAAGCTTCTCATAGCAGTTTGGACACCGGTAACCTCTTGTCATCCGCTTCAAGTCATCCTCAATCAGCTGCTGCATGTCTCGTGGTTTCTGTTGCTCTTTGCCGGCCTTGTAATCCAAGTGGATTGACAGGTATGGTTCACTGGTCGTTTTTTCAAGGCGGGTTTCAACACCTCGTGAATCTCCGCATTCCACACACACCTTCCGCACCGTATTGGATATTGTCATAATCTCTGTGGTGATCTCGTCCACGCCAGTCTCTAGTAGTTTGCGACGAGCAGCCGTCCTGTGTAGAGCTTATATCAGCGATGCGGTCATACGCGCCTTGGGCGATGGCACTTACATTCTTCGATCGGTTTGATCAGACAAGAGATATTCAATATGCTCCCCAAGTAATCTTGCATTCAACTTCAGCCACCAGAACAAGAGCTCGTGGCAATCCTGAAACCCTCTGAACTTTCCTTCCCATACTCCATCTTCTTCTTGGTCACTTTGTTCTCTCAGCCACTTCCAGAATTTGTCCATTGCCGAGTTTTTGTCCCTCTTCTCGACTTGATCCGTGGGGCGCACATTCAATGAGTGCAAGTCCTTGAGTTCACACCAAACATCGGTGTATATAGTGTCGTCTTTCTTCCTGGACTTCCTCGATGCAGGCTTGTCCGGGTGGTCGAGTTTTTCCAGTACTTCACCAACATTTGTTTTGATTGTTACACCTGCTGCTCGAAGCATCGGTATATACCGATTCTCGATCCAAGACATGAGCCGTCCGCTGGACAACAGGAAGACGACAAGGGCATTGCGGTAGCACTTTTCCCCGTCGGTGTTGAGATAGCCACGCGGAGTGGCCCGATATTCCTGTTGTCTAGCCGCAGCAATCGCGCTCGAAGAAATATTCTTAGGCGGCGTGAAGTCTGGTCCCTCAGAGGATGTGGGACTTGGTACAGTGTCATCTTGAGCGGGAGGAGCCGGTGGTGGAGGTGGCTTAGCTTGCTTCGCTGAAGTTTTCTTCCCTTCCGCGTTCTCCAGGGCCTTGTAGGCAACAAGTTTGGCTTCCATCTTCTCCCGTTTCTCCCGTTTCGCCTTTTCCTGTTGGGCCCTTGTTCCTACCATGGTGTGTGGTTGCTGGACTCGGTGAGCTGAACGAATTGAGTATCATGGACCTGGAGGAAGAAAGCGAGGACAGGACAAGCGAGAGCAATATGTGCGAACGACAACGCCATGTCGGAACAAAGGCGTCGAACCGACATAATGAAGCTTGATCTGACACAGAATTTAGCGAGATGTTTGCAGACATGATTGAAAGCGTATCAAAAATTGAACAATGGAGAAGTAGTTGAATGAAGACAATGGCCGCAAACGGAAAATTTGCACCCAAAGACGGCCATCCGTAGGCTGCAGGAGCATGCCGTGGCATTGAGAGACTTGCCATGCTGGCACTGAAGGTAATAGGCAGTCGAGTTCAACAGAAAAGGGGGAAAAAGGCATGAATCGTAGTGAGGTAGAAGCACTGGGGGACAGATCACGTGTGGTGCATTCCTCAAGCAAACAAGAGGATTCTTGAGCAGGTATGCAGTATCATCAGTAGGCTCATCCCATTCGCAGAAAGTGTTGCTCATGTCATCTGCCTAAGATCTGTGCGTGGGGTTGAAACCACATCAAGCCGGCACCGGTTTTGTGGCTGAAGAAATGTTACCGTTACCAAAGAATCGCCTCCAGTCCTCAGAATGCCGCCGATTGTGCTGTCCGATCTTGAATACCGTCACGCGGCCTCCAGCGCTGGGGGATCGTAATCTGGTTGTCGTGACTAAGATTGGGGTGATGACTTTTTTGGACGAAGGTCCAGTCACGGCGGACGCTGTCATGCCTGCATGCACCATAGTCCCTGCCCGATTCGTTCTATGTTTCAAGCGAAAAAGAAAGAATGTCGTTGCGATCATTGCGAAGACACCAATAATCGCACCAACAGCAATCCCGGCTCTGGCACCACCGCTTAGCCCAGAAGTAGCCGATGCGGCCGATGATGCTGATGTTCGTCCTGCTGTTGACGCGACCATCGCGGTCGTCGCTGAGGTAGTCGCAGATAGCGAAGTGCTGAGGCTGCTCTTGTCGGCCGCACCTAATGATTCTGAGGTAGGCTCTGACTGTGCTTTTGTTGTCAACGGAGTAATTGCGGTCGAGATAGTCATAGCGAATGTCGAAACAACTCCTTGGGTGCTGATCATTGTGAAAGCGCCTCCAGTCTTGAAATCTGAGCGATTGGACGCATCGTACAGCAACATATTACAAGACACTGGAAAATGGGAAATCGCCATCCCGGCGTGAATCGGTGCGATGGCAATAGCGCCGCTGGGCTCGACTTTGGTTCTATGTTAGCTATTCCCACCAACATGAATGTGTTTGGTATCAATCATACAGAGTCGAATCTTCGCCACAGTCCATTCGTTCCTGTTCTCATTGATTCCACAGAATAGAGTGAGGTTAGCATTCTCCCACACAGTGTCGTATGTGACCTGCACATCGTCAATATTATTGATCGTAGGCTGACCCGTTGGATATAACAAAACAGCTTGAGGTTGATCTGCAGCAGTTATGGTAGTGGTCAGTGAACTTCTGTTGCCTGCATGAACAGAGGAATTCATTCTGCTGGAGAGCTTTCGGTGACGGCGGGCGTCAGCGCAACACCAAATAATGGTAAGAGAGTGATGCTTGCGAAGTGCTTCGCATGATGGAGCAAGTCGATGTGAGTATTCAACGGTCCGATTCAACGACCAAGTAAAGCTGCGACGGTCTCGGTGAGCCACAAGGATGAACATCGACCTATCTGATGGCAATCTCGGCAACGCATGAGAAGTTCGTCGCATATTTGCAACAGTTCGCGGGCTTTGCTGCACAGAACGTGTCAGGTCCGCTACGATCCACGATGCATGTCAGCCCGGTCGGCAGGTTTCAAAATTGCAGGCTTCCCGTCGGCCGAGGGCGACGCCATCATGAGAATGCAGAACATAGTAGGTCCTTTAGACTGTGTGACAGAGTTTCGAACGTTCGAGACGCGGAGTTGACGCGTGAAAAAGTGACGAGAGGATGTGGGACTGACAAAACGCGGAGAACACAACTCTTTCCTTATGACCTAAGGATGGGGCACCCAAATGCTTGAGATGGAATTTGTTCTCTCTCGGTGTGATACGCTACAATCTGCATTGGTGAAGGTGATCAGCATTAAGTCAAAATGATGGTCGCAGCACATGAGAAAAGGTTGACGGCGGTGAGCATCTAGATGGATTCGTTGTGCCGATGTCTTGGTCGCCAGTATGCTGCAGCGTGTAAATATGGCCACATTACGAGAATAATGATATCCAGTGACTAGTCATACTCGAAATCCCGAGTCCTCGACTTCACGAGCCTATATCAACGCCGCGCTGTGATCGTGATCTGTGATTTTGCATGTACTCTCTCCTTTTCGAATCACAGGCCGCTGCTATCGCCAGCCCTGTGCCGTGGTGCCTATTGTTCCAATACTGCCCTCACGGCGCAGCCCCTCACCGTCGAGGTTTAACTTGCTCAAGACCTCCGTCGGAACCGTCGGGATATACTTCCTCGCTCTCTCTCGATTGACTCCGCCAATACCAGCCCCATAAGTGATTAGCATGTCCGTCGAGGTAGGCAGCGAGAATGGAAGCATCAGAGACTGATCCAACGTCAGAGCGTTCCTATTCATTGGCGGATCTAGGTCCGGCTCGGTCGGAGACGCGATCGAAGGCGCAGAGACACTTTGAGGAGTGCTAGGACTCTTTGCTGTCGAGCTAATATCCCCATTTTGCTTGGTTGGCGTTGCTGTTGCAGCCTCGGCGGCCTCTACCACCGGCGTAATTGGTCGCTTGATCAGGGATTGCTCTCCCTTTTGCAACTGCACCAAAAACTTCATGTGAGCTTTGGGTAAGCTCTTTTCGCCCACCTCCGCTCGGTAATTCTTGACGGCGTGAATCAGTTGCGTTGGAGTGAGTCGTTGCAGCTGCACGAGAGTCCCCACCAATGATTCATGGTCGTCACCAAGTGAGCTGAAGCACTGCAGCCACTGTAGAAGCTGTATTATGGGAGCGAGATGGCGCCTGGCAGCGTCGACTGTGTTCTCCCCACTCGAAATGGTCGACCCGTTCTCATAATGTTCCGGTTGTCGATTGTTCGCGCGAGCCCAGTCCTCAATGGCTGAAACATTCATGCGTATCTGCATGGCTTTTGTCCGGGACAGGTATTTTCGAGTAGTCATGACACGGTTGAACAATTCCGCGCCAATCCAGTATATAAGCTGAGCTAAAATCTGTGCGGTGATGACAGAATGAACGTCGTACAGGTCAAGCACGAAGAGCGTGGAAGACAGAAGCGACGTGATATTTCGGGGAGAGGTTTGGGCTCGTCGATTTGGTGAAGGTGGTCGGAATCGCTTTTCTGGTGCTTCTTCTTTGGGCTTTGACTTTGACTTGAACACTTTCCATTCTCCTTGAAAAGCAATGTCATCTAGTCCGGGTATCGTCTCATGGTCCAGCATTGCTGTGTCCAGGACCTTGTTCATTCTTCGCTCGGCGTCCCGGATGATCAAGATGAAGGTCTCGTTGATCAATTCAGCGAGCTCCAGTTGGTACTTTGAAGTAACCTGCACTAGACCAGCATCCTTTTTCAGGTAGTGTAGCAACAGTGTCGCGTTGGATATCCAGAAAGCTAACATGGTCATATCCCATTGGGACCGCTCGATAACCTCGTTGATCAGATCCATCGCTTTCGTCAACACTTCGTCCAGCAATGAGGCAGTCATATGGTAGTGGGCATATCTTGCCATCAAGAAGATCAAATTTGCAGGGACGGGCTTTTGTGAAGGTGATCGTTGTGGAGTCATGTTGGTGATGATAAGATCCAGAATATCATCAAGCTTATCCGTCTGGAAGACGAACATCTGATCGCCAACACATCGGTCCCAGATAAATTCCTCCTCATCCGATTCCAATTCGGTGGGAGACTGAGGTGGTTCATCAAATCCCAATGTCGACAAGTCGACCTCTAGATTGGCCGCGCTCTCCTGCATTAACATGCGCCTCTTCAATTCATTTTCAGCCATTTCCTCCTCAAACCGATCTTGAGAGAAGCCCGAGTTGTAAAAGTCATCTTCGAGAGTCGGGCCTCCAAAGTGATAGCCATTGTCATGCAGGAAGTGTGAGAAGTCGGAACCTGGCTGTACGAAGTCTAAGGCGGTACCTCCAGAGGAGGACTTGATCTCGGGATTTGCGCCATGGTCGAGGAGTAGTTTGGAGATCTGTTTGTGCCGGTTGGTCATCGCCCACATGAGCGCACTCCACTGGTTGCGATCTTGTTTGTCAACGACGGCTCCGGCGTCCAGCAGAGCTGATACCACTTCGTAGTGTCCGAAACAACTGGCATATATCAAAGGGACAGTACCCTCTTCGTCTGGCTGGTTGACATCCACGAATTCTTTGGCTTTACTCCCAACAAGCTTCCGTATCCGTGCTACATCTCCATTGCTGGCGGCCATATTAAGACTCTTCTGTAGGATCTCCTTCTTCTCGGCTGCAGATAGTTTATCGTCCATGGCAATGGCGTCTTCGTCTTGTCCGGGGCTCCCATCCTCTCTATGTTGAGCCTGAGCCGCAACCATCTCCATGAGCCGCGAGTCGCTATCTTGTATTCGGGCAAAAGTCTCGGCATCGTCGTAGGCTGGAGTGTCCAGGTGGAGATCGAAGTCTAGAGGCTTCGCTGCAGTAGGCGCAGTGATATACTGTGACGATCCTGTAAACACCTAACGTATAAGCATGGGTTTGGGTAGGGCACGAGACCCGACTGTGGTGGGCCCAGGGTCACTCCTTGCCTTGCCAGCCATCATACATCTCAGTCTCCCCACCATAATGAGCCAGAGGACGACGGTCGTCCAGCGAAGTGGGTAGGTCAGTGGGGAGTTTGCGTGAGCCTGGTGTCGTAGGAGACTGTGGGGCGGATTCGAAGCCCGAGGAAGTCGGACTTTGAGGATCCATGGTGTGGAATTTGGAGGTGACGAGAGGGAGTCGTGAATGCGACTGCTTTCATGTCGGAGGATGAGTGTAGACAGGAGTACGTAGTAGCATGCTTTCACACGACCCAGTCCTGCCGTCAAGATACAATCGGGCCTTGTAGTATGGACATGGTTCCCCGTATAAACAGTGACAGCTGTGAAAGGGACAAGAAAGTGGTGTCGACGTGCAACACGCTTCCAGCGACTCGCTAACTTGACTAGCACCGGCAAGGGGAGGACCAAACTCAGCGCAAGGCAAGGCTGGGCTGTCTCCGGTGTTGCTGCTTTATCATTCAGGTGTATGCGACTCAAAGGCAGCGACAGTTTCTCACCAGATCTGGTGTTTGGGCGGAAGACCATCTCCGCCGCCCGAAGTGATGAAGTGAGATCATCATAGGAAGACAATCCTGTAAGACCATCTCTTCTCGGCCCCGGGAGTGTGCCTAGTAGTATGGATGGCACCACGTTGCTCCAGTCATGATTTCAACTGTCGTCATGATCCTCCAATGTCTCTTGGCTCTTTGATGCCCGACATATCAAGACGTCGTAGGGTACCAGTAGTGTAGGTCTTCACAACATCAGCACACCAGCACTTTAGACGACAGCAAGTCTGTAGATGTCCATATCCCTATTTACATTCGCATCATATCCAAGCACATCCAGGTTTCTCGTACACTTATAAATAGAATCACCAACTCAACACCCAAAGCACGCAACATGTCTTCACTATTCAGCAGCAACACCTTCAATCCAGACAAGGACATTCCCGATCTAACTGGCAAGGTAGGCCTCATTCAACCTACCCTGCTTCCCCCATGACAAAGCGAAACTCACATATCCACAGACATACATCGTCACAGGTGGTTCAGCAGGCATAGGATTCGGCATAGCCGCGCACCTCCTCCAGCACAATGCCAGTAGCATCACCATCCTCTCCAACAAAGAAGAACACGCCCAATCCGCCATCGAAGAACTAAAAGAATACGGCGACACCAGCAAAGTCCACTGGACTAAATGCGATCTCGAAGACCTCAAATTCACCGACAAAGTGGCCACTGAACTCGCCCAATCCCACCAGAAGATCGATGGTGTCAGTCATTTCTCCCCTCCCCTTCCCCTTAAACCTCAATCCTCCGACTGACCTATCTCCAGCTCATCCTCAATGCGGGACTAGGCGTCGGCGTCTACAACGAAACAAAAGACCACCTAGACTCACACTTCCAAGTCAACCACCTCTCCCAATTCCGGCTACTACTCAAACTCCTCCCCAATCTCCAAGCAACACCTTACTCACGCATCGTCTTCGAATCCTCCGACCTCCACAGAGGCGCCACCGCCGACACCAAATTCGAATCCGAAACCGAAATCAACCGAGACATCGGCCCGACTAAGCTCTACAACCGCACCAAACTCGCCCAGATCCTCATCTGTCGCGCTCTCCAGCGCCGCATCGATAACCACCAATTAGGTTTCACCTCAGGTACGAAAGTCTTCGTCAATGCAGTCCACCCAGGCGGCGTCGAGACCGACCAGCCCAAACAGGCCGAGGAAGCCTACGGCACGCTCGGCGTAATCGGCCATAACCTAATCAAGCCACTCATGAAAGATCCAGTCTCCCAGGGTTGTCGTCCCGCTCTGTACGCCACGACGAGCAAGGAGATCGAGGAACAGGGCATTTCGGGTCAGTATATCGTGCCTGACAAGAAGGTCACTTCACCTAGCAGTACCGCGCAGGACGACCAGCTCGGTGAACAACTGTGGAATTTGAGCGAGCAGATTCTCAAAGACCGCTTAGGATGAGAGCTGGCGGAACAGTACCGCCAAGGACGACCAACTCGGTGAAAACCTGTGGAACCTGAGTGAGCAGATCCTCAAGGAGCAGTTAGGATAGGAGCTGGCCGAGCAGTACCGCATAAAACGAGTAGCTCGGTGAGAAGCTGTGGAATCTCAGTGAACAGATTCTCAAGGATCAATTAGGATAGATCTTGAAAGAATCCGACGAAACCGAACGATGTGATTTATCTTAGCTATAACTATAAAGTAATTCGTTATGATGAGTTGATGACTACCTGTCATGAAGTCGTGACAATGCGTTGTGCAAAGGAGACTTCCACACGACTTAATTGCAACTCCTCAGCCTATCCTACTATCCTAAGTACTTCACTCAGGATGATCAACATTTTCTTCTTTCCCAGGTCTTTTATATTGAATTGTCTGAAGGTGAGGCCCATAAGGTAGATAATACTGTATTATGTATCCAGTAATAGTCCAGCATTACATCCCATACATTGTATAATACTTTATTCAACATCATCATGCCGTATATATCCTATTGGCGCTGTTCCTCGTCGTGCTCAAATCTCCAAAGACCGCCTGACCATGGAAACTCAGAAGCATATGCAATGTCCCCCAAAAGTATGGACAATATCCAAAACGGGTTGCGCTGCTGATAAAACGCCATCGCTGAAAGTGCTGGAAGATAAAACCAAACCATAGAAAACTGATTATCCAATATACCATAACGTTAAATCCATCATGGCTCCAAAGCTTTGCTTGCACCTCGGATGCGATCGTCCGCAAGTGCAGCCAACCAGAGACACCGTTCGATGACGCCCGGAACCGGGTCAAAGGTGTACTTTGAGCTGGCGTCGATTAGTCTCAAAAGTCCTTTGACAATGATCGCCGTAGTTCGATAACGTTCAAAATTGATCAGAGACTCCGTCCCACGTCCACCAGGGATATGAGAAGGCTTCTGAGCATTATAAGTCAAGTCGTGGACATAGAGACCTAAGACGAGTTAGCAAGGTCTTCAACCACAAGCACACAATCAACTCACCAATAAAAGGAACACAGCCATCACTGAGATCGGCTGATTCCATTTCCAGTCGGAGATCATGGAAATTGCGGATGGGCTGGACGAGGGCCTCCATATGTTTGAGCAATGACTTGTCTGGTGCTGATACCATGTCCCAGGTCCTCGTAAGTCGTGTGCAATCCGTTGATGTCAGCGCTATCGTGAGTTGCAACATGGTTGCGTAATTATGCAGCCTTCGAGCATGGGCAGCAACATGGATGTACTTGGTGATAACGCGAGCTCGCTCATGGATATCTTGAGTGAGAACAATCTCCGACAGGGTCCATTTGACGACAAGATTGAAGCGGGTAATGACCAGATCGATACCCCTAATCGACTCGTTGGTCAGACAATCGACCCAATCCAGGACAGTGGCGGCTTTATTGTTCCAGCGCATCTCTACCAGGTCAATCCACTCAATTTCACACAGCGCCGACTTCTCGACCAGCGTCATCTGCTGGGCAAGAAGTTGCGAATCGCAGGCAAGAACGAAGGGGAGGTGTGCCGGACCGGCCGGCATTCTTGGTACCTGTTGAGAGATGGAAAGTTTACGAGCTTGAGAATACTGATGTGCGGTAGACGAGGCTTGTAGCTTGTTCGTGTTCGCATTGCTCCTCTGTGGTACTGATTCGGAAATTGGATCGAAGTCAGGAACCTGCAGATTCACGACAGAAGCATATGTCAAAGGATGCGCAGGTATCTCAAGGCCGGAGATGGCGGTACCAGGAGCCGCGAGCATAGGTGAGATAGACCGACCTGCAACTTCAGAGTAATTGATGATATCGACGGATATCTCCGACGAAAGATCAGACAAATTTTCGTCCTCGTCCAAGAGGAAAGAGTGATTACTGTCATTTGCCGTCTCTGGACGAGTGTAGCTGTGCCGTAATCTGGCGCCACTGGGAGGAGGACCTTTAGGCAGATGAAACAACTGAGGAGGATCCTGTGGAAAGTAACCGGGTGCAATGGTTGGTGATTGTGCACTATGCTCCAGGGCCGCTGGCTGGGCAGAGCTCTCGTGAGCTGCATCGCGTTTCAGCAATGGCGTGGATCCAAAAGAGTCTTCCGAGTCAATGACAGATTCCGTGGGCAGACCGTATATTGACGATCTTCGAGAAGATGTGGCCTTCTTTCCTACGGCGTCGCCATGTCGAGTGGGGATTTCCTCATACGATGCATTTGGATTGACTTCCTCCACCGTCTCTCGAATCAATTGTCCTACTCGCCCATCAAAGACCTCATGAGCGTCAGAAGATGGTAAGAAACCTTCGCCAGGATCCTGTCGAGATCTGATGCTGAGATCCGGGAGTGATCTTCGCCTCTCAGTCATGTCGTCTGGATACTGCTCAAGTGGCGGTGACTGTTCCTCATATCTACCCTCCAATTTCAGCAGTGTGGCCTCCAATCCACCATCATCGTCATCTGGGATAGCTGAGAATCCGGCCACCGCAGCTTCGAAGGAAGGACGCAGGTGTTGAGAGGAGTGCGTGTTGATCATCGAAATTGGCTTCCTCGTGGGAGGGCCACTTTCCGAGTGACGCCGGGCTTGAGCGCGCATAATAAGTAAAGAGTCGTCAGGGCAATCGGACAACACACTGGCGGTATCGATAGATGCATGTCGGAGCGTATGATCGAGATCTTGGGCATTCTCAGCCCGACGGAGGTCGCCTCCAGGCCTTCTCCTAAGGGTATGAGCTGGTACCTTGCTTTCGACCTCCGACTCAGAGTCATCAGAATCTTGATCTTCAACATCGACTTGGTCCGTCCTGGAAGTCAGTTCGGCCACTTCGTCACTGGGCACTTCTGTTTGAGGACCTCCCAACGACTTCTCGACCCCACGAACAGTTGCTGGACTCGCAATGATGGGTGAAGCAGGTCTTTCCTCCTCCTGCTTCGTGTCAAGCTCATCTTTAGAGACTTGCGTGACCAGGTTGTAGATGTTCACAGCCTTCTCCATGGTTTCATCGCTGTCATCTGCGGATGGTAGGCCCATCACGTCACCAAGCACATCTGAGCTTCTTTGAGTGGCGACGGCATCGACACTACCTCCACGCTCCAAGAGGTCGTCACTGTCAGACTCGTGGATGCTCAGAGCTGGCGCTGCTGCAGACTGCAGACCCAACCGGTCGTGGTCTGCTCCCACCAAGGCGCCTGACATTGATGGCAGATCCAGGCCAGTATCATCGACGATTAGTATCGAACCACTCTGAGCCGTTGCATGACTAGCCATCCGTGGAGTCTTCATCTGTTCTTCATCGAATTCAGGCTGCTGGCGCGGAAGCAAGGCACTATAGTGGACCTGATGCTTTGTGGGAAATTTCGTCTCGTAGTTCTGGCAGACTGCCGCGCACAGCAAATCGATGCGCACTTCACCTTTTCTTGCGATCAGGGTGCCAGGTTTTCTTCGCAGCTCATCATGTGACTTCGAAACATTGAGAGGCAATGATGATTTGTGGGCTTGTGTCGGCATGTCTTGTGCAGACTGTGAGACTGTTAATACTGCCACGTCAATCTGTCCGTGCTTATTCCCCAGGACCTTTCTTAGCGACCCAAAGAGGTTTCGCGCGACAGGCTGTGGAGGCGTATGAGTTCCGGGAACCTTTCTGGCAGCTCCTGCTGGGACGGCGTTAGTAGTTGTGTCTAGTGATTGTGTCGAATCTGAGGTCACAATCTGCACGAACGGGGCGCTGGGACTGTATAGTCGTCCACGAATGATATCGCTGTCCTCAATGAAAAAGGCCGGAGTATCAACACTTGCCCTCCGTGGAGTAGGCTCGCGATTACTATCAATCGAGCTTGCCCCTCTTTTGTGACCCAAGGACCTAGGTGCGAGAGTCTGCTGGGTGACCACCTGCAAATTCGCTGGAGCATTCTTGCGCCTGAATTGAACAGACACGGGATGTGGCCCTTGCGATGCAGGATCGATAGCCGCGAAAGGGCGACGAAGACTTTTGGTGGGGAAGCATGAGTGAGCCTGGAGGCTGCCGTCGCTCATTGGGGAAACTGCGATCTGATCGTGAGGTGTCGTCTGTTGACGAATTTGAGGTTGAACCCCAATCGGGTCAGCTTCAAACCAGCTGTGATATGGCCCTCTTAAGACTTCCGTCTGTGGCGACTCCGAGCGCTCATCGAAGAGTCGGACCCCGAATGGCGGTACGGATGAGTCCCTGGTCTCAGCCACCCCACCGGGCTGGATGTCCTCCTCTTGGTCACCGTCTAGTTCAAAGTCTTCTGGGTTCCAGCATAGCGAGCATCTGCCATTCCAGCAACGTTTTAGGTCGCGCAAGAGTTTGAGGTCACTAAAACCATTCTCTGGGCTAGCTCTCACATCGGCGTATAATCTGTTTACCTCGGAGCAAAAGCGTATTCGCAGCCGACGATCGGCATAGAAGTCGTCCATAAAATAGTTTAGGATCCAATGTCGAAGGGCAGCAAAAGCTCGAACGCGGATAATGCGTCCATCATCCTCCAAACGACCGATAGCCCAACGTAATCGTGCAAGCAGAAGATCCAAGACGGTATAGGTGGACATGTAAGATCGGAAGGTCAGAAAGAAATCAGACACAAGTTCGTAGTCCATGAACGAGTCGGACGATATCTGCGCCACGATTCGGGCTGGCGTGGCAGCAGTGATCTCCCTCACATTGTGGGTATACCGAACAACCGAAGGGTCGTCATATATCGCAGTCAGATCATCAAATAACTCGGGCTGAATCGAAGTAGCGGCAGTGGAAGTCGAGCTCGAGCTCGATTGTGAGGACGTTGTGAGCTGGGATTTAGTATGCGGCCGTGTTTTCCTTTGGTCTGACTGCGCAGCCTCGAGCCTAGCAAATGCTCTAAGACTCGAAGCTGGAGGCGCGCCGAAATAGTTGTCAGCTTGAAAGGTCGCCGCTGTGGGTGTGACATCCGAAGGTGTGACAGTATAGGAGGAATTGCGCAGAACAGGTGTACCGTGGCTGCTAAAGCGGAAACTGCCTATGCGATAGTGAGGGATAGGTACCGCCAATGTGGGCAAAGTCTCTTTGGCATGCTCATCCGCGGGTCCGCGAGCCGTCTTGGGTCGCGCAGGCTCAGGCCTATGAATGACAATCCGGACAGTTTTGGACTTTGCTGCAGACAACGACTGGCGACTTTCCTCCACGGTTGAGAAAGATTGCGCGCGACCATGACTCGACAGTGCCGCACCTCTGTCCAGAAACTCGGTCGAGCGATCGGGAGAAGCCGAACGTGGAAGGGAGGTGACTGAAGGATTCGACAATGGTTTCCCGCTTGACGTAATCTGATGTCTATTTCCAAGTAAAGCAGGTGCTGTAGCCGGCGTGGTCAACGGCACCTGGGATGCAGGCGCGCGAGGAGGGCCATGCCGTGCGGATGGTCTGGTAACATGTCAGCATACAATTTAAACCTTCTGTTTGACAAAAAAAGGACGCACTTCAGATATAGCAGTCCTCCAGTTCCTACATTGCCAACGGTGAAATTGCGACCCGTCCGGTTATCTGAGGCTGCTTCCGGATCTTTTGTTCTTTTTGACGACCTGATCGAGCGCTGCCGCAGCACCTCGGTACTGTTCTTGACTCGCTTTAGAGAATTTGATCTCTTCTTCCCAATCGTACTCGGTGCAGATACATTCCTAGCATGTCCACGGAGCCTCTGGATGTCCGGAGTTCTTGCAGCCTTTCTCGAACTCGAGCCATAATGGGATGTTGTCGGGAGGGTTGTACTTCCCGAACCACCGGTTATATGACTGGCAACTGCGGGATCGACCGAGATAAGTGATATGCGACTGCTGACCGAGGACTCTGAGAGCATGGCGAGCAAGATTCGGATTGAAGATTCGCGGGTATCGCTACAACCATGGTCATACGGGAGACAACCGAAGGAAAGATTCTTTTGCGGAGGTCGGCTTCATGGCCTCGAGAACGTTGGTAGAAAGTGTTTTAATGAGACTCGAATTGACTCGGGTGTACCATTTGATCGCGGATTGTGATCGTCGTTGACTGTAACGCGGAGAGTGGGCTGGGCGCAAGTACAATTTGTCGACTTTGCGAGAGGCGCGTGCACAGTTGCAAGGCCCTTCTCGCGACAAGGACGTTGGTAATAGGTATGGCAATGGACGATGCGTAAAGGGAAACGAGAGACTGCGGACCAGGACGAGGACGGGAGAAGTGAGTAGTTTGCAGGCGCCACGGTATTGGCCGCCAGTGGAAGAGTGTACCGAGTAGTGAGGTTGTATTGGATGATGGATGGTGTGCAGGTGCAGGTGCAGGTGCAGGTCAAAGGAAAAGAGACACCTGCAGCTATTCAGCGAATGGAAGTCGCCGAGGACGGGAATGCGAAAGGCTGGTTGGTTTGAAGCAAGAAACTGTGATGGACTTGATTTGGCAGCTGAACCAACAACGACCAGGGCCGTTGAATAGGTTGACTAGGGCAGCCTGTCCACCTGTCTGTGGCTTTGTCTTTGGCACTAGACCGCTAAACCAGCTTCCACGCGAAGGAGCGTAAACCATGATCCCGCCTATAACGACTCATAACGCAGTGTGATAGGCGGCGGATGCATGCGAAAAAGTCTCCAGACATTCGGGACCTGTGGCCGGACACAGACCCGGGGCCTGGAACTGGAATCAAAGGACCGTCAGTTCGGCGTGTCCGCACTCTTTTTCTTACTCTTTACCGAGTCTCAGAAGAGATTGAAAGCATGATGATGATGACGCAGCGCACGTCGTGTACTCCAGTACCTACTAGTATTTGATATTGACTATGATTATTCAGGGCTGTGGTATCAGGATGCGAGGTTGAAGGCTGATCCTCATCTACTCATACCCCGCCAACAACTGTACTTACAGCTGTTGTAAAGCGGACTGTGTCACTGTTACTAGTAGTAGCTGAAAGAAGAATTCATTTGTTCGTATGTCTTCTTTTCATTCGTCTTTTCTTCTTTACGTACGCTGCCAATGACAGGTCATAGCAGCTTTTCTCTTGACAGCCTGACACTCGCTTCTATGCCCGAACAAGCATCGAATACTTGGCCTTACTTCGGATCCCAGCATCGAAAAGATCGGTGACACTTCCATCTCTCCATACGAGGAGTTTGCCCACTCACTATCACCTGCCATCTCACAATCCACAGCTCCAAATCCCCCACATTGACAGAACCATGACTCCGAATGCGGTCAAAGGAATCACGTTGCCTGCCCGATTCGCTCACATTCCAAGTCTGTCAGAACCCAACTTACCTGATTGTTCATGCCTGCTGTGATACTCACGAGAAAAAAATTCCCACAGCAAGAGACCTACAGTAAATGGTTGCCGCAGCCGATCTTGACCATTCTACCCTCGGCTTTGGTCCTATGGGAGAGCAAATTTCAACGCGAACGCCCGCCGTGCAAATCGTGCAGCAGCAGAATTGTCCGGATCGTCGGTATCATGATCATAGCTGCCAAAGGCTTATGAGTTCTGCTTCCTCCATCTCATCGTACTCACCTTCATCGTCCTCCATTTCGTCGTCATCGTCCTCACCTTCTGCGTCCTCGTCTCCTGCTTCTGACTGTTCGTCCCACTCACAGTCATCGGACGCAGAAGCCTGATCGTCGTCGACCACGTGAGGAAACAACGCCATTCGTTGCTCCACCGTCGCTCCACGCAGCCAAGCAAGTCTCTCTCGCTCCCAGAAGTATTCCTGAATTTTGGCCGGCCAATCGGCAACGTCAAAGCCACGGCGTTGATAATGTCTTATCTGGTGATCTCGAAGGCCAGCTTCAACACTTGCACCCGAATCTCTGCCATAGCACACGTCAACGTCCGAGGTCTGGAGGTATGGCCAAAAATCCTGGATACGCCCAGCGCTTGTTCTGCACACGGGGCAAAGGTTGTCGTACCGATGATGTTGATCGAAATGTGAAATGATGCAATGCGCGTGGAACCGATGCGGACAGTTTCGCAACTCCATCAACAGTTCACCAACCCCGTAAGTTTCCTGACAGATGGCGCAAATGTCCTCGGGGTCGAGATCACCCTCGAATAGGGGATGGACGCCGAACATATATCGGGCAAGAGTTGTGGTCGAAGTGAACTCCATGAATTCTTTGATTGCATCTGAACCGTTCTTCTTGTCCACGACAGTGTATAGCTTCTTCCAAGGTCTTCCAGGACACCACTCGGCAATGTAGCGGTAAGCATACAATTGTCTCATGGCCATGGAATACTTTGCAAGTCCTTCCTCAAGACGTCGGGTTCGTTCAATGGTTTCTCTGTAGGCCCAATGCATTCCGTTAGCAGACGAATTTCGCCAGTTGACACACCTCAAACGTTTGGGCATCAATGTGTCACAAACGTGTCCAGCTGCGTACCTACCTTCAAACTTATTTTCACTGCTCAGGAGTAAGACTAATAGTCTTGTCATTGCCGGAATCGTGCAATATGCGCTTCTCATCAACTCGGTGGTCTTGTCGGCGTTGGAAAGGTTGTCCACTCCAAATCGGTATGTCGCAATCAGTAGCTGAATGCTTTCCCTTGCGGAACGATGAAATGCTTGCAGCCAGTGGAACTCGTCTCGAAGCTGGAATGGGAGTACGTCCTTCGTACGGCTTGCGTCCTTGAGCTTGAGACGCTCTGCTTCCAGTATTGCAAAACGTTGGGGATCTCTTTCAATGGAGTCAATCAAGCTATCGTAGCGCCAGATATCTCCCAGTAATGTCCGAAGACATATAGGAGGGTCCTGGAGGCACGGAGCATGTAGAAGGTTGAGAAAGGTGCCACGGTGAACAAACATTGCCCCAAGCCCTCGGTCTGTAAAGACAGTTGTTGTCCTGGCTCCAGGAGCTTCGATGGCTTCCTGATTCAACTCGGGCTGTCGCCGGTCAGCAAGCCGGAAGAGAGCAGTCGCAGGATCCCTGACGCTTAGGAAGTACTCACAAATGTTTTGGCCTGGGTCCTTGTTAGCATTTTTCTGCTGATGTTTTGCAAACCACTCTTCATCGTCTCGAGGATTTGGGAAGATGTAATAATCCACACTGATTGCAGTGAATCTGGGGAGCTTAGGAAAGACACGCTCGGGGTCCATCAGGACAGGTGCTGATGTAGTCGCCATTGTTAGTTGTGAGTCGAGATCTGCTGTTGTTTTGGGGTTGGTCCCTCTCGATTGGCGACTGGTATCATTGGATTCTATCGTCGCAGTTGTTTGGGTGGAGGATACCAGGAACCAAGCCCTCGAATACCTTATAAATACCGATAGGCAAGTCACGGTCAGGGCATTTAGCATTGTCTCGTATGATAAGTGAGACTTTTTTCTTTGTTTGAGCGAGACATGCTGAGGAAGTGAAGCAGGACTCTTTGTTCGATTGGGACAAGGCAGCATTGTTACGACTTTCTCAGGAAATTTGTGCCTCTCCCTGGGTGCCTTTGTTTGGCCATTCTCGCCTTTGCGTTTTGGCGTTGTTGACGACGAGGAACACATAGCTTCATCCTGTGATTGGTAAGCGCCAGCCGTTTTAGACACTTGGCTGTGCTATCCAGGTAGTGAAGTGACCACACACGTAAACCTGGTGCGGCAAAAAGATGACTTCGGGAAATGATCGAAAAAGGGCTGTGACACAATGAGACTTGAACCCTGTGTTTGGAAGCCAGCAAAAAAGAGGACATATAGGTGCATCCCCCCATTGGAATCACCCAGTGGAAGAATGTTCAGGTACCGAAGACAATACTCGATGACTCTATCAAGAGGTTACACTTAATCAGTGCGTGACAGGGCCCCAAACAGGGAAAAGTGTGCCTGAACATTGCTCCCTGAGGGGACCATAATGCGGTTCAAGTAGCAGGTTGGCCAGGCCCGCCACTTAAACCAGCGATCACAGAATTGCAACCCATATGTTGACCAAGATTGCGATGATTCAATGTATAAACTGCCATTTTCACAGGCTCACGTGTAGTGCAACGAAGTGAAGAGAACTGACCGCCGGGTGAGGTAGTGAATTGAAAAGAGTTGGCCGCCCGTCAAGATGTTCGCTCACTTCACCTTCATATGATATTTCTCATTCCCAAGAGACAATACTCACACTTACCCTCGATCCTTACCCCTCCCCAACGCTTCTTGCCCTCGTCGATAAGTCCTCGCTCTGACTGCCATCGCATGAACGGACCATTCTTTTCTTCGACAAAGAACTGTCCAAGCGTCGAAGGCCTTCGAGAAAGGTCTCATCAATATCAGACACAAATCTCAGATCTCTTTGCCGGCGAACACTCAGCATCATGGAAGGCGTACAAACCGAAAGCAGCTTCGCTGCCAAAGCCTCAAACCATAGCGAACGCTCGGCAAACGTCGTCTTTCAGGTCCGCGTCGTCGGAAACAATCACAATACTACACCTTTCACCATGGTACAAGCATCGAAGGCTCGAAAGAGAGACGAACTTTGGGATGAGGTCGTCGCAAAGGTGCCCATTGTGATGGATGAAAGATACATCGGAACCGAACAGCAAGCAGCCAATCCATTCCATGGTTCGAGCCCTCCGCTTTACCTTCTGCAAGAGACATGCACCACCCAAAGCCACCGGATGCTGCATACGCGTTGAGCGGTTATGGCTTGGGAAAATGCATCTGAATATTCACGCTGGTATCAACGCAATGTCAATGAGGGCACGGCGAACACCCTCAAGATCGAGATACACTTCCAGAACAACCTGGTTGGGAATGAGGAGTACTTCAAGCACTATGATGTGCTTGTGGACGCTGGCCTTGGGAAGGTCACCTTGGAAAAGAAGGACCTGATGGAATACCATCTCGTTGCGCCGATGGAGGTAAACCCCTTCATCGCAGTCGTTCCTGGTACCAGTGAGTGGTTCCCAGAGCGCGATGCCATCGACTACCTCGCTGACGGTGGAGGATGCCCAATCTGCAAGGAGAAGGCCGAGACGCTGGGTTTGACGAGCGGCAGGAATGGCAAGAAGAAGAAGGCCAAACGATGAGGCGGAGATGCCTGCTGAGGCCAGCAAGGCAGGCGACGAGGATGTCGAGATGGAGGATGCCGTCGGTGGAGGATGGCAACATGATATTGTGATGCGATGAGGTCGAGGAATGTGTTGAACACCATCAGGTCATGTCAAGACGTTGACGTTAAAATCCCTCGCACTCGCAACAGAGTTTTTCCGCTCCGGCAACGTCCACCAATGAGAATTTCTATCAGACGAACACCAACTTCAAATTTGCAGACCCTCCCTCCTTGTGCTTGAGGAGGTCATCCTGCTCATTGACATGATTACTACTCTACAGTTCGTGGACTGTTGTTGGATCAACAGGCCACTGCAACGTCGCGCCCTTGCGCCCTTGAAAAGTACAACCTCGTCTCCACATCCGACAGTCTGACAACAGAAAAGCCGAACATTGCAATGATGTGTCGACTATGGATCCTGCCCAGTGCTACTTACTATCCAGCATCTGCCAATCGTAAGCTGCCATGACAGCCACTCTCCGCATGCAACCGACAGAGTCTGATATAAAGCTATGTAAGTGGATAACATCAGTCAAAGGTAAGCAAAGCCTTGCCAATATCGACTGATCCTGGCCTTTTTGCCCCAGCAAAGCTTCTGCGCGTTATTTTCATCAGCAAATTTTTTTGTGCCAGCCTTACCCGATCTTCCGCCAGGATGAGTTTTTACTGATAGCCGTGGACGATTTTATTTGTCCAGTGTCCATGTGGACATGTCGCTTCTGGCCGAAATGTTCGCATGGTCCCCGCTCATCGATTGTTTTAATACTCCAGGAGAGCTCCTCGTTGTTGCGACGAGGTGTATGAGCTTCAACCTGAGAGAATTCGAATTGTACTCCGAACGAGGCACTCAAAATGGCGGACGCAAGCCTTGTCATGGAAAAGGATGTCGAGGCCATACCAGGAAACCTGGCCCTTGATACGAAACCAGGAAACATCGAAACCGCGCCGACCGCCTTTGGCCGCTTCGTTGACAGCTTCAAACGAAACCCCAATGCTCGCGTGACGACACAAGCCATTGATGCGGACGGCAACATTCTCAAGGACCAGCCTCCTGCGGAACCGGCATTGGCTATGAAATTGAAGCAACGTCATCTCCAGATGATCGCTATTGGTGGTTCGATTGGTACTGGTCTGTTCGTGGGTTCCGGATCAGCTCTAGCTACTGGCGGCCCGGGGTCGCTGGTTCTCGCCTATGGTTTGATTGGGATCATGCTATACTGTGTCGTCCAGGCGCTGGGAGAGCTAGCCGTCGCCTTTCCCGTGGCTGGGGCATTCTCAGTCTATGCAAGCAGGTTCTTGGATCCAGCCTGGGGGTTTGCAATGGGCTGGACTTACCAATTGCAATGGGTTGTCACTCTTCCCCTTGAAATTGTAGCAGGATCCCTTACGCTGCAATTTTGGGCTGGTAGTCGAAGCGTCAACTCTGCGGCATGGGTCACAATTTTCCTGGTCAGCATTATCATTATCAATTTCTTTGGCGTTCGCGGCTATGGAGAAGCAGAATTTGTCTTCTCCATCATCAAGGTCACGGCAGTCATTGGGTTTTGCCTGCTCGGCATAATTATCGACACTGGTGGCGTACCTGGGGACGACCGAGGATACATTGGAGCTCGTTACTGGCATGATCCGGGGGCTTTCAACGCTGGATTCAAGGGCCTTTGCTCGGTTTTCGTCACAGCTGCGTTTTCCTTCTCGGGCACCGAGCTTGTTGGTCTTGCTGCAGCTGAGACTGAAAATCCACGTCTCGCTTTACCAACAGCTGTCAAGCAGGTCTTCTGGCGGATTGCATTGGTGAGTTCTCCTGTGTTGCCAGTTGTGACGTTTTCTGACTGAGTAACCCCAGTTTTACATGACGTCTCTTACTATCGTGGGCGTTCTCGTGCCTTACACTGATCCCATGCTTCTCAACGGCACCAGTTCATCCGACGCCAATGCCTCGCCATTCGTTATCGCGGTACGGAATGCTGGTATCGAGGCAGTCCCATCCATCATGAACGTTGTCATCCTTATTGCAGTGCTCTCTGTCGGGAATTCTTCGATTTATGGTGCAAGCAGAACTCTTGCTGCTCTTGCCGACATGGGCATGGCACCAAAGATCTTGGGTTACGTCGACCGCTCCGGCCGACCGTTGGCTGCTATCATAGCCTCCTCATTGATCGGATTTCTCTGTTACATCGTCGCCGCAGGTCCAGAGACGAGCAACCAGGCATTCAACTGGATGATCGCCATTTCGGGTTTGGCAGCAATCTTTACATGGTTAGTCAAATTACACATATCGAATTGACCATCACTGACTGACTTCTTAGGGGTTCCATCTGCCTCTGCCATATTCGCTTCCGCCGAGCTTGGAAGCTTGCAGGCCACACGCTGGACGAACTCGCCTTCAAGTCTCAAGCCACTGTTTACGGATCGTGGTTGGGGCTGATCATGAACATATTGATTTTGGTCGCTCAATTCTGGACGGGCTTCGCTCCTATCGGCTACGCCGATATGACGGCTTCGGAACGTGTCGAGAACTTCTTTGAAGTTTACCTCGCTGCACCAATTGTTATTGTCATGTACATTGGCTACAAGCTCGTCTACAAGACCAAGATTAGGAGAGCTAGACAGATCGACATCACTAGCGGAAGGAGGGAGATGAACCTTGCGGAGATCCTGGAAGAGGAACGCAGAGTACAGGCTACTTGGCCATGGTACAAGAAGGTCTGGAAGACGCTGTGCTAGTCGGACACACATGTACGTTACTAAGGGTGGCTTTCTGTCTCTTTCGGCTGGACAAGAAGTCGAGCATACCTAAAAATGGGCATGGCTCTACTACGCGTACATGATATAGCAGACAAATGAGCAAGACAAGCACTTCTTGTAGAGTGGTGTATGAGGTGATGGCTGCGTGAGCTGGCTTGTTAGACGGTACAGCCCTGTTCGAGACTGATCAGACATGCCGTACCAAATGACGATGGTTTGAAGTTGAGGTTGGAATGATGAGGTAATTTCTTGGCTTTTGTAGACGGACGTGCCAACGTCCAAGGACTTCATTCCTCTTCAAATATCACCGCCACTGCGACCACTAGAAACTTGATGCTCGAGGAAGAGTCTGCATAGATGGAGACCTCAACAATGATGCAACATGGACAGGGAGACGGCAAGCTGCGCGCACCTGACTCTGGTAGAACCTGCCTCAGCACAACGCAACGACGCTTCTCACTATTCAGCTTTACAAGGAACTCACCTTATTTACTGTTGAGCACATGTCGACATTCACCTCAAAGTGAAGTAACTGGCAATGGCAATTCCGTCTACCAGCTCCCACATGTTCGTCCGGACGGAGACACTATACGTTCATATGCAGTGACGGTCTCATTCACTTACTGCATCCCACATGTCAATCATGACTTCCCGTGCCTTGTATCTCCTATAAAATCCCCCCTTCCATCCTCCAAACTTCTTCCTCATATCATACTTCGATCTAGCCCTCCCATCAGGCTTTGCATTTAGCATGGCCGAACCTACTGACCTACGAATGCCCGAGGTTGGCTTGCAAAGTGCAGAGCACGAAGAATTACTGAATATCATCGACACTCTTCGCTCACAAGGAATCAGCCGCTATGTTGACTTACCACAACTCATCGTCTGCGGAGATCAGAGCAGTGGAAAATCCAACGTTCTCGGAGCAATCTCTTCGCTCCGTTGGCCAACAAAAGATGCTCTTTGCACGAGATTCGCGACTGAGCTTGTCCTTAGACGCGGTGCAGTTGCACAAGTCACAGTCACCATCACTCCCGGACCGGACCGCACGAAAGAAGTCTCCGAAGCGAAGCCCTTGCAAGCTTCAAGCCCCCATCCAAATCGATAGATGACTTTGCGGCGATTGTGAATGCCGCCGAGAAAGCTATGGGATTGGATGACTCCAAAAAGCTGTTCTCGAAAGATATTTTCAAGGTCGAATTGTGTGGCCCATGTCAACCGCACCTCACGCTCGTTGATTTACCAGGCATATTCTACGCAGGAAACCAGGCACAGTCAGACGACGACGCCACCCTCGTGCGAGATTTGGTGAAGTCTTACATGCGAAAAGCCAAAGACTCGACTGGGTGTGAAGCACCTGCGACCGCGTCTCAGCCAAGTTCTACTCAGTCAAATACAGGTGGAGCTTCCCAGCCTCGTACGCGATGTCGATCAGGAGTTGGAGAGCTGTAAGGGTCGCCTAGAAGCGCTTGGAGGCCCACGGGGCACACTGACGGAGCAGCGTATGTACCTGCTAAAAGCCAGCCAAACCTTTTCGAAACTCATAAGGTCTGCGGTTGATGGCACCTACGATGACGGTTTTTTCGGAACCTCTGAGAGTACAACCGGGTATAAGAAGCGTCTTCGAGCGGTCGTTCAATGCACAATGACCGACTTCGCTGACAAAATGGAGCGGGAGGGTCACGCTCAACAAATCGTTGACTCCAAGCCTTCACGGCAGGCATCGACCGTACGTCCACAACTTCTACTACGAGATAAGTATCTGGAACAAGTCACCTATCAGATGCGTCGCAATCGGGGTCGTGAATTACCAGGCCTTTTCAACCCTTCGATAATTGGGGATCTCTTTTTCGAGCAGGCGAAGCCGTGGCTGCACATTGTCAATGAGGTAACCGCTAAGCTTATCGATGCTACTTGGGAGACTGTTGAGCTGGTGCTCGACAAAGCAGCTGATTCGGTGACAAAAGAAGGTATCATGCGATACGCGATTCGCCCAAACATGGAACCAATTTGTGGAAAACTGCTTGTAAAAGCTGAGGAGGTCCTATTGCCGCATCGAAAGGGCCACCCCTTGACGTTCAATCATTATTTTACCGAGAACCTCCAGCAGAAACGACAAGCAGAGCATCGCAAGTTCGCATACGAGAAAATCCGTGCCTTTCTCAACGTTGATCTAACAAGCGAGAATACTTGGGTCTCCCACCACTCGTTCGATGCAAAAGTGCTTTGTGAAGAGGCTCTCCTGCAATGGTTTGAATTCATGACAGCGTCGCCAGACTGACCCGGAGGTTTGTCCTCAGTATCTGACTCGGAGGCAGCTTTCAGAGCCTCAGTCTTGGGCGTCGTCAACCTGTCCATCGCGGGAATTGCTGTCTCTTGCTGCGGGGAATGGCCATGGAGTTCATCAGGCATGACAGGAGGATACACTGATACCAGGCACTGAGCAGGACATGGACAGATTTGCAGCAACGGAGGCGACCAATGCCATGGAAGCCTACTACAAGGTGAGTTCGAGGAGCTGACCTACCCAAACTACTCTTGACTAACACGCATGGTAGGTTGCCCTGAAGTCCGTCATCGATGCTTTTGGCATGTATGCTGTTGAGGGGTGTCTTCTTGCAGGATTGCCAGATATCTTCATGCCTGAGATCGTCTACCAATTGGATGACGAGACAGTCACTAGAATTGCGGGGGAATCTACCGACACGGTGGTCGAACGAGAAGACCTTCAAAAGAAGTTCAAAGTCCTGGACGAGACGATGGTTACACTTCGTCGACTCAAGACATTTATGAGTTCGGGTACGAGACTTAAAAATTTTCCCCTTGTGAATGTTGCCCGAACTGACTGTTGAAAGCTTGATGATAAAGGAAATGCCAACCGAACTTGTTGGCATCGGCAGGGATGTGCGGCTGGCGGAAACTTGATGGTCTATTGGAAAACTTGGGTCAGGAATTGCCGAACTGAAGCGGGAGGCTACCAGGAATCAAAACTGGTCAGGTTACGTTCCATGGAGATGTTGGAGTATTCTGCTGCACAGACGAAATGACCTCAAGCAGGATCATCCTCTTGATGAGGGCTCCGAATCAGCAGATAATGTGGAGTGGCACCACTGCACGGCATGCAATGCATCGAATCGAGCTCAGTGCATGGATTCGGGATTCAAGATGCTCGGTCCCGTTCTCAGATTGAATTATCATCGTCACAAACATCGTTCAATGCTCATGTCTCACTTCATGGAACGATCGCTGAACTGCATTCCATACTGGTTTTCCACGTCATCGTCACTCCCACAACTCATCAGCATATCGAGCTGGTGTAAGATTAACCTGAGTGTTTGCTCCCACGAAGAGAAATGGTTAGACACCACTTCACGCAATGTCTTCGAAGGATGACAAGTGATCGGAAAGACCATATACAGCGGAGTCTGGCACCTTAACGAGGACGTCACATCTACACACCTTCAATGTGAGTGTTCCGGGTAGCTCATGTACATGAAACTCCCTGCTTGAATGCGCCGTCCCAGAGATTGAAGGCTTGACAGACATGCCTGAGAATGGTCAGAAACAGTTTGCCCACATTCACCATGGTTCCAGATACATGACTCACTGGATGTCGAACCTTCGCCACCGGAATGTGCATATAAGGGGTCTTGAGCACGCAGAATTGACAATGATCAGAGCAGCTCAATATGTCAGATCATAATACTGCTTGCCAGCCATACCAGCTCTGATATCACATGTGCCTTCTCCCTCCTCTTAGTCTCCAGCATATCACCCATGCTGACGAAGATCGCGATATTGCTTGCACGTTGAGGCAAGTCGAACCATTATATATATCATCAAGAACCGCAGCGGTTGCGTCCGATGTCTTGATGCACTGCAACCAGCCTTCGAGGCTATGCATGGCAAGGTACACAGGGTGCCGATGTGCAATCCTCCTTAGAGGTGCAGAGAAACACCTGTACGAGAAGGCTGGGTGAAGACTGGGGAGCCTCCCTCTGATGGATCATGAAGAGACGTGAGCAGCCACTTTACCGTTTGGCGTAATATCTTGTGGGACACAGCCTTATCCTGGGACAAAGGTGTCAAATGCAGACGAAGAAGGTCACGAGGTTTCTACTGCATGGCGACATTGCGTGTCCGTGTGACGTGATGCGGACAATACACAGCAATATATTGAGGAAGCAGTATGCCAGTGCCCATGGTGTCAACCGGCAAGAGAAATTCCCAGGGGGATTTGGGCGCTTCTAACCTTCGTCCGTTCCGTCCTGAACCAGGTTTTCTGTGCAGCCAGGCATCCGTGGTAACAAGCATTCGAAGGGAAAGATTCCTGAGAGTCGAACAGGAGGTCTGCCGTCTGGGACTGTTTGCGGTGTGTCTCCCATCTTCTACAACCACTTCATCTGGGAGTCCTGCCTGCTGTTCAAGCAAGAATCGGGAGAATCAGGATGATTACGATATGATACGACCAACCTCGGAGAGAGGATGGGCACAAAGTTTCACATATTTATATCCACAGTACTTCCTTGTTGGTGAGGTCAGCGCCAGCATCATTTTGGAGTCGAATGATCAGGAGTCAGAAAAGACGACATTCTCCGCGTCGATGAAGCTCTCAAGCAATGGTGCGTGGCGACAGAGATCCCTGTTCCGACAGCACCACTTTGAATAGCTCACGACGCCGGATCCAGGGGGTCTCCCGTCTTGATGCCTAGGACTAGGAAGCATCTCAGGCTATGGCAACAATCACACTTGCCGATAAGTGCATCGATCCATCGATCCCGCCATCGTGAGCACCATCCTGACCCTCGAAAGGCCTAGGCCCAAAATCACTAAGGCCGGAATCACGGACCCTGGTGCCTGGGAGTGTGAGGTGCCCAAATGCTCAGGGCATATCGTCGGAGGCCTGAAAATAGTCGGCGGCCTTGCCAAACCATTGCCGGGCAGAGAGCAGTATTGCAGAACAAGTTCCAGAGAGCGGATCAGCTTGCCAAAACGAGTTTTACGAAGTTGGGTTCGAGAAGGTGCGCGCCTTTGTTCGATGGTCGGCCTGACTGGTTCGAATACAGAGTCGCAAAGGCCATGAAGCAGGGTACCTACCGAGCTTCCTTAAAGACAGAGTGGAAGTCGGATTTGCCGCCGCCCAAAGGGCGAAAGAGGAGTGCTGCATATCCTCGCCCAAAAGCCGGATCCTGATAAGTGGTCTATAACCACCCACATTGTCCATGGACAAATGCTTCGAACCACAAGAGTGGACCGGTACACAGAGGTGGTCTGCATGTATGCCGTGTCATGCGGGATGCGCTTGGAAATGAACAATTTCGTCGAGAGGTAGATCTCACCCAGACTCGATGAAACTCAACGGCAGAGAGAACATTCTCCGCCACGATGTTGAGCACGGGCGTGGTCGTGCTCAACCAAGTGCCAACTCATATTCCAAAGAATAGCAAAAGCTACCACAGCGCCAAGTTCAGAGACCGTTACAGGTTTCAATGGAACAGTGAGCCTCCGGCAGTGTTTGTTAGTTAAGGATTGCAACAGTGGACGAAGGCATGGCTTGATTCCGTTGTGGGCTGGATCTCGTTCCTCTTTACAGGTTGAAGGGATTGCTCGCATCCAGTAATTCACCACTGTCAAAGCCCCAGCTCACCCTCCGCTTTGTTCAAGGACATGAAGATGATGTCAATTTTCCAATCAAAGAAAATACGACGATTTGGTCATAGGCTCCTCGTGGTCCTGGAGATTCTCGAAAGCCTGGCTCTCGAAAACTTGGTCCCCTTTAAAGTCTGCTCGTGTTCACGAGGCTTTATATGGACTCACACCAGAGATTGGGAAATTCTGGCCCACGCCGTTTTCGACTTAACAAGAAGAAACTCGAGAAATCGAGGAGCTTGTTTGCTCAGAATCTCGACTACATCCAAAAGACGGTGAAGCTGGAAACAAATGCGTCATATTGTTGTTATGTTCGGAACGCTCACGAGACGTTCAGTCCTTTCCGGAAGGTGTATATACATAGCGTCATCAACGCGACGATCGAGCACACATACCTCGTGGTCAGCTCATGAACTGGAAGGCCGAGGAGCTCGAATGGATAAATGAAGATGAAGGATTCATGGCCACAGGTGACTCAGAGGTCGACCAGTACGTAGACGAGAAATCTGGCTGGATGTGGTCTCCTGACGATGAGATTCTCATCAATCCTGGTAGCGATCCCAAACACTGGCAGTGCTACGACCATTACACGGGAATATGGTGGGCGATGGAAGAGTACCAAGAAACCCCAGACCCCGACGAGGACAACGGAGACTCAGGGCCCAAGAAAGGGCGAGTCAAGACACGGGCGACGCACCAGATCCCACCCCCAGTGCTGGTGCCAGGATATGAATTTCCATGGGACAACTCTATCTTTGCGGAAGTGCGAGCGAGAGATGAAGCGAAACAAGCACTGGATTCTGAGTCACAGACCGCAGCGGAGGAGGATGGCGAAAGTGATGACGAAGATGATGACAATGGGCTTCTGAGCGGCGGCCAGCGCCAAATGGACCGGCAAGAGATCTCCCTGGGAGCCCAGCCTGCTGAACGATGCTGTCGGCCGCTTTTCAGACAAGTGATTGATATAACGCGTCCTGATGATCAGTACCAGGTGTCTGGGAAGCCCCAGCCTCGAACTCGAAAGCGAGAAGGCGAGCCAGTTGGCTGACGACCAAAATTTCCAGCTCAGCCTGGACAGCTTTGTCGGGATTGGATATGATGGAGGGCATGGCATTTGCATCCATTGCATCTGTGACAGGATGTTGCGAGTCGCTGCCCTGATAAATGGAACCATCTGGCACGTCTTGCACGAAAAACATCAGGATGTGGAAAGCTTTGAGCAAAGCGGCCTGCTTCCTGGGCCATAATCGCGTCGAGAAGACGAGCTTCTACGTGCCCCCTTCGAGAAACAGAAGTCTCCCCGTGAATCGAACAAGGGTGATGAGTATGGAAGTGGGTACGTGGGCCCTTACCCCTGAAAGATTACAAGAGTGGGCCAACCGTAAGGCCACTAGGTGCGAAAGCGCCGTACGCGGTCGGGGGGACTGCCGTGGGTTCAGCGATGGGGACGAGGAGCTCGGTACGCGTTCTAGCTCGGTGTTCCTGAGCTGAAGGGAGAAAGCAAACGGCGTGCTCATCCGCTGTGCCTGGCAACGGTACATAAGATTTTCCAGAAGACAGGAGCTCACTTTTAGGCTAACTTCCTATACCTGGTTTTTGAGGGACGAGGGTCTATACAACATCGGTATATGCATGAAGGGCCCAGAATTGCTGATCACTGCTGCGAACCCAAGAGGGTAAGCTTTGTCAGAGCCTTGAGGTCTTGCCTTTGACCTGAGAGAGTTGTCCTCTCAGCACAAATGGGTATGGGGCTTCAGGGACTTCATGAAAGCCTGTTTCCAGATCTGCTGCAGCTCAGGGCCGCCCTTCCAGCACTGCCTACAAAGACATCCCAGAGATGGAAGGGCGCTCGGAAAGTGCAATGACAGTCACCCCATCACAGGGACAAGGTGGTTCTGTGTCGATAGTCCAAATGTTGTGAACATCCTAGAAGAGCTTCTCAATGCTGCTTCCGGACGTGGAGAGATCATGTGAGCCGCGTACGCTGTAGCAGAGAAGAGATAGCCTCGGTTGCGTTTGGTCGTTTCAAAACCGAGTGGAACATGTTGCAAATGCTGGTGCTCTAGACGAGATTAAATTCTGCAAGGGCAGGATGCTCGGACAAGGGGCAATGACTGACATGCTTCAACGACAATCATGGCAAGCGCATGGCCTGATTTTTGCAGATGGGACGGATTGGATGAAGTGCTGCACAGAGCCGCTGAAGGGGACACCGTCTTCGTAAACATAGGCCGCTTGGGAAGTCTGCATTGACCAGAAAGATACAACAACGAATCATTTGACGGAGACTCAGACTTCGAGCCAGCATGTCGCAGCATATGCATGCGATCGATATGACGACGAAGGCCTTTCCCGACGCACCAAATCTCGGCCAGGGCTCTTCGGATCAAACCCTGACCCGATCTTGGATAATGGGGAGGCGCGTGGCCCGGCATGGAAGACCAAGGGACGAGAAAGGTAGATGCCGGTGAATCAATCTCTTCGAGGCCAACAACGACGTCCACAGAACAGTACTTCGCTGTATCTGCCTTTGAGGCACGCGTAAGCTGCAAATTGCAGCGTCATTCGTCCGACATGCAAAATAACAGGAGGACTTGTTCGGAGACAAGTTCCATCTGTCCCCGGCCACACGGTTCTGTTCCTGCTTGGTGTGCAGCTCGAGCCGTGGCGCTTCTGACCATGACGTTGGACCTCGACCTGGCTCATCAGGAGTGAGATGGAGAGGCCTGGTCAGTTGGCATTCGGAAGAAAGACAAAGACCTGTGGGATGGTCGAACTCTGCGTACTCGCGATGAAGGAAAATCTTACAAACGCGATCCCCCTCAGCCCTTCGAGAACCGAGGAGAAAGTCGCCAACTCATTCCATGGCTCAGACCACCATGCTACTTCCACCAAGAGACATGCGAATAGTAATCGTCATCGGATGCCGCACACTTGATGGACGGTCATGGATCAATTCCACACTCTCTGGGACTCCAAACCGCTAGCGAGGCACATCCGCCTAACACTGCGGTCGCGGCCGTCGGCGCCTTCGAGAGACTCGGGCTTGATTTTGAGGCTAAGGCTGAAGTATTGAAGCGGAGCAGCTGAACGTTTGCATAGAAATGGCAAACCGAAAGCCTTGGGCCCTTGGCCGACAGTAGGGCCTTAATTGACGAAATGGAGCTTTTTGGACGACAGCGCACGACTGGTGTGCCTTTTGACGAAGACTTGTGGCGCGAGGTTCTCAAGGCTGCAGAGCAAGAAAGGCCTTCCAGGATGGGAACCAACCTACGCTGCCGCTGCGTTGTGAGGGTACTGATATCTGATGTAGGGCGATTTCACAGATGAGATGGAACGCTACCCTCATCAAAACATCGAATGGCCGCTCGAGCAAGCCAATGAGTTCGCAAGCCCGTGGGAATAATCGGTGAAAAACGGGTATTGGAGAGAAGTCTGATGTTGTGTCCCATCACCAGTAGCGGCCGACGCACTCCGTGACGCATTGCAACAGATCACCGGTGTCGGGGCTGCGATTCGGCCGCGGTTATGTGTTCGGATGATAGGCCTTGACGAAACACACACAAGTCCGGCACTATACTTCGAGTCCCATGCAAGAAATGTGGTGTCCCTTCCCAGGAAGTTCGACGTGGCAGGGTGCACCACTGGTATATATATCGAGAGGCGTCCTCCCGCATATCGACATGTGGTTCGAGGAGGTTTCAACCTCCTATAGAGAGGCCATCGTTGTGAGATGTTGTGACGAGGACCTACCACGGCGCGGCACCGTGCTTGCCTGCACTTCCTGAGTCCAAAGCCCAAGAGGCAGATTATCTTGTGCACAATGATATTGTGGACAAGGACGATAACGAGGGGACCGCTTCTTATCAGGTACTCGCCGAAGCGTATACGTACGCTCTCTCAACTCTTTTAACGAGATGTTACCTGAGAAGACGCATAAGGAAGTCTGGAACTTTCAAGGAAAAGAACAACAACGTGGAAAGACTGTCACAGGCCTGATGGCGCGTTCCCCGACCAAAGTCGTCGAGGAGGGTACTAGAACGAGACACCTCTGTCCGGTAACAAGCCCATGGCTGGCCCCTAACAAGATGAGGGCCGCGCATCTCGTCCCATGCGCACTTGGAGAAGGGGTGACAAGGCCGCCGGCGAAGACAACGAGACGGTGGATGACGATGAGGAGGACGAAAACGATGAATACGAAAACGATGAAGGCAACGAGGCTGAGTCGACCTGGGACTGGGTGATGAGTGTTCGAGAACAACAAGAGGTGTTGAATGAGAATCGAGGGGGACCATTTTACCTTGCAGAGCCTATGACGGTTGCCATCTTAGACACAAGATATCGTTCTCGAGTCATTGATAGTGCCAGCACTGCCAGTGACTCGGATGAGGATGTTGGCCACCAGCACAAAGGACGAAAGCGGTGGGGAAACCGATGCGGATGAATGGGTCCAAAAGATCATGGTGATCTTGCCGATTCTCGCGAGTGCGGATCGCTGTTGCGACGGTGAGTGTGATCCGCGGATCAAAAGTCTCTCTTGGACGTCTCGAAGCCTCTAGATCATCTGCACGGCAAACGCTAGGCAACGAGATCGGCTGGAAGGCATTGTTCACCATCAAAGACGACGTAACCCTCGAAAGTCCGACCCAGCTGAATCGCGAGCAGTATTGTCAGAGTTCCTTGTTGTCAGCAAAACAGCGTCGAGTCTCAGCACAATTCGAGGGTATTGGTTTCTACCCTCCAATACTTGATTCATCAATATTTCTGCATAGTCATTCGTCTTTGGGATTCGCATTATTTCCATCATCATCAAACCGAATCCGATCACTTGATTTATCTTCTGAACGTCTGTCGTTTCTCCTGTCGCTCACGTCTGATCCTCATTGCATTTTGACCGCATCCTTAAATGGCACAAGCGATCTTTACACGAGCTATATCAGCCGTAAAAAATAGCAAATATACAAGAGATTGTAGAATGGTCTTCGTCGCCTCGGTCGGAGCTGAAGTCACACGTCGCACCTAGTCCATCATATTTCCTCCGGAGTCCGATGACATCTGATAAGATACACTTAAGAAGTTGGTCGAAGCAGAACACTAAATGGCTATCGTGGAGAACATCAGACGACATGAAGCAGATACCACTCGACATAATTAGCTGCTCGAGCGGCTGGATAGACGCGACAACATATGGCCATGGCGATGGCTATGGGCTGATGCCCAGAGTCGTGCTGAGAGAGAGTAGCTCGGCATTTGAGCCTGTGATGCTATTCAGTGGTCAGAATGTCAAGCCAAGTACTCCGGTGTATATATACAGCTACAAGGACGCTGTAGACTTCACGCATGCACTTTGGATCATGAACAAGGGCCCCTTTGCGCACGGAATGCGATACAATCTCACCATATCAGCTTATCCCCGATACAAGCATGTGAAAGAACAGGACGACGGCCAGGTAGCCGGTCAGAGCTCAAGGCAGCGAGCAAGAGACCCAAACCTGTCCCCAGGACCGGGCAGGGCACATATCCATTCTCCCCGACGATGGTCCACCACTTTCGAAGTTGCTGCTGCAGCATCCGAAGGGTCCCGAGTCGGTCCCAGGGTTTCTGCAACACCCATCGAAGGTCATCGTCGACCCAGCTACGACGCTATGAGGCTACAAGGCTGTGGGCATCCAATTTAGATAGGGGAGGATGTGATTATTCAGCCACCTTGGCCCTGCCAAGGAAGGTAAAGACGGTCAACGACCGTCAACTGACTCAACAGGGGCGTCGTACCAGTTGTACGACCCTCGAAAACCTATATAGTCTGACAGGCCCCTACGGCCCTTGAGTAATGACAAGTCCTCCGTGAAATCACATCAATCCCCATGTCCGAGAGCGACTATGAGTCAAGAGAAGTCGCCGAAATCGACCAGCAACTTTGATGTGACGATACAGCGTCTCCTCGGCATAGCGCTACAAGTTGCATGCATTTCCCGGTGGGGCGACATTGTACGAAATCAACGGTACCGTGCTTCTTGAAACGACGACCCAAACAAAGAAAAAGACTTTCATGATGATGGCTTTGGGTGCGGGAGTCTTCAAGCCACAGCAGTACAAGAGACGAGGTCCCGTCCGGAATGTTTGTTGCATGCGGCACAAGGAGACGCTATATATACGAGAGACGACAAGAGTGCCGGGTGCACGGTCTGCTCAATCACGCGGTTGTATACCATATGCTCGCTGCAGATCCAAGATTGGCATACAAGCGGACATAATAAATCTATTCATTAGTTGCATATCATACAATTTCCAAGTCGTCATCACTCTCATCAGTACGTCGACGTCCTACCGCGACGCCCAAGCTTTCTCTGCCTGCTTCGCGAATACCTCTTTCCGTAACGAACCGAGTCTTTTTCACTGGAGACAATCGTACATCTTCCGCCGTACGTTTCCGTCCATTGCCATTACCTCTGAGTGCACTCGACGGCGCGCCAGACAAGATGCTAGCAGTGACCTGCGATGCTGTCGTGCGCTCCTCATCCATAACCCTGGACGTACGCTCGCCCTTGGCCGTGGCAGTACCTGTGCCAGCTCTTTGTGTATCTCCAGTCTTGACCTGTAGTTTGAGATATTCCGCACCAGCACTGCCAACTCCAAACCCCTGCCCATGCCCTGCAGCGCCCAATTTCTCGGCGATTTCACGTTCCTTCTGTCGCGCGACCATGTGTTTTCGCACACGTGCCTCACGGTCGCGAGACAGGTTTCCCTCAGGGATAGATGGACCGCCGTCGAACATGCCACCACGGTGAGCACTTCCACCTGTACCTGTAGCTGCACTAGCGTTCGACGTGGCAATGTAGAAATGGGATCCGGTATATCTATCGAATTTGTGCCCATCCTTGGGAAGCAGCCCATCTCTGCCGCCAGACTTGTCGAACGCCTTGCGCGAACCGGTCTCGCCGAAGCCATTCGTGCCAGTATTCACGCCCATACGCTTCGCCCTCGTCTTTTCGAGTTGGGCATTGAGATGCCATTCGCAGATTTCTGTCTTGGACGCGTTGAGCCAGCTGCCGCACGGTTTTCCATCCTTTTTCGTGGTCTTGCAGTACCCTAGATCACGAGCCGTACCGATTTCGAGAACCGTTTCATCGCCATTGCCCAGATTCAGACTGAATGCACCGGTGTCGGTCTTACCAGACTTCGGTGGCATGATGCCTGGATTGAGAATGGCGACCACAGTTCCGGGCGTGAGGCGGTGGTAACGTGGTACGGCCGTGCCGAAGAGATATAAGTCGATGCTCCATTTGAGATCAGTGAGCGTGAAGACCATGAAGCGCCGCGAGTTCTGCGACCCGTCTTCCCATTGGCGTTCCCAGTCCTTGGTGCTGGTAGTCTTGGTGTCTGGAGGAGCCTTTTTCTGGTCCATGGGCGAAGACTTGCTGGCGATCACGCCGAAGACGACATAGTCGCACACCGAGTCCGGGAGGTCGAACGAAGGAGAGGTGATATTCTTGAGGAGATCGGGAACACGGTAGATTGTGAATCGATCGGTTGGAAGGGTTCGTTTGAGGAAGGAATGAGGGAGGACACGCGAGGAGAGATGCAAGCCGGAGAAGCCTTCGAATAAAGAGGCATCTCCGACCGGAGCGCTCAGATTGTTGCTATCTTGTGAAGATGACCTAGAATCGTGTAGGTCGGGCATGGTGCGACTCTTCTCAAGAGGTCGTGTGGCGGTATTTGCCTCGGCGGTCCCATGGATGATTTGTTCACGAGTATATCCTGGTTCAGCGGGTGGAGTGGTTGATTGCGCCGGTTCTGCAGCGAGGAGACGGTACTTCTCGAGTTCTGCTCCATCTAATTCGAAGCCTTTGCTACGTTGACGATTCTTGTTTTCGCGCCTCTGTTCGTGGCTCTTCTCTCGATCGCGGGCTTCGCTCATCCGCTCGCTGAAGGTCTTTCTGCTCTCTGTGGAAATGCCTGTGCGAGCTGATCCAAATACCGCTGGTCGTAAGGGCTCAGTGGATGAGAGATTGCTTCTATGGTGGGCGTTGCTGGTGACAGATTTCGCCCTACGGAGAGAGATATCGGTGCCCCTGACACCTTTATCAATCCCTAGCAGGACTCGAGATGGTGACTTAGGCTGTGACACAGGTGCCGGTCGCCTCATCGGCGATTTCGGTACTTCAACACGCGGAGGCGGTAGTGTAGGCTCTTGGTACCCGAACATAGACTTGGAAATGGTAGAATTAGGACCATGCGACGAATTGGGTCGGGAGGAAGTTCTGTCTGGAGTGCCAGCTCGGGCCTTCTTTTGTTGCAACTTCTTCAATTTCAGCTTGGCTTCAATGGCAGCCAGCTGCAGTTGTAGTGTCTCTTCATCGTCGTCTGCCTCGTCTTGAATCTCGATGCCTTCCACTGGTACGTCGTGGCCTTTACGAACCGCTCGCAGTCTATCGACAAGGCTTGGTGTTGTTGCTGATCGCTTGATCGGTGATGAGGAATTTTTGTATGCTTCGTATTTCTTGCGTCCGCTGGGAGAGCTCAGAAGCGCGGCGTGAGGCGACACTGGTGGCCATGATGCATCATGCGACATGTCTTGAGGTTGTTTTGATTGAAGTTAAGAAATCGGGATGGGGGTTATTGCGTCTGCGCCTGCGCATCTGCCGCTGCGTATTGTTTATCAGTGGTAATATCTGTTCACATTATTACTCTGCCGTTACTCGTGCGCCTTTCGTGTCCTAAGATGCCATTGCTGTCCTTGCTGGTCGTGGGCATTGGACGAATATCGAAGTGTGGTTGTAAGGAGCCTTCCCTTCTCCGATTGGTTTATGAGCACGCGTCAGGAAAAGAGACGCGTCTAAATGGGATCAGACTGCGGCACTCATCAATCAACTCTCCATCGCCTGCCTCAATGCCCGCTACAGATACTACTGCAATATCGCAGCATCCAACATGGTTACAACGACACGCTCTGCTACGAGCAGCCCTGTGAAAAAGCAGTCAAGCAATACTTCGATCAATGATAGCAAGAAGCAGATAGAACCCCTCACACATTTTATTATCCCGAGAGACACTTCCGGTCGAGCACGATTTGTCCTGTTGAAACATCCAAGGGATTCGAGCATACGACGTTTCCTCTTCTCCCCAGAAAAAGGCCTCTATGAATTTACCAAACTCTCTACAACCTCCACAGATCCCAGAAGCCTTTTCTTCGACGGGTCCGAGCAGGAGAAAGACATAACTGGATCGGCAGTAGCAACAGAGCAACCCAATGAGACATTTGGACCCGGATATATCAGCAGGAGCGCGGAAATATTTGTAGCCACTGCATTCGATGTCGCCTTTCTACTCATCCCACTTGTGCTACCGGTCAAGGCACAGTCTGGGAGGATGCTCTTCCAGCCCTTGGACGACATCTTTGAGCAACACGTAGAGAACGACAAGCATCTACGTTATATTCTCGAAAACGGACGGGACGTGGTCGAAACAGCGATGTCAAGATTCTGTGATACAATGGAGGCTGGAGACGAGCAGATGTATCGGCCAAATGAAGATCAAACATTACGAATGCTACTGCAAAAGGTTGACAGTGCAATTGAAAAAGGGTTACCCCCAAGTATGGAAGAGAAGTTTGTGGCAAGAGCATTGGAAGCACCCGTGCTAAGTGTCAAACGGGAAGATACCATCATTTCTACTACGAGATCGGAGTCACTTGCACAAGAAGAGAACGATGCTGCTTCCGACAGTTTTGACTCGCAGTCCACCTCAGCCAGCTCCGCCCCATCAGCAGTCTTCTCGGAAGTGTCCGTTGCCAGCTCGGTCAGCACCGTGGTTTCAATATCAGAAACAGTATCTAAAGAGCTGATCGATCTACGAAAGCAAAGCATGATTCTTGATTTCATTCTGGCATCATACCTGCCGACATCGATAGCAGACCGCCTAAAAGCCCGATTGAGTGCCAAGGACTCGCCGATCAACTTAGCACCGCTCGAAGAGCACATGAAGTCACTTGCTGCCCTGAGGGCGGAGGCGATGGCATCCAGGTCAATTGGAGACTTTTCTCGGAAACGAGGACTTGACGACGAGGAAACAGCAGATTTCCGAGCCGAGAAGAAGCGCAAACAAGAGGAGGAGGATCGAAAGAAGAAGTTGAGTGAGTCAAGAGGTGTCCGAGACCTGAAAAAAGTCAACGTGTCGGGCATGAAGAAGATGAGCGATTTCTTTGGCAAGAAACCTGTTGCAAAGGCCAAAGGGTGAACATTTGTGGATTGTGGCATCTTTCCACTTATCGAGGGACGGTGTGCTTTACCGAGAGGACTTTCACTCAGTTTGCGAGAAGCCCATGAGCGGACGATGAACCCGTGCATCCAACGCCAGCCATGGTGGTATTTCACTCCATTACATCTTCGACATCGCGGCTTCCGCCTCACCCTGTAGCACCGATACAGGAAGTGCACATGCTTGTCTGCACCCCAGCAAGGCAGGTTCCTCAGGCCTCAGGATACCGGCCTGTGGTAACGGAAGCAACTCCATTTGCACGATGGTTCAGCCTTCCTCGAGCCCGGGAGTTATTCGTCGGGTCCGAGGACTCTCCGGTAACGGTTTACCCTCGTCCGGATAATCCACCTGTCCAACTGAAAGGGCAAGGAAATCTGGGCCGCGTCAGTAGATCACATCAGCGCAATACGGCTAAAGGCAGAGCTGAAGGAAAACGTCTCATCGCTATTGCAAGAGAACTGTTGAGTCATAGTCATGAAGAAGGACGGTTTTTTTGGAGCATCGCATTGACCACTTCTCTCATCATCTCCGGAGATTGCGGCTCTCGGCTTCGGCTTCGGACGACAGTCTTGCAATGATTGGTCAGAGCGGCGATAACAATAGGGTGGTATGCAAATGCTCCCAGTCTGACTTTCATATCCAACTCGATATTTAATGTATCGCCTTGTTCCGGGCCCGTGGTTTTCTGCTCAAATGCATACATATCGTGTGTCCGCTAGTCCAAGCACGATTTCGGCCGAGAACACTTCTCAAACATGCCACGACCGTTGGGTTGGCAAAGTGATCGTCCAGGGACAGGGATCCAAAGACGTAGAAGGCCAGCACACAGTTGCGTTGAGTGTCGAAGGAGGAAAGTAAAGGTAAGGCGATACATCAAGCTGGTTTGCAGAAAAAGTGGCATTGTCTGATGGAGAGTACATCGATCGATGAAACTCCGAACCCCAGCAGGTTGACAGCCGAGCATGGCACTAGTCTTGATTGAACAGTGGCCTCCTCGGTATCATGTATGAATGGTATGACCATGCACGGAGATCAGAAGCCGTCGATCAAGTTCATCCCATTGACGTGACGAGCCACGCGACCAGACAATACCACTTTTCTCTGGATGCCGACTTCATATTCCATGTTTTCACAGTGCTTCACGACTAACAGCTATAGTGCGACAGGCTTCAGCCTTGCAATCACTGTACCTCTTCGAGGAGACCTAAAGCATGCACCTATACCACCCCGTTCACGCAAGAGTCTGGGACGCGACAGCAGCACGTTCCCTCCAGTCAGCCCTTACAGCCATCCTACCCAAGCCCGGAATCAGCCACTGGTACTGGGATTAAGCCAGTGCACCTCGCACAGATACTGGATGGAGCCAGTCGCAGTCCGCACGAGTCGGTGCAGACTAGCACTGCTCAGACAGACAATCAGGCAGGAAGCCAGGCCACGTCAGCTCGGTCCAACGACAACAGCTCCGACTTCTTGCTGGAGCGCATCGAAAAGCTGGAACATTTGTTCTCTGCCTCCAACAAGGGGCCCGTCGACTCTTACCTGGACCCTCCAACGCTCCATGAGCTTCAAGACGGCCGGGCATTTCTAAACAAAAGCAGAATATTTGGTCGGAGTCATTGGACATCGACTGTGCACGCGGTAGGAACGATCCGTTTCTTCGAAGGCACCTCAGAGTACTAATTGATGCAGTTCAAATGGGAGAAAATGCGGTTCTGCGTATCGCAAGATGCAGTCGACATAACCGGCAGCGGAGAACTCAAATCCATGAAACTGGAGGTACGGTCCCTACTACAGAAGTGCAAGGTCCTTGCCAAAACGACCAAAGTCTGCCGGCCTAGTCGCTGCCTCTCATGTCCTGAACTCATGAATTTTTCGCGTCCATCCAGAGACATGGCAGATGCGTTTACAAGGCTATACCTTTCCAAGTTCGAGTCGTCATTTCGCATAGTGCATGTGCCATCATTCTGGTCCGAGTACGAGCAATATTGGATCACTCCGACTACTGTGTCTGCCGGACACCAACTCAAGGTGCAACTGGTCATGGCCATTGGATCTAGCCTCTATCGCTCTGAGGGCGCAAAAGGATCCATCCGTGCAATGGCCTCCAATAGCGTGTATGCTGCCCAAAATTGGCTGGCGGGACCTCTGGAAAAAGACCGCCTCACCATGGATGGGCTACAGGTACATTGCCTGCTTATTCTTGCTCGACAGATCTGGTGCGTTGGTGGTGACCTGATCTGGGTTTCCATGGGTACCCTAATCCGCACCGCAATGGTGATGGGACTCCACCGCGACCCTAAACACTTTCCAGAGATGTCTGTGTTGCAAGCTGAGACTAGAAGAAGATTGTGGGCGACGATTCTGGAGATGACTGTACAGTCCTCGGTCGACTGGGGAATGCCGCCAATGCTCTCATTTGAAGACTTCGACACCGAGCCACCGTCCAACAATAATGATGACGAGATGGATGATACCACCAAGACCCTACCACAACACCCAAAAGACATAGCGACCGACACATCTGCACAGTTAATTCTACTTACTTCTATGCGCTGTCGATTTCGAGCAGCTCGATGCTGGAACGGTCTCGGTTTGGATATGCTATATGATGAAGTACTAACCATCAGCACCGAGATTGGACGAGCCTGCCGCGAATGCAGCGTTCTCGCAGAGAAACGTCAACCTTCAGATTCAGCCATATTTCACCAGAACATGACCGACTTCCTACTACGTCGCTTCCTGCTTCCCCTACATCGACCTTTCGCCAATCGTGCAGCCACGAATCCTCTCTTCTTCTTTTCCAGGAAAGTCAGCCTGGATACCGCCATGGCCATTCTTTCCCCAGAGCCAGACGAAGATTTCTCTCGTCTGTCGCGACTCAGTGGTGGCTTCGTCAAAGGATACATAATTTACGCTTGTTTCGCGCTCGCGATTGAGATTGCAACAGAGTTTGAAGATGAGGGGCTGGAAACGGGCATGCAGAGGCGGAATGTCCGTCAATCATTGATACGTGCTCTGAAGGGTGCTATTTCGTTGGCATCAGACCGCATACGTTTGGGAGAGACCAACGTGAAATTGCACTTGATGCTCAGCGCGGTACTGGGGCAAGTCACGTCTTTGGAAAGTGGCATTCCCATGGAGCTGAGCGTCACACAAGCTGCAAAAAAGGCTCTGGAGGAGTCTTATGGAATTTTGCAGGCGAACCTCTCTTCCAACTCTGACCAATCAGTCAACAACGAGACCGACATGACCTTCTTTGATATGGGACAGGAGAATATGGACATTGATTATCGTTTTGATGATCTCTTGATGGATGCCGATGGGATGAGTGGGATATTTGAACCCTTCCAGCTCGGCATCGACATGGGCAGCAGAGGTCATTTCAATGCCTGAGTTATCAGGTATCCGTAAAATGTAACATCAATGTAGACTCTTCTCAGTTCCGGATGATGCCGCTGTTGCACGGATGAAGACGTACTCGGCGTATTCGTATTTTGGGGTGTATGCAGATGGCAAGGATGGTATTTGTAGAAGATCCATATAAAGAGGAGACCAAAGTCGGAATCGGTAGAAAAACCCTCCGAGGACACACTAATTGAATTTGGATCATCATCATAGATTGATGCTTGTCTCCCTTGTTGACTGCACGAACCGCTTTTTCCCTCCAACCATCACACAGTAAATCTTCCGTGATGCCGCATCTGCCAGATCTGAGAGGCTTTTGATTGTCAAGCAATGCATGTGATTTCCGGAGCTTCTGTCGGCCGTGTTGTGCTATCCAAGTGACATAATGTGTTGGGTCTATCTCAAAGACTGTCTCTTTCCCAGCAGTTTTTCCTATCCTTCTTACCAGGTGAGAGGTGATCTCTGATTGCAACAACTACAGGTATCAATATGCTCGTATTGTTCACGATTCACCCCACTATGGCCGACGTCCCCTCGACGACTGTGTAACCTCCAATTCAGTGGCCATTTAAGACTTCTAGTGCCGCGATCACGTCCGTGATTCCCTCTCGGAGCACCGTTCATCATTCAAGATGGCAGAACATACCGGATCAGCAAACACCAACGGACTGGGAGGTTCAGGAGCGTCATCCGCTGAAGCAAGCGACAAGCTGTTCACCCATCATGGAACTAACGCCCATTCCACCAGTGCCAGCACTGGAGATCAAGCTGTGGCTCCATTCTACGACATAGTAACAGCATCAACACCACATGGCGAAGTTCCTCCCACTACTGGCTTGGATACCACTCAATCGCCTAGAACAAACGAGAGGTCTTCTATGTCCTCCGGTACCGACATCTCCGAAGACTCGCCTGTCGCACGAAATGGCTCCAGATTCGAGCCCCTCAAAACAGTCCCTACGGCTAGAGATGAACGGCCAGAGTACGTCACGAGGAAAAGTATCCAGACCGACGACGATCTATTCAGGGTCTTGTCCAAGCGACGGACTAGCGCTTCAGGAAAATCCCATGCCGAACTTCAGGAGGAAGACGACGAGATCGAGCGTCTCATGTCCCGCATGTTCGGTAGGGCTCGCCAGGAGCACAGTGAAGAGGAGAAGACACGCCACAGTGGTGTTGTCTTCAGAAATCTTACTGTGAAAGGTGTTGGTTTAGGAGCGAGCCTTCATGCTACCGTCGGTGACCTCTTTATGGGATTACCTCGCACGATAAAGACACTTCTGAGGAGAGGTCCGAAGGCCGCTTCCGGAAAACCTCCCGTCCGCGACCTTCTGAGCAGTTTTGATGGTTGCGTTCGTCCTGCCGAAATGCTACTAGTTCTAGGAAGGCCAGGCTCGGGTTGCTCAACCTTCCTCAAAGCTTTCTGTAATCAGCGAGAAGGGTTCGAAGCGGTTGAAGGAGATGTCAGCTATGGTGGAACCGATGCCAAAACAATGAAAAAGGACTTCCGAGGTGAGGTCATCTACAACCCCGAAGATGATCTGCATTACGCCACTCTCACGGTCAAACGCACCTTGTCGTTCGCGCTAAAGACTAGAACGCCCGGCAAAGAGTCTAGAATGGAAGGCGAATCACGAGCAGACTACATGAAAGAGTTCCTGCGTGTTGTCACCAAATTGTTCTGGATTGAGCACACACTGAACACCAAAGTCGGTGATGAATTTGTGCGAGGTGTTTCTGGTGGTGAAAAGAAACGAGTCAGCATTGCAGAAGGCAAGTTCCCTTTTGCCAATGATCAATCCAATACTGACTGTAGCAGCTATGATCACGAGGGCGTCAGTCCAAGGGTGGGACAATTCAAGCCGAGGTCTCGACGCCAGTACAGCCTTGGAGTACGTCCAGTCCATTCGAACGTTGACCAACATGGCGCATACCTCGACGGCGGTCTCCCTGTACCAAGCCGGCGAGTCTTTGTACGAACTGGTGGACAAGGTCCTCCTAATCGACGAAGGGAAATGTCTTTACTTTGGTCCATCAGACACCGCCAAACAATACTTCCTCGATTTAGGATTCGACTGCCCGGCGCGATGGACGACGGCTGATTTCCTCACTTCTGTCACCGATGTACATGCCCGATCAATTCGGGAGGGCTGGGAAGACCGCATTCCGCGCAATGCAGCCGAATTCTCGGCTTTGTACCGCAAAAGTGATGTATACCAGCGCAATCTGGAAGACATCACAGATTTCGAATCGCAACTTGAGCAACAGCGTCAGACCCGGGCCGACAACACATCGAAGAAGAACAAGAAGAAGAATTACACGATTCCGTTCCACAAGCAGGTCATTGCTTGTACAGAGCGTCAATTCCTGGTGATGATTGGAGATCGGGCTTCCTTGTTTGGCAAATGGGGTGGTATCGTTTTCCAGGTAAGCTGTTCACGCAGTTTTGCAACAGAGATACCTCTAACGCGAGCTACAGGGTCTTATCGTCGGAAGCTTGTTCTGGCAAATGCCCAAAACGTCAGCCGGTGCTTTCCCACGTGGTGGTGCCATTTTCTTCGTCCTGCTTTTCAACGCGTTGCTGGCTTTGGCCGAGATGACTGCTGCTTTCTCCTCGAAACCTATCCTTCTCAAGCACAAGTCATTCTCGTTCTATCGTCCTGCAGCATACGCCATCGCTCAGACCGTCGTCGATGTACCTCTCGTGGCCATCCAGGTATTCCTGTTCAATGTTATTATCTATTGGATGGGCGGAGTAAGTTGTTCATTATTGATTTCCTCGCAACTCTGCTAACCCCGATATAGCTCGCTGCATCAGCGTCTCAATTCTTCATTTCATGTCTGATCATCTGGATAACGACCATGACTACCTATGCATTCTTCAGATCGATATCAGCCCTCTGCAAGACTCTCGACGATGCTACGAGATTCACCGGCGTTTCGATTCAGATCCTTGTCGTCTACACAGGCTATCTGATTCCTCCGAGTCAGATGCATCCGTGGTTTAGCTGGCTGCGATGGATCAACTGGATCCAGTACGGTTTCGAATGTCTTATGGCAAACGAATTCACTGGACTGAGCATGGCTTGTGAACCACCTTATCTGGTTCCCACCGGCGTGCCAAATGTCCAGTCTCAATACCAGTCCTGCGCATTGGCCGGCAGTGTCGCTGGCCAGACCAATGTGAGTGGTGCACGATATATCTTGGAGTCGTTCACGTACACTCGCGCCCATCTATGGCGGAACTTCGGCTTCATCTGGGCATTCTTCTTCTTCTTCCTTGCCGTCACCGCCTTAGGTATGGAGATCATGAAGCCGAATGCCGGAGGAGGCGCTATTACCGTCTTCAAACGTGGCCAGGTCCCGAAGAAGGTTGAGGAATCAATTGAAACGGGCGGCCGAGAGAAGAACACCAATGCAGATGAAGAGTCGGCGGCTGCTGGGACCAACGAGAAACTGACCAACACCAGCAACGACAGCAGTGGATCATCCAGCACGAAACAAGAAGACACAACCATGCAGCATGTCGCAAAGAACGAAACGATCTACACCTTCAGAGACGTGAACTATGTCATTCCCTATGAAAAGGGCGAACGGAAACTTCTATCAAATGTCCAGGGCTACGTCCGTCCGGGCAAGCTCACCGCACTAATGGGCGCCAGTGGAGCCGGCAAGACCACCCTCCTCAACACGCTGGCTCAACGCATGAACTTCGGTACCGTCACCGGCGAGTTTCTGGTCGATGGCAGGCCTCTCCCCAAATCGTTCCAACGCGCCACCGGTTTCGCCGAGCAAATGGATGTGCACGAGCCAACGTCCACTGTTCGAGAAGCACTTCGCTTTTCGGCCCTCCTCCGTCAGCCGCGCGAAGTGCCCACCGAAGAGAAGTACGCGTACTGCGAGACCATCATCGACCTCCTAGAAATGCGCGACATCGCCGGCGCCACCATCGGCATGATCGGCGAAGGTCTCAACCAAGAACAACGCAAACGTCTGACAATTGGGGTCGAACTCGCCAGTAAGCCCGAACTACTCATGTTTCTCGACGAGCCAACCTCAGGTCTTGACTCGGGCGCAGCCTTCAACATCGTCCGGTTCCTCCGCAAACTCGCCGACGCAGGGCAAGCCATTCTGTGTACCATCCATCAGCCGTCCGCCGTCCTGTTCGAACACTTCGACGAACTCCTACTGCTCAAATCTGGTGGGCGGGTGGTCTACCATGGACCATTAGGTCAAGACTCGCAAGACCTGATAGGCTACTTCGAGGGCAATGGCGGCAACAAATGTCCCAAGGACGCCAATCCGGCAGAGTACATGCTCGAGGTCATCGGCGCAGGCGACCCCAATTACAAGGGTAAAGACTGGGGCGACGTCTGGGAGAACAGCCCGAACCACAAACAACGCGCGGACGAGATCGCAGATATGATTTCCCGCAGAAAATCCACAGAACAATCCAAGAACATACGGGATGATCGCGAGTACGCCATGCCCCTGACGACACAGACTGCAGCCGTTGTGCGCAGGGCGTTTATCTCCTACTGGCGCACGCCAAATTATATCGTCGGCAAATTCATGCTGCATGCCATGACTGGACTGTTCACCACCTTCACATTCTACCATCTCGGCTATGCGACCATCGATTTCCAGTCGAGGTTGTTCGCAGTGTTCATGACGCTCACGATTTCTCCACCACTGATTCAGCAGCTACAGCCTGTCTTTTTGAACTCCAGAAATATCTTCCAGAGCCGCGAGAATAAAGCCAAGATCTACAGCTGGGCCGCTTGGACCACGGGCGCGATCGTCGTCGAGATCCCGTACTCGTTGATCGCGGGCACAGTGTACTACTGCTGCTGGTGGTTCGGGTTCCAGGGCTACCGCCACACCACCACCAGTTTCACCTCGGGATTCTTGTTCCTGTGTATATGTCTGTTCGAGCTATACTACGTCAGTTTCGGGCAGGCGATCGCCTCATTCTCACCGAATGAGTTGCTGGCCAGTCTATTGGTGCCGGTGTTTTTCCTGTTCGTCGTGAGTTTCTGCGGCGTGGTGGTTCCACCGGCGCAGCTGCCTTATTTCTGGCGGAGTTGGATGTATTGGCTTACACCGTTCCACTACCTTCTCGAAGCGATGCTCGGGGTCATCATCCACGACCAACCCGTACAATGCAAGGGTAGCGAATTCGCGCGCTTCTCCGCCCCACCGGGCGAGACGTGCGCGTCCTACGTTGACCCTTACATCAAATTGGCAGGAGGGTACGTGCAAGTCGCGTCGGACGGGCTCTGCGAGTTCTGCCAGTACGCGACGGGCGATCAATTCGGAGAGGGGTTTAGTATCTATTACTCGCACAAGTGGCGTGATTTCGGCATCTTTTTGGGCTTTATCGCCTTCAATTACGCTGTTGTCTACTTTGCGACGTATTTGAGGTTCAAGGCTAAGAATCCGGTGAGCAGTCTGTTACAGAAGCGGAAATCGAAGGGCTAGACTTGCTATGGACTGGGTAGGACAGGCCAGATACCAGGTATCGTTACAGAAGTCAAGTCACGGGGACTTATTCTTATGATGCGAGGGGGAAAATGTTCAATCGTCGAAGGCTATTCATAGAATCCTCCATGCATCACGCACTTCACTGGCCGTCGCTACATGTGCGGTGGTGGGCAATACATGATTGACCAACATCCCATGCAGTCCTGGGACTGGGTCGAAGCAAGCGTCTTCCACCACCGTGACGATGAAGCCTTGATCGGACGCTGCCCGAGTAGTACTCAGTACAGCTCCCGATGTAGAAAGTCCGCATATGAGGAGCGACTTGATCTGCTTCTCGTACAATTCTGCTTTGAGCCCTGTGGATTCCAATGCCGAGACGATCCCTGGCGTTCGGAATGCAGTCCTTTCCAGCAGGTTTGTTCCTTTGACTGCCAGAACATCTGCCTCGTCGCCTAGAGTGGGCATAGCCGCGAGTTTCTCCTCGTACAGTCTCCAACGAGTGGACATTTTGCTGCGCATAGGAGGCTTGACGCCGGGTCGCGTGTCGATGAGACAGTGATATATGGGCACGGATTTGGAGATTGCCCAATCGCGCATTTGGCTGGCGACATTTAGAACGCTGGGTGCTGCATCACCGAGACGGGGGAGGATCAGGTTTTGGTAGTCTATCAGTAGGAGTGCGGTTTCTGCTGGTGAGATGGATAGAGGGGAGCTAGCATCGCTTGGGGAGAAGGTGGCCTTGCCGGAGGATGTCATTGTTACTGAGTGGATGGCAGAGCGTCCTTGTGGATGTGTCTCCTTGCTACATGGTCCGAAAGACACTCTGTATTAAAAATAATGTTCTCAAGCTGCTCTGGGGGAAGGTAGGTATGCCCAATATCGATATATTGATGCCGGAGATAAGCTTGGTCAAAAGCCATAAGGCCGGTATCGGATTGCATAGCGGGGCTTTGGATGCATATGCACGAACCAAGTATCTTGTACTGAGTTTATGCATTGCTTTTCTTCGGTCTGGAGATAACAGATAGGATCTGAGCAACTACGTCCAGTAGAACCGCTCTGAAAATTGCTTAGGACGTGGTAGAGGGCGGTGCTAAAATGTGTGTAGGTCGGGAACGGCCGCGCACTGACGAAGTCAAACAGGTTGGAGGAGCTCGTCCCGGACAACCCTGAGACGCCCACTGCTGCCAGATAATGGTCGTGGTTGTCTGGGAAGGAGGCCTTTCGTTCTAGACGGCGGATGGAAGAGTCTTATATCCATATAGGAACGTTGGCTCCCTGGTCGTCCGGTGATTCCAGGGCGGTTAAGGTGCTACCCTACTCTGGCTTCAGTGCAGACTCCAGTGCTCGTTCGAAGGCAGCATCCAGATCATCCTCCCATATCCACTTCATTCTGCCTATCACTTTGTCTTTGAAGACAGGCAGAGATTCTTCGAAAGAAAGTCCTTTGTATTCAGGGGAATGAAACTCGTAAAGATTACCAGCTTCCCTGGAGGTGACTTGGACCCGTTGAGCTCGTGGGAGCCGGACGTCCTGATAAACAGTCATAAGGCGTTTGAGGAGATCGGGTGGAGGCTCAGCGACATTGCCACCACTGCTGCCGTATGATTTGATGGTTTTGAGGTATTGTTGTAGACTTCGGGCCAGAATATAACCATCTTCGATAGTCTGACCAGCTCCTGCACCTCTTTAAAGCGACAATGATTAGTGGTGTGACATACAATAAATCCTTGGAGGAGCTTACTGATGTGGCACCAATGCGTGAGCTGCATCTCCCAATAGCACCACATGGCCGTCAGCAAACACCCATTGATCAAGTGGATTCCTGTCGTTAATCTTCCATTTGTCTATCACGTCGGGTGTCAGTTCAATCACTCGTCTGGCATCTTCACAAAAGTCGGCCATATCTCTCAGGAATTCCTCGCGTCGGCCTTTTGAGGTCCAGCTTTCCCCCAAGGTACCTAGTTGCTCTTCAGGTACGGTGACAAAACCGACAAAGGTCAATAACCTATCTCGACTGATCGGATACACGAGGAGGTGGGCGCCTGGACGACACCACGCAACCGAAACTGGTAGCTTCCACCAAGGCTTGATCTTGTCCATGTCTATTACGCCTCGGTAGGATATCAATCCACTGTACAACGCTTTGTCGCTGACGTACGTTTCCCTGACTGCTGAGTGAATGCCGTCGGCGCCAATGACAAGATCAGCCATGGCATTGGAGCCATCACGAAAATCGATTCGAATGCCGTTGTCGGTTTCCTATGATGTGTGTGAGCAGGACCAATGATAAGTTGCCTCCAGAGGTCGTCTCACCGTGACGCCAGCACATTTTTTGTTCACATGGAGATTAGCAGCATTTCGTTCCTGGACGATCTTCACTAGAACGTCCAAGAGCTCGGACCTTAGCACGGAGGCTCTTCTGATCTCTCCACGAGCAGCATTGGGGACTCCAACTATTTCACTGCCGTCATCGTAGCGGCGGAAGCTGATCCAGATGTCGTGATGTTCGTCTCCCCTGTCAGGACCGGATCCTCCTATATCGTTAAGCCGTTCACCAAGCCCGAGGCGATAAAATAGCTTCGCTGCATTCGGGCCCAGTCCGAGACCGGCGCCAATCTCACTGTACTGGCGTGCTTGCTCGTAGACGTCGACCTGCAAGTCGTAGTCCGAACAGAAATGATTGATCGCGATGGCGGCGAAAAGTCCTCCTATGCCTCCACCCACAATGGCAATACGGAATGGTTGAGACGAGGAACCCATCGCAACAATTCTTTAGGAATGACGAAAGACCGATCCTGATTCGCGAATTGTGCTGAATCACTGTCAAGGTTATGGCGTTCAAGAACAACGAGTCTCGGGTTCAAGCTCAGCAGATGAACTTGAGGTATCAGACGCACGAGCGAGGTAAGGACCGAGGCTACCAAGGTCGCTCGACGAATATGTCTGCATCATTGAACTTACCGTCAAGCCTCTGTTAGAGGTCGGCAGTTGGCCGACTGTACGCATCCGAGCGGAGGCAGCCCCAGACAAGGTAGAAACAGCCGCAACACTTTTGCCATCTTCCCCGCAAGGATCGCCATTTCTTCAGGCGTTGCGCGTATCTCCAACATCACGTACGAGTATGGTTCACTAAGCCGTGCCTGCCTTCAAAGTACAGTAGAGTGCAGGAGACTCGGAACATCTTGCAGCATCACTTCTCTTGCCGTGGCTTCGACCTACACAGCGAGCAATAAACATGATCCAGAAGAGATGTTCATTCTGCAGCTGTAAAGGGAACTCATCGCGGGCCAGTAAAAAGGCAAGGACAATAGGCTTCGGGGTTGTGCTTGGCATCAGCCGAGCCGCTTACATAACAACTTACATAACAAGGCTGTCAGTCAATGCTGTGAGTCAAAGTTTTTCCATCTATCAGACCGACAAAAGGATAACTCATCTCGAAAGCAATCCTCCGGTCTGTCGCTCACGCAAAGGAACCCATTCGACTGTGGAAACTGATTCAGTGTTGTCATTCCGGTGTCTGCTCAGAGCCTCCGGCGTTTGCTCTGGTGTCTGCTCTAGGAGCTTCAAAATCCTACATTAGACGCTCACATATCCCATACTAAGCCAGCAAAACCAAGTCACACTTTACGTACGGCACAACATGTCAACGACAGAATCCCAGAGCAAGAAGAAATGCGCGGTCCTGGGTGCAACAGGTATGTCAGCTTGGTGTTCGTTGACGTTTCAAGTCTGATGAGAACAGGATCTGTCGGGCAGAGATTCATCCTCTTGCTTGCTGATCACCCCATGCTCCATCTACAAGCGGTGGGCGCCTCGTCAAGATCCGCTGGCAAGCAGTACAAGGATGCTGCTCGGTGGAAACAACAGAGGCAAATGTCTAGCGACTTAGCCAAGCTGGTAGTCAGGGAGTGCAAAGCCAGCAACTTCTCCGATTGTGATTTGGTCTTTTCCGGTCTGGACAGCGACGTTGCTGGAGAAGTTGGTGTGTCCTTCAGTTCACCTTTGTCGACGCTCTGTACTGACGTGGCTCTAGAAATGGAATTTCTCAAAGCAGAAATCCCTGTCTTTTCCAATGCCAAAAACTATAGGAGGGATCCAATCGTACCATTAGTGGTACCCACAGTCAACATCTCTCATCTAGGACTCATTCCTCACCAGCGGAAACACTTCGGCCTCAAGAAGGGTTTCCTCGTCTGCAACTCCAACTGTGCAGTGATTGGCATTGTCATTCCGTTTGCAGCATTACAGGCCAAATTTGGGGAGGTCGAGGATGTAGAAGTCTTCACGGAGCAAGCAGTATCTGGAGCAGGATATCCTGGTGTCCCCACTATGGACATCATGGACAATGTTATCCCATATATTGCCGGAGAGGAGGACAAGTTGGAAACAGAAGCTCAGAAGATTCTGGGCTCGATCAACTCAGAAGCAACAGCATTTGAAGAGCAATCAGGTCTTACAGTTGGCGCCACCTGCACGCGAGTGGGAGTTACCGATGGTCATATGGCTTTCGTCTCTCTCCGATTCAAACAAAGGCCTCCACCAAGCGCCGAACAGGTCAAGCAAGCTATGAGGGACTACGTGGCCGAAGCACAGAAGCTGGGTTGTCCATCAGCTCCCGAGAAAGCCATTGTTGTTTTCGATGAACCAGATCGACCACAGCCACGACTTGACCGGGACATTTCAGGTGGCTACGCCGTCAGTGTGGGAAGGGTCCGGGAGGCTGCCAAGGGGTCACACTTCGACATCAGGTTTGCTGCTCTGAGCCACAATACCGTGATTGGAGCAGCGGGATCTAGTATACTCAACGCAGAGGCGGCCATCATACAAGGTCTGATATAAGATGTATGTGGTAGTAAGATAGAAATGTAGATTAGTCTAAAGATGCAGCTGAAGATACTCCGACTCTTCAAATGACACGCCATCTGTCTTTTGAACCGTTCATCCCAAATGAGGATTAGCCCACAATCAATTCGGAAATCTTGGCGAAAGGTTGCACTTTCCTCGACTTTGCAAATTCGAACCTTCTCCAGTCGCAATTGAGATCAACTTGTTTCCCATTCTCTACAACAACACTTCAAGATGGGTCGCGGTCCGAAGAAGCATCAGAAGCGTCTCAGTGCGCCATCGCACTGGCTGTTGGACAAGCTCTCGGGCGCCTACGCCCCGAAGGCGTCCCCTGGTCCTCACGTCGGTTTTCAATATTCTCATGCTCAGGGCGCAAAGCTGACGAACTAATAGAAAACACGAGACTGCCTTCCTCTGATCATCTTCCTCCGAAACCGTCTGAAGTACTCCCTAAACAACCGCGAGACCACCGCTATCATGATGCAACGTCTCATCAAGGTTGATGGCAAGGTCCGAACGGATATCACTTATCCTGCCGGTTACATGGATGTCATCTCCATTGACAAGACTGGTGAACACTTCCGTCTGGTCTACGATACCAAGGGCCGTTTCGCCGTCCACAGAATCGAACAAGCCGAGGCAGAATACAAACTTGGCAAGGTCAAGCGTGTTCAACTTGGAAGAGGCGGTATCCCATACTTGGTTACGCATGATGCTCGCACGTAAGTCGCCTGTGTCTATCAGCCGTTGGGCCAAGATTTGGTTGGAAAAATCAGGAAGCTGATGGGTTTATAGTATCCGATATCCCGACCCGGCCATCAAGGTCAACGACACAATCAAGATCGACCTGACAACTGGAAAGATTACCGACTTTATCCGATTCGACACTGGTGTGATTGCCATGGTTACTGGTGGTCGTAACATGGGTCGTGTTGGTGTCATCACTCACCGTGAGAGACACGATGGTGGTTTCAACATTGTCCACATCAAGGACGCCATTGACAACTCCTTCGCTACCCGGGAAAGCAACGTCTTTATCATTGGTAAGGAGAAGCCATGGATCAGTCTGCCCAAGGGCAAGGGTGTCAAGGTACGTGAATCGAGTCAAGTATCCTCAAGGGTAATGCTAACCTATGTCACAGCTGTCTATTGCTGAGGAGAGAGATCGTCGCCGTGCTGTCCAAGCTGCCAACGTGCACTAAATGTATTCGTTACTGGAGGCTAGCACGATGCACATGATCATTGCCTTTTTCGAGAAGGAAATTCGGCGCCCGGGAATGCAAGAATGATGTAGATGTGAGCGACGTTCTGCGACACGTTAGGCAAGAGATCTAGCTGTTGCAAGCCCACAGTTCCCAGGAGCTCAGGGCCTCTCTTCGCCTTGCTGGCAAAGATGAGAAAAATTGAATACCCAGAATGACCAGAGATTGTGCTGCGTGCGATGTTTTTTTTTAGATCAGCTCTTCTATTGCTTCTTTCTGCCATCACGGGTAAGGGAACCAAGTTTTCCAAACGCGCCGGCAATTGTCAACCACCTGTTGATATGCAGAAATGCACTGGCTCCAATGTTTCCATAAGCCATATCGTTCCACTGTGTCGGGTCCCAAAAGGTACTGTCACCCAGACCACGATATGCAGCATATATATGACCCAGATCCGCGAGTGCAACGACGATTAAGTATCTCCGCGACATTTCTGGATGGATAGTCCAGCAGCAGATGATGGCGACAGCAGCCAACAACAACAGGACATTACCCAGCTGCAGGGTCAACGAGAGTGCTTGAGAGGTGAAGACGAGTTTCGACAGCTCAGCGTTCGGAGTCTGATCGGCATAGTACTGTGCTGGACTACGCAAAACCGTTATGTAGCCCCATATACTGCCGACCGTCAGCACAAGCCGTTTCTCGTAGGCCCAGAAGACACGAAAATTTACACACAGCGCAACAGGTTCGAGTATGCCGAAGAGGATCAATGGCCAAGTAGGGAGGGCGGAGTAGGCCATTGTGGTGGGTTGCGGCATGTTCAGGCTCTGCAATGCTGTGAAGCTGAATTGCTGACAGGAGAATATGAATGTCGCCTCAAGGTTACAGACTCTACGGACCTACCCAGAGAATGCGACAGAGGGTGCCAGTGCCATATGCGCAAAGTACTGCAATGCCTTCATTGACCGCAGGTGGCCCTAGGATGGTGCACAGCAGCTAACGTTAGGCGCAACCTTAGAGGCCGTTACCGCTGCCGCTTAAACTTCGGCCCTGGCAATTGTTTGTTGACGCTTGTTACCCGATTCGTATCATTTCTTTCACAGATTCATTGACTCTTCTCTTACTCAATTACTCTGTCGCAAGTCTTTTGGCGGTTCGCATCAGCATGTTAATCAGACAGGAATAAGTTACAGCGAAGTAATACAGCAATGGCAGACCTCATTAATTTCGACATAATAGAAGACCACAAAGAGAACATACAAGCCCTCCCTGGTGGACGTTCCGCAAAGCAGCTCGCAGCGATACTCACACCTGTACCATCGGGCAGGCCTGGCAGAGATTCAACACCGACTCTGAACGAGACAAAGACTCTCAACGACGCGATACGACAAGAATATGAGATTGAATTGCAGTCGATAGCAGAGGCGGACGACCCTTTAGACGTCTACGACCGATACGTCAGATGGACACTCAATGCCTACCCTTCTGCACAAGCAACACCACAGTCACAGCTCCTGCCTTTGCTGGAACGCGCGACCAAGGCTTTCCTCACATCCACGCATTACAAGAATGATCCCCGCTATCTCAAGCTTTGGCTGCACTATATCCGCCTGTTCTCTGACACCCCTCGAGAGACATTCGCATTCCTGGCTCGACATGGTATCGGCGAGGGGCTCGGTTTGTTCTATGAGGAGTTTGCCGCCTGGCTAGAAGGTGCAAGTCGGTGGGTGCAGGCCGAAGAAGTATACAAACTAGGGATTGAAAGAGAGGCTCGACCAGCAGAAAGACTGGTTCGGAAGTACAATCAATTCCAACAACGCTTTGAGGCAAGACCTCAGGTCGATAAGGAGCCAAATTCACCTGCTCTGCCAACAGTACGGCCAGCCCTTGCAGCAAAGATTGATCCCTTCGCATCAGCACACCGGAGTGACGAGTCCCAGGCTCCCCGGCATCAGCAAGCAGGAGGAGGCTCTGCACCAACATCGCGTTCAGGCAAGCCCAAGATGGCCATATTCTCGGACGCCGACAGCGCTGCGCCACCGCCGGGAACATCAAGTGCCGGCAAGGGCTGGGATAGCATTGGCTCAATGAAAGAGCGGAAGAAGGAGAACACAATCGAGGCTCGTCCTTGGGCCGGGGAGAAGCTGAAGGCAGGAGGCAAAGTAGGCACGGTGCCAAAAATGGAGATATTCAAAGACTCGGTATGATTGATCTCTTTGTTTGCGCCTAGCTCAGGGTCATATTCAATGCCAATACCCATTCAAGTCCATCTTCCTGGTGCTCCTTGCCTTCCTTAGGTACGTGTATGCTGACCAGTTTTGGGTGAACAGGTATCACAAGGAACACCAGCAGACAATGGCTCGTCCAGATCTCAGGGCTTGTCCCAGCCGGGGGATGTCGTCAACCCACGGACGGGTCGCGTTGAGCGTGTCTTTGTCGACCTGGACGCCATCTATCCTCCCAGCAGCGACCAAGAATTCAGCTTCGAAGAATTGCGAGCCATGTCGAGAGGATGGTCGCGAAAGGATTGGAGACCACAGCAGCAACACTCACCAGCAAAGCCACCGAGTCCGCTCAAGGGCACAAGTGGAAACACACGACCGTCATCCACAGCACAACCTAAGGCCACCAAATCCGAGCCGGAGGACATCGAGAACTTGAGTCAGTCATTCCAGCAACAGATTGACCTCAACAACACATCCAGTGGCAATCTCAGTATTCATGATGTATCAACACAATCTATGGTCGGCATGCCACAATCGCAGATGCAGCCACCGGCACAGAAGCCGAAAGAAAAGAATATCAAGATCAGAGAGGTCAAACAGGAGACCCAGACAGTCAAAACGCGCCTTGAATCGCCCACGGGCAGAAAAGTCAAGAGGAAGAATGCGACCGCTGAGCCCACCATGACTTTCCATTCCAAGGCTGCAACTAATGATATCTACGACATGTTCAATCAACCACTCCGTAAACCAGAAGTAGCACAAGATGACACGCAAAGTGGGGAAGAGACAGATTTTACCGAAGAAGTAGATGATGGATATAGCACCACGGGCGATGGTGAGAGTACGGGCACGGGGAGGGTGTCCGCACCTAGTAGTGAATTTGGTGACGATACATTGTCCTCAAATCGACACGATCTCACAGAAAACCGAACACAAAGCGAAAGTCGGCCAGACAGCCTTTCGCCCTGGTCTGACTTCACGACAAGCAAGCACGTTCCTCATCTGGCTCCTCCAACCAAGGCTTCTAGCAAAGGCTCAAGAAAAGGACAGAGGAGAACAAAGCTTGAACACAGACAAAAGCATTCGCTGACTGCTGAAGACGTGACAGAAAGCATGGATTCGTCAAGCCGGGACGCAACTCAATCGCCAGGTTTTGATGACGGCTTTGATACTCAGGCTATTGCTGCCATTGCCAACGGCAACTTTGACGACATGAATACCATGGCAATTGCCAGGATCGCTGGAGATGTCGACGTCGACGACGATGAGCATTCAGAGGGCGAGGGGCAGATCACTGATGTTGTGGGCTCAGAGGCCGCGGGCGCGGGCGCGGTCCAAAACGAAGAGGAAGAAGAACAACAAGCCGCGGGCCACAACAATCACAGACTCACTCAAGAAGAACTTGCAACACCTGTCGACGACGTCTTCAGCGAGCATGGGGAGATTCCACACAAGACATCCTTTGTCCCAATCCTGCCGGAGGATTATGAGCCCACACCAATGCGACCGTTTCGAGACCCAGCCTTGCTTGCACAGAACAAATTGCCCTTCATGACACCGATTGTGGAGAGAACCGAGAGCTCAATGGCCCCTTCAACCATCTTCCAAGACCCGGACTACTTCAATTCCAAAACACCGAGTAGATTGGCCAAAGGCAAATATGACAGCCCTTCGAAGTTGCAGCAGCAGCTGGACGAGTTGTTGATGAGCACTCCCGAGAAACAGAGAGGCACTCCATTGTCTTCGATCAAGAGAAAGCTAGAGCTGGCTGGCGCTACGGAAGAACAGATTTTGACTTCGTCGCCAAAGCAGAAGAAGGTGGCTGGATCTAGACCCGCTGAGCTCAACTCACCCGTCACCAAGTCTCCAGCGCGTGCAATCCTTCAAGAGACCACGAGACACAAAGGGCCAATCGTTGCAGACTTGCAATGCAACCCGTGCGATGATACCATTCGGCAGCAGATCTTATCGGCAGTTCACCCACCGCTTTCTTCGCATGCCGGCTACTATGACCACTCGAGCCAGGTCCTGAACAATTACCCTGTCCTGAAGTCGTACGCAGAGAAGATGGCAAAGACAAAGAGCAAGGCTAGTCCGAGAAAGAGTCAGGGTGAGAAAGGATCGAAGGCTGTGCCACCGCTCCTCAAGTTCACTGGAACTACTCGAGTCTATGCTGTGAAGCGAGAACTCGGAGCAGGCGCATTTGCACCAGTGTACCTGGTCGAGAGCTATGATCCTAGCGAGAATGCGATCGATGACGAAGAACAAGACAAAGAGAACGTCGCTCCAAAGTCCTCCACGGACATTGTAGATCGTCAGCAGCTCGAGGCCCTCAAGATTGAGTCTCCACCTGGCACGCTGGCTTGGGAATTCCACATCTTGCGACTTGTGCGTCAACGCCTCGGACATGCCTCGCGAACCATGCAGTCAGTTATCATGGCGCATGAGTGTCACCTGTACCGCGACGAAGCGTACATTGTGCTTTCGTACAGTCCACAAGGCACGTTGCTCGACCTAGTCAACCTTGCTAGAAGTGAGAATTTGAAAGCTGGAAAGCCTGCTGAAGGCCTTGACGAGATTCTTGCAATGTGGTTCGGCGTCGAGTTGCTCCGGACCATGGAAGAATTGCACCGCGTTGGCATCCTGCACGGCGACTTGAAGGGCGACAACTGTCTTGTTCGATTCGAGTCTGATGTTGAGGTCACTGGCCCGTATGACCCGGAGGGCACACACGGCTGGAGCGCGAAGGGATTGAAGGTGATAGACTTTGGACGTGGAATTGACGTGAAGATGTTCAAGCCCGCGGCTCAATTCATTGCGGATTGGCCTTCATGCCCACAGGACTGTGCGGAGATTCGCGAGTGTCGACCTTGGAAGTGGCAGATTGATTACCATGGAGCGGCGGGCGTGATTCACAGCTTATTGTTTGGCAAGTACATTGAGACCGTGCCCATGAGCAGTGCATTGGGACCAGGCCAGAAGAAGGAGTGGAAGTTGAAGGAGAGCCTGAAACGATACTGGGAGAAGGAGATCTGGGGAGATCTTTTCAGTGTGTTGCTCAATCCTGGATCTGTTGCTGATGGAGAGATGATGCCGATTCAGGGAAATCTGAGGAGAGTGAGAATGAGGATGGAGAAGTGGCTCGTGGAAGAGGCGGAGCGAGGTGGAAGGGATTTGAGAGGAAGTTTGAGAAAGATGGAACGATTGGTGAGTTCCGGCAACAAGTGAGCATGGACTTACCTTTACCAAGGCATGTGGTTGAGATTGGAAATTGGCGATTGAAGATTGGATATGGATACCTATTGGATTTGCCACTTCGGTTCAGCGATGGCGTTGGAGGTGTTTTGAGTATGCCACCATGTTGTGTGAGGATCTCGAAGCTATGGAGTGCGATAAGACGGATTCATTATTGTCGCTATCAATCAGACCAAAGAATTCGCAGTACTTTTTCTTGGCCTTCTTTCCATCGGTGGTTGTCCACGCTGACGACCAAGGATCTTACGTCAAGTATGGTCTTGGGAGACAAACCCATTCATACAAAGTTCCTCTTCTGAAATGCTTTGACCATTTTGCATTGGTCACACCGACTAATTTACTACATCGCCGAACTCACGGCTCCAGCATAACGTCTGTCCAGCCTTGGTCAAGCAAAGCAACGCATCACGCCAGCGGACTAGTCTCAACACCTTTGGGCGACCTCGGGGGTACCTGACCCGGGATTATGTCTATTGAATCGCTAGCCACCAGTGCGTAGCATGGGCAAACAGCACTAGCGTTCAAGATATGATGTCTAATCCAACTCCGCAAAAAGTCTTTGTTGAGGCTGGCCAGACCTACACAGGCTCTCTTCCCCTCCCAGTTGCGGCACCGTCTGGCAACGAGACCGCGAATCCCAGTGTCAAGGCAACCCCATTCCTTGCCGCCGTGTTGGTCGCAAAGACCTCAACAACTAATGAAAGTGCCACTGTCGTGGACTGTGATCCATCTACGGTGCAGCTCATAACCAGTACTGTATCAAATGACACCATATCTTGGACGGCACCAGATGACGGTACATACATCCTGGTGGCAGCTTATGGGCGTGGTACCGGACACCATCCTGTCAGATGAGCTTGGTGCTTATGGCGTGACATGGAGGTTTCTCTTGGGCACATACAACTTGGACGCGTCGTTGAGTGTCAGTCAAGGCGTCATTCACGGGTTCCCTTATCGAGATTCTCCTGATAGCCAGTGGCCAGGATTCGCACCTTTCACTCCCCTCGGAACTTCCAACGGGTTTGCCGACGCATGGGGACCTCGACAGCCGCACTGGTTGTTTGCCAACAATGCAAGCCTGTACATGGCGAATGCCGCAAAGCTTCTTCAAGACGGCGGGCCTTCGGTTGACATCGCCATCCTCAACCAGGATTGGGGCGTCACAGCCACATGGGCTGATACCTCTCTCAATGACGGAGGGTATTCCTACCAATTCCCCAGTCCAGGATTGCTCTCCAACAATAATGTCACAGTTGATAATGCTCGACTGGCACCCAATGGGCCTAACTACAGGGCATTGCTCGTCAACGAAACCGCAATGGATGTCAGCACAGCGGAACTATTGCTGTCGTATGCCAAGGCAGGGCTACCGATCATCTTCTTGGACCAGCTCCCAAACACCACATTTTCCTTCTATTCTCAGCAGGAGACTGCCGATGCCACTCTGGCTTCCGTACTATCGCAGATTCAAGGTTTGTCGACCACAAAGCTGCTTTCAAACACTACCAGCCTTGTCAGCATTTTGAAGGGACTGGGAGCTCCGCCTTCCGTGCAATACACGTCAGGTTACAATGTGAGTTTCATCACCCACAGGCGGACTATGGACTCGGGCTATCTATATTGGATCTACAACAACGGAGATGGCGAATCCACCCAAAGCGTCAGCCTGGAAGGCACAGGATCACCGTATGCTATCAACCTATGGACTGGAGACGTGGAGCCAATTGCCTCATACCCCAGTGTTGAAAGCTATGTCACGCTCAATGTCACTCTAGCGGCTACCGCGGCTGCTGCCATCTAGTGAGTTGCACCTTCGCGAGAACTTATCCCACTGTGTACTCACTGCCTCATAGTGTCGGAACCACCAAGACATTCAATGCACCAACCCTGCAACAGTATCTCGTCTCGACAGATTGTGGCAACTATGTCGACGGCACTACCATTCACTTGATCTCCAACGTCAGTTGTTCGGCAACTACATCTGCTGGTAAGACTGTAAGTGTTTCTCCTCAAGTTGAGGAGCCTGTAACTCTCACGGATTGGACTTTGGTAGTGCAAGACTGGGGTCCAGCTGCTATCAACGAGACCGGCTTGAACTCATCACTTACTGTCAAGACGACACTCCCGGCTGTATCTCTCACATCGCTGGCCGCCTGGCCGAATATCACGGGCCTTCAATATGCCAGTGGACTTGGCTATTACAACACGACGGCTTCTTTGAACCTGTCCGGCAGTGACGTTCGTGTTCTCTTCGGCATTGGCTCCGTGGACGGTGAATGGAGTCTCACCATAAATGGGAAGTCTGTTCCTGGCATCGATCAATTTAGCAGTGTCCCACTTGATGTGACGGACTATGTGGTAGACGGTGACAACAGTAAGTGATGTCCTGTTGTCCTCTAGAATTTGATTGCTATGGGTGTGTATTGTGGGAGACTAATTGTACCCATCTCCAGATATCGAGATCCTGGTTGCGACCACGCTCTGGAACAAACTCATTGAGGTCTGGCCGGCGATTTATGGCACCTTTGAAGAACAGCTTATTGGCCTGCTTGGACCGGTCACGCTCACGTACGTCCAGGACGTGACTGTCTAATCAAGCCACCTCTGGCTCAGATAATCGTGGTGATACTGATGGAGCGGCTTATGTTCTGTCCATACCCTCAGCGGGTTGACTAAGTGGCCTGAACTGAGATATAGGGATCGGCTGAAGTCAACAGGCAAGGGTCGTTCTCGATGCAAAACGGTGGAGATCGTGGTCCGATGGCGGCCGCGTAGCTCCAATTCAATTGGTGGTCCGACTACGTAGTGCCTGCCTTTTCATAAAAGTATTCTGTCTAGATGACATTCGATCTTTGACCTACATTGATAAGCAGCGCCTCGTGCCAGTAAGGGGGCCTTGCAAAACTCGCTTACGGTTCTCCTGGATCGAATCAAACCAGCCTACAATGTGATGCAGCGAGAGGGGCACAGGTCAGTGATGACTTTTGGGGGCCATCGAAAGCTTCATTAGGTAAGTCGCTGGGACAGACTGGAGTAAGAGATGCACTCCACGTCCACCCCCTTCAGGTTTATATACTTGCTTGCTCTTCAATTCCTAGCCGTGCAATGCGGCCACGCCAGATCTTCGCATTTCGTGGACGCTTTCATTACCTGCTGTGGCATCAAGGAGCTGAGGACGAAATATGAAAGGCACCATGGGCAAAAGCGCCTTGTCGCGTCTTTGGGTGAGGGATCACCCCTCGCTTATGATGGCTTCAGCCTGTTGTCTCTCGCAGAATTGACACTTTCTCTCTGCCCTATCCCAGATATGGCCTTTGCAGCTGTTCGCCAGCCTTCAAATTGGGGGCCGCCGGCCACCTTTGGTGGCGTACCGAGTTGGGCTCCTTCTCTATTCGCGACTAATTCGTCCGCTCAAGTTTGCCCACGCTACGAGTGTGACATTTCGACTGATCTGCGCTCAGCCTGACCGGCATTGTCGGCCAGCCACTGGAGCTGAGCCTCTAGGACGACGCAAGATGCAAGCCCCTCTTGGACTCGCACATGAAGGACAGAAAGACGGCGATTGCAATCTGATCATTTCCGTGCTGGTTTCTTCCTCTTAATGCAGACATATCCTCTCGCAAAGCTTCTTCCTTCCTCTCGGAAACCAGACTACTACGCCCCAACTTCGCACCTTCTCTCTAAGGACTCTGCGAGCCTCGTGCCGGACTGTCCAATATCTATTTCAATCGGACTATACAGTGTCAGGCTCAGCCTTGGAAAATGAAGCCCAACACGTATGAGACGGTTGCTGCGATGGACGATCCAATGCGCCGAGCAGGCACTGCTGGAAAGGAGTTATATCGTGTACCCCGAACGGTCATACTTCTCATCCTGGCTATCGCTGCATATGGCCTGGTATCTGTGGGATTCACCATCTATATACTCAGATGTCCAAGCGAAGGTGCAGCCTTCCGCGTGCTTCTTACCGGTGGCCAACCCCAGCTGCAGACTGCACTTATGTTTGATTCACGAGCGACAAATCCCAACGAGCTCCGAGTGCCACTACTCACAGACTACAACAGTATGTACGGCCTGGTAGCAGATTCGATGAACACTGTGGCCTCCGCTGGGTATTACGGTACGGCCACAGTCCCAACAAGAGGTAGTCGACCATACCCAGTGTATCTCCTCCGCACCTACATTCTCGCGGTCGTCGTCGTTATTTTGGTCCTGACGCCGTGCCTCGCTGCCTTGCTGATCTGTCTCACCCACTTCATACTCCGTGCAACGCTCCGCCGGACGACTTTCTTGACTATCGCCAACGCTGTCCGCGGACCTTGGTGGGATGCGACTCTATGGGGTACTTGTCTCATGTCTCCAAGTGAGCTGAGAAACGCGGTCAGGGGAACCAAAGTCACGTTTGGCAACACCGTGAATGTTGATTCGCAGGACGAAACCGAAACTCCAAACAAGCATTTTGGCCTGGCGCAGCACGTTGTGTCTGTGAAGCATGACCAGAAATACTTTGGCACCAAAGTGAAATCATTATGAGAATGCGCGACCAGAAAGAGGCGATCCGATGGCTGTGACTGCGATTGACTTCGAAGCACATTAGACGAGGTTGGTAGGGATATGGCAATGACGACTGTATCATTCCCAGGAGAGGCTTTGTTCGATAAGTGAATAAATCTTCCTGTCACAATCCTTGATCGTCATTGTGATGCTTCTTCCTGAGCAATAACTAGTAGTAATCATAGAGGTGTAGTCATTAGAAGATACAAGATGATCATCTATCTATCTTATCGTGGCCGTCAAGAGTGGAGTGTTGGGGAGAATGGCGATGGCGCAAGGTGACAGGCCGATCTAACGCATCAAGACTCGGCACAGTCGGTAAACCTCGTTGATGGCAAATGCTTGATTGATTGACTTTCAGCCGCCCACGAGATCACCCTCGTGAGTGGCACTGGTAGTGGCGCCCGCGGTGGACTGCCCTGCCCGATCGTACTTGCGTGAATCCCACCGGAGAAATAGCGAGAAGCGAGAAAGCGATGAGTCGTGTGTCAGTGTCATGATTTATTGCATCAGACGGACACACGTTTTCGGCAATCGATCGCATTCAATATATCACTTCCCCCATCCCTTCCTTTCACATTCCTTGCAGGATTCGTTAGGCATATCCTCCACGGCTTGTCAAACTTGATCCAAGTCGTTGAGAACTCCTCCGTTCCCTATGCGTCGCGAATCCGGAAAGTGCTGACACTGACTTGCACTCCGCTGATCCGATCAGACACACGAGGCCTTGAACGTGACTCTGTCATACTCTTCTGCCTCTGACTTCCGTCCGCCGCTCGCCTTCGAAGCAACAAACAGTTTAGGGTGAATTGCGTGACTACCCGGACGAACGCCGTCCTCCATCCAGACAACCTACGTACCGCCTTCGAGCGGACAACTCCTACCGCATCAATTCGGATATCATACACCGATATTGACGGGACCACTTCAGAACACAAAAGCCAAAGGTTTAAGAGCAGGGAGGAATAGACTCCTGCGAGACTTATACCATGGGTGACGCAGGCCCGCCCTCGCCGCCGCCATTTCTGGCTGGGGGCGCAACTGCGCGGAACGCAGTCGAGGCGCAAGATGCACAGCCGCCGAGGGAGGTGAAGGTGCTTGTCACAGGCTTCGGGGTAGGTCATATCTTTTCTTACTCTTGACGATGATGTGTTGCAAACCCAAAGGCAAGGCAGAAAAGAGTGCCCGTGACAGACACGAGAGGAGGTTCGAGCCTTGAGCTTGCTTTTCAGCAAGAGCCATGTTCACATTCTCGTTGAGATATGCCCAACAATCATAAATGAATACATGATCCCATACTGATATTGACCAATTGAGCAGCCCTTCAAATCCTTCCTCATCAACCCATCATGGCTGATCGCCTCAGCACTACCCGACGAACTCTACCCTACCACAGAATCTACAGGAAAACCAGCCTACAAGATAAAACTAATAATACACCCCTCCCCCGTCCGCGTATCCTATAGCGTCGTCGCGGAAACCATGGCAACCCTGATTGCGCAGCACAATCCCGACTACATAGTGCACATCGGCATGGCCGGCGGACGAGATTGCTACTCGCTGGAAACACGTGGCCACCGGGACGGGTACCGGATAAAAGACGTCGACTGTAACGACGGGTTCCTTCCTGGCGAAGCTGTGTGGAAGAAAGAAGGTGTGCCCGACGTGCTGAGCGTGAGGTGGGATGAGGCAGATGTCTTGTCGCGGTGGGAACGAAGTGTGAAAGAAGGTCTCGAACAGCGAGGTTTTCTGGGAAAGGCGCCTGGTAAGGACGATGAGACGCCGATCATGCCGGGAACGCCACTCTTTATGGTCACGATGAGTAGGGCCGAAGAGAATAAACGAAAAGCGGTGGTCAAGCTGTCGCGTGATGCGGGTCGGTTTTTGTGCGAGTATGCACTTTTCACGAGTCTTAGTCGAAAGTGGCTTGACGCGAACCCCCAAGCTGGCGAGCAAGAGTCGAGTCCGGAGGAAATGGACAGTCAAGACAAAGAGCTCGCACAGGAGAGACTGGGGAAGGTAGCGTTTCTGCATGTGCCGGGCTGGACGGGAGTGGAGGACGTCAATCGCGGCGTCATGATTGCCGAGGAAGCTATACGGGCGTTGGTGGGCAGTTGGGAAGATGGACGGAGATCGAAAGCTGGTGGTGACGGTGCTAAGAGCTTTACAAATCAGCACTCTGAGCTTGCAGGCGTGAGTCGATGAAATGGTGCTACGAGGTGCTAGGAGCAGTACAAGGGCTGTATATAGGCAGAGTTGCTATGGGTGTGAAGACGACGAACGGGGCACATGAGTATCGCGGTATGGGGTCAAGCGGTATTGCGTACGGGCACATGAGTTGCCGATGCATGTGGTCTGCAGCCAGCATTGTCTCAGTGGAAGACACTATGTTCTGAACATCATTATCGATTGTCAGTGGAGCCTGACGTGCTTTTGACTTGTTTGCGTTGCATAGCTGGCTGTGGGCACTATAGAGCGATAGAGATATGTGGACGGACGCGATGACAATGCTAGATGAAGTGTAATCACATTGAGCACATAAACTGTCTCGAACATTCACCCCGGATCGACATCTGAGCTGTATGAAGCATGCTTTGGATGGACGACTCATGGACTGAATGTATTGAACATTATGACGACGAGCGTAGTTTCCAGCATTTCTCTTATATTGGAGCGACAGTTTGGGGTCAGATACTACCCTGCGCAAGTGAGTACCTTAAGAGCTTGCAGTGTCAGTGGTGTTCCATGGAACTGGAAAAGTCGAAGACGATTTGAGTTCCAATTCGATTGGAATACATGACGGAAAGTCATGCTGGTCCCATGGGGTCTGCAGCGTGCACAGTTCAATGTCAGGCAGTTCACTGCAGTTCTGATCCCAAGACCCGAGTCCTCGGTATCGACCCTCGTCATGGATCATGGCAGGTTTGTTCCAAGTTCCTGTTCTGATCAAAATCGAGCCATGAAAATGGGCCCAAGCCTGAAGTGTGGCGTCCTTGGTTCCCGACGATGCTGAACTGGACCATGCTTGTTCCATTCATAGACACGAGATCTGCTGGGATATTCCATTCAAGGAGCGAACCCAGTGTCCTACCTTGTTCATGAGGCAAGGGGAATGATACTTCCAACAAAGACATTGTAACTCTCTGACTCTCCCTTGCGTGTCATTGTTTGTTTACACTCTTAAAGAACGTGTCTTCCTTCGAGGCCAACACCCGTTATGGAGTGTTTCAGGTTGGCGACATGAAGTCATTTGCAAACAATCTGTCAGGACCTCGACGGGAGCCGAGGAGAGAACGGCGGTGGTTTCAAGGCAACTTTGATCGAAGAGATGGAGTTAGTCCATTAGATGGATATCCTGGTCAAGGCTTTTTGGATGGGGTCAATGCAAGGCATTTCTCGGTGGCTCAGCCGAACAGACGAGCGATTGGACGATCCTTGACGGCTGAGGCGCAATGGCAACCACTGGATTTGAAGTTCGCTTGTTTTGTTAGCGTGTTCTGTTCGCGTTTTGCAAAGCTTGACGCGTCGTAGTTTCCTGATGTCAATGAGCACACGACAGCATGACAGCCGCCCAATAGCCCAAAATAACTGGCCAGAGAAAGTTGGCTGTGTAGAGATCAGCTGGCAGCTATATTGGGCTTCAACTTGCAGGCCTCGTCTTGCTGCAGAGGAGTGGATGAAGCCAGAACATGTGGCTCTTCAATAGCCATAGGGACAAACAGGTCTGGTATAGCAACCGTGACAGTCTGCACCTACTTGTACCCTGCAGTAGACTATGACGACAGTAGAATTGAAGGAAGCAGTGAGGAGCAAACGCGGCTCGAGACGATATGGCGCAATGAAGCGAATCCCATGGGGCAGGACTTTGCTAGCCAGTGGTTTGGGTGGGTTGAACAAGGTCAGGCGAGAAGAAGTGAGAAGCACAGTTGAATCCACTCGAATGCAGGATGCAGGTGAGACAGTAGTTGTTGATATAGAAAAGGCGGTAGGAGTTATCGATAGATGCACGTTGTCTATCGATTGTGATGATTGTTGATCCCTTACTTTGCGCGCGCTCATCGCAAAGCTGAAGTTGAAAGGCAATAGTTTCTACAGGTGCGCCTGAGGCCTGAACTCACTAAAAAGAGGCCTTACCAACGGCCACCCTCAATCTATCCTCCTTCAATTTCACCTCACTTGCAACCTCACTTCAATCTCATCATCTCATCTTCTATTCTTCATCTCTATCATCTTTCCTTCTCAAAAGTGATTGTTTGTTTGTTGTGACTCCGCCTGTCAATCCCTCCCCTCCTGCGAGTACCATACTTTTTCCCACACGTCTCAGACATCTTTCGCCGCCGAGTTTCCACAGACTGGGCAGTGATAGGCGCTTCGGGTCTTTCACGACGCGCGCACAGGCCTCGTGAACCGAGTCGCTCTCTCCACTGTGCTGGCTTCCAAACGGGGGCCAGTCCACTGAGTCCAGAAGTGAAAAAGAGTGCCCACGAGTGCCCTGGCACAGCTGCAGCCCAGCTTTCAACTCCCGGGCCCTCTCCCTCTGAAGTCTCCTCCCTCCTCCTCTTATTCTCAGATCTACCCACACCAAGCCAACACCCTCACGCTTCGACATCCTCTCCGCCCACTTTGCAACATTCCAGTCCATCCACCTCCCGCAACAAACGCTTCGCCTTCTCCTTCACTTTCACGTCAGCTGTAAACAAGCAGAAAGATATTTCAACAATCCTTCCTTTTCATACTTGTACCGCCTGGACGCTCAAACGAACTTCGCTCATTTCTCGTCAAGCAAACCCTAGCCGCAGTCGACCCTGGTCCCCCAATTTCGTCCCCTGCGTCTTCCCAGCCACCATCATTTTTCCACCTCTCGAACTTCGACTACTGCACCCTCCCGACTGACAGGTAGCCTGCGCGTCCGGCACGTCTCTACTGTCGCAACTCACAATCGCGCCGACAATCACGTCGATACTCTCTGCCGTCCTTGACAGCACTCTTTCGTAACGGATCTTACGGACAATTAATCCGCAACGCGCTCGGGCGCTGTCAGTCAATTCTCCTCGCGCATCTCATCAGCTTCGTCGACCACAGCACCTCACAACCGACCAACGCGTCTGCAGCATGAGCCGTTGAACTCTCGATTCAAACTCGACCCAAGCCTACACTGTTCAGGTGACTGCGCAGTTCGTCGCCGTCGCGCCGCCGTTCTCGGCCTGCTCAATCAGGAACCGCGCGCGCTCGAAAACATGGACGACCGCGAAGCTTCTCCCACACTCATGGCCTCGTCGGCGCTGCGCAAGCAACAAATGTCCATAACCCTTCCTCGAAATTTCGCTCCTCTACGCCTTGACGGAAGTGACAACCCAAGGACGCCCGATCAGACCTTTGCTGAGCTCAAGCTTCCACCTCCACCTCATCACTCCACGGTTCGAGTACGACGCAGCAGAATTACCACGGACAATTTTCAAACGCGTAACAACGCCCTTCCCTCCGCCCTCTTCGCGTCAGATATCCCAATTCCCTCCAGCGCTCAGTCTGTACAAACCGAGTTCAACATGGACGCCGACGTTCCCATACCTACAATTGAAGCGCCATTCCTAAGTACCAGACCACAATACACACACAGTATCACAGATCCATCACCGAGCGATAGATTGAAAGTGTCCGCCTTCAGAGATCTCCAGCAGCCAAGGACTCCAATAGGACAAACCAATGTGGTCTCTTCAGAGTACAAGAACAACGTGTGGGATATGCACCGTTCTTCCTCTGAGTGCTCTATCCGGTCAGACTCATCAGAGTCATCTTCTGAGACCTTCACCACGCGTCCAACATCGTTCAGTGGCAGCGCGACCAGTCCCGATTTAGATTCACAGGACCCATTTTCACCTGCGAAGGTCAATATCATCCCAGACACGCCTTCACGAAAGAGCAAGAAATTGAGGATCAACACTTTCACGTCCAAGGCCAATGTGCAGTGGAGTATTGAAATGGACAATCACTTGTTCAATGTCTACCAGATGTATCTGGCTGATCCAACCGTGACGCCTTTCAAGACAGTCCCAGGAAGCGTTCCTCCTACAGGCGTATGTCACCGTGTCGCCCGAAAAGCCAAGGAGACCTGGCCGAAAGCAAGTAGAGTTGCGAGGCCGATCGTCCGCCGATATAAGATGCGCAACGTCATTGAGACTCGCAACTTCATTCGAGACACAACGCCAGAGCCTAACGACTTTTTGCGGACCGACAACAATGATGCGAGAACCGTCTGGCCCTCTGAGTCTGCTACACGAAAGCGCCTGAAGCAATTGTGCAAGGAGAAGTTCACGATTACAGCTCACTATCAACGCTTGCGTGAGTCCAGGAGCCCGTCACCCTTCCACGAGCAATTCAGCCGCCGGCCGCCGTCGAGAGTGTCCAGGTCAATGTCACGTCAAGCCGATCCGGATGCTTCCACTGCGTACGCTACACGAGAGCTTGGTATCTCTTTGGTCGCCAGTAGTGCTACTGCTCCTTTGGCTCAGCTAGTGACAGGAGACTCGCCCTTGGCGCAGCAAATGTCAGATGACTGGTTCAATACTCCGCTGACCACCTCATCCGATGCCATGTCGCTCTCAACACCTTCTGCTGTGGCTCCGGAGACGCAGGTGAGCAGGCTCAAAGTTGCCAACGACATCCCCCGGCTGGCATCGCCATTCAACTACAGCACTTGGAATGGATCCAGCAATTCGAATCACAAGCATCGTCGCGGCATGAGTCATCATCAATTTGACACGGTACATGCTACAGGGTCGAGGTTGCTGTCACCGTTCAAGATCGAGCCCGACGTGTCACTCAACGTCAACAAACGACGCGCTCAGCACAACCTGGAGGATGAATTGAGTCCTAGCGGCAGCAACATCAACAACATGAGCGCCATCCCGGACCTCAAAATTCCCACACCAAGCACGTTCCACCCGGAGTCCAAACCCCGACCGGAGCTTGTATTTACTGGTGCTGGTGACATCAATCAACGTAGAATCCGGGTCCGCAACCGGGGCGCGACATTGGGTGCCGTCAACAACCGGGAGACTCTCGAACGCTTCTTTACACCACCGACTATCAATGTTCCTTCCGCGGATGGTTCTGATGAGGCGGCTGGTATCCCTCCAGTTCCTCCATTGCCGGCGTCCCTCACGTCCTTGGCGAACCCTCACATGAGAACCTTTCCCTCACGTTTGGCTCCGCCAGAGCCAGACCCAACGCAGAAGCGACTTGGCAGTCCATTCGAGCTCGACCCAAACAAGCGAAATTATCGTGTCAAGAGTCCCAGACACGTCCCGAGTCTCAGCGACCCTTTTATCAACACTAGTGCTTTTGCAACGACACCAAGTCGTGGTCACGGTCATACTAGCAGTATGAGTATCGGTGAAAGATTGGCCATGTTCAGTACTTTTCACCCAAGTCATTTTCAACGAAACGTGCCAAGTCAACAGCCGAGGGATGATCCTTTCACATGATCAGAAGATGCACAATTTCACTTATCTGGAGTATACAGGCCAATATCAAGGAGTTCATCGGTGTTGAATAACGAATTGGATGCTGTTTGCATTTATCATGCATGGTTGCTCTATTCACTTTTGGTCGAGGTCTTTTGACCTGGCAGTTTAGTGAAGCGGCGAGCTGGCGTTGTCGGTTTATGGCTGTGAGAGTCTCGCCAACATCATTTTTGGCGTCAAGAATTTTTGCGATGGTGCACATCAGGAAGCAAATGACTGGAGGTTACAGACAATAAGTGACACAGACTTGGCACATGAAAAGAGGCAGGGTGATACAGACTAGGAGTCGGCGACTTCACAGTGCTTGTTGCATAGGAGTTGGACGAGTAATGACAGAGGGCTATCTCGATTGCATGGGGCTGGCCATCTGTTGCCACTGCACAAACGGAGTTGATATGAGAGCTGACATGACTGGGAATTGAGCATTCAGTACTAGTAGAGCTTATGAGAGGGGTGATCATCATTGACATGTTAACGAGACCATGAAATCAAAATACGAGAATGAGAACAAAACATTGAGTAATCTGTTTCTTGAACGTTCTGCTCTCACTCCCTCTGCTCATGTCTGTCGTCTGTTAAACATGATCGTGGGCAGCATATGACTTCCCCAGACTCCGCGGTGCCCCAATATTTTGAGCTAGCATGAGTATGGCGTGATTTTCAAGATAGAGTACGGGACCTCGGCGTGTTTGTGGTCAATGCTGAACATCTCCCCGCCTTATAGTGAGCTTTGGAAGGAATTTAATTGGTGTTCTTTTGGGTCACATTTTCACTATTTGACATCCCGAGTACGACTTCTTCTACTCTTGCCACTCCCTTTACTCGACGCTCATGGCTTGTTGTGCTAACAGGACATTTTGCGCCCACCTGCACTCGTCTTCGTTCCAGAATGGCCGACGACAACAAGCAGACGGCGTGCGATCGCTGTCACAAGAGAAAAGCGCGCTGTGACAAACTCCAACCAGCGTGTTCCTCATGCATCAAGGCTGAAACATCATGTGTCTATACCACACGCGATCCCGCCATTCGCCGGCAAGATCTAGAAAAGCTCGAAAGAAGATTACGCCAAATGGAGGCCAAGAATGAGGCCTTGACCAGTCAATTGAGAGACGCGAACTATCGTGCAACTCTCAATAACTCGGCAGGAGCTGTTGGGGCGGCTTCCAGCAGTCAACCCACCAGTGCACTATTGGCCAACGGCAGCAATAACAACACCACTTCGAGCAACAATGAAGTCGCGAGTCAAGTGTCGTTTCTCAGTTTGAGTGCTGGCGGAGAGCGACAATTTCTGGGATCTGCCAGTGGTTTACTTCTTGCCAGCCTACTGCAGGCCGACAGCCGGGCTAAAGGGCGAGGTGCTATCCAAGACGAGGATCATCACAACGCCACACGCCGGTTCAGCAGTACTGTTGCTCGTCCGGGAACAATGACACCAGACGTTACTGCTTTGCCCCCTAATATGCTCGCAAGAAGTCTTGTCTCTGCATATCTTGCTCACGACCATCTGGCGTATCCATTCCTACATGCAGGAAGATTACTGCAGATCCTCGAAGCGGTCTATAATGACGATACATTCTACAGAACACATCCATACGAAGCGTTCACTTTGGACATGGTTTTGGCAATCGCAACTGCTCAAGTATCCAAATTCGACTGGCAAGTCATGCCTGATGCCGAGACACATCACGATCGTGCTATGAACAGGCTCGGCGTGGTGCTCGGCAGCGGCGGTAGTCTGGACGCATTACAGGCTATCTTGCTGATTTGTCAGTACCGAGTAGGAAGTGGTCTTTACGACGCATCGGCGAGCTTATGGCATCTCGTCGGCATTGCGGCAAGGATGTGCTTTGAGCTTGGCTTGCACCGCGAATCTGTTTATTACTCTCCGGAGGATGGGGCCTCGGGGCTCGATGAAGCGGCACTGGAACGGTCTGAAATGAAGAGGAGATGCTTTTGGTGTGTTGTCGCCATGGACAGAGTCACCAGTATCACACTTGGAAGACCACTCGCCATTCACCTCGAAGACTGTGATACGGAGCTGCCTCGCGCCGAGGCAAACATCGTCCTCAGTCCGGACAACAGCTTGTCTCCCACGGAACCGATCGGCAGTCCGCCCTGGCAGCTACGCACCGCGATCTTCGTGCATATAGTGCGCTATCGCCTGCTTTGCGGCAAGATCCTGAGTTCATTGCACAACGTCATCAAATCAAGGATGACCGCGTCATTTGACTATGAGAATGTGCGTCGACAACTCACAGAAGAGCTTGAGGGCTGGCGCTCAGATATCCTCAGCCTGCCTCTGGGCGCGTTACCCACGGAATCGGACCGCTCGAGCTTTAGGTCTCGCGAGTGGTATGATCTACTGTACCAAAATGGAATCCTGATGCTTTACCGGCCATCACCGTCTTTGCACGAGGTCTCCCTGAACAACGACACACTGCAAAGGATCTTTGACGCTGCGCAGAAATCCATCAGCATATACGCCTACCTGCACAAGTCGCGGCGTATCAACTATTCGTGCATCACATTGCACGCCGTGTTCATTGCGGGTTTGTCATATATCTACGCCGTGCGCTCGCACTTCCAGAACCGCCGCCGCCAAATGCGTGGGTCGATGGACCAGCCGTCCCTCCCTGCTTGTCTCGCCACAGACCCAAGCATAAATCAAATCGTCAACACGACACGAGACTGCTCGAATGTCTTGGTAGCTGTCTCCGAACGCTGGAGCACAGCGCGAAACGCGCACCAAGTATTTGGCCGGCTTAGTGACGCGCTGCTCACGGATGTAATTGAGTTCCAGACCCAAAGTCGCAATCCCTACACCGCAATGACGCCCCAGCAACAGTATACCGCTCCCATGGCGCCTACGATGCCCACCATGAACGGTATGACGACGACGCCCACGATGCAGCAGTCCTTCCCATCGGTGGCATCTTCACATGACCTGGATTTCAGTTATCAGGAGTGCTTTGACGATCTGCAGAATCTTTACACTAGTTATGATTTTGGGAATGTGTCCATGATGCAGGCATCGCAGGATTGGCTCTTTGAGATACAGTCTTTGGATCAGAGCTACCCAACACATCTGGGACAGTGAAAAAATTTAGCTGTACCACGGGAAGGCCACCAAAGAACTACAGAACCATGGTTGATGCTTTGGGAACCCAGTGTTCGCCTTTGGTTCACACCGCCACCTGCACTTGGCAACTGAGGACCGGGGAGTTTATCAGGTATAAAACCATGACGGGTGTCTTCCTCGAACATCATTCAGCACACACATTCCCCGTTGCTGGATTTACCCCCTCATCAAAGCAATCATGGCCAACACATCTGCCAGACAAACTGCCGCATTAATGGCCCTGCGAGATGCCAGACAAATTGCACAATGGACTCCGGTAAACAAGCCGAGAGACGAACACGAGATGACTCGACCAGAGGAGAACAACGCCGCTGGAGGCGAGACCAGGCTTTTAGATGTTAATCCACTGTTGGAGAATGTTGAACGTCACCCACGTGACCACGAGAGAGCGCTCCGAGAGGCCAGACAACGACTCGACGCCATTGACAATCGACCCCTTTCTTTCGCAAAATCCCTCTTCTGGCTCTTCGTCGGTCATCTCATCGCACGATTACTGGTCCTTGGGCTGCAAGCTTTCATCACAGTTGGTCTGCCTGCTTGGGTTGATTTTCTTCGGGGGATCATCCTTCTCGTGGTCTCCTTTCTCTGGATCAACGTCTCTCCTATCCTCTGCTTCGCTGGCGGAATGATAGCCATCTATGGGGTGAATGCGTTGTCTCGGCGTTTGACCAGACTGACTGGGGGCACTCCACTTGGTGCCGCGATGGACTAAATTGATACGCGACCCGCGTATCCTGTTCACAGCGCGGCTGGTGTCAAGACCATATTTTTTGGCTGCGGCGGGAGGCCTGCTGGTATGATCTGGGACCACCTCCTCAGTTTTCGTAGGTAGAACCCTCAAATCCAAACACGCTCCAAGAATTTCGTAGGAACATCAACGTGCCTACTTCTCAAGTATTCACCGATGCCCTTACCCAGACCATCGATTCGGTCCGACGAAGCGATACCTCCATTCAGATTGTCTAGCACACGACTACCAAAAGAGATTAGTTTCCAGGCATCACACTCGAGTCGTGGGAGAAGTACTCACAAATGCACAGCAAGAATATTCGGAAACTCGACCCGTTCCACCCTCCGATTCGGATCGCACTTGAACCAGTCCTCGCCGAACAACTCCTTGAGTTTCTCGACAGTCAATAGTGTTTTCAACCAAGGATACTCATCTTCATGGCGCACGAAGAAGCCTATGTTCGAGTTATCCGCTTTATCACCTGATCGTGCATGCACGATACTGCCTAGCGGTGCTTTCATCGTGGGACCTAATGAGTCCAAGGTGATTGGGTCGGCGGTCTCATACGACGGTCTCACGGCAGGATACTCAGCCGTCTTCTTCGCTGTGGGTATCGAAATCGTCTTGCTCCCGCCAACATCGACGCGGTGCTGGATCACAGACAGTGGAATTGTTGCTGGGAAAATCTCCATGAACGGCTTGGGGTCCATGGTCCGGAAGTCCAAGTTCATGTGGTATCCTGGGTAGGATTGCATGCGCAGCGCGTATATTGGGGTCTTGAACTTTTCGGCGACCATATCCTTCTTGTCACGGGCTTGTGCGAAGACGCGTAACTGGACTGTACCTGCTTGTTGGGATGATGGATTTGAGATCTCGGTGCCGTACAGCTCGATGGACAACGTGGAAAAGTTGTGGTTGCGGAAAATGTGCTTGAGTTGGTCACGCATCATGCGCGCTTTGGCGTCGACGTCGAGCCCGTTGATGAAGAAGGTTGCTTCGGCTTGGTGGCCGCCTGGCGCCGCGAACATGACTTTCGTTGTGGCCGGTGGAGGAAGGCCTGTCATTCCGGAGACACGCACCCTATTCTTGCTGTCTTCATCTTCGGATTCTGGCTCGACGCGGATTTGTGACAGGTCCGCGACGACGTCTGGGTTCAAGTACAAGTGGCCTTGCAGCTCATACAAAGTCTGAGCCTTGACTGTTTCGGGCGTGACTCGACCGCCGCCCTCTGCCGTTTTGGTGATGATGCATCGGCCTTGACTGTCGATTTCGGCGATGGGAAAGGCCAGATCGACTAAGGGGTCGTCGAGGAAAGGTTTGAAGCCGGAGAAGTTGGCGCCAACGACGTAGGCTCCACACTCGATCAAGTGGCCTGCCGTCAGGGCGCCGGCGAGCTCGTCATAGCTGGAATCCATGTCCCAGCCGAAATACCAGGCCGCGGCGCCCATGACGGGGGAAGCATCGGTGCAGCGCCCGCAGATTACGATTGACGCACCCGCGTTGAGGGCCTCGACAATGCCTCTGCAGCCAATGTATGCGGCACCGCAGACTGGGGTCAACGACCATTCATCGAGTGTTTGGTCGGTGTGGTCTAAGTGCGGAAATTTGAAGGCCGAGCGTTGGTCAGGATTGGCTAGGAGGTCGGAGATGTCGTCGCCCAGGACGGCTGCGACGGTAATGTTATGGCCCTTGGAGGCGACGAGGGCGCGAACCTTGCGGGTTAGACTGGCTGTGTTGAGGGCGCCGGCATTGGTGACGACTTTGATGTTTTTGGCTACGATGTCGTCGAGGCACGATTCGAGTTGTGTGTAGAAGCCGTTTTCGTAGCCCAATTCGGGGTTTGTAGACTTGGTGATGGCGTTCCAGGCGATGTTCATTTCGGAGAGCCAGTCGCCGGTTATGATGTCGATGTTAGGCTCGGCGACCATGCGCGACATGGCGGTGGGCATGTCGCCTGTTGCGCCGGAGACGTTGCCTACTCTTAGGGGGCGTTTGGATATCATGATGCCGATGTTTGAGTAAGATGGTGTTAGTTGTGCCGGTATGAAATCAATTTGAGATCATGCAGTCTTTGCGGTGCTGCTGGGTTTGTGGGACGTCGAAAGTCAGCCTCCCAAAAGAGGCTTGCGGTGTTGATGGGCCGGACGTGGCCCAGGACTCCCTAGGAAGGCTAGACGGATAGTGCCGGCAGATACTGTAAGTGGCAGTTGAGTCGGGCAAATACTGAGTATGCCTTGTATCATCAGGGAGCCCTGGTGAAGGCTATAAGCATGTCTCCTGCGGGAGATGATATGCCGAAGGAATGCCAGGGCCAGAGGACAGTTGTGGTGTTTCGGCTCTCCCTCCGATGCCGCATTATGTATCGGCGCCGGGCTGTGGCCGGGTTGGCAACTATAGTTACTAGGTATCTAGGACCACCGTGTCAGATGTACCTAGGTACCTAGACACCGAACAGGTGCTGTTGTGATCGTTTGTCGCATTGTATGCTCCGAAGGTTGTGGAACGCCGGACTTGACTGAGGTTGTCATGCCTCGGTGGTGCCAATAGTTCCATGCTTGCTGACCTAAAGGGCTTTGTATGGAACTTGAGTGGGATGGCAGAGAGGCTGTCGGACAAAATCCGAATTCTATGCACATGGTACAAGTTACGTCTAGACTCTAATAATGGCTAAGTATACATGCAAGATTCCACTCAGACACGAGGGATCGACGGTCATTGTCCTGGTATCAAGATGACCTTCCGAGCCTGCTGTTTCTCGAAGATGTCGTATCCGTGTGCTGCTTGAGACAGGGGTAATCGATGCGTTATCATACCGGACAGTTTGTCTTTGTTTGCGACAACCACCTCGAGTGCTTCGTCGTACACTGTCCGTACTGGAGCCCGCCCCAGATTAATGCTAGAGCAGGTGTTAGCAGTGTGCGTGAGAGCCAGCGGGAGAAGATAGCTTACTTCAAGTTCTTTTGATAGCACTCCAGAGCCGTAAAGGGGAGGTCACCCTGGTGGAAACCCAACGACGATAATACGCCGGCAGGGCGGAGGAGATCAAATGCTGATCTCATAGCAGTAGTGTTGCCAACAACCTCGATAACGGCGTCTGCTCCGCGCCCACCTGTGGCTTCTTTGATAATAGCTGGTATATCATCTCGGCCCAGTTTCAAGGGGATACCACCAAGCTTGGCTGCTTGCTCGAGTCGGTCATCAACGCTGTCCACCACATATATCGTCCTTACACCCTTGGAGCGAGCTGTGAGGATAGCGCAGAGGCCGACCGGACCACAACCAAGACAAACGAAGATGGCTTTGTCTAAAGTCTGCATCTTCAAGGAGAGAGCAGCGTGAGTTCCAGAGTCGCCGTTCAGTTCGCCGGATGATGATGATGTTGGGGCGAAATATTCGATTGCTCGCATTGCTCCATAGTAGCCGGTAGGGAAGATATCGGACATCATGATCAAAAGGTCTTCGGGCACCGTCTCAGGAGCAGGTTGAAGGGTGCCATCAGCATATGGCACGCGGACGTAGTCTGCTTGGCCACCCGCCAGACCCTGTGTGCCGAACGGCGCTGTTCCTACTGGACAGCGATTGGTGTATCCGTTCTTGCAGAAGAAACAAGACAGACTGACATGATGGTCAGCAGGGTACATCTAGTGTCGGCGCAAGTGAGGCATACCAAACAGGCGAGAATGTGCAGACCACTTTCTGGCCGATCTTGTAATTGGTTACGGACAAGCCAATCTCTTCGACATATCCTACAAACTCGTGCCCCTATGCATAAGTGTCAGTCAGGTAGTCCATAGCGGGAGATAGTAGACTTCTCACCATTATATGGCCTGTAGCGGTTTTTTGATGACCTCGATACATGTGTAGCTCTGAGCCGCAAACGCCGGCGACGGTTACCTTGACGATTGCATCGGTAGGTTCGAGCAATGTTGGCTTCGGGCGCTTCTCAACGTCGATCTTGAAGGGACCATTGAAGATGACTGCGTCCATTGTGATGATTGAGCAATGTGAGATAGCTTCGAATCTCCTTGCGGTAGAAATATGCGTTCCAGTCGTGAGTAGTGCTGGGGCTCAACAAAAGATGTCTTCCACTTGGTAAGATGTTGTTTGCAAGGCTCGCTAGATCCCGGACAGACTATATCGTGAAGGCACAGAACCAGAAATGTCACTTACCTCTGACGGAATCACAATCGCAGTGTTGGCCGGTCCTGCCTCGGTATCATTCCGTGGAACAGGAAGAGCAGAGAACAGGTCACTCTCATCAACTGCTCCAGTCCGCATTCGAAGATACCGTGGATTTGGTCACCACTCACACTCTCAATCTGAGCGTCAGCGGAGCCTCAGCCGCGGCCATGTGCGAGGGAAGAGCCAATGTAGACGTTGGTATTGTTAAGAGTGGTACCTCCGTACCATAGGGAATGATGACGGCGGCAGTCATCGCACTTTCTCCCACGCGGCACAACCAAATTCGGAGCGGCTCCCGACGCCGAAATCATCTTCAACCTCCCCCATTCTCGACCCATACACTTCTCCACGAGCCTTCATCGCTCCTCGCCGTCAACGCCGCAGATATACTTCTTTCCACGGCAGATGTGGTGAACGACTTCGGCCACCGGAACGACCGAAGTCTCACGCCCCTCGGCCGGTGCATAATCGTGAATAAAAATGGCTTCACAGGCATCCGGCGGACGCGTCAACATGCAGGGAGACGTGCTGATCGACTTGATCAAGCAGTCGAAAATCCCGAGATTCGAGAAAGTGCCCTGGCACGCTGGCCAAATACCACGTTCTCCGAAACCAAAATGATTAGCTTGGATGCCTCATGCGTCTCACTTCTGAGCAGCTGGTTGACCCAGCCATGGAGGATCTCGAGACAGGCGGTCTCTTCTGGACACATTGGGGGCTTCGTCAAATAAGGTGCCACCTTTCTATCGAAGACAGCTTGAACACAAGATGCTGAGCACAAGAGAATCAATCAAGGCAAGAGGCGCCGAAGGGTGAACTAATACTCAGGGAATACGAGCTGGAAAGTAGCGGGCTCGATCTGGTGACTAGCTCGTAATCAATACCCAGGCTCGCCAGGCAGGCAGCCGAGACATTGGTCTGGACCTATGGCCCTGTCCTAGGATATCGCTCCCTAGGACGACGTACTCAGTAGGGTGTCAACAAGAATGATCCATGGCAGGTCCAACGTCTCTGACCTGTGGCCGTGTTCACAAGCAAAACGCTGGACGAGATGGGGCGCCGTTGGCCGGGGTCTCTCCATCGAACACTCATGGAATACCAAGTGACTACGATCAGTAGCTCCATCGCAGAACACTACCGATATCAAGACTATAACACCGGATCAAGGCATTAACCTCATTGCAGGAGGTCTCTTGTTGAGCACTACTGGATGAGCCCATCGATTTGCTCACTTCATGGAGGGTGCTGATCGAGTACGAAATTCCAGGCACTATTAAGAATCTTCAGATTCTAATGCTAGTATGTCAATGGACGAGCTTCAGGCCGTCGTGGCCAGGCTAGCATGTCGTTCCCAAGTAGGGCCTAGACGGATCTGTGGAAACCCCGTGCTGGCTGTGGAATATGCAGGTCGCAACCCTCCGCCGCCGACGATCCACGTGTTCGAGCACAAGGTGCCCGTTTCTATGTTTGCAGTGAGCATCACCACGTGCACGAATTCAGAGTCTTTGGATTCTCCCTCCCCATCCGTGCGTGTTGTTCGATTTGAGACAAGTGGCTCGAAGATGCGAAAGACAGTAACTCATTATTTATTCGTCACGATCATGCCGCTTACCGTGTCTGGAGCCGTGTGAAGTCTACAATTCTACTTGCAGGGGAGCGGATATGAACTTAGGCTCCACAAGAGCCGCTCACACCATTCAAATGGCGGCACCAGTGGTTCGTGTACCATCGGCAACAGTTCCTGCTGCCGGTCAACAGGTCCTACGGCCTTGTATTCAACTTGCGCTCCTCTGCAGGACATGCTTTCCTGGTCTGTACGACGCGTCTTCGACGCGGGAAGCACAGTACGACCATTCCTCCGGTCTAGTTGGGTACCAACGACTCGACTGACCTCGGCTCATTCAGTCTTTCAACAAACAACCTGTTCTGCACCGCAGGCCGACGTCGCTCTCGTCATGTCCCGGGAGAAAGGCCCAAGATGCATTTCAGTGTAGCCGCACTCCTATCGAACAAAGGCTCAATTTCAAGAAAGCCGGGCAACTCTCGATATCTCGATTTGAGCGAAGGCCAAATGCGGCGTATGGACCCCGACTTGATCTCTCTGTGGTCATGTCTGTAACCATACTGGGGACCCCAGTATTCCACCGGACCGATCTTTGCTTTTCGAATGGCCTTGTTTGGACCATGGGGAAAGACTCGAGAAAGCAACCTATTATCTCCTCTCCAGTATCACAGTGGGAACCCCGGCCGGCAGGCCACCCCCACGTTAATCAGATAACTGACCATTAGGCGGGGACACCGAGAAGTTGGCACCCATACGGAGTGTTCCGCCGGAGCACTTTTCCTTGCCACCTGACCATGAGGGTGCCCGTAGCGGGAAGCTTCGTATCACTCCTTCAGACCACCAAAAATTCGCTCTGCATCGTCTCCAACTGGGCTCCAACTGGGCTGGAGACACATGGAGCAATTCCCTCAACTTGGGACACTATAAAAAATGGGAGAGGAACCGGGTCCGCTCTTGGTGCGCGTGGGCGATGACCGGATTTCAAACTCAGAGACTGACAAGCCATGGCCCACCGGACCAACTCAACCAGATACCAACCCATATCCTGATTGGCACAGCACCTTTGAATCGTCCACCTTTGGCAAGGCCGTGCTCCCGTCTAGATGTCCCCCATCGGAGACAAAGACTCCGCATTGGTTTCTCCAGGGGATCAGGATTGGGCCTGTGCATATGGGTCTCCCATGGCGTTGCCCACCGTCTTCGGTTCCAAAGGCCGGCCGCCCCAGCGGCATACGCTGCCTCTCGCAAATTTTGTCTTCAACGCACACACGTGAACGGGCTCGAAATTGGAAGCCTCGGTCGACAATTCGAATACTGCCAGCCCTTGCAGTCCCACAGGTCTGGTGCTTGACTCGACTCTAGTCGTATAAAACTTCAGTCCCCCAGGCCCCCGGGTTTCCCCAGAGATTCTTCTCTTCTCAATTCTTTCTCTCTGTCGCATACCATAGTTGACATTGGGCAGACTCTCAAGGTCCAGCAACCCACCACCATGGCGCTCTCTCCATCAGTCATCCGTTTTGTGATCGTCCTCTTCGTGGCCCTCGGTTCCCTCACCTACGGCTACTGCAGCAGTATCATTGCCACAACACTTGGCCAGCCCAGCTTCCTCACTTACTTCGAGCTTGACACTCGCCCCAATGCTACACAATTGGAGGGCGCAATCAATGGTCTCTACCAAGCAGGAGGTCTCTTTGGATCTCTCTCCATGATCTGGTTTCCCGATTGGCTCGGTCGACGCAAGGCGCTCCTGCTGTATGCCATTATCACCATCATCGGTGGCGCGTTGCAGGCTGGCTCGGTCAACATTGGAATGTACATCGCCATGAGATTCATCACCGGCTTTGGCATAGGCGCTCTCGTCGCCTTGGTGCCTTTGTACCAATCAGAGATGTCCCCGCCCCGAATTCGAGGCTTGCTGGTCGGCATGCACGGTGTCATGATTTGTGTCGGCTACACCTTTGCCAGCTGGATCGGCTTCGGCTTCTACTTTGTCAACGCCGGTGGCGCGCAGTGGCGTTTGCCCCTGGCTATTCAGTGCTTGCCACCATTATTGCTCGCCTTCGGGGTCCTCTTGCTGCCCGAATCGCCTCGTTGGCTCATCGACCACGATCGTGTGGAGGATGCGTACAAGTCTTTCAAGGCTGTCCGCGCTGAAACAAGTGACAACATCGTCCACAACGAAGAAGCCATGCAAGAGGAATTCAGGCTGCTTCAGGGCCAGATTTTGCACGAGCGAACAGAGGCTGTCTCGTTCTGGGATCTCTTGAGACTGCCTCACTTCCGCAAGCGTTGCATCGTCGGTTTCCTAATTCTGTTTGGTTGCCAGGGAACTGGTACGCTGGTCATCAACAACTATGGCCCTACGCTCTACAAAGCCCTGGGGTACGGCACCGTCCCCCAGCTTCTGTTATCAGCCGCCTGGATTACGGTCTGCCCATTCGGCAACCTGATCAATGCTCTGCTAGTGGACAAGGTTGGCCGCACACGCATGGTCATGTTCGGGTACGCGGGCTGCGTCATCGCTTTGATTGGTGAATGCATCACGGTCAGCCAATTCAACAAGACCGGAGACAAGGGACTCGCCAAGGCTGCCGTCTTTTTCCTCTTCCTGCACATCGGCTTCTTCTCCTCGTCCTGCGATGCCACTTCATACATCTACGCGTCCGAAATCTTCCCGACTCCAGTCCGAGCCAAGGGCCTCGCCATCTCGGTTTCAGGCCTATTTTGCGCCACCATCATCTTCTTGCAGGCTGCGCCTACCGCTTTCGCAGCCATCGGCTGGAAATATTATATCGTCTTCATCGTCATCACCACCCTCATCGGCATTGTCGTCTTCTTCTACTTCCCGGAGACCAAGGGCCGCTCGCTTGAGGATATTGGTGAGCTGTTTGGCGATTCCGTCGAGCCAATTATGGATGATAAGAAGAACGTCCATCCCACCGCCGAAAGGGTTGAAGATATGCCGTACAACGAGATGGAATGAACAACGACCGCTGTATCATGTGGCGATGGCCAGGATCAATGGTGAATGGCAACTGGTCTTTTAGAACCGAGGATCGACATGATCATAGACCCACGACATATATTGTATATTGGTCTGTCTAGATTAGACTGCAGACAATTTTGATGCTTGACTGCTTCTTTCAGCCACTACTCCACGTTTTGTTTCGGACGCTTCTCCCTCCATTTGACGCCTCGTAGATCAGGTCTTGAAGTGGACTAGGTCTTACAGCGTCGGAGCATGGCCCGGCTACCGATATCAGCAACGGGGGACATCAAAGTTAAACAAGACCGTTGAGTAATTATCCCACCGACAAAAAGGAAACAAGACTAAAACAGGCATCTCTTGCCCACGACATCACTCTGTGAAGACCTTCCCAGCGGTAATGACATCGAAAGCCTTGTTCGTATGAGCCCACACCTGCTCCCTCACTTCATCCTTCTGGATTTTCTCATACGCCTCGTGCACATCCTTGATATTGCTCTTATGCCAGAGAGAGTACACACCGCTCCCTGCCTTCCCGTCGAAACCTTCCGCCACTTGATCACCACTGGCGGTAGCCGCCCCACGTGCCGCAAACTTAGGCGTGGCAAGGTACAGCATCCTCGCGCCGGCTTCTTGCGCGGGAACACCGATCAACCAGATCAGCGGCCTGCCTATAATTGGGAACAACACTTTGAACCAGAAAGGCAACTCGGGGTTCTTGAAGCCAGGCGTGAAGACTAGACCGGGGAAGACGTGGCAGAAGCTGATTTTGCCGGGGTATCGCGATCCTAATTTGTCCATGAACAGCGATTTCATGTACACCATGTGCGAGCGCGCCGTGTTGTAGTCGAAGTGTCCTGGCTGGCGGAGCGATAGGTCCTCGGTCCACAGTTTGTCCTCTGAGCCCGCAGCGTAGATTGAGACAATGTGCGCGCCTGAGGATATCTTGGACTCGAGGAGTGGTGGGAGGAGGTTGACCACGAAGCGCATGCGCGAATAGTACATCAGTGCCATCATTTTGTCGAGGCCTTCTGTCGTGTCTGTTTTGATAGTCAGCTACAGTGTCCGGAGGTTCAGCTCGGGAAGAGGATATCACAGACCGTGTCGCACGCCAGTGATTGCACCGGCCTGACTCATGTACAGAAGGTCGACCCTGGGGGCTGTGTTGGGGTTTTCGGCCTTCTCTAAGCTGACAATCTCATTGCAGACTCGGTCGACATCTTTGATCAGTGAGAGATCTTCGGCCTTGACGAAGGTGAACTTGGCGCTGGGCAGCAGTCTCCGGCAGTCGGATATGGTCACGTTCGCAGCTTTGGCGTTGCGGCCGACGATGTATAGCCGGAGGTTGGGCGCGTGTCCATTCTTTTTGCTCACGGAGGCTGTGGTCGATACTAGAGCGCGAAGAGCGTACTCACAGATACCAGAGGTGCCGCCGACGAAGACGCCGACAATTGGTTCAGTCAGGGATTCGATGAAAGCGGCATTGGACGCTTGCACGGCAGGTAAGGATACTGCTCGGCTGGGGGAGATGAATTCTTTGAGCGCCGACATGGTGGGTGAAGGTTTGTAGACTTTGTGCAGGAGAGAGGGTCAGGTTGGAGGGTGAGCAGGTCCATTAAGTATGCAGCTAAAAGTGCCGTTGAGGCTCATCGTTCAGCAGACGGGGCAACATGGCATCCGGATCAGTATTCGTGTATCACATTCTTGCTGTGCTCGGGGCCGACCACCCACTCGAGATTTCAGGATCCTCAGTTGTGATTACCTGATGCCCGGATGGAGAACCAGGATATCGAGCCATAGATAGTGGTAAACAAGTCCGTCTAGCCACAGATCGTATAAACAGCTGTTCATGGGCTAGCATGGCATGATTTGACTGGCTGTTTATGGTCTAAGACGCCCAGGGGCCCTTTGCATATTGATCCGAGCTCCGTAGAGACTAACCTCTTCTCGTATTCATGATAGGATGCAGTAAGGTATAGGCTAGCCTTGACAGGCTAATGGCACAATGACGTCTTCCTTAACGAAAGTAAATACTAGTATGCTTCTGCGTGCATTACCACTTCACACCTGGCTGGAAGGAGCCTTCAAGATGAGGCGAGCAAGTGATCAGTCGTCTTTGGCGGATTGCAGCTGTCCTCTCGGTTTGGGCAAGCGCTGTCCCATTGCGGCGGTTCTCATCAGAACGCCCTTGCGCAGCATTTCCCAGGCATCTCTCATCAGCGAGATGGCAACGTATATATTGATACATAATAGGAAAAGCCACGTGCTAGCTAAGCCATGCAAGGCATCACAAGTCAAGGCCAACGATTCTGGGAGAGCCTTGTTGCACAGCGGTCAGCCTTTACTGCCGCACCGCACAATACGTACTTTATATTCCGGTCACCGCGACTTTCCTTTCGAAATTGACTGAAGGTAGAGGCTCAACTTGATACTCAGCCCTCAAGCCCTCGTGGCTAAATGGGTAAGTATTTTGAGATTCCCCCTTGATAAGTACTAGTAGGTCAATTCTCAATAAGGGTTGTTGGTGGGCGGGGCCTTCTATGGGCTTGAAAAAGTTGAGATAATATCTCGAATGGGAATCCGTCAAGACCGAAGGCATGATCAGAGCCTCGTCCGCGCAATCTTTTTGCAATTTCAAAACCCTTGACAGAGATGGATTTTGTGGTGTGCTATATGTGTAGAGGTGTATGTTGAAGGAGGTGCGGCAGTATTTATGCTTCTAAAGGAGGAACCAAGTTTCCCCAATCTACGCGTCGACGCGTTACTGCAAGGCTGAACGTCATATTTCGTTGCACTGTCCCTAACTTCGTGACCATCAACACTTTCTTCTAAAGCTGGCTAATCTCTGTCTGCTATCTCTTCCCGCTACGGCTGTCTTCTACCTACGCCTCACCATGCCTCTCAAACGTCGTTCTGATGCGATTTCGCGTGACCAATCCGACTCTGAATCGGACAACGTACAAACCCAGACCCAACGCCGCCGCCAGCGATCCTCGTCAGCCTCATCCGCGCAGTCGTCCGCATCCTCCGTCGGATATGAAGGCGGCACTCAGAACCAAGAACAAACCCTCATTAAGAAACTCGTCCGCCTTGCCTTATCCACCGAATACTCGCGCACACCCCTCCGCCGCGGCGACATCTCCACCAAAGTCTTCAAAGAAAACAACTCTTCCGGACGAGGCTTCAAGGCGGTATTCGAAGGCGCACAGCGCATACTACAAGATACATTCGGCATGCAATTGGTGGAACTCCCCTCAAAAGAAAAGACCGCTCTGAAAGACCGGCGGAACCAGGCTACGCAAACAAAAGCAACCTCAGGCAGTTCATCCAAGAGCTGGATATTGATTTCTATACTCCCCAACGAACTCAAGACGAACCCAGCCATTGCGCAACCCGCGAGAGCCCCCACTCTCGAAACAGAGGCGTCATATACCGCACTCTATACCTTCATACTGTCGCTAATCTACTTGAACAACAATTCTCTCACGGACCAGAAACTAAATCGCTACCTGAAACGTGTCAACGCAGACACTTATACTCCCTTTGGCAGTCTGGACAAATTGCTCCAGCGGCTAATCCGTGAAGGCTACATCGAGAAGAGAAGAGACACAAGTAGCGGCGAAGAGGTCATTGAGTGGGTGCCTGGTCCCAGAGGGAAAGTCGAAGTCGGTATGCGAGGTGTTACGGGGCTAGTACGCAGTGTATATGGATGGGGTGCAGTCAGCTTGTCTAAGGGACGCGATGACGAAGGTCAAGGTGGACGCCTCGTTAAGATCGAGGAGGACGAGCTAAACGCGAAGTTGTCGAGGAGCTTGGGGGTCAAGGTCGGAGAGAAGACGCAGCGCGATCCAGAGAAGGACGCTGATGAGGGTGATGTTGCGGAAGTAGATCAGGGATCGTCGAGACAGCAGCAGCGGCAACCTACAAGAGCTCGAGGAAGACGTGCACGAGATGAGGATGAAGATTAACTGAGTTCGCGATACTCCTGAATGGGTCTGGACGAAGCGTGTGCAAAATGGCCACTATGGAGGAAATCCGCTTCATTGTCTAAGTAATCTGGTATGCTGCCATGCGACACGAGAAGGGCTTTTTGACCGTTTCCCATGTTCCCGAGAAAGAGTAAAGACAGAACGAATTGCAACCTTCGCCAACACCAGGCGCTATGCCATGCCATGATGCAACGGATTAGAAGCTGAAAAGAGAGATGGCGAAAACCACTCCCAACCTCATTCCGTTTCTCGAACACAACCTCGATACATTCTCCTCTCTTCGCTTCGGCATATGCAGATCTCCCGCCAAGAACAGACCTCGTCCTCAGGCGGGAGAGTGCTCTTCTGACCACTGTCGACAGCTAAAGTTGTCTCGAATGGTCGTTCTGCGCCTCAGCTGATCACCTGTATTGTTCCAGGTCTCCGTCTTCTCAGAAGCTGTTGCGCTGCCTTCATCTCAGACGGCCATCCCACGATCAACCAAAAGGCGAATAACCACCTCGGCCACCACCGTTTTGGAATCTAAACCCACCACCTCCGCCTCCACCAAATGGACTGCCACCGCCGCCACCACCGCCGCCGCCGTTCATCATATTAAACAGCATCTCCGGGTCGATCTGCATGCCACCGCCGCCACCCATGCCTCCCATGCCGCCGAAGCCACCCATACCACCAGGGAATCCTCCACCCATGCCACCCATTCCGGGCTCCATGAGGTCCGCGCCGGAATCGTAAATCTGCCTCTTCTGCGGATCAAGCAAGGTCTCTTTCGCCTCCAAACAGTCCTTGAATTCCTCTTCTTTCACCTTGTCTCCCTGCGTCTTATCCGGATGTAGCACGGCAGCCCTACGTTTGTAAGCTCGTTCAATGTCCTTGTCACCCGCGTCCTTGTCCACGCCGAGGATCTTGTAGTAGTCCTTCCGCTTGGACTTCTTCAATTCAAGCTCGGCGTTGCGCAGCTCTTTGCTTAATTCTGGGTCGCCTGGGTTGTCCTCGGCGAGGGACTTGTAATCCTTGACTGCTTGCTCCCAATCACCAGACTCCCCAGTCGCTTTGGCACGAGTCCGCCGGGCCTTGCTGTATGTTGGGTCGAGTTTGAGAGCCTGGTCGCAGTCGGCTTTCGCTTCGTCAAATTCTTTGATCTTGATCCGAGCCATGGCACGGTTGCCCAGCAGTTTGGCGTTGGTGACTTTGTTTGAAGGATCAATGGTAAGAGCCTCGGTATAAGCTGGCACAGCATCCGAATATCGTCCTCTCTTGAACATATCGTTGGCCTCTGTCCTGGCTCTGTCCAACTTCTTCATTGTGCGCAAGCAATTTCGTGCATCAGCGTTGTCTGGGTCCAGCGATAGAGCTTGTCTGAAATAATCTTCGGCCCGTTCGTAATCGCTTTTTCCATGTCGGGGCTTGTCATCCTTCAGGTAGAATGCTCGGCCAGCAAGCGCGATAGCCTCAGCGTCCATGGGATTCTCCCGCATCAGGCTCTGTGAGATAGCTTGTACCTCACCCAACGAATTAGCAGTTGCGGACTTGAGGTTCGCTTTTGCTCTCAAAATCTGCCAACTTCTCGGTGTTGGTGTGCCTGCTCCCAGTGTCTGCTTCGCCTGATCAATGCTCCATAGCGCCATATTGCCGTTGCCATCTTCCGAGTTGATCTGTTTCTCTGCCATCTCTATTGATTGCAGTGCCTTTCGAGCGGCCGCGGTGTCGGTTGCCGAGGCATTTGGAATTTTCGCATAAGTATCCAATGCATCCTGAGGGCGGCCCAGCGATGTGTATATTCGAGCAAGACGGTGCAGGATTTTATCGTTGTTGGGGTCAAGTCGGTTGGCTTGTAATGAATCGCCGAGTGCTTGACTGTATTTGTTTGCTGAGATGTATGCCGCAGCTCGGTTGGACAAGTAGGTAGGATTGGAAGGTTCCGCATCGACAGCTGGGGAATGTCAGCTCAGATTCCATGGAGTACTCTGTAAGACATACCTTTTGTGTATTCCGCAATTGCTCGGTCATAATCTTTGGCTTTGAAGAATTTGTTACCTGCGGCTTTGCAGGCCTCGGGGTCTACCTTTGGTGCGGGTGGTTCTTTATGAGGGGGAGGAGTAGGACTTCGTTCCTCATGGCCATCAGTGGTGCCATTGCTGGCGACATTTGTGTCTTCAGGAAAGGCTCCTGGTGTATCTTGTGAGGGCGTGGCGGGTGGTGATGACCCATTTGGCACTGCATTATCATTGTTTGCCTCTGAGAGGTCTCTGTCCACAGACATGGACTCTCTGTTGGCTTCAGCCTCTTGTCGAGCCATTTGAGCCTGCAATTGGCGCAATTGGTCTGGAGGCAGGTTTAGAGGATGTGTGTCTGGATCGAGTTTGGCCTTCTTCTTTTCCTTATCCTTGTCGCTCTTTTTGGGATATTTTGACTTCGGCATGGGCGACGATGGACGGAATTTTGCACCAGTAGTCGTTGCGGCGGCTGTGGGTGGGGCAGAGGCACCGAGACTGACACTGGGACGGGATCGTGCGTGGGCGTGGGCGTAGGTGGTAGTCTGAGATCTGCTCGGCGGCTTCGTACTGCTGCCGCTGCTACCCTCCTTGTTGAGGGAGCGCAGTAGGTTCCGAAGGTTGGCCTCAGTTAAAGGTGCAGGCTCGGACTGGTCACGATTAGGCTTTGACGTTTCGGCGAGAAGCGGGAGAGGCGCCGTATACGACGTTGATCGATTAGTAGTGATTGTCGACTTCGTCGGACGAGGTTCTTGTGCTCTGGAATTTAGCGATGAAACTCGATCTCTTTGCTGATTATCGTTCTGTTCGAATTTTCTCGAATCCTTGTGGCTTTGAGCGGGACTTTGGTTAGAGCCGCCGAAATCTCCTCGCGGGTCTCTAATTTGGTGATTTTCGGGGCCGTTGTTCTTGTCGATAGGCGTACTTGACCCCTGTCGTGCCGGACTTGGGTGTTCTTCAGCCTTGACTGGTTGGCGATTGCCTCGAGGCATGTTGTGGTTGCTCGCTCGTCGTTTCGCTTGTGAGATTGTGGATTCTTCAGGCTCTGATCCATCAGCAAGTTCAACAGTACATGACTTTCTCTTTTTGCCGTGCGACATAGTGAACGATGAGTGCGCGAGACTAGTTATAGCTTCTAGGCCATTTAGAGCGCGACGTCGGCTTGGTTACAAACGACAGAGGCTGTGTGCACGATCAAGCAGTGTGAACGAAGGCGGACAGCGACATCAAGAGAAATTCTGCCAGACCGCTCAGGATGCAGAAAGCATGGCCCGTTATGTCTGCTTCAGAGACATTTGTCTCCGTGCTTCACGTTCTCAATTCCATGAGCATCGTTATGCAAGCCTGATCAGCACCATCATGCAAGCCTGTTCAGCGCTCAGCATGCATTCATTCGTTGAGGCTTGCTCGACGTCCCATGCCGGCGAAGGAGCCTCCTACTGGCTAGAGTGCCACCTGCTGTAGACGTCCCGCATGAAGCAGACATCGAGCAGTATGACAAGGCTTCACGACACCACTGATATGATGGCGCTGTCGTGTGCCAGATCATCTTCATACCCCAGATTTTCGTGCAAGGCTCCATGTTTATCTCTACGTGACTTCTCTTATCTCAACACATTTCGTCATCAATCTCAGAAAATGTTCAGCCTCGTCTCCTCAATGACAATCTCGCCTCCATCATTCTTCAACTTCTTCCCTCCCAACACCCTTCTCACCTCAATCCTTCACCATTCCTCCCACCTTGAACCTCACCTTGCGCTCTTCCATCCCACATATACTCATCCTCCTCCTCTGTATAGCCGTGCCCCTCCTCATCCCGACATACCCTCCATCAATCATGCCTCGCTCCAAATCCAAATCACAACCACAAGACCCTCAACCACCCCCTCCCATTTCCGCACCCTCCACATTCACCGACTCCCTCCCCCTCCCCACAATCATAGTCTTCGACCTCGATTACACCCTTTGGCCCTTCTGGGTCGACACCCACGTCTCCGCGCCCGTCAAACCCGCGACTCCCCCTCCCGCCCACAACACCCGCATGCTCGACCGCTGGGGCGAGTCCTTCGGCTTCTACTCAGATATTCCAGGCATTCTCGCCTCCGGCCACGAACGGGGCATCACAATGTCCCTCGCTAGCCGGACCCACGCGCCAGATCTTGCAAGGGACATGCTCCGCGGCCTGACCGTACCCTCAAACAGCGCTGCCACAGACTCCTCCAAGGCCAAACCTCTTCGCGCGATAGACTTCTTCGTCCACGCGCAGATATATCCCGGCACCAAGACCACGCATTTCAAGCGGATACAAGCGGCCACCGAAAAGGCAGGCAGCGAAGTCCCGTTCGAAGACATGCTGTTCTTCGACGACGAAGGGCGCAACCGCAACGTCGAGACCGAGTTGGGCGTTACATTCTGGCTGGTCCCCCACGGTGTGACCAAGGACGAGGTTGACAACGGTGTCTGGGAGTGGAGGAAACGGAGAGGGATAACCAGGAAAGATTTGCCTGCAAAAGAAAGCCATGCTGCCGAGTTAGAAGGTTGAATGGCCGCAGAAGACTTATAAACCGGATTTACTATAAAGAGGGGGTTTCGCTTTTAACTTGCTTTTTGGAGCAAGAAAATAGACAAGATGCGTGGATTTGACGAATTCTTTTCTAGCGAGGCGTCTTGGGACAACCGTGTCAGCATTCCTCGTTTATATCACAATAACCATAGACGAATTGCAAAAGTGTGGTAGATGGCGTCACACCATGAAAGCATTACAGTGGTTGAATTGTCTTTAGACCTTCTCTGCTATTCGTTATCGTACACATCGCCGAACCCCAAGACACCTCGTCTCCACGAGTCGGTCCACGATCCTGACGGCTCCAGTGAACCGTCACAAGACAGGCCCCCCGAAATATTAATCTTCGCCCGTGTCCAAGACTGCTTTTGGTCCTGTTCAGAACCATAGTCTTCGACCTGAAAAAAAAAGGGTCGTACACCGCTCATGTACTGCAAGTAGGTCGTCCCCGAACCAGGTCGCCCTATGCCGTTTCCCTGTACAGTACGGCTGCATTGTTGGGGTATCAAGAAGATTCAATAGTTGTACAAGTGTGATTCGTTTCCCCGAAGTTGAGCGGCTTGTTGATCAACCATCGCCAGCAATTGTAACGCGACGATCGATGTCCGCCTGTCAAGTGATCCTCTCAACCTCTTGACCGTCTCTTCGAGCTGGCGGGCATCGCGATTTCGACAAGTTGGTCTCCATCGTCATCATCATCGTGATCGTCTTGACCCGCGAACTCTGAGGACTGTTCATCAGGATCACTCATATCAAATGTACCGCCCAACTTTTCTTTCTCCATTAGACTCAGCACCTCTTCATCCGAGCTGTTACTCTCCTCGGTTGGCGCCACCATCTCGCCCATCTCTTCATCCTCGAAAACTTCCAGTGGGCGTCGTTCAAGACTGGTTCGTGCCTCCAAGGGCGGATTCTCGGGCTCGGCATCTGAACCTGAGTCGGACGACGAATCATCTATCGTCCCGTCGAAGTCATCGTGCGAGGATGAGCCATGGCCATCGTGATTGGACGTCGAAAAAAGACTCGTCAGACCTCGACTCATCGAAAAGGCATGGTGATCCCCGGTACTCTGATTCAATGTGTTGGCATTGTTTCGCTTACCAAACGTGGTGATATCCTGCTCTTCTTCATCCAATGAAAATGGATCACCAGATTCATTGTCATCCGCGTTGCCTAACGCAGCGAATGGGTCGTCTGCTTCCGATCCAAACTCGGATGCAGCAACTTCTTGCTCAGCGTCTTGCTTGTGTCTTGCTAAGCGATCGGCCAATCGTCGACGAGCACGGGAAGGCTCAATGTTGAGTGGTGCTGGTGGAGGTGGTAGTAATGGTACGGGCTGGTCAGACTGTAAAGCAACATTATCAGCCTAAGAAATGAACAGTCGTCGCATTGCATAAGTCGCACTCACATTCTCCGATACAAGGCCGGTATCAGCTGCTGCAAGCTGAGTAGCCGCTCGGCCATGCTCGTCATCTTCTGCATCATCCATGTCCTCGTCTTCATCATCGGATGAGCTTCCGAACCCACTCGAAAGTGATCCATTCGAGTTGTACCCTGCACTAGTGGCACTTCCATTATTCGACAGATCGATGCTGTCTAGGGCATGTTGACCAGCACCCAATCCGGCGGCAGCCAGACCAGTCGAGGCACCAAATGTCTGACCAGCATTCACAGCGTTCAGTACAGCCTGCCTAGGGCCGAGACCGTTGTCAGGTCTAAAGCCTCCCAGGATTGCATTATCTCGTTCTCTGGTGTCCGCAAGTGTCTTAGTAACGTATTCTTCCCAGGATTGGGAATAGATGGAGTCCTGGACCACAGGCGACAGTAATTCTCTGGGATGACGTTCGCCGAATTTGACGACTTCTTCAGCGACTAATGTCAGGTGACCCATGTAGCCAAGGCGCATATTCTTGGTCTGCTGCTCCTCATCGCTTCGTCGTTGACCTTCGATGATGGCATCAGTGATCCGACCTGTCTCAAAGAGATCAAAGGCCAGGGATCTGTTCTGGCCTCTGTCCATAGGACCATTGAAAACTTGTTGGACAACATCATATACAACGTTGTGCAGAAAATTGTTCCACGGAAAGCGGAAGAAGAAATTCTGTATACGGGTTAGGAGGGAAATCTTCGAAGCTGGGTCAGTATGTACTTACCAGAATAGTTGGTACCACCTTGTTCTCGACGAACATGACCTTCAGGTAATCTCCCACCACCGGTGATTCTCCGCTCTGCTTTTCGAGTTCTGCGACGTGCATCGTGTCATCTTGTGCAGTCTGGAAAGAGTCTCCGACCAGCTGGCTACTTTCGCTAATTTCACTCGTCTGGCCCTCGGAAGAGCTCTTCGTGGGTTCTGGACTGGTTGCCGTTGGTGTCTTGTTGGGATCGGAAGCTTGCGAGAATAGCGGTGCTGGCTTGTCTTCTGTGCGAGAAGAGATATCACCAGGCGGAATTGCGGATGCAGAACTGGATTCGTGTTGCTCAGGGGAAGAGGTCATGACGGTGTCCTCGTTGTTATCCAGGCTCAAACGTCGCACAGTTTCATCCAGATTCCCTGTGGGTGTGGTTGGCTCTTTAGAAGTCGAGTGAGGTTCTGAGCGGCGAGGAGATTGCGGTTGTTCCGCACCGTCATCTTTTGGAGACTCTGTCACATCGGAAACGCCTACTTTCTCAAACTCGTCTTCGTCACCGAGGTTGGAGATTCGCAGCTCCTCAGTAGACGTAGACGCCGAAGGAGTGAAAGCATTCTCGAATTTCGAGGAACTGACCGAGATGTCGACCGCCGATTCTTCCGACTGTTTGGTAGACAGGAAAGCTCCTTGTTGTCTTAATCGTTCCCGCTCGGCATCTCTCTGTTGAATCAGCTCTTCACTACCTGGTTCGTTCAATAACCCCATATTGCTGCAATGCAGCAACTCAGCCATCAGCTCGCAAGTCTTGAACCGGTCAAAGCCCAGAGGCTCAATTTGGGTTCCCCAAGCAGACTTCAAGTGGCCTCGTTCCTCTACGCTCGTCGTTTCACCTTTCGTGACTGTGTGCTTTGAGCTGAGGATAAGGTGCATGAAGTCGGGGACATATTGAGCAAATAATTTCAAGAGTGTGCCGAGGTAGATGGGATCGTGGTTCGTGGGAGGGGTGTCTGAGCCATGACTTTGATCGGGATCGTAGTCGGAATTGTTCTTACGGATGACTTCGATCACAATACCGACACCAACCGTGAGTGGATTGCCACCCTTGAGCATGTACGAAATGAGCTGTTGGATACACTTCTCAGAGACAAGTTGACGCGTAAGACTGTTCGGGCCGATACAAGATTGTTGATCCTGGGCTGCATTTGCTGAGATGGTGATGATGGCCTTCAAGAAGTCACCAGCGGAAGTCTGAGTCGAGGAGTTGCAGTCCGGAGACAGGTTTGAAAGCAACATTGGTATCAGATCCTGGTCGTGCAACCAGTCCACGATTCCCATACCACCATCCGACTTTTCCAGACTAATGATCTTCAGGAGCAAGTCCATGACCATAGGGCAATCCACATGCTGCAAAATGGCTGGCACAATGCCTGGTAGCGACTTGAAGAAGTCCAGCATGTCCTCTGTTTTCTTTTCCAGAAGTGTTTCGTTGACTTTGGTGAAATACCCGGCCTGTAATGGATCGAGTGGAGCTGGTTGACGAAGGAAATCCCAAAAATCGGTCAGATAGGGCGTGTTGGCCATCAAAGACTCGGTGATGGACCAGGTCTCGCAAGACAATATCTCACAAGCCACAAAGGCATATTTCAACCTCTTCTTCTCAGCCTTCTCTTGCTCCTCATCGGATGGCTTGTCGGCATCCCGGGCGTCTTCTTTGACTGTTTCGTCATCTTCATTGTCTTCCGACTCCATCGACGGCCCTGGCGCTATCACATATTTCAGGAGAGTATGGAGGTTGTTTTCTTCGCGCAGAAACTCTATCAGCTTTGTGTGGTGTGACTTGAGCTCCTGAATGAGGTCAGACTCCTCCAGCAGGTCCTCAAGTTTAACATTGGGCTTGTCGAGAAGGGTGTCAATTGTTGATATGTTGGAGTAGCCTCCAAAGCGCCAGAACATTTTCACAAATTCCTCTTCAATGAGGTCGGCGATTTCTTAGTAGTGGTACAGACGTGAAGGTGTGTGATTGTGGTATAACAGGCCGTAGGCAGTCGTGAGTCGTAGTTCGAAGACTAAGCAAGACATAGAAATGCGGTCCAGGGCTACATTCGCTAAAGTCAGCTGGTACTCTTTGTGCGGCGAGACAAAGATAAGAGGGTTGAAGTCCAATCCTGTTCGATGCGCGACAGCAGGTCTAAGAGATAGGCTCACCTGTTTGTTGAAAGGAGTGACTGGAGTAGACGTCAGATGACAGGGCTGAGGCTGCGATATTCGAGCCGGCGCCTTTTGTTGTGCAAGCAGAGGTGAAGTCGCGCGTGAAAGAATGGCGTCAAGGCAGTTGTTGGATGGAGGTGTGCATGCGGTGGACACGAGATGCTGCGAATTGAGTGCGTAGCCTACGGAACTGCGGACTTGACCTCGGGCGGCTGGATGCGCATGCGCTGTTCAATCAATCCGCCTGTCGGGTACCGAACACAGATGCCTGGCGAAGTTATGTTTTTCTAGCTGGCACTCTCATAGCAAGATCTCAGGTAGGCTTCTAAGAATAAACTAGATTGTGTGACGCGCAATATACCTAAATTACTACTTGAGGTTCCGGCAAATACAGTTCGATCTAGGAGGGCGAATAAACGCTGCTTTAAGCAGTACTTCATCTGTTCAAATACCTAGATATCACATTCCGGCAGGGCTGGATGGATTCAACTACATTGATCGTGCCCATCCGATAAACCTTCATACATGGCGACCTTGGCTGACGCTGCGGTGGACAGATTGTGTTGGCGTTCTGTTGTGGAAAGTACGGCCTACACGAACGAGGCCGTGCCACGAGGCTCCCTGAGCTTCCGTCGGTAGTTTCAGCCTCATGGCGATCAAGAACAATGAAGATCAGCTTTGGGACGATACCTACGTTGCGCATGGACATAATTAAGAAGACGGGATCGTCTTCGCGTAGTAGATGCCAGAAAGGTTCTTGTTGACCATGACTGCAAATTGGAACAAGTCAGCCTTGTTCAAGCCGTACACGACATCTTTACCGGCTAAACCTCGGACGTAACTGATCATGTTGTTTCTCTGGCGGGAATGACGCAGGCTGCCTTTCTTTCATTCTTGCAGACAAGAAGCATATCCTCAGAGATCGCCTACTCGCACCGGCTATAGACGAGCCACAACATCGCAAAGATGAATCGGCTATTTGGGTCCAAGAATAATGCTCCAAAGCCGACCCTGAACAGTGCCATCCAAAATGTACTGCCACTACGTTCCTTGTCCAGACCCTTCCCATATTCTAACGATTGAACAGGTTGAGACAAGGATCGATTCAATCGACGTCAAGTTGGCCAAAATCAATGCCGAGCTCTCCACATACCAGCAGAAGCTGGGCAAAATGCGCGACGGACCGGGCAAGCAAGCCATCAAACAGAAAGCCCTCAAAGTACTGCAACAGCGCAAGATGTATGAGTCGCAGAGAGACCAATTACAACAGCAGTCGTGGAACATGGAACAAGCTGGGGTGATGCAGGACAACCTGAAAAATGTCATGACTACGGTAGACGCAATGAAGACCACAAACAAAGCACTGAAACAACAATATGGGAAGATCAATATCGACAAGATTGAACAGATGCAGGATGAGATGGCGGATCTGATGGAAGTCGGCAATGAGATCAACGAGAGTATAAGTCGAGCATACGACGTACCCGAAGATGTAGACGAGGCAGAGTTGGATGCCGAACTTGAAGCCCTTGGAGAAGACATGATGTTTGAGCAAGCAGGCGCGGAAAGCGCGCCAGGCTTCTTACAAGATGAAGTCGCGCCACCCCAGTTTGTTGATGAACCTCCGGAAAACACCAAAGTCAAAGAAGCCGCTGGTGGCGTTGGCTAAGAAGACATCGCGCCAGAAGGAACCATTCCTCCACATTATGAAGCTTTAGCGACTGGGCGGATTCTCTCCCTACGAGAGATCTTGTTGTATTTGTTTTCTGGTTTCAGGCCAGGCGTCAGGGTGGGTGTGGCGTCGAATAATTCAATATGATACCGTGATGCAACTCAAGTCCGTCCTCCGCAAAGAACCCCTGCCACTCTCATGAATTCTTCTTCTGATCCTGCGTCCAAGCCTTTACGGCTTTAGGTCCCTCGTGGGCCGCTTTGAAGAGCTGGCGCTCGGTCTCATCCAGGCCCCTCAGAAACTCAGCACCATCTCCGAGGGCACCTCGCGGGTTGTGCGCTTGATCAGCAATTTCTGACGCTCGTGCTTTGAATGTCTGATAATGTCGTCAGCGTCGCATCTGCCGTAAACAAGCTGCACCAACAAAACCGCAGAAACTCATTGAGAGACTGCCCGTAAAGTACTTACATCCAACAAAGTGTCTAAGACAGCTTGATCATCAAATAACTCCATAATACGAGCACCAAGCGCGTAAAAATGTGGTGCTTGCGCTCGTAGATCGACCGTCTTCGGGTCTGCTTTTAGAGCATTGATCACCCGCTGCTGAAGCGGCGTAGGGAAGTTGAGGGTGACCAGCTGGGATGCTCCGGGTGTAGCTCTGAGCGACATCGTCAGTCCCTAGATAGGCTGAAACCATGAAGCTGAAACTATTACTCACCCAGTCGAGACTGCAAGCATTACTCCTAACCACATTGGTAACTCTATAGTCGTGCCAGATTTGACCTATGGAAGTCTCAGCGTTGTTTCTCGGAATCCAAAGTTGATACTGACAGTACCGCCGGCATTGCCGTCCAAATAGCCCAGTCCTGGTACATCGAGCTGGAAAGTACAAGGCAGTTTCTGGGTGTCGGTCAAGATGGCGTCAATATCGTAGTAGGACATTGCCCTTTCTTTTTCATCTCGAGTGCTTCTTCAATGTAGCTTGACTCAAGAAAGATACTGACCGCTATATCATTCTATGGTACGGTACAAGGAACTAAGTGAGTATGAGAGAAAGGGAGTCGTTCCAGAACAGCCAATCAACGCGTCAACCTCAGCCTTGCCGACGCGTCTTTACATTGATTGTCAGACGAGGCTGCGCTACTCTTCCTTAATCTTGTACGGTCCAAACATCTGCTTCATCATCACCAATGTCTTCTCCCCTTCGTTGTTATTTCGACTATGAGCACTCAAGCTGCTCAACCAGCTCCGCAGTCAACCTCGTCGTCACGCCCACCGGTATCACTTGGTCAAACCACACATCTTGACCCGGGTGCCTACGTTCGCGGCAGTCACGCTATCACACTCGGTGAGCATAGTCTGGTACATCCACGCGCTCACCTTGTAGCGATTCATGGTCCAATATCAATCGGCGACGGGTGCATCATCTCCGAGAAGTGCGTGATCGGTGGTCCGGTGCAAGGCTCAGCTAGTCCAGGACTACCTCAAAGCCCTGAGACTGAGCACAACGAGTCTGATCCATCGAAGACCACAATTGGTGCAAATGTCTACATTCAAGCAAATGCACAGATCCATGCGGGAGCCACCATTCAAGATGCCGTGCTGATTGAGGCACATGCCGTGGTTCTGTTAGGTGTCACTGTCGGTTCGCATGCCAAAGTTTGCGCAGGAGTTACGCTAGAACGGGATCTTGAGGATTGGGCAGTCGTGTATGGCCATGGAGATGTCAAACGATCGAGGAAACCGAGTGCCGATGCTGGCGCGGAACAGGCAGATCTCGTCGAGACGGTGAGGCTAAAAGCTATGGACAAAGAGCGGGAAGGTACGGCTGCTATCTTGAAGTTGGCTTCACGAATGGCCAGTGTGGCAAAGAAGAAATGAGCGGCCGCATAATCCTATCATCCATGAGCCAGAGAGATCTGAAAGCACTTGGTGTTGTGAGTCTAGGGTGCGCCCAGTCCTTCTACGACTTCCTGGGCGCAAGTGCTGACCGAAGCTCGCCGCTTTCTTTTCAAGAGGAGGTCCACCATCAACACGTCGAGTTTGCCGCACCCATCACACGGTGTCCCACAGACTTCTTAGTCTGTATGAAATCAACTTTGTTGGCCAGGCATCAGATGGCTTTGTCTGATGTCGTTGAGGAGATACTCACATCTCAGATCCAGATCCTTCGGTTCTATGACCGTGCTATATGTCGGCAGAAAGACTTCGCGGTCAGAGCGGTGCTTGGCAGCTTGCAGGCGCAAAGTAACAGGGGCATGAGTACGAATGCGGTTCTGGATCAACGCTACACGAGGTTGAGACGCTCTTCGATCGAGAACCAAGACAGCAGAACAGACGTACGGCGGATCCGCACCGAGGGACGTTGACTCGATGCACGCGTTCGCCATACTCGGTGAGAGACGTCCAATATAACGGAGCTACCAGTACTGAGTATGTTCCTGTCAATGTCTAGCTCCTAAATTGACTCGGCCATGCTGTTTCGAGCACATGGTACCATGATCCTACAGAGCGACGGGTCTCTACTAGTCAAAAGCTGACCCAGAAGTGCCGAGGGCAAGTGTCCCTGCAAAATTGTGGACGAAAGCGGTGAAAACTCATAGTAGCCATGATGCAGTAAAATCTACAGGAAGTAAACCTTACGACATGCGCCTTGATGGTCTTTTTGAGTGAAGGACAGGGGTGATTCGTTGTTTGTTTACTTTGGCTTCACCTAAACGCGTAAGTGAATGCCAAGCCTCTCCTGCAAGCTACCCTCCGCAAAACATCACTCATCACTCCGCATACAGCTCCTTTAGGGTTAATAACCCTAGATCCATCCTTCCAGAGGTCATCACCAGCGTCAAATACTCTCATCATGCCACCTCGACGAAGTGCACGCTCGGTGAGCAGAAGGAGCTCTCCTCTCTCGGCTCGGGTCGCTCTTCCAGCTACCAGCAATGATGCGACGCAGAGCCAACGAGCCACAAGATCCTCAAGTCGCGAAGTCAACACTGCACAACAACAGCTGCAGAACATCACCAATGTCCTGCAACCCGTCAGTGAAGATCTTGAATCGCAGGATGTAGATGAACTCGATGACCCCGACGACCCCGACGATTCTCTTTCGCGGGTAACCAGTTCTTCGGGGACGCGGAGTCAGCTCGCCGACCTGGACCGGGAGGCCATAATTGAATTCCTCGTGGACCTCTATGACGATTCGACAAAGCTGATCGTTCTGTTTGAAGGCCTCGATGACAACGAACTGCGAGAACAATGCGAAAGAATACGGCAACCACAGTCAATACAGCGGCGACGCTTCGAAGGCCGAGAGAAACACCTGCTGACCAGCGGAGAGCCCTACGTGAGCGTCGACTTCATCAGATTCGATCACATCCTCATGAAGATCGCTGAACTCGCTCGTTCAGATGATCTGGAAAGTCTGGGCGATGGCGACTGGCGACCGGATCCGGTTCTCTACCTTGCAAATCTTGCTGTACAATTGCTCAAAGTCTTCAGCCTGTCACCTGATGATCGCGCTAACTACGTCCACTACATGTACCAGAGCTTCCCAAACCTATTTGCAGGCAAACGGTCCTTCCCCATCGAACCAGAGCTATTCGATAGTACTGTCGACCTGAGCATTGATATTCTTACCCAATTCTTTATACAGGACGCAGCTGGAAGTGCAACCGAGGCGGCATTCGATCCGGACGAACTTGCGAACATGATATTTTTGGGAGTTGATGAAGAGCCGAGTAAGGCCTTCCCACACACAACCACCCGGGAAAGGTCCGTGAAACGTCTGCAGTCGATCAGAGAGCATTTCAGTACGGATCCACAACATGCTGTGGACTTCGGCGCTCTCAGGCAGCAGTTCTCTTGGTCTGACTTTCTTTTCTCCGTGGTCAAGTGGACAGTCGCTCGCAAGGCCCAGATACAAGAGGCCATCAAGGCCAGGGGAGGCGTCGAGGGGATTCAGGAAAGGCTGCGCTCCGGGGATTTCTTGCATGATGCAGACTTACTGGCAGGAGCTAGCCCTGAACCTGGGTCAGCTGCAAGTACAGGCGAAGATGACGTGGTTGTTACTGGTAAGGTGATAGAAACACCGCTGCGACAAACAACTTGGAAAGGTCCCGCAACCGGCAAATCCCTGCGACTCGAGTCACATAGACTCAAGGAGCTTAGACAAAAGTGGGCTGCCCGCACATCCGGCCTCAGTGCCGATCCCGTACTGGACGACCCTCCGGAGACCGAACGAGTAATACCCCAATCACCTACGCCGGTCGAGCAAGCTGAGGACGAGCCCGCTGGTGCAGACGAGGAAGTTGAACAAGTGGAAAGGATAGAAGAAGTGCCTGCAGACGCAGTATATGGGGATGGCGAAGCCGAAGAACAAGTGGAACTGGATGAAGGGAATGACGAGCCCGAGGAACCGACTGTGAGACCTGCTGAGGAAGAGATCGTTCCCACACAACAGACACAAATAATCATGGCAACACTTCGTAGGCAGCAAGAACAAAGCGAAAAGGAGAACAAGCAACAAGGACCCATGGCAAGTCAAAAATCAACACAGCCTTCCAAGAAACGTTCTTTGCTTGACCGCCAGGCGAATGCACAGAAGGTCCCATGGAGCGAAGTACCTGAGGAACCATCGCCCCCTCCTGCTAGACCTCACAAACGTCTAAGGACAGGGTCTTCGCATTCAGAGGATTCAGAGGATGACGACTTTCAAGTAGACACGCGTATAGCGCAAGTCCTCCGATCCAGCGCAGAAGGTAGCACCCGCCGAAGACCAGCACCGCTCAATCCCATCCGAGAACGACTACGACCTGCTGTCGAAGAGAGTATCCACCGCGCTCTACCACCACGAACAGCACTCTCATCGAATCCTCAACGACACACCACCCTACCATCAGCATCGCAACCATTGCAATCACGATCCAGCACACAACCACAGAAAGCACAAAGACCGGTTCAATCAAGCCGTCCCACTCCCGAAACCCGCCTGCCTGCTTCCACTGCTCCAGTACACTCTCTAGCATCAGCGCCTCGATCTCCACCTCCGCCGAACGTTGACTACGAACGCATCAATCGCGAAGCAAAGCTCAAGACCCAGCAATACAGAATGTTAAAGGGACCGAAGATCCAAGCCCGCAAATTCTGGGAAGTGGATGAATGCCAGCGTTTGATCGAGCTCATCGAATTGTGCAGCACCAGTTATTCGAGGATCTTGAGTGAAGACTTGGCTCATCCCGATGGACCGCTATTGCAGTCCAGAAATCAGGGCCAATTAAAGGACAAGGCGCGGAACATGAAGATGGATTATTTAAAGTACGTACTCATGCACGTCATACACTTCATTGAGTTGTGTTACTAACACAGCCTGTTCTTCAGAGCGCGACAACGTCTCCCGATAAACTTCGAGCACGTCGGCATTGGCCAACGACTGGTCGACCAGCTGAAGGAACAGGGTATCGACTATGTCCAGGGACGATTTGAGGGTCAAACCCCCCAAGACGATGGTCTGGAGGATTTCGACGAATAAGAATTGTCCTCACTATTGTCTTTTGATGCTTCAGGGATAACGGTTGGCCTCGGAAAAGGGACATGTTTGCAATAGCGGGATAATGTTGGACAGCGTAGGCGCAGGAGGGATTGCTTCAAGCCAGCAGGGGACGTGACTTAAAGGCTGTCTTTGGTGCCTTCGTTGTATACTACGGATGATGACTGGACGTGCCGCAGTCGAAAGAACTGTTTAACGTCTGAACATCAGTACAACGTATGATGCCGCCGTCTCGACGTCCAAAATATTATTTGGCTGCCACTCCGGTCACCCGACGCGTTGCATACAAGCTATCAATATCGATGGGCTACTGTTGCTTCGAATTCCCATCCCCTAAGGAGAGAAAGATCCAAGATGTTATACAAGTCGAAACAAAAGTCGGTGAACCGCCTCCGCCATCATAGATAGTCCTGAGCATGCCAGCTCCAAAACCAGGGTCATCATCAAGTCATAAGTGTGAATGCAACAACCACAACCCAGGTCGCATAATCCAGGACGCCATGCTGGAGACGACTTGGGAAAGGGGCAAGTGTTCGTACCCAACGATAAAAAGAGAAAACTCTCAACGCCAGCCGCTTGTTCACGAATGTAGCAAAAAGTCCGCCAACTCCTTGTCCGCTTCCGACCAGTTTCCCGGATTGTCAACATCCAGGCCCATATGCCGTGCCATGCGCTCTCCCGCCGACATCTTCTTGTTCTCGACAGCCTCGAAAGGAGACCCGTTGTCGCCCATCACGACATCCTGATCGATTTCCTCAAATGGAGACAAGTCCTCGAGATCGAGACCATCAATGCCCTCGAGACTGACCATCCAAGGATCATCCTCTGTGACCTTTTCCGCCGTGGCTTGTTGGTCTTGCGCTGCGGGAAGTTCCTTGTCGCTAGCAATCTCTGGACTCTTGGATTTGTCGGTGGATGTATCGGTAAGATGGCCGTTGGGACCTTCTACTATCTTTCTCCACCTGTCGCTCGTGTTGCGGTACGCCTCGTAAAACTTCCGTTGTTCTTCCTGTTGCTTTTCCTGCGAGGCGAAAAGCTCGTCCCATTCGTCACCACCAAAGATGACACTTAGTTGATCAAGTGTAATATTGCTATGTCTCCAAGGATCGCCTTCTTCTTTCACTGTAGATTCATTGATTTTTGCAGAAGCACCAGTCGCGGTCTGGCTCGGAATCCTGGCCATATCAGTAGGAGTGGCTGCACCGCCTTCGCCTTTGACATTGGCAACCACTGCGGCTTTGCTCTCTGGCTTTGGTAGAGACTTCTTGATCTGCTTGAGGTTTTCATCCAAGTTAAAAGCAGACCGTAAAGACTCATGCAGAAAAGCCAGAGGGTCAGTGACTGGCTCCATATCCAACTTGTGTGCGAGATTGTGGTGCTGATCCAGCTCAACTTGCGTGGTAAAGCCTTTAAGTTGATGCTCGCAGCCTTGCACAGAACACTTGAATACCTCTGCTGGCTTTGGAGCTTTTGCCGCCTGTGGGGAAGTAGTGACCGAAGGTGTGCCAGCAGCACTAGGCGCGGTGGGTTGAGTCTTCTTACGTCTCTTCGGGTCCGCTGGAAGCTTGAGGTCTTCTTGTTTGAGTCCCGCATTTCCGTACCAAGCCGGGGCTCCTTGTCCTGGTTGAGCCCCAAGTTGAAATGGAGGCTGTGAGGAAGTTGGAGCAGGGGGAACCTGGTTCCCAGTTGATTTCTTGCGTTCTTGATCCTGCAGAAGGCTCAAGTTCTCTGGAGTCAATTGTGCAGGCTGTTGACGTTGTTTGTTGGGGATTTGTGCCATGGTCTGCTGAAATCTGGCAGTGATATTGTTGATGATCGCCTCTACATTATCAGCGGTGATGCTGAAATGATCTGCCAATTCAAAGGTCCTGTTTGGCAATGACGACTGCTTGAACTGGAAAAACAACTGGAATTTCTGCAGTTGAAGTTGTTTGATGGCCCCATCATCCGGTTCCATACGATAGATTGCCATGAGGAACGCATCGAACCTTCCCAGCATGTTCTTGACGTTGTCGGAAGTCAAGATCCTGGCAATTCGTTGTCTACTGGCCGCGTCCATATTCGTGATTGGGCGCAGCTTCGGCATGTTGGCCCTAACCTCGTTGCCCAGCTCAGCTACCTTCCTTGCCGCCGCCTGCTGCCGCTGCAAGTTGATGAATTGTTGCTTCTTGGTCGGATCCAGGGCATTGAATTGCTCCTTGCTCATTTGTGATGGCATCTTGTTGGCATCGATCTGTGGTTGAGATTGCTTGTTGATATTCGGATTAGGCACTTCCATCAAGTCATCATCGCTTAATCGCTTTGCTGCTTTGCCATCCGGCAGGCCCGGCGTTCCTAGAGGTCGGGTTTGCCCTGTTGCTTGGGCTGAAGCTGGCCGTTGCTGCTGTTGCTGGCCTTGCATAGGAGCACCTTGGTTCTGTGGCTGTTGTTGTTGCATTGCAAATTGCTGGCCCTGTTGAGATGACGTGGGTTGCATCGGCTGAGTCATTCCTTGGGCCGCCTGCTGCTGCATGGCTTTCTGTTGCATTTGTTGGCGATGACGCTGCAGGATCATTGCACGAATTTGGTCGTCGGAATGGTTTGCTAGTTTGGGGTTTGCGAGTCGAACCTTCTGTATATCTGCTTGAGTCGGCATACGAGGCTGCATTGGACCAGAAGGACCAGAAGGAGCAACAGGCGCTTGGCCAGGAACGCCTTGCATTGGCATTTGTGGCGTCTGTTGCATCTGTTGCATCTGCTGCATCTGCTGCATCTGTTGCATTTGTTGCATCTGTTGCATTTGTTGTGATTGCTGGTTCTGGCCTTGCGGCGCGTTGTTCTGTTGTTGTTGCATACTTCGGGTCTTCATGATATGGGCGAAATGAGTGGCCTGGATGTCAAGAACATGGGAGACTGGCCAATTTTGCACGGGGTTTTGAATGAGCCACTGCTTGAGTTGATACCATGTTTTCATATCTGGCAAGGGTGTATGCTGTCTGATGTTGTTGAACACCGCAGGGGGCACTGGCTGTTGGTCCATGATCTTCATCTGCGGTTGAGTTAACTGTTGACGAGAAGCTTGAGGTTGTCCCTGCTGGTTCTGCGGAGGCGGCTGCTGCTGCTCCTGTTGTAGCTGCTGTTGCTTCGACTGTTGCATCTGCATTTGGCGTGTTTGTTGTCTCATCATGTCTGGGGCTTGGGGGCCTAGCATACTCATATCTGGGGCCATCTGCGTCGTGGCACCTTGGGACAGTGACTGCGACATAGGCAAAGCACCTGGAAGGAAAGCGCCTTTCTGCATCTGGGCCATAGGCTGGGGCTGCTGCTGCTGTTGAGGCTGTTGCTGTTGCTGTTGCTGTTGCTGATGTTGCTGTTGCTGTTGCTGATGTTGCTGTGGCTGCGGCTGTTGTTTTTGCGGTTGCATACCTTGAGGCTGTTGTGACAAACTTCTCCTCATATTCCCACTCTGTTGGAACTGTTGCAGAATATTACGCCACTCACTTTGTGGTTTCTGGCGGAGGATCGCTTGAAGTGGAGCAGGGAAGTTTGCCAGAGCTTGCTCTTTCGAATTCGTCTGTTGTGGCTGTTGTTGTTGTGGCTGCTGCTGCTGCTGTTGTTGTTGGCCCTGCTGTTGCATGGCATTGTTCATTGGCATTTGCTGATTCATCATAGGCGTACTCGAGGGTGGACGAGGTATTGTCTGAGGACTCGCTCCTGTAACATTGGGATTGACCGGGCGGTTGATGGCTTGAAGAGGGGTGCTCGTCTGCGGTTTACCTTGTCCTTGACCACGTTGTCCATTCATCTGTGCCTGCGCAGCAGCAGCTTGAGCCTGGGCCTGGGCTTGAGCACGCGCCTGCGCCTGCGCCTGATTTTGAGCTTGTAATTGTGCTTGCTGCATCTTCGTCGCTTGCGCTCGTTGCAGATGTTGTTGCTGTTGGAGATATGCCGGGTTCATAGTGTTCTGACCTTGCTGTCCCATTCTTTGGTTGGCCATCATCTGTTGTTGGATACGCAGTTGATCCGGCATCATGCTCTGACTGGTGCTCGCGGGGACAACGAGTTCACCTGTCTCTTGAGATCGCAATCCTTCTGCTTGCTGTCCCTGGAATCTGCCCATGTCTGTCAGAAGCCCATTCGCATTTCCATTCATGCCTTGACTCGTCGCGTTCTGAGGGGTTGCACTCTGTTGCTGGCCCATCATATTGGCGTTGTTATTCATCTGTGGTCCTCCCATCCCTGCTTCCATCTGCTTTTGTCTCCTAAATTCTTTGGTGGCAAGCATGCGGAAATAGTATATGATAGGATCTACCGACTTCTGAGTCAAACTTTGACGCAACTGCGGATTCATCTTCTCGACAATGTTTCGCATCTCGTCCTTTGCTGTGCTCTTAGCTAGTTCGGCGGCTCTAAGGTTGATAGTTTTGTTGTCTTCCGCTGTCAGTTCAGGTACTCCATTCTGTTGCTGCTGTTGCTTTGGTTGATTGTTTGCCTGCATCATGCCGGCTTGACCTTGGTTCATCTTTGGCATGCCTTGGTTCATCATCATTTGAGGTTGATTGAACATTGGCGAGCTTTGCATCTGCTGTTGCATGTGTTGAGGCATGCCCATGTTAGGGTTCATGTTCTGTTGCATTTGCTGCATCTGCGCGAAATTCTGGTTGGTCATTTGCATGTTTTGTTGCATAGGCATCTGCATGCCCTGCATCATAGCGGCGGCGCCCTGGTTAACTTGCTGAGCTCGTTGGTCCCGTATCCTGCCCAACTTCTCGCTGCATTCTTTCACGTAGTCTTCTCTGCTGGCGCTTTGCGTGAAACATTTACGTTCGAATTGTAGAGCAACCTCAATTGCACGAGGTAGTTCGACAGGAGGTCTGACCAAACGAAGCGAGTCGACCAGCAACTTGATCTGTCCGGCTCGATCTCTGATACCGACATTGGCCTGCCATCCGGTGAATGGCCCTTGACTATTCAGCATGTCAAAGATATGCTGCTGAACCGAAGGATGGCTTAGGCTCATTTGTCCGCCCATCTGCTGAGACATTGCCCTCGGCATCTGACCTCCCATCTGGCCAGCCATTTGCCCGCCCATCTGCCCTCCCATTTGCCCGCCCATTTGACCATTCAACTGCCCTCCCATCTGTGGTCCCATTTGGCCAGCCATCTGCTGAGCCATGGTCATCTGCTGCATGTTATTTGGCATCCCACGACCCATGCCCGCCATATTTTGGAATTGTTGTGGATTCATGGTTTAGATAGAGTCGCCGTGGCGGCCAGAACGTGCCTTCTACGGCATTCGACCTTTCCGAGCCGGACTATCACTTGGTAGACAGGGCGTGACACACCTCGAAGTCCCGGCCAGCCGGAATAGTGAAGTGATCGCGGCGAGAAGCGAACGCAGGTAGGGAGGTAGTAGTAGGGGTCTGGTGAAAGTCACACAACTCGTACTCCAAAACTGAGTCAGGCTGAACGACGAAAAGGTCTTGGTGACACGATCCGCGACCAGAAGTCGAGCACGGACTAGGCTTGTGAAGAGGGTGGAGGCCGGCGAGATCTCGAGGATTCAGGCATAAGGATAGGAAGAGGATATCTTCAGGCAGGATAAAATGGGTGAAGGGATAGTCGGACTGCAGTCAATACTGGACTCGAGGCTTAGAGCAGCTGGAGTAGAAGTATGGCGCCTGAAGAGTCAGATGTGATGTGGTTGGGCGCCAGTAAGGCGCGTCGTATAGAGTCAAGCCAATGTTTCCACGATATTTTGACCGGTACTGGTGTTTTATTGGTCTCGTGGTTGGAACTTTAGCGGGTAAGGAAGTGATAGGTATTGGGTTGGCCGACGTATAAACAGTACAAGTTGTGGTAGAGTCAAACAGGTGAAGGTGAAGAGTTGTCAATGCGAAATAGTTCGACTAACGACGCACATGTAAGTATAGGTATGGAGTTATGGATTCTTGCAGGTGACGAGCGCAGGAAGGAAGAAGCCACGGGAGGGTGGGGAATGAGCAAGGCTCGACTAAGTTATCCATCTTCCCAAACTTTCAGGCTTTGCTGGCGTTCGCCTGGCACGCATGGGGACAGGGTTTATTACTTTAAGGAAGGACGCAATTCTAACTTAGGGGCTAACGGGGTTAGAAGATCGCCTAGCGATTGCCCTTCCCAAGCCGGTCTAACTTAAGCAACGTCACTCAACACCTTGCAACACCATTGCTGTACAGTAAAAGTCGCGCATGACCACTCCGCAACCATCCGCGCACTTCGCTCTTCTGCGATACTCGCATAGAGAGTTGAAAGGGGCACAAGAGCCGCTCGTCACCGATTACGAGTAAAGGGCTGCGACACTTCTCCCTCCTTATCCTTGTCGCACCATTGCTTATTGACTCCGGACGTTGCGACATGATCAATCACCCTTATACGAGCGACCATTGACGGGCTCTCCTGGTCGCATTTGTACAACTAGCAATATGGCCTCTTCGGTAGGCTCAGATGTGTTTGCGCTGTTGGCATTCTTGATGATCTCGATCGCGGTCCTCCTTCTTCTACGACATTACCTTCCTCTACGAACGACTCCTGCGTTCCTACTAGTTCCGATATACCTCGCCCTTGTCCTTCCCGTCAGTGCTATCCTTCTAGTCCCGATCGACCTCGCTTCCAGTGCGCATGAGCAAGAACATGGCGACAAAGGGATATGGCTACCAGCCAGGGCGGTCCTGGTTTCGTGGAGGATCGTATACTGGCTGACCTTCATGTTGACATGGGTGGTGCTGCCTCTCTTAGCAGAATACATGGATGCTGGATACCGCGACCCTAAGGCTCGCATGATATACTCTCTACGGTCCAATGGCAAATACCAACTCATCGTCATCTCATGCGGTGTCGTCGGCTTGATCTACATGATCTTCTCCTACGGATTCGACTTCACGGCCATAAGGGGGTTGGTTATGGCGCTGGCATATGTATGGGGCTTGATGCTTGCCATTTACCTCATGGGTCATGGTCTCGTCGCGATACCCAGGAAGATGTTCCGCAAAGCAGACATTGCCGGTAGTTTGCGCCGTGTGCAAGCCCAGGCGCCTAAGGTTCACGAAAAGTTGGAAGAAGCCATTGTCGCATTGGATGAACTGGAGGCGCAAGTTATGCAATTGAAGCAAAGGAAGACGGGAACAGCTCGCGACTTTCAGGAATGGATAGACGAATTGGTCGATATGACCGGTCAGCCCGAGAGTCGAATTTTCGCAAACCTGACCACCATTGACGCTTCGGCCAAAGTCCCAGCGGTCATCACGGAACGATATCTAGCCGACCTGACTCGAAGGCTCGTACGAGCACGACATCGCCGAGCCAGATACATCCATGAATGGGACAGCATCGTCCAGACAGCGTCCGATCTACAAACGATCATGGACTCCAAAGCCTCCAGAAAGTTGGACTTTGGCCGATCATCATCGCGCTTAAACTTCATGACGCCGTTCATGCGCTACCACCTACACGTCCACATCATACCAGCACTTCATATCGTCTTGGGAGGCATTTTATCCCTCGCCTCCGTCGCCGTGATATGGTCCGAAATCATCAAATTCCCAGCACCTCAACTCTCAGTCGTCAGTCTGACAGTCATCCACCACCCCAGCAACAAGAACTACCTAATCGGTCTGGGCGGCCAACTCCTGGCATCCATGTGGATCACATACATGTGCGTATGTGCCCTCAGCAGCGTCAACGACGTTCCGACCTGGAATCAACGAGCCCTCGTCAAGCGCAACACATACGCCGAGTCGGCATGCTGGTACGCCGGACAAATCGCCAAATTGACAGTGCCATTAGCCTACAACTTCCTCACTTTTCTGCCGGAAGACGTTCAGAAAGCATCCACATTCTACCAGTTCCTCGGTCGACTGATCAATTTGACTCCGTTGGGGACATGGTTCGACTATTTGTTCCCCATCTTCGTTTTGATACCCGTCTGTGCCGCACTGTTCAACTTGTACGGCCGAATCAAGAACGTTTTCGGGTTTGATATTCTCGAGGACGACGAGGAGGCCGAGAATCCATCTGGTTATGGGACCGGCGGGTGGCGTGAAGGCCGCGACCTGATCGCGCGTGATCTTCAGGGTAATCGGACGACAACACTGGGTCTAAGCGACTCGCCGCGGCCGTCGCTTGACACTGCGCGACCTTCAGGGGCACCGACGAGATGGGTTCCGCCTGCACAGCGCAGTGCCGCCATAGGGGGCGCGACGTCTTCCAGACCAACTGCTCGAGCGGCGCTCGATCCGGAGCCCGACGAGGAGAACTTCTTTACGCTTTTTGGCCGCAGAGTCAAGAATACGATTGACACGATCGACACGCCGAAATGGATGCAGCCTTCTTCCCGGTCCGGATCAGGCTTCAAGGTGCCGAAATGGATGGGCGGATCTGCATCTGGGAATGCTGATAACGACTCTGCGCCTTCGAGTAATCAATCTGGTCAGAGTAATAACGTCCTCGGGCTGTTTGGCTCGCGGAATGCTGATGGACGGATCATGTTATAACATTTGATATAGAGATTACTTTAGACATTGTGCAGCAATACTAATGATTGACGTCTTTCACATATTCAACAAACTTCTGGCTTCTGACCAACACGATCATCATCTTGAGTACTCCTTACTACAAGCTTGAGATCATTACCTGTACATTGTACATTGTGGATTGATACTGCAACCCCTTAGCGAAGACCTAATGAAATGTCAAACATCAATCTCGCATAATCGTAATCTCATTGTTTGTTATCCTCCAGAAGCGTTATTAATTAATCTTTGGCCGTAGTTACATACAATTCATCGCTATTATATTTCTCTCATGCCACCCGTTAGTCCTGGTGACTCTGGCCCCATTGGGTATCTGCCATCCGCTCCCGCTCCAACAGCGCTGGCGGGTATAGGCCGAGGAGGCCCTCCACCCAGGCCACCTCTCATACCGGGTCCGCCTCGCGTCCGCGGTCCTGCACGGGGAGCACCACTCATGCCGGGGATTTCAAAGTCGGGATTTCCTGCAAGCAGGACATCACGCTTCGCCTGGTGTTGCCGTCTCGCGGGACCAAGTGAGCTGAACTCCCCACCGTTACCTGGTCGCCAATTGGGATTGACTCCTCGCTGGCTGACGGAGGTGAAGTTACTGGCTTCGCTCTCGGCAGGCGACCGAGCGCCTGGCAGGTCTTCGTAGGAATTTGTTTGTGGCAGTCTGGTGACCGAGTCCGGTCGGTATGGTCCAGGTGTCAAAAGAGGAGGCACTCTTGATTGGTTTTGTAGCGGAGGGTTTTGTGGCATGGGTGGCATGGTATCGGGGTCGGAGGCAAAACGCGGGTCGACATCTTCATAATATACATCACTCTGACCACCAGAATTTACACGGTTCTTTCGGGGTCCGGGGGGGTAGCCTCCCACGTGGCTTCCACTGGTAGGGAGCTCAATTGCAGACCCTTGATAGCGCCCTGGAGACCCGGGCTGAGCAAAGTCGTTGGTGGACGTATTGTTCCATGCAGCACGCGGAGGAACGTATCTGCGAAAGTCAGTTTCAGATAACATGCTTGACCGCTTCTCACTTACTGATCTTGAATTTGTGATCTTGAATTAGACTCTCTCGAAGTGCTCGGCAACTCTGCAGCTTGAGATGGAAGAGGGGGCATGGCTGGAGGTAAAGAAGGTTGACGAGCAGTTCCACTCGGAGACTGCAGTCGGCTTCCGTAGGATGGCATCCGTTGTCCTCCGGGAGACTGTGCGCGGGCGCCGTACGGAACAGCTTGCTCTTCACCACTGGTCACGGTAGTATATACAGACGGACTGATTGTGTCACCCCTGTTGGGCGATCCGTTTTCGATGTATGGTGTCGAATTGGCAATGGGCCCGAACGGTCCCATTCTATCCTGATAGTCCTCGGGTGGTGTGACTCTGTCCGGTCCATTGCCTCTGTAACCTGGCGGAGGACGACCTTGCCCACCTGCCATCATTGCACCGGCTGCCATAGCTCCCCCAACAGCGCCAGCGGCACCCGGCGGAGGATAGCCACCTCTACCACGTCCGCCATAATTTCCTCTCATTTCCGTCGAGAATCCACCGCGACCAGGGTAGCCTTGAGGTGGTGGAGGTCCCCTGGGACCATAACCGCCACGTTGAGGGTAACCTCCCCGAGAGGGATGGCCACCCCTGCCACGTCCGCCGTAGGTTCGACTACCCGGTGGAGGGACCGAGCCGTCGCGGTAAGGACCTTGAGGAGGTACAGAGCCATCGCGGTAGGTTGCTGGTGGTGGGACGGATCCTGATCGATAAGCACCACCGGGGTTTCGTTCTTCTCCGGATCTTCTGCCTTGGGGAGTCATCGCGGCGCCGACAGGAACTGGAGGAACGTTTCCGAACTGATCTGTCGGTCCGCTGTAAGGGGGTCGACTGCTTGCTCGAGAACCAGGAGGGTAGAAGCGTTCCGAAGCACCGTCCCTTGTGGTCGCTCCATCGGTAGACAATGCTTGTGATCTCAGGGGCTGAAGTTCTTCATCAGGCCTATGGTTCGCGTCATATGTCGCAAAGTTTGGCAACCTGTCTCCGCCAGGAGCACCATTGACCATGGGCATTGTGGGCTCTGCTGTGGTGAAGGTATTGGTCTTGCTCTCCTGCGCCTGTCTGTTGTAGAAATTCTCCCCGCTCATTTCGGCATTCTCTGCGATTCTCTTCTTGCGCGCCTTGCGCGAGACCAAAGTTCTCCTCATGGCACAGGTGACCACCCCCGAAGCCGCGATCAAGATTGTCGAGGCGAGCACGATCCATCCTGCCCATTGTAAATGCGGGACAAACAAGAGGATATCAACCAAGAAAGCCAGGAGTGTGACGAGTAAAGTTGGCAGCAGGAGGATCAGAAGGCCCAGCAAATATCGGGCAGAGTGCGATGGAGAATGCAAGTGAGCGGCTGCAGCCAAGGCAAGGCAAACCAAGTTCATGAACGCAGCGACCGGGTGGACGATGAGGAGCGACGATAAGGAATGCCTGGTGCTCGACGGCAAGCTGAAGTCTGAACTAGAGCTGGACAAGTCATCTGCAGGGATGTCAGTGATCTTTTGTGCCATCTACGGGTCAGAATTGGTCATTACCCGTTGTATATCCCACTCTTATACCACTGCATCCTGTGGTAGTACAATAACCGAAGACACCAAAGTTGACACCCTTATAGGTTGCGATAGGGATTCCTTTGACCACGGGAGTGGATATGACGGAGAGGAGTAGAAGGACGAAGGATATGAACAGTAGGACCGTCAGAGGAGTCGCGGGTTTCAACATTTTTGGAAGTCGCAAAGTGGGATGCCGTTGGAGGATGCACGGGTGCACCACAGGATGATTTGTTCAAGTGAATGGCGCGATTGCGCCGAGTCGAGTAAGGAGAGAGGTGCGCATGGATGAATGGTGATATGGAACGAGCGAAAGTGGTGGGTGTTGAGAGTGAGTGCAAGTATAGCACAGAGGCTACAAGTTTTACTGTGATAGACTGTACTGTACAATAAGTGAATGGATCGGCAGCGTGGAGAGAATGAGGTGGTGGTGGTGGTGGTGGTGTTGAAGCGAAAGAGGCTGTGCAGTGGTGCAGAGTGCATGCGGTTTTGAGATCCAAAACCGGGAAAGGAGTGGATTTCTGGGTTTACTGTGGCCCTCCACTGGGTCACTGGGAGGCTGCTTCAGATTGGAAGTTGCGTCTACCAAGTGGAGGAGAATCGTCCAAGACTCGTCGACATTGTCCGGCCGACAGTTGAGCCACGGACCTTAGTAGCTTAGCACTGCTTAGGTTGATGCGTGGGAAACATGGTTCAAAGTGTAAAAAGGAACAGACCAGCCCCCAGCAGTATGTCCGTCCCATTGTGTGTAGATGTTTGGATACCTCAAGATGATGGCCTCACGCACATCATGATACATACAGTACATAGTCTCCGTTGTCAATGACTCTGATGCTGACGTTGACAGTGAAGAAGGACAAACGGCTTTCGTGGGTCAAACATGTTTCGAGGTCCCCGTCCACGTCCACGTCCACTTCAACTTCAACACGCGAGAACCTGGAAGATTACAGCGCGCAATCTCCTCCAAGGAAATTGGTCACGTGTAGGCCGCGTTGGTGGCATGATGATTGAAAGAACCAGCTTGGATCTGTGGTACTCTACACGCAAGAGCCATCAACGACATAGTCCGTATTTTCTATTCAAAATGCAGTCAGTTATTCAATGGGAGATCTAGGGTCCGTCTCGAACCAGGGTCGAACCTTTAACTCCGAACACTTAAGGGCTGATGGCTTTATCTATCAAGATCAGTGACCTGTTGTCATTGTTGTTGGCTGTCATGAACATGCTGAAATCCGACGTAATATTGACGATGTTCTTCCCGCAGAACAGAATCAATTCATGCCCTATAAGAGGAAACCCGCTCGCCAAATGCCAGCCTGTGAATCCATAATCGCTCACTGTACAGGGAGCAACAGTGACCATACAGCCAAAGTGGTGGTCACTCTCGGGAGTAGCCCATTGCAGATGATTCGAATATCATGCGCGCAAAGCATCCTCTGAGCACACCACCTTTTCCATGGATGCTCGGCGGTCCGCAATGAACTCCCAATGTCATGGGAACCATAACTCAGCACGAGGGAAGGCCCCCAGAAAAAAGCGGTAGTGGTTACCAGGTCAGTTCGGTTCTCTAACTCTTCTAAATACAACTACCTAGTCAACTAGCCCAAGGCATTGACCATATTCTTCTTGGCCCGAAAACGAACAATTCGCCGAACCATATGGACAGCGGGGTCTGTATGCATTCATTGCAAAAGAGATCAGGCAAGCAGTACCCCGTACATCTTGATTAATGCGCTACCCAGGACTCTGCGACGAGGCATCTCTAGGTTACAGTCGCACGCAAGATTCGTGTTCTTGTCCTGGGACAAACTTTTCTAGGCGTGCACCGCTTCCAGGTTATTTCGATAAGCGAGCCCAATCGCTATGGGCACGGGGCCCCTATAAGCACGGTGCGACGTCATTCCGTAAGATCTGGGGGGCATGACAAAGACAAGGATGGGTTTTTGGGGCGTGGATGCCAAAAGCATGGGTACCCCTCCTCCGATTTTCGATCTTTTTGACATCTGCAAGACATATCTTTCCCGCAATTCTACGAGCATCAACACTGCATTGCATGTGGTTGATTTTCAAGCCTCACTTTCTTTCTTTGCTGCGCTGCTGACCACCACTGTCGTTCACGACCGTCTCTTACTACTTTACTCAATAGCAGTAGGAACAAGGGATGCGCGCGTCGAGTGTGAAAGAGTCACTTCGCACTAATCCTCCCCCAACGATACAATGAACGACCCTGGCCTTGATGGACCGATCGACGATGCCTACGATCAGGTCAGAGAAAATGTCATCGAAGCCAAGGATAAAGAGCATCCTCAGGATGACATGGATGAGGAAGAGGAGGAAAGAAACTTCTTGATGCCTGCAAGATGGTGGTATGCGTCGACCGGATTCCCTCTCGTTGCCGGCACGTTCGGCCCAATGGCCAATGCATTCAGTGTCTGTGCCTTGGTAGAGAATTGGAGAGTCTCGATCCCGCCAGGTGGCACAGAGGAACACGGTAAAGACATAAAGGACCCAGGATGGTATGCCACCCATCTCTCCTTTGGCGCCCTATGGCTCATACGTGACACTACAGGCTCATTGCTGTGAACGCCGTCTCACTCGTTTGCGCCTTGATCGCCAACATGTCACTCCTCCTTAACATGGCTCGCCGAGTGCCCTTCAAGATTGCCCAACCCATAACCATCCTAGGCTTCTGGTTTGCCTCCGTCCTCCTCATCGCCCTCGTTGCCGTGGCCGCTCACGACTTCCACGCACCCGGGGTGAAAGATCAGGCACTATCCCAAGCATATTACTATGCTATCTTCGCTGCCGGCCTATACCAGATCATCTCCTATCTGATGTGTTGTACCGTGTACGGTGCTTACAAAGGCTACTATAGCAGGGAATTCAAGCTCACCGTCGCTCAACGCACGTTGATGCTGCAAACCATTGCATACTTGGTCTATCTGCTTCTGGGAGCACTGGTGTATTCCAAAATCGAAGGGTGGAGGTTTTTGGATGCTGTGTTTTGGGCCGACTTCACCACTCTCACTATCGGCATTGGTGATGATTATACTCCGTCGACTCATCTGGGTCGAAGCTTAATCTTTCCGTTCGCCATTGGTGGTATCATCATTCTGGGTCTTGTGGTCGGGTCGATCAGATCACTCATTTTAGATAGAGGAAAGAAGAAAATGTCTGCTCGATTGACCGAGAAGAGCCGTGCTCGACTGGTCAAGGAGATCGCGAAAGCCACGCAGAGGAGAGACAAGCAGCGCAAGACCATCATGGGTATCAAAGGAGATACCGCAGCCGCATTGCAGGTCAAGCCAGGCGAAGAGAAAATTGCAGAACTCGACCGAAGGGCTGCCGAGTTTGAGGCCATGCGGAACGTCCAGGCCCGAGCCGCTACAGAACGCAAGTATATGAGCCTTGGGATCTCCGCCTTTGCATTTACATTCTTGGTATGTTGCACAATCAGCCCATAGAGGCGTTGGCTGACCATCTGCAGTGGACCATTGGGGCACTCGTTTTCTTCAAGGCAGAGCGGAATCAGGACTGGAGCTATTTTGAGGCTTTTTACTTCTCTTACACAACCCTCTTGACTATCGGATATGGAGACTTTCAGCCTATCAGCAACAGCGGCAAACCCTTCTTTGTGTTTTGGTCATTGCTGGCCGTACCCTCTTTGACGATCTTGATATCCGATATGGGCGATACTGTTGTCAAAACCATCAAAGACGTCACCATCTGGTTGGGTGAGATTTCTGTCCTGCCTAGCGATGAGAACAGCACGAAGGAGAGGTTGAAACATGGTATCTACAAAGCCACCCTGGGAAAGGCAGCTTCGCCTCACGAGGACGTCGAAAACGGCGCCGACGAGGCTGGTACGTCCGGATACCAAGAATTGCACCCCGGCTTAACGAAGCTGTTCAAGAGAGGTGGAGGAAGAAGGCGGCAACCAGAATCTAGAAAGGATCGCGCCAACCAAGACCACATGGCCAAAGACTTTGAGGACGCAGAAAAGAAAGACGAGGGTGAAGCTCGCGACAAAGGAGATCGCTGGGAAGAGGGTAAGAGTACTTTCCCTCCAGAGAATTGACGACTGACATACGTAGATGAACATCATTACCGACACGTCCTCATCAGTGCAATCCGACGAGTCTACGAAGACACCACAGCATCGACTCCGAAGGAATACCGATATGACGAATGGGTATATTTCCTGAGGCTGCTGGGCGAGGATGAGCACGATGCATCGGCCCACCGACATGCCGCGGACATTGAAAACGATTTTAGTGGACATGATGATGATACCACTCAGGCAAAAGCATTGGAGTTGAGCGGACAAGAAGGTGCGTTCGCATCGGGGACTGACAAAGCCCCGAACCAGAAAGGAGAGAAAGTCAAATGGAGCTGGATTGGCAACCGAAGCCCACTGATGGGCGACAAGGAAGAAGCTGAATGGCTTTTGGAAAAGTTGTTCATTCGACTGGAAGAGAGTCTTCGAGGAGAAGGAAATGAGAAGGAAGAACAAGTTAAGGGCGAAACAAAGAGGAATCATCCGCAAGAGGACGGGACGAACGAGCAGAGAGAAGCGACTGAGAAGCACATGCAGAGTAAAGAACAGGACAAAGATCCGGAAGAAAGGAAGAAACACGAGGAAGAAGACGAAGAAGGCTCGAGTGAAAAAACTGTGACAGGCGACGAATAATGGCTAGGGTGGTGTTGAGGCAAACAATGAAGAGTCGGACAAGGCTGACGGCGTTTGGATGTTCCCATTTGGGAAGCTTTTGTCGCTAATGATCTCCTTTTCTGGTTGGAATTGGGTAACACACAGGTTTTGAATTTAGCGAAGGCGTCGGAGGTCTTGTTTCGAAGGCATTGAAGGGCCAAAATCTGCATATCGGTATGTTTTTGGCTATTGGGAAGCATTGCCGGTCTTTGAGGCTGGATACTCAGGTGTCGATATCCATAGTCGTATACTGTACAAAGGAAGCACGAAGACTATTACGACTTACCTGGTAGGTATGCATTGTTCCATTCTCCCGTAATCAGAGTATCTTATCTCTCGGTATAAATGTACCCCGATAGTAAGTCGTCATCAGGCAGAGACCACCCCCAAGATCTCACGCCACCGCCGCATACACCCCACCCCGCCTTGCATCCCTCTCGCTCTCGAAAAGTCCGGGGCTACTGTAAGTCGACGTAACCGAGGTCACTCGATACGAGGACATCCCCCAGCATTTCCAACTCGAGGAGTCTTCACCTAGAGGCATGTAGATACGAGAACCTCGTACTCGCACCTGACCTTCTATCAACTACACTCATGGAGAACGCCTAGATATGATGTTCATAGGGAGGGTTCAACAAGTCCTGCGAAGGCCAGCCTATCGCGAAGTGAATCATCGATAACTGCCTGGCATTCCAGATTCATATGTGCGAGACGCACCTCGGTATAACTCGAAATGTGCTGGTGTTTGCCTGACATCCGGTTTCGCCGCTCGGTCCATCTCAGGTCATCACTGCAGCATCACTCCACCATTCACAAATCCTGGAGTCTGTCGCCAGTCGACTCCGGGCGGCTCCCCACCCCATACTTACCTATGGACACACCTCACTGACAGCGCTTGAAATTGCTCGAATTTATAAACATCCACATGTCGATCACTTCCGCCACCACCCCCATGTGTTTCAACCAGGATCATGTCATACGTGCAACACTCCTTTGGCCCGCCTACGAACCCCTCACGAGGCCATCGCACGGACTTCGGAATATGATCCGGTGCCTTTTGCCCTTGGAAACCCATCCGGGGGAAATCGAGACGCGGGGTTATAAATACGCACATAACGACTTGCATATGATCTTGCGAGATCGGCACATCTACCTCCGTTGCACGTTGTCCTTTGTTGTTGCTTCAAAAATCGAAGGCATAAGCTGAACAAGGCCAAAATACCTGAAAGATGGGCTCTCATCAAATAGAAGAGGTAGATGTCCTGCTCGTCGGGGCTGGATTCGCTTCCTTTACCCTGCTAAATCGGTAAGCTCGAGGCCCCAAGCAATACCCACCTCACGAGTCCGCTAACATGCCACAGACTCCGCAAGCTCGGATACTCTGTGCGTATCTTCGAAAAAGGTGCTGCCAGTGGAGGCATCTGGTACTGGAATTGCTACCCAGGCGCTCGTGTCGACACTGACACACCTATCTACCAACTTTTCGACAAGGAATTATGGGAAGACTTCACCTTCCACGAACGGTACGCCGGCTGGAAAGAACTCCGGCGATACTTTGACCACGTCGAGAAGAAATGGCACGTTCGAGACTACACCTCCTTCAACAAGAACGTCGACAGCGCCGCCTTTGACGAAGACCGGCAACAATGGCTCATCGAATGCGCGGACGGCACTGAGATCTACGCACGCTGGTTCCTGCCGTGTATCGGCTTCGCAAGCAAACGATATACACCACCCTTCCCTGGTCTGGGTAACTTCCGAGGCGACATTTACCACACAGCCGTCTGGCCCCAGCACGGCGTCAACCTCAAAGGTAAGCGTGTTGCCGTTGTCGGCACAGGCGCTTCTGGCATTCAATGCATTCAAGAGCTGGGCGATATAACGAAGGAAATGACGATCTACATGCGCACACCAAACATGTGTCTGCCCATGAACCAACGACAACTCGACGAGAAAGAGGAAGAAGAAAAGAAGAAGAACGGCTGGTACGAGCAACAAATTGAAGCCACACGCCACACCTTCGCCGGCTTCACATACGACTTCGTCCAGCGCAAGACCTTCGACGACACCCCCGAAGAGCGCGAGAAGTTCTACCACGAGCTCATGGTCGAAAAGGGCGGTTTCAACTTCTGGCTCGCCACATACAAGGACATGCTCTTCGACCTTAAAGCCAATGAAGAAGCCTACAACTTCTGGCGCAAACAGATCCTAAAACGACTCAAGGACCCTGAAAAGCAAGCGCTGTTCGCGCCCGAGGTCCCGCCTCACCCATGGGGCACGAAGCGTCCATCCCTCGAACAGCGGTTTTACGAAGTTGTCGACCAGCCGCACGTCAAGGTCGTCGACGTCAATAAAGCGCCCATCGAGGAAGTCACGGCCACCGGCCTCAAGACGAGCCAGGGCCAAGTCGATGTCGACGTCATCATTCTGGCGACAGGCTTCGACAGCGTCACTGGATCCCTAGCCCAGCTGAATATCCAGGGGACCAAGGGCGGGACTATAGCCGATCACTGGAAAGATGGTACAAAAACGGCAATGGGAATCGCCATGCCCGAGTTTCCTAACATGTTCTTCCTTTATGGTCCGCAGGCGCCTACCGCGTTCAGTTCGGGACCAAGTTGTACGCAGTTCCAGGCTGAGTGGGTGGAGAAGGCGTTTAAGATAATCAAGGAGAAGGGTATCACGAGACTGGAGGCCACCCAGGAGAGTGAAGATGACTGGTGTAGACGTTTGAGAGAGGAGTGGGATGCTACGTTGTTTCCTATGGCGAAGAGTTGGTATCAGGGTGCCAATATCCCTGGACGGAAGGTTGAGCCTTTGAATTGGTGAGTCTTTACTTCACCCTTCACTATATCACGAAAGTATCTGCTAACAGAAAGACAGGGCTGGTGGCATGGTTGAATATGTGGGTACCCTGAATCGGAGTCTGGAGAATGATTTGCAGGGCTGGAAGGTTGAGACTGGCAAGTCATAAACTCGACTCCTGTTAGCCTGTAGCATGATGGTTGGCGACGCGTATACTGCTCCGCTCAGTGTAAGGCAGTTGATGGGACAGATTAGCGATTGATCTACATCGCAGGTCAGAAAAAGACAAGACAAGATGGGATAAGACGGCGCGCTGGTTTGGTGTACCTCAGGACGAAAGTATTGCAATGTGACTGAGTCATGAAATGGTGAAGAGGGACTTGGTATCACAGTTACCCTATATCCTCGAAATCGAAAAGACTGTTCGCATTTATGGGTTAGCCTTATTCGAATGGTAAATATTGACTGTCTGCCTCCCGACGTGGTATTGGTAAGAGTAGAAACAACAATTTCTTGATCTCATCGGAAAGGGGCGCGCAGCCTTGTATTATGTAAGCAACCCCTTTTCATCATTCGGTGCACTATTTCAACGTCATAGGCGTCCTCCCTAGTTCGATCCAGTCTGCTGATGATCACGGACGCCGTTGTTGCAAATCTACTCATACTGAGTGTTGGTAATTGATCTACTCCTAACGTCAATCAGCCTCTTGAAGGCCGCCATCCCAAAGAGGCACGCCCAATCATCCGGTGACTCGTTGGCTCATAGACTCCTGCCCGCTCAAAATGATACACAGCACACTTTCGCGCCTCGCGGGCGTCCCGACATCTTCATTGTCTTCTTCTTCGAACATCAATTTCTCAGTCGATCCAGCCATCAGTAGCTTGTCGTTGCTTCTTGATTCGTCTCCGCGCCGCGTTCTTGCAGGACCGACAGTTGATGACGCCGCAACGTGAACATTCGAAGGCCTGCTTCTCTTTGGCAACCTCTCTTTCTGGAGACTTGTTGACGGCGGAGGTCTCAACCTGGACGCTGATCTTGCCGTGGCCTTCGTTCTTCTTGTTTGCCGAACTTCCATCCGAGAGCCTCGCCTTCTGGAAACAAGTCATACATTCAACCTCGACGATCTCATCTTTCAATGGATCGACTCCAACGAGCCAGCGCTTCGGAACTTCTTCCCTGTCAAGTTCGCGAAAGTGATGGGTGCAGCCCCAGACATCCCAATTCTCATCAGTTGGCTCCTCTCCAAAATCAACGGACTGCACTTCCCAGTCAATCTCGTGAGGATCGTCCAAGTTTGCAGGAGCAGTAACGGTAGGTACCGCCTCAGCCTCATTTGCCTCAGCAGGGGCAGACACTGGAGTGCTGCCGATAAGTGTGGAGGCTGCCTGGACAAGGTCGACTTCCGCAGGATCGACAGAGTAAAGCGCAAGGGGGCCAGCTGTAAACTCGGTTCCTGAACTCCCACCAATCTGTGCCACCAGCTCACCCAAGCGGTTCAGGTTCGCACTCTGCATTTCCATGGCTGTGAGAAGCGCCGCCATGCCAGGTGCGTGGGTATCGTCGACAGTCCTGTCTCCAGTAGTCGGGACAGGGTCAACCTGTTGTTGTGTTTCATCCGCATTGATTGGTTCGACTATTTCTGGTTGTTCGATGGATTCCCGTGGTTCATTTTCAGACTCGACATCGCCCTCCTCTTCCCCTTGAGACTCCTCGCCGTCCTCTCGAGCAGCGCTGCAGGGCTTCGATCGACATACCTTAATGGCTCGACCACACTCCCAGCAAAAATGCGCACCACAAGGGCATCCTGTCAAAGTCAGAAAGCTGTGTCGGTGAACACTGGGACAATGCAAAAGACTCGTGCTTCAATGGCATAGGTTTTCGCTGGAAAGGATACTTACTGATATGATCGCAACCATACATTCTCATTACGCCGGTACCACATCTTGGACAGGGTCTGTAATCGAATGTGTCGATGATGAATTCCCGCCCAGCATCTTTTGCGCAGGTGTGGTCCTCCGCGGCGAGCTGCTTACATTTCAGACAGATGGAAGCCTGGCAGACGTGGCAGTTGACTCTGGTGGCGTCCGCCTTGAACATGCGACGAGGTATGAAAGTTGAGCAGGTTGGGATCGGGCAGTAAAGCGGGTTCACGTCGTTCACTTCGTCCATTTTGGATTTGTAGATTTCGAGCTCGGCTGCGGACAAGATACCTCGAGCAACCTCGTGGTGTACGACTGTGCTACAACATTTGACAGGGAACCGTGTCATGTCGTTCATAGCATGCTGGAAATCCTCTTTGAGACAGGTGTAACAACATGGTTCTTTGCATCGTCTGCAAGGTGTCGAAAAGGGCTCATTGTTGGGGAATTCACAAAAGCAGATTTTGCAAACTGTCATGCCTGTCATTGGCATCGTTTTCGCACGCTTGCGAGGTGCCGTATCAGAATCTCGAGCAGGTTCCGTGACATGATATCGAGGATCACCAAAATCGCCATCGTGAGAAGCAACAGGATAAGATCGACCGGCGATAGAGATTTCGGGGTGTGTGCTAAGTGAGTTTGCCGCATCTGCGGCGGTAGCGAAGTGGAAAACAAAGTCTTGGATAATTCGTCCGCGCCTCTCAGCTCTTGTTCCCGAAACCGTAGCGCTCAGATATCCTTCCGAGGCCGAGAAGTGCCGTTCAATATCGCCCAGCGAGGTGACAGGGTCGAAGAGGACGCCTTGGACTATGAGCGACGTGGGACCTTGTCCGGCCATGGTGTTCAGGAGGCGTAGAGTGTCGTTGTCATCATGTGGTGGTGTTTCTGTGAGGGTTGGTGCTTCGTCTGATTTCGAGGTGGTTTCTTTTGATGCACGAAGGCGGCGCAGGAGAGTGAAGTGATGATGTGAAGTGTTGGGCGCAAAGGCGGTGGCAGAAGAGGTGTGGTGGATTTGGTGAAGACGTGGGGTGAGATGAAGGCCGCGAAGGAAGCGAGTAATTGACGCAGTGGCCATGGTGAAGTAGAAGGACTCCCTGGTACTGTATTTGGTAGCCAAGGCTGAGGGTGATGAGTATGGGATCTGGGGTATGATATAGGCAACCGGACTAGGCAGCTGGGACTAACAACCCCCCTGCAGACAATGTACTTACTGCGCAGCTCTCAATCAATGATTATCTACTGATCAAGTAGATATCTCTGGCTCTTTATAACAGTTTTAGATTGGATAAAAGAGTCCGTTCACCAGATATTGTATTTGAGTCATGTTTGCTGGTAGGTCAGCCTAGTGGATATGAGGCTGTACGATACTAGGCCACACAAATGCAGCGCTGCCTAAGTCCATCATGCAGGAGATGCTTATTGGTTCGCTTACGGATTGTTTGAATGCATATGACTCCCAAATGATCTATGGCCACGAGTTTCACATATCATAAAGCAAACCGGAGGTTGAAAGAGAAACATCTGAATCATATCAAAGGATTCAGCCCCGAAGCTTAAGACCTGCCGCGGCAAGCAAGATGATTGGCTGATACATGGTATCAATAGGCTCCCATCAGTCTGAATATCAGACAAGTTTGTCTCCAGTTCCGACGCAGAGTACATCAAAGCAGCAACTGGGGGCAACCTTGAACGCCTGGAAAGTCGTTGGCAATGATCCCAACAACGGCGTCATCCTGAACTCCAACACGTTCACGTTCACCGCAGTGGAAGCCTTGACCGCAAAGCACTAGATGATACTGATAGGAATGCTGGCCTTCCAAGTGTCATTGCTCTAAGGTACGGCCTAATGTACAGAAAACTCCAGAAAGCTAATAAGCAGTTATATTACAATGTACTTGACAAGTCCCAAGAATCAGACAGTGCCACTTTTGCTAGAAACCAGCTTCAAGGACAACGCAGTAACTCATCCTGATGCACCATGCCCATCAACCACCAGTCATCAACTCATCAATCCTCCTTGGACCTGGCAGCCGCCGCACCCGCAACAGGCCCCGACCCAACCTCCTTCTCGTAGTCTCTTTGAACGACATCCAACTCAAAGTCAGCCTCGCCCACCAATTTCTTCGCATCGGCCAACAAATCCGCCAAATCCTCCGCCAACATAGTCGTGGACACCTGCATCACAGCGAAGGCCGAGTAGCCCGGCTCACAAACGTGTCTGGTGTTCAGGATATCCGCATCTACCGAAGTCAACATTTCGCCTAGGCGATACCGTTCCGGAGCCCTCAAGTACGGAGGTAATGGCTTCCCAGTGCCGATCGCACCAGAAAGTATAGCGAGCATCGACGTGACGTGGTGAGAGGTGACTTCTAGCGATGCGACAACATTCTTGAAGTCCTGAAGCCATGTGTTCGCGTCTCCCTCCACGTGCGCATCATCAGGTAACTCTTTGAATGTCTTGGTAACGTACGCGATCATGCCCGTGAAGCGGAGCATGCTATGATCTCTTGTCAGCATAGCACCTTGACTTGTTGAGCGAAACTCACTTCTGCGTATGATTGAGCAACCTCTCGTACAATTCCTTGGGAAACCGACCACCAAAGGTAGGCTCCCACTTGATGAAATGCAGATGATTCTTCATCGCTTGGATCAAGATCAGTTCTTTGGCGAAGAGCTTGACGCGGACCTTCTCCACCCGTCGAATGGGACTGTGCTTGTCCTGGACGTCCCCCTCCAGGCCCTTCAACCGAAGTGCTACCGACTTGTGCGTGAGACTGTAGTAATGGCCAAGCAAGTACAAAGTATTGCCCAAGTCCCTTCGCATCTCGCTTCTGGCAGTCGTTACCGACGGGAAGTACGTCAGAAGACAAGCCACGCCGACACCACCAAGCACACATGCCAATCTGTACGGCGCCAACTCGTAGATTGGATGAAAGACCTGCCCGTTTGATTCCGAGATTGCCAGTCCGACCTGTTTGACTTGGAGTTCATACCCTACGATCAGGCAGACGGTGATCATTCCAATCATTGGTATGACAGGGTCATCTGGCTTCGTGATCAGAAGATAGTGGTAGAGGAACATGGTGACGCCGAAGAAAACAATGACTCCAGCAGTATCGCCGTTGACGATGTACCAGTCGATGTACGAGAAGACCATGGCCAGAAAGGTGCCGAACACCCTCATAGATTGGCCGTACATACCTGAGCCAGCGGTCTGGGTCATACTGATTGCAACCACGAGCGCTCCCCATATAAGGCGCTGTTGGATGTAGAAGTGTTGCGAGTTTCTGAGGTAGGCTGTCACTGCGATGAACATGGTGCCCGTGGCCACTTTGAAGCCGAACCATGATTCCTTGGAGCCGAAGATCTTGGGGATAATCCGGAAGTAGTCGGTAAATTTCTCCCACCAGCTCTCAGGAGGTAGATGCTCGGGATCTCTTTCCACTCCTAGAGCGTCGCCTAGGTAGACGGTCGGAGTGCCACTGCGGTAGCTGTATGACTGGTAGTCCAGATTGCTGTCTTCTCGCGTGACCAGTGACGCAGCCCAGTTTCTCAGAACTTTCCACGTGGGCACAATAAGGCGCTTGTGCTTCATTGTCCCGTCTTCGATTTTCGAATCTGCAAACCGGACAAGATCAAGAATGGCTTGGGCGGTCTTTATGAAGGAAAACTCGAACTGCCCTATTCGTCAGCATCTTCCTCCTAGTGACAGACAGCTTACTCACATCGAGAACAAGATATAGCTGGGAGCGCTGGCGCTGAAAACCCATTTGTCCTGAAGAATGTTTGGTGAGGCTCTCCAATCCATTAATCTGGCACCATTGTCTCAAGGGTGCTTCCCGTGCCTTCAAAAAGTCGTCAATGGACTTTTCCAAGTATCTGGCAAACCCTTTCCCATCCGGACACTCGGCTGCCCGTGCTTCGAATTCGGCCTTGGTGCTAAACATCGGCTTCCGAGTGAACTGTAGAGTGAGAAATGCGTAGTCAAGACCTTCAACCATTGCAGCCATCAAGGTCAGCAAGGGCTGCCTCAATTGTCCAAATAGCCAGGTCCATGATTCTTTCTCGTCCGCAGGCTCGCCAAGAGCTGAAGCAACACCCTTGGGCAATTCCATGGCTGACCATCCTCCCATCTTCTCGACACGATTACTGGCTTGAATGATGGTCTCGACACCACCTAATGGAACCAGAATATTTCGCAGCATGTTTGTCACACATTCATAGTCTCCTGCTCTCAGTTTACTGTAGGCAAACTCCCGTTTGACATAGCGGAGCTCCGACTGGATCTTGACCTGACACTCGGTGGCTGCTGCAATGGCTTTCCTCCACATACTCGCTTCCGGCCATGCTGAGTTCGCGTCTTCAGAAAGGTTGCTGTCACTCTCGCTCCCAACAACGCGAACGTGATTGCCACCAGTCTCACGAGAGGGGAGTGAATGAATAAGCTGGGCTTGTGCGTCCAGGACCGACTTAAGGTAATGCAGATATTCGTTCAAGATAAGACCAACCAGATCTCGTGATGTGACCGGTAGTACTATGAAATGCACGGCAGTTGCAATGCCGAAACCGACAAAGAAAGTGTCAAGTAGGCGCCTAGCTGCACGTTCAAAAACTTAGCCTTCACATTTTGTAGTCTTGGGGGAAGATGCGTCTTACTCAGAGTGTACGCTTGTTCCATCGTAGGGAAGACGCAGCCGTACGTTGCAGTGATGTTGAGAAAAATTGAGAAGACGATCAGGGGCAGGAAGTATTGAGGCCTGTATGCACGGAAGCTGGAGTCATTTCGTCAACAAGTGTACAATGCAGAATTTGGGTTGTTGTTGAAACATACGTGTTGAACGCCCACAGCCAGAAAAAGAACCAGACTGCCAAACATGCGCTGGCTGCCGCATTGTATGGGACTACCTCGGCGCCAGGGACAGGGCCACTGCTTTGTTGTTCGGCCGATAAATGGGTCGTGTTCTCTCGAGCCTTTATCGCAGTCCACATGAAGAGAAGTGAAATAGCAGCAGCAAAACATGTCAGAAACTGGAGCCCCGATCAGCTGCAGGCCAGCATGACTGGGCGATGAATACAGACACAAGTGACGAAGAGACCCTGGAGAAACCTGGCTCGGGGCATGATCGGTACGACGAATATTGACATAATAGGGCTGTAGACCGTCAGAAGAGCTTCAACTCGTTCTAGGTGCAAATGAAGTCAAGAAGACTGACATGAGATATCCGATGGTAGAGTAGTGATTTGCGACACGGTCGCTCTGATATCTGCCCATCAGTGAGTCGATGATCCAATGGAGACGTGTAGGATCGTGCATACATTGCAAGACCGATCGTAGGAGCGACAGCACCCCTGGTCAACGTCGTCAGCATATGTACAGTACGGGAACCATGATATGCGAAGCAGTCAATGGATAGGTTTGGGAGTGATACCCTCCATATGCGCTGAAGGGTGTAAAGAGAACATACTTGGCCATTAAAAAGATGGTCGGGAGGTTCAACTTCAACCCAAGTCTGTCCATGATTCGCTTGAGCCTCGAGGGTCGCTTTGATTCTGCCATTATGTCGCCTGATACTCGAACAGCTAGTCCTCGTTGGCCAGTAAGGTGTGTTCGTCAAGCTGTAAACTGCTTTAACCAAAGCGTGGACAGCCTGGGACTTGGAGCGTGGGCCACTATAAGACAGCCAGGACACGGAGAGTAAGCCTGGATAAGAGATACCAGCAGAACTGAAGGGTTTCCAAGTCCTCAATACCGCGAGTCCAGAACTGAACCTTCAAAGTGAGCATCAGGTTAGGAGCGCAGGAAGAAAGAGTAGTCAAGGAGCACAGCAGAAACATTATCGGAAGGTTAGCTTGAATCCATACGAAATCAGACGGTCAACACCAAGCCTACCCCGTATAATGATAGATGCGTCTGTCTCAGGTAAGCCATGCGCTAAGCATAGTGCACGTACTGAATTCGGCAAAGGCCGGACAGGCTTGCCCACAAGAAAAGTGTTCATGCCAATAATGTCGTCTCGCTTCCAGTCCACAGTGGTATGATTTCTTCAAAGTCAATGGTCCATTCGCCGGGGGGTCGATCACATAAGGATGAGAAGGGAAAAAGGGCGTCCACTGATTGAACAGTAAGCAGTTCCACCTAACCAATCCGGGCATAGCCCCTGATGAGTCACCCACGAAAGACGAACAGTCCTCAATAATCCGCCTTGACATTCATGTCAGAATAAGTAACATTATGCACACCTTCCCACTTCTTCATTGGTATCATATCTTCGGACCAAGCGTCGAGATAGGCGGCCATAACCTCGTCCTGTTGATCGGTACCTATCTACCAGGTACATGGGACCCGTACGATTTTAACCCTTTAGCGATGGCGTGCACCCGTTGGACAACAATGCGAATTCCTAGACGATGTTACAGCTTATTTTTCCGCCATCGAGGTGCACCGTTCGCCCGTGTCGATGACAACGACATATCTGCTTCGATTTTCAGCTCATCTCATCCCTTGTTTTTCCCGCTTTCTAGATATCTCGTTATGCTGGGTGCGCTACAACGATATATCGATGACATTATTTCGAATGGTCTTGGTGCCACTTCTCGATCAGCCGTTCTGCGCGATGTATGGCTTTCTCTGCCTCCTTTTTCTTCCGGTACTGCTCACGACTCTGGACAGTCTGCTTCTTGACCGAGTATTGGTCGAAATGCTTTGCACTTTCGATTGGCACCACTTCCCGGTCTGCGGCCTCGTTTCTTGGGTCCACCAAGGGAACAGAAGCCATAAGGGAGATATTAGGATTGAAGTAAAGTGAAGTGAAGTGAAGTGAGGTGAAAATGAAATCTTGAAACCAAGTGAATACAGATCGACATTTTCACTTCTCCTTCGTCCATATCCCGTACCTGGATTGTCTTCATCTCTTAATGAGCACAGCTTCCCTATACACCATCTCACTTGCCCTTTAGCTCGGATCAATCGGTAAGCATCTCCCAGTCCCTTACTTGATGTGCAGCCTTGTCTTGTCGCACCGCAGATCCGCTCACCTGCACTCTTTCCTTGCATTTTTGGAGTATCTCGCTTTGAGCCACAGCCACTGACAGCTTTTCAGATCTCCTCATCGTCATGGCTCGGACACAGGCGACTGCTAAGAGCACCGGTAGCAGGCGAATCAAGCTCGCAACCAGCAAAGCTCCAACATCAGCAAGCAAAACGAAGGCGAGGATGCCAGCCAAGATCAAGAGGACCAAGAAGTCAAGCGGACGTGACTACAAGCCGGGCGGTTCGTCTCTGCTTGTTACAATACGTGTTGCAATTCTGACATACTGCTTTAGCTGCCGCACTGAGAGAAATCATGCGTTACCAAAAGAGTGCAGAACTGCTGATAGACAGGAACGCATTTGGCCGACTTGCCCAGGAGATCCTTCAAGACCGGAAGCCCGACTTCCGTTTCCAAGCATCCGCCGTAGGAGTCATACAGGAGTTCGCTGAGGCATTTCTTGTTGGGCTTTTTGAAGGTAGGTCTCACCTTATCGTCTGAACTGCTATCACTGACCCAGTATAAGACACGAACCTGTGTGCCATCCGTACCAAACCGGTCACCATCCGTACCAAACCGGTCACCATCCAGGCAAGAGATATGCAGTTGGCCGTACGTCTTCGGGCAGAGAAGGAATGAGATTGGAGAGTGACAATGCAGTAGAGTTGCTGATTTTGCCCCATTTGTGGCTTCCCACCCCAAGAAAGCATGGGTCTCGGCAATACAGGCCAACAGAAATGAAATGGGGGAGCACAGTGGAAGACGAGCAGGCAATACATGGACCGGGAAGCTGAAGATGGGAATATGTATTCACTGGGTATTATGAGGAAATCGCCCAAGGACAGGTAGCTTCCGTGCCCAAAGAGGTCGGAAAAGTCATACTGCACAACATTTTCTTTCCGCAATGCGGACAAGGCGTTTGCTGGGCCCATCATCACCCAGCAATCTTCCCTCTGGCAGTCTGACACCAGTTGTTCCAGTCCGTAAAGAACCCTGGTAAGACGCGGCACTTTTGATCGGTCAATTGTCTCAGCCTCGTTGCCGCGTAAATCTCAATGATTGATCCGATGTTTGCCGGCTCATATTCAACGAGTGTCTTGACGAGGAGGATGCTCGTATGACTGGTGGCAGTGGAGTGTATACTCGATGACTCCATACATGCTTCGTCATGGACGGATTGCAGGATAGAAATGGCCTCTTGAACTTCGGAATCTGTACTCAGCGTTGGCACGTTGGATCCTTTGCAGCGACTCCAGTATTGTTGAAGTGTGTTGAACCCGCGATCTCCAAGCTGCTTCGTCTGGGTTGTTCTGATGAGCCCGAGTAATGGCAGGATCAGATGAACACACAAGCCATTCTGTTGTTGATGCTTCAAGTACGATTCCATAAGGTCGAGAACACGATTTTTGAAGTTGACGACGTTCTCCTTTGCGTCTTTCGCTTCTTTCTTCTTGTTCTTCGAAGACTGCTCATTGCGGCCACGGAATACTTCTGCAAGTTTGGAGTCCAATTCCATCATCTCATCATCGTCCATATCAGCGTCTGACGACGATTCGGACCCGTCATCTGCTGCTTCGACATCATTCTGATCCAGACGCCGAGTGCCTAGAGCAGATGCAAGTGCAGCATCGAACGCGGCAAGCTCCTCGTCTTCATCTGCGGAACCTTCCTCGTCACTCGAGGCGTCTGCAGAGTCCTCGTCTGAGTCTTCTGATGATGATGCCGACTTTGCCTCTTCCGAGTTCGATGCATCGGCGGATATCGATTCAACTTCCACAGCAGAGTCCAAAGACTCCTCGTCCTGGTTGGTGCTCGCATCATCACCATCTTGCATGTCAACATCCTCTGCCTGAAACATTTCCTGCTGACCCTGCGCATTTTCCTTCGTGGCCAATATGCGGCTCAGAGACTCTAAGCCATTGCGAGTCACGTGAGGTGCAAAAGCGTCGAATATCTGAACTGTGATTCTCTTCAGAAATTTCGAAGGCCTTGATGCGAAGCTCAGGATGATCTCCATCATGGCATCGGCAGGGTCGGCCCCCTCCTCATTGGCCACCTTCTTCTCCTTACTCTCAGTCCAGCGCGCTTGAGAATCGAGCAGGTCCTGCAATATCTCGACAGCATCGTGTTCGCCTGTGTATATCTGGAACAACACCAGGCAATACAGCAGACATAGGCCGTCAGTAAAAGTTGGAAAAGGCGCCTCTGCCGATTCACCGGCCGTATCGCTGCTCGCTTTCCCTGGTCCTGACTTTACAGATGATGTTTCAGTCGTGGCGTCGAAGGAAATTGAGAGGCTCTTCAAACGCTGCCACGCTTGTCGCACCAAGTCGCTCACATCTTCCTCGAACAAGGTGGACGTAAGTTTGTGCTGCTTTTCCATTGAGTGTAGTTCAAGCACTGTATCCCGCAAAATGCTGCACCCAGCTGGCCCTAGTCTTAGCGCTTGTTGGAGTCCCAAGGTCAATCGTTCCTTCATGAACTCTCGGCCGTCACTCATCAACTTGGGCGCGAAGTGTGTTTTGGCAGCCTTGAGCGATTCCGAATGCGCAGAGATACAAGCGTCCCGAGTCCATACCTTCATGATGGAGCGGGCAGTCGTTGCCGTTTCACCCTTTCCCGAAGCTTCACTGTGCTCCGCATTCCGGAGAGAGGTTGTGACCACTTTATATTGAAGGTTGAGTAGCGCTTTTTGACGAGTAAGTAGCTGCTTGTCGTCCTCTTCTGGAATAGTCTCGGCTGCAAGAGACATCAAAGTCGAGGCGATGACCATCAATACGCCTTCGTCATCGACGTCTGTCAAGCTTTGCATAGTTTTCGATTTTGTGATTAGATCAAAGTCACCATAAGAGACACTTTGAAGGAGTGCCCTGATGCATGCACGTGTGAAACCTTGAAAAGGCGCATCTGCGTCGGTAGCCGCCAAACGAGTGTGGAAGGTCTGGGAGACCTTTACAGCATGCCTCTGTAAATGCCGTTCTGAGCTTTTCAGCGAGTTGGAGAGACAGGAAGTAGCTTGTGGTGTAAATGTGCTCTGCAACAACTCTCCTGGGGCCACCTCTAGAACCTTCTTCCACAGCGCGAACCCCCAAGCTTTGCGTTCCGTGCTACTAGTAGGTGAGAAAAGGCTTTCTAGAAGTCTGTTAGTGACGAGTGCGATCAAAAGGCAAAGCGCACTCACCATCCACCACCTTTTTCCAGAATATGTCGAAGGTTATTCTCTCGTTCTTTTTGGTTCCGTTGGTGGCATTCTTGTTGCCGTCCACAGGAGGGGAAGACTCTCGAATTAGTTCGCCCAAAACAACATCCCAGGCGAAATGCAGACTGGCTGACCATCGAGCAGAACCCTGGGCTTCAGAGTCCGAATCAGCTTCGGGCTGAGTCCGTGCATCCTTGAGGATATCTGCGAGAAGAACAACGTCCTTCTTGGCTAGAGGATCACCATGCTTCCAGGTTGACTTGGGCAGCTTGGCATGAGGAAAGACTCTCACGGTCGTCAACCAGATGGCCACGCCTTCCGGTGTCCGGATCAGTTTATTGGCGGAGAGTGTCTCGATAGCATCAACAGCGAATGCTTGTGCAGTCTCGCCGGAACTCGAAGCGATGCAAGTTGCTAGCAGCCAGCCACACTCTTGTCGGAGCCATGGTTTCCTGATTGCCAACGCACAGAGTATTTCGAGCATACGTAGCCACTGATCTCGCTGAGGCTTTTGAAAGAGCATGCCAGATTTGAGAACTGCGTCAGCAGCGAACACCCGTCCAAAGTAGTGATCACGCTCATCCTGGCGCGAAGTGCCACCTTCCGGCACAGTCTGGGACTCGAGGATGTCAACAATAGCAGAGGCAGACAGTTCTTCCCCAATGGTCGGTTCCGATGATAGTTGTGAGAGTAGTTCCGTGAGGGCAACCGAGAATCCGAGACGGGCAGCCTTGCGACCACTACATAGCCCGCGAAAGAGACGAGTCAGGATCGTCCTGGTCTGTTCATCGCTGGTGACGCCTGGTTTGAATATTTTCGACACCAGGGTATGGGCTGCTTTCAGGCGGGTAGGTTCATCCTCATCCGCCAGATGCTCATACACCTGTATAAGTTCGACATCGACTTCTCTCTTCCGCTTCTTCGACATTTTGACAATTGGTTGGAACGGAGAATCTGCACTGATTACTTTGATGTGAAACTTGCATGGAACTTTTTTTCGATGCCAAGAGATGAGAAGCGGGGTGCAGCTGCCTTCAGAAACGGGTACAAGCCCCGAATTAGAAAGCGCAGCAATCAGGTGCTGAACAGGGAAAGTTCCAGACTTCGCAGACGCCAGAAGATCGTCAAAGCAACATTGAACATATTGTCTTCACTTCTTCTCATCGCCTACTCGATCCTACAACCTCGACTACAACAGCAATACCTGATCGCCTCCGTTAAACACCTACACACCTCGAAACTCGTAGTTCTACCAGCGCACGCGACTGCTTACCTCGTTTCTACCCTGCTTGAACCCCACCATCGTCGCAATGCAGGCCCTTCCCGAGTCACGTCAACAGACGTTTGAAGAGATCTATGGCGCGCCCGAGAACTTCCTTGAAATTGAGGTATGTTTACGCTCCGGCCGAGCTCGAATACCTCCAGCTCCACAGCTGGGCTCTCCGCGCTGGTATTTTTCTCGATTCGAAGGGCTCGGCTAAACAGCAGCACAGGTGAAGAACCCACAAACACATGGCTCCTCGCCTCGGAACATGTATACCTCATACGAGATTCACACACGCACGAACATACCCGCCTTCAAGCTGCGCCACTCCGTTGTGCGCCGCCGCTATTCAGACTTCGAGTATTTCCGAGATATCCTGGAACGAGAGAGCGCAAGAGTTACCATACCTCCACTACCAGGGAAAGTGTTCACCAATCGGTTCTCCGACGATGTGATTGAACACAGAAGGGAAGGTCTGCAACGATTCCTCCAGATTGTGGTAGGCCACCCGCTTCTACAAACAGGCAGCAAAGTGCTCGGGCCATTTATACAAGGTAAGATCTCAAAGCAGACTCATTGAACGCTATCATGTGTTGACAGCGTACGCAGACCCCAATTGGGACCGCAATGCGTGGTAAAGAAAGCGAAGACGAGCTTGTCGACAATTTTCGCGATCGACACCTTGGAAGAGATGTGCCACGACAAGACACGAATTAACGAGCAGCAGCATCCTGGTGGACGACACGCATAATAACGTCTTTCCTTTCATCCACGGCCATTGCCTTGCCAAAATGTCTGAGCGTATTGTACCGCGGACGCACGATCCGGGCGATGAGAGCCGAGGATCAGGCGAAGAGGATTTCTGGATTCATTATACGAGCTGCCTCGGATCGCGGCAAGACCATATCGATTCTGACTGAACTTTGGGGTTTGCGACCGCATGGAACGACGAACGCAATTGAGTCAAATGCGGGCAAAGAGACAGAACGAGAATTCTTTTCCATCACATTGCTTCAGCATACGCCACCAGGATGCGAAAAAGCATGCAATTACAACAGAGGGTATCACTAAAAGCTTCGATAACATATAAGAAAGCGCCACAACCCTTGAGCAAGGGGCCTCAACACCAGCTCCTTCCACGGACGCCGTTCCCATCTGGTCTGATCTGTCAATGATAACCCACTTCTATCTCATCGATGTCCCGAAGATGCAAAGTACGCCCGTAGATCCGACATGCATTGTTAAATCCATGTTGCTTTTCAGATTCCAACGTCATCCCAATCGTGAACCGGAGCAAGAGTGTTATTGCCCCAGTCCATGTCGTCCACGTCCAGCGTGAAACTTGGCAGTGTTACGCCAGGTTGATCCTTCTGTCTGTCCCTTTCCCTGTCTTTGTCGTGCTTGTCCCTGTCCCTGGCGTCGTCGCGATCACTGTCATGGTGGAGCAGCATCGTCATGGTTGGACGGTGGCTGTACCCATCAGCACCTCGATCAGGAGTAGGCGTGCTTGTATTTGACTGTGCGGACGCCTCTCCTGCCAGAACGGCACGAGTGTCAGGAAGTTTGACGGGCGTTACAGCAGCGGCAGTGTCGACTGAAGGAGCCCCAGATGGAGAGACACGGCGCTTCCCTGCCTTTTTGACTTCGGATTTCAGGGGCGCAGTTTCAGCATGTCTGTACCCATCCGGGAATTTATTGCGGATTCTGTCGCGGAGGTCGGTCGCACGGCGATGCCGAAGGTCAAGTTCAGGGTCATCGTGGATGGCTGTCCATTGAAAGCCATGCTTCGCCACGCCTTTGAGCAAATTTGTGTCCTCGTAATCGGTCCAAGCACGACGTCTGCGTCGCTGCTTCTGGCTCAGACCTTGCTCGGTGGGCGACGTTGGTGCCGGAGCATTTTCAGACGACGTGGTGTGCTGTGAAACTTCGACGAGCTCGCTTGTCGCTTTCGACTCGGCATCAGGCGGGCTGCCATTTGGTGAGGAACCACCGAGTCTCGTTACATGGTTGTTGTCTGTACAGACTTTGTAGCGATACCCACATACTCTGTAGCGATCTTTGAGGTCGACTGAACTTCGATCGGGTAGATGAAACGAGGGATCGTCTAGTATTTGCTTCCATTTGCCTACACCGTACTTCTTCACGCCAGCGATCAGTTCCCTAGTCTCTTCGTCGGTCCATTTCCGCCGTTGTCTCCGGACCTGCTTTTTCTCGTCCCATGCTGTTGCAGATGTGTTGATCTCCGTATCGGCATGAATTTCTCCTCCTGGGCGAGCTAAATGCGAGTCAGCGTCAGCCTTTCGTGTCGCCGGCTCTGGTGCGGGAGCGATATGAGGGAGGGTTGTTGATGGTGTCCTTGTATTGCTCTCGGCAGTGAGAATGTCCTTGACGTGGATCTTGGAAGTTGTGCCAGTCCGTGAGATGGTAGGGCGTGATTCGACATCGATGGATGGTAGCAGGGCTGCCGAGGGAGGCGGCTCATGTAAGCCCGTGACCATCGCCGGCAAAAGCGGTGCTGGTCTGTTTGGCCGCTCATCTTTCTGAGCGGGTCGAGGTAATCTTCTGATCAAGTCCAAAGATATGTGATCCGCTTCGACATCGAGTCTAGAACGTCTTTGTCCCTGTGAATATTCCAGCGATGTGGGGGCCTGAACAGGAGACTTTTCGACCACAGACAGGCTTATGAATGAAGGCAGATGAGTCGGAGCGAATTCTGGACCATTGTTGGCATCAAGCAGCTCACTGATGGCCAAGTGCGGCTTCTTTGCTTCTCGAGCCAGTAGAACATCGTTTGGTGTGATCTTGGGACCCCGTTTCCTCTCATTATGGTCTTCACCAGGCTTCTTGCTCTTGCTACTTCGACTGTTGTTAAGGATGTTATCTGTCAGAGGTTCGAGAGGTGATGGGACATTTGCGTGACGTGTTGGGGCAGGGTTGCGCAACGGGGCAATTTGAAAGTTGGTCAAAGCAGGCAGATCTGTTATCTGGAACTGGGGATCATCAAGGAGGCCAGGTAACGGCTCCGTGATACCGTTCATGGTGGTCGTGGACACTCATTGCCAACAATGTTGGGCAATAGCGCAGAGATGGAGGTTGTAGCAATTGACGCTGAAGTAGGTAGGTGATATCATGAGGAGAGCAAGCGCCCCAGCGTGCAAGTGCAAGATGGAGCGAGTGGAAGGCCACGATATGACCTCTCGTGATGGTCGGTCCTCGAGGAAAGATTGTCAGTATCATTAAATGGCTCGCAGGTGATATTCGTCGAATGCCCCTCAGATTATAACTTAAAACCTATGGAGGCCTCTAAGTTAAGGGCGATCAGGGAAAAGGTTTATTCTCCAACCACTCTTCGACCTAATCTACCTACCTAACCTCTCTGTATCAAAGTCTACGCATTGCGCACATGGCTTGATCCGTATAATTTACAATTGGCCACTGGACGGCATCAATGGTTTCAGTAGCCATGCACGACTCTTGATCTTGGGACGTCTTGCCGCGATTGTGCCAGATCATCCCAGCAACTACAGTGGACCGCGTTGTAAAGGCCACGTCCAGCAAAGACTAATGAAGAACGAACCGGACATTGACGTAAAATAGCATGCGTCCTGATGCTGCTATCTGATCTCGAGTCTTGACCAGTATCAGTGCAAGAGGTTGCAACGTCAAGAGTGAGACCTTGCCATTAGGTTCATTGTTGATTGATGGGCGGCGGACGAGTGGCATGCTTGATGGTTAAACCGAATCCCAGAGAAAGTGGTATATCAAGTAGCGAGCATGTTTGCCACATGACATGATTTTCTCAGAAGATATAGACAGCGGCTGCATGGCTTCAATTTAGTAGATGCATGTTGTAGTTCACGGCCTTTTGAATGTCCAGGAGATATACGACGAGGGTATATTGGGGATCCGCAGGCATACTAGGTACCCAGATACATTATATGAGGATGACAGGCTCCCAAGGTCAAACAATGCCAGCTTCTCTGAGAATCAGCTTGCCGTCCTTGGGTGGCTTTCATCAGGCCGTCCTCTACGAGAGAAAAGCAAGAAGTACGTAGCCCTCGACAAGGCTGTAACTCCAAGAACCCCACCACGATGCTCAAACAGAAAAACCTTGCTGTGTGTCATAAGCCTCACTAGCCTGTGGTAGCTCTTGCATGCACGTCCTCGCATCAGTGGACTTGTTACTGCATTCTCTTTCTCATCGTTGGCATAAGTTACTTGACTGCCTTTCCAGGCTACAGCGAATTGTCGTTAAACCTCGTGGAATCGTTCTCGCAGTCATCCTAAGTCGCAATTCAGACGACATGAGATCGCCCAAGCCCGGGGCGTTACACCTCACTCTGTGATAATTATGCAGCTGCAGAAGAGCGGCAACTTAACGCGCGTCGTCAGTGATGTGATATGCGAAGAAGAACGCCGTCAGGTCCATGGACGCCAATCGACAACTGCAAAAAGGCCTGACAAGGAAGTCAGATGCAGCTTTCAGGGGCATTTTGGGTCAGCAGCCAGTACGATCCCCGCAAAACGGGAAGTATAGGTAAAATAGCAGGGCACAGACGCGCTTTTTCTTCAGCGAGTCGCGTGCGTGAATGTCAAAGTCCGATGTGTCGATGCTTTGCGAACGGTGGAACCCGGTTGGTCAGGCCAGTGTTTCAGACTTCTGTCACCTCCAACAGGACCAAAAGTCTCCAAGCCAGGGATCCTGGACCTGGCAAGGCACAACCCGACTCCTCTGTGCAGAGATTTTGTGGAAAGCTGAAGCCTATGATGATTGAAAATTCTTCGCCGAAATCTCAAAATCAGGACGATGGCTGAAATTGAACATCATGGGCAACAGACAGAGAATGTTTCATGCGCACGGGTAGTCGTTTGATACCAGCGGAATGCTAGATAGCCATAGGTCGCCCTGCCAGTACCTAGGTAGAGAACCAGACCGACTAGACAGTATCCCGGTCGCCCTCCCTGGGTATGTGTCTCTCCGGCAAGTTTTGCAACTCATCTGCTGCAAATGGCGGAAGCAAGGAATAATGACCCAGATGGAGGTGATAGGTGTGAGCGGCAGTCCCTTGCTCGAGGTGTCTGCGACGCTGCCGCCCTTATGAAGTGCTTACACAGTAAGCTTGGCAGGAACCGTCACTATTATACCTAGGTAAAGACGAAGAGCATGCATGGATGAAGCAAGTAACATCAGGCTGGCTCTTGTGCTGGGTAGATGATACTATTGGAAGTTATGAAACGCTGCAGAGAAGCCCAAATAGAAATGCTTACCTAGGTATGGAGGCTCCCGTCACCCCTGTCTCGATTTCCATCGTCCAACGCGCTGCTCTCCCGAGAACTCTTTCTCCACGCTCCATCATACACTAAATAAACCGCCCGCTGCTCTAGCTGTACGTGACGGATGGGATCATACCGTACTCGATTCAACCTGCACCTTTCACCCCTAACCCAAACCCAACCCATTCTTCACCTTCTCTCTAATCCTTTTGCAATTCCATACTCATACTTGCTCTCCTAATGTCAAATCAGCCCTGGGGTGCTGTTTCAATTCTCGGTCTCTCTTGTGTTATTATTCCAGGTCAACGACTCTTCACACCGATCATGTCCATCGCCCACTAAAGTAATATCTTGTCCCTACCACCGTCGTCATTCCTACTCACCGAAACTCGAACACTTGCGGACGGACGACCACAACTCCTTCCTAGTACCTTTCATGCAGCGAGAATAAATCTCTTGCACACTTCGAAAGTCCTAGGACTGAGCGACTGGCCGGAGCCCCCTAGCAAACCCTATAACAACGGCGGAACCGACATTGATCGAACGATCTTTGAACCTGTCCCTCGCACGACTTTAATACAGTTTCTGTTCTTGCAAGAGGAGGGAATCGAGCTTCAATTGCATACTTTCAAGGACAGCAAGCCTAGCTTTTCATGAGAAGCTTCTTGGGCATAATCCTACGACACCCTCTCACACGAAAGCTCACCTTACTCGACAGTCACCGAATATGGCGCCTACACGGCCAGAAGGCCAGCTCAATATCAACCTGTCTGGACTGGGCACAATCACTGAACCCTCTTCCATTCCCACCACAAAGTCTCCGTTTGGAGCTACCAAGTCATCGTCTGCCCTGACGGGCTTGTCAAGTGCAAGGGTCGGAGCTGGCTCCCCTCTGCACGAACAAGGCTCAAGACTATTTCCCAAGCGCACTCGAGAACTGCAGTCGCAGAACACCTTGACCTCGAACATCTGGGGCCCACCCACAAGCGGGACTTCTACGCCTCTATTTGAGATACCGGAGTCTCCCTCGCAAGATGGCTTTCCAGATCTCGTTCCCTTGACTGAGACTGGAATCAACAGTCCTGCCAGAAGAGGTCGAGCTGGCACACTGCCGTCGAGAATTTCCCCAGTCGGCACAATCAACGGTGTTAACGTGCTGACTTCAAAGACGTCCCGCCCAACTCCAACTACAAGTCCATTCCGGCCCAGTTCTACCTCTGCGGCCGAGTCAGCATTCTATTCGACATCTTCAACCACCCCTAACTCTGGGAATGCCGCTCTACTGTCCAGGCTTCGCGCAGGTAGCATGCCCCAGCGTGCAAGCCTACTAGGCTCCTCCACGGGCTTTGGACAGAATGCCTTCGGGGGTTCGAGTTGGGGCAATAGGTCTCGTGCTGCCACTCTGACAAGTATCAGTTCCGCCGAGGACCCTACGTCCCCCAACCTTTCTGGTTTCAAGGACGGAATGTCAGATTCTGGCGTACGGACACTCGACTATCTTGGTCTAGCTGAAACTCCGCAACAAGCAAGACTATCCGATCTGCGTCCTGGCAATGATGATTCTCATGGTCAGGAGCCCAGTCTATCTGACGTCCTCACGAACCTTGGTATTCGCAACTCGAGCCGATTTAGGTCTTTTTCCGTCAACACAGAGCCCAAATTCGGGGCAGAAAATCAAGATCCGGCCTATCAAATGTTCTCTAGTGGCACGTTGACGCCAACAGCGGCAGCGGCTCTGGAGGCAGAGTATGAACGTGTTCAAGAGAAGGTCCGGCTGCACAACCAGGCCGTTCAGGCTTTCGCCGTGAATGCAACTGCTGCTCGGCCACGCGCTCGAACTGCCGGTCTAGTCGAGACACCACAACGCTCTTCCCTTCGTAATTTGGTTCAGGCCACCCCGGATTCCATGGATTTCAACTTCGACATGCAAGGTGGCAACAGTATTGACGAGCCCTCCTTCGCTGAAGCACTGCATAATCTCAACATTGGTGATAATGCTCACCTGGGATTCGAAGGAATGGACGATCCTGATAACCAGGTCTCGCGATCTCTGTGGATAGGGTCTATCCCAAATTCGACTACGATGTCATCCTTGGATGCCATATTCAGTCGCTACGGCCACATCGAGTCCACCAGAGTCCTCACTCATAAAAATTGTGGGTTTGTCAATTTCGAGACTGTCGAACATGCCGTCCGCGCTCGGCAGCTTCTCAATGGCAAAGAGATATTCCCAGGTGCGGGGCCCGTTAGGATCGGGTTTGCTAAAGCTCCGAGTGCCTCCGTCTCTTTGACTCCTATCGACAATGTCACACCTCCCCCAGGCGTCAATGGACATCAAGATCCGTTTGCCTCTTTCCAGCCAAAGGATGGCAATGCGAGCCCCAATGATCCGGCGAATGGACAACAAGGCCTGAACATGCCGGAAAGTCTCGCGGATCTACAGTCTGACATCCTACAAATTGTGGCTGATTTTGGTGGCCAACAGGCCGATCTGTCCATCATTTCCACAAGCATTGACAATTCGATCAATTATCAACAACTGGAGAATGAAATTCCTCCTATTCCCGAGCCATCTGCTACCAGGATGTACGACGCACCCAGATTACGAGATATCAGGAAACGAATAGACAACGGAGCTTGTGGTCTGCAAGAAATCGAGCAGACTGCCATTGATATGTTGCCAGAGATCGCCGAACTTTCCTCCGATTATCTCGGAAATACCGTGGTCCAAAAACTTTTCGAGTTCTGTTCAGAACAGACCAAGGAAGAGATGCTGAGTTGCATCTCGCCTCATCTTGCTGAGATTGGGGTCCACAAGAACGGCACGTGGGCTGCTCAGAAGATCATCGAAGTTTGCAAGACTGAGAATCAGACACGCATGATCATCAATGCTTTGCGCCCGTACACTGTTCCTCTGTTCCTCGATCAGTATGGAAATTATGTCCTGCAATGTTGCCTTAGGTTTGGGCCACCTTACAATGACTTTATCTTCGAAACCATGCTCAGCCAGCTGTGGGAAATTGCACAAGGTCGATTTGGTGCTCGGGCCATGAGAGCGTGTCTGGAGGCTCATCATGCTACCAAGAACCAACAGCGGATGATGGCTGCCGCTATTGCCCTGCACAGTGTTCAGCTCGCACAGAATGCCAACGGCGCACTGTTGTTGACTTGGCTTCTCGATACTTGCACATTCCCAAGACGGCGTTCTGTTCTCGCTCCAAGACTCGTGCCTCATCTTGTCCAGCTTTGCACTCACAAGGTTGCTTATCTGACTGTGCTCAAAGTCATCAACCAGCGCAATGAGCCCGAAGCTAGGGATGTGGTGTTGAAAGCTCTGTTTTTCAGTCCCGAGGATAGAGTACTTGAGCAGATCCTTTGCGATCAGACATCAGGGGTTACGTTGATCTTCAAGATCTTGACCACGCCATTCCTTGACGATAATATGCGGCCCGACGTTGTACACAATGTCTCCAAAGTCCTCACCAAAATCAAGGCTCAACCTAACCAAGGCTACAAGAGGATAATGGATGAAGTAGGCATGTCATCCCGACCTGGTCCGCCTCAAGCACAAACGTATTCTTCTCACGCGCATCCCATCAATGACCGTGGACACCAGATGTCCCAGCCTGTTAATGGAATACAACAGCAAGGCTATCAACGCTCGTACAACACCAACTTTGTGCCCAATGTCAACACGAACACTTATGAGAACGGCATGAGCCCTATGCGAAGTGGCTCGGCTGATTCGTTCGGTTACGCTTCTTACAATCCCAACAGCTTCCAACCACAGCAGTCATACCCTCAAGTACCCTATCATCAAATGGCGCAACCACAATTTCAAAACTATGGTACAACACAAAGAGCCAACAACGGCTTCATGAATAATGGATATGCGGGTTATGCAACTCCTCCTTCGTCTGTCGACCCTTTCCGCACCATGCCGAACCCATCAGCATCGCCTATCTCTTTTACTACGCAGATGAGCCCTGTCATTGGCTCTGGAGGGTTTGCGCCTCAAAATTACCCTCAAACTATGCCCAACAACATGTACAACTATTCGCCGCAACAGCAACAGCAATATTTCTTTACGCCACCAATGCAGAATGGCCATCCTGGTGGACGTGGCCGAAGAGTAAGCAGGACCTGATCATCGTTCTGGTTCGGTACTAATGCGTGCACAGAGAGTCATTTCTTGAGTCCATCTACATGGTACAACTATAAGTCGACTGTGCGCGGCTGAATTGATGGTCTTTATGTGCTCTGGCATTTCAGCACGAGATCGATCACCACATTTTGCTTGCCATGGGGTCGATGCTGCCATCTCAACGTTTTATGTCAAACATGTGGCTGGTAGTTGCATGAAGTGCCAAAGTTGATCTTGGACTGGGGTGTATATGATTTCGGGAGAAAATCGGGAAATGGCATATATGGGCGTTGAACCCCTAAATCCTGAGTAGTAACGGCCTTCTTTCAAAAATGTCTTGATACTCATATTCAAAGAGGTAATGCAGACAGCTAGACGGGACAAACCTGGGAAAGGGGCATTGGCGCAACATGTAGCATTGAACGAGCCAGGCCTTGACCGTCCAATACAATAAGAATCACGTCGATGAGCAAGAAGTGGGAATCTTTCCTTTCGCTTTGGTCCTCCTCGTCGGTAGCATGATGGCACGGCGCCTGTGCTCGTGGCGCATATCTCATCCTTCCTTCGCATCCTTGTCTCTATACTTGTTCAGCAACATTTTTGATAGGCCACGTGCTGGACGCAACATCATGATATGGACTTGACCTGCGCCATCGCTCGCCTGATGATCCTCAGAATGAACGAACAACCCCCAAACCCTGATCTCAAAAGAAGACACGCCTCCCGACTGCAGATATCATGCTGCATTCCATAGCTGTCCTCAGAATGTGAAGTTTGCAGAATGCAATTGCGAACTAATGACAGCATCAACATCACTTATCAATTTGCCATAAGGATTCAACAGTCTCTTGACACCGAGCTGGCCTTTAGAGAAAGTGGTACCGTCTGAGCGCCGAGGCCTCCTCAAAGTCCAATAAATATTGTACCTTCTTGTCACACCGGAGTCCTTCCCTCATAATAGTATAACGTTAGCTGTCAAATGGGAAAAGGCCTTGAGCTTCAGCGTATGTCCAACTGGCCCGCTATCAAGGCACCCGCTATTGTGAACCTGCTGAATTTTGAACTTATATCGTCGACCTGCCCCCTCTTAGACGGAGCCCCTTTTTCTGGAGACGGGTTCGACACCTCAATAATACCATCTTCGCCGGGGTTCGTTAACATGATCTATTACTCCTGTGCTGGAAAGTGATGTGTCGGCAGCGTCTCCCAAGTCCAGCTGCTGAAGGTTGTAGCACACCATTCGCGTGTGATAATGCTCTGGTCCCAGTGATTTTTGGAAGCCTTCGAGCAGCGCCTGCGTTGCCTTGCTCAGCGTTTAAGAGTCCCAGATTGTTGAGCACCCCTGAAACGAAGTAATGATGTCTCCCCTGAGCTACAGTGATCCCAGTCAAAGCTTGTTCGTAGAGTGCTTCGGCTTTTTCCAATTTACCCTGCTCACAGTAGAGATTGGCCAAATTGTTGAATGCGTCAAGGGGGTCGATGTGGTTTGCTCCCAATGTACGTCTGAGCCCAGAAACTGTATCGTGGTACACACTCTCGGCTCTGGATAGCTCTCCCCGTAGACAGAATATAGTTCCAATGTTCATGAGAATCACCAGTGGCGACCGGAGGTTCAAGCCGAGCTCCTTCTCCTGGCCGACTAGTGCTCGTTTATACATCTTCTCCGCTTCGTCCAGCCTCCCTTGGTCACGATACACATCACCGAGGTTCTTGACGGAATCGAGCGTAGACTTATGTACCAACCCCAGTGACTTCTCCCCCGCGGCTAGCGCTCGTGGGTTCATCGTTTCCGCCTCGCCTAGCTTACCTTGAGCAAGATATATCACACCAAGACTGACGACCGAACTGAGTGTCAATCGGTGGTCTGGTCCCAACAAATTCTCCCTTCCAGCCAGCGCTCGTAAGCACATCGTCTCCGCCTCTTTCAACTTACCTAGATCACTATAAAGCATACTGAGGTTATGGACGACGAAAATCGTCGATTCGTGGTCCACTCCTAGTACCTTCTCCAGCCCGACCAGCGCTCGTATGTACATCGTCTCTGCCTTGCCCAGCTTACCTTGATGAGTATAAAGAATCCCAAGACTATGGACGACGTCGAGCGTCGACGCGTGAGCCACCCCAAGTCCCTTCTCGTAATGCTCCAGTGCCCACGAGTATATTTGCTCAGCTGCGTCGTACTGCACGCGCTGCAAAAGAAGGTGTCCTAAATTCACCATCCTGTTCAATCGACTCTTGATGAACCGCTGTTGGAATGCCGCGGCACGAAATCGCGGGTGCACCAGCCGCTTGGCGTGCCCAGTGAACCGTAGATATCGGATCGAGGACAGATCGTCCCAGTGGGCATTGTCAGTGTGGTGTGTAACGCAGTCAAACGCCAGCCAGTATTGCGTCGTGCCGATCTTATAGTTCAACGCATTCAGCGTCCAGTCGTGTACGCACGGGTGTAGACTATACGACCCGGTCTGATGACACGTCTCCACGAGGCAGTAACGGGTGAGTGTCTGCATCGCATCCTCAAACATGAACACGTCGCCTTCGACTTCGGCGAACCATGCAGGTCGGGTTCCTGCTCGCCCGCAGTGTAAGAGTTCGAACCAGATGTCTCGATGGTCGAGATACGCCAGGAATCGCAACAACTTCGCTGCTCTCGGGTTCTGTTGCTCGATGTGCATGAATGATAGATACCACGTGCTGTAGAGCGTACGAGAAGGGTAGTCGGGCAACTCCTCCATCGCATCACTGATAGTCCACCGCTCTTCGTATCGTCGTAAATACTGACCAAAGCTGATCGCAGACTGACTCAGAAATGCTCCAGCCGTAGCCAGTGCTAGCGGGTGGCCGTCCAGCCTCTGAGCAAGTCGTGGAGCATCTGGGTCTGCCAATGATTAGACACCAACGTGCAGCATTTAGTAGGTATCTCCCACCTGATCCCACGTTCTCGCGTTCTGACCGACGAGCCAAGATACGAAGGCTGTCGTCCTCTTTGCTTAATGATCGCACCCGGACCTTGTCCCCAAGGACGCGATCCGGTTGTCGCGTGGTGATAATGACTGAGCCATGTGCCACAGATGGGAGATATTTGCACACCGAGTACTGTTCTGGATCGTCGTAGTTGTCGAAAATCAGTAGCCATCGAGTATTCTGGTCCTCCGAGAGCCAGTTGGAGAGGTAGGATGACATTCGCTCATCGTCAAAGTCGCCAATCGTGCTGGGAGGTAATGCTCGGTGGGCCACGTTGCGTAACCTCGTCTTGAGGCTCAGTTCAGAAGTGGCATCGAGCCAGAAGATAGACGTATAGCTTGTACGATGTCGTTTGGCATAGCTAACCGCGAGTTGAGTCTTGCCAATCCCACCCATGCCGCCGAGGACGAGCAGCTTTCGGCTTGCGCCGAGAACGTCTGACAGAGGTTGCAAGATTGATTCCATCTGTTGGATCTCGGCCTGTCGACCACAAAAGAGATCGTCGCCCATATCAGGGGCATCGTAGAGATTGAGACCACGGTTATGTTCTAATCATCCTTTAGTATTTCTGTACAAAGCAGGGAGTCAAACATCGTGTCGTCAAAATTCTGCATCCATCCGGCAAACCGGTTCCAGAACAAGTGGGACCATTGGGCAGGGAGCAAATCTCCTCATAAGCTGGAATTCCAGAGCATATTGACCATGGGAACCCGGGATTCAATCTAACATCACCACGCCTTTGGAATAGACGGCCTTCTTGATGTGTAGGGTGATTTATCCGACGTTGTAGATGAAGAATTCCGCGGAGACATCAAGTAGGTAGTACCATCTAAGTCCGACGGGCTCCCAAGGTCAGACTGTGTCACTTTTTCTGATAACGGGCATGCCGGGCATCGAACACAACGGGCTCAAGGAGATAGTTTACAGGACTTACTCGTCGCCTCAGTGGCATGTTTCACGTTGGTCACCTCTGCTGTCTTGACAATTAAAGCAGGCAAGAGTACCATTGGATACTGGACATCAGCCGAGCATCTCGCTACACTGCACGTGACCGCATCCAGAAACGGTAGCTGTACGCTCTTACCTTCGACAAGCCGTGCCTTACCTGCCCTCGGCAAGGACTTACAGATAGGATTGAGGTTGGACCAGACAGGTTTGCGTCAGAGAACGCCCTGGAGACAATCCCATAGGAACAAGAAGAGGGGAGCAGCGGTGTAATTTCACTGGGGGCATACTGTTCTCTCTCTCTTGGTGTCGTGAAAGTGTCACAGAGAGGAATGCACTAGGCAACCGTGCCGTAGAAATACTCTGTCAGAGAGGCAGGCTGACTTTTCTTTTGTAAGCTTCCCATCTGCACACCGTGCTTCTGGTTTTAGTCCTTCTCCAGGGTTTTGAGCTGCCTTTCCTTCAGCGAACGCCGACGCAGCTGGGAGCTAGCACATTCATAGTGGGAAAGAGAAAAAAAAGCAGCAAGGGAATAGCGCTATGCCAGAAGGCAGGTCTTCAAGGTGAACAGTGTCTCGCAGCTCTTGACAGCTATGTCGGCATTGTCACTCGCAGTAAAGAGGTCGCCAGCGAGTGGGAGCAAAGAAGGCAGGGCTCCTTACGGCCAACGAACGCTGCCACTTGACAGATAGGTCAGAAGAAGGAAGGGGATGCACACTAAGTCCGTGAGAGTGCCGGATTCCGATCTGGCGAGTGTTCTGTTTCCGATCTTCCTTCAAGGCCTCGTATCGATGCCTGTGCATCAAAGACATCCACCGAGATGACCCACTCGCATTCCTCCCAGCCTCTCAAGGCTGTTCACTTGACGTGTCACAAGCCTGCACTCGGTTTGCCATGTCAAACCCAGTCGTCGAAATTGGATGGTCCCTTCGTATCGAGCTTCAGACAAAGAAACGGAAAAAGCGCTCGGAGGGCAAGCGACAGTGCGTGGTGGCGCAGAGATTCGGAATTGAAGGCTAGATCGAACGTCTGACAAGTTCAGCTACAAGCCCTGCGGATAGATGAAACTCGTTTTCCAGGGTTGTTCACACCAGCAGGCACTCGTAGTCAAGGCCGGCCAGGATTGTGGACGCTCAAACCATGTTGCCATGCTGAGAAAGTCGAAAGTTGCGGCCTGTGCTGGTCCTGATCAAGGAGGCAGAAGAAAGTGCCTTTCAATGTGACATGTGCTAGCCTGGATAAGTGTTTTCAGGTTTCGGCGACTTCTAAACGCTGATCATATCGCAAGGAGCTGCGTATTCAACTCGATTGCCCCGAATAACAAGGGTGCAGGGTGTGACCTTCACATGAGCAAGGAAGAGAACAAAGAAAGGCAGAACTCGGAAGAACTAGTCTTCCTATCCACAACTCCACTGTATGACTCGAGCAGATGCGATCAATGGGTCGGCCTTAATCGCATCAACAAAAGTGCGCAGAAGACGTGGATTTGAGTTCTTGTTCATGGGCTTGTGAGACCAGATGTCCATTATCGCTCTCGCATTTGCGACAGTCGTATCCTTCCGATGCTCTGATAGCAGTCGTGGTAAGGTTGCTCTGTATTGGCATAGCCAGTGGCATCCTTGATCTGAAGACGATGGGACCCACGCACTTGTGGCCAACCCCTCTCAACGGAAGATGCCGTTTCTGATGGTCAAAGGGGACAACTCTGGCTCTGTACGAGTACGAAGGCAAGGCGGCTGGCAGAGGGCAACCAGATAATCCGTCATTCGTTGCATACAGCTTTTCTGCTTTCGACCAGAGATGACCAGGTGAGAGGCACCTGAAGAAGCAGGCCACGCTTCTGATTGCGTAGTGACAATCTTCCGCCCAATCACACTCTTGTTCGAGGGGTGAAAGATCCGGGCAGAACTTGCTGTGAGTAGGATGTGTGAGGCGGCCTGTGCAAGACTTATTCCAATAGTACGATGATCAGGTGCGTCTCAACTTCCCTTGCAGCAGTGATGGGCGATTTCTTCGAATCGCAAGTGAGGATGAGTCCCAGTACCATGGTTCGTCCAAATGGTGCAGGACGTCCATTTAATACTCCCTTCTCAAACAAGGGAGGAGGTTTGCCTTCATGCGGCGCTAGCGCAGCCACCTTGCAGGGGAGTGATCCGATTTCAGCGAGGGTCCGTGCTCTAGACTTTGGTGACCGTTGACAGGAACAACGTAGACGAAAGTACAGCTGCCAGCCCCAACTACCACAAGGAAAGCCCTTGCTTCCGCTGACAATCGAGACGAGAGATGGGGCTCTGATTGCCTTTGACTTTAGCTAGTAAGAGACTAGAACATGATCCGTCACGTCCGTCCGGGTAGGGCAGATGTGACTGACAATGACTGAAATAATGTGTACGATCGAAGTCCCGGTGCTTTACCGGCGATCTATGGTCCAGGCACACCAGCGGCATTGATCGTGAATCGAATCGGCGTAAATTACTGCCGAGGGACACTCTTTCTTCACCTTAGATATTTGCGCCGATTGGGACCCCGGATTGGATCCCACCTGAATCGACTTTCTGATGGCAGCGGAGGACGTCCTAGCCATGGAAACCTATGTCAGAACGCCTTTGTCAGTCCTGACTTTGGCGACAGGGGTCTCAAGGGCCCTTGTCAAGCTTTATCTTAGCATGTACAAGTAAATAGACGTGTGTACTCGTATGATGAAACGCCGTCACATTAAGCTAAAGTGATCGACTCACAAGGTTCGACTTCAGTGATCTGGTTCTGGAACGGGCCCGAGCTTGCCAGCCGAGCAGGAAGTTTCTTTGGAGGATCTGAGAAGGCATCTAACATCTTGAGCAAAGGCGAGACTTCTGCCATTGAACTGTTGGTCATCATGTCAGAAGCTGTATTTGACTTCAAACTCTGTCCCAAAGTAACCCTGCGGAACACATGCGAAACAATAAATCAACTGATCATCGAAGTTAAGGCTCCAAGCAGAACTGGCGCTCACATGATAGGTATTTCAAGTGGGCGGATCGGGAGTCAGAGCGTTGGATCCTGGCAGGAGCACGGGTGTGTTACACAACGTCTCTACCCCTTGCCCCTTTGATGATTCGTTGGTCGTTATGGCCTTTTTACCACATTGATTAACATCCACCTTGGACCTTCGAACAACAACCCACCATCGCGTGGCGGAGATGCCGAAGATCTCGGATTTGGCCAGGATCTGCCACTCCTCTTCTTCATACCTAGATTGGGGATCTGGACATTCTGCGGAACTGCCCCATGTTTGAGCGGCGTCTAGCACCGTTCGGTCGTTAGGTGTGGACGCAGTGAGTGCAATGCCCTGTATGAGAACGCTGGTTGAGTGGCTCCGACGTACTTCTGCAGGACTAGTGTCGCATACCCCAGTACAGAGGTGCATCGCGAACCGTGTGAACGTACGTCGTACAAGTTGCTCCTTCTGACTCTGAGATGCTTCCATCAGAAGCATATTGCGCTATGCCTTCCTGGCGTTATCCCATGCTGCGACGGGTCATCGTCCCGACAGGCCCCAGACAGTTGTAGGGACGCCACACCTGTACAACCGCTTTCCAACCACGAACAATACCACGTCAGGGTCAAGGTCTTGTCATGGTCGTCCTCAGACAGCGGAGAGCAGGAGACATTTCGGATTGGAGCGAAGATCCGTATATATCGAACCAGCAACTAACCTTTTGAGAGTGGCAGGGATAGTCACCAGGGTGGTCCGCGCCATGCATCCATTTCGATTGTCCATACACCGTATACCTCTCTGCTCTGAATGAGTGTAGTATATGTTGTAGACTGTGTATCGCGCCCTTGACTGTGAACCAGACTGTCGGGTCAAGCTGGGCGGTATTTATGTCCACTACTTTCTGCAATGGATTCTTCTCATCATCTGTCTCAATTCTTCACTTGTACTGCCGATTTCCAAGCCCCTTCGAGCTGATTTGCGTCGAACTTCAATCAATCGTCAATTCCAACATGGCACAAAACTTCAACCACCTTTGCCGGAATCTCAAGTTTGCAGACGTCATGAGGATTTCATATGTCCTCAATGACGATCATCACTCTTCAGCAAGTACATCTGCCCGGCAAAAGTACCAAGACGAGCAAAGCTTCTTTATATGGTATCATCGTACAGATTTGGGGCTCCCATGGGATCAGGTGATGGAGATGTATCGACGATATTGGAAGGAGGACAGGGAGAAGAGTGGTTTACAATGCAAGTTTTATCGCATTTTAGATCAGTATAATGTGGACAAGGTACGGAAGCAGACGAAGATGGGGCGGTCGAGTGCGAGGGAGAAGAAGGGAAAGTTTGGTGTGCTCCAGCGGACAAATCGAAGATTTCCCTGGATGAAGCCTGATCATTTGGGTCATCGTCGAATGCCCGTACTGCGGGCCAAGCTTTGAAGACCATCCATGTGGAATGTTGTGGTCTAAACATGTATGATTGTGTATTTCTGTCGGCGGAGGTCTTGAAAAAGCTCGTCAGGGATGTGAGGTCTATCGCTAGGACAGGGTCACCATTTGCTGGTACCGTCGGCGTCTTCGTCCTCGTCAAACGCCTCGTCATCGGAAGCTTGGCGACGGTATTTGTAGGCGTTGTATCCATACTCATCGTCCGAACTGACTTCGTCTTCCGGATAATCATTTGCCGGATTGTCCTCAGCTTGACATCAATTAGCATTTACTTGACAGTTGGAGACGCTTTGCCCTACCATTAGAGTCTTCGTCGTCCCAGTCTGAGTCGTCGTCACTGTCGACATATTTTAGCCACAAATCCTCATCTTCCTCGGTGATAACCAAAACGCCAATATTGTTCGGGGACAGGTCTAGTGTGTGTTGTGTTTTATCGTCGTAAGGCACACGAATATAAGTTTCGTAAATGTATTCATCTTCTCGGTCTGATGAGGTCATCACAGTGTCCGTCGTGTTCTTCAGTGGTGTTGGAGGATCTTGTCCTTCAACCTTGTGTTCTACTTCAGGGTCGAGCTCCATTGCCAGAGCTGCCAACTCATCCGCGAGTTGGTCTGACTCCTGATCCCAGGTGCTTGGATGATCCATGATTGAAGTGCCCTTCTTCGCTCCCTTCGCCGTTGCTTGGAGGAAAGTGTTGGTGGCATTCCGATGAGACGTGCGCAAGGTCTCCAAATCTGGATCTTGTACGCCTTCAGATACTCCATTTTTCAAGTTTCCAACCTTGCTTGTGTCCAATATTTTGTCCACAGGTTCGCCTCGGTATAACGGGTTGTTTTCATGACTGAACGTGGCACCATGTTTCTCTACGAATGTCGCAAGTGGAGGGCGAATTCCGCTTTTCTGCTTTCTTATGCCACCGGAAGAGTTTGGGCTGAGTACAGACGAGAGGTTGCGGGCTAGATGGAAACGCCTTGCAGCTTGCAGGCTTTCGGTCGAAATGGGAGTCGCTGGCGCAGACTGACTGCCCGTGGCCGCATCTTGGGAATGCCTCGCATTGGTGCCTGCGGTATCTGTGTTCGCTTGGGCTTTCAAACTTGCTTTCAACTTCTCATAATCCCGTTTTTCGTCCCCGGGAGATGTCCATCGGACTGTAGGTACACCGGGAATTACGCGTGGAGATGCTTTCGGAGGTGGTTCAGTTTTTTCTCGAAGTGATATGGGGGCGATCGTGCGGTCCCGAACTCGTTGGAAGTAGAAGTCTGTTACTCTTCGCTTTTTGACCACAGCGCTGCCATGTTCAAGATCTGTAGAAAGTCAGTATGGTCAGTGGCCGTGGGAAAGATGAGGTATACAAAGAGTCTCTGGCGGAAGATCATTTCTCTTGCGCTTGATCGAGATGCGTTCTGGAACAGAAGACATCTTGAAGGCAAGATGCCGTAGAGAATTGTTCAAATGGATTCATGTAGCGCATAAGTTCAGATTGAGTTTACCGCATTGTATGGAAGTTTCACACCAGTTTAGTTTCGATTTGACTTAACTGACACGCGCGCCTAAATTTCCCTAAAAATGACGTACATAGGCAGCCCTAGCCTCGCCCGTGGCCCCGCAGCCTCAGCCTTGCCTGCCAGTCTTTGGGGAGACGGTCCACAAGCAGTCTTACATTTGTGACATTCGATGGAGCACGATATTCATGCACGTCTGAGGAGCTGCAATGGCCCAATACTACCACGTCTTTGGGAGAATCGACTTGCTGTACCTCCTAGCTCATAAACTGTCCCTGAGGTGTGTACTTCCAGTCAGAAATGTATGCTGGAGCGCCTGGTGACGAGGAGTTGACAATACGTCCATTCGTAGTGCCATAGACACCGAGCAGTGTTCCTGAAAACTTGTATCAACCAAGTTGTTCAAACATTCCAGAGATTTAGCTTGACTTACCAGTAAACCCAAAACTAACATCCGCAGCAGGAGCAGTCCCGATCGTCAGCAGGTCCGACATACTCTCAATTGGTCCGGCTGAGAATGCATAATGGGTAAGGTTGATGGCTTTGATTTCCAGATACAAGTTGAGCGTGGTGACCGACGTATTCGACAATGACGTATAATTGGGATACGATGCGTGGACCGGAACCAACAGTGGTGGCGGGACAGTGAGATAGGACGTTGCAGAGAACCGGAAGTACGGCACCAACGGCTGTGGTGATGATGACGATGTTGTGTTTGCCAGGAGAACAACCCCAAGATCAATGTGATGATTCTGCTTGTTTCAGTACCAGTGATAGTTACTCCATGTGCAGGACTAAAATACCTGTGTGAGGAAGACACTGACTCCAGCTTCATCGCCTTCTGTCTGAGGTGTGAGCTGCATGTTGACACTATAAGTGAATAGTGTATCTGTTTGACGTCGTCCCACAAACGTCTGTCCCTCAGGACCAGCATAATTGCCATCGTAACCGGTCAGGTTAAGCCTTGACGGACTCAGTCGGAGAGTGTTAGCATAGCCAGGCGGAGAAATAGTGTAGGAGGTGTTGATGGGAATACGCCAATGGACTAGATGTATCGGTAGACTGGAGTTTGGTGGGAAGGTGATGTGGTCGGCGGCGTCTGTGAAAGGGCTGCGCGCCGATTCAGTATATGCGCAGACGGTGGACTGCTGTCACTCACCCTTCTCCTGCAATGCTGAGGTTGGTGGTCGGCATCTGCCATCCACTCATTTGTCCACGGACAGGTTGCAGTATTGGCCAGTCGCCAGTCTGCCAGGTGACAGGAAACATCACAGTTTCCCGTCCCATAGGATAGACCAAGAACTCTGGACCAGAACGGGTAGAGAGACAAACACCCCACCAGCTCCCCGAAGGATCCTGAAACAGATCAGCATGACCTACTGTTTGGAAGTATTGCGTTGTATTAGCATTGGTGATGATCGGGTTGGCGGGATCAGGCATGTAGGGACCACCGATCGTTTTCGATCGCGCGAGAGTCTCCATGTGGTTCAATCCCGTACCACCCTCAGCTATCATGAGATAGTACCAGCCGTCCTTGTTGTAGATATGAGGCCCTTCTGGTGCTTCACCGCCGGTGCCGTTCCAGATATAACGTAGGTCAGATCCGACGGCTCCTGTAGTCAGATTGACGGTGGTCTGCGTGATGCCTGGGGTAACCTCCCACGGGTGAGAGCCAGTCACATAGACAGTACCATTGTCTGCCCAGTATGGAGAAGTATCATCTGAAGATAGTCAGAAAAGGAGTAGAACGAAAGACTCGTGCCCTCGTGGCACAGTCTCTCGTGACAGAACCACTGACAGCCAGTAAAGTTGAAGTGCACTGGGTCTGACCATGACGAAGATTCAAAGGGATTTGTAGACTGGAAGATCATATTGTCCCAACGGGAAAAGTTCGTCTGAGCCTGGTCGTCAAAAACCAGGGTGGTCATGATGAAGAATATCCCTTCATGGTATCGTATCTGTTGTGTATGAGTACCACACGGTGATCAGTCGGCTTCCGCTGCACTTACTGTCGATGCCCAGATACCGCTGGTAGACTTGTTCGTAATAGCCAAATCTGGCAGCTGTTCGGGTCTGCTTAGGACATTGCTAACCAACCTCCAGTTCGCTAAATCCTTGCTGGCATGAATAGGGATTCCGGGGAACACCGAGAAGGAGCTGGAAGCACAAAAAAATGTGTTGTCCCATTCTGGAACGAAGATGCAGCTTGGGTCAGGGAAGAAGCCAGGGAAGATGGGATTGGAATAAGTGGAATTTGCAGCATTCACAGCCAGGGGAATGCCGAGGGCAAGCGCCCAGTGGCCAAACAGAGTCATCAGCATCTTACCAAGTGGTCTTACCTTGAGCTCTTTTCAGCTCCCACAGAGCTTCCGCTCGCCCTTATAAGCCGTCACTTCATAGTAAGTCATAGAGTGAGTGCCAAAGAGCCTGGGGTTCTCCGCAGAACGAACAGGCTAAATCCTAGAAAAAGATCGACAGGAACCGAGTAAACGTGATAGGATGAGAGGGGTACTATGCCGGCTAAAACATCTCGAAGCCCCCCTCAGGTTCGGTGCAACTTCTCCCGAATGTCGCAGACTGTAGCTGCGGTGGTCTTCAGAAAAGTTAGGGAGAAGAAGAGAAGAAAGAGAAACGAAGAGAGAGAAGGAATTCCGATGTCAATTCCTCAATCTCGTTAAGGCTAAACCTTGGGCCGGTCAGGGCCGCCGCTAAGCATGTTTAGGTCTTTTAAAAGACCCAATCGAGTTATTCTCGACATTACTCAAAAGAACGACAAACTACGACAGTAAGATATGGCCTGTAAGGACATCTCTGTATATTGTGGGTGCCAAATTCACGCCTAGAAGAGACACCTCAAACATCGATCCATCTCGCCATCCACTAGAGTGAAGGTCAGCATCATCACTCCCTTAAACGGCACTTTTTCCCCACGCGGTCGGGCGATATAAAGTGAACGACTTACCTTGTCAACGACAGCCTTAGCTTCGTCCGCCAAACCCAGCTCAAGCAACAGCTGGGTAGCTGCTCTCACCCCACTCTCAAGGGCACTCGCAATCCAGGAACTCGTATAACTCGTTCCCTCACCACTCATAATGATACCTTTCTCCGTCTGAAAGAAGGCCGGGATGAACGCCTTCCTCATACCAGCATCCGGACTCGCCCAGCTGATCGTCTCGTACTGGTCCAAGATCCAGCACCGGCGATTGTAATTGCCCGTATACTGGTCGTATACAACTTGACCATGAATTTCGGCCATGGCGTCAACCTTTATAGCGGTCAGCAAGACCAGACCCAATGCCTAGACAGATTGAACAAACTTACCACATACTGCACGTGCACGTCTTCTGGGATAGACGCCCATCTCAGGCCGTCATCCGACGAGGTATAACTGGCCAGCATAACCCCTTTTCCTGTCGAATTGATATCGTAGCTCGGATAGCAGATACTTCCTATTCCTGGAATGTCCGTAGTAGTGCTACACGACCCGTATATCGGAAGGGCAAAGTGCTCCCAGAAGCGCGTTTCGAACTGCAGAGCAACTTTACACACCTGCGAGTACGGGTAAATGTCGATGGCGGTCGTCAACGTATCCGAGAATCCTGGCAACCTCCACGTCCTGACGAGTGGCATTGGAACTGTCACGATAGCAAAGTCGTAACTTGCATTCTGAAAGCTCCGATCGAGAGGCTGCGCTTTCCACTGCAGTGTGACTCTTTGCGTACTTTCGTTGAATTGCACCCTCTGGATTTTGCGATTCATGTAGGTGACGCTGTCAACCAAAGGGTGGAATGCCGAAGGAAGTCGAGTCAGCCCGCCATCGATCGTCCGCCAGTCTGTAGCAGAGAAGTACATTGACTCGTACAGATTATCCCAAAAGGATTCGCTACCGGGATCACCAATCGCAACAAAGCTATCATTCAAGGCATATTTGAGATAGTTGTGCACGTAACCGAACTCGGACCAGTCGTCGCCACCGAGACCACCGAGTCCCTGATCCAAGAATGTCTTGTGTGCTTGATATACATTCTTCGCCATTTGTGTTATGAAGGATTCGTTGCCAATGATGTTGTCGATGGTAGTGTCGAGCGCATCGAGCGAAGGATCGTCTTCGGTAGACGAGGCGCCTGCCAGAGAGGCATTCGCGGTGACTTGCGACACTGTTGGGACAGTACCATTGGCGAAGCGAGAGCCGTTGACATAGTAAAGTCCATTGGGATCTGTCTGGTACCACTTGATGAAATTGACGGTGAAGTTGCTGTTATTCCCGTTCAGGTTATTGACTTCGTCGGCAAGTTGGAAAACAATACGGTGATCCTGAATCTGCAGTGTTTCATTCGTTTCAGAGGACGTGATGGACAGAGGGAAGCGCATGGGGCCCATCTCCTGGTACTGCCTCTCGCTCGGGTCTCCAAAGTAGGCGGTGTGAACTCTACCACCCAATCTCTGGCCGGCTTCGATGATTGACAAATTGGTCATTCCTGATTGATTTAAGGCCAACCAAGTTATCAAACCAGCCATCCCAGCTCCAACGATGGCGATCTCCTTGGCCTTGGCCTCCTGCGCATTGACGGCACTGATCTCCTTGTTCTTGAGGAGGGCAACTCCATCGTACCAGGGGCCTTCAGCGTCGATGCCACTGGAATTGTCCATCGGGATGGCGAAGTCTTGTCGCTTCTTAAGGCATCGTCGAGTAGTCCTGCCATTTGGGGTGATAGCTATCGGGGCGCTGCGACCTATCAAGCTCTGCTTGCTGTCCCAGACTGAAAGACATTGTCCTGTTGGAGCATAGTCGGGTACTTTCCACAATAGCCTGTCATGGTTGCAGTCCTTTGCACGACCGACAAGATGATGAGCCTCTCCAGGAGACTTGGCCTGACAAGAACCGTATGTAAAGACAACTTCAGCATGGACTGGCTCGTCGTAGGACACATGGATGTTAGCAAGTCCCGAGTCAACGGCACGCCTGACGTGTAGGTTGACTGGCAAGCTTACTGCAATAGCCGAAGAACATAATAATGCTGTTATGATGGCGCGGCAAGCCATAGTGATAGACCAGTCCACTGCCTGTAGATATGAAAGAAGGTGATGCTGGCGAGCTCGCCGTCAAGCCAAAACATTTGAATTACATTCATGTTGCGCTTCCCTAAGGAATCATTCGCAAGCTAGGCTGCACCATAGACTCTGCGTTATGCATTCGTAGAGCTTTTCTGGGAAGAACGTCGTCCAAGTCCGACATCCAACAGCATTTGCCATTCGTCAAGATTAGCAGGTTACATGGAGCGTGAGTTTGACGGACATGGACTGCCCAATATGATTACAGCCAAGACTGCGTAAGACGCAGATCAATTCTTAGCGACCTGATACCGACAGCGATGTGCCCGAAAGATTGAACTTGCGGGACCATCGGGTGCAGCGGATGTTATTTTGCTTGCCAATGCATACAAAAGTCTTGATGTACTCGAATTAACAGCTAGATCAAGGATAGCTTTTCTGGCCATCTCAAGTGCTCACCTTGAGTTCGGGTTTGCCGTGCACAAGTGCGGGGGAGACGCAAGGGAAGGGAGCTGCCGCATTCCCTGAGAGTGGACATGTTGAAGTCTTACTTGCTGCTTCGTTCATCCTGTGGAGAGCGTCTGATGATACTTGCAGCATGACTGGGGCCATTCGGATCGCTCTGAGGTTCTGCCTGCCGGAGAATGAACGATTTTCGCAAGTTGTTGAAAGGGCGGACGTCGGTTCATTGATAGCCGAGAAATCATCAGAGGACATTGAGTCGCACTACGGAGAACAACACTCTTGTTCATAACATAGCTAGCAAGCGGTATCAACATGACCATCCTCGTCCATTTTCATCGTCAAGTCAAAGCCTTTGCCTGGTGGCTGGCACTCGAAGTTCGCCGAAAGAACAAGTTCAGGAAGAATGCTTCGTACCTCATAACTCCACGCTATTCTACTGATGCTCATCCGCATTATTGCCCAAAGAAAATCGTCGTTCAACAAGTGTAGCCTGGCTCTTCTCACAAGCAACCGCATTTAGCCACTGTTCTTGTTTTCGTTTACCGGACCATTTCCTCCCTCGTAGCCAGGATCCAGCACTCTTTGCCTTTTCGCATCTGCACCATCGACAGTTACAGCCGTAACACTATGCTGGATGTTGCTGACATCACCGAGGGGCATTCTTCTGGCTGCCTGTAAATTCTGCTCTGATCCGCCATCTGCAGGACTCTGTATAGTAACGCCCGTCATTTCAGGACCTCGCCTCGTAGGAGGTCGATATGAAGATGTGCCACCACGTATGCCTCCAACAAGACTGTTTGGACTCGGTGCTCCGACCTTGCGACCTTGATCCAATTGCGGGTTGATGACATTGGTCGTGACTTGAGAGGTATCTGGTTTCAGATCGCGCTTTAGAGGAACTGATCTATTGTGATCCACACCCGATGTCTTGCGGATCGATGGACTTTCTGCATGAGGATTGAACTTGAGTGCGGTTGGAGGAGCTGCAGCGGTGATATTGTTGTGTTCATCAATATTTTCGGCAACTCTGGCTGAGTAGAAACCAGTGGGCCGAGCTGACGGTGCTGTTGCTGGGCCATTCCTGCCGGATGGCTGTTGAGGGAAGTGCTCGGAAGGTACATGGGGAGATGGCGGCCGAGAAGGTTCGACGGGAGGCATTCGGGAATCTGTTATGGGGAGGGCTTTGGCAGTTTGGGCCGGCAGAGCCTGGCCACGCTGCCCGGGTAGTGGTTGAGGCACAATGTTTGGAGCAGTGGCTGAGGCCGATCTTGTCGCTACAGGTCGAGGTATCGGCACGGGCGGCTTGGACGGTGTGGTCAGGTTTGTCCTTGACGGTGGTGGCATGCGTTCAGCAGCGCCATTGACTGGTTTCCGTACCGCGTCTTCTAGTTCTGCAGACAGCGATACCTCGTCAGGACCAGCCATCTCAATGGCATCGAAGTCTTCCAGCTCAAAGTCGTCCACGTCGAAAGTATCGTCGAACTCATTTGAAACTTCTCGCGCTGGAGCTGACAGATTGCGTCTGACTTCCTCTTCTGGCTTCTTGCTGGCGAAATCGTGATGGCGGTGCAGCTGGTTCGGATCCCATTTCGCAGGCGCAGTCTTCATTTTCGTGACGTTGGCCAGGTATGTTTTGTCGTATAGGCAGTTTCCGAGCACGTTGCCAAAATTTCGCAGCGTTCGTTTCAATGCATCTGTGGTGCCCTGCTTTTTCGCCTTCTCGAAAGCCATTGCTTTTCCCTTGACGTTCTCGGCTGTCCCATAGCCAACGTCTTCATGATAAGTTCCATCTTTCAAGGTAACTCGTACGATCACTGACAGGCCTAATGAGACCTTTCCAGTCTGTGGGTTCTCGTCCACAAAGTCGATCTGTATGTTTTGTATTGAACTGCTCCAGCCATTGAACCCGAAGACATCGTTTGCAAGACTGATGACCTTTTCGCCCGGCAGATATGGTACTTTCGAGCCACCAGGCCCTGCCCTTGTCAAGATATATTCGGGTCCAAGCTGTTTCTCTAGTCTGCTCTGCAGTGTTGCTATTTCTTGTGCCGTATATCCTGAGATAGTGTGTTTGTGGTCTTCGAACGGGTTTGCCGTGCTGCTGCTATTCGGCTTGTGTTGATCACCGACACTGTTTAATTGTCAGAAGGAGTTTCATCAGATAATACTGTAGCACTTACGCAGGCATTTTGTCAACTTCTCATGATGACACTCTCCGGAAAAGGATTATGGTGTCGATTTCGAGCACGCGGAATGGAGCGTGTTAGAAGCTGCAGCCTTGCCTTCGTTGTTGCACGCGTCCAAGTTCACAAGCGGAGCAGCGCGTCATGTTGAAACGCGAAAGTCGCATGCATGCACGTGACGCTTAAGGCTTACTCAGCATGGACATGAGGCTTACACTGTGGGCTGAATACTTCTCCTTCTGACTAGATGGGAGCGAAGAAAACTGGGATCGTGATAATGTTCAATTTTCTTTCCTCTGTACAGGCTACTTCCAAGACTTTAAGAAACCCATAATCTACAAGTTCCGTCGCCGCCTGCACTTACAAGCCATGGATGTTGAGGATGCCAATCCAGGTCCATAACACCCAACCCACCGGTAATCTTGTGTCCACGGAGGACTTTGAGAGGCACTATCTGAGCGTTGCTCATCATGTCACTCGTGACCTGCCCATGGAAGACTTGTATACTTCCGTCGTCGCTGCCGTCGGCGAACAACGGGTATTTGTTGGTGGCAGGGTGAAACCTGACGGATCTGATGGCCTTCTCATGGAAGCGCAAGGTCTTATATGGTCGAGGGGACAGATCCAAATCCATCCACAGCAGTCTTCGATCGTAGGAACCCACGATGAGATTGTCTGAACCTGCGGTTGAAGAGCTTGTCGGGTGAACGTCAAAGCTGCTAATCCATCGTGCGCCCGGCTGAATGATTTTCAGCAGTGTTTGCTTGGACAAGTCGTACGCCCGAATAACTCTTTGGTTGGCAACGAACAGAATAGGCTTGCTCGGGTGGAAATGTGCGTCTTGTGATGTGCCACCACCCTTCAGTCGCTTTCGGAATGGCAGTTGTGTCTGGTGCTTGGCGATGGTGTGTATGGCAATCGCCTGAGACGCCGGCACCGTAGTGGCAGAACATATCGTGACGAAGTGGTTACCGGCTGAATGGAAAGACAATGTTTTCGCGGTGTGTCCAAGGCTAATAACAGCTGCGACACCTCTATCTCGTTGAGTGGACGAAGGTCGGCTCCATTTAACACTGGAAGATTTCGACGTGCTGCTCTCGGATGCAGCATATCCCCACCCGGCGTCAAGGACGGTCTGAGCTGCTTCTGTCTCTGGGCCAGATTCTGTGCCCAAGTGAGGCACACAAAGATAGATGTCATCACCGGCGCAGACAGCGAGGACTGGAGCGTCTTTCCCAGGTCTCCACCGTACCACGTTGACGGCGGAATCAGATGACAACGATACTGACCAGATCTCCCGTTGAGGCTCGATCGTCCACACTCTTGCTGTGCCATCGTCTCCGCCAGTCGCCAGATATTGTCCGGTAGGATCAATGGCCAGAGACCGCACCCTGCCTTTGTGACCGTGGAACCGACCAGCTTCATGCGTGGGGAATGGTCGTAGCTCGTCGGGACTTGGCAATTTGGGCAACAGTGATTCAGGATCGATATTGAGTTTGATCCGACGGACACGAGGAGCCAGGTAAAGATCCAAGCAGCGGTCGAACTTCTCTTTGACAAAGCGATCATAGCCTGGAACCTTCCGTAACGCAGGGTAATCTGCTGGAAGAAAGTCCTTGTCTCGATCTTCCTCGTCGGCCTTCTCCCAAGTCTCCTTCTCTTTCTTGTCTGGCAAGTATTCAGCCGGTGGGTGATAGCTTTCATCAAAACCAGGCGGTGGAAGTTTTGGTGCGGGCATATGCATAGCGTGATCTGCTCTAGGCTGCTCATCAGCCCATATATCGTAATTTGGAACATCTTCCGCATCTTCATCTGCCTCCTTTGGAGGTCTGTATGGCAGAATGCGCCCTTCTCGTATGGCCCGGACGATCTTCATGACACGCTTGGCCTCGTGCTTAGATGGCACGAATCGTCGTTTTGGTTCTGGTGCACTGTTCAAAGGCATGGTCTCCGTCTTGCTGGTGAACCACTCAACAGTTGGTTCGTATGGATCGTAACCATCAGTGGGTATCTCGTTCATTTGCACTTTCTTCAACAATTGCAACTCTTGGCGAGTGAGCTCCAGGGGTTTCCCAGTCGCCGGATCTGTTAGACCAGTCCAACCTTTGGGCACTTCGATACTGTCAAGGAGTGCATCGAGAGCCTTTCCAGTCGCCGGCCTCATGATCTTTTTTCCATTGATGTTGTAGCCGATATGAGGGTAAGAGTCGTAAAATGACAATGGTATTTCGCCAATGGTATTGGCTTCGTTGTCAGGGACAGAGTAGTCGGAGTCATCGCCGGGATCGATCTCGTCGTAAACGTATCTGTCGTTTCCGTCTGCACCTTTGACCACTTTGTAGTTCGGCTTGTCCTCTTCTTCTCTTGATACGGCGCCATCTCCCACTGTTGTATCAACTTCTCGTGCCGTCTGAGCATCTTTCGGTTTCAGGAAGTCCTCCTCATCTTCTGAAGGCACCTCATCACTTCCGATTGAAACAGCATCGCTCTGATCTTCTCCACCGCTTGACAAATCCTCAACATCACTGCCACTTGCAGATTCGTCGTCGGAGAGAGTACCGTCCAGTTGGCCAAAATCGAACTCGTCTCCTGAGACCACAGCCGCGTCTGCATCGACGTCTTTAGTGACGGCCTTTCGCTTCTTTGAATCGGCCATTGTGTGGTGAATATATAGTCCGAAACCGTAGAGGTTTGCGAGGAACAATTATTCTGAAGCGCAGTTCTCGAATTTTTTTGGAATTTTGATCGGGGTTAATTATGCCGTGCCTCCGATCGGCAACTCCACCAGTACCGCAACTCCAACTGACTGCGACGTCAGGCGCCCACCGCGTACCGTCTGTAGATCTCGACTCACAACAGTCTCAGGAAAGTGAGATGCAGAGGGAAGTAATACACTTGCCCCTTGAGCAACAATGGCGTATTCGGATATGGCTGCCAACATGATAGCAGCATACGGCAACTACCCCGTCGCAAGCACATTCTCAATGACCGATACAGTCCCTAACCTGCCTGACTCTGAAGTCCCCTCCTACAGTGCCGCCTACGATGCTGACCCATCCGCGAAGAGACATGCAGCGTGTGACGAATGTCGTACGTGACAACCAATATCGCGACCTATACAAGAGTTGACAGTTCCTAGGGAAGCGCAAGTTGAAATGCTCCGGCGACCCCACTGGCTGTGGGCGATGCATCAAACAACACCTAACATGTCACTACTCGGTTCAGTCCAAGATGGGACGTCCACGGAAGCGACAGAAGACAGATACGACCCCTGACCAAGACACGCAACCTGATCAGCCTCGAGATCAGCGTCAACACACCCCTACGCAGTCTGCGCCCGATCCTCCCAGACAGAAACAGTGTCAGAAAGCCATGGAAAGAACCGAATTCGAGAACGTCTGCAATGCACCCATGGCCCAGTCCATTCGACGTACAACCGCTCTCAGCCACTCCGCGAACCTGAATACTCAATCCTCGAACGACTCGTCGTCGTCCGATGCCTCTCGCACGCCTTCAGATCGCGACGTGGCGGCCGGTGTCTCTTACCCAGTAGACGTGGCCCAATGGCCTGACTTTTCCGATTTGACACAGCTCCCCATGTTGGTGCAGGACAGCCATGAACACGAAAAGCAGATGTCATCAGATGTGAATCAGTCGAACGGCACCATCGATCCAAACCTTTACACCTCGCCATACCCCAACGACCTCGGCGCCCATCCATCCTACCTATCCCAGCTTCCTGCAATACCTGCCTGTCCCTGTCTCCCAAATTTATACCTCACTCTTTCCACATTGTCCACGTTGTCTGCTTTCCCTGTTTCCTCCGGCACGATCGAGTCACTTCTCAATGCGCACCGCACCGGCCGTGCCGTCATCTACTGCAATGTGTGTCCGCAAAAGTTTCAAACTGGGTCACAGAACGTCATGCTGTCCAGCATGCTGATCACGGTATTGTCGGACCATTGGCACAGGGTAAGGAAGGCCACAGCGAAAGAGTTGAAAGCCGGCTTCACCAACGAAAGCACAAGCTCAGTGCCTGAATCTGGGTCAACTGCGGAATCGGGTGGAATGTCACCACGAGAAGATCTCGAATGGCGCACGTTTGGCTATCGAGTCGTCCGCGCATGCGTGTACGGCGAGGATTGCGTTCCTAGCACCCCAGGCACGAATGGCGGACCAATTTGTACGGAACAACCATACACACTGTCCGATCTGTGCAGTGCGCTCGAACGGCGGCAGAAACAATGGCATGAGGTGGAGCCTACGACGGGTGAGTTCCCTGCAAGGATGCAGGGTGATTTGGGTCACGGGCCTACACTGGGCATGACCTTGGATGAACTCGACAAATGCGAGAAGGACGCGCGCACACAAGGCGACGATGGACTACTGTGCCTGCGCATCGTCAAGTATGCGAGGCAAATCATGTCGAGTCTCGATAATGGCCCTCCAAGGCTGGGAGTTCCCTGAGAAAAGTATGCATGTCAATGGTGTGAGACACTCTTGACCCCGCCGGAGTTTCAATCAAACGATCATGTTCTCAATGCAATTCATTTCATATCAGGGTGGTATCTAGCGCTATCCGGCTGCGTTCTATATGTGAACGTCGCCTTCTTTTCTTGAGTTTCGTATTTTCTTCCATATCTGGTGCCCTCCTGCCTTCATGGGATTATAGGATGACACAGTTCTTAGGCAATCCACAGGGCCCGCTCTTCTCTTCCTTGTCATCCGTGTTCAAAGGCTGACTGGGCTGGCCGGCACTGGCTGTGGTTGCTGGCTTCGTCGTCGCAGGTGTAGCTGATGTTGTCGTGCTTTGTGTCTGTGTCTGCGGCTGCTTCTCTTCTTTTGCTACCGCCGGCTTTGCTGCTGCGCTGCCATCTAGTCAAGCAAAGTTGACCTTGCTAACGTGCTCGTAGAAGCCCTTGCCCTGGGCCTGCGCGAGCTCGAGTTCCTGGGCGCTGGGTTGACGAGAACCGTCACCGCCAGAGAAGGTGCCCGCACCCCAGGGCGAGCCACCACGCACCTCGTCGAGCCCAGCCAACAAGCTGAATGTAGTCGCGTAGCCGAGGGGTACGTAGATCATGCCCTGGTGCACCCAGCTGCTCAGGGCGTTCATGCAGGTCGACTCTTGCCCACCTCCCGCGGTGCCCGTGCTGACGAACATGCCGAAATATTTGCCGTACAGGGCGCCGGATTGCCACAGTTGGCCGAGGTGGTCGATGAATGTCTTCCACTGGGCGGAAAAGTTGCCGTAGCGGGTGGGGATGCCGAAGAGGAAGGCGTCGTAGGTCTTGAAGATGTCCGGGGTGATGAAGGGGACGCTCTCGTCTTGAGGAGGGGCGTACATCTTGCTGAGGACTTCTTGGGGGAGGGTCTCTTTGATCCTGGGCGTCCTGTTAGTCTGCGGTCACTGGCTACCACGGATCAGGGTGAGGGTTGAGGTAGGCTTACTGGAAGAGATCCGCCTTGCCGCCGGCTTGCTCAATGCCTTTCAACTCGGCTTGGGCCAGCTTGGCGACGTGGCCGTACATGGAGTACTATTTCGCAATGTTAGTAGGGTGCTGGCATTGGAAGCGTGGACGAGGACTGCCAGAACGTACGTAGACGATTGCGATCTTGGGAGCCATGGTGATTGAGTTGGGTTTTGGATGAGCAACAGATGGGAAGGGAGTGTAAGATGGTATGAGAAAAGGAAAAGAAAGTCGAGCCGCAGAAGGTAGGGGGTCAGGGAGTCTTTTGTATCCGCAGGTTCACTACAGGTAAGTTACTCCGTGAATGCAGATGGATAAATGCACCGCGATAGGCGAGGCGAGACTTTGACCAGACAACCATACACACAGAAACCCCGCTCCAGTCTCTAGTCTATTTCATGACGCATTCTTAGCAACGCAGGACACTACTGTGTTGCGACAGAGTACAATGATTTCGAATGTATTAGCAGATGATTACCGAATCGCGGTCAATTCACCATTGTTGCCCGGGCGTACACCTTGCTGGATGGCGCATAGGAGAATGAGACCCAGCAGGGTCCATGGTTATCCTATTGGAGGGGCTTCACAGGTACAAACGCCAACGGTGTCCACCACATCGACCCCGCTAGGCCCTGAGCTTTTAGTGCGCATCCAGAGCAGTGTGAGCTTATCAAAAGCTGACAGAGAATTGTCAAAGCATACCAATCGTGAGGCTCCACCCACTTGCCTGCGCGGAATGGTCCCTCCCCTTGTGGGACCATGCTTGTCATCCCCCGTCCTCTTTGTCAGCGACATTTTCTTCGACAACACAGCTCTTGCTTCACATGGATGCTCGTTGAATGACCACGCGCTGGCTCTCCTTGCGAAGTGGCATCATTTATAAGCTTGAAAAAAGCTAAACTCCTAACAGTACAACAGGGCGGCGACGGTGACAGATAATGCGACCGGCCATCGGCCGGTGCCGTGGTAGGAGAGCAGAGAACGGGCACCCGCTGCTTGTTTCCCTGCCATTCCCCTTACGAAATTGATGCAGACTATTACACTTGAAGTTGCTGGCTGGATTGAGCCAACTGATTTCCGTGCGAAGAGAAATCGTTTTCTTTGGGCCGGGCGTGGGCAGCAGGGGAGTATGAAGAGCACCGTCCATATCATTCTTCTTCCCACTCAACAATCTGCTGTTTCTCCCACAGCCTGCTCGCACTACTCACGATGATCTCGGCTTTGGCCAACAGCTTCGCCTTGACCCTTTCAGCTGCTTCGCCCTGCAACTTCATCTTGCGGGCTTGGGCCTGCAGCATAACCGGCACCAAGGTTTGAGGATCGGCCTCACTGAGAGCTCTGACGGTCTTCAACCCATTCTCCCAGAACATTCGTGCCATGCGGCTCTTGACAAATGCCACTTGAGCCATGTCAAGCAGATCCGCCCTTGCGCCAGCACGAAGACGATCAAGCATATGCTCTAACACAGCAGAGAGCATTCCCCATCCCATCTTCTCGCAAAATTTGATCATCCCCGCCGCAAAACCATGACAAGTCTGGGCGAGGTTCTGGATTTGTCCTCGTGGGACCGAATACTTCAGACTGACCTCGTGGACGGGCATCTCATTGCATAGGTCTCTTAGCTGGAATGCAGAATATGCTCTACGGTAGATCCGGGCCAGCCGAAGCTCGTCAGGCGTATTTTCCTTGAGTTCTGCACCACTGTTGACGAGCCGATTGACGAAAGCTGGATTGACCCCGACCAGTTGCAAGGCTCGTAGACCACTCTCGTCGAGGCTCTCGACCTGGTTACGAAACGTCAACCAAGATATTTCACCCAGGCCAGCGGTCTGCACAGGAGTGAAGAGGTAGAAAATGTGCATATCACCATCCATGACGAATGATTCGAGCGCTCGGCGCAACTCTGAATGGACAAAAACCCCATCTTCGGGACTCAGGCCAGACGCAACGACCGCCATGCCCAGCTTGGTAGGTTCGAGACAATTTTCGAATGCAGTTGTTTGGATGAGCTCGTTTGCAAGCAAATCCCGAAGCGAGTCCTCCACCATTTCAAACACAATCTGACGGTCCATGGTGTGCCAGAGCAGAGATGACTGGACATATTGATCCACTGCGCTCCGACTCGAAGCCATACGGATAGCAACAATCTCCAGTAGCGCCCTTTTGATGCCTTGCTTCTCCGGAGTCAAACAGCTTGTAACCGGCGGCAACTCAGCTTCGAGTAATTCGGCCACCGCCTCAAGGTCGGGCTTGTGACAGCACAGGAAGGTCTCGCCAAGTTCATCCTTGCCTTTCCGGCCAGCACGGCCACGCATCTGTCGCAACATGGCGGGCCCGACCAGATCCCGACCCATGCGAGCTCCATTCAAAATCACCCTGCGAGCCGGAAGATTGATGCCGGCCGCAAGACTACAGGTAGCCACCATGACCTTGAGAATTCCAGCATCGTACGCCTCCGCAACCAGGTTCCGTTCCTCTATGGTCAGCCCGGCATGATGGAACCCAACACCACACAGTATGGTCTTGGAGAAAGAGGCCTCGAAGCCTCCAGGCAGCGCACGTAATGAAGCAATGAGGTCTTGTCGCTTTGCATGCGCGTCGTGATCGCAACAGTCAAGGGGCATGGCATCACTGATCAGTACAGCAGTCCTCTCCACGCCCATCCGGCTGCTACAAAAGACCAAGGCGCCATGCCCGGATACAGCAGTCTCGACAGATAGTGCGACCACAGCGTTGATCATCGGATTACCCAGGTCCTTGTGGTCTGATTTGGTGATGGTTCTGCATGCTTGAGGCCGAGGTGTAGAAATAGAGTCTTCAGCGGTTAGTTGGCTGGCTGTCCGAAAGAACTCTTTGGCACTGGCTGTGGGATATATCTCATTCTCGTAGACCAGGTGTTCCTCGATTGGTATGGGCCGGTATTTCGCAATGTAGAATTTTGACTTCAGCCATGTAGCAAGGAGCTGCGGATTCGGTAACGTCGCGCTCATTCCCACAATCTGAATACCACAGTCCAAGGACATCAACTTGGTTGCGAGTAGTTCCATGAGATATCCACGGTGCTCGTCATTGATCATGTGTAGCTCATCAAGAACGACCACAGCGATTTCGCCGTGTTTGCCCTCCTCGATGGCCGAGTTGACTAGAGAGTTTGCCTTCTCGATTGTGCATACAGCCACGTCGCAGTCCGCCCACTGGACTGTGGGTCTGCTGCCACCGAAGAATCCGGCCACCCGGATCACGGGGCTCGGTCGTCGCCAGGTGGGGTTGGGAGGTTCATCGGACAACTCAACTTGTTTGCTTACTCCGTCTGTCAAAGCTCGCAACCACTTCAACTTTTCCTGGACAAGGGCAACATAAGGGAGAACCAGAATTGACTTCTTCTGCGGGTTCTCGATGATTTTCTTGAGCAGCAAAACGTCTGCGACTAAAGACTTTCCACCGCCCGTTGGAGCGGTGTAGACAAGGTTTTGTTCTCCGCTCAGCAAGCCCCTGCCTAGGAGACACGACGATTGCCATGGGTAGATGGATCGCACTCCAAGCGATTCTAGGTTGTCAAGCAATTTGGTGGGAAGATCGTAACGCGAATGTCGAAGGGTAAGAAGAGGATTCTGAGATGGTCCTGGAGTTGATGATATGATCGGAGGTAGTGGGTTCGGAGGCACATATCCAGTAGGGCGACTGTGACCGGAACCCTCAGCCGGTAAAATGCAGCTTGCTTGAAGACGGGGCGGAGGTGGTGCTGGAGGCTTCTGCTGGTCGACACCTGAGTTTGCTAGTGGCGGTTGCCTGAACGACAAACTCTGATGAAATGGCCGTTGGTGGTGGAATGAGTCGACGTGACCGTAGGGACGTTTGACGCCGGCCAGTGCCTGGACGTTATATTTCTGATTCTGAGCGATATCGACAGATGTGGCAGGTGCATATGTGACGGCTGCACCTGGCCATGAAGTAGCCATGGGAAAGTTGGATCATGCCGTCGTTACAGGCAGAAAGGGATTGGATCAGTTATACAATGATCCTTGCATCACTCACAAAGCACAGAGACAAGTTGATCTGATGATAATTGTGCCGTTGTGCCGGTAATAGTGGTGGTGATGACTGATGAGCAGGGTACGATTATGCGCCACGCACGCGTTGGGATGTAAATAGCCGAACCCCAGAAAGGGAAGGCGCCAAAACTCATTCTGGGCCCCTACCTTTGGGTTCGCCAAGCCAGCGTTGACTTCACTCGGAGAAGAGGTCCAGCTGCAAGGGAATGATCACACAGCAATAAGAGTCGACTCAATGCAAGACAGAAGAAACAGCGGAATTCTTACCATGGATGCCCCTGATGAAAAGGTTGACCGGTAAGAAGCTGGAAAGTGTGGTTGCTGACATGCAAGCGTCGGACATTTATTGGTGAAGATCGACTTGTGCGGGAATATTCAGTGAAGGGCAACAGTGAGAACGGGAAGCCTAGAAAAGATGATTTTAGGGTGATGACAGGTTGAGTGCGATTAAGAGGCGACGAGTGGGGGAGGAAGATGTGGCCTGGAGCTGGAAAGCTGTCGTGCTGGAGGTGACGGGACTGATCGATGCATGAGACGAACACGAGATGAAAAGATGAGATGCATGCACGATATCAACCGAAATCTGGTTTTCGAATGGAAAGAAGTTGATCCTGCATACCCTGACCATCTTAATTGGGCTTGGGCCAAAGACGCGGCTGTTCTGGGCTATCGATGGTCCAAGTCACCGTGCCAGAATTGAGATGTGGTTGATTTTAGAGACAAAGAGCATCAAGGGCATAATCAGGTGATCGCCAAGGCTGCCGGGCGCTAAGACAAGCCTAGTGGCCCATGTGGAGGCTAGGAGGCCCCTGCAGCCCGTCCCATCCACGACTTTCGACCTCACTCGACTCTGGCCAAAGCAGAGTATGGACAAGCCTCACCCAATACCACATGATCCAACGGCCGATGAATCATGACAGGCATATGCTTACCTGTCCCAATAGGTTATACCCGATTTGAAGAGGTTTGCTCAAGACTTCAGTGCTTGTCGTGGCATGTTGATAAGGCTGATTCGCAGGAATGGGAGTTGGTTAATGCCACTTAATGGGGGAGAATAGTCGGCGCTCGAGGGAGAAATAACCCGACCTCCACGGATAATCGTCTGCAAGATTTGACACCCGTTCAAGAGCATATCATGGGCTCAATTATCACTCCCACAAGGATACTTATCCAGCAATTGAGCTCGAACCAGTATCTGCCTTCTCTTCCACTTCCCTCGCCTTGAGCGACGACCAAGACACTAGCCTCGCTGGCACATAGCTAACTTGGTTACCTATTTGGTCCCCGACCGTTGTCATTTCTTGCCTTTGGTCTTGTCTTTTGCCTTGCCAGCATAGCATCATCATCATGATTATTATTATTATTATTTGCACGCAATGCATCCTGCCAGTCATTCCGTCTCCACAAATTCCCTTTGTTAAAGATTTTCCTTTTGTCCTCGTGTCTGGGTGTCCACTATTTCCTGTCGGTCCAACCCTACCGCCCTCGTTCGTTGGTGTTCCCTTTCCCCTCTGGTCTGGTGCCTCCGCTGCCTGACAAGAGGAAACACACTCACTGTAATTAGCTGCCGGTCTACTGACTACGCGACCTGACCTTACGTATACCCTGCTCTTCGTCGCCTTGTCCATTCTAAGCCGCCCGCCTCCCACTCTCTCCTCTCTTCAACCTCTCACGAACAGGGCCAAAAGATGAAACTCGCAGTAACTTGATCATCACTCCTAAGTAGGTAGTTTTAGACTCGCAGTATTTCGGCTTGTCATCCGGTGTCCGCGTCCATTCATTCTTCTTGGTAAAGGGACAATCAACCTGCCACTTTGACTAGTATGACCTATTGCTAAACCTCGCTACTACCATCGACTACTTGACTAGGGCCACATTTCTGGCACTTCCTCCTGCCGATTTCTGTCCTTCCCCATCTTTTCCCTTCTTCACTTTCTTGTCGTCCATCCTTCCTTCACTCTCATTTCTCACTATTTCACCATATCCGTACTCTTTTGGCGATCTGATTGATTTTGTCTGCTTACCTTCTCGATATTTCCACCACCTTCCTCCTCCTCATCACTCCGAGTTCGGTCCCTTGCTGGCAAGCAGCGGCTAGTACATTGTAACCCCCATCGCACAGGCGCGTGCCTTTCAGATATCGCCCGGCTCGCCGCCCACGCCGTTTGCCTCTCACATCGTAGAATCATCATCTGTGCCGACGATCCCCACGACTTAGATTTCAACGAGATTCACCTCCATAACGACGCCGGCCGAGTCTGCACTATTATTTGTGCTTTTTACGACGCATCTCAGGTGACTGGGTTGGCTGATCCAAACCTCGGAGTAGCCGTCCCTGGCCCAGCCGACGCGGCTTCCACGTCTACGCCCGCCATGCGATAGAAACAAAGCTCAACCATCCCGACTGTCATCGTGCGATCTCGCCTTGACAAAGTCATGTCGGCTACCGACAATTTTGTACAGGCAAAGGCGCGCTCGAATTCTCCAGTCGAAAAGCAAGTCGATGCCCCCTCAGAGAACAAAAATGGTGTACCGCCAAGCGGGCCGGCAAACAGCACTCCTACGACTAGCGTGGAGGTATCGCCTGCTCCCGAGACTGCGCTCCCCCTCGAAACGCCTCAGTCGCAGCCTATGACCGCTACCGCGTCTTCGTCCTCACAAAACCCTCCCCAAGAAAATGGTGGCGCTTCTGCTGCTGGTTCATATGGGACTCGATCACGACATCGTACAGGTACACGTCCTAACTATGCCGAAGACAAAGATTTGGACGTAGAATTGGATGCGTCGCCCAAAGTCAGTCGTGCGAGCAAGAGATCATCTGCAGCGAACGAGCAACACACCACGGCCACGTCGTCAGGCTTTGCAGCCATCAACCACTCCGCGAGCGAGAATCCCTCCGACAATGTGCCAACGGGTGGTACGTCGACTCCTGTCCCCTCTGCGACCCCTGCGTCTTCAAAGAAGAGGAAGCACCCTGGTAGCAGTCACCCTGTTGCCTCCACACATCACACCATGCCTGCCAACGCGCGCTCTAGACATGCCGTTTCGGTACCCTTGAAGGGCTTCGTCGAGACGAACATGATGAGCTTCAACAAGTGCGGCCGCAAGCTGAATGCGAAGAAGCAATTGGTGTCTGATGACGGGTCCACGGTGCAAGCAAATGGTATGTTGGGAGCCAGCTATTATGTAGCATGAGCCGCTCTAATCTCTCCTAGATCACGTCTATATGGTCTGCGAACCACCCGGCGAGCCCTACTACCTTGCGCGCATCATGGAATTCTTGCATGCGAAGAACGATCCCGAAGGTCCCGTCGACGCGTTACGAGTGAATTGGTATTACAGACCGAAAGACATCCAACGCCGCGTGCAAGATACTCGCGTTGTGTTCGCCTCGATGCATTCAGATACGTGTCCACTCAACTCCATACGCGGAAAATGTAATATTCAGCATCTGTCCGCTATCTCGAATATGGATGATTACCGCAGTCAGCAGGATTCCTTTTGGTTTGACAAACTATTTGACCGGTACATGCTCCGTTATTACGAGGTCATTCCAACTACAAGAGTCGTCAACGTTCCTCAGCACGTTAAAGCAGTCCTCGACGAGCGATGGAAATTTGTTCTTGTCGAGATAGGACGAGGTCGTGAATTGACCAGCGAGAGTAAGAAGTGTACAAGATGCGAGCAATTCGCCAGCAACCATGACTCGGTCGACTGTGCAGTCTGCAAAAGAACATACCACATGCAGTGCGTCAGACCTCCACTGTTGAAAAAGCCTGCTCGGGGGTTTGCTTGGGCTTGTGCTGCATGCAGTCGGGCGCAAGAGATGAAGATGGATGCTCGACATACACCTGCAGGCTCGGAGGCTGCGCACGGTGATGACGACGATTTCATGGACGAGGATGACGACGAGCCCGCGAACAAGGCTCAAGAGACTCGTGAGAGCAGCGTCGCACACGAGTCGCATCCACAACCAACTCCGGCGCAAATCGCTCAGGCAAATCTGTGGCCATGGCGGTATCTTGGAGTCCATTCGCGTCCCGAGGATGCATTGGACTATGATGACCGGATATATCCCCGTGCGAGTTCTCGGTTGGGTCCTCGTCATCAAGCCAACATCAATGTCTGGCATGGTCGGCCTGTCGAAATGGTGAAGCCAGCGGAAATCAAGAAGAAATACAAGAACACCGACCGGAAAAGTGGCAAGTCATCCAAAGATGTGGCAGCCGATATCGATAAAGATCTGCGGCTTAAGCGTCCAAAATGGGTGGTCGATGAACCAGTAGGGTATATTGCTCGTGGCCATGATGAAGCCATCGAAATCAAGGGCAAGAAGGAACACACTGCGCAACTCATCTTCAAAATGCCAGATCAACTCGAAATGTCGGAAAGAGGGACTGACGACGTAGTACGACCACCAAACGCCGAAGAGCTTGTGGACGAGTTCATGAAGAGGGTCAAACCTATTGCAGCGCAGTACAACTTGTTGGACTCCTCGGTCGACTTCCTGACAAAAGCGGTAGAAAAGTTGGAGGAAAACGACTTCAACATTGACAAAGCTCTGGACGCGATGAAGGGATTGTCGTTGAGGGCAGATTTGAAACAACCAGACTTGAACCGAGAAGAGATCAAACGCTTCGAAGAGGGTGTTTCAAAATATGGAAGTGAGCTACATGCAGTTTCTCGTCATGTTGGATCAAGTGTCAAAGAATCCCGAATTGTGCGTTATTACTACATGTGGAAGAAAACTGACAAAGGCCGACAAATCTGGGGCAACTTCGAGGGAAGGCGCTCGAAGAAGGAATCAAAGCGCGTTGACAAAGATGGCAACGTTATCAAAACACTCGATGACGTTGCAGACGATCAAGACGATTCTGCTTTTGACGAGGAGAAAGCGGCTCAGAAAAAACGTGGATTTGTGTGCAAGTTCTGTGCCACACACCACTCGAGACAATGGCGACGCGCACCAGCCACGCCTCCTGGCACGCTCGTACCCAAAGATCCCAGCGCGAAGAATAGCAAAGATAAAAGCGGTTGGCTTACTCTGGCATTGTGTGGAAGATGTGCATACCTGTGGCGCAAATATGCCGTACAGTATGAGGACATTGAGGAGGTTTCCAAGAAGATCGCGTCATCGGGCAGCCGTGCTGCGAAGCGAAAGGTCGATGAGGAATTACTGCGCCTCATTCTCGAAGCGCACCAAATGTCGGGAGATCCAATACCTCCACGAGCGGTGGATGAGGTCAACAAAGCTGGTCTCGAAGTGCCTCATAATATCATTCAGCCCGACGAGCCTCCAAAGAAGAAAGGCAAAACAGACAAAGACGGTGCGCACGGGACACCGGACGTTGTGCCAGAGAAAAAGAAAGCACCCGAAAAGCCCCAGGAACCTCCCCCAATCGAGCCAGATCCACCCAAGGTCAAGATTCATCCCTGCGCAGTCTGTCGTGTTATCGACGTTCCTGGGCAGGAGCTACTCAAATGTCGTGATTGCAGACTACACGTACATGGCTCTTGCTATGGCGTTGGCCCCAACAATAACACCAAGCCTTGGTTTTGTGACATGTGCCGGAACGATCACAACCTTCAGGTCTCAACCACCTACGAATGCGTCCTCTGCCCTATCAAATACACGGCCCAAGAGCTCATGGAACCGCTCAGGCCTACTCACAAGAAGAAGACGGAGCGAGATCGCGAAAAAGAGCGAATCGAGCGCGAAATCATCCAGGAGGCGAGCCGTCGATGGAGAATGGAGCAAGAAGCCGCTGGTCGTCCGGTCAATCCCCGAGAAGCACTCAAGAGGACCGCATGGAACAACTGGATGCATATCACATGTGCGCTATGGACGAAGGAGATCAAATTTGGCAACGCCGAATTATTGGACGATGCTGAGGGTGTTGGCTTTATTCCGGCTGAGCGGTTTGAGCCACCTTGCAAGATCTGCAAGCAAGCAGGATACCCGACCGTAAAGTGCCAGCAGTCAAACTGCAACAGCTTTTTCCATATCGGCTGTGCTCATCAGTCAGAGTACGTCTTCGGCTTTGATGTGGCTCCAGTAAAGAGCAGCCGACGAGATTCAACGATCGTTATGAAACTCGACTCAGAAGCCGGCATCGTCACCGCAGGTATCTGGTGTCCCACTCATCTCCCGACGACGTTCGTTCACAACATCCTGGAACCGACAGAGGCAGGCTTGACTGCCATGCAATTGTTTGCTCGAACCTATAAGCAAGTTGACAATTCTGTCACTGGGACAGTCCGCCGGGCAGCCCAGTTCACAGCCAACTTACCGACTACAGCAACAACAACAGCAGTCCAGCCAGCTCAGAGACGCGATTCGCTGGTGAATGGACTATGCAATGGCACAAATGGACAAGTCGACAGGATTACTGATGCAAATGCCGCTGAGTCGCCTCGCGAGCTGGAGGATGAACCACTTGAGTCAAGGCCCGTTCAAAGCACAAGCAAGAAGACGTCTGCTCAAAAGAAGTGTTGTACTTGTCTAGTTGATGTGAGCCCTCGCTGGTGGCCTCTGGAACGCGCAGAAATGGCCCCAGCAGTCACGAATGGATTTCGCTCTGAACCAGGTGCTGAGCATGGCGCATTGGACGCCTCCCAAGACGTTGTGATGACCAACGGCATCGTCAAAGCCGAGCCTGCAGACACCAATGCGCTTGGAAGTATAAGCGAAATCAAGGATCGGGTCATGTGGCAATGTCATAAATGCCACATCCTGAAACGAACACCACCTCCATCGCCATCGCAGGTCCGACCTCGTCAGCTTTCACCGGAACGTCTTCCAGAGCCTGTCGCCTACCAATCATCCTATGCAGTACCCCCACCACCGGCATTCCCTCTCAGTCGACCATCAATGGACACAGCATTACCACCGCCGCACTCTCACCCACCTCCGCTTGGGGCGCCTCCTCCACAGCCTCCTTCTTGGCAGAACAATCCTGGCGGCTGGTCATCTTCTTCACTTAGTAGTGGACGTCGACCATCCCCTCCACCTCTTGGGGGAGGATATCCGTCCGCTTACAGACAACCGCCTCACGATGCTCCGGCATACAACAGACCACCACATCATTCCTGGAGCACTGTTCCCCCTCCACCTCCACCACCACCTGCTGCCGGACATTTGGCTCAGCATTCTCCACCACCCGCGCCATACGGGTCCGCAACTCATCACCACCCTGCTCCCGTGCCAACAGCGCCACCGGCAAACCGTGGGCTTTCCCCGCCGCGGTATGATCGAGTACCGATGCCTTCACCACATCTGGGTTTGCAGCAGTCGATCCTGTCTCGATCTTTTGCACCTGAACCGCCTCGTCAACCAAGCCTAGGCTCGCCCGTCAATGGCTACGCAGCACCACATTCGACAGCACCAAGACTTTTCAGTCAAGCGCCTCCACCTCCTCCACCGCCATCCTCGCTAGCAAGACATTCGCCCTCGACCCAATCATTAGCTCACATTGCTCAAGCCGCTGCTGACCAAGGTGGACTGACGCACTCGAGGCAGGCTAGTGTAGATGGTACGCCGAGATTCGGAGCCAGAGCGATACCAGAGAGTCCTCAGCAAAGACCGATCACTCCTGCAGGACCGCCAGCGTTAAAGGAAGAGAGGAAGGAGGGACCTGGTGCAAGTGCTAGTCCCAGCCTGAGGAATTTGTTGAGCTAGTGAGGCAGAGAGCGAGACTGTACGCCCGGTTCAGGATGATGTGGATGCGGTGTCACTGTTCTACGTGGAAGGGTCTCGAACAGTCACAATATCTATCCCAATGCCTTATGTGGAATGATGAGACGTTATAGCAATTGTGAGGGCTCACAATTTTGAAAAGACCATTATTATGCTCTTAGCCATAACAAGCAGGGCATGAGAAGGAAGTGTATGTGTAGAATACTGAGAAAAATGAGATCATTCACTAGGCCATGATGTTGTTTACTGAACTCGTTGCATTGTTACAGAGTATGTGTTTCTGGGCGCTGCCTCTTTTCGATGAGCTGGCGACGAGGAACACTCTTTGCCAATTCCCTCGTTGGAACTATGGTCGTGTCAAGAGCAGCAGCGGCGCTGAAGCTCCGTTGCGATGACGAGCACGCCTATACGAGTTTGTCTCACACTAAATGCGCTCCGATCCAAACAGCAGCAGCTGCCCGATCCTCGAATGCAGTTGTCCTGGACCAACAGCCAGGACACAAGGGGGGAGATTGATCTGACAGCCATTTGCTCTCGTTGTCTGGTCGAAATTTCCCGAAAGCCATTTGAACCCACGGTATCGTGACGAGTGCAGCAAGAAGCTGCCCCAAGCTATGCGACCATAGTAATATCCTGTGTGTGAGCTCTTCCGTCCTGGAATCATGCCGTAGCATGTCCGATAACGGGTCGTGTTTACTCATCCTCATCGTCATCAATAACACGTCTCTTCTTCCTAGCCTGTGGAGTGCCCTGCGGCGCAACTTCATCGTCGTCATCCGTAGCAGCACGCTTCGGCGTCGAATCTCTATCGCGATCTCGTTGGCCTCCTCTCGTCCGGTTATTGATGACCGTCTCACGGCCTTCGATCTCCAGATCGTCCACGTCGGGGTCATCATCCTCTTCGGCCTCCACTTCCGCACCACCCTCGTCATCGTATATCTCGGGCTCCTCGTCGCTGTTGGCAAGGAAGCCATCGTCGCGATCGTACTCGTCTTCACGGCCACGACCGCGTGGGTAGTCTTCGTCCTCGTCGTCCGAGTAGATGTCGCCTCTACGGTTGGGTCTGCGGGCACGGGCTTTGGCCTTGGTTCCGCGCGCGGAGGGCATGCCGTCGTCGTCTTCGAGGCCGGCAAGTGTGAGACCGCCTCCGCTGCGACCGAGACCGGACCGACCGAGGACTCTGTCTCGGCGTATGAGTAGACGGTCTTCGGCACCTTCTCGCTTGCGTATCGCACGTGACTGCTCTTTCTCGAATTGTTCTGCTCGTTTCTTCGCATTTTCGGGATCTTCCTTGACGCTTTTGATGGTGTTGAGAGGGTCGTGGGTTTGCGCGGCTGCTGCGAGGGATTTTTGGAGTAGGAGGACGGACTCGTCTGCCAGATCACCTGTGGGTTGGATCTTCATGGACGCGTCGAATGGGGCGACGATTTCCATGTCGACACCGACTGTGGAGTGACCGACTGCGAGGTAATTGTGTGTGTCTCTGTTGGGGTCATAGTCTGGTTGAGGCTGGCCGGGCTTCTTTGGCCAGCCTTGTCTCAGGGCGGTCGTGGATATTCGGTAGTGATCTTTGGGCGATGAGGCGATTTGGAGGGTCAAGCTGCCGTCGGACCAGCGGACGAGGCGGGAGTTGGACTGGAGGAGCTCTGGGTTCTTGGGGTCGCGGCGCCAGAAGAATTGACTGGCGGCTGTTGAGAATTGAGAGAATTTGACGGTTGGGTCGATAGCTGGGTCTCGCCCGTCGTGCGGCTTGTTGGGGATCTCGTATGTGGCTGGGTTGAAGTTTTGATGTTTGATGCCTAGGAAGGGAGGCATGTTGAGGAGGTAGAGCTCTTCTCCTTCTGGGAACTTTACTCGGTGCATGTCCACGTCAAGTAGTTTTAATTGTTTCTGTTCTCCGTAGACTTCCTCCTCGTCCTCCACTGTCGCCGCAATCCGGTCTGCTCTGCCTTCATCGTCTCCGGAGTCGAGTTCGGAGTCGTCTAGTTTTTTGTTCAGGTCGTTACCCTGGTCAAGCTCTTCGTCGTCATCGTCGCCGAACAAGTCTCCATCATCGCCGGACGCGTCATCTCCGTTCAGGTTGTCTGGGATATCGTCTCCGAGGTCGCCATTTTGAGGTATTGATTCCACCTCTGCAGACATTGTGAGATGGTGGTCGGGGTGTAGTGTAGTCGAGCGAAGGAATGCTGCGAGGAGCGGACAAAGGGAAAAGGATATCTGAAGCTGGCCTGGCTTCCAAAATCACGCGTGTAGCCAACGTCGTTATGTGGAGCGCTCAGGTACACGGTGAGGGTCAGTAGCCCGCTGTGAGGTGGACAACAAAAGCGCAGTTGTCGAGAATCGAAATAGTGAAGATTACCTGATCGGGCTAGTTCAGGGTCGGCTATGTTGCCTCAGGGGATTTCAATGCATGTTTCAATGCCAGTGTCTCCTGCCAGATGAAGTGAACCTCAACTCCTTTCTTAGTGTAATTGTGATATTGACTCAGTTGAAAACGAGTTGAGAGGTCTTGTGCAAAAGTTCACAAGATGGCGACGTTCTTCCAGAGCGTGTAAGTTGCCCCTACTTCACTCCACGGCTTCGATCCCGTTACCGCTTGAACACGCAGTCCACCGAGAGCCCCCTGCGTGCGACATGAAGAAAGCAAATTCGAAAGCTCAATGGTCTTTTAACGGTTTTCGGTTGCTGACAAGTCGTATAGTCGTCAAGGCTTCACCAGAAGCAACACGAAAAGCAATCAAAACCTCAGAAGCCAACACAATGGCACTCAGTCACCAAACCAGCAACATGCTCCCCCTATGCCCCCGTTACCAAGTTCACCTTCGCTGTCCTCCACCTTCAGTCAAGAAGGCGCCTACCAAGAACAAGAGCCCAAGAAGTTCTTGAACGAGAAATACGTAAAATGTTCGGTCAAAGGAAACTTCTTGACTCTGGCCGCACAGCCGAAGAATGTTGAGTTGGGAGAGTGGCTGGCGCATCAATGTGAGCGGCGTTGATCGAGATATGCAGGGAACGGCGCTAACAGGCTACAGTGGTCGAGATGAATAGGTTACTCACGGCCATGATTCTGGTCATTCAAGAGGTGGATATGAATACTGGAGCGCCTTTGTGCAATGAAGTTAGCTGCCCTACAATGTCTGCTGGACGGTATGTAAGCTTGAGTGTCTTCCTTGATGCATGTCTGAATGTGCATAGTCTCACATATACCTGGCTCGAGAATGGAAGACCGGCTAAGATCCCAGCCCCGTCCTATATCGTTCGAGTACAAAGATGGATTGTCGGCAAGATCCACGACGAGAAGACCTTCCCAACCGTACCGCCACCCAACATCGCCAACACGGCCTACGCATCTGGAGACACCGATGCAACGCCAACATCAGCATCTACTCCAATCCCAGCTGGCCCTACCAGTCTCAATCAATCCCTGACTAGTTTGGCGGGTCTCCAGGATGAGTGGATCGGGAAGTCATCTGGCTTCCCTCAGCACTATCACCAGGATGTCAAGAGTATCGTCAAGCAGATGTTCCGATGCTACGCTCATCTATACCACAACCACTGGGACAACCCGTTCTGGCATATTAATCGTCACCTGGAACTCAACAGTTGTTTCGTGCACTTCATCACGGTGGCCATGTACTATGACCTGTTGCCGAAGAAGGACATGGAACCACTTCAAGGACTCATTGATATCTTCACTGCGCAAGGTGTTGTTCCCAAGGAGGCGGTGCAGCAACATGTCAGTTAGGCTCTTGAAGGCACTCTCGCAGTGACGATTGACCAGCAACCATGATTACGGCAGCATTACGAATTAAAGTGCATGCATTTAGCGATGATGACAGGCGTTTCAGGGCGGATACGAAAGGAGACAGGCACGATATGTGCGTTGAGTCAAGTTACAGTGAGCATTGAAATCGTGTGGACAATGAATGATATTGATTATTGCTTGGGGTATGACTGAGCTTGACAATCACTTACCTTGTGCTTTGTCTCATTGTTGCCGACTTACCTATCTGAGCCCTTGACTCTCTTTGTGGCCATGCCGACAAAGGACTTACCTGATCATTGTGTACTGTTGTCTGACACGTGCGAATCTAGGAGAAGCAAGCTTCTTCTGGATCGTGACCATCACCGCAGTAGGGACAAGTGGACCAACCTGGCTCTTTCTCATTTGTCATTGCCTTGATGGTAGTGGTAGTGGTAGTGGTACTCTTGATGTTGTTGGCTTTGAAGGCTGCTTGGTTGGAAGACTGATGAGCTGCCATAGCCGATGATTTGACTGGAGTGCACATTTTGATTTGATTTGTTGAAGAATGTATTTGGATTTGTTGAGTAGTTGAGTGGAAGCTTGTCTTGTTGTTAGCAGATTGAACTTTTGGGTTGTGGTTGTCTGCTGTGGATAGTGTTGTTGTGTGATGGAGAAGAAATTACGGAAAGGCATGATCCTGGTGGCCTATTTGAAGGCCTTCGAGCAGCAAAGCTGCTGTAAACTGCTAAGGCAGTCTGATTGTGACGATGAGACACGATATCTTTGCCCGATTATGGCACTGAGACATGCCATCTTTGTAAGGCATGTTTGCTATGGACATGCATAGCAAACTTGTGAAGGGTGAGGTCGAAGGTTCAATGGGGACAAAGAAAACCTGAGTGAAACATTCGGCTTGGTGCCTTTGTGGAAGCAATAAGCCTTTGTTGGGATATCTCAGATTGGAAGGCATAGGTCTACACGACTCATTTGAGTGTTCGCGACAAAATTGGAATCTCATTCTAGCATACTCGATTGTGAAAGAGGAGTAGCAGCATTTCCCTACTTCTCTCGTGCAGCTTTCCTGTCTATCCAAGATCCTCGGGCCCAGAAGATGATGCTGACAACCAGTCCCGCACCTGCGAGGCCAATGCCCAAATACAATGCTCCTCGGTAGCCTCGCAAGACGTCATCGGGCGTCTTCCCTCCCCTATCAACGTTGACCTCAACGGTACCGGCAAAGCCGAGGCCCAGAGATATACTGTAGTTGACCACGGTGTTGATCAGACTTGCTGCTATACCCTGATGTCGCTTCTTGACGCTGTTACTTAAGATGATTGTCGCGGCTGGGAAGGACATGTCCATACCCCTGGATAGAAGGTCAGTTGGCGGTGTACGTAATCAGCGGCAAAGAAGAACTTACCATGGGATGACTATTGTGCACACAAACGTCTGAGCCCAGTACGATTGGTTCACAGGCGTCGTTGCGATCAGGATCTGCCCAACGGTGAATGCTGTGAGGGCAATAGTCATCACGACCGCCGGACGAAGCTTGGACAGGATAAGACCTGTACAGATCGAGGCGCAGGCTCCTGACACGGCGACTGGACTTAGATGCGCCACTGTGAGTAAGGGAGAATTGCCGCGTAGATTCTCCATGAAGCTGGTAGTGTAGTAGACCCAGATACCTTATGATATTAGTTTTGGTTTGCTGAAGAAGAGGATTGTGGAGAAGATTACCAAAAGACGACCACCCGCAAGCTATGCATGCGATAACAAAACCAACGTCGGCAGACAGTGCGTCGAATGGCACGAGGGGTGACTTGGATACGCGCAGTTCGATGTAGAAGAACACCGGGACTAGGAGTACGCCGATGATCAGGAGCACATAGACGTACGGCTTTCCCCATCCCACAATCGGCGCTTGGTTCCAGGCGAAGTTGAAGAGCACTAGTGCTAAGATCCCAACAAAAGCACCGGGAAGATCGAGCATTTTGATCTTGTCTCGGACGGAGAGGTTCTCACGGGATCTTTGTGGCGGCTCCGGGATAACGTAACTCGCGACGACGACGATGACCGCCAGAACGATGGACAGAGACCAAAATGTCCATGGCCACCAGGCTAGGGCGAATAGTCCGGCGAAAGCACCTCCCACTATCGAGCCACCTGGAGCACAAGCACCGAAAAGTGAAAACACCATGTCTTTCCGTTTGCCGGGCGCGTATGTGGCGCCCAACAAGGCCAATCCATTAGGTAGGGTGATTGCTGGTCCGATGCCTTGGAGCACCCTTGCGAACACGAATAGGACATGGTTTGAATAGACTGCTAGGCCGGCGACCATTGACCAGATCGAGAACCAGGTGAAGCCGATCATGAGCATACGCTTGTAGCCGAATAGATCGCCCATACGACCGGAAAGGAGGATGAAGGTGCCCACGGTCAAGCTGTATCCGGCGATGAGCCAACTATAATCGCTGGGATCGGTAAGACCAAAACTTTTACCGATGATGGGGAGAATGAGTAGTGTTGAGCCCAGGCCGACTTGGGTGGTGAATTGAGCAAGACATATTATGCCGACGAACATTATTTCCTTGCCCAGAGGCATCTGTTCGGCGATGGAGGACTTTGTTTGCTGTAATGTGACACCATTGTCGCCGGCGCTCGTTTCCTTCTCGATGGCGACTTCATCGTTACTCGCGGGACTTTGGGCTTCCTGGTCGCTATGAGTAGGATCGGCCATGGCGGGATAAGTGGCGGCTTCGTCGAATGCTTGCTTTGCTGGATTCGGTGGTGGTGTTTTGGTAGTTATGGTGAATAAACAGACGCCATGGATTGATAAGATGAGATTTGCCTCACCGGTACATATCCTGGAAGAGTCTAGATGGAAAGAAATGTCTGTTCGTACGAAGAAACCATTTTCAATCGTCGAAGGCGGACGTCACAAGGGAAGCATTTGACAAAAGGCCTGTGGAACCGGCAGATCAATCCTGAGTGCAAAACTATGGACATGTCGGTGGAGCAATATCTCGTCTGTCAAGGTCTTTCAGACTTTTAGTGGCCTCCTTGGGCGAGACGGTGCCCGGAAATGGTGATCCATCTTGTCAGACACCACCTGTACCTAATAGTACAAGTCTCCGCTGCAAGGGTGCTAATAACGATACCGATGGGGCCGGTGGTGACGGGCTTCGAAGTCATGCCGTGCTTATTCAGAAAAGAGCCTTCCCGCAATTGCCGCTGACCTAGCACGCGGAAGAAGCCCGCAAAGACTAGTAGGTGATAAAGCACAGGCACATGCTGTACAAGTTGCTCTTTCATACTCGTCTGCAACGCCGAATCCCTGTGCGATCGTTGCGCTTGATCGGTGATTTGGTGGTGTCAAGACCATATCTTTCTCCGATCGAGGCAAGTTTCAGAGATATTCAAGGGCATCCCCCGCATCAACGCGGAGGGGCTGGAAGCGGATGTGACGGATCATCGATAGGTATCTGTGAAGAAGTTGTGTATGCCACATGATGGATGAGTAACATATAGGCTATGGCATCCAACAACTTGACCATGTTAGGCTTGCCCAGGATCTGCGTAGATGCCCATACTGTGATGTTTTCTGCATGCTTATGGTGGTGACGTCAAGGCCTACTGTTTTGCGGGTGCATGCGCGAAAGGTCTGGATTCAAGGCCTGGGCGAACTCATTTGCTCCAAAATGATGTGGTTGCAAAAGTCCCTATTTTGAGTTGAACTACGATGCATTGTGAGTTCCAGCATTCGTCCATGATCATGATACAGTAGCACATATCACATTGTTTGTGAGCGGGACATGGTGAGTCCTTGACCTGCGATGTGTTGCATGCACGACTAATGGAGTCTACTTCTTCAGGCTTCACTCTTGCGGCAGATAGTTGCAGGACCACGCGCCAGACATCCTCAAGCCGGCCTAGACTTGTGCTATGTGACCGATTACAGTGAGTCAGATTTGACGTTTTTGGGGATTTCCACGATTATGCTGACTTTCTCTCAGTCGTCGTCACTTCAGGTCCTAGCGGAGTCTGGCCAAAGAAGGCATATCGAAATCCTTTAGATCAACTGGTGGCATGGTTGGATCGCAAACATGGGCAAGATTGGACAATATTCGAGTTTCGAGCAGAAGGAACAGGATATCCAGACTCCGAGGTGTACGGCAGGATTCACCATTTTCCATGGCCTGATCACCACCCTCCGCCTTTTGCGGTCATGCCAAATCTCATGGCCGCCATGCGCAATTGGATCCAACGATTAGACGAGGCAGGCGTTAATGATACCGAGAAGAAATCAAAAAGAGTGGCTGTTGTACACTGCAAAGCTGGCAAAGGGCGGAGTGGCACTGTCGCGTGCTCCTACCTGATCAGCGAGGAAGGCTGGAAGAGAGAAGATGCTCTGCAGCGCTTCACCGAAAGACGTATGCGCACTGGTTTCGGGCAGGGAGTAAGCATACCAAGTCAGCTGAGATACGTCGGTTATGTGGATCGTTGGACAAACAGTATGGGCAAAACGTACGTCGAACGCCCGGTAGAAATACTGGAGGTCCACATCTGGGGTCTAAGAGATGGTGTGAAAGCGGCGATCAGGGGCTTTGTCGACCACGGCAAGAAGATACGTCAGTTCCATACCTTTACCCGCGAGGAGAAGCATATCGTCGATGGAGGCGATATAACCTCCAAGAAAACACACCTATCAGACTTGAAGAAGGAGTCCAACGTTCTCAGCACTCCTGATCACGTCACACCGAACTCTTCCACCTTCAGCTTAAACAGCCCAGCCAGCAATACTCAGACAGTCATTCTCAAGCCTTCTAAGCCAGTGATATTACCGACCAGCGATGTCAACATCGATTTTGAACGACGGAACAAAGCCACTGCGGGCTTCACTATGGTCACTAGTATCGCCCATGTATGGTTCAATTGCTACTTTGAGGGCGGGTACGAAGGTCACGATTCTGGTGTCTTTGCCATCGAATGGGAAGCTATGGACGGCATCAAGGGAAGCTATCGAAAGGGCACCACGTCTTTGGACAGGCTGAAAGTAGTCTGGAGGTACGCAACGACGGACGGAGATGCTGCACCTCTTGAGCAAGTCATCACCGAGCCTGCAAAGGGTGAACCTGTACCTGAAGTTTCGCCTCCCAATTGGCGTGGCGAAGAAGACCCAGAGAGCAAGCCTACCGATGGCTTTGACAGTGGCCGATCTGGAGGCTCAGCAATCACAATGGGTGCCATGATCAATTCTGGCGCCGAGTCACTGGGCAAAGAGTTGGGTTTGAGGAAGTCGCGACCGGACTCAGCCAACGTTAGCCGAGCGTCGAGTATCAAGAAGGAGGATCATGAGGAGACCCCTGCCTGTGCGAGCGCAGATGTGAAGGAGGCACAAGCATATGACTCCAGTGAAGAAGGTGTCAAAACGTATGGTGTACAAGAAGAAAACGAAGCAAGGCAGGATACCAAAGTTGGGCATGCGATGGAGACTGGCCTGGCCAAAGCCGCTCATGTCGTGTCGAAGATGAAGCGTGACGGTCACGATGGTGATCACCAAGGCTGAGCGGAGCCAAGAGCATCTGGCATGGAGTTTATGGTGCATAGCATTGATACCCCCGTTAACGTTGAGAGGCATTGATGATATACGCATCGCACCCCAAAGAACGCGCTTAAGTTTATGAGCCGAGGAGAATCCGGTCCTTTTTCTCGGGGCACATCAAACCGAGTTCCAGGCGAGGTCCAGCGGGCCATGTGCCAAGTCCACCAAGCTGTACCACCTACGTACCTAGGTAGTGTTGCTCCCCAGGATAATCACGCTGATTTTCTTGTTTTCGTTGTGCATATTTCGTGGTTGCAGCTGCATTGCTGACCGCTGAACGTGACAGCACGAGCGACACATGCTGTAGATGTCTCCGATTTGATGAGTTCACACCAAGAGATGCAAGCATATCAGGCCACTGCTTGGTGATCTCAGCAAGCCTACCACTGAGAAATCGGACTAGTTAACTTGCCGCCTACTGGAACCGTGTGAAAGCTGGGTGAGGACGGGACGGCACCATCCTCCCGGTGTGGCAGGTTAGCGGCATATATCACGAACTTGCCCAAATTGCAAATGTTCAGGTTCTCAATCGTCATCTGAAAGACCTCAACATGCCGTCACGCGGAGGTGATCGTGGCTACAAGGTGGTCTATTCTAGTCGAGTACGGGAGATCGATGATGCCGACGATCACATCACCCGTCAAAGGTCGAGCCGCGACAATAATTACAACGACGACTCTCGCAGCTCTCGCGATGATCGAACAGAGGTTGACAGAAGCAGTCGAGCAAGTGATAGCCGGAGTGACCTTCAGGGTAACAGCAGCAAGACGACATACAAAGTTGGTCGGAACAGAGACTCCAACGCCTACGTGAAAAGGCCCGATGCTTCCAGTTCTTCTGTCACTTCCATCACCGAGCGGCCAATTGATCGTGGGCGCTCAGAGTATGAGGTCCTTCGGCCTCAAAAGAGAGACGACGGTGTCTACGTGGTGGACCTTGGTGCATCGCCAGACTACGGTGACCGTGATTCAAACGGCTATGGCGCCCCACGTGGTTCACGATATTACGATACTGAGACTCGATCTAGACGAAACGAGGACGTTGTTTACGACACATCACGCTCGGTTAGGGATGATCGATCCGCCAGGAATCTGACCTACAAGGACGTCCAGGTCACAGAAGATGTTGATGAAGAGACCAGCTACGGACGTCGTGGTCGAGGGTCAGAAGCCTACAACGAAACTGCACCTTCCAAGCGCCACCGAAGCGCGATGAGGGGTAGGAACAATTCTCCTCCGGAATTTCACCAACGCCGGAGAGAGCAGAGCGTGGGCTTTTATCGCGATCAAATCAGCCATCACGACGCCAGCGAGAGCCGACATGAAAAGCCAGGCGCGGAGGCACATGTCGCCGGCCGATACCTTGTCGATCATAGAGGAGAGTACGTCGAAATCGACGAGGAAGAATATAGGAGCCGCCCTGGGAGACGATATGCCTCACAACAAATGAGTGATTCCCGGATCAATAATCGAGAAGAACGCGATGACGACAAACGGACTTACACTGGAGAAACGATGCGCAGTTATGAGTATGAGGACGACCAACGCCGAAAGCCTTATCCCCCGCAAAGATCACGGTCCAGAAGGCGGCAGCGCCGTCACGATGATGATGATCGACGAAGTTATTCTGAACATGAATATGAGACTCGAATGGTCCGGGAGGAGTACTACTGATGCTTTACGATTGTCACGACATGTCAATTCACTTTCACCAGACAAGCAAAGGCCTTCTTAGCCTTCGACGCTCTCTTTGCTACATTCGACATATCTCGTTGCATACAATCAACAGCCTATCTTACTTGCCTAAACTATCAGCGCCTGATTCAATTCGCCATCAAAAGAGGCAAAATTCACCAAAGACATTCGTCAGTCGCACAAACGCAACCTTTCGAGTACTCCACAGCAAATCCTCCAGGATGTTCCTCCATCAGACATTCAACTCCTTGGCTCCAACAGCGACCTCGACACCTCCAACCTTCTCTCCATATACATCTTGCTCAGAAGCTGCACTCTGGACTTCCAAATCTCCACCCCGTGGCGTGGATGGCGGATACACTGCTTCGTCGATCATGGCGGATCCGAGACCTGACACATATGTGCAGGTGACCCAGTATACCAGTCCTGACACAGTGAAGCCATAGAGGCAGGAGAAAGTATACACCTGCCACACTTTGCCCAAGTTGAGGTTGTTGTTGATGCTTTTTGCAAAGCCTGGTACCAAGGGAGCAATGGCGACAAAGAAGGCAAAGAATGCTCTCCAGTTCACGCCGATCTTGTTGTACCGGTAGATGCCGTCTCCGTTGTACATTTCGTGGATGTTCAGCTTCTTCTTCACGATGATATAATAGTGACAGCATACCACGCCGCAGATTGCTCCCATGAACATACTATAGCCTGAAAGAAAGGCGAGTAGTCCGCTGGCGTTCTTGATGATCTGCCATGGGTTCGAGACGACACAGAAGACGGAGATAATCAAGGTCGCTCGGAAGATGTTGATATACTTGGGGCAGAGACCCGAGACATCGTTCGAAAAGGGGTATGTCCCAGCTGCAACCTGGTTCCCAATGGTCGCAAGGATGAAGCTGAAGGCCGTGAAGAACTTCGCGGCACGGGAGTCGAATTGTGCGATGACGGCCGGCATATACCACTGGAATGTTCCATGTTGGTAACTGTGTGCTGCGGTGACAAAGATTGGACAGAGGGCGCCCAGACTGGAATTCTCAATTGTCAGCTTTCATTCAAAGGAATATGCAGCAAAATCACATGCAGTGAAGCTCCCTGTCACGTGACGAAGGGCTCTGGGAATTTACAACGCTCAACACAGCGCACTTACGTCCCAATGATCGGAAGAGCAAACACTTGGTTGTAACCGGCGAGGTTATTCTTGCTGAAACGGCTGAAATCGGCGAAGTTCACGGCCATTGATGAGAAGAGGCCGATGATGCTGTTCAAGGCTGTCAAAGCTTCGCAAGTCAGTACTGGAAGAGGCTCAAGAGGGTGGATGAATTACCTGAGAAGGCGGTGTTCATGTATGGACTGGTCATTTTTGATGGACCGGTGACAAGCGGACCACCACCATGAGTGACAATGGCACCCCAGAGGAAGAGCGCTGCAAACGTGGGAGGAACGACTATCCCCTTGATGAGGAACAGAAGACGCAACTTTCTGATCGGCATACAGGCCAAGATGGTCTGGAAGATCCAGTACAGCATCTGGAGGCTTTGGTCAGCGACAAACCATGTGACAAGAGCTTTGAACTTACAAAGCACAAGAGTGAGGCCGAAGTTATACCCCCACTTTCTGGAAGATGGTTGGGAAAGTTTGCAAAACTCGGCCAAATGGCAGTGATGCAGTTGTTCAGGAAGTCTCCTGCTTGAACACAAAGCAATGCCGTCCACATGGCAGCGACGAAAGCGCGAAGCACAATGACTGGGTAGCTGCCGTACATGCCGAAGATGGAACGGACCAGAACGGGAAAAGGGATATGATATGTGGCACCAATCTTTCCCGTCAATGTCAGAGCACCCGAGCACAAGAGGAAGCCGCAGAACGTGATGGGGATTGTCTGACGGGCGGTGAAGCCCAGACTCATGACGGCGGAGATGGTGGATGCTAGAGGTGGTGCTGCAGTGCAAAGAGGTCAACGTCAACCTGATCCTTGGTCAAGTGAACTGTGAAGGGTCACTCACCGAGTAGATCGCTGCACCAGTACGCCCAGTAGTCCTGAAAGGAGCGGAAATTAGTCATGACGGACACAAGCAGCGAGGAACATGGCTCGCAGACATACCAACGCACCCCATGTGCGATCCTCTGGCTTGATGGGATCCAAGTCCGGGTTGGACCAACGCGGATCTTTGTACACCCCTTTCTCCATGGGGACTTGCAAGTGCAGTTGAGGCTCGATCCTAGCCTTGATGCGACTGGGAGAGAGGCGCTTTGGGGAAAAGCGCTCGGCTGAAATGTTCAACATTTTGGATTGGAGTCTGGGCAGCGAAGATCTGGAAGAGAAGAGTGTTGGACAAGTTGAGGAATCACTTGATACCCCTGGAGGTACACAACCCTTTTATAGACGCAGTCTTCAGCTCATGATCCAAATCTTTGCATATCATGAGGCTGGACCCTCGGTTTGATAGAGGAGAACATGCAGAGATAATCTTGATAGACAGGGATTACCACGAGGAACAGGGAAGATAGGCACGACGGCGACGGTCGAAGGCCCGCCGCCACGTTTAGAGCCAGGTCGAGACCGGGGAAGATGATCTGGAGCATAGTTTCAGCGACCCATCATGGGGGAAAGTTACAGATACACTAAGATAGGGCACATATTGGTGTGATAGTGCCGGAGGCATAGTCAGCGTGCCGACGGCGGCGCCTACGATATTGGGCCACGTGCCGTCTCATCGCTTACAACGCTTACAATACCGCCGACGGCGCCCCAGCCAAAATGGTGCCTACGGTCGCCGGCCCATGAAACGATACTGCAAAAGTGGTACGGAGCTAGCCAGTTTGGAGTCTCAGTGCCTATGGCGTTATCTGTTTATCAGCTTGCGCACTCAGTTGGGTTCTTCTCGTGTAATGCAATGCTACCGTCCTCATCATCTCTTGCAGACTGGAGCCTCTAGTGGTCTGGAATGGAGAATGACCGAGGAGAGGAAGGAATGATCGCCGACCTTCGTTGTTGCTACATTTGATGGATATAAAGGCATGCGCTTCCCACGGAAAGTGTAGGTCTCAGCATCAACATCGCTCTGGTTACTACATTGAGTGACTTCGACACCAAAGACAGTCATGGGCGCTCTCACGGATCAAGCAGGTGTCCTCACCATCGAAGCAAAGCCTTACCCCTTCACATTTCCCTTGAAAAGCACAGCTTTACTTGTCATTGATATGCAGCGCGACTTCATCTTACCCGGAGGCTTTGGAGATATCCAAGGTGGAAACCTTGAAGCTGTTCAGGCTGCAATCGCTCCTACCAAGGCTTTACTTCAAGCCTGCCGCAATGCAGGAATCCATATCTTCCATACAAGGGAAGGTCAGGTACCTTCGTTGGCTGATTGCCCTTCTTCGAAACTCATTAGGCAGGCCGCTGCTCCTGGCAACTCTCAGCACTTCAAAGTCATTGGTGACAAGGGCGAAATGGGCCGCTTACTCGTTCGTGGAGAATACGGTCACGACATAGTTGATGAGTTACAACCTCTGCCTTCAGAAGTGGTTATCGACAAGCCAGGAAAGGGGTCTTTCTGGAACACGCCCATTCTGCACAAGCTGAAAGCAAAAGGCATCACTCACATGCTCGTCTCGGGAGTCACGACCGAATGCTGCTTCTCGACTACGATCAGAGAGGCTAACGACCGCGGTTTTGAAGCCGTGGGCATTGTCGAGAGCACGGCCGGTTACAACCCGTCGTTCAAGACTGCTTCCCTTGACATGCTGTCCTGGTCACAAGGACTGTTCGGGTTTGTGGCAAATCTGGAACCTGTGCTTGACGCGCTGGCTCCATGGCAGAGGCAGACCCACGGCGTCAGTACACCACCACAAACCCCACCTGTCTGGGACGGCAAGTTGGCGATCCCCAACCTGCAGACTTCTTACCAAAAGGGAGTGTCTCCACTGGTTGTGGTCAATGAACTGTTTGACCGTATCGAAAAGTACGATGCCATCGATGCAGCCGTTTGGATCAAGCGCCAATCAAGAGAAGATGTTCTCAAGGCTGTTGAAGAGTTCGTGCAGCGGTATCCAGACAGGAATGCACTACCGCCGTTGTTTGGAATACCTTTCACGGTGAAGGATAGCATCGATGTGCAAGGCATCGAGACGACCACAGCTTGCCCGCCACTAGCTTTTGTAGCCACGAAGTCTGCAGCCTGCTATCAGAAAGTTATCGATGCAGGTGCCTTATACCTGGGAAAGGTTAACCTAGACCAGTTGGCGACAGGATTGAGTGGTTGTCGATCTCCCTACGGAATCACTCATTCAGTGTACAGCAAAGATCATGTGTCTGGTGGTTCGAGTTCGGGAAGTTGTGTCAGTGTTGGCGCAGACTTGGTACGTTGTCCGTGCGACTTGTGGTAGTAGTGTCATTTTACTGACCGTATCATCAGGCCACATTCTCCCTTGCGACAGACACCGCCGGATCTGGACGAGTTCCAGCAGGACTCAACAACGTGGTAGGCTATAAGCCAACTCGAGGTTTGGTATCCTTTGAAGGAATCACACCCGCTTGTCTTTCCCTTGATTGCATTGCTTTCACCGCAAAAACTGTTGAGGATGCGAGAACACTATGGCAAGTGTGCGAAGGTTTCGACCTCAACGACCGCTATGCAAGAGACACATTTCCCGCCGAAAGGCACGTCAACTCCCTGGGGAATCAACGAGAGGCGTTTCGCTTTGGCATTCCTCCACCGGAGATTCTCGAGGTCTGCTCTCCGACTTACCGCAGGTTATTCAACGAAGCAGTCCAGCGCTTGCAGAGCATTGGTGGCATCTTGTGCCCTGTCGACTGGACTCCCTTCCAAGAAGCAGGAGACCTACTTTATTCGGGCACGTTTGTGTCTGAACGACTGGCGAGCTTACCTGATGACTTCGTCAACAAGAATCGAGAGCACCTGCACCCGGTCATAAGGGAATTGTTCGACCAAGTCATAGCCAGGCAGAGTACGGCAGCGCAGGTATTTCGAGAGCTCCAAGCCAAAGCGCTGTATACCCGACAAGCGACTGCGCAGTTCGCATCTGCAGATACCGTTGGCATCGATGTGTTGATCGTCCCCACAACCACTGAACATCCGACGATCGCAGCGATGCTGGAAGATCCCATCAAACTCAACGCCAAACTCGGTACATTTACGCATTTTGCGAATGTGCTCGACATGAATGGTATAGCGGTGCCTTCCGGGTTCTATTCAGCGGGCGAGGCTGGCCCCCGGCTACCTTTCAGCATAACCTTATTGGGGGCTCGATGCAGGGACAGTGAAGTCCTCCGAATAGCTTCCCATTACCAGCAAGACGTCATTGCGCATGATAGCTGATTCGAGATGAAAGATCCCCATCACACCGCTGTTTGACGGCGATAGGGACGGCTTGACTGTGAAGGTCTGAAGACCTGATCCATTCATTACCTTATATTTCGGTGATATTTATGACATGCGACAATGAGGGTTTGGATTGATAAAGGAATGCCACGGACTGATCACAACGAGGCCTGCCCCATTCAGCCGCACAAATGATAAAATCCCACCTTTATCGTAATCCGAAAGGGGCACGGCCTATCAGACGGTTGTTCCTTATCTTCGCGGACCCGAGAAGCCTTGCACTAAGACCTCTTCAACGACACACGGTGGTAAACTCTTACTCAATCAATTGCTGCTGCTTAAGTGACAGTGACCAGGATATGGTTGAGTCCCCTAGTAGCTGCACGGATCATCGTCCAATTTGAGACTACTGGTATTCCCCGGGCCATCATGTCCAGATCTGCCTCTACCACTTTCAGGTTAACCCCGACTTGTTAGTTGTTACCGACAACATCCAACACAAATGAGAGACGCCTATCTTTATCTTCGACGTGCCTCCGCCGACGCCGACTCGACAGGCCTTCGCATAATCAGAAACGAAAGCCACACTCTGTACTCCGCCCATACTTGGCCTTCGGACTATCAGTCGTGATGCAGGCAAAGCAATAATAAGCAATCACTCCTCGGTACTGATATGCTCCCGCCTGGACTTATCACCTGTGGCAGTCAAGGCCATCATTCCCGGGCCAAACCCACATAATAATCATGCTCTCGACGATGTCGCATTCCTATCAACCCGAAACTACGTTTCCAGGTCTCCCAGGCACTGGAAGCGGCAGTCTGAGCGCTATGTCATCTCCCGTCTCTGGTCGCGTGGGTGACAATGGGTCAGCGACCAACTCCGTGGTCAGACCTGATCGGCCTTGCGATGCATGTAGACGTCGCAAGAGTCGCTGCGTCATCAATTCCGACTCGACCGCCTGTGTGATGTGCCAGTTCCACTCACAACCATGTACCTTTATCGAAGAAGCAGCTCCGAGGCGACGAAAACAGACAAATCCTGGTGATAACAGTGCCGGGTCCATGTCTCGCCAGAGGCGATCGTAAGACCCCTCCTCCCTTTTCGAGAATATCGGTCTACTCCATTTCTGGATATCTTTGGCATCTTCCTATCAATCAAGCTAACCAGATAACAGAGGCTCCGATGGCAACGCCCCACGACGGCCATCTGCAGAAGCTGGCCCTGTTATCGTCGACGATTACGCGAACTTGGCTGGTGAATCGCTACTGAAAAAGACTCTTGGGTACGTCTATCAGCCGTTTGATATCTTCTAATGCCCTTTTTAACCTCTCCCTCCCCATGGCTGACCATGTCTGGCTGCAGTCTTCAAAACCACCGATATGCAAAGTATATCGGCCCGACCGACGAACATGACTTTGCTTTATTAGATCTAAGGTTATATGACGACCTCAGGAACGAAGCACCTGCAGATCTAGGGTCGTTCCGCAAAGTCGGGCCGAACGAATTCTTTCATCAGTATGCCGATGCGGATTCTCCCAGTTATGTCGGCGAGGTCGAGATACTCGACAGGATTGAGCGTATTGTCGCTCCCCATGGTGAAGCTCTGATCAGACTTTATTTCAGAATTGTGCATCCTAGCTTTCCCATCTTACACAAGAAGGTGTACCTAGAGAAATATGGCAGGACACATCGGGAATTTTCCCCACCATTACTCGCCGCCGTCTACATTTTGGCGCTGAACTGGTGGTCCTACAGCTCCGAACTCGCAAGGTCGGCCAAACCGGATGTTGCCCAACTTGAAGACATTGCATACAACACATTGCAAGATGTCTCCCAACGAGCAAAGTTGTCGACCGTCCAGGCAGGTCTTTTACTGCTTCAACGACCGGGCAGCAACCAGGCCTGGCAACTCACATCCCAGCTCGTCGCCATTGGACAAGATCTGGGCCTGCACCTCGATTGCACAAACTGGCGAGTACCAAGCTGGGAGAAAGGACTTCGAAAACGGTTGGCATGGGCACTGTTCATGCAAGATACTTGGTCTGCTCTGATCTATGGCCGACCGCCGCACATCTCCGAGACGAACTGGGCCGTCCAGCCTGTCATCGGCAGCGACTTTCCGGAGAGCGCCGCAGACGAGGACGAGGAAGAGGGAAGCACCGAAGTCGACAAAGGTCGCACGCTGTTCAGTGCCATGATTGCGCTCACGAAAATGCTGGCAGAAGTGCTGGAGAAACTCTACTCACTGAAAGCGGAAACTGAGGTCAAGAACTCGTACGATACAACCAAAGCCATCCTCGAGAGAGCCAAGCCTATCCAGCTAAAGCTAAGGTCGTGGTATGCTGAGATGCCGGAAGCACTTCGAATGGATGCAACAAGAGTGGGCAAGCTGAGTTCAGTCGGCTATCTGCACCTGGCGTATTTTGCGACGGAAATCACTTTGCACCGGCGCATCTTGCGCTCTTTGTCGCACAACACCGACCCATATCTAGTTCAGATATGTCGCTCTGCAGCCAAGGCGCGACTCATCAGTGCGATGGACTTTTTCAATCGCCTGAAACCCGAGCATTTGCAGTCGTTCTGGTACTTTGCCTCCAAGTTCAACTTCGCGCTCATCGGCACATTTGCCGGACTATGTTTCGTCACATCGGTGAGTCAAGAAGAGGCCGAGTTCTACCAGAGACGACTGCTAGAGTACCGCTGGACGCTGAGGGTGTCGAACAAGAGCGCCGAGTTCCTGGAGATTGCCAGTGGAATTCTGGAATCAGCGGTCGGGTCTTTGTTGAAGGCTGCCGACTCAATTGACAGTCGGGGCTTCTCGTTTCCTATGCTTCAACCACATGCAGAGGATGGAGACGCTTCCATGGACCACGAGAATTTTTCTCCTGTTGCTGAGTATGGTTACTACGATACTCAGATGGAGCCCTGAGATGATCAGGTGAAAGCATCCTTAAGACGACCTGGTCACGCTCGTTCTTTCTTGAACGACCGAACTGATCTTGGATGAGAGTTGATATCCGGCTGCGCAAGAACTGGTGGAAGGGTTAGGTAGGTGTCAACAGCATTGTCGCTATCGCTACCACCGTCTCTTCTCAGTGCGCGGACTTGACCGGCAGGATGCCTAAGAGCCTCCGGAATTGATACCCGCGGCGCCAATCCGAATGAAAAGGGCACAAAACAGCCAAGCAGCGACTTACATACGCCCTTTGACGTTAGAAATCGCAAGTCCTTTCTGGGCAGCGCGAGTCATTTTGACATCATTGCTCTTCTTTGTCAAATCTTTCAACACTTCTTCTCTCAAACTCCGCCGTTCCTCAGACGTCCACACAGGGGCAACAGACACAAGGCAACGCGATCAAAATGTCCACGACAACACAGACCCAACTCCGGACATCCCTGCACTCAAACGATTATGATTTACAGCCCATCCCGACCGAGGGACTCTCATCAATCAATCCAACCCCCCAGGAAGCATCTTTTGCACTATCAACTGCAGATGCAGACACAGAAGCCGACCCCGAACCGACCAACGTCGCCAATGTCGCCCCAGACGGCGGCTATGGCTGGGTCGTTGTCGCCTCCTCTGCCCTCTTAACATTCTGGTTCAACGGCATAATGGCATCCTGGGGCGTGATTCAAGCGGCCTTGCTCCGCTCCAACCTCCGCACAACCTCAACATCGACAATCTCCTTTGTCGGCACACTCGGCCTCGCCGCAACAGTAGCCTTTGGGTTGTTCGGCGTGCGCGTAATGCGCCTATTGGGCGGCAGAACAACCGGGCTCGTCGGCGTCGCGTTCCTCTCAATGTCGCAGATCCTCTCAAGTTTCACCGTCGGCAACATCGGCGGGTTATTCGGCACGGCAGGCGTGCTCATGGGCCTGGGCTCATGTCTCTGCTATTCCCTATCCAACACGATCCCAACACAATACTTCACGAGTAAACTCGGTCTTGCCTCTGGACTAGTCAAATTTGGAGGAGGCGTCGGTGCCGCGGTTCTGAGTGTCGCGCTGAACGCCATGATCGACCGCGTCGGCGTTGCCTGGACGTTCCGTATCCTGGGCTTCATGATTCTGGCGACAGGTGGGCCAGCGGCCTGGTTCATACGAGAGCGTGTACCGATCGGGACTGCCGCCTTTCTGGATCTGTCTATGTTCAAGAACCTACCGTTCACGGCGGTGTTTTGCGCCGGCGCAATCGGCACGTTCGCACTGTTCGTTCCACCTTATTTCCTGCCTCTGGTCGCGCAGACTATTGGCCTGAGTTCTACGACCGGCGCATCGCTTGTCGCCGGGTTCAACGGGTGCACTGCCATCGGACGGCTATTGTCGGGATGGGGCTCAGATTCCGTGGGACCAGTCAATATGTTTCTTTGCACTTTGGTGCTCAATGCCGTGAGTATGCTTGCTATTTGGCCTTTTTCGGATAGCTTGGCACCGCTGATCGCTTTCGCCATGCTGAATGGACTGGCGAATGGGGCGTTCTTCACGCTGTATCCTGTTGTCGTGACGAGCACGGCGAGCAGGATTGATAGCAGGACTAATAGTCCGGCTGTGGCTATGGGCATGGCTATCACGGGCTGGACGGGTGGGTATTTGCTGGGTGCGCCGATAGCAGGATATCTTCTGCAAGCGGAGGGCGTGGGCATTGGAGCATTTTCTGCGAGTGATGCTACAGCTGGGAAGGACATACCGACGTCCATGGACCCGTTCCGCCCGGCCATCTTTTACGCGGGCGGTGTTATGCTCGCGGCTGCAGGCTTTGTTCTGGTTGCTAGGATGAAGTTGGGCCAGGGGTTGAAGCAGAAGGTCTAAAGCCCAGGGTCAATGAACGATATCTTCTGGTATAAGGCTACAAATCAAGGCCGTAGTGAATATAAAATGAGACCAACGACCGATACATATCGTCTTGTTGTCGGTACCAATCCCGCATACATGGCGCATGTCGTTGTCTTGCGGCCTTTGGTAATTCCTGTCACGATTTGAACGCCTATCAGTAATTCCAGACTCATCGGTGTTCTCAGCAGATGAGCAAAATGTAGGACAGTGCTGTCAAAATGCGACAATCTGGTCAGCTGAACGCCGAGAGACAGGTGTAGAAACGCCAGAGTTAGTCGCTCAAGCCATCATCGACTCTTGCCGCATGTGGCACATGTTTGTAGCACCAGTGGAGATGGACTTGGAGAGATTGGTCGCTTCAGAGTTTGAAGAACAACCCATGGGCCATGGCAACAGGTCGAAGGGCTCTGCATATCGATTGGTTCCAAGTCTGTCACATAATCCAAACCCAAGTGTGTCTCAGGAAGTGCATCACATACTCCGTACAGTAGTAAGAGACTACTCCCGCAGCGAGTGTGCTGCCGCCGTCGCGCCTCAAAGGTCAAAGCGGCGGCCACTGCCGAACAAAGAGGATCCCTCCAAGGCTTCTAAGCTTCCTATGGACCTAGGGTTCCCACCTGCATGGGCCCATTATTGCTCTCCCGCTGGGTTCTCTAGCCCCTGGGACCCCGAATTCTCATCGCTTTCCCTTCCATTTGGCTTTCTGTACTATATTGCATGCGTCTGCGTCTGTTCTGCAGTCAGTCTTGCATCTGCACCACCATCCTCTCACCACCCGATTCCCGAGGCACTGCCTGCTGTTGCCCAGCTTCGGACAAATTGCTGGACCTGCATTTACCTGGTACAACATCGGCCCTGTGGGCTTGTGCTTGTCCAACTTCACCCTTGGAGAACGCGCCCACCGCTGGACACGGTTCGCGTCGTTTTTGAGTCAACACTTACCGCCCGTTGGGGGCTGAGACAAAAGAATATCAACCAGCGCCGTTAACCTCGGACTGCAACGAGGCTACGATACGGGAACCGCTCTCCAGTCAGAGGCTGAGCAGGCAGCAATATAAGTCGGTGTGCATAAGAGATGGCGCAGGCAACCCAGTCTATAAAATGCGTGGTGACAGGTTAGTCCTCCGGCGCCAAAAAAATGGCCGCCTCATTCGATTTTGGGATGGGGGAAATCAAGATCTTCAGGCGTCATGTTATTCTGACACGGTGCACTAGGTGATGGTGCGGTGGGAAAGACCTGTTTGCTCATATCCTACACGACCAATGCCTTCCCTGGCGAATACATCCCGACCGTTTTCGACAACTACTCTGCGAGTGTCATGGTCGATGGCAAGCCTGTCTCTCTCGGTCTATGGGATACGGCCGGTCAGGAAGATTACGACAGATTGCGCCCTCTCTCCTACCCTCAGACCGATGTCTTTCTGATTTGTTTTTCTATTGTTTCGCCTCCCAGTTTTGACAACGTCAAAGCAAAGGTAAGCGAGTCTCCATATGTACACACAACGAGCAACCAGACTGACGTTCCGTGTCGGAATAGTGGTACCCCGAAATCGAGCATCACGCCCCTGGCGTACCCATCATCCTGGTCGGCACCAAGCTTGATCTAAGAGAGGACAAGGCTACGGCCGATAACCTGCGGTCGAAGAAAATGGAGCCTGTCTCATATGAGCAGGCTCTTGCAGTTGCCAAAGAGATCAAGGCAGTCAAATATTTGGAGTGCTCGGCGCTGACACAACGAAATCTGAAGAGTGTCTTTGATGAGGCCATTAGGTGAGGCACACCGCAAAAAGTACTGAGTACAGCATGCTGAACAATCTTCGTTAGGGCCGTTCTCAATCCTCGCCCGACCACGACCAAGAAGAAATCGAAATGCACCATTCTCTAGGAGGTTTTTGACACAGGTGCTGATTTTGGAGTTCGCAAGCGGTCACAATCGAATGCATTGCGGAAAGCGGACGTAGACTTCCACGCTTCGCTGCCTCTTTTCCCCATCAGTATGCTATTTGTCGGCAATCGACACATATGCAGTTCAAGGTCGGATTGCGGGAAGATATCCCTCACACGACTAATCAAGCTGCAATTGAGCTGGGAGATGGGCGTTTTATACATGGCATGACCCAAAATCTTTCCAACCATGCATCACTTTTCAGACAAAGTAACAGGTTCTCAAACCCGCGGGTCAATGCTGATCCACATCAATGAGCGATCAATGTTGCATTTGCCTCAATCGACTTGGGTGAATCGCACCGTTGCCTGGACCGCCTGACTCGCTCGCTCCAGCAGCATTTGCACCGGTGCCAGGAGCTGCTTTCTTCTTGTGTGCCGTTTTCTCCTTCTCTTCCTTCTCCTTGGTTCTCTGTCTCGCCCTCTCCTCGTCCAGCTTTTCGTTCTTCGTTCTTATCTTCGCCTTACGGTCTTTGCTCTTCCCTCCTCCTCCGCCGGCCGTCAGCTCGACATTGATCTTCCTGCCCTTCTTCCTCTCGTCGTGCGTCGGCTCCTGACCGTCCTCATCGCCAGTTTTGCCTGACGGGTCGAAGATCGAATGGTGGTACAATTTGAGGCACGTCTTCATTTTGTCGTAAGCATCAAACTCCAAGAACGCAAAGCCTTTGGAGCGTCCGGTTTGCTTGTCCGTGGTTAGCCGCACACTGCTCGGTGCAATCTTGATGAAGTGTTGCCGAATCTGATCTGCCGTCACATCGTAGGGCAAGTTGCCAACGAAGACGATGAAACGAGCCTCGGCCTTCGGTTTCTCCTTCCCACCTGGCTGTTTCTCCTTCTTTGACTTCTTCTTGGTTGCGGGTTGCTCTACTATTGGTTGTAATGCATCTGCGCGCTCTTGCTCGTTGCCCGCTGCGTTCTCGATCAAGTTACCCGCGCCGTCGGCTTCATCGGCTTCCTCGGTGTCCTGGGTGTCTGCATCAGGCTGCTCTTTCGTTTTCCGCTTCTTGGTAGATCTTCGTTCCGACCGCTCCTGTCGAGACTGGCCTTTGGACTTGGACTTCTTTACAGGCTTCTGGCCGTCGGCGGCTTGCGACGCTGAGCCTGCGGAGGCTTTGTCGCTCGTAGGGGCCGGTTGCGACTGTTCAGCAACATTGTCCGATTCAATCTGGTCTGCCTTCCTCTTTTTGGCCATGATAGTATTCAGCAACTCACTCAGCAAGCGCAACAATAAATGCAATGATCATAAGAAGACGCAAATGGTCGACCCAAAATTTTGGTCCGAAATGGCTTTTCTGGGAATGGTGAAAAAGTATCTGCGGCAAGTCGGCTGCTGGTGCACGTCATGCCCCCGACGAGTCCGATGGTGGGTTTTGGGGGCGCTAGTCAAGGCCCAATGCAGCGTCCCATGTTGCTGGAGACGCCCCGAGATCGACTTCGACCACATACTCGACTTCAGCTTTGGAGGTTGCCTTGGCCTTGTGCCTCAAACACCAACGTGTTCTGAATCTCCCAGCGTATGCCTGTCGCTTCTTCGTTGCTTCACCTCCATTCCCAATATGAAGGTGCGATAGGCCACATTTCCGCACCACCCCCCACGTACGAGCGGTGCTGCTCCCCTCCCGCGACCTCATCATGGCCGTCTATGCCTCCCAACTCGGGGCCAAAGGGCCATTCGCAACCACTGCTCCTCCCACGGTGCCGACCCATGCGCCGCCTGCCGGTACATTCCTCCCTGGCACAAAAGTGCAGGTTGGTGGTCACAGAGTCATCATCGACCGGTACCTGTCCGAGGGCGGCTTTGCCCATGTCTACGTTGTCACCCTGCCGCGCCCCGTCGATGGCAATACGAAAGCGGTACTGAAGAGGGTGGCAGTCCCGGACAAGGACAATTTGGCCAACATGAGGACAGAGGTTGAGACCATGAAGAGGCTCCGGGGTCAGAAACCAATCGTGAAGTACATTGATTCTCACGCCTCTCAGTTGAAGGGCGGAGGCTATGAGGTCTTCCTTCTCATGGAGTTTTGCCAGGGTGGAGGTCTCATCGACTTCATGAATACAAGATTACAGAACAGGTTAACCGAGCCGGAGATATTGAAGATATTCACAGATGTGGCCGAGGGAGTGGCTTGTATGCACTATTTGAAACCACCTCTGATGCACCGAGATATCAAGGTCGAGAACGTGCTGATAGCAGGGGTGGGCTCATCCAGGATTTTCAAGTTATGTGATTTTGGTTCAGCGGCCGTTGCTAGGCCAGCTGCGACAACCGCTGCCGAAGGGCGTTTGATCGAGGATGATATAAATCGACATACCACTCTTCAGTATCGGAGTCCAGAAATGATAGATGTCTACCGGAAACAACCGATCGACGAGAAGGCCGATATATGGGCTTTGGGAGTATTCCTCTACAAGCTCTGTTATTATACTACGCCGTTTGAAGAGGCTGGACAGATGGCTATTTTGAATGCGCGATTCAAATTTCCAGGCTACCCTCGCTTCTCAGATGAGCTGAAGCTATTGATCGCTTCTATGCTCCGTGAGAAACCCTCGGAACGACCCAACATATACCAGGTGTTACAAAAAGCATGCAAGATGGATGGTCGCGAGCTCCCTGTTGACGATATCTATGCACGACGGACACAATCGGAAGGTCGCAAAGACAAAACCCTCCCTCCGCAGCCTTCGAGCACCAAATCCAGAGCTGGTGCAACGCTATCTCCGCCTAAGCAAGACGCTGCTCCTGTGATTCCTCAAATCGAACCTATGCGTCGCGGACGACCGACAAAACCTGTATCCCATCATGGATCAGCCAAGCCGAGCCCGTCCCCTTTACGCATCATGGACACCGCAGATCCTTTTGCCGTTTTGGATGGCAACAAGCCTTCGGTGGAAGATGAACTTTCTCATCGCTTCCCAACGCTGGATCAATTTTCCTTGATGACCGACAAGGGCCAGAATTTCGCATTCGACCCCAAGACCGAAAAGAAGCCTGATCCTCTGGCTCAGAGAGTGACAAATGCTCTGGCCGATGATGCTTTCGCCAGGCCGCCAAGTCCAGTAGAAGTCAACGCAATGGGCGAGAAGCCTGCTACAGCTGCGAAGTCCCAGCATGTGCTAGAACACAAGAGGTCTCTTGAGTCTCAGAAAGTCTCGACACGGACAAATGTGCCTCCAGTGGCAGCACCGAAATCGTCCATGGTGTCTCAAGGAACCATGACGTCCGATTCAGCTGAGGCGCCGAAAGCAAAACCATATACGCAACGGCCTGTTCAGCAAATTCCTCTTGCTGACCATCCTGCAAGATCATCCAGTCTCAACCAAAATTCGGCCCGGACCCAAAAGCCCGACACAAGCCAAAGCGGCTCGAGGTTGGCGAGCCTCCTGCGAATGGACGCCTATCGATCCCAACTGGCAGACGATTTCGAACCCAGATCTCCCACGTCTTCTCGACCATCACTGGAAGGCGGTCGTCCTTCTGCTCGTGATCTTGGCTCCGGAGTCCACAGGTCTCAGTCATTGAACATGAGGAATCGACCGGTCAGCGTTAATATTGGGGCAGGGCCGACGCATATCAAGGACCGCGAAATCAAGCCGCTTGACTATGAAACGATGTTTACCAGTGCGGAGCCTGAGATGGCTCCGTTGTCACATGCAGAATCGGCGACGAACATTACATCTGACGTGGATTTCTTGAGAGCTCGAGAAGAGGAAGAGAAAGAACGCAAGCATCACCATAAACGACTGGGTAGTGGGTCTAGACACAACAAACGTGCCAGTCTTCCATCTATAGGTATTTCTGGTACAACGAAACTCATAGCAGGCAAGTTTGGAGATGCGTTCAAAATGTTTGAGAACAACGATTCGAATAATCATCATCATCGACAACGAAGCGACTCTCCGTCCGGAGAGCCTATCAATGGCCTGACGCCGATTGCTGGCTCCGAGGCTACAGACCTTAGTGATGATCGACAGCCATTCGACGAGACCGAAGATTTGTCGCCCGAGATGAGGCGCGAACTAGAGAAGCGGAAACTCGAAGCAGAAGAACGCAGGGTTACCAATGCTGCTGCAGAGTACAGACAGCGCGTGGCCGCCCGAGGAGGTGGAAATGCCGGACAAGCCAAAGCTGCCTCGATACAAAACCGAGTGCAGTCGTTGTTGGGCGAAGGTGACAGGCCAGCCCAGAAGACTGCCACGGGGTATGGCCGATACACAGCGTCTACAACGCCGCAAGAAGGCCTGGGTGAGGGACCACCGGGTTCACCATATAAGGTGCCTGGTGGTCAGGCCAGTGCACTTCACCACAGTGTATCTGCTCCAACATCCGTTGTCGATCTTTCACAAACCACTTCCCGCACTCAAAGACCCATGGCACCTCCCAAACCAAAGGTGCTTCGGTCTACTGCTGGCGATGCCGGCAGTATGAGAGCCAGCCAGGAAACTGCTGCTGGTCCTGTGGATGAGGACTGGGAGGCGAACTTCAGCAAAAAGTATCCCAGCCTTTCTGGACTTGAGATGGTGGAAACATCATTGACTGGGCCCAGGCCGACTCCCACTATACGGACGAAGGAAGTGTGAAGTGAATTGATATGACGTTCGACAAATGTAGATGTAAATATATGAGTATACCTTAGGCATCACTTGGTACAAAGCAGGTGAAGTGAAAGTGAAGTTGGAAGTGCTTGTTGGTATGGCAGTATTCGCGCCTGCTGCCTACAGAGACCGCCTCTCAATCTTTGTCCTGACTTCAACACCGTCACTCATACAAACCTGAGCCTCACTCTTCCTACGCTTGTGTCTACTGTGCAATCTCTTCAATTTCTCGGTTCTCATAAGGAGATACTGACAGGACAACGATATCAAGGTTCAAGAACATGGCGCCGAGAGGCCGTGTCATAATTCTGCGACGTGGGGCGGCCACTGCGGGCGATCGTGCAACCAGCAATAACCACGACGAAGCCCATGCGCCACAATCCAACGGCAATGCAGGTCCGAGCCGAATCCTTAGCCGTGGCGGTGGGGGAGCCAGAGGACGGGGACCAAGACCGAGAGGCCAAAATGCTCATTCTCAAAATGTCCATCAACATCAACAACAGCTATCCACCACTACCCAGCGCTCTACCACAATACACCTTTCTCCCGAAGCACTGCGAGAGTTCCCCCCAGGATCCTGCGGCCCATTCATCACACTCAAGCTCAAGAAGCGAGACCAGCAAGCAGTGCCGGGTTTTCGCAAGTTTTTCTCAGAGTCACCACCAGTTTTGTCGTCAGGCGATACATCGTCGCACACAGATCAAGGACCCAGCCCAGAGACTCCAGCTCCGGATCATTCCTCCCCTGATTTCGTGCAGCTGGTTGATCCTGCGGATACAGATACGGCGGATCATCAACCTTCACAGCATACTGTCGACGTTGAGCCCCCAGCAATCGTCGATAACGACAACGGCAACAGCCTTGTACAAGGATTTGCGACTACCGGTACTGGCGAACCCGACCTGGGTCCCCAGAACTCGGCAACCACAATGGCCCCCGTCAAAGATACATCCAGCGTCCACCTAACCATCAAAGACATAATCCAACATCTCTCGGATATCCAATTCCAAACGCACGGCTATGTCCCCGAGACTCAGGATCTGATGGTCGATAAAATGACCGACCTCGCACAATCACTCGCTCGTCTACAGTCTTTGACGTCCACAACAGCAAGCCCGAACAATCATGTCCACAGTATATCCATTGCGCCTGAGATCGTGGACTATGTCGACGATGGACGCAACCCCGATATCTTTACTAGGGATTTCGTGGAGAATGTCCAGCGCGGAAATGCTGTGATCAATGGCAAGCAGCAGGCTTTCAGGGATTTTACGGAGATATATGCGAAGGCGCTGAAGGATGGTGTGCCGGGTGTGAGGAGGCAGGTTGATAGGGTTATGGAGAATGCTGGATTCGAGATTGAACACGGCGATGCGGCGAACGGGGCAGGACAGGGAGAGTCACATTCATGAATGGAACGGATGGTATGCTGCGGACTAGTCTGTTCTTCAGGAATGATTTAGTTGACGAGGAGTATTGGTCAAAACATGCATAGCGAGATGAAATCGTGTGCTCACGAGTACGGCGCTGTTAGGGTGATTGGGTCTGGGCATGGCGACATGGGTGTTTATCAAGAGTTGCTCCGGATTCGCAATGGCAGTCATATTGCTTTCTGCTCTTCTACTAACACATGATCAACGGAGTACGATTCAGACGAGGCTAGGGTCAGACAGCCAATATCGGAAAGCGCAATAAGGCTGGGGGACAATCCGTTGGTGGCAGGAGCGCGACGGCGTGGGCAGTATAGGCAGCGCCGTCGTGCAACCGGCCCTAACAGGCTAGTAACAGCCCAACCCGTCGAGCTTTCTTCGTTGAGTTGCCCCAGACACGCGTGAATTGAATTGAGAGTCGAGAACCGAAAAGAGTGTCCAGTCCGCGTTTCTTGCCTCAAGAACGGAATACTGCGTAGCCTCACCATTCTTCCTTATCCGTCCGACCTGCGGGCTGTACCGGTCACAGCCATTTACAGTAGTTAGTGAAGAGTGGTCCCCCAATCCCTATCTATTAGGGACTAACTTAAGCTTCAGGTAAGCGCGTAATTGTGGTTGACGCCCTGCAGCAACCCGCTGGGTCCTGCCAAACCCGTCAACTTGTCCTTGGTGCGCCAGACCCCGCACTTATCAGTCGGCGAGTGTCGCTGGCTCTTGCTCAATTCAGAGACTTTGGAGTGCCGCAGTCATTACAACCTGGATTCTGAAGCTTTCCAAGCTTATCTTCATGCCAAATTCACGGTTATTCGGGGCACTATCAGTAAGAACAGCGTAGTCTGCCGTTACCGATGGCGCGAGCAGGCAAGGAGAGTTCTATGCAGAGGTGGGTAGAATGCACATCTCCGAAGCCAGGTGTCGTAGGTTCGAGCAGGGACTACCGGAGTTCTTATGAGGGCGCATTCGCCATATTCACATGGATGGCAAGTCCCAACGACGCCCCAGCTGTTTTATAAGACACCGGACTGGACTTTGCATGCATTGATAACTCTGACAATCAAGTGATTCACAGAGAGAATACACAGTCGTCAACGTCGAGTCAAACCAATCGCGAAAATGGTCGAGGTCAAGACCCCCCAGCCTTTCAAAAAGGCCCTTTGGTTCTCTGAGGAAGAGTTCGCTCAGCGACGACAGAAGGCCTTGGAGCTCATGAAACGAGAGAACCTGGATGGCTTCTTGATAACCAAGCAAGAATCCATGTACTACTTTACCGGCTATGATACCACTGGCTTTGTCTTCTTCCAAGCCATGTACTTCCACAACGACGGGTCCTTGAAATTGATCACTCGACTACCGGATCTCCGCCAGGCTCTCTACACGTCCGTCTTGGAGGAAAAGGACATCGTGATCCGGTCGGACGATGCTTCTGCGAACCCAGTTTCCTTGGTTCCCGAAGTCTTGAAAGAATACGGCATCAATTCTCCTTCCAAGCGCATCGGCTATGAACCAGATTCAGTCAGCTTGCCTCTACGCGTTGGCAAGTTGCTGGAAGAATCGGTAGAGGGAGTGTGTACCTTGGTCGACCATAGCTTCCTGTTCTCTATGGAGCTGCGCCTCGTCAAATCTGAGGCCGAGTTGCGCAAGATCCGGAAGGCGGCCTATCTTGCCGACTTTGCACACGCTCGCGCACTGAAAGTGGCCAAGGCTGGGGCATACGAAGGTGACGTGTGGCGAGAGCTCGAGGGTACCGTCTACGAAGGCGGTGGTGATAGTCCCTCTATGCGAAACGTCCTTGTGGCGGGCAACAAAGCCGTCCTTACACGATACTCGACCGGCCGAGACAAGATCGACCGACAGCTGACTCTCGAGCACGCCGCTGTCTACAAGCACTACCACTGCTGCCTAATGCGGACTACCCACTACGGCGGAGTGACCAAACTGGCACGACGAATGTTCGAAGCCAACGTCAAGCAGATGAAAGAGGCTATGGAAGCACTCAAGCCCGGCCGCGAACTCGGAGACGTGTTCGAAGCGTATGCTCGTGTAAGCGCTGAATACGGCTTCGAAGATGGACGACTCAACGCCTGTGGATACAGTTTGGGCGCCACGTTCCCGCCCAACTGGATGGATTACCCCATGTTCGCTCGAGGTCAGAAGATCATCGCCAAGCCTGGAATGGTCTTCTTCATCCACATGATCCTGTTGGACAAAGCCACAGACACGGCCACCTCGTTTGGACAGACCGTCGAGGTCACTCAAGACGGGTGCCGCGCCCTTTCCAAGTTGGCCCCATACATGACGCGGAAACAGACCCTCGCGGCCTTCAAGAAGATTCGAAAGGAAGACTACGGCTTCACCTCCGCCGAAGAAGACGAAGGTGAGAACATTCAAGACGTTGAGTTGTCGGACGGTGATGTGGATGCGGACGATTACGAGATTGAATATGACTTCAGCAACTACCAGCCGGCGGCAAACCCAAATCTGAAGGCTTAGACCTCTTAAATATAGTGATGGGGCAGCCATAGTCCCATGTCGTAGACACTTGAGACTATAACGAACAATGGAATCGACATTTTTTGAACACTGATCCCGATCGATACCTCTAACTACAAAACTCTTCCATAGTCGACTTGAATGCGTCACTGAGTTGGCGCAGCGACTCGACCTCCACCCACTCCTTCTCCGAGTGCAATCCATATCCCCTGGGACCAAGGATCACTGATGGAATATCCACGTCCGACAACAAAGCTGCATCCGTCCAATACTTCTCTGCTCGGATCGTGATCGAGGCGCCGCCCATCGCCGTCGTCAAATGCCCCTCCACCAACTTGATGAAAGCATGGTCGCGTGGGAGATAGTAGGGCGGTCGGAAGAACGTGCTGCGAAGCTCGTATTTGAAATCCGGCACCGTAGCCACCGGGTTCTCGAGGATGACTTCCAGCTCCGTTGTGATGCCTTCTTGCGTTTCGCCCGCAATGTTTCGTCGTTCGATGTGGATTGTGCATTTGGCCGGATAGGACGCCACTTCCTCGCGGCCCTTGATGATTCCGCAGTGAATGCTAGGCGCACCGGTCTCCGGTGGATTAGCCTCTTTGTCGAAGCGACGTTGGAGCTGGTGGGCGAATTTGTCTAATTCGACGAGGAAGTACCCGGCTTTGGCGATCGCGTCGATCCCTAGGTCTGGTCGTGATCCGTGGGAAGCTTTCCCATGGATGTCGACTTCAAAGAGCGCGAAGCCCTTGTGCGTGTTTATGATGTCCGTTCCCGTGGGCTCGGCAATGATAGCGGCGTCGGCGCGCCATCCTGCTGCCAGCAGCTGTTCGGTGCCGCGACTTTCGGATTCCTCGTCGGCGACGGCCGCAAGAATCACGTCGCCTTTGAGATTGAGGGTCTTGGCGTGGAGGAGTGCCAGCATAGCGGCTGCGAGACCACTCTTCATGTCGGCTGTGCCGCGGCCGTACATGTTGCCGTCGATGATTTGGGCACCGAGGGCATCGCCATCGTAACCTAGTAGAGTTACGGTGTCGATGTGGCCGTTGAACATGAGGCTCTTGCCGCCACCGGAGCCCCGTACGATACCGACGACTGAAGGTCGGCCCTTGGTCTGCTCGATCCAGTGAGTCTCAATGTCGCGGTGTTGAAGCCATGCGTTGATGTACGTCGCGATCGCTGTCTCACCGGGACCGCCAGTGGAACCAAAGTCTGGGTTGGAGGAGTCGATCTGAACAGGCGTTTGAGTCAAAGCCACGACCTCTTCGATTGATACATCCTTAGGGGCTTCGGCAGGCATGATGAGGTCGTAGCGTGCGTGAGACTCGATGTCGAGTGATGAGGGCTGTTAGCCTTGTAGATACTACAGTATGTGAATGTTTTGATGTCCATGCCTGACTGAGTAGCCTCGTGAAGCTAGCTCGGCCATTCATGGTCTGGTCCTCTCAGGCCTGTTGGACCCTCTGAGGCGGCCAAAGACCTCGTCAGACTCTCCTGGTTGGTGCTCCTTGATGAGAGAAGTGTGGACACGCACGACGTGCAGCCCCCAATCCAGAACCCAGATGGACTGAGGATGGAGGCTGTTTGACGATTGAAATGACGAAGTGAGACTGAGGGACGACAGACCTCAATCAGCGGTAATGTCCAGGGGCTTATCATTTCATGGAAAACTCCGCACTCTGTGATAGATCTGCGCAAGACGAAGCCGTCACACGCCGTCAAGTCCGGGATTTTCCATTCGTGCCTTTACTCTCTTTTCCCCAATCGCTTCACGGCAAGCCGGTTCCTAGAAAAAGTGGCACCGCCTGAAGGGCAGTACATCGACCATTCAATTGAAGTTTTGCAGGTTCGCGACAACGGGTTCCTTGACAGCAAGCCAGTAGCGATACACGATAGAGCTGATGGCCTCCTTTCTGACAATGCATAAAGCTCTATCGTTATGTGCGAAGGACTTCGAGACGACAACAAGGAACAATACTCATTTGCACCTGACGAGCGACACTGGTCAGACCGTGCCACTTTTCTGGAAACAGGCTCGCGACCAAGGTTGAAGTTCTGTGGCAAGAATGTTGTTGTGGAGGGGGGATGCTCAAGTCTGCCACGCTCCACCTACGTGTGAGCTGGTTAACCAAGGCCTGGAGAAGCCCGAGGAGCCTGAGCTTCCATCCCCAGACACGAATTCATGGGCATGCCCAGCTCTTTCACCATTGGCTTGTGCCACCGCCAACAAGGACTTGAGTTCGGCTTTGCCCGGCCACAACTCTACCACCCAGTTTGGTCAGCACTCCATTGTGTGCCTCTTGTTGTTCTAATGTGATGTGGGATCCCAGACGTTTGGAGAGACTTCAAGAGCGATATGTGCATAGTGAAAGTAAGTCGCGCTGAGGCTCGGCGACGTCTTTTTCCAGTCGCCATCAGCCCCTTTTTCCGCAGCCTTATAATCTTGGAGTAAGGACATGTTCTCTGAGTACGCCTGGAAGATAGATTTTGTTTTATTCTCGTCCGTCGCGATGCGTAACAAGATCCTGTCTCCTGGGTTATTCGCTATGTACACAATATATAGATACCTAGGCTGACTGTGGCCTTCGCCCAGAGAGCTCCAGGCTGACGAGACGTCGATACAGGGGTGATCTGACCATCAAATACCATAGTCCCTATACCAATCATCATGACTCGTCGAGAAAAACACCCTTTGCAGCCCTAGAAGAGGTCAGTCTGCCATCTTTTACTGAGGAAGAGAGAGAACATACCAAGCCGGCGTACAATAACGTTTGGGCGCCGACAATCCAACATCACGGATAGCTTGCATCTCTCCTTCTGTCAGATCGACGAGTTTGAGATTGTCGGTCATTCTTCGGGGTGAAGTCTATCATCGACAAATGATTATCAGTCCACTGAACTCGCGATTTGTCTCTTTCCGAGCATGTATTGACAAGAACTCACCGTCTTCGGAATGACTCCATAGCCCCTTGCCAAAGCCCAGTTGATCAACAAGTTGGCGACGCCGATGCCATTTCCTTTGCTTTCAGCCAGTGTTTTCAGCTTTGGGTTGGTCAAAACCGTGCTCTGCGGACTTCCCAGTGGACTATATGCCACGACTGCGATATTCTTCTGCCGGCAGAATTCGATTACCTTGTCCTGCGGCAGTTGCGGGTGGATCTCGATCTGGTTGACCGCAGGGACCACACTGCCGGCCTCGAGGGTTGCGAGAGATGCCATGTGCTGCAATTGGAGACGCCAATCGCGCGGACTTTGGATGGATATTTGCGAAACGCACTCTCCATTGATAGCCACGTGTCTACAAACGTGAAAGGCGAGGAAGAAGTCCCAGTGTAGTAATCGGGGCTGCCATCCGGCAGCTTCGGGAGTTTCCAGTCATTTCCTTCGGGGTTCAAGGGAACGGGCCTGCAATTATGAGCACACAATGCCCACATTCTGAGCTTCTCACTCACCAATGCATCAGCCAGAGATGCCGATAGTCGGTCCCCAACTCTTCGAGAGTTTCTTCAAGGGCCTCCTCAGCCCTCGTATGCCTTGTGCTGATTAACTTGTCGCACAGGAAGATCTCAGATCGAGGAACACCGGATTCTTTGATCCCCTTTCCAATTGCACCTCCATTTCGATATTGCCAAGCGGTATCGATATGTCTGTAACCCAACTGCAACGCCGTTTTTACAGCTAGTCCTTGATAAGCCAGGGGATGTTGTGAGATCAGTGTTAGCCATGATCATCAACATACCTTCACTGGCAACTTGATCGGTCGCCGTCCACGTCCCCAGGCCCACTAGCGGCATCCGGGCGCCGGTGTTGAGCGTCGCTGCTGGTACTTTCCCCTCATCATTCCTCGAAGATTGGGAACAGGTCGTCTGGCAAAATAAATGCAACACTGAAAAGCAAAACGTCTGTTAAGAGTTCATCTCCTTGATGTCGCAGATTGAAAGAGCCTTGCCGCAAGGCCATCGGCCTCACGAGGCTAGGCACATCGAAGCCGATGCTAGAGGTCGGATTTCCCCGAAGACTGGCTTCGACGGTCGGCTATCTCCAAGCGGACGGTAGGTCAAGAAATAGTTGCCCTCCGATTTGCTGCTGCCCATGGGGACAAGAAAGGGTCTTTTAATTCATATTGATATGCTCATTATGTAAAGCCGGAGAATATGAGGGCGGTCTGTGTCTGTCATTGCAGAATAGGAACCGTTGGTGACAGAAGGCGGACTTGAAAGCAGTTCTGGGAAAATGCACGAACGTGGCCTCACTTACTTACGCTTCTACTACGGATAGAGCCAGAAAACCAGCAATCAAGCAGACGGCAAACGGTCCTTGAGGGACATTGCGAACAGCCAAGCTGGTAAAGCAGGAAATGAGGCATTCTCAAGATATATACCAGGCAGTATCTGTCGCCAAAGTCTAGGGGAAATGGGGGGTTTGTTGGTGCAAGCCTACACTATGGGCGGTCAAGGCCATTCTTATAGGGGTCAGGCCTGGCACACGAGGCCTACACTAGCCTAAACGCGCAGGGTGGTCTTCCATGCAAGCAACTTTCAACTAGAGCGAGTCGCGGAGCAGTTTTCCCCGACCTTGGCGTCATCGAGCTCGGCGTTGCGTGATCCATCTGTTGCACCTCGAAACCTCACGTTAACATCAGTCACTTTCCCTGTGCCAGGAGACATTTCTCTGGACAGAAGGGCATCTTCATAATGCAGGCTTCACCACTTCGTACCCTCCTTTCTCGGCGGCTGTGTTGCTGCCAGCCGTCCCATCTACCATACCATCCTAGCTCGGTTGGCCGCCTTCTTTCAACCAGCACCAAGTCCAATGCCTCCCAAACCGCAACTCCTTTGCCGACCTACGGGTCATCCGAACTGCTAAAACGCCGTTATCAGAAGCGAACCACGCCGCAAGATGATGCAAAGACGGAGCGAGCACAAACCATAAAACGCATGAAATTGTCCGGTTTGGGTATCGCATTCTGTACACTGGCGATCTTTGGCACAATCGCCCTCTATCCCCAGGAGGGACAGAAGAAGCAAGCATCAGAAAAGACTGGGGTTGTTCAACTCGACGCTGCACCTTCTATAGCAGGCACTGTCGAGATTCCAAAGGACGCAGAAGGAGAAACAGTTCCGACTGGTACTTCCACAATTCCAACCTTCCCCAAAACCATATACATTTCGACCGACGCCCCCAGGTCTACCCCTGCTGCGGCCAACGAAGGAACACAGAAAGATGTCGAGTATCACTTGGTCGGTCTGGGTGTTCGTACAGTGTCTTTTATCAGCATCCAAGTTTACGTTGTTGGATTGTACATTGCGGTCAGCGACATTGCAGGTTTGCAAGAAAGACTAGTCCACGCGGTGGCTGATCCTGTTGCGACGACATTGGTGCCAGGCGAGAAGGGCCAATTACGAGAATTCCTGCTGGATCCTGATCACGGCGAAGAGATATGGAATGACATTGTCAAGGACGGCCAATTGCGAACGGCCTTCCGCATAGTGCCCACCCGCAACACCGACTTCATGCACCTGCGCGATGGCTTTACGCGAGGCATCACGGCACGCAGCTCTCATTTCGCAAAAGACAAGCAAGATCTTTCCTTCCAGGATGAGACTTTCGGTAGCTCGCTCAATGACTTCAAGCAGGCATTCGGTGGCGGAGCCAGGAAAGCCCTGAAGAAGGGAGAAACCCTGCTGCTTTCGCGAGATGCTCAAGGCAGAATGACAGTGTGGGAAGAAGACTTGAAAGGTGTCCGCTTCAAGATGGGAGAGGTCGCTGATGAGAGAGTGGGAAGACTACTATGGCTAAATTACCTCGCCGGCAAGACGGTAGCCAGTGAACCCGCCAGACAAAGCGTGATTGACGGTGTTATGGAGTTCGTTGAACGGCCGGTCGGCACAGTCGCTACGCAGGTGCTATAATGTGTCAACCCAAGCAATCAACAGCGTACGCGAAACGACTTAGCAAGGAAATCCCCAGATGCTTTTGTATGAACAGGATTGCTGTCAAACATCTTTCAGTCTGTACATACTTTCGGACCGCTCAAAAGTTGTTTTGCCAAACAACTGATTCTGGTTCCTGGGGTCCGGAATTGCGCAGCAGGGCCTACTTACCTCACATCTATTGTCTTCTTTGACTGTGATTTTATCAATGATACTGACAAACAATCCCCATGGCTATATAGCTGGGACAATCCTCCCAGGTGAGTTTTGAGGATCACGCATGCATTCACTCTTCAGCAAGTTCTGTTATACATACATAGGTCGAGGCAGTTGTTTCACTGCCTCTCTTCTTCCATTATTGTTGTGTACACCTCCTGGTGAAGTGTTTATAGGTTTCAATGTCTGTGAGGCAGTGTGGTGTGACCGAAATGATATTCACTCTACATACCATCACATATCTATTCTCAGACAGCATGCAGGATCACAAGCAGAAACCATTTCGATTTCTCGATTGCAATCCGCCATTGATTAACAAGTGTTTTGAAAGACCTTCTGTTTACCCCCGAGCTACGACGTCCGCTACCGTCCTGCTGCAGATTACGATGGCCGTGATCCAACAAGATTTCAACCCACAACCCGACACAGACCTCTTCTCTTCCCCAGGCACAAGTGGATCCGCGGAAAGACAGACCGACCTGCAAGAAGAAGTTTCAGGCTCCGAGAGCGATGATGAGCCACGAAGGTACGTCAGGTTTGAGTAGAGACCATTCCTTCTTGTTATGGCGGAGTCCTTGGCACACAACGATATAGCTTCAGCTCTTGACAGCGGGAAGGTCGTCAGTTCTACCATATGATCCTACCAGGCTTGGAGTCAAGGTACGCGCTGTCACGAACTTGCTGGGCCATGGACTCATGTCGTTGATGTCTCCCCGTCAGAGGGGGTGCCAATTTTTCTGGAAACAGGCTCGCAGACTAGTGTTTTGTGCAGCTTCACAGCAGATCCCGTTGTCACCGTGATCGTTGGCAGCAAGCGCAAGATCTATACATTGCACCCACCGAAGCTTACTGTTGAAGAGTCCTTTCTTCGCTGGGTGCCTCACATCTGGGATGCGCGAGCAGCAGAACCAGGAAATTGTTTTGCCAGAAGACCAGTGTCGTGGCTTTGACTATGTTGCCGACTGGATCTACAACGAGAAAGTCCGAAGTATCCCAGCAGGAGACAAACGAGAGCTCCATTCAGGAATCATTGCCTATGTTCTGGCCGACAAATACTGCATGCCAGCATTGCAGAACGCATTAACCGATGAGCTTGCTGATCACTTTGCCTGGACGTATTTCAACCCTGACAATATCACATTGCTGGCAAAGCTTGGGGTTGAGACTGGCCCCCTTTGTGATCTCATGCTCGCTAAATTGGCGTATGACCTGGTCAATTATCCGTCGACATATTACCCCCGCCCGGATGATGGTGGTGAAGAAGTGAGACACTCTGACTTGGAAGAGTCAGAAAGTTCAGACGGTCTAAGTGACTTGGACGATGGAGACACCATGCCAGGTTGGCTCGAGGCACTTGAACGAGTTCTCGCTCATCCCGCACTATCGACGAAACTATTGCGCAATGCGGCGAGAACCAAGAAGTTAGGACCGAATCCAGCAGAGTCGTCGACACAGAGATATCACGTTGCTGTTGACGCCAACCTTGGAAGGGGCCAGAAGAGAAAGGCGGACGAACTGCAGAATGGCTCGAACGGTAGCATTGAAGGAACATCGAATATGGACATATAATTGGACAACAGCGGAATATGACGTTGTCAACATTGGTCGTTGGAACAGATATGACTCAGAGCACCAAGGCAAAGGCGTTGGGTATGTGATGGTTGGGTTGATGCACCACGACGTGTATACCAAAAGTTTGTTCGAGTATCACGGAACAGGGGGGATGTTTGCAGATCATAGCACACAGGGATACCATACATCATTTTCAAATCTTTTCGCGTTCCGGAAATGTGTCTCTGGCTTATCAACACATGATACCTCCCTTGCTCGGTTCACTGGCTTCTTCAATGATTACCAAGGATGAGGATACGAGCGATACGAGAATTCGACGTCCAGCTGAACCTCCTATACGGTTTCCAATACGAAATCTTCGATCGTACCTTCGTGGATAAGCAGTCGTCTCGTAAAGATCTCGCCCACCACAGCCTACGACTTGAGAACATAATAAGCGCTCTCTCGTTGCGGCAAGGAGCACCCTCCTCAACCTTTGTTTGCGTCCAAGTGTGCAAGTTTCGTTGATCCAGCATTGACCCAGTAATTACTCATATACATAACATGGCTGGAGCTGGTCCCCTTCCTGGTCCTAACCTGCCGAGGATATATGGTTCAACTGGTTCGAACTCACGCCGGTAGAGGTAGAATATAATGAACTTAAGGTATACGTACCAATATGGGCTTTTGGAAGACTATTTAAGAATAGTAGATCGCCATTGACGAGGTTGATTGTGGAACATGAATCCAGTGACGATTGAACGTGCTATGGAAGCGAAAGGTCTCAGACGCCGGGACGCCATGATTGAACATGTCGTCGACTCACTACCGTATGGCTACCGCTGTACAACAGGCCGCCGATGCAGGATTTCTGGGTCTCATGAGGCTTCTCTGGTCTCTGCAGAATATACTGTACCTACGGTACTTCGATCAGACTGGAGACTGAAGACATCGATCTCTCCAAAGTAGCCATTCATCAACAGATGCAAGCCTGACACCCTGCTCCGTTCGTAAAAGCAAGATAGGGTACATTGATTCGACATATATTGACGGTCCTTCATCAATGTATTGAAGTGACCGCCACTCACGTCATGCCTAGGCGGTACTACAGTATTTATCCAGGCAGAAATCAATCCCGTCTGTGCAATCATGCGTGTCACAAAATCTTCGGATGAGGATTTGGAGGTTGGGATTACAGTACCTAAAGACCAAGGTCGAACCACCAGGTGAACTTAATGACGTCTTGCTTCGTGAAACACTTCTACCCCGTCTTACTCACCAATTGACACCCCGTCCTCCTACTGTATTCGGCCTTGACATGCCTTTCCCAAACTCGTGCTGGGTTGCTCGTTCCGCTATCTTTGGGTCTAGCATTGCTCTGTTTGGCGGCAATGGTTTTGCGGGACGACGATGAACCGAGTCCTTGGACTGTGAATGGCGGGCATGATCGGGGAAATGCAAGATAAGCGCGATACAGCACCAAGAGCGACAGGTACGCGGTGGCGCGGTGCGCGCTCCTTATCGCAGCGCCGCAACATACCTGATTGGGAACCTGCCTTGCCTACGGTTCGCTCTGGGTGCCATTACGAGTACTCGTACCCAGAAATCCAACTCGACCACACATAAGCTGCAAACCACCACATTTGATCTGGTCGAAGCTGGTGGCCTTCCACCAATTGCAATGGCCTACACCATAGCGTACAAAAAGTACTTCTGGTTATGACAAAAAGGTCTCATCAAAGACTTTCAAGCACGCACAGAGACCGGCGTCATGGCCACCTACCACGAACAGTTCTCGGTTTCCGTGCTAGGCATGGGGTCCATGGGATCAGCAATTGCCCGAGTTTTCCTCAAGCATGGCTGGCGGACTACAATTTGGAACCGAACCACCTCCAAAACTGTACCCCTCGTCGAGCTTGGTGCGAGCGCCGCATCGTCCGCGGCAGAATGCATAGCAGCGAGCAAGTTGATCATTTTGCTCCTAACCGACACCGAGGCCTTCCAGCATGTCGCCAAAGGCCTAGAGCCCAGTTCGTGCAGGGGTCGGGTTCTACTCGACTACATGACAGCGACGGCATCGCAGGTCTCAGAGACTCAGCGTACAGCCAGGGAAATCCTTGGCTTCGACGCCTACGTGCACGGCGCCATCATGACCATGCCCCCTTTTGTGGAGGATCCCACGGCCATGATCTTTTACAGTGGCGACAACAAGGCCTATACCGAGGAGGATCAGACGGATGGCGCAGCAGGAATGGCGTCCGCGGTGAAGTTGATAGGAAAGGCTATCTGGATAGACGATGACCCGGCGTCTTCGGCTTTGCAGGACGTGATGGTCTTGACGCATTGGTACACGTTTGCGTCAGGCTTTCTCCAGACTGCTGCGCTGCTCAAAAAGACCAAGCAGTTCAAGCCCCATTCGAAGTCGATGCAAAGATTTTGGGCCGATTTTGTGAGACCTTTTTACGATGCACTTTTCATGCAATTTGAGGATGTTGCGAGGCAAATTGATGAGGAAGATTATGTTTCACGAGGCGATGGAGCCTTGATCAATCTGCACCTGCATGCTATCGAAAGCCTCATCAAGGCATATGAGGATAAGAACATATCAGTGGCTCTGCTTACACCAATGAGGGATCTCTTTGCAAAAGCAGTCACTAATGGCCACGGTGACGAAGAAATTGGTGGGATCCTCCCCCTGTTGTAGACGATACACACGTCACAATGGAAATTGAGAGACAAGAAACCATTTACTGGCCCATTGATTCGGGCATCACTTGCTGAACGTGAATTTTCGGCGAGATGTAAGCACGCGTTGGTCATCGCATGGAAAGCTTCGAACTGTCGAACGGGATGGGATTGGTTGTGGACATGCACACTATCAAATTGCCAGAAAGTCTTACCAGTGTGCGAACTTGTTCACATGTTGTCTACCACTCACTTAAATTGCGTGACAGACTACCACTGACTTTTATGCACGGCGCCCCCGTCTATCAGGACATCCACGCCGTTGACATAGCTTGCTTTCTCACTGCAGAGAAACACGACAACCTCGGCAATTTCGGCCGGGTCAGCCCAGCGGCCTATGGGAACGGCGTTGCTAGGTCCTTCTTCGCTGTATGTGCCTAGCTTGAGCTGTTCTTCGATAACTTCCGAGATCAGCCACTGAATCAGAGGAATGAGTACCAGGACATACGAGGCGTCTTGACAGCTCCTGGCAAAACAGAATTGACACGAATACCGTCTCTTCCGTATGCTATCGCATCACAGCGGGAAAGGCCCACGACTCCTGCCTTCGTGGCCACATACTGTTGACGTTGGTTAATATCCACGCACAAAGTCACCGAAGGGAAGCACATACTGCCACACAGCGCGGATGAGCAGCCTGCGCGAATATTGACGACATGTTGACGATGGCTCCTCTCTGGGGAGGCGTGCGAGACCTGACCAGGTCAGCATGATCTTTGTAAGCAGTGTAGTGACGGACCGTGGCTGCAAATCGAGACCCTGTTTCAACATCTGTCTGAGCTCTGCTCGCTGGCAAATCCATACTCCTCGCAGGTTTATGGCCTGCACGCGGTCAAAGGATTCGACCTCAAGCTCATGGGTTCTGAGTTTCGGGCTGCTTGGAATGCCGGCATTGTTCACACAATAGTGTATTGCGCCAAATGCTTTGACCCCTTCAGCTACCATCCTTTCGACATCAAGTTCGTTCGAAACATCGCAAGTGACGAGGCAAGTCTGTACAGCTGAGTCGAGTCCCTTCAACTCCTCCGCCACCGTGTTTAAGCCATCGCCATTCAAATCAGAGAGAACGAGTCGCGTACATCCTTCAAGCACAAACACATGCGCCACTGCTCGGCCAATCCCAGACGCAGCTCCCGTTACCAATGCAACACTAGCGAATCAGTCACAATTTGCAAATCCTCCTCGTAGAAGTCTTACCCTTTCATCCTGCGAAGCCTGCTGCCTTTGCGTAGTTTCTTAGTTATCGACACTGGAGGTGCTGACCTAAATCAAGAATTGATCACATCTCTGAGGTCAAACAACACGCCGCGGTACGTCTACCAAAACGGCCTAGTACGGACACCGACCTTTCAAAACGTGAAGATGGGGATCAATCCAGCGCGCTTCTTACTATGGGGTCACCACGTAATGGACTGGGCACTTCCGATGAGAAATTGTCTTTCTTGTCGAGTGCCACAACTCCGAAAACATTCCGCTTCTCATTGTCCTCCCAGATTGACTGAAGAGTACTAGTCCGATCAGCGTGCCACTAGTTTTCTACATGTACATAATCTTTCGACATGCGGGACACAGCATCGGTGCAGCCGTCATGCGGCTCACGTAACGGAGGCGGGCCCGATTTCATAAAAGCCCCCTGGTTGTACACACGTAAGTAAACTGGGGCCAGACAGTGACCCACACTTCGCCAGACCGAGAGAGGCTACGTAGCAAACAGTGACCAGGAGAGAGTGAGGTTGGATCAATACTGCCAAACACATCAGACAGTGGAGGAGGTGGGTGTTTGTTCGCATCAGCTTTCTGAAGACTGGAATTTCTTTTTTGCTCCTCCACGACGTTGCCATCCCCTCTATCTCCATTATCACAACCATGCCCGTAGCAACTACTCACGAAGGGCAGCACCGGCCGGCACATGCCGTTCCAACATTGGTTGGCCAATTGCCAGATTTCGAGAAGAGCCCTGATCTATATGGGTGGCCACGTCAGAACGCGCAAGGTTACAGAATACAAGAACAGCTCGTCGGTTCGTCGAAGCCTATCAGGGTGATCCATGTTGGAGCTGGCATCTCGGGGATTTGTCTGGCCAAGTTCTTGCCTGAGCGCCTCATCAACGCCACTCTCACCTGCTACGACAGGAATCCCGATATTGGAGGAACATGGCTAGAAAACAGGCATGTGGCTTTCCTCTTTGCGACAGAGACTGAGCGTCGTAACAAGATGGCTGACCTGGACATGACAGATATCCAGGATGCGCGTGTGATATCCCTTCTGTGAACTATCAGGTGGGTGACTTGCTCTCTTTCCACAGTATATGACTAGACAACACCAGTACACCTGGGCGAGAAATCCAGATTGGTCGAGATTTTACTCCTACGCCCCCGAAATCTGGCAGTACCTTCGAGATGTTTGCGAGCGGTTCGATCTCTTGAAATATATGAAATTGAATCACGAAGTCAAGTCTGCGGACTGGGATGACGAGTCTGCAACATGGACGGTGAGGGTCGAGGACCTTTCGACAGGAGAAATTATCATCGATACGGCAGAAGTCCTGATCAATGGCACAGGAATTCTCAAGTAGGTTCTATGAGATCGACATGCAAGGAAAACCTTGGATACTGTAACTAACTACGGGAAAAGTGACTGGAAGTGGCCTGAGATCGAAGGCCTACATTCATTTCAAGGATCACTGAATCATACAGCCCGCTATGACACTTCCCTCGACCTAAAGGGCAAGCGAGTCGCAGTGATAGGGGTTGGGAGCAGCGGCATACAAGTTACGGCCGAGATTGCTGCACAGGTCGGCCAGCTCTATACCTGGGTCAGATCACCAACATGGGTCACTGCTGGCTTCGCTCAGAACTATGCAGGCCCAAATGGCGCCAACTTTGAATGTTAGAGGTCTTTATCGTGGTCACGGTGGACGCTGGCTGATTCCATTCAGACTCTACGGAGCAAAAGGCCAAATTTGCCAGTGACCCAGCGTCATATCTGCAATATTGTAAAGAAATCGAAAGTGAGCTGAACCGACGGTTCAAGTTCATTTTGAACGGAACTCAGGAAGCCATCGAAGCCAAATCGGTATGTCGTCCAGGACCAGAACTGGCCCAGACCATGCTATTGACACGGGTCGCAGTTCGCCACCAACCAGATGAAGCAGAAGCTGGGTCACAAGCAAGATCTCATCGACCAACTAATACCCACTGGCTTCAACGTCGGCTGCCGACGACCAACGGTATGTTTATACTTCTTAAGGCGAATCCACTAACCCTCTTCAGCCCGGCAATGGCTTCCTGGAGGCTCTGACACGGGACAACGTGCACACGTTCACCACGACTGGCATCCAGAAAGTCACTCCACGCGGATTCATGAATACGGACGGCCAAGAGTATGAAGTGGATGTGATCATCTGCGCCACTGGGTAGGTATCTCTGCTACTAGCCTCCATCTACCATTGCGCTAATCCAAAGCGGAGGTTCAACACCAACTGGGTGCCTCGTTTTCCGATTGTCGCGAATGGCAGGAATGTCCAAGACATGATGAAGCAGGAGACACTTTCGTATCTCTCCATTGGTATACCTGGAAGTAAGTTTTTCTCTGGTCTTTGAATTCAAGGACGTCCCGCTTAAATACAGCTCAGTACCTAACTACTGGATGGGAAACGGGCCGTACGGGCCTCTTGGCCATGGCTCATTCATTCCCATCGTCGAGCATTCCCTGTCGAACATCCTGCAGGTGATCAAGAAGATGCAACAAGAAAATATACGGTCACTTGCTCCACGCCGGGAGGTTTGCGAGGCCTTCGCCGAGCATGCGGACTTGTTCCTTCAAAGAACAGCATGGTCTGGGGATTGCCCCAGCGTAGGTTTATCGTTACTATGATCGTGTCCTTTAGGGTTGCTAACATATGTCACAGTGGTTCAAACAAGGTACCAGGGATGGCAAGTTGACGATATGGCCTGGCTCGCGGCTGACCTACTTCGAATTGCTCAGGTCACCGCGTTACGAGGACTACTCCATTGTATATGATCAGGACAATCCATTCTCGTTTCTCGGCAACGGATTCAGCACCCGGGAGTTTGATGGTAGTGATTTGGCATACTATCTCGGCTCGATTGAGGATCCAGTTGGCCTTCTACCAAGAGCGGCAGATGGCGGAGAGAAATGCAATTAGCTACTTGAAATCCAGAACACAAGAAGACGATGCTCTACTCGGTCAGCCACATGATGTGGTCCAATGTGGTTTTTGCGATGAAGTAGTTTGGATTTAATTTCGCCCTAGGACTGGAAAATTGTGTGTTCCGAACAAGTTTCTCATTGCGAGCTATAGGAGCCTACCCTGGACGAAAGATGTTCATACTCTGCCATCTATCCCAATGATGATGTTCACAAGAGAAGTCCGAACCCCTTAAAGTCATCAACTGTTGCCACTATCGGGAATGAGGTTCTTTGCGTGACCGAGGTCCTCTCCGAGAACCTGATTGCTAAGCTTGATTGGCTTGCTGGCTTGCAAGACGAAGACCATCCTCGCCCATTCGGACGAACTGGCGTTTTTCCAAGCGTGCATCGTCCCGCGCTGGACCGCGATATCGCCTCGCTTCAAAGTTTGCACCTCACCCGAATCGAGGTGCAGTTCGATCTCGCCTTCGATGACGATACCGTAGTCGAGAGATTGCGTTCGGTGCATGAGACTTGGGCCAAGGGGCTTGAAGTCAACCGTCCTGCAGACCGTCCCGTTGGGTCTGACCAATCCAAGATTTCCACCCGCCATGACCCTATCGTGTTCGCGAATATCGGCATTGTTATGCATGTCGACGAGGAACTCGGAGGTGGTGAAGCTGACCGTGTAGAAGTTTGTGTTTCGCACAAAGTGCCATTCGGCTGGCTTGATCGATTGATATACGGCGGTGCCGTTCTCGGCATTGTGGCCAGTCACATATGTTTTGGTGTCTCGGAGCGGCGTGCTTGCGGACGAGGTGTGTGTGCTGACGGGGTCGTCTGTGGCCATCATCTTGCTGCCACCGAGGCCTTTGTCCATTGAGCTTTGCGACGAGGAAGCGTCCGAGGAGGAATGAGGAGAGACGGATAGACAACTACTCCCCGTCCACTGGTGCTCCAACTTACGTGATTCGAGATCTCTTCCTGTACATAATGGCGGGGACGCTGACGTGTTTGAAGGTCCCCCACGAGGAACTAAGGCAGACCGATCGAGTAATCCACCTCCGATGTTTGCGTAACGCCTCCTAATGAGAAGAATTGAGGAACGATAACGTACTATCAATGGCAATAGTGCAATTTGCTTCACGAGGAAAGGAGTACAACGATCCAACCCTATTCGGGAAATGCCAGCAGCGGCGAAGCGCGCTCTCGGGACCAAGAGTGGGCCACTAAGATAGGCACCGCGGCAAGTCACTCCAGCTAGCGTGATGATACTCGACATGTGCCGGTTGTTGGTCTACTACAACCAAGGTCAAGGCATTCAATCGTACAAGGCTTGGAATATTCAGGATTGTGTTACAGAACACCACCGCAAGAGACAACAAAATGACTCGGGATTTCGCAGGCAAGACGGCCATAGTTACAGGCTCTGCAAGGTAAGATGATTCCTTTTGACACTGTGTACGTCGTCGACACTGACCGTGGCCGAAAAAAGAGGTATTGGAGCCGCCATTGCTATCCATCTTGGCCAAAGAGGTGCCAACGTACTGGTGAACTACACCAGTGATCGAAGCAAAGAAGCCGCCGATCAGGTCGGCAGCAAAGTCAGCAACTCCGGTGCCAGAGCTGCTGTGATTCAGGCCGATGTATCGAAATCAGAGGGTAGAGAAGCCATGGTGCAGAGAGCCCTGGAGCTTTCTGGGTCCGAGAGGAAAATAGACATCCTTGTCCATAATGCTGCTGTAGGCGATGATTGTGGTCTGGCAGACCTTTCGGACGAACTTTATGATCGAATTAACGACACCAATATTAAAGGCAAGGTAACCCCCTGATTAGAACTTGTTATTGGTATATCGACGAGAGTTTAGTGGGCCTAACTATATGTCGACGAAATGCTGAGGAGGGATGATAATTGCTGACACCACTATCTCTTCCAGGCGTTGCCTTCCTCACGAAAGCAGTCTTACCGCATATCGCCAGAAACGGCAGGATTGTCTTAATGTCCTCAATATTTGCGAGACAGGGCAATCCTTTGACATGTCTCTACTCGGCATCCAAGGCCTCGCTTGAGGCGTTCGCACGAGTCTGGGCCACAGAGCTCGGTCAAAAGTACGGAGTCACCGTCAATTGTGTCAACCCTGGCCCAGTCGCCACGGATATGTGGTTCTCGACCGACAAAGAGCTCCTTGATGCTATGCAGCCGACGATTGAGGCCACTCCAGCTGCACCACGAGTCGGCGAAGTGGAGGATATTGCTCCCATTGTCGGGTAAGTTTCATAATTGGCCATCTTGATGCCATGTGCTAACTCGTGGTGGGCAGATTCCTTTGCTCAGAAGAAAGTAGATGGGTCACTGGAAATGTTATCTGTGCCAACGGCGGAATGTTGTTCCACTGAGAAGGCAGTTCTGTTCTCAGGTGGCTACCAAAGCAATCAATGCCCATGAATAGAGTCATATTATCATCTATGTAGTAAACAACCAAGCAGATGACTAGAACGAATGCCCTATTGAAGGGTCATAACCACCGTTGCATGATGAGGGAGACGCTTGGCATATGCCTGCCAATTGAAGGGACTCACGTCCATTCTCTCTTTGCTACTACAGAAAGATTACCCAGAAAAAATCAAAGATCAAGTGATGATACACAATTTACTCGGTGAAAGCCTAAGGATGTTCCTTTGTCGCCCCCAAGTAGGTCCAACTTCCGATCACTAAATAACACTTCATCCAGAGAATAAGGTCAGTGGTACAGCTGCATTGACCTCGACAACTATTTCTCCTTTGTCGTTGTGGTAATTTGAGTCTCGGCTGGCTCGATACCCTGAATGTGCTAGCATAAAAGATACATCAGCAGTGGCCTTTCCTTCACGTTGGAATATTCCGATGATCAAGTTACTTACCGGGCCTGTGAAAGTCTTCCTTTTGCCGCCGTACCAGGCGATCAGGATGAGTAGAATGATGCCAACCGCAACCGGACTGAGATAGTTCATGTCGCCGGTGGTGGGAGGGATGAAGATAGGAAAACAGAAAATTACACTGTAGAAAGCAACCCATAAGAACGAAAACCCATTCACAAAGTTTCCAATCCGGTGTCCAAGTCTGAAAGACCGAGCCGGGAGAACCTTTGAACGTCCTCGGAGCAGCACTATGCCCTGTGGGATAACATAGGTGACGTTGAGGGCTAGGATGGACAACGAAATGATGCTGTTGAAGGCAGTTGTGGAGCCGATGTATATCAATCCATAGAGAACTTGGAACACCAGACAAGCAATTGTTGCCCTGATCGGGGTCTTTTTGGTTGGACTGACTTTTGCAAAGAATGGGGAGAAAGGAATCCCATTGTCGCGAGCGAAAGCCCAGACCAACCGGCCGACGGTCGCCACGCAACCGATGGTAGCACCGAAGTAATTCAGCATGATCCAGATCGTTAGAGCCGCCGTTGCAGCTTGGTTGCCTGTAGCCTGTTGATATAACGTAAGGATCGGTAAGGATGAGTTGGCAACAGCTTCCAGATCGGTCGCTGAGAACATGATGACCAGCAGATAGGGTATCGTGGATATGACGCCGATCACTGGAGTGAGCCACATTATTCTGGGGATGTTAAAACCTGGATTCGGAACTTCCTGGAGATCTTGTCAATGTTGATTCGAAGCGCATTTGGGAAAAGCGTGGACTGTACCTCTGCCAGATGAGTGGCTGAATCTGTGGAAACAAAAGTGTACATGCTAGTTCCGATGCCAATGATGAAAGCGAATCCGTTGCTCCAGCCCGTAACATTCTGATCTTCGACAAAGATTACCCTAGCCGGTTGTTTGGGGCCACTAAGGGCACCAATGACGATGGTACTGATCAGACAGGCTAGAAGGCTGCTCCATAACGAGATCACTTCGATCTTAGGAAGAAGCTGGGGCGCCACGCAGACAATCAAAGTGGCGAGGGTATTGATCGCAACGAATAGCAGATAAATCTGCCAACGTTCGAACACGAGAGTCTCGTCGAAAAACGTGGCAATGCCTGCGATGAGCTGGGCTGCCAATGCAGTTAGCAAAGTCCGATGTATGACTTCCGTTCATGTCCTCGACCTACCGACGTAGACTCCTGCAGACACTGTGACCAGTCCCCACGCAAGGGAGCTAAGCCAGCCCATCACGAATGCGCTGGCAGCTCGGTATTTGGGTGACGATACCATGAAAGTGAAATGATACTGTCCACCGGCCGAGGGGTAAGCAGATGCTAGTTCAGCAAGTCCGATAGCTAAGCAGCATTGGGTCAGCAGCATAAGGACGCTTGGGTTGTGATAACCTCACTGATGATGGAGCAAACCACGAAAGCAATAATGCTGCCCCAAAAGACTCCCGGACCGCCACCAGCCAGCAACGCTGTTCCAAAAGTTGCAGCGAAGCCTACCCAGGAGTTGGTGATAACAAATGCGAGTGATAGCACCGACAGCCTTGAGAAACGCCGTGGCAGCTCGGGCTCATGGCCCTGCGCTCTCAGAACCAAGTCATCGTCGGTTAGTGCTGGCACAGCCGCAACTTCGATGGTGTCGTTGTCTGTCATTGTCGGAGAATAGCACAGTGCGGATTGTGACTGGATTCTCAGCTCTGGCTAGACCTGATCGTGATATGTTGTTCTTGGGAAAGGGTCGGGGGCGGAAGGCGACACTTATCTATCCCGGAGGTGAGAAAGTCAAGGCCTGATCAAGGCTCCTGGCTCGACCCCCTTCGATATCAAATTGCTGGAGAATGAACGTAGTGAGCTTGTTCTTATCTCGCTATCTTGGTTGTTCGGTGATAAAGCAAAACTACGTTTCTGCACGGTTGTGGGCAGCGGTTGACTTTTCTGCATTGGGATAGCTTCATCGCGCTCCGCACCTGAGATAGGCCTCTGCGGGGCTAATCGCTGACCCGACTTAATTTGATTCCATCACGCCCCATTCTCTCGAGATAACGCCTGCCGGACTCTGTAGTACCCTTTACGTGGCTGTCCGTAGATGCAATGCAGCACACGTAAATAGAGGGGGGAGCCAGAAAGGTCCTTGCCGCATGACTTGCCACATGACTTGCGCATTGTGTTTTCGGGGCACACCATCAAGATCTCTGACAAAGTGGCGTAGCGTCAATCTTTTTTAATCATGCTGCAAGTGCTCGACTACCTAGATTGCTCATTCCGGATAGTGCACGAGCAACGTCGTCAGATCCGGGAAAGGACGGGCGAGGACCACGCGGTGGCGACTGGCTTTCAGCCCGGACATGAAGACCACTGCGTCTGGGCAAGACCGCGCCATCACGAGGAGAGATCAGGAGGAGCGGGAGCCTTCTCCAGTAATGGCACGTCAGATGGGTCTGCTCGGCTCAGTCGACTCGAGACGGGTGTAACAGTACGAAAGTAAGCATCAACGATCCTCATCTTATTGCCTACAGTAACAGACTATTGATTGAGGGCAGTGGCGGCTGTAGTAGCAGTAGATTCAGCAACAGTAAGAAGCTCGAGATTAGTTCCAATTCCAATATGTCATTCAATACCGCCGTCTCCCTTTCAGAATGTTGCTAGTGTACTTCCAATGAAGGTTGAAACAAGTGAGTGAACAAGCGAGACAAGCTCATGCTTAACAGAAGTTCTCTGGACAACAACTAGAACAAATCTGTGTTGCTGGGAAGATCTGGGTAGAGCAACTTCAATGGGTGATGCTGGTCAACCCAACCAAGGAATGGAGAGCTGAGATTCCATCCGATGAGCTGCAAAGCTTGTGTCAGCACATACAACTCCAATCGGCGAGGAAGAGATGGTCATCATACTTTCAAGATTTCCATGTCGTTGTTATACAACTCTTTGAGCACCTTCCCGTCATTGGCGAGGTATTGATTTTCTTCCTGTTCATCAGAAGAAGTATCATCAATCTCAATCCCACAATGACTGGACGGAGTTTACTTACCTGGCGTAGATAACCACGAGTCATGAAAGAACAGTATACGAGACGTTCTTCATCCTTTGTTGTGTTGGCGGAACCCGCGTGATAACACGAAGATAACATCATGAAGCAATCGCCTGGCTCAAGCTCCGCATAGAAGGCAAGGGACTCGTCTGGCGGTATCTCAGAATCCCAGAGGTGAGATCCTGGAATGTATCTGGTGGCACCATTGGCTCTGGTCGTCTTCTTACCAGCCACGAACCAGCCAATTCCCGCTTCACGGGAAAACGTCCATTGGTCGGGAGTGATGTCCTCGGAAACATAGTTATGGTGAATCCTGGTAAGCTTGATTAGCATTGAGTCCATATGTGGGCTTACAGGGGTGAGGGTGAAAGGGCCGTTGCAAGACCCGAGTCGACATACATATCATCTCGATGCAGATCTTGAGGCTTTGCCCCGGGTCCAATTGAGAAGATGACCGTGGTGTTGAGCTGCGGCTTGGAAACCGTCTCTTCTCTCTTTTGGCCCACCCATGGATAGCTGGTCCTGCTAAGGATCCTGTCGCAAGCCTGCTGGTAGATAGGATGCATGACGAAGGACTTCATGTAGGTCGGCGACTTCTGTGCGAGTCCATGTGCGCGACGAGTTTCCCTAGGGAAGAATCCTCCCTCTTCCCATGGCACGTCGGCGTCGAGCCAGGGACGCACGTCTTTCTCAATCTGGTTGACGTCCTTGACTGGGACGGCTCCACGAATAACACATCCCCCAGCAACTCGAAGGGCATCGATAACCTCTTCAAGTTTCACACTGTCATTGTGAAATGCGGGTACCTCAGGAGCGGTTCTTTTCCCGCTAACCGGTGGGTAGGTTGGATCTTCCACTCCTATCGAGCCCATTATAGTGATATGAGTCTGATAGGAATGATCAAGTGTCGGGATGATACTGGCCAACTTAATCTAGAGTCGAGGAATAAGCTGTGTTAGAGACTTAAGTTGGTGCAGGCTGAGGGAGCAGAGCGATCTGTAGACTTTTATAGCCGAACTTCACAAGACTGTAGGTGTTTCGAGTGTTACTTCTGCGCGGTGCGAGCTTCCCGACCCGGGGCGACCTCAGACAGTGGCGCGCTGCTTGTGTGATAGATAAGGCAGGCCAACGAAAATCTACTGTATGCAGGATGGTTTGATGAAACACGCTTCGCTCAGACTGTCAAAAGCCCTTGACTAGTCGCATTTGGGAAAGAAGACGAGCAGCCACAAACCTCGGCGGGCTTGCCTGCCCTTTTGGGATGTTGGACGCAAGTACAATTCATAAACACGGATTTACCAGAGCATTTTGTACCGCATCAAGCGCAAAAGTCTAGTTTCGAGAGTATTCTCCGCTTGAAGCTTGGATTAGCAAGATTTGGTAAGATACGTGTACCGCGGTCCAGGCGACAATATTTCGGAACTAAGGTATCTTCGAAGTCGTGTAATGCATGCTTACGGGGGCATGTGGGACATTTGGGGACGTGTTCGCGGACGTGAGCTTGCCATACTGTCCATAAACGGAGATCCATTGATATGACAGAAGCTGTGGATATGGGTGGACGTGCTTGGTCGCTCTGATCTGGGGACTATCTTGTAGAAATGCAGCTCTCTACACATTAAAGATAGTGGTTTGCATCCAAGGGTTGGATCTCATTTCTTTGATCACACTTTTGGGTATTCTTCAGGTCGATAATTGGCATTCCAGGTCCATCATGGCAGCCATACATCCTCTCGATCCTATACAGCCGCAAGAGATACGAAATGCTGCATTACTGTTGCAGAAAAGGTTCCCACAGGCCACGATTCGCTTCAAAGTCATCGATATGTTTGAACCACCCAAAAATGAGGTCTTCGCTCACATCCAGATGGGAAAGAAGCCCAGTGGCTCGTCTGATCGTCGAGCTCAAATATATTTCCACCGCGACAAATCCTCTGTGATGTCAAAAGCGATCGTGAACGTTTCACAGGCCACTGTGGAAAAGGTCGAAGATCTACCAGACGTGCAAGGTCCAGTAGATCTGGAAGAATGGGAAGCTGTGCATGATGCTTGCAACAGCCACCCAAAGGTCCAAGAGGAGATTGCGAAATTGAGGTTACCACCGGGGTAAGTACACACGCTTTTTTCCTGTCCGTGAATGTCCAAGTGAAGTCTCATGAATTCGCAGAGCCAAGGTCATCAATGACCCATGGGCATTTGGAACCGACAATGTCGAGGAACGAAGACGTCTATTTCAATGCTACATGTACATTGTGCTCAGCGATGACCCAGAAAGCAACCACTACTCGATACCTGCACCGATATCGCCTGTTTTCGACGCAAATACGCTCGAGCTTCTCTGGATCGATAGGCTTCCTCTGGGCTCTGGTTCCGAGGCAGACCAAGAAACTCAACCATGGCTCCCAACCAAGCCTATCGAATACAGTGCTTCAATTCTGGGCGACGCTTACTTTAGACGAGATCTAAAACCACTCCAGATCGTTCAACCAGAGGGACCGTCATTCTCTGTCGAGAAAAACATCATTTCCTGGCAAAAGTGGCGATTTCATCTAGGTTGGACACTGCGTGAAGGGCCTGTTATTCAGAACGTTACCTACGACGGCCGCTCCCTCTTCTATCGAGTGTCCATGAGCGAGATGACCGTACCATACGGTGACCCACGAACTCCATACCACCGAAAACAGGCCTTTGACCTCGGAGATTCCGGTTTCGGCATTATGTCCAATAGTCTACGTCTGGGCTGTGACTGCCTCGGCCTGATCAAGTATTTCGACGGCTGGAGATGTACGAGCAAAGGAGAGCCCGTATTGATGAAGAATGTCGTCTGTATGCATGAGGTGGACAACGGCATCGGCTGGAAACACACCAACTATCGCAACGGAGAGACCTCGGTCGTCCGTGACCGACAACTAGTGATTCAATGCACCGCGACGCTGGCCAACTACGAATACATACTGGCCTTCGTGTTCGACCAGGCTGCCAATCTCCGTGTCGAGGTCAGAGCGACAGGCATCGTCTCTACAATGCCAATCCGCTCCGGCATTCACTCAGACTGGGGCACCGTCGTGGCTCCAGGCGTCCTTGCCGTCCACCATCAACACATCTTCAGTGTCCGCATTGACCCTGCTCTTGACGGACAGGCGAATTCTATCCTTTACGAGGATTGTGTGCCGCTTGCGGATCCCGAATCTGATCCATTTGGATGCGCTTTCAAAGTCCAGAGCAATACCATCACGAAGCCAGGAGGCTACGAGCTCGATCTCACCAAGGCGAGAACCTACAAGATTGTGAATTCAGCCTACCATAATCCCATCTCCAAGAAACCGGTCTCTTATAAGCTTCATGCTTTGCCTTCACAGATGATGATGATGGGCGAAAAGGGTTTCAACCGTAAACGAGCTCTTTTTGCTACTAAGCCCATATGGGTCACCAAATACGGTGACGACGAGTTGTACGCGGCCGGCGAATTCACGAACCAGAGCCGCGAAGACACGGGTCTTGCGGTCTGGACGAAGAGGCCAGACCTGGTCAGCGACGAAGACGTGGTACTTTGGCACACATTCGCCATCACCCATGTTACCAGGCCTGAAGGTACGCAGCCCACAGTAATGTTGAGAAAGGCACTTTTTCAGCTAACATGCACCCCTTCTACGCAGATTTCCCCGTGATGCCCCACGAAGGCATGTCAATCATGTTGAAACCAAGCAACTTCTTCGAGTCGAATCCCAGCAACGATGTTCCCAGATCCAGCCAGGCTGTCCACCACTCGGCCCGTCTTTGATGTTGTGCAAGGATGGCGCTTACACTAACGCACGCCGACGTGGGTGGCCAAATTTGTCATTGTCCATAATAACTGGGCAGCGTTCCACTAGATGAGCAGATGAAGTCTCATCCTGTACCACTTATTCAGCTCCTCCATTTGCTCCCATATCAGTCTTGCCGAGTATCATTTTGTAGTTCAGAATGGCCTTACGACTCAGCGCTTTCGGGCCCGGGACTTCGCCCGCGTAGCCCCGCAACGTACAATCAATCCCTCGCGCAATGATACTCGGGTCATCGCACAACTCGGGATGAGCTGTTGCGAAAAGCGGATCCAGTTTCATGGCTCTGCGATCGTCCATGCGAAGTAGTCTGAACAACCTCAACGCGGTCTGAGGATTGTGGAAGATGTCCTCGAGCGACATTCTCGTGCACTGTTCGTCCTGACTTGGCGTTTCCGTTCCAAAGGGGTTGGCGTCCCCTTCAAATACGTCTGAATCGTCGCAGGTCTCGTGGCCGAACCAGGCCGTTGTAGTACTTGGGCCGGTTGCCGAGCCAGAGACCAGGTGGTCTCGACGCGAAATCGTTTGCACAATGTCCCAGACATGAAAATAACCTCGCCGACTTGGGAAGTGTTCAATGTCTGTAATGATGTTGTCCAAGTCGGTTTCAACGACGTAAGCTTTGACAAGCTCACGTAACAGATCATCCAACTGCCAGCTCTGTGAGTATAGCTCGATCAGCTTGTCGCGGACGGATGGGAAAAATACCCAGTCGATAACCGCGGGATGTGCTGTACACATCTGCAACGCGGTGGGCCGATGAGTGCTCGGTATGGCCTGGTACGTCTCCAGACACTGATCGAGTTTCCAGCACAAGAGCTTTTCCACCACTCTCGACGATTGAAAGTACGTCCACCATGTGCGGTTCTCGGGCCAACAAGTGTCGACAAAACTATGCACCATTGTGGTGACAAGTTTGGCAAATCTAGCACCACGAAGATCAGCCAAGACCTCACAACAAACCACCCATGCTGGGACAAGGCTTACGCTTCCTTCCCACCAGATTGTCGTCGGTCTTTATAGGCTTGATTATGCTTTGCAAAGAATTCGCAAACGGCCAAATGTGCCGAGAAGGTCGATGGAAAGGATGGAGTTCCTGGTGGATAGATCTGCTTCATCCGATATTGGTCATGATTTCCCTCGTCGGACCGCGGAAGAATCCTGGGAGGCCACGGTCCAGACGTGGGTGCGCAGAGGACGTCTGCAGAATCGTTGGGCCCGAGCCATTGCAATGAAACTTGGTTCTCGTGGACTGGGTGAGGCAAGTCGGAAGTCTGAAAGAGGTTGGTGGTATCCATGGCTGGTGGGCATGTTCCGACACTGGTGAACAAGGACTGAATGTCGAGGGCATGACTAGTGTCTTGCTCGAATTGAGTCCAGTCATCTTGCGGCTGATGACCTAGATCAAGGGCAAAATCCTCGGCAACCAGCACATCCTCCATTGTCGCCATTGAATCCCGCAGTCCTCCAGCGTCAGACCCAGCTGTTTGAGGAGATGGATCAGTCCCATAGTGACTGGACTGGGAGGTGGAAGTTGGCAGATTAGCCAACGATTCCGAGTTGAGACTTGACGATACCGTCTCGGATGCACGGTCTTCCATGGTCGCTGAGGCTTCGGGTCTCGGATCAGTGTGATTCTCTACCGTTGTTCCAATCGTTTGAGCAATGTCAGTGGCAAGGCCAGACAAGCATGAAACGAGTCTGTCGATACGCCTCTGCGCAGCGGTTACCTGTTCGCGTAGTCGTTGACATTCATCGTGAGAAGGTTTGAGTCGAGCACTTTCGTCCTGCCAGGACTCCGCTACCTTCCTCTCCAGATCTTTTAGGTAGCGTGCTTGACGGTCCCGGAACGATTTTTGAGATATGCGATTACGAGCCCTCCTATAACAAACGTCAATATTCGCATTTGGCACCTGGCTATTGAACAGACGTACCTCTTTGCGATGGCCGATTGCGTTTGGTCTTCGCCGCCTTGCAGCATGAACATCGCCATTGACTTCTCTGCCCTTACCTTACGCGGAGACCAGGATAGGATCGCAGGACCAGTGACTATCAAACGCACGAGTATGAGGAGCGAAAAGAGCCAACCACGTTGATGTAGGGTTGTCATCGACTCAAAGGGACCAACACAGGGGCCGTCTTTTGCGGGGAAGTCTTTGGCGCCTTCTGGTACCTTTCTGGGTTAGCCAGTTCTCGGTTTCGGTGCGCGCTTTAGCTGCTCTTGGCCTTTCGGACCCCTAACTTTGTCAGAAGCTGGCGGTGGCGCTCGCCCACTGACTGTGGCACGGAGTGTTCTGCCCTCTTGTGAACACGCCGACCGAAATCCCGGTCCAAAGCTCGTCGAGTGAGCGCGCCTAACCGCACAAAGGGCGTCCATATGTCGCTTGACCGCGCCCGCGCGTTGTTCTCAAAGTTGTATGAGGAGACCGTAAGTGGACCACTCGGCGTAGCGTTCAAGTAAGTGGAAAGACTCGACCTTTTTCACTCATAATCTGCTCGAGATCCCATGCGTCCACATACGCCTCGCTCGTAGATTCCCAGATGTTTTTGATCAGGCTCAAGCTGGAAGCAACGCTGGTCATCTTGATCCTTTCAAACAACGCCTCCAGGTGACGTTGAATGGCTTCTTGGTGTTGGGTGTCTCGGGCACTGATCCCTAGTATGACAAGTGGCCAAACCGTGATGGTGGCAATTGGACCGTCAGCTGGCAAGAGTCTAAGGGCTTGCATGGCAGCGTCGATGCATCTATGAACGAATGGCCTCAGGTGGAGTCTTCGGTATAAGACGTGGTCATGCCTTCGAAATGCGGTTTCCAGATGCACCAGCAACGCCTGTCGATATAACTCACCACACAGTACGTCTTGCTCGTTGGTGACGCCGGCGGGTACGCTCCATTTGAGGATACATTGCCGCAGAGAGTGGAACCGGGACAGACACTGCGGCGAGCATGTCCCCAGCGCTTTTTGATCCAGTTCTCGTTCGGAAGCAAGCGACGCCACGGAATGGATCAACGGAAAGAGATCCTGATGGCTACCAAGGAGGAATCCAGCACGGCGATGAGCGAGCACGTTGGTCGTATATAGTTTCGAGTCTTCGTCGTTCAGCAAATCCACCCAGGTTGGATTCGAAGATATTCTGTAGGCTGATGCGGTGTAGAGATAAAGTTCTGCCAGAAACCCGACGGTATCTGAGTCTGCTCTGCTCGAGGGTAGGCTGAGGAGTTCATTGAGCAGTAACCTGGCACCTGCGAGGTGTTGCGCCATATGATTTTCATTGGGATTCGTGTTCTTTGAGTCAAGTCAGCGGAAAGTAGAACACGGTGGCAGGCACCCACCTCTGTCAAGCACAGCATCAACGTTGTCGCTAGTAAGGCTGTGACCCCGGATCGATCTCCTTGGATGTATCTCTCAACCCCCGATCGAATTTCCGAGATCGCTGTGGAATAGTGTGTCCAGATGACAGGGCTCATTTGCTTGTTGGTTCGGATCACCAAATGCTGCCCACTGAACGCGAGAACGGCATGCATCAAGCCTCGATTATCCTGGGCGATGGGTAGGATCTCGGTAACAAAAGGATTGATAGGATCTCTCCTCGTCGTCAAGCACTGGGCTGTTTCGTGGATGTAGTGTTGCAGTAATGTTCTCGACAGAGGTTCGGTCAAGATTCCGCCAAAATTGGGAATTTGAAGTTGCACAGTGTCTTTGTGAATCTGAATGTTGCAAGACAGTGGGAGGGAGATGGTGAATGGCGACGGGCAAGGCATGCTAGACTCCGGCTCAGGTTCAGTTTGTCGGCTGACTTGATCTCCCTCTGGAAATCCCCCAGAGGCGTCAGGTGTAGACATATGCCGCTCGGATGACCAGGTGCAGGCCAAACTGTTCCTCTGGCATGCAAGACAAGTCGTCTTCCTTTCATCGCACTTTTTCCTGCGCCGCCTGCAGGTCAGACAGCCTGTCTTGGTCCTGCGGATCTTGGAAGCGATCATTGAGAGACGAGCGGCGCATGCACTTTCCCAGCTTCGCACAATGTATGTGTAGAAGAATGAGTGTCTCTCTGGGCAAGATGGCCCTTACCCCGGCAGAGATGAGACGTCAACACGCTGCCAGGGACGGAACTGCCAGATACTGTAGCTGCTATCTTTCAGCCCAGCCCTGGTATCGCCCTTGTTGCGGGGTAAAGATAAGCACATCCCTCGTATTAGTGGCTCGCCAGCGCCAATGGCCGACGAAGTAAAGTGCCTGGCCGGTGCCCAGCCCAGCCCCATTTTGTGATAAAGATTAATAAGTCCTTTCACAGGCACAAGGTCTGTAAGATCGGAGGGCAATTCGCCCTTTATGACTTCTCATTCCAACCATGTAATAATGCCAACCGTTGACCAACCTGGTAATATTGAAGAACTCCAAACCTCAACGCGGGGACCTGCCTGCTTCGGATGTCGTAAGCGATCGAAGAAATGCGACCGAGCCCGCCCTGAGTGTCGCAACTGCACGGCACGAGGCCTCCGTTGCGAGGGTTACCCTCCAAAGTATAGGTTTCGCCTGGAAAACGCCATTACCCGCAAGACGCCACAAGAAGTTCTTGCAGGTCGTGCAGCGACAGCAACAGCAACAATCCTGCCGCCCTCGGAGAGCTTGCCTAACTCTTCATCTCGCGGGGAAGGAGCCCCCTGCAGGAGCACCTCAGATGACGACAGGCATAGTGCTCGTCAGGCATCGGAAGCCACCGATTGGGAACCGACTGAAAGTCCGCGAGATGAGAGGCCGAATCTTCCCAAAACCAGCAACTTGCCAGCCTTCATTGCGCCAAAGGACGAGGTACTGGCTTTACCACAATCGCAAAGGCTTCTTTCCTACTGTGAGAGATGCCACACGCATGCAAGGGCTATATTGACCTCCTGTAGACGACGAGATCGTCTGTGATGCGGTCGTCATTGTAAACGATCGGACTCTCAATCCATTCCGAGAGCACATTCTTCCCCTTGCCTATCAAAATGCGGCAGTGTTGCAGTCGATATTGTTGTTGTCTGCACATCATGAGCTGAAATGTACCACGCACGGTATAAGCACCGATGTGGCACACAACCAGGGTCTTGCCGACATGGGTGAAGCGCTTTCGAGGTCACTCCAAAGCACTTCGCCTGATGACAAGACTATCCTGGTCGTGACGTTGCACCTAGCTCTCGACGATGTGAGTGTTTCTCTGCTGAGTCAACCAGGGCAAGCCTAATCCAATGGATATGCAGATGTACGGCACCGGCGTCGCAGCTGCAGAAACAAGGGCCTACCTTTCCCAAACCAGCGCGGTATGCGAAAAGCTGGCGGCCAAGGCGAGTCTTCTAGATCCATGCGAGGCTTTCCTCGTCGCCGCTCATACATGGTATGCCATATCATATGCTCGAACGATGTCTTGTTCACATGTTCTAGGATCCGGACGTTGAGCTTGATTTTCGCCTTACCGAAAACGACCGTTACCCGCGACCCCTGCACCAAAGTGATATCTTTAGACAACCAAAACATTGACGAGCTCACGGGCTGCCCCAAGATGATCTTTTCATGGATTATAGACACTCTGTGGGACAAGTCAAGGTACTCCCGCGGCGAGATCTCCAGAGGAATGCTCCATGAAGCTCTCATGGAGCGTAGACATGTTCTCAAGACCTGGGATGTCCTAGACGGTTTTACCTCAGGGCCGAAGACAGCTTTGGAAAAGTCTTTCCAACATGCTTGCCTGCTGCTTATCTTAGGAATGCTACCTCGTCATGGCCTCGAAGGTGTCGTTGTTGATGAGAATATCGACGTGGCGGAGGAAATCATGGTGTCCATTTCCACGATACTCGACACCGCAGCGAGGATTCCCGAGAATTCGAGTTCTCACAAAAAGGTGCTGATACCGTTATGTATTGCGGGCTTCTACACCACCATCCCACACCAGCAGCACTACATTGAGCTGTCCATCCAGGAAATCGCCCAGCAGACAGGATGCAGCGACCACTTACTCTGGAAAAGCGTCGCTCAAGATCTTCACGTAAGAAGGGATGCCGGCGGGTCACTCTCAAGTACTTTCCAGTGGCAGACATCAGGGAATCCTGGACCATGTCGGTCTTCTGATGGGCAGCACTTGAGCACTCTAGACGAACAATTGTATATCACATTTTGAATGCTGCACAAAGACTCAGTCACTGAGTAGTGAGTAGTGTGTGGTGCTTTTGCTCCTGTATGGTTGCCTTCAGCATCACGTCATGCCTAGGCGGTGCTGACTTGACTAATTTAGTTAAGGTCGTAGTCTTGGGGGTGTGGTGGGCTTGGTGGGCATACTTTTACCCCAGAAATCTGGGAGGAGGGGCAACAGGTCTTGCAAGTCGTCAGTGACCTGGTGGGGAAGATATTACTGTGACCATCGCCCAATACTGCAGCAGTCTGGTACTGTAACAGTCCCTCCTCCTCCTTCCCTCCTTACACCCACGAGATACACAGTACATTATCGTCCTGTCCTGTTCCATCCCTGCGCTAAATCCGCTTGACCTCAACTCATTCAGCTCACCACCGCCACCACCATCACCACCGACCCAGGTCATTGCTACTACCATTGAGCCCTCCCAAATACCCTGACCCTCTGCCGCGATCTAGTCCTACCGTGCCCTCCCAACGTTACCCCAGATAAGTCACCTCCACAAGGGCAACCCAAGTCATCTCATCATGTCCTCACCATCATCCTGGCAAGACCGCCGCTTCATGTTCCCCGCCGGCCGCGAAGTCCACCAAGGCAGCCGTCGGTACTCAGGCAGCAAAGGCTCCGACACGGATACGACTCTCTCGCCAACGACCTTAAACACCGCTCCACCACCGCCGGCCCCGACACCGATCGCAGAGGAACCCCCAGCGACCACCACGGGTGGCATCGTCCACCCACCCTGGGAAGGAGACCGACGCTTCATGTTCCCCGCCGGAAAAGAAGTGCATCAACCCGCTGTCCGACGTGGCTCATAGTCGTCGGGCGATAAAACAACCGATGCCGCCGCCACTCCTGTCCGCACCTCAGGGTCGCCGCCCGCTTCATCAGGAGGAGGAGGAGGCATTGCCGCTGCTATCGCGGGAAGAAGACGGGTAAGCATGCATGATCACTCCTTAAACACTTTAAACAAAAGTAACTAATATATACTGATGAAACCCTCTTCCATATAGTCCTCCGTATCGAGCCAGGGCGTCTTCAGCGGCCTCATGGGCGCGCGTGGCTCGGAAAGCTATGAACAACGCCGACAGGGTTGGGAAGATATGAAGTCGCCCGGCGGCATTGGCGGATTCCTTAGCAATTGGGTCAACAAGCCGGCGGAGAAGAAGTGAGGCTACCTGGCATTATTCTTGTCATGATGAAGTGATTGGAAACGACTCCCGTACGGTCTGGAACCCATAATAAATGCTTGATGACCGTTGTCGATGAGAATGACGAAACTGAGGGAGACAAGGTGTAAAGGAAAGGCTGACGATTCAAGGTTGGGTTTCACGAACCAAGATGGCGCTCCATTGGCCTGTCCTCTAACCCTTGCTATTCACTTGCAAGCGCTAGACGGCAAGAATCCGGAGTTGCACTCTCCTTCGACATCCTCCGATGAGGTGATGGAAAGCCGGAGTCATTATTGATGGAACAGGTGGAAGAAGGAAAGCGTCGGGTTAGACCACAGTTGTCCTATCCGAGTTCTACTCTCGACTCTCCTAGGACTTTTGACCCTGCTTGAGACTGGTTTGAGTTGAGGCGATACGAGGTGAGAAGCGATACAGACCGAAACGATGCACTGGATGATAACGATACGAGCAAGGCGCCTTCTCCCGGCCAGTCTGGACCATAATAACCTTTTGTCTTCAGCTGAGGGTGCCGATAACATGGTTCTGGCAAGATACGCCATACTGGGTGAGTGGCACGTACCCATGTGAGGTTGATTCGTGATAAACGACATGCAATCAAATTCCCCATCTCAATGGGCATATCGTTTTCTCTGAATCACAGTCAAGAGGCCAGAGTTTGAGGACCAGCGAATTGCGTAGGGTGTGGAAGCGACGATAGCGAAACATTAACTTGGTTGGTTTTCCTGAAAAGCCTGATTCAATTCTACTTCGAATATCCGTGAAGAGGCTTGGGTACCCGACATAGCATAAACCCGCAGCCAGAGATGGACCACAATGTAAAACTGCACCCTCACCATAAGCATGTTTGTCCGGCAAAACAGGAGTAATGTCTCTCGCATTGCCAGCGACTCGATATCGGCTTTGCGCTGGACCAGTATTGTCGAGGACCTGCTCTAACATGCGAGCTGCCTTGGAGCAAAGCGAAACTTTGATGGTCTGTAGATATGTATTGCCCTTGCTTTTCTCATACGATCAACTCCTAAGATTACAAGGCCTGCTCTTCCCTATCTCTTCTAATGCTCGTGATGTGGTTCGCCGTGGTATTCGACAACCTTGAGTCTTCCAAGCATTTCACCCACAGTAAAGAAACCTAAAGCCTCAGCAAAGACGATGCCCACGGTGGTCAACTGTCGTGAATTGACATTTCGGACGCTGCTGAGGAATGATTCAGGGTTGACGGAGCTCGCTAGGGAGCTGACGCTTGAACCGATCGCTCGAGGATTCCGGAACATATTGATCAGAGGTTAGAAGTAGGATTGAAACTGTGATAGAGGCCTAATATCCATTAGTCACAAAACATTTAACATGACTTAGTTATACTTACGGAGGTGCTATGTTCTGTCCCTTGAAGACAATTCTCGTAAGCTCCAATCCGACGCGGGAATAGTAAACAGTAGGAGATATTAACGCTAAATCACTATTAGTTTCGTGTCTAAATCTACTGGCTGTTATCTCTCTGCCCTGTTCACGTTGCTATATATCCCAATCCCGGCAAAGAAGCCCGCACCCTCGAAGTGGCAAAGCAGCACGCCGAACAAGTCAAGGCCCACGAGCCATGGATCTCCTTGTACCGCGTGGTAGCCGGGAAAGTTATCGACGGCAAACCCGAAGCTTATTTCGTTGTTTCTCGGTTCGTGCACGTCTGTTCTGCATGTTGGGTCGAGTTCCGCTGATTGATGTCGACAGGCTGGACGACATGAGTAAGATACACACGCGCAGGGAAATGGAGCATCACCAGGTCACGCTCAAAGCGATCCAGGATGAGGATCTGCTTAGGGAGCCGCTGAAATTCTCCATCTTGGAAGATGTGACGGTGTGGATGAGATGAAGTGCTACTTGACACTAAGTAGCTTTCGCGGAATGGTGATATTTGGGGTCGGCTTCACGTAACAGCAAGGTTCCAGATGGCAATGTGCTGCCTACATGTCGATTCAAGTACTTACTCTCGAAACTTGTCCTAGAGCGGTCGTGACGTTGATTATGGCTTCAGTCCACTTCCCATGAGAGTTGTAGTTGGTTGAGACATGCCATTGTGATAATGCAATGCTGTTCCATCCTCGTTGCCGGTCACCATTGACCCGAACCGCCGAAGTAAACAATATATTTTGTCTCGTCATAACTCTACGGCATCGATTGTGAATACTCACCAAATTGACTCTGCAACCATACCCTCTTAATATTTACAAGTCTATCTCGCATCCCGGTTCAAATCACAGTACACCATCGTAGTCCGCCCAAGTCTTCATAAGGTCCCTGGGACAAGCAGCATGACTTCATCAACCATCAAACCCGCCGCGAAAAGAATCCACCAAATCATCAAACTCAAACCCGAACACTACGAAGCATACAAAGACTGCCACGCAAAGGTCTGGCCCGAAGTTCTCCAGCGTATCAAGGGTTCACATATTGAGGACTGTGTGTGACCCTCTTTAACCAAGCATCAAGCACAGATTGCACCTGCCCAGTCACAAAGCTAACTCGGGGTGTTTTGAGACTCAATATCCTACGACTCCTCAACAGGTATCCTCTTCGCCAGTTTCAAGTACACTGGCACCAATTTCGAAGAGGACATGGAAGCCGTACGCCAGGACGCCAAGACTAGAGAGTGGTGGAAGATGACGGACGGGTATCAGGAGAGTTTGAATCCGGGGGCGGTGAGTTCGGAAATGGGTGGTGTAAATGGGACGCCGGCGTGGTGGAAGGAGTTGGAGGAGGTGTTTTATATTGCTTGATCTCAACCTCGTGCTATGGGCTGGTATGACGAGATAAAGGATCAGGCAATGCACTGAGACTAAAAGCACGCATGATTGTGGCATAATGCATGATGGTAGTGGTGTTTTATGATACAATATCCAAAAACTTTTTGTTCCGCATGGAACATAACAGCTCGCCTTGCCACCACAGGGCTTCATGATAGCCTTAACCTGCTTCAATATCCAGGATTCAGGACGCCATATTTGCCGCAATCTGTCACGACATGGTTTTCGCTTTCACCAGACCACATATTCATTTCCGTGGTTTCTTCTTGTCTTTCGCGCCATGTTCCAGCTCATCCGCCTTCCTCTTGTGATTCTGGGTGTTCTCATTTTCGACAGCGACGTGATACTTGTGGGGGGATTTTGCTGGTTTCGGTCCTCCCTTCTCAATCATTGCTACTTTTCTTAGTAGGTCATATGCTAGTCCGGGACGTGCAAGGACTTGGTCAAGTGCCTCTGCCCAATCGCCAGTACTGTCCGGGTACTCACCTCCACCATGGACAGAGCACTGAGCATCACCACTAGTAGAGCCTTTTTCGTAAACCCAAGTAGAGTCTCCATCTTCATCTTCACTGCAGTTATCGGAAGACCGTGCGTAGGCATCAGGGACCTTGATAAGGTTGTAGACCAATTGATCAAGCATAAGCTTGTAAAGAGGGCAACTCTCATTAGTGAGCTCTGCCACTACTACCATATAGGTAGGGTGGAGGAACCATACTTCCCAATGTGCAGCAAGCTTGTCTACCAATGCATTTTGTAACTCTGGCATGCCATACTTGTCGGCCATCACATAAGCGCAAATACTCAGCCCAATGTCTTCGTTTGGCGTGATTTCTTGGACTTTTCCGTAGTAAAACCAGTCGGCCAGGATGTCAAAGGCGCCACATAAATCTTCAGGCAATACTATCTCGCTTGTCTCCTGCTCGAGCATCCCAGAACTTAGGCATTTTGCAAAGAAGGGACTCTTCTTCACGAGAAGACTTCGATGCAGCTTGTAGAGCTTTTTCTGCTGGCCAACAACTACGTTGACGATGGGACTGACTGTGAAACTGTATATTGTATGAGATTGATATCGCGCATCTTATAGGGAGTGATAGAGTTACCTTTCACACGTACAGCCGCTCTCGTGGCCCAAGGAGTCGTTCGCCATTTCTCTCTCGGTCTGAGATCGACTTGTGTCTGGTGAGAGATGAGCCATACAACACTGGCAGCTAGAGATTGGTATAGCTGACCGTCGAGATTAGTGAGGGGTTTGTCGATGCTGTGGTAGGTCAGCAAGAGGGCATTGTCCGAACGGTCCATGGTCCGGATAATAGCTGAAGTCAATATTAGAAGACTCTGGCTCGGGAGAGGTTTCGTGATGGACTTCGAGTTGGAAGTGAAAGCCAAGTGAAGAGAAGCTCAACCTGACCTCAAATTTGCCAATGATCATTTGAAACCGCAGTCACTTTAGTGTGCGGTAAGTCCAACAACGCCTGGATCCCAGGATATAGAATAGTGACAGAACTGTCTCGAGTAGGGGCTGTGAATGCGATATGCAAGTAAACTTGGTAACGTATGATTTTTTCATTCAGGTGTGGTGATGACTTGTTGAGGGACTCCCACCCCAATGAACCTGCGTTCTTATATCTGATTGAGGTCACATATGTGACTTGCTCTTCCCATCAGACGGCGGCTACCGGCCCTTGACCCAAAAATCACATCTAGACAGCACCAGCGCCCTGCAACAGCCCATCAAGCTGTCCCTTCTTGCTCTGCAAATCCGAGTTTCCACCAATATGCTTGTGTCCGATGAAAATGTTAGGCACGCTTCGTTGGCCGGTGATCTCCTCGAGCGCATCTTGGATCGCGGCTCCGTCATCTACATCACACACAGCAACGTCAGTCCACATCCCCATCCGTCAAGAACACACACTCATGGTGCCGGGGTACATACCAACTTCATCCAGCTCCAACAGGAAGTACTTCGCGTGCTTCTCGTTCAACAGCGACTTTGTAGCGCGGCAATAAGGGCAGTAGGACTTTGAGAAGACGACGACGGCATTGTCGTCAATGATTTGCTGGGCCTTTTGCTTTGCGGCGGACATGGCGGCGGGTGAAGTTGGAGAAGACCAAAAGGCGCGGGTGATGGTACGGAATGGGGCGAAGAGTGAGGAAGCTATGTTTGCGGTGTTGTGTTGGTATATAGGAATGAAGGAGGGGTGCGGGCGATGGAGGGTTCTATTATATGCTTGCCGACTGAAGGACGAAGTCTGATGGCAAAAAGTATTTGAATACCGAGGGGTCACTAGACGAGTATGGCGCAGCATTGACAAATCCTCATGGAGAAGTGGCCATGGGAAGCGATGATGTGATCGTCTGCTACCTAAGTTAGAACGGCGATGGATGACCTCACCAGGGTCTCGTCACGTGACATATTATTATGTCAGAGCAAGACATGTGAGACGAAGGGTTAACGATGAATGTGCTCAAAGATGTCGTTGCTTCATCAACGATGAAACTTGACACAGCCTGAGGCCTAAAAGGCTGCTATATTCCTCCCGACCGCCGTATCAAAAGGGTTCCCGGTCGGCCAGGACGAATGTTGCTGCTCTCGACCACAGCTCGGTACCTGCTGACAAGGCTGTGATGCTGGACGAAGTATCCAGTCTATCACCCATCCAAGCGGTTTTGCCTGTGTTAGCCTCTGTCCAGTCTAAAAATGCTGGTCATCTTGTCACCCTTTTCCAAGTCACTCTCATAGACCGTCCCCTTGAACAATACCATCTCTGCAAACCCTCGGCTGTGGGTTGATCCAAGCCCAATACACCATCGGCCATCCCTAATGTAGACGAATACAACAAACCAAGTCAAGCCCGCTAAAATTGCATCAACGAAAAAAGGCTCATCCTGGCACAAATGAAACAAAACGCTCTGTCGTGTACAGAAGTTCATGATCCTCCTCCTTCGGCTGCTGGTGCTTACATCACAATGCAGCACCCGCAGCTCTTGTCCTTGACTTTTTCGTCCATATCATTGTGTTGCAGTCGCCGAACTTGCGGATTGCTGGGTTGAGTCGGGGTGCTGGATATATTTCCCATTCTCGGACTTTGTATGATGGCTGGACTTGTGACTCTCGGCATCGTGCTGTAACCCCCATTCGTGCTGCCACTAGTTCCGGGTCGACCATTGGCAGAATTTCTTGCACTTGGTAATGGTCTCAATGGCCATGAAGTGTTATCCTTGCTACTGTCTGGCACAGGGGATGAAGGCGACGGCAACACTGGAGACGCCCCCTTCACAACACCGTTGCCCGTGTGAATTGCCAACGGTGAGAAATTGCGATCATATGTTGTGGGAACCTCCCCGGCATCTTCCCATTGCGCCTGTTGCTGCCGTCGAGCATGAGTTGGGATGATCTGTTCATCCGGCGGCAGCATTGGATCTGGCTTATACATGGTGGCCAGCCAGGGGGGATCCACCTCGGGTCTGTTGATGGCGGTCCGAGGTCGGTCCAAGTCCCCAGACCTGGTCCCAGGCCTTTGATTCGGTGATGGAGTTGCCATAGCTTTGGTTGTGGTGGACGATTTTCTCATGGATGCAGTCCCTGACGCCTTTCTTCCGGCAGATGTTCCAGGTGGTGATGAGGGTGCTATTTTCGGTGTAGTCTTCATAGGTGCTGGCTGCTTAAGGGAAGGTAACCTGGTATCATTTGTGATTCCAGGCGAGTCACTTTCGTCAAGCAATTGCGTACTTCCCGTGCTGCCCTTCCGCAGTCTCGTCTTCAAGACAGGCAAACCCTCCTCGGGGCTCATGGAATTGCTGACAGCGCGTTTCCTAGGCAAAGGTGTGTCTCGTTCAATCCGTTCGTGTGGTATTGGTAGTGGACTTGACGTCAAGACCGGTATTTTAGAGCCCGCCTTTCGCACCACAGGGTACGAGTAGGACTGTGGTGGTATGGGGTCGGCGGCAATCTCTTCTGGAGTGCGCAAGTCCCAATTCGATCGCTCGTCTTCCTCTTCAACGGCTTCTGGCCTGTCGTCGTCAGTCTCGTTTCTGCGAGCGTCCGGCGGACTGCGTTCCTCCCTTTGTCGGCCCTGGCTCGTATCTCTCTCTGTACTCTTGTTTGGGTTGCGCCGCGCACTGGCGAGGTTGATTCCTGCAGCTTGCAATTCTTCACTTTCAATCTTGGCCAGTTTGTCTCTGTGGATCCATCCTGGATCGTTCCGATCAGGTCGGTACATGTTCTCGGGGATGTCATTGTCGTTGTCCTTGGATTGCTCGCCAGTATTCGGACCGCTGTCGTCGCCCTTGTAAAGATCAAGCAGGCTGTCTGCCTCACTGTCACTTCGTATCAGCGGCTGTCTTTCTGTTTGACCCAGTTCCTCCACCCTGCTGTGAGTGACGCGACCGGTGCCATTAGTGTCTTTGCGGTTTGGGGCGACGCTAGATAACGGGGCGCGACTTGAGCTCGTGGCATTTTGTCGAGGGTCGGTAGGAGTTCGTTTACTTGAGATCGGGTTCTGATGCCATCATGTGTCAGTACTCGGCGCCAGCCTTTTTACGTGACGTGTAACATGTTCCAACGCACCTCTTGACTAGAAGATCCCGCCACGGCATATCCGATGCCTGAGCCGTTGACGACAGTTGTCGCTGTTCCTGCAGAAGCCACTCCTGCCATGTCCACCGCTGTCAACTTCCAGACCTTGACGGGGTTCCCCTCAGTTCAGGGTGAAAACGCCATGCATGCCGTGCCCAGTGATCAGAGCCATCCAAGTCAGGACGCGCCGATGTTCTTTTGGAGATCACTGGTAATGCCTTTCTTTCCTATCGTCTCAATCTCAGGCTACGTCCGGGGCGATGTGCAGCAGGGGGTCAGCCGCGAAGCTGGCAGAGGAGCACGCTGGGGGGCAAAGGTGTGGTACAAATCGGAGAATGCCTGCAACAACGTCGAACAAGTCGGAAGCACGTCGTCATCAACATACAATGCTAGGCGATTATGGAATGGAACAATGCAGATTCAATGAACAGGGAAGTATCGATTTGGAAAAGTATCGTGCTGAAACGTGTAGGGAGATGCAGCCATGTACTGCTGTAGATTCGGGTCCATTTTCGCTTAATGGGACTAAGTCCATATCCATGTCAACAAACCGTTTCCAGCTTGGCGAGTTTCCGGCAGTTTGGACGTTCATGAATGTACAGAAGTATCTTAGATCTTGTTCACAATTGCACATGAATACATTTATCGTCGTGTCTGGGAAAATTCATGAACAAGCGAAAAGATGATTCGTCGGCAACACAAGTTTCTTTCATTTCATTATTCATCAATTCCTCAGAGGAATGGTATAGCAAAATGTACAAATCAGCCCCATCTTCGAGGAAGGCGAGATGATATATTCGTTTCTGTCATGAGAGACCATACGCTCTTGCGTAGGTCTTTGAAATGTTGTCCTGTCGACCTGGGTTCACGGTTTCCGAACCGACCTCAGATGCAATGATATTAATGTGATCCTTCCAATATCACCCGATGCTCGTTCTGCTGCCACACCAGGTCATGCAGAGACTCCAACGCCCACAAACCGTTCTCTCCAGGCAATACACCATGTAAGCTCCGTGTCCCTAAGTGATAGTAGAGAATTGAATGTAGTCATCTCCAATATGTACGTAGAGGTTGTGCCAAAAGTCATGACAATCAACTCGGATGGCGAGGTCAAAACGTCGATATCAAACAGACAGATCCCCATGATGGCATCGTAAGGATCCCAATGCAATCAGTATGCCCCCACGCTAACAGCTGAGGGTCGTCTGGTAGTTCGATGGCCGTCACGCATACGTGGGCTATAATCGCTCTCGCGGTACTCAGCCGGGTCTCGTGAGTAGTTGGAATACTGTGGTTCCCTCCGGGGGGTAATGTGGACCTTATCCTCAGAATAAGGCCGGCTGTATCGCGAAGCCTCACGCTCGTCTGGCGACATCTCACCGAACAATTTTTCGCGGCCACTATTGTTACGTGTGACGGGAGGTGTGTCTCGCGGAGAGCGAGGCGAAGGAACGTCCTCATACCGCCCCGAACCGCTTCGTCGAACAGGAGTTGGAACGAATTCTTGCATCAAAGAAGCGCCGCGCGAAGACTGTTTGCGTCCTGAGTCAAGCGTAGGACGTTCGGGCCTCTCTCTAGGACGGTCGGACTCTCGGGGTAGTGGTTCTCTTTTGATGGCTTCTGGACTGCGGTGAAGTCCCCTGTCATACCGGGAGGGTCCGTAGTCGTCGTTGATCTTGTTCAGCCGTGGAGTCCTTGAGAGGTCCTCGTCATCCATGTCTGGGTTAACACGATATTTGGTAGAAGTAGTCGAAGGATACCGAGTTTTGCTAGGCCGTGACGGACTTTTCTCTCTCGTCTCTGGAGTGTGTGGGCTCGGACCGCTGCCATAGCCAGAGTCATGCATGTGAGTCTCTCCGTGCTTCAGATTAGAACCTTTCGCGGGTGCCGTGTCCTTCTTGGGCATCTTGAGAATCGGTGTGGTTTCCGCACGACGCAAATTAGGAGGCACCCCTTTCCGATGATCGCGATCTCTTTCTCGGTCGCGGGAGCGCGGCCGGTCCCGATCGCGTTCACGCTCACGCTCGCGTGTTGTTCCCACGCTAGACCTGGGTGCACGTTCCTCGACATGAGCATTGAGAGCGCTCGGGGAGGACGTGGACTTGGCGAAAGGCGGGGTGAAGTAATCTTCGGCCTGTGTGCGACGGCCCTTGGACGAACCAGGTCTTCGCTCACCGTCCTCGTCACTCCTCCTGCCACCGCCTCTGGCTTCTCCATTCCAATATTGGTAGGCGTCAGATCCAGTTCGTTCAAGGGCGGGGCGGTTAGCAGCCTTGGAGATGTACTTCTTGCTCTCCTGATGATGTCTTTCCCACTTTTCCTCGACACTCTCTTCGTCATAATCGCGGGATTTGGAAGTTCGTGGAGAGGACCTTCGGGCGTATTCTGCACTGGACTCGAATTGAGAGGTCGTCTTGGAGCGAGCGCTGGGTTTAGGCCTTATCTCGGGAATTTCAACTTCACTGTCACTCTCCGCATACGTCCGATATTTGTCTCTTCTATCGCGTCTCTTCTCCCGATCTGTCATCTTCTCATCTGCTTTGCTCGTCTTCGTCTTGTCCGCTTGGACCTTGGACTTTGCTCCGGCCATGGCTCTTTCCCAAGCAGCCGACGGTTTCTTTGATTTCTCGGCTGGCCTAGGAGGCGGAGCAGGCCTTCTCTCGTAATCAGTATTCTTCCGAGCATTCGGGCGTGGGATTGGCTCTTCATCGTATATGTCTCGATATTCGTATGCTGAAGCGTTTCTTGGTTGGCGGACTTCCTCGAAGAAATTTCCATCATCGCGATATTCCCTCGTAGACGTCGGGGCTGGTTGCGGAGCTGGTCGCATGGGATATGACCTGGTAGAGGAAGGTGGCGGTGGTTCTCTCATCATGGCCTCTTTCCGAAGCTCTGCTAGTCGGACACGGTCGTCATATCTCGATCTCCGTACAGGATCACTGAGGATTTCGTAGGCTTGCTGGATCTTTTGGAACTCATCTTTGCCTTTTTCCCGAAGCGCCTCGTCCTGGATTCGATCGGGGTGGAATTTGAGGGCGAGTTTTCGGTGAGCGCTGCGGATGGCTGATACATCGGCATCTTTGGACACACCCAAAGCTTGGTAGGGATCTGGAGGTAGTGGTGATGCCATGAGTGATCTCTAGTACACAGGAAAGGAAAGGAAATTGTAGGTGGCGGGTTGAGTTCGTTGTTTTGTACAGGTCAACAGGTGGTGACCGTGGCGTGCATTTCTGCTGGCCTTTCCCGGGGGTCGGACTTTGTTGGTTCGGTGGTTGGTAAAACCGCAGTTGCCAACGAACGAATTAAGTAAGATATGCTTGGAAGAATAACAACAAGTATGCAATCGTTAGGTCGTTTGACGGGTGCGGACGGACTAAGCCGCTGACGTCTGGTGTTTTATTCAAGAATTGAAGGAGGGTGATGCGGAAGAATAATGCTAAAGTACTGTGAACCTGTCACTGCAGGCCCCCAAAAAAGAACTCGTTGCGGTGACTCCGAATTCGTTTTTTGATTGCGAGGGATTATGTAACTTGGGTTACTAGGGGTTCTCTTTGTACGAGATAGGTTTTGCGGCAATTCTCAAAACTTGAGATGTGTCGGGAGAGTGAGTGGCACCAGGCCGCGGAATCATCTGGGGGTGTGTTGGCGGTGTTGGCTGTGAGATTTGATATAACCAGACACCACTGCCACAGGTACAAATGGAGAAGAAGATGCGAGGTCAGGTCAAGTCAGGCCATCCGTTGGCATACGGCAGTGGATATAACAGACTGTTGATCTCTCGGACAGTTCTTGCAAGCGACCAGCGACTGGTGGTTTTCCACCTCCCCATTCCGTGACTTTCAACTGTCACGAGTTACCGTGAGTGAGATGCCCTCCACCCAAGAGATTTCCTAACCTCGATTTGGGGGCCTGTTGAGTTTCCATTCGGGTGTGCTGGAGACTACCCGTACGACGCCTAAAAACCAGGCTGTCGTCATTTCTCGCCGCTTGCCGCATGCCGCTCTCTGGGGGCTGACGAGAACCCGTCGTAATAAATGGGGCCTCTTTAGCCCGCCCAAAAAGCAATGCAGCATTTCGCTCTAGGCACCAACCGGCGCCTACCGTACCGAGCACTTTTGCCCCCTTCTTTCCTCGTTGTTCCTGACACTTCTTTGCTTTTTGCAATGTTCTTCCGTCTTTCCGCAGACGAAACGTGGCGTGGTCGATCAGACAGACTCAAGACATGGCACCACTTCCAACATTTGTTTCATCAATTTGTTACCGATATCGACACAATTAAGCCATGATTCGTACATCTGTACGAATACTCGGATCCCAATTGATGCCTCATAGATGCACCCGCACGAGCCTCATTTGCTCTCCCCACGCAACTCATCTTTGTCTGCCAGTTGCTACCCAGCCATGTCAGCACCAATCCACATGATGGTGACCTCAGTTTCCACCTTGAGTGACAGAGTTTAAAGATAGCATAGGGAAATGTCCACCAGCCGGAGAGCGTTCCTGTCGTCACAGCCAAGCTGACTCGTATTCAATATCCTTATTTTGCGCGGGCGTTCACCAAAGAGTTCGGTTCAACTGGCGGTCTCCACCCATATCTCAACAGACCCAGCTACTTCAAGCCGCCAGGCAGAATCCAGCCTCAATTCCTTCAAAAGCCCATTGTCCCCGATCAAATACGCGCCTTGAGTTGCCTACCAGCATAGAAGTGTCACGCTTCACATCGATCAAGGTCATTTAGTGGTAGGCTGACCTCCATCTCAACATCCACATATGCAGGAGAAAGAAGTCGTCGTGCTGGAATACCAATGATCGAGATGCATGGGGATGCATGACCTGGATTCTACTCGTCCACGTCGTGCCACCACACCCATTGTCTGGCCACTGAAGCGAGGCCATCCAGAGCCGTGGAGAAGAGCCTGCATGAGTCCACTTGGGGAACGCGAGCACGGTATTGGGCCAGACCGCTCCGCTTATACCTGGCTCGGCCATAGTTTACAGGGCGCAGTCAACTTTGTTCAACACTACTATCAGACAACTTACACCAACGGGATAAAAATGATGTGATTCGAAGACCGTTTTGCACAAGGGAAGATACTCTTGGTCATTGTTCGCTTCACCCATCTGCAAAGTCAGACCCTCATGCGGCCTCGACGGTAGCTTCGACGGGGACAATGGTCTGTGCTGGCCGTATCTGCTCCACCAAAAGCCAACCGCCGGCGGACCGCCCCCAGACCCGACATCTTAGTTTGCTGTATCCACCAAAAGTCAATAACGGCACCCCTCCTGATGTTCAGATCGGTGGAGGACATTCCCGACTCGAAAGAATTCTGCACAACAAGAAAACAAGGAAGCTGGCATCCGTCTGAGGCCACTTATCAGCGTGGACAAGCTGTCTATGATGGTCAGGCCATGATGAAACGAAGAGAATGTGACCCATGATCGCATCCAACCCCGCACTATCAGGTGGCATGCAATCGAGACTATTGCTGCCCAAGACTTGGCAGGCATATCTTCTTTGTCCAATCTAGATGAACCTGGAACAGCTTCTCGAATCCTGCATATATTATTCGCGAACAAGGTTGCTACACCCAATTACCATCCACCCATCAAACGACTTGCCGCCTAGTCATTCCCAGTCTCGCACCCTTTTCGGCCCTAAAATCACACAACTAATGCATATGTTTCAGGCACAGCAAGGCATTCGTCTATAGCGACCGTGAAGATGTGACTGAACCATCAAACAAGAGATGTAACGACAGCACCGCCTGATCGAGGTGTCATTGGACACCAACAGCGGTGTTGTGGATGATGTCCTCGTTCCACATACTCTCGTGTCCAGATCCACTACTGCCATCAACGGAGACTCCAGTATCACAGAGTATATTTCGAGGGTTCGTTGTTCCCCAACCCATGTGCATCTGATTCGATAAGTAAAACGCCCGACCCAAGCCCAGGCATCTATACGTGGCGGTGCTACACAGCATTGCATGGCGAACACAGCTTGAGACACCTCAATGACGCGTGGTACAGATCTACTGTGCTACGATGAACGACATATTGTTCGAACGCAATGTATGAGGACATGTGCTTACTTGACGGGATTCGTCCCCTTCGATACCGAGGCATCTGCTGCCATGCGAGCTGCTGTCGAACTCGAAATTTTGCCGCCGTAGGCGTGGCTGAGTCGACTCGTGCATACGCTATGCACACGTCTATCACATTCGGGACAGTAGAAAGCACAACAGGGCACAGCGGCCGTGATCGCTTTCCCAAGGCCGTCAGCCGGCATATCCATACCATGCATCCCTACGCGGCCCTTTTGTGCCTCTTCAAGGAGCCAGGCAGACAATGTAGATCGGTTCGAGAAGTTCTCCGAGTACAATCTATCACCAAGGGGCAATGCCAGTCCCAATGGATGGCGGATCTCAATCACTATCCGTGGGATTCCTGATGTTAACGAATGGAAACAAAAAGTCAATATGCACCTCGCACGGGACATCTCCATAGGTTTCATCTGCACACGATCCATGACCTTTCAGTCGTGACAAGGACCCTGGTTCCACACATCCTTCTTTCGGCACGACTCGCACAATTAGCTACCATGGTTGGCTGTACTTTGGACAACCAGCCAAATATTTAGTCCCTCAGGCACCGCGCGTTGGAAGACGATCCCTCACATCATACGGATCATATCTCCTTTTCAAAGTTTTTCTCTCCAAATCGCCACCACCATTTGTCCACGAATGACGAAAGGTCTGATGTTGCTTTCTTTTTCATTGCCATATCGGTATATTCCCTTGTGGCTTCCCTTGTGGCTTTCAATTGGTCGAGACGAAACCATTCATGCAGACATTCGCCCCGGGGATGGTGGAGGGGCGGCATAGGCAACCAGCGCCATTGCCTCTTTTCCTCTTTGATACCCTTGCTCCGCAACATATGAATTTCCCCCCGCCATTCCCTGGGTTGGATCTCCGCTGGTATCAGGGGTTGTTCGGGACCACATGTAACAAAAGTGCTCGGCATCCCAGCCTCATGGCTCCAGGTTCAAGTGGGAAAACTATAACCTAAATCGACCAGAAGCGCGAGGGTACTTGTGGCCACCGCAGTGCACAGCCTTATCCAATGCGCACACCAGCAAGGACAGCTTGGACTTTCATTCTCCGAAGTGGCAAACACTGAACCTTGCACCTCTCGGCATACTGCTATGCGATGCTTCTGCAAACAATCTAGGTAAGTCTCGTCATATCGAGAAACATAAGACACGAGGAGGCGAACTACGTACTCGTATCTACGAGGCTGTGGCGGATCATTTGCGAGCGGTACGTATCCGTACCGAAGCCTGCCCTTTACACACCTGTTAAGTTTCCTCGAGTCGAAGCAATGCAAGCAAAGAAAGCAGATATCACAGCGGACTAAAGTTTTTTCAATGTCTCTTTGGTGCACATCCTCAGTGCCGGTGGCGCTCGCTGTCCAAGCTCTAGCTATCATTTCACAGCTGCATCTTGCAAGCTGCATCCCAGGGATTGGACCCAAATCCAGTATTCATAACATCGTGATCAACGCAGACAAGATGGGTGTGCTGCAAGGTGATATTGACACCCCGACCCGGACCTAGGGGTCTAGCCTTGAAATACTCGAGCCATCCATGGGATGAATGGCATGCAGTAAGGCGGAATCTCCTTCTCGTACATTTCGTATCATCCCATCTTCCAAGCTCAGTTCAGTTCGCTTCACTTCATCAACAGTTCCATCTGCTCGCGCCTCCTCTCCATCGCGGTTTGCGCCCGTTTCGACTGAGATACGTGGTCCTTAACTTCACCTATCCCAAGTGGATCGAGGTCATCGGCCCACGCTTGCATATCATCTTGTGGTGTAGCCTCTGTCTCGTTGATTTCGTGTGGTTCATCTCGAGGGACGTCGTGGACTGCGTCGTTGCCGTTCGGAGTAGTCTGCGTCATTGGGTCATCTGCAGCGTCTGCCTCAGCATTGCCAGCTTTTGCAGTCTCTGCGCCGTCTTCTGAACGCTCCGGAGGCAGCTCTGGCTTCAGATCTATCGGCATCGTATCACCGCGTCTGTCGAACTGCGCTAGTATCGGCTGGGACGTTTTGATCCTAGCCATCTGTTCCGTTGGCCATTGAGGATCCTTACCAGGACTGCCACTTAGGACGAGCGTCACAGGCGTTCCCATCGTAGCAGAGTCCTGCTCGTGCGATTTTCCAGGCGACGTCAATCCCACGGTCGCTTCGTGAGTTTCGACGCCCACAAGCACCGGCGTTCTAGCTCTAGACACTGGCATCGAGGCCTGGCCAGATCCGGTTCCGGACTGCGACTGCGACTGCGACTGCGACTGCGACTGCGACTGCGACCCAACGGACGTCCACAACTCGGTCTCACCATCACTCACACCATTAACCTGAGCTTTGGACCTGCCATTCATCTCATCATCAGTCCGTCCAAATAATTCGTTCCACCACCGCACCTCCACTGTCCTGGGAAATATCAATCTCTCTTTTCCCCGGACATTATCATCCACGACCGGGTCGTACTTCGGATTGAGAAACTCCTTCTGCCGCGACTGGAAGTAATCCCAGACACTTTTCGTGCGGTCACTCAACCTCGCTTCTTTCCGCTCCTTTTCGCTGTCCAGCAGGAACGTCCCGTACTGGCACGAATACAAATGATACAGTAAACGTCGTAGAAACCTCTCCGTGAACTCAAAACGGGTGGGATGCTGGTGCAGAAGCTGGTACGTCGCGTCGAGGAATTGGTGAAAAATCGGGGCGGTCTCTTTGACCTTTGTAATCATCTTCTCCTTCTCCTTCTTGGGATTGCCGGAGACTATCCGCCGTGCCACCTGGGATTCAGAGTCATAGTTGTTGCCAGTTGCATCGGCGTCGGACTCGACATTGATCGACTCTCGGCTGTCATTGTGTTTAGCATTCGAGAAGAAGCCCTTGGCGCTCAAGAAGGCATTCTCAAACGCCTTTTGAGCTCCGGACATGGCGCCATCTTTTCCTTCCACGTCTTCACCAGTGCCCCTACTGATCCGCTCGTTTTCGATGTGGAACCACTTCTCCGAGCTCAGAAATCCGGACCGGTGCTTAAACATGTGTCCGAAACTAAGCCAGTCTTTTTCGACGAGCACGATGAAGCCTTCCATCGTTCTGTAGTAGGGATCGAGACAAAGTTGACTCAAAGCTGACAATTGGCTTGTCCTGTCCCATCCATCGCTACAATGGATCAGGACATGGCTGTGTTGAAGTCCGACCTGTCGAGCAATCAAACCCACTCCATCAAGAACGTTGGCGATATGTTTGAGCCAGTCGCTCTTGGCTAGTAGCTCTCGATTTGGGCCTAACGGCGTCAAATCCGAGTCTTTGAGTGCTTCGATGACCTTTCCAAGACTATCTCGCATAACGTGAATGTTGTCAATTCCAAGGTACACCTTGGTGGCGAACTTGTAGTTACTCATATCCTCGGATCCCATGCCCGTGGCATGATTTGCCAAGGCGTTGATAGAAGGTCGTGCGTCGACAATCATGTTCCGTTGCTGAGCGCCGTATACCATGGCCGGTTTCTCGTTGGAATCTTGCGACTGTGACAGCTCGTCGTCGCCTCGCATTTTCGATATGACGGCATCTTCGAGCGCTTCTGGGTCGGTGCTTTGAACGTCACTTTCTAATGACGACGCAAGGTTGGACATGTTCGTGTCTTTGCTCGATCCTGAGTCTTCTCGTTCTGGCGGTGGAGAGATGAATGCTGACAAAGGCCGTTCGGCCCTGGTGGTATCGAAGATCGCCGCCAAAAGTTTCTCATCCTGAATGCTTCGATTTCCTCGCACTCCTACGAGAGGCTGCGACGAACGAGAGATTGAACAGTCGTTGACCGGGTGGAGGTACGTCAACACCGGTATCCGGGCTCTCGACCGGTAGCTTTTGGCGTAGTTCAGCGTCGCATCTGAAATCGAAGCAGGCACCGGCAACAGAGCAGGATATGTCGGCGAAAACTGTCAACTAGTCAGCCTTTTTCCCGTTTTCCAAGCACTGACCGAGGCCAACTCACCGAGTAATCCTGGTTTATGGTTGATATCCTCCACTGCTGCTTCTTGCTAAGGTCGCCGATCCCCATCCTCCGCCATTCCCGCATTGGGTCATACAACGCCCATCCCTTTGGAGAGACATCTTTTTCCGGCCCTTGTGGCTGGTACGAAAACGCATACAGCTTTTCAATCCCGCTCAATTTACAAGTCCAAGCCTTGATGCTGTCATACATGTCCCTCGCCTTCCGGTCGTCGCTGAAGTAGAAGCAGACAAAGGTGAAATCGCGACAGCGTAGACGAATAGAGCTGGGTTGACGAGATGCGGCAGGGGTTGGACGGAGAGTACATAGTTGAATGATAGGGTATGTTATCCATAGCTCGCGCGGACGGACTGGCTTGCTGTTCTCGTCGTCTGCGGGAGGATTGTGGACGAAGATGAGATGGTGAGGCGTGAGATGAAGTGTACCTGTAACGTGTTCGCCGCGACGCGAGAGTGTGACATTATCAACCTGACAGTCCCCTGTTAGTATTCTGTCTAGCAACGTCTCGGCGTTGTGTTAACACCCAACTCACCTTCGCGATACGCGTACGCTCCATCGCCGCCATTGAGCGGTGACTTGTGATCTCAAAACACACGCCACTTTCTCACGCGAAGCTAGATCATGACTAACGTCGGTCAAGAAAGAGACCACTTCATTCAACGACAGGTTGAGACAGTGTTTGTATGGTATAAGAAGTGCGAAAGATGAGACTGTAGTGGGTATCAAAGGCCAAGTGGGATGATTTGGTTGTCAGTTCAAATCTACGTCAGACCGAAAACGCCGCAGTTGCCAATGTCTTACAGGTACTAGTGCAGCCTTGTCCGGCCTTTCTTCATACTTGTCCGGTCCATGTCAGCACTTATGCCATTATTCAAGAAGATACGTGTGAGGATTGATTTACTCTTGTCTTGGAGCGAGCCAGAGACAATGTCAGCTATACTAAGACAATGGCTGGCCCGTCTGTCCATCTATCGTCCTTACACAATATGGCAGCTAATTCTCAGCCCGTTCCACCAATGTGCACACAAGCCCGTTTCATTTCGAGCCAGTCCTGTATGTCATCGCCCACCAAGCACATCCATTCATGACTATTGATACAAGTCAAGTCGACTGTTCATGTTCCATTTTTCCTGGTCACAGCAGATTCATGCAATGCACTTCCATAAACATAATTCTTCTTCCCAGAACGCCATGCTGTATTCCCAAGAAATGCTTCAATGTCCATTTCATTCAGACATTATTCCAAGTTCCATGCTCGCTACTACCCATAGGGTCGTCTTATAAAAAGTCATCAATGTTTCTCAATATTTCTGGAGCTTCCCCCTGTTGATGAGGGCTTCTTGGATCAATCCTCGTGGGTATCTGATCGTCTGTCGGGTCGGATGGCGGATCCATCACCCGCTGGAGAGGAACAAGTAGACCCTTCGAGGGCTTTGATTTGAGGCTGGGTACAGCGAGATCTCCTGCAGTGGTAATGCCGAAAGGCGAAGCCATGAATTCCGTGGCTCGTGGCGAAAAAAGTGATGGAGTTTCCGGTACATCGTGCATGGCAAGGTCCATTCGTGGTGAGCTGGTCAGAATGCCGAGATTTGTAGGCTTTGATGGAACAGATGTCGGCTGAACACTTGATGGCATATCAAAGCGTTCGCGGAATGGAAGCGGTCTGGGAGACACACTTCGAGAAGCACTGGTCGATTCAGTGGTGGGCCGCAACTCTGATTGTGCTTCCTGCTCAGTATCTTGCTGTGCAATGCCTCCTAGAATACCCTTCAACTTCACAGGTGTAGCCAGGGTATCGGCTTGATCCTCCTTCGGGAACAGAGGCACTGGAGGCAGGATCTTGTGGAGCCAAGGCTGCATCTCATCCTTCATCCCAGGTATTAACTCGGGTTTGCGCGATTCGGTGAAAGCACTAGAAGTCTCTTGCTGCGGCGCAGATTGCTGCCGCAAAGGTCTTTTGGCGACTGGAGTGTCCATGACAGGAGACGTTGATGCCTGTGACTTCCACCACGCTGGGGGAGGGAGGTAAGAGTTCTCAGCATAGACGCCTTTGACCACCTTTGACCGGAAGTCCGTCAACTGATAGATCAGACTCATGTTGGGTCCAACCCATTGGCTCCTCTGCTTGACACTCATGTACATGGAATGAAAATCAGGTTGGTAGCCCTTGTACAGGCCATAAGCAATCACCAACGAAGCTGATCGGGACACACCCAGCTGACAGTGTATCAGGACCTTTTTGCCGGCCTGGACTCGTTCATCGATGATCCGACATAATGAGTATAGATCCTCTAATATCTCGGAGTTATGATCCCAAGGTATATGCAGGTACTCGGGTTGTTTCTTCTGATTGAAATCGCCGGGCTTCGGTGTGGTGGGTGTTGGCGTCTCCCCTGCTCGTGGCCACTCCCAAGCAGACTTGAAAGACATTTCCGAGATGGCAGTTTGTGGTTCTGACACCGCCGGTTCCACAATGATAGTTTCAAATGGCGTTTTGATTTCCTTGGCCACGTTGATGACAGTATCAAAATTACTGGCCTCTTCAGCAGTCGGCTCGAGATACAAGTACACACCGCTGTCATATATCAGCACAGGGCCTTTAGGATACCCTTTCTCCTGTGTCTCTTGTGACCTCTGTGGGCGAAACTCGTCTTCCTCTTTCAATTCCGGAAGTGCGCCGTTAGCAGAATGACTCGAACTGCTAGAATCAGAGCCAGATCCGGAGTGCAAATCTCCATTTGGGGGCAAACGAAGGAATAACCCTTGTGGAGGAGGTTTGGCGGGAGATGCTAGCGCAGCGAGAGCGGGTGAAGACTGCATGTGGTGCAATGATGGTCTCGAGCTGGGTGTTGGAGGCACATCCAGTGCTCGAGGAAACGACAGCTGCTGGAAGCCAGGGGTTCTGATGGTGAGGTTGGCGGGCTTCCTTCGTCCTGTTCTGGGAGTATCTTTCAACGGTGAGGTGGGAGCAGAGAAAGCATGCGAGATCTCGAGACCTTTCCCTGTCGCCGGACGAGGTAGGACTACGGCATTGATGTTAAGTGAAAGATTCTTGAGATTCTTGGGAGACTCGATAGGGCCCGTCGGCTCCGCTGAGTTGTCGGTTGAGGTTTCAAAAGGTTTGGAATTTTGTTGTTGTCGGTCTGAAGGCAAGACCTCAGCATGAGATGCCATTATGTTCCTGAAAGGTGATGTCGAAGGAAGAGATGTCGCGGATTCTGGTGAAGAGGACGGTGAAGGGTCTGACAACAGTGGGGAGTCAAAGGTGGAATTTGTAGTTGTAGGTGATGATTCAGTCGAGGCAGTCGTTATCGAGGTGACACTGTCTCGATGGTGTAAGGACTGTGTAGGTGGCTGCAGTGTTCTAGAGGGAGGTTTGGCGTCTGTGACTAGTATCTGTGTATCGCTTTGTATCGAATCTGGCATGGGAATCTCGTCCATATCCTTCGTAATGCGCCCGTCGCTCTCCCCAACAATTGACATCAGAGATGGGAAAGGTGTAGACATGATCGCGCCGACCCCGATCGGCATACTCGAGTATTTGATCAGCGGAGGTCGTCTCTTGTTGGAATCGGGGCGGAGGCGATCTATCGACGAGGCTGAGGCCGTGTGATCATGGCGGCGCGGGCGTTGCAAGGCAGTCAGGTGCGGGTTTTCGTTGACAACGTCAAAGGATCTTTTGCGCCGATGTGTGTCAGCAGTACTTCTTGATTGAGGCAGCATTGTTCTGGCTTGCGATACAGGACGATTGCACGCCTGTCGCCATGGAGCACATCCAAGGCGTTGCGAGTGGGAGGACAAAGGAAAAGAGGTCTCGGAATCCACGCACCAAGATCAAAACAAACCAGAACAGAGATGCCGCAGCGCATGCGACAAAGACGAGGTGATGCCTGCTCGAGGGGCTCCTCTCGCAGTTTCAGATAAGTTATGGCGCGTATCCAAGGTGCGGCGCAGTAAAGTCGCCTGAGGCTTTCGTCCGACCCAATGCTCCACCACTGGAGTATTGCGAGGTAACACGGATTTTGGAATATCGAATTCGATGCGAAGGGTACCCTGCTCTTGCGAGAGCTTGCGCACAGGCTGGAGTATGAACTCTATATCGTGTCTAGTAGGAGAAGTCGTAGAGAAGAGTCGGTCGCGGCGGTGGCAGCGCAGATGAAGGTAAGGTCTGGTTTGCAGGCTCGAGGGATTCGAGTGGGAATGCGGAGTGGGCTCTTAGGGTCAAATGAAAATGGATCGAGAGGCGCGGGATATTGCGCAATGAGAAGAGCGCCAGAGGGAATACAGTATGAAAGCAAAGACGGTGTGTGCCAGTGTCCAGGTGTATCCTGGACTGGACTCTGCGTGTAACAGAATAGAGAAATTGAGTAAGTAGTAGGAGTGCAAATAATGGATCAATGTTCCTTCGCAGCGTCTCCCTCCCTGGGCCTCCCCTTGGGCGCTTTGACAGAAGTGCAAGTGCCTGGGGGTGGTATTGGTTGCTGGGCCTTTCTGGGGGGCTTCATCTGTGGGATGCGATTGGTGACAGGCCTGAAGTCGCCTACCGATTCTGAAACCATGCCAATGCTGCTATAAATAAGCCTTCAACGCTGGACAAGGACAAATTTGCCGCGCGCATCCATCCACCAGATCGACGGGGACTGGGCCCGAGGCGGCCATGGACCAGACCATCAGACGAACCCAACCACTACCACCATTTCCTTTCAGCCATATCATCAATGCAATGCTGACTGTTGCAGATGACAAAAACTGAAGTCGATATCTGAGTACGGTCGACTTGACCATTTTCCTGCTTATACAAGATTACCTGTACATGCAGATCAGCATGTCAGAGATGAATGGGAAAGTGCCCCCAAATTGGATCGCGTTTCAGATTGCTACACCAAGTCGACACGTCAGTCCGTGCGCCACTCAAGGCACAGGCAGTCAAATAAAGACTTCTGGCCGCCCACGGACGGACAGCCCAGAAGAACAATCAAGCCATGTTCCCAGCCACAAGCGTTTTCGTACACCACACTACCTTATTACACATCTTCGGTTCCTCCGAGTTCATGGGTGGGTGAGATCTGTTAAGATGAACACATATCGTCTCCTCTGGCATTCTCACCATGATTACACTTGTCTGGCACAATGTCACATGAAACCACAAGACGCACAATTTCTGACCGACAAAAATGTTATTCATTGCCCATAAAAGGGCTGAGTGGTATCAAGTATTGTGAACTGTCTGCAGTAGGAAGCCCCTGGCAACTGCTGTACTGTGACTGAGGGATCCTTCCATCCATCAAAAAGGTATCCAAGAATAAGTCATCCATCACTCGGCTCGCAGTAGGCCGTACCCGCACATTGAACGCCGGAACTTTTGTTGGAGGTGCGAGGTGTCATCCTCAACGCATGACCTGTGGTACGCCTTGCCCAAATCCCCCTAAATTATGATGCGGCCCAGTGTCGAAACGATGGTGATGATGATGATGATGATGATGATACCGCGAGGCTGAACCCTTATGTACTGGAAAAATCCCGCTTCGCCTGGCCATGGCGATGTCGTGAATGTGGAGAGAAGATGTGAAGATGAACAGAGAAGGAAACCCATGAATTATCCACTATGCGCCGTGTCCGCTATGCTTTCGTTGCGAGTGCCCCGTCCTCTTCAATATTTCCGTGCGTCAGCCCTGTTCTTGACGTATAACTCTCAAATACCCGTCCTCTGCTTGTTCACTTTGTTCCGAGCATTGACGGCGGCGGAGTAATGACTGAAGGAGAAATTTGACCAATCTCGATAATCTCGGGTAGGACTCGACACCTCGACCACCTTGGTCAGCTTCTTCTGAGGCTTGTCGTACGTGAAGATATCCTCAAAGTCGAAGTCCTGTGACGACAGGTCCAGGGAGTCGAAGTTGGCCTTGTTCATCAACTCCCTCTCCACATCCGAGAAAGATATATCAAAACTGGCTGTCCGGGCATAGGGCACCAGTTGGACTTTGGGAGCCAGCCCAGGAGACACGGGTGCGGATGACTTGGTGGACATATAGGAGTACTTCCGCTCGGCGGATGATCGACCGGAGTCTGAATCCACGGACCGGGGGCTATAAGCAGCAGGTTCGGAGACTTGTTTGTCGTACGAAGGCATGGACGATGGACGATGGCTTTGTCTGGAAGGATTGAGGCTTGGACAACGACCGAATGAGCAGTCGAAGACGAAGTTGATGTGTCGAGAACGTTGAACTCTGAGTCACACAGAGGTTGCGTGATTTTATGTATTCTTTCGATGATGAGAATGTCGTAACCTGGTCGTGCTCAGTTGTGCACCCAGAGGTACATAAGCAGAGGTTCCCTTTGATGTCAGTGATGTTTCGGATTGTGCTGTGACCTCTGATTCGGTCGTGCACGCGTCCTCCCGGTCTTACGTGTACAACGGTTCCTTGTATGAGCAGGATATTTCGAAGGCACTGTGGGAATCTCGATTGCTTATATCGTGGCAGAAGGGTAAGGGCAGGGAAACACACATGCCATCTCTATTGGTGATGGCGACATCGCACGGGGCGAATAAAGTTAAGGTACTCACTGCGGGTTAAGGTGCTCATTGCTCTTATTGCCCAAACATGATGGCAGATGGCGTCTTCCTGGAGTGTTCCCACCTGGCACAACTAGGCAGGGCAACACACACCTGGCAAGACTGGCAAATATGCCAGCCGCGGACCACAGAAAATGCGTGATTCCGCAACGACTTGCGTGGTTGTTAGTCATTGGAATCCTCCGGATGCTTGCGGTGGAATGATGTAGATGCATAACTGGATGGTGGAGAAGGACAAGACGCAGTGTTGGCCTCTTGATGTGGAAAATTTCGACAGCACGTGGTTTAGGCCTCTGGCGCCATAAGGGGACTTTTACGAGGAATATGGCATCAAATCACCGCAGACAGCCGCCATGGCCCGTCATCTACTAATCAGCATTCAGCATGTAGGGAACACATAAAAAAGGAGGACAAGCGTGAAGACCTCAACACCATACACATCATCGGACACGGACACGCGTGCGAGACCGCTTTTTCTGTATATTTTGGTCCAGTCCAGACGACTCCGTACGTGTCGGCAAGTCTCCTTTTCGCGTCAACACCTGCGAGTACTACTCTTCGGGAGGATGTCTCAATCCAATGTCCTCCTAATGACTCACAAGTTGTATACACATACATATGATACAAGGGCTGCTGGGATTGGCGTCATCACGAACCCGAGCTTTGTCCTGAATCTTGCCTACCAAACGCCATATTATCCAATTCTTGGTCCGATGGTGCAATGTCTCTAGGTGACTCCATACTATCTCTCATGTTCACATTATTGCGCTCTGCCTTGACTGCTCGTAATCGACTGCTGACACTGCTGATTCTGCTCGCGAATCCCATGCTTCTTCGTGAGTTGGACGGACGTAATGACCCCTGACTCTCGGGAGTTGCTTCGATAGGACTGGACGTGGCAGCAGGAATGATCGAGATCCGACCCCAATGTTCTTTTGGCGTCACTGGTGTCCGTTCGTGCGTGCCCATATTGCTGGCTGGCGACGTGTGTTTACGTCGTGATACAAAATTCGTGCTCACATTCGAAGGCATGGAGCTCCTGGTCGCATTGCTTGGCTCATGTGGCGAATGCCTCGGGTGTTGTGGCAGTGGGTGTTGAGCGGTGTAATCTCTGGAATATGCGGCTGGGTCTCTGACCAGGAGCCGGTGCGTGCCCAGCTCGGTCATGGCTCGACTCAAGGGCCGCGCCGAAGGACTAGCAACCTCTTCATCAGTAGTCCCATCTAATTGTCCTGGTATTCTGCGTTTGCGCGTCAACGTGGATGTGCGCCCTAATCTGGACGAAGACGTTGTCTGAATTTGCGGCAAAGCCGTGGGCGACGACTCCTGACCGCTTCCAGGCGTCGCCACATGTGTGCTGAACGTGGTACCAAGCCCAATGCTGGTTCGTCGGTTATCAAGCCGTGACTGCACTCTTGAGCTCACTGGAGGACGATCACTGGTCTCGTTGCTGTACCGACGACTGCGCAGACCTACGGAGGACGAAGCGTAAGCATCTCTACTGACCGGTCGAGCGGCAGATGATGGTGCTTGTTTGCTGTCAGCGAGCATCGCAATAACCAGCTCTGTGAGACTTCTGCACATGCTTTCCGTGCGCCTACGGACCTGCCGTTCGGATAACGAGGATCCACCAACAGTACTGCCAGTATACCCTTCGGGGCTCATCATCACGGAGAGCTGCAAGGCATCATGCGCAGTAGCCTGCAATTTCTGGTAGAGATCATTACTGACCACTGCTTTGGCAGTGCCGAGAGCCTCGTGTAAATTAGGATGAATTGTGGATGGAATGCCTTCAATGGCGGACTGCAGTTGGACAGTTGCCGGCTTGTGTCTCGGAGAGGATGAGAGAGTCGTTGCTGCTGTTGTTGCAGTCTTCGGTCTATCAGATGTAGCCATTGCCGCAGCAGAGGACGGCGGAAGCTTTCCAGTCAGCTCTAATTTGCGGATCCTCGACTTCAGATCGTCCAATTCGTCAAAAATAGTCGAAGGAGCAGTCGTAGAGATCGTGGACTCGGTTGCATTATGTTCCAACGGCGGTCTTGTTCGTTCGGTGAAGCCAGCTTCTGACACTAAGCGACTGTTGCGGGTTGTACTCGGTCGCTGCGAATGTCGAGCAGTTTCGGCAGGATTGTTCGTATTTGTATTTGAGTAGCGTCTTGAAAGCGCTGCTCGAGGCAGATCGCCATTGCGAATACTTCGACTGTCTTGCTGGAGACCAGCATCTCCGGCTCGTAGCGTGTGTATTGTGTCTTGCGTATATGCGCGTGACAACGCTCCAGGCACATGCCCACCAAGTGATGCCCGCTTGCTGTAGTATCTCAAAGCCTCTGAGCGGCCAGATACACTCGCCGTATCAAATCTGTCCTGAACAGGCGATGATTTGGTGTAACTCGTAGCTGGTCGAGCACCGGAAAAGAAGGGTAGAGAAATCCGAGATCGTCTTTTGTCTATTCGCGAAGGTGGCTGACCGACTTGCGAGGCGTCTGTCTTTGCGATATTCAAGAACAAATCCTCGCTCTTCCGCTCATCGCTACTTGAGCCCTTACTCTCCTCGTCGGTAGGCAATGACAAGTTTCTATCGTCATCTGGGCTTTCCTGTTCCGCGTAGATGCGACTCGAGGCCATGGCTGGCAGTTTTCCCACGGTGGGCGAGTGCAAGCTATTTGAACTCTGTGTATCCGGAGTCGTGTCTGCAGTTTCGGGGCTGGAGGCCTCCACAGTGTTGGCCTCGTCTGCCGACGACTCGGTACTCGAGGGAAGGGAAGTTTCGTGCTCTAAGGGCGCAGTCTGGTTAGGTAGTCGTTGGAAATCTTGTATCGGGTCATTGAATCTATTCGAAGACGCGTCGTGTGTGTTACTGCTTGTTCCTTTCTGACCAGGCTCCAGGTAAAGATGTCTTATTTTATCCTCGGATCGAGTTCTTTGAGTGCTGTACGAAGGAGGCGGTCCGCAGGTTGTTTCAACGCCGTGACTGCTGTGCGACTCAGGAGGCCTTTTGTGCGAGGGAGATCGTTGTAACGGAAGAGAGTCGGTGCGTTGCAGGGGTGTCGGAGGCTGGCTGACAACGTTCGTGATAGGGAGAGGACTGAGGGCGCCGAGGGTGTTGTTCGAGGAAGGTACGCTGGAGACTTTGGTGATGGCTGGCGACTTTGACATGCCAGTGTTCAGTGAATTTTCCTGCGTTCTGACGTCGAGGGCCGTCGTGATCAATTTGGGCTTTTTCCGGAGTGGTGGACGCCAGGATGTCAAACCGTCTTTGACAGGCGGATGGCTATCGATGATGCGCACGTTGTAGCGATGCGGGTCGCCCGAACGCGTTGGCAATGCATCCGACGTGTAAGCAGCAGGATCATGCCGGTCCGAGGCTGAGTATGGAAAAGAATAGTATGGGAAAACAGTCCTGTTGGCCGCTGAGATGGGATGTGGGAGGACGCGATTCGGAGATGGAGGTGAAGACCAGATCCTCGACGTGTCTTCCATGTGCAGTGGCTAAACACTCAGGACCACGACCCCTTGCTAGTCACTTCTCGCTTGCCAATGGTGAGGTATTGGCTTCCAAAGGCGACCAGTACACCTATACTCCTCTTGTTCAAAAGGTCGAGTACACGATAGTATCCTCAATGCTTCGACTACGAGGACGCAGAGAATGAAGTCTACATTGCGTTATGGATCCTTCATCCTCATAATTAATCCACTAATGGCTGATGTGGTTCTGGTCTGTGTGATCTGCTTCTCCTCCCGTCCTTAGCAACTAAAAAGCTCGGGAAGAAATGTGATGCCCACAGCCATATACGCCCTGTGGCCGGGTATGATGTTCCCCGGACGGTGTGCTGCTCGTTTCCTGTGACCCCTCCGGCTTCAAGCATCGAAACTCATGAAGAGGGGAGGGTTAACATGTTGAACGATTCGACTCGTCAAAAAGAAGCAACTTCAACGTTACTCGTAAAAAGAGTTGTTTCATTCACCTCGAAGCACTACGCTATGCCTACGCAAGCGAAGCGCAGTTGATGAGGAGCAACTCTGATGCTTAGTGACCCCTATCGCTGCAGGGCTCCCTAGGCCCGCTTCACTGTTGAATGCAGATCCAAGATCATCACTTCTATGGGTTTTCACTGTCTGACACCATTGAAGAGTCTCCAGGCTGATGGTGTCCGAGTGTGGTCTCTGAGTCTCCCATAGAGTTACCAGTGTGCCTTGCTGCGATTGCCAATCGCCCAGCAGAGGGGCATTCGCAAGTCCAATGCCTACCTAAGTTAGGTAGGTAACCTCAACGGTGGCTGCACCGGGACTTTCGGGGTATGCGCAACTAAAAAATGTCCTAATGCAAGGGCCCAAGGCTAGCCCTGATGATCATTCACTCGTACACCGATGCATCGATTTGCGTTAGCCTAGCTACACTATTCCTATGCTGACTTCACGCACAAAGTGGAACAAGATCAAAGTTCTAGCTTGGGAAGTATCAAAGATATAGGTAAAGATGCTCTTGGGGAGGCAACCGCCATCCGCAGGTGGCCTCAACCACAGGCAGCAACGCGGACGTGACTCCTCGGTCAACGACCTGAACTCACTCAACTCGATGTCAGGCATCTTCTTCTCCATTTACACACCATCATTACAGACACAACAATGATGCCGACTAGGCGTACGCGAATAGTTTGCATCTCTGATACGCACAACCAGACGCCAAAACTGCCTGCTGGCGACATTCTCATCCACGCAGGAGATCTCACAAATCAGGGCACCTACTCGGAACTTAGGAAGGCGACCAAGTGGTTACAGCAGGCAGACTTCAAGGTCAAGATCGTCATCTGCGGGAACCACGATGTCACTTGCGACATTCCCTTCTACCAAGAACATGGGAAGTATTTCCATAACCAAGACCTGGAAGATCCTCAGCAATGCATTGCTCTCCTCCAGTCAGATCCTTCTGTTGTCTACCTGAAGCACAAATCAAAGCATATCCGCTTTACTCGTGAAGATGGTGCTGTGACCTCTTTGAAAGTGTTCGGGTCTCCATACTCACCTGCAAGAGGATTGTGGGCCTTTGGATATGCACCAGAAGAAGCATTGGGGCTCTGGGACAAAATACCCCTCGACTCAGACATTGTGGTCACTCATACTCCGGCCAAATTTCACCGCGATGAATGTAGCGAGCGCGGAACCGCTGGCTGCGAAGTACTTCGGGAGACACTATGGCGAGTCCGCCCTCGGTTGTTTGTTTGCGGACATGTACATGAGGCTTACGGGGTTGAGGTTGTGGAGTGGGACTTATCGTCCCTAAATGTCGGCTTCAAAGAGGCAGAAGTCCGGTATTGGGATGACCCTCAGGCTTCAACGAAGAAGCAATACACCGTTGACATATCTTCGAGGGCAAGGTCCGTGGCTCTACGAAACGATGGCAGCGTTGGAGATCTGGTCGGTACCGGACAGCTTCCCCGTGTTCGTGGCATTGAGGTTGATGGTCCCGCGGATGATGTGCTACATGTTCCTGAAGGGAGGAAAGCTACGCTGCCGAACCCCCCAGAGCCCTGCCAACCACCTTTCCGCGACTTTGAGAAGGCACAGATTCCTATATCTGCAGAACCGGAACGTATCCATATCAAGCAACTCGCAACTCGGGGGCACGGCGGTCTGGCCTCGAGTGCTCGCTCTGACCAAGAAGCAATTTCCGGGCGGGAAGGAAGGATCGAAAGCTGTATTGTGAATGCAGCTTACATGGCGAACAATTGGCCTCACAAAGCTGGAAAGAGATTCCACAAGCCTATCGTTATTGATCTTGAATTGAGTACAGAACCTCCACCTTCGCCACAAGCTAGAGATTGAAGGCTCTCACCATGCCTGGCAAGCAGGCGATTATCTCAATGAGAGGACTTCCACCCTATATCTCCTCGACTCCGCACCATTCCGCAATGAACAGTGCAATTGCTGTTGTCGTTCTTTTCAAGCTTTCGATGCTTACCCACTCATCAACACCATGGATGTTCCCCGACACATTTCCGTACACCAATGCTGGAATTCGGTCGTATAAGGTGTGAATCCGGGCATCAAGATAAGCAGTCGATGTCTGATACTCGAGCTCCTGCCCGGTCACCTTCTGGTGTGCCTTGCGGAGGAGTTCTTCAGCCTCGGTGCCCGGCTCGAGCACATAACCCCTGCAGTTGTGTCAGGAAGATGTCTGATTAACGAAAACGGCCAATTATAACGCGTTTTCATACTTGGACCACCGTGAAGCGCAGGGAGACTTACTCAGAGAAGAAACCATTCCACGTCAACTTCGGAGTATTCTTGCTTAGGAACGCATCTGCACTCGCAAAGTCTGCCACCTTCTTCTCTATCTCATCTGCAGCCGATTTTGCACTGACACCAGGAGCGATTGCGATGCGACAATCGAATCGGCACCAGGAGGGAACTGAGCTTGCCCAATCGCCGCCGTTCACAATAGCAACATTCAAGTCTATGAGAATGGTGTTAGTCAATTGTGACTGTCTTGACTGCTCGACACTGGCGTGGGAGAAGGGGGAAACTTACTTAGAGGATGGGGTTCCTTCTCGAAGTATAATTTTCCAATGTTTCTCTTGTTCCAGTCTTCCTCCAACTCTCTCAACGTACCAACAACCTTCCAACAAGCATCAATGGCGTTGACTCCATTGGCCATCTCTCTCACGTGCGTTGGTCGCCCGCGGACCTCGACCTGGAACCATAAAACACCCACATTTGCCCGCACCAACTTCTCCTGAACCGGCTCTGGTATCAGAACAGCGTCGGCCTTGTATCCTTTCAGATGCGTCATCAGTGTCCCGTTGCCCGTGGATTCTTCCTCCACGACGGACTCGATGATGACTTCTGCGGCGGGCTGGAGCCCGGCTTGATGCAATGCACTCATTGCCCACAGCATCGACGCATGGCCTCCTTTCATGTCACCACCACCTCTACCGTAAATGCGATCTCCCTCAATATGGCCGCTGTACGGATCCCGAGCCCACATATCGACCGGTCCAGTCGGAACCACATCGATATGCCCATTCAAGATCAAGCTCTTCCCTTTCGTTGTCTTCGGTTTGTGCACGCCAACCACAATCGGCGCCCGGGAGTGTGTGGGGCTGAACTTGCCTGCCCCAACGTGAGCCGCGAGTGCTTCCTCGTCCATCTCGAATTTGACCGGATTCCACCCTTTGTCGGCAAATTGCTGAAAAATGAACTCTTGGATCTCCGTCTCGTCGCCTCGCTGCCCCCCAAATTGGATCAGCTTCTGGGTGTATGCGACTTGCTGATCGAAGCCATCCGATACGGATTTGGTGATAGCCTCGACTATGTCACTTGATAGTTCTGGCATCGTGAGATTGGGTTTCCTTCGACGGCTGTGTTAGATTCCTTTCGAATCCGAGTGATCCCTCTGGCGAGCTCAGCAATACCAGAAGATCAAAACAGGAACTCAAAGCCTACACCTCTGAATGAGACGATCAATTGGGTTTATATCATTTCGTCGGCATCCAGGTCCGTCTCCGCACGGGCATCTCCATGCCAATCCTCCACCTTTTAGGTTTGTCAAGGCCGGTCAACGGGCGCTTGTGTTGCTGATTCGTCGACACCCTGCCTTCTCAATGGGGCAGAGAAGCTATCAATTATCTGTGTGAGAAGAATGCAGACCATAGCCGTTGGATTACGGGTGATGAGGAACGTAGAATGGTATCTCGAGTCAATATATATCGTGTCGATGCTTAGATGAGACTTTCGCATCATATTAAAAGACATGGGCACACCCGTAATATCAATCCGAAGCCCGATACGCCTGTCGCAATGCATTCTCCCAGAGTCACTCACTGACCCTGTGCCACAATCACATTGGCCCAGAATTGTGTTTATCACAAACTTGGCCTCGATCGGAGTAGAAACCTGCTTGATGGATATGCGTCGCTTTCCCAGTCTTCTCGTCAAAGAGATTGAAGCCAAAGTTGGCGGCGTGCGGTGGCGTGTACAGATGTAGCGACACCGCGACTTCGCTCGACGATGGGTTGAAGACTTTATGCAGGCCAATCTTATCGGAGACATACGTGACTTGATTCTCACTGTATGTGCTCTCTCTGACTGGTTGTGGAGGCGTCGAACTTCTCTGCGTCTCTGTCTCCACCTCCACTTGGGTCTCTGACGGCATGGCGTATAAGGTCTCCCTGAGCGTTCCTTTGAGGATCTTCATTACACAGTGGGCGTTGGCGTGGTCGTGGATCGGGCTGCCTTTGCCGGGATTCCATACAATGACCAAAAGATTGGATTTGGAATTACCCTCGTCGACGAGATTGCGTGTGTAGTTTCGGCTGGGGTCGGCGAAGGCATATTGGTGCCATTGACTTTCATCGGAGATGTATCTTTCCATTAGGCGGATTAGGTCGTTTTCGTCGACGTCGTCTGAGTTGATGCCCGAGGATGGGCCTAGGAGGTCGGACAGAGACCGGATGAGATGGTGGAAGTCATCGGATCGGTCGATTGAGTGAATCTTGGCCTGGTGCTGGGCTGGATAGTGCTCGGGACGGAGGTGTCGCTCGACGATGTGCGGCGATTGTTGGTGGGATATCATTTCGGCGTAAGACGGGGAGATAGGTGTTTGAAAGGCCGAAGTAGGAGTTTGAGGTTGTTGGAGTAGAAGATCGAGAGAGTATTTGAAAAGGATGGTATGAAGGTCAATCAAGCGATACGTGACACGAAGTCTGCGGGTCTTCCCAGAGTGCCAATATAAATTGACCACGCCCTTCGATGGCGGTGTACGTGTACACCTGATCTTATCACAAGGATGCAGTTTCTGGAAAATAACTTGCGAGGTGGTGAAGTTAAGAATCCTCCAATCACCACACTATTGCCTACGTAAAGAAATGGTCGTATTGACTCACGGATTGGACAATGAAGCCTGGTGTACTGCTAGTGTTGATATAAGATCCTTGATCTGATCGGGCTTCTCGGAGTCGGGGATCAAAGAAGAATTGTATATCTTGAGATTCTTGACCTCGACGCGTACGTGAGTGGTCTGACTTGCGGCTCAGGTAGTGTTCCATAGATAAGGACAACAATCAATGCGATGTCTTAACTAGTATCCTCGATGGCGAAGCGTAAACGTGCTCATCAGCGTCGTAGTATTGTACTAGAACAGATTTTTCCAGCCTGATGGAGCCTCAGGGCACAAATAGTGAGAAGTTATGGCCTGCACGCGCCACGCAATGCCACCTTAGCGAGTCTTTAGCTTCGTTTTGAGCCTTAAATAAAGGCTCTCCAGGCACCCTGGACTTGGTCACGGGACTTGGATCCAGGTTTGACCATCACCAAGGCGAGTCCAGCAAATTAGGCTAACGGCTCCCCTCGCGTTTAGGTGCCCAACGTCCCTGAAGCACTCAGGACCGGCTTTCCCCTGCGGCGATGACATTCATCAGGCTTTCCACTCCGTACCTTGCCTCTGGCAATGCGGGGCAAATCTTTCTCACAACTTTTCTCGACAACACTCGCCTGCAACGCCCATCATCATCATTGATTATCCCAACACACCGGCGCCATTACCAGTCCTCCGTCACACAAACTATCACAAAGGCTGGTTACACAACGGCAAACATAGTCGACGTACCTCTCACTCTCCGAGTCATCCCCCTAACCGATCCCCAGGGAAGGTTGTCTCGACCACAACCACAGCCACGGAAAATCGAGATAATCCAGGGCCAAATCCACCAGATTTTCCCTTCGCCTAACCGTCCCGTCCTTCTCCTCTCCTCATATTCATTTCTCCCAACTCGGTAACTACCCCCTTCGGACAAGATGGCGACCACCGTGGACAAGATCAAGGACATTGAGGCCGAAATGGCCAAAACTCAAAAGAACAAAGCCACATCGTTCCATCTTGGTCAACTCAAGGCAAAATTGGCCAAATTGAAGAGAGAGCTGTTGACGCCCACGTCATCCGGCGGAGGCGGTGGCAGTGGCTTCGATGTTGCAAGGACCGGTGTCGCTTCGGTGGGGTTCATTGGGTTCCCTTCCGTGGGCAAGTCCACCCTCATGAGTCGCTTGACAGGCCAGCACTCCGAGGTCGCAGCCTACGAATTTACTACGCTCACGACCGTGCCTGGTCAAGTCATGTATAACGGCGCCGCCATTCAGATGCTGGATCTGCCCGGTATCATTCAGGGAGCCAAAGACGGCAAAGGTCGTGGTCGTCAAGTCATTGCCGTTGCCAAAACGTGTCATTTGATATTCATCGTCCTTGACGTGAACAAGCCACTCACAGACAAACGTGTTATCGAGAACGAGCTGGAGGGCTTTGGCATTCGCATCAACAAAGAGCCGCCGAATATCGTGTTTAAGAAGAAAGACAAGGGCGGCTTGAACATCACCAGTACCGTCCCTCTCTCTCATATCGATCATGACGAGATCAAAGCCGTCATGAACGAATACAAGATATCATCGGCCGATATCGCCATTCGATGCGATGCCACCATTGACGATCTGATCGATATACTTGAGGCCAAAAGCAGAAGTTACATACCAGTCATATATGCCCTCAACAAAATCGACGCTATCTCTATCGAGGAATTGGACCTGCTTTATCGTATCCCCAATGCTTGTCCAATCAGCTCTGAACACGGTTGGAACATTGATGAACTGCTTGAGCAGATGTGGGAAAAGCTGCAACTCAGACGTGTATACACCAAGCCCAAAGGAAAGCAACCAGACTACAGCGCCCCCGTGGTCCTCAGAAGGAACGCATCCACCGTGGAAGACTTCGTAAGTCGATGTGTTTGGCCTTTTGCTTATGCAACCTTGCTAACATCCCTCTCAGTGCAACCAAATCCACAAGAGCATCGTCGAACAATTCAAAGGGGCCATCGTTTATGGTCGCTCTGTTAAGCATCAACCGCAGAGGGTCGGCCTATCCCACGAATTGGCAGACGAAGACATCGTCACCATCATCAAAAAGTGATAGATCCAACTGATGCTCTGCACCTTTTGCGGACAAGGACACGGCAATTCGCAAAGTCCAGAACCTATCATCGCCGTCGACTGCATCGCTCGAATCGATTGAAGCACGCTCAAGGTTTCAATCCGTTGCATGCCGGACCCGTTTTCGGCTCAATAAGGCTTAGATGGCTGGACTTCCGCTGGTCCCCGCGCCCCTGCAGCCAACTTCCTATCGGTCGCCCTAGCACTGATCTGCACCAGGGGCTTTACAACATTGAAAAAAGCAAGCAAGAAAAGACCGTGCACCGAGTGTTGAAAGCCCTTTTCACTCGATTATTCGGTTACTGGGCCTGTTGGGCTGAGTCAGGGTATCCGGTGCAAGGCGCATCTTTTTGTCTGGCGGCTAGGCGGTTCTACTTGTCGTGCCACCAGCCTGGACGGAAATCGAATTCATTTTCCCTCCCGTCCGCGTCAATGCTCATATTGACCGCGTACGAGAGACTGCTTGATCTAGTCCTGGTACCGGTCGTGGCACTTCACGACTTGAGGAGCCTCGGTCTTTTGGGTAGCTTCAAACATGTCGGTCAAGCTGAAATGAAGAGGTACGAGACTGCTCGGGCGCTCTAGCAAGATGCATCAAGTCTCAGGAAATCTTTCCCTTGTGAACTATCGATCCGTCATGCCTGCAGCATTTATGTTACGCTTGCGCTTCCGACGACAGGCATGAAAAAGATTGGGAAGAAATGAACAAGCTCACGGTACAACTACGCGCTTATTGGCTGCCACGAGAAAGACGGTTTGGCGTGCATAAGGCGAGCAGCAGTCTTCGTGTCGAGGACGTTATTCTTGTATGTTGCAAGCCAGATGTGCGCCACAAGGAACACTGCAGCTGTCAAACTCGTGGATGTCGTGGATGGGTGTACGACATGTGTCAACTTTAACGAGCCAGCTCCCCTCCGGTCCATCTGGAGACATGTGGACTTTGGTGGCTTGACAATCCTTGCTGATAATAATGTCGGGCATTGTTTGTCAAATAACATCGCTCTCGGCTGGTTGATCCAAAAGCCCCTCCAGCCTGCTGCCAATAGGCGTTCTGACAAGAACCGCCCGGAGGAACCCCGTCAATGGAGTTTCGCACATTGCGATGCCAGGTTCCCGACACTATGGAGAAATGCAGCTTTACATTTGTCGCTTCGCCATGGTTGAAAGAAGTAGACAATAGAAATACCATCAGCAAAATAGCGGCATGGCCAGGTACAATCCAGGCGGTACGAGTAGTGTCAGCCTACTTATGGCAAGTCCACCATACTAGTAACTTAATATGATCGCAAGCAACAAATGAACAAAGATGAAACATGTTAGCTTCGTAGCTGCAGATGGCAGGTGTCAGATCAACAACCCGCGGCGGGAAGGTGCAGTGGTCAGTGCCTCTCGACATCGAATTCCACCATCATTGACTGACGTTAAACGTCTTTGCAAATGTCTATTTTCCCCTCTTTCAACTCACCCACCGAGATTTGATCACCCTATTTCTCCTTCTGCATTATATCATGCGCAGCGAATGACGGCGACGTGATCAAGCACATCATGCAGTGGCTTCCTCCTCTAGTTTCAATGCCCGAGAATTTACTCGCGTGCCGAATTCGGCGTCTTCATGAGACAATATTCTATCTCGAGCTAGTACCCTCCTTCTCGTCCGATTTGTCCTTGTCTCCTGTCTTGCCGCCGACCATCAACCATGCTCCCCAAGCCTCGTTTCGACTCGCTCGTCTAGCTGCCCCTGCTATCCCCTGTTCCTGAACGCCCGCCATACTCGCACGAAGAAACTTGCCATCCCTCCCACCACAAGTCGCTAACCAGAAGAGGGCGCCTGCGGTCACTCGAGGTACAAAGGCCATCGACACTAAGGCATAATTGGCCTAACCAGCACTCCGACCACGGCGAGCACCTCGACCTTTCGCCTTGTTCGTCCAGCGAGCACCGCCCAACGCAAGCCAGACAATTGGGCTTGCTACCCCTCGACTCATGCATATTACTGTTGCACAATACATGGTGGTTGGCATTGTGGACTGTGGCTCTGACCATGGATTTTCCTGGACCCCCACGACGGAAACATACCATGGTACCTCAGATCAGTGAAACCGTACGGTCACCTTGCGGATCCGTAATTACAATACGTACAGGAAATCTTTAGCACGCGGAAAGGTCAACAAATGGCTGGCAGACCATCCACTGTCTGGCACGAATACCATGTCCTCCAACGTGCCGTGATTTACCCCAGTGTTCTTTCTTCATGCGATTTGTGCAGCTGAGAGATCCTGTGGACCGAATGATCGCTGCGAAGCCTAAGATCACCCGCGTCATTGCGTCGGCTGGGGGCGGTCCGCCCAGAAGGCTAGACGGCTCGACGGGAGGCCGAAGCCTCTCTTGCTAGGCCTCGATAGACTCGAGACCTCTGCTGAAGCTTCTGTCTAGATTGGGGTTGCCATTCGGTGCTGTCCGGCCTACGCTGCATCATCTGCGTGGGGCATGTCCAATACTAGTTGTACTTGGATGAAGGAGGATAAAGCAAGATAAGTCCAATAGGGGGGTCTGGCGCGAAAGGGCACTTCTACATTTGAACAAAACAGTCCCTCGCTTCGCCGTTTGTCTTCCTCACTTTATCTATATTTCCCTCCTTGGTCTCGACCAGTCCGCCATTATTGCGACCCAAAGTCCTCGACCTGCCCAAGGCCCAAGGGTACCGTGGTAGCCGACATTCAAGGCAAGACTCCACGCCTCACACAGTGACGATCTGGACCGTAACTGCCAATTTCTGCCGACGACATATTTGAGCCAACAAAAAGCCAGTAGTGGCTGCCAGGGATCAACACATCAGGGCGGGTCCTTCGACGAGGGAGGACTTGCTGACAAAACGGTATGGTTCACCCGATATCTGTTCATGATTTTAACAGTGAGCGTTCTGACGGTAACCTAATGAGGTGCTAATTGAATGAGCCTTTAGGAAGTTTAGGGCCGTCCCTCCTACCTGCCGGCCACTAGTCTCCCCTAAGCTTCCCGCTTCATAGGCCCGACTGCCGCCCGTTGCTCTTAGCACCCACACCCACATCCACATCCTCACACTTACGAGTCTTTACCTCGAACACGAGTTCATCTCGAAAACTGGTCTCTCAAGAGAACCATCTGCCGGAAGACTCTCGTCAGGATCAACGGTTCTGGCCGAGGCACGAGCAGAACTCTTTGATCTGTCGCTCGTCGACATTCTCCAACCCCAGCTCGTCCTCCATTGAAATATCGACCCTTCAACCGACCCTGCTTCGACCACCTGCAGCCTAAGCTCACAAAGCAAAGCCCCTCACGCTCACACCCAGGCCCTTGTCGAGCCCGCTTTAAGCCCTGCCCGACCTGGCCCATCGAACCACCCTGGTCTAGCATTTTGCTGCCTCAGGTCGACTAATTCGGCGTGCACAAGAATCTCTGATTCGTCCTCAGACGTCGGTCCTGCATCCCGCATACTCCACACCACCCATACCTGAGACGACCGTTCTCTTTCATATGCTCTTTCCTTTCTCTCAATTCGAGACTGTGGTAACTACGACCCCATATTGCCGCCCTTTCCATTCCAACCTTTCCTAAGTCTTGAAGCGTTTTGAAGATCAGAGCTTCCGGCCTTGGTGGAGTTTACATTGAGGCTGTTGCGGGTACTTGCATTGCTCAGCAGCAGCGGCGCCACTTTGGCATGTATCTGCCAGAGCAGCTGGGCATTTGCTTGACTACAACGGCTCCCAGGACTTGAAGCTCAATGCAGGTCTTGATGAATATGCCACCAGATCAGGACTCACACCATTCTGGCTACGGCCAGCATGGCTGGATGAATGTCCCTGGTGCATACACCTCCAGCCCTCAAACGTCCATGTCGCCGATGCACGAGCTGCCTGGATTCGACTATCATCCGACCACCCCGATGCCAATGGAGCCAGCGTACAATATGCATCGCCCATCACCGTTTGCTGCATCGCATGCGCAGATGCCACCGCCGTTGATCATGCCACACAGTGGTCTGTGGCCCAGCATGTTGGCAAGTCAGCCGCAAACGGCCTTTCAAACACCCATCCTGCCTGCTGGGCCACTGCAAACTCCTTTGTCAGCCAGCACGGGCTCTGACATGACACCGACCAGCGCCAAAACCACGACTTCTCGCCGCAAATTGACGGATGATGAACGCCGTCAGATGTGCATCGAGGCCGAACAGAATCCGAACATGAAGCAGACTCAGATAGGAGGTATGTAACTGTGAATTCGCAACGATCTAGTCTGACCTCTTTGTAGCCAAGTTCAATGTGGAGAGGAGGTGCGCCATAGCTGCCGGATTTGTTGGTTTATGCTGACATGTCACAGCACTGTATCGAAAATCTTGCGTCAGCGGGACAAATATATGCATCCGCAACCGAAGGAAGAGAGTGCGAGTCCGGGGAAAAAATCCAAGGCAAAGCTACCAGACTTCGAAAAGACCCTCACCAACTGGGTCAGAAATCAGCAGAAAAAGGGACTGCCCATCACAGATGAAGACCTTCGGAAGCAGGCCCAAGTATTCTCCTTCAGCAGGAGCGACCAGGTCGTAGTCTCCAGCATTGCCTGGCTTGAAAAGTTCAAGCGCAAGAACCATCTCGCTGCTGCATCTAAAAGCGACGGGAATGGCACTCTGCCAGATTCGAGCAATGCTTCAGCAGCGCAATCGCCTCTTGAGGCATCTCCAGGCTCCTCCGACGGCCTTGTGTCACCTCCAATGTCAACGATAGATGAATTGGGACACGATGCAGCTACGAAATCCGAACATACACAGGACTTTTTCGATTTTGACAAAGCAAAGGCATCGTTTGGCCATTCTCCAACTCTGGACCAGGATTTCCAAGACAGTCTGGAGCAAGCAAGCGAGAATGTTCTGTCTCCTATGTCGCCCGAAATCGTGGAGAGCGCCTTGGCATTGTTAGATATGCCTGAGGGTGCTATTGGAATACCCAGTCGCCAGAGGAGCCAGACCTACCCCCATGTCCCAAGCTTTGGAACGAGCTCGAGTCCGTCTTCGTCGCATCAGAAGGCACCAGCCTTGCCTATGCGATCTTTGACATCTGTATCTGAGACTGCGCCATCCGCGATTGACCCTCGACAGATGATGAAGAGGCATAAGAGCGTGCCGGACATACACTATCCTGAGCAGCCACGCTTTTCCTCTATGCAGCCGCCTCCACTACCAAGGTCCGCCGACACATCGCCCGTCGGCGATCCTCTATCACCATTGGAAGATGATAACATCCGGGCCCTCAAAGCTATCAAAGAGCTTTTGCAACGGAATCCCAGCGTGGCGGAACCGGATGACTACATGGCTATTGGAAAACTGATGGAGAAGCTCAGGATTCTCCGACCAGCTGCAGCGACGCTTCCAGGTGGGATGCATCCTATCGATATGGTGGACAGTCCCAGGCTCTCCAAGAAGAGGACTTTTCTCGGCATTTCGACATAGGCTTATCTGTATATCTTCGATACTTCGAGGCATTCCACCCATCTTTCCTTGACACAATCCTTGAAACAGATATCAATGTTGAATGTGGTTCGGTTATCCACAAGTGACACGACGCAAATGTCATATATATCCAGGCCAGGTCCCAGGAGAAAGGGGTCTTTGGACTCGCAAGAGGTCATGTGGTTCCCTGCAACGTCAATGGCGTGGTAAGCACAGGGAAACAGCATGAACAGGCAGTTGCAATCTGCCTGATCCGATTGGACTCACCCCGACGGTGTCATTTTGGAAGAGCCTGTGGGCTCTAGGAATCTTTTTCAATTCTTCGGTCACAGAACGCACCAGCGATTGCAGGTGATGATCTTTTAGACATACCCCAAGCCTCGTGGCAAAATCTCCTTTTTCTCTTTACGAGGGCATGTCTGCATCAGGGAGAGAAGGACAGAGCGCAAGCGGGTGAGAGACCGATATGATCCGAGAGGCTTTCTCTCTCGTTTCGAACTACTTTGATCTGTGTGAAGATTGTAGGATAATACTGGGATTTCCTTTCTCTTTCTTTGTATGAGCTTTGGAAGACAGGCAACGATGCCTGATGGGAAATGCCGGGCAACGTGTTGGACGTTGTGGTTCTGGATTTACGAGCATATAGGGGTTCTCTTTCTTCCTCTCTTTTCCCAGGACACATGTTGGACCATGTGTTTCCTTGATGGGCTTCTGCATGACTTTCTGTAATGGAAAACGATTCGAAGTATGAATGAACTGTGTCTGCGCAGGACACGTACGGCCTCGGCAGAGAACGTCTGACATAAAGGCATCTACTTAGGCCTCAGGGATGAGTCATGGTTGCAGGTTTTGCAGTCAGCAGTCCAAGTACAGTAGCATGGTCCTTCTGGAAGAACATTGCAGATGGAGATTTTCTTGTCGAGGCGAGACAATTGCAAACCTCGCCGATCGGTCGACCATTTCCGTATAAAACGTCCCGGGGTTGGGCTTTCCCTGTGGAGGAAGTGAGGCTCGCGAGATCTCAAAGCAGCCAGGATTGACGTCGACGTACCTGCCGATCAGATGAGGCAAAAAAGACCTCAAACACCCCAACGAGACTTCCCTTCTGTATTCTGACTCTTTGTCCACCTGTCAATTTCGCATCATTCATGGCGTCCTGGTCGATCAGAGTCTACTGCACTGTTCTAACGGGTATCCGACGGGCTCTAGGCCCGGGAGGAATGGCATGTTCCACCATTTGTCACCTGTGAGTCTAGCTGACGTCCCGTTTCACCTTGATGCCCAACCACATTCACCGCCGAGCATACTGCACGAGCAATGGTTAGAACGAGATTGCCCAAGAATCTCTCCTGCCATCATACACAGGTCTGTCGCATCTTGCCACGGAATCACTGCCCTTCCGTGCATTTGTGCTACCAGACTCCTGAACGCCTCCATCAGGGTGGCTGACTGCTCGCCACTGAACAAGCACCATTCAGCTTCACTTTACCAACAGAGGAACTTCACGCAGCTTCTTTTTTCTTGCCTTGCTTTTTGATCATCTTGGCTTTCCCTTGTCTCATACATACTGCAATGCAGGCTATCTCCTTCGCGATCAGCCTTCTCCCTTCAGCGGTCCCCTGTCATCTCCTCTCACAGCCAATATCACACTGTGGATCTATCCCACGCAGCTTCTGGGTGGAAGAACGGTACCCGCTTCCGCTGCGCCTCGCGTTGTCCAAAAGAGCTAGGACCTTCGGAACAAGAGCAGACAGGACTGACAGACTAGGGGAGACCAGTTCTCCACGGCGATAGCTCGAGGGACTGGCAGAAGGATGCCGGGTATCTTCTCCCAGCTGCAAAAGGCCCATTCGGAAAGGAACGATCCTTCAATCAAGCTAGTGGTGGGCCACACATGCCTTGCGGCCGTGGGGGGACTGGAATGAGACCGTCACTCCTGAACGAATTCCAGAATCAGTCTCGCCTTACTCTGCCAATTTAGAGGCATCCTTACCTCGATACAATGTGCAGCAGGTGGTCAAAAATGCACGAGGTACCCCGCGAGCCTGTTTCCAGAAAAAGTGGCACGGTCTGACCAGTGTCGCTCGTCAACTGCAAAGGAGTGTTGTGTCTTATTGTCGTCTCGAAGTCCTTCGCACACAACGAGAGAGCTTTATGCATTGTCAGAAAGGATGTCACCAGCTCCATCGTGTATCCCTACTGGCTTGCTGTAAAGGCACCCGTTGTCGCCAACCTGCAGAAGTTCATTTTAAATGGTCGATGGGCTCCCTGTCAGACGGTGCCACTTTTTCTGGAAATCGGCTTGCCTGTCAATGTCATTCTGACCTGGTCTCTGCAGACTTGTCCTTCACCGTGCCACGCAGCTCTATCCAAATCTACCCCAGCCTGGCAGAACCAACAGTCATGTGGCCTGAGGTACGGTAATCGTACAGCAAGACAATATCACTGACACTCGAAGGCTCCTCGTTGGTCCTGCTGGTCCACAAGTGGGCGCGGAAGGCTCCGGTTGGACGTTCGATGTCAAGGATCGTATCATGCGAGTGAAGCTAGAAACACGCGCACTGATGACCCCAGGGCTCAGGGACTCAGTGGCTGCAGACCATCTCCGCTAGGAGACATGCAGGTATAGTAGGTAGATACGTAGCAAGGCCTACCTGCACGATAGACATGCCCACGTCGTATGCACACATGTGTCTGCATTACGCCCAAGGTGGCAGAGGGCTTGTTCTTACAGAGCACCAAGGAAAAGGGCTGCCGCAAACATTGCCATTGGCAATCTAACAGGCATCCATTGGATCAATCGCATAAACATCAATGCTGCTGATACGTAGAGCCGACCGAACGTGTTCTAGCCCTCCTGTCATGCTCATGAGCTTGCATTCGGGCAAGATCCTGAGCGAAGCTCTACCCTAGAACGCAAGGATTGACACGTTGTCGGCCCTTTGGACAACAGATAATCGTAGCAGTACAAGGATATGGATTGCCATCGAAGCCAAAATTCCCATCAACAATGTGGCTCGACAGGACTGAGCACAGTAGTCTCTTTGCCTGTATTGCTGTTCTGTATATACACTTTACCACATCTTCCACCATCTTCTGTGCATTACGACACTCTTCTTGGTGGTGGTAATCTGTAGTTCGTCGACCGTTAAGACGCGGAGGCTGGGAGGTTCATGCTCATCTCCTGGCAAGGCCTCTAAGTGATCTACGCATGATGCGACAGTGAGGCTCGAAAAGTGGGCTGTAAAGAGACCACCGCCATGGATAGCAACGCTACTCAAACGCGCCAGGAGCTCTTAAGCTTCTCGTAAGTTAAAGAAGATAATTCAGTGACTGGGTGCTATGTGAGCAGAACCTTGACGGGGGTTGCCTATATGCATGAGATCTTGTACAAATTATACAGAGCAAGCAAAGAGACAGGCACATAGACAAATGGCGTTGATCAATTATGAAAGAATAGAGGCAATAGACCAGGTTGTATTCGGGCACTAGGTTGGACTGGTACTATGCTAATGACCTTGTTCGCTGCAGAGGACTCACTACTTTTCGCCATTGATAGTGACTACTACGTCTTCTCCAGCGGCATCGCCACATACAAGAACACCCCTTTCAGCCAAAAGCTCGCTGGGGGTCTTGTGCTGCATCTCTGGCACGAGCCTTACCAAGACATGTTCAAGTATAGAATACACAAGATACTTGTTCATTTCGACATCGCTTGTCCAAGATAGCATGCTTTCCTCGATTTCGAGACGCATAGCTCCATCTTCGTCGTCTCGTGCATGGGAAACAGCTAAGAACACTCGCGCAATGGGTTTGGGAATGATCGACAGTATATCGCTGGCGGCCTGGCAGCGGATGAGTCGCGCTTCTTCTTCTGTTGGTGGTGGAGGAGCCGCAGGACCGAGTGTGTTATTTGGAAAGAGTATGGCTCGAGTCTGTAGGAGCAAAGGCGGCAGTAGTGAGGATGGGAAGACTTGCGTGGCAAGAGTGTTGTGTAGAAATCTGTACGAAGAACATGCGTGATTAGCATTCTCTCAGCACCCGAAATAGATGTGCTCATGGTAAACACGCGCGAATGCAATGCTAGACTGCGCTGGAAGCGGCTCTCAGGACTGCCGCAAAGAAGCGTGCTTCGTTGTGGCAGCTTGCGACAGCAAGACGCCTCCCAGGGTTCTGCCAAACTTGCCCCGTCTCAGGCCATTACATTGATGCCTCTTCTCTCTCGAAAGTGCCCAACTTGCTCGCCACCGCCCAAGATTGTCCATTGTTCGGACCTGGATTGCAAGACTCAGTCCAACCCACGTGACTCGGTGCATGTGTCTGCGCAGATTCGCGCGAAAAGCCTTGCGGGAACTCGTGACGGCCCAGGTTAGGCGGGTAGAGTACGCAGCCGTGATCGAGAGCATGTGTTCGCCAACTGGTGGGAGCATTGTCCGTTGCAAGAAAGGTAGTCATGCGAGGATAGGGCCTCCAAAACGTTCTAAATTGTAGGCACGTTCTGGCCAACAGGCGTGAAAGGTAGCCCCGAAAAGGTTGCAAACCAGACATCACTATCCCAGGATCAAGGTCTTTGAACGACAAGTGCAGAATATGCAACGACCCATGTTGTGGTGTGAAGATTTCCACCCAAAGGCTAGACAGCAAGTCAAGTCGAACCTCGAAGCGCCACTTGCGACAATGATCAAGTTTAGAGGCGAAGTTCACCACGAGATGTTGGACAACTTTGTCCAGGCCCAAGTTGGAAAGCTCAAGGACGGTGTTGAGTCCGAGGACGCAAACTAATGAACGTTGTAGGCCTGTTGGAGTAAGACCGGAGAACCCGCTTGTGCAGTCCACTTGGAGGCATGTTCTTGAACCAGCAACCGAAAGATAACGGGACCCCAGAGGATCACCTGTCAACGAATCCATGGTTGATGTAACACTCAGGTGACGTAAAAGGATAATGTACACATGGTGATCATCTTCAATTGCGGAGCCCTTGTATTATCGGCAAGCCCCGTAGGATGCTGGCCTCGGCCAAGTGCATGGGAAAGGTCTCGAATTCGGTCATCAGACCAGCAAGTCATGAGCAGAAAACAAGTTGTCGCAACCAATAGCGCGGAAGAACCGGTCGATTTTTCGAAAAATGCCGCAGCCTGGTCAGACCATTGGTCCGTGATGCTGAATTATCTGCTTTTTTTGGGAATTTCCCGCTGGCTGAGAGCTTCACTCGTTCCAAGGCGGAAATTGAAGAGCTTCGAAACCACGAAAGTCATTACGTCGGGGTGGTTGGTCGAGAATGGTCGCAACGCTCAAGACTTCAGGAAGCGGCACCTCGTGGAGGCACAAAGAAGCGAGGGCGGGGCCAATCCTTGTCGCCTCCTTCTTGCTGTTTGGAAAAGTGAAAAGTCTCCTTGTCCGAAGAGAAAAGTGTGAATTTCCAGGTGCTGATTGGCAGCATCGCTGGTTGCTTTTTCTCCTTCTGCCATATTTGCCAACCGATTGTCGATGGGGCCGATCTTAGACAAAGATTTCTGACGGCGAATTGGTGCCCAGAAGACCACGACGACTTGCAGGCCTGGTCCACCCTTCAAAGGATGATGGGGCCGATGACCATGAGGACAAGTGTAGGAGGTGCAAATCAGTCGAATTTGGCAAGGCGCGCATCAAGGAGCGTGTCCAATGAAATGGTGTATACACAGTCTTGACAATACAGGGGCCGGTACTTGTCATGACCTGTAACAGCTGTCATTGGTCGAGGCTGGAAAGTCCTAGTGTTGCTCGAGGTTCCACACCCTCCTTGACTCGAAAGGTGCATGACGAACGAGAAGACTCTCCCCAGCACATGTCTGAAACATGGCTGATAGCATGGGCCATTGGCTGGACATCTTCTGCACCATATCATATGACCATATGCTGATGCGACTTGACTGATAACATATTGTGGAATACTCACCAATCTGTAGAGTTTGTGGTACGGGCAAAAGAGCATGTATCTCCAGTAGAAAAAGCAATGCGCTAGGCCAAGGGTAAAAGGAAAGAAGTGGTACTTACTTGTCCAAGGTCGAGTTCGTGGCACCGTAACCCCCCGGGCCCGCGTTGAGGACGTGCTGCCACCAAGCCAACGAGCTCGCCAGCCACGGCATGCGTGTGGACAGATCGAGGACAGCTGAGACGCAGGAGAACACCCTATAATTGATTACCGCTCTTGGGGATCGACCTTGGGCATCCGGTGCACTCGGTGATGCGACAAGGGGCGGCTTCTGTGTGGACGACAATGAAGTGGAGGCGTTGGCCTGGCGATGTCGGATTCTCTGGGGCAAATGGTGCGCGTGAACCATGCCGACGAGCATGAAGCGCAAAGACTGGTACGCGATGTAGGCGTACTGAAGCAGTCCCCAAAACCACGCACTAAGCGTTGATTGGTGACGCGCCGACGAATGATGCTCTTGATCAGCCAGATTTGCAGATAATAGGCCAAACTTTTCAAGACGACTCTGTCGGTCCCTCTCGTGAACGGATGCCTCAAGGTCGGCGGCGTGCGAAGAATTCGATGTCACAATCCCCACCAGTTTTGAGACAGTGCCGTGCAGAAACCATGGCTGGCATAATTTTTCAGCCAGTGCCTGACCCAAGATTAGGTCGGCGATGATGTCGGTCACCAGTGTTCTGAGACATGTGTTCGCAAGGTCTTCGGTTGGGAGCAGCACCGCGAGAGCCCCTTGGATCAGCAGCTGTCGGTACGCGGCTTCGTAGTCTTGTCGCTCGGTCCGTGGAAGGGAAGGATCGAGAGCTGGGTGTGGATTCAACGAGTGGTAGATTCGTCGGGGGCTTTCTCCGTATTGCAAAACGGCTTGAGCCGTTGTAGCTGTCCTGTATGCTGTGGCGGAATTTGGTCAACATAGAACGACGGCAGTTTCTTTTATGCCAAACATACCCTCAATGTGCCTCTCGACCAACACTGGCAGCTCATCCAGTATCAATTCTGTTATGTCAATTTGTCTTAGTCTCTGTTCGAGGGCCCGACTGCAGTGAGCAATAATCTGGATCACCTCATCCACGAAAGCGTGGTCCGGGGTTATTTTGGAATACCACGAATTGACAAAGTCTTTGATGACGATGGCGACGATGGCATAGAGCTGCACGTCTATCTCGTTTGAGCTAGTGAGTGGTGGTAAGATCCCTTCGATTGGCGCGGGCGTCGCTCTCAAGTCTGTTCCGTTCCTTCCATCTGCCACCAAAGTCCTCCTGATCAGGGAGAGAGTCGCTCTTTCCGAGGTAGCGTCTTGGGCTGTGCCATCCTGACGCGAAGTACTGTTCGGAGGAACCCGCGAGGAGGTGCGAGGTGCGCAAGTGTTCTTGTCGCTGGCGATGACGTTCAATCGAGAAGACTGAGCGGTCGACGAAGACTTGGTCGCTATGGTGGGTAGAGGTGGTCTTGACGAGGAGGAAGTGGTCATTTCAGGACCACAGCAAAGAGCAGCATCGCGCAGATCTTTGTAGTCGTCGTAGGGGATGTCTGCCACTGCCACGCTGGCAATGCAGGGGGCAGCGAGCAATTCTCACCGGTTTGTTCGACGAGCGGTGTGTCAACGTATGATTGGCTCGTCCTTGTCAATTGCTCGAGGCTGCGCGTGTAACGACGAGGATGTTGGACGATTTGGAGATGCGCCAACTAGACTCGGAAAAGTTTCCTTTACAGTCTTATCACAATCGTCCATGTTAGATACGGGTTGAACGATCAATATCATACAACTCCGTGTCTGATGAATATCTTTTACTACCTGCTATAGCATTAGCGGCTGGATGCTAGCACATGATGGAAGACGAGTTCGAGGAAGAGCTGCAAGACCCTTCGAAAATCCCCATATGGCTTGATTGCGATCCAGGTATGAGAATTCCTAGTGACACGTCCTGGTTGTTTACTTCCGCTTACTCATGACCATCCCAACAGGTCATGATGTGAGCTTGTTGTTTGGAAGATTCCGAATTGATACTCACCTCTTCTAGGATGCTTGTGCCATTCTCCTAGCGGCATATCATCCTGCTTTTTGCCTACTAGGCATCTCCACTGTGCATGGTAATGCTTCCTTAGACAAATGCACATATAATGCCCTCAGCGTCCTCGAAGGAATTGGAAAATCCCAGGTTCCAGTCTTCCCAGGCTCGTCACGGCCATTCTGCCGGATGGTACATACAGCGTCTGATATCCACGGAGCCAGCGGACTGGCTGGAACATCTCTCTTGCCTCAACCAACCCGCTCCGCTCTGGCGCACTGCAACGCCATCCTGGAGATGCGCGATGCTCTTCTCGCACAGCCAAAAGGCAAAGCCTATTTGGTTGCCACAGGTCCGTTGACCAACGTTGCTCTTCTTTTCGCCCTGTGTCCAGATCTCGCCAGCCACATCGCTGGGCTGTCCATCATGGGTGGTGCCGTGGGCTCTGGTTTTACCCATGTGTCTATGGGACCAAGCTACCTGGACCCGAATGGTGTCTCGCACGACCGCATTGGCAATTGGACTCCATTTGCAGAATTCAACATTTGGGCCGATGCCGAATCTGCTCGAGCTGTACTGAGCAATCCTCTCCTAAGCCCCAAAACAACGCTCATCCCTCTGGACCTCACGCATCAAGCTTATGCCACGCCGCAGATTCAGAACATGTTGCTCAACCATAGACGTCCAACACGGCTGCGCACAATGTTCAATGAGCTGCTGATGTTCTTCGCCCACACATATGCGGAGGTCTTTGGGCTAAATGAGGGTCCACCACTGCATGACCCGCTTGCCGTTGCTGTCTTGCTGGACAACCATTTCGAGTCTAACGTTGCCATTGCATTCAACGATAAGGGGGGTGAGAGATGGAATGTGGACGTCATCCTTGAAGGCGAACAGATAGGTCGCACAGTTGCCACCAAGTCGGAGACCGGAGAAGGAATACGGATACCAAGAGCCTTGGACCTGGAAAGATTTTGGCACACGCTAGAATCCTGCATGGCCGCAGCAGACGAGGCCACAGGTTTTGAAAATTGAACGAGGTTGTCGTATCAACTAGAGGGCAATTGTGTCAAACCCCAAACACCATCGCCGTCATTGCTGGTCCAGTTCCCCATAGTATCAGTGATATATCCCTTCGTTGCTTGACGATCCTGCCTTAGTGATACGGATTTTGCATCGGCATAACTGGGAGCCGATAATGACTGACGCACACCAAGCGTCCAAATTTCGTCAAGCATTTGTGGCTTCACATCTCCACCATTGTTTATGCCCTCATCCGACATGGAGATGTCGATGGTATAGGCGAGCTGCCATAAATTCCGTCGAGAAACGACGCTGGCCTTTGCCGTTCGTGTGTCCCATTGTTTGAAACCTTGCTTGACTCCATTGATCAGGACTTCGAGAATGTCATTTTGGCCTGCGGTACTCTTTATCCACAACGTCGAGATATTACTTGCTTTGGCCTTCAGTCGGCCCTTTGTGTCTGGATTTGGTGAAGTTCTCTCGAAAGAAAATCTCGGAAATGCTGTAAAAAGCTGTTGGATCTGGAAAAACCGACCAGAGCCCGCAACAGCAGAAAGCCTCCCAGAGGACCCGAATGCACGCTCGTACCCAGTGGAATTGAACTTGTCGGCATATACTACCACACTTTCGATGTGTGCATTGATGGTTCGTTGAACAAATAGGTCAGCGGGAAAGGATAAGATGCTGGTGAACTGCTTGACGGATAATTTGTCAGTGCAAGATTTAGATAGACTGGGCTCCGCGTCTGCCCGAGCTGGTTTACGCCGGACATAGCCCAGCATCGAGAAATGACCTCGACCTTGCAATGCTGTGATGTCTGGGTGGTCGGTGGGCCAAGGTTGGGCTTCACCTGTGGGCAAAGATTCCATCAATATCTCCATGGATGCATCACCACAGGGAGCTTCTGTGGTGAAAAAGTGGACGGAGACTTGGCTTTTCAATCTGAAAGGTGCTTGTGATTCGTGCTGGTGATTGTTGGCCGAGCCCGTTTCGAAGGCTGCTTCAAGAAATGGTGATTGATATGCCGGATTAGCCAGAATGGCTTGCACTTCGCGAAGCAACCAGTGGTTGAAACCTCTCAAAGCAAGGACTTCTGCATGAGAGTCGTGAAGAACCAAACCTCGACATTTAGGCAATGCGGAGGCAGCCAGGCATTTTGTTCCCGTTGCTAAAGATGCGCAGGTCAAGTCGGCAGGTCCATCTCCTGTCGCCAGGACCACAGCTGCCATAGGGGTCCATTCTCTCCTGCCGTCTTCCAATCTCCGAGGTTTGCATCTTGGTGGCAGAGCATCAAATGTCGAGAGGGCAAGATGGGCTATGCCTTGTGCAAGAGTGGTCATGAAGGGAAGAAGGATGCGGACACAGCAAGACCCTCTCCATAGCCAGACAGCAACAGCTAGTCGGAGTGAATGTCCAGATGTCGAGCACAGAAGAGGTGAGATTGTTCGAAGAGAGACAAGCAGGGTTTGGAAATGCAAAGATGTCAGACAGCGACGATACAGTGGGAAAATGGATCATCCGCAATTGTCTTTTGTCCGTCATTCAACTGTTTTTCCTGCGGAGAAGAATGTGCCGAGATCAGGGCAGGTTTACCGAGTACGATGGTGCACAAGCGCTGCTTTGACTTGTTGGGCGGCGCATAAGTACCTGAGTTCTGTGAGAAGTTTCACAGCGCATCGACTGTCATATAGCCGTCGTTGAGGAGGGATCGGAGCCATCAAGCTAACTTAAACAAGACATACGTACTACAGAAGGGGTGGACAAGTCAGACTTCTCTTGAGCCTTGACATGTATCGTACTCCTTCTAGCCTCGGGGGGCTGTTTTTCCTGTGGGAGTATTATCAATCATCCGTGCGCGGAGGTTTGGCCCAAACAGGCAGGTCCTGTCTTTTTCTCTTTTTCTCGCCATCATCACCAGCGCCATCATCGACGACGTTGTCTCTCCCATATTCGTACATGCTATCGCATCGAGGCGCTTTGAAGGACTCCGATTGAAATCTTGACTTGCAAACCGCATATACTTATCCGGCATCCCCGCCCAAGAGCTGCTTGCTGACTTGCCAACATCTCCGCCGGTGGGTGGTCTGAACGCCACACATCCATCATTCGTCAGATATCTGGTGGTGTCCAGTGTCCTTGCCCTAGGCCCAAATCTCAGGAAGCTTTCATTCAACCGCTGTACCCCGGGTTTTTGCCGCTACTCACCTTTCCCACAATCGATTCGAGCTTGGCCGGCCGGACTCCAAATCATCAACCTCAACCTCCACCTCTTCCGCCGTCATCATCGTCGATTTTACAGCCTTGTCATTGAACTCAGTTCCTCGAGCACAGGTGTAACCACACTTTCACCAGCACTGGTAATTACCAATTCCGCTTCCTGTCACGGCAGCACCATCCCTGTACCAATCCTGTGGGCGGAACTGATAGCTATCGGGTTTTGATTATCTCCACATTCTTCAGTAGCTGTCATCCACCTTGGGGTCATGAAGTTCACCATCGACCTGCCATCATCAATTGCTTCGGCAATATGACCAGCTCATCCAATCAGAATGGACTGTCCATTGATGACCAGCGCACCACATCGCTATCAAAAGCTGGATATGTTATGCCAGATGCGCGCAATCCCCGGATTGAGTCATTGATGAATTCCCAAGCTCAACCCTCGTCGTCAAACCCGTCGGCATTCGACACTTCATCGCCAGGATCAATTGACTTCAATTTTCCTTTCGCGGGCAGCCCGCATGGGAGCAGCAATAGTGGTATTGACGTCCCTCCAGACTTTCGCGCGACCCAAGGTCAGGGTTTCGCCAATCGAGGTTCTGGGCCGGATGCTGCACGATATGCTCCTGCCAGAGTCCCCAGTCCGCAGCACCGGCCTAGTCTAGCCAGCATTGACTCCGCCTTTGATCGCGACCTGTTTGGAACTGCGGCACTGAACCAATGGACTCCAACCACCTCAGCCAACCAGGCTGTCAGCAATGCAGATTCTTCACCAAAGCATGCAAGCACCACTGACCCGGACAAGAAACTGGTGCCAGACGATGGGAATGCTCCAGCATGGAGTGAGCTGAAAACGAAGGCTGGAAAGGAAAGAAAACGCCTACCCCTGGCCTGTATCGCATGTCGACGCAAGAAGATAAAATGCTCGGGAGAGAAGCCCGCTTGCAAGCACTGCCTACGCGCGAGGATCCCTTGCGTCTACAAGGTCACCACCAGGAAAGCAGCACCACGAACCGATTACATGGCCATGCTGGACAAGCGATTAAAACGAATGGAAGATCGAGTCATTCGCGTGATTCCAAAAGAGGAACTGCCAGACTTTGCCACTACCGGACGCGCTTCCGTTCGCCCGCCAATACCTGGGTCCGCGGTGAAGAAGGAGAAAAACCAACCCAAGAAACGTTCCGCCGATGAAGCCTTCACTCAGGAATTGAGCGACTGGAGGAGTTCCCGGGAGAAACAGACTTTGCTCGACCCAATAGCAGGGCTCAACCAACAGCGCGAAGGCGAAAACAAGCTTTTCATCGAAGGCTCCGAGTCTCTCCCACCTCAGCATATCCAGGAACATCTAGCGGAGGTCTTCTTTGACTGTGTCTACGGGCAATCCTATCTGCTCCTCCACAAACCGAGCTTCACGCGCAAGCTGAAAGCGGGCACAATCCCACCTGTCTTGATCCTGGCCGTCTGCGCCATCTCAGCTCGATTCTCGACTCATCCACAAGTCAGCACTGAACCAGCCTTCCTCCGTGGCGAACAATGGGCAACACCTGCCCGTCGGATTGTAGAAAAGCGCCATTACGAGCCCAACATCACCATCCTCACCGCCATGCTCATGCTGGGCTTGCACTACTTTGGCACATGCGAGGGCGGTTTATCCTGGTCTTTCGGTGGTCAAGCAATGCGCATGGGTTACGCCTTACAGCTCCACCGTGAACTCGAGCACGACCCTCTGGGTCGGAGCCAGATCGCCAACTCGAATGACTCGAGCAAGAGAGGTCCCAAACCACCCGAATTGTCCTTCACCGATCGCGAGATCCGTCGCCGCACAATGTGGGCATGCTACCTGATGGACACGTTCAACTCTTCCGGCACCGAACGCCCATCTTTCCTAAATGAAGATTACTACCAGATCCAGCTGCCGATCAAAGAGTCGCATTTCCAAATGGAAGTCCCCGGTCCGACCGAGGACCTGTACGGGAACATTCCCATGTCGAACAAAAACTCACTTGACAACACCGGCGACGATGCCGCCGAAGCCAAAGCCAACATGGGTGTATCAGCGTATATCGTGCGCGGCGTCGTCCTCTGGAAACGCATAGTCAAGTACCTCAACTTAGGCGGCAAGGACAAAGACCCACACCCAATCTGGGACTCACTCTCGCAATTCGCGACGCTGCAGCGGCAGATAACCCAGCTGAAAACATCATTGCCCGACGATCTATCCTACACGCCCGAGAACCTCGCGGCACACGCATCAGAGCGTCTCGCCAACCAATTCCTCTTCTTGCACATCGTCCTGGCACAAACATCGCTATTTCTGCACCGCTTCGCCATCCCGACCGTGCCATCCCGCCGACCACACCACCACGCTTACACGGCGGCTGGCATGCCCAAGACATTCCTGTCCAACAGCGCCAACACGGTCATCGAGGCTGCGAGCCTCATCTCCAAGATCATCGCGGATAGCGCAGGGCACACCCTCACCGTGCCCTTCGCAGGGTACTGCGCTTACGCCGCGGCCACAGTCCATGTCTGGGGCATCTTCAGCAAGAACCCCGGGCTCGAGAACGCGTCCAAGGAGAACCTGCGGCACAACTATAAATACTTGACCCGCATGAAGCGCTACTGGGGCATGTTCCACTACATGGCAGAGAGCGTCAAGGAGAATTACCGCGCGTTTGCCGACGCCGCGATGCGTATGCGTGGCAATCCGTCAAATGGGCTACGCTCAGAGATCCTCCTGCGTCACCAGGGGTCTGGGTCCAACGAGATCAGTATCCCCATGGACCTCGACGCGGTGCAAGGCTCGACAAACCCGCCTTCACGCGCCGAGACGCCCGGTGCCGATCCCAAGCACGGCATGACTTCCTCTGGGGGTTCCAGCAAGGCCATGTTCCAGTACGGCGACTGGTTCGACAAGTACCCGCACGGCGTCAGCGAGAGCGAGTGGGAGAAGTCGCACCTCGAGTATCGTCGCGAAGCGGGCACCGCCGAGGCCGTCATGAGTCAGCGCAGTGATCTACAATCTGTGGAGGAGTTCTTTGCCAGCTTGAGTCCGCCGAGTAAGGCCGACGACGGACCTGGTGCGCAGCGAGGCAAGAAAATCGCACGAAGGCGAGGAAAGAGCGTGGCGGACAACAAGAAAGACGCGAGCAAGAATTCTTCAGCTATTGTTACTTCAGCCGGTCCATCGACTGCGGCTGGACCATCGCAAGCCCAATCTGCAACACAACAAACCAAGCCACTATCAGGTGCAAACGTGGTTCAACCATTCAACCCGGCCGACTTTGACATTACATCGCCGACATTGTACCAAACGCCACAGATCGGTGGGCAGCAGTCATCACAAGCAGGTGACCCCTACACATTTGGGGACTCGACATTGCCGTACGGGCCTTTCAGTTGGATCAACACTCTTCCAGCCATCGACAGACAAATGGTCTTCGGTGCCTATACCGGCATTGATCCTTCAAATGACTCCAACCAAGGCGCTTCCACCCTGACCAATCTCAACCATGATTCGCCTACTCTGGGAAACTTTGGCAGTACAAATCCTTGGGACCAGTTGGACCTCAATGGATTTGGTTACAACGACCCTCTTGCCGGCGGGACTGCTATGATGGACACAGGTTCTTCAGCCTGGATGTTGCCCTTCAACGTCGAGCCGCCGAGTTTTGGTGGTGGGCTGGAAGACTTTGGGAACTCCGCGCTGGATGGCATGGATTTCAGCGACATGTCTGGAACTGGAGGCTTAGGAGGTGGTGAGACTGGTAGTCAGTTCCCAGACCAGAAATCGGGTTCCTGAAGGCCTCTCCGAATGTGAAAGCAGAGATGCTCGTATAGTGTTGCACATAGCTTCAACAGGATTCTTCCAGTACAGATTGTCCCTGGTTACTTCTTTGTGGTTGACATAGCATGTCATGGAATGCCGTATCAGCATTGAAGTCATGATGGATTTAAACTCCTTGTTAGACAGGATGTTTAGGCCCAAAAGAAATCGCGGGTAAGTCCCGACTTGTGTGTTTCTAATCTTCCCACTCTTCGTCCAGTTGATCAATCAACCTGTTCTCGTCGTCGGGATCGCGTCCCTGATGTGCAGCAGCGCGTGAGTCATCGGTGCCCACACGGTGATAGCCTCGTCGACCGGCGAAAAGTTGAGTAAGTCCTGGCATTCGCTGAAAGCAGGATGAAAAGAGAATGATAAACATGTCCTATATAGCCGAGATGAAAATGTGGAGTCAGCGAGGCAATGGCAAGGTGGGTTTGGCATCGTAGAGTCCTGCATCGGAGAATTTGCGGCGACGTTGAACGCAAGGCGCCTATGGAGAGCACAGTGTGTAAGGGCATGGACAGTAGATTCTCGGAGATCTTTGTGAAAAGAGCGAGGAGAGGAGAAGACTTACCGAAATGAAACTGAACAGTCCCGCCCAGACGGCATAGTTGGGTACTTGTTTCCACCCTCGCTGATGCATGACGTTACGCTGGTAGACCACACCTCCGATCAGGTAGACCAGCAGAGCGATGCCCAGGATGACACCAAAGACGCCGCCAGGTCCTAGTGTGCCTTTCTCTTCTGATTGCGTAGTACCACCGCAAGCATATCGCGAGCGTACTTCAAAGATGTAGGTGCAGTGGTCAGGAGATCCGAGGAAGGAGATGGCGGGCTTCGTCGAGAGCAGTGGAGAGGTGTCGCAGATGAAGGACATGAGGGTCGATTTGCGTCGTTGGGGGACTTTGCGGGCCGCGAAATCCGAGTCAATGGGTACACCGTCTTCGTCAAGTTCTGGACACGGCGAGCCATTTGTATAATTCAGGAGCAGTTTCTTGCCTCGGAATATTGGCTGGTCATTCTGCTGTCCGATGCTGTAAAGCTCCCCCTTTTGGTTCTTGTAGAATGCAGATATGTTCGCAACTCGGTTTGATGGAATTCCATCGACGTCATCGAGAGTCTCAACAACTGAGTCACAGAAGTTGATGGAGAAGTTGGCAGGGTAGTCGTACCCTCGAGCGTGGAAGGACTCATTGACCGCGGATTGATATTTTGAGCCGTCCAGCGTCAATTGTAGCGGCCGCAGGTCGAAGAACGAGCCAGTGGTTGTAGAATGGATCGTACATGGCTTTAGAGGTGGCCTGGTCGTTTCTGGTGCAGCAGAGAACCCGAAAGGTATGGAGGAGAGGAAGAGCAGCGTCAACGCGGTGGGCGTATACATTGTTGTCGTAGATTGAGGGTGTACTCGAAGAGGCTGTTGACTTCTATACACTGGAGGTTTTTGAAAAGGGGAAGCAGCGAACGAAAGATCTCAGGGCTGAACAGTCAATGTCGTGCCTGATGAGAAGTACGTTACAATCTGATGAAGAAGGACGAAGAATAGTGTATAGGATGATGTCCTCAAATCTTTGGGAAATGAATGGAGATAAGGATCTGCTGTTCACAATAATGAAATGGTGCAATGGTACTGTGCAGTCTCAGCTGTCAACGAAATGATTTTGGTGGCGCCGGCGATGCTTTGGGTGGTTCCTGCAGGAGCATCGATAGGGACCACGCTCTCAGGCTGGTTGGTTAGGTGGGCATAATTGCGTTGTGTGCCCCCGGACCGGTTTCGCCGGGTTTGCAGCTAATCAATGATAAGGCTGTTTAGCGCCTCTAAGTTACGAGTAAGCTCCGGGTCATTTATCGGTTGGTTCCATCGACGAGATTCGGATAAATTCGTGCCGATTCTTGCAAACGCGATCAGAAACACGCGCGAGAGCGACGCGTAAGGACAACTGCGCAGTAGCTTAGCAGTCGACTTTGTATGATCTCACTCGGCTGGTGGATCCTCCGAACAATCGTTCTGTGACAGCTTTTGTACATCAATGATGCGCAGCCAACTCCAGTCACAATGTAAAGAATCACATTATTTGTCTTACCCACTTTCTTTTCGGATTTCAAAGGTTTCTCTGTGCGACTCGGGAAATACGGGTTGATCAGTTCGTGTTCAGGACAAGCTTGATCACGAACACGACGAGTTTGTTTCAACTGCAGAGATGGGCATCAAATCTGGGGAAGCACCAAGTGCGGCTATCGAGAAGCACGGGTATGAGTTTGGAGGCCCGTAAGTCGTTTTGTGCGATGCGACACTGTCAAGTTGCTGACAACCAGCAGTCTGGGTGCCGCTGGCATAGTCTTCGGCCTGCCTTTACTCGTCTACACGACCGTCTTCCTTTGCAACGACGTTTCAGGATGCCCAGCCCCAGCTCTTTTGAACCCAAAGACCTTGACCCTAGCGAAGTTGAAAGCTCAAACACCATGGCCCGAGGATGGTCTGTCAGGGCTGTTTGATGTCCAAGTCATCGCATGGACGCTGGCATACTATGCACTGAGTCTGGCGTTACAACTTTTTCTGCCGGGAGAAGAGGTTGAGGGCACAACTTTGCGCAGTGGCGGCAGACATCACTACAAGTTCAATGCGTTCAATTCTGCTGTGCTCATATTGGCTGGCCTGGCTATTGGAACTGCAATCCAAGGCTCTGATTTTGTGGTGTGGACATTCATTTGGGGCAACCTGCCTCAATTGGTCACGGCAAACCTGCTGGTCTCCTACGTCCTCGCCATCTATGTTTACCTAGCCTCTTTCGGTGTCCCTCGTCACGGTCAATCAAACACTGAGAATCGCGAACTGGCGGAGGGAGGAGTGAGTGGCAACATATTGTACGACTTTTTCATAGGTCGTGAGTTGAACCCTCGCATGGCTGTCCCTCAATGGGTTCCTGTCGCTGGCGGTCAGGTTATTGACATCAAGGCCTTCATGGAGATGAGGCCTGGACTCCTGGGATGGTTGATCCTTGATCTAGCCTTCATCGCTCACCAATACAAAGCGCACGGCTTTGTCTCGGACTCCATCATTCTGATCACGCTCTTCCAAGGGTTGTATGTCCTCGACGCTCTCTACATGGAGCCAGCCATTCTCACCACGATCGACCTCATCCAAGATGGCTTCGGCTTCATGCTTTCCTTTGGAGATGTGGTATGGGTGCCCTTCATCTACAGCCTACAAGCACGTTACCTCGCGGTCTACCCACTCACATTGGGCATCACTGGCGTTGCTGGTGTTCTGTCGATCCAGGCCTTGGGTTATTACATTTTCCGGTCGGCCAACAACCAGAAGAACAGGTTCCGTACGAATCCCAACGATCCTCGCGTGTCAGACCTAGAAACAATCACCACGGAATCTGGCTCCAAGCTGCTAGTTTCGGGCTGGTGGGGAACGGCTCGACATATCAACTACCTTGGGGACTGGATTATGTCATATAGCTATTCTTTGCCGACGGGCATTGCAGGATACATTATCCACAACTATCAGAACCCCGTCACGGGTGCTGTGACCCGGGAGGTTGAGCAAGGCCAAGCACGTGGCTGGGGAATGCTGTTCACCTACTTCTATGTGGTATACTTTGGCGTTTTACTCATTCACAGGGAGAGGAGAGATGATGAGAAGTGTCGCAAGAAGTACGGCAAGGACTGGGAGAAATACTGCAAGCGAGTCCCTTCGAGGATCCTGCCTGGTGTATACTAGCACTGTCACCTTGTCGCTCTGAAACCATATCCGGCCGAAGGTTTCCTGGCGCAGGATGGGAACCAGATATTGATCTATCTCTTTTCTAACCGAGAACCAACAAGGGCCTAGGCCCGATCACCAGACCGTCGGTACCAGTAGTTCCCCACTACTGCCCAGACTTTCATATCCCGTCGGGGCCCCCTGTTCTCCGGATAAAGCCCACCTGAGTTGCTGTGGTGCCCCGACCTTGGTGAATGCAAATTTCCCCAATATCCTGGGGAACCAGCCCCATGGAACACCCAGACCACGTTTACCCCTCCAAGCTCAACTCAAAACTACAAATGTCCTGGAAGCTCCGGGGGTCTGATCTTTGTCTCCTGCTTCCCTTCTTCTTCTTCAACCCCGATCAGCCTTTACATTGTGAACACACGCAGCAGTAATGGGTCTTGGAATCCTCGAATCGTCCACCCCGGGCCATGTCCCTGGCACAGTCCTGCTTGATCAAATAGCTGCTCATTCTGAGCAACAGACTGGTCGCCTCAAGCATGGCAGTGGCAAAGCTGCAAATCTCGTCCTCGCACCTCAGCCGTCCGAAGACCCCAATGACCCCTTGAACTGGTCTAGCTGGAAGAAGCATATGGTCTTGGCGGTCATCTTCTTCGGTGTCGTGATTCATGGTTGTGTGCCCGTGAGTATTCGAGCGTCTTCCATTACTTGGTGTCCCTTCTAACGAGGTATAGTCTCCACTCCTGAACGCTGGTGTCGTCGAGGTGGCTGCAGATCTCAAGAGAACCCCAACGGCCGTCGCCCAAATCTCTGGTTATATGCTCCTTTGCACTGGTGCCGTTGGTCCCTTTGTCTCTGCTATTGGTCGAAAGTATGGCAAACGACCTGTCTACGTCGTCTCATCACTCTTTGGAACCCTCGGTATCATCATCAGCGAAAGCGCCAGTGGATACAGCACACTTTTGGCAGGTCGCATCTTGCAGGGTGTAGGCATAGCTGCATACGAAGCACTGGTAATCGCGACAATTGGCGATATCTTCTTCGTGCATGAGCGCGGACCTCGTGTCGCTGTTGCCATGTTTCTTCTGGCTGCTATTTCCAACGGTGTGTCCATTATCGCTGGCGTCATCACCGCGAATCTGGTAAGTCATCCTCCTACCCCTACTATCCGAGCCTTGCTAATGTCTTGTGCAGGGGTGGCATTACAACTTCTATATCTGTCTGCCATTTGGAGCTCTGCAAACTATCCTGGTCATCCTCTTTGCACCTGAGACCATGTACAGACGCAGGGCAATCTATGAAATTGATACCGCTGGTTCAGAAGAGAACCTTGAGAAGCTTGCTCAAGTCGAAATGCGCCACGTTGAACATTCCAGAGACATTAGCCCCGACGGCGAATCAAAAGACATCGAGAGAACCACTACTGCCATTTCTTCTGTGGGTTCCATCCCAGCCAAGAAAACTTTTGTCCAGGAGCTTGCCTTGTACACTGGAACATACGTCGATGACCCGCTTTGGAAAATGGTTGTGGCATCTGTCGCTATCCTTCTCAACGTTGGCTGTCTTTACCAGATCGTTATGACCGGACTCATCATCGCTTGGTACGTCGCCGTTGCAATCACGTCCGGCGTTATCTTTGCCTCTCCACCCTATCTTCTCGGTTCCGCGACAATCGGCTATATGTCCGCCGGTCCTCTTATTGGGGGCTTTTTCGGCGCCTTGTTTCCATTCTTCACAGCGGAACCCCTGGTCAAATTCATGACCAAGAGAAATCGTGGCGTCTACGAGCCAGAATTCTGTCTCTTGCCAGTCATGTCCATTGGTATGGTCTGCGCTGTTGCCGGCCTTGCGGGTTGGGGTCGAGTTGTGTCCCAAGGTGCCTCTATTTACCTTGTCTGCTTCCTCTGGGGAGTCATGCTCTTCGGCATGACTACGATTGCCTCATTCTGCACACAATGGTCGCTTGATGCATATCGCCAACACAGCACTGAGTTGTTCATCATGAACGTGAGTACCCCAATTAATCCTTTGATCGATCTTCGAGTACATGCTGACATCGTGGCTCTATCAGATGGTCTTCAAAAACTTTTTCTTCTATGGCTTGACAAACTACGTGATTGATTGGTGGGTCAAGGACGGTTCCATGGACATGGCAGGTATTATGGCAGGCCTTACTGCCGCTCTATGCCTCCTGTCCGTCCCAATTTACATCTTCGGAAAGAGGTACCGCAACTTCTGGCACCACAACAATCTCCTGAAGAAACTTCACCTGGAGACGACCAACACCGAAGCCGTAGGTGGACATTGAAGGAGCTCTGCAGGCCGATGAACAGGAAGGTCTTGACATGGAGTGGTCGTTGTCGAAAGAGTAGTGGGTGTTGACTGGAAGTCTTGTTACCTAAGGCTCGGGGAGGCGAGTGGCACTGAAATATCTCTTACGCTCTCGACAAGTACATAAACTCTTTGCTCTCTTTGATCACGCTTTGACCTCGTGCATGTTCAATCAACATGATTTGACAAGCTCAGAGAGATCATGAGGTTGATTGTGCAATTCTGAGTCATTGAATTCTTTTCGTCGCACTCGTCACTATCAAGGCTCGTTCTTATAACCCTCCAGGAAGTCGATCTTGAGCGTGTACAAGAAGTCCTTCTGCAGTTTCTCCCGTCCGACAGCCTGTATCCGCTCAAGGTCTTGCCTGCAATCTATATACATGCCCCTCAGCTCCTTGGCCTTGCCTGCAGCGAGATACGCCGCAACAGCACCGCAAAGCTCCGGAGGGTCCTTGAACAGATTTTTGAAATCAGGAGTCGCCTCTTGCAGGGAGGGGTACTTTTTCAAGATCTCCGGGTTCATCTCGCCTGCCATTGCCATATCATCAGCGCGCGGCTTTTGTTTTCGTGGGAGAAGGGAGACTTACGACTTGACATTGCCGTGGGCACGCCGCCGGGATGCAAAGCATACATTTGAACATCCAATTCGTCGAGGTCAAGCTCCTCCTGCAACGTTGACGTGGCTCTCGTAACGGCGCACTTACTGGAATTATAACCGGTAGAGAATGGAAAGTCCACTGTCGCAGCACGAGATGCAATGTTGACGATGACGCCGGACTTGCGCTCTCGCATGCCTGGCAGGACGGCCCAGGTTGTGAGCATATGCTAGATTGTTCATCTCATGTCAGCAAGAGCGTCATGAGGTCCACTTGACGGACGTGGGGCGGACAAGGACCTACGCTTTTGAAGTTGATCTCGATGGTCCGCCAGAACTCCTCAAAGCTTTCCATCCACTGAGGCTTGCCAGGTGCGACGCCGGCATTGTTCACCAGGATTCTGCGCAGCAACTAAAGTCAATGTATGCCCAGAATGTGAGGTTGATAGGGGACTGACTCGATGGGGCCCAAATCTTGCTCGACCTCTTTCAAGATGGCCGTCAAGCGCGCAACGTCCGTCACATCACAGGGGTAAGTCTTGACGGTAACACCATACTTCTCGCATATGGACTTCGTCTCCTGCAATGGGTCGGGAAGGAGGTCGATGATTGCCAGGTTTGCTCCTGAGTTCGCAAGATTCTCAGATATCGCACGGCCGATGCCTCGTGCTGCCCCAGTGACTACGGCGACTTTGCCCTTGTTCGCACCTTTCAGCTTCTCAGGCACGATCGGTCCATACGGTGCATGTTTGAGTGGCACAGACGAGATGCCGTACTTTGCTGGATCCATGATTACTTTTTATTTGTCAATTGAATGTATTATTGTCCTGCCGCGTATTTCCTCGAGGGACAGCCTTCTTGACTTATCACAACATACAAAGTTTGGATCGGCATTGCACCTCCCACCAGGCTCGTCTGCGTTGTCCACACATGAGTAGTGGTCCTCCATAACCCCACATTCACCTACACGAACTGGAGATTGAGATTGTGGGGTAGGAGGCCGGCACGGACAGTCAGCCTGGCTTCTCCAAATCGACCTCTTCGAGATACCTTGTGGGTAAAGTCTGGTTCCTGCCACCGGTGAAAGTCTGTCTAGAAGGAGGTCTACCATTACATGCCAGGTGACGGATATTGAGTTTACAGCTTCGCCCTGCCGTTATTCTGGACATCCTTCTCGGCCCACTCTTTCAAGACATTCCGCATAATCTTACCGTTATGGTTTCGTGGAATCTCCTTGACAAAAGCAATACCGGCCCTTAGACGCTTGTACGAGCTCACTTTGGGATTCAGGAATTCATGGATGTCCTTCTCCGTCACTGACCCTGGCTGGCTGGTCTGTGAAATGACGACGTACGCCCGCGGCAGATCATTGGCATTACCGTCAGGAACGCCAATGATGCCGACATCAGCAATACCAGGAAATAAACCCAGGACGCCTTCCAACTCGGTAGGAGATATCTGGTGGCTTTTATACTTGAGAAGTTCCTGTACCACAATCAGTAAGCACGGCTCTGCAACACTGTAACAGTACATCTTCCTCGAAACGGGAAGTAGCAGAAAGCGCACGGTAAGCAGGCTAGCACCACTTACCTTGGAACGTCCGACAATGAAAAGTTTCCCATCTTCCGAGAAATGCGCGACATCACCAGTACGGAACCAGCCGTCCGGTGTGAAGGCACTCTTCGTAGCTTCCGGATTCTTGAAGTATTCACGAATGATATTGGGTCCTGCAGCACCACGGATTAGCATTTCACGTCCTTTCGCCCAAATATTTCATCATGCTCACCCTTCACACACAATTCTCCGTCCTCATTGACTCCAAGTGTCTCTCCGTTACCACCGAGAATAACTGCCTGCAAGTTCGGCAGCAATCGCCCAGAACTGCCCTCCGTGTCGACTTCTGTAGGCGCAGGCTGAGCCGCACCCGTCGTAGTCTCCGTCATGCCCCAGTTGACTCTGAGCATGACACCCTCAGGCAGCATCTCCTGCACCTTGAGTTGCAAAGGCAGCGGCAGCGGCGACGCCCCACTCATGCAGAATCGAGATGACGCCAGATCTTCCTTTGAGCACTCATTCGATATCCTGTTCCAGACGGCAGGAACCATAAAGAACGTGGAGAACTTGTAGGTGCGTATGCACTGAATCAGATAGTCGAAGTCGAATTTCTTGAACATGTACACTTGTATGCCGCACTGCAAGGCCATCATGGTCTGCACGGTAATACCGAGGACCACAGCGTTCTGCATGATGCCAGGCATGCGGAGATATTCGCCTTCCGCGATGGCTTTGCCTGCGAAGTGATCGAAGTGGTAAGCCATCTGGCATAGGTTGGCCACAATATTTGACTGGGTGATTCGTACACCTTTTGGCACGCCCGTAGTGCCACTCGAATAGACTAGGCATGCCGTTGTATTCTCCAGGACCGATGGGTCCGTCATCCTCCGCCATTGTAAATGTTTGTCACTGATGATGGACTTGCCGCTCGCATCCACGATATCTAACGACTCCGACATCATGACAAGAAGTTTGATATTGTTGTTGCCAGCTTGCGATATCGCTTCCTCAGCGACCTTTCGCGTCTGTGGTGAGCATATCAGAATCTTCGGACCGCTCAGCTTTATTTGCCGGGCGAGCTCGAACGCCGTTGCCGTCATGGGACATGTCGCGTGGATGCCTGATGCACATAAGACGCCAAATGTGGTCGGCGCAACCATAACTTGGTTCTCAATGTACGAGAGGACAATGTCCTCGCTGCCATCTTTGCTCCCGATACCGAGGTCTCGGAGACCCTGGCCGATACGTTGTGTGAGCTCTTTGGCTTTAGCGAGTGTCACGTTGAGTTTTGGGTTGATGGCGTCGAGCCATATCGGGTCGTTGTTCTTGAAGGGCGTCTTGGTGAATAGAAAAGTGAGTATGTCCTGCTTAGGGATGTCTATTTGATAATCTGAATTAAATATCGTCATGGCTTGTGAGAAATCTGTGGTTCAACGGTCCAATGTGACAGACAATATTCGAAGTGACTTCCGGAGGCACAAGGCTGAGCCTCGGCGGTGTGTATATTGTTCTTAGGAACAAATGCCAGAGGTAAGCAGAAATTGGGGGACGAAATTGTCCACTCACCGAACTTTGCTTGGTCGTCGGGAAGCATATCGTCTGGAGATGTCTCCATCTCATCCCACCTGTGAACTCAGATCGAAAGCGGTAGTTTGCCTTACTCCATAATCTCCACACTTGGCGAGAGCTTGAAAGTCGGGGAAGTGGAGGCATGGCTGCACACACATGTGGGGCGGTCTGGAAATTGGAGCTCTCGTGAACGTGCACGGGGTAGACCTACAAGGCTCAGGCCAGCATTGGGGCCATGCCGTGGCAATGATTCAAGGTAAGAAGGTGTGAAGGTAAGGAAGAACGTGAGTATCTGAGCAGGAATCCTCAATTGTGAGCTGATGGCGGCAAATGTTCCACCCTTGAAAGGGCTCAAAGGTAAGTACCCCCGACTAAAACCATGTGACATCAAGCCGGAAGGCTACTTACCGTATGCAAGACTGACGTTTTTGATATTCAGTCCTCGAGTTGGGAGGTCTCGCACCCTCACCATTCGCAGGTCTGATTTTAGCCGACTATGGCGCCGACGTGGTCAGAGTCGACCGGCTTGTCACGCCATTCGGCCCTCCTCGCGACACACTATGTCGTCACAAACGCTCGATAGTAATCGATTTGAAACACGACACCTCACGTCGCGCATTCTTAGAGCTCGTCAAAGTTGCCGACGTGCTCATCGACCCATATCGCCCCGGCGTAATGTCCCGTCTGGGTCTCGGTCCTGAGACGCTGCGGCAAATCAATCCCAGGCTGATCTACGCACATCTACACGGCTTCCGGCCGGACGGCATGTATGGCAAGCGAGCGGGCCACGACATCAATTACTTGGCCGTCTCTGGGATATTGTCTCTCCTGGGACGAAAGGGCGAAAAGCCTGCGCCGCCGTGTAACATCCTAGGCGACTTTGCGGGCGGAGGTCTCGTCTGCGTGACGGGCATCCTCATGGCGCTACTTCATCGCTCGGTCACGGGCCAAGGACAGGTTGTCACGGCAAATATGGTTGACGGGAGTGCTTATCTTGCAACCTTCCCTAGGCAGCAGTTGGGACACACCAATATGGATAAGCCGCGGGGCGAGAATCTGTTGGATGGCGCCGCGCCGTTTTATGAGGTATATGAGACGAAAGATGGCAGGTTCGTCGCCGTAGGAGCACAGGAGCCCCAATTTTTCAGTCTGCTTTTAGCCGGGCTAGGGTTGGAGGAGAAAGATCTGCCGAAGCAGTGGGACCGGGAGAGATGGCCGGAGTTGAAGGCTGTTTTTACGGAGGTGTTTGCTCGGAAGACGATGGTGGAGTGGCGCGCTGTGTTTGATGATACCGACGGTTGTGTCTCGCCGGTGCTTGAGATGGGCGAGACCGAGAGGCCATATAAGCCGCTTGTCGAGATGTCTGGGTCACCGAGCTTAAATGTCGATGTGCAGGAGGATTACCCTGAGTTGAAGAAGGGGGAGGGGTGTCAAGAGGTCTTGCACGAGTGGGTACCGGGGCTGGAGAAGGCCATGGACGTTGATGCTACGTCGAAGTTGCTAACTCTGGCGAGGGCCAAGTTATGATCATAAATATAACATTGCTTTGACACCTCAGACATTACGTGTGAGTAGTGAAAGCGAATGTCTGCACATTGTCATGTTACGCCGTCATTCGAAAGCGCCTCCAACATCCATGTCAATTAAGCGGGCTCCGTAGAGTTGAGTGCCCACCTCAAGGTACATTCTCCATAGTCAACCTCGTCTCGCCGTCGAAAACAGTAAGTTCTTTCCTGGCACGAGTTGCCTCTTTCAGAATGATCTCCGCAATGTCTTTAGATCTCGGGATGAAACGTGCCTTGAAAGGCTCAGCTCTCATATTCTCACTCTTGGTGAACGCATCAATGCTGGTGTCCAGCTTCAACTCATTTCCCTATCGAATAGTTAGTATCACCACATAGTCTGGCTTTGGTCGCACTCACATTCTCATCCAAACCCGGTCGGATGTCAAACGCCCACAAGAGCGTAGCGATGGTCATGAAGAGACCCTGCTCAGCGAGTGGCTGGCCGCTACATACACGTCGACCCCATCCAAAGGCATTGTGACCCTGCTTGTTGGGATACGGCCGCTCGAGGCCGCCGAGAAATCTTTCCGGTCTGAAGACATCGGGCTCCGGGAAGTCTCGTGGATTACGATGGATAGCCCACACATTCCCCGTGATAGAAGTCCCCTTGGGGATTGAATACCCGCGATATTCATCATCTTGGATTGGAGCGTGCGGGATACCACCAAGAATAGTGACGGTTCTCCAGCGGAGAGCTTCGCTCATGATGGCTTTGACGTAAGGTAGCGAATTCTCATCATTCCAGTCTGGAACCCTATCCTGGCCAACCACCTTGTCGAGCTCTTCATGAGCCTTTTGCTGGACATCCGGGAAAGCGCACATGGCCAGAAGGAAAGCGATCGTGGTACCACTGGTCGTGTCGACGCCTCCACCGATCAAGTTAGAGGTCAGAGTCGCTATTTCGGCGTCATCCAGCCCGTTCTGTTCCTTTTCCCTGTACAGCCGTTTCGCAAAATTGTCTTCGAGAGCTCCAGTACCCTCCTTAGATAGCGCGGCAAAGTATCGTTGTACATGCAGAGACAACTGGAACACTGTTTGTGGCCAGGGATAGATCCAGTTCAACAGCTTCGGAAGTCGCGCCAGCAGAGGTATGGACTCTATGATAAATAGCCCCGGAATGATCAAGTCTACTCCCTCCATGACTTTCAGCGCCATTTGTCCGACGTAGTCGTTGATCTTGTCAATGCGGCGACCCCAACCGATGATCGAAACGACCGAGGTAGAATACCGCTCGATGGAGAGGACATAATCATCGGGCTTTTCCATCAGATCTCGGACCAAGATTTTCGACTCATGAGCTTGAATGTGCCGTATTGGTCTAACAGCCTGCGATCCTACAGCTGTGTGCTTCAAGGATTAGTCGGGTAGTGACGAACATATGAGATCATGCATACCATGAGACGCCGGTGCAGCCGCCAACGGTCACCATACACGAGACAGACTTGGTTGTTCTCCGTTGCATTAATTATGTCGCCCTGGGCAGAGTGTTAGCACACTTGACCGCTACCATCATCCAGAAAATGACCGCTATGATAGAAGTGGGGTATTACCATTGCGATCATCCTTGGGCGACTACTATAGATGTTGGCTCTCTTGTCCAACAACTCCGAGATGGTCCAAGCATCGTTGCACATAATGGTAGGGCGATGACCTTGCCAGATGGTGGTCATGGGGTTGTTGTAATACTGAGCCCATTGTTCAAACTGAATCCAGGGCTTGTACTTTGAGATGGTGAAGAAATTGCCAAAAAGTGGTAGAGGAAAAGGTCCGGGAGGCAATTTTTGACGGAGTCGAAGAACCCGAACATAGTCGATGAGAATCCAGAGCAGAGGGATGGCAACAACACCCAGTACGGAGAGCTTCACAATGTCAAAGACTGAGAGGGAAAGTTTCCCGCCTTGTTCGGCGTCCGAGATGTCCTGAAGTACGCCCATTGTTCATACGGTATTCAATAGATGTATGTAAAACCTGTACCTATGTTGGCTTTGAGAGGTTGAAAAGGATTGTGCCTCGATATCATCACATCAGACATGTAACACCGAAAGCGATGTGACGGGACGGAGTACAGAGGACGTTATAGCCGACAGATTCGGGCACCACATGTGGGTTTTCCTCTGCGGGTGTGCCTCTGTGGGTGTGCCCCAGCTTTCATGTTGGGGAACACCCCAAGCCGAGCCGTGCTAGCTACAGTATTAACATTCTTCGGCTCGCCCGGCCTCTACGGTACGCGTCGATTAGGCACCCCGGAGAGTTTCCGAATACCTGAGGCTGCACGTCGTGCACGTACTACAAAGTACCTTCCCGTTAATGTTCCAATGATGATACCCCCCACGAAGCCGTACTCGTTGGCGTAAGGAGGAAGTATTGGACCGCGATGAGTGCCAGATTTGTCCTTCAGTCGTAGGTAGCCACTACTTCTGGGACAGACTGTGTGAATTCGCGTGACCCTGGGGTCGAGCTGAGAAGCAACTGACCACATGTTAACCGGGAGGCGATTTCGGCCTGGATGGCCATGACCTCCTCCATGCTAATCATTGTCTCGTCTCTAGAAAGCATCCCGGAACTCCTGAAATCACAAGGTCTCAGCACTACAGACTGTTCAGGTGATTACTGTCCTTACCTGCAGCCGACTCGACTTGCTCAATCCACTGGCTGGCAAATCGCTGGAAAAGGCACCAGCCGCGATATCCCTCTTCATATCCTGGATCATCGCCACTTTCTACCTCACAGTTAGTGTCTCGATCGGGGACGCAGCAACCTTCAACCTGCACGCTTTTGTGGGCTGAGTTCGGTGGGGAACAAGCATAACTCACCTCTTCGAATGAATTGCGGACGCGGTATCTGATCGTGTTCACTTCTTTGGTCTGGCCCAAGCGATGGATGGGGGAGAGAGCTTGTTCTTCGATCATCGGGTTCCACTGGGGCTCAAGTAGATATGCTCGCGAAGCAGCTGTTAGATCGAGGCTGGAAGGAAATGTGTCAGCGTATACTTTTAAGCCACCCAGGGCAGAACATCTGCACTGGGTCCTGAGGGGCGTGCACAACATACCCAGTTCCACCACAAGTGATGGAGACCAAGATGACACGCACAGAGTCATCCGTCTGAAACCGCTGGATTGCCTGCTCACGCCTAGCCCCCGAAAGGTTGCCATCGATTCTCGCATATGGAATGCTCGTATGTTGGCGCAGTAATGACTCGATGATGTCGAGTGTATAGGTCCAGAACGAGAACACCACACTGTAACGTACGTGTCAATGACCTGTGCAGGGTCACCATGGGCAAGGCCAACAATACCTTTTTTCTGCCTTTTCATGCTGCTTAAGGTCCTGTAGAAGCGTCCTCAACTTGGTCGAGACTTTCTTTTCTTCTATCGTGGGGAGTCCAGCTTCCGCAGGTCTATTCGAGGTTTCTGGGGCCCAGGACACTTCGGCTTTAGGACAGGCCGGGTTGCAGCCGCATCCTGGGACTTGCTCACCGTTCAAGCGATTCTGAATACAAGAACTGCAGATGACGGTCATGCATCTGGATAGTGATGGTTTGGAATGCTCGAGACTGTCGGCCTCACCGGTCCCGGCTGCCATGTTGGCCTGACATAGTTTGCAGATCGCCGAGCCGGCGTCCACCAAAGTCGCGAAAGCCTGTTTCGCTTTTGTCTTGTTCCAAGGTCCGGCCGAGGACCCTTTTTTGAGGACTCCCTGCCATTCTTTCCAGGGGTGCATCAAACCATGGTTGCAGATGAGACGTAGTTCATTCAGCCATTCCAATGCGTTGAGATACATGCCTGGGGCGACAGGACTGTCGGATAGAGCTTCGTCGAGCTTTTGGATGCTGCGATCTCTGGCCAATTCATAGAGCAAGGCCTCCTCTTGCCCAAAATCGATGTACTGGATCACATCTCTGCAACGAGGGAGGTCGATGATCGCTTTCGTGCGACACAGAGACAAACACCTGATCACTCTCTTCAGTCTAGCTGTGTCCTTGTCGGCCGATTTCAACCAAGGCTTCACCACCTCCGCATCAAAGACCTTAGGGTCTTCGAAAGGCTCGATATGAAGGAACTCGAGAAGGCTCCCAAGATCGCTGGGTTTGTTCTGAATTAGTGTCCCCGTCATGGCCCACCGTCGACTTGCTCGAAGAGTGCAGCAGGCTTGTGCGATTCCACTAGACCGATTGCGGATGATGTGCCCTATGGCACAATGTCAGCAGGTTGTATTCCATGGGCAGCCCAGACCTACCTTCGTCAAGTACAATGCGATGCCAGGCAAAGGAGAATAAAGTGCTATCAGTCCACCTGGGGTCCTTGTGCTTTTTCAGCTGGCCCATCAATGTTTCATAAGTCGTGATGACGATATCATAACTGCTCAAAGACAGTAGTTTGCGCTTCTGAGAGCCATGAAACCTGAACCAGGATAAAGAGTTCGGTTTAAGATGTCTAGAAATGTTAATGATTGGCTATCCGCCAGGCTGTCGAGTGCATTACCGTCGTAGCTGAGTGTCCCAAGTATCCAACACTGCCAATGTGAGCACTGTTCGACCGCTGATCACGAAGAAGGATCACTCACAAGAGAATGGAACAATGATCAAGGTCGACTTGATTCGGTGAATTATTCCTTGGGACGTGAATACGAGCGACGCGGCAAGCTGAGCAGGATTTAGCGCAATGAGCGAGATCATAGTCAGTGTTTTGCCGAGGCCCATCTGATCAGCCAAAAGACCGCCTCTGGATTCTGAGGGTTCATGGCTCTGGGACTGTTGTGTGATCAAGTTGGTGTACCTGGCAGCGTTAGTTTGTAAGAGTGTTATGCTAGTGAAACCAACACCAGATCTCCCATGTTCCCCCCGTCTCTCACCCAAAGACTGTCCGGGGAATCCTCGAACGACCGGGCTGCTCTTTCTCCTTCATGAACGTCAGGGCTTTCTGCTGATGTCTAGTCGGGTCAGTATTTTGCGTGTGGTGCATCTCCACTTCCCCCAAAACTTACTTATACAAACCGGTACAAAGCTGATGGGGTGGGTCGGTAAGTTGAAGATGAGAATCGTCGCAGATCTGGCTGAAGAGATCCTCCGGAGCGTCCACAGTTATCACCTCTTGGCCCCTTGACGGTTCTTCAACTTCGGCTTTGAGCGACGAGGTCATGACCACTTGTTCTGTACGTGACAGCAGGTGCGGATTAAGATAAGGGACATCTCGATCATACTGGATTGGATCTTGGAGGAACATCTTGCACTTTGCCAGATAGTCGCCGACCCCCCGACCAAATTCTCTCGGTCCGTAGATGATGACATTCAATAAGTATTGAAGGTCGTTTTGGCCACTTTGTGGACCTTTGGCAGGTTTGTTGTTTGCCCGACGAGTGGTGACATTGCCATACATCTGGTATGTGATGCGGGGTTGAGCTGCCATAGTGCCAGAATCCCTGCGGTCCGCTCTTCGAAACAACCAAATGCTCTGCCCGTCGACAAGAGGAGCAGTGAGTTTGGAGGTTCGCAGCGCAGGTCCAATGATGAAGAGGTCACTGTAGATAGGCCGGTTCGGTGGGAGGTAATTGGGATTCTTGGCAGCTGATTGGTATTCTTAGGTCAGTTGATATGCTGTATACATGCGTATGAGAGTCTTACCATCCCATAACAGTAGGACAATTCAGTCGGACAGGCGCTGTCACAAGTCACCCAGTCCGCTCTCTCACGATCATCTGATGTTCTTCAATCTGCGCGTTGGGGTAAGTAAAGTTATCGTGCCATTCAATGCTCGGAATGGATGCTCCAAAGTCAAAGTCGAAGCTTTCCGAAACGTTCCTCATCGAAGCTGTGCTGGCTGAGAGCGTGGGCGCCCACGAGGTATTCGCCAAGCTCGTAGCAGTCGAGTAGAAATCATGTGTCTCCTCATTACTCCACACCGCGTTGTCGCGGATTGGGTCGTAGGTCGTCGCCGGCGAGGCTGCGGAGACGTTATGGTGTTGGCCCTGCAAAGAGCCGTTATACCTTGGGTCGAGCTTTTGGCGCTTGTGATGGTACTCGATGACAGCTGGCTCATCAAACCAGTTCGAAAAGGATTCGAGCTCCATGAAGCCGATAGCCTGGTGCCGAAACTGTACAATCGACAGGCTTGCCAAAATTGGACCTGCCCGGCCGCATCGACTTGGTACAGATTGACGGATGTGTTTCCTACCTTCGCTGCGTAGGGCGACAGATGCATTTCATGGGCAGAATGATGTCGTGACTACTGCAAGCATCCACTAATGGACAGTACAGCGAAAGCAGATCATCATCCGCGGAGAACGGCCATCGTTGAGACTCATCAGCCCGCTGAGGCTGAGATCTTTGTGCGATCCTGGCTAGAGCGGCTGTTGAAAGGGCGGTAAGGCAGACACAGCACTGGGTAATTAGGACTGCGAACCATGCAAGGCGACTAGAGCCAAGGCACCTGAGTGCCAACCTGGAACTCATTGGCACATATTCAACTCCGCCTCGCCAGGGAAGGGAGGTTTGCCGCGGCGCCCTTACTCGGCACCTAACTTAACCTATCATAGACAGGGCGCAGGGGCTACCCTAGGCGGCAGGCGACTGCGTAGATTCAACCCTCCAGCCGCCTCAGTTGTGTCACCTTCATTGATTAATTCTGCCTTGGTGAAGCTGCACCAGGCAATTGATTCAGGCCTATGAGAAGATTGGTCATGTAAGTTTTGACTAGGGGATCTTACACTGCTTCCACACGATGCACTTGTGGTGAACATAAGGCCGTGGACCGTCAGGCTACGGAGTACTGCCCATCATGTCTGCACATGGCCCATTGGGGACAAGCTGGATTTCACTTGTGATGTTGGGGTGATTTTCAGTCCCTCCTGCTTCAGTCGATTACCGGTGGCCAAAGATTGCCGTTGCGCCGGGCCTAATTCACCTCCAGAACCAAAATGGTGGCCAAACCGTGCTATCGCCTTCCGCCGATCAAGCTGAATCGTTGAAGCCTTCCTTCAGATCTCAACCCGGTAACGCAGCGGTATCGTGCCGGAAGCGATCAATCAATGCTCCGCTGAGATTTACCCCTTTTCGATGTTGCCATATGGTCTAGTGTCACTGTCGTTACAAGCATCCAACCCCTCTGTTTCTGATGGTCAGTCTGAGAGAATATGACGGCATCGCAGACACCTGAATCAATCTTGGAGGACGCGTTTCGCCGCTTGAAGGAATCTGTATTTCCCTCCGATGCTCTCATGTTCCAATTGACCGAGCTCAAGGACGTCTGGGATGCCGCGGAGGAGATCCAGAAGACCCAGCGGCAACGCCAATCCTTAAAGGCACTCAGTCGCTTCAGACCACTGCTGGAAACACTGGAAAATTATTCGAGAACACAGTGCGTTTGTATTGGCGACTTCAGTTTGCATGGAGTACTGAATCGGAACCGCCCCCTCAGCAAAGAGAGACTTTCCTGCGGTGTGATTGGACGGGCTCAAACCCTGTTCAGCCTACCATGTGAACGCGTTCGCAGCAGTCTCGTACATCCTTTGGTCAATCGCACATGCTCAATGCCTTTCGTCGTGCTACTCTGCTCACAGATCTGGAGAGCATCGTGGGCTCTCTCTTGAATGGCTGGGCGACTTCATCTTTCGAGATGGTGCCTACAACGGACCACTACGACCTCAACGTAAGGGGCCCATGAAGACTGGTCGAAGCAGGGCCACGGTGGTAGGTACACATAATCGACGAGCTGCGACTATGCACCGGCCACAAAAGTGGTCCTTAAGATACTCCGGTTGGACTGAGGAGACTGGATTTGGAGGCCGCTTTTCAAGAGACACAGTAGCGGAGCTCCCCAGCGAGACTGAAATCTGGGCAACCATGTCTGGTGCAGAGACATTTCAATAGTCGTGTTTGGATTATCTTGCACTCTCAACCTGTGAATGTTGGCAAAAGCAAGCAGATGATTCCCCGAGGCGCATTTTGTCAGCGGATGTCGGACCCCTTGCATGATGCACTGCCCAGTCATGTTATGTGCTGCTCGTCGACGGAGAAAGTCGCTTGTTGGAGGCCAGATTTTGGAGGCCAGACCACGTCCAGGACTATTATAACGGGTCTTCCCCTTCCCAAGTTTGAGAGTCAAAACTCCAAGTGTTCTCCTCTGCCAAAGCAGCTACGTCAAGTCATGATTGGTCAGATCATTGATGGCCTTATGCACTTGTTGGGAGAGTACAAAACCCAAGCCTCCTCCTCTGTCAAGGCAAGTCTCGTTGCCCAATGATTGGTCAGATCTATCTACACGCATCACTTATTAGGCATAGACTTATGTGAACTTCGAGCCTTACCGAGTTTTGGCCGCCCAAGATTCTTTTGGGTAAGTGGACTCGTACAAAGGTGCTTGCCTGAGTGAGTATGTTCAAGTGCTTTGTCTAGAACGCCCACTATCAAGTCCGTGCTAACAAGCTGGCTGTCATGTCAGCAACGACCGAAACGCACGAGACAAAGTCTTTCGAGCATATTTGACACGACAAATCTTTTCAGCTGTATTGACAAAGGCAGAAGCATGTTGCATGGCGGCCGGCCGCCGTCACTTAAGCTGGTCGTGCCTAATTGTAAGGGAGGAGAATCTGCTTTGGATATGAGAAACTTTGTGAGCGCGGAGCGACTATTGTAGCACTTGATAGTGTTGTTGAATGATTGATTGATTGGCAACCACCTGAGAGTGCTCGAAATGGGTGCAAGTATCGAAGTGCAATCTGAGGCAGCGCTAGTCCCAATCGGGACCGTGCAACAACTATGACAAGGCTCGCAGAAGCCACTATTAGACAATCCCCAGTGGACGCTCGATTTTAAGCCAGCCGTTGGTGGCATTGTCGTGACGACAAGCCATAAGTTGCGCTGCATTGTATAGAGCTGGCCAAGGTGAGAATTGCTGAACAGGACGTCAGATGCCCCGGCATCGTCCCGAGAGCCAACATACATAAGAGGTGAATATTTGCAGCAAACTATGATACAGTTCGATTTCACACCAAGACATCCCCAAACGACCCCTCACGATGCAGGAAACCCTAATCCTTGTGTGTTCTCGACCCCGGAAAGTCCCCGGATAGTGGAGGTCTGTGCGCCGGGTAAGTACCAAGCGAGGACCCCTTGGGGCAATGTCATGTACTCCACGGGCGACGTCCACGAACCTTAATAACCCCATCATTACCACGTTCGGAAAGAGAAGACGAACCGCAACGAGAAGCATGTCTTTTGTTCTTCAGCCCGTGCAGGCCCAGCAGTACACATGCAGGACATACTGTTGCGAAGCCACACGGCTATCTCAGTGTCACCATGGCACAATTGCAGAGCCTCATCACTAAGGCGACACCAACGTCTGCCCTACTATTGACCGCCGGCTTGCTCGGGCTATGGGTGGTCTTCCAGCTATTCTCTTACCTCCGAGATCCATTAAGAGACATCCCCGGACCATTCTGGGCAAGATTCACCCGGCTGTGGTACCTCAAAGAAATCGCCAATGGACAATTCGAGAAGACCAATATCGCATTGCACAGGAAATATGGTGCGTTCTCACCGCAGAAACGTCCCCAGACGAGTATCAAAGAAAGACAGTGTTGACCGTTCTCCAGGCCCAATCGTGCGCATCTCACCTCACTACTATTCCATCGATGACCCCGAAGCCATCAAAACCATATACTCGCATGGGTCGAAGTTCATCAAGGTGAGCAGCCCCACCGTCCTCATCTTGCTCTAGGAGCCGAGCAGGACTATCAACGTGTCGCAGTGCAAAACAGCTAACCTCATCAACCGCAGGGAAATTGGTACACCTCTTCAGCCAACCCTAGCAACAAACAGCCCGATCTGTTCACGGACCTGAACCCCGAACGCCACGCCCTCAACCGACGGAACGTCGCATCGCTGTACTCAATGACGAGCCTGGTAGGCATGGAGCCCAACGTCGTGGATTGCGCGGCACTCCTGTCCCAGAAGTTCAACGACTTCGCTGTCAACGGCACACAGTTCAATCTGCAAGTCTGGTTCCAGTACTTTGCATTCGACACCATTGCTTCCATCACCGTAAGTCCCATGAGCCCCGATCCCACCCTCAGTCGACTTATCTGACAAGCAATAAAGCTGAGCAAACGCTTCGGCTTCCTCGACACAGGCGCCGACAACGGCGGCATGATTGCAGCTCTGCACTCATATCTCCAGTATCTGTCCAAAGTCGGCGTCATCCACGAATGGCACCGAACATTCATGTGGATACTCTCCTTCTTCCCCGCAGGCGGGATGCGCTACATGGGCGGCTTTATGATGGAGCAAGTCCAGGAAGGACAGCGAACGAAATCGAAGAGCGATCTCGAAAAGGATGAGTCGAAACCCACGGACGACTTTCTCACCAAACTTCTGCGCATGCACGCGCTGCAGCCCGAAAAGTTCCCCATGGACGCTGTCTATTCGACCTGCGGGACGAATATTGGAGCCGGATCAGATACGACGTCCGTCAGTCTAGCGGGCATCATGTACTGTCTCATGAAACATCCTGAGGCAGTGAGGAAGTTGAGAGAAGAGATTGATCAAGCCATCGCCGAACGGGGGTCGAAGGAGATGCTCACATTCCAAGAGGCGCAGAAACTGCCATATCTTCAAGCTTGTATCAAGGAGGGCCTTCGTTGCCATCCTGCGACAGGCTTGCCCATGGTTCGGGTGGTGCCTGAAGGCGGAGCCACCATTGCAGGCAGATATTTCCCGGCAAAGGTGAGTCCTCATGACGATGACGTGAGAGTCACGCTGACTGATAATGGCAGACCGAAGTGGGTGTGAACAGCTGGGTAGCTCACGCCAATCAAGAGGTCTTCGGTAAAGATGCCGGAGAATTTAGACCAGAGCGTTGGCTCGAGTCGGCGGAGAGAGCATCGGAGATGAATCGCTATATCATGACAGTAGGTATAGCGCCCACGTGAGATATTCCTCGACTGATTGTATTTTAGTTCGGCGCAGGTTCAAGGACGTGTATCGGGAAGAACATCAGCTTGTTGGAGATATCAATTCTTATTCCGGAATTGGTGAGACGGTTCGATATCACGCTGGCAGACCCCAAACAACCGCTCGAGACGGAAAACGTGTGGTTCGTGAAGCAAAAGAACCTCGATTGTTATGTGTCATTGAGGCAGGAATGACTGAATGCTCTTCATTGAATTGGCGGATAAGCCGGGCGAAACATGATCGAATTATCGGTCCACTAACATATTATGGCTCATTTTGTCGGGTCTCCATCTTCACAATCAGGTAACAGACCTAGCAAGAATTGCAAAATCCATTCTTGCATCATTAACGAGTCATGTTTTCCTTTGGTACCCTCTATCCATGCGTCGACTTCTTCTTGGGGAAACCCTCTCTCCGGCGTGAACAAGTATGAAATTGACTCCGACATGATGAATGAATCAAACTCCCAGTGAGGTTGTGAGGTGAGGACCCTGCCTGGCTCGAACAGGCCTTGCACATGGCAATATTTGGTGCTGCCAAGCGACATCCACCGTCCGGTGAGATTCTGTGGCGCCTTGGGAAGAACGACATGATCCCCGTGGCCCAACTGCAGGTGTAATTGGGGAGCTTTCGATGTGTTGTCCGGCTCAGCCGTCGCTGGGATATACCTTTCGAGCCCAGGGAAGTACGCTGTCAGCTTCGGGTTCATAACGACTGTCTGCAACCCAAATTCGAAACCTCCCGGGTGCTTCTCGACCAGGACACCCTGTTCACCGCAAAGAGTCTGGCAAATGATTTGGTGGCCAAAGCAAACGCCTGATATCCGGACATGGGGATATTCTTTGTAGACGAGCTTGATGAAATCGGCAAGAGGTTGGATCCATGGGAAGGTGTCATAGGCTCCGGCCATTGAGCCAGTGACGATGAAACCATCGATTTTGCTCGGATCGGGATATTGTCCTGCAATAACGTCGTAACCACTGATTTTCACAGACGAGGGAAGTCGAAGTCGCTCAGCAGCACCTTGTAGGACCGGGATGAAGATCCCGCTGAAGTATGGGCCGTATACTTCCTCGACAACGGGGACATTACGTTCACAATCCAAGATGGCGATGTGCCGAGGTGATACCGTAGATGCCGCTGGAAGATGCATGCTCGTTCAGATTTCAGAAAGAGGATCAAGAAGGTTCTCCAAGGGACATCACCAATCTGGTTCGATGATTGAAAGTCTGCATCTCGCAGCAAGTGTGGCAGCATGACAAGACATGGAGAGCTCAGCCTTGTCTTATCAGAGTGTGAGTTTGGTAATGGCAGGTCATTCATTCCTGAAGGGGAAGGCAAGATTGTGGAGCCGGACTTTACCGCACCCTTTGTCTTTGGCTATACTTCGTCGACTATACTCTCCAGAACGATTGAAACCGGGAGATTCGCGCAGATAACCAGGCGGCTCGTCAGGTAAACTACGGTCGGTTGAGGCGGCCCGAGAAGTGTCCAGATTTGGGACAGATGAAGGACTAAAGCGCCGTTACAAGTGCTCCTGTCATGTCAAACTCCGATGAATCACTGCATCCGCGCCTCTCCACTATCCTCCTTCCAATACCAGTCCCGCAGTTCAGTGTCAAGCATCATTTGCATTGCCTGTTTGATGTGGGTGAGGGTTTCGTCAAACATCTGACCTGGTCAGCAACGGCTCGCTCCAGAGAGAGCTGCACATACAATTCTGACGAAAAAAAGAGGTTCACGGTCGAGTGGTAAGGAAAGTTGTACGTCTGAGATTTCATCTGCGTGCCAGATATGGTTGTCGTTTGAGGATGTCTCTGTGATATTTTCTATCCTAGGATTGTTCCTCGTAGATGCCTCCCACGATGTTGAAGCACTATCAGAAGTAATCGTGCCATGAGGTGCTATCTTTTGACCTTGCCTGTGGCGGAATCTCTGGATCTTTCTGTTGGTCACAGTGTACCGGCTCTGGATTTCCACAATTCGAGCTTTGTTGCACGATCCGTTAAGTATCACTTCCATGGCCTCTGCGGGAATATTCTTGCGTATACCCCATTGAGCTAATTGTCGTTTGTATTGTTTGTCCGTTGCGTGAAATTGATACTGACGTTTCATGTCCTCCATCAAGTCTTGAAGACTCATTTTCTCGCCCATGTATCGTCGTTCAATGGGTTCACGAAGTCGATTCCACTCGACTTTCGGGATGACGGGCGCTCTTGGGGCTGAAGACATTTTTGACAGACTGCTCTTCAGTCACAGAATTTACAACCCGCAACGTGCGCAATGAGATGGAGATGTTCGGGAGGAGGGATAGTCGGTGAGACTTATTCCTAGACATGCGCTTGGATTTATCCTGCAACCAGGAGATATCGAGGCCCTTTCTGACGCAAGGATTTCTGGGAAATCCACAAAACTAAAGTTGCAACTTTGGCTGAGCTGGGGAGGGCTTGTTGATAAGGCTGTCAGATCAGCGCCCACGAACCCCGCGTTGATTTGATGCGTGGGAGCCCAGGACAGCATCAGCAGGTCTCAAAGTTGCAACTTTGGTCTTGGGGAAGCACATCTGACCGCGGACTAGGTAGTGCAGCATACATTTCAGGGACAACATTCGGGGATTCTATTGGCGCCAGCAGAGCCCAAAGTTGCAACTTTGGTCAGGTTGCGTTGCCGAAGACATGGATCCCAAACCCAGGATCGAGCGACAAATCAGTTTGAGGATTGGGCGGCGCCCGGATGTGTAAGATGATGCCGCTCGTCGATGTTGCTTCTTCAAGCTGGCTTTGCGGCGAGGAGTCTGGCCCCCCAATTGCCGAGACGTGCTTCTCGGCGGCGGAAGCTCACCTACCAAAAGCGCCACCGATACCAATCCGACCAAAGTTGTTGCCTAGCAGACCAATTGGGCGGCTAGACTTTGCAAGGGGTTGCGCGTATCACCTGGCTGGTTGAGTTACCGTATAATGAGGTTTCAAAAGTTGTATGGACTTAGCTGCAACGGCATCGGTAATGTCGCATTAAAAGCCTTGGTCAGTACCTCGTCACGCTGAACTTCGCAAACCCTGACAAAAGTTGTTGACAGCTCGAGACCGACGGCTAAAAGTCGTTGTGCGCGCAGCCTACGGAGTACTGCACCGACCATCGGTCATTGGGGCTGGGTTCGGACTCGAGCAAAAGTTGTAGAAGTCGCTGCACTGGGATATAAGTATTAGTCCTCTTACCTTGACCTCAGGATGAATGATTCCATTCCACTAGAACTCTCAAGTCCAGCATCTCGGAACATCTCGAACTGCAAACATACTTTTCCTGGCTTTCCTTGCTGAAAGAGAATCACCAAGCCGAAAGCGGTCTTTTCTAGATTAGTTAGGCTGTCGAACATCCCAAAATATTGACGTGATCCTGTTGGCGCTGCAGCCTGAAGGACAGCCTAGCTTACCCCACTCATTGCGACAAATCAACACCCAATGGCGCTCTCGGCCGATGTTACTGTGTCGGTCATATTTGGGCTGTTCATGGCCATCTTGGCCCTGGTTGCCCTTTGGCAGATGGCGTACTACGCCTCAAGGGGTTTGCGGAGTAAGTCATACCCCTTTTACATCCGGCATAGTCTTACCAAGAGAAGCACAAAACCCTCGGTCGGACAGCTTCGAGCTTGAAGCATAGATCAGCACATCCCGAGGGCTGCAATACAATATCGAAAGTGCCTTGTTGTGAAGGAAGTCGATGGATGATATTGGGAGAGTCGTGCGGTGTAGACTGTGGTCGATATAGAATATGGAATCATTCAGGTCCAATTATTATTAGACTTTGCTGGTGGTGACGGTTGCCCGTCCACCAGAAGGACAAAGTTTGCAAGTCAGTCCGAGATACCATGTATAGTCAGCAATAGGAAAAAGGTGTACGATCATGTGCGGGTCCTCATATGACAGATACTACATCCATAGACAATACAAGGATATAACATTATATTGCAGTAAAAAACATTAGAGTATACACTACATGTAATAGTCTTTTCCGGGACATGTCATCAACATGAAGACGAATATTGTCCTGACGACCTTTGCCCAAACTCCATAGAAGAATCGTTATAAAACTGGTTGATAGCAGGCCAAAAAGGTCTGTACAAATGTCACGGTTGATTTCACATCTCTTTCAATGCTCTCAACGTATTAACTCCAAGTGTTGTGACCCGGTCTCACGATCCGTACTCTTTGTCATGGACGAAGCTACCACGGCTCTTCGTGCTCCTTGTGCTCTTGTTTCGTCGACCTCCGAAGCGGCGGCCTGAAGAAGCGCCCTTATCTCGTCCGGCGGCACCGCCAACGCAGAAGAGGATCATCGAGATGAAGAGGCAGGCGAAAGCAGCCCACTCAAAGCCGAAAGCGTACTTGCCAATCTGCGCGGTTTGGCCATTCTGGCGGAAGTTGTTGCGACCCTTGACGTAAGCAGCACTATACACGTGTTAGTCAATTGATCAACCTAGAACGAATCGCCGAGAATACTCACGTCATCAGAGTCGCGTTGGCGCACTGGAAGAACGCCGCGATCATGGTCATCAGTCCGCTCATGAAGCTGCCGATTCTGGTGCACAGGGCAAGAACTCCAGTCAAGAGCGCCATACCGCTGAAGAAGAGCGCAATGAGCATGAACGCGAACATGAAGCGGGTCATGTAGTAGTAGAAGGAGTGATGTTTGATGAAGTCTGATGGGACACCGGTGGTAGTGTCGAAATTCCGGTGCGACGCAGGATCCAGTGGGAATGCCGGATGGATCTTGGAAAATGATTTGGCTTTATTACAGACAGTGAGTCCGTTCTGCACGCCGCAGACATTCCAATATCCCCATCGTGAGGTCGTAGGGGCACCAGTAATCTTACTTGTGCTCGCCTCGAGTAAGTAGAATTTGTTGACGGGTGAATGATTGAAGACGCCGCCAAAGATGATGAAGAACATGAAGACCAGGGCACCTGCCACCAGGATCATGGAAACGAGAGGGAAAACTGAGCCTGCAAAAGGAGTGTTAGTGACTGCCGGACCTAGCTCTTGACGGTTGTTTACTTACGACCAGCCATGATGCGCGAAGGTGAGCGAACGGTGAGAGGATGTTGTGAGGGCCGCAAGGGTTGCTGTTGGAAGTATATCAAAGATCGAAAGGCCGAGGAGGTCGAAGGTGTCGCAGTAGGCGAGATCCGGGAGAAGGTGTGTCGAAGCGCAAGAAAGGTGCCAGGTGCGAATGTGGGTTGTTGGCAGAGAGAGTGGCTTCTTGTACGAGTAGTGGTAACAAGGCTTGTGATGTCTTGGATGAGGTCACCTTTGGGTCATCAGCCACTGCTCCACAAGGTTGCTAGGAACAAAGAGGAAGAGTGTTGACGCTTGGTGGAGCGGGCGACGGGATCAAGATGAGATGACAAGAAGATGCGAGAAAGGTCCAATTAGTGAAGGGGGAAGTTTGACGCCAGCTGGACAGGGCCAGTTGGACTGGGGACTGTGGACTGTGGACTGGTGGTACCTCTAGGAGTTGTGTACCGTGGGTGTGTGATGTGGAAAAATCAACAGACGGGAGAGCAACAAGCGCAGAGCGCAGGAGAAAGAGCTTGAAGCAGAACCGCCATACACGTCATACAACAATTGCCAATTCGGAGAACTTCAGAGCAATTCACCTGACAATCAGGAAATGAGGAACAACTAATCCCAGAGTAGACTAGCTGCCGAAACTAACCATACAATAGCTTCAAGTTTATTTTGCAACACCAGAAAATTGAATTGTGGCGGATGATCCGACACTGGCACCCGTCAAATCGTCCATCGATATACACATAACAACGGTAATACATCATATATCCCGATTATCCTTGAATCAACCATCTCTTTGCCGTCCGAGTCCATGGTACTCCTGCCATGTCGACATGGGTATACCCTCCCATACCTCCAGATGAGTTGCGCAAGGCCGAGGAAGAGTCTCTGGTAGGATTGCACCTGACACAAACATCCCGTGTCGCATTGTATTGACGCTTGGGACAATAGAAGCTCGAGCTTCAGTGGCTATTGAAATCACTCCAACACTCGTTGGGCCCTTTGAAAGAGGGTCTGGAAGAATGTGCAGCCTTACTGGCGGCTAAAGAACCCGGCTCGACCTTGGTGCTGTCGTCTTTACGATCCGAGAGTGTTAAAGGCTTTGTTACAAGAGTCGGCACCAAGCTGGTCAAGGGGGTGAGGTGACACAAGGCTCGGGTGCCTGTTCTACGATACTGACTGCCCTGCAAGGATGTTCACCTGCGTCTTCTCACCCTTCCGCCAAATACTCCTAGAGGCACCACAACATCTACGCCGTCCACGCGATTGATATTTCATTCTTCATCCTCGTCATCATCCGATATCCTCCTCCCTCAGTTGCAATCCGTCAAGTCACTCATCAATGATTCTCTTGATATCATCGACGTCTCCAGATGGACCGGTCAATCCACCGATTCATCCTTCATGGAAGGCCAAATGAAACTTCTTCATGACCATCTTCGCGATGCAAAGGCATATTTGAGAGGGCCTGTAACGGGAGCGGAGTTTGGTTCAATCCCTGGTGCGGAATGGTGGACAAACAGCGCCGATGAGAGCGTCTTCCAACCGCCCCTCGGTGATCGTCTCAGCTTACATTTTACAATCCAGGACGCCAACCTCGTCCTCACCATCAGGACATTGACTCCAACATCTCCCGGTGGTACACCAAGCTCTGTTCCCGACAACTCATTCTCTCTGTCTGGTTTCAACTTGAGAGGCAAACTACTAGGCCTCGGACCAAAGCCGCCCAATCATGATGAGATGGGCGAGATCTTTGAATGGCGTGGTAAACAGGACGTCATTGTCCGTGAAAAGGTACGGGTCGAAAGTGGTGACCCAAGCTTGATGAGTATTGCAGCCAAGCTCAGTGCCCTAGAACATGAGGTGGCCCGATGGCGTATGAATCTCAGAATCATCTTGACGGGAAGCGTCGAAGAGGATTGATATCTACACTCTCACCTCAGACTCTTGTCGGCTTGACTGCCACCAGTGTTTCCCTCCCCACGGTCCCGCCATGGTGGGGTTAACTACAGTTCGTTGCCCTGAGACGAAAGCGAAGAACCGGGGACACCACGTGATCCGAGATGCCTGACTCTGAACTCTGCCAAACTTTGGCGCTTGGGGCTTTTCCAATTTGGGCTTCGCCAATTCGGTCTAATCTCGCCAAAACATAGTTTTTGCCCACACCTCACATCCCTGATTCACGCCAACCCTTGCACGCGTTTGAAGGTGTCAGGATACCGAAATGTCATTATCTTGAGTCTAAAAAGATGACATTGTTTCCAACGACAATGATGGCCACTTGCTGCATGTTTTCTGATTGACAAAGACGACAAACAATGGGTGCATCAAGGTCGACAATACAAAGGATTTCTTCCCTGAATTCCTTTGTTGCTGCACATGAAGTGGACTGCTCGACTACCTTGCCCGCAATTCGGGAACGTCTTGTAACACAACATATTCGCATTGCATATCATCCCTACAATGGCTCGACTATTGGGAGACGCGGACCTCTTCTTATCCGTAAAAGTCCAAAGTAAAAACAACGTCGAATCACACCCTAAAGTGATCGAAGTCCTGCCAGCAACTCCTACGATGGTCCATGATACCAATCCGAAATCGGCTTCACATGTGCCGGCACAACCTCTTCGCCATAAACGTCGCTTCACAATAGGTGGTCCTAAGATTTCGCATCCAGTCAGCACAGAGGGAAAGCAGAACGATGTTCCAGAGAAAGGACTCGAAGCAACGCCGGATCACGTAAAGCCAAAGTCCACAGTAACCATCTCTCGTTCCCATTCTCGGCTACAATCAGGCCAGTCTCGACATCCAGGGTCGAGGCTACGAGATGACAGCGCTGTTGGAAGAGATCCAACTCGGAAGGAGCAAGAACGGCCAAGTGTCCAGCGTTCTATCACTGTCCCGGCTAGTCGAGATATTGCTGTTGACCACAGTGTTTCGAGGGCCAGTTCAATCCGCTCGAGATCACCCGATAAAGCTCAATATCCGCCGAGCAGCTGGAAAAGCCCTCCGAACGCCGAATCCCCAGTTCACACTATTCAAGAGTCAGTGACTACACATCAGAATCCACGCAACGCTGCGAGCCTCTGGCAAGGACCGAAGCTTGGGCAGCCGCGGCACACAGAACCAGCACTCAGAAGTCCGCTAAAGGAGCAGAAACTTGCAGGAATACTTCTTAGTGAATCCAAGTCGCGACGACGGTCATCTTCCGCAAGACCCCAACTCGACGACAGATCACCATCCTCCGACCGAACAGCAAACATTATTGCTCCTGTACAACCGATGTATATCAAGTCACGTCGCCGAAATAGCTCGTTCTCTACATCCACTTACACGAGACGAGACCAACCTGTCATTGACACCAGCAGAGACACCGGGACACAACCAATTAACAAACCTGATCTACCTGAACCTGAAATTGCGTATGGCCACACCTATCATTACACAACCTGTGAACACACTTCTCCTCCGCTATCCAGGCCACTTAATGTGCAACCGACTCTGGTGCAATATAGTGATGATCTCCTGGCATACCCACCGTTTCATCTACGCAGTCTTCTGGAAAGCCCCCAAAAGTCCATACCCAGCATATACATCATCGACGGTTCATGCTGCAATTGTGATCTATCAGAGCGAAGGAAGGCTGAATCCGCGGTACTGGAAAAGTATACGACCAGATTAGACAATCTGTTCTTACAGTTGAACTTGTTGCAGGATGATATGGATGCAAAGGCTTCACGTGCACCAGATTTTTTACGAAGCGATACGAGTCCGTCATTGTCAGATGTATCTCCGGAGACGATTCAATCGATTATCCTTATGGAACACCAACTCGACGATGTGGTACAACGACGCGACCGCGAGGTGAAGTCGATCTGGAAAGGATATACAGAACGTTGGGGTCCTGCAACAGTGGGCATCCATCACGAAAATGACTCGATCCGAGATAGAGGCCGTACTCATGCCATCAGTGAGAGAAGCGCGAATGGTGCTGACCAGTGGACAACTTCTTCGGTGTCGGACGTTGACACTGTTGCTGGGAGGACGTCGACAATTGCATCAACTGTGTCAAGTCGCACCACTCACACTTTATTTTCAGCCGCTGGTCGTCCGAAATTGAACGCATCGAGGCAAAGCAGTTTTACCACCTCCGTGAACGGTCCACAGGAACGTTACTCAGACGGTACGCGATCGGTCATGGCGACTTCTTCAGTTGACGGCGTGAAGGGCGATGGCCGTATGATGGTCGAATGGATCCGACCTGATCGAGGCAGTGCAAGGAGCAGAAGCCAGAGTCAGAGTCAGAGCCGCAGCAGGTCAACGACGAATCGGACGTGGCGTTTGGACGATTCTTGTACATGAATGTAAGATAGCGGGTACTTGATTGGGGTCTACTAAAAGTATGGTGTTACCGGCGCGTGATCTGTTGTCACAAGGAAGACATGGAAAAGGGAAAAGGGAAAAGTTTTTGCAGGCGTTATCGAAGGATGCAAGAAGCATATCAGGATGCATGTGTGAGGCATGTCAATGGGATGTTATACGAAGAGCGTAGATCAATCTAAACAGCCCTGCAAGCCGTGCTCAATTTGAGAGGTCCAAACAGAGAATAATGATTTCTTTGATGACATTCCTTTTCCCCTCCTTGCGATTTATTTATTGCGCTGCAAGTTACTACTGTGAAGTTACAACTTCGCTCTCCCCTGCTCAATGCTCGACCAACTTTCGGGATCCAACCTCTTATACCTCTCCTCCTGCAAATCAAGATAATACTTCCTTCCCAGCCCATCACCACCAGCCCAATCGATATTCTTAACCACATTCTTAGCATGCTTGAATGTATCTCCCACATCGACCAACTCATCCCGCACCATCACCAGCCTGGGCACCGCATACCTCGGCACGCCCTTGCCCCTAAGCTCCTTGAACAAGCGTCCCATAAACACCACCTCAGTCATACCAGATCCTTGCTTCTCATCTGCAGCATCAAGCACGATCAACGCCGTTCCCGCCTGGCCATCATACTTCTCCAGCCTTCTCCCCACTACAACCGCATCCTTGACGCCGGGTAACTCAGAAATGAAACCTCTCACCTCACCAGCAGACACATTCTCGCCCATCCAGCGGTACGTATCGCCAATGCGATCCACAAACTTCACCCACCCATTACTTTCCTGCACCAATAAATCGCCACTACGCTGCCATACATCGCCCTTCTCAAAGACATCCCTCAGTAGCTTATTCTCCGTCGCCTCCACGTTCCCATGATAATTCGTATACGTCGCCATATCCCGGATCTTGGCAATCGCTTCCCCAGGCTCCCCTCTCGCCGCGACCACACAGAAACCTGTTTCCGCATCTCTCACAGGATTCTCAGTATCGTAGTCAAACCGCACAATAGCCTGCGACCCTTTATCAAAGACCTGCTTGCGCAACACGCCCATATATCCTACCCTTCCTGCCCCCGGACGGCCCCGATAGTGAATATTGTCGAACTTCACAAGACCTTCGGTGGACCTATAAAACTCGCGGATCTCCTTGACGTTGAAACGACGTTGGAAATCGACCCAGACGTCCTTTTGTAGACCGTTGCCCGCTGCCACCAGGACATTGTGTGCTCGATCGTACTGGCCTGGTGAAGTCGCGAGGATGAAGCGCACTAGTTCGCCGACATAGAGGACTCTGGTGGCGCGGCATTCAGAGACTTCTTTCCAGAAATTGCGGGCGGAGAATTTGCGGCCCACGCAGAAACACCCGGATTGAGCTGTGGAGTAGCATAGGCCGGTGAAGAATGTTGTGCCGTGGAAGACGGGCATGCATGAGTACGTGCGAAGCGGGTTGAGGTATTTCTTGGGGTTGGCGGCGTCGACAGAGGTGGTGTTGGAAACGACGCAGACTAAGGCGTTTTTGACGCTGCATGCTTTGGGTTTGCCTGTTGTGCCGGACGTGTAGATTAGGGCTGCTGTTGAGGCGAGGGTTTTGGGTGGTGTTGGAGGGAGGCTGGATGTGCGTGATGGGTCGGGGAATGGGAAGTCAATGATGTCTTGGTCTAAGGACAGAGGGGTGGTGGTTGTTGGTCGGAAGGAGCCCACGTTCAGACGGACCGTCTTGATGCTGTCGCTGAGAGACTTTGCTGCTGATGCGGCGTGCGTGGCGAGATCAGGTGTTGTCAGGATGAGAGAGGATGCTGGGAGTCTGACACAGTGGAGGAGTGTTTCGTCTCGGAGGGCATTGTTGATCAGGGCTGGGGCGGCGCCGAGTTTTGTCAGGGCGTAGACTGTGAAGACCATTTCGGGCGAGTTGATCATGAAGACGGCTACGATGTCTCCGTTTTGGACACCGAGGTCGAGAAGGCCGACTGCTAGTTCGTCGACTTGCTGCTTCATGGCGCGGTAGTTCCATGTACGGCCTTCGAACCATAGTGCGTCGGCGTTGGGGTCGGCTTGCTCGAGCATTCGGTATAAATGTGGTGAGTCGGCCCCAAGTTTGGCTAGGAATTGAGGGAAGCGTTTGGTCCAAGAGGCATCGAGACGATATTGTTTCAGGTCTTTTGATATTCCAAGGGAGAGGTTTGCATACAGGAGCAAGCTTGCTGCTGCTGCCGTGGAGGCGGCGACGGTAGTCATTTTGGCGACCTTTCAGGACTGGTACACTACCTTGATGGTAGCAATGATCGATTCCAGGATCAAATGGTTTTTGGCAGCAGAGCGGAATCTGATGTATACAAGAACAGTGTTGGTTGTTTTGGATAAATTGGATCGACAAGCTGTGATGCCGCGGTGAATATCTGGAAACACGATATGCCGACTCCGTGTTCAGTTGCCGTGTTTTTGTCACGCCTCGGTACTGTAAGATTTCGGCACTCAATGGATGAGCTCCCTCAATGCGACAACACTTTGTGTCGAGTTGCTGACAGCTATCTTGGCGAAGTAATACCCAGATTGTATGCAGCTAGCTACGTACGCTGTGTACGGGCGTAGTCCTGTGAAAGTGCTGACGTGGTATGCTACGTAGAGCCGTACTGAAAGATGCTTAGTCCAGAAGACCAAGTTCACGGTCCGGGGATGTAGCGGAAGAAAAGGCTAGGCTGTCAGAGCTTGTCCACAACCCCACGAAATCTGAATGGTGGTGAGTCTTCAATCAGAAATATAGTCGTCCTTGGGATACGTGTTATCGAGAGTGCTGAAGTTCAATATGAATCAAATGCTCTCCCATGAAGACACAGATCCAAGTGGCTTGTTGAAGGCCTTGAAAGGCTTACCAACGCCCTGCCGAAGATTCTTGCGGGAGGAAGTTGTGGAGGTGGGGCTTGGGATAGGGGCTCCAGGAAGATCCAGACAGACGCTGGTGAAGCCTTGACTTGCCCCGGTTTCATGTTCCGCAACACTGATGGGTGACCCGGGAACACATCGGCTGCATTGGAGGTCAATGCCCAGAGTTTCTGTGGTGGCCTCACTAGCCCTCAGTGCGGCGAAGCGGATGGAGGACCCGGCAGTTGAAGCTGACGATCAGAAGTTGAAATGTGCCGAGGCATCTTGCACGTCCTTCAACATCCAGCATTACCTTACCACATTAAGACATTTTCTGTATCACTGAACAAATATCACTTATCAAAAGGCTTTCACGAGACATACACATATATCTGATCCAAGCCTTGCATTCGCTTCCTTCCATCTGTACATATTAGAAACATCTCTCAAAATGAGTGCTCAAGAAAGACTGCAAAACGTTGCTGGCCACCTCCACTCCAGCGCCACCACAACTGTATCTCCAGGTCTCAAGAAAATCCTCGAAAAGAACCCCGATGACATTGTACGTATGCTCACCATCAAATTCAGCCTTATCTGACCAGTGACCTAAGGTGATAACATGCGCCACACGCACAGCACTCACAAAAGCCCGTAAAGGCGGCTTCAAAGACACACTCACCGACGAGCTCATGATCCACGTTCTAAAAGCCATCAAAGACAAATCCGGCATCGAGCCCAATGTCGTCGACGACGTCTGCATCGGCAACGTCCTTCAACCAGCCCCAGGTTTCGCCGCTCGGAGTGCCGTTCTGGCCGCTGGTTTCCCAGTCTCCACCTCCGCCAATGTAGTCAGCCGATTCTGCTCGTCCGGGTTGTTGTCTATCCAAACAGTAGCAGGACAAATCGCGACAGGCTCCATCGAAGTCGGTATCGCCGTCGGATGTGAAAGCATGTCAAGCAATGCCGATGCCCCACCTAAAATTAGCGACGAGGTCATGAATCATCCCATTGCAAAGGACAACATCCAGCCCATGGGCTGGACGTCCGAGAACGTGGCGCGCGACTTCAACATCTCCCGCCAAGCACAAGACAAGTACGCCGAGATGTCGCATAATCGTGCCGAACACGCTCAAAAGGAGGGCTGGACAGCCGACGAGATCACGCCCGTCACGACGCACTGGACCGATCCTAAAACTAAAGAAACCAAGACTATTACCGTCGACAAGGATGAGGGCATCAGACCTGGAACCACGTTCGAAGGACTGCAAAAGATCCGCTCAGCATTCCCTCAATGGGGCCCGACTACCACCGGCGGAAACGCCAGCCAAGTCACTGACGGTGCGGCGGCGGTGTTGATGATGAAGCGCAGCACGGCCGAGGCGCTCGGTCAGCCCATTGTCGCCAAGTATGTTAAGAGCACTGTCGTCGGTCTCGAGCCGCGCATCATGGGCATTGGACCGTCGTTGGCGATCCCCAAAGTCCTGAAGCTCGCTGGTTTGGAAAAGGAGGATATCGACCTTTTTGAGATCAACGAGGCTTTTGCTTCCATGTACGTTTACTGTGTGGAGAAGTTGGGCTTGGATGTCGAAAAGGTCAATGTACGGGGTGGTGCTATTGCTATTGGTGAGTCAACATGTCCCCTCAGGTTTGGTGTTCCGGGTCAGTGCTAATTTTTGATATTCAGGTCATCCGTTGGGCTGCACTGGTACACGACAGGTTGTTACCGTCTTGTCTGAGTTGAAGCGGAGAAAGGCCAAGGTTGCGCTTACAAGTATGTGTGTCGGTACTGGGATGGGCATGGCCGGCATTTTTGTGTCAGAGCAATAGTCAATTCAGCAAAATGGATAACTGTGAGCTTGTGACGAGCTCCGGGCGTACCGTCGTCGGATCTGGCTCTCGCCAAGGGTCAACGCAGGTTGATCTGGGACAAGCATATTGCGAGAACTTGCGACAATCGATCTGCCTTCGATCTGCCTTCGACAGCCTTCGACAGCCTCACCAGTATCACATCGATTTTCTCAGCATTGATGAAGCATGTCCGACAGCTCTTCACGCCGTTGAGGCAAGATGCTCGTGTTGATATCTCAGTCTATCAGGTCCAAGAGACCATCAGCCCTATTGACACCTTTAGACGGTCAATCGTCCATACTAAGCCCATTCACGGTAACCCGATGCTTGTTCTGCACCTATCTCATTTCATGCCGTTTGATTCTCCTTCTCACTTCTTCTCCGCCTTCGCACTGCCTTTCCCATAGAACTGCTCCCTGTCCACCAGCATCTCATCATCCGCCACACCAATCGTGGCAAAATACTACTCCGAACGTGGTCAGCCCATGCCATACATACCCAATTTGCGTCCCTCCAAGGGCAAAGACTCACCGCCATAGCCCTCTTATTCGCCTCCGGACTCATTGGTTTGCCAGCCTCACTCATCGTCGCCAACAACTTGAAGTAATTGATATAGAAAGCCGGGGTGTATGTGTTGAAGAACTTGGCCTCCTGGTCGTAAGGATTGCTGAATGTGTGAGGAGATCGCGTGGGAACCGTCACGTAGTCTCCTGTTGCGGCATCGACGGTCTGGCCGTTGAGCGCGTGGAAGCGCAGGGTGCCTTGCGTTACGAGAAAAGTTTCGTCATGCTTGTCAGCCGTTAGTGCTTGACACCCACTACCAATCGCCCTTCGGAGAATCTCATGTCGACTCTGTGACTTGACTTGAAAGTCGACATACCATTTCATGCCAGTGAGGTGGCGGGCTGTCCTGCCTGTCAGCACAAATGGCACCCTATACCTAGGGTACTCGGCGCGGATACCGATGAAGCCAGATGCTTCGGCGCCGTGAGCAGCTCGGTTTGATTTCTTGTGGACTTACCCAGATGTGTGAGGTGGCACGGTGAACTCGGCGCTGCCTATCCTTTCTGCGTGTCAGACGGTGACCACCAAGCTGTCAGGGGATGTACCGATTATCTGTCCTTGATCCGTCCTCCATGATGCGGATGGTGATGGTCCCAAGTTTGAAAGTCTCACCGCCTGTGGCTGGCACAAAGTTGATGGGGACGGTTGGTGTTTCCATTATTGCTCGTCGAAGAGTAGACTGTATGTCGTGTGAGTCTTAATTCTCGTCCACGGGCATGGCTCCTAGAATATATGTATACATATGTCTTTCGAAGGTTTCTTAGAGGTCATGGGTGGCCCGAACCTACGTCCAGACGGAGCGAAGCCTCGCCGATAACCCCGGGATCCCCAGATCCTTGAACCGGCTACTTTCTCGACCAGCGGAACCGAACAACATGTTTCCAGCTCATTTGCCGCTGTGAGTGAGAGGTCAAAGGTGTAGAATAGCTGTCTATTCCTATAGTGTATGTGCCTGACACCTTCCTCACAGGGTCTATCCAAGACAGGCTATGTTCCAAACCAAGCCATTCATTTCTTATGCCACCAGATACTATCCCATATGGCCACACAACACTGCATCAGTAAATTCCAACATCTAAACCTTCCCAATATATTGATCGAAAATGTTCTTCAACTCCAAAGCACTCTTCTTCGGATACCGGTGCTGGCCATTCTCATAGTCGACATACGTGACACCAAATCTCGTCTCATATCCCTCGGCCCATTCGAAATTACTATCGATCGTTAGCATATCATCCACTTATCGAACGCAGAAAACCCACTCCATAAGACTCCAAGCCATATATCCACGACAATCACAACCATCCTCTGCCACCGCCTCGGCCATGGCCTGAACGTACGTCCGGAAATACTCGACCCGAAACTCGTCCTCGAGAATCTCTTCTTTCGGCAAGTCATTCTCGCCTTTAACACTGGTGCCATTCTCAGTCACATAAATCTTCGGCCGCCCATACCGATCACTCAACCACTTCATCAACTTCCTGAAGCCTGGAGCGTGCGGTCTCAGCCACGGACTTTGGGTTATTGGACCGATGCTCTTGCCAGATTTGTCTTCCAGCAAGATGTCCACATTGCCCGCGAAATCATTCGGATCAGCCGGTCCGTTGCGGTGGCGGATGTAGTTGGCGCAATAGTGGTTCATGCCATAGAAATCATTCGAGCCTTTCACCAATGCACTCTCCTCTTCGGTGAATTTGGGTAGGCGGTCTCCAAGTTGCTTGACCATCGAGTCCGGGTACTTCCCAAAGTACACTGGGTCGCCGAACCAACATATGGAGAACTCGAGCTTGCGCTCACATGCTATACGATCTTGTCCGTCGTTCGGGTCCCATGGTTCAACCCAGTCACCTACGCACCAACACGTCAGACAAAGCCAGAGGAATGAACAATGGCCACTTACCATTCAAAGTGATTCCAATCTCGCCTCCATTGTTCGGCTTGAATTCTTCGCGGTAGATCTTGACGGCCGTGGCGTGTGCGATCAGGATATTATGTCCCACGATCCACGGTTCCGTGCTACTGTCTCCGATGGGGCTCTTGTTGCGGTTGCTTGTGTGTCCCGGCGCAAATTGGCCGACACTATATCCCAAGACGGCACTGCAGAACGGTTCGTTAAACGTGATCCAGTGCTTGACTTTCGGTAGAGCCTCGAACATGACGCGAGCATAATTGGCAAAGTCGGCGACAAACTCGTCCTTGTTCATGAACCCGCCGTACCTCTTGTACAGCTCGTCCGGTAGATCCCAGTGGAAGAGAGTGACCATAGGCACGATGCCGGCTTCGAGGAGGTCGTCCACGAACTTGACGTAGTGCTGCAGACCGGCTTTGTTGACAGTATCTTTGCGGCCTCCTAGCGGAATGACGCGAGACCACGAGATGGAGAATCGATAGGCTTTGGCGCCGGTCTTATTCAGCAAGTCGATGTCCTGGGCCATCCGATGGTACGAGTCACAGGCGACGTCCCCGGAACTGCCGTCCGCGATCTTGCCGGGAATCTTGCAGAAGGTGTCCCAAATCGAGGGTCTTCGGCCATCTGCTGTAGCACCACCTTCAATCTGGTACCTGCATGATGGTCAACTTTGTGGATAGGACTGCAACAGGAAGCACTTACGCTGCAGTCGCAAAGCCCCAAAGGAAGTCAGCGGGCAATCCCGCCTTGGGAGCGACGTCCTTGACCATGACTTGATGATATCTATAGCAGCTCTATCGCACACATATGACTTGTTGCTGTCCAGTATCACGAAGGTTTATAGTGATATAGATAGAAAGTACTGTTGTAGATCAATCAAAAGTGGATGAGTGAGGACCTTTCGTCACCGTTACCGTGCCCCGTGCGTCGACAAGATCTATCAAGGGCAGTCAACCAGAAAGAGGTCCAGAAAGGCCATGGCTCTGGATACTTGTACCACATTTCCATTCCGGCTGGAGACATGCCACCCTGAAGGTTGTTCTCTGGCGGAAGAAGACTATCCTAGGGAATTCTGCCGGATTGGTTGCGGAGATCGTGTCCAGGAACATCTGCCGCTCTGGATCTGTGGTTGGAGACGCCGAAGATGAGCCTAACAGGCTATATTACTACCTAAAATATGAAGGCATGGTAAGAGGCCGAGACCCTGAAACGGCTACACCTCGGCGCCTCTATCACAATGGACGATGCATGTTGCCACTTTTCGTGTCTCTTACTCCTCCAGTAGAGCCGCAGGTTCCTGTCCTCCTTGTACTAATTGTTCAGACTTCTATCCCACCGATACTCCTGCGCAACGAAGCCAATGCCGTGATAGCACCCAGAAAAGCACAACCTGCACGCGCTGGATCTGTCTGACATGCATTTGCCGACCATGCATCTTACGGATCTGGTTCTTCCTCCTCACTAGGCTCTTTCATCCTCCAAGTTATGAAGGCGGAGATCAAAGTCGCAACTCCACCAATTCTCAGTGTCCATCCAACACTGGTATCCCCTGGCACATTGCGTGGCTTCTGCAGCCCCTTGAACACAGCACTGCTGATCAGGGTCGCTATGATCTGTGGAGCACTGATAGCAACGTTATGAAGGCCAAGAATGATACCTGCTTGATCATCCTCTTCATCTTCCTTATCATCGTCCTCTCCATCTCTTCGTCGCTGTCTTTGCTTCTTGCGACGAATCTCGTCACGTTTTGATATCTCTGCTGAGATCAAGGCGAAAGGAGCCCAAAGTGTCAATGACCAAGATACTCCCACCAAGGCTGTCATTATAGTGGCAGCGGTGGGAGTTTTGATGAAGAACGTACTAAAGGTACACAAGGCGAACAAAATCTGGGAGAGCAGCCACGCTCGTCGTAATGTGAGTCCCGGGATCGAGATTGTGAAATTGGTAAGCCACGCTTTGACGCCGGTCGGGTTCTCTTGCAGAGTGGGATCGTTCGCAGCAGCAACTCCATCTGGACGTCCGAATGATTTGACGGATATGTTACTTTGTGATCTGCTGGCTAGCGGCCTGCTAGACTCGGGTACATAAGAGAAGTATTCTTGATATCTGGTGGCTCCAACAGGAGAGATCGGCGTGATCGGTTGACTGTACGCTCTGCGATGCCCAGGTCTGCGAGGTCCGTTCTCGGAGGAGGCGTTCTCTCGATATGGTGTTCGAGTGCCAACAGGAGTAGTAGGAGTGATCGGTTGATGCCATCGCGGCGCGTCATCTTCGTCATCGCTCTCGTCCTCGTCGGGTTCGTTCTGGTATGTTGGCTGCACAAGGAACGGAAGAACGATGTTGGAGGCGAATGCAGTTATGGCATAGATCAGGAGGGCAAACGTCCCTACTCGAGTTGCTTGGGCCCAGAGCTGGTCAACCTCACTGTCAGGTATGCCTGGGTGGAGACGTGGATCAACGTAGAGCTGACCAATGTAGGTGGTGATGTAGAAGAGGAATGGGAACCAGCCTATCCAATGGAAGAACTGGATCTCGCAGACTTTGCGTGTCTGGGGTGGTAAATGCTTGATCGAGTTGAAGACTTGCTTGAAAAAGGCCACAAATCCTCCGTTCTCAAAGTCGGTGTTCGATGGAGGGTCAAGCTGGGGGTTTCGTTCTTTGATGGTCAGAAGACTGGTCAAGACAGTTATAGTGAGAAAGAAGGACGCAATGACGACCAGAACCTTGAATTGAGAATTGCCGAGGAAGTGGAAGTACTTTGGGAGGTTGAGATAGCCGAAAACATATCCAAGCACATTGCCGACGCCCGTCATTCGAGAGGCCCATGCATTGGCAGACTCTTGCTGATGAGATGGGGCATTATCCACAATGAAGGCTCGAATGGCTGCTTGTACTGTAATTGTGTCAGCTCAAGGATGTATGGTAGTGCTCATGACACATACCGGTATTAATAGAGAAGTCAAGACACCACATCATGACTGTGGCCAAGACGATCGTGCCAATCCGGTAGCCTCCGCCATATGGCGCATCAACATCCTTACGTCCGATGACCCGTACAATGTCTCGGGCATAGGCTAGAATCATGGATGTGACAATGACTCCAAGAGTGCCTGCAACCATGAATGGCTTCCGTCTTCCCCAAGAAACACGACATCGATCGCTCCGAATGCCGATATAGGGCTGCACCAAAGCTCCCGTCAATGGACCTGCAAGCCATACAGCAGCGAGGAGGGCTTTGCTCATGCCAAGCGACAACAAGTAAGGTGAGCCATTGGAAAGTTCGACAGACCACACGATCTGAAGTCCACCGATGCAGATGGTCAGTAGAATCATGTAAAACCAGCTTTTGTCCTCCAACACAGACTCGGCGAGGCTGTCTTCTCGGTCAGGGCTCTCGTCGTCGGCAGAGTCATTGTCGGACAATAGCCGGGCTCGTTGCTGAGGGCCATTGTCCTGTATGTTGACCGATTTGATGAGCGGCGAACGCTCATCGCTGGCTGAATTCTGATTTCTATGCGACATGAGGAGCTTTGAGGTCGGAAAACCCGACGGCTCTCACTTTGGTTCGCTCAAGGAAAATTCTCCCAAGAAGGTTTATAGATGTGACGCAATGACGATGGTGGTGTTGAACAGGGAGACCGCCTCAAAGTGGTGTGCGGGCGTATTATGACATGGCTGGTATAAGGTGAAGTATGGAAGAAGTGCGAGTTATGCGCAAATGGTTGCTGAGAGGTCGATGTGAGTTCGACGGGATCAGCAGCGGAAGAGGGAGGAAAAGTAAGAGGAATGAAAGCTGGACAGTGGTTGGAATGAAGTTGTGACCTGGTCAGGCGATGTCATGGGTCTTGCCCAGTTGAATTCTCATTGGTCAACACCGCCTCGTGGCCCTTTGACCTGCGCAAACTGCTGCAGGACAAAGCAACTTCATTCTCCAAGGCCTCCAACGATACAAACTCTCACACGTTTCGAACATCAGGCACCAACTGTCGCCTCATTCCATTCAAAAGGACCTGCAGCTTCAATTCTCCGAGAGCCAGCACATTGGACATTTGGGTCAGTCCTGCAGCCTGACCCCGAGCTCATTGCAGGCGAACGAGCTTGACGACCCCATTACCTTTCCGCCATCACCACACAGCTCATCTAGAGAGCATCCGACAATATGAAGCCAGTTGTATCCGCTCTCAATGCGTGGACATGGTCGGTATTCGGGGATTCGAAGACTTGAATCTGCTGCTAATAATCTGATAGCACTGTTATATCATGCTTCGCCATCGTCATCCTATCGGTCATAGGCAGCCTCTTTGCGGTATGACCCCGTCGCATCCCATGTCCATCCTCTCCTCTGAGAATATCACTCTCGGGGTATCACGATCACCTCTTGGCCGTTGTTGTACTGATGAGTATTGGCTATACAGAGAGATCACCACATGATGATGGGACTGGAAGAAGATCCTGAGGATCATACTGCAGTCGCCACAGCTGTCTTTATCAGTGTAGCTGTCTATGCAGTGAGTGCGCTTTCGATCGATTGGAATGCAAAGACTAACGCACTCAGGGTTTCCTGGTATTCTGCGGTTTCCAAGCGTGGCTGCATGTACGAGCGAGTCGAAGAGGGGCAATATCCCTACAATGATAGATGATGCATCAAGAGCGATTACAATATTTTGAGTCATAGTGTTGGCGTTTGGGAAGAATCAGGCTTGCTCAATGGAGTCCGTTATGAGAACATCGAAGCACGACATGCACCATGTTATCAAGTGTGCCCATTCGGGTATCAAAACTACAACAAGCACTTCCTGCAAACATGACCATCCACTTGCGCTTGAAAGATCTAACCCACACGACGCTCAAATGAGATCCCGGCTGACGAACTGGTGATGCAGAGCCTTGCCCAATGCCGCAGGGCTTCTCTCCACAATCACACCAGCTGCTTCCAGAGCCGCAATCTTCGAATCAGCACCACCCTTTCCACCGCTGATGATGGCACCAGCGTGACCCATTCGTCGTCCGGGAGGTGCACTGATGCCAGCGATAAAGCTGACTGCAGGCTTGTTCTTCTTGTTCTCGCTCTTCAAAAACTCGGCGGCATCCTCTTCAGCGCTGCCTCCAATCTCGCCAATCATGATGATTCCTTCCGTCTCGTCATCTTCCATGAATACTTTCAAGCAGTCGATGAAGTTGGTTCCGCTAAAGGGGTCACCTCCGATACCGACGACCAATGATTGTCCCAGACCAACTTGTGTTGTTTGGTTGACCGCCTCGTATGTCAAAGTTCCTGATCTTGACACGATGCCAATGCGTCCTCGTTTGTGAATGAACCCGGGCATAATACCAATCTTGCATTGGCCAGGGGCGCTGCCAGCGATCAGCATAATGCCACCCACGGATCTGCTGTAGACTTACATAATCCCTGGGCAGTTGGGTCCGACAAGACGTGTCTTGCTCTGGGTTTTTAGCATGTTGGTTACCCTAACCATATCGTGTTGAGGAATGCCTAGGCGACTCATCAGATAGAGTATAAGCGTCTCTTGAAGTGATTCAAACCTTCTGTGATGCAAACGACCAAAGGAATCTCTGCCTCGACAGCTTCGATAATACCGGCAGCGGCCAATGGAGGAGGGACGAAGATGACCTTTCACAATCAGTGTTCCCTTCCTACAGAATCTTACACCGAGGCACTCACACTGGCGTTAGCACCCGTCTCTTTCACACCTTCAGACACATTTTTGAACACAGGGAGGTCGAGATGTTTTGAGCCGGCCTGACAGTAAAATCAGTACTAATGCACCGATTGAGTCTGTCGAGAGTTGCAAGTACCTTCTTTGGATTCGTGCCGCCGACAACTTTGGTGCCATATTCGATTGCTTGCGTAGCATGGAATGTACCTTGCTTGCCAGTAAATCCCTGAAAGAGGACTTTCGTATCCGAGTTGATTCTCAAGTTGCTAACGGTCTGCTGATAGGGAGTTGCAGAGGAGACACTCGCATAGCCTCTAGTCGATTTGGAAGCCTGGCGCACCGCCGAGGAGGCACCCGTCTTGAAAGCCTGCATGGCTGCGAAGGCTTAGGGACGTATACCGGGGCCAAAATTACACTCGTTTCGACGATTGAGTAGCAGAGTGTCAATCGAGACCTAAAAGTGAGCTCGCAGGCGGACCAGGAGCTGGGCCGAAAATGCGACCCAGACCGAGGTGCTGCTGCTTAAATCAACTGACACGTTTCTGGCTGAAATCTAATGCTGCTTTAGATGGCCGCACTTGCATCATTTTGACTCGACCTTCTAACATGAACGGCTGCTTCTTACATTTCGAATTTCCCTGTTCTGCTTTTGACAAAATCTTACCATGCACCTGACATCTTGTTTTATGCATCATGTCCGCCGTTGTTTGTCTTGCTCGAGCTCGAAAGGAGTATTGCGCGGCTCTTTTTCCGTCCAAGTCTTGTCGCGTCTCTTCATTGCACTCGTGGGCCATTGCAGAGTCGAGTAGATTCAGAGGTAGGTTTCATTTCGTTTCAAGGATGTACAGTCCGAGAACTACTCGTACCAGTTCGGTATCATAACCATGGCGGCTATTTACCACATCGGTCCAGAGTTTGGCGTACACCTTCCCCAAATCGATATGCTCTCCGAATCTGGGACGGGATTGACTGACAAATGCGTGGTGGCAATCATCCACCCGCATTCTGGACCAGAACCAACAAGCACGGGTTCTATCAGTCTCGGCTGAGACTTTGATGTCTTGTTGAGCCTTATGATACGACACTTGGATCTCTCAGGTGCTCTGGGTAGGAGGCCTGAAAGCTGCACGACTGCCTTCGTTGACCGGTGTTGATGTCACCGCATTTCTAAGCTGGTACTTCAAGCGCAGGAAGTACTTGAATAAAAGGATATCTATCTCGTGTTCTCAAATGCAGGCGATTCCTGTGGTATCTGAGAGGTCGCCGGAGTTCATTCTGGAGACCAATTCGAGTCTGTAACAAAACAAGATATCCGCTCATCCTGTATCGAGGGCTGGCCTGCGGTTCGACGGCGTATAGCGTACACATACAGCGCCACGTATATCGAAACCAGCAACCAGGTCAGGAGCCTGCAAAACACGATTGGTCGTGCGCTGCAAGCTGGCTGCCACACGCACCACCCTTTCGCCCACACTGACATTTGGACACATATTCCGTACCAAGGGCAGTCTAAGGGATGCCATCTAGAGCCTTTCACCACAAGAACCGACATGGCTGTAAAACCTGCAAACAAAGGCGGAAACGTTGCGATCAAGCAATACCAACATGTGGCGGATGTGCCAGACGGAGGACAGAATGCGTCTATGGCGACACTCTTCTCGAAGCTACCCCGATGAGCATGTCCACTTCACTTTCTATCCCACCAGCGCCTTCGACGTCTTGGGCCACTGTTGATCCTCTGCTCCGGGCAGTCATCGCCCCTCAAATTAGCCATGTAGAACCAAATGAGCTTGAGCTCATTCATCACTACTCAGCCACCAATTCCACGGCATTCACGACGATACCAGGACTCTTTCCATTGAGACGCGTGGACATTGCAGGACGCACCCCAGAATACCCGTACCTTTTGCATGGCATACTTGCGGTGTCGGCTCTCCACTTACAATCCACGGCCGCAGATATGCCCCAGTCAAAACGCCTTTACTACGCAGAAAAGGCCAGCGTACACCAACAGGAGGCACTTTCGTCCTACATTCCCACTTTGAACAATATCAACAACCGGACATGCCACTTCGTCTTCGGGTTTTCTGCCGTTCTCGCTGGCCTCGGATTTGGCTTTCTCTGTACCTCAGAACGAAATGCTATTTCCGACCCAGAGGAATTCATAAGCAGAATCACCACCATCTTTGACTTACTTCTTGGTACAGTTGCAGTCGCCAATGCGTCCAGCAACTGGATCAAATCCTGCGAGTCATTGGTGGTTCCATTCAAAACAATTCTAAGCCGACAGGAGGTCCCTATCGAGGCTGAAGTACAGAACGCTTTAGAAGGGCTTTTCACAGGTATTCAGTTGGCAAATGCTCTCGAGGTCGAGAGACACGTTCCGCATGCACATATAGACATTTCGGTCATATTCAGTTCCGCAATACCGGATCTTCACAAGGCGTTTCGTTGCATTGGGAGAAAAGAGCCAGACAATTTCCTGGGAGTTATCGGTTGGCCTGCATTCGTCGACAGTTCCTACGTTGCACTCGTGAAACAACGCCACCCTGCAGCCCTGGTCGTCCTGGCTTACTATGGCGCGGCACTGCATGCATTGGATCATGCTTGGTGGCTTCGTGGAGTTGGCTTTCGCCTGGTTGAAGCTGTGTCAGCAATTGTTCGTGCTAAGCATGGGGAGATATGGCAGGATTTGTTACAATGGCCATCGAACAGGGTCTGGGAATCCGTGCATGGTGCAGCTTCCACAACTCAGCTTCGCCTGACAACCGATACCGACATGACCAGTCACATCTCGGAGGCTCCCACACCTTTCGAAACAGCCTTCGTCTACACCTACGCCAATGACTTTTCCGAGCCTTAATATACGGGACCTCTGTCCCTCCATCTTCGAGCATCAAACTCAGAGATCGCCTGGAGCTACTTGAGTCTGTTGGCAGAAGTAGCATCACCTACCGTATCTGGTCATACCCGAGGTACCTCCTGCCAGGTTCTCCTGCCGGGTCATCTGCGCGGTGTATCTCAAGCACATTGCGAAAAGCGTACAAAAAGTATGGCAAATATAATGCAAGAATACATTGAGACGGGACCAGCAAACGTGAGCAAGACGATACAAATACAGATCCACTCTACCCAACGAGTGTTCCTCCCCTTAAAGCCAAGACTATCAACCTCTTGTCCCCCTTCCTCAATAGTACCAGACCTCACCCGCGCCCTTTCGTTCCTTGATCATTTCTTCATGCGTGTCGAGGCTATTCCTGGCCAATGCAGCGAGCATATCTGGAGGCGGGGCGTGAGCAGGCGTCATCATATGCTCGTTTCCAGGCTTCGTGCGAATGGGCCTCATCCATGGGAATGAAGATGCCCCAGGCACGGCGCGAGCTGCGGCAAACTCCTCGGGCGTGAAGATGCCGCCCATGAAAGCACCCGCTGGTTTGCGGTCAGGAGACTCCAAGAGAGCGGGAAGACCGTCGGCCAAAGCCTCGACACTTTCAAAGATTTTGACGACTAGAGAGTGACAAAGGGATCAGTATCAAGGGCTTAGTAGAGTGGATCAGACGACACACGAACCTTCATACTCAGGTTTGAGCGCTTCAGTGACAGCGCTTTGATCAGCGGGAATCTTGCCGAGGATGATAACTGGGATTGGCTTGGACATAGTGACGATGACCTGACTGGGTTGTCTGTATGATATTGTTTGCTTGCTTGGTTGTTTGTCGGGATGATGCTATGAGCGATGCAGACAGAAGCGAGATGTGGCCGTGCCTAACTGTCCTTTTATACATTGAGGTGCACGGTACAGGATGACTACTTCAAACTCTACGGCCATGGTACTTGGTAAGCCGTCGTTTCGTGAGCGCGAGTCTCGCATCGTTGCAACGCCGATAGACCGATAGCCACGGGGGACGGTATGTACCTTCACGGCAGAACAGCATCTGATTCACAATCTTCGCCATGTGTGAACGGAACAGGGTCCAAGGAGAGTTCAAACAGAGTTCAGTCGCTCATAGTGAACGCCATAGCCGATTTTAGCCGTCCATAGCCCGGCTATTCAATTGATACTTCATACTTCAGTCTGTCATATACGGAGCACGTCGAGGCGCATCCCGATCAAGGACATTTCGTACACCCCTTCGGCAATCAGGATCTCCCCAGCGATGATCGTGCATCTTAGCAATACTCCGCGCGATTTCAAATCCGCTCCGATCAGCCACTTGGTTCAGCAATCGGCAAAGCCACTGCGCCTCGCGCGATCTTGGCTGGAACGTTCTCCTTGCCACGGCTGCGGCGAACAATAAATGAAAAGGAGCAAGGACCTCCCACTTGTCCGTCTCGTCAAAGTGACAATGTAAGCTCCGACAGATCTCCCCAGCCAAGATGCGCGCTTCGACCATATCACCCATATCCTCTTTTGATGTTGTTGGCGACTGACAGTCTGGATGCTCGAGTTTGTATTTCCACTCCAGTGCCGTGACTTTGAGGGACCGGTACATGTTCAGCCCCAGCGCAGCTCTCTGATTGGGATACTGAAGAGAGCTTTGGAACACGAGGCCGTTGTCATCGGTGTAGAAGGCCTTCCTCTCGCCTTTGAGGGCTTTTGCAGTCGCCTCGAATTTGAACCGAGTGATCCATGTTTCTTTCCAGATATCGAGATTAGCTAGCAGCTGTTGAAGTCTCGCGGAAATGTCTCGGTGCCGGTCCCAATCCAGATCAAGAATGTCATCTTTCATGAAGTTCGATATCTCAGATGTCACCCTTGTCAGAACGCAGAATGCATCTTCGAGCTTGACAAACATCGTTGACATCGGGTCTAGATCTGACCGCAGATCACTCCACTCCTTCTTTTCCAAATATGTCGGCCGGCGGTGGAAGTACGCCTCATGGATGATTCGAAAGCGATTCGATTCGAGGATGAGCTTGTTAGGATATGTGCGAAAGTGCTCCGGCCCAGCAAGCTCAATGACTCGACTGATACCGCTTGCATGCCGTATCCAGTTGTGGTTCATCGTGCCAATAACGAGTTCGTACCGGTTGAGCGCACTGGTGGTGGCAAGGATGTCGAAGAGATCTTGTCCCTCTCCGTGACTTTCTAAGGCCAAGCGAAGAGCAGCAAGAGCTTGTCCATATTTGATTGCGGCAATGTCGCCGGAGGTCTTGTGGTGGTAGCGATTGCGGTAGAAGGCTGCAGCGAGAGCTTCTATTGCAATATCCGCTATAGGGTACTCACCATGGTGCTCCAGACAGTATCCAACCCATGGTTTGTCACGCTCGTTGATTTGCCAGCGGAGGTGGCATATGTGAGTGTCCGGGCTGCTCTTGTTTGCCCAGTCGAAGCCCCTTCGTATAGGGGTCAGGGGACTGACAGGAACATCCAGTACATAGTAGGACGATCTGTCAATCGTGATCTCCGTGGACTCTTTGCTCCCTTTCCGAGGCTTGCTCTTTTCCAGCGCACACAAGTCTTCGGTGTCTTTGTTGACGAAGAGGGCACCTTGTCTTGGTCCGTTGCACTCGATTTTCCGTTTCTCACAGTTCAGACAACGCGGTCTCCTTTCGTCACATCGGACACGACGAACGACGCAGTTTCGACAGCCAGAAGTGTGTCTCGCCATACTTTGAGTGCACTAGCCAAGGCTTGAATCTTTGGACATACAATTGTTTGGGGTCTGAGGTACAGGTTGCCACAGACCAAGACTTGAAGTCTCTTAAGGCGGTCGTGTGAGCATGTCAGAGGGCGGCATTGCTTGCACAAATACTCTCGCAAGCACAACGATATGTCCAGTATAGGCCATAACGGGTATAAATCTCGGCTCCGAACGAGTCTCGAAACATGTCATGCATCATAATGCATGAACCTCGGCGCCTATTAACGGATTCTGGGTGGCCTGACAAGGCTAGTGAGGCTCAGCGTCGGGGAGTTTTGGTCTCCGGCAAATGGCATCTCTGAATCCCATTACTTCGTTCTTTAGTTAATCACAAAGGAGAAGTGCGCAGGGCGTTCCAGAGGCACGGCACGCACTGCTTACCTTATGATCGACGGCCTGGGTCGTAGCGCATCAATCATGGCCATGAATCAGCAGTCAAAGGTGACGCTTGATCGAAAACAGTTGTCTTTTCGAGATTAAGTATCCACAGACCGGCGACTTTTGTATGATACCTCAGGTTGGGAGGATGACTGACGCCTTACGAGGCACTACTGGTCTGCATCTCGGATTCGGGTGCCTCCTGGAGATGACCGCGTGGAGAGAAAGACATCATTGGTAAAAATGTGCGAGTACGAGAAACACGATCAGTGGTTGATGAGTGCTCTTTCTACACAACCATGGCCAGTTGACTAAGCAGCTTCATGTCAATTGATACGGTGAAGCATGTGATTGAAGTAGCAGTCTGCGTGAACCTCACTGTGGTTCGACGTGAATTTTGTTCCGCTCTCAGGCGCAGACAGACACCAAGTCGTCGACCTTCTCCCTGGAGGAAGTCCTTGACTTTTCTTGCAAGAGTCAACGTCGAGTGGCGGAAAAGGCTGCCGTCGGCTCGAACTCAGCTCACCAATATTCCTCTGCGCCGATCGACCTCACTTTGACCACAAACATGAAAGAGAAAGAACAGGACATATCTCTCGCATCCTTCTGGGACGAGCGCTACACAAAGTCCAGCGGAGAGACCCCGATGCACGAATGGTTCAAGACGTTCGATAGCCTGAAGCCTTTCTTCCAGAAACACCTCCTCGATAGGAGATCCCCGGAGACAAGTCCTTGTGTTCTTCAACTCGGATGTGGTGATAGTGTGAGCGCCGTCTAAATACATGCGGTGAATGGACGGCGGCTGACTTTGGTGGTTGACAGACTGTGCCTGCTGATCTATGGAGCCTTGGGTACAAGAACCAGATATGTATCGACTTCTCCACCGTGGTAATTCAGAAAATGTCGGAACGCCACGCGGACAAAACAGGCATCAAGTGGCTGTATGGAGATGTTCGCGACATGCCGGCAATACCAGACGCTTCCGTGGATGTTGCTGTGGACAAGGGCACGCTCGACGCCATGGTGTCAGGCAGTCCATGGGATCCACCCGAGGACGTCAAGGAGAACATCAGACGTTATATCGACGAGGTTTGCACACGACATGTGGTGGCAGATAAATATTTGACTGACTTGTTTGGTAGGTGACTCGTGTGCTCAAACCAGGCGGCACTTTTCTCTACATTACTTTTCGACAGCCTCATTTCATGAAGTCACATCTCCTGCGGGACGGGATTTGGGATGTGCAGGTTGAGGAGCTTGACGACGATAAAGGGTCGTTTGGCTATTTCGGTTTCGTGATCGAGAAGAACGCCTGATTTGTTGATGCTCCAATCAGCTTTAGGGACCGGACTATGCTCACCGATCCGCTTCGTACTCGCAAGAGCTCATAGGCACAGGCCCCGTCCCAGGTACGTAAGTTTCCAATTCGACATCATTATTATCAGCTGCAGCCCTATGTACAACTATGGCTGACCTCAATAGACCTGCCGGTCGGCACCCACTTTTTGCCTCCCACGGCTCAATATTCATAAGGACTATTCTGTACGGCTTCATAAACGTACAGTGTCGAGTTATGCTGGTCGGGCAAGAAGTACAGACGCAACTTGCCGTTCACAATCGCCACATCAAAAGGATTTTCCGTGATGGGTGTTCCCAGTGCACTGACCATTGTCAACGGCACCTCAGAATAAGGCACCAATGTTTCCGTATCGACAATGGCAACGGCACCGACGGTCACGTTGTTCGAGTAAGTGGCCACACCGCTGCACATCATCACAGCACGGTAGTCGTACGTTTGGGAGTGCCCCAAAAACTTGCAATCCTGATAGTCAACGAAAAAAGTTGGGTTGTGGACCACGGACCTGGGCTGACTGAATTGAGGGTAAGGATCTCTTTTGGCTGTCAAATCCCAGACCGTCCCATTGCGGGCGCCCCAATTGAGGGTACTGAGTGACTGGTTTTGGATGTCATGCACGATACCACCAAGATGGTCATTATAGTGAATGAGGTCCTGGAACTCCAAGGTGGTGGGATCCACACTGATGATGCTTGCAGTGGTGTTGGGTCGATACTGCGCGATGGTTGCCCAGATAACCTGGCCGTCGTAATCAATGCCTCCGTTGTGGTATTCGAGAGCACCAGTTTCGGTCAAGGTGGCAACCGCAATGCGCTTGCCTTGACCGTCAAAGACAGCCAGATAACCATATCCAGCTCCAGGGGTGCGGTCTGTGCCGTTGATGATGGTGTTGTTGCCATATGAGACGGTCTTGTTGGTGTACAGACCGCCACTGACAATATATCGCTCCTCATTGATGTTGACCATACCTTCCGGTTCGCCATTGTCTCCTTCAAATGGGATCTTCTTGACCAGATTCCACACGGTTGAGCGACCTAGTTGATTGAACTGGTTGATGATGGCGTCGAAGTTGCTTGCCGGTCCTGGTGCCGGGAGAGGTGTTGGGACAAATGATACATTCTGTTGGTAGATGGTGATGTTTGCCGCCAGTGCGCTGGAGAGTAAGCAGCTTGCTGAGAGCAAAGCAACGGAAAACATCATGCTGCGGGCTTAGTATCGTTGTTTTGTGAACCTGAGCAAGCTTCCCAGCTACATTTGACCCGGTCTGGCGGTGCATTGAGCTTATGTACCTCAGCGTGCCGCCGCTGACCATTGCAGTGGTACGATAATTCGAACTTCGATGTTGCCTCCATGCCCCGGTCAACATCGGATGCATTGCAGGTCGACGAAGCTAGACTAGACATGGGGAATGACCATCACGTGGAGTGATACAAGCCTCGAGATTGGTTCGAGGGAAAGCGGCCATGACGGAAAGTCTTGCGCTACAAATGACGAACGACCCATACCATCGAGTGAAATCGAGAACATGTCCAAGTTTGCCTTGCAAGGGAAGGTGAGCAGATGTGTACCTGCAGGTTGACTGTCCGACTACGGAGTACAGCACACTCACATCTACCAAACCACAACCCGATTGCCGTAGGACTCCGCATGGTCGACAAACACGTAAGCCTGCGAAGAAACCTTATGATTATCAGCATCGCACGGGCGACCAGATATTCATCCCCACGTGGGAGCATGCAGCGATGGTATCTGTCAGCCTTGTCAAAGCGCTGCCTACATAGCCGGACCTTAGACGCGTCCATGGGGTCAAGAAGTCTACTGTTTGCATAACCCGGAATATGCCATACAACACGGCGTTGACCTTGCTGAAGGTAAGCAGAACGTACGGCCCGGCTATCGACAAATATCGAACATGTGAATTGAAGACGTGAAAAAGGCGCAACGCAAGGTAGTATAGTACAAGTCTAAGTACGCACCTGGGTATCTCTGTTTAGACTGAAGTCCACGCCAACCAATCTCACGGAGCAACGGCCTCTCATTGCTGAAGGAGAAGAGATGACACCGCTAAATGCCGAGCAGAGAGTCCGGACACCACCAATTGCCTTTCTCGCCGCAACAATACCAAAATCTGCAGGATCACAGAGCGAAAGACTTCAACTCCTCAATCGGTCTCATCCCAAACAACTTGGTCGAACCCGCTATGCTCATCCCCAACCACCCGCTCGCCCGATCACGGACAGTCTTGTCATACGCCCCGATCGCCTCATCCCCAACCTCACCCTGCCCAAGAACATCAGCGAGCTCAGCAGCATCTTCGAACGCTGAATTCGCACCCACCCCGCCGAGCGGAGGCATCGAATGCGCCGCATCCCCAAGCAACGTAACCCTCGCATCCGTCGGCAATGTATCCAAATCCGGCCTCGCCATCAAGAAGAACAACGCCGACGCAGCGTCGGGATCCTGCTTCGTCACAATAGTCCGATCACTCATGTTCCACGCCTTTGTCAATTCTTCAGCCAACTTCGCAGATTGCTCACCATTGTATGTCATCAACGTTTTGTCGTCGACCTCGGTGCGGGTTTTCGCAAAAGTAAGGACCCAGTATATATAGTCGTCCGGCAACTGCACTGCCTCTGCAGGGGAGGTATCTACCCCGTGGTCGAACCTCATCGTATCAGAGAACAACACCGCTCGTCCATTGGAGTTCTCCTCGGCCGTCACATTCATGCCCTGGGCAACTGTATCCCTGATCGGCGGCGGGATACCCTCTGGAATCGGAGTCTTGCCGAAGATAGCACGCATTTCGGTGTCGAGCAAGGTGTGGCCAGGCACAAGTTGTCGTCGAACATGCGAACGCACGCCGTCGGCGCCGACGATCATGCGTCCGGTCGCTGAGGTTCCGTCCGCGAAACGCGCTGTCACGCTCTTGTCGTCGGAAGTGGACTCGGATGCGAACTCATACCGCTCAAGCCGTTTGCCGAAGTCGATGTCCTTTTCCAACCCTTGGAGAAGGACATTACGAATGACAGTCCGATCAACATTCCAGTTCGGACCAGTACCGCGTTGTGGTCCTCCACCGCCGAAGCGAGCCTCGCTTTTCTCGCCAGTGAGTGCGTCGAATCGGTGACCGCCGCTGACCACGGGCGAAGATGTCTTCTCAGCGAGGTCGAAGAGTGGACGTGGGAGTAGCTTCTCGAGACTACCAATGCCCCTTTCGTCCAGACGGATGCGGTACCCCTGGGCGCGGAAACTGGCGGCGCCGTCTCGCTCGAAGATCCGGAATGGGATGCCTTTCTTCTTCAGGCCCTGGGCGAGGCTGAGGCCGCCTAAGCCGCCTCCAATTATGAGTATGGGGTTTGATACTTTTGACATTTCGCAAGCTTATCGATTCCTGGTGAGTGATAGTCAGGTACCCAGCATTGAGCAACACGAACACGAGACATTATCACAACATGTGGCCTGCCTTATCTTTATAGTCGATACTCTTTCCGGTAACGTTCGACGATCTCGGTTCGGACATGATATAGGTACCCGCGTTCATGCGACACGTGATCAGCTCGGACCTCGTCCGGCTCCGAACGAGGCTGCATTGAAGCCGAGATGCTCCTGGGGAACAGCAAGATCAAGGACTGGATTTGTTCCATCATTGACGTTTCATTAATTTCGTCGATCACATATATACGTACAATTAGCTATAAATTTCAGACTTCACCTATTGAAGAGTCTGAATCCACTCTTTTCTCAACCACCGCCTCCTTCATAAAGGGGCTGCGTGCTCTGAGCTGCCGTCCCCATATCAGAATGCACACCGGCGCGAATGAGAGCCCCAGGGCCAGGAATCCCAACAGGCTACTTGCCCACCTGAAATCCAAGTTCGAGTACATCGGCTGGGCGGCAAGCGGAAGGAAGGCCGAAAACAGGTTCTCTCCCAAGACCACCGCAGCGACAGCACTGCCAGCGTATCTGGCATAAGCGTCGATGACATAGTCGGCGATGGCCAGTACCACCACGTCAATTCCGGCTCCCACCATGGCCAACCCAATGGCCGGTGCAATCCAAGGAACCGAGGGGAATGACGTCCATCCGTAAACAAACATACCACCTGCGACGCCCACAAAGCTTCCAAAAACGCTAACATACAATCGTGCCTCGGGGATTGGTGTCCCTGGAGATTCCGTGTTTCGTGACGCCGACCCAAAGTACAACTTTGCTGAAAGGAGAACTCCTGTCCATCCAACAAGTTCGCCGATCACAATGGCCGCCTGTAAATACCCAGCTTGCGAGGCGTTCCAGCCGTATAAGCCGGAAAAGACTTGTTCGACTGATTGCGTGAAAACGAAGACCGTACCCACCATAAATGATGACCACAGGGTGAAGACAAATAGTACTGGCTCCGTGAACAGCATCCTCAGCGGTCGCTTGGTGCTCAGGGCCATCTTCAGCGCAAGATTCATCTTGGGTCCGTCCTGTGGTCCTCGCACTGCTTGACCGGCCTTCTGCAGCTTCCGGGCCCGTTGCTGCAGGATCACAGTGCCCCTGCTTTCTTGGAAAAAGAAGAAGTAGACTGGAAAGAATATGGCAAGCCAGATTAGCTGCATGTAGGACAGCCAGCGCCAGGAAAGATTCTGAAGAATCACACCCCCAATGACCGGTCCCATACTGGCTCCTGCCAGGTAAGTCGTGACGAAGAAACTCATGGGGATCGTTCGAGCGCGATCACCTTCCCAGATGTTCCCAATCAAAGCGGCAGCCGTGTTTGACAGGATAGCAGCGCAGCCGCCTGCGAAGAACCGGGTGACGACCAAAGTTGCGAAGTTCTGCGCCACGGCTTGCGGAATAATGAAGAGAAAGAAAATAATGTATGTTGTGAGGAAAGCTGGTCGTACGCCGAAATCCTCCATAAGTGGGAGAATTATTAAACATGATATACCGCCGCCCAGAGACCAGGTGGTGACGGGCCAGTATGAGTTTGGAAAGTTGGCATCGCTAACATTGAATTCTTGGTTGATAGCATCGGCGGCGACTGTGATCATGGTTCCGTTCATGGTCGTGATGAACGTAGCCAGTGTAGCAACGGCGGTGATGATCCATTTCCGACTCAAGGGCCAGTTGTATGGGTTCTCTGGGTCGCATGGTCCATACCAGTCAATCACCTCGGATCCAGCAGTCTGGGCGACATCGTGCCCATCAGGTTGGATGGGACTGGCATCCTTTGGCTCTGCATCGAAATCGGTCATGAGAGATTCGATAACGTCGCCTCTTGCCCAATCTTCGCTATAGTCAATATGAAAGGTTGCGAGAAGTCAGAATTCATCTCAGCAGGCCATATCAGTTTTATTTAACGTAGTTCGATCTTTCCGAGGAGCGCGCTCGGGGCGGACCGTGCATCATCTTTTCGTAACAAGGTGCCTGGAGATGACTGGAGAAAGCAGGAGACGACCGGACATGAGCGGATTCGAGTCTTTTGCCTTGAGCATGACGCGAACAAAAAGAAAACTTCACCAAACTTTTACCTAATTCTTTGATCCTTTTACGCTCTCATGTGTCATCTCCAGAATCTTCTTATGTGCGGAAGCATCTCGCCGGAGCAATAGGAGACGAAGTGGACTCTGATGAATTGGACAAAATAAGCAAGAGAGAGATGTCGACCTTCATGATGCACGTCGCTTCTTCGCTTGACCAGGTACTCCGTACGCCCCCCTGTTCCATTGGCCCCTGCCAGCCTCGCCTCCTTCCTGTGGAAACTGCATCCCCAGTATGTCAAACCTCAACCGGAACATCCAACGCCGTCAGCATTCCCTTTTCGAGGGTCGTGATCTCGTGAACGTGTGTACACTGCAAGCTACGCAAATGGAATCAGTGAGCCATCATGGATCCAAAGGTCTTTCACCGCAATCCCCAAACAGCTGTCGGATGCTCACGATACCAGCACGCCCATTGGCATGACTGGTTGTTCAATCTTCGGCCTGCGATCAACCGAGGTATACATTCGTCTGTCCGTAATGAGGACATCCAATAGCTGCCCAACCTTGCCTGATCCCAGTAACAGCCTCATAGCCTGGTCCAGCGACGATACATCCTTCTCAGCAGCTGACAGCTCGGATTCAAACTCCGTTTGCGCCACGATCTCACTTTCCGTCTTGATCTTGGGTATGGCTTTTCTCTGACTACTGTCGATCGCACCCATCCGTTCGTGAGAGGTAAGGTCGTCGTATGCTTCCAACAGGTTTGCTGAAGTGACCACCACGTCTCTCTTCTCCAAGTCGCAGATGATGTTTCTCCATTTCCTCGTAAGGAAGCCGTGCTCATCATATGGTCTGGCCAACCTTATCCATTGGGCCACTCTCTTGATTGTCTGCGCTGCTGTGTCGACATCGATCTCAAACCATTCCCGATGTCCACCGGCACACAGCGGATTGTGCTTACACCTCGGCTCCCTTCGCCAATGCTCTGACAGTTCATGATGAACCAAGGCTTCCGCTCGTATGACATGCGGCACATCATCGGCAACAGCAACAAGCCATGGCTCGTAGCCGCAACGTCTCTGCCAGCTTTCCAGGCGACCAAACACCTTGCCTGTCGTATATCCGATCTTCACCATGCCTGGGCTCGAGGTTCGGGTGAAGGCATAGATGGAACCTTGCTTTCGCCATTGAGGTTCTCTGTTCCGGGATGCTTTGGATGAGGAGGCTGGTGGTAACGGCCGCAATAGCACCGAGACAAACGTGTTCGAAGGGCCTTTGACGTGAGGCACAAACTCGGGAATCAACGATGCGGCGCCCGTTTGGTGGCATATCTGTCCTGTGTGGTTCCTGTCCATTGATCTCAGATTGTACCTTGGCGTCGATTCAGCAGGTTCGGAACGAGGCGTATCAGCCTGTACAGATGTCAAGTTCGGGTCTGTATCTCCTCTGTCCTCCTCCTTGATCTGCGTTGCTGCAGGTATCTCCCTAACATCGTCTTCCCATTTCTGGCAAAGCTCATCCAGAACACCTAGCTCTTCCAGGCTCTTTCTGTGGACCCTCTTACAACAGCTCAGTTCGGCCAATTCTTGGAGATGGCCAGTCAAATCACCAGTCAATACGCCGCCCAAAATCTGTACCTGGATACGAGATGCTTCGGAACGATCAAATTGGTTGACACGATTTGCACAGTTCCGTTCTTTACCGATCAGAGGATAAATGCAGGTGAAATGTGGTTGCAAGGGGTCAAAGTCACGGAGGGACGGGAAGGCTTTCACGTCCGGGATATGAACCATGATTGAACAAGTAATTCTCTTGCTTCAGATCTAACGAGACGACGCTGGGTTGTTCCGCTCGAGGAGAAAAGAGCTTGAGATGGCATTTTCTTCCTACTTGTGATCAGAGCCTACTTATGTGTTCTACCACCTCCAAGGATTCTGGCATTGGCATGGCCATAGATGCCTGATACCAGTTCGGTCACAGACCAGCTCCGCCTAATGGGGGCTGTTGTTTTGGCGAACCTTACCCCAGTCGCAAGGATGGCCGTCATCGGGCAAGTTGGCGCCGACCCCAGGTTAACGTGCTGCGCGAGGCTGAGTCTTGGCCGCAGCAAAAGTACCTACTCCTAGGTGACGCCATCAGCTGGAGTTGAGTTGCTCGACAGAACCTCATACCTATATTCTCCTCTATCAAGAGGGGAAGGACCAGGAAACCCCTTGAAACGTCCGCGGTTGCGATTGGCATACAGTTATACCACTGGGTATATTACCATTTGGCACAAAAGACAGAGATCTCAAGAAGAGTCATTCCTGCTGAAGCTCCCCTGTGCTCTCGGCTCGAGAGTGTCTCAGAGCTGCGCTGAGGTGCATTAGCTTGTAACTGCCTTGGATGCCAACGCCTGTTCGGTGATAATCACGAGATCAAGGTAGGTCCTTTCATCCTGCTGCGCCCTCAATAGCGTTCTAATGTTAGTCTATGCTATCAGGTGGAATGTTGGATGACCAGCGATGCAGGGTACAACCACTGGTCTCGTAGGCAGCATAGTGCATTGCGCCTTGCAGCTGCATGGTCGGAGAGTGAACTGTGACAAAAGCCCACTGGACCTGCTAGGTCCAGGAGCATCGGCTGTTCTGCGTCCATCCAGGTCGAGCGTTTGCAAGGCGACCTTCATATGACATTTGAGTCTTCACCACCTCTGGGAAAGTTGCATGGAGATGTTTACGATTGAAGATTTCATGAATCATATTATTGATTACTGCGCCTTCTTCTGCCCTGGATTTTTGGCGTGAACCGTTGTTCTGGTGTGTGACATTTCCCGTCTCGCAAGATATATCCATTTCGCATCGCCTCATTCACGAGCTCTCTCAGTTATACTCAATCCTGGGGCGCCCATCCGTCCATACCCATAATCTCATCGTATTGTTGAAGTCATTGCCGTGTGCATGAATTCCATAGGCGTGGTATGTACAGTGCACCGCACGTCGCTGTCGTCAACTTCATCATCATTAGTAATTCTCGCTACCGGGAAGGAGGCACCACGAGCATCTCGCGACTTCCAGGCCTCTGAAGTCGGTCAATGCCGAGATGCTCCAGCCCATCTCGTCCCACAAATATGCCAAAGGCAAAACGCGGCACATGCCCACCCACATGACGCACTGGCCTGAAGGCTTGGCCCCGTTTCTCGTCTTTTGCTCCATCTCCAGTAAGTGTTGCTGGAGATGAAGATGATCTGGTCAATCTCTCTATGAGTTCTCCTTTTGTTGTAACATTCTGCAGAGCGCTGTCACCCAGCAACGGGCTCGCATATAGCCAACTCAACAAAGCTGCGATGGTATTGATGTTGTGTGGCAGGTACCGCTTTCTTGTGGGCCAGATGACCAAGTATGACAATGCATAAATAGTCACAAGTACGCAGAGCGCAATGTATCCAGGCATGCTGGCGACAATTCTGACCTCGTTCTGAGTGGTGAAGAACTCCGCGGTGAATACTCCTCCAGCTAGGACTGGGATCGACAGTGATAGAAGGGCAATGAAGCTGATATATGCCACCTTGTAGTCGTGGTTTCGCAGAGCGAGAAGGATCACAGAACTCGGACCTCGAGCCGGGTATGACAGCAACAGCGAGTGTCGAGCATCAGCACCAGAAGGTTGAGAGAGGTTGCAAAATGGCTGAACAGCACGGAAGTACATTGCGATGGGTTGCCACGCAAGAAAGAGGATCATTCCGAGTAACGCCGGGATGAAGCTGTAGAGGAAGTTCGCTGGAGAGAAACCTCCAGCACGAGTCAGTGACGGTAACAATGGACTGAACCCGTCTTGTACTGCGTGGTTGACAAAGCTGACCACCAAAAAGGCAATCACAAGTATGAACGCTGCAATGATCCATGCCAAGACAGCCGAGTCTCGAAGGAACCAGACGGTCCATCGATACCGTACATACGGTGAATGGATATTGCGTGAGAAGACTGAACCATAGGAATGGCGCTGCTGAGCCTCGGTGTCAACGGTGTCGTTAGGATGAAGCCGTAGACCTGAGGGTTTCTCCGTTGCTCTTGTCTGCTGCATCGAAAGGCGTTTGATCGGGGCGTATTCCACACCTACTCCGTGGAAAACGGCAGGTCTTTCGGAAGTCGTCCAAAAGCCTAATCGACATGTCTTTGGTGGAAGTTGTTGGCCGGGATCTGGCGCAATCTCGCTCTGCTCGAATCCAGACCCACCATTTGAGCGACGAAAGAGGCAGACCAGGTCGGCGATTGAGCGCGGATCCCACATCAAGTTCGAGTTGCGTCGCCGAAACCGCACAATGCAGTACAGAATTGCTAGACACAGTAGACCATACAGCGCGACCAAGGTCCAGCCCACGCCCTGTACGGTCGTCCAGCGAAAGCGTGCGGGACCATCGTTTGTGATCCACTGCGTTTGATAAAGGCAACTGAGGAGAGGGACGGTGAAATTGCTCAGCCAGAATATCAGAAATGCCACTCCAAGCATTTGCTCTCCCGTACGGAAGAAGCTAAAGTCGGGAAGCAGATAGTTCGCCGGCAAGATCCGCATGTTCTGTAGCACCCAGGGATTGCGCTTTCCTGAGTTCATACAGAAGTAGGGCAAGCATCTGTACGCTGCGGCTTCGATGACAAAAAGCCATAGTAGCAGGATGATGCCCAGAAGTTGTGGTAGGTATTGGAAGACAAAATACCGTGGTGTGGAGTTTCCGTCGTAGTCGAAGAGGGCATGATTCGTGGAAATGAAAACAAGACTGAATATTAGGCCGGCTATGATTGATAGGCATAAGAACATGAAAAGCGCGAGGATGGGAAGTCGTAAGGGTGTTGGTACAAAGCCAAGTTGTGAGCGTAGGTCTTTGGACAGATCAACAGGGACCATGACCTCTTGAGGTACAGGCTTCCGCTGAATCTGACGTATTGGCTGTGGAGGAGGTTGCTGTGGTGGCGTTGGTGGAGGAGGAGAGGGTGTAGGAGTTTGACGGCTGTCGACCGATACTGGTCTTGCTAATGGCAGAATCGGAGAAAGAGGATCATCCACGGGTGATGCTGTGCTGTATCTGCCTTGACCAAGGACATCCTCATCTCTTGTCAATTGCTCAATCGCAAACCGAATGTATGGTGTATCGTCAACTCCTGGGGTTGGCGGACTCATCTCGTCAAAACTGGACAGCATGCGCATTGTCTGTGACGCCTCATACCGAGTATTGAGAGGTGCCGGCTGTGTTGCGCCGGCTCTACTGGGAAGTGTCATCTCCGAATCAATGAGTTGCTGCTGTACGGGTGGTGTTGATATTCTCGAGGGCGGTGTTTCATAGCTTGCTTTTGTATCGTCGGATTTTTGGCTGGCGGTTTCAGAAGCATAGTCTGAGAAATATTCGTTCGAGGCGACGGAAGATTTCAACGAATGACTGCGGATATATTGAGGAGTGAGGCTCTTGACTGTCTGAATATGAGTATCGGGAACCAAGTTCATTACTCTGGGGAAGTATTATCAATGCGGAAACTCAAAAAAAAATGTCAAAGCGGAAGCACGTTGACCAGAGTGGAATAGACATGGAGAGCATGATTGAAGACGCATTTCGAGAATATGAAATGGTGGAATTGAATACGAGGTTGGGGTTGATAGTGGTGGTTGGGATCAGGCCGGCGCCGATGAGATTCCCAGCCACGCAGAAGGAACACAGAATGGAACAGAGTGAGACACAGAACGGGAAGTTGGTTGCACGAGGGCAAGAACTTGGATGATCATATGTTTGCATTGTAGGCCAACGAAGAGAACCAGGATTGATGCACGATCGCCATTGAATATGGAGTAATGCTGTCAAATGAGGTCAATGAAGGTGTTGATGGGCAGAGACTGCGCCCTGCTTTCTGCCAAGACCAGGCTCGGACCGTTCAGCCTTGCCGTCCGTGAACAGACTAGTGCAGCCTCGTGAACCTAAACAACAACGACCTAACAACAACTTCCAAGGAGCTCAATGCCGTACTGAAGGAAACCTTTACAAACGAGGGCTCTTATGGACGCGAAAACAGGCAGTGGACAGCTCATGCCTTTGCTGCACGTTGTCATCTGGCTTCTCGCTTGCCACATGTGCCTGTTCTTCCGAACACCTTCCTTCCCATGAACTGTGCTCACTTTCCGTTGTGGATGGCGGCCTCCTGTTTGCCATGTGCTGGGTATTCACTGCTCACAATGAGTGTCGCACCTTCTGGAATCAGTGAGATTAATGCAGGTGTATCTTTGCAGCAAGTGCACACATCGCAAAAGGGTGCGGTACTTCAATGAACGCTAACAACCGCTCACTTTCGTCGCACTTCGACCGCCCTGTACAGCTATCTCGTCACTCATTCTCTTCTTACAATAACCTAATTCATCGTCCTTTTCACTAACTCCTTCTCTCCATATCTTCGACTGTATTGTACACGCTCAAGATGAAAGTCGCGACGATGTTCCTCATGAGCCTGTCGCTCCTCGCGTTGGTTGTTGCTGCGCCGACCAAGATCGACGCTCCCATGGCCGATCTGTCGCTCTCGCGCGGTGCTCTCGGCACCTTCGAGCAGCTGTGCTCGTCAATAAAATGTCTCTTCGGAAACGCATTCGTCGAGCCATCGTCGGGTTTGTGCGTCTGTCCTGACTGGCCCAAAAGACTGGTAAGTGAGATTTCGCGAAACGCATGACCAGCAACTGACAGCACGAAACAGACTAAATTCGCTTGTGAGGACCATGTCTGCGACGGCGACACAGAACCATTCTACTCTTTCATCGAACAAGCCTGCTATTGCAGCTCTATGGAAAAATGGCGCGAGCTTGAAAGAGAAGTCCTGGAGTCTATGTCTGAGCCGGACGATGACAACTCATTTGAGCTTCGACGTCGTGAAATGCCAACTAGCTCGAGCGCATCTGTACGCAGCGCGATACCAACATTCATCCCTCCACCAAAGCAGACCATTACTCCAGCAGTGCTCAACCAGTCCTTGACTTCACAGCCGCAGGACAATGCAACAGTCAGCTCCATCATCCCATACTTCCAGGACGATGTGCTGAAGATCTACCTGCAATTGAACGGCCTGGTTGCCGATCTACTCGAGGTCAATGCAAGCGCTTCCTTCCCTTGTGGTACCATTGGATTTGATCCTAAACCGAATCTTGCTCTTGTGCCCAAAGTAGTTCAACAAGGTCAAGGACAGTCTCAAGTTGTGATTGCCGACTGTCAATGCATAGCTGTTAATGTGTACACTCCCACTGTCATCAACTACTGGGTCCAGAAGCAAGATGGCACCATCTACTCAGTCGTCGGCAGCAATGAGGTACTCGGTATCGACAAAATGGACATTAATCAGAGCACGGCTTTGAGCATCGTCACATTACCTGTCAACGCCACAAAGCGCAGCATTTCAGACACGATTCAGTATGTTCAACCAGTCAAACGACAGATTTTCAGCATCGACTGCGACAAATCGTGTCCATTCTACCACATGCACCTGATCAAAGGTGGTGATGGCTACTGCGGGTGCATGTTCAACGGAGCTGATGAAGAGATGCACCTTGCTGCGAGAGGCATTGTAGCACCAGATGTCAACACTGCGACCATGACGGAGGCTGCTTGCAAAGCTATGACATGCTTCAACAATAACAACAGTCCAGCCGTCTTCAATCCATTCAGTCGTACTTGCTGGTGCAACACCCCGGCTTACATTGAATCAAACCCCAGTGCTTGGAATCCAACATCCTGAATATGATGTGATATGAGAAGGCTGTCCAAAGACTGCAGAGAACAGTGTATCAACATCCACAAAAGAACACGGCCACATGTTATGCCCACACTTCCAACTTGGTCTACCTTGACAGGGCAAAGAACGCCACATCCTTGAGTTGGAGAAAGTCATTGTGAGAATCGGTTGGCTACGATTGAGAGGCCGATGAGAACGATTGGCCGAGTGTCATCGAATGTTATTGCCCGCCACAAACTGGAGCATGAACATGAACCTTCGTAGACCTACGTAATTTCGACTGAGAATGAAATAAGAATTCTTCTTGAAGAAGGTTCCTGGAGCTATTAGGCGACGTAGAGTGCTCAACCGTTGTCTCGCTTGTTTGCTTTCGAATCCAATTGACTCAAACAACCCTTTTGCGCCTTCGCTTGCTATGTTCACAGTTCACACAATCTAACACACGGCACAGAAAATTACCTGATAAGGTACACCGGTTTTCCTTTTGCTCTCCGACATACACACTCCGTACTCAAAACACCCTATCTTCGACAGATTGATCTAGTATGTCGAATTTGGAGCCCACATCCGTTGAATGTGCCAATGCGGCCAACACTCTCAATGGTGTGACAGAATACCGTTGCGTTGCCTTCTGGCTTTCCGAATATTTGCAGAACCCATCCCTGCAAACCTTTGTACAGTGTGCAATTCCCTAAATCAAGCTTGATCCACATCCGCCGGGAGTCAACTTTGGCAACACATTCTTCTCATCCATATTACAAGCCAACACATTGACGATTGAGAAGAACATGTCTATCACCGCCGGGCAAACGAACTTCCAGCACCACCAGAGCCGTCCCCAGGCAACGGTCCCGACCCGCTGATATAGCTTGTCCGACTCGGACTCGTGCGCGATGCTTGTTCCTCAAGAATATCGCTCAACCTAGTCGGATGGCGATGGCGAGTCAAATCCTCCCAGTTTGTCGTCGCTTGCGTGACGACGGGCGGCGCATCGTACCCTTCACCCTCGTACTCGGCCGGAGGCGCAGGGGGACGACCTTGCGGGATACTTGACAGCGGGCCGGACGTTGTCCGAGGGATATTCGCAGCCGTTGTCGTGGGTGGTTGCTGCTGTTGCTGCTGTGGACGGTATTGCGCAGTGTACATACGCTCCCTTTCAATGTCGGCGGCGTGGTCGTCATCTTCTTCAGAATATTCGCCCTCTTCGCCTTCGATGTCGCTTAGCTCTGCGGAGAGCCCTGAAGGACCCGGGCCGGTGCCGACCGGCTGGTGGTATGGGATCCGTCGACCCTGCGTGTCGCGGGTGTAGCTGCCGTCGGGGTTGATGTGATATTCCTCCTCGGAGGCACCGGAGGCGCTGGAAGCCATGTATGACCGTCCTGTGTCACCTGTGCCTTGACGGACTGGCGGTGGTAGAGTTCCCGACATTGGTACATTGGTGGTTGCGGTTTGATAGAAGCGGAGTTCACTTCGAGGGGCTGCTGATGGACCTCCACTTTCTGCGGCACGACTGGCAGCGGTGGTGGCGGCAGTGGTTTGAGGTTGCGTTGGGCGTGGAGGAGTTGCATAGAACTGTGTGTCTGGTGAGCGACGTAGTTGGCCTTGTGGATCTCGCTGTTGAGGCGACTCGGTGAAAGGATCGGTGACGGTTGGTGAGTTCCCCGTGTCAGCTTGATATGTGAACTGCCGACTTTCTTCACCCGGAGAATCAAGAGAGGTTGTTGTCGTCTGACTCCGAGAAGGTGGTCGTTGAGCCATCGAAGGTTGCTGACCTGACATCGTAGACGGCCCTGCACCGCCAGTGGGCCCTTCTCTGGCTTGTGGTCGGTGCGCTGTGCTTACTTGTCGGCTTGGAAGGCCTTGCATGGGAACGACCTGTACACCGCCAATAAGGGTGGGTTCGCCACTTCGCAAAGCGATGGTCCGCTCTCGCTCCTCTTGTTCTCGTCTGCCTAGCTCTTCCCAAGCCCTTCGAGCTTCCTCCTTGCTGATCTGCAGCTCTCGTCGCATCTCTTTGAGAAGTTCTTCGGTTCGGGTCTTTTCCGCGCGGACCGCTTCGATAGAAGTGGAGCTCTGCGTCCGAGCTTCTCTTTCCGCCCGGAGCTGACGCTCGAGCTCCGCCTGTCTTTCTTGACCTTGTTCTTGCTCGTGCCGCGTCTCAAAGAACCAGCGCTGAAACTTCCGTTCGGAAGAAGCTCTGAGACGTTGCAATTCAACCACAGCATGAAACAGATTTGCTCCAGCTGCGGATAAATCCTCAATTTGACGAGCCATCTGGCGTTCTATTGACTTTCCCGCAAGTTCGTCGGCATTGTTTTGCATACGATGAATAAAGGACGACACAATACCTTCCCAGTGTGCAGACAGGTCTTCCCATCTTTCAAAGGCATTTGGAAAGCGGCTACGTCCACCAGCGCCAGAGGTTTGAGGACCAGATTGAGGAGGAGGTTGCGTACCAGCCTGCGGCCTCGGTTGCTGAGGCTGCTGAGAGGTTCGTTGAGTCTGCTCAGGTGGTACTGCAGGTCTAGCCGTGGCTGGGATATTCAGATTCTCGTAGGCTTCTGTGCGATTCCGCTGCGCCGTTGGTGATATGGCAGGATCTCGGGCACCACTTTGCGCAGGCCGCGAGGTCCTCGAACGGTCGGGCTGAGGGGGAGCAACATTCTCTTGTCGTCGAGTCGACGGTCCAGGTGCAGGACCGGTGGGTCCGCTTATGTTGTAGGTCTGCGTGGGCTGTGGTCTGCCGATTGATGTTCGTGCTGTTGCTCGAGGCATCTGATCATCCCCAACGCCGACAACTTGCTCCTCTTGTCCAGTCCTTCTCTGGTCTTCATGCCGTAGTCTTGCAGCCGCCTCTTCTGCCCGTCTAGCTTCCCGTGCTCTTCGCTCTCGCATGACATCGGTAGGCGTACGATACCGAGGTGGTTCGGTCGATATAGGCCCGGCACCACCAGCTGCGGTTGTGCGTGGTGCACCCCCATTCTGTCCTCGAGCAGTGGTACCGGGCGGATTGCCCCTTACCAAATCTGACATTCGAGCCTCTTCTTCGAGCAGATCTGGAGTCAAGGGCTGCGCATTGACACCACTACCTCTTCTGATAGCTTCCAAGGCAAAAAGGATAGCGTCGTGGGTATGTCTGGAGATGTGTGTCGTTCTCCGTGGCCAGTATGAATCGTCTCCTACCAGGCGTTGGAAGTGTTCGGGGCTGGTCGATCCAGACTCCTCAAAGAGAGATGTACTTGAAAGGACTTCTCCTCTTCTGGGTCGCTCAGGCGATATGACCTCGACCACCGGCCTGACCTCCGTCTCTTGTAGTCTTGGGGTTCTTCTCAGGGATCTGACACCACTGGGTGTTGAGGAGACGGATGGTCTTCGTTGAGAAACGGGTGTGGATGAGTGTTGCTGGCGTTGGGGTGGGGATTCGCGTTCGGGATCGTAATACTCGTAAAGGTCGTCAAAGTGAGGTTGCTCGGGTTGAGACACTTCGACTGTAGGGTATGCAGGAAGGGAAAGAGGATGACCTCGATGCAACTTGGGGTATGCGCCTCAAAGCGCGAGGCCGTCGGGGTTGGGGTCCTTCGATTCAAGAGCGAGGCTGCCAACGCACGCACGAGCTCCAAAGGTAGAATATGGCTAAGCAGGGTTGAAGTTAGGTGTCGAGAACCTTGGGTAGTAACATTGATCTTGCGCAAAAGAATGTGTGGTTGTGGTCGTATTAGTGAGTGGCTGGTCCAATGCTGAAATCACGGTGGTTGGGTTTCGCCTGGATGTGCGCGACGACTGCTGCGGCGCAGTCGTGTCTCAACACCTCTCGAGAGTCTGCTCTGTTTATATCGATGCATGAAGTTTTGTTTCTTCTCATAAAAAGTTATGGGTGTGTGTGCGCAGTGATCGAAGATAGGCAGGTTCACAATGTGGTGGGTGCGGCGAGATTCAACGTGGAAGCATCATACAGGGAGCTTTGACCTTTGCACAAGCCGCTTTGCGGGGAATTTTTGACAGTATGGAAGCTGGAGATGATGCGTGTCAGGCTGTGAAGTACAGGTGAGCGATACTCGATATTCGTACTAGGTGTGAGAGCATTCGGTGGTTCTCGATATTGCAACCTCGATATTCGCGCGGAAGCGCAGTCTTGGTCTGGTGTTGACCGATTGCTACAGGTGCCGGCGGGCAAAGGACCGCTGGACCCGAGAACAAGGCCGGAGAATTGAATGTAGCCCTGGAGGATTGTTCCTCAGACGGTTTGCCATTGTCCAAAATGGGTCTCATCGATGTGGACAGGTTTCTGTGTGTGGGAACTTGGAAATGGAAATATTGAGGAGGCTGGACAAACCGCAATCTGCGCCTGCGCCTGCGCTGCAAAAACTGCGCTGAGGTGCTTGGCCAGACAGAGAGACACTGCACCACTGGCAGCGAGCGATGAGTTGGCAACATTTCCACCATCGTCATTTGCACATTGCCCACCGGCGCCTCATCATCCACGGAGCTGATCCCTGCTCATTCTTCCCTACTACTATCGATACTCATGGTCGTCGATCTGATGGGAGTGATGGGAGACCGAGTGAAAAAGAGACCGCGATGATGAACCTTTCTTCGAACACTTTTTGCCTGGCACTTCACCCCCTTCAATCCAGGAACCAGGCACCATTTGGCCCCTTTGTCGCCCGTCAGGGTCATGGGATTGGTTCTTGTCACGAATCAAGCAGTCTGAATCACCACCACTCATCTTGCTCGATCGCGGCCTGCACGGAATATGAAAGCGCCTCCCCGCCATGCCGTCCTGGTACTCCATATTCCGTACTCGTACTGGACTCGTCCCCTTTCAGAGCCAGCAGAGTTTGGATCTGGGCTCGCTTCTTCCCGTGGCTGGCTTTCGTTTGGCCCCGCGCCGAGCATCCACACTTGACGTGTGACCTGTATCACAGACCGGACATTACTGACTGGTGTTCCAGCTGAGGTAGGCTACCAGGGGTTTTCACTTCTATGCTTGTCCGGCCTAGGATGAACATTTTCGTTCATCTCTCTACATCCGAACATTCGAAGAATCCCCCTGCCAGTCTAAAGCACCAGAGGGTTTCGCAAAACCGATACCTAGCCGCCTTTACTTCGTAACTACACGTGCCTAGGATTGTCCATGCCACTTTTGACTTCTGCCAGTATGTCATGTCCATCACGCGCGCAAATGGCTGCGCTCTCCAGGACGACCACCGTTTCTGTCAGCTACACAGCTGCCTCTGGTCGACGTTGGGATCTCAAAGCAAGCTCCGACAGCCCGACATCAACCTATGAGCTCATTTCTGGCGGAGAGGTGGTGTGTTGCCGCATGGTCTAATTGGCGATAGCCAGTCAAGGCATCTTTCCGACAGTTTTGACATGGTATGCACGCACAGGCCAACATCCCTTCACGTTGCAAGCTTTCGATCGGATGGACGAGGATTCATTGTGACTGCATCGCCTCCGAGGCAGGGGCCGCCTTGCCCTCCTACGTTTGTCTTCTCGGATTCCGAGGCGAAAGCTCCCTCCCTTCCTTCTTTCGGCTGCCCTTACCGCATGGCGTTGACCAATCGAAGTGTTGATCTTATGGCCTGATACCTGAAATGGTCTTCAAAGTATAGGGCACAGACACTCAGTCCATGACCAGAAACCACGCGTCTGCCCTGTGGGGATTTGCTTAACTCGAGATACATCCATGAAACGCCATCCCTGGCTTCCCCGACATCACCATTTTCGGTCCTGCTTGCATCCTGCATCATACCCTGGCTTGCACAGATTTTGACACGCTGCAGACGTCGAGATTCGGGAGTAACTATTCCTCTTGCAGCAGCTCTGGCCCAGCCAAAGATCCCAATTCGGAAGCCACAGAAAACAGCCCTCTGTGTTTGTCCGGAAGAGTTTTCATATATTGATGCAGTACAGCCCTCGACTCCAATATCCATTCTTTCTCTCAATGTGGATGATGTATGTGAATTTTCCCTGCTGTGACTAATGGCGTGAAGTGTTTATATTTTGTTTTGCCTTTCGTGGTCTGGATTGTTGACGACATGCTTGAGAGCTATCATCTTCTACCTCAAGAATTCAGGAACATGTTCCAGACTCCGACATCAAAGGAGTCGACAATGTTCCCTATGGCTCCCGACTTTACATTGCTGGGAGACTCCGTGTCTAAGGATCCTTCATTTTGCTCCAATCTTTACAGCCTCTCAAATGCAGCTACCTTTGATTCACATCTACTACCTCGAGTACCATCTCCATCTTTACCGTTGGAGGAAATGTTAAGGTTGTGGCCATCTGGTCAAGAACATTTATCGTCATCGATGGATAAGGGAAGCGGTGTTTACCACGTGCAGACACGTCGTGATTCTCTCACCACTTTGATGAACTTTGGTGATTGGGTTTCGGGACAATCCTGGAGTCGAGCTTCAAGCCTTCTTCCGCCAGCACCACTGTTTTACCGTGGGAGGCCATCCCATCTCGATCATCCAGACAGGGTCGATTGCGACTTGTTGTCGGCACCGTCAGCTACAGAGACTCGCCCAGGACGAGAATTACAAGCCGCATCTGGTAAACGTGCTACGCCAGAGCACCCAAGCAGACCATACTCCCATTTGCATGAGGCCAGACTCGACACCGGCAACGCGTCAAGCTCACATACCAGACCGACAACCCCAGTTCCGTCTCTAAGTCACTCACATCAATCCGCTTCATCTCTCTCAACGATTGATCAGGCCTACGAAGTCAGCAAGGGTACGCACAATTCGCCGGGTCGACTGGCTCTTGTTGATCGCAGTGGAGCATCTATGCATAATTCCAAGGCTGGCAAGTCGACCACCAACGTACTTAGCATGAGGCCTAGCGATGGAATCGACTGCACCCTTCCAGACCTGCTGGAGGCACATCCATCAACCTATCAACCTGAGGTGTCATATATTGAATGGGACGACGGCGATGGTGCTCGAGCACAGTCACGACTTGCACGGATGAAGAAAAGCTTCGCAGACCTTCGTGCGGCCGAACGGTACATCTCGGAGGCATACACGAGCAGCAAAACACCACTACTGAAACACAAGAATGATACTGTCGGTACTAGTCGCGCAGCAATGTGCCCGACAACCGATGAAGGCACGTCGGAATTCTCGAGACAAAAACAACTCGAGCCGAGGAATGATGTTCATGGAGAGTGGAAGCCATTGATTCCGAAGCCGCTGGCTATCGGCAATGTCGAGATGCCCGCCAAACTGAGGAAGCAACCTAGTACAAGATCGCTCTTGAAGAAAGCTACCAAGCCCGGATCACCAGTCACTGGTCATCTCAAACGTGACCGACGAAGAACTGTGAGTTCAGGGCTAGAAGGTATATCACCACTATCTCAAATTAGCGTTGAGCCAGGTCTCGCCACGACCTCTGCCCGGTCGTCAGCTGCGACGTCGTCCAGCACCCGCAAGAGAAAGAGGTTTGGCACGGTTTTCGTTAGACCCAACCGGAATGAGAAGGAACCAGCCAGGCTAAGCGTCACTGGAAAATGGCTCAGGCGGGTGCTGGGCTTCAAAAGAGAGCGGAAGGATTAGTGGTGCATTCAGCTGCTGACACGGGTGATGGCTGGAAAGGCTGCTTTGTGGTACAATTTCGGGGTTGCTTGCGGGTACGATCTTTTTGTGCACTGGGCTGGTATGATTGAATGAAAAAGTCTTTACGTGACATGAATGGAATGAGTGTTATGCGAAGGTTCGGACATGTGGGATCGAGTATCTAGACGAAGGATGGCGATGGGCATGAATGATGACGGATGACGAGAATGAAGAGCCGTGTAGCAGGTCTACAGAGGTTTTGGACGGATGAGATGCCACATGCAGCTCGTAGATGCCATGTTAAAGGCCCGCGACTTTGCTCCTTCCAGTGTGGTTGGAGAAATGTGTCATTGCCGTCAAACCAAAGTCAAAGACATTGACTTCTGATGAACTTTGCCGATACATCCCTCTTTCCTCGATTGGCGTTAAGCTGCACAAATCCTTTCATCTGCAACGAAGGTATGAAGCAAGACTCTGATGTCTATCAACGTACTTGGTGCGATGGCGCCCACCTGGATATTGATTTGTCCACACCGACTGCAGTCATCTCGTGTCACTCCCCACAACCTTCCTGTGCACGGTGCACCGCAGGTCTCCTCCTTCGTCCAAGAGCATCTCTTCGCGTCTGACAGTGACGGCCAGATCTTGCTCCCTCTTGAGCCAGGATCGATACACATATAATCCAACCTTCTGTACCATACAACCTCGATGTCATAACTGGGGTGAGTGGTGACCTCGCTGGTGCGAAGGCAGCATGCTTAAGGTTTGACTCCGACCGTGGTTTTATGGAAGTGGCTCAAAGTCGCCCTTACGTGGTAAACCGTCAAGAGGAGTGATACTGCGGCCAGCACTCCTACAGCAAACAGCGGCACAAGGATCGAGAAAACGGTGAATCCATAGCTGGCTGCATTGAATGCCGCGTTGTTTTCCAGCTGTCTCGTTGCAAGGCCCACCTGCATGGCCGTCAGAACAAGTGCAAGGTATGCAAAGCCTGCAACCAGCCAAGCAAAGTTGCGTTCAAGGAATCCCTGGTACGTCCGGCTACCATAATGATATCCACGAAAGAAGTACTTCAGCTTGAGTTCCGGCAGGAGACGATACAAAATATTGATACGGCTGAGGCGAAGCTCGCCGTAGGTGTATCTGGGGGCGAAGTTCGAGGGGTTCCGGTCCAAGCACAGGGGAAGGAGTCTATCTTGAACCAACTCAAGCCATGACGACCATGTGAGCCCTGCTGGAATGAGATTTAACCTTCTGGCGATCTCGAAATCGCATTCATACGCGACAAGGTATGCATACGTCCTCATGAAGCCATTCGCGCGTGCTTGGAGCCGAGGAGACGCGCGAATGTGCTGCTTCCAGATGTCTCCGTCCAGAAGCCAGGCAGGGAGCGGTTTGATGAAAATGGTCTTCTCGATCCACAACAGATGAAGATCTGCTTGCTCGGTCAGGTTCACTTCACGACCCAGCACGTGCTGACGATGCAAAGGATGCACATTGCCAACCCTGCCGACCATCCAGAGATGCGCAGCTATGCGATCAAGGCGCGAAACGTCCAGCTGGTGTTGTGCAAAGGCAATAAATTCTTTGCGAGGCTGAATTATGGAGCCATCAGGTTTCCGGAGTATGCAGGGAAGATGATGGTCGATGCTGGCTGATGATAGCGACACCACTGGCATAGTTGACACTCTATTGAGATGCTGCAGACAGACGTTGCGAAGACGCGTTGTCCCGTGCAATGCTAGGCAGGATCGTTGGACGAGGCTGAGTACGGATTGCCCCTCACTTAAGCGCCAATCAACTCCCCCTGGCCTTTCAGGTCCCGAGCCTCACGACCTTACCTTGCCTCAAAGTTGACTTGTTCATAAGTGTGCGGGAAGAACTATGGTGTCCGCTGATGGCACCGGAGCCGCCAACCTTCCGCCTACGGCGGATACCCGCTGGAGTATCTGGCCTCAAACTTCAAAGATTCCTTTGCCAGGTCGTACCGGGCCTCGAGCTGCAGCAGCTTCACATAGCCTCACTTGCGCCAACCCCTAACGACCACACCAAACCACAAAGCCAGACCGCAACTCTTCAGATATATGAGCTGTACCGCCTTCTCTTGCCTTCGATGGCAATGGAGAGTGTACCTTTCAGATACCCGGTCAACGGCATCCCCTGATCTTCGACACTCATTTCTTAGGATTTACCGTTTTAAATGAAGTGGACTCTGGAGAACACTCTTTTGAATATTGCATCCTCCTCATGCCATGCATAACTCTCTGACGTGACAGTTTGATCGCTCTCTCTGGCCTTGCCAGTCATCCCTTCGGTTCATGGAAAAAGCATGCGGCTAACGCAGACTTGATCAACCTGGCCTCATTCATGTGGCTTCGCGACCAGCTACCTTCCGATTTCCCTAACGTTCGCGTTCTGATATATGGCTATGACACTCGATTACTCAAAAGTGAATCATTTCAGACTATCGAGGACCTTGCAGTATCTCTCATTGCCCAATTGAGGGGTATCGGGAAGACTCAAACATTCACCAAGCCGTTGCTGATCTTCGCTCATAGTCTCGGCGGCCTTCTAGTTAAACAGGCCCTCTGTTTGCTTGCGCGTTGTGGTGAGTCAGAGGCATTTATGCTTGATCAAGTTCGTCTGGTGGTGTTGTTCGGTGTACCCAGTGCGGGTATGAGAATGGAATACCTACTGCCCATGGTAGATGGTCAGCCAAATCAGTATCTAGTCGAATGTTTGTCGCAAGATGATCCTCACGGATTTCTGCAAACATTGAATGCATCATTCCACGGCATTTCACGTTTGCGCCGAATACGGCTGATTTCGGCTTACGAGACTCAGCGGACGCGTACAGCTAAGGTTCGCGTGAAGCCATACTGTTGTCTCTATGCTAACGCAAGCGTCTAGGAAACTTCTCCCGGTGTCTGGGCTCGTGTCGGGGACCCAGTCATCCTTGTGCCGCGAGAATCTGCCATCCAGAAAGGATCGCGAAATCCCGAAGACGTCTTCCCCATTGATCGTGACCATTCAAACCTTGTGAAGTTTAGTGAAGATGATATCCATTATGTTACTCTGCAGAGATTCCTGCGTGAGATTCCAGACTCGGCACCACGGAGCGACTTCATGGGCACCATACCTCCGAAGATCCTAGCCGTCCCTGACTCACAACTTTTGAGGTTTGATGGCGGCGAAGGCACGGCAACTCAAGGTATGGCTTACTTTTCCGTCGCTTCCACTTGCAGCTAACGGTGCATAAGGTGGTCTAAAGAGCCTCTGGTTTCCGGAGATCAATTACCGAGAAGAGCACATTGTAACAGCTCACGACCACTCTTATGGCTGGCTTTACGATCCCAACCTGAGGTTCTTTGAATGGCTGCAAAGTACGAGACGTCTTTACTGGATCAGGGGTAAGCCTGGGTCTGGCAAAAGCACGCTGATGAAGCACCTCCGCAAAGCCACGGGGCTTTGGAAAGGCTCTACAGGACATGGATCCGCCCTCCATCAGCAATTCGAATACCTATGGTTCTTCTTCAATGCGCGTGGCTCATACAAACAAAAGTCATTCGAAGGTCTATTGCGCTCAATTTTGTTCCAGTTGGGTTCGCGATACCCAATTATTGCGCAGGTAATCGAGGAAAGACACAGAGCTAAGCAAACTAAGAATAAGGATGTATGGACTGATGACGAATCGTTGAGGCTTTTTGAGCATGTTAAGTGCAAGGCCAAGATTGGCCGGCAGGTAGTGCTTTTTCTGGACGCTCTCGATGAGTTCAACGGTTATCCAGAGGTAATAGCAGAATTTCTAACCAGGCTCAGTGCCAGTCCGAACGAGATCGCCAGCCTTGACATCAGGATATGCTTCTCCAGCCGGCCATGGGACGCATTTGTGGAGCGCTTCGACACATGCGACGGTTTCAAGCTCCAGGATTGGACTCAGTCAGATATTGCACGCTACACAGGATCTCGGCTTGTTGGAATGCTCCAATCACAATTCCCCACACTCGATTCGGAATCGTCGCGAGCCCTGGAGAAGGATGTGGCGGAGTACATTCGACTTCATGCGCAAGGTGTGTTTCTCTGGGTTACCATGGTCCTCGATGAGCTTGAAAGGGTATCTCGCCCTCACCAATCACCGACACTCCTTTACAAGCAACTGACCAAGCTGCCTACTGAACTTGAAGACTATTACGGCCTCATCATCGATAGGATCGCTCCCAAAGATCGGCTAGAGGCGTTCATTTTGCTGGAGCTGGTGCTTCGCGACTCATGGGGTCCCACAGAACTTGGGAAATTGTTTCTCGCATCAAGATGTGCCGGGGGAAATACACTCGAGGCCTGTGAGCAGCTCCTCAAGTCGGCCAAAACCCAGTTGCTGGAGGAAAAACACATGGATGTGCATCTCAAGGACCTTTGTGGGGGCATGCTTGAGGTCGTGGAATCAAATCGTGAATCCGTTGTCCAATTCATGCACGAGACAGCGCGAGACTTCATTGAACGTCCCGAGTTCAGACAACGTATCCTGCCCCAGGATGGTCCTAGTCTAGACTGGCTGGACGGCCACGTGTTTTGGATCAAATATTGGTTTGCCTTTAGGATTCCAAAGCAGGACATCGGAAAGGAGTTATACATTTTAAAGGTCGACAGGATGTTTGAACATGCCTACTCCGCGGAGCACAGAACTGGGAAAAGTCTCGCAAACTTCCTGGACAGCGTGCCACAAAGCGTTTTCTCTTACTTTTCGGAGCCCCTTCAGTGGCCAAGACCGTACTTCGGGTTCTATTCGAGTCTCTCATTCGCAGTGCTCGCGGGACTCGAGTTGTATGTATCACATCGCCTGTCAATCGCGGCCACCGAGGGTCCACAAGGTCGCTCAAGGCTACTGAACAGAGATTCAGATGGGACACTCGCTCATGGGCTCATTCAAGAAGTCTGTCTGGGGTACAGAAGCAGAAGCAGAGACAGAGAACGCTCTCTAGGAGCAATGACCCAACTGCTCGTGGACAGTGGTCTGAACTTCAATATGCGGAGGTACGATATGGCGGGGTACGAGTACCTGCCCATCCAGGTGCTCTTTCAGGACCCCGACCCACATCGGCGGCAAGGCGGTGGGGTGCATGACGAATGCGGTCAGGTCCTGGATATATTATTGAAAGCGGGCTGTGATTCCAACACGCGAACTACTTATGCACGATCAGCGACTCTAAATCCATTCCCAGAAGAGGACAATGTTCCGCATCGTCAAGATCAGTGTCGTTTACTCCATGTCAGCTGGGGAATATTGAGCCAGACACTGCTCGCACACGGCGCCAACGTGAATGCGTACGATAGCCGCGGGCATACTCCGCTGGATGTATGCATTGGTGTAAAGTTCTGGCTCCTCGACACCAGAAGTGCGCGCCAGGCTCTGGAGACGGCGACGGCGCTTATTGAAGCCGGTGCTCATCTGAGCCAGTATGGACACAAACATCTCCAGAACCGATCTTCATGGAATGACTTCTCGAGAAACAAGCGCGAGGAAACCGAGCGCCGTGAAAAGACAGACAAGCGATACATAACTGGAGCCTTTACCGAGTCGGACAGTATGCGTGATTTTCTGGGGCTGCGGGACGACCATGGCGTTGCAGAACCGTCCGATGACGCTGAGTCGTTGCATACAGAATTCGTTGATCTTATCAAAACGGCTCCTGTACTTCCCACGCCGGCAACCCGCAGGGAATTGAAGAAACTCTATCCCAAACGCATTGGCAAGCCAGACGCTTTCGGGAGTCTGCGGGCTCTCTTTCGACGCTTGAGTGAGAATACGAGGATCGGCCCTGGCTGAGGCCACGGTCAGTCCTCTCCATCGGGAGCTATCAGAGTCAGTACGAGAGGCTCAACGCACACAAACGGAGCTTTAATCGAGGAACTCTCGGCGTACCGAGATAAATTGACTGTCATGCCCAACGTGTCTCCAACCCTACTTGACGCTCCATAGCCCCATCAAGGCATGCTTCAAGGTGAAAGCTGGTCGGTGTTGTTCAGTTTGGCCTTTGGAGCAGCCTAGACGGAGGATAATGATGATAATGATAAAGCACTAACACGTGGTTGGTAGCGACGGCACGGGGCCGGCCTAGAATAGGGAGCTTTGGCCGGAAGAGCCAGGATTTCGATTACCGACGCAAGGTTGGCAAAGCATTACCTACCGTTGATTTTGAAGAAGCCTCCTCAGCAGGACAGCAGCATGCCGACATGATTATGATGTGTTGAAAGTTCACCGCCCGGCTGGCGACGCAGAAGATTCACAACAGCCACATAGGGTACTCATCGAGTACAGCCAAACGTTGATCTTCGTGACCTGCGTGACTCCCAACACAGGAAGTATAGCTGCCGACAATGAATTGACGATATGAATGTATATATCTCCATACTCCCGGCACGTCAACATTTCGCATAACCCTGTACTTTACCTCTGCGGCAAAATTACCAGAACGTCCATGTCGTGGTCAAAGCTCTGCATAGCAAATTCACCAAAAATTGCTAAACAGTCTGTGCGTTCTTCCAGCTTCCGTTCGGATACCTTACATGAACATTTCGTCACGAGGCCTTGCTCGAAGCTCGACACGAGGAGGATGAGGGCGTCACGATAAGCGACCCGGTCAAGGAGGCTGGGAGACGTACTCCGTACCTGTATAAGTCACTCATGCAACGCAATGCAAACGTAAACCCTCGTCATGCGCCGTGATTGACGTAAATATTGCGCAGAAGAACAGCAAAAGAACTTTTCCATGTCGACTCAGCGCAAGAACGCAAAGTTAAGGGGAGCTTTGACCCTGCGTCACGCATACTGTGCTGCATATTGATGTTGTTGACGGCCTTGGCCTGGCCTACGACCAATGAGAATGTGCATTGTGACAGCGGTCGACAGCTGCGCAACAGCAACGTGACCACGACTTTGGGCGTCCGTCTTCAAGGCTATTGGATGTTGATTCGAGATGTCGTGGTTTTGTCAGTGCGTCGGAATACGAAGAGTTGACATGCAGACTGCAGACCTGCAAGACATGATACCTCGTATAGATGCACATTCTCGTGCATGTGTTTCATGCCACTATTCAGCTGAATTGTATACGAGACTGTGGTAGCGAAGGCATGCTTGGCAACGTCATGACTGCTGACCGGCTTGTTTTGTACGTCAGACTTCCCGGACTGTCGAGGTCGGTGTTTCAAAACCTGCTGCCCTCGGCCTGCAAGGACGGCTTGCATGCAGGTCAACTCAACGTTCGCCGGAACTCAGTTTCTCAGGGTAACTTGCACGTGCAATTTGATATCGGATGTCCTCGCCACCTGGCACTGTAGTCACCCTCGTCGAGAGCGAGCGGTGACGGCATTGAACGATCTCGCTCTGTCGTCCTTACCATCATGCTGGTGGAATGCTCATAGATCTTCACTACAGATTCATCAATCTCAAATGGAGGAGGCAGGAATGAAGCCATTGAACAATAAATCCTGCGACCATCCAAGTGTTATTTATTTCTCACGTGCTGGTGCAAGTATCTTGCTTTACTGGCTTGAATCCTAAATTCCCTGCCGCCGAAGTCGCCATGTTTCAACAACTACTGTGTATTTTTCCTTGGTTTTTGCCCTGAAAAAAGCGCCTAGGTAGACATAGATAGTAACATGAGGTAAGGTGAACAGGGGGAGGTTGGGCACTGGGCACTGGGCAGGGCTGGGCCCTGAATATCCCTGTTTTGCTGCAGAATGATCAACCGTTAGACGGAAACTAACCACTTTCGGTGATCGCTAAACATATAAGGTTCATTTTAACCTTCAACTCTATTATACCTTGCTCAAGGCTTCAGCCATTAAAGTGCCACTAAAGTCTACACTATCAGATTCACCACAGTATGTTTTTAGTGATTCCGCAACCCCCTCAGTAGTGGGAATGGGGAACATCGTTCGCCTCAAACAAGAGCCTACCTGGCACAGTAGTGGCTGGAGCTGAGAGGGCTGGGCTGGGGTTCTCCAATAACTACCGTAACTAGTAACTACCTGTAGACTGGGTATGGAGTACTCGTCTTGTGTTTGTCCATTGCGTTCTAGAAACCTTTAAACAAATTGGTTCAGCACAGTGATCTTCAGCCAGTGCGTAGGGGAAATTACTGTGTACGCAACACTCGGTGGTGACTGTGCGCAGTAGAGATCTCGTCCAGACTCCCGGATCTCGGCACCGGACGGGTGCTTACCAGATGCCCTTCCCACGCCTACGGGTTGTTGCCGGTTGGCAGTGGCACTGTGTCGTGGATGGTCTGAGCTTGAACAGGTCCGATCCGGCGCAGAAAGGAAGCACTGACACACTGGCAGATCAATAAAGCACAGGCTATAAACAAATTTAAGATGTGGTCATGAGCACACTTTGAAGATCAATAAACAGTAAATGTCAATTTCCATTGCCGGCAGTGATTATCGATTCGTATATTCCCAGCATTTGTGGAATCGCATCATGAGGGATGAGGTTTTTTCACGCGACCACCCCTCGGAATCTCGCCCACAATTATCTGGAGTCTTTGCGCGCAACAAGATCCCTCGATCGGAACTCGAAGTGGGCGTAGATAAACAAAGTGGACATGTGGACACATATCTTGTCATCGATTCATCGGGTCTCACCTCACCTCTAAGACATTGTAGATTTCTAGCGCAGCATGTTTTCCACCACAGTATCTGGAGACTGGCTGGGAGTATTGGGACCACTAAGTCCATCCGGTCCTTTGACGTCGGGCGACTCGCTCGCTACTAGTCTTGCCCTTGGGGAAGAATGGGGGGACTGGCTGACCTGAACCTCGTAGGCGGGTCAGTGCCGCTAATGCAAGAAAATTCTTGCATCCCAAAAGTACGGAAGCAGGAACCGCTCTCGGGTCTCAAACTCTCACTGCTCATGTTCGATGCAGGGGCTGATTGAACACGATATCGACGTGCATAAGCGAGTTCTGATAGAGACCATCGCAGACACAGAAAGCACTCAAGCATGTGAATTTATGAACATATCAGGACAATCGTTTTCATCAGTTGTTTGATGTATGAAAATATGTAGAAGAAATTATGAATAAAAGTGTTTTGGTTGCGTCATTTCCACCGTCACGCAATGCAATTAATGCATTAATGCCTTTTCTTTCAAGAAACCCGTCGGGTGCCATCCACAGTCTTCTTGTCCGATGACCATGTCCCCCACATAAAAAATGGTAGTAGGGAACACAAGTTCAAAACGCCACGCTATGACCCAAAAATCACACAACACCCAATCTACTCGCTGGGGTAGGTGACGGAGCCACCGATATCCTCCAACCAGGCGATGCTGTTGAATTCGGTGTAAATGGTCTTGATTTGCCAGGTGTCGGCTTGACCGGCCGAGTTCTCGGTCTTGAGGATGGTGTTACCCTTGATTGTGTTGGGTGGGAGAGGGACGATCCATCGGAAGGCAATGGTGTCGCAAGTGTAGGCCTCGATGGCGACTGTCTCCCAGGGGACGGCCTCTTGAGAACCCTGGCCTTCCTCAAAGGCAGCCTTGGTGGGGAAGGTCGCCGTGCCAAGTGCGGCACCGGTCAGTTCGTTGATGCTGTCTGACCAGTCAACCAGGTCATCGGCCAAGATGGCGTTGGCAACAGTGGCGTTGTAGTCTGAGATCAAGCTACCGAAGGCAGCAACGAGATATGTGGCGGTTGCGTTGTCCATGCATGTGGCTGGGTTGGGACCGGTCCAGTCACCCCAACCGAAGGGAAGAGCAGCGGCAGATGAAACGAGGGCCGCAGCGGCGGCGATGGTAGCGAAGGATTTCATGTTGACGGAGTGAGTGTTGATTGAGATGTTCGGAGAGCGAGTGACTTTTGTGTGTGGAGGAACGAGTGTCTGTCAACTGGTGATCCTGATGCTTAGCTCTGAGAGGAAAACTGTCATGGAGCTTGGGGGCTGCTCAAGAATTATATAGACATGACGCTCGTATGGAGACAGGTCGAGACCATGGTAAAAGTTGGTAACTAGTAAACAACTTGTTGTTAGAGTTCCCATGGGCTGCCTGCATGTCAAGCGTCACTAGCCAGTAGTAACATGGGGGAAGACCGGGCACTCAGCCATGCGAAAAGCACTGTTGTCAACTTCGTCGGAGGATTGCGAGCTCTGACTTCACAGCAGCTCCGCCCCCAGCCACATGGTGCCTGTTTGGGGTAGACTAAGATTAAACACAATTTCTCCATTGTATTGACTTCATTGATAGATGGCACTTGCTCAAGTTTTGCTGGCATTTTGCCTTTGCCCAGGTGGGAGGCTGGTCCGTGTCGACTCTGTTGAGGATTGGTCTCGTGTGGGCGTGATAGACCCCCTTTCGGCTATCTGCGACAATTGAGCCACTCGTGTGGGAAGCTAATGCAAGGCGTAAAGTCCAATCCTGGACTAATCCATAATCGTATTTTTGGCAAGTCATTCCTCTTTGAGTTTAGAAGACGTTTCTTCTTCATCCTCTCCTAGCCACTCGTCATTTCGAAGGTGCCATACCCTGATTGGAGACAGAATGATCAAGGCAGGTACACGATTCTTCCTTGCGAGTTGCCCTGCATCGCCTGCCTCGCCTGCCTCATACCTGCATGAGGCGAGAGTCTAGTGATCCCAACCTACCTAGACTCGGGGGCTCTCCTAAACCAGGTGATCAACAAGTGTTGAAAATAGTGGCCAGCAAGAACCGAGGCCATGGTGATGGGCAGAGGTCTCGGAAACTCTCCGTTCGATAGAAATGGCATATAAACATATAGTAGAAAGTTATCAACAATTCCCTGTCACTTGTCAATACAAAGTATTCATCGTTGCGCTCGGACGAGATCAACTTTATTGGACGGGCACGGATCTCCCCTCCAAATTATCATCTTGAAGCACGTACTTCAATATGGCACAACAAATAATCGTCATTCTTCTCATTATTGAGCCCTGGCCCTTGAAGGGTTTGGAGTGGAATCGTCTGACAGGGTAACCTGATCGGGTTGGCCGAGATCAACCGCACTCGTGATCTTTTTGGTCCCATAGGGTACAGCATGTTCTCGAGCTCTCAAGGTGTCTTTGCCTTTGATTAGCTGCATCATCATGAAGTTGAGAACGCATTTGATGCCTTGCTCCTCGCCACGCTTGACAATGTAGCCGTTGATATAGTCAACTTCTGGTTTCTTGCCGTGTCGGAGATCTTCCCGCATGCTGCTGGAGTTTTGTGCTGTGCGGCGAGTCACGCTTCTGGCCAACTGCTCCAGTCTTTCGGCTGAGAATCGCATCTCGACATTAGGGATGGCTTCCAGCTCAGGCAGATTCCGAATCACCAAGGATACCTCGGCAAGTAAGAGCCTCTGTACCATCGAGATTTCATCGCTGAGAAGCAATGCACCATTCGGCACGTCGAGAAGCGCAGTAAGAGGATTCAACACCACATTGGCTGCCAACTTCTCGAGCTGCAATTGAAAAAGGTCCAGGTAAGGGAATGCCGCGCATGCTAGGACGGGTGACCTCGTCAAAGTGCGCAGGAGATATCGTGAGGAAAGGTTGGCAAAGAGATCTTTGTCTGTTGGGTAGAATCTCTGGCGTTCGTCCTCGGGCAGCTCCGAGAGATTTCTTGCAGGGTACTTTCCGGGAAGCGGATGTCTGTCTTGATCTCGACAGATGCCCAGCGCCACCGTGCCGTAGCCAGCGTGGACGACCGAACATGGGCTCGTCATATACGAGCCATGTGAGACGATCCCGAGCATATATGTTGGACGTGTTTCGGGATCGGTGAAGACCTCTCGGTTGAGTTCTTCGATCTGTCCCAGGCCATTCTGCATGAAACATATGGTTGTGCTTGCATCGACACGGTGTTTTATAGAGCGCAGTGCTGAGACGGTGGCATGGCCTTTGACCGCGACAATCAATGAGTAGATGTAGAGTTCTCCAGACTTCAGTCTCTCCGCCTCTTCAATCGGATTCGTCTTCTCCCTGAAATTGCGCTTGTCTTGAAAAGCAGGTTTGAAGTGCCATGTGTACCCCTCGTTTGGTGTTTCCTCGAAGAGGTCCACGTCGTAGCCACTTTGTGCATCATTGATGGCGTTCTTCTTGTCAATCAGAGTCACCGACCGGCCCACCTTCTTGAATTCTTCGTACTGTTGATGCTTGTGCATCATCAAGGTGATGGGAGGCGGATTCGGCAGACATCGCAGAGAATGAGCTACCAACGTCCCAATACTTCCAAGGCCGAGTATGTGTACACGCCGAGTCAAGACTTTCTCTTCTTCAGAATCTGCTATGGCGGCATCTTCAAGGGGTTTCGACTCGAAGGAAGGAGCCGGCTCTCGTTCCCTCTTGGCTGGGCCTGACCACCAGCTTTGAGATTGCGCCATTGTACGGAAAGCGCGACACTGGTTGTTATGAGTTCGAAGAGGAATGATCAAGGGACCAGTCCACCGAGCGCCTAGCCATCTGCCAACTGCTCTGGTGAGCTGGCGAGGATAGAGTCGTTGCGACAGTTTGAAGGTCAACGCGAAATGATGGTCTCATAATATGACAGACTGCAACAAGCCGAACGCCGGGGAGGGATGTGGACGAAGATACCCGGGTCGTCGGCTATAGAGCGTGAGGGGTTGTAGACTGGGGACCTTTGGTTTCTTGGTACGGATTGCCTGGGAAGAAGGTTAGACCGCAATGTCGCAGGAGTGAAGTGTCGAAGGTGCACAATCACGGCAATGCACATCGATACGTCGATGATTGCGGCACGCGCCGTGCGGAGAAGTTTTTGAGATCTCAGATTCTTCTCCAACTCATTTTCTTCCTCCGCAATTTGATCACGCCGCCCCCGATTGCGAAAAGTGACAAAGTCCTGACTGTCCCGATCTGCCTCTATAAGAGACGACGGTGATGGACACGAAATCTCTGCTGGCCGTGGTGGAGCAACTTGAGGAGAACATTGAGGATCTTGAAGAAAACTTCGAACCGTTGCTTGAACGCGAAAGTGATTTTGTGTCCATCACAAAGAAATTACCACTCTTGGACAGAGCGAAGCTCAATGTTCTGGTAGTATACGCGATCGAGTCGCTGTTGTTCTGTACGTGCTGTCGAGCCTGCCACGGAAGATCGGAGACTAACCTTTGCAGCCTATCTCAAACTACAGGGCGTCGATGCCAAAGAGCACGCAGTTTTCCGAGAACTGGCACGAGTCAGACAATACTTCGAGAAGATCAAGAACGCCGAGCCTGGTGCAGTTACCGCTCAACCCTCCGTTACTCTGAACAGAGAAGCCGCCGAACGAGTCATTAAGCACGCATTGGTAGGATCACCTGGTTCTGCCAGGTTCAGAGGTTATGCTAACGAGGATAAAGGCCGGAAACGACAAGTACGACCTAGAACGTGCCGAACGTGAAGCCCGCGAGAAATTCCTTGCGAACAGAAAGCTGAAGACTTTGGAAGCCAGCATGAAAGAAAGGGCAAGAGCACAGACAAAAGAAGAAGAAGACGCCGAAATGTCGGACGCACTACAACTAGCAGCTCAACTTGCGGCAGTTGCGCAGCCGGCCTCATCAGAAACGTCATCTTCGTCCGAGGACGACAGTGAAGAGGAGGATGATGACGATGAAGACGACAGCGACGAGGCTGATGAGGGTGTTCAAGTACCCATGGACGAACCACAAGAAGTCTCGACCCCTGCCTCCGTGCCTACAGATCCCGCACGTCAGGACAACCAGCACCCAGTTGGAGAACAGGCTTCGCCAGAACAGACTCCGCAATCACAGCGCGGGAAAAAGCGAAAGGCACCACCATCTGAAGAACAGAACCCAGCCAAGATGTCTAAAAAGGCGCTAGGCAAGGAAAAAGCAAAGGCTCATAGGGCCGAGATGGCGAAACGCAAGGCAAAACGACAGGCCAAAAAGGAAGTCGAGAAGGTCGAACAGAAGGCCAAAAACATGAAAGAGATGAAGCGGCAGGAAAGCAAGAAGGCAAAGAAAGATGCAAAGAAGAAAGCTGCGGCCAATGCTGATGACGGCTGACTTCGATGGTAATGGCTCTAAGATGAGCTGACAGCATGAATTATGACATGAGATCGACCTCTAGAGACGACCTTGGAGAATAACGCTGTTCTTGCTCATCATGCTGCCAACCCTGCTTTGCATCCTGGGCGACATATTGAGGTTGGAAAGATAACAAGATAATGCGAGCATTGTCATGGTTTCCGAACCCTCATCTCACAAGAACACGCTCCGGGACGTCTAGATCAGGTCCATCAGCAGGCGGGATTGCCCCGACATGTACCATACCATGCTTGACCGGGACTGGCGCCTGAGCGGTTCGGTCAGTATTAGCAGGAGAGGATGACCTCAGGTGTCGTCTTCAAGTAAGTGCCTCATGACGAGGACTTTCGATACCACACGATACGATAGCATAGACAGCTCGACTCTGGTAGCTAGTAGGTGTTTACGCCGAGTCCAGCTCTGTGCTGGAAGGCGTTGGCTATGATGATATTTAAACCCAGTCGTCCAGTCACCCTCGGTCCATGAACTCATCGACACGTTGCTCAAGACCGGCGCTCTTTGCCGCTGTTCTTGGATTAGCATCAGCTGGGAGATCTCTCTTCAGCTTCTCCAAAGCATTCTTGGCCAGTCTCGATATCTGCCTCCATCTTTGCACGCACATTCTGTGTCTCAGCCGAGCCTGTCCACTCTTCGTCCGCTGCAAATCTTGCCGCTTCGCACCTTGTGCCTCGAGCGCGGAGTCCTCATCCACAAAGTATCGTACCATCTGGTCCGGCGATGCCAACGACAACAGACCTTCCAGACTTTTTTGGGCCTCTTTCTCAATCTTCTCAATCCAAACGACCTGTTTCCGCTTCGCCCTTATAAGTGGACTCTCCTGTACGGTAGCCGTAGCATCATCTCTCTTCCGCTTACCATCCTGCAAGCTCCCCGGAAATTTCCCAGGCTCCAGCTTCCCCTCAATAAACCTATACCATTGATTCTGAGTCAACACGCCCAAGTAACTGACCACCTCGGTGCGCCAGCAGACGCCGGCCTCGTCACCGTCCGGTCGGAGCCAATACTCGCCGAGATACTCTGCCTCTTCGAGCACTTTCCGCTGTGCGTCAGTCAAGGTCGACAGTACAATCTCATCCAGCCTGAGTCCGTCAAATTTGTTGCGGTCCATGGTGAACCCGTACTCCGTCCAGAGCATATCATTCCCGTGTGCACCGTAATTCAGCAACACTTCCTGTCCGGCTTCGTACGCTTGCTCGGCAGTTACATAGTATCCTCGCTTGTCGTAGGTAGTTTTACAGCCTGCGTCGTCCGTGTGATTGAAAAGGTCCATGCCCGGACACAGCGCCATGGCCTCGTTGCTGTCCTTGGGCGGCCGTTGGCCTGCACGCACGTAGTAGAAGCATCTGCTGTTGACTGCATTCCAGTTGTGTATGAACGACCAGTGCGGAGGGTCGGATGGTGAGAGAAGTGCGCCTGCATGGTCTGGGAATACCCGTCCGACGGCGTGCACGTGCGTTTCGAATTTTGCGAGCTGCTCGTCAAGCACTTTATGCTTTGTCGTGTTCTTTTGCAAGTCGCTCGATGTCCATGATCCCGTCAGAGACGGTGGAATCACACAAAACTCGTGGTGCTGCACTTTTAGTGGCGTCCGTAGTCGTTCAGGCCAGAATATAGGAACCGTCCACGTGAAATCGGTCAAGCGCGGCCACGTCGCCATCCATCTGGCGTATCCGTCCTTCTTGGCCTCCGAAAGGCCAAAGGTCAGGTACGCGGCAAGCAAGGCGTGAACAGGGATGTCCTTCCTGATTTCTTTACTGGCGAAGCTATGGGGGACGGCAGTTGTGGTGAGCAGCGCGGCTGTGGGGACGTGCATGAGCCGGTCGCCTGGGTTGAGAGATTGTGTGGTGTACACGCCCAGACCTTTGCCGGGGACGCGTCGAATAGAGACATTGGGTGAGATCTCGATTTTGTGCGCGTCGCAGTAGGCGAGGAGGTCGGCTAGGATAGTGTCCTCGGACGAGGAAGATGAGAGACTGTTCATGGCTTTCAAGGATGAATCTATCTCGATGGGAACACTCTGGTCATATCGACGTTGACAGGTGTTACCGGGCCATAAGCGATAGCATGCGGGTGACTGGTGGAATGAGCGTCTGGGAATGCTGTTCGTTCGGCATGATGGTCACCGCTGTTCAAGGCATCGACGTTCTGGTAGATTGTAATCTTCACGTTCACGAGACAGCGAGCTGACTAGGGCCGTGTGTTTGTTTCGTCCCCATAATGAGCATAAGAACAGTCAAGTCTTCGCATCGATAGAAAAAACGCCCCCATGGATTGAAGTGTTGTTGAGGATGGAGTTAGTAATATCCGGGAAAACTACCACGGTCCCGGTTATCGCCAAGATCAGATGAATATAAACATCCTCCCGTCCCAACCTCATTGTTTTCTGACGCAACCTCTGTTCAATAACGGTTTTACTTCTTTCCGTTCCGCCACAGCTTCGCCGACATCGATCTCTTTAGCAAGCTAGAGTCAAAAGCGACCGGCACACAAGCAGAGCGGCCGATGTCCGGAGAGCCCATGGGGTAAGGTAACAGCGCTCGACTCTGTTACTCGGAGCCCGTTCGCTGGTAGTCCTTGCTTTGACTGCACTAAGCACTGTTTGCCTGATGCGGCAGAACATCAGTCGCCCTTGACTCTTGAAGCATCACATTCGGCAGCACTGTTTTTACCCCTTCAAGTCTCTCAAAGATCCTCGATCACAGGTTGGAAGTCGGAGACTCCCTCTAGCACATATCTTAGGCGTCGTCATCCACGGAGTGACAGAACATACTTGCGCGCCGCGCTCAAGAGATCCCAGCCACCAGAATAGCTGTGTGAGGGCTTTTTGCACAAGAAACCGACCTCATGATGATAAGCTGATTCGTACACCGGAGTATCAGGTCACATGGAGGTCCGCACTCGACGAAAGACCACGTCGACAAGGGGGATTTGCATAGACAAAACACCCCAGCCTCGTGGTTTCTGACGGATGTGGAGGCCCATGTATTCAGCTCAGCGACTTTCGCTAGTTGACTGTTTATTCAATGTATACGAAAATTCGTGCTCTTGATGCCCAAACGCCATTTCTCTTTCCCCCATCATGATTCCGAGCAATCTTCACCTCATGTTGTCGTATTAACCGTTGATATATATTTCTAGCATACCGAGTAGCTTTCAGCGCGGCCGTGGCCCGAGCCAGCGGTACGCTTGGACCACGTTGGTCACGGTAACTTATCGACAACGAGCCCGGTCCAACTCTACAGCTTTTCACAGACCACAGTATGGCCAAGCTACCATAAATCGTCCTATCATACAATCCTCAAGTGCTCAGACATACAGCCATTCTCGTCATGCGAGAAGGTCCCGACCTCCCACGTCATATGGCCACACCATGAGACAGTTCTGCGCAGCCAGTTGCTCGTTCAGCACGGAATGTCGGACACGAACGACACGACCTGGCACTCAAGAGACGGTCGGCTGATCCAGTGCACAGGCCATGCACTTTGCCGGGCCCCAACCCTCGATGAAGATACGTATATAGAGACTGCTGATCTTTCCAGCCAGCCTGTCGATCAGCAACATGATCGAACCGCCCTGGAATGCAATATATACCTTCGATCTGACGATATCACATTCCTCCACACCAGTGGTGATCTCACCCCAGATACTGCATCGATCTTGACAAGATGCTCGACCTCACAGTCAGGATATTCGCCATTGTACTGTGCGTCGTGGGGATTGCTTCATGTGCCTTCATCAGTGACCAAGTCACCAGAGCACAACTCCTTGACGTCGCCCCAGATGCTGAGAAGGCAGCAACCGGCAGACCGAGATTGAGGCGGAACATCGCCTTCAATTCACAAACCGGCCATCGCTTCCAGTGCAATATGCTTGTCTGGGACATCATCGTCGCGAAGATATCGACACTGTTCACCGCCATCACACGGCATGCGATTCCATCCGGCCTGTCCAAACGCGCCGACTATCGACAGCGCATGGTCTCAAGATGGCAGATCCACCATGCCATCGTTTGACCTTTCTCGACCAAAAAGGCCACCACCTGCGAGAGCTTGGATCTATCACTCATTTGCCAACATCGGCTCGATATTTCACATAATGTAATCCACCGAACAAGGACATTCCGCTCTTTGAGAGGCTGGACCCGATACCTTTTACGCTCTTCACGACATACTGACTTGGAACATCGCCCATACAGTCATCACAATTCTTGCACTAAAGATCGAATACCAAACTGCTGAACCACCACTCGCTCATTTGAACACAATTCACGATCCAAGCCTCTATAAAGTCCGTCTTTTTCGTTCTGGCTTGACATGGGCTTCAGGAGAAGTTCCCACGCTCCTTATCTTCACTATCAGTCGCTCGACAACAATGGCAGCTACTCAAATGCCCTACCGCATTCTTTTGACAACTCAACAACCCTGCTTCAAGAACGAAGACTACGTGGTATACACATGAGACACACTCCTACAGACAATGAGCGTAAGTACAACGCTTATGCAAAACCACGCTCATTTGAACCAATGTACTTTCTGCTGCGGATGGACCGCTCCTTCAACGCTCTCTCACATGTCCAAGGTTCGGGTTCATGATCAGCCACGCTCGTTGGACACCCGAGCAACCAAAATTGTATCCTCAAAAATGCAATATCACAACTTCCCTCATGCTAAAGAGGCCAAGACAACACAATCCTTCACACCAAGCCGAAGTCTGATATCAAGATGACTCCTCGCCGTCTACAATCCACACCACTGTTAATCAGTTACTTGAATCAACAAGCTCTTTCAACGCCAACCAATGGAGCCAATCTATCCTACTTTGAAATGGTCCTTCCCGCCATGTTCCCTTCGATCCTTACCAATACTCATTCACAACACCTACGACGAACCATTCAGCCTCACCCATTCAGGCACAACCACTATATAGACACCAGACAATGTTAACCACACGTTCCCTACTATCCATCGACCAACCTCTAAGCCACGAAGTTGCGACACTCCTTCACTTCACAACCACTTCCAATCCTTAGCTTCACCAATGGACCAACTTGGGCAACGCTCGTTCACTGCTCAACGACATGGAAATCCATCTCGCTCCTTCAGCCTCAAGGCTACTCCTCATATCCGATGTCATGAGAATGATGCCACGAACCGCAGTAATGATGTTATGATTTTCAAGTTTGGATCATTGCTTTCGTACTTTGTCAGGCAGTACAGCGTGGAGTCTGAATCGTTGCTTTAGCATGTTTGATGCACCTGCACTACACCTGATACCAGTCATCGCATGTTTAGTATTAGCTTAGTCAATTCATTAATTATCACCATTATCTGATCATCCGAGTATCTCATTACTTCCTCCACTTGTTTTCGTATACCAAGGAAGTAACTCGCTGAACTCGCTCAAGTCGCTTCATAGACAAATCAAAATCTCAAAATTATGTGCTGTGTTGCTGCATTTCCGGGAAAATATGCATGAACGCTGTCAGAATTTCCCAAATCAACTCGTCAAAATCGAAAAGAGACCCAAACATTCAAACCGACAAACGATCTTTCCGTTTTCCAGTTCAATAAACAGTCCCTTCCCCTGACCACCTCTCCAACATCTCCATGGTGAGGTTTTTAGTCATCCCATCTCCCATCCCCAACCATGACCGGCATCCACTCCTGCCCAGGATACGCCGTCGCACTCATCGGAATCTCCTCCTCGGACTCATACCCCGCTGCTTTGGAGCCCGGCAACTCAGCAATAAACCCTTTCGGGGAAGATTTATCCCTCGCCTTCGAGCGTCCCGTCGGACTCGGCTCGCGTTTCGAGGGATCAAGGACGCTCACATTCCTATCGAGTCCCTCACCCTCGGTCGCGTTCTTACCGTGCGTTTGTGCCCCCTGCGCCGACGATTGAACACTAACCGGCGTATCACTCCTTGCAGGGCCCTCAATCTTATCTCTGAGCCGGCGCTTGCGTTCATCTTCTTCATCCAATCCCGGAAGGGCGATAGCGAAGGGTCGTTCCTGATCACCGTCGTCACGGGGTATACCTGCTGTGGGACTGATTTTCTTGGAACTAAATGTTCCCAACGTGGTTACTGGGTTTGTTTGAGGATTTGGTGGTCGTCGGTTATTAAAGTCTTCATCTGAGGACCGACGACCAAGTCTTGGTGAACGTGAGCGTTTGTGGAGATCGAAGACGTGATCTTTGGAGGTTGGTCGGGACGTTTGCGTTTGCGTTTGTGTCGCCGGCGCCGCGCTTCGAATTGCCGGACTGCCAGTTCGAATCGCGGGACTGCCGGATCGTGTGATATCAGTGGTGCTTGTATTGAATGGTCGCGGGTCACCCTGGTGTGAGTGCATTAATGCACCACCAGCCGGCGCTGTAGCGGGCACATTGTACGAATTCCTATTGGATCCTCCGCTCGTATCAATGCGCAAGTCCGCTGGGCGTCGTGGTTCCGTGCTGTTGCGTGGAGGCGTCTTAGGTGTTCTTGGTCGATATGGACTCTGAGTTCGTTGGAGGTCTTGAGGTGGTTGGGAGTCCGGGTATGTGGCAGCTTGGCTGAAAAATGCACCTGGAACTGGGGGAGGCGGTGTGAATGGTTCTTGTGGGAACGACTCTGACTCATAGTGTGAAAGTGGCCGTTGAAGTTGGGACTGCGAGTGCGAACTCTGAGCGTACAAGCTCGCCGGGTAGTGTCCTGCGTCCATGTCCATGAATCCACCGGGTACATCCGAGAATTGCCCATATGGCGTTTGCGCCGAGTACGGTTGGGGTGACAAGAACGTCTCAGACGCCATCTGCTGTTGACCAGGCCCCTGGGTAGACACCGCAGGCAATGTGGACGCCTTTGACGCGCCACTTTTGCCAAAAAGACCGCCTAGTCCGGAAAATCTCTTCTTTTTGGTCTCCGTCGGCTGATCCTTTTGTTCAGACGTGGGACCTCTTAGCAAATCTCGTGAAAGACGTCTGCTGGTGCGAGGCATGGCATTTGATGGCGGCACCTGTTCGTGTTCCCCATATTGACTGCTCCGTTTGGAAGATATACTGTCATGCCGACTATTTCGGCGGCCGAACAGGCTTGACCGTTTCTCTCTTTTCTGTGCCTTGGTACTGTCTTCAACTGGTGTCTCCACAGGGTCGGTCTTTTGCAATTTCGTGCGCGACTTGGAACCGAAGAATCCGCCGAATGTGCTTTTCTTCCGACCACCAGGAGTAGTTGGAGTTGGGAGAGGAGGCGGACCCATCGATTGTCGCTGAGATTGAGCCGCGGGCTCTTGCTGCGGAGATACTGGTCGAGGTTCGGGTTTCATGTCAAAATGTGCTTCAGCAGGATACTCGTAGCCTTGGTCGCGTCGCTTTTCGTCTTCTTGTTGTCTGCCAAAATAGGATGTCCGCTCGCCTTGCGTGGTATTCGCAAAGCCGGGCATGGTCTGATTTTGCGATCGTCTGGCACTGGGGAGTGATGAACCCCTCGGTTCAATCTGGACGGGACTTTGTCCAACCTTAGGTGCAGAGATCTGTTTGGGCGATCTGTATTCCTGAACGTACGGACCAGGAATTCTAAAACCTCCAGGCCTGGCTGATTCAGTGTATGAACGCTGGTCAGGTTGGAACTGCTCCCTTTGCTGACGCAATCGATCCAAATCTTCTTGTCGTCGTTTCGCGCTTGGGGTGTCGGGCGCGTACATCTGTGCTTGGTCCATGGGTGGTTGCTCTGGTTGAGCTGTTCGCAATGCAGGATGATTCCGTACGTTTGGGTCAGTAACGAACGGCCTCGAGTATGATTTTGATGTCCGTTTGCTGCCTCCGTTGGGTTGATCAAAAACTTCGTCGACACTGACTTGTGACATTTCCTTGCTTAAAGGCCGGTTGCTGAGTGTCTGGCTGACAGGACTCATCGGTTGGGTGGGAACCTGGCGTAGTTCATCAATACTCTCCTGTGATCGATGAACCTCGCCGATGCCTTCGAGGCCTGCGTATGAGAATGGGCGAGCCTGCGCTGGCTCGTCTTTGTCCGCCGTTTGGGGTACCTGCTCATGGTCTCCCGGGACATTCTCCACTGTCTCAGCCGTAGGCTTGCTGTCCTCGGATGGTCTGGACGGTTCATTCATACCTGGTGTTGGAGCATCCTCAGGGAAAGCACCAGGGATAGGATCCTTCGCAGGAGCGATGACCTCAGCGATGGGTGAATTGAGGTTGGCCGGTGCTGAATCTTGGGGCGGCACTTCAATGGCCGGAGCTTGGGGATACTCGGCCTGTTCCGGTTCCGTTGTGCCATATGCCTCATCGGCAGGTGATACACTTCGTTCTAGACGATCTCCTGAGGCCTCTGACCCAGGTCCTGGACTTGCGCTAGAAACTCCTGAGATGATTGATCTGCGGCTGACGTCCGGAACATTCAGACCTCCACCGGCAATCTGGGCCTCTGGCTTCAGACCGTCGCTCGCTCCGATGGGAGATCTGGGGGGTGTGATTGTGTTGGCATCGGACTTTTTGCGTTCAGAGACAGCGATGGAAGGCTGCTCAAGCGAGTCTTTTCGTTCTGCAATTTCGTCCTCGATCGTCCGATGGGATGGGTCGATCGGAGAATGCTCAGCTGTAGGTCTCGTGATCTGACTGATGGAGCGACTTGGACCATCGGCATGTTCATGTTGTTCACTGTCAAGAGCGGATATCGCAGGACTGATAGCTACCGCGTTTTGTGCTGCAGTAACCATCGGTGTACGATTTTCTGGTTCTTCCTTGTCATCGTTGACGCGTTCTTCGTCGTCCTTAATAGAGGCAATCGATGAAGCTCGTGCTTCTGGCTGTACAGACGTTGTAGTGGTCTCTGGTTGTAAAAACCTCGTAATACTTTCTGGCTGTGCAGACTTTGTTGTGCCAGTGCTTTGCTCCCCGCTTGTGGGTGCTGAAAACCAGTCGGTCGGCGACACAGGGGAGAGTGTCAGAGGAAGCTGTGGTGGAATCTGTGGTGGACTGTCCACGTTTTTGGTCTCTCGAGTCTGTATTGGCGAGATGC